TTTTTTGTCTCAAAAATTGCCAGAAATTTTGCCGAGCAAGTTTTTCTCTCGGGAAAACGTTGATATTAAAAAAAAACATTTCTTTGCAATTTTTTTGCACAGGAAATCTCGCGAGAAATATTCGTTTCGAGATTCCGCCCAACCGGGTGGTCCGAACATTTTCGGAAATTTTCTTCTCCGCAAAATTCCATAAAGCCATCCCTGCTTTTTTTTGGGCCTAACTTTGTCATTTGTGAAAATTTTCAAATTCAGTTCTCAAAAAAAAAAAACAAAAAAACATTACAAAACTATTTAATGAGATTCCATTTCAGGCGGCCAGATGGCAAAAATCGCCCATTCGGGAAGGAGATTCCCCGAGACTTCCTTTCCCCACTCGTGAATTCGGCACAGATTCCCGAAAATTTCCACCGGGAGCCATTTTTTCTACATAGATTTCCCGAGAGAAAAACTTGCTCGGCAAAATTCACCGGATGGCAATTTTTGAGACAAAAAAAATTGCGAAAATTGCAAATTTGTTCAAGTCAAAATGGAAAATTCCTTATTTTTTTTTTCAACAAATAATTGAAAAAAAATTCGCACTCAGGTAGATCAAATCAAATATTTTGAGATTCATTGAGAAAAACTAACGTGTCTCTAAAATATTTTAGATTTTTCTCAATCAATTTTAGAAATTATTGAGATCATTTAGAATTCGCTCAATAAATTTTCGAAAATCTTATAGTCGACGTCCGGGGGGCGACTGCTGTAGATTTACGAGAATGCGTCTTTCGAAATGGTCTCGCAAGGACAAACAGGTTACTTCAAATTTTATGGACCGGTTCGATAATTTTTTAATCGAATAATGTTGGAAATTCAAGGAAATGCGAAACTCGTCATGAAAAATGAAGTAGTTCACGTGAAAACAGCAAAATAGGCATTCACGCGTGGCGAGACCTTTTCAAGGCGCATGCGCGTAAATCTACACCGCGTACAGCAGTCGCCCCGGACGCCGACTATATAAGACTTTAAAAATGATTTTTAAGTTTAGCGATTCTCAATAAGTTTTCGAAAATATCAATAAACTTTAGATTTTCTCAAAACATTTTAGAGATTATAATTGAATATTTGATTCTCAAAATATATTTGATTTGATTTGTCTAAGTTGAAAATTTTTTTCGCAAAGAAACGCTCACCTTTCGGACTTGGGTGTACAGTGCAATGAAATGCGCAAAGTTTCATGAATCGATTCCTCCAGCGTGTCGGCACTGCCGGATTATTGTACCATTAGAGAGAGAGAGAGAGAGAGAGAGAGAGAGAGAGAGAGAGAGAGAGAGAGAGAGAGAGAGAGAGAGAGAAAGAGCTCAGGGACAAATCAAATAAAATATTTTGCGAATCAAATATTCAATAATAAATTCTAAAAAATTAGGAGACCTTCTAAAATTTATTGATACATTTCTAAAACTTTTTGAGAATCGCAAAACTTAAAAACAATTTTTTTAATTTTATAAGATTTTCGAAAATTTATTGAGCAAATTCTGAAATCTTTCAATAATTTCTAAAATTGATTGAGAAAAATCAAAAATATTATAGAGACACGTTAGTTTTTCTCAATAAATCTCGAAATATTTGATTTGATCTACCTGACTGTGAATTTTTTTTCAATTTTTTCTTGAAAAAAAAAGGAATTTTTCATTTTGATTTGAAAAATGGATCGTCAATTTGCAATTTTCGCAATTTTTTGTCTCAAAAATTGCCATCCGGTGAATTTTGCCGAGCAAGTTTTTCTCTTGGGAAATCTATGTATTGTTGAAAAATGACAAATGTATCTAGGTGTCGTAGGATCCTGCGTTTTGTACGCAATGCTAAGAGACAGTTACTGTAATCCTCGCAGCGATTTACGGAGTTTTTTTTTTTATTTTCTTTCAATTTTTTGCTGTATTTTCTAATTTTTTTTTTTAGAAATCTTTTATTTAAAACCTGTAGAAACCGAGTTTAATTATTTATTTTTCAGAAAATGCACTTTTCCATTTGTCCAGTTGAGTTGGGAATTATTGTGAAGAGTTTGTCGCTCTAAAAATTATTTTGAAAATGAAGAATACAAAAACAAGATAATAGAGACGCATACAAAAAGCAAATCACGAATAAATAATTTTATTAACAGACAAAAAATTATTTCTTTTTAATCTCTGCTGACTTTACCAAAAAAGTATCGTTTAAAAGTGCTTATTCTGTTAAATAAATTATTAAACTCGGTTTCTGCAAAGTTTAAAAATTTAAATTAAAAAATTTCGAAGGGAAATACGAAAATTGAGCGAAAAAAAATGAAAATACGAAATTAAAAAAAAAGTCCCCGTAAATCGCTGCGAGGATTACGGTAACTGTCTCTTAGCATTGCGTACAAAACGCAGGATTCTACGACCCCTGGATACATTTGTCATTTTACAACAATACATAGATTTCCCGAGAGAAAAACTTGCTCGGCAAAACGACACCTCATTTGTCATTTTTCGAGTAAAATCGAAATTATTATAGAGGCACGTTAGTTTCTCAAAATATTTGATTTGATTTGCCTGAGACAATTCTTTTTTTTTCATTTGCACTTACAAACATTGTGAAATCCCAAATTTTTGCCGATCATCAACATCGGCAATTTGGGATTGTTGAATATTTCGAATTTCGTGTGCACAATCTCTTGATTGTCGCCGAATTTCAGCACCCAGTCGATGCCGGTGGTGAGGCGCACGAGCGAATGTTTCAGCGATTTGAATTGCAGAAAAAAATGAGCCGTTCGAATGTTCGTCCAGTTCGTCGTGTCGAGTCTGCAAATTGTCGAGGAAAATCGCAAAAATTTCATTAGAAAAAAAAAATGCGACGAACAATTTACGCTAAACCGCGGGCGGTGCGTCAACAGCGGAGTGTCGTACACCAACAAATTTTTGTTTCCCAATATTTTCGTGCAAAACAGCGTTTTTCAAAATTCTACAAAAAATTCAAACTAGAAAATTAAATATACATACTTTGGCAACATTTTGCAATGAAAATTCGAAAAAAAATCGCGTTTTGAAAATTACGCTAAACCGCAGGCACTGCGTCAACAGTGGAGTGTCGTACAACTTCATGAATTTTTTCCCAATATAGCGCTTTTGGAAAATTCTAGAAAAAAATTCAAACTAGAAAATTTAATGTGTTTTGACAAAATCTGACCAAACTTGCAATGAAAATTCAAGAAAAAAAATCGCGTTTTAAAGATCACGCTAAACCGCAGGCAGTGCGTCAACAGTGGAGTGTCGTACAATTCCATGCATTTTTTTCCTAATATTTTCGTGTAAAACAGGCACTTTTGAAAAATTATACAAAAAAAATTCAAATTAGAAAAAATTTGACTAAGAAATCGCGTTTTGAAAATTACGCTAAACCGCAGGCACTGCGTCAACAGCGGAGTGTCGTACAACTTCACGAATTTTTTTTTTCAATATTTTCGTGTAAAACAGGCGCTTTTGAAAATTTATACAAAAAACATTCAAGCTAGAAAAAATTTGACCAAGAAATCGCGTTTTGAAAATTACGCTAAACCGCAGGCACTGCGTCAACAGCGGAGTGTCGTACAACTTCACGAATTTTTCTTTTCAATATTTTCGTGTAAAACAGGCGCTTTTGAAAATTTATACAAAAAACATTCAAGCTAGAAAAAATTTGACCAAGAAATCGCGTTTTAAAAATCACACTAAACCGCAGGCAGTGCGTCAACAGCGGAGTGTCGTATTTTATATAACAAAATCAAAAATTTCGCAAAAATTGCCGAATTTTAGCGCAAATTTCAATTGTTGCCTTCGCTAAACTGCGTGCGGAGCGCGTCGTCAACAGCGGAGTGTCGTCGTTTTTTTTTTGTTTGGCCCAACAAACTTGACGTGGTCTAATTTCGTGCATTCGGAAATCTGCTCATAAACTCGCGGCGTCAGCTCGCCGCTTCCGGTGCAATTCGACGAAATTCCGCAAGCACATCGAGTGAGAATCGAAAAAATGAGAAAATCGCGAAATCGCATCAAAAAAAAATGATGGAATTGCTCACGTTGCCCCCATTTTTTGAGCGAAAATTTTGAGAAAATTCCATCATTTTTTTTCGCCGCTAAAATTTACCGAAAAAATTTTTTAAAAAACGTCCAAATTTGGACCCAGCTGGAGAATTTTGAAAATTCGAAATTCAGCTTTTCTTCAAATTTTCAAAATATTCGAATATGAAGATAAATTTTTGAAAAGAAATGTTGAAAAAAAAGCGCGAAATCAATGATTTTTCGAAAATTCGATGGTTTCCCTGAATAGAACTCGATTGTCAATAGAGCGCAATTGCAACCCTCCCATTTATTTGACCGATATAATCCCATACAAAAGCCGTCAACAATGTTCATATCTTTTGCCGGACCACCCAGGAGACATTATGTGATATTATCTATAAAAAAAATATCAAAAGTTATGAAAAATAGTTTTAAAAAATGAAGTTGCAATTGCGCTCTATTGACAATCGAGTTCTACTACGGGGACCCACCAAAAAATATTGCTTTTTTCCTAATTTTACGGTAATTAAAGGCGCACGCGTGTTGTTCAGAAACAATTTTTGATAAATTTTGGGTTGAAATTATTATTTTTTGTCAAACCAAACAAAAATCGAGAGCTCTTTTCAAAAATCGCAACAAATTTTTTTTCGATTCTAAAAAAAAGCCACAAAAAAATTGGGCGTGGCCTAGAATTTGAATTGCGCGTCAAAACGTCGCAATTTGTCGTCAAATTGACCATCTACATACAAGGATGAGAGCACCCTTTAAGAGGTCTCGAGACGAAAAATCAAAAATTGAAAAAAATCTTATTCACACATGACCTAATCAACTACATCGACAATGGCGCGCGGCAACAAGTGCGCTCCATTGAACAATAGCGAGCGCGGCAACAAGTGCGCTCCATTGCACAATAGCGCGCGGCAACAAGTGCGCTCCATTAAACAATGAACGGAATGCGGCAAAACGGAATTAATGGAAATAATCGGCGACGATACGCGCGACGATCTCGCCCTCTTTGATGACGAACGCGTGCTCACAATCGTGCTCGTCGAGTGTGACGTGCTCATCGCCGAGACGCTCGAGCATATCGCGACCTGCAACAATAATCTATAATGGTCCCCTCTAGAGCTCTCTAGGCCGGCTCCCCCCCCCCCCAAAAAAAAATCTTGGAATGCATCGCCATCAAAAATGAAGCGCGCTCCGCGGTTTCGCGATTCGCATTAGAGCGCGTTTGAGTGCACCAAGCGAGCATAATGGTCCCTACCATGCCGAATCGGACACCATCCATCTTTGACACCATAATAGAAATGAATTCGATCGTTGTGCTCGATGAGGCTCTCGTCGAGCTCGACAACCTGCTCGAGCTCATCGTTCGACATGTGCACGATGTTGCGGAACACGTTCATTCCGACAATCTCCGTCGCCGCGTCGACGATCTCCGTCGGAATCTGTCGAATTCAATCGATTGCCTTCCCATGGTTGATGTCGTGTGTCGACAAACGCTCACCGACGGATCGCGCAAATTGAGACGAACGAGAAATTTTCGCATCGACGTCGGCATGAAATCCACCCAAAACGACAACAATTTTGCGAGCCAATCGTGCCGACTCAAAACCTGCAAATTAATGGTCCCTAGTGGGGAAGAGGGTTCGAATAAAATCGTCGAGACTACCGCCAGCGTCGATCCGAGGCGTTTTCCGTTCGGCGATTCCGCCATTCGCTCGATCGTCGGAAACAACGCGACCGCTTTGACGACATTGAATCCATCGGCGATCACTTGCGGAAGGATTCTGAAGGTATAAGAAACAATTAATCAAATTTTGGCTACAATGTAGTGTATCGATTTAAAGGCGCGTGCCGTTTTTAAAAGGGTTGTTCAAAACGCGCGGTGGGACCACAATTAAAGGCGCATACCTTTTTTTTAAAAGGATTGCTCAAAACGCGCGGCGAGACCATATTTAAAGGCGCATACCTCTTTTTTTAAGGGGTTGTTCAAAACGCGCGGTGGGATCACAATTAAAGGCGCATACCTTTTTTTAAAGGGTTGTTCAAAACGCGCAGTGGGATCACATTTAAAGGCGCATACCTCTTTTTTAAAGGATTGCTCAAAACGTGTAACGAGACCACGTTTAAAGGCGCACACCTCTTTTTTTTTAAAGGATTGCTCAAAACGCGCGGCGAGACCACGTTTAAAGGCGCAAGAAATTCCTAATGGTCCACCACGCTGACGCAAAATTGCGGACGATTCGTTTGAACACCCAAAAAAAAGAAATGGTCACCTCAACATCATATACGAGCCAATGCTGTGCCCAAAAATGTAAATCTGTTGGGCGCGCGGCAAAAATTGACGAACGAAATTGAGTTTGTGGTCGACTTGCTCGTCCAACGAGAACAAATCTATAATTAGACATAATTGGTTGGCGATAATTAGGCATCACCGTGATTCTCGTGCTCGCCGACTCGCTGCAGCTCATCGGGCATTCGCACGTGATTCAGGCTCGACACCGTGTAGAAGAGGAAGCGGCGGCCGCGAGAATGCTGGAAACAACAACATTTATTTTTTTTTTTTTGAAGTTTTTAAGCAAAAAAATGGCTGAAATCGCCCGAATTTTTGCGAGAAAAAACGCGTTTTTCGATGGAATTTCGAAAATTTCGTCTACCAATCATTTTTTCAGCTTCATTAAAATCAACTCCAGCAAATTTTGGCAATTTTCAACCGAATTTTTAATTTCGAGTTGGTGAAATTCGAAAAATTCACAAAAATTTTGGAAATTTTTGACTAGTTTTGGTCATTTTTGGGTTTCGTCGCCGAAATTTTGAGATTCTCACTTCAAAAATTTGAATTTCGCAAAAATTTTCGCTGAAAAAAAAATGAAATTCAAATTTTTGAGTTTTCTCTTCAAAAATTGAAAATTTATTCAAAGACTCGCCGATTTTTAAAATTTGCGAAACAATTTTGAAGATTTTCAATTCGAAAATTTTGAATTTCAAATATTTTCCGTTTAATTCGCCGATTTTTTTTCGCAATTCTGCCCATTTTGAAATTTTCCGTTCGAAAATTTTAAATTGGCGGGCAAAATTTTTGAATTTTGAAGATTTTCCGTTGGAAAAATTCTTAATTCGAAATTTCTTCAAAAATTTGCCGATTTTTTTCGCTGAAATTTTGAGATTCTCACTTCAAAAATTTGAATTTCGCAAAAAATTTTCGCTGAAAAAAAAAATGAAATTCAAAATTTTTTTCAAAAAATTGAAAATTTCTTCAAAGACTTGCCGATTTTTAAAAATTGCGAAAAAAAAATTGAAGATTTTCCGTTAAAAAATCGCCAATTTTTGAGATTTTCGAAAAAAAATTCGAATTCGACCGAAAAATCGTCAAATCATTCATTTTTGTTGAAAAAATCTCGATTTTTTCGTGATTCGCCGAAATTTTTCAAATTTTCAGCCAATTTTGCTCCAAAAAAAAAAACAGAATTCTCACCTGCTCCTTTAAAATATTGTTGAGAAGCTCTCGTCCAAAATGCGCGTAAAATCCCTCATTTCCAGGATTTCCTGAAAAAAAAATGAAATTCCAAAAAAAAACTGCTTCTCGCCAACCGGGAATCATCAGAATCACAACGCGATTCTCCGCTGCGCCCAAATTCGACACCATGGTGCAATTCTCGCCAACGTCTTCGCCCATTATCTGTGAAATTCGTCAACAATGCTATTTTTTGTGGGGGAAGGGGGTCAAAACCGAAATTCTCGTCATTTTTCCCGCAACCGGCACCCATTTGACGATTCGCTGAATTCGATTCGAGCTCATTCGGAAAAAAACGAAATCGAATAGAGAGAGAGAGAGAGAGAGAAAAAAATTGCGAAACCGGTCATTTTTACCACGGAAATTCCACAAAAAAATGACACCGCGATTGAAATATCAAAATTTATTCGAGAAAAATAAATTAAAACAGCAAAATTGTGGATTATTGAGCGTCTCCTGCAAAAAGCTCAATTCTAATTGGCCATAATTGGCGTCAGAAATACCTCGTCTGGCGATCATTCGATTCCAGCCGCCTCGATCCGGATCGAAATCTTTTCGGTACTCATCGCGGACCTGAAACACCCAATTTTTGCATGAAACTTTTCACATTTAAATAAAATTGCAATTTAAATTGTTTATATATTGTTTTTTTTTAAATATATCCGGGGGGCGACTGCTGTAGATTTACGGGAACGCGTCTTTCGAAATGGTCTCGCAAGGACTAACAGGTTACTTCAAATTTTATGGACCGGTTCGATAATTTTTTAATCGAATAATGTTGGAAATTCAAGGAAATGCGAAACTCGTCATGAAAAATGAAGTAGTTCACGTGAAAACAGCAAAATAGGCATTCACGCGTGGCGAGACCTTTTCAAGGCGCATGCGCGTAAATCTACCCGCGTACAGCAGGACGCCCCGGACGCCGACTATATAAATGCCAGGTAATTTGTAAATTTGAATCAAAATTTGGCGATTTTCAGCAAAAAAAAATTTTTTTTCAGGAATTTCCCAATTTGCTACCTGTCCTCCATGCTTTCCTCTACCATATTGCCTTCCTTCAACAAATCCCGCGTCCCAGTCGGCGCGAATCACACGATCATCCAATCTCGTGTTCGATATATTATTAAGAGCAATTTCGGCGTCCTCGCGTGTATAATACCTTCAAAAATTCAATTTTAGAACAGAAATGATTAAAATGTCTTAAAAATCCAAAAAATAAGCTAGTTTTTGCGCAGGAAAAAATAAACGCACTCGACAAAGCAGAATCCGCATGGCGTCTTTTTGAATCGATCCAATCCCATGATGACTCGGCGAACGTCGCCAGCACGCCCGAAAAGCTCATAAACCTGATCCTCTTTCGTATAATACGACAAATTTCCAACATATAACGTTGTTGAGGTTCGCAGCGCGTGCTCTTGATCGCGAAGGGTGCCCTGAAATGAGATTTCGATTTTCTGGAATTGAGATTCAAAAATAATTTCGAAATTTCGCCATTTAGAAATAACATTCCCAAATAATGCCTTTGAAAATGCGATGTAAACTTTTTCCAATTTATTTGAACAATTAAACGTTAATATATCCATAAAAAATTTCCTCTAATTCATTTTTTTTTTTTGAAATATTGCTAAATTTTTCAATTTTTTCACCTGAAATCGCTGATCGCGATATGCACTGATATCATGCGGTTGATCCAACACCCGCGGATCGAAAACCATTCTGAAAAATCGCAAAAATTAGCGAAATTCGAAAAAAAAATGATTTTAAAAATTCGAAACTAGAAATACGCCAACCGAATTTAGCGTGCTCACAAAATACGTCAGTGATAGCCTTTGTTGGCGCAATCCTAAAATCATCATTTTTTTGCGAAATCGAACCAAAACAAATGATTTCTCATAACTCCCATTTGAATTTCCAATGGTATTCAATTTAAAAATTATCGAATTGATTTAAAAAAAAAAGCAAAATAACTAATTGGTCCGCGTGAAACAAAGCGAAATTGTGTAACAGTCGCCCCGGACGCCACCGAATTTTTTTTATTTTCTATTTAAAATAGTTGATTTGATTTTTTTAAGGATTTTATGCAAAAAAATACTCAGAAAACTGAAAAAAAAATCGATGGCAAAAAATCTACAGTAACCAGTTTAAAGGCTCATGTGCCATTTCAAAGAGGGTCTCGTATAAGTGAATTACTGTAATTTCTAATTTATACGATTGTTTGTCTAAAAAAAATTCAAAATTTCTCTTTTCTTTTCAGAATTTCATCATGAGCGCACGAAAATCCCAAAAATAAATGGGTGGTGGTGAAGCCTTGCCTGAAATTCCTCGCTGCTCCTTTGAAAACAACATGATACTGTAAGATTAAAAATAAATGATTCATGTAATCAATAAATTGAAATTTGTCGAACCCTGGAGTGACCAAAAAAAGGCGAAAAAGAAAGAAAAACGAGAGAAAGAGGAGGGAAAAAAGAAATGAAGAAGAAAATGAATAAAAAATGGAATCAATAAACAATAATTAAATGACAACAACGTGAAACGAACCGACAACAACAACAACACCAAAAATGGGCAAAAACAAATGAAAATGAATAAAAAGAAGAAGAAGAAGATGATGATGATGAAGCTCTAAAACGTGTCCATTATTTACAATTCATTTCGATTTTTGCCATCGACACATTCTAGTCGATTATGCCGCGCATGATTTTCTCGTAGCACAAACGCGCCAACTGCGCCGAAATCTCTTTTCCCGTCACGTAGGTCTTGATTGGAACCTGCACATCAAAACATCAATAACATTAATTTCAGGGTTTTTTTTTTGCAATTCGATTTTGATTCATTGAAATACAAAAAAAATAACTCAAAAATCCCAAAAATCGCTATGCAATTTTAAAAATATCCAAAAAAAAACCTCGGCCACGGCCACATTTTTCTATTAAATTGCTCACAAATAGGAATCACAATAGAAACAATTGCAATCGTAATTGAAAAACTTGGATTAAAGAAAATCAAATCGTTACGGTTAAAGGCGCATTAAATGATGAATTTTCAAGATTCTTGCAGCGATTTCAATTTTTTTAAATCTGCGGTATTACATTCGCAAAAAAATAAGCACCATGTGCCGATTTAGATGAGCAGGTTATTCAAAATACGGTATTCGAAATCCCACTGTTTAACTTCGAATTTGAATTACCGCCTCGAAAAAGTGCAATGGTCCATAATTATCAAGGTGATCGTTTTATTTTGCAATATTGGGCCTTAAAAAATGTGGCCGTGGCAGAGGTTTTTAGAGTTCTTTCTGCAATCTGCATTTCCGTTTTTTTTTAATTTCACGAATATGCAAACAAATTCTTTTCTTTGTGAGAAAAACGCAATTTTGGAAATTTTCTGAAAAAATTGTCATCTTTCTTGATTTTCCTTTATAGTCATTAAATTAATAAGTCTTTTTAAAACTTTTCTCAAACAATGAGCCAATTTTTAAGAATTTCATCAAGCATTGCTCAAAAGATCTCATTTCCTACTAAAATTGAGCATTTTCCAATAATAAAAGTTATAACTGAACATAAAAATGGTCGATTTTCGCAACAAAAAAATTATTTTTGTTTCTAATCAACACATTTTGCGTTTTTCATCGATTTTAGAATAAATTGGCGGAAAAAATTTGTTTATTCCTCAAAAATTTGATTAGCTCAAAATTTCGAAGCCAAAATTTTTTTGAGAAAACAAAACAAAAACATTTTCAAACCTTTACAGCAACCAATTGGCGCAATTTGTACATCGATTCAAGAGTTCCACGTGTCGAGACAAGAAGTCGAACTGAAATATGCATGTTTTCACGATTTGCTCATAGTACTATGAAGATTTCGCCAAAAATGCATTAAAAACTCTTAAATATCCCACAGATTTTGGGGAAAAAAACTCGTTTTTAGCGGGTTTTGAATTTTTCTCCAAAATTTGTGTGAAAAAAAAATGCCGAAATATGTTTGTTTTCAATTTCGAAACATTTTTTCAGCCCGCAATTACGGTTATTCGCTGAGAAGGTCCCAAAACGAAGACTCACTGTTACTCCTGCCGTTTTCACCACTCCTCATCACTTTCTCCATGTGTCTCATCGAAATCTCCTCAACACCGGTCACTTCTTTCAGCTTCTTCTGCACCATGAGACGATCGCAATCAGCTGAAAATTTTCATTTAAAAAACATATAATGGCATTAACTGAAAAAATGGAATTTTTCTCAAAATCTGATGAAGAATTGAGGGTTTCGTCGAAAAATCTCAAATGATGTTCAACGGGGCCCAAGAATCTCTATTAAATACACGAATAGACCAATTACGGATGAAATTTTCAAATTTTTGCAAAAACCGCCCGATAATACTCATTAAATTACTTTTTTGGCGGGAAAAACAGTATTCAAAATGAAATTAAATGGAAAATTTTTTGATTACCTACCCGGAAGCTCAATGACAAACGGCTCGTTCTCTCGGATGATCGTTCGCACCGTTATCGTCGGATCCGTCGACACCGGCAACTCCTCGAAGCGCAAATTGAACAAAATATTGTAGTAGGTTTTGAGGGCCGACTAAAATCAAGGGACCATTAAAATCGGCGTATTTTTTCAGCAAAAACAAAATCGAAATTCAAGATTTCAGGAGAAAACAGACCGTCAAAAAACCTTCTTTTTCATTACGTAATTTTTGCGACAAAATTGCCATTTCCTGCCAATTTTAAGAGGCTCATTGTCAAATTTTTTGGACGAATTAATTCGAGAAAAAAAAGAAACATGAACGAACCGTATGAATCGGTATCCATTCGCCACGCATGAACACCGACGACAAATTGAGCGATCGGAATGAGATGTTCGACAATTTTCGGAATCGTCGCGAAGCGAGAAATTCAAGAAATTTGACTGTCTGAAAATGACAAATTCACAAACTACAATATCCATCAAAATTTACAAAATTTATTCAAAAATCGATTGTGAAATATAATTTTTGCGCTTTTTATTAGATAAACAATCATTTATCGATAATATCTTTTCAAAATTCAACTTTTAAAGAAAATTATATTTGAAAATTGCTAAAGGTCTGCTAAATTGTGTCCAAAAAGCGGAAATTTACATTTTATTAAAGAAATCAGATACAAAGGTATCATTAATGTGAAATTAAGTAGAATAAAAAATTTATTGCAATTTTTTCGTTAAAAACTATCAAAATTTCAGAATTTTTGTTGATTTTCAACAAAAAATTGAAAATTTGGCAATTTCTCCAAAAAAAAAAGACGAAAACCCCCACCATTTTCGATTTCTCTCGTTCCGGTATCGCATCTTCCGGCTCAAACGTGTCATCCTCGATTTGTTGAATGTACGTTTTCTCATCGATCTGAAGACGAAAAAAAAGCAAATTGAAAAATGTTTTTCGACAAAACGCAAAAACTCAACACAAACTTGCATTGCTAATTAAAAATTCTACCAAAACATTCTCAAAATTTGGGCCTAAATTTAGGCCGTTCCCGAAGAAACAATAATTCGTGGCACAAGAACGAATCACTCAGTGAGAAGCTCTTCATCGCCGCCAATTTGGCAGCTAGAGCCTTCTGTCATCGCGGTAATTCGGTCCTTCGCAAGGGGGGCGCCGTTCACCCCACAATCCTCCGGTAAATACCGAATTTTCAGTCAATTCCCGCGGACATTAACAACATTTTTTGTAGAATTTGAAACAAAAACCGCAATTTCAAACCACAAAATTTTGTCGATACCTTTTCGAAAAATGCTCCAGCATTGCCGTCGACCGATGCGAACTGCCTAGTGGCGAACAAGACGAACAACAACGCAAAATGGTGCTGTTTGATGGCGCCATCGAACAATTTCGACACTTTGGCCCATTGATGGCACAAGAAAAGCACTTCGTGAAGGCCTGAAACGACCCAGAATATCAAAAAAAAAATGGCAGAAAAATTCGAATTCTTTGGAAATTTTATGGTTTTGAGAGAAAAAAATTGAATAATTTTTCAAGTAAACAAAACCGAAGTTCCGAATCATTTTTGCAAGTTAAAAATCCCTGAAAACGATAAATAAATCAAAATTTCAGAAAAAAACACTTGAATTTTAGAGAAAACAAAGCAAAAAATCAGACCTGGATACTTATGAGTGTACATTTTCAAAATTTCAACTGCTCTCCGCGCTTGTCCATTTCCAACTTCGTCAAATTTGCAAAATTCTTCAAACTCGGCACCATTATCGATAAGATACTGTTGCCGATGACTGTCAAGCATCTGAAAACATGAAGACTGTATATGGTCCCAACAACACGAAGATGGGCCCGTACCGCAAACAGCGGATTCGAGCTCGTCATTATCGAACTCTCAGAATCCAGCGTCACTTGTTGCTTCACCATTCCGATGACGTCATACACGGTCCAGGCGAACGAGAGCTTCTTGTTTTCACGCGTTTTTTTCGCCTCTTCTGAAAAAAGAAAACGCACAATCTCTCAGCGAAAACGATGATCGATTGAAACGGTCCAAATTAAAATTTTTCACATGAAAAAAAAACCTACAACTTAATCAAATTCGAAGTGTTTCATCATATAATATGTACTAGAAAGGTTGAAATGGAATGAAAAAATCGATAATTTGCTCAAAAATTGCTTCTAATTCCAGAATTTTGAACAAGGTATTTTCTAAAAATTCCATTTTCGTCAAAAAAAAATTAATAAACATTAATAGATCGTAAAAATTCGTCAGATCACCTTATGTCATTCGAGACAGGTGATGAGAGACTGCTGGAAGGGTCTCAAAACGAAAACGCTACTATAACAAATTCCTTTTGTCGAAATAGATTTGGAAAAAAGCAATTCCGATTATTTCCAAATTCGTGTCAAATTAAATTCTGACGCAATTTAAAGGCACATGAGAAAACATACCGTAGCACGCTTTGTACCACGCGACCGCCTTCTTCATCATATCGGCCGTCGGGCTTTTGCACTGCCTCTGAAGAATGTTGCTCTCATCATTGGCACGAGGTGTCGCTTCCGTATGTGACATATAGCCGCCAAATTCCTAAAAAAAATGCATACAAACAATTTTTGGCTAAATTCTTGTAAATTGAGAAAATATGTAATTGAGAAAACGGAAACATTTCAGCAGCTCTCCGAACCCTTTCAAATTCACATTCATCACGAAACTCGGTACTTCAAAAAGGTTTCAATAGTTTCTCTTCAAAATCAATCATTTTCAGGTGAAAAATCGAACAAAATGAGTTTTTAAAAAAATCGCTTCAAGAAATTCTGTTGGAAATACCGTTGTTATCTCGCACCTCAAAAAACGACTCCCTGAATCGTTTAAACAAATTTGTGATTTTCGTCTCTATCATCTGATTCGTATTGTAGAACGACATATCATCTTGGTCTTTGTCGGAAATTCGATTCCTCATATCGACAATGCAACCGGAGAAGATCTCGCCTTCCGTTCGAATCCCGTAATTCTCCATGATCGACTGTAAACCAACAAAATTCAACGTTTTGATATTAAAATTCCCGAAAATGCGAGAATTACATTTCAATTCGGCGAAAAGTGCAATTTCTAATAAATTCGTTCATCTCAGATCAGAATTTTACAACAAAACAAAAAATCTCTGATTTGACCAACTTTCTTTTGGAAATTTCTTCACAATTGTGCTCACCCGAAGCTGTGCATTATAGCGCGCCAAATTCTCCTTGGCATTCATCATATACTTCTCGAATCCGTCGATATAAATTGTCTCATCGATCGTGATCTCAGTCTGCTCGTCGCGCTCCTCCGAAATCTTCAAAACATCGTCAATCGCTTTGAATTCCCTGCAAAAATCTCATTTTTGTTTCTCGGCGAAAAATGACCAAACGTTACCTGAACAATTTTCCGCACAGCCTCGGACTAACATACATGGGCATATGATCATTGCCCATATGATAGTCGGGAACACGTTCGGCTCGTTCCGGCGGTATCAATTCATTCGTTACGGGATCTGGAAACCGGATTATTTCAAAAACAATGCAAAACTTCCATATTTTTCCGTTACCATTTCTCCATCGTGTGTTCAACGGCTCCGGCGGTTGTCCCGATTTCGTAAAATCGACGGCTTGACAATTTTTCTTCGCCAAATCCATACAAACCTGAAAAACGGACAAATCTAGACCGATTTCAATTTAAAAGGTCATTTTTTGTTCGTATTTCATCCAAAAGTCCACAGTTTTCCTATATTTCATACTCTCAAACTCCCAAAAAATGGCTGAAAACCAAACCCTAGCATTGAGCCCATATTGATCCGAGCAATGTAAATGATTGTTCGAAATCGTTCCAACCGAGTCCAACGTCAGGTATTCCACATAGAATTTTCGCATCAAATCGTCCTGAAATTCACAAATTCTGTTTATTTTGAGATTTCTGCAAGCCATGTGCCTTTAATTAGAAAATCAATGAAACTTACAAAAAAAAACTAGATAAAACGGGTTTTTTCTACAATTCGCTTATAATTTACTTTTTTTCTAAAAACTGAATAGGATTAAAAGCCATAGAAGCTTCAAAGCAACAAAAAAAGAGAAACTCACAATTTTCCTCTCATCAAACGCGACCTTCTGCTTCTCTGAAGTGAAATCAAACGGCTCCTCATTGTGGTCTAAAAGCAGCTCCGAATCCCATATCACCGAGTACTCGTCGCCGTCCAAATCGGAGCCGGCCATCTCGTCGGGATGCGGTCGTGGCCCGTGCTGCGGGAACACGACGACGTCGCACATGTGATGGAGTTCGGGAATGTCGACGGCCTCGAACACACGAACATCGCCGGAAACGATGCACGGATTCTTCGTCAGAAGCACTTTGCCTGTAAACATTCTAGCATTTTCCCCCGACTTCTCGGTGAAATTCTTAAAAATTGACAATAATTTTAAAATATCAGCTAAATTTTAAAGTCTGGCTCATCATAAAAAAAAGTTTCTACCTTGCAAAACCTGTCGGGCAGCGTGCGGCGGCGGCAATTTCAACGCCAAATTCTTCGTGTACTGCACAAAAATCTGTCCGTACTGCAATCGGCCCGTCTCATCGACGACACCCAACAGCGATCTGCCGAGCTCGTGCGGAATCGGAATCTGCTCTTTTCGAAGCTGTTTGGCTGAAAAAAAAGAATAACCGACGCGTTGAATTTTATTCTCAAAATTGAGTTCCCCCCAACTAATCGAAAATTTGATCGACGCTTTAATGAGACTTCTGAAGAACGGCTCGCTCGACAACGTGAATCCATACGTCGTTTTCAGAACATCGACGTCAACCCGCCTCGGAAGTTCCTGAAAATCAACAAATTTTCAGGAAAAAGATTGCCAAAAATGTTTTCTTTTAATCAAAACCTTTAAACGATTCCTGCAATGCGTCTCATCGACAACTTGCTGCGCGAAAAGAAACATCTGACGATCAAGGAGTTCTTCGATTCGATTTGTTACTCGTCGATGACATTCAAGCGATTGCATTTCGGACACCTTCAACTCAATCCGTCTTTGAATATTTCTATTCACAAAATTTCAATTAATTTGTCCAATTTTAATAACAAAAATTGAATTCTTGAAGAATTAAATGGTCGTGCGCCTTTAAACATGATCTCAACAACGAACCTGATCAAGAATATTAATAAACGGCTTATTGAGAGCCACTGGAACCGGCGATGAGTATTTCACAATTTCCACCTGATCTTTTGGATGGCGTTTCGAGATGAACCTTTAAAAAAAACAGAAAAATAAATTCATGAGGCGAGTTCGCGGCAAACTTGATTTGACTCGGCCTAAACGCGCAATTCAATTCCCATTTTCGGTCGTCATCGGGCGTCTGCATCTGATTCCGAAGCGCCCAACGGCGAATATCATCGAGAAGCGGCTCAATGGCGATCACACCTTTCATTCCGCGAAATCGAAACTACAACAGAAAATAGAGCAAATGCCCACAAATTGAAAATTTCGTGATTCCAAAAAACCAATTTTCGTAAAAAATAAAAACACGAAAAAGCAGAGGAAGAACTTCGAAAAAATCGAAAAAGCCTAGATTTTCCTCCAAAATTGCTGTCATTTGCTTACTTGAAAACAACTCGGCACGCCTTTTCCAAATTCCATCACAACCGACACTTTTTGCGCGAATTTTCGGCTCATTAAGCCAACTCCGTCGGAAAATGTGAATTCATCACTGAAAAATGTCATTTTCGCGTTAAAATTCTACCATTTACGCTCAAACCCTTTCGAATTCTTGCCACCCGTTAAATCGAACGTCGTAATATAAGTGTGACGCTCCAAATCGACACCGGATAGCTGAAAGTTGCAATTTTAGGGAAAGTCGGAAAAAAAATTGTAAAACTGCTCAATTTTCGATCAAATTCCACACAATTTAACAAAAAAAACATTTCTGTCAAAAAAAAAAAACAAATGAAAATCTTCATATTTTAACATCGAAAATACATTTTAAGAAATAAAATCGAAATTTTGCCCAAAAAATCTCACGTCTTTTCACAATCGACTCAAAAATTCTAAAAACGCCACCGTACCCGACTCTGCGTGAAGCACTGCCCAAGACGTGCCATCATTTTCGGAATATTGTCAATCTTCTCGAAACGGCCCAAATTTTTGCGAGCCTCCTGAATTTTTGGATTGAACGTCAACGACGGCGGCTGGTTGTTATGCTCCTTTAAATAGTCGCGATATTGTGCTGATGAATATCTACAAGGAGAGAGATTTCATGCGAAATTTTTCGCAATATGCCAACTTCTCCATAAAATACGCTCCGTTATCTCTCATTTGCGAGTTCGAACTTCCCAGATAGCCGAATGCTCGTCCGGCGATCGTCACACCGTCTCGCAAATAACGATCGACCGTTTTCTCGAGAATAACCTTCGATGTCTTGCTCGTTCGCATTTTTGTGTTGTCATCGTCACGGAAGGTGATTCTGAAATCAATTTTTTGTTCTCCAAAAAAATTTCCATAGTTTATTTTGAAAATTTTAAATCCCACCACAATTTTTACCAAAAACCAATTATTAACTAATTAATAGCATGCACTAACGTATAGTTTCTTAAAGTAAAATTTGAATTATTTGCTTAAAAACACCATTATCAAACTAATAGGGAAATAAAATAGCTAAAAGCATTGTATATGATAATTAAGCCAACAAAACGCCAATTCAATAACGCGGAAATTAAATAATAACGTAAGAATATTTACAATTATTCCTGTGAAAACGTCAATTAACAGAGAGTAAATTCAATAGTTCACTTTTCAACTTCGCCATCTTATTTAAGCCACTAATCACTTATGGCAATTATCACACCTCACTAATTATCTTTATTATCCCTAGCAACAAACTAGGGATCCCAAAAATTGGCTACGGGGTCTTAGGAAAGGCCCGCGATGAATGTTTTGTTGAACGACTTGCGAGTGTCCCGCAAGCGAGGCGGCCAAACACACGTGCCGACATTTTACGGGTCTCGCCCCCATTTATCTTTCGCACGCGATGGGCGGGGCGCAACAAAGAAAAGCGACGTACATACGCGCTCCATCGCACAAATCCCCTCCCCAGTAAATTTCAGCGTTGTTTCGATTCATATCAAGACACCTACCGTAATACACGAGTTCCATCATGATCGTATCGTCTCAACACACGATTTCCCATTAGCGTTTCCGGCGCAACATAGATTATTCTAGTTGGCGTGAAGATGATTTTACGGACTCGCTGATAACCTTCGCGCATCTCCTCACGTGTCAGACCATTCACAAGGCTATTCTTCTCACGCGTGCGACAAATTCGATCAAAACACTACAAAAAAGGAATACAGATTAGCTCAAATTGTTCAAAAATCTCACTTTAATCAAACTTCCTACTCGTTTTCTTCCATCAATCATATGCACAAGATCCTCTAGACCAGCTTCGCATAGCTAAAAAAACGATTTTTTTCAATTCTCCACTAAAAAACAAAACATTTCCACCAACCTTGTCATCTTTTGAGCAATAATGAAGAATAACCTCGAGGAATCGATGCCACACGAGCTCATCGAGAAGAATCTGATCTTTGACGACGGCGCCGCGCGAAAGAAGACATTCGATGAGGTAGGTGATGGCGAATTTGCGTTCGCGGTTCGTGTCGACTTCGCGCGAGCCGCTCACCTCGTTCTTCTTCGGAAAAGCCTTCAAAATTGGTATTTTTGAGAAACATAAAAGCAAAATTTCCGAGAAATTAATTTTTTAAAAATCATTTCTCTATCAAAAGAGCTGAAATTTCTGTCCCTTTCGGCTTAAAAAGATCTGATTTTTAAAACTAAAAAATCTAAAAACCGCTAAAAGCTGAAACTCACTGTTGCTATGAAATCTCGATAAATCGGCGCCGTGAAGCTCGTCGGCGAATCATAATTTCCGCTTCCATTCAGCGTCCATCGATGATACGGATTCTCGCGCCAAATTAGGCAATCAATTGACTGAAAATACGTTATCTAAAACTTTTATTTTGAAAATCGAATTACCGGCATCACGGCAAATTCAATCGAGACGCCAGTGCGGAATCGAAGACGAGAAACGAGACGATAAATGAGGCAAAGCTGAAAATTCGTTAAATATTTGATTCTGGATGCTAATTGATATGCATTTCGCGATTTTAAAGTCAATTATTGCCATTTCCTGGATTATTCATAAAATTGCAAAAATTTAAGCACTGTTTTAGCCCGAATATTTTCAAAGTTTGAAAATTTCAAGATAAAGTTTTAAACTTTCGGAAATTCGCAAAATTTCAATGAAAAATCCATTTCAAAGCTGTCATTTTTTTTTCGATTTAAAGCAATTTTGTAATGATTTTGAAATAAAAAGTCGATTTCAGCTATATTGTCTTCAAAAAAAAAAGTTGAGCATATATTTTGCTCAGCTTCTAGGCTAAATTCGAGCCAAATGATCAATTTTGGCATAATTCTCGTGCAAAAACTAGATTTTCTCTCAAATTCCTCCAAATAAATTCAAAAAATTCACATCAACAGTGGTGTCGAATTCAATAGTGAACACGGGACTATCAGAAATCGCAAGAGCCGTCGGAAACTGATTCTCTCGTCTCCCTCGATTAATTGTCAATCTTCTCTTAAAAACGGGTATAAGGTGCTTCTGTGTCTGCAAATAAAATATATTCAGCTTCTAAAAAATTCATCAATTTCCCATACAGCAAGTTGTTTATCCGTGAAAAATCCTCGCCGAATAAGCACCGGACAATTCAACTCGAAATGAATGCGATATCGATTCGTGCCGAACTGGTCCGTTACACATGGGTCCATAATAATCCGACGGATCGACGTTCGTCTCACCTATATGGATAATATCAATAATTTCCCAGGAAAAAATCGCCAAAAATACCGTAATTTGGTAGAAGGACGTGACGTTTTGGCGAACTTCTTGGACTTCTGAAAATACGAAGGAAATAATATAAAATAATGCCCGAGTTTACCCATTTTCTCCTTCTGTCTGAAATGAATCATGAGCAGATCGGATTTGTCAAACTCGAAATCGCAATAAATCTGATTGAGGCCCGCTTTCTCAATGGCTTCTCGCAATATTCCACCTCGTCCATATCGAGATTGAGCTTCTTCCCAGAACGAGACCTTCAACAAAAATCAATATTTTTTGAAATTATGATCTGCGGACAATTTTTGAGCTTCTTATAGGATCAACATTCCGAAGAACATTCACAAGGCTATAGAAAATTAGCTAAATGCTAAAATTAAAAAATATTATTAAATGAGCTCTAGAAAAAATCCCCTTTTCAGGGTAAATCTAATTGGAGCTATCGTGAATACAAAAAAATTTTTTTCCTAAAAAAATCTCAATTTCCAATCAAAAATGCGAAAAATTAAACTTGCTGAAAATTTCACTGATTTAAAATTTCGAATTTTAAAGCTTAAAATTAGTAAACACATAATTCCGCTCCAATTTTTTAATAACTTCGTAAAAAATGTTTGGAAATCAGGATCAAAAAGAAATTTTGTCCCAGCCAATTTGCTTAGGCTTCGAGAAAAAAAAATGATACGGACACAATTAGACGGAAAACAATTATTAGGCCAAATTTCAATTGGCGCGCGTCAAAAATATTTTTCGTCAAAATTCTGCCAAAAATTACCTCCCAATGATTGATAAATGTTCCGCCTTGTATATTTCCGAAGTAAAATGCCGACAATGGGACATTTGCCTCGTGACACATGAGCTCTGATGACCAGAAGTCGGAGCTATGCAGAACGAGATTGCCACGTTGGAATGGCATGAGATTCTCCTAAATTTGATTCATAATCATTTTCTGATTATTTTTTGCCGAAGTTACCCGATTGATGGCGGTAAAATAGTCCCGTAGCGCATTTAGAAGCCGCGAATCGAAATGATGCGATTTCACCTGGAAATTTCAAAAAGAATTTGATCAAACTTTATAATTTTCGCACAAAAATTCTGAAAATTGGCTCTTTTAAGAAAGCATTTCGAATTTTGCTTTTAACTCGACACCATAAAGTACCAAAATGTATGTCTTTCAAAAAGGGTTTGATAAAAAATGGTTGTTTTATACACTTTGAAACCACCATGGAAGAATTTATAATAAATAAAAAATTTCTAAGAATTTATATTGATGTTTAGTTCAAATTCTGCAATATCGCAATTATCGGCTTATCCAAAACTATTTTTTATTTGATTGAAATCTTTTCTTGGAAATTTCACAATTCTAATTTTTAGCTACAAATTCAATTTTTGCCGGAAAAAAGCTCCAAACAAAAACCTCATAGTTGATTTCATAATACGGCTCGCAGTCTTGTTCCTCAACAGTCTGCGTGGCACTCTGCGAAGCCACAAAGATATCATAAGGTCGAAGTGCCTAAAATCTGCAATACTTCGAGAAATCCCACAGATTAACAAACCGGCTCCAATGAATTCGTTTGACATGACAAAATATAGGCCATCCGTTCTTTGACGGCCACGGAGAACGGAATTTCGAGTTTAATCCATCCCCGAAACCCCCAATTATCGTCGCCCATTATCAGAAAATAACGCGGCTTGAATTAATTAATTGCCAACTAAAACTTTGATGTGCCAAAATTATTATTGATAATCTGAAATGAAAAAAATGTTTACTTGGCCGAACAAAAAATTGCGGCCATCGCTAAAAACTCATTGATATCGTCATATTTTTTTTTGGTAAATTTAAAAAAAATTTCGCGAGAAAAACCGGAAATTTGCACGATGTCATCCAATGTTATCAATGTAAAACAAAAAATCATGTTGCTAAGGCCAGAAAATACCACTTTAAATCGATTATCAAATTTTTGTGTGATTCACGATTTTTTTTCAGCGATATAATGATAGATAACGATTAAGAACATGCGTTTCTGAAACGGAAGATTTAAAACAAAAAACGACAAGGAAAAAAGTGATTTTATTAATATCTTCCAAAAATTTTCGAACTAATTTCACCTAGAAATCACTGCCTATAATCGATTTCACAATAATTTCACTTTTTTATGGAAAAAGTTCAACAAAACTCGATAGAACCTATTAAAATTTGAAGAAATGAAAATCCTTTTAAAAAAAATTCAAAAAAAATTACCGTAGTGCAATTTTCTAGAAATCGCCGCAGGATATCGCTGAAATTTTTCGGCGTGCGCCTTTTTTTAAACATACTGTAGTTCATTAACGATTTTATTCTTTTTTGGCATGAAAATTGCACCAGAAAAGTCGGAGGGAAAAAAAGCCGAAATGGTTTTCAATGGGACCGTTACAATGTACAAACGTGTAAACCCGTTTCGGAAAAAAAAAACAGAAGAAAGTGCTAGAATGAACAAAAAAAAAAATAACAGAGAAACAAGAAGATGATTGCATCTTTTCTTTTCACATGAGCCATTTACACGAATCGTCTCCTAATCGTAAAGCGAGCACCCGTATGCCCAATTTTTGTGTGGGTGTGTGTGTGTACAAATTTGCTCAGCAAACCGCTTCAGCGAGCTCAATTAGCGGCTCCAAAACCGGCTGGAATTTGGCACGCTGTCCCGAATTGCGGCGATCGCGCGATTCGTCCATCGGATTCGGCTCGTGCTCGGGGCTCGGCGGTCTCGGCTGAATCGCCAAATTCAAATAAACGTCGGGAAGAAGATTGTCGGGTTGCGCCTCGTCGCGCACCAGCCGCACCGATCCGCTATTCTCTTTGACGTTCTGAAAATGATTGGAGAATAGTGTGTGAAGCGCTAGCTCGCGTCGCCTACTTGTTCAAACGCGATTAATTGCCGCCAAAAGCACAAATTCGGACGCACCATCGGCCGCTTTGACTTCATTAGATGATAGGCATCGCGAAGGCTTCGACATCTGCAAAACAAAACATTTTGCAAAACGCCCTTTGAGAGTGGTAGTCGAGTTCGAAACCATGACGTGTCGCGCGTCAGTGGGCAGCACAACCCACTGCACCACAATCACCACTCTTCGGTTAAATGCGAGCGCCATATACTTGTACTCTGAAATAGCTCACCTGTACTTCAACAGGAAGGCCAAACAAATCGAAGCGGATCTCGAGACGCCGGCGACGCAATGCACAAGAACTTTGCCACCATCAGCGATAAGAGCCTGAAGCACACACACATACATCAATTGTTTCAGCGTGTTCACGTGCCGCCCGATTTCAGTCTTTAATCATAGGCACCGCGTGACGCATTTTTTTTTGTTTTTCTTCCGATAACGCCACGGCGAACTTTGGAATCGCGAGCGAAAAAAAATTAAAAAAAGATTTCTACCTGAATTTGATCGGCTTGCAATTCCAAATGCGGATAAATGTACGTTTGCGGTGTGTCGTCGAGCCACAATTTCGTTCGCTGAATGTCGCCGAGACTCCGCAAATTCGGCACCTCCGTCGTCGCGTTGATGATGTGCGTGATTTTGTGCTTCTTCATCGTCTCGGCGCTCAACGCCGACACACCGCAAATGAAGAGTCCCGGCACGATTTCGCTGATCGCCGCGTATTCGGGATTCACGCGAAACGTGAGCGCCATTTTTCTGGAAGAAGCGAAAACGAAAATTAATTGACAAACAAAAACCAAAAATCAAAATTCGCGAGAGGCTCACTATCATCAAAAAAAAGAAGTGGTGTTCATTCACTAGCATACCCAAATAAGGGAAGGGGTCGTCCACATGTGATTCAATGATAAAAACGGGTGTTTTGCGACACCAAGTACAGCTGATGTCAAGGTTTTGTGGGCGTGTCTTCAGACTCCGCCCATTTGTTTTCTGAAGGCGATCGCGACGACGTCGAACAATTGATAAGCCGGGCTTACTATCGCAATTGATTGATAGAAGCCAAAAAATTAAAGTTTCGATTCGCAGGACGCAATTTCTCGTAAAATATGGTGTTTTGGTACGTTGAATCGGAAAACACGCCGATTTCAACAAAAAAATGAAACGAGTGTTTTTCAAAATTGCGGACCATTCCAATTTTTCGTGGCGGTAATTCAAATTCATAGTAAATCGGCGTTCTCAATTTTAAGCCAATTTTTTGGGTTTTCAAGCGATCTCAATTTTTCATCAAAATGTTTCGACACCAATTTTTTTTTATTCCTTATCAATATCATTTTCAGCGTGTTCTATGTACCATCGCTCAAAAAAAAAATAAAACAACAAATCAAAAGTTTTGTTTTAGTGTAACATTTTTGGCGGTTCGACGCCAACATCCGGTGAGCGAGCATGTGAGAAGCATGTGCGCTCCATTGCCAACTTGTTTTTGTTGGTGCCCGTCGACACGAAAAACAACAACAAAAACGAAATGGCACGTGAAAACTCGGACTCGTACCATTTTTGGGTGTTTGGTTTCACTCAAGCGAAATGGAAACGCCCCTCGGGAACGGAGAAGGGGGTCTTGAAAAAAAACTGGAACAAATGCCAATTTTTGGTCAAAATGGGTCTCGAAAATGTGGTTTTTATCAAAATTTTCAACAAAAAATTGACGGGTTGTCGCTTCTAGAAGGCCCCCGACTAACAAAACAGGTTCTTTCTTATCAGTTAGACGACAAAAAAAAGTTCAACAACGGTGTGAGGGGTCAACGAAAAAAAAGTCGCCAAAAACGCGTTGTTTGGCTTAAAATCGACGAACAATGCCGAGAAAAATCGAATGGGTGCTTTTGTTGCGAAAAAAAAACCACGTGAATCGCACGTGATTCATTATTGTTCTTCTTGGTGAGACGAAAACAAACCACTCGTGATGTGCGCCTTTAAAATGGTCCCACGGACGTGTCCGCTCTTTGCTCCTTTAAATTGGGTATCAAGTGGAATTCTTGATTGACACCCAACCTCGTTTTGAGCGGCTTAATTCGATGACGACACATTTAAAGGAGCATAGATGAAATTTAAATAAATTGGAAGGAAAGCTCAAACATCAGGGGAAGGGGGGGGGGTGACGGAATTTTCTAGAAGGATTTCAAGGCGCACAGCAAGCAATTTAAAGGCGCATGGGCTAATCGAGTAGTTTCTCAACGAAAAGCGCCTGACTGAGGGAAAAGCTGAAAATCGCGTGGCTCGTGATACACACACCAACCAATTATCGCGTGATATTGACTATTACCAATGACTATTATATGTATAATAAATTATGCTCTATATAGTTAAATACATGAGAGCGATGGATGAAGCTGACCGTTGTCGGCGAATTGGAATGCTCCGGCTGCAGCAGCAGCAGCAGCAGCTTTTCCTCCTTCCCCTCCCCTTCCCCCGTTTCTTCTTTGCATGTGATGTTCACGTGAACGACCGCCGCGGCTTCTCCCAACACTCAGAAGAAGCAAAAAACAAGCGCGATTTGGATTCGATTCGAAAATTTTCGGCCAAAAATGTGGGTTTGAAACCTTAAAAGTTCAAAACTCCGCAAAAAAGTGCTTCTCTTATCGCATTGAATGATAAGAGAGGGGGTCTTTCGAACCGAATCACGGATTTCGTTCAGTGGAAACATCATTGGAATCGGATTTATAGGCAATTCAATTGGGAAAATCGCAAAAAAATGATCAAAAATGGTCGAGATTCTAGAAATATCTAGTATTTTCCGCAAAATATTGAATAATTTTTTGTTTAGGCAAAAAATTATTAAAGATTTTTCCTTGGTTTGGAATTGGGGTTATTTTTTTTAGATAAACTAAATCTTTGGCAACTCAAAATCAATCGGAGCTGACAAATTTTGGCTCCTGGATCAAAATCCGATCCAACTGGATAATATTGGAAAATTTTGGGATCCAATTGGTTTTTTTTTTTTTGAGTTTCCAGTATTTTTTATGGACCCAATGAAATTTTTAAATGAAATTCGACGATTTTGCGAATGAACGGATTCATTAATGCGAAAAATTATATATTCTTAATTTTTTCTACATTGACCCTTTTTGAAAGACAAAATTTCACGACTCGCTGTGGCCTAGAAAAATTGGTCGACTTCAAAAAACCAAAATTTCACGTGCGGCACACGATTTTCTTTTATTTCCACGAAATTGTGACTTTTAATTTGAGATTTAGTTTCTCAAATCCTAAAAACACGCAATATTCATTTAGTTCTACTTAACAAAATTAGCTAATATATCAAGTGTGGCCGTGGCCGAAAAAAAATGAGAAAATATTTTCTAGGCCATACGCGCTTTGCGACGAGCCGCGTGAGTTCTTTGGCAAATTTGACAATTCCGAATACTGAATAGTCCTATTAAATTTGAATATTTGATCCATCTATATTAAAATATCAGTTTTCATCCATAAATGCTAAAAATGAGCCTATAGTTCCATACAGGAAGCATAATACTTTCATTCCATGGATTATCCACATTGCTCACAACACTTGAACGTTGTCTTGACCAGAGCACAAAATGCAATTCGATATTTTCGTGGGTAAGTTCAAACGCTCAAAACTAATCACGAAATGATGGGCTCCCAAAGTGAGAAGAACACAGACAGACATCCGTCGAGGGGCAATATTGACAAAGTCCGTTTCAAAGAGCAACCATTCGGCTCGAAATTCACGTGAACATTTGAAGGAACGCCGATGGAGAGGAGCGGGGATTTCCCCCGGCCGTCAGCCTACGCAAGAGCTCTTTTTTGTTTGCTGTTTGAATTTTGAATGAATCACACAATTTCCTGGAGGGGCACACGCATATGCCAATCGCACCACGTCCGCTAGGGCAACAATAGTTGAGTGGGTTACATTTTTAGGCGCCGCGCACATGGTCGCAGGTTCGACATCGCATAGCGACAATTCTTTTTTGCGCGCGCTGCTTATCATTAATTCGCTTATAAGGTTCAAGATGAGTCCAAGAAAATATTGACGCCAACGTGCACTTGACCAAGTTTGTCGCAATGTCAACAATGGTTGTGTTGACATTCATGTGCGCATTGAATTGCCAGAAAAGATCAAAAGAGCGACCTTGAAACCCACCAACCAATTTTCGTCGTTCACTTTATTCTACAGATGTTCTCGAATCAAAACATGCCCGCTATTTGAATCAGTTTTGGAAAATAATCGAATTTTGGAGGTCTGAAAATACAAAAAAATGGAAAAATTCTGATTTTTGAGCAAAATGCTATTTTTAGCGACTTTTAAGCAGAAAATAACCATTTTGAACTTATTTTTTTAATTTAGCTAAAAAAACTACCTGTCAAAATTTTAATAATGAACGAGCGAAAGAAAATTCCATGAAGCTAGAAATGGCTGGCAAACAAATAAATGAAATAATAGATTTTTAATAAGAAAAATAGGAAAAATAAGCGTAATATTCACATAATCAAGCCGGACATTTATTTTAGGTGTCTTATACAAGAATTAAATGGTTTGGTAGATGATCGCGGCGCGCAGCACGTAATAGTGCGAATTTAAATTGCCGCCAAGCAATCGCCGTCGACCAATCAGCGACGTGGTGGGCGTGGCCTCTCGTGTCGCGCGGCGGAGCGTAAATGACGCTCAATCAATAGAGCGCATTTGATGGAACCGCGTCGACGTCCAATCAATTTCAGTCGTATTTTTCGCGATTTTCAGCCGTTTTTTCTCACCCACTCGCAATTTCATGTCGATAATCGATCTCGTCGAATTTTTTCCAATCGATTCATCCCAAAATTGTCGAATTTTCGCCGGTTTTTGAATAACTTTCAATTTTTTTTTGCAGATCCAATGACACATGTTCATCATATTGATGATTTAGGTGTGAAATTTCAGATTTAAAAACAAAAATCCGTATTAATCGAATTTCCAGAGTTTGACACGAATGAAATGCTTGTGAATTCGGACATGATACCCGCACAAATGGAAGTCGTCATGACGGATGATGGCGCAATGGAAGGGGTGAGTGTTTTTGGTGTGAAATGGTGTCAAACAGTCGACGGACATTTTTTCAGTATCCCTATGATCCAATGGAAGTTTATGAATATGAGTATGACTACGAACCGGATCAGGTGTTCGAGCAGGTCGACGTCGAAGAAGAGTCACCGAATCAAGTTGTCGATTGGAAAGAGGAGCAAAAACGGTTCGGAAAATTGGCGTTTTGATCGAAAATTGTTGAGAATTTTCAGAAAACTAGACATGCATGAGATACTCGACGCTCTTCCGCGCGAGCAGCAAGAAGCATTTTGCCGATTGATGAGATCACGCGGTTATGAGATTGACGCGTCGCGAGCTCAACAAAATCAGCATTATTTGGGCAATTATCGGGTAATTTTTCGGCGCGAATTTCACGAAAAACTCGATTTTTCTCGATTTGAATGATTTTTTGATATTTTCATCCAAAAAAATGTAGATCAAATGATAAAAATTTTCAGATTCTATCATAACTTTCCATATTTTTTTTACTGAAAAAATGCCAATTCTGATAGAAATTTTGCATTTTTCGCTATTTCAGCCAACGAAACGACGATTTCGCGAGCGATCCGATGGCGGCCTTGAGTATACCGAAACCGATAACTACGACTATCCCGATGAGAACGTCAGCGAGGTTTTCACTAATTTTTCACCAATTTTCAGAAAATTGTCGTGTTTTTTTTTTCAGGATTATATTAATACTAGTGTTGGGCAAGAAGATGTCGATACGATGGTCGATTTTCAAAAAGTAATCATTTTTTTTTCAAAAAAAGTGGAAAATGGTCAACGTTTCCCCGAAAAAATTGAAAAAACCGTCAGAAATAATAAAAATTTTCGAATTTTTTGTTTCATTAAACTGGAAATTTTCCATTTTTTCAGGCAAAAGGCGGCGAAAGAAAATGCTCCGGATGCAATATGTTCCTTCGTCGAAGTGTTTATTATCATCACGCGAGAATGATTCGCGAAAAAGGCGCTTGCAATTTGTTCACACCCCAACGATTCCCGTGCCCTCAGGTTTGCCTTTGGATTTGGAAAATTTGACGCGAAAAAATCGACATTTCAATTTTTTTTTTCTCGGAGAAAATGTCAGTTTTTGACTGAAAAATGCCCAATTTTTGGCTAAAATCGCATTTTGTGATTTTTTTTGAAACGAATATTGGCTGGAATTCCGAAATTTTGATTTCTCATGGAAGATGAGAATTTTAGCCTAAGTAAAACAATAAACTTGATTTTTTTGGGTTTTCTTGAGGAAAAAAAATGAATAATAAAAATTATTGTGAGAAAAAATTTGAATTTTTGGATTTTTTGAAACGAATATTGGCTGAAATACTGAAATTTTGATTTCTCATGGAAGATGAGAATTTCAGCCTAAGTAAAACAATAAACTAGATTTTTTTTGGGTTTTCTTGAGGAAAAAAATGAATAATAAAAATTATTTTGAGAAAAATTTTTGGATTTTTTTTAAACGAAAGATTCGTAAATTTCAGTGCGATTGCAAACTGGGAACCCTGGAGAAGCTGTGTGCTCATCTGGAGCAGATTCACGATGCTCCGACGCAAATCAAAACCGAAATTTTCGCGTCTGAAGAGGAATTTAATGTAAGAGAAGATTTTTTTAAACGATTAAACATTGAATGCAAAATTCTCGATGAAAATTCGTGGAAATTGCGATAATTTTTGGCGCGAAATTCGAATAATTGCGGTTTTTTGAGAATGTTTTTATCAACGCAAATGGTCCGAAGAAAAAATGATTGTGGATTTTTTTTGTGCAGAATTTCCGAATCGATCTCGAAGGACGCGGCGGCAATTTTCGGATGGCGCGCGGCAACAAAAAGAACAAAAAAGGAATTGTGCAGTATTTTCGGTGTAATCGAACCCAGACGCTAGCGAGAAACGAAACATTCCGGTTGGTTGATAATCCAACCGAAGATGAGGTACGTTTGGTGTCGTGTGTGATGGTTTTGAGTGGAAAATTCTTGAATTTAACAAAAAAATTTGAAATTTGACAATTTTCGATTTATTTGAAATCGATTTTCCCGAAATTTGCCATCATTTTCAAAATTTAACCTGAACCCCTGAATTTTTCGATTATTTTGAGCCCTAAAAATTGTTTTGCACAAATTTGGAGGGTTTTTTTTAATTGTTGAATTAATTTCGAAATTTTCAATTCATTTTGGGTGAAATCTGAAGTTTTTTATTGATTTTATTCATTTCTTTTCATCAAACAATAATTTTATTGGAAAATTTTGAACCTATAGCCATTTTATGGTGGCGTTTTGCCCAAATTTGAACGAATCAAGCGAAATTTCGAGATTCGAGTGTTGAAATGGAAAAAATGTTGGATTTTTTCACGTTTTCATCCAAATTCTGTGCCCTTTGTTGTTGTTTTTGTGATAGTTTTTCTTTTTTTTCTCGGCGTAAAAGAAAACGTTTGGAATTTCCAGCCGATAACTCAGAATCAACGGTTATTAATCAAGGTGGTTTCGAGGCGATTCGTTCGAATTTGAAAATGAGATTTTCGCGAATTTTCAGTTTGATCGCAATTCGCGACGAGACCAATTCCCGCGCAAATCGGCCGGCTCGAAACAGGTCATTCGGACGGAGAACGCGTGCACGGCGTTCTACAATAAAGCCTATTTGGATAATGGGTGAGACATTCAATTTTTTGATAGGAAAATTGGCATTTTTTTGTGAATTTCCAATTTTTTTGATGAAATTTAAGCAAAAAAAAAACTCAGACTTCTTTTTTCCCCGAAAATTTTGTTAAAATTGAGCTTTGAATGCAGAAATCAAATTTTTTAGAAATGGAAAATGTCTATTTTTTCCGAAAAAGTGTAAATTTGACGAAAAATTTTAATTCAAAAATTGTGATTTTTTGCTTAAATTGTATTTAACGAGTTTGAGATGAAGAATTTGTGACAAATGAATTTTTGTGGCTTCAAAAAAAATTCGACAAATGTTGAGATTCAATGAAAATCGAATAATATTCAACGGAATTCCGAGTTATGCGAAAAAATTGGGGAAATTTGGCAAAATTCAAGAGATATTTCGAAATTTTTGTAAAAAATCGAATTTCTAGACGAAAAAAATGGCGAGATTCATTGATTTTCAGACGAATCGAAGTGCGCTATTGCGATCATCATCTTCACGACGACGAGAAACTTCGTCTACCGCATCGGGTCCGAATGCGGGTGCTCGAATTGGCCCGCAAACAACTACCGCACGCCGTCATACTCATGATAGTGAAAGATGAGCGCGAGATGTATTGCGAGAAGGACTCGGCGAACGATCGCCGAATTCTTGAGATGCGCACACAGGATATCCGGCAGATTCTATCCGGAATTAGTCGACAGGAGCGAAGTATGCGGTCTTTTTTTTGTTTCTTGAGATTTTTCCATGAAAAATTGCAATTTTTAGTTGACGAGACGATATTGACAAAATGAGAATTCGGCAAATTTGCGTTCTTCAAAAATTTTCGCCTTGTATGCGCGAAAATGCGAAATTTTGAAAAATAAAGGCAGAAATTTTTTGTTTTGTCGAAAAAATTTCCCGTTTTGATCAAAGAAAGCCAATGTTCAGAAATTTCGAGTGAACCTCAAAATTTGATTTGAAAATATTGGAAAATAAAGGCAGAATTTGGGTTTTTCGAAGAAAATCGCGTATTTGGTTAAAAAAAAACAAGCAAAATTGAGAAATTTTAGTTAAAATTCGAATTTTGAGTTGAAAGTGTAGAAAAATAAAGGCAGAATTTTTTTTTCGAAGAAAAATCCCGTATTTGGTAAAAAAAAAGCCAAAGTTCAGAAATTTCGAGTGAACCTCAAAATTTGATTTGAAAATAATGAAAAATAAAGACAGAATTTGGGTTTTTCGAAAAAAAAAATCCCGTATTTGGTTAAAAAAAAAAGACAAAATTGAGAAATTTCAGTGAAAATGCGAAAAGCGGACCGACAGACGCAACGAATGCACGTGATCGAGAAAGAAGGCGGCGTCATCGTGACGACATCGGAAATGGCGGATTCGACGACGCGCGTCCGATACAGCTGTAATCCTTAAATTAGTTTTTTTTTCTCTCCACCTTTAAGTTTTTATTTATTTTTTTTCAAAACTACCGTACTCTGATTTAAAGGAGCATTCAATTTTCAGTGCCGCATACGATGAGATGCAATCGATATGATTTGACGCCGCTGGAGCGACGATATTTGGATTTGTTCGACAACAATCGCGAGCTCGTGTTGAGCAATATTCATGAGAGATCGAGAACGGAGAATCAGAAGCGGTGAGTCGGTTTTGCGAAATTTTCAGCTCATAAAATTGAGCATTTTAAGATGTTTTTTTCTGCATTGTCTAACAAAGGAGGTGTTTTTACTTAGTGGTTTGGAATTTTTTCTAATTTTGCACACAAACAGATCAAGAAATTCCCTATCGAGTGTGCTATGTCGTAGACCTCCCTTGTAAGTGGGCGTTTTTGGACGAATCTGAAAAATGTGAAATTGTTGGGAATTGCTTTTTTTTTTTTGCTAAAAATGGATTTTTAATGCTCTTTTTAATACTGGTGAAAATTCTGAAAAATTTGACGCTTGTTGGCGAATTAATTTTTGGAAAATGTAGAAAAAAAGCAAAATGAAAATTTTTTTAAACGTTTTTTGCTCCCAAGGCAATCATATAACTCTTAAATGTCAATTTTTTTTTTGTATTTTGAAATTGCAGGACACTGTATGATTCGTTCTTGACTAAAATCACCGCCGCGCACGACACATTCAAACACGTTTTGGGCCAGGAGCTCGCGCCGACGAACGAGTTGATCTCGCGATCGCATATGATCATCGATTTGGCGCACAAAGTGAGCATCCTCGTTTTCAAGGGGAGCTAGAGAATTGAATTTTTGATTTTTAGCTACTTTACACTATTCAAAATGCGCACAAGGAGCCGAAAAACACGCCGTCGCAAATGAGTTTTTTGAAAATGATGGAACAACGGTGAGTTGTAATGTTTTTTTTTTTTGATTTTCGATTTTTAATTGAATTTCCAGATGCTATAAAATGATGGATCGCCGTCAGAATCATCATCAGCAGCAGCATCATGATGAGCATCATGATGGCGAGGTGATCGACGTTGTCGGTGTCGATGAGATGATGGAAATGGAAATGTTCCAATTCGACGACAATTTGGCGCCGGCGCAGGAAATTCGGCAAGAAAAAACGGAGAATGTGAGGAGCGGTTTTTCTTTTTTTTTTTTTTCGATTTGAGCAACTTGCCTGATTTGGTGAAAAATTGTGATGTTTTTTCAAGCAAAATGGTCCTTAATGGTCCCATTTTGACGATTTTTCATGAGCCGAAAATTTGCGAAAAAAAATCCCGTTTTTTAATGTTTTAAATTCGGAAATGCTAGATTTTTGAAGAAAAATTTTCATTTTTTTTTTCGAAATGTTTGTATTCTTGGAAATTTCGCACATTTATGATTTTTTTTTGGAAAAAAATTTCATTTTTAAACGAAAATGGTGAAATTTGGCGAATTAAAAAAATTGAAACTCCAAATTTTTTTTTGAAGGATCAATTTTCTAAAATTTATTGCCTTAAATTTAGCTTTTTGAATTTTTTAAAATGAAAATTAGAAAAATGGGAGAGAAATGCAAATTTTGAAAGTTTCCAATTGAAAAATACGATAATTCATCAAAATTTGCGGAAATATTTGATTTTTGGTCGAAAATTACAAAAAAAAATTCATCCTGAGCATTTTTTTTAGTCCTTTGAGAATAATTGGAAAATTTTTACTTTTTATTAATTTTTTTTTGGGGGATTCGCATCGAGACCCATCGCTTTTATTTTTTTTTAAAGGAATTTTTAAGTTATTTTAAGAAGCGCGATTATTTATGTGATGGGTCTCGATGCGAATTCAACGAAAACACGCGTATCTTTGATTCTTTAAAAAATTTTTTTGCCCCCCCCCCCATTTTTTGATATTTTCTTCCAATGCAAAAATTTTTTTGTGCAGGAAAAACAAGTGAAGGAGGATCGCGATGAGGACGAGAACGACGATGAAGCTCGATGTCGAGATGGGCGACAAGACGGCGAGGATGAGCTCGAGATCGATATGCGATGCGACGAGGTGCTGGATGGAATCGAGGACGACGACGAAGCGGCGGCGGCAGCGCCGTGCTCGTCGACGTCGCGTCCGATTGGTGGCGACGAGAAATCGGGCGAATCGAACGAGTTTCCGACGGTTGAGATCAAAGAAGAGAATGGAAATGGAAGGAAACGCGCGCGACGGCGGACAACGACGGCCGATGGTGGCGGCGGAGAGGCGAAGAAGCCGAGGAGAAGCTCGAATAAGGTTGGACCATTTGAAATGAGCACGTCCTGATTTGAATGGTACAGAAATCAATTGATTTTGAAAGAAAATTGCGCACATTTTTTGTGTGATTGATCAAATTCAGAATAGTCTGGCAACTCGAAAACAATCGGATCCGACAAAATTTGGCTCCGGGAAAAAATCCGATCCAATTTGATATTCTACGGATCAGATTGGAAAATTGTCGGATCCGATTTGGTTTTTTTTTTGATATTTGTCGGATCCGATTCAAATTGAGAGATTAAAACAAAACGGATTGGTTTAGTGACCAATCTGATCCGACAATTTTCCAATCTGATCCGTAGAATTTCCAATCGGATCGGATCGATTCCGGAGTCGAATTTTCGTCGGATCCGATTGGTTTTGAGTTATGCGTCTCTGAGAATTTTGTGAAATTCAAATTGGCGATTTTTTTTTAATTTAATTTTTCTTTTTTCTAGACAAAAAAAAAGAGATTAAAGAAATTGAACAACAATTTTTTTATTTATTTTTATTTGAAATATTCAAAATCATTTTTGCATTCTTCTTTTTGTTGAGTGCTTTGAATATGGAAATCGAGATTTTGGAGGTTTTCTTTCTTGCTTAAACTCGCTGAAATTTGGAAAAAAATTTCAGCAATTTTTTGATTTTCAAAAATTGAAGTTTTTATTTTTATTTTTCGTGTGAAAAAAGTGTGAGAATGAGAAAATTGAAAAATTGGACATTGAAAAAAATTTTTTTGGTCAACAATGACATTTTCATAAAATTGAGGGAGATTTATGAAATTTTTGGTGTTTTTCAAAAAAAATGATTTTTAAAGGTTTTTTTTGCAGTTTGTTGAGGTCGACGTCGAACAAGTTGAAAAATCGCCACCTCGTGCTCAAGCCGAGAAGATCACGACGCGAACTGGACGAGTTGTGAAGTCTCGAACGATTTTTGAGTAAATGAGCTTCATCTCGTTTGAAATTCGAATTTTTTTTGCGAACCCTTCATTTTTCGTTGATTTCGCCTCTCATTTTTAATCATTCCCAATTGCCCTAATTTTTTTTTGGTATTTTTAATATTTTTTATAATAAATATGTGATTATTGCAGAAAATTGCGCCATATTGGTGTAGAGGCTGAAATTTATTCTCTGTAGCTACAGTAACCACTGATCTCAATGGATTTTGTTGGACGTACTGTAGAATTTGAATTGCCGCCGTGGGTCTCGTATGGAAAATGTCCGAAGGGCAAAATGTGATTTGCGCGGTCCGATTTTTTTGAAAAAAGACGCCTAGTTGGTTTAAAGGAGCATAAAATTTGAGTTTTTTGAAGATTATCAACGCGTTGGGCAATTGTGGACCATCGCAATTCTTTTTTTTTAGGCGGAAATTCAAATTTCAATTTTTTTTTGGGAGGGGGGGGGGTCCAAAAAATGACAAGAATCAACTGAAATTTGCCTATCAAAATTGATTTGAATTGCCGCGTTGGGACTCGAACGGAATTCAATTCTTCTCATCATCAATGGTCCCTCCCCACCCAACTAGGGACCATATGGATCAATTGAATGTTGACCTGTTCGTCGTCGCATGACATAATCCAATTATAGATGTACACATTGACGCGATAAGATCAAGAAATGGGATACCGTGTTGTTGGTAATTATCGACTAATTATAGGATGGTCCCTAGACGCGTGTTGGATGCACCTTTCGGATTTTGGGCGGCGTCGGAAAGTGTCGCAGAATCGAGAGGAAGTCGATATTGGTTTTTCAAGAGCCATCTGCCACTTGTTCGACGACAATTTCCTGAGACCCCGGGGCGGGGGGGGGTCCGAAATGAAAACGACACTTCTGATAGTAGTTGAAAATGGTCCCACAAAGCGTCATCGTTTTTGCGGAATTAAATTGAACAATTCGAGAGTACCGTAGTCCGTCCGATTGAATGGGTCCCTTTGGAAAAAAAAATTATTGGTTCATTGTTCGACACCCCCTTTAAACAATAGCCTTTAAAGGGGGGGGGAGGATTACTGTAATAAAATGTGAAAGCCGACGAGTGCAGGTGTCGATTGTAATCCCGAATTACGATCGGTGCAAATATGACCTCCCCCCCCAGTTGGACACACATTGAACGAATGCTACAGTAACCCCCCCCCCTGGCAATTCGAGTTGTCAACTCGAATTGGCAATTTCCGAGCAATTCTTCGGTAGTCCAATATCCGGGCGGCGCTTCTTGAATTTTCTAATAAGGGCGCCCGACGGCGTCGCGTTGAATTATGGTCCATTGTCGGCTCTTTCTCTCTCTCTCACACACGTCTGATTTATTTCGATGGTCCCGAACATCAAAATGCGAATCGAGAGATTGCTGAACACATTCTCGGCTCCATTTTGTAGCTCTAGAAAAAATTTGTAGCGAGAAGAACAACACGAAAACGCGCGTTCAACTATTTTCAATTCCTCGACTTTTTCTCAACTACTCGATGATGGTCCCCCTTTTCTCGTCGTCGATGCTGCTGTTTGCCACGCTTTTCAATTTCGCGCTTGTTGAAGATGAGAATCGAAAATAATTAGGCGGCAGCACAAATTTTTTTCCCGATTCTAAATCCGTGTGGCGACGATAAAAGTTGAAAAGTACGTCGGGTGGCCGGAGTGAGAGCGAGCACACCGGACGGCTGCCTCTCGGGGGAGATGGCGAAAAAAATTAGAAATTGCGCGCTTCGCAACTCATTTGCCTCCCCGCCCTTCAACTTTAGCCGGATTACGGTAGGTAGGACAGGGAGGGGGAGGGGGGATGCGCCTTTAAAGTTGCGCCCCCCCCCCCTCTTTAAGCGTGTTGGTGTGAGCGCCTTGAAACTCAATTTTTTTTTGCATTTCGATCTATGTGCCTTTAATATTATTCGGTATTTTGAGAATCGCTTTTTGAATGCGCCTTTAAAGAAGCCGTCTTTTCCGCCCTAGTGATGCGCCTTTAAACCAAAAACCAAAAACTCGATTTTTTGCATTTCGATCTATGCGTCTTTAAAGAAGCCACCAATTCCACCAAAGTGATGCGCCTTTAAACCAAAATCAAAATGAGAAATGTGTGCGCCTTGAAACTCAATTTTTTTGGCATTTCGATCTATGCGCCTTTAAAATACGGTATTTTGAGAATCGCTTATTGAATGCGCCTTTAAAGAAGCCCTCTTCTCCACCCTAGTGATGCGCCTTTAAACCAAAAACGAAATGAGAAATGTGTAGCCCCCCCTTTAAACTCAACATTTTTTTGCATTTTTTTATCTATGCGCCTTTAATATACGGTATTTCTAGAATCGCTTTTGAATGCGTCTTTAAACCAAGGTGGTTGTCCGTGTGGAGTACACAGACGATTTTCAATTTCGGCGATAACTCGGTGCAAAAATCGATGCGCCTTTAAATTGCTATTACACAAATTTCTCATGAATTCATCTCATCGGCATTGTTTTTGAGCGATGCGCCTTTAAATTACGGTACTGAGTTGAACTTCTCACAATCTCTCAGCCACTTTCGAAACTATTCAATTACTATGCGGCACAAATTTTTTAAATTTTGCTCTACGCGCCTTTAAACTACGGTAGCCGTCGAATCATCATTCCCATATGATTCTCAAGATCTTACGATCTCATTGAGATTTGTGTGCGCGCCTTTAAACTAGATATGCTATGCGCCTTTAAACTACGATATCCATCCAATCATCATTTCCATATACATTCTTTGATTTGCAGTTCTCCTGCGAGCGATGCGCCTTTAAATTAAATACGGTACTTCAATGATTTGAAATTCTCACTTTCAATTACGATGCGACACAATTGAATTGTGCGCTATGCGCCTTTAAACTACAGTATCCATCGAATCATAATTTCCATATAGGGATTCTCTAGTTCTCTTGCGAGCTATGCGCCTTTAAATTACGATATAGAGGGTTGGCATTGATATTTGCCTGGCGCGTATTGCATAATAAGCGTGTAATCTCAAAAAGAAAGAAGCGGCGAGCGGGGGGGGGGGGGTCATCTGTTCGGATGCGACACCTGGCAGCAGCAACTTGAGACCCCCCATATATGGGCACCGACATCAAGAGCGGGGATTACTCGTGTCGAGCCAATGAGTGCCGCCTTTATGATTTATTGCATAATGCCTTTCTCGATTTTTTTTTGAATGGTCCTTCCAACTTTTTCGATTTCAAAAAAAAAACCGATGCGCCTTTAAATTGGATCCCGGGGACCCGGACCTACAAATTCTTTTTGGAATTGTTGAGCGCCTACTATGTATTTCAATTATTGGCCCCCCACGGTATGCGCCTTTAAATGCGACACCGATTCATGTGGAATTGCTGACCACCGTCTCGAAATCATTGCGCCTTTAAAAAATCGGGACCCATTCAAAACTGGAGGAAAAACAACACAATGCTCATCCATCCCCCGCATCCTCGACATCATCGTACCACACTAATCCCATCGAGAATCCAATAACCTGCAAACCAGGCTTGCCTGCCTGACGCCCGCCCGGCCGGCTGTATTGAGTGTTGGGAGAGAGAGAGAGAGGCGACAAAGAAGTGGGGACCCTTAATCCCATCAAGACACACGTATATTTTTTTCCAACCCCCCCCCCCTGTAAATAAAATCCATTAAAAAAACACGACGACGACGACGACAAAAACAGCGCGCAACTCGATTTCATTCATTCATTCCATTCGAACAATTGGTTTATGGGTCTCGACGCGAATTTCAATTTTCGCTTCACACAACAGATGTTTGACGATGATTACGGTAGAAGATCCCTTGTTCTCGGTGTCGGTTTGTTCCGAAAAAGGGGGGGGGGGATGATAGATTCGAAGGTCCCTTGGCCCTATTCAAACATGTGTTTGACTTTGGCGGGACCACTAAGTAACAATTTTCGTCGAGACGAAACTCGATATGATGCCGACAGGCCGAAGAAGGCTGTTTGCGCGTTTCGCCGAGCGGACGCCACTTAAAGATGGTCCCTCGCCAAAAATGCGCCGACTTCGATCAAGTTTCGCCGCCTACCGTAATCGTCTTCCACCCCCGCCCACCCCCTTTAAATTTGATGTGAAACTTTGGTGAAGCATTTTAGGGACCATTCCACTCGGTGGTGAACTCGTTGAATATCTCCTTTAGCTTTATTCTTATTTTTACCTTCCTGGGGACCATTGAAATCAGAATTCTGCGATTTAGCCCATTTTTTTCAATTTCTACTTTCCTGCGGACCATTGATATCAGAATTTTGAATTTTAGACAAACATCTACATTTTAACATTCCTGGGGACCATTAAAATCAGAATTTTGCTATTTAGCCAATTTTTTTCCATTTTAACGTTCCCGGGACCATTTAAATTTGAAGCTTCATCTTCTTTTAATTGTTTTATGTTCCTTATGATGATTTGGATTTTAATGTCTTAGGGACCATCTAAATCGGAAGCCCACGATTAGAAGAATTGTTTCAATTTTAATTTTCCTCGGGACCATTAAAATTAGAAGTATGGTGCTTTATGAAATTTTTCTACCACATCTTCAAATTTTTATCTTCCTGTGGGCCATTTAAATCCAATCCTGACACCTCTACCCCCTAGGGACCATTAAAATCAGAATTAATTGACTTTGTGCTATTTTAACATTCTTGGGACCATGCAAACCAGAAGTGCGGTTTTGCGACAATTTTTCGTAACCTACTCAAATTTTAACCTTTCTGGGGACCATTCAAACCTTATAATGAATTTTCCCGCAATTGCTAGAGTATTTCTATTTTAACATTCCTGGGGACCACCACCGACCATCAAGGTCCCGTTTCATCAAAATGCCTTCCACCTGATGGCGAGGGGGGGGGGGAAGTGCCGGAATAACTTCTTGAAATTCTAGGGATCATTCAAAACACTTGACTCGCAATGTTTGCCCAACCTGTCAAGTAGAGATCCTGGGGACCATTGAGTCACTAGCCAACAACTTTTTTTGCGTTCACATCAATTCAAAAATATCGAACCAAAAAATTGTTGTGGTCCTCACACACGCCGGTCGGACCACGTTAATTAAACGCTTTTTGAGGCCTGGGGACCCAATTTCGTCGATTAACTGCCGAGTGAGTTCCCGCAATTAATTTTTGGCGCGATGGGCGGCAAATTGGGCGGCAAAAAAAACATTCTCTGGCGACACCCACCCAATGTCATCACATTCGAATATTGATGGTCCGTATGGCAAGTTTTCGCGTGTTGGCGCCAGATGGTGTCGAAACGCAAACAAATCGGTGTCGAGTGACACACACACACAATGTTCAAATATGTTAATTTACAGCTGCGGACAATCATCGAGGTTCGCCCAACTAGTATTCCATACAGTAGGAGTAGTCCCTCTCATGTAATCCGTCGGACCCCCCCCCACATGATTTAGGTCGTGCTCTCAAGGCTTCATCTCATTGTCGCCGTCCTCCAATTTTCCATATAAGTAAGAAAATATATAGACGTGTTTGGGATATATACGAGGTTTCATTCATACGCTTGGCTCTCGGCTCTCGGCTCTCTCTGTTCGCTCCCGTCCTTTTTTGGTGTCGTCGGGTGAAGGCAGCAAAAAAAAAGTGGGCGGAGTCATTTGTCACCGCCGCCCGTCGTCGCCATTTTTCGGTTTGTTTGTTTCGCGGTGTCGCATTTTCCAACTTTCTACGAACCCCCCCCCCAAAGGATTACGGTAGCATTTTTTTTGTTGCTCTTATTTTTCTTCCTTGGATTACTGTAGCCCGGGGGGGGCTGTTTTCGAGCCTCAAAACTCGAGTGTGCATTTTTTCGTCGATTCGAGTGTCTCATTTTTTGTTGTTGTTGTATCAACACAATTCTGCAATTTCGCGTCAAATATGACGCCTCGTTTTTTTTGTTGGCAAATTTTCCAAAATACGAAATTTCGCGTAAGATTTGGCGTTTTTTTTCAAAATCCGCATTTTCGCGTCAAATTCGACGTTTTTGACATTGCTATTGGCGCCAAACTCCGAATGGTGCAATTTGGCGTCAACTATGATGCTTTTTCGATTTTTGTCAGCGCCAAACCAAAATTTGTAGTTTTTTTGAAATCCGCAATTTCGCGTCAAACTATTGCGACCAAAAACGGAATGTGTGCAATTTGTCGTCAACTATGATGTATCAAAAAAAAGTGTTCTCCAACACACACACACAAAACCGAAAAATGGCGACTAGGAAATGTTGGCATCGGCGCATTTATCTCGTCCGTGTTGGCTTCGAGCAAGCAACAAAAAATAGTGGGAAAAAATCAGGCAATGTGTCAAAAAAGGAGAAAAAAAAACCGAAGAAGAAGGCGCCAACGAAAATGGGCAATTTCGCGTCGGTGTATGGTGCCATCTGGAGAGTCGGATGTCTAACCGACATTCGAGCGGTTGTTGTCGCAAAAATTGCGACATCGCATTTGCATTTAAATGTCGCCAAAAACGCGCTCGCCCGCGCCCCCCTCAAAAATGAGGTGCGCACGCATTTTTATTCACTTCGCTGTCGAATGAAGTAAGTGTTCATTTCAAATGAGGCAACACCCCCCCCCACCAGACTGACACCACATTCATCGCCTTTTATGGGCTTGCGTTGTTTTGCGCGCAACTTGTGCACCACCTTCCTCCCCCCACTCAAATCAATCGCCACTTGGCGTATTGCTGCTGCGGACATCGCACATGGCGTGTTCGTCGATGATAAGCCCGCATGGGCCGACAGTTCGCGGCGACTGGTTTTCGTTTTCACAATTTCTAGCTGCCGACAGCTCGCGGGTTTCGCCTCTCATCTCATTTCTGCTATCTATTCAATCAGCTGCCGACAATTCGCGGGTTTCGCGGCGACAGCAACCCTCCTTTAGGAAATCACCTTTTCACAATTTCTAGCTGCCGACAGCTCGCGGGTTTCGCCCCTTGGCTCATTTTTGCTATCCATTCAATCAGCTGCCGACAATTCGCGGGTTTCGCGGCGACAGCAACCCTCCTTTAGGAAATCACCTTTTCACAATTTCTAGCTGCCGACGGTTCGCGGGTTTCGCGACGACAGCAACCCCCTCTAGGAATTCACCTTTTCACAATTTCTAGCTGCCGACAGCTCGCGGGTTTCGCCTCTCATTTCATTTCTGCTATCTATTCAATCAGCTGCCGACAATTCGCGGGTTTCGCGGCGACAGCAACCCTCCTTTAGGAAATCACCTTTTCACAATTTCTAGCTGCCGACAGCTCGCGGGTTTCGCCCCTTGGCTCATTTTTGCTATCCATTCAATCAGCTGCCGACAATTCGCGGGTTTCGCGGCGTCAACAATTCTCCTCTAAAGATTCACCTTTTCACAATTTCTAGCTGCCGACAATTCGCGGGTTTCGCGACGACAGCAACCCCCCTCTAGGAATTCACCTTTTCACAATTTCTAGCTGCCGACAATTCGCGGGTTTCGCCTCTCATCTCACTTTTGCTATCTATTCAATCAGCTGCCGACAATTCGCGGGTTTCGCGGCGTGAATTTTTTTTGTTGATTTCAGAGCGCGTTTTCGAGATTGGCCCATTGTCCAATTTCATTGTGGGCGGGTCCGATGAGGGGGGCGTGGCGTGCGGGTCCCTCAATTTGTCGTCCTCCTCATCCGCCAACTTTTGGCTCCAACAACCAGCCCCCTCGAGCTCTCGACGCCTCCTCGGCCTACTGTGTGTGTGCGCGTCCAACTTCGCCGAAGCCACGCCCCCGAACGTCTGCGATTGGCTGTGTCGCGCCGGCGCTTCTCACAAAAATGTCCGCAGCACAACTTTCGCATAAGCACCTGTCATTTGACGTTGCGCGAGCGCTCGCGCGCGCATGCGTGCATCAAATTGTGGGCGGAGCCGCCGCGCGTGGCAGGTGCACTGTCCGAAGCGCAGATGGTCAAGCATTGGGGGGCACATACACTCACACACATCCAACTACCATCTATGGTCACTGCTTATTGTTATTAATAGATAGTTTTGTCGTTTCTCTTACTAAACCGAAAATATTTGAAGCTGTTTCCAAATCGAAATTCCAGAAAATGTCAGAATTGTTCGCCGCAAGCGGATACGATCCGAAATTTCTGATGTCGATTGTCAGGTAGGAAGCATCAAGCCCAAATTTTCGCCAATTTTCACCCCCATCTGTTTGAAGCTCGATGCAGAATGCGCAGAAGCAGCACACCGACGACGACGACGATGATGCGCTGTTCAATTCGGCGGCCAGCTCGAACACCGATGATTCGGATTCGCTGGATGATGGCGCGTCGAATTGTTCCGATAGTGGTCCGCCGGCGAAGCGACGCCGAAAACCCGAAGGTAGGAAATAATGATAATGGTCCCCAAGAGTTGGGTTTCAAATTTGAGCCCCAAGAATTTCAAAATCTGGTCTTTGACAATTTTTGAAGAAAAAAAAGATGTCAGAATTGCGAATTTTGCAATGGTCCCTTCGACCCCCCCCCCTTTAAATTTCCAATTTTTCTAAAAATAGACAGTGTCCATCGCGAATGGTCATCATTCAGGCAGCTGGCCAAACAGTTCGTTCGAGTTTTGACCAAACAACTCATCCCCCCACTGATTTCCATATTTGGTGCTGCTACTAGTTGCGGCTCGGCTCGCATTTGTACAGCCGGTTCGATGCTCCCCCCCCATTCAACCCGTGTGTGTCATTTTCTCAACATCCTTATATGGTTTTGATTGTTGCGCAGTGGGGGGGGTGTAGTGTTCAAGTCGCCATCTGTCGCCATGTGGTGGCGCCGTGGCGCAACTTTTTTGAATTCAAGGGCGCACCTCTCTCTCTCTCCACCAACCGGGAATTGCCCAATTATTATTTGGGCAGATGTCATGTGAAAGTTTTTGTAGATCATTGATTTTTTCGAAATTCGATTTTGCCCAATTGCGCACACTTTCCTTTTTTCTCGAATTCGCAATAGAGCACATTTTCTGAGAATCGCAATAAAGCATATTTTCTCAAAATCGCAATAGAGCATATTTTCTCAAAATCGCAATAGAGCACATTTTCTCAAAATCGCAATAGAGCACATTTTCTCAAAATCGCAATAGAGCACAATTTCTCAAAATCATAGTAGAGCAAATTTTCTCAAAATCGCAATAGAGCATATTTTCTCAAAATCGCAATAGAGCAAATTTTCTCAAAATCGCAATAGAGCACATTTTCTCAAATTCGCAATAGGGCATATTTTCTCAAAATCGCAATAGAGCACGTTTCCTCAAAATCGCAATAGAGCATATTTTCTCAAAATCGCAATAGAGCACGTTTCCTCAAAATCATAGTAGAGCCTATTTTCTCAAATATTCAATTCTGCATATTTTCCATTTCTCAATAGAGCACATTTTCTTAAAATCGCAATAGAGCACGTTTCCTCAAAATCGCAATAGCGCGCATTTTCCTCAAATTTTGGTTAATTTTTGATTAAAATTCAAAATGGGTGGCCTCCCGCTGATCCCTGATCACGACGAAATCGGAGCCCAATTCCAAAACCAAAAACTAGTGGTGGGGGGTGTCCATGGCCACCATGGCCTCTCGCCAAATAAATCACACCAAACACCTTTCGCCTTGTTTTGTGGGTGGTGGTTGCTGCCAACAGCGACCGAAAAACTCTCGCTCGCCTCGGCCAGGAAGTCGATGTCGTCAGTTTTGCGTTTAAAGGCGCCGCACACGTCCGGTTACTGTAATTATTGAATGTCCGCAATATTGCGTAACCATTCGTGTCGCCCATAATGCACCTGTTCGCCGCCGCCGCCACCACTCGTCACACCCAATTGCACCCAACAAAAAAAGATAGAAGCTTCTTGATCAGCGTCATTAATCGACTTCAGAAGACGACCACCGAACCAAAAAAAAAACATTCCCATAGTTGATTGAACGAACATACGGCGATGAGGGGTGTGCAAGTTGGTGTGAAGTGCGTTGGTGTGATGAATTGGCGCAATATGGTGCACTCCATGGTGTGATGATTGATGAGGATTAGGCTGTGCGTTCAGTCAGCCAGTTTTTGCTCCCAATGAATTGTCCGCAGACGCGTTTCTCCATTAAAAACTTCGCTTTGGCGAAACCCGCGACATGTCCGCACATGAATTTCGATAAGTCAATTTGAATGTCAAGCGAGCAACATTGAAAGAGATTTCCATGAATTTCAACACACTAGCCAAATGTTTATGTAGCATTCCGATCTCAATGGTCCCCAACACCAATTCCCCCATATTTTTTTTAACGATCGTGATTATGCCGAAGAAAGAAAAGAAAAAAGAAAAGATATGACTCCCTCCGACCCATATTGCAACCTTTTATGGCCAAGGCAGATGGTTTTCTTTTGTGTCGAACTTGTGCGGGGGGGGGAGGGTCCCGAAGAGCAGATGGTCTCAAGTGTACGGGCTGGGGGGGGGGGTCCAACTCGATCGTCCTCATTTTTTCGTTTTGCAGCCAAAGATATTGTTCGTGCCGACGCCGAGAAGATGACGTGCGATTCGCCGACGACGTCGACGACGACGTCGGCTCTCAGCGCTCCTCAGGTTTGTTGTAGGGACCATGGTCCCGCTTACGATTCATCGAATTTTAGAAGCCGTTGGATATGAGCCAGTTTATGTGCGCCCAATTTCCGGGATCGATTCAGGAGCAGTTGCGGATTCTGACGGCCGCCACCACCAACACCAACACCAACACCAACACCAACACCATCGAAGCGTCGCCGACGGAGACCGATGGATCCGTCGAGGCGAGAAACAGCACCAAGGTGCGTTTAAAGTAGATCAAAAAAAGAAACTTTTCCAAAAAATCATTTTTGGATGGTTTTTGACGTCTTTAAATCATTAAAAACGCTGGCAACAATTTTGCAAGGTTACTGTAGCAAGTGAAAGTCCGCAAACACCGAGGTGGCCGAAACAACTGGAAATTGACGTCTTAAAAGTCAAAAGTCCGCCAATCAATTTTAATCACTTAATTCCAACAAAAAACACTTGAATAATTTCCTTAAAGGGTGTGTGCCAAGTCCGCAAACACCGAGGTACCATTATTGAACGCCTAGAGTAATCTCAAAAGTCTGCAAACACCGAGCAACTCAAATTTTGACATAAAAATTGGTTTGAATGTGCCAAGTCCGCAAACACCGAGCTGCCATTATTGCGCACCTACAGTAACCTCAAAAAGTCCGCAAAACACCGAGCAACTCAAATTTTAAGTGCCAAGAAAATGGTCGGAGTGTGTCAAGTCCGCAAACACCGCGGTGCCAATCATTCGCGGGGGTTTTGTTTGAAGTGCGCAAAATTGAAATCTTAAAGGGGGTATCTCCCCAAAGGGATACTGTAGATGTGAAGTTGGCCACCGTAGTCCACCCCCCCCCTCTCTCTCCGACGACGGCAAGAAAGTCGTTTGGCGAATATGACAAGTTGAAACGAAAGCTTTAATTATAGAGTGTACCCGGTGGAGGGGGTGCTCTCCTCAACAATGCCCTCTATTCCTCACCATATTTGGTATTCTCTCGCCTCAGGCTTCATGTTCGCCTTCTGGGGGTGTCGATTGCGTGACCAATGATGATTGTTGTTATTATTATTACCCTCCTCGAGTCGGCGCCAAGTTTGATCGATGCCTCCTCCTCGTCATCGACGCAATTTCAAGAGGGGGCGGGGGGACCATTGGGGTCCCAGGTGGCTCAGTGTTGCATCAGAATCCATATGGATTATCGTAAAACTTGACTCTAATCCAATTAGCGAGAGAGAGTGGGATTTTTGACGGCAACTCGAAACGACACAAAAAATCCAAAAAAAAATTTTTTTTTGCGATTCTCATTTTTCGAATGCAGAGTCCGCCGCCGCCGTCGTCGCCGTCGTCGTCGCCGCCGCACACGCCCGCCGCACAAGTAACCAAATTTTTCGGGTCCCTCGTCCACTCGTTTCGCTTTTTCAGACCAATGTCAGCGAGGAGCTGTCGATCTCGACGACGCCGACCATCTCGTTCACGCCGAACGGCAGCATTCCGTCGCCGGGCACCGGCTACTCGTGGAGTATTCGACGCGGTAGGTGGATTGGACCATCGTCCCCCCCACGAAAAACTACCGTAATCCTCAAACTGCTGGGGGGGGGTTACTGTAGACGAGCATTTCGCGTCGAGACCCCCACCATTCGATTTGTTGTTATTTATTGTTTTTTTACTAATCCTTACAAACTAACCCCCCCAAAACTAATAATCGAATCACCGAGTGTAATATATTTGAGTGGTCCCCACTTTCTGCATATGGGGACCATTATAATTGGGTTAAGAAGACGAATCGCCGGCACTCGCACTATGCATATTTGACTAACACATTTTCTCAATAATGAATACTAACTACATAGAGGGAAAGAAAAGTTTGAGAATAATGGGGCGGGGGATCCGATCCGATCCGATCCGATCCGATCCACCTACTTTCAACGGCGATGTTTTTTTTTTGCAGAGGGCAAATTGGCGTGTCCGACGCCGGGCTGCGACGGCTCCGGCCATCAGACGGGCCTCTACACACACCATCGAAGTTTGTCGGGATGTCCGCGACGGCCCGAGAAGAGCGTCATTCAGAGTGAGTTCGATATTAGCTAGTCCCCGAACCCGGAACGTTGTCCGCAGGCAACAAAAAAAAACCAGCAACTTCATTTTGATCGATTCGCTTTTTTTTTTGTTTTTGGCGGAAGCCCGAATAAATGAGGTGTCGGCCCGAGAGCCGAGCCGAGCCGAGCCGGCAGAAAGGGGGTTGAGGGAATGGAAGGGACCCGTCTCTCATTTCGAATGCACACATTCGATGCATTTATTCTTGCAGTGTTGGCGCTTCGACAGGACACCGTGCTCAGGTGCACGACGCCCGGCTGCTCCGGCAAAGGCCACGTCAACGGCAATCGCACGTCGCATCGCAGTCTGTCGGGTTGCCCGATTGCGCATCAGGAGAAGCTCGCCAAAAAGGGAATCAAGGTTTGCAATCAATTCCCACCACAGATTTTGGTTTCAATGGTCCTTAAATTTTTGCCAATTAAACCCTCTTTGATAGTCCCTTTAAATTTTTATGCTTTTTGAGATCTTGGTTTCAATGGTCCCGAAATTTTTGCCAACTCGAGTCTCCCTGATTTAAATGGTCCCTCCAAATTTTTATGCTTTTCAGATCTTGGTTTCAATGGTCCCGAAATTTTTGCCAACTAGATCCACCGTGATTTAAATGGTCTCTCCAAATTTTTCTGCTTTTTCAGATCATGTTTTCAATGGTCCCTAAATTTTTGCCATCTAGACCCTCACTGATTTAAATGGTCCTTGGTTTTAAATGTGTCTAGAAATTAGACACTGGTGGGAAACAATGTCCCAAAATTTCAAGTCTGCGTTTCAAAATATCGCTAAACCAAGACACTTGATTTAAATGGTCCGCAGAATTGAAGGCGAGATCAAGATTGTTTTAGATGGTCCCACAAAACCAAAACTCTGAAACGTTTCCAGGTTTCAGTGGTCCCCAAAAATTCCAGCAATTCGAAACCTTGATTAATCAAGATAGCCCTCAATTTTCAAGTCTCTTATTTCAATGGCCCCTAAATTTCTGAAAATTAGGCTTTCAAATTAAATGGTCCCCAGATATTGAAGCATTAGATTCCACGCTTGATTATAATGGTCCCCAAATTTTGAAAACCCAAAACCTGTCTTGGTTTCAATGCGCTTCAAAAAAAAATCAAAAAAGTTGGACGCTTGTCTTGTTTTCAAAGGTCCCAAAATCAATGGAACCTAGAGCCCCCGATTAGAAAGGTCCCTAGATCTCAACTCAATGGTCCGTTATTGAAAGCGTCCACAATTTTGCAGATGAACCCGCAACGCATTCGAACACCGCCGAAGGTCGTCGACGAGACGCCATTGGATCTCACGCTCGCCAACGGCCTCAACGCGCAGCATCTGATGGCGGCCGCAAGTGCCGGCCTCATTCCGACAAGGTCCGTTGTTCGTCGACGACGGTTCATCGTCGAAATTATTTGCCAAATTTTCAGCGCTCTCATGGACGCGTTGATGAAGTTCGCCGTTCCGCCAACAGCACCACCACCACCACCACCACCAGCTCTCGACGATGAGCATCACAAAAAGGAGAAGGAGAACGATGGGGACGAAGCGGCGGCGGCGGCGTCGTCGTCGTCGTCGCCTCCACCGACGCTCTCGAAAGAGGACGGCGACGAGAAGCCGAAACCGCAACATCACCAACAAGCCGGCGGCTCGTTGTTCGCCGGCGAGACGCTTCTCAAATTGCCGCAGTTCGCCTATCCGCCGCCGCCGCCGGCGGCCGCCTTCTTCAATCCGCAAAATCAGCTGCTCGCGCAGCTCATGCTCGCCCAATTCCAGCAAGGCTTCTAATTTATTTCGTTTTGATCTACCACCATCCCCCCCAACAAAAATACAAATTTTGAGCTGCTCTCATGTCAGCTTCCACTTTGCCAACATTCGAATCAGCAATCCGGTCAACGCCCCCCCCCCAAACAAAAAAACAAATATATACATATGTCTATTTCGATTTAATTGCTTTGGTTAATTGCTTTAATTACTTTCACCCGCCAAAACCATTTGTATATTCGCCATTTTCAACGCGACATTCCCGTCCTCCCAAAGAATAAAAGTGATATAGGTTGTTCCTTTTTTTTCCTCTCCCAATTTTTTTTTCGCCTTGGAATTTATTATTATTAATTCTCATATAAATATTATCAAAAATGCATGAAACTCGTTAGTTTTGGGGGACGCGTAAAATAAATTAAAAAATGGAAAAATTATATATAATCAAATTGCCGCGTGACGTGTGTGGGGTCCTGAAACGAAAACAATTTGCGCAGATTTTCAGGTTGTGCAAAAAAATGCCAAAAAAATTTTTTTCCCGACAAATCTCAACTTTTTTTAAATGGTCCTTACCAAATATGGCTCGATAATCATTCAAAAAGCCCATCCTTCAAAAAAGTGTCGCCAACAACGCTCAAGCTAATATCTAGAATGCGTCAATTAGCGTTGAGCAAATTAATTGCCATTAATTACCCGACGGGTTCACGAAATCGCCGAAATGCGAATGGTTCGGCTCATCATCGAGCAGAAGCTGCTGCTCATTTTGCTCGTCGTACTCGTTGTCGATGACCTCAATCTCGTTGGAAATGTCGCCGACACCCGTTTGCATGTAGTACAGCTCATCGAGATCGATCGGCGTTGGCACAGTGAACTGGAAGATTTAATTAATTAATTAATTAATTAGTAATTAATCATGCTTATCTGATTTTTCAACGAGTTGATTCGAATCAAACCGGCATTTCTCAAAAAAAAAAGCCAAAAAATACGAGAGAATCGAAATTTTTCTAATTACAAGGTAATTAAGGAATTTGGATTAATTATAGACATAATTGGTCCCTGTTCTCATTTGTTTTCCAATTTTTCGTTAAAAAAAAATTGAAAATTCTAATTTGAAACGATTTTCATTGGCTTTTTTTAGTGAAAAATTCGAAATTTTCTGATATCAATGGTCCATTATAGTTGTAAAAAAAACAGTTTAATGTTCATCTAGAAAATTAAAAACTCAATTCTTCCATGCGAGACCCAAGACAGCAATTCAAATGCCCAGCAAAACCCCTAAAATGGTAATTAAGGAATTTACCTAATTTGGAGAAAATTGGCCACTTTAAAAAAAAAGTGTAATTCATAAAAATCGGAAATTCCGAAAAAAAAATTCCTGAAATTTCGATCTGGGAATTTTTGTTTTCAAAAAAAAATCCCCCAATCAAAATTGAATTTGTACAAAAAAAGGAGGCACGGTAATTAAGTAATTAACTTAATTTTTTAAAAAAATTCAGCGAGAAGGAAAAATTGAAGATTTTGCAAAAAAAAATGTTAAATTTTGGGGAAATCGAGAAAATTTTCAAAAATTTCGCATCACTCGAAAAGAAAATTCGAAAAATTTGAGCATTTTTCGAAAAATTCAAAAAAAAAATTTGAGCATTTCTCGAAAATTTCAAAAAAAAATTGAGCATTTCTCGAAAAATTCAGAAAAATTGAGCATTTCTCGAAAATTTCAAAAAAATTTGAGCATTTCTCGAGAAAACAAAAATGTTGCTGCGCGTGACTTTCGCTGGCCCCGCCTCCTCGCCAAAAATGGTAATCCGAATGTTATTGAAATGGCGTCGCCCACACACACACACAAAAAAACGACCGACCGAAATCTCTCTGACCCGAATCATGTGCTGCACACGGAAATGATAGCTGTTGTGTTGTTCGAGCGCGTCGGCGCTGCTGAACAGCCGAACGCACTTCTCGCACACGAAGCTCGTCGCGTCCATTTCGCGGCAACCCGCGTGCTCGATGATCGCGTGCTGCTGACACGCCCATTTTCCGCCGCACACCACTTTGCACACCGGGCAAATGTACCTAAAACACGGTAATTTTACTATCGGCTCCTTTTTTTCTCTCTCTCTCAAAATCATCACAACGAATCGAGCACCACTTTGGGTGAATATAATTATTTTTTTCTAGCAATTAAATTGAAAGCCCTTAAACAAAAATGGTGTTCGATTTTTTGCGAGTCAGAAATTTCTCAAATTTGGAAAATACAAATGGAAAATGAAATTCGATTCAAAAATCTTCAAAATCGACTTTAATTTCCCATTTTCAGTTGAAACTCTCGCATCTCGAATTTTACATTGAAATTTGGCTCAAAAATGTTCTCATTTTCAATTTTAAAATCTTTTTTGATTGAAATTCTCGCATACTTCGAAACAGATTTATTATTTTTCAAAATTTATTTCAAAATTTTGCTTTTGACGGAGAAAAATCAACTTTTTTTTTCGGAAAATTGAATTATTATTAAAATTTCTCCTTTTTTGAGATTTTTGATTCTCACGTGTTTAAAAAAATGTAACTTTCTCAAATTATCACAATTTTCTATTATTTTTGAACAAATTAATGAAACAATTGAGTCAAAATCAATTATTTTGCTTAAAAATGTCAATTTTTGTCTAACAAATTAGAAAAAAATTGCAAATTTCAAAACAAACGCACATTTCGAATTCAATTTGACGGCACAAATCGTAAAACGAGTCGAAATCGGCAAACGTCTCATAAAACACCATTTTCTCGTAGGCGTTGATTTTATTATCAATCGGATTGATCGGGACCACAACTCCCGTGTGAATTCTCATTGTCCATCGCTCAAGGTCCGTATGAGATTTTCTGCAAAAAAGAAGAAGCAAACCAAAATAATTTCGCTCGCGCATTTTTTTGAAAAGAGCAAAGAGCACATCGCTCACTTCAGACGCGGAAAAATTGGAATGTTGCCTCGAACGATGTGCACATTGTCCGGAATCGACACCGTTCTTCTATTACTGCAAAAATAAATTTTGAAAAAAAATTGGCATCTCGATTTTACCATGAGAATGGCTTATAGGCCTCCTCGAGCTCTTCTTTGCATGTCACGTGAGTTCTCATATGCTTCTTCATGTTTCCTTTTAATCGAAACGATTTTCCGCAAAACGGACAATTGTAGAGCGCGTTGCCGGTGTGAATTGAGCGATGCTCGAACAGATTCGACTTGTAGCGGAAGCTTCGATCGCAAATCTCGCACACATACGGCTTCTCGTCGGTGTGAATCACCGAATGTTGTTGCAAGCCTGAAAAACGCGCAATTTTCGATGATTCGAGCCAAAAAGCTATCCAAATAGACCTCTAAAATTCAGGAAAATCTTGTTACAAATATTGCATTGATGCACGGCGACTTTTCCAACATTCTCATTCTGCAAGTTTCTTTCTTTTTTTTTCATCCAGCCAACATTTCCGCCAATTTACCTGCTTTATATAGTTATTATTATTATTCTCCGCAAAATTCTGCCCAAGAACCATTCTTCAATCACCTGAAACGCGAAAATTTCCAGAAAAGAAAAGCGAAAAAGGAATTGATAATTCGAAATTCGCTAAATTTTCGCAAGCTACAGTACCCATCGCGCCGAGACCCAACTCAAATCGACGCACGCGCCTTTAGTTTCCCCACTTCCATTAATTTCATTTTTTGTTGTGTTATTTCGAGATTTTTTCGCGCATTAAAATTAATCTTTCAGGCAAACGAAGGAATAAGAAGAAGAAAAAAACAAAAACACATTTGCATAATTGTCAATTTCAATTCGATTCATGTGAGCGGCGGCAAATCTTCTTCCAGAATTATGAAAAGCTTAAATTCAAGCGAATAATATAAAAATTTGCATGTTTTCAATTAAATTGCTCGCCTTCTGGAAACACACGAAAATCCCCCCCCCCGTTCTTCGTTCGTCGATTCATCAATCGGATTGCGTTGTGGTTTGTGGCGTTTTGCAGGTTCAACATCGTTTCGCTGGCGAGGGCGCGAAACGAACAAAACCGGAATTGTCAAAGGGCAAATGCGGTTATCATCGATGCGATGCGACGACGTGCGTCCGATTCCATCCAGACAATCCGCGTATAATGGCAATCAATTGCGATGTGATAGCCATTCCGATTGATAAAACTTCACAAACTTTTTTTTTGTGCGGCCGCGTGGGATCTTTGTCTGGCGGCGATTGAGCCGAAATTTGCACAACAAATAATTTTGAAAAATTCAAAATTTGCAGATTTTTTTAAAACCATTCTTCAAGGCTAGAAATCACTTGTGGAAAAATGTCTAAAAAAAATGCTGAAAATTAATTTTTAAGCGAAAAAACTTTAAAAAAAAGCATTGGAAATAATTTTTTTTCTGGCATGGTACTGTAGTTGTAAAAGTCCGTAGACGTCGGTGTTTGCGGACCCTCTATTTTTTCCACTCAATATCTTCGAATTTTCTCATTTCTTTTCGGTTTTTTGTTGAAAAATCTTCAAAATTTATCGAATTTCGATGGTTTTTAGGCGCGCACGTCGAAAATCGCGGCAACGAGATGGAAAAAATCGGGATTTTCGGGCTATCAGATTGATTGCATGCCAACCCGAACAGTTGTCAAGTTTTTTTTGGGAAGGTCGCCGTCTCGGGAGTCGATTTTTTTTCTCGTTTTCGCCAAAGAGGTTTCTTTTTTTTTCTATTCGAGGGGAGAAGAATCGAATGAATGAGGATGGAAAACAAAATTTGTCGAAAATTTCTGTCTAGTTTTTTTTTGGGTCAAGGTGCCCCCCGGGGGCAATTTCGAAACTCGTTTTTTTCGATTCGACACCTCTCGTGATATTCCCACAAAATCGCCATTCTTCGATTCGTTTTCTCATCGTTTTTTTTTGGTCTCTTCGAGATTCCCAAATTTCGATGGTCCCGTCTCATCATGTGTTCGCATCGGCAAAAAAAAAGAGAAATGATCAATTGCCATCGTACTTCTTTCGAAAAAAAAAGTGAAAAGATCGCCTGATTCTGAATAACGAAAAATTTTGTTAATTTAGCCATCTGCGGACAATTTTACGGGTTTCCATTGTTCCCAAATTCTCATTTTGAAATTTTTTCATCCAAATTTTTTTTAATTGGAAAAAAGGAAACCGTGAGAAACGAGTTTTTCGATTCCAGACTGAAAACAAAACGTGCATTTCCGTTGTTTTTTTGTTTTTGCAACAAGCAAATGATTAAAATGGTCCCCAGGATCACCAAAAACCACATTCATTTCTCCTTTTTTGAAGGATTTTTTTTCGTCGTCGCCTTCCCGCGTATTGCGTAACCAACCAGATTCGGTTGGGAATCGAAATCGAACCAAAAAAAGACGTCGAAGACACCAATCAAAAAATTGGAATTTCGGACTAAATTGGACCATTTTTATTTCGGATTCGCGTCCCGCAACGTTGTCCGCAGATCGAATTCGTCATATTCAAATCTCAATATCTCCTCGTGATTTCCTGCTGGCACTATTAGACCCGATTGGATGAATTTTTTGAAATCAAAATTTCTTTTAGGCTTCATTTTTCGTGAAATGAAAACCCCGCAAAATTGTCGGCAGATGAAAATTCTTATCAATTTCGAGATTACATTTTGGCGTCTCGAAAAAACCCGCGATTTGTCGGAAGATCAACATTTTCATAGAAATTTCGAAATGCCGACGTTTCCTGAAGTGAATTGTCCGCAGAAGCGAATTGATAAGCCGAATTTAATTTGGGCTTCATTTTTCGTGAAATGAAAATCCCGCAAAATTGTCGGCAGATGGAAATTATCATAGATTTCGAGAATTCGTATTGCTTTAGCGAGTTGTGTGCAAATTGGCGTCTCAAATGAAACCCGCGATATGTCGGCAGATGGGTTTAGTCGCGTCATTCTCATGCGCGAACCCAGCGCGTCTCTTTTGAATGCGTGTTAATGATTCACCAAATTTCCCACGCGGTTTCCATTCAAAAAATTGGCCATATATAGAGTTGATCTTAGAGTGCATCTATACAAACTATACTATGCATTATATATATAGTTAAGCGTCTTAACCATGACGTGTATGGGAAAAAAAGAACGAGAACCCATTTTTTGTTTGGCAAAAAAATGAGACCCACGCGGATTAATCGAAAAGTGTCAATTTGTTTTGAATTTTTGGCGCCGCCGAGAGCACGAATTCGAAATTGCTCAAAATTGCTATTTTGGCAGAATTCGAAACCCGCAAGATTGTCGGCAGATGGAGTTTTGAAAATTTTTCAAATTTTGAGAAAAATCGCACAAAAAAAATTTTTTTTTTGGAAACCTGCAAGATTGTCGGCAGATGGAGTTTTTCATAGCAAAAAAATTTTTTTTTGAAAAAACCGCGCATTTTGAGATAAATCGTCGAAAATTGCTCGAATTTCACCAACATTTTTTTTGAAAACCTGAAAAATTGTCGGCAGGCGTTTTTGATCTACCAAACTTGATCTGTTTTTTTCCTCTTGGGCGGTCCGCAAAAGCTTCTTAGATTGCCGGACGACGTCACACGTGATAATCGTCGTGTGACGTCGCGCTCGTCCAAATTTGGAAACAAACATATTCGGGATTAGTCGGCTCGAAACGCGAGCGCGCTTTTGGGACCATCGACAATTCCAATGGTCCCCCCTTCAATGTTTCAATTGTCTTGTTTTTTATTTTCGTTGATGGATGGCGGCCGTCGTAAATAATATCGACAAAATTGAAATGCCGATGGAAATCCGGGACCATTGAGGGATGAGAGAGAGATGGGGGGGACCAGCGAGATGTCCGCAGCACATCTCGCGTAAAACGCCCGCCATTGTTTGCCCAGCGATAATTAAGTATTCGAGCTTTTTGCGTCGAGCTTGCTCTTTCCGAAATTCGTTTTTTTGTTGGAATTCAACAACAACGACGACGACGAGAATTGAGACGACGTCGAATTTCGTATAGTTGCACTTTTCGAGAGGAAAGATGGGGCTTCTAAAACAACAACAACAACAACAAACAGCCCACGAGAAAAAAAGTTGCACTTTTTAAACAGAAAAATAAACGGCTATACGAATGTGACGCCCCCCTTCCCTCACAAGAAGATAAGAGTGAGAATTGATGGGTCCCCAAACGCGGGGGGGGGGCGGCGAAAATGTTCGCACGCGATGAGTACGGTAGCGTTTAAAGGCGCGTGAGCGTTGCTGGGAACGTTTTAAACGCGAATTGGCTTCTTCTTGGTGCTTCTAGAATTTTTTGAATAGTTTGGAAGACCTGGTGAGGTTTAAAGGCGCATAGACGTCTTCTCGACATTTTTAGGCGCTTCTAGCGATTGCTAAAGGAGCCTGAAAGACTTGGCGGAATTTAAAGGCGCATCAGCTTCTTCTCGACATTTCTAGACGCTTCTTGGGTTCTTTGAAGAGTCTGAAAGACCCGATGAGGTTTAAAGGCGCATTGGCTTCTTCTCGACATTTCTAGACGCTTCTAGAGATTCTTAAAAGAGCCTGAAAGACCTGATGAGGTTTAAAGGCGCATTGGCCTCTTCTCGACATTTCTAGACGATTCTAGACGCTTCTTGAAGGAGCCCCAAAGACTTGGCGGAATTTAAAGGCGCATTGGCTTTTTCTCGACATTTCTAGACGCTTCTAGGGATTCTTAAAGGAGCCTGAAAGACCCGATGAGGTTTAAAGGCGCATTGGCCTCTTCTCGACATTTCTAGACGATTCTAGACGCTTCTTGAAGGAGCCCCAAAGACTTGGCGGAATTTAAAGGCGCATTGGCCTCTTCTCGACATTTTTAGGCGCTTCTAGCGATTGCTAAAGGAGCCTGAAAGACTTGGCGGAATTTAAAGGCGCATTGGCCTCTTCTCGACATTTCTAGACGCTTCTAGAGATTCTTAAAAGAGCCTGAAAGACCCCGACGAGATTTAAAGGCGCATCTGAAAAGAGCCCCCGTTCCCTTGAATCCCGCCGAACATTTCGAATGTATGTCGTGATTGTGCGGCCCACAAACAACCAAATTCGACGAGAAAAATAAACGCGCTCGCGTGATTGATGGGTCCCCAGATGGGCCCGACGAAATCCACTCCAAACGCCGGCGGCGCCGCGCGACCACCACGCTTTTTTTGCTTGTTTGTTTGTTTGTTTGTTTGTTTGTTTGTGTGTTTGTGTGTTGTTGTTGCTGTCGTATTTTTTTTTCTGCGCGAGGTCAAAGATCATCGACACACACACACACACACACGTAGATAGTCGTGGTCGGACTACTGTAGGCGCGTCGAGACCCGACACCTTTAAAACCACCGTCTTTGAGGGTCTCAGTTTCACCGAAGAATCTTGGCAAGATCCCAACCAGCATTGGCATTCATGCATCTTTAAGACCTCTATATGCGCCTTTAAATTCTTGCCAAGACCCCCACTCCCCACGCGCTTTGAAATTCCCATCTGACCCTCGTTGCCGGTGTGATCGTTTAAGAGAAGGACGCCAAGATTGCCATAAAGGTTATGCGCCTTTAAATTTGATTAATTTCGCGTCGAGATCTCCAAATCTTCCAAAGCGTCTTTAATGTCAAATTTTGCAGAAAATAAATCGTGGGGTGCTCCTTTAAAATATATGAGCCAAGCATTCAACACTAGGGCGCCTTTAAATTCCCTCGGTTTCGTGCCATGACCCCCCCTCATCCATTCGAGACCTCAAAAAATTTCGTTTTAAGCAAAATGATGGTCTGCGCCTTTAAAGAATGCCCTAAATTCGATTTGTCTCTAAATAAAAATGTTTTCGTGACAAGACTCCTACAAATCTTCTGATGCGCCTTTAAAATCTAATCTTGCCGAAACTAGTGGTGTGCGCTTTTAAAATTTGAATTTTTTCGCGTCAAGACCTCCACAAATCTTCCAATACGCATTTTTAATTGAATTTCGCACAAACTAGTGACCTGTGCCTTTAAATCTGAATCATTTCGCGTCAAGACCTCAACCCCAAGTCGTTCGATGCGCCTTTAAAATCTAATCTTGCCGAAACTAGTGGTCTGCGCCTTTAGAATGTGAATTTTTTTGCGTCAAGACGGAATCTAGTGGGATGTGCCTTTAAATCTGCATCATTTCGCGTCAAGACCCACACTCCAAGTCTTCCGATGCGCCTTTAAGATCGTCTTCCATGATTTGCGAAAACAAAAAATATTGCATTCGGCGAGATTCGTCCATTTTCGAACATCCCTTTTCGTTGTTGGTTTTCTTTTCTTTTTTTTTTTGGGATACCTCCCATATTAGTAAAGTAAGTAACTATGCTATCTCTCCATCGGATCAGTAGGCCCCGGCGAGAAAAAAATTGGCGATTTTTGCGCGGCCATGGTACGCCGTCGATGATGGGCGATGATATGGGCTGAGGTGGGAGGAAGAGGAGGAGGAGGAGGTGGAGGTGGAGGTGGAGGTTGAAGGCTGTACCATTCGGTGTCACGCAGTTCGCCTCTTCCCCTCCCATCCATCCAACCCAATCATTGGTATGCCAAAAACGGGTTCCTCCGCCATCACCTCTTCTTCCCCTCCCCCTCCTCATCCTCCTCCTCCTCTCCACCTCTCTCTCTCTTTCGAAGAAAAAAAAACCACACACACATTTTTGGCTGAATGCCCGGGCGATTTGCCAACATCATGTGTTCAAGGCTATTTCCTTTACTTGACTGACTGATGGTGAGGAAGGGATGGGGAGGGGGGGTCCGAATTCCGTTTCGCTCACTCACAGCTATTTTTGGCGGTCATGCACCATTTTTTGGCGCGCGAGACAAAAACACGATGATGGCCTTCGAAAAAAGAGAAATAGATGAATTGAAACACAAAAGAGCGAGCCGAACGATGCTCGCGGAGCCCTGCACTCATTTTGTTCTCTTGATCTTGAGTATGAGGTTCTCCAGCTGCCGACAATTTTTGGCGACTGGGTGGAATTCCGAAATTCTTTTTTTCGCTTTTCAAATATTTCATCTGCGGACAATTTTCTCCGGAATTTTCAGATTTTCACATTTTTGCCGGGGAAATACTTTTTCTTTGAGAACTTCCATCTGCGGACAATTTTCGGAATTACTTTTTAAAATTTTTGGCCAAATTCTATCTGCGGACATTTTTTTGGAGTGATTTTTCAGTTGTTCCTTGAGAAACTCCATCTGTCGACAATTTTTTGGTATTTTAAGACATTGAAATTTGCCTAGTGTTTTTTTCGAAGTTCTTTTTGCCAAATTCCATCTGCGGACAATTTTCGGGATAATTTCCCATCATCACTTTTGAGAATATCCATCTGCGGACAATTTTTCGCCAATCAACAGCGAAAAAAAAAACATCCGCCAACGCCATTGCCACCAATTTGTGTGGTCGCCAAATCGGCTGATTCTCTTCCGATCCTTCCAAAAAAAAAAACAAAACAAAAAAAAAACAAAGTACATTCTCTGATGTCTCTGGGTCTCGTCGCGCGCGCGTCACACAAGAGGCGCAGAGAAACAGACAGAGAGATCACTAGAAAGGCACAAAAAGTGGGCGTGGCCCGTGGCGAAGCAGCTGAGAAAATGGGCGGAGTCGGCGTGCCATCCGCACTTTTCACTTTTTCGAAGGCGGGTGCGCGGCGCGTCGCGCGCGCCGCGTCGCGCACGCCCCGCCCACAATCGACAATATAAAAAGGGGTGGCCCATGCGAAATTAGCATATCACACACCAAGCATCGCTCATTGTTTGCAGACGCGACCAACCAAATCGCAATCGACGATGAAGCTCACAATCACAGCGTTCTTGATATTCGCCATGTTGGCCGCGTTCGCCGCCGCCCGTCCCGAATACAAAGGTGAGTCGATGACAAATTTGTTTTTTTTTTCCTGTCCTTCGCGGTTGGGGTTTTTTTTTGGGGGATGTGATGGCCAAGTGACGAGAGAACCATAGCCGCGCTCATTCTAGACATCGACTATAAGCTATTCGATGATGATCCAGGCGTCGTCATCGATCGCATCTACGGCAACGAGCCGAAGCCGGAGAAGCACCAACACCATCATCATCATCATCACAAGAAGACGAATCGTCTCGAGCGTCTCAAACGATTCCTGAAGCTCTAGGGGAGGAAGTGTCGATTCCCCTCCTCCTCCTCTTCCCATCCCCCCCCTTCTTCCCCTAATCACAGTGCTTTACCGCGTCTTTCCCCCCGCCGCAGATGAAAAAAAAAAATTGTTTGACGAACACCAATATCGACAATCTGATTGTTGGATGTGGTTGTTGTTGATCTCTGTTGTTTTCAATTTTTTTTTTGAGACCCCCCCCCCAAAAAATAAAACAACTATTTCTAATAAAACCGCTTTCGGTGTCCACCCGAGTTCCCCGTATTCCCATTTCTTGTTCTTGTTGCTATTTGTTTTTTTTTCTCCTTCGCCAGACACACAATTTATGAAATTGATATATTGATCTCCATAATCGGACCCCCCCCCCCCCAAACTTCTCCAAAATATTCAGCTTAGCTTTGTATTGGATTTGTTTCAATTCTTTGAAATCGAGAGAAATAAATGTGACTGTAATTTTGAGTTTTTTTTTCGACCAAATTGCATCATCATCATCATCATCGTTGATGTTTGTGTAGTCCACACGGAGGAGAGCAAGGTGCCAATATTTGCGCGCCGCTTTCAAGTGTCGAGGATCGCGGGTTCGAACCCCGGCGGGACGATTGGGGGGGGGGGGTCGCCTGATGATAAAATCACGTGAGTCAAGGTCAAATACACACACACACAAACAGAGACATACTCAATTAGTCGCCGAGTTTTCAAGGAATCGCGTGTGGCCTCGAACAAACCCCAACCCGTGAGGTGTCCGCAGATCGGAATCGTCAATGAGGGGTTTTCGAATTGGGGAATCTTCGCAAAAATCCGAATCTCGACATTCGCACATATTTTTGAGCTGGAAGCGAAAACCGGTAGACTGTCCGCAGATGGAATCGACAAACCCAACGTATGTGTGGTTTCGACTCCCGCGAGGTGTCCGCAGATCGAAATCGTCAAAGGGAAATTTCGTTCTGTTCGTAAAAATCCGAATCTCGACATTCACAGATATTTTTGAAAAGCGAAAACCGGTAGATTGTCCGCAGATCGAAATAGTCAGGGCTTTTGAATTTTTTTTCACTTTTCGAGATTCTCATATTCTGAACTGAAACGAACGGTCGAGAAACTGTGTAGATTGTCCGCAGATGGAATCCGCTTTATTTGAAGTGCCTTCAAATCCCGCGAGGTGTCCGCGGATCGAAATCGTCAAGGCTTTTGAATTGGATTTTTTTTCCTCGGCGAACTTGTTTTGAAATTCTCATATTTTGATCTGAAAACGAAACCCGGTAGACTGTCCGCAGATGGAATCGACGAACCCAACGTATGCGTGGTTTTGAATCCCGCGAGGTGTCCGCAGATTGAAATCGTCAAGGACTTCGAATTTTTTTTCTTCTCGAGATTCTCACATTCTGAACTAAAACGAACGGTCAGGAATCTCTATGGACTGTCCGCAGATGGAATTTGCATCCGGCGAGGTGTCCGCAGATCGAAATAGCCAAGGAGCTGAAACGGCAACCCGTGTCGATTGTCGGCAGATGGTATCGAGGCCCGCGAGGTGTCCGCAGATCGGCTGTCAGAAAGAATGCCGAAAAATGAGTTCGACGGAAGTATTCGACGAGTTTCTAAATCGGGACAACATTCCGGCGACCTTGTAGCACACTTGATGAAAAATGTCGGCAGATCGAAACCGATAACACGACTCGTGTGCGAGAATTATTTGAACCGCTCCAATTGTCCGCAGCACGATCATTTCGAAACCTACTCGACGGCTCAATTCATTCCGACGGCTAATGGACTTCGGATTATCGTCATATCATATGTTTTCTCTTTGCACACCGGCTAATACCCGATTTTTTCGACTTCCCCCCCCCCTCAAAAATCGGATTTGGGATTGTTGGCAAAACAAAAATGAGAAATTTTAGAAAGAATGAAAATATAGCGAAAAGTGTGCGGAGTTGAAAGACGAAATTAAGCCGAATTGCATTAGTCCATTTATGGAATTGAAAACGCACGAGATTCGGATTGTGGAGGCGGCAGAAATTGCGAACGAGCCGGCGAATATTTCACAATTCATTGCTGCGGACAGTTCGCGGGTTGAGGCGTCGTTGATTTCTTGGACGGATTTCGGTCATCGAGTACTAGCTGCGGACGTCTCACGGGTTTTATGAGGGTGGGGGGTGATAAATCGCAAAATGAGAAACTCGTGCCTTGTTTGAAATATCCTCGATTAACGATTTTATTAAATTGTATACAACACTGAGAGCAGCTGCGGACATCTCGCTGGTTTTTAATGCACTCAGAATGAAAGTTCGGGCTCTTCCCGAATATCACCAAATCATGCTGCGGACAACTCGCTGGATTTCCCCCGGTATCGCTTAATGGAGCTGGCGACATCTGACACGGGATTACTAGCAAATGATGCTGCGGACATCGCACGGGATTTCATGGCAACACCCCAATAACACCTAACGTTTTGCTGGAGCTGCCGACATCTCGCGGGATTCCGGCGAGCACGCGCTCAACGCGCCAAGTAAATGATGACGCTGCTGCGGACATCTCGCCGGATTTCTTTTTGGCAATTCTTCTGCCGGATTGAATGTGCGAGAAGCCACCTCTCCTCCTGTTTGGTGCTGCTGCGGACGTCTCACCGGTTCGAGCAACACCAAAACCGCCGATGGGGGGCAATTTCGCAACGTTGACGTCACACCCGAAGAACCGATTTTCGAAAATGTTCGCCAATTGGCTCGTCGCCAAAATGACGATTGAAAAAAAAATGGTCGACGTCCTTGAGGTGACTCATCATCGGACGCCATTTAATGGGGGGTGGGGGGGGCATATGGTGCAAACAACACCAAACAGAAAATAGAGAAAAAGAAAAAACGGCTGGCGTGGGGGGTCGAACACAACAACAACAACAACAGCTGCTTCTCAGCTTCCCCCTCGCTTCCTCCGAGGTGGTTCCAAAGTGAAAGTGTCCGCATTCGCTTTCGTCCGATTTGATTTGTTGTGTGTTGTTCGCGATGTGGTGGTGGGCTTCAATTTTTCGCTCCACATGTTGTTGGGACCATTGTGGGGTCCCCCGACCATCTCCAGTGAAGAAATGTGATTGGTCGAATCGAATTCGAAACATTTCGAAAATCGCCGCCCGATGACTCAACCCGCAACGATGTCCGCAGATGAGTTGAGGTGTACCCCCCCCCCACGCAAGAGGGACCATTGAAAATAGTAGGAGTGTCCGCGAGTCAACCCGTAACAATGTCCGCAGATGGGTTGAGTTGTACCCCCCCGCCCCCGTGGAAGAGGGACCATTGAAATTCCGGCATCCAAACTTTCGCAATCGCTAAAACCCGCAATGAAAAACAGTTCGCCGACAGATGGCCTGGGGACCATTAACTCCTTCCACCCACAGCTGCTTCATCTCACCTCCAATGCAATTAATTGCGCGAACAGAAAAAAATGAGGCAATTGGGCATCGCGCCAGGCATCTGCGGACCATCAATTGAGGTAGTGGGAGAGACCTGGAAGCGTGTCCGCAGATGGGGACCCTAAAAGAAATTTTGTCGAACAATGATAAAATGTTTCAATTTTTTACAAATACTCGCCTCCATTAAAGGCGCATAAAACTCGCAAGGATGTCCGCAGCACATTTTCACTAGGGGGGGGGAGCCAGCCGATGCAATGGCCCGCAATTATGTCCGCAGCTCCTCATATTGTTGTGATCCAATGAATTGGCGAAACCCGGATCGCTGTCCGCAGCACACACTCACCAGAACCACAAAGCACAATAAACCTTGGAAGAATCGCTTAACCCGCAAGCGCGTCCGCAGCACATATTCGATAAACTTCCAACGCCTCGCAGAAGACCCGGAAGGAACGCGCGCGCGCGCGGGGGACCCGGAATTCCGTTCAACACTCGCGCCCGGTTAACCTTGTCGTCGGTTGGAATGCAAAACCAAAAAAAAAAAAGAACGGAAGGCTATAGCCGATTAAAAAAACCGTAATTTGCAGTTTTGAGGACGGCATTCGACAGCTGTCAATCAACCTTGCGCCCAAAATTCCAATTCAATGCCATCTGCGATCAATGAAACATGGCCACATTCGCAGAAACCGAACGCAAGCTTGTTAACCGGTTTACGACGAACAAACAAACAAACAAACAAACCAATCATTCGTCTCATTCGCTCTCTCCCAGAAAGGTCATTTATGCGATTTCTACATAATATCAATTTAAAGGAGAAGCTACAATAAATTATGGAATTCGATTAGTCTGTAATTTCGCGTCACGATTACTGTAAGCAAATCAAATTTCAAGCTAATGAAGTGGGGGAGGGGGGGTCTGCAATTTCGCGTCACCGTGTACCTTACAAAAGTGACAAACATTTCGAGATTCTCGCGATTGATCACATCAATTCAAATTCTATTGCAATGATTGGCTAGGATCGAGGGAGGGGACGAGTGGATAATTATCGATAATTAGTACAAATTGAGGGCGACGTTCTCCAATTTGGCGATCAGCGTCGACACACGATAATCAGCGTCGCATTGACGCGCGAAATCCACCAAATCGAGGAGGCGTTTGATGCCGATGCCGAATCTGAAAACATTTTCAGACGTATTGTCGAATTTCGGAGGGAAAATCACGAAAATCACACAACCAAATTCAATTTTCACAATTTTTCGCTTAAAATTGGAGAGTTTTATGAGTTAAAATCGCAAAAATTCCTCAATTTCAGATTTTCTCTCAATTCCCATTAAATTGCTCGAAAAAAAAGCGAAATATTTCAAAATTTTGCCATTTTTGTGAAATTTTTGATCAAAAATTCGGCAAAATGCGAATTTTCTCAATTTTTCGCCTAAAATTCAGCAAATTATGGAAAAAAATCCCAAAAATCCGCAATTTCATACAGTTTTTCAAGGCTTCCAAAAAAATGATGCAAATAATCAAATTTTCAGCATTTTCTCTCAATTCCCAGTAAATTTATGGAAAAAAAGCAAAATGTTTCAAATTTTTGCCATTTTTCTGAAAATTTCGCTCAAAAATTCGGCAAAATGCGAATTTTCTCAATTTTTCGCCAGAAATTCTGCATTTTATGGGTTAAACTCGCAAAAATTCCTCAATTTCAAATTTTTCTCTCAATTCCCATTAAATTGCTCGAAAAAGAAGCGAAATGTTTCAAATTTTTGCCATTTTTCTGAAAATTTCGCTCAAAAATTCGGCAAAATGCGAATTTTCTCAATTTTTTGCCAGAAATTCTGCATTTCAAAAAAACCAGCTGCAAAATTCTCGCCAATCTTTAAAAAAATTGCCAATTTTCAATTTTCACTCCAAAAATCCAAAAAAAAAAACAACCCGGTTTCAATTTTTTCGAAATCTCACAAATTTCAGCTCAAAATTCAAATTTCTCAAAAAAAAAATTCACCAAAATTTCAGCGTCCTCAAATTTCGCATCATTTTTCGAACAAAAACAACAACAACGAACATTTCTTCTTCTGTTCGCGAGAAAATGTCGGCGCGCAATCAAATTTCACCTTGGCGCTGCGCCAAAAAAAATTCCTTCCAACAGCGGCCTTCAAAGACCACCCACAACGATTAAACGATTTTCCATATACATATGCTAATTCGGCGCGGCGCCTCCCTCAAGGCCAAACTCGAAAATGACCTCCCGCGTGTGTGTGTGTGTGCCGTGCGTGCCGTGCCGTGTGGCCACTTCACGGCCACAACTTTTTGTTTTCTTTTGGTTTTCTTTCATTTGTCGACTCACTTTCGCAATTGTTCGAGGGATTTGAGGCGTTCCTCGATCTCGTGCAATTGATTGCTGGTGAACACCGACGATTCCGACAACACGTTCATGATTTGCTCGGGCGTCGCGATTAAAGGCACATCGATGACGTGGCCTGCAAAACAAAATACAAAAAATCGTCTTCGTTTTTTTTTGTCTGCGCTTCAATCTCACCGAACGCGTCCATGAGCTCGAGCTCGCGCAAAAACGAGCGATTCGACGATGTGGCGAGCACGAGGAGGTGATGGTCGGCGAGCGGCGGCTCATTGAGCAAAACGAGAAGCGCCTGAAGCACGAGATTCGAGTAGCGCGGTCCCACCGGCGAATAATCTACAATTTGGCAAAAAATAAACCAATTGTTTTTTTTTTCGTCGATTCGCGCTTTCTCCCTTTAATTTCGGGTCTCGCCACGAAAAAAAAAATCAAATCTCACCGAGCAATCGCTCCAAATTGTCGATGAGCAACACGCTGAGTTTCGATCGTTTCGCGTCATCGAACGCCTTGCGAAGCGCCAAACATTTCGCCGACTCGGTGAATCCGACCATATCGCCCGGCGAGACGACCTGCAGCACAAAAATTGAAAAAAATCTCGGCCACGGCCACGTTTTTCAAAGCCCCATACGCTTCAAGACCCATGAAATGTTTTCGGATGCGCCTTTAATCCAAATTGGTCAATTACAATTACCATTATTTCGACACCGATTAAAGGCGCCTACACAAAATTGTAATGATTCTTACAACGAATTAGGTACCGTATGGGGCCGTGGGTTTTTTTTTCGATTTTTTTTTAGGGGGGGGGAAATATTCACTGCGAGACCCTCGTCGTTCAGATTCGTTTGAAATCGAATTTTGAATTTCAAAACAAAAATGCGATGGTCCACAATTTCTCAAGATGCTCGATATTCTTTTTTTTCGATGCATATAAATAACTAAAAACTTCTTGAAAATTGTGTCTTTCCTTTTGGAAATTGAAATAATTTGAAAACTTTCCCAAATTTTAATATTATCGGGTTTGAAAAAAAGAGTAATTTTCTCAAAATATCCCAATTATTAAATTTTTTTTGGAACAAATCACTCAAAAATTTGCGTTTAAATCAAAAATGTTTCTTTTTTTGGATGAAAAATGCCACAAAAATCGCAAAATTCTTTCAAAATTGTCATTTTTTCGCCTCAATTATTTCAAAAAAAAAAAAAACCAAATGGATCTTTTTTTCAATTTTTTCTATAAAAGAAAATCAATTCCACGATAAATATTCCCCAAATTCTCACAAAAAATTTTTTTTGTTGTTCAAAATAAATGAAAAATCAAAATTTCTCCCCATTCTTGCAAGCAATTTCGGCTTCTCAAATAAGGGACCATCATGCCAAAAAAACAAAAAAGTCAAACCTTGACAAACGGGAACTCCGAGTTTTTGGCGATCGTCGCCGCGAGACACGATTTTCCGCTTCGCGGCGCGCCCGCCAACACCGCCGTCACAAATCCGCTGTTCTCCGGATTTTTGGCGCTCTCGACGAGAAGGGCGCCCTCTTCGAGAATCCGATTCACTTCCGGATCCCACACGATCAAACCGCGATCGAGAAATTTGTTGAGCGACTCATCCGATCGTCCGAACGCCTTCAAAATCGTCCAATTATTATTATTATTTGCCCCAACTCCCGAAGGCCGCCAATGCCGTTCTTCTCACCGGCTTCACGTCGTTCTCGAGCGCATAATCGAAATCGGCGGCGTTGATCATGAGCTTCTCGATCGCGTCCGGATCCAATTGCACTTTGCCGCCGGCTTTCACCAAACGATTCATCGCCGATGATTGCGCGGCGCGAACGAGACCCTCGATTTCGGCACCCGAGAAGTTCTTCGTTCGTTTCGCCAAATCTTTCAAATCCACATTCGGATCCAATTTGTTGTACTCTCTGAATTTCGTCTCGTCCGCATTTTCGCCGTCAAATATCACGTTTTGAGAGAAAATAATTTTTTCAGCGCGAAAAAATTGCTCAAAAAATTCGAATTTTGGCACAATTTCCAATTTTCTGCATTTTCGCGTCAATTATCACGTTTTGAGGGAAAATAATTTTTTCATTGGAAAAAAAATTGCTCAAAAAATTCGAATTTTGGCACAATTTCCAATTTTCTGCATTTTCGCGTCAATTATCACGTTTTGAGGGAGAATAATTTTTTCATTGGAAAAAAATTGCTCAAAAAATTCGAATTTTGGCACAATTTCCAATTTTCTGCAATTTTGCGTCAATTATCACGTTTTGAGGGAAAATAATTTTTTCATTGGAAAAAAATTGCTCAAAAAATTCGAATTTTGGCACAATTTCCAATTTTCTGCATTTTCGCGTCAATTATCACGTTTTGAGGGAGAATAATTTTTTCATTGGAAAAAAATTGCTCAAAAAATTCGAATTTTGGCACAATTTCCAATTTTCTGCAATTTTGCGTCAATTATCACGTTTTGAGGGAAAATAATTTTTTCATTGGAAAAAAATTGCTCAAAAAATTTGAATTTTGGCACAATTTCCAATTTTCTGCATTTTCGCGTCAATTATCACGTTTTGAGGGAAAATAATTTTTCATTGGAAAAAAATTGCTCAAAAAATTCGAATTTTGGCACAATTTCCAATTTTCTGCATTTTCGCGTCAATTATCACGTTTTGAGGGAAAATAATTTTTTCATTGGAAAAAAATTGCTCAAAAAATTCGAATTTTGGCACAATTTCCAATTTTCTGCATTTTCGCGTCAATTATCACGTTTTGAGGGAAAATAATTTTTTCATTGGAAAAAAATTGCTCAAAAAATTTGAATTTTGGCACAATTTCCAATTTTCTGCATTTTCGCGTCAATTATCACGTTTTGAGGAAAAATAATTTTTTCATTGGAAAAAAAAATTGCTCAAAAAATTCGAATTTTGGCACAATTTCGAATTTTCTGCAATTTTGCGTCAAACATATCATATTTTATTTCTAATTTCACATTTTGTGCATTTTTGCGTCAATTATCACGTTTTTCGACGAAAAACCAAATTCAAATGATTTAATTGGGCGCAAACAAAAAAAATTGCTCAAAAAATTCGAATTTTGGCACAATTTCGAATTTTCTGCAATTTTGCGTCAATTATCACGTTTTGAGGGAAAATAATTTTTTCATTGGAAAAAAATTGCTCAAAAAATTCGAATTTTGGCACAATTTCCAATTTTCTGCATTTTCGCGTCAATTATCACGTTTTGAGGGAAAATAATTTTTTCATTGGAAAAAAATTGCTCAAAAAATTTGAATTTTGGCACAATTTCCAATTTTCTGCATTTTCGCGTCAATTATCACGTTTTGAGGGAAAATAATTTTTCATTGGAAAAAATTGCTCAAAAAATTCGAATTTTGGCACAATTTCCAATTTTCTGCATTTTCGCGTCAATTATCACGTTTTGAGGGAAAATAATTTTTCATTTCATTGGAAAAAAATTGCTCAAAAAATTTGAATTTTGGCACAATTTCCAATTTTCTGCATTTTCGCGTCAATTATCACGTTTTGAGGGAAAATAATTTTTTCATTGGAAAAAAATGGCACAATTTCCAATTTTCTGCATTTTCGCGTCAATTATCACGTTTTGAGGGAAAATAATTTTTTCATTGGAAAAAATTGCTCAAAAAATTCGAATTTTGGCACAATTTCCAATTTTCTGCATTTTCGCGTCAATTATCACGTTTTGAGGGAAAATAATTTTTCATTGGAAAAAAATTGCTCAAAAAATTCGAATTTTGGCACAATTTCCAATTTTCTGCATTTTCGCGTCAATTATCACGTTTTGAGGGAAAATAATTTTTTCATTGGAAAAAAATTGCTCAAAAAATTTGAATTTTGGCACAATTTCCAATTTTCTGCATTTTCGCGTCAATTATCACGTTTTGAGGGAAAATAATTTTTTCATTGGAAAAAATTGCTCAAAAAATTCGAATTTTGGCACAATTTCCAATTTTCTGCATTTTCGCGTCAATTATCACGTTTTGAGGGAAAATAATTTTTTCATTGGAAAAAAATTGCTCAAAAAATTTGAATTTTGGCACAATTTCCAATTTTCTGCATTTTCGCGTCAATTATCACGTTTTGAGGGAGAATAATTTTTTCATTGGAAAAAAATTGCTCAAAAAATTCGAATTTTGGCACAATTTCCAATTTTCTGCAATTTTGCGTCAATTATCACGTTTTGAGGGAAAATAATTTTTTCATTGGAAAAAATTGCTCAAAAAATTCGAATTTTGGCACAATTTCGAATTTTCTGCAATTTTGCGTCAATTATCACGTTTTGAGGGAGAATAATTTTTTCATTGGAAAAAAATTGCTCAAAAAATTCGAATTTTGGCACAATTTCCAATTTTCTGCAATTTTGCGTCAATTATCACGTTTTGAGGGAAAATAATTTTTTCATTGGAAAAAAATTGCTCAAAAAATTCGAATTTTGGCACAATTTCCAATTTTCTGCATTTTCGCGTCAATTATCACGTTTTGAGGGAAAATAATTTTTCATTGGAAAAAATTGCTCAAAAAATTCGAATTTTGGCACAATTTCCAATTTTCTGCATTTTCGCGTCAATTATCACGTTTTGAGGGAAAATAATTTTTTCATTGGAAAAAAATTGCTCAAAAAATTTGAATTTTGGCACAATTTCCAATTTTCTGCATTTTCGCGTCAATTATCACGTTTTGAGGAAAAATAATTTTTTCATTGGAAAAAAAAATTGCTCAAAAAATTCGAATTTTGGCACAATTTCGAATTTTCTGCAATTTTGCGTCAAACATATCATATTTTATTTCTAATTTCACATTTTGTGCATTTTTGCGTCAATTATCACGTTTTTCGACGAAAAACCAAATTCAAATGATTTAATTGGGCGCAAACAAAAAAAATTGCTCAAAAAATTCGAATTTTGGCACAATTTCGAATTTTCTGCAATTTTGCGTCAATTATCACGTTTTGAGGGAAAATAATTTTTTCATTGGAAAAAAATTGCTCAAAAAATTCGAATTTTGGCACAATTTCCAATTTTCTGCATTTTCGCGTCAATTATCACGTTTTGAGGGAAAATAATTTTTTCATTGGAAAAAAATTGCTCAAAAAATTCGAATTTTGGCACAATTTCCAATTTTCTGCATTTTCGCGTCAATTATCACGTTTTGAGGGAAAATAATTTTTCATTGGAAAAAAATTGCTCAAAAAATTCGAATTTTGGCACAATTTCCAATTTTCTGCAATTTTGCGTCAAACATATCATATTTTATTTCTAATTTCACATTTTGTGCATTTTTGCGTCAATTATCACGTTTTTCGACGAAAAACCAAATTCAAATGATTTAATTGGGCGCAAACAAAAAAATTGCTCAAAAAATTCGAATTTTGGCACAATTTCGAATTTTCTGCAATTTTGCGTCAATTATCACGTTTTGAGGGAAAATAATTTTTTCATTGGAAAAAATTGCTCAAAAAATTCGAATTTTGGCACAATTTCCAATTTTCTGCATTTTCGCGTCAATTATCACGTTTTGAGGAAAAATAATTTTTTCATTGGAAAAAAAATTGCTCAAAAAATTCGAATTTTGGCACAATTTCGAATTTTCTGCAATTTTGCGTCAAACATATCATATTTTATTTCTAATTTCACATTTTGTGCATTTTTGCGTCAATTATCACGTTTTTCGACGAAAAACCAAATTCAAATGATTTAATTGGGCGCAAACAAAAAAAATTGCTCAAAAAATTCGAATTTTGGCACAATTTCGAATTTTCTGCAATTTTGCGTCAATTATCACGTTTTGAGGGAAAATAATTTTTTCATTGGAAAAAAATTGCTCAAAAAATTCGAATTTTGGCACAATTTCCAATTTTCTGCATTTTCGCGTCAATTATCACGTTTTGAGGGAAAATAATTTTTTCATTGGAAAAAAATTGCTCAAAAAATTCGAATTTTGGCACAATTTCCAATTTTCTGCATTTTCGCGTCAATTATCACGTTTTGAGGGAAAATAATTTTTCATTGGAAAAAAATTGCTCAAAAAATTTGAATTTTGGCACAATTTCCAATTTTCTGCATTTTCGCGTCAATTATCACGTTTTGAGGAAAAATAATTTTTTCATTGGAAAAAAAAATTGCTCAAAAAATTCGAATTTTGGCACAATTTCGAATTTTCTGCAATTTTGCGTCAAACATATCATATTTTATTTCTAATTTCACATTTTGTGCATTTTTGCGTCAATTATCACGTTTTTCGACGAAAAACCAAATTCAAATGATTTAATTGGGCGCAAACAAAAAAATTGCTCAAAAAATTCGAATTTTGGCACAATTTCGAATTTTCTGCAATTTTGCGTCAATTATCACGTTTTGAGGGAAAATAATTTTTTCATTGGAAAAAAATTGCTCAAAAAATTCGAATTTTGGCACAATTTCCAATTTTCTGCATTTTCGCGTCAATTATCACGTTTTGAGGGAAAATAATTTTTTCATTGGAAAAAAATTGCTCAAAAAATTCGAATTTTGGCACAATTTCCAATTTTCTGCATTTTCGCGTCAATTATCACGTTTTGAGGGAAAATAATTTTTCATTGGAAAAAAATTGCTCAAAAAATTCGAATTTTGGCACAATTTCCAATTTTCTGCAATTTTGCGTCAATTATCACGTTTTGAGGGAAAATAATTTTTTCATTGGAAAAAAAATTGCTCAAAAAATTCGAATTTTGGCACAATTTCCAATTTTCTGCATTTTCGCGTCAATTATCACGTTTTGAGGGAAAATAATTTTTTCATTGGAAAAAAATTGCTCAAAAAATTTGAATTTTGGCACAATTTCCAATTTTCTGCATTTTCGCGTCAATTATCACGTTTTGAGGGAGAATAATTTTTTCATTGGAAAAAAAATTGCTCAAAAAATTCGAATTTTGGCACAATTTCCAATTTTCTGCAATTTTGCGTCAATTATCACGTTTTGAGGGAAAATAATTTTTTCATTGGAAAAAATTGCTCAAAAAATTCGAATTTTGGCACAATTTCCAATTTTCTGCATTTTCGCGTCAATTATCACGTTTTGAGGGAAAATAATTTTTTCATTGGAAAAAAATTGCTCAAAAAATTTGAATTTTGGCACAATTTCCAATTTTCTGCATTTTCGCGTCAATTATCACGTTTTGAGGGAAAATAATTTTTCATTGGAAAAAAATTGCTCAAAAAATTTGAATTTTGGCACAATTTCCAATTTTCTGCATTTTCGCGTCAATTATCACGTTTTGAGGGAAAATAATTTTTCATTGGAAAAAAAATTGCTCAAAAAATTCGAATTTTGGCACAATTTCGAATTTTCTGCAATTTTGCGTCAAACATATCATATTTTATTTCTAATTTCACATTTTGTGCATTTTTGCGTCAATTATCACGTTTTTCGACGAAAAACCAAATTCAAATGATTTAATTGGGCGCAAACAAAAAAAATTGCTCAAAAAATTCGAATTTTGGCACAATTTCGAATTTTCTGCAATTTTGCGTCAATTATCACGTTTTGAGGGAGAATAATTTTTTCATTGGAAAAAAATTGCTCAAAAAATTCGAATTTTGGCACAATTTCCAATTTTCTGCAATTTTGCGTCAATTATCACGTTTTGAGGGAAAATAATTTTTTCATTGGAAAAAAATTGCTCAAAAAATTCGAATTTTGGCACAATTTCCAATTTTCTGCATTTTCGCGTCAATTATCACGTTTTGAGGGAAAATAATTTTTCATTGGAAAAAAATTGCTCAAAAAATTCGAATTTTGGCACAATTTCCAATTTTCTGCATTTTCGCGTCAATTATCACGTTTTGAGGGAAAATAATTTTTTCATTGGAAAAAAATTGCTCAAAAAATTCGAATTTTGGCACAATTTCGAATTTTCTGCATTTTCGCGTCAATTATCACGTTCTGAGGGAAAATAATTTTTTCATTGGAAAAAAATTGCTCAAAAAATTTGAATTTTGGCACAATTTCCAATTTTCTGCATTTTCGCGTCAATTATCACGTTTTGAGGAAAAATAATTTTTTCATTGGAAAAAAATTGCTCAAAAAATTCGAATTTTGGCACAATTTCGAATTTTCTGCAATTTTGCGTCAAACATATCATATTTTATTTCTAATTTCACATTTTGTGCATTTTTGCGTCAATTATCACGTTTTTCGACGAAAAACCAAATTCAAATGATTTAATTGGGCGCAAACAAAAAAAATTGCTCAAAAAATTCGAATTTTGGCACAATTTCGAATTTTCTGCAATTTTGCGTCAATTATCACGTTTTGAGGGAAAATAATTTTTTCATTGGAAAAAAATTGCTCAAAAAATTCGAATTTTGGCACAATTTCCAATTTTCTGCATTTTCGCGTCAATTATCACGTTTTGAGGGAAAATAATTTTTTCATTGGAAAAAAATTGCTCAAAAAATTCGAATTTTGGCACAATTTCCAATTTTCTGCATTTTCGCGTCAATTATCACGTTTTGAGGGAAAATAATTTTTCATTGGAAAAAAAATTGCTCAAAAAATTCGAATTTTGGCACAATTTCCAATTTTCTGCAATTTTGCGTCAAACATATCATATTTTATTTCTAATTTCACATTTTGTGCATTTTTGCGTCAATTATCACGTTTTTCGACGAAAAACCAAATTCAAATGATTTAATTGGGCGCAAACAAAAAAAATTGCTCAAAAAATTCGAATTTTGGCACAATTTCGAATTTTCTGCAATTTTGCGTCAATTATCACGTTTTGAGGGAAAATAATTTTTTCATTGGAAAAAAATTGCTCAAAAAATTCGAATTTTGGCACAATTTCCAATTTTCTGCATTTTCGCGTCAATTATCACGTTTTTCGACGAAAAACCAAATTCAAATGATTTAATTGGGCGCAAACAAAAAAATTGCTCAAAAAATTCGAATTTTGGCACAATTTTTGCTCAATCTCGCATTTTTCTGCATTTTCGCGTCAATTATCACGTTTTGAGGAAAAACTAATATTTCCATTGGGAAAAAAATTGCTCAAAAAATTCGAATTTTCTATATAATAAATGTTGGCTCAATTTTTGCTCGATAATTCCCTCAATTCCGCATTTTCGCGTCAAATATGATGCAGCGATGCCCAAGTTCAGTTTCTCCCAAATTTTGCTTCAAAAACCCCCAAATTTCATTTTTTATTAATCGAAAAAAAACAACATTTGTCCGCATTTTTACGTCAATTATCACGTATTGAGTAAAATCTCAAAATTTCATTCAATTCTTGTCATTTTTCTAGGGTTAAATGCTCAAAAAAAATTCAATTTTTCAATTTTACAATCAAAAAATTCTAAAATTCCGCAAAATCGCGTTTTTCAAAATTTTTTCTCAAAAAAAAAACCTCATTCGCGCCGTATGAATATTGAGAATCTGCAATCGTCCCTGCTCATCCGGCAACGAGACCTCCATCTGAACCTCGAGCCGTCCGGGCCTCAGAAGCGCATCATCGATCATATCTTTGCGATTCGTCATTCCGATGACGAGAATGTTGTTCAATTGCTCGACGCCGTCCATCTTCGACAATATCTGATTCACAACCGTGTCGTGAACCGACGAGCTGCCAGCCTGAACAAGAGACAAAAAATAAAATGAAAAAAGACAAAAAAAAAGAAAGAAAAACCAACGGACCATCGAGCCTCTCTGCTTGCAAATCGCGTCAATCTCATCGAAAATGATGATGTGCAATCCCGAGTTCGCGCCGCACCGCCGCCATTCCTCTTCGGCGTCGGCGAACAATTTCCGAACGTTCGATTCCGACTCGCCGACATACTGGGACAAACGTTTTCAATCAGGCAAAATTCACTTTTTTTTTCAAACCTTGTCCAAAATCTGGGGACCATTCACAATTTTCGGCTCTCTCGCGTTGAGCATCTTTCCAATTTGTCTCGCCATCAGCGTTTTTCCAGTTCCCGGTGGTCCGTAGAGCAGAATTCCGCGAACGTGTTTCATGGCTTGAAGAAAAAGAAAATTATTATTATTTTTTATATTGAAAAAATCCAAATCCTACCCAATTGCTCGATGAATTCCGGCGGAAATACGCGCGAGGCAAACGCGCGCCGGAAAATTCCGGAAAACTCTTTGTCGAGACCGCCGATTCCCATCTTCTGGAAATCCCAATCCGGATTGATGATCGAACGATACGCCGATTTTCTGCAATTCAAAAAATCAGCAAATTCCCCGAAAAATTGATACGGATTTTGTCAATTTCGCCTAGAAATGCCCCAAAAATTAAATTGACAATTTTTTTAGCCAAAAAACACCAGCAAAGCTGCAATTTGGACCATCAATTTGGACCACCATGACCAGCTTTTGGCTCATTTCCTAGAAAAGTGCCAACAATTACGTCGAAAATACATCAAAAATGACAATTTCGGACCAAAATTGCCCATATTGCTCAATTTTCTGGCGAAAAACTCCCAAAAAACTCGGTTTTCAGAACGAAAAAAAATGCGGAAATGGCAATTCGCGCACAATTTTTCCTTTTTTTTTAAAGCAAACCCAAACCCTTTGCTTTTGCCAATCAAATTGAGCATCGAACCCTCCTCCTTGTCGAAAACGATGACCGAATTCGGCAAAAGCTCGCCAGCGCCTATCTGAAATTTGGCAAATTCTCGTCAAAAACGAAAACCATACAAAAACCCTGATTGATGATGGCCCGCTTTATTCAGTGGTCCCTAAATTTCTGACAACTAGGCTCCCAAATTGAATGGTCCCCAGATAGTTCAAGCCTTCTCACGTCAATTAAACTTACAAAAAATCTCTAGAAATTCGACGCTTGATTATAATGGTCCCCAGAAATTCCTTCCCATGGTTCTAATGGTTCATAATGCAAAAAAAAAAATCTGTTACCGTCTGCGGTTTCGTCGCCTGAGCGCTTCCGTCGCCAGTCGCCGTCACGTTCGCCTTCGTCACATCAAATCCTGCAAAAAAAAATTGGTCCTTTTTGAATGGTCCCAATTTTTGTTGAACTCAAAATTTGCAATTCCCCCCATCCCCAATCAACTAATTAGTGTTGGACAAAACAAATTTTCGTTGCAAGACCACCAAAGCGGCAATTCAAATGCGAAACTCACCGCTTCAAAATTATCGTGGTCCCCCCAATTTTTTTCGCCAATTAAACTTTTAAGGCACTTTAAAAATATTCTAATAATTCAAATGAGACCCATTTTCAGCGACTTTCAACATTCTCAAACCATCTATGGGACCATTATGACAATTTTCATCAATTTTAGGTGCATTTCAATTAAAAAAAAAACTAGAAATTACACATTAAAGGCGCAATGGGGGGTCTCGCGGCGAAAAAAAAAAGACAATTTTGCTCAAATACCTTCAATCGATTTGACAGTCAATGATAGTGTGTGAACGCGATTCTTCTCCTTGTCCTCGAAACGAAAAACCAGCAATTCGCCTCTGAATATGACAAATTGATATATTATAATATTGTCAACGTGAAAATGCGCGCTATGCGCCTTTAATCCTGGCCCCGTAAATCTACACTAGCCAGTTTTGCGCCTCTAGACCGCTTCAATTGGTTTTTCATTAAACTCAACAATATTGAAATGCGCGTAGACTATAATGCAATGTACGCAATTTCGTCTAAATGCCAAAAAAAAAATTCGATGCACCTTTAGTCGTAAATCTACACCTGTCTGTTCAGGGCTGCACGGAATTCCGCCATCTACAGTACACCTATGTAATTTTCAGCGCAGAATTCAATTTTGGGAATTTTAAAAAGGGGAAACAGTTTCAGCAATTTAGACTCTACTGCTTAAAACCTTCTCAAAAGCTCGTCCCGTTTTCCGAATGTCGTGAAAAAAAAAACTGAAATGTTCAGTTTTTCGTTTCAGCTCCGTTTCGCGTCAAGACCACTGCTATTTGGTGCATTTTAACTAGAAATTAAAAAATAATAAAAACAACTCACTGCGAAAACGCTTGACCGACGAATTGCATCGAAAACTCGCGCGCCATGAGATCGGCATTCAGCGGCTCCGATGTCACACTGAAATCGGTAATTATGCCTCAATTATCTCAAATTCCGATAATTGTGTGTTTTCTTCAAAATTATGTACTAATTAATGGGTAATTATCACAACACTTATAAAAAAATGCTGGTATAATCTATATTCCTATTCAGTTAATTATAAAGTAATTATGGTCAATTATCATACGACATGTCGAAAAAACCCAATAATTGAGATAAAAAGCCTCAACGGATGCTAATTATCACTAAAAACTCGATTATTAAAATCATTTTCAAAAAACCCACAATTCGATGAGCAATTAAAAAATGTAATTAATTAATTAACAAGACCAATTAAGCGCTCACTTTTTCTTATTATTGAAATCCGCCGAGACGACAATCGAGCCGATATATTCGCTGGGCTGCAAAAAAAAAACACCGGAATGAGACAAAATTCGAGAAAAAAAACCTCAAATCGGTGCGGGACCACGCGAACCTCCTGGTCGAGCGAAAGCGCCGCCCATTTTCGTTGCGGGACCGCGAACGCGATCTCGCCGCGCTTCATCGACATGTCGTTTTTGATTGTGAAAATGAAATGATGAGCGGGACCGGTTTGGACGCGAACATGCCTTTAACAACAACAAAAAAAATATATGAGAAATTTCAGCAAACAAAAAAGAAATTTGAAAATTTCGAATTTGAAACCAAAAAAAAGGAAATTTTCTTGGAAAAAATAATAAATTTCAAATCCTCGCCAAAAAAATTTGCAAAATTCGAGGTTTAAATTTAAAATTTCAGCAATTTTCAGTCGTTCGAGTAAAAAAGAGTATTTTCTAGCGCAAAAATTCATTCAAAGACTCAAAAATTTCAAATTCGATTAAAAATTGCAAAAATCAAGATTTCGAGTCGGAAAAATTCAAAATTTCAGCAAAAAAAAACCAATTCTGAGTATTTCAAGCAAAAACAGGGTATTTTCTTGCAGAAAAGTTGATTAAAAAGCTCAAAATTTTCAAATTCGATTAAAAATCTGCAAAAATCGACGTCTCATGTCGAAAAATGCAATTTTCAGCAATTTCCGCCGAAAAAAATTTCTTTAAAAAATCAAAATCTAATCCAAAAATGGAAATCAGTAGTTTCAGAAAAAAACTCTGAAAATTATTGGGCCAAAAAAAGACAATTTTGTTCGAAAAAAAATTTTTTGTACACCCAAAGTTGCAAAAATCAAGGTCTCAAGTCGATAAAATTCAAAATTTCAGCAAAAAATAAAGCAATTTTGAGTAATTCGAGCAAAAAAAAATGATTAAAAGTCTCAAAATTTTCAAATTCCATTAAAAAATTGCAAAAATATGGGGGTTTCGAGTCGAAAAAATTCAAAATTTCAGCAAAAAAATCCAAAATTTTTAGCATTTCAATACAGAAAAACCAGCGATTTGAAAAAATTCCCATTTTTCGGCAATTTCCAACCAAAAAAAAAATTCAAAAAACCGCCAATTTTTGGCTGAAATTTTTCGCCTACTTGATGGATTTCGCCTCGAAATCGTCGCGACTGACGACGGCGCAATTCGTCACCGCCAACTCGTCGGTCGGCACCTTTCGAACGCGAAACATGCCGGTTTCTTGTTGACGGACCACTGAAGAACGAGCCGACAATAAATTGGTGGCTGCAAAGAAAAAAAATTGCTGAAATTATTGGCGAACAACAATTGTGTGATTATTGGTTTTTTTTTAATTGAAAGGGTTAAAAAAATACAACAAAGGGTGAGAAATTCTGGATTTTCAGCGGCAAAAAACCAGGCTAATTAGCTTAAAAGGACAATCAGTGGGTAATTATCGAGATTAATTAATTATCACACCCAAAATTTGATCAAAAATCAATTTTCCGTGAAATTTCAATGTCTAGCGCAAAAATCTTCAAAATCGGTTCAACTTTTGCCTAGAATCGCCAAATTTGGCTCAAAAGATTCAAAAAAAAATCTGAAAATGAGCATCTCAACTAATTTTTGACAAAAAATTCCGAGAATCAATAAAAATCGGGCATTTCCAGCGAATATTTGATCAAATTTCAACGAAATCTTCAATGAATTGGTAGTAATTCGTCGACAACGACCGCGCAACAGCCGAGTATCTCGACCAAATCGAATTTGGTCGTGTCTCTCAATCAATTTTCGCCAAATCTCGTTTGTCGAGCCGAAAAACACAAAAAATGAGAGAATGGAAGACGAGGCTTCTTCAAATATGTATCGAATTTCCGCGAAACGAAGCATTTCCTCAACCGACATGGCATTTTTTTCAAACAGCACACGCATAATTGGCCAATTATCTCGTTAATTAGAATACTTGTAGACAAAAAACAACCTAAGACTAATTATAAAATAATTAGTCAATTAACGACTTTCAAAAAAAAATGTTTTCAAATTTGCCAAAGAAATTCCAAATTTCATTTCTTTTCAGAGCGCGCTTGCTCACATCGACTAATTAGTAAGAAGGCAGGTGGATAATTGGGCAATTATGCCGTAATTTAAAAAATTGGGAAAAAATTGAATAAGCGTTAAATTTTTCTCCGAAAATTAAGAGGATGAGAAGAAGAAAAAAGAGAAACTGAAGATGTACAATAGAGCGCATTTGCTCACAAAAATTATTTATGGGATAATTGGGCAATTATCCAATAAAAAAAACAAATGGAAAGAATTTTTTTCCAAATTGTGGAAAATCTCGCCGAGCGACGCCATCAATCAAATTGCATCAGCAATTTGGGCGTTTTTCGATTCGCCATGGAAAATTGCTCCAAAAAATGCCATTTTGGGCAAAATTTGGCTATTTTCCGAGAATAAAAGGCAAAATTTTATTGTTGGTTTGCTCAAAAATTGCCAATTTCGAGCTCCGGCAATTTCTGAATGAAAAATTGTCAACATTTTCAATTTTTCTCATTTAAAAAAAAGCAAAAATCGAGAATTTTCATTAGATAAATCGTTGAATAATTCATGAGAAATGGAGAAATTCGAGGAGGAAAACGCAAAAAAAAAATAAAATGGCGGCGGCGGCGCGCGAAAATCGATGGCGGAATGGGCGAGAGAAGGAGTAAGCGAGAAGAAGCCGTCGAGGAGGGTCGATAACTCGCAGTGGGCAAACCAACAACAAAACTTTTTAGGAATACAATGGCCCAAATATGGGCAAGTGCCTTTTTTTTTCAAAGCAAAAAAGGGAAGCGGGGAGCAGAAAAGAGGAAATATCTCGTTTTTTTTCCAAAAAAATTTTGAAAAAATTGATCAGCAACTCGCAAAACGGGAAATTTCGGTCTATTCCGGACTTAAGAATAGAAATTGAAAAAGTAGGAAAAATTTCTGGATTTGCGTTTAAACTCGCTAATTTCCCATTCAAAAACAATTTTTTAATGAAAATTTTCAAAAAAATTCGGGAAAAGCTCGAAAAAATTCATTCAAATAGTTGGGTGAAAATATTTTTTAATTGTACAATTTTCGAGAAATTAAAATTATTTTATTTCTGGAAACAAAAGATAATTAGAATTTTAAAATTTTTTGATCTCAAAATGCTCAAATATGGAAAATTCACTATAAAAAACTTGCAAAATCTGGTCATTTCAAGATGAATTTCAGTTAAATTATTGTATTTTTTAAAAATCAATAATTGATGACGTGGCAGAGGTGAAATTCGATGACAATTTTTAAATGCATTTCGTGAGAAAATGGCGAACAAAACTAACAGAAAATGAGATTTAAAAATTTTTTTCAGCCATTTCTTGGAATATAGGCCGAAAAATTGAATTTTCATTAAAAAAAATGTCAAAATTAAAGGTGAAATGGGTGTGAATTTCTCAAACAATTCAATTTCAAAAAATTAATTATAGGGTTCTTTTTTCAAGCAGGGTTAACAGCAAGAATACAAAAAAAAAAGAAACGAAACCATCTTGATGTTGCGGCTGTCCGGTTTGATTCGATTTCGACCATGAAAACATTCTCCAATGTTCTGAAAACGAGTGAATCGTTATGAAAAATGAATTTTCGATTAATTTCCACGTGAAAAAAAACAACATACTAAAAATAGGGTAATTCTGAAAAAAGATTGGGCAAACCATGATAAATGGCGAAAAAAAAATTTTTTTTTGAAAAAAAGTTCAACGAGATTCCACGTGGTACACACACCGCCCGCGTTTTAGTGTAAATCGCGCGCACGCAACTCGGAGCATTGTTCGTAGCGTTTTTGCGAATTTTCCGACTTTTCGCATTTTTCAACTAATTTTTGATTTTAACAGGCACTTCTATAATATTATCGCTTCAACTAATCGCACAAACATAATACGAAATGGACCCGAATGCAGCCGCCGCTTATGCGTCATCGTTCAATTATGGTGAATCAGCGTACGCAGCGCCGTCGGGCCGTGGAGATTTTTCCAGCGATTCCGTACGTTAACACTAAACTTTGTGGACGATTTAACCGTGAAAAAACAAATTAATCAATATTCGAGCTCAACAATTCCAAAAGTTTGGCGTTATCGTCATGTATTTCTGGTCTCATTATGATTTGTTGAATTTTTTTTTGAGTCCAAAAATACTTTTCAATTTTTTAGGCGAATTTTAAGCCAACAATTTCTTTTTGCCAATTTTTTCAGGTGAGTCAGGGCGGTTGGACGCAATGGCCGAAGCATGGTCAAGGTTTTCCGAATCAGGTTTTTTTTTTGTTCGGAAATTCCAATTTTTTTCATCGATTTTTAGTCGTTCCAATATCAGCAGCAAGTGAAGCCGCCCATCGGCAATCTTCCGCCCGTCCAATTCAATACATTGGCGAAATCGCGCGTCGGCTTCCCGTATGGCATCGGCGCGTCGCCAGCCGAGATGGTCGGCACGCTGGAGCGAAGTGTGCCGAATTTTAGCCACGAATGGGTTCGTCAGAATCAGATGCGCTCATTTCCGCATCGAAAACCGCCGCAATCCGCTCAGTGGAAGGTGAGTTCCTTTTTTCTAATGAAAGCTTGGAAAAAACCGATTTTTTTCCAACAGAATCGCCCAAAAACGTCTCAGCAGAAGGCGTTCGACGCGACCGGCAAAACGCCGGCAATGGTGCTTCACGAATTGTTCAAAACCGTCGCCGAAGAGTGAGCCAAACGAAATTTGGCCCCGAAAATGCTTGATATTCTAGGTATACGGAGGTGTGCTCGAATCCGAAGCGATATTGTTGCACGTTGAGCGTCAGCGGGCAAGAATTCAAAATGGAGTCGTCGAATAAGAAGACGTCGAAGCAGGTGGGTGACGAGACAATTCTCTGCGAGGAATGACGTGTTTCAGAAATGCGCCGAGCTCGTTCTTCGCACACTTCGACCCGATCTCAAAATCACACCGTTCGAGGAGCCGATTGCCGCGAAGCCGGCGCCGTCGAGCAAGCGAAATGTTTGAAATTTGTGTTGAAATTCAAAAATGCCTCCCAATTTTTTTCTTGTTCAGGCGACAACGATGGAATGCCAACCGCCGATTGTGCCGAAGCCCATTGGAAGCACGAAAAAAGCAAAGGTGCGCCTACAGTAATTCATCAAATTAATTTTTGGACCTTCTGCGCCTTTAAGTCTACAGCTCTTTCAACAGCGAGTTATAAAAAAAAGTTGAAATTTGAGTTATATGCACCTTTAAAATTATGAAAAAATTAAAATTTCTACTAATGCGCCTTTAAATCTACAGTAGTCATTGGGATACTTGAAAGTTTTAAATTTGAATACTACAGTATTCTATAAAACAATTTTTAAAGGTCCGAGCTTGAAATATCGAAAGATTGTAAGCATGCACCTTTAAAATTACAGTAATCGGTTTCTAGAAGTTCATCAAGTTTTTTTTTGGAATGCGCCTTTAAATTTCTCGAAAATAAAAAACCTGACAAAAATCGAATAATGCGCCTTTAAACCCACGATAATTTTTTTCTAGCTGTCCGCCGCCGAGTCTGCGGTGAATTTGAACGATTTTCTGCGAAAGCTGATTCTGGAGACGGGATCGAAATTGACGCCGATATTCGAAGTCTCGGAGAACACCGTCAAAATTGAGGAGGACAATGAGATGGCGGAGAAGAAGCGGAATTTCAAATCGGAGGCGATGTATGTCAAAAAAAAAGAAGAAGCCAACTAATGATTCGCTGAATTTCTTGCAGTGTGACGCTGCGATTCGAAGAGAACGAGCGAGTTTTCACGAAAACCGGCACGAATCGAGCGCTCATCAAAGAATTGGTGTGCAAAGAAGCGCTCAGCGTGATATTCGACGTCGGTTTGGATGATATTCGAATGGTTTTGAGGCGAGCGGCGATTAATAAGATTGGAAAAGAATTTGCGATTGTGCCGGTAAATCAAGCCTATTTATTTCTTTCTTTTTTTGTTTTTGGCGGGAAAATTCAAAAAAAAAACAATTGACAGGCACTGAACACCGTGTGCTCATTGATGAACTGCACGCTGAGCCTGAGCGTCGAAGCCTCCGAAGACACACCATTGGGCGTCGGCAAAATGTTTTACGTCGGCAAATGTCGCGTGATCGATCACAACGAGAACGACAAACCCGTCGAATACGTCTCGCCGAGTTTGGCGTCGAAACAAGTGGCGCGCGACTACGCCGCTCAGGAAATGCTCAAAAATTATTTCGGCATCGACGCGAACAATTGTCCGCAATCGGAGAATGTCAACTCGCAGGGTCCGTGCGCCACACTTCATTTGTTGCTGAGCAAAGACTCGAAGAACAAATCGAAAATCGCGTACGAGTTCAAGGAGAATGTGCCGACGGTTGCCGGTCAGAGCACCAATGTGTTTTAGTTGGTTTTTTTCTTTTCTTTTCTTTTTGTTCGTTTCAAGATTTTTCAGCAAAAATTTTGGAAATTTTTAGATATTTGTAGAATTTTTTTGGAAAATTTCGCGACGTTTTAGAATTTTTTCGCGGTTATTTGATATTTGTGGAATTTTTGGGACATTTCAGATTTTTTTTTCGCGATTTTTAAAATATTTTTGACCATTTTTTGATATTTATGGAAATTTCTGCAACATTTTAGACGTTTTTCGCGATTTTCTAGATTTTTGGAAAATTTTAGATTTTTTTTTTCGCAATTTTCGAGAATATTTTAACAATTTTTGATATTCGTAGAATCTTTGGAAATTTTTTTCTGCGAATTTTGAGATTTTTTGACCATTTTTTGATATTTGTAGGATTTTTTTGGAAATTTTTGGAAAAAGTTATTTCGAAAAAGAAATAATACAATTTTTTTGAAAATTTTCGAATTTCTAGTGGAAATTTTTGGGCGTTGTTCGAAAATATTGCAAATATTCTAGATTTTCACCTGAATTATTGAGCCGAACTAATTTTGATTGCTTCGAATGGAAATTTCCCAACGAAAAAAAAGAATTTCGAACTTTTTTTTTTTCAAAAATCTCGCATTTTTTTCAAGTTTTCGCCAGAATTATTGAATTTTCAGAAAAGTGGGCGGGGATTGAAGGTTGGCTGGAATTTTGGTGTGATTTTTAATGGTTTTCGCTTTCGTCTGAAAAAAAAACCCATTTTTTCGAGAATCTAAAATTTCATCAAATCGCGAATTTCCATAGCTTAAATTTTCGAGAGAAAAAAAACAAGGCGGCGTCGAAAAAAAATTACGATGGTCCGCACAACTTTAATAATGTCACAAAAATCGAATTACAGTTGCGATTGTGTGATCGACGACAAAGAGCGTTTCACCGGAAGCGGACGATCGAAGAAGTTGGCGAAAAACGCGGCGGCGATAGTGGCGATCAAGAAGATCTTCTCGATCGACTTCGATCCGAACGTCGCCTATCCGTTGGCGATGAGCCGACGCTTCATCGCCGAATCGCGTGTGTCGCCGTTGTGTCGCGACGTCACCGAGTTCGTCAAACGCGAATATTTGGCAATGTGCGGCTATTATGGCATCAGTCCGAGCAATTTGATCGCATGGTATCATCGATTTGTTCTTCGTCTTCTTCTCCTCGAAAAAACCAATTTTCAGCTTTTTGCTCCTCAATGAGAAAGACGAGAAGCGTTTGATATCGATCGGATCATCGACGCAATATGTTGTGGAGCCCGACACGTTGAGCGGAGCCAATGGGACCACGCTGATTCATTTGGACCCGATTGTTCTTGCCAGACGATCAATGCTAAGGTAGGTCAGCAGCGAGCCTTCTTTCAAGGTTACTGTAGATACTGTATCTGGATGATTACAGTAATCCTATGAGTTGATGAAGCTATCCAAAATGAAATTACTGTAATAATATGAGCTTCTCTAATTGCAGATACTTGATGCAGGAGCTGAAGGCGTTCGAAGTGGACCACGCGAGTTCGATTTTCGATCGTCACATCGACGGCAAAGCGATTCTGAAGGCCAACCTTCGTCTGGTGCTCTTCTCGAATTTTCCGCCGGTTTGCTCGTTGTCGGTGGACGACGCGGCGAAGAAGCGCCTCGGCTACGTGACGCCGTTGACGATCGCGCCGGCGCCCGACGAGGCGTTGAGTTTCGACGAGATCAAATCGACGAAAACGCTCCGCGTGCATTGCACCGCCGACAAACTGTTCAAATGGAGCGCGATCGGCGTGCAGGGCGCGCTCTTGTCGAACCTCATGCATCCGATCATCGCCAACACGGTGTTCTTTGGATGCGAGGCGCCGGTGCCGGACGAATCGCTCAAATACGCGCTGTTCGGACGACTCGGCGCGCCGAAGAATGAGATTGTCGTCGAGAGCTATCCGGTAGGATCGATTTTTTCTTTTTGAGAGAGAGAGAGAGAGAGAGTTTTCGATGTGAGAAATGGGAATTTCCTAAATTGTCGGAATTTTTTGAAATTGAACACTTTTTTGCTGAGAAGAATGATCATAAAATTGCGATGAACCATGTTTTTTTTTCTCCTCCCGACGACAACAAAGAGTTGTGATAATGAGTGTAATTTATGGTTTTCGCCGATATGGAAATTGGCGGGGCCGACAATTGTGTAAAGTCGTCGCCCGATTTGGGAAGAATGATGAATTGAATGGTTCGATGCAGATTTTGCCAAAGAAAAATCGAATTTTGCGAAAAAAAAACGTTGGTGGTCAGGTTTTTCCAACCATTTTCTTTCATTGTTGTAGGAATCATGAAATAATTCGCATTTTTTTTTCTAGTCGCTGTTTTGGGCTTCGAGAAACCTGACCGTGACCGAGGTTTTTGATTGGGATTTTTTTTCGGTCATCTGCATGAGGGATTTTTTTGTTGATAAATTTTTTAGAATTTTTGGACCAAAATCGCTTTGGATTGAAAAAAAATGCAATAATTTTTCAATTTTGGTCAAAAATTGACACAAATGGCGCGCGTTTTTTTTTTAATTAGAGAATTTTTGCCAAATTTGGTCTAGAAAAATTTGCCATTTACCGAAGATTTTCAATTTTCTATTAAAATTGCCCATTTTTGACTGTAATTTTTATTTCAGAAGTGCCCAATTTTTGAGAATTTTCTTGATTTTTCGTCTAAAATGGGCACATTTCTCGTTATTTTGATTTTTTTAATCGAAATCTACCAGAAAAATTAGGAAATGCTCTTTTTTTAGGGTTTCAGACAAATAATTTCAATTTTGAGAAGTATTTCAAAAAAAAAACAAAATTTTTGCGAATTTTCAAATTTTTTTTAATCCGACTTTTTCAATTTCGCGGGCGTAAGCAGTGGAGCGTCGTAAACGCCCTCGTTTTATTTCTACTTTCTTTTTTGATTTCTTCGTCAGAATCAAAAGTCGAAATGCAATTTTGAGTTGATTAAGCAAAAAAGCCTAGAATTGCCTTAAAATTTGCTGAAAAGCGGCAAAAAAAAAGAATTTGTTTTTAAAATTCGCATTTTACCGGCTGATGGGTCGGATTTTTTTTTTTGAAAAGTAGAATTTTGGATCTGAAAAAAAAAAGAAAAAGTTGTGTTGCAGACTCAAATGCGCTTTTTGCCGACGAGCTGCCATCTGCAAACGCGCGGAATCGACGGCGTCGAGCGCATCGATTACGTGACGGGACGAACCGTCAAAGGCTCGCCGTCGCGCGTCTCGAAAGCCGAAATGTTCGAGGCGTATCGAGCGCTTCCTGGCGTCGATTTGACGATATCGAAGTACGCGGACGCGAAAAAATCGGCGGCGCCGTATCAGGCGGCGAAAATGGCGCTCTACGAGAGTCTCGCGGCGAACGGATGGGGTCGATGGCAGACGAAGCCCGAGAATCTCACCGACGATTTTGTTGTGGCGTCGTTCGACTGAAGCCGAATTGCCTAATTTATTTTTGATCTTGTCCTCTCGTCGGCCCGCCCGAGACCCCCTCCCCCTCAAGCTTTTGTACCCATTTCTCGCTTTGCTGTTCCATTCCTTTGTTATAGTGAGTTTCTCGCTTGATGAAAAAGCGGTATTTCGAGAGCCGCGCGCGCGAACCGCAACGCGTCTGGCGACATTGAATAATTACCATAGCCGCCTTTTTGTTTTTGGTGGGAAACTGACTATCTATTATTTTTTTTTTCATTATTGTTCCAATTCAATGGAAATTTTAATAAATTCGGACCATCCGAAATCGAGTTTAGCGCAGTTCGATGGGTACTGTAGTTTACGGTAGCTGTTGGAGTTTTTGGATTTCGAATTACTTTGTATACTAATTTAGTTTTTTTTTTTGATCGACCAGAGCCCCTATTGGAATTATTTTGGATTCGTAAGGCGCAAAATTTGGCTATTGCTGTACCATTTGATCTATTTTGCCAGGGAATTACTGTAGGTCCGCAAACGCTGAAATTGACGACATTGCCGGTATTACGGTAGATTTTGAATTTCGTTCTTTTTGGGGATTACGGTAGGCCAGCCGAAGCACCAAATTTTCTGAAGAAGAGAGACGGAAAAATGTTTATTTTTTTCCCATTTTACCAGGGAATTACTGTAGGTCCGCAAACGCCGAAATTGACGACATTGCCAGTATTACGGTAGAATTTCGTTCTTTTCGGAGATTACTGTAGAAACACCAAATTTTCTGTTGAACCTCAAAAAAAAATGTTTCTTTTCCTCCATTTTTTCCTCGGAATTACTGTAGGTCCGCAAACGCCGAAACTGACGACACCCTCATAATTCTACAGTAATCCAATTTCGGATTGGATTTTCCTCCAGACCATCGTAATCCGATCCATCAGGCTCATCTATAATTGTCATCCATCGGAGAGCCGTACGGGTCGAATGATGTCATCAAGGAGCTCCGAGAGCAGTTGGTTGCTCATTTTCTCTGCGTCTCTCTCTCTCTCTGTCTGTATTCCTTGAGAAATTGCGCAATTGTGGGTCAAGAGCATTGTTTCCACACCTCGTCGCACGTGATTCATTACTTCTTCTTTTTTGTTCGCTTCCGGTTTGTTTGAGCAACGGTCTTGGAGGACTACAGTAATCGGAAAAGTTGCGCGAGAAATCAGATGTCTGGGAAGCCGACGTGTGTGTTTTTTTTTGGTGTTGGTGTTGATCACACCGACACATGAATGCGTTGCGTCATGCCGTGAAAAATTGGATAATTGGTGTCAGACGTTGGTGTTGCCGAGAATGATGCAATCGCGCCGGCACACGCGTGCCCTAATTGAAATGGAAAGAGAAATCGTCGCACACCTGATTTGGGCCATTCCCGTTTTTTGTATACACTTGCTCATCGGCTCCCAGACCTTTCAGCGTTCCCCAGAAAACCGAAAAATGTTTTTCTGCGTTCGGGGGGAATCGAACCCCCGTCGAATGCTTGGAAGGCATCCATGCTGACCATTACACCACACAGGCAAAACGCGACGGATGAAGTCCGGGCGAAGTCCGGATATTTGAACGTCACGGCTAAAAAACGGGCCAAGTACGGACCAAAAATTTCTTTGAAAAACGCCGCGGTAAAAAAACGGACAAAGTCCGGAGATTTATAGGCCACGTTTTTAAAACGTGTTAATTACGGATCTTGATTTTCAGGATAAAACGCCACGGCTAAAAAACGGGCCAAGTACGGACCAAAAATTTCTTTGAAAGGCATCACGGACAAAAAACGGACAAAGTCCGGAGATTTATTGGCCACGTTTTTAAAACGTGTTAATTACGGATCTTGATTTTCAGTATGAAACGCCACGGCTAAAAACGGATTAAGTACGGACGAAATATTTCTTTGAAAGGCATCACAGACAAAAAACGGACCAATTACGTGACAATTTTTTCGAGTGAAAATGTCACCGACAAACAAAGGACTATTTACTGATCGACACTTCCTGGCTGAAACGTTACGACACAAAAGTTAATTAATATTTAATATAACGGCTTCACTGGAAGCTGTGGCGACCGATGGCTGATAATTAAATTTTCTTGTTGCAGGTTGCCCGATACCGATGCGGTAACCATAGCACGGCTCGAGACTTCCTTTCCTAAGATCGATGTGTCTAAGTTCGCTGCTGTCGATTCACCGTTATGCGTTCTAACTGTTCCGCTCCATATTTATATTCGTTGTTTTGTAATGTAGAGATAATGTGGAAATGGGAGAGTGGGCGAGACGATGAGGCGGTGGGCGAGAGAGAGTGCGAAATGAAGAGACGCACGCCATCATGCCATCGGGCAATGTCCAGCAAAAAGAGGGCCGCGGCCGAAGTTCACCTTTATTTAAATGCAAGTCCCCAATCGTAAACACCGATTTAGTCAATTACTTATGCTTTTAGTCGTATTATTTCAGTTTATTAAGTTGTTTCCCCAAGCCCACCATCCACCATATTTAGTATCATCAAGTTTGTTATTAGTTTGTATCGCTTTGTTAACATTTTGTTCGTTTTCGTTCAATAATGAAGGTTTAATTACCCAAGTTTGAGGTTTACTCGACTTGTTTAACGGTTCCAATACCGTATCATTATTTGGAAAAGTTACTGTTTTATTCCATTGTAGTTGAAAAATGAATAGTGTTCCTTTGAAATTGTTTTTTCAGATTGTAAATGGGTCATTAGGTCATTTAAATAAATACAAAAATTTCCCAATTTTCGTTCAAGTTTTGATAAAGACTACGATTTCAGTCATGGGACGGTCATATCGAAGATTTCTACCATCTTTACCAACAAAAAGTATGTTAAAATTGCATAACTATTTGCTATACTCTCTTTTACTACAATAGGATCAAGAGAAGTATCTTCTTCAAGTGAAGAAAACTTATCTGAACCGATTGATGTTCAACTTTCTGAGTCGCTCAATATAGACATCGATGAAGAGGAAGAAATGTTTCAATGGGATGGAATTGTGACGAAGTTGAGGAAAACGATGTTGAGGAAAACGATGTTGAGGAAAACGATGAGAAATCTTCAGAAGATTGTCCCCACAGCGGTAGGTAATTTGTCTTAATACTAATCGCCATTTTCGAATAGACTTGGCGCAGTATTTAGCGAATGTGTCGGACGAAGTTTTGACATTCGTAACTTCAGCGTGCAAGCTCGAAGTACCGATGCGGGTAAATAGGAAAAATTACGAAGAAGTAAAGAGGCAATTACAGATTTCAAGAGATTCCTTTCTTCCATAAAGATTTAACATTCCGTCGGCAAAGCTTCCAGCTAGGAAGAACAATATGACTATTTATAACGCGCACTATGTGTGCAATAGTTGTGGAAAGAAACAAATAATATGTTCGCAAAATGGTATAGACGTTGGGCACTTTTTATCTATTGTTTGGGTTTTCAGTTGTGGAACTATAATTAAATATGTTAGAATTGGAGGAATTCAGCAACTCTCGGAGATAGTGGAGGAGTACTGGACAGATATTCATCGGATAAGAAGCGAAATAAAAATGGGACAAACAAGCATCACAATCTGAATGGAGAGTATGTTTCAAAAGTGTCCCAGATGGATACGGACACGGAACTTCATTCAATTATTGGTAGTATTGACGGTGTGTCATTGACTGGCAATACGAAGTAACAATTTTAAAAGTTGTCATTATAAATGAACAATTTAGGAAAAAGCTGTGGCCGGTAACGTTCATGCTTATCGACATACCAACAGGCGAGATGCAAAAGGCTCACAATTTGGTACTCCATGGAATTGCTGTTGGAGATATGAATCCGTCGACACATTTCTGGAACACCCTATTACCATATATCTACGCTGATGTAGAAGGAAAAACCCGTGTTTTATTCGGAAAACAGTTCGATTTCAGTATTATTTCGTGGAGCGGTGACCAGCCCGTGAGTAAATTCTTAGTTTATAAGATCCACAAAACTTAATAATACATTTAACTCTACCAATATACCATGGACACATAACCGTTTCAGGCAAAGCGAGCCTTATTTGGAATGCGCGCGTGCAATTCCGAAGGAACTTGTTTCTTCGGCTCATGTCAGGAACCAGATACAAAACCGTGTCTATGGGGTACACCGCTCGGAATGAAAAAGAAACCGAAGAGAATGCAAGAAACGCAAGAAACGGGTTTGGCAATGTTATGCCCAAAATTTTGGATTATTGTTATCCATTTCACACCATCGTGGACTTGCTGCACAACGGCAGCGAGGGCGTATTTCAAACAATAATGACAGGTTGAAGATTTGCTTAAAAATTTACGTTAGGAAATTTTTTTAGAATGCTTGAACCCAAACGCCAAAGCTCGTTCAGATTTGTTTAAGAACATCGATGGATATTCCGATTATTGCAAAATGGCTGTTATTCCAATGGAATTTAAAACGAAGGAAATGAGAAATGGGACAGACAAACTGAATGTAAATGGGTTCAAAATCCACCTGAATAATGAATTCACATTTGCAGTTCTTCAGATTAAACTTCGGACTTGCCGCATTTGTGTGCCCAACTATTACACCATCTGCTCGATTGATTATAATAGCTCTAATGTTGATCACGAACCAACTATATAGCAATGCTGACAAAAACGAAAGTTTTTACGTGCATCTCACAGCTGTAGCACGTTATTTCTTATCAAAAGCATCAAGCGCATATATGACGACCAAGACTCATGTAAGAAAACTTATAATTCAAGCTTATCATTGAAAGTAATATCGTTTAGGAGCTTGTTTGCCATCTGCCTCATGTCATTAGGCAGTTTGGAAATATTGCTCCACTGTCAACTTTGCTTACGAGCACTTTTACAAGTTTGCACTGAAAGGATTTAATGCGCAGGCAACAAATAGCTTCGAAGAATCTGCCGCCAAACGGTATATTAAAAATACTTAATTGAAACAATTGCTAATATTAATTACTATGTTCAGAGTTATGCTGCATATTGGAGTGAGGCGCGAGCTGATAAAAGAAGGAAAACTGGCCCCAGCGAGACCATTGCCTCATTTTTGGCAGCTACCCCAGAAATGAGACCCACCGAGGTCATATGGAAAAAGCCAGTGGCACTGAGCCACACTAACGATCTCGCATATGCACATATCGGAGATCATTTTGGGGAGCTGCATTTAAAGTGTGGTCGTCTGCAGTCGGCCTATACAACACCAAAGACCAGCAACGACATTTTCTTTGCGAGCAGTGCGTCAGGCGAATATGGGTGTTACCGCTTCATATCCGTTTGTATCTCAGTCGATCGAAAAGTCATTCTGGCCGAATCGATTCATCCTGCCAATTTAAGCTGTCGTGACGAAGTTCTTAAAAAAGTTGGCCCTGGATTTGGAACGCCCAGCAAATACTTACGCTTGGAACCTCCTCAATCAAGTGAAGCTGTTCAGAGGATTTTTGCATGGACAATTTTCTGAATTCGCGAGCTAGTACAAATAGAAGATTTGAAGGGCCTGGGAGCATATGTGCGAGATGGAAATACTGCATACTTTGTTCAAGTAAATGGCAGCTATGTCCACCATTGAGAGACAAAACGACACGCGCATGGCATCGACCGGCGATTGTAAGGCCGTGGCCGTGGTGCTTCGTTAATGAAATGCAAGTCCCTCGCTATGCCGGTTTTGTTTTTGATTGAGACAGAATTGTACCCTATTCACCACCTATCTTATTGATTTGATTGTTTTTAAATGTTGTGTTTCTAATAGTTATAGTAAAAAGTGAAGGGTGGGAAGAAACCGTCGTCGTTTCTCATATACGAGAAATGACAAGAAACTTCATGTAAGTGAGCAACGCGAATGTTATATATATGCTATATACTGTGTTTCAGCGATGATAAACGACGCGGAAAAACCGCCAAAATCGAAGAGTTAATGGAAATGTTCCAATCCAGGTAGAACACGCGTGTGCAAATGGAATGTGCAAATATTTTTTTTTTTGTTTTTAGAATTATTTTTGTTCTAGTAATTCGATTCGAATCGAATACAACAAATTTCGGATACAAACTTGATCGAAAATTAAGTTTGAAATTTGTGGTACTCGATTACTCTTTGGAAAAACCCGAATGTACTCGTATTTGGTGCGAAACTCGGTGTATTCATTTCGAATTTTAATGTATTTGATTGTGAAACAAAAAATTGACTCTTTCGTATCGAATACGAATTAATCATTTTACAATCGAATACGATTAAATTCAAAACGAATATAGCGATTGCGATTCGTAAATAATTTTTTTTTTTCGATTTTTCTTAAATAAAACTTTTATAATAATGCTGTCTATATGATTTCAATTTTAATTTTGATTATTATACGAACGGAAGAAAAAAAAGCATGTGAAAAACGCCACCGGGCGAATCACGGTCCGTTCCCGGATACGCTAAGACGTCCGTGTCCGGTACGTCAGCGACACGCTGGAACGGTCAATAACGGACCGTGATTCGCCCGGATTTCATCCGTCGCGTTTTGCCTGTGCACGAACGCGGCTGGTAGCAGCGGGGAGAAGCTGCGTAGACGATTCGGAGGCGAGTGACTCTCGCCGTCTACGTCTCTCACTACCCCCGTTATAGATGTTTGCAAACTACACCCAATGAAGAATTGCACCAAATGGTGGTGGTTAGCGGTACACCAAAGAACACCTGTTCGCCAGCCACTTATGAAATTACTAATCCAATTACTTATAAGGTAGTTCTCACGATTTAAAAAAAGTTGCATATGAAATTCACATGATGATAGATGACAAATGTGTAAAGTGGCATATGTCTATTTAGATTTTTTTTTTCAAATCAAGAGAAACGGGACCTTTGACCCCAAGTTTTGAGATCGTTTTTATTGACTTTGAACATCTGGCACTCGCATGCAAACACACACTAATCATGTGTTTGAATTTCTAACGAGCATACGAATCTCTTGGGTCGCTCACATCAACGAGATGGCGAATTGGAAAATTCTTGGCAAAAATGTGAGAAAAACACAAACAAATCAACTGAAAAAAAATCATTATTTCTACAGTGTACTGTAAACCCAAAGCATTGCATTCGACGCAATATTGCACACTTGTTTACATTTGAAATTTTTATTCCCCACATTTCCCTATTTTCACGTGATTTTTGTGCAAAACGCGATAATAGTCTAAGTTTTTGTTATCAAAACAATAATTGCCCATAAAAATTGAATTTGAATGATAGGAAATCGAAAAATTCCAAAAATTTTTGTGTAAAATCAAATTTTTTGAAATTCCTAAAATTCTATTTGGTTATTTTAAAGCTTAGGCAAATCAAATAAAATATTTCGAGATTCATTGAGAAAAACTAACGTATCTCTATAATATTTTAGTTTTTTTCTCAATCAATTTTAGAAATTATGGAAAGATTTCAGAATTTGCTCAATAGATTTTAAAAAATTATTTTTAAGTTTCGCGATTCTCAAAAAGTTTTAGAAATGTATCAATAAATTTTAGAATTTCTCCTAATTTTTTAGAATTTATTATTGAATATTTGATTCGCAAAATATTTTATTTATTTGATTTGCCTGACTACTACTATCAGCTATTTGTTTCAGGGACAAAACCACAACGAGAACGCCTTGACCTTTATTGTTCGCCGAACTCACAAAGCTCATTATTTGTAAAAACATTAGAGATCCGCGTCAGGGGCCAACGACGAGACGAATATGCAAAAATTTCACGGACATTTTCGCCGGTTTCGTGTCACATGACGTCTCGTGGCCGCGCGCGCGGAAACAATAACAACACGGCGTGCGACGACTTGCGCAGATGGTTCGTCTCTCTCTCAATCGCGTTCTCATTCCAATATGTCTAGCTTGCCGGGTCATGCGCGCTCCACTGCGTCTCGCACCGCCGCTGGGCCACGCCCACTTTTCGCGAACCGCTTCATCGGCCTCCGCCGGTTTTAGTCGTCCGCCGCTTGTGTTGGTGTTGGCTCACCACCTCCCACTAATTTTGGAAGTGTTCACCAATCCGCCACCTTTCAATTTCACACCAAGATAATGATATTCCCATTTTTTTCTTCTTTTCATCGACCAAAAAAAAAACAAGCAGAGACTTTTGTTCAATTTGCGTCAGCAAAATGTTGTTTATTTTGTTTTCCAGCCCCCCACCCTGCGTCTCTAACCAGTTTCGCCCTCACAGCCTCTCATGATTCGTTTTCGTGGAACCAAGCAATCATCATATGACTCGTTGTTCATTATTGTTCATCATTTTCAGAACTTTCTCTCTCACTCTCTCGCTTCCAATCAACCACAACCAGAAAATCATCATGCTCAACAACATTTACGGCTACATTTTCGGATCCGACGACTCGAACTCGTCGTCGGACGCCAGTTTCGATGAGCCAGAGCAGGAGCCGTGCACGATCAATGGCAAACTGTGCGAAGACGATTGGTTTTTGGTTGGAAATGGTAGGAGAATGCCGAAAAGAAAAATCAGCAATTTCGTTTATTTCTTTTTTTCTGCAGGTTACGCCGACGATCGAAATCGCGGTGTGTTCTCGCCGGTGTTGATTCCGACGCCCGAACTTCGCGACATCGATGAGCTGTCGTTCTGCTCGGCGCGGCATTCCGGCGAAACGACGCCGCCGACCGCCGATCAAATCAGGAGAGCCGAGGCGTTGCGATTGGCGAAGGCGCGGAACGCGCAGCGGGCGCATCTCGAAAAAATGGTGAGAGCTTATTGGCGCATTCTAATTACTGTAACAATTAAAAAGATATGTTTTTGTGCTGTTCCAGTAGTTCGAAACCCTGGGTCAAAGATCTGTTTCGTTTCTAGACATATGCCACTTTACACATTTGTTATCTATCATCATGTGAATTTCATATGCAATTTTTTAATAAGTAATTGGATTAGTAATTTCATAAATGGCTGGCGAACAGGTGTTCTTTGGTGTACCGCTAACCACCACCATTTGGTGCAATTCTTCATTGGGTGTAGTTTGCAAACATCTATAACGGGGGTAGTGAGAGACGTAGACGGCGAGAGTCACGCGCCTCCGAATCGTCTACGCAGCTTCTCCCCGCTGCGGCCAGCCGCGTTCGTGGTGTAATGGTCAGCATGGATGCCTTCCAAGCATTCGACGGGGGTTCGATTCCCCCCGAACGCAAGAAAACCGTTTTGTGGTTCAACTTTCAAATTTTCAGCTTTTCGAGGACACCCAATCGTCTGGAAGCCTTTCAACAAGCGTGTACAAAAAAGGGAGTGGCTCGAAAGGTGTTCAACGCGTCGCGCAAGTCACCGACGGCATAAAAGGCAAATCGCGATCGAAGAAGTCGTCCGGAAAACTGGCTTCCGGAAGAAACAATGATCGCAAAGTGAACAATATCATTTAGAGAATTCGGATTCTCGACCGTATAGAGCTGGACTCTTGTAAATTCGTTGTATATAGACACATTTTTTTTGTAAATAGAACCTAAAAATCGCGTAGATCGCTAAAAAAATCTAGTGGCCACCCAAAAAAAAAGTTGTAATCGTGTAATTCTTGTCGATAAGCTGTTTCTAGTTTTCTAATTTTTTTTGTCAGTATTTCTTTTTGCATTCTTGTCGTCACTTTCATTAATATCTTAATAGTCTTTTTTAATATGAAAAAATTGGAAAAAATGCGCCACTGCCCAAAAATCGTGTTTTTCTTTTCATTGATCTTTCTCGCCGAGTCCCAATACTGCCTTAATTTTTGTCTTATCATTTTTTTTTGTAAATTTTGCAATAAACGACCGGGACCCAAAATTTTGTCTTGATTGGATATTTGTGATCACATTTGACCGGAAAAGCATTGAAATTATTGCAAGTTTTTTGAAATTTTAAAAATTTTCGATTATTCGTGAAAAAAAGCTATCGTATTTCAAAGGCGCATGCTGCATTTTGTTGAATAATTTTACGCCTAAAAAATTCATTTTTTGAAAATGTCGCTTTAATTTTGGTGAAAATGTGCCGCCTCGAAAATCCCATAAAAGACACAATTGAAAAGAAAAATCGTCGATATTTTTAAGCTTCCCACCGACATCAAAGCGTAAACGGTTGAAATTGCCGCATCGCCTAAAAATTGCTGAAAAAATTCACGGCTAATCATCAAAATGGGAATCTTAAAAATGTCAAAAATAGCTGAAAATGATTTATGAAGATAATAATAGTATTATAGCATAGTTTCTGTCAAATCCGATAAGGATGAAGCTGAAAATGATGGACATCATTTTCTTTTTTGGTTTCAATTGGATGGACCGTGCATTGAACCAGCGAAGGGTCATCACTGCCATCTGAATGGCGCTCGACATGTGTCCACTGGCTCAGTTGGGTTGTTGCGCGTTAACGCGCAGAAGGTGTCGGTTTTGGTTCCGCATACCACATTTTTCATTTTTGCTCATTCTAAAACTCATTCGAAAATATTCCAAACATACTGAAAATCGGCATTCTCCTTATTAAGACCTTGGACTAATCATTTTTCAAATTTTGAAGCGATTTCATCAATTTCTGCACAAAAAATTTTCGAAATTTGCCGATTTTTCCCGAAATTCGCCCCCAAATTTTGGGTGATATTTCGAAATTCATTTGTTTTTCAAATACTTTTCTCAAATTTCAAATCGAATTTTCACAAATTTGAATTAATATCTATAGGTTTTTTTTTCAAGAAAAATCCCCAAAACATCTCAAAAATATGTATATATGGCAACATGTTAGCTAACTATGCATATAATACTTAACAAACTATACTAATAATAGAAATTCGATCCTTATTGGTCATTTGAAGGTGCTAATCTGAAGAGAACTAAAACAAATAATCGGTTTTCTGGGTTAACTATACGAATAATAAATTAACTATACGGATTAATAATAATAATAATAATAAATTGAATCAAAGTTCGAATTACACACCCTTGAAGGGGGCGGGGTCAAAGTGTGGTGGCCACTTGGCGGCCACATGCCCATTTTTCGACATTTCGCCTTCAAATGTTTCTATGGAAACGAATTGTCGCGTTTTTGGGCACCTCCAAGTATTTCGTGGTCCCTTTTCAAAACTCTAGCCTCTTCCTTGTTCGGACATTCCCTGCCCCTATCTGACCGCCGCGAGAGCTTTTCCCCCTCAAATTATTCATAGATGCACGTTTTTCGGGTTTCTTTTTTTTGTGTTTCTCCCTTTCGCTCTCGATTGCGATTTTTTTCATTTCTCACCGTTCTTTTTTTTTCGATTGAATTTTTTGAATTTTTGTATTGCTCACACGACAAAACTCCCGCCACGAATTTGCTCAAAAATGAATGAAATCGCTTGAAATTTGGAATTTTACTAGTCCTAGGTCTTAGTAAGTAGCCTGCCAATTTTCAAAATAATTCGAATATTTTGGAATGCGTTCTAGAGCCTCAAAATTATTGGGCAAAAATGAAAAGTGTGGTGCGCGGAATCAAAACCGACCTCTCTCGCGCGGAAACGCGCAACAACCCAACTGAGCCATTGGGCACACACTCGCCACCATCTCAGATGGCAGTGATAACTCTTTGCTGTACAATGCGGCACACTCAAACGATCCTTTTAGAAATTTCTACTCTCCAACAATTCGCGGCTAATTAGTTAATTATAGATAATTAGTATATGATAAGCTCGAAATTCGTGGCCACAAGTTCCAAATTTCCCATACTAATCCGATTTCCAACTCGAAGCCTTTCAAACATTTCCACCTGCATCAATCCGGTTCCGCCAATTCCTCAAATTTCCACCAAAAACTGACCGTTGCTTTAAAATTCCTTCGTTGAGAATTCCAAAAGAGGCGAAAACGAAGGAGAAGAGAGGAGAACTTCGCGAAAATGTCGTGTCGTACCATTTTTGGTTCGATCTTCTTCATTTTTCTTCTCGCTTCTTGTGTGGCTCTCTTCGTTCTCCACAGTCTCTACTTTATTCTGAGGACCGCTTCGGACACCGAGCAAACCGAAACCAAATTGTAAGGGTCCTTCGAAATCGATTTTAATTGGTCCCCTCAAAATTTGCAGCCGAAATGAGAAGCAGCTTCATATTCCTGGTTTAGTCATCTGCAATCGAGCGCCCTTCTCACAAGACGGAATCAACAACGTCAATGTGAATTTAAGGCAGGAGCAAGCATTAAGTTGAGTCGCTTCTTGTGCAACTCCTGCTGCGGACACCCTTCCAGGCCGCCACTGTCTATCTTTACCATTGAAAAATGTTTAATTGACTACTGACTAGTTAGAAATAATAGGAATCGGCTGAAATTTGATCTCTAGACTATTCGGGACCCCCCTAGTTTCCTAATTTAGACAATTTCCCAAATTTTTAGATACCTCATGGAATGGACGAATCCGTCGCTTCGAGAGTCCGCCGAATACACTCCGGCGACGGCGGCATTCATGACACAAGGTACACAAGCCATCACAAAACTACAGTAATCCTACAGTACTCTCAGGTCAAAACACCGTCATTCAATATCTGACACAGAGCGCGAGAAATGCGACAATTCTCGCGATGGAGTATCAATGTCAAAGCGTCATCAACAGTTGCAGTTTTCAGGTGAAACTCGCTGGAATTTTCGAGAAAACGTCAAAAAAATGGAAAATTTGGGCGAAAAATGATTAAAAATGTCGAAAAATTCGGGAATTTTTTGCAATTTTTCGAAATTTTCGGACCCAACCGATTTCGATGGTCCCATTCTATTTCAGGGTGTTCAAATGTCGTCATTCGATTGTTGCCGAAATCTCATCGCCTATGTGCCGACGATCAAAGGCCTCTGCTTCACGTGGCGCGACGCCAACATGTGGCAGAATTCGACGGGCATCAATCGGCGATTTGAGATGACGTTTCAGGTTTTTTTTCGCGGTTTTTCCCCTGAAAATCGAGTTTTGGCTTAAAAATTGACCAAAAAATTGTGGAATTTTCGAATTTTTTGAGCTGAAATACCCCAAAAATCGAAAATTTTCAGCTTTTTTCTGAAAAAATTTTGAAAAATCGATTTTTCGCTGAAAATTCGCCAAATTTTGCGATTTTTTGAAATTGTTAAAACTTTTTTTGCGAAATTGGTGAAAAATTGGCTTTTTTGGTAGAAAAAAATGATCAAAGTTGGAAAATTTCGCATCTTTGGCTATTTTTTTTTTGATTTTCGACCAGAAATTCAGGATTTTTCAATTTTTTTTCTTTAAATTCGAAAAATCCTCAAAAATTTTCGTCTTTTTAATTTTTCTTTAAAAAAATTTGGATTTTAAATGTTTTTGGCGCAATCGAAAAAAAATTTTTTTTGATTTTTTTCCACAAAAAATCCTGCAAAATCGATTTTTCGCTAAAAATTCGCCAAATTTTGCAATTTTAGAATTTTTAAAGCCGATTTTAGGCGAAATTTTCAATTTTTCGCCTAAAATCCCAAAATTTTTGACGCTTTTAATGTAAAATTGGCAATATTTGTCAAATTTGGCAATTTTTTGCCACATTTCTTTCGATTTTTCAATTTTCTCATTGAAAAAAAAAAAACGAAAAATCATTAAAATGTCCAAAATTGTGGAAAAAAAAACGAAAAAAAAATTTCTTTTTTCGAAAAAAATTTAAAATCTGCATTTTTTTTTCGTGGAAAAAGACGCGAGAAAAAATTCCGCATAGAATTTTTATTGAAAAAAAATTTTCTTTCAATTTTTTTTTGCTTTCATTATTCAGATGACTCGCAACTCATGGTTCTCATCGACGGTGCCGACGCATCCGGGCATCGACGTCTACCTTCAGGACGTCGTCGACGATCCGACGCGGTTGGCCGTCGAGCTCGAGAATCCGATTCGTCTCGTAGACAAACGCGGCGTTCGCCTTCGGATGCGCAAAACGGTTTGCGATAGCATGAAGAAGAAGCGGTCTCATGTGAATCAACGATTTGCAGAAAACCGTCGACGTTCGACGCGTCGAGTGCGGCCACGCGGTCGGCGATTCGCGTCGAAGCGACGAACGCGCCGCCACCAACAATCGCACCAATTACGCCATGTGCGCCATGATGGTGGCGATGCGCTATTGCAATTGTCATCCGCTTCTCGCCGAGCTTCTACACTACGACATGCAGGCGTACAGGTGCTCTTAGTTTTAAGGGGAAGGTTGGGGGGGAGGGGGTCTAAAACTTTGAAGGTCCATATCTCGATAACTAGAAGTTTGTGCAAGTTGGGACCTAGTCTGTTCGATTGGAAATTTTCTAAAGAATTTGTCTGCCAAAATGCTTTTCTTTAATTTTAAGACGGGCTGAAAATAAAGCACCCCAACCCCCCTAAGAAGACCGCGTTTCTAAATTTTAATAGTAATAATTCAAGGAAATGATATTCTCATCAAGAAATTAACTATATAGTTCACGTCAAAATTTTAGAATGAACGTTTATTATAAAAAATTTATTTAAAAAGCCGCCATCGTAAATCCACCCGCGAACCTCAGTTCCTGGACGCCGATTATACACAAAAATTAAAGAATTAAAAAGGGGTGATTAAAATTTTACCATTACAAATAGACGGTTGGAAGTTATGCTGCGTAATGTTGAGAACTTAAATGAACTGGAGCCATTCAATAATTGCTTTCTATAAAATTAAAATAAAGTTTATCGTATTTTCCGTTATATTTCTCAAACCTGTTGATTTCTCCAAAACATTGTAGTGTGGTGGTTTCGCATTTGTTCCAATAATAAATAAGTAATTATAGACGATAAGCAGACAAATTAGAACAAAAAATAATACGGAGAGAAATTTTCAACAATTTTTTTTCGTTTAAAATTGCGGCCTAAAAAGAGCTTCAAAATGTCAGATAAAACTATTCAATTATAATAAATATACGTAGAATATAATAGACAAAATTTTTCTTTAATTTTTTGTGAAAAAAAATTAATAAAAAATTTTGAAAACTCATTGAGAAAAAGCAAAATGAAATAATGTGTCAAAAACGAAATTCGAAAACAGTGAGGCGTGGCCACACTGTGCAAAGCGGCGCAATTTTTTGCAATGCTGCGGCACATCTTTTCCGCGTGCGTCTGCTTCCAATTTGAAGCAATTTTTGAGTAATTTTTGATGTCAACGTTCCTCAGTGTGTGCATTGAATCGGATATTCTTCATAAAATATGATTGCTAGGCTAAATGTTACTCTAGCATGAAATATGCCCCTTAATTGACTCAAAGTTAACACTTTGCGTCTTAACAAAGTCCAAGTGTCTATATTGATCCATACTCAGGCAAATGAAAAAAAATATTTTGAGACAATTCTAAAATCTTATGAGGTTCGTTGAGAGGCTAACGTGTCTCTATAATATTTTAGATTTGTCTCAATAAACTTTAGGAAATCTCATAAGATTTTAGAAATTATCAATAAGTTTCAATGAATATTGTGAGACTTTAAAGTTTATCAATAAGTTTTAGATTTGTCTCAATAAACTTTAGAATATATCAATAAATTTTAGATTGTTCTCAATAAACTCTGTCCAATATTATGTAATATCATACGTTATCGAGCAATTTTCACACAAATAGAATGTAATAACAGCCATAATAATTGAATATGTATGAACATTTCATTTATTACAATATTAATGCGAAATGAATATATTAATAATAAAAATCAGAAAAAAATAAATGAATCAATTTATTCTTTTCGCATTTTCTCCTTTTTCTGCGAATGACGCACAACGTTGCTATAAGGAATTCGTTGCATATATTGAAAGAAAATGTTGAACTTACAAATTTTGATGATTGAATTTGTCGTTTTTCGATTAATTTCATGAGTTCTTTGCGATAAAATGACTTCTTAATTAAATCCGGATTCGCGTTGAAACGAATTTTCAATGAAGTCACAATCTCGTGATATAGTTTATAGCTGAAAATTGCCAGTTTTAAAAAATAACTGAATGAGTCTAACTTTCTCAAAATACTATATCCAATCCCGTTTGTCTGTTCCGAGCACATGTTTCTCTTGATAACGTGATAAATGTGCTCATGCGCTTGCGTGCTTATTGCCGACAGCTGACCACACCGCCTGACATTACTGTACAAATGGTATATAAGTTGCTGAAACAATAAATACAGTAATCATTAGTATTATTTCTTATATCAACGACAATAGCATGATGCTACAACGTTCAATAACTCTTAAAATTGCAAAAAAAACGACTTACGTGCACTTTTGAACCAGAAAACAATCGAGGCGCCCCATCTAAAATTAGAATTTCTAATAATTTGCAAATACCTGCGATCTGAAATAAAAATTTTCTATTATGTACATAGCTAACGATCCCATATTACTTTGTTATATTACTAGCGAGTCGGTGACACCATCCATCGGTAGCAGGCATGTATAAGCAACACAACAGCTGAACCTAACGGAGGGATGGTTCCGATCATGGCGTTAGAAACAATTTTCACTTCAAAAATCTTCAAAGGATGATAATTGCAAGTGGTAAATTAACTTACACTAGCTTTTTCGGACCTATTAATGTCATTGAATTTTCCTGATAGCGACTTTACCGAAGATGGCAGTCTCGCTTTCACGTCAATAGCTTCGCATCGAAAAATATTTATTTCGTTTTTAACGAAGACTTCTAAAAGACAATCTTCAATTTTTAAATGCTGAAAAAGGAGAGACATAATTGAAGTACCTTTTATTATAGGTGTTCCCTCGTGAAAAAGGTGGAAAATATCCATGGCCGTGATCCACATGGGCACCTGCTCATTGAATTTGCTGTATTTACCTCGTTCCTTAAATCTATCGGCCAATGTTTCTGGAATATTTGTTCCACACTTTTCCCGATCTTCTAAAATATCGAAATCATTAGAAACTGAAGTATAATTGTAATTAATTGTAATAATTGTGCGTATTTTTAAAATTCATGAACCTGTTCATGCAATGACATGTTTAGACACAACTGTTTCAAATTCAGCATGTAAAACAATGCAGATTTAAGGTAGTGTTAAACATTTATTATAAAAACTTGCATTTCATGAATACGTCCATCACTGAAGTGAAGAAACTATTACAAAAAGCTAAAAAAAAAAACGGAAGAAACATCAAAAACATAAATTATTGATTGGAATCTAGAAGATCTTAAAAAGAGACGCCGCAAATTGCGTCAGTGGAAGTCATAAGGGCCCTATTCAAATTTTAAAGTCTCACAATATATTGAGATACTTTACACTTTCTCAAAAGATTTAACTTTCTCAAAAGATTTAATTTACAAATTCCAAATTTTTAAAATTTATTGATTCTCAATAAGTTTTAGAAAGTATCAATAGACTTTAGAATTTCTCAAAATATTTTAGAGTTTATCACTGAATATTTGATTCTCAAAATATTTTATTTGATTTGCCTGAGTATTTGGCTCAAAATTAATACGCAGCGTCTCAAAACACGCTGAGTGTCTAACTCGACCATTATTTGACTCAAATTTAGTAATCAGCGTTCGTTTATTCAAATTCGAGTCAACTTTGGTATTCGCCGTTTTACCTGCGGACAAGATGAAAGGAGTGGGAATGGGTATGAGGTGCGAGGCGCACAACTTTGAAGACACAGTGACGGCTGAAAATTGTAGAATCCATTTTTCGGACCCATATTGGTAAAGTATGAAAAAAAAAACTCCCACTACGCGGGGGGGGGGTACTAATTGAATACCCTCTGGACTTCTTTTCTTCATTTCCATTTTTGCAGGGACTTTTTTTTGCGAGTGGCGCAGACGAGCGTGTGCAGCGTCGAGGCGTACGATAATTGCGCGCGGCGGTACGTCGACATGACGCGAATCGAGAATTGGCACGAGGACGTTGGCGACGATCTGCCCGGCCATCGCGAGCTCGTGAAATGCCGCGACGACAATCATCGCAGTTGCCTCATCACCTCCTATCCGGGCACCATCGACGGCTACGATCTGCCCGACGAGTATCGAAACACCGAGGTGGCTTTCAATCGAAAAAACTCCGCCATTATGGAGATTTCTTTAATTTAACACGATTCTCAATAGAGCGCAATTGCATTATTGATTTCTTCTTAAATTTATTGCATTTTCGCGTTTCACCTTTTTTGGAAAAATTCCAAACGAAAAAATTGATTATCATCAAAATCAACCTGTAATTCATCTAGAAAGCGTTAACTTTTTTTTTTAGAAGTGTCGTAGGATTCGGTGTTTCGTACGTAACACACCAATAGTCGTACAGTAATCCGATGGCGACACTAAATTCCAAATTCGAAATAATTGGAGCCTTTGGGACCACAGTTTGTTGATTTTCAGGATTTCGTCGCGAGACTCGTCCTCGAGTACACCACAATGAAAACGACGGAGATTCTCGTGTCGAAAAATCCCAACGTCTATGAGATGCTCAGCTTCATCGGCTACAATCTCGCGTTGTGGTTCACCGTCGGACACATTCTATGGTTGGTGTGAGATGGTGAAATCCACCAATCAATCTAAAATCGTTTCAGGACCATGTTCTGGTATGCGAGCGGATTGTGTTGCGCGCGGACCAACAAGGTGAGCCCCCCCCCCGGCCCCCGGGACCTCCCATTTGATTTCCTTTTCTCTCTCTCTAGATTCGTCCCGAGACTCGCCGTAAATCGAGCCACTCGTCACCGCGTCCGCCGCTTCCCGTCGAGACCCAACCGCAGCAAATCGACGCCGACGAGGAGAACACTTAATTGCCATGATGATAATTATATGCCATTTGGTGCTAGTCTAACCGATTCGATGATCTCTACTCCTCCAATAATACGTCTTTCAATTTTATCAAAAGTTGTATAAATTATTTATTTCAAAATGTTTTCGTTTGAAATTTTCCCAAGTTTTGATTGAAATATTTTTTTTGTCACCATTGCCATAAAAATAGATGAAAATTGCTTTAAACTTGAAAATTTATTAGCACTAGGTCTTAATAAGTAGCCTGTCAATTTTCAAAATGATTGGAATGTATTGAAATAAGTTCTGAAGTCTCAAACATAATGGGGCGAAAATGAAAAATGTGGTATGCGGAACCAAAACCGACACCTTCTGCGCGTTAACGCGCAACAACCCAACTGAGCCAGTGGACACATGTCGAGCGCCATTCAGATGGCAGTGATGACCCTTCGCTGGTTCAATGCACGGTCCATCCAATTGAAACCAAGAAAGAAAATGATGTCTATCATTTTCAGCTTCATGCTATATTACTATCTTTATAAATCATTTTCAGTCATTTTTTAGCGATTTTAATATTCACACTTGGAAGTTTTCAGCAAATTGGGGCATGCGCCTTTGAATAGGCATTACTGTAGCTTCTTTTTAAAATTTGTTTCTTTTGGAAAATAATCGTATTTTTCGAGGTCTAAAAGATCAAACATTCAAACTTTCAATACCATAAATGAAAATTGGTATCGATTTTTAATCCGCATTAAATGCGATTCGCATTCCTACAAAACTACTATTCCAAATTATGCTATATATGGTTAATTGTAGTAAGTTGAGGAAATGTTTGCCAAAAATGGTTGGGACCATCGAATTCTGCTGGTCCGACAACATTTTTAGCAAACATTTTTGACAAAAATAGTGAAAAAACGGAAAATGTTGGATTATCGTCATCGCCAATTTCTAGGGACCACACTAATCTCTGACCCCGATTTTCAGATCATTTTTTCGCCAAAAATCGACAAAACCGCTCAATTTTTCTCGAAAATTCGCCAAATCGCCTTCAATGGAAGCGATTTTCGTCTCGTGTAGGCCCACAATTATTTTCGCAAACAAAAATGCCCATAAATGGTGATTTTAGAGGGCGAGAGTGCTCAAATACGACGTGTCTCTTCATTATCGATAGATTCTGCTCGAAAAATGGGTTTGTCAGTGTCGATGGTCCCTAGAATTCAGCGATTTCGCAGAACGTTTCGCATTCTTCGACTATTGTCTGGTAGTCTCAACGTCGACAATGGTCTGATGTCAGTTTCCATGCTCAAAACCCCAGGTAGGGTTTCAATGGTCCCCAGAATCGGATTGCGGCGCTTCGAATTACCATGTGTGGGCAAACGCGCTCCATTGAACACTCGCCGCCACAATCCGATTTTGAGGGGTTGCAAACGCGCTCCATCGCACATTATTTGTATTGTAAGTGGATCACAATCAACTCGACACTTCACAATGGTCCCCAGAGATTTTCGCGTTGGACCCGCAAAGTGTCAACGGCTTTTTCGCCGGTATCACCACCCACTCTCTTTCCCCCACGCAGGACCCGTCCGGTACCAAAAATTTTCAGCACAATTATTGAAATTCGGCATTCTGGCGCCAATCGCCACCAATGTTTTGCTGATCGGCGTCGCCAGCGGCGGACTTCAGGCGTATTTGAGTCAAAAATTCGAGAAGGTCTCTCAATTTTTTGCGGCGCGATGTCGAAATTTTACCCGATTCAGATGAACGTCACCGGTGTCGACATCGATCCGTTGTCGAGAATTGTTCCACACAAATGGTTTGGATATGTGCCACGTGGAAATTCGCGAATTCTCATCGAGAACGGCGTCGAGTTCGTGAGAAGAGCTTCACGAGATGGTGAGAGAGAGAGAGTGTGCGGAATTGAGAGAGCGCAGAGGGCCAACGCGACAGTGCGCAAATTGAAGAGAGCGCAGACAACTGGCGACACAGTGTGGGGAGGCGAGAGAGCGCAGAGATATTCTCTGCCCACTTCGGATCCCTCATTTTTTTTTCCCAGTTTAAAGGCGCATGCCGACCTACAGCAGGTCATTGTTCGTTGCAGGACCCTACTGGCATGCGATTCTGCTGGACGCGTGCCACAACGAGCTGAAACGCGGCACACTAACATGTCCAATTATGGATTTTTTGACAAATTCGACACTTGAAGCAATCCAACGAGCAATCGTTGAGGATTACGGTAGACATACGGTAGATTACGGTGTTCGACGAGATTCTAGGCATTTTCGTCGTGAATCTGGTGGCAATTCAAATGAACATCGAGGCGATTTTGAGCGGATTTCGACAATATTTTCGATTTTGCGATCTTCACCAAATGAACTACACGATCAATCGGGTGGGAAATTGCGCGAAAAAAACTTTTGTCGAATTTTGTTTTTTCGTTTTCAGTTTGTCGTTTGTCGAAATTTTTCCGAAAAACCGCCCAAAATCGATGAGAATCTCGACGAAATTCAACGCGCGCATGGGATTTTCGAGTTTCTGGTGAGCAAAACGAGAATTCCGTCGAAATATGCAACGAGAAAAAAAAATGAAAAGAATGAATCAAATTATTCACGTTTTTTTTCAGCGATCTTGCCAATGAACACTGCATTCGTCTCAGGACCTCTCATGCGCCTTTAATTGTATATTGTTTGTCATCCTGAAAATCCAACAATGCCCATTTTTCCGTAAATTCAGTTTGCAAAAAAAATTATACATTTATAAACTGGCCGTTTGCCGCCGCTAATTGTGACACCTGCTATCAGGTCATAGCCGTCTGAGAGCTGACGAACAGCGGCGCAATCACAGATGAACGGAGGCATAGGCACAATCAGTGTATCTACCAGGGATGCCGGGAATTTCGTTTCCCGGGTTTATCCGGGAAATCCCGGGACTCCAATCCCGGGTCCCGTCCCGGTTTCGTCCCGCAACTACCCGGGATCCCAGTATCTCGGGATCCCGGGATGAACGGGTTCCCGGGAAAAAGTCTGCAAACACCGCGCGCGCAAACGCACACTCTTCGAATATTGCGTATTCTCGTTTTTTTTTAAATGAATTTTCTTATTTTAAAAAGATTCCAATGCTTAGAAAGTGGCATAGGAAGTCCCTATTTGGAGTTTTTGAAATTTCGCAGAAAAATTAGCACAATTGCAATGTGCAAATAACGATTTTTTCCAAAAACGCCATTTTCTAAGCATTGGAATCTTTTTAAAATAAGAAAATTCATTAAAAAACGACAATACGCAACATTCGAAGAGTGTGCGTTTGCGCGCGCGGTGTTTGCAGACTTTTTCCCGGTAATTTCCCGGGAAATTAAGTTTCAATGAGGACCGGGTCCCGGGAAAATTTTCCGGGAACCCGGCCATTCCCGGGAAAATTCGTCCCGGGTAGACACACTGGGCACAATGGAAGCATAATGGAACGGCTGTGGATTTCATAGGAATCTTATATGCTAGTTATATGGAAGCATTTTTTTTTTGCGGAACCGTGTGTTTTGTATATGGAATGAGCAGTATGCCTTCAATATGGGAGAATAGGAAAACCAGTTGATTGCTGTATTCAAAATTTATTCCATATTAATTTTTAAAAAATAAACAACAACACTGAAATGTATTACAATTGAGATAATCAAACCATTAGTTACTAGAATATGCCAGTGTATTCAAATCATTGACCATGTTGAAATCGAGCGGGAAGCTGTAATAAGTAGAGTTCATATCGTTCACACTTGGCTAAAAAGCCGTGTTATGACATATATGTTTAAAAACGATAACTATTGCTAAGAAATTTAAAAAATTTAGACAAAAGCCCTAATGCGCATTTAACTTATCCTTTCTCACAAATCTACGCTTGTATAGTGCACCACATAACTATGTACCCATCCCAATTTTGTCGAATATCTCGAAAACGCGAATACCTCCAGAAATCCGAAGATAAGTAGTTTTGACGACCGATACGTCATAAGACTTGGTCTCTTGCCATTTTGGCGTCAAAACAAATTCGACCAAATTTGGGGTGGGTATATAGTTATGTGGAGAAGTGTAATTTTGCGCGAAGGACACTGTTAATGAATTTTTGTCATTTTTCCACTTTTTCGTAGTCGCGCTACTTCGACAATAATGGGCCTATTAATTTAAAAAGCATATAAACCATTTCTACGTAAAGTAAAAAAAAACATTTTCGAGAAAATACTGCCGTATTTTTACATTAATAACTTTCTTCTTTCTTGTTAGAAATAATTTATTTTTATTGAATTTTTGGAAACTCATAAGTTTTTATTAGAACTTTAAAGACATATGAACAATCACATCTCAGGGCTGCTGATAGAATTAATCAGCTTTTTTTCTATTATCGCTAACTTCTCACCCTTCGAAAGTGCCTTCGCTTTGCAGTTATTTGTTGATTCTTGTCCAAAACCTTGGATGAGAACATCTGTAACATAGATATTTGCCATAAAATGTAGGCCCTTTAATTTAATAGAATATAGTCATTGAGAATACTTCTTCAGTTACGAAAAAACTTAAGAAAAATACGAAATAGATGGTAGACAAAATTATTTTCAATTTTTGAAAAAAAAAATCACGAAAAATATTGAAAACCCATTGAGAAAAAGCAAAATAACAAAAATTTGGAAAACGAATATCGAAAATAGTGAGGCGTGGCCGCATTGTGCAAAGCGGCGCACGGTTTTGCAATGCTGCGGCACACCTCTTCTATGCGCGTCTTCTACCAGTTTGGAGCAAACTTCGAGTAGTTTGTGATGTCAATATCGGACAAACCGGCAAAATATATTCATATGACCAAATTGTAAATGCCAATCTTTAAACAAAGTGAGGCACAGTTGACTGAATTAACATAAATCTAAGTAACATAAGTCATTAAATGGTAGAAGCTAAATTTCGTCCGTTGTTTATCATGTAATTTTCAAATTTTCATTGTTTATATGATAGAATAGGTATTTATATTGATTTTTGTGGAAATTGTCTTGGTCTGCCGTCCAGACGCCAATTATATAATGTGTAATGACATATGATTATTTTATCCATATTCCATCCATATTCATTCCACGGCTCGCAAACACCGGAAGCATATTCATCCCGTTTTCATTCCATCCATATTCGTCCCATATTTCTTCCACAGCCACTAAGAATTACATAATGCTTCCTATATGGAAGCATTATGCTTCCGTTCCACAGATTTCCCACAATGCTTCCATTATGCTTGCGTCGCGCTTAATCAGTGAACGCGTAGCAACGCCACTGAACCATTGGTCACCTCGGGCGAGCCATCTCAGATGGCAGTGATAACTCCTCGCTGCACAATATAATTTTTTTTAAATACTTGACTCTGGCCCAGCCCAGCTCGGCTTCGAATCGACAAGTTTGGAAATATCGCATCGAAATTTGCCTGTTTCCGAATGAATTGGTCCCAATTTCACATTTATCTCTAGCTACCCAATGCTTTTTCACATATTTGTTTTCTTTTTTCGAATTGTTAATAATTTTTCTAAACCGGAACTTTTTTGTGCCTCTTTGCTGAGAATTTTCACACACTCATCGACAAAAGAGTATTCAATACTGTGAGAGTGCCAGAGAAGCGCGACGGTCGATCGGCGTATTGCTCATGTTAAAACGCATTCCTTTGAAAATTTCGCAATATATTGACGGAATTTATTGTTATCTTAGCAATGTTTTGTGTGTGGGAGTATATATTTCACATAAGCATTGACATTTGTGGAAAAATCATGGTTTTGACTTGATTTTTTTTGTTTTAGACACTCTTATCAGGACATGTATAAACATCAACGCACCAATTGCAGATTATATTACAGAATCGTCTTTATAAATGCAACTTAAAAAAATTAGTTTGTTAGAGAACTGGAATTTTTTGTAAAATGTATATTCAAAAATAACTGGGAAGGAAAATTTATTTTAGGTCTGTTTTGTTTTTGCATATTGTGTACTGTAGACAAGAATGGTGCAAAAATTGCACGCAAAAATGCGGGATTTTTAAGCGACGTTTATTTTTTTTTTGCTCAAAATTATTAATTTTGCCGATTTTTACGCGAAGTAATAATAATTTTGAGAAATATTATATATTTCGTTGATGAAGACCTTATTTTGGTTTTAGTTTTTCAATGAAAATTCCGAAAAAAAATCCTGAAAAATCAGAAATTTTTGAAAATGCGGCAAACCTGGTTTATTGCAAACCGTCTGCTCGTTTGTCCTCTCTCGTGCGTATTCATTGTTTTGCGTTTTTTGCGGAAAATTCAAATAGACCAATTTTAGATGTCGAATGGCGTGACGACAACGATCAAGTTCGAAGTTCCGTCGTCTCAAAATTGCCACGTGGCACCGCAAATTCGATTATTCGAAAAAGTTGCGCTTTTTCTCATTTTTTCCGTGAATAAATGACCTTTTTTGTAGGTTTTTTCGAAATACTATACGATCAATAAGAAAAATGAGCAGGATGTGCAAGAAGCCGAATGCGAGCCATTCACTGAGATCATATTTGAGGTTTTTAGTGTTTAACTATAACAAAACCATTTTTTTAATTGTAGATTTTCGCAAAAATTGGCCTAAATTTCCGGATTTTAGAGGCGATTTCGGAGTTTTACGCGGAAAATCGACAGGTTTTCGCCGTGGAGCGCCGCCATCAAAAATTTCTGAATTTTTTGTTGTTTTAGAATAGCGAAATTGAGCCCGAATTCCGCGGCACCGTCATTCTTCACTCGCCGCTTCTGTTTCGAAGCGAAATTGTGTAATTTTCGTTCATTTTTTTTCTCGACATTGGAAATTTTCCGAAAATTTTTAGGTGTTTTATCAATAGTATTCCATTGAATTCGATCCATTTTGGCAATATTTTCAAAAATGTCCACTATAGTCATTGGGAGGTCGGAAATTTGGTGTCGATCGCTCAACAATGGCCCATCTTTTTCTTGCAGATCTCTTTCAACACTTTTGAGGACCATCGACATCGCGAAAAATACGCCACCGAACGGACGCTGGAGGCGAATTTCGAGTTTGACAGCCCCAATCCGTTGGTTGTCAATTTCAAGATTGACCAAGATACTGAAAGGATAATTAATGGGAATCGAAAAATTGAGACCAATATTGTCAATTATAAGCTATCGGTGGGTCCCTTTCAAAATCTGCTTTTTTCTAAGCTATTTGCGAGTAGAAAATTGAAAATCGATTTTTTTGTCTGAAAATCCCATTTTCTAGTCTCAAATTTGATGAAAATTGGGCATTTTCGGGTTTTTCCATTGTCGATTTGAAATTTTGAGTCTTCGCTCGAATTTTTCAAAGCGAACTCGATATTTCGCTTTTTTTTATAGTGTTTCACGTTGAAATTGGTGAAAATTGGGATTTTTTTGGATTTGAAACGCGAATTTGACAAATTTTGACACGAAAATGCCCATTTTTGGGAGTTTTGCGAATATTTGAACGCCAAAAAGTTGGGGGTTTTTGAAGTTTTAGAAAAAATTCGACGAATTTCAGGTGTTTCGTTACGATATTCGCCGAATCATCTGCGAATTGGATTACCGGAATGGTCCAATCATTCATTTCGAGCTCAATGTGCCGGTTTGTGTGAAAAGGGCCGTCGAAACGTTGAACAGGAGCAAAAAAAGCACGGTGAGGCAATTTTTAGACCAAAAAAAGCGAAGAAATTTTTAATTGAAATATCATTTTTGAGCAAATTTGCTAAAAATTTCATGAAAAAAAATTTTTAAGCATTTTTTTTTTTGGAAAAAATGCGCATTTCTGGCAGATTTCTTGAAAAATTTCACTTTTTTTGAGACAAATTTAGACAAAAATGCGTTTTTTTCAGTCATTTTCACGATTTTTCGGAGTTTGAGAAAAACAAAACTAATTTCGTCTGAAAAAAATACGATTTTTTCGACAATTTTGTTCAAGAGATTGCAATTTTTGAAAAAAACGCGGACTTTTTTTGAAAAAGTTTGTGGAAATTTGACTTTTTTTTGGTAAAAATTATATTTTTTAGCAAATTTTAAAGAAAATATGGTTTTTTTTTGTCATTTTAACTATAAAAATAGTCAATTTCAAAACGGAAACGCATTTTTTTGTGATTTTGAGAGAAAAAATCAAAATCAGCTAAAAAAATTTGCGTTTTTGGCTGGAAATCACTCGACTAGAATCGCTTTTTTTGGTAGAGGCTAATTTATTTCAAAAAATTTCGATTTTTCACGAGAAATTGACCATTTTTTTTTTCAGAAATCGCCGAAATTTGATCGCGTTTTGACGATAAAGCACGGCGATTCGGCGCACTTCGAATGCCATCCGCTCGCCATCACCGATTCGCCGTTTTTCAGCATCATTTTCAACCAAATTGACGTATGTGTGTCTGCTTTTTTTCGTTTTATAATGAAAATGCTCAACCAAAAAAAAACACCGAAACGAATCAATTTTGCAGACGCCGCTGCTTTACAAGATTCTATCGCGATTCCGCCATCGATGCGATGTGCCCATCGAGTTTTTTCAGGTCATTTTTCGAAATTGCATATTGATTTAAAGAAAACGTCGGGTTCGGTGTGTCCAAACTTTTCAGTATAGTAAGTCACCTTCTCCGAACGGCTTCTTTCGGGGCTAATAAGGGAATGGGTGTTGAAGAACACTCGAGAAACAACTTGTCCATAGGTGATCCATGATCCGGTGATTTTAGCTGGCTGCGACTTGCTGCGTTAGGATCATGATGATCCCCTCGGACCTTACGGGCCTTATAGTCCAAGGTTGCTCTCCTTACGCTGCAGTCCGTTGCTGAATGCTTTGAGGGGGGGCTCTAGGCCCCTAAACTTAAAATAGTTGGATTGAAATGAAAACAATTGATATTATTGTTAAGTAGAAGAGATCATCTTCATAGAACCCTTTTAATTGTCTTGCAGATCTCTTCTACTTAACAATAATCCACACGATGCACTCAAAACCATACATGCAAAATTCTACCGACCCGCTCGACCCGCTAATAGAATTTTTGAAGAAAAGTTTATTAAAAAAAATCGAAAACGAAACAAAAACAGCAAAAGCTGGTTCAATCAATTTTGTTTGAGGACTTCTGAACAATTTTTGTTGCGAGAATAATTAATTCTACTCAAATAATGTAATTCGAAATTCTTTTTTTTTCGCTAAACAAGGGCCTCGCTGTAAACTTGGAGTGTCGTTGCTGGGCGGGGGCGGGTCGCGAATTTTTTACTGACCACGCAAACTCGGCCACCATGGTGTGAAATAAAACGTGTTGGATTTTTCAACCCTTGACGAAAATTTAAAAAAAAAAACGAGAAATGTTGAGCCTTTGGACAAATGAAGAAAAAAATATGTATATATGAATGATGTCGATTTAAATTGATCGTTGATTAATGCGCGTAGGCTATAATGCATTGTACGTAATTTCGCTGCCTTGAGATGTATTGTCACTTAAAAAAAAATTAAATTTCGGACATTTGTTTGACGGCGACAATGAAATAATGGTAGTCCTGGCGAGACTGCTGTACTCCGGGATGTAGATTTACGGGGGATGCGTCTTTCTCTTGGTCTCGCGCGGACTAATTGGTTATTTTGGGTCGGTTCGATAAATTTCATTTTTTTTTTTTCGAAAAATGAATGATTTTTTTCAGTTTTTGAGCAAAAAAATCGTGAATTAGAAATTACAGTAATTTACTCAACGAGACCCACTTTGAAATGGCACATGAGCCTTTAAACTGGTTACTGTAGATTTTTTTTGCACAAAATCGTTAAAATACAATCAAATCAACTCATTTAAATAGAAAATAAAAAATTCCGTTTTTTGCGAAGAAAAAACGAATTGTCGTCAAATGAAATGCACAAGTCCGCAATGTCATTTTCAGCTTCAAATTCGAAATTGAACGCATGTTCTGAAATCGATCCGTAAATGAGCGTGTTGCGTGTTTACACCGAATGCATCTTATTTGACGACTATTTGAAATTTCTCAATTTTTGGTGTTTCGATGTCTCAGAGAGGCCAAGAATATCGAAATTGAGATCATTACGGACTTGTGCATTTGATTTGACGACAATTTGCTTCTTATTTCTCGGCATTGAAAAATAATGTATTATAGAGAAATGACAAATGTATTATGCAGATGTCGTGGGATTCTGCGTTTTGTACGCAATGCGATGAGCCAGTTACCGTAATCCTCGCGGCAATTTACGGAGTTTTATTACGGTAACTGGCTCATTAAAAAAAAATCAACAGTAACCAGTTTAAAGGCTCATGTGGGTCTCATTTTAAAGTGGGTCTCGTATGAGTAAATTACTGTAATTTTTAAAATACATTTGTCATTTCTCAACAATAAAATTTTGTTCGTTTTTTTTTGTTTTAATTTTTGCCATCTAAAATTGAGCATTGATTTTTTTGAAAGCGAATCAACGACTTGAATTTTTCAGACGGATTTCGTGTATTACCCGTATTCGCAGACGAAATGCCCGTATAATAATTGGGTTCAACATCGAAATTTGACGCCGACGCACTTCGAGGAGCCGCTTTTTGCCAAATTCTTGAGCAAAGTGAGAAAATTATGATTTTGGGGCGCGTTTTTTTTTGGGGAATTTGTGCTGGAAACAATATTTTTTTTGGAAAATTCCTTATTAGAATTTCAATTTTTGTTTTCAGTCTCGAATTCTTTGAAAAATCGCCATTTTAATCGAAGAATTGAGCATTTTTGGGTAAATTTTGCTAGAAAAATGCGATTTTTCCGATGAAAAACGTCAACATTTGCGAATTTTCAAAGGAAAAATTTGAAAACGTTTAAAACCGCCTTGATTTTGTAGACATTCGTCGAGGGCTTCGGCGGACCACGATTCTCGAAGGGCCACGATCGAGACAAGGACAAAATTCGCGCGAAAAAGTTCGCCTATGTGTATTTGATTGAATGCTTATTGTCAAGGTGATTTTTTTTTTAATTTTGGATTCTTTTTGGGCCGAAATGGTTGATTTTCGCGAAAAAATTGAGGAAAATTGAGGATTTTTCTTGAAATTTTTCATTTTGTTGCGAAAAAATCGCGAATTGACGACGATTTTTTGCCGAATGAATCGAGCTTTTGCCTATTTTAAATTGGAATTTGATGAAATTGCAGAGGAGCCGTTGTTAAAGACCAATTGCTGATCGAAAGGAATGAATTTGAACAATTTTTGAAGATTATTTCTGGGCATTTCAACGATGACGAAAAACATGAGGTTTTTCTTTTTGAATATTTCTTTATAAAAATGTGAAAATTTGGAAAAAATGTTGAAAAATTTCGATTTTCTAGTGAATTTTTTCCAGTTTTTGGACATTTTTTTTATTAAAACGGTGTTTTTAAGCGAAATTTTTGAAATATTGAAATAAAATGGCATTTTTTTGCGGATTTTTGCCAATTGTTGAGAAAATTCTGCCATTTTTCGCTGAAATGAGCTAAAATTCGGGGCTGAAATGTTGAAATGGGATGTTTTTGCAAGAAAAAAAAGTTGAAAATTTCCTAAAAAAGTTTTGACGCTGAAATTTCCAGTTTTTTTTTTTAATTTCAATTTTTTTTGGTCAAATTTGTGAAATTTTCAACAAAAATTTGTGACTGCTTTTTTTTGCAAAGAAAGATATTGAAATTTTGAAATTTTCAGATTTTTGAAATCAGATGAGCAAAAATGTTCAGTATTTTCAAATTTTCGCAATTTTTTTGCCCAAATTCCGATGTTTGAAGACATTTTTTCAAAAAATATTGAAGAATTTCATTTTTTTCCATTTTTTTATCATTTTAATGAAACGAGGCAAAGATTGCAAATTTTTGAGCATAAATTTTGTGATTTTCCAATTTTTTTTTCAAATTCTTGAAAATTTTGGTGCTGAAATTTCCAGTTTTTACAATTTTTCGTCAAAATGACCGAATTTGTGAAATTTTTAACAAAAATTTAGCTTTTTTTAGAAAAAAAAGTTGAAAATTTCAAATTTTCAGATTTTCTAAATCAGATGAGCAAAAATGTTCAGTATTTTCAAATTTTCGCAATTTTTTTAGTCCAATTCCGATGTTTGAAGACATTTTTTCAAGAAACGTTGAATATTTTTAATTTTTTTTTCAAAGTTTTGATAATTTTGATACAGAAATTTTCAGTTTTTTGCAAATTTTTAGCCAGATTTCATTGAGAAACAAAAAAAAAGAAGGAAATTTCGACAATTTCGAGATTGATTTCAGTTGTGCGAATCGGCGCTTGAAGACCTTGTGAATATGATCGATTGTCGAAAACGCATCGGAAAATTGCATCAAGTTTGTGGTCCCCACGAATTGTTTTTTTTTTAGCCAATCTCTCATTTTTCTCGACAGGTTTTCGAGCAATTGTGCCGAAATCGCCTCCGGAATGGCGTCAGCAATGAGATAACGCTGGAAATGTACGACGATGGGTATCGTCGGGTGCGCAAAGTGGTGTTGACGCCGACGCGCAAGATTCTCGTTGTGCCGGAGACGATCATGAGCAATCGAGTGCTTCATCGAGTTGATCACGATTGCACACGAGTGCTCCGAGTCGTGTTCAGGTTGAATTCTTCTTCTTTTTTTTTGAATTGCTGAAAATCTGAAATGGACCAATTTTCAATTTGAATTCCCTATGCTAGCACGTCGAAAATTACAGAAAATTGACGCGGTATATCGTAATTCTCTGTTATTTATTTTTAAAGGCGCATGCGAAAATTTGGCGCGGGTCACGTCGCGAAGTCGGTACTGTAATTTTTCATTTTTCATTCTATGTGCTATTTTTCCGAATTTTTTCGAAAACTTTGAAGAGAAAATGAGTAACGGGTTGACGAACGAGGGGAAAAACAATTATTGGTATAATTACTCCTAATTCGACAATGTAAGTCTATGTTTCGTCAGTTAGATGCCAATTATTATGAAAAATAGTGATTTTTGTGCTGATTTGATGCAGACTTCGATCGATGACGCTTTTTATGGACATTTAGCGTTGATTAAACAAAATAATTTTACAGATTGCCAAAAAAAAACGTCTCAAAAAATAAAAAAAAACGAAAAAAAAACAGTCATTAAAAAATACAGTACACATTTCGCGACGTGACCCGCGCCAACTTTTCGCGTGCGCCTTTGAAATTAAATAGCGGAGAATTACGATATCACGCGCCAATTTTTTGTAATTTTCGACGTGCGTGCATAGGGAATTCAAATGAAAGAAAAAATTGATTTTTTTTATTTTTTTCATTGCATGAATAGGTCCATAATTGACATTTTTAAAAGAATTTTTAGAAAATGGAAAATGGGGAAAAAAATATTGTCGCTTTTTAGCCAGTTTTGTCATATTTTCAAGCTTTGTCATATATTGAAAGATTTGAATATGGAAAATATGAAATTTGCGAAAAATTTGCAATAAAAATTAATTTCAATAATGATTTGTTCACTGGAATCGCATAATTACCAATTTTTGATTTAATTTGTATTGAAAAATTCCAAAAAAATCATTAAAATCCCACAATTTCAATTTCTAAACAGCGAAAAAAAAAAACGATTTTATTGAAAATTGACGCCGACCGCGACGCATACGCAACGCGGCCGAATTTATGCGCGCCAATTTGAAAATTCGGACAAGTCTGGAAGAATCGCATTAAAATGGTCCCAAAAACTTTTTTTTTTTGAAATTCCAGAAATTGCTATTTTTTAGCTGAATTTGTGCCATTTCCTCAAAAAATTAACATTTTCCGATGAAAAATTTGAATTTTTGAAATTAATTTTGCATTTTTCTTGTTTTTATTGAAATTGAAAATGTGGAAATTTGAGATTTGAGACGATCTGGCTGAAATCGGAAAATTTCGCATTAAAAAAAATACGGAAAAATCTTTTTGCAATTTTTTTTCGTCGAAAATTGAAAAAAAATAGTTATCTGTTTGAAATTTTTAGCTGAAAATTGGCTGAAATTCAATATTTTTCGGTCAAAAACTGGCTGAAATCGAGAAAACGCAAAAAATTTTTGACATTTTTTTGAAATTTCTAGCCAAAAAATGTCGAAAAATGGGCAAATAATTGACGGTGTCGGGTGTTGCAGAGATGACGACAATCAGAATATGCGTCTGACGGCACTTGGCGGTCTTCTGCGCTCGACGATGCTCTCGTATTTGCAGGACGGAATCCACGTGGCAGGTGGGGCGCCATTTTTTTTTTGCCGGCGATTTTCTTGGAATTCCATTCAATCAATCCAATTTTCCAGGCCGCGAATTTGGCTATTTGGGCAGCTCGAACTCGCAAATGCGCAACAACGGCGCGTATTTCATGGAAAAGTCAAGCCCGTGCATTTTGATTTGGCTGAAAATCGATGGTTTTTCCAGATATTCGGCGCGAAATCTTCGAGAATATCGATTGGCGAAGGGACGCGATCCGTCGCCGGGCTATCGGCCGAAAATCGAGACGTTTCGAAAAAGTTTGGGAAAATTTGAGGAAGCTGGAAGCATCTCGAAAGCGATGGCGCGTCTTGGACAGTGCTTCACGCAGACGAGAGTGGTCAGCGATGGGTTTTTTTTTTTTAATTTTCATTTTGTTTGAAAATCTGAAAAAAAGGAATTTTTTGCGAGAATTTGGATGGAAATTTCAATTTTTTTTTGTTGAAAATTGAGATTTTTTGCTATGATGAGATCGATTTATGTTCTTTTTCCACCTAAAATATTCTGGAATGGCGAAAAGTTGAATTTTTTGGTTGAGAAATTCAAAAAATAGATTTTTATTACCGAAGAAAAGTGAAAATTTTGAATTTTTGCTGAAAATTGAATTTATTTTGCTGAAAATTTCGAAAAAAAATAAAATCGAGAAATGTTGCAAATTTTCTAGAAAATAATAAAAAAAAGGACTTGGGGTTTTTTTTTTCATTTTGCCGAAAATTGAAAAAAAAAAAAAAATTTTTTTTGCGAGAATTAAGCTGGAAACTCCAATTTTTTGCTGAAAATTGAGATTTTTTGCTATGATGAGATCGATTTATGTTCTTTTTTTTTACCTGAAATATTCTGGAATGGCGAAAAGTTGAATTTTTTTGGTTGAGAAATTCAAAAAATAGATTTTTATTGCCGAAGAAAAGTGAAAATTTTTGAATATTTGCTGAAAATTGAATTTATTTTGCTGAAAATTTCGAAAAAAAATAAAATCGAGAAATGTTGAAATGTTTCTAGAAAATAACAAAAATAAAGGACTTGGGGTTTTTTTTTTTTCATTTTGCCGAAAATTGAAAAAAAAAAAAGAATTTTTTTGCGAGAATTAAGCTGGAAATTTCAATTTTTTTTTGTTGAAAATTGATATTTTTTTGCTATGATGAGATCGATTTATGTTCCTTTTTAACCTGAAATATTCTGGAATGGCGAAAAGTTGAATTTGTTTTGGTTGAGAAATTCAGAAAATAGTTTTTATTACCGAAGAAAAGTGAAAATTTTCAGTGAAAAAAATTCAGTGAAAATTTCCAACGAAAAAAGAAATAAATCGAGAAATGTTGCAAATTTTCTAGAAAATAACCAAAATAAAGGACTTGCCGTTTTTTTTTTGAAATTATGTGATTTCTTGGAAAATTTTGTTTCTTTTGGCATTTTTTGACTTAAAAATTGATTAAAAAAAATGTAATTTTTCAAAACATCCAATTCGTGTCGAGACCGAATTTAAAGGCGCATCATTGCGATATTGCAGTGCAAAGGCCATCCGTTGGAACGATCGGATTATATGGTGACGTTCGACGTCGTCGGCGGTCGCGCCGCCGACACCACCGGCTCGTACACGTTCACCGACGGCATTGGCGCGGTGTCGGCGAGCGTCGCCAAAAAGGTGGCGAAATTGTTGAAGCTCGGCAAAGGGTGTGTGCCGAGCGCCTATCAGATACGCTTTCGCGGAATGAAGGGCATGATCGCCATCGATCCGCAAATCGACACCGTCTTCATGCACATGAATCACCTCAAGACCAACGTGAGGCAATCGGCGACGCCCCGATTTTTTTCTTCCGCTTTTTTTTGCAGGACGTTCTCGACGTTTTTGTGAAGGATGACGTCGATGACGTGGCGATTGTGCCGCGCGAATTCGGATTCTCGTGCGTGTTTCGGCCGAGTCAAATCAAGTGAGCCACCTCGATTTTTGATTTGAGTCCTTTGAACCTTGTGCTCATCGTGAAGGCTAGGGACCATCTTGAGAACCTAGCTTGTGGAATTGAATTTGATGGACCATCTAGTTCTCCTCGAACGCTAGCTGCTTGAAGCTTGTGAAATCGGAGATTTTATGGACCATCATATTTACTAGAGCAAACGCTTCGAAACTTGAGGAACCATCCATTCCGGGGGCCATCTAGATTTTCTTGATAGCTATGTAGCGGCTTGAGACTTGAGGAATCGTGGAGTCTAGGGACCATCTTGAGAACCTAGCTTGTGTAATTGAATTCCATGGACCATCTAGTTCTCCTTAAAAGCTAGCTGCTTAAAGCTTGTGAACTCGTACATTCTAGGGACCATCGAATTTGTGAGAGAAAACGCTTCGAAACTTGAGGAATCATGAATTCTAGGGACCATCTAGTTCCCCTTGATAGCTAACTGTTTGAAACTTGTGGAGTTGAAGATTTTAGGGACCATCTAGGCCTCCTTAAAAGCTAGAGCTTCACAAATTGAAGAATCATGCATTCTAGGGGCCATCTAGTTCCCCTTGATTACTAGCTACTCGAAACTTGTGGAGTCGAAGATTCTAGGGATCCGAGCGTTCTCATTCAGATTCATTTCGGCGCGGACGCACGACAATAAATACGATTTGGAGATCGTGAAATTCTCGATGCCGACGCCGGTGGCGCTCAATCGGCCGTTCATCAACATATTGGATCAGGTGTCGTCGAAACAATCGTTCGAATGCCATCGGCGGGTTTGCGAGCGCGTTCGCCAATATTTGGATATTCAATTGGAGTCGTTCGCGAAACTGATGATCAACGAGGACGCGTGTCGTGGCAAGCTTGAGGTGAGCGCTTTCGGCATCGCGATAAGCCCGTCGAGTTTTTTTTTTTAAATTTGTGTGCAGGAGATGCCGCGTCGCATTCGTTTCGCCTCGCTGCTGAAAAGAAACGGATTTGTGCTGTCGACGGAGCCATTCTTCCGCACACTGATTCGCGCCTCTATCGATTTTGTGCTCGGTGAGTTGATTTGGTGGTGCTCCGGTCGAGGCCCGCTTTTGATCTACCCCCCAAAAAAATCGTTTTCTTTCTTTTTTTGCAGCGAAATTGGTGCGAAAATCGCAAATTCAGGTGCCGACCGACTTGGGACGCTCCATGTTCGGTGTGACCGATGAGACGGGACGACTGCAGTACGGACAGGTGTTTGTGCAGTACACGAAGAATGTGAAGAATAAGACGCCGACGAAAAACGACAAGAAAATTGTGTTGAATGGTGAGAATGGTTTTTGTGTGTTTCAAAATTTGCGATTTTTTGCTCAGAAAAGAGCAAAAATTGAATAAAAAAAAAGATGAATTTCAGTTTTTCAAAAAAACGAAAAATATTAGGAAAAAATGATTTTATTGATTTTTGCGCGTTACGGTAGCGAAGTCCGCAATGGACATTACGCAAAAATGAACAGATTTTCTATTTTCGAAATTCGATTCGTGTTTTCTGCACGGAATTCCTTCTTCCGTGTTCCGCTTGAGATATCTCGGAACATCTAACGCGTCTAGCGAATCAAAGAGGGTTTCTAGCACAGCCGAAAAAATTTGTTCGACAAAAAGAAGGTCCTCTGTCGAATGAGCACTTGGAAAATCTCACATTCTGCACTGTTAATTTCAGAATTGTCGAGTTAGATTAACTTTGTGTTCCGTTTTCCGTGAAAAATTTTGTTCCCTTTTCCGTTTTTAGAAAATTTAAGCTCCCGTGCAGCCCAGTGCCCGCGTTTCAGAATTATCAGAATTTACTCTCATCGTCTTAACCCCCCTTTGTTAGTAAGTGAATAGTTGTTCAGTGGTAGAATGTGTGTTATGCTAACCTGGATGGTCCGCGATGGTGGCGAGAGGATTCTGAACCACGCGAGAGCGGATTGTGATGAGGACTCGAGGCGTCTCGTCGGGGCATCGTTAGAACGAGTATAAACGTTAGCGGAAATTATGGCCTAGGCTAAAAATTTGAAGGTCCATATCTCGATAACTAGAAGTTTGCGCAAGTTGGGACCTAGTTCATTCGATTGGAAATTTTCTAAAGAATCTGTATGCAAAAAATAAAAAAAAAAATTAAGACGGACAGCAAAATGACTTCCCTTGTAAGATTGTGGCAAAGAGAATAATGAAAAAACTTTATAATTAAAGTGAAACTGGCGAAGCGAGCCAAAACTGCATGAAAAAAGCGTGCGCCTTTGGTTTTGCCACGCGCGGTTACTGTAGCAGTGGGTTGAGTGTGCGCGCTGGGGGGCGATTTACGAGGGGGGCGGCGCGGCGATGAAGATTTCAAACATTTGGCGAAATTTTTTGTTTGAACTAAAATTTCAAATTTTGAGGTTTGAAAAATGAAAAATTTGCTGGAAAAATGTTTTTTTTTTTGCATTTTATCAAGAACAAAAAAGTTGGTTTGAATTTTTGCTGAAAAGCAAAAAAAAACCCCCCAGCCGAATCGATATTTGGTGTTTTCAAGTCAAAAATCTGAAATTCGAGACATTGATGTTTGGTGTTTGATGATTGACGTTGAAGGACGCGTGATGATCACGAAATGCCCGTCGGTGGTTTCGGGCGACGTGCGAATGTTCGAGGCCGTCGACATTCCCGAACTCCATCACATGTGCGACGTCGTCGTGTTCCCGCAGCACGGACCACGACCGCATCCCGACGAGATGGCCGGCTCCGATTTGGACGGCGACGAGTACTCGGTTATATGGGATTCGGAGCTATTCTTCGACGGCAATGAGAAGGCGTTCGATTTTGTGTCGACGAAAAACAATGCCGAATTCAAAATTGAGGAAATGGTAACGCGGGGTTTGTAATTGGGCAATTTAATGAGAAAATTGATCAATTTTTGACATATTTTAACCTGAAAATGACTAATTAGTGATAATTAGATAATTAATTAAAGATTTTAAGAAAAAGTTATAAGAATTTATCCAAAATCGCATTAATTAGCGATAATGAATTGATCAATTAAGTCATAATTATGAATTTCAATGAAAAATGATAGATAGTTTGCAACAATTGCCTAATTACTAGTAATTGGTGTTAATTGGTGGGCAATTAAGGACAAGCTGATGCATGAGTTCTATGTGCACTTCATGGAGCAGGACTCGATCGGAATGGTGGCCAGCAATCATTTGCACTTGTCGGACCATTACGGAATCGACTCGAAAGTGTGCATGAATCTGGCGACGAAATTGACGCAGGCGTTGGATTTCGCGAAATCCGGAACCGCGCCGGATCCGCTCACCCGCAAATGGCAATTCGGTGCGTTTCAAAAAATAAAAAAAAAAACAGCGAGCTGAACATTGAGAGAATTTTTTTTTTCATTTTTTTTTGGTCCGAACTTGTTCAAAATAACAATTTATCCTCGAATTTTCGCATAGTTTTTGAGTATAAAATTCAAAAATTGTTGAAAAATTGAGAATTTTGGTCCGAATTTGCTGTTTCTGCTAAATTTTTCTCGTATTTTTTCTGGAATTCTCGCTTCAATTTTTTGTCAAAAAAAAAAATGAGAATTTTGGCATTTTTTGGTCCGAATTTGTTTAAAATAGCAAATTTTTCAAATTTTTCTGGAAATTCTCGTTGTTTTTGAGTTTAAAATTCAAAAATTGTTGAAAAATTGAGAATTTTGGTCCGAATTTGTTTTCTTCTGACAAATTTTCAGAATTCTTTGCATTTTTCTGGAAATGCTCGTTGTTTTTGAGTATAAAATTCAAAAATTGTTGAAATTTTGCAAATTCTGACATTTTTGGTCTGAATTAATTGAAACTGACAAATTTTTCTCGAATTTTTTCTGGAAATTCTTGCTGTAAAATTTGTTGAAAATTTGAGAATTTTGGGATTTTTTGGTCCGAATTTGTTGAAACTGACAAATTTTCAGAATTTTTCGCGAATTTCTCGTTGTTTTTGAGAATAAAATTCAAAAATTGTTGAAAAATTGAGAATTTTGGGATTTTTTGGTCCGAATTTGTTGAAACTGACAAATTTTCGAAATTTTTCGCGAATTTCTCGTTATTTTTGAGTATAAAATTCAAAAATTTTTGAAAAATTGAGAATTTTGGGATTTTTTGGTCCGAATTTGTTGAAACTGACAAATTTTCGAAATTTTTCGCGAATTTCTCGTTATTTTTGAGTATAAAATTCAAAAATTGTTGAAAAATTGAGAATTTTGGGATTTTTTGGTCCGAATTTGTTGAAACTGACAAATTTTCAAAATTTTTCGCGAATTTCTCGTTATTTTTGAGTATAAAATTCAAAAATTTTTGAAAAATTGAGAATTTTGGGATTTTTTGGTCCGAATTTGTTGAAACTGACAAATTTTCGAAATTTTTCGCGAATTTCTCGTTATTTTTGAGTATAAAATTCAAAAATTTTTGAAAAATTGAGAATTTTGGGATTTTTTGGTCCGAATTTGTTGAAACTGACAAATTTTCAGAATTTTTCGCGAATTTCTCGTTGTTTTTGAGAATAAAATTCAAAAATTGTTGAAAAATTGAGAATTTTGGGATTTTTTGGTCCGAATTTGTTGAAACTGACAAATTTTCGAAATTTTTCGCGAATTTCTCGTTATTTTTGAGTATAAAATTCAAAAATTTTTGAAAAATTGAGAATTTTGGGATTTTTTGGTCCGAATTTGTTGAAACTGACAAATTTTCGAAATTTTTCGCGAATTTCTCGTTATTTTTGAGTATAAAATTCAAAAATTTTTGAAAAATTGAGAATTTTGGGATTTTTTGGTCCGACTTTGTTGAAACTGACAAATTTTCGAAATTTTTCGCGAATTTCTCGTTATTTTTGAGTATAAAATTCAAAAATTTTTGAAAAATTGAGAATTTTGGGATTTTTTGGTCCGAATTTGTTGAAACTGACAAATTTTCAGAATTTTTCTCAAATTTTGCGTTGTTTTTGAGAATAAAATTCAAAAATTGTTGAAATTTTGCAAATTCTGGCATTTTTGGTCCGAATTTGTTTAAAATAGCAAATTTTTTCTGGAAATTCTCGCTGGAATTTTTTGGTTTTCGTTTGAAAATTGCGAATTTTTGAGACGCCGAAAACCTGGTGGCGATTCCGCCGGAAGTCGCCGAACGCCAACCGGATTTCAGTGCGCCTCAAGAGCGCGCCGTCAGCCGTCCGATCTACTACTCGACGAGCCTATTGGGATCGATATTCCGCGAGTTGATGTCGATCGACGACGTGATGAAATTGGCGAACAATCGGCGAATTCAAGTCGTCGCCGACGAGATGCTCGATTATTTCGGATGGGAAATGTTCGAGGACGAGGCGCGACGCGAAATGGCCAAATATAATTCGCAAATGCGGGTTGGTTGATTCAAAAATTTTTGAGAAATTGACGATTTTTAAGCGAAATTCAATACATTTTGAGGATTTTTAAGCCGGAAATTGATTGGAATTTGGAATTTCCCTTTGAGTTTTTCGAATTTGCTTTTTTTTGTTTTGGATTTTTGGCGAAATTTTCCATTTTTAGCAGGTTTTTTGATGTAATTTTTTTTGCCAAGAAAACGAATGCTTCAATTTTTCAAATTGCCGCGTTTTTTTTTGGCGAAATTTTAAGAATTTTTTGAGTTTTTCGATGAGAAATTGGCCAATTTTTTGAAAATTTTGTCGCTTTGGGCGATTTTTGGCGAAATTTGAAGAATTTTTCGAGAATTTCGAAAAAAAAAATCGAATTTTGTCGACAAATTGAATGTTTTTTTTTTTTGAAAATTGGGCGTTTTGGACGATTTTTGGCGAAATTTGAAGATTTTTTCGGGAATTTCAAAAACAAATTGGAATTTTGCCGACAAATTAAATTTTTTTTTGAAAATTTTGTCGTTTTGGACGATTTTTGGCGAAATTTGAAGATTTTTTCAGCAATTTCAAAAAAAAATTCGAATTTTGTCTACAAATTGAATTTTTCGAAGCGAAATTGTCCAGTTTTTCGATTTACATAAAAATAGTGTCATATTTCAGTCAATAATGGAGAACTATGGGATTCGAACGGAAGCGGAAGTATTTTCGGGCTTCATTCTCGACATGCGCAATCGAATATCGGATAAAGAGCAAGACGACATGTCGTTTTTCAACACGGAAAACGTGATCGAAACGAAAATAACGGAATTATTTCGAAAATTTCGCGAGAATTTCTTCAATGTACGGGTTTTTTTTTTTGAATGAAATTGCGAAAAAAAACCGAATTTGATGGTTTTTAAGGCGTTTGCTGGGCATGAAATGGGATATATGAGGTTGACGGAGCCCGAAGGACGATATCGGAGCAATGATGAGACGGATGTGCTCCGACGGGTTTGTCGAATGGCGACGGATGAGATGAAGCGAAAAGCGGTTGCCTATTATAAAGTCACATATGGTAAAGAGGCATCTTTTTGGCGGGGAAAAATGAATTATATTTTACTTGAATTATCATTTTTAAAAAAATCGGAAAAAAATTGGCCAAAAAATGTTCAAGCGACTTTTTTTTGTTGAAAAATAAACGAATACCAATTGAATTTGCCCGAATTTGGAATAATTTTCTATTGAAATTTTTAGTTTTGTGCCGAAAAAGCGAATTACCCAGCTTTGGCAACAAATCTCAACGAATTCCATTAATTTGCATCTTTTTTTTTCTTGTCGAAAAATTGAAAAATCTTTAATTTTTTTCATTTTTTCAGCCTCATTTTTTTAAGAAAAAGAAGAATACTCAAAAAATCGCATTTTTTTTGAAAATTTCCGAAAAATGAATTATTTTTTGCTTAAAATTGTCATTTTTTAGAAAAAAATTCAAAAATTCAAGCGATTTTTTTGTTAAAAAAAAAAATTTAGAATTTTCATTTTTTTGTATTTTTGAAGCTGAAATTGTTGAAAATTGCATTTTTTTTTTTGAAAAACTCGCCCGCCAAAAATTTTGAGCGATTTTCTCTCGAAATTCAATTTAAGAAACCACTTTTTTCAGCGAAAAATTCACAAGAAAAAATTGTCCAAAAAATGCAAGGGACCATCGAAAAATTTCTATGTACTTTTAATATTTTCTCGAAAAAAAATTACAAAAAAATTTTTAACCGATATTTTTTTTCTTCAAATTCAATTTAAGGCAATAGTTTTTCAGTGAAAAAATCTCTAAAAATGATCTCTCTGAAAATTTGGTCCAAAATTGAAAATTTCTAGCAATTTTGAGCAAAATTTGATTAAAAAATTGCGAAAAATTCTAAAAAATCGTCAAATTTTCAACATTTCTTCTAAAAAATTCAATTCAAGGCAAATTTTCAGCCGAAAAATATGTGTCAAATGCATTATTTTTTCAGTTTTCTCCAATTTTGGTAAATTTTATTTTTGGGCCTTATGTTTTTTTTTTGAAAAAGACTCAAATTTATGGGAAAATTGTCGACAAATCAATCATTTTTGCTTAAAACTATTATTTTGAAGAAAATGTTTTAAAAAATTGACAAAAAAATTCAAGGGACCATCGAAATTTTTTTGACAAATTTCAACAATTTTGAGGTTTTTTTTCGGCAAAAAAAACGGTTTCCGATTTTTTCAGCGATTTTGGTTTCAAATTTAATTTTTCCGGCCGGAATTGACGAAAATTGAGAGTTTTTGTGACAAAAATAAAATTTTTACTAAAAATTTTCTACTAAAATAATATTTTAAAAGAGAAACTGGAAAATTGTATCGAAAATAGCATTGAAAATTGAAATTTTTTGGAAAAAAAGAAAAATTTTTGCAGAAGAGGCTCGCAAAAGTGTTGAGCAGAAGCTGTCGTTCGCGTGGATCGCCTACGACATTCTGAATTCGGTTCGCGAATGGAATATCCTTGAGCGAAATGACCCCGACGGACCATCGTTCTACAGTGGTTCGAATCCGCTCTACGAGGTTTTCGCATCCAGCGGACCATTCAAGCTTTTTTTTTTTGTTTGATTTTCAGATGATTGAGAGACATCGTTTTGAGTATTGCGACGAGAATCGCCAACAATTTCAGGAGTTTTTGATGAAATTTAAGAATCTGATGAGGATTCGCGATAAAGTTGGTTTCGATGGTCCCTCTTGCAAAAGAAGGCATTTGAGAGTATTTTCAGACGCGTCGACGTGCACTTCGAATAATTTGGTTCTTTATGAGAAAATATTCGGGCAAGTGTTTGAAATTGTTGAAATTTGAGGCCAAAAAAATGGTTAAGCGATTTTTTCAGAAAAAAAAAATTTTTTAATGAATTTTTTGTCAAAAATTGACAAAAATCGGCTCTAAATTTGAGAATTTTTTAATTGAGTAATTTTTGAGGCAAAAAAATTGAAAAATTGTAGAATTTTCTCGATTTGAGCGGTTTTTTCAAAAATAATCTCAAGTTTGAACAATTTTATGAATGAATCGGGAAAACACTGATTTTTTTTGGAATTTGATTTTAAAATTTCAAATTTGAAACATTTTAAAAAGAAAAATTTGAATTTTGAACAAATTTTGTCAAAAATCAACACAAATTTGCTATTTTTTCTGGGAATTTGATTGAAAATTTCAATTTTTTCGATGATTTCAATGAAAATTTGATGAGCATCATTAAAAAATGCTCAAATTTGGATCGGATTTTGAGAAAAATTGAATTTTTTTCGAAAATTGAGTTTTTTTTTTTTGAGAAAATCTCTTAAAATGATTAATTTTGCGAGAAAATCTGAAAAATTTCGAAATTGACCTGAAAATTTTTTTTGCAGGTTTGGATCGTATTCTCTTCATCATCAATAATTGGGCAATTAGCGCGCAATTAATTTCGACGATAATGAGCGACACGGATGCTGAGAGTACGGAATGTGTGCCTTTAAAGGGGGGTGGGGGGTAGCCTTTAAAAAAATTATGAAAAACGAAAATTCGAAAATCGATATGTGAATTGTCGTCAAATCAAGTGCACAAGTCGGCAATAAATTCAATTTTGCTTTTTTTTTGGTATTCCTGGCCTCTAAAATTAAGATGAAGGTGTGAATTGTCGTCAAATTCAATGCACAAGTCCGTAATGTCATTTTCAGCAAACAAAAAGCGTGTGGCTTGTTTACACCGAATACACCATAATCGACGACAATTTTGAAACGTGAATTCCCAATTTTTGGTGTTTCGATGGTTCCGAGAGGCCATTGCGGACTTGTGCATTTGATTTGACGACAATTTGCGTCTTGTTTCTCCGCGGCGGAAAAAGCGTCGAATTTTTTGAAAATATTTTCAATGGTCCCTCCCCCCCTTCCTGCGGCCCCTTTAAATTTGAATTTCTGATTCGTTTATTTTTTTTTGCAGACGTGAAACTGAATCGACAAATTGCGATGAATCGAATCAAGGACTATCACATTCTGCTGATATTCATCATGTTTGCCGCCAAACAAATCGGACCGCCCGTCGAATTGGACGCGTTCTCGAAGCCCGTCATATTGCCGGTAAATTTCGATGGTCCCTTGGACAATTTTCTGAAAAGAAACGCAGTGTGTATTTTAGACGTGTTCTTTTTTCTTCGAAAAAAAAGGCACAAAAAGAAAATATTTGAAAAAATGAGAACAAATGCATTTGAGACATATTTTTCTGCTGAAAATTTGCCTTGAATTCAATTTTTTAGATGAAATGTTGAAAATTTGACGATTTTTCAGAATTTTTTAATCAAATTTTGCTCAAAATTGCTAGAAATTTTCAATTTTGGACCAAATTTTCAGAGAAATCATTTTTAGAAAATTTTTCGCTGAAAAATATTGTCTTAAATTGAATTTGAAGAAAAAAATATCGGTTAAAAATTTTTTTGTAATTTTTTTTCGAGAAAATATTAAAAGTACATAGAAATTTTTCGATGGTCCCTTGCATTTTTTTGGACAATTTTTTCTTGTGAATTTTTCGCTGAAAAAAGTGGTGTCTTAAATTGAATTTCGAGAGAAAATCGCTCAAAATTTTTGGCGGGCGAGTTTTTCAAAAAAAAAAATGCAATTTTCAACAATTTCAGCTTAAAAAATACAAAAAAATGAAAATTCTAAATTTTTTTTTTCAACAAAAAAATCGCTTGAATTTTTGAATTTTTTTCTAAAAAATGACAATTTTAAGCAAAAAATAATTCATTTTTCGGAAATTTTCAAAAAAAAATGCGATTTTTTGAGTATTCTTCTTTTTCTTAAAAAAATGAGGCTGAAAAAATGAAAAAAAATTAAAGATTTTTCAAATTTTCGACGAGAAAAAAAAGATGCAAATTAATGGAATTCGTTGAGATTTGTTGCCAAATTTGGTTTTTTTTTTTCAGTACAATGTGATAAGCCTTCTAAGTGGTCCCGACGAGGTGGTCCCATCGGCGGCGAATCGGCTCACCATCGAATTTTTTCGATATTTGGCCTCGCGACATTTCCGCTCGATCAAATATTTGACGTTTCGACAATTCGGATTGAATTCGATTTTTATGCGCGGCGAATGGACCCAACTTCATCAGGTTTCGGACCACTCAAAAAAATTTTTGAGCCAAAATTGTGTTTCTTTTTTTCTTTTTTGGACCATTGAAATTGAAATTTGCGATTCGAATATGGTAGTGTTTGGCTTTGGAACTTCGATGGTCCCTTCTCGTCATTTGCTATTCTTAAACTTTCCCGGATTCGTTTTCGCGCGATTTCGATGGTCCCATTTTTTTTTGGCACCATTGGGTACAGGTGTTGCTTGAACTCTGCGAATATCGTTGTTCGTACGTTGGTGTCTTTTGGTGGCGCAATGGTGTGAGATGTTGGTGACAAATTTGAGAGACGATTTTAAATGGTCCCTCGAATTTTTGAGCCCAATTCTTCTCAATTGCGATGAATAATTTTTAGTGGTCCCTTCAAATGTTTCGGGTTTTCCCCCCCATCAAATAGGTTTTCCAAAAAAATTTTTGATGGTCCCTTCAATTTTTAACTTGTTTTTTTTTCCATCGAAGTTGGCCCTTTTAATGATTATCCGATTGAAATTTTTGAGGGTCCCTATTTCCTCCCAATTTCGATGGTCCCTATTTCCTCCCGATAACGATGGTCCCTTCTTTTGCATGCGATTTGACACTTTGGCGCCAATTGACTCCTCGGGTGCAATTTGTGTTGCACCCACCATGGTGTCAAAAAATTGGTGACACATTGAGGACAAATTCTACCGTAATCGTCGACTACGGTAGTGTGGTCCCTTTGGAATTGCAAATATCGAGATGGTCCCTTATTTGGGGCGAGGGGCTCTTTGGAAACTGGTGGAATGTTGCACCAAATTGGTGTTGGCATAGAAATCATCTATAATTGGTTAATTGACTAATTAAGGTTAGCCGTTGGAAATTTTCAATGGTCCTACCCCCCCCCCTTCCCCTTCACAAATTTTCGATGGTCCCTTATTTGGCACCCATTGGCCACAGGTGTCGGTTGACCTCTGCGAAAATCGTTGTTCATACATTGGTGTCACTTGGGTGACGCAATGGTGTGAGAATTGGTGGCAAAATTTGCGAGGCGCAAATTTCGATGGTTTTCAAAAATTTGTGCGTCAAAATTTGATGGTCCCTAGTGTTGAAAGGAAAGTTTTCAAAAATGGTCCGTTCCAATTTATTGTGATTTCGCTTGAGAATTGGATCCGGACCATTAATTGAGGCACCCCGGTTTTCGATGGTCCCTAACGTGTTGAAAGAAAAGTTTTCAAAAATGGTCCATTCCAATTTATTGGGATTTCGCTCGAAAATTGGATCCGGACCATTAATTGAGGCACCCCGGTTTTCGATGGTCCCTAACGTGTTGAAAGAAAAGTTTTCAAAAATGGTCCGTTCCAATTTATTGGGATTTCGCTTGAGAATTGGATCGGACCATTAATTGAGGCACACTGGTTTTCGATGGTCCCTAGTGTTGAAAGAGAAGTTTTCAAAAATGGTCCGTTCCAATTTATTGTGATTTCGCTTGAGAATTGGATCCGGACCATTAATTGAGGCACCCCGGTTTTCGATGGTCCCTAACGTGTTGAAAGAAAAGTTTTCAAAAATGGTCCATTCCAATTTATTGGGATTTCGCTCGAAAATTGGATCCGGACTATTAATTGAGGCACACCTCGGTTTTCGATGGTCCCTAGTGTTGAAAGAACATTTTTCAAAAATGGTCCGTTCCAATTTATTGGAATTTCGCTTGAGAATTGGATCGGACCATTAATTGAGGCACCCCGGTTTTTTCGATGGTCCCATAATTTTTTTTGTCTTCAGAGCGCCGTCAAAACCTTCTACAATCTCCTGCTGAATGTGCGATTCGAGGAGTTGCCGCTGAATTCCGACGTCGACGTCACGTCGGCGACGATCATTCGCGAATGTCCGCCGTTCACGATGGATTTGCCGGCGAAAGCCGCGATCAGTGGTCTCGCGACGAAATTGGAATCGGTGACGGGATGCGTCGAGATTCAATATCGCAAAATTGCCGAGAAAAACGACATTGGTTTTTTTTTTCAATTTTTGAAATTTATTTTCATTGCATTTTCTAAACGAAAATTGCGAGAAATTTGAGCCATTTGACCGATTTTAGTCGGTTTTCGACGAAAAAATGGGATTTTTTGAAAATTTTTGGGATTTCTTCATTTTTTTTTGTTTTGAGTAAAAATTGCATGAATTTGAGAAATTTCTGGGGTTTTTTGAAAGAAAAAATGATTTTATGAAGAATTTGAGCGGAAAATTGAAATTTTTTAGCAAAAAATGGCCAAAATTTGATCATTTTTCGTCGTTTTTAGACAAAAATTGCGATTTTTTACATTTATTTTGAATGTTTTTCAGCTGAAAAATGCGATTTATCGATTTTTTGACAAAAAATTGACAATTTTTAGTTTTTTTATGAGGCGAAAAATGATTTTATGAAGAATTTGAGTGGAAAATTGAAATTTTTTGGCAAAAAATGGCAAAAATTTGGGCAATTTTCGGCTGAAAATTGCGATTTTTCGAATTTTTTCGACGAAAAAAAAATGAGAAAAATGAATTTTTTGAATTTTTTCGATGAAATTTTTGGCAAATAATTGTTCATGCTGGTTTAATCGAGCGAATTTTCAGCGACATATCGAATATCGGCTCGCGGGACCATCGAATCGCTGCAAAAACTGCGAAAATATGTGGCCGTGCCGGTAATTTTGCGATTTGGTCCCGAAATTCTCATCGCTTTAATTGCAGATATCGCGAAAATCGTCGAATTTTGGCGAAACTCTCGGCAACGAGCTGGCGACGATCGCGTTGTTGCGAATCAAATCCTAATTAATTGCAATTAAATAATTTGTGTGCGAAATAAATAAAAAGTCCGTAATTTGGCGTCGCGGTGTACGCGTGTTGTCTACCGTAACCCATCGCGTTTCGATTTTTCGAAACAATTATTCATTTTTTTGATTATTTTTTTTTCAAATTTTCTAATTGTTTGATTTAATTAGCGTCCTTATAAGGCAATAATTGCCCAATTATGGTGTCATAATTTTGCCGAATGTCAATTATTCGAGGTATATTATTGGTTTTTTTTGGCGAATTTTTTTTTTCAAATTTTAGGACTTCTTATTGGCATTTGCTGTTGTGTGTTGCTCGCTGTTGGATTTATTGGAACGTCGTTGGTCATTTACTCGATGGTTCTTCGAAGAAATTTTTGCGTTATTGTGAATTTCGAATTCTTTTTTCTAGCAAACAAGTGGAAATTTCTCGACGTCAAGGCCCGTTATCAATGAAACCGCGACACCGGGTGAGATATCGAGGCGATTTTCGAATTTTTGACGCAAATTTAGGCCAGGAAATGTATGAAGAAGTCGAAGAAATTGAAATAATTCGATGAATCGAAGAAAAATGAAAAAAATTTTCAGAATGAATGTTACGTTGTGTTGAGCGCGGGTTGGCAGCGGCGGCACATATATCGCGCGCACCCCACGGGCGTCAACGTGCACAAGTGGCGGCGTGGAATGTTGCGCTGCGCGCGCCGACTATCGCGGGTTCGATCCCACCCGAAGGCGATGATAGATTAATCATGAGCCAATCCTTTTCTGAATGTCTATGAGGATGGAAATGATAGGACTGAGCCCATCTTTTATTTTGCGTGCCATTGCGCATCTGTGAGGTCAAACATGTGTCGCGATTGTTTATTAGCACCAATGATGATGATTAATAAACAAGGCATGTGTAGGGGCGCGCGCGCGCGCGAAAATCTCCCATCCGGCTTACGGACCCATTCGATTTACACAGTAGTGGTTTAGACAAGAGATGAGCTGTCAGGTGAAGGTAAACAGAAAAGGCAATTAAATGAATCACACACCAACGCAGGGTTTACACATGGTTACGTTAACTCCCTCATGGGACCCCGGCAAAAATTTTTTTTTGAGCTTTTCCTCAAAACCACTTTGTCAGATTGGTTTTCGAGCGCGCGAGCGCGTTTTATTATGTTTTCGCGTTTTGGCTCGCCGAGACCGACCGGATCCTAATTGATATTGACTGATGAGGCGACGTCGTCGAATTAGGCGAATGTTGACGGCGTGAAACGTTTTACGACGACGACGACGACTACTACTGCTTCATCATCATCATCGACGTCGTCGTTGGCGGCAGTTTGCAAAAAAAATTGTGAAAATTTGGATTTTTATGAGAATTTGGTGAGTTTCGGCCGCGAAATTGTGAAAATTGCGGTAAAATTTTTGAAATTGCCAATTTTTTTTTTGCAATTTTTGGTCCCCTCGATTTTTTCCATGAATTTCCAATTAAATATGAATAATTTAGCGAAACGCGCGTTTTTTTCCAAGCAAAATTTGATGATTTCAAGAATTTGCGAGAAAAAATTGAGGTTTTCACGAGAAAATGTGCGATTGTATTGAATTTTTCTCGAAATTCTCGCAATTTTCCACAAAATTTAGCGATTTTTGTGAGTTTTTCGCAATTTTTCCAACAATTTCCAGGGAAAATTGGATATTTCATCGAAAATCGCGATTTGTCGGATATTTGACATTTTTTTGACGATATTTCCAAGCGAAATTTGATGATTTCAAGAATTGGCGAGAAAAAATTGAGGTTTTCACGAGAAAATCGCGATTTTCCACAAAATTTGGCGATTTTTGTGAGTTTTTCGCAAAAAATGCGCAAATTGAGCGAATTTCGCAAAATTTCACAAAAAAATCGCGATTTTATTGAATTTTTCTCGAGAAACTCGCAATTTTCATCATTTTTGTGTAGTTTTTCCAAAAATGCGCGAATTTAGCGAATTTCGCAAAATTTCACAAAAAAATCGCGATTTTATTGAATTTTTCTCGAGAAACTCGCAATTTTCATCATTTTTGTGTAGTTTTTCCAAAAAATGCGCAAATTGAGCGAATTTCGCAAAATTTCACAAAAAATCGCAATTTGCATCAAAATTTGAGCGGAAAAAAAAATTGAAAATCGCAATAATTTATATGTGTTATATTATATTATATTATATTATATTATATATGTGTATTGGCGAAAACTGGAAGTGAACACGCGACACGCATGTAATGCGGATCCTCGAGCCCAAATGAAATGGGAGATGTTTTGGTAAAGCTTCTCGATTTTCAAGCGCGCCACACATGCTCGATTCTCACACACACATATCCATTTTTGGGCATGATTTGAAGACCAAAAAAAATTTTGCAAAAATTTGGAATTTTTTTTTGGGTTTTTGCCTTTTTCAAAATTTTTAAAAACGCCAAAAATCGAGAAAATTTGGATTTTTTTTCAAAAATTTTGAGAAAATTGGAAATTTTCAAAATTTTAAAAACTAGAAAAATTTGAGAAAATTTTTGGAATTTTTCTTTTCCTAAATTTTACATTTAAAAAAAAACGTGAAAATTGGAAATTTTTTGATTTTTTTTTTATTGTCGAAATTTTACATTTGAAAAAAAAATCGGAGAAAATTTGAATTTTATTGATTTTTTCTTTTTTTTTAAATTTTACAATTAAAAAAAATTTTAAGAACCAAAAAGTCGCGCCCAATTGTATATAATACTATATTGATATAGGGACCATTAAAATCATTGCAAAAATTGTGTATGTTTGAGGCGAAAAATCGTGGGGGGATAATCGAAAATCCGGATTTGGCGATGTTCGCCGAGGATTTTCTGCTTCGAAATTTCCAACATTTTCACATTTTTCGAATTTTTGGAGAAAAAATCGCGAAACCAAAAATTTTTTTTTTTTGATCGCCGCCAATTTCGTTTCGAAAATCGCCGATTTTTCGCAATTTCCGCCAATTTTCTAATGCGTTTTTGTTGTTTTCTCGTCGAAATCATCGACAAAAATCGATGTTGGTGTCGCCCCCATTCGTCGATTTTTTATGTGTGAACCCGCTTGTTCGCGGAATGGTGCGAATTTCGCCAATTTGGCGCACATTTCCTATGTTTTCTTTTTTTTCTCTCTCTCTCTCTCGTGTTTTTCGCTGTCCAAAATTTGGCCACTTCTCATCGTCTTCAATTTTTTTTTTCACCTTCATCTCCTTCACATAATCCGCGTTAATGCGCGCATTTCCGGCGCGTCGGATATCCGCCACCCAAAAAAGATTGGCGAATGGTGGAACACTCGCTTATATCACCAATTTCAGATTTCACACCAATCGGTTTTGGGTGCTGGTGGTGGTGGTGGCGACGACGACGACGACGACGACGATTCCGCGCGCACACAATTTGGGCGTGGCCAGCCAATCAGCGACGAGCGGCGGCGATTGGTGGGCGTGGCCTCCGAGACAGCCGCCGCCGCCGCCGCATCAGACTCACCACTACTACTCATCGAGCACTACTAGTGCGAGTTTCTGGCAAAAATCATCATCATCGCAACCAATGGCCGCCAACATTTGCGTTCGCGGCGGTTTCGAGCGCTTCATCTCGCCGCCGGGACCATCCGAACACGAGATGGTCCCTGTCGGCGCCGCCGCCGCGACGAACGCCGATTTCTGGTCGGACGATGGCGGCGACAAATTCGGTCTCGAGATTATGCCGCCGCCGACACCGCCGCCGCAGCCAAGTTTGTTTTTTTTTTTTCTTGATCTCGATGGTCCCTTAAATCAAGGGACCATTTTAATAACCTCCCTCCTTCCACGGCAAAGCAAAAAAACTAATTTCAAAAACATTAGGGCCATCATCTCGAAATTGCGACAGCCAAAAAAAAATCGCGCTTTCTCAATTTTCGATTCTAGGGACCATTTCAATTTCGGGTGGTCCCTCCCCCCCCACACACCTTAAAAAACCATAAACTACCGTAATCGACTAGTAAGTTGCCCAAATTTGGCAATATTTGAGTTTTGTGTGTGTGCGTGTTTACTCGTTTCAATCGCCCTCCGTTGACAATTAGACCCCCCCCCACCTTCCCATATTTGGCCAACGCTATTCTTAGACGTTCAACTTTTTTTCGTCTTCAACTCCCGTTTTAAGAAAATCAGTGATAGGGGGGTCTCAATGGTAGATCACAATGAATTTCAATGGAGCGCGTTTGCAACAGAGAGCAGAAAATGAGAGAGAGAGAGTGTCGGGTAATTGATGGAGGGCCGCCCGAAAAAAAGCGAAAAGTTGGACCCAATTTTATTGAGCTCCCCCCCAACCCCCTTTAATAGGCACCTTTTATGGTGCGCATTTGATGGCTCGTAAATTTTTGACACCCCACCACCACCACCACCACCAACCATGGAAAATTGGGTGTCGCCAAAATTGTTTTTGGAGTCAGGGGGGGGGGGTCCGATTTTTGCTTTTTTTTCTTTAATTTTTCTTTTTTTTTGCAGAACGCATGGTCATGTGTGCCGGATGCCATCATGGTGAGTTTTGATCTACAATTTTGTTGTTTCGCACTAGAGCGCACTTGCTCGCCTTCTCACAATGAAGCGAGTAGATCGAACGATTTTTTGAGACATTCAGTTTTTTTATTCGCGATAGAGCGCGTTTGCCACTAGTTTTCAAAAATCCACATTTTGAGGGTAGATCAAACGCTTCTTTTTTGCCATTTTCGCAATAGAGCGCGTCTGATGACTCTAAATTCAATTTTTGGCTCAGGTAGATCACAAAATTGGTTTTCGCAATAGAGCGCACTTGCCTGCCGGGCGCAAAAAAATTGGAATTTTTTTTTTGCAGAAATCGTCGATCGCTTCATTCTCCGCGTGAATCCGAATTTGGAGTTCCACGCAAACTGTTTAAAGGTGGGTGACACAAAAAAAAAGAAAAAAAACCGTCTAGACAACAACAGACACATTGCGCGCGAAATTCGATATGTTCCGGGTTCGAGGTGCACCCCCTTTAAGAAAAATCATTTCAAACAATTATTTGTTTAAAGGGGGTGGTGAGCTTGGGGCCTTTCACATCATCATCAGCTTTTGCCAAAGTACAATGGTCCGGAAAAATCGGAATAGAATATTCGATGGTCCCTTTTTCATTTCCAATTCCATATATAAGGATTTGAAAGAGAGAGAGAGAACAAAACGTGAAGTCATGCGCGTAAAAACCCGCGCTTTTGTCTGAATATGTTTACTTATGTATGTATTAGGCGCGCAAAAATGCGACGCACATTAAACATTGGTTAGAAGGGTGGCGTGGCGCAATTGGCGCGCGCCATTTTTGGCGCAAAACGGGATGGAAATGGGTGGCGGAGCCTCGAACCCGCGTTGTTAGATTAAGGAGCGCGCGGTTTGGCGCGTCGACGTAAACTGCACGCTCGGGCTTGCGCGACACTGGTAACATCTTCGAATCGAGGTCACATTGATAAATGATTTTGCGTCCCCACCAAACCATCAGAGGTTTCGAGTCGACGCCGCGTCCCAAATAATTTTTGCGCGATTTTTTCTCCATAATCTGCTGTCGGGTTCGAGTCCCGGCGGCGACCAACATTTTTTGCGAATCCAATTAGAGGCGAGCAGGTGGGCACCCACGCGCGCCTTCATCAAGAAATCCGAAGCGTCAACGAAAAATGTTCCAAAAATTTTGCAGTGCGTCGAATGCAATTGCCAGCTGGACGAGCACACGACGGCGTTCGTCAAAAATGGCCGAACCTATTGCCGACAGGACTATATGAGGTATGTGAGTGAGTCAACACAAGAAACGAACCGGAAATCGCGCTCTATTGTACTTATTAGACCCCCCCCTCTTCCTCCTTCTATTATAATGTACTATTCGATATTATATACTATATGGTAGTTTTGAGAAGAACGCGATAATTGCTCGAAGGGTCGGCTCATCTCCACCTGCCGGTGGGTGCCACGGCGAATTTGGGGCGCAGGTGGCGAAATTGCACCATGCACCATCATCCAACGCCAAACGACAAATAGTTGAGGGGGGCACGCGGCTGTTTAATGGAATTTTCATCGAAAATTTTGACACCATTGGTGCACACCATGGTGTGAACACGTGGTGTCGGCCGCCGCCACCAAAAAAAGGAGAAGGTGTCAGGAAATTGCACCATGTTTCCACCATTTTTGGCGGCGGCACCACACACACACACACCCTAAAATTACACCATGTGCGCCAAACGCCGTTGCGCAACTCGCTTCCGGTGACTGACCGCCTTTCGACAAACACGTCGGACGGACCGGACCATCTCCAAATTTGAAGCGAATGGAATTATGGTCCCCCCCCCACCCTTAATTGGATATCAAATTGATCGACGTTGGGACCATCATAATTTGGTTTTCTCGTTTTCAGGCTATTCTCGACGAAATGCGCGCGTTGCGCCAACACCTTCGAACGCACCCAATTGGTGATGCGAGCCGGCTGCCACGTCTTCCACATGGAGTGCTTCTGCTGTTTCGGATGCGAGAAGCGCCTTCAGACCGGCCAAGAATTTCATGTAGGCATTTCTTTTTTTTTTTTTTTTTTTGAATGGGACCAAAAATTATTTTAGGGACCATCAATATTTTTTTTGAGAAAAAAAAATTTTTGATGGTCCCTAAAATATAGAAAAAAAATTCTGCTAAAATTGTTGAGGGGTTCTAGCAAAAATTGAGAAATTCAAAAAAATTTTTTTTTGTTTGACCTACCCCCCCTCTCTCTCCCTGCGGACCATCCAATATCGAAGTTTACCTAGGGCTGGCGAGTCGTCTCAATTAATTGTTGCGCAACACGTGTAATCCGGTCTCGATTAGGCGGATTACGGTAATATGCGCATTGGGTGGGGGATGGACAAATTGAATTAGACGCTGCTTGAATGGACCCCCATCCCACTGTCGATGGTGGGAATTGACCTCGAACAACACTGATTCGCCTCGTAGATAATCCGGTCACTAATTAGGCGCAGCAACAATTGCGCCAATTTTTTTTCCGTGATCCCTTTTTTGGTCCTCATGGTGGGGGGATTAAAATGTAGATTCGCAAAAAACGTTTGCCGCCAGCAGGGGTCGAACCTGCGACCTTGGGCTTATTAGACCCACGCTCTAACCGACTGAGCTATGGCGGCTGATGTGCGGTGGGGTTGGGAGTGCGTACAATTGCGCTCTGATAGCGCTCTGCTTCAATCGAGACAACCATCAGCTTCTATTTTTTGGGGGGGGGGGCAATAAATTTTAGGGACCATCAAGTGTGAAAATTCAAATTGAGAAGAAAAAAACCAAATTTTGCAGATAAAAAACAATCGACTGTTATGCCGCGCCGAGTGCGATATGATGACGGACCCGATGGTCCCCGAATTCAAAAACAACAACAACAACAATTCGCTAGCGTCGACGTCGTTCGACGATGATTCATGGGAGACGTCGACGCTGACATCATTGGACAATCACACGACGAGTCCGCCATTGTGAGTTCTGATAGCGATTTCGATGGTCCGTTCGAATGTGGTGAAGCCACTTGACGACACCTGGTGTTTGCACACAATTCGACTACCGTAATCTTTTGCGCAAATGCACCTGACTGTCGGCAAATGGGGGGCCCTTTTATTTCGACGGACCATTCGATTCGCAACGGTGTGCGGGACCATTATTGGTTTTCAGATCGCCCAAGTCCGATGGAATGCGAACGCCGGTGTACACGGGCGGCGCGCACAACAACAACAACAACAACAGCTCAGGCGCGAGCTCAAGCGGAAGTTCGGGCAAAAAGAAGAAAGACAAACAGGTGGGCACGATGGTCCCTAGACATTATGGTCCCTAGAAAAAACGGTTTCAGACGACAAGGGTTCGAACGGTGCTCAACGAGATGCAGCTGAAAATCTTGAAGGACTGCTATGTGCAGAATTCGCGACCCGACGCGATGCTCAAAGAGCGGCTCGTCGAAATGACAGGTAGATGAGAACGGACCATCATGGGGGAGGAAGCCAGAGATGCTAGAAGTTCGGGGCATTGTTGGAAGGGACCATCGAGTCCAATGGTAGAGATCCCGGGCATTTCTAGAGGGACCATTGAACCCAATGTTCCTAGATTCTAGAGATCCCGGGCATTTCTAAAAGGACCATCAGGCTCAATGGTCAAGGGCGGCTTCTAAAGATCCCAGGCATTTTTGAAACGGACCATCGAGTTACAGGGGGGGGGGCAAGCCAACGGACCATCAATTTCAATTGTTTCAGGTCTCAACGCTCGCGTGATTCGCGTGTGGTTCCAGAACAAACGATGCAAGGACAAGAAGCGTCAGATTCAGATGCACGAGTCGCGGCTCAACAGCGAACGGGTACGTACGTTGATGGTCCCATTCTACAGTAACCCAATTCATCTACCGTAATCCAATTTGAATGCGTCGGCCTCCACATAGAAGAGAGTGGGGGGTAATTTGATTATGGCGACAACAAATTCAATCACATCGCCTCGCCACGCATCCAAATTGAACCGGATTTTTTCGATGGTCCCTTGTGGAAACCTGAAGAGTGCACGTGTCAATTATTGTGGTCCCATCTTGTACCACCCCCCACACCTCCTACAATTGTTATTATTGACAATATATCAAGTGGCCGAGAGGTCTGAAATTCTGAAGGACCCCCCTCCCCCCCTTCCGATTTCAAGGGTTTCCATATGGTCCGTACGCTGCGGCTCCGCGGCGAGCCACACACTCTCATCGGCCCGCCGTGTTTTTAGCTAGAATCAACCATTTTAGGGACCATCATTATGTTTTGACTTGCACGGGGGGGGGGCTTCTTGTTTTGAAAACCATCCTGGGGACCATCGTGTCCCACCCCCCGCTGCGTTATTCGATATTTGCCCGATTATTGCACAATGTCCACTGTAAATCGGTCTCAATAGGGTGACACACGAGCGGATTATGCGTCGCATAGTTAAGCCGAAGCCCATCGATTAGATAATTGTTGTTTTTTTTCCCCGTCGAGTCAACCAACTCAAATAGTTGAAGCAATTTGAATATGGGACCCTTGAAATTTGGGACCATCGAACACAGGGGGGTCCGAAATGCGCGAAAATCATTCGACCATTGCCCGAATTACTGTAGGTATAATAATAATTGGACCAGTTAATTACCGTATCCGATCCATTTGTGTGTCTTATTTCCAGCCGACACATTATACATTTGCCGACCAGACCAGTAATTAGCGAATTACCGCAACATTTTTTCGCCGCGCTAATTAGATCAACTCGCAACCCTTTTAACTACCGTAACCCGCGCCGCCCGACACGCGCATCCGCGTTGGGTTCAGTGAACACGAAGAGGGGCGCGAAAAAAAAGAAAACCCGTGTATGGGGACGACTAACACGTTTGACAAAAATCGAACGCGCTCATCGGGGTGTCGAACCGGGACCATTGAAATTTGAATGGTCCCGGTTCGAGACCCCACTCGTTTCTATCGATTTTTGTCGACGGTGTTACCCGAAATTTCAATTTTGACCATTGTAGAGTACCACTGATGTTTTTTTTCTTTTGTCGAAACTCCAAAAATTACAGGAGGACGTGCTGAATCGCGTTCGCGTCAACGGCATCGGACCATTGATGGTCGCCGCGCCGACAACCCACATCGATTCGAGCCTACCGCCGCCGATGGACATTCAACATTATCCGCAATGGTCGACGGGCTTCGCCGGCCAACAGCCGCCGCCGCCACAGCCACAGCCGACTGCGCCAATGGTGAGAGAAAGATTGCCACCCATTAGGCGCATCATCTGCCAAATTGGGTTGGGAATCGCTCGTAAAACGACAAAAATCATTTTCATGAGGCTCCCCCCCCTTTCCTTTTTGAGATGCCGCTCGCCTTGCTTGCGTTTTTTATTTGCACGAAATACCATCCTCACAAAGGGGTGGGCGCGTCAAAATGCCAAAGTTGTAGGGTGGGGCGAGAACAGTCGCGGTATCGATCCCCTCCTCAACAATTTTATCCGTTTTGCAACATTCCAATTTGATTGTTTCAGATGTACGACACCACAACGGACATGACATTCGGCCTAGGCGGCGGCAGCGGACCATCGACAACATTTCCCGATTTCTCGCCAAAATCGCCAAAATCGGAGGCAAACGAGCCGCAAACCGACAACACCCATTTTTCGCCCTAATTAGACGCCCCCCCCCCTCCACCCCCTTTAAAAATGCTTCTCTCAAAAGTTCACACAAAAAGTTGTATATATATATATATATATTGAATGGTTGGCAAAAAAAAATAAATGAGGCAACAAAAAAAAAGAGAGTCGAATGAAGGAATCTCGTTTTGCGTCACCTGGCCGCCGCCGCCAATGTTTGTGCAATAAATCGTCGGGCGGCACCCGTTGGCTGATATGATTTCGAAAAAATGATGATGAGGGGACCATTCGGACAAAAAAAAACATGAGATAATGAGCATGAGCAGTTGGTGCCGGTTTATTCGACATTCGACGTGCACGGCCATCGAGAAAATGTTTTAGTGGGGGGGGGGGAAATTATTATTGATGACGTTTAAAGGCGCATGGTTGTGCGCAGAGAAAAAATTGATTAAAGGCGCATAGCGAGTCGTCTATTAATTCCCCCGCAATTTTTTTTGGTTTTTTTTTTCAAATAATATTAAGTCTAAAAAAATTGGAATTTTCGATGTGTGCAAACACCGCGACGCGAATATCACAGAAAATTTCATTTTTTGGAACCTCCAAATTTCGAAAAATGGTCTCGAATCGAAAAAAAGCGTAATGCAATTTTAAAATTCGAATTTTTTATGAAAAATGGAAAATGTCAAAAATTTGCACAAAACAATTTAAACGAGAGGACTCGGTGCGCCTTTAAACAAAAGGTATAATTTCCTAGCATCGTAAATCTACACCTATCCTCGAAATATGCCAATTTTAACAATTAATGGTCCAAAATTTAAAGGCACCTGGAATAAAAATTGATTAAAAATCGACAATCCACAAAAAAAAAACAAGTGATTCCGCCGTTTTCAAGGTTTCTGAAAATTTGCGTCAAATTCGGTGTGTTCGCATTTGACGCAAATTTGCAGATTTTGACATTCTCGATCTATTTTCGCGCGTTTTTATGTATTGAACCCATATTTTGAAAAATTTAATAAAAGAATATAATATTTTTATTTTCTCTTCTTTTTTTCATTCAAATTTACCGCATTTTCTCTTTTTCTTTTTTGACTTTCAAAAAATTTTTCTCGATTTTATTTCGAATTTGATTAAAGGCTCATGACGCGAACAACGCAATGGGTCTTGTAACGAATACTCCATTTTTGAAAACTGACTAAAAAATTAGTATAAATGATAAGAAAAATCAATTTTTTTTTTCATTTTCACATCAAAATGGCTGAAAGCCAAAAAAACACATGCTCCTACCGCATTCGTCTCAATTGGTCCCGATTAATTGGGTCCGTCGCCATTAAAGGCGGCAATACGCTCTCGGCGATGAGGATGAAGCTCATTAGCGGACTACTGTAATTGGATAGGCAAAATTTGGGGGGAAAAAACGCGAATTTTGTTTAAAACGGAAGAGAACGCGAAATGCGTCAGCACTCGACCACCTGGCGCATTTCGAGTGTTTCTCGTCAAAAATCAAATTACAGATTTATTTGGAAAAAAAAAGACCAAAAAAAAAAGAAACTCAAGATTTCGCCAACGTGTAGCCGTCGGCGAGTGTCGCCGAATTGGTGAAATCGCCCGACTCGTCGTTGGCGGCGTTTGGTGGCGGCGCCAATCTCGAATCGCCGCTCGCCGCCTTCTTCTCGACATTCTTCGTCATTCCGCGCTTCGGACACGGGCAATACCCTGGAAAAAAAAATGACATATACACCAAACAAATGGTGGCGAACGCCCACCGGAATCGAAGCCCGGAACACCGGGCGCGCCTGGAAGCCCGTCGGGTCCGCCTTCCGCCGCGGCGCCGGGCGCACCGGGCGGACCGCGCTCGCCTTCGCGTCCCGGTTTGCCGGGCGCGCCGTCGTCGCCTGGCGGTCCCGGCATGCCGGGCTCGCCGACGCGTCCCGGCGGTCCCGGCGCGCCGCGTTCGCCGACGCCTCGCGTCGCGTTCTGTCCCGGCAGCCCGTCGTCGCCCGGCATTCCGTTGTAGCCGGGAAATCCGACGAAGCCCGCCTCGCCGGGCTCGCCGTCGCCGCCGTCTTTGCCGTCGACGCCGCGATTGCCCGGCAGCCCGTCGACGCCCGGCTCGCCGACGTCGCCGTCGACGCCCGCCGGACCCGGCGCGCCCGGCGGACACGGAATGCAAATGATCGGCCCGATCATCTCCCTGAACACCTCGATGCCGTCCTTCCCGTTGGGCCCCTGCGAGCCGTGCGGACCATCGGTTCCCTTCTTGCCGGGTCGTCCTCGCGGCCCTTGTGGTCCCGGCGGACACGTGGCCGCCGCGCTTCGACCGCAATCGCACAACACCTCGGCGTCGATGGTCCGTTTCGCGCGAAGCGACGGCAACATGTCGGCCCACGCGCCATCAGCATAATGCTGCAAATCCGAAAATAATGGTCCGTAAAACGAGAATTGCAATTTTTCCATTCAAAATCGAATACCTTGAACTCGTCGATTTCGGCAATTCCGTTGTCGTGAATCAAATTGACCTGATGAAACAGAAATCCGACGCACGCGACGATCGGAAATAATAGAAACGCGCACGACAGCGTCGTACACGTGGCGATGTTCGTCGCAAATGTCGACATAACGCGGATGCCCAAAACCGTTTGATTATCATTATTATATACTATGCATTATGCGATCGTTTCGCATTTTAATTATGCCATATATATCTATCTTGACTTCTAATCTAGACATAATTAGCATTAATTAGCCGCCACCTCCCGCGACCAATTTAAACAGAATCAAACAACAACACTTGAATTTCTAGGCGAAAATGAAACTCACTGGAAATTCTTTCAAAATGAGTGCTTGGTTGGTTTTCAAAAAACAGAAACCTGCAATTTTCAAGCGTCTCGTTAGGCTTTTCTCCGAGAAAATGTTCAAACCATTCGGCGATTAAAATCTTCACTTCACAACCAAATAAGGTAATCAAAAAAAAAGCGAAAGTAATTAGACCCCCATTCAATTGTCGACGGCAGCGATGAGCGATCGGAGTTGCTTCTGCAATGAAAACACACAAAATAATGATGGCAAATGGTTGGGTTGGGAAGAAGCTTACAATTCGATCATGAAGCTGCTTCTTTCTCTCATAGGCTGCCAGCGATTTCTGCATCAAATGTCTGAAAAGCAATTTTCAATTTTTCAGATAAAATATGTAGTGGTTTTGTCGGCTCAGGCAGAGAGGTCTCGAGGCGCACTGTGCGCCTTTAAACTTTTTTTGCCAATTTTTCTTTAATAATAATGCGGCGCATTTTTTTCTTTTTCTATTCTTTCTTATTTCGTATAGTCGACTACAGTAATCGGTGTAGATTTACGGTATGCGTCTTTCGAAATGGTCTCGCCACACGTGAACTGATTTTTTCTTAATCGACGAGTTTGGAATTTCCTTGAATTCATGACGTCATTCAAATTAACATTAAATGCAAAATAGACAGTTTGTCCGCGTGAGACCATAGCGAACAGCGCATCCCCCGTAAATCTACATCCTCGGACACCAACTTGTATATGTATTCTAGGCTCGCGTATCGAGCGTTTGAGGTTTACAAATTTATTTTCCAAATTTAAAGGGAGGCAGTCCCTATGGTCTGTAAACTATTCGGTGGTGCTTTTAAAAAAAAATGAGCACCGTGGGCATTTGTATTTGGCGGTAATTCAAATTCGAATATTTGAATAGTAGATACCAAAACTCATGGGGTGCTCATTTTTTGCTAAACTGACGAAATTCGATATTCCGGAGTCGCAAGAATCTTCAAACGGTCATAAATTGGGCTCAGCGAATAGTTAGAATAATCAAATTTCAATGGCAAAATTTTGATTAAAAACCAATCGGATTAGATTGTAAATTTTTTGGACACCCCCTTTAAACTCAAAACATAAATAAAACTCACTTTTTCGCCATAACCTCACGTTTGACGTGCGCGATTTGCACAAGATTCTCGTAGAGTTTCGTGTGCTCGTTGAAAATTCGCATCGATTCCGGATCGCGAACGTCGGGTTGTGCCGGCGCGAACAGCTCCAAATACTCCGGCGCCTTCTTTGTGCTCCTCTTCGCCTCGGCCGACACTCGCAAGCCGATCTCGGCGAGACCGGCGGCGATGCTTTTTGATCGACCGTTTCGAATTGCCGCAGCGCCGCCGCTTTCAGCGTTCTCCTCGATTTTCGGACACTGCAAAAAAGAAAATATCCAAATTCCAATGAATCTTCGGCTCAAATGAATTGCGATTTCACAAAATTGCAACAAAAAGAAACAATTCTCACAGTTGCTCGAATTCCCGCCGTCTGATCGCTTCCAGTCCGTCGATGCGACCTCGCGGCGCTCAAATAATTCGATTTCTCGAATCGCTGACGATAGTTCGATGGCGGTTGCGGGGTGCGCGCCGGCTGATTCGTCGTCCCATCGATGAGCGGTCTCGTTCCATTCGGATATTCCTGAAAATCGAGAATAAAAACGCGATTTTTACATTTTTTTCGTTTCCCCACATTTTTGAGCAATTGAAAATATTCCAAAGCTTCTTTGCTGGTTGGTCGAATTTCGGGCTGCTGATGCCAACATCTGAAATTCAGCAATTTGATGCAATAAAAAATATCCAAGAATAGAAAAACTAACCTTTTATAGAATCCCGACAATAAATAATGGCAATCGAGTTCGGGCGGTCGCGTTTTTCCGGAAGCCACATTCCATAATAGGGAAATCACTGTATAATCCGGGTAGGGTTTTCTGAAAATCGCCATCAATAATTAAATCGGGTCCGAAATTTCGCCGGCAAACTCTCGCGACAAAAGCTGCCACATGATGATCCCGACGCTGAACATGTCCGATTTTGTCGTGTAGTGGGTGCCTTGGAACACCTCCGGCGCCATTGTCAGCGGTGTTCCGCGATTATCCGTCATCGAGCTCTCAATCGTTCGAAATGTTCCAAAATCGCAGATTTTCATCACGGTATATCGATTCGACAAAAGCATGCTGGAAGCAAAAAAGAAATCAGCAATTTTGGGAAACAAAAACCATTATTTCGCATTTTTACTTTTGAAGTTTCAAATCGCGATGAACCTGATTGTTTGAGTGGAAGTAATCAACGGCGGAGACGAGCTGATACATCCAAGAAGCCACATGATCAATGGTATATTCGATTTTCGACTCATAAACCACTAAAAACCGGAATTTAGGTAAAAAAAAGAAAAGAAGGAAAAACATTTTTGGGTACTGTCGCTCTAAAAATGTGTAAGATGTTTGCGGGCTTTTGTTGCGCACCGTACTCCATTAAAAATAATTATTCATTTTTTTTTCTCTCATCAAAATTCGTATGCACAAAACAAACTCACAAGCGGCGAGACTTTTGCAATCCATATACTCCATAACCACCGATGGTCCATATTTCGGGCTATCATAAATTCCATAAATACTAGAGAGAAAAAAATTGTGTATTTGTTAATTTCTCGCCAAATTACCTAATTACATTTGGATGCGTTCGAAATTGCGTCAAAATTTTCGCTTCCCTTATCAAATTTTCGCGATGATGTTGACTATTCGCATATTTTATTGCCGCATACCTAAAAAAATCATTTTTTTCAAGAATTTCTTCTTCCCCCATTTAAATCGCTTACATATAATCCTCGTCCAGCGATTTTCGATATTTCGTCTTCTCAACACTTCCATATGTGCCGCGGCCTGAAAATCATTCAAATTTTCATAGATTCCGCAATTATTTTTATTCACCTAGCGCGATATTGTTCAAATCGTCGATTTGGTTCGGCCTGATCACCGGAATGTCGACGGTCGCGCACAATTCCGAGTCGCGAGCGCTTCCAATGCGAGCCGGCTGCAAAAAATCGATTTCTCGCTATCAAACTCAATCCGTCTTACCCTTGCTGGCGACTCCATCGAGCTCGATTCGGCCGAATGCGCGACGGTGCTCATTTTCCGCTCAAAAACGCGCGTCAGAAATTGCGGAGACGCGAGCGAGGTGAGAGAGTGTTGGGAGCGTGGAGGGTGCAGACGACGAGGCGGTTCGTAAAAAGCCAACTACGCAAAATCGGCCGATTCTCATGGCATATGATGGCAGTGTGTGTGTGTGTTGATCAATTTTGCAATAATGCGTCATAATTGACGCCAAATTGCACCAAATCATCAATTTTCCTATAATGCGCTATAATTGGCGACAAATTGCACCAAATCATCAATTTTCCTATAATGCGCTATAATTGACGACAAATTGCACAAAACTAACATTTCAAATTTTTCAAAAAAAATGAAGTGCCGAATACACGCAATTTGACGCTAAATCGAACAAAATCCTTAATTTTCCTATAATGCATTATATTTGACGACAATTCACACCATTTTCTAAAAATCAACGATTCATTCGCAAAAAAAAAAGAAGCAATTCCTGTTAAAAAAAAAAAACAAACGCATATATGAATATATATATATATAAATGTATATTACAATTATCAAGATGTCGGTGTCCGCACACGCGACATCACACCCGACGACAATTTGCACAATTTATAAAAAAAAACGAAATGAGAGAATGCATATAAAACAATGTCGATTAATAATAATTAGTACATTTCACAAGTCAATTTAATTAGATCGATAATTGTCGAGATTTTCGGAACACGAGAAAATCGTCGAAAATGTGAGTTGTTGTTGTTTTCTTATTTTGAATTCAAAAAAAAAAATGAATGTGCTTAGTAGTGCCAACGAGTCGGCTGGGTGACGGTTCTCGTCGACCGTCGAAGTGGTCCGCGAGCGTCGACCTCGCGCTGTCGCCCAACCGACGACGGCAATCGATTGGCGGCGACGAGGCGACGAGTTCGATTGGCGACGCGACGTCGCCCATTCTGCTCCAATCCTTCAACTGTTTGCGATGCTGAAAATTGGTCTCTCCGATAAATCATTTCGCCAAGCATTTTCAAAACAAATTCGTTTTTCAAATTTCCATTCTCAAAAATTCCCGCGTGCAATTTTGCGCGGGCGTGTTTACAGACCAAAATGTTCAAAATTCAACAACAACAAAAATAGAGGGTCCGCTCACCTTCGGGCGTCGCTGGTGGATCGCCTTGTCTCGGCTGCGCCTCGATCGGCTCCGGCGCCTCGCGATTCTCTCCGCGCGCCACTTCGCCGGCCGCGTCGTTCGGCGGCCGCGCGTTTGCGCGGATTTCGATTCGAAACAGATTCTCGTCGCGTGTCGTCGAGCCTGAGCAAAACGAAAAAAAACCGTATCAATTCAATTCGTGTTGGCGTTTTGACACCAAAAACTATCAATCAACTCACCAATTGGGTGCATACGAGACGCCTGACCGTTCGCCACAATGATCTGATACGGGGCGTTGTCGATGGGATCTGAAAACAAATGTTGGATGTGGCTGAAATTTTCCAAAAAAAATGATAAAAGATTACTGTAGTTGTTTAAAGGCGCATGGGGAGCCAAGGTTTCTGTAGTTGTTTAAAGGCGCATGGGGATCCAAGATTACTGAGGTTGCTTGAAGGCGCATGGGGGTAGTTCAAAATTTCGAATTTCCTGTTTTTTAAGGCTTTTCGTTCAATTTTTAGTTGAATAAAATTTTTTTAATTCGCATTTTTCTTATATTCTACATTCATACTTAATTGAAGCTGCCAAAAGTCGAACAAATCCAAAAATTTCCGGGATTTTCCGCTTCACAAATATTACTGTGGCTGTTTAAAGGCGCATAAGCCACCAAATTTCAAAACTAACTCGGTTTCGTTCATTTTTTCGGCATTCTGTTGACAAATGAGTTTCTCGTCATATTTTCTAATCAAAAAAATGAACTGAAACTTCTAGAACCCAGAATTTTACAGATTTTTCGATCAGCAAAGATTAAACATAGCTATTTAAAGGTGCATAAACCCTGAATTTTCAAAACTAACTCCGTTTCGCTCATTATTTCGGCATTTTTTCGACAAATGAGCTTTTCGTCATATTTTTTAGCTTAAAAATACCATAAAATTTTCCAAATTTTTAGACCGGCAACTAGGTTTTCCGGTTGGTTTTTTTTTCTCCATCAATCGCTCACCATTAATATTGATTCCAAGCCGTTGTCGCTCTAATCGAATGTATTCGTCGATGTGAATCGGCTTGATTCCTTCATTTCTCCAATGCTTCTCGAGTCGAAGCTGAATCGCGCGTTTTCGGCGCTCGTCGCGAATATTCGAAACGAATCTGCAAAAAAAAAACAAAATTAACCGAATTTGAAAAATTCTTGACGAGATTTCGCTTAAAATTCCCAATTTATCTCAATTTTGCCTTAAAATTACAATTTCAAATTAAAATCATCACAAAGAAATTATTTTTTTCAATTTTCCCCAAAAAATGTACAACTATTCTCGATTGAAGTTAAAATTTTAGACCACTTTTCCAGCATTTTACAAATTTTTGTTTTAAAATTCCAATTTTTTCGCATTTTTTTTAACTCAAAAACTAATTTTCTCAAATTTTTAAATTGTTTTTCCAAAATTTTGCGATTTTCTCGCTTTTTTTGACAAACAAAATGCTATTTTTTCAAATTTTCTTAGCTCAAAATTGTCAATCTTCTCAGGACCTTTTTCAATTGAAAAAAATAAGCCAACATCAAAAATGCTCGCAATTTCTCATCATTTTTTTTTCAATATAGCTCAATTTTCTTCAAAAAACTCGCAAAAATCAAAATTTGTGTCATATTCTTCCCGATTTTTTCAATTTCCATCAATTTTTGGCACCGCTGCCCAAATATGGCCGTTCTGTCGTCAAAGATGCGACGTTCCATCAAAAAACTTGTAAAAATGTGTAATTTTCGTCAAAATTCGCTCAAAATTTCTTTTGAAACCTTCAATATGAACAAAAATTCAAATTTTCTACAGTTTTCCTCTAAACAATTACTAATTTCAATTTTAAGCCTCAAAAATTCATTTTTTTGCTTTTCCAATACAAAAATTCAATTTTCGATTTTTTTTTTCTTTTCAAAAACCTTCTCAATTTGTGATCAAAATCAAAATTTCTCGTTGAAACCAAAATTAAATTCAAAAAATTTGCAAAATCTCCTCGAACAAAACAACAAAAAATACCGTCTACGGGCGGTGCACAAATCAACGGGAATCGTCGGCATGATAGGCGCGCGATTCGACGTCTCGGTGAGCAAGAATTTGAGCAACAAGTCGAGTTCGGCCTCATCGAGCGCGTTCCTCTCGCTCTCCGGTCGCGTCTTGTCCGGATGCGCGCTCAGATAGTCGGCAACGAGACTGGAAGTGAGTAGATCGTTCGATATATCCTCCAAAGGATAGCGACACTGCAATTTAAACCGTTTCCACATTCAAGAAATTATAAACACGGAATTCCGATTTTTTCCGTTTTCGGTGGGCGCCAGAAAATTGTTTTTTCGTAGTTTTGCAGAAGAAAAAATCGGAATTCCTGAATGCCAAAAAGAGGTCTCGGCGCGCCTTTAAACTATCCCTACACACAGGCCCGTAAATCGACACATGTAGTTTTGCGCGCCAAGACCACGACTATTATTTTAGTTGGCAATTTTCGGCAGCGACAGAATTTAAAAATGAAATTTCGAACACTTACAACTGGACATGTGTAGCTCCGCATCGCCCATTTCGATATGCAGCCGGCACAAAATCGGTGAGTACAAGGAACAACGCTGAAAAAGAAAGCGCATAGATTTAAAAAAAAACACACAATTTTTCCAATTACCATCTCGGATTGTATAGAATTCCGAGGCAAATCGAGCATTCGATGAGTTTTGAGTCAACGACGACCATTGTCGATGGCGTCATTGGTCCCATGGTCCCTTTCGGCGATGTACTGCAAAATTTTCCATTCAAATATTGATGAAAATCGCGAAATGGCACGTGTGTGTATGTCCGCAAACATCCACTGCGTACTACATCAAATATTACGACATGTCTCGAAATTCGACGAATTGGGAGAATATGTGAACAATTAATGCATTTTGCTCAATTTTAAAATTATTTTCAGCGTCAAACAACTAAGCGAAAACATTTTTTTTCTCGTCTCGCTGCATTCAGACGTTCGATGTGTCTGCATTTTATATTTAGCAAGCGCGAAAATTAAATCATTCGTAGATCTACACCGATTTTGCGAAATTAAATTTCCCGCCATCCGATTGGTCATTTGAGGCTGAGCTAAGCAGTTACTGAAAATATCGTTTGAAAAAAACTAAGAAAATAGCAGTATTTTTTCGAAAACTCGTAAAAACGCTCGCACTCCGCAAACACCGCGCGCAAATCTCTGCGTACACGGCATTTAACCGTACGCGCATTGCACAATTTCTTTTTCAATTTTCGAATTTTTTTTTCGCTAAAAATGACCGAAAACGCCTTCCAATTCCGCGCCGAGGTACGTTTTCATTTTCGCCATAAAAAACAATGCCGGCCAAATCGTTTCAGGTGCAAAACTATCATCAACACGCGCCAATCGCGCTACACCAATGCAATATTTGCAACAAAACATTCGTCTCATATAAAAGTGTTATTTTTTTCGAAATTTGAGAAAAACAAATGCGCTTATTGAAGGCCTCCAAGTGCACACGGTGATTCACACCGACACGAAACCATTCGAGTGCGAGATTTGCGGCAAATGTTTTCGGTTCAAGTCGAATCTGTTCGAGCACCGAAGCGTCCACACCGGCGTCGCCATTCACCAGTGCCCGTTTTGCGCGAAACGCTTCCGTCTCAAAGGCAACATGAAGAAGCACATGCGAACGCACGTCGCCACCAAAGAGGAGCTCGAGATCGCGTTTTCGCCGTACGCGAGGCAAGAAGAAATAAAAAACGATTCGACAATCTCATGTTGTTGGTTTTGCAGCCTTCGCCGACGCACCGACATCCCAACGAATCCGGTGATTGTGCGCGGACCACAACTGCCACTCAATTTCAATCTTGGAATCAAACCTCGGCGAATGTAGGCTCAAAAGCGAAGCAATTAGCTAATCAATCCAATTAAGGAAGCTCTCAATTACCGAAAACGTTGAAAAATGGCTGGAAAGGATTCAAAGAGGTGAATTGATCAAAATTAATTCGATCGACGAGAAGGTTTTTGATTGAAATTTGGCGGCAGCGCGAGATCAAAACGATTGAACATCTTCCAGATTTCCCGCCTTCAGGATTACCTCTATAGTTGCACATTGACGATGAAATCAATTCAAGAATGCAAATATATCGAGTTTGAAGTGTAAGACCATCACCGTTTAATTACCGGCCTAATTGCCTAATTAATTCCAGTTTCATGTGCCCAATTTGTAAGCTCTTCTGCGCCGGCAATCTCGCCTGTCAGGAGCACATGACAATCGAGCACAAATCGCGAATCGATCAACTCGCATCGAACACGAATTACTGTAATGTAATCAATTGCTAATTGGCCAATTAGCGACGGTTTTATTTTTCGCTTCTCATTGCAGAAATGCGCGATTCTGTTCGCCAACGCCGAAATGTTGAGGCAACACGAGCAGTACCACGTGAAAGTCCAACAGCTCATCGATGCCGGCAATTTGATTGTAAGTGATGGCGTCTAATTGGTGAATTTCGCCAAATTTTCGCGCAGCTCGCCGAACCCCAACTCCTCACGTCCGACACCGTTTTGTGCGATCTCGACAAATCGCCGTTCAACGAGTACGATCAGCATTATTTCATGGACAAAGCCACCAGTGTGTTTTCGATGCTCAATGATGTGGGTCTTGTTTTTCGATTGCACCAAAATCACCAAAAAATCGAGAAATCAATGGGTGAGGAGAGCAAAAACAAAAATGACTATTGATAATAAAAATGACGGTCCGATGATCCGTGTGCCTCCGCCCGCGACTTCCCAAAGGCTTAAGCTCCGCCCATAACACGCGCAATGATCCTTTGATTACGGTGGCGATAGGAAACGCACACAATTTTCTTGGCTTTCTGCAAAATCGCGTCTATGCGCCTTTAATTCTTTTTTTTTCTGCAGGACTCCGCCTCGCAATCCGACTTCCTCCTCCCATCAGGTATCGCTCAAATCGGAATATCGAAGGATTGGCATTCAAAAACCCTCAGGATTCCAATTTTCAGACCAATTCCACGTCAACGATGAAGAAGACGTCGAATCGACGACGACGTTCTCACTCATCATTGAGCACCGCGAGGGACCATCAAGCGTCTAGTTTATAAGATGGACAAAAAATAGTAATAATAATAATAATCATCATAATAATAATGCATAGTTAATTCGAATTCAATTTACATGTAGTAGATCAAAAATACAAAAAAAACGAAATAAAAACCAAGTTGGCGGCGCAAAAAATTCAAATAAATTAGAGGCAATGGGTCCCACCACGAGGTGTTTTCAATTCAATTGCAATTCGCCTCGGAAATTGCCGGCCGGCAGCGAACTCGTGTCGATGTCGTCAAAGTAGGGATGGACGAGCGCCTTTTTCGAGCTGATTCGATCATTCGGGTCGTAGATCAAGAAGCACTGCAAACAAATGCTTGGTTTTTTTTTCGAAACGCGCTATTAAAAAAAGTTGGGGTCGATACGGGTCCCGAGACGAAAAGAGGCGTCTGTGTACTCCACACGGACCATACAACTCATACATTGCCCAATTTTCGACTCGATACTCATTAAAAACAAAACGGCACTCAAAACAATGCCGTATTACTGTCATAAAACGCGGTAAAATTCTATATGATATACGATATCGAGAATGAGAGAGTACGCCAAAGTGAGAGACGCAGCGTGCGCGGATATCAGCCGTTGTCGGCTGCGGCCGCGTTCGGCCACATTTTTCGGCACAACAAAATCGTTTTGCACAATTTTCGCCGCAAAAGCGATCAAAGGGGAATTCTATTCAAAAAATAGATGAATCCAATTCAAATTGAAAATTTTTTTTCACAAAATTTCTTAAAACCTGCAACAAATCGAATCCGTTGTCATCGATCATCTTCTTTCCCGTCTTTTTGTCGATGAACTTCTCCGCCAAATAGTTTTCGCGCCATTTTGGGAACGTCGGCTTATAATCGGGCAGACTCTCGACGCCGTTCCATTCCAATTCGGTCGGTGTGCCTAGAACTCTGAAAAAAACATTTTTGTGATTCGATTTTTGCTCGTCAAAATTCGGCCACCCACCTGAAAATGCGGAAAAGCTCGTCGATCTCGGAATCGCCTTGGAACAGCGGCTTTTTGGTGATCATTTCGGCGAAAATGCAACCGATCGACCACATGTCGACGCCCATCGAGTATCGCTGCGCGCCGAGAAGCACTTCAGGCGCTCGATACCACAACGTGACGACCTCGTGCGTGTAGACGCGAATCGGAATTCCGATGGCGCGCGCCAATCCGAAATCGGCCAATTTGATGGCGCCCTTCGCGTCAACGAGCAGATTCTGCGGCTTCAGATCGCGATGGATCACGCGACGCTGATGGCAGAAGCACATTCCTTGCAAAATCTGCAAAATTCACAAATCGCTCTCATTTTTCAGTTCAAATATCTGATATTTTCGCATTTTTAACCATTTGCTTATAAAGTTTTACGAAAACCTTTTATATTTCATTATGGGAGCAGCTTGAATTTAATTTAAACTCTTATGCGCCTTTAATGTCAGACATTTCAGCGATTTTGCCACAGCACTTCGATAATTCCAATTTTCTCTTCAAGAAACTTTTTTCAAGTTATATTTTTGCGAATAATTCGAGAATTGAAAGCGTTTTCAACGATTTTCCGCCAAAAATTCACCTGAAACAGATAGCTTTGTACAGTGGCCTTGTCCAAATATTCATCCTTCTTCAACTGATCCATATAGCGCTTCAAATCGGATGAGAGAAACTCAAAAATCAAATAGAGGCGATTCTCTTGCATGATGATCGCTTCGAGACCAACAACATTCGGGTGTTGGAGCTCTTTGAGCAGCGAAATCTCGCGAACTGCCGTTGATGGGACGCCCTGCATTTTAAAACAACAATTTTCAATTGGAAATTCTCGTCAAACCTCGTCTTCGCTTTCCAATCGGATCTTCTTCATCGCCACCATCGCATTTGTCTTCTTGTTTCGTCCCTTGTAGACGACGCCATAGGTTCCTGGAGAGTTTTTGCAACAATTTCGAACAACAACAATTTTCTCGCCAACCTTCTCCGATTTTCTCGAGTTTGAGAAAGTCGTCGAGTGTGTATGGGGCACCGCCGTTGGCTGAAAGTGACATGGCGCCTGGAAATGGTTGAAATCGCGACGAAAATCGAGCGGAAATGAGCGCAACTAACAAGTTTCTCGCGGTACAATATTCAAATTTCGCCAATTGCCGCCACGATGACGGCCGTTCGCGGTGAGACGCAACGCGAGAAATGTGTGCGCCTTTAATTCATTTTTTTTTATTTTTTCTTTTTTTTCCAATTTTCGCAATTCTTATCCAATTTTTTCAGAAAAAAACGTTAAAAATCTTTATTTTCGGTGAAAACAATTAAAATTCAACTGAAAATCAACAAAAAACAGTAATTAAACATCCTAATCATAGGGATAAAATGCGTCAGCCTGAAAATCGATTTTTTTTCGCGTTTTCGCCCATTAATCGCACCATCATCGGTCGTATTCCATTTTTACTCAAAAATCGCTCAACTTCTAGCGGCGTCGTCGAAATCGGCGGCTTTTCGTGGTTTTTGCAAACAATATACTAAACAAAATCGGGATTTTCCGAAATTTCTCAACAATTACGTTATTCAGTAATAGCATCATGGTCTCAAGTTTGCAAATTGTGAAATATTTCGCAAATTTCTTCAAAATCTGCAATTTTTTTTAGGTAGAATTTCGAAAATGAACATTTTTTTTCGACACCTTTTCATATCCGGATTTCGCAAAACTCGGATGAACAACATTCATAACAAAAATTCCTGTAAAAATTCAATTTTTTCTTTAAAATTCCAAAAAAAACCATCATTTCCAATGGCTTTGCTCAATTCTTTGATTACGGCCGGTTTGAGAAAGTCGGCGGACGGACACATCAGCTCATCCTTCTTCATGACGTCATGGCAAGCATCAAGGAGGACCCCTTTAAAGGTTCTTCCTAAAAATTCAATTTTTGTTGAATCCTGTGACGAAATACAAAAGTTTAAGGCCGGGATTTCGAAAAAAAAAATCCGCAAAAATCTCAATTTTTCTTCAAATCGCCCAGTTTTAGTCGAAATTTGCAAAAATGTTGATTTTTGGAATTTTTGGTCATCATTAAAAAAATTTTCATTCTTAAAAATTGCGCAAACCATATTAAATTTTTATTCTTTCAATTTTTCTTGAGAAATTTATGTGCAAACGCGATTTACAGCCAAAATTTCGGGGAAAAAAACTCAAATTTTAAGTTTTTCTTCAAAAATCTCGCCTTTATTGACGGCATTCCTCACAAAATACACGCCATTCTGTATAATAATATGACTATTCTCGCGTTCCTCATAACCGAACCATTTGTGCGGAATCACCGTCGACAACGGATCGATATCGACGCCGGTGACGTTCATCTGAAAGGAAAATCGCGAAAGAATTCAAAAAATCACAAACATTCGTGAATTTTTGACTCAAATATGATTGAATTCCGCCGGTGGCGATGCCGATGAGAAGAATGTTGGCATTGGTGAGAAGCGACGGCGGAATAATGCCGTTTTTGAATAATTCGCCTGAAATCAAACATTATTGGATAATTTTGATGTGAAAAATAGCTAAAAATCGCAACAAATGCGAATTTTTCGATTTGTGAAATTTGCAAAAATTGGATTTCTCAAAATATTCTTTTTGAAAATTTCTATTGTCGGCGTCAAACTACTGAAAAGAGGCGGAGCCTATAAATTCGCGAAATTAATGTAGATTTAAATTATTCGTTGACTGAAGATTAAATGCGCGTACACTATGATGCAATGTACGCAGTCTCGCGTAGTTCTCGCTGCCTCGAGACGCATTGGTACCAGAGCTGCAACTTAAATTTTCTAAAAGCGGACAACGGAACAAAAAATTTTTAACGGAAAACGGAACACAAAGTTAATCTAACTCGACAATTTTTTTTTTCGAAACTTGAAGACCTTATTAGATTCGCTAGACGTGCTAGGTATATCAAGCGGAACACGGAATACGGAAGTCGGAACATGAAAATTTCCCGGAAAACGGAAGACGGAATTCCGTGCAGCTCTGATTGGCACGTAGCCAATTATTTTTTAAATTTCGTCAAGTCGTTTGACTTCGACAAATGGCTGGAAAAATATTTTTTTAATGACAATTTTTAGCTGAAAATTTTCTCGAATTTTGACCAACTTTTTTGATATGCAAATTTTTGAAAAATTGAAAATTTCGAGTATTCACTATTTTCCATCAAAAAATTTGCAAAATTCGCAGAAAATCTTAAAAACGCGAATTTTGTCCAAATTTTGCAATCTGCAAATTTTTTGAAAAATTGTCAATTTCGTGAATTGCAAAATTTGCTGAAAATCTCCAAAATGTGAAATTTTAGAACAAAAATTCGGTATCGAACCGAAAATGCTCATTTTTCTCGCTGTTTTATTGATTTTATTGGCTGAAAATGTGCCAAAATCCATTTTTCGGTCTCATCGAAAACAATTTTTCCCATCAAAATCATACCGACAAAATAGCCGTTGGGCGATTCGGGATCCAATGCGAACACATCGATTTTCCATTTCTTCGTGTCGAGATTCTCAATCGTTTTGCGTTCTGAAATCTCGCAAAATTGATTAAGCAAAAACTGGTCTCGTCGGGAAAAAAAAACTCAAATTTGGGCGTTCGCATTGAAAAAAATAAACAATCGAAAAATTTTGAACTGCGCGCCAATTTTCACTTCAATTTCTATTAAAAATCGAAAAATTTTTGAAAAAATCAATAATAAAGACGCATGGTTACTGTATTCTACACAATTTTAGACACCCCATTAAATATTTATTAGAAAAAAAAGAAGAAAAAATGAGTCTAAACAATTGTTTTTCTCATAAACAAAGAAAATTCGATCGAGTCCGCGACAACACACGACGCACAATTGCAGACCACCTACCGTACCCCACATTTCTCTTAAAAATACTTCCGGCTTATTTTGTAAAACAATTTTTCCGCATTATGCGCCTTTAATCAATCAATAATTTATTAGAATCTTGAAATTTCTTGAAAAGCAATCGAAAATTCAATTGAAAAAAAGCAGTATCGAGTTTCGACAAAAATTTTTCGAAAAAAATCCGATTTCCGCTTTTTCCGGCCAAACTCTATCAAAAAAAAATTTTTTTTTGCTCTTGGCGTACCGGGTGTGAGAAGCCTCGTGACGGCCGCCATTCCATCGCGCAAATCGGGCCTCGACGACGTGACGCGTATCACAAACTGATCGCCGCCTCGTCCCTTCGCCAATTTGTCCACCACAAATGTGCACCCGCGATTGGTGCAAATGGTGTCGCTGAGAAGAAGAAGAAGAAAAAAATTGGGGAATCGAGTCAAAATGATATCGACTTACACGGTGCGCAACAGCGAATTATTGAATGTGTCGCGATGAAGGCGTCGAAAAAATTCGGCCTCGTCCATTATAATCGACGGCGGCTTGCGGGCGACGAGAAGAAGCTGAAATTCTGGGCGGCGGGCGACAAAAATGATATAGGGTGTCGAAGAAAAAACTCACCGAAATCGCGTAGGTGATGAGAAGAAGGAGAAGAAGAAAAAAAAGGCGCGGACGACGCGAGTTTTTGCCGACCATTTTCGGCAAAACGACGAATTTCATCGATTGGCAGCGATGAAAATGAATGAATTGTTGGGAAAAAAATATGGAATTTTTATTGGGCGCAAAAATACACACCGACACACATTTATACACACGCGAATTGCCAATCTATTGCGATTTTTGTCGCGTTTTTTTTTGGTATGAGCTTCTCGGTTTTTTTTTGCCGAAATGAATACAACATACAATATTGATGGATTTTTACACAATTTTTCTAATAAAATTGCATTTTTGATTTTAAAATCTACAAATTTACAATTTTGTGAGATATTTTGAAAGAAATGTGAACATTTAACCAATTTTTTGAGTTTTGCCCAATTTTTCTTATTAAAATTGCATTTTTGCCGCAATTTTGATGCTAATTAGCCAATTTTGATTTGAAAAATCCAGAATTTCACGATTTTGAAAGAAATGTGAACATTTAACCAATTTTTTTGAATTTTGCACAATTTTTCTCATCAAAACCCGGCGACAAATTGCGGACATTATTTTTTATTATTCAATTTTTGAAAATTTTCCAGCGTTTTTTTTTTAGACTTGGACAATATTTTACAATAATTTTTCTTTGTCCTGGCAGCAATATCGCAAAATTTCAGTTCAAAAAACCTAAATTTCCGTCATGAAACTCGGCGAAATTCGTCTAATCGCTCGCGTGACGCCCGACATTCGCTGCGATCGCCGAAAATGGTCGAGCGAGTATGATGACGCCGTCGACGTCGCCGCACGAATGCCGCCGATGCCATTCGTGCGATAGCAAAGCTCGAGCAACGTCAACAATTCGACGCGCGTCACGTCGATCTCGTCGGCGGGCCGATCAGCAGGAAGCGCGTCGTAAGATCGAAGCCGTTCTCGCAAATCGGAATCACAATGTCGCCGGCGGTGCCGTGGAACAGGTTGAGCTTAACAATTCTTCATTTTGATTTTAAATTCCATACAATTATGATTTTTTTCTCAAAAAAATTGTCATTTTTGACGATAAATCATTCTTTTTTGAATGGCTGAGCCGAAAAAAATCGATTTTTGTTTAATGAAAAGCTTTAAAAATAGCTAAAACCCCCGGAAAATCACATTTTTTCCCCAAACTTACCAACGATTCGGGTCCCCTTGACTGGTTGTCGCGTTCTCCGAACAATAATGCACTTTGATCGCGTTCAAAAATCGAATTCTCGTCGTCGATGGTCCGTAAAAATTGTCGATCGCCTCTTTGATCTTCTGCAAATCGCCAAAAATGGCAATATTTATCAAAAAAAAAACGAAATACCTCAGCTTCTTCGGGACACGCTGGAACGAACATATCGGTGGTGTGGATTTCTAGCACGTTGAACGACACCTCAGTCATCACCGGGACTCGCTTAGTATTGATCGGGTGCACGAGGACCAGCGGAAATCCCGCCGACGTCTTGCTTGATCAGCGAACAGCGAATCGGTGATGTGCCGGATATGGGAGAGGCAATTTCAAGACGCGCAAGACCGGACTACCAGAAAGGCAACAAGAATAAAGATATTCATGTTGGTTCTCCTCATTTATTCACATCGTCCATATTAAATCATTTTTTTCCCAAATGGTAACCCCCAACAACATTTGACAGCATCACAAAACAATCTGAATACGTTGTAATCAATTCCTCGTTTCTTTTTTCATATCATTTTTCATTCGCCGTAAAAACCGGACCGCACGACCGAGGTCCGGAACCCTTCTTACAGCCCTATAACAAAATATTTGCAATTTGCATATTAATTTCGAAATATTGCAATAGAATGATTATTTCAGTGCGAGTTTCTAATGGAAAGCTCACCTGTCGATGGAAAAGAGCTCCGCAAAATAGAGAATTGCTCGGAAAAAAAGTTTAGATTCGAAGAAATATGAAATAATTCGATCAATTTTCGTTTACTTGAGAAGGTGAGTATAATTCTGTAAAAATTCAGCAAGATCCTGGTTGTTGAGAGAATTGAAAAATCGTTTTGCATACAATTCAGATTATTTAATCCGAAATGAAAATATTTCCTTTTTTTAATTTCTGATAGAAAGAGAATACGGTGAGTGCGTCAAGGCGCATGCGCGATGCTCGCCGCGAATTCGAGAAAAGATTACGGTGACCGTAATTTTGGTGTGCGATTGGCCTAAAATTCGCTCGCATTCGATGACAAAATATTTGCAATTCATTTTTTTCGCCGAAAATTTGCAATAACATGATTATTTCAGTGCGATTTTCTAATGGAAGGCTCACTTGTCGATGGGGAAGAGCTTCGCAAAATCAAGAATTGCTCCTTGCTTTGCCCTCATAGTTTCCCACCCGTTATTTTGAAAGTGACTAAGCACAATCACACCAAACGTGAAGACGTTGTGCCAAAGGATAAAAAGTTTAAAAAACTAATTTTTAACATTGAAATTTAAATTTCAATTATTTTGTAGACTTCTTCTCTGGCACGGCACAAAAAACGAAAATGTCGATTCAATTCTGAAAAACGGCTTCAAAATCGGGAACAAAACCGGTTTGATGTATGGAAATGCGATTTATTTTGCGAATATTCCATCGAAAGCCGTTAGATACTGCTCAACCGGATATTACGGAGATCGAACGACTTCGAAGATGCTTCTGTGCGAAGTTGACGTCAGCGAGCTCGTCGAAGTCACAAGAGCCGATCACGGTGCTCATGAAAAGTATAAGAAAGTTGTGAAAGGCGTCGGAATGTACTCGCCAACTCAAACTGAAATCATGTGGGCATTTTTGTGCGAAATTGAATGAATACCCGATGTTTCAGCGATAATGTGCATTGTTTCTGTCGTGGAAATATCGAAGCACGTCCGAGATTCGATCTGGATTACGATGAATATGCCGTCTACGATCCAGATTTGATCACGGTCAAATATGTTGTTGAATTTGTGTTAATAAACTAACAATGTTTCGATTTCATCAAAACAAAAAAGATACCTTTGGGATTGCGTAATTCAGCTCAAATACTCAGCGAGTCGATAGGGACAAACAGCGGGTTCTTCTTGTTTTCGGAAAAAACGAAAAAAATTCGTCGAAACAAAATTGTGAGTCGCTAAATCGAGGGCGATGTAAGACTGGAGTGTCGTACTGGTTAGCGCAAAATTTTTGACCGAACGCTGCCAGCTTTTGGGCTCTCCCTTGGTGTTATACTATTTATTTATTTGTTAAATATCTTTAAACTAAAAAACCAATTGTGGTTTGTACTGCAAGAATTTCTGAGAATTTAAATAAAACGTTTTTTTTTTGAAATTTTTTTCTAACCGTCTGGCATTCTCTTCAGGGATTGACATTCTCTCGCTCATTTTTTGATGCATCAAAGACGAAATGACTACGATGTTTCCATTTGGTTGGAAGATAAATTCGGAAAGCTGAAGTACTTCTTATTGGACCCCTCTGGATTCTGTTGGACGCGTGCCTTTCACATGCTTAAGTATGATTTATTTTGGAAAATTTGAAATTCAAGAATAATTGTAGATTACCTAGGGAAAACTTAAATGTTTTCAAATGTATAGAGCAAAAACTCGAACGGAAAAATATTCTTTTTAATTGCTGAAAATCGATATTTTTTCATTAATGTCATTTTTTTAATAGGAGAAAAATAAATCCAACTAAAACTAATTTATTTCAGGTATTTTGAACTGAAAATGCCAAAATCTGATGAATTTTCCAACATTATTGCGATATTTCCATTAATTGTACGTCGACCAGCTGAAGCGATGCCCTAATCTGGCGAAATTGAAACGTGAGTATAATTCTGTAAACATTCAGTGAAATCTTGGTTGTTGAGAGAATTAAATAATCGTTTTGCATAAAATTCACATTTTTTAATCTGAAATTAAAAAAGTTCGTTTTTTTTCTATTCTGACGGAGAGAGTATACGGCAGGGCTGTTGTTTTTTTTTTTAATCAAATTGCCGAAATTTGTATTTTCGGCAATTCGATGTCAAAAAAAAATCGGCGAAACAAAAATCAATGTCCATTGAATAATTTGGGTCATACCGTGAAAATTCGTCGAATTACCGTTGAAAAAATTTTATAGCCGAAATTTTGATTTTCGGCAATTTGCCGAAATTTCCGATTGCCGCACAGCCCTGGTATACGGTGAGTGCGTCAAGGCGCACACGCGATTCCCGGCGCGAATTCGAGAAAAGATTACGGTGACCGTAATTTTGGTGTGCGGTTGGCCTAAAACTCGTGCGTAAATAAATTTTAAAATATATACTATTTTTATTTTTATGGGGGTATATCAATCTATTCGCCCATGTCACCTTTCACTGGCTGACCAGATTGTGCTCTTGCTCGCACTGCGTACTGGTGGTGGCTCGATAACTAAATATTTGCAATTGAAAAATTTTTTTGCCTAAAATTTGCAATAACATGATTATTTCAGTTCGATTTTCTAATGGAAGGCTCCCCTGTCGATGGAGAAGAGCTTCGCAAAATCAAGAATTGCTTCTTGCTTTGCGGACGCACTCATAGTTTCTCACCAGCTATTCATAAAGTGACTAAGTACAATCACACCAAACGCAAAGACGTTGTGCCAAAGAATAAAAAGTAAAAAAAACCATTTTTTTAACGTTGAAATTCCGATTATTTTGTAGACTTCTTCTGTGGCACGGCACGAAGAACGAAAATGTCGATTCAATTCTAAAAAACGGCTTCAAAATCCGGAACAACAACGGTTTGATGTATGGAAATGCGATTTATTTGGCGAATATTCCATCGAAAGCCGTTAGATACTGCTCAACCGGATATTACGGAGATCGAACGACTTCGAAGATGCTTCTGTGCGAAGTTGACGTCAGCGAGCTCGTCGAAGTCACAAGAGCCGATCACGGTGCTCATGAAAAGTATAAGAAAGTTGTGAAAGGCGTCGGAATGTTCTCGCCAACTCAAACTGAAATCATGTGGGCATTTTTGTGTGAAATTGAATGAATACCCGATGTTTCAGTGATAATGTGCATTGTTTCTGTGGGAATATCGAAGCACGCCCGAGATTCGATCTGGATTACGATGAATATGCCGTCTACGATCCAGATTTGATCACGGTCAAATATGTTGTTGAATTTTACCGTCAATAAAATTGTGATTGTTTGAATGCGATCGGCCAACGTCGAAAAATTGAATTCGCCGCTCTTAAATAATCTTAAATAATAAAAGAAAACTAGCCTATTGTAGTAATGTCGCACTTGCATTCGACTAATTTTTTCTAACCCGAGTCGCGGCGATTTTTTCCTAAATTCTTTAATTGTCGTTTTTTTGGAAATGACGTGTGCTCTGTGAGCAGTGTGTGATCGGACCATGACGAATTAATGGGATTCGAAATAAGCCGGAATATAATATATCGAAAATTTGCAAAAATTGATTATTTCAGGTAGAATCGATGCTGCTCATGAGAAGTTTATGAAATTACGAAATCCAATAATCAAATGTGATTTCGAAAAAAGTAAAAACGACATTCGAAATTCGTTCCGATTGAATATTTGGAATTCGAGTTCATCGAAAAAAACGCTATCAAATTTGACTGAAATTCTCTAAATCGACTTTTGACGAACGGAATAATACGAAAAATCACAAATTCATTTCAATTGTTAGAATTTCACCGGAAAAAAATGACAAAAATCGACGCCAAAATGGGGATTTTTGAATTTTTGAATGAAAATATGTTCGAAGCACAAACTTGCGAATTTCTTCCATAAATGTAGCGAATATGAAATTCATTAAAGGCGCATCGCTTAATGTCCTTCTTTGGTCTCGAAGCGAACACCTGCGTATTTCAAATATTTTCGAAATTCCCCGCAACAAGCATAAATTATTCCAAACAAGAAGCTTGTCTAATTTTTTGCCAAAAATGGTCGTAATTGGACGCCATCGTGCTTATAAACTCGAGTCGATCGCCAATTCTCATCCATTATTCAAAGTATTTCGAGTTTTCCCCCTAAAAAAATTGGATAAAATGAGAAATTTCAGATTTTTCAAGAAAATTTTGGCGTCCATCCGAACAATGAGCACCGATTTTGCGTCTACCAGCTGAATCGGCGCGATAAGCTGCCGACGCCGAGTTTTTCGAGGGAAACGTGAGCTAAAAAATTTGAGCGAAAATTGAATTTTTTTGACAGAAAATGGAAGCTTTTAGCTTTTTTCTTATCAAATTCAGACAATTTTTGGCTTCAAATTCCATTTTTTGCTTTAAAATCGAGTTTTTCTTGGTCTTTTCGAAATGTGTTACCGAAAAAACGGAAAAATTCGATTAAAATTATAAGATTTCGAAAAAATCCGATATTATAACAAAAAATTGGAATATCGAACTCAAAATTCCCGAAAAATTTCTATTTCGATAATGTTTGAAAGTGATTTTTGTCAATTTTCGAAATTCCCAAAAAATTTCCATTTTTGTGGCAAATTTTTCACCAAAAAAAACCAAATTCGGTGGAATTTGATTACAGTTTCTGGATTTGGCTGGCACCGCCGACACTCGAAGCTCGCAAAACGCTCATCAATGGACTCGACGCGAACAAAACCTACAAAACGTCGCCGATTCCGCATCAAATTTTCGACGAATGCGCGGCGAGACCACGACAGCCGACGTTTCTGCTATTGTGCCAAGCCGAGAAGGTGCTTCCAACGACGATCGGACACTTGCCGGTTACGCAATCCTTCACTATGCAAGAAATCATAAGAAATTTCGAAAATCTCAACCAAACCAATTGTTATTTTCAGCGACGGCGTTCCATTGGCTACGGGCGGATCGGCGACGCCAAATAATTTTATGAACGCCTTCTATGACGAGTACGAAATTCGCGGTGGAAATCTCAAAATCTCATATGTGGTTCGCTTCATTGACGTGAGTTTTTTAATTAAAAAAAAATTTAAAAAAAAAAAAACAAAAAAAAAATGTGGGCGTAACTTGTGACGCAATCGCCGCATACACTTTCGCACCTGTGCCGCATGTTTGATTGTTTTCGAATTTCAGGCTCCAACAACGCGAAAGTTGCCATTGGCTCCCACAACGAAATTTTCGGGACCACCGCGTTCCTGGATTAAAGCGATTGGCAATGGATATCGATTAGCTGCAGTGAGGCCCGAAATTGAAAACGAGATCAGCAGATGCTTGGCAACCAAAGGACCGTTTCACAATTTCAGTTTGAAGATGGTTAGCGCTCGAAAAATGATTTATGATAATGATGGAATGGCGCTCGAGCGAGTTGCGAATATCGATGAAAGGTTGCAATCAATAATTTTGTTAATCATTTCCGAAAATTATCCAGAATCCTGTTGTGGCACGGCACGCCGAACTCGCGAGTGGAATCGATTCTCAACGAAGGCCTTCAGATTCAGAATCGACGAGAGCGGCTCCAATTTGGCAATGGTGTCTATTTCGCGAATTTGGCGGCGAAAGCGGCGAGATTCAGCTCGCGCGGGTCTCCCACGCAGAGCTTGGTGTTGCTCCTGTGCGAGGTCGATGTTCGCCAAGCGGTGAGCTTGACCAAGACCGACTATGAAGCTCATGAGAAGTGTAAGAAGGTTGCCAAGGTTTCAGGAATCTACTCGCCGATTCAAACAACGATTATGTAAGAATTTTGGGGTTTTGAGAAACCAAAAAAAACCATTTTCAGCGAAAATGTTCATTGCTATCGTGATGGAATTATTGTGAAGAATCAAGGATGCCTCAATTATGACGAGTTTGTCGTTTTCGATCCAAATTTGATTCGAATTCGATATGTTGTCGAATTTCAAATCGTCAAATAATTATGTATTTAATCAATGTATATAAATGTATTTTTTTTTCGGTGAACTGCCAATTTTTGGACAAAACCTTCATTTTTTTTCAGAAACGCCTTGAATTGTTGAAAATTTTGCGGATAATTCGACATATTTGAGTAATTAAAGGAGCATTGGGGGTCTGATTGTGAAAGAGAAATTGAGGATTCTTATTTTGTCGAAATTCGTGAAAAATTGAATTATTTATTAGGAATTTTCCAAGTGTCGATTTTTTTTTGGCGTGAGCATTGTAATTTATTTCAAATTTTCAATGGAAAATTAAAATGATTGTTCGAATATTTGTTTTATTATTCATATCGTCGGTATTTGTTTCTTTTTGTCGATTAATCTTGTCATTTTTTTTCAGATTTTCGCCAAATCTCCACCGAAAACCGATTGTTCACATTTTACGGAAATGAACTATTTTAAGCGACAAATCTTGACTGATAATGAGTTTTCGAGTGAGAATTGCCATTTTTTGTCGATTTTCAGCCGTTTGTGATACAATTTTCAGTTAATACCTGCGTTTATGATAGTTCTGAACCACGAGCGTTTGAACGGGATTACAAAGTTATGAAAGTGTGCGAAGGAATCGAAAATGTCGAGTACGGCGTCGAATTTTGTCGAAATTGTGAAATTCTTCGCATTTTTTTTAATTGAAAATCTCGAAAATTTTGGCTGAAAATATCGAGTTTTGTGCGAAATTTCAATTTTGGAGAGAATTTTCAACGAAAATTGACATTTTATTGAATTTTTTTGAATTTTACCCTGCCAAAAATGATTTTTATGAGCTAAAATTGAAACCGACAAAAATATTTTAGATTTTTAAGCTAAAATGCCGAAAGTTGACTGAAAATGGCGAATTTTGATGCGAAATAATAAAAATGTCAAAAAACTCCAATTTTACGCCAAAATTTTGGTTGAAAATGGCGAATTTTGATGCGAAATAATAAAAATGTCAAAAAACTCCAATTTTACGCCAAAATTTTGGTTGAAAATGGCGAATTTTGATGCGAAATGTTAAAAATGTCAAAAAACTCCAATTTTACGCCAAAATTTTGGTTGAAAAAGGCGAATTTTGATGCGAAATGTTAAAAATTTCAAAAAACTCCAATTTTACGCCAAAATTTTGGTTGAAAATGGCGAATTTTGATGCGAAATGTTAAAAATGTCAAAAAACTCAAATTTTACGTCAAAATTTTGGCTGAAAATGGCGAATTTTGATGCGAAATGTTAGAAAAGTCAAATACTCCAATTTTACGCCAAAATTTTGGTTGAAAATGTCGAGTTTTGTGCGAAATTTCAATTTTGGAGAGAATTTTCAACGAAAATTGACATTTTTTTTTTGAAAGTTTTTGAATTTTACCATGCCAAAAATGATTTTTTTGAGCTAAAATTGAAACCGACAAAAATATTTTAGATTTTCAAGCAAAAATGCCGAAAGTTGACTGAAAATGGCGAATTTTGATGCGAAATGTTAAAAATGTCAAAAATCTCCGATTTTACGCCAAAATTTTGGTTGAAAAAGGCGAATTTTGATGCGAAATGTTAAAAATTTCAAAAATCTCCGATTTTACGCCAAAATTTTGGTTGAAAATGGCGAATTTTGATGCGAAATGTTAAAAATGTCAAAAAACTCCAATTTTACGCCAAAATTTTGGTTGAAAATGGCGAATTTCAGCTAAAATTTTGTCAAAATTCAATTTCGATGAACGTTTTTGAGGAGTTTTGCTAGCGATTTTTACAATTTCTAGAAATTGTTTTTCAGTATTGTGATGGATTGTTGGGAGAGTAGCTCGGTTGAGCTTTTCACACGAAAACTGGTGACAATTCGAAATTCGAGCATCGTTTATCGGCCGGAAACTCTTGAACAAGGCAAACTCGAATTAGTTTTCTTCAGCTTAAAAGTCGCCAAAAATTGGAAAATTGAACTCGCCAGAATTCAATTGCAAAATTTCGTGATACCACATTTCAATAAGGAGAAATTTGACGGATTCCGTAAGTTTTTTTTAGTTTTGAAGAAATTCTCGATTTTTTAAAATTGAAAATTGACGTTTTCTTCGAAAAATGCTCAATTTTTGACAGTAAATCAAATTTTATAGCTTTTGAAAAAAAATTGAAATTTTTTCTTTCATTTCAGAAGTTGAACTGTCGGAAGATATGAAGAATGCAAGCCATTTTTTCACCGATTATGGTCACCAAATATCAAATTTTTTTTGAGAAAATCCCAATTTTCCAGTTCTTCAAATTATTCGTGAGACATCATCGACCGGTATACCGCTAATATTGCGCGATGGAATTGAAACGACCACAGCAATCTACGTATCTGATGAACAAGATGACGATTTTTCGGATTCGTCGCCGCTTTTGGCGAAATTCGCCCTCAGTTTCGCCATTTTTCTCATTTCGCAATTTTTTTCATAAAACATGATTACGGTTGTCGAAAATGTGTGTAATGTGTTTGCGGACTAGACGCCGTGCTCAAAATTTTTGAGTTTTCTTTTCTAATTTTTAGTTTTTTTTTTCGATTTGACTTGTAATAGTTTTTTCAATTCTGACTTAGAAATAATTTTAAATAGTTTTTCTATGAATTTCTACTTAAAATTATTAAAAATAATTTTTTATTTTGTTTTTAGTTTGAATAATTTTCCGCGCGGTTACTGTAATTCAAAATATGTGCTTGCGGACTCGTGCATTAGACGCTACGCGCAATTTGTTGTTTTCCTACGTGGAATTTTTACAACGTTCTTTCCGCCCAAAATTCTTGCTATTTTTATATTTTCGACGTTTTTCGTAATGAATTATTATCCAATATTTATCATATTATTCATCAGTTTGGTAAAAATAATGTAATTTTAGCGTGCAAATGAAATTTTTGACAATTTCAGAATGTCGCCGAATCGATTCCAGAATATCGATTTAAATGTCACGAGCCTCCGCCACCGAAAAACGAGCCGATTCGAATGAAAGGTGAGCAATTATTTTTTGGCAATACAAAAACGGAGTTTTCAGACGGCATTTGCAAATGGACGAGAAAAAATTCGATGGAATGGGAGCGCCAGCGAATTGAGAATTGTTCGGCCGTCGAGAATGCGATGTTTGGCGGCTAAAAGCGAAAGATTTGCTGAAAATGCAATTTTCAGCATCGTTTTGGATTGTTGGAAACGCGACGAGACACTGAAATTCGTCAAAAATTTGCGAATCATCCGCAATTGTGGAATTCTCATTCGAGCGCACGAGGATATCGATGAATTGGACTTTGAAAATATTATTGAGGCGAGCAAATCGTTTTTCGATTTTGCTGGAACATTTTTGACAAAAATCGAATTTGCACAAAAGGCGAAATTGAAGATTTTCGAGAATATTCGTAAGTTTCTTGATTGAAATTAGAAGAAAAAAAAAATATTTGAAAAAAACTTTCTCTTTTCGCATAAAATTTTGCGCTTTCAACTTGAAAAATTGTGGTTTTTTAGAAATGCGGATTCCAAAACAAAGGATTAAAAATGAAAGTGTGGAATATTTGAAGGGTCTCGGCAACAAAATCGATATTGAGCTAGTCGGATTGACCGTTTCTGATGTTCACGTCTACGATTTGACCGATGTTGATCCTGATTCGGCCACAAAGTTATCTTTTGCCGTTTTTCTGCACCTAATTTTTATGATTTTTATAAATTTTTGAGTTTTTTTTTTGGCTTACGGTAGTTGGTGCGGATGTTTGCAGACTGCGCACGATCTGACGCATAGTTGCAGGCAAATTTTTGTTAGCTTTTGCAAATTGGAAAGTTTAAAATCTGCAAAGAGCAGGATTGTGAAAATCATTGACTCGTGTAAAAATAAATTAAATTTTTGCTGGTTACGGTAGTTAGCTGGATGTTTGCAGATTGCGTATGACCCGGCGACAAATTGCGGACATTTTTTTATTATTCAATTTTTTGAAAATTTCAGCGTTTTTTATTTATTTAATTAAAATTTAGAGATAAGATATATAGTTTTCTGCGAATTATTGGCTGGCGTGACCCACCCAGCGCAACAATCATAATCAAGATGGCATTTTTGCGGCATATTCAGATTACAAAATATTTTTCGCGAGGCCCGGAAACTTTGAAAAGTGAGTTTTGCAGAAATGAGAAATGAATGAACCGAGATGACAATGAAAACGACAAGTTCCAGAATTTCGGCACCTTCTTCAGAATGCGTTTCGTTTTTTGGTTTCTCTTGATTGCGTTTCGCGTTTGCGACGCCGCCAACATTATTCATGTTCGGATTTTTTTTTGATTTTCGCTCGCCGTCGATAATTGTCCGTAATTTTGGGGATTTCAGATCGAATTGGAGCCGGAAAGTCGCGCTGTTTGCCGTGGGATTTTCGAACAATGGGCGCAATACCAAAAAATTTTAATGGCGCAAGCGATTTACACTGACGACAATGGAAAAGTGAGCGTAAAAAATTTTTTCGCTTCAAAACCCAAATTTTGCGTCTTCATAATTACCAGAAATGGGATATTTTGAATAGAATTTGATGAAATTTTTGGTTTTTAAAAATTGTCTGCGCAAAAAAATTATAAATTGAGTTTTGTACTTAAAAAAATTGCAATTTTTTTTGTTAAATTCGAGAATTCATTAAAAATCATGAAATTTCTGCAATTTCAATTAATAAAAAATAAGGTTTTCTTTATTTTTGGTTGGCTGAAGGGTATTTCTTTTTAATCGGCCAACTTTTGCAGGAAAAGCTTTTAAAAAATTTTCAGCCCATTTAAAAATGCGAATTTTTCGTCGAGAAAAAATTGAAAAATGTGTGAAAATGCCGAATTTTTGCCTACAGATCGTCGGGCTCGCTCTGTGCCAAGTGCCCGTCGCTGATTGCCCGCTGCTCGGCGTCGAAACGAGCAATGTCTATTTGCTGATCGGCATCCAATTGATCACCAACACGATGCACTTGAAAGACGTCGAATTTCAGTACGACGACACCAAATTCCAGATCACCAATGTAAGAAATTCCTTTTTTTTCTCGTCAATCTGAAACACAAATCTGACGACTCAAAAATAGCATTTTTCTTCGGAAAATGACAATTTTGCTGAAAAAAAAATTGGAAATTAATCTGTTTCGAATTATTTCAAACTTGCAAATAAGAATTCAAGTGTTCGCATCGAATTTTAACACAATCTCAATCAAATTCCACTTTTTTTTGTTATATGAATTTATTCATTCGAAACTTTGCTAAATATTATTGATTTTCAGTTTGAGTTGCCATCCGGGGGGGGGGGTCTTCTGCTAGGGTCCCTGGCTCTAACTTGAAAATATCAGGAAAATTTGATGAAGAAACGAATTAAAGCGCTTATTTCTCACTAAACGCAAGCTTAAAAATCAATTGGCCCACATTTTTTTTTTGAAATCTTTAAATTTCAGTCTTCCAAATGGCCAATTGGAGCGTTCGTCGATCGTGGAAACCTCTTCTTCAATCGGATACTTGTGAAAGGAAAACAACGATTGTGAGTTGTTGTTGTGTTGGGTTCCCGGGGGTCTCGCCGCGAAAATTGCATTTTTCCGCGCTGTCACAAAAATGTTGCATTTCAGCGAGGCGAAATCGAGTTGTCACGAGAAGATTTTGCAAAAAGAGCAAGCCGAATCGATACTGTTCGGCAACGGCTATTACGTCTACAAATTTGAGCCGAATGAGCGCGGATTTACGACGATGGGCTGGAAATCGATGTACTTCCAACCGCGGACCCTCGGCAAATTCATTGTCGACGAATCGCGACACCTCAATCCGATTTGAGACGAATGAATTATGAAATATTTGATTGAGATCATCTTTTTTTTCGATTCGAAAATGGTTTGTGTGCATATTTGCGTCATTGTGTGAACGCACCGATTTTGACTACAGTATCAGAAAATCGCGCCGTAGAACGTGAATCACAGATGATCGGTGAAGGGAACAGACACTTTCGTTCCTCCAACTTTCCACCGCCGTTTCTCCGAAATTGCACGCGTACGCGCGGAGTGTCGTACTGCCTTCGTTTTAGTAATTTCAAACTATTGTCATATTTCACCACGTTTATTGTTTTTTTTTTGAAAGTACTCGCGGAAAAAGTGGAATAATTTATTACAAAAAAATCAAATCATTTAGCCATTTGGCTGCAAATTGTTCCACCGCTTGAAGTCGAGTTTTGTTCATGGCTCTCCTGGAAAGATGTTCTTGTTAAAGATAAACTATTACATATGAGAGCAAAAGACTTGTTTTATGGCTATACCCGATTCAGTTGATTAAAACCAACAATAGCAGAAGAAAATCACTTACATTGTTTTTCTTGCACGTGGTAAATTGCAGAACGGATACATGGTTGCCCATGTGATCAATTCTTGTCCCCGCCTCAACGATTGACTGACTTCTTCGGTCGTTTCTGCGTAAAGTAAAATATTCAATGACGAAAGAAATAATCTTACAGGAGTCTTTGCATTTTATCTTGAACAAGCCGAACGAAGTCATTGACATCTTCAATAAGTTTGCCAAAGTTCTCTTTCCCTTCTTCCTCGGTTCTTCCGATCTTAGCAGCCAAGCTAAATTTGTTTTCATTTTGGGAAACAATTAGTTTTTTTTATACTTCAGGGTCTCAGATCTTCATATGTGTACGTAGGGTATCGAAGATGCTACACATAAAATCTGAAATGAAATTCGTTTCATTGAACGAATTGAACGCAAATGGGCTCAATATTGGATGTATTTTTTAATTCGTACTTTTTTTTATATTGGTCAAAGAATGCGAAATATTCGAAACAGTCAATTTTTGCGCAAAAATTGTCCAATTTTTTTTTCTCGCAAAAATACATAAATCACTTTAAAGCACCATATATTGATCACTTACCTAAAAACCAATCTTGAACAGCTAAATCAATTTCTTAGAAATTTCTTTTTTTTTTATTCGACTGCCGAACTTTTAAAAGTGTCACGTAACGGTGTGCGTTGTGGTCTTCCAGTGTCTTTAAAATATTGTTTCATTTAGCTATTAGGAGGGAAATTTGACCTACTCTTAAAAGTAATTCATTTAGAACAGTACCAATTTGTCTTTGAATTGAGCTCTTGTCCATGATTATATCTCGAAGATCAATTATTGTTTCGTTCTAAAAAGTTTTTCTTAATATTACACGTATGCGCTGTTAGATAAATACTTTGAACGGGGGCTTGCCATTAAACTTCATTGTAACAAGCTGGAATTTTGGCACAAACGCTGGTTCAAAAACTTTTTTCTTTTCCTTCATACCATTTCCGGCGGTTTCGACGCGAATCTGATTTCAAATGTTACATTTTTTCATGATTTTCATGATTTCGTTATTGTTTTTCTTTCAAAATTTGACAAAACTTTACGCAATTACGCAAATACACACATACTCTGGTAACGCAAAACCAATCGGATCCGACAAAATTCGGCTCCGGAATCAACCCGATCCGATTGGTAATTCTACGGATAAGATTTGTATTTTTTCGGATCCGATTTGTAATTTGTCGGATCCGATTGGAAATTGTTCTGATCAGATTTGTTTAGATAATTCGGATCCGATTCGAAATTCCTCGAATCCGATTCGATTTTTGTATTATTTCAGATCCGATTGGTAAAATTTTCCAATTCGGATCCGATTGGTATTGAGTTACCAGAGTATGGCGAAACTCTAAACTGCGAACAAAACAATTTAACGTTTAAATTTGTTAATTTTTTTCCAACCGTTTTCGCATTTCAAAAACACATAAGGCTAATAAGTTTAGCAAAAATATAAACGATTGTACTGAAATATAACATCCATGAAAAAGACTTCCTAATTGGAAAACTCTAGGCGAAAATGTGCCGAGTTCTGAGACGCACCATAATGGTTCGTAGACGACCTTCGAAATTGAATTTACACACAACTGAATAATAAAAAATTATCGGAAAAAGAAAAATTTTTACATGTATAGCATCTCTTCCTATGAGTCACACTTCTTGGTACTTCAACAGTACAAGTCCGGTTTTTCCAATATCCAATTCTTTTCTAATAAAACATGAGCGAATGTTATCTGCAAAAATCTTCATTAGGTATATGCGAATCGAAAAAGCTACTCAATATCGCCAATTCCAAATCAATTCCCTTATAGTAGTCGTACTCCGCTGCACTCAATCTTTCTCCTCCTGTAATAAATTAATTGAGTCAGGTATAACAATGGGATCGAAAGGGCACCGGAAGAAGTAGAATGCAGATCAGAATTGAGTCGATTAGTCGGCATTTCACGTTGACTTTAGAAAACTTGATTGGAGTGACGCGATGATCTTTCATGCATAACACTGTATTGTCTTGGGCGCGGGTTGCACCGCGTTATTTGGAATTTGGCTTATTCTGAATGAAATATTTTAGTCGTATTTATAAATTTCAATTTTCACCTCGGATACTTGGATTGAAAGCAGCGTTGACCTCTAATTTGAACAGTATCATTATAAGATGTCAAAGAATTTGCCGATTTGGCTTGGCTCCTTAAGTTCCTTTCATCTTCATAATGAGAATTGTTAGCTTGATAGACACCAGACCGATGAAGATAATCGTCTTAAAAAAAGTTAGGCACGGTTAACAGACCTTATGCAAAAAAAATATTACTCCATAAAGACCATGTTTCCGATGGTAACCGCATTAGTGTGTCAATAAATCAAGAATCATACCATTATTCCATTCCTGATAAACACTGAAAACATTATCTTTTGGCAGCATTTCCATGGTCTCGTCAGTTCCGTTATAGTCGCACCCTTCGGTGAACAGATGATCCTAAACCCAGCTCGACTCATAAATGTTCGCCATTCATATTATTTATTACAAGAATCCAGTCGTCACATCCAGCGTCCGCAAAATTTCCCGCGAATTCCTCTTCCTAAAATAACCTCGATTCATTAATTTCCATGAACTTATTTTATTATCTACAGTTTCTTCTTCAATACCATCATTGACGTTTTCAACAGGCAAAAGACGAACTCCATAGCCCCGAATTCGCGCGTCTACAAAATTTGTTTTCCTTTATACTGATCACAGATATACCATTCTCTTCTCTCGTCAATCTACTCCTTTTCATGTTGAAACGAACGTTCTGGAAAAGCCATTCTCATCAAATCAAACTTTCTAATTTAAAAAGAATGTATTGTTGAAAAATGACAAATGCATTATTCAGGTGTCGTAGGATCCTGCGTTTTGTACGCAATGCTAAGAGACAATTACCGTAATCCTCGCAGCGATTTACGGGGACTTTTTTTTTAATTTCGCATATTCATTTTTTTTTATTTTTCGCTCAATTTTCGTATTTCCCTTCGAAATTTTTTAATTTAAATTTTTAAATTTTGCAGAAACCGAGTTAAATAATTTATTTAACAGAATAAGCAATTTTAAACGATATTTGTTTGGTAAAAACAGCAGAGATTTAAAAGAAATCATTTTTGTCGTTAATAAAATTATTTAATCGTGTTTTGCTTTTTATATGCGTTTCTATTTTCTTGTTTTTGTATTCTTCATTTTAAAAATAATTTTTAGAGCGTCAATATCTTCACAATAATTCCCAACTCAACTAGACAAATGGAAAACTGCAAGTTCTGAAAATTAAATAATTAAAATCGGTTTCTACAGGTTTTAAATATAAGATTTCTAAAGAAAATAAGAAAATTCAGCAAAAAAAAATTGAAAGAACATCTTCGTAAATCGCTGCGAGGATTACGGTAACTGTCTCTTAGCATTGCGTACAAAACGCAGGATCCTACGACACATGGATACATTTGTCATTTCTCAACAATACATAGTATTAATTATATTAAATCTTAAAACCAATAGAAGGTTTTCAAACGATCAATACATTATAATTAATTAATTACAAATTAAAAAATTCATAAAATTAATTTAAATAAATCTTTATTTTGAAATTTAATTAAAACTTTAAATGAAATTTAAATAAAATCGAAAATTAATTTTCGATTTTTTTAGAAGATTGTACGACACTTCTAATATTACACATAGCCCACGGTTTAGCGCGTTTAGTAAACCATCGTTCCACCGCCGTTTCTACGGCGCAATTTGCTGAGACAGTATCAGCGCAATTATTTTTTTCCGAGTGCACAAAAAAAAATATTTTTCGAATTATTGAGAGATTAGTAGGATTTTTATTGTGAGATGATAAAAATTGTGTCCAAAAAGAAAAAAATAGTATACAGAAGAAAAAAATGAAAATCATATTGAAGACGAAAAAAAAAATGAAATGCGTTTAAAACTTAGAACAGAAAATCGAGGGATGGCGGGGGGCGAAATTCTAGTTTGACGCTGTCGTCGACGCCGGCTTCTCCTTCAATATCGGCTTGTCGGCCTTTTTCTGTAATTTGGAAAATTTCAAATTCGGGAAAATTTTGAATTGCGCGCGCGCTGTGCCACCGAAGGTCCCTCTACTTCAATCCTCATTGAGATGGCACAACTCGCGCTCCAAACGAGACCCAACGCGGCAATTCAAATGCTACGCGAATTAAAATTGCAAAAATTGAGGTAGACCGAATCAGTTTGGTCTCAAAGCGATTGGGTACCGAGAAAAATTGAGAATTTCGTCGGAAATTCGCTAACCTCTTTTCTGCCGGCGCGAATATTCTCAATCATTCGAATGCTCTCCTCTTTCTCTTTGATTAGTTGCTGAACCCGCTCGCGGTGCTTCTTCTCTTGATTGTAATTCTCCGCTTTCAGATTATTAATCTGTAAATCATTTGGGCGGTTTTTGTCTTCTCTTCTTGCAAAATGTCTTCAAATTGAAGGTATTTTTCAAAATTTCGAGCAACAAACAAAAAAAAGGCACCCACAATTTTGTCCTTCTCCATGAGTTGCGCGTCTTTCGTCTGAATCACCGACGTCAGCCGACTGATCTCATCGTTGAGCTTCTGAATTTTGAGCTCGTTCTCGCGTTCGGCCATCGATTCGGCAGCCGCCGACGACGATGACAACTCGCCGGCGCGTTGATGCTTCGACGGCAGCTCGTCGGCCGACGACGTCGCGACGCCGCCGACACGATCGCGTTTGCGGTGTCGACGCGACGCGCTGCCGCTCGCCGACGAATGCTGACGATGGCCGCCGCTTCGATGCGATTCGTCCTGAAAAATTGAGAGCGTCTCGACGGCATTGCTCGCGATCAACGATAATCACCCGGCGGGCTAATTAACGTTAATTACCTTCTCCGGCGGCACCGGCACGCCCGCCATCACCGTCTGATTGTTCTTTCTCGCCTGCATCACACATAATCGGCATAATACCTTCGCATTCGATCTCTGACGAAACAAAAACATAATTAGCATAAGGATAATTAGAATAATTAGTGAAATAATTAGCGGATGGCAAAAAATTTTACATTTTTTAACATCGAGAGTAACAGTAATCGCAAATTTCAAAAAATCTAGATGATTTTTGCTAATTAAGTCAATATTTCTATTTATTGTTTGCAAAATCGATGGCAATTAAAGGGTAATTAAGAAAAATCCTAATTTTTGTCAAAATCAAAGCTAGCCAAATGTTTTCTGCGAAATCGCTGGCAATTAAATGGGAAATTAAGTAAAAATTCGTCATTTTCGTCAAAATCAAGGCTAGTCAAATTTTATTTTGTAAAATCAATGGTAATTAACGGGTAATTAAGAAAAAATCCTAATTTGTGTCAAAATCAAAGCTAGCCAAATGTTTTCTGCGAAATCGCTGGCAATTAAAGCCACAATTAAAATTTTTGGCAAAAATCAACGCTAGCCAAATTTTATTTTGCAAAATCAATGGGTAATTAAATGGCGTACCTTGGCTTTTTCGGACTTTTGCGATGCGCATATGAGTTTGCAGCTGGCGCACTGAACGGGCGGCCCATATTTCCGTTCCGAATACGAGCACCACACACATTTTCGCTCGAGAAACGCGGCGTTCAATTGGCAGAATTTGCACGTCGTTGGCTGCAATTAAGCATCATTGATTAATTGGGCAATTTTGAATCAAAAATGTTAATTTTCCGGCGAATTGCTCGATTTCAATAATCTTTTGACGACAATCTCGAATTTTCGCCCAAAAAAATGTCAACTTGACGATTTTTGCAATTTTTGCTTGCAAAATTCGGCTTATTGGACGATTTTTGACAATTAACGCCAAAATTGGGTCAATTTTAATTTTTCTTTGGAAAATATCCAAAAAAAAAATCGTCAAAATTTCATGAAAATGCTTATTTTGGATAAATTTCCACAATTCTGACAATTGTTGGCACAAAATTGCATTTTTCTAATTAAAATCGATAATATTATAAAAAAAGACGTTTAAAATCAAAAACGTCGGCGAAAATGCGAGTTTTTCGCCAGAAAAAAACCAAAGACTCGCGAAAATCCCATCAAAAAATTTGTCGTCGCCTCAATTTCGCAATCAATCGATTAATTGGCCAATTAATTATAATGATTCAATGAAAAACCACCAACTTTTCCATATTTCTGCTCGTTCTTCTGACACTTTATACATTGGGTGCTGCAAGACAAAAAAAAATGAACCGAACGAGATATTTCGAATTAAATTAGCAAATGTTACCCGTTGTTCGTCGATTCCAAATCGGTCCGACAATTCAGGCACGTTTTCACCACCGGCTGCGTCATTTTCTGTAAAAAACGCGATAAAAATTGAGCGAGAATCGCGAGGAACGCGCGCGCGCAAAAAAAAAATGACAAGCGGCCGCCGCCCCGCCGAAAATGTGTGCGGTACACCGCGACGCGAAAATGCACCGCCGATTCTCTCGCAATTTTCAGGCGAAACGAATCAGAAACACATCGAATTTCCCATGAATTATTGATCGATTTAAAAGAAAAACTAGTTTTTTTCGAGTGAAATTTGCAATTTATTGCCAAAATTCACAAAATATGATGTTGAAATTGATTTTGGCATTTTTGAGCGGAAATTCGAATTTCGCGATTTCGCCTTTGTTTGAATTTTTTGGTCGTCGTGGAAACGCGCCATTTTATCACCTGTTTTCACACCAAAAAATTGAAATTCGCGAAAAATTGAAGAAAATTGCGAGTTTTTGGCAAGAAAACCAAAAAACAATTTTAAATTTTCGTTAAAAATGGCAAAAATGAAATTTTTTTTGAATAAAAAGCATAAATTCAAAAAAAAAATAGCAAAAAAAATTAGTTCCTTTAAAAAACGCTGCAAATTGTGTAAAAAAATTAGGAAATTTAATTTCTTTAAGAAAAAAACCCAGCGGGTCAAAAAATTGTTAGAATTTTTGTGGAAAAAAGCTGAAATCCATCAAAAATGCAAAAAATTTGTAATTTTTGGAAAAAAGAACCCCCAATTTTTAAATAGAAATGTCAAAACTAAAAATTAAAAAAAAAAAAAAACGTTGAAAATCCAGAAAAAAAAATCAAGTGGACGATTAAAAACGGAAAAATATTCAATTTTTTTGCAAAAAAAAAAATCAAAAAATTGAAAATTCCTTCATGAAAAAAGCTCAAAATTCTTATTTTTAAAAGAAAAATTGAAAAATTTGGCGGGAATTCTGAAATCCTTCAGAAAAATCGAATTTTTCCAAAAAAAAAGTTTAAATCTCATTAAAAGAAATCATGAATTTTTGGGAAAAGAAAATCCCGAAATTTTTTTTGAATAGAAAACTGCCAAAATCCGAAAAAAAAATCAAGTGGACGTTTAAAAAGGAAAAATATTCAATTTTTTTGCAAAAAAAAATCAAAAAATTGAAAATTCCTTTTTTTTTTTAGCTTTTTTTAAAATAAAAAGCTAAAAAAAATCTTATTTTTGAAGGAAAAATGAAAAAAATTGCAGAATTAAAAAAAAAACAATGAATTTTTGGGAAAACAAAACCCCAAAAATCAATTTTGAACAGAAAACCGCCAAAAAATTTTATTAATTCCGAAAAAAAAGCTCAAAATTCTTATTTTTAAAGAAAAAGTGGAAAAAAATGCAGGGAATGCTGAAATCCTTCGAATTTTTCCAGAAAATTTAAATCTCAGTAAATAATTGAAAAAAAAAACATGAATTTTTGGGAAAAGAAAGCCCCAAAAAACCAAATTTTGAATAGAAAAATGCCAAAAATTTTATTAATTTCCTCAAAAAAAACCAAAAAAGGCAGAAAATTGTTCAAAACGACATTGCTCTTTCGCGGAATATTGCTGACGATCGGAATCTCGGCGGCGCCGACGCTCGCCCACGATCATCCTCATCGAAATACTCGGCGGCGAGCGATTCATTGATTCGATTGCGGCGATTCCATTCGTCGAATTGTCGATCGGCTTCTGATATCGACACGATGCCCGCCTCGTCGTTCGACGATTCGCGCGTCAACACGATGCAGACGTCGCCGATCTGAAATGAAAAATCTGAAACAAAATTGAGAAGGGGCCGATGGTTACCTCGAGCGGCTCGCAACGCAGTCCGTAGTTCTCGACGGTGCGCTTCACGTCGCAACTCGTCCAGCCTTTGCCGAGCACAAACAGCGGGTGCTCGTGTTGGACGGCGAGCTCGACGAGACGGCGACGCGCGCCGACGGCGAACCGCACCGTCACCGCGTCGGCCGACGGCGAAATGCGCGACACGATCGCCGCGTTGACGTTGACGTCGTCGGATTCGGCGGCGCAACGAAGGAAGTCGTCCGACGAGACGTCTTCGACGCGTCTCGTCGCGCCGTTCGCCAATTGCAGCACGGTGCCGTGCATGAAGTGCGTCGGATAGTACGTCGACGTCGGAATTCCGCCGATGCGCCGCGACGACGCCTCGAGCGTTTCGTGTTCGCGTCGAATCGTCGATGATTCCATCGTCGGCTCGAATGATGTGTAGTTTGACGACGACAATGTTGACCGATTCAGATGACAGCAATCATCGTGCGGATTCTCAGGCTCCTAGAATATTATGATGCAATTTTTGCGAGAAAAAAATTCAAATTTCTCACGTCTTCACTGTCCGCCATTGAAATTCGCTTCCGCGACGTCGGCACGCCTTCAGAATCGTCCGAAGCTTTGCGTTTTGTCTGAAAATCGCCTCTCAAATTTTTTTCTAACAAAAAAAAAATCGAAGTGCTCACATTTTCAGACGGACTCGAGTCGACCTGTCGATTGGTCTGAAGATTTGTCGTCGCTTCTGAAGACGTCGGCGTCTGGCAGATGACGGTTGACTGCAAAATTTCGATTCCATTTTCAGAATAATTTCAGCTTCATCTAATCGTTTATTTTTTCAGAAATTTTGGCTTCAATGAAAATTGAATTGATTTTTTCAAATTTTCCCAAAATTTCGATTTTCAGCTGTTTTCGATAACTCGAAAATCTGATTATTTTGTTTTCAGCGCAAAAAAAGAATAGAAAAATGATTTCCAAAGATTTGAATTATTCAAATGCGCTGAAAAACGAAATTCCAAATAAAAAAAAAAATAATTTTTTTGAATTTTCTTTTTTTTTTTAAATAAAATCTGCAACCAATTTTGATTTTTTCACATTATTTTTTCTTCGAATTTCAAATCTCATTGAGAGCACTCATTTCAATCAATTTTTAGATGTTCTAGAAGCTTTGAAACCATTTTTCAGCTCAAAAAATTCTTACACTTCGCAGAACACCGGGAATCTCATGGGTCGCCTGGAAACAAAATGGATTTTTGAATTCAAAATTGCAATTTTCTCACATTTTCAACAATTCCGAGCGATTCCGACGGCGTCTGAAATCAATTTTAAGCAACAAATTTCGGGTTTTTTCGAATTCTTACATTCTGAACAGCGGTCGCATTCGCATTCAATTCGTTTGCCTATAAAATATTGATTTTTGAAAAATTCAATTTTGCAATTCAATTATTTCAACATTTTGCGGTGTTTGCAATTGGCACAGTGTCAAGTAATACGGGATGAGCTCGGGATTAGTTGTGAGCAAATTCTGCAAAATTAAAAAAATGCCATTAATTAAATAATTAATTTTTTTGCCTTCAAAATAACTCACCAGAATTTGCGTATTCGCATCGCCGGCATTCATTATTGATCGATATCGTGTCGTCACCACTGATAACCATATTTGTCGAGAAATCAAATCGAAAAAGCGATTAATTGTCGAGTGGCGTGTTTTTCGAAAAAAATTGTCGTCGATTGTCACGTATTGTGTAGGCACCGCGACGCAGAATTGCACGCGCGACAATTTCGAGCCTAAATATTTCAATTTTTTTTTCTAATATAATTCTAGAGCCGAAACATTGATAATAATCATTTTTGGTGTATTCAAAAATCTAAAATTAAATTTTTAGACTCTAAAAGCTTAAAAACTATGAATTTTTGGGAATTTCGATTGTCGAAATTTAAAATAATCAATATTTCTGCAAAATTCCCCAAAAAATCGATTCCTTTTTTGCGATTTTTAATTTTTCCAAAACTTCCAATCTTCCATTGAGCTTCTCGATGACGACAAATCATGTTCACGTCAAAAAAAAAAAAACAAACCACAGCAAATAAGAAAGAAAAACTTCTCGGAAGTGGGCCATCAAGAACGAAATTCGCATAGCTATCAAATTTCAAAAAAATCTTTGTTCCGGTTCGTGTTCTTCCCCGAACAAAGCAACGACGACGTCGTTGGCCTCCCCACCTCGCGGACAACTTCTCTCCCGACTCATTTCGACAGCTCGTAAAAACGAAATTTAGTCTGCGCGCACGGCACCACGACGAACAAATAATTATTTCATTTCTCGAAAAACAAGCGTAAAAATCCAATAAAAACAAACAAGCGGGGCACGCAAAAGCCTGATATACGGGTGCGCGGTGTCGAGCCAATACAGCTCCGCGCAACGCGCGCGGGCGCAAACCATTCGGCCATCGACGACGTTGTGGCAGGCAGCGCGCAGTGCGGTTAAGTGCGCGCTGCAGACCAACACAGCGCGCACTCAAAAACCGGAACGGTTTTTCCAGAGGAGAAGTTCAAGTGTGAAAAATCCGGTTTTCCGTTGATTTGTTTGTCGTTGATCGCGAATATCCTCATATTCATCCCATATTTGCACATTTCCCTGATTTTTTCCCCTCAACATTGTTGTTTTTTTGTCCTCCAGCTTCACATCATTATTCACGTTTTTCCCCCCGCGTTTCGCCCATGTATAATAATATTTGCACAAAAGATTAAAGACAATTTTCGACAAAAATTTTTCGTCGTCTCAACCTCAAACCGAAATACTACTATAATATACCTGTTATCAGCGCCGTTGTGTCTATTTTTGGCTAATTCTCATTTTTTATTTTCATTTTTAAATTACGGTTTTACCACACTTTTCTGCATTTTTCGACTAAAAACACACAAAAATTCCATTTTTTTCACTCATTTTTTGCCAAAATTCGGCGAAATTTCGATGATGTCGTCAATTTTGACGTAATGTCCGCAATTACACAAAATGTCTCGCATTTTTCGATGATTAATTGAAATTCTCATCGATTTTTGAGTGGAAATTCAAAAATTTGCCGACAATTTTCAAATTGTCGTCAATTTCAATGCCAAGTCCGCAAGTACACCGAGTAAGACAAACCGGGCACAAATTAGAGTGATTTTGATCAAAATTTGATGCAGATTTCGAATTTCTTATTAAAATTTGCAAAAATCGTCAAAAAATTCAATTTGTCGTCAATTTCAATGCCCAGTCCGCAAGTACACCGAGTAAGACAAACCGGGCACAAATTAGAATCATTTTGATCAAAATTTGATGCAGATTTCGCATTTCTCATTAAAATTTCTGAAAATCGTCAAAAAATTCAATTTGTCGTCAATTTCAATGCCCAGTCCGCAAGTACACCGAGTAAGACAAACCGGGCACAAATTAGAATCATTTTGATCAAAATTTGATGCAGATTTCGCATTTCTCATTAAAATTTCCGAAAATCGTCAAAAAACCGCAAAAACTTCAATTTGTCGTCAATTTCAATGCCAAGTCCGCAAGTACACCGAGTCGATCAAAAACCCCCAAAAATGGCTCATCAATTCACAAGTTTTTTTCGCTACAAAAAATTTTGAGTGGTAGGCCGAAAAAAAATGAAAAAGCGAAAAACAAACAGGCCGATTTGGGTGGTCCCTCCGCCCAAAATACGTAATTAGCCGCCGACGCCAAAAAAAAAACGGCGCCGAATTTTTTTCACCTCTTTTTCGCTTGTTTTCTTCTATTATTTGACGCACCACAAAAGAAACGCGAACGAGTCTCATAAATATTGAATGCCGTGCAAAATTAAAGGGGGGGGGGAGGTGCCAAAACACACACAAAATCCTCGTGGCGCAATTTGGCGCAATTTTTCTTCTTTCACCAACACCCTCAATTCCTACGGACCATTATGTTCACGCGTTCTTTCTTCTTTTTTTTTGTGTGTTGTTGTTGTTGAAATTGATGGACGTTTAATTCGAGAATTCCGCCACCCATCTCAATTTTTCCATTTTTTTCCACTAAAAAATTTCCAAAATCGCAATTTTGACGAAAAATTTGAATTTTTCGCCAATTTTTGACCCTTGCCTCAAAAAATCCGCAATTGCTCGTCATATTTGATGTTCAATTCCAAAATTCTGCAATTTTGCGTCAAATTTTTTAAAATCACCAAAAATTTGAAAAAAATTCGCAATTTTTGATTTCACACGCTAAAAATTTGAATTTTTCGTCGATTTTTGACCCTTGCCTCAAAAAATCCGCAATTGCTCGTCATATTTGATGTTCAATTCCAAAATTCTGCAATTTTGCGTCATTTTTTTGTAATCATTGAAAAGGTATTAAAAAAAAATCAAACATCGATTCATTTATATCTATTTTTGATCAAAAATTTGAATTTTTCACCTATTTTGAACCCAAAAACGAATAATGTGCATTTTTGCGTCAATTTCGATGTTTTATTTCAAATCGTTGCCTTTCGTAGTTCAAATGATCGAAAAATCCAGCAAAAAATTAATTTTCAATTTTTTGCGTTCAAAATTCCGCAATTTCACGTCAAATTCGATGTCGTCGAAAATTGACACTATAACCGACGACATTTTGCACACATTTCGTAGGCGCACCGAAAATCGTCCAATTTTTTGCGGTTTTCGACACTCAATGGTAAATTTCAGCCCCCGCCCGCCCTCTCAAAAGTAAAACATTTTTTATGGTCCCCAGGACCTGGATGGTCCCTAAAGAATTTTGTCAGAAATCGCGATTTTCCCAAGCCGAAAATGACGAAAAAAAATAATTGCATCAACAAAATGTTGGGCGAGAGTGTCAGGTGTTGTTGCTCATAACTTCCAATTGATTTCAAAAAAAATTTTTTCTTCTCTTTTCTTTTCTCCAATTTTTTTTACGTTTTTCGCAAAAATCGCGGCCCGGCCTCGAACCAGCGACCTCTCGCACGCCAAATTTGTTACAGAATGACTCGTCAAAGTGCGATTTTTTTTTGAAACACCATAATTGACGCAAAATTGCACACATTTTTTGTTTAAAGGATGTGACACTCGAATTGACGCCAAAATGCACCGATTTGTTGAATTGTCGTCAAATCATCAATTTGCAAAATTATTTAGTTTTCTCGGGAACTTTCAAATGGCTTATACACCACAATTGACGCGCAAATGCACAGAATCAAAATTTATAAGCAAAAATTTAAAACATCGAGTTTGACGCGAAATATAATAATCATGTTTTTGGCGAAAATTATTGCAAATTGAATTTGGCGGGAAAATGCACAAAAAAGTCAAAACATCAAATTTGACGCGAAAATGCACGAAAATTCAAAACATCGAGTTTGACGCAAAAAAACACAAAACATTTAAAACATCGAATTTGACGATAAATTGAACAGAAAAATATTTTTTTAAGAAAATTTAAAAAGTCGAATTTGACGCGAAAATGCACAGAATACAATTTTAAGCGAAAATTTGAAACATTGAATTAGACGAGTAATTACACAAAAAAATTCAAGCAAAAATTCAAAACATCGAATTTGACGCGAAAATGCACAAAAAAATCAAAACATCGAATTTGACGCGAAAAACATAAAAAATTCAAAACATCAAATTTGACGCGAAAATGCACAAAAAAATCAAAACATCTAATTTGACGCGAAAAACATAAAAAATTCAAAACATCGAATTTGACGCGAAAATGAACAAAATCAACTTATTGGGCGTTGTTGATCGATTACTACTGTCAACGAATGGAAAAAAAAACGTGTGAATTATTTGCGCAGGTGTCGGCCGAAGCTGGCGTTCATTTTCTGCCGCTGTCAGACTTGAGGCACAAACAAAAAAAAAAGGGGCGAATCGAGAGATTCCCGTCGGCCGCATTTTTTGTGCCGCTCGGATTCTGCTATTTGAGTTGCGGCTTAATTTGTGCGCGGCTCGGCCGGCTCGAACGAACTCGACCGACCCATTGTTGTTGTTGGAATTCGGACACGATTTTCGACCCCAGCCCCCCGTTCCCAGTCGATTTTTTCATTGGCGCCAAAAAATGACACCAAAATTTGGCGTGACGAAAAATTGCCGATAATGCCAATTTTTGCGCGAAATTTTGAAAAAAAATTCCGAGAAATTTCGATTTTTTGTTGGCGCCAAAAAATGACACCAATTTAGCGTATTTTTTTTTGAGGGAATTTCGATTTTTGCGCGATTTTTATAAAAATTCTGGAAATTTGCGAAAAATTTTGATACAAAATGCCAATTTTTTAATGAATTTCTCAATTTTTTCCAAAATTGCTCATTTCTTACAAAAAATGCACAAAAATTGTGAATTTCTCGCATTTTTTTTTCAATTTTTTCCTAAAAATTGTGATTTTTTCGAAAATTTCGATCAAAAATCGATTTTTTCCGCATTTTTTGCCCTTTTTTTTGAGGAAAATGCCAATTTTTGATCGATTTTTCAAATTTTTTTGATTTTCTTCGAAATTTCGCCATTTTTGATCGGATTTTCGGATTTTTTTCCTCTTTTTTGAAAAAAATACAAAAAACAAAATGAAAAACTGACAATAATTGGCTGGAGAATTACACTAATTAGTCGACTTAATTGCCTCGAATTTGCACTTGACATAATTCTCGCAAATTTCGCCCACAATAATATCAAAATCGCACCAATAATTGGTCCGATGGGCATTCGGACCCGATAAATTCGATTCTGGGGACCATTTTGGCCAATTCCATTCAATTCGCTCATTTTCATCGAGAAAATTATTTTGATCTACCACATTTCCGAAAAACTTCGCGTTGAAATCGCCAATTGGCAATAGAGCGCATTTTCCTCAAAAAATTGACAATGGAGCGCATTTTTCTCAAGAAATTGGCAATAGAGCGCATTTTCCTCAAAAAATTAGCAATAGAGCGCATTTTCCTCAAAAAATTGGCAATAGAGCGCATTTTCCTCAAGAAATTAGCAATAGAGCGCATTTTCCTCAAAAAATTAGCAATAGAGCGCATTTTCCTCAAAAAATTGGCAATAGAGCGCGTTTTCCTCAAAAATTGGAAAAAAAAATTAAATAGACCAAAAAAACTCGCCACCAACAATTTTGATCTACCGAATTTACGAGAAAGTTCGCATTGAAACCGAGGCCAAATCATATTTATTTTGTTCGATGTCTAATTCATTTTTGTAGTCGGTGTTTGCACACATCTCGAACAACCGCCCCACAATACACACACATATATATAAATATATCACTTACTCTTCAAATTTTTCGCCGGCTACTGATATTGTCGAATCACATCCCCCCCCACCCCACTTCCTCGCCTCTTCCCCTGGCTTTCCCCCCCCCGCCCCCAACAAACATTCGCCCGTTTTTCTTATTTTTTCTCGTTTTTCCCACCGTCCGAATTGCTTCTTTTTTCTCGCTGTTGACATACCGTAGTGCATCACAAATCGACACTTTCTTGCAACAAAAAAATTATTTTTTTTCTGTGCATTTTTGCGTCGATAGTCCGCGTGTCCCTTTAAGATTTTTATTTCTCCATTTTTCACGTCATTCACTTTTTTCCTTAAATTGTGCATTTTTGCGTCAATGTGCACTACCGTAATTCGCATGTACCTTTAAAAATTATTTTCTGTTTTTTTACGTCATGGTAACGCCCTCTCCCTTTAAGAATTTCGAAAATTTGAAAAATAGTGCATTTTTGCGTCAATGTGCATTACCGTAATCTGCATGTCCCTTTAAAAATTTTTGTCTCCATTTTTCACCCAATGATCTCTCCCTTTAAAAATTTCAAAAATTTCAACTTTTGAAAAACTGTGCAATTTTGCGTCGATATGCACACTACCGTAATCCGCATGTACCTTTAAAAATCATTTTCTGTATTTTTTACGTCATGGTAACGTCACGCCCTTTAAGAATTTCCAAAATTTGAAAAACTGTGCAATTTTGCGTCCCTTTAAGATTTTTATTTCTGCATTTTTACGTCATGCACTTTTTTCCCCCGTGTTGTCTCTCCCTTTAAGAATTTCAAAAATTTAAACTTTTGAAAAATTGTGCATTTTTGCGTCACTACCATAATTCGCATGTCTCTTTACGATTTTTCTGCATTTTTACGTCATGCACTTTTTGCCCTATCCTCTCCCTTTAAAAATTTCAAAAATTCAAAATATTGTGAACACCGTAATCCGCATGTCCCTTTAAAAACGTTTATCTGCACTTTTGCGTGGACTCACGTACTTTTGAGAATTTCCAATTCAAGAAAATTGTGCAATTTTGCGTCGTACAATCAAATTACCATAATTATCCTTTTTGTCTGCAATTTGGCGTAAAAAAAACCAACCTTCAAAAAAGTGTTATTGCGTGCATATTGTGCTCACCGAATTCGCCGACAATCCAACTTTTAAGCATCACAAATTAATGAGCCACATTCCAAATATAATATTAGTGCATTTCTACGTCAATTTCACTGTTTTCTCTCTGCGTCTCTCTTCTCGCCCCACTCTCTCGCTTCTTATCACTATGTTGTGTGTGTGTGTGTGGCGGCGGCTGCGCGCCCAGCTCATCTACAGCGTTCCCGCCTTGCCCGCCAGTCGTAACAATGGCGCATTGTAATTTCTTTATGCCGTCACGCCGACCCTCGTTGGTTCAATCCCACCCGGCGTCCATCCAATTTTTGCCCACCTGAAACAAGCACATTCCAGGCATGACGTCTCCAGTGCCGCCAGTTCTGGTAATACCAGCGTCGTCGTCCTCATCCAACACCATCTCAATCTCACCGTATCCATCCGAGCCGAGCACAAGTGTCGACGACGACGTCGGCGCTTCCGAGTACTCGCTCATCGTGCTCTTCTCGACGCTCTCGATCATCGGCATCGTCGGCAATCTGCTAGTGATCACCGTCGTGTTGAAAGTGCGCGGAATGGTGGGTGAATGGCGACGAGAACGTAGCCCAACGTTGTCATTTTGCAGAAAACGCCGACCAACTGCTATTTGGTGTCGTTGGCCGCCAGCGACACGCTGTTCTTCATCGCCTCGATGCCGCACGAGGTGATGTATTTGATTGGTCCCACCGACAACTATCTCTTCGGCACCGTCGGATGCGCCCTTCTCACCTATTTGCCCTATTTGGCGATGAACACCAGCAGCCTATCGATCACCGCGTTCACCGTCGAGCGATTCATCGGCATCTGCTATCCATATAGGGCCAGGTGAGAGCTGTCATAGTTTCTTTCTTTTGTTTTTGATCTACATTATGCTCATCCACAATTGTCCACACAAAATTCCATAGTTTTGATCTCCAATAGACTACCGTAATCCAAAATAAACTACAGTAATCCAACTTGTTCAACCCTACCTACAAAACTCTACTTATCGATTCTAAAAAGCCTACAGTAATCTCGATGATCCAATATTATCTACAGTAGTCTACCGTATTCCAAAGTACCCCCTACAGTAATCCAAGTTGTTCAACCCGATCTACCATAATCAATTAATTCAAAATCTGCAGTAGCTTGGAAATTTTTCAAAAATCCTACCGTAACCTCAATGATCCAATATTATCTACCGTAATCCAATTTTTCAATTCTACAGTAATCCGACAATTATTGAGTTGTTCCATATGCATAGCTCTAACTACAGTAGTCTACCGTAACCCAATTATTCAATTCTACAGTAATCCGACAATTATTGAGTTGTTCCATAAGCATAGCTCTAACTACAGTAGTCTACCGTAATCCATCAAATTACCGTATAGCATGGATTTTGGAGTCTAGACTAACTCGCCCCTACCCCCTCTCTCCAAAAATCGCACTCATCGTAATTTTGATCTACCGCCCAGAACGATGTGCACAGTGAAGCGCGCCAAATCGATCATCAGCATTCTGTGGATCGTCTCGATCGTCTACCACTCGCAATGGCTGTTCCTGGCGGCCGTCGTCCACGACGACGTCGGCACAATGTGCAGTTTTCGTCTGAAACGCAACGACACGAGCTACAAGGTGAGGCTGGGGACCATCGAGAGAATGACACTGTTTCTTCTTTTTTTTTTGCCAGATCGTGTTCCTCGCCGACTTTCTGTTCCTCTACGTCGTGCCGATGCTTCTCGACATCATCATCTACGTGAAAATCGGCGTGACGTTGACGCGATGCGGCGACAAAATCAAACAGTCGGTGAAGCCGAAAGGTGAGCTCCGACGACGACGATGATGATGATGATGGTTTGCAGTGTCGAGCGACGTCGTCGACGAGACGACGACGGCGCGCGAATCGCACGTGTCCGGCAAACGGACGACGACGAAAGGCCGCCATCAGGTCGTCAAGATGTTGGCGTTGGTCGTCGCCGTGTTCGCCGTCTGCTGGCTGCCCTATCGCGCCATGGTCATGTACAATTCGTTCGTCTCCGATCCCAAATATCATTGGAGTCCCGATTGGTAGGGTCCAGCGGGTTACCGTTGTTTTAAAGGCGCATTGATTTTGCAGGTACATCAATCTGTCGAAGACGCTCATTTTCGTCAATTGCGCCATCAATCCGATTTTGTACAATTTGATGTCGGCGCGATTTCGCGACGCGTTTCGAACGCTTCTCTCGAATCGCAAAACCGTCGCCTATCATACGAGTGAGTCGACAATGGTCCCCAGCCATTTTCTTTTTTTTTTGCGCATCGTCCCAATTGATTTTGAGCATTTTTGTGAAATTTGAGGAAAACGCCCTCCATTGCCAATTTGTTTGAAGAAAATGCGCTCCATTGCCAATTTTTTGAGGAAAATGCGCTCCATTGCCAATTTTTTGAGGAAAATGCGCTCTATTGCCAATTTCTTGAGAAAAATGCGCTCCATTGCCAATTTGTTTGAAGAAAATGCGCTCCATTGCCAATTTTTTGAGGAAAATGCGCTCTATTGACGGTTTAAACGCGAAGTTTTTCGGAAATGTGGTAGATCAAAATAATTTTCTCGATGAAAATGAGCGAATTGAATGGAATTGGCCAAAATGGTCCCCAGAATCGAATTTATCGGGTCCGAATGCCCATCGGACCAATTATTGGTGCGATTTTGATATTATTGTGGGCGAAATTTGCGAGAATTATGTCAAGTGCAAATTCGAGGCAATTAAGTCGACTAATTAGTGTAATTCTCCAGCCAATTATTGTCAGTTTTTCATTTTTTTTTTTGTATTTTTCAAAAAAGAGGAAAAAAATTCGAAAATCCGATAAAAAATGGCGATATTTCGAAGAAAATCAAAAAAATTTGAAAAATCGATCAAAAATTGGCATTTTCCTCAAAAAAGTGCAAAAAATGCGAAGAAAAAATCGATTTTTGATCGAAATTTTCGAAAAAATCACAATTTTTTGGAAAAAATTGAAAAAAATGCGAGAAATTCACAATTTTTGTGCATTTTTTGTAAGAAATGAGCAATTTTGGAAAAAATTGAGAAATTCATTAAAAAATTGGCATTTTGTATCAAAATTTTTCGCAAATTTCCAGAATTTTTATAAAAATCGCGCAAAAATCGAAATTCCCTCAAAAAAAAAATACGCTAAATTGGTGTCATTTTTTGGCGCCAACAAAAAATCGAATTTTCTCGAAATTTTTTTTTCAAAATTCGCGCAAAAATTGGCATTATCGGCAATTTTTCGTCACGCCAAATTTTGGTGTCATTTTTTTTGGTGGATTTTTGGCGCCAACGAAAAAATCGCTTTCATTTTTGAAAAATTGCGCATTTTTTTCGCAGCAAATCGGCCAGCAAAAAAAAAAATAAAACAAACCAAATAATTCCCAAAATTTCAGCCGCCATTCAACCGCCACGCACCCGCAACAACACCAACACCGAGTGCGTTTCAATCGACAATCAACGCCAACCTCTCAATTCGCCAATTCTGTGATGGCGGCAGAAAAAAATCTCCCAAATTTTGTACATTTCATTCATTTCTACGGGTTTGCCCATCGAATAAATTCCTATTTTTCTCAAAAATAAATTAATGCTACCGTATTCCCCCTCAAATCCCAATTTCAAAGGTAGGCTCCGCCCTAAAAAACGGTCAATTTTTATTCAAAATAAATTGAGATGAGCAAAATTCACAGGAAATCCAACAAAACGGGAGGGCTACACGTGTATATCAAATTATTCAAAAAAAAAACTTGGAGAGGTACAAAAAAAAAGACATGGATGCGACTACCTAGCTAGTAGATCAACTCCTCGCGCGTCTGCGTCTCTTGTTGTCGCCGCGGATCCAAAAAGTGCGGATCGTGGCTGCTGCTCGTCGAGTTCGGCGACGTCGGCTGGCCGAGACGAGCGCGTGGGACTGCAAGACAAAAAAAATTCGAACCTCTAAAATGTACGGGGGGGGGGCCTACTTGTGCCATACGTCGGCTCCATCGGCGTATAAATCGCGTGCGCCTCCATCGGCAATTGGCCAAGTGAGCCCGTCTCAATCGTCTGCAACAAAAACACAAAAAATTATTCAATTGCGCTTTTTGATCTACCGGTTTTTTGACGGAATAGCGATACGTCGAATTTGGTGTGTGCGGCATGGTGGCGCCGGGTGGCGGTGGCGGTGGTGGCGGGAACGGCAACGGGCTGCCCGAGTAGGGCGTCGAGTAGATCGCATCGTGATGGTGCGCGGCGCGCGCGTTCAGCGTCGACGGCGGTGTGATCACGTAGAGCGGCTCGATCGATTTGTACGTCGCCGGCTTTGTCACCTCGTATTTCTCCTGTGCAAACAAAAGACAATTTCAATTTCTTCCGCAAAATGTCGTCAATTAACGCGCATTCACGTCGGACATCGAATTCGACGACAAAATGCACACAAAATTGAAAATCCACCAACTTTCTTGTTTTTCGTGCAACAACAAAAGCATTTGGCGCACAGCATCGAGAGGAGTATCGACACCAAACACAACACGAGAAGGAACGCGACGATCAGTCCGATGACCGGCTGAAACACAAAACTCGCCTAATTGGCCAATTAAGCCATTAATTACCAGCCATGAGGCATACGAATTATCGATGGGCGCCTCGGAGACTTGCTTGTAGTTGGCCAATAGATATTGCACCGCCAATGTGTCGCCATCGGAGCCCTGCAATTGATGGTCATTCCCAAATGCGACAGACATCGAATTTGACGCGAAATTGCGGACATTACCTGCGCGGCGAGTTTGTGCAACTTTTGCATGTCGTCATCGGCGAGCAGAACGAACGAATCGCCGCCGCGGAACGTCGCCAACTGCAAAGAAAAATCGAATTCGGAATATTTTTTTCTCTCTCTCAAATTTCGATTTTCTCAATTTTTTTTCTTAGCGGCAATGCAACAGAAAAAAAGCCCCATTTTTGGGGGTCCCAGCGCGAATTTCGGTCATTGAGAAATTGAAAATCGTTTTGGGACCAAAAATGGATATAATTCAAATTTTTTGCACAAATTTCAGGGTCCCGGCGCGAATTTCCATCACTGACCAGTTGGAAATCGTTTTGGCAGCAAAAATTGCGCGCGTTTGGCAATTTCAGACTATTTCAGGGTCCCAGCGCGAATTTCAAAAAAAATCATTATAGCCTTAAACAAGGGGCTTGACACGAAAAAAAAAATTAAATCTCAGATTTTCGATCGTCAAATTCTAATCAAGCGACCCCCCCCCTTCCCTTCTCGCAATTTACGCTAGCCTTGACAACAACAACAATAATAATAATATATATTCGTAAGCGTAACGAGATGGCTTCTAATAAATCAATGAATGAAATGAGCCGCGCGTGCGCAAAAAAAAAAGACCTTAAAATGGCGTTTCGAGTACGGTAGATGGCCACGCCCACCAGGCCAGCAAAAATTTCGACAATTATGGTAAGTTTTGACATTTTTAGGTTGAAGGACATCGAGATCGACAAATTGGGTGAAAAATTCCAAGGGACTCGAATTTTACCATCAAATCTCTCTCTGGGTGATTTTTGACGATCTGCGGACAGTGTTCCGGGTTTTCAGCAACAGGTACCCATTTGAAAAAAAATGCTGGCGAATTATTGGTTGAAGCCAGAATTTTCGAATCCGAAATGACACCAAACCCCATCTGCGGACATTGTTCCGGTTTTCACGGTCAATGTGTAACCATCGATCAGGTTTCGCGCCATAAAAAAGGGTGCCAAAAAAAGTATGGCGAAAATTACAATAGGCGCCTTTAAATGAGATAAACTTAAGGGGAAATTTTCCAAGATTTCTGCGTTTTTGCGAGGAATCATCAAATTTGACGAAAAATTGCGGATTTTTAGCCTAAAATTCAAAAATCCCAGAATTATTGGGATAAATCATCAAATTTGATGCGAAATTGCAGATTTTTATTTCTAAATTCAAAAATCCCAGAATTTTTGCGATAAATCATCAAATTTGACGAAAAATTGCAGATTTTTATTTTTTAATTCAAAAATCCCAGAATTTTTGCGATAAATCATCAAATTTGACGCAAAATTGCAGATTTTTATTTTTAAATTCAAAAATCCCAGAATTTTTGCAAAAAGTCATCAAATTTGACGCAAAATTGCAGATTTTTAGATAAGAATTCAAAAAATTGCTGTATTTTTGCGAATTTCCTCTTCAAATTTTTTTTCCAAAAATGGAACCCCCCCCCAAACATATCGAGATGGTCCCATTTTGGGTGCGGCGCTCACCTGTTGGGTGTCCTTCAAATAGACCATGACGAGCCCATGATCGCACGTCGTATTTCCCAGTTCGGCGTTCTCGTACTCGGTTTGCATGTCTCTTTTCAAGTCGTCCGTCTGAAAGCAAAAAAAAACCAAAATGAAAAATGAAAAATGTCGAAAAAAATTCCAGAAGTTCCTTCGCCACCCACATTTTTTGTCGACGACACATGCAGAAGCCCGATGAACCAATCGGTGCCGTCCGAACGCGTACACCCATCCGGACATTCGCATCTGGAAACTTTTTTTTTTTGAATTTGAACACAAAAAATAAACGATTATCATCGAAAATTATGATTTTTTTGGAAAATTTCAGCCACTTTTGAGTTTTTCAATTGAGAATTCCGCAAATTCGCGTCAATTTCGATGATTTCTCGTGAAAAGTGCAATTTTTCAACTAGCAGCTCACAAACTCATAATTTTACAATAATTATCGATTTTTATTGCAATTTTTCAGGTTCAATTTAAAAATTGCGGATTTCATTCAAGATTTTTGGAAATTCGATGCTAAATTTCCCAATTTCACCACAAAAATTGACCATTTTTGAATTTTAAAATAAAAATCCGCAATTTTGCGTCAAATTCGATGATTTATCGCAAAAATTCTGGGATTTTTGAATTTTAAGCTAAAAATCCGCAATTTTTCGTCAAATTTGATGACATTTTGCAAAAATTCTGGGATTTTTGAATTTTAAGCTAAAAATCCGCAATTTCTCGTCAAATTTGATGATTTATCGCAAAAATTCTGGGATTTTTGAATTTTAAGCTAAAAATCCGCAATTTTGCGTCAAATTCGATGATTCATCGCAAAAATTCAACAATTTTCCAATTTTGAACGTGCGTTTCGCCTCAAAAAATTGTCGTCGGCGCTCCCGACGCAAACAGTTTGCGAATCGCCTTCAAATCTCGCGACGACGCGGCCCACGATAATCATCAAAATGCCCTCAATTTCGACTCGGCAAAAATTTGGAGAAAAATGAAAGAAGAAAGAAGAAAGAAGATGGAAATCTCGAGATTCTCGCCGCGAATCGACGTTTCACAGGTCAAACCATCGCCGATTTTCTTGATCAAATATTAAATCGCAAAAAAAATTTATTTCCATTGGTTGTCTAAAATTCAAAATTTCTCGATTGCCATCAATTTTGCAAATTTTTCTTTTGAGAAAATTCCGTGCCAACACGTGACGCACAAATGCAGAAAAACATTTTTTTGAACCGAAATTCTTTTAAATAATCAATTTCGAAAAAAAAAGAACTTTTTTTCTACTGTAGTTGGGTCTCGCAACATGAGTGTCGATTTACGAGCGCTAGGCACTTATTGACCGCGTGTCGACGGGTCTTATTGCGAAACTACCGTAATCCAATTTTTTGGAAATGTAAAAAAAAGTTAAAATTTAGCCAATTTTTAAGGTAGCTTTTTTTCGACGCGTAGAAACAAGATGTGAACTGTCGTCAAATAAAGTGCACAAGTCCGCAATAAATTCAATTTCACATTTTTTTTTTGAGATTCCTGGCCTCTCTGAGACGTTGGAACTTTAAAAATTAAGATGACTAAGTGAATTGTCGTCAAATCAAGTGCACAAGTCCGCAATGCCATTTTTTAGCTTCAATTCGAAATTAATAATGCATTTTTATTACCTAACAGACCTGACAAACAATTTCAAAGTGAATCATAAATAAGCGTGTGGCTTGTTTACACCAAATGCACCTTAATCGACGACTATTTGAAAATCGTCAATTTTTGGTGTTTCGATGTCTCAAGTTCAAATCATTGCGGACTTGTGCATTTGAATTGACGACAATTCACACATTCATCCCTTTTTTCAACAATATTTGAATGATTCTGACAAGGTCTCCCCCCCCCCTTTAAAATCAACAAGATTTCTCCAATGCCCATATATTTTATAGTGTGACTTTTCGGCGCGGCTTCGATTTGAAAAAAAAAACACACACACAACAACGCGCAGAAAAAATTGGCCTTGAAACCGCCGTCGTTTGTGTTTGTCATCGAATTCGTCGTCGACGACGATACGCAATCAAATTCGGGTTATTGTTTTGCGTCCCGAAGAGCGCGCAAAAAAAATTTAAAGGCGCATGACGACGGATTGTTTCAAAATTTTATGACCAACAAAGCAAATTTTCAATTTTCGGGATTTTCTCTTCAAAAAACGAAAAACCGCAAAAATTCATTCGACTCGAAATTTTTAAGCGTCGAGTTTTCAGCGAAAATCACAACAATTTCTGAAGGCGATGCGAATTTTCACCATCGATTTTCGAGTTTTCAGCGAATTCCTCAAAATTGTCGGCATTTTTCCCAAAGAAAATCGAAATATTTTCAGCAAAACATTTTTTTGAAGTGGAAACTTCTGAATGCCGCATTTTTATTTCCCACAAAAACCGGAATTCAATGGGGTAATTTCAAAATTTGCTTCTTTTTGACGATTCTCGATCAAAAATAATTCATATTTTTTGAAAAAAATTTCCCAAAATTCGGAATTTCTCAAAAAAAATCGCAAATTTGTCTCATTAATCAAGATTGTTTTCAAAATCGGCGGGGGAAGGAATTTCGCCGAACAAAAATGGAAACAATTTCAATTTTCGTCCATATTTTACTTTCTTTTCTTTGGTCGGGACCCAGTTTAGTTTAAAAATCAAAAATTTCTGAATTTTTGCGAATTCGAAGCAAAAATGCGAATTTTTAGCTTAAAATTTAAAAATCCCAGAATTTTTGCGATTAGACATTAAATTTGACGCAAAATTGCGGATTTTTATTTTAAAAATCAAAAATCCCAGAATTTTTGCGATAAATCATCAAATTTGACGAAAAATTGCAGATTTTTATTTTTAAATTCAAAAATCCCAGAATTTTTGCGATAAATCATCAAATTTGACGCAAAATTGCGGATTTTTATTTTAAAAATCAAAAATTTCTGAATTTTTGTGATAAATCATCAAATTTGACGCAAAAATGCGAATTTTTAGCTTAAAATTCGAAAATCCCAGAATTTTTGCGATTAGACATTAAATTTGACGCAAAAATGCGGATTTTCATTTTATAAATCAAAAATCCCGGAATTTTTACGAAAAATCATCAAATTTGACGCAAAATTGCGGATTTTTATTTTAAAAATCAAAAATTTCTGAATTTTAGCGATAACTCATCAAATTCGACGCAAAAATGCGAATTTTTAGCTTAAAATTCAAAAACTCGTCTCACCCGATTCGATCTTTCAATCCCGTCAAAATGTCCATGAGCTTCTTCTTCGTGTTCGCCGCCAGTCGTCCGTGCACATCGCAGACGAACGATCGCCGACCGTATCCATCCTCTTTTCGGCACTGTTCGGTCTCATCGAGGAACGTCGAGCAAACCGTCTAAACGATATTCATTAATCAAATTCATTGTGGTGGGGAATTCCGCGGACGAGAAGCCGGGACCCAAGAATGAAAAGCGCAGAGGGGCTTTCAAATTTTGATGATCATTTTCGATTTGACTGGACGAAATTTTTTTTCAAAAAATTATTGGCTATGTGCCAATGCGACTCAACGTACGCGAGATTGCGTACATTGCATTATAGCCTACGCGCATTAGTTAACGATCAATTTGAATTCACCTTGATTTCGCGAATTTGAAGGTCCCGCCTAGACATCAAAGGCGCATGACGAAATTTTGTTCGATTTCGCGCTAAAACCCAAAAATGGCTAACGCGTTTTGATTATTCAAATTTGTCTGTCTTCGACAATTTGAGAAACACACTCAAATACTTCTATATAGTTCGCGTAATTACCACGACCGCGTTCAGGTTTTTCGAAGCCCTCAAAAAAAATTTGCATGTGCGCCTTTAACCGTAGCGAGTACGAACAAGCCGACTAAGCTAAGCTTCAATTGTTTCTATTGTCATTAAAGGGGCATATTCAAAATTTTTTTTCGATGAGTCTCGCGGCGATTTAATAGAACAGTGTGGAAATTGAAACCTATCGCTTATAAATAGTGAAGTTCGAAGTCACAACTCATTTTTTAAAAACACTTTTCGTGCAAGCCATTTTTAGACCAAAACTGAAAAAGGGGGGTTCTAGGGGGTCCGAAAGTCTCCCTAGAAATTCCGCAACTCGCTAGCGCCTCATCAGCGGACATCGTTCGAGTCCACTACTTCACAACCAATTTGCCATCGTTTTGAATTGTCAATTCGCGATTCGTACTATTACTACCACCTACTATTAAACCATTCCCCCCTCAATTGTAAACCGCGAAAACGAAAGTCGCTCTTGTTTTGCTTGCTGATGAACAAGGTGGCCGAATTCCAGAAACGGGTTTTTTCTGGTCTCTCGCTATTCTTGATAGTGATAACCACGAAAAAAAAAACACAATTGTTCGCGAATTTTAGGGACCATTGAAAATATTAATGGGCAGAAAAAAAACATAAATTTGTATTTTTTTTCGCGTGGAGTCATGCGCCTTTAAAAGAATGACAAACCTGTTTTACGAATAACAATGATACAAATAATAGTAATAATAGCGATATCCGCATAATTGGTGCACCGAAGGTAAGTGGTGGCAACACGAATGATCGGCTAGAGAGAACAACACACACAATCGGGTGATGTGTGTATGACCACGCCTTCAACAACAACACAGAAGACGACGACGAGGGGAAGCCGAATAAAAAAGGCGGGCGAAATACACCGCGCGTCGGGCGTGTTGGTTGACGAATATCAAGGTTAAAGGGGCATTCCTCCTCCTACCCCCCTTCAACGACGAAGATTGATTGATTTGAATGAATCAGTGTGATGGTGACGGCTCATTCGATTTATTTCGAGGTTAACTGCCTTGTGCGGAACACCGTTTCGGGTTTTGTGATATCGATGGGGGGCCATTTGAGCGAGCAGACAGCTGAAAATTAATTTTTGGGTTTTCTTTTTGATGATTTTGAGCTTTGGAAATTGGGGGTCTAAAATGCGAAATGAAAAACAAAATTATCGAGATTTATTGAGAAAACTAAACGTTTTTCTTTTTTTGATTTTCAAATTTATTGACACGAAATAATTTCGAATTTGCTCTTATAACACTTTAAAAAGAGTTTTCGAGTTTTAGAAAATATTAATATTTCTCAAAATATTTTATTTTATTCGCACTATTTTATCTTGGGACAATTTTGACCAAAAATTGCAAGTTTTTGAATTGATTTATTTCGCCAAAATTGGTCATTTAAAAAATCCAAATTTAAATGGCAATTTTCCAACGCAAAAACTACCTCGTTTAGGCAATTTTCCTCGAATTCTGGTTCGATTCTTCATCGGGATCAATCCAATCATTTTTCGTGTCCGATTTTCCGAAAGAACAACAGTTTAATTGAATTTCCGGGGCCAATAAAAGTACCTAAATTGGCCATCAATTAGGCGAGCGTCTGGAGAAAACCCATTCGAACCCGCAATACAATCCATAATTGAATTAGTGGCTGAAAATTGGACAGTTTAAGATGATAATAAAGTTTGTTTGAAATATTTTTCTTTCAAAAAATGGATGATTTCCAAAAAGAACGAGGAAAATTGATGAAAATCGGCTAAAAAATGACGATTGAAATTAATTACAGTACGTTTATCACTACGAGACCTTACCACTATTGCGGTCTGCGCCTTTAATGTTACAGTAAGAAATATTTAGTTTCATTTGAAAAACTGTCATTTTACTACATTTTTGTCAGAATTTCCTAGTTTGAATTTTTCATAAATTACGTAATAAAACAAATTTCGGATGTTACACGCGATTATAATAATTATAATATATTTTTACGGCTTATATCGAATTTTCAAATAATTGTTGAAAAAATTACTACTAATATCAGTAATATTCTATAATTCCAAGCTAATTTTATTAAAATTCAAAATATCTATTAAAGTGTGGCCTTTGTGCATTTTTTATTAACAATTTTTCAAAAATTAATTTTTAGGTGTGATGTTATTAATAAAACATCATTTGCGCCTTTAAATCATGATACTGTATTTTTTTAAAGTTCGAAATCTCCCAACTTTGCAGTTTTTCACCGTTTTTCGCAATTTTCCGCGTTTATCGATGTCAGGTTATTTTTTAAAGCAAAAAAAAAAATTAAAATGTCATTTTTATAGTATAATCACGTTGAAATTGTTTAAATTCAAGTAAAATCTGTTATTTAAAAAAATTCAAATTTTTACTCAAAAAATTTCCCAAAAATATCCATCATATATTTTTTTAATTGTAAAAATTAAAAAAAAAAACCGTGTTGTTTGCAGGATCCTCGAAAAAACTAGCAAAAGAAGAAACGTGAAGGCCGTCTGGTACGTTGAAATGCACCTTCAAATATGGTCCCAAGGCGAATTGTATTATAAAAACGAGAGTGTTGCTTTTTCTTTTTTGAAAATCGCCACAAACCCAAATTTCGAGCCCAACAATCGAATAATTAATAGAAATTTGTCATTATTTTTGCGTTTCGTTGCGAGACCCAAAAGCAGCTGGCGTTGAGGTGCAATTATGAAAGACGAAAGTGGTCAGGTGTCGCATTCTCGCTTATCGCGACCAGCTGCACACGGAATTAGCCGGCGTCGTTCATTGAAGGCCTCGATAATCCAGAGGTGGGCCGGCCGGCCGGCAGACGGCCTCGTCGGCGCAGGTAATTCCAATTGCCCATCATTTCCTACTCATTTTTTGCCCATCATTCTTCTCAATTCAAAATTTTCGTGGTCTCGCCGCGAAAAATTTATAAGGCTGTCGGGTCTCGTGTGGAAAACTAGCGATTCTCAAAATTGTTGGCGTTTGAGCGCCGAAACCGCTAATCAAAAATCGAATCCAATTTTTTTAAAGGCGCATTTAAAGGATCACACCTCCTCGCGAAGAATTTCTTCTCATATAGCGATATTCGTATCGCCTTATCAATTTGCTATTCGTTTTTTTCTTGTATTCACACTCGCCCCTCAAAAAAAACTTGATTTTTGGGTCAAAAGTGCGATGCAATATCGATGTGTATAGTTTTTCATAGCGCTTTTTCGTTGTGGGACCTGAATGAAAGAAACGAGTCGCGCTTCGAACCAACGAATTTTGCTAATTTCACAATTTGTTTCCAGTGGCGCGCAAACCCGTAAAATCGTCCGCAGCTGTAACAAACTTTTCTTTTTTTCTGCTGCTTCTCGATTTCTCAAAGTTTTGTTTTGTTCGATGCGATTTTTTGGGAACACAATTTTCGCGTCGGGACCTATGCGATGAATCAACGAAATCCTCGACTGGCAACGTTTCCTCTCGTTCCTCCACACTTCCCTGCCGCTTCCCCCCCAATCATATTGCTTTGTGATATATAAATTTTTTGCGCATTGTTCGGATTTTTAAAAATTCAAAAAAGCGAGGCAAAACTTCGAAATTGCGCATTTTTTCTTTAGAAAATTCGATTTTTCCTCTTATTGATTTTGAAAAACTCGCCTACACCCTGCGAAATATATTTCTCATCAAAACATCGCCAATATCTTCGCCAATTTGTACCCCTCTAACACCACGTTTTTAATTTTTTGCCTGCGTCTCCACTAAACCCGGATTTCTTTCAAATCGTGCGCATTTTGAGATAATTTCGCCGATTTCTCACATTTTTTTGCCGATTTTCAGAATTTCTACGCATTTTTTTCCAAAAAAAAAAATGGGAAATTGAAGGTTTTAACCTAATATTTGCCGCCTTGCTTGGTCCGATTTCAATTTTCAAAAATTTTTTTTTCCGAGCTTTTCCCCAAAAATCGATTATTCTTCCATGTTTTTGGTCGAAATCTTAGTTTTTGCCAACAAGAAAACATGAAAATTCGATGGTCCGAAAATTCGCATCCGCCGTTGGTGGCCGCGAATTTCGCACTGCGGACAACTTCGGCCATTCGCAAAATTTGAATTTGAGCGCCAACGTTTTTTTTTGTTTGTGATCCCGCCGCCGCCGCAACGCACATATTTGTCGATTTGAGCCTTTCTTCTCGATTTTCCACACGAGACCCATTCTTTTTTGAGACGAGGATTAATTGGAATTATATTGAATTTCTTGCGAAATTTCAGAAAAGAAAATTGGCCTAAAAATTGATTTTTCTCGATTTTATAATTGATTTTTGTGGTCCCAATTTTCCATTTATAAGACCCCCCTCTGACGCTATGATATTTTTGACGGACCTCCGAAATTCTCGTTGGTCCGTTGTGTTGACTCCCGTTTGAAAATGGTTCCTTGCCACTTTTTTTTGGGTGGTCCCGGGACCCTTGAAGGGTTCTTTATTCGATTAAAATTTGCGCATTTTCATTTTTTTTTTTGAAATTTCGATTTTGTGCCTCGAAAATTCCCGAAATCCACTTTTTCTCAAAAAAAGGTCCCACTTTTTTTTGGGGGCCACATTTTTGTCCCCCATTTTGCCATTCAAATTTGTTTGACTCATTCATTACACACCGCGCTCGTTCTTCTCATTTCTTTTTTTGGGTCGAACAAAAAAGAAATTCGAATTTGACGATTTTCTTTAAGCTAACCCGTTTGAGCAAACGCGCTCTGTTGCGAAATTTGTGACCTGAGAAAAAAAAATTTTGAATTTCTTTGGTGATTTTTGAGCATTTTTTTCAATTTTAAGATCCAAAAACATTGAATTTCAGCTGGAATGATAGTCGAACGCAAGCGCGATGCAGTTTTGCCGTAAGTTTGGTGTCATTTTAAGCTTTTTTAAGTCTAGATTTTATTTTTTATAGACCTAATTTAAGGTAATTTTGTGTAATTATTTAAAAAAATTGGTGGCAAAATCGAATCCAATTTTCGAAAAACTGATAATTGTCCTTCAGAAACCCGCATGCCGTTTTGTTTCGTCGGAAATTTTTCCGGTTTGCCGATCGAACGGATCGCGATCAATTTAGGCAAGAAATCGATGCTTTCGGGCGATTTTTGTTTTTTTTTCTGTCGATTCTCAAGAATTGCCGATTTCAGCGCCATCGCTAGCGAATTTGTCGACGAATTTCGATTTCATCTATTCGAAAAATTTTTGAGGTGAGCACGGTTGAAAATTTTCCAATATTTTTTTTGGTTTCTCCTGGAACCTGACGAAAAAAATTTAGAATTTCGCAAAAAAATGCTTTAAAATTTAGCATTTTTTTGTAATAAAATGAATAATGGACCACGAAAATCCCGAAGTGTTCGTTTTTTGCCTAAAAATTGTCAAAAATTTGACAAAATTACGGTAGGCGAAAGAGTGTATTGGATGGAGAGACGCAGACACCCGCCAACTGCAAAATGGGATTTAAAGGCGCATGACGATGTCGATTCTTTGCAGCAACTACAATTCGATGCTATTGAATGGAAGCGCGCGATTCGCGCCCAAATATACCCCGTGTTATGTGAGTTTGTTGTTGTTGTTTATTCATTTTTCTCGGGACCATCGAAATTTGCCATCGTGTGTTTCAGAGGCAATGCAAAAATCCGAATCGGCGACCGAAAAGCGGCGACGAGAATCGCGCGTTCGCTTTGGAAAACGAGCGACGCGTCTATTCGCGCGACGAATTCGAAAAGAAATATGAGATACTCGATTTCGACGGCGATGGAAATGTCGTTGTTGATGTGAGTTCGTTTTTGGTTTTTTTTCCCCCGCGACAAAATTCCATGAAGCGAAAAACAATTTCAGTGGTCCCATCGCGAAACTGAAGGGGTAGATTTACGGACTATAGCCAATTTTTCGCTGTTCCATGCCATTTCACAGAAAAATTTTCAACTGTTTTGAGGACCAATTAAAGGTTGGGCAGTGGAAATTCGGAAATCCCATTTGCAAAGCGAAGCGGCTCTGAATTTTTGCCGAGATTGTCGCTGTGATGATTGGAATCGGTTCGGACCACGATAATCCCAACCATCATCCCATTATTCCTTCTCAACAACAATCGAGCCTTTTTGTTGAAAAATAAAACGCTTGAAAAAGAAAAGCAAAAAGAGCATTTAAAGGAGCATGTTGTTTGGTATCCAAAATATTCTTGATTGGGGCGCGAATACGGTAGAATGAAGAATCAAATATTATTTTAGAAAACTTTGATAGTAATTTCGTTTCGGATTTGCGTTCAAGAGATTGTTATTTGAGCTTCTAAAATATTTCCTGAAATTCTTGAAATTTCATCGCTGAAATTTGCCGAATTTCTCCCATTTTTTTTATTGCAGAGGAGAAAAACGCGAGGCGGCCAACAATTGGTGCAATACGCCGAATTGGTGACGCCAATGATCGCGATTCGACGAAAAGAGAACGCGGGCGACGTCGTCGATGAGCTTCACGAGCCGATCGTCGAGCACTATCCCGTCAAAGACATCGACGTTCGTTTTTCGATTTCTAGAAGAGATCAACACCGAGAATTTTGTAGGCGCTCGATGAGCTCGACCGCAACGCGACACTCGACGCGAACTATCGCGAATTGTCGTATGTCGCCGACGGCGCGACAATCGAATTGCAATTGCCGATGAGAGGCCGAAGCGGCGGTGAAAACGACGTGGTGATGATGTCGTTGAGCGAGTTTGGCGACAAATTTGGTGTGTTGGGGCGTACGCCCGATGGAAACTATATAGTCAGGGTTCGTTTTTTTTTTGTTTTGTAATTCCAAAAATTCCCCAAAAATGGTTAATTTTCTTCGCCTTTGTTTTTTTTTTTCTCTCAACAAAATTGAAAAGGTCCCTAGTATCAAATATATTTTTGATGTTACAAAAAAATTTGAAAAAAGAAATCTTGAGAGGTTTCGCACCGAATTAATGAAAATTTTACGAAAAACCAAATTTTTTGAGCTTTCTCCCAAAAAATTAAGATTTTTTTCATGCAGAACCCTTATCATATTCGAGAGCCGAGAGTTGAGAAAAATGAAACGCTGATGTTCGCGAAGATTGGACAAGTTGTGATTCCGACGAATGTCATCAATACGACGAATGGATATCTAACTGTCGACGAGAAATATCGAGTCGATTATCGATCGAACGCCTCGGTGAGAATTTTGGGCTAATTTTAAAGGCGCTTTTGCTATTGTGATTTTCAGACATCGATTGAACGATTATTGGAGCCGGATTACCGAGAGGTTCGTGTTTTTTTTTTGAGAGTCTGGGAAATTTGATGAATTTCAGAGAAAACCGTACGTGAACCCGTTTTTTCACAAGCAGCTACGCGATCAAATCGTGCCGTTCAAATATGATGAGAGGGTGATGCGAAAATTGCGAGCCGAGGTTGGCATTTTGAATTTTTCGGCGCAAAAACCAAGCCGAAAGCCAACAATTTTTTATCCAATGTGCTTCTCGTCGGATTGATGAGATTTTTATTGTCGGAGTCAAACGACTTGACGAAATTGAAGAAAAAATTGATTGGCTATGTGCCAATGCGTCTCGAAGCAGCGAGAAGTACGCGAGACTGCGTATATTGCATTTTAGCATATGCGCATTTAATATTCAGAAGGCCCCGCCTCCTTTCAGTTGCTTGACGCCGACAATATTTTTATTTAAAAAAAAAACAGGACCCTCCTCTCCGTCTCCCTCCAAATTTGAATTGCCGCGCATCGAGTGTGGAGTTGAGTGTGTATTCCCGAGAAACGTCCGCAGATGGCTGCAATGAAATTTCAGTTTGTAAGATTTCAAGTGGCAGGGCTTCCCCCGGGGGGGGGGGAACTTCATTTTGACCATCCTGAATACCGAACTTTTTCGGATTACTTACTTACTTAGTCGGTTCATCCTTCGCCTGTTGAGATGCACCACAGCTTTTTTTTATGTTAATGATGCCAAATTTTAAGCTATCGAGATACGGACCATCAAAGTTGTAGGTCCCGTCCTCTTGAATTTCCACAAAAATTTTTTCCTCTTGCTTATTGTGAAAAAAAAATTGACGATTTTAAGAAAGAAAAAAAGAAATTTTGCTGCAGAACAATTGGGAATACGTTTGTATGCTTCGAAACGAGAAGGCGACGATTACGAGCGATGGGAAAAGCCGCGGATGCTGGAAATTTTTGAAGGTCGGCGAAACGAAATTCGCACATCCGCCGCAATATCTTGACGTACGATTCTCTTCTTCTTCTTCTTTTTTTCATTTTTTAAGAGTGATATTTTTTTTCAGCGCGAAAATGCGCCGCCGGGCTATAATTATGAAGAAGAGACATTTGCGGAAGACGCGACTCGGGTAGGGGGTTCATCGCAATCGTTTTGTCGACAATTTTAAAGGCGCATTTTTCAGGCATCGAAAAAAGTGAAACGATCGAAATATCTCGGTATAACGCAATTGTTTTCGATTTTGAAAATGTTCGATAATGTTTAGAGGAAAAAGGCGAATTTGAGCTATCGAATGTCGCGATGATCGTGTCGGAAGTTGAGAAGCTTCGACTCGTCGAGATTCCCGACGGCGTCGATCGTGTCACACTCAAAAAGATTCAGGTTTGGGCGGCGTTTTGGTTTGACTCGAAACCAATCGGATCCGATCCGATTGGAAATTCTAAGATTGTAAAATTGTCGGATCCGATTGGAGTTTTTTTTTGGATAGGTTTGATTCCGGAGCCAAATTTCGTCGGACCCAATTGGTTTTTTGAGTTATCAGCGTTGCGACGCGAAAATTTCAAAAATTTTAACTATTGCATATTTAGATATGTTTGATACGCAGCCAAATCAAAATTTAAGCTCCGCCCCCCCCCATCCTTAAAAATCGGGCTTCTTGACCGACCAGACGATCATTTTTTTCAATTTCAGATTCCCGCTGGCACCACTCTCACCGTTGAGAAGAAAACGGACAACGAGGCGGATGATAGCCATGTAAGTATTACTGTAGGTTTACTGTACTTCTAGGAGAAGCTCAAGAGTGAGAAGGAAGGTCTGTGAAAAACTTGCCTTTTTTTCATCTCTTCACACGGTTTTTGGTTGGAAATCAGTTTTTCTGAAAAATTGGAGCGAAATTGAAATATATTCACGATTAAATGTCATTTTCGTGAAAAGGAAAATGAAAGTTTTCGATTTTTTTTTTCATATTCGCTCAGAAATTAATTATTTGTGATATTTAGGACATTTCGAAGATTGTTGTTGGCCGTCAAATGGTGAGAATATTTGATTTTTTTTGATCTACCTAAATTTTCGTCCATTTTTAGATGATCGTTGGTCCAAAAGCTGAAGAGAATATTGAGGTTGGAATTTTTTTTTGTTTGCTTTTTTCGGACCCTTATTAATCTGTGGTCGTTTAGATGAAAAAAGGAGAGAGAAAAGGGTCTCGAGCGGATTCGTTGAATGCGCAGGTAAGCTGTGCGCCTTTAATTGTGGTCTTGTGCCGGTGTCGAAATGAAATTTTCGGAGATCGCTTCAAATTTGAAAAGTGGCATAACATACGACGAAATGCGAATAATTTGAATTGCCGCTTTGGGTCTCGAAGGGAAAAATTGCTACTAGCGAGTATTTTTTTTTTTTGATGAATTTCAAATATTTTTCGACATAAACCTATTTTGCGGTTATTTTTTTGCGTGAATCGAAATTTTGGTATTAGAAAATTGAAAAATAATGATAAAATATAAATTTATAGCTTAAATTTCAGTGGATGCTCCTTGATAATGAAAATATTTTAGTATTTTAAAGCAAAATGAAGTTTTGAGGGGGAAAATTAAAAAAAACACTGGGATTTTGAGTTTTATCTTTCTTTCGAAAAATTTTAACCAAAAAAATGAATATTATATTTTTTGAATAATTCTTGATTTGATTTTTTTTCGAAAAAAAAAACATATTTGAAAATTTGAGCAAATAATGGCAATTAGTCGTGAAATTGGTGCTTTTTTTTTGAATTTCGCGCCAATTTTTGTGAAATTAATTGGAGAAAATTTTGGAAAATGAGATTTTTTGAGCGAAATTTTCCAGAAAATTTGATTTTTTTTTGTCAATTTAGAATTTTCCAATTGCTGCGTGCGCGGAAATTCGTGCGAATGAGACAGAAGCGATCGTGGAGCGACCCAATGGATGCCATTTGGATGAAGACGTCGGAAATGAGATTCAGGAGAACGATGATATTCGACCATCGACTAGCAGCCAAATCGACGAGGGCTCGGCGATTTCCAAGGGAATTGATATAAGAATTGTGCCATCGGAAGTGGATCCTCGAAGAAGATCCATGGGCCGAGCAGAAGCAGCACAACTGGAATTTGGATCAGTCAGAGAGATGACGGAGAAGAAGCGAGTAGGTCCAGTAGAAGTGGAAGCGAGAAGCACACAGGAATCAAGCGATGCGACGCCGCCATCGATTGGAAGAATCGGCAAACCGAAGCGGTTTGAAATTCCGGAATGTGGAATCGAAGGTGTGCTCGAAACGACTAGATCAATCGCTCGAGTGGATTTCAAGAATGCGGAAGCGTCTAGCCGAAAAATGAAGGCGTCAGCCATGAGTGGCGTCGGATTGGGAATCGACGACGTCCTCCTTCCGGCTGTCAAGCCAACGATGAGTCAAACGCCGTCGACAGTGATGAACGTGACGACGAGTGCGGAAGCGAGCAGCGACGATTCGAATGCCTACAATCATGCGCTCGGTTATATAATGGAAGTCGAAGTGCAACAAGAAGTGCAAGAATCGGCCGAGCCGAGCACCGATTCGATCATGCAAGCGGCGATGTCGAATGAGATTGTTGAAGCGCCGCTGGAGATCCCGCCGCCACCGCCACCGCCGCCAGTTAATCGCGAGTCTGAGCATGTATGTCATGTCTCATTTCAATTATTGTATTTATTTATTTATTTTTTTTGTTCTCCAGAATAATGTTGATGCGATGGAGCGAGTCGGCACGACGACGCGAGCCCAGCGACGAAAGGTGGGCGCCTTTAAATTTTGGGTCTCGTTGAGAGCACATTATCATTTTTTGTTTTGTTTCAGCAGCGAACACTTCAGGCGCATCAGAAGTATAATGTGACATATGTAAGTTGTGAGGATGGGGGGGGGAGGGTTTCAGAATCGCTGAAATCGCTGCTGCGAGAATCATGAAATGGAGTTATCATATGAAAACGTAATATAGTTGGCGTCCGGGTCGACTGCTGTAGATTTACGCGGATGCGCCTTGAAAAGGTCTCGCCACGCGTGATCGCTTATTTTGCTGTTTTCACGTGAACTGCTTCATTTTTCTTAATGAGTCTGGCATTTCTTGGAATTTCTAATGCCGTTCGATTAAAAAACTATCGAACCGACCCATAAAATTTGAAATAACCTGGTAGTCCTTGCGAGACCATTTCGAAAGTCGCATTCCCGTAAATCTACCCGCGTACAGCAGTCGCCGGACGCCAACTGGTGGTGTAAATCGACATCTATGAATGTTGTGAGACCCAACTTGAAATTTTGATTATCAATGTAGAATTTGAAAGAAAAATTTTGCGATTTTAATTTGCTGCCGAGATTGTGGTACTATAAGGGGGGTTGGGGGCATATCGCGAAGATTTTGCAAAAAAACGATTTTAGGAGAAAATTGTGACGACGGCGAGGCTTGATAGCCGAACAGAGGTGTTCATCGATCGAGACGACGTCAATCCGTTCTTCGAGCAATTCTCTATAACGCCACCAGCCGCCGGCACATTGGTGAGATGAAGCTGGGAGATTTGCGCGATTTCGGACCTTGTTTTTTTTTCTTGCAGACGCCACCACCGCCCGATTATCAGCACATGATGATTGTCAGTGGTATGGGCCGGCCGAAGAGTATGGAATCGGCGACGATTGATGCGAATCGACGCGCCGATGAGCCGAATGCGTCGCATCGATCGGAAGCGCGCGAGACAGCAGGTAATGGATAGGCGATCAGCTCGCGCTCAAACATCACAAATCAATTTTTCGACGCCGAATCGCGTAATGCTATAATTGAATTAGAATCTAGGCCGGCGACGAATCCGACCGATCGGCAGCATCGCGTGCGCGCCGTCGAAATCAAAATCGAGGAGTTCGAGTTGGCGAAGGCGTCGAACGAGGCGCGGCTGGCGGTCGACGATGATCGGATACTGAGCGCCAACGTCGTCGAATCGTTTCGTGGTGACGGCGATGAGTCGGTCGTCGTGCCGATTCCGATTCGACCGAAGAAGGCGGCGGTTCGGGCGTCGTCTCCAAAGGTAAGCATTTTTTTTTTTCTTTGGAATTCAATTGTTTCGTTTTAGAAGCCATTGATTCGCGAGAATGATGCGAATGCATCGACGAGCAATGGCGTTCGGTGCGTCGAAGACGAATTGCTGGTAGGTGTGACGTTTGGGGGGCCGGGGGTTGCAAATGCGCTCTATTGATATGATCTTCTTCTTCTTATTTTTTTTGAGGAGCAGCAACAATTTAATGCGGCATTGGAGGCGTCGTTGCGAATCGGTGACGAGGTAATTTTTCGCTTTTTTTTTGAAATGCGATTTTTCTCGAGACAAACGCGCTCTATTGCGAAACGAATGAGGTGCTCTTCAATAATTGATCGAGACACGTTTAGATCGGCAGAGAGAAACCAGTGGAATTTTGGCTCGCGATCGAGAATGGTAATGAGCCGATTGAGGACAACAATATTGGATTGATTGATGTATGGAAAACGCGCTCCATTGCACCGGTAGATCATTTTTTTTCTTTTTCAGGAGCAGGATCCACTTTTGAGCTTGGCCATCGAGGAGTCGCTGAAGGATCAGAGGAGACGCAATGAGGGAGAAGCGGTAAGCGCCAAAATTTTTTGAATTTTTTGAGCAAATGCGCTCCATTGTCAACCGCCAAATTTCAAATCTTTCATTTTCAGAGTCGAGGCTCAGAACAGCGAGATGTTGATGAGCCGGAAGGAAATCACACGAATAGTTTGGTAGGTTTGACAACAAATGCGCTCTAATGCGAACAATTTTAATAAATTTTCTATGTCACAATATCGTTATGTTGGATTAAGTGCGCTCCATCGCGAATTTTTGACCTACAGAAAAATTATGAAAAAATTTGAATGTCGAATGTCTCATATTTAGAGTGGAGACTCAGAACAACGAGATATTGAACAACATGAAGAAAATCAATCGAATAGCCAGAATTGTGTGGTAGGTTTGAAAGCAAATGCGCTCCAATGCGAACAATTTTACCTTCGATTAAATGCGCGCCGTATCGCACATTTTTGATCTATGTACATGCAAATACACGGTGTCATAAAATGTTGAAATTCGAGTATGGTGCGCTCTACCGCGAGAGATTTTCGATTTTTTCGAGCAAATGCGCTCCATTGATACCACACCGCCCACGCCTAATATGGAGTTTCTCATTTTCAGAGTCGAGACTCAGAACAAGGAAATATTGAAGAGAACGAAGGAAATGCCTTAAATGGTCACAATCAAGTGGTAGGTTTGAAAACAATCGCGCTCTAGTGCGAAACATTTTAATTTCGAATAAGTGCGCGCTCTGTCGCAAATTTTTGATCTACAAAAATATATAGAATGTCTCGTTTTTAGAGTCGAGACTCAGAACAACACGATATTGAAGAAAACGAAGGAAATCCGTCGAATTGTCAGAATCATATGGTAGGTTTGAAAGCAAACGCGCTCTAATGCAAAACTGCGAAAGTTGAAGCAATCACGCTCTATCGTAAACTATTTAAAATATCGTTAATTCTTGATCTATGCGCAAACAAAGTCTTAAAACTCAAGCAAGTGCGCTCTACCGCGAATGCTCATCAAATGTCGATTTAACCTTCTGTTTTAAGAACGCCGATGCCCCTGTCGATCCGTTGATGCGAGATGATGGTCCGATGGCGGAATCTGCGCAGAGCCCTGATATCGAGGTTGTGGTAGGTTCAATCTGGAATCGATCGCGCTCTATTGCGACACTATTTCAGTTTGAGGAGAAACTCGACGACTGCATCGAATTGGATGTGGCGTTGTTGTTGCAGCAACGACGTCAAGGATTTTCGGGCGTCCGATCGGCTGGCGGCGATGAGAGGACGGCGATAAGGCGATATTGCAATGTGGGCTCATTTTAGGTGTGAAAAAAGAACCGATAATTATTTTCCAGGTTCAATTCTACCGTGAGCCTTCGCCACAATCTCCAGAATCTACGTCGATGTCTGACCGCGACGCGCCGATCGCTGTTGAGGTTCGTTCGGGCATCTCTAATCGGAAAATTAAGAATTTCCCGTTTTTCTAGATGATTGAAGTTGTTGACGAAGAAGCTCGACGTTCGCAAAATCTGGAGACACCGGGAAATGAGCGAATTGCTGATCGAGAAGCAACGGTCGATAGGACAAGTGACGCTGTTGAGGAAGAAGCTCAACCATCTTGCTGCCGGAATCTGAAGACACCGGAGCCAGCCTCCGTCGAATTAGCAGAATACATTGATGACAACAAAGTTGTTGAGGGTGAAGCTCGACGAAATCAACGAGAACCGGAGCCTGAGCAAATTGCAGATGAAGAGGTTTCCGTCGAATCGATTGGAGAAGGCGCTTTGCCAATTGAAGACGATGAGGAAGAAGCAGGAGCCTGTTCACCTCGGAATCTGGAGACATCGAAAGGAATTGATGATCGAGAGCCTTCTGTTGGATCGATGGATAATGAGAATCTAGCAACTGACGTTGTTGACGAAGAAGCTCGACGTTTGCAAAATCTGGAGACACTGGAAAATGAGCGAATTGCTGATCGAGAAGCAACGGTCGATAGGACAAATGACGCTGTTGAGGAAGAAGCTCAACCATCTTGCTGCTGGAATCTGAAGACACCGGAACCGGAGCCAGATTCCGTCGAACTAGCAGAATGCAATGGTGACGACGAAGTTGTTGAGCGTGAAGCTCGACGAAATCAACGAGCGCCGGAGCCTGAGCAAATTCCTGATGAAGAGGTTTCCGTCGAATCGATTGGTGAAGGCGTTTCGCCAATTAGAGTCAATGAGGAAGAAGCAGGAGCCTGTTCACCTAGGAATCTGGAGACATCGAAAGGAATTGGTGATCGAGAGCCTTCTGTTGGATCGATGGATGATGAGGATCGAGCAACTGACGCTGTTGAGGAAGAAACTCAACAATCTCGTTGCCGGAATCTGAAGACATCAGAACCGGAGCCAGCTGAACTTGCAGAATGCATTGGTGACGACGAAGTTGTTGAGGATGAAGCTCGACGATCGCTTGTTGAGGGAGAAGCTGCCGCCGAACAATCGGAATTGATTGACGATGAGGTTCGGTCAAATGAAGGTGTTGGGGAGGAAGCAGCTCGAACACCGGAACCTGAGGAAGATATTTCCGTCGAATCGATTGGTGAAGGCGTTTCGCCAATTGAAGACGATGAGGAAGAAGCTGGAGCATCTGATGGAAGCGCTCTATCACAGCCATCTGAGATTGCGTGCGACGAATCGGAAGACGGTGAGGTATGATTCCACAAAATTATTGATAGATTTTTTCTTGTGATTGACTCAAATTTGGTCGAAAATCTGAATTCTAGAACACGACGATTCATGAAGTCGATGAGAGTCTGGAGCCGGAGACATTCTCACTCTATTTCGCCTACCGCCAACGGAATTCGTTCGATTTTTCGGAAGCGCTTAATTTGTTGGGACCGCCGTTCAACATCATCCGGCCGTTTCAGGTTGGCGATGAATTCAAAAAAAAAACGTATTCGATTGTTTTTTTGTGCAGAGAGAAATTCGAAAAATTCTCGATGAGAATTGTGTTGAGCGCGATCGTCTCGCCGCTTATTTGAAGAGTCTCATGGGCAAGGTGCGTTTCGAAACATTTCAAACGAGATTTTTGAGAAAATTGTCAATTTGAGCATTTTTTGAATCAAAAATTACAGATTTTTTGAAAATCGACCCCTAGATTTTGGTTTAGACAACTGTTTTTTGAGTTTTTCTCCAAAATATGAATGGTAGTAGCATAGGGCAACGCAGAAAAATGAAGAATCGAAGAAACTCGTGTTTTCGTTGCGAGACCCATCGAATAAATAAACTGCATGCGTCTTAAATTACCGTATCTTTGCATCATGCAGTTTAATTTTTAGGAATTTCGCTAATTTTTCGTTTGCGGTATTTTAAAACGCATTTTCTTTTATTTTTTTTTTTAATTTTATAATTTTGTCTCCAGGAGAAGTGCTTCTATTTGACGGACCATCAACGCGACTTCTATGAGCCGATCGCCGACAACATCATTTTTTCGAATGGCGAATGGAAGTTCGCGTTTCGCGACGAGATTTTCAGAAATTACACGAGTAATGCGCCTTTAAATTTATTGATTAATCGATCGAATTGGGGGTTTTTTTTGCAGAAGGATCATCGTTTGGCACATTCAAAACGCGAAATAGCGATGGTGTTGAGCAGGTGAGAAAATGAGCATTTCATATGTGTAAAAAAAATTTTTTTCGTGAAAATGACAAAGATTGTAATTTTTGTGTTGAATATAAAATGAAAATAAAAATAAATGCGCATATTTTTCGAAGTGAGACCCAATTTTCTGTAGTGAACAGAGCTGCACGGAATTCTGTCTTTCGTTTTCCATTTTCCGTAGAAAAAAATTGTTCCGTCTTCCGTGTTAGAAGACGGAACGCAAAAAAAGCGAATTTCAGTAAAAAAAAAAACGAAAATTCGAAAAAATGTTTTATTGATTTTTGTGTGTTATGGTAGCGGTAACTCTCACATTCTGCACTGTTAATTTTAAAGTATTCGGGTTGGATTAGGTTTTAATAAATTATTTTTAATATTACCAACAAGTCGTTCCGTGTTGCGTAGAAAAAAAATTTGTTCCGGATTCCGTTTTTAGAAAATTTAAGTTCCGTGCAGCTCCGGTAGCGAATCGCGTTTTCGAGACAAAATTGCGCTGGGTAGATAATTATGTGAAAATTTCGACAATTATTTTCTAGCCGTCGACATCGCAATCTGCTCAAACTTCAATCGAGACGACTGATAGGGTTCGTTGCAATGGGCGGCGCTTATCTGGATTACGATGTGTGTATTGATTTTTTAGGCTTCATCACGTGCTCAGAATCCGGCCGCCGAGACGTCAAGCGATCATAGGGTAGTTGGTGTTTTGACGACACTTTCAATGGGTTCTCATCATCGTTTTTTAGGCGACGTCATCTGCGCGAGAATCGACGCTGACAAGCTCGAAAGATCAGGTTGGTTTTAGAACTTGTGTTACCGTAATCCAAAAAAAATGCTTCTAGATAACCCGAGATAACACGTCTTGCCATCAAGAGAATTCTGAAGGGTCCGATTCGAGTTTATTGCCGGCACAGAGGCGATTGCGATCGGTTGGCCGACCGGAAACCTCCAACAACGTAAGAGTGTTGGTGTTTTGCAACCCAAAATTGGTCATATTACGATATTGCTGAAAAATGGGGGTTTTTAAGCTAGTTTCCAGTTTAGCTAAAAAAAAATCAACAATTTTCGTTTAAATTGAAATTGCTCGATATTTTCCATCAATTTTTTTTATTTGGATATTTGAAAATCCAATTTTGCTGATATTCGTTGTTGTTCTTCAGCTTACAGTACCCCGCATGCGGAGCCGATTACTGTAGTCTGTCTATATTTCGTTTCAGAGAACAGAATTCAAATTGCGATCGACGGGACACGTTGCCACACCGCCGCCGCTTCGTTTGCGAATGAATCGACCGAAGAAGAAGGTTGGGACATTATCCATGTTCCGGTGAACTGACGGGAACCATTTTTCAGGAATCACCCACTCGTTCACCAATAGCGCCAACGACGACACCACAACGAATGTTGGCGATTGTTGAAAATGCGGTTTGTCATTTTGTTGCTGGTTTTTTTTTTGGTTTTAAAGGCGCTTCGATTTTAGGACGTGTCGCCATTGAGATCGAGACGAAACGCCGATCGCACCGTCGAGTTGGTTAGTTTTTACTTTGAACTAGTGCTACCGTAATCGGGAAATGGGCGGAGCCAAACGAGATGCGCATGTTCCTTTAAACTCAATTTTAGGATCGCGAATCGACGCCTAGGAAGCGGACGCGATCGGCGATGCTGGAAGCGGCGAGCAATGAACAGGTAGAACTTGTGATACAGTATCCTTGAAAAGGGGCGGAGCTTTAATTTGTAGAGTGCCGCGACTTCGACTCCTAGAAAGCGAACGCGACCAATGATTAGGGGTACAGAAGAGGGCGAGGTTTGTTATTACAATCCGAAAAGTGGGCGAAGCTTCTTATGTGTGATTTGTAGGCGTCTTCGAATGTCGCTCGCCAATCATCGGTGTTGGCTTATCGATATGTGCCGATTGATGAGTCGGTTCAAGATCGTCGGAGGGATGAGACGCCTTCGACAGATCTGTCAGCGGATCCATCGAATTCGACACTAGCGCCATCATCGCTTCCTCCTGATGACGATGATCCTCCTCCTCAAGTACCACAGACGAGGCGATCGCGATCGACGGAACGCGACGAGAGTGTGACGCCATCGAGGAGGCGAACGAGATCGTCCACGCAGGTTTACCATAAGACGGTAATCTTTAAGTGAAGAGATGGAGTCATTTGTATTGTCTGATGTTGTAGGCGTCATCGTCGTCGTCGTCTTCATCCTCATCTTCTCGCGCTCCACCTTCACCGTCATCGCGCCGTCGTGCGAGATGGAGAAATCGCGATTCGGCGTCAATCACGCCGCCGGCAATGACATGGTCGAGCAATTCCGAAATGGTATTTTCATCTAGCCACCCAGTTGAAGCTCTAGTGTTACCGTAATCTTTTTTGTAGGTTTCGACGACACCCTCGCGACCGCCACTTCCGCCGGCCTATGATCCGGCGTATGCTTATCGCACTCCGCCGATCAATGATCCTATTCACGATCGTCCATTATCGAGAATCGAGACTCCATCGCCGGATCTGTCGCCAACGAGACGAACACGATCATCACATGATGCGGTCTCGACACCATCGCGACCGCCTCTTCCGCCGGCCTATGATCCGGCGTATGCATCTCGTGCTCCGCCGATTGATGATCCACCGCCGACGTCGCCAATTTCTCGGCCAATTGCGCCAACGACGCCAATTAGATGGACGAGACACGTTGAAATGGTTCGTGCGCACGATTTTTTTTTTAATTTTCTGACAAGACGACTCGTGATTTTCAGATTCGGACGACGACGCGACGATCCGCTGAAAGCGCTGAACACAATCGAGAATCGGTTAGTTGGAATCCGAGAAGCGGGGTGGAGTCATGATGACTATGCTCAGAGGAAGTTTTTTGTAGGGACCATCTCAGTCGACCACTCGACCAACTCCGAGGAAGCGAGCGCGATCGATGGATGCGAAAGAGGTTTTCTCCGAAGAACATTGGCGGAGTTTCTCATGTGTGATTTTAGAAGGCGTCATCGACGTCGTCGATTGTCGAGATGCCACCGGCGAGGCGAACACGATCGCGTTCAAGATCGGCGATTCGATTGGCCGATGATCATCGAACACCAATGATGCGAACGAGATCGATGGAGGTTTGCTATCGAAACCCGCAAAAAAAGGGTCGTGTCTTCATGTTGTGTGCTATTTTGAGGCGACGTCATCATCGGCTTCGACGACCTCGAAAAATCACTCGAAACGGCAGCGAATGTCGATGGAAATGGTTGGTGTGCGCTAGTTCATAAGCGGACGGAGCTTCATAAGACTACTACTCTACTCATTTTTTGTTTTTTCAGGTCGCCTCAATCCCCCGACGACAACTCCGATCGATGGATAGTGCAGGTGGCGTTGTTGAGCAGGTTGGTCTGAGGCAAAACTAGTGTTACCGTAACCCGGGCACGAGATTATCGTGAAAAACATACAAATGTGCAGGTCTCATCAAGAGCGCCAGCTTCACGCCAATCGAAAACGAGAAGAATGCGATCCAGCGATCAGGTTTGTATTTCTTTTTTCATTTAGAAAAATGGGCGGAGCCTAATTCGGATTACGGTAATTTTTTAAAATGTTCTTTTCAGCCATCTACTACTCCTTCGTCGTCTAGAGGTCGACCACCTAAGCAGCGAACATCAGTAGCACAGGTTGGTGGATTCGCGATGAGAACCTAAAAATGGGCGGAGCCTAATTCGGATTACGGTAATTTTTTTAAAATGTTCTTTTCAGCCATCTACGACTCCTTCGTCGTCTAGAGGTCGACCACCTAATCGGCGGACATCAGTAGCACAGGTTGGTGGATTCGCGATGAGAACCTAAAAATGGGCGGAGCCTAATTCGGATTACGGTAATTTTTTAAAATGTTCTTTTCAGTCATCTACTACTCCTTCGTCGTCTAGAGGTCGACCACCTAATCGGCGGACATCAGTAGCACAGGTTGGTGGATTCGCGATGAGAACCTAAAAATGGGCGGAGCCTAATTTGGATTACGGTAATTTTTTAAAATGTTCTTTTCAGCCATCTACTACTCCTTCGTCGTCTAGAGGTCGACCACCTAATCGGCGGAAATCAGTAGCACAGGTTGGTGGATTCGCGATGAGAACCTAAAAATGGGCGGAGCCTAATTTGGATTACGGTAATTTTTTAAAATTTTCTTTTCAGTCATCTACTACTCCTTCGTCGTCTAGAGGTCGACCACCTAATCGGCGGACATCAGTAGCACAGGTTGGTGGATTCGCGATGAGAACCTAAAAATGGGCGGAGCCTAATTTGGATTACGGTAATTTTTTAAAATGTTCTTTTCAGTCATCTACTACTCCTTCGTCGTCTAGAGGTCGACCACCTAAGCAGCGAACATCAGTAGCACAGGTTGGTGGATTCGCGATGAGAACCTAAAAATGGGCGGAGCCTAATTTGGATTACGGTAATTTTTTAAAATGTTCTTTTCAGCCATCTACGACTCCTTCGTCGTCTAGAGGTCGACCACCTAATCGGCGGACATCAGTAGCACAGGTTGGTGGATTCGCGATGAGAACCTAAAAATGGGCGGAGCCTAATTTGGATTACGGTAATTTTTTAAAATGTTCTTTTCAGCCATCTACTACTCCTTCGTCGTCTAGAGGTCGACCACCTAATCGGCGGAAATCAGTAGCACAGGTTGGTGGATTCGCGATGAGAACCTAAAAATGGGCGGAGCCTAATTTGGATTACGGTAATTTTTTAAAATGTTCTTTTCAGCCATCTACTACTCCTTCGTCGTCTAGAGGTCGACCACCTAAGCAGCGAACATCAGTAGCACAGGTTGGTGGATTCGCGATGAGAACCTAAAAATGGGCGGAGCCTAATTTGGATTACGGTAATTTTTTAAAATGTTCTTTTCAGTCATCTACTACTCCTTCGTCGTCGTCTAGAGGTCGACCACCTAATCAGCGGACATCAGTAGCACAGGTTGGTGGATTCGCGATGAGAACCTAAAAATGGGCGGAGCCTATTGTGCAATTTTGTAGGCGTCGTCATCTTCACGCCGGATGGATGGTTCGATTGCGATCAGCGCATCATCAGGTTGGTTGTAATTTGTTTCAAAATGGGCGGAGCTTAAAGGAGAAAGCTTCAAGGCGACGACGATTTCAATTTCAGAAGGCGACGTGCGGCAGATATGCGAGTAGACGCCAAAAATAGGAAATGTTTGAAGTTTTTTCTTCTTGATTTTGTTTTATTCGCAAATATGCGAGAATTTGAAGATTTCCCAGTGGGGAATAAATTTTTTCCACTCACTGTGCCATATTTCAATTGATTTCGATTAATTAATTAGCGATGTTGATTAATTTGAGAGTCTTGCGAAGAAAATAATTGTTTGCCGCCCCCCCCCCTTATGTGCCTTTAAACTAACCGTCTGGATTTTTTGTATTTTCGCTATATATATATATTATATTTGATTTATTGTGTTTTTCTCACTTTTAATTTTTTCTTTTTTTCGTGTTTTACACAAATTGCTCGCGAAATTCACTATTATGTGAGCTATGCCGTTTTTCGGCAGAGATTTCAAAAAGTCTAAAAATTTTGAGTCCAAATTTCAGTATTGTCGGTTTTCTCTTTTTTTGGTGGTGCAGTTTTTTACAATTTTCAAGTGAATCGTTTAGAATAGAAGGAAAATCAGCAATTTATATGATTTTTGATAATGCTACTAATTAATAATGTGTTCTGACGTCCTCAAGAGGGCAAATCTGAAAATTTTTGAAATCTCTGCCGAAAACGGTATAGCACACATGATGTGGGAATTTCGCGAAAAATTTGTGTGCAGAATTCGAAAAATTTCAAAAAAAAATTTCAGGTTGTTCCCTGTTCGCCACGCCCACCGTTTTATTCATGTTTCATTTTCGACCTACTCACCTCATAATTGCATGTATAAAAAATCAATAATGTCAAATGTTCGTGACGAGACCTTTGAAGTGCGTCTTTAAATTTCGAGAAGCATTGATTTATGAGATCGAATCGAATCACATTGGAAAAAAATCACATCATTCCATTTTAGGTAACAAAAAACAACATTGTGGGTCAAATGTCGCGAAGATTGATCTCCAATTTGGCGGTGACGTCCATCGTGCTCGCCGGTATCTCGCCGGAGAACACGATGAGATCGTCGATGGTGACCGACACGTGGCGAACACCGCGCTCCGGCGTCTTCCGATAGTTGTAGACGACGATTTTGGCGACGTACGTCGGCGCGTCGAACACGAAGAAGACGCGCGCGCAACGATTCGGCAGCAATGCCGTCAGCCACATGTGGCGCGCTCTGAAAATATCGAAATGCGCCCACCGGTGTGCGCCTTTAAATCGCTCTTCGGTTTTTTCAAGGCTGTTGGGTCTTGTGGCGACTATCAAAAAAAAGCATGTGCCTTTAAATCGCTCTTCGGTTTCTCAAGGCTGTTGGGTCTTGTGGCGATTATCAAAAAAAAGGCGTGCGCCTTTAAATCGCTCTTCGGTTTCTCAAGGCTGTTGGGTCTTGTGGCGATTATCAAAAAAAAGGCGTGCGCCTTTAAATCGCTCTTCGGTTTCTCAAGGCTGTTGGGTCTTGTGGCGATTATCATAAAAAAAAAGGCGTGCGCCTTTAAATCGCCGTGGTGGCTTCTCTCACGCAACTCGATGCGAATTTTGGCGAAAACTAGGATTTTCGGAATTTTCCAGGCTTGTGGCTCTTGTGGCGACTATAACAAAACACTGCGTGCGCCTTTAACTACCGTAACGAAATTTGATTTATAATAAAAAAATCTTTTTCGCGCTTTTCTTGGACCTTTGTGTTTAAAGGTGCATATCGCGTTTTTTCTTTGTTTTCAATTCGAAAATTGGTGTTTAAAGGCGCGTACGTGGTCTCGCAGCAATCGATTACGGTAGCGTCTCTTTTTCGCGAAAAAAACAAGATTTTCGACAAAATACCCAATTTCCCCCCTTTCGATGGTCCCAATCTTACTCGTCCGTATCGTTGATGCCATTGATCAAATTGTCCGACACGCGAAGATCGTTTTTGATCGACGGCAATATGTTGACGCTTTCGGGAAACGCGGCGAGATCTATCGAAAAGAAGAAAAAAAATTGATAATTATCTAATTGGCCAATTAAAGGGGGCGGGGCGTACATTTAAAAGAAAAAAATTCGACGATTTTTCGCGGCGGTGAAAAAAATGTGTGAATTGTCGTCAGATCAAGTGCACAAGTCCGCAATGATTTGACCACTCGAATCCTGCGAAAAAAAAATCAGTCGTCTAAAAGAATGCATTCGGTGTAGACACGCGAAAATGGCATTGCGGACTTGCGCACCTGATTTGACGACAATTCACACATTTTTTTCATCGCCGCGAAAAAAATGTTCAGGCGCTCGGTGTTTGTGGACTTTTTTAAATTTCGCAAATTCCTACATTTTTTGGATGCCAAAAATACATGCTAAAAATCATTGCGGACTTGTACACCTGATTTGAAGACAATTTAGAATCCAACCTCCCACCTCCCTTTAAACTCAAAAATCAATAACCCACTATGCAATTTGACATCGATCAATCGTCCGCGATCGTCGTACAACTCGACGCCGTTCAAACCGATGTAGTACTCGTCGCCCCACGTCGACAATAGGCGGAGTTGGAACACAACTGCAAATGTGTGCATTATTGCGTCAGGTGTGTTGCACACAAAAACAATTCGAATCCCGTCTCCCCCTTTAAACCACAAAAAAAAACAACTCTCTCACATCCGCCGATGGTCTTCGAGTGTGGTCTCGACGCGATCGGGTTGCCACCGCCGCCGACGAGAACGACGTCCTGCACGAAATCGAAATAGACGAAGCCGGTGGCTTTGCGCAACACGACGCCACCCAACGCCAATTTGCCGTTGGTGTAGACGTTGGCGAGTTTCGCGCCCGCGTACGACATCTCGAACGAAGCGTTGTAGTTCCAGAACGAGATGGCTGCAAAAAAAAATCGAAACAGTCATGTTTAAAGGCGCACTGTACCTTTGACGGTGATCGGACTCGCGAAGCTCAACACGATCGTCGGCGGCGCGTTCTTCTCACCGAAACCGCTCAGCCACATCTCGTCGGCGTTTCGCGTCAAATTTTTGCCGTTGAACAGCCTTCAACGAATTCAATATTGGGACCGCCGAGTCCCGCCCCCCCACCAACTTACTTTCGAATTCCGCTTGCGTCGCCGTCGGTGACGGTCGCTGTGAATTGGGTGTCGTCGACGATCTGATTGTTCTCGTCGATGATCTCGATGCCGGTGAGGCCGATCAGTCCGCGCATTCCCCAATTCGACAACAGCTCGATGTGAAGCACTGCAACCATTTTTTTTTGTTTTGAAATTCGCGCCGTGCGCCTTTAAATTTGGGTCCCGACACGAAATCGCAATATTGGATGCATGTGCCTTTAAATTTGGGTGTCGAGACGAAATACGCAATGCTCGAGACGATTGTCCAATTTCGCAGCGTGCCGCCTTTAAATTTGGGTCCCGACACGAAATCGGAATATCTAGAGACAATTTGAAAGCATGCGCCTTTAACTTTGGGTCCCGAGGTGAAATAAAAAATTTTGAGCCCAATTTCGCGATTTTGGAAGCATGTGCCTTTAAATTTGGGTCCCGACACGAAATCGGAAGATCTAGAGACAATTTGAAAGCATGCGCCTTTAAATTTGGGTCCCATGACGAAATGCAAAAAATTTGAGACAATATTTTTCGATTTAGAAGCATGCGCCTTTAATTTTAAGGTCCCGAGGCGAAATTTGCAGATTTTGAGGCGATTGTGAAAGCATGCGCCTTTGAATTTGGGTCCCGGGACGAAATCCGAAAATTTCGAAGCAATTTTTCTATTTCTGAGCCTAAATCTTGAAATTTTGGGTCCCGAGGCGAAATAAAAAATGTAAAGGCAAATTTCGCGATTTTAAAAGCATGTGCCTATAAATTTGGGTCCCGAGACGAAGTTGGAAAATTTCGAGACAATTTTGAGAGCGTGCGCCTTTAAAATTTGGAGTCGAGAGACGAAATCCGGTTGAATTCGCGTAAAAACTTGCCAAACGCGCTTCGCCATTTTTCATCGTTCCCCTCTCATGCGCCTTTAAAAACCCGCAACCAATTGGTCTTGAATGGAAAATGAAAGGGTTGTCGTTTTAAAGGCGCATAAAGGCTCCTCACATTTGACATCCTTGCCGCCCGAAGAAGCGCTCGACGGTCTCTCGGCCATCGTCGTCGTCATCGTCGTCGTCGCCGCGTCAGGCGTCAGAATCTCTTTGGTCTCCGACGTCGTCGGTCGATACGGCGTCAACTGATCGCCGACGTCCAATCCGACGACGGCGGCGGCGGCGGCGGCATTCGGCAACACCTCCGACGGCAGAAGGCACACGTCGTGTTCGGCGATCGCCTCGAGAATACGCTCGTCGGTGGTGAACAACACGGTGTCGCCCATTTGCGGCTCGAACTCCGAGTCGGCCGAAAACGCGCAATCGATTTCGCCGCGAAAAATGCACACGACGTCGTCGAGGAGAAGCTCGACGTGACGGACGCCGATTTGGGCGCGAACACGCGACGCGTTGTAATTCCAGAAGCGTATCATCGCGATTCGACATTTCGCCATCTCAATCGTTATTGTGATCGGCGTGTTGCCATTTTCTGCAAAAAAATCTTTTTTTTTTTCGTCCGTGGCCGCGAAATTTTCGGCCACGCCACCCACGGCCATCATATTTTTTTGCGAAATTTTTTCCAAAAAAATTATTTTTTTTTGAATTTTGCCGAATTCTATTCAAATTTTATTTAATAGATAAATAAAAATGGTTAAATTTTGAGATGAAATCTAAATTATTGCTGTTGTGATCATAGGAAATCGCAAAAACCATTTTTTTAACGATTCTTTCCATGCGGGGCCTAAAATGGAAGCGCTAGGATGCAAAAATGGCGTACGATTTCAGATTTTTTCAGATTTTTAAGAAATATCCGCAGAACAGGGGAGTATTGAGTCAAAATCAACGTATTATTGATATAATCCGCGTGAAACACACTTTCAGCGGGTTTCGAATTTTCTCGAAAAATTTTCTGGATCGCATAATTTTTTTCCCGGCAAGTCGCTTTTTTAAGGACCATTTTGCCAAAAATTTCGCAAAGAAAATTTGAGTGCGATGGAGCGCACTTGACACACTCGTTTTTGAAGATTTCAGATTTTTTATTGAATTCGCTAAAATTTAAGGAAAAAAATCGGGTTTGAGTTTTTTTTTCTCGAAGATTCTTAGAATTTGCTAAAAAAAAAATATGGTTTTTCATTTTGCGACAATAAGAAATCGCAAAAACCGCATTGAAGCGATTCTTTCCATGCGGGACCCAAAATGGAAGCCCTAGGATGCGTCGAAAACAAAAATAACACACGATTCCAATTTTCCTTTTTCAGATTTTCAAGCACAACTCACTTTAAAAAATGTTTTTTTCGTCCGTGGCCGCGAAATTTTCGGCCACGCCACCCACGGCTATCATATTTTTTTTGCGAAAAAAATACACATTACAGGGGAAAATTACTCAGAACTGGGGGGAAATTGAGTCAAAATCAACGTATTATTGATATAATCCGCGTGAAACACACTTTCAGCGGGTTTCGAATTTTCTCGAAAAATTTTCTGGATCGCATAATTTTTTTTCGGCAAGTCGCTTTTTTAAGGACCATTTTGCCAAAAATTTCGCAAAGAAAATTTGAGTGCGATGGAGCGCACTTGACACACTCGTTTTTGAAGATTTCAGATTTTTTATTGAATTCGCTAAAATTTAAGGATAAAAAAATTGGTTTTGAGTTTTTTTTTTTCGAGGATTCTTAGAATTCGCTAAAAAAAAATATGGTTTTTCATTTTGCGACAATAAGAAATCGCAAAAACCGCATTGAAGCGATTCTTTCCATGCGGGATCCAAAATGGAAGCTAACTCACTTTTTTAAATTTTCTTTTTTTCTATAGTTCGTTTTCCAATTTAAAATTAAAAAAAAAAACTATGCGGCTGTCAGAATTTTTCGCTGCGAGACCTCGACGCGATTAATCTCCTTTTTTGGACATTCAATTCATTCTTTTTTCAGATTTTTAAGAAATTCCCACAGATTGGGGCCAGATTGAGTCGAAATTTTTTTTTAAATAATTTTGCCGATTTCTTTTCAAACTTCATTTAATATGATTAAATTTTCAGATCAAATCAAAATTATTGCTGAAAAATACAAATTTTTCATATTAGGATCATAGGAAATCGCAAAAACCATTTTTTTAAAACTATTTTTCCATGTGGGACCTAAAATGGAAGCGCTAGGATGCAAAAATGACATACGATTTCAGATTTTTAAGAAATATCCACAGATCGGGGGGGGGGGAATTGAGCAAAAAACAACGTATTAATGATATAATTCGCGTGAAACACACTTTCAGCGGGTTTCGAATTTTCTCGAAAAATTTTCTGGATCGCATAATTTTTTTCCCGGCAAGTCGCTTTTTTAAGGACCATTTTGCCAAAAATTTTGCAAAGAAAATTTGAGTGCGATGGAGCGCACTTGACACACTCGTTTTTGAAGATTTCAGATTTTTTATTGAATTCGCTAAAATTTAAGGAAAAAAATCGGGTTTGAGTTTTTTTTTCTCAATGATTCTTAGAATTTGCTAAAAAAAATATGGTTTTTCATTTTGCGAAAATAAGAAATCGCAAAAACCGCATTGAAGCGATTCTTTCCATGCGGGGCCTAAAATGGAAGCGCTAGGATGCAAAAATGGCGTACGATTTCAGATTTTTCCAGATTTTTAAGATATATCCACAGAACAGTGGAGTATTGAGTATAGATCAACGTATTATTGATATAATTCGCGTGAAACACACTTTCAGCGGGTTTCGAATTTTCTCGAAAAATTTTCTGGATCGCATAATTTTTTTTTCGGCAAATCGCTTTTTAATGGTTCTTTTCAAAAAAGAACCATTTTGCCAAAAATTTCGCAAAAAAATGAGTGCGATGGAGCGCACTTGACACGCTTGTTCTTGAAAATTTCAGATTAAAAAAAAATTTTTCAGAAAATTTTTTTTTGAAAATTTCAGATTTTGACCATCGTATGCGCCTTTAAATAAGCTAATCGAGACAAATTATTGAATTTCAAAAAAAAATTGGAGATGAAATGCCGCAAAATTGGTGCGAACACCGTCACGCACAATTGCACACATTTCATTGGTCTCACCGCGATTATGCGTTATCATATTGGCGTTCCACATTTTCTGCGTATCCTTGCAAATCGGCACCTCGCTGAGCAGCGACTCGATGTTGCCGTCGACGTCGGTGGCGTTCGAATAGATTCGGCCGACGTTGGCCATCGTGCCGTCGTCGGTGAATATCTCGATCGAGTTGAGTCCGATGAGCGTCGGATCGCCCCAATTCGACAGCAAACGAATTGCGAGCTTCGAGCCGCACGGCAATTCCGGAATTTCGCTGAACAACGCTCTTTTTTTTTTTTGATTTTTTTTTTGTTTCAGATCGGATTGTTTTCTCCTTTTTTTTTTTTTTAAAATTGCATTTTTTGGTGCGTTTTTTTTATTTTTTCATCCAAAATTTTGATTTTTAGATTAAAATGTCAATTTCTAGCCAAAAATTTCATTTTCTTGACGAAATTTTCATCTTTAGATCAACGTTTTCAGTTTTAATTCAAAATTTTCATTTTTTGATCAAAATTTTCATTTTTTGATCAAAATTTTCATTTTTAGCTCAAAATTTTCATTTTTAGCTCAAAATGTTCATTTTTTCGTCAAAATTTTCATTTTTTTTGCCTAAATTTTCAAAAAAATCGATAATTTTCGGGAAAACCCTTAAAAACAAAAAAATCGAGGCTAAAAATGCGGCCAAAAAAGAAATGAATAATAATAAGAAGAAGAGAAACGAAACTAACATTGGCTGCAAATACAAATCGCCGTCGTCGGACATTCGAAAGTCGTAGGAATGACCAAATATGGGGGGGGGATTGAGGAGAAGCCGTTTGGCGACGGGTTGCCATGGCGATATTCGCCGCGAAAAATATGACAAAAGTAGATTTTGGCAAAAAAAATTTGATTTATTTTTTTTCTTACTCATTTTCCAATTTTGCGGTGGGAAAATCCATAATTTTTCTGGAAAAAAAAGCGGAAAAAAATTTTTTTTAATGATTTTTTCTTTTTTTTTTTTGATTTGCTCCTTTAAATCATCGAATGAATTACTATTTGAAATCTGCGAGTCGCTGCTCAGCGAGGATACGCAGACAGACAACAAATATTTTATTTTCAGAGAATGCCTTGTATGGAGGTGCCGCAAATCGAGATGGTCCGTATTATCGACACACAGATTTCCAGAAAATTTCAAAATTGGGATTTTTGACAAGATTTTACCGGCAAAAAAAATTGATTTGCAAAATTCAACCAAAATAATAAGAGAACAAAAAATGGTCCCTAAATTCCCCCCGTCGAAAATGGGTTTCACGTGAATTATAAAAATTCTTCAATTGACTTCACGTTTCAATAATCCTGGAAAATATCACCAAAAAAACCGAAAATTAGAATATTCTGAAAAAAAAGCCAAAAAATTTAAATTTTTCGTAAAAAACTGATGTTGAAAAATAGAAAAAGTGAAAATTTGCGCATTTTTTTTGCCAAAAATTATCGTGAAGGAATGCTTTTTAAAGAAAATGCAAAGAAACTTTCGAAAATTGAGATTTTCGCAAAAAATTACAAAACAATTCTCAAGGTGCCATTGATTATTCCCTAAATTTTTCACCCATTTCTGCGATTTCAGCTCGATTTTGACGTTGATGCAATTCAAAAAATCTATAAAATTGCTAAATTCGAATCTCGTTGAAACCATTCGCGACAATTTCCATTCAAAAACGCTCAACTTTATTCCCATTTGTGCAAAATCATAATGCACAAAATTGACGCCAGCAAAATCGAAAATCGCGTCAGTGTTGCGCGCGCATGACGCGTTTCGCGATTTATTTCTTTTTTTTTCATTTCTCACGCATTTCCACATCGATCGACCGAGAAAATCATGGAAATCGGCGACAACGCATCAGAAGCGACGCTCGATGAGACGAAATCGAAACCATGGAATATAAACGATCGCGAGGCGATCCTCGCGCGATTCTCGTTCGACGGAGACGAGCAATGCCAACCCGATGCGTGCGAATTCGAATTGTTCGTTTAATTTTTGCCACCCGAAAATTGATTCGATTCTATTTCTTTTCAGTTTACCCACTCTTAATTGTTTCGAGATTGTCAACTCGCTCGAGAGATTCATTGTCGGCTCGACGACCGAGAAGGCTTATAAGCGCCTCGACGAAGGCGTTCAGTCGAGTCGGCGAGCGCTCGAATCGTTGCTCGCGCGCAATGCCGGCACTTCGGACCACTCGTTGCCGGTTTGCTTCATTTCAATTCTCATTTTTTATTCGAAAATTATCCATTTTTTTTTTATTTCAGAGGGTCAACGAGGCGGTCATTAACAATAAAAGCTATACGTTGGATGCGAATGGTCGAGTTTGCCTCGTCAAAAACGACGATCGGAAGGGCGGTCGTGTGCAGGAGGTGAAATTTTCGACATTCTCTTGCAAAAAGAGCGCATTTGTCGCGAAAATGGGTTTTGTAGATTTACGGGCTCGCATTTTCGTGTCGAGACCTGGTTCATCGAAATTCTCCAAAGATTTTATCAAAATAGAGACGTTTTGAGGGAAAACTGAAATTTTAACTCGAATATTTCGAAATTTTTAGATGAAAATTGCGTTTAATCGATTTTCCCATGGAAAATTTTGCAATTTTGTTGAAAAAAACATTAATTGTCAATTTTCTGAAGCAAATTTTGAGATTTTGTCAAGAAATTCCAGAATTTTGAGGGAAATTGTTAATTTTCCTCAATTTTAGTCAGCAAAAAATGAAATTTCTAGAAAAGATTGAAATTTTGCCAAAAATTTCCGATTTAAAATGAAAAGTAAATTTAGAGCAATTATTTAGTTTAAAAAAAATCAAAATTTTGAAAAAAAAATGAAATTTTATCAGGAAAATCCAAAAAAAAATGGAAAATTTTAGCCAAATTTTGGCTTTTTTTGTGTTTAAAGAAATAAAAAAGCAAATTTTGGGTTTTTTCTTTGTTATAAAAATCTTTGCGCAATTTTTGGTTTAAAAAATTCAAATTTCCGAAAAATTGTGAAATTTTATAAGAAAATTCCAAAAAAATGGGAAATTTCAGCCAAATTTTGGTTTTTTTTTTGTTGAAAAAATATTATTTGTTTAATTAACGCGAGTTTTGGTTTAAAAAATCTAAATTGTAAAATTTTATGAGGAAATTCCAGGAAAAATGGAAAATTTTAGCCACATTTTTTTTAAAGCAAGTTTTGCGCAATTTTTGGTTGAAGAATCAAAATGTTCGAGAAAAAATGAAATTTTTTAAGGAAATTCCAGAAAAATGGAAAATTTCAGCCAAATTTTGGCTTTTTTTTTTGTTCTAAAAAATATAAAGCAAATTTTGCGCAATTTTTGGTTTGAAAACTCCAAAATTTTGGAAAAATTGTGAAATTTTATGAGGAAATTCCAGAAAATTTTGTGTTTCTCAAAAAAAAAAAAGAAGAGCTCAATTTCAGTGTCTACGCCTTCAACGCGAAGTCAAAGAATTGCGTTCGATTTATAAAGACTCATTATCGGCGCTCGAGTTGATAATGAGCGAGCATCGCAAAATGATGATGAGATATATGAGAAGCGTTCGCGAGCATCCGAAGCGGGTGGCGAACGAGAAGCTGCGTTCGACGATGAACGCGACGGACGCGCGGATGCGCGACGAATTCGCGCTGATCGCCAAAGCCGTCGAGATGAGCATCGAGAATGAGGAGAAGCGCAGCGTCGGGCGCGTCGACGCGATGCGAAAAATCGAATCGGAGAATTTTTTGCTCAAACAAATGCTCGATATTGACGATATTCGGAATGCTAGCGTTGATGAATTGGTCCGAAAATGGAGGTCGGGTTTTTCACGAATTTTCTTTGTTTTTTTTTTGAAAATTTGACGAACATTTGGAGCATTTCTTGCTAGAAAATTTTTCAAATCAAATTTTTATCGAATTTTCAAGATTTTAGAAAAAAAAGAGAGTTTTTGAGATATTTTCTGCTTTCAATTTTTTTCAAATAAGCTTTTTTTGTGAATTTTCCGAATTTCGGCGAAAATTTGAAAGAAAAAAAATTGTTAAAATCACAATTTTTTATTTGAAATTTTGAAAGTTTGGCGAAAAATTGGAGCATTTGGAGCATCGAATTTTTTTTGCATTTTTCGAATTTCAGAGAGAATTTCGGAGGTTTAGAGACATTTTTTGGTGAAAATTTTTTGAAATCATAATTTTGTAGAATTTTTCAAATTTTAGAAAAAAAAAATGAGAGATTTTGAGTCATTTTTGTCTAGAAAATTTTTTCAAATCATATTTTTTTTTTGAATTTTCCGAATTTGGAGGTTTACAGACATTTTTTGGTGAAAATTTTTTTAATAAATTTTTTATTTGAATTTTCGAAATTTTAGGGAGAAAAAGGAGAGAGTCTTTGAGACATTTTTGGCTGAAAAATTTTTTCAAATCAAATTTTTTTTTAATTTCAAAGTTTTAGAGAGATTTTGGGAGTTTTCGGAACATTTTTGAGCAAAATTTGAAGATTTTTCAATATTTTTGAGCAAAATTCTCATTTTTTCTCAATTTTTCAACGATTTTTTTTTTGATCTAGCGAATTTCAACGATTTTCGCCGAAAAATTGAATTTCGTTCGATCGAATTTGGATTTTTTGTTGTTTTATTTTTCCGAAATTGATAATTTCAACTATTTTTTTGATGGATTTTGGATTTTTTTGCACAAATTTTGAAGTTTCTCTCGAAAAATTGCGAAATTTTTGCAAAAAATTGGTGTTTTTCAAGATATTTTCGACAGAAATTGACATTTTTTGGAATTTTTGAGGATTTTTGTGAAAATTTTTAAATTTTTTTGCTAAAAAAATTGCAAATCTCATTTTTCAAGCCAAAATTGATGATTTCTGAAATTTTTCAAGCATTTTCTTCAACCAAAATCGAATGGGTCCGAAGTTCGATGGTCCCTAAAATTGAAATCGATTTTTTTGCAGACAAAATCGCCGCAACAAAAACCTGTCAAATAATGATGACTTACAACATTGATTCTCACCGCCTGTCGACCAATTAACTAATTAATTAATTAATTAATTATAATTACTACTTGTAAATAATTCTCTCTCCCTCTCTCTATCCAATTGTTTTCTTCCTTATATGTCTGTGAGCCGGTAGCTATATACTATACTAATTTATGCGATGCATACTGTGAATGAATGAATGAATTCGTGTGGTGGTTGTCATTTGATATCCATTTTTGACCGGATTTACAAGTTGTTGAATGGCACTTGACGTCTGATTACGCAATATCGATTGTCTCGGTTACTGTAGTTGGCGCACTTGATGGTCCCTAGAAACAATCAGGTTTACAGCTATTGTGATGGTCCACACTTTTTTGTGTTTTTGATGGAAATTGGAATTCAACTCGTCTTTTGATGGTAATTTTTGTGCGATTTTGATGGTCCCTGAGGTGATGTTGCCTAGAAAAATGATTTTTATGGTCCCTTTTATAGGAAACGGTGATTTTGATGGTCCCTTAAGCTGATATGCGTAAAAAGTGATTTTGCTGGTCCCTTTAGATGAAAAGTTATTTTTTGTGGGACGGGCTTTCGGAATAGGCGATATTGATGGTCCCTTGAAGTGAATTGCTTAGAAAATTGATTTTGATGGTCCACTAGCTAATAGGGCACGCATTTTCGATTTTGATGGTCCCTTTTTGATGCAAATTGATTTTAATGGTATCTTTGTGAGAAAACGACGATTTTGATGGTCCCTTTAGCTGATATGCGTAAAAAGTGATTTTGATGGTCCACTAGCTAATAGCGCACGCATTTTCGATTTTGATGGTCCCTTTTTGATGAAAATTGATTTTTTGTGGGACGGGCTTTCGAAATAGGCGATTTCGATGGTCCCTTAAGATGATGCTGCCTAGAAAATTTATTTTGATGGTCCCTTTTTGAGGAAGATTGATTTTTGTGGATGTGCTCTCGAAAAAGATGATTTTAATGGTCCACTAGTTAGTAGAGCACGCATTTTCGACCTTGATGGTCCCTTTTTGATGAAAATTGATTTTGATGGTACAGGATTCTTGAAATAGACGGTTTTGATGGTCCCTTAAGGTGATATTCTCTAGAAAATCGATTTTGGTGGTCCACCAGCTAATAGGGCACGGATTTTCGTTTTTGATGGTCCCTTGAGGTGAATTGTCGAGAAAATGATAGCTGATGGTCCCTAATTCTCGATGGTCCCACAGTTTTTCCAGAAAAACTTGAAAACTTCTGAAATGAGTTTAGAAAGAAAAAAAAACGGTGATTTTTGAACGGACCATTTATTTTTTCGCGCTCTGTTCGATTTATTGCGCAACGGTGGCGAAAAATGGTGTCGATTGGTGCAATTCGGCTTGGCGAAAACGAATTGCGCAAAATCGTGCTTTTTTCGCTTTAAATATTGGCCAAAATTCGCGATGAGACCTTTAAATTAATTTTTAAAAATTTGAATGGTCGTCGGTGTTTGCACAATGCGCATGATCGCACGACAAATTGCACCGAATGCTCATTTTTTTGTTGTTGTTGGCCGTTTCGAAAATGTTTGGTGTTGTATTGCGGAACGACACGTGGCAGGTGATTACGCAATCTCGCCGATTCGAGCACGACGCGAGGAAGAAGCAGCATCTGTTGGCGACATATCGAATTTCTCGCCGAGTACGGCCGGCCGGCCGCTTCGGGACCATCATAATTCGATGCGATCGACGGCGAACTGTCACGCGACAATTTGATACGGAATTCCGGTTGACAAGTGGACCAAAAAATCGCGACAAAAGGTCATACGAAATTCGATCGTCAAAAATTGATTGATCGTATTAATTATATCATATAAAATTGCCAAAAATCGTGAAATGGCGAAATTCTTAGAAAATTTTGCTCAATTTTTGTGCCAAAATTTCACGAAAATTGAGGAATTCGAGAAAAATCTGGAATTTTTGCTCACTCGACGCCGATGTTGAGAATTTTTCGAAATTTTATTTTTGTATTGCAGTAATCATTCGGCAGGAGGAGGTTGCGACTAATCACTGCCATTTACACACGCACCTTCAAGTGCATGGATAGCCCAGTCGGTTGGATGCGCCTCGGTGCAAACGAAATGCTCCCGTTCGAATGTAAAACTGCTCTCGCTCGACGTCGGAGGGGGCGCAGTTTCACGTCCAAACGGGAACAATTCACGCCCGAATGGGAGCAGTCTCACGTCCGAACCGATGTGAGACTGCTATCAAACTGCGACAAATTGGTTGCGAATTGGGCCCGATTCACGCCAGATTCTCGTTCGAACTGGCGCCAGATTACGCCCAGTCGGCTCCAGTCAAATTTTATTCTTTTTTTGTGTATTCGCTACAATTTAGATGCATTAGATTTATTTAAATCAAATAATTAAATAAAATAATAGATATCGAAGGAAAAATATTAATTATCGAGTAAAGAGGAAGAAAATGGGAGGGAGAGGGAACATTAAAAGAGGAATCGAGGAATTACTGTCGCGGAAATCGGAAAATAAACTAAATGCCAAAAAATGAGAAATGTCTTGGCCCACGGCATGAGCCTCAATACTTATATTTTGTCCGTATATCTACACATTTAGTTTTGCACCAAGACATCTCCTTCAATTATTGGCACTTTGTAATTTTCCGCAATTTTGCGACAATTAAATACAATTAATAAATGTCTTAAACCATCTTACAACAGGAAGGGGATACAAATTCTTCTTCCTTATGACTCTTGACATTTTATCCATTTGCGAAGTTTCCTTGGTCTTCGCATTATGAGCTGAGTCTAGGTTGAAGCAGTTAGCAGCTTGTAGTTTCATTCTGTAAAACAAGGGTTAATTGATGATAGCATCCATATTTTATAACACTTACTCAATATATAGTTCCAAAAAAACCAGTTGGTCCTCCATTAAGCATATAGCAAATTCATCCAGCATCGCATTCAGCATCAGAAATCAGCACCGCAGCTTGCCATCTCATTTCTAAATTATAAGTGTTTAAAAGATAATAGAATTGCGAAAAACGACGATAAATTATGGGCAAATTTAAAATCAATTTCTATTCACTTATCGAACCTTTACCGTTATAACAAAACTTTAAAAGTTCTCCTAATTTAACATCATTTTTGCATTTAAAACCATCCAAAAACGTGTTTCCGGCTTTTAATGGCAAAAATCAATACAAATGTGTCTGAAAACTACTTTTTTCTTAGAAAAGACAATGAAAATGCCCAAAAGTTTCAGTTAAAAATTTAGGATAACAAAAAGACGCGAAAGTTTAATAAAAAACAGAAACGTTCCACTAAAATACGAGCGAATTGATAGATACGCATTTTCTTAAGTTTTAGAAAAAAAAATTACGAAAAAAGCTCGAGAAATGATCGAAAAAAAGCAATAAAAGTGTTTAAAATAAAAGACGCCATTTCGAAAAAAAACAACCGCGACGCGGCAATTCCGCGGCGCGCTATTTTGAATTGCTGCGGCACACCATTGACTGCTCCCGTTCGGGTGCTCACGCCCGAACTGGAGTCAACCGCTAAAAACCCCTGCTCCCAATTGGATGCAAATTGGCTGCAGTTCGGAAGTTGAAATAATCCTCTCCAGTTCGGAAGTCCGCCTGCCACCGATTGAACGCTATCGCCCGAACTGTACCAGTGGGAACCTATCGGGCCCAGTTCGGGAGTGTGTTGGCGACCAATCGAGCGCTATCGTCCGAACTGGAGCATTTCGTTTGCACCGAGCGCGGTGGAATGAGGAGACGGGTGGTTTTGGAACCGCTCACTTCCCTTTTCTTTTTTGCTCATTGTTTTTCATGTTTAATAGTCATTTAAAAATAAACTAATTCATTCTGAAACTTTTTAGCTATTCTCAAGACGCCTTTGACTATTGCATTTCTAATTTATGGACCATTTTCTGCGATTGAGTCAGTTTGGGTCGCAATAAATTCCGTTTTCGCATGGTATTATGTGGAATAAAACCACGGCCGCGGTCCAGCTTTTTCGAAGTCTACAGTACCCCACAGTCTTCTATTTAAGACTCATAGAACGTTTCGTATATGCGCCTTTAATCAAAATCGAAAAAAATAAAAATGGATGAAATCGAATAATAGTTTTAGAGAATTTGTAGTTAAACGTGTCTTCATGATGAAAACAATGTTTGAGAATTATTTTTTCATTTTTAATGAGTTTTAAACATGAAAAACAGTGAGCAAAATTGAAAAGCGGAGTGAGGGGGTCCAAAACCACCAGACTCTACACCCCACCGCGCACCTAACCGATTGCGCCATTGGGACACATGGCTCCCGCACGGTAAACGGTAATGTTAAGTTGCGGCCCCACTCAGCTGATTACTGTTTTCAAAAATCTTGAAATTTTTCAAAATTTCTCGACATCGGCGTCGAGTAAGCAAAAATTCCAGATTTTTCTCGAATTCATCAATTTTCTTGAAATTTTGGCACAAAAATTGAGCAAAATTTTCTAAGAATTTCGCGATTTTCAATCGGTATATGATGTGCTCAGAATGACCCACAACAACCGCCGCTAGTGGATCACTTTAAAGGCGCATTTAGGCAAAACCCCCCCCCCCGATGGTGGGACGCACATGTCATAATTCTGCTCATTTTCGAAAAATTGTTTATATTATAACTTGGCGAGAAGTGCTCAACTAAGTCGTGTCTGGTAGCTACCGTAATCCAAGGGGGGGGGGGGTCCGAGAGAGAGGTGGGCGTGGCGTCAGATGAGCCGTGTCGTGTTTATTTCGTCCACCAATCGTCATATTTCATTTTGGGTGTGTTGGTGTCGTTGTTGGCGACCCATCAAATTGCTTGCTGTCCGAACACTCGATGGAGTGGTGAGTTTAAAGGAGCATACCGTAATCCGCGATTTTTTTTTCTATAGTACCTCGTATTCGTTGGCCGGCTCGCTCGGTCCATTGCAAATGCAGAATTTGAACGCCGATGAGGAGGAGTTCGACGAGGAGGAGGATGAAGAGGTATGCGCCTTTAAAGTGGGATACGGTAGCTAGTGGGATAGTGTTTTTTTCCTTCGAATAATTGCTGTGAGCCTTTAAATTTTAAATTGAAATTTATTGAATGTAAAAGTTCTGATTATCCACAATAGTGATGATGCGCCTTTAAATTTTCGAATGTGCCTTTAAAATGGATATTGTAACAGAAGGGTCTTTTTGCAGTTTCCGGACGATTCTGACGCTGGTTTGTCGCGGAGAAAGGGAAAATCGAAAAAGCGACAGGAAAAGCCGCCATATTCGTACATTGCGCTCATTGCGATGGCTATTTCGGTAGGTCGATTTTTTTTTGTTGGCAAGCTTTTATCCATATTTTTGAGACTGAAATTTATGAAGTTTTCTAGCATAACAGATAAATACCTTCAAATATGACTGATAATTGAGAATTCAATAGTTTTATTGTGTTTTTAATGATATCAAAGTTTGAAAATGATTGGCTAATTTTTCCATGAGAATTAAGTATCATAAAACGGTAAGCAAAGAGTGAGAGTGGAGTGAGCGGGTTCAAAACCACCCCTCCTTTCATTCCACCGCGCAACCACCCAACTGCGCCATTGGATCTCACAGTTGCGCATTTGCGGATTGCAGTCATAAATCGCAACCTCCCCTCTTGCCAAATGATTAGTGTAACACAAAAAGCTAATTTTCAAAAATTCTCGACATCGGCGTCGAGTGAGCAAAAATTCCCGATTTTTCTCGAATTCCTCAATTTTCCTGAAATTTTGGCACAAAAATTGAGCAAAATTTTCTAAGAATTTCGACATTTCGCGATTTTCGATGCACACGACTTATGAGGGAATTGAAGACAATTAATTCAGAAGCGTCCCGACAAAAAAGCGACGTTGGCCGAAATCTACAGCTATTTGCAAGAGAACTTTGAGTTTTTTCGCGGCGAATACGCCGGTTGGCGCAATTCGATTCGGCACAATTTGAGTCTGAACGAATGTTTCGTGAAATTGCCAAAAGATACCGGCGAGAGGTTTTTTTTTCGTTTACGCCCTCATTTTACTCATAATTTTCAGTTACAGAGGCCGAAAAGGCCACAAATGGACCATCTCGGAGTCGTGCGAGTTTCTGCTCGAGGAGAATGGCTTCCGGAGGCGACCGCGCGGGTATAAAGCGAGAAAACGTCCAGGATTCAATCAGGTAGGAAAAAAGGGTCCCATCAATTTGAGGGGGGGGGGCTCTTTTCCTGCGCCAAAATTCCGCGCAGGTAATTCGAGTCGGCGACAGCCGCGATTCGTTCGATTTGTTTTCGTTTCGGCGAAATTTATGGCCGCCGATGGGAGACAAACTGTTCGGCGCCGCCGCACAATTTATGCGTTTTTGCAGTTCGATTACGTTAATGATTATGCGACACAGGAGAAGCAGCAACACGACGCCGCCGAAACCACTTCGACAATTAATTGTGAGTTGATGGTCGATTTTAGGTTTGAAATTGTCAAATTTTTGTTGGGGTACGGTAAACAATGTGCAGTACACTTGACGACAAGTCACGGACATTTTTAGAGTTTTCAAATCGCTCGCCTAAATTTTTGCATTTTTTCCACAATTTCATGAAATTTTCGCGTATTATTGCTAAAAATTGTTATTTCAGCCAATTCTAACTGAAAATTTATTCAATTTGATCAGAAAACTAGATTTTTCACTACGAAAATTGCAAAATAAATGTTTTCCGAAATTAATTTCTAACTAGTCGATAACAAAAATTCCAATTTCATTTCAATCTAATTGATTTCAGCGAACGCGTCGAACTCGTCAAACGTCTCCAGCTCGCTGCCGTCAATTCAAGGCGCGTTGCCATACACGAGCCAGCCGAGCTATCTGACCTACGCGACCGACATTCCGGTACAGTGGAGCCCGCAACACTATGATTCGCCGTCATGGTACTATCAAGGACAAGTCGGATTGTGTCACGAGTTCGCGATGAGCTCACCGAGCATCACACCACTAATGACGCCGCAAGTCTCACCATATTTCTACCCGCCGCTCGGATTTGATGAATGGCGGCCGACGACGACGAACCATAATAATAATAATAACAACGGACAATTCTTGATGGCGGGTCCCACCGCGAACGACGATGCTCAGATTGATGTCCAATTCGATTGTAAACCTTTATTATAATAATTTATCACCTTATTTATACGCATAGTTATTGCCTAATTAATGTGTGCCTCATTTTCTGTGTGATTTCTTGATAAATTAGAGTGTCTTTTAAAATTTACAAATTTCATTTGCCACAATTTTTCTTAAAATTGATGATTTTTCGCCATATTTTTCAAGATTCGCTTCGCTTTGGCCGCCGTTTTTCGCGATGATCGCCGCTGCGACGGCATTACGACCATTTTGCCAGCCTTTTTCGGAATTTTCTGAAAAAAGTGCCCCAACTTTTGGAGAAAATTACAGAAAATTACCGTTTTTGGTGCGGGGAGAGTTGGAATCGCATTAGTTGGCTGAAAATTGTGAGCCTTCGAATTTCAGCAGAAAAAAAGGCTTTCGAAAAATGTCACCTTTCTGTTCGATGAAGATTTTTCAGGTTTTGAAATTTCCTGAATTTTTTTCTTCGATTTTCTCTCATCCATTTTCGAATTGTTCGTCTGAAAATTCAAGAGTTTGTCTGGAAATCTGAAAACGAACCTTTTTGCTAGTTTTCGATGGCGTTTTTTTCGTTTTTCTCTGAAAATCATCAAGTTTTCAGCAAAAATTGTGAAAATCTCACATAATTCCGTTTTTTGGCCTTTAAGCTCGGCGAGATTCCAATATAAAACTCATCTTCAACATCGGAAAACTCATCATTGAATAAACCGTCCTGAAATTGCGGATTTTCGCAAAAAAATTTTTTAAAAAACCGGGAAATCGGCTGATTGTTGGCCGTAGAATTGCTGAAAATTGAGAGAAAAAAATTTTCTGAAAATTTTTTTTACATCGAGCGGCTCGGGGAGCCGCGAAAATTGGGCTTCCTCGTCGATGGTCCGTAAAAGACGAAGCCTTTCGCGTTCGGTCATCTGAAATTGGCTGGAAATCGGGTTTGGGCAAGCTTCTGAAGAGAAAAAATTGAAGGGATTTGAGTTTTCGCGAAAAACTTTGCCGAAACTCGTCGGAATTGACATATTGGCGTAATTCGATTGTCGATTTTTCGAAATTCTTCCGAAATGCCTTATAAGCATCGCTGACTTCATGAGAATTCTCGTTTTTCTGGAAAAAAAATCCATTTTTTTCGAATTTTCAAAGTGCGATTTTTTACGATAAAATCGAGTCGTGATTTTTGCGAACTCTCCAATTCGTGTAATTTTTCGCTAATCAAATATTCTGAAAAAAGCAAGCTGGAAAAGGGTTGATTCTTTGGAAAAACCTCGCTCAAATTTCGACATGTCGTCGAGACGATTGGCGATTTTCGCGGGTTTCGAGATGCCTGCAAAAAAAAATCAATTTCGGGTTTTCTGGCCGATTTTCAACGATTCTGATGGCGTCGAAATGTCGCGCTCGTAATATTCCCCTGAAATCCATTTGAAAATGATTTTTTGTTTCGAAAAAATTTGAATTTTTTCCAACCTTTACATGATTCTCTCGGCGGTACTCGAATGTTGGCGGCGACGGCGGAAAATGAAGGGATTGGAGGTCTTCGACTGAAATTTGAGACGCGGAATTTCAATTTTTGAAAAAATTTACCGGAAAACGGCTCGAAAAACGGCTTCTCGTGCGGAAATTGGATTGCCATCGCGAAAAATAAAAAAAAAATCGCCAGCGATTCAAATTGGCGCGTCGAGTGCACTGGAGCGCACTTGCAACGTTGCGTTTTCATCGTGGGCGGTCCAGTCGCGCTTTTTTTCTTCTCGTCTTCTTTCTCGCGCGTTTTCCATGTACACCGAAATCAAGGAGATTGTCAATTTCATCGCCCGCTACATATTTGGGCACGAGCCGAGACGCGCGGTAATTCAAATCGCCATTGATTTATTGAATTTTTCTCAAAAAAAAATATTTTTTCAGACGGGAATTTTCAGCGCCGAGCTCGGCAATTTTCTCGTCACCCAATTCGCCGAAACCTGGGATGTGAGCGATCCGAAAAAAGGCGAAAAAGAGCGAGTGATCAATATAAAATGTCCGAACGAGGGAACGTGTCGATTTTTTCAAACTGCCGCCTTGGAGGCGGGACTCGACTATGAAGCGGTGCTCAAAAATTTGCCGCGTACGTTTTATTTTTGAATTTTTTTTCGATTTTGCGAGTTTCGCGGTCTTGCAGCGAATTGTCGAATCTTCGCGAATCCCGGCGAGGTGTATTTTCGCGCCAGCGACAATGGTGTGAATGTGCCGATATGGGGCGGCGACGTCAACGCCGACGAGAAGTATCTGAAAAAAAATCGGTTATCTGAAATTGTTTCGTTTTTTTTCCAGCTATCAACCGATTCCCGAGCATTCGGTCGTGTCGGCGGCGTGCGAGGCCGAGAAGAATTCCAATTTGGGTGCCGCCGGCAAACCGGTGCTTATTGGAAGGCAACCGCTGCCAACCAATGATCGAAGTAATTCAAAAGGTGCTGAAAATTGATTGCGAAATTCATTGTTTGCAGCCGTCGTTGAGATGATCAATGGCTGGTATGTGCCGCTTGTCCTCGAGGAGTACACGGACTTGAACGCCAACTTGCAAGCGGTCTATCGTTATCGTTTCGCGTTCAAACCGCACTCGAGTCAGACGTTGACTGGATTGGAATTCTCGCAGACGCGCTTTGGAAGCAGCAAGTAAGAGGAGAAGCTTGAAAACGCGCATCGGCGCTGAGTTTTGTTTTTTAGGCCGCGTCCCGACTTGCAAACAATGGTCAATATTAAGCAGATGGCGACGAGCCAGAAGAAGGGCCATTTGAATAGCATTGATGAGAGCACATCGTCGAGATCCTCATCGCCGACGCGCGATAATTATTTTTCGACGTTTTATTAGCATTATTAAGTGCGCGAAATTGTTGGAGAAACCCCCCCCCATTTTTCCAAAATTCATTCGTTTTATTTTTTCGTTTTCGTCCTGTTCCATCATGTTCTGCAAATTAATTGCCATTTTTGGCGAAAATTTAGAAAAAAGATTGCGTAAAATGACATATTTTATTATTTTTAATTATATAATTGCTTAGAATTAAATTTTGGAAAATTAATGAAAAAATATTGATTCATGAATGCCTTGTGCGTTTTTTCGTCGCGGTGCACTGCGTCCATTAGGGAACTACCGTAACCTGATTAAATTATTGGAAGAAAATTTGAATTTTGAAATGAATATTCGAAGATTTGAATGAAAGTTGAAATTTTTCTAGAAAAAAAAACGTCTAAAATTCGATGAGCTTTTATTAATTTGTAGAAAAATGAACTAATAATTAAATTCGAAGTTAATTGTGTCCGGAAAATCGTGAAAAAGTGAATCAAACTAGGGATTTCGAAAATACCAAGAAAAATAGTGGTGCATTTCGGCGTCACGGTGCGCTGCGTCCATTAGTCGACTACCGTACCCGAAAGAGAGCATGATTAAAAAAAAAAGACAAGAGAAGAATGAGCTCTTAAGAGGGGTTGAAATTGAATGCTCCAGTGCACTTATTCGCCGCCGGCTTTCCGATTTTCCATTTCTTTTTCCATATATGTCTTTTTTTTGTTTGCGCGTTTCTACGAGAAATTGTCGGTCAGGTAAATGGCGGGCTGACTTGAATGAAATAAAAAAAAATATTTCTTTTTCTCTCCTTTGATTTTTTCTTCCTCATCGTGTGTGTGTGTGTGCTTTTTTTGCCCAAATGTGACACTCATTTGTCATTTTCGGGGTGAGCACGCGACCCGTGAAGATTTTTTTTATTTCTCGCCGCTCTCGACGACACAAAATTTTTTCATTTTACTTTCAGCCGTCTTTTGATCATTTTTCTTCGGCAAAACTCGCTTTGAACAAAAAAAATTGCAAAATTGCCAATTTTTGTTCTGAAAATGCTTTATTTCAAAAAATCTGCGTTTTTTTATTCATTTTCCAAAAAAATTCACAAATTTTGCGAAAAATGGAATGATTGTTTTGAAAAATTCAAATTTTCAAAAATTTTTTTCTTGGAAAAAAATCTACGAAAATAATTGTGCCCCTTTTTTGTTGAAAATTAAGAAATTTTTCAAAAAAAAATCTAACTTTCAATTTTTATTCCGAAAATTTTTGAGCTTTTTCGATTTTTTCAATATTTTTTTGTGAAATTTGCATTTTTCTTTAAAAAAAATTGACTAAAATGGTTTATTCGCGCATTTTTCTCAATTTTTTGATAATTTTATGTTAAAAGTATTTTCAAAATTCAAAAATTCAAAAAAAAGGAATAAAGGGAAATTTTTTTCCATTTTTTTTTGAAAAAAAGCGAAAAAATTGGTTTTTCTTCTTCATTTTATCAAAAAACTGAAAATTCTTCTGAAAAATTCAAAATTTGAATAATTTTTTGAAAAAAAGAAGGATTTTTATCATAAAATTTAAATTTTTTCCGAAAAAATCAAATTTTAAATTTTTCCAAAAAAAGTCATTTTTTTAAAATTTCTTCAATTTTTTCTTTAAAATTATTTTTTTCGAATTAAATTTGAAATAAACTGGTTAATTGGCGCAAAAAATTCGCAATATTTTCTAATAATTTTATTTTTTCAACGAAAAATTGCTCAATTTGTTGCATTTTTCCAAATTTGTCTGAAAAAAAAATCGAAATCTCGAATTTTTTCGCTGAAATTCCGAATTTCAGATGTCCACATGAATCATCAGCACCATGATTCGCCAGACATCGTCGCAACCACCCCAAATATTTCATGGCTCTCATTTTTATTGGTCTACTCGTAAGTTTTTTGTTTGTTGGGAATCTAAAAATCTGAAAAAAAAAAAGAAAATTCCAGCATCCCGATGATTCTATTCATTTCGATCGTTTGCATCGTCAAATGGCGACCGATTCGCGAGTTCTCCTCGATTACCACATTCATCAGGCAATTAGCGCCCCGCTAATTATCATTGTCGACTAATTGCAGCTGGTATTGCTCATGCTCGCCGCGCAAACTCGCCGCCGAACTCGACGAGGCCGATCGCGATCGATTCATCTATCCGATTGACGCCCAGGTACTCGCATTGGTGACGCACCAATCAATCACCATTTGGGCGCCAACCAACAATTTACACGCGACGCCAACCGCAACGCGTCCGACGACATTTGTTTCTATTTTTGATTTTTTTTTACCATCAAAAAATGTGTGCAAACACCACAGACAAAACACACACAATTCTCAAATTGAATATTTTTTGGTTTCAAGGCGCATGCTTTCTGCGGTGTATTATATATTGTCGTCAAATCAAATGCACAAGTCCGCAATGATTTGGCCTCTGGAAACCCGCCAGCAAAAATAGTCGTCGATTAAAATGCATTCGGTGTAGACACGCGACGCGTCAAAATTCGAATTTCAATTCCAAAAATATCGCAAAAAAATGACATTGCGGACTCGTGCACTTGATTTGACGACAATTCAACCAACCATTCTCGCCATTCCCCCAATTTCAGAGTCTCGTCACCATCTCATCCTGCGATTCGCCGCTTCTCAACGATCAAGAAACGCAATTCTTCTCATCGGCCATCCCGTGAATCTCTGTGATCAAGTTTATACGCATAAATACACATAATAATTATAATTATCATAATATAGTCATACATTTTTGTTTTGAGTTGGTCGAATTTCATCAACAAAAAAAAATTCCAAGCGCGAGCAATAGGGGTGGGAAGAAGGACGTCGTAAATCACTACCATTTTTACAGAAAACAAAATACACACATTTTAAAAATTCAAATAATTTAGGCGGAAAAATATTCCTAATAAGTTCAAATTGGTGAAGAAAATCAAAAAAAAAACCACTAGACTCAGCATTAATTGTAGAACTTCTTTCCGCTCTTGGCGTGATCGCGAAGCAATTGGCATGGTGTGAACTGCAACAACTCTTAATCGACGCCAATCGCCACCCCCACGCTTACCTGCTCCTTCTGATAGCCGTCGGCAAATTTGTCCATGTGGGCGACGAGTTTGTCGGCGCCGTACAAATCGACAAAACGGAACGGTCCGCCCCAGAATGGCGGGAATCCGATGCCAAACACCGAAGCGATGTCACCATCGGATGGCGACGCCAACACGCCCTCCTCAAGGCACAATAGCGCTTCGTTCACAAATCTCGACACCAATCGCAATTGGCGATCTTCGGCTGACGAGCTGAAACAAAATTAAAACTAAAAAAAAAAACAATAGAATGCATTTTGCTGAAATTCCGCGTTTCGATTTTATATATTTTTTATTTTTTATATCGATTTTTCGTTGGCGCCAAAAAAATGACACCAATTGTCGCAAATTTGGCGTATTTTTTGAGGCAGGAATCGTGAAGTCTCAATTTTTGCGCACTCAAATTGCGATTTTTATGAAAATTCGACAAATTCTCGATTTTCGACGCATTTTTCAATCGAAATTTTGATAAAAATGCCAATTTTTTGAGGAATTTCTCGCATTTTTTTTCGAGTTTCACTCTGTCTCTCACCAATTGGCAACCGGCGCGACGCGATACTTCTGAAGCAGCTTCGACGCCTCCTCATTGACCTTCTTCGAGCCCTTCTTGCCGCCGCCATACGCGAAAATTCCTTTGCCATTCTTTTTGCCTTTGTTGCCGCCGCCGACGAGCTCCGACAACAGCTCGACGGAGCCGCCGCGCACACGCGGTCCAAGCGCTTTGCCAAGGAATTTCGCGACATGCTCGCACACGTCGAGACCAACCTGAAGCGACGAACATCAAATTGGCAACATTCACACAGGGAAAATAATATTTTTCGAATTAAAAACATAGAATCATTATACAAATTCGAGCCAATTTTCGCAAAAAAATCATCAATTTAGGCTCTTTTGGGTAAAAAAAAACAACGGGTCGGTCAAATATTGATTCGATGTAGTAAAGTAATGCGAAAATTAAATTCAATTAAAAAAATTCAAATCAAAACTATTATTACACTAAATGGCAACCTACTCCGTAAATTTAGAGTGCCGGGACCAAAAAAGAACGCCCCCAGCCCCAAAAAAAAGAAATCTAATGGTACCTCATCAGCCAGTGTCGCCGCTCCGACCGGAAATCCGAAATTCGTCGTGAGCTTGTCGAGCTCCGTCGGATTGACGCCCTCCTGAAGAAGACGCACGAGTTCGCCCATCATTGGTCCCAAGCAGCGGACGACAAAGAAGCCGGGGCAATCCTGAACAAAATGAGAGGCTCAAAAGCAATTTTGCAAAAAAAAAACAAACAATCAAACCGTCTGAAACGGGATCTACAATTTTTTCAAGCAAAAATTACTGTAGGCGCATAATTTTTTTGTTGAAAATTTTTCCACAATTTTTTTGGCAAATTTGCAGACCGTCGAAATTTCAGTAAAGAAAATTATCAGAAATTGCCAAAAAAAATTCCAAAATTCATTTCTTCATTTCTTTTCCCCCAGGATAACCGAATTCACCTTGACAACCACCACCAATTTGCCTTGTTTGAGGCCAAATTGCGCGGCGGTGGCGAGCGTTTCTTTCGACGTGCCCTCGTGCGTGATAATCTCCAACAATTGCATTTTCTCAACCGGCGAGAAATAGTGCATTCCGATGACGTTTTCGGGACGCGCCGACGCCGAAGCGATATCCTTGATCGGCAACGCCGACGTGTTCGACGCGATGATGGTGTTCTAAAAAGCAACTCTTCAACGCGAGGGACCATCAAAATCAGTCTCACCGGTCCAACGACGCTCTCAATCTGCTTAATCACTTTGTGTTTGAGCGGCAAATCCTCGAAAACCGCTTCAATCACAATATCGGCGTTTTTCATCGTCGAATAGTCGAGTGTCGGCACCAAATAATTGTTGATTCTGCAGAAAAAAGCAAATCAAAAGCTCGAAATTGTCATTTTTTTTTGTCAATTTCCACAACAAACCTCTCTCTTTCCAATTTGTTGATCTTCTTCCTCTTCACTTGTCCATCCAAATGTGTCGCAATCTGGTTTTGTCCGCGAGCAAGTCCCTAAAAACCCGGCGAGAAATTAGTAAAAGCTTCGGATGCACGTAGAACCAAAAAAACCAACCTCTTCGCTGGCGTCGAGCAACACCGTTTTGACGGCCTTGTCGATCGAGACATTCGCAATTCCGGCACCCATGAGTCCCGCGCCAACAACAGCGCATTCCCTACAATTTTCTCACCATTTTTTTCTACGAAAAATCAAATTCTGCCCCTTTTTGGCAAAAAAAAGGAAAAAGAAATCATCATCATATTTTAGTCGAAAAATTGTTTGAAAAATTGCAATTTTAGACCATTTGAACAATTTCCAACAATTTTTACTTGAAAAAATCTAAAAAAAAAAGAAACTTTTGGAATATGTTGAATTGAAATTCTTCAAATTTCAACATTTTTGCGTTAAAATCCATAAATTTTCATAGTTTCTTTTCAACAATCTCTCATTTTCAACATTTTTTGACAAATTCTTCGTTTTTAAACTTTCTCGAAAATTGAGGCTTTCAAAATTTTCAAAATTTTTTTTTCTTCAAACAACTCACTTGACCGTCTTGCCCGGTCCATATTTGTTCTTTTTCGCGTCCGTCGAGCCGTCGAACAGTCCAATCAACGCCTTCGACTGATATGTCTGCGATAGTTCGGCGAACGCCTTCCTCTCCGCCTCATAGCCATTCTTCGGATCGACGTACGCGGTTCGGATGACGTCGAGAATTTTCAACGGCGCCGGATAGTTGCCGGCCGTCTGCTTCATCACCTTCTCGCGCGCCATTTTGAGTACGACGTTGTCGAGAAACAATTGATTCGTCATCACCGCCGCCTGGAATCGCTCGAGTACGCCCTTGTCGCGATTCACCTTCAGTTTGCCGCTCGCCAAATCTTTGGCGGCGCTCACGGCGACGCTCTCGAGATATTTGTGCGTGCTCTCGGCGGCCGGCGCGAGCCCGTCGCCGAGCGGCTCGATGACGCGATCGACGAGACCGACGCGTTTCGCCTTCGACGAGTTGACGCGTTTGCCGGTCAACGTCATGTCGAGCACGTTCTGAACGCTGGCGAGCTTCGGGAATCGTTGGGTGCCGCCGGCGCCCGGCAACAAGCCGAGCATCACCTCGGGAAACGCGAGCTGCGTCTTTTTGTCGTTGACGGCGATTCGATAGTGGCACGCGAGCGCCAATTCGAGACCGCCGCCGAGGCAGCTGCCCATGATCGCCGCGACGACCGGCTTTTTCGAGTTCTCGATTTTGAAGAATTGCTCGTGCGCATCGCCGACGATCTTCTCGATGCCCGCCTTCGATTTTTCCGCTTTCAACATTTGAATGTCGGCGCCGGCGACGAAGCTGCCCGGCTTCGCCGACATCACCACTATCGATTTGACCGATTCGTCGTTTTGGAGTTGCTCGAACGTCGACGTCATGTCGGCCGACAACGCCTTATTCAGCACATTCTCTTTCGCGTTTGGCAAATCGATTTTCACAATTGCCACGTCGTCTTGCTTCTCGACGCGAAGTGTGCCTGAAATTTTCAAGATTTTTGTTCTGAACATTCTGAAAATGATGATTTTTTCTGTCAAAAAAAAGGCAAAGATAAAAATTTTAATTATTGACGATTTCAAGTTTCCCGAAATTCGCGTCAATTTTATATAATTAAAAAAATTTGCACTTTGTTGAGAATTTTTCAAAATTTTTGAACTTCGACTTTTCTTTTGAAAATTTGAGGTCTTTATATGGAGAGACCCCCGATAGAAATTGAAATTTTAAAAAATTTTTGCCTCAGAATTAGGTTTAAAAAAAATCGGAATTTATTAGTATTTTTCTATTATTAGTATTTTTCGGCAAAATTGATTCTTCAAAATGTTTCGATTTGAAAATTCCAATTTTCCAAAAAATTTAAATCAATTTCTCGTGGCAAAAAAAACCCACTCAATGACGCTTTTGGCTGTGCCAGTGACAATTTTCGAAACGAGCCGAGATTGCTGCGAAGCGCAGTTGAATTGTGAACGAGTCTCGACAGCATTTCTGATGATGGTATTTGGCGATGGAAAAACTGCAAAAAAATGAAATTGGAATTTTCGGTTTGCCCAAATCTCTCCTATAATTACCTATCTCCTCGCTGACAATTATTCGAGTGGTGCCAACACTGAAAATAATCACATTTTGAGCAAATTGGTTCACGCGGGACATCGAGAAAAAAAATAAAACGAACGAATCTTCCTGTAATCATCATCATCAACATTACTATTACTACTGGAGGTCAGAGCGCGAGAGAGCGTGTGAATGCGAGAGACGGAAAACGATGAGACGGGCGGCCGGAACGCAATTGAGAGGAGTTGTTATCAACACAATGGCCTCGATATACCTTTTTGACTATTATTATCACTTGTTTATCACAGAAAATCGGGCGGAAATTGGAAAATTTGCGGAAAAAAAACTATTTTATGCAAAACACTTTTGTAATCCATTTTCCGCAATAAAATGCATTTTTTAAGAAGAAAATTGGATTTTTACATCATTTTTGTGTTCCTTTTAAATTCTAAAATCGAAAATTGGCAATAAAATACAATTTTGAGCAATTGACATTCTAAAAGCGGCAAGATTTATCGAAGAAAATGAAGGATTTCGCGGCGGGCCACGTTCAGTCCGCAAGCACCGTGTCGTGAAATTGCACAACACTATCTACCGTAACGCGAAAAATTAAAAAAAATAGACGTTTTGGGTGACAAAAGGCAAGAAACTGCAGATTGATAAGAGAACATCGTCGTGGCGACGCGCTAGCCGATATCAAGGTACAAAGTGCAAAGGACAAGACTACACTCTAGACGGTGAAACAAACATTTTATTGGCTGGAAAGGGCGAACAACAAAAATGTACAACAACTAATTAATAAAACCTAGATGAAATTGAAATGGTCCCCAAAAAAAATTGGAAATTAAGCGCCAAGGAATGTTCCAATGTTTTTTCGATTGCGATTCGCGAAACCGTCGTTCAATTTGTCTTTGGACACTTCTTGCTGCTGTTTCGCCTTCAGAAGTTCGATGTCCTCTTCGAGACTTGAGAACATTGATGGGAATTGGAAGTTGAAATCTGAAAATGAGTTTAAGATTGTAATTTTTTTTATTTTTTAGCAAAATTCCAACAATTTCAACATTTTTTTTAGAATTTCTGCTCAAAAATCGAACACAAGTCGTTTTTTCTGTTTAATTTGTTAAAAAATCGCGCAAAAATTAGTTTTTCAATTAATTTTTATGAAATCAATTTTAAGGCCTACAATTTCTGAATTTTTAAGCTTCAATAAAGGTTTGGAAGAGTTTTTGTTGAATTTTTTGGAAAATCGTCATAAATTTGAAAAAAAATCAAAAATTTTTCATTGAATGAAATTTTTACTAGAAAAATTGATTTTCACCAAAAAATCCAGGCGAATGCATTTTTCCTTAATTAAATGTCATAAAAAAATAAATTTTAATAGAAAATTAATTTTTTTCAAAAAATTTCAAATTTCGCTCCTACCTTTTGGCATAAAAACATAGGCAAATTTTTTGTCGTCGTCTTTCCACATTGCTTTCTTATATTGATAATCGTGTTTGCTGTTCCATAGAATATCGCCCATTTGGACTTCTGTGCGAACATCGCGAACCGGCAGCTTGTAGATTTTCGTCAGATATTCGCGAATATCGTGGCGGGACATTCGTGGATCGACCTGTTCAAAAAATTAAAATCGTTTTATTGAAAAATTCAAATTTTGAACATTTTCAAGAATTCTACAATTTTGTTCAAAATTTTTGCGTTGAAAATAATCAAATCTTGAAAACAGTGCAATTATATCACAATTAGCAAATTGCCAATTAATTTGAGCAACGATCTTCGAGAAATTAAAATTTTTCCTATCACTATTATTATTCGCTGAAAATTCGTCGATGTTTCCACTTTTATAAACATTATTCATCATTTGTTTCGCTTTAAATGTCAATATTTGAAATAAATGATTTTTTTTTTCAAGAATTGTTGAAAAAAGTTACCTCAAATTTGACGCAATTCTGCGGTAGTTTATTTCTGCCGCACGACGGGCTCTCAACAACCGCCACCCAGAAATCGGGAAGAAAAACGCGTCGTTGAGGGTTGCCGGTTTGCCATAATCTCGCCAATCTTGTCGTCATTGCTAGAAAAAGCGAAAAAATGCGGTTAATTGTGCGAAAAAAAGAAAGTAAAAATAAGAAAGTAGCTGGGGTGGCCTAGAAAATCCGGCGGCCACGGCCATCTCGTTTATTTGCATTTAAGGGCACATCGATTCGCGAGCGCTGGCGGCTTCAAATGCCACATATTGTGCCTGGATGCTTACATCCAAGCAATTCAGCGAATTCGATTGACTGGTAAGCGAAGTTTTGCGAAAAATCATGAATGAAATTGATATGTTTAAGGAATGAAGGGGGACTCATCGCCCACGCCTCTCATAACGTCATTTTAATAATCGACGTGTTCAAATTCAAACGAATTCAATCAATAGACATTCATCAATCCGCTGTGAATATTGTAAGGGTCTTGCGGCGAAAATGGCGAAAAAAATTGAGGCGACATTTTTTTCCAGGTGAAATGGTGCCCGCAAAAATCGCCGTTTGCCGAATCGGCTGGAAATCAGCTTCAGCTCGCTTCGTCGGATATTAGCGGACAAATAATTGTGTCGAATGCTTTAACAGCGCAAAAATCGTGCCAATTTTCACACCCAAACTCATCGGTTTTACGTAAATTTTCCGTCAATTTCCATGTAGTTGAAAAATAATTGGGGGTGATTTTTGAAGAGATTTGCTGGTTCCCGTGGAAGGACATTTCCAGAGACTTCTTGCTCGTCCTCCATTCCGGCTCGCATTTGATTCTCTGGAACACGCAAACCGCTGAGAAGGTCTGGAGCCATGCTTATTCGCACATTCCGCTTCATTATTTCACGTTGGACCCGTTCACGTTGAGAAATGCAGTTTGTGAGTTGTCAATTTTTCAATTTTTTTCTCATTAAAATCCAAAGTTTTGCTCGAAAATTTGATGAAAATCGCAGAAAAATGTCTCAAATCGCAAAATGTTTGATTTTTAAGTGGAAAATTTTATGATTTTGATCAAAATTGCCAAAGCTTCAGCATTTTTTGCGCGATTTTTGCCAAGAAATGCCTATTTTGAAATTTTTGCACGAAAATTTGATGAAAATCGCGGAAAAATTCCACAAATTCCTAATTTTTGGATTTTTAAGTGGAAAATTTTATGATTTTGATCAAAATTGCAATAAATTAAGCATTTTTTGCGCGATTTTTGTCAAGAAACGCATATTTTGTGTAAAAATTAATTTTTTGCACGAAAATTTGAAGAAAATCGCAGAAAAATGTAGCAAATTGCAAAACTTTTGATTTTCAAGTGGAAAATTTTATGATTTTGATCAAAATTGCCAAAGCTTCAGCATTTTTTGCGCGATTTTTGCCAAGAAATGCCTATTTTGAAATTTTTGCACGAAAATTTGATGAAAATCGCAGAAAAATGTAGCAAATTGCAAAACTTTTGATTTTCAAGTGGAAAATTTTATGATTTTGATCAAAATTGCCAAAGCTTCAGCATTTTTTGCGCGATTTTTGCCAAGAAATGCCTATTTTGAAATTTTTGCACGAAAATTTGATGAAAATCGCAGAAAAATGTAGCAAATTGCAAAACTTTTGATTTTCAAGTGGAAAATTTTATGATTTTGATCAAAATTGCCAAAGCTTCAGCATTTTTTGCGCGATTTTTGCCAAGAAATGCCTATTTTGAAATTTTTGCACGAAAATTTGATGAAAATCGCAGAAAAATGTAGCAAATTGCAATATTTCTAATTTTGAGCAGCAAAATTTTATGATTTTGATCAAAAATGCCAAAATGTGAGCATTTTTTGTGCGATTTTTGTCAAGAAACGAATATTTTGTGCAAAAATTAATTTTTTCACGAAAATTTGATGAAAATCGTATAAAATTGTCCCAAATCGCAAAATTTTTGATTTTTAAGTGGAAAATTTTATGAATTTGATCGAAATTGCCAAAATTTCAGCATTTTTTGCGCGATTTTTGTCAAGAAATGCCTATTTTGTAATTTTTGCACGAAAATTTAAGTAAAATCGCGGAAAAATTTCGCAAATTCCAAATTTTTGGATTTTGAGCTGCAATATTGCAAAAATTTGAGCATTTTTTGTCAAATAATGCATTTTTTATCTAAAATATTTTAAAAGTGCAATTTTTTATGGAAAAAATTTAATCTTTTATCAGAAATTCGAAATATTTTAGAATTTTTGTTCTGAAAATTGAATTTTGCTTTTGTCTCGCAAAATTTTGTAAAAAAAAATCTCTGAAATTTCAATATTTTGAAAATTTTGAAAATTTTGAGCATTTTTGATAGATAAATAATTTTAAAATGCAATTTCTCATCAAAAATTGAAAAATTTTCCATGAAAATGACAAAAAAATGGTAAAAATTGTTCACAAAAATCGGATTTTCTCGAAATTCGCCCAATTTTCAGTCAGCAGCGATGGCAATAAAGTGCTGATTTGCTCGGACATCGCGCTCGCCGAGCCCCAATCGTCCGGATTTTTGTTCAGCGTGACGAATGAGGAAACCTCGAACATTTTTCTTCTCGCTTATCACAAAGCCTATCGGAATATCGTGTTTGCCGCAATTAATAATATGGTAATGGCGATTTTCAGACAAAAAATTATTTTTTTGACACTAAAAATTGGCAAATTTGCTAATAAAATGAACGATTTTTTGAAGTTTTTGGGATTTTTTTGAAAAAAAAAAGTTGGCCAAATTTTCCAATTCGCGATTTTCAGCATGGCCACACATCTAGAATTTTGGGTTTTGCTAGAAATCACTAAAAATTGATCATTTTTATTCGACAAATGAAAAATTTTGATAAATTTTTGAAAAAAATCCTGAAAATTTATTGAAAATTCGCCGAAAACTTGAAAAATTTTTTTCTCTAAATTTTCTAGTTGCAATTTTCAGCCTGAGCACATATAAGGAAATTTTATTGGCGAAAATTTCACAAGAAATTTTTTGGAGACATTTTTTAATCTGAAAATTGCCAGTTTCTTGAAAAAAAAAGAGGATTTTTGAAAATTTTGCAATTTTTTTTGAAATTTTGTGGAAAAATTAATAGTTTTTGACCCAAATTTGTTAGCTTTCATTTTTCAGCCAAAAAAAATCAAGACGATTTTTAGTCTGAGCATTTCTAGAAATATTTTCGAACATCCAGAAGCAATGATTTTTTTCAGATAGAAAACACTAGAAATTGGATGTTTTTTCATTAAAAAATTGAGATTTTCGAAAATTTTTGGTCGATTTTTGAAAAAAACCTGAAAATGTTTGAGATTTCGTGGAAAAATTCACCAAATTTGTCAGATTCCATTTTTTTTTTAAATTTTCCAAATGCGATTTTCAGCCTGGAGCACATATAAGGAAATTTTATTTTTGGAGACATTTTTTAAGCTGAAAATTACTAAAATTGACAAGTTTACTGGAAAAAGAGATGATTTTTGGGAAATTCCTGAAAAAAATCTTTGAAAATCAATTTTTGTCCAAAATTTTTTTTAGTAAAAAGGCGATTTTCAGCCCGGGCAAGACATTTTTTGCCTTGAATATTCTGAAAAAAAAATTTAGATATGAAAAATTGACAATTTTGCTCAAAAAAAAAATTTCGAAAAGAATTTTTACAAAATTTGCACTTTTATTATTATTATTATTTGTTTTCACGCTTCCAGCTTTATCTCATCAATCCGGAATTGATGTGTGTGGTGTCGAAAATCGCCATCGAGTCGAATCTCGTCGGATGCGCGCCGTTGTCGCGACGCGACGCGCTCATCGGTGTGCACGCGAACGGCGCCATCACGTTGCGCATTGGCGCGTTCGAGGGGCGCGACGATTTGCGTTTGACGAAAATCGCGCAAACCGAATGCATTCGTCATGGCGGCGCGCAAAAAATCGTGGCGGCCGTCGTGTGTCCCGCCACGCAATCCACCATCGCCGTGTTGTACCAAACCGGCAAATTGGCGTTTTGGCAATTGGTGAGCCGATGGGTGCAATTTTTATTTTGGGCCCAAAAATTAATTTTTTTTTTCGTTGCAGAAAAACGAAAAAACGCCGCTCGTTTATCGCGCCGCTTTCATCGAAGACTTTTTGCGGTTCGATGATGAATTGGTGACGACGCCAATTGGTGAACTCAGTTTGCATCAGCTCGCCCGAATTGGCGCGTTCTCGTCGGGCGTCACATGTGTGCGAATGCGGCCGATGGACGAATTGGCGAAATTGGAAAATGACGAGTTCGGTGGGTGGAAAAATCTTTAGCAACATGTGGAATAATTTTCAGCCAACACAAAACTCGGAACGGTGCATTTGGCGGCGGTTGGCACCAATTCGGGTGTCGTTCATCTCGTCGACGTGTTCACCGCGCAAATCTATCGAGATATTTGTGTGCAATCATCGCCAATTAAGTAATTAGCCGATAATTATTCCAACGGTGTTTTGTTTTCTGCTCAATTCCAGATGTCTCGAATGGGGCGGCGTTTATTCATTGGTGACCGCCGGCTACAATCATTCGCTGAGCGCCTCGCAGGTTGTTCGAAACGAGGTGTTCATAACCGACATTCGCACGGGAATCGGTCGACGAATTCGACCCGAAGTCGATGAATCGCCCATATCGATTATAAGGGTCTCCTATTATCAGTGGGTTTCGTTTTTATTCGATCCCGATTGAATTTGCCAAACGAATTGGATGTGATTTTTGATAGAAATGTGAAATTGCTGCGGACATTTCACGGGTTTCAAGCATCCAGACAGCCATCTCGCATACAGAATATGGAGATGCGCGAAACCCGTGAAATGTCCGCGACAATTCCGCATATTAGTTTTTGCCTCTCCACCATTGGGGCTTACGTGTCTAATTGGTTTTAAATGCAAATGGGATGTCGATTTTGCTTGGCGATAATTGGCCAATTATTATAGTTGCTATTTGGCGATTGCATTTCAACGTGAGCCACTCGAGATATGGGACTTGAAAGGTTTGCGACTCTTGCGACGAATGAGCCGTTCGTGTCCGCTTATCATTGATATGGCCTGGTCGAATAAGCATCATGGAATACGGACCACCGAATCGACGCAGCAGAGTGTTTATCGCGAGAATTTGGTGCTATTGGACTCGGAGAATCGAATTTATCACATAACGCTGAGGGGGTTGCATGTGAGGGATGGCAAGATGGTTAACACGCAGGTAAGCGGGACCATTTATTTTTTGAGCCCCCCCCCCTCCTCTAACGGATCATAAATTGATTATAGTGGAAAAGTGCGAGCTCACAAATTTGCTCGATGGCTTGGAAGGACGATATGTTGGCTGTTGGCGATGTCGAGGGCTCGCTGGTGGTTTGGGACCTCGGCAAACGGCAATCGAGACAGGTTCGAGATGTATCGCATTCGAGAATCATGAAAATGGCGTTCTCGCGACTTGCTGGCGATCACACGATGGCGGTTTTGCATGCCAGGTGAGAGTTTTGGGCGAAAAATTATTTGAAAAAATAATAAAACTTGAAAATTTATTGAAAAATTGGAATTTTGATCTCAAATTGGTCATTTTTTGATAAACTGATATAAAAATTTGAGTTTTGAGCTGAAAATTGTAAAAATTTCTGCAAATGCCCATATTTCGATGGATTTCGCCAATTTTTACGGAAATACACAAAAAAAAATGATTTTTCAGTAAAACTTTACGAAAAATTGAGATTTTGTAAATTTTGAAACCAATATTAACAAAAATGGCAGTTTTTGAAGATTTTTCTCTTAAAAATTGAAAAAGAACATTGATTTTTAGCGAATTTTGAGCCTGAAGTGTTCAAAATAATGAAAAATGGCTATTCAGGCAAATTTTTAGCTGAAAATGTCAAGTTTTGGCCAATTTTGACCAAAAAATGTGAGAAAAATTGAGAAATGATACATTTTGGATAAATTAGTGCGATTTTTTAAATTTTGGAGGCCCAAAATCACAAAAAGTTGAAAAATTGAAAAAAAAAAATGACGAATTTTGACCAAAAAATGATAAATTTTTGATAAATTAGTGCGGTTTTGCAAATTTTGAGCCGCAAAATCACAAAAAGTTGAAAAATTGAAAAAATGACGAGTTTTTACCAATTTTGACCAAAAAATGATAAATTTTTGATAAATTAGTGCGATTTTTCAAATTTTGGAACCGCAAAATCACAAAAAGTTGAAAAATTGCAAAAAAAAAAGTGCCGATATACGTGCAGAGAAGTGACGTTGTGGGACACGGAAGCGATGACGCGATTCCAATCGATTCGAACCGACGCGTCGCGTTGGTGTCTCGACGCCGATCTGTGCGGCATCTCGCCGCTGGTCCTCACCAATGACAGCCACCTTCGGCTGATAGTGAGCGACGCGAAAAACGCGCACATCGCCGACAAAGACGTTCCATTTTTGTGCAACGACGAGATATTGACGGAAATTCGCCGAAAATTTGCCGATGCCGCCGTCGGCGACGACGACGACGACAACGACGACGAGACGCCGATAATGGCGGCGATTCGATGGCTCCTCAAAACTCGACGAGTCGTTTCGAGCTCCTCGTCGAGCAGTTGCGACGTGACGCGACTCCGCAACGAGCGGCTCGTTCAATTATTCGCCGGCAATCGATTCGGCGCCGACGTGTTGGCGGTGATTTGCGACAAATTGGCGCCAAACGGCGAGCATTTGGCGCCCGATTTGCAATTGTTCTGGAACAACGAGGATTTTAAGGTTCGGTGTTGCGAGATTTTCAGCATTGGCTTTCGTTTATCCTCTTTATTTATTATTTCTTTTTTTTTTAGAAACGTGAAAGTCGTGTGATTTGTGCGGCTTGCGATTCGCCGTCGGCTCTCGAAGGCCGACTGGTCGAGCAGGCCGTTGTTGTTGGTGGCGTCGCCAAGGTAATTATGCGCCATTCACCAAGTGATTCGCAAAATTTGGTAGCGGGTCTCCCTAGCGAACGAATTAGGAATGAACCCGTCCGATCTTTGTAAGAGACTCATATCTAAAATGGTTGCGGACGTTTCGCGGGTTTCGCGCATCTCGATATTTTGTATGCGCGACGCCCGTTGAGGTCCTCTCATTGAAAAGATGGGGATGCGCGAAACCCGTGAAACGTCGGCAGCCGAACGAAGTGTTAATCTCTCTTCTGCCATTTTGAAATTGAACAGAAATCATTCGTCGGGCCTTCCGCAAGACCCACGATTCTACCAATTTTTGCAAATCCCTTCCCTTTTAGGGGGGAATGGGATAATAATTCAATTGATAAGAGTTAATTAGCTAAACTAATTAATTTGAAGGAGAAGGTGACGGATCGATTGATTGTTTCGTCGGATTTGCGGTATTCGAGCATCAAAGCAGCGTTGTTGGTTTCGAATCAGGATAATGAGAAGGTGAAGCGACAAGAAAAAAAGAAATGGGCGTTTCTCGCCAAGCCCTTTTTTTTCAAATGGTGTCCAATTTTCAGGCGAAATCGCTCATCAAATTGATTGCGACGAATCTGATCGCTTCGGATATGATCGAAGATGGTGTCGAACTCTTGTTTTTGGTGGGATCCGGTGGCGACGCGTGCAAGTACCTTCAGTCGCAGAAATTGTGGACGCAGAGTATTGTGTACGCCAAGGTATGTGAAAGCGCGGGGGGGAATTGCGATTTTTTAATGGTCCCATCCCTTTTTGTAGCTTGGAATTGCAGTAAGCAAGCCATTTTTTTTGTTTTGCTTTCAGATGGGCCTGTCGGATCCATCGGAAGTCGAATCGAAATGGATCGGTCATCTCGTCGAAGTGCGACAGACGCGAGTGCTCGCGTGCGCCGCGCGTCGCGACTGGCCGATCGTCGTCGATTCGATATCGGCGTTCGACGCGACGCTGGCTCGAATGATCCTCCAGACGACGACATCGTCGCCACCATAGGAAAAAAGAAACGAAAATGAGAAACCATTCATGTGACATGTATATATAATACATAAGCGTTGTGTGTACGTCTTTTTTTTTGTGCGTTTTTAAATGAATACAAAATCGACGGGGAAAAAAAAATCAAAATCGGGAATCATTTTGATGGCGCGCGAAAGACGAAAGGCATCCTCTCCGAAACGTGTTTAGAAAAAACGATATACGAAATAGATTTGATGAGATCAAGAGAACATCAACAAAAAAAAGAGACGGAAAAAAAGTCGGAATGATCAAGCCGACGATGAATACTCTTCGTCCTCGTATTCCTCGCGACTCGCCGGTCCCGATGAGGCGTCGCCGAGATTCTGATCGCCGCGCGGATCCAATTCGGCCGCCCAACTATAATTGAGCAACGCCAAATGGGTGCTGCCGACGCGGCGGTGAACGCGTGCTAAACGAAATTTTCATTTTTTTTTGTTTTTTGATAAATTGCCGGCTCACCTAATAAGTGAAAAACGAAAGCCTCGTCCGGCGAGCTGTTCTTCAATTTGTTCAATTCGTCCAAACATTCCTCGTTTCGTTTCGCCTCGAACAACAAACGCGCTCGGTTGAATCGACACGCGATATCCATGGGATTGAGCGAAATCGCCTGAAGAGAGTGAGAGTGAGCAAATTGAAATGTTTGGTCTCGCGGCGAACACGAGAACCACAAAATTCGAAAAACCTTGTCGATGAGAGCGAGCGCTTGATCGGTCCGTCCTCGCTGCTGCTCAATTTGCGACAGTGTGCAAAGCATTGCCCGATTCGTCGGATTGATGCTGATCGCTTTTTGGATGTTTGTCTGAAAACACACACACACAAATTTTGGTACATATTTAAAGGCGCATAACAAATTTCTTTAAAATTGCTTCATGCGCCTTTAAATACGCTTCTAAAATTGATATATTTAAAGGCGCACGCCAAATTGTTTTATGCGCCTTTAAATAAACTTCTAAAATTGCTATATTTAAAGGTGCATGGCAACTTGCTTCATGCGCCTTTAAATACGCTTCTAAAATTTCTGTATTTAAAGGCGAATGTCAACTTGCTTCATGCGCCTTTAAATATACTTCTAAAATTGCTATATTTAAAGGCGCATGGCAAATTGCTTCATGTGCCTTTAAATACACTTCTAAAATGTTTGAATTTAAAGGCACACTGCCATTTTCGCTACAAATCGACTATTCAAAAGCACATCGTCGATTTCATTTTTTATCAAAAAAAAAATTCAAACAGCATAACCCCCAAAAATTACCTGCGCCAGCGCATTTTGCTCCTTTTTGAGATGCACCAATCCCAAACCGTACCACGCTCGATAATCGCGTGGGCACAAATGAATCGCCGCTCTGAATCGATCAATACTCTGTGTGTCGCTCGTCGAATCACTCACCGAAACGAGCCGGCTGCTTTTTCGAGCTCGTCTTGAACAATCAACTCGTGCCCTAATAGGGTGTAGGCGTACGCGAAATTCTTGTCCAATTGCAACGCGCGTTCCATGCATTCGACGGCTTGGACGTGCTGAAAACGAGCAAAAAATGAGATAAAATGCGAAAAATCGAATTTTTCAAAAAATTCTTTTTTCTGGAAATCTGAAAATATTCAAAAATTCCACTCCAAAATGACTATTCTCGAGGTGTTTTTTTTTTTAAATTCAATTGCAAAAATCGTCTTTTTTTTGCGAAAAATATGATTTTACATCATTTTTTACCCAAAAATTAGGAAAAAATAAAACTAAAAAATACCTGTCGCTGCAACGAGAAACAATTGCCGGCGACGCACCAGCTCTGCGGACGCTCGCGCGCCTCCGTCGTCAGCTTTTCGGCCAAACTCGACAAATTGTGCGCGTCTTGGAGGTGCCACAACGACGTCGACAACAATTCGGTGCCGTCGACGCGCCACGGCCGACGCGAGTACAATTCGTTGAGAATGTTGCGGCATTCGCCGTATTCGGCCTGCTCGAAACACGCGCGTCCGAGTTGATAACGCGCCAGCGACGTGTTCAGCAGCACGTTTCGGTCAAGGTTCTCTGCAATTCCAAAATTCATCGAGAAATTCTTACTCTCAAAAAAAAATGTGAAGCTTTCAAAATTCATTTTTCCAATTCTTGTCATAGTCGGCGTCCGGGGGGCGACTGCTGTACGCGGGTAGATTTACGGGAATGCGTCTTTCGCTTGGTCTCGCAAGGAATTTTATGGACCGATTCGACAATTTTTTAATCGAATATCGTTGGAAATGCGAAATTCGTCAAGAAAAATGAAGTAGTTCACGTGGCGAGACATTTTCAAGGCGCATGCGCGTAAATCTACCCACGCACAGCAGTCGCCGGACGCCGACTATTTTTTATATTTAAATTAAAATTTTTTTAAAATTAGTTTAAAAATTTAAAAATTGCAATTTGAAGCATTAAAAAAACTTCGGCCACGGCCACGTTTTTCGAAGCCCTACAGTATCGTATTAAATCGCTGGGAGAATTTTTAAAATGGTGTATATGCGCCTTTAATTACGAATTTGACGACACGATAAAAATTTTATGGGTCTTGCAGCGATTTAATAAAAGCTATGGGAGATACTGTAGGACTTCGAATAACCTGACAGTGGCCGAGTTTTTTTTTTGGCGTTTGTTGTGGTCCCATTAAAATTTAAAAGAAAAATTCAAATTATTTGAAAAAAATGGCAATCCGATTAATTTATTCTAAAAGTGGTACACTCCGTAAATTTGGAGTGTCGTTTTTATCATCAAATTCACAATTTTCAAGATTTTTTCATTCTTTCAAATTTCGGCCAAAATTCTCTACAAAAAAAAAGAAGACGACGAAATCATCGAAAAATGCTCTCAAATAGAACAATTCAGAGAAGAGGCGTGTTCGCATCGAGACCCATCTCATAAATAAATGGCGTGCGTCTTGAAACTCCATTTTTTTGCGTTTTTCGTCAAAAAAAAGTTTTTTAAAGGCGCACGTCATTGATTTATGCGATGGGTCTCGATGAGAATACACCCAATCTGCATTGATTTTTATCGTCTAAAAAAAGAGGAATCACTTACGAAGAAGCCGATCGGTTCGTCTCCAGCTATAGCGCAAAATCGACTCTTCAATCCGAACCATTTTCAGGTAGACGTCCATGAATTCGCCTAAAATTCAAAAAAAAAATTGTAAGATATACGCGTTTTTGAGCATTTTTACGATATTCATCGGTGAACGCCGGCTCTCGCGCGTTTTCCGCGCTCTCGACGCCCTCCGAGTGTTGCGAAGCGGCGGCGACGCCGCCGGCGGCGCCCGATTCGTGCGACGACGGCTCTTCGACGTTTTCGATGAGCTCGTTGGCCGTTGATGACACCTGCAAGACGGAAATTTGTTTTCTATTTTCTTTTCGCGAAATTTTGAATACCGAATTCGTCGATCCCGACAGACTGCGGACGAGATTCGAGTTTCGCGAGCTCAACGGCTGTTTGATGTCGCGTTTGCGTCCCGACGGCGATTTTCCCGCTTTCGCTTCCGCGTATCGCGTCGAACTTCGCAAATTCTGAACCTGAATCGTCATTAATTCGGGTTTCTCCAAAAAAAAAGAAATGCAACAAAAAAAGCCCCGGCTTTTTTTCGAGAATTTTTCTTCGCTGCAAGACCTTGCCGGTTTGTTAAGGAATATTTGCGGTAGCTGTTCTTCGACAAAAAAAAAAAAGAAAAACCCACTTTTGGTGTCGATCCGCGACTCGACGGCGTCGCCGAGCTTCGTCCGCGCGTCGGCGCCGTCGCGTTCATGTTTTCCGTGTCCGACGAGAGAATCGGACTGTAAAATAAAAAGAAAATCTCGATTGTTGGGTCGAGATTCGCCTACTTGGCTCGCGATGATCGCGACGAGCCGGCGGCTTCCGTCGAGCTCGACGCTCTCGTCGCCTGCGAGATGCGCCGCGACGCCATTTCGCTCAATCGCGAGCTTTTGCGTGGCGCCGGCGGCGCCGCAATTCCCGCCTTGATTCCGCCAATCGGCGTCGAGCGCTCGTCTGAAAATTTCGCTCTCATTCGTCCAAACTCTCACCAATGCAATGTTCAACTTTTCGACGACGTCGCTTTTTTCAGCTTCTCCTTCTCGTCGACGACGTCCGCCTGCAATTTGATGACCTCGCCGAGATCGGCGAGCGTTCGTTGACAACCGCGCTCGGCGGGCGGCATTCTGAAAGAGAAATGAAACAGTACGATTTTAATTAATGCTTCTTCTTTTTTTCGTCGAATCGAGTGGTACTGTAGTTGGCGTGCGTCCGCAGGTACACGGCGACGAGAAAATGCACCAAACATCACTCACTTCCCCTCGTAGACGCGCATCCGATGCGGCATCAGCAAATCGTTGATATTTTTGCCGCCGAATTGAATGTACATACAAATTGCGGACCACGCGAGAATACAGCGCTCCAAACCGCGACGACACTGCTCGACGGCGTCGTCGGTTTGCGATTCGTGCCTCAAATATGACATCGATGCAATTTTTTTTTGCAATTTTTCAAACCCTAAAAGTTTCGCGTAGAGAAAGAGCACATGGGCGGCCAATTCGGAGTCTTCGAGGAATTCCGGTCGTAATTGGCCGGTCTCGGAATCCATGAGCGTCTGACGGCATTCGTCCATTCTAAAATGTTGATTTTTTTTTTCAAATTGAAATTTTTTGGAAAAAAAATGAGAAAAATTGAAATTTTTTTTTTTTAAATCATGATTACTTGTTCAATTCGAAGCAACATTTGGCGAATAGGAATCGCGTTTGAGCACCGGCGGTTTTTCTCGTCAAAAGTAGGCCGAAAACCTGGAAGTTGGGAATTTTTTTTGGGTGAAAAAATGAAAATTCGAACCTGCTCTTTGCGATTCGCGCGCATCAGACAATCGGCGTACAAAAATAGACTATCATTTGTCATTTTTCTTTCGTAATTGAATTCGGCTAATACTATGGCATCATCGAACGCGTAGAATTTGAGCAAACTCAGAATTTCGTCCTGAAAACAAAAAAAAATGAAAAAAAAGCAACAAGAAATCATTCTTTTCAAACCTCTATTTTGCGATTCCGATGCGGAAATTGAAATTTACTATAATATTGTCGAAAATCCTCTTGCGTTTGAAGCGACCCGACCGCCGTTGGTGTCATTTCACTGAAAAAAAATGGGATTCAAATATAAATTGCGTCGAATTTGATGATGCGACATTACACAAAGCGAGAAATCGATTTTTACTATCAACGCGCAAAAACGGACGAAATCGGTGGCTTCTTCGACGGCAGAAGAAGAAAAAAAAACGAAGGTGGGGGAGAATTGCGCGTCGTGTGTGGTGTTTGCGGACGCCGGCGTGCAGAATTGCCTACCGTACCATCAACGCATTTCGCACATTTCGAAAATCGCGCATTTTTCGAATTTTCTCATTAGCAAATTGGCCAATTTTAACAAATTAATTGTTTTCAATAAAAATTGCTCTTTTTTTTGTAGATTGAATAATGTCGCTGGCCGAAGAATTGCTCGCTGATTTTGACGATGACGATGATGAGGATTTTGAGATGCCTGAAGACAACGATGCGCCAGAATTCAAGGTTTTTGCATTTTTCGAATGATTTTATTGTCATTTTTGTTTAGAATGTTAAAATGGAGGAAGAGGAAATTGAAGAAGCCATTGAAGAGCCAGCCGATGGTGGGGTGAAGTACGATTCGGTGCATGACGTCGCGAAGTTGGCGAGGTCCGAACGGTATTTGGAATTGGTCCGACAACTTCACGCCGAATTGGAGAGGCCCGCCGATGAGGTTAAAGTGACGGCACCGCTCGAAGCGGACCCCCAATATCAGCTCATCGTCAAATTATCGCATGTGAGTTTTTAACAATTTCGATTTTTATGCGTAAAATTAATTTTCTTTTTGAGGTTTTTGATGGCTAAGGCTTTTTTTGGGGAAATAATGAAAAAATTAAAGTATTCTTTGACATTTTAGCCGAAAAATTGGAAGATTTTCAAAAATCGGAGATTTTTTCAACAAATTGAGTGATTTTGAGAGAAAATTGTGTATTTAAAAAATTATTGCTGATTTTTTTTTAGAAATGAGCTGAAAATCAATAAATTCGATTAAAAATTTTAAATTTTTATTTATTTGAGGCACTTGTTGGGAAAAATTTCAGATTTTTAACAAATTTGCGAAAATCTTGAAAGTTTTGCCAAAAAATGTAGAGTTTTCGAAAAAACTTATTGGTACTTGAATAATTTATTCAGAAAATTAATTTTAAAACAAAAATGAGGCAAAATTAATTGGTTGTAATTTTTTTTTTTGGAATTTTTTAAAGGAAATTGATATTTTCTTTGGCATTTTAGGCGAAAATTTGCAAGATTTTAAAAAATTGCTGGTTTTTACGTGAAAATTTCCATATAATCGAGAAATTTGCAGAGAAAATTGTAAAAAATTTAGAATTGATTCGTTTTTTTTGAAGAAATGAACCAAAAATATGTGAAAATTGCAGATTTTTCAAAAAAATTTTTTGAACTTCATAAAATTAGTAAAAAATTTTGAGAACTTTTTTCAAGAATTCAGAGTATTTGAGAAAATTGATAAATTATGGTAATTTTTCAACAAAATTGAGGTGAAATTCAGATAAATTTCGAGAATTTGACAATTTTTTACCGAGAAACGCAAAATTTTTGAAAATATTGTGAATAAAACACCAAAATTGATTTTTTTTTAAGAATTTGAAAATTTCACCAAAAATTGAATGGAAATTCGAAAAAATAGGAGAATTTGACAAATTTTTCTCAAAATTTCGATTTTTTTTTGAAACGTTATCAATATTTGTGAAAAAATTGAAAAAATTGACAATTTTTTTTAAAAATCGTGAATTTTATGGTGTCTTTCCAAAAATTGATATTTCTCGCTGAAAATTAATGCGATTTGAAGTAGTTTTTTAAGACTTTAAAATTTTCACCAAAAATTGAGTCGAAATTCGAAAAAATTGAAAGAAATTGACAATTTTATTTAAAAAAAAATGCGATTTTTGGTGTCTTTTCAAAAAATGAGACTTCTAGCTGAAAATTAATGCAATTTGAGTTAGTTTTTTGAAGAATTTAAGATTTTCACCAAAACTTGATCGGAATTTCGAAAAAATTGACAATTTTATCAAAAAATCGCGAATTTTTTGGTGTCTTTTCAAAAATTGAGGTTTCTCGTTGAAAATGATTACAATTTGAGGTAGTTTTTGAAGAATTTAAGATTTTCACCAAAAATTGAGTCGAACTTCGAAAAAATTGAAAGAAATTGACAATTTTATCAAAAAAATCGCGAATTTTTTTGGTGTCTTTTCAAAAAATGAGGTTTCTCGTTGAAAATGATTACAATTTGAGGTAGTTTTTGAAGAATTTAAGATTTTCACCAAAAATTGAGTCGAACTTCGAAAAAATTGAAAGAAATTGACAATTTTATCAAAAAAATCGCGAATTTTTTTGGTGTCTTTTCAAAAAATGAGGGGTCTCGTTGAAAATGATTACAATTTGAGGTAGTTTTTGAAGAATTTAAGATTTTCACCAAAAATTGATTGGAAAAAAGCATTGATCAAAGCATTTTGTGATTCGTTTTCATGCAGTTGGCGGCCGACATCGACAGCGAGATCAATGTGATTCACAAATTCGTTCGCGACAAATACGAGAAGCGTTTTCCCGAATTGGAGACGCTCGTGCCGAATCCGCTCGATTATCTCGCCACCGTCCAATTGTTGGGCAACGACATCAACACGAAAGGCCAGAACAAGGAGTTGCTGAGTCGAATTCTGGCGCCGGCGGCGTGCATCGTCGTCAGTGTGACGGTGTCGACGACGCAGGGCACGAAATTGGAGGCCGACGAGCTGCACGCCGTCACCGAGGCGTGCGATTTGGCCGAACAACTGCACACGGTGAGTAGTGGCTTGTTCGAGTTCGGACCCCCTTTTTTTGGTTTTGCAGGATCGCCTCTCGATGCATCGACTCGTCGAATTGCGAATGGCGCTGATTGCGCCGAATTTGGTCAATTTGCTTGGCGCGTCGACGACGGCGCTTTTGGTGGGTCCGAGAAATGGAATTCAAGAATTGGGGGAAATACCGAAAAATCGAATCTTTTTGGTGGATTCGCTTCGAGACCCATAGCATTAATCAACGGCATGCGTCTTGAAACTACCCGTTTTTTTCCGTCTTTTTGCTAATTATGCGATGGGTCTCGATGCGAATTGAATTTTTAAGGAATTTTGCTGATTTTTTTTAATGAAATGCCCTTATTTAAGCGAATTTTAAGACGCAGGCCGTTTTTTCATCGATGGGTCTCGCAACGAAACACGAGTTTCTTTGATTCGTTTTTTTTCTTCATTGCCCCCATCAAAAAAAAAAAGCCAGACTTGTTAAATCAACTTTGAGAAAAAAATTTGAAGTCAATTCTACAACGGTTTTTTTTTGGGGGGTACAAATTTTGCCGAAATAAAACGAGGGCGTTTACGACGCTCCGCACAAGCGGTCTGAAAATTCAAAATAATAGAAAATTGGTTGATTTTTTGCGTGATTGCGGACTTTTGATGCTACCGTAACGCACGATTCAAACAAAAAAAAATTTTTTTAGGTCTCCCAAGCCGGCGGTCTTGCGCCGCTATCGCGAATGCCGGCGTGCAATGTGCAAGTGCTCGGCAAACAGAAGAAGAATCTCGCCGGCTTCTCGACGGCGACGATGAATCCGCACAACGGCTTCGTCTACTTCCATCCGCTGGTCCAATCGATGCCGCCCGACTTTAAAGGGTTCGTTCGTTGGTTGATTGGTGGCGAAAGAATTTCAAGAAAAACAAAAAAAAATGATTGTAGGAAGACGGCGAAAATTTTGGCGGCAAAAGCGACGCTGGCGGCGCGAATCGACGCCCAACACGAATCGCCGAGCGGCGATCTCGGCAAAGATTTGTTGGAGGAAGTTCGGAGGAAGATGGAGAAGATGCTCGAACCGCCGCCGGTGAAGGCCAACAAGGCGCTTCCGAAGCCGTTGGACAAGGTGGGATAAAAAAGAAGAAATGAAAAATGGGATTTGCTTTTTTTTTGAGGCAAGCAAAAAACGCGGCGGTCGTCGAATGCGCAAAATGAAAGAGCGTCTCGGCATGACGGAATTGCGCAAAAACCAGAATCGCATGAATTTCGGCGAGTTGGCCGAAGACGTGATGCAAGAGCACATGGGCTTCGATTTGGGGCAGGCGAAAGGCGGCAATGTGGCCGGCGGGCGAATTCGCGCGGCCGTCGTCGATCAGAAGACGCGTGTGCGAATGTCGCAGAAGCTTCAACGACAATTGGAGAAGCAGCGAGGCGGCGGCGGCGGCGGATTGACGAGCGTTCGAAGCAAGATCGCCGGAACCGCGTCGTCGGTGACGTTCACGCCCGTCCAGGGTTTGGAGATTGTGAATCCGTCGGCGCAGGAGAAGCCGCAGGCGTCGTCGTCGTCGTCCAATTATTTCTCGTCGTCGGGAAGTTTTGTGAATATTGATCGAATGACGTTGTAAGCGAATTGATGGTGGCTCTGTTTCTTTTTTATTTTTTCTTGATTCTGAGAAGGTTTTTGAAGAAGATTTGAGAAAATTTGGGCAATTTTTGGGCAACTATCTTTTTTTTTTGCAAAAAAAAATTCGATATGGCTTTAATTTTTCCATCGATTTTCATAATTTCAAAAAGAAAATGAATTTAAGCTTTAATTTTTACCTTCTAAAATGTGCCAACTTGTTTGAATTTCCCGAATTTTCCGGAAAATTTTCTCTCGAAAATCTTGTGCTCATTTTCGTTCCCCATTCCAACATTTGTTTTTGATTATTTTTTGTATTTATTCATCTTATTTTCGTTGAAAATTGTCCGTCGCGAAATAAAGCGTTGATTTTGTCCATTTTTGGCTGAAAATTGTGGATATTTCCGGAAAAAAAACGAAAAATTTTGAAAATTTCTAAATGCACAGTATACATTGTGATACAGTAACGCAGTTCGCGCAAAGACCCGAGGTGACGTTTGTCGAAATGCGCCTTTGATTGTTTTCGATTACTGTAGACATTTTTTTCTATTTCCCGTTTTTTCTTTGCATTTTCTAGCGAAAAATCGAATCTTGGCGCATTTTTTGTGAAAAAAAAACGGACGCCAATCGATTAGTCGTCATTTATTGCGCATAGTCCGCAGCTAATAATAAGTAGCGTTGCTTTTTTTAGACAAAACCCACCAATGAGCTGAGATATGCACATTTTTCATTGAAATTTTCGATACGAAATTGATTTTTGTGCTGATATTGCATATTTTGGTTTGATTTTTGCAAAAAATCGAATGAATTGATTATTTTTTGCAGGATTATCGATGAGAGACGGGTTTTTTGTGGTGATTTTTGCAATTTTTCGAATCGCCTATGGATTCGATTATGCGTTGGCCAAATTGGCCCTCGAATTTTCAGGTTTTTCGTCAAAAAATAATACAAATTTTGTGATTTTTGATATGATTTTCTAGCGGCCGCTTATGCCATCGATCCGTGGCCATGCGCTTTGAAAAATAATGGAACTGTGTTGTACGTGAAAACGGCGAAGTGCGATGTGCTGAATGATGAGGTAAAACTGAGCTTCAAATGAGAAATTTCAATTTTCTCTGCAAAAAATTTGACAAAATTGATAAAAATTGGCTAAATTTCGAGTTTTTTTTGCTCAAAAGCGAAATTTTTTTTTGAAAATTTCAGAAATTTTCATTTTCCTGGACGAAATAGGAAATTGTTTGCTAAAAATTGAAAAATTTGCTCGAAATTTTCAAAAAATTGTCATTTTCGTGCAAAAAATTTGACAAAATTGAAAAAAAAATTGCCAAAATCGGAATATTTTGCTAAAAAAAAACGAAAAATTTTGCTCGAAACTTTCAAAGATTTTCATTTTTTCTGAAAAAATTCGACAAAATTGGAATTTTTTTTTGCTTTTTGCTCGAAACTGAAAAAAATTCACAAAGAAATGGGCAATTAGATTAGTTTTTTACTCAAAAAAATTGCATCCAAAAGCAATTTTTCAATTTTCCAGTGTTGGAGTGTCATCGGTGCCACCAAAACCGAGCTATTCGTCAGTTTCAGTGGGACCAAGTCGAAAGAGCAACTCGTCACCGAGCTATTGGAAAGTATTGGTCGGCCGAAGCATAAGGTAGCAATTCGAAATAATTGCCCAAATTTGGTATCATCTTAATATACATATATGTCGTCAGCGTTTTGAGAGACTGTGTACAATTGAGAGAGTGCAAGGCGATATGAGAAAACAGACAGCAAAAATTCTCGCGCCAGGGGGGATCGAACCCGCGACCTCCACAGTAATGAGTCCAAAAGCTTCGCACTGCGCCAATACGTGATTACGAAACCTTGCTATAACTTGAGGGCAAGTGCCACACATCGCGCCATCTGCCTTTGACCACGAATGCATTTGAATTGCCGCCGTGGGTCTCGCGTGGAAATACTCTCAAGATTGAGTTTTTCTAAATTTAACCAATATAATATGAAAAAGTATAATTTCCAATGAAATTTTTGAGTAGTTTGATTATTTTTAAATATTCTAAGGAATTGTCAAAAATGATTGATTGTTTTTTTTTTGCAGTTGCACAACGCGGGCTCCGTCCACTACTACTTCTATTCGGCGCTCAAATCGATGTGGCACTCGCTGAGCGCGGTTCTGAATGAGTTCGTCGACATCATGCCGAAGCATCGCATCGTCTTCACCGGCCACTCGTTGGGCGGCGCGCTCGCGAGCATCGCCTCGACGATATTCGCGCAAAACCATCCGCAAATGTCGAATCGCACGTTTCTGATCACATTCGGACAGCCGCGCGTCGGAAACATCGAGTACGCGATGAGGCACGACGAATTGGTCGCCGGCGGCAGTTGGCGAATCGTTCATGCCATTGATATTGTGCGTTGCTATTTTTTTTTTTTGATTTTTTTTGGGCTAAAAATTGCAAAATTATTACAATTCTGACGGAAATACGCAAAAATTGCTGTATTTAGTCGAAAAATTGGGAAATTCGAGATTTTTTGGGTAAAAATCGACGCAATTTTCGGAAATTTACCAAAAAATGACGAAAATTGAAATTTTCTAATTTTTTTGAGGCGAAATCGATAAAATTAATGAAATTTTGATGGAAAATGGCAAAAAATTTCGTTTTTTTCGGCAAAAATTGGAAAATTTCGAGATTTTTTTGGCAAAAATTGAAACAATTTTCGTAAATTTACCAAAAAATGACGAAAATTGAAATTTTCAAATTTTTTTTCAGGCGAAATCGATAAAATTACTGAAAACTTGATGGAAAATGGCAAACAATTGAATTTTTAGTATTAAAATTGAAAAATTCAAGATTTTTTAAGCAGCAAAAATTGAAGAAATTTTCGGAAATTTAACTAAAAATGACAAAAATTGAAATTTTCAATTTTTTTGAGGTGAAATCAATAAAATTAATGAAATTTTGATGGAAAATTGCAAAAAGTTGAAAAATGCGAGATTTTGTAGGCAAAAATTGAAGAAATTTATCCTAAATTGGCGAAAATTGCATTTTTTTTGGTGGAGAAAATTTGATGATTTTGGAGAATTTTTCAAAAAAATCGAAATCAATTTCAAAATGGCATGGGTCTCGACGCGAAACGCGATTCAGGTCGCCCATATTCCGATGTGCGTCGAGAGGCTCACTCGTCCGATCTCGTGTATTCCGTTCTACAATCACGGCTCCTATCATCACGGCACCGAGATTTGGTTTCCGGCCAACATGACCGACGGCGACGAGTATCGAGTGTGCGACGGAACGCCGATCAACGAGGACAACTCGTGCAGGTTTTTTCCCGTTTTTTCCGTTTTTTTTTTGGTGGCTTCCGCAAGTCCGCAGTGTTGAGCCCCCCCGTGTTTGCACAATTTCGACTTTTTTTTTCTCCTCACTAATTTTTCGCTGCAAAATTCGATTTTTGAAATTCGCCGCTCAAAAATTGGTGCAAACACGCCGAGTGAATATTGCGGACTTGCCAGAGGTTTTGAGTTCTTGAGAAATCTCAAAGATTTCAGCAATTGTGGACCAACGCATTTTTTTTTGGAAGGCGGCAATTCAAATTTTGATTTCATCAAAAGATATTTAAAGGCGCACCGGCGGCGAAAAATTGTTGAAATTGTATTTTTGGCAAAAATTTCAAATTTTCCGATGTTCTTTTTTTTGGCGAAAAATCGCCAGAATTGAGTGAATTTGAAAAATTGGTGCAAACACGCCGAATGAATATTGCGGACTTGCCTTTAATGCTTCAAAATTTGAGAAAAAAATTTTAGAGGTTTTGATTTCTTTGAAAATCCTTTTAAAAAACGCTTGAGCAATTGTGGACCATCGCTTTTTCATTTTTTTGGAAGGCGGCAATTCAAATTTCGATTTCAACAATGCTTTCTTTTGCGAGTGTGTTATAATTAAAGGCGCACCGGCGGCGAATTGAGCAAAAATTGTTGGAAAAATTGCAAATTACCCATTTTTCTGTTGAAAATTCGCCAAAATTGGCATTGTTGATTGGAAAAAGTTGGAATTGATAAGAGGAAAACTGGTTTTTTTCGAAATTCGGCATTATTTTTAGAGAAAAAATTGAAAGTTTGAGGATTTTTGGGGGAAAATTGGCGAAAAATGCGATTTTGAGCAAAAAAAAAATGGATTTTTGAAATAATATTTCCAGCAACGCTCAACGCTTCTACGACATCAACGACCATTTGTTCTATTTTGGGCATCATGTGTCGAATTACGGTGATAATGGATGTGTTGATGATTGAAGCGGCACGAGACCATCAAATTTTGGTCTCGCATTGAAAAAAAAAAGACCGAGAAAAATTTGGGCGAAAAAACGCGGCAGCTGTTCGACGGCGGCGAAATAGCGCGCGATTTCGAGAGAGCGCAGACAATTGTATTCCGTTCGAACCCACTATTTTCTTCTATTTCACCATCTTCACCATCTTTATCGTCGTCCTCCTCACCGCCGTTTTATTTGATTCGATTTTGTTGTTGTTCAGTTCTCATTTTTGTGCAGAAATGATTTTTTTTTGTTTGAAAATTTGGACGTGATTTGTCGACTCGGTGAATGCACAGATGTTGCCTACCGTAACTGCGACTATTGAAATATTGCAATGAAATTGTTTGATTGCGAATTTTGACGAATAGTATGAATTTTAGAATGATTTATAGCATGTTTGTTGCGAATTTTGCCAACTAGAAGGAAATTGAGAATTTTGAAATCGCATTTTGTGCGGAAATCCCGTGGTTTTCTTTTTTCCCCCCCACGAAAGCCACAATTTTTTTTGCTTAAAAAATCAATTTTTGAGTTGTTGCACAAATTATTACCACTTTGCTTCAAAATATTCCATTTTTGATTGCTTTAATTTTTTTTGTGTATTTTTTTTGTGAAATAAAAAAAATTCGATTTTCCCACAAATTTTGACATTTTTTTGAAAATAAATAATTGAAAAGTCACTTAGAAAATTGGGTTTTTAAGTGGAAATCGAAAATTGGTTCGAAAATCCGAAAATTTCATTGCAAAATTGGGTGTGACAGCGAAAATCGTCGTCATGGCCGTGGCCGAGAAAATTCGGCGGCCGTCTCGCGAACAGTTTTTTGTTGTTGTAAAAATCGCGCGCGCGCGCCTCCGCCGCCAAAAATATTGCAATTTTCGATGGTATTTTCAAAAATCGACGAGACGGCCGACGAAATGACGCAAGTGAGTGACGAATCGCCCGCTAATTACCGCCACCATAATTAAATAATTGTTTTTTTTTAATTGATAATTGTAGAAGAAAATGCCGGGACCGGCGGGTGTTCCGCAACGAAAAATGACGTATTTCGTGCCGAAATCGGGCGGTTTGTCGATGTGGATTTTCGCGAATCCTCGATTTTTTTCTTTCAGATAATACACGTGAGCAGGTGCGTGTGCCGAATGTCATCGCACTCGTCGGACTGCCGGCGCGTGGCAAGACCTATATTTCGCACAAATTGTGTCGATATTTGAATTGGATTGGAATTAAAACGAAAGGTTGGCGAAAAATTGCGATTTTTTACGAAAAAAATTGGTTGCTTGCCCAATTTTCGGCGAGTTTATTCAAAAAATTTGAGATTTTTAGTGAAATTTAACGAATATTCCAAAAAATGTCGAATTTTTTGGTGAAATTTTGTTTCAAACTTAAATCGACACCGAAATTTTGAAGAAAATCGAATTAAATATTATTTTGCCGATTTTTGGCGAGTTTATTCAAAAAAGTTGCGATTTTTATGACATTTAACGAATTTCCCAAAAAAATTTCGAATTTTTGTGGAATTTTTTGGTGAAATCGTGTTTCAAACTTGAATCGACATGGAAATTTTGAAGAAATCAATTTTTTTTGAAGAAAATCGAAATAGACATTATTTTGACCGAATTTCGGCGAGTTTTTTCAAAAAATTTGAGATTTTTAGTGAAATTTGACCGATTTTCGTAAAAATTTCGAGTTTTTATGGATTTTTTCGGTAAAATCGTGTTTCATCCTTAAATCGACATGGAAATTTTGAAAAAATTAATTTTTTTTTTTTTAAATTGAAAAAAATTCATTATTTTTCCGAAATTCGGTGATTTTTTTCAAAAAATTTGAGATTTTAAAAGAAATTTGACGAATTTTTCAAAAATTTCAGGTTTTTAATGAATTTTTGGCGATTTTTTTTTGGCGAAATTCTGTTTCGACATGGAAATTTTTGAAAAAAATCGAAAAAAATATTATTTTGCCGATTTTCGGCGATTTTATCCAAAAAATTTGAGATTTTAAATGAAATTGGACGAATTTTGGCAAGAAGGCGCATTTTTTCAGCGAAAATTTGAAAATGACGCCGAAATTGTTGGAAAACTCATTTCTTAATGCGAAAAATCGCGAAAAATGTGGGAAATTTGAGATTTTTGAAAAAAAAATTTCGAAAATCCTGTTTTTCGTGTTGAAATTCACGATTTTTCCGTGAAAATTCTGAAGAATTTTGATTTTGACGCGAAATTTCGAAAAATTGGAATTTTTTTGGCGAGAAACTCAAATTTTGATTCGAAAATTGTGGAAATTTTGAATTGTCGACTCGAAATTAATGAAATTCGATGAAAAATGTAAAATTTAACGCGAAAAATCGATTTTTCGCTGAGTTTGAATGGAAAATTGATCATTTTTACGAGAAAATGAGAAGAAGCTCGAAAAATGGCGAATTTCGCGTAATTTGACACCAAAAATGTTTGTTTCCTCAAGAAAATCGATGAAGAATTGAGGTTTTCGGCATTTTAGCCGATTTTGCCAAAAATTTCATGTTTTTAAAGAAATTTTTCGTGAAAAAAGGCAAAAAATCGAAATTTCGTGAAAAAAAAGCGAAATACTCTGAGAATCACTAGAAAATTGTTGATTTTTTCAAGAATCGCGCGAAAATTTTCGAAAATTGTGAAATTCTCGGAAATTTGTTAAAAGAATGTGAAAAATATTGTGAAATTTTTTCTCAAATATTGTGAAATTTTTTTGAAAATTCGTCGAAAACTCAAAAAATAATCAGAAACGAAATTTTTTTTCATCTAAATCTCACTGAAATGTGAATATTTCTGAAAATAGCTTTTAAAATTTGCGAATAAGTCTGAAATTGATCGAAAATTTGTGAAATTCTCTGAAAATCGGCCAAAAAATTCAAAATTTCGCCAAACATTGGACTTTTGCCAAAAAATTCACAAATTCACCACAAAATTGTGAAATTTTCTGAAAAATTATCAAAAAAGTTCAAAATTTCGCAAAAAAAATTGCCAAAAATTGTGAAATTCGTCCAAAAATATTCAAAAATTCATCAAAAAGCAAAATTTTGTCAAAAAAAATCGAAAAATTGGCGCAAAATTGTGAAGTTCTCGGAAAATCATCTGAAAAAATTCAAAATTTCGCTAAACATTGGACTTTTGTCAAAAAATTCACAAAATCACCAAAAAATTGTGAAATTCGTCCAAAAAAATTTTTAAAAAGCGAAATTTAGTCAAAAAAAAATCGAAAAATCAGCACAAAATTGTGAAATTCTTTGAAAAAAATGTGAGAAACCGATTTTTTCAGCGTTCAACGTTGGCGAATATCGGCGAAAAGCGTGCAAACTCGAAGAGGAAGGCGAATTCGAGTTTTTCTCGCCGAATAATGCGCGTGGTCAAAAAATTCGCGAGTAATTCGTTTTTTTTTTTCGTCTCAAATCGTCTTTTTCTCAAATAAATCATCGTTTTTTTTTAAAGCGAATGCGCTCGATTGGCTATCGAAGACATGGGCCAATATTTGGATAATAAAGAAGGCGAAGTGGCGGTTTGATTTTTTTTTTTGCTTTTTTTTGGATTTCTCGTTGCCAATTTTCTTACACTCTAGTTTTATGGGTCTCAAAATGAATTATTTGGGTTCTACAAAATCAATTATTTAAAAAAAAAAGAGCACAAATTAGGCTTAGGCTAAAATTGGTTTATAAATTTGTCAAATTTTGAAAATGCTCTTATAGGTACAAAAATTAGTCATTCGAAATTTTGCACGAATTCGGCATTTTTCCAAAACGATTCACCAACGCAGAATTCTGCACATTTGCGTCAAATACGGTGTTCGAATTCGAAATTTTTGTTGTGTTGAAAAAAAAATTTCATGGAATTTTAATCGATTTTCGGCAATTTGGTGTCAAAAAAAAAAAAAGTCGGCGAAACAAAAAAGAATGTCCATTGAATAATTTGGGTCCTACCGTGAAAATTCGGTATTTCTATTTCGAATTATCGTGGAAAAAAATTTAATAGCCGAAATTTTGATTTTTGGCAAATTGCCGAAATTTCCGATTGCCGCACAGCCCTGACCACCAATGCATTTGAATTCCCGCCGTGGGTCTCGCATGGAAAAAGCTCTTAATATTGAGTTTTGCCAAAATTCGATTTAAGCTTAAGCCTAATTTTTTTTTTGGAAATTACAACCTCTCAATTAAAAATTGTTGTTCGGAGTGCGGAAAATTGGCTTGAAAAAATTTTAAGTGGTCTCGACGCGCGGTTTTTGCGCCTTCAATCTATTCAAGACCAGCGTTTAGCCAATTTTCCGTCGACAATCGTGACGAATCATTGGTTGAATAATTTTTTGAGAGAGAATTTAAAAAAAAAAGAGAAAAAAGAACAAAAAAAAGAGAGAAATTGCAGATTTTGGATGCGACGAATACGACGCGCGAACGCCGAAAACTGCTCATCGAGTATTGTCGGAATATGATGCACGAGCCGCCGTTTCGCGTGTTCTTCGTCGAGTCGGTCTGCGATGATCCCGACATTATCAACTCGAACATCACTGTAAGCATTGATTTCCTTATTTTTTTGTTTTCATGTTTTCGCAAGGAAATTGCGATTTTTCGACGAAAATTTATTGAAAATTGGGTTTTTTCTTTGCCAAAATTTGAAAAAAATTGAATATCAAAGTTTTTTCTTGGAAAAATTAAAAAAAAATTGAATACAAAGTTTTTTTTCTCGAAAAAAATTCAAACAAATTTTTTTCTTGCATGTGAATTGCAAAAATTGCGAGTTTTCGACAAGAATTGTCCAAAAATTAAGATTTGTGCGGAAAATTTCGATTTTTTTTTCTTTTCTCATTGGCGAAACTTTGATTTTTTCCATTTTTTTTTTCAAACAAAAATTACGTTTTGCTCAAAATTTTGCTGAAAATTGATTATTCCCCGTGAAATTGTGAAATTTTTGCATTGAAATTCGCTTTTTCGATCTCATTATGATCATAATTGATTATAATTACTGTAATTAATTAAATTTGTACTTCCTGACGAACTTAAATAATGTTTTTCGAAAGACGCTGTCAAATTTGTGAATGATTAGCTGCGGACAAATTTGCGGGACGCGAAATGTTCAAAATGTATTTTTTTTGCATTTTCAGGAAGTGAAAATCAATTCGCCGGATTACAAGGGCCATATGAGCGAAGAAGAAGCGAAAGAGGATTTTCTGAAGAGGATCGAGAATTATCGAAAGCAGTATGAGCCGCTCGATGAGGAATTCGACGAGGATAAATCATATATCAAGGTTTTTCATTATTTTTTGAGCAAAAATTGAGAGAGAATTGCACTGGAATACTGTAGTTGGTTTAAAGGCGCATGACGCTCACTGGGATTTTTCGAGAAAATCTCAAATTGTATTTGAAGAGAGAAAAAAAATGAAAAATATCATATTTACCCAGTTGCAGTGAAATTTGCTGGAAAAAATGGGTTCCAGAAAAAAAATGCATTTTTTTTTCTTGTAGGTCATCAACGCTGGCAAATCGTTCTACGTGCACAATGTGAACGGACACGTTCAGAGTCGCGTCGTCTACTTTCTGATGAACATCCATTTGCTGCCGAGAAGTATTTATCTGTCGCGAGTGAGCAAATTGTTGTGAATTTCAGGAGAAATACTGAAAATTTGAGAAAAAAATGGGCGAAATTGTGAAATTTTTCGTCAAAATTCAAAAAATTTGACAAAAAAAAATAATTTCCGCAAAAATTTCCAACCGTTTTTTTATTGTCGCTCGAATTTCTCTTGAAAATCACTACAATTTAAAAAATACAATTGATTCGACTTTTTACACTAATTTTTTTCTTCTTCAGCACGGCGAAAGTGAATATAATCGAATTGGACGACTTGGCGGCGATAGTCCGTTGAGCGAGAACGGTTTGAAGTATGCCCAGAAGCTTCGCGAATATTTCGAGGTACGAATTTGTCGAAAATCACTTGGAAATCATCTGAAATCAATAAAATTTGTCAAAAAATTGGCCTAAAAATTTGAAAATAAAAAAATGGGGCGTGGCCTTGTTTTGCAATTGCCGCATGGTTGTATTGCAAGCATGCGGCGCATACTGTTTTTTTTCTCGAATATTTTTCACATTATTCGAAAAATCGTTTTTTTTCCTCCAGCAAGAAGACGTCGAAGATTTTCGCATTTGGTCGTCGCAGAAGATCCGCGCCGCCCAGACGGCATCGCATTTGAAGGATTTGGCCGGACACACCGAGTTTTGGAAGTGTTTGGATGAAATTGACGCGGTATGTCGAGATTTTTGGTTATTTGAAAATTTTTGATTGAAAAAAATGGCGTATTATTTTTTTTCTTTCTCATTGCAGGGAATTTGCGAAGGATTGACTTATGAGGATTTCGAGGCGAGATATCCGAAACAGTTCGCCGAACGTGACAAAGACAAATATCATTACCGTTATCCAAGTGGAGAGGTAGAGCTTTCACTAAAAATGGGTCCCGAGGCGAATTCCAAAACGAATTCAGCTTTTTTTTTAATCGATGAGCCTTTAAAGTGTATCAAAGTCACTAGAATTCAAGAAAAACAATTTTGGGGTCAAAATTGGGTCCCACAAATGGGATTCGCTTTTTTTTCAGTTTTTGAATAAGAAATCAGTTTTATTTAAATTCTAGTGAGGGAATTTTGGGGATATTCTTTTTTTTCTAGAGTTATGAGGATCTTGTTGCTCGCCTGGAGCCGGTCATCATGGAATTGGAGCGTCAGTCGAATGTTCTCGTCATTTCGCATCAGGTTGACAATTTTTCAATTTTTTTTCCGTGTTCAATCCGCAATTTTCGGTTTTTCAGGCGGTTCTTCGCTGCATTCTTGCCTATTTTACGAACCGAAATCGCGACGACTTGCCATATTTGAAGGTATCTTGTGGATTATTGAGAAACAAAATGCGAAATTTTGCATTTTGCCGCGCTTTTCCTTTTGTTATTTTTGAAAATTTCGCATTTTTTCGCACTCCATTGGCCGTTGGTAGCAGATTTTGATGAAAAGTATGAAAAATTGTGAGAAAATTGAGAATTTTGATGAGAATGTTGAAAGAAAATTGGATTTTGAGCATTTTGCAATCTTTTTTTTTATTTAACTGCACTATTGTAGTTTCTTTTTTGGTGAAATTAGAATTTTGCCCAAAATTTTGCATTTAAAAAAATGAAAAATGTGGATTTCGAAAGATTTGAATCAAAAAATATCAAAAATTAACAAAAAAAATTGAGTTTTGAAGGATTTGAATCAAAAAATTTCGAAAATCACCAAAAAATTTGAGTTTTGAATCAGAAAAGAACAAAAATTAACGAAATATTTGAATTTTGAATAATTTTAATAAAAAAATACCTAAAATTAAGAAAAAATTGAGTTCTGAATGATTGGAATGAAAAATTGTTAAAAATTAACAAAAAATTCGAATTTTGAAGGATTTAAATGAAAAAATGCCAAAAATTAACAAAAAATGTAGATTTCAGAGGATTTTTGTGGTGAAAATTTGCAAGAAAAATTGAGATTTTCAGCAAAAAATGCGCATTTTCAGGTTCCCCTTCACACCGTCATCAAATTGACGCCGAAAGCGTACTCGTGCGAGGTGGAAATGTTCAAATTCGACATTGAAGCTGTGAATACGTACAGAGAGAAGCCCAAATAATCTTGCGATCGATTTTTTGTTGGGCCAAAAATTTCCTAGATTGTTTTATTTCTATTTTTTTCATTTTCGTCAAACTTCGAATCTAGTGCCATTTGTTTTGTGAGATTGTGTGCCTTTAAATTGATTTCAGAAAAAAAATACATTTTGCGATTTCGATTTTATTTTTTGTTTCTGAAATTTTCCATTGTCGGTGTTTTTTTGCCAGCGATCCTATCGAAAATGTTGAATTGACAAAAAAATTATTTTTTTTTTTGATTTTTAGCGGATGAGCAGCCCGTTTTCGACGCCGCACGAGCGTCAAATTCATCGGACCCCGCAAGCGGACGACCCGCCACCGACAACGAGATTTCCAGCGATGTCGACGTCGTGTCCGGTCGAGACGGCCTATGAGCTGAAATTGCTGCGCGGCGAGGCGGTCATTCGAGAAGGTACGGCCTGGAAAGCAAATTCGGAAAGCCGATTTGAGCGAATTTCAAAAAAGTGGAAATTGATGGTGACCGCAACGCGAACCGCAACGCGCCTGACGGCATTTGGTCTCGCGATTGCGGAAATTTGGCTAAATTCCAAAAAAATGGGCCCGTAAATTGACACTTTAATTTTAAAAATCGATGTCGTGCTGAGACCCGTGACAATTTTTTGGGGCTACTTTTTCGTTTCAGACAAAAATGTGATGTATATTGGTCCGTTTGGCCGTGTGAAAGGCCGAATTCTCGTGACAACCTATCGAATGACGTTCGTCGTCAATGATAATCGAACGATTTGCGAGGTAGGCTTCTTGATTGTTTTTTTTTCAAGGCGCATTCTAGTTTTTTTTTGTGTCATTTCAATTTCAGGAATACAAATTGGACATACCGCTCGGGCAGATTGCGAAAATCGAAAAATTTGGATACGCGAGCTCGAGCCGAAAAGACGATAGCTATGGATTTCAGATTTTGTGTAAAGTTGGCCACTCTTTTTTTTTTGTTTTTTCTTGCAAATTGAATTTTTTCTATTCGAATTTAGGATTATCGGACCTATCGATTCGCTTCGGACCCGTCGACGCACAGTCGACGCGATATTTGCGAGACATTGAACATTTATGCGTTTCCGTTGAGCTATAAGCTGGTGAGAATTATAATGGTGTGAGATGGCGTCAAATCATCCAAAAAAAAAAAGAGAATTTTCAATTTTTCCGCATAGAAAATGATTTTTTTGAATTGCCGCCGAAATCGAGTTTCGGATTTTTGAAATTTTTGCGAAAGTTGAAAACCCGATTTTTTTTTTGATTTTTTGATCTAAAAATCTCGAATTTTCTTAATTTTTTAAAAATTCCAATTTTGTCTTCAAATTTTCCACGATTTTTCGATTTGTCGAAAATTTCAAATTCCCGCCAAACTCGAATTTCAGAAATTTGATGAAAATCGTCATTTTTTTGCCGAAAACTTTGAATTTCTTGATTGATGATGGGAAATATATTAAATTGAACAGAAATGTTGCAATTATTTGAAAATTGTTTTGAAATTTGAGAATTTCAGCGAATTTTTGCAGATATTTCAATTTTTTGTTAAAAAATCCTCAAATTGTTTAAGAAAAAAGCAAAAATTTTCCGTTTTTGGCTTGAAATTATCAAAAAAATCGCGAGATTTTCAAATTCCCGCCGAAATTGTGTTTCAGAATTCGCTGAAATACTTGCTTATTTTCAGATAACTCTGATTCGTTGATTGTTTTCGAAAATTTCGAATTTTTTTCTAAAAAAAAAATCAACGAAAACGTCAAATTTTTCAACTTTTTTGACAAAATTCGACTCTTTTCAGAGTTTTTCTTTCGCAATTTTTTCAATTCGCCAAAAATTGCGGAAAATCCGAAAAAAATGAGAGTTTCAGCAGATTTTTTTTCCAGAAAATTTCAATTGCCTCGAAATTCTCGAAAATTTTCTCGATTCTTTGGAATTTCCTTACATTTTTGAATTTAATTTCTAGCATTTATTTTTTTCAAAATTGCATCTGAAATTATCTGAAAAAGAACGATAAAATTTTAGAAAAATGGGAAAAAAACTGAAAATTTTGGGTCTTAAAATTTCGAAATTTTCTCATTTTTCTATCAATAATTGTAAAAATCGCCTGAATTTTTCATATTTCGTCTGAAAAAATCTCGAAAATTTCCAATTTTCTTTTTTTGATTCGGCCAAAAATTGCGAGATTTTCAAAAAAATTATAAATGATCATACTCCGAGAATTTGTGATATGCCGATTTTTTTCGAAGCAATTTGCAAAAAAAAAATTGAGAAAATTCGAGATTTTTCAGACAAAAATTGAAAAAATCCAACCGATTTTGACATTTTTCGCTTTTTTTTGAAAGAAAAATGAAAAAAATTTAAAAATTTCAGCAAATATCTGTCTGAAACTCGATTTTTTGGCGGGAATCGCAAAAATTTGAAAAATTCAAAAATGTTCAAATCTCCATTAAAACAAAAATTGAAATTCTCTCAAATTTCTACAAACTTTTGGTTTTTTTTTTCAAATATTTGACAATTTCAGCAAATTCTGAAACCCAATTTCAAAATTTTGCTAATTTTTGTTAAATCCAATTTTGTTTCAGAAGCTTTTCGCGTTCGCCTATCGCGATTCGATGCCGAAGCCGTCGATCGACGGCTGGAAAGTGTATTCAGCGATGGGCGAACTCGAACGAATGGGCGTCGGCCAGTGCAAATTCTGGCGAATCATCGACATCAACAAAGAATACAAGTTCGCCGAAACGTATCCGTCGCTGGTTGGTTTTTTTGCGGGAAATTCGAAGGAAAAAAAATGAGACATTCAATGGAATTTTTGTCTGAAAATTTTGGATTTTTTTGTCTCAAATTTTTAGCATTTTTTATCTGAAATTTTTTTGCATTTTTTATCTGAAATTTTAGGATTTTTTTCTGAAAATTTTTGGATTTTTTGTTGGAAATTTTTAGCAATTTTTATCTGAAAATTTAAGCATTTTTATTTGAAATTTTTTGCATTTTTTTATCTGAAATTTTAGGATTTTTTGTTGGAAATTTTTTAGATTTTTTATCATAAATTTTTAGGATTTTTTTTTCTGAAAATTTTTGGATTTTTTGTTGGAAATTTTTAGCTATTTTTATCGCAAAATTTTAGGTCTTATTGTCGGAAATTTTTTTGCATTTTTTGTCTGAAATTTTCAAAAATAATGATTCCAAAAAATAAATCGCATTTCCAGTTGGCGATTCCGACGGCGTCGGCCGACGAGGGCAACGCGTTCCTGAAAAAAATCGGCGAGTTTCGGAGTCGTCAACGAATTCCGGTTGGTTGATTTCCATTTTGGCTGATTTTTCAGATGGGGTGGGGGGGGGGGAACCTCTATAATTGAACGCGGGGTTCATTTCAGGTGTTGAGCTGGTTCGATCGCAAAACGCTGGCGACGATCACGCGAAGCTCGCAGCCGTTGTGCGGTGTGACGGGACGAAAGAATTTGGACGACGAGGCGTAAGCGAAAATTTCGATTTCTTTTTTTTTGGGGCTAAAAATTGTCCGTGTGGAGTACACGAGACACCCGAGGGTCCCGAGACGAGCGTCATTCCAAAAATTTTGCGCGAATTTCATTTCTCCAAATCATTTTTTGAAATGTCCTGAGGCGAAATGTGAGCTTTTGCTTTTAAGCTTTAGTGATCACGAAAATCTCAAGGCCTTCTGAAGCAACCCATACAGTAATCGGGGTCTCGACACGACAGCTTCCGCCGCCCAATTTTTTTTTCCTGGTTTGCAGCCATTTGCGGAATATTCGCGAGGCGAACGCGCACTGCTCGGAATTGCAAATCTACGACGCTCGGCCGAACGTGAACGCGACGGTGGGTTTGAATCGGTGAATCTACCCGAGACAGGTTTTCCCGGGAAAAAGTCTGCGCGCGCAATCGCATACTCTTCAAATATTGCGGATTCTCGTTTTTTTTTTAAATGAATTTTCTCATTTTAAAAAGATTCCAATGCTTAGAAAATGGCATAATAAGTCCCTATTTGGAATTTTTAAAATTTAGCAGAAAAATGGGCACAATTGCAATGTGCAAATAACGATTATTCAAAATTATTGTCGGCGTCAAACGACTTGATGGGGGCGTGGCCTTCAGTATATCGTAATCAGTGTAGATTTACTGAATGGCGCCGACGATGTGCATTCATCGATTGGTGTTGTTGAATTGCAGGTGAACAAGGCGAAAGGCGGCGGCTACGAGGAGAACTACGAGTTGTCGAAATTGACGTTCCTCGACATCCACAACATTCACGTCGTTCGCGAGTCGATGAAAAAATTTGTGCAGTTGTTGTCGTCGAGCGGCGTCGGCGTCGACGAGAAGCACGTCTACAAGATGATCGACGAGACGAAATGGCTGATGCACATCGCCAGCATTCTCGACGCGTCGGCTCGCATCGTGCACAACATCGCGACGAATCGCCAATCGGTGCTCGTGCACTGCTCGGATGGTTGGGATCGCACCGCGCAATTGACGTCGTTGGCGATGATCCAATTGGATCGGTATTATCGCACCATCGAGGGATTCATTGTGGTGATTGAGAAGGAGTGGTGCAGTTTTGGGCACAAATTCGCCCAGCGATATGGTTTGGATTTTGATTTTTGATTTTTTTTGGTCTGGGATGTAGATTTACGGCGGATGCGTTTTGGGTCTCGCCACGAACTAGATGGTTGTTTTGCATTTTTTTGGGATTGTTTAGAAAATTTCGAATCGAATGAACTAGGTCCCTAAATTCTAGTTATCGAGATATGGACCATCGAAGTTTTAGCCCCTCCCCCCTCCCCCCCCCCGGCGTAAATGTGCGGCAAGAAAGAATTGAGGGTTCACACGTGGCGAGACCTTTTTTCAAGGCGCATGCGCGTAAATCTACCCGAAGGACGCGGCGACTAAACTCGAATTAGGAAAAAAAATTTTGGTTTGTTTTTTTCGCGGCGATTCCATATGAGACCCGAACGCGGCAATTCAAATATGGCGACTCTTTTTGGGTTTTTTTGACGTGGTGAACGTTGAGGTGAACGAATTGGAGAATTTGCGAGCGAATTTGAGAATTTCAGCGAATTGTGAAACACAATTTTGGCGGGAATTTGAAATTCTTGGTGGAGCGAGAAAAATTGAGGATTTTGAAAGAAAAAAAAAGAAGAGAAATTTGACCGATTTTTATTTTTTTTTTTTTGGATTTTTTTAAGAAATTGAAATTTTCTCAAATTTCAGTGAATTCTGAAAAGAAAAAATTGAAATAGTAGAAAATTTCCGGAAAAGTGAGAAATTTGCAATTTTGAAACCCGATTTTGGCGGCAATTTGAAAATGTAGCAATTTTTGGTGAATTGAAGAAAAAAAATTGGAGCAAATTTCAGAGAATTTTGAGCCAAAAAATTGAAAATTCGATCGATTTTGAGATTTTTTGGATTTGTTTAAGAGAAAAATTGGAATTTTCAAAAATTCCAGCGCATTAAATGAAAATTTGTTGAAAACTTGGAAATTTTGGAGAATTTTTTGACAACAAATTTTCAGTGAATTCTGAAAAAAACCTGAAATAGTCGAATATTTTCGGAAAAAGCGATTCCAATTTTTTTTAGATTAATTTGAAGTTTGAAATTTTCAAAATTTGCAAGAAATTTTTTTGTCGAAATTTTTGATAGAAATTTTCGTGCTGAAATCAAATTTTTTCAGCACCCTTCAACTGGAAAAAAGAACAATAATGGTTGAAAATTGGATGAAAAATTGTTGAGACAATCGAAGAATCGATTTCTCATTCAATTTTTGGACAATTTTTTTTGGCCTTTTTCCAGAATAGTCGAAAATTTCCGGAAAAGTGAGAAATTTTCAATTTTGAAACTCGATTTTGGCGGCAATTTGAAAATTTAGCAATTTTTGGCCGAATCGAAGACAAAAAATTTTTTAGCAGTCAAAAATTGTGCGAAAATGATGGGGGTTTTTTTTGGGTGGATTTTGGGCGACTCTGGTAACTCAAAAAACCAATCGGATTCGACAAAATTCGGGTCCGGAATTGATCCGATCCGATCGGAAATTCGACGGATAAAATTGGAAAATTGTCGGATCGGATTAGATTTTCTTCGAATCCGATTGGTAAATATTCGAATCCGTTTTGTTTTAATATTTCAATTCGAATCGGATTCGACGAATTACCAATCGTATTCGAAAATACCCAAAAAACCAATCCGATCCGACAATTTTCCAATTTTATCCGTGGAATTTCCAATCGGATCGGATCGATTCCGGATCCGAATTTTGCCGGATCCGATTGGTTTTTTTTGAGTTACGCGAGGATTTGCAGGGCACGGCGACGAGAACTCGTCGGACTCGGAGCGTTCGCCGGTGTTTCCGCAATTCGTCGAGTGCGTCTGGCAAATAATGCAGCAGTTTCCGACGTGTTTCGAGTTCAACTCGCGATTTTTGATCGCCATCCTCGACGAGATGTACGCGTGTCGATTCGGCACGTTCCTCTACAATTCGGAGAAGGCGCGAATCGCTGAAAATGTGAGACGACTCGATTTTTTTTTTTTTTTTTTTTTGAAATTTTCCAACAAAAAATTGAACAAATTGCATTTCTTTTCAATCAAAATTGATCATTTTTTTGAAAAAATTGCGAAATTTTGAAATTGGGTTTCAGAATTTGCTGAAATTGTCAAATATTTGAAAAAAAAAACCAAAAGTTTGTAGAAATTTGAGAGAATTTCAATTTTTGTTTTAATGGAGATTTGAACATTTTTGAATTTTTCAAATATTTGCGATTCCCGCCCAAAAATCGAGTTTCAGACAGATATTTGCTGAAATTTTCAAATTTTTTTTTCATTTTTCTTTAAAAAAAAAACAAAAAATGTCAAAATCGGCTGGATTTTTCAATTTTTGTCTGAAAAATCTCGAATTTTCGCAATTTTTCATCTAAAAGTTTCAAAGTTTGCAAATTTCTTCGAAAAAAATCGGCATATCACAAATTCTCGGAGTATGATCATTTATAAAACAAAAATGATGATTTTCAGCGAATTCTGAAACCCAATTTGGGCGGGAATTTGAAATTTTTGGTGAATTCAAAAAAATTGTGAAGAAAAATTTCAGAAAAGAGTCGAAAAATTGGATATTTTGAATCAAAAAAATTAAAAATGCGACTGATTTTCAGATTTTTTTGGATTTATTTAAGAGAAAAATTGAAATTTTCAACAAATTTGCAACGAATTTCGAAAAACCTGAAATAGTCGAATATTTCCGGAAAAAGCGATTCCAATTTTTTCTAGATTCGTTTGAAATTTGAGATTTTCAAAAATTGAATTTTTCCGACTTTGCTGAAATCGTGAATTTGACGAAAAATAGAAAAAGAAGAAAAAGGCGTTTTCCAGAAATGCCACGAGACCACAATCTCGCTGTGGTCGTACATCCTCGAGAATCGGCAGCGTTTCGAGAATCCGCTCTACAAAAAAGGTAGCATTTTGAGGAATTTCGGTTCGAATTGCCCATTTTTTCCCCATTTTTGCAGCCAAAAATCACGGTGTGATTAGTGTGAATCCGTCGTATTGCCGGCTGGAGATTTGGACCGAATATTATGCGCGAAGCAATCCGCACGTCGTCACACCGCACGCCGAGGTTTGCCCCTTTTTTGGGATTTTTTTTGGAAAATGCAAAAATGTTGGGATTTTTCGACGAAAAATGACAGGTTTTGGGCGTTTTTTAACCGAAAATGATGCGGAATTTTTTTTTAAATAAAAAATGCAAAATTTTTCCGATTTTTAAGCGTTTTTTTAACCGAAAATTTGAAAATTTCTTGGAGTTTTGAGCAGTTTTCAAATCGAAAATTGAAAAAATTTTCCTGACTTTTTTCGGACAAAAAAGGGCACATTGTTTGCTTTTTTGGAAAAAAAAATCATTAAAAAATTATGTGAGAATTTAGCAGAATTTTTTAGACACGAATTTAAGCATTTTTTATCTAAAAATGTTTCAGAATTTTTTTTTAATGAAAATTGCGAAAATTTTTGGGATTTTTTTGACGAAAAATGACAGGTTTTGACGTTTTTTAACCGAAAATTTGAAGATTTTTTGAATTTGACAACAAAATTCAAAAATTGCGATTTTTTTCGAAGAAAAAAAAATGCAAAAATGCAATTTTTGAGACCAAAAATTTGAAAATTTTCCGAATTTTTAAGATTTGAATTTTTTTTTAAAGAAAAATGCAAAAAAAGGTTGCAAATTGCATTATTCTTGAATTTTGCAAAAAAAAAGTTGAAAATTGAGAAAAATGACAATTTGCGCATTGAAATAGTCAAAATTTTCGGAATTTTTTGAAAAATTTAGTCGAAAACAAAAAATTTTTTGTGAAAATTGTAAATATCAACAAAAAAAAATTGTATGGAATTTCTAGAGCGTCCAACTGCTCGAAACACGCCCGTCATGGAGCCATTTGGATTTTTTCGACGAGATTCGAAACCTCGAGAATATTTTGTACGCCGGCGGCGAGGATTCGTCGGACCACGACGACGACGACGACGACGACACCAATTAATTGAAAGCAACCCCCCGCCCCAAAAAAAAAATAAATCAAAAACGAATTATTAACAAAAATTTTTTTTTGTTGTTTGGTTTCATCGAAATTTTTAGGAGGACAAATCAATGTCGAATCCTTGGCATTTCGACGAGTCGACTTGTTTGCCGCGTTGTAGATCATCGGGACGCAACGCCACGTGGATTTCGATGAAAAAATCGTTGCCGAGCGCGTACTCGTTGATGGCGCTCAATTCGACGAAATTCTGGACGGAAAAAAAACACAGCGATGGGTATACTGTAATTGAATATCGGCGAGACCCGTGAGACAATTCTTTTTTTTAAATAAATTATTATATTATGATTTTTTATTATTTCGGCTTAAAAATGAAAAATCAATACAAAATCAAGTTTTTTCATTTTTTTTTCACATTACAAATTTTGAACTTGGAAAAAAATTGTCTCATGGGTCTCAACATTTAATTACAGCACGCCATTGGTGCGTAATTGGTATATTTAAATTGTATGAAATGGTCCGCCACGGGTTGTGCGATGGAGCGCACTTGTCATCAAACGAATTTCAAATTTGCGCGCGCAGGCGAATAATTTGAAATTTTTTGATTTTTTTTTTCGAATTTCGCCGAAAATTAGTTTTTTTGAGAGGTATTTCTTATCACACACGATTTTCTGAGAAGCGCTTTATTCATTTTTTTTTATTTTCATTATTTTTTTTTTTTTGAATATCATCGAAAATTTTTTCACACGGATTTAAGCATTTTTTTAACTAAAAAATTTGCGGAGTTAAAAAAAATAAAAAATAGCAAACAATTTTGGGATTTTTCGACAAAAAATAGCAGTTTTTGAGCGTTTTTAACAAAAAATTGAAGATTATTTGAATTGTGAGAATAAAATACAAAAAAATGACTTTTGAGAGTTTTTTTTAAACGAAAATTTTTTTAGAATTCTTTTTTTGAAGAAAAAATGCAAAAATGTGTAATTTTTGAGAATTTTAAAACCAAAAACTTGAAGATTTTTGAATTTTTCAAAAAAAAATGCGAAAATTATTCTCAGTTTTGCCAAAAATTCATTTTTGAGAATTTTTTTGAGGCAAAAAATGCAATTTTTGAGAATTTTTTAACCAAAAAATGTGATTTTTTTTTGTTTTAATTAAATAATTAATTAATTTTGGATATTCTAATGCTTACTTGAAAGCCGAATGCGGGATTTCGAAGGCCAACGGGCTTCTCGAACAATTCCTTGGCGTCGGCGTGATCGGCTGGATTGTAGACCTTGCGAACTGCAATCATTGATTATTTCAGTCGTCGGTTTTTCGCTGAAACCATTTTTTCGGGGGTCGTTGGCGAGCAGTGTGAACGTGACCGGACAGCGAAACGGCCACGCGAGCACGTCGTCGTTGTCGCCTTTGAGGAGGCACACGAAGATTGAGAAGTGCTCGCGGAGCGCTTTGCCGTCGCCATAGGGCGCCGCAACGCACAGCATTTTGTAGCCGTAGCCGTGCGTGTAGAATTCTTGGCTGCAAAAAAAACCCCAAAATTGGCGGCCGCAATGCGTGGCCTAGAAAAATTTCGGTTCGGCCACGGCCACCCTTGATAGATTTATTAATTTAATTAAGAACAACTAAATGAATACGTATATATTTTGTGTGTTTACAATTTCAAAAATTGAATATTCATTAAAAAAAACGAGCCATGGAAACTATATAAAGAAGAATAATTTTAAAAAAAAAGCGGACTTGCCTAAAAATTTTGCGATGCGATTTGTTTTTGCTCGCCTTCACCACCGCCAATCCGATGTTGGGAATATGGAAAATGTGTTGAGAGCTGCACAAAATTTTCGAATTTTTGAGAAAAAGAAATTTGCCGCCCAACCTGTATTTGTTGAAAACCGCCTCCGCCTCGTCCATACTATGAAACATTTGCACGTACTCGTTGATATGGACGGCTTGTTGGCGTATCGCATTGGATCGGATCGGATTCAGCGATTTGCACAGCAAAACGAGGTGTAAATTTCTGAAATTGTCATTTTTGTTTTGCCTTCGAAAATGTGGTACGGTAGACGCATGGTGTTTGCACAACGCGCTTTATTTGACGACACTTTGCACAGTTCAATATTTGTTTTTCTCAAATTTTTGATTTTTTTTTTCGAAATTTCGTCATTTGTTTTTATTTTTCAGACATTTTCCCCAATTTCTAAACGATTTTACGTCGTTTTTTGACGAATTCACGATAAAAATCGGAGATTTCCATCGAAAAGCCTACACATTTCTATTGGTGTCGTATCCCAGCAATTCGATTCTCATTTTTCGCTGCTAAATGGTTTTCCCATTCATTAAGGGTCAATGCTAAGAAAATTATAAAGTAAAATTGTTTAAATGTGGGGAAGAAAGAAGAAAAAATCTGTTTTTTTCGGCATTTTAACATTTTTTGAATTGTTCTATTAGTTTTGAGTTGTTTTTGCGAATAATGCAAGACAAGTTCGCACTTCGAATGAGATAAGACTATTTTCAGAAGATAGCCACTAATTGCGCGAGGAGATAATGGTCCCACGCTGCGATTTGGGGTGCCCGACGCTAATAAGTGAGCAGAGCCACGGATTAGAAGGGTCCCGGTATAAAAGGGACGCGCAAAATCAGTTTTGCATTTCGAATTGCCGCGCTGGGTCTCGCTGCGAAAATTTTGGAAGTGTGCGTTTTTTTTTCCCATTTGAGCGGCAATTTTCTTCTTCGTTGCCTCCCACGTTGCTTCTTTTCGGCTCTCAAAAATCGATTTTCGAAATTTGTTTTTTCAAAATTGTTTTCTCTTCTTGCAGAAATGACGCCAACGAAATGCGTGTTGACGGCGAACAACGGCCAAAACGCGAATCGGCCGGCGGCGAACGACGAGAAAATCGCGGCGAATTCGGACGAGACCAACTATTTGCGGCAAATCTCGCACATTTTCGAGCACGGCGTCGCGCGGACCGATCGCACCGGCACTGGGACCATTTCGGTGTTTGGAATGCAGGCGAGATATAGCCTCAGAAATAGTGCGCTTTGCTTCTTTTTTTATTATCATTTGAAAGTATAAAAAATGTCAGAGGGAATCTAATTGTCGTCAAATCAAATGCACAAGTCCGCAATGATTTCTCTGGAAACCAACCACAAAAAAATCGTCGCCGAAACACGCGTTTTGTTTTGCGGACTTGTGCGCTTGATTTGACGACAAGCAATTAAAAAAAGAATTTCGATTTCTTATGATACTTTTTGTTGCCAAATTTGGGGGATCCGTTCCAACACCCGACGCACAAATGCAGACTACCCCGTAATTTAAAACTCGTCGTTCAATCGGTGTTTGCGGACTTGCTTGACGATTTTTACCATTTTTTTGGGATTAAAAAAACCAAATCTTTTAATGACTTTTTCGAATGTGGTTTAGTATTTCGCGTCAAGACCTCTAGCGTAGTTTGTTGGCGAATTTCGACAATTTTTGGGTGCAATTTTCAAACGTTAGCCTCATTCTATCAGAAAAAGTGGTCCTGACGCGAAATTTTCGGTCATCACTCAATCAATTCCGAACACGCATTTAGACAAAATCCCATTGCTGACGACGAAACGAGTGTACTGGAAGGGCGTCGTCGAGGAGCTTCTATGGTTCATTTCGGGACAAACCGATAGCAAGACGTTGAGCGCGAAAAATGTCAAGGTTGATTTTGTTTTTGTTTTGCGCCACGGGACCATTCAACTCATCAGATTTGGGAGGCGAACGGCTCTCGACAATTCCTCGACAATTTGGGCTTCACGCAACGCGAAGAGGGCGATTTGGGACCGGTGTACGGCTTTCAATGGCGCCACTTTGGCGCCAAATACATCGATTGCCACACCGATTACAGCGGGCAGGGTGTCGATCAGCTCGCCGAGGTGATTCGACAAATCCAGCACAATCCTGATAGTCGACGCATCATTCTGTCGGCGTGGAATCCGTCGGATCTTGGATCGATGGCGCTGCCGCCGTGCCACACGATGTGCCAGTTTTATGTGCACGACGGCGAGCTCTCGTGTCAATTGTATCAGCGAAGTGGAGATATGGTGAGATTTTTTGGCTTTTTTTGGAGTGGTCCGATTTTTTCCAGCCCGGGGCAAAAAAACGGGGAGAAATTTAGAATTTTTTGACCGGAATTTTCAATTTTTGCAAGATTTCCAAAGAAAAAAATGAAGCGAAATTAATTTAGAATTGTGGCAATTTTTTTGTAAAATTACCAACAAAAAAAAACGGAGCAAATTTTAAAATTTTTGGTCGAAATGAGGATTTTTTGGCAAGATTGCCGAAAAATTGAGCGAAATTTGAAAATTTTGTTCGAAATTTAGAAATTTGGCTTTTTTTTCAAGATTTACAAAAAAATGAAGAGAATTTTTAAATTTTTGGCCGGAATTCTGAATTTTGCATTGTTTTTTGTAAGATTTTCAATAAAACGTAGCGAAGTTAAAAAATTTTCAATCGGAAATTCTCAATTTTTATATGGTCTCCAAAAAACCGAGGGAAATTTTAAAATTTTTGATCAAAATTTGGAATTTTGGCAAAAAAATGGTGCGAAATTCAAATTTAATGCATAAAAAAATTGCAAGCTCAATTTTAGCATCGATCATGAAAATTTTCAGATTTCAATTCAATAATAATCGCGGAAATTGCGATTTTTAGGTTTTTTTTTTCACAAAAATTGATTGAAACAAGCGCGAAAAAAATTAGAAAATGTGATTTTTTTCGACATTCCAATCACAAATTTTGAAAATTTCCGAAAAAAATGAGAATTTTTGATGTGAAAATTCAAAAAAATTGAAATTTTGTTATTTTTTGGGGTCTGGGGGGGGGTCCGACCAACAGAAAAAAAACCCCCCGTCAATGTGAATATTCGAGGGTCTCGGCGTGCCGTTCAACATCGCCAGCTACGGACTCTTCACGCACATGATCGCCAAGGTGTGCAATTTGCGAGCCGGCGAGCTGATTCACACCATCGGCGACGCGCACATCTATTCGGACCATGTCGACGCGTTGCGAGAGCAAATCACGAGGGCGCCCTACGAGTTTCCGACGATTCGATTCACGCGCGACGTCGCCTCGATCGACGACTTCACGTCGGACATGATTCAACTCGACAACTACAAATGTCATCCGAAAATCGCCATGAAAATGGCGTGCTAATTAGCCCTAATTATCTCACTCACCATACGTTTTTTTTTTATTGTGCTTTCTCAATTTTTCATTTTTCAACAATGGATCTCGAGGCTAATACATTGTGCCGACTCACCCACCTATCATCTCTGACGTGACGCTTCACGTCGGCCGTCGCGCCCCGCTTATGGCATCCGTGGATTTTGAACGGACAATCGACGAATCGATTTTGGTGATTGTCGTCGTCGTCGTTGGTCTCGACGCGAATCGTTCGTCGAGTCGGACTATCGACGGGCGTCACCGTGTTGTTGGGCGCCGTCGAATCGAAAAACGACGGCATCGCGTCGGCGTTTTGCTGATTTTTTTATTTTCGAGTTGAGCATCGAGGAGACCAAAAAAAAGTTTACCTGAACTCTGACGGGAATTTCGCGAACGATCTGCATTGCCGATGGAGACGAAAAATGATGAGAGCCGAATTCTTTTTTTTTTTTGGTTTTCGCTATTGGTTGCCGAGCATTCGTCGGCGGAGTTGCTTGGCGACGATGGTTTTGATGGATTTATGCCCCCTCCTTTGGATTACTGTAGGTGAGCGAAGAAATTTTTGGTGTATTGACGGCGTCGAACGACTGAAGGGGGGGGCTGGACCGTCAAATTCAGGAAATCAGTGTAGATTTAAATTTTACGTTGACTGAATACTAATTAATGCAATGTACGCAATCTCGCTGCCTCGAGACGCATTGGCTCATTGCCAATATTTCTTTTTTAATTTCGCCAACTCGTTTTGACGCCGTCTTTGAGCAATTGTGGACCATCGTCGCGGCGGCAATTCAAATGCGAATTTCGACTTCCAATGGAAAATTTTTCATTTAACAACAATTGGTGACGGGTGCTTTACAGCAACAATAACAGCAAAAACATTTAACAAAACGAGAAAAAAACAACAAAAAAACTTAGAACAATCGGGTCCCACCACGACCAATTCAATTCCTAGCCAAATTTCACCAATCTAGTTTTTGACGAGAAGAACGCCAATCTCGAAGAGCTTCTGAATGGCGACGAGTTGCGCGGTGCGCTCAAGATGCTCGGTGGCCTCCATGGCGAATAGTTCGCCCAGACTGAGCCATTCGGGATACGAGTCGGCGAGCACCTCGAACACCTCGGCGTAATCGAACGGGAAGTCGACGAGCTGCTCGGCGCGGCCTTCGAACAATCGCGAGTTGCTTATTCGGTGCGCGATGAAGCACTCGGTCTCCGATTGCAGCAAAAGTCTGCAATTTGGGTCGTCAAGCGGCGAGAATTCGAAAAAAAAGAAGAAAAAAAAAACCTTTGAGTATGACGTCGAACCAATCGCACCAAAGTTTTCGGATTGAATTCGATCAAATCGCCGTCGAGCAAATTCAAACCACGTCCGATCACACTATATTTCTTCTCTTCTGAAACAAAACGAACACCTCTTCGTCCGACTTTTTCAAATGCTCACCTTCAGTGAGCATCGGCGGCAACGCCTGCCTCATAAACTCTTTCGCCATGATGTCGACGGAGCTCTCCATCGCCGAATCGGCCACCAAATTCCTCAGCATACTCAAATGGCGATCGATGGCCATTTTGAATTGCTCGTCGAAATGCTCGGCTTGCGGATAATCGAGATCGGCGGCGCCGGCCATGTCGAGTAGGCCGATCGGCAGCCCGCGACGCATTTTCACGCGCTCTCTCGTCAAACTCGCCACCGCGTCCGGCACCAATCGCTCGAGCACGTCGGCAAAACTCCAGCGGCGTCCCGTCGAGATCGTCACGTGAAGCGAATGAATCGATTTGTCGGTGCGCGCCTGATGAATGAAACCGCGCGGGATGTAGAGCATGTCGCCCGTCTCGAGCCACCCGTCGAACACCGGCGTCCGGTTGGCCATGTCGGCTTCCGTGAAATTTCCTGTCAAAACGCTCGTGTCAATCCAATCCATTGAAATGGCCTCCAATCACTCACCGCTCGATTCCAGCGGCAATTCTTCGCCGACATTTTGCGGTCCCCAAACACGCCAATATTTGCGACCTTCGACTTGAAGCAAGAACGCGTCGATCTCGTCCCAATGCGGCGCAAATCCCGAACTACCAGCCGGCGTCAAATATCTGCGAGAAATCGAGCCGAATTGTTTTTTTTTGGGTTTAAAACAAAAGCAAACTCACGTGTTGGCGCCGACAAAACACCCAAACAATTCTTGAAGAATCTCGCAGAAATACCAAATTCGGTCATCAAACGTTTGCGGATTGACGAGCTGCACCGATCGGAGGCTCTGAACAACGCGAAAATTGAAATTGCGATTTGAGGAATATAAAAATTATTCGAGAAATTTCCTATTTTTCAAAGAACACCGATTAAAAAATAATCAAAATGTGAGCAATTTCGCGATTTTTTTTTCAATGAGGCGCCATAAGAATTTTTGTCAAATTTCGATATATAATTTAAATGGTCCCATATTAAAATTCTTGGGCTCTTTTTCATTTAAAAAAACAGTTGGCGGCAATTCAAATAAGGAACCCCTCTCTCTCTCAAAAAAAAAGAAAGAAAAGAAAACGTTCGGGTCCTACATCCAAATGCTGCTTCAAAATGTGCGGATAGACGCGTCCCACACCATTCAGCGTCAATCGAACACCGTCCTTGTATTCGGCAATGTTCACATTCGTGCCATACTCAACGTAATTGTTCTCGACGAGCTCGCAAAGGCGCGCCGTCGAAAACAAATTGCCATAATAGTTGGGACGGCCGCGGTGGATCGCGAGAATCGTGTGCTGGTAGAATTTTCTGCAAAGCGAGTTGTTGAAGACAGCAAGCCATCAATAATCATTCTCTCATCGTTACTTGAAGAACGTCTGAACGTCGCACGAAGCGATCATGAACGCGAACGCCTTCGTCGCCGTCACACGCGAGTCCTCAACCGAAAACGGCATCTTGTCGAAATCGATCGGCTCTTGCGCGGCCGCCAACACGCTGTGCCTCGACGCCTTCTTCTTCTTCTTCGTTGTCGTCGTCGTCGCCTCGGGCATTTCCATAATTGTCGTCTCGCGTTCGGCGCCCGTCAAAAATCCCTCGCTATCCGATTCGGCGTCCATCTCGCTAATGTCCGTCTCTTCTTCTTCTTCTTCTTCCTCCTCCTCCTCTTCCTCATCCTCGTCAATCTCCATGTCGTCCTCGTCTTCAACAATCTGCTCAATGTCGTCGGCGTCGATTTGCATCTCCTCCTCGTCGATCTCATTCTCCTCGAGCTCCTGCTCATCCTCATCCTCCTGTTCCTCATCATCAACGTCCGAGTCGTCTTCAGCGCCAACTCGCAGTCCACGATGACGGACATGCGTCTGCATCAGAATATCGTCATCGTCGCTCTCCTCCTCCTCCTCTTCGTCCTCATCCAGCTCAAACTCCTCCTCGTCTTCTGTAAAAAAAAAAGATAAATGAGTCGTTCCAGAGGTCTCATCGTTTGATCCAACGACACTCACCTTCATCAACCATCTCATCCAGTAGGGCATTCTTCTCAAACGACATCTCCTTGCCATTCTCGACAACAGTGATCGTCTCATCTTCTGGATCCTCAACAATATATGTCGACGCCTCTTTCGTCGTCGTCTTCACCGACGACACTCGCTTCTCTGTCTTTTTCGCCTTCTTGCCGACGCCACCAAACACCGCCATCGTGTCGTCGTCGTTCTCATCGACGCGATTCACAATCGACAATCGTTGCGCAATCGATTTGCGGTACGGCGAATCCGACAGCACGATGGTCTCGTCTAGAAATTTCGATGAATTCGCAAAAATCAAGAAAAATTACCAATTCGTTTCGATTTTTTCGCGCTCGTCGCCTTCGGCGATTCTTGCGGTCGGCGTTTCTCCGACTTCCTCGACGGCGGATTCATCGTCAATCGATGATCGACGTTCAATCCATCGCTGAGCCGTTGCCGTTTGTTGCGTTTGTTCACGTTGCCATGCTCAACGCTTGGTGTTGTGCTCACATTGCGTTCAGCGTGAACATGCGCGGCGCTCATCGCCTCATCGCGCTCAATTCGCGACCAACGATCATCGCTCGTCGGCGTCTCCGGTTTTCTCGCCGATTTCGGTGTCGCCTTCTTCTTTCCCATTCTGAAAATCGCGACAAATTGGCACGAAATTGACGGCAAATATCGCAAAAATAGGCGCGAATCAGAAAAAAATAGGTGACAAAAAATTTCGAAAATTCGAATGTGGCCGCGTAATTCGCCGGCCACGGCCACCGAAAATACACAAAATTCAAATTTTTTTCTCGAATATTCGCGCTTGCAAAGCAAAAATTGATCAAATTTCCTCAAAAAACTTTTTAAGTTTCACTTTTAGGGTGAGTTAACAATTTCAAATAAAAAATATTATTAGTGGCACGAAATTAAGCCTCGATATCAACAACGCGTGTTCGAACTCAACATTTTCAAGATTTATTCCACTTTTCTCCGCTTCTTTTTTTCAATTCAACAACAATTAATGACGCTTTTCAAAACATGTATCAATAATAAAAAAAATCAACACCAATCGTGAAGAAAACCAACCAATCATCACCTTTGAGGGGGTTAGTCGAAAGGACTTTTTGACAATTTGAAAAAAAAATTCTTTTAAAAATATTAGAACGATAAAATAATATAAATCGGAAGGGCACGGGGGAAGTTTGAAATTCAAGCTTTACAAAACACTTAATATCTATTGTTGAATCCACCGCCAGCGTATCCACCACGCGGCGCACCACCATTGCCACCACCGCTGCCGCGTCCTCGTGGTGCAAATCCTCGATTGCCACCATCGTTGCCATAACCGCCGCTACGGAATCCACCGCCAACGCTGGTGCCGCGACCTTGTCCACTGCCAAATCCACCACCAGCGCTGGCACCAAACGATCCAAATTTCGCGGCACCACCAAAACCGCTGCTATTGAACTTGGTGCTTGGCGGCGGAAGATCAGACGTCTGCGACTGCTATAATTTTCTCTCTCTCTCCCCTCGACTCCAAATCAAAATTTACTGTTTTCGACGCAACTGGTCCATCTCCAGCTCCAAGATCAGACTCGTCCGTCTTCACAACGTCTTCCGATTTGAGACTCGGCGTCGGTGAGATCTCACGAGTTTTCTAGAAAAATTTGAAGTGCGAAATCAAATTTGAGATCATTGGAAGGAAAAGAACAAACACAAATGGCTCAAGCGTTTCCATATCTCACATCACATTTTCCAGCAAAGACACGACGACAGAAAGAAGCAAATTTCGCATTTTTCTTCAAAGCACGCACAATTTCCACACAAGTAACATTTTAAAGCATAGTCGGGAAAAAAACAGAACATATCGCATGCATAGAAGAAAATGAAGTCTCTCACCCACAACGCTAGCCTAAGAACAGTTTCTCGCGGGTTTTTCATAGTTATCTGAAACCAGTTGCATTGAATTGGCGCATCGCCAGATGTGAATTATTTGAAACACAAATGTCGCCTATGTTGCTCGTCCATTTGTATTGCCTATGGAATAACGCTCACCACCGTCGTATCATGAATCGTCTTCTTCGGCGATTCCCATCCATCCGCCGAGAGCGTATCGCAACTGCCATCATCCTGCGCTTCGATCTTCAATGACGCCAACTTCGGAGCCTGCTTGACGCAATGCTCGCCGGACGAATTTTGAAAAACGGCCGACACCACAACACCGTCACCAATGCTATTCGTTTCGTCTTTCGGATCATCCATCTCTTCTTTCATATCATCCGCCTCCTCTTTCAATTCATCGACAAGCAGAACCTTCTGATCCGTGGCCTTAATCTCGTCAACAACCGCCTTTTTCATCGCGTTATCGCGTAAAACAGATGCCACCAACTCTCGCTCGTAAACTCCATTATATTTCGAATCGATAAGGTGAATTTTCATTCCAGAAGGTGTCACAATCACATTATCGGGTTCTGTACCTGAAGAGTTGAGCCTGTTTTCGAACAATCAAATTTTCCTACTTTCAGGACTCGAAAGAGCTTTTATAATTCTCGACTTGTGGTCCTTGACAAACGGAACATTCGAGTTTTCTGTAAAATATTTCAAGTTTCAGAGAAAAAAAACATTGCCCCGCCCACCAGTGAGGATTGCTTTCAAACAATTGCACGTCTTTTCATCGAGCATCTTCGACGTTGGAAGCATGAGCATCTGGTGTTCAACTCCAAATTTCTCAATGAGATTGATCGCGAATTCCAACGCCAATTTCAGAGTGCTGCGAATCTGCGAATCCGGAACAACTCTATTCATCTCAGGGAGCTGAAAAACGATGATTCGCTTCAAAAAAATATCTAAAAACGTTATACCAAAGAAATGTCGTCAGAAACTCGCGAAATCGACAAACGAAGCGATCTGAGCACATTTGTCATGGCGTTGCGTCTCCAGACGTTTTCAAAATCGCGGTAAACGCCAACTTGAGCCCAAACCTCCATGCGATAGTTCAAATTTTCTGCAAAACAAAAAAAAACTCAAAATCATTATGACGACTTTTACGTTTCGGAGCTTCTTCTTGCAATTCCAAAAAAACCTGCACAATGTCATAAGCGACAATCAAGGAGTTCTACAATAATTCCATCAGAAGAGCCGAAGAAAAAAATCCTTCAAACATACCTTGAAAACGTCCTTCTCGAGTCCAGAGAGCATCACCGCGCGAATGTTTTCCGGAATGCTCTCGTAGATCGCTTGAAGCAATTCCGGTGATTTTTGCAAAAGCGCGCGATCAATGAGATAATACAATTTGGCGAACTCATCGGCACGCAATTCCTTCAAAACGTGTTCGTTTCGGCGTTTCTACTATTTTCATATTAGCCACTCACGAGAATCTCCATAGTATCTTGCGAGAAATCAGCAACGATTCGCTCATAAATTGAAATCGCCGCGTTTTTCGCGACGACGGCAATCGGCTGCTCCATCAGTCGGGCGAATTCCGTCTCCGGATCGAGTTTAGGACCATTACGACTATAAAAATAACCGCCATTTCTTTGACACCTGTGCGGTGGCCTCGTAAAAAACGTTACATTATGTCCACAAGACCGGGAAATTTCGGCGTCAGACGAATGAGCGTATTCTCGCGAATCGCCTCCACCGCCGCTCGATTCTCCGGCGTTTCCAATTCGCAAAGCTTTATAAGAACGTAGGCGTCCCAGTCCAAATCGCGGCGGCACAAGTCCATTATCGCCTCGAATTTCTCATCGATCGTTTTCGAATGATAAAAACGGTTAAGGAATCCCAAAATTCCCGAGCCATCCGTTTTCTTAATCGCCGATTGGAGGACGAGTTGCGAGAAATCTGCAAAAAAAAACAGATAAACCTCGACGAAAGCCCCCATTTCTTTGCTGCGTTTTCATACGTTTATCAAATTGGTTGTCGCGTTTCATTAAGATTTCATAAATGTCGTGATGACCCCCTTTTCCGGCCAAAATGGCACCAAGTCGGCAGAAATCCTTCTCCTAAATCATTATATTTTTCTTTCTCATGTCATCGTTCCCCCTTTGCTAACATAGTTGAGGACGAAGAATGCGTCCATCGCCGAATGAATTCTAACATCGTCGTCCTGCTCGTCACAATGAATCATTTGCGAAATTTGCGACGGCGTCGGCTTTTCGTCGCTGAGCCCGGTTATATAAGCGGCCACCGGGTTGAGCGATTTCTGTAACAACAATAGAAAAAGAAATATAATGCGTTGAATAATGGGGCGAGCTTCCTCCTTTCGCCCCACACACGCCGGCGCGCTCGATTATTACCTTCGCGTCGGTGGCGTTCTCGACGAGACTTTTCTCGTTCTGAAGAATGTTCATCAAAAGATTCGATGAGAAATAGTAGGGCACGCCGCCAAACTCGCAGATCTCTCTTGTGATTCGAGTAGACATTCTGAACATTTTACAATTAATTAGATTTATAGAAAAAGCAATTATTATTAAAAATAAACCTTTTAGAATCGTTGATAAAAAATTATAATTCGAAAAAATAGGGAAACTGCCTTAATTAAATTTCCACTTAATTTGTGAACTTTCAAATAAAAAAATTTATTTGAATAAATTCGAAATTAATTTTTATTTGCTTAGAGGCTTATCAATTGCTCAAATTTATCAGAAAAATTGAAAACATTGCCAAATTTCCCAAAATCTTCAAAAATCTCAATTTTAAGCTAATTTTCGAGCGATTCTTGGACTATTTCGCATTGAAATCATTCAAATTAGAAAAAAAAATCAAATAATCGTCAAAAAAACACCAAAAATCAGGTGCGCTTACAGAAAACCGACGCTAAAATTTTCAGCAATTTCGAATTTTTTCGCGCTCTCACGCGTCTTCCTACAGTATCCAGCGCGTCGAGACTCCGCGCGCAATTCACAACAAAGTCCTTTAAAAATGCATTGCATCATACGCAAAACTGCACCAAAAACATGATTTATTCCCCATCTTTCTCGTTTCCGCAATGCAAATGAAAAATTGCTGAGCCCTTTTTATGCTGTTTCTAGCCCAACGTTCACCAGCTTCATATACACATACATCCAATTGTCCTTCGTCTCTTCGAGATATATATATATATAATTCAAAAAGTGTTGCAAGAGCTAAAAGTCCAACTCGAAATTATTATATTCGAAGTGACATTAATTTTCCAAGGCACCTTCCTTCACTTTACTCGACGCATTCAGCGCACGAGTTTCACGCTTCGTTGAGCCCATCACCCCGCCGCAGGCTGTATTAACGCATTCTCCCTTCCAAAAATGCTCAATTTTTGGCTCAAAGATGATGATTCTGCCCGCCCCCCTTATAAAATGCCGAAAATAAAATTTGGAGTTTCTAACTAGTCGCCGCATAAATATTGCGCTATTCGTATACATTGCTGATTTTTTTCTCGCGTGCCACAAACTGCCGAGAAGAAGATGAAGAAGAAGAAACATCATTTGATATCTCTGCGGTTTTTTTTGTGCTTCGATAATAAATATCCAGTGTCATTTGCACTCCTTGCAAAAAAAAATACAACAATTTTCGTTTGTTGTGTTAAAGCGCCCTTAAATTGGAGGCTCCGTGTTTTATATCCAAATGCGTTCCCCCCTCTAGTGTCCCTAATAGTCTAGTGGTCTGGTGCGGCGTTCAGCAGGCGGCCCATGGGAGGGTTTCGACACCAGCCAACATTAAACCAGGCCGTTTTGCCGTCCCCGACGTTTTTTTCCATGCGTTCCTTCAACCAATTCCCATGATCACATATTTATTACAACTCAAGCATGTGTGTTTGTCACAACATTAGCTCTCAATTCTTTTTTCGCAAAACCCGATACCTTTGTTCGCACTTGTGTGCATTTCTATCCTCAAAAAAAAGTTGATTTGAACACATTTGTCAAAAAAATCTCTGTTTTTTCTTCTTCAAATCTTCGCTTTCATGTGACATTTCGTATAGTCGAAAAAAAACCGCAAAAATGGGCACCTGATACTCATCAAGCAGACAAAAAAAAAACAACGACGAAAAAAAAAAACAGCTGTCCGAAACGTTTCGGCCGCTCACTTGTGATGTCAAAGGTCCCCCCGTTTTTAATGGTCCCGAAATGAAATTCTTATGGCTTCGTCGTCCTCGGGGGACCTTCTTCGGCGCGACATCTATGCTGTTTTTTTTTCTCGCTTCAAAAAAACCGCGTCTCAATGAATTTTAAATGCCTTTTTGTTGTTGTCCTCCCTCGTCGACCGCTTCAGAAAAAAATTAGTAGCCACTCCCCCGACTATTTCTTCAGAAGGTCATGCTTCCGTCGTCAAGATGATCGTTGTGCCAATCTTCACCGTTTTGCTCTCGTTGGACGCTGTCCGCGGCGAGGTTTGGAAATTTTTTTTTGCAAAAATCCACCACCTGGGCTCGATCCCACGACCTTTCGCGTCGTATAAAATCCTAAAAATTCTCATTTTTACACTTGAAAATCATGTTTTTTTTTAGATTAATTTCTGGTCGTTAAAAACCAAAACGCCGAAATAAACACATTTCGTAATTCCGAACATTTGAAGCAAGGAAAAAAAACTGGTTTCCGGCTCGTGACAAATCCGAGAAGATAGGGATCCGTTGGGAGATATGTGATCTCGAAAAATCTCGACATTTTACAAAATTTTCTACATTTTGAAAACGAGTGGACAAAAATTTACAAAAAAAAAGAAGCAAAAGAAAAAATTTATCTAATTCAAAAATATAATTTTTTGCAAACCGTTCTTCTCTTTACAGAAAAATGAGCTTTCTAATAATAAAAATACGTCGAAATATTCATTTTCATCTGTTCAGCGTCTAAAAACACGAATATTAATTAATTATTTATGAAATACACATACCGATATGAATTCTTTGTCAAAACTGCTTCAAATTAACTTCCCAATTTTTGTAAAATAATTCCTGAAAGCAAATTAATTAATAAGGGGCAATAAAGTAAAAGAACAACAATTTTTTAGGCCAAAATTTAATTCTACTCGAAATTTGAAATTAAATGCAATAATTAATTTTTCTGCTAACAAAAATTGTAAAGAACAATTTTAAAAATAAATATGAACACTTTTTAAAAATTAAAAGCGCAAAATTATTTCAAAAATCAAAAAAAAATCGCCAAAATTTGGAACGGAAAGAAAAATTAGGGGGCGTGGCCGCGGTGCGCAATGTGCGGCGCGCAATTTCGCGCAACTGCGGCACCCAATTCAAAATCCTGCTAATATAATCAAGAATATCGCAAATTTCAGGCGAGCGCCTGCGAGGAGCGCTGCACTCGCCTCAAGCAACGATCATTACAGCGAATCGGCTATGACGACGAGCGGTTCGCCATCATCACAACTCAAATCATTCTCCGAACAATTTTTGTTGTTGCAGACTCGACGCATTATTCGAACGACAACGACCATTGGAGAGTCTGAAAGACGTGTGCTGGCGTGTGTACGACAATCTCGATTGTATGAAAAAATGCCCGAAATCGGAGGCGCATCAGAAGTTCGCGAAACTCGCGCGAAACAAGTGCAAATTCGTGTTGCAAGGTATCGGGGAAAAAAAAGAAAAAAAAGAGAGAGCTCATCCAAAAAAAATGTTTGTGGCAGACATCGAGCCGACGCTGAAATGCATCAGCAAGCATCACGCGTTTCTCACGACGCGCTGCAGCTCGTTTCTCAACGAGGCCTCGAATCTGAGGGCCGATTCGGATCTCTCAACGACGCCGACGCACGAGGTGTGCCGATTTTTGCATCTCAACACGTTATGCCTCGAGAATCACGTGAATGCGTTTTGCAAAAACGCCAAACCGATTTATCGACGGCTGAATTTCAGGTAAAAACCGGCTCGCTCGTGTGTCCCGCTTATAGGCGAATCGTGCTGCGGACATTGTTGCGGGTCGCAATTTTCTCGCGTTTTGCAGGGATTATTTTCTCAGCTTCGTGCTGCCGATGGACGACGATCTGTTCGACGACGAGGACCTCGACAGCTGCCAAATTTTCGATTTTGTTCGCGACGCCGACAAACGACGCGACGAGGAGGAGGAGCGACGACGTGAGGAAGCGCGAAGGCGACGCATCGAAGACGACGACGACGACGACGACGAGCTGACGACGATCGTCAATCGTCTAGAAGAGATGGAGGAGGAGGCGACCAGCACTCAGGCTTGGCATCCGGATGAGGACACCGTGGCCCCGCTGGGAGATGTCATTGACACTGGCAGTACTCCAGAAGCCACTACAGGATTGCCTTCTGAAGGCAGTACTCCAGAATCCACCACAGAATTGACTTCTGAAGGCAGTGCTCCAGAATCCACTACAGGATTGACTTCTGAAGGCAGCAGTCAATCCAGTACACTGTCCGCAGATGACAAGGCTGAGTTCACATCGCTTATTGATGAGCTTATCGATTCGGCGGAACGCGATCAAACCACCACCACCATCACCACCACCATGGCGTCGACGCCAATCGACGACTACGATGATTATGAGGATGTCCTCGGCGAGACGCCGACGATCAGCGTCGTCGCCATCGAGACGCGAAGCTCGACGGAGACGACGACGACGGCGATGGACGAGATGGTCCGTCTGACGCCACCGATTGACGGTGAGAAGCTCGAGCTCACCAGTGTGGGTCCCACAACGACGACGACGACGAAGAAGAAGTTGTTCTCCGATGACAGCATGGAGGAGACGCCGCCGAATTTCTTCTATTCGTCGATGCGCTATGACACGACGACGCGCTCGAACTACGTCGTCGAGAATATGGACAAATCGGTAGGCTCGATTTTGGTTTTTCGATAATTGATCGATTCAGGAGTCCAACGAGCCATTGGAAATCGACACGACGACGTTGTTCGGTATCGATGAGACGAGCGACATCACTGAGTCTCCATGGCTTCAAGGGGGCGTCGTGATCAAGCCGATTCTGAAGTTTGATGAGATTGATGAGGATTCGGGTAGGAGTGGGCACTCAGCTTCATCTCTGTTGATTGCAGTTGAAGAGCGTGAGCGAGCGTATCGCGAGAAGCTTCGCAATCTGACACTTCACGAGTTCGACGACGATCATTTCGATGAGAATTCTGGCGAACGATTGGAGGCGTGGATCGGCGCGGTGCTCATCGCCATCGTTGGCCTTCTCATCGTTCTCATTCTCGTTCTATTCGTTTCATACTTTCGCTCGAATCGCACCGAGACCTATCAGGTCCAAAAGCACCATTTGCCCGACGTTTGACAAACGCGCCGTAATTATCTTCTCTAGAAATTCATGTTCTTTTTTTAAATATTTCTGCCACCAATCGTTACGTGTATTATTCGTCTTCCTTTTTTTTTATCAAAATTTTCTCTTAACAAAAAAACATCTCTGCATACAATTGTAACAGTTTAACTCTGGGCAAAACATCGCAAAATTTTTCACTAAATAGTGCTGCGGACAACTCGCGGGAAACGGTGTTGCCTGCTTTGGTGCAGTCAACTCGTCATATGCTATTTGTGCTGCGGACATCTCGCGGGAAACGGTGTTGCCTGCTTTGGTGCAGTCAACTCGTCATATGCTATTTGTGCTGCGGACATCTCGCGGGAAACGGTGTTGCCTGCTTTGGTGCAGTCAACTCATAATATGCTATTTGTGCTGCGGACATCTCGCGGGAAACGGTGTTGCCTGCTTTGGTGCAGTCAACTCATCATATGCTAATGGTGCTGCGGACACCTCGCCGCGTTTTTATGCAAATCATTTTCGCGCAAAACAACAAACGAACCAATTTAATCCAATGTGCCAATAAACAAACAAACAAGTAAACAAACAAGAGAGGCCGATTGGAGGAGAAAACCAAAAAAAAATTTTTTTTCAGCGTCGTCCTCGTCGACGTAAACAACAGCGCGCAATGGTCGATGGCAGAGGAGGGGGGGGGGAGGCGAATGGAGATCACTCGTTTTTTGCACTTTTTGTTTTTCGGTTCCGACGCGGATTTCGAGCAAGAGCGCCCCGGCAAAAATGGTTTGCACTTTTCGTACAGGTGCCGAGGCCAGACATCGAGAGCAGCGGGTCCTCGATTCGTTTAAGCATAGCACACACACACACACACATACGCTCACGCGAAACGCACAATGTCTCTCATGCGTCGTCGTTGCGGGTATTTTGTACTATAAGGGCACTTCGAGACGACGGCCGCCGCCGCCGCCGTCGGCCTCACACTCACCCGCCCCATTTTGCCTGGTTTTTGCCAAAATGATCATTGCGTTCTATTTATTGATCGTCGCGACGCGAGCGCGCTTATCTACCGCGTTCCCCCCTCGTGCGGATGTGTCCGCGATGGGGGAGCGGCAAGTCGCGCGCCTCTTTTGCGTGCCGCGCGTGCTCGACCCCCTCCCGCCCAACTCGCCCGCATTTCAATTTAAAGGCGCACGCCCTTGATGTATGGACTTTTAATCTTGCATAATCGTATCAAAAAATTTGAATAAAATGATGATCTTTGACATTATTTATTTTGTTTCCTGCCCTGTCACTGCCAGCGAGAGCGACGACGAGCTAGCCGATGATGACGATGGTGACGCCGATGAGCCTGTGCGCTCGGTGGCGGGATCCGTGTCGGTCTCCTCCTCGTCGCTTGGCACTTTCGATTTTTTCAATTTCTATAATTATGCATTTGTTTGTTGAAAATTCAATATCTCTTTGTTTTTCTGAAAATTTGTTTTTTTTTTCAAAAAGCTAAATGTCCGATCTGGCAGGTTACGCAACATTGACTATGGTCAATTTTCACGTATCTCATTCAATTTTGAATATTTCTAAAAATTGCGTATACTATGAAATTCTACGTGCTCGAAAACCCCAAAAATGAAATTTAGCTCAATTTTGACCATATTTAGCTTCAATATTTGAAATTTTAAAAATCCAGCGTAGTGTCCGCAGCTGAATGTTTACATCTCAAATGCGGCAATTGTCCGATTGACAATACTACCTTCCCACAATCGTCGGTCGGCTCAATACGATGACATTGGCATTGTGGCTTGATAACACTCGCCGACACCGATATCCCATCATACGCCAATCTCGTCGCCTTCTTGGTGGCAACGCGTGTGCGCCAAAGGGTGTACACCCAAATTGTCACCCCAACACCAATCGACACCGTTAGCAATAATCTCTCGGAGTTTCGAATCTCGTAACTGCAATAGGCGCCGATATAGGCGAAACCCGCGACATGTCCGCAGCACGAAGGTCATAAGCCTGCCACCTTGATCATGCGCGCTCTGTTAGGCCTTTCGTGCTGCGGACACCGTTCGAGGCCACTTTTTACCTTATTATATCCATATTTAGAAGAATTCAAGTGCGGCGTTTTAGAAAAAATGATAAATTTATGAAAATGACTCTCACGCCATACGTGAATCAGACTGACGATGATGATTTTTAATCTCGTCGTTCGCCATTATTTTTTCTCGGCGGTAAGTCGGATTTCGGCACGTATAAGCTGCTCACCAGCGTTCTCATTCGCCATATTCTCTTTAGAAAAAAAAAAACACCGTCCGATCTGGCAGGTTACGCAACCTCGACAATGTCCAATTTTCACAAAATTTCGCCAAGAAGAGAAAATCGCACCAAATCGTTGCTACCACGAAATTCTAGTGGTCCGTAAACCATATGCATCTAATTTGGACGAATAATTACTCTTTTTGGCATTTTTTTCTCGAAAAGAAAAATTGAATTTGACGAAAAAAATGGCTCTTGTGAAACCCGCGAATTGTCCGCAGCAGATTTTGAATATAATAAAATCCCGCTACAAACCATAATTTTGGTCAAATTACTATTTGTGATCGCTGTCCGCTTTTGTCAACAGAAACGGGTACTCAACTTGGAGTAATGATGCAATTTCCAGCGAATTGCAATTATTTTTTGGATTTGTTAATTTTTTGAAATTCCGAAGCCCCGAAAACCCTACTAGCTTAATTTTGAGTGATTTCCATGCATTGAAAGCAATAATATGGTTGAGCTGTCCGATCTGGCAAGTTACGCAACCTCGACTAGGGTCAAAATTGAAATATCTCACTCAATTTTGATTATTTCTCAAAACTGTTGATTTCATGAAATTCTACGTGCTTGAAAACCCTACCAATCGAATTTTGCCCAATTTTGGACACATTTAACCACATTATGTGAAATTCATTTAAAAATCCCGCGAGTTGTCCGCAGCTTGATGTTTACATGTCAAAACTCGCAAATTGTCGCAATATTTCGAATTTTCTAATTTCCGCTGATTTCGTCCGACTTTAATTCATTTCAATTTTTGAAACCCGCAAATTGTCGGCAGCTGAATGTCTACAATTCAAATCATCTCGAAAAAAGCCCCGTAAATAAAAAAAAAATGAGTTGGGCGCCTGTTGATTTAAAGAAAACCGACATGCGCCTTTAAAATGTCACCAAAATGGTGCATTTCCAACACCTACCACCCATTGTCGATCTTTCGGTCAGCGATTTCAACACAGTCGTTCTTCTTCCGAATATTTTTCGCATTTTTTACGAGCATTGGTTTATTGACATTTTATGCCTGTTTTTTTTGCTGCTATTCGTGTTTTGTGTTGTGAAATCGATAAAAAATTCCCAATTATGGAATGAAACATTGATTTTTTCGCCAAAATACGTGTCTTCATGACATTCCACATTGGTCACATTTCAAAATCTCTTTTAATTTTGAGTATTTCTCAAAACCGTTTATACCATGAAATTCTGCGTGCTCGAAAACCATTGAAACAAATTTTGGGCCAATTTAGACCATAATTGTTTTCAATATCTAGAATTTTTGAAATCCCGCATAGTGTCCGCAGCTGGGTGTTTATATGTCAAACTCAAAAAGCGCGCGCGCAGTCGAATGTGGTTTCAACGATTTTTTAGCAACCCGTGAATTGTCGGCAGCTGATCGAAGCTATCATTCACCACCACAGATCATTGCGCCGAATAGTGGCTGGTGGTATCTTTTGATCCCAATCATCTCTCTCTCTCAAATTTTCACAAGAATTGAACTATAGTAGTTGTGCGCCTTTAAACCTTACCCAAATACAAAGAAATGATGACAATTACCAATCGATATAATCTCTCCGACCTTGAGCACACATCAATTCGCATTGAACGATGACACACATAAACGAGTGTTACCGTATCCGGAACATTTTATTTCAAACTACAAAAAGTCGCCGAAAAGCTACAAAAATGACGAATTTCGGCGTCTTCTGTACTACCTACAAGGTCATCCCCAAATTATTGCTGTATGCATCTTTTTTTGAACTACGTTTGTCTAGTGTATAGTCTAGTTTGTAGCATTTAGCCCCTTTAATCTCAATAGCAAATTGGTGGGGGGGTTCAAAAATCGAAAATTCAAAAAAAAATGCGAAAAAAAATCAATTTTTTCTAAAAATGAGATTTCGAAAATCGAGATATTCGCCACTATTTTGCCCAAACCCATTTGATCTATGCCAGATTTTGGACTCTTGATTGTTTGTATTTGGTCACAAAGTACCTGTGAAGAATGTTGGTGGCGGCCGAGAGACAACTATTGACTTACACTACACCAATTTAAAAATAGAAAAGAAATACACAGAGATACACTAAATATCGAAATATATGTATATATATGAAAAGCAAAGACCAAAAAACGAAACGTTGAGGAGCTCATCTCGTCAAGTCTCCGCCTTTCGTCTTTTTCTCTAGCTTAGACTCTCTCGGCGATTACAACGGGTTACAGTATGTTCTCGACGCTCACACCAAGCGCCATCGACGATATTTTGCGACAGTCGAGTGTCCAGTTCGGCGTGAACACGACGAGCACTGCAGTGGCCGCCGCCGTCGCTGCAATCGCGCCGCCACAACAGCCAACAGGTAAACGAATTTTCAATTGCGCTACGGTAGTGGCGAGATGTGTGCAATCACCGAGGCGCGTGAATGCACACTCGCCGTTTTTTTTTTCGCAAAGCCCAAATTTTTGGGATTTTTTTTCGTTTTCGCATTAAAATCGCGCAATTTCTAATCGCAAATAGACATCAATGTCTAAAATCGATAAAAATCTTGCTTGTTCGCGATGTATTGCGTTCCGTAATAGCCTAAAAATATGTTGGTTTTCAGGACACGGTCGAGGACGCCGCAAAAATTCGACGGTCAATCTGATATGCGTCGTGTGCGGCGATCAGGCATTCGGCAAACATTACGGCGTCAACGCATGCAACGGATGTAAAGGGTTCTTTCGTCGAAGGTTCATTGATCTTTTAAACTTTTATTCCCTCTTCGCGCATCGCTTTATAAAAATCGCCGCCGGCCACTGTTGTGGTTTTGTACGAAAACGCCAAACATCAAATGGTCAAAGGTTCATCAACTAACTATTTCGCCTTCCTCGATTCATATTGCAAAGATCAATTCCAATATTTTTTGCAGCGTTTGGAACAATCGACAATATTTGTGTCGATTCGAAGGCCGATGCGCCATTGCCAAAGGTTTGATGATATTTCAATTTTTTCTTCTTCTTCTTCACATTGTTCTTTTCAGAGCATCGCAACGTGTGCCGCGCGTGTCGCCTCAAGCAATGCTTCATCGCCGGCATGAATCCGCGCGCGGTGCAATCGGAGCGCGAGCAACGCGGCGGCAACGAGCAGCCGCAAGATCTTGAAGACGACGACTACAATCAGATGTCGCCCGACAGATGTTCGGTCGAGATTCAGACGGAAACCGGCGAGATTCGAATGGACACGTCGGTGCCGCTGCCGATGATCGACGCCGAGCTCACGCGATGCTCCGAGCAGCTCGTCGAAATGCATCGAGCCGTCTGCGCCATGTGCGACGTCAAACAAGAGCCAAATAATGGTAAGAATTGTTGATTTTCTTTTGGAATTGCTAGAAAAGAATTTTAGAGCCAATGGCTTCTACCCGAGTATCGTTCATGAACGCCTTCTACAATCCATCGATGATGTCAAGAAGGACACCGGTGAGTCGCATTTGTCGGCAAAAATTGTTCATTCCGGGGCCGCTTATTTTGCAGCTTCAAATCACCGGCGAGCGAATCGCCACCATCAAAGACGTCATGGAAGAATGGCGTCGAAATTTCGTGTTGTTCTCCGATTGGCTTCGCGCGCTTCCCGAATTCAATCAGCTCGAGATCAACGATCAAATCGTGCTCGCCAAAAATCGCTACGGTCCGTTCCATTGGTGGCTGTGCGCGAATTGGACGGTGAAAGCCGGCTGCGACGGCGTCTGCTACACGAACGGCTCGTATTTTCCGAGCTCGCGCGAGCTTCAATGTCTGCCCGACGTGCGCGGCTCGACGCGCCGAATGCTCGACTCGCTGAGCGCGCCGATAAGCGAACTGCAGCTCGACGAGACTGAAGTCGTGCTCATGCTTGCTGTCATTTTATTTAGCGATGGTTGAGCTTCTCCCTACTAGACAATAATTGCTATCTATTTTGTAGAACTCGCCGATCTCTCGCCGGCCGGCAAAGAGCACGTCCGAACCGTTGGCAATCATTTTGTGAAAATGCTTCATCATCATATCAGGAATAAAGATTACGGCGAGACGCATGACGCCGACCCGCATTCGGCGACGGACTCGGCTGCCGCGGTGCGCATCGGAAAAATGATGATACTGCTGTCGGCGACGACGGTGAGAAACGTTCGCCGAAAATCGCCGCAATTTTTGCGCGTATTTCCAGAATCTCGTCTTCCTCACCTCCGATAATATTCAGCTCAACGATGTCCTTCACGTGGTGCCCACCGAATTTCTGTCTCAGGAAGTCCAACTACTCAAGGAATCGTATGAGACGCCATGAGAGACCAGACAAAAAAAACTTAATTCTTATATTTTCGTTTCACTTTTTTCATTGTCAAAAAAAAGAACATATTTTTTGTATATATTGCGGGTTGTGTTGTATATAAATTGAATGTTGTTTCTCAAGAAAAAAATGTGAAAAAAATAAATCGTTTCACTCATTCTCCGTGTGGACTACAACACAGCGTGGCCGCGACGCTTGGTGACCCTCGTCGGGTGACCCTAATCATTTTTCGCTTCCTCTTCTTTTTTTAAAATCCATTTTCATTGATTTTTCTAATGAAAAATGGGGAAAACAGTTTGGAAGCGAAAAGAATTGTATATAATATTAGGAATGCTATAAGTTTCGCACCGCTCGACGCAAATCTCTCAAAAATGTGAGTTTTTTTTTGTTTCAAATTAAAAATCGATGTTCGTTCCGGTGTTGCAGGCTTGAAACGATACCGAGCGAATCGCTCGATTATAGAATAGGAATTGATGAATTGGAGAAGGTTTGCATCAAAATCAAGGTGTGCCAATTAAATTATTGTGCACCAAATGAATTTTCTAGGCGAATTTGCGAAAATCGATGAGAAGCGGCGCTCGCGAGGGAATTCTGCGAATGTTGAGCGTCGACGAGTTTCGCGATTTGCGCGAAGCGACTCGCATCGAGACGCCGAAACAAGACGACGCGAGAATCGGCGAGGAGATCGTCGTGAAATCGATAAAAGTCGCGTTTGGCGAAATTTTGCAAGACAAGAAATTGCGAAAATTTTTCAGGCGGTAAAAGAGGACCATCCGGAGCCGCCGAGGCCCCACGGGATACCGAAACTCGACGTGCGCAATCTACGCGACACGCAGGAATCGGCCAGCGACGACAATTATTCGTTGTAAGCCATAACGGAAAAAATTCCGGAGTTGCGGGTTAATTTCTTCCAGCAAATCCGGCGATCCAATTCCGAGTCCGTTCGGCGGTCTGCCGCAAATCAAAACGCCGCGCTCCGACGACACCGAAAAACGTTTGGTTCGTGAATAACTGGGAGTTGTCGGAAAAATTGTTTTGTTGAATCATTTTCAGGCAATTCTCATGAATCGCCTTGAGATCGCCGAGAAGCGAAACCGAGAATTTGAGGCGTCGCGTCGAGACGAGCCGACGACGATCGCGTCGAGACCGATTCGGCCGAGATTCGTCGATAGCGGTGTCCAAACCGACGATCAACCCGACAAACGCGATGGCGTCGCGCAAACCGAATGTCCGATTGGTGTGGCGATGATCGACGCGGGGTCGCAGAAGACTCCAAGGATTCTGGAGGATGACGACGACGACATTCCATCAACGTCAAGAACCGAGCTCAGCGACGGTGAAATTCGCCTAACATCCAAGTAAATTCCACAAATTTTGTTTGGAATCTCCACACGATAGTGGGTTCTTCAAGATTGGTGCCGATCATTGGGATGTCGTCGCGACGAGTCGCCGACACTCGCGATTCGCAAGTGCAGACGAGCGCGCGAACGCCAAGAGTCGACGAGTTCGACGAGGTCGGCACACAAGTGTCGTCGGCGCGCCTTCGACAATATCCCGAAACGAATATTCTGATTCTGTCGTCGAAAGCCGATCCGAAAATGATTGTCGACGATCGCACACTGTCAGTCAGCTCTATTGGTAACTTGAAGGGGGGGGGTCTCGAAACGAACACATTGAAATTTTTTCAGACACCGCTGCCGGCGCGAGTCCGCTCTCATTCGAATCGAGTCTGAATTTGGCGAGATGGAATCAAGTGTACGCCACGAAGCATGGTGGTGGTGATTCGCGCCAATCGAAAAATGGTACGATTTGATCCCCCCAGCCCCCATCCACCAATTTGGCCCTTTGCAGACACGCGAATGTACGCCAACGCGCAATCATCGTCGGCATCTGAAGCCGACGACGAATCGAAACCCAACTCGAACTGATCTCTCATTTCTGTGATTTCATTTTTTGTTCATTTGCCATTTGATCTCGAATAAATCGATCTTCTCATTGATGGTTGGTTTCCTTCTCTCTTTCTCACTATCTCTTGCGTCAATCTCGTCTCGAATCGAGCACTGATGTACCTATGAATGAATTGAGAGGGTCCGTTGAAAAAAAACCTTTTAGCGGCGGGTGTCGACCGATGCGCTGTTCGGCGTCGCGGTGACGGCGTGGTCGAGTCTCTCAACGAAGCGACAAAGAATGAGCGGCGCCGGTTGTTGCGGAATCGTCGAGTAAGATTGTTTTGATGTATGCTATTGTAGGAGGGTCTCGCCCGGAAGTCGATTACTGTAGAATCTACAACAATCCTTGTGATCTTTTTTTAGAAATTCTCGGCGAGACCTCGTCTGTGTCTCGCCCGGAAGTCGATTACGGTAGAATCGAAACTACAACAATCAATCATACCCAAAGCATGTAGCCTTGATTGTTATTGAGACCCTGCGAGTAAGATTTTCCGAGAAATCGGCACATATTGTTGAACGCATAGATTACTGTAGATCTTAAAGGCACATGAGAGATGAAACACCTCGAAATGTTAGAGAAGCAGCGAAAAATAATTGTTCCAATAATGACAGCAAATGCGTATTTGAATTGCCGCCAACAAAAACGAACATTCGAGAAATTGTCCGCAGATGATTTTATTGAAAATTTGCGACAAACCGCGGTGTTCAATGCCGTAGTGATTTTTGCAGTCCCGACGCACCGGCGGTGTTCTCCTACAAAAATCGTCGAGCGGCGCGCGGCGAGGCGTACGAGCCGACGCAACACGAGCACATGGCGAACACGGTGTCGCACGCGATCGGCATCGCGCCAACAATTCTCGTCTTCCACCAATTCATGCTCGACGCGGCGCACCGCCAACTCCAACACGCGCTCATGATCGTCTACGGTGTGTTCACGACGCTGCTGTTCGCCACCAGCACCGCCTACCACTTGTGCGAGCTGCTGTTCCGTCGCGCCAATCGGTGAGTCTCGATCCATCGTCGTCAAGAGAGGGGGGTTTCGATTCGACTTGTTGCAGACATCGCCGCCTCCGCTACTACCTTCATATATGCGATCGAGCGGCGATCTATCTGTTCATCGCCGCCTCCTACACACCATGGTTGACGTTGCGCCATTGCGGCTATTCGGGCCTCAACCTCAAATGGATGATCTGGGTGCTCGCCGCGCTCGGCATTATCTACCAATACAATTTTCACGAGCGCTTCAAAACGCTCGAGACGACGCTGTACGTCGTCATCGCCGGCGGACCGTCGATCGCGATATTCACGATGAGCGATCGGTCGGGTCTCGAGTGGATGATGATCGGCGGCGCGATGTACGCGATTGGCGTCGTCTTCTTCAAACTCGATGGAATTGTCGCGTTCGCGCACGCGATTTGGCACGTTTTTGTGCTAATCGGTAGGTGGCCAGAAAGTGGCCAGACTCGAAAAATTGCGGTTTTGAAACGTTTTCTGACAAAAATTGATCAATTTTTTGCTATTCTGGACTTTTTGTGGCCAGAAAGTGGCCAGACTCGAAAAATTGCGATTTTGAAACGTTTTCTGACAAAAATTGATCAATTTTTTGCTATTCTGGACTTTTTGTGGCCAGAAAGTGGCCAGACTCGAAAAATTGCGGTTTTGAAACGTTTTCTGACAAAAATTGATCAATTTTTTGCTATTCTGGACTTTTTGTGGCCAGAAAGTGGCCAGACTCGAAAAATTGCGATTTTGAAACGTTTTCTGACAAAAATTGATCAATTTTTTGCTATTCTGGACTTTTTGTGGCCAGAAAGTGGCCAGACTCGAAAAATTGCGATTTTGAAACGTTTTCTGACAAAAATTGATCAATTTTTTGCTATTCTGGACTTTTTGTGGCCAGAAAGTGGCCAGACTCGAAAAATTGCGGTTTTGAAACGTTTTCTGACAAAAATTGATCAATTTTTTGCTATTCTGGACTTTTTGTGGCCAGAAAGTGGCCAGACTCGAAAAATTGCGGTTTTGAAACGTTTTCTGACAAAAATTGATCAATTTTTTGCTATTCTGGACTTTTTGTGGCCAGAAAGTGGCCAGAATCGAAAAATTGCGGTTTTGAAACGTTTTCTGACAAAAATTGATCAATTTTTTGCTATTCTGGACTTTTTGTGGCCAGAAAGTGGCCAGACTCGAAAAATTGCGGTTTTGAAACGTTTTCTGACAAAAATTGATCAATTTTTTGCTATTCTGGACTTTTTGTGGCCAGAAAGTGGCCAGACTCGAAAAATTGCGATTTTGAAACGTTTTCTGACAAAAATTGATCAATTTTTTGCTATTCTGGACTTTTTGTGGCCAGAAAGTGGCCAGACTCGAAAAATTGCGGTTTTGAAACGTTTTCTGACAAAAATTGATCAATTTTTTGCTATTCTGGACTTTTTGTGGCCAGAAAGTGGCCAGACTCGAAAAATTGCGGTTTTGAAACGTTTTCTGACAAAAATTGATCAATTTTTTGCTATTATGGACTTTTTGTGGCCAGAAAGTGGCCAGACTCGAAAAATTGCGATTTTGAAACGTTTTCTGACAAAAATTGATCAATTTTTTGCTATTATGGACTTTTTGTGGCCAGAAAGTGGCCAGACTCGAAAAATTGCGATTTTGAAACGTTTTCTGACAAAAAATTGATCAATTTTTTTTTGCTATTCTGGACTTTTTGTGGCCAGAAAGTGGCCAGACTCGAAAAATTGCGGTTTTGAAACGTTTTCTGACAAAAATTGATCAATTTTTTGCTATTCTGGACTTTTTGTGGCCAGAAAGTGGCCAGACTCGAAAAATTGCGGTTTTGAAACGTTTTCTGACAAAAATTGATCAATTTTTTGCTATTCTGGACTTTTTGTGGCCAGAAAGTGGCCAGAATCGAAAAATTGCGATTTTGAAACGTTTTCTGACAAAAATTGATCAATTTTTTGCTATTCTGGACTTTTTGTGGCCAGAAAGTGGCCAGACTCGAAAAATTGCGATTTTGAAACGTTTTCTGACAAAAATTGATCAATTTTTTGCTATTATGGACTTTTTGTGGCCAGAAAGTGGCCAGACTCGAAAAATTGCGATTTTGAAACGTTTTCTGACAAAAAATTGATCAATTTTTTTTGCTATTCTGGACTTTTTGTGGCCAGAAAGTGGCCAGACTCGAAAAATTGCGGTTTTGAAACGTTTTCTGACAAAAATTGATCAATTTTTTGCTATTCTGGACTTTTTGTGGCCAGAAAGTGGCCAGACTCGAAAAATTGCGGTTTTGAAACGTTTTCTGACAAAAATTGATCAATTTTTTGCTATTCTGGACTTTTGTGGCCAGAAAGTGGCCAGACTCGAAAAATTGCGATTTTGAAACGTTTTCTGACAAAAAATTGATCAATTTTTTTTGCTATTCTGGACTTTTTGTGGCCAGAAAGTGGCCAGACTCGAAAAATTGCGGTTTTGAAACGTTTTCTGACAAAAATTGATCAATTTTTTGCTATTCTGGACTTTTTGTGGCCAGAAAGTGGCCAGACTCGAAAAATTGCGGTTTTGAAACGTTTTCTGACAAAAATTGATCAATTTTTGCTATTCTGGACTTTTTGTGGCCAGAAAGTGGCCAGACTCGAAAAATTGCGATTTTGAAACGTTTTCTGACAAAAATTGATCAATTTTTTGCTATTCTGGACTTTTTGTGGCCAGAAAGTGGCCAGACTCGAAAAATTGCGATTTTGAAACGTTTTCTGACAAAAATTGATCAATTTTTTGCTATTCTGGACTTTTTGTGGCCAGAAAGTGGCCAGACTCGAAAAATTGCGGTTTTGAAACGTTTTCTGACAAAAATTGATCAATTTTTTGCTATTCTGGACTTTTGTGGCCAGAAAGTGGCCAGACTCGAAAAATTGCGGTTTTGAAACGTTTTCTGACAAAAATTGATCAATTTTTTTGCTATTCTGGACTTTTTTAAAGTGGCCAGACTCGAAAAATTGCGATTTTGAAACGTTTTCTGACAAAAATTGATCAATTTTTTGCTATTCTGGACTTTTTGTGGCCAGAAAGTGGCCAGACTCGAAAAATTGCGATTTTGAAACGTTTTCTGACAAAAATTGATCAATTTTTTTGCTATTCTGGACTTTTTGTGGCCAGAAAGTGGCCAGACTCGAAAAATTGCGATTTTGAAACGTTTTCTGACAAAAAATTGATCAATTTTTTTGCTATTCTGGACTTTTTGTGGCCAGAAAGTGGCCAGACTCGAAAAATTGCGGTTTTGAAACGTTTTCTGACAAAAAATTGATCAATTTTTTTGCTATTCTGGACTTTTTGTGGCCAGAAAGTGGCCAGACTCGAAAAATTGCGGTTTTGAAACGTTTTCTGACAAAAATTGATCAATTTTTTGCTATTCTGGACTTTTTGTGGCCAGAAAGTGGCCAGACTCGAAAAATTGCGATTTTGAAACGTTTTCTGACAAAAAATTGATCAATTTTTTTGCTATTCTGGACTTTTTGTGGCCAGAAAGTGGCCAGACTCGAAAAATTGCGGTTTTGAAACGTTTTCTGACAAAAATTGATCAATTTTTTGCTATTCTGGACTTTTTGTGGCCAGAAAGTGGCCAGACTCGAAAAATTGCGGTTTTGAAACGTTTTCTGACAAAAATTGATCAATTTTTTGCTATTCTGGACTTTTTGTGGCCAGAAAGTGGCCAGACTCGAAAAATTGCGGTTTTGAAACGTTTTCTGACAAAAAATTGATCAATTTTTTTGCTATTCTGGACTTTTTGTGGCCAGAAAGTGGCCAGACTCGAAAAATTGCGGTTTTGAAACGTTTTCTGACAAAAATTGATCAATTTTTTGCTATTCTGGACTTTTTGTGGCCAGAAAGTGGCCAGACTCGAAAAATTGCGGTTTTGAAACGTTTTCTGACAAAAATTGATCAATTTTTTGCTATTCTGGACTTTTTGTGGCCAGAAAGTGGCCAGACTCGAAAAATTGCGGTTTTGAAACGTTTTCTGACAAAAATTGATCAATTTTTTGCTATTCTGGACTTTTTGTGGCCAGAAAGTGGCCAGACTCGAAAAATTGCGGTTTTGAAACGTTTTCTGACAAAAATTGATCAATTTTTTGCTATTCTGGACTTTTTGTGGCCAGAAAGTGGCCAGACTCGAAAAATTGCGGTTTTGAAACGTTTTCTGACAAAAATTGATCAATTTTTTGCTATTCTGGACTTTTTGTGGCCAGAAAGTGGCCAGACTCGAAAAATTGCGATTTTGAAACGTTTTCTGACAAAAATTGATCAATTTTTTGCTATTCTGGACTTTTTGTGGCCAGAAAGTGGCCAGACTCGAAAAATTGCGATTTTGAAACGTTTTCTGACAAAAAATTGATCAATTTTTTTGCTATTCTGGACTTTTTGTGGCCAGAAAGTGGCCAGACTCGAAAAATTGCGGTTTTGAAACGTTTTCTGACAAAAATTGATCAATTTTTTGCTATTCTGGACTTTTTGTGGCCAGAAAGTGGCCAGACTCGAAAAATTGCGGTTTTTAAACGTTTTCTGACAAAAATTGATCAATTTTTTGCTATTCTGGACTTTTTGTGGCCAGAAAGTGGCCAGACTCGAAAAATTGCGATTTTGAAACGTTTTCTGACAAAAATTGATCAATTTTTTGCTATTCTGGACTTTTTGTGGCCAGAAAGTGGCCAGACTCGAAAAATTGCGATTTTGAAACGTTTTCTGACAAAAATTGATCAATTTTTTGCTATTCTGGACTTTTTGTGGCCAGAAAGTGGCCAGACTCGAAAAATTGCGATTTTGAAACGTTTTCTGACAAAAAATTGATCAATTTTTTTGCTATTCTGGACTTTTTGTGGCCAGAAAGTGGCCAGACTCGAAAAATTGCGGTTTTGAAACGTTTTCTGACAAAAATTGATCAATTTTTTGCTATTCTGGACTTTTTGTGGCCAGAAAGTGGCCAGACTCGAAAAATTGCGGTTTTGAAACGTTTTCTGACAAAAATTGATCAATTTTTTGCTATTCTGGACTTTTTGTGGCCAGAAAGTGGCCAGAATCGAAAAATTGCGATTTTGAAACGTTTTCTGACAAAAATTGATCAATTTTTTGCTATTCTGGACTTTTTGTGGCCAGAAAGTGGCCAGACTCGAAAAATTGCGATTTTGAAACGTTTTCTGACAAAAATTGATCAATTTTTTGCTATTCTGGACTTTTTGTGGCCAGAAAGTGGCCAGACTCGAAAAATTGCGGTTTTGAAACGTTTTCTGACAAAAATTGATCAATTTTTTGCTATTCTGGACTTTTTGTGGCCAGAAAGTGGCCAGACTCGAAAAATTGCGGTTTTGAAACGTTTTCTGACAAAAATTGATCAATTTTTTGCTATTCTGGACTTTTTGTGGCCAGAAAGTGGCCAGACTCGAAAAATTGCGATTTTGAAACGTTTTCTGACAAAAATTGATCAATTTTTTGCTATTCTGGACTTTTTGTGGCCAGAAAGTGGCCAGAATCGAAAAATTGCGATTTTGAAACGTTTTCTGACAAAAATTGATCAATTTTTTGCTATTCTGGACTTTTTGTGGCCAGAAAGTGGCCAGACTCGAAAAATTGCGATTTTGAAACGTTTTCTGACAAAAAATTGATCAATTTTTTTTGCTATTCTGGACTTTTTGTGGCCAGAAAGTGGCCAGACTCGAAAAATTGCGGTTTTGAAACGTTTTCTGACAAAAATTGATCAATTTTTTGCTATTCTGGACTTTTTGTGGCCAGAAAGTGGCCAGACTCGAAAAATTGCGATTTTGAAACGTTTTCTGACAAAAAATTGATCAATTTTTTTTGCTATTCTGGACTTTTTGTGGCCAGAAAGTGGCCAGACTCGAAAAATTGCGGTTTTGAAACGTTTTCTGACAAAAATTGATCAATTTTTTGCTATTCTGGACTTTTTGTGGCCAGAAAGTGGCCAGACTCGAAAAATTGCGGTTTTGAAACGTTTTCTGACAAAAATTGATCAATTTTTTGCTATTCTGGACTTTTTGTGGCCAGAAAGTGGCCAGACTCGAAAAATTGCGGTTTTGAAACGTTTTCTGACAAAAAATTGATCAATTTTTTTTTGCTATTCTGGACTTTTTGTGGCCAGAAAGTGGCCAGACTCGAAAAATTGCGGTTTTGAAACGTTTTCTGACAAAAATTGATCAATTTTTTGCTATTCTGGACTTTTTGTGGCCAGAAAGTGGCCAGACTCGAAAAATTGCGATTTTGAAACGTTTTCTGACAAAAATTGATCAATTTTTTGCTATTCTGGACTTTTTGTGGCCAGAAAGTGGCCAGACTCGAAAAATTGCGATTTTGAAACGTTTTCTGACAAAAATTGATCAATTTTTTGCTATTCTGGGGTTTTTGTGGCCAGAAAGTGGCCAGACTCGAAAAATTGCGGTTTTGAAACGTTTTCTGACAAAAATTGATCAATTTTTTGCTATTCTGGACTTTTTGTGGCCAGAAAGTGGCCAGACTCGAAAAATTGCGATTTTGAAACGTTTTCTGACAAAAATTGATCAATTTTTTGCTATTCTGGACTTTTTGTGGCCAGAAAGTGGCCAGACTCGAAAAATTGCGATTTTGAAACGTTTTCTGACAAAAATTGATCAATTTTTTGCTATTCTGGACTTTTTGTGGCCAGAAAGTGGCCAGACTCGAAAAATTGCGATTTTGAAACGTTTTCTGACAAAAAATTGATCAATTTTTTTTGCTATTCTGGACTTTTTGTGGCCAGAAAGTGGCCAGACTCGAAAAATTGCGGTTTTGAAACGTTTTCTGACAAAAATTGATCAATTTTTTGCTATTCTGGACTTTTTGTGGCCAGAAAGTGGCCAGACTCGAAAAATTGCGATTTTGAAACGTTTTCTGACAAAAATTGATCAATTTTTTGCTATTCTGGACTTTTTGTGGCCAGAAAGTGGCCAGACTCGAAAAATTGCGATTTTGAAACGTTTTCTGACAAAAATTGATCAATTTTTTGCTATTATGGACTTTTTGTGGCCAGAAAGTGGCCAGACTCGAAAAATTGCGATTTTGAAACGTTTTCTGACAAAAAATTGATCAATTTTTTTGCTATTCTGGACTTTTTGTGGCCAGAAAGTGGCCAGACTCGAAAAATTGCGGTTTTGAAACGTTTTCTGACAAAAATTGATCAATTTTTTGCTATTCTGGACTTTTTGTGGCCAGAAAGTGGCCAGACTCGAAAAATTGCGGTTTTGAAACGTTTTCTGACAAAAATTGATCAATTTTTTGCTATTCTGGACTTTTTGTGGCCAGAAAGTGGCCAGACTCGAAAAATTGCGATTTTGAAACGTTTTCTGACAAAAATTGATCAATTTTTTGCTATTCTGGACTTTTTGTGGCCAGAAAGTGGCCAGAATCGAAAAATTGCGATTTTGAAACGTTTTCTGACAAAAATTGATCAATTTTTTGCTATTCTGGACTTTTTGTGGCCAGAAAGTGGCCAGACTCGAAAAATTGCGATTTTGAAACGTTTTCTGACAAAAAATTGATCAATTTTTTTTTGCTATTCTGGACTTTTTGTGGCCAGAAAGTGGCCAGACTCGAAAAATTGCGGTTTTGAAACGTTTTCTGACAAAAATTGATCAATTTTTTGCTATTCTGGACTTTTTGTGGCCAGAAAGTGGCCAGACTCGAAAAATTGCGATTTTGAAACGTTTTCTGACAAAAATTGATCAATTTTTTGCTATTCTGGACTTTTTGTGGCCAGAAAGTGGCCAGACTCGAAAAATTGCGATTTTGAAACGTTTTCTGACAAAAAATTGATCAATTTTTTTTGCTATTCTGGACTTTTTGTGGCCAGAAAGTGGCCAGACTCGAAAAATTGCGGTTTTGAAACGTTTTCTGACAAAAATTGATCAATTTTTTGCTATTCTGGACTTTTTGTGGCCAGAAAGTGGCCAGACTCGAAAAATTAAAAAAATTTTGTTCTGTGTTCTTTTTTTCGTGTTTCGTCAAAAAAAAAACTCGTATTCCGTTAAAAAACTTTTTGGTCCTTCTTCCGTCTTCCGTTTTTCTAAAATTCAAGTTCCGTGCAGCTCTGCACTTTGGCCAGAAAGTGGCCAGGCAACTAAAAATGGTGATTTTGAAATTTGAAAAAATTTTCCACTGAAAATGATAGTTTATTCTCATTTCTGAGCCATTTGTGGCCAGAAAGTGAAAGAAAATAATCGAAAAAATTTGGCGTTTTTTTCAGGTGCCGCGTGCCACACGTACGCCGTCTACGCGCATCTCCTCGGACCCGACAAATTCAATCCGGTCCCATCGATTTAGCGGCGTTTTCATTCTTTATTTTCATATTTGAATATTTTTTTGAAATCTCTCAGCCCTTTCATAGAAAAACTTCGTGTAGCATAATTTGCCATATTTCGCATTTTTCCCCTCCCAACAATTTGGTCACAAAACCCATTTTCTCGTTGATTTCTGTTCGTCTCCAGGTCTACTAACTACTCTCAACTGATTAATGCCAGTATTTCGTGTGAAATTGTCGAATTTCCAATAAAATGCCATATTTTTGAAAAAAAATTGCCGAGAAAAAAGCGAAATTCCGCAGGTAAAAATGGTACAGTAACCCCGGCGGCTTAAAGGCGCATGCCAAAAATTTGCGCAAAACAATTTCACGCCTAAAATTGACGATTTTAAAAATCGAAAGGAAATTGCAAAAAATTGTATTTGAAAATTCCAATAGCGAAAATTTGCAACCAAAAATGGTATACACATAATATTGAGACTGTCGTCGTTCTACTGGGAGGTGTCGACAAGTTGAAATATTCCGAAAAAAAAACAAAACCATTTTTTTTTGGAAAAAATTGATATTCTCAGAAAATTGCCCGGGGTCCGATTACACCGAGAAACACATTTTCATCAACACTGAATGATCTCCTCTTATCAATTGCCCATTTTTGGAAACAGTGTCGTTTAATTGCAAATCGTTTTTCTCTAAATAAACAATCTCGATGATTCATTGACACCTTCGATCTGAATCCAATCGCCTTGTTCATCAGATATAAAGCGTTTTGGAATTGGTGAAAAACTCAACAAAATGGTTCAATGCTTTTTTTTGGTCTCTTGACGACACCAAAAAATGTTTGGTCCCTCCCCCCCCAAACCCTCTTTCTCTAGCGGTCTCTTATCATAATTGCTCTATGCGATGGAATGATGCCATCGTTGATCGTCAACAATGACTTTCGCGTCGAATCGGAGGACACCGATGATGTGAAGCGACGCGATCCGGTCACTCAGACGCTCATCGACAACAACCATCCGATTCAGACGGTTCAGTTGTCGCTCACGGTACCATTTTTTGGTCTTGCTCTTCTTTGTGATAAATGTGATTTTTAGGAGCTTCTCGACGACGCGCGAATCGACGCCGCCGACGATGGCGACGCGTTGGTGATTGCCGACGAATCGCTTCCGATCGACAACAACTCGACACTCGATGGCGAGGAATCCGACGACGTCATCGCCGCCGAATCCGACGACGACGTTGATGTGATTCCGTGCGAGCCGACGATGGAACTCGCGATTCAACGCAAACGCAAATCGGCGTCGAGCGATTCGATGGTATCAATTAGCATATATATATATATAGTTAGAGATGCGTTTTCAGAAGCTCAAACGTTGCTGTCCCCTAATTTATTCGACGTCGTGCCCTTCGACGTCGTCGGATGACGTCGATTCATCGCCGCCGTCGGCTTCACCGCCAGCCGACGACTCGACGGATCTCGATGAAGAGTACTCGCCGCCAAATGATGATGTTGACAAGGAGCATCCGCTCATCGAGACGCTCAAACCGCCCGCTAAGGAGCCTTGAATTCCAATTGTCGTCAAATCAAGTGCACAAGTCCGCAATATTTTCAACAGCTTTTTTTCTAGATTCGTAATTTTATATACTTTGCGGTTGCGGGACCAGCGATAAATTTTCGTATTCTTTTTTTGGAAGTCCACACTTGGGGGCTATTACGGTAGCTACAGTACTCCAACATTTGGAAATTTGCAATTTTTGGAGCGAAAAAACATTGTCTGTGTCTCTCGCCGTTTCACACACACTCTCTCTCACCGCAATTCAGATTGTTTCCGACAATCTGGCAAAAATCCCACAATTGTTATCAACAAATATCTCTCACACCCCTCTACGAGTGCAAAAAATCGAACGGAAAAAAACCAGCTGACCTGAATGATAATGAATGACGTTTTTGCCGGGAAATTGCCGTTCGAAAGTAGAACATTTTTATGGACCTATCAAGCCGGAAAAATGACACAATTTACCTAATTATAATCTATTTTCGAAATTGTTATTGCGGTACTTGTTAGAGAGATTCAAAGATCCCCATGTTGTGAGTTATCTCTGGGAGAATGAGAAACGCGAAATGAAAAATGAGTGGCAGAAAATTTGCAACAATAAAGATGGTGTCGCACTGGAAAAGTGGCAAGTTCGACATGTACTCGTTGTTGATCTCGCCGCAACCGATTCACCACGTTCACAAACATGAACGAATCGATTTTGTGGAATCAGCGATTAAAAACAAAATCGAGTGGCGTAACTTTGCAATAATAAAGATGGACGTGATAAATATCTCTCACCTACCTCTAGGAGTACAAAAAATCGAACGGAAAAAAAATCAGCTGACTCGAGTGATAATGAATGACGTTTTTGCCGGGAAAATTGCCGTTCGAAAATGGCACATTTTTATGGACCTATCAAGCCGGAAAAAAGGCACAATTTTCCTAATTATAATCTATTATCGAAATTTTTTATGTGGTACTTGCTAGAGAGATTCAAAAGACCCCCCCCCTCACCTCAAAATATTTCGAAATCGAATGCCCTCCTGAATAGGCGTGGAGGATGTTCTTCTTGGCTGAGGTGCAGTAATTTATAATAGATATAAGAAGAACAAAATGGGTGCCCAAAAAAGGTGTTGTTACGCTCTAGCCCTTGGCGTGATTTGTGCCAAGGGTAGCTCGTACTTCTTGCCCGAGGTACGATGGGAATAAGCGGAATATTGGACGCGAGTATAATATAATAGTTTATTATGAAAATAAGAGGAGGAGTATGGGTACCCTACTCTGAACCCGGCTGCCGAAGCAGCCGACCCAAAGTCGGGGAGCGTGCCCAACTGGCTTGTTGGTGGGCGGCGCTTATCGCCGTCGCCGAAGACTCTCTGAAAGAGGGGGAAAAGATGCGAAGAATGCGCCTGGTGTAAATGGCGCACACAGTGTAGAAAAACTTCCCATATAATGTAATTTCACAATTTTTTTCTATCATGAACCAATGGGAAAAAATTGGCGGCGATATACCGTAATTCTCCGCTGATAATTTTCCAAGATGCACGCGAAAAGTTGGCGCGGATCACGACGCGAAATCAATAGTGTAATTTTCGAATTTTTTATTATGTGTGTTATTTTTCGTAATATTTTAAGAGGAAAATGAGGAACGGATTGACGAACGGTGAAAAAACAGTAAATTATTGGTATAATTACTCAAAATTCTTCAAGTTTTATCACGAGAAATAATGATAGTTGTGTTGATTCTTCTTCTCATAAACCTTTTCGTGTTGATAAAACGAACAAAATAAAAGTAATTCGAAAATTACAGTATCGGTTTCGCGTCGGGAGCCGCGCCAAATTTTCGCGAGCGCCTTGAACAATAATCAGCGGAGAATTACGATCAGTGTGTGCTCTCGGGAGAGAATTTCCCGCGAATTCCCTAAACTGCCCATAAGCAAAATTCTCGAGACTTCCGGAAGCACCGAGAAATTTTCGAAGTTATTTGTCTCGGTAGTTCACGGGGTAGTTGCGTGTACGGGAACCGACAGTTTCGAGACTTTCTCGGGAATATTTTTATCGATAAAATTCAGTAGCCGGCGACTGATGTACGCGGGTAGATTTACGCGCATGCGCCTTGAAAAGGTCTTCGCGCGCGTGAATGCTTATTTTGCCGTTTTCACGTGAAAAACTTCATTTATCTTGAAGAATTTCCCATTTTCTTGTATTTCCAAGAAAATGGGAAAAATCAATCCCTTTCGATTCCCTTTTCGCGCTCTTTGTGACTTTTCTTTTTATGATTTGTTCTCTATTCCTGCAATTAATAACAGTTTAACATCTTTAAATTTCAAAAGAAAATTGCGAAAGAGAAACAAAATTATTTTTTGAAAGAGTATTCTCATAGATTAATTTGAAATTTACCTTTGTAAACGTCGAATATTGCATAAAACAATCCAATACTTTTCCAGTAAAGGCCTCAAATCGCTCAATCTGATAAACGTAAAACCGTTGGTGGAAAAGTCAGGATGGGTTGTAGTAGGCCTTCAAAATACAAAAATGAACAAATTAGATTATAATTAGGAAAATTGTGCCTTTTTTCCGGCTTGATAGGTCCATAAAAATGTGCCATTTTCGAACGGCAATTTTCCCGGCAAAAACGTCATTCATTATCACTCGAGTCAGCTGATTTTTTTTCCGTTCGATTTTTTGTACTCCTAGAGGTAGGTGAGAGATATTTATCACGTCCATCTTTATTATTGCAAAGTTACACCACTCGATTTTGTTTTTAATCGCTGATTCCACAAAATCGATTCGTTCATGTTTGTGAACGTGGTGAATCGGTTGCGGCGAGATCAACAACGAGTACATGTCGAACTTGCCACTTTTCCAGTGCGACACCATCTTTATTGTTGCAAATTTTCTGCCACTCATTTTTCATTTCGCGTTTCTCATTCTCCCAGAGATAACTCACAACATGGGGATCTTTGAATCTCTCTAACAAGTACCACAATAACAATTTCGAAAATAGATTATAATTAGGTAAATTGTGTCATTTTTTCCGGCTTGATAGGTCTTTTTTTTTGTACTCCTAGAGGTAGGTGAGACATATTTAATACGTCCATCTTTATTATTGCAAAGTTACGCCTATCGGTTTTTTGTTTTCAATCGCTAGAAACATAGATAGAGTGAGATAAGTACCCTCACGACACAATTAGTTCGATTCATGAGCTTCATACGCTTTCAATTTTAATCTCTTCTTTTTTTGTGAATAATTATTTAATTGGCCAATTTTCAATTGATTTAGCTATTCCCGAAATGAACAATTGCAACTATTTGCGTGGCAAGGCGCTTCGTCAAAACGAGGTAAATTCTCGGACGCGCAAAATAAATTGTTAGCGATTTCAGGATTCTTCCGACACCATTCTCATTCATCAAGAAGTCAATGACAATCCGTGCATTCCGCAAGTATTGACGGAAGCGCGAAATATGGCTCAGCCTCGGCCAGAGGTAAAAAATAAACAAGAAAAAAGAAACAAACAGAACAAATTTTAAATTTTCTGCAAACGAAATGTTGAGTGAAAAGCGAAAGAATATAAATCTTACTGTATGGCGTCGACCTCTTCTTGGTTTTTTTTTTCAATCATCTCCTTCTTAAATTTTCCCCACCGCACATGGGCATCGGTGTGGTCATCGTTCTATGAAATTATTTCGGTCGGCCAAATCAAAATGGATAAATTTTCATACCTTGCAACTAATTAGAATCTTTTCATCCAAGCATTCTAACAATATTAGCGAAAATAAGTGATCAAAATGAACATACAATGTGTTTGTAATGATTTCTTTGTTGAGTTGAAGAAATCTTCTTGATGGGACCTTTTTTATTTGTAAATCTTGTATCTATCTTGTAAATATCAAATGGGTCACCTATCAGGTGCACAACACCAATACAAATAACTTAAGAAATAGCGATGTTGAGAGTCCACTTTGGTCTAGAACTCCAATTGCCTTTTTGGCGGGTTAACTGGAAGATATTGTGTCATCGCGAGCGCGCGGCCAGGCAAATTTGACCACCGCGGTGTACAACAACACGTTTCGGATTTTACAACCCTTAACAAAATCCGAAAAATCCGAACAAATATGTAAGTCATTGTTAATTTAACGATGTTAGTAGATGAAAATGTTTAGATAAGTAGAAGTTAGGTTTAGAAAAGGTTTTAGCTATGACTAAGAAAATCGCCTCGAATTCCCAAATCTATAAGTTCTTCTTTAGTATTCAGTTCAGGAATCTTAGTTTTAATGTAAATTCTTTCGAGTATTCTTCGACGAGTTGTGTTCCTCTCAATATCTAGTATTTTAATAGAGTTGTAAGGGCTCCCCGTTATGAATTTCAAATGAGTGTTTAGACCAAACAGAGTTTTTGTATGATTTTCGATTTGGCTTCAGAGCAGCTCTAGCACGTTCGTTGAAACGAGAGGCCAAAAGCTTACCGGTTTCGCCGACGAAACTTTTTCCACAACCAAATTTGATTTCATAAATGACTCCTTTAATGGTACACGTACCATTTCCTAGCTCCGGATAAACCCTGCACCATTTACCTTCACATTGAATATCAAAAATACGATTTTTGACAAGGATGTCCCTCAGCGATTTACCTTCAAGTTTTTTTTTCTTGCTAATTGGCAGATCTTGTCTGAAATCAGCAGCTTTTTGTCTACTATTTAAAAAACATACTTTTTTCTTCTGGCTATCAAAATTACGCTTGATTTTCCTCCACGGAAATTGCCTGAAATGGAAATTTTTAAAACGGGAAGCACGATATCGTCAATATAAATAGAACGATACTGTAAAACACGTTATAAAACTCAGGCAAAAAATCTAAAATAATCCGTGAGTCCACAATATTTTAGATTTTTTTCAATCAATTTTTTTTTAGGAAATCTTATCAAAATTTTCTGTCTTAATGAAATAAATTTACATTTTCTTATAATATTATAGAATATATCTATAGAATTCATGATAACTTCTTGGAAGATAATAATGCAATTTTGAGAACAACAAAATAGAGCCGAAAAATTCATCAAAAAAAATAAAGAAGAAAACCATCATTTGTGAAAACGCGCCATACAGGAGAAACGCGTCAACACTCTTAACCTTGGCGCGTTTTCTGGCATCCGCTAAATTTGACCGAGGACAACCGACGCACATATAACTACACCAGCATTGCTTAAGGTGACATGCTCCCCACGCGCCAGTATAAACAGTTGGAGTAAAAATGGAAAATCTCAGAAAAAAAACGTGACCTTTTTGGCATTTAGCCAATTTTCCGCCGGACGTCGACAATAGAACAAAAAACGCGGCCATACAAACTCGGCCGTGTTTCTGTGAGGGGGGTCAACAAGATTTTGTGGGGGGGGGGGGTTCCACTAATATTACACCGTGTTGATATTTACGTCACGGTGATTGCACACATTCTTTCAATGCGATGCGTTACTCAATTTTTCTTTTCTCGACGGCAAACCAAATTATCAACTTCTAAATAATGCTCTAATTTCGTTTTCGGTTTTCAGAACGTCTCAGACGCCGAATATATTAAAATCAGGAATCTGCGCAATTGGAAAAATTTCGAAGTGAGAAAGAAAAAGTACGCCGACCAGACGATGGATGTCAACAAGTTTCTTCAAGAACGATTGAATTACTTAAACACCAACGTGGATGAGAACACTAAAATTCGATATTATCAACAATCAAAAGAGGCGGTCGAGATTCTACATAATAACTTCGAAAATATGGATAAGCTTTCTCAGGTAAATGAAAATCAATCGGTTTCGAAAATAATTTCGTTTTCAATCGAAATCGAATTTAAATTAATCTGTTTCGAATTATTCCAGAATTTCAATCGAATTCGATTTGAAAAATTGAAATTCAGAAATAAATCAATCGATTTTGAATAATTGTTTTTTAATCGAATCAGGTTAATCTATCTTTCATGTTTCTTCGAATTCGATTGATTTTCATTTACCTGAGTTCTTTGAACGGCGGGCCAAAAAAAACAACCGAATTCTCCCAATTTTCAGAAAATCGGTGATACTTCGAAAAAAACTGACGTCCTTAAACAAATGCGATGCGAAATCCAAAATAAACAATATGAGGTTAAACCGGATTTTTTTTTAATTCGAAAAATGTCCAAACTCACTCAATTTTTAACGACTTCCCGACGAAATGCCATTATTTTACGCGAGAGAAATATGATTCGAAGTTTTCTTTTTGACCTAAACAATCTTTAGAATATAAATATGTGGAAAATCATAAAAAAAATGTTAAAACTCATCGTATTCAATTATTGAGGAAAACAATCGAGAAAATCGCGTAGTTTAGAATAGCCAAATTTTCGAGAAAAAAACTCGGCCATGGCCGAATTTCGTGCGGCCACCTCAATAAAAACCTTAAATTTTAGTAATGAAATCTCAAATTCGTCGTCAAACGACTGAACGCGCGCAATTAAAAATCGAAATGCGCCTTACTCTCCTCTATATAATTCTTAATTAGGAGTTGGAGAGGAAAATATGTTGCAAGGCCGATGATGCGCTCTATAGCGAAGTGCTCGAAAAATGTCTCGACTCGAACAAGAAGATAATTGTTGAGGTCGGTTTTGAAAATGTCAATTTTTTGGAATCATCATTAGAATGCCTTCAGAATTTGCAAAAATGCATCACTTCGAGAATCAATCCGAGATTTTCGCGATACAATGGAACGTTACGAGCAATTTGTTGCATTAAGAAATGCTGGGAACTCAATTTGGTACCGTCCGATTTTGTTGAGTCCCTCTATTGGCAATTTTCGTCTCTTGCAGGACATTTGTGAGAAACTGAAGCATGTTGCGTCCCTGACTCACAATCAGACGCATATTCCGCAACATAATAATAATTATGTGCTTCCGACTTCCCAACAGCCTGATTATTTTGAAAATAACGCGAATATCCCTGAAATTATTCAAATTAATCCTTCTTTTTGCCGTCAGCAAGATCATTGTTACCAGAATTTCACACAATCTCAAACTGATTATTTTGAAACTCATATTTCACCTACTTCATCATCATGTCAAGTTCAATATTATCATGGTCCCGACAGTGAGCAACCTCTTCTTCCTCCAAATCCACCTACTTTATCATCATATCATGTTCAATATTATCATGGTCCCGACAGTGAGCAACCTCTTCTTCCTCCAAATCCACCTACTTTATCATCATATCATGTTCAATATTATCATGGTCCCGACAGTGAGCAACCTCTTCTTCCTCCAAATCCACCTACTTTATCATCATATCATGTTCAATATTATCATGGTCCCGACCATAAGCAACCTCATCTTCCTTCAAATCCACCTAATTCAACATCATATCAAAATGTCGAATATTATCATGGTCCCGACCATAAGCAACCTCATCTTCCTCATAATCCACCCACATTATCATCATGTCAAAATGTTCAATATTATCATGGTCCCTCCAATGAGCAACCTCATCTTCCTCATAATCCACCTACTTTTTCATTATATCAAGATGTTCAAAGGTCCCGGGAACCCTTCCTGGTCCCGGGAACCCTTCAACCCAATGATGTCTCAACACAATACATAACACTTTGAAGACCCCACCGTCGTGTTTTAAATGGTCCGCGATCGATGTCCCTAATAGTATTGTTGTCGAATTTTGTTGAATCGTTTGAATTGTCGATCGACGGCTCTACAAAAATTGGTCCACACAAAATATATACGCACTCATTTAATTAAATTAATGAGTGGCCGTGGCCGTGGCCGAACCAATTTTTTGATGACAATTTTTCTAGGCCACATGTGAGTTGCGAAATCAAAAATTGTTTAGCGTGTCATATTTATTTAAATGCATTTTAAATGTTATTGTTTTTAAATGCAATTTGTTTTAATAATTCAATTCAAATCGGATCGTATCGATTCCGAAGCCGATTTTTGTCGGATCCGTATTTTTGCAATAATCAGTTGTGAAACTCTAAATGAGCCTGCTTTCTCTCATCTTGTTAATTGCATTTATAATTATTTTGAACCCGTTTTATTTGTGAATTGTTATTTTTGCGTTAATAAAATATTTATTTTTCATTTCATTGCTTTTTTTTCCAAGAAAATCTCAATTGATGCTTCACTTATTGTTTTATCTGATTGGCAAAAACGCGTTTTGCCCGCATCGTACCCTCACGCGTCGTGGGAGCCTCCCCGCGTCGTGTCATGCGCCTTTAAACCGCGCTACTGTAATTCATTTTTTTTTGCAAACCGTTCCGCAAAAATTATGAACGGCGGGCGGCGAATTAATTGCGACGAACCTCATTTTGATGTGTTTTATTATTTAAAAATGTAATCCATTTAATTATTCAATGTGTTTTTTGAAAGAAATCGGTAAGAATTCTTTTAAAAATTCATAAAATGGCGGACGCGAAATGTGGCCGAATAATTCGCGGCCACGGCCTTATCAATTTCAATTCTGCGAACAACACTAAATCGTTTTGAAACACTTTATAAATACGATTATTGTGGGTGTCATGCGACTGCGAAAAATTGGCGAAACGTCAATTTAAAAAAATTTCAAGTGGAGGTGTGCGTCTTTAAACACACGCAATCGCCCGATATAAATAATACATCACGTTATTCGCGTCCGCTTCATCGGCATCGCATCGCACTCCTAAAGGCGCATATGAGAAATAAAAAAATTTTTTTTAAAAATTTGGTACCATCGATATTCGACACGCGTCCAACATTTTTGTGATGACAGCGTCCGCGCAATTTTTGCGTTTCCTTCGAAATTGGTCCTCTGCAAACAAAAAACCACCAATTTAATATATCGAGACGCCAAAATACCTGACGGAATTATGAAACAGCCATCGTCGACATCATTCTCATTGCGATTCTCGTGATGGTCCGCCGGCAGCGGCGCGTTATTGTCGGCTGCTGCAAACTTCTGAGCAAAATTGATCGTTTTCGAGGCGCTTTCATTAAAGGCGCATTGTGGCGACCACAACAACAACAAAAATCGATCAGCGGCTCACCATTTAAAGGGAGGTGTGTCACAAGGCACGTCACAATCTGATAACAAACAATTCGTGGGGCGAGTGCGTGGCGTCTCTCGCTCACTCCCTTTTTATACAGAACCGTGCCCCGTAGCAATTGCTAATCATAAAAATGCGTTTTTTGAAATTGGAAGGAACAAGGCGGCTGGTTGGCGAAATAGTGTGGACGGACGAGAGAGCGCAGCGATAGCACACATATGATGGTTTGATTGGATGTTTCTAGCAGATTCTCCGACCCAATAGCAATTTTTAAAGTTGGTTAGCAACGAATTTGATTTCAATGGGTTTCACAAAGCGAAAGCCAACTTTTCATGCGGACCAGCGGGGTTACTGTAGAAGGTCACAGTGGTACGGTAAGGCAAACAAGTTATAAACAACCAATTTATTATAGTGAATATGTACATATATAATTGATTACATTTGCGGGAATTCTCTCTCCTCTTGACGTACTGGATTACGGTAGAGCGTCAAAATGGGTTAGTGTAGGGGGTGGGATGAGAGGGTATCGAAAAATATTGACAACAAATACATATTTGGAGAATTTTCTTTTCACACTGGGTTACTGTGGGGAGGTGTTAAGTGAGAGTTTCGAAATGACTTTCTGGAAACAAACAAAAATTGGTTTAAAATTGTATATTAAAAAAATATTGTCGGAGTCAAACGACTTGATGAAATTAAAACAATTATTGGCTATGTGCCAATGCGTCTCGAGGCAGCGAGAAGTACGCGAGATTGCGTACATTACACTATAGTGTACTCGCATTTAATATTCAGTCAATAATAAATTCAAATTTACACTGATTTCGCGAATTTGAAGGCTCCGCCTCTTTTCAGTCGTTTGACGCCGACAATATATAAACTCACGTTTTTAAAATTAATAGCATTTCTAAGATTCGTATAATCGGTGTGCTTTTGCTTCAATTTGGAGATTTTCGCTGCCTGATTATTGCGCTCCTGAAACAATTCGATTTCAATTTCGGAGATGTGTCGCGCGCATACCGTTGGCGTCAAATCGTCGAGAAGTTTCGCGAGCGCATCGTCGAGTCGCCGCTTGTTCAACGCCGACTCGCGAATCAACACCGAATACTTGCGATTCATTTCGGCGACGTCGTTGATCATCAGCTCGATGAGCTTCTCGGCATCGTTTGCCTGAATCACTCGCAAATTACAACCAATCCTCTCGTCGTCACACTTACGTTCGGCGGATTCCGCTCAATCGTTTTGAGTAGTGTCGATGATGATCGTTGCAGCTCGACAAACTCGTTGACAATCCGCTTGCCGCGTCGCTTCTTCGTCGAACACCAAATGTTGTTAATCTGCAAAATGCACCATTTTTTCTCCTTTCGTTGGAAGACCACCTACCGGATTTCGAGATCGCGTCGCTTTCTTCTTCTTCATGCCGTCGACGTTTTCCGTCACATTGACCGTTCGTCGTCGTCGTCGTCGAGGCGTTCGCTTCGTCGGCGATGGTCGAACATCCTGAAAAATGCCCTTCACAATATCGCTTTGTTTCAATTTCCTACTATAATTGGAGTGGCGACGCGTTTGCAGGCCTGAAAAAGAAAATTTTTGGCGTTTTTCAAACGATTTCGTGATGGGAGCCTTACTCTTGGAAGTCTTGCCGAACGCGGAACGACATCATCCTCGACATCAATCGATTCTGGACTCTGAAAATCTCGACGCCATCAATGAATCATACGATATCAAACTAACGTCTAAACTGTTTTCCGGCTCGTCTTCCGCTTCGAATCCGAACAGATCGTATTGGATGCGGCGCGAATTTGGAACATTGTTGATAGTGTCTTCATCACAATTTGCATCGCTAGATTCCATGACATCGTCATCGTCAGAATCCACGATTTCGCCATCCTCCAATTCTCTTTCATAAATGTGATTAGTCGACTTCTGAAATCAAAACGAAATCCTAAGAATTTGTGGGAATTAATGATGAATAAACATTGCAGATGACTCCATCGTTGGATTCTATCACGTCTTCTCGGTCATCCATGCCATCACCAATTTCGGCCTCTTCAAGCTCACTTTCATCAATTTGACGAACATCGCTCGTCGCTTCATCGCTGCAATTCGGCCCGCCGCTTGATTCGTCAACGATTTCGCCATCCTCGCGTTGAGCCGATTTCTGAAATCGAAATTCTCGAACTCTCGACAAATCACAAAAGTCGACCTCGGAATCGAGAGATTTGCGTCGAGTCGATGATGTCTTAAAAATCAACGATGATAATGTTGGAGGTGTCGTAATTCAATCTACCTGATCCATAATGCTCGCCGGCGATGTCAGACGCGATCCAAAAATCTCGCTTCGTTCGGCTGGCGACAATTGAGGTGTCGGTCCGCCAAGAGGGCGGCAGATTGGCGGCGGCGAACGCGCTCTCTCGACTCCACGAAGGCGCTCAAGTCCTGTTCGATTTAATGGATTCGTCGGCATCATGACGACAGCATCGTTCGTCGAGCAATCGATTTTGTCAAACTCGACGTCTCGCGGCTCCTGCTTGATCAGCTCCGTCTCTTCGATCTCGGCGGGCTGTTGCAACGGCGGCGCCTCACATCCATCCTCAGTCTTGATTCGAGCAATGCGCTCCTCATCCGCCGTCTGCAAATTTGAATTTATTCGGGTTCGAACAAAAATTTGAATTAATTCACCGTTCGAAACTGAAGCCCGATTTTTGTGTTCGCAAATCTATTAAAATAGTCGGCGATGTCCTGCAAAAATATCGATTATGCGTTTTTTATGAATCAATAAACCTTCTGGATGCTAATGTAGGCGAAGATCGATCTGACGTAACTGCTGAAAATCACGAGTTCGAATTCCGTTGAATTCTCGCCTGCTTCATCGCAGCGATCAACAAGCTTCTGATAGCGCTCTTGGGCCTGCAATGATTAAAACGAATCGAGTTCAATCAAGACGCTTCTTTCAACCTTAAGCTCTTTGAACCAATCGAAAGCTCGCTGATTGTTGGCGGTCGCCATTGCGTAATATTCATAAGGCGAATGGTCCTGAAATTAAAAAAAAAACCAATATATCATTTTTCTACAATAGCAAAAACTCGAACATTTGGAATCCCGTTGGTTTTGACCATGTCAAAACCGGTCTCCAACTGCTCGATTCGTTCCTCGATGACCGCCAATTTCTGTGGGGTGAGCTCATCGAGCGACAGCCAACATATGTCAGAATGTAGATTCATCTGAAAATGAAGATCAATGCACGCTTCCGAGCCGATGAACCAACCTCGTCGGGCATTGCGTTTCGTTGGATGAAACGATTCTGAAAATTTTCTATTGCGCTTACAAAATTGATCAAGAATGACAATACATATTATGGAAAAAATAATATTCTAGAATCAATGCTGAAGTGAAAACGAATATCAAAAAACTGCCTACAGTAATACGTTAATCGTTGCGGTAACACTTTGACAAAACGTCATGCTCCTATAATATACCAATTTCGAAAAATAAAATTTTGAATACGCTATATATTATGGGGCGGTGCACAGAAAATCTTAAAGAATGAGAAATAAGAAAAATGCGCCATAACCTACCGAAAACGAGAAGATTTCATCAAAAAATAAGTAAAATTCCTAAAAAAAATCGCATGACGCAGATACGGTAGTTTAAGACGCATGCCGTTTATTTATGTGATGGGTCTCGACGCGAATCAAACAAAAACACGCGTATCTTCGCTTCTTTTTTCCTTTTTTTTTTCTTCTTCTTTGCATTGCCCCATTAAAGGCGCACGCCGCATTTTTACTAGAAAAAAACATGCAATATTTTGTGACAATTATCAAATTCGGAGAAAATGTCAAAAACAAATCGAAAATTATTTATTTTTCTGCCACAGCCCTAATTGAAATACTTCGAAAGTTCTGGATCACAATTAGTTAATTAGTTAATAAGTGAGAGGAAAACTCGGCTACGAGATAATTAGCTAATTGTCAATTAACTTTGCGGCAAACAAATTTTGGCCGATTCAACTCCAAAAATTGATTCGTCGCCGGGGAGAAAACGGAATGTTCTCGAATCGATGACGTGGCAATGAAAATAGTATGCATTTCGAGGAGAGCGAAAGGTCGGAGGAGTACGGTAGACACGATTACTGTAGCTCAACAATGAAAGGGTTACGGTAGAGTGTTGCGATCACATTATAGGTTGAGAAGGATCCAATAAATGCAACGAAAAAAAAAGTTAATTAATTAATTAGTTAGCTAATTATCAATGATCAAATCATTAAAATTAATGATATAAGTAGCCTAGAAGAATGAGAATTCAGAGGAAAAAGCAATCGATGAGAAATTGAACGATGATTATGAGGATGATGAAAAATATGAAGGAACGGTCGGGTTGCTAACAGAAGAGAGAGAGAAGCAGGCAATATTGGAGGGCAAGTAGTACGCATTAGATGAAATCGAGAAAAAAATGACGAAGAGCAAAATGGAGACGCGATATTGCGCCTGTACGACCGCCTTGTTTATTATGATGGAAGGCGAACGGCGATGAGAGAGAGAGCGATAGAGAGAGAGACAGAGAGAGGCGATCCATGGGAAAAATGTTGGTTGAAGATGCTTCCGAATGTAGATTTTGAATGAATGAGGTTTTGGGGAGGCGGGGCGTTGTCGTTGACTGAGTATTAAATGCGCACATGGGCGAGCTTTTTTTTTCTCTTAAAATTGACTTAAAAACATAATTTTATAGAAAATATGTGGAAATTCATTGAATAGAATATAAACTTATTACACGGATGACTAATTATTTGGAAAAGAACATTGAGAATTGATCGAAAAAGCAGAAAATTCGAAAAGTTGAAGAAAATTTAAAAATGTGGAAAAACTCGGCCATGGCCGAGTTTTTTGCGGTCGCGGCCGCGGCTAAGTAGAAATCAACGTTTGAATCGTTATGAAATTTTGAGAAAACTTAAAAATTGATTGTGTTTCCAATTTGTTTTTAATATAAAAAGAATTGAAAGGATTTTCCAGTTGAAAGTGTCAAACTTGCAACCAACTCAAAATCCATTTCCTTCAATTTAATTATCTAATTATATGGCATAATTGTAGGTGGTGATTAGCGTGAGAATAAAAGAAGAAATGACAAAGTGTGTGGTCAATAAGCGTAAATAATTGTGCTCTAGTTGTTTGTAGTTTGAAATTGGATTTCAGAATGTGCACCTCGAATACAACTTTTTTTGCACAAAAATAATATTCATTTGAAAACCAGTTTTTTTTCATTTCTTTTTTTTTCAAGAAAAGTTAATAAAATTAAATATTTATTTTTCCTTTCATTGCGTTTCACGAAAAACTAAATTTTTGCTTTATCTGATTGGCAAAAACGCGTTTTGCCCGCACCGTACTCTCACGCGCCGTGGGAGCCTCCCCGCTTGGTGCCATGCGCCTTTAAACCGCGCTACTGTAATTAATTTTTTTTGCAAAAATTTTCTACTTTTTTTAAAATTCCTAATCGATGACGTCATCAAAATTTCATTTTCCAATTATACACTAATTAAAGATTATCGATACTAGATTTTTAAAACCGGACCATCGAAATAGGAAACTTTTCATCGGAACCAGAAAATGGCGAAAAAAATTTTTGTTGATATTTCTTAATGGCAACACTCTACCGTAACTTTTGCATTGTCGAGCTACAGTAATCGCGTCTACCGTACTCCCACCGACCTTTCGCTCTCCTCGAAATGCATACTATCACCATCGATTCGACATGCGCCTTTAATAAATACCGTATACCAACATCAATTTTTCGAAATTCGAAAACTTCAAAAATTGTCGTAGTTTTCATGCGCTCAATTTTCTATTAAAGAAAAATTTTTTTCGATATTAAAAAATAAAAAAAAATTTTTTTTTCGATATTATTTCAAAATTTCAAAATGTGAATACAATGGCTTAATGGGGTCCCAATAAAATTTCGGACCAACAAAAGAACAAAGGATGGTTCAATTTGAGCGCAAACAATAGGCATAGATGGGTATCTTTGTGATTTTGAATTATTCGAGGAGAAGGGGAGGACCTTCTGAGCTTTAGCAAAATTTTTTCGGGGGGACCACTGTTTGATGGGACCATGGAAAACATGGCCGGAAATAATTCTTCTCTCTGATTCTTGCGAGCCACGCCCACCTGATTTTTGAGCTTCTCAAACTGGGTGGCTCGTGTCCCCAGACCCCAACTAGTGATACCGTAACCGATTACGGTAGGCCTAATGTGAACCTTTATGTGTTGGCGTACATAAAGTTGAGGGTGAAGATTGCGCCAATCAGTCACACCATGTGGCGAAGCTTCAACACGACCAACAAGGTCCAGAAAATTGTGAATGTGCCTCCGATTAGTACCCCCCGCCCTGTGAAAGGGGCTCAGACCCTTTTAATAATTTTGATACCGGCACGACTTGAAATGAAATGGAAAACAATAATTATCAGTCAGGAAACTTAAAACAACTCAATATCTTGTTGACATGTCATTTGCATCGATCACAGTTTGATATCGGAGACCCATGGCCTCGTCAACTTCGGGAGGATTGAAACTGGTATATCCATCCATGCTCTCCTCAGCTGCTCGAACATTTCGACACAATTTTCTACTGTTTGACCTCGAACACATCTATCAAGACCTTCCCACAAATGTTCAATAGGATTCAAGTCAGGTGACTGGCTTGGTCAGTCCCTGACGGCCACCCTACGCTGCTAGAACCACTCTTTGATGAAGCGAGAACTACGTTTAGGATCATTATTCTGTTGAAATAAGTATCCATACTGAGCAAAGACTTTGCAAACGGAAGCATATGGTTCTCTAGAATGTCTTTATACATTAATCGATCCATGTATGTTCTATTCCGGTTTGGTCGAGGATTTAAAAAATCGAAAAATTTTGAGTCCAAAATTTCAGATTTGCCCCTCAATTTTTCCAAAAAAAAAAAAAAATAAATAAAATCTCGTGGAAATCGAAATTTGTTGGCTATAAACGCAATATTCGGCGAATGAACCCATTTTGTAGTACGGGGGGATCAATAAAAATTGATTTCTCAAAATTTTTCTCGAACGGTAAAAATCAACTGACAGATTTTTTTTTATGAGCGCGAATTATTTATTTTTTAGTTTTTATTTTAATTTTTTACATTTCATGAATAAATAAATTTGAAACATGTGAGGGTTTTGTCGAAAATTCTCAATTCAAAAAAAAAAACATGGGCAAGATGTGAAATTGTGTGTAATTCGGCACGAGACCTCGATCAACTATGTACATTCAATGGTAGTAGGTGTTAGGGAATCCATTATTAAAGCTGGTGCTCTTTTCAGTCGGATTTAAGACGCGACAAATTTCCTGTAACAAATCAGCAAGATGAAAAGCCGCATGGCTTTTGGACAACCTCATTAAGACGAACACATTCGAGCAGATCCTCTAGAATCCGAATTCGCTGATTCGTCCTCGACACGTGCGGATTGATTTTGGTGACGATGCTCGATTTGAGCGCCTCGAAATCGGCGCTCGCGATCTCCGATTTGAGATTGGCAAGAAATTTGAAGTGGCGCGTCTTCGATTTCAACGCCTTCAGAATTCAATCATATTAAACGAAAAAGCAAAAAAAATTTAACGAAATCATCGCCTACTCGAATATCTCTTTCGTTGATTTGCTGCCTAACCGTCAATAGGTCGTCGACGAGTTTTTGACTATCCGCGAGATCCTGAAGCGTGTAACAAAACTACAGTAGACGTCAGAGGTACGGTATACCTCTTCCAGTGCTGTAAACTTGTCCCGAATGATTTGGATGGCCTCTAATGATTTTTTGTGCATTTTCAAAATATAGCAATACGGCATAATGACGCCATCAATGATATCGAGACGATCACGAAGGCTTTTATTCACAACAGCGGTTTCTTTTTCGAGGCGCTTCTGCTTCTGTTTGAATCGGCGCGAGCTTTCACGCAAACTTTCAAGATGTCCGATTTTCTGCAAAATGAACGGTTTTTTTATTTCGCACTATATTGAATACCATTCTGCGTTTTTGTTTCTCTTCAGTGAGCACTGGTGGAACGCATGGATCGTGGCATATCGATTCTAAAGCGCATTCAAACTGCAAAATGAGCTATTCAATTAGAGTTCTCGATTTTCACTTACAAATGAATTGTGGCCGAGCTCATTATTATTGTTACATCGAGTTTGTGGAATATCGTTTCCTTTATAATACAAATAAACATGCTGAAATAAAAAAAAGTTAATTATTTAATTAATTTAAAAAAACTCACATCTTCTTGAGTAAAATGAATATTATTATTATTGTTATTGTTCATGCTTGCTCGGTAACAGCTGAAATAATTTTTAATTAAACAAAATCAATTTAAAAAACAATTGAAAATCGTTTTAATCGAGAAAATAGGATATATAAAATACAAAATTAAATGCACACCAGTGGTGCATTATTGCGTGAGAGTGAATGCACCATTTATCGCGCTACAGTACCGCGGATGAATAAATGAATTTCAACGGTTAAAATAATAATTATTATTAAAATGATTGCGCTTAAAAAAGGCTTTCTCGAGCTCGTCGAGCATCGACACCGCGCAGACAACAACACCAACCAAATCGGCGCCAAATTTCGCCAATAAATTCGTCGACAAAATCGCGTTTTGGCAAAAAAAAGGACAATAGTTGAGAGTTGTTGAAAAAAAATCGAAAAAACGCGATGAACTTCGAGCAATTCACACCGTTAGTCGAAAAATTGCCATTTTTATAGTAGGGAAATCGAATTTTACGCAAATTTGGCATATTTCTGATGATGATTTTCGCGTTCACCAAATATTTAAGGTGACGAAACAGGATTTCAGAATACCGCAAAGCCATCAATTGTCTCCAGGTGCCGTTTGAAAATGCGTCGAGACGCCCTAGTAGAAAATACCCTTATTTCTAGTAGAAATAAGGGTATAAATTGATGACTAATTAATTGGCAATATATTATGTAATTCGGAAAATTCAAAAAACTACTGATTTCTGCTATTTTGGTACAACGATTTTTTCGCTATCCCATTTTCATTAATCTTGACGGCGGGTCTCGTTGCGATCCCGAAATTCCGGCGGGAGTCTCGGTACGTTTTTGGAAAGTCGCTGGGAGTCTCGATGACGTTGTCGTGTGAAATTCACCTTTTTCTCGATTTACCTCGAGAATTTCTTTTCAAGAGCACAACGCTGGTCCACAATTGCTTAAAAACGATAATATCGAATTTCGAGGGGGCAAAAAGTGTGCATTAATGCGTTGCGTGTTTACGGTGTTGACGAATACAGTACCCCTGTTATATGAAATGTGCACACTATTTCGCGTTTTGAGAGCCGTAGAAATCGATTCGACAAATTTCAGGCATCGAAAAAAAGATATTCCCATATTGGACTTCAAGAAAAAAAATTTGACGACTTGAAATTGATCGATAAATTTTATCGGATGCTCCTTTGAATGGCCAATTTTTGTGCGTCTCATCTCCCGAATGATTCGCATATTAATGAATAATTCCGGAAGAATTCAACGCAATCGATTATGGACCTCCAGGCGCCGACCGCCACCTAAACCACCCAACCGAAACTCTTATCAGTATGAAAGTTTTTTTTTTCACTCGCTCTCAAGAATATTCACTAAAAGCGTCATAATTTTGAACGAGTGTGCACTCACAAACCCCTCATGAACAATGAATGCGAACGATGGAGTATTCCTGGATCCTCCGACGATCCGATAATCAATGAAGCCGTTATTATTCAAGAAGGCGATAATACGTGGTCCAACAATCAAATCGATACGGTGAGGTCTCGAATGGAACAAAAATCGTTTTTCAAATTTACCCTAGTCGATTTTTGTTTTAGGATGTTTGCATCATTCAAGAATCTGAAAAACAATTGGAATTTTTTGAAGAAACTTGTTTTAAGGTAAAAATTCATTATTTTTTGTAGTAAATGCTCGAAAAATTTTCTTTTTAGAGCCCTCAACTGTATGACGAATCATGTTTCGAGTTTGCGCAGAATTGCCATAAAATTCATCAGGTTTCTATTTTTTCCGCATTCCATTTTTTAAAATGAGCAATACGACGAGATAGCGCGTTGAGGTGAGAGACGGCGAGACAACGAGGAGAAAAGCGCGTGTTGTTGGGGCGATTAGCGCGAAACCCCGAGCGATGTCCGCACATGCATCATGTTTTTAGGACATCCATGAGTTCGCGTGGGAGTCGCTGACATCGTATTATCCCGAATTTCTTGCGGCCGACACGTCGAAGAAGCGCGGAAAGCGTACGAATCTCAAAGTGCGGTATCGTCGTCGGCAAGCGTTTCATCTGAATCGATTTCTAGGCTCTCGATGATGTGCGTGTGTACAAACGCGCGCTGAATCGCGTCTCATCGGCGCGTCATCGAGACAAACTCAAAAGCGTCGAGCGCGGTTTCGACGACGTCCATGAGCCGCTTCAGAAGCTTCTCAACGCGTTTGAGACGTGCCAACGGATTCCGGCGACGATCGTCGAGAGTGTGACGCGCGAGACGACGCGGGCGATTCGGATTCTCGACCACAATTATCCGGCGTTGGAAAAGGCATTCCTTTCTTTTTTTTTGGTGCTTTTTTGACAACATTATTTTCAGGTCCTTCACGATGAGATTGTGAAGCTCAGCGAGCTCAAGAGTCTCCGAAACGCCGACAATCAACTACCAAAGAATGTGAGTTGCTGCGGACGTTGTTCCGGGCCGACAATCGCAAAATTGTTTAGGCGCGCCAAATTAATTCGAAGACATTCAATTCGAAAATCAGCCGTCTCAATCAGTCAATTCGCATTCTACGTGGCGTTTCTTCATGTAAAACGCTCAATGTGGTGAGTTTTGGTTTTTTTTGTCTTGCAAAAATGAATTCAATTTTTATTTTTCTTTTCCAGAGAATTAATAATTGCGTTCAGCAGTTCAACCCAACAACGAATAATATTAATTAATGCATACTGTAACAATGGTTTAGCTGTGTTGTAAGGTTTCTTTTTTCGAGATTTTTTTTTTCCAAATCTGCATAGGACCATTAAAAGATTTCCTATGTACTTATAAAGAAAGAAAATTTCATAGGTGTAGATTTACGGGCATTTTTTCCCCACAAAAATGAGAGCAATTTTTAATGAATAATTTGAAATCAATGTTTTAGGACGAAGAATCTGAAATAAGTTTATAAGAAATATAACAAATTGAAAAAAAAAAGCGAGAAAATTTCGATCAAATTGATTCTAACGAAACTTGGTGGACGCAACGAATGGACTAGAAATTTGTTGCCCACAAATTTCTAGGCCACGAAAGGTTTTCACCTATTTTTGCAATTTTATTCGGTTTATTGATAATTTCGGCAATTCATTTATCAATTTTTGCAAAACCGCAGCTGTTTTAAAAGTTGATAAAACTCTACATAGTTCGATTGTTATCAATTTGCGCTTGGTGTCTCATACATGTGTAAAGGAAAATACATCAGCTCCACCGGAAGCCGTGGGCGACAGGTGGCTAATGTAATCCTTATCAATCCATTTATTAAATTCTTTGATTGTAACAGCACCACATATAAACCCCCATAACCATCAATCGAGGCCTCTTTCCTTCTATCATGAGCTCCGTTTTTATCAACTCTCACCATTATAATCCACCACCAAATTGTTTGTGATTTCCCCAATTAATTGAAAAAATAAATCAGTCTTTTCTTCGAAACGTTGTTGAAGATTGGAAGGCGGGACGGCCGCCGGTTGTGCGGCAACTGATGATTGGCTACTGGGTCGAATACTGTCTTTTCTTTGCCCATCCGGAGCAAGCCGCCATCGCGCCGCACTCTCATTCCTACGAGCATCATGGAAGAATCTCGGTGAGGTAAAAACGTTACAGATCGACGAAGCGTCCCAGCTACCGATCACCACACTGACAGCCTTGGCCGCAGCTTTTCCCGCTGCACGCTTGGCTCTCGTCGGCGATTTCCGCCAACCGCCAGGAGTCGAAGAGCCGTTGTTTTGGCTCATCGACGGAGAAAGAGTTCCGATCGTGGAACTCACACATGTTTGGCGTACTCATTCGGTAACAACACGCATCCTCTCGGAAGCGTTTTACGGAAATTCACTTCATTCAGCCTTTATGCAGCAGGCCACGTGGTGGACCAACAAGAACTTTCCATTCTTATTCATTGAGCATTCAGAACCATGTTTTCAGGTCGGCACCTCTTTGGCAAACTCGGGCGAGGTTGAAATCGCGAAGACAGTTGTGACCCGAGTACTGGCATCATCACCTTCTATCGAGCTCAATGCAATCTCCTTCTCAACACAATCAAAGAAGGGAGCATCCAGATCGGCACGGTCGACAGTTTCCAAGGACACCAGACGGAAGTCGTCATCCTTTGCTTGACGAAGACGAGCAAGGCACCATCTGACTTCGCCAGGGACGAATGTCGCGCTGTCTCGAGCAAGACAAGGTCGGCGATCTTCCGGCCTGCAGAACAGTCTACCCATGGAGCCGCATAATCAGTGAGATCGAGTCGCAACCATGGACGCTTCACGCTTTGCCTCCATCTGATCAGCTGAGTCCGTTTGGTTTTTTGTTGAATTTTTATTCATTTATTTATTTTCTTGTTCTTCCCACACGAACCCAACCTTCCGACCCCCATTTTTCCACTTTTTCCTCATTATTACATTTTTACGGATATTGTCTCACACCTAGATTTTTTTCTTTCTTGTTCTCAATTTTATTGCAATTTTCCGAAATACCGAACCCTCGCAAATTGTTTTTTTTTCTCCTTCATTCTTCTTCAGCTGTCTCCATTTTCTTTTCAAACTGACTGGATGAGCCTCGGCATGGGCTTAGCAGGACGGTGTCGAAGGGCAGATTTCCTGCTCTCCACTTGTCTCCTCACCGAGTACACTCCTAGAATTTTTCGAGACACGTGAACAAGACAGGGTCGATCTTGCCCTATGGGGGATAGGTGTAACGGAAAAACCTATCAGGTTCTTCTCAATCAAAATACATCAGCTCCACCGGAAGCCGTGGGCGACCGGTGGCTGATGTAATCCTTATCAATCCTTTATTAAATTCTTTGATTGTAACAGCACCACATATAAACCCCCATAACCATCAATCGAGGCCCTTTTCCTTCTTTCATGAGCTCCGTTTTTATCAACTCTCACCATTATAATCCACCGCTTAATTGTTTGTGATTTCCCCAAGTAATTGAAGAAATAAATCAGTCTTTTCTTCGAAAAGTTATTTAATTTCGAACGTCTATGAAAGTGAGAGAGAAATAAATGGAAGCGCCGCCCAACCACTGTTCGGTCGGACGCCAGCTTTAATCCCTTTACTCATGTTTTGTAAACGTTTGCATTGTTCACATGATAACGACGACAATTATCTCCCTTCCATATTGCAATAATTGGAAAATGAGTTCATAAACAACAATAACAACATTAACATCAAAAAATGAAAGTAACATTTTTGAAATTGTGACTTTTGTTGTATTTGCGATAATTCATCGGCGCACCACAGAAAATTTCTGGAATCGACAACAATTTAAGCAGATTGATTTTCCTCTTAGTCACGTTTAGATTCAATTATGAACTCCGTGCATAATTAGTTGTTTTTTTTTTCGAAAAAAATGCAATGATAATTTTAAATCCAATTATTTCTATATTGTGCGATCGCAACGCCATTCGTCGCGCCGCAGTTGCGCAATTACGCCACGCCCCCCTATTCGAATTCAAAAATTTTTTTCGACTTCATGATTTTTGTTTTTCACATTTTTTCCGCAACTCGTATAATTTTCAGCCAATGGATGTCATTTGCGGCTCGGAAATCACATTTTCCGATGGTTTCGCGCCGAGACCATCGCGTACATTCGTTTTAAAAACGCGTAGGATTTTAAATTAAATTTTGAAAAAAAAAGAAAATTCGAAAAATTATTTTAGACGCACCATTACATACTAGCGGCTATGACGCACCATCATCCGGTGGAATAGCAACATTTCCCGATCATTGCTTCTACGCCGACCGATTTTTCGTCTGGTAGAATTGCGAAGAAATTGTTAAAGGAAAAAATAAACAAAACAAAATTTTTAGGCGAGCAATCGGCCAAAAACTCTACATCGAAGAGCGTTCGCTTCTCTACACTCTAAACGACAATTCGCTATGCATCGATTTCTCGAGAAGCCCAATTCTACCAGGCACCTCGATCACCATTTTCCAGGAGAACATCCTGTCAATCGTCGTCCCAACCGCCGCCTCAATTCATCGATTTTACGCAAGACTAACATTCTCAAAAAACAACGACGTAATTTTTTCCCTTAAATTTTGTAAATCTGCAATTTTTATAGACGTTTTCGATAATTTCCCGCCTAAATGAGGAGGAAATGATCAGAAGGTATCATACCGCGCATGTCATTACCACAGTGGGCCGCCCGTTGCGCGCCAGTGTAACCCAACACGTCAATCAGAACGCCGTAGCCTACGTGACCGCCGAAGGGCAAATCATTCTCATCACATTGAATGCTTTCGATGGTTATTTTCAATTGCTCGTCTAACATCCCCAATTTCCTTTTTCAGACGTTGCCGACAAGCACGAGGAGGTCACTCTCGGTGGCTCTGGGCTCTTCAATCGGCTTCTCGGAAGTAGGGACCATCTTAAATTCCATCTCATACGGTTCCAATTTAGATTCGTCCTCAAATCTGTTCAGCGATGCGTGTGCCATCAAATGCCCCAAAATGGCCTACGCGAGTCAGTCGGGAATCGCCTCCGACGTCGTGTTCGCCGTCACCCGAGACGGTTGGGTTCAATGCTGGAATGTTCATGTAGGTCTTGAAATCGCCGAAAATCGTTTCATGTGGGGGGACCCTCGTTGTAGACGAAACGTCAACTCAACGCCACGCTGGATTTAAAGGAGCATTGCTCGTTTTTGCACGTTCGCAAATCGCACGCCGACGACGGAGAGGCTTCGAGTAATGGTTTCGAATCCGATACCAAAACGAAAAAAAAGAAATAATCGTTCAGCTCAATCGGTCACCGAGGTCAATTACACGATCAAAGCGTACCGCGAGAATCACGACGTGCTTCTCGTCATCGGCTGCGACATCAGCATTCCATCGAACGAGCGCGGATTGCCGGTGTCGGCCGCCACCGTACATCTCGTCAAAGCGACGCATGATCGGCTCATTCATCTCGTCTCCTACGACAAAGTGAGTGATTGATGGTTGCGGTAGGCCCTAGTTTGCGTGTTCAGCGTTTGCCGTTCGACGAGAAACTATTCGATTTCGCGTTGATTCGCATCGAATCGCCGTTGATCGATGATTCCGAGACCGACGACGAAACGGCGTCGCAGCAGACCACCGAACTCTCGACGCCGTCGCGCGCCACCATGTTCGGTTTGACGGCGTTGTTCAAGAGCAGCTCGACGAAAAAGGAATACGTGATTCGGCGCGTCTCATTGGCGATGTAACTCTATTTTTTTAATTATTCTTGAATATATTTCTTTTCTTTTTTTCAGTGATTGGAATCGCTCGAAATGCTACACACAATTCGGATGGCATGAGATTAGCAAATTCGGCGACGCTCAATACAATCAGCAATGCCATATTAAAGGTGATCTATTCAAAAATTCGATTTTCGCGAAAAACTGACCATTCGCGGATGAAGCTGAAAATTTCTAGTGTAGACTATTCGACTATTCGAAAGCGTCTGAAATTTTGAATAATATCTTTTTTGAGCATGAACACTTCAAAAATTCGGTTATTGAGCTCAAAAATGGCTCAAAGCCAGATTGTTTGAGCATAAAAAAAATATTGACACGATACCTAAGCCAGTAGGAGACGCCAAATTCAGAAAGCGATGATGACGAGAGCGCGGTGAACACGCCGTATGGAATCTGCCCGGAATCGGGTGTTGAAGCGCTCACCGACGAGATATTCAACACCGATCGTCATTCGTTCAACGTCGTCCATCGCGCGGTTCAGATTGTGTGCGACGCGGTGCGCGGTCAGGCGATCCGCTATGGCGATTGGCCGGAGCTCGCCGATCACGTCAACGGCTATTTGACGTCGTCGGAGTTCTCGCGCAAATATCGAATGCGAACCGAGAAGGGTTTGCGATTGAAGTTCGGCGCCACACAAGAGGCCGAGATGATGGCGAAAAAGGCGTTCTGGTGGGAATTGCTGAAAGCGTGCGAGGAGCTCGAGCACGCGTCGCGTGGTGTCATCGCGATTGCCGCGTTTCAAATCGAGAATGATCTCAAAATGACGGCGGTCATTCATAAAGTAGGTCGTTTCCGTTTCAAATTCCAAAGAAAAAACCGAAAACGAATTTTTCGTCGTCAAGGATCGATTCACGCTGCTCGGCGACAACAATTTCCAATATCTCGAGCATTTGCGCCTTCGGCATTCGGGCGTGTCGGCGACGCTTCGCGACAAAGTCGCCGAAGAGCACGGCATTCCCGTCGACGAGAAATTGGTGTGTCTCATCGACGAAGCGGCGGCGATCGCCGACAATCGCGTTCGATTAATGGTAAGCCTGTGAGATTCGTCGGCAGATGAGAATTGACATTGTTTCTCTCTCTTCAGAATCGCGAGAAGATTCGAAACGCGATCAAACGCGTTGGTGGCGCGCTACCCGAAGAGGATCTGATTGGCTATGAGAACGGCTATGATTACGAGGTACCATCATTATGATGAGGCAACGCAATCAATTTGTTTCTCTATTCAGAGTGACGGCTCGAATATCAAGGTGCCAGCGGTTTACGATGGTCCCATTCAGCAGCTGGCTGAGGAATTTGTGAGGAACGCCAGCTATGATACCAGTCGGCCGTTTGGTAGGCGCGGGGGTGGCTTGTTAATTGGTTAAGCAATTTTGAATTTTAGGCAACACGAGTCGATGCATATTTGCGGGTAGCTTCACTCAGAGTCTCGTCGCCGCCAACATAAAGGGTCTCGTCGAGAAGCGCGTTCATTTCGCGTTGACACTTCGTGCGCTTCTCACCGCCATCGGAAATGTGAGACGATCAATTATTACGATTTGTTTTTGTAATTGAATTGCCCGATTTCAGCGAATGTCGGTGGCGGCGACGTTTGGCGACAATGAGATGCTGCGAATCGAGTTGCGCGAGATTATTCGGGTTTATCGCGAGCTCATTGAGCAATTGGATATCATTGTTGACATGTGGCGATCATCTTTTTTGTGTGTTTTTTTTTTGTTGAAATTCGCAATATTGCAGGAAAGGCACGAAAATGTCGCTTTGCTCGTGGTTGTTCGCCGAACGCGACGGTCTCGAAGCGGCGCGGAATCAAGGCGGCTATGCCGACGAAGAATCGGCGATACCCGAACAGGATTATAATTCGTTTGTTGGCGTCACGACGGAGCACGCGCTTCGCGCGACGCTCTCCTCGACGGAAATTTTGTTGATCGCGCGACGACTTGTCGAGAAGCGCCAATTTGGTTATTTGAAGGTTCGTTTCTTCATCGCCACCAAATTTTGACATCAAATTTGGACAATCTCAGATGATAATGACCAATTATGTCAATGAGACGAGGGCCCTTCAGCCGGTCATCATGTTCTATCGTGGAATCGCGTACTCCGGAAGCGATCATCCGGCAAAAGTAGGCGGACTCGACGGATGGCTATGATTATTGACTTTTTTTTGAAGGCCTATGCGGCATTTGAAGGGGTTCTCGAGGCTTATAAGGAAGGGAACACGGCATTGCGACGAGCGGTCCACTATTTTCTTCCGCGTGCGTTCATCCCGAAACATTCGGGCGATCCGTTGGAGCAGATGGGCGTCGGCGAGTTCTATCAGACCGTCGTGCGCTTCTTGAACATGCACCATCACAGCGATGAGGTTGTCACGCTGTCGATGAAGGCGATCGATTCGCTGCCGGTCGAGGACGATAGTGTGGTAATTCGGAAGTGCTATTGAGTGGTTTTTGGAATTTGAATTTGTGCCATTCAGCAATTGATTTCGAACACGCTGTTCACGCAGCTCACCGCGCGAAAAGAATGGACGACGGCGCTGAAGTTGGTGCTGCGAACGACGCTCGACGGAGCGACGCGAACGTGAGAATTTGGCGTTTCGAAAGAAACAAAAAAAATCAGCACAAATTAAAAATTAATGTGTTCTCAGCGCGTCGATTTGCGAACTCCTCACACTGATGATGTCGTCGAATCAATGGGAGTCGATTGCGACGATGGTCTACGGGATTCACGAGGGCGTCGTCGAGGATTTTCTACGAGAGAAAGCGTCTCGTGAGCCGGTCACCGAGAAGCCGCATCCCTATGAGCTCATTTATGCGTATTATGTGGCGAGAAAGGATTATCGAATGGGTAATTATGGTGTTTTCATTTCTTTTTTTTTGCAAAGGGGCCTATCCTCAAAATATATTGGATTTATGATAGAAAAATGGGAGACATTTGAAATTTTTCCATTGAAAAAAGGTGAAAAAATGTTACTTTTTCCATATTTTTTTGACATAGACCCAAAAACTGAAAAATTCTACCTAATTTTGTCGGAATTCACATTTGCGTCGCGAAAGTCTGAAATTGACGTTCTTTTTTTTCGAATTTCATTAAAAATGTATTTAACTTGACGACTAGACATTGTTTTAGAGGTTTTTTATTTTATTTTTTGGTGTTTCGTCGAAAAAAAAAGTGTTATTGCGGACATGTGCATTTTATTTGACGACAAACATAGAATTTTTGAATTTCCCACAAACAAAAAGAATGGCAGTGGTCCTGGCGCGAAATGAAGTGTAGATTTACGGGCCTAAATGTATTTGGAGAGGTTAAAGGCGCACACTGAGACCTCGTGTTAACTTTTCGGTCTTTAAAATTTCAGCGGCCGCTTCGATGTACGACTTTGCGTCCCGCATCTTGAATCACGTGCCGATGAGCGAGATGCTGTTGAGGCGACGACGCGACGCGCTCGCCTCGGTTCTCAACATGCTTGACGTGCTCAGCATCGAGCCCGACGAGAACAAGGAGGTTTTCGATGATTATGAGGACACGAATTTGGTGTTTCCGTTGGCGTCGGCGATCAATTGCGGCGAATCGGTGGGTGAATGTTTTTGGCGAACCTGGATTAGTTCGAACCAACATTGAAGAGCGAAGACGAGGAGGAGAGCGACGGGCGGCGGCGATTTGCGCGCAAACCGTTGACCGCCGGTTTTTTGAAGCCGTCGGGATTCGCGAATCAGCCTGTCGACGACGACGACGCCGACGAGATGGATGTCGATTCGGGCAAAGAGAATCGTGTGCCGTTCACCGGATTTGAGTTGAAGAATCGCAAAAAGTTGAAGGTTTTGACGATGAAAGAGTGAGTGGTTCTTTTGGGATTTCGTTTTTTTTTTTTGGGAAATGTGTTGCTTGTAGAATTTACAACGAGTTTCTCATTTGCTCGTCGCGTGTCGGACTATTGGCGCCGGGTGTTTCGAGCGGCGTTCCGCCGGTTGAGCCGAACGAGCTTCTTCAGGCGCTCATTGATGCGCAGCACTATGATTCGGCGTTTGATATTGCCAGGTACGAAGATTGAGATTGATAATATCGGACCAATTTGTTTTTTTTAGGCATTTTGAGCTCAACCCGCAAAATATGTACTTTTCGCTGGTCCGCGAGGCGATCATGATCGATTCGCTGGACGACGATGTTGTGATTGAAGCGGCGGCGACGAAACTCGGCGGATGGGTTCGAGTCAATCGGCGGCATTGCAATGCGGTCGCGACAAAGTGAGTAATTTGCGAAGATTTTCAACGGCGCTCCCGTTTTTGAGCAGCGATTTACGACAAAATCGAGGGCGTCGCGTAAACGGCGGAGTGTCGTTTTTTTCGAATGAATTTTTTGTGAGCGTCTTACATAATTGTGGACCATTGCACTTCTTTTTCGAGGCGGAAATTCAAATTTGAATTGAAGCGGTGGGAATTTGAGTATTCTGCGAAATTAACTGGCCAACGCTATTTTATTGGTGGGGGTAGCATAGAAATTGCGCAATTAGAGTAACCGAGGGTGCTTGATTTTTATTTTTTCAATTGAATTACAGGGACGATCACTGGTCGGTTGTACGCGGCCTTCTCGACGCCGCCCAACTCGAATGGCCGACGGATTCGCGGGCGTTGCGCGGCGCCGCCGAGGCGTTCCTCTCGCATCGTGTTCCGGTGCCGTTGTGGCTTCACACCGTCTATGAAGTAGGAAATTGTGGCTCTTCTTTTTTTTTTCGATTTTCCCCAAATGGTCCCTATTTTTTGTTTTATCTCTTGTAGAACTCGGACCCTGGAGATTATTTGAGATGTCTGGTTGACTACGAGAACTTCCAAACGGCGTTCCAAGTGGTCATCGAGCTCATTGATCGCGAATCATGCAAGGTTGGTTTGATTCTGACCCACGCAGCGAATTTGAATCGTATTGTTGTCAAGGTGAAATCGACGGATGATCGAACGTGGCTGCCGTATGCGGCGATCGACGATTTGATGAAATTCAGCGCGGCGAAGACGAACCGAATGGCGGAGAGTCGGGATGTAAAGCAGCAGCAGATTCGAAATGAGCTCTTAAAGGTTTAGATGAAGCTTTGATTTAAAAAAAAGGCAACGAACTTTTTTTTTGCAGCTCCGCAAAATGGCTGATGAGAAATTGGTGCAGTATTTCAAAAAGGTTGAAAATTTCGAGAAGGCCCACCAAATGACGCTAACATTCATGCGATAACCAATAATTAATTTCAATTTTTTTCCTTGCTTCTACTTTGTTGTTTTATTCTATTTATTTGAAATTTTCCAATGAATTTTCGTGTTTTTCATTTTGGTTTGACAAATGCGATCAAATCCATTGAAAACAAAATGGATAGAATCCATAAAAATTCTTCAAAATTTATTAATTTTCTGCAATATATCATTAGAATTTGGAGAATGGCGGATTTTATCACGTTGTCGTCGGATTCGGACGATGACGAGAGGGCCATCGAAGGGATTCCGAAGAGTTTTGAGGACGATCGAAAAACGAGGTGCGCGCGGGGCATCGACGTGCCCGAATTTATAATTTTTTTCAGATTCTCGTTTGGCGTCAGCTTTTGTGAGCCGGAAACCCGACAAAAGGTATTCGGAAAGTTTTGAGGGTCCCCAGAATTGGAGCCATGTTTGCTTTCCACAATTTCGAGGACCCGTTTATTAGGGTCCCTTAGTTAAGCCTCAATGTTTATCTCAGAGGTCTGAAGCCCACAATGTTTGAGGGTCCCCAGAATCGAGTCGAATTTTTTTTCGGAATATTGAAGACGCGTTTTTCAGGGTCCCCAGATTCGAGACCAATCTTTTTTTTCTTTTCGAAAATCAGGGAATCTCTGATTTTGAGGGTCCCAAAATTGCGCGTCTGGTTTTTCGGAATTCCGAAGGCGCACAGAATTCGTTTCTAGAAGGCGAAATTTTCAGGATGCCATCAGTCCGATGCCAATGATTGACGAGTTCGACAATTTCGCGCCGTCACCCTCGCCACCGCCAGCGCCGCCAATGAAGACGCCATCATCGGTGCTTCGTCGTCGCTCGCTATCCGTCACCAATCTCTCGGCGTCTCGTCAAAGGTCTCACGTCGAACAGCCGCCGATTAGTAAATTGTGTTCGAGTCTCGTCGCGAACAATCAAGATGACGACGACGACGACGACGATGATGATGATGAGCCGCTGGAAATGCGCGCGTTGATCAGTCCGACGAAAAAACGCAAAAAATCGAGAATCGCCGAAGTGCAAAACGAGTTTTTCGGCGTCTACTGCCTCATCAGTCGAAGCGAACGTCCGTGCTATAAGGTGAAACAAAAAAAACAAAGCGAGAAGCTCACATGTCACCGCCTTCAGAATCGCTGCTACATCGGCTACACCGTCGATCCGAATCGACGCATTCAGCAGCACAACGGCGGCCGTCGCAAAGGCGGCGCGAAAAAGACGGACTCGCGCGGCCCGTGGGACATGGTGTGCGTTGTGCACGGCTTTCCCAATCACGTCGCCGCGCTTCGATTCGAATGGGCGTGGCAGAATCCGACGGTGTCGAAGGTGGCGATCGCGCCGACGACGATTCTCATCTCTCGTTTGTTTTTTCAGGTCCTCAAAAATCGATGTTTGAAGAAGGAGCGCAAAGAGACGCCGTTCGCCTACCAGTTCGACCCCCCCCCCTTTCCCAATTATTGACAATTAGCCAATTTTCAATTCAATTTCAGACTTCGCATCGCGTGCCATTTGATGAACAGCGCGCCGTTCAACCGCTTCGCGCTCACATTCCGCTGGCTGATAACGGTGGGTGGCGTCTAGAAAAATAAAAACCAATGGCACGAGATTTGAAGACCGAAGAGCTGCCGTTTCCGACGGCATGCCATCCGCCGCCGCACACCAAAAAGCGCTACGGACGCGTGAAGAAAGAGCTGAGCCTCGTACCATCCGATCGCAACGACTACGTCGAAATCGGAGAGTGCCGACAGTGCGGAAGCGATATCGAAAAAGTTGGACGCGTTTTTTTTTTTGTTGTTTTCGCCTGGTTTGATCTACCCAGCTATTTAGCTCTGGCATCTGGTGCGTTGCGTCGGCTCATGCTCGGCCCATTTCCACGCGAGATGCCTGGCGGAGAAGTGTCTCGCCAACGAGACGACGACACCCCAACTATTTCCCGTGAAAGGCAATTGCCCGATTTGCGGCTCGGCGTTCCTCTGGGGCGACATTGTGCGCGAGCAGAGGAGAATTTTAAAAGTGCGCGCCCCAATTTTCAACGAAATTTACCGTTTTCGTTTTCGATTTGCAGATTTCCTCAAAATGCGCCGACGAGTTCAAATCGCTCGTCGTTAAAAGCGGCCTACCGCATCGCGAGCTCACTCCGCCACTCTAACAACAAAACAACTCACCACCTACTACTGTATACCACTAATCCATGTCTTTCTTTGTTATAATTTATGCGAGACCCATACGGTTTAAAAAAAGAACACACACACACAAACGAGAATAAAATTCGATTTTTGAATGCATTCGAGCAAAAAAGAGAAGAGGAAAAAGAATGACGAATGAATTTTTGTCGAAAATTGTCTTCACATTTTGAGCGGATCGATTTTGGCGACTTTTTTGGCGGCAGCCTGAAAGAGAGAAATTTGTGCAAAATGCTCGGATCGATTCGGAACGTACCGCAGCAGCGGCGGCGTCTTCAGCGGCCTTCTTCGCCGCCGCCTTCTCCTGCTTCAAACGCATGATTTCGGCGTCGCGGTTCATTCGCGAGTCCATTTTGAGACCCTGCAAAAAAAAAACAAAAAATGATAAATGGCATTTTCGACGAATTTTTAGAAGCATACCATGTTTCCCTCTTGCGCGGCGGCTCCCTTGCTCTTCTTCAACTCTTGCTGCTTCTTCAAGTTCTTCTCACGAGCCAGATCTCGTTGATTTCCGCCTGAAACCATTCCGAAATGTATACGAGCGCGAAGAAATTTAAAAAAAACTGAAACTCACGAGCCATTTTGGTTCAATCGACACAAATTAAAAGAATAGACGATTCCTTTCGGGGGGCGCAATGAGACGGGAGCGTTGTCAACCGTAAACGGCCAATGGCGGCGTCGCCAATCAGCAACTTTTCCTATAAATGATAATTGCGGAATCACGTGAAACGCAAAAATTGGAAAATGCGCGACGGAATGGATAAGATGAATGAAAATGATGAGACCGGTTCGGTTCGGTGCGAAATATTGTGAGAGGCATGAGAGACGGCAAGCAATTAGAGATGAACACGTGGAACTGGGTCTTAGGTACAAATATGGTCAAAAACCATTTTGGAATGAAAACAAAAGAAAAGAAAATTGAGAAGAAGCGAGTATTCATTGTAACAGAGATCGTTAAAAAAAATAATAACAACAACAAAAAATTGGAACAAAAATGGTGGGATTCTTCCTTATTTCTCCAATGGATGATAGTTGAGAAGCTTCTCGATGAGATCGACGTGCGCCAATAGCATTCGACGACAACAATAGCGGCGGAGGCCGAGCGCGTCCAATGCGTCTCCTGGAAAAGAAACCGGTATTACTCGATTTTGTGGGGGCGCGTTTTTGTCTTGGAGGATTTTTACTGTGAGAAAATACAAAAAAAAAGCATCATTTTTTGAAATTGAAATTGATTTTCTCTAAAAATCTATGGAAATTGGATTTTTTCATTTCGTGTGTAATGAAAAATTTTGATGAAAGCATGTTGCAGGCAAAAAAATCATTTAAACAATTTTGTTCCCAAAATGTGTTGAATCCATTTTTCAATTTCCGCATTTGGCTGACTTTTTTTCAGAAAATTGAAAACAATCCATAAAATTGTAGCATTTGCTAGCAGACAAAACGCAGTTTCGAAATTAATCGAATAATAAATTCTGGATGAAAAAGAAAATGGCAGAAGTCGAAATATTCAAGCGTCACTTTAAAAAGAAATTGAAATTGCGAATTTCCATCTAATCTATCGAAAATTGCCTATTTCAGCCTAATAAAACATGATTTTCATGAAATAACTGTTCACCTTCACTATATTCTGACTGCAAAAAACCGAGATATGTCTCCCACTTGTCTCCTATGACTTTTCCGCATGTAAAACAACGAATTGGAATAATCATTGTGTGAAACTGTAATAAAATCTTACAATTAACTAGCTACGCAGGAAAATTACAAAAAAAATCACTGGTATATCAAAGAAAAATGAAGAGAAAGCCGAGGAAATTCGATGGAAATCTAGAAAAACGAAACGAGGCGTCAAATGTCGCGCAATGTACGCAGTCGTCGCAACGCAAAAATGCACTAGTGTAAGAGGCATTGTGAGAAATTGAGAGGTCGCAGACAGCAAAACCGGCGAAATAGTGTGTGAGTTGAGGAGGGTTGGCGACAAGAAACGTCTCCAGAAGGCAATAATTACGAGGAAGGAAGAAGCTCAAAAAAAGGGAATATTTTTCATAAATATTTGATAATCGTATTTTTTCTGTTAAAGCGCTGGTCTCGAAGCGAATCAAACTCTATAATTTTTGTTTCAATTCGCAAATCTCATCGATTTCAGCAATTTGAATGGAAGCGCTTCTGGAAAAAGTGCAAAATCTTCGCGAGAAATATGTTCACGAGAATCCCGGCACATCCGAAGACGACGAATGCGATTATATCAAAGCGAAATGCGAGCAGCTCATTCGAAGCGAGCTTTCAGCGATCTACGGCGCCAATTTCGAGGCGTCCAAATCGGAAGTTCTGTATCGAGCCGGCCAATTATTGAATCAATCGAATCGCTATGAGCCGCTGGCGGCGAAACTACTCGAAAAATCGCTGAAATTGGGTAGATTTTTTGGTTTCTCAATTTGAATTCGTCAATTTTTTCTGCGTCAGATCCCACCCAAAGTCAAGCGTGGTTCGAATTGGGAAGCGCCGAGTCGAAAAATGGCGATATCGAGTACGCGGTCGTCTGTTTCGAGGTAATTTTCCCCAAAATTATGCGTTTTTCGACGAGAACAAAACCCATCTAGAAATCGCTTCAACTTCAAAAATCCGCCGATGCGATGGCGTCGCTGGCGATCGCGCTTCGCGCAAGCGCCTCGAAATCCGACAACGTTGGCGTTCGCAAGACATTGAGGTGAAATTATTTGTGCAAGAAAGAAATTCGTGGAATTTCAGAGAGAAAGCCCTTCAACTGGCGAAATCGGCCGTCGAACTCGATGGAAGTCTCGGTTTGGCGCATTCGGCGCTCGCCACTGGCTATCTCGTCGAGTTCTTCTCAACCGCCCAATCCAATATGGAAACATTGGTATCGTTTCAATGATTTGATGGATTCGTCGTGAAGATCCAGCTTGCCGGCCTCGCGGTCTCGGAATCTTACCAACATTGCACTGAAAAAAAATGTGAAACGCTTTTTTATATTTCGACAAAAAATTTTTCTGACGCCGACCGCGACGCATACGCAACGCGTCCACACATTTTTTGCGATTCTCAAATATTTGAAAACCGCGAGCCGCAACGCGTCCAACGACATTCAACTGAGAAAAAAAATGGGTTCAGACCAGGGCTGTGCGGCAATGGAATTGCCGATTGCCGAAATTGCCGATTTTTCAAATTGCCGAATTGCCGAATTGCCGAAGAGAACGTTCGATCGGCAATTTGCCGAATTGCCGATTTGCCGAAATTTTGATTTTCGGCAATTTGATATCAAAAAAAAATCGGCGAAACAAAAATCAATGTCCATTGAATAATTTGCGATACCGTGAAAATTCAGTATTTATATATCGAATTATCGTTGAAAACATTTAATAGCCGAAATTTTTATTTTCGGCAAGTTGCCGAATTGCCGAAATTTCCGATTGCCGCACAGCCCTGGTTCAGACTATAGAAAAATCTTTTTTTTTTCAGTTTCAGTGAAAATTGTATCTGGCAAATATAAATAAAACCGATTTGATTGAAAAATAATTAAATTCGATTTGAAAATTTGGATTCGATTCAAAAATCTTCGAAATTTCAATTTTGAAATCGAGTTCGATTGAAATTCTGGAATTTTAATTTAAATTCGATTTCGATTGAAAACGAAATCATTTTCGAATCCGATTGATTTTAATTCACCTGAAATTTTGTTTCTTTGAAGAGAGCAGAGAAAAATTGTTTCGTTTCAGGCCGACGCGTGCAACTCCTACAAAAACGCGCTCGAATGCGGCGATCAGAAGCGCAACGCCGAGCTGTTCGCGAATTTCGCCACCGCGCTTCGCTATCAGGAGGACTTTGTCGGCGCCGTCGAGCAGATGCGCAACGCGCGACGTCACGACCCGCGCGACGCCATCGACTCGTCGCGACGCCTTCGCGCGTTGTGCGAATATTTGGAGAAGTTCGCCGACGCCGTCGAGAAGAAGGGCAAACTGAAGGCGAAGCGTCTCGTGTCGATGATCGACTCGCTGCCGGCGTCGTCGTCGCACGCCACCGAACTCCACGTCAAAGTGTTGGCGACGGTCAATCACGAGGAAATTGTGCCGTTGTGAGTTTTGAGCTCAATCGAAAAAAAAAACGAAGAAACCCTCCCCCCAACCATCCATTCGCTTCAGGACCCTCGCCGTTTGCGATTCCACCGGCGAATGCTTCGGAATGACCGTTTACAATTGTTCGGCGACGTTCGGTTTTGTCATCGGCGACACTTTGTCGCTGCACGACCCCGATTGGCACGTGCTCACCGACTTTCACATCGGCAATCGGCATGTCGAAAAACTGCGATGGTGTCGAGTGTTGTCGCCGAGGCATCTGCGACGCAACGGTGTGCCGGTCGCCTCTTCAGCACTGGCGCCGGCGACGTTGCGAATAATTCGAAATTGAGATTTGTTTGCTTTTCAACTTCAATAAATAATGCAAAAATGAGACACCTGGCGGAGACATACCACTCGTTAAGGCAATGGCATGAACTATGAATGGTGACTTTCGGTGGTATTCCTTCCCGAACTTTGATTCCTTTCGCCCAGAACCAGGCTGCAAGAATTGATTTTGTGTCGGGAGGAATCGAACCGACGACCTTGCGCGCGCCGGCGCGTGGCGTAAGCCACTAGGCCGTAGTGCAACAATTGGAACTCGGCGTGATGGCGTATAAAAGAGAGGCGCTCAATTCATTGCGCATGGTGCGCTTTTTGTGAATTATCAAAGAAATCGATGGCAATTTTGCTGGAAATGCCGATTTTCCCCGTTCCTTTTTTTCAGAGCGCCAATGTTTGAATAAATGAATAAAGGTGAATCGTGGGAATGACATTAGCATTTCAAACGCGCGACCTTCATCGTAATAATTCGTTTCTTTTTTGTTGCTTCAGGCACCGAAACTTGCGGGGCGATTTGTCTTAATAAGATTGTAGGCATGTTGGATTAAAAGTGCTCCAAAAATGGCGACAAAATCCGTGCCCGGCGGCGACGAAAAAAAAAGAACATTATCGATGAAGCGCGCTTCGCCGACAACGTGTTCTCGTCCCCCTCCCCAACCCCACCTTCGAGTTCAATTCCCGCACAAGAATTCCTGTCGAGCCGTATTATTATTACAAAGCAGCGTGTGAACACAGATTACGACAAAAACAAACAACAAAAAATGCGCGATAATTAATTGTTGTTCTTTTTTTTTCTGCTCCCCCATCTTTCATTTCTCCAGGGAGACACCTCGCGTTTTTGCTTCTTTCTTTTTTTTGAAGGCTTGCTCATCCATGTGCAACAAAATTCAATCAAAAGAAGAATGCGGCGTGCCAACACTTTCACTTCGCTCCAAAAGTTTCGCTCCCGGGTGGGCTCGAACCACCAACCTTTCGGTTAACAGCCGAACGCGCTGCCTATTGCGCCACGGAAGCCACTGATTAAGCGCGACGCAAGCATAATGGAAGCATTGTGGGAAATCTGTGGAACGGAAGCATAATGCTTCCATATAGGAAGCATAATGTAATTCTTAGTGGCTGTGGAAGAAATATGGGACGAATATGGATGGAATGAAAACGGGATGAATATGCTTCCGGTGTTTGCGAGCCGTGGAACGAATATGGATGAAATATGGATAAAATAATCATATATCATTACACATTATACAATTGGCGTCTGGACGGCAGACCAAGACAATTTCTAGAAAAATCAATACAAAAAACTTATGCTATCATATAAACAATGAAAATTTGAAAATTACATGATACACAACGGACGAAATTTAGCTTCTACCATTTAATGACTTATGTTACTCAGATTTATGTTAATTCAGTCAACTGTTCCTCACTTTGTTTAAAGATTGCCAACTACAATTTAGTCGTATTAATATATTTTTGCCGGTTTTTCCGAAATTGGCATCGCAAACTACTCACAATTTGCTCCAAACTGGTAGCAGACGCGCGTAGAAGAGGCGTGCCGCAGCATTGCAAAACCGTGCGCCGCATTGCACAATGCGGCCACGCCTCACATTTTCGAAATTCGTTTTCAAAATTTTTGTCCTTTTGCTTTTTCTCAATGAATTTTCATGATTTTTTGTGTTTTTTTTTTGTCAAAAATTAAAGAATTTTTTTCAAAATTAAAGGAAAAATGTTTTTAAAAAATAAAGGAAAAATTTTCATATTTATCATCAAAATCGAAACCAAAAATAAATTGATAGCATTCGAAAATTTTAAAATCGATACGATGTTTTCAAATCGTTTCCGACACTTTTAAAATCGAATTTAAATATTTTCTCAATCGAATTGTGTTTAATTTCTCATCGAATCCGTTTTATTTTTATTTACTTTAACATATTTTTTATTATCGCTCGCTTTTTTCTTTTAATAAAACATAATGTTTTGAAATTTTTTACAGATGAAGACAAGATCGAGAGTGTTGTCAGATATAACTGAAACTGCTCTAGAAGTCAATAACAAAGAACCAGAAGTCCCTAACATGGAACCAAATTCGCTCGACACTTCAGATCCAGATAGTCCAATTTACTCGCCAACTCAGCAAAAAAATTTTTCTCCACAGTCCTCACAAACAACAAAATCAACGCCAATTCCTAAACCTTCGTACGCCCAATTTGTAAGTTGTTATCATCAAAAATTGGCCTGTTCGACTCCAGAAATGGTTTCAATTAGAAAAATATGCGCAATGAAGTCTTTATAAAGTACTTCCTAAGTTTAAAGCTTGTTGATTATTTGGTTCCAATCAGGGCTGTGCGGCAATGGAATTGCCGATTGCCGAAATTGCCGGTTTTTCAAATTGCCGAAGAAAATTTCGATCGGTAATTTGCCATTAGCCGAATCGCCGAAATTTCCGATTGCCGTACAGCCTTCGTACCAATATCATTCAGTGGCATTTATCTTTTTAAGTGGGGCTCTAGTACAGAAGTCGCCAGACGCCGACTATATAAAGATCCTATACTTTATTGCAAATATCTATATTACAGATGCTCTTATCCATGGCTTTGGGCAACAACCGACAAATGACTTCAAAGCGAAAGCATTACGCATGGTTCGAGAAGTCATGGATAATCTTCTGTAAGATTTTGAACTATGACTATTAATTTATTTATTTGATTAAGCGATAGAATGCGCCAACGACTTCAAAGGAAATTTGGTGTAGCGCCGGAAGCGCTCGCGGCGCAATTAAGGAAGCTGCTTGATTCTACCAGCAACCCTCAGATGTGAGTATTCATATGTCTTTGAAATTTTAACCAAAATGCCTTTTTGCTTCAAATTTTGGAGTTGTTCTTTCTTCCGCCAATTCACTTTTTATTTTGTGCACTAAAGGGTTTCCAAAAATGCAATAAAAATAAATTATTTTTATTTTTAAGAAAATTATTGATGTAAAAAAACTGATTGTATTTTCTCGAAAAATTTAGTTTACGTAACAATGGTTTACAAGTTTTTCAAATTAATAGGCCCATTATAATCTACTTATTACAGCGTCCCGCTCGATGTCAGTACTGACAATGATTCGAATAGTTCGGCAGTTGCCAGTAACTAATGGTTTGATTATATCTTAATTGAAATTCATTTCATTGTTGTTTTTTTTATTTTAAATTAAATAAATGTGTTAATATGAAATAAATTTTGAATACAGCAATCAAATTGTTTTCTTATTTTCCCATATGGAAGGCATACGGCTCATTCCATATACGAAACACGCGGTTCCGCAAAAAAATGCTTCCATTATGCTTCCATATAACTTGCATATAAGATTCCTATGATATCCACAGCCGTTCCACTATGCTTCCATTGTGCCTATGCCGCCGTTTATCTGTGGCACCTGACCTCGGCGCTCCGAGTGGCGTATAAGTGTGCCGCCGCCTCCGGCGCTCGCCCGCCCGCCTCCCACACTCCCATGTTGAATTATTAACAATGGGATAGAAGCGAGGTCCCGAAAAGGCGAAGGCATTCTCGCCAACAACAACTTCCAATATTCTGGGACCGTCGCAAAACGACAAGAGCACCCTTCAAATTACCTTTTCACCGCCTCCTCTTTTCCTCATCGCTACACGACATATATCGAATTTCTCGGCCTGACGCCGCTGGCGTCCGCTCCGGAATTCCGCTTCTAGTGTGCTCAATGAGCATTCTGGGAGGCTCGCCTTAAAATAGCAGCAAAAAAAAAACACACACACTGCGTCGAAATTTTTTTATTTCAACAAAAAAAACATAAAATGAGAACGAATTCCAATCAAGTTGAGCGATTTTCCGGAAATTGAGCCCTAAAAATCAACAACATTTTTTGTCTAGAGAGAAAGTGAAAAAAAACGATGTTTCGCCTCCTCCCATCTTCGAAAACGCGGAAATTGCAAAAATAAATAAAATTTGGTCGCCACACTCAAAAAGTCCGCAGACACCGAAGCGCAAGCGCGCACTAATATCGACCTACAGTAGTCGCTCACAAAAATTGTTCATTTCACCATTTTTTTCCATATTTTTTTCCCAACATCCCGCAGATTTGGCGGCAAAACGAAAAAAGCAGAAGTCAGACAGAGAACGAGAGACTCATTAGACACATAGTTTACATAATGCCGCCCTCCAGGAGAGCGCCCCTCATCTTTTGTGCATTTCTGTCTAATGAAATCAGATTTTACATTCTATTTCGATCTCCTTGGTTTTTCTTGTAATTTGCGAGACAAAACTCGTGCAAATTTGATTAGTCATCACTTTTTTTGTTCGTAAAATAAAAAAAAGCGGGCCCCCTCCCCGAAAAATGTTCACATCGGGAGCAGCGTTTTTGGCGAGGCGGCTCTCAATTAAATTGCCCGATGCTCGTGTTTCTTGCATCGAAAAAGCCGACTTTTGACCTACACAAAATTTCGAGTGTCCGCGTTTCGTCAATGTCGAAACCTTTTCGAGAATTGTCGATGAGCGCGCCGCCGCCGCCGCCGCGTCAAAACACCTCCCCCCCCCTACCGGCTTGTCGCCCTCCACCCATCACACCCAACAAATTAGGCTAATCAAAAGCGCGTCGCCCTCATGTGTATCTGTGTGTTTGTGTGCTTTTCGTCCTTCTCATCATCTTCTTCTTCTTCTTTTTTTGCGACGCCCCACCTCTCCGGAAATGTGTGCTAAGTATCAATTCCAGATGCGCCATTTAATGTCGTCGTTTTACATGGTCCCTTTTCACAACGATTTTCTTGATGTGCATTTTTTCGTCTTCGACTTTTTCTTTTTTGCTGCCATCATAAAAATATGTATTTCTTGTTGTCATGCACTACTATGAATTCGTCTTGGCGGTGGGCGTGGTCGCCGGCTCCGCCCACTCGCCAGAGGAGGCGGGTAATTCATTTCATGCATTTTTGAGTGTCCTCCTTCTGATTTCCATTTTTGGCCTTTGCGCCGCATTAGTACAATATTTGTTCTGTTGCGACAACCCCAAAAAAACACCATCAGAATATCGGGAATATTGAATTTGGTCGCCCAACAATTGCATTCCTCTTCTTCCCTTCCTCTACCTCTCCCCCCCATCGAGGTTGTATATTTCAGGTGTCGATCATGAGCTGCATGGGTTTGAATTCGTCCGAGTTGCAAGAAGCGCGCGACTACTACAAACAGGTACGATTTTCTCGGCGTTTCGCGCCCCGCTCGCTAAAACGCGGGCAGTCGCGGAGTGTCGTTGTTGCAGCACACAAAAAATAATGCGGCAATACGACAATAATTTCAAATTCGCTCATTCATTATTCGCCTCTTGTTTTCGCCGTTCCCCCCTCTCACACCTCTCCTCCAAATAGAGGAGGGTAGGGGGGGGAACAAAAAAAACTAAAAAAAAAGCATAACAAAAGAGAAGATGAACATCACCGTCTTTATTCGGCACCCAAATTGAGTTTTAGGGGGCTCCGCGTAGCGAGGAGAATAAAAAAAAAGCCGACCAGCAAAGTGCGGCTTCACATACTTTTGCGGGGGGAGGTAATCTCTCAAGTAGTAACAGTAATCCCCCGCCAGCATTTTGACAAATGGAACGTTGGTTGAAAATGTGAACCACCTCTGCAAACGCCTATTACGCTAATCCACCGATCAAATATGACCTACAGTACGCCGCTCTACCGTAATCCTTTCTTTGAAAGGCATTTAAAAATCAATATTAGCAGTTCATGTAGAAAAACGCTTCGTGCCCGGGCGGGGACCGAACCCGCGATCTCCGCTGCAGGAAATCCAAAACGCACTGCCACTGCGCTATAGTGCAGGTGTTTGTCGGGCGCTCAAACGCCTGGTATCCACATTATGATAATAACATATATATATATATATATAAAATTGGATGATGTGATGTCAACCCCCTCCCCCCTATTATTACTATAATTGCTGATTTCGAGTTTTTCGATTTTCGGCAAAATAAACAAACAAACAATCTAGAATCGAGATATACTCCAACAAAAAAATAACGGGACCATTGATATTGTGAGTTCTGGAAATTCACTGAAAACAAATTCGCCGCTGATTTATGGGGGGTCGCTCTCCAACGTTCGTTCAACTCATAAATCTTGTCATATTCATATATATAAATTTTTTTTTCTTTCTTTTCTTTCCCGACCCCCCTTTCGAGTTTGGTTGGGTACCTCTGGGGACCATATAATTTGCAGCTCATCTTCCCGTTCTCATCGGTCTTCTCGGTGATCCACAACTACGCCTACGTGGCGTTGTGCGTCGTCGGCGTCTTCGCCAACATCTCCATCATTGTGGTAATGAATCGAACCCCCCAGTGGCAATCGCAACGCATTCAGGTGCTTCTGCGACCGGCGATGCGCAAAAGCCCGTTCAATCTGTTTCTGGTGGTGATCGCCGTGTGCGACGCCTCCCTAATGGCCACCTATCTCCTCTACAAACACGTGAGCTTCAACGCAAGCCCAAAAACCGACTTCATCAAAATTTTGCAGGTCCAACTCTGCCATCCGTGGTACTTCTCCTATCCATGGGCGATCTACACGAAATTCTACGCCATCTTCTCCGTGTTCATGCACTCGTGCAGCCTATGGTTCACGGTGAACATGGCGATCCTCCGCTATCTGGTGCTCTATCGCGGCAGTGTGTCGGATTCGCGATTGCCGCCGTGCAACGGCTTCCCGGCCGCCATCATCTCCATCGCGCTCGCCGCTCTCATCGCCTTCCTCGGCTCGATGCCGCTCTTCGTTCGCTATTCGGTAGATCCCAAAAGAATCCCTCTCCCCCGGCCCTTCTTCAATGTTTCCCTTTGCAGATCATTGAAGAGGACCTCGGCCCGATACCGACGCTGTGTCTCGAGGGCAAATACTCGAGCCTGTGGGACGCGCGCGCGCAAATCCGCTTCTACGGCATCGCGCAGCCGACGTGGTGGACGTGCGAGTGGGAGCGCGTCAATTATTGGATGGCGGCGTTGATACTCAAACTCATCCCGTGCGTTCTTCTCACCGCCTTCATGACGCTTCTCGTCCGAATGCTGATTGAGGCGCGCGAGCGGCGATCGCGATTGGGCGGCGCCGCCGCCGGCAACTCGCAGGCCGAACGCACCACCGCCATGCTCACCGGCATCGTCGCCGTGTTTCTGCTCACCGAACTACCGCAGGGCATCATGACGTTCGCCGCCGGTAGGTCATGTCGTCCTAATTAGGTTCGAAATTCGAGTTGCACACGAGCAACATGAACCCGTCACTAATTGGATTGATGAGCAAGTGCTCATCGCAATCACCCTCCATTGAGGGGGGGGGGTCTAATGCGCCTTTAAAAAAATAGAAAAGAATGAATTCCAGGAGCGAAGCCTCGCCTCACGTTTCTCACACTTCAACTCAACGACGTCAACGATCTGCTATCGCTGATCAACTCGGCCGTCAATTTTGTGTTGTGCGCGTTGATGTCGCACGTGTTCCGAAGGTTTCCATCGTCGCTTCCACAATCAAACCCGCTCAATTGGATTTCAGGGAGTTCATTCAAACATTCAGCATTTGTTGTCCGCAATCCAGCGAGAATCATTCCGGCGCGCCGATAGCGAAGACGTCGAATCGCAATGTGAGTTGTTTCTTTTTTTTTTTCAGACGCGTCGCGGCTCGCGTTGCGGCTTTTTTCAACGGCAAAAAAAATTGAATGGCGATATTGGCCAACACTTGAAATGGCGACATTTGAAATCTTCAATAGCCCATTTTGTTGGATGGCAAAAAAATGCGAATTTGGCTAGCCTTTTAGGATTTTTTTCTCTCACCCTTTAACTAAAAGGTCTTTTGAGTGGGCCCACAAAATTTCAGCTTGCACTGGGTGGGTTTCAGACGAGTTATAGCCGTCTGAAAATTCAAGGTGATTTGTCAAAATGATTATTGGCGATTATATTGATAAACGGTTAGATATATGCCGCTTGGTGCTGCGAAAAAACAGCAGGTATGGTGGTTGGGCTACTGGATAGGCCAGCAATTTTATGATGAGGGTTCGCTACTCAGCCACGCGATTTTATCATTTTTCTTTTTTTTCCACAGAAATCCTGCATAAATTTTTGTCTCTCAGGCAAATGAAAAAAAATATTTTGAGACAATTCTAAAATCTTATGAGGTTCGTTGAGAGGCTAACGTGTCTCTATAATATTTTAGATTTGTCTCAATAAACTTTAGGAAATCTCATAAGATTTTAGAATTTATCAATAAGTTTCAATGAATATTGTGAGACTTTAAAGTTTATCAATAAGTTTCAATGAATATTGTGAGACTTTAAAGTTTATCAATAAGTTTTAGATTTGTCTCAATAAACTTTAAAGTTTATCAATAAGTTTTAGATTTGTCTCAATAAACTTTAAAGTTTATCAATATGTTTTAGATTTGTCTCAATAAACTTTAAAGTTTATCAATATGTTTTAGATTTGTCTCAATAAACTTTAAAGTTTATCAATAAGTTTTAGATTTGTCTCAATAAACTTTAGAATATATCAATAAATTTTAGATTGTTCTCAATAAACTCTGTCCAATATTATGTAATATCATACGTTATCGAGCAATTTTCACACAAATAGAATGTAATAACATCCATAATAATTGAATATGTATGAACATTTCATTTATTACAATATTAATGCGAAATGAATATATTAATAATAAAAATCAGAAAAAAAATAAATGAATCAATTTATTCTTTTCGCATTTTCTCCTTTTTCTGCGAATGACGCACAACGTTGCTATAAGGAATTCGTTGCATATATTGAAAGAAAATGTTGAACTTACAAATTTTGATGATTGAATTTGTCGTTTTTCGATTAATTTCATGAGTTCTTTGCGATAAAATGACTTCTTAATTAAATCCGGATTCGCGTTGAAACGCATTTTCAATGAAGTCACAATCTCGTGATATAGTTTATAGCTGAAAATTGCCAGTTTTAAAAAATAACTGAATGAGTCTAACTTTCTCAAAATACTATATCCAATCCCGTTTGTCTGTTCCGAGCACATGTTTCTCTTGATAACGTGATAAATGTGCTCATGCGCTTGCGTGCTTATTGCCGACAGCTGACCATGACATTACTGTACAAATGGTATATAAGTTGCTGAAACAATAAATACAGTAATCATTAGTATTATTTCTTATATCAACGACAATAGCATGATGCTACAACGTTCAATAACTCTTAAAATTGCAAAAAAACGACTTACGTGCACTTTTGAACCAGAAAACAATTGAGGCGCCCCATCTCAAATTAGAATTTCTAATAATTTGCAAATATCTGCGATCTGAAATAAAAATTTTCTATTATGTACATAGCTAACGATCCCATATTACTTTGTTATATTACTAGCGAGTCGGAGACACCATCCATCGGTAGCAGGCATGTATAAGCAACACAACAGCTGAACCTAACGGAGGGATGGTTCCGATCATGGCGTTAGAAACAATTTTCACTTCAAAAATCTTCAAAGGATGATAATTGCAAGTGGTAAATTAACTTACGCTAGCTTTTTCGGACCTATTAATGTCATTGAATTTTCCTGATAGCGACTTTACCGAAGATGGCAGTCTCGCTTTCACATCAATAGCTTCGCATCGAAAAATATTTATTTCGTTTTTAACGAAGACTTCTAAAAGACAATCTTCAATTTTTAAATGCTGAAAAAGGAGAGACATAATTGAAGTACCTTTTATTATACGTGTTCCCTCGTGAAAAAGGTGGAAAATATCCATGGCCGTGATCCACATGGGCACCTGCTCATTGAATTTGCTGTATTTACCTCGTTCCTTAAATCTATCGGCCAATGTTTCTGGAATGTTTGTTCCACACTTTTCCCGATCTTCTAAAATATCGAAATCATTAGAAACTGAAGTATAATTGTAATTAATTGTAATAATTGTGCGTATTTTTAAAATTCATGAACCTGTTCATGCAATGACATGTTTAGACACAACTGTTTCAAATTCAGCATGTAAAACAATGCAGATTTAAGGTAGTGTTAAACATTTATTATAAAAACTTGCATTTCATGAATACGTCCATCACTGAAGTGAAGAAACTATTACAAAAAGCTAAAAAAAAAAACGGAAGAAACATCAAAAACATAAATTATTGATTGGAATCTAGAAGATCTTAAAAAGAGACGCCGCAAATTGCGTCAGTGGAAGTCATAAGGGCCCTATTCAAATTTTAAAGTCTCACAATATATTGAGATACTTTACACTTTCTCAAAAGATTTAACTTTCTCAAAAGATTTAATTTACAAATTCCAAATTTTTAAAATTTATTGATTCTCAATAAGTTTTAGAAAGTATCAATAGACTTTAGAATTTCTCAAAATATTTTAGAGTTTATCACTGAATATTTGATTCTCAAAATATTTTATTTGATTTGCCTGAGCTTCAATTTATTTTGCAACGTCAAATTAGCAGTGTGTGCTTTCTGTGCTCCAAGGTGCTCGAATTTCCCGACGAGCAGTATTTCTCCCCAAGAAATTCCGTGTGCCTTTAATAAAATCTTTAAAAAAAAGCGAGCGCAGCCGATTTACGATGAGTTTTGATTCGCAGGTTGCCCAAAGTACGAATTTGAATTGCCGCCTCGAAAAAAGTGCGATGGTCCACATTTTGTCAACTTGCTCATTTTTTTTAATAATCGAAAAAAAACCAATACAGCGAAAAACGGAAAAAATTATTTTTTTTTCGCCTTTTCCTAAAAAAAATGAATCGCCACAGGACCCAACTTATTCATGTGCCTTTAAACTAATTCTATTTCAATCCCAAAAAATTGTGAAAAATCGCTGGTTTGAAATTCAAATTTGAATTGGCGCGCTCAGAAAAATTAATAATAATTGCGATGGTCCGCAATTGCTCAATCGGTGCCCTTCACAATTTCGGTTTTTAGGACAATATGAGAACGATACGGTAATTAAAGGCGCATCGTTGTGGTTTTCTCCAAATTCCAGCATTAGCTGCAAAAAAAGCCGCACGCGAACCGCAACGCGTCCAATCGTCTCGAGACCCGCCAAAAATCAAAAAAAAATTCTCAAAATTCCAGATTCTCTCAACATTCCACATCGGCGGCCGATCGAACAAACCCAAAAAGGGCTTCATCGCGGTGCCGACGAATTGCCCCGACGTAGCCGATTCGGCCAACATCTAATTGCAGCGACAAAACGCGCTCCATTGATACTCACTAGACCGGTGTTTCAAACAAAAAATAACCATTCGACAACAAAAAAAATCGTATACTTATATATATTTATTAATTTCTATATGTAGTTTGTGTGTTGCCCGAAACGGGTTAGGCCAATAAAAAAAATATACTCTTTATAATGAAAAAACAAACAAAAGGCGACACGTGTGTAGCAGGAAAAAAAAATGAAAATGAGCAATTAAGGTATTGAAAAAAAACCATTTTTTGGGGGGTGTCATGATGATTCCGAAATACCTGAGAGTGAAAGAGCGCAAAAAAATTCCGAATCGATCGAATCACGACGCAATTATCGGCTTCGTTGACGGCTGAGAAACGCGAATCGTCGATAGCAACGTCTCCAATCGTTCGACTTTCGACATCACGTCCTTCAGAATTCGATTGACGCATCCACTCGCCGAGCTGGCACGACGATCCTGAAAACGACTTTTCTCAATTTCATCTCAGTTTGAGCACAACGCGTCTTTAATCTCTACAGTAAGCTGCCATGCACGCATCACCTATGCGCCTTTAAAAATCGCTTTCAAAAAATCTAAAAATCATCCCCAACCCCCTATGGTCCTTTAAAACCCGACCTTATCATTGCTCGTCGTTCCGATGCGACATTCATCCATTCGCGTCATCGCCTCTTCCATACATATATCATTCGCATGCGACTGCTGCTGTTTTTTATCTTCGACATCTTCCATGGTAACATCGTCTACTTCTGTGGATGGTCCTGAAGTGAGAGAGTGTGAGAGTGAGAGTGAGAAAAAATTATTTTCGAATAACAAAAAAAAATTCCGAAAAATTGCATTTTTTTTCCTTCCGCTCATTCTCCATTCGCTGTATGAAATATGAATGAGCTGAATGGGAGAGGAGGACCGAATCAACAAAATTAAAATTCTCCGAAATAAAGGAATAAAGAATATGTCCAAACAATAAATAGTCGTTGCAAGAACCAATTGACTACGAACATTTTTTCAAGGGACCAAATCGGCTATTTGAGATCGAACAAAAAAATCTCAAGCCAAATTTGGAATTTCTCAATTTTCGTCGAACTTGCCAATACCTTGCGATTTGCTCGTTCCGGCCACCATCAACTCATTCTTGACCTCACGAAGCGGCTCGACGACAAGACGAGGCCTCTCAGTTCGTTCTTCTCTGGAAAAAGAATAATCATCAATTCGGGGTTGCAAAAATTGATTGGCAATAATCGGCAATTTAAGTGATGCTCCTTTAAACTCTTCAAATTGTACTACTCTCCGGAAGCTAGGCGCTTTTAACCACAGAAAGAAATTCAATCTTTTATCGTGCGTCATTAATTTCCAAAAATAATTCAGCTCAATGACTCACGAGCCCTCAAATTGCCAAATTAATTTCAATTGCACCTTCAACTCATGGAATATCCCTTTTTTTCAAATACGCACATTTCAGCGTCATGCGCCTTTAAACACAATATTCCAGGAATTCATGCGCTATTAAAACACCCACCGTAATCGATGCATTTCCTCGGCGGCGAGTTGCCTCTCATACAGTTGGCTCTCGAGAATCGCGATCTTCTCGATCGCGCTATCCAATTTGCCGCCCAAATCCATCGTCATAAACTCTTTGTTCCTCTCCGACATCTCCAATTTGTCATTCTTCTGCTCGAGCTTCCGAATAGTTTCGCGCTGCTGCTCGCACTTCTCGCGAAGCGTCGCGTTCTCGCGCCTCAACTGCTCTTCGAGTTGAGCCGATTGCGCGCGAGCTTCTTCGTGACGCGCCTAGAAGACGTGAATTGTCGATCATCGATATCTCAACACCAACCTTGTTCCGCTCGCATTCCGTCGTCGCCTGCTGCAAACGCGTCTCGGCGCGTTTCAGACGATTCTTGAGATCGTCGACCTCGGCGTCGAGCATCTTCTCGATTTCCGACGAGCTCGTCTGATAATCGATAAATTCTTCCTGGAAAGAAAAAATTGAAAATTGGCGAAAAATTCCATTTTTCGCAACCTTCATTTGCAAAAACTGCGCGATTAGCTCATTGTGCGGCAGCGCGCGTATCTGCTCGTCGCTCAAATCCATCTCTGAAATCGGCAAATTTTTGAACGAGCAAAAATGAAGAGAGAAATAAAAAAGAACGACCGACGAGGAAATCCGTCGAAACGGCGCGCGTCAACGCTCGAACACGCCACACAAAACAAATATTCTTGGCGCACTTTATCAACAGGAAATCGAGCAAACATGCCACAAAACGTTTTTGGAGGTTTCATTTTTTATTTAAGCAATGAAAAAATGCAATTTGAGAATGTGGATGATAATTTGAATTTAAAAAAAAAAATTGTCTCGCTTCAAAATCGCGTCTCGACGAATCTAATCGGCGACGCAAATCTGAGCGGCTAAACCAGAACACCACCATAAATGGATGGATGGGAGGCCCAGTCAGGTGAGACTAATTCGTTCGAATCAAGAAAAAAATACACACATAAATTGGTGTTTAAAGGCGCATGACTCAATAGGGAATTTTAATCGATTTGGTTGGGCGGCAATTTATTTCACAAACCGGTTATTTTTATATATCAATGAATAGTGGACAAAAATTGCAAAAAATTTGCATATTATGCTAATTATCAGAAAAAAAAAGAAAACCTTAAAAATAATATTTTGATTCGAAAAATTGATGGCGATTTGCAATTTTCGTTTCTTTATTTTTTGTTGTTGATAAAACTACTGAAAAAAAAACTGGAAAATTTTCGCCAAATTTGGCCAAAGTGCGATAAAGGCGGTTGGTGATATCGATATTGATTCATCACATGACTCATAAACGGAAACGAGGAAGAAAATAATCGCGTCGAGAGTGAACTCAGCTGAATCAACAAAAATAAACAATGAAATAAACAATTGCAAATTTGGCACACTAAATATATATGAACGAAACAATTTTGGTGGGTGGGAAGGAAAAAAAAAGTTTTTCTCTTGTGGGCGCTGACTGCATTTCTCGAAGGAAGCGCGCGCCAACTCATACTGCGATGAGAGAGAGAGTACACTGGAATGAGAGAGCGGCTAGACGGCGAGACGGTTTGAGTGAGTGAATTGGTTAGAGATGGCAGAGGAATTGAACCGATTTCTCGCCAATTTTGCATTTGGCGAAGATTTTATATAACTACACTGCTCCACAAAAGTTTAGCCTCACCCATATTATTTCAAAAAACGCTTGTATTGTTAAAATATGGCTAAAAGGGGGTTTTTAGTACCCCATATTAGATTTACACTGACTGAAACAAAATTTACTTTATTTTCCGAACATTGCGCAAAAGTATAGCCTCACTAGCAAAAAAAAACGCTTAAAAAACAGAAAATTGGTTTAATATTCGGATGGCACTTCCTGATTGCTTGCCGCTTGGAAAAGTCGAGTGTCGATCGATAAATATGGATTGGCAATCAGTTGTTGGTCGACTTTCTTCCAAGTCTCGATAATCGCCAGTTTCAGCTGTTTTAAATTAAAAAAATTAATCCTCATACGATTTCGATGGTATTCAAGTGCGGAGAGCAAGAAGGCCAGTCGGGAACTGGAATATTTCTCGTTTGTATCCACGCTGTATCCTGCGATTCACTATCATTATGTGACGGTGTCGATGCCAGAAGGGCAGAAGCTCAAATATCGATAGTGAGAGCCGCTCATGTTCTTTGCGACGAAGCACAGTTTCACTCGAGCGATCGAACTGATTGCTGCCCATACTCCGCAAGAATTGAACGGGCGGCTTTCTAAGATCATACCAGTAGCTTCGGTATCCATCAGGACCATCAGGACCATCACAATAGAACTTCTTCTCATTTGAGAAGATCACTTGAAATTCTGGTGGCTCAAATTCGAACCGCATCCCATTTTTGTTCAGTCCGTTCTGTTGAATTTATTCACAAACTTCAATCAGTTTTCGCAATGTTTTTCGGTCAATCTTGCGCCTTTCTTCATACCAGGAATTCCTCAGAACAAGTTGAATCGTCTCTGAAGCCTATTTCTAATCCCATTTTTTGTATAGGTATTCGATGATTTTTGAAGGATCATTCTTCTTTCTCGGCTAGAAATAGCAGTTAGACATCCAGATCGTGTCGCATTTCCATATTCGGAAGGATTCTTCAGATAATCATTGATCACTTTTGGGCTGCGCCCCAAATTCCGAGCGATTTGTCGATTCGAATGACCACGATCGTGTTTGGCTTGGGCGCGGGCTTAGCACCGCGCCATTTGGAATTGGGCCAGATCGAACTTTTTTTCCACGGAAGTTTAAGCGTAATGACACCTTTTATCTGAAAGTACATGAAAAGTTGTGGGCCTAACATTTTTTTTTGTCGCCATTGAAGCAGCTTTCACGAGATGAAGCTCAAATAAAAAAATTGAGCTTTTTCGACTCTCGCGATCGTAACGCATCGTAATGTTTATGGATCCGGATGAAACCGGTACCATTCGATGCAGAATTTTATGCTCTATCGCGTGGTATATACTAAAAATTTCCCAGGTGATAATGATATGATAAAAAATTCCAAAAAAGGTCAAATTTTATCAGTGCAGAAAAATATAATTTGGCCTTGCTCAAACGCCGAAAGTGATTTGCATGCTGGAATTACTTGAAACACGCATAATTCTAGCATAAAAATGTTAAAAAATTGCACATCAAGAAAAAAAAACGGTTAAAACATAGGTGAGGCTGTATACTTTTGTAGAGCGAAAAAAACGCAATTTTCGGAAAATAAAGCAAATTTTGTTTCAATAAGTGTAAATCTAATATGGGATACTAAAAAGAACCCTTTTAGCCATATTTTAACAATACAAACGTTTTTTGAAATTTCGCGAATATTTCGTTTCAATATCTTCTTACTGATATAAAAATTTTGTGCGCATCGGAAATTTTCTGGTAAATGTTAAAAAAAAATATATACATATAGAATTTTAAAGCTTAAATACTATACATATACGCAAAAAAACGTTGAAAAGAAAATTATCCCAAAAAGGTCAGAGACACAGAAGAAAATAGGCGAATGACAGAATTATATATATATATTCAATTTCTAATCCTATAATCTTGTTTTTCAAAAAAAAAAAACCATTTCCTTCTGGGAACTCTACAACAATTATAGTTTAAGAAGAAAAATGGAAAAAAAATTTTTTGAATCCTGATAAGTGGTGTAATTTCGCTAGTCAGTGATTGCACATTAAACCGCCTACAGTAACGCGTTCGAAAAATTAAATGAAATTTATTCCAAATATCCCCATTATAATAATTGATTTTATGTCTATATAAGGCGTAGTTCCATGTAATACATATGTGACATATTATAATAAGTGATGAGAACCACGAGGTGACAAAAAATCGTGCCAAAGGTGATGTGTCCTTTGGGCAATTCGCACCTCTCCAAACAAACCCCCATTGTTCGTAAAATGTGCGAACGAGCGCTACCTAAAGGCAATTCGCGCATTCGACGTCATCTGGCATCCAATATTCGCAAAATCCTTCTAGAAAAATCCGGAAACAATTCGCAGGAAGAAAAACGCACACACAATGTGTGCAATTTGTCGTCACGGTGTACCATCAACTTTCAAATGCTTCTCATTATTTACTTTATTATCGAGATGAGAAAACCATTTCCGTACAATTCAAACAATAATACAATCAAATTTGACATTAAAAGAGGTGAAAAAAAAGAACACGGTTTTTGAGCATTTTTGAACTAGAATTGTGAAAAAAATCGGGAATAGCAATTTTTCAGAAAAAAAAATAAAAATAACCGCAATGATGAGAACTAGAATTTGAATTAATGGCCTCTTTTAGATAATTTACAATAATTTGTGAGAATTGTGAATCAATGAAAATTTAGGCGAACACGGCGGCGACGGCCTTCTGACGAATTCCTTTCGCATTGACAATCGATGGTCGGCGCGGCGCGAGTGGTCCCAATTCTTCCATCTCCATCGCGGTGAATCCCTCGCTTCGTCGTCGCGGGGTGCTTCGAATTGGAGTTTCTGCAACAAAAAAAAGACAAATAATGAATAAATCAATCAATTTGCTAAACCTTTTTCAGCGCTTTTGTGGAAAATCGGCGATTTTCGGATTTTCGTCGGCGTTTTCGGCGTCCACACGCCGAACACATTTCGCGGCGGGAACACCAACGAGCGGCGCGGCGTCGTCGGCCGAAGTGCCGGCATTTCGGTGAGCTTGTCGACGGCCGCCTCAGCCGCCGCCTCGTTGGCCGAATCGAGAAACTTCAAATTGGGAACCGGCAAATTGGGAACCTTCACCGGCGAGATCGTCACACCATCGGGCACGGGATGCGTCGGCGACAATTCGCGGTCTGAAATAATAGAGAAAAAATTATTATTATTACTATTATGTGAATATCGAAAATTGACTTACCGAAATCCAATGGCGTGTAGAGTCGCGAACGCACACGCTTCACATAGGGCGCGTGTTGAAGGCCGTCGGGCAGTCCAGTCGGCGTCAGCGAGGCCTCGTCGAGTTTACGCTTCAACAGTTGACGATTGCTCGACGGCCCCGGCGGCGTCTCATCGCCAATGAGTTGAGGCGAGCGGAACACCGAGAACGCCGGCGACGACATTTCTGCAATCAGCTGCATGATGATGATGATGATCGACTTTGCCAACGAGTTTGGTAAGTCGAGTGAGGTTTTTACGGGTTTGGCCCACCCTTTTATGCGAGCCAACGATGGGCGGAGCGTGTGTCGCGCGACTCCGCCCATTCGCACCAACACCATCACACCAGTCCAGTCGATGGTGTCGGCATATGCCAAAAGGTGCGAATTTGTCAATCAAACTCAAGTGTTTCGCACATGTGCCAAATCGCTCATCAATGACCTAAAATGGCGCATGGATGAGACGAGCCCGAGAGGAAAATGGCAAGATTTGTGTGTTTTTGTTGCTCTGGCAGAATTTTTATCGTCAGAAATTGGCTGGAATCGAAAAAATTGATATTATGGAGATAGGAAGTAGGCTAGATATAATTTTAAAATTGGACAACGTTGAAAGAAGCTTAACATGGCAAATTCTAGAAAAAACCATTTTGAGAGAATTATCAAATTGAAATACCTTATTCGGTGGGAATTAACGATTAGAAAATTTTAAGAAATGGAAAAATTCGATTTTTACGCTTATTCCTTGCATTTTAATAAAACTTCGTTATATTAGACGATAGGTGATGACAGAGTACGAAAAAATAGGACGGATTTCACATTTCTGCGAAATAAATTGCCTATTGTGGCACTTAACTACCATTTTTAGCAGATGAAGTGACAAAAATGACGAAATGTTTATACTTTTTGCCTTTGGGTTTGCAGGAAAGAAAAATTCAACAAAATTCGAAATTGTTTTCAATTTTTGCCAATTTTCGCATCAAAATTTTCAAAATTGATAATTGGAATTAATTTAATACTAATTATTTTTCAATTCAACAAATTAAACGCATTTTAGAAGACCTCAATTTCATAGAACTCAAAATGCGAGGAAAATGGATATTTCCAAAAATCGAAAAAACTTCTTACCTGTCACAATGAAAATCCGTTTTCGGTATCGTTTCGCATGCATTTGGTAATCTTAAAAATAAATCTCGCTGTTGACATTTTGCGAATTTTTTAAAATATTTCATGATCTGTGATATTGCGTCAGGTTACCTACAGTATCGAATGAAAAATTTTACGTTTAAAACGTTGGAAATTTAATGAAATTGTTGAAAAACGTAATTTCCTACTTCAAACGCAAAAATTTTAAAGAAAAAACTCACCTGAAATCATTTGAAAATCGTTGAAAATTTCGAAAATCGAAAATTGCAATATTAAGATTACTGTAGGCGACTTCAAGGCGCATGTAATATTCGAATGTGAGTCTTGCAAAGAAGTGTACTGTATACAAATTTCTATTCAAAATTTATTTTTTTCATTCATTTTTTTCTTGAGTTTTCTTCAAATTTCAACACAATTTATGCAAACATTATTCAAATTGATTATAATTTTCCTGTCGGCGCATATAATTGCGCATCAAACGAATCAGCGACACGATTGCGGCGACCACAAAGAGAACCGCGATGAGCACTATAAAAATTTGCAATCGAACAGTGGAATCGTGACCGTTCGCATTCTAAAAGTATTATTCAATTCTTGTTTTTTTTAATAGTAAAAATGATTTTAAAACCTCGAATTGATGCGAAATTGGAATAAAGGCGATAAAAATCAATACCAAAGTTGTGACTTTCATTTGTTTTTCAAATCAATATGTATTTTGCTTCACCTTTAAAGGGCAGGTGATTTTTTTTTCCAATTTTACCATAGCAACCCAACATTTAAAATTTACAGGCTCCCGCCGTCGCATTTGTTTCGCAAATCTGCTCCATCGCACACAACGCTTAAATGCCTCGGAAAATCGGCGATTTCGTTTCGGAAATGGAGGAATATATCGAAAGTGTGAGTTCTTTTTTTTAAATTTCATTGAATTAAAAAATATATCACTACAGAAATCGTCGAAAATCTATCCAGTATCATTTTTTCGGCCAGTATGTATCCATTCAACCCTTCAATTCGTCGACTTATTCATGCAATCCGTCATGTTAACGTAAATGCTTTTTAATAATTTTGTCAAAAAAATCGTTTTTTAGCCATGGATTCGTCTCGATGCCAATTTCCAGCCTTCTCGAAGCGCCACCGGCCGGCTTACGTCGGACATTAAGCAGTTTCGAGCAGGTTTTTCATCAACAAAACGCCAAATCATCCAAAAAATTTGAGATTCGCAATGAGTTGCGCAACGTGTTCCGCTCAAAACATCGAAGAAGCATTCAAGAAGTCGCCATCGTCATCGGCAAATCCACAATTCGGCCAGTGCTAACCTACAGTAACACTTTGAAGACGCACAAAATTTAAAATATTTGTAAATTCATCATAGGAATTCCGCTGGAAATTTGCGAGTCTGACGATTCGACGAACGAGAATTGCGGCGACACTTGCGGTGAATTGAATGACGTCGAACGCCGGAGAATCAATCGCGATCTGTTTTTGGTATATCATTTTATTATAGTAAAAAAATTAAAGTGTGAGGAACAAAATTTGATTCTAATTAAAGGTAATTGTCATAAAATTTAATTTCGGTTTATTTTTCAAAGGAATCTTCGACGATATTGGAAAATTTCAAAAAATTGCGTCGTTATAAATCTAAAATGTTCAAATATTTAATTTGGAAATTTTTTCAATTCATTCCGATAAATAATTTAATAATTTTTTGAACCTGAGTTTTTGAAGATCTTAATTTTTATGTTTCAATTACATTTTACATTAATTTTTTGAAAATTTATTAAATTTTCAAAGTAAAAATTCATTGTTTTAAAAGTTTTACTGTTCCCCCTAAAAAGTAACACAATTTTGGGTGGAATTTGTCAATTTAATTCATAAAAATGCTTTACTAGGCAATTTTTTTGCAAAAATACCAAATTTTCTATTTTTGATTGATTTTCATTATCAGAGGGGGGGGGGAACTCGATTTAAAATATTTTCTTAATTTTTTTGAGGGCAAATTCGATTAAATTCCGAAGAATGTCATTTTTTCTAGAATTTTTATGAAACTAAAGCGCAAAATCGCAATTTTCGCGTGATAAAAATTTGATTTAAAACAATTTTGTGAGAAATTTTTCGAAAAATTCCAATTTTTCAGCTCTCCCAAAACGTCGACAAACAAGAAAAACACTGTCGCGAGCGGAATAATCGAATGTTTATTTATATACTCGGCTCCGACGGAATGGTGGGAGAAGAAATGGAAGAAGAGTAAGTGATCCATGCGATCCAAAGGATCATTGCCAATTTCAGTGATCCGGTGTTCGAAAAGGCGCCAATTCGCCACTACACGTTCGCCCATCAAAAATGTAATTGCGAGAAGAAGTGGAATCCATCGACGAGCGGCCAACGCTGGCTCCGCATCACACCATTCGTCGTTCACGGCAAAGAATAACTAATTCGGTTAATTAACTAACTAATTAATTAATTATTTTTCATGTTTATTACAATTTTCTAGGCTATGTTTTCATTATGATCTCGTATTTCACTATTTTTTCAGGTATATAATTTTTTTGAGAAAAAGAGACGATTCTTGCAAATTTTTGAGAAATTAAAGGGGTTTTTTGCCATTTTTTTATCTGAAATTTAATTTGTTGAAAAAAAAACTAGAGAATTTGGTGTAGATGGTTGGCCGATGGCTTACGATATTGGTGTTGGCGGGCGTGGCGCCAACGAATTTCACCAGAATGTGAGTTTTGGCGTAGCGATTTGTTGTTATTTTGGTTTGCAGCAGCAGCGATTGTGAGCACGGCGATTTTCTCAAGTGCTCATTTCCCGATGATTGTAAGGTAAGGGACCATTGAAATTGTTTCTAACAAGCATAATCGTCAAAATTGAAATTATATTGAATTTCGACAGAATTTTATTGACCAAAAAGCATCTATATTATAATATGCTTGCTGCGGACACGCTTCGGGGTTTTGACGATGGGAAACCGAATTCGGATTTTCAGCTTGGCGACACGATTTCGGTGACGTGCACATCGGTGCGAGACACGTGTCAGCCGGGTGTCACCCTCAAAAAGGAGGCGTTCTGCGGGTAGGCTTTCTCTGGTCGGCGCCTCTCGACGATGGTGTTCAGATTCTGCTGGCAGACGCCCGACGCCGACCACGACTGCGTGCCGGTGACGAATTGCTCGACGAGCAGCGCGAAATTGCACAAAACGCGTTGCACGGTGAGCATGGTTTTAAAAAAATCTTCTTTGATAATTCGAGTTGATTAAACGAAATACGGATTTTCAGAAAAAGAAAAAAACGGTTTTAAATGCTCAAAAAATTTAGAAATTCCGAAAAAGGCGGCTATTAAAAAATTACAGTACCGACTTCGCGACGTGACCCGAACCAACGTTTCGCGTGCGCCTTTGATCGGAGAATTATGGGGCACGGAGAAGTCCATGCAGAAAAACTTACTATGCGTGTTTTCGTTGAATTCGCTTCGAGACCCATCGCATAAATAAACGGCATGCGTCTTAAACTACCGTATCTCTGTTATTTTTAGGATTTTTTCTTAATTTTTGATGAAATTTTCTCGTTTACGGTATTTTAAGACGCATGCCATTTATTTAAGCGATGGGTCTCGTTGCGAAACCAACGAAAATGGGGAATTCAAATGAAAAAAATTAATTTTATTCAATAAAAATTGTTTTTTCTTAAACAAACGATTGAAATTGATTTTTAAGGTTCATCCAACGGTGATATGCGTCGGTCAGCGAACGTTCTTCAAAAAAGTGCGCTGCAATTGGAGCTCGGGTGTGAGCTGGACGCGAACGATGGTCTACTCGGTGGTGCTCGGCGGCTTCGGCGCCGATCGCTTCTATCTCGGCCTCTGGAAAAGCGCCATCGGCAAATTGTTCAGTTTCGGCGGACTTGGTGCCGATTTTTTCTTTCTTTTTGGCGAGAAAATCGCAATTTTTTCACATTTCAGGCATTTGGACAATTATTGACGTTGTGCTCATCGCTGTGGGATACCTCAAACCCGCCGATGGCTCATTGTACATTTGAATTTTGGTTTAAACTATTGCACAAACGGGTCTCGCGACGATTTCAATTTTCATTCTTGCTTTTATTTTGCGATTAATAAATGAGCTTCGAGCTTCGATGTATGCGAATTTTAGAAATGTGTGCAAGTGAGTGCGCTCCATCGCAAATTGGACAAAAATGGAATTTTTGCTGATTATTTCAGAAACAAAATAAGGTATTTTAAACTTTGAATGATATGATGAATGTAAATTTGAGCTGAAAAAAGAGATTTTGTCTTTTTTTTTTCAGAAATTCGACGATTCCAGAAGCGATCAAGCGGCAACGTGGCTTCGAATTCTAATTTCTCAAATTTTGATTTTAAGAAAAAAAAAAATGAATGAATCTTCTATTCTAATATCAATATTCAATTGCGGGTTTCGTTCCTCCAGAGAAAAAATATTGCAAATTCCAAAAATGGCTTTGAAAAAAAATGAGGGAAATGCTCAAGATGTACAAGCTGATCGTGAGTACATCAGCGGTGGCTGGAATCTCATTCCTTCTCGGCAAATATTCGAACGATGAGATTTTTCGAAGCGCCCATTCGGCGACCGCCGGCGTTCAACTGGTAGGCCACACGATTAATTGATTTCATTGTTTTTTGATAACAGGCAAGAATTGAGGTCCCAAATATGGGACCTCAACTACACCAGAAGGCGACGAATTTCGACGCCGTCTCGCGTGTACCCCAAATCATGAAATATGGCTATCCGGGCCATACGAATCTCAAACATTTCAATGATTATGTGCTTTCATATGATACTCGAACACGCACGGCGCACTGGGTAATCCAAATATGGCATCTCAGGTAAATGAAAATCAATCAGATTCAAAAATAATTTATTTTTCAATCTAAATCGAATGTAAATTAATCTGTTTCGAATTATTCCAAAATTTCAATCGAATTCGATTTGAAAAATTGAAATTCAGAAATAAATCAATCGATTTCGAAGATTTTTGAATCGAAACCAAGATTTTAAATCGAATTTGAATTATTTTTCAATCGAAACAGGTTAATTGATTTTTAATTTTTCTTCGAATCCGATTGATTTTCATTTACCTAAGATTTATTTCAAAATGATCATTATTCTAGGTTTGTGAGCATTTGACGCCGGAGAGTTTGAAACGCGGCAAAGATGTGAATCGAGGTCTAAGCGAATTTCAGCCGTTTCCCGAAACTCATGAGTATTTCAGAGCGGTGAATGAGGACTACAAGGTGCGAAATTTTTGAAATGAGGGGATTTGAATTGCCGCCAAAATTATATTTTTCCAATTTTTGTCAATGGTTCCTTGTGATTTATTAAAATCAATTAATGATATAAGAGAGAAACTTGTGTGGAATTTTTTCTCCCCAAATACTATGACTCAATTGTGTCAGAAAATGATAATCCTTGTGAAGTTGGTACCAGTTAATGTTGCGATGAAGCTCAAATGATTAGGAGGGTCCGAAAATACTTCTTTTTACAGCAATGGGCTCTTTTCTTTTAGAGAATTGACTGTATTTTCCGAAATGGTGACGAAATAGACGATGTTTAGGGTAATTTAAAAAAAAAACACAATGAATTAAAGGCGCATGAAGTATACCAAATAATTTCGAAGAATTCAATTTAAGGCGACATCCGTAAAAGAGCGTCGTGTGTTTGCGGACGGAATAGGATTCATATTTTTTTGTGGTGTTAAATTTTCGTATTTGATTTTTAAACAAATTGATTTATTTTCGATTTTTAAAAATTTAAAAAATTTTTGAATTCAAAATTTAAATTTTTGGTGTTTTTTTTTTTTCGAATTTTAATTAATCTGAGAATTTTTTGTGGCTCAATTTCAATTTTTCAGGGCAGCGGCTTCGATCGCGGCCATTTGGCGGCGGCCGGCAATCATCGAACATCGCAAATCGCGCTCGACCAAACATTTTTTCTGTGCAACAATAGTCCGCAAGTGGGCAAGGGCTTCAATCGCGACAAATGGAACGATCTCGAAATCTATTGCCGGTTCGGGGTTTTTTTTTCCGCGAAAATCTCAACGATTTTTGGATTTTTGTAGAAAATTGGCGAAAAACGCGCTGAACACCTACGTCGTGACGGGACCATTGTATTTGCCGAGGGAGTTCGACGACGGCAAAAAATATGTGAAGTATCAAGTGATTGGCAAGAATAATGTCGCCGTTCCCACGCATTTCTTCAAAGTTGTTCTTGTCGAGACCAAATTGGGACACTTCGAAATGGAATCCTTCATTTTACCGAACGCGGTGAGCATTTGTAAACGACGCTCCACGATTTACGGCTGCCCTCGTTTTAGCGTAAATCGTTTCGTGGTGCAAACACCACGCGAAATTTTCGATTTAGATCACATTTTTGAAGCATTTAAATGTTTTTTCGACAATTTCAGGTGATTCCTGATTCGACTGACATCGCGGAATTCCATGTGCCGATCGACGCCATCGAACGACACGCGGGATTTTTGATTTTCGACAAATTTCAACGCGAAAAATTGAATAAGATTAATCGAAAAAGCGTTGGCCTCTGGCAAAAACTGATCTCATGATTTTCAATTTTACACATTCCAATATTTAATAAATTATTATGGAATTATATGCGTGCCATTTTCACATGATTAAATATTTTTTTGACATTTCTATAATTTTTAATGAGGACAATTCAGATAAAAAAATTAAAAAAAAAAAGAAAAAATTTTAAGATCATCGTAATTAGCCAATTAGCCCGAGCGAGTCTACCAGAGCTGTACGGAGCTTAAATTTTCTAAAAACGGAACGCGGAACACATTTTTTGACGTCTTCGTCCTCAGGCAAATCAAATAAAATATTTTGAGAATCAAATATTCAGTGATAAACTCTAAAATATTTTGAGAAATTCTAAAGTCTATTGATACTTTCTAAAACTTATTGAGAATCAATAAATTTTAAAAATTTGGAATTTGTAAATTAAATCTTTTGAGAAAGTTAAATCTTTTGAGAAAGTGTAAAGTATCTCAATATATTGTGAGACTTTAAAATTTGAATAGGGCCCTTATGACTTCCACTGACGCAATTTGCGGCGTCTCTTTTTAAGATCTTCTAGATTCCAATCAATAATTTATGTTTTTGATGTTTCTTCCGTTTTTTTTTTTTAGCTTTTTGTAATAGTTTCTTCACTTCAGTGATGGACGTATTCATGAAATGCAAGTTTTTATAATAAATGTTTAACACTACCTTAAATCTGCATTGTTTTACATGCTGAATTTGAAACAGTTGTGTCTAAACATGTCATTGCATGAACAGGTTCATGAATTTTAAAAATACGCACAATTATTACAATTAATTACAATTATACTTCAGTTTCTAATGATTTCGATATTTTAGAAGATCGGGAAAAGTGTGGAACAAACATTCCAGAAACATTGGCCGATAGATTTAAGGAACGAGGTAAATACAGCAAATTCAATGAGCAGGTGCCCATGTGGATCACGGCCATGGATATTTTCCACCTTTTTCACGAGGGAACACGTATAATAAAAGGTACTTCAATTATGTCTCTCCTTTTTCAGCATTTAAAAATTGAAGATTGTCTTTTAGAAGTCTTCGTTAAAAACGAAATAAATATTTTTCGATGCGAAGCTATTGATGTGAAAGCGAGACTGCCATCTTCGGTAAAGTCGCTATCAGGAAAATTCAATGACATTAATAGGTCCGAAAAAGCTAGCGTAAGTTAATTTACCACTTGCAATTATCATCCTTTGAAGATTTTTGAAGTGAAAATTGTTTCTAACGCCATGATCGGAACCATCCCTCCGTTAGGTTCAGCTGTTGTGTTGCTTATACATGCCTGCTACCGATGGATGGTGTCACCGACTCGCTAGTAATATAACAAAGTAATATGGGATCGTTAGCTATGTACATAATAGAAAATTTTTATTTCAGATCGCAGGTATTTGCAAATTATTAGAAATTCTAATTTGAGATGGGGCGCCTCAATTGTTTTCTGGTTCAAAAGTGCACGTAAGTCGTTTTTTTGCAATTTTAAGAGTTATTGAACGTTGTAGCATCATGCTATTGTCGTTGATATAAGAAATAATACTAATGATTACTGTATTTATTGTTTCAGCAACTTATATACCATTTGTACAGTAATGTCAGGCGGTGTGGTCAGCTGTCGGCAATAAGCACGCAAGCGCATGAGCACATTTATCACGTTATCAAGAGAAACATGTGCTCGGAACAGACAAACGGGATTGGATATAGTATTTTGAGAAAGTTAGACTCATTCAGTTATTTTTTAAAACTGACAATTTTCAGCTATAAACTATATCACGAGATTGTGACTTCATTGAAAATGCGTTTCAACGCGAATCCGGATTTAATTAAGAAGTCATTTTATCGCAAAGAACTCATGAAATTAATCGAAAAACGACAAATTCAATCATCAAAATTTGTAAGTTCAACATTTTCTTTCAATATATGCAACGAATTCCTTATAGCAACGTTGTGCGTCATTCGCAGAAAAAGGAGAAAATGCGAAAAGAATAAATTGATTCATTTATTTTTTTCTGATTTTTATTATTAATATATTCATTTCGCATTAATATTGTAATAAATGAAATGTTCATACATATTCAATTATTATGGATGTTATTACATTCTATTTGTGTGAAAATTGCTCGATAACGTATGATATTACATAATATTGGACAGAGTTTATTGAGAACAATCTAAAATTTATTGATATATTCTAAAGTTTATTGAGACAAATCTAAAACTTATTGATAAACTTTAAAGTTTATTGAGACAAATCTAAAACATATTGATAAACTTTAAAGTTTATTGAGACAAATCTAAAACTTATTGATAAACTTTAAAGTCTCACAATATTCATTGAAACTTATTGATAAATTCTAAAATCTTATGAGATTTCCTAAAGTTTATTGAGACAAATCTAAAATATTATAGAGACACGTTAGCCTCTCAACGAACCTCATAAGATTTTAGAATTGTCTCAAAATATTTTTTTTCATTTGCCTGAGTCTTCCGTGCGGTTCTCTTCTGGATGACGTGTGATCGAATGATGTCTCATTGAATTTGTGCCCGATATTGTTGAAAAATTCAGTATTTGATTGCAATTCTTGCATTCAGCCGAATTTTCCGTGAGCAAGGAATAGTCGACGTATTTACTTCCTAAAACTATCTAAAAAAAATGAAAAACATGAATCGAAAAATTTGAAAATTGAAAATCTGTTCATTTTTGCGTAATGTCTATTGCGGACTTCGCTACCGTAACGCGCAAAAATCAATTAAATCATTTTTTCCGAATATTTTTCGTTGTTATCCTGAAATTTACCTTTTTTTGCGGAACACGCAATACGGAAGACGGAGCACTTTTTTGACAGAGCATGGAACAGGAAAATGTCAGCTCTGGAGTCCACAACTACTTAATACATTAAGCAAATGATACTGTAATCCCAGAATGGTAATGAGAGGGAACAGAGCGGTATTTCTACAAAGGGGCGTGTCGGTCCAATGAGAAGAGAAGACTCCTCCCCCAGAATCATGCATTCCGGAAAAAAAACTAGCGACACTCCGGCATTTTTCTAATTTTTTATCAACGCTGGTTCTGCAATTTTGCGTCAAATTCGGTGTTTGACGCACATTTGCAGATTTCGAAATAATCGTTCGATTTGGGCGAAATTCCGCATTTTCAGCATATTCATTCCGCCCAATTCTGATTCCTCGCGTAAATCGACATATTGAGTGATTCGTTCGTGAGCAGAAAGTTTGAACATGATGACGTAAGTTTAATTTTTTTGTGAATTTCGCTCAAGATTTTTCAAAAATTTATTCAATTCAATCAAAGTGACGGCTCATGATGCTGTAGAGCAGAAATTAGCAATAAATCATGTGTATTTCAGGTTGCCATCGGGGAAAAAAAAGAAGACAGCAGAATGAGAAGGAGGAGCCAGAAAGTCGCAAAGAAGCAAAATTTGGAATGAGATGAGAAGGCGAATTCCTCAAACACCCGTTGTAGGTTTCTTTTAAATCTTTAAAAAACAATTTTTGATCTCTGAATTCGAATTCATCGTTCGAAAAAGGTGAACACGACCTCGCATAATTGCTCGCAGCCAATCTAGATGAAAGCTGATGGAATTTTGTTTCTGGAATGCCCGAATCAACACATTTGCGATATGATGCAATTTTTTTTCATAAGTTTTGTTTTTCTTCGAAAATTTGTGAAAATGATGAAAGAGAAAAGCGGTTCCTCAAATCTCGCTGAAGTTTCAACAAGGGGACCGCTTTTCAAAAAACTCATTCTCAATTTTTTTCAAATTTTGAAAAATCCAAATTAAATATCAAAATTGAACATCTAAATTTGAGTTGAATTAAAGTACGAACCCGCAAGCCAGTTTCTGAAACCAAATCGCATGCTCTGGTAGCTCAAAACCAATCGGATCCGAAAAATTTCGGCTCCGGAATCGATCCGATCCGATTGGAAATAAAAATTGTAAAATTGTCGGGTCCGATTCGAATTGAAAAATTAAAACAAAACGGATCGGATCCGACAATTTTCCACTTGGATAAGGTTGATTCCTGGTTTTTTTGAGTTATCAGAGTGATGCGCCTTGAATAATTGATTCAAAATTCTCATATCAATACCCAAATGTTAGTTTCAAAAATAATTAAATTGGTCCAAATTGCGAAAATATTTTTGACATTCATGTAGTGTTGCAACCAAAACACGGAAAAAATGCGACATTTGCAAGCGTATTTCGTTTTTTTTTTTCATTTGCAGTGATGTCAAACATTATTACGAATTCGATGGGAGGAAATAATACGAGCACATTTTTTTTTGAGAGCCCCCCAATTGTTGCCATTTGCTCATCGTCATGCTCATTCTTCTATTGGCCTTGATGATTTGCAATTCGCTTCAGGACATCGCAATTCAGAAGTGCTATCAGACGGTGGTAATTTTTTTGCAAACTTATAGTTTCGAACACGAGTTTTCAAACTCGCGCGCTTAGGTGGCCGCGTTGCGTGCGCGTCGCGGTCGGCGTCGTTTTTGAATGAAATTGCGTGGAAATGGTAGCAAATTGACATTTTCTGTTTAGAAATTGAAATTCGGTTTTTTAAAAGTAATTTTTTGATAAAAATTGATGTAAAAACTTATGCATGATTTTATTTTCGCACATCCCGATTTTTTTCTAAATTTTTGGTCAGCGGAGATTATTAGAAATCGTAAGACGATGAAACTCGCCAAATTTGGCATATCAATCGGCCGCCACGGCAATTGGAAATTCGAATTTTCTTAAAATCGAAATTTTCAGAGATTGCATTTGCGACAAATTTCAATCTACAGCGATTTGTGATCACAATAATCGGTTTTTTTTTCAGAAGCTTCAATCCTACGGAAATGTCACGTTTTTCAAAACTCTCGAATTCGGCGATAGCGTGATACTCAGTGGAACGACGACGAGCGCATTCACATTCGGCTTCTTCAATACAAGAAACGAGTACGAAATCTGGTATCGAAACGACTACAGTTCCAGAGTGAATTATACCACATATAACAATCGTACATTTCCGGTTTTGAATTGAAAGTCTCGAAATTGAGAAATTGATAATATTTAGGCGACATTCGAAATCGTGAACTTGCCAATGATGGAGACTGGCGAGACTTTTGTGCTAGAATTGCGCTATACAAAAATGGGCCTTAGGTTCTTCAAAAATGGAATCGACAAATCGTTTTATGCTCTATATATTGTGAATCTGAATCTCAATAAGATGTATGTGCAAGGCGTCAACAATTGTCAAGTTCATCTGTAATAACCCCCTATTCCAGAATTGTTTGTTGATTTTCTCGATTTTCAGCCAATGCTTATGTCGGACTCCAAAACGAACGAAGACACATTTGGAGTATTGCTTAAGACTTCGGGATTTCAATGCGAAAACGTTTTGATTTTTTTTTGAATCCCTTGGCAAAATTCGTGTTTTTGTTTTCAAGAAATTTAAAAAATTAATTTTAATTTTTGCCGTCATGCTTATGTGGCCTAGAAAATCTGTCCTGAAATTTTTGGGTCGGCCACGGCCACGCTTGAATAGTTTGTTTGTATTAAAATAAATATTTCATTTTAAGTCTATCAAAATGCAAGAGTGCAATGTTCATGATAATAAAATCTTAGTTGAACTCCTCGCTCAAATATGGCCGAGGTTGAGTTTGTCTTCCACACGAACGAAAATGCATTTAAATCATCTGCAAAAAACGAACCCGAGAAACACGGTTTCTAGTGAGCTTGATTCGCCGGTCCCACACAACATCCTGGTGTCGAAAATTGATTTATAAAAAACGATGGTCCCTTCGCCCACAAATAAAGAATTCTCTTTAAAAATTGTTCCAATTATTCAATGTTGCAAGCAAAAAAAAAACAACAACATAGATCATTGAATCTTGGTTTTTTCGCTGATGTCAAACATTATTACGAATTCGATGGGAGGAAATAATACGAGCACATTTTTTGTTTTTTTTTTTTTGAGAGCCCCCCAATTGTTGCCATTTGCTCATCGTCATGCTCATTCTTCTATTGGCCTTGATGATTTGCTATTCGCTTCAGGAAATCGCAATTCAGAAGTGCTATCAGACGGTGGTAATAATTATCATTCGAAAAGCTGAAAATTTCGAGTCTTCACCATTTGATTGGACGTCAAATTCTGAATCTAGTGGTGCAGATTTCATTTTGATCCATCAACATTACGATGAGTTTAAGCTCCGAGTGTCGAAGAGCCCCAAATTCTTCATTTTGAGCATAACTACTTGAGCTCGGTTCGAAAAAAGCGTTTCTGTAAAAGTTATTGGCATTCTCATAGAAAATCCAATTTTCGACTACCATTCGTGAGACGAAAATCGCAAAATTATTAAAAATCTTGAATTTCATCGATTCTCTTCGCAATTTTTTGAATTCATCTAAAAATTCAATTAATTTAATTCTCTTTCATATATTTAATGTGTTTTTAAAAGAAATCGGCAATATTTTCATAAAAAATATTCACAAAAAATCAATTGGCGGACGTCAAATGTGTGATGGCCGAACAATTCGCGGCCGCGGCCGCCCCCAACAAAATTTTTCATTTTATTTTAACTTTTCACTTTTAATAGTTGGTTTTCTATAATTGTTTTTGTGTTTTCAATAAAAATGAAAAAAAAAATATTTTTTTTTGAATACATCATTCCTTTTTGCTCATTAGATCGTATAGCATCCAATTATTCGAGCTTTTTGTTGTCTCCCATTTGGAAATATAAACGTTTCCTATGGACACAATAAGTGGCCAGAGTTGGGCGAATTCCGCCAATTTTTGCAAAATTATTCACCAACGCGAATTCTGAACATTTGCGTCAAATTCGGTGTTCGACTCCCAATTTCAATCTGCGACGATTCATCATCATTCCATTTCAGGCGGTGCAATCCAACGAGAATGTCACGTTTTTCAAAATTCTCGAAGACAACGATGGTGTGATGATCAGTGGAACTGCGACGAGTGCGTTCACCGTCGGCTTCTACAACGCCAAAGACGAAAACGAAATCTGGTACGAGAACGACTACATGGGCCTCGTTCGCTATGTCACATTCAACAATCATTCATTTCCGGTATGAATTGGATCGAATCGAGAATTTGTTAATTATTCTTTTTTTTTAAATTTCTAGCGTCATGATAAATTCGAGGACGTTCCATTGATAAATCCTGGCGAGACTTTTATGCTTGAATTGCGCTATTCAAATTAGGGCATGCTTTTCTACAAGAATGGAATCGACCAAATGTGGTTTATAGACGTTACTGAGAATATCAAGAAGATGTATGTGCAAGGCGTCGACAATTGTCAAGTTCATCTGTAATAACCCCCCATTCTAGAATTTTTTGATGATTTTCTCGATTTTCAGCCATTGCTATTGTCGGGCTCCAACACGAACGAAGACGCATTTGGAGTATTGCATGAGACTTCGGGATTTCAATGCGAACACGTTTTAAATTAACGATTTGCCATTTTTTCGCTCCCTTGGCAATATTGGTTGTTTTTTTCCAGAAAGTTTAAATTACATTTGCATTGCTTAGAAAAAAATTTTTATGGCCTAGAAAAATTGTTCTAAAAATTAGGGTCGGCCACGGCCACGCTCAAAAGAAAAAATATTAAAATAAAAGTCGCAATTTTGTTGAAATAAAGCGAGAATCATTATATTTTTATTTCTTTCCAAAGAGATTCAATCAAAATCGAATATAAATTAATCTGTTTCGAACTATTCCACAATTTGAGAATTATTTTTGGGATCCAATTAGTCTTCGCAAAAAAACAGACAATACGTCAAAAATTATACAAATCTCTAATGTTTAAATCCGGATTTGAATATTCGAAAAGAAATGATGGTCCCTTCTCATACAAATAAAGAATTTTCATTCAACCTGCTATTGCTTTTTTAATATTGCAAAGGAAACCGGAAGAAAAAGCAGCAAGCTTATTTCATTTATTCTGCGTTTTGCTTTTCTTTTTTTTTCAAACATGACGAATTTGCTGAGAAAAATACTAAACAAATTTTTTGAGTGCCCCTCAATTGTTGCCATTTGCTCATCGTCATTTTTTTTCATTTTTTAAAAAATCGAAATTTGCAGATTGCTAGAAATGCAATGAATCGATTTTCTGTGAAAATCTCGAAATTTAAAAAATTAGACGTAAGCGAAACTGCGTACATTACATTATACCGCACGCGCATTCACAATAAATTTAAATTTACAGCGATTTGCCATCACAATAATCGTTTTTTTTAGAAATTGAATTCTTCATTTTTTTAAGAAAAAAAAAAGATGTGTTATGCTCTTGTTCATTAAAATATTGTTATCATGGTCTTACATGTAAATTCCAAGAAAGAAAAATGCTTTTCTGATACCCAACATTATGAATTTGTCATTTCCTTCAGGAAAAAATTCGAAAATTTCCGTTTGACTCCAACGAGCGTTGCAAACGCGCTCCATCGTACATAAAAAAACGACGTTGTTTTTTCGCATGCAATTCGCGTTTCAGCACAAATGTCCGGCTACGACGGCTTCGACAAACCCAAACAGAAGACGGAACTCAATCAGGAGCAGCTTCACGCTCTACTCAACAAGTTGTCAAGCGATGAGCAGAAGGAGTTGACCGATATGATGCGCAATTGCACAACGGAGGTAAATGCGCGAATTTTGTCGCAAATTTTCGGCGATTTTCAGGTGACCACCACTCGCGGAGTTCCCATCACGGCGGCCGTTCTCGGCTCATTGTATTTCGCGCGAACTCGATTGCCGAAACAGTATCATTTCGGGCCGAAAGGTTGGCCATTTTACGCAATCATGGGTGTGGCGTAAGAAGACACAAAAAGCGGATTATTGAGTTTGCAAAATGTTGTAGAAGCTTGACGGCGACGAATATGCTTTTCATGGGAATGTGCCGCGACAAAATCCAGCCACGTGTTCAGCAATTATGGCAAAAGTATAATCTTGGAGCAACGCATACAAGCTATGATGAGATTCGGCGGCAGAATCGAGAAGGCAAAATGCCGGCGAGCAAGTCGTATGACGAGGTCAATTCCATTTTTGATTCATTTTTAGTTTTATAACGCTGCGAACAATTGCAGAAGCTTCCCGAACCTGCCATATATGATTCGAAAGTGGATACGTATGATCCATACTCGATGGCTTATCAGCCGCTGGCCGATACCACTGGATTCTCGTCGTCGATTCCAGACGACGGCTTCTCAAGACCATCTCAGCCAAAGCGCGGAGGACCGCCACCATCATTCCTTTATGGGGATGACGCTTCATTCATGTCGGGAACACCATCGGGACCATCTCGAAAATCCTCAGATTTCTCTTGAACGTGTTTTTATTTGTATAGGAGTCGATTAGAGCACAAACGTTGTGGATTTAATAAATCGATTATTTTATTGAAAAAATTGAAAACTAATATGCTTACAATTATGATTTTGGCAATTTTTGCTGAAGAAATGGGAACAGTTTCTGGAAAATCTCGATGAGCAACGCGGCGCGGCACGAGTTGCTAAGCATGCGAAACTCGTCGGACTCGATGAACTTCATAATCGTTCTTCGGTCCATCGCCTCGATTTTGTCGTTGTCGAGCTCCTCTTTTCCATACAAATCGGACCATTGAAGGCTGCGCGGCACATCGAACGAAATCGCCCAAATGAGATAATCCTCGCATTTCTTCAACACATGATCCATTCGGAATTGTTCAGCCATCTTCATCAATTTCTGATAATTATTGTCTAGAATTAGTTAATTAACAAAGATAATTGACGAATTAATTGGATTACATTGAACTTCGACACCGGACGGCAAAATCACGTTGTGAAGGAGAATGAAGTCGTCAAACCCTACATCATTCAACACGAATTCTTCTTGTTCCGGATGATCGGTGAACAATTTTCGAAATATTGGGCTATGAACTGACAGGTACTGAAATTTTTCAAAATTGAAGCATTCGAAAGAAAATTGGGCAGTTTTACCGTTTTGTTCGATATCAGACGCTTCTTTCCGATTATTAAAACCACGTCGCCGAGAATTGGAAAAGTTTTGAATGGATCGAAAATCTCGGTGAGCCCGGTTGCCCAATAAATGCGAACGCCGGCGCGAATCACCAAATGGACACCAGATCTGGAATTATTAGGCAATTAAGATAAATAATAATAATATATAATTGCCCCTGTCGAAAAGAGCGTATGATTTTGAGAGACGGAGACATTAATTTTTTAGATTTCAAATCGAGATTTTTCGCGCCACACATTTTCGCCACGTGATATCGCCCATGCGCCACCACGTGCGCCTTTAATAGAGCAATTCTGTTGTGGGGGAAATTTTTTATTTTATTTTTGAATTTTTTTCCATAACGGTCTAATTTCAGAACTTACAATTTTCGCGAATATTCGAGATTTTTCGAATTGTCCTTGTCGCTGAATTGCCATTGTCCGATGCAGTGTTTGTAACTGGCGAGCTCGTTCGAGCGTTTCGATATAATTTTCATGTCAATTTTCGCCTCGCACTCCCACTTCTTTCCCTCGTCGTTACTGCATTCGATTTTCGCCGACAACGTCGGCGGCTCATTGTTGGATGAATGATTGAAACCAAGTATGAAACTCCTAGAAAATAATTTTTGGAATTACACTCACAATCAGGTAAATGAAAATCAATCAGATTCGAAAATAATTTATTTTTCAACCTAAATCGAATGTAAAATAATCTGTTTCGAATTATTCCAAAATTTCAATCGAACTCGATTTCAAAATTGAAAATTCTAAATAAATCAATCGATTTCGAAGATTTTTGAATCGAAACCAAGATTTCAAATCTAATTTAAGCGTTTTCTCAATCGAATTTGAATTATTTTTCAATCGAAACAGGTTAATTTATATTTAATTTTTCTTCGAATCCGATTGATTTTCATTTACCTGAGTATGGGAGAGAAAGAGAGATGAAATAAAATGAAATTTACGTACCATAATAAATTGAAGACTCGGAGATCCAATGAGATTTGCTTCGGATGCTTACGAACATCGATGAACTCGAAGCTAAATGTTTCGTGGGCGCTGGTGAGATAATCGTACGAGTATTGGCTCATCGCGCGATATATTGAATATGCAATGTGTAATGAGCAAGTAAGTTGTGGCGTGTTTTCTATCGCATCATTCCCCCCCCCCCACCGTTGAGCCTTTCGCAACATTCCCCAAATTGAGCACGCTAGGCGGGAACGTTGTGATTTATAATGGTATTGTCTTTGTTTGATAAGAAGAATGGGGGAAAATTATTATTTTCATGCACGACACTATAGAGTTCAAAGATGCCGGCACCGAGACGCCAAAAGTCACTAGAAATTTGAATTGAAATTTTTGCATTAGTTTTTTTTTGAGTTAGATTTAGTTGTAAATCGTGCGTTTTCCAATGAAACCGAACAAAGCTTAATTCATTACGCTTCAACTTTTCAGCATTACACAATAAAAACCGGATTCGCCGAGGAACCGCCTCGCGGGGGTGAGAATTGTAACATTTGATCAACATGGCGAAAAAATCAGTTATCGCCCGATAAACATCATGGTTGTTGCGGCGTCGAAATGGGACACGTTGGCGTTTGGCGTCTCATTGGCGTGCCTATCGGCTGGCTGCGTTTTGTTGGTGTCGCTGTTCACGTGGCAGGCGCAAGTCGAGCAGCTCGCCAACTTCGCCAATGAGGAGACGCAGCTTTTCCAGGTGAATTGCGATTTTTTTTGCTGAATTTTGATTTTTTTTGCTTCAGGAGACTTCTGAAAAGATTTGGGATGAATTAGTGTTTATTGCGACTGGTGAACCCGATAGGCATAAACGCCATGCTTGTAAGAGTTCTGACTTCCGATGACATTATTTTTCTATATTTTCAGATTACACAAGCAATCCGAACCTTCCGGTATTGCGAACCGGCGCTTGTAAGCAATTCTAATTAAGCTCCAAAATTCTAGGCTAATTTCAGCTGGCCGATCATTCTCCACCGGCGCTTGCCGCTGTCCACCGGGTCCACCGGGACCACCCGGATTCGATGGGGTTCCCGGACTCGACGGCGAGCCGGGCTTGCCTGGCGCCAATGGCGACGATGATGTTTCGGTGGTTCGTCACGATCCGGGACGTTGCGCGCAATGTCCAGCCGGACCACAAGGCCCGCCGGGACCACGCGGTCAACCGGGACCACAAGGTGCGCCGGGACAGCCGGGCTTCGACGGTCGACCGGGAGCGATCGGAATTCCCGGCGAGCAGGGCGCAGACGGCTATCCGGGACCCATCGGTGAGCCCGGCGAGCCGGGACCACCGGGAAAACCGGGACGAGACGGCGTTCGCCATCGCGCGGTGCCTGGAAAACCGGGACCACCAGGCGAGCCGGGAATCGCCGGCCCGACAGGTCCGCCGGGCAATCCCGGAATGCGCGGAGCCGTCGGAGAAGTTGGACCACAAGGACCGTCGGGACGAAACGGCGCTCAAGGACCCGACGGACAGCCGGGAAGTGTAAGAAATCGTACCATATTGTCAATGTGATTATTTTCTATTTCTTTTTTGCAGAACGGACAACCCGGAGTTCGAGGAGTCGACGGAGAATACTGCCCGTGTCCGCCAGAACTCAACAAAGTTTAATTGTCGAATACGATTTTTTTCTCGTGCCAATAAGATTTGATCTAATAATCGTGTTCACTGAGTTTCAAATATTTGCGGTCTTCTAATCGTTTCAAAAAATCAGAGCCAATTTTCGTAGAACTATAAAATCGACAAACTATAGCAAAATGCGCACACCTGTTGCGCAATGGGACGCTTTCAATTAGCGAAGAGAGTGTGCGCATTGAAGAGACGACGACGATGAGCCCAAGTTGGGCGTCCGAGAATCATTCGGTTTGTGGTGTTTTCAAAAAAAAACAACAATTTTTGGTCCCCCATGAGCAAATTTTGTTCGGATTATTTGAGCGAGTTCGCCACACAAGCGCGAATCCCATTCCATCTGAATGGAATGCCCAACTATGAGCATCAGATTCCGCTCGTCACCCGCATCAACAATTTGTCATGGTTTGTCGTTTTTGTTTATAATCAATTATAATTTTTCTATTGTAGGCGAATCATTTTGAAATTCGACAAGAAGCTTCCGGCCAAATTGGACTTTGACATTTCGATCTCGTGCGGTGCCGATGGCTCGACGAGCTGGGAGCTGCGTGCGAATGTGATGATACGAATGCTCGTCGGCCGTCAAGAGCCGCTCGAGTTTCAATATCGATTCGGTGTGCTCAAATTCGATCAGCACTGCCGGCAGTGTCGATTCAACGATTTCCGGATCAACGATCGACGGTACGCGCGCGCGCGCGCGAGCCGCAACGCGTCCGACGACATTGTAAACTTTTGAGTTTTCCAGCGACGAATCGATGGCGAATGGCGAGATTTGTGTGCAAGTGGTGTCGACGAAAGGCATCAATGTGCCGCCGATCATCGATCCGTTCAAGAGGTCGCCGGAACTCGGCGACGTCGTCCTGAAAATCGCCGACAATTCCGTGTTGGCCAACCGAAAAGTTTGCGTGTGAACGAGAGAAAAAGAAACGACGAACGTGTGATTTCAGTTTTTGTCGATTCACTCGCCGATCTTCCGCCAAATGTTCGCCGCGTCCGACAGCCGAACGATCTACGAGCTCGACGATGTCAATTTTCACGATTTTGTCACTGTGTTGAATTTGATTCACGTCATCGGCGGTTACATAACAGGTCGATTAGTCGAAAACGATTGCGACAATCCATGGTTTTTTTTGCAGACCATAATGTTGAGGGCCTTCTGATTTTGGCGCGACGATTCGAATTCGGCTTCATTCGCCGAAAATGCGAGGAGTATCTGTTGGCGACGATCGAGAATGACGCGATTTCGCGCATCGTGTGGGCCGACCGATTCGGATTCGGACGCCTTCTGGCCGAATCGATCGACAAGATGAAGGAGAAGGCGGGCGCCGCATTCAAAGAGACCATGGAGTTCCAGACGCTCAGCTCGCATTGTCGCCTGTTGTTTCTCGACGAGCTGGTCAACAAGATGTTGTATAAATTGTCTCTAAATGATTAATAATCGAATAAATAGCCTAGTTAGGGAATCTTGCATTTTCTAATTAATACGTTTTCCGAAAATTTCAAGAAAAATAGAAGTAGGAATCGATTACAACACTCCGCGTTGCCCGCAGTTTATCGTATTTCGAATTGCGGTGTAGTACACAATCACGCAATATTACGCTGTTTTTTTTTCATGTTTGCTTGACATTGAGCAAATGCAGATAATTTGTCGACGCATATTTGAAATATTATACTGAATGAAAGTAAAAAAAAATTAAATAAAATTTTTAAATATGAATTTTAGTTGATTAAAGCACGGGAAGCCACGTCTAATTATGTTTCGATCCAGTAGTGCTCATCAGAGCACCAATTATGATCAAATCACCTTCTATAAATCAATTGGATGTCACGAAATGGATCAAGAGCTTAATAATTCCCATTTTTTCCATTTAAATAATCGCAATAATCAAAAAACGCCCCGAAAATTGTTGATGTGATGCTTCTATTTTATGCTTCGCGCCAACGGAAATGAAATGTTTATCGATTTCAGCGCGAAGCCATGCAATTTTGGCAGCATTCCGACACTCATTTGCTCGCCGAAATTTTTCGGCTTTCGATTCTGTTGCGGGACCCAGCTAATCATAATTGAACCCGATTTCCACAATAGATTCTAGTGAGCAGCTGATAAAACCTTCCATTTTTTTCTCTCATGGATAAAATCTCGTAGATTTCCACAATTCAATTCAGTTTTCACTAATTAAATGCCACAAAAAATGGTTTTTGAAATGATTTTGCCCAAATGTGTGCAAACACGCAGCATCAACTCTGCGGACTTGCCATTTTCAAAAATAATATTCGTCAATTTTTAAGCTTTTCTAAAAATAATAATAATAATAATAAACGAGCCACAAATTCCTCCGCTATGACGAAAATGAGGCTCAAATTGTCGGCCAATTTGTACTCTCAATAAAACGCCATATAAGGTATAAGAATATTGACAAGCATTCATTCCCCCATTCCACAAAACTAAACTAAACACACATATGTATAGTTATCCATATACTATGTGTATATGGCTAATTGCTAGTGGCTACTTAATCTATGCGTTGCATAGCTAGCGGATTAGTCGCTCTTTGTTGTTGTCCTCACCAATATCTCCATATATTGTGTGTGTGAGAGCTCCAGCATATTATATATATCAATTTCCACCTGCTCGGCTTAAGCCCCCCGATTGGGACCATTAAAGCCTTTGTTGATTTTCTCACAATTTTCACCTGGTCTCTTTTTTCCGACTATCACGTGTCTTTTACCAATTTCAGCGAGCAATCAATTTTTCCGAAAATCCCATTCTATTTCATTTTTTTTTAAATAATTCCAAATTTGAATTTTAATCGATTTATAATTCCAACAAACGTGCCAATTATCACCAATCTCTCTCTCTCTTTCGGTTTCTCTCATTTATCAATAATGCCCACCAAGGCGTCGTTCCAGGTGTCGCCAATTGTATGAGCCTGGATCGCGGCGATCGTGTCATTGTGATGATGTTGCGCTCATTGTGTGGCTGCTCGAATCGCTCAAAAGTCGGCGACGGCGTCGAGCAAATCTCGGCGAACGCCGAAAAATCGGCGAATGTTTTTCAGCAAAACTTTTTTTCCACACAATTCCGCCTTTTCAGGTTTTTCTCGTTTGCACTCAAAGCATGCTGCAGCGCTCGTTGATCGGCAAACTCACGTCGACGATGGAGCAACGCTGTGTGATGCCCGTCAAAATGCAGCTAATCAAACCAACGGCCGACAAAATTCAGGTGTGGTGTTGCGTCGCGGTGAACACACAATGCATCACAATTGACGACAATTGTCATTTTTTTTCGCATGTTTTTTTTTTGCAGAACTCCCATTTGCTGAAAATTGAGAAGAAACACGAAATCGCCGAAGAAGCTTGGATGGTTTTCGTGTTCAGCGGCAAAGATTGCCAAAAAAGGGTGTCGGAGGGCGTTAAAGAGCTCCGAGCGCTCTACTCATTGGAAAAACGCGATATTTATTTCACCGATAGTGCGACAACGTGTGCTCACGAGGAGCACATTTGGTTCTCGCCGTAAGTGTCGATATTTTCAACAAAATCATAATTATATCGAATTGAATCAATTTAGCGACGAAGTTGCCGTAAACGGCGAAGTTGCTCCAGCTCCCGATGAGCCGAAACCAACAACCAGCGAGCCGGAGCCCGTCGAAGCGCCAATAGCAGCGGATAACGACGAAAAAGTGGGAAACGGCGAAGAAATCATCGAAAAACCATCGGAAAATGTCGAAACAAATGAAGGTGCCAAAAAATGTTTTTTTTTCGCCATCGAAATCGAAATGCTTCCGCAATTTCGCGTCACCGTGTTGACACACCTCTCAAATTACCGTACTCAAAAATTATTGATTTTTTTCCAGTTCCCCTCGAGATTGCCGAGAATCCCGAAAATCCCGGAGATGGCGCAACGACCGAAGTGATCAGCAACACCGCCGAAATTCTCGACGAACACCGCCAATCGCCAAAACCAATTGAGGCGTGAACACAAAAAAAAAATTTAAAAATGCCTCGACAACTTCGTCTCAGGACAAAAATTCGCCAATAATCCAATTCTCGCCGTTGGTTGTTTTTTTCTCTTCAAAATTTATTCGAAAAATTTGTAAAGCTTGAAGCCAAAATAAAAATAAATAAATGTATATATATATATATATCAATATCAATTAGTTGAATTAGGCAAATTTCAGCGCTCGCGTCGCTTTCGATTTGTTCAATTGCGGCGAAAATGGTCTCGACGCGAATTTCGCGCTCATACTGTCCGACGCCATCGAAAGCGCCGCTTTTTGCGCCTCCTCGATTCGCGCTCGTTGCTCGTTCGCCGCTTTTTCGGCGCTCGCGAGCTGCTCGCGCACAATTTCCGACAGCTCCTCATAATTGTTGTCAATCAATTGAAAATATCTGGAAGCGAATAATCAATTTTCCAACATTTTCCTCAATTTTTTTTTCAACCTTTTGCCCATCACGTTCGCCTCGATCGCATAATTCGGAGCAATCTGGCAAAGAAACTCAAGGTGTGCAATGACTTCGGCTGAAACCAAATCTCTCTTTTTCTCAAACAAAAAAAAAAAATCGACAAAATATTTTCAACGTACGTTTCGACGTCGGTATTTGCGCGCTGAACACCAATTTCTCGGCGACAACGTCCATTTCCATACTTCTCGCTTTTTTCGATGCGAACAGACTACAAATTGTCCGCAGATAGCGTGTGTCGAGCATTGTGAGACGCGATTTTCGCAATTTCACCTTCTCGTCAACACAATTCTCGGCCGCTTTACGGCACGCCTCTTTCGCGCGAATCTACAAAAGATAAATGAAAATGAACCATTTGCCGTCGTCCATTTATTTACCCGCTCCAAAAGTGTCATTGCTCCTTTGCTCTTCTGCTCGTTTTTCAACTCGGCGAATTTTTTCGGCGACAACGGAATCGACGAACCGCCGTCGACCTTCTTCATGGGACTCTTCAACCCATCGATCGCCTTCTGGACCATCGAAGGCAATTGGATTTCCACGTCCGCCGAATTCTCTTCAACGTACTCGCGCATGCCGATGTGACGATTATTTTTGACAATCGGCGGCTCGGGAAGCGCCTTCTAAACTAGAATGTTGAAGATCGAGCCAAAAACGAGATTCTCTATTAACCTGCTCAAGTGGCGGACAATGCTCTTCGACTCTAAACAACGGATGAAGACGCTTATGCGTCGAGCTCAATTTCACTGCAAAAAAGAAACCAAAGCATCAATTCAATTGAAACAAAAAAAACACCCGCTTACATCCTTGCTTCTCCAAAAACGCTTCATAATGAGTTTTGACGATCTCAATCAATTTGTGCTTGAACACATGCGCGCGATCTCTCATTCTCGCCGCATCCAGTCGCGTTCGCACGTCAATTTCCGGTCGACGAAGTGCCGGCTGCGCGGGTCCGCCTTTTCGCGGGCTTTTCATCGGCGAAGCCATCAATTTGCCGGATCGCACCAACGGCAAATCCGTCGCAGTCGCCGGCGATTCGTCTTTGACGAATCCTTTCAAGTCGTCAACGAGATTCGGCATCACCGTCAGCTCGTATTTTCCCGTTTGCGCACCGCCGAACGCCTTCCATTGTTGGCGCATTTCAACGTTGTATGATTGCGGATAAACGTGAAGTAGTTGCGATAAATGGCGTGTCGAAAAATCCCTGAGAATAATTTCCAAAAAAAAAATTGTTGAAATGCAAACAACTCACTTTTGCATTGTGTTCTTGACATTCTTGAACAGCTCATTCGCCACACACGTACGATTCTGATTAGTTATTATCGATACAATCTGAAATCGTTGAAATTTTTATTATATCATTAAAAAATATCGCGAAAAAAACAATTTTCAAAAATAATCCGCAGAGTATCGTGCTCGGTGTATGCACATTTGCACCACACTTGACGACATTATTTAACTACAGTAATACACAAATAAAATTTCTTACCCGATCAACGTGCTGAAACGCGCTGTAAATATGTTCGTAGCTTCTCGGAAGCTCGATTCCGCTTTTTAGGCTCTCCTTCACCTCATCGCTGAGCCGCGACACCTTGAGAATGTCGGCAGCTCGCCGTTGAATCTCATTCTCGTGCTCCACGTCGAGCTCGTCGCGCATTTTCTCCGCCGATTTCTGGGCTTGATAGCCGGGCATAATGTAATCGGGCACCGGCGCCAGTCGTCGTTTCGCCGGCGACACCGCGCTCGTCTCGCCGACCGCCGCGTTTTTCGTCGGCGATTTGAGGAGTTCGGCGTGCTCGTCGACGCGTTTCGCTTTGTGCTTCAAATTTTGCGCGTGAATCGCGCGCGTCGTCGCGCCTTTTTCGGCCAATCGCGCCTGCAAATCGGCCACCGTTCGGATTTTCGTCGGTTTTTTCGCCGTCGTCGTCGGCGCCGCCGCCTCGATCAGCTCATCGATCGCCGATTTCGACGACGCCGCGATCGCCGGAGTTTCGTCGTCTCGCTGCTTTTTCGGCGGTGTTCCAGTGAGCTCGGCGGGAAGTTGACGAGACGGTGTTCGAGTCCGACTACGAGTCTTCTTCTCGAATAATGGAGCTGGAGGAGCTTCAATTCGAGTTGGTTGAGCTTCTACTTCAGTTTGAGGCGCTTCTTCGACTTTCACCACCTTTTTAGAGCGAGTTTGACGAGTTTCCTAAAAAATGAATTTATATAACATAGATTTATATTATTAGATTTATAGATACTATGCATATTTTAAAATCCCGTATGAAAATTGCAGAAAACTACTTTTCATCTGGTTTTTTAAAAATCTACATAATTTCATTATTTCTTTATTTTTTTTTTAAATTTAAAATTCATACTTGTTTCACTGGCGGCTCTTCAATCACCTTCTTCTCGCTTCTCGTTCGTCCTTTCCTAGTCTCCTAAAAACAACCCAATTTTTAATCAAATAATTCAAAAAATTTCGTGCGAAACCTTGAAATAATCCTTAACCAGTGTCTGAGCGGCTTCATTTGTTTTCGATCGTGTACTCCTAGTGGACATGACAAGAAAAAAACCTGAAAATTGACTTAAAATCAATAAAACGCCATTAAGACACACTATAGGAATGTGTCAAATTCAAACGCCGCGATTTCCCGCAAAAGCGTGCCTAGTGTGCGATGGGGCGCGTTTGCCCCACCAAAATTGCGACAATTCGAGTATTCGAGCCCAATTCTCGTCAAATCAGCTCACAATTAAAAACACCACCAAAAAAGCGAATATGGAAAATTTATTTGTACAAAAATTGTTGTCAATTATTTTTGAATTTTGGTTTTCGGCGGCTTAAACGATGCTCCGCGCATGGTTTTCCCTTTCTCCTCTTTTCGCGCTTTTTTCGCCTGAAAATTTCGCCAACTGCCCGAACGCTCGTCGCGCGACTCCTCATAATTCTTTGCAAACTCCTCGGCGAGTTTGCGCTTCTCCGCCGCCGCCGCCATCGCTTCTGTCGCGCGACGCCTTGAAAAAAAATTGCAAATTTGATTTTTTCCCTCACAATTATTTTTTTTTCCTACTTCTCATCATTGGCGCGCTCTTCCAGCATTTTTCTCTTCTTTTCCCGATCGGCAAACACCTGAGAAAAATTCTTTTAATTAATTAATTTATAATAATAATTACCTTGGTTACAGTGACCCAAAGCGCTTTTTTATAGCCTTCCGGCTCATCTTCTGCAATTTTGTCCTCTTTTCCCTCTTTTCTCAGCTTCCTCTTCTTTTCAGACATCTCAAAAGAAATAATGATTGAAATAAATCTCCAAAAAAGGTTCCTACCACAATCGCGAGTCGAGCCTTCGCTTCAGTATAGCAATCTTTACATCGATTGATCTCAATGGGGTCCTCCAATTGTTTAATGGCTTTTTTAACAACTAGAAAAAACCCGCGAAAAAATTGGTGCTTCTTGAAATTTGACACTCACTATCAAACGCCTGATCGGCTCGATCGCGATCATCGGGATTCTTATCAGGATGCACCAGCAGCGACAATTTCTTGTACTTCTTCTTCGCCGCCTCCAAATCGGTGTCCGGATCGATTTGGAGCACTTCGAACGGATTCAAATTCAGATATGTCGAGCCGGGACGAAGGAGCCGATCGATTTGCTGCTCGCTGGTCAACACCGAATCCGCGTTCTCCGTCGATTTCAACTGCAATATTTTCATCTCTTTTTCTTTCTCGTCCTCCCATCAAAAATAACTCACATCTTGATAAAACGATTCAAACGCGGCCATTTTTCTCTGGAAATCAATCAATAAAAAAATAAAAATCTATAAATTCAAATAATTCCGAGTGGGAAATTACACATAGCATCATCAAAAGCCTCCAAAATAAAATTGTACATTTATTTACAAAATTATTAGTAAATTTCAAATTGAAGCCTATCCAAATGCGGTTGAAGCTCTTCAATAGAAAGAAGTAGGCGAAAACGAAGCGCCGAGCATAGTGGAAGCTCATACGACAATATTTCCTCTTTCGGCTCACGCAATTGCTCAGAAGCTCTCTGAAACATTGACAATTCAAAATATTCCAACAAAAAAATTCTTCTCACATCGATATAAGCTTTAATCGCCGATTTACTATAATCATTGATTTTCATCGCCACCAAAACGCTGACGCCAGCAACACATTTTCGATTATTCTTCGAAATTTGACCCTAAACAATTATTTTTCGGATAATAATATGCAAAAAACCATAATTCTCACCTTTGTCACGACTTTTTCAAAATATGCATAGGCAATCGCCAATGTCAAATAATCAATATTATGTTGGATTGCCAATTCAAGCATTTCGCGCTTCAAACTCTTCAATTTGCTCAATGTCAGATGAATATGCGGATGTTTCTCGACGAAATTCTCATTCATCACACTTTTCGCGCGTTCTGGCGCCTCGTAATGAATAGTGCTTCCCTAAATTGCAAACAAATTTAGTTTCAATTTGAAATTTTGGAACAAAAAAATTTAATTCGTTGCGAAAAAAATGCGATACGTGATATTGCGTCGCGGTGTTTGCACACAATTTCGCGCGCTACAGTACATTTAGTTCAAATTTTCGAGTTTTTTTTTTTCAAAAAAAAAAAACAAAAATAATTTGAAAAAAAAAGACAAGTTTGATCCATTCCCCTTCTTTTTAAATAAAAATTCACTAACAATAAACCCATTTAATCGAATAATCGTCCGTTTTCCAATAATGAGCTCATCAAAAACTTTCGGATCATATTCTTCAATAACTTCCGCATCATTCTCATCATAATCCAATGATGTGCCTTCAAAATTCCAATAGTTCGTCGCTTGACAAAAAGAAAAAGCCAACCTCGTTCGCAATTCTCGCGAACAATTTGCGGAATGTCGGGAATCTCGCCGGTCGTTGGCGGCTCATCGATGAAATCAACGCGTTGACTGCTCTCCTAAATATGGTCAATCAATTCAACATTGGCGAGTCTCGATATCGAACGCGTCGATCGCGTTTCGCCAAAATCGCGCTCGGCTTCTCGAATAGTGTGAAGAACGGCGACGGATTGCGTTTTCGGCGCATTTGCGACAAACTGATGTGATCCTCGGGATCCTTGAACACAAACGGGCGGAGTTCTTCAATCGATCCGGTGCCGAAATGATTTCGAACGCGATCCGAACTAAATTTCACAATTTCTATGTATATTTTGAATCACTAATATTAATATGCACATATTTTTTCGAAAATCGCTAGTCGATGGGAAGAAAAACGCGTTAAAATACCTTCCAAATATGGATTTCGCTCGTTTATTCCTCATTCGATTCGGCAATGGTCCGAATAATCCTGGACTAAACGGATCGACGTAATCGGATCCACTAGGTAGGTACGAGAACACGGCTAGAGGGACACGAGTCACATCCGAACATATATAATACCTGGAATCGAGGGTTAAACGAGAAACAATTGTTAAAAAACTGAAAAAAGAAGAAACACGCCAAAAATGAATTGATTTTTTGAAGAATAACGCCCTTACCTATCATTATGCGTAATTGTGCTTTTCAGCCTTCGAAGAAACCCGAATTGATTAGAAGATGGCGATTCCGCGCGCCATTCTACGAAAAAAAATTGCATAATTAATCAATTTTCCAATTAAAAATTACCCAATTCTTCTGTGAAATGATCGAGAATTGGCGTTTTACTACTAGTTGGCGTCATTTCCATTAGAACCTCCTCGTTATTCACAATTTTGGCGATTCTTTTGAATATTGATGGCCTAAAATTGACGGAAAATTCGAATTTTTTAACAATTTTTCGCAATTTTACTTTTTTGGCGTGAAATTATCCGACGAGTCGTTTGGCTTTGGGCTCTGAAATTATTTTACTTTTTTTTTAAATAATTTTTTTTCAATTTCTCAAACCTGTCTTGACATCAATGATCCTATAGTTCCAATCGATATTGCTGATTCATTTGGCTTCATGATTTGCTGTGAGCATTCGTCGGAATTCTTGAAATCCATTGACGATTTCGATTTTTGAGCAATCGAAAATTTTTTGCCGCCAAATAATCGATTTGTGTCGCTATTATCGCCGCCGACGCGTATGTTGGATAGAAAATTCTGCGCCACAAGAATGTGATAGTCGCTTTTCGAGCGAACCATCTGAAAAACGCCATAATTGGTTTGAGATTGTCAAGAAATATCGAGAAAATTGAATTTTTCTCAGCGGTACGGTGCGCAAAAAATGTGTGGATGCGCGTAGGATTTGGTGCATGCGGTGTAACACCGAGCGCGTTCTTTCAAAAAATTTATGCGATTTTCGAAAATCCTCATTTTCCGTTTTTTCATTTACCGTTTTTCAGCTTTATCGTTTATATTCAATTGATTATTATAGAAACTTTAAAAAAAATGAATGCATTCTTTATAATTCATCACTAATTGGTTATAATTATATAAAACTAGTTGATCTTTTAACAAAATTTCATAAATTTTAGGTCGCCTCTAATTGTTTTTTGAAATTCGTTGGGAAAAATATATCTTTTTGTTGTCGTTAATTCTTATTTGCTTAAATAATGTTTAATTTCAGACAATGAGCAAAACTCATCCACCAGAGCTCAAAAAGTACATGGACAAGGAGATGGATCTCAAATTGAACGGCAATCGCAAAATCACCGGCATTCTCCGTGGCTTCGATCCATTCATGAACATGGTCGTCGATGTGAGAAATTTGCCACAAAAAACTTGCGATTTAAAATAAAAAATAATTTTTCCAGGAGGCCGTTGAGTACCCAAAAACCGGCGATCCAATCCCACTCGGTATGACCGTCATCCGCGGAAATTCGGTATTAATCATGGAGCCAAAGGAGCGGATCTGATAATGAATTAATTGCATTTCATTTTGTGTAATTTCGCCATTCCAAACAAAAAAAATAAATTATATCTCTCCCACCAAATAATCGGATTAGTGTTTGTCAGGTTGCCGTCCATTATTTTCAAAATATCTTTTCTCGTTTGCTCTTTTGCCCACTGTACACTTTGCGGCGGCGCGGCTTCCTCAAGCCGACGGATATGCGCCGCCCGTCGTAATATCATTTTACTTTCAGCGTCGTTGACGTACAACCCGCCCAACTCAATTCAATCGATACTCCAAAATCGATTGTTGTTGACCTCGACGCGCGAAAAAATTCAAATTTTTTTGGCGGCGTTAGAGGATCGAAGAGAAGGCGGCGCGCCGGGAGATTGGGAGGTGGAACGTTCTCTGCTCTCCATTTCACCCGTCGTCTCACATTTGTCGTTTGTGCGGCGACGCCCGAGCGCTCGCCTCTCGTTGTTATTCCACGCTGTTTGTGTTTTTCTTCGTTTTCTTTTTTTCCATCTTCTCCCCCACTCTCCGTGTTTTTTTTTCACTACTCCCAGTCGCTTTGTCAATTTTTTACTGCTTGTCGAGTCAGACAAGCGCGCAAAGAGAAAAAAAAAGCGACATCAATTTCATCATTGCGTGTGTATTTTTTAAAGACTCGATCATTTTTATTTTCTACTCCATTATTGTAGTTCCAGCAACTTATAAGATGGTTTTTTAGAATGTCAAAATTGCATCACGCTGATAAAATTGAGTTTTCGAAATTCGCATAGCAAAACGATATTTTTCTTCTTCATTTTCGTCTAATCAAACATTTCACAATCAATTTCTGATGTCATCGCAATAACAACAAAAAATTATTCGTCGTATTCTCAAACATTCTTTACGATTTTGCAATTCTCGATTCTGAGTCATTCGTCAAATTTGCAGAGGTATGCCAGTTCCACCGCAAGTTCAAAAAGTCCTCGACGACGTCGACAAACAACTTCACGAGCCGTCGCCGTTGGGCAACGTGCTCGGCACCGTCGAGCAGAAGACCGGCGTTCGACGCCTCCACATCGTGCTCGGCGTTCTCGGACTCCAAGCCCTCTATCTCATTTTTGGCCATTCGGCTCAGTTGGTGTGCAACTTCATGGGATTCGTCTATCCGGCCTACATGAGGTAGAGAGCATCCAACAAGCCCCCTTTCAAATCAAATCAATCGTCAATTTCAGTGTGAAGGCCATCGAGACGTCCCGCAAAGAGGATGACACCCAATGGCTAACCTACTGGTGAGATATTTCTTTTCTTTTTTTTTCTCATAAAGAAGAACCCATCAAAATGGGAGGGGGGGGGAAGCATTAAATGTTTTGTGTACACTGAAGCATCGTAAAGTTCTTCGAAAATATTGGCGAATGCAAGATTCTCAAGTTCACGAACGCGAAGAATCGGGTTATTTTGTTTCAAAAACAACAAAAATTACAACTTGCAGGGTCGTGTTCGCCGTGCTCTCGGTGCTCGAGTTCTTCTCGGTGCAAATCGTGTCGGTGTTTCCCGTCTATTGGCTGTTCAAGTCGCTCTTCTTGCTCTACCTCTATTTGCCGGCGACGATGGGCGCCGCCAAGCTCTACCATCGCTTCATTCAGCCGTTCGTCGCCAAGCATAGCTCGTCGATCGACTCGAGACTCGGCCGAGCCGCCGACAAAGTCAACGACGTCGCCGACAAATTGCACAAAGAGGCCCGCAATCTTTTGGATTAGATTCGTTTGATCACCACCAACTCTCTTTTTGAAATATATTTATTCATCGAATTTTGCCAAATGTTGGGTCCCTAAATTCCTCATTTTTATTTGCTTCTAGACGATTTCCGCTATTGTATTCCCTTCATTTTTCGTTTTTCCATAAAAAATAGTAAATCAATCAGTTTATAATCAAGAACAAAAATGGGAAACCCGCAAAGTTATTATTAGCAAAAATTATTAATCTTATTATTATTATTATTATTATTATTATTAGGGGATTGTAGAAGAAGAAAAAGGTGATGTCGAAAGTTTCCCACTGGAAGAGATGTGCAATAAACTCGCCGCCGCCAATTTCCCACCACAAATAGGCCAATTAAGCGTTTGGGTTCTTCTTTTTTCCATCAAGCTGGCGGTGTGAATTTGATGTTCAAATCGTGCCCGTTGTCGTGTCCCAATTCGGCGCCAATGTACAATGGATCGTAGCCGGGAACACCAACGACGACACCCAAACCGTCGCCCTGTTTGTCCACCAATTTGGCGGTCGATGAGAGACGACCCTGCGATAGAAATTTAGGAGTTATTTTGAGGAGCAAATGCCTTTCTTGAGATACGGTAATTAAAGGCGCACACGTTTTGTTTCGAACATAATTACAAATGCTCACCAATTCCATTAATTGCTCATGCAGCGGCATCCTTTGCATTTTCAGCTGCTCGCTCTTCACACGATGATACTCGAGAAGTTGGCGTTCGCATTCCGATTCGGTTTCCATCAAACACGCTCTGTTGAATAATAGTTGATGACAATTCTGAAGGTCTCGTTCGTTGAAAGGCGCAAAATTCATGAATTTTCGTGAAATTTCACCGTGGCCGTCAAATCCGCGACCGTGGCCGATATCAAAATTTAGGCCATTATTAAAGTGTTTAATAAAATTTGAATCAAAACAAATTCCTGGTTGGCTCGTACATTTTTGTGGCCGGAAATCGCCTTAACATTAAAGTGTGCCAAATGTCGTCTGGGTGCTTACACCATACATCATAGTAAACGACAATTGTAAAAAAAATGAATCATCTACCGTTTGGCTCGAAAAAGCACACTTTCCGGCGATTCCTCTCGCGCCTTCGTGTCGATGCCCTTCTCGAACACACGCTGATTGATAAAGTGCAAATTGATCGGTTCCATATTGGGAATCGGCAAATAAATCCCGTTGATCTCTTTTCGATTGTTGACAATTTTCGAGTTCGTCGCCAACAATTGCGAGGCGTCCGGCAATCCGAAATTCGCGCCGGCCGACACCTGATTCTCCGAATAATGATAGAACGCTTTCGGCACGGCGAGCTTCTCGCCGTTCACCGGAATCTAAAACGCACAAAAAAATAATTTCAAAAAAAAAACATTGCGTCAAATATGGCAAGTCCGCAAACACCGTCACACACACATTTTTTCTCTCACTCAAAAAAAAAAAGACAACAATTCATTAAAATTCGCGTCAAACCTCCAAATAAGGTCGTGCTCCATACTCCTCATCGCCGTCGATTCGACCAACAGCGAATCGCATTCGATCGCGAACTCCAGCGTCGACCAAATATGGCAATAATATCAAAATCGCGTCAAATCGCCAACCGAACGCCATTTATTCGAAACAATAGGTGTCCGGATGAACTCGGCGAACAATAGGCTAATGATAATAGCAGCAGGCAACATCACGTTGGGAACCTGTTCTCGTGATTGACAACTAGCCGATTCTCCCCTTTCAACCTTTTTTTTTTATTTCATTATTCTCTTAAATACATGCAATGGAAAACCGGAAGTGAAACCAAAAATTGAACGCCAAAAGCAACCCACCAAAAAATTGCTTAGTTCTGTGCAAAATTTGCCAAATTTCTTTTCTCAAAGAAACAAAAAACATACAAAATAAAGTGAAAACAATAACGAATCCCCGAAATTGAGAATAATTATATAAATTATGACAAAAAATGTATATATATATATATATATAATATGCGATCGATTTGGCTCATTCACTTCAAACATCCTCTAAAACGCCATCTTCGTCTAAAAATGAGCCCATCGCTCCCAAATATCCCTCATGCTTCAGGTAGAGCGCGTCGATTGCCCCCTCAAAATTCAAACATTCTCCAATTTCAACACACAAAAATTTCAATACCCCGCTCCAAAAATTGATCGCATACGACAATGTGCGCATTGTGATCGGATCCTGGCGAATAAAGAACCCTCCGAAATATATCCTTTTAAGGCCAAATCGGGTTCCATAAAGCATCGCCATCTAAATCAAAAATTTCTTGTTGTTCTTTTTTTCTCGTCTTTCCCAAATCCACACCTGTCCGATGTTGTTGCTCACCATGAGCAACAGGCTTTTCGCAATATCTTCAGGCTTGTGCTGATGCGTCGTCGCGCCACCATAGGAGCTACACTGAAAATTATCGAAACCATTCCTCCATTATTTTTCAAAATTTTTCGCTATCATCGCAATTTCATTCTGCGCGCTTTATCAGTGTTCTCTGGTTACGCTCGAGCCATCAAATAACTATTTCAGATAACGAAAATTGCACTCAAAAAGAAAAAAAAATTAAATGCTGCAACCAACAATTTCTATAAAAGCAATTCCAAAAAAATTCGCACCTTCGCCAATGAGCCGGCAATCAGATCGGCTTTCAATTTCAATTCCTCGTATGAGCCGCCATAAATATCACAGACAAGTTTATCAACATTTCGATGGTCACCGCGACTCGCCAATTCCAAAAGCTCGTCAAAACCTGTCAAACAATTTGATAATTGGATTCATTGGAAATGCGCGTTGCAACTTTTCGCCGGCGTCAACAAACTGCCAAGTCCCAAAAACGTGCCGCCGCCCATCGAGCTGCCGCCGACGCGCTCATACTTTTCCGGCGAGTCCACTTTGAGTATACTGATTCCGGTGCCAATGTTTACCAGCAAAAATGGATAGATGAGGTCCTTATCGATAGGCCGATATTGAAATCTGCAAAAAAAATAATAAAAGAAAATATTGGAAAATTCCAATGTTTGTGGATTTGTCCGCAACACATCTTCTCGGTGTACGCGAACACAATGCGCACGATTTGACGACAAATTGCAAAAAATCAAAAAATAATAAAAATTACTTGTTCCTTCCAATTGCGTCATGGTGATACGTGAAAGATTCATCGACATTGTTGTTCAATAGAAAATTGACGCCGTAAATCAACGAGCGCATCTCGTCGGTTCGCGCAATTCTACAATTCTCTCAATTTTCCAGATATTCCAACGCAAAAATCTCACTTGACGCCCAATTCTTTTTTTATCTGCTCGGCAAACTTGTACGAACCGCCGCCGGTGCAATGAATCACATCTTCCGATGTTCGATCGACCCAATTCTGCAACAGAAAAAACAATGGCGAAATGACGCCAATTTGGCGAGGCAAAAAAAAAACGAACCTCTTTGAGGAAATTGATGAATTTGTCCATTTGTGTGAACTTTTTGAAGTTCACCAACACCTTTTTTCCGTCCTCATACGCGTAGTTCCGATTGCCGCCGTTCAGACTCTCTTCGGGCAATTCGTCATCGCACGTCGACGAGTAGACAACTTTTATAAGGGTGCCGCCTGGAATTCAAGCAAAACTGCATAAATTTCAATTCGCCAATTCTCAATTCTGTCAACACACCGACGGGATTTTGCACAAAAATTTTTCTGACTCAAATCATTGAAAAAATAGCTTTTTTAAAAATTAATTATCGATATTTCCAAAATTAATTTGAATATTCAACTAATCGCGCGCAAGCCAATTTTTTTGCGCATACTATTCTATTACAATCGTAGATCAAAAAAAAATTACGGCGTGCGATTTTCGAAATGGTCTCGCCACGCGGTGAACAAAACCCATTTAAAATCATTCACGTGCACTATTTGAAATTTTCTTGAATCCCTTAAAAAAGTTCGAAAATTAACGAAATGATCTCTAAAATCATGAAAAAAAAAGTCGGCGCGAGACCAAAGGCGCATCTCTCCCCGTAAATCGACATCCGTCGCCACAAACCAAAAGGCGAGAGAGAGAGAGAGAGAAATTCAAAAAAAAACACCAACCGATATCGACAGCCACACGCGATTTGCTGCGAAACTTGGCGAAACTCTCGGCGGCCGGCAACACCACGTACGGCGTTTTCGGCACCTTCGCGGCTTTTCCGGTCACCAGCGGCTCATTGGAGCGAGGCGATGAGACGCCGGTCGCCGAATCGACGCGTCTAGAAAAAAATTCGCATAAAACAATAATTGAAACTAAAAAAAAATGCACAAAAACCCTCTGGCAGCTCGAAACCATTCGGATCAGACGAAATTCGGCTCCGAAATCAACCTTATCCAAGTGGAAAATAGTCGGATCCGATTTGATATTTGTGGGATTAGTTTGGATATTTGCCGGATCCGATTGGGCATTTGTCAGATCCGATTTGTTTTAATCTTTCAGTTCAAATCGAATCCGACAAATATCCAATCTGATCCGTAGAATTACCAATCGGATAAGGTTGATTCCGGAGCCGAATTTTCGTCGGATCCGATTGGATTTGAGCTACCCGAACCATCTGGGATTCGATGGATAAATGAGGAAAAAAAAAACGAGACATTTGGATCAGAAAATTGAGCAAAATTGCGAGATTTCTTTGCATAGAAATTCCAACAAAAAAAAATAGAGAAAATCTCCAAAATTTCCACCAATTGCTTTAATTTTCTCTAGATAATCGAAAAAAAAGTGTTTTTCAGTTTTTTTGCCAATGACGACAAATTCGAACGATCAAATCGCGTTGGCCATTTCAACAAATTCTCGCATGCGCCTTTGAAATCTACCGTAATTTTCAAGCTATTTCATACTAGATCAAATTAAAACAAAAAAAAAATAGGATCGGATCGGATCGCTTTCGAACTAACCAAGTGGCAGGATTCTAAGAAAACCAAAAAACTGCGTTTTTTTGCCAAAATTTGGAGAAAAAAAAATAAATCGTCTTTCACTCACTTTAACTTCGACGACAATAAAACCTCGTCCATGATCGCCTCGTGCTCGCCTTCCGCCTGTAAATCATCATCTTTAGAAAATTCTCAAAAGCAAAAAGGAAAAAAAAACACAATTGCACTGAAATTTCAGTGGATTGGAGCGGGATCCGACCACAAAAACAAACCAAAACCTCCAAATTCCCGACTCTACGCAATTTCGCGCAACTCGTCGGGCTGCCTCGAATTTTTCGAATCACCGTCCAACGTCCCATCACCCAAAAAAAGAAACGAGCAACATTAGATATTTGAGTACAGCGGAAACTTTTCAAAGAAAAACGCAGAAAAAAAACAAAACAAAACAAAAACGCGAAATAAAAGCGAATAATGATTTATTTGAAATGGAGGTATCGCTTGAAAATGAGAACCAAAATCAACCGTATTATATATGGCAAAGTTTGCAGCAGCGAGACACACACTAACAAAAAAATATCCAAATGTACTTTCAAGGATGACCAAAAAAGGAATGATACAAGTTCGATTGCACTTTTGATTGGCAAAAAAAAAGGAATAAAAAAATATGAAACCGGCGTCGGAAATGAGAACGAAATTTGATAAGCACCCGAAAAAGACCGCCTTATTTATTCCAAATATGGGCCGATCAGGCGATGCTTGCCGGCGGCAAACGCACGTGAACAAAACGCGTCGGTGAGCGCACGATGAGCACAACTGGAAAGAACGATTCGTCAAAAAATTTTTGAAAAAAAAAATATATATATTGATTATTCATTATCAAAAAAAATTTTTGTGAAGACAAATTCAGTTTTTCTTCTTTTCAATTTCAAAAAAAATCAAATTTCAACCAACATCATTGCCTCGTCGGTCGTCGATTCGCAAACGGCGACACATGGCGCAATTTGGCGGGCATTGGTGGCGGCGGAATTGGTGCGAAACGCGATCTGCAATATATATCTGCAATATATATATATATATATATGTGTCTATATTGATACAATGTAGGTGATAGCGAACAACAAAAATTCTTAATTGATTAGTAGTGCCTCAGCCGCTACATTCTAGTCTCTCTTTCTTTTCTTTCTATCACCAAAAAACATAATTGACACCCATGCCAATAGTGGCCAAAACAAAACAACGCCTGTTGCAAAAGAGGCCAAATTTCATCAGAATCATCTGTAGGCCACAAAAATCAATTCCGAGTTCTTCGATCACACATCACAACAGTGGCTTGCGATTCACTCACGCGCTCGACGACGACGTCAATCGCCACGACGTCATCTTCATCGATTTGCCCTCATCGATTGTCGGCGTCAATGTGCGAAACGGCACATTGTACGGCGCGTGCGGCATCATCATCATCGGCGGCGGCGGCGGCGGCATCGCGAAATTCGTCGGCGGCAACACTTTGAGCACATTGAGCAACTCGTGCGACGTCGACATCATCGGCATTCCGATCGGCGGCGGCGGATGGTTGAACTGCAAAAAGCGAGTTTTCACATAAATATTCAAATTCGGTTTTTTTTTAATTATAATATTTTGACCGTTGACCTCATAAATGTGAAATGGTTCAGATTAACAGGCATCAAGGTGAAAAGAAGAACCCATCTCTCATTTTAAGCCCTGAATTCAATTTCGAAATCCTAAGGGTCTCCAGTTTCTTTTTCAAGACACTCTGTCCATTTTCAGCGAAAATTTGTCGAATTCCAGCCAGATATCCGAAAAAACGATTCATACTGTAGTAGATGTTTAAAGGCACATGTGGCGGAAAAAGAAACAATTTGAAAAATTATTGAGAGACGAAAAAAATAAAATAATTGTCCGTAATTCACCTAGTCAAACAAACAAAAATTTTTCATATTTTTGAGCCAGAAAAAAATTTTTGCTGGAAACTGTCTTGCCTATGTAGGAATCTAGGAAAATCGCACTGTTTTAAGTCAAACTTTTGAAAACTGCGAATTTTTTCTAATTTTTCAGCCTATTTTTTAAAATCATATCGATTTCTATCGAATAATGGGCTTTTCGGCGTATTGTTTTGTGAAAATCGATCGGAAACCGCTAAAAATCGTATTGTGAATTTTTTCTCAACGATTTTCTCGCATATCAACGCTTGCAAATTTCGAGAAACGAAAAAACAACCGTTTAAAAACCAGGGGTTTCTTATCAAAGAAGCACCGTGCAAAAAATTTTCGCTCAAAAAAAAAAACGACTACCGTAATTGGTGGCGGCGGAACACTGGTATCGACTGTCGGCGGCTGGAGCGTCTCCGACGTGGTCTCCTCGAGATGCTGATTGAACTCATTGATCAACTGCTCGCACGCCTTCTTCTCGGCCTCATGACAATTGGCGAGAATTCTGAAAAAAAAACGTGCCATCCCTTAATATATATTTTTTGCTTCCATTCAAATTTCGACCATATTTCTTCATTATTTGTTCACACCATCTACGGTCGTTCATTCAAGTCGCCGGAAAAAAATGGAGACATTGTTTCGCTATTTTTGGATTCGACCGGTTTCGAATTCCCGCCACACATTTTTTTTTTGAAAATCAATTTTGAGAATTAAAATTTTAAAAAATGTCGATTTTCAATGAAAAATACTACAAAAAATTTTCGTTCTTCGAAAATTTCTAAATGATTCAACTAGGTGATCAAATTTTGATCAATAATCCTCAATTTCGCTATCAAATTCTTTCAGCTCATTTTTTTCGTGCAATGAATTCCAAAAAAAACCCACTCAATCTGCTGCTGGTGTGCGACGGCGAGCTGCTCGGACGACTTCAAATAGAACATGGCTCGACTGATCGCACTTCTCAGCTCAACATCGCTCATGCCCATATCTTGCGTCATCAGAATCAAACTTTCAGCGGCTTTTCGAAGCATCGGATAGCTGACCGCCAGCGGTTTTCGGTAATTCTCATCGCTAAAATTCGAATCAAAACCAAAATTTTTGATGAATTCGATTCAAACCTTGGTTGTGACACAACGTCGGTGGCGGTGGCGGCGGCGACGACGACGTCTTCATGCAAAATCTCGCCATCTTCGACATTCTCCATTTTTGACCCAGAAATCGTCGAAAAACCCCTACCAAATGCGTGGCAAACGCGACGAGACGCAGATGACGAGACAATTCGCCGTGGGGCGCACATGCTCAATGAATTGCGAAATTCAACAAAAAAAATTCAGACACCGTCTCGTCGGATTATCATTCATTTATTCAAGAAGGAAAAAACAAACGACGAAAATAAAAACCATCTCTCGATCAAATCAGAGGAATCCGAGAAAACGAAACTGGCTGCACAGATAGATTGGTATCAAAAGCTCATCAAATGAACTAAATAGGACAAAAATGAAAACAAAAAATACGAGGCAAATTATTAGCAAAGTTTGCACAAAAAAAAAGATAGAGAGAGACAAAAAAACAAACATTAGAGAGTCGGCGATTAAAAATGAAATAATCTTTTGATTTTCACAAAAAAATCATCATTATTATTAATTATTAATATCTCAATTATTAAAATATTCGTTGATTTCTGGAAGCGACGAGAATCTGAAAAAAATTCAAACATTAAAATTTCACAAATACTCTTTCTTGATCCCCGAATTTTCCTCCAATGAAATGTCTGGCGACGAGAGGATAAACATTTATATTGTTTATAGTACTGATGACCCCCAAAGAGCTGCTGCTGCTGCAGTTTCTGGTGGTGCTCGCGAATAATTGCGTCCCCCCAACGTCGGAATAATTGCGTTGCGCTCGTTTCGGGCTCGCATTTTAATTACTTAAACGGGACACAAAAAAAAAACGACGACGACGACGCATTTCGATGGAGGGGCATCTCCCCCTCCTCCCAAAACCCAACAACACAAACACTAGACGACGTTTCTTCATTCCTTCATTAAGCATCATCAGCATCAAGTACTACAAATATGGACAGAGTTATATGCGTGCGCGAGCGGGCTGGTGAGCGCAAATCCCTTTGTCAAACACATCGGCGCCGGTGATTGTATCGCTCATTGAGCATGACCAAGATCCTAATCTACCGCCAAGCCCCCCCCCTTCCCAACCACCATATGTTGTATACTCACAAACGCATCATTCTCACCTTGTCCAATAATGTGTGAGATTGTGTGAAGCTCGTCGACAGAAGAACAATATAGCAGAAGGAATGGTGAATCAGATGAAGAAGAGGACGACGATTTTCATTTTTGGTAAGAAGAGATGATGATTACGAGATACCGGAAACGAGAAGCGGTTAAAGCATGGCGGCAACAACGAGAGCGTCTAGTTGGCGGCGACAGCGGCCGGCGCGCTCGTCTCCACTTTCACCGCCACCGGCTCCTCGCTTCCATTGCCACCGTCCGCGTTCTCATCGGCCGGCTTCTCGCCGTCACCAGCTGGCGTCTCGCCTTCTTTGGCGGCTTCAGCGGCCGGCTGGCGGTTTCTCTGAAAAGAAAAAAAACGCGATGAAAATCGAACGTTACTCAAATACACAATCAACTCACTCTGAAGAATCCCAAAATCGTGGTGAGAATGTTGCTCTTAACCACTTGACTGGCAAGATTGACAATCGTCTCAACATCGAATCCGTCCTTGTCGAACTTCTCCTTCGCCTGAATTCCAAGCTGCCACAACGTCTGGAAGACCGCCTGATAGCCGGCTTTGCCCTTCTCGAGAAGATCTTCGCTCTTCATGAGATTCTCGATGCCGGTCGTCTTCGACGCCCATTCGGCGAAACTATCAATGTTCTTCTTCTGAACCTCTTTTTGCGCGGCGGCATCAGCGTTCTCCTCGGCGGTCGCCGGCTCAACAGCTCCGTTCTGAACATTTTTATTGTTGTTGCTGTTTGAGCGCCTCTCTCTCTCTAATTTAACGGCACTAATTAAAGAACACGCGTTTTGACTACTAGCAATTAATTACCTACACACACAGGCACTGACTCTCTTTCTTTCACTCTAACTAACTAATAACAATAGCAGAGGTCGGGAACCGCACGGGTACAACCTGACACCAAAGGTCACCCACAGGTGTTTTAGGCCTCCAATTTGCCCCCCATTCCATCTCATCAATATCTATCTATTCATATAAATATATATGCTAATTGCGCGAGACCTCCGCATCCACCCAATTATGCCGATTTATGTGATATCTTATCAAATCTATGTCATTCTCATTGTCGCCCATTGTCATCGACCAACCTGAAGTGTGTTGGCGAGCTTCACCAACAAATCGCCGTCGCGCAAAAACGCCAAAAACTGATTGCGCGTCGTCGATTGATCTTTGCCGGGAATCGGCTTGCGGTCGGCCTCGTTCTCGATGGCCGTCTTCTGAACCCAATCGAGCACTTGGTAGTTGGCCTGCAAAAATCCATGTATATATATATGTATATTGTCGTCTCAAGAGCCCCATTTTCTCTCATCAACGAAACAACAATGCGACGGCGTCGAGACCCATGGGACCAACCGAACGGATGTTCCCTTCAAAATTTATCAATTTTGATGTTTCTCGACACAATGTATGTACGCACAAGCTGAGATTGCAACTGTATCGGTTGGCACAGCTGCCGACTTGTGCATACATGTCGGATCGATTCGAACAAGAGATTGTCAAATTAAATAAAATCGCGCTTGAATATTCTTCTCCTTTTTCTAATCCCCACCCATCCACCTTTGCCAGAACGCAATTTGTCATTGTAATTCGACACTAAACATACTCGCTCTCTCTCTCTTTTTTGTTTCTTCAATTTTTGCGAGCAATTTCGAAACGCAATTCGCCTTTCCATCTGCCTCAGTCAATCAAATCCGGTTTCACATCACTCCCACCCACACCCAGATGGCGCATGCACACACTCACCTTGTGGACAGCTTGCGGAATCTGCTGGGCGATCCATCCGAGCACGTCCTCCTTCGGGTCTTTCGGCGCCTCCGGCTCTTTCGGCGCATCCGATTGATCGCGATGCTTTCCCCAGCGTTTGTTGAAGGTGAATCGACGAGCGACACCACCGCCCGACTTCTTCTCCTTCTTCTCCTCGCCTTCAGCAGCAGCAGCGGCGGCGGCAGCATCGCCCTCAGCCTTCGGCTCCTCAGTGACCACCGCCGGTTGATCGCTTGGCGGCTCGCTCTTCGGCAATTCCGGAGCAGCTTCTGGTGCGGCTGCGGCGGCGACCTCCTCGGTGTTGTTGACTTCAACCTGTGGCTTCTGCTCGTCCGACATGATGAATGTTAGTGTGTGTGTGTGTTTAGTGCAAGAAGAGATTGATCTGCAAGCAACAAAAAAAAATGCGTCGAAATTGATGAAAACGGTTAAAAATAAAATAATAAGAGGGTCGAAATGAAAGCGAGAAGGCCGTGGGCGGGGAGGCGAGGAAGAGGAGGGGGACGCATTCGCGCACAAAAATGGGCGGCGCCAAACAGCCAAAATGCGAGCGGCAAGCCGGCACGGTGATGGGCGTGGCCTAAACCAACCCGCCGCTGCCGTGCCGCCGGAGGGGGGGGGGCTCGTTGGTCAAAAAAAAATATATACATCAACACCAACGAGCCAATATCGAGAACGTGCGGAAACGAGCCAAATAAGCAAGCAACCAATTAAACAGCAACCAACAATAAAAAATAATAATATCGAGGACGCGCAAAAATTGGGTCTCGCCGAGATTCCCAACCGTCCGTTATGCGCAACGGATACAATTACACTAAACGCGGTACCATTCAATGTTTGCATAGACGGACACACACACAAACGGTTACACTCATATACAAACTTTCCAGCGCACAGAGCTCAAATGCTATATTATTATTATTCAACCCGCACCAAATGAGTCAAAACACAACAAATATTCAAAACAATAGCAAAAATGCGATACGCAACATAAATTATGCGACATGGCCCATAAAAGGCGAGAAAATGAGTGTGTGTGTGTGAGCGCGAGCGACCAGAAGAATCGACCCCCAGTGTTCTCATTCATCGGAACATCAATTGTGTATGTGTGTGTGTATGTCTCGCGAGGAAGACGACAGAAGCAGAACGAGTGCAAAAAAAATCATATAGATATTTTCGGACGCGATTAGTCATCCATTGTGAAATCGCGACGCCGGCAATGAGTCATCGCGCAAAAATCGAGAACGCAATGAATTTTTGAAACAATCGACCGCCGCAGTCAAAATGGATAACTCAATGCATAAGCAATCGGGTGAGGGGCGAAACGAAACCAAAATTGAAAAAAGAAAAAACAATAAGTAAGAAAATGGCACGGATTCTTTCAGGTCGCCACACACACACACGCGCGCACATACGCCGACTACACAAATGTGTCCGAATGGCGTCGTTTTGGGTGGTGCACCACCACCACCACCACCCAAAACCTGACCAGTTAATCTAGAAGACACCAACACCAGAGCGGGTCATTGCAATGCTCTGCGTCTCCAATTCGCGCGGCACCACTCGGCCATATCGCTGACTCGACTAGAGTGGTCCTTCGAATGACCTCCACCCATCGATATATAGAGATGGAACGAGAGGAAGAATTGAGCGAGCGAGTGTGTGAGATGGTGACGCGCAGACGATGGGCACCTCTGGTCAGTCAGCAGGCCGAGTGAGCGAGTAAAGTGTATTGTGCGCGCGCGCGCACAATATTCAACCGAGTGGAAGATGCGCATGTCGAGCCGCCACCGCCGCCACCAATGCCACCACCAACACACCCATCGCATAATCACCACGGCAGCCCGCGAGACCCGACATCTCGCGATGTGCGATTGCGAAATTTCGGGGTCCTATTGCGAAAGACTAACTGGCTGACTGACTGACTGACCGAGTCGCCCTCGAGATTGGATAACATCTCGAACAAGGACCCTTGATATGATCTGACATTTTTATATGGTCACCCGCAAATTGGAGTTAGGCGGTGGTCCTTTGGGGTTGGGGGTAATGACTAACACAAATCCTGTTCCTTTAAAGGCGATGAGTGGCGAGGAAAATCAACTTTTCAAGGTTCATGGCGTCCCGAATCGTTTCCGCGCAAAAAATGGTGCCATCCCAACCAACCGTGTCCTGCCTTTCACTGAATGAATCGATCCGATCCAATCCAATCCTCATCAACCGGCCTCCTCGACAATGAATTAGAATGTAATGTGTTCAACCCGGTGGCCTCTTTTTTGTGTGTGTGAATGCGCGACGACGGCGATCGTCACTCACTCATTCAACACCTTGACGGCGACCCACGGAAAAATCCCGCCACCCATTCATGGCCATTACAAAGGGACCGTGAAGACAAGCCGACGCGCAAAAATGCAGAGAAGACATTCGCCGCACTTATCACGTTGCCAAGCAACAACGCTGACATCCATTTTGGGGTAGCAATCAAGCATGCATGATTCCCACATTTACAATCTTGCGACTGTTGACAATGACAAACATTCAACACTGATAAGTAGTTCCCAAAATGGAAGCAATAGTTGGAAGGAAGGATCAATTGATAAGAGGCGATCATAAAAGTGAATATTTGACATTTGGGGTTGGGGGGGGGGGGTAGGAATAAACTAGTAAATGCACTTCGCACATCTAAATGATAGTATATTACATATAATAATAGAGGTGTGTGTGTGACGAGTGGCGTCCGACTAAAGTACTCTTCGCTCAAATAGACCAGAAAAAAATTTTTTTCAACGTGGTGTGTTGGCAGGGCGAATTCAAAAGTGATATAATTACCCGCCATTGGGTACTACTAGCCCGAATGACTAGCGTGCTAATGTGCAGCAGCCCCCGACGACAACAATTCACAGCGGCGACAAAAAAAACACACACACCAAAGGGGGGGGGGGCGCTTTTTGTCGCTTCGAGAGCTCTACCCATCTTTTTTTTTCTCTCTGACGAGCTCATAAATTTCGTGTCGCACGATTAATGATGTGGGATTTGGGCATAATCAAAGCCAGACCTCCCACCCAATCCATATGGTGTTCTGAGACAAATTGCACGTTGGTGTGGGGGGGCCAAAAAATTGGAATAAGCGACTCTTTCGACATCAACAAAAAGGTTATGTACATATTTCAACGACAATAGGACGGTAGTCGTTGTTGTTTGGCAAAGAAACTTTTGCGATTTCGAATCACACACAAGGGTACGGTTTTGTTTTCAAAAGGGAGGTTCTCTAAACGCCCGTTTCGGATTTTTTTAAAACTTGGTACTTCTGAGTGCCTCCACAAAATTCTAGCCCTCACTTTCAGACGAGATATGGCCAGTTGAAAATTCAAGGTTTTTTTTTGTCCAAAATCGAAATTGAATTATCAGATGGTCAAAACACGTCTGAAACCCCCCTCCGGTGCAGCTGAAATATTGTGGGCACACTTTGAAGACTTTTTAGAGTGAATGTTGCAAAAAAGAATACGAAACGGGAGTTAAAATGACCTTCCTTATAAGTAAGGGGAAGCCAAATCGCGGCTCAACACCGTAGTTTATTCCGCTTCATTCGCTGAGCAATTTGTCAATATTAGTTGCATTATCATTTTCCGCTTTGTATGTATAGCAATATGCACATTTCAGTAACAAAATCGAAACACAAAAAGCTCCTGTGCCGATTTTCGGCGAGGGGGTGCAAGAAAAACTAGTTTTTACCGGTTTCTTTTTTGCAGATTTTCTCCAAAATCTGCATAACACCATAATTGCAGTGCGAACCACTGAAGGAATCGGTGTAGATTAAAATTTGCCGTTGATTGAATAATGCGCGTACGCAGTCTCGCGTACAATAATTTTTAAAAATTTCGCTCACTCGTTCGACATCGTCAATAAAAATTTGAAAACAAAAAGGGCGACTCTTTCTTGCAAAACTTCGCCTCGAGACCATTCATTGCTAATTTCAACAATTTTTGGAAATCTCGGTTCCTCGCGCCAAGCTTTGCGTAAATTGTTGTGCTCATATTGCGACAATCATTTCTTCCGCATTGCAAAAAATATCAATGACTCATATTCGCAATTAAATCGTTCGAATGTGCAATTTCATCGCTAACAATCTAAAAATAAATCATATCATGTTCATGGTTATTAAAAAATGTTTTTTGTGGTTGCGCAGCGGCCGCGAAACATTTCCAATTTCCTTCACCACGAAAAAAAAACACACAAAACTGAGCGCCGCAAAAATCGGTTTCCAATTCGTTTTAGCCGGACGCAATGAGATAAATGACCGTGGTACGATGTCGACCATTCATCTCGTGCTCTCAAAATTTATGAGCTCTCGAATCGAGCGAGCGGAACGACGCCGCCTGCCGCGTTGAGTAATCGCCTCTTCAAGGATGATGCATTAAGCGTTTGCCTCGAATTCGTTTTTTTTTTGGGCGCGAAAAATAAATACGATATATTGGATGCGCTTTTTGGGGTGGGGAGGGGTGTGTGTGTGCAAAAACAAAAGCGAGTCAGCCCCCCAATTTTAATGGTTGTTTTAGCATGCATTAGACGTTTGTTGGTGGTGGTGGTGGTGGTGTTGGTGGTGGCGGGTGCATGGCTCAGAGGCACTTTAATTACATGACACGCGAGCGGCGCCGAGGAGAAGAAGCGAGACGAGCGGCGAGATCCTGGAATGAGTTAAAAAGTCATTTCGTTGGTGTACGAGACAACAAAAAGGGCAACTGGACGAAAATAGAATTATCAAGAAGGTCGGTCGGCGAATTAATCGAACGCTTCCACCGCTAAGCGTTGTGAAATATATCAAAGTCAACAAAATGCAAAAAAAGAAAACCTATACTGGCTCAAAATCCGCAATTTCGTTGCGATGATTCACAGAAAACCTAAATCGAACTATATTATTAAATTGTTGTCGAATTTTCTTAGAACAGCAAATTGCTTATTATTTGATAAACGGCGGAAGCGAAATGAATGTGAAAACAATCAACAATTTCCACATTTATTTTTCGTTTACGGCGAAAGGAAACAAAACAAAAAGGCAAAAATATTAGAGTTCTTGGGAACTATTTATATATATATATATAGTCAACGAGGTGGCGAAAATGATTAAAAAGGAAATAAACAATTTAAAAATGCCATTAAAATTCGCGAATAATGAGACTATTGTTGGGATGAAAATTTCAAAATGAAAAATCAATTTTGGTGTACGGTAGTGCGTTCAAAGGCGCACATCGCGGCAAAAAATAGGTCACGTTTCGAAAATGAGGTTTAAAAAATAAAATTTCAAATTGTGCACGTTTTTTCAATTAAATTTTGGCGTCCAATTTTACGGATTTCATTTTCAATTGACCAAAAAAGCGTTGTCGGATTTCATTCATCAAATTGAAAGCTGAAGCCCCATAGTTTGCTAATTTTAAATGCAATATATGTGAAATTTCACAATTTTGTTTAAAAAAAAAACAATTAAAATCATGATTGGTTTAAAGGCACACAACATCGCCGCAAGACCAGTCCCAATATTCTCTTTTCGACAATTCCAATCATTTTCGTGATTTTCAACTTTCAATTCCCAATTGCCCATTTATGTTCAACGCAAAACAAAGAAAATTCGATTCCCATCATTTTTCAATGCCGAAAAAATAGAAAAAGGTGTTGGCTGCGCCTTTAAATCTTTCCATTGCCCGTAAAACTACAAATTTAATTTCGCGCCAAGACCGGTGCGTTTTTTTTTTTGACATCTAGCCCACCGACTCTGCCACATCGGGTCTCGTTCGAAATAATTGGCACACAGCTAAATTTGGGCTTCCAACATGGATAAACGAAAAGCAATAATTCTAGAAGACCCATGTTAAAATTTCAACGTTCAAAATATTAAAATAAATTTTTTTCTAAATTGTGGAAAATCATCATTTCTCATCAGCAAATTCAACAAAAAAATTGAAAAATATAATTCTTTATTTCTCAAAATTGTGTCGCTTTTTCATTTTTATCCTTTTGTTTGATATAAAAACAAATGAAACGGTTGAAAGAAAAAAAAAGAAATAAATAGTCGTGGGTTTTAGGCAAAAAGACACGAAATATCATACAAATAATATCGAAAATAAGGTAGTAATAATAGTAACATGAAAACAACAAAAAAAGAGACAATTCCGCGGGGCCAATAGAAATTCAATAATCGAGTGGGGACGGGAGGAGGTGAAGGGAGGATGAATGGAGGAAACTCGCCTACGTGTGTCGAATTGAATCGAGCCCTGAGTCGGATTGGGAATGAATGCTGCAAAAAAAATGATCGGCGATTCGGCTCCTCAGACAGCCACCGCCGCCGAACGCTCTTTCACCGGACTCATGTCGATTTGCGCGACGTTCTCGATGCTCTCCAATGAGCCCGAGCCGTTGAGGCTCTCCGCAGATCCCATATCGTTGAATCGCGTCGCTTCAACGACAACATCGTTCTCCAATTTGTTCATCATCTCAATTCGATCCGCCAAACTTGTCGACGACGGCGCCGCCGCCGCTGGCGTTTCGCTCAAACTCTCGCGAACATCGGACAACACTGGCCTGAAATTATCGCAATTGCTGTTATTTCTTTTTTTTTCAGTAGCAATTTTGCTTTCCAATCACCTTCTCCTGAATACTGGCGTCACTGGATATCTAGTAGGTGAATCGCCTTCTGTTGGCGCCGACGTCGACTCGACAGCTTCATCATCATCATCATCGCTGTCAGCGAATTTCGTAACAACCGGCGATTTTTCAATACCCTGCAATTGATTGAATTGAAACCGCTTCATGCGCCTTTAATCAATAAAAATTTCATTCTCAAATTTCGAAAATAGTTGTCCCATTTCAGAGACCAACTATTTTTAATTTGCAACGTTAGCCTTCCCACCACGAGCACCAAAATTGCGCTAACCCAATCCAATACAACAAAAAAGCATACCGTTTTAAGCATGGCGTTGTAACTTCGAACTTTTTCAATGTGATTCCGTCGAACCGCTTCCGCATCATAAGCTCGCCGTCCAAACGGATTTCGGCATCGTTTTCGCGAGCAATTGCAAGGATACGGGCGTTGATCTTCTGCGGTATCCACCTTGAAAAAAAATAACAATGACAAAGGTCTCGGAGCGCGCAAAACTGATATTTAGTGTAGATTTACGAGACTAAGTTAAAAAGCACAGCAAATATCCATTAGAAGTTATCCCTATTATAAAAAATTCAAATTTGAATTACCGCCTTCATGAGGAAAAAAAAACATTTTTCAATGCCGTCCGACGCGTTGCGGCTCGCGTGCGTGCGAACTGCAACACGGCAAGTCCTCCTAGCCGCGTTCTTTGGAAAACTGAGAAGAAGAAAAAAAAGACCTACCAAACATCCGATTCCTTCGACGGCACATTCGCAACTATGCGGTTTGCATATCCCATTTTTGCATTCGCATCCGCACTTCTCGCGTCCCGCGCGAATCTTCTCCGCCGTCTCATTATCATTACTATCGACATCGGTCTGAAAACATGCCGTCAACAAAGAAAAAAAACAATTGCCATCATCATCATCCGACGTACCACTTCGATTCCATTCTCGCGCAACACCGTTCGCCGATATTGCTCGTTCTGATACTGCAAATACTAGAGATGAATCTCTCTCTCTCTCTCAGGCGCCAATTCATTTATTTTTCCAAACACCTACCGGATTGTGTCGCCGATAGAGCGACGCGTAATAATCAAATTCACAGCCGCCGCCGCCGACGTCGTCGTCATCATCCGGCGTCGTCACCTCGCCTTCCGACAATTCCTCATCATCGCCATCGTCGAGTTTAATATTCGGTCGCGACGTGTTTTGCAACGAGAAATATTTCTTCGAGAAATGCTCATTGTGCATTCCGAGCGTCACTTCGCCTTCCGACGGCACCGTCGAGCATCCCTGACGCCGATCAAAGTAGTACACGTCGATGCCGGTGAATCGCGTTCGAGCGTCTGAAACAATCAATGCTTGAAAAAAAAATACAGAACTTCTAATCGGTTCAAACCTCGTTTCGTCTTGGCCGCCGATTTCAGCGCCGATTTCAATTTGCTCTCCGGATGGTGCGGCTCGGCCGACGTCGACGGCTCCATTGGAGCCGGAGGAGCGACAACAGGAGACGCCGCTTTCAGGAATGTCGACGGCGACACTTTGAATCGCAACGACGCCGTCGAACGCTGCTTCTGAATTGGCGCCACGCTAGGAAGCGATGCCGACTTCTGGAAATCAATGCGATCAAGGTTCATGGCAATTGGAAAAAAAAAAACAAAAAGCAAATCACCATTTCACAATCAGCAATTATCAAAAAAAAATGTCACGTTTTTGGGAATTTTATGGCAAAAAAATGACAAGAAAAGAATGAAATGATGGGCGAACCTCGGTTGTGGCAGCGATCGTCGCCGCCTCGTTGATCCTCGTCAATTTCAATGAGACACTTCGCGCCAGCGCACTCCCCTGCCCCTTTTTGATCGTCTACAAAAAAAAAAGAACGCTTTCAGCGTCGTCTCGCCAAATTCCATTTCAATCGCATACCTTTGTCGAATCGCCAAACTCATCGTCGTCGCTTTTCTCCTCATCGTGAACACTTCCAATGATTCGGTCTTCAATCGACGATTGTTTCTTGAGAATCGGCGAGACCATGACGTCGTCTGAAAGCAGCGATGAATACAAGCATAAAACAGAGCCAAATTTGAACAACAACAACAAAAAAGAAACGGTCGATTCTCACAAAAATCACGTCGAAGCACAACTTTTGTTCCGAGAATCTGATAGATAAGCCTCTCAGGGGCCCAGTGGGCGCATCGATGCGGCGAGAGAGCAAACAAACAAGCCCAATGATGTGTGTGTGTGTGTTCGAAAAAATTGGGACCCCCGTGTTATGGCAAAAAGCAATACCAGCAAATATTACAAAAAAAAAACGCCAATGAGTCTGATTTTCGCGTTCTAGAATTCAAATTTGAATTACCGCAATTCAAGACAAAAAAATGAAAGCGCGATGGTCCACAAATTCTTATAAAAAAATAAATAAACACAAAACTATACAAATGGAAGGGGTAGGGGGGGGGGCAAAAAAATAGGCAAATCAATACATTTCGAGCGACGCCGAACGACTATCAATTTTCACACATCAGCGGGGCGTCCATGTATGGAAATGTGTTAAAGAAGGGAGGGGCCGGGGGCCGGAGGTGTCCGTAAACATCCATACGCAGTTCGGCAACCTGTAGTAGGCTCGAATGCGCCTTTAATCAATTAATTCAATCTTATATTTAAAAAAAAATGCAAGTCAACTTTTCATTTTTTTAGAGTACGGTAATTAAAGGCAGACTGGAAAGGAGCCTCAGAGAAAATCTCTAAACTATGCGATTCAAATCAATTGAGGTGAATAAAAATGAGACAGCTAGTCGATCAAAGAACCGCCGAATGTTTGCTGATTGGCTGAGTCGAATCGCGATTTTTTTTGCAGTCGCACCAAAAAGAAAAAAAAGAAAGAAGAGAAGGAGCCTCCAACAAAATTTTTCTTTTGATCTACCCCCCAAATTCGACTCGATGAAAAAATTCATAATCTATGGGGTTCCCAAAACAAAAAAATGGAAAAAAATTTCAAGAGGAAAGATCAAAAAGTCGGAGGCAGCGACACAACATGCAAATCGCCGAGGCAGACACACCGACGACTCCGATTGTCAAACAACACTCGATATCTCGCACATGTACACATCAACAGGAGGGGGGAAAAAACGAACTGTTCTTCGCGAGTTGATGGTGGAGACGACGAAGAACAACCGAAGGGGTGTACACAGAAAAAAAAATGTGGCGAAAAACCATCCGTCGACAAACAGCACCATTCGACAATTTTTGCGGGTTGAGACCCCCCCCGCCAAAATTGAGTTGCGAACGCGGCCCGGCGCGCGTTTCATTATTGACTTTTACGCTCTTGAACTTTGAAGATCGTTCCACAAAAAAAAAGAAAGATCATTTTGTTACCAAATTAATCGACATCGCCACAAAACAAATAAATGACACAAAATACTCAAAAGGGGTCCCGTCGAAAAAAAAAACACATTTTCACTTTTTGAGACGGTCATTTTTCGGCGATATTTTCGCTCTTAAATATTTCAATTTTTTGCCCTCATATGTCCCTTTAAAAATTTTCAACAATATTTTTTTCTTTTTACATTTGTTTTTGGGCACTTTCCCTTCAGGGAAAAAAGCCATTGATGGCATTTTAAAGAATTTTGTGAAAAAGATAAGCACAAAAAAAGAACAGGGTCTGAACATTCGGAAAAAAATTTTTTAAATGCGGAAATAGGAAAACACCAGTTGGCTAGAAAAAAAATTGAGATTTGTGCGTGTCAAAAACTAAAAAAAGGGATTCCAAAATTGCTGCCCTCGAAAAAAAAATCAATACGAAAACCTGATGTCAACTACCGTTCTAGACATTACACTGTGGAATGCTGATTGGCAAGAAGAAGCCGCTGAGAACAAAGTGTTTGGAGCATCTTTTTCTCTCTCTCTCAAAAAAAAAAACAAACTCATCGATATACTGATGACCTAGAGGCATTCCATATAAGGAGAAAGTGGAAAATTGCGAGGATGAAGAGCGAAACGCGGGGTTTCCGTGTTCGTAGCAAGACGCAATTCGGCGAAACGCAGATCAAACCCTAGCGACGAAAAACGAGATTTTTATCAGCGATTGGATGGCGCCGCGATGAGGGATGAACAGAACGAAACGGAAAAAAAAAATTTTTTTCGAGAGAGAGAACGACAGCTGATCGATATATTCACCATTGCGGACCATCGCGCTTTTTCGAGGCGGTAATTCAAATTTGCAGCGTCGCGCGAAAATTGGCAAAATGCAAAACGACGCGCTCAAACCTATACTAATACATTGGCCCCGTAAATCTACACATTAATTTTTGTGCCAAGACCACTGTCATTATTGTTTTTGGTATTTTGAGACAGAGAGAGAGAGGGAACTCACGGGGCGGTGTGGCGTCGGGCGTCGCGAATTTCTCGTCGACGATCACACAATCTGCAACAAAACAACAAATTCATCTCCTCCCTTTGAATTGAATTACCTGAGTTGGCACTATAATAGGATTCGGTGCTCGACAGCGTCACAACTTCGGGAATTCGCGGTCGCTGCAATCAAATCGACAATTTTATTTGTTCAGCTGTTTGGTGATCAAAAAAAACACACACTCATAATTTCGTTGGCAATTTCGACGTCACACGCGAATTTCAAATTTCCCGCCAATTTTTTTTCGGAGGGGTGTGATTTGATTTGGCGAAAAAAATCACTACGCAAAAATTACCCTGACTATCTCAATTTTTTCCTCAATTCTCGCGCGTTTCAGACCGCCGTCGACTGTTTGAATCGCTTCTTCGTGGGCGACTGCAAAACGTTTCATGACATTGGCATTTTAAACTTTTCAGATACCTGGCGCCATTATTGAAATTGTCGACGTGTATTTTCGCTTTAACGCCGCCGATTCGGCCGATTCGTCAACGATTCTCTTCTTACTTGGCGATTCTTCTACTGCTACTACAACGACAGAAGGTTTTTCAAGCCTTGATGTCGAGCTCGACCTCTTTCTCAGTCCCACTAGACGACTAGTCGAGTCGTCAGTGGTCCTCTTCTTCCTCGGCGAACATCTAGCAGGTCTTTGATTCGGCGAGCACGATGATCGAGCCGAAGCAAGTCTCGACGTCGAGCTTGATCGTTTTCGTCGTGGCGGAATCGAGCTAAAATTAAATTTAACAAAAAAGAATCCTTCAAAATGTCACCTCAAAATCACAATTTCGTCCGAATCACCAGCTAATCGCTTCTTTCGTGGCGACAGATGTTCGACAAAATTTTCGAGCTTCGACGTCGAAATCGCCTTCTTTCCTACTGTCAATCTCTCATTCAATCTAAAACAAAAAGAGAGAGAGAGAGAGCAATTTGCAAAAAAAATTTAAAAAATTACATTATAATATCTTCTTTATCTCTTTCAAATATTCCTTTCCTTTTTGATAAACTGTTCAGTGGGGTGAGACGTTGTCGATCACACGATGTTGGCGTGGTATCAAGCTTTGATGTCGAGTTGGACCTTCGTCGAGTTAGCGGGGGTTGATTGGAACTAAAATTCAAAAAGCAATCCACAATGAGTAGAACAATTTTCGAAGCTTCACCTTATGATCTTCTTTCTGGGCGACGTGATGGCTTGGGTATAGTTTTCTGAGCTTGCTGTCAGTCTGGAAGTCGAGCTCGACCTTCTCCGTGGTCCCAATGTTCTAACAACGCCGCCATCATCGCTCCTCTTCCTCGGCGACGTTATCCCAAGATTCAGGGTTCCTGGCAATGTCGAGCCCGAGCTTCTTCGTGGTCCCAACAAACTGAATCAAAAGCGTCAAAGTGATTCAAATTTTGGAAATTTTACCTCTGAAATTCCTCAATTTCAAATCGCTTCGTTTTCGGTGGCGTTTGTCTGAGAAGCATTGATCCACTCGACGTTCTGCGTAAGTCTGGATTAGTTGCGATGTCGTCGTTATCCGCCGAATTCGCTGACGAGCTGCGATGTCGTTGAATCGGCAAATTTCGAATGTTCGAAATGTCTTGCTCAATTTTTTCGCTTTCAACACTTTCATACATCAGTTTTAGTGGACCATTGGTCGTTTTAGTTCGCGTTAATTGTTGTTTTGGCTTCTAAACTATAAAATTGTTCGATTTTCGTAGAAATTTCGTACGTTTTGTGTTTCAGTGTCATTTTCCACAAATATCGACGTTCTTAGACTAACAAACGAATAGTCTTTTTTTAATGTTGACCCTGAAACTCGTGAATATTTTATTTTGCGAAAAAAAAATTAGACAATACCTAATCCGGATTCCATTCTCTTTAATGGACTTGCCTAAAATAATGAAAATTATACAAATTTGAAATTTTAAGCAATTAAATACCTGCGATTTTACGGGAGATGGAAGACGTACGCTTCCAGGCATTCTTTTCAATCCTCTTGGAGACATTGTAGAATTCTACAAATTTTCTAAGTTTTTATTAATAAAAAATAATTTACTTTAATGGTTGTGCTCGATTCATTAATTGTTGATGAGTGTTCCATCTGAAATTCCGAAATTATTGCAGAAGCACAAAAAATTGAAAGAGGACGCAATTTTTAAATAGACGCGCGCGCTACGGTACGCAATAGTTCCCAACACCGCGACGCAAAAAGGAACCGGCGTGTTGTTTCCAATTTTTACTCATCGCATTCCTAATTTTAGTATTTTGTTCTTACCTTAGATTCATTATCATTTTATTTTTCGATTAGTTAATATGAAAAATAATTTCAAATTCAGTTATCTCAGTTTAAATGATTAAATTCAATTATTTGAGGGTAAAAAATGTCTCTGTCAATAACTGCATTGACGGCGCCAAGCGTCAAGCATATCCTTTTGGATTCCCTTGTGGTTATGAAAATTGTCAAGCATGTTGACAGCGAATTGCATGCCGGAATTAGTGAGGTAAAAATAAAAGACAATTTTTTTTCAATAAAATCGATAAAATAATCTTTTCAGGTTGCTGGAGAATCTTGCCAAGGAGTTCTCACGGGACTCGTTTCGATGGAAGATTTCCGTCTTGAGATCACAAATTGTTTCCCAACAGCTCGTACAGAGCCCGTTTTAGACGATGAGTCATCTGTTCAAGTAAAAAAATTAAATTAAATCGATATCGCAATTAATCAAATTCTAGGCCTCGCAACAATACGAGGAGCAAAAGCAAGCAGAGATGCTCGATATGCTTCGCAAATTCCGTACAATGAATATTGATTACGAAATTGTTGGATTTTATCAATCTCATCAGTTTGGAGCATGCTTCACGCAAGACCTCGTTGAATCCATGTTCGATTACCAGAGCATGGGACCAGAAAACGTTGTGATTGTCTATGGTATCTTATTTCTAAAGAAACGTTCACAAATCAATTTCAGATCCAATTAAGACGAGACAAGGCCAACTTTCATTGAGAGCCTACCGCTTGTCGATTCAAGCGCTCGAACTTTCCGCTAAAAATGACTGGAGCGTCGAATCGTAAGTATTTCGAATAATGAACATTTTATATCGCATTTATTGATTTTAGCGTGAAAGCCGCTGGATTGACCTATCAAAACATGTTCGAAGAGCTTCCAATCGTCATCAAGTCTTCTTATCTCAACAATGTTCTTATGGCCGAGCTCGCCTTGACGAAAGGAGCTGTCTCTGACAAATATTCGGCCCGTCATTTGGATTTGGGAACAAAAAGGTGGTTTTCAAAGAAATTCTGATAATAATTTTGAATAGCTTGCAGATCTTTGGAGAAATCTGTGCGCGCGATGATGACCAACGTTGATGAGCTCAACAAGTCGATTCAATCATTGACCAAATACACGATGGATAAGCAAAGACATGAGAATATTGTGTTCAGTATGACGCAGAAGAGGGTTCGTGCAATTATTCGGAACAAGTATTGTTAAATTCAAAAGCAAAATCTTCAGCAAGCTGAGAATGAGTCGAGAATTGCTCGCGGTGAACAACCGATTGGTATGGAGGATATCAAGAGAATCAAGCCGCCAACCCTTCAAACTCGAAATGGGCTGCTCGATGAGCTCATGGCTAGCTGTGATACCAACGCACTTGCCGATTTCTGCACAACGGTAGGATGGAATGTTTAAAAATTAAAAATTTCATATTGATTTTTGCGCAGGTAACTGGAGAAAATATCGCGAAATTGTTTATGGCCGAGGCGGTCGCTGAAGACAAGGTCCCAGGAAGTAAAGATCGCTCATCAAGCTCGGTTTCGACTCGTTAATTGATCGCTAGTTGAGATATTGAAAAAATTTTGGTTTTTTTGGGAGAAAACTTGCCTAAAACATGAGAGATTTAGGGATTTTTTGCGTCTTAGGCAATTTTTCTTGTTAACGTATTCTTTTTAAAAAACTTGTTTGTTAACCTGTTGACTTCGTTGTCTTAATATGAAAACAATAAATAATTTAATGGTGAAAATGGTGTTTTTATATGGAATTTTTAGAATGGAATCATTGCCTGAATTTGGGAAATAGTAGTCTAACTAGGGATGGGCGGTGCAAATGAGAAAGTGAAAATTTAATAACTCACTTACAATGAAAGTACAATTTCCGCCTATTTTACATTTGATTCTTAAATTAATTTACAGAATCCAATTGTAATAATTAGTATTCTTAGAAAAAACAAAGACGTAATGAAAAAAAAAGTGAATTAAAAAATAAATAATATGTGGTACTGTAGCATGAAAAATGTGTAATTTCGCGTCGCGTTTACACATTAATTCAAATTTGCATTGTTTCTTTTCGAATTTCTTAGAAAAAACAAATTCAAGTTTTTTTTTTTCATTTTTCCATTAATCGATTTGCAGATCCCAACGATGATTTTGGAAATTCCTATATTAAAGGATTTCCTTTCGAAATCAACTCACGTCTATCGAAATCACCTCTACGATTCAATTGATCGCTTACATTTTTATATAACCGGTTTGAATTAACGAATTCGAATTGAATGAGCCAATTGAATCATTTCTAGTTATTATTCTCACCGTGTTCACCTTGCTGACAGGAGCCAAACAGCATTTCGGGAATCCCATCGATTGTATGCTGACAAAGGAAGTTGATGGTAAATTTGGAGCCGATGAAAATAAAATTGAGCGTAATAATTATCTAGATATCAAATCTTGGAATGACTACATCCACAGCTATTGCCTTATGCATGGAACGTATCGCTATAACTACAGCAATATTGGATACAATTTTCCCGGATACACGGAGACAACAACTGTACCATATTACCAATGGGTTCCATTCTTTTTCGCCGTCCAAGTGTTCTGCTTCGTTCTTCCACATTGGATTTGGACTTGGATGCAGAAGCTTCTTTGTAAGTCAAAATGCAAAATTTTTATAATAAAATGCAAAATTGCAGATCTTGACATGGCTATGATTGTTGGCTATACTCACGATCTCCTCTCTGAGAAAGATATGGGCGCGTATAAAAATAAGGTGACGAGCCTTATAAGCTACACCTACGATCACTTCAAATATCGTCGTTTGCACAAAGTCGGATACTTCGCCTTCATTTTCATGCATCCCGCGTTCGCCTGCTATCTCTACATCATCACAAAAATGTTGTTCCTGTTCAACGCGCTTCTTCAACTCAAAATCGTCAGCTCGTTTTTGGGCTTCAAAAATTGGACATGGGGATTTGATGTGAGAAAACTTGAATTAAAATGCAAATCGTTTTTTTTCAGATTATTTACCAATTTTCAATGGATCGCATTTACGGCGAGGGACCACTTCAAATGGCGGCCAGCGAGAACAAATACCAATATGGCGCGTTCAATCAATTCAAACATTTCCCGATTCTCGTCGCGTGCGATTTTCGCACATATCCCTCATTGGCTCGCATTTTCGCCAACAACACCGCCCAATGCATTATCCCAATGAATATTGTCAATGAGAAATTGTTCGTCTTCATTTGGATCTGGTTTATTTTGGTGGGTAATTAATGCCAATTCGGTCTCGCCACATCGCTTCGAGACCATTTTTGAAATTTTCAGCTCATCGGCGTCACGTTCATCGGAACGCTCGGCTGGATTTTCAAGTTGCTCGACAAAAGAACCAGCGAATCGATGATTTTCCAGCTTCTCAAGGTTGACATCCAAATTCAACTGCCAACTAATGTCGAATTTCAGGATCACGGTGGAAGCGATAGTGAGGACGGCAAACCCGGATTCCGATATGTCGGAAAACGCAACGGAAGCGACTATCGATACGATTTTGTTCATAAGGTTTCAGGAAAAATAAGTCCTCTCTTAAATCTCGCCGATTTTTTCAGTTCCTCGGCGCCGACGGCATCCTTCTGATTCACTTCATGCGCGGCAAATGCGGCACCCTTCAAACGCAGATCGTCATCGACGGATTGTACTCGAGATTCATTGGCGATTTCGAAAAACCGGTGCGTGTCGTCGAGTAAACGCGAAACCGAAAAATCTCATTCGAACAACAACAACAACAACAACAAAAATGAAATAAATTATTAATCTTCATTTTTTTAGACGAAGCCCGTTTTCACCAAAAAAGGTGAACGCGGCGACTATTCTGAAGTCAATTTCGGCGTTGACGAGTCGCAAAATTATCCGATTCGCAAAATCTGACGACATCGAATCTCCCCCTTCACACATCTTTGTTGAATTTTATTTTTTTTTGCGATAAGACACAGGTCAATTTTTAATGTATGAGCTAATCACTCCTTCAATTTGATACACATTAAAGAATAATCAATAAATATTCATTTTAAGTAATGAAGAGAAGAAAAAACGAAAAAATAATAAACAGCAAACAGAAAAATACCAGAAAACCGTAACAATCAGCTATTAAATCGACTATAAAGCGCAGCTTTTGTCTTTTCCTTATGCGACGCCTCGACGCCGCCGCGAATTTTCGAACCAGCCGATCCGAGGCCGGCGCCAAGCACGAAACGCTCGGCCTGAATCGGATTCACGATCCCTTGGCCGTTCTTTCCAACACCTTCGCCTTCTTTCCATCCCATGTTCTTCAGTAGGCGATTGCCAATGTTCGAGTTATCGATGGGTCTCGCCGCGGCGAGCTCGCTCTCTCGTCGTATCGCTTCTTCCGACTTCGCCGCCGACTCTTTGCCGCCCATCACGTCAAACGCATAGCCGGCCGCGTCAATTCCATACTGTTGGCGTCGCTCTTTCGCTCGATCGCGATAGACAATCTTCGGCATCTCGGGCTCCTTCCTCTCATTCCTCTCCTCTTCCTCGAGCGTCTCCGCGTATTGTTTGCCCCATTCGATGCGCTTCTTCTCCAGATTTCCCTAAAAAATGTCCGAATCTTCCAACAAAAAAGAAAGGAAACGATACCCTATGCATATCGCTCTTGTTCACGTGTTTTCGTAGAATGTCAACCGAAGGGAACGCGCGTTTACAAAGCAGACACATCAATTTCGATTCATCGACGAGCGCACGCTCCATCGCCTCGCGCAACTCTTTCGCCGATGGTCCTTTGCGTTGCGTCGGCGCCGGAAGGGTCGTCGAGCTGCTCGGCTCGAGTGCCGCTTCGCCAACCTCATCGTCATCATCATCATCGCCAAGAATTGGCGCCATCTTCTTCTTCTCTACAATTTTTTTCAAAATCGATTCGAGCGTCTTAGCGAGAGAGAAAATCACCAAAATTACCATGAAACACATTTTTCGTCTCCAACGCCTTCGACGGCGCCTTTATCGACATCTGAATCTTCTTCTTCTCCTGCTTTCGCCGCCATTTCTCCATTTCCTTCTGAATATCCTCCGCCTTCTTCGGACCATCGCTCTTCTTCTTCTCCGCCGTCGCCTCCTTCTCCTTCACCTCCGTCGTCACCTCAGTCGATGGCTGCTGTGATTGTGGCTGCTGCTGTTGCTCGACGGTGAAGTACGTCTGATAAGCCATATCATACACACACCACACTTTCGAATCATTATTGAAATAGTAGCCCGTGTTGGTGTCATAGAGGAACGTCGTGATCGGATCCATATAATAGCCGCTGTTGGTGTCGGGAAGAAAGCCGGCCGGATTCGGCACCACATAACGCGGATGGACACTTCCGTTCGGCAATGTCACCGAGCCGATGACACCCTTGGTGTACTGCGCGTTCGGCACCATCATTGACTGCGGCGCCGGCGGCGGATAGCTCGTCGATGAGAGCATTTGGCCAATCTGATTGCTCGTGTCGCGCGCAATTTGCGCTTTCGATATCGCTTTTTCGGCAACGGCCGCGCCGCTCACTGAAAATACTTTCATATTTCCTGGTTTTCTTCAAAATGCGAGAGAGAGAGAGAGAGAGAGAGAAAGATTGTCCTCACTCGATTCTTGATTCGCCGGCGGTGTTGGTCCGTTGACTTGAAGCAAATTCGTCACTTGATGAAGAATTGATTTCGACAATGAGTCCCGACAATAAGTCACTTGAACTATAAAAAAGCACATATTTAATTTTTCGAAAATTGTTGAAATTTTTTTTGCTTACCATCTTTATCGCCGAGTTTCAACGGTTTTCGATAGATCAAATTCAATAGCACAATCGCCTCATCGGTGCTCTTCATGTGCACAAACGCATAACGCTTCGAGTCGGACACTTTCACCATATTGATCGAATTCATCACATTGTAGCCGTGAAGGCCGCTATATATCAAGCACGGATCGCAATTCTCAGGGAGTTGGCGGATCAAAAGCGCTGCAAAACGAGAGAAAATCAATCATTGGCGAACAATATTCGAAAAAAGAAAAATCCGAAATCGCTATTACTATCGCACGCGGCGACTCCAACCATATGCATTCCTTGTTTCTCGAGATCGAACGATTGCTCTTTACTAATATCGCATTTGAAGCAGTTTTGGCGTTTCACAAAATTGTTCATCGAGCACTGCAAAAATTTGAATTCTTCCAAAAAAAATTCCACCCATATCGCCTACGTTGGCGCAAATCCAATCATCTTCTCGTCGCGACGAGCCCGATTGATGATCGCCTTTCGCATATTCGACGACGACACGCCGACCGTCGTCCAAATACAAATAGCCTTGGTTCTCGTCCATCCATTTCGTCGCCACCGCGATATCGGAGAACTCGACGAACGCGAACGTTCGAATTTGTTTCGTCACTGCAATTTCGCGTTCTCAATATTTTTTGTCGCATTTTTCTTTTTTTGCTATTTTTTTTCTTTCACACAAAACCTTTATCAAATTTCGTCATTGTTCTCACGTCTTGTGGCAAATAGCCGCTTTTGCCGAGCGCCAATGTGATCTAAAACGCGTGATTGTAGATCAAAAAAATCGGTTTTCCATTTCGGATTCAATTAACCTTAACATTGTCGACATCGCTTGGCATGTTGAGGATTGCAAGCTTATTCGACGGAATTCCGGGATTCCAGTCATCTTCATCAAATTCCTAAAAACGAATATATTCGGCTTCTCTTATTCTCCGTTTTTCCCCGCCTCCACACAATTGAATTTATTTTCATTATTTTCAATCCCCCCCTCCCAAATTGGTCCAGCGCACTTTCTTACCCGATCACGACTGGCGCTTCTCGATCGGCGCTTCTTCGACGAGTATCGCGACGGTGGAGAACGCGTGCGACTTCGACTCCGGCTCCGATGATCTATAATCTCAGCGACAATTATTCAGAGGTCATCAATCCCCAAAAAAAATGGCGGGAGGTGTGAATTAATCAACGTGATCTCCGTAGTGAAGAAGTAGTAGTAGTAGTAGTAGTAGTAGCTAGCTAGCTCAACCTCTTCGACGACGATGCTCACGGCTGCGGCTGCGAGTTCGACTTCGACGACGGCGGCGCTCCTTGCTTCTCGAACGCGAGCGGCGACGATCGCGTTCACGCGAGCGCTTCCGACGCGACTCGTCCGGTTTGCGCGGCGCGGCGGGCATCGACGAAATCGGCGGCGGTATTCCGGTGAGCTGCGGCACTTGTTGCTGATACGCCGGATATGTCGTCGGCGGAGGCACACTGAAGTTGGGCGGCGGTTGCGACAATGTTGGCGGAAGTTGCGCCATTATTGGCGCGTGCGCCATATTTGGCTCGTTGATGGTTGGCGGCGGTTGATGGAATAGCCTGCGAAAATTAGAATCAATACTACTATTTTCAGGCAGCAATAATTTATCAAAAATTCCGATGAATTTTTCTTCAGGAAAGCCAACAAAATTGAATTTTTGTTTTTCCGAAAAAACTCGCGGTTTTCACGACGAACTATTCCAATCTTACTGTTTTTCCTCGTTCAAACGTTGAAGCGCCTGCTCGGTTTGCCGCATTTGGTGTTGAATGCTCTCGATCTCCTGCCCATTTGATGGCAGCGGCGGATAGCCATGCTGCTGTCCGATACCGACGCGATCCCGATAGAAGCGCGAATTCGCCTGTTATTTAGAATGTTCGAGTATTCAGACAAAATTGAAATTTTTAATCGTTGCGTTATTTCGTCTCATATTTCCTCCCAAAAATATTCAAACAGTGGTATTTAATAAAATTAACCTGTTTCTTTTCGTAATCCATGTAGTACTCTTCGATACCACGCTCTTGGCTATTTGAATTGGCCTGAAATGTCGTTTTAATTTTTATTCGGCATTTATTTATTTATTTTAAGATCAGATTGGTTTTTTTTATTTTCCCATCTCCAGAAGCCGCGATGAATTTACCTCTGCTCTGGAATTATCATCATCCGGATTGTACACAAAAGGAAGCATTTTATTAACTGTAAATGACAACTTTTTAAATCGAATTTATAATAAATGACGACGAAACGAAATTAGCCGGGCGGCGCAACAACGCAAAACAGCAATAATCGAGGAGCGAATCGAAAATGCGAATGAAAACGCAAGACGCATTAAAGGCGCATGAGACGGTGGCAGTGATGTGCAACCGCCGCGAAGAGACGAGTGGGGCACGATTTACGAGCTCGCCTCAATTTTCATTTTTTATTCCTCATTTTTCACGATTTTTTCGATTTAACAATCGCGTTTTCGCAATTTTCAATAGTTTTTATAAAAATATTAAATAAACAACGGATTTACTGTTCGGCATGCTCCGATTCTCCAGCTGAAACACGAAACTAATGAAGATTTTCGCTAATAAATTTACATTGTGATTGCACAGTGTCCTCCTCATCACTATCATAGTAGTTCAAATGCATCCAGCGGTCATCCTGTGTAATCTAAAAGGCTAATAATTGAAATTTTAGTTGAAAATTGGCAACTTTTGCATAATATAGGTAAGCTAAACCGAAAATCGCGCCGACTGCACATGACACCAGGAATCCGGCGATGAGGCGAAGGCGTAAAATGACAATTATACTCTCAAATGCTTCATTAACGGGAAGAAGCGTCGAGTCTCGTGTGAAATTTTGCAAAAACTCGCCATTATTACATCGCGCCTCGCGGCAACACTGCGCGACGCGCTTATCAAAATAGGAAACGCCGAGAGAATCCTAAATTTGGCTCAAATTCGAGCATTTTGACAAATCAAAATTACTTGAATTAAATAGCTGCCGCGTCGGCGAATGTTCGGAATGCACAAATAGCGGAATTCCGGATCTGAAATTTGGTCAAGTAGAAAAAAAAAATTTTTTGAAAAAAAAAAATACATCTATCAGCACAGCCGGTATATATTAATCCTCGTTCGTCAACAACAGCTAAACAACCCTATAAATAATTTTTTGTTCGTTTAAAAACACTTGAAACTTGCCGGACCATATAATATTTCGAATGTTTCGCTTTGAAGCATGACTCAAGAACATTTCCCGTTGATTTGCTTGATTTTGGATTCAAACCATGCAGCATGTAACATTCGAAATCTTCCTGAAACAGAAATTCTTAGAACATTTCGCTCAATTTTTCCCAACCGATTCAACCCATTGTAGGGTGATTTGCACGAGTTGAACCAAAATGTAAATTGTTTTCATTATTTCTTTACACCAATTTTTGTAGAAATGAGCGATTTTTAACGTGATTTTGTTTTCTGTCTTTTAATTTTCTCGAATTTCAGACGATCGTTGTATGGGCGATCTCGACGAACTCGACCGATTACTTCAAGATCAAGCATACGTCAACGGGTATTTTTGTTGTTGTTGTTAAGAGTTTTAAAATTCATGTGTTGGTTTTGTTTTCTAGCTTTACACCATCTGACGCCGATTTTCGTCAAAAATCGCTGATTAATTCATCGCAGCTCAAAAATCGGCCGCATCTTGCTCGCTGGTACCATCATATTAGCTCGTTCGAACAACCAAAACCTTCTGAAATTTCCAAGTAGGGGGGGGGGCTAGAATAAATTTTTAATTTTTCAAAATTCAGAATGACCGCTGAAAACTTGCCGCAACGCGTTTTGGACCATCTCGCCGCCATTCCGAACGGATTTAATAGTATTGAATTGGCGAAAGAATGGAATCTGGACCATCAGAAATTGATCGGAGCGATTAAAAGCCTTCAAACCAACGATGGTGTCATCGAAGCGAAGGATGTGACGGAGAAGAAGACTGAGCTCACCGCCGAAGGTGTTCAAATGGCTCAGGAGGGTTCGCACGAGTTTCGCGTTTTTGAGTTTGTCGGTGCTGACGGCTGCGCGCAAGCCGATGTGTCGGTGGGCGATATTTATGCATTTATTAAAATCACGGTGTTCGTCTTCAGAAGCAGCCATTCGGAAAAGTTGGAATCAGCAAGGCGATGGCTGCTGGTTGGGTGGCCGTCGACAAGAGCGGTGGAGCTGTGCGAGTTGTTCGCAAGCCCGGCGTCGCCGATGTCGTCGACGTCGTCCGTCAGCAACTCGAAGCGTTGAAGACCGGCGGATGTGTGTCGGATAAGGAGAAGGCTGAATTGAAGAAAAGAAAGCTAATCTCGGAAGTGTATGATTGTCTGAACGAAAATCGACAAGCAATTCTATAAGACGCTTCAGGAACATCAAAGGTGTCAAAGTGACGAAGGGACCATCATTCACAACGATTCTCGAAAAGCCCGAGCTTGATCTAACACCGGAGATGATTGCCTCGTATGGCGCAATTTCGGGCAATTCTAGAATATGTGATTTCTAGGGGTTCATGGAAGAGCAAAACGTTCAAGAAGTACAACTTCGAAGCTCTTGGCGTGGTGCCAAACAGTGGGCATTTGCACCCGCTGATGAAAGTGCGTAGCGAATTCCGTCAGATCTTCTTCTCGATGGGCTTCACGGAAATGGCCACCAATCGCTATGTGGAGAGCTCGTTCTGGAATTTCGATGCGCTTTTCCAGGTTTCGCCCAGTTTTGAGTTTTTTCTTCGAAACTAAAATGATTTCGCTTTCAGCCGCAACAGCATCCGGCTCGCGACGCGCACGACACATTCTTTGTGTCGGATCCGGCGATCAGCACCAAATTCCCCGAAGATTATTTGGAGCGTGTGAAGACGGTTCATTCGAAAGGCGGCTACGGATCGGCGGGGTAAGCGGACTGTAGATTTGAATTGGGCCATATAGAACGAAAATTTCAAATTTTCTGCAAATGTGCGTCAAACACGGAATTTGACGCAAATTTTCAGAATGTCGAACAATTATTTTTCGAAATTTCGAAAAATCGGAGTTCGTTCATTTTTTGTTTCAAAAAACCCCGATTTTTGGAGCCGGAACAAATGCTTCTCGCCCATCCCTGAAATGAAGCGAACTCAACAATTTTATCGATTTTCAGATATAATTATGATTGGAAAATTGAAGAAGCTCAGAAGAATGTGCTCAGAACGCACACGACAGCGGTGTCGGCTCGTCAACTCTATCAGCTTGCTCAGGAGGTATGGCGGCAACCAATGAATATCTAATATCATCTGTTTTTTTTAAAGGGATTCCATCCGGCAAAACTGTTCTCAATCGATCGCGTGTTCCGTAATGAGACGCTCGACGCGACACATTTGGCGGAATTCCACCAAGTCGAGGGTGTGATCGCCGAGAAGAATTTGAGTCTCAGCCATTTGATCGGCATTTTCACCGAGTTCTTCAAAAAATTGGGAATCACCAATTTGCGCTTCAAGCCGACGTACAATCCGTACACGGAGCCGAGTATGGAGATATTCGCCTATCATTCGGGACTCGCCAAATGGGTCGAAATCGGCAATTCGGGAATGTTCCGTCCCGAAATGCTTCTGCCGATGGGATTACCGCCCGATGTCAACGTTGCCGGCTATGGATTGTCGTTGGAGCGGTGAGTTTGACGCGTTTTTCGAGAGAACTAAACGAGTTCTCTTTTTTTGGCACGAAATAATGTCAAATTGAACTCAAAAATCCGTAAATATTTTTTGAAAACCACAAATGCTGGTTAAAAATCATAAAAACTTAAAACCGGCAAAAATCACTTGAAAACCCCTTTTAAAAGCCGTTTAAAAATCTTTTGAATACTCGAAAATTGAAAAAAAATTGCTTTGAGTTTTTTTTTTACCAAAATCTGCACAGAAAATGAAAAAAGTGCGCGCTTATATATTTTTTTTTCATTTTTTCTCATCGACCAACAAAATTTATGAAATATACTGGGCGATACCAACAATAGGTTGTCTTCTCATCGTGGCTTCTGAAAATCATTCAAAAGAAGAAAAAACGAAATTGCCAATTAGTCGGCGATTCTCACCGCGACCGGAACGTAGCACGACATTCCGATGGCTTTCTCATTGATGGCCAACACCGGCTGCTCGCCGCCGAGTTTCTCCATCGACGGCTTCTTCGAGACGGCCACTTGCGATTTTTTCTCGATCGGCGTATTCGAGCTCGGCGTTGTCGCTGTCGACGGCGGCTTCTTTTTGCGCAGCTCCCTTCAAAATGATGAGTGTTTGACGAATTGATAGCCCTACAATTTGGCAACGGGATTCTCCTCGTCGTCATCGAAAACGTCATCCTTCTTCTCATCCTTTTTGATGTTGATATTGAATTTGATATCTTCTAAAAAGAAATTTTCAAAATTTTTAACTAGCCGAAAACAATTTGAATCATTTTGGGACCATCGTCTGACGGTTTCTTTGCCGCCTTCATTTTATTGTTGGCTTCCTCGGTTTTGCAATTTTTCGGCGTTTTTTCGCCGTTCTTCACGTCCGACGACGTTGATCGTGATTTCGAGCCATTTTTGGAGCACTGAAATCCATGAGCCGAAAAAAGTCAAATTCTAGATTACACTGAATAGTGATAGAATGAATATAGTGAATGTGAAACCAAAGAGCAACGTTTCCATAAGATTTTGACTGAAAAATTGAAAATTTGTGTTTTTTTTTTGCCTGCTGAATCACCAACCTTTTCATCATAGAAATATTGAATCGATTGCGTGAATTTCCATTTTTTGAATTATTTTTATTTTTATATTTAAAATTTATTTTATGAAAACGAGAAAAGTATTTAAAAATCTACACTGATCTCAGAAGGCCACGCCCCCATTCCATTCAGACGTTTGACGTCGAGAATATCTCGAGTGAAAAATTTGTTTAAAAACCAAACCCCGTAGATTGTCGGCAGATGTGAACTGATCGTTTTTCTTTGCAGACCGACGATGATCAAATATGGAATTAATAACATTAGGGATCTTTTTGGAAGCAAAATCGATTTGCAAGTGATCTACAACACACCGATTTGCAGATTGGACAAATAATTGGCGTTTGTTTTTTTCTCGTCATTTTTGTTGTTAATTTTTATTGTTTTGTTCAGAATTCGGTGATTATTTATTGTATGGCGGCACATTTTTTTTTAAATTGGGTTTGCTTGATAAAAAAAAGTAAATTGTTGAAATTCCGCATTGGCGGCTTTTTTTTTGTTATCAGTTTGACACTGACTCGCGGCGGCGGCGACGAATCGATAATGATTTTAATATTTTTCTTGCTTTCGATTGCGAAAATTTGCATTTGCTTTGATGATGAGTTTTTGGCGAAAATCGGCGATGTTGAGAATGCCGAATTGATCGCGAAACTCAATGGATTCGAGATTGAGAGGAAGGTAAGCTGCGGACAACGTTGCGGGTCGGCGACAGCTCGAACTTTCATTTTTTTTTTCGCATAATGGGCGCTGAAACTTCGTAATTTTGGATATTTCCAGTTTCCTGTAAAAAAAAGCGGCTAGCAAATTTGAAAAAAAAAAGCTTAATATTGAAATATCAAAAAACTTAAAAGAAAAATCCAGAGAATTTAAAGATTTTTTGAAAAATATTCATATTTCGAAAACATTTTTTTGGGTTACGGTAATGAAAGGCGCACGCAGTTTTTGGCCCTGAGTCTCGCAGCGGCGTTGGAGAAAATAGGCAACAATTTTATTTTTCACAGAAAAAAATGAAATTTTTTCAAATCACTTTTGTTTTCATAAGGAATCGCTCAATAAAGGGACAAAAATGAATTTATAATAGGAAAATTTCAATACTGTGAAACATGGTTATTTTTTTCTATTTTTCCTTTTTTATTTCTTTTCAATTTCTTCGAGCCGTAATTTAATGAAAGTTTTCAGCTGCAATCCTATGATGATTTGTTCATTTGCCGACAAAGGCATCATCGAAAAAAGCGGGCGATTGAGGATGAGATTGTTGAGCAGTTGATGCTCAGCCAGCAGATCGAGCTCATCGAGAAGCTTCGCAAATTTCGACGATGTAAAAGGAAGGCGTTTATGGCTGGAAAACTGCCGACGCACGTGGTTGGCTTTAAGAAAAACCCATTAAAAAATAATTCAACACAAATTTTCAGTGGAATTTGCAACCGTCGATGAGAATTCGTGAGGCTTGGAAGGCCGGCTTCAACGCCACACAGGTTACGGTGGCGATCGTGGTGAGACGGCGACCAATTCGAATCATTGACTAGTTTTGATTATTCGCAGGATGATGGCGTCGACGTTGAGCACGTCGATCTTCGCCATTCGTTCACACCAGACGTCTCATTCGATTTTGTGAATTTCGCCAATCTGCCGGTGCCGAGGCGAAAATCGAAAGATTCACAGTGGGTGACGATGTCAAAAAAAAAGAGTTCAGTTGTCTTGAAGGCATGGCACCCAGTGCGCCGGCTTGGTGTCAATGATGGGCCACCAATGCGGTCTTGGTGTCGGGCATGGCGCGAATTTGGGCGGCATTCGATTATTGGGCAGCGAGCTGCTTGACGATGCCTTAGAAGGCGACGCATTGGCATTCAAAAAGGATCATGTAAGAAGCGTCGATTGAAATGCAAGTCCGCAAATGGGTCAACCCGCGTGTTTGCACAATATCGCACAATTGTGCCATCAACCGAAATACATATAATTAATGGAATTCTCAGATTGACGTCTATTCGATTAGTTGGGGACCACGCGACGATGGAACGTCGGCGGAGAAGCCGCAAAAATTCACGGCGGACGCGATCGAGTTCGGCGCGAGAAAGGTGAATCAATGTCCGCAGATCGATTATGTTGATATTTTGTAGGGACGGCGTGGCCTCGGAAATGTCTTCGTGTGGGCTAGTGGAAATGGAGGCCGAAACGGCGATAATTGTGCACTAGACGGATATGTCAATAACGAATATACGGTAACTAGTTAATTATATAATTAATGTCGATTGAATTGATTTTGATTTAGTTGAGTTTCGGCGTGGTGAACGCCGACGGCTCTTCGGCGAGCTACGCGGAAGGCTGCTCGGCAGTCATCGCCGCCGTTTCCGGAGGCGACGCGGCGATCGCGACGACGGGCTTCAATCAAACGTGCGCCAGCATTTCAGGATCCAGTGCTGGCGCTGCCATCGCCGCTGGCGTTATCGCATTGGCCATTCAGGCAAAGTATTGTTTTATTTTGAATTAAAAAAACAAAAAAAAAATGAATCCAAACCAACACCTTCATGTTGGATACCGTAATTCAAGACGCAATTCGTTGCAGCCCATCGATGTCTCAACGCGACATTCAACATCTGATAGCGATCGCCTCGAATCCGGACGCGATTCGGAATGTCGAATGGCATCGGAATGGAGCCGGCTATCGATTCAACAGTCATGTCGGATTCGGATTGCTCGACGCTGAGAAGATGGTAAGGCTCGCCAAACATTGGGTGGGAATCGGGCCCGAGTTGGCGTGTCGTGAGGATTTGGTCCAAACCAAGTGGGTCCCGGGTTGTGTGCGATCCTCTAAAAATCGTCCACTCATTCCAGCATCACCGCATTCCATTCAATCGAGCTCGGCGTCCCATTCAATGGCTGCTCGGTCGGCCATATTGAGCGCGTCGTCGTTGCGATGAGCCTCATTCATTCTCGCCGCGGCCAGCTGTCCGTCTGGCTCCGCAGCCCAACGGGTACGGTAAGCCGATTGTTGGCTCCGAGACCGCTCGACGATCAAGCCAATCTGCTCAATTGGCAATTTGTGAGCACCCACTTTTTCGGTGAATCTCCCGAAGGCGATTGGAGCGTTCTCGTCAGCTCCGAGGTGAGTTGCGCCGAATTCAGCACCTCGTCACATTATTGATATTTCTAGACGCCTCTTCAATTTCGCGTCGAGAACCTATCGCTGAAAGTGGCGGGAAGTCGAATTTATAAATAATTTTTATTATTATTATTAATTTTTTGGCGACTACATACATATTGAACGAACCCGTAGAAAAAAATGAAAAATGAATTAAAAAAAGGCCAATCACATCAAGGTAGATCAAAAATCGTAATGGGAATAGTGTTGGGAGGCGGGTTTCGAGCCGGGCAGCGAATAGCGCATGAAGGATTCATCCTCAATGTCGCACAGGTGTACGGTAGGGGTTAGCGTTCCGCCGTCTGCAATACATTATAATTGACGACACGATTACGGTGCTTACAATTTGACGAGACAAGACGACTCGTTTCCAGCGAATGTCGCGATTTCGAGCTCTTGTGAGCCGATGAGCCGTTAGTGGTCCGTCCGCTTCGGCAGAGTCTCTTGACAATGCACGCCGAGAGGACGACAATCGCCGCCATGCTTATCGAAAGCACCGCACACGTCAAAGCCTTTTCCTTGTTCTGTTTGAAGAAGTGCGCGATCTGGAGGACGTCGTGACCGACGCCGATGAGATTCGGCTCGACCGGCTCGACGTCGGGCACACTCGGCGGCGGATCCATTCGATACTCGTCGTGCGTCACGTAGGAGGCGTCGTTGTTGATCATGTGAATCGACGGCGCCGGCGACGGCGGCGATTCGTCGACAATCCGCTCCCAACGATCCTCCTCCTTCTCCAATGGCGCTTTCGCCGCCTTCGCATTCTTCAGATAGCCTTCAAGGGAAGTCAATTCGCCTTTAATCGCTTCCTCGGAGAATATCTCCTCATTGACTAAAATACGGATAATCGTTGGATCAGAATTGGATCAAACCTACCACACATGTAGACTAGGTGCAAATGAGCATCCTTGCAATCCGTCTCGACGTTGCTTATCGTGCACGACTCCTTCGCATGACATTCTCGGAGTACTGTAGGCAACGCGTCGGTCGAGCATTCTAATCCCGTTGGCGTCGAGCATTGAGCCGACGTTCGCATTTGGGCCGCGTAGATCGCCAATCGACGACCTTCACGACATTCCAAACGGACTTCCGACGACGAGCAGAACGTCTCATCGTCAAACGACACTGTAACAATGGCCTAAGGATAAGCTTCCATGTTTGCTCAATTACCCGGCATACACGCATAGCTCATTTGAAGGTATTTCGATGTGCTCGGACACGGATCATCCTCGAACGTGTGCGAATCGACGACGACGGTGCACTTTCGGCGTTTGTCGCACATCTCGCTGATGCGCTACAATTCAAATGATTTATAAGCTGCCGTCATGATCGATGCGATCAGCGTACCGTGTGCGCTTGAATGACATCGCACGTGCTCGAGTGATGATGGATGATGGATGCCGACGGCGGCGGCGGCCGATGACGGCCGGGACACAATTGCGTTTCGGGAACGACGCGACCGTAGAAGCCCGTCTGCACCATGATCTGCGTGTTGCGCGGACAGCTCAACGTGATGCGCTCGTCGTCGCATGCTTGAACACGATTCGAGCGCAATGATTCGCGAAGGATGTCTGAATCAAATCGTCAACCTTCATATTTCTGTCGCTCGCTCTCGTGCTAGTTAGTAAAGCGCAATTTTCGCACGGCCAACGCATCGGAGAAAAAAAATGGCCTAGGCGGTTTTTATTATATTTTATTTTACGACGTTCGTACGCTTAATAGCTTTTTCGGGCTCCATTTATGGCATGCACTCGTAACTTCAAAATCTCCCCTCCTCAACCCCAACCTTTGGTTTGAGCCAGATTGTCCGCAGCATGCATTGCTTGAAAGCCATAATTATATATAGGGAGGTTGACTGGCAGCAGTAACTGCTCATGCGTGACTTTCTTATACCCATATTTAGTACAGGGGGGGGGGGAGGAACGCTACACTTCACATAAAGCATTGAGCTTTTGCCTTACCTAATCGAGCTTGCAAACGGCGGGCTAAAAAAAGCAATTGAAGGTTTTTTTTTTGAAATTCTTTTGTTGGTCCCCACCCCAAGTCTTTTCAACGCCAATTAGCACGATTCGTAATGAGATCCGATGGATGGGGAGGGGGCGAATGACAGAGAGATAGTGTGCGATTGGCGGAGGGTGTCGAGAAACAAAACACACGTTTTGTCTTTTATTTTATCGCGTGTTCGTCTCGCTTGAGACATTTTATAGCGTCGCCGTTTTTCGGTTTGAAATCGAAACGCAATTTTACTACTTGAACATTGTCGGGGTTCAATTAAACCCCCCTTCTTGAAAAAAAAATCGTAAATTTTGAGAAATGCGCAACTTTTTACGATTTTTGTGTGCAGCGTAAAACAAAACCTTGTTCGAGATTTTCGAAAAGTGGGGGACACTTGAAAACCAGCGGACCACGCTCTCCCCCTTTTCAATTTTCTCCCATAAAAATTGCACGCTGAGAGGCACACATGAGAATATTTCACAACGAACGAGAGTCGAAGCCGGGTTGCGCAAGAGTTCTCCGATTTCCGATTTTTCGCAAAAGGCAGGTGCACACGGGGAAGACGACGACATTTGAGACACACACACACACAACGACTACTCAGAAAAATGTTTATGCGTTGTATAGTTAGTCTGTGTTATAATTTATAATTGACGGGTGCACCACACCGCTTAATGGGGCTTATTACGCCTTATGCCGTTTCCGGGAGATGCATATTATAAATAAACATTGACGATGAGGTCAGGCTCACGGTGGCGAGCCTCACCATTGCGACTCCGTGAGTCGTCTCGATTCAAAGACGAATCATAATTGGATTCGCTCGCGCGAGGCACAAAAGGAGGTGGAAATGATACAATTTTTCGATATTCTCCCCCACGACTGACTCGCATTCATTCGACTCACACGGGTTTACACTTCGCCATCACACAAATGTTTAAGAAAACAAGAGATGGCAGCAAAAAAAAATCAACGACAACAGAGAACTCGAGAAAGAGAGAGAGATGGTTTCGTACCTTCAATATAGCTGGTCTCGGCGCGAATTTGCAAAAATAGTAGGCATAGTGTCGAAATAATGAGCATTGCTCAGCTCCTCCATATGGTTTGCCTTCCTTCGATCACTGAAATTATTTTTGTTTTGAATGTGTGGACGAGGCGAGAGGAAGCGACAACGACAAGCTGCGGATAGCAACCGACGCGACACTTGTTCGAACCCGGGGTGGGCGGAGCCACGCTATCCCACCCACCCGCCTACTTTCAACCTCGCATCCACCCGTTTAAGGGAAGGGGCGGAGCGATTCACATTGAGCATTTCTACAGTAAACGAATATATCCCATATATATGTGCATAAATTATGAAATTTGTGTGAAGCTCTTGTCAAAAGAAATATAATAAACAAAATTGAATTATATTATTAATCCTGAATTGCACAAAGAAATGTGTAGTTGAATAGAAAAAAAATTGCAAACGCGAGAATTTTTGAAATAACGGGTACGGTAGTGGCGACGCGTGTTTGCACCATTTTCGCCTACCGTACCATCATCCAAATTCTTTGTTTGGCCTGGAATAAAACGCCGTTTTATGGCTTTTGGGGATTATTGGCGGATTTTACGACCGAAAATTTGTTCTCGTAAGGCGATTTTTTCTTCATCCAACTTATTCAGATGAATATATTCGACATCGTCCGCCGGTTGTCAGCGCTTTGTCGGAAACCCGCCGGCTCGAAATGATTGATATAACGTTTGGGCGCCGCGCGCGCGAAAATCCAAATGTCGAAACATTTGACAAATTAGTTGGTTTTTGCGCAGAGCATGTTTCCATGGGCTTCGCTTTTTGCGAAGAAGCACATAATTAGCATAGTCAGAGACTCGGGCATTAATCAATGTGATAATATGCGGATTCGCACGCGTCGCCGCAGTACGAACCTCATTTGCATACATACTAATTTGGTATTGTGCGCGAAAAAGTCGTAGTAGTAGTAATCGCGCATGAATAATTGAGGACGAAAGCGTGTTTTGGTAGAAGAAGAAAAATTGGCCGAGTAATTAATTATGTGACATATGCTCTCGCGTCGTGTAAATCACCAAATTAGGCTCATGTCTGAGAAAATTGGCAAGCATTTCGACAATTGTCCCATTCATTCTCGATGATTTTCAATTGCCTTCGATCGCAATTTGTGAGAACGCGAGATTGATTTTATCGTGTGAAAATCAGGCGACAAGAATGAGATGCAAAAAAAATGTGATGCCTGAATTTTTTTATTCCGTGTTTATGATGGTTTGATTCAATGGGTGAAACGCAAATAATAATAATAATAATAATCGAATTCATGGGATGATTTACAGGGAGCGCAATCAGCATTCAATTCAAGTGTTTTGGGGGGAATCGCGCTCGAATCGAATTAAAGCCCCACACCGACCGCTTTTATGTTAAGTGTGCTCAATGGTCGCGCATTATCTCGTGTCGTTCAAAAACTCAATTAATTGAAGTAGTACGAGCAGTCTCAATTGTTCGCCGTAACAGAAGGGGGGGGCTTGCTCTTTTTTTTCGCGCCAAGACCTGAGCCGACCCGAGGCGACCACTACGAATTGATTGTGTAATAATGTGTGTATCACCTTCGCGGAGAGTTTGACATCATAACTTTTTTTTTGGGGTGGCGTCGAGCCGACCAGTTGGTGTGCTTTCCACATTTTTATGACACGATGTCCCATTGTCAATTGCACACACTTTCTCTTTTTTTTTGCGCAATCGCCGACTTTAGTTTTTCGAAAGCAATGGATGGAGAGGGGAACCTGAAAAATATATGTATTGGCTTTAGAATTCAATGATATTTGAGGAATAATGACGACGAAATGGAATAAAATATGGAAAATTGATTTCGCTGAAATGTGTGCGCGATGGCGTCGAATATGGTGTTAAAAATTGCGGACTTTTCGCCATCAATGTGCCGCGTGTTTCAAATTTCCATTTATTTCTGCACATTTTTTGCGCATTCTTTAACCAATTTTAACTTAATTTCGTCACTATTCCAAATTTCTAGACATTATTAAGTGAGTGAACTGCCTCGAAACGATTAAACGCGCGCAAAACTGATGCGTTTTATTGCAGTTTAATATATCCAAAAAGGAATTATTGTTGTCGTCGAGTTAAGGTCAAAAGAGCACACTGAAGATGGTATGATCTACAATGGAACTTTTGGGATGAAGAATTAAAAAAAATGGATTTTATAGCATGACAAAAGAGACGAGCTCGATTTTCGCCTTGTCAACAGCTACCCATGCGGTTCGAAAAAAAGCAGCGGAGTCGTATTCGAGCCATTCGGCACAAATACCAGATATCGTTTGACACTTGGCGAAGTTCAATCGGTTAATGTTGATCTCGACGTTGCTGTCGGCAACGGCTGGACGCGAATCACGCTGAAAGAAGTGCCGAGTTTTCTGTTCGACGCGTTTCAGCTCATTTTCAAAGAGGGCCTCAACATCGACGGAATATTTCGACGAGAGGGCAACTCGGTGCGTTTAAACCGTCCCGATGTGCATGACTTCTATCGGGGCCTTCGCGCGATTCCTCCCGAGTTCACTGTCATCGATGTTTGCACACTAATCAAGAGATTCCTTCGAGATATCAAGGTTTCAACGAAATTGTTGATATTATACAATTGATTCTTTTATTTTCCAGCCAACACTTTTGAATAGCGAGGAGATTCGAGCGAAGCTTCTCAAACGCGCGGCGCGTTGTCGCGACGAGAACCACTTCAAGTTGAGCCATCAAGAGATCGACTATATATTCAAATCGCATCCGATGCTGGCGCCGGCTCACCTCGGCACACTTGGCTACGTCGTCAGAATGCTTCTACGAGTATGATGAGTGATGTTATGGAAATGCGACCCAATTGATTTGTTTCTTGCCCAGATCTCCGAGTACGCGTCGTGCCACAAAATGACGGCCGACAATCTGGCGGTGGTGCTCGTCGGCGCGATTTTCGGCGATTTCATGGGCGGCGGAACGGATTCGCGCAAAAAAGGCGCCCAACACCGTAAATGCACACAAAAGGAGTTGATGTCGAAAAAGGACGACATGAATTTGCAAGTGGCCGCCGTGAAATTGCTAATTATTAATGTAGGTCGGAAACGGCGAAAATGGAAATGGGAATTGAAATTTATTACACAATTGGGCATTGAATTTGCATTTTCGCTATTCTTTTTTTTAGGAAAAAAGAAGAAAAAATAAAATTCTCTAGAGGAGGGAAAGCAATTTTTCTTTCGCGAGCTCATTGATTTCATTAGGAATTCTTGTAAGGGACCATTTCAGGCGAATTTGATTGGTCTTCCTACTGGCCATTATGTTTCCAGCAATCGTCATCTGATGCCGCACAGTATTGTCCGCAGCACAAGCGCAATGCCGAATATTAGGTATATTTGAATATTATGGTTCTAGAAGAAAGGCTTCTGCCTCGTTTCTAGGTGCTCCAGCTCGAGCGACAACGATTTCGTTTTGGATTCGATCGCGAAACCGACGCCGACGACACCGCGCACATCAATGTTCGGCGTGTCGAATCGCAATCTGTGTCGTCGCGATTCGGATCTCACCGGCATTCTTGCGGCGAAAGCGAAACACCAAAAAGACATTGAATCGGCGACAAAAGTCAAGAAGCGCTCGTCGTCGTTTCTGCCGATCACGTCGTTGCGCGGCTTCCGCGAAAAGGTCTCCAGTCAATTTTTGCGACGTGCGAAATCGCCGAGTCCCGAACGCAAACCGATGGTCTCGCCGCGAAAATTGGACTTTAGCTGCTCCGATGACGAGCCGCGATCGCCAACAATTCGTCCGATGATGCGTCGCGGCAATACGCCGTCGGTGAGCGAATCGCGGTGCGGATCGATTGGCTCGACGTCATCGGGACGCCAGTCGAGAAGTCATCAGGCGCGCAAAGGCACCATGAACTCGGCCCAACGCAAATCGATAATGGATATTGAGAAGCTGAAGAAGCCGTCAATTGTGTCGTCCGAATCGACAACGTCGACCATGACGAATCGCTCGCTTAGACGCGTGTCGCAATCGGAGCAGAACAGCGGCGGTGGAGCGGCGGCGTTGAAGCGACGCGAATCGGATGAGTGCCGAACGACGGCGAGCGGCGACACGGCGATCGTTGTGACGCCGCCGTCGCTTCGGAAGAAGAAGAAGAAGATGACGCCGATGAGGCGAAACACTGTGAGCATTGGAAGTATCATGTGAGTCGAATTTAGTCGAGCAACACCGAACCTCTCGAATTTCAGTTGTAAATCGAATCGCAACAAGGTTAGCACGTCGCCGCAGCGTCGAGCCACGTGTTGGGAAGTGGGAACGATTCGAGAGGAAAAAGAGAATGTGGCGGCGCCGTCGGAAAGCTGCGGGAATCTTCTGATCGGCGATCGTCCTGATGAGAGTGTCGCTTCGGACACATTCGAGTTGACCAACTCATTCATCGATGTGGTAATTTGGTTTTGCTTCTTTTTTTCCATCGAAAATCATGTTGCGTTTGTTTCGAACATCAGGTGAACCATGAAGCACGTAGACGTCGCGCATGCTTTTCGGAACGTCGTCAACGGAAGAAGCCGAACTCGGAATCGCTGATGGTTCTCAATGGTTCGGCGGTGTTTGAAAAGTCGGATGTGAAATGGCGAAAAGATTCGGGAAACGACGGTCCCGATTCGGTCGTCATGCAGAATCGCCTACAGAGCATCGTGGGAACACCGACGAAGGCGGAAGCGGCGGCGATGGCGCAATTTTTGAGGGCGTCGACGTCGAGCACCCCGTTTACGGGAATTGGTCGAGTTGCGGCGACGCCGATGACGTTGACGAATGTTGATAGTATTGGAATCAAGAAGCAACATGAGAACGGCCATGTATGGGTTGGTGAAAAGCAGACGGTGATGCAATCGCCGCAGCCGAAGCGTAGTGGTCATTGCGAAGAGACGAGGGCGATGTCAGCGGCACCGAATCTCGCCAGTATGAGAAGAGCAACACCGCCGCCGCCGTCGTCATTGTACACCTCGCCGCTGCGAGACCCGATCGTCGCACCGTCGCGATTCACAATCCAATCGCCGGTGTTGAGACGCGCGTTCGAATCGCAGCAACGATTGTCGGCCACGAAGACGATGTCGCCGTTGGTGACGCGCTCGAAATCGCATCTGTGCGATGAGAAGGTGTCGAGAAATGAGTGTAAGTGCGCGCATTGGTGCCGAATTGATGGGGGCGATTGTCGTTTTTCAGACGCGGCGCTGGCCACACCGCCGAGATGTCGGCGAGTTCGCACACCGCCGCGACCATCCAGCTTGATATACTCAACGCCGATGCAGAATCGGAAGCCGATGGGCGGGAATCCGCTTGGAACAGCTTCGAGACCTCTATTAAGCTCGTCGTCTTCTTTGGCGTCGTTCCGAAGTATTCAGCCTCTTCCGCCGCCGTCTCCATTGGTGTTCCGTAAAGCGATTCCGTCGACGCCGACGACGCCGCACTCGAGAAAGGCGATGCCGGCGAAGGATGTGTTCAAATGTCCGGTTCTGCCGCCGATCAAAGACTTGCGACCGCAAACGAAGAGCGCCGATCTTGATGATCGTCATTATCCGCATCGACCGGCGAGCAAAGAGCCGCGACACGTCAGCACGTCGGCGTTGGAGGATCAAATCAAATCGAGATCGTCGTCGCGCGCTTCTGGCGTTTTCGACGGCGAATCCGACACCGAATTTGGGTTCGGCGAGTACAATGACGTCATCAAATCGGCAAATAACGAAATGGTGGGATTCATTTAACAAAAAAAGAAATCCAACATTATTGTTTAGAATCTTCCCACTCGCCATCAAAGTCTAGAATCGCGACCATCGGTTGTTGAGATTCGCACGTCGAACTCTGGATTCGTGCGATCGCGTGTCAATCAATTTCAGGGATTGTCGCGAGCGTCGATTGATAATTCATCAAGTGGACGTGTGAGTCTTAAATCTTAAAATTTTTGAAGGAATTTTCTAAAAAAAATAGTTGGAAGCATGAGTTTATTAACGGCACACGTTGCTTCACCTCTGCTTCACCTCATTTCATGTATAGTTTTGTTGTTTTGAATTGTTAGGATTTCAGACGTCGGCATTCTCGATGCGAAGCACTGAAACACTATCGTCTGTTGAAGGAAACACGAAACCGAAAACCTAAAAATGAGAATTATTTGTCTTTTATTATTATTTCTTTTTTTTTCTTCATTTCACTTCTGATTCGTCTCGTCTTCCTCATCTCATCCCCAATTCTCGTTGTTCACTATTATAATTATTATGATTATTTCAACTAATCCAATCGTTCGTCCCAAAATCCACAGACATCCTCCATTGTTTTTTTTTCGGCACACGGTCAATTTTTCAATTTTCTTTTTTTGCTCATCTCGTATTTGTCATCAGTTATTTTCTTTTTCTTCCTCTCTCGACTATTATTCGAATTATTTCAATATTCAAACAAATATTAAATAGCCAGCCAAATGATCACCTTCTTCTCGTATGTAGTTTGTTTCCTCCTCGTTTATTAGTTTTTTTTTTCCATTCCGGTTCAACATTCATCGATTTGCTTCTCTCCGTCATTCCTCCAACGGTTTTTTCTCGACCTTCCTCTTTTTCCGTCTTCCCATGTATTTGTAAATGAATGTTTTGCTGTTTTGTTGTTGCCTTGTTTTTGAAATTTTGTGTTTGAAATCACACAAAATGCGTATTTTTGCGATCGATTTGATTTTTGCACACAGTTTAAACGGATGAATTGCGATTGGTTTTGAGGCACCAGCGAGTTTTTCATTTTCGTGTTGAGACCCAAAATCAACATTTCGCCAGATAAGCCGCATTGGCTTTAAAAAATGGAAGAGTTTAACATTTTTTTGAATTATCATTTTTTATACGCAAATATTGCTGAATGAACTTTTTTTCGCTTGAGAACCATCTGAACAAATGCATTCTAAAAATAATCAAATGTGTGCAATTTTGCGTGCGTGTGTTTCTCGGAAAAATCGTGTCAAATCGAAACGGCAATGAAAACAAATGTTTGCGTCTCTCAAAATCACACACTCTTTTAATGGCGTTTTTACAGCACGATTTTCTTTAATTTTTTTTTCATTCAAAGTTTTTTGTGCTCAATAAAAAATTTAAAGCCTGCAGAAATTTTGAATTAATCCTTTTTTTTTAGATTTCTGTAAATAACCGAAAATTGTTGAAGTATTTTTGGAATTTCGCAATTAAAATGGGCTTTTCTTGCAAAATTCGTTTAGACATGGTCGCGAAACACATTCGAACCCAATTCCTCATAATTGTATGGCTCAGATGTCCTTGCGTCGACCCGATGCGATGCAATGTCGCGTTGTTGTTTCGCCGCCTCGCCCACCCTACTCGTTTCATGCGCTCTCTCGTCTCGTTCAGAAGGCACAAATGGTCGTTGTGCATTCGCCGCCTATCGTTTCCCATTTTGATTTCGCATTCGCTATAATCCATGAATAAATTTTGATTCTAGAATGGCGGATAGTTCAACAACTGGCGTCGATTCGCAGAATATTGAAAGCGGAAATGTTGGCGAGTTGGCGTCGATGGTAAGTCGAATTTTGATTTGTTTTTATTTTTAGACAAACAATTGAAATATTATTAACAATTTCAATTAATTTCGCGTCTTCGCGTCAGCTTTTTGGTTAGTCTATAGTATAATTGTGAAATAATATGCGGAAAATATTGTTACGAATTTCCAGCTGCGGACATTTTTGTATATGTCCGCAGATGGTTTTCTTTATGGCCATATCCCCGCGAATATTAAAAAGTGTGGAAGATGTTAGCGGAACCGGGAGGAGGCGGCACATGCAAAAACAATTATCATATATCGGCGTCATCAAGCCGCGGCGAGGCAAAGAAAACAGCGAAAAAAAAAGTGGTATCGATGATGTGTTTTTGCCAACTGCATAGTAGAGATGTCACGATTTCACACAATTTGATTGATTGTCCATCGAATGTCTTAATTACACCAAAAAGAAAAACTGGATTGATAATGGAATGCGGTTTTTGTTACAGATCCAGGGAGTTCTGCAGCAGACGCAGGATCGCTTCCAGCACATGTCCGACACGATTATTCGGCGAATCGATGATATGACGAAGAGAATCGATGATTTGGAGAAGAATATCAGCGATTTGATGGCGCAGAATCAGGTCGATCAGCCGCCGACTGTCTGAAAATTGATTAATTTAATGATTCTTGTAAAATTTTGCATAAATATTTCGTTTTGCTAACAAATGAGTTTTTTTTTTCTGGATTTTCAAAGCGGAATTGATCCCTCAAAATATTTCATTATTAAACGATTTGAAACAAAATCGGCGGTTTTTTTTGCAGATGGGAGCGCAGAACGGAAAACAGGTCCGGAATTTCGAGAATTTGAGCCAGAGCGACGCGCGTCGAGTTGAGGAGACTTTCAAAAATCATGGAGCACAAAAAGGGAAATTGGATTTGCATCATTTTCAGGTAGGCGATGCGTTTTGGCGTCGCGGTGTTTGCGGACCAACGGCCGATTACCGTATCGAGTAGCTCAAATTTTAGCGAGCGTTTCCGTCGCTCGGCGCGTTCTCCGAATTGCTCTTCGAGCGCATCTCCGATGAGCACGATCGAATTCATTGTGCCGATCTGCTGCAAGTGTGCAATGACGCCTACGGAAGCTATGACGAGCAGGCGCAGAATTTGATCAAAGTTTTCGGCGACGAGTTCGCACAGGTGCCAAAATCCATCGATTTTTTTTTGCCCGCCAATTTTTGCCGATTTCCAGATTGCTCGACGCGTCGCCGACTTCTACTGCGCCGCCCATCATTTGGCGTCGTCGGAATCGTCGAAACTCGCCGAACACTTTGAGCACACCAATCGCTATCCGCTGGATCGTCTGGATAAGTATCTCGTCGCGGCGCCGCTGTTCGCGAAATTGTCGAAATGCGCGTTCTCGCGCATTTTGGCCGTCGACGAGCCGCCGCGCATTTTGCCGAAATTGGCCGGCGAAACGCGTCTAATGTCGAAAGCCGACCTAATGGTCCTCAACGCGCAAATGATGATGGACCAGCAAAATCGTTGGCAATTGCTATTCGCAAGGTTCGATTTTTTGTTGTTAGTTTTGCTTCATTAAGAATTTCCAGCGCTTTGATGGGCTCATCATTCGCGCAAATGGTCAAACGAATTAATCGCGAGGGTCCCTGCATTGTAGTGATCCAATCGAAATCGGACCACGTTTTTGGGTTCTACGCCTCCGACGGTTTCCAGTCGGGACCATTGTATCATGGCAACGAGACATGCTTCCTATTTGAGCTCGATCGCCATATACGAATATTCAATAGCACCGGACGCGTCGACAAGTACGCGTATCTCAATTTTCAGCAGCAAAGTATGCCCAACGGAATGGTTTGTGCACCGCGCTCGCGTTTTTTTTTTGACGAGCCTCGAAATTCCAGGGAATCGGCGGCGCTGGCGACGTGTGGCCGTTGTTCATCCGCGAGGACTACGGCACCGGCATCTGTCAGAACGGTTCGGTGGCGTTCGACGCGTGTTTCGTCGCCAAAGAAAAAGAATTTGCGATCAAAAATATGGAAGTGTGGCGCATCGGCGAGAAACCGGTAATCATCGGCGCCGATGGCGAAGTTGTGAAATCCGAAAAATCCATCATCGACAAGGTGCGCGCTTATTGGCGTGTGTTCTCTCTTCTTTCTTTTTTTTTGCGTTACCATTGATTGAATCGCTTCAGGACCCGGAAGCTCGCGCGATTCTTGAAATGTCGGGCAAGAAAATGCATTCCGAGGCGTATCGCGAACCGGCGCCGCTGCTTGACGATGAAGACGAGTTCCAGAAATAATCTATTTCAAACATTCCTTATTTATAATTAAAAGAAAACGCGAACGATAAAGATTCTACACAAAAAGGCGAGTTGAAGCTACAATACAGAATATGATATTGATCTACTTTTTCTCCTGTGGCGCCGCCGGCTCGTGAATCGTCTCGTAGCCGCTGGTCATTGATTCGTTGCGGAAGTTGGGGAATGTCTCCCACGGAGTGTCGAGATCGAATTTGCGGAACTCTTGCGCGAGTTCGGATGGCTCGTACACGACGCGTTTCAACTCTGGATCATAGCGAATCTGCAAAAATTTTAAATTCATGCGTTTCTACTAATGTCCTTACCTCGGTGTATCCGGAAAGCGGGTAATCTTTTCGGAACGGATGGCCCTCGAATCCATAATCGGTCAAAATGCGTCTCAAATCCGGGTGATTGTTGAACCAGACTCCATACATATCATACACTTCGCGCTCGTACCAATTGGCGCCTCGGAATACCGACGTCACCGAGTCGAGCGGCGCGATCTCGTCGGTGTAGGTCCTGACGCGAATGCGGGCGTTGAAGCGCACCGAAAACAGCGAATAGATGACCTCGAAGCGATTTTGACGGGTTGGCACATCCATTCCGGTGATGAATGTGAGATTTGTGAACTGCGCCGAATGGTTGCCTTTGAGGAAGCTCAACACCGGAACGACGCCGGAAGGATGGATGAGCAGCTCGAGCTCGTCGCCGGCGGCGAATTGAACGCGCTGCACGAATTTCGGAAGGCAATCGGCCGCGTACCGGCCGAAGTTCGCCAAACGATCGCGTTTTTTCTCATCAATCTTCCAAATTGTTGCTGAAATAGTTCAAAAATTCTAAATTCTTCCAATTGTACAATTTCCCGTGAATTTGATCATTTCTATCATCATTTTTCGTAAGCACGCAGACATTTTCTATGGCTTTCTCATTATTAAAAAAAAAAGTAACTAGACTTACGCTTCTTCTTCTCGGTGACGGCTTTTTCCGCGGCAACCGTACTCGTCGAGATTGGAGCGCTTCGCGAGATTTGTCTCGACACTGCCGTGCGAAGGACACTACCCAACATTTATCTGAAAAGTTTCAATTTTCGATTTTGGCGAAAATTCGCTGAAAATTGCCGCAAAATTGTAAAATTGAAAATTGTCCACCGCGCACTCGAAACGCGCCAGCGCCAACTAGAAAAGCGCCAGCCTTCTCAGCATGGCACATTTTGTGTGCATTTCAAAATTATTCAACAAAAAAATTAAAAACATATTTATTATATAATTCAACACAAATCAACATTCAACTCTTCACTGAACTCCTTACTCGAAGGATCGTCATGCGGATTTTGGCGATCAATCGAATCAATACGATCCCAAATAAGTCTCAAGGCTGTCAGAATCTTCGAATAACTCCCATAAATTGTGACATTGGCGAATTCAGCTTCGTCCTTGTCAATTTTTATGTTGACACTCGTGCGCTCCTTAATTTCATTGATCTTCGACCCGTGCTTGCCTATAATTAATATAGTTTCGAAAAAGTACAATGGAGGTCAGAAGTGGCTCTAATAATAACCAGTATTGCGGAAACTGGTTCAGAAACAATGAGAAACGATGGACGAACCAATGAGAAAACCTATCAAATCGTTGGGAATTTTCATCTCATATTCACAGTTTCGATTGCGCAATTCGGTGATATTTCGACGAACCTCGATGGTGGCTTTCTAGAAATCAATTTTTGAAAAAAAAATTGTTCGGGGCAAAAGATACTGCTTACTTTGACGTCGTTATACTGACCGACGATGGACACGATTTTTCGGTTTTCATCAGCATCGAGCTCTATAATGACCTTTAAATGATACGATAATTGGCTATAATATCCAATTATTGGTTATATACGTTATTTTGTTTCGACAATTTCTTGATTTCGCTTCCTTCCTGCCCAATAAATCTTCCGATGAGTGGAGTCGGCAGCGAGCGCGTTACGTCAATTCGAACGGTTCTAGCCGCCATTCGGCCCAATTAATCACGCCTATAATGAAAGAGAAATTGCGTTGAAGTTGCCGTATTCCCTATAAATTGTTGTTGTTGTTGTTTTTTTTTTAATTCTTTCCGTTCAATGCTATATTGATTTTTGGGCGGCAGCGGGCAGGCGTCGCGCGAGAAACGCGCCGCCCACCTAGGAGTTTCGAAGGGAGGGCTGGGAGGGGGCGGCGCCGACGAACCAGCTGCGTCGGCGCGCTGTCGACTGTTTGGCACTGTATGTGTTAGAAAATGGCACGAACCTTGCTGGTGACGGTGTTAGCGGTCTTGTTGAAGGCGTCGACTCAAAGAAATATCAATTCTCATGGAAATTCGGTGAGTTGCGCGTACGTTTTCGCGTATTGTGTGCAAACACATCTCTGCGGACTGTCGTAAGATGTGATGTTTTCACCCTATTTTACAATTTTTTTTTCAATTTCCTTATTTCCAGCATTTTTTTAAAGTTTATTTCCAATAGTATACAATATAATAAATATATATATATATAGATTTAACAAATCGGATTAAATTGCCCATCTATAGCCAGTTGGCAAGCGCCGAATTGAAAGTTCATAATGTTATATTGAGTTTTACGGCCGTAAAAACTTTGCGGTTTTTTTCCCCTTACCAACACAAAGTCCATCCTCACGTATGACCTCGCTTCTTATCTGTGTAAACTCAATTAAATGCTTCTAAAATGAGAAATGAGGTTCCTCGAATTGTAGCAAAACCAATTTACACACCATAATTGGGAATTGTGTAAAAATCCAGAGATTACACAAAATCGTGTGTCGGTTCCAGCCGTTCAACTTTTTTTTCCTCGTTCGTCCTTGCTTCGACAATCTTGTCAAGTGCGCACCTTGTTGACACTTGTCTGCGTCTCTCATGATCACCACACACTCTCGTCATATCCTTAAAATTGCATAAACAAGAAAGCCCATCAAGGAGTGGAAAAAACATGCAAAAATTGCGCCTCCTGCCGCGCGTTTTATATTTTTAATGTGTAGTTTCGCTCATTAATCGAAAGTGAGCGGGAGGGATTAGGGTGAATAAAACTGGTCAGTATAGTGTCTATAATATTACAAAATGGTTTTTAGTATGCGCCCTGAATGGATAATCCCACGACTAGGTAATCATTTCGAATTACAGGATTGCTCATACGAGTCCGAGAATTTGGCGTTGAATTGGTCCTACGACGAGCTCAGCAATGATGTCGTTTTCAAGATGGTCGCGAGGAACTCGAAATCGGCGAGCTTCTACACACCAGTCGCGTTTGGAGATGAGACGCCCGTTAGTTGATTTTTGTGTTGAGGCACCATGTGAAAATTTTAGAACGACGTGGTGACTGTTTACGTGAGAAACGGACAAATTGGATTAATCGATGGGCATTTGGACAGCGAAGAAGGGACCATCGAAGCCGATGAGAAGACCAATGTTCAGGCTCTTGGATTCGATTTGCAAAACGGCGTGCTGACAGCTCAATGTGCGATTGATCTTTTTGATCTCTCAACCGTTACATGTTTTCTTTTTAGTTGCGAGACCTGTTGAAACCAGCGATGAAGACGACGCGTATCTTGGGAATTGCATCACCATGTTCCTGCCGGTCGAATCGCACGAGATCGTGCCGAGCCAACCGTTGATCATGCCGACGAATTTGAACAAAATTCGAATTTGCGATATTGTGGTGACATGCACCGATAAGAAGCACTCGGGTGAGTATCGTTTTGTTCGCCGTCATCGGATCCATCCGATTTCAGATGTTCTTGTGAAGCGCCAACAGGAGGCCATCTGTGCCAGTGGTCCGGAATCACAGAAGAATCGGATCACTTGGACGGTCGATGGCGACAATGTGGTGTTCGACGTGAACCAGAACGCCAAAAAAGGGCGATGGTGGACAGCGATTGGTGTTGGGTCAAGCATGGAGGTAAAATGATGCAAGCCTGGCATAAAATCCACCGGAAATTTTTCCTCGAATTCAGAACTTGAATTTGATTGGATTGTTCGCTGAAAATGGACGACTGAAACATGAGGGTATTTATCGAACCGAGGGCAAAATGCAGCCGGAGCCGTTCGAAATTGAGAACGTCGCTTTGGAGAGAAGAAGCGCGAATGTGAAGGGCGGACGCGCGCAATTCGAGATCGCTGTCAGCAAGCGATTCTTCACCGAAGCCGCTGATGAGAGTGGCTGCTTCACACTTCAAATCGCGATTTTGGCTGGCAACTACAAGCCGAAATTTTTGATTGGCAAACACAAGCAGACGCCAACGGCCATCGAGATTTGCAATTTGGACGCGTGCGGTGCTTCATCGGAATTCCAGCTTGATCCAACGACGACGACGACGACGACAGAAGCGGCGGCGCCGCAAGAGGCAAGCACTGTGACGGCCGCGCATATTGAAATCGCTTCGACGGTGGCGTCGCCGGCGTCGTTGTCGACCACCGAAGAAGCGAAGCAGCCGATTCTGACGGTGGCGTCGACGCCGATTCCGGCCGTTTTGAATCCTGACGTTGAAGGATCAGCAGAGGTGCCCACAATGGCTACCGTAGAAGTCGAAGGTTCTGGGCAAGGTGATGTGACACCACTGACGAACGAACTTGACGGAAATCCGACTGGAAAAGGTGGGATTCATATTTTCTCCGAATTTGTCTTTCAAAATTGCAAACTTCTTAAGCTTCAGGATGCGGTGCGAATCATGAGGACTTGAAAGTGTGCGAATCGTACTTCGCTGAATATCTAGGCAAAGTTGACGAATGGTCAAAACGCCATAATATGACGATAGCGTCGCACATGTGGAAGGTAGAATTGTGAGTGATTGTTGAAATCGAATATTGAGATTGGCAGGCTTGCACGCTGCTCTCGCAGGTCCAACACGTGACCACAATGTGTTGCACGATATTCAGAAGCACGTGCGCCACGCATTTGCAGCTCTAAGAGCTATCGATCGACACCGTACATCTGTTTTGGACACATATTGGCATGTCATTAAAAATGTTTCCTTTTTTGCATTTTTACCTCATATTTATTGTTATACAATGCTATTATTATCATTATATATATATACACCATTCAAACGCATTTATATAAATTGTCATTCTTTTTTAATGTGGGTATCAATGCAGTTTGTCTGCTGTTGTGTAGGTACTTGCCAATGCGCTCTTCGCTACTTGTGACTCGCTCTGTAAATTAAACTATACGCAATTTATTATCGTATATATCGCAATTTATCGTATATATTTATAGGTATATGCATATTCAGACATGCAATTTTCTATTCATCTTCTCCCTTCTTCTATTTTTTCGTTTGCCATTATGTCTGACCTTCGACATGGAAATAGTGTGTTGGGATGAGAGGGTCTCGAGATTCTGATGCGTTCCGCCTCAATTATGCGAAACGGCTTAACCTTGACGGTGATGGGGTGCTTCTCTTTTTTTTTGAAGACACCAAAAAAGCGAGAAAGTGATTTGTTGGTTGAAGAAGGACGAGGTGTGCCCGGGAGGGGGGGGGTTTGATCTACCTGCACGAACTCGGCGAACTCATTCAACGGCTGCAAAAACGCCATATTCATTGCGACGGTGATGTGAAGCGAAATCGCGCCGAGATACATCCAGAATGGTCCCAGAGCGCTGAAAAAGAAGAAGAAAAAATTAATTTTTCGGAAAAAAAAGTTGGCCAACTCGTAGAATTTCTTCTCGTTGATGAAATTGTGTGGCAACTGATGAAGGTAGGCGTTTCGTTTTCCTGAAATTTGGCTTGAATTCGATTGCAAAATTTAAAGGCGCATACCGATTGCCATCAAAAGGATGATCGAGACGGCGAGAATGTCGGTGAGCACCATTAACGCGATGGTGATGGTTGAATGGATTGTGACGAGAAGGCGTCGTCGCGTCAAGACGCCGAATGTCTGAAATTTGAATTGCCGCGAAAAATTGGATGAGTGGGGTGAGTTTTTTGCGCGCGAGATTCAAATTTCTTTCAAAACAATTTTGTCCGCAGCTGCTCGCAGTCTAGAGATCAAAAGGATTCAAAATTAGCAGAAAATAAGGGGGCGAATTGAGAAAGGGTGGTGTGCGCCTTTAAATTCGTTTTTTTTCTTCTAAATATTGCCACACTTTGTTTCTTTGTTGGCATGTGTTTTTTCGCGAATTAAAGGCGCACAATTGAAGGTCTCATGGCGAAGAGACGAAAAATGATTTGGTCGTGGTTTTTTTTTAATTTTGGTTTCTCACCGCGACAATTGCTCCACCGATGTAGATCGTCGCCACCGGAATGATCACCATACGAAACGTGGCGGGCACGAGAAAATAGGCGCGCGACTCGAGAACGAAATAGGCGGCGAGTTGGAGAAGCATGGCGAGTATCTGAACGTCGGTCGACCAATTGATTGGAGGAGCACGAGACACCCACCTGAAGGATGAGCGTGGCGAACGCGGCTCGCGGCACGTCGAGCAACTCGAAGCACGCCGTCGGTCGGCGTCGCCTCGTCGACATTGTGTGGCGGCGTCTGGAACACACGGGTGTTGGGCGCAAATTGGCGCCAACTGGGTGTCTCTCTCTCTCTCTCTCTCTTTTTTTTTGGTGTATGGGTGAAACGCACACCCACACCAAAAAATCAAACTAGACCAATTTTGTCGAGATTATTCATTGCTTTTTTTCTGGCGTGATTGATAACTGATTGATTTTTGATGCCAATTATCAGTTTTTTTTTCACGCTCCTCCTCGAAATTGCCTATTTTAGACTCGAAATGTGACGTCATTTTCTCTCCCTCTGGCATGGGTGGTATTGCACTTGGTTTGACGATAAATTGCGGACTTTTTACATTATTAAATTTGCACCACATTTGACGAGAAAATGCGGATATTTTACGGTGTTAATTTTGCAGTTGATTTGACGACAAAGTGCAGACTTTTATATATAGATTTTTGCACCAGAATTGACGATAAAATGCGGATAGTTTACACTATTTATTTTGCACTCAGTTTGACGACAATTTGCGGACTTTCTGCTGTCATTTTGCGAGTTGAATATTTAAATTGAAAAGTGAAAGAGTACGGTAGCAATGGTTTAACTGTGGAACGCAAAAAAATGAGAAGTAGAACAAATCGATTTCGCCGCGGCGAAGCTTGAATCGATACGGTTCGGGATTTTGGCTGACCGCATGCGAGTGTCTGCGCACTCCGCGATTCGCGAACTCTCTCTCTAGTCGCATTGACCCATATTTTTGTGGAATTCACTCTTGAAGTATCCCATCGAATTCATTATTTTGGGATTTGCGCGTGTGTTCTAAACGTGGCCTAGAATTTGCAAAACGCGGACTAACTTTTTGAATTGTTGCTATTATACGGCCATGATGGTAACAAATATGAATATTTATATAGAATATTAAAAATACACATGATAGGCATATTGTACAGATTCGCACGTTGAGATCGAAATGGGATGACCATTGGACAAAATATGTATACAAGATGGTAGTTTGGAAACAAAAACAAATAATATAAATAAATAAATAAAAATAATAGTTAGCAGAATTCGGGAACCCGTTGTGCTCTTCTCTCAGTCTACGTTCTAAATGTACAATCGGCGTTTTATACACATCGATGAGCGGCGCCTCTCATAATTGACGTCGTCGGGCATCGCCGGCGAATGCGAGAGCATGTAGTTGACGGCTTCGCTCTTTTGCGTCGGCGGAAGCTGCTCGATTTTTTTGTTGATCGTGCCGAGAATGTACTCGATGTCGCGATGACTGTGCGCTTTTCGAATCTGCGAATCGCAATGCAATTTAAAAAAATTGAAGAACGAAATTGGATTTTACCTTTTGCTTTTCGGCCTCGTTGAGAAAATTGTTGAAGACCGCCGGCGGTCGCAACGCGATCAGCATCCGCTCGATTCGCCTCCTCTCGCTTGCGTGGAGTTCAGCGTCGACGAGCTTCTGTTTGACGAGCTTCATCAATTCCGGATAGCTGGCGGTGGCGTGAAGCGATGAGATCATCGCCAGCTCGTAGTCGGTCCAGTCGAGAAGCTGAACCATCGGGATTTTTATCATGGTGGTGGGGTGGGGGGGGGACGTTGGCGATAATGGTGTACCTTGAAAATGCCGCCGTGTCCGATGAGTCCCTCTCGCGCGCTATACTGCTCGCTGCTGACGTCGTCGGCCGCCGTCAGCATGATCGTGGCGGCGACGATGAGAACGACTCGCATTGTGGATAGCTGTAAAACGCGTTGGATGAGAAGGCGCGCCAAATTTGAGAGGAAGAGGAGAAGAGGAACAATGATAACGGCCAAATAGGGTGTCACGAGTCATGGGTTGGGGGGTGGGCTTTCTGGAAAATGGTGTCAGCAGAAGATAAGAGAGAGAGAGAGAGAGAGATGATCTACCACTAATTGGCCTCACATGACCTAGGGGAATGGCGCGGCTCATTGAATATTCATTTATTAATGAAATTGGCGGCTCGCCGTCGTCGCGGCCGGATTTTCGAGATTAGGAAATTGCTAGTCGAACAAAAAACAAACGAGAGAAATAATAATGATGACGAATGGAATGTTGGCATTTAATAATAGAAAATCGAGAAAATGTCATATGGGAAAATTGAGGGTTTCCTTCGATTCCCCCAAAAATGGAATTTCCCGTCCTCTGACTTGTGCTTTTCTGCTGACCGATGCAATTTATAAAAAGGCGCATCGAATTGCGTCAGATTACATTTTTTGCTGCTAATTGGTTTCTCCATTTTTCTTTTTGGAGCAAGAAATCGGAAAAAGCTTATCATCGATTAGATTCGGGACCATTTTAAACGTATAGCGGTCGTCGGAAGAAATGAATAGTGGTTGATGGGAAAATTGAAATCGGATCCGAATGATTCGCTAGAGGGGTTCTTTTTTTTCTTGGCCGATAGCCCGAAATCGAGAAAACGAATCAAGAAGATGCACAAAACGGTGAGTTGGAGGTTATCAGCGAATTGATTGCGCTCGTCGGCATTCTTCCAAAGCAAAAAAAAAATGATAACCTCCCGATTTTGCACAACTTTCATTTTTTTCGCCGCGATTTTGAGCTCGAGTAAAATGTTTTTTGTGAGGAGGGGGGCTTTCAAGGCGCACACCGCATAATTTCGTGCGTACTGTAATTATTCAATGTCGTGCGGAGACCATTCACTATTTTGGCATTGCCCAGAGCTTCTGTGCATCTCTGGTAGGGACCATTGATTAGATGCTGACCGAGGCGCTTATGCAGCAAACCTGTGTGGGAATTTTTATGAGCAACACACACACACACACACACACTTACGCATGACATTTTTCGGGGGTTGTGACGTCGAATGGAATGGAAGATTAGAAGAAGAAGAAGACGACGAAAAAAATTGTGTTCGGAGCGCTTTAATTAAATTCCGAATATGTTTACCAAAATATCGTTTCATAATGAATAACATTTTGGGATTGAGAATAAATAGATCACAAAATTCACAACGGCAAAAACAAAACGAAAAAAAAAATGAGGCACATTTGTCTTGTTCGGAATCATTGAAATTATTACATACACATTGGACGTTTGACATGACGGCGGGCGTTATCACAAAATGCTCAAGGCGACGCCTTATCGGTTGTGCTATCTGGCGGTAGCATGAGCTCCTGCATGAGGCGATCGATTGAGGCGAGACCGAAGAGTTTGGCGAGTTGGACGTCCTCGATGAGATCGCGCGCGATCGCCAACATCGGCGGCAACAGCAGCAGCAGATTGGCGAACCGTCGCGGCATTTCTTTGTAGGGCGACACGTGGCGAACGTGCTGCTCGAACGACTCGAGCACCTTTTGGCGCGTCTCCTCGACCTCGTTCGATGAGGCGCCGATGTCTTTGGCCACTGGAATCAGTTGCGATTGTTGTCTTTCTTTTTCTTTTTTTTTTGAGACGGGCTTACACGGATCGAAAAATGCGATGGCCTTCAGCGCGACATACTCGATTTCATTCATGTTCAGCTGACGCATTGGGGTTGTTAGGTTGTCGACGATGCGGGCCGCCACTCGGCTGGAAATTGCAATTCTTTTTTGATCTAGCGAGAAAATTAGTTTAGCCGGCGCCTTTAAACAAGATATTGTCGAAAATCATTTCGGTCAATTAATTTTTTTCAAGGTATTCTTTAATTTTGCACTTCATCAAGCATCGAATTTTGAAAATCTGATTTATTCCGTGGCATTTTTGAAGCGAAATTTCATTTTTATCAAAATGACCAATTTCGACAAGAATTGTGGAAGAAAATTGATGGACGACACCCAGAAATGTGGGGTCTCGTAGGGAAAATACCATTTTTATTTTTCTTGAGTTAAAAATCCGCCAAATGTCTCAGAAGCGAGTTTGTTCAATTATTTGAAATAGTATAATTTTCGAATGTTTTTTTTTGAAAATGACAAATTGTCGGCGCGAAATTCAAATTTTTCTTACTTCACATCGGGCACTTTTGGACTATCCTTATGCAGGCATGTCTCATTTGTCAACCAGACCGCGTCGCTCAAGTGGATGCTCCGAAACGCGGCGCACATCACCAAATGTTGTGCCGAAAAATGCCTTGAAAAAATTCAACTTGGTTTTTTTTTCTTTTCCTTTTTTTGACTAACCTCAACAAAGCAATCTGTGTGCTCATGTCGAGCCGCTGAAATTGCTCGAGACTCTTCGCCCATTCGACCATTAGTATTAATTGTTGATTCATGCTGTCGGTGACGTCGCCGGTCGTCGCCTGCCGTCGAGCGTCGGACGTCTTCGTGATGACGGTGGTACGCAATTGTCGCATGTTCGCCTCGACGGTGAGCAGCTGATCGAGCAGCGGATCATCGGCAACGATTGCGGCGGTGGCCGTGGCCGCCGCCGACGACGACGACGGCCGAATTCGATCGCGTTCCATTTGGACGGCGTCGCGTCGCATTCCGCGCCGCAGACACACCTCGAATCGGCATTTGCGGCACGCGTTGCGTTTCGCTGGAAGAAAAAAAAGTGGCCGAGCAACTCCAGGCCATTGTTGGATGATGATTAGCGGCCGACAAATGAGGGACGATTTGTGTTTGCTTCACAAACACTCACCTTTATCAACTTTGCATGTCTCGCCGAAGCGGCACACGTAGGTGTGGCGTTTGCGCACCGTTCGACGGAAGAAGCCTACAAGCAGTTTTTATTTTATTTTTGATTTTTCGTTTCAAAACTTGCTCCGAAATGCATCTAATGGCTCCCCCACTTGTATTAATAAACGATGCGTTCCACATGTGGCCCATTAAACAAAATATGTATTGATGATGCGGGTCCCACAGCGATTCCATTACATTTTTAGAGGGTGGGGAGCCCGCATCGATCAACGTTTTTACCTTTACACCCGTCGCAGCTCATCGCGCCGTAGTGTTTGCCGGTGGCCTTGTCGCCGCATATCGCGCAGAACACGTTGTCGAATGGTCCGTCGCTTGGGCCAGCCTCATGGCTCATTCTGGCGAGAACGAAAAAAAATTAGAATTCGGCGATTTATGGAAATTTGATGTTGAGAGATTTTTCGGGTATGACGCCATCGACAAAAAATCATAACATCAAAACGAGAAACGAAAATCGATAACGCCTTGGGGCCCCGTTTTGGAGGCGAACGAAGCTATCAATCTTATCAGTTTGATCGGTGAAATGCTGAACGATTTTTGAATTACCGCCATATTTGGTGAAGGGAGTGCTACGAAAAATTTTTGCTTTACGTCGGAATTGGATTTTTTCGTGCTGAAATTGCGTCAAAAAATTTCAAAAGTTTGAAAAAATTACAGTATCTAATATAAAGGCGCACGTGAGGAATTCATTGTGGTTCTTGACACGAAACATTGATACGGTAATTTTTGTTTTGATGATTTTTTGGAATTTTTCTTAATTTCTTTGTGGTTTTCCAATTTTCCTTCAAACTTTTTGGATATTTGCGTTTTTAAAATTTTTTTTAAATCGACAGACAATCAAAGCTAAATGAAAGCTGAAAATATTCTATTTTTTTCTTGACTAATGAAATTTTTTAGAATTAATTTTTCGATCTTAGATAGAGCTTTTGAGAAACCATTGAACAGCTGCCCACTGATCGAGCATTTTTCGAGATGATCGTAAAATAAATAAACAAACAAACAAAAAGTACTAATAATTAATGAAACAATTGATGAGAAATTTTCGGCCGGACGTGGCCTGCAAACTTCTATTCTACCATATCACTGTGTTGTCTGCGTCTCTCATATGTCGCGTGCTATTTCGACAGCTCCACTCGAACTCTCCATGATCTCGAAACTATTTCGTTGGCGGCCCACCCGATATTTTTTTTCGGCCGCAAAATCTGATTTTTTTTTCTGTTCGCCTTCCCCGATGAGAGTTGTTCTATCGATCTGCGTTTTTGCATGTTCTACATAAATTCATTCATTTATTGATATAGTCTATTGTTAACAATTTTTATCTACCGTCCAACTAGTTCTTTTTTTCGTCTTCCTCTTCCGCTTCTTCGATGACTCACCTCGTTTTGTACGAAATCGAGCGAGTTGTTTGCGGCCGTTTTTTTTTGTGTTGAAATTGTAAAATTTTCACAATTTTACAAATATATTCATTTTTTTTAGGAAATACTCCAATTTTCGTTGAAACCGATGAACCAAAAAAAAAGAAGCGAATAAGTAGCTGTGTCGAGAATGCAATGCGATCCATGCGCGCACCTGACGGCTTACAACCCGCGTTTCTAATTGCGGCCTTAAAAACGCCTGGTCAGTCGTGGAGCCGCCCGACGACGGCCACCACCTGTCTGTCTCGTCGCCTCGCCGCCCTCTCGCCTGTCAATGCACTCTCGTTCGCCGCTGTCGGCGATTTCCGCTCACCTGCTTTTGAGTCATTTCATGGGGTGGCCCTCTCGTATTCCATAACGACGACGTCGTTTCGGAATACATAATTTGTTCATGCTTCAATGGGTTCTTTAAAGATTTTTCGTCGAGATTAGTCGCACGGCTTTCTTTTTTCAAGTTTTTTTCAGCGAAAATTTCGACATTGCCTCAATTCTGCGAATGAAAAATCGCTATTGCATTTCTTTTTTTTTGTCATTTCATAACCCCGCTCGATTCCGTTCGTGGACTTGTCGAAACGAATTAGGAGTGATGAAAATCCTCTGGAGAATTTTCGTTATGTCGAAAATCTTCCTCAACATTCATTTATTTGGTGTGCGTCTGAAGACGTGGTGATTCGAGACCCAACTCATTTTTCTCGTTATGCGCCTTTAATCGATTTTTTTTAACAATTTGTGAAGAAAATCTGATATTAGAAAAAAAAATTTGAATACGGTAATTAAAGGCGCACACAGATGCTATTTTTAAAAAGTTAGAATTGATTTTTTAAAACAATTTTTGAGGAATAAAAATGGATCTGCGGACAATTGCGAGCCCCCAAATTCGAAAGAATCTCATTCGGATTGGTTGATTAGTTTCGAGAATTTTTAATGGCACACTTAAATTTGCGCCATCAGTCCGTCATTTTTGTTGAAGTGTCTACACCCTCCACCAATTGGTGCACTCTCTCACTCCCCCATTCTCTCGCATCGTTCAATCGTTTCTCCATTCACTTTCGTCTCGTTTTTAAGCTTTTTCCGCGCGGTCAGGATTATAGCTATTGATTCATTTGCCTTCTCATAGGAAAAAAAAAGAAATGGACCAGATTGCGAACGCGAATTGGAATATCGATAATATCTTGGCGAACGTGCAAATTGATTCCGATGACGAACACGTCGGCTCGTCGAATGTGAATTTTGGTAGGCTGGAAGCCCTTTTTTTTGTTGTCTGATTGCGAAATTCTTATTACAGAAATCATCGCAGAAGCGCTTGAAAAAAAATTGGACGACGTCGACGATGAGGAGGAGGAGGAAGAGGATTCAGATGAATTTGACGATGCCAACGATGTGCTCGATTTTGCCGACGCGTCGGGAGGTATGAGATGTCATCGTCAATTCACACAATGATTCTCGTGATTCTAGATTTCACGAAAAAGTTGAACGCGGCGAGACAACACGTCGTGGCGCCGAATCATGCGAAAAATCGACTATTGAGTGAGTTTGAGTTTGAGATTTTCAATTTTGTGTTGCTCAGACGACGCCGAACGAAACGCGGACTCGAGCGAAGATCGAAAACGGAAGCGAATCAAGGATCGCGCGGATCGGGCGACCGTCGAACAGGTGCTCGATCCGCGAACGCGTCTCGTGCTGTTTCGCCTCCTCCAACGCGGCACGCTGGCGAGCATCGACGGTTGCATCTCGACGGGCAAAGAGGCGAACGTCTATCATGCGAGCGGCGTCGGCGGCGACATGGCGGTGAAAATCTACAAGACGAGCATTCTGACGTTCAAAGATCGCGAGCGGTACGTCTCCGGCGAGTTTCGCTATCGTCACGGCTATTGCAAATCGAATCCGCGCAAAATGGTGGCGGTTTGGGCCGAGAAGGAGATGCGCAATCTGTTGAGAATGCACGACGCCGGGCTGCCGGTGCCGAAGCCGCATTTGTTGAAGGTATTCATTTTTCGAACACCATCGGAAACCGTAATTCTTGATTTTTTTTTTGATATCGTCAGGGCCACGTTCTCGTAATGGACTTTATCGGCAAAAACGGCTGGCCGGCGCCGCTACTCAAAAATGCGAGCGTTTCGACGGAATCGGCCGAGCCGATGTATTTGGGACTCGTGCGCGACATTCGACGCCTCTACCGTGAGTGTCGCCTCGTCCACGCCGATCTCAGCGAATTCAACATGCTCGTCAGCGACGACAAATTGTGGATCATCGACGTCTCGCAATCCGTCGAGCAGGACCATCCGCACGCGTTGGAGTTTCTGCGAGCGGACTGCAACAATGTGAACAAGTTCTTCAGGTTGAAATGCAATTTTCGCTTGACTTTTTTTTGTTCAACTCGCGATTCCAGAGAGCTTGGCGTCCGTGTGCTGTCCGTTCGTCGTCTGTTCGAAGTGATCGTCGATCCGCTGATGAGCGTCAAAGACATGGAGAAGATTCTCGACGAGGAACGCTCGTCGGAGAATGTCGACGATGATTCGCTGTTCATGAACGCGTTCATTCCGCACAAACTCGAGCACGTCCTTCATTTCGAGCGCGATGGAAAATTGGCGAAGCAGGGTCTCGAGACGAACAATCCGTTTCAGAATATTGTGACGAAGATTGATTTGAAAGGCGACGGGTTCGCGACGAAGGATGGCGACGATGTGGAGGAGGAGAAGGTGACGAAGGTGAAGAAGCGCGACGAGCCGACCGATGAGGAGATTGCCGAGAAGCTGAAGCGAATTGCGATGCACAAACGGTTGGGGCATAATGGGGGTTTTTTGATAATTGGAATAAGTTGAATGGTATTCAGCGAGCGCGACGAGACGGCCGAAGCGCGAAAATTGCGAAAAGCGGCGGTGAAGGAGGAGAAGCGCGAATTGCGCAAAGAGAAAATACCGAAACACGTGAAAAAGCGGGCTCATCGCCAACATATGAAATAGGCAATGGTTCGTTTTTCTTAGTAGTGATTTTTTCTTTTTTTTTAATATACGATTTGCATACCAGCGAGTAGATTTACGACGTGCGCCTTTCGAAATGGTCTTGCCACGCGTGAAGGTTTATTTTTACCTCTAAAATGCGAAATAAGCAGTTAATCCGTGCGAGACCATAGGAGAAATGCGGAGGCACGTAGATCTACCCGCCGGGCCAACTGTGAATTTTTTTTTACAAAAAATGTTTAAAAAAAAAACATTAAATTTGTAAAATTTAGGTATTTTTGCTTTTTTTCAAATTTAATCTATTCCTGAAATAAAATTTTTATGAGTAATCGGGCAAATTTGAACGTTTTGAATTTTTAATGTTGTCGGGGGGTCGAATTACTGTAGGGTTACTACGGTAGGATGATCAATTTTTAGAATTGGCGAAATGTCAGACAAAGTCAATGACAATGGTCTTTGCGCAAAACTATGGATAGATTTACGAGAATAGGTATCAAGATAGGTTAAAGGCCCCCACAGAAATTCTTGATTTTTTGAAATTTTGCCAATTTTTCCGCAGTCGCGCGCACCGACAATATATTTTTTGAATGACTCGAAACTTGATGGCTATTAAATCTTGTATTTATTTATTTTGCAATTTTTTTTGTTCGAAATTCAATAGTGATGACATGATGTTTGTGGAGTGCACTCGTTTCGCGACCCGTTGTGTGTTTTGAAACCCATGGGAGACAAAAATTCTTTTTTTTTTTTGGTCGGCGATGAATTATTGCCGTGTTTTATTCGAGTTTTCCTCGTGCTCTCCTTGTGCAAAACATTGAAATCGAAAATTGTGTATGCTAATTATATGTATTATACAACATATAGTAACAAAAATGATGAGCGCGCGCGCGCGGCGACCTCGCGAATTATACGATGATCGACGAGTGGGGAGGGGGGGTTATGAGTGACCCGCTCCCGACGGCACTTGTGTTTGTTGTACACTTTATCATAAATATAAATACATATATATATTAGATATACGACATCTTTCTGCCTCCTTCGACATTTGGTTTTGTTGTTGGAAATTCCCGTTTGGGGAATTCCATTTGCGAAGGGGTTATTTTTTTTTATTTCGATCGATTCTCCTCCTGCCAACCTCCCCCGGTCTTCCACTTTAATTTGAATTAGGCAATCAATTTGGTGTACTTGATTTTGTCGCGCCTTGGAGGTCGTTGTTCTGTGGACCTATTCAGGGTCGTTGGTCGAAAATTGTCGTTTCGTTGGTTTCCTGGAAAAAAACACACCGATTGTTGCTTTTCCTTTTTGGCATTTTGTTGATTTTTGCTGAAAAAGACCCCCTATGCGGTTTTTTGTTGAGTTTTTTCTAGTTTTATTTTTAGAAGGTAAAAAACGCGTTTTTGCGTTGTGGGAGCCATAACACTTTGGCTATGTACCTTTAAACAAGACGCTACTGTACTTTTTTTGGTTTGCAACTCCCAACAAAATGGCGAGTGAAAATAATTGACGCAATTTCTTATTTTTCAGATCCCTGTCATCCATCTTCCGGTTTTCATGCACATACGCGATTGTTCTTGTTAATTATTGCTTATTTGTTTACTTGTTTGTTGTTTTTTTTTTGTTTCACTTGCCCACTTTTCCCTGATTTACCTTGAAAATGAAATTTTTTTTTTTGGAAAATCGCATCTATTGGATTTCGTCGGTTTCTAGCCGATTTTTGATATCTTTTTTGATATTTTTTTCCGTTTTTCTCATCGTTTAACTCGATTTTTTGCAGAAAAATTCGATTTTTCGACAATTATTTGTTTGTTTATTTGTTTTGCACACGATGATGTCGTCGATCGATGCCGATGAGGTGGGATTCTGTTTTTTTGTTTCTCGATAATTTTCGGAATTGTAGGTTCGTCGAAGGAAAGAATATGCGGAGCGAAAAGTTCGCGAACGACACTTACAGCTTAAAAAAGAGGCGGACGAGCGAAGGAAAATGTCGAAGGAGCATAGAGAGAAGTGAGAGGCTTTTTTCTTAAATTTTGGCAATTTGTTTTTTTTTAATCGCTGTGAGACTCGCCTCCATAAATTGCGTGCGCCTTTAATTACCGTAATCGTGATTATTTTCGAAGTAATTGAAAATAGTTTTAGTTTTTATGGAAAATTAGATTTTCTAATAATGTTTCCCTCTAAAAATCTGCGTATTTCTCAGGGGAAATTATTTTTTCAATTTTTTCCTTAGAAATTGAGAAATCTTTTTTTTGTTTCAACAGCGATAGTCTGGAATTGGGCTTATTTGTGAAATTTTGGAGCGATTTATTGAAATAAAAGAAACGAACCAATCATAATGGTAGTATTATGGATTCCCTTTTTTTGCAGAGTCCAATCGCAGTTGAGACGCGAACAAGAATTGCTGCAAAAACGAATGCAGGCGTTAAACGAGGATGAGGAGCGTAAGCGTGCGACGTTGGCGAAACAGCACGAGGCGACGTCGCGAATCGCGAGTCTCACCAAATCGCCGAAATCGTTCGCGTTCGGCTCATCGACACCGCGAACGCTGGCCTATTTGGACAATTTGCCGAAAAGCGAACAGCAATACGATAAGAAGTTGAAGCCGCTGAATGAGTCGGGAAGCAGTAGCACAACGGTAAGTATTCATCGAGTTCACGACAATTGATTTCAATTTGTTTCATATTTTTTTCCCATTTTTAGAAGTCTAGTATTGAATTGCGAATGTTTGAGGTAATTCATCCCAAAATCCATTCCCTTCAAAAATTAATTCTAACGCTCTGAATTTGCTCATCTTACCGTTTGCTCGTCTCGCCAAAATTCACCCCAACGTATTTTTAGAGTCCACAATCGCGAAGCGGTCGATCATCGTTGGCGCCGTCTCGTCCGCCACCGGCGGCGCACAAACCGGCGCCGACGCTAGCCAGCATGACGACGTCGTTGTATGTCACTTCGAGTGCGCCGACGACGCGAACGCGACCTCAACGACCGGCGATGGTAATTGCGGCGATTCGCTTTGCATTAATTGTTTTTCGATTCAGACGCCGTCGACTCGACGAGCCGCGCCGCTTCCAGCCACCTCGGCGGCAATGACTCAATCGTTCTTCACACCGTCTCGACCGAACGCGGCGTTTGCGAGAACGACGCGAGCCACTCCGCCGTCGCGAGGCGCCACACGTAAGTCTAGCACACGTTCAGACGCGTCTGAATGATGGTTCGTTCGATTTCAGCGCCTGTACAACAGCAGCAGAGCAAAAAACCGCCGCGCGGGCGAACCGTCGCGCAGCGAGCCGAAGTCGTTAGGAAGCAGAAGGAGGAGGCGGTTAAAGCGGCGCCTTTGAAGAAATCTGAGACGCGAATCGCGCCTGAAGACGTTAAGAAGGACTCGGAGCCGGAAGTTGCTGCTGAGATTGTCCACAAAGAGCCTGAAGTTGTGGAAGCTCCCATTGTGATTCTGAAGGAGGAGAATGTTGAAGCTCATATTGAGCGAGAGGTCGAAGCGCAAGAAGAAGAAGCTCTCAAAAGGGCTTCAGAAGAAGCTCATGCTCCGTTCGAGCCTAAAGTTGAAGTTCATAGTGAGACTGAGGAGAAACAAGCCGAAGAGATTCCAGCTCAAACTCAATCCGAGCCGGAGTCAACTTCGCTTGAAGATGAGCTGCAAGCAGCCGAAACTTCCTTGGAAGAGGAGCTGAAGGATGCTGGAGCACTTCCTGATAAGCAGCTTATCGATTTGAGTGGTCCGTCACTTGAGGATGAGCTGAATGCGGCTGAGCATCCGCTTGACACGATTCCCGAAGTGGAAACGTCGGTGACGGTTGAATTGTGCGCGGCTCGCGTCGCTTCGCACGAAGTCGTCATGTCGTGCGAGCCGACAATGAAGAGCTCGGTGGAGACGACATTCTCGAACGACGTCGAGACGGTGTCGATGGACGCGAACCGATTCGACGAGACGCTCGACTACACGGAGGATTTGAGCAAAGAGCGTCCGCGCAAGAACTCCGAATCACTGAACGCCTATCTCGCTGAAGTCGAGCGGAATCTGAAGCCGGGGTGCGGGCCGATGGTTGCCGAGGCGATGATCGTCGTCTCGGACAACGTCGACAAGGATGACGTTCGGGAATTGGTAAGCGTGTTGTCAAAAACGGATTGTCATTTTGATTCTAGGACTACAATCATCATCAAATCGTCGATGACGACGACGAAGAGGCAGACAGCGGCAAAGCGTCGCCGACGAACTCGGAGACGTCGTCGACAATCGACGACGTCACACCGAGGACGGTCGTCGAGCGTCAACCGATGGCGCGAGTTGCGCGCGTCAAAACCGCCGACGAGATTGCCGACGACGAGCGAAAATTGCGCGAGGCCGAAGAGAAGAAGGCGAAAATCGCGGCGATTCTCGCCAAATCGCGACAAATGGCGCTGCCGACGGCGACGACGGCGATGATGAATCTGCCGGGACAGGTGTTGGCGAATGGTGAGTCGTTGATTCTTCGCCCCATTTTTGATTTTTTTCTTGCGGTTCTTGTCTCTCATTTATTTGTTGTTTCCTTTTTTTTGGGTGCGAATTCTCCCTCTCGATCTCTATTTCATTGCCATTCATTCCTATTGAAGCATTCATTCATTATTTCGAAAAAACAATCCAACTCTGAATCGCGCACCTTAGATTCGCCAACGACGCCAATTGCACCAACGGTGGCGGCACCGCCAACACGAGCTTCCATCACGCCATCAGCCGTTTCACCAAATGCCGCACCAAATTCGGATGAGACGATGTCGAGGACGAGGACGACGACGACGACGACTGGTGAGATATTTGAGCATGTCGTGTGTGTGTGTGTGTGTGTGTGCTTGTTTTTGTGCGTCAAGAGCTTTTCGCCAACAATGCTCTGCTTTTGCTCTCATACGTTTTTTCTTCGAGCTTTCTGTGTTGCCAAAATTGGACCTAATCGGATTTCCGATTTGTTGGTGTCGCTCATTTCATCATCATCGTCCGTCCCCCTTCCACATCGCTGTGCAATTATCATTATGATTATCATTTGCTTGTTTTGTTTTCGTTTTTCTTCGAAAATCAAAATCATTAATCACTGACATACTTGTTGTCCACACCCCACCACTAAACAGAAGAAGAAAACAAAAAAAAAAAACGCAAGCGAGACCCGGTTGGGAGATGGTCCGTTTGATGAGTTTGCGAGTTGATCGAATGTTTTGCAGACGGCAGCGGAACCGAGGCGGTGCTGGCGCGATTGGCCGCCAATCCGAATTTGCCGTCGCTCGCGAAACTCTTGCAACGAAAACAGGGAAGCAATCCGTCGTTAAAGGTACTAATGCTTATAGGAGTTTTTGTTTTATTGAAATTTGATTTTTTTTGCAGACGTCGGAATCGAATGGCGGCGAGATTTTCCCATAGAAATTGCAATGTTCATATTCGCTTCTTCTTTGACTTCTTTTTTAATCTCTACGGGTCTCACCAACAATTTTACGTACCAGGTAGTGTTGCGAGTGGTGCCCGATTCACGATCAGCGAATTTCAGATCTTGCCTACCTTTGAATGTGCATTTATTATTATTTTTTTTTTCTTGCGGAACAATTCATTTTCATGTGTTTTGATTATTGTTCCCTTCTACGCCATTGCTCAGTTTTGTTTCAATTTTGGTCAAAAATGTTCTTTACTTGTATAAAGAACGAATTCCTGTAATATCTGCATCCGTCGAGGCGAAAATTCCCAATATTCTCAACAGTGTTCAATTTTTTGTTGTAAATAAAGAATTGTAAAATAGAAGGTGTGGATTCGTTGATCTTCGAATCGTCAGATTAGATCGAAAAAAGTTTTTTTTCGCCAATAAAATATGAACAAAAAATTATTTTTTTTTTCGCCGCAGCTCTGTTTTGTCTGACTTCTGGCATTTTCCATGGATCTTGATCGATTTCTTTGATCTACTTGGCGTCTCAATTCTCAACGAGCTCAGAACGAACAATCAGACCCCATGCAGAAAAGGAAATTTTTCAAAATTGGACTGGATTTCGCAATGGGGTACTGTAATTTGAGAAGTCTGCATTGCGTGCTCCTGTGTTTGCACAAAATTTCAAACTTCTCGTATTATATTTTTTTAATAAACCGACATTTTTCTTGATTTTTCATTTAAAATGCTTTTTCTAGATGGGCCGTCAAACAGATTTTTCACCATTGGCTCACGAATGCTCACCTGCGATGCCAAAGCGGATATCAAGCGGCCAAGTAGCTTAAAATATTTTATTGTTTTTTTTTTTACTGAAAGTTTCAATTTCAAGGTGTCAGAAATTCTCAACACCGCCTTCTACGAATCTGACGATGATACCTAGTAATGAGAATAAATTAAAAACGCCAAAATAATGAATATTTTAGTGATAATGTGGAAAACGAAGAAGAATTGCGAGCCCTCAAGGAATTGGACGAGAAAATAGCAAGACATCCGATTCTTATTGGAATATTATTCCCATTTGTGATTCAAGTAACTCAAAGATTCCATTCAATTGCCAAAATTAAAGTTTCAGATTCTCATCATATCAATCATTGTGCTATTTTTCATAATTTCGGGTATCGCTCAAACTTTTGGTCAATTCATAGGCTACCTGTGTGCCATTATACTCAATCATGTACAATAATCGTCTGTAAATATGTCTATATTGCCTGTTTCAATCAATAAACCACGTTTTCGCAATAATTTCCCTCCAAAAAAGACAATTTCAAAAAATTCACAATCAAGCGAAGCGTTCGCGCTCCACGGCGACCGTCTACCTGTCTGCGCTCTCATTGAAACACCCACTCTTTCAATCACATGTTGTTGATTTTTTTCATTCGAGAATTTCGTTCGAAATCAACACAAAAATATCGATTCGCGATTTCAGAGCAAGTCGGAACGGTGATATGATATGGACGGCGCGTTCGTGAGTTTCGCCGATTGCTGCCGATTGGCGCCAGAAGTCAGCAGACAACTCAACAAGTTCCTATTAGGTGCCGACGATGGTAAAGAAAACAAAAAAAAAAAACAATAGATAAATAAAGAACACCGAGTGGAGAATTGGAATAAACAGACATAATTGAAGGCGGACGTCGTCAGCCATCATCATCGGAGCGCACGAATCGCTTCTACGCCGACACCGAAGACGCCGGCGACGTCGACAAATGGGACGATTGGGAGGGCAACGATGCGAACATTGAGAAACGCGACGAAAATCCGACCGAATGGCTCGCCCAGTGTATTCTTCGCACATTCGCCGACGGCGAATACCTGCTAATCGCCTACTACTCGAGATTCGCGGTTCTTGAAAAGAATCCAATTGGTGAGATTTTGTGTTTCTTCAATTTTTGAATAATTTCCCATTTTTTTCAAGACAATAACTATCGAATCGTTTGCAAGACATTCATCGATTCCGATTCGATCACGTCGGCCGCTCTATTCGGCCTCTCGAATGCGCGCCATTCCGATTCGCTGGATTGTGTGATCGCCGCGCTCGGCACCGCCGACGGTCACGTCTATTTCTACACGCAAAACGGCGCGTTGATATTCTACGAGCGTTTCTCGCTTCACGAGCCGGTGGCGAGCCTCCAATTCGAGTGTTGCCGCGAGTCGCAAGTGCTGTTGGTCGTGTTCGCGCGAACATTTTTTGTGATCAACGCGATCTCGTTGAATTCGACGCTTCATCAGGCGAAATCTAAGGTAAACGCCATACGACAATGGCGAGAATTCGAAATTAATATTCAGATAGCCAAAGGCGAGCAGAATGTGCACGAGCTCGCCGAGACACTTGAATTGCAATTCGATCATTTGATGCCCGATGTTGATAGGTTAGGGAGAGTTAAGCCTAATTGCTAGCTCGAATTCCAGTGATCTCCTCCACGTCGTCTACACCGGCCAATATCAGCCGTCGACATTCGAGCAGTACGTCGCCGCTTCATGGCGCTCGTTTCACGCGCGCGTCGAGCGTCCGTCGCTTCCAAACTATTCGACGTTCCTCGTCACCACCGAGCGCACGTTCGTCGCGTTCGTCTGGCACGATCGACAGCCGGCCGATCAAATTTGGAACGAGGCGCTCAAATACGGCAAATCGCTTCTGCCGAGTTTCGGCCTTCGCAAATATTTGGGCGGTATCATCGCGGCGGGACCCGCGACGAAAACGTTGGCGCATTTGAGCGCGGCGACGAGCGCGCCGATTCGAAGTCGAATATTGGATCAGCGTGTCGCGCGGGCGGTCGCACGATCGCCGGACTCGCGATATGTCGCGATTACCGACGCGACGGCGCGTGTTGTTCTCGTCGACGTAACCACTAATGCGCAATGCGCCTTTCAAATATTCATTTTAAGGTCCTGCAACGAACGATCGTTCTGATTCATAAAGGCTATCGTGACGCGGTGGTCTCGTGGAGTTCTGTGACTGAAGGCAACCGTGGCACCCAATTCCTAGTGATCTACGCGCCAAGAAGGGCCTTGATTGAGATATGGACCATAATAGTAAGCGATTCTGAATGTCTAGATCGGATTTGATGAAACGGATTGCAGGGGAATAGTCGGGTGTTCGCGAAGCATGTCAACGACGGCTGTCTGATTCTCGCCGGCGGCGAATCGCGCACCTTATGCGGTCGATACTCGTTTCAGCAGACGAGCTCGACGATGTTCGTCGATGAGCAAGTCTGATGAGTCGCCCCGCCAACAAAATCACTGTTTTTTTCTTTCAGGGCAACTTCCAAACGATTGTCGTGCCGTTCTATTTGGCGTTGAACACGCGCGCGAATCAGGATCAACACGATCAGATGCTTCTCAAGACGATCGAGAACTATTCGGCGCATTCGGCGGAATGGCGCGACGCGTTTGCCAACTTCAAAGTGCCGTCGACGCGATGTCGCGCGTTCAAACTCGCGTTGAAGGCGTTGGCGACGCCCGACGAGGCTCGCCGATTCTTGGAATCGATTTGCGATTTGCCGGCGTCGCGATGCCTTGGAAAAGCGCTCGAAAATCTCGACGACTCGATTCGATTGTACGAAAAAATTGTGGCGCGACGACCGCGCGATTTCGAATCGCCGCCGCCGACGACGACATCGACGTATTGCGATGTCGATCAACTCGTCGAGCGCATTCTCGCGTGCCACCTTCAATTCTTCAATCGCACCACATCAACGGCGTCGTCGATTCATCGAAATTCGATGAGTTTCGGCGAGTTTCTCGAGTTGCGCGACGTGTTCGCCACGGAGCGCGATTGCAACATTCTCGAAAAGTTTATTTTTTTGGCGCCAAATTTAAAAAAAAAAAGGAATTTGACAATTTCAGCGTGCGAAACGATGCGGAGACGGCGAGAATTGGCGCGTTCGTGTTGTCGCGTCTACTCGTCGTCGAAGAGACGCCAATCGATTGTCAAGACTTCGACGAGCTCATCATCTCGAAATTAGGCATCGACGATGAGAGCTGCACGAGAATGCTCGTGCTCACTGTGCCACAATATTGTTTGAATTTCACAATTTTTGACAGGTTGGTTTTCAAACAAAAAAAAACGAGCCGAAGAGAGTATTTCCATTTTAGACTTGTCAAATTTTTGATAATTTTGAAAAATCGCAAAAACGCGAATGTTACTGAGATACTCGACGATATGGCGGTTCACTTGTAAGCCTCCTCACATCGTCGACGAGCTTCCCTATGCTCTGATTACAGATCGGACATTAGTCTCGCGATAATCGTGCTCACCATCTCGTGGCTCGTCAAATTGCACACGACGAGCGCCGACGAGGAGGAGTCGTTGGAGAAGGCGGCCGCGTCCGAATGGGAGACGGTGCGGCCCGATTTGGAGCATCACGATAGTCTGATGTTGTGCCTGCACACGGCGTGCCTCGCGAATCAGCTGATCGACAATCACGGGCGAACCGTCATCGACATCATCGGCCACATCGAGTCGTTCTGTCGGGAATCGGTCGCTCGATGGTTGATTCGAGAAGAATTTGATCTGGCGCGCATCGACAAAACGTTTCCGTTGGATCCGACGGTGGTTCTCGGCGATGACGACGATATGGAGGAGATCAAGAAGCGGATGACGATTGACGTGCCCGAGAATTGCGGCGAGGCTCTCGATCGAATGCTCCAGATTCTGCCGAGAACGTTCGAGCACGATCTTGTCGTTGCCGACGTCTGTTGGGAGTTGATGACGATGTGGTTCAAAGACAAAAATGCGAATCATCACCTGATTGAGGTATTCTAGCGAATTCTCAATTTTTTCAATAATGCACGCCCAGAAATGCGTCGAGTTTCTACGCCAATCGATTTTCGACGCCCAATTACGACACGGTTTGAGCCGTCTGATTTGGGACAAATTCCTCGCGACACCGTTTGAGTGTCTCGTCAAGCTCGTCGACAAATCGGGACGTTCGCCAACGGATCGCGACTCGCTCAATGACGTCGGTTTCGGCGAGAAGTTCGTCGTCGAATTTCTTGTGCAATGCGAGCGACTGCTCACAATCATGATGGAATCGGTGCGCGATCTTGTCGTCGGCGGTCGCACCTACGCCCACGATCATTTGGTGGAGGCGATGGCGAAATCGCGCAACGACCAATTGGTGCAGATCGCGTGCAAGCAGACGCCCGCCAATTATCACCTCGTCCTTCATCACTATCAGCTCGCGTTGGCGCTTCGCCTACAATTAGCCGCCGGCGTTCGCCTCCACACCCTTCAGTCGTTGTTCTGCGCCGCCGGCGTTCGCGCCTTCTTTGTTCGCCTCGACTCGCATCCGCTGATTCCGCTTGATCAAGTCGACGAGTCGGTGCTCGAGAAGCGTTTCAAGTTCCTCACCAAGATCGCCGAGCATGGTTCGGAGGCTGAACGAAAAGCGGCGAAAAAGTTGGAGCTCGAATGGAATCTAACCGTCAACTCGATTGCGCTAATGGTAATTCAGACGAGCACTTCCCAACGGTAGCCCGTTGGTTCATCGATTGGTTTTCAGCAAGCGATTTCGTCGTATCGGATCGGCAACGACGCGAGCGGCGCGAAAGAGCTTCTGAGTTGTGTTCGCGATGAGCGAGCGGCGACTAGTCTAGCGCATCTGCTCGCCGCGCGAATCCTGCGGCTCGCCGTCGAGGAGAACACGAGAATGACGCCGAAGCACACCAATTACCTTCAGGCGATGGCCGGCGAGGAGACGTCGCGCGTCGAGTTGGCCGACGACGACGGCGGCGGCGGCGCGAATCCGACGAACTGGCGCGATTCGGTGATGTCGTTGGGCCGCGCGGCGATGCCGTTCGCCGTCAGCCCGCAATCCGCCACGCCGTTCATCAAGCTCAACGATATTTGTCGGCAATACTGGGCGATTCAATGGGTCGATTAATGGTTCACACCGGTGTATTCTTTGTATTCTTCAATATTTGTGTTGAAATGAAACAATTTGGAAATTGGGAGGTCGGGGGTCTCGCAACGAGACCGTTATGAATGTATGCCCGCCCGTGTGGTATTGTCTTCTCGAGACACCAACACCGCTCGTTTCATGTGCAATGCTGGGGGGAGGCGGAGGCTCTCCGGAGAAGGGGGTGCGCGCGCGGGAGCCCCTGCTGCTTCTCACTCTCGAAACTCGTCTCCGATCGGCAAACACCACTAGCAGCAGCACCAGCAGCTCCTCCATCGCGCGTGTATTATATATCTTTTTTTTCCCGCCACCGAATCCATCGCAACATTGAAATTTATTAGAAGACGGCGAAGAAGAAGAAAAAAAGGAGACCCCCCCCCGTTCTAGTCAATGATATTCTATTCGCTGATATTTTTGCTATTCTTCTATGATGGTGGTGGTGGGATGGCGGCGACGGCGACGATGTGCCTTCAACCGTTTGTGCCCGAGAACGCGCATGTCATTTTCAATGAGGCCGGTCCGTATTCCGAGGGCACCGTCGCCAAATATAGGTGAGTGGATTTTTGATTGAAAGTCAAATTGATTTTCATTTTTTTTTAATAGAAAATTGTTGTTGAAAATCAATAAGATGACAATGTTTTTTTTGTTGTCCCGATTTTCGTATAAAACAATTCATTCGCGCAATGCGGCCGAAAAACCGCGACAGAAATTTTGAAAACAAACAGAAAAAACGGGCGTGTGTGTCAATATTATTATTATTGGGGGACGCTTCTTCTTCGTTTTTTTTCTTTCTTTTTAAATTATATAAAATAAATTGTTGTTGTCAGTTGCGCGCTTGGCTTCGAGCTCATCGGCTCCGAGGAGCGCACGTGCCAATCGGACGGCGCGTGGTCCGACGAGGCGCCGACGTGCGGCATCGATGTCGCGTTCAATAAGCCGGTGACACAGTCGAGCGGCAGTGTTGCCGTTGGCTCGTGCACGTCGACCAACAATGAGCACAATTCGTTCTGGTTCGTTTTCTTTTTTGCCTCATTCTATTCATTCGTTTTTTTTCCCGGTTGACTTCCTGTTGAAGTCGCGGGAAATTCGTCATTTTCTTCGCCTTCAAAAATTGATTTTTTTTTCACCCGCCAAATTTGAAACAAATGAATGCCTCGGTGTTTGCGTACTTTTTGCGTCTACAGTAACCGGGCAAAAAAAAAAACAACCAGCGATTTTTTAAGGGAAGTCGACCTACTAGGAGAATACTCGATTCGTTCAATAACCGTCCGACTCGGTCATCAATCGTCCACAATAACCGCGCTAGAAGCGATCCAGAGCAACGGGCGAGTTCAGGTAGAAGCAAAAAAAGGCGAAAAATTTTATTTGAAGTCGTTTTTTTTGTTTTCAGCAATGCATCATCGATTCAAGCCTATTTTCGCCGAACACGACGCGCGCAATCAGTTGCTCCTATGACGACGTCGTCAAAATTCGATTGACCGCCGCCAAACAGCTGAATTTGTGCCAACTGAGCGCCTACGCGATAAACGCAGGTATGACAACAACAAAAAAGAAAAAAAACAAAGCCGTCGTTTTCTGATTTTTTTTTATTTGGCGCATTATCTATTTTTGTCGAAGATGATTTGTGTTTTCGACAAGTGGCTCCTTGAAATTCGTGTGTGTGTGTAAGCATTCATCATTATCATTGTGTTCGTTCAGTTTCGCCGTGGCAATGCGCGCAGAGCCAAATGGAAGTGATCGGCGTCATCAATGGGATGTGCTATTCGGCGAGCCGCGACGAGCAGATCGATTGGCTCGGCGCCCAACGGAAATGCCTCGACAGGTAACGAGTAGTCGATGTAACGAGTTTCGCCGTCGAGATCGGTCGGCGTGTTTGCATTGAGTCGTCTCGATTGCACTCGATGTGTGTGTGTTTTTTTTCGGTGTTGTTTCGCCTGTCAAACAAATGACGTTTTCACACTTACAATGTTTTGATTGAAACGATAATCAATGTAATAATGAGAGGACCAAAAAAAACAAACGAGCAATTTTCAAGTGTGTTACTGTGGTTTGTGAAACTGTGCAAACACAATGCACAGTCTAGAAAATACAGTAACGCTTCGGAAATTCGAAAAAAAAAAAACGCGATTTTTAGTTTTATAAATCTGAAAAAAAATCTTATTAATCTGAAATATTTCCCTTTTTGGAGTTTCAGAGGCTCAACCCTTCCGATTCGCATAAATGAGTCGACTCGTCGCGGTCTTCGTTTCGCGCTAAGCTCGTCAATAAACGCTAAAGCGTTCTATTGGATTGGCGCGTCGGCGTCGACGACCGAATGGCGATGGGTGGACGGCGACGGAATTGGCGGCGAGTCGGATTGGCCGGGCGCGAGTTCGCCGGCGCCGGCTGCCGCCGAAGCGGTTTTGATGGCGCGACCGCTCGACTGGAAATGGGTGCCCGCTTCGCAGACCGCGTGGAACTCGTTCATATGCCAATCAAGTAGGTCTGACGCGGCTCGTCGCAACTCATGTGCCGCCTAGAAATTGAGTTCTACTTAATTAAATTAATAAATCCATCAAGTGTGGCCGTGGCCGAATAAAATTTTAGAGGGCAATTTTTGCTAGGCCGCACGTGTGAGTTGCGGCGAGCTGATTCCACCATTTCGGGACGATCATCGACAATCATTTTTCTAGAGCCGAAGTTTTGCACGTCGCCTGGCGTCGGCGAGGCGACAAAAGTCGCCTTCTCATCGCACTCATACGCCATCGGCACATTGTGCTTCTACTCGTGCGACGACGGCTACGAATTGCACGGTGTGAAGCAGCGCGAGTGCGCCGAGAACGGCCGATGGACGGGAACGATTCCGAATTGCTATAGTGGGTTGAATAATCGCAATCGGAGAACTTGCACGCGAAAACAAAAGAAACAATCATTTTGTTTTTAGAAAAATCGTGCGGCGCTGTGCGACCGTGGCCGAATGGGATTGTGAGAATGCTGAATAAGACGACACTCTACCAAAGCGAGGTGAGCAAAAAACGAGACCGACACCAAAATCAGCCGGCCAATTTTTTTTTTGATAAGGTGGAGTACACTTGCAAACCCGGCTTTCGCCTGCCCAACTCGATGGTCTCGTTCCGCCGCTTCTGCCAATCCGACGGTCAATGGTCGGGAAGCGCGCCGAGTTGCGAGCTCGTCGATTGCGGTCGTCCGCCGCCGATCGCCAACGGCCGCGTGTCCGTCGTCAACACGACGTTCGACTCGTCGGCCAACTACACGTGCCTAGCCGGCTTTCGACTCATCGGTCCCGAAACGCTGTTGTGCGGCGATCGAGGCGAATGGCAGCCGGCGAGTCCGTTCTGCTATGACGTCGCCACACTTCAAGAGTTCAAATCGACGACGGGCGACTCGCAGCTCGCCAATTCCACCGACGGCAACATCGCGCTGGCGGTGCTCGCCGTGATTCTCGTCGCGTGCCTCGTCGCCGCCGTTTTGAAAATGTCGCGCTCCGGCGGTCCGAATCACTCGCTATCGCACGATAAGGTACGTCTTTTTTTTGTTTTGGTATGCGCCTTTAATTTGGCAAATTTGCAGCTCAACAGCTCGACGGCCGCCATCTACGCGACGCCGTGGATCCCGCCGCAGCGTCCCGACTCGGTGATCTACTACGCGCCAACCATCGCGCACATGGAAGTGCCGCCGCACCTTCTGCAACTTCAACAATTGCCCAACGGCAATATTCATGTGACGCTGCCGATCGGACGACAACTATCGAGGCCCGCGCTGCCAATATTCAGGAACACCATCTCGCCAACACCTTCTCAAATTTTGTACTCATTCGATCATGAGCCCATCTACGATGTGCCGCCCGATATTCATGGTAAGAAAATTGAGAGAGAGATCACCGTTTGCAATAGAGCGCGATTGATTCCCACATTGTCCAATTCTCATTTTGCAGACGATGTCTACGAGAGGATGCCGGATCGCCCGGCGCCGCCGCCTCCACCGATTCGTGGAAAAAGCAGCCAAATCTAGACAAACCAAAAACTCAACAGTCATTCTCCCGAGTGTGTCAAAATTGCCATCGAAGAAAGAGGAAAAAATTGAAAACAAAATTTAAAAAAAAATGAACGAAATGAGAAACAAGAAGAACGGGTTGCCTCTAATTTATTTAATGCGAATTTATATGTGTATGTATGTTCTCAAAAAAAAAATAATAATAAAATAATAAGAATAAAGAGAAACAATTGATGTACGAAGAGAACCACACACACATACACACACTCAGAGCAAATTTGATTAATATATGGCTGTAGGCTACCTCGAAAAGGAGAAAAGAGACGGAAAACGCGGGAGAATGTAACGACCCATTTTGTTTTTTCTTTTGACTAAATCATACAACCAGAAAAAAAAGACAAAATTGATAAGTGGAACAAACGAACGAAAAGAAAAGAAGATTGCGAATCATTAATAAAAAAATGAAGAAGAAGAACAAAAAACGAAATGGCATTTGCCTAGAAATGCGCCCAATCGTATTGAATATTGCGAAAATCGATCTCGTTGTAGTTCACCACCTCCTCGGTGATTCCCTGCTGAAGCCAAAGCAGTTTGAGCTTCTGGTAGAGGTCCGGATTCAGGTGCAACGGATTGCCGCGTCTAAACATCGTCAAATTCTCTCCGGTGAGGGGAAAAAAGAAGCTCATCCCGAAATTTAGTGACTCTTTAGGTAATGGGGGCAAAAATTTGATCTACATTCCTAAATCACAAATTTCCAAGAAATCGCACCTGAATCCCTGATCGACTTCGCCAAACTCGTCGACGTACGGCGCCGGTCGGAAGCATCCGCGTTTGCGCGTCGCCATCAACACCAAATTACAATCGCGTACACTAAAAAAAAAAGAAAAATGAAGGGAGACGACATATTGTATACCGTAGAAATATGCCAACGGGTCCCGAGCATTGCGACATATGATAACGACACGCGCCATACGATTGCTTGTTGATCTCAAATTTGAACGTCGTTCAATTTTCAAGCGAGAAAAATAGAAAAATATAAGCGACAACTCACAATTTTCTGGCAACAATACGCTTGCGAGCACAAAATTGTGCCGCACACGAGGCAAATCGTCGGCACGTTCACCGTCGACTCTTCCATCGGTATCGACGGGCAGCGGAACGTCGCGACGCGATTGATCAGCGCGCTGTACTTTGGCGGCAAATCGATGAGGAGATTCGGCCGAACCGGCTGGACGACGAGCTCGCGACGCGCGACACTATCGCGCGGTATCGCCTGCGACCACATCACAAACAGATTGTCGACGAGGCAGCCCGTCAGCTGGTCGACCATTTTCGCCGGAAGACTCAAATAGCGGAACAACGGCTCCGGGCTGCGTATCGACGGGTCTGAAACACTATTTGATAGAATGCTTCTCCTACAAAAAGTGTTTCATTAAATCGCAAAAACAACAATTTTGACGAAATTTCTCAAAAACACCAACCTTTGAGCGCCTCGGGCGGATCGACAAGCGTCAAAAAATGATACAACAACGCGATGGGTCGAAGCAGAATCTGAGCGCCGTCTTCCATTCGCTTCAGCAATTTGTCGAGTTTACGCGGTTGCGGCTCGTCGGGACGACAAATCGCGAACAATCGCGTCAGCAGTTGACCCGTCGACGCCTCGATTCCTCCAGCCGATTGCGTCGTCTCGTCCATCGAGTCGTCCATGTTCACGTCATCGCCGTCAAACTCGTCATACGTCGCGATGATCTGGAAAACGAACGATGAAATTCACTAAATGTGATCACACACACGCTGATTACCTGAAAATAGTGCGCGATCAGCACCAATCGCAACACGTACGCCTCATCGATCGAGCCGTCCGGCGTCAATTGTCTCGCTTTCGGCGATCCCGTCGAGTGCATCGTCTGCACACCATTGTTCCACGTCCATCCGATCGACATCATCAACGACACCGCCAGACTCAGCATGTCGACATGCAGAATGTTCAAGTTCGCGTTCTTTCGCGGACCCGTCGGATTGAACAGCTGAACGAGAAACGCGAAATTCGTCGGCGAGCCATTCGTCGTGGTCGTCGAGCCGACGCCGGTGCTGCTGCCCGCTTGCGTCGTCCCGCCACTCTTCGGCGACGTCGGCACACTCGGCGCCTTCGACTTCGGCGGCGGCGGCGGTGGCTCGCAACACAAAATTCGAAGCATGTCGGCGACGGCGTGCAACAAGAATTGCAAATTGTGCGACAACGACGCGCAGAGTCGCGCCATCGCCGACAGACAATCGCGTTGGCGGGTGTTCAACGCGCCGAACAACGGCTTGCCGTCGTAGTAGAGGTACGAGGAGATGGCGCGCGCGACGTGCGCCGACGATTGCCAAGTGACCGTCGCGATCACGTAACCGCGTAGGTGTTTCTCGAGGAATTTCGTCTTCTCGTTGCCGCGCCGCCGAAATTTGATCAATTTCTTGCCGAGCTCCTTGATCGACTCCTCAAACTGCTCCAAACCGTTGGCGCACAATCGATTCGAGCCGATGAGCGCCGGAAACGGACGAATCAACGAGTAGAGCGCGTGCTGCAATTGATTGCTCAGGCCCTTCTTCGGCGCCTCGACGACGGCGGGGGCCGACGAGGCGGCGTTGGCGCCCTCGTTGCGCATCGGCGTCGCTTCCGGCGTATTCGTCGGCGACGCGCCGACATCCTGATTCAGCAGCATGGCAAGCTCGTTGTAGAACTCCTCTTCCGACGCGTCGTCCTCGTTCGCCACCACTTCCGACCGAATCGTGCTCATCAAATCCTGCATGACCGACGATGAGCTCGGCACCGGTGTCGACGGCCGATTCTCGGCGATCTGAACGACGGGCGGATCGGTGATGGCGGCGACCGAGCCGAACGACAACAATCCCGACGCGTCGTCGTCTTTCGTCTTCTCCGTGGCCGCCGCCGCCTTCTCCAAATCGAGAAGCGAACGCTCCGAGTGCGATCGCTTCCGACTATGGCCTTTTTTGCGGATGCCCTCGGAGCCCAACGGCATGTCGAGATGGCGTTTCACACGCGTCACCCATTCGTCAAACGTCTCGTTGTTGGCACCCGAAATTGTCGAAAATCTAGAAAATCAAAACGAATCAAAAACATAAAAAATTTTTTCCCGTCAAATTTCTCACCCCTGAACATTCGTCAACTGATAAGCGGGCAGCACCGGAATCGCCGCGTTCGATAGGCGTTTACACAACGGACATTGATATTCGCCAATTTCCGAATCGACCATTTTGTGACTGTACAAATTCTGATTGCGCGCGCGGAGGCTATCGCGCACTTTTATCGATTCCGACAAGCTGAAACACCAAAAATAATTAGACTTGTTTCTTTTTTCCGCATTATTTTTTGGTCCCTACCTTTTATAGCACTCAAAATGCATACTGTGCGAGCACGTCGAAACATCAACACCGTATTGTAGAGTGGCGGGAGCTGTCAAAAGGTCTCGCGTCGAAATCCCGCCGCTAATCGACGTCATCAAATGACCCTCGTGGTTCTTATGGGTGAAGAGTTGAGATCTGAGCAAAACAAAAATTAATTAATTGAATCGCCACAATCGGCTCTCGTCTGGCTCACTGTTGAATGAACGCGGCGCACACCATCGGTTTGCCGTTGATGGGATGAATCGGCTCGTCCTCCTGACACAAAATGCACGTGAGTTTGCGCTCCCGCACAATTTCCGCCTTCCATTTGTGCGCGCCGATGCACACGGGAAACTCTTGTCCGCCGGTGGCCACGTTTCGCACAATATCCTCGTCGTACTCGCATTTGCCGTCGGCGGCGAAATACGCTTTGTTGGCGTCGTCGGACGACGACGTCGTCTCGTCGTCCTTCTTGACGACGCTTTCGGTGTCGTCGATCTGCTTCATAAACTTCTTCTGCATCGTCGCCATTTTCGCCATCGCTTTTTGGCGCATCTCGCGCGCGCGCGCCGCCCGCTTCGCCTTCAACTCGTCGGCCGTCTCCTGACGCGATTTCGACTCGTCGACATTCTCGACTTCCATTCCGTCGCCGTTCGCCTGTCGCAATTTTTTGTACTTCTAAAAACAACAACAAACGCGTCATTCAAAATTGGCACAGCGCCAAATTCGACCTGTATCAAAAAATCCAACAGCAATGTGCAAATCGTCGCTTCGGGTTTGCCCTGAATCGCTTCCATCGACGCGAGCAGATTGCTCTCCTCCTCGGCGATTCGTGTGAAGCCAAACGACGAATTGACCTCCTCCTCGTTCAATGCCATTCCGACGAGGAAAAGCGCCTAAAACAATTCCATTGAGATTACGCTGAATAATAATGCAATTCGACGACATACTTTATGAAATAAGCGATCGCTCGAAAACCGATTCCTTTTCGCCGTGCGCTCGATGATCACCTTCAAGATTCGAATCAAAATCGGCGATCTCAACACCTCGACGGCGTTTTTGAAGAATGGCGTGAACGGCGGCAATTTGGGCGGAGCGCACGCACGAGTCTCCCTTGAAAAATGATTGGCTGGCGTTCGATGGAATCCAAACAATTCAAAAAAAAAAAAACTCACTTGTCCATTTTCTGTCTGAGCTTCTGCTGATGCTGTTCGGCGGCCGATTGGTCGCTCTTCGAGTAGTGCATAAAGAACGGATTGTATTCGCAGAGAAGCTCCTGCTTCAAATAGAATTGTCCGGCCGACGTGGCTAGCGGCTTCCTGCAATTACATCGAAAATGACGATTCCGACGAGTCTGACGACCGCCGTCATACCTGAATTCAGCAACCTGATTAACAACCTCGTGAAGGGACACCTTCTTCACGGCGACCTCGTGCGATAATCGATGTTGAATCTTGAAACGATATCAATTCAAGACTATCACACTATTCGGGGAAGCGCTTACATGGCTGAACGTCTGCGCACCGGTGCACAACACATGGATCACCTCTCGACGGAGATGATCGGCGGCGGCCACCTGCCCGACGCCGGGCAGATAGCGCTCGCCGGCGATCATGATCAAGACCTGTAGGAACTCTTCGGCGAGCGACACCGTGCATTTGCTCAGATCCTCCGTCTCAATTTTGCCGCCCGCCGCCGACGCGCTCTTCGGATTGCCCTCGAATTGCGGATCCGACCAGTTGACGATGCGATAGCGATGAATGAGATGGAGTAGGAATTCGCGCGTCGGCACCAACGCGGCGCCAACTTGAAGCATCAGCACGTCGCGATCGAACATCTCGCTGCGGCAAAGCGGCGAATAATAGTTGTGAATCTGATTGATCAGCGAGAAGCCGTTGCGACGCCACAATTGCGCGTTCGTCTGCGCGCAAAGAACCAAAGATCTAAAAACCCAATTCGATTCAATTCAATCCAAGAAAAAAAATCAACCTCAAATTCAGCTCGTACAAATCCTTTTTCGCTTTCGCGATTCTCGCCACAATCTCCGATTGCACATCGTCGAGAGTCATCTCGGCGGCGCGATGAATGAACATGACATACTCGTGCGCCGAGAACATGCCGGCGATGAGTCGCGGAATCGGCTGATGAATCGAGACGCCGCCGCGAAGCACATCAAAACTTCGAAGCGTCGTCGATTCGCCTTCGACCTCGAAAAACACGTGCGTCTCGCCGCTCTCATCCGTCGTCGTGATTTTGTGTTTGTCCATCGCTTGAAGAAGCATGAGAAGAACACGATTATGGACTTCCATCTAGAAAATTTCGTTGGAGAACACCAAAATGGATTTGTTTGCCGAATCTCACATTGGTTCCCGCCCACGCCACAATCAGCGTGATGGCGTCTTTGATGCGCAGCAGAATGTTGAACGCCGTCTCCCATTCGGACTCCCAGACTTGATGCTCGACCGATTGTCGCTTCACCTCGTCCATTCCTTGCATAAAGTGCGCGATTTCGATGAACGCGCCGCAACCGCGCACAAATTTCTCCTTCAACTGCTCGCTCCAGTCGGCCTCGCCGGGCACCGAATTCAACAGGAACGCCATATCGCGACAAATGTGAAGCGCTCGGCGAAGATCGTTCGGAAACGAGTTGCCGTTGAAATCGAATCGTCGAACGTCTTGATCGATGTCTAGAGAATTGCACAATCACCCCAAACAAACGAAAAACAAAAGAATAAAAAAAAATCAATTCTCACGTTTCACATAGCGCTTCGTGCGATTGATCATCGCTTGATTGATGACAGTGAACGCGTCGTCTTCGGCGACGAGTCGTCTCGCCAACGACGGCACCGTGAGGAACTGAACCGATAGACCAACAATCGACACATCCATATCGTGATCATCCGAAATAAAATCCTCATATATATGCTCATAGTGCTGAAATTAATTTTCCAACCAAAAAAAAAAACAAATAATGAATCGAACCTTCATAAACGATTTCGCAAAGTGCACCTTCTGATCATAATTCATGAATACGGTTCGCATGAGCATTTGATGAATAATGCTTCGCGCCACCTTCCACATATCGGTGTCCTCCATGAGGACCGTCTCGACAAGCGTGTTCTGATTCTGAAGCGACTCATCATCGACGTCCATCGCCTCGTCGCCGGTTTCCGACGGATGAAGTGAGGCCATCTCGCGACTCAAATCCTCATCGGCAATCCCGCCAATTTTGCTATTCAAAAGCACATTGCCAACAATTTCGCGGAGAGGCGCTGAACAGAAAACAGTAAAATTATAAAAAGAAGAAGAAGAAGAAGAAGAAAATACTCACGAAAAACGTCAATTTGCGCATTGAGCCAATTCAGCAACGCAATCGCGTGATTCTGATTCGCAAACAGTATCGTGTCCATCACTTTGACACTCAATGGCTGATTGCCGCCGGCGACGCGACGCATCGTATTCACATCGCGTAGTGTTTTCCGCTGGAGAAAAAAACAAAACAAAAATTATTGGAAAACAACAAAATCCAACCTGAATGTCGTCCTTGATTTTACTACAATCGACGCGATTGCCCAATTTCACCGCACTTCGTCCCTCGCGATCGACAATCGTCGCGATCAGCATCGCCTGGTCCTTCGTGCAGTGCACATACAATTCCAGCACCTTGATGACGCTCTCATACGTGTGCGTCTCATCGTTGTAGAGCACCGTGAGATATTGGCTCGCCGACGGCACATCGTTGTCCTGGCAAATTCTGCAACAAAAAAAAGAAACCGAATCGCCAACTCGTTTCGTCTCGTCAATATCGCCTTACTCATCGAGAAGCGGCGGAAGTGTCGAATCGTCGGTGTGCGTGATGAGGCTGATGCAATACTCGAGAATCGTCTCGACAAGCTCACGACAACGAATCATCAAATCCTCCGGCAAATCCTGGGCGCCTTGCTCGCGAACACTGAAATCATCGAGACGAAATTGCGTCGCGCGTCATTCAGTGCGCCATCCAAACCATTGCGCGTGCGTTGCGCACGCATAGCCGTCGGTCCACGCGTCCGCATCGCCGCAATCGCAATAGCCGGAGCCCGTCGATGAGTGCATCGAATACTTGTGATTCTTGTGAATCGATTCTTCGAAACACTGCAAACACATTACGCATGTCGCGTCGGTGGCGCAATCCCTAAAAAAAATGAAATAGCCCCCAATCAATTGCGATAGATCAACGATGTCGCACGCACCTGCACGTGTAGGTGAGCTCGCCATTCTTGAACACGTGCCCACAAATTTTGCCCGTCGCCTGCTGTTGCGGATCCAAACCAGCGAGCTCGTTCAGCGCGCTCAAATTGCTCTCGGTGCTCGTCGAGTCCAAACAAAACGTGCCGACGAGCGGCGCGAATAATTGGTCATCTAGAATGAGGACACGATTGAGAAGAAAAAAACCAAATCGCAAAATAATATGAACACGAGTCGAAATCGATTTCGCAATTCGATCACACACACGCGCACTCACTTATCGCCTTCTCATCGATTATCGAGCTATCCCACGGTTGGTCGGCATTGATTTTGAATAGTTTCGGGCACGTCGTCAACCAGTGCCTGTACAATACCCGTCGCGTCTCTGACCAGTCCTCTTTCTGTGCGGCGCTCACGAGATCAACGAGCATCTCATGAATCGCGAGTTGCTGGAAATCAACAACAAACTGCATAGTGAACGAAAATTGAAATAATAAAAAAAATAAGAAATGACGCGGCGGCGAAACGTGTCGAATCAATCAATCAATCGACACAAATCCGATTCTCGCAATGAATGCGCCTTTAAAAATCGACACGATCTTATTTATGAATAACTACAAAAAAAGACGATTTTTGCCGTCTGTGTGTTAGCGGAGAGGCTAGCGGGGGACAGGAGTGCTGGCCGGGGGGGGGGCGCGTGAGGATATCCACTCCCTCTCTCTCTCATCCTTCCTCTTCTGAGGGGAAGCAGCAGCAGCCAGTAGGGGGCCCCGAGGCGAAAAAGCCGGCTAGGCCGAGAGAGCGCAGACGCGTTTGGACTCGCTGTGGAGCGAACATGTCGGCTCCCCCCCCCCAAACCTCAGCCAAACACACCGTACGATATTAATCGATTCGATATTGATTCGATTCGTGTCGAGACTCCACCGAACAAAAAAAATACCGAAACCACCTACTATTTCGCTTGTTTCTTCGGCGCCCGTTTCATCCATCTACAAAAAAAATGAATTCACAAAAAAAGCAATAAATCTGAAAATTCGATAAACGATTTCCGGGGAAAAAGCGAGCCGGACAAAACGAAAAAAAATGCGAAATTTCCGAATGGAAAATTAATTCATGTTTCGAGACAAGGAATCAAATGGTACACACAAAAAAATTATATCGATATATATTGAATAGTCAAAAGTAATAGTAATTATAGTTGTGGTGATTATATGAGTAATTTATTTTGCCCAAATATTTAATCATTCATCGTCCTCCGCAATTTCAGCCATCGTTGTTCGAAGCGTTTTGCCTGAAATGAATTCAAATCAATCAAACAATCCCAATCTCGGGTCCTAGAAAGAATTGCTTCGACCGTAATCCAAAAAAAGAAGTAAACAATGTGATGATGATGATAAGACGAAAAGGATCTATTTTATATTAAGAGACGCGCAGACACGACGATGAGTGGAGTGGGCAACAGAAAAAATGACAAACACCAAAAAAAGTGGAAAAAAAAAAGAAAACTATAAATATTTCAATTTTATTTTTCCACAACAATAACCGAAATTAATTATGGTCGGCGGCCGGGTAGATTTACGCGCATGTGCCTTGCAAAAGGTCTCGCCGCGTGTGAACGCTTATTTTGCAGTTGTCACGTGAACGATTTGTTTTTTCTTGGAATATCTAACGCCCTTCGCTTTAAAAATAATAGAATCGAAATCCGTGCGAGACCACGAGAAAGGAGCATCCCCGTAAATCTACAGCAGTCGCCGGCTATAAACCGAAAACGAATAATTATAGGTTAGCACAATCTTGAGAGGCGTGGTGATGATTTGAAAAAAAAATCGCCTCGAGATCCACCCCCCCCCCAAACCCAACTTACGTCGCGCGCGTTTCGCCTCCTCTCGTTCGACTTTGTCGATCGCCGACAAATTCAAATCGAACGTGACGTCGTGTCGATTCTCGTCGCGAATCGGCGTCGAACAATGCCGACCCTGAATGAGCGTCTCGTCCCACACGATCGGCGTCTGTCCGCGCTGCTCGTCGGTCTTCGCCTTCTTCGCCTCGTTCGCCGTCTCGGCCGAAGCGGCGCGGCTTCGCGAACGCACACTTCGTCGAAGTGTCACATTCGAAGCATCGTCGGGAGACGCTGAAAATCAACGTTTGATTTTAAAACAAAAAAATGAAGGAAACGCGGTTCGAAATGAATCACATTGGGCTCATCCATCGGCTTCAACACTCCACAACCCACCACCATCGATGTGCTCCAATATTCGCATTGGCATCTCAACAATCAGTGCTGTTGAGCATTGTAAATCACCAACGAATCGCCAATCGGATATGAAATTCTTTCGGCGATCTTCTTCATCCTCATCCAATCTCACGAATTCTCCAATATTCGCATTCAACTGGATTGTAAACCACCATCATCTCCATCAAAACATCGTCACGGATGAGATTTCGCAACAAACGCGAGCAGGGTCTTCGGTCGAGCCGTTCGGCTGACGAAATTCCATTCGCGACGATACGCTTTTATACGCATCAGCGTTCATCAAAATCGGGCCCGCCCACAACTTGCACTGACTCATCGCCAAATCATCAAAATGTGCGATTTTTCAGTGAATCTTTCACTCGCAAAAAAAAAATATAAACGCTTGCGCCAATTTGATTCGAAATTCACGCCATACTGGAAAAATTCAAGATTCGAATTCCCAGAAACGTGTACTCCACACGAACAATGCGTAAATCGACACCCATCATGTTGCGAGACCCACTCTCCCTACAGTAGACGAAAATATTAAATATTTTAAAAACCTACTCGAAAATTTCGGCCTCTTCCACACTTTGCCATTCGCGTCGCGCGATTCATCGTGCTCTTCCGGCGTCGGCGTTTTTCGTCGCCTCGACGTGTTGTTGGGCGCTTCAGAAGTTGGCGCAACGTCGTCGTCGCCGTCAACCACTTGTGCGGGAGCTTCATCAGTAGCATCATCAGCAGCAGCAGCAGCAGCAGCCGTCTCAGCAGACTCCTCAATCTCTCGAGCGGCAACTTGTGGAGCTGGAGTTGACGACACCGGTCCCTCAAGGGTGGCATGAGTCTCTGAAAAAATTGAAATGAACCCGCCGGCAGCCATCGCCAAATTGAAATTAGTTGGTACCATCCAATTGCAATGGTTTGAGCGCCAATTCGTTCTGATGCATGAGCAATCCAATAGATCGTCGCTGAAACAAAACAGATAAATAACAAAACAGGGTCTCGCTTTTTCAGCCTACAATTTTTTTGACCGTCTTCGGCGAAAGCGGCCGCTCGGATCGCGGTGTTCCCAAAACGCGCGCGGTGCTCGGCGTCGCCAAAACCGCGACGCGTTGCGGCGTCGCCATTTCGACGACGGCATCCGCGCGCATCGGCGATCCCGCCGTCGCCGCTCCCTCCTCGCCGACATCCATCGGCTCCGTCTGCTTCGATTGCCGCCGCTGCTTCTTGTTGAACTCGACGACCTTCTTGATGTGCTCGTCGAGTATCCGATTCGCTTCTTCCGCCCGCTGCTTCACGCGCTGCAATTCGAACGCCATCTCGTCTTTGAGTTGCCGATTGTCCCTCAATATCACATCGAGATCGTTCTTGTGCTCAATGCAAATCATTCGAATCGCCAATTGGCATTTGCGCATCAGAAGCGATTTGTGGACGATGAGAAACTCGCGAAGGCTCAAAACCGACGGGATGATCGTGTTCATATAGTTCTGAAGGTAGACCTCTCGCATGTATTTCGTCGCAGCATCCTGAAATCAACGAATCTCGCCGCAATTCTCATCAAATTCCTACCATAACCGCTTCCGGCGGCTCATCGAGCCCATTCTCGTTGTCGCTCTTTCCAACTTCCATTTTGACCTGCATCTCGCTCGACGACATTATCTGAAAATCAAAAAAATATGTATATTCGATATACTCATCATCATCTACCAATAGGGCATCTTCAAGCAGCGAATACACATTGTCATCGCCAAAATCGAATTCGCCGTTTATAATCGGGTTAATAATCTGCAACGAAAAAAAATGGAAAAAATTGAGAGCGAAAAAAAATTGGGGGCTACTTTGAGACAAATATCCTTTTTCACTTCAAATCGTTGACGATCATCAAGAGATTCAATCTGAAAATCTTAAATCTCTTTAAAAAAGTAAATTCGTTTCAGCTACCATAAAATTATAAATCGCAATTCTCGACGATCTCGCCAACGATTCACCGCCGCCCATTGTCACATCCACATGCCCATTTTCCTCTTCTGAAATTATGAAAAAAAAAAAACATTTAAGCTACTCAAAATATGATTTTGCTCTCATTGTCAAACTCTCTTGAATTCTAAGCAAATTGGCACACGAAATTAATCTACAGTCCAGCCACCCTATATAATTTTCTTCATTTTTCTTCTTTTACTATATATATATATATTCCAAATATGCCATGCAAAGTTTGGGGGGAAACAAAAACTCGAAAACCTCAACAAAAAAATGCATTGCTTTCGCGTTTTTTTTTGTTCAACTTCATTTTTCAATATTTCCTATGTATATTCGAATATTACAAAATTCATCAAATAAAAAAATCGAAGCTTGGCTTTAAAAAAATCTTTAAAAAATTCAAACCAATTTACCATTCACAGATCTGACAATTCGTTTCGCCTGCGTCAAATAAATCATGTAATGCACAAAAAACTTTGAGAAGAATCCTGGAATATCGTTTTGAAGGACTTCTCTCTGAAAAAATAAAACGCATCGATCGATCAAAAGAGAGAGAGGGAAAGAGAGATCAAATCGTCTTACAATATACAATCGCGCGTCATTCCTCACATCCTCATTGGCATCAAGAATCGCTAGCATTATCCGAATCATCACCTCGCCGCCGAATCGAAAAATGCTGCTCGAGACGAGGCGCGCAATCTCGAGAATCGCGTGCTTCCGCACAACCACCGACGGATCGCAAAGCGCCGCGGCGAGCACCGGCGCGTATCGATCCGTCTTATAGCTGAACGTTTAAAATTGTTTTCAAACGCCAAACGGCGCGCTTACGTCTCACAAATGTCGCCAATCGCGAGCACGATATTCGATCGAACCTCGTGCGCTGGATTGATTTGCAATTGTTTCGCGAACATCGGCATCAATTTCAGCATCTTCTCGTCGAGCAGTATCATTGTTCCGAGCGCGACCGCGCAAATCGCTCGCGTCTTGTCGCCGAACAGCACACCGCCGACAGCGTCGCACTGTTCGAGCATCGCGTTGACGACACGATGCTGCTGTTGTTGGGAGGACGGCTGAAGTCTCGATTGCAATCAACATTCGAGAGGAGAAGAACAAAAATCAAACTCACCGCCACTTCGGACATCTGCGTGACGGGCCGCGTGTGTTGCGACAGCGACGGAATGTCGGGATTGATGGCCGATTGATTGCGACTCTTGTCGAACGCGTTGACAATCATGAGAAGCGTTTTGCCGAGTCGCTCATACATCGGCACAAGCGACGGCGCGAACAGAAACACCTCGGTGGTCACGTTCAGCGCGACAATCAAATATCGCTCTTGGCTTTCCGCCTTCATCGACCACTCGTTTTTGTTTTTGAACATCTCGAACGACTCGACGATCGTGTCGAAGCAAGCGTCGACGAGCTCTTTGCCGAAACGCACAAATCCCGCCGCGTTCGTCGCCTCGTCGCCTATTCCGTCCATCATTCTACCAACACAATGATAAATGTCGCGCGCGTGCGACGAATGAATCGTGAACATTCGAAGCGACTCCTGAAGGAATCTCAACAAGTCCGCGCGCGTCTCGCTCGGAATCTTCTCAAATTGATTCGCAATCACATGAATTATGTATTTCACTGTTTTCGATTCCGAACTCAAATCCGTCGAGTATAATGCTTCAACAGCATATTCAACATTCTTCTGAAACGTCAAACCTCAAACCAATTCCAGTATCACCCTCCCCCCACCTTGAAAACGACACTCAATTGACTAAGGACCATCCAAGCGCTGGCGCGATCAACAGCGCCCTCCTCGATATGCTTCTTCATCGTTTCCATCACGTTCGCCTTCACCAAACCGCTCGACGCCGTCTCCTTCAATGTCGCCATCAAATAGTGCCGTCGCGTCGTCACCGTCTCAATCTCTTTGAGTAGCGTCCACGTCAACTCGTTGGGACACTCGAGAAGCGGACTCAACACTTTCATGATGAGCTTCCTCGCGTGATCCTGCATTTCCGATTCGCCGTCATTGAGCATTCGAAGAAGTGCGCCGAGCCATTTCGAGCTCAGCACCTCTCTATAAAGGCATCGCTTAGTAGGTAGATCAAAATAAAGCAACAAGGATTACTTGAACGTAATCGAATTCGCCATCATCAGCTCATTCATCGCATCGGCCGCCACTTTTCGAACACTCGTGAGTCGATCTCGACACATTAGCTGAAGAAAAAAATAATAATTGGGTCGCAAAATTTCAATCCGCTACCTCCAATAGGCTAATGATCGCCTCAAACTTCTCGCGATCGCCGCAATTCAGCAGAAACGAGAAAATCGCCGCGCACGTCGACTTGCGCACCGGCGCCTTCTCATCAGTCGCCAATCGTTTCAGCAACATGAACACGACGTCCGTCTCGATTCGCGTCGCACCTCGATTCATCATGTTGAGCTTCTTGAACTTCTGTATGATCGCCTGCTCTTCGAGCATCAAATCGGTTTTGCCTTTTTTCGGATTCGCGCGCGTCTCATCGCCGTCGATCGTCTCATTCATATCATCAATCTCGCCATATTTCTCATCATGTTCATCATTCTAACAACAACAACAAAAAATAATTTTTTTTGGGGGGTGTCAAATTTGCTCGAAATACCATCGTTTTGCAAGCGTCGGCAAAAGCCGCCCGTCGGTCGGCATCCTCGAGAATTTTCGCGAAAAATTGTGCGCCATGGTGTCTTGAAGCGGCCGTCTCAAAAAAAAAAACAAATAAAAAATAAAAAGGCAATCATTTTCACGTACCTTATCAAGACATGACATATAAATAATTCTGTACAATATTTTGGTGGCTTCAATTCTCGGCAAATCGCTGAAAGCGAGAAAAATCAAAATAAGTGCGCGCTCAACTCACTTGGTCTTTTTCGGCACTTTTTTCATTCTCTTTCGAGTTTCCCCACGCCGACTCCGATTTCGTCGTGTCTCCTCCTCGTCGTCGTCGTCATCGCGCTCAGATTCCGCCTCATCCTCGTCGTCGACATCATCCGATTCCTCGTCATCCGACTCAAGTGTGTTCGCGACAGCGCCAGGGTCAGCCATTGAGAAATCTGACCAAAATAAAATAAATGTGAACAAAGAAAAATGACAACACGGCTACCAAAATTGTCGAGCAACTGACTAGCGAGCTCAATCGAGAGCTGCTTTACTCCAGCGGTTCGACTCTTTGAATAAATTCTCATCGATTGGACAAAATCCTTTAAAAAACAAATAAGAGCCAACATTAAGAAAGCGAAAAAATTGCTTACATAAGCGTACTCATAGGGAAAAGCTTTGAGGATGCGAACAATGTTGCCCGCAATCAATGCTCGATATTCCTGAAGATCGGGACATTGATAGTAAATCATTTCGACAATTTTTCGAATCAGCTTCATCTCGTGCGTCGGCGGATTGCGTGCTAGCCGCGCGATCACAAAACTCGCCGCAATTTCGGCGGCCCGTTTGCGTTCCGTCGAGATTTTCGACGTTTTGTTCGCGTCCGATGCGAACGGCAACAGCGCGAGTCGCGGACGCACAATTCGACCGTAGACGGCCGCCGACCACGAGGCGAACTTCGAGTCGGCGACAATGTGGAGAAGCGCCGCGTAGCGATCGACAAATTTCGACATGGCCCGAAATTCGCGCATCGACATCGCGCCATCCGCTTTCGACGATGTCCTGCCGTCAAGTTCGAGCCTTCCGATTTCCTCAATCGTTTCCAAGCTCATCATGATATATTCATTTGGAATCGAATAGCCGACTTCAAACAAAACAATAATTATTATTAAGAATTGGCTTCGCAAAATTTTCTCAACCATTTGCGAAAAACGCGTAGAGCATTGTCGTCAGCGTTTGAAGGTAATCCTCGGCGCGATCAACCCCAATTCTCGGTGGTCCCATCACGACCTCGCCTTCTTCTTCTTCCATTCCCTCATCGGTCGTCCGATTCTTTTGCTTCTTTTTGTTGGCTTTTTTCGAAACGCCGCCTCCGACATCGCCGATTTGAATAGTTCTCGCGCAGTTTAGCATAATTTTCAAGCATTTCTGCAAAAATAATTTACTTAGTTTCAAAAATTGCATGCGCCTTTAACTACGGTATCCAAAAAAGGCATTTAAAACAGGAAAACTGATGGTTCAAATCCACTTTGTGAGTTTGTCAAATTAGCAATTTAATCAGTTTTTTTAAACTCAATAACTGATTAAAGGCGCATAGCATGGAAAACTATATGGGTCCTGTAGCCGCCAGTTTTTTTTCTCAGAAATTTCCCACAATACCTCAAATAATGGTTCTTGGAACAGTTTAGCGGCATGTACGCCGTTGAAAGTACAAAGTCCGAGGTACACACAAGCAATATTGACGCCATTTCGTACAGTATTTCCGGTGCTAGAAAATCGAAATTAATTTAAATTTCTTTAAAAAAAGGGCAACCTTGACGATTTTCTCGCCATTTCTATTAAATACCAAACGAGAAGATTGAATTTTGCCGGATTTACGCGCGCTTCCGTGAATATTTCCATCGCGTCCGCTTTTATGTTATCCAACAGCATTGTCGTCACAAATTTCTCCACTAAACTCGATTTTTTTTTCAAATATTTTAAACAATTCTTGACCTACTTTCTATTAAAACCTGCGTGAATTCAGTGTCATGAAACGCTTCCAAATCGTTGGATTCGATGAATTCGTCAAAATTTTCATAGCTGCATTCGGCGCATGACGTCGCCCAAATGTCGGCAATCTCGTTGACTTGATTGAAGTATTGCTCGAGAATGTTGGAGACATCGCTGGCACTCATAATACAACGCGATAGGCTGCAAAAATCGATGGAAAATTGTGAAAATGGAGAAGAATAATTGAAAAATTTGAATTTCTCGATATTCCCGCTGATTGCAAACGCGCTCCAATGAACACGGCCGGTGATTTCGCGGCCATCTTGAAAACGAAATTTATTTTTTTCAAGTCCTTCGTTAATTTCATCGCGTTTCAGAAGCATGATGCGACGAATTCGCATCACTAGAGGCTATTCAAATGCGGCGGCAAAGCCAAACGTAACAATTCAACCGGCGATTCAAGTGAGCTTGTGTCAAAAATGCAATTTTTTATTTTAAAAAATGCATTTTTCTTCTAGCGAAAACCCACAGATTTATTAAAAGCGCTGTCGGAGACTGTCGGCGTCGACACAACAGCGCCCCATTTCGCGTTCATCGATGATCCGATCACGATTCCATCGACGCAAAACGCCAAAAAAACGTATTTTATGGCGAAAGAGCTCGGCAAACGGGCGGCGCGTCAATTGGCCGAAGAATGGCCGACACTGTTCGCGTTCGACAGAGATCAACCAAGACTTCCAGTATTCCGACCCGAAAAGCTCGCCGATCCGTTGCAGGTTGGTTTTTTGAATAATTTTTGCATTTAATTAAAATTTTTCTTTTGAATTGTCCAGATCGAGCCGACGGAGAAGAATCTTCTCGAAATTATAAAATCGCGTCAAGTGCAAGACGCGTGCACGCTCTATGAGCGAATGCGTTCGGAGAACATCGACGTCAGCGATTCGACGCAACTCGAGCTTTTCCGCCTCGTCGCCTACTATAATTCGAGAAACGCGCCGTTCGCCGAATGGCACGAATGGCACGGAATGCGCAATTTCGCCGAAGACGAAACGCATTCATGGCAGTCGGCAAGTGTCGCCGATTTGCTGTTCGAGACCCTGCCGAAAACCGATGAGACGGTCTCGATAATGATCGCCGCATTGTGCAAGTTCGCCAATTCGGAAAGTGTCGAGCGAGCTCGCCAATTGTACAAAGAGAATTCGACGCTCAAAATTCGACGAGAAGCCTACAACCTTTTGATATCCACGTCGAACTTCAAAATCGCCAGCAATTTGTGTGCGGAAATGTCGAAAAATGGGATGAAGCCCGATGTTAGCACATTCGATTCCCTTCTAATTGCAGCTAATAAGGTAGTTAATCAAATGGGTAGTTATTTTAATAAGTTGAATAATTAATTATTTGAAGATTGAAAAATTCGAGGATCGCGTCGACGCTTTCACAAAGATTTTGTCGGAAATGTCGCACTTGAAAATTCGGCCAGCGCTTTCAACGTATCACAAGATTCTGAAGGGTCTCGACGACAAATCGAAGAACAAGGAGAAGGAGATGAGGCATTTGGTAGAGGCGAAAATAAAAACCAAAATTTTTGTTATCAAATTAATTTTGCAGACACTGGCGATTTCGTGGGTTTCGCAAATTCTCGACGAACTCTCGCAAACCGGCGAACCATTGGAGCCGTCGTCGTCGAGCTGCAATCTGTTCTTCTATGAGGCGATGGGTGTCGCTTATCGTTGCGCCAACATCGAGATCGCCGAAAAATTGCGGCATCTCTATGAGCATCCGAACAATCGCGTCAAAATGCCTGCGTTCACCATCGAATCCAACTTCTACAATCGTTATTTGCAATTATACATTGAGCAGACGGCGTCGATCGAGCAGATTTACACGAAATACATGTAATCGAATTCATGTGGTGCCTTGAAATCATTATCATTTTGTTTGAAGTGAGTTGGTGCCGAGGCTCGTCGGCGCTTCAGAATCGCTGTGCAACGCCGTCTATCAGAAGTTGGCGCGACAGCCGCATTGGGCGTTGTTGAGGCGGGTGATCGAGGATGGCATCAACGCCGGCCAGATTGCCGGCAAACTCGGCGGCGAAATGCGAAAGCAGCTCATCAATGTGCAATATCATGTAAGTGCCACCCCTCCGATGGTCCTCCAGAATCCTCGATAAATTGTTGCAGACGCTGTCGGTGGCGGAACGCGACGAATTCACGCAGATTGTGCAGAAAATGGTCGCGACACTCGTCGAGTTCAGCCAATTCACCGATGAGTACACGAAGCGAATGCAGAGGAAGCTCTCGCCGTCGCAAATTTCCGACTTGGCGCTTCTACTGACGAGAATCGGCGAGATTCCGAAAGCCTATGAGCTTCTCGACCTTCTTCTCGATGAGAATGCAAGCGAGGGCGACGAGGCGACGGTGTTCGCCAAAGGCTATCCGCGACCGTCGTCAATGGCGGAATTGTTCGAAGACGCATTACGACGAAGGGACGCGTATGGGTATCTAGTTGATCAAGCGATTCTGAAAAATCTGATTTTCTCTTTTTTTCAAGTGCTTCAACCTGCCTCGAAATAATGGCGTTGAATGGAAATCGGCGAAGTCTCGAGCCATTGGCGAATCGAATCTTCGAGCGTTGCTCTCTAACCGACACCCAAAAGAAGATCATCGAAGGGTTTGTGCGCCTTCGACCCGAATAGGATTTTCGTTAACTTGTTGTCATTGTTTTTAGAACTAGAGTTCCTTGTTTCTGTTATTTATATATATATATATTAAAAAAAGTGGATGTTTTGAAATATTAAAAAAAAAAAAAACGGATTAATCGCTGTCAATTATCTCCTTCTCTTTCATTATGATATATTCTCGCGTCGAAAATCCGAATTTGATCATATCCTTTTCATGAAGCTCGTAATATCTAAAAATTGACCAATTAATATCGATGATGATAGTTGTGTTTCACCTTTGCGGATCGATTTTTTCATTATTCAAAAATGTTCCATTGCCGCTCGCCAAATCAATAATGTACGGGATGATTCGGCGAGCTTTGGTGCCGTCGTCGCGTGTGAACGGAATCGATCTGAAAATTGTTGGTTTCGGGGTCTCGCGACGACAACAACCGCCTCACCTATACTGCAACACCGCGTGCTGTTTACTGCAGCTCGGATGATCGACGGGAATGTCGGCAATCTTGTGATCGCGTCCGATGAGGTACGCCGATTGGCGATGGATGTACAACACCGGCAGCGCTTCGTCGCCTTTGAACGGATACAATCGCCAGCGGGCGTTGGGCTTCTTCGCCTCCGGCGGCTCGTTGTACTTGATGACGACGCCGCGGAACGTGTTCGTGTCTTCGGCGAGTTTTCCCGACGTGCCCAAATTCACTTTCTCCTTCTCGATCGGCTCGTCGCTCTCCGTTTTCGGCGAGCTTCGTCGTCCCCAACTGAAATTACCCAAAAAAAATAATCATCCCCCGTCCAAATTGCAGTCATACTTCTCCTCGGGCTTCGCCGCCTTCCTCTCGAGACCATATTGTTTTCCATCGTCTCTTCGCGGCCGATTCTCCGGCGATTGCCGTCGTCGTTGTCGTTGCCGTCGGTCATCGTCACTTCGCGGCGAGCGATCGCTTCAAAATTTCGAAAAAATTAATTTCCACCATGATTTCAGACACAATTACCCATCACTGACGACTTCTTGCTTCACTTCTCGTCGATACGCCTTCGGACTTTCACGCCTTCGATCTCTTCGGCGATCCGGAGAACTGAAAAACCAAAACTCAAACACATTTCCCACAAATTCACGCCATACTCCTCAATTTCTTTCTTGATTTCCTTTCGTGGCGGACTTCTCCTCGGCGATCGTCGTCTTCGCTCACGACTTCTATCTAAGAAATATTCATAACTCACATTGTAAAAATCAATTTCAAACCTCTGGAGCGATTGCGATGTGATCGTTTTGGACTACGACTGCGATCTCGTCCCATTTCTGCAACAACAAAAAAACGACTACCAAATATGGCGATTAATGACAACAATACTGCGCAGAATATTAAACCAAATGATGATGGGAAAAAAACCCAAAAAATGTGCGCAATTTAGCACAAAAATGTGCGAAAACAATGCGTATTTGAAAATAACGCTGAATGTCGTAAGATAGTGCGCATTGGCCGCAAACACATGACGCAATAGCGCAGACAAATATTGATATATTTTTAAAATTTCTTAAATTTCTCGTCAAAAATCCAAAAAAACGGGAAAAGTTTTAAAAGCTTTCATTTCAAATTATGGCACGCTATAAATACATACATACAACAAGAAAAGACGAACAAAAAGAAAATGAGTGAATGAGTGAATGAATCCATAATAGTACACGTATTAAGATGAAAAATTCAACAGGCAAAACAACAACGTCAGTCGAGATGTTCGGATTTCATCGACGAGCGCGATCGATTGTGTACCGTCGGCGACGACTCCTCCTGGAATTCGAAGCGCGGCGCCGTCGTGCCGCTCACTGGCGACGACGTCCGAATCGAGTAGCCGATCGACGTCGCCGATTTTTCGCGTTCCAGTCGAACGCCGCTTTCGAACTGCAAAAAGAATATGAGAATGATGAAAAAAGAAATGGAAAAGTCACGCAAATTGGCAAAATGCCAGAAAAAAAAATGAAATCGAAGAGGTCTCGACGCAAAACGAATAGTGTCGATTTACGGGCGCATCGAGACCTCTCCCCGAATTTTTTTCCACGCCGACAATTCCAAAAAATCAAATCAACCTTTTCAACTTTGTCAATCGCCGGATGCACATTCTGACTCGGCGGCATGATGCAGCAGCCGCGAACGAATATCGATAGAAGGACCGGCAAAAAGACGAGACCGTGGAGAAGGCCGAGAGATATCGACAACACCACCGTTTTGAAGAACGTCCCGATCATGTAGGCGGGAATGTCGGCGAGCACCGACACCGCCAATATCGTCGAGAGTCCACCTTGGACCAGCGGCCAACCGAGCGCCGATAGCGCCTCGCGAACTCGTCCCGACGCCGACGCCTCACGCGACACCACATAGCCATAGGCGATGTGCGCCGAATAATCGACGGAGAAACCGATCGACATGATGATCGTGATCATTGATATTGCGTCGAGATTCACGTTCCACAGCGTCATGTAGCCGATGACGCCAAAATCGATGCTGGCGCACGCGAGCGCCACCCACAACGAGCACATCGGCTGCGGGATGAGAATCAACGCGATGAAGATCATCACAAGAAGGGCGATGAAGATGTTTTGCACCTGAAAACCGACCCGATTACGACAACGATCGCCTCTTACAATACCGTGTTCGGGATGATGATGACGTATTGGTCGGTGAACAGCCAGATCGGCATAAACGTCGTCACATTGTATTCAGGCCATCGCGAAGCGACCTCACGGAACGACAACGTCGCTTCCGTCTGATCCATCGTCGTCACCAAATCCTTCATTCCAACAATGAATCGAAAACTGGTGACAACCGTCTCATTATCGCCATCAAACTAAAATTTTTGTGTGCACAACGAAAATCGATGAGTTATCTCGTACCTTTCCCCAATACAAATCCTCCGCCAACTGATTGTTCGTCTTCGATTGTAGATAGTGTTGAAGGAGTCCGTAGAACGACGAATCAATGATCTGCACTTGAAGATCCTGTTGATAGTACCTCAAATCGGTGGAGATTCGTTGAAATTTTGGTTTTTTTTTGCTCGTACCTCTCCATTTCAAACAGCCAAAATTCGACGGATTCGAGCCCGATCGCGTGTTTGCTAGTGGCAAAGTCCAAAACCATCGAGTGGATTCGATCGCGATTCGTGTGATTCCTCAAATCCGGCGCGTTGTTCACGACAATCTGAATCGAGTGCACAAATTGGGGAATTTTTTTCTGTTCTTCGCTTTCTCGATACCTGCAATTGTGGTCCATACTTCCAGAAGTACTTCTCGAGGAGCCGATAGTGCGGAATCGCGTACGAATCCTCGACGAGCAAATTGACCGGCTCCAAGCCCTCTTTGATACGCGAACATCCGTACGAGGCGCCCATCAAGTAGATCACAAACCATATCATACTCAACGCGCGCACCACCGGATGCATCAGGACCGGCGCGTACCAATCGGCAAAGAATCTCGCCGTCAGCGGCTGCTTGATGTCATGCGTCGCCAGTTTGTTCGGCGCCGTGCCGAGATTGAAGACGCGTTTGATCAACGACACCGATTCGTGATGCTCTTCGGGCACCGTCGGCATCAGAAACAGCGAATTGCGGCCCTCCTCCTCATATTTCATCGCGATCGCGAGGCAAGCAGCGAAGAATGTGATCTGTATCACGAAGTAAGATCCTTTGGATCCAACAATTATTGGTGTACCTGATAAATGAAGGCGAAAAAAATGGCGACACCCGTGTAGACGCAGAATATCTGAACGGCGGGTATGGTGGTGATGGTGCCAACGCCAAACGACAACACATCAGTCGATGAGGTGATGAGAATCGAGACGGCCGCGTCCGCCATGCATTCGCCCATTCGCTCGTGCACCGGCAGCGTTCGCGACGTTCGCCGCACCGCCGCCACCATCAGAAACATGTTGTCGGTGCCGACGGCGACGACGAGAAACGGCATGACGCCGACGATGTCGTTGTACGGGAATCCCATCAGCGACAGGCAGCCGATGCCGGTGAGTATCGCGATGCCGGCGTTGACGACGCCGAGAATCGACAGCAGCGGCTTCGACAGCGCCCAATCGATGCAGAACGTGCCGTCGACGAAGCAAAGCGAGCAAATCGTTGAGAAGGTGACAAGCAATGTGAATGAAACGACGAAGCGTGGAACTACATAGAATTAAATATATTTTTCACTTTTCCAATTCTCCCCTTCAATTACCTAATGAATCGGCGTTGCGTTTCAATTCATCAGCAAGCGTTTGCGAGTGAAAATAGGTGATTGCAATGTACGGATCGTCGGGGTACTCCTTCAACTTTCTGCCGAGCTCCAGCTCCCACTCGCCGGAGATGAAGCTCATCTCCTCCGGATGGAATTTCAAGTGGTAGATCATGAACCAAGCGCGCGCCGACGCCAATATCTCTGTGTCGTTCGCGCCTTTCATCAGTGTGACACCGCCCAAACTGCTGCCGAGATAGCCGCCTCTGAAATCGATTGAGAATAAACTTTCACAAAAAAAATATATAGGTGGCTTACTCGGTTCCAAACCGGAAATACGGATAAGTAATGTTAAATCCATGATTATAAAGATCCGAAAGAATATGTACATGTTTGTTGGATGGGCAACCGCCGTCTGAAAAAAAAACTGCAAAATATTTCTTGAAACCATTTTTACTTTTATATTGCAAACATAAATCCTTGTAGCTGTAATAATGACCATTGAAGAGTACACGAACTCTAGAATTTGGATACTAATTAATTAATTAACCACTTAATTCGATAATTACCTTGTTTGAATATACTTGTCGAGTTCGTAGACAGCTTGCGCGAAATCGGCTTGCAGTATATTTGAATCGTTTTTGGCGAGAGCGGTCACCTGAATTATTCAACATTTTTGATTTTCCCTCCAACAACGAAATTCTCTGAAATTTCGAGCCACCTGAATTTCGCGATTTTGCGTCACCGCTCGTCCGGGCACATAGTTGTTGTCGGTGAGCGGCCATTTCTCGTGAATCGCCAACCTTTCCATTTTGCTCTGCGCGCCCATCGGCGTGAACAGGTAGACGGCGTCGGTGAGTGGATTCAGATGTAGCATTCCTTCAATAAAAAAAGGTGCGTCGCGTTTTCGCTGCTCTCGACCTACCAACGCCCATTGCGACGGTGAACAATAGCGGGAACACGATGAACGGCAGCGGATGATCGACGACGACGAAGCCGAGCTGCCGGAACAGCGAAGCGGCGCGCCGCTCAACACAGTCCCACACCATGTTTGGGCACCGACGAGAAACGCGAGGAATAACCTTGAAATTAATTTTAACGAATCAAAAAAAAAAGAACCATTGCGACAAAATTTGCAGATCAAAACGATCGCGGCGAGTTTCAATTATATTTTCCGAATGGAAAAGGTCAAGAGATCCTCTTTAAAAATTGCAAAAAAGAAATATCGGCAAAAATCCATCGAAAGAAAAAGAAACAAAATTGTGATATCTGAAAGAAAATCAGCAATTACAGTACGAATTTCGGGAAGCGACAAATCCGAATAAGCAGCTACATGCGCCTTTAAATCATTACAGTACCCTCCCACATATGACAATTAAAAAGTAGTCCAATTTTCACAATTGTTGATGGTTTAAATGAATCTCAAAAAAAAATATCCAAAAACAAGATATTGAAAATGTGCTAAATACATAGAAATCGAGAACCATTCCTGCGCTTAATTTCACCTAGATTACGCGATTAAGCCCATTCACGCATGAAAAAAATGTTCTACAATAAGAACGAGTTTGCGAAATGACGTTAAAACTCCATAAAAACTGGATTGAATCGTATTAATTTTTTTAGAAATCTGCAATTGATGTCGCTGGTGTTCACAGACCCAACAATCTACCGTAGTCGTTGTCGGAAAAAAAATGAGTTGCGCAAGGCACAAACAAAATAAAAAAAGATCGATAGGATCAACGCCGTCGGCGGCGGCTGGGATTTTCGTTGGAAAACCGCGTCACTCACCTTATCCCTTCACCCGCCCCCCTCCTTCGCGGCGGCCGCGGCGTCAATCGCCATGTTCTCAAGTCATCGTGTATGTATTCAACCGGTTGGCGACGCATCGCAACTATTTATTCTGTCTGCTTCTATGAACGAGTGAAAATGAATTTCAACAAAAAAAAAGAGAGAGAGAGAGAGAGAACATTTCACAATTAGGTTGATTTCGCCTACTTCGTCTTCTTCTTGACAACCGCGTTGAGCTGCTTCTCAAGAGCCATCCGATGCGTCTCGCCGCTCCACACCGACTCCAAGACTTCTGAAATCGAAAAAATCAATGTATATTTCCAATTTCGCTCGTTCATTGTTTAAATCGCAAGTGTGTCTTACGCAAAATTGCACACATTTGAAAAGAGCGCGGCGGGACCGAAAAAAGGAAAACAAATCAGTAGACGAGATCGATAAGCAATTTTTGTGAACTCTGCTTTTCAACCTTTCTCGGCGTCGACTCCAACCTTCACTGCGTTCAGCATCGCCTTTTGCGCTCTCGTGACTTCCGGCCCGCTGCTGAGAAGCAACGACAGGAACTTCTGCAGAAGTTGGTCAAATTGCACTCAATGCCGTCAAACCGCACCCCCCAACCTGAGCTTCATCCTCGTCCTCGTAGACGTAGTCGATCCATCCCAATTTGCGCGCATCTCGTGCCGTCATTACACGCGCCGTCGTCATCGATTTCAGCGCTTTCCCTCGTCCCATTATATCCTTGAAATTGGATTTTTAGAATTGAAAAAAAAAGCAGATGGAGAAAGTGAGAAACCTCGAGGTATTCGGCGCCACCCCACGACGGCACGATGCCCATTTTCGATTGGAAGAACGCGATTTTCGCGTCGCGATGCGCAATCCGAATGTCGGCCGACGAGCACAACTCGCTGGCGCCGCCGAGACAATGGCCGTGGATTTTGGCGACGGCGATCGCCGGCGACCGTCGAATCGATTTCAATATCGACGACATGTACTCGAACATGGCGACGCCGAGCTTCCTGTCCGATATGTCTTTGATCAAGCCGAGATCGGCGCCCGAACAAAACGACTTCGCCGCTCCCTGGATGACGATCAACGCGTTCTCGGCGTCATCGAACTTCTATTCATAATCAAATTTATCAATAAAATAAAGGCTTGAATGGACAAACTAGAAACCTTGGCGTTTTCGGCCAAATCGAGCATCATCTGCCCAGACAGACAATTGTTCATTTCCGGACGATCGAGAATCACATCGAGTCGATGCTTCTGAAATCGAGAATCTGCCAGTCGAACAATTGGATGAAATTCGACCTACTGTCGTCTGTTCGGCTCGAATCGCGCCACCGCTCCAAGCATGGAGAATTTCGAGTAGTTGAGGATTTGGACGAATCTGCAATTCCCTTATTGCCATTTTTATGATGGTCCCTAAAAGACGACTAGGATATTTTAATAGTTCCCAAGATTCTCATGACGCGTATAACAAACATGTCGAAGCTAAATATTATGGACCAAAACGGCTTTTACATTAAAGGCGCATGGCTGGAAACGAACGCACGCGAGACTGCGTACATTGCATTATAGCGTACGCGCATTTAATATTCAGTCAACGATAAACATAAATCTATACTAATTTCACCAAATTGAAGGTCTCACCCCTCGTTTAGTCGCAAAATCAAAACCCGACCTTTTTGAATTAATATGGACCATCGAATTTTTTTTCCAAGGCGGTAATTCATATTTAAATTAAATAGTGAGAGTGGCTCGTCTTTCTTTTTGCGATTGTCATAATTCGACAAATTATAAATTATTCTAATTATGTCAAGAATCATTCGCGGATGTCGAATTGAGAAATATCGAGTTATCGAATGAGTGGCCTAAAAAAATGCGAATTGAAAAACGAAATTATCCTGAAAATTGTGAGAATTCTCAACTTTTTTCAATTCATCTTTTTGCAGACTTATCTGCCAAAAATTTCACTCGATTATTAATAATATGCGTTTTAATTTTTAATTCAATTCTCCCCAATTATACGTAATTATGCGCATAATTATTATTGAGCTTATTTGAATTCAAATTATTTTTAAATTCACTTTGGAGCAATTTGTTCTTCAAAAATTGTCGAATTTGTTTTTTTACCATAAAAAATCCCTATTGAAACAATTTTATATTTAAACCATTTTCCCCGTAAATCTACAATTAAAAGTTCTCACCACTCTGCTCATTCTGCTTCCAAATTTGTCCAATTTCCTGAAAAAAAAGATTAAAAACAAATGTACAAAAATCACATATTATATAAAATCGTGGAAAACCGCAATGAAAATGACAATTTCAACAATTCTAGACGAATAATTTATTGCTACGAGCTTCGGCCGGGAGTGTGCAAAAAAAAATATAAAAACAGCGGGAGGAGTGCATTTTGATGTTCCAAAAGACATTTGAACAAAAATAATAATAATAATAATTTAATAAATAATTTCTTAGATACATTCTTCTAGTCATAATATCAAGTGGAACGTGCAAATTGGCAATCTAGGACAGAAGGGGCGGAGGAGAAGAGATGAAGAAGCAATTGAGAGCGCGAGAGAACTAAACAGATTGTCCGGCAATCATTTCAAAATAATAATAAAAAACAAAACCTAACAGTGTATTTCTAACATTTTTTTTCGTGTGCGCTCACTTCTTTACATAAATATAAAAACGGTATCGCTAATTTGACAAGAATACATTATAATTTATGCTTAGATTGTTGGTTTGGCTTCTCATTCAAAATTATGTCGCGAATGGATCAGTGGCAGCCGCGTGTGCCGCTTGCTGTTGGGCGTGCTGCTTCGCCGCGGCGACTTGATTCACCATGGCCACCTACAATCTCAATAATTCCATCGACACACCATCCCCCCAATATGTTTATAATTGTGTTACCGTCTGCTGCTGCTGCTGATAGGGCAAGTGTCCGGGCTGCGCGAATGGATACTGCTGTCCATAACCCATTTGCGGGTTCCACATCGGCGGATAGCCGGGCATTCCCGCTTGTCCCGGGTAGGCACCCATCGGCGCCGTGTACATCGCCTGCGGCGCCGCACCGCCAAACGGATTGCTCGACGCCGCCGTCGCATTTCCCCAAGCCTGCGGTTGAGTGCCGATCGTCATTTGAGCCGTCATTCGCGCCAATTCGTCCGGATTCGTCGTGGGCATTCCGAATCCTGCAAAAGAATCCTTTCTCAACCAAGACTCTTTCAGAATATCTCTAAAGCGTCATTCATTCAACCTGGATCGGGGCCTCCAAACGGTTGAGCCGATTGAGCGGCGGCGTCCGCAAACGGATTGATCGGCGGAGTTGGCGTATGGTGGGCGGCAATCGCCGCCGATGACGGCGGCGGCGGAACCGGCGGCGCTTGATGAATTGCAGCCGCTACCGCCGACGCGAACGGATTCTCAGGCTCTTCAAAATCGCGAATTGATTTTGATCGCACGACGATCAAAACAAAATCACGACAGAGTTACGACACCGATGAAAAGCCGAGAATAGGTCAGAGAACATAGATCACCACCACTAACACGATCAAACGAAATAGACAACACTAACCATTGGCAGGAATGTTTCCGTAGAATGGCTGCTGAGCCGGCTGCGTTTGCTGCATTCCGAAAGCATTCGGCGCTGAAATCACTCGAAATTCGGGACGCCATTGGAAGAATATCGTACCTTGTGTAGTTGGATAGGTTGTTGGCGCGGTGGCGCTAAACGAAGCGAACGGGTTCGTCGGATCCGCTGTCTGGAAAGCCACCAATGGTGATACCGTTTTTTTTTTCAATTAGACAATTCGCTTACCGGCGCCGCCTGAGTCGTGGTGTTCGTCTGGAATAGATCTAGCAAATCGGCAGCCGTGGTCGCTGGCGGCGGCGGCTGCGCGGCGCCCGATGAGGCCGCCGCAGCCGCAATGTCGTTCTGGAACGGATTGCCCGCCGAGATCTTCTTCTCATTCTCGTATTGCCGAATGCGCTCCTGCTCCATTTCGATGTATCGCTGACGTTCGGCTTCGCCCATCAGCGTCGCTTGCGAGACGGCGAACGTGTTCATCTGCTGCTGAACGTGTTGATGATGGTGTTGCGATGGCGCCGGCGCTCGGCCGCCTTCGAGTTGCACGAGATGCGCCTCGAGCGCTTCGAGAAGGCTCGCCGGCGCGCGCGTCAAATCCGGAATCTCGCCGCGATCGATGCCGACGCTCTCGGCAATGCGGAGGAATTCGGCGACTTTGTCGAGACGCGTCAAAAACGATTTGTAGATGTCGAGCGCCTCGCGGCATTGCTTTTTGTTCATCTCGAAATACTTCTCGAGCACATTGATTATGCCGTCGTTGTAGCAAGCGAATAAGCGAATGAGATCGCGAAACAGCAAAATGAACGAGCAATTGATGACGCCGTTGTTGAGCTCGGAGCTCGACACCTGGAATTCGAGAAGCGCGTCGATTTGATTCTGAAGAATCGGTATCGTCTTCAACAGTTTGTCGGCGTGCATTGTGCGAAGGAGGCCATCCTCGCGGCCGCGTTTCACCTAGAAACTCGAATTTGCCTCTCGAAAAATAATGCAATTTTTTGACGAGTACCTTGCAAAAGTCAAAAGCGCACACACGATATGTCGCAATCTTCTCGCCAATGTATTTGGCGTATCGGCGGACGTGCGCCGACATATCATAGCCAACAGTGGCGGCATTCTTGTCAACAAACGCCGTCAAATTGAATGTTGTATTGCACGAGGCCAGATATTGCGAGAATCTCTGCAGAAAAAGTTGAAAACTTCAAAATTATTAAAAAAAAACCCCCAACCTCATTTCCATAGCACATTATATTATGAATCGTGATGAGCGCTTTATAAACAACAGTCCAATTCGGATTCTGGGTTCGTTCGATCAGCAAATTCGCCATCGACGGAATCGAGACGTTCGGCTCATTGGTACAATGTAACAAATCTGAACACCAAAAAAGGTCTCTTCACGAATCACAAATCGAAACTCACAATCCAAATGCTTTTTTTTGGGCGCCATCACCTCTTCAGTTGTTGCTTTGCATATCGTTTTGCCGAGTTGGCTGCCGGCCAACGAATGTTTCGCCGCCGTTAGCCTGAAATAAGACAAATTACTAAAAAAGGAAAGAAACCAGACGAATAGACTTACCGATCCGAAATCGTCTGACCGCCGGTGGTAAACGGCATCGGCTGATGGAGTGCCTTCTCAATTGTCTGCATTTTTGTGCTCCGTGTGTGTTTGATGGGCGGCACGCGACCGGTCTACCTGTAAACAATTGACTCATGCTCACACATTTTTTAGGAGCTCGTGTTCAATCGATTATCAAAGTGAACTTGATAAGAATGTCTGGTACACGATAAACGAAATGATGTTTCTTTTTTTGGGGAAATTGAAATGCGAAAAAATCTATCGACAATTGTTTATTATTTATCCGAAATTGCGAAAGAAACCTGACACCATTTGATCGATTGCGATTCGCTGTTTTTCGATTTCGAAAAAAAAAGAAAGAAATGGAAATTTTCGATGAATGACGTGCATTTTTACACGAGATAAAAAAATACACATAGTGGAAAAAAAGCAGGAGTGTCGGCACTTCCGTGGAAAATCGATTCCGTGGGGGTTGGTTAGTTGGCGGGCTTGCCGCCCTGCCTGCGGCTGCTGCGCGGGACGAAATAGCATGCGGATTCGAGAGTGCCAACGACGGGAAGGCGGTGCGCGACGACTGAACCTCGACCGCCGAGAGCACTAACGTTTTTCGGGTTTTGATAAATACAATATCAAACCTGAGATTTCCGAGTGATAAAACATTTTTTTAAAGCTCGGCACGTTATTTAGCACGATTGCCATTTTATAAGCCCAGTTGATTGTTTTTTAACAAGAAAAAAACAGAAAATGAAAAAAAACAACTAGAAAGAATGCAGTTGAGAATCCAATACTTTCGCGCAAACATTCATCTCTTTCCACCCACCATGTCGCGCATTGGGAGAAATAGAGGAAAAAATGAGAAGACCACGTATTCTGAATTCGCTTCAGCTTTTTCTTTTTTTTTAAAGCAAGCGTCCCATATTCAGATAATGTTGTCATGAGGAGAAATCGCACTCAGATCGTACATGTTTAATTTAGTATTATCGCACCCGGTTTGATAACAAATTTATGAACAAAGGATAACAACAATTACTTATTCTCCTCCGCGGCGTCACGGGCACGCTTCTCTCTCTTTCCACGGTACTTCTTATCGGCTCTTTCTCTGCGAAGAAGTCTGAACACCTCAACCTTGCGTTCAGCTTCAGTGATAGCGCGTGGCTCTTCGAAAGTGACGGCGTGGGAAACGCGAAGAATGTCTCCGCGGAGTTGGGCTGCGACTTTAAGTTCTTCAGCCTGAAATTTCAGCCATACGAAATGATCACATTATGGAAAAAGCATAATCGGGCCCATTAGATAAATTGACTAGAAACGAATTATTTGTAAACTTACAGAGCTGTCTCCCTTCTTTGGTGCGCTCAACTTCTTAGGGAAGAGGATGAGCTTAGCCTTGTATTCCTTAAGACGATCAGCATTAGCCTGAAAATTAAATAAATAATTACACGAATCTTAGAACTTTCTTAAAAAATATAATACACTCTGCTCAAAAATATAATACACTCTACAAATTGCACTTTTAATAGTTTTTTAAATATTAAAAAAAAAACAGGAAGAGGTATTTTTGGAACCTAGTTTTTTGAAGGTTTAATGGCAAAATTTAATGAATACCTTAAGTCCCTCAGCAGTCTTGTTGGTTCTGCGGTAATCAACAGCAATTCCGATGGTTTTGGCCTCGGTCTTCGAGATTTTGGCGGCTTTAAGTTCCTGGAGACTGAATCCACGTCCGAGACGAAGCTTGGCGTTGTGTCGTTGACCTGGGCATCTGACAACAGATCTGAACAAATAATCTTTCGTTAGTGTGTTTTTAGAAACTCAATTATACCTCAAAAGTCCAGCAACTGGGCGTGGGGCAATTGCGGCAGCCTTAGCAGTACGAGCCTGACGGCGACGGTTTTTGCGGGCTGGCTGGTTGAACCAGGTCTTCACTCGCTTGGTCCAGTGCTTGCGGAAATGGGCATTGCCCAACATTTGGTTCCCACGTGGAGCCATTATACCCTCTAAAGAATAAAAAATTGAAAAAACAAGAAATTAAATCTTTACGAAAACGAGGTAAAATCAATGCACACTTAAGATATATTTTAAAAAAATACGTTCAGATTATTAGAAAATGCTCTGTGAATATCAAAACTGATAGAAATTCTTTAAAAATTAAAGCATTTTTCAAAAAAAGAAAGGAAAAATTTTAAAAATGGTCAGACACACACTACGCGCAATGCATTAAAGTTGAATACTCAGCCAACGACCCCCGTTTCACTGTGTACATCGTGACGAGACCGCTACTCTGCGTCTCTTCTCGTGTCGATTTACGCGTCACAATTATTTTATTCGGCCGGCTATTTTTCGATGTTTTTCGTCGTGCTTTTTCCAAAAACCTCCAAATTGCTTTGTGAAAGTGGTCTCAAATTTTTTTGCAATTGTTGAATATAAAATATCTTTCAATATTCTCTCGAAAATAAATAATCGAACAAAACAATTGTCTAGAAACTATTTATTGATAGAATAAATATTGGCAAGGCATAACAAATTTCAAGTAAATAAATACATAGGTGAAAGTAAATTTACAAAGGGAATGAGAAAATTTTGCAAAAAACGAGTAGAGATCGAAAAATGAAGGATTTGGTTTATTTTCCATGGACTTTATCATAGGTGTCTTTGTTCTTGTAAGCGGCAACATATCCAGATTCATCCTTGACTTCCTCACGTCCCGATTTCCCTTTTCCCTTTCCGTCGGCATCAAATCGCTCCTTATGGGCTCCGGTGTACTTGGTATGATCGGTGAGGCGGCTGTAAACTCCAGCGGCATTCGCTTTTGCGGCATTTCCAACAGAAGGCGCTTCAAGCTTCGAGAGACGTTCAGTGATAGAGTCAAGCTCTTCCTAAAAAAAAGCAGAAATGAATATTTAAGAAAAATTAAAATATGGAAATACCTGAACCGGTTTCTTGCTTTGACGAGCGCGATCCTCGGCAACAGCGGTCAACACTTTCTTGGTCTCCTCGAAGTTGGCCTTCTTCTTCGGTCTACAATTATAAAACACTAATTAAGTCACAATTATCATAATAATTACCCGGTGATTTTGCTGAAAGCAATTCCAGTCATTGTGCTGGTGATCGTCTTGTTATCGAGAACGCCGGCATCTTTGAGCCATTTGTCGAAATTCTTGCCGGTCATTTCAGTGGCTGTCGCCGCGCCAAATTTGGTGAACGCCTCCCAGCGCTTCTTGATATCGGCGTTGTCCCATTTGAATTCAGCCATTTTGCGGTCTACAAAAAAAGAATACCAAGTAAAACGAGTGAAAGAAGCGAAGGCAACTCGCTGGCTGTGAAACCATGGAAACTGCACCAAAAAAGAAAAGACACGTGGTTTAAAGCATCATAAAACAAAGGGGGAGAGCGAGAAAATGAGAAAGCGAACCCGGGTGGGAAATGCGACACCAGCGGCGTTCGCACGACAAGGCAAATATGAAGACATATGTATGAAACTGGGCAGTTTGGAACCTAATGCGCAATTAGAGAGCAAGGCGGTTGGGACCACCACCAGTTTGAGGGGCCCCTATGCGCGACACAAAGAATGAATAGATAATGATCTGAAGGTTGGGGGGTGCAAAATGCTGCTGCGCGCTACAAATTGTGAGCGGCAGCAATCTGGCAGGAGAAAGACTAAAGTGCAGCACATTTTGTGGAATTGGAACCGAAAATGCGGACGCTTGAAAAAAAAAGACGCGGAACGGATGAATGAATGGGCTAGGAAACAAGAAGAACACTGAAAAGTGATAGGTCATGAGAGATAGATTGTGAAACAACCAAAAACCCCCGAAACCGAAAAGAAAAACGATCAGAGTTTTAATCTAAAATAAAATATCAAGGGTACTGTAGCTGTAAGGTACGGTAGGTAACACGCTAGGTGTTTGCGGACGTTTCGAGCCGACCGGGTTTTGATAACAGCTGAAAACCCCAATTTTTTTCATTATTTTTTATGAAAATTCTTTATGGACCTATTCAGGGAGATGAAAAATAGTGAAATTTTGCAAATTTTGCGTGATTGCATTTGGTAGTAATGAAAAATTCGACAATTTTGCAAATACTGAATAGATTCATTATGGCACTACGCAGGTTTTGAAAAAAAGTCACCGATGCAAATTGCGGGAAACCTCTAGTTTTGAATATTTTTCAAAATCTGCATAGTGCCGTTATAGTTACCTTATTCTAACATACTTGCATGGATTTTGAAATAATTGCACAGCGTTGTCGAATTTCGCAACAAATCTATACATTGCGTAATCTTTGAACATTTTAGCAGAGAACAACAAGAGGAGCGTGCCGGCGCGAATTTCAAAAAAAAAAAAAGAAATATAATGTATATGATGCGCTGCGCGCGTCTGGTAGAGAAGAAGAGTCGCGATGTCCGAAACTAGATTAGTCCTGCTTTCGAAACGCCACAATAAGAGATGCCTCTATATTTTATTGATGGAATATGGCGTGTCGTGCGCGAATTTTGAATAATTGACGATCATAAAGTGCCTATAAAATTGGGCGGGACGAATTTAAAACATAAGAATTTAAGACGATTATTTTAAGATTTTTTTGTGGCAGGAAACAATTCGAAAATGAGAAGGAAAACAATGAATTTACTGCCTCCCATTTCTCCATATTTTATGGTTTTGTTGGTTTCGCAAAAAAAGCATTTTCAAATTCCCCCTTTAATAAATCATGTATCCGATTTGAAAGATATAAACAACTTTGAGTTGCTACTTTGTTCCATTGAACACGTTTTGACAACAGGGCGAGACCAACGATGGGGTGGGCCGCCACTTGTTTACAGCCGCGTAGTAGTTATTCTGATTGGTTTGGTCTTTTGACAATTCATTCGCTCCTCCGATTATTTGCGATTGTAACTCAAACCTTCCACCAACCAACAGTTCATCATATTTGAGAAATCAACAATTCAAAATGTCAACAAAAAATGCCACGTAGGCCCGAGCGAGTGCGGTGATAATTTTTTGGCGGTCAGTCGAGCTTTTGTGTCATTACTACGGCAGTAGAGGGTTCAGAGAGAAAGGCGGACGCAAGCAAAATAAAAACGACTTCGTCGTCTTCTTCTTCTTCTTCTTTTTGCCCGCCGGCGGCACATTGATGTGTTCTCTGCTTTCGCGTTCGCTCTATCGCAGAGATGGGCGGTGATTTTGTTGCCTTTTTTTCATTTCGCACGAAACCGTCATTTCCCACATTGTTTTGCCACAAAAAGAATAGGCGTTCAACGCGTGTCGTCCCCACGTCGCCACCTCTCAACTGATTGCTAATCTCATATATAATTTAGATTTCCGTGTCGGTATCTTCATTATCTTGAAGTTGTGAGTATATCGTCTCTCAAACCATGGCTTCGTCATTCCTCCGATCTAGCAACTCGCGTCTTTTGACCGGCGTTGTCGCCGCACTTGGCGGCGCCTCGGCGCTCTACACACTCACACCACAGGTAAATCCACCCACCCTTTCAAAATCCCTACTATATGGATTCTAGGCTCAAGCCAAATCGGAATCATCGCAAGTCGATGCCGCCACCATCAAGAAGATCGAGGCCGCTTATGAGAAGCTCAACGGGCCCGAGGGGGCCAAGTGCAAATCGCTTCTCAAGAAGCACCTCACCAAGGATGTCGTCGACAAGCTGAAGACGAAAAAGACCAAACTCGGCGCCACATTGTACGATTGCATTCGTTCCGGCGTCTACAATCTCGACGCCGGCGTCGGCGTCTACGCTCCCGATGCCGAAGCGTACACGTTGTTCGCGCCGCTGTTCGACAAGATCATCCAGGATTATCACGGATTTGGTCCTAAGCAGAAGCAGCCGCCAGTCGATTTGGGCGAGGGAAAAATCCACGTACGATCACCCAAGCGTTTATTAAATGAAAATGATTTTTTAAAGGAATTCCCACCACTCGATCCGAAGGGAAAATACATCAAATCGACGCGTATCCGTTGCGGACGCTCTCTTAAGGGATATCCATTCAACCCATGCCTCACTCAAGACAACTACCTCGAGATGGAGAAGAAGGTCAAGAAGGCGTTTGACTCTTTCACTGATAAGGAATTGAAGGTGATCGATTTTGAACATCCAATGATTGAATTGTGCAATTTTTAGGGTAAATATTATCCATTGGACGGAATGAGCAAGGAAACTCAAAAGCAATTGATCGCTGATCACTTCTTGTTCAAGGAGGGAGATCGTCATTTGCAATACGCGAACGCTTGCAACTTCTGGCCGAAAGGACGCGGAATCTACCACAACAATGACAAGACGTTCTTGATTTGGGTGAACGAGGAGGATCACATGCGCATCATCTCGATGCAAGAGGGCTCCGACGTTGGCGCGGTGCTCAATCGCCTCATCAAGGGAGTGCGTGGAATCGAGAAGGTTGTGCCGTTCTCGCGCGATGACCGCCTTGGATGGCTCACATTCTGCCCGACCAACTTGGGTTCGACGGTTCGCGCCTCGGTGCACATCAAGCTCCCGAAATTGTCGGCCCGCAAGGACTTCAATGAGATTTGCGAGAAGCTCAACTTGCAAGTGCGCGGAATCCATGGAGAGCACTCGGAATCGGTCGGCGGAATCTATGACATCTCGAACAAGGTACGACTAATGACGGATGCGTTTTTTATAGAATATGTTTAGGCTCGCCTTGGATTCTCCGAATACCAAGCTGTCAAGCAAATGTACGATGGCGTCAAGAAGCTCATCGAAATGGAGGAGAAGGAGAAGTAAATAGCCATCTTTTAGATAGATTTTTATTATTGCAACAATATAATAAACATCGTTTTTTAAAAAATTTGCTCTATTGATTCGCGCAGCACACTTGAAACGCTGGTTGTTTATTCTTGGCGAGCGCGCGCAGCTTTTTGCGATACTCGCACAAAGTATTTTTCTATTGTTAAAACACAATGTCGTCAACTATTGAGCTGATATCGATTCCCGGACGCGGTCGATCCGAAACGATTCGAATGTTGTAAGATATTAAAGTTGCCACTTTTGAGATTGACTGTCTTTATGAAGGTTGACATTTGCCGGAAGGCGGTTTACGGACACACGAATGACGATTGCACAATGGCGCGCAAAACGAAAAATGGGTTTGTCTTTATTTTTTGGGAGGGGCGAATTTGGGATTCAGAAGGATTCAACGACGACACGAAACTGCCGGTGATGAAAATCAATGGGAATCGCACGATTATCGGAGTCATCGACATTTGCCGATACATCGCGTTGAATTTTGGTGAGATGCGCATTTAAACGAATTTCTTTTTTTTTGTATTGGATTATTCTAGATTTGTATGGTTCATCGAGTGGCGATCAAGAGAAAATCGACGAGGTGATTCGCGATTTGGAGGAATTGAATATGGCGATGAATCCGATATTGCGGGCGACGTTGGCGAAAAATTACGAAGCACGGGTGCGCATGGTTTTTTGGCGGAAATTACAAATTTTTGAATTTTTTGGAGGAAAATTGAAAATTATGGGATTTTTTGGAGGAAAATTGAAATTTTTATAATTATTCGAGAGAAAATAGAAAAAAGTTGAAAAGTTTTGATAATTTTCGAGATTTTTGGAAGAAAATTGCAAATTTCTGACTTTTTCAGAATAGTTTTTGACAGGAAATGGCAATTTTCGAGATTTTTTAAATCCCTATCAAATCAAAAAAAAAAGATTGAAATTGTGTTTTATTTTAGAAAGAGTGCTGGAACACGTTTAAAGAAAAATCATTGATGCCGCAACTCAAAAAATACGAGCAACGATTGGCGGAATCGAAATTTCTCGTCGGCGAAAAGGTGGTCGGGGGGCGCGTCGAATTCGACGCCTGCACACAATGCGCGATAATCGACGATCAATTTGATTTGCAGTACTCATGGGCGGACATTGCGCTCGTCGAGTTCCTCACACGATGCCAACAATGCTACGACAGCTTCTATCTGGCGCACTTCGACAATCTTCGAACATTCTGCAGTGTCTTCGAGTCGCTGCCCAATATGAAGCCGTACATTCAAAGTCGCACCGACTCATTTTTCTAATTTTTTTTTTCAATTTTTCAATTAAAATTTAAAATAATCAACCATTTATTAATTTTTTATTATTAAAAATCAAATTAATGCAGTGTGTAAATTCAAAAAAAAAATGCCGGTACCCGTAATTGGAATAATCAAATTAAAAAAAATAATATCAACAAGAAAACAAAATACATATGCTTCTAGAATTTGGTGTGAAGACGTCGATTGGCACGTTGGAAATTGGGGGGTTTGGTTACGAACAGAAAATAAATGAAAAACCGGTGATAGCAAGATCAGAGCAAGAATTGAAAATTAGAAAAAAAAACGAATAACGGACTAGTCGTCATTCACGGCAACCAGCGGTGCGTCGGAATGCTTCTGTGAGCCTATCGAAGGCCGTTTGACAATTGCCGCCTCGGCGGGTTGATCGATCGACGGCACAAGAATCGAAACCATCTGCAACATCATCAATTTTTTTTTCGTTCTACTGTAGCGCGCGCAAATTGTGTGCATGTACACGGCGACGCAAATCCACGTACCGATTCTCGATAGATTTTGACGCGATGCGACGGAATGTCGCGATACGCCTGCAGATCGGTGTCGTCGGTGCCGATCGACGCGTCCTCGTCGGACAAATCGCCGAGATCGCCGTTGCGCAATTTGACGGGTCCGTAATCGGGACTATCGCGCATGATGGTACGTTGCGAGCCTGCAAAAACCTTGTTCTTCTCAAAATTCCGGCAGCCGCACTCACCGGAATGCCGCAACGATCGTCGTCGAATCACGCAGCAATAGCAAATGATGAACACGAGGATCAATAGGCACAAGAGGATCGAGAGGAACATCGAGTAGATCAGCCAACGAGACGACACTGCAACAACAAAAAAGATAATCCCAGGCCGCGCAGATCCTACATAGTTGCTCCGGCTCGATCACGTCGGTCGTGTAGTCGACGATCTCGCCGTGCGGCGACGCGACGACGCCCGCCGACACCGGCGTCGCCCACAGCGAGTCGTCCAGAATTCCGGTGCGCGTCAAATCCGGATCGCGGAACTGATAGGGCAACAATTGCGAGTGCAAATCGATTTGGTGAATGACGTTCGTCGGATGATTGACGGCGAAATGCTCGTCGTACTCGTAGGAGAGGCCGAAGTCGTGGATGATGAAGCTCGACGACTCGTCGGGCGTGTCGATCGCCGACACCGACACGTTGTTGAGCGCCATTCGGCCGACGTCCGACACCACCGTTCGCCAGCCGTCAATCTGCAAATCATATTTCCTCGCGTTGTGCCGTGTGCCGATCGGCGTTCGTCGAGTGAGCCGCATGAGATGCACACGATTGTCGGCGACATCGAGCTGATGGCTCGACGTCTCGTGCCCGTGAACGTGCACGTGAAGAATCGCTTTCGCGTCGAGCGTCAACGTGAACAACTTGTCGCGATGCGAATTGAATTCGGCGACTACGTGCGGCCGAGTGACGCGCTTCGGCACCGTGAACTTCATCCACACTTTGCCGAGAAGCGCCTTCGTGTTGGGCGTGTCCAACACGAGTTGGGTGTCGCGCACGAACGCCGTCGACAACACCAACGGTGTCGCGTCGCGCTTCCGCTCGCAGAACGCGACGCTCGTGTTGTAGCGAAGCGCGTCGGAGCAATCGCACACCATCGGCGAGGTGAGACGCGCCGTGTAGGCGCGACAACGCGTGCCGGCCTCACACGACGGCTGACAAATCGGGCAGAACGGTTGAATCGCAAACGCGTCGGCATCATCGACATCAGTGAGCATCAGCTTCTTCTGGCGCGCGAACATCACATTGAGGTCTTGCTTGATTCCGCGAACGAACACGTCCTTCACACATCCCTAGAATACACAATCTCATATCTTCGTGGCTCTTTTTTTTCGCGACAAGACCTACCCGTAGAACCGGCGCTTTTTCACGGGTGTTCTCGAAGAAGTTGTGCTCGACGTCGGAGCGATACAATCCGCGCCGCTTCTTCTCGTGATAGGTGCCGCCGATGAACAATCCGGAGCCGTGCGCGGTCTGCGGAATCGCGTACACCTCGGCGAGACTCGTGTTCGTCGTCGGCGTCAGGCGACACACCGCCTCGTCGACGGCCAAATGCATTCCGTCGCCGCCGCCCCACAACGTCGTCTGAATCCAGCGATCCGTCGCGAAGCCACTCGCGCGTCTTATCGTACACCCGACGCACTCCTCGTCGTCGCGCTGCGTACAATAGACCGCGTTGAGCGTGTCGGATTGATAGAACACCTGAAGGCGTCCTTTCGCCGCCGCGTTCTCCCAGAAGCCGAAAAAGACGAGACCGGCGTCCGAGTCGGATTTGAACGTCGCCGAGAGCGCCGGAATGACGGCGCCGTTCGTGTCGACGTCGAACGCGTTGTCGGAATAGAGAAACGCGAGGCGATCGACGTCGCGACGAAACGAGTAGGCGCCGTCGTCGTTGGTCGCGCATCGGCTCAATCCGTCGAACTGCTCGGTGAGCATCGAGCAACCGCATCCCGAGCACAATGGATGAGTCGAGACGGTCCTGAAATCGAATCCAATTCAAATGCCACCCCGCTCAAGTTGCCTACTCTTGAAGCTTCCGCCGATTCTGTCCGAAGGTCACCAGACAATCATCGTCGGCATCGCTCGGATCGATCAGCTGAATCTCGCCGCTGACGCCGATCGTCAACGTCACACTACTATCATCGTCGGGTATTGTGCGCGGAAGTTCGAACGCCTCCGAATTGTCGATTTTAATCAGATGGCGATCCGGCTCCGAGTGCTTCACGACGACCGTATGCCATTGAGCGTTCGATAAATGCCCGATCGGAATTGGTGGAGCGTTGTCGGCGCGTATGAAGTAATCTGAAAGATGATGATTGGATCGGATCGGATCGGATCGCAATCAGACTCACCATTCTCCAATCTCACCGTCGTTGCGATCTCGCCGCTTCGAAGTGTGACGAGCGTCTGATTGGTGGTGTCGGTTCGAAACGCGAACGTGTAGCTCCACTCGAGGTTCGCCTCCAACTCGACGTCGACGCGCCCACGAACTCGGCATTGCGGCGACGGCAAATGTTTGCACGTGATCATCGACGCCGTCACCGTTGGATTGCCGTCGTAGTCGTCGTCGTCGGGTATGAGATGGCGTACGCCGGCCGCCAATTCGACGAGCACAAAATTGCGGCGATCCTCAAACTCTTGATACTCGACGCGTTGCGACTCATTGAGCAGCGAGACCAGCGTGATCGCGCCTTTGCCCAACTCGGGACGATTCTTCCACGTGACCTCGACCTTCTGCGAGCAATGCGATCGTCGCACAATATCGCGAAGATGGTAGAGATCGACGATTCTAGAAAATCGAATTTCGAGGTGAAGAAAGAAAAACGCGAGGTGTGGGACTCACTGAAAATTGACCGATTTTTTCGACATCACTTGATAGGCGCCATTTTCGAGCGCCGAATGGATTTCGGTGATCACCGTGCCGTCATCGTCGACGCGACAATGCACGTTCGACGCGATCGCGTTCGCGTTCGCTCCGACGGGCAACACCGCCGACGCGTCGACGATGCCGCCGGCCAACTGATGATGATAGCACGACCAGCGCGGCTCGACGACGTCGCCGCACGCCAAACACACGAGGAGGGCGAACGCGATGAGCGGCGGAAACGCGTTCCGCCAACGCATTTGATCTGCAATTCATCGGAGTCTCCAAATCGGGCGAAAAAAAAAATACAACAGCATGAAAAAAAAGAAGGTACGATGGAAATGCGCGGCGGCGGTGTGAATAATTATTTGCGCTCATGCAAATCCAAAAGTCAAATATTGAGAAGAAGAAGACGGAAAAAAAATGTGGGCCGCCCGTTTCTTTGATATCCACAAGCATAGATAATCGCGGACTTCCGATACTCGCCAGTCTCATTTTTTTCGTGTTGGTCCCTTGGGAGGCGATTGGAGTGCGGGTGAACGCGTGTGCCTTTAATTAAAGGACGACATCATAATATAGTGCTTCTTCGATGGCAAAAAAACAACAATGAGCATTCTAGATTGCGGACCATGGCATTTAATTTGACGACAATTTGATTTTGGCAAAACTTGAAAAGCATCGAGTTTCACACAAAAAAATCCACCATTAGGGGGCTCGCCACGAATTGCGGACCATGGCATTCAAATTGACGACAATAAAATTTTAAAAAAGAAATATTGGGCATTTGCGATATATATCAAAAAGGCATGGTGTGCGCCTTTAAAATGCAATTGATTAAAGGCGCATTGGGGTCCCGTGGCGACAACAAGTAGATCAAGAGAGCGGAAAAAAATAGAAGAACAAGCGAACTGTACGACGGCTAGTTTCGATTTGAACTCGCATTATATTTTACGACTAGACGCCTTTTAAGGTCGCCGCTCGACATTTCTTTTCTTATTTTGCCGGAAAGACTCTGGGGGGTCCGACGGTAATCCCCGAAAACAAGCGAGAGTACATTTGTCAAAAAAAAAGAAACCCTCCCCCCATCCAAAAAAGGTCATTATTATAAAACACACAAGCGGGCGCGGGCCGCACAAAAACGGGAGAGGGTGTGGAGCGCGTTTACTAATATTTGCACAGAATGATGATGATGATGATGATGATGAAGCCTCTGATGCAAAAATGGACGACGACGAAGCAAAATGAATGAATGGGGGGTCGAATAACTGTGTAAATTATTCAAAAACACAAAACAATGCCTCAAGTGCACAATGTGCACACACATTACGCAAATTGGCGCAAGTTTTTAATTAAAAATCTCGAAATGCGGCCAGCGAGAGAGTGTGGTGAGGCGGAGAGACGCAGACGACGGCAAGTTTCATAAAGTGTCAAACAAGTGGCGCGCACTTTAAGCGCGCCATTGTCGGTTTTATCGTGTGCCGTCATATTTGGCGAATTGTCCGCAATTCGTCGTCAAATGCGATGCTTTTCAGACATTATCGGGAGAAAAAAAGCAGAAAGTCCGCAATTTATCGTAGGATTAGAATTAAAAATAAATAAAACAGGTCCCTAAATTATCGGAAAAAAAGAAAGTGCGCAATTTATCGTAAAATTACATTTTTTTTAATTAAAAAGTCCGCAATTTGTCGTCGAATATATGAAAATCCGTAAATTGTCGGAAAAAAATTTCGTAAATTCTTGCAAAAAAAAGTAGGAAAGAAGAATCAAATTCCGCAAAATGTCGTGTTGAATCTAAAAACAAAAAAATCAACAAAAAAAATGGTTTTTTGGAGAAATTTGATGAATGCCATTTCGAGTTTGAGCCTAACAAAGCCAAAAGCCAATTTTGTTGAAGGGAACTCTCTTTGAGGAGGGGGAGGGGAAGGGCCGAGGCAGTCGGGATGAGGATGAGAAGTTGTTGGCCGCGTTTCGGAACACACAACCCAAGAAGAATATGTATGAATAAATTAGGATTATGTTTCAAGTGCATCACACAACATACGCGCATCACAGGCCGGTCTAAGGGGGTCCGTCTAACAACGGACCATCGAAATTATCAGCAAAAAATAATTTTTTTGCAACAAGAGGTAAGGGAGGGAGGGAAGACGGTGGGGGGGGGGGGTCGAAGAAGCAGCTCTTGACAAAATGCAAACAATAATGAGTGAAAGAGAGGGAGAGAGAGTATCCAAGCCGAAATGTGTTGCATGTCAACAGTTTGGCAAATAGTTGAGAGCGGGAGGATCGGACCCAAATACTATTTAGTCAAGATTAGGATTGTTGCCCTCGCCTCATCGCGTGTTTGTTCACCAGTGTGTATAACACCGACACGCATCGCATCAAATGTCGACCCCAGTCGTTTTTTTTGTTGCAACTGTTTCAGAAATCAAGACCTACAGTACTCCAGGTAGTACTGTAGAAATTTCGCGCTAGGACCCCCCCCCCACATAATATGCGTGTTGTCCCGAAACCAACAAGGTACATATTATGCATACATAAGTATACCTATAATTATGCGTAGCATAGTTAACAACACGCATTCATTCAGAAGCACGAATTGAAAAAAAAACGCAATGGCGAAGCCAAAGAGGGCAGATGGCGGCGACTAATTACAAAGCAACGCCAAAGATGGTGGGGGCTGCACCATTTTTGGTGTGACGGGGAGCACGACGCCGAAAAAAAACATTGAATAAATATATATGGACATAAATCGGAGTTGGCGTGTTGATGAAATATTCAGACCGCGCCCATTTCTCCTCGATGGCACAATTTTTGATTGCGGCCAATTTGCGAATGGTCCCCGATGATGGGGGGTCCCCCCACCCCCTCCCTCATTCTCGATTGCGTCATCGGTGCGAAAATACGGTTGACTGAGCCACTCATTGATGTCAACAACACCAAATTATTAATTAGTTTCGACGCGGACCATACAGATTGGGACCACGCGCGCACATCGATCGAACCGAACTCGCCGAAATGCCGAAATTTCGCGTTTCCGGTGCGTTTTTCAAGCGTGACTAACTCGGTGTGCGTCGAGAATTTTTGATTTCAACACACACACAAAATGCGCCAGAGGGTGTGCACGAGAAATGCGCCAACGAGATTTTTTTTGGTTGATCAAAGCAAGAACAAATGATGGATGAATTAAGAAATTGGCGTCAATTTAAGAAGAGCACCAAAAAGGCGCCAACACGATTGGAATATCTAAGAGAGCACGAGAAATGCGCCAGCATGATCTTGGAGATCAGAATTTTGAGAAGTCGCATACAAAAAATGGGTTTGGCTTCAATTTGAGAAGAGCACCAAAAAAACGCCAACGAGATTGGAATGGTTCAGAGGGCACGAGAAATGCGCCAGCGAGAGTTCGAATTTTGAGAGTAGCATACAAAAAATGGGTCAATGAAGAGTTTCTTCAGCTTCAATTTGAGAAGAGCACCAAAAAGACGCCAACAAGATTAAAATAATTCGCGATGCACGAGAAATGCGCCAGCAAGAATTCAAATATTCGAATTTTGAGGGTCGCATGCAAAAAATGTGTCAATTTGAGAAGAGCACCAAAAAGACGCCAACAAGATTGGAATAGTTCAGAGGGCACGAGAAATGCGCCAACAAGACATAATTTTTTTGAGTTTTTACGCAAAAACTGTGCAATACGCCCGGCCATCGATCATTCGCAATGTCGACACAACCCGTAATAACAAATATCAATCAGTCAAAAGCAAACAGTTGAAGCCAAAACGGAAACAGGTGACAATTTGCATTTTGCGATCACAGACGAAGGCCAGAATTGAATATGGTCCCATCGGGGGAAGAGCGGGGGATCGAATGAATGGCGACGTCGAAATATGGAATGGCGGAAAATGGGTGGAAGGAAGAATGTCGGAGGGTGGGGGGTGAGGGATGCAATTTCGACACCTGTCGTTTTCGCCAACCGACTGAGTGACACCAATTGAGGGTGGAGAAGGATGATGATGGTGGTGGTGGCGGTGGCCGCCAAAAAAGGTCAAATTTCATCGAGGGTGTGGTTTAATCGCTTAGGCGGTCGGCCAAATAAGTCAGTAAGTGGGGAGCACCGCAAAAAACAACAACAACAACAACAACAGCAATTGTCGAATTGAGACCCCCCCCCCCTATAATATACAGTACCAAAAATCATAATTATAGGTGTGAGGTATGAAGAGGACAAGGTGTCACATCGGATTGCGCAAGTTGTTGATTGACATCGATCTGCCGCGCGTCGATGAGTGGGTGTTGCACCCGCGTGGTGGTGGTGGTGGTGGCGCCACGCGATGATGCGGCGATAAAAGAGGCATGGTGTCACAGATTTATGTATTCATCATCAAGATGTGCCGACACCCTCTCTCTCCCTCTCTTTTTTTTGTTCGCCAATCAATCAAATTGGCGAATGGGAACTCATCTCTCATGCGCCTTTAAAGAATTACAGTAAGACGCGCATCAACTTTTTCCAAGGTCAGTAGACATTGTATTCAAAACTGTCTTTCGCTTTTTTTTTCAAAAAAAAATCCATCCGGTGATATTGTGCCCAAATTAGGCAATGACAGACATGAAATGGGGCGAAACGACGGCGCGCCGACACCGACGAGGCGAAAATCGAATTGGAAAGGGGCTCATTCCAATCAATGATTCATATGGGAACTGGCAAAAAAAAGAAAAGAAGAAATCAAAAAAAAGGAAAGAAAAAAAGGACGCCTCGTCATTTTTATTGCATTCTCTTTTTTTTTTGTTCGCGACACTCACATATGCAAATATGTCAACAATATCGATTGATTTTTCGAAGCGCCGCATGCAAATCAAAAATGTTGTTTGGCCGGCCCCGATTAGTCGAATTTGGCGGCGTGATGTTGATAAGCGCGAGACCGATTTTACGATAATTCGACACGCCGCAACAATGGACGGTCCGCGATTGTGATGGTCCTGCAATGAAACGGTGTGAACAACAAGGAATGCCAATAGACGAATTAATTGAATTAGGCGGCGGCAAATGATCGAATGCTTTTAATTCATCATCGAAATCAAGGACGCATGACCGAAAATGGGAAGAAGACGCCGCGAAAAAAAAACGAAAAGAAACGACGAAGCTCATTTGTGATTCGATTTGAGGCCCGCATTTTTTTTGGAAGACGAGCTGTCGCAAAAGTTAATGAACTCGCCCAAAAACGGATGGAATGTCTCGCTTCGGCTGAATTGAATTTTAATTGGATATTCCGAAAAAAAAGCAATCATTTAAATGCACATACACACACACACACACGCTAATTAACCGTACTAGCGCGCAAATTGATAGATTGTCGAGGGTCGTTGGTGTTGTTTTTTTTTTCTTCTTCTTCGAAATTCGTCCTTGTCGATTTTTCCAATGCTAATTGTATGCAATTTGGGAGGGGACCATTCTTGTTTCAAAACGAGACAAGAAAACCCACACTCTAAAATTTTTTGGGGGCGAATTATTAAGAAAAACAAAAAAATGAAAAAAAAATAAAAATTCAAATTTTGTGTGCACACTTGGCGCGTTGGTGTTTACAGACGTCTCGTCTACAGTAACCAAAACCAAAAATAAAATAGTTTTAATTAGGTTGTCGCTTATAATTATTGTTTTTATTATTATAGAATCGGTAAAGGGGAATTGCGCGTCAAATAAAATGCAAGTCCGCAATTTTATAATAATTTTTTTGCCGGAATATAAAAAAAAAACACACAATTTTTCAGAGGTCTATTCTACTATTATAATATTATGTAGTAATAATAAAAAAACTGCGCTGCGATAATAAAAGAGGGGGGATCGAAAAACGGATATACAAGAGGCAGCTGAAATAACAATGGCGCGGCCAAAACGGATACATGGATTGGTGAAATCGAATCAATTGATTCTCGCAAACATTGGATGGCCTAGCCGGCCCGGCCCGGCTACTACTGTATGCACCATTTAACAATATTTGGTTGCCGACGGACCACAACGAACAACAATTATTATAATGAGACGAGCAAGAACAACAACAACAACAAGATGATGGCATCATCGAGGAGCACTTGAAATCAGATACATGTGCGAAACAATCCGCCCGCCCCACCCGTTTATGGAGCTAAACACGACCGATTCCTGTCAAGCAAACATCGATTGCTGACATTGTACAGTTTGTACAACGCGGCGTGCGAAATTTCGAAGCGAAAGTGCGCTAAGTGGACACCGGCATTTAAATGTTTCGAGAATTTGAATTGCCATTTATGGAAATACACCGCAAATTGTATAATCAATTAGGCAAAAGCGTTGGTGTTTTTCGACCCAACAATAATACATAATGGTGTTGTGTCCGTTTTGAATATTTATTATGTTTTTCAGTAAAGTCGTGGGAAATTCTACACAATCTCGACTTTTAATTTATAAATATATTTATAAAAGCTGTCTGCGTTTTTTGAAAGACTTTGTACTAATGAGAGAGAGCAAGACCACGAGAAAGCGTGCGGTGAAAGGAGACACAGACAGCGTAACACTTCGCGCCAGAGCGGGATCGAACTCGCGACCTCTACGGTGATGAGCCCAAAAGGTTGGCATTGCGCTATTGCGCCAGCGTGCGCACTATTTTAGACGGCTGTGACTTGATGTCTTTCGCAGCTGCCACTAGGCTGACATGACGGTCCGCGATTTTGCGTTGCAAACAATTCGAGCAGTAATTTTTTAGGTCCGCAATTTTGCGTCAATTTAAGTGCATTCAGAAATTCTCCTTTTTTTCTAAATTTTGCCAACAAATAAAAAAGTAAACAAATTTATTATACCCATTTTTGTATTGTGTGTGCGTGTATCACTGGTGAACAACATATTATGCCAAATATGGTTAAAAAATATATATGTATAATAAACAACTGGCAAGAATCTCGTCTTCTCATACCTTTTTGTTTCTCTCTCTTTCTCTCTTTCTCTTTTAGAGGTATTATGGCGATGAATTTGAACTTTTTATGGGGAGGGGGGTTTGTTTTGTTGGAAACTTCAACAACTATCACGTTTTCGAATTTCGCAGCCTCGATATCACTTCTTCTGTGATGAGAAGCTCGTCTTCCGGATGATGTTCGGGAAGTCCTTCGAGAATCTGCCAAAATTCAAGTGTCATTCTCAATCAAAAAAATCATCAATTCGTGATACCTTGATGAGATTGTCGATTCCAATCAAATAGCCATCTTCATTATTTCCGGGCACCCAATTGGTTCGATGGTTGAGCGTGCGACCTGACGGGAGTGGCGAGCTCTTCGCAAAGTCGATCATCCAACATCCAACCTTCTCCGTGTCGAACACAATGAGAATGCTGCTTCCAACCACCTGCAACAAGAATCGACGACATGGAATTGAACTCGTGACCTCTCGCGGCAAAAGCGCAGCAGCTCCGCCGCTACACTAAAAGTGCGACGAGAGGGCAATGCGCGATTTGTGTATACCTCATGCGACGCGAAGAATGTTGAATTTTCGATAGCTTTCCGCATGCTTTTCAATCGTTCGATCAATAATTTACAAACGCGACTCCTTCGCGTTCCAAAAAAATCGATAAACGTGTTGGAGACCTCTTCGGCGGTTCGGACCTTTTTGAAATTCTTCTCAAGCGCGCCGTCGAACTTTTTCGCCGCCTCAATCCGAAATCCCAATTGGGCGGTGCTGCTCTCGCGCTCACGAAATTGCATATATCGCAGTTTGGTGATCGCTCGACATTGTCGCTCATCGTCCGTCGGCTCATCGGGATCGATCGCCACCATTTTCTCGAACAAATCCGCGCGTTTTTTCGTGTTCGACACCTCCGACTCCAAAAACGTTCGTGTGCCGATTTTGATGTCCATTATCGCCGCTTTCGTCGGATCCTGAAATTGTTGGAGGAGGTCCTCGATCTCAATGAAATCTGCAAAACTCATTATCAATCATTCGGAATCGAACCCCCCCATTTTTCCTACGCTCGTCATTCTTCTCAAGCTCGTTGTAATATTTGGGTGTGAAGCCCAACAGGTACGGATCTCTTGAGATGTTCTTATAAGCTCGTCCCTCGCCGCAATTCGCGCATTGCTTCTTGTATAATGTGTGCGGTGTCGCCGGTACAATACTGCCTGAAAAGTCGAATGATAAGACATTTAATAAGTTTAGTCATTTGATAAGACATTTTTTGGCGCATGAGATTAGTTATTTCAAGATAAGCGACTTAATGGGATTAAATTTATCGAATTAATAGGCAGAATCAAATATTTTCTATAATTGGCTTGTTCTTTGTTTTGGATGCTACGATTTGGGCAAAAAAAGATATGTAAAAATTATTGAATGCTGGAAAAAATTTCAAACATTTTTTGGGGCGTGAATTGTGGAAAGTGCGCGGCGGCATTGCAAAACAGCGCGCCGCGATGTTGCCTTCTCAAAAATATTTTTTCGAAAATTTTTTTTTTCACAATTTCTCAACGATTTCTCAACATTTTTGCGAGAATCTTTTTTTCAAAAATTAAAAAAAATGTTGCCTATCATCAATGATGTCTAGATTATTGAAAATTTCCTCAATTTCGGCTCAATTTCTCATAATTTCTTCGTGAATATTTTTTTTCAAAAATTAAATAAAAAATGTTGCCTATCATCAACGATGTCTAGATTATTGAAATTTTTCTCATTTCTTTTTTTTGTCGCAAATCACCTTCATGACCGGATAGCTGAACCCATTTCTTGAGGCGCTCTTTCAGCCAAACGTCCATCGGAAGCGCGGTGATCGCCATCGTCTCAACCGACACCTGCAATCAGCCATATTCATCGTTCGCGTTGGAATGCATGCCGGGGGTTTTAATCGTCATGTTTGCCGGCGTGCGTCACGCGCGCAATTTTGTTCGCCTAATCCGCCACACGATAAGAATGAGTTATGGTTAGAAAAAAGAAGAAGAAGAAGAAGAAGAATAATGAAAGTAGAAAATTGAGGTTTGCAAGTGTGTTAGAGTTCGAACAATGCGAAACTTACAGGTTCGATAATATCCTCGCTGCATGAATGCGTCCGTCGACCGATGCCCAATCGTCGGCCGAGATCGAAACTCGCCTCATGATATCGTTTGTGCCATAGATCGCCGAGTCGCGGCCGTCGAAATTTGCTCAAATGGCCTTTTGTGCTTCGTTTTCGGATCAACGTCAAATGTTTCGGATCGCCGTCGAGCGCGACAACCTCGTCCTCCTCTTCGAGCGGATTGCACAAATCGATCGAGGCGATTTTGGTGAGATGGGCGCCGGTTCGATGGTGCGACATAATAATAATAATAATAATAATGTTGATGATGAATTCGAAATGTGAATGAATGTGTGCCAACGGCTTACACGATAAGCTCCTCCCACATTTTTAGTAGGCCTGAGAGTGAGAGAGAAAGAGAGAGGCATGATAAGCAAGAAGCACAAGACTATTGAGTAAAACAATCAAAGGTGAGTAGATCATGGGAACAAATCAAACAAAAAAAATGCTCACTTGGACCAATTTGCCGAATGCGTCGCAAAACGCCCGATGGTACTCTTGTTGCGAGGCGAACTGTTCGGGTGTCGGCGGCCGTTGTGTCGGATAGGGGAAGCAGCTGATGATCTACAATGTCAACGTTGAATTTCGAGGCGGTCCGATTGCAGATGGACTAGTCTTCTAACGGAGCGGCGGCCAACTCAAGCTAGCAAGGGAAGTCTTAACATTTTTTCATTTTTTTTGCATACAGATTCTTTAGACAATTTAAGCGCAAACTTCTAGTTATCGAGATATGGACCTTCAAATTTTTAGACCCTCGTAAATTTTGCATACAAATTTGCGGAAACTCGAAATGAAATAATTTGGATGCCTTATATCCAAATTCGGCCAAGCAGTTGTTGAATTCGGTCCCACTCTGTATAAGAAGCGAAAAGCTTGGAATGCCGCCCACCTGCATTAGGCGTTCCTGCGTCGGCGGCGCCGCCGGCATCGTGATCTCGGATTGGACGGTGTCGCGATGCTCGCACACCGACGGCGTCGGCACCTCTTCCCACACGAACGTCTCCTCGCGATTGCGGCGTCCGCGCAGTCTGCAACATGGATTTCTCGTTTTTGTTGAAATCGTCTGGCCCTACTTGATTCGCAATTTCGACGGCAAACGCGTCGGACGCGTCGTGTCGCCATTTTTCGGTCTGAAACAGAAAAAAAAATTAAATAATTGGTTTGTCATTTTTCTTAATTGCATCGTACTCGCGAAACGTCCAGCAACAACCGCCATCGCGACGGCTCGAACCGGCACCCATGATCTGAAATTCGGCGATTCTTATCATTTTCCGAGAAGCGCTGGGTGTTTGATAAAAGAAATTGAGTCGACTCAATGAGTTGCGATGGCTCAAAAAAGAAGAAGCGACGAAATTTGAGTGGGTCCCAAGAATCACCGAAATCGGGACGACTCAAATAATAATTGTGTGTGTCCCAACTATTTAAAGGCGCATGACACGAACACAGTGATATCATCAAATATTTGCGATGATCGGCTTACAGAGGGGCACGAAAAAAAAAATTCCAAATTTGAATATTCAATGCGACGCCGAGAGTGGGTCTCGCAACGAAAATAAAAGAATTGGGCGGACGAGGCGAAAACGAGAAAGAGAGAGAGAGAGAGAGTCGAAATCGTTATCAATTCTCTTGTTCTTCTTCTTCTTTTGCGCTACCGAAACGAATCGATATGGGTCTTTTTGCGTGTTGCCCACAAAAATTGAATCAATTACAATAGCAAAAACAAAAAAAAATGGAGATGACCAATTATTTGGGGGGCAATTCTTCGTGTAGTCCACACGGAGAATTGTTGAGAGTGACAAGACAAGTGCAAATACAATATACAAACGACACAAGGCTGGCTGGCTGGCCGGTCGGTCGGCTGGTTGCGGTGTAGAGGGGGGGGGGGAGATGGAAAACGATCTTGGACGCTGCGTCTCGCCAATTTTGCGCGCTTCCTCGCCTCTTATTTTTTGATGTCTTTTTTGTAAAACATTCTTCTATCGGTTGTACATGGGGGGGGAGGCGAAATGACACTGATTAAGCGCGACGCAAGCATAATGGAAGTATTGTGGGAAATCTGTGGAACGGAAGCATAATGCTTCCATATAGGAAGCATAATGTAATTCTTAGTGGCTGTGGAAGAAATATGGGACGAATATGGATGGAATGAAAACGGGATGAATATGCTTCCGGTGTTTGCGAGCCGTGGAACGAATATGGATGAAATATGGATAAAATAATCATATATCATTACACATTATACAATTGGCGTCTGGACGGCAGACCAAGACAATTTCTAGAAAAATCAATACAAAAAACTTATGCTATCATATAAACAATGAAAATTTGAAAATTACATGATACACAACATACGAAATTTAGCTTCTACCATTTAATGACTTATGCTACTCAGATTTATGTTAATTCAGTCAACTGTTCCTTACTTTGTTTAAAGATTGCCAACTACAATTTAGTCGTATTAATATATTTTTGCCGGTTTTTCCGAAATTGGCATCGCAAACTACTCACAATTTGCTCCAAACTGGTAGCAGACGCGCGTAGAAGAGGCGTGCCGCAGCATTGCAAAACCGTGCGCCGCTTTGCACAATGCGGCCACGCCTCACATTTTCGAAATTCGTTTTCAAAATTTTTGTCCTTTTGCTTTTTCTCAATGAATTTTCAAGATTTTTTGTGTTTTTTTTTGTCAAAAATTAAAGAATTTTTTTCAAAATTAAAGGAAAAATGTTTTTAAAAAATAAAGGAAAAATTTTCATGTTTATCATTTTCATGTTTATTATCATTCGAAAATTTTAAAATCGATACGATGTTTTCAAATCGTTTCCGACACTTTTAAAATCGAATTTAAATATTTTCTCAATCGAATTGTGTTTAATTTCTCATCGAATCCGTTTTATTTTTATTTACTTTAACATATTTTTTATTATCGCTCGCTTTTTTCTTTTAATAAAACATAATGTTTTGAAATTTTTTACAGATGAAGACAAGATCGAGAGTGTTGTCAGATATAACTGAAACTGCTCTAGAAGTCAATAACAAAGAACCAGAAGTCCCTAACATGGAACCAAATTCGCTCGACACTTCAGATCCAGATAGTCCAATTTACTCGCCAACTCAGCAAAAAAATTTTTCTCCACAGTCCTCACAAACAACAAAATCAACGCCAATTCCTAAACCTTCGTACGCGCAATTTGTAAGTTGTTATCATCAAAAATTGGCCTGTTCGACTCCAGAAATGGTTTCAATTAGAAAAATATGCGCAATGAAGTCTTTATAAAGTACTTCCTAAGTTTAAAGCTTGTTGATTATTTGGTTCCAATCAGGGCTGTGCGGCAATGGAATTGCCGATTGCCGAAATTGCCGGTTTTTCAAATTGCCGAAGAAAATTTCGATCGGTAATTTGCCATTAGCCGAATCGCCGAAATTTCCGATTGCCGTACAGCCTTCGTACCAATATCATTCAGTGGCATTTATCTTTTTAAGTGGGGCTCTAGTACAGAAGTCGCCAGACGCCGACTATATAAAGATCCTATACTTTATTGCAAATATCTATATTACAGATGCTCTTATCCATGGCTTTGGGCAACAACCGACAAATGACTTCAAAGCGAAAGCATTACGCATGGTTCGAGAAGTCATGGATAATCTTCTGTAAGATTTTGAACTATGACTATTAATTTATTTATTTGATTAAGCGATAGAATGCGCCAACGACTTCAAAGGAAATTTGGTGTAGCGCCGGAAGCGCTCGCGGCGCAATTAAGGAAGCTGCTTGATTCTACCAGCAACCCTCAGATGTGAGTATTCATATGTCTTTGAAATTTTAACCAAAATGCCTTTTTGCTTCAAATTTTGGAGTTGTTCTTTCTTCCGCCAATTCACTTTTTATTTTGTGCACTAAAGGGTTTCCAAAAATGCAAAAAAATAAATTATTTTTATTTTTAAGAAAATTATTGATGTAAAAAAACTGATTGTATTTTCTCGAAAAATTTAGTTTACGTAACAATGGTTTACAAGTTTTTCAAATTAATAGGCCCATTATAATCTACTTATTACAGCGTCCCGCTCGATGTCAGTACTGACAATGATTCGAATAGTTCGGCAGTTGCCAGTAACTAATGGTTTGATTATATCTTAATTGAAATTCATTTCATTGTTGTTTTTTTTATTTTAAATTAAATAAATGTGTTAATATGAAATAAATTTTGAATACAGCAATCAAATTGTTTTCTTATTTGCCCATATGGAAGGCATACGGCTCATTCCATATACGAAACACGCGGTTCCGCAAAAAAATGCTTCCATTATGCTTCCATATAACTTGCATATAAGATTCCTATGATATCCACAGCCGTTCCACTATGCTTCCATTGTGCCTATGCCGCCGTTTATCTGTGGAGTCTGGTGCTCTACCGACTGAGCTAACCGGGCGCTGGCGACGAGATGCGACAAGTGCGTATAAAAGAGGATCGCGGGGCGCGTGTCACCATGCAAAAGTGTCATAATGCGTGGCTTATGCCACATTTCGGTGAATTATCAAAAAAAAATTGGTGATAAAAAATTATGACGAGTTTCGCATTGATAAAACAAAGAATACTTGCAGAGGTGGGGAGAGAGGAAGAAGCAGAAAAAATCGTGCTCTAATTCGACAAACACGGCACTCCAAAATCGGTGCGGTGTGGAGTGGATGGGTGTTCAATGAATAAAAAATTCGCCGGGTGGCGAAAAATATGGGTTTTAAGTGAGCACTTGTCGCAATTTTTCTCGCGCAGCCTTCATCATTCGATTCTTGCTTGTTCTTCAATCAGCGCTGCTTCGGTTTCACTTCATTCAAAAAGCCCCACCAATTGTCTTTTGAGCGAACAACAAAGGATGACTAACTAGTAGCCGTAAAAATACCTGTCATAGGTCGCAATTCGCATTCTCGCTGGCATAGAAACCAAATTGGTTTTTCTTTCCGCCATTTCATTCATTTTTCATTCATCTATCGCACTCATTTTCTTTGTCGAAATAAGCGCAAGGGTACTGTAGGCAAGTGTGGGTGTTAACACCGAGGCGCGACAATGCACATCAATTTTCGCCTTTTTTCCCAAATTTTTTTCCACAATTTTATCGAAATTCCGCATTTCTGATCGCGTTTCCGGATGAAAATTGTCAATAATTGACGGGAAATAAAAAAAATATTTTATTAAAAACCGACGCGATTCCCCAAATATTTAGTTTCAATTAAAAAATAGGAACTTGAAATTCGTTCATGTTATTTGTGGTGTTATCAGTCACACTTTCAATTGTTGTATGTATGTACTGTTCTCGTCATCGCCGTCATTCCCATTTGTGTATATGTGTGTATATATATGTATTTTTTTGCTTTCAGATCTGACCAGACGCCTCGTCATCGATTTCCGTTTCGGGATCACACATCCCCGCTGAACCGGGCTTCACCGACGTCCGAGACATGTCAATCCGGGCGTGTAAACACATGTGACGGCGCAATTCGTTGTTTCAAATCGAAGAAAAAAAAGAACCAATCGAATTTCGGGCCAGAGTGTAAAATGTTGTTGTTCCGCGCGTGCATTGTTCTCCGGCTATAATAGGGAAAAAAAACATTAAAACGTCAACCCATCTCCCTTTTTTTCTATATATTATATTTGTGTGCGTTTTTTTCATTATTCGCACCCCATTTCATTTTTATGTGCGTTTAAATATCAATTCAATTGGGGGAGTCAAGCATACCAGAAAAAAGGGGCGTTCAAAAAAATTTTTCTTTGAAATTCCTACATTTCGCTGCAGGACCTATTCGATTTCAATGTTATATAATTGCAATCCCCCCCTCCCAAAAAAGGGATTCTCGATGTGATGCTCATCTCATTTTTTTTCCACCGGCCATTGTAATAATTCCAACGAATCCGGTATCTGAGATACTGTAACAATTATTAAAGGCGCAACCAAAGCGCAAAAATTGTAATTGTTTTCTATTTGCTACGACGACACAAATTTACATACGCATTCCCTCTCTCTCTCTCTCATTCACATATTTAATTTCTTCGCTGAAGGGGGGGGGGGGCGAGTTTGGCGAATTTTTTTTTGGGTGGGCGTCACCCTCCCCCCAAAATTATGTTTGCCGAGCTGTCAAAACATTTTCTTTCCATTCACCATTCCCAACCAAAATGATTGCCATTGGCGTTTTGTGTGTGTGTGTGCGCGCGTTTGATTTGAAAATAAACATTTTTCGCGCTCATTCAAACCAATCGTTTGATGTTCCGCTCAAATTCTCATTAGGTTTTCGGTTTTTGTGTCTAATTAACAAGTAAAGCTGACATGGAAACCAGTTATGGGTGTAATAAACGAATGAACACATTCGGTCCCAAAATTGTCGCCTTTTTGTTTCGTTGTCTGTCCGCGCGCGCGGCCGATCTCGCATATAACAAATAGTTCGTGTTGGGGGTAACCCCTCAACTGGTATTGTCAATAAACTCTCCATCATTCGCATTTTCGCATCCATTTTTGACTCGAAATCGATTTTTTTCCAATGATACTGTAGACGGTGCTCGGTGTTTGCGGACCACATTGCGGACTTGTTGATTTTTGAAATCCAACTTTTTTTCTGCAAAAAACAAATTTTGCTGCTTCTCCGCCAAACAGCTGCTCCCACTTTGAGGCCGAAAAAATTGATTGGAATTGTGCTCGCCGCTAAATGGTTTCGGTGTGCTCTTCGCAATAGTTTAGTTTCGCCCCCCACCCGCCATTAATCAATGGCTTGTGATAATGTATGAAACACGCGGAAGCGTTGAAGAACAAGAAGTTACAGAAAATAATGCTGCGTCTCATTGGCGAGAGGTGGGTGGTAGAATATGACCTCGAGTGGTTGACGGCCTGCCTCTCGAAATAGGGAACCGTTCCCGTCCGACCGTAACAATACGCGGTGCGCGAGCGCGCGCGCGCAGGCGACCCCTTCGCCGCCGCGATCGTCATCTCCATCATCATCATCGTCATCCGCATTCGTTTTCTCTCCCCCCCCCCACCCCATTCTCTTCTTCCATCTTCCAACGATTTTCTTCCGTTTTGCGAACTTATCGATTCCTTGAAGACGTCGCGCAACAAGGTCACGTTCAATTCCTTTCCTCTTCTTTTTTTTCGAATCGAGACGTTGTAAAAATTTCGGGTTGGGAGGCGTTTGTGTCAAAGCTTAATCCGATTCAAGGTCTCGTCGAAGACGAGAAAATGAAAAACGTGTTTCAACGCGCTTGTCTGGCATTCTCTCGCCAAAAATTTTTGCGTGACCTGCCGGCCGCGCATTTTTCCGGCCATCGTGTGCATATCATTACGCTCATCTTTTCACACGCCAAATATTTTTTGTCCCAATCATTTTATTATTTTTATTGCAGGTTTCGATAGGAATCAGGAATGAGCTATTGAGGCAATTGACGCAACGAACACGCATTGGCCATTCATACTCATAGTATAACTCATTATTAAACATGTAAGCCGTGTTTTTTTTTTTGCTGTTTGAAATTAGACGAATTTGATTATTTTTCTCTAGATCGTTCGTGGTGATGCGGATATTCTTATTAACCCAATTCTCACCATTTCTATTGTATATTTCACTCGTACTCATCGTTAGTGGCATCGAGCACGACTCGATTTGCGATGAATCGGTAGCGAATTGTCCGGAGCCGACGCACACCGTCATTCGGCTAGTGAAACGCGATGATGAGCTCGCGCGCCAAATCGCCGCCGATCACGACATGGACGTGCGAGGCGAGCCGTTTCTCGACAATCACTATTTCCTCTATCACAAAGATTCGACGAGGACTCGAAGGCATAAGCGGGCGATTGTTGAAAGGTTGGTTGGGCCCTTGGCGAAAGCTTCTATCGGATAATGCAATTTCTAGACTTGATTCTCATCCCGCCGTCGAGTGGGTCGACGAACAGCGCCCGAAAAAGAGAGTAAAACGAGATTTCATTCATTTAGACGATGTGAGTGTGGAAAAAAGAACAATTGAAATTGTTTGAAAAACCGTCTTGCAGGATGTTCGACACGCAACACCAAGTCGACGATCGGTGCTGAGTCGAGAAGCTCGCGCGAATCCGCGTCGCGCGTTTCGCCAATCGCAGCGGCCAATTCCGTCGCTTCCATTTCCCGATCCGCTCTACAAAGACCAATGGTATTTGGTAGGTGTCTCGAAAGAATGTGATCGCGCCCGAACGTGTGGTTTTGAAGCACAACGGAGCCGTCGGCGGTTATGATATGAACGTGCGAAGCGCTTGGATGCAAGGCTACGCGGGACGAAATGTGTCGGTGTCGATACTCGACGACGGCATTCAAAGGGACCATCCCGATTTGGCGGCGAACTACGATCCGCGCGCGTCGACCGATATCAATGATCACGACGACGATCCGACACCGCAGAACAATGGTGATAATAAGTGGGTGATGCGCATTTTTTTCTTTTCTTTGGGTTCCAAGATGTTTGACCTTATTACAATTTGTTTCGTGTTTCGCGTTGTCAACTTTGTAGTACACTGAAACTGTAATAGTGCGCTCGTCTCGCTAGATAGAATGTATGAATGATGGATGTTTAGGCACGGAACCCGTTGCGCCGGCGAAGTCGCCGCGCTTGCCGGCAACTCGCATTGCGGCGTCGGCGTCGCGTTCAAAGCGCGCATCGGCGGCGTTCGAATGCTCGACGGCGCCGTGTCGGATTCGGTCGAGGCCGCTTCGCTCTCGCTGAACCAGGATCACATCGACATCTACTCGGCGTCGTGGGGTCCCGAAGACGATGGAAAAACGTTTGACGGTCCGGGACCGTTGGCGCGCGAGGCGTTTTATCGCGGCATCAAAAACGGACGCGGCGGCAAAGGCAACATTTTTGTGTGGGCGAGCGGCAACGGCGGCTCGCGTCAGGACTCGTGCTCGGCGGATGGCTACACGACGTCGGTGTACACTTTGAGCATCTCGTCGGCCACCTATGACAATCATAGGCCTTGGTATTTGGAGGAGTGCCCATCGTCGATTGCGACGACGTACAGTTCGGCGGATTTCCGGCAACCGGCTATTGTGAGCATGCACCTTTAAACTCTCTATGATGGTTATTTGGAAATTCTAGGTTACTGTGGATGTGCCTTCGGGATGCACCGACAAACATACAGGAACGTCCGCTTCGGCTCCATTAGCTGCTGGAATCATCGCGCTCGCACTTGAAGCAAAGTAAGTGCCATCGATTTCAATGGTTCCAATTTGACACTGTGCTGTTTTTAGTCCGGAACTCACTTGGCGCGACATGCAGCATATTGTGCTGCGCACAGCCAACTGGAAACCGCTCGAGAACAATCCGGGATGGTCGCGCAACGGCGTCGGCCGAATGGTCAGCAACAAATTCGGCTACGGGCTGATTGACGGCGGTGCGTTGGTGAATTTGGCGAAGACGTGGCGCACGGTGCCCGAGCAACACATTTGCACCTACGAATATCGATTGGCGGCGCCGAATCCGCGGCCGATCGTCGGTCGATTCCAGTTGAACTTCACACTCGACGTGAATGGATGCGAGTCGGGAACACCGGTGCTCTATTTGGAGCACGTTCAAGTTCACGCGACTGTTCGTTATTTGAAACGCGGCGACCTCAAACTCACACTATTCTCGCCGTCTGGCACTCGATCCGTTTTATTGCCGCCTCGACCGCAAGATTTCAACGCGAACGGATTCCACAAATGGCCGTTCCTCTCGGTTCAACAATGGGGTGAAGATCCGCGCGGCACGTGGCTTCTCATGGTCGAATCGGTGACGACGAATCCGGCAGCATCAGGTAGTTGAAATTGATGTTTGGAATGCTGGACGCGATTGCGATTGTAGGCACATTCCATGATTGGACCCTATTGCTTTACGGAACTGCGGAGCCGGCTCAGCCGGGCGATGCGCTCCATCCGGTGCAGCCGAACAATCAAGGTGTTCTCTCGCGTGTGCAACAGCTAACATCGCAGGTACGCAACTTTTTTGGATTCGGGTCCTGATCTCCCATCTCCCAAAAAGAAATGGTCCCAATTTGTCGTTTTTTTTTCGAATTTTTTTTTCAAGGTTTGCGTGCGTGTGTACATCTTAGGGGGTGTGTGTGTGTGTCTGATTTTTTTTATTTCATTTTCTCACTTTAGAGATCACACCTCTGGAATTTTTTTGCTGAATTTTAATGTTTTGCATTTCATTTTATGTCGTTGTTGTTGTTGTTGTTGTGTCCGATGTTCAATCTAATAATTAAAAATATCAATATTAATAATAATAATAATACAAATATTAATAATAAATTGAGTTCTATGTGTTGGCTTATTTCATTTTCGTTTTGTTTGGATTTCTAGCATGTCTTGCATGTTCGTTTCGTTTTCAATTTTGGGGGTCCCAACTAGATGATGGAATTGCATGACCTGTTTTGTGTTGTGTTTCAGAGGCATCGAATGCGTCGACCGCAGGCGTTCTCGCGGGTTCGGCAAATGCCGATACCGTCGGGTCGCACGTGGCTTCCACCACAACAACAACAACCGTTTCGTACGCCATTCACCACCATGACGACCACCACGAATACTGTCGGCCAATGGGTGTTCGATCCGGTCACCCAACGGTGGATCTGGACGCGACGCATTCGCCGAAGGCGTTATAAGCATTGATTGTGTTTTGTTGGGTTTATTTGTTGTCTGTAAAATTTTGGGTGTTTCCTGTTTCCTCTCCGGTTCCTCACCTTCCCCTCCCCACTTCCTCTCCCCCACTCCCCGGTGATGCATGTCTCAATTTCGAAAACGGGCAAATTCTTTCCTCTCATGTTTGTTTGTTTGTTTGTTTGTTTGTTTGTTTTTTCTTCTTTCCCTCAATTTGTAGTAATTTGCTAGACGTCATTTGTTCATTTTTTTTTCAAAAAAAATTCTCTTCAAAAAAATTCCAATTAAACGTTATAAATGTTTGTGCGCATGTTTGGGAGTATTGTTTGTTGGCATTGTTTGTTTACATGTTTGTTTGTTTTGTTTACGAGAAAGAAAAACCAGCTGATGAGTTTTGATCAGGTGCCGCTGCCCGTCGCACTCATCGCCCTTCAAGCGATCGTCGTGCTCGTCATTGTCGGCGTCGCGTTGTACGCGTGCCGCCGTCAGCGTGTTCGAGACTCGAGCGTCGTCCAAGCGGACGCGGAGCTCGTCAGCGACGAGATGCGAATCGCGATGGCCGAATCTTTGGAAGCGGAGAAGGAGCGACAGATGATTGCGAAGGCGCTCGCCGACGCCGAAGAGCATCATGAGATGAAGAACATGCGATAGCGACGAGCGCCCCTTTCGAGCATCCATCATGCCAATTATTATTTTTTTTCTTCTTTTAGTTGTCAATTGTTTAGCCTCTACCATTTGCTTTCCCCCCCCCTCCACCTAAAACCAAACGGGTATTGCGATTTTGATTTCCGGTTGATTTTTGAGCGCAACACAACACAACAGCTTTTGCTCCTTGATATTCGTACTCACATGTCAACCACGTAATGACACATTAATTTAATGTATGAATTGATATCGCTGTAGGAGTATCAAGGAGAAAAGCGGACGGGCTCCGCGGCGGCGGCCGCTTCGACACCACTTCAATCGTATTTCGACGCGCTCTTCCAGAGAGTTTTCGGATGATTGCGGTTCTTCTCTCGCCTCTTTTTTCTTTTTCTCTGGTCTCTCTCACTCTCGCGTTTTTTCTTCTTCTTCGAAATGATCTACACCAACATAAGTATTTTACAGCTGGTCAACGTGACATCTGCCCGTTTTATCCAAAGGGCCTACCCGTAGTCGATGTTGTTGTTGTTGTTGTTTTCATCATTATTCAATTTCCACAGGGTACTGTATTTATTGTGATTCCCCCCCCCCTGCTCCCATCTCGTCCCATAATTTCATATTTTGGTTTGTTGTCATTTTTGATGTTTTGAAACGAGGATTGCAGAACAAAACTGAGTCGTATATCGAGTTTCGAATACCGTATTGGGAAACGAAAAAACGGGCGAGGCGAGATTTTGAATTTATTTTCACGTCGCAATCTTGCGACGAATTGCCGCTCGTTTTGTACTGCTCCCTTATTGTGTATTATTATTTATTTTAATAATAATAATTATTATTAAAAAAAAAAGAATCGAGTGTTGTGTATTTTGGTTTTCTCGAAATTTTAGGTTGGCCTGGAAAAAAATGAAACGTGTTCGTGTATTCGGTGTGCTTCGGTAGGGGTTGTGTTGGTGGCGTTGTTTATTATTATTATTATTATTTTGTTTATTGTTGGTGTTGTTGTTGATATTTGTTGTTGTGCATGTTGAACCTCTTTTATCTTGAAATTATTCTTACGTGCACACACACACACACACGCACACGAGTGAATCTTGAAATTCGAAAATATCCCTCCAACAGAAACCCTCCGAACACACCTTGATTATAATTTGTATGGTACTGAAAATGAGTTGCTTAGCCAGAATTTCGCTGCCTAGCAGAAATTGTTCTACTTTACTGGAATGCGCTGCTTAGCTGAAATTGCGCTGCTTAGGTGAAATTGCGCTGCTTATGTGAGTTGCGCTGCTTAGCTTAAATTGCGATGCTTATACGAGTTGCGCTGATTAACTAGAATTGCGCTGCATAGCTGAAATTGCGCTGCATAGCTGAAATTGCGCTGCATATCTGAAATTGCGCTGCATAGCTGAAATTGCGCTGCCTATCTGAAATTGCGCTGCATAGCTGAAATAGCGCTGATTATGTGAGTTGCGCTGCTTAGCTGAAATATCGCTGCATAGCTGAAATTGCGCTGCTTGGCTGAAATTGCGCTGCTTGTGTGAGTTGCGCTGCAAAGCTGAAATTGCGCTGCTTAGCTGAAATTGCGATGCTTATGCGAGTTGCGCTCCATAGCTGAAATTGCGCTGCTTAGCTGAAATTGCGCTGCATATCTGAAATTGCGCTGCATAGCTGAAATTGCGCTGCATATCTGAAATTGCGCTGCATAGCTGAAATTGCGCTGCATATCTGAAATTGCGCTGCATAGCTGAAATTGCGCTGCTTAGCTGAAATATCGCTGCATAGCTGAAATTGCACTGCTTATACGAGTTGCGCTGCATAGCTGAAATTGCGCTGCTTAGCTGAAATATCGCTGCATAGCTGAAATTGCACTGCTTATACGAGTTGCGCTGCTTAGCTGAAATATCGCTGCATAGCTGAAATTGCGCTGCTTGGCTGAAATTGCGCTGCTTGTGTGAGTTGCGCTGCAAAGCTGAAATTGCGCTGCTTAGCTGAAATTGCGATGCTTATGCGAGTTGCGCTCCATAGCTGAAATTGCGCTGCTTAGCTGAAATTGCGCTGCATATCTGAAATTGCGCTGCATAGCTGAAATTGCGCTGCATATCTGAAATTGCGCTGCATAGCTGAAATTGCGCTGCATATCTGAAATTGCGCTGCATAGCTGAAATTGCGCTGCTTAGCTGAAATATCGCTGCATAGCTGAAATTGCACTGCTTATACGAGTTGCGCTGCATAGCTGAAATTGCGCTGCTTAGCTGAAATATCGCTGCATAGCTGAAATTGCACTGCTTATACGAGTTGCGCTGCATAGCTGAAATTGCGCTGCATAGCTGAAATTGCGCTGCTTGGCTGAAATTGCGCTGCATATCTGAAATTGCGCTGCATAGCTGAAATTGCGCTGCTTAGCTGAAATTGCGCTGCTTAGCTGAAATTGATGGTGAAATACGCTGATTATCAATAGTCCAAATTTCGTCGGTGCTGTTCTCGGAATCCGTGGAATTCAAAATAAATTTTTAGGGAATCAGATTTCAGGTTGAAGAAGTCGCACCAGTCTCATTTCCAGATCTTACATCAGCAGGCAATTGTCATCCGGAATGCAACGGAGGTTTCTCATCGACATTCCCGCAAAGCGTTTACCAATTGATGTTAAGGTTGTACGGAATCAAATTCGGCGTCGTCGTGTTTCGCGTGCAAACACCTCACGCAAACGCTCAGAAACAAAGCGGGCAACGGCTACAAATGCGTTCAAAAATGCGACGACACTTATTATCTGGATGGCGATAATTGCAAAATGTGCTCATCGCATTGTCATACGTGCTCGAAAGCAGAAGTATGAGCAATTTGTGTGTTTTATTGTTTGAAATTTCGAACAAAAATTCAAGGTGTGCGAAACGTGTCCGGGATCGTTGTTGCTCATCGACGTCGAGAATCTGCCGCACTACGAGCACGGCAAATGCGTATCATCGTGTCCGCAGGGTCTTGTCGCTGATTGTAAGTCATATCACTAGAAAATTGATGAAATAGAAAAAAAGTGGAGAATTTTGAAAAATCTGGAAAATTTGCAGATAATAGCACAAAATTGGCCGGTAAGATAGCGAGATTGATTTGAAATTCCGTCCCCCTAATAGTCCCTTATTAAAATTAATTAATACTTTCTCTCTTTCTCACTCGCAATTTTTGTTTCAAAATTGGAATCGTTGGAAATTTGTAGATGAATCGAATTTGGTGCAAGCGCGCTGCATTTGGCGCAAAGATTTGTGCGGCGAAGGGTACTACATCAACGCCGTCGGCAAATGCGACATTTGCGATAGCGCGTGCAAAACGTGCACCGCGCCGGGACCGATGAGCTGCGATGAATGCGCGAGCGGCTATGGAAAAGGCTCGATCGGATATTGCCGACCGTGTTGCGCCGACGGCGGAGCCAAAGATTGGCATTGCGGTTTGCGCGATCCATTGACAATTTGAAAGTGTTTGCAATTCGAACGTGTTTCAGAGGATTGCTCGACGAGTGCCGCGATTGGACCGCGAGAAGAACGCTCATTTCTCATGTAAAAGACATTTTCGAGTCTCTCAATTAAATCGTCGTCGAATTTCAGCACATTCCTTTGGCTGATATTCATCGTTGGAATCGCGATCGCGTGCGGCGCGGCATTCTGCAAATGCTGGAAAGAGACTGGCGGCAAGAACGTCGAGTAAGTCGATCGTGATGTGGGGCGAGACTAGAGCGCGTTTTCAGCTACACACCGTTGCCGAGGTACAACGCGGTCGATGAGAATGTGAATTTAGGAGTCGATAGCGACGATGAAGACGAGACATTCACGCCAGTCACTCAACAATTATAGAATTTCTACTTTAAGCTTTTTTTCTTTTTTTTTTGACCGGGTAGACATCATCTTGCCTTCGCTTAATATCCATTTATTGTTGTGAAAATTGTCCGCCGGGTTTTGTTTTGCTGTTGATATTCGTTTTGTGCCTTCCATTCCAGACCATCCCACGAGAATCACTTGAAATAAATATTTATTCGACATTTTAGTACACTGGATCATCAAAATCGAAATTATCGACTTCCTCATCGTCCGAATTATCATCGTTATCATATATCAATTCGCCTCGAGCTATCTGGCAATTCAGAAGTTGCTCTAACGTCGGGCATGTGAATACGTCGTCGACGGGCTCGAACAGAGCCAGTGTGCTGCGGAATGCCTCGCGAATTGCGGCAAGATTGCGAACCGTTCTTCCCGGATTGTGATTGTCGTATGGATCCTCGATGTACACGCTCTTCTGATGATGTAAACGCGCTTTTTCAGGGTCCAATTCTTTTCTGAAATCAACACCACGAATTATTTCTCTGGAAATGTGCCAATAATGGAAACCTGTTTTGAACTTTGCCCGTTGGCAATGAAATGTAATTCTTATGAAAATTGAAATCGACATAATAATTCAAAAATTGCAAAAACAATTGGGCGATGTTCGATGCGTTCTTGGTCACCTCGGGAAGGGCCCTCGGCAATGGTTTGCTGAAATCGACACACGCTGGAAATGTGTGCTCGTTTTGCGCGAAAAACTCGTCCTCTGCAATAATGGTCCATAAATGGGGTGTGGGTTGCGCAATTACTCTCGTAGACTTTTGGCAAATGCGGCAGAATCGGCGGATAGGTGCCGCATTGCAGAAAATGAATGATGAGCAGAACAATCGCGTAGCTATTGAATCCGCCTTCCTTCGGCTTCCTCACCTCGGTCTTGTCGGCCCACAATTTGATGATGGCGCACAATGGCGCGAATCTCGGCTCGATTCGATTGAAATGATTGAGAAGGAAGGAATTGTGAAGCGATGAGAGGAAGTCCTCGATGACGACGCCGATGTCGCATTCGATGCCGTCGGCGGTGACGAGCGAAAGAATTTGGATCTTGAAAATGGAAACGATAATGGATTATTGATTTCCTTTTGAAAATTACGCTGGCCGGCACGAGCTGAATGTAGTTCTGATCGCGAGATCGCATGATTTTATTTTTGATTTGCTCGTCGTTCTCAAGAATTCGGCGAACGATTCGAAGAATGCTGAACGAAGCGCTGAAATTGGATTTTGCTGAATTCGATTTCGCCACACATTGATTGCGTGCTTTTCCTTTGCGCGAACGTCGATTGGCTCGTGACGCTCGACAAACGCCATAGTTGCTTGCGGAATATGAATGGTTATATCGAGATCGCTGTTTTTCGCGGCGAGACCTGTCACCGAAGAGCCGGTAGGCACCACATCAAAGTTCCACGTCTTCAAGAAAAAAAAATGATTTTCGTTTTGTCGAATTAATTGATCTGACCGGACAATTCCTTTTAATCGCCTCCTTCAAATCTTTGCAAAATTGCAACTTTTTCAATCGCTCACTTTCTGGCTGAAATTTCTCGCATTTTATTCGCATTTTCCCCAAATATTGCACCTGTTTTATTTCATTCCAATATTGATGCATTTCGGATGAGAGCGAGTCAAAAGCGTATGAGTATTCAGCTCTTGAGCCTGCAACTTTTAAAATTCCAAAACAACATTGAAATCTCACCCCATTTTGTGATATATCTGTTATATGGTTCGGAGTTAAAGTAGACGTGATAGGCGGCTTGGTCGAAATCGACAAGTTCCTCGGCGTCATCTTCATTGCTCATTGTTCCCTGCTGAAATTCGAGAAAAAATAATAAACGTCTGGCCGCGGACTGGAATAATAATGGCCTCCAATTGTGCGGCCGCGATTTTCATTGCACTGTGTCATTTTCGTTTTTGCATGCCTTCCAACGTTTTCAAACGCGACAAAGTTTTGAAATCATTCGACTACAGCATCAGGGTAAGTATTATAATCAGTAGAAGAATCACTCGTGCCACCACCAGCCAAATATTGAACTTTATCATTTTGAACATTTCGCGAAATTCAAGGTCGATTTGCACGTCGCTCGTCTGTAGCCGGCCTTATCAAATTGATATCAAACACGCGCCAAGCATTCTGCCTAATATTTTTGTTTTTTCTTGCTACAGGCTTCTGCGTCTTGCTCAACTGCGCCCAGTCTCCTCAGACCGTTCCTTCAATTGGTGCTGCATTACACCGACGGCGAAACGCAAGTATTCGATTATACTCCAGAAGAGGTTTGTAGAAGTTTTCAAGAAGTGCCCAATAATTATTAATTTCAGTTTGAGACCTTCGTCAAATCTCTACAAAAATGCAAAACCCCAAAGATCGCAGATACACTTACCCAAAACTGCCTCCCGGCCAAATCAGCAAATCAACAGTGATCATTCTGAGCGGCGGCCTCATCGGCTACACGCTTCTCGAACTCTTGTATGGTTCGGAGAACTTCTATAAGAAGGGCGTGATGCCATTGGTGCACAAATTTGTCGATGGCGAAGATTCGCATCGGTTGGCGGTCAAAGCGGCTTCATGGGGTCTCCTGCCGCGATGGGGCTGGAATCGCGTCGAATATCCCGAGCTCAAGTGTACGCTGTTCGGACGCGAATTCCGAAATCCGTTGGGTCTCGCCGCGGGTTTCGACAAAGACGGTGAAGCGATTGTGCCACTGGCGAAGACGTCGGGATTCGGGCTCGTCGAAATTGGCTCCGTCACGCCGATCCCACAGCCAGGCAATAATCGGCCAAGAGTGTTTCGACTACTCGAAGACGAGGTTTGTCAGAAGCATCTTTTTGGTGTTGATCCTTATTTTAGGGCGTTATTAATCGATATGGATTCAATAGTGATGGTGTGGGAAAAGTGCACCAAAGGGTGAAAGCAGCGCGCGATTATTGGGATCCGGCGACGTTCGCATTTTTTGGTGTGAATTTGGGAAAGAACAAGCTCACCGATGACGCCAAGTAGATTCTTTGTTGTCGCCATTTTTCATTTTAACGCGATTTCAGATTGGACTATGAGATTGGCGTCAACTATTTCGCGCCGCACTGCGATTATCTGGTGTTGAACGTCTCGTCGCCGAACACGCCCGGATTGCGGAGTATGCAGAAGCGAAGCGATTTGGAGAAGGTCGAATTCGTCGAAACTCGCATGACGAATGCCAATTTTTGTTTCAGCTGCTCGCTTATGTGAAAAAATCTTTGGATATGCACGAGCTCGAGAAGCGACCGCAAGTGTTTCTGAAAATCGCGCCCGATCTCATCGAGTCGGAGATGATGGACATCGCACAAGTGGTGACGAACAAGAAATATGGAATCGATGGGCTGATTGTGTCGAACACGACCGTGTCGAGACCCGAAACGCTCAAATCGGAGAATAAGGTTGTCGTCGATGTTGAGCGATTCGTCGAAATAATTGAAGACGTTCTTTTTAGGAGCAAACTGGTGGTCTTAGCGGCGCTCCAGTGCGGACCATTAGTACCGAATGCGTCCGTAAAATGTATGCGTTGACGAAAGGGCAAATTCCGATTATTGGATGCGGGGGTGTGTTCAGCGGCGAAGACGCCTATGAGAAGATTCGCGCTGGCGCAAGTCTCGTCCAATTGTATTCGGCATTTGTCTATGAGGGATTCCCGGTAATTGGAAAGGTAGGGGGGACTCATAAAGCTGTCAAAATAGCAATTTTGCTTTCATCGAACAAGCTTGAATTTCAGATCAAGCGCGAATTGGTTGAATGTCTACGACGCGACGGATTCTCGAACGTCTCGGAGGCGATCGGAGCCGATCATCGACAATAATATTTAAGTTCGTTAGCATGTTTCGTTATTTTTTTAATTGCTCAAAAAAATTCTTGCAAGAATTCAGGGTATTTGGTGTTTTGTTCATTTTTTTTTTCCTCTTGTCTTATATAAATATATCTAGCTATTTCAACATAAAGGGACGAGGGACCCGAGTCAAAACGCTGTTGATCAAAACAAGAAGGCGAATATGCGCGTTTGAATACATTAGTTGGAAAGAAAAAACGGGTGTGTGTGTGTGCGATGGCGAGAAGGGCGGGACTTGAAAATAATTACCCAGTTTTTTTCGCCTTGTTCTATTTTTTTGTTTAAAAACGCGTTTTTGTTCCGCTTTCGACAACATTATTGGATTAGAGCGAACCATATACGGTTCGTTTTCACGTCATTTCCAGAAGACCGAGCTTTGATGTAAAAATGAGCAAAATTGGCCGCCGACGAGTGTGTGTGTTTCTCGATGCCCTGCCTGCCTTCTTCTTCTATTTTTTGTCGTATCCAACTTCTAGACTCATACATTTTTAACAAGATCCGAGCGCGAGAGCAAGCCACGCCCACTTTATGTGCTTGAATGGAGTTGAGAGACTGAATACCACTTCATTATTAATTGTGGTGCATATATCTAACATATTAGAGGATTAGTTGAGAATACCTTTCTGTTTACAAGATTTTTATTAATTAGTTTTCCGTTTTTTTTTTGGTGGTGGTCACTCGACTCCTTTTTCTTCTCAATTCATTTTTGATGATGATGATTCTTTTGAAATTTTGCCCAATTTTTTCCTATTCATCATCATCGCACAAAAAGGCAGGAGGCAAAAATGCTTCTTCTTCTTTTTCGTTTTTATTTTCGTTCTATTGCAGCCGCCTGCCTAGGCAAGCGAGCCTTAATCTATAGGCGATCAACACATTGTGCTCGGCGAGCAACACGACAGCTAAGAATAAAAAAAAGAACATTGCGCGCGCGCGCGAATAATTAGAAAACGGGCGCGCCCGCCGCGTCCCACACCGAATACGGAAGGGAGGAAAATAAAGGGAGGAAGGGGAATGGGGGGGGGAGTGAGCACACGCACACACAAAAATTGAAATGAAAATTCGCGCCGCCACACGAATTAGTATTCTTTTCCGGTTGCTTTCTTGAAATTGACCGAGTCGACACGGGCGGTGGTCAAGCGATGATCTATGAAGCCGCAACCCTTCACACTCGTAATTCTCAAGGAATTGGCGGAGTTTTGTGGGAAATGAGTTGCTCATTCGGTTACGGTATTCAAAGGAACGGTAAATTGCGCTGCTTAGCCAGAAGTGAGTGTCCTAGCTGAAATTGCGCTGCTTAGCTAGAACTGCGATGCTTAGCTACAATTGCGCTGGTTTCTTTTTTTGAAATTGCGCTGCTTAGCCAGAAGTGAGTGCCCTAGCTGAAATTGCGCTGCTTAGCTGAAATTGCGCTGCTTAGCCAGATTTGCGCTGCTTAGCTGAAATTGCGCTGCTTAGCTAGAATTGCGCTGCTTAGCTAGAATTGCGCTGCTTAGCTAGAATTGCGCTGCTTAGCTAGAATTGCGCTGCTTAGCTAGAATTGCGCTGGTTTTTTTTTAAATTGCGCTGCTTAGCCAGAAGTGAGTGCCCTAGCTGAAATTGCGCTGCTTAGCTAGAATTGCGCTGCTTAGCTGAAATTGCGCTGCTTAGCTAGAATTGCGCTGCTTAGCTGAAATTGCGCTGCTTAGCTAGAATTGTGCTTCATAGCTGAAATCGCGCAGCTAATTTTAGCTTTTTTCTGAATATAAGCTAACAACACCCAATTTGCCCTTTAAGGAAACAACCAAGCCCAACTCTACATATAAATTTCCTCAATTCACGTGCCTGGTCATCATAGTTGTCCGTCCACTCACGAATTCTCCCACATAAATGCAAATCTCCTCCTGCCCCATTATATTTTCCCATATCACCAATCAAGTTTGATGTTATATAGTTAACATTTTGTTTATTTTATTGACATCGTTCTCGGAACACCCACGCGTTGAAACAACAACGCCAACAAAAGATGACGCAGGAATGAACATCGATGAATCTGAATTAGGGCAATTAGCGATGCTTAAAGCTTGCCCTTTTTTTCATTTTCTTTCCTTGAGCAATGTTTTTTTTTTCGACGAGCACACGTGCTCACCGCATAACGATTTATGGAGTTGTGTCATGACGACGAACTCCAAATTTTTGTAGTCGTTTCAATCAATGTTGACGAGTTTTGAAGATGCGCGCGCAACTCGAAACCGGAGTGTTTTACACTCACACACACAAATATTCCCACATTTTTTATGCAAATGTATTGCTCGGTCGAATATTAATTCGAAATTCGCGTTCAACCAATGCATATCACTTTTTTTTGCCCCGCATTTTTTTTCTATTTCTTCTCCTTGTCGACTGTTTCTCTCGACGCAGCCAGTATAAATTTAGTACCCGACCAAACGCGAAAATCGACATGACAAAAAAAAAATGGAAAAATGGAAAAACGCAATATACCGTATACCCCCATCACATAGCCATTATGGTGGTGTGGTGCCACAAGCACTACCATTATATCGGCGAATCGCGATTTTCAATTTTCATAACATCCTCTTCCCCCTCTCATTTTCCATTTGCGATTTCTATTTTTTTTTTTTTTGAAATTGAATGTGCTTGTTTTGCATTTTCGCATGTATATATCTGACAAATTGAATAACGCGATTTTTCCATTATTTTTATGCGATTTTACCGCCTTTTCTTCGCGTGCGTTCTCATTCCCCCCCCCTCTCTCTATTTTTTTGGATTTTGGAAGACGCCGTCTGTCGAATGACATCAGCTTTCCAATCCGGCATCGACCGACCGTGCCACCGTGCGCGCGTGCATTTTTTTGGTTAAAATTTGTTGTGTGTCGCACGATAAGCCAATTGGCTCGTTTGAATAGGATTTGAGACGAAATCCGTGTATACGATTCGCACGGCAGATTGTACGAGCAATTAATTGCGGATGAGGTGCCGCTGTGTATAAAACGCTTTAGAAAGGCATTGGCCGATTCGGAACGTTGGTCATCTTAGAGCTGATTCGATGTCGAATTAATCATCTTCAGAAGATGCGATGCTTAGCTGAAATTGCGCTGCTTAGCTGAAATTGCGCTGCTTAGCTGAAATTGCGCTGCTTAGCTGAAATTGCGCTGCTTAGCTGAAATTGCGATGCTTAGCTGAAATTGCGCTGCTTAGCTGAAATTGCGCTGCTTAGCTGAAATTGCGCTGCTTAGCTGAAATTGCGCTGCTTAGCCAGAAATGCGCTGCGTAACTAGAAATGCGCTGCTTAGATATTTTATTGAGAAACTACTGACTATTGTTTAAGATTTTTTGTAAATCATTATTTTTTTATTTTTTAAAATTTAATTTGATAAAAAATAAGCCTCTAACTAATAAACCTTCCTCCACCGCCCCCTCTCATCCCCCCCCTCCTCTTCCCATCCTCCTACTCATCTCGTCCATTTTTAATTGTTCGTATCTATAATAGAAGTGGGAGACATTGAAAAAATACACGCAAAGAGAAGAAATTAACTTTTTCTTTCTCTGTTCTGCTCTCATTTCACTATTTTGCTGCATTTCCAATTAGCCAACCTTGTCGAAGCCAGTCGTTGTCTTCGTGTTTTTTTTTGTGTCTCAAGTCAATTTCATACTGAACCGATGGCGCGCGGCGTTGGCCGAGAGCAGCTGAAATAGAATCGCTTTTCAGACTTTTGATGATGATGTTATTGAGCAGGTGAAAACTTCTCACGGATTAATGGTTGTTAGAAATTTCGGACGGGACGCGAAACGATTTTTTCGTTTTCGGCTTTTTTTTTGAAAAACACAAAATTTTTCTTGTTGAATGATGATGTAACGAACACATCGAGTTTTCTCAAAACGACATATACAGTTTGTAACCGAAAACGGTCACGAAAAAAAAAACATCGCGTTTCACCTGGACGATTCCCCATTCTCGAGCGCGCGCACACATACACATACTGAAAAAAATACTTCAGCTGCTCGCGTTTTTCTCGAAATTGATATTTTTGCGCAGCCACACGAATTGTGTTTCGGACCCCCTTTGGTATACTGTAGCCGCCACAAATTTTTATTGTTGAAAAGCAATTTTCCTACAATTTTAACTCCATTTATTTGTAATTGCCATTATGGATGTGATGAATCATGATATTCGATGAGCTCAGATCATGTTTAACCAGCGCAATTCGAGCTAAGAAGCAGAATATCTCAAGCAGCACAATTTCAGCTAAGCAGCGCAATATCTACTAAGCAGCGCAGTTTCAGCGAATCTGTCTATCTTAAGCAGCGCAATTCCAGCTAAGCAGCGCAATATCTACTAAGCAGCGCAATATCTACTAAGCAGCGCAATTTCTACTTAAGCAGCGCAGTTTCAGCTAAGCTGTCTATCCTAAGCAGCGCAAATTCTTAAGTAAAATATCTTAAGCAGCGCAGTTTCAGCTAAGCTGTCTATCCTAAGCAGCGCAAATTCTTAAGTAAAATATCTTAAGCAGCGCAGTTTCAGCTAATCTGTCTATCTTAAGCAGCGCAATTCCAGCTAAGCAGCGCTTTTCTTAAATACTCAATATTAATCAGCGCAAAATTCTCTGATAGCTTTGCAGTTTTGTGATGTTTGATATTGGCAGCAAAAATATGTTTTACGATCTAGTTAGCTCATTCAATTATATTTTTTATTAACATTTTATGGGACAGTTTCGTCAGCGGAGGCCGCCCGCCTACCCATAACCGCCGCCGCCGCCTCCTCTTCCTACTGCGCTCGATCGAAAATTTTTTGTCGCTCAATTTATTGCCTTCCGCTTATATATTTTTTCTGTTGTTTCAAACATCGTAAATTGAGTTTGTGTCGGTTGGCTTTCTCGTTCGTTCAAAAATCCTCTCCTTCTCGCCAATTATTCAGTTCCCATCTCTCACTGAACTCCCTCCCCCATTCCCCCTTTTACTATTTTTAGCAACAATTGCCTCCGCCAAATAACTATTCTATTCTATTCCATTCTATGAGCGCAAGCTTCCAATTGTTTCCAATTATCTTTTGGCGAAAGACCTCTCATCTCTCTCACTCGGACTTCTCAATTTTTTTTTGGAAAAACTCATAAGTCGCGGAAAAAATGTCACAAAAATTGTGCATTTTTGTGTGCTTTGAATAACAATTGCGAGGCGTGTCCGACTGAAAAATGAGAAAATAATTACGACACGTTTTCGCCTCAACTTTTCCCCTATTATCGCCGTTTTTATGTTACTATCAAAATGTGGTCGTCGAGTCAGGCTCCTCCTAGGCGGCTCAAGATCGTCCCGCCCATCCCACCACGCACTACAAATTGTTTAGGACGCCACGCCCATTTTTTGAGCTTATGCGTTCTGCACGCGAATTTCGCTTCTTGTCGTGAATTTTCATTTCGTCCCTCACTCAATTATTTTTAGTTGTCAAAAAAATTAAGAACGATGTGAGGTGTGTGCAGTTTGAAATATTTCTTTTTGCTATTTTTATTCTCCATTTCTTATTCGCCTCGAAAATCTCGATATCAATCAATCATTTCGACGAGACAATTTTTATGTGATTTATGCGTTTTTGTGAATGCGTGGAAAACTATTTTGCGAGCGTATTTGTTTTTTGGTGTTTACGCGAAGGAAAAAAGTGACGGCATGGTGTATGCAGAAATGCGCTGCCTAAAATTGCGCTGCTTAACAAAACGCGCTGCTTAACAATGCGCTGCCTAAAATTGCGCTGCTTAACAAAACGCGCTGCTTAACAATGCGCTGCCTAAAATTGCGCTGCTTAACAAAATGCTCTGCCCAAAGTCGCGCTGCTTAACAAAAATGGGCTGCCAAAAATTGCGCTGCTTAACAAAAATGCGCTTCCTAAAATTGCGCTGCTAAAAAAAACGCGCTGCCTAAAATTCCGCTGCTTAACAAAATCCGCTGCCTAAAATTGCGCTGCTTAACAAAATGCGCTGCCTAAAATTGCGCTGCTTAACAAAATGCGCTTCCTAAAATTGCGCTGCTTAACAAAATGCACTGCCTAAAATTGCGCTGCTTAACAAAATGCGCTTCCTAAAATTGCGCTGCTCAACAAAATGCACTGCCTAAAATTGCGCTGCTTAACAAAACGCGCTGCTTAACAATGCGCTGCCTAAAATTGCGCTGCCTAAAATTGCGCTGCTTAACAAAATGCTCTGCCCAAAGTCGCGCTGCTTAACAAAAATGGGCTGCCAAAAATTGCGCTGCTTAACAAAATGCGCTTCCTAAAATTGCGCTGCCTAAAATTGCGCTGCTTAACAAAAGGGCTGCCTAAAATTGCGCTGCTTAACAAAACGCGCTGCTTAACAATGCGCTGCTTAACAAAATGCACTGCCTAAAATTGCGCTGCTTAACAAAATGCGCTTCCTAAAATTGCGCTGCTCAACAAAATGCACTGCCTAAAATTGCGCTGCTTAACAAAACGCGCTGCTTAACAATGCGCTGCCTAAAATTGCGCTGCTTAATAAAATGCACTGCCTAAAATTGCGCTGCTCAACAAAATGCACTGCCTAAAATTGCGCTGCTTAACAAAACGCGCTGCTTAACAATGCGCTGCCTAAAATTGCGCTGCTTAACAAAATGCTCTGCCCAAAGTCGCGCTGCTTAACAAAAATGGGCTGCCTAAAATTGCGCTGCTTAACAAAATGCGCTTCCTAAAATTGCGCTGCTCAACAAAATGCACTGCCTAAAATTGCGCTGCTTAACAAAACGCGCTGCTTAACAATGCGCTGCCTAAAATTGCGCTGCTTAACAAAATGCACTGCCTAAAATTGCGCTGCTTAACAAAATGCGCTTCCTAAAATTGCGCTGCCTAAAATTGCGCTGCTTAACAAAATGCACTGCCTAAAATTGCGCTGCTTAACAAAACGCGCTGCTTAACAATGCGCTGCCTAAAATTGCGCTGCTTAACAAAATGCACTGCCTAAAATTGCGCTGCTTAACAATGCGCTGCCTAAAATTGCGCTGCTTAACAAAATGCTCTGCCCAAAGTCGCGCTGCTTAACAAAAATGGGCTGCCAAAAATTGCGCTGCTTAACAAAATGCGCTTCCTAAAATTGCGCTGCCTAAAATTGCGCTGCTTAACAAAATGCACTGCCTAAAATTGCGCTGCTTAACAAAACGCGCTGCTTAACAATGCGCTGCCTAAAATTGCGCTGCTTAACAAAATGCGCTTCCTAAAATTGCGCTGCCTAAAATTGCGCTGCTTAACAAAATGCTCTGCCCAAAGTCGCGCTGCTTAACAAAAATGGGCTGCCAAAAATTGCGCTGCTTAACAAAATGCGCTTCCTAAAATTGCGCTGCCTAAAATTGCGCTGCTTAACAAAATGCACTGCCTAAAATTGCGCTGCTTAACAAAACGCGCTGCTTAACAATGCGCTGCCTAAAATTGCGCTGCTTAACAAAATGCACTGCCTAAAATTGCGCTGAATGCACTGCCTAAACAAAATGCACTGCCTAAAATTGCGCTGCTTAACAAAACGCGCTGCTTAACAATGCGCTGCCTAAAATTGCGCTGCTTAACAAAATGCTCTGCCCAAAGTCGCGCTGCTTAACAAAAATGGGCTGCCTAAAATTGCGCTGCTTAACAAAATGCGCTTCCTAAAATTGCGCTGCTTAACAAAATGCACTGCCTAAAATTGCGCTGCTTAACAAAACGCGCTGCTTAACAATGCGCTGCCTAAAATTGCGCTGCTTAACAAAATGCACTGCCTAAAATTGCGCTGCTTAACAATGCGCTGCCTAAAATTGCGCTGCTTAACAAAATGCTCTGCCCAAAGTCGCGCTGCTTAACAAAAATGGGCTGCCAAAAATTGCGCTGCTTAACAAAATGCGCTTCCTAAAATTGCGCTGCCTAAAATTGCGCTGCTTAACAAAATGCACTGCCTAAAATTGCGCTGCTTAACAAAACGCGCTGCTTAACAATGCGCTGCCTAAAATTGCGCTGCTTAACAAAATGCTCTGCCCAAAGTCGCGCTGCTTAACAAAAATGGGCTGCCAAAAATTGCGCTGCTTAACAAAATGCGCTTCCTAAAATTGCGCTGCCTAAAATTGCGCTGCTTAACAAAATGCACTGCCTAAAATCGCGCTGCTTAACAAAACGCGCTGCTTAACAAAAACGTGCTTCTTCGCTGAAATGCGCCGTCGTTAGAAATGAGCTGCTTAACTATATGCACTCCTTATAAAGTGTGCTCAGTTTCACCATCCGCCCTAATCTTCAATAGTCAATTTTATTTACACCCAAATTTCGAATGTTCAGATGTCCAATGCTTCTCGGACACCTTCACCGTCACCCAATCGATCCGCAAAAACATCACTGGCTTCATCGACGCGTAGCGATCTCGACATCCCGCCGACAACATCAGCCGTCTCAGGGCCGATTAGCAGCTCGAGCGACGCCAACAAACCATCGACATCGAGTTTCACCAAAGGCATCGGACGATTTTTTCGCAACAGCGTGAAACGCAACTCACCGCGAAGCGCCCGAATGTTCTCCGAGCCGCCGACAACGTCGGATTCGGTGGAATCGGCGCGTAGCGAGGACATTATCCAGCGATCGCCGACACCGAGCCGCCCGTGCTCGCCAACACCGTCGCGCGAGAAATCGCCGCAACGATCGCGGAGTAAAAGGCTCGCGGGATTCGCGAGCCGAAGCATTCGGAAGAGCCAATGGAGGTTGTTCAAGCATCGCACGTTCTTCGGAAGTCAACAGAGAAACAGCATCAAGAAGAACGAGCTGTAAGAAGTCAATGTTGAATTTGGCAAAATAATGAGATTGCAGGCAACTGCCGAAGCTAACACTCCGACATCCGTCCGTCGACAGCGCCGCCATGCCGCTGCCGATCGACGTCGACGACATCAATATGCGCGATTTCCTTCAAATTCGACGCGGTTCGCGATGGACAGCAGAATCCGAATCATCCGGGGTTTGGTTATTCTTCTCATATTTTTTTTCGGCTGAAAATCCTCTCTCCGTTTATTTTTCATTTATTTCGTTCATTTTTTTTGCGTGGGAAGGGAGAGAAGATGATGATGAAACGAAATGAATGCGGCATGAATAAATGAACTCATCAAAAGCGGGACCACTTCCATTACCTCGGCCCTCGAGGTTTCTTTTTTCTGGGGGCCCCGAATTTTTTGCGGCGGCGGCGGCGGCGCCTTCAAAAACAAAAAGGAGACGGAAAAAAGGAAGGAGATGAGTACCCCCTTCTCATTCTCCTCCCTTCTTCTTCTTCTTCCTATTTCTTGTTCATCGCTTTCCATCATATTTCGATGTCCCCCTGAATGGACACGAGGAACTTGTTCATTGAAAAAAAAAAGATCGACAAGAGGCATCCACACAATTCTCTTTTTTTGTTCAATACCTTGTTTTGTGTTTTTTTCGCCTCCGACCCAAAATATCCTCGGTTTGTTTTTGTCGGAATTGACTATTCTCGCGAAATCCATTAGAACTTTCACTCTGTAAAAAAATGGAGAAAAAATGTGGTCCAACGACACTCCGCTGTTGACGCCTGATGCCCGCGGTTTACTGTAAAACGAGACGCGCTTATTCGAATTGAATTTTTGTTGTTGTTTTTTGCATTCTTGAAAAAATGTGTGTGTTTTTTCTCTCGCCAATACCTCAATAAATTTGAATAGATTTTGGCTATTCAATGGAATTGCATAGAAAATGCTGAAAATATCAGCAAATTGCTCGAAAGTGCGAAATAATTTGTTGCGAGTTTGGCGAGAAATGCGTGTTGTGGTCTCAGCGGCAGCACGAAAAAAAAAATCGACGCCCGATTTTCAGCACACGCACTTTTTTTGGTGTCTGAGAGCATATGGATAAACACACAAATATATATATGCATACGCATATATAGGCATAGACTCGATTGTGAGTGATACATACACCATTCAGTTTTATAGGAATATGCATTTGTTGCTGCACAGCCAGTCCCCCCCCGATTCGTTTTCGGCGGGGGACCCCCTTCACCGATTCATTTCCTTTCTTTTCTTTTCTTTTCTTTTGGCGGATCGGCGGCCATCACTCGTCGGCCACACCTCTCCTCTAAAAAAACAATGCGAAGCACAACCCACTCAGCCAGCAACAAATTTTTTTCGAACATTTCTTTTTCCGGTTGCTCAGCGGATTTGTTCAGTGTCGTGTTTCGCCTTGTGTGTATGCGTCTTACATATATATATATATATATATATATATATATATATATATATATATATATATATATATATATATATATATATATATATATATATATATATTTATATATATATATATATATATTTATATAATCCGCATTACTCACATGATCAAGCCCGCCCGATTTTAAAAGGAATGCAATTCGACGTTTTTGAATTATTCAAACTTGCCCCCCCCCCCTTCTTCGTTTTATTTTTCCTCCTCCTCATCCTCTTCCTTCTTCTTCTTCTTCTTCTTTTTCGTATTTCCGCCAACCGTATTTTTGTCGGCTTCACGCTAAATAGTGTTCGATTTTATGACCCTCTTATGGAAAAGTGCGCCACTTTTTTGGTGTTGTTGTTTTTGGACCAACAAAAAATGGCTGAGAAGACTATTATATACATTTTTTTTGAATTTACGTTTCTCTCTCTCTGTCTCTCTACAAATTTTGTCGTTCGATTTTCTTCCCGTTATTTTCTCAATTATGAATTTTCGAGAGAATTGCCCAGAATTCGAATAATATGCGCAATTTCTTGTTATTATATTATGGAAAAATGGCGCTGCTAACAAGAGGAACGCTTTTTTTCGTCGTTCAATGAATTGTATTTTTTCTACGCAAATAGTTTTGGAAATTCATTATCAAATGTATTGTACCGCATTTTTCAAATATTTCAAAAAACACCAAAATTGTAGTGCTTGTTGTACACTCCAACATATCGCAATTCTGCGTTTCTTAGCTGAAATTGCTCTGCGTAACTAAAATTTCGCTGATAAAGATAATCTGCATAGCTTAAATTGCGCTGCTTAAGATATTTTGCTAAGCTGAAGTTGCGCTGCATAGTTGAAATTGCCCTGCTTAAGATAGACAGCTTAGCTGAAATTGCGCTGCTTAGCTGAAATTGCGCTGCTTAAGATATTCTGCTAAGCTGAAGTTGCGCTGCTTAATATATTCTACTTAACAATTTGCGCTGCTTAGGATAGACAGCTTAGCTGAAACTGCGCTGCTTAGTAAAAATTGCGCTGCTTAGCTGAAATTGCGCTGCTTAAGATATTTTGCTAAGCTGAAGTTGCGCTGCTTAAGATATTCTGCTAAGCTGAAGTTGCGCTGCTTAAGATAGGCAGCTTAGCTGAAACTGCGCTGCTTAGTAAAAATTGCGCTGCTTAGCTGAAATTGCGCTGCTTAAGATAGTCTGCTTAGCTGAAACTGCGCTGCTTAGTAAAAATTGCGCTGCTTAGCTGAAATTGCGCTGCTTAAGATATTTTGCTAAGCTGAAGTTGCGCTGCTTAAGATAGGCAGCTTAGCTGAAACTGCGCTGCTTAGTAAAAATTGCGCTGCTTAGCTGAAATTGCGCTGCTTAAGATAGTCTGCTTAGCTGAAATTGAGCTACATAGGCAAAGTTGTACTGCAGAGGATTAGTATCCCTATACGGAAATGCGCTGCTAACTAGAAAAACGTGCTTCTAATCCGTTGAAGTACAAACCGGATTCCTGCGCAATGAGCGATCGCATTTGAAAACTTTCAAGCTCAACTGAACATTTTCATCGAGTTTGAGCACTTGAAATTATTACTCACGCTTAATATGCTTTAGCTCAAAGTGCCAAAAGCTTCACTCAACGGCGAAAATCAGTGAGAATCAGCCGGCTCATAAATCTCGCGGCAATGGTGAAGTGAAACGGCCCATTATTCATGAAAATCATTACAGTATTCCATCTAACGAATTGATTGAATTGTCGTTGTTGTTTCCTTCTTCATCTTTCATGTCGTTGTTTTTCTTCCACTGCCTGTTTGTAACCCGACACTAGTTGGAATCCGCGCGCCGCATGTACATTTTCAATGTTTTGCTCTTTTTTGGCCTCGTTTTCGGATTTGAGATGCGAAAATTTCCAACAGGAGGGCTTCTTTCAATTCAGGTGCACATATTCCGCGTGTCAGTTAATCCTCGATATCCCCGCAAAATCCCCTCCTCCTCCTCCTCCTCCTCCTCAACTCATTTTGCTAGTTATCAGTTTTTTTTTCAAAGTGCATCAATGTATATTATAATTGTAACAAGTCAACATTTTCTACCGGAAATTGGATTTTTTTTTTCGAAAATTTGGTGATTGAAGAGTTTTTTCCACACGTCGACGCCTCATTTAAAAAAAAATGAAATTTTCTCGCGCCAATTGTTGTTTTCCATTATGATGGATGATGGATGATGGATGATTCAAAATAATTATCGTCATTAGGTGCATTCAGTCCTAAGCTTATGCGCGCCCCGCAAGTTCATAAGCAATTAAAAATTGAGAGCATCGGGTGGGCGGCGTTGAGGAGCAGAAGTCGATGCGCGCAGTCAACACATTTTAATAATTATTATTATTATTATATTCGCCAAACCATCGAAGAAGAGTATCATCAGGCAGAAGACTGCGCGAAGCCCATTTTTGCCTATTTCTTTTCTTCGGCCTCCCCCCCCCCCATCCCTCGTAGTCGCTGCTGCCCGACAGCTCCAGCTAATCCGTGTCGATAAGTCGTCGTCGTCGTCGTCGTCTGGGGTCCAACGCGCGCGCTGCTCCTCCTCAAATGTTCTTTTTCAGGCGAAAAAAGGTAAGTTTTGGGTTGCTAGGAGAGTGGCGAGACCCTGAAGCTAAAAAGAAAGAATGCTGGCATTATATATATCCTAATTAGGCATTTCCACCCATCAAAAACTCGATAATAATGTTAGTGAGGGGGGGGGGTCTCAGACATTCCATCACTCATTCATCATCCATTCTTCATCCTCAAAAATTCGTATCGCTCATTCTCGAAAATGAAAGAAGGAAACGAGAAAAAAAATAGAAAGAAATCGCATAACTCAATCATGAGAAACAATTTTTGCAGGGTCGTTTGCGCGATTCACGCGACTCGTCCGACTTCAACGACTCGCATGACACGCTCGACGTCGTCGCGACGGCGCCAATAGGTGGAGCCGGTGGTGGCTCGGCGACGACGGCAACGACGTCCGGCGATCATCATCAATCGATGACGGCGCCCGTGTCGCCGAGTGTTCCCCTATCGGCGAGTAGCAGCCATTCGGAGGGCTGGAAGTACTCGTCGCAGAAGTTGTTGTGGAAGCTCAAACCGCGCTACATCAACTTCTCGCACGCCAGCTCGACGTCGTCGTCGACCGACTCGGCGTGGAAATCGCTCGACAGCATGACGTGGCGTTCGGTGGACGGCGCTGAGGTGGTGCTGCGCGGCGCGCGTCTCGAGAATCTGTCGGAGATCGAACGCTCCGCACTTCATCTGTTGGCGTTGCAGCGCCTCGCGCGCCTATTGCCCGGCGTCAATTTGGGCAAGCCAAAAGGTAGCCGCGCGTCGTTTAATACTGATTCTAGAATTGTTAAGATGCTCTGTCAGTGTTGCGACAGAAGCGCCAGAAACTTGTCAAGTCCAACCGAGCGCCGACGATGTCCGACGTTCAACGACGCGCTTCCGGAGTTCCAGGTAGATGCGACGAATTTGATTTGACCGACGCCGTTTCAGAGGAGAATCGCGTGTTCGGCGTTTCGCTGGCGATGTGTATGATGAACGAGAAGCGGCTCGATCAGGAGAGCCGATGTCGATCGCTGGACGACTCGACGGTGGTGTTGATGAATCGCAAGCCGGTGGCGAAGTCGGTTAAATCCGAGCCGGAGATCATCAATCATCCGACGAACGACGACCGCAAATGGTTGTACCCGTCGACGCAGAATCTCTATCCGACGAGCTCGTCGAATCCGAGCTCGCCGTCGCCGATCTCGATAATGCCGGCGACGAATCATTTGCTCAGCGCGGAGCCCGAAGTTCCGCAAGTTACGGTATGTCGAAATGAGTTTAACTGAATTGAACTCGTGTGTGCCTTCAGGGTCGATTTGCGAAGAAGACGCGTCCGACGTCGGCGTCGTTCTCGTGTTCGCTCGACGCGTCGACAACCGACGACGTCGATCCGCACGCGTTGCAGGTGCCGAAAATCGTCGAGAACTGCACACAGTATCTGATGGCGTACGGTAGGCGTCGATTGAATGCGATGTGTTGACGTCGCCCCCTCCCGATTGCAGGTCTGAATCAAGTGGGCCTGTTCCGTGTGGCCGGCAACACGAAACGCTGCCGGCAGCTGCGAAACGCGCTGGAGAAAGCCGGCGGCGGCACGGCGATCAACGACAACATGGTGGCGAACACGACGGCGCACGACGTCGCCACGCTCCTCAAAGAATACTTTCGCGATTTGCCGCAATCGCTGTTGCCCAAAGAGCACTATCAGGCTTATATTGCAGCAGCGCGTAAGACGATCACCACCACCGCCACCATTTTCCAATTTGTGCGAATTGCAGGATTGAGCATTGAGGATCGCATCGAGGCGATTCGGCTGCTGTTCGCGCTTCTCGTCTCGCCCAATTTGGACACGCTGTTCGTGCTGCTCAAATTTCTCAGCGAGGTCTCGATGAACAGCAATGATCGGACGGGTGCCGATGGCGAAACGGTGAGTGGGAATCGGTCGAGATTGTGATAAGGGCGATTGGTTCAGATTCAAGGCAACAAAATGGACGCGCACAATTTGGCGACGATATTCGCGCCGTCGATACTGCGCGCCGATCACGACAAACTGCAAGAGAGTCTCGCCGAGAATGAGCAACAGATCACGATTGTTGAGACGATGATCACGAACGTCGAGGAGATCTTCAAGATACCTAAAGAGTTGCAATGCAAGATCTACACGCAACTGCGCGAGACGGAGCCCGACCGATTGGATCGCATACTCAACCATTTGTCGAAAATGGACAGCCTCGAGAGGCAGAGTCTGTTGTCGCCGTTTCCGGCGACCGTCGAGGAGGACGGAACGGTGTCGCCGCGAGCGCATCATCGGCATTCGGACCATTCGCATATTGGAAGGCAGTCGCCATTGGCGAGAGAGCTCACTGGAAATGGACGAGGTTGGCGATTCTTCTGAGTGTCATCCATCAATTTCAATGGTTTTCAGTGAAAGTGCAATCGCAGCGAAGCGGCTCGTGGCCCTACTCGCTCACGAAGACGCAGACGAGTCCGAATCGTCCGGAAGCGACGCAGCGGTTTTTTCCGTCGGACGAGCCGCCCAACTCGAAGTCGGCGTCGGCGACACCGTCGACGTCGCGTCGCGCCGATCGCGCCGCCGACGATTCGGGACGCGATTCGGAGTTCTGCTCGGATGAGATACCGGCGGCGCGAGGCGAAGCGCCGCGATCGCCGTCGCGCGAACGCGTCGACACATTGCGAACGGCGGCGCGTAGCGGAGCGGCGGCGGCGCGCCGACGCCTTCGCAATGTCGTCCGCGCGTTTCGATTGTCGTCGGTGGCACGCAGCTCGCCCGACATTGTCTCATAGTTTGAGCATTATAAAATCAATATAGTGATGATAGCTTGAAAAGCTTGTATTCTCCCCACTCCCCTTGCCCCCTACACCTTATCAGATCTCAGATCCCAGATCTTTACCAGTGATAATTTTCAGCATACGGATTCGTGCTAACACATTCCCCCCCCCTCTTATATATTCCCCTGCACATTCCCCCCAATTCTCCCCCCATCATTCCCGTTGTCTCTGTGTTTTTTTTTTGCAAACTTCTCATTTCATTTTACCCCTATTTTTTGTGTGAACTCATGAATAGTAGGCGTTGAATAAAAAATTTTCTAATAATTTTACTAATTTTCGAGCAATTTCCCTATATTTTAAAGCTTCAATGTCAGCAAATATTGAAATTTATTGAATGTTTGAAAATGCGCGAGCTGCTCGCGAAATGCGTCAACACTCGCTTACCTGACGCATTTTTCGTTGTGGCCAATTTTACTAGAAATTCGAAATTTTTGAAGAAATCAATCAATCGAAAAAGTCGAATTCAACAAAAATTGCTGAACAAGTCAGTCATTGTTTGATTTTTCGATGAAACGAGAAAGAAAATGTCGGCGGCCGACGGCGAGTCATCGTCTAAAATGAAATTGACAATGCCCGATGAATCACATTCGCGAATTTCGAATCTGAAAAAATTTGAATTTGATTTCGTCAATGATTGGGAGAAGCCGCTGAAATAGTAGAATTCAAGCGATTATGAGAAAAATGCCAAAGATTAGTCGAGCAAAAGATGAAGGTTTAAATCGCGATTGCGGGAAAAAAGAAAGAGAATTAAAAATTTAGGCGAATTAATCTTTTGGTTTTTTTTAGAAACCAATGGGAGTTCTCGATGAAAGCCTCAAAATTGCAAAAAAAAGATTTTAACAAGTGGGCAACTCAGAATCAAAATGTGTGTAAACACGCGGCGCCCAATTGCACACTTTCGAAAATACCGTAGGCAATCAAAAAAAATTACAAATTTTGTTTTTTTTGCCGTTTTCCGATTATTTCGCAATTCGCCAACCGTCATTTGATTGGAAAAAAAATAAATTTGTCTGTCGTCTCCACACAAAACTCGCGCGTCTCCCAAACTGCAACAAAGCAACAAAAAAAGGAGAAGAAGGGCGGGGTGGAAAAAATTTCGTTTCGAAACTATTGCTATCATTTGTTTGATTCTGTTGCCGATGGTTTCGAAACGCGCGAAATTCGATGATAAAAAGTTCGTGAAATGGCCGGATTTGCCGGCGTTCCTTCAAGAAATCGTCATCTCGAATCTCGATTTTCGGACAAGGTGGTTTTGATTTCCCAAAATAATTCACTAATACATTTCTTCTTTTTTTTTTTAAATTTATTTTCCATTTGAAGAATATCGCTTTCCGAATGCTCAAAGAGTATGAGACTCATCGAAGCCGATGCGCCTTTAAATCTCAACCTCATCGAGATCACCGACAACGAGTTTTATTGCGGATTTCGCGAGAACAACGTCGGCAATGTGAGTCGTTTTTCGAAAAACCCACAATATTGCCCGTTTAAAGGAGGCGGTTCGCGTCAAAATTCGCTCGACCAACAATGGCGAAACGCATTCGGCGATTTTCATGAATATGGGCGACGACGCCGAAATCGTGTTGTAACGCTTTCAACGAGAAAAAAATGCACAAAACAAAAATCAATTTGAATTTCAGCCCGAAATATCCGCGGCGCGAGTCGATCATTCTCCGCCACACCAATTATTACGAGGCCGGCGTGCGATTGTTCGAGGATTTGCTGAAACGCTCGAAATACCGCGTCGAAAATTGCTTCATCGAAATGGTTCATTAATTAGAATCCTCATCATAATTAATTCGACTAATTAAGGCTAATTGGGATATTGGCAATTCGACGGTTCAACAACAACTCCGAGGCCTCAAAATCATGCGAATCGCGTTTTGCAGCGCTCAAAATTTACGCGACACTCTTCGAATTGTTCCCAACAATCTTGACCGCCTCGATTTATTGTAATTCAAATTCGAAATTCCGCTCTCAAAAAAAAATTTTGGTTTCGTTTTTGAGGGATCGCAATTATGGCTCATTGTCGACGATGCTCTCGCCGCAAATTCTCGGCCTCGCCCAAATCGGCACCGCAAAAACGCTGAATTGTCACGCGTTTTGCGAGCTCACCGACGAATCGTTGGCGAGTTTAAAGGCGCATGAGGCGACGTTCAGCGCGTTGTCGATCACCAACGAAATGCTCAACAATTTTATCAAGGTTATTTTTTTTTCTGGTAGTGCAATTTGATATCAATTATGGTGCAGAGATGGATCGACGGCGACGTTGCGCCAACGGTGAAGCGCGTTCAAATCACCGCGCGCAACGCGTTCAGCGTCGACGCGATTCTCAATGGCGTCGAGCATCTCATCGAGGTCGATCGACAAACAAGGTAAACAACAACAACAACAACAACAAAACGAGTCGCTGCAACTCATTCCAGCGGCGATCTCAACGAGCTGCGCCTCATGTCGAAATCGCGATCGGCGTCGATAAGCATCAACGACTCGACATTCGTGTTTCACCATCATCATTCCATCGTTTGACTATCAATAAAAAGTGTGTGCAAACCATTGACCTTCTGCTCAATTCAATGATAAGCGCCAACTGACGCCGGCCTGTCGGGTCACCTGATAACGCGTATCGCCGGCCGGTCATTCGCCCGACGAGTTGCGCATTCGAGTCGTCATGCGAACACTTCTCATTCTGCTCGTTTGTCTCGCCGCTTTTGCGTTCGCCCATTCGACGAGATCGCGTCAGCGCAATCGCTACAATCTGCGCGGTTGCTATCAGAACTCGGGCAAAGTCTACGAGCACAAGTAACTCTCTCTCTCTCATTGTTTCTCTCTCAAACTTTCGCTTTAAGACTCACACGCCGCGTTTACGAGTTCGACGAGTTCGAAGCCGACGATCTTCCCGATAATTGGGATTGGCGCGATGTCGATAGTGTCAATTATGCATCCGTCGATCGCAATCAACACATTCCGCAATGTGGGTTGAGCGTCGCGCCAAAACGCGATTAATGTGTTTCGCTTCTAGATTGCGGCTCGTGTTGGGCGTTCGGCGCGACGTCGGCACTCGCCGATCGCATCAACATCAAACGCAAGAACGCGTGGCCGCAAGCCTATTTGTCGGTTCAGGAGGTCATCGATTGCTCGGGCGCCGGCACGTGTGTGATGGGCGGCGAGCCGGGCGGCGTCTACAAATACGCGCACGAGCACGGCATTCCGCACGAGACGTGCAACAACTATCAGGCGAAAGACGGAAGTACAAAACCGAGATCGGTGTGAAGTCATTGACGTTTGCATTTCAGAATGCAATCCCTACAATCGTTGCGGCTCGTGCTGGCCGGGCGAGTGCTTCACCATCAACAACTACACGCTGTACAAGGTGACCGAGTACGGCACCGTTCGCGGCTACGACAAAATGAAGGCCGAAATCTATCATAAGGGCCCGATCGCGTGCGGCATCGCCGCCACCAAGGCGTTCGAGACCTACGACGGCGGCATCTACAAGGAGGTCACCGATGAGGACATCGACCACATCATCTCCGTTCACGGATGGGGTGTCGACGAGGAGACCGGCGTCGAGTACTGGATCGGTCGCAACTCGTGGGGAACACCATGGGGAGAGGGCGGCTGGTTCAGAATTGTCACATCGAAATACAAGAATGCCGGAAGCAAGTACAATCTGAAAATCGAGGAGGATTGCGTTTGGGCGGATCCCGACGTCGACAATCTTTAAATTCTCCATTATTATATTATTTTTTGTTCTCATTCTCTGCAATTTTGTCTGTAATAATAAAGTTCATTTAACACGAAAAATCTGGCGAACAGCGACGATGGCAAATTATCCGGGCGGCCAGTTGAGTTGGCGACCACCCAAAACATGCAAATGAATGTGGAACACCGATTGGCAGCCGTCTTTTCCATTGTTGACGACGACGCGATAGCCATCGGCGAGCTTCTCCTGTTTGGCGACCTTCGCCGCGGTGAGCATCAGTTTGCCGAGAAGCGCACCATCGCCTTCCTCGGCGTTCTCAAGCATGTTGATTCGTCGCTTCGGGATCACCAAAAAATGCGTTGGCGCTTGCGGAGAGACGTCGCGAAACGCGAGAACCTGCGAGAGAGAAAAAATAATGATAATTGAACTTTTTTTTCGAATTTTTTCTTCAAAACGCATTTCTTTCGGAGAAATTCGCCAACCTCGTCGTCCTCAAACAAAATTTGGGCGGGAATCTCTTTGCGAATGATCTTCCCGAAAATCGTGTCGTTCGCCTGAACATCTTTGTGAAGCGCGGCCTCGCGCGCCTTCTCAACTTCCGACATCGCTCGAACGCAGTGTCTGGAAAAATAATGCGAATGAAATTTTCTCGCGAGTTGGCACATCACGAAAAACCTCAAACGATTCGAGGTGTTGGCGGAAAGAAGCAAAGGAAACGCTCGAAATATCGCGCGATTCATAAAGCAAAACTGAAGAGTGGTAAAAAGAACAAACGAAATGATCAAAATCTTGGTAGAATCGTGGGCGAAAACCCAATTTAATCGAAAATGAAAGCAAAAATTTAAAACAAATTTTTTATACATGTCACAAAACATGTTTAAGGGGAAATTAAAACGCGTATACTATACAGGTTGGTCATTGGAGATTCCATAATAAACCCCTTGGCTTATCGGCAACGTCTGAACCCGTCCGTCTTTGTAAACACAAAACACTTCTGTCGACGGCCCGATTTGAAGGCTGATGCTCGCTATCGGCCGACATCTCATCGCCCAAGCCCGAAGGCGAAAATCCGCTTGGAAGCGCGAGTTCAAAAATGGTTGGAGGCGATCGCAAGGAATCAATACCTGCAATCAATTGAGACAAATTTGAGCACACAGAACACTTACATATAATCTATTAGTAGTGTACAACTTGTAAAACGTCCTCTCGCTTTCACTTAAACCGCTAGTCGTGTCATCGCTATAAAACGGTGTGACCGCTTTTTCATCCGATAGGTTCACTTCGATTCTCATCTTTAAAATCAATCACTTCCAGAGAGAGCCCGTTTTTCAAAACCTCGAGCAAATTGCCAAACGTCCGAATATTCGATTTGAGCAACTCAATTTGCGAATCGCTGTCGCCTTGAACTTTGCGGACTGCAATTTCAAAAAAAAAAACAATAAATTGATTTTCAATTTGCCAATTTCTATATTACACGCAATGTGGGTGAATGGAATTCTCTGCAACAGCTCATCTTTTATTCGCGCTCTTCTCGGCGAAATATTGAAGAACGCAACGTCGCCAACATTCACCGGCTCGCAAAGTCTAAAAATACAAAATTCTTTACAGGTTAAACCGCAAAATCAATTAGAAAATTGTGCTAGACTTACATTTGTCTCAATTTTTAAAAGAGAAGAAAAAAACAACACAAAATAATTGGATTTTGAGAAAAAAGTGAGTATTGGCGTCGTCGCAACACAAAAAAAAACATCCGCATTCACCGCGACGCAAATACTCACAATTCTGTCTACCGTATCCAAAAATTGAGAAGAAAAAAAAAACGAAATTGAAATTCTCACCCGTCACAATGGTTTTCAATCAAAAGCACGTTGGCAACGCCTTTTTTCGTCGAATACATGATGGCGCCGCCGGGAAATCTCCTCATAACCACGCAAATCACAGTGAATTCGCGAGAAATCGAAAAAAAACAAGATGGAAATGAAATATGGAAAAAAAAAGAAATCAAAACCTTGTTATCGATCGGCTCCTCCAACAACCACATGCGATCTTCGTCGGGATAAATCGCCGCGTCAGCCGCCGCTTCATACAATCCGCCGGTGCCACGAGCAACATCATCAGCATCCTCATCGTCATCGTCATCGTCAGCCAGACAATTTCTCTCCGGCGATTTCGGTTTCGACCTCAATTTCAACGCCGGCAACATCGGCTTCGCCTTGAAAACTGCAATAATTAACAAAATTGGTTTCAAAAAGAAATTAACAATTATTTTAAAACAAAATTAATAAGGGTTGGTGTCACGTAAAATGCAATTTAATTCACCTTCATGCTCAATCTCTTGCGAGCAGGCGTCATTCACAAATTGAGGCTCGTCGAGCTCCGAGTCGTCGACGACAATCTCGCCGTCGACATTCGCCGTCGATTTCGATACGAACGACAACTCGCTCGAAATCGGCGACTCACTTGATAGCTCGAGTCGTTGACGATAGCGTTGCTGGTATTTCGTGAATTCCTGAAATACAATGAGTATCCGCAAATAATATGAATGTGCAAATTGTCGTCAAATGAAATGCATTGGTCCGCAATGATATTTTTTAATGTGCAAACAAAAAACATTGTTTAATGCTTTTCGGGGGAGAGGGTACTGTAGTTCAAGCAACGTGTGCGGTTCACCGCGACGCCGAAATGCACCAAAAATAAAATGATACCGCTGGAAGATCGGTCTGATCCAAAAATGAAGCGTTATACGGCACAATTGAGCACGGCAACTCGTCGCATAAAAAATGAACGTTCTGATGAATTCGAAGCACTTTCCAGCCGTTCAAACTTGCTTGAAGCTGCGGAAAAAAAATTCAATTGTATTTCTCATTCAAATCGCTCACCTCAATGATGCATTTCTCGCCGTGCCGAAAACAATAGTTCGGCAATAATTCATATTCGTCGAAAATGTGCTCAAAATTCACAATTGGCGATATCAAATCGACTTTTTCCGTCAATCCATTCGCAACGGCTTCAAATTGAGCAGAGAGCTTGAAAAAAGAAAATTGCTTTACGGGCTCATTTTCTATTGATCTACCAGCACTTCGCCAAACGCGTGATTGAATTTCATTGGAAAATATCGGGCGAACGCCAAACTCAACGGCGGATCGGCGTCGAAATTCGAGAATCCGTCGCAATTCGAATAATCGAGAACGTATCGGCCGTCGAAATTCGCGTCCAACACGATCAGTCTGCAAATTGTCGTCGATTACCGCGCAAGATTTCTATATGTTTTTTCGCATTACTCCAACCAACGACCGACGCAAACCTCGTCGACATTCCTACTAATTCTAATAAAATTCGAAAACTGATTGCAATATAATAGATTATTCATGTGCTGGTCATGGCTGATCGCCACGACGTACCCGTGGATCCTCTAAAAAATTATTTCTTTCTGAAATTTTCTTTGAATTCTCATTTCTCACAGTGTAATCCATGCATAAAAATTGACTTAGTTCTAAAATAGTGATATTGAAATTAATTCTCTGCAACAAAAAAATTGGCAAAAGATAAATGTGTGGATTATTTTTTAAATACCCCGCCAAAAATTCACCAAAAATCTTCCAAATAAAGCGCGGAATTGTTTTATCAAAGGCAAAGTATAACAAAGAAGCGAAAATAACAATGAATCGATTATTTTTTGGCGGCCGCTTGCATCGCCTGCATCAATTTCGTGACTTTTTCCCGTTGCGCGTCGGTTTTCTTATTGCAATCCGTGATGTTCGCTTCGACTCTTTTGATTTCGCTCTCGATGAATTGTAATCGCTTGTCGACTGTTGATTTCGCCTCATCGAGATCCTGACGAACGAGAACTGCGCCGATCAACTTGAAAATTTTCGCGTCGTCGTCCATCAAATCCAATTCCTTAACAATTTTTAATTTTATCGAATGCAAAATAGCTCGCGCCACCTGTTTCACGTTTGTGCTCTCCGAAAGTTTCATTTCGAGCTCTTGCCGATTTTGCATATATTTTTCCCGGTCAAGTTCGAGAGTTTTCAGTTTGCTGACCTCTTCCTCAGCTTGCGATTGAATCTGAGTGGCAGCCATACCTGAAAATGTTGCAGATTAACACGAAATACACAAAAAACTGGGAAAATTCGATTAAATTCTAGAATTTTGAAAAATAAACGAAAAATGCGCCAGGTGCGAAACCAAATTCGCGCCAGTGATATTCGCGGTTGGCGCGTTTTCGGCAATTCTCTGCACTCTCTCATTTCACATGTTATTTTAATGAAATTTTTTTCTTTTATTTTTAATTTTTTACATTCTCATTTTTTTTGTTTATTGAAGTGCCATGGACGAATACAAAGAATTGCTGAGTGTTCTGCCGCTGACAACTGTCGAATTCGCGTTTGCCTACGGTTCAGGTTCCAATTTTTTTATTGCAAAAAAATTAATTCATCGAAAATCATTTTTAGGAGCAATTCAGCAAAAAGATGAGAACAAGGCCGACAAAATGGTGGATTTTGTGGTGGTGACGAAAGACGCGAAAAAATTTCACACCGACAATCTCTCGCGAAATCCATCACATTATAGTTTGCTAAGGTCTCAATTTAATTTTGTTTCGACGACAAACTGGGCTCCTGTTCCAGACTCGTTGGTCCCAACATGATCGAGAAGATCCAGTGCAAATTCGCGGCGAGAACCTACTACAACACACACGTGAGTGTCGGACGGCGAAAAATCAAGTACGGCGTGATTTCGCACGAGAACGCGAAGCAAGTAGTCGACACAATGCGCCAACCGACAACCCTTGATTCGTTGCAGGACCTGCTCGATTGGCGTTGGCTCTATATTGCCGGTAGGCTTCACAAGCCGGTGTTGGACGTCGTCGAGCCGAACGACGAGATCCGCGAGCTCGTCACCGAGAATCGACGGGCGGCTCTTCACGCGGCCCTCCTTCTTCTTCCCGAATCGTTCACACTCAATCAATTGATGCGCACCATCGTCGGCCTCTCGTACACCGGCGATTTTCGAATGATTATTGGCGAAGATCGAAATAAGGCACGATTTTTTCCATTCATCGACATCAAATTTTTGCGATATTCTAGATCACAAAAATCGCCGACGGCAATTTCGAGAGCCTTCTCGACGTGTACAACCCGTTGATGGGCGACGACGCGCGGCTCGCCGTGATTTCGCCTGAAAAGGTCGCGCAGGACGGCAGCACCACCGCCATCTATCATCGCCTCAATTTGTTGCCGTCGGAGGTGTTGAATCGAATCCAGTTGATGATGAATCGACGGCAGAAGCGACAGCAAGACCAAGAGGAGGTGATTTTCTCGTTGGCGCATCGCCACGACGTCGCCGCCACTGTCGAATCGGCCATCGGCAGCATCATTCGACCGGTGTCGATATCGCAAACCGCGAAGAACGCGCTCTCGGCGGGCATCACCAAATCGTTCGTCTACAGTCTCGCAAAAATGACAAAAATGCTCAAAAGCAAGTAATTTTGGTGTTTTATTATTATTATTATTATTAGTAGTAGTAGTAGTAGTAGTACTCTTATTATTTTCAAAAAAATGCAATTTAAAATAAAAATGAAAATGATTTTGTGAACCTGAGAGTCGATACCTCGTATTCAATTGCTGGGCGGTTGGGAGAAGGGGCAAGTAAAATGGGACACCAGTTTTCGAAAGGGAATGGGACGGGGACTAGAGTGGCACAACAACGAGAAATGGGGGGGGAGAGACCAATTTTTAAAGCCTGGTCATTGGCACCAAATATGGGTCATTGCTACTAGTTGACGGCACTTGAGGCGGCGGCACGGCCCTCGGCATCGTCGCGATGACGAGTCGCGGCGGCGGCGCCGACGGCGGAGGCGCTCGCGGCATCAGCGCCGACGTCGGCGACTCATACGCCGAATCGCGCGAGTCCTCCGACGACATCGTGTACGGCGAATGGCAATCGTATGAGTATTCTTTGTGGCTCGCCAACGCCGCGATCAGTTGATCGTTGTAGAACGCGCGCGATTTCGATTTTGTCGGCCGCTTGCAAGCGAGCGCGAGAATGATCAAGGCGAGCAGAAGGATGAAGACGGCGAGGAGGATCGGTATCAGAAGGCCGCCGAGAAGTGTGCACGACGACAATTCCGAAAGAACGGCGCCTGAGCAACAATGGAAAAATTGGGGAGATCAAAAAACAAACAAAATTGGTACCTTTTAGATTTTCAGGTCCGACGCATTGCGGCTCATCGATCGCGCGCAATTGCAACGCCCTCAAATCGCACGAGCACACCCATTGATTATTTCTCAACTTCATCGTCTTGATGTTGTGCCACGCGAGCAGACCCGACGGCAATCCTCGGAGCTCGTTGGCGGACAAATCGAGATGGCGCAATGGTGGCACCACATCAAACGCCTGCGGATGAATGTGGCTGAGCGTCGAGTTGGCCAACGAGAGCCAATGAAGCGCGTCGAGTTGCACAAACGATGACATCTGCAACATTTTTTTTCCCGCGATATGCAAATTTTGGTCCCTCGACGCGCACACAAACCTGAATCGTCTTCAAATTCCTCGACATTGAAATGTTGAGATACTCGAGATTCGGCAGCCCGTCGAACGAGGCCGTCTCGAGCGCGACGAACAGATTCGCCGAAATGTCGAGCACTTTGAGGCTGGGAAGCGACCAAGTGTTGCCCGGCAGACGAATAAGCTGATTCGCGGTGAGATTGAGCACTTGCAGCTGTTCGAGACCATAAAGCGCGTCCTCTTCAATGTCGCCGATGAGGTTCTCGGCCAAATCGAGACGGCGAAGCGATTTTTGCGTGCGAAACATGCCCGTTTCCAACTAGAAATAATTTAAAAATCAATAAATTATGAATTATATCAAAATGTTTGGAGGGAATCAACCCCCTGCAATTCACAATTTCTTACATTCGACAACAAATTCTGCTTCAAAACCAATGAATGGAGTGATGGGACGCTTGATAGCAGCGAGGCCGGCATCGAAAGCAGTTTATTCGACGATAAATCAAGCTTTCTGTAATGGAGAATAGTTGGCGACATTGGCAAGAAAAAAAAATGACGCGAGTACCTCAAGGACGTAAGCGGCTTTAAAACCGACGGCGGAAGGAATGAAAGGCGATTGTCGGCGAGTTCAAGGGTCTCCAATGAGCTGAGTCCCGCGAAACATTCGGGTCCAAATTGAACATCGTTCGACGAAACGATTAATGTCTGCAAAAAAAATGGAAATATGAAAAATACGTGCTCGTCAAATAGGGCGAGTTGTGTGCAAACACCGAGGCTCTAAATTGCACTACTACATATTGTCGGCGTCAAACGACTGAAGGAATGCGGGGCCATAAAATTCTCGAAATCAGTGTAGATTTAAATGTATCGTTGACTGAATATTAAATGACGCATTGGCAATAATTTTTTATATTTCGTCAAGTCGTTTGTCTTCGACAATATGTATATTCAAAGTCTCATTAGCCACCTTTCAGCGTTCTTTTGTACGCAACACAGAAACCCATATCTCTTCATTAAGGATTAATTTAGGTCGGTGTGACAAGTTGATTGACAACACCCCACACGATTCACACATAAAATGCAAATGAGTGCGAAACAGTCGAATAGAAACATCTGCCGAATATGGTGGATGGTGAGGACGAACCTTGAGATTTTTCAATTTGGCGAACGCGTTGTTTGGCAATGATAGTAGACTGTTGGATGACAAATCCAAGTATTCCAATTTCGAAAGTGTCGCGAACACGTCCGATGACAAATGGGTGATCGAATTGTTGCGGAGTACAAGTTTTTCGAGGTCTACAATAATCACTATATTGTTTCGTTGTGCGAATTCGAGAATTTCGAACGACAGGTGCCTTCGCATTCATCCCATCATTGCGCAACAATTGTCGGCAAAATGGCCCATAAATGTCAATTCGCACTAATCGCCATATAATTTTTGCGCGACGATCACCATCGGGAGGTTCGATCGCCGAGTATGTTAATCCGTTGTCGTCCTTGACATTTATTATAATAATTATCATAATAATAAAAATGATGTCGAATTGAATTCTTGAGGAAGAAGACATTTCGACGACAACAACAACTCCTACTTCAATTTCAATTGGCTCATGATGGAATTGAATTATTCCGGCGTTCCGAGACCCCCCCCCCTTCAAAATTCCATTATCCACTCGAGTTCACTTGAATGAATAAACATTCTCGCTTAATGAAATGCAATGGTCCCTAGCCAAAAAGGGGGGGGGGGCGGGATGAAAAGAATGGTTCAAAAAAAAATTGGAAAAGAAAGGACAGGTGTTGGACGGATTATGGATGACCTAAATAATTAGGGAGGATGCGTTGCGTCAGTCGAAATTTGAAACGGGACCATCATAATTGCGGTGCGACGCGCGCACACTTGTTCGACTTACTTGGATATAAACTGAGCTCATCGGCGGATAGTCGAGAAATGCGATTATGCGACAGGTCAAGAACGGTGGTCCGTGGATCGAGAAGAATCGGAACCGAACGCAAATTATGATTTCCTGAAATCAACAAAATATTCGGATTCTCGCGGTCGCGATTCGAGCAGCACTCGCGCGCCGACAATAATGATTTACAATTCGTTGGGAGACAACCATTTTATGACTTCTTTTCTGAAAAGCCGACGGAGGGAATTGACCTCCGAAAAGATTTAGATTAAAGAAATGGAAAAAAATTGGAATTTACGCGCAAAAAATGTTCAATATTAAATTGGATGAGTGAAAAAATTCGAAAAAAAATTTTTGGCTGTGGAACACGCGCACGAAAAATTGCACACATTTGTTGAATGTTGTTTTTCAAATTTTTATGCAGTTTTTGGGAAGAAAACGCAAAAATAAGCAAATTTTTTTTATATATTTTTTATTTTTAAAGATTTTTGATAGTTTTTCAAATTTTTTAATACTATAGATTTCTAAAAAAAGTTGTTCGCGTTAAAAAAAAGTTGGGTTCATTTTTTCTAAAAAAAAATCGAATTTTGCAAAAAAAAAACCAAAACCGATACCTCGACAAATCGCGATGGTCCTCTGCGGGCATTCGCAGCCGTGTTGGCACGCTTCCAGAATTCCGGCAATCAACGCCGCGACGAAAATGAGGCAAATTCGCCCCATTCTGAAAATTTGGTCGGTTTTTTTCTTTTCAACGCAAAAACCAACAAAAAAAATGGAAAAATTGAAGACGGGAATGGGTCGGGTTACTCAAGGGACCATCAAAATCGAATGAATGTTCGCGGGGCGGGCGGCCGCCGAGTTTCGACGAAACGCTCCCAAGGGCAATATCAATTTGCGGTTATCAATTTGGCACCATCTTTCGAGCCGGCAATCTTCAAGGGGGACCCCCCTCTCTTCCAAAAATTGTAAAATGAATGAAATGATTGAAAACAATGTGCGCTGCGCGGCAACGCAACACAGAATAGGACAATAATCGAGTGCGGCATACTGAGAGACCGGCGGGGGGGGGGCGCACGTCTCGCCCCGCCCACTCGCCTCTTGTCACCTGTCAGCGCGCGCAATTCCGGAAGGCGATGTTTTTTTTTTGGCGCCCCCAAACAGAAAATGGTGGTGGCACCATCTGGGTGACCTCACCAATTCAATAAAATAATAATAATAATAATAGGGGGGTGTGTGATCTGATGAGCAGGGACATCGTCCCAATTAACTAACGGTCGTCCTCCGAGCGTTTTTTTCGTCGTGTTGCGATTCCAATTAACAATACACATACTCGAAACATGTTTTGTGAATACCAACCCCCCCCCTCGAATTGTTAATCGCGGAAACTGAGAAGCAAATACAAATATCGAGAACAATATGATGAATATTCAAGAGTCGCGGCGACAAACAAAACAAAATTCAAATAAAGCACAAAAAAATTTTTTTTCTACCACACCGGTAGCCCCTTGATGACTGTTTAAAGGGGGTGGGGGCGCAAAACAAAAAGCCTACAGTATTACTAATTTTAAGGGGTGGTTGAGTTAGTCATAAAGCAAATGCAAACTTGTGACTCTTTTGTTGTTAGGCAGCATTTGCGAAAGGAAAAGTCGAAATTGTTGGGGATAGCATTTAGAAAAAAAACACACACACTCACTGTGTTGGATGGACAAATCGATAAATTAGGGCCGCGCAAATCAACCAATAATGTTTTTATCAGTGTTTTCTCAACCGGTTTTTCCCTCGTTTTCTCTATTTCGCCCGATTTGGCTGCTGACACAATCTATTGTACGGCTTCGATTGTAAATGTTTCATGTGTTGTTAATTGATATGCTGATAGACGCCTGCCACTCTTACGCTATCATCGCGCTTATCACTCCCCGCCCGGTTAGCTCAGTCGGTAGAGCACCAGACTCTTAATCTGGCTGTCGCGGGTTCGAGCCCCGCATCGGGCTGATGTCAACTTTTTTCGCGGATTTATTTACACAGCGTCGTCGTCGTCGTCCATGCTGCCCTAATGAACAAGGACGTTCCTTATTGAATTAAATCATAATTTAAGCCAATTAACGACATTGGCGACAGACATCTATTGTTTGCACAAAAACCGATATATTTGCATGGCTCGCGGTTGAGGGAATGAAATAGAGACGTTCCAGGTGGCGCCTAGAATTCATTTTTTTGATTGATCACCCCCTTGTTTTTAATGGATGAATGGGGTCGAAGCATATGCGCACGAGGAACCCGCAAATTGTCCGCAGCGATAGTTCCACTTGAGCATCGCAAGGCAGCGAAGAAAAAATTTCACGGTCAGCCATTGGAAGCAGATGTTAAATCAAGGCCGTGAAAACAAAAAGAAATATTGGCCAGAGGGTGAATGAAGCAAGCAAGACAAAAAAACCGAAAGGAGAGGGGGGGGGGTCCGACTAATTTATGCCGAAAAACGAGAAGAAGGAGGATAAAGTTGTGCAATAGAAAACATCTGCGCAAATTGAAGAGGTCCCCGGACCATTGTCGGCCCGCCTTGTATCCATCTATAGGTTAATTGTGCGCACACTATACATAAGAGCACCCATTAATTATTGTGTTTGCCGAGAATTTTGATTCGTCCCAATTTTTTTCCTTCAATGTACCAGACGGGCCCCCGACAATTGTCAAGTGGTCCCCTCACCTCTTATACCAACTGTTTTTGTCTTGTCATCCTCAATGTATACACTAATCCATCTGCGGACATGCGCGAGCCCCAACAACTCATAAAAATGTTGACGGGATAATTCGAAATTGGCCATAAATGTTTGACGGTGGGTGGGTTATTATAAGAATAATAATAATATGGGGCTGGTGACCGCCATGAGCACCTTTTTGGGCTCTCGACTATACAATGATGATAAACGGGAAAATGTTATGATGATCAAACAAGATGGAAATAAGTTTGCGGAATTACACATCGCGAGAGGCAAATAAGGAGTTTTGAATGGGATTTGCGCGCTCACCTCCTCGCAGTTAGGGGGCGGCGCAAAAAGAATGAAAAAAGCGGAAATCTGGCGGCCCGCTATACTTTTACATTTGATTATAGAGTGTATGGCGATGAGATGAAGGGCGGTGAAAACTACTAGCAGTAGATATGCATCGAATTGCGCGGAAAAAAAACGCATAAAACCGGGCATGATAAGCGTTTGGTTGGATTATGGGCAATTTTGGATTAACACCTCGCGTTTATATCATTCATTTTTTTTGCGCAATATGTCGATCTGCATTGTGCTCGTTTGATCCATATCTGCGAACATGTGTGAGGGAGTGGATTAGCACAAGAGGGTGCAGATAAATCAAAAAGATAACCATCTATGGGAGTGTCGTACCAAACTGTTATTTATTCAATAACCCGTGAAGACGACAACATAGGTGAGGGTCAGATGGTCCGCGTCAGGAAATTGCGCTGCTTACGGTATACAGCTTAAAAATTTGCGCTGATTAACTAGAATTGCGCTGCTTAGCTGAATTGCGCTGCTTAGCTGAAATTGCGGTGCTTAGCAGAAACTGCGCTGCTAAACTAAATTGCGCTGCTTAGCTGAGATTGCGCTGCTAAGCTAAATTGCGGTGCTTAACAGAAACTGCGCTGCTAAACTAAATTGCGCTGCTTAGCTGAAACTGCGCTGCTAAGCTAAATTGCGGTGCTTAACAGAAACTGCGCTGCTAAACTGAGATTGCGATGCTTAGCTGAGATTGCGCTGCTTAGCTGAAACTGCGCTGCTAAACTAAATTGCGCTGCTAAGCTGAGATTGCGCTGCTTAGCTGAAACTGCACTGCTAAGCTAAATTGCGGTGCTTAGCTGAAATTGCGGTGCTTAGCTGAAATTGCGCTGCTAAGCTGAGATTGCGCTGCTTAGCTGAAATTGCGCTGCTTACTGTTAGAAATGTGTGAAGAGAGCTGCTAATAATAATAATGAACTTCTCGTTAATGATAATATTGTACACATAACAGATAGTGCCAAACGAAACAGCGATAATAAATAAAATACAAATAGATAATTATTTATTGCCGTTTTCCCGTGATTAAAAATTACGATTTATCTTTATATTCAAATGGAATGACCAAATGGGAAAGGTGGAGCCAGCCGTCGTGGATGTGCCACGATTTATTATGTGATTTGGATGGACCCGATGACGACAATACAATGGTAATAATAAGATATAATTTATAACATGCGACACAATAAAAGAGTGAAAGACCATAATAAATTATTATGAATGAACGGAAAAGATATGAAGTAGATCAAAGAAATAAAAAAAAAGAATTGTGAAAAATGAGCAACCGTATTATTTTGTAGATGAAGTGTAGATCATAGGAACCATTTGAGATTTGTCAAATTTGCGGCCGGCACGCCTTGGACCAATTCGATTTGCGGCAGGTTCTCATAAAACGTCGTATTGAAATCGGCAGGTCTCATAGAGCGCTGTTGAATTTCCTGCAAAAAGGTCATCGGCCCAATTCTTATTATGCAGTGGCGACGGGGACGCCGGCGCCCGGTTAGCTCAGTCGGTAGAGCACCAGACTCTTAATCTGGCTGTCGCGGGTTCGAGCCCCGCATCGGGCTGATGCGTTTTTTGCGAACCTTTAGAACACAAACAAATGCTGTCGGCGAGTCTTCGACATAGAATTTGTGGCCGACGAGCTCCTTGGAATTGAGCAAACTCGGAAGATCGCCAATTCCAAAAACACAAGAGCCGGACTTGAAGTGACCTCAATCTCATGAGGTTTAATCAGAAATTCTGATATTCAATTTTACCATGACAAGGGTCGCCTTCCCAAATTTGTCGCCTCGAAATGTAATAATTGCGAAACACCAAAGACGTTGTCGATTGGAATTTGTCCAAAGTTTCCATCAGCTCACTTCCATTAATTGCGCCGAAAATTGGAAAAACTGCAATTTTTGGCTTATTCGAATTTTCCAAATGTCCTCAATACCATCCTTATTCGCCAGCACGGTAGCCCAAAAACTCTCATCGGCGATTTCAGTGCCTTCGAGGAATTTGAGCAGCCTGTGGACCATTTCACTTTTTGTCATATCATTCGCAGATTCGCGCGGAATTAGAGCCGATAGAGACGATTTGAATAATTTCAGCGGAAATTTTGAAAGCTGAAAATCATTGTTGGCAAAAAATGCTTGTTTTTTGAAAATTTTACGTTTTGAGTTTTAGCTCGTTTCGCCTCGTATTTCTTAAATTCGAAATTCGGACTTCCACGCAACGCTTTGAATATTCGGACCATTTCCAAGTTTGTCTTTAAAGGCGCATCGAATCCCGAAAGATACTGTAGATTGCGGAAATTTAGAGAAAATTTTAGTTAACAAAAAAAAAGAGCCGAACAAACCTGAAAATATTTCCATGGCACTTTGAGTGTCGCCAGAAATTCGAGACATTCATAAACGGAATTAATAATCTCAAAACTGCCCCAACGAATTTCCGGACGCTTCTAAAAGACTTACCAATGATTAGTTAGAAAATTTGAGAGATGGATTGCGAAACAAAAAACGGACCATCAAATAAACATTAGGATAGCATTTGCTGACATCCTCGACTAAATTCTGAAAATCCAATTTGCTGTTGGCGCCAACGGCAATGCAATAAACGTTCTGCGGATGATAGAAGGCGGAGAGCATGTAGAGGAACTGCAATAAATGCAGTTGACCCGATGTCGGACTCAAACCCGCGACACTCAGATTATGAGGCAATTGCTCTACCGATTGAGCTAAGCAAGCGCGAATGGGGTCGGCAACAAATGGCTTATAAGTGTTGACAGCGCGCTCTCACCTGTATGGGCGACTTGTAAGCAACAATTCCATACGCCAATGGGAATTCAGCTTCTTCTCTCGACAGCGGCACAGAATTGAAGTGAAAAAATCGGCGAAACGCCATGCACCTTTAAATGTCGCCATTCATCGTTTCGAGACCCCCAACCCAAATTACAAACCTATCGTTTGAATTTAATAGAATATCTAGAATCGCTCGAGAATTCGCGTGAAACAACTTGTCGAACTCGTATTGATGCGTCAAATTGCATTCCAAATTTGGGTATAAATTATCCGGCCAAATTTCGTCCAAATTCGCATGAATTGATATATTATCGCTATATATGTTCAATTTTTTTGAAAAAAATTTAAATTAAAAAATTTTACCTACCGATTCGCCACATAAACGAAATAGAAAAATAGAAAAAATGAGAAAATCGCGAAAATCGAGTGATTCGCGCGCAAAATTCGCATCGATTTTCGCGTTCTGCAACGAAAAACGTTTGTTATCACACGCAATATGCCTTATCATAACAAATGGAGAAGGGGCGATGTGTGCACAAAACACATCACTGATTTTAGTTTTGAAAAGGAGTCTATACACATCGAGAAAAAATTTGTTTATATAGTATTTGTTTATTCTAGCACGACCAACGCCTTCCACCGCTTTTGGAATCTGTATATAATAAACAATATGATTACTGTGCGAATATGTAATTATTCTTCATCACTGATTAAGCGCGACGCAAGCATAATGGAAGCATTGTGGGAAATCTGTGGAACGGAAGCATAATGCTTCCATATAGGAAGCATAATGTAATTCTTAGTGGCTGTGGAAGAAATATGGGACGAATATGGATGGAATGAAAACGGGATGAATATGCTTCCGGTGTTTGCGAGCCGTGGAACGAATATGGATGAAATATGGATAAAATAATCATATATCATTACACATTATACAATTGGCGTCTGGACGGCAGACCAAGACAATTTCTAGAAAAATCAATACAAAAAACTTATGCTATCATATAAACAATGAAAATTTGAAAATTACATGATACACAACATACGAAATTTAGCTTCTACCATTTAATGACTTATGCTACTCAGATTTATGTTAATTCAGTCAACTGTCTATTTGAGTGGGGATCGGCACATAAGCGAACATTTGGAAAAATGCGGAATTGTCGACGTACACACTTGTTGAATGAAACGCGGAGATTGCCATCTTTGGAGGCGGTCGCTTCTCGAGCTTGTTCCACGATGCGCTGTGCGATTTTGTGACGATAACGAACACGTCTTTTGCGATCAAAGATTTTTGCCAACACAGATAAACGGCGGCATAGGCACAATGGAAGCATAGTGGAACGGCTGTGGATATCATAGGAATCTTATATGCAAGTTATATGGAAGCATAATGGAAGCATTTTTTTGCGGAACCGCGTGTTTCGTATATGGAATGAGCCGTATGCCTTCCATATGGGCAAATAAGAAAACAATTTGATTGGTGTATTCAAAATTTATTTCATATTAACACATTTATTTAATTTAAAATAAAAAAAAACAACAATGAAATGAATTTCAATTAAGATATAATCAAACCATTAGTTACTGGCAACTGCCGAACTATTCGAATCATTGTCAGTACTGACATCGAGCGGGACGCTGTAATAAGTAGAATTCATAGCGTTCACACTTGGTTAAAAAGCCGTGTTATGATATTTTTAAAAACAACAACTATTGCTAAGAAATTAGGCAAAAGTCCTAATGCACATTTAACCTATCCTTTTTTCGCAAATATACGCTTGTAGAAAGAAACCGTTATCGAATTTTTACCTTTTCTCCACTTTTCCTAGTCGCTACACTTCGATTATAATGGGCCTATTAATTTGAAAAACTTGTAAACCATTGTTACGTAAACTAAATTTTTCGAGAAAATACAATCAGTTTTTTTTACATCAATAATTTTCTTAAAAATAAAAATAATTTATTTTTATTGCATTTTTGGAAACCCTTTAGTGCACAAAATAAAAAGTGAATTGGCGGAAGAAAGAACAACTCCAAAATTTGAAGCAAAAAGGCATTTTGGTTAAAATTTCAAAGACATATGAATACTCACATCTGAGGGTTGCTGGTAGAATCAAGCAGCTTCCTTAATTGCGCCGCGAGCGCTTCCGGCGCTACACCAAATTTCCTTTAAAGTCGTTGGCGCATTCTATCGCTTAATCAAATAAATAAATTAATAGTCATAGCTCAAAATCTTACAGAAGATTATCCATGACTTCTCGAACCATGCGTAATGCTTTCGCTTTGAAGTCATTTGTCGGTTGTTGCCCAAAGCCATGGATAAGAGCATCTGTAATATAGATATTTGCAATAAAGTATAGGATCTTTATATAGTCGGCGTCTGGCGACTTCTGTACTAGAGCCCCACTTAAAAAGATAAATGCCACTGAATGATATTGGTACGAAGGCTGTACGGCAATCGGAAATTTCGGCGATTCGGCTAATGGCAAATTACCGATCGAAATTTTCTTCGGCAATTTGAAAAACCGGCAATTTCGGCAATCGGCAATTCCATTGCCGCACAGCCCTGATTGGAACCAAATAATCAACAAGCTTTAAACTTAGGAAGTACTTTATAAAGACTTCATTGCGCATATTTTTCTAATTGAAACCATTTCTGGAGTCGAACAGGCCAATTTTTGATGATAACAACTTACAAATTGCGCGTACGAAGGTTTAGGAATTGGCGTTGATTTTGTTGTTTGTGAGGACTGTGGAGAAAAATTTTTTTTGCTGAGTTGGCGAGTAAATTGGACTATCTGGATCTGAAGTGTCGAGCGAATTTGGTTCCATGTTAGGGACTTCTGGTTCTTTGTTATTGACTTCTAGAGCAGTTTCAGTTATATCTGACAACACTCTCGATCTTGTCTTCATCTGTAAAAAATTTCAAAACATTATGTTTTATTAAAAGAAAAAAGCGAGCGATAATAAAAAATATGTTAAAGTAAATAAAAATAAAACGGATTCGATGAGAAATTAAACACAATTCGATTGAGAAAATATTTAAATTCGATTTTAAAAGTGTCGGAAACGATTTGAAAACATCGTATCGATTTTAAAATTTTCGAATGATGATAAATAAACATGAAAATGATAAACATGAAAATTTTTCCTTTATTTTTTAAAAACATTTTTCCTTTAATTTTGAAAAAAATTCTTTAATTTTTGACAAAAAAAAACACAAAAAATCTTGAAAATTCATTGAGAAAAAGCAAAAGGACAAAAATTTTGAAAACGAATTTCGAAAATGTGAGGCGTGGCCGCATTGTGCAAAGCGGCGCACGGTTTTGCAATGCTGCGGCACGCCTCTTCTACGCGCGTCTGCTACCAGTTTGGAGCAAATTGTGAGTAGTTTGCGATGCCAATTTCGGAAAAACCGGCAAAAATATATTAATACGACTAAATTGTAGTTGGCAATCTTTAAACAAAGTAAGGAACAGTTGACTGAATTAACATAAATCTGAGTAGCATAAGTCATTAAATGGTAGAAGCTAAATTTCGTATGTTGTGTATCATGTAATTTTCAAATTTTCATTGTTTATATGATAGCATAAGTTTTTTGTATTGATTTTTCTAGAAATTGTCTTGGTCTGCCGTCCAGACGCCAATTGTATAATGTGTAATGATATATGATTATTTTATCCATATTTCATCCATATTCGTTCCACGGCTCGCAAACACCGGAAGCATATTCATCCCGTTTTCATTCCATCCATATTCGTCCCATATTTCTTTCACAGCCACTAAGAATTACATTATGCTTCCTATATGGAAGCATTATGCTTCCGTTCCACAGATTTCCCACAATACTTCCATTGTGCTTGCGTCGCGCTTAATTAGTGTAACTTGCATATAAGATTCCTATGATATCCACAGCCGTTCCACTATGCTTCCATTGTGCCTATGCCGCCGTTTATCTGCGTGATTATCAATTCATAAGGTGAAAACTGCTAGCAAAGTCGAATCACAGCCCGATGCGGGGCTCGAACCCGCGACAGCCAGATTAAGAGTCTGGTGCTCTACCGACTGAGCTAACCGGGCGCTGTTGACAGCCACGCTAATGGCGTTTAATTATTGGGGGCACACACATCACACTAATTGCCAATGACACACAACAAGCGGCACATCGACCGGCCACTCATTCCGTCGAAATGCTTGCGATTCTCCTATTCTCGACAATTGGCGCCTACAAAATTGGCGTGCCGTCGCCATTCGAACACCAATTGGCGCCAATAATCAACGCAATCGATCATCGCATTCAAGTGGTTCCCTACGATATTCAGCCATTATTTCGAATTGGCGATGAAAGTCGAATTCATCGAATTCTGTCAATTGTTTCATTTTTTGCAGTTTGCGTCGCTGCCAAACACGGCATCATCGGAATCATATTGCCGCCGGCGATTGGCGGAAGACGGGCGGCGGCGGCGATCGCGCGCAGCCGCGCCGCCTCCGCCGCCATTCCGCACGTCGGCCTCGATGATGTCGGCGTCGAGGCGGAAGCCCGCGCGCGCGCCGCCGCCGAATTCATCAAAACCGAAAAGTGGACGGAAATTGTGGCGATTTTCGAGCACCCTGATGGTATCATAGACATCCCGCCCCAGCTCTCATTGAGATTCCAGAGCTTCTCGGCGTCACCGATTTGATAACCCTCGGCCATTTTCATCCGAACGCGTTCACCACACAATTGGTTCGTCTCAAGCACGCCGATGAGTTTGGCGTCGAGCTGAAACACATCAAAAATCGGCTTGGTAGGAAAGCAAAAAAAAACATTTTTTTCCTGTCACCCCCCTTTAAAGATCGCTATCGTATCGTGTTGAATATCCCGTGGCGAAAATCGCTGCGATTCCTCCAGCAGGCGGCGAATCTCTCAATGTGCGGCGTTCTCTATCACTATGTAATTCTCGACGCGGTAGATCAACCAAATGTGATCTAATGGGTTGCCTTCGCTTCAGGACCTCGTCACACACGATCTCAACACGGTGGCGGGCATCGATGATTGCAATGTGACGAGCTTCGCGATGTTCGATGTTCGCGCAAAGGAGGCGCGCGAGGCGCGCGCGCGTCTCGCCCTCCCGATTACGGTAGGTGATCGCGTCGAGACCCTCCCAACACGAATGCCTACAGTATGAAATAGCTATATGGTACGACACGATTGGCCTTCTTTTGCGTTCGCTCAACTCGATCGAGTTTCGCGCGACGCCGAAATGCGGCGAGATTTGGCGCCACGGCGAAATCGCCATGGAGTTGATGTATACGGTAGATGGTGCAATTATCGGGGCGGCTCAGGTTTAAAGGCGCATGACCTACAGAACGCCACGTTTCGCGGCATCACCGGCGAGTTCTATTTCAACGCCGAACGCCAACGACGCAACTACACGCTTCACGTCTACAAGCGAACGAATCATGGTGGCCTACAGTAACCTACAGTAATATCGATTTTGTTTTTTTTTTTGAGAGCTCGAAAAATACGCGGAATGGAACGAGCACACGAATCGAATCGTCTCGTCGACGCGTCGGCCACCATCATCGTCGTCGTCGCCGACATCATCAAACGTCAGCGAGAAGTTGTCGTTGGAAGGACGCCATCTGAAGGTCACCGTCTACCTCGAGGCGCCGTTCGTGATGATTCGCCGCGACGACGCCGCCTACGAGGGCTACTGCATCGATTTGTTGGCGAAAATCGCGGCGCTTCTCAAATTCAACTACACGATTCGGACGGTGCACGACGACGCGTACGGCACGCGCGGGCCCAACGGCAAATGGAGCGGCATGGTCGGCGAACTTCAGCGAGGCGTCAGCATCACCGCCCAACCAACCCATCAAGTCATGCTTCATTTTCAGGAGGCCGATCTTGCCGTCGCCTCGCTAACCATCAGCTACGGTCGAAGCGAGGTCATCGACTTCACCGTGCCCTATATGCATTTGGGCATTTCGATACTATTCAAGAAACCGCGTCCCGACGATTCCGACTACTTCCGATTCCTCGATCCGCTGAGCGCGCAAGTCTGGATGATGACGTTCGCCTCATATGTCATGATTAGTGTGGCAATTTGGCTAATTGCCAAGTCGGCGCAATTTTTGCCCGCCATGATTGAATGTGACGCGGGTGTTTTTTTCAGAATCAGCCCCTACGAGCAATTCGAGATGGACGCCGATGGGACCTATCGAAACACGGGCAACCAGTTCGCGTTGCGCAACGCCTTCTGGTTCGCCGTGTGCTCGCTGATGCAGCAGGGCAGCGAGCTGTGTCCGCGCGCCGCCTCCACGCGCCTCATCACCGCCGTCTGGTGGTTCTTCGCGCTCATTCTCATCTCGTCGTACACGGCGAATCTCGCCGCCGTGCTCACCGCCCGTCGAATGGTAGGGGGGGTTCGAAATTGGCCGAGCTTAAAAGTCGCGGCGCAGGTGACGCCGATCGAGAACGCCGACGATCTTGTGGCACAAACGAAAATCAAGTACGGCTCGTTGGGAGGCGGCTCGACGATGTCGTTCTTCAAAGAATCCAAAATCGAGACCTATGAGCGAATGTGGCAGGTGATGTCGAGCCAACCGGGCCTTCTTGTGCAATCATCGGCCGAGGGCATCAAAAAAGTCAAGGTACGCGATTTGTCGTCAACTCTGATGTTTCATTTCATTGAAGACGTCCGATTACGCGTATCTCATGGAGTCGTCGATGCTCGAGTACGCGGTGGAACGCGATTGCGAGCTAATGCAAATCGGCGGCCTCATCGATCAGAAGGGCTACGGAATCGGTTTGCCGAAAGGCTCGCCGTATCGCGAGCTCATTTCGACGGCGATTCTACGCCTTCAGGAGAAGACCGAGCTCACCGAGCTCAAAGAGAAATGGTGGAAAGTATGTTGGCTTCTTTGTTTTGTTTTTTTTTTTCTCCGCACACCAATTTTATTTGGCAGGACAAAAGTGTGGTGTGCGAGCAGTCGCGACGCAAAGATCAGGACGACGGCGAGTCGATCGGCGGCATTTTCGTCATTCTTGTCGTTGGACTCGTCCTCACAATGATTCTTGTGATATGGGAATTGATTGCGACGCGGCGAAATGCCGCCGCTGCCGCCGCGCGATCTGCAAGCATTATCACAATTCCGACGATTCGCCTCGATTTTTTTAAGTAGCGCTGTACGGTGTGAAGGGATGTCTGCCGACCACCGCGACGCACTATTACACCATTGTTTTTGTTTATTGCAAATGAACAAGTTTGATGCGCATGTTTTCGATAGTACGGTATATGATATCACATTGCTAAAATCGAAATTGGAAACAAATGTTTGTTTTTGATGATTTTATATAGACTTATTCATGAAATATAAAAATTTTGTCTGCAGGTAGCAGAAAACATTGAATATTTGATGGATCTCCCTGATGAGACAATGTGTGGGGGGGGGCGGAATTGCCGAGGTTTCAACAACGCCACTCCGGAACCCTTTTTTTTTCTTTTTTGATTATTGCCGCCTTTTTTTTGTTTCTCCAACCCATTCAATAATTAATTATTTCAGTGAAATTAGAATAATGGGCGACGGGAAAAGCCAAATACTCAACATTCAACCATCGCGAGAGCTCGTTTTTCAAGGCCCATTCACTGATATCGTCACCTCGTATATCACGCTAACGAATCCATCACCGAAGCCAGTGTGCTTCAAAGTCAAAACCACTGTTCCCAAGAAGTATTGTGTTAGGCCAAATTTCGGTATTTGATCGCTTCAAGAAAGACACTATTTTCAAGTAATCGTTTTTTTTTCCTCAGGATTGATTCATGCTGGCGACAAAAAAGTGATAACCGTGATGCTTCAGCCAATGGATGAGCCGCCATCAGACGCCGTCCGCCATAAGTTCATGGTGCAATCGTGTTTCGCGCCCAGCGACGGCGTTGTCGATATCGATTCGGTGTGGAAGGTGGTCGAGTCGAGCGATTTGATGTACAGCAAACTGAAGGTAGTGTTCGTCAACAAAGAGGGCAAAACGGAGGAGACCAAAAACGCCGATGGCGATTCGTACGCGACAGTGGCGCAAGTCTCGTAAGCGATTTTTGATCGAAATTGATGGATTCGTCGATTATTCTAGGGATCTTGACGCCGGCAACACATCGCAACAGGACTCGGAAACGATTGCCTCTCTTCGTCGAACCCTCCAGAAAACAATTGATGAGAAGGAGTCGCTTCGTACGCAAGTGGAGTGTTTACATCATCAGATCAACGAGCTGTTCCAAACAATTCGCATGCTTCAGAGGAAAAAGGAGGCCAATCTTGCCGTCGCCGTCGGCGGCACACTCGGCGAGATTCGTGCGATGATGCTAATCAATTTCAATTGTGGCCCATGTTGTCCCGAACATCATTGAATAAAACTGTTGACAAATTTTTGATTCACTACCTTATGCCAATATAGTTTTGAATAGTATAAAAGTCACGTGGGCTTACTGTAAGACGCGCCGCGGCCAAATGGATACGCAGCGCGTATTGCAAATGTTTCGAAAATACAACTGGGAATTGATTTTGCGATTTTTCTCAAATATCAAATGGACGCCGAACATCCCGAGCCATCCAAGTAACAAAAAATGCAAAAATATGATGTTCAACTTTTCAATGCCAATGAATTGCAGGGATTATTGCGGAATCGTCGAGGCCTATCAATTGGCGACGACAGTGACCAGCATGAATGTTGAGGATCTCAAAAAGCAGGTTGAAATCGAGGAGCTTAATTTGCGCTTGAGCAATGTGTATTAAATTATTCTTCTTTTGGAATCCGATGAAGACCGCTTTCAGGTCCGTCATTGGAAGTCAGCAATTAATTGACATCGAGCCGTGGCGAGAGCTCGTCATTCTCAATAACAGCGATTCGGCGAATCTCACGCTCAACAATCCGACGGGCTTCTCGATTGTGTTCAGCGTGTGGTCGAACACTCGCGACAAATATTGCGTTCGTCCAAATATGGGTATAAATGAAAATGCGAATTTGGAAAAAAAAATTGGAAATTCCAATTTGCTAGGCGAAATTGGCGCCGGCGAGCAGAAAACTCTCACCGTCATTCATCGTTCACTTCTGAAATCGACGACTGATGTCCTGATGGTGGAATCGTCGATGAATCCCGAACACCATCACGAATTGAATGGTCCGTTCGGCGTTGTGACAAACAAGGTCAAAATTAGATTTTGCGATGATGATAATAATAATAATAATATGGAATCGAAAAGGCCAAAACCGTAAGATATTTTCAAAAATTTGAAAATGATACCAATTTTTCTCAAGAAAACCCGCTTGCTCGTGCGTCGGCTGCCTTCAGAAGACCCTTGACATCGTCATTGACGAAAGGAACCATCTTGAGGAATATCTGAAAATCTTGAAGCATGAAAACGAGACAAAACTAGCGGAGTGTCTCGAAGAAAAAGAGGAAGACGAGTTCTTCATCGTCCACAATTGTATGAATCAGAAATGTCCGCAGTACACCGCCGCGCAAAATTGCACACAATAATCGGCTACCCGTTTATTCGACAAGATCATTAAATACACGCAATAAAATGTTGACAAGTGTGTTGTTTCGAGTTTGGTTAGATTATAATAGACTATTCGTCTTGATTCGAAAATGGTCTCGGCACGAATTCGGCGCGCTTCTCGTACAGATCAATAATCGCCAGTAATTGGTTAGCGTTGTAGCGTTTCTTGCGATCCGGCTGGAAGAAAAAAAGGAATTCTAGAAATTTATTTTTTTTTTTCAAATCTACTTCAAGAGCCAGATATAGAAGGTCCGAGTAGAGAATAAGAAGATCGCTGTGAACGCCATCGGTCCGAAATCGCTTCTCATCGAACGCCGGCCGACAGAAGCAGTTGCCGGCGTCGTTGTCGGCCGAATTCTCGGCGCACATTTGGCAATTCACAAACGGAATCAGATTCGAGAAGTCGTTGACCATATTGAAGCCGAAGCGGAGCATTAGAATCTGAAATGCGAAAACCACAAACGGCGACGTCAATTCGACACGCTGAAATCGTACAAATCGACAAAAATCGACGGGCGGCCGAAATTCGGAAATTGTGACGGCGATGCCTTCGAGCGCGGCGACGTCTTCGAGCGTTTTCGAGCCCAACAGGCACGCGAGATTCATGATGTTCTCGGTTTCGTCTTTCGGCATGAATAGCGGATGTTTGAGGCCGACGAGACTCAATAGACACAATCCGGCCGAGAAGATGTCGACCGGCGAGCTGGTGATGCCGACGCCGAACAGCATTTCGGGAGCGCGAGCGCCGGGAGTTCCGACCTGCAAATTTTGACTTGAAACCGTCGTTGGTGTGAATGAGGAATTCACCATATGATAATGGTCGCGTCTCGGTTTCCCTTTGCACAATATGCATGCCGACGATTGACGGCGGCAATTCTCGCATTCGGCATGATTCCCAAACGATTTGATAGCGGCCTCCTTTAATTAAATAATTGGCGCCCTCCAATTAACACAATCGAATTTAATTACCCTCGATATTTCGGTGTCGGATCGATCAATTGTTGCGAGTCCAAAGTCGACTAATCGAAAACTGTGGAAAATGTTTTTTTTTTTTTGAAATTCAAAAATTCAAATACCTATTTTGAGCTGGTGAGTATAAAAAATTGGATAATTTAATGTCGCGATGCACAAAATGATTCATATGAAGGTAGGAGAGGGCGATTAGCAGATTTTTGAAGTACAATAATGAGAAATTCGCGTCGCTTCGCGCGTACATCAGCAATTCCTGAAAATGAAAAAGCAGGAATTAGTTATTCAATTAAATGAGAGGGGGCGGTCTCGCGCGTTTAATTAACTGATACTGTGCAGTGCGGAAAATACTCCATGACAATCGCCACCGAGCCGAGCACATGGAAGAAGTCGTAAAAGCGGACGATGTTGAAATGGCCGCCGAGCTCGGCGAGCAATTGGAGCTCGATCGAGAGCATCGACACCTTCTCGATGCGTCGAATCGCCTTCACCGCCCGCTGCTCCTGACTGGCTCGACATTTCGCGTTCAGCACCGTTCCGAACGAGCCTAAATCAATGTCGCGTTGTGGGAGTTTCGTTTTCGCGTGCCTTCTCCAATAATTTCGCTCTCAATTTGATATTTCGTTCGAAATTTGCTCTCGCGCAACACTGCACAATTCTGCTCCCATTTTCGTATCCGTTCCATACAACTGAAAACAAAAATAATGATTTGATTGGTTTTGTTTGTTGGCAAGGGATTTAAGAGGGATATCATTGGAAACTCCAAAAAAAAAAATCAAATTCAAATTTGCGCCGATTTTGCGCGCATCGACCGCAAACACCGACGCGATTGCGGACATGCATTTTACCTGACGCCAGGTTTGACGCACACATTCGAAAATTTTCCGACAAACGCCCCCTTTTTTTTCTGCTCGAATTTTTTTCCGTGATTCACGCGTTTTGTGTTATCAGCTAGTGAAAAAAAGTGTCATTTAATCGACGGTCTTATCAATTATTTCGAAACGCAGTGAAATGAGAGAAAAAATAAGCGTCTTCCTCCTAAATTTTCTCATTCTTGGGCATTCGCAACGCGGTCATAAAACTCAGGCGCGGCAGTGGATATATAATAAAAATTGATGTCTAATGCGCTAGTACACTTTTTTACGAAATCGGCGAAGGAAAAAAAGACAAAATTCGATTTTTTGGCGTCTCGTGTTGTTTTTTTTTGTTTCACCCAATAAATAAATCGATTCGTTCATCACATGCCTCCTTAAATGGTGGTCCCTTTCTGCATCGCCCCTAATTTATACTCTCATTTGCTCTCAAACGACGCGCGCCTCCCAAAAAACTAGGACGTCACCGCGCGCTGTGCACAACGACCAATTCCTCTGCGTCGCTGCCCTCGCACAACGCCAACACCAGGCTCTGCTTCTCTCGCCGCAACCGATTTTGTCTTTTCGAAATACGCGCCCATATGGAAAATTGCCGAGGTTTCAACAACGCCACTCTGGAACCCTTTTTTTTCTTTTTTGATTATTGCCGCCTTTTTTTGTTTCTCCAACCCATTCAATAATTAATTATTTCAGTGAAATTAGAATAATGGGCGACGGGAAAAGCCAAATACTCAACATTCAACCATCGCGAGAGCTCGTTTTTCAAGGCCCATTCACTGATATCGTCACCTCGTATATCACGCTAACGAATCCATCACCGAAGCCAGTGTGCTTCAAAGTCAAAACCACTGTTCCCAAGAAGTATTGTGTTAGGCCAAATTCCGGTATTTGATCGCTTCAAGAAAGACACTATTTTCAAATAATTGTTTTTTTTTCTTCAGGATTGATTCATGCTGGCGACAAAAAAGTGATAACCGTGATGCTTCAGCCAATGGATGAGCCGCCATCAGACGCCGTCCGCCATAAGTTCATGGTGCAATCGTGTTTCGCGCCCAGCGACGGCGTTGTCGATATCGATTCGGTGTGGAAGGTGGTCGAGTCGAGCGATTTGATGTACAGCAAACTGATGGTAGTGTTCGTCAACAAAGAGGGCAAAACGGAGGAGACCAAAAACGCCGATGGCGATTCGTACGCGACAGTGGCGCAAGTCTCGTAAGCGATTTTTGATCGAAATTGATGGATTCGTCGAATATTCTAGGGATCTTGGCGCCGGCAACACATCAAATAACCATTCGCAACAGGACCCGGGAACGATTGCATCTCTTCGTCGAACCCTCCAAAACACAATTGATGAGAAGGAGTCGCTTAACAAGCAAGTGCAGAGTTTCCAGCGCGAGATCGATGAGCTGCGCAAACAGAATCGCACGCTTCAGAAGATTCAAGCTGGCGGTGGCGGAGGCGGAATCGTCGATGGTCAATTGCCGAGCGTTCAGGTGCTGCTAATTGCCGTCGCCACACTGCTAATCGGATTGATTCTTGGAAAATTAATGTAAATCTCTCTATTGCATCCACCTTCTTTTCTGGCCATTTTCTCTTCGTTTCAAATATGTTTTTTTTTTCGCTGAAAATCCCCCCGTTTTTGGTATCGTCGTCACTTTCGTTTTTGCCGTTGATTGCGTCAGGCAACTCGGCCCCAAATGGTGCACGAAGACAAGACACCCGCCATTTATTTATTGGTGTGAAGGGAGACAGCGAACGAGAGAGAGAATGCGTGTTCGTTCACCAATTTGGTATTGTATTATAAAACCATGTGCACCATAGAACACCTTTCCTTTTTTAAGGACCCTACGAGCCCCGGTACTTATCGTTTGTTTCTTTATGGATTTAGACCATTCTTGTCAATACCCAACCCCGCACCCCAATTTCCGATTAATTCAGACCATCAGCGTAGACAGAGACAAATCATATGCAATTGTTCTATTTTTTCTTCTTTTTTAAAGTTCTTCGTCGCTGTCAAAAAAGTTTAATTTTCCCTTTGAAAGTGTACAACATATGATAAATGTTTCAGTTTTTATTGCATTATTTTCCTACGGTTTATTCATTACTCTGTTCAAATTTCAGAGATAATTTATTACCTTTATAACTCGTTTTTCTTTTTAATTATTTTGACTTCGATTATTAATTTTTGCTTTTAATTTTTCAGGTTCAGAACCCTCTTTAAAAACATCAAACAATGGCTCCAAAAAAGGAATCCAAAATTGACGATATGGCTTCGGTCGAGTTTGAATCTTCCGAAGAGGTCAATGTGGTGCCGACGTTCGATAAAATGGGATTGAGGTAATCGGTGTTGAGCTTTTCCCCAAAAAATGATTGAATTCTCGTTATTGCAGAGAGGAGCTTCTCCGTGGAATCTACAGTTATGGTTTCGAGAAGCCGTCGGCGATTCAGCAGCGCGCGATTGTTCCAATCCTCAAAGGTCGAGACGTCATCGCCCAAGCGCAATCGGGTACCGGTAAAACGGCGACGTTCTCGATTTCCGTCCTCCAATCGCTCGACACGCAAGTCCGCGAGACGCAGGCGCTGATTCTCTCGCCGACCCGTGAATTGGCCACTCAAATCCAGAAGGTAGTTCATTTATAATATGTATTTCCGATTAACCCGTTTTTAATTTTAGGTTGTTCTCGCGCTTGGAGATTATATGAATGTGCAATGCCACGCGTGTATTGGCGGAACGAATTTGGGAGAGGACATCCGCAAACTCGACTACGGACAACATGTCGTCTCGGGAACGCCGGGACGTGTGTTCGACATGATTCGCCGAAGGAACTTGCGAACACGCTCAATTAAAATGCTCGTGCTTGATGAAGCCGATGAGATGCTCAACAAGGGTTTCAAAGAGCAGCTCTATGACATTTATAGGTACTAATTAGACTAGGAAATTAACTATGCTAATTATACGTGTATTGCTTTTCCAGATATTTGCCACCTGGCGCGCAGGTTGTCTTGCTGTCTGCGACACTTCCGCACGAGATTCTCGAGATGACAAGCAAATTCATGACGGATCCGATTCGAATTCTTGTCAAACGTGATGAGTTGACATTGGAAGGCATCAAGCAGTTCTTCGTGGCCGTCGATCGCGAGGAATGGAAGTTCGACACGCTCGTCGATCTCTACGACACATTGACGATCACGCAGGCGGTGTTGTTCTGCAACACGCGCAGAAAGGTCGACTGGTTGACCGACAAAATGAAGGAGGCGAATTTCACGGTGGCGTCGATGCACGGAGACATGGAGCAGAAGGACCGCGAGCAGATCATGAAGGAGTTCCGCGCGGGCAACTCGCGAGTCCTCATCTCGACCGATGTTTGGGCGCGCGGTTTGGATGTGCCGCAAGTGTCGCTTGTGATCAACTACGATCTGCCGAACAACCGTGAGCTCTACATCCACAGAATCGGCAGATCGGGACGATTCGGACGCAAGGGTGTTGCCATCAATTTTGTCAAGCAGGACGACGTCAGAATCCTTCGCGACATCGAGCAGTACTATTCGACGCAAATCGATGAGATGCCGATGAACATCGCCGACATGATTTAATTGTGCTTCTGTTATTGTTTTGATTTTCTATGTTTGGAAAAATGTTTATTCCGTTTTACACTATTTTATTATTTTTATATAATTAATCAACTTGCGAACCGTTTTTTTCTCGTTGTTATCCTATTTTATTAGATCTCGCCTCGCAAAAAAGAAGAAAAAGACGACAAAAAAACCCATAATTTTTTTTGTGGATGATAATTATTATATTCAATAAATTGTGCTACTATGCGAAATGGAGTATTTGCTGAGACCCCTGTGTGTCTGACTTGGGTCGGCCAGACGGCGAGAGTCGACGGCGGCGGGTGGTCAGCGTTTGCGGGCGCGCAGCTCACTAGCCATTCTGATGTTTTGTTGCTTTTTCGCACGTTGTTCTCGATTTTCGTTTCAATTTATGCGATTTTTGCGAATCGCAATGCCCAGGAAATTGGAATATTGATTATTGGCTCGGCAATGTGCGGAAATTTGAAATTTCCGGTTTTTTAAATTGCGTTTTTCAAACAGAATTGATGGTTTTGGGTGCGAATTGAAGGAATTTTGGAAAATGCGAAATTTTTTTTCAAACGAAAATTTTGCCTTCAAAAATAAAAATAGAAGGTATCAGAAAAGTTTAAATACTCTCAAAATTTATAAACATCAAATTATTCTGTGTAAAATTTTGTTTCAAAAATTTCAGCTGGATTTTTTTGAGATTTTCAGATGTCCATTTTTTCGAGGTAAAAAAGAAAAAATCGTCATGGTTTTATAGAGACGCAGACGATCAAAGTTGTACGCTAGGGCGCGTTTGCAACAAGCATCATTGTAAAATTTTCATTCGAATCGCGTTTTTTTTTGTCGTTTTTCCTCGAAAAAATCCGCGTCTCTGTTATCGAACAATCTGAAAATCGTTTGAACGTTTCCCTCTTTGAAAATCGAGTAAACGCGAAATACACTCGCGTTCACCAATTTCCATTTTTTTTCGTCGATTTTCACGTGACCCAAAATAATGCGTCTCATCATTTCGAATTGCAGGTGGAATTCTATGGATCGTCGCAAATAAATTGGTGTCGAAGAAGAAGAAGAAGAAAAACGGCCGAACGAAAAGAAAACGATGGGAATTCCGTACGAGCGCGAGAAGACCCAATGCTGCGGACAAAAATGGTGTGTTGGTGATCCGTGCGGAATTGTGTGCGCCATAATCACTTGGTAAGCTCTCAGCATCCCGAATTGCCTAATTAATTAATTAAGGCTTTTAATATTCTACGGCCAGGCGTGCGTGTTCTTCGTGTTGATACATTCATGGGAAGAGCACGCCATTCATACGGCGGTGAATCTGATCGTGTTCGAGTGCTTCACGGTGCTCGCCGTGCTCAGCCACATCAAGACGATGCTGACGAATCCGGGCGCGGTGCCGAAAGGCGACGCCACCGACGAGATGATCGAACGACTGCAGGCGGTCAACGACAACGCGGTCATCTACAAATGCCAAAAGTGTTGCAGCATCAAACCCGAGCGCGCCCATCACTGCTCGGTGTGCGAGCGTTGCATTCGCCGAATGGACCATCATTGTCCGTGGGTCAACAATTGCGTTGGCGAGGCGAACCAGAAGTTTTTTGTGCTCTTCACGGTAAGCGATTTCGAGTCGAAAAAAAGTCAACAGAATTCAAATCGAATTTCTTTCAGTTGTACATAGCTTTGTTATCACTTCATGCGCTTTATTGGGGCATTTGGCAGTTTGTCAAGTGTGTCGGTGTCGAATGGCAAAATTGTTCGGCGCTCGGACCGCCGGGGACCACACTAATGCTGGTGAGTGCGATTCATGATTGTCGTCGGTTGAACGCGAATTTGCAGATATTCCTGCTATTCGAGTCGATTCTGTTCGCGATTTTCACATCGGTGATGTTCGGCACACAAATATCGTCAATTTGTAGCGACGAGACCACTATTGAATCGATGAAACGGTAAAGGAAAAGCTGAAAATTCGAAAAATTTGACGAATTTTTGGGAGTTTAGAAACGCGTATGATGACGATCGACGAAATCGAAACGATTCGTGGAAAAATCTCCAAATGGTGTTCGGCGGACCATTCAGCATTAAATGGCTCAACCCGCTGGCGGACCCGTTCCTCGCGAGACCCACCTATGAATATTCTGTATAGAAATGTCTGTGCCAGTTTTTCTATTCTCAAAACACAAATACATAGATTACTTATTAATTATTATATTTATTGTTCGAACATTTTGTACTGATGAGTGCTTGTGATAATTGCAATTTAAATTCTAGTGTTGTCCACCCTCCATTAAATTTCTTTTGGTTCGATGATTTCCAAATAATTCTTTAAACAAATCTTGAGTACGGGTCCCATTCTTTGTTGTCGTCCTGCAATCAAATTTTTAACATCCAAATTAAAAATCATCGTTGTTCAAATAAATATTATTCGATTTGTTGTGAGCATTTTTTGCGATTGTTCTCAAATATTCGGCAGTAGATCATCTTTTAAAATATTTTGACTTGTGATTTTCTTTTGAATTGATTCGAAACTGGCCAATTGACGAATTTCTAGATGTCATATGTGCTGGTACGGGATGGTGGAATCGAAACGCCGCGAATATTCGAGAAGCTTTTGCGACTACGAAAAGCCGCACTGATTCTCGCGTTCACCGCCGCTTATTTCTATGCGCAATTCGCGTTCGCCACCGAAAATATGGAAATCACTCGGTTCTCATTTTTTTTCTCCTGAAAGAGAGAATTAATTAATTAATTTTTTTGAAGGATTTCCGAACATGCATTAATGCCGGGTTTGGTCACTTCAAAATTTGATAAAGCGGGATTGGCATCAAAATTGACACGAGAACTTGACAATTTGCCAAAGTACGGTTTGTTTTTTGCTTGAAATGCACAAATTACAGCTAAAATTGAGAGTTTTCGACGAAAAACAAAAGAAGTGAGAAATGCGTTTTACGATAAAACGCGGGCACGCCGTCAATGGTGGAGTGTCGTTGCTATTCTTAATTTTTTATTTTTTTGCCTTGATTCGTTGACTTTCAATCGAATTTAGGTCAAAATCGCAGCAAGAATTTATTTGCGAAAATTTTCTTCGTTGGGGACTGTCATGCTACGAGCAGAAATGGCGGACAAACATCGCTGCTTTTGTAATTGTTCACATCACAAAGTGATTTTAGAAAAAAAAAACGAATTTTCAGAAAACTAGCGGAACGAACGTGTATGGTTGGGTTCGCGCTGGCCGAGCGGACGGCACCGAAGCGCAACTGATCGCCGTTCAACTCGGCGCTCGTCGGACATCGGCAATCGCTCACGTCATGGCGTTTGCGAATTTCGCGAAAGACCAAGTCTACTGGGCGCGAGACATTGTGTTCGTGTTCGTCGAAAACGCCGTCGGAATGGCAGCGTTTCTCGACAAATATCACAATTTCGCCAACAATTCGGCGATCATCGCCGACGATTTGAACGAGCAGAGCGGTCTGCTCATCGCCGGCGTCGCCTATGAGGTATCGTCGCGTCGACGACAGACATCCGATGAATGCGATGATTTGTAGGCGTCGCGAGTGGCGATCAAGAATCGCAAAATTGCGACGGCGAAAATGAACGGCGTGAATGGTCTTCAGGCGAATTTGGATCTGTTCAACGGAATCGCCAAAATTTTGCATTCGCGCCATCAAACCTACGCGGCGCTTTATGATTATCTACCGGATTATGTGGGTTTTTAATTATTTTAATATTTTTATGTGTCTTCTTAGTGCTAATTGTTGCACCATTTCAGCGCCATTCGACTGCCAACCCGTATTTGGTGCCACTTCGCGCGATTTATACGCAAGCGTTCATCGAAATCGAAGGGATCCACAGCGTCATGGGCCTCTATGGTGTCCAAGGAGTGACCATTGGCATTCCGGTGGAGTTTAGTGAAGCTCAAGCGGGACAATTGATTGAAGCGGTTGCGAGAATGCTGAATAACGCGTTGGAACGACTCCATCAAAGTTATTTTATGTAAGAAAATTGTTTTTCGATTTTTTTTTTAAACAAAAAAGCGAATTTTTTTAAGGTATATACTTGCCGATGACATTCATTTTGCCTCGATTGCCTATTATATGCCAATTATTGGACTTCTCGGCGCCCCATTGCTTTTGAATGTTCGTTTTGCGTCAATTTAATTTCCTTGGGGGTTTTTTTTTCGCTATGTGAGATTACTGTAGCACCGAAAATTGTGTGCGGTGTTTGCGGACGCACCGTACCGTACCCTGACCCCCGCTCGTGATTTTTAATTTTTGATTTTTTCGAAATCGAATTCAATCGCGTGATTTCGCACGCGAGAACTTCTCACGATTTTCGTATTTATTTGTTTTTCGAGTACATTTTCATTAGATTTTTTTCAATAATTGCGCACTCCGCACCCACCCCCCACGCAAAAATTCTTTGATGTACTATTGAAATTTTTTAGGCCTACTACGAATGGCGTCAATTGTCGACGCTGGCGATACCGACGCATTTCCTTCTCCTCCATTGTTATGGTTTCGGAATTTACGCGATAACGACATGGATTTACACAAAAATCGGCGATGAGTTCGGTGTGCGATTCGCGTGGCCGCCGGTAAATCCGCCGGCAGGAAGTGAGAGCTTCTCGCTGACGCACGCGTTTCTCATTGTCTCATCGATGCCCGTTGGTTTGGTTTTTGCGAATAGGTGAAAAGCTTGTCGCAAATGAATTGTAAAACGTTTTTTATTCAGACAACCCGAATATGTGTCGAGCCTTCGCTTGTTGTGCCAATTGGAAACCGCGCTAGCGCTTGGATGTGTGTCCCTTATCAATTTCGGTCTTGCCGCGATTTGTGCACTCTTCGCCGTGCCGATTGTCACGTTGATGACATTCGAAGCCGCTTCAAAGTAGGGCCATTTTGTAGTCGTCGAGTAGCCGATACGATTTTCTCGACAAAATCATTTCCAATTGTGGCCTCGCGCGTTTTTGTTTGACGAAAGCGGAAAAAAGAATACACTTGGCGGATTAGTTGTTGGATGGCGAAGTTTTATGGGAAATTTGCAGAAATTTGATACCATCTATATATATATATATATTTCAAGCATTTTCAAATTCGAAAAAAAAGAGTTTTGAATCGAAATGTTGGCGACAGGTGTAAAATTGAACGCTTTTGGAATTGAATTGGCGAATTTGAGAGCAGGTGTAAAATCGAATTGCAGATTTCGCGCCTATTTTCGCACTTTGGCACTCGTTTTGGCGAATCCGATGACAATCATCACCTATTTGGCAATGAATATGGGACCAATTTTCGAGTACGCGGAAAATTGGAAAAGTTCCGAACTTGAAATGGTAATAGAAAACAATTGTTTCTTTTTCTTCTGTTGATGTCACTTTTTGTTTTAGGCCGAAAAATTGGCGGCAAGAATGCTGAGAGAGAACGCGCTATTCGGATCACATCATATCATACTCCTCTGCTTTATCGTTGTCCCGATTTGGAATTGTCTATTTAGTTGCGCTTTGAATTTTGCTGACGAGCCGGGTCTTGAAGCGAAAACGAAAAAGGACCAGTGAAATTGATTCGGACGCTTGTTTATATCAATATAAATGTATTTTTTTAATGCTAGAAAATCTCATACAAATAATGGATTTAAACGGCTTACCCGAAATGGGAATCGAATTTGCCTTGATTAAAATTGTCCTATTTTCCCTGTTCTCCAATTTTTTTGCAGAAAAACAAATTGAAAGCGGAAAAAAATCCGTAACACGTCGTCAGGTACGATGCATTGCGGACTTTGATTACATTACATTTGACGACAATTTACAATTTCACGCCTAACATTCAAGCAATTATTTCTTGGAAAAATGAGCAATAATTATTGGGCGTCAGATTTCGGCGGCAGTCGTCATTCCACTAATTTTATTTTTCGCCTTCTATATAGACATATATAGATACGTGTTGTAATAATACTTTGTTTGTAAAAAAACCTGTTATGAATTTTTTTTGGTCTAAAAATAGTGGATTCTCACGCCCTAACTCATCGTTGTCGTCAAATTTCAATTCGTCGTCCCATTAGTCTACTATTTGTGGGATTCGTTCTTCGTTTAAAATGAGGAAATCTCAAAACTTATCCTCGAATTTGGGCGGAGCCAAACATCCCGCCCATTGCGAATATAATAAGCGAAATCCATTTGCGGCGCTCAGTTTTTGCTCGTTCTCGCCGCTCACTTCTTCATATTTCATTCATCGCTCCACATTATCCTTATTACTTACTATATATAATATATATAGTTAAGGAAACGATGTCGCCGACAAGCCAACTCGTAGTGTTCATTCTCGCACTGGTCGCCGTGTTGTCGCACAGCATACCACTACGCGAATTGGTAAGTGCGAACGAGAGTGAGAGAGTGAAGCGCGCTCATGTAATCGGCGAGTAGTGCAGCCATGGTCAGTTGGCTGAGTGGTCTAGTGGTATGATTCTCGCTTAGGGTGCGAGAGGTCCCGGGATCGATCCCCGGCTCAGCCCCATTCATTTTTGTGGCGGCATATATTTGTTTTCAGGTTGTTCATCAGCGTCCACTCGATGACGCTGGCGATATGCTCTACTTTATGGATGAGAATCGATCCAAACGGGGCGCGGAGCTTCTCAAACGACGCGCGGAGATCATCGAAAGGAATCGCTGCTTCTTCAATCCGATAACGTGCTATTGATGATGAATTGTGAATAATATTGTAATAAATCCGATCTCCTCTCTCTCTCCTCCACCCACACCTTTCGATTTCTGTTAAATGAAGCGCTGCCATCAACCCGAATTTTTCTTTTCGTTTTTGTTGAGACATGTTACACACGCACGAAAAAAAACATAGAATTGATATGGCAAAAAAAATCGGATAAGCGATCGCGCAACCAAGGTTTTGATAGTGTTGGGCGGCGGCGGTGGGCGCAGACATCGGCGAACTCGATTTTTTGGTGTGGGCCTGGGTGAGGTATTTAGGCGGGCACGAATTTATCATTAGCCGGCTTCATCATCATCATCAGAATGTCGTCGTCGCTATCAACGACGTTGGCCGTCACGTCGGCGTTCTGCGGCATCGCCATCATTTCGAGTCTCGTCACCGTCGGCTCATTGTTCTACGACGCGCACGGATTTCTCGAGACGAGCCTCGAGGACATCAGCGAGTTCAAGGTAGGCGCGTATCGTTGTTTGTCATACGGTAGCAATTGTTTTCGATGTGTGCAGTCGTACGCGAACGGCGCGTGGGACGACATGATTCGAGCGAGCGCGCTCGAACGCAAAAAGCGAGAGTCGGAGCCGTCGTGCGGTTGCTCGCACTGCTCGCAAGCCGCCAACAATTGTCCGCCGGGTGAAGCCGGGCCGCCGGGCGCACCGGGCGCCAATGGCGACGACGGCGAGCCGGGCGCGCCTGGCAAGCCGGGACCCGTTGGTCCGTCGCTTCCGTTCGACGCCAAAGATTTGCCGTGCATCGCGTGTCCCGCCGGCGAGCCGGGACCACAAGGAGCCGACGGGCCCGCCGGACCACCGGGACCCGACGGGCAGCCGGGCGCCAACGGTGCCGACGGTGCGCCGGGTGCGCCGGGCGCCGACGGCGACGACGGCGATGCCGGCGGTGTTGGCGAGACGGGCGCGCCGGGACCCGCGGGAGCGCCGGGCGCGAACGGCAAGCGGGGCGAAGGCGCCGCGGGACCCGCTGGGCCGCCGGGACCGCCGGGCCCATCCGGCAACGACGGTGCGCCGGGCGAGACGGGCGCACCGGGCGCGCCGGGAAGCGAAGGAATCCGAGGAGCGCCGGGCAACGATGGCGCGAAGGGCGTCGACGGCGAGCCGGGAAGCAATGGCGCCGACGGGGTGCCGGGACCCGACGCCGCCTATTGTCCGTGTCCGGCGAGAAGCAGCATCGTCGCCAGCAGCGCCGAATCACCGAAAATTTATTAAATTCCACATTGATTGTTATTTGTTTCACAGAGTTTATAAATTATTTTCCGAAAAAAAAAATACGATTTATTAGATTTAAAAAAAATTAATCGAAATTTAGACTTGAAATTGTTAAAGCGGTGTTTGCACCGAATGCGCCACACCTTACGACAGATTACGGAGCGCCATCAAATCGGCATTTCAAAACAGCCGATTTTCACTTTAATTATTCGCAAATGCACAAGCTCGACTTCGAATTCGACGCAACCGCTGAGAATCTTTGATTTTCTATCAATATCCATCTGAAAATGTGTTGAAAATCAGGAAAACCCATGAATTTTCGATCGCTCACATCGGTGAACGCGATGCAAATTCCGGCGATGTGTTCGGCTTCGGGTATCGGCACCGAAACGCAAATCGGCGGCGGATTTCGAATCGAGATCTCCTGTGTGAAAAAATGTCCGTCGATACCGATCGACAAATCCAAACCAATTGTGACGGGATTGTACGTGGCGTTCACACAAACTACAAAAAAACTCGATGAAGCTGAGAATTTCCGGAGAAAATTGACCCGAATGCTTGAATTTCGGCAATTTTGTGTTGATGCAACACGCGCAGTTGCCTTTTACGCAATGACATCCTCCGGCGTTCTCCTCATTCTCGAGAATCGCTGCAAAAAAGAGGCGCGTTGGCGATGGAGCGCACTTGCTGCACCTATCCTACTTTTCTGGAAATTGCGGACCGAATTCGACATTTTCAGCGAATAATCGCGAGTTTCCACACTCTTATGCGTTGATTCATTGAAACGCGGTTTGCGAATAATTTCAAACTCTGGAAATGTTGCGTGCAATCGCGTAATATTTCGCAACTCACCATTCTCGTCGAATCGATTCCATTCGAGAATAAGCGCGTCGGTTTGGCTTCGCGTCGAGACCCGCGCCGCATACGAATGGCTTGTCAAATTTCGAGCTTCACCTATTAGAATCGCGTCAGAATTTCGGTCGACAATTTTGAATTTTAATGGAACCCCAATGGAATTCTGTTTGAGTTTCAAACGGAATTGAAGCGATTGCCGGACTTCCGAAGCATTTCCAAATAGAAAAATCGAGAAGATCAGGAGAATTGTTGGCGAAATCATTGCAAAATGAGTATTTTGCGAGAGCCTGAACATCTGTCGCCACATGACCCGTCTGCTCATTAATTTGGCACATTCGCCAATCTATTAGTCACTTCCTTAACTCAATTCTTATAATTTCATCAAACATCAAAAATCGTTTCTTTTTTTTTTGCGAGTTTTTCGCCGAACACATTTCATTTCTACCAACTTCTTCGTTTTTTTTCCACATAATTCACTCGATTTGTCATCTAATTTGCGGTTATATGAATTCTTCATAATTTTCTGATATTTTTCCCAAAAATCTACGCTTCAAGATTCGCTGAAATCGCCGTTTTCCCATGAAAACACGACGCGCGCTGATAAATACATGAGGCGGCGGAAAATCGCACATCTGAACTAGTGCTACCGTACCCCGGCGCGCCTTGAACCCGCGCTCTAACGGCGAGCCGAGTTTTCTATTTTCTTTTCCTAATTTTTTTCGACCCCGTTTACGAGCAATTTTCACATTTTTGAATAATTCTTTTTTCTAGAAATTGAAATGTCATATCGCGCTTTTGTTTTTCTGTGTTTTTTCTTGAAATTCTGGTTTCTTTGCCCGTAAATTATGCTTGAAATTATTTTTTTACAGGAAACTCAATTTTTGTGGGTTAAACAGGTCAAGATGAGGTGAGTATTTCTTTTATCTATGAAAATAGTATTAACATATCTTTTTTAATGTAAATTAATTTAATTTCTTTAAATTATTTTCAATAACTTTAGAAATTATTAGCTTTTAAAGCTTGAAACTCCTTAAGCTGTTATAATGAGATGTTATTGAATGAAAACTTTAAGAGTGTAAAAAAAAGTCGTTGAGTTTCTTCAGAAATAATTCTTGACTATTTTGATAAAAACTTAGTTCAATGCCGTGGCATTTTTTGGCGTAAAAATTTTTAACCGACTATTTTTGATCGAACAATTTCAGGAATAAATTCACAAATGTTTTTCTAGCAACTTGTTTATTCATTTTTTTAGCAACTTGCGCCTGCAAAAACGTTTGGCTTCGGCCGTTTTGAAATGCGGAAAGCACCGCGTCTGGCTTGACCCCAACGAGGTCAGCGAGATCTCTGGAGCCAACTCCCGCCAAAGCATCCGTCGTTTGGTCAACGATGGATTGATTATCCGCAAGCCAGTCACAGTCCACTCCCGCTTCCGCGCCCGCAAATACGAAGAAGCCCGCAGAAAGGTAATTTTCAAGTGAAATCTTTCCAAAATATAATTTTATTTCTAGGGACGTCACACCGGTTACGGTAAACGCAGAGGTACCGCCAACGCCCGTATGCCAGAAAAGATCCTCTGGATTCGCAGAATGAGAGTGCTCAGAAATCTCCTCAGAAGATATCGTGATGCCAAGAAGCTCGATAAGCACTTGTACCACGACTTGTACCTCCGCTCCAAGGGTAACAACTTCAAAAACAAGAAGACCCTCATCGAGTACATCTTCAAGAAGAAGTCTGAGAACAAGAGATCTAAGCAGCTCGCGTATGTCTTTGTTTATTCAGTTCCGGTTTATATCAATCATTTTTAGCGATCAAGCCCAGGCTAGACGTGAGAAGAACAAGGAGAGCCGCAAGCGCAGAGAGGAGAGACAGCTCGTGAAGAAGGCTGAATTGTTGAGAAAGATCTCGCAGAGCGAGAAGACCATCGCCGGAAAGTAAATTCTCATTGAATCACTTACGTCGTTTGTTGTTTTCGCTTTGTGATGTCAATAAAATTATTGTTATCTGCGTGCGAACTCCAAAATAAGATTGTTATATTTGTTAAACTGTAGCAGAGTCCCAGCTGAACTGAAAGTTGTACCTGAAATTCTATCGCATGGCACACAAACACCAACACGAATTGCATTGAAAAAAATTAAGCAACAATTGCAGACTATGCGGTATTTCTAATAAAATTAGATCAAGAAGTCGCGCGTGAACACATTTCCAAAAAATAAAAATCGATAAATTGGAATTCAGTTAATTTCTTCATTTTCTGCGGGTCACTCTCATACTCATATTCATATTATTCTTCATTTGGCCTCCGCTGAGTTTGCTGTTATGCGAATCGAGCTACATCCATTATTCAATGTCAATCTTGTGCTAGGCGATTTTTTCAATGTCGAATTGGAAGAGCGTGGATATTATCAGGTAGAAGATCAGATGAGCACATCGGAGTCGACAATCAAAGTTGCAGATTCGCGTCGTCCCGAAAAACTCGTCCGAATTCTTCTCGCTGGAAATAGTACGCGATGGGGATGAGACGCAGACAGCGAGACAATCAAACAGGTTGATAAAATTACCTTGAGAACACACAAAAAATTAATTTCAAACGAGAACAAAAAATTTAAAGGACGGGCTCGCCGCGGAGTCCAAATGATCTAATGCCGGCATGTGTTCAAAACGGCGTCGGAATTAGTCAAACAATCGAGATAACCTATGTCGACGAGGTGTATAATTTAGGTTGGCGGGCGTCCGCAAAAATTTCCAACGGATCATTCCATTTTGAATTTTCAGAAGACTCATTTTGCATTGCTGTTCAACTTCAAGCCACCACCAACTTCAATGAAGTCCGATTTCTTGATGTCGATCTGGAAATATGGTTTTGAGACGAAAATCAAAAAATCCAAAATCCGATTTGCTTTTTTTTTTTCAAGGTTTATGGATCGCTATCGTCCGCCGCGTCACGAATTATTCCAGAAGCTTGCCAAACAACAAATTCGAATACCGTTGGACGCGACGCGATTGTGCTCGGCGGCGCGCAGTTTGTACTTTGAGTGCGTCAATGTCGGCGCGTTGACGATGTCGCTTCACGCGTCGCTGGTGATGATGGCGACGCGTCGACGCAAACCGTCGCCGGACACGGTAGGTCGTCGTTGTGCGACGACGCGACACTCATTTGCTCGTTGCAGCCGCTCGCGAAAAACTCGAAACTCAAAAAGTACCATTCGGCGGCTTGCGAGACGCTCCTCAACGCCACCAAATCCATCGAGGAGTTTATCAAAAATCATGCGAGTTTGATCAAAACCACCGTCTCGATGGGTATTTTTTGCGCCAAAACCGACGGCGGGATTTTATTTGTAAATTGCAGATGAGATTGACGTTGAACTTGAATTGAAGGCGTTGGCGGCGAATTTGGAAATCGCCGACGCGCCCTGGATTCGTCTCGAGACCGACTGCAGCGAGTTGAGCTCGCGATTGACGTTGATCTACCAGCAAATGCTCATTTTGTTGGGCAAATCCGCCGGTTTCTGCTCTTTGTTGCGCAAAATAGAAGAAAACAATTTTTGATTTTAGAAATTCGCGCTCAATTATTGGCCGATTACGACAAACAACGACGCGGTGTTCTCAGCGAGGCGTTTTTTTGCATCGACAAACCCAAAAACGAGGTGATTTACAGCATGGCGGTTAATTACACCGAGGTGAGACTTAATTATCCCCAATTATCTTGATTTTTCAAAATTTTCGTCTGGAATTTCAGCTTTTCGCCATCATCGCAAAAGCGAAATATTTGCAAATGTTGCCGAGACCGACGATTTTTTGCGCCGACGCCGACTCGCCGTCGAATTTGTGGTAATTTTTTGCAAATTGAAATTTTATTGATTGAAAAAATTAGAAAATCGTCCCAAAAACGGGGTGTGCGCCTTTAAACACTATATAAATTTTTGCGATGCATAAATTTGAAGGAAAAATCGTTCGCAAAAGGAAAAAAAAACACGCAAATTTCTACTATTTCAATCGAAATTTGAATTGCCGCCTCGAAAAAAAAAATGCGATGGTCCACAATTAGTCAATATGCACGTTTCTATTTGTTTTTGCGATGGTAGGTCTTGTGGCGATTTTTTTTCCAATGCCTCCAAACGGTATTTTTTTTTTCGATTTCCAGCTCCGTCGTGTTTGAGGAGTGCTTCAGCGTCGCCGAAACGCCGGAGCCGAAGCGCGACGCTTGTAAGCCGTCGACGGCGAGCGCCGCCATCGCCATCAGCAGCAGCACATCGTCGGCGAGAAAATCGGGCTCATTCACCGATCGCCTCAAACGCGAAGCGTCAAAATCGTTGCGAATGATCGCGCCGCGACGCAAAAGTGCCGATAGCGCGCAATTGAGAGCGGCGAAACGACGCGACATTCCAAAGAGTCGAACGTCGACGGCGCCGTCCGTCGAAACGCTCGTTCTTCGCGATGCCGACGAATTGCTCGGAAGGGCGTCGGCGGCCGGAAACGCGGTCTCGTGTGTTCCGGCGTCGCAATCCGACGACGACGAAATTGGCAACATTGAGAAGATGAGTCGGCTCGAGGTGAGAGTGAGCACGATGACGCCCTTCCATTCTGTATATGCTTTTTTTGTTTTGGTTCTAGGTGATCGAGGCTCTTCGGCCGTCATCGTCAGCCGACGACGTGACGCAGGTCGGCTCGTCGGAGTCGCAACTCCGACAAGTCCATTCGCGCGACATGATCAAAACGGTGGAATTTGTGCGGGCTCGCGAGGCACTGAAATCAAAACTCGCGCAGAAGCGCTACGACGGCTGGTTGTATAGTGAGCGGGCGATGCGCGCGACGCCGCCGCTTCAAACCTCGCCGTTGTGCGTCGAATCGCTGAAAGAGATTCGGCAGACGGGCGGCAACGAGTCGACGCGAACGCATCTCGTCGTGTTCGTGCACGGTCTCGAAGGGAGCCACGAGGATTTGTTGCCGTACAAATGCGCGTTGCGGCAGGCGATCAATAGCCACTACTATTCGATGTTTCGCGACGGCGCTCATGAAAATGGTACGGTAGCCTCTAGCTTTTTTTTATATGAGATCTTGCAGATGCACCTTATCGAGTACAGTACCTAATGAGCCGCGCGAATCACTCGGAGACGTGGGCGAACATCAAAACGATGGCGCATAATTTGTTGTGCGAGATTCGCGAGTTTGTCGAAGAGTATCCGGGAAGTGTGCACCGTATTAGGTATTCATTTTTGTATTTCAATCAATCAATCAGATCCATTTCTCGCTTCAAGTTTCGTCGGCCACTCGCTCGGCGGCGTCATCGTTCGATCGGCGGTTGGCGTGTGCAAAGAGGTGGCGATGGGTTGGCTGATCGGCAAACTCCACACGCTGCTCACCATCAACACACCGCATTTGGGACTCGCCTACGTCGGCCGACACGTGCACATCGGAATGCAGTTCGTCAAATGGTGGAAGCGGTCCGAATCGATCGAGCAGCTCGCGTTGCGCGACTCGCTCAATTTCACCCAATCGTTTCTGTATGAGTTGTCGGCGAATGATGCGCTCGCGCAGTTTCGCAATGTTTTGATGATCGGCTCGCCGGGTGAGCTCGAAACTTTTTTTTTTCTTTGGGTCTTGTGTGGAAAGATTCGAATTTAGTATCGCGTTAGGACCTCATTTTTTTTTTGATCAGACGATGCAATAAAAAAGTAAAAATGATTTTGTATTTCCGTGATTTAATGGGCTTTTTATGTTTTGGGAGAAAATGTAAAAAAAAAATTGTTTTATAGTTTTTACCCACAAAAAAAACAATGATTTTTTTTTCTACAATTGGCGCGAAATTCAAATTTTAGTAGTTTCATTTTTCAACAAATTTACATTTCGCTTCGAGACCCTGAATATATATTTATATGTGTGAATATACATTTTTTTTGCAGACGACATGTTTGTGCCATCGTGCTCGGCGCTTCTCGAGCCGTCGCGACATTCGATTCGCGACCTATCGGCTCTCGGCTCCGCCTACCGCGAAATGCTCTCCAATTTGTTGTCGTCGATTGTGAAAAGCGAGAAGACGAAGAATTTTGTGCGCTACGTCACGTTTCACCAGATTCCGACGGCGAGCTCGAATCGATTGACGGGAAGAGCGGGTTTTGAGAATTAACCAAAAAAACAACGCGAGTTGAAGAAATTTGATGATTTTTGCTCATTTTAGGACATATCGCTGCCGTCGAAGACGTCGTTTTCATTGAGAAATTATTCTCCGTATCGGCCGTCAAGTATTTTGTATAATTAATTAATTAATTATTTAATTATTTCATTCCATTCATTAATGTGTGCTTTCTTCTTTTTTTCTCTCTCTCCCTCTCTCTTTAATAATATCTCTTTCTTGCCGATTTTTTTCCATTTTCTTCCCTACTAAATTATTTGAGTTTCATCAGGAATTGTGTTTTTATTTTGTCTCGAAAATGCGGTTTTTGAAACCGCGATTTTCTATTTTTGAAAAGTTCACATTTTTTTGCAAATTTTGAATTCAGATGAAAATTAAACATAAATTTGCGATGTGGAAAATGAAGAAATTGAATGGAGAAAGTAAGTGGTTTTTTTTTTGTTGAAAATCGACTGCAAAAAAAATGTTGAATGAAACTTTTCAACCTTTTTATTTTTCTAGACGATTCGGAAATGGTTTTTTTTTTCGAAAATTGTTCATATTTGCGTTTTTTAAAATTTTTTATAGGGAAATTCTAAAAACGTTAAACAAAATTAGAAAAAAGAAACATTTTTTCCTTTTTTTTTGAAAGTTTCTCTATGATTTGCTTTTTTTGTCTTTTAATTAAAATTTAATTTGTTAAATCTAAAATATTGATTTTCACTTAGTTATGGTGAAAATAACTGTTGTACTGACTGTTTATAAAATAAAAGTCAAATTAGAATCGATCGCGGTGAGACCTTTGAATGGTTTTATTAAAAGTGCATACTCTTTTTTTGGCCTATCGCGGTTAGCTGTATATGAAATTTCGTTTCAGGACCACGTCAAATTGTGAAAAATCAGCCGACATTAATAGGCGGTCCGAATGATAATGGTACAAAGCGTTCGGCGGTCGATGAGAGAATTTCGACGACTGTCGAAAAGTCGATTCAGACGAATTCGGAAGGCGAATCGACGAAGACGAAGAAGAAGAGGAGGAGGAAGAGGAAGAAGCGCGATCGCGGTGAGCAGTTCGCCGACGCCGAAATGATTTCGAAGAAGCTCGAGCAGCAACACCAACAAAAGAGGATGAATGGCGAAATGAAGCCGATGGTAATTAATTGCCCTTAATTGCCTAATTTTTTGAATTGAAGATGTTGAACGGGAAGCGGCGAGAATCGGAGCCGGCGACGCCGTTGAAGCGCGAGAAGTTCACGCGTGGCCAGCTGCCGATCGATCTCGTCGAACACCAGATCATGTTGGAGTTGGCGCGCAACGAGACGCTGATCATCGTCGGCGAGACGGGCTCCGGCAAATCGACGCAAATTCCGCAAATGTGCTGCCGGGTGCCGGTGTGCGCGACGCGCGCCATCGGCGTCACCCAACCGCGACGAGTGGCGGCCGTCTCGTTGGCGAATCGTGTCGCCATCGAAATGGCGACGAACGTTGGCAAAACGGTGAGATACAATGGCCGGGCGATTCTTGTTTTTGGTTGTCATTTCGAGCGTTTCAGGTCGGCTATCATGTTCGATTCGAGAATGTGACGGGTCCCGAGACGAAAATCGAATACATGACCGATGGAGTTGTGCTGAGGTGTGCTTGTGCGGTTATCGATGCTCAAATCTCAACACTTTTTCAGAAAATCACTAATGTCGCCACTTTTGGAGCACTACTCGACGATTATCATCGATGAGGCGCACGAGCGTAGTCTGCACACCGACGTGCTCATGTGCATTCTGAGGCAATGTCAGGTGCAGCGACGAGGCACCGAGAATCCGCTGCGTTTGATCATCATGTCGGCGACATTGCAGGTTTCTTTTGGTTTTTTTTCTTCTTGACTCTTTTTTTGCGATTTTAGGCTCAAAAATTTTGCGAGTATTTCAACAACGCCAAAGCGATTCTTGTGAAAGGTCGCACATTTCCGATTGAGGTTTGTTTTCTCGCGCGAAGCAACCCATTCTCATTTGACTCTCGCACAGATGTACTACTCGATCGCGAAATCCTCATCGGACTATGTCTACAATGCAATTGTCGCGATCAAGAGCGTCCATTTGAGCGAGCCGTCCGGTCATGATGTGCTCGTGTTTTTGACGGGCAGCGAGGAGATCGAGGCGGTCGCGAATCGCCTTCACGAAATGAACGCGTCGCTGCCGCCGACGTGCGACGTCATCATGCCGGTGCCGTTGTACGCCGCGTTGAGGCCCGACCAGCAGAAATTGGCGTTTCGGCCGGCTCCCAAGGTGAGTGGATAGCTCGTCGTCACTCGGACTCGTTGATATCGTTTTGTAGGGAACCCGCAAAGTCATCCTCTCGACGAACATTGCCGAGACGTCGGTGACGATTCCCGGCGTTCGCGTCGTCATCGATTCGGGCAAAGTCAAAACGAAGCGTTTCAACGCGATCGATCGCGTCGACATTCTCAAGGTGCACAACGTGAGCAAAGCGCAAGCGCGTCAGCGGGCGGGACGCGCCGGCCGCGACGCGCCCGGCAAATGTTATCGATTGTTCGCGAAATCCGAGTTCGACGAGTTCGACGACGACAATATGCCGGAGATTCAGCGAAGCAATCTCGCGTCGACGTTTCTCGAGTTGATGAAACTGGGAATGAAGAATCCGCACCGATTGCGGCTCATCCATCCGCCCGACGCCGCCAACATCGACGCGGCGCTGATTGAGCTCGTCAGTCTGAGCGCGATTCGACCGCTCAACTCCGACTATTCGAAGTTCGCGTTGACCGACACCGGCGAGCTCTATTGCAAATACCCGCTGCCGCCCGACCATTCGCGTGTGCTCATCCAGGCGCAAAAGCACGACTGCATGATGGAGGCGATCAAAATCATTGCGGCGATGCAGACCGAATCGATTTGGTGCGCGGCGACGCCGACGCAAAAGACGGACGATGAATATGAGCGGATTCGGCGGAGGTACGAGACGAAAGAGGGCGATCACGTCACGATGCTCAAATTGATTTTGGCGAGCAATCAATTCTTCGATGAGGTTTTTATTTAATATTCCGATCGTTGTCAAGGCTAATCGGTTTTTGCAGCTCAACAAGAAGACGATGCGCGATTCGCGATTCGCCAACTCCGACGTCGCGCTTCAACGCGAATACCACGCGGCGATTCGGCAATTTTGCGACGACAACATGATCAACGAGCAACACCTGAAGACGGCGTCGTTGATCGAAGAGCAACTCGTCGAAATCGCGCGAGAGTCGCGTGTGGCGTTCTCGACGTGCGGCGCCGATTTCGGCCGACTTCGAAAAGCGCTAGCGTTGGGATTGTTCATGAACAGCTGCGAGTACGATCGCCAAGAGGACCGCTATCGTCTGATGATCAATCCGGCGATCACCGTCCAAATTCATCCGTCGTCGTGTTTGGCGCGCTCGAAGCCGTCGTGCATCGTGTTCTCGCAACTCATGCGCACCACCGATCTCTACGCGATGTAAACGAATCGCGTTGCGCGCGTGTGTGTTCACAACGATTTCCCGTTATTGCAGGCAAGTGACGCTCATCGACGCCGACTGGGTCCGACCGCTCATCAGCGCCTACAAAAAGTTGAGAAGCGCGCGCGGCGAGGCGACGCCGCCGACGACGAGCAACGCGGCGAAAAGAGTCAAACATTGTTGATTTTGATGTTGGAATCGCAAAATGAGAAAAAAATGGCGATTCGCATTTTTTTTTCTCAGATTTTGCGATTATTATAATTTTGTTGTTGTTGTTGTTGTTATTGTTGAGAATTCTGTTGCTGATACAGGTTGTGAAGTGAAAAAAAAGAAACCCCTTTCATTATTCGATTCATATTTTATAAATTGTCTCATTTGTTGTTGTTATCATCGTCGCAATTCGTTCCGCGCTTCTCCGGCTCCTCGATTTGTTTCCGAAGGATCTGAACCCGGACAAATACAAACAGCAAAAAATTAGATGGAGCAACCTGCGCGGTCTCCTCCTCGAATCGTCGAATATCCTCGAGACTCATGTCGTGCCACACATCGATCCACGCGTAGGCGTCGCGATGGAATATGCCGAACACCTTCGGGTATTGTTTGTGAATCGTCTTCTCGATGAGCGTCTGGAAGCCGGTCCATTTGAAGTGGATCGACACCAGCTTATAGGCGCACATGATCGGTTCATGGTTGTCGATCCATTCGTCCTCTAGTGGTCCGCGGCCGGTTTTTTTCGATTTGAATATCTGAAATCGGAAAATAATAATAATGAATTGCGCAACGACACACCACATTTACAGTGAAGACCACTTTTAGCGTAATTAATCTGTCAAATTGAATTGTTTTTCTCAAAAAAGAAAAATCTAGCCAATGATCGCTTTCGCAAAATTCTTCTCGGGTCGATTTACGGGGCGCGCCTTTCGCTGGTGGTCTCACGCCGACTTTGGTTCGCACTTCCTGGTTGAATTTCAAGGAAACAGCAAAACCAAAAGTTAAGCGAATCGTTCACGTGAAAAGTTGGCGCGTGGCGAGACCATTTCAAAACGCGCACGCCGTAAATCGACATCAATTTTCGGTGCGACCCGAACCGATTTCAGATAGCAATAATCGGACAAAAACGAGCAATAAACAATTTGAGGAAGTATTGATAAGAATGGGTCGACGCGAGCGATTCGCGTTTGCAATTCAATTTTGCCGCGATAGCAATGTGCAGCGGCCTGCTCGTTTCCAGCGTCCAATTACTCAACAATGAGGATGTTGGCCATCTCAAGCTGCCGCCTATCGATTCGTGGTATCATTCGAGCTCAATAGCGGTTATCGATCAAGAGCCGATCATCAACAATAATTGCATCGACGAGTTCGATGCGAATGAGATTCCCACGAAATATGATGACGGTGACGATTGGGTTACGGTGGGTTTCGCGGCGAGACCAACGCGACTGCCGGAAAATTCAACTTCGAAATGTGTCGATGAGGAAATTCAGGTAGTTTAAAAAAACCCTCAAAAAAACGGAAAAAATTAATTTTTCCAGAAAATTGTCAAACGCGTCGTCAGGCTGAATAAGGTAGACGAAAAAAAATGGGATTCCAACTTTTCGTAAAAAAATATGTCTCATTGAAGGATCTCGTCAGAATCGCGCACAATTATCGTCGAAAATCGCAGAAATCGCGAAAAACGCGAATTTCGACGAAACACATGGTTATTTTTTGTGTGGAATTCAACAAAAAATGCCAAAAATCGAAATTCTAGACGGACGAGCAAAAATCGGAGCACATTCGGTGGCAAAATCGCAAAAACTCGCAAAAGTTTCGCGTCGAGCAGAAAATGAGTTTGGAGCATCTCAAAAAATTGGGCGACATTTTTAGAAAATTGCTCGACATCTTCGAAAATCATCGATTGCCGGTTGGAAATGAAAAAAAAACTTATTGATTGGCGAATTTTGTTTGCTTTTTTTGCAGAAGCACCACATTTCTGACATCTTCGAATCATCGTTGAACGCCATCAACGATCTCGAGCTCAAACACGGCCAACAACTGAAGGTCGTGTCTGAGAGAGAGAGAAAATATTAAAAGGAGCATTTTGTTTCAGAACATTGAAAAATACCACAGCGATTTGGATGAATTGATGAAAAAACGAAGCAATTTGGCGAATCCCAACAAAAAAGTGGGATTTTGGAAAATTTTTCTGAATGGTTTTCACACAAATTTCAGGTGCAAAACACACTGAACTCTCAAATTTTTCGATTAAAAGAGCGAATTCAACTGCTCGATGAGGTTCAGATGACAATGCGCCTTCAAAAAGTTTGAAAATTTGGTCTTGCATTTTATTTTCAATTTTGAGTATTGCAGAAAATCGCGAGACTATTTTACTGACCGTCGGATCGCGCTGCTTATTATATCCATTTCTTCCGTAGATTTTCTCGTCGCAAATGTCGATATACACAATTTCGCGGTTTTTCGGCGCGTTTAGCGGCTGAAAAAAATCAAAAATTTCCAAAAAACAATTTTTTGTCTTGTATAATTTTTGTACATTTTCCGATTGTCCGTTGTCAGCTAGATGAATTGTCTCAATTGTTTGCATAAAATTGTTCTTCATGTATCCCGGATTCTGGAAATCTCTCATTTCTCATTTTTCACCCATATTTTGACGTACCGTTAGTACCGTTTTACAGTAGGGATAGGCATTCCAGCTCTCTTCGTGGATCTCGAATGCCTCTGGAGGTAGAAGCTGAAAATCGCGTTAAATTGTTTTTTGTGAAATCAATTCCCATAGTTTGGCTCACTTTTTGCAGTACCCATGGTGCTTTTGAGCGCAATCGATAGATTTTGTATGTATAAATTCCGGTGAGCTTCTTTCCCGGTAGAATACTCGTACTCGTGAAATCTTCTTGTTTGAGAAACTGCAAAAAAAAACATGAAAATCCTTTAAGAATGAATTTTTGTTGAAAAAATTGCTCAAAATTCAATTGTGCTGCCGAGTACGATAAAACGAGGGCGATGCGTAATCGCGGAGTGTCGTTGCAATTATTTTTTTTCTAGAACTCCCGAAATTTAAAACATGAAATTTTGATGGGAGAAAAACGAGAATAAAACAATTTTCAAATATGTAATTCGAAGAATTCCGAATTGTTTGCATAATTTTGATGTCGAACCTCGGCGCCCTCGCCGCCGCCCGTCTCGTTTCGACTACACGCCGACACCGCATACAATTGACCGATATGGAATTCATCGACAGTGAGCGGAAGTGGGATTCGATATTCCTGAAGAACAAAATCTGTTTTTAAAATTCATTATTAAAGTTCAAACCTTGACAAGCATTCTTTATTTTAAAAAAAATTTTCTTGCTCACGACGACCAAATCGAGAAGCTCGTGCTCTTTTCGGCTACAACGAATGACAAAAAAAATGTGCGACAGAAAATTGCGCGGAAAAAAAAACGAGCGGAATGCGCAATAGGAGCGAGGCAACAGAAAAAAAACACGAATACGCATATACGGGATAGAATTTGAAATTGAATGAGGCCGCGGGGATTATGACCTCATATGGTGCGATGCGAATTTTTTTTTTGCATTTTATGCAAATAATTTGCGATTTTTAAAAATCAACAGCGAACAAATCGGTTTAACCGGCGAAAAAACGACATTTTCTGAAAGCGAATAATAAAACATTTGGGAAATGTCCGCAATGCGGACTTTTGAAACTACAGTAACGCCGAATATCATAGTAAATAGTTAATCCATGCGTATAAATGCTCGGAAATCCGTTTTGTTTGCGTTCAGTTCCATTTTCTTGTGTAAACATTACGAGAAAAATTGTTCGTCACGGTTAGAATTGCAAAAATTAACGAAATTTGTGGAAAAATCAAAAATCGCAACAAAAAACAAAACTACAGTAACCCGGTGACAATTTCAAGCCTAAAAATTTTCAAAAAAAAGTTTTGCAAAACAAAAATCGCAACGTGAAGAATTTGCGAATAAAAAATCGGCATTTTTCGAACGAGACGCCGACGAGGTAAAACCGATCGCTCGAATACAGTCTAATCCGAATCGGAATCGAATTTTCGAGTCGAAGAAACTGGACAACGGCAAGGCGATTTGCGGGATGAGATAAATTTGAAAATCGAGGGGGGGGGCGGACGAAAGAAAAAAATACACAATGAGAGACCGACCACCAAATTTCCAGAATGTTCTCGCCGACAATTGTGCAATTCAAATGGCCGAGCGGCAATTCAAATTTCTACACAGCCGATCATCTAGCTCGTTTCGGAATGGTTTGGGAACAGACTTTTTCATTCTTTTTTTTTGAAATGAGAAATGAATTTTCTCCGACGTGGCACTCAAAACCAGCTGGAAAACTGTGGGGTGGCGCGCGCGCGACGCGGCGAAATAGTGCGCGATGCGGCGAGACGCAGACACACGCGACCTCGAGGCGCTCGCACTCGCATACTAACACACACACACACACAGAAAAAACTTCTTTTATGGCCTTAGTTAGCTCATCTGTCAAATTCGTTTCAAATCAGTCGCCCACCAAATATTTTTAGGTCGTGGGTTTGGAGAAACACGAAAAAATTTGGGTGAGAATTGAGGAAAACTCGAACATTTTTGAATAAGAGCTCAAAAATCGAGATTTTCAACAGATTTTTATTGCGATTATTACACCATTTTGTAGAGAATTTCAAGGGCTACAAAATTGGTGAACAAACTTTGGCGCCAAAATTTGATCTACCAAAGTTATTGGCGGAAAACTCGAAAAATTTTTGAAGAAAAGCTCAGAAATCGAGATTTTCAACAGATTTTAATTGCGAATTTCTTACCATTTTGTAGAGAATTTCAAGCGCTACCAAATTGGCGCGAAAATTTTTTTGATCTACCAAAGTTAACGGTCGAAATTTCAGCGAAAATTCCCCGAAATTGTCGATTGTCAAGAGTTCAGCGTCGATTTCGAGGCGAAAATTCTGAAAATTCTCGAAGGGAATGCGCAAAACGCGAGTTTTTCACAAAATTTCTGTCAATTTCTTATTTTTTTTCCAGTTGAATTTCGTGAAATTGGCGACGATTTGCGAGGTGGCGCAATTCGCCAATCATCTCGCCATGAAATTTGTCACCAATTGGCTTGACGAGGTGTGTTTTGGGCGCCAATTCAAAAAATTCAAAAAGCGAATTTTTTCCAGGAGTTTTGCCGTCAGCCATTCGAGAATCTCACCGCGAATGACGTCATCGACATGCTGGCGATTGCGATTTTTTTCAATTTCGAAAAATCGATTCCGACACTCGCCAATCACATCGCCGAAAATTTCGACCATCGATATCGGGATGCCGTTTTGGATTACTGTAGGTGTCGGCGTACGGTAGAGATGATTTTGGAGTCACGCGAGCGGATGCTCGAGACGCGACACATCGTTGCGAGACCTCCTCCACAAGCGCTGAAGTTTGTTCAGACGCGCGCCAGGTAAATGAAAAAATTACAGTACACCGAATGCGCCTTTAAAATGTTCGCAATCAATTGTGGGACTTAATTTCAGGCTGAAGACGTTAATTGCGACGTCGCAAATCGCACTTGGCAATCTTAAGACGAAAATGCGAACGTTTGGCAGAAGTTTGCGACGCGTTCCAAATAATTAATTTTTACATAATTTTTTTCCAATAAAATCCCACATTCTTTTGGTTTTTTCAATATTTTTCATCGAATTTCACTGAACGTAATGTAAAATGATTAAAAACGTATGAAAAACGGCGAAAAATCGAGGAAAAACGAGAAAATTTTATTCGGGCTACAGTACCCCGCCTACTATTCAAAGGCGCATACCTCATTTTCGGTTGAAAATAATTTCACGCCTAAAATTTTGCGTCGAAAAAATTGAATAACTCGATGAAAAATGAATGAATTAAAAATCGAAAAACACTAAAATTCTTAGAAAATTGTGCCAAATTTTTGTGGAGATTTTGAGAAGAATCGGTGACATCACCTAATCCGACATTTTTAAGTTGACTCATCGTCGAGGTGAAAACGAAAATCTTCAAAAATGCTTCGAATTAGTTGAAAATTGGTGAAATGCTTCATATTGCGAATAATCGAATATCTACAAAGTTTCATTCAAATCCGACAAGTTTGAAGCTGAAATTGGCCATTTTAAAAATATAATTGCTACAGTACCATTTCCAAAAGGCGCGTCCTATTTTTTGCCAAAAAAATTCATACTAAAAATTTAAAGAAACCGAAAAATTGGTCTAATTCGATAAAAAAGAATGATTCAGATGAAATAATAGCTAATTGAATAGCTAGAAGAAGAAAACTCATTTTGTTGCACTTTAAGAACTCAAGTGGAGACGCTAACACTTCATTGCCGTTCACAGCAACTGGCGCAAGGTGCGCGTGCGTCCGTTTTGTTGTGCTCGCCGCCACTCACACGCCGAAGGTCGCGAGTTCAATTTCGATGTCGAAAATCACCAAAAAATGGTTCCAGTTGGTCGAAGATCCGGAAAATGGCTATCTTCGTAATAAATTACAAATAATATAGCGTGTACATACATCCATCTATAATTTAATTTCAAATCCTCAAAAAATATCAGAAAATAAATATTATCCGTGATTAAAACCCACGTCATTTGGCAACGAACAAAAATTTTTCACCTAAATTGAGAAGAAAATAAGAATATTTGAAGTTGGCGAGGTGTTGTTTGGATTTCCTATAGAATTTTATTTTAGTTTGAATAGAATTGAGATTTCATAAGAACAATTCAGTGAAAAAAAGGCGATCTAAATTGATTATTTTTTTTGGCTACCGTAAGCCACACACATTTCAAAGGCGCATACCTCATTTTCTCTTGGAAACAATTTAACGCCTAAAATGTGTTTTATATTTTCAAATAGAAAAATTGAATAACTCGATGGGACCTCGAAAATTGTGAGTCCTCTGAAAAAAATTCTCTGGCAAAATTTTTGAAAGCCTCAAAATTATATGAAAAAAGCGAAAAATTTAGCTAAATTAATTACTTTTTTGGCTACCGTAATCCGCATACAATTCAAAGGCGCATACCTCATTTTCGTTGGAAACAATTTCACGCCTAAAAAATTTTTTTCAAAAAATTTTTTTTGAAGCTTCAAGATTATATGGCCAAAATTGCAATTGAAAATCGCAAATGTTTGATAAAACCCGTTGAGCAAATACCACAATTATTGTCATCATTTGCCATTTACGAGTGTGATTTTAGTGCGAAAAATTGCGATGCGCAACAAAAACGCCGGCAAATTTCGGATATTTCTTCTCGTTTGCCTCCTCGTCACCGCGTTTTTTGGCATTCGTCCAACAATCTCAAACGTTTGTCGTTTTTTTTTCGCGATCACATTGATGATGAAACCCATCAGATTCATTATGCACGACCACAAAAGAGAATTCGAGTTTTTGAGGATTGGTCGAAATGCGCTCGAATCGAACTTTTTGAGGAGTCTGACCCGAATAATGTGAGTTGGTTTCCATTTTTGATCTATCAAAGTTATGGGCGGAAAACTCGAAAAATTTGAAAGAAAAGCTCAGAAATGGATATTTTGAACAAATTTTTATTGCGATTATTACACCATTTTGTAGAGAATTTCAAGCGCTACAAAATTGGTGAACAAACTTTGCCGCCAAAATTTGATCTACCAAAGTTATTGGCGGAAAACTCGAAAAATTTTGAAGAAAAGCTCAGAAATCGAGATTTTCAACAGATTTTAATTGCGAATTTCTTACCATTTTGTAGAGAATTTTAAGCGCTACAAAATTGGTGAACAAAATTTGGCGCCAAAATTTGATCTACCAAAGTTATGGGCGGAAAACTCGAAAAATTTCGAAGAAAAGCTAAAAACTCTTTTTTTTGGCTTGTTCATATAATTTTGTGGGCAATTTCAAGATTTTTCATTTTTTAGAAGAAATTTTAGCGCCAAAATGTGATCTACCCAAGTAAAACTCGAAAATTTTTGGAAAATCCAAAACTGCTCCAGATTTTATCTCATTTTGTTGCGAATTTCAAGACTTTCAATTTTTTGATCTACCCCTCAAAATTGCGATGTGGTGCGCCTTTAATTTGTTTTTGATCGACTCGATGTCGAAATGGTTTGCGCGTCAATTAAAATGCAAGTCGGCACAGTGTACTGTGTGTACTCCACACGGACAACAACCTTTTGAAGTTGGACCTCCGAATTGGCACATTTTGTCGATTCACCTGCGTCTGCAATTTGTCGTCAATTCTGGTGTCGCAAATTCGCGTGTGAAACGAAAACGGGTCTCGAAGCGAAAATGAATTGCATTCCAAAAATGGCGACCGTCTCGCGTTTAAAGGCTCATCGGAAATCGTTTTTTTTTAATTTTTGCAGTATTGGCGGACGTTCGCCGAGCGTTCGCAATATTGCGACAAATTCGCCAACTCGCACCAATTGCACCTCATCGCATTGGCGAATCGCGACGAGACCAAATACGCAATATTGCCGGTATGTGATGAGCGAGCGAAGGAAAAAAAATTTTGTGGTCCCAGCACTCGAACGACACCGACAACACGCTGGTGACGCTGGGCATCGGCAACGACATTGGCGCCGAGTTGGCGTTGCGCCAAGCGTTTGGCGCCAACGCCAACTCGCTGCGATTCTTCGGCGCCGATCCGATCGTCGAGGCGAACCGTGAGCTCTACTCGCGAATCGGCCAATATTTTCCGTTTGCCGTCGCCGCGCAATCGGGAGTTTCGACGGCCAGCGTGTTGGTGCAAGGTCTTGGTGACGACCACCATCACTCACCAATTTTCTTGTTTCTAGACGCCTATCAGAATCGCGATGTCGTCCACGTCGTCATTGTCTATTTTCTGAAGGCCATCCTCAATCGCACCATCATTGACCATTTATGGTTGGACGCCGAATACGCCGAGTACACGATGCTCGACGTCTTCTATCGCGGCGGACGATTTGACGCCAACGGAATCACGGTGTGCCAGTGGAGTTGTGAGGTGGGATCTCAGAGGGGGTCCGATTATTGATTTTTTTTTTCCTTCGAATTTTTCAGTTTCACAATCCCAACGACGAGCAGAAGGCGAGTTTTTTGAAATTCGCGAAACGCATCATCGATGAGGGAGTCTACGGGTTTTTCGAGACGAAAAACGTCGGACACATGCGCACATTTATGTTCAATTTTGGCAGCTCCTATTGCGTTGAAAAGTTTTTTTTAGGCTCGTTATTATAGAATTTGGCTATTTTTTTCATTGTTTTCTTCGTCTTTTTTGTTGAATAATATAACAATTGTGATGAAAAACGGCGAAAAATTGAGAAAAATTAATTTGGGCTACAGTAACCCGCGCACGGTTTAAAGGCGCATACCTCATTTTCGGTAGAAAATAATTTCACGCCTAAAATTTTGCGTCGAAAAAATTGAAAAACTCGATGAAAAATGGGCGAATCGAAAATCGAAAAACACTAAAATTCTTAGAAAATTGTGCCAAATTTTTGTAGAGATTTTGAGAAGAATCGGTGACATCACCTAATCCGACATTTTTAAGTTGACTCATCGTCGAGGTGAAAACGAAAACCTTCAAAAATGGTTCGAATTGGTTGAAAATTGGTGAAATGCTTCATATTGCGAATAATAGAATATCTACAAAGTTTCATTCAAATCCGACAAGTTTGAAGCTGAAATTGGCCACTTTAAAAATATAATTGCTGCAGTAACATTTCTAAAAGGCGCATCCTATTTCTTGCCAAAAAATTCACACTAAAAATTTAAAGAAACCGACAAATTGGTCTGATTCGATAAAAAAGAATGATTCAGATGAAATAATAGCTAATTGAATAGCTAGAAGAAGAAAATTCTTTTTGTTACACTTTGAGAACTCAAGTGGAGACGCTAACACTTCATTGCCGTTCACAGCGACTGACGCAAGGTGCGCGTGCGTCCGTTTTGTTGTGCTCGCCGCCACTCACACGCCGAAGGTCGCGAGTTCAATTTCGTCACATTGTTGGCAAAAATCTTTGATCGCAAAAGACGTGTTCGTTATCGTCACAAAATCGCACAGCGCATCGTGGAACAAGCTCGAGAAGCGACCGCCTCCAATGATGGCAATCTCCGCGTTTCATTCAACAAGTGTGTACGTCGACAATTCCGCATTTTTCCAAATGTTCGCTTATGTGCCGATCCCCACTCAAATAGACAATACTTTCCAGACGGCATGCGTATGAACTCGTCGCGACTTCTGTTGGCCCTTCCGCTCGTCCTCTTGTTCCTCTATCTCTACTACGCCAAACAGGTAGCCAAAAAAGGTGGTGATTGTTTTTTGAACGTCTATTTCTAGGCGTCGAACGCGCGAGTGCCGCTGTTCGACGAATGGAACGAGTGCATTTCGACGGAGTTGCGCAATCTCAGCGACGCCGCGCAATTTTGGCGCAAATTTCAGCATCGCGCCGATCGTTGCGACGAAATGGCGCAAATCGAGCGACTCGGCATCGTGCATTTGAGGAATCTCGACGAGATCAAATACGCTCTATTGCCAGTCGGTGTGAGTTTTTCAACACAACTCATTTTCGCTTCGAGACCCGTTCTCGTTTCACACGCGAATTTGCACACCGGAATTGACGACAAATTGCAGACGCAGGCGAATCGACAAAATGTGCTCGTCACGCTGGGCATCGGCAACGACATCAATTCGGAGGTCCAACTTCAAAAGGTTGTTGTCCGTATGGAGTACACATAGTACACTCTGCCGTCTTGCATTTTAATTGACGCGCAAACCATTTCGACATCGAGTCGATCAAAAACAAATTAAAGGCGCACCACATCGCAATTTTGAGGGGTAGATCAAAATTTTATAGGGCTTCGCGTCTCTTCTCATTTGAGGATTATAGTAGATCAAAAAACAAATTTTTTTTTAGAAAATGACCGATTTCGGGCATGACGTCACATTCTACGGCGCCGATCCGATCATCGAGAACAATCGCGAGTTGTACCAAAAAATCGGGCAATTCTTTCCGTTCGCCGTCGGCGGCGACGCCGGCTATTCGACAGCCAGCGTCATGATCAATAGTAAGACAGAGTTGAGCGCTCACCGATACTAGAAGGATGTGATTTCAGACACCTACATGAATCACGACGTCGTCCACGTCGACATCATCTACTTTTTGGACAAAATCCTCAAAGTCAAGGTAAGAATGAAAAGACGGGCACGAGGACGTCGATTCTGCAGACCATCGATCATTTGTGGCTCGACGCTGAAGGCGCCGAGTACGGCTTCCTCGACATCTTCTTCAAAGGCGGCCGACTCGATCAGCACGGCATCACCTTCTGCCAGATGAGCCTCGAAGTGCACAATCCGAACGACGATCAAAAAGCGCAATTCATGGATTTCATTCGTCGCATCGTCGAGGAGAAACGCTACGCCTTCTTCAAAAGTCTCGAAATCGGCCACATGCGCATGTGGTTGTTCAATTTCGACAACGATTATTGTGTGCAAAAGTTCGTCGCCAAGGATCTCGTCACGAAATGAGCAATTCTCGGAATTTCACGTCTCCAATGGTTGGCTAGAAGTCCTAGTAATAATTGATAAATGTTCGTTCAATTTTTTATTCGTGGTCCGCAAACAAATTGGGCGATGGTCCACCGGCGCGCGGCGATTAGTCGCCGCCGGTCGCCGCCTTATAGTCTTCGCACCATTTTTGGAATTTCGCCGCATTCTCGCCTTCGAGCAAATAGCTGAACGATTCCCGATACTTCTCAAGGAAGTAGGCGAGCAGGACGCGATGAAGGTAGAGGTATTGCTGTAATTTGTCGACTGGAATTCGGCGGCGTTGGTGTGACACTCACAAACTCGTTCTGAATCGACCACGGTCGCTGCATGCGCAACTCTTTGAGAAGCTCGTTCATCGCCATACAATCCTCGCCGGCTTGCATCTTCTCTTGGACGTACGCCAACGCGACGATCGTTCCGGTTCGTCCGATTCCCGCCGAGCAGTGCACAAGAATCGGAAAGTTGTTGCCGCGAACCGCCGAGAGCAGATTCTGAACGAACACACATGAACACTTATGAGGGTTGATGACGTCAAATCGCCTACGGTAGCGGTGAGCTTCGTCATCGGCACACCGCGATCCGGCCAGTTCTCCCATTGATAATGCAGAATGATTTTCGAGCCTTCGGCCCAATCGACTTTCAAATTTGTGACGTTGATGCATTGATCCTCGTCGGACAACTTGCGCATTCCCACGTTGGTGACGTGAATCTGATTCGGCGCGTCGCCGAACGTCATCTTCTCATTGAGCGCCGCCGGCCAATACTGATGGCATTTGATTTTGGTCATCTCGATGCAATTGCACAACATGATGATGCATTCGACCTTCTCCTGAATCGCCATCGCCCAAAACGAGTATTGCGTGTTCTCGAGCGGCCCTTGCGCGCAGATGAAGCGTTGCGCGTTGCGCGCGGTCCCCACATAGTTGGCGTGAATGTAGTCGCTTTGGCAGCCGGGGAATTTCAGCACAACGCGGCCCTTGTCCTGACATGGAACGTCCTGATATCTGGAATTTGTTCATGCTTTCTTCTTTCGTTTTGCTCCCCAAAATTCGCATCTCTACCTATTCTTATCCTTATTCGCATTGAACGCTTCGGTCGTCATCCCTTCAGGCGTCCATTTCGCGAGACTTCTGAATTCCTCGACGAGTCTCGGCACTCCCATGTCCAATGTACGGCTCACCCATTTTTCGACCTGCAAAAAAGAAAACACCGGATCGATAATGCTTAAAATGTCGTGAAATAAATTGAAACGAGATGGAATCGACCTTTTTGGTCATTTAATGCGATTTTTTTCGGTTTTCGCGAAACATGCAGGTTTCTCATAATGCCGAAAATTCGTAATTGTTTCACGGAACACAAAAAACCCGATAAGTTTGTCGCGAAAACAAAAAAAAATACCAAAAAATAGAGGATGTTTAAAAAAAACTCAGTGTGCATTGAAGTGGCGAGCGTGTTTGCACCAAACGCGTCTGCCTACCGTAACCACTCCAAAAAAATGAAAAACAAATTACCGCCGCTTTTCCTTTGAGCGTCGTTTTTGAAGCCTTCATACTATCGATCATCACCTTCTTCTCCTTTTTCGATGATGGCTGCCGCGGCTGCTCGTGCGCCGCACCATTCGCAATATTGTTGTTGTTGTTGTTAGGATCTTTGGCGCTTCCACCGTCATCATTCTCTCGTTTGTTTCTGAAATGCGCCGAACGCCGCGATTAATTGCCTAGTCATTGGGTATCGGACACTCGCTTTTTTGGTACGCACATAATTGAGAGTTGATACAACCAGCTAACACCTCAAATAATAAGACAATGTAGTCGAATATCTGAAGCTACTCTTGCAAATAATGATTCCATTCGTTGGTTGTCGATAATCACGTCAAAAAAAAAGAAAATTAATTGTCGCATCCAATTTTCATTCAATTTATTGACCCGTTGTCATTTAACAACATATTCAAATCAAAAAAAAATCAACAACAATTTAGAGCACAATCATAATTGCGCTAGCCAGTTTTTCATGTACTCGCAGGTTTCTGGCGAAATGCTGAATCCAGGCCGGCAGTCTTCGACGACGGGACACACCGAGCACGGAACCGAGACGAGCGGCGATGTTTTGTTGCGCGGCGGGCACGCGCGAATCTAGAAGCTCGTCAAATTTCAAATCCACTTCGCCAACCCGCCCCCCTTCTCACCCTTCCATCCGATCTTCGTTCAATCGTCCCATCGAGAACGGCGACGTCGAGAATTCGCTGCAAATCATCCACACTCAATGGCACATTCAGCACGCGTTTCTCGGTGATGAAATCAGCGATCTTAATTAATAAATTAGGTTTAATTGGGTATAATTGGGCGGACCTCTTGCGGCCGAATATAGCTCGACTCTCGCTGCATTTGAATATCATTTGGATTCGATTCGATGGCGATTTTTCGACGGCTGTTCGCATACGACCCGCACACACTAATAAGGGTGTTGATGAGCTCGGAATCCAATTGCTGGTCCGAATAGAAGGTACCTGAACGTGACAATTCAAACAATTGTCGCTTTTCAAATGTTTGCCTCCAGTTAGGGACATGTCGGGCTCAAGATCGAAAAGCATGTAGCATTTCTTGGTGGTCCCAACTGCTTTGATGGTCTTAATCAATTTTTTCGTCTCCAGCGTTTTCAGCGTCTTCCGCAATTGCAATTGATTGAGGCCCGAACCGTCGCGAAGCTCTCTTATCCATATACCGCGCGTTTTCGACTCTTCGATTAGTGAATAAATCTAAAAAATTTGGCTATAGTGGCGAGATTCTATTGCCAAAAACCGCTTGCTCTTCAGCCGTGCCAGCGATTTGCGTATTCGTGTTGACTTTGAGACGAAGAACGCCGCCAGGCGCTTGACTAATTGCCAATTTTTTCGAGCCGAGTAATGAATTAATTGCGTTCTAAAATTTCTAAATAAATTACCTCCAAAATTTACTAGTATAAATTTTGAAACCTGTCTTTCTAATTGAGTTAAACTCGACGTCAATAATGTAAGAGCGTCCATGTCAATTCCATCGGCGGCGGCTTCAACAACTTGAAGGACCGTTTGCTCCGCGTCGCCGCCAGTTATTACCTCTTGTTTGACAACGGCACTCATTGCTGGAAATAATTCGGGGAAGGGAATTTGACGATAATCAGAAAATTTCTAGGCAAAATTCGAAATAAAAATTAATTGCGTGTGGTGTGATGTATTGTACGCAAACACGGCGCGTGTAACGGTGCACACCGAATTTGAAATTCTCGCGATTTATTTTTCTCGCGATTTCCCCCCGCTGAATTTCTTATAAGTCCCCCCTCCCGCCCAATTTTCATTTAAGGCAAACGAAAAGCTGAACGAACAAATATTATTTCATAAGAATCTCGTGACTCTCATATTCATTCAATGTTTTCATATGTTGTTTCTCTATTTTTCCTCGCCGACGCGGCCGCAACCAAGCACATCCATATAAATGGAGGAGGCGAATTATGAGAATAAAATAAATGCGCTGACATTTAGATTTATGCGAAACGGAAAAAAACGGCCTCTCGTGTGCCTCTCATAAATTGTGCGAACAAAATATTGCAGGGGGGTGGGGTGGCGCTTTTCAATTTTTTTTTCTTTCCTCACATTCTCTGCACTCAATCATAAATCATAAAAATCGCGAGATTTTCATGGCATTTCGAACGCGATATCCTCATTTTTCTTTTGTGTCTTCAATTTCAAAATTTCCTTTTTCGGTGAGCTCAAAAATATTTAGGCCAAACAATATTCGCGATTGTTCGATGTTTTCGAGAATCCCCCGGCACACAAAAAAAACGCGTGTTCACTCCAACTAGTAAAACGGCGAGACACGCTCTCAACACGCTATTTCGCTGTCGATCGTCTCACACTTGGTTTGGCTTTGTGCCAAGACGGCGTCGGCGGGCCACCTGCCGCCCTCGTCGCGTCCACCACAAAACAATGGCCAATGATGGAGAGATGGAGACGAAATTGAATAAATTTGGGCGCGCGCGCGCGCGGGCGAGCGACAAACTTTGAATTTTCCATAAGCTTCCGAATCGACGACATTTTCAATTTTTGCCTCTTTTTGCGATGTTTGACCCTGTTGAATTGATAACCTAACCGATCTTCATTTTCTTCCTCGTCGCCGCCGCCTGTTTATTTAGCACAAAATATAGTAGTATTAGGTCCCCCCCCTCCCTTTAATATATATTTTTTTGCTTCCCAGCCCATTCCCTCCCAAATGTCAATTTTGTTGTGTGTGTGTGTACTCGTGACGAAATAGTATGCAAATTGTTGAGGGTGTCTGACTCGCGGAGGTCACTGCGAACGCGCGAATCGTCCGTCGCGCTGCTGGCCCTCCCGGTCTCCTCCGACCCAGTCGCCCATATAGACGGGGGGAGAGAGAGGGAGAGAGAGAGCGCGAACGCGAGAGACGCCGACGTTGATCCCACTGCGTCTCTCGCCTCTCAATTCCCTCCATCATTCGCCCTCCCTGCATTTTTCGTTCTCAATTACTCTTCTTTCTTTCTTCATTCGTTATGAAAGGGGGGGGGTTGCTTTTTTTTTATTAATCGCCATCTGATGACGATGATTTGTCCTTGTTGTTCGTTCAAGAACATTCCACCACGTTTTTTCGGCTTCTCTATTTTTTTTCGTCTGATTCGTTGTAGATCATAACGCGATTTTTTTGAAAAGCGAATTGCTCAGATTTGAATTCCCGCCAACCCAGGGCGAGCGACCAATGCTTTTTTGAACATTTGAAAAATTTGAATGTGGACACTCGGCCAAAAAAATTTAAAAAAAGTTGGACAATACCATTTATATGGCAGAATTGACTGTTCGAATTTTGCAAAAAAAGAGAAATTTAGAGGAGGCAAAGAAAAAATAATTTTGTTGATGAATTGAGTGTATTTGTGAGCGTGAGTGTGTGCGGTTGGTTGGTTGGTTGCCTACTACGTACACACACACACACACGCGCACACGTAACAGCATCATCATCGATTAGGCGAAGAAAAGAAAGCAGCCGCAAAAAAAATTGGTGAAAGAGTGAGACGAGAAAGAGAGAGAGATGAAGTAGCGGAGAGGGGCGATGAGAAGCGCGAGCCGCGTAGAGAGCACGCGATTCGCTGAGCGCTTCCATCGCCCTCCCCGACGATGGCTATATGTTGTGCTGGTCGGTTCGTGTCCGTGGCCGGCCAGCCGGCCGTCCGTCCATCGGTCCCCAAATCATTTTTGTTGTTGTTGTTGTTGTTTGGCGGGCGCCAAACTTGGCGTCAACCATCACCCATATTCTTTTCATTTTTCTTGTAAACCAGACATTCGACAAAAAAAATGCCCACCACCGATTTATTTTTATCATCGCCTTCGCTTTTTTCGCTGATAAACCACCATCATTGGCTTATCGGGAGGAGCCTTTTGAAATTGTCTACTCGGAATTGTGTGTTGTTCGCGTCATCCTTTTATAGAAATTCATTGTTGTTTTTTTGCAGTTATGGGAGGCAATTGAATGCCGATACACTAGAGAATCAGAGACGAACACGCTGAAAAAATAACAACAACAACTAGAAGAATAACAAGAAGAAGAAGAAGCGCTCCCGAATTTATTATTACGACTCTTCACTATTATTATTTTTATTATTATTATTTCCATTTATTATTTTCTTCACTAATTTGTTAACATGGACGAAGGTGCGTTTATTTTATTTTTTTTTTGTAGGCCATTGAAAATTTGGGAAAAAAGCGTTTAGTATTGTTTTTGAAGGGGGGCACATTCTCGTCGAAATCGATTCATTTTAAATCACCTCAAAAATGTGTGCGGAATTCTCACAAAAAATGTCATTATAATAATTGTAGAGTCTTGATTTCTCTCTTCTTTTTTTCTTATTGCTATGGAAAAAAAATTCGAATCGTGTCTAGACATTTCTCATCAAGAGCACTTTTTTTTCTAACTAGGCTAATTCGCAAAGTTTTGAAATTGACGCGCGTCTATTAATAGAATGAAGCTTGGCATTTCCCAGAAAAAAAGGTTTTTTTTCAGGCGATGATTACGTACCGCAAATGACACAAATGGCTGATTATAGTATGCCGCCGCAGCAGCATTATCCGCCGCCTCCGGTAGGTGTGTGCGAGTGAGTCGATTTACGGAATTAATAATTCAGGGTCACCATATGCCGCCGCAAATGACGTATGAGCAACAGCAGCAGCAGCAGCAAATGATGATGATGCAGCAACAGCGACAAATGGCGATGGTGCCGCCACCACAAGCCGCTGCGCCACCCGCCAAAAAGCCGCGATCGAGGAGCAAGAAGGCGCAAGCGGCGGCGGCCGCGGCTGCCGCTGCCGCCGAAGCCGGACAAATGGATCCGATGGCGTCGATGGCGGCAATGTCGAATAATCCGATGATGAGGCAGCAATATCAGGTGGGAATAGCCGACAACGGCAAATTATTGCATTTTTTTTTCGTTTCAGAATCAAATGGGGATGTACGGTGGACCGCCAGGCGGCGGAGGCGGTGGCCAGTTTCCTGGCCCGAGCGGCGGAATGCAGCCACCCGGTTACCGACCAGGACCGGGCGCCGCTCAACCCGGACAATACCCGCCGCAAGGCTATCCGCCGATGTACCATCAGCCGCCACCGCAGCAACCGCAACAGCAGCAGCAACAGCAACAACAGCAACAACAGCAGCAGCGACCTGGCAGCGGCTATCCGCCGCAATATGGTTATCCGCAATCGAGCGCTGGCTATCCGCCGCCGCCGCAATCGCAGCAATATATGAGACCGCAGTATGCGCCGCAGGGTCAACAGATGCAGCAGGGCTACTGGGATCAGTATCATGGCTATGGTGGCGGTGGGCAACCGCCGCAGCCGACGCCATCGATGATGATGGAGAATTTTGGACGGTGTCCACCGCAAGCACCGCCGCCTGTTGGCGCGGATCCGATGCAGGTATTGAATGCCGATTAAATTATTTCTTTTTCATTGAATTCGTGTTGTTTAGACGCAACTGTATAATATGGAAATGGATTCGTTCAAAATCAATCAGCGGTTGTCGTTTTTGTACTCGCAACCGCGAGCGCCTCTCATTGAGCAAGAAGCGGCTCAATTGCAGTCTAGGTTCCAATTTTTGCGGAAAGAATATTGCGCGCTACTCGATCAGCGGCAATACCAAATGAATATGCAGAGCGCGGCGATGCCGGTTAGTCAACAATCGGCGCCGCATCCGCAGAATCCGCCATCGGTCGGACCGCCGTCGAACTCGTCGCAGGTTTTGATACAACAATCGCCGTCGACGCAGCAGGCGCCACCGCCGCCTGTTCAAGTGAATCAGACTGGCAGTCAAGTGCAGTTGAACATCACCGCTGACAAATCGCGCACGCTGATATCGGTTTATCACGAGGGCTATCCGGGAAACGGAGCGACGCCGACGACAACCGCCACCACCACTCAGGCGAACGCCATCGATTCGGGTGCGAGCTCGACGGAATCGAAAGAGTCGGTGGTGCCGCCAGAGCCGACGCCGACTCAACCGCCGTACAATGGAATGGAGAATGGCAAGTATATGATGCAGCAGCAGCAACAGCCGCTGCCACCACCATCACAACAGCCTCCCATGCATTCTCAGTACGGGCAGCAACCCCAGCCGCCGTTCCCTGGCTACAGGTATCCTGGAATGGAAATGCAGCAGCCAACACAAGCGCCACCACCACCACAGCAGCAGCCAGTTACGCATCAGGACACGAACGGAAGCTATCCGCCGATGCGGTATGGCGCTCCACCAATGGGAACGCCATCGACGTCGAGCGCTCAAGGTTATCCCGCCTATCCAGCGCAACCGGCGCCAGTCGCGAAACCTGTCGAAGAACCGCCAGTTGTGTCGGCGCCTGATGTCAAAACCGAACCGAGTGTTGAAGAAGCGGCGCCGACGATCAAGATTGATCCCGAGGTGCCTGTCGACGAGGCGATTCCTTATCAGGCTCCGAATCCGCCGATAGAATCGATGATTGAGGAATCGGATTCACGGCCGACGACCACCTCGCAGGAGTATGATGAGACGAATGAGGAAGTGAAGCGAATAATGACGGCTGACGTTCCGACGGAGTTTAAGGTTGACAGGTAAGTGCCGTTAATGAATATTGACTCATGATGGGTATGTTCGAATTTCAGCCAAATGTCGACACCGTCGGTAACGCAGGATGAGAGGAAGGAGTCGGACTCGGATTCGGATCATCGGCAGGTGAAGGTAGAGCAGGAGTATAAAGAGGAGGAGGTAAATGAAGCTTTTGAGAATTTTGGTTATTCTTTTTTTTTAGAATAGCCAGAATGTGCCAGAACAAGAAAGTAACAGCGATCCTGTTATCGAACAAGCAAGTCAGCCGTTCTTCACAGAACCTGCTGTAATGGAAGAGCCTGAGCGAGCTCCTGAGCCTCTGCCACCGGTTGAGACGCCAATCGTTGAAGAGGAGACGAAGGAAGAGGACCAGGAACCTGAGAAGGAGCATTCGGTAGAATCGGAATCGCACTTTGAGACTGAGCAAGAAGAGATGGCTGAAGCGACGGAGGAGCCTGAGCAAGAAGCTGAGATTGAAGGTGAACCTGAAGGAGAACCTGAGATCGAGGCAACTCCAGCTCCCGAAGAAGATGAAGAGGAACGCGTCGAGGAGAACGGGATCGTCGCTGAGCCAATGGAAGAGCCGCTGGTTGAAGAGCCTGAGGACGAAGAAGAAGCGACGACGAGCAAAAGTGCTGATGATGATGAGAAGGCGCCGAGTGAAGAGCCGTCTGCTCCCGCTACCCCTTCTACAGTGGCCTCATCCACGACTACCGTCACCACAGAGAAAAAGAAACGAAGTTATAAGCGGCCTGTGATTGTTGCCAAGGCGAAAAAGAAGAAGTCGGCGGATGATTCCGACGACGACATGGATTTTGTGCCAGAGCGAGGTCGAGGGAAGAAGAAAGGAAAAGGCCGAAAGATTGCCGAAAGCGTCGATGAGCAGATTCCTGTGGAGAACGTGATGAAGCGAGCGGCGGCTGGAAAATGGGCGGATATGATGAACGCGGAAAATGAGGAAGACGATGATGATATGATGATGAGGACGGCGTCGACGGCTGCTCAAGATCCTGACGCGATGATTGTCGAGAAGATCCTCAATTCGCGAATGTTCAAGGAAGAAGGCGACGAGGAGGAGAAGGAGCAGTTTCTGATCAAATGGAAAGGTCGAGCATACGTGCATTGCGATTGGAAAACGTCGGCTGAACTCGAGGAGGTCGATAAGCGGAGTCTGGCGAAAGTGAAACGATTCAAGATGAAGAAGAGCCAATCGTATATCGATGACGATGAGGATTTCAATAGCGATTATCTGCTAGTCGATCGGGTTGTCGATGTTACCAAGGAGGACGACGGACAAGAGTTCGCGTTGATCAAATGGAAAAGTTTGGGATATGAGGAAGTGACTTGGGAAGCGATCGAAACGATACCCGTTGAGAAGGTCGACGTCTGGAGGAAGCGGCAACTCATCGATCCGGCGAAACTCAAAGAGAAACCGCGACCCGAGCCGACGGAATGGACGAAGATCGAGGCGAGCTCGACGTGGAAGAATGGCAATTCGCTGAGAGAATACCAATTTGAAGGTGTCAATTGGCTGCTCTACTGCTGGTACAACTCGTAAGTTTTTTTAAAATAAAAAAAGGAGTCTATGATCTTCAATTTAGGCAAAACTGCATTCTTGCTGATGAGATGGGTCTCGGAAAGACTGTCCAAACGATCACGTTCCTCTCGAAAATCTATGATTATGGGATTCATGGTCCGTTTCTGATAGTCGTCCCGTTGTCGACAATTCACAACTGGGTTCGAGAATTCGAGACGTGGACTGATATGAATGCGGTGGTAAGTTGTTCTCAACATAATGCTCATAATGTATTCAATGGTCCCTAGGTTTATCACGGAAGCGCGTATGCTCGTGAAGTCCTTCAGCAATATGAAATATTCTATGATAAGAAGCATTGCGAGAATTCAAAGGTAATCGATTTGTATAGAATCGCCATTTTTTAAATTCCTCCATTTTCAGCAATGGAAGAAGAATCTTGTGAAGCTTGACGCGCTGATAACGACGTTTGAGATGGTGGTGTCGGATTGCGAGTTCATCCGAAAGATCCCATGGCGAGTGTGCGTGATTGATGAAGCCCATCGGCTGAAGAATCGGAATTGCAAACTTCTTGTCAACGGCCTTCACGCGTTTCGAATGGAGCATCGCGTTCTGCTCACCGGAACGCCGCTTCAGAACAACATCGAGGAGTTGTTCTCGTTGCTCAACTTTTTGCATCCGCAAAAATTCAACAGCTCCGGCGAATTTCTCGAGGAGTTCGGACAATGTCAGACCGACGAGCAGGTGCAGAAATTGCAGGAGATTCTGCGGCCGATGATGCTTCGACGACTCAAAGAGGATGTTGAGAAGTCGTTGGGGCCGAAAGAAGAGACGATCATTGAGGTTTGCGAATGTCAGTGGCACGAACGAGTTTTGAGGTTTTTGGTGTTCAGGTTCAACTCTCGGATAGTCAGAAGAAGTTCTATCGTGCAATTCTGGAGCGCAACTTCACGCATCTCTGCAAAGGCACCTCGGCGCCGTCGCTGATGAACGTCATGATGGAGTTGCGAAAGTGCTGCAATCATCCGTTCCTCATCAATGGCGCTGAAGAGACGATCTTGAACGAATTCCGTCAAATGCATCCAGATTGGGATGAGGATGCGCTGATGTCGCGCGGACTTGTTCAGGCGTCCGGTAAACTCGTTCTCATTGAGAAGCTTCTTCCAAAATTGCGCAAAGACGGGCATAAGGTGTTGATATTCTCGCAAATGGTTCGAGTGCTCGATCTTCTCGAGGAGTTCTTGATCAATTCGGGATATCCGTTTGAACGGATCGACGGAAATGTTCGAGGCGACCTTCGGCAGGCTTCGATTGATCGATTCAGTAAAGAGAGTGAGTTGTTGATCGAGAGAATTATGGCGTTTTTATGACCAGCTCTCTTTTTTTTCAGATTCCGATCGATTCGTTTTTCTTTTGTGCACACGCGCTGGCGGTCTCGGTATCAATCTCACCGCTGCCGACACCGTCATCATTTTCGATTCGGATTGGAATCCACAGAATGATCTTCAAGCGCAAGCGCGATGCCATCGTATCGGACAGAAGAAGCTTGTCAAAGTCTACCGACTCATCACCGCCAACACGTACGAGCGAGAGATGTTCGACAAGGCATCGCTGAAGCTCGGACTTGACAAGGCGGTGCTTCAGAGTACGACGGCGTTGAAGGAGAGCAGCACCGCGTTGAGCAAGAAGGATGTTGAGGAGCTGCTCAAGAAGGGCGCCTATGGAAGCATCATGGATGAGAACAATGAGTCGGCGAAATTCAACGAGGAGGACATTGAGACGATTCTGCAGCGAAGAACGCAGACGATCACGTTGGAAGCCGGCCAAAAAGGCTCGCTGTTCGCGAAGGCCTCGTTCAATTCGACGCATAACAAAGGTGACGATATTGATATTGACGATCCGGAATTCTGGACGAAATGGGCTGAGAAGGCGCAAGTTGATTTGGAGAAAGCGACGGCGACACCGGACGGACGCGATTTGATTCTTGAAGAGCCGAGAAAACGAACGAAACGGTTTGAAGAGAACCTGAAGGACGACGAGGAGTCGGATGGAAGCGAGGATGGCGGAAAGAGGAAGCGGAATGGTCCGGCCGGATCGTCGAGGAAGCGGCGACGTGACGATGAGGATGGCGACTATTCGTCGACTTATCGGCCAGATGAACTCGCGTCGAGCAAAGCGGAATATTTCAAGGTTGAGAAGGTGCTCGCACAGTACGGATGGGGAAGATGGACGGAGATGAAGAAGCAGGGCGATTTGGAGATCAGCGAGATGGACATTGAGCACATGTGTCGAACGCTACTACTTCATTGCATTCGTGAATTCCGCGGAGAGGATCGCGTGCGGCAATTCATTTTCACCTTGATCAAGCCGAAAGAATTGAAGGCCGATGGCAAGCACGGACAGAGTGGCTCCTTGTATCATCAGGTAGCAGATTGAGCATTCATTCTCGATGGATTCTAATGATTCATTTATTTTCAGGGATGGGCTGCCCTTCCCGAATTCAATCCGCCAAGTTTCGCATTGGACTCGTCGTTTCAGCGGCACGTGCATCGGCACGCGAACAAGCTCATGATGAAGGTCGACATGTTGAAGCACCTCGAAACGGTTTGATCTATATTTTTTCAAATTATTATTCCATTTATACGATTTCAGGCGATTATTGGTGATAGTAAGCCTCTTGTTGAAGATCTTGAGAAGAAGTGGACCGAGATTGAGCTCAAAGAGCTTCCAACCGTCGCCGAAACATTTGTGGAAGGCTGGGATGCCGATTGCGATAAGTGTTTGCTTATTGGATCATGGCGGCATGGATTGGAGAATTATGAGCTGATCAAAGGCGATGAGAATCTGTGTTTTGTCGAGAAGAATCTGCCGACGTGGCCGTCGCCCGCTGAACTCTGGCTTCGATTCCGTCGGCTCGTTGGAACGAGTCAACGGAATCTGCATGATCCGATCTATGAGCGACTCAAGTGGTCTCGACGAGAGGAGCAAGAATTTATGCGAGTCCTTCGCGCCTACGGAATCAAAGATTTGCCGAATGACTCGACGAAGATTGATTGGAACACGTTCCGCAGCTTCTCGCCGCTTTTGGAGAAGAAGAGCAATGAGGAATGTCAGGAGCATTTGTTCTGCTTGCTGGCGATGTGCACGCGAGCGCAAGGCGGCGAATTGAGTCCGATGGATTTGAAGAGGGCGTTGGCGGTGGAGCAGCTGAATCCGAGACGCGCCTTCCGGCTCATGAATCGCCTTCATCTTACTAGAAAGGTATGACGTTTGTTTTCCTATCTCTTTGGGTTAATTTTCGGAGTTCTTAGATTCACGCGTTGTCCACTCAACCGACATCGCCTCATCTGAAGCTGTGCGAAACGGATGGTATGCCGGCGGGTTGGAGCACACAGAACGACGTTGAACTCCTCGAGGTGTGCAACAAGCATGGCATCGATGGTATTCTGACGCATTTCGCCAAGACGCCGTCATACGAGAAGATCGCGCGGCCGTCGGAACGCACGCTCGTTCGACGCGTCATCGAGATTGTGAACACGATCGAGGCCGGCAAATGGTGTGGCGCCGGCGATGTCGACACAATTGAGGATAGCGATTCGGAGGAGATGTCGGCGAGTTTGGCGCAGGCGCAAGCGATTCGATTGCAACAGCAGGCGCAAGCGGCGCAGAACGCCGCGAGGAGAGGACGCAAGAGGAATGCGGTGGTGAACGATCAGGATGCGAAGATGCGAGCCCTCATGCAGCAAATGCTTCTCGCTAGTGGATCGGCGAGCTCGCAGAGCGATCTGGCGGCGGCGGCGTTGATTCAGTCGCTCATGATGCCGCAATTGATGGCGGCTAGTGGAACGCAGGCACAACAGGCCGCGAGTAATGCGGCGGCCGCCCAACTTCTCACCCAGATGTTCATGGGAGCGACGACGGCGGCGGCGGCGGCGGCGGCTGCGTCCACACCGAAACCGTCAGCATCGGCGGCGCTTGCGCAAGCCGCCGCACAATCCACAAGCGACGCTGCCGCCCTCAATTTGCAGCAGCAAATCGCGATTGCCGAACTTCTTGCGGCTGCCGCTGGCGGCGCGCAGCCGACGGCGAAGAAGGCGAAGCCGGCGGCGGCGGTGAGCAAACCGCCGCAACCGGCGCCGTCGGAAGTGGCGTCGACGTCGAATCAGAGCGCGGTAAGAGCTGCCGAAACGCAATTGGAAGGCGATACCGCGATATTGCAGCATTTGGCGAATGCTGGCGTTGGAATGGGTGAGCTCATCGTGCTGAACGCGCTTCCGAAAGAGACGCCGATTCCGATGATGCACAAACGGACGAAGGAGAGTCTGCCGGACAACGAGCGTCCGATGGTCAAAGATTTGTCGGCGTTCATTTTGGCGAATCCCGATTACATGGTGGACTTGAACGGACAAGGAAAGAAGCCATCGAAGCCGGCTCCGCAGAAATCGGAGCCATCGAGTGCGAAGCCGTCGGCGCCGGCGACCCCGGCGCCAGTCGCTACGCCAAAAACGAGCAGTCCGAAGTAAGATATCGATGGTTTATTTTGGATTACATTAACGTTGACAATTTTCCAGACCTGAAACGAAGACACCGTCGGCCACGGCGAATATTAAGATTGGCAACACGCTTCAGATTGAAGATCCGATTGCGGTCTACAATCGGACCACTGGCGATCTGCTCGCCGCGTCGAAATGGCCGAAGGCGAAGGATTTAGCGAGTTGGCTTGATGCGAATCCCGATTGCAATGTGCACTCGAGCAGCACCGTCATCGCGCAATTGGTGTTGGGAAGCTCGCACGCCGATCGGCTAATGGGCGACACCGTCGTCACGATGCCGTCGACGTCGCACACGCCGGCTCCGCCGTTGACGCCGTCGACGCCTGCATCGATGTCGGCTGCGACGGCGGCGCAATTGGCTGCGTTGGCGGCGGCAAGCTCGCAGAAGGCGGCGAGAACTGGTAGGCGAATGCCGCCCGATGGGTATTTGATTGTTTTCTGTTTTAGCTCAACAGCAGAATGCGGATGCTCTGGCGAAACAGCAGATGGAGATGATCCAAATGCAGATGCTCCTCCAACAAGCGGCTCTTCAACAATCATTACTGATGTTCCCGTATGGAATGCCGACGACGTCGTCGACGGCGACGACGACAGCAACGTCGGTGGCTCCGACGGTGCAGACGCCGGCGGCAAGCAAGGTATTTGGCGATGTGAAGGGCGCATTCGGAGTGTCGAATGAATTTCAGGCTTCCGCTAGCAGCGCGTCCGTGTCGAACGCGGCCGACGACGCGATGAATCCGATGGTGATGCAGGCGTTGATGTCGAATCCGATGGTGCTTCAATCGTTGATGATGTCTGATCCGTCGATGGCGATGCTATTGGCGGCGACGGCGCCTGGCGGAGCCGCGACTGGTGCGTCGACGCAGAATTCGACGAATCAGAAGAAGAAGAACTAGATCGATTCGTGTGTATTCAAAGCAATTGTATCATAAGTGTCCTTTTTTGTTGGATTTTTTTCTCTCATTCTTTTTTTTCGACCATTTCTATGAAAATTCGAGTAATCTGAATTCAGGAATATTTTCGACTACACTGATTTGCGTTTCGTTTTATCTCTCTCTCTCTCTCCCTCTCTACATGTTCACATATCCCATTCAACAATTTTTTTGTTCTCGATCCCATTTTCTTTTGTACCATATTTCACTTGTATCATATTGATAATCACCACCCCCCCCCCTCCCCCGGTATTTAAGGGTCCCTCTCCCTCGTCAGCGAGGAATGGAGCTGACGCGATTTTTTTCTGGTCGGAAAAATCTTGGCAGTTTTCCGGGCTTCCCCCGTTTCCTCTCCCCCCGCATTCCCCCTCCCCACATCCAATTTATCAAAAGGCTCTCCTTGACATCACCTCCTAAATTTCTTGTGTAAAATACAAATCAATGCGAGTTACTTGAATTTTTACAATTGTGTACTACTTATATATATATATTCTATTTAATTATTTAATTGTTATCATCAAATTATATAATTATGTGATCTCTATATTCTCGAGAACGTTTTCCTCATCACCCATCCCACCCCAAAATTTATTTCTCTTATTTTAATTTAATAATGTATTTTATTTTAATCTAATTATTATTATTATTATATAAAACACCCAACTGTATTGCATTGATCGATTTCACCTTTTGTTCGTTGGCGATTCATTAGACGCCGATGGTGCACAGCGGGGCGCCTCGTGTTTTCCTCGCTTCTCGTTTGACGCAAAAATTTCGAAGCGTCGAATTTTCGGCATTCCTTTGCTGGTTTTTTTTCTTGCCCCCAGATCGTTGGATTCCGCGTAGATCAAAAACAGAAGCAGCCGGTATTCTATTTCGTAAAATTGGAGATTAGAATCGAAGAAATGAGAATGTGAAGGCGTTCGTCGCAAGACCCGAATTGTTGTGCGCGTTATGCGCCTTTAATCAAGGATGAAAAATGTCAAAAATTTGAGAAACAGTAGAGAGAAATCGAGAAAATTTAATGGGGTCTCCAAAATTGTTTTTTTTTTTTCGTTCCGAAATTGGAAAAAGAAAATAATCTAAAGCAATTTAAAGGCGCATAGGATCACAAATCAAATGCAGGACCATTCAAACTGTGTTCCGTTTGGTTGTTTCGCGTTTTGTTCTTTTCACACCGTCATCGGATCGTCGAGCGAATGAGATGCAAGCCGGCTCGTCGTATCTAATCGCGCGCGCAATCGGAATTTTCGAATAATCGAAACGCGGAGATTCTCATCGGATTGCGATCGACAAATCCCGGAAACCGGAAAAATCTCGGCATCGCGGGGGGTCCGCCGCCATTGTTCGTCACCAGTCACCCGGCCACGCCCACCAAAAATTGTTTGACTATAAATAAGGCGTCCTCTCATCATCAGCATCATCAGCATCATCATCGTCCGACCTTCAATCTAATATTTCGCCGCTGGAAACATTTTCGATTTCTTTGGTTGTACAAAGTGGTATGAAAACGCGCTTTCGCTCAACATACCACTTTTCAACTAAAGGAATCGCGAATGCTCGATAATTTATTCAAAATCTACTACAAAGACGACTGAAATGCAAAACATAATTATTGCTTTTTGGTACATGGGGGAAGGGGTCCGAAGGGTTAGTGGTGTTGGGATAAAGCTGAAGTTAGGGGAGGGGGGCGACCAAATTCATAGAATTAATTGGAATAAGTTAGAATGAATGCTACGGCACAGGGTACAGTAATACCGAGAGATAGTAAGAGAGAGAGACGAAATTGGCAATTGAGAGGGTCCGACAAGAATTCCGTTCAAGTCGATGGCAGCCATTGTTTGAATTTAGTGTAGTGGCACAATCACCTGCAAATTTTCAGCAATTTTTGGGGGAAAATTCAAGATTCGCATCGAGACCCATCGCATCAAATATCCAGCCAATTTATGCGATGGGTCTCGACGCGAAGCCTAATTTTCGACTTCTGTTCTTCTTTTTTCATTGAACAAATTTAAGAAAACGCAAAATTTCATCCAAATCGATTCATTCTTTTCAGAAAAAAATTGTTTTTTTTTTTTTCATTTTTTTTTTCGCACAAAAACTTCTATGAAAAAACCGTGGCAAATTAATGGAAATTTCAAGCAACAAAAAAATGGCGATACAATCAAAAAAGATCGAATTTGTGTTTCTTCTCGATCAAGATTAGAATCTCCGGTGTTTCATCAACACAGAAAAACTCGTTTTTTAAAGAAACCCCCATTGAAACAAAAAACGAAGAAGAAGAAAAGATGGAATTTTTGTTTTACCTGAACATAAGTGACAGGGAACAACCCAGTCTTCCCATTCACGCGTCCTTCGAACCAATTCTCATCAATCTGCGATATCAGCTCGATGATGGTGCCTTCCTTGAATTCAAGCTGCAACACCAAGTCGTTCAATCGGCTATGACATCAAAACGCTCACCTCTCCTTCACTTTGCGCGTCGAAATCGAACAGTGCTCGACAGTGCGGCTTCTGTTGCGCTTGTTGTTGGGATAGCGGCGGCGGGAGGCCGCCGGGTGGTGGTCCCGTCGCGAACGCCTGCGGCTGCTGATAGCCATTATTCTGAAGCGCGTTCGACGGCGGCGCCTGATGATTGACGGTGTCGATTGGCGCCGGCGATCTGAAACTGCAATCGCATCATTGACACGGGGGTTCGCATGCAGAAGCGAGGGAGAGACATGACAACAGAGGACGTCAACGAACCTCGAACGTGGCGTGCGGCATTCGGTGGCCAACACCGGTATCGGAATGTGCTCCTCGCGCGGTCGACTCGCAGCTTCTTTGATTCTGAAAACCACAAAAGAAGAAATGGCGAATAAACGAGTGCCGCTCACCGATGGCTCAATTGTTGGTGCAAATTCTCCAACACTTGAACCGTTTGCCGATGAAAATCCAATTGGGCGTCGACGAGGGCGCGAAGTTGCGAGATTTGCTCGACCTGGAAGAAGCAATTGAGGAGGCGCGCCAAAAAAAAAATGATTACATCATTGCTGAGCACATTGAACATTGCCATTTCGGCGAGACGCTTCGACTCTTCGAGCTTCTCCTCGGCTTGGATCATCTCGTCGTCGCGACGCTGTTGCCGCTTCTTACAATCATAATCGAGACGGCGGCCTTTTAATTTTGTGCGATGATGCTGAAAAGTGGAAAAAAATAATTGAAAGCAAAATATGGCGAAAAAAACAAAACTCACATTCACATCTTTCAGCTCATTGTTCTGCAAATGGATGAGTGGATCGAGAAAGTTCTGCTTCACGTTGTCCTCCATTTGATATTTGATGTCGGCCATTTGACGGTACGCTTCGGCGGCGTCTGTGAGAGCCTGCAGAGAAAATTTTCCAAAAAAAAAAAACGAAAATTTGATGAAATTCCAGTTTTCGGTATATTCAACGCGATTTTGGCTCAAAAAAGTTCAAATTTAACATGATTAAAAAAAATGAAACTCTCGAATTTCGATATTTTTTCATTCCACTCACCTTGCCTAGATCGCTTCGATCGCCCAATTGTTGGCCGTACTTTTGCATCGTCTCCGCCAGCATGCCTTCCGTTTGCGGATACGGCGACGTTTTCGCGGTGCCGCGCACTTTCGACAACGCCGAGACGGTCGCCATTTTGGCGCGTGTCGCTTAAAAATTCAACAAGGGAAACCAATTGCGTCAGAAATCGATGATCGCCGTTTATTGCAATGAATGACAACGAACAAAAATGAAACAACTAGAAAACGAAATCACGAAACTGAAAGCTGCGGTGAGGTGAGTCAAACAAAACGAACCCATATATTATTGGTAATTGAACACAGGGACCATGAGGCTCACAATTTTTGAAGCTCGATGAGCCGACCCGAATCCATCAAAAACACTTCGGAATCGCAATTACGGGCTTTGAGTTGGAACACACCCGATGGTTGCGGATCGGCGATCTCGAGCTCGACACCCGCCGTCAGTCTCATTCCAATTTTTGCGTTTTGGCGCTCGAGCTCGCCGATGCTCACATACGAGTACAAGGTGTTGATTGGATTGAGGACGGTCTCGTCGAGATGCGCTCGCAGCCATCCGATTGCCTCGTCGATGAGCGCCTCGTGTGCCTTCATACACCGACAGTCATTGAGCATCAACTCGGTCTCATAGGCGAATGTGAGGCGAAACCGATTGAGGTCGAGTTTGTGCGCGAGACCGACACCCTCGAGCACCGCCATCACGTCGTACAATCGTCGACGCGGGATTCGCAACAATCGCGCCATCGTGTTGACGTTGACGAGTCGCGCGCCGGTCGCCTTCTTGACGGCTAGCAACTTCTTCGTGACGACCGTCAACGAGTTGGCGAATCGCGGCGAGACGGCGGCGTTGATCGCGTCGAGCACGCGCTTCAAATCGGTGCCGCCGAGGAGCAACGCGAGCTCGTCGCCACCGCCGCCGCCGCCGACGACGACGTCCATCATCGCATCGCCGATGGCTGGAAAATGGTTCGCGAGAGGCACAACAACGACGAAGACGTTGACGAGCACATGCGAAAATTGGGTAAAGCGTGCGATGAAACGGGGGAAACGAGCTGAAGAGGGAGAAGCAGAAGAAGAAATTGACGATTACCTGGATTCGGCTGAAGGTACTCATTGGTGCCGGCGACGAGGTCGGTGATCAGCGAATAAGTGGTGTCGATGTTCTGCAAATTTATTTTTTTTCCAAATTCTTTGATTTCGCTCACCTTTTCCATTTCGTTGAAGATGTCGTCGAGTTTCGTCGGCTCTGCGGCGCCCATCGTTTCAGATAGGTACTATAAAAAACGAGAAGTTGGCGGTGTGCGCTTTCTCTCGCAGGAAACTTGACACAATAATGGTGCCATGCGGAATTTGCAACAAGAAAAAAATGAATTACCTGATTGGCCTTGTTGAATTGCTTCCTCAACCCGGAAAGCGACATGATTGGTGGCTGAAAATTGAAAAAAAAAAATGAAAAATGATAAGCAGGGGACTAAAAAAAAAGGAATGAAAAGGTGAAGTGTACGAATATTTAAGGCGAGCGCGATGAAAATGGCGCAATTTTCGCGCGACGAGAGCACAAATCTTTCATCTCCTCCCCCTCCCCTCGTACACTCCTTTTTGGGCACATCAAACACAAAAAGAAAGACGAGCGGGTCCCCCAGGCATCGTCGAAAAGAAGAAACACAATATAAACGGTGTTTGTGTGTGGAAACAAGAGAGGCAATTGGGCATGACGTCAGTTGGCGAGCAATTATTAAAGGTGCATGAGCACACGATTAATTAATGGTCTCGCGGCGAGACAGCGTGGCTACAATGCGAAAACCCTCGCGGCATTATAAGATTATGCTGTAATTTGGTTTAAAGGCGCACACACGAGTTTCGTGGGAGGGGGCATAATTGGCTTTGTGAGGGAGAGAAATGGCCAATTATTGGGGTGTAGGTCTCGGGGCGAATAATCACGAAACGAATTGCGAATGTGGAATCAGTTGATTGGCTTGAATTGCGATAAAACGATGGAAAATTTGTGATAAGAAAATTATTACAGCTGCGGACAATTAGCGGGTTTTGTGCCAAACGAGATGACTCATGACTATAAAAGGGCAACTGGCGATGGGGCGCACTTGATCGGAAGAGATAAGGTAATCTATGCGGATTTTGAGAGAGTCGTTGGGATTACACTAGCGGAATTTAGGTGACTCAGCGAGAAAAAAAAGAAAAAGGAAGACGAAGGAGAAGCTGGCGACGACGACGACGGCGGCGAAGGAGACGTACCACACAAACTTATTGATTCAGTTATTTTTGTCGCGCCTGTCTGCGCACTCCGCCAACGGTGCGGTGTCTCGTCGCCTCGCGACCCCACGAGGAAAGCAGGCGAACGAAAAAAAAAATGAAAGAAATGAATCGAACACTAGTTGTACACATATGTATGTGTACATCATCCCACCCTCTCTCTCTCTATTCTTTTTCCTTATATGGGGGATTTGCTAGAAAAGAAAAAAAAGAGAGAGAGGGAGATGAGCGGATATTATTAAATTTCGAAAGCTGCTGGCTTCAAATTCGCGCTGTGGTGTACTGCGGACGCGTGTTGTCTACAGTAACCGCTAGGTGCGCGTTAAAAAATTTATATGAAACACATTATTTCGAAATGGCGCGGAGGGCAAAATTTGCACAAAATAAACAGAAATAAAAATTCATAATGGCGGCGGCAAAGAGCACACTTTGTCGAGTGCCGGAGAGCACAGCGCAAACACCTCGTTACTTTCATGGGCGGCCTTTTCTCGAGGCCGACGTCTGAATAATTTATTCGCTCATTCAGCTAGAAAGAGAGCGAGAAGATGTGCAATCGGATATTTTTTCTCCTGCAGAAGCCGCCGCAATGCGAATTTGGAAGAAGAAAATGAAAAGCGCGGTCGAAAAGTGTAAAGTGAATTAGTCGCGATGATGAAGCCATTTTTTTGGTTTTCAAATTGTAATTTTCTAGAGGGGACAATTTTTGAAATATGCGAAAACCGCAAATTTTGCATAGCTTCCGCGTTCGGGAAATGATTGATGAAGGGCTCGGCATCAATTTTGCACAAAATTTCGAAGAGCGGGAATTTTTTGAAATAATTTTGGAAAGCTGGGAATATGAAAATATCAATTCGGCTTCTTGTTCTTCTTCGCCAATTTTTTATGACCCTTTTTTGTGCGAAAACTTGCGCCGTTTTGGTTTATGAAGAGCCGTTATAGTGGATTTCTGAAAAAAAAAACTCGCTACCATAATTTTTGCTGCGAGACCCAGCGCAAAAAAATTCATGTGCCTTCTAATTTCGAATTGTCTTTCACTGATTTTGTCCAATTTTCTATTTTTGGAATTTTAAAAAATTCGCCGTTTTTTGGTTATGCAAATTTGAATTGAAAAATGTGAGTTCGGATACCGTACCCTGGATAACCTGCGAATCAAACTCGCCGCAGGGGTCTCGTTTTTTCGTAAATGTAAAATTACAGAACTACACTAGAAATAGTCAGTCTGTCGTCAAATGATGCGCATTGTTGTGCATTCACCAAATCATTCTCATTGCACAAAAATTTTTCAAATTTATTTTCATTTTGCCCCTCAACAAATTTTCAAATAACTCTTAAAATCGGGGTGTTCATTCGAAAATGCGCCCAATTGGCGGAATTTTGGAATTTCGAGCCGACGTGACTTAAAAACCTTACCTGGCATTACTTGCCATCAATAGAGATACAAGCAAAAAACGCCGAACACCGTCTTCTCTGCGCCCTCGTCAATCTCCCATAGTATTTCGTCGCGATTCGTCGGCTCCCTCCACCAATTAGCACACTATTTCGTCGATTTGTGTCACTGTCTCGCACCTCCAAAGTATTCGGGATTCCTGCTCGAAGTCCACACCATCTTTATAGTTTTAATAATAATTATTAAAATAATATGAAACTTGATTTTTTCGAATTTTGTAATGCTCAATCATTTTTTCCCACAAATTTCTGGTTTTTTTTTCTTGCAGCTCGCAATGAGTCAGGACGACGACGATAGTGAGTAAGTCATTCAAACAAATTTTTTTATCTTCATTGGAAAGAAAAAATGTTTTCTAGTGTCTGTGTTATCGAACCTGAGGATTTGGAGCTCGCCAAGGAGATTGAGAATGAGCGAAAAGCCAAACGGGCGGCTATGATCAAGGCGAAAAAGGAGGTTGGTGGATGGATTTGGGCGTTGACACGATTGCCTTGATATTTCTAGAAGGAGGGGATTGCGGAAATTTCGAGGAAACGAAAACAGGCGACGAATAGACGATCGGATGGCGACGATTCGCAAAGTGACGACGATGATAAGCCGAGGCGAAGGCCGACGAGGGTGTGAATTGATTTCGTCGCCACTCGAAAAACAAAAATTCCAGAATCCGACACAATCGGGTCAGAAGAAGGTGCGAATTGCTCAATTATCGCCGTCGTCGTCAGAAGACGAGATTATGCCGAAGAAAGGGACGAGATCGAGGCGACGACGATCGGATATTATATCGGACAGCGATGCCAGCATGAAATCGGACAACGATGATGAGATCGAAGAGCTCGAGGCGGATGAGGTTGAGCCGAAATCGATGAAGAAACGTGGGCAATTTTCTCATTTTTTTGGAAAATTCCTTCAAAAAATTTGTTTTAGGAATAGGGCATGCTCGAATTGATAGCGATGATGATGATGATGATCGTGTTGCGCCGCGCCGAAATCCGGAAAGGAGAAAACCGAAATTCATTCCATCGCGCTCGTTCGAGGAGGAGAAGAAGAAGAAGAAGCGCGGGATACTCGAGGACGAGGATCTCGCCAAAGAGACGGTCGACGCCGAGAAGGCGGAAAGGGAGAGGAGGAAGCGATTGGAGCAGAAGCAGAAGGAGTTCAATGGAATCGAGCTTGTCGAAGGCGCCGATTTGACGGAGGCATTGACCGGACAATCGTCGCAGAGGAAGCTGAAGGTATGAGTCGAATTGGGGGTTTTTTTTTGGAAAAAAAATGCTTTACAATTTGTGTTCTCAATGTGAAAATTTTGAGAACGTCATTGTGGATCCCGACGCGAAAAGCGTGCCGCCCGTACCGGTCGCCGTTCATCAGAGCCTCGTGCGAATATTGAAGCCGCATCAGGCGCACGGCATCCAATTCATGTATGATTGCGCGATCGAATCGATCGAGCGCCTCGACACGGGCGGAAGCGGCGGCATTCTGGCGCATTGTATGGGTCTCGGCAAAACGCTTCAAGTCATCACGTTTCTGCACACGGTGATGATGCACCCGAAAACCGGCGAGCACATCAAACGCGTGCTCGTCGTTGTGCCCAAAAATGTCATCATCAATTGGTACAAGGAGTTCCAGAAGTGGCTGTACGAGAATGACGAGGACCTCGACACACTTGAGGTGAGAGACCAAGCATTTTTTTTTGAGATCTTTTTTTTCCACAGATTGCCGAACTCGATTCGTGCAAGACGATTGAAGAACGCAAATATGCTCTTAAGCAATGGCACACCTCGAAAAGTAGGGCACCAGATTGGTGAATTTGAATCTATAAATTCGCGTTCAGATCCTAGTGTTATGATAATCGGTTATGATCTGTTTCGAATTTTGACCGCCGAAGAGGATCCGAAGAAGAAGAAGCCGGCGAAGAGTGTAAGAATGCGAATCAAATCATGTACAAATATGTATATTTTCTTGTAGAAAAGCAAAGTGGCGAGAAAATTGGCGAAAGCGCAAGCGGAATTTCGGCAATACCTTCAGAATCCCGGGCCCGATCTTGTTGTGTGCGATGAAGCGCACAAGCTGAAGAACGACGAGTCGGCGTTGTCGCGAACGATGGTCAAAATTCGAACGATGCGTCGAATCTGTCTCACCGGCACGCCGCTTCAGAACAATCTCATGGAGTGTGAGTTTATGATTTATCAGAAATGCCAGTCAAAAAAAAATGAATCGTAAAGGAGAGGTCTCGACGCGCGCGGTGTGCGCCTTTAAAAATAGGTCCGTAAATCTACACGATTAGTTTTGCGTCAAGACCTCTCCCATTTTTATTTTGTGGAATGTTTAATGACAATTTTTTTTCTCTCAGACCATTGTATGGTGAATTTCGTCAAGCCGGGCCTTCTCGGAACGAAAGCCGAATTTGCGAATCGTTTTGTAAATATTATTAATCGTGGCAGGACCAAAGATGCAACACTGGCCGAGGTCAAATTTATGAAGCGACGATGTCATGTGTTGTATGAGCACTTGAAAAAATGCGTTGATGTGAGTGGCTTGAAAAGAAGGAATGGCTCATTGTCATTTTTTTTGCAGCGCAAAGATTATCGAGTGCTGACCGAGGCGATACCTCCCAAGCAGGAATACGTGTTGAATGTTCGTCTCACCGAGCGACAAATCAAATTATATAGGTAATTAGGCTGAATTCGTTTTTTTTTTAATTACTCTAGAACCCACTTTAGGCTTTTTCTCGAGACGGTGGTGAATGGTTGCGGGTTGTCGAAACGCCTTCTTCCCGATTATCACGTCCTGTCGCGCATTTGGACGCATCCTTATCTTCTTGTGCTTCATGAGAAGAAGCTTGAACGCGATCGGCTACTCAAAGAGGAGCAGGACGAGGATGAGGCGTTTCTGAACGACGACGATGAGAGCGAGGAGGAGACGGACGTCACTGACGATGACACCGATGAGGAATTGTTCATCGCGTCGGATTCGGACGATGAGAAGGCGAAGCTGAAGAAGATGAAGAAGATGGTGACGACGACGAGGCCGGCGAAGAGCAACGGCGCGGATCCGGCGGTGCAGAGTCTCATGCGATCGTTGAGAGCGTCGAGGCGATTGGCCGGCGACGCGCCGGAAGAGTTTGATCGCGAAGACACACCGCCGGAATATAGTGGATGGTTCGCGATGAGCGGACTCATCGAGGAATCGGACAGCGTCAATTGGATGTTGAGCAACAAATTGGCGCTTCTCTGCGAGATCATCAAAAAGTGCGAGGCGATCGGCGACAAACTGTGAGAATTTCGACGAGACGCGTTGATTAATTTGTTTTTTGTCCAGATTGGTCTTCTCGCAATCGCTTGAATCTCTTGGGCTCATCCGGCGAATGCTTGAATGGATGGCTGGAACTGGACAATGGTTTGCCGATGGTCACGAGGCGCTCAATGCCGAGGGCGAGGTTGGTTCATCTTGTGCTTCAATTGTTGATCATTCAAAAAAAAAAAACAAAAAAGAATTTCAGACGTGGTCGTGGCTCGATGGGCTCGATTATATGACGATTGACGGTTCGGTGCAGTCGGTGAAGCGCGACGCCGTCCAATCGGCGTTCAACGATCCGGACAACATGCGAGCGCGTCTGATGTTGATATCGACGCGCGCCGGAAGTCTCGGCACGAATATGGTGTCGGCGAATCGCGTTGTGATTTTCGACGCCTGCTGGAATCCGTCGCACGACACCCAATCGCTGTTTCGCGTCTATCGATTCGGACAAACGAAACCTGTATATATTTATCGATTCATCGCTCAGGTAGCTTCGATTTTCTGTGAAAGAGCTCACAATTTAGTTTTTTGGGTTCAGGGAACTATGGAGGAGCGCATTTATAAGCGACAAGTCACCAAAGAATCGACGTCGATGAGAGTCGTCGATGAGGCTCAGATTCAACGGCATTATGATGGGCATGATTTGGAGGAGCTTTATCAGTGAGTTTTTTTTTGTAATTAAAGGCGCATGGCGAAAAGAGCCGGTCTCGAGGCGAAAATTGGAAAAAAAATTAAAATTGTTTCGAACACTTATCTAGTGAATGTCGGCGCCAAGAATTTTCGAATCAATAATGAAAATTGTTCTAGATTCACGCCTGTCGAGCTCGACACTGAAAACGAAGTGGTTCCGACGTTCGCGCCGCCGAAAGACCGCCTACTCGCCGATGTTCTATTGGAGAATTGCCAATCGGTCGTCGATTATTTCGAGCACGACACGCTGTTCGCGAATGTCGAAGACGAGAAGTTGACCGAAGAGGAGATGCGTGACGCGTGGAACGATTACGAGAATGAGAGGCGCGCAGTGTCGACGCATCGCTACGGAATTCATTCGGACGCGATGCGTATCGATGCGAATCGATCGATAACTGAAAGGGTTTGTGGATTTGCTCCTCGAGCCTCCCCAATGATTATTATATGTGTTTTCAGAATAGTCTCGGCGTGTTGGCGACGGACGCCGTATTCCAGGAGTGCATGAAAATGCCGCAAATGGATCCGCAAATTGCGCTTCGAATTGTGTTTTTGAAGCGCGCGCTCGACGAGCTGCTGCCGACGATACCGCATGAGATGCGCGGCGGCATGAACGAGTTCAGCACGCATTTCCTGAAATTGATTCATGTGAGTTGCGCGGTGGCGAATTGGCTAAATGCCAAACAATTTGGAAAGAGGTCTCGGTGTGCTCTTTCAACCTACATAGGCCCGTAAATCGACACTTTGATTTTTGGACTGTCATAATTTTGTTGGCATTTGGCCAATTTTACGACAATACAATTTGGCGAAAAAAAGGAACTTGGAAAAATCGCTATGCAGACGGCCGAAATAAGACTCGAAAAACTTCGGCCACGGCCAGATTTTTTTGTTTTCCTTTTTTTTTGCAAGACTTGAAATTTCATCATATGCGCCTTTAACCGTAACCAGAACGATTTTATTTTTTTAAATTCAATTTTTCCATTACGATTACTGTTGTGATTCTAGGCGCACATACAAATTTTTTATGAGTCTTGCAAAGATTTTTAAAATTGTGGTATTGAAGACTTTTAAAAATCTGAACGCGGTTGAATTTTTTTTATAACTGCATAGTATCTTTAAAGAAACCTTCTAAACTCGAAGTGATGTATTCAAACTAATTATACGACATTAATTATGGGTACTAGGATTTTTTAGAGCTCTAATGTTAATTAATCAAATTTTAATGGGAGTAATCTTAAAAGAAAAAAATGTGATAAAAAATAGATCGAAAAAGAATGAAAATTCTACGTTAATTCGTCGCGGAGAATAAATATGTGAATTGTCGTCAAATAGAATGCACAAGTCCGCAATGATTAAAATTTCGCTTATTTTTCGATATTTTTTTGTGCTCATCACCAAAAATTGGGAGAATGATTCACAAAGAAGTCTTTAAATTTCGAATTGAATCTGAAAATATTATTGCGGACTTGTGCATTTTATTTGACGACTACACACGAATTAACGTCGAATTTTCTTTGATTTTTTATTTCTTATCTAGTTTTAATAACTTTTATACTTTTAAAGGAGACCTATTTGTGGAAAAATACTGATTTTCTCTTTTTTTGGAAATTTTCGAGTCTCGATGGTTTTCTTTAAATGCGACACTTCAGGAATCGATTCGAACCCGACAGTTGCCGAGTGCTCTTCTCCAGAAGGCGATTGACACGTTCCGAACTGTCATCAAAATGGTGAAGACGATCGACTCGTGCCTGCCGTTTCTGATTCGCCTCCAAGCCGAACATCCGAGCTTTTTCGATCCCAACGATCCGATTGTTTCCGTTTGACCCTAAAAGGGACCTGTGTGAAATCGACAGCTTCATTTTCTGTATAGAATCTCGAGTAATATTAATCATTATTGGCCCTCTCAATTTTTTTTGGTTTCAAAAAATGAACAGAGTTTAATTTTTGTATTTATTTAACTTATTAATTAATGTTGAAAAATTTTTTTTCTTTTTGTTCACCTCTCTCTCTCTCTCTTTTTTTGTATTATCTACATCCATCATCGACTCATAAAATTTTTGAAATTTGTACCGACAAAGCGGACATGTGTTTTATTGGCGACTACGTGGCGCGAAATCGTCGGGGATTTGCAACCAATAGCCGCGGAAATCTATTTGAATTCTACTAGATGGTACTGTAGATGGGATTGTGTGCAAACACCTCGCGAGGTGCCTACGGATTTTTCTTTCGATTTTTTTTTCTAGAAAAGAATGTGCTTTTAGAATGGGTTGCTTCATTTAAACCAATTTGAAAATTTGAATTTTGCTCACAGTTACTGTAGTTTGCGAAGTACGCAGTCGCCGTGTTTGCGGACTCTTAATTTTTTTGGTTTCCCAATTGCCGATTTTGCGCATATTTTTTTTCGACGATTTCTCGTAATTCAATGTCGTTTTCAGAATGCTTCGATATTCATCTGGCGAACGCCGACGTGACCCGAGAAATGTCGAATAGCGATGCGTCGACGCCACGCCCATTTTCGCGGCCGCACGCCGGCCGGCCGGCATTGTTGTGTCATTCGTCGACGAATTCCACCCACCTGTAATCGGCTGATGCGACGCGTCGTTGCCGACCAATCGGCGGCGTTCCAATCGGACCACTTCCTCGCGCGTCTCGCCAACTACACCGACGCGCGGTTCGCGTTGTTCGAGCACGCGCCGGCCGCCGAGCGTCGCCAACGATTCCGCGCGCTCATTCAACAACACAAACTGCCGCTGGTGGGTGCGAATCGAACCAAAATTGTAGATAGCCATCCGAAAATCTCCGCGCGCGAATCTATCTTCGTCCCGCCGTCGCGCTCGTTGTTCCATTCTTCCTTATCGCGCCGAGTGGGTTCGACCGACACCTTGATAAGTGACGCAAGTCAAACAGAGAGAAAAAAGAGGAAGAGACGATGAATATGTGTCGGCTCGTTTTCCAAACATTGCCAAACAATTTCGGCAAAAATTGTTCTCTCTTCAATTTTTTCTTGTTTGCAGACGTTCATTGAAACCGGCGTCAACGTCCCGCTGGTGCTCGAAACGCATCAGGACGACGGAATTGAGGTGAGCCGTTGATTGTCCGCAATGAAGCCGTCACGTCATCAAATTGCAGATCGCTTTCCGATCGGCGGCATTCATCTTCAACGGAGTCTGGGTGCGCGTTATTGGAACGATGAGCTTGAACTCGCTGGAAGGACCAGTGCGATTCGAGATGGACACCGGCGAGCACGGCGATGAGGTCGCGTATCTCACGGAGACCGAATTGCAAATTTTGCGCGATCGCGGTCTTTCGGTGTAATTCATTTTTTCTTTTTGAATAATCGTTCAAATCTCGCGGGTCCTTTGTGTCATTTTGCTATTTATTTATTTATTTATTTATGTGTACTCGAATAAATGTTGTATACGAAGGCGACACCTATTTTACACTGCTTGGTCCGTCAAACAGCTGCGCGGAGTTGTTGGCACAACTTTAATGGCCGGCAACACCTACCAACTTGATTCGAGTAATTGAAAGGGAGAGAGAGAGATAATTGTTTGGCCGATTCGCGATTCGAACTCGATTCCGGACACTGAATTACGGATCGATTCATCGGCAGAATTCATATTGAGCTTAGATCCTCTAAATTCGGCAAAATATTTTCCAAATTGAATTTTAAATAAAAATACCTCATTTTGATGGCGGTTTCACATCAAATTTCAACGGTTTTTTTCTGAAGAATTTTCCATTCAACAAAAAATTGTGAATTACCAAATTTAACGGCTCATATTGCGGTTTTCTTTTTCGGCAACGTCTCGAATTTTCTGAAAATGAAAGAGGAAGCAGAAATTATCAGTTAGAGAGAGAAATAATCGCGATAAAATGAAAATCGAGAGAGAAAAATTGGAAAAAAAACGAATATGTGTTCATTTTTGCGTTCGATGTTTGCGGACATCGATGCTACCGTAACGCACAAAACAAAAATTGTTTCTAAAAACACTATTTATTATAAATGATATTTTTTGATGGAATATAAGGAATTTGTGAGTGAATCAGCTAGAATTTTTGAGTTTCTGAATTTGTGTAAAAATTGACATGCTATAATAAATTTTTTGGATATCGCCGACTTAATGAAAAAAAAATTGGGAATTTTTCTAATTTTGGTTATTTTTTTGGATAAATAAAGGCGCATGCAGTTTTTGTTTTGAGTCTCTCGCACCGAACGATTCTGGTATCCATCGTTGTTGCTTTCGAGAAACACAACAACGCTTCTCGGTGCTCTTTGAAATTTGCCCTGTGGACTTTGACCCTCGGTCAACAGTCAACGTCATGATCTTCAATGTGATCTTCAATTATTGCCCACTTTTTTCTTTAGAGAAAAAAATCCAAAAAAAATTATTTTTTTTTATTCCGATGACAAATATTCAAGAAAACAAATTGAAAGATTAAAAACGAAGTTATATTATTTTAATTGTAGTTTTATTAAACACTAAACACTCAAATGAGACTCATTTGCATTTATTTTGGTGCAAGAAGGAACGTAGTTCAAACAACCAATCAAATTTGCCAATTCTTTTTGTTTGATAATTGATAAGCATTCAATGTATGCTGTGGGGTGGCCTCGATGCCGTGACCTCTCGTGCGCGTGTCACAAGAGATTCGCAAAAGTATAGCATGCACTCTATACAACTCATAGCGCAAATGTGTATATGGAATCGGTTCGCAATTAACAACATATATGTTTTAATGCTCATAACACTCTCACAACATGCTCTTCTTATCGAAAACTCTTCACCAAACAAGGGCATCGGGCGAATGATAAGAAAAAACTGAGTGGGACTACTCGATTCGCCCAATATTTGCGAAGCTCTCACAGAAATAATACACCTGTTCAAATGCAAAATCCAAATCGCTGATGATATATTGACAGTTTGTATTCAATGCAGCCAAAATTCCTATTTTATATTTATGAAAAGCTAATATTTTTTTTTGTTCATTCGATATTAACAAAAACGAAATTCAATCTTTTTTATTATTCCCCCGCTTCATGTACAATTTTTCCGGTATTATTTTTTTTGATAAGAAGCGAGTCGTTATAGCAACGTAGTTTGCATGGAAACTAACGCAGCCAATGAATTTTGTTTCTCAAAAATGGTCAAAAAAGACTTATTCTCGTATTTCAACGCCAGTCAATTGCAATTTTTTTGAATTTTATTTTTTAGATGGGTGTTAGCCGAAAATTAACATCGATTCGCCGCCGAATTGTCAATAACTCACGCACAATTTTGATCTACGCCATCGTTTTGGCGTCCACATTCTGTTTAGCATATTATCGACGAATCTCGTATGAACGTGTGGTGAGATTTTTTTCGAATTTTTAGGCGTGTTTTTGTATGCCGATTGGATTACTGTAGTGTGTGCAGGTCGTTGTGATCGGTGTTTGCGGACAATTTTGATTTTCCTCAAAAAAATTTTTTCCACTTCACTTTTTTTTCGGATTTTTATATTTTTTTTTGGATATATCTTTCTTTTTTCACACTTTCGATGCAAAATATCAATATTTTCCAGATTTCCCGCCGATTTCCATTCCAATTGCCCGTCGATTATTATGAGTCCAATGTGGAACCGATTAAAGAGCCAAAAACCGACTATAATGTAATGATTGGTGAAGAGAATTGACTAGAAGTATTCAGACATTCGAATTGTTCAAAACCGTCGTTGGCTTGAGAAAAAGTGAAGTTTATCGAAAAAACTCAACGTCGCATGGAAAATTGAAGGTGTTCGTGCTGCCATTCACCCATGTGGATCCTGGTAATCGAAAGCCGACAAATGTTGCGTCATCCTTCTATTCTTGTTTTAGGTTGGCTGCGGACATTCGACAGCTATTCGGCCGACACGAACGCGATTCTCACCAATATGCACAATTTTATGACGAAACATGAGAAGATGCGATTCATGTGGGCCGAGTTTGTCTTCTTCGAACGATGGTTTCGAGTGCAGGACGAGACTGTCCGCGACGACGTCCGCAGGTTGGTCTCACAACGAGTCTCCCTTACATTCAACATTGTTCAGACTTGTCGCCGACGGTCGTCTGGAGCTCGTCACGGGCTCATGGGTGATGACCGACGAGGCGAACGCGTGGTTTCCCGTGTCGGTTGACAACATCATCGAGGGATTCGATTTTATTCGCAAAGAGTTCCGCACGAAGCCGAGCGCGATTTGGTCGAACGACCCATTCGGCTACTCAAATTCGATTCCGTATCTTTTCCGGAAGGCCGGCCTCCGGAGGAGTGTGATCAATCGGATTCATCATACTCTGAAGCGAGCGCTTCAAGCGCACCATGCAATTCCGTTTCGATGGAGGCAGTATTTCGGTGAGCATTTTTTTCGGGTGTTCCCAAAAGCAAACCTTTTAGATAGGAATGGCGACAGCGATGTGCTCACCCATGTGCTACCCTACACCCACTACGATATATTGAACTCGTGTGGTCCCGACCCGAACGCGTGTTGCGAATTCGATTTCAAGCGAATGACGAAATGGCAGTGCGGCGGTGTGTCGACGGTGGCGATCACGGCGCGCAACGTCGCGTCGAAAGCGAGCACGCTCGTCGGCCAACTCGAGCTGATGGCCGACATGTACGAGGCGCCGGCGATTCTCATGATGCACGGCGACGATTTTCGATACGATCAACTCGACGAGTGGCATCAGCAGCACGACAACCTCGCGCCGCTTTTCGACGAGATCAACAAAGGCGATCGCGTCGAAATCAGGTGGCGTTGACCCTTTTTGGAGATTTTTTTTTGATGGCAATTTTCTAGATTCGGCACATTTGATGATTATTTCAACGCGCTCGAAGTGCATTATAATCAATCCGGAACTCAACCGCCAACACTTTCCGGCGACTTTTTCCCATATATGTGCGCTTTGGGCGATTATTGGACCGGATATTATACGACTCGGCCGTTTTATAAGCGGCAGGGTCGAGAATTGCACGTGAGTCGAGTTTTTGCGAGGTTTCATGAAGCAAAAAAAAAAACCAAAAAAAGCTATTTGTCGCCATGGAGCGCACTTGCAACATTGGGCTATTTCAGAGTATAATTGCAAAAAAATTTGAAATTCTCCCCAAAATGATGTAATTTTGCCAAGAATGTTCGCATTAATGGGCATTTTTTTTTGAAATAACAATTTATCGCCATGGAGCGCACTTGCAACATTGCACTATTTCAGTGCATAACTCCAAAAAAGGACAAAAATTACAAAATAATTGAATGCAGCAATTTTGGTAAAATATAAATGTGTGAAAACAAATTCGCGCAGAAGCCTCTATTGTTTTAAAATGACTGGTGGCGGTGGACGTGGCCGCCAAAAACTAGTCCATCTATTTGAAAATTAATATCTGCTCATTTTTCCAATATTTTTGCACATTTTTTTTTACATTTTTAGAACCTAATCCGAACAGCCGATTTGCTGTCGGCGCTTCACGGCGGCTATTCATCCCAAGTTCTTCAATTGGCGAGAAGAAATTTGTCGCTTTTCCAGCATCACGACGCAATTACCGGTTGGCGGCAAATTCGAATTATTTTTTTGTTGTGATTGAATCAACTATATTTGCCAGGAACGTCGAAAGTGAGTGTAATGAAGGACTATTCCCATCTGCTTCATTCGTCGATTATTGCCGTCAAAGAGGAAATCGAGAAAATTGAGAAGATTCGAATTGTTTGCGCAATTTGATGTTCAATTTGTTATATTTTTTGTGAAATTTTAGGAAAAATATCCGAGAAAACAATTTGAAACGGAAACCCAGGAATTATTAAAAATTGAAGATGAAATGTAGTTGGAAAAATTGGAAATAAATAATTTGAATTCAATTTTCAGGACGCTTTCGATTTTCAACAGTTTGATGGTTACGGTAGATGAGGTGATTACGGTACGTGTGGACACTGTTGATATTCAAGTAGTGGATGAGAATGGCAAAATCGTTAGAGCTCAAATTGAGCCGTTCGTCGAAAAAGGAAAATTGGTGAAGAGCGACTTTTGGGTGGGTTTGAGGATGATTTTTTTTTTGGACCATTGAAATTTTCGCCCAAATTTTTTTCAGCTTGTATTCGCTGCTTCTCTCAAACCATTAACATACACGAATTTTGTTCTGCGGAAGATTGTGAATGCGCGCGAGTCGACGAAAATTTGTGAGGTCTCGACGCGAAACGAGTTTCGCGACAAACTCGAATCGCAAATTCATAGGTATTGCGCCATCTTTCTTTTTTTTTGTCAAATCCAATTTTTTTCCCCTCCAGCATCTTCTCTGTCCAAATCGAATCCAATCATTCGCTGGAGACCGATTTCCTCAAAACCGAGCATTCGGACGTCACGGGTCTCGTGCGGAGCGCAATTCTTCCGCTCGCCGACAGCAATAAGAAGAGAACGAGTTTGGCTCAAAAGTTTGTGACCTACAAAGGCGCGTCCGGTGGAGCGTACTTGATGCGAGTCAGCGCTGCTGAATTTGTGAGTGTTGAGAATCAAAAAAAAAAAGAAGAAACATCAGCGTCGCTCGAAATTTTTGTAGTATCTTCCGAAATCGTCGCCGGAATTCCATTATTACGCTCGTGGTCCCATCCGCCAATCGACGCATTTATTCGCAGAGTTGATCTACCAGCGGACGAGTCTCAAGAACGTTCAAGGGTTCGCCGGTCGCCAATTGGACATCGAGATGCGCGTCGACATTGTCACTCAGCAAAATCTCGAAATGATGGTTCGCTTCGAGACCGACTCGCCCGGCGTCGTCGGTTTCGCCGACAGCGTCGGCCTTCAGTTGCTCAAACGCGACGTCAATAAGAATCTGCCGGTGGCCGCCAACTTCTATCCGATGCCGTCGTCGGCCGCCGTACAATACGACGACGTGCGCGTGACGGTGTCGTCGAACGTCGAGCACGGCGTCAGATTCAATGAGAACGGCGGCATCGAAATCAACATCGGTGAGAATCGGGTCTCGTCGCCGCTCGCTCATCGCAATTTCAGATCGCATATTGAATCAGGATGATGGAAAAGGGTTGGGCAATGGCGATGACTCGATTCCGATCGATCTGTTTCCGGTCGACATGCGCTTCTCGGTGCTCGTCGAAACCGGCCTCGCGCGCATTGACGCCACCCAACATTCAACGTCGCATTCGGCATTCGGACATCGAAGCGTTCAGAATCTCATCTATCCGCCGCTGGTGGCGACGCACTCATCGACGGCCCGGAAGCCGTTTGACGTGTTCGCCGAACTTCCGTGCGATCTACAATTGTTGACGATTCGGCCGATTTCGGACAATCGCAAACTTCTCACACTATTCCGACATGGAATCGTGCAAACGGATCAAGATTGCTCGACGAATTTCGTGGTGAGATTCATCATTGGCGATTTCGTCGACTAATACTCTTCTAGACGGCATTTACTCAACTTCTACACAAAATCAACGCGAAAAAGGTGCAACAAACCGATTTGAGTGGGGTTTCGGCCATCTCGGACGTGCAGAACATTGAGGATTACCATCCGATTCCACCGAAACCGTTCGATTTTCTTAGCTTGATCATCTTCTAGCCATTTTCTTCTCATTGTTGTTGTTGTTGTATTCGTTAAACTACGGGGAAACGCATTAAATTTATTAAAGCATAATTCGTTGAAAGGCACATTCGATGAGATCACCAATTATTGGTAAAGCGTCACGAGACCGGCGACGATCGCAACACCAATCGCCGCCCATAGTCGATTTTCGAGATCGCCCAAATACTCGAATCGCAGAAATTTGCGACGCTCGATTCGTTTGCCGTTCCTCGCCACCCAATTCAACCAGAATCTCTGATAATCCTTGTGCAGCTCGCGATGGGTTTGAAGCATTCGCGCGAGTTGCTCGCTTCGAGACCAATACCTAAACGAGTGCGTTGCCGAGACGAATCAGCGGGGAATTTTTGGGCGAACCGCTCGATATTGCGTCGCATCTCGTGCATTTTCGCGCCGAGACCATCCAACTCGTGGACCGTCATCAATTCGGCGGCGCCGAGATCTGCGATCCTCGCCAGATTCGATATTTGGTCGCCCTGAAGCGGCACGCCGAGCACCGGCACCCCGAAGAGCGCCAACTCGTTGACGGTGTTGATTCCGCCGTGACAAATAATATAGTTGATGTTCTCGTGGGCTGAAAGAGAGTCTCCTTTAAAAAAGAAGAGCCGACAGAAAAGGCTCACCGAGAAGCTCTTTAATCGGCACCCATCCACTGATCATCACATTCGACGGGACCGTCAAATTGAACTTGGCGCGCATTTGTTGGCCACTCAAATCCGACTGCCAAATGATCAATCCGGGCTGCGACGAGAATGTGTCGAGAAGATGGGCGAGGAGCTCTTGGTGCATTTTGGTGACCTGCGCCACGCTGCCGAAGCTCACCAACACGAACTGCTCGCGATCGACGCGATTCCAATCGATCGTCGCATATTTTTGGCGAAGCATCGTCCGACGCGCCTCGATTTGCTCGCGATTCCGCACTTTGTCGAACAGCCAAGACCGTCGTCGAGCAACGTTCGTCGGAATGCATTCGTCTTCCGGACTCGACGCGTTTCGACGAACGACTGTTGACGTCGTCGGCGACGCCGAATTCAGATGACCGATTGAGCTGACGTAGTGATGAGGGCTCTTCATCGACGCAGATCCGAAGTGCTTCACCCGATAGTTGATGGGTCGAATCGTCTCGAGCAATAATTCGGAGCGGCCCGCGTAGATTGGCCGCTGCGCTTCATTCGTCTCGACGCGAATCTGAATTATTTTCAATTTTCAATCGATTCGCCAATTATTCACCCATGGATAGCCGTTTCTGGCGAACATTCGATCGAGTGTTTGCATTTGCACAAATCTAAATGCTCAATTTAAAAAAGGAAATAAATTTATTTTTTATAAAATGCAAACCTTGTGAAGACGATGGCAATATGGAAAAGGAGATTCTGGCATCGCTGCAAAAACGTCATCGAGTAGCTCGAGAGACGCGTTCCGGTTTTCGGCACAGCTGCCGGACTCGCCGGCAGGTTGAGGCTGGTGATGTAGCCGTCAGCAACCGGCCAATTGCTGAATTGGACGACGGATGCGTTGAGCAAATGCGCAAGACCGCCCATGCATTCCTGAAAAGTCGAAAATGAATTGGGGGGTCCGACAAATTGCACACAATGCATTACATCTTACGACATTCACACAAAATGCGCGCAAACCTGCAAAAAATGATCCAACACGGCCACCGTGATATTCTCGTATCTCAACTGCTGATATCGCGGATCGTGAAGCATCTTTGTGCAGTACTCCTGATGACGTTGGAGCATTCTGAAGAAGCAGGGAATTCGAATTGCATTCATGTGCCTTTAAACTCCCAACACGATGAACGAGCGAATTCCGTCGAATTGAAACGGCGTCTGGAAGTCGTACGGCACGTTCTGTCGCCACACCAGTTTGCCGGTCTTCTCGTGCAATTCTTGACCTAAAACAAAAAACACGATGGCAACGATGGAAACTCGTCGTGATTGATTCGATCATCGAATCATTTGGCGCTTCTTCAACAAGTATCACCAGAAATGTCACGATTCTCAAGCAATCAGCCACACACTTCCAATAGTACAACCGCAGTTCAAGGCCGCGTTTCGATTTCTCACGACGCTCACCTTTCTCGTCGACGCCATACAACGCCAGGCGATTCCACGCATCCGGCAGGCGAATCTCGCCGAATCCGAACTCGTAGAGGTACGTCTGAATCCACGTGATGTTCGTCGTCGGCCCGTCGAGTTGCGCGCCAATCTGAAATAATTAGCCAAAATTTGAAACTGGTTTTCTTTTGTCTTAATTGCCTCAAAAAGTGTTTGGTTTTTTGGCGTCTTTGAGATGAATCAACATTTTAAGAATCGATATTTTAAGAGAGAGAAGAAGAAGCTCACCTCTTTCATCATCACATCGTGGCTGAAGCATCCCGTCGACGGGAAAAGCGCAATTTTGACGGCTCGAATCGCGGACAAAAAGCAAAAAATTGCCAAAATTCGCATTCTCGCGTCGACGACGCCCGAAACGAGTAAAAACGCGACATTCTCAACTCCGCCCCCTCTTCGTCATCAATTCTTATCAAGTTCGACAGGACGGCATCATCGGCATCGCAGTGTACAACTCGCAACTATTTATTTGAGGGGAAAAACGAATGAAAAGGATAGAAATGATGAAAAGAACTTTTTTCTGAGAATCCAATGGTTGCGGCCGAATTACGGGTTCTCACGATCCGATTCCATGCGATCCTTGGCAAATGATTTCGGCGATTGGCTGCAATTCTCAAGTGTCGTGCGATATTGCGTTTTGGTACGTAGTACACCGAGTTGATTATCGTATTTTGCAAAACCGTTTTTTGATAATTTACAATTTATGCGAATCTTTTTGATATTCTAAATGCGGAAATTCATAAAACTCGATGTAGTGGGCATCAGAAGTACACGGAATTTTGAATTTTCGCGAAAATCGAACAACTAACAAGATTATTTATAAGGAAAAACAAAAAAAAAACATATTTTTGCCAGAAAACGAAATTCAAAAATCAAAAGAAGTTTGTGTGCATTTCTGCGTGGTGTTGCCTGCAGACTCGTGCCTACCGTAACGCCCAAAAAAATCTTAATGATTACCTTTTGGATGACTTTTTCACTGATTTGCTACTACTGCTCCCACTATTGCTCTTCTTCTTCGGTTTCGGCTTCGGCTGCGAGACCTTCGGCTTCACAACCTTCTCACGCGATCGATCGCTTCGAGACCGCTCCGGTGTTCGTGAAGATTTCGTCGAAGGCTCTTCGCCGGATCTCCTCGCCGCCTTCTTGACCTTCGAGCGCCTCACTTTCAAATCCTTGAATAGCAACGCGATGAGGGTGGCGGTAATTTGAACAGAGGACAGAATCAACAAGCTGATCCACGAGGAGAATGGGAACTCATGCGCCATCAGGTAGAACATCCAATAGAGCTCCGAGGCGCCGCAGACGAGCTGACACGCGGCATACAAGGCGACGCAGACTGAAACGAGCAAGTCGAGCAGGTTGTGAGCAACCGAGAATACTTTCACTCTTGATGAACAAATAGACGACGCCCGGCATAGTTATGATCGTCTGCAACAGGGCGAGCAGGAAGTAGCTCGCCACCGGCGCTCCGATCGAGACGCCCACTGGAATTGCGACGAGTCGGCGATGATCAACGCGCCGCTTCAAACCAAACCTGTCGCCATCACGAATATCCAAAACGAGACCGCGAACTGCACGCATATCATCAATAGGAGGAGGCTCGGCGAGCTCGTGTCGGTCTTCAGCGAGCACATCGACGGCTTCATCTTGTTTTCTTCTCGCCGATTCGAATCAATCAATGATTTTCGATCACCTAATCCTCGAAATCGCCCAAAACAGAAATGCCGTCAGAAAATTGATGATTCACGTGGTCGAATAATTTTCAAATATTCTTTTTAACATATTATTTTTTTTTTATTTATGATTGTCAGTTGGTTTAAAGGCGCATGACGCACCAAGACCAGTTTTGATTCTTTTAAATTGTGTGTTTCAATTCCATTCAAGACCCAATCAAATTTGAGTCTGCAATAGCCAGATTCCAAAAATTCCATAAAACCAACTTTCTCGAAATTTCGCGCGACACTCATCTCATAAAATTGTTGTTCCATTCGAGACCCACGAATTAAAAGCGCACTATTATGCTTGTTTCTCGAATATTTGATCAAAAAAGCATCCACTGCAGTCGTCGGACCATTAAATTGCGAAATTTATTAATCCCTCCCCCCTCTCCCGTCTGTTCTTTTTCGTCACAACGCACTCAAAATAGGCCAAGCTCATTCCGACATGCTCATTCTGCTTGTTTGTTTCCAACTAGTGTATTCCAATGAGCTCCTGATATTGAATGTGACTCGAACGGATACCATTCCGATTGAAATGATGCAACTGGATCATTTTCGAATTGCTGGATTAATCCAAGCCACGTGTCCATATATAGTAAGCAATAATGCAATTTCAATGTGAAATTATTTAATCGTTAATTCAGGCGGTCAATTTCATTACAGCCAGTGGGTTTAAGATCAATCACACCAAAGTCGATTGGTCCCGAAACCGAATTCGCTTCAACTGCGCAAATGTTGATGATTGGATGGTCCTTTTATTTTGGGTGTATTTAAATTTTCAGCCGAATTGGGGAAACGAGGAGCGAACGAAGATCAATGGATCGCGAACGAGCGTGTTCGATTGGAATTTCAGACATTTTAAGAAATCGATGAAAATTGATTTTGGCGATGGCAAGACGTACCGATACAAGTACAAATTCAATGAGAGAATCGTCAAACTGACTATCGAGGTGCCAAAGAAATGCAACGTGGAATTCAGTGCAATCCAAATGTGAGCCTTTAATAGTTACCCTTTTTTACTACTGCATAAATGAATTTTGGAATAATCCACATGTGCCAAACTAGATTTGGCATTAAAGGTGCATTTCATTGAAATTCCTATGATTGCCGGCCTTCCACAATTAATTCCAACAACATTTCGAAATTTAAAGCGCACAGTCCGCATTTGTGCGTCAGGAGTTAGTGCGGACTGTAGCGAGCCTCAATCGAATTTTTTTGTTGTTTTTTTTTGAAATCCCTTATTTGTCTTCATTTTTCCAATGGAATCGCTTAATTATTTATTTTTCGCAACACAAATATTTTATTCTTCAGGTATCGAGACGAGCGAAGTATGGCGGACGCGAATCACATTAAATCAGCTCTCAGAATTGTGTAGCGATTTTTGACGCTTTAAAAAAAATAATGTATTGCTAGCAAAAATTTTCGCAATTTTATTTGCATTTGAAATAATAATAATATTAGGTCCTAGCACGAATTTCCCAGCCCCGCTTGTTCTGAAATTCATTAATTCCAGGTGTGCAAAATTAATTGGTCTCGCAGAGAAATGTTTTTATTTGATGTACACCTCCACTCCCGAAATTTTGAATAAATTAATGAGCTAATTAGAATTTATTTTGATATTCTTCAAATTCGACACAAATTTTTATAATATTATTTTTTAATTGTCAGTTGGTTTAAAGGTGCAACGTCGCTGGCGTTTTGCCAGTTTTCGTTCTTTTTAATTGTGTGTTTCAATTCCATTCAAGACCCAATGAAAACTGTGAAGTGAAAAATGGAGGTTTAAAATATTTCAGAAAAAATTGTTGTGGCGAGCGCACAAGCTAAACGTCTTAAAGCTACAATAGGTCCTGACACGAATTTATCAAAAACACTTCATTAAGCTATTGCCAAAGAAAATAATGAAATGTGGACGATCGCACGTTGACAGGGAAGGCGGCAATTCAAATTTGACATTCAAACAATTTGGAATTTTCGTTATGGGTCATTGAGGCGCATTTCATTCGCAAAATCGCCTCTTTCAAATTTTGGGGGCGGTCTTTTTTCAAAGGGCGAACTAATTTAACCAAATTGATTAATTATACATATAATCATTTGAAGAGCAATGTACCATCAAGAATTTGTGTTTTTTTTTTGATTATTGTGTGCGAGGCTTGAGGACAATCTTGAGCAAAAACGGATTCTGGTCTTGTCAAAAAAAAAATGCAAATTTCAGAACGATATCTGAAAAATCGAAAATGATTGGCTATGTGCCAATGCGTCTCAACGTACGCGAGACTGCGTACATTGCATCATAGCGTACGCGATAAATTTAAATCTACACATTGCCAACAGGGTCCCACAACGAATCGACTTCTAGCAAGTCAAAACGTTGGTCTTTCTTGATGCCCCCCTATTAGGCTATCGGTCTGGTTGCAGCGATTCTTTACTACAAAAGACGCAATCAAGTGGGTTGACCTCATTTTCCAGGCCACATAAACACACACACACATTCATCCATTCATCCTTATCATCATCCGAAAGACGACGACGACGGCGACGATCGAGTAATGATGAAAAAGTACACGGCGATCGCGTTTGCGGACAATATCAGATGAAAAGTGACAGTACCCGCCACCGACAGACATCATTCGAAAGTCGAGGAAGGGGAGGGGAAGGGGGAATGAGGTCAGCGGATAAGAATGGGTGGCGATCTCATTTTATCATTGGTGGTGGTGGTTGTGGTGGTGGGGGTCGCATTTCTAGAAATGCCTGAAATTGGCGATTTCGTGCTGCTGACCCAAATTCGGCCGGCCAGTTCTATGATACCATGCTATCAACACAAAATGGGCGCGTTCGACGAAAAGCGAGTTTGACCCCAATTCGTCGCATTCCACAAGCGAGACGCGTCGCTGTTGGTTGAGGCTCGTCCAGCTCCCCTCCCACCCCCCCCCCCAAAAAAAAAACCTCCTTATGGTATATGAATATCTATCGCGCGTGTGTATTTCTCAAATTAATTCAACACCGCCTGACCCAATTTGATGTGTCGCACCACCAACACATTAGGCCGGTCGGTCGGCCGCCCGGCAAAAACGGTCGGCGGTCGTTTGTAATCAGCGCCGCTGGGGAGACATCCACCACTTGACTTCACATTTGTCTTCTTCTTCTTCCCTGCAATTCAACACAACGAAAAATATTTGAAATCGCTTAAAACGAACCTCCAACAAAATCAAATTCTCAAAAAATTCCGTTGATGCGCGTCAGATCATGTGCGTGTGTGCAAACACCGCAGTGTGTACCGTATACCCTCAAAAATTCAATTTTTTTCTTTTCTTTTTTTTCTAAGCCAATTTGACTTTCAAAAATCGCTCGAAAAAATTCCCGATTCGATTCCGTTTCGTCTTCATCGCGAGAAAAAAAAAAAACGAAAAGTCGTCTCACTCTTGATTTCGAAACTGCCGCCCAATTTCGGCCCGAATGTGTCATTCGCATTCATCGAATCCCAATTCAATTCATTCGCGCAAACGGGAAAAAAGAAAAATGCATCCGGGAATCGGCATCACAAGGATGTTCCGAAAAAAAAAACTTGATGAGTGGAACCGGCGGCGGCGAAGCCCATTTGAAACATTCATCCATGACAACACCCTCGACCCCCTCCCATCCTTTAGTTTCTATATCTCTGTACTGACAGGTACCGATGACCTATCATCCTCTTATCACTTGTCCCCATCTCTTTTATCTGACGTCCAGATCCCCCCCCCCACCCGCCGGGTGGCCTTCACCCCCATTCTCGTCTCTGGGGCTCCACCCACCACATTCCGCAACACCCCCCCCCTTTCATCACTTGTTCAAACTAACCAAACGCGTCCCACAATTTTTTCTATTTTTTTCCGTTGCAGGCAGGTGATCAACCGGAGACAACACACACCCACACCCACACCAAACACCTACCACAATTGCGATGCAGTGGGCTTTTGCCGCCTGTTTGTTGGTGGCGTGCGCGAGCGCCGCCGATGTCATAGGTGCGCTTCTTCTCATCGGGGGCACCTTCCGCCTAAAACCAATTTTTGTTTCAGCGTCGGTGACAATTTGTCCGATCGACACCGAGACGATATACATAATGCAGCACAACGTGAGCACCGGCGCGAAATTGCGCACAATTCCGACGGCGAATCTCGGCGAGTGCTCGGAGCACTGCACGAGCTCGCTCGACTGTCAAGGCGTCGAGTTCGTCGGCGGCAATTGCGCGGTGTTCGGCGCCGGCAACGAGGCGGCCATCGACGGCGCGCAAGTTCTCACGAAGACGTGCGTCAAGAGCAATCGCGTTTGCCAATCGCCGTTCCAGTTCGACGTGTTCGAGCAGAAGATACTCGTGGGTTTCGCGCGCGAGGTCGTGCCCGCCGACAACATCCAGGTGTGTATGGCGGCGTGCCTCAACGCGTTCGACACGTTCGGCTTCGAATGCGAATCGGCCATGTTCTATCCGACCGATCAGGAGTGCATCCTCAACACCGAAGACCGCCTCGATCGGCCGTCGTTGTTCGTCGATGAGGCCGACGACACCGTCATCTACATGGACAACAATTGCGCCGGCTCGCAATGCTATCCGCCCTACATCACCCAATACATCGCCGTTGAAGGCAAACAGCTGAAGAATGAGCTCGACAAGATCATCAACGTCGATTTGGACTCGTGCCAGGCGTTGTGCACTCAGCGGCTATCGGTCTCGGTAATGAGCTTCGCTCGCATGGAATCGCGAGAATCGCAATTTTCAGACGGCCGACTTCAATTGCAAATCGTTCATGTACAACTACGTGTCGCGCACGTGCATTCTCGCCGACGAGCGCTCGAAGCCGCTGGGTCGCGCCGATCTCGTCGCCACACCGGGCTTCACCTATTACGAGAAGAAGTGTTTCGCGTGTAAGTTGCCGTCGATTCGCCGCCTCGCATCAAAAATGTCGTCGGATTGCAGCGCCGAACACATGCCGCAACTCGCCGTCGTTCAAACGCGTCCCGCAAATGATACTCGTCGGATTCGCCGCGTTCGTCATGGAGAACGTGCCGTCGGTGACGATGTGCCTCGATCAGTGCACCAAGTGGGAACGCCAAAAAAAAAAACGACACCATCATCGTAATCCATTGAAATTGCAGTCCACCACCGGAGACCGGCGACGGATTCGTGTGCAAGTCTGTGATGTACTATTACAATGAGCAAGAGTGCATTCTCAATTCGGAGACGCGCGACTCGAAGCCGGACTTGTTCATTCCCGAAGGCGACGAGTTCCTCGTCGATTACTTCGACATCACGTGCCATTTAAAGCAGGAGCGTTGCCCCGTCGGCCAACACCTCAAAGCGGTTCGCACCATCAACGCGGCGTTGCCCGAAGGCGAAAGCGAACTCCATGTGCTCAAATCATCGGCGGCCAACGGCATCAAAGAATGCATGGCGAAGTGAGTCGCTGGCTCGTCGCCGATCGTTTCCATCAACGATGATTCCAGATGTTTCGCGCTCGCGCCGGAAAAGTGCCGCTCGTTCAACTACGACAAAAAGGCGGCCACGTGTGATCTACTCTATCTCGACGGCTACAACACGCTTCGTCCGCAAGTCCGTCAAGGAACCGACCTCTATGATTTGCACTGTCTCGCCGGTAAGTCGATTGTGTTGTGTGTGTGTGTGCGCCTTGTTCTCTCTTCCCCCCATCGCTTCTTGTGTTCGTCGTTGTGTGTAGCTTGTGATTTTCTATAGCTCTTCCTCTAGTCGAAAACGATTGCTCGGCGAACAAGGACGACGCGCTGTTCTCGCGCTATCTGCACACGAAGCAACGCGGAATCCCAAGCAAATCCTATAAGGTTGGTGATAGCGCGATCGAGTCCTCTCATCCATTCATCTGTTGAAGATCGTCTCGCTGAACTCGTGCCTCGAAGTGTGCGCCGGCAATCCGACGTGCGCCGGAATCAACTACAATCGCCGATTGGGCGACTGCAGTCTGTTCGACGCCATCGACGGCGATTCGGAGGTCAACGAGCACACCGACTTCTACAAGAACCTCTGCGTCATCAAGGAGATCGACACCGGCGTCTCGGCTGCCGCCAACGTGCCGGCGACGAAGCATCGCGTCTCGGGCACCGTCGTCGAGAGCAAAGACAGCAAATCGCAATTTCTCGCCACCAAAAAGGTCAAGAAGCCGAAGTTCAAAGAGAGCGAGCATCGACGGGCGCCCGAATCGACGATTCCGCTCGGTCCGCCGGTGGAAGTGAAATGCGAGGCGATTCAGACGATCTGCAACTACGAGGGCATCAAGGTGCAAATCAACAACGGCGAGCCGTTCAGCGGTGTGATATTCGTCAAGAACAAGTTCGACACGTGTCGCGTCGAGGTGGCCAACTCGAACGCCGCGACACTCGTGCTCGGATTGCCGAAAGATTTCGGCATGCGACCGATCACGCTGGACAACGTCGACGACAACGAGGCGAAGAAGGCGAAGAGCGACGGCAACATCGAGGACATCGGCGTCGAGCATCAGAAGGAGGCGCTCGAGGAGTTCCGTCGTCGTCAGAAGCGACAGGCGCCCGAATTCCGCGATTGTGGTCTCGTCGATCTGCTCAACGGCACCTACAAATCGACGGTGGTGATCCAGACGAACAATTTGGGAATTCCGGGACTCGTCACCGAAATGGATCAGCTCTATGAGGTGTCGTGCGACTATTCGAGTATGCTCGGCGGAAAAGTTCAAGCCGGCTACAACATGACGGTCACGTGAGTCGCAACATTTTGGTGAATTGAAAAGTGTATGGTAGAGTTTTTGCAGCGGTCCCGAGGCGAATCTCATTCAGCCGCGCGGCAAAATCGAGCTCGGCAATCCGGTGCTGATGCAGTTGCTCAATGGCGACGGCAGCGAGCAGCCGCTGGTTCAGGCGAAACTCGGCGACATTCTCGAGCTTCGCTGGGAGATCATGGCGATGGACGACGAGCTCGACTTTTTCGTCAAACGCTGCCACGCCGAGCCGGGCAACGCCGCGAAAACCGGCGGCGCCGCCGTCGAGAAGTTGCAGCTCATCGACGACGGCTGCCCGACGCCGGCCGTCGCCCAGAAGCTCATTCCCGGCGCCATCGAGGTCAAGAGCAGCGCCGTCAAATCGACGCGAATGCAGGCGTTCCGCTTCGACTCGTCGGCATCGATTCGTGTCACGTGCGAGGTGGAGATATGCAAAGGCGAATGCACACCGGTCGAGTGTGCTCTTCACGAGGGCCAGAAGCAATCATGGGGACGCAAGAAGCGCGAAGTGAGCAATCGCATCGATGAATGTAAGTCCTTAAAAAAGTAGATCAAAAAGCATCAATCGCGCAATTTCCAGTCGAGACCAATCGCTATCTAGTTCCGCGCCATTCGAAAGCGACCACCTCAATCGTCATCATCGATCCACTTCAGCAGGTATGCGCCAAGGTGCGAGATTGGTCGGCCGAATCGCAACGGGCCAACAATTTGCAGGTGAACGAGCCGGTGGCGATGTCGCGCTCATCGACACTGGATCTGCTTCGCGAAGAGGCCGAAGAGATCCGAATCGCCGACGGCGGCGCGTTGTGTCTCGCGCGATCGACGATGCTCGCCATTTTCGGCACCCTCGCCGCGCTCATCGTCATCCAGGCGGCCGTCGTCGCCTACTACGTTTTTCGGCGAATCGCATCGCCAAAGACGATCGCCTAAATAAGGAAATCGAATATTTTGTCCAGTGCCTCCTATTTCTCTTCTTTTTTTGTTGTCACTTTGTTCTTTCTTGTTCAACGCAATCTCAACATACCAAAAAATAATAATTTTTTCTTTCTCCTGCATTCCTTATTTTGATCTACGGTTTCGCTCGCTCACCACACACATTCCAATTGTATTCACACCTACAGTACCCAAAGGATACGGTAGCAAGCCATTTTTTGTATTTTTGCGGGTACTGTAGTTTTGTTTGCACTCAGTTTTCCACTCTTCACCCCCCGATTCCTCAGTTTTACCATGTTGCTGTTAATTATGTGTTTTTTCTCACGTAATAATTATATAATAATTTATGATAATAATAATAGTAATAAATTTTTGTCAAATGCCCACAATTCGTCTATTTTCAAATATACACCACTAAGTTTTTTTAAGTGATAAAAAAAACGAAAAAAAAATTACACATAGAATTAATTTTTTTAATTACAGTAGCAAAATCGCGTCGTGACCCTTGCTAACTTTTCGCGTGCGCCTTTGAAAATTACGATGCATCGAATCGCGGCTTGGAGAATGAAGAAAAACACATCCATAAATTTATTTGAAAAATAACATACATACACACATTTTTTGTTTGAATGTCTGCCTCTTAGACAGACCGCTAATTGCGTTTTGTGGTGTGTTTGATCTCTCCAACTAAATTACGCAAGATGCTTGGAACCAAAAAAATGGGATTGGGCAACCTGAAAAAAAATAATAATTTTACCACGAGATTTCGAAAAAAAAAATCGAATTTAACAATATTGTGCAAACACCGCGACGCAAAATCACGCACCCGAAAAATAAGCGTTGCGATTTTTAAAAAATTATTCTCGGATGAAATTTGAAGAGAAATTGAAAACCATAGAAGTTTATTTAATATTCAACACAGATTTTATGGAGTTTGCATCAATCTCATCACATCAAACATATTTACCTCCAATAATCGATAATTGGTCTCTTAATTAGTTTCAAGCAATTTCAATATTTTTGAAGAGCAACGCTGGCCGACGATTGAAATTCCAGAAAGCAATTGGAAATTCCCTTCACTCCACGTATTAAAATAGTTCAGTCTAAGAATTTCGTATTCATCCAAATTTGGCTGAAAATTTTTGAAAATGCTAGACGAAATTTCAAAAAAAGCATTCAAAATATTACCTGAATTGATCCTGACGCGATTTTTGACGAATTGACAACTCATCACGTCTTCTTGAAATTTTCGACGATTGTTGAAATGAGCGGTCTTCAAATTGCAATTCATTTTCTTTTTTTTCCGATAGACTTACAATAGCACACGGAATTGGTCCAAAGCATACATATTCATCGGCATCGCGACATTCGTGGTCCCATTGTTCCATTGAATGAATTCGACGCAGTCACGAATTGGCATCATCGCGAAACAGATGAAAATTTGTGTCGACTTTGAAGAATATCAAAATAAATTCTAATTAGCACATTAATTTATTCAAAATTTCGGGAGTGGAGGTGTACATCAAATAAAAAATCATTTCTCTGCGAGACCAATTAATTTTGCACACATGGAATTAATGAATTTCAGAACAAGCGGGGCTGGGAAATTCGTGCTAGGACCTAGTATTATTATTATTTCAAATGCAAATAAAATTGCGAAAATTTTTGCTAGCAATACATTATTTTTTTTAAGCGTCATTTCAAATGGTATCCGTTCGAGTCACATTCAATATCAGGAGCTCATTGGAATACACTAGTTGGAAACAAACGAGCAGAATGAGCATGTCGGAATGAGCTTGGCCTATTTTGAGTGCGTTGTGACGAAAAAGAACAGACGGGAGAGGGGGGAGGGATTAATAAATTTCGCAATTTAATGGTCCGACGACTGCAGTGGATGCTTTTTTGATCAAATATTCGAGAAACAAGCATAATAGTGCGCTTTTAATTCGTGGGTCTCGAATGGAACAACAATTTTATGAGATGAGTGTCGCGCGAAATTTCGAGAAAGTTGGTTTTATGGAATTTTTGGAATCTGGCTATTGCAGACTCAAATTTGATTGGGTCTTGAATGGAATTGAAACGCACAATTTAAAAGAATCAAAACTGGTCTTGGTGCGTCATGCGCCTTTAAACCAACTGACAATCATAAATAAAAAAATAATATGTTAAAAAGAATATTTGAAAATTATTCGACCACGTGAATCATCAATTTTCTGACGGCATTTCTGTTTTGGGCGATTTCGAGGATTAGGTGATCGAAAATCATTGATTGATTCGAATCGGCGAGAAGAAAACGAGATGAAGCCGTCGATGTGCTCGCTGAAGACCGACACGAGCTCGCCGAGCCTCCTCCTATTGATGATATGCGTGCAGTTCGCGGTCTCGTTTTGGATATTCGTGATGGCGACAGGTTTGGTTTGAAGCGGCGCGTTGATCATCGCCGACTCGTCGCAATTCCAGTGGGCGTCTCGATCGGAGCGCCGGTGGCGAGCTACTTCCTGCTCGCCCTGTTGCAGACGATCATAACTATGCCGGGCGTCGTCTATTTGTTCATCAAGAGTGAAAGTATTCTCGGTTGCTCACAACCTGCTCGACTTGCTCGTTTCAGTCTGCGTCGCCTTGTATGCCGCGTGTCAGCTCGTCTGCGGCGCCTCGGAGCTCTATTGGATGTTCTACCTGATGGCGCATGAGTTCCCATTCTCCTCGTGGATCAGCTTGTTGATTCTGTCCTCTGTTCAAATTACCGCCACCCTCATCGCGTTGCTATTCAAGGATTTGAAAGTGAGGCGCTCGAAGGTCAAGAAGGCGGCGAGGAGATCCGGCGAAGAGCCTTCGACGAAATCTTCACGAACACCGGAGCGGTCTCGAAGCGATCGATCGCGTGAGAAGGTTGTGAAGCCGAAGGTCTCGCAGCCGAAGCCGAAACCGAAGAAGAAGAGCAATAGTGGGAGCAGTAGTAGCAAATCAGTGAAAAAGTCATCCAAAAGGTAGTCATTGGAATTTTTTGGGCGTTACGGTAGGCACAAGTCTGCAGGCAACACCACGCAGAAATGCACACAAACTTCTTTTGATTTTTGAATTTCGTTTTCTGGCAAAAATATGGTTTTTTTTGTTTTTCCTTATAAATAATCTTGTTAGTTGTTCGATTTTCGCGAAAATTCAAAATTCCGTTTACTTCTGATGCCCACTACATCGAGTTTTATTAATTTCCGCATTTAGAAAATCAAAAAGTTTCGCATAAATTGTGAATTATCAAAAAAACGGTCTACGATATTCAATTCGGTGTACTACGTACCAAAACGCAATATCGCACGACACTTGAGAATTGCAGCCAATCGCCGAAATCATTTGCCAAGGATCGCATGGAATCGGATCGTGAGAACCCGTAATTCGGCCGCAACCATTGGATTCTCAGAAAAAAGTTCTTTTCATCATTTCTATCCTTTTCATTCGTTTTTTCCCCTCAAATAAATAGTTGCGAGTTGTACACTGCGATGCCGATGATGCCGTCCTGTCGAACTTGATAAGAATTGATGACGAAGAGGGGGCGGAGTTGAGAATGTCGCGTTTTTTCTCGTTTCGGTGGTCGTCGACGCGAGAATGCGAATTTTGGCAATTTTTTGCTTTTTGTCCGCGATTCGAGCCGTCAAAATTGCGCTTTTCCCGTCGACGGGATGCTTCAGCCACGATGTGATGATGAAAGAGGTGAGCTTCTTCTTCTCTCTCTTAAAATATCGATTCTTAAAATGTTGATTCATCTCAAAGACGCCAAAAAACCAAACACTTTTTGAGGCAATTAAGACAAAAGAAAACCAGTTTCAAATTTTGGCTAATTATTTCAGATTGGCGCGCAACTTGACGGGCCGACGACGAACATCACGTGGATTCAGACGTACCTCTACGAGTTCGGATTCGGCGAGATTCGCCTGCCGGATGCGTGGAATCGCCTGGCGTTGTATGGCGTCGACGAGAAAGGTGAGCGTCGTGAGAAATCGAAACGCGGCCTTGAACTGCGGTTGTACTATTGGAAGTGTGTGGCTGATTGCTTGAGAATCGTGACATTTCTGGTGATACTTGTTGAAGAAGCGCCAAATGATTCGATGATCGAATCAATCACGACGAGTTTCCATCGTTGCCATCGTGTTTTTTGTTTTAGGTCAAGAATTGCACGAGAAGACCGGCAAACTGGTGTGGCGACAGAACGTGCCGTACGACTTCCAGACGCCGTTTCAATTCGACGGAATTCGCTCGTTCATCGTGTTGGGAGTTTAAAGGCACATGAATGCAATTCGAATTCCCTGCTTCTTCAGAATGCTCCAACGTCATCAGGAGTACTGCACAAAGATGCTTCACGATCCGCGATATCAGCAGTTGAGATACGAGAATATCACGGTGGCCGTGTTGGATCATTTTTTGCAGGTTTGCGCGCATTTTGTGTCAATGTCGTAAGATGTAATGCATTGTGTGCAATTTGTCGGACCCCCCAATTCATTTTCGACTTTTCAGGAATGCATGGGCGGTCTTGCGCATTTGCTCAACGCATCCGTCGTCCAATTCAGCAATTGGCCGGTTGCTGACGGCTACATCACCAGCCTCAACCTGCCGGCGAGTCCGGCAGCTGTGCCGAAAACCGGAACGCGTCTCTCGAGCTACTCGATGACGTTTTTGCAGCGATGCCAGAATCTCCTTTTCCATATTGCCATCGTCTTCACAAGGTTTGCATTTTATAAAAAATAAATTTATTTCCTTTTTTAAATTGAGCATTTAGATTTGTGCAAATGCAAACACTCGATCGAATGTTCGCCAGAAACGGCTATCCATGGGTGAATAATTGGCGAATCGATTGAAAATTGAAAATAATTCAGATTCGCGTCGAGACGAATGAAGCGCAGCGGCCAATCTACGCGGGCCGCTCCGAATTATTGTTCGAGACGATTCGACCCATCAACTATCGGGTGAAGTACTTCGGATCTGCGTCGATGAAGAGCCCTCATCACTACGTCAGCTCAATCGGTCATCTGAATTCGGCGTCGCCGACGACGTCAACAGTCGTTCGTCGAAACGCGTCGAGTCCGGAAGACGAATGCATTCCGACGAACGTTGCTCGACGACGGTCTTGGCTGTTCGACAAAGTGCGGAATCGCGAGCAAATCGAGGCGCGTCGGACGATGCTTCGTCAAAAATATGCGACGATCGATTGGAATCGCGTCGATCGCGAGCCGTTCGTGTTGGTGAGCTTCGGCAGCGTGGCGCAGGTCACCAAAATGCACCAAGAGCTCCTCGCCCATCTTCTCGACACATTCTCGTCGCAGCCCGGATTGATCATTTGGCAGTCGGATTTGAGTGGCCAACAAATGCGCGCCAAGTTCAATTTGACGGTCCCGTCGAATGTGATGATCAGTGGATGGGTGCCGATTAAAGAGCTTCTCGGTGAGCCTTTTCTGTCGGCTCTTCTTTTTTAAAGGAGACTCTCTTTCAGCCCACGAGAACATCAACTATATTATTTGTCACGGCGGAATCAACACCGTCAACGAGTTGGCGCTCTTCGGGGTGCCGGTGCTCGGCGTGCCGCTTCAGGGCGACCAAATATCGAATCTGGCGAGGATCGCAGATCTCGGCGCCGCCGAATTGATGACGGTCCACGAGTTGGATGGTCTCGGCGCGAAAATGCACGAGATGCGACGCAATATCGAGCGGTTCGCCCAAAAATTCCCCGCTGACTCGTCTCGGCAACGCACTCGTTTAGGTATTGGTCTCGAAGCGAGCAACTCGCGCGAATGCTTCAAACCCATCGCGAGCTGCACAAGGATTATCAGAGATTCTGGTTGAATTGGGTGGCGAGGAACGGCAAACGAATCGAGCGTCGCAAATTTCTGCGATTCGAGTATTTGGGCGATCTCGAAAATCGACTATGGGCGGCGATTGGTGTTGCGATCGTCGCCGGTCTCGTGACGCTTTACCAATAATTGGTGATCTCATCGAATGTGCCTTTCAACGAATTATGCTTTAATAAATTTAATGAACTTGCCGGCATCATGAGTTTTTGGAGACGCTTTAAAATTTTAAAATTTTAAAAATTTTGAGTCAATTTTTCGCTCAGTTCGCTTCAAAAATATTGGAATGTGTATCCTAATTGCCCGCCTAATTAAGAGACCAATTATCGATTATTGTTGGTATGTTTGAAGTGATGAGATTGATGCAAATTTCCCTGAAATTTGTGTTGAATATTAAATAAACTTCGATGGTTTTCAATTTTTCATCAAATTTCACCCGAAAAAAAAACGATTTTCAAAATAAAAACATGATAATTAAGTGAGGAATAAATTAAAGAAATTAGGGTAATTAAAAAAATAAAATATTGTTATATTCGAAAATGAATACAACGCAAATTATGAGAAAATTGTGATTTTTAAAAGAAGCTCGCAACACTACTCATTTTTTTTCCCTTTTGCAAATTTTTGCTCATTTATCTTTTATTTCGATTTTAAATAAAATATGAATTATTTAGAGCGTATTTATCCAAAAATGAACCACAATTATTGTAAATTTTATGAAAATAATATCTCAAAAGGAAAGACAAAATTGTTTTCTAAATTTCATTGAAGCCGATATATTAAGAACCTATAATTTAGTAAAACTATAATATCCATTAAAGACGCATTCAAAAAACTGGTGACTCCTCGCAAATTATTTCAATTTCCCCCCCCCCACTTTTCTGTCTTCCACAAAAAAAAAGATATGAACATTGTTGCAAATGCGCTCCATTGAACTTTTTCGTCACAAATTTTCAAATAATTTGCCAGATTACAAAGCGAAAGAGATGAGGCTAATCGTTTCCGAAATTCTCTCCGATTGCTGTCCGCGCGGGTTCGCTGAGCTTCTTCCGCAATTCGTCCATGTCCAATCGAACTTCGCACTATAAAGTATTCTTTTTTTCTTTGTTGAATAAAAGGAAAATTACCATTGATTCAAGGCTCGAATTCGAACGACTTGTCCCCATTTCATCACCAAACACAAATGTTGGCGGAATTCCGCTGGCGATCGGCGCCACACGATATCGACGAATATTCTCCTGCGAGCTCCTTCTCGACATTTTCTCCTGGTATTCTTTTACAACCTCTTCGATTTGCACTTCTTTCTCCTAAATAATAGAGCAAATAGTAAAAAAATTCAAATTATTAAAAAAAATAATTGTTTTTGGCTTGACTGACTTTTTGCAATGCCGTTTTTTTTGCGAAATATACTTGGGAAAAATTAATTTTCATAATATGAACTTGTTTTTGAACATTTAAATCAAAGAAAATAAGTGCTAAAAAATTTTGCTCGATTGAACCACTCGCTCAAAAATTATGAAGAAAATTAATTTCGTATTTTTTATTGTAGGTTTATTTAGTTAAAAAATATTTACTTAATTAATAATTATAATTTTCTGGCTCAAATAGTTTTTGAAAAATTCACAAATTCGAAAATTTGGAAAAAAAAAACAATTATGAGGAAACCATTCAAACTTAAATTAAATAAATCAAAAAAAAATTCGAATTTTTCAAATTTCCCAAAAAACCATGAAATTTCGCACTTTTTAATATCAAAAACCTGAAAATGTTCAATTTTTTTCTAAAGCAGATAAATTTTTAACGAAATGAAGAGAATTGGAATTTTTTTTTGCATTTTCCCATCAACGAAAATTCACGTGTTTTGATAAATATAAAATTGCATGACACTGAGATACGGTAGTTTAAGACGCATGCCGTTTTTTTTTGTGCGATGGGTCTCGATGTGAATCGCAAAAAAAAGCGAGCGCGAAAAATTATTATTTCTTTTTTTTTAAATTATTTTTTTCCGCATTTCCCTTTTAATATTTTTTCCGCATTTTTCTTTTTTATTTTTCAAAAAAAAAAACCTTCTCAATCTTCTTTTTCCTCAACATGTAGTCCCTTCGCTTCTTCGAAACCGCAATCCAAACCACTTTCGACAAATACAACGAGATTTCGGTGATTGTGATGACCGACATGCCATGAAACATTCCCATATTGCCACCAATGTCACCTTAATTAATTAATTGCAATTAAGTCGACCGCCGCAGAAAAAATTACTGAGAATTTCAACGATTGAAGTGGCTTGAACCTGCGAATACGACGTGTAGAACATTTCTTGAAAGAAAATATTGATGACGGCGAAATTTTGCCTGAAATTTTCGTATCAAAAAATTGGGAGCAAAAAATCAATAAATGCTCACTTGATGTGTCGAATCGTCAAGTTTGTCTCCTGCTTCAGAAGCCATTCCAACGCGCCGCGATTGAATCCATCGCCATAGTAGTTGAATGCCGTGTAGGTGATGCTGTCGCACTCCATATGGCATTCCGAGCAATCCGGCAAGTCCACGATCGTCTCATTCGTCCCAGTTTTGACCATATGCGCGTCCATGCAGCTCACAATCTCAAACGGCGAGCAGATTTTGTGCTCTAAATTTTTTGATGAGAAAATTGTTCTTTTTTTTTCGAAACTCACTTCCATCAATGTTATACGTGAACGGCGCGCATCCGCATGTCTCAAAAAAATATTGAGCGAGGCAAATGTATTGACAGGCAGTCGCCGAGTACGGTATGTGCGTTGTGTAATTCGCCGGCCACTCATTCGTGCAATTGCCCCATTCATGCTTGCTGAGAAGATTGTGCTGGAAAATGGCGAGCTTGATCCGATCCTTTGGAATGTCAAAATCAATCGGATCCGACAAAATTCGGCTCTTTCAGAACTCGAATTGTCGGATCCGATGGGTTTTCGGCGAACTACCTTCGTCGTCTTGATCGCCGAATAAACGGTTCGCGACGGCGAGACGCTTACGCCTTCCGACGACAATTCGGCGTTGCGATTCGCCGTGTGCACAAAATAGCGAAAGCCATTCTCATAGGTCGTCGAAAATATCGCGTTCGTCACGTTCGCTTCGTCGCCGGTGAGTTCCTCTTCGAGATGCGCGTCGACAACATTTTGGAGGCTGAATTCATCGCCAAATTTGATAAATCATTGACCCGATGTCGATTTGTCTCAAACCAGAAAGAAAAAAAAAAGCAACCACGCCCCAGTATCAAACGTTACACTTCGACTAGACCGAACCGTCGTTGTTAACGGTTTATTAAAACCTTTTTACCGTACCAGTACGACATTCCGAATTACCCATCGCCCTCAATTCAGCGTGTCTATTTCAAATTGTTTCACCTTTTCTTTTATTGTTGAGAAATGAAAAATGTATTCAAGTGTCGTAGGATTCTGTGTTATGTACGCAGTGCGATGAGCCAGTTACAGTAATCCTCGCAGCGTTTTACGGGCCACTTTTAAATTCGCTATTTTCAATTTTTTTTTTTAATTTTTCGCTCAATTCTCATATTTTCCTTCGAAATTTTGTTATTTAAATTCTGTGGAAACTGAGTTTAACGATTTATTTAGCAGAATATGCACTTTTAAACGATACTTTTTTTTGGTGAAACCAGCAGAGTTTCAAAAGAAAATATTTTTTGTCGTTAATTAAATGATTTATTCGTGTTTTGCTCTTAGTATGCGTTTCTTCACAATCATTCTCAACTCAACTGAACATGTGGAGAAGTACATATTATGCTAAATAAATAATTACAATAGGTTTCTAGAGATTTTAAATAAAAGATATCTAAAGAAAATAAGAAAATAAAGAAAAAATTATTAAAAAAAAAACTCCGTAAATCGCTGCGAGGATTACGGTAACTGGTTCATGGCAATGCGTACAAAACGCAGGATCCTACGACATTTGAACACGTATGTAATTTCTCAACAATATCAAAATGTTGGTTATCCCAAACCAAAAAATGTTGAATTCAATTCAATCACCAACCCGGCTTCGACCCCCGGCGCCGTCTGTTTCCTCATCCATTCGGGCGTGTTCGTCTGCAGGTCCAACTCGAAACATTTGCCCAGCGACAATATTCTCGTCGTCATGTAATCGCAACAATTGAACCTCAAACATTTACTATTATTATCTCTCTCTCTCTCTCTCTCTCTCTCTCTCTCTCTCTCTCTCTCTCTCTCTTCCAAATTCAATTTCTGCCGCCACCAACCTTCTGCCTCGAAAATAGCAAATTTTGAACATTTCTCGACATTCGTAGCCGGACTCCTTCAAAAACTTGAGAATTTTGAGCTCCGGATGCCGTTGTCGATAATCGTCGGCATTTGCGTGCAATGAAAATCGATTCGGCTCATTGAGCTCGTTCAGGATGCTGTCTCAACCATTCTTCAATAATGTCCGATTCAAATTGCTAAAAAGAAACATGGTGTTCATATTGGTTTGAAGGAGATATTCCAAAATTTCGCCCGACAAGTCGCCGCTCGCATTCATTTCTGAAAATCCGAAATTTTTTGTCTTCGTTCCATTTGAAATTTCGAACATTCAAAAAAAATGGCGAACCTACGTTTCACATATGACTTTTTGACAGGATTGAAATTGCATATTGTGACCGCTGGGAAATCCATTCCACCTTCGCTAACTATAAATGAGACCTGCCGGAAAAAAATTTTTGGTTATTCAGATTTTAAAAAAGAACGATTTCTCAGGAAAACGAAAATCAATCGGATTCGCAAAAAAAATGAAAAAAAAAATTTTGAAAATTTGGTTTCGATTCAAAAATTTTCGAATTCGATTGAAATTCTGGAAAAATTCGAAACAGATTAATTTCGATTTCGATTTCGATTGAAAACGAAAACATTTTCGAATCCCATTAATTTTCATTTACCTGAATTTCTGTTTTAAACTTTGAATAGTATCATTACAACCCAAAAATTATTTTTTTACGCATTTCAAGATATTTTTGACTGCTTTCCACTCCAAAAAAAACTATAGTTCGATTTTCAACTTCAAAAATAGCCTTATTTGCTCAATAAACGGCGAATTGTTGACTTAGCAATGCCCCAAATATGGTCGAAATGATTTTTTGATGAGATCGAATTGATAAATCAAATGACCTTGATTGCCGTTTGCAATTTAATTCCGCAATCAACTCCACCTGCGATAGCGTCGGCTTCGAGAAATACATTTGAAGGAGGAGCACGATTTGCAAAATCAATAATGCCAGCGACGTCGACACAATAATGGTCCAAAACCATTGGGCCAACCCTTTCCCGGTGAATATCCGCTTCGGGCCGTGCATTGTCGTCGTATCTGGAAAATGATGAAAATCAAAAAATTGGGCGAATTTCGAAATCGAAGAGAAATGAGAAATGTGTTCAGGTGTCGTGGGATTCGGCGTTTTGTACGCAATTCGATGAGCCAGTTACCGTAATCTGTTTTTACCAAAAAAATATATAGTTTAAAAGTGCATATTCTGCATAATAAATCATTAAATTCGACTTCTACGGATTTTAAATAAACAATTTCGAACATGTCACAATGTCATACGGCGAGCAAATTGTGCGCTCTGAAGAATTTCGGTAATTAGTAGACTCGAAGTGAGTTGATCGACGTGCTTCCATCAATATTATACGTGAACGGCGCGCATCCGCATGTCTCAAAAAAATATTGAGCGAGGCAAATGTATTGACAGGCGGTCGCCGAGTACGGTATGTGTGTTGTGTAATTCGCCGGCCACTCATTCGTGCAGTTGCCCCATTCATGCTTGCTGAGAGCGAAAGCCGTTCTCATAGTACGTCGAGAATATCGCGTTCGTCTCGTTTTCCATATCGCCGCGAATCTCCTCTTCGAGATGCGCGTCGAGAATGATTTGGAGTCTGTGAAAATCAAAAATTTTGAGAAATTTTCGACCGATTACAATGATTTTTTCTCTCTCTCTCTCTCTCGTTATCAGAATACGATGAGAGTCTCAAAAAGCGAATAAAAGAAAAAAGACGCTCGCCGCCATTCTTGATAATCGCCAGCATTATTCAATTCAATGACCAACCCGGCTTCGACGCCCGGCGCCGTCTGTTTCCTCATCCATTCAGGCGTGTTCGTCTGCAGGTCCAACTCGAAACATTTGCCCAGCGACAATATTCTTGGCGTCATATAATCGCAACAATTGAACCTTAATAATTCGCCTTCAAACTATTCTCTGTCTCTCTCGTCAAACTGCTCATACATTCGCCCGCGAAAATAGCAAATTTTGAACATTTCGTCGCATTCGTATCCCGAGCTGTTCAGAAAATTGAGAATCGAAAAGTCGCGATGATTGTGCTGATAGATTTCGGCGTTGGCGTGTGCTGAAATGTCTTGTTCGAATTGCCACCAAATTTGGTGGTATTAATTTTGTTTGGGCACTTCTGAGCAATTTTTGTTCCCAGAACAATGAATTCAACTCTCAAAATAATGCAATTCGAAATTCTTATTTCGCTAAACAAGGGCCTCGTTGTAAACTTGGAGTGTCGTTGCGGGTCGCGAATTTTTTTACTGATGACCCGGTTCGACCCAGAAATTTGCAAATATGCACCACCTCCCGCCCCACCAACCTTCTCGCACTTCTTGCCGATCGACATTGCTAAAAAGAAACATCGCGTTCATATTAGTTTGCAATAGATATTCGAGCGTTTCGCCCGACAAATCGCCCGACGCGTTTAATTCTGAAATTCAAGATCTTTTTTTCTTTTGTTTAGTTTCCATTCAGCCGACTCACGTTTCACATATGACTTTTTGACGGGATTGAAATTGCATATTGTGACCGCCGGAAAATCCATTCCGCCTTCGCTAACTATAAATGAGACCTGCCGAAAAAAAAAACGAGGATAAGCTCATTGCTCAATTGCACAAATGCGTTTCGAATTTTCTTTAAACGCCGCCCACATAATCATGTATAGGCGACTGTTGTAGATTTACGCGCATGCGCCTTGAAAAGGGGTCTCGCCACGTAATTCCATTATCCGTGACATTTTCCGTGTTCCGCTTGAGATATCTCCCAATACCTAGCACGTCTAGCACAGCCGGAGAAATTTGTTCGACAAAATGAAGGTCCTTGTCGATAGGGCACTTGGAAACTCTCACATTCAGTACTGTTAATTATAAAGTATTCGAGTTAGATGAAGCTTGTGTTCCGTGTTCCGTCAAAAAGTTTTTGTTCTGCCTTCCGTCTTCCGTTTTTAGAAAATTTAAGTTCCGTTTTGCTGTTTTCACAGATAAACATAATTTTTTCTTGGTGAGCCTGACATTTTCTTGAATTTCTAACGTCGTTCGATTTAAAAATTATCGAACCGAACCATTAAATGCGAAATAACCTGTTGGTCCGTGCGAGACCAAGAGAAAGACGCATCCGTGCACAGCAGTCGCCGGACTTTGTTGATTGTCAAAATTTTGAAACGTAAAAATTGAGTGCAATTTCAGATCGATACAAAACAAAAAAATTGTCATTTTCACATTTCTAACATTTCTTTCACATTTGTAAGGTTCACAATCATTTTCTGAAAATTGATTGACGCAATGAAATTTTTAAGATCTGAATTTCGAAATTTTTACAATCAACAAAGTGATGATCACATAAAATTTTGTAGTTTAACCGAGATGAATCAACCTGTGATAATGTCGGCTTCGAAAAGTACATTTTGAGTAGAAGAACGATTTGAAGAATGAGAAGTGCCAATGAGGTTGAGACAATCACCAGCCAAAACCATTGTGCTAAGCCCTTTCCATTGAATATTCTTTTCGGACCGTGCATCGTTGTGGTGTCTAGAAAATGAAATAATCAAATTGAAATTGAATACAAGTTGGTCACTGGTGAAATGTTTGGTTTCTCGATGAATCGAGCCGGCTCCATCGATGTTTTTAATTTTTTCAATCGGCACTTCGACAATGAGATGGCTGGCACGAGAGGTGCCCGAAGTTACCCTACAAATTATTTTCATTAAAAAATTTTTCAAAGTAATATTTTAAAAAATTGAGAGGGGCCCAAAAAATGGACTATCTGCATTCACACTACGAAATTTCGCGACTACCACGCGTACAAAATTTGTTTTGGTTTGAAACTCACTTTTTCATATTTGGAGTCGGCGAGAAAATTTGCGATGTATCAAAAATAGTAAGATGAGTTTTTGGACAAATTTGAGCATCTTAAATATTTGCGCCGTTGACCCCCCGCACACTGTGCAGAATTCAACACGTCTCGCATAATAATATGAATAGTTTAATGGGTTTATCAAAATCGAAAAAAAAACCCAAGTGACACATATTTGCCGCGGTCCGACACCGATTTCTTTTCAATCGCTCCACCTTTTTATTACTATTATTATTATTATTCAATATTTGAGCTTTGATTTATCAATTTCTGGTCGCCAAATTTCTGAAAATTGGCCCCGGTATCTTCGTCGTCGGGCCGAGCGATGATCAAAAAGAATTTGACCGCTCAATGATAAAGAAATTTGCATGCCGACGCGTCTAATTGGATACACAATTGGTTGATTTTGAGCATATTCGAACGGAAAAAAGAGAGAAGCACCGAATTTTGCGAAAAAAAAAATGTGGCTTACCTTTTGAGGCACTCGCCGCCCCCGCGCGCGCGAAAACGAAAATGCGAAAATGATGATTGAAATGATGATTATATGTGTTGCATAATTAATTGTCGAACAGCGCCGAATGAGAAATCAGTTCATCTATCAGTTATTCAAATTCGAACAACAAATCAGAAAAATTGAATGAAATTGGCCTACTCGTCATGAAGAGGCGCGATTGTGGCGAATCCCGCAAGCATGTCCGCAGATGTCAATGTGTAAGCCAACTTCAATTAAATGAATTTTAATAAGAAAGTGCGAAAATTTGAAAAAAGTAGAAAAATTTTGATTTATTTAATATTCTGCATTTTTTTATGAATGGTGATGGCCGTGGCCGTGGCCGAAGATTTTTCAATTTTTCAAGGCCACCAATTTTTTTAGCTTTCAACGAATTTTTGGCGCGTTTTTTTTATTAATTGAATAAATAAATTTGGATTTTGGTTAGCCATTGTCTTGAGCACTTTTGCGAGTTGGCGACGAAACCGTCTTTCGCGAGATTCGATCGATGGCATAGTGAACACACGTGCAGGAGGCCGTCGAGTTGTCGTTTTCCTCCCATTTGTCGCACACACGACGGACTTGCATGTTTCGGAGGACATCCTGAACATTATCGATTTGGGGGTTGAATTTCTCGAAAAAAAAAATTTTTCGAAAATTTGATTTTTCGACAAAAATGAAAATCCTGATTTTTTTCCCTCAAAAAAATGACTATTCGTTGGCTCGAAATTAGTGGATCTTTAGAAAATTTGAGACTCGAAACAATTTTTTGTGGATTCGTGTCGATTTACGACAAGCGGTCTCACAGCGAAAAGAATTTAATTGAAGATAATTTTGAGTGAATTCCGTCCGTTTTCAGCAATTTTGACGAAAAAAAGGTTCACGACGAAACGAATTTGGTCTGTAATGTACACCGAACGCAAAAATGCACAGCATTTTGAATTTTCGTCGAGATTTCGAAATTGGAAAATCGAAATTTGAATTGCCGCGCAAAAATGTTCGAAACAAACCGTTGAAATGAAGGCGACGTTGAGAAGAATGAGCAGAATGAGAAGAAGCCTCATTTTGAATGAATTTCTCCAATCAATCGCACATATATTCCTTATATAGACATCAATTTTTTTTCAAATCAATTAACGCATCACTAATTGATTAATTAGGCAACAACAACAAAAAGTTTATTAATTTAATTATATAGCAATCGAATATAATGACGGAAACATTTTTCAAATTAGATTTTGCTGAAACAATTTCAAGAAGATTGAAAAGCAAAAATGGAATATTTTTTGTGATCTTATGCAAAAAAAAAAGAATTTGAAAAATGGATTTATTATGAATCTATTCATGTAATGAAAAAAATTTTTTTTTAATCAATTTTTTCATTTGAATTCCCTATGCATGCACGTCGAAAATTATAAAAAATTGACGCGATATATCGTAATTCTCCGCTATTTATTTCTAAAGGCACACGCGAAAAGTTGCCCGGGTCACGTCGCGAAGTTGGTACTATAATTTTTTATTTTTGACCAATTATTATGTGAAATAGCGATTTTTGTGCTGATTTGAGCAAAATACTTTTATAGATTTCCAAAAAAAGGTTTTAAACGCTCAAAGAATAAAAAAATCGAAAAAAACGGCCATTAAAAAAATACAGTACCGACTTCGCGACGTGACCCGCGCAACTTTTCGCGTGCGCCTTTAAAAATAAATAGCGGAGAATTACGATATATCGCGTCAATTTTTTTGTAATTTTCGACGTGCATGCATAGGGAATTCAAATGAAAAAAAAATTGATTTTTTTTTCATTGCATGACATCTTTGTTTCAAATAAATTATTATCAAAAACTGTTGATTTCCTTTCTATTCTAAACTTTTTAACTTGAAATTTCTATAAATTTTTAGACAGACATTGATTGCAAAAACCATTTGGTGCAATTCAGCAAATTGCTGAAAATAAAAATTTCGGCTATTAAAGTTTTTTCAACGATTATTCGAAATATATGTAAATACCGAATTTTCACGGTATCTCAAATTATTCAATGGACATTGATTTTTGTTTCGCCGATATTTTTTGATATCAAATTGTCGAAAATAAAATTTCGGCAATCCGGCAATTCGGGAATTTGAAAAATCGGCAAAAAAAATCCATTGCCGCACAGCCCTGGTGCGCACATACCACTGCGCCATTGGTGTCAAAACATCAAATGCCAAAAATTTGAAACTTTGGACTTGAAATTTTTAGACTTTTTGATATCTTTGAAAAAAAGGCATAGCATACTCCATAGAGAACTATTTGTGTGCAAAATTAGAAAAAATTCCAAACCCCTTGGTAAAAAACTTCCCTTCTCTGGTAACTCAAAACCAATCGGATCCCAATTGGAAAAATTTTCCAATCGGATCTGAAATAATACAAAAATCGGTTCGGATCCGAGAAATTTCCAATCGGATCCGAACTTTTACCAATTAAATGCCACACAGTTTTGCAATTCTGCGGCATTGCTAGCGTTATATTTCCGGTGATTGAATTCAATTGCATTGTTTTTGAATGAATGAGACTATCCAGAATTAAAAAAAATTAAAAACTGGTTGAAACAGGTATAAAATAGCTTTTTTACTGCATATTGTATACAACTTTTAGGTTTTCATTCATTTTTTTTTAGAACTTTTCCAAAATTTAGGATTCCAGACCATTCGGGAGCACATCCGACACCGCTTCACTCCGAGGAGCAATGGCCAAAAAGGCCACATTTCCATAAATGGAGAAGTGATTCTTCATTTTCTAATTTCAATTAGTTGGAGCACCTTTGGTGAGTTGAAAAACTGCTTACTAGTAATCGATATTTTTTTTATTTTACAAGGGAGGTCATTTTGCTGTCCGTCTTAAAATTTTTTTATTTTTTGCATACAGATTCTTTAGGAAATTTCCAATCGATTGAACTAGGTCGCTACCTGCGCAAACTTCTAGCTATCGAGATATGGACCTTCAAAGTTTTAGCCCCTCCCCACGTGAATTTTGCACACAAATGTGCGGAAACTCGATATGAAATAACTTATATCGCAATTTGGCAAACAGTTGTGGTTCAGTGGTGTGTTCGGTTACGTTCTCATGAAGGGAGGTGCGGATTCGGTCCCGCTATCTACAAACATTTTTGCGTATTTTTTTAATTGGTGATACAGTAATTATGACAGTGCAATTTTGCGTTTTTCTATTCAAATTTGCCATTTTCATCATATTGAAAGATCATGTATGCGAAAAAAATTATACTTGCAACGGGGCGGGTCGGGGCGGGTCAGAGTGAAAATTCTACCGACCCGCCCCGACCCGCTCGACCCGCTAATAGATTTTTTGAAAAAAAGTTTATTAAAAAAAATCGAAAACGAAACAAAAACAGTGAAAGACGGTTCAATCAAGTTTGTTTGAGGACTTCTGAACAATTTTTGTTGCGAGAATAATTAATTCTACTCAAATAATGTAATTCGAAATTTTTTTTTCGCTAAACAAGGGCCTCGCTGTAAACTTGGAGTGTCGTTGCGGGTCGGCGGGGCGGGGGCGGGTCGCGAATTTTTTGACTGACCCGCCCCGCCCCGACCCGGAAATTTTGAAAAAAAAAATAGTTTTAAAAAAATGTTCGAAAATTGAAAAATTTTTTATAAGTTATGTGGTTGTTGATCATTAAATGCTTGGAGCAGTGGTTGTCACAATAGAAGGCTTCAATAAAAGATTTTCACTAGCTGTCTAACTGTACTGGAGCCATTTTGAATCTTTTTTTCTGGGTGACATATTTGACCGTATTATGTCATGACAAAGGATTTGATGAGAAGGCTTCCCCAAGAAGTTGTGTTCCAGAGTTCTCGAAACAACATGTTGAAGACCGAAACAATTCCTGACGGTTGCACCGGTTTCGTTCAACTTTGGACGACGAAGTTTTTGCGAGCAGCAAATGCAGTCTTCTATTGTGACAACCACTGCTCTAAGCATATCATGATCAACAACCACATAACTTATAAAAAAAATTTTCAATTTTTGAATTTTGTCGGTTTTGAGTTACCAGAGTTATTAGGGTAAATTTAATATAAATTGCCAATTATCCTCAATATCATAATGAAGAAAAAAACCTAAAAAAGTTTTTCTGCGACATTTGCGTCACGATGTTTGCACACATTTTCACGTGATACCATCTATTTCAAACTTTCTCATTTTTTAAGCCTCGAGTGTAAAAAAATCGAAAAAATTATAAATTCGCCAGAAAAACAAACAAGTCCGCAAACACCGGCCGGTTTTTTGGCGGCAATTCAAACGCCGATCTCATTTTTTGCAAATTCCCGATTTTGGCCGAAATCTCGAGCACATTGAGTTGTCGGAAATGACTTTTTAAAAAATTTTGAAGACAATTCTGTATGCGCCTTTAATTTGGGATTATTGAGACACAAAAATATTTGATAAATTGTCAATATTTATTTGTCTTTTATAAATTTCACCATCACCTCGAAATTTTCGCTGCGAGACCCCATTGATCAATTCTGTGGGTTTTCTGAAAGTAACCATTGCTACAGTATAAATTGTACCTTCTATCAAATATCAACCTTAGACTTTATGGTTAGTATATTATGTGCATATGATAAGGACTACAAACTACCCTGTTCCTCCCAATTATGCTTATCGGAGACCCCTCTAATCAAATTGCACTTGTTTGCAAATTTGAATTGCATTTGAATCATCGCAATTCGCTGACTGAAAATGAGATGTTGTCGCGATTTCCAACCATGGCCGCGGCCGCCAAAAATTCGGCCATGGCATAATTTTCACGGCCACCAAAAACATGTTTTTGAAATGAGGTTTTTTTCCAGACGATTTCTTTTAGACTATTAGAATTATGTGGTGAACACTATAATTAATTGGTCGCCTAATTAATGGGCTCATTAGCCAATCAATGCTTAAAAATCGCCATTAGAAACTACAAAATCGATTTTTTCCATGCGGGACCCATTGCGACAAAAAAAAACGGATGGCAAACGACATTTCTGCTGTTTTTTTTTTGTGCAAAATTTGTTTGTTTGCTTCTTCTCACTGACTTCAACGTGAGATATCGAAGAACGCGCTCGTCAACAATATGTGGGCGATGTGTGATTTATGTCAACAGTTTCAGTGTACTCAATTGATTTCGAAACTCGTCCAAATTGGCCTTGGGTCTCGTCGGGAAGCTAAAATCAAACTCTGACAAATCAAAAAAAAATTTTTGAGAATCAAATGTTCAATAATAAACGCGAAAATATTATGAGAAATTCTAAAAATTTCGAAAATTTATCGAGCAATTCTCTAAATTATCTCAATAAATTTTTAATGTTGATTGAAAAAAAAATCCAGATTATTGTAGAGGCACTCTCAAATGAATCTCAAAAGATTTTATTCGATTTTCCAGAGAAAAGTTGGAAAATTTCGGCGATGGCCTAGAATTTCAGAGTTCGGCCACGTCCACGAAAAAAAATTGTTTTTTTTTTTGGCTTTTAAACTTTTCCATTTTTCTTCATCCATTTTGTGGCCTACATGTGTTCCATGCTTCTTTGGGAGCCCAGAAAAAAAAGAAAAGGAAACAAGACGCACGTATCGATGTGCGGTTTCGAGTGAGAGAGACGCAGAGAGCAAGCGCGGCTCTTTTTCGATTTTGTCGGCGAATGCTTGAAGCCTCATTTCTTCTTCTCCTTCTTCTTCTTTTTTTCGTGCTCTTCGTGTCGAGACCCCGCCCTCTCTACCCTTATCAATCTTATCGCCACACGTCCCCCCTCTCCAACCACATCGAGCGCCATTTTCGGTCGTATCGCCAATTTTCAGAATCTCACGTCACCAACGCCATATTTGGGAATTTTGTCGTCAACGGCCCCGCGCGTTAAATTTGCTCTTTTTCGATTTGCTCCTTCCATTCTCGGATTTTGTCGCGCTGCAGAATTAGACGTAGCCGTCGTTGACGACGCACGTACTCGGTTCTGTAGATAGAAGTGAGCGTCGATTGGCTTCAAAAATAATTATTTCACTTTCTTTCAGAGTTGTATGGGTCCAGAAATTAAGACCCGCATCATTGTTCTCTATCGTCGTCCTCCTTAGCATCGCTATTCGAAAATCATCGTCAATTCACTAATTTTTTTTTCAACACAAAAATCTACATTAAAGTGAGTTTGTAAAGAAAAATTTAATTATTGAATTGATTTTTTTTAATAGAGAATGACACCTGTGAACGACTCGTCGATTCAAGTCGACGCGGGCGGTCTCGCGACGAAATCGGAATATTTTTTCGAGGGCGCCGAAAAACTGCTCGAGTTGTGGTTCGCGGCGACGCCGTCGCAATTGTCGGAGGGTCGAAGCCTTCGCAATATACCGAGAGATCAGCTCGACATGATGCTTGATGTCGCGCGATGCAAAATTCTTCATTCGAAGCATAACGAGTCGATCGATAGCTATGTTTTGAGGTTGGTCTCGCGCGTGTTCATATAATGAGTTTACGCCGGAGAGTTCCGACGTACACACAGGTAAAACGCTGTGATCCAGAGTTGAGTCTTCCGTGACTCAGTCAGCGTAAAAATCCGGGTACAAAACGTGACCAAAATGTGACTCAATTATAATCATTTTTGACACTCGGTGTTCAATCTAAGACTATTCTGTGATCCAAAGTTGAGTCTTTCGTGACTCAGTTGGCGTAAAAATCCGGGTACAAAACGTGATCGAACGGTGACTCTATCATGATCATTTTGGAGATTCAGCGTTTGGATGTAACAGAACGTTGTAATATATATATTTATTTAGTTACGCAGAGAAACAAATTTGAAACAAGTTACCAAGCATAAAATCGTAAAAGTTACAAACGAAGCGGATTTTGTGATCCGAAATTCTGGCTCTCGTTGACTGTCGAGATGCTGTCGTCGAATGTTGACACATTTGACGGCGATTCGGTATTCTGGTGGTCGTCGATCTGCGCCTTTCTAGAGCAACAGTTTTGAGATATAATAAGAATTGTCCAACTACCTGTGCTTCGTCAACTTCATCAGCAACTTTTCTGTTTTGTCTTTGTTTTCCCATAGTTTGCGATAACTAAAAGTTCAAAAATTTTAGTTCGGAAAAAATTCTTACATCTGATTTTTTATTGCTGATTCTACTCTCGCAAGAAGTATTGTCTCGATGAAGACGTTGGTCGCGACACGAAATCCAACTTTAAGATATTCTTAAGAGCACTTTAATTTAATTTTAACTTCGTTTTTTAAAATTTCGTACCAGCGATATATTCGATGACCTCTTTATCGATCGGCGCAGATTTCGTGCTTTTTAGCGAACTCGGCAGACTACATAATATTTGTCTTTCTCAGAGATCTACAAATAACTTTCATCGAAAGATTTTTAAATATTCCGCCCTTTCAACCTCTTCACATATCAGTGTATTTGTCTTAACTCATTTGATTTTGACCTTACAATCGGCTTCCTCTGTTCCTCTTTCTTGAACGCTTTAATTGCCATGACATCTAGTAAACTCGAAATAAATTCGCTTGGATTCGTACCGCCGCCGTTGGCTGCACTTAGGACGTTAACATCGAAATCCGCATTGTCATCATTGGGAAAATCGGACACCTCTGCGTCCTGCGGGCGCTGGAATAATTTTTAAAAACACTATTTCCTAAACACCCACCTTTTCGGTGTTACTTTCGCCCGTTGGCGATCCCATTTGAAACAACGACACGTAGGGGCTGAAATAATTGAAAAAACGCAGCGAAAACAAAAAAAAAACGAAATAAACGGACTTTTACTTTTTTTAATACTAATGTTGTTATGCAGATTTTGGCGAAAACTCAAAAAAACTGGTTTTGTACAATCTGAATTGGGTTTTAATTTTTTAAATAGTCTTTTACGGGTTTTATTTTGCCAAATCTGCATAGCACCATTAATAAATTGGAAGAAATGTATGCACTTTGACAGGAAATGTCGAAGAAAAAAAGAAAAAAGTGAGACGCAACCCGATCGTGATGACAACAGAGGAACAGAGGAAAAAACAGAGTTATCTTCATGGGTGGTCTCCATGTTTCGCGCTCTATCGCAATCGCACGCGCACGCGTCGCGTTACCTTTTTATTTCGCAAATTATTTTTTAACATATTTTCCCGCTAAATTTTAATTTTGATGTTTTCCTTGCAGAAATATTTTAAAATGGTTTTTTTTTCCATTGTTATTTTTTAATATTTTGTCCATTCTTGCTTTATTACAGAGAATTTTTCAGAAAACAACCCAACAATGTCATAAGCAGAGTCATTCGGATATTCGGTGTTCTCAATAGGCACTAGTTCTTTCTCTCCGGTTAGTTTTCCGTGAACTGTTTCAGTGAAACCTCTCAAGTTTCTATTATATCAGTAAGGAGTTAAATGATATTGTAAATAATCTGGATGTGTTTTAATTTTTTTAATGACCTTTTATGTCACTATGGATTTGAATTCTTAAGTAACTTTCAGGCCATAAAACGTCTGAAATTGTAATATATATTTAACATAGTCGACCAAATAAATTAAATTAACTTTTTTCAGATTACTTGATGTTCCACCAACGTGTTCCATGGACTTCTATCGTAGGTTTTTAATCAACTTTTATATATTTTTTGAAATAAAATAGTTTCATTTCATGTTTGTTTCATTGTTGAACATATCAGTTCGTCCACTTATTTGGGTCTCTTTGTTCACTGTACCAGATATTTAGTACTGATAGTTCTCGTTTCTTGTTTTAAACTGAAATTCGGAATCAAATGATAATTTTATCAAAAATAAACAAATATCAATAAAAGTGTAATGTTGTAACTGCAGCTCTGCTTGGTGGTCGTCTTCGAAAATACTTCATCCTCGACACATTCACACAAATCTGTCATTCCAATCCTGTTTTGTACTAATCTGAAACAATATTCCCTTTTTTTGTAGTGGTTTCGGAGTCAAGTACGCTCCCAGTGAACGAATCGTGTTCAAATTTGGAACTTTATAATTATGTAGTGTTAATATGTGCACAGATGATGCATGCACTCTCGTGAGGATGGGTCACAGTTGACACTCAGCGTCTTGTCACTTGTCAAACGCCGAGCCTCATATGTGAATCAAAACGGGTCACACTTCATGCTCAGCGTTTTGTCATACGCCGAGCCTCAAATGTGAATCAAAACGGGTCACACTTCATGCTCAGCGTATTGTCAAACGCCGAGCCTCAAATGTGAGCCAAAGATGGGTCACAATTAACGCTCAGCGTACGTTCAGTCACAGTTGGTACATGTTTGACATTCGGCGTTTTACCTGTGCAAGTGGTTCAGTGGATAACGTCCTTGCTTGCAAGCAATTTTGCCCGAGTTCGACACCACCCCACTTCAAAAATCTTTTGCGATCATTTTTTTCTCTCTAGAAAGTTCTGAAAATGTGTGCTTCAAAAAAAAAGAAAAACCCAACAATTATAGTCGTCAATTTCAGCGAAAGTAGTCTGTTCGTGTCGGACACGCGAATAATAATGAAGACGTGCGGCTCGACGCGACTGCTCGCCGCGTTGCCGATCATCATTCGGCTCGCCGCCGACTACGCGCGACTCGATCACGTCGAATCGTTGTACTATTCGCGCAAGAATTTCCTTCGTCCCGACCTTCAGCCGAAACTTTATCGCAATTTCGACGCCGAGGTCGAATACCTCGACGAGTTGTTCGACGGCGGCCACGCCTATTGTTTGGGCTCGCTCAAACAGGATCGCTGGTATCTGTACACGTACCATCGACATCAGATAACAAGAAAGCAAGCCGATCACACGCTCGAGATTTTGATGAGCGATTTGGATGAGTCGGTGCTTCCCAAATTCACCAAGGATTATTCGATCGACGGAAGAGATTGCTTTATGGTTTGATTTTCCTCATATTTATATATATATTGTCGAAATCAAACGACTTGACGAAATTAAAAAAAAATTATTGGCTACTGTCTCGAGGCAGCGAGAATTACACGAAACTGCGTACATTGCATTATAGTGTACGCGCATTTAATATTCAGTCAACGATTAATTTAAATCTACACTGATTTCGCGAAGTTGAAGGCCCCCGCCTCCCTTCAGTCGTTTGCCTCAGCAATTAAGCTGCTGCGCTGTGTGGCACTTATTACCAAGTTATGAGGGCAAGCCAAGGGGGCGCGATAGCGCAGCGCCGCACTTTTGGACTCGTGACCGTGGAGGTCGTGGGTTCGATGCCGCTCTGTGTCTCCTCCCAAATCTTGATTGTACAGACCACTTTTTTCATATATGATGAATATATTCTGGAAGGGAACTGACTTTGCAGAAAACCGGACTTGATCAGGTGTTGCCTGCCGGCGCTAGTGTTCACGACGAGCTGTTCGATCCATGTGGATACAGTATGAATGCTTATATGAAGAATACGGTAACATTGGGATTCGATAATGCAAAAACAAAATGATGAGTTGCATGCAGGATCAATACGCAACGATTCATGTGACACCGGAAAAAGAATTCTCGTTCGCTTCATTTGAAACCAATCAGGATTTTATGTGTTTGTACGGACAGACGAAAAAAGTGATTCAAGTGTTCAAGTAGAAATGCGCAATTAATTGAAAATAATAAGATATTTTTCAAAGGCCGAAGAAGATATTGATGACGGTCTTCTCGGACGACGTTTCGGCGAAGGGAAAAGACGCCCAACAGCAGTTGTGGGATCGCGAGCTGCCCGGCTATCGGAGGAGCAGCATTCAGTTTGTGCGACTTGAAGTAATTGCGGAAAAAACCGAATCAAAATGAGGCATCGAAATGAAAAAATCGATCGATTTCAGATGGAAACGTTGGTTTATGCCAATTTTGTTCTGAAACAAGTCGATTCGTCAAGCGATGAGGACGACGATGGAGAACGATCGGAATAAATGTTTCATTTTTCACATTTTGTTCCACCCCCCCCCCCAAAAAAAATTTGATTTTTCATTGAAATAGTTTGGTTAGAAATTTCGAATTGTAACGGTAGCTTTTCTTTTTTTTTTCTTGGTAACAAATAAAAATTATTAATCGCGCAAAAATTTTGTGAATGGCATTGCATTTGAGAGTTAGGCCACGTCTCAATCTAAAAATTCACAAATAATTCTAGCTAGACTTTTTTTGGAAAGATTCATTGGCGGAAAATTTGAGGTACGTGAAAATGCGTCGCGGTGTTTTCACACACTTCCTGTGATTAAGCTGCGGATGCCGCGATGTGCGGCACTTATTAACAAGTTATAGCCGCGTTATAGGGAGACGCGATGGCGCAGTGGTAGAAGCTTTGGACTCATAGCCATGGAGGTCGTGAGTTCGATCCCATATGGGGTGAACGGTTTTGCTTTTCATTTTTAAAATGAAACCATATTCATTCTTCCAACCATATTGCAATATTGAATGTTTGAGTTCAAATTTGAACACCTTCGAGAGCTTCGATCAATCGTTTAAACGTCACATCGACATTTCGATTGACCAACGTGACGTCAATTCGACCCCGACACAATTGTGCAATGCTCTCGCTATCTCGTGTTATCATCTCCAGCGTTGTCAGACTCCTAAAATTGATGTCTCGTTCGGCGCACGCACAATGAAAAAAGAGAGAAATTTGCAAAAATGATCACCTCGACGCTTCTTTGAGACTCTCCAAATGGACAAACTCGTCGAGCGGCGGTGGTGTGATGTGCACAACGAATGGTTTGAACTCGTCGCGATCGGCGCCGCACAAAACGTCCAAACAATTCGGCGAGCCGTCGATAACCACCAGGCGACCTTCTCGCATACTCTGCCGCACCGATTCGATCGTGGTGCCTGATGAATGCGCAAATTGAGATTGAGCTCATTGCCAGCCCCCGCCGTTTATTGTAATAACACCTGCGGACAGTTTCCGGGTTGCGTCACACTCGCCATAAAAGGGCTATTTTTTGAGGATTTTTTTGTGTTTCAAAAAATTTTTTTAAAGGCGCATACGAGGATTATTTTATTTGTTTCAAAAATTTTTTAAAGGCGCATACGAGGATTATTTTTTTGTTTCAAAAAAATTTTTTTAAGGCGCATACGAGGATTATTTTTTTGTTTCAAAAAATTTTTTTAAAGGCGCATACTCGTCGATTCATTTTTGTTTCAAAAAATGGCGAAATTTGAAATTTCGTTAGGCGGCCCCTCTAGATATTTTGACGAGTCGCTTCGAGACCCATTGGGCAGTTTTTCTTAAAGGCGTCGACGTCACACTTTTTTGTTTGAAATTATTTTTGAATTTCGCGCCAATTTTTGGGTTTCTAGAAAAACAAGTGAATCTCGTTGAAAAAACCAAATTTTTTTTAATGTGTGCAATTTTGCGTGCGCGTGTTTTTGCAGACCCACAAAAATGACATCCCATCAAATCGACGATGGCAATTTTGGATAAGAGGGGGTCCGAATTGACATACCATAAAGTTGATGATTGAAATAGCCATATTCGACCATCTCATTATTTCGTATCTTCGCCAAGATCTCCTCCTTCCTCAGAAACGCATAGTCGCGATTTTTGACTTCGTTGGGCGACGGCGCGCGACTCGTCACTGTCAAACTCATTGTTAGATTGAGAGAGAGAGAGAGAGAGAGAGAGAGAAGGGACCCACCTGGCACAACGGTGGTGAAGAGGTGCGGCGCGGTGCGCAGAAGCATTCGCTTCAACGTGCGTCGGCCGCTTCCGATGGCGCCGACGAGCACGAGCACGTTGACGGCGAACGGCGACGTGAGGGCGACGCGAGCGAGGCGGCCGATCGGCACGTGGCCGACTTGCGACAGATCGCCAATTTTGCGCACCAGCGCCCAATCGCCGTCGCGTCGAAGCTCCTGGACGACGTCGTCGCGATTCAGATGAATCGTCAGACGACGTCTCGTCGGATTCGCGGCGTCCGTCGACGAGTTGTAGGCGTCGTCGATGAGGCGATCGAACACCTACGAGAAATTGATTGCGTCGAGAATTGGTCGACTAGAAAATTACGGTTGGCAATAGGTGAATCGGCGCCGGGTAGAGGCACAGCTCGACGTCGCCGGTCAAGTTGTCCAAATCGGCTGAAACCAACATTTCGCCAAAAAAGAGATCGGTCTCAAAGTTCGGCCACGCTGACAACAAAACTCGGCCACGGCCACATTTTTTGTTTTGAAGCCCGAAATTTTGGAATTATTTTATTTGAGATTTCTATTATGCATAAAGACGGATTTTGCAGAAAAAACTCTTTTAAAAATCTAAAAATCGGTATGGTAGAGAAAATTTTACAAAAACTCGGCCACGGCCATGTTTTTTGAACGTCAAGAATTATGAAATTTTATAATCATTTTACTTTGTTTTCTATTATGGTTAGAAGCAGGTTTTGCAGAAAAACTAAAAAAGAATTTTAAAACTCGGCCACGGCCACATTTTTTAGAGGCCATGAATTATGATATTTTATTTCATGCGCCTTTCATGGAAATGGTTTTGTTCAATTTTTCTATTATGCTTGAAAACAAATTTTGCAGAAAAAAAATAAAAAAAATCGCAATGGCCGAAAAAATGGAAAAAAACTCGGCCACGGCCTTGTTGTTTTCCATGCGCTTTTAAGCATAATTTAAAAATTAAATGAAATCACATATAGTTAAACGAAATAATATATAATGAAATATATTTGATTTAAAAAAAAACCTGGCCGCGGCCATGGCCGAGTTTTTCGCGCTTTTTTCTCAGCCATCATCTACATAGCAATTTTTCGGGTATTTTTTTCTGAAAAATCTGAATGTCACCAAACCGAGCAGATGGACATTTTTGCCATTGGCCGTCATAATAATATCAGCGGGTTTGATATTCTCGAAACGATCGTCGCCAACGTCGCGCACCATCAATCCGTTGCACCATTTCAAAATTGCCATCTGAACATTGCCTTTTGTTGAGCCGGTCAATTGGAAGTCCGCAGAGTTGGCGTCGCGTGTTTGCACACAATTGTTTAGACACTGTGTAAAACGAAGAGGGTTGAGACGCGCGCAATTATATTTGGGGCTTGTGCAAACACGCCGTCGCAATTTTGCGGACTCTTGCCTACAGCTGAAAGCGTCTCGGCATCAATGCGCACTCGCTTCAATAAATTCTCCTTGGCATAATTCGATTGCTCGTGAATCACCCTATAAGGCATACAGTTCTTCTCGTCCATTTGAAGCCACTAAAAAACAAAAATATTAAAAACGCGCACGCGAACCGCAACGCGTCTGACGACATTCCACCAATTAGGGGTTTCTATTAAAAAATTGAGATGGGATTGGAAAAAAAAAGAAAAATTGTGGAATTCGATGAATGGCGGGTGTACACCAATAAAGAAGCACCACCAACACCACCAAAACCCACCCCCGCCGCCGCCGCCGCCAAAAATCGATAGGAGGCAGTTGGCAATTCCAAATTCGCCGGGGCTCTTACATATATGGATATATGTGGAGAGAGAATGAGGCAGACAAACGGGCGAATGCAAGAAATGCACACTCATTGCGTCCGAAGGCATTCTCAACCATCTGCCGACAATTTTCCGGGTTGCGCCACACTCGCGGTGTGGGCCTGAAGCTGGAAAGTGTTTATTGGAAATGTTTGAAAGACGCGAGTCACTCTTTTTTTTTTCTTTGTCGAATCACAGAACATCCATCTGCGGACAGTCTCCCGGGTTGCGCCACACTCCTCGTCTGGCGTTGTAGGCGCGCCAAGAAAAAACAATTGGGTGGCTTGGATAATTCAGCAATTTTGACAAAGACCTAGAAAGTGTTAATGGGCAATTTTTAAAGGCGCATACTCGACTATTCACTTCCTCTTTGTGGAATCCCAGAAATTGCATTGTGAACATCCATCTGCGGACAACCTCCCGGCTTGCGCCACACTCGCCTGCTGTGTGTTGTTAGCGCGAACCCCACCAAATTCAGTTTCCGCGTGATGCGCCTTTAATAACGTCTCTTGAAACTATATTGAGGATACGGTATAATTAAAGGCGCACGCGGGTTTTGAAGCCCATCCAAGCGGTAGAATGGCGTTTTTTTTTTCTTCTGAAACAAAACGCCGACCATCATCATTCGAGACATCGTCGTCCTTGACCATCGCGATGAGCGTCGTCAGCTTATTTCCTCTGAGGCAATTCGGATCAATTTCGGATCGGATCAGAGAAAAAATAAACGAAGCCTGAAAAAATGGCCAAAAAAGAGATTTTTTTTTGAACTTCGCACCAAATTCATTTTTTTTTAATTTTAAATTTATTTTTTGATCTCCCCACAAAAAATATGAGAAATGAAGAAGCCGATTTAAATGTTTTATCAAATGTGTGCAATTTTGCGTGCGCGTGTTTCTACGGACCCGATTTTTTTTTGTAAATTCATTTTTGATGCGCAAATTGACAGAAAAATTGTGAATTTATTAAAAGAAAAACCGTAATACGATGTGTGCAATTTTGCGTACGCGTGTACTACGGACCTTCGTCTATTTAAAAATTCTTCATCCTTCGATGGAAGGAGGGGGGGGGTCCGAATTTTCACACCATCTTGATTATTATTAAGATCCCCAATGTGTGTAATTTTGCGTTCGCGTGTACTACGGACCAAAAATTGTGCTCAAATCAATTTTTCGACATTCACCCACCACCAAAATAATGGGTGCCGCAAAAAAAATTGCCAAAAACCATTCTCGATGGTTCTTTTCGTGCAATTTACTAGGGACCTTCTTCTTTCTTCAAAATTGTTCTCAAATCAATTTTTTTGACATTCATCCAAGGAGAAGCGGGGAGGGGGGTCCGATATTCTACCCCATAAATTCCGAATTTGTGCAATTTTGCGTACGCGTGTACCACGGACCTTCTTTTTTTTTAAATCGTTTTCAATTTTTTAAGATTCATCTTTCAATGGGAGAAGGTGGGGGGGGTTCCGAATTTCCACACCATCCTGATAATTATTCAAATCCCTAATGTGTGCAATTTCGCGTACGCGTGTACTACGGAAAAAATGTGTCTATTTAAAAATTGTTCTCAATTTCTTTTTAAAGATTCATCTTTGGATGAGAGGAGGGGCTGATAATTATTCCAATGTGTGCAATTTCGCGTCAGCGTGTACCACATCCCTCCGGTGACCACACCTTCGCTCAAAAAAAAAACAAGCAAATGCTTCTCGCCGCAAAACGAGGTTACCTCTTGTTTATTCACTCCAATTCTGTTGAGCGTAAATCAAACAATTTCCCATCATCATCATCATCATTATTATTATAGCAATTCAGAGGAGCGAGAAAGAACCCCCCCCCTCCGGGCGTGTGGCACACTTCTATATTAGACTCTTGACCGAGTCTTGCCTCCTCCCAATAATTGTCATGTTGTTCTTCATTCATAAGAATGACCTTTACCCAGAAAACGAGGAGGAGGGCAAGCTTAATTGAGAAGCGAATACGATTGCATCCATATCGCATCGTACTAGTTACCGCTGGAAGGTCATTCGAATCGAAACGCCCCTCAGCATACACGAGAGAGAGAGAGAGAGAGAGGCGGTTCGGTTTCGAGAAATTAATTAGGTTGTCCGAAGCCGATTGAGCCTCAGTCCGATTCGACGATTCGTCCCCGATGCTCGTCTCGCGATTCTGCACACCGCTCGCTTTACTCCTATCGTTGCCATCAGCGGCCATCGCCGCCGACCAAATCAACTACATCGACAACTCGATTATCGGTTGGTTTTCGTGTAAACCTTGAGAATTATTGGGGGGGGGGACCTTTTCAAAAAATCGGCTCCGGAATCAATCCGATCCGATTGGAAGTTCTACGGATAAAATTTTAAAATTATCGGATCCGATTGGGGTTTCCTTGGGTATTTTCTGGATCCTATTCGAATTGAAAGGTTAAAATAAAACGGATTACATTAGTATGATCCAATCGGATCATAAAAAAACCCAAAAAAAACCAATCGGATCCGACAAATATCCAATCCGATCCAACAAATATTCAAAAAACCAATAGGATCCAATAAATTTCCAATCGGATTCGAAAATACCCAAAAAACCAATCGGATCCGACAAATATCCAATCGGATCCAAAAATACCAAAAAAATTCGATCCGCCAAATATCCAATCCGATCCAACAAATCTAAAATCCGATCCAACAAATATCCAAAAAAACCAATCATGTCCAACAAATTTCTAATCGGATCCGACAAATATCAAATCGGATCCAGAAATACTAAGAAAATCCGATCCGACAAATATTCAATCCGATCCGACAAATATTCAATCCGATCCGACAAATATTCAATCCGATCCGACAAATATCCAATCAGATCCAACAAACATCAGAAAAACCAATCGGATCCAACAAATTTCCAATCGGATCCGTAGAATTACCAATCGGATAAGGTCGATTCCGGAGCCGAATTTTGTCGGATCCGATTGGATTTGAGTTGTCAGTTGACGATGGTCCCAAGCAATTCGATTGAGTTTCAGGAACACCAAAAGTGATATGCGCCGAGAATGATTTGGCATTGGATATTGTGACGTCGAAGCCGTTCAAAGTGATCCAATCCAATATTGCTCGCCTCTCTCAATTCTCGATTTGTTTCAGGGCAACATTTTTGTGAAAGGCCGCGCCAAAGACAAATCGTGTCGGCAATCGTACGCCAACAACGGCACCAACTCCTACTCATTGCCGTTGGGCAAATGCGGAATGCAAAAATTGCGATCGGTGAGCGCTTGGATGGCCGCGGCCGTCGAATTCGGCGGCCGCGTGTGTGTGATGCAACAATTGTGTTGGCTTTTTTTGTTGTAGGCGAACCCACGCGGCGTCAACTTCATGGTGACCGTCATCGTCTCGTTCCATCCGGCCGGCTTCATCACCAAGAACGATCGCGCGTTTCACATCAAATGCTTCTACATGGAGCCCGACGAGATCGTCACACAGAACATTGACGTCAGCATGATACCGACGACCGAATTGTACGAGAGCATGAACATGCCCAAATGCGAGTACTCGGTTCGTCGCGACGGTCCCAACGGGCCGACGCTGAACTACGCGAACGTCGGCGAGACGGTGTTCCACGTGTGGGAGTGCACGCCGACCGACATGGGCATGCTGGTGAAGAAGTGCTTCGTCACCAACGGCGACGGCGAGGATCACGCCGTCGTCGACACCAACGGCTGCTCGACGGACCCGTTCCTACTGAGCGATTTGAGCTATGACGCGTCGCTGATGCGAGCGCACGCTTCGAGTCAAGTGTTCAAATACGCCGACTCGAACCAATTGTACTTCACATGTCAGATTCGCCTGTGTCAGAAGCAGATGGGAATGTGCCAAGAGACAACGGTGAGGAAGGGGGGGGGCTCACGTTTCATTGGCATTCATTGTTTTCAGCCGCCGCAATGCGGAACGTCGTCGTCATCGTCGACCAGCGGAAATCGAACAAAGCGCGAATCCCGCGATGACTATGAGGTACCTCAAACGCTTCCAATTCATTCATTCCGTTTTTTCCCCTAGATCGACGTCGCCACCGCCGAGTTCCTCATTCTCGACTCGTCGGATCGCGGCATCATCGCGCCGTCGTCGCCATTCTGCATCCCTCGCCTACTTTTGCCGATGCTGCCCCTTCTATTGATCACCATCATTTCGCTGACGATCGTCTCGACGACGCTTGTCATCAGGAAGCAGCGAGAGAAGAAACAACTGAGCGTCGCGCACGATTCGCGATTCTTCTGAATTCCATCTTCTCATGTTCAGCTTTATCTTTTCAATCATTTTCAATAACGGTCTCTCTCTGTCTCTCAAGTGTTCGTGTCTGTTAAGAAAATTCAAAAATTATGTGTCGCTTCCGGTTTTTCCGTCTTGCAATTTTTTTTAATGCCGGTTTTTATGTATGTCGCCCACAACATTTTGATATTCATACCTCCTATATAAACTCGTGTTGGCTAGTTGCGTCAAATATCGCGTTGAGATACAAATCCGACATGCGCCTTTAATGTGTATACACTAAATTGTCGAGGTCACAACGACGATTGATTTATATTATTTGAATTGCCGCCTTGGGGGTCTCGTATGGAAGACATCATAGATGCCCGAATTGGTATCAGAGTTCGCGCATCGACGAGACCAATTGAATTGGAGCCCCGCGAAATTCGAATTTTTCAAAAAAAAAAAAATTTCCGCCAAATTTCGCCAAAAAGCAAAAACGCGATATTAATAATACATAAATAGTTCAGAATTTTTGTCTTAAAGTGCCCATTTTTGAAACCTGAATTTTAAGCGAACATTTTCAGACAAAATCCGGCATTTAATTGGCACAAACCAAATATACATTTCGAGAGCGAAAAAAAAAAACAATAGAAAACAACTTTATTTGATCATCCCCAAATGGGAAACCGTGACTATCAATGGAGTTCTGATGATGGTGATGGTGGATGGTGGTGGATGGGTGTGAATTCGGGTGGGTGTGAAAAAACCGAAATATTTCATTCACTAGGATAATTTGAATTTTTCATTTTTCTTGCCACTTTTATGTTTTTGCAAGAAATTTTCTGTCAATATCGATTTTTAAAAATTGCGTCAGCCGCACGCCAAATACGCCAATCACAATTTTGCTGACGCGTTTTTGGCGACACCATCCGTCATCGAATCGATAATCAATTTTTGCGCATTTTGCCGATTTTCACCTTTTCTACGCGGATTCTTCTTTAATTTTTTGATCAGACTTGCTCTATATTGTATTGTCGGTATGTTTTCACTGAAATTACGCCGTTCAAATGATTTATTTTCCGATTTTTTTGCTAGTTTTGAAATCGTCAACAAATGTCAAAAATTGTGATTTTTTTACCGCGTTTTGGCAAAATTCTTTGAAATTTTTTGTTCATTTATGCGTTGTTCTTTTTTTGTGGTTCAGTCTCGAAATTGCTCACAAAATGCGTTTTGTCGAAACGTTCGATTTTGAGAAAAATCTTTTTCGCCTCATCGATTCGACCCTTTTGCATTAGATATCTCGTGGACAATTTTTTGCAATTTTTTTGTCGTCTTTGACAAAAATGAGACGAACAACGATTGATAGCGATGACCATGTTTGGAAGAAATATGCGAGGCAGCCTGTAGTGTGAATTGATAGATATAGAAATTTTGAAAAAATATTTTAAGGACTGATCGAGAAGAATAACGTTCGGCGAGAAGCTGATCAACGTTGAAATGTACATTCGCGAGCGTTTCGGAATATTTTCGATGAGGTAGACAACGGAGATTCTGGAAAACAAATTTTCCAGCGTGAGGGGGTTCGTTTTTTTTCGGCGAAAATTGTGCACATTGCGAGGTAAACGAGCAAAACCTGCAAATTTTTGTTCGCTTATTGCCTCATTTTCGACGTGCTATGTATTAGCAAAATCTAAAAAAAATGATTTTCGATTTGGCGGAAAATTTGAAGAATTTGAAGCCCTGATGAAAAAATTCGCAAATTTTTTGGGGATTTTTGATGTGCGCGAAAATCTGGGAAATTTCTCAATTTGGTTGGAGTTCAATGGAGGAAAAATCGAAAAAAAAATTTCCTCTTTTTTAAATACGACAAAACACCAACCAAATTGTAGGAAACCCCTTATTTGAATTATTTTTCTCACTTTATTCTAATTTTGTTTGATTTTTCCCGATGTTTTTGCAGCATTTTTTATACGCTAACAGCCAAATCCAAAATGATAGCGACAACTTTCGATAATACCACTTTTCGACTGTAGACGTCGCTGAGTTGGCCGAAAACAGCCGGTCATCAAACCGATCCTTTGAATCGACATTCCGAGTTTTTTCGAAGCGAACTCCCGCGCAGACGGTTGAACTATACGATATAGAGAGAGAGAGAGATTTGTTGTAGAAAAAAAAAGAAATTTGGATATCTCATCGATGATTCCGTAGAATTTTCGCTCGAAAGCCATATGACTCGGATGGCACGAATCGCACGCTTCGGAGTTTGATGAGAAGCTCGCGTTTGCGCACCATGTGATTTTTGGAATTGCGCCCAAAAAAAAAAAGAAAAAGAAGCGAGGAAGAATTGAAATTTTTTCGTTGCGTTTTACCGGCATAAACTATGTATTACTTTTCTTAATAATTTTTAGGAAACGAAAAAAAAACATTTTGGGGTCATTCACATGGTTGATTTCATAAATAAATCATTTGATAAAAAAACCGAAATATATCATTCACTAGGATAATTTGAATTTTTCATTTTTCATCATTGCCACTTGTATGTTTTTGCAATTTTTTCTGTCAATATCGAATTTTAAAAATTGCGTCAGCCGCACGCCAAATACGCCAATCACAATTTAGCTGACGCGTTTTTGGCGACACCATCCGTCATCGAATCGATAATCAATTTTTGCGCATTTTGCCGATTTTCACCTTTTCTACTGCAGATTTTTTATTAGTTTTTTGATCAGACTTGCTCTATATTTTATTGTCGGTATGTTTTCACTGAAATTACGCCGTTCAAATGATTTATTTTTCGATTTTTTTGCTAGTTTTGAAATCGTCAACAAATGCCAAAAATTGTGGTTTTTTTACCGCGTTTTGGCAAAATTCCTTGAAAATTTTTGTTCATTTCTGCGTTGTTTTTTTGTGGTTCAGTCTCGAAATTGCTCTCAAAATGCGTTTTGTCGAAACGTGATTTATTTTTCGACTTTTTTGCTAGTTTTGAAATCGGTGTGCTATGTTTAGTAAAAAAAAAGTCGATTAATTTTGTGTGTGTATTTTGATCTTTCATTTTCATCATCGAATTATTTGTGTTTACTGATGCCTACATTCTGTGCAATGTTCGTTTTGAGCAATTTATCGGCGATTCTCTTAAAAAATTACAATTTAATCAATAATTGTTGATGTTGAATAATTGTTTTAATCCGTAACTATTCACATCCGTTTATTTTATTCCTTTTTTTTTTCGTTGAGCATTATATATTTAATATAATTTTTCCCTCAAGTTGGCATTTTTCAGATAATATCTCAACAAATTTCTTGTGGCGACGACACTGATGGTCCCGTGCGGAGTGTCGAAGGTTTGTTAATACTACGAAATCCCAGACATTATTATTATTTTTATTCTAGAATTTTCAATTCAGTACGATGCAGATTCGCCATGGATTTTAGACGAAAAATCTCAAGCGGTAGGCGAATTAAAATGTGAGCAATTTAAACAAAATAGTTGTTAATTTCAGATTGTTCTGTGCGACGGCTGGAAGCGGCTTGATCGGTAGTACAACCCTTGGCTCCTCGGATTTTTCTCGTCGTTTCCGAAGCTCGCTATTTCCCGAGCCAAAATTGCAGGAAAACATGATGCACAAAGCAGCTGATTAAAATGACCCCGTAATTTTTGGCCATTGTTGCTCTTTTTGAAGATTGTTCGATTTTACCTTGTGATATTCGCTACGGGAATCGTTACCGATAATTCTAGCTTTGAGCAATTAAACTAATTAGGGTAATAATTAGTGTTGTGTTTGCTGGTGTGTATGTTTGCGTGTGTGTGTGTGGTGCACGAGGTTTGGTATTAAAAAAGACTATTGAGTCAATCAATTAGACTGCCAGAATGAGGGGAACTCGGTCTTAAATAGTGCTCCGGGATCATACTACAAATAATAGAGAAATATGAGAGACGCAGAGAAAAAATGCGAGAAGCATAGAGGGAGAGTGAGAGGGTGCTACGCAACGAGACTTCTTTTATAGAGCGCGTTTGTGGACTATAATATTTAGGAAGCAATTAGATTTTCTGCTAAGATTTACTGGGGGATTTTAGAGTTGAGAAATAAATGAGCACTTTGCTTAATTTAGAATCTAAACCGGTGGATATTCATTTTAATATTCAAAAAATTGTGATCTAGATAGATGTGAACCCGTTAATGATATTACAATCGCAAAAAACCTACACCAATTTACCCTTCGTTGATTTATGATGAGTTTGATTCGCAGACATTTCTACAGTTTTAATTTTAATTTTTGATTTTCCTAATCGAAAAAATGATCCACAAATTCGCAAGGTTCTTGTTTTTTGCGATGGTAATTATTTTAAAACGTGGTGATTTTAGTATTTAATTGCGTTTTTTGAACGAAACTTTATATTCTAATCCATGTAACAATTACTAAGCATTAAATCTCAAGTATTGGGGCAATTTGTTATAGATAATTTTTGTGGTTTCTTGGCTATTACGATAATTTCGTGTTTTGCATCAATTTTGATATATGTTTTTTTTCGACAATATAATAATTTCACCATCATTTTTCGAAACCAGTTATTTTTAATTTTTTATTTTAAAACATTGACGAAATAGTCCTGAGAATAAGCTATTTTGGGTCCGTAAATGGGTTCAGGTGACTGTGACGGAGGGCTTCCAATTACTTTCCTATCAAACTTATTCATTATTCATATTTAATTTAAAAAATAACCATTATAGGATAATTTTTGAACTTCTATTCAAAATTTTTTGTCCATTTTCTTTTCAAATCTTCACAAAATACTATAGATGTTATTCAATAATAATTTCAATCCAAAATTCCCATAATTATTGGCGTTTCTCGAGAATCTTTAGTAATTGCCCAATTAATTTCGACGTACACCATTTATTCATTTGTTGTTGAGATTTTTCGGAGGGTAGATTATAGTTTAGTGGGTTATTCCAATTGGTTGCTATTAGTTGTTGATTAAAACTTGTAATATTTGATCGTGCGAGTCTCGTAGCGAAGGTCAAGAAGAAATTCGTAGTTTGATCTCTGAGTCGAATGTTTTTAAGCTTGTATTCCAGTTGGCGCATTGGTCCGTGATGGATTACTGTAGGGTTCTACTACACGGTATCCTCACAGTACTCCTGATCGGTCCGCAAAATTGCGTCGGTTGTTGTGCATGTCTTATTGACACCCGGTTGCGAGAGGTCTCAAAAACGACGAATTTCCATTTTGGGTAAAATCGAACAAAATTCAAATTGACCAAAAATGGCCAAAAATAGGGCGATTTTTCGGCTGTTTTGTGCATTACGTTTTTTTTGCGATTTTGGCTCGGGAAACGAGGGGGTAGAGGAGGCGCCGAAAAAATTCGAGGAGCCGCTAAACGGGAGAGACGATCATTTCGCAAAATTTTGAAAAAAAAAAGTAATCAGCCCCCTTTTTTTTTCTATTCAGATGCACGGACTCCTCCCGGCCTTCGATAGTCCCAATTCCGCTCTGTCGTCCCCCAGGCCCTCCTTCTCCGAATTCTGTGTTTTTTCCCATTGGCCCCATCGATTTGCCATGACTTGGACGACAAAATCGCTCAATCTTCCTCAATTATTGCCTCATTTCATGACCAATTCTAATAATTTCTCTTCATTTTTCGTTGTTGTGTTAATTTTTTACATTAAAGTGTTTTGATTCACTGAGATCTTGGAAACAGCGAGGAAATTATGACCAATTCGAGGAATATTGACATGTTTTCTTTTTAAAGTTTTTTTTCTTTAATGCTTAAGAATTTGATCGCTAGCCCATGACAAAAATCTACTGTAATTCGGTGCATATAGTCCGGCGGCTACTGTACGCGGGTCGTTATAGGAGTACGCCAAAGGTCTCAATACACAAGACCGAGGAAAGACGCATCTCCGTAAATATACCCGCGTAAAGCAGTCGCCGGACGCCAACTATATGCATTAATTTATTTGTTAATTAATCCTTAATTGACGCCTAGACTCTGGATTTCTGACAAATTCTAATTAAACTGACACATTTAGCCTCTCAATTTATTAATTCGTCATTAACCTAAAAATAAATTGTTTTAATTATCCTAATTAGGGATGATAATCTATGTTCAATTGCCTATGAAATTTTTCATCAAAAATATAAAATTGATCACTACAAACATCCACATATTGTCAAACTTGAAATTTTGTTGAAATTCAATTATCAAAAATCTAGAAGTCTAATTAAAGCCTAATTAAGAAAATTCAAACCAATTTGATTAGTGAAACTTCAAAAAAACATGACAAAATCACCCAAATTGATCACAATTTCCAAAAAAATTTGAAAAAAGTGCGTTGGCCGCACTTTGAAAATTTTTCCAAGTTTGCGGCCCACAAATTGCTCGTGAAATTCCCAATCGAATGAACTTGGCACATTGTGCGAAAATGGCACTTCGGGAAATTTCTCGCGAAAATTTTCATCCAAAATTCAGGAAATTTCGTTTTTGTTCGATTTTTTCTAGTTTAAATTAATTTTTTTTTAATGCAAAAAATCCTTCTTGCCAACAAAAACTGATGTTAAAAAAATGGAAACCCGTATAAATTTTTTAAATAAATTTTTTTTAATCTTTGATTATTCTTCATGTACCTTTAACTATCTACAGTAATTTAAAAAAAATCAATTTTTCCTAAACATTTACCGCGGAACTCCTGTTAAAAAACTTTGAAAAAGTATTTTGATTTCAAGATTCATAATTGGAATTTCAACAAGCAATTTGAGTGCAAAATTAGACAAAAAATCAAACCCCTATGCAAAAATACATAAAAAATCTATAGAAGAATTTTGATTTTCAGACAAATGCTGAAACACTTCGACATTCTGCTCTCAAATTTCAATTATCTAACAAGTCGAATGCAGAATCGGGAAATTTGTCGAAAAAATCAAACTCCAGAAATCCAATGAATCAAATCACTTTTTATGGACAAAATTCAACGAAAAATGAGAAGAAATTCACAAAATTGGTCGCGAAACAAAAAAAAATTGGCAAAATTCGGAAGGATTGAGCAATTTCGACGACGACATGCGTGAAATATTCCTTGACTAATCAAAAAATCAATTCGTGAATTCTAATGGCAATAGGCGAATTTAAAAAAAATTTCGATTTTTTTTAGCTTCCTTCCAGTTTTCCTGAATTACCTAAAAATTCGTTCTAAAATTTTCAAATTATCAGGAAGACTAGTTGAAACGAACGAAGACCTAGTAGTAAATTATCTAATTAAGATACCAATTAAAAGATCCTAATTAGAGTTTAATGAATCCAGTCGACGCTTTCGGCTCAAATCGACAATTCATTTTTCCTAGTGTCAATCTAATACCTAATAAGGAATATTCCACACAAGTCGCCCATCATCAAGCCATGGCGAATCTTTGGCGGTCACTCACGTAAATGAAAATAAATCGAATTCGAAGAAAAATTGATTAAAAATTAAGCGGATTTAATTGAAAACGAAATCAAATTTGATGATATCGATTGATTTTTCAATTTTTTTAAATCGTATTCGTTTGCAAATTTTGGAGAACATTTCGAAATCCGATTAATTCGATTTTTTTTTCGAATCCGATCGATTTGCATTGACGAGAGCACACGGGGGGAACACACAGAATTCGGCGAATGAAATGACAAGGACGACAGAACGAAATCGGGACTCACCGGCAAGAAGTCCGCGGCTTTCAGATGGCGTCGACGACGGATTCGTCGCATTGTTGGAATGATGTTGATCTGAAACAAAACAAAACTCAAGAAGAACGCTGAGAAATCGAAAAATACACAATGACAAATACGAATCGGGTCGATTGAAGAGACGCGCGAGAGAAAATAGATGATCAATGTCGAAATTCTCGTCAGCTACGTTGTAGTCCGCGTGTGTCTTTTTTTCTGCGACAAAAAAACACTCAATAGATCAAATTACTATTGAAAAAAAATCAAACATAAATTAAAATCACAAATATTTTAATAATGTCAATATTCTACGAAAATTGGTCAAATAAAATTTCAATTTAAAAATTGTTTTTTTCAATTTAAAAATTTGTCATTTTTTAAAATCAAATTTCTAGAGCGCACAATAATATCATTTGAATAGTTTTAATAGAGGATTACGCGTAAAAAAAGAGGGATTTTTCTTTTATGATTTCTTCAATTTTTTCTAGCATTCCTGCAATTTTCGCAAAAAAAAAAACAAAATTGATCACAAATTGCATCAATTCAATTCTCAATAGCTCCCTTCTAATTAAACTAACAATTTTATTTAAAAAAAAATCACAACCAATGGCAAGATCTCAACAAAAAACCTCAATTCAAAAAATTCGCCAAATCTTAATTTTTGAACAAAAAATGAAAGAATAAGGAAACGTCTAAATTTCCTCAAAAAATGAAGCTATCGGCCAGATATCGCTTTGAGATACAAATCCGGCATGCGCCTTTAATGTGTATACACCTTTAATGTGTATCGAGGTCACAACGACGATTGATTTATATTATTTGAATTGCCGCCTTGGGGGTCTCGTATGGAAGACATCATAGATGCCCAAATTGGTATCAGAGTTCGAGCTCATTTCGAGCATTGACGAGACCAATTGAATTGAAGCCCCGCGAAATTCGAATTTTTCAAAAAAAAAAATTCCGCCAAAAAGCAAAAACGCGATATTAATAATACATAAATAGTTCAGAATTTTTGTCTTGAAATGCCTATTTTTGAAACCTGAATTTTAAGCGAACATTTTCAGACAAAATTCGGCATTTAATTGGCACAAACCAAATATACATTTCGAGAGCGAAAAAAAAAACAATAGAAAACAACTTTATTTGATCATCCCCAAATGGGAAACCGTGACTATCAATGGAGTTCTGATGATGGTGATGGTGGATGGTGGTGGATGGGTGTGAATTCGGGTGTGCGTCGCAAAGCATCGACCAAACGTGCCAATATTCGTGTGGGAAAATATTAGCGATCGACCGATAATTCGCAACCAATTTCTTTTTCATTTTCCAATATTAATACTACATTTATATGTATATGCGTGTATTTCAAATTGTTACAAAACTAGGGGAAGTGCTGGGGGAAAGGGAGGGGAACGGGGGGAGGAAAATCAAAGGGACATGTGTCTCTCTATGATCTACTTAGCGGTGGCTGAGCGCACAACTTGACCGCGCATGCGAACCAGCGAGTTCTCGGCGACCTCGGCACGCTCTTCGGCATTCTCGAGAGCGAGCTGAATCTGTCGGAATTTTGACAGATTCTGTGTGGCGACCTCCTCCTGCAAAATTCGCGTCAATCATTTCACGCCTTCGTCGACTCACCGCTTCTTCGATTTGTCGCTTCTGCACACGAATCTTTTGCTGGAGCTTCTCGACCATCTCCTGGAGGCGATCGAACGCCTTCTTGTCCTCTTCGACTTGGAATTGAAGCTCGCGCGCGCGACGCTCCTGCTTCGTGAAGCCCTTGATCGCCTCCTGGTGTCGTCGCTGCTCCGAGTGGAGTTCGGCTTCGACGGCGCGCACACGCTCTTCGACTTTGGCGAGCGCTTTCGCGCCGACTGAAAATGACGAACGAAATGAATCGATCGGACACGCTACGACTTACAGGCAATCATTGCGCGCTCGGCGTCGTCAATCTTCGCCTGCAATTCTTTCGAGGTGAGCTCGAGCGCCTTCCGCTGACGATCGACGTGCGTCGCGTGCTCTTGCTCTTGTCGCACCTCTTCGGCGAGCCGATCGGCGTCGGCAGCCGCCTTGCGCGATCTCTCCTCGGACGCTTTCAGCTCGTTGAGGTACTCGTCCAATTCGTTCTGAAAACACAAACTATGCAATTCCGACTCAATCAGTTGTCCGCTTACCCTGGCGATCTGAACCTCATTCTCGACCTTTCGCTTCATCGCCGACAACGCCGCGTTGTTTCCGATCAGCTCGGTGTTGGCCGATTTGAGTTCGGCCTGCTCGATCTCAAGCTGCTTCTTGCTCTTCTCGGAAGCGTCGATGCGATGCGCGAGATCCTCGCTTTCGGCCAACGCAACGGCGAGCCGCTTCTCGGCCGCCAAATAGTTCTCGCGGATCTCCTCGCGTCTCCTCTGCTCATCATCGACGGCTCCTTGAAGCTCTTTGACCTGATCGAACAACTTCTTCAGGTTCTTCTGCGCGTCGACGTTGGCCTTGTTCGCGTGATCCAAAGCGATCTCGAGCTGATTGATGTCGGTCTCGAGCTTCTTTTTCGCGCGCGCGAGTTCCGCTTTGCTCTTCGCCTCCGTCTCGAGCGACGCCTGAATCGATTCGATGGCGCGTTGATGGTTCTTGCGTGTGTTCTCGAACTCCTCCTCCTTCTCCTGAATTCGCTTCTCGATTTCCGAGCGAATTTGTTGGACTTCGATTTGGAGGCGAAGCACCTTCGATTCTTCGGCCTCAAGCGCCGCTTCGGCCTCGTCCAACGCGTGCTGAAGTTCGTCCTTCTCTTGTTCGAGTCGTCTCACCGACTTGTGAATATCTTGATACGTTCGTCCGCCTTGATTGATTTGCTCGTTGAGATCGCGAATCTCCTGCGAGTACGCCTTGTTCTCGCGTCGCAGCGTTTCGATTTGCTCGGAAAGGTTGTCCATCGACGATCGCAGTTTGAACACTTCGGTCGACGTGTTTCGGCTGTCGCGTGTGGTCGCGTCGATCTCCTTCTGAATATCATCGACTTTGCGCTTCCAGTCCTCGACGATCTTGTCGAAAGCCCGCTGCTTCTTCTCGAGCGACGCAATCACGGTGAGGTGTCGATCAACGTCCGATCGCGCGTCTTCGGTCTCGGCGAGCAGTTTGCCCTTGGCCTTCTCCAACGTGATCACCTTGTTTTGGGCGGCCGACAGCGCCTCTTGCAAGTCCATCATGCGGTTCATCTGCTTCCTCTTGAGCTCCTCGAGCTCCTCGGAGCCCACGAGTCCTTCGCCCTCGTAGCGCGCCTTCCATTGCGAAATTTCCGAGTTGATGCGCGAGAGTTGCCGCTGAATGTCATCCTTGGCGTTGATTTGCTCCTCGAGAAGCTCGTGACACTGATCGATCTCGTGCTCAAGATTCTTACACGTCGCGTGGAACTCTTGACGCTCATGAAGCTCGTCTTCGGCAGCCTTCTTCGCCTCAACGAGTTGCGACGAGAACGCCGTCTTGGCGCGATTGATGGTGGCGAGTTGGACTTCGAGCTCTTCGACCTGTCGAACAAGATCCGAGTTGTCGTTGACGAGTCGTCCCTTCGTCGACGTATACTCAGCGAGTTGGCGCGATTGCTCATCAACCTTCTGTTGAAGCTCAGAGACTTGAATCTCGTATTGTTTGGCAAGTCGCTCTTGCTCAACACGAGCCTTCGTCTCCTGGTCAACCTGCGAGTTGATGTCGTCGAGCTCCTTCTGCAGCAGATTCTTCTCCTTGTCGATTTTCGCCTTGTTCTTTTGAAGCGCGTCCAACGTGTTGGTGAGATCGGCAATCTGATCGTTGTTCTTTCGGCGAATCATCGCCATTTGATCCTCATTCGCCATGTTCTTCTCCTCAAGATCTCGTCGCGCCTTGATGATGTCCGAATCCTTCTTCTTATTGTTCTCCATCTGAAGTTCGAGCTGCTTGTTCTGATCGTCCAATCGCTCATTGAGCTCATCGAGCTCACGTTGAAGCTCAGCGCGAGCTCTGTCTGCCTTCGAGCGAGATTGTCGCTCGTGCTCAAGCTCATCCTCAATCTCGATGATTCGCTGCGCGTTTTCCTTCGACTGACGGGTGAGTCGGTTGGCAAGCGCCTGTTCATCCTCAATTCGGACTCCCAATGCATGAATATCGGCCTCCTTCTTCTTCAGCGAAAGATCGCTGTCCTGCTTGATCGCGGTGAGCTCATCAATCGTCTCCTGGGCGCTCTTCAACTCCAATTCGACCTTTCGCTTCGCCTTCTCGGTTTCGGCGCGAATGCGCTTCTCGCGCTCAACCGCCTCTTCCATTTCATCGAGCGTCTGCTCGAGTTTGGCGCGAAGTCGATTCGCTTGCGCCTGCTTCGCCTCTTCGGCTTGCAAGTCGTCGATGAGCTGCCGGTTGTTCTCCTCGAGCAGCTTCTTCTCCTTGTTCACTTTCGCGATCGTCTCGTCCTGCGCGTTCATCTCATCCTGAAGCGATCGAATCTGATTCTCCTTGGCCGCCTTCTCCTCAAGAGCCTTGTTCAGGTTTCCATCAACCGCCTCGATCGACTTTTTCAGATTCTCGACTTCCTGTTGAGCTTTTCGACGTTGCTTCTCGAGCTCCGCATTTCTCTCCTCGTGCTCATTGAGCCGATCGTTGGCGTCGTTCAGCGTCTTCTCAACCTCTTGACGAGCGCTATTCAAACGCGTGAGCTTCTCCTCAATCGCTGCCGAACCGCCTTTCGTGAGCTCGAGTTGCTCCAACAGTTTCGATCGCTCAGCGGCGAGCTTATTGTACGCCTCCTCTTGGGCCTTTCGCTCGGCTTCGATCTTCTTCGCTTCGACTTCGAGCACCTTCTGCTCTTCGGCCATCTTCGCCATCTCTTCGGCCATCTTTCCGCATTTGAGTTGCGGTCGAAGTTTGCCGAACAACAAGAACCAGTCCCACGTACGCAGGACGCACCACGAGCGAATGTTGCGCTGAAGGATGATGTAGCTGTTGAGTTGTTTGCGTCGCGCTCCGGCGTCGGCGGTGGCGAAATACCATCGGATGGCGCTCTGGAATCCGGTGATGATCTCATTCAGCTTCTCATCGCGCAAATCTTCAATGTGCGCGACGACTCCGGCCTTGAAGAACACTTTCGTGTGTCCGATGCGGAATTGCTCATCATTGAGCTGCTTATTGTTGACGAGCGCTTGGAGAATCGCTCCCACGCACGTCTTCGGATCATCCGACGATTTGGCCTCCTTGGCGGCAAGGATCGCGTAACGCTGCACGAAATCGGGATGGAGCGTTCGATTCGGGAATCCTTTACGACAAATACGAATTCCTTCGAGCACACCGTTACATGTGAGCTGGTTGAGCACAAGCGACGCCTCGATCATACCGCACTTCTGAAAAAAATAGAGGCGACTCGTTTGCGCGATTCAAACAATTTCCAATCAAACCTTCTTCTCGTTCGGAATAATGCAACGAATGAAGTGAGGATGGGTCTTGTGAAGCATGTTCATCAAATTGTTGAGCGACTCACGGTACATCATCGAGACCGTCATGAACGATCCCGATTTTCCGCCTTTGCGCGTTCCGCCGGCTTTGATGGCGGCGGCCGCCTCCTCCTGTGTGACGTAGTCTTGCCAGATTTCGACGAGCAAGTCGTTGCCCTTCGACTTCTTCATGACGGCGACGACGGTGTCGTTGAGCGGGTCCTTGTTTTTCTCGAGCCAATTCATCACGTTGTAGCGCACCGTTCCGGCGTAGTGACGCATCGCGAAGTGCGCTTCTCCCTGCTTTCCCTTTGGCGGTTTCGGCTTCTCAAAGTTCGGATGTTTGCCCAAATGTTGGTCGAGAAGCTTCTGGGCCAAAGTCAAATCAGTAGCCTTTGGCACAATGCATTCCTCATCGAGCATTGAGATGATACCGAGCGGCTGCAATATGAATGTCGATGATTCAGTGATCAATAAGGGACGACGACTTACCTTCTCAATAAGCTCGATGCAAGCTTGCAAGTCGAGACCGAAATCGATGAAGGTCCATTGGATTCCCTCGCGAGCGTATTCTTCTTGCTCGAGCACGAACATGTGATGGTTGAAGAATTGCTGGAGCTTCTCATTGACAAAGTTAATCCAGAGCTGCTCGAACGAGTTGAACTAAACCCAAATTGATTAGAGTTGATATATGATCAATCTTACATCGAAGATTTCGAATCCGGCGATATCGAGCACACCGATGAAGAAGTCGCGGCTGATGCCCTTCTGATCAAGAGTGAGATTGCATTTCTTGACGAGCCAATGGAACACGCGCGCGTACATTCCTTTCGCCATCGCGCCGATCGCCCAATTGACTTGATCGACGTTTTGTCCTTTCGACACCCATTCGGTTCCGACTTTGACTCTTGGCGAGACGAGCGCCTTCAGGAACTCGTCGACGTTGACGCCGAACATACTGCACGCCTTCTCGGCCTCGTCCTGTCCGTCGGCTTCCGCCTGCTCCTCTCTCGGCCGCTGCTTGAACTTCATGTTGCCCATGTGCATATGGCCCGACATGAGGCGATAGCAGTCCATCTTCTCCGTTGGCGAGAAGTTGAGAATGTCGAACGCCTCATCGGTGAGCTGGAACTCTTCCGTATCGTTGATGCCATCGATGAGGAGCTCGGCTTGCGCGACGAACCAATAGTCGGCGATCGGTTTGTCGAGCAACAATTGTTGGCGAAGTTCGGGTTTGAAGTCCGAGAAGATTTGATAGAAGATGTGATAGCAACGCTCGCCGGGAGCCTGACGAATGACACGCGACTTCTCAAGGAGGTCTGAAAAATTTGATGAGCTCAGAATTCAGCGCTATCGACTTACAATGTTCAATGTCGCACGACGCCAAGAGTCCCTGACGATTGAAGTGGATTCTGATGAATTTTCCGAATCGCGACGAGTTGTTGTTACGCACCGTCTTGGCGTTACCGAACGCCTCAAGCACCGGATTGGTTTGGACAATCTGATCCTCAAGTGTCACCACCTTGCCGGTCACCGTCTCATTCGGCTTTTGCGACGCGCCGACAGTGGCGAAATAGGCGATAACCTTTTTCGTGTTCTCAGTCTTTCCGGCTCCCGACTCGCCGGTGATGAGCATCGATTGATTCTCGTGATCTTGAAGCATATTGCGATACGCCTCATCGGACACCGCGAACAAATGCGGCGGCATTTCGGTACGCCGTTTGCCCATGAACATACGAGCCACCGAGTCGGTGTAGATCGGAAGACGCTTGTATGGGTTGATCACAACGCAGAACAGTCCAGAGTAGGTCTGCAATTCGCTCATGCATCTCTTGTTTCCTTCGTTTTTTTTTTCAAATCTCATCTCTATTTTTCGTTTTGTTGAAACATTGCTGATAATTTTAACATTGCGCGCTAAAGACGCTTTGTGTGTGTGCAAATCCACTCGAAGCTTCTCCCCCCAACCCCTTTAGCTTCTTCTCAAAACGCTGATAAAAAGTTGAGAGAGAGAGAGAGATAGAGATTTTTTCGCGCTCAACGCCATTTGTTTGCGCACAAATATATCCACACTGGCCGTCGTCAAAAAAAAATCGACGCGCAACCCGACTTACGTAAATGAGCATCGCCGCGTAGCGCGAACGCAGATTGTAGAGCACCGAGGCGTCGTTGAGGAACGTCAAATTCGACATGTCTTCCGTCTTCTCGAACTTGGGCGGATTCATCTCTTGCACGAGGTCCTTCTTCAGCGTCACATCTTTGCCGGCGGCGCTCACGACGAGCGTGTCGGCTTTCGGTCCGGGACCTTTGATCTCGCCCTCGATGTAGCCCTCTTCGGCGTCGGGAATCCACACGTTCTTCTTCGAGTCATACGGACGCGATTGGTCCTGCAACGAAGCAATGTGGTGAAACAAAAACGAAAAAAAAGGAAAGAAATAAAGAAACAAAATCGCACCTGGAGCATTTGCTCGCGAGACCGCCTCAAATATTGCCATCCGGGATCCTTTTCATATTCCATACTCGACATTTTGAGTTAAATATCGGCGATGTCGATTTTTTTGAACAAAGTGAAATCAACTAAATTCGGCTAACACTGAGTTGAATGAAATACGTACACACACACACACACGCACACGCAGACACCACAGTTCCACACTACTGTGCTGCTGATGAAATATAATAGTTTGGCATCGCCGTCGATGAGCTGAGGGCGGAGTCGGCGCGCCGCTACAGCCGCCGACGCTTCGCTCTCTCTCTCTCTCTCTCTGATTCATAATCTCTAGCTTATTGTACTTGTTGAGCTGATAAGAGGGGGGGGGGCTTCCCATATCCAGGATTTCGGTGATCTTATGAATGTCTCGAAATTTCACGTGAATTGAAAATGCGATTTCGACTAGACGGCGTCAAGTCTGGCATGATTGTGCAAATTATTCTCCAAGATTAAAGGACCAACTCAATGTTTTTCGAGACAATCTCTCGTCGATTGTCTCGAAAAACATTTGAAATCGCCTTTGGGTACAACAAAAAATCGAATCCTCTAACACATTATTACCAATTGCTCGACAAATCCAAACAAATCATTCATTCATTCTGAGAAGATCTCGCTCCCCGCGAATATCTCGCCCCACTATTCCAATGTTACACACTCTTTTGTGTATATATGCGTGTGTGTGTGGAGGCGCGCAAATATTACCTCAAGGTTATTGGAGTGCCCCCTTCCTCGCCGTCGAGATCTGTCTCTTCTCTGCACCGCGGTTTGTCCCATTTTTTTTGTTGTCTCCCCCGCGCGCGGATTTTTGTGCGGGGCGACTTCGACTCTTTGGGATTTTGATAACACACATAACAGAGTCGAATGACAATGCAATTTATTCGAACGAAACTAAGATTCAAATTAGAATCATGACTAATTTTTGAACCGCTGTTGAGTTCGAGAATCAATCGTTTAACAAATGATTGAATGATTAAATGAGAGTTTTGAGAAGTTTGAAGTGAAATTCGTGTTTGTCGCAACCATTGAAGTCGCGCAGCTAGTATACAATTTGTACAAGACATTGCCGTTTTGATGGAGCACCAGATTTGAAACGCCGTTCTTTTTTCCAATGGTCACGAATGATGAATCCTTCTTGGGTCCGAAGCTGTTGTCCGAATCCTTCTTTGGTCCGAAGCTGCTGTCATAATCCTTCTTTGGTCCGAAGCTGTTGTCAGAATCCTTCTTTGGTCCGAAGCTGTTGTCCGAATCCTTCTTTGGGCCGAAGCTGTTGTCAGAATCCTTCTTTGGTCCGAAGCTGTTGTCCGAATCCTTCTTTGGTCCGAAGCTGTTGTCCGAATCCTTCTTTGGGCCGAAGCTGTTGTCAGAATCCTTCTTTGGTCCGAAGCTCATGATGTTGTCAGAATCCTTCTTTGGTCCGAAGCTGTTGTCAGAATCCTTCTTTGGGCCGAAGCTGTTGTCAGAATCCTTCTTTGATCCGAAGCTGTTGTCAGAATCCTTCTTTGGTCTGAAGCTGTTGTCAGAATCCTTCTTTGGTCCGAAGCTGTTGTCCGAATCCTTCTTTGGGCCGAAGCTGTTGTCAGAATCCTTCTTTGGTCCGAAGCTGTTGTCCGAATCCTTCTTTGGTCCGAAGCTGTTGTCCGAATCCTTCTTTGGGCCGAAGCTGTTGTCAGAATCCTTCTTTGGTCCGAAGCTCATGATGTTGTCAGAATCCTTCTTTGGTCCGAAGCTGCTGTCAGAATCCTTCTTTGGTCCGAAGCTGCTGTCAGAATCCTTCTTGGGTCCGAAGCTGCTGTCAGAATCCTTCTTTGGTCCGAAGCTCATGATGTTGTCAGAATCCTTCTTGGGTCCGAAGCTGCTGTCAGAATCCTTCTTGGGTCCGAAGCTGCTGTCAGAATCCTTCTTTGGTCCGAAGCTCATGATGTTGTCAGAATCCTTCTTTGGTCCGAAGCTGCTGTCAGAATCCTTCTTTGGTCCGAAGCTGCTGTCAGAATCCTTCTTGGGTCCGAAGCTGCTGTCAGAATCCTTCTTTGGTCCGAAGCTCATGATGTTGTCAGAATCCTTTTTGGGTCCGAAGCTGCTGTCAGAATCCTTCTTGGGTCCGAAGCTGCTGTCAGAATCCTTCTTTGGTCCGAAGCTGCTGTCAGAATCCTTCTTTGGTCCGAAGCTGCTGTCAGAATCCTTCTTGGGTCCGAAGCTGCTGTCAGAATCCTTCTTTGGTCCGAAGCTCATGATGTTGTCAGAATCCTTCTTGGGTCCGAAGCTGCTGTCAGAATCCTTCTTGGGTCCGAAGCTGCTGTCAGAATCCTTCTTTGGTCCGAAGCTCATGATGTTGTCAGAATCCTTCTTTGGTCCGAAGCTGCTGTCAGAATCCTTCTTTGGTCCGAAGCTGCTGTCAGAATCCTTCTTGGGTCCGAAGCTGCTGTCAGAATCCTTCTTTGGTCCGAAGCTCATGATGTTGTCAGAATCCTTCTTTGGTCCGAAGCTGCTGTCAGAATCCTTCTTTGGTCCGAAGCTGCTGTCAGAATCCTTCTTGGGTCCGAAGCTGCTGTCAGAATCCTTCTTTGGTCCGAAGCTCATGATGTTGTCAGAATCCTTTTTGGGTCCGAAGCTGCTGTCAGAATCCTTCTTGGGTCCGAAGCTGCTGTCAGAATCCTTCTTTGGTCCGAAGCTGCTGTCAGAATCCTTCTTTGGTCCGAAGCTGCTGTCAGAATCCTTCTTGGGTCCGAAGCTGCTGTCAGAATCCTTCTTTGGTCCGAAGCTCATGATGTTGTCAGAATCCTTCTTGGGTCCGAAGCTGCTGTCAGAATCCTTCTTGGGTCCGAAGCTGCTGTCAGAATCCTTCTTTGGTCCGAAGCTCATGATGTTGTCAGAATCCTTCTTTGGTCCGAAGCTGCTGTCAGAATCCTTCTTTGGTCCGAAGCTGCTGTCAGAATCCTTCTTGGGTCCGAAGCTGCTGTCAGAATCCTTCTTTGGTCCGAAGCTCATGATGTTGTCAGAATCCTTTTTGGGTCCGAAGCTGCTGTCAGAATCCTTCTTGGGTCCGAAGCTGCTGTCAGAATCCTTCTTTGGTCCGAAGCTGCTGTCAGAATCCTTCTTTGGTCCGAAGCTGCTGTCAGAATCCTTCTTGGGTCCGAAGCTGCTGTCAGAATCCTTCTTTGGTCCGAAGCTCATGATGTTGTCAGAATCCTTCTTGGGTCCGAAGCTGCTGTCAGAATCCTTCTTGGGTCCGAAGCTGCTGTCAGAATCCTTCTTTGGTCCGAAGCTCATGATGTTGTCAGAATCCTTCTTTGGTCCGAAGCTGCTGTCAGAATCCTTCTTTGGTCCGAAGCTGCTGTCAGAATCCTTCTTGGGTCCGAAGCTGCTGTCAGAATTCTTCTTTGGTCCGAAGCTCATGATGTTGTCAGAATCCTTCTTGGGTCCGAAGCTGCTGTCAGAATCCTTCTTGGGTCCGAAGCTGCTGTCAGAATCCTTCTTTGGTCCGAAGCTGCTGTCAGAATCCTTCTTGGGTCCGAAGCTGCTGTCAGAATCCTTCTTGGGTCCGAAGCTGTTGTCAGAATCCTTCTTTGGTCCGAAGCTCATGATGTTGTCAGAATCCTTCTTGAGGGCGAAGACATATTTCTTTCCCAGATTCAACAAAATTGAGCGGTCTTCAAGGAATTCCAGGTGAACTTCTGGCTCGAAGAACTCTTGTTGTTCCATGCTTTCGAACTCGTCAAAAAGCCAAGTTGTTTTAGCCTGAACCAAACAATGAATCTATTTATTAAATTGCAGCCACTTACATCCATGATGATCGCAGCATATTTAGCGCTCAAGTTGTTCAGAACATTGTATTCATAAAGATAGGACAAATCGAAGTCCATTCCGCATCCGTTGTCATCACATTGACATTCCTGTTCGTCAAGGATCCATAGAGCTTTCTAATAAATTAAGATTGAATTATATATTTACCTGAATGCCTTACCGGCTCAATTTCAGCATTGTTGTTCGGCGCCATATTGTTTTCATGAGAAATGATCTTCTCGGTGTACCCTATTTATACTCTGTGAGAATTGAAGATCCGCCCATTCTTTCATCGACTTCGGTTCCGTGTTTGTTTCGGTTTGATAGTGATAACGGGAAACGTTGTTTGGACGTTCAAAAAAACAATATTCGGTTTATCTTTGTGATGTTTCAAAAAAAGGCAAAAATTAAGCATTAATTAGAAATCATTATGCCAAGATTTTAGATTTCACCGGGATTTGGAAGTACGAGGATGCAAATCTCCAATCATCAGCCAATGAATGGCATCAAACAATCACGGAAATCAAAAGCCACTACCATTGTGAGAAATAGTTTACAAAAAATTCTGTGAAATTTTCTTTTTCAAGGAAGTATCATGATTTAAATCGTTTTAATGTTCCCTAGTAGAAATCTGAACAATGAAAACCATTCGTTCATTTCGCCAAAAAATGAATAATTTGTTTTCGTTAAACAAAATAATAATAGAAAAAGTTTAGGGCTTTTACAATATAATAACAATAAATTATCGCCATGGTTTAATTTTTCATATTGTTGCTTCCAAAATTAGCGTTTCCCACAATTTTCCAAAAGAAGTAAACAAAATTTCAAAAACTATGCGTATCAATGAGCGATTTTGAATGGTATTAATATATAAACTGATTTTTTTTTCCTAAAATATTGTGTTGAATTAATTTTAATCAAGAAAAAACGCGAAATTTTGAAAAGTGAATGGAAAACACAATGGGGTGTCGTAAACACCACCACGATAAATTGCACACTTGCCAACCGTACCACGCGAATTTAATTGGATTCCATTCGAAACAAATTTATAAAACAATTCATTTACAAAAATGAATAGTTTTAGATCGATTTCACATTTTACAACTTTAAATCCATCAATTCGTTCTCGTTAGTATAATTTAATGAGATACGCGTGCAAGTTTTCTTTTTTTAAATCAAGTTTGGATTCACTTCGAAACTCCGAAACAAAACACAATCATTATGCAACAACCAATTTTTGGCAATCAGATTTTTTTTAATGGTGATTGATTCTGAATCGCACGCCCACCCCCACCGGTTCAAAATCAACCCATGACGATATCAGGCGAAAGAACGTAGCGAAACATTTTCGATAAAAAATGAAAGGTGATCAATTTGACGAATCCCACCTATTTGTTATTTCTTAACAATTCGAACGTGTTGGAGGAAATGCAAATTGTCGCAAAAATTCACACAATGAACCAATTTTGAAATTTGACAGCGTGGCCGAAAAATTCGTGGCCGTGGACTAGAAACTAAGAATTTTTTAAAACAAATTTTCGCTTCTTTATGCATTTTTTTCTCAAATTCAAATTGGACCACATATTTATTAAGCTATTATTAATTTCGTTGCTCTTGCTTCTTTTTAAGGGAACCGTATTGGATGTATGTATATCTATTTACAAAATGTGCCACCAATCCATCAAGGGATCAAATTCCCTTCGCTATGCACACGTATCCCATCCTTTCGCATCGCCAATGGACTTTCTTTAAAATGCCCAACAAGTGCGGTGTCCTGAATTAATTCAAATTTTTTGAAATTCCATCCAAAAACTCCATTTACCGATGCGTTTGGATGGAAAATCTCGCCGAAATGGTGATGCGACGCTTTCGGCTTCGCTCGCGTCGACGGCTTTCTTATATGATGCTGAATTGCGCCAAGCGCTTGAATTGCCATCTCATTCTCTTTCGTCAACGTCCTCTGATGGCTTCCCACCGATTTCACCGTAACCTGATGCTGTTCGGGATCCTCGGCGACGGTGACGCGCAACGATCTTGTACTATCATCTTCCTTCAATTCATTGGGCTCAAATTATTTTCGACAGACGGTGTCGTTGAATCGTTACCGTTGGATTGCAGGCGACCTCGAGAATCCTGTCAAGATCGTGCAGCACGTCGCGCAACTTCTCCGGCGTACACTGAAAATGGTCGGCGACGAGAGCGACGAGCTCGCCGACCGTCATCATGTGGCCGTTGAACCAGATCTCGGCGTTTTCGGTGCCGCGCAATTGTCGACCAACGTTGTGGATCCAGAGCACGATTCGCTGAAGGGTGCCGAAGAACGTCGTGAGAATCGCGATGCCGGTCGAGAGGAATGAGATGATCACGAAATGCTGAAACCACGTCTCCGGTGTCGGTACGAAATCGCCGAAGCCGATCGTCGCGATTGAGATGAAGCTGAACATTTTGAATTGAAATTCCATGCGAGACCCAAAATCAATGGCAAAAAAAGATTTTTTAAAATAGTGGTCTTTCTAATTAAAAAAAAACTGGTTTTCTTACGAAATTGTTCAATTAATTGGGAACGATTTGGTCAGCTAAGAGAAAAAATTTATTTAAAAAAAAAAACGAAAACCTGAAATAAACCGCCGAGATGAATGTCATCGAATCGATCCAGCAGCTGAAAATGACGCCGCCCAAAAGACAATGCGAAACCAGAAGGAACAGCGAGACGAACCATGGAAGATCTTTCACATTCGAAGCCTACAATTCTCGAGTCAATCGATTCATCGAAAGCACCGTGAGCACGGTTTTCTTTTGGACCTACATACTCATGCAATAAAAGCACAAAAATGCAATGGGTACTGTAATTGAATGATAAAGAGACAATTTGTTGGCGTGCGTCTCATTTTTTGATTATTCAAGCCTTAAAAAAATTCAAAACGCAAATAAGCAAAAATTTAATTTAATCCGAAAAATTACGCAAATTTCATAAAATGAAGGAAATCAAAATAAATTACAAATAAAAAAATAACAATAGTAACTTGAAAAAGAAGACGCACGGCAACAAATTGTCTTAAGGGTCTCGCAGATTTCGTCCTCATTCAACTACAGTACCCAGTGCATTTTTTGGCATTGCTGCATTGAAAAAATCGCGCGTAGATTTACGGGGTGCGCCTTTCGAAATGGTCTCGCCACGCGTGAACGCTTATTTCGTTGTTTTGAAAATAATCTGCCTAGTTTTTCATGATGAGTATACCATTTCCATGAATGCTTAATATCACTGCAATTAAAAATTACTGAGCCGACTCCCTAAAATGCAAAAGAACCCATAAGTCGGTGCGAGACCATAGCGAAGGCGCATGCACGTAAATCTACACGCCTATAGGACCATTTGAATATTAGCAAAAGAAATTTCATTATAAACATCTGCGGAATAGGAGCGAAAATTTGAACATCGTTAAAAAATCAACGAATTAATTTTTCAGCCATACATGGATCCCAATTTTATCTCCGATGATCATGAGTGCTGAGAAAGCTCGCTCACATCACATTTCACCGCTAATTATTCCGAAAATAGTCACCGTTTGACGAATTTTTGTCGCGGACGTGTTATTGTGGCCGAATTTTTCGCGGCCGTCACCTCTTTTTTTTGGACAAAACCAACCCAACCTTCGAATTGATCGTTTTGTGGGCAACATTGTAAAATTCGACGATATATGTGCTATTCGTCGAGATTGTTGTGAGAAGAAGGGGAATTCCGATCACACAATAGCACATGCACACGAGTTTGCCGTTGAAACTCGTCGGATAGATGTCGCCGTAGCCTAGAAAAATCGGATCGGATTGGATTGGATTGGATCGAATCGAATCTTACCGATTGTCGCGATTGTTGTGAAGCAGAACAGAACGAGCTGATTGAGATTCTTCTCGCTTGTCGATGGATCGACGTTCAGGAACACGTAGCCGCCGAATAGAAGATAGACGCCGAGTGCGACGTTGAGCAAAACCACCGGGTACGAGGCGATCAGAAACTAAATTATTTCATTTTTTTGTTGAATTTAAAATATATTAGAAGAAAGATTGATTTTTTGGTGGTCTAAAAATTAATTTAATTTAAAAATTCGAAAAAAAGAGGATCGAGTAAAAATTAAATAAAAAGGCGATTCGAATTCTTTGATCTCGACCCTCGAAAAAAAAAAGAACAAAATGGTCAGGTTCTCGATTAAACGCGCAAACAAACAATTAAAATTCGACGTTTCAACCAAAACACAAAAATTATTTCAAAAATCACGTCTCACCTCATATTTAAAGTCTTTTTCAAGACAGCAGCGATCCTCGATGAAATTTCGCTTCCATATATGGTAGGGTCGCAAAATTGTCGATGATATGCGTTTTTTCTTCTGCAAAACATTGCAAATTGTCGACCCTCAACGCGCATCGCCTCAAAAAATTCGGTGTGTTGTTTGTGCTCGGTGTACGCGGTACGCAGTACACCGAACAAGCTACCGTAGTCCAATTTTTCTAGATTGTGAATTGTCGCGCAAATTCGCAGAAAAATCTCAACAGTGATTTTTTGCGTCTATGCACTTCACACGATAATCTCGAGACTCATTGTATAATCGCTGCGAGACCCAACTCCAAAAAACTGTTTTCAAAGGTCGATATTTAAAAATTTCGAGAAAAAAAAAGACAAACTTTTTTAAAATTAAATTAATTGGGTCTTGTGGCGAACAATTTTGCTACATCAAAAATCGCAATGATAAACTGGCGATTTCTAAAAATAGATTCGACATTCAACGAAATTTGTATCCAATTTTATCAATGTGTCGCAAAGTTTGCAATTTCACACAACTCGAATTTTTTTTTTAATTTGAAAATTGCAAAAAAAAATAAATTCGAAAATTCACCAACTTTACCAATCCTCTCCTTGGCGATTATCAGCGATCGTTGTTCCTCCACAATTTCGGTCATGTGTCTTCAAATGAACATTGTTTTTAGAAGAAAAGGAAAGTTTCGAAAAAAATAATAAAAAATAAATGCGCTGGTTTTGGCGCGGGAGACGCAGACACCAAAGTGCTCCCACACCATATGCATATGTGTTCCCTTCAATAGAATAACGAAGGAAAAAATATGTATCAAATCAAAATGAATTAATTTGAGACGTGAAAACGTGATTGAAGAGGGGGAGCCAATTGGAAACCGCCAAGAAAAAAATCGGCATTATTTTAATTATTCAAAAAATTTTTTTTTCGAGCGCAACTTGAAGAAAAAACATTCAACTGGTCATTTATCATCGATTCTAAAAACGATATCATAACGGATACGCGATGAGACGCCGCATGATTGATACCGCTTCTTGCAGACGTGTTAGTTTTTTTTTGTATAGTTAAAGACAAATGGGTGTCGACGGCAAAAACTGACAACATCTTCGAAAAAATTGTATATAAATGATGATGGCCGACAGAAAATGGGAAACAATTACTCACTCTAAACTGGTTTTGTTGGGTCTGGCGCGAATATGCTAAAAAAAAGGTCGTAAGAGTACCGAAGTCGGGTCATTACTTGGATTTTATTGCGTGAGGTTTGATCGGTGTTCAAAAGAAATATGCCGTGTGGCCATCGGCCGGACGTGCCCGGTTAGCTCAGTCGGTAGAGCACCAGACTCTTAATCTGGCTGTCGCGGGTTCGAGCCCCGCATCGGGCTGACGCCTTTTTGCTTTTTTGCTGATACGCTTTAACCATGATTTTTATTTGCGCATAGTAATAACATCAAGGAATGTGTCGCGAGCAAGCCTTGTCAAGCACATTGCGGCGAGCTGCTGTCGCGTTGTGCAGGTGTTGCATGAACGTCGACAATTTTCCGGCATCCACTTGTTTTTATTGCATTCGCCTCGTCGCGCCCACGAGCCGCAATCGGGATGATAATCGGAGCAGGCTTAAATATGACAAAAAAATTGATGAATCGCGTTTTCATCGAAATTCTCTTCTCTCACCTCCGTATTGATAGGGTGGCCGACACACGCCGCAACTCACTTTACACTGGCATTGCATGAAGGCCGCATTCGCCTGCAATGAGACGACAGATAGACGCCGATTCGCCGTCACACAAGCGTGCCCGGTTAGCTCAGTCGGTAGAGCACCAGACTCTTAATCTGGCTGTCGCGGGTTCGAGCCCCGCATCGGGCTGATGCCACTTTTTTTTGTCGAGACCCCCCTACCTGACACTGCCCACGTTCCGCCCATATCGGACAACACTGATTCTCGTTGTAGCACATCGGCGAGTTGCACGACGACGCCGCCACCGCCGCCTGTTGTTGTATCGGCGTCGGACGTGACGGCGCGTCGGCGACGCCACAAGAAGAAGCGCGCGACACGCCGCATTTGCCGCACGATTTTCGGCAATTCTCCGACATCCACAACGGATTTCGGCGACATTCGCCCTGCGTCGACCAACTGGCGCAATTTTGATGGCGATCGAGGCATTCTCAAGAATCATCGAAATGAATAACGGGAGAAGCAAAATTTGATACCGTCATTGATGTCGTAGTTGGGTCGGCACTGCTCGCACGACGCCTTACACCACACATTCATGTACACGGGATTCTTTCGACATTCGCCGAGTGTCGCCCACGGCGCGCAACACTCGTTCTCATTGAAGCACGACGTCTCAACGACGACAACGGGCCGCGTTGGTGCAATCGATGGCGGCGGTGTGGCGGTTGGCGACGCCACACACCGTCCACGCTGACACGTGCCCTTGTAGCACATCGGCTCGCCATTGGTGAACATGGCGCAATTGGCGTCGGCTTTCATGCGGGCCGCACATTTCGGCGGCGAACCGTGCGAGCGATCGCAAAACAAATATCTAAATTGGCGAGTTTTGGACATCAATGTGATTCGGGTCTTACGGCGATCCGCAATCGGGACCCATTTGGCATGTTGGACGAGGCGCGTACGTGTAGAGGTTGTCTGCAATCGGTTTTCAGCAAGACGTGCTTGAAATTTGTTGATACCGGTGTACATGTTGCTGAGGCCGTCGACGTTTCGCAGCGGGACGAACGGCTTCATGAAGGCGCCGCGAAAATGGTGCTCGCTGCTGCACAACTTGTTGTCGGCCGGATAGGCGGTCTCGCGTTGCGCGCGCGTCTGCCGCCGCTGCCGAAACGCCTCCCATTGGTAATCGACGAACGCGTGATGAAGCCAGAAGATCGGATCGTTGGCCGACGTGATCGTCTCGTGCATATCGCCGCCGACGTAGAGATGCACGTTGCCGTGCGTGTACTCGGCCACGTTGAAATTCGGCCGAAACGGACAACCGCGTTGCGGGGCGGTGAACGCGAGCACTTGCGCGATGTCGTCGGTGTTGAGCGTGAAGTTGAGCTCGTCCTCCGTGTAGAGTTTCGCTTCGGCGCCGACGGCGCGACGAATCGCCGCACGATTCTAGAAGGCATCGATTTTTTGAGATGTACACATTATTTTTTAATTTTTGGAAAAAAAACTGATGGAAAATTGCTTCAATTTCGTCAAAATTGAACGAAATTTTCAAAAAATCGAGCAAAATTAATTTAAAAATCGAAAATAATCACATTTTAATTTTTTCCGTGCAAGACAGGAAAAATCGTCGATATTGAACGATTTATTTGGAAAAATAAGAAAAGAATTTTTTTTTTGAAAAAAAGTTTGACAAATCAAATTTTCCGTCAAAAAATGAGGCAATTTTAAAATGAAAAATCATTTTTTAGAAAAAATCGAAAAAATTTCGTCAAAATTGAACGAAATGTTCAAAAAATGACAAAAATAATTGAGCAAAAATAATTTTTGCACAAAAAAACGTGAAAATAATCACATCTTAATTTTTTTCTTGCAAAACAGAAAAAATCGTCGAAATTGAATGATTGATTTGGAAAAATATGAAAAGAAATTCTTTTTGCTAAAAAAATCACATTTTCCCTCAAAATGTGAATTTTGAGAAAATGTTTCTTTTTGAAAAAAATTTCCGTCAAAAATCAACGCAATTTTAAAATTTTTCCAAATTTTCAAAACTCGAAAAACGGGAAAAAATCATTTTTTCGGAAAAATTTCGTCAAAATTGAGCAGATTTCAAAATTGTTCCAATTTTTCGGGCAAAACATGCGCTCGTCAATTTTTTTTTCGAAAATTCATTCCAATTACGAACCTCGATGGTTTTCCAACTGCGAAATGGTCCCGAATTCAAATTTCCCGCCTGAATTTCGCCCATAAACTCGTTGGTCCACCTATAGATTTCGCAAATTTCAAAACAACAAAAATCAAAAATACAGCCAACATCAACGAGTCCTTCGAGTCGGGAAGATTCTCATCGAGCGTCGAGTCCCAATAGGGCAAATGGATCGTCGGATCGACTTGTCGCAACATGAACTCCATTCGCTTGATGAACTCGCGATGCCACGGCAGAAACGCGGGGCCCGAATGGGCGGCGCCCGAATCGGCGTATTGAGCGTGCACTCGAGCAAGACGATCGTACTCGCCGCTGAAATCACGAAAAATCATTGCAAATGCAAATTCGCTCGCCGACTTTTCTTTGATGGTCCTGAAGGCGGCGTGAAGGCGTCGACGCTCGTCGTCGCTCAACATTCGGTACTCTTTCCGAATCGCTTTTCGAAGCGGCTTGCCTTGAACGACGCACGCGTTTCCGCCGGTTCCTTGAAATTGAATTGACGAAAAAAAATTGAGAATAAAATGGAAACCTCGAAAGAACACACAGAGGCACGCGATGTCCATACACTGGAACACGTTGGTGGCGATCGGCGAAAATTCGGCGGCCATCGATTTGCCGGCGATTCCCGGCGGTTTCACATCGCCGGCCAACGCGGGAGTAGCCTGAATTTTATTTTTTAATGTTCATTTAAAACAAAATTTTTATTTCTCAATCGCATTTTTTTCATTATTTAACGCTGTGAAACCAAAAAAAGAGAAAAATAAATAAAAACTCTTCTTTCCGCATCGAAATTAATCAGATTTAGACTGCTAATGTAAAAAAAACAACAAGAAAAAATCGAAATCCTTCGATGAATATCGCGCTGGCCTAATTTTACACGGCCGCCGGCGCAAAACTCTTCCATAATTTCATTTCAAACTATTTATCAAAGTTCAAAAAAAAAACATATTGGCAGTGAGCCAATTTTCAAAATTCTAACAAACAAAAATAAAAATAAAATAGTGCGCATCGTTTAAAATCAAAATTTCCTCGCAAAAATGCAAAAAATAAATAAAATTGTTTGAAAATATTTTGCCGCAATTTTAAAACATTAACTCGCGCGTGTTTGCGTACGCGAGCATTTTAGTGTACGCGCAAATAAAAAAAAACACGCCTAAAACCGCGCATATATTTTTCTCGCAAACATTAAATGCTCGAAACTCACTCTCGCCTTCTGATCCCATCCCTGAATTTGTCGGCAGATCACTTTCATCGCCGCCGTCGGCGCTCGGTCGCAATCGAGTTGGCCGTTGACGGCCCGAAAAACGCTGAACAACAAAATCGGCAGCATTCACGACCGACAAAATTCAATCGTGTTGTTTTCTTTAAATATTTATATATATATATGCGTCGACCAGTACGACGTCCCGTTTTTGGCCAAAACGAGACAAACACCCAAATTAATGATTGATCGAGTATTTATTTTTTTTAATTTCATTTCGAATCACTAAGTGTATGGTGTCGATCAACGTTCGATTCTTGACGCCCCACCACTTTCACCTAGAATTCAACAATTTTCGGTGAATAATCACTTTCAAAAATCACTTGTTCCAGCGGCGATGAGCAGCTCGGTATCGAAATTGTTTCCGACTCGCGACGCGACAAATTCACAATTCCTTTAATTGTTTTGACAATTATCCTACGAATAAAGGTGTACAAAAAGGAATCGAATGCTTCTGTTTACCATAGAAATAGGTGAACTACGCAACATCCCGCACAGAATAGTATCGTGGCCGCTAGGAAAATCAATATCAACACTGGAAATTAATCAATTTTCGCGATTAATTGAAATTAACAAAAAAAGCTCATCAGCCCGATGCGGGGCTCGAACCCGCGACAGCCAGATTAAGAGTCTGGTGCTCTACCGACTGAGCTAACCGGGCACGTCTGTGGCCAGTGTAAACGCCGCCTATGTGACCCCCCCAATACGTACGCTGTCCTCGTCCGTCTCGCCACTCTACATACTGGCGATCATTGAAAACGATCGTGCCGTTCACATCAATGTCCGTCGAATTTTTGTCGGGAATCGTCAAAATCGCGCGAATCGCCTCATTGGCGTCGTCATTGGCAATCAAATTCCAATAGTCGGTTAGTTGAATCATCGAGAATCAGTGGAAATGCCAAACGAAATGCTCACGTCCATCAAAAATTTATTTTTGACAATTTCAGGCAAGGGCAATTTTCAAAGAAAAAAAAACACAAAGCAGTAATAATGACAAGCGGCCACTTCTACACGATGGGGTAGAAGGCGAAATTATTATTATTATAACCGGAAACCAAATAAAACTGTTCGAAATACTATTAATGGTAAAATTTGCGAGTGAGGGGGGATGAACTCTTTTTAATAGTGAGTATCAATTAATCTCGAATGCAATTTGTTTGGGAGGGTGTGCTGACTAGACTAGATAATGCTTAAATGTTCCACAGGACAAATTCCGTTGTTGATTCGCGAGACGCTCGCCGTCAATCGCGCGCATCGCACCAATCCCGAGCGCGTCGAGAGCACTCGCACCTGTTCGCCGACGCTCAACGAGAAGTTGGCGACGTCGAACGCCTTCAACACCGTCGCGATTCGAATCGTTTGACGCCGATTGGTCGCGTGCGGCCGACAATGATATCGGCTGAAAAAAAAATTGTATATAATCGTGTTCTCGCTGTCGATCTCCAAAAACCCACCTCGTCGATAGCGGTATTCGCGACGGCTTCTTTTGACCGCACGAGAGCCGCGCCGGCACCGACGAGCTTTTCGGCACACGCGAGTCGGAAGCGATTCGCGATGCGCCGCCCCAATGCTGCTGCAGCATCGATTTCGTCTCGCCGCGCGCCTCGATCACCGGCAACAACGAGAGGCTGTCGACCATTCGCCAGAGCAGCGTTCGGTATTCGGCGCTCGCCGACACGAGAAACGCGTTCTCCGTGTAAATGCGACGCAGCGCCTTCTCTTTCAGCACAATATAGCACAGCCAGCAGTCCAGCGAGTTCTCGCGGATCAGCTCCTCGAAGAATATCTCGACTTTGACGTGATCACTCTTCGCGCACTCGTCCAATTGTCGGACGATCGAGTGGACGTCTTTCGTCGCGGGACCCCTCGCCGTCACCGTCTTGATCATTTGCCACGTCGTCACGCCGTCGATGAGGCCGTCTTCGATAAGCGCTTGCATCGCGCTGAAACATCGAATCAACTCAATTCAATGTGTTGGCAGTCTTACATCACTAGCAGATCGTAGGATTCGCCGCGCGATATCGCCGCGACGCCTTCGACAACATTCTCGACGAGACGACGCTTCGCCGAATAGATTGGCAAACCGACGATCGACAATTCACGCGCGCGCAATTGATGACGGGCGCTCGATCTGCAAACCAAATCATACACGCTCATTCGACACCACTTCATCCAAAAACTCACGTCGTCGGCGCGAATGAGATGTGCGAATCGGCGGGCATCGAGCAATCGCACAACACCGTTTTGCTTTGCGTCGTCTGCGCCCACACCGGCGGATGAAGGCGTCGACGGACGCGATAGCACGTTCGGCACGCCTCGTTCGCCGACGCCGAGATGCCGACGCGTCGCGGTGTGTCGATGCAATTCGACGGCGTCGTCGCGCCGCACTTCGAGTTGGCCGACAACAACAATTGCGTGTTGCTCTTGAAGAACGAGCACGCTTCGACGACGTGCCTTGAAAACAAAATCCATCAAGTCGTCGCGTTCCGAATCATTAATTACCTGGGTAGAAGAACGGACAGCGATTGCCAATCCTCAATGTGACTCGGTCCCGAGCATCCCAAACCCGAATCAGGTGAATCTTCCTAGAAAAAAAAATGTTTCGAAGTCCATCACAAAAAAAAGCGTACCTGAAAAATGAGCGGAAAATCGTGAACCGACGTTATCGACGGCAACGCCTCCTTTTGCGTTTTGACGATCGCGTCGCGAAACGACGATGTGAACGAGTCGCACAACGCGGGCATCTGAACAAAATAGGTACAATTAGTGTGTGCGCCTTTAAATATAACTTTTTTATGCGCTTTTTCTTCTTCTTCTTTTTCGTTTCGAGAAACACACTATACAAAGAAATCTCAATATTTTGGCGGAGGCGAAGAAGAGGGGAAAAAAAGGAAGAAGGAGAAGTGTGAGAAGAAACGCGCGGACGACGAACGATATTTTCGTTCTTTTTTTTCGCGATACCATGAACACCTATCAATGTGAGACGGCCCGACTAGTTGTCTCTTCCTCCTCCTCCTCCTTCCCCCAACATCTCGCCCAACTATCACTTTCACCAATAAATGCGCAGCACCCCCCAATCCTATTGGTGTGAATCTTTTGCTATACCTCATGGTGCATTGCTAGAAAATCGAGCTTCGGCGCCGTTTTGTCCAAATCGGCAAACGTTCGCTTCGGCAACGACGATTGGCGATTCATCGACGGACGCCGCCAACGATCCATTTTGATGACCGCTGCCGTCGCCTCATCGGTCTCGCGAATCTCATTGTCGTTGACGTCGACGAATCGCGTCGTCGCCGCCTCCGCCGAATTGCTCACAAAGTTGGCGATGAGCGAATTGGGCCGTGCGCCGCCAATGGTGGTGGTGGTGGTGTTCGTCTTGTTGCGAACATCGGGCGCGCTGGCGATTCGCTCGTCGAGCGGCTCGCTACTTCGAATTCGTCCCCACGTCGTCAAATTGTCGTTGATGCCCGACTGCCAATGGCCGGAATCGGCGAACGCCAATTGAAAATCGTCTTTTTTGACTTGGCATCGCTCGCGGAATTGTTGCGAATCGAGCGAGTCGGTCGACACCGACGGATCGAACGACTCGAACAGCACCGAATCGCCGCCGAAATTCAACGCGGCGATTCGCGAATCGATATCATCCGGCCATTGATCCTCATCGGGTATGATTTGGAGCTCGCATAGCTCCACCATTGAGCGTCGTCGATGCCTACAATTATGCGATGATTGGAATTCGTTCGAATTGGATTATCGCCAATGCGATCTCATCAAGATTTATTAGTGAGAGGGGGAGGGGACGAAAACCGTAGTACGATTTTCCAGAATTTCGAATCGAATTGCATTAATCATCGCAGCGAACAAAACAAAAATCAGGTCACGCGCTTATTATCAAATTCTCGAAATTATGCTTTTTTTTTTGAGAAATGACAAAAATTCAAATTGGAATTCGAGCAATTTCGAGCATTTAAAAAATGGCGAACATGTCCGGAATTCACAAATTATGAAATATTATGCATATATACATGAATGATGTCATTTAGATTTGATGAGATTAACAAGATTTCAAACAAATAATGATGAATTCCATGGATCGCATGTGTGCTTTTGTTTTGGATGGCAATTAGAAGAATGTTTTGATAAGATAGCGGCATTGTCGGTCGGGAATTATAAAACGAAAATCGATGAACGAGGAGAAATGGGGGGGTCTTCGTCTTCGCCCTGAGGGGCGATGTCGGCGGTCCGCGCTCTCACAGCCTCGCCGATCGATGAATCTGCGTCTCTGACGCGTCGGCCGACCTCCGACGCGCGTGCGCTCTCTTTCTCGCCATCTCTGTGTCTATCGTCGCGAATGTCATGCCAGTCTCGCGCAACTCACTTGAGCTTAGTGCGCGAGTATTGCTCGAAAAACGAGAAATGCGCGAGCGCACTGGGGTATTTGGAGGGGGGCGCGCGGGGAGCCGAAGAAATCATTTCGAAATGCTCGGTGTGAATTGGCGCGCACGCGAGCACATGATGATATTTTTGAGAGCGGAAATTGCTGCCACGAATTCTTAATTAATCGTCTCATATTTCCCCCCACCAATTAGATATTGAAATACACCACATTCTAATAGGGAAAGCAGAGGAGACGAAATTTTTCAAAAAAAAAGCGGAAAATTGGCGAAATGCCAACGAAAAAATCAATGGCAGTGGATTTTTTTTTCAAATCTAAAAGTGTAGATTTACGGGCTCATGTATTAAGATGAGATATAAATTAGGCTCTTTTCAATTTTTTTTTCGCATTTGGCCAATTTTTTTGACAATATTAAAAATTGGGTGCCGCATGTTTGCCAGCTCGCCTGCGGCACATTACCAAACAAACCACGCCCACAACATCTCTTTTATTCAAAATTCTACAAATTCCAAATTTTTTGAGACTTTTCTTAATTTTTATTGCTATTATTTATGAAAACCGAAATTACAAAGGACAAAATACTGAGAAATGCTGCCTGTTGGCCACGCAATCGCAGCTATTTATTTATTTATTTATTTAATGGCGGCCGTCGAGACTAATGCGAGTAGAAGACAAATGTCGACTTGAAAAATGTTTAATGTTCCTTGTGATTGAATAGTTAAAAGCTTTTTTTTATTTCTCTCTCTCTCTCTCTCTCTCTCTTTCGAACGCGAAATAACGCAACCATAAAAATTGATAGCCAAAAGTTATTTCGAGCGGCAATCAATTTCGTTTTCGCGTTTAAACAAAAATAAATAAATTGTTGGCAAGCCCGACTAAATATTGGACGATTTCAAGCAAAATCTCCGACCATTCGGACCACGTGGTTGAAAATGTCGGACATCGAAAATTGATTAGACAAAAGGTGTGTGTGTGTGTCTACGCCGAGCGCACAATTGTCGTTTTCTTTTTAAACTTTGAAATTGATATTGATGAGATCGAATTGCGTGGCGAGACGCCAACCGATTTACCTTTGATATTCAACAACATCTCAGCGTAAACTATTCGAGTAAGCCGACGACCAACATCGATGATCTCTGATGTCTGTGCGGCGTTCCTCATTCACCATTTTTGCCGCCTTCGGGTCTCGTATGGAAAAAAAGACAACGCGAGTTTGGTTTTGTTCAATCATTATAATTTGAGAGAGCGGATCAAAACTACAGCATCCAAAAAGCGGCAAAAAAAACTTGTTGCTATTCTCGATGCTCGAAATATCCCAGAAAATAAACTGGAATCAAATATTTTAAAACAAGACCATTTAAAATTATTCATATTTATTATTCTCAAGAGTAGAGGAAAATGAGAAAAAAAAAACATAGAGAGAAGAAAAAAAAAGTTGAAAAACTCGCTAAAAAATAAGCAATACGGTTCAAAACCGGCCGTTTTTTTGTCGTCTTTGGCCAATTTTCTTTTGTTTCTTCTGTGCACACAAAAACCAGTAAACGATTTGGTTTCCAAAGCGGAAAGAACAACTCATAAGTGAAATTGATGAAAAAGAAAAAAGAGAATCGAATACAATTCTCCGGATTTGATACAGTATATATAATATATAAATATAATTAATGAAAAAAAAATAATAATAACAAAATACAAACGATTGGGATTGATGGGAATGAGATTTCGAAGAGAAGAAAATTTGGTGGGGGGTGATGGGTGGGAAAATGGCGAGGCAGCAAAAAACTGAACGTTTACGATTTTCCGTTGCCCAATTGCACTCGGCAACAGATGAAGCCGTTGTCGTTGCCGGTGTACAGACACGCCGAGTTGTCCGGACACGATTGCGGTGTTCCGGCGCGAGCATACCTACAATAGCCAATTGGATTCGGTCGATCCGGGGGTGGAAGAAAAATGAACAACAATAACAACAACTCACGGATTGCACGTCCGATAATTTCCGGCCAACTCAACCGGCACGAGATTCGCCGGCTGCGGCGGGCACACATTCGGCAGCCGCACGTCCGACTCCAGACCGCAACAAATGTATCGCTCAAGATTGGTGCTGAACTGACAGTGCCGATTCGCTCCGCAACCCTGGATCGCGTCATTCAATGGCGCCGACGGCGAACAATATTTGTACTGGGCGCCGTTCTCGCCAGGCACCGGCACCAATTGTGGCGGGCAGTCTAGAATAGCCAAACAAAATCAACATTTAAAGGAATAACAAAATCCTACATCCGGTATCAACGCTGTCAGGCGATCGGCAACAATAGAAGGCGTTCACCGACGTCGTCGTCGTCGAGAACCAACAGAAGAAGTTGCCCGGACAGGCGCCATCGACATTCGGTGTGCATTGCATTGGCTGAAGGGAGAGCGCCGAGATGAACGGCGTCGACGAGGCCGGACAGAGGGCTGAAAATGCGACAAACTTTAATTCACAACGAATTTCAGATATCATTCCTACACTGCAATTCAGTTGAAGCGCCGCAACACACATTCTGATCGAGAAGCGGCGACGAATAGCACGTGTAGCCATCCGGACAACCACCGGACACTCGTCCGTTGCCACCGGGATTGCTGCATTGCACCAAACGACTGCCGTCGCCGTCTTTGGCGACGACGGTTCCCGGCGGACACGCTTCCGATAGGCAATAGTTCTGGCACGATTTCTGACTGGCGAAATTGTTGCGATTGCCCTCGCATCCGTTGTACTCGAACGTCTGACACGTCTTCGAGTCGGCGTTGAAGTACCAGCGTGTGATTCGCGTGCTGCTGCACCGAACGCCGACGTCTCGCGGTTGCGAGCACACGAAATTCTTCGACGGGCAACACAATGATTTCGTCTGGTAGACGGTGCCGGTCCACGTCGTCACCGGCGTACAATAATGCGTCGACGGGCATTGCCGATTGGTGGTGCACGCGCGCGCCGCTCCGTTCTGCTCTTTCCACACTTCGCCGCCGTCGGGACACGACTCGACGCGACAATAGTCTTTGCAGTCCTGCTGAGTGGCGAAGTTGTTCGAGTTTCCGTCGCATCCATTGAACGAGTAGGTCTGACATGTTCGCGTCGTCGAATCGTAGTACCAGCGGGTGACCGCCGGACCGCAAGACGCTCCCGATTTGTAGGAGAGCGAGCACGTGTACGCCTGCGTCGGACAACATCCGTAGGTGGTGCCGTCGTAGTAGCAATAGTGGTTGGCGGGGCACGTCGTCGACGCCGCCGACGAGCCGCCGCAAATGATGAAGTTGCCGTTGGAGTCGGTGAGCGCGGTGCCCTGAATACACTGCGGCTCGCTTCGCGCGTCGCGACAATAATCCTGGCACTCTTTGTACGTCTCGAAATTGTTGGCGTTGCCTTGACAACCCGAATAGATGAACTCCTCGCAGTTGCCGGTCTTCGCGTTGAACCACCAACGATTCGAGTAGGTGCCGCAATTGCCCTGCTCGCGCGGCAATTTGCACACGTACTGCGGACGTGGGCAGCACACGCCGCCGAACGTCGTCGAGCCCGACGTCGATTCGCACGAGTGCGTCGATGGGCACGAGTTGGCGCCGGAGCCCGTCGGCGAGCACTCCATGTTGCGCTCGCCGGATGAGTCTTTGAGCGGCTCGCCGGCCGAACACAAAACTGAAACGTCGGTTTTGAATGAGCAACACCGATGAAAACGCGACACTCACTTCTCGAGCAGAATTTCTCGCAGTGATCCTGCGAGAGGAAGTTGTTGAAGTTGCCGCCTTGTCCGAGGTACGAGAACTGAATGCAGCGTCCCTCGCGCGAATCATAATAGAATCTCGGGGAGGTGTTGCCGGTACCATCCGGAATTCCGACGTCGAAGAATTCGGTCGGAAGTCCGCCGGCGGTGTTGTAGACCTCTGTCGGAATGCCACCATTGCGAGAGCAGATGAACACTAGAAATTGTAAAATTGCAAAATCGGTTTTTTTTTTCGAATCATCAATCTCACAGTATGTGGGGCAGCATTGTTGAAGAGTTCCCATTGTGGTACACTGATAGTTCGGGTTATTGCAACCATTATCATTGCCCTGACAGTACACTGGCTCCTGCTTGACGCCAGTGGTCCGATCGCGATACAATGGAAGACCACGATTGCAAGCTGTAAAAAATCCATCCATTTTAAATTTCCTCAAAAATCGATAATTTACTCTGTTTGCAATAGGATTCACAGTGGTCCTTCGTCTGGAAATTATTCGCATTTCCTCCGTATCCTTGATATTTGAGCTCACGGCATTCACCGGTGATCGGATCGTGGTACCAATGGTTAAGAGTGGTGCCGCCGCCCGGCGGTGTGTAACCCTCGTTGGGCGGTTGGATGCAGGCGAACGCTCGCGACGGACAACAGAAGCTGATCGGGTTGTTCACCGTGCAATCGTCCGAATCGCAAATGCAGTCATAGGCGAGAGCGCCGATGGCTTCGCAGGTGGCGTCGGCGCCACCGTAGCATTGTTGAACTTGGTTTTCGATGCGGAATTTCGGATTGTTGCCGTTCAATGGGCAGAAACCGTAGTTAAGGCAGACCTGAACACAAAAAATTAATTTAAAAAGGAATAAAAAAAAGATTGCTAGAATTCTAAAAAAAACAATTTCGAATTAAAATTTTTCGTTTAAAATTCTTCAAAATTATCAATCTCATAATAAATTAAAAATTTTATGATTTTTTACTCTTCTACTATGTCTTTGGTACTTTTAAAACCCGTTTTTAACAAGAAATGGCAAATAGTGTCAAAAAATCGCCGAAAAATGATGAGGCAAACAAGTCCGCAATCTAGTCGTGCCGGTGATTGCACGCACTCCAACTACCGTAACCCATAGTCGAAATCTCTGCCTACCAATCCATCTCTGGTTCTGAATGGCGGCTGATTGTTGGCACATCGGCATTCGCCCGATCGACAATAGGCTCCAGGCCAAACCGCTTCGCACTGCCGATTCTGTGTGCATCCCGACTCGCCGGGATTAATTTCTAAAACAATCAATTAATTCAATTCAATCAAACGTATCAAAGCCACCAATGACCAATTTTCAGCAATTTTTTTTTTCTAAAAGGCCTCAAATAATGATGAATTTATTGATTTATGCAGAAACACGACGGTGTTACCAAGAAAATAATTATTATAAATAAATGAGGGGCAAAAGGACGACGAAGAAGAAGGAGTAAAACAAGAAATGAAAGAAACATGAGCAAAAAAATAATAGAGAAGAAGAAAATGAATTTTTGTAGTGGGGTGATGATTTAAAGGGGGGGGGTCGTTGGAAGCAAAACAAGCGAAAAACGTTGGGAAGACTCAAGAAAAAAAAGAACAAAGAATATGAAGAAAAATTGAAAACAACCCGGCTGAGGGTAGAAGAACCCAGTAAAAAAAGGGAAAAAAAGACGGTGCAAATAAAAAAAGAAGAAGAAAATCTCTACCAAAATACGCAAGAAGCTCTTAGTCTCAGATATTCGACAATGCTCTACAAAACGAATATTATGAACAGAAAAAAAAACATGAAAATGAATGATGAAGAAACATATTATTGGGAGGCTCATTTAAAACAAAAGAAAAATTGCTATCACACTGCTAAACAAGGAGAAAAGACGAAACGAAATGTGCCTAATGAATTCAATATGAACGGATTTGAAGAGAGGAAAAGGGAACGATTTTTTCTTTGCAGGTAAAACAATCATGGTCTGGCGGCTTTAAGCTTTTCGTTTTGACTATTAGTCAACAATTGAAAATTTATAACCCAAGAGCCCTTTGAAATTCCTCAATAGAGGGGGAGGGGAAAACAAAAAACGAAAACAAAACTCACTTCTCCAACAGTACGAGTCAATCTCGACATAGGTGGTGAGACATGCGCAACGTTTGTTGCCGGCACAATAGTTGCCGGTTCCACAGTCCGTCGACACCTCGCACGGGCGACCGACGGTGCCGTGTTGGGCATCGACGACGGCGACGGCGGCGGCGGCGACGACGACGACAACCGCCAACAATTTCAGCACACCCATTCTGTTCTCACGACGACGCGCACAAAGAATATTCCACGTCGATTGCCGACAGCGTTCGTTTATGGGAGGACGACGCACGTTGAGGAGGTGGAGCGCCCGCTGGATGGGAGTGGGAGGAGGACGAGGACGAGGGCCAAAACTCAAACAAAACTAAAAGTACCGCGGCGTCCCGACGGGTTAGAGCTCACTCTCGCCGAGCCGCCACGAGTATATGCACACAACAGTACCCCGCCCATCAGGGTCGATCGCCTCGCGAAACGTTTACTTCCTCCCTTTCATTCCTTAATGTGCGTCCACTTTGGTAAACAATCCCCAAAAATCGGTTGCAGCACAGGGCTCTCAGTCATTTCCAAAAAAAAAAAAGAAAAGAACCCACAGTGGCCGCCAGGCCATTTCGCAACAAAATCGAGAAAAAAAAATAAGAAGAGAAGAGAGAGTGAAGAAAGAAAACGATCATCGTCAAAAAGTCGACGAGCAATTCTAGACGGCCTCCTGATGACGGCTTGGCGTCACACCACCGCCACCACCACCATTCACCATCGGCCTCGTCGCATCGTCCGAATCCTCTTCTAATTGGCCTTCAAGCTTTTTGGCGCGAATTGAAAACGCCTCGGAAATCGCTTCTTCGACGCCATTCGAGTCGAGCTGAAAAAAAATCATCGCATCATCATCATCATCATCTCGTTCGCTCGACTCATCCTTCTTTGGCGAGTCAATCACGCGTGGCGAGAGAAGCACCACAAACGGCTATTAGGCCAAATAAACGTGCCCCCCCCCCCTCCCCTTTCCCCCGTCATTCCTCCCCGCTATTTGTTCATATACTTTCATTTGCGCGTCTTGACCATATTTGTCAACGTGCAATGACTTTAGACTCGTTGCGCTAAGGAAACAGATTATCCTCTGTCTCACTCCGCGCAGAGCAATCACACACACACACACACTAATCGACCCCTCAAAACTCTCCAGACAACAAAATTGACCGTTTCGCACAATATACACACACACAGATATGAAGGGGGGATTCGCTTTTACCTGACACACGAATCCATGCGCCACGAGATTCGACGTCAATGATTCGGGCGTGTCGGCCTTCGTCAGCGTCGTCGTCAATTGTCGATGCATTTGATCCTCCAATAGTAGCACAATCGAGACCTCGCTGAAAATCGGGCAACAATCAAAAAAAAAAAAAGAAAAACGACTAACTCATCCTCAATGTGCACGTTGATCTCCAAAATGTGTCGGCTCTCGCTTCGCACATCGCCCTGCTCGTCGGCGGGTGGCGGCGTCGACGGCGCCTCGTGGCTTGTCGTCCCATTCTGATACGCGTCCGACGAGTGATTGTTGCTGTGGTGGCCGCCGCCGCCGCCACCACCGCCACCCGACGACGTTCCGGCACTTCCGTGCATTCGATCATCGTTGTCCGCCGCCTTCGGCGTCGCATCGAAACAACCATTCTGCGAATGCGTCGAATCTTTCTTCGAGCCACTCTCGCCACTCGCCGAATTCGTCGGTTGACACGCGCCAGAATCGCTCGTCGCGTTGTTCTGCTGTAAAGCAAAAAAAAAGAATGAAGAACGTCGATTCATGCGATTCTCATTCTCACATTCGTGTACGCCTTGAGCGTCGTCGACGGCTGATGAGCGAGCGGCGCGAACGCCGTCAGCGGATAGATGCCGTTTCGAACGTCGTCGAGAAACTTCTCCAAGTCCAACTGAAACGCCGCCACTTGACAATAGGCCATCTCTTTGAATTTCGACGTCGCCGCAATCTTCTCGTTGTCCGGTATTCGGAACACGCTCTCCGACACGTCGTCATACTTTTTCGAGTCGACGATCGCGTGCGCGGCGAGCAATTTCAGCGAGTGCACCTGAACATTCCGCCAATCGACACCCAGCATTGTCGAAAATGCAACAACAACGAAAAAAAAGAAACCTCAAACAATATCTGATGGAACAACAATTGTCGTGCCGTCGGCCTCTCGACGGGATCCCTCCTCAAACACTGCCGAATGAAATCCTGCTGAAGGGGATCATCGAGCGATCGGATCGCCTTCTCGATCACATCCTCGGTGACGGGACCCTCGGCCGAGCCGTTCTGACAACCCGACAAACCGCCGATGACCGCGATCTCAAGCGAGCAAATGCCAAACGAGTAAATATCGGCGGCCGGCGTCACCTCGCTGCCGTCTAGAAATGGAAAAAAAAAAGAATGAGCACATGAGTCGACTGTTCGACGTCTGCCGATCATACTTTCATATTCGGGTGCAATATAATGCATATAGCGCATATTCTCTCGACACGTCTTCACGTGATGATTGATCGCGTCGGGCGCCACTGAAATTTCACACAATCAATTTCCCCCCATCGCCCCCCTTCCGGGTCTCCGAGCATTGATTTGGGTCAAACAGATGAGGTGGTGAGATCAGGCAACAAACAAACAACACGAATCAACCACATATACACACATCATATCATATACATATTCGAAGGAATCCTATCCATAAATCAAATCTCGATCCATTGGATTCCTAGCTCATCGCGCCGCGCCGGTACCAGCCGACGTGTGACCTTTCTCTGCTCAAACGCTCTCTCTCTCTTCAAACTTTGCACTTTGCTCACTGATAAACCAAAAGGCAAATCCTTTCGTCGTCGTCGTCGTCGCGCGAGCGCGCCAACGCCTGGCACCCAACGGAACCGCATTGTCGTCCACAAAATCGAAACGGTTTGGGTTGAGTACAGAAAATTTCGCGCAAACATACGCGCACAGAAAAAAAAAATCAAGGGTTGAGAGAGATTTTGATGAGAAAAAAGAAATTTTGGCGCACGCTCGCCCAAAAAAAAATTTTCAAGTCTCATTAATCAGCAAACAAATCGTACCATATCACTGAGCGAAACGCGATTCTCAAATGACACACACCCACAAAAAAATCTAAAATTAGTGTGGTTCTCGAAAGTGATTCTCGTTGAAATCAAATCAAATGAGAAGGAGGGTAGGGGGGTTCGCTTCGAGACCCAAAAACAATTGCGATATAGTATTCTTATTTCAAAAAAAACCAAGCGGCTACAAGAATTGATCGATGCGAAAACACAACTGCGTGCGCCATTAATTACCGTAACTAAAATAAAATATTCTCAAATTTTTCTTAAAAATCACAAATTTCAAGCTTTTTTGCGTTCAATTTGTCAATAATTCGAGAAAAAAATTAATTGAAGGCGCATTTTGAAAGAAAAGAAATTAGTTGGGTTTGGAGACCAGCAATTTTGTCGCGAAAATTTTTTGCCGCACTCAAAAAAAAAAATCCCAAAAAAAAGTCCGATTTTTTCAAAACCAATGTGGATTTCCACGTTCAAACGACCAAAATCGCGTCTAAAATGTTGAAAATCTGTTTTTTTTTTTCATTTCGCGTGCCGCCTACTGTTTCCCCCACATGCACCTTTGATGGACTACTACAGTAATCTTTGCTTGACCAATTTTCGCGCTAGAACAATTTCGAGTTTCAATGCTTTTTGGAGTTCATCGAATAGGAGATGTTCGGGGAAAGTAAAGCAAAGCAAAACAAACTGAGATGGTCCGACAAATATAAGGGTTGGCGAAATTGGTGGGGGCGAGAAGTACCGTAACCACACACACACACATATTGTCGGAGTCAAACGACTTGACGAAATTAAAAAAAAATTATTGGCTAGTGTCTCAAGGCAGCGAGAAGTACGCGAAAATGCGTACATTGCATCATAGTGTACGCGTATTAAATATTCAGTCAACGAAAAATTTAAATCTACACTGACGTCGCGAATTTCAAGGCTTCACTCGTTTGACGCCGACAATAAATATAAAAATACTGAAAAAAAAATCAAGGACAAAAAGGGACACGGACAAAATCGGAAGCAGGAGAATATTGAAAAATTGACAATTTTCGTATCAAGACCCACCAAGCACATTTTGCCCAGTTGCGTCTTTACACATCGAGATACCTGAACAATTCATGATTTCAAAAAAAAAAAAGAAAAAGAAAAATGATTCGCGCAAATTCTAAATCTAGAAATCGCGATGAGCGCTTCAAAAATGAAAAAAAAAAGTCGACAGAAGACAATCCACAAAAATTTTGTGTTTTTTTTTTCTCGTTTCTGGTTTAGAGCAAAATCGGCACCGCAAAACTATATATTGTCGATCGTCCAGCGACTAATGTAGATTTACGCCTCTGGTCTCGCACGGACCCAACTGCTGCTTATTTTGCAATTCACATCAAATATTCAAAATAAGCCTTGGCGAGACCATTTCAAAAGACGCACGCCGTAAATCGACATCAGTCGCCAGATGTCGACTATATATATATATATATATATATATATATATATATATATATTCAAAAAACTAGAATTCAAAAAACACACACACAGCAGCAGCAGCAAAAAATAACCGAGTGTGTGTCGGTGTGAGTATGTATTCCGTCGGGTTAATTGCGCTCAACAACAACAACAACAATAAAATGACAATGAAAACAACGTACCACATCCGATTTTTATCAATCCGTTCTGTTGTATGAATACCGTGTTGCACGTCAGATTGCCGTGGATTATCGGCGGATCCGACGAGTGCAAATAGTTGAGCGCCGACAGTATCTGCGTCGTCCATTTCTTCCACGCCTACAAACATTTTTTTTTCGATTGTGCATTTTACACACAGTACGACTCAAAAAAAAAACAATTTCTTTTCGAGACCCACCTCTCCCTACTTTTATTTTTGAATTCAATGAATTTCGACAATTTTTGTCATAATTAGACCGAAAATTAAAGAGATATGCGCCTTTAAACAATTTTCATTTCTTTTTCATCAGTTTAAATTCACAATTAAGTTTAAAAAGTTGAAAATTGGACAAAACAAAAAAGCGCAGAAACAAATGGTTTTTTAAAAAGACAATTCGATGAGATTTCTAAATCATTTTGGATACCGTAATTAAAGGCGCACGCAGTTTTTTATTTTGGGGTCGCATCAACCAATTTTTCAGAAGCACGTTTAAAAATCTCTCACACAATTCTAACAAAAAAAAAAAAACATTTTTAAACTCGTTATTCTTAATTTTTTCCATACGAGACCCAAGAGGACAATTTAAAAAAAAAGAATCATGAAAAACATCGAGCCAATCAGTCAGAAAACAAAATCCAAAAGCTATAGACGGGGTGTCGAAGGGAAATTCAAACCATTGGGTTTCTCTTGAATAAATATTTCATCAAAAACAAAAAAAATTTTCAAAATTTTTGAAATTTTCAAAATTTTTCTTTTCCAAATTTATTTCTTTCCACGTTTTCACAAAAAAAAACGAGAAAATTTGAGTGAATCGAATTAAAAAAAAAATAAATAACATACCTTGATACTCAGCGGCGATCCCGCTTTTCGTGTGCGCTGCAAAAACGCCGACATCGATCCCGACGACATATATTCGGTGATAAAGATTATCTGCAAAAATTAAACGGCCAATTTTGAGAAAAAGAAACAGAAAAGAGAGAATATTGAACAATTCGTTACCCTCGGCTTTTCCGACTTCGAGTCCGTCCAATATTTATGAAATTTGACCAGATTTGTGTGCACCAGCTGTGTTAAATTGTCGAAAACCGCGTTGATTTTCTCCTGAATTCAAATCAATTATTGTCGATAATGTACACATTTTCAGGAGGAATCTCGCCCACGCAGAGTGTGCGCCTTTAATCTCTCTGGTAACTCAAGACCAATCAAATCCGACAAATTAGCAATCGGATCGCATGGACCATGAAGCCGAATTTTGTCGGATCCGATTGGTTTTCGATTGAATCAATTTTGGAACCGCATTTTGTCGAATCCGATTGGTTTTGAGTTATCCGAGCTATCCTTAAGGTTAGGCTCGTAAATCTACACTTATCGCTTTGCGTCAAGACCACTGTCAAGTCGCGCAACACCGATAATCTATCATTTAAGCAAAACCAACCTCTTGAGCTCGAAAATTTTTCCGTTCGGAGAATTGCACTTCGTTCCAAACTACCTCGTTTCCTGAAAAAATCTTGTTTCAAACAAAAATTTTGTTTTTTTTTTTAAACCATTTGAATCCCAAATTTTTTTTATATGATAGGGTAATTTTTAAAAATTCACGTTCGAACCCAAAAAAAAACGAAAAAGAATTATTTTTGTGCACTGAAGCTTTAAATCAAAAAAATATTTTCTCCCAAAAATGGCTAATTTTATAAGCTTCTAAATTTTCTAGAAATTTTTGCGAGAAATCAATTTTTCCGCTCAATTTCTTACACAAAAAAAGCCAATATGATAGAGAATTTTAAGAAAAAAAAATTTGACCGAGGATTGCCAAATTTGGATTCTTTTTTATTGGATCAAGCTGCCTCTCATAATTAAGATAAATCTACCATTCAAATTCGACAGCAATTTTCTATTATTATTTTTTCGCAAAACAAAAAAACGAGCACCACGCGCCGATTTTCGGCCGTTTTTAAATTCAAAATCTGAATTATCGCCTCGAAAAAGTGCGATGGTCCACAAGGCGCTCGTAATTTTTTTGCGATGATAAAATAATCCCAAAATAGTGGTAACAGAAAAAAATTAATAAATCAAATTACCCGTTTCATTGTCCATGGCAAGATAGGCGACGTCGATTCCGGGCACGTCGCGCTGCTTGACCTGCTCGCGACGCTTCGACCATCGTTTATCGGGCGACTCCTCCAAAATCTGTCAGCAAAAAATGAAAAATTATTGCACATTTCGGGAGGCGAAAAATTTTTAAGCTAAAACTAGACTAAAATTTTGCTTTTGTTTGCCACTAGTACAACTGTTAGTAAAACTGGGCAAAATTTGAGGATCTATTTCAAAAAAAAAATTTCGTTAATTTTCCGATTTTTTTTGAGCTTTTATGTACTTTTAATAGATTTTTGTAAAAAAAAAAGAGGTTTTCAGATTTTTGCAAAATTTTCAAAGCGCAATTATCAGATATTGGAAAAAAACACCCAAAATTAAAACCAATTTTCCCCTCAAAAATTCACTGAAACGCAATTTCCTCAAGTTTCGTGCGTCAAGCTAAAACAAAATGCGATGCCGAACACCATTGTGCAAATTTGTGATAAAAATCAGCAAAAAAAACCCACTGATAAGAAACTTGTGTCAAATGTTTAATTAAATTACAAAAAAAATAGAAGCAAGGGTATTTCTTCTCAAATTGCAACCAATCGCGGTTACGGTAGCAGCATTTTTTCGTGTGAACAAAAAACAAAACCCAAACAAAACAAATCGACTTACATCTTCAGCGGCGTCGCCTTCCGAATCGCTAGCCCCGTCGTCATCCATCGCCGGCTTGGCCGCATTCGTTCGATCCTCACCGGAGCTCACCATGATCGTTATCTGATCATAAATCTTCCCGTGTGTCTGCAATTCGATGAAATACGTCAAATTACGCGATTCTCACGCTGCTTTTTTTTACACGTCTCACTCGAATTTTCTTTAGAAAAAACCAAAAAAAAATACTTCGTCTTATTCTTCTTTGTCAACCGCAAACTCGTGCTGTCTTCCTTCGTCGCAGATAATCGTCGTTGGCACGTCCGACACTGTGTGTGTGTGTGTCTCAAATTGAAACTCAGCGCCCGACTCCGATGTATTTCTGCAAATCGCCGATTAAAATAATAGGCGGGCAATTCGCGAGAGAGAGAGAGAGAAAGAGAGATGAAAATCCACAATGCAAAGACGCAACAATTCTGATCTCAATTAGAAAAATAATAAATTTATTGATATAATAGAACAAATGATGCTCATTTTTTTTTTGGAATTTCGTAACATTGGCGGTTTTCAATTTCGAAAAATAGATCGAACCCCCCCCCATGATTGAACACGCGCGTCTATTATCAGCGGCCCATCACAAGATCTGTCTGCCTTCAATCGAAACACACATAAACTTGAAATCAAACAAAAGACCATATGACAATACATATATTTCTTGTTGAGCGCGCGCCGATTCGAGTGTGATGATGAGGCACCACTCTCGCGAGAAGAAGCGAGACAACACACGAACCCAACGCGTGCGAGTGTGTGTGTGTGCGGCGAAACGGTGGCGTCGACGACGAGCGCGCTCCCGGCCGGGCGTTACAGAGAGTACAACGATCCGCCAAATTCTCTCTCTCCCTCTATTCATTTCGCAGTTTTTTTTTGTGTGCCGCCGTCCTCCGGACGCCTGTGCCTCAGGAATGCTTTCAAATCGAACACACTCAAAAAAAAAAAGAAATAAAACAATTGAAAATGAAACACAAACACATAAAAAAAAATAATTAACCTCATGTTATTTGTTTTAAACTAAATTCGATATGGCGGCATTAAAAAATAGCCCTAGATTTTCAACATTTGTGCACTTTATTTTTTGAAATTGCAAATCAATTTGACGGAATTTTACACAAATTTTAATGGAAATGAGAAAAAACAAATAGAATATTCCACGATTCTCTTGATGAACGTGAGAAAAATTATCGAGAGAGTTAATTGGAGATAATTGCCATGGAAAATTTTGCAAAAGCCGAATAAATGAATCGAGGTTTACCTTGCGAAACGAAAAAAAAAACTACTCGCGTAAATTGATGAGATTTCGCGAGTTTTGCGACGAAAATTGAATAATTCACTTAAAAAAAAAACGGCGCGCACCGACAAAAAACAAACATGGCGAAAAGAACGAAAAATTCGATAATCACCAAATTCACACCAAACTTCTGGTCGGCTGAAAACCATTGGTTTTTCTTTTTCTTTGTTGCAGAATGGTCTGGTCAAGTATGGCGGAAAATTGCGAACAGAGGGGCCGAGAGAGCGAAGAGGGCGCAGAGAATCGAGCGTGTCGCCAATGAGAAAGAGAGGGAGAGAGATAGAGAGAGAGAAAAAGAGAGTGTGCGGAGAGCCGCGACGCGCGAACAACGAGAGAGCGTACGCGACGCGGAGTACGCCCGTCCGATGTGAAGTGACGCGCGCGAGCGATTCCGCGACAGATGCGATCGACCGACGACACTCGCCTCGTCGTCCGCCGCCGACGACGACGACGCTCTTTCAAGCACAAAGCCAATATCACTCGCTCGCTGCGTTTGCACCGTGTCGGCGACACTCCAAAAATGGCAAACTTCCGCCGACAGGAAGTATTATCCGCGAACGGAAGTCTTTTCGCACACATTTGTTGCCAACTGAACGGCGAACATTTTTTTTTGCTCTACGCCTTAATAGGAACTTTTAAAACGATGAAAAAAATATTAAATCATTGCAAAATTCATTTTTTTTTAAACGGAAACACCTTTTTTGACTAAATTTACAAAAAAAAACTGCGAAAAATAAAAATCGTCAAAAAAAGCCGAAGTCCGTAGACTCTCGTCACAGTGTTTGCACAATTCCAACTACCGTACCCATCAAAAATAAATAAAAAAATTTTTTTCAGTAAAAAAATGTAAAATTCCATAAATTCTGAACTTTCAGTCATCCATTAATCCTTAATCGGATTATTTTAAATAAAAAAAAATAATAACTCGGTATGAAATGATAGCAAGATGCTTGACAATCGTTAACAAAAGCAATCAAAAAATAAATAGGGGGAAACAATTTTTATTAATACAATCCTAGTATTTTCAAACTACTCGTTCGCGATGACAATGCATTCTCACACAAATATTTTTCGATTTTCGCGGTGTTTTCGCAACGAAAAAAAATCGTCGTTCACGTCTAGTTGGCGATTTTCGCGTCCGAGGAGGTGATTCTTCACAATTTCCGACATTCCTTGCGCAACGAGATCCGAACAATCATCAGGTTTCAGTACGACAACATTCTTCTAAAAAAAACACACAAAAGATAATGATAATAACTCAAGTAAATGAAAATCAATCGGATTCAATAGAAAAAAAATTGAAATTCGATTCAAAAATCATCGAAATCGATTGATTTATTTCTCATTCTCAATTTTGAAATCGTATTCGATTGAAATTTTGGAATAATTCGAAACAGATTAATTTGCAATCGATTTAGATTGGAAACGAAATAATTTTCGAATGCGATTGATTTTCATTTATAGTCTGCTGTACGCGGGTAGATTTACGCGCATGCGCCTTGAAAAGGTCTCGCCACGCGTGAATGCTTATTTTGCTGTTTTCACGTGAACGATTTATTTTTTTCTTGATGACTTTCGCATTTCTTTAAATTTCTAACGTCGTTCGATTTAAAAATTATCAAACTGACCCATAAAATGCGAAATAACGAGTTAGTCCGTGGCGAGACCATTTCGAAAGACGCAATGCGCGTAAATCTACCCGCGTACAGCAATCGCCCCGGACGCCGACTTTTCTTGTGAATCAAATTCTCGCTTACCAATTCATTCTCCAACGACGGCAACACGTGAAGTGTGTCGAACGTCTCGAGAATCTCCGTCACCGGCACAACGGCGATTTTGCGCGTCATCGACAACGTCGCCAACGATTTGACGTGTGCGGCGAGCGCGTCTCGACACGGAATACGCCACGCGTCCCACGCGTTGAAATACGCCATTCGCCACGGCACCGAATTGTCCAATTGCGACATGACGCGCTCGCACGTCGCCCACACCGAACGATCGAACTCGACGCGATTGTAGGCGAATTTGCGCGGCACCGCGAACACGATTCCATCGAGATCGCCAACGATTCGACGCAATTTTCGCGCCCAATACTACAGAGAATGAAGCCAATTTTCGTCAAAACATTAAAAAAAAATCACTCGCCGAACCTCGGAGACGAATGGATGATCATTCCAACGATGAATCGCCGACACATCAAACGAGCAATCCGATTTCTGCTCAATTCGACTTCTCACAACTTCTTTGTTTCCCACGGTTAGTGGAACTGCAACATTTCTTTATCAATTCGCGATAAAATTGATAATCAGCAATTGTTGATGGCACTAAATCGAAATTGCTAAGCAAATATGACTGTAGATCCCTCTGATGACCAAAGACGGTTCAAAACTTGCAAAAATTGACAAACAAATAATAATCTCGGTGTAATCATGCACAGAATTGCACACGTTTTAGATGAATTTTTAATAAATTCTTTTTCCAAACAAAATTTCTTCGAAAAATTGAATTTCATACATTGTGCGTCAATTTTTATGGGTTAATTCTAGAGGAAAAAATAATAAGAAAAACGAGAATGCAAGAAGAAAATAATCGAATTCGATAGAACATTTTGAACATTAAGTGTGCCAACACTCGACGCACAAATGCGGATAATGCGTTTTAAATTACATTATAGTCTGCATTTGTGCGTCGCGTGTTGACACGGATCCCATCATTCGGATTTTCTTTTCCTTTTTTCAAAGTTAGCGCGCATATCAAATCAATTCTCTCTCTCTCACTTACCAGTCGTCGCCTGAATATGCCCACCAATTTGCGATAGCAAATGCCCGCTCTCCGACGAGCTATAATGACTGTACAATGGCACAAACACGAATTTCTCGGCGCGTCGCCTACAAATTGATCATCAATTTTCACAAAATCTCGACGGGGTTTTTCGGTGTTCAACTTTTTCAACTGCTCAAATCTCACTTCCAGCGGCTCTTTGTCGAAATGAAACAATCGCGACACGCGAAATGGCCCGAATTCGGGTATGATTCGAGTGAGTGCCGTCTCCAAATTTTCAGCCAACTCATCGACTTGATCCTCCAAACTCAACGATTTCCCGTAGTCGCGAATACATCCGCGAATTCTCGCGTTTGTCATCGCATTTTTGGGAATAAATCTCAAAAGAAAAACCAAATTCAAATAGGCAAACGAGAAAAAAAAACCGCCCAACCTTCTCAGACCGTCGGGAATGTTATAAAATATGGCCGCGCGATTATGAAGGAATTCCTTGGCGTAAAACTCGGTCCAAGGTTGCCCAATATGCAATAAAACGATTTCTGTTTTTGGATGCGACGAACTCGTCGAAAGCGAGCGCGGCTGAAATTCAAAAAGTTTGCAAACCCAACCAAAAAAATCACCGACCAGCTGCCTAATCGCCACCAAATTCCGTAAACTCATCTAAATATCACTTTTTTTTTGACAATTTCCCACAAACTCATTCAAGTAATCAATCTGGCGATTCCCAACCATCGACTCACAATTGCTCATGTCTTTTTTTTTCTTTTCAATATGAAACCATTGTATTATATGATATAAACGATATAATCAAGAAAGAAAAAAAAACACTCGTTCTTCAAACATTAAAGTGAAACAATAACGGGGTGAAAGAAAGTATCGAACGATTGATTGAGGAAAAAAATATGAAAAAAGTAATCACACGCAAACAAAATGCAAAACAAAATTCACTAGATACACGCTCAAAACAAAAAATATACCAATGGAAATTTTACAAGAAAAAAAAAAGAAAATCTAAAGCTTTACGAGACGAATATTAACACGAGTAAATATACAAATTGTGACCGATTCTCATTTATTGAACATTCTCGCCATGTCGGCCACCGAACGACGACTATTCGCATTCTCATCATCCTCGGCGTTTCCGGTTGGCGTCAGCGGGCTTCCGAGACCGCCGCCGAAGCGCGTCCTCGGCTCGGGTTTCGGCGGAAGAATTGGCGGCGGTGCACCGCCGGGTCCGACTCTACAAATCATCCGATTCAACTTATTCATTGCGCTCTCGGCAAAAATCAACGTTACCTATTCCGTTGCGGCAACGGCGGTGGCGGCGAATCGGCCATCGGCGACGACGACGCCGCCTCCGCGTTTCGCTCAATCGACGCCGGTCGCAATTGGACTTGCGCGAGAAGCGACGTGTCGGGTATCATCGCGATTCGCGTCGTTTTGCTGTCGACAACTTTCAGCTCATTCATGTCGTCGCAAATGTCCTCGAAGCCCTCTTCGATTCCGCCGGCGCTGCTACGACTCGTCATCATTGCCTCGTCGTTCGTTTTGATCACCGACACCGCGCCGCGCTTTCGCGGTCGCGCTTTTTGCAAATGCGACAAACTCGACGGCTTCGGCGGAGCGTCGAGATTCACACCAACCTCGATGCCGCCGCCGAGCGTTTCCGTCGTCGACGATGTCGACAAATCGGCAATGATGCTTCTCGGCCGATGGCCGGCTTGGTTTCGTTTCGGCGTGAACGGCGACGACATTGCAGGCGAGCCGGTGCCCACCGACGAGCTTCGGCCGACGCTCGACGTGTCCGCCGATCCGCCATTAGCGCCACGCGCGATCTCCGATTCGACGTGCTCGCACATCTCTTGCCATTTCCATTCGCTGAACCACTAACACATTCTCATTATTCATTCAGATGATTACCTGAACACATGCTTCGCCTGTTCGGTCCACATTTCGGCGAGTCGCGCCACCGCAATCTGCTCGGCGCGTTTCGACGACACCGCCGACACGTCGGCATCCATACAGCGATTGAGCGACTCCACAATCGACATGGCGGCCTCGCGACGAAACTGCTCGACGAAATCCTCGATCATCTCGTTGAGGCGACCTGGAAACGCGTCGGATCCGTAGGAGATCAACGAATCGGTGACACGACCGACAACATCGCTGGGCGACTTTTCCATCTGCTTCAAAACCAAACAATCACTCTCGAATCATTCCGATGACAATTTCCAACCTGCATTAGTCCCGACGAGATCAGCTTCTTGCAATTCGCCTCATCGACGCTAGCCGACGTGCGATTGCGATACAAATAATTCTGCATCTGCGCCAATGCGCCGACAGCTCGCGGGCGTTCAGCGCGCTGCATACAATCGAACACATCGTGAACCGGATACGGAATATGCGTGAGAGTGTGATTCCTGCAAATATCAATTAGCAATCAATGGATTGGGGACGGTGGTAATCCTCACATTCTCATGCTTGCCGCCAAATCGACAAATCCATCAGCGGCGATATGGTTATTATCGATCGACAAGAATCTCAGCGAGACATTCACTTGAAGCGCTTTCGACAAAATGCGCGCCCCAAAACTGCCAATGTCGTTCGCCGAGATGTCCAACGATTTGAGTGTCGTCGTCGCGCCGAGCGTGTTCAGAAGCACACTAAGATAGGCGCCGAGGCGGCAATCCGACAATATCAACTCTTCGAGACAACCCTCATCGCTGTACAATTTCACCACCTCGAGGAGAATCTTGTTGATCGCGTGCGCCTGCTTGTTCGACCGCTTCAATTGATTCATGTTCGCGCCGCCAATGTCCAATCGTTTGAGGCATCGGATGAGCATCAAACTTTGCAAAACGCCTTGCATTTCCGCTTCGAGATTGTTGTCGCGTAGACTCAGCGTCTCGCAGCGAACGCCGCCGATGCACGCGTCCAAAACGCTCGCCGAGCCCTTCTCGCAAGTCGCGTCCAAATCCAAACGAAACGGTTGCAGTTGTTGATTCGACGCCAATCCCAACAGAATCGCTTTGAGATAGTCCGACGGCATCGACGTGTTGTTGAACGAGACGTGCGACAAATTCACCGCCATCGAGAAGTACTCTTTCGCCGTCTGTAGGCACTCCGACTTCTTCCCAATACTGCATCCGGCTAGGAGAAGCTTCTCAATCTGCATTCCACCATACTTCAGCGGATTCCACAATTTGTCAAGCGCGATTCCGGTGTCGGACAAATCCAGAACGCGAAGCGACGTGCATATCGAAAGAAGATTGACAATTGATGAGATGTCGTCTTTGATGAGATTCGACGACAAATTCAGCTCGGTCAGCTGCATTCCACCGCTCTTGCATGACGTCATCCCACTAGAGAAAAAAGAAACAAATTTGATTAATCATTTTTCAAAATAAATCGAATTCAATCAGTGGCTTACTTGTACAATCCCATACAAAGCGCATTGATCGACTTCTCCGAGAGTTGGCATTCACAAAAATTGACGACGCGCAATTGCTGAAGGCGCGGCAACACCGACGAGAGTGTCATGAAGCCTAGAAGAACAAAACGAAACACAACGTTGTCGTTCTTCCAAACGCATCATCAATTGTGTCTCACCTTTCTTATCATCCAACGCATTCTTCGACAAATCCAGATGTTCCAGTGTCGTGTGCTGATTGCCATGAAGTGCCGACGCCAAAAGTGTGATGAAATCTCTTCAAAAATAAAAAAATGGCATTTCTATTCAAATTTCATGCGTTTCTCCCCTACTTTGGCAACGCGCACTGCCTCAATTGCAACTTCTTCAAACAATGCGATTTTCGAATCACCGTCAATATCACGTCGATGACGTCCGAAGGCACACGAATCCCATCGCAAATCAGACCCGTAAAATACGCGGAGAATATCAAAACGCCGACGATCGGCAACAAATCGCGCGGCAACAAATGCGAAAAATCGTCGACACGCAAATCGCGCACCTTGTTCGCCGTGTAGATTTTTTCGACATCCTGAATGAATCAAAATTTTCATTGTTGTGTATTGTTGTATCAGGATCATTCAACTACTCACCCACGAAACCTCTTCGCGGTACGGTTGGTCATAAAAATCGCATAAAGCCGCGTACGTTCGCCGAAATGAATGACAAGGACGCGGTGTGGCGATGGGAAGCGCGCTGAATTCCGAATACATCGTATTCGGCACAAGATCAACCGATGACGTTAATTGGTGGTCTGAAATTGCCCAAATATTGCCTTCTCATGAAGTATTCATTCGCACCAAAATCGGGAAAATAGTGTTTGATGGCCGATAGAATCTGTTTGGCGATATGATGGGCACTGTGCGTTGCCGATTTCACAACGGTCTTCTTTTTGTGCATCACGTCATCGACAAGAATCGAGATCTAAATAAAAAACGAACATATGGAATGTCAAGGTTCAATCATTGATCTTCTCGATCTCACCTCATCCTCCTTGACGACGTGAATTGATTTGATCGACAAAACATGAAACGATTTTTCGATTTTCAGCGATCCCGTCGTTTTTCCCGCCAATATGAACACCCTGCAATTTGCGTTTCAAAAAAAAAATTACAAAAGAAAAATCAATGTGTTTGGTCACCGAAATTTCGAAATCACAAAAATTCTCGACTCGAATCGATCCGATTTGTGCGCGACTTCCACAGGAATCACAATGCGCGAATCGAAAAACTTGTTGCCGAGTATCGTCGAGGGTTTGTCTTGAATTCAATCAATAATTATGAATTAATTGATGATTGAACGACTCACGTTGCACAAAATCGCACAGTTCGAGCATCGTGCTTCGTGTCAACGACATTTCTTCCGCCACCCTATCGTTTTCGATATGGCATTGACACCCTGGAAGAAAATTATTTCTGTTGGGAAATTCTTCCCCCTAAAAAGTAATTTCACAAAAAAAAAGAATGGCAAAAACGTCAACCGAGACGTATAAGCCTCTTAAGACCCCAATAGGCAACCACTTGGCCAAATGATAATGAAAAGCGAACGGAGTGGTGGCCGACAACTCATTGCCAATGCAAAAATGGAAGAGAGAGGAAGAGGGGTCGACGAACCAAATAAGGCAAGATGGACAAGCAGGAGGCCAACTGACTCCCCCTCGCTCTATTAATTGCTCGTGCTCCAAGAGCCTTGTTTTTGGTTATCGCGCCGCTGGGGTCACTTTATTGCTCACAAGGGTCCCCCCACATGCACAACATGGACATAATGAGCTGCTTCATACAACTTGGCCAAAATCGGAGGTACAACAAAATCATCGAAATTGCGTTCAAATATGAATCATTGCCTCTTGCTTATCATTCAATGAACCAACACGTGCGAATTTTGTTATGAAACCCACAACGCCCGACGAAGGCGAGAAAACAAAAATGAACCGGCCAGTCAGCAGCGAAAAAAAAAGAAACGAAGCACGCGAACGGCGAGGCCGAATAATTATCGTTGAAAGAACGGGACGAAGTCAAATGAATCCACAAATCGTAATTATTGTCTCATAAAATCGAAAATCGACATCATATATTCGATCAATATTGATTTTATTTGCTAACAACTGCCAATGAGTCATCGTCAAAAAATAAATGAGTCATTCCGCTCGCAATATTAATAATAATAATAGTAAACCCATATAAAATAATAATGAAAACGCCACTTTATCGATTCGAATCCGACGAACCGCGCACAAAATCATGACAGTTGTTTTGTTTGAGAGCGATTCACACACACACACAGACACACATAAAACACAAATATAGCCTCTCAAAAATGTTTGGCGCGTACACTAGTGGTCTCCATATCGATGATAGTGTCTAAGCGTACACAATGCGTTGATGATTGGAGAAAACATTTTGTTGAAGCGAAAAACTGTCAAAAAAATTCGTGGGGTAAACTCTTGGCGCAACGCCGAGTTTTAACAATTGAATCAATATTTAATGAATAATCAATTCGGTTAGCGATTACGGTCAATTAAAGGCGCACAATTTGGGAAATGATTTCTAGGAAGCAAATCAATCGGGGGGTCCTTCTTGATCAGCTGCGCCCAGCCCACTTCTTTATAGTAACGTGCGATTGAAAACGATTGTCCGTCGAGCGTAATTGCATCACTTTGAATTCATTCAAAAAAAAATAACAAACAAAAATGCCGAAACGCTCCTACAATCCGTCGACAAGCGAAGAGGATCGTATTCCGATTGTCGAGAAGCTTTACAGGCAAATTTAAAAAAAAATACAAGAAAAAAAAACAAAACGAATGTTTTCAGGGAAAACCAGGAGCCCGATTTCATCGGCGGCGGATTTTGCGACGACGATGATGAGGTGCAAGAGCGACGAGAGCAGATTGCCGAGCATCGACAAAAGAGTGGGAATCGGCAATTATCTAATTAATCGCAATTTTTTAAAATTGATTCTAGAAGCCGACGCCGCATTCAGCCAACTCCAAGCGCCCGACGAATGCGAAAAATGCGGAAAAATGCTGTTGGACAGTTGGCTCTGGGAGCGCTATTGTTGTGCGGTGTGCGATTCGTGCAGGTTTCTCTTTTTCTTAAATAATAATAATTGTTAAGCTCAATTTTTCAATTTTTCAGAGACGACAAAGGAGAGCACAAATTAATGGCGCGAACCGACGTGAAGACAACCTATTTGTTAAAGGTGATCGGCAAAAAATACAAGAGGGAAACTAAATATTTTTCTTTTCAAAATTAGGATTGCGATTTGGATTTGCGCAAACCGCCATTAAGATATTGGTCGAAAAAGAATCCCCATAATCCTCGATACGGCGATATGAAGCTGTATCTCAAGAAGCAAGTTGAAGCACGAGCGCTGGAAGTTCACGGGAGTTGGGAGCAGCTCGAAATGAAGAAGGAGCTTCGCGCTCAAACCAAAGACGTCCGATCCGAAAAACGATTCGAGAAGAAGTTAAAAGATTTACGGCAGCAGGTTCGCAATCGAGCAAAAAACGAAAGAAAACCATCGACAATTTACAGATACGCGGCAATTCCGGCGCACTCATCGAGCCCACCAAACGCCATATTCATTCGTTCGGCGCCGAAGTCCCCATCGACGACGACACCTATAAAAGGTCCTGCGACGAATGCGGCTACGAAGAAACGTTCGAGAAGATGTGAACAATTAATTGCTTAACTAGTTATTTATTTTCTTTTCGTGTCTACATACTAACGGTCTCAAATAAATATATGCACGTGTCGCTATGGCAACCAGCCAGCCGAGCATTGAGATTCGTAGGCTCACACACATGATATTCACTAGAGATGCATCGTCGTAATTCGGTTTCTGTTGAGGATGGAGGTAATTTTTTTCGAAATCTTCAAAATACGGCAAAAATCGACGTTTCCAGTTGTGGGTAAACCGGCGGAAATCGGCGAATCGAAAAAATCGCGACCCGATCGTCTTTTTTTGCGTTCAACATCTGTTGGTCAGGTGCCAATTGATGGCGAGCAGTCGCCAAATGCTGTAAAAGACCACAAAAAACACAATTCGTTGTTCAAACGCAAAATATTCTAGCGAACCGAGCGTCGTCGTGAATCGATAAAGGACCACTTGTTGAAATTCAAAGCCAAAGCCGAGAAAATTCTGGAAGACGTTCAAATCGGCGCCAAAAATGATGAGAACGTCAGCGGCTCATTCATTGTATGCGATGTTCGTCGATCGAGTTTCGCTAACCAAATTTGTTCAGTCGCAAACGTCGGACGCCGAGACACGCGAGGATGTCTCGCTCAACGACGAGCAAGCCACAAGCGAGTCGTCGTTTCAGCAAGGGAAAAAGGAGAGCAAAGAGCAATTGAGGAATCGCATTCGGAAAAGCGCCAAAAAGGCCGTCGAGCGAACGAAAGGAAGTGTGCAGCTGACGAAACGATTGGCTCGACGGCCGACGATCGTTCTCGAGGAATCGATTAATGAAAATGACATTCGATCGATCGATGAGCAAGTCGAGAAAACGATCAAGGTATTGTCTTTGCCGCCATTACTCAAAATTTCTTTTAAAAATTTTTGCTCTTCCATATTATGATACTTCGAAACCGTAAAAATCGCTGCTAAACGTTCATTCCATTCGAGACCCAAGGCGGCAATTCAAACAATAATTCATCAAACATTTCTTTTTTTTGGATGGGCGAACAATTTTTGACCAATGACAGTAACACAAGCGTGCTGGAGAAAGAGGTCGACGAGTTCCTCATCGGCAATCATCATCATCAACAACAGAGCGCAAAGAGGGATCGCGAGCCGCGAAATGTGCTCTACGGTCGCCTCGACACCCAAAAATTCGATCATGACATTCTCGTTAGCTATACGACGCCGGATCGGTGAGCGCGAAACAATTCAAAATGTCGAAACAATATTTTTTTTCCAGCAATATTGTCTGCGGTGAATTGATCAATAGGAATATGATAGAGGCGGTGAAGACGGCGCCGACACGAGTAAACCAAAAGAAAAAAAGAGATGAAGCCAGATTTCATTTTCAGATTGATTTTGCCGAGCCGATTGGCGCGATTTTCAGCGGTCCCGAAGGGTCCGAGGGGGTCTACAGCCGATTAAGGTGGTTAATGTTTTTTTTTTTACAATAATTACAACAAATCGCAATTCTAGACGCAAAAATTATGTGCAACTCGACGTGTTCGTCGATTCGCTCCACATCGATCAACACGAGTTGTTCGACAACGAGGAGATGCTCGCGTGCGAGCTGCGCAACCTCTATTTCGCGCAGATGCTCAAAGTGCACGCGCTCGCCCAAATCGAATCGCAGCACGTGTACGTTTGATGACTACTCATCCTCACCCGCCTATCAAATCTCGTTTTTTGTTTCTATTACAGTCAAATCGACGACGATGAAAAATCGGCAATGCTCAACGAGATACGAGCGGGTCGCGAGCGTCTCGCGTCGATTTGGGACCAACTCAAAACGACGCGACAATCGCAACGATTCATCGCCACCGAGGCCGTCTATCATCCGCCGGAGGCCAATTTTGACGACGATTGGACGAGAATCGGCAAAATCGACGAGAGCGCTCAAATCACGCCGCTCAACAAAGTGCCGAAAACGCATCGCGAGAGAATTTCGAAGATCAAAAAAGTTTTGAGTTGTTATCGTTGTTTTCTAGCTCTCTATTTTTTCTTTTGTCAGACATCAATTCAATTGATACTATTCTTCAATGAAATGGAAGTGAGCCGAACCGCATGGCTTCCATTGAAGACATTTCTGATAGCGGTGCTGCGGCGATTCGAGCTCGAACTCTATTCGCCGGCGCAAAGTTTGACGTTCAAGGTGTTCGAGAAGTGCGGCGCCGTCGTGAAGTCGGTCGGCGTCGCACGCGTGCCGTTGCCCAACGACAACGACGACGAGATTGCGCTTCACGAGGCCGAGTTCGACAACGGCCGAATTTTGTGCCGCGCGATTCTCGAAAGCGGCCAACTTCGTTTCGCCGATGATTGCCACCGAATCGACGACGCTTATCCAACGGTGAGTGGATGACGGCCGTCGAATTCATGAAATATTCGTTATCACGATAGGGTCATGAGACGGATGCTCGTTTCGAGCTCATCCCCGACGACATTTTCTTCGGTGAACCGATTGACGCGTCGGCGGACAAACGGCGACTCGACGAGCTTCGCGACGAGCGCAAATCACAAATTAAATACGTCTATCGAAGCGCGATCGATTCGAAGCGACGAGCGGCGATCAATTACGCGAATCTCGCGCGCAAACGCGTCGCCGATCGACGCATTCAGGCCGACAAAAAGTACGAGGATCTCGTTCGCGAGCTTCCGATTCCCTCGCTCTCCGTCGCCTTCTCGCAATTCTTTTCGCCCGTCGACGAATCGCGACGATTGAAGCCAATGCGACGAGGGGGCGGCGGCGGCGGCGGCACACTAGCCGACGGTTGGAATCGCGCAATTATGATCAACGTCCAATCGGCGGTGTGTCTGCCGACTCGCGAGACCGGCCAACTTCAGCCATTCGTCGTCGTTCGCTACGGCTCGCAATCGCTGAAGAGCACGGTGGCGTTGGGAAGGCACCCGAATTGGCAATTCACCGGCAAACTGACGCTCAATGAGAATGATCGCGAGCAAGAGTTCATCGAGTTGAGCGTCTACGATCAGGTATCGCTTGCAATCTCCATTCATCCGAATCTCAATTCTCAGATTGTTGAACAACTCGACAAAGACGACCGAATTCACAACGTCGTCTACGAGCAGCTCACTTCAAGACTATTGGGCATCGCGCAAATTCGATTCTCGGCTCTCGCGTCGGCCGCAAAACTCAATGGTCCGATCAAATGGCACATGGCGACACACATTTCAAACTACAAGATTCCCATCGAGCCGGCGTTCCTGAAAATTCTCATCTCCACACAAATCGCCGATGGCGACGAGTGTAATGATGTCAAAGAGGTTGCTCAAACCAACGAGCCGGCGAGAATCATGTCAGCGTGTCACGAGTTGAAGCAGCACATGCTCACCATCAATCCGAATCGAACATCAAGACCGTTCGTCGTCGATCTCAATGGTCGAAGTGTGTTGTGCTGCCGATTCCTGCGAGCCGTCGTGCCGCCAACGATTCTCATGCAGGAGAATCACGACAATCTGTTTCGCATTTGCCAACTCGCCGGCCAAATCGTTTCGGCGATGCCGAAAACGCGCGCGACGAGCCAGAGCGACATCTGGGCGACGCTCGATCAGATCATCAATCTAGCCGTGTGCAGTTTAGAAGAGCGAGCGACGCTGCTCGCGTGCTGGTTGCTCCACTTCAAACTGCAACCCACCATTCTTCTAGGTAGCCCGAATTTTGATATCAATCCAAGTTTCGAGTTCTTTTAAGGAGTTGCGAGAGGCGAGAAGACCGGCTTCGTTTTAATCGACATCCACGGCAAGCACTATCTTATCGATCCAGAAGATGGGCACCTCTATTCTGAATCCGACGCCAACTGTCCATTGGCAAGCATCACCGGCGCATTTGACGCCAAAAATTATTACGCCAACGTTCAAGAGTATGAGAGTATTTCTCAGATCTCGCTTTCATTCTCGGTAAATTTTGAAAATTGTGCAACACCGAAAACTCAATACCCACAGAGGTCATCTCATTGGCGACCGTTGCTCGCCGCGGCCGCCGCCGACGAGCTTCATCTCGACAGCGTTCAGCCGGCAATCGTCCACTACGCGCAAGTCACCGAGGATTGGGTGCTCGAATTGCGAATTGCGCTCGAACGCGAGATCAAGTTGGCGTTCGACGAGGCGCGATCGCACGCGATACCCCACTGGAATTTGGCGGCGTCGCGGCAATTACGCGAAGCGCTTGAAGTCACCTCATCGCCCGATTCCATCGGCAACGTCATCGACGACAAATTGTCGCGAATCAAAGAATCCTACATTGTCAATGTCGTCGTCTTCAAAATACCCTATGTGTCGATACAAGTAAGCGCGCGCGCGCGCGAAAAATAATTATCGATAATTTCTTAATTGCCAGAACACAATTGAAAGTGTGATGCACACAAATCTACACGAAGCACTCGACGAGCGCACACAATTCGCGTTGGCCGTCCAAATCGAACCCTATTTTGCGCATGTGATTCACGTCGAATTCGCCATCGCCGCGTTAAAACCAAAATTATAATATCAATTTTATTCGACTCTCGCAAAGATGCTTCATGTCATATTCAAATAAATTATTCTATGGCTTTTACGAGAAGACATTGGGATCAATGTATTAGGGATCATGGTTATCCCCCCGATCTCGTCATTCGCAGAGCGGCAACGACGGCCGACGAAAAACTCGTCCCGAATATCATGATCGGTGGGTTCCAGTTTCACGTGCTCCTCCACACATTTTTTGACGTGACTTTTGCGCGGGGGGGGGGGTCGACCCGCATTTTTGTATTTGCGCTCGGAGCTCGAAGCTCGGCCGGCGAGGCCTGTCAAAAAATCTCGCTCCCCCCCTTCACGGCTGGCCCGTCAGCCATCTCGCGCCATTCGTTTTCAACACATCTCTCGTGAGCGTATTCGATTATTTTCATTTTTTTTTTCAGTGTGTTGGCCAAAATTTTCAGAAAACGCGCCCTCCCTCCCCAACTTTATGAGTTTCGTCGGCGACGATGAATCGCATTCGCGGAGTGTTGCCGTGGAGAAAATCGTGAGTGGCTTGAACACACAGAAAATTGTCATCTCTATCTTCTTCTTCTTTTTTCAATCGTTCGCGCGAGTTCAGAAAATACAACGGCGATTCCGATTATTGCACATCGTCGGAGACGTCGAGAGCGTTGTCCGACTCGCAATTCATTCTGCGACCCAACACCGTCCTTCTAAGCTCATATAGTAACGCGACCAATTACTATGCGGTGAGTACACCGACGCGAGCGAGCGAGCGAGCGAGCCATCGCAATTTTCAGCTCGATTCTACCGAATCGGTGCCGCCGCGAAACAAGAATGACGGCGGCGGCGGCAATTCGACAATCTCGTCGAGATCATCACGACGCAGTACGATCAGCTCAACGACTATGAAGTCCGTCGAGATGACGCTGTCCGAGTCGGCCGACGACGAGGAGGAGAGCACAATCAAAGGGACGCCGCTTCGCAATGTTCCAATGCTTCCAACATTGACGTCAATCAAACATCTAATGACTCAAACACCCATTGATGATATGGAAACCCTCGACGAGATCACGTTCGACGACGTCGACGACGACGATGATCTTCTGCCGCCGCCGCTTCCGTGTGGCCAAAACCGCGAATTCAAAAACTCCACGTTTCGCTCGTTTCCATTCTCATATCGCATCAATGACAGTGAAATGGGCGAATTGTTCGCGAGACTCGGAATGGATGAGCCGAGCACCTCGTCGAGCGTCGACCAAACAACGGTGAGGAAGAGGTTGCACATCAAAGAGCCGGACTTCAAGATCTACTATCACGACGAGTCATTCTTCTCCTCGCCATCATCGTCGAATTCGCCACCGCCGAAGCCGGTGTTGTCGCGTGCCGAAAGTGCGCCAAGGTTAACAACGTGTGAGGCGGCGAATTCAGAAAACCCAAAACTCATCGTTCAGATCGATTCTCAAAAATTGCTCGTCATTTCCCGTCTACGAGGAGATCTACGGCGATCATCTGAGTCCGCCACCCGTCGATATTCGACCGAAGCTTCCCGATCGTCCGCCAACCGTGCTGTCGCCGACGACGACGACGACGACGTCACGCTACGCGCACAGGTAACCCCCACCAACAATTTCCGCTTCATTCTCGTTCGCAACAAAAATTTCAAGACTTCCGTCGATTCGACGAAAGAAAAAGCTGCCAAGCCTTCATCATTCCACCTCATTCGCTTCATATTTCCGTCGACGGAAATAATTTGTAAAATATCAATTATTATTTTTTTTTTGTTTCCAAAATATTCAAATGCCGAAATAAATGATTATATTCAATTGTTAAACATGAGTGCCGTCAGACGCGTTGCGGCTCGCGTGCGGTCATTTCATTTTTCTCAACAGACTAGTTTAATTCAAAACACGCACGCGAATCGCAACGCGTCTGACGACATGCCAAAATATTGAATTTCAAAATTCCCTCCCAAAAAGCGTGTTTGGACTTTTTTTTTATTGCGAAATTCCTGAAAATCACAAAGAGGATAATTTTACATTGTAGTTTTTATTCTAAATCGATATGTGCCATAATTTTTTTCGTCCTAATATTGAATAATTCCTGATAGATTCAGATCACAACGAGGAAGTTTTTTTTTCAATTTCAATTTTTTTCCGATTGCGAAAACCTGTGACATCGCTTTTCAAGGCCATCATCAAAGGGCATTCCTAACAGATAAAAAAAAGGAACATTTTAATGAGGAATTTCATTTGAAACATCTGCGGACATTTCCAACGGGATTCAAGTTGGCGGCAATTCAAATAAACAATCTAGCAGTGCCTGAACGGGACCCTAAATACACTCAATTCCATTTCAATGGTCCGCCAACACCGTCACGTAATTAGAGGGAGTGTCTGGAAGATAATTGGGATGCTATTCGTTTTCGAAGAATCTCGACGACTTGATGAAAACTCCACCTTCCAACGAACCGCCCATTTTGATCCATGAACTATTTCGTCGCAACCCGGAACTACACAACGAACTTGTGTGTGACCCATTTCGACATCACTCAAAAATCGCAATCCCACTATTCCACCCATTTCCAAAATAATGGCCAACTTCGAAGTCACCAAGCACAGCATCGGCGAGTTCAAATTCAACACCGACGAGTACGCCAATTTATTCATAATTGATTTCCTATTAAATCACAAAACACACATAGGAAGACGTTCGACATTTTCGAGGAGATCGCGTTCAATGTCAACGGACCAATAGACGTTCTGCCAATCAAATTCGGCAACAATTTGCAGCTCGTCAGCATTTCGCTTCTACTCTGCTCCGATGGAATCTACATGGTTGACGGCGAGCGTAACAAATCATTCATCCACCTTCTAGTGATCGTTTGAATTCAGCGCTCACCGACGACCGATACAGCTACGATGCGGAATCCGAAATTCTGAGCGTCAAGCTGAGCAACATGAATCGCGAGAATAATCCCGACGGCGCCGGTGTCCAATTGCGATTCACTGGACGCATCGCCGACGCCAAAGGTCCGATTCATCTCGACGGCGACGGTGTGCTTGTTGTCGACTTGCGCGAGGATACTCATCGCGTCGTCGCCTGTTTGGGTCCCGTCGAGACCCATTTCGGCATCAATGTGATGGCGGAGCACGGCCGGCGAGTCGAAGCCGACGGCGAGGTAGGCGCCATCACAAAACCCCACAACCAAACATCATTTCACAAGGTTGCGACGAATGGCTTCGATAATGATGATGGCCTTCGCGCCAATTGGCTTCCACTCAAATCCGACTTCAATGTGAGCACGATCAACTTCAAAGTCTACCCAATCGACTCCTAATCGAATTCAATGCCACCAACAAAATTTGAGTATTCACATAATTCTAGTTAATAAAAACATTTTTGGTAGCAAATAATAATTATTGAGGAAATTTGGAAAATCGTCAAAAAGAAACGCGATGAGAAAAACTGTCTTGCCGTAATTCGTCTCCCTTTTTTCCGTTTCCGTTTTTTTTTTGAACGAGTTTAGTCATATGCTCCGGAAAAGAAGTACGATGAGCCTCATAATGCCACTAAAGCGAGCCGCGCAAGAAACTCGAGAAAACGCCCCTCAAAATATGGACTAGAAATGAAATAAAAGACTTCGGCCACGGCCTTGAATATGCCGACTATCACCCGGTGTGTCGTCTCTTCATTATCTACACTGTCTCGCCGCCTCGCGCTCTCTCTCTCTCATCCCCGCACACAACTCCAATTGCGCTGTATTTATGCGCCGGTATGTTTGCGTACAAAACATTTAAGTGTACGCGAATTGCTTTGAAGCAAATCCTCCCTCCAAGCGTTTCTCGAGACGAGAAGAAGCCAAAATGGGGACCCCCTATAGGATTCTCATTGTCTGCCAACGGTAATTCAAAAAAAAATAAATAAAACGAAACCTTTGGTACCTCAAAACCAATCGGATCCGACAAAATTCAGCTCCGGAATCAATCGGATCCGATTGGAAAATCTACGGATAAAATTGTAAAATTATCGGATCCGATTTGAACTGACAGATTAAAACCAAACGGATTCGATAATTTTTCAATTTTATCCGTAGAATTTCCAATCGGTTAAGATCGATTCCGGAGCCGAATTTTTGTCGGATCCGATTGAGCCCTCAAGTGTTGATCAGTTTCACGTTTTTTGCGAATTTTCCAAACCAATCAATCTCATCTCGCTGCTCGTTTAGCCTTTCACATGTTCAGACATTTGCGTTGTAACCCGGAAGTCTCGATTCATTTTCTCTCATATCATTTTTCGTTCCGCCCATTCTTTTTTAACCCCAAACCCCCTGGTCAGTCTTCATCACCTTTCTCGTTTCATTGCGACGACAAACTGAAAAAAAAAGAAATGCCGAAGAACTACGAGTTGATCTCGCAGAGCATCTGCGAGTTTCGTTTCGATACGGACGAGTAAGTCTCGACAACTCATTGCGCACTCTCACCAATATTCTACAGGAAAACGTTCAATGCTCTAGTCGTCATCACATTCAAAATCAATGGCGACATCAGCGAAATTCCGGTGAAGTTCGGCAAATCGTTGGAGTTCGTCAAAATCGTTCATCGCACCCAAGTTGGCGAAGATGGCGGCTTTTGTAAGTCATCATCCGGGGGAATATTTCCACAGTGCGAATGAGGGTAGGGCTGTCTGAGAGTGTCGGACCGGCCTTTCTTACATCGGACCTTATCAAACCTTGTTAGATTCCGGAATCAACTCGATCCGAAATTCCACGGAAAAAAATGATCGGATCCGATTGGTATTTTGGAATCCGTTTGCAAATTTGTCGAATCGATTGGTTTTGAGTTACCAGAGTAGATAAAGCCCTCACACTTTAGATGAGCACACCCACCAGAGCTGCACGGAATTCCGTTTACCGTGACATTTTCCTGTTCCGCGTTGCGTTTCCGTGTTCCGTCCAAAAAAAAACGTGTTCCGCATTCCGTTAAAAAGGAAACTTATTGCGACTTCCGTATTCCGTGTTCCGCTTGAGATATCTCCCAATACCTAGCACGTCTAGCACAGCCGGAGAAATTTGTTCGACAAAAAGAGGGTCCCTGTCGAATGAGCACTTGGAAACTCTCACATTCTGCACTGTTAATTTCAAAATATTCGAGTTAGATTAACTTTCTGTTCCGTGTTCCGTTTTCCGTTAAAAAAATTTTGTTCCGTGTTCCATCAGAAAAAAATCGTTCCGTATTCCGTTTTCCGTTAAAAATTTTTGTTCCGCCTTCCGTTTTTAGAAAATTGAAGTTCCGTGCAGCTCTGACACCCACCACCATCTTAATTGTGCCTACCGTTCAACTTGTCTTGAGCATTACCCAACATGCGTCACCCTCGGCCACATTCCTGTGAGGGTGAAAAAACGTTTCTACCGATTTTTGCTAGCCCCTCTCCTCCCACTTTTCTGGCATCCTAAATCTATTTATTGTGCACCTTTAAAATCTACAGTAATCTTTGCTTCGAGCTTTTGCATTCCTCTATCGTTCAATTCACGAGCCTCCCTCGTTTTTTTTAGTCTATTCGGAAAATGCATCGAACGACGCCTATTCATACGACGAGTCTTCCGAAATTCTTTCGGTCAAATTCGACGATCTCAACACGCGCACGGCGAACGCCGTCTCAATGGAGATCACGATTCGCGGCAAAATCGGCAACCAACAAACGGGCGGCCCGATTTACATTGACGATGACGGTGTGCTGATCGTCGATCTCAAAAACGACACCCATCAAGTGTTCCCTTACTTGGACACCGTCGAAACCAAATTCGGTTTGACGGTCATGGTCGAGGAGGGCCGCAAATTCGAGTGCGACGGAGAAGTGAGCAAATTTTTGGTGGCCCCCTCCCTCCAACGTAAAAATTCCAGGAGCCAACGACATATTACGATGACGACAACATCATCGCCTATACGCCAATAATTGAAAACAATTTCGGTTTGAACACCCTCAAATTCAAGGTCCATCCAAAACAATGAATTTCTGTTTCTCGCAATATTTCAATAGAATCGATTTTTGTATTTTCTTCAATTTCTTTTTTTGTTTTCAGAGCAATATGAATGTAAGATTTCGAGGAAACGTAAAAATAATAAAAGTTTTTTTAGTTATTTTTTTAAAGGTCCCTAAAACAAGAATAAAGGCAAAAATTGAGTTATTGGAATTCACATCAGAGCTGTCCGGAAATGTTGGTCGCCGACAGCAAAATCTTTTCGTTATTTAGAATCCCCCATAATAATCGCGTTTTTTCCATGTCATTATCAACAAAAATAATTAAAATTTGCCTAAAATTCGATTTTTTTTTCCGAACAACCCAAATTCGGACCCACGTGAGAGTCTCGAAACGAAGACTATCATTTTTGCGAAATCTTCATAAACGCCCGCGAATTTCAAATAATTCAAAAAAAATCGAAGAATCTAGGCAGATTTTTGATAATGAAAAACTTTATATTATGAATTTTTTGTAAAACTATTTTTTATTTTACAAAACTATAATTGGATTATTATTATTATTGGACCTAAGTAGGTACCGAATCATTTAAGGACCATCAAAAACCATGGGATTTTTATTGATTAAACAGCCAACTTCAATTAATCACTTATCGATAATCATCATTCCGATAATTGAGCCACCCGCCACCAAAATCCCCAAAATTTTCCTCGTCGGCGCTTCTTTGCCGATTAATTGCTCTCCCATCAAATACCCGACGATGATTGTTGTGAGAAGCTGAACAGCGTTCACGCAAGGCACAACAACGCTCACCGGAAATTTCGCGATAAGCACGTTGAAGAATATCTGGAATTTCGCTGGTCGACCATATTCGGCAATTCAGATTCAGAATCGGACGCTTCGAGACTCAGCGCGTTTGCGAATTTCGAAGATCCCTCAAATATTCTTCGAAAATTATTTATTTTTCGGCTTGCGAGAAATTCAAACTAATCAAAACAATCGATTAAAGGCACATAATCAAAAATTAAAAAAAAATTTCGTTGGGTCTTGCGGCGACTGATTCTGATAGCCGTGGTTTTTCTCGCGAAACGTACTATTGTCGAGAAATGACAAATGTATTATTCAGGTGTCGTAGGATTATGCGTTTTGTACGCAATGCGTTGAGCCAGTTACCGTAATCGTCGCAACGATTTACAGGCCACTTTTTTTGAATTTCCTATTTTCAATTTTTTTCGTATTTTTGTCAAAATTATTTTTTTTTAATCTCTAGAACTCGAATTTAATAATTTATTTTGCAGAATATGCACTTTTAAAATTTTCTCGCTCTAAAAATTATGTTGAAATGAAGAATATAAAAAAAGATAGTAGAAACATGTATTATGAGCAAAACACTATATAATACATAATTTTAATAACGACAAAAAAATGTTATTTGAAAATATATTCTGTTTTTACCAAAAAATATCGTTTAAAAGTACATATTCTGCTAAATAAATAATTAAATTCGGGTTCTACAGATTTTAAATAAACAATTTCGAAAGAAAATAGTGAAAAAAACTGAAAAAAAAAAGAAATTTAAAAGTCCCCGTAAATCGCTGCGAGGATTACGGTAACAGTCTCTTAGTATTGCGTACAAAACGCAGGATTCCACGACACCTGAATACATTTGTCATTTCTCAACAATATATAATACAATCCCAAAAAAAACTATCATCTGGAGTAATTCTGGACCATCGTATTTTTCGATGCGGTAATTCAAAATTCAATTTAATATAATTATATGTATTAATTATTCAAATTACTATTGAATTATGCAATTTCTCATTTGTCTCTTCCATCATCTCAAATCAAATATGAATTTAATATTAAAACGCTTCATATTGCGGATGACAAACCGAACAGCACAATTTAATCGATTCGTCGTAACAGCGACAGGGGAGGAGGAGGAGGAGGAGGGGAAGAGAAAGAGAGAGTGAGGAAGACGGAGAGAGGAAGAGGAAGAGAGCCGCCGAGGAGGTGCGTTTAACATGTGCGACTCTCGCCATCTATTTTTCCATACCAAGCGGTTTTTCTCTTCCTCCTCCTCCTCCTTTATTCATTTCCAAACAAATTATTTCCAGAGATGGCGACGACGACGACGCAGGTTGGCGTTATCGGCGGCGTTCTCAAAGCCGATTTGGGGAATGATCGAAGGTCAGCGCTTTTTTTTGGCATATTTTCAATAATCCAATTCGAATTGCAACTTTTTTTCGATCAACAACAACAAAAAATAATAATAATCGCATTTTTCCTAATTAGGTCCTATCTCACGATGGCCGAGTTTCCAATCGTCACCGACAAGCCGATCTCAGTGGTCCCATTCAAATTCGGACGCAATCTGCAACTTGTCAAAGCTTGCCATCGACTTTCCGGCCACGCCTACGCTGGTAATAGCCGCCAATGAACAAAAAAAATCGATAGCAGGCGCAAAATTGCGAATTATTTAGTGCCATACGAACAACTACCATGCGATTCATGCACCTACGACGAGGAGACCGAGGTCCTTCTCGTCCATATCAACGACAATCTGACGACACTTCGACGAATCGCCGTCTTCCTTTGCGTTCAGGCCGACATGGCCGATCAAGAGCCGCAATCGGCCGCCTATTACGACGCCAACGGTCAGCCGGTGTTTCAATGTCGCGAGCATCTCGCCCATCGCGTTTTTCCGCACTTGAACGAAATCACCGACGAGTTTGGTGTGAAGCATTTGGTGACGCATGGCGACGTCAAAACCAAATTGGACTTGGAGTTGCCGTCGCATTTGAGGCAATTCCTCCGAATCGAAACCCAGCCCTAATTTTTTATTGTTGGTGTTGTTTAAATCACGCTCCATCTCGCTGTCTGTCTCAATTAAGTCTCGCACCATAATAGTTAACTCGACATCATTTGTCCTCGCTCTTTCCCCTCGCCCCCCAACTTTCGATCAGCTATTAATTAATTAAGCGTCTCACAACGAATTCCAGCAATGATTAACATTTAATCACTCATATATGGAAAATTCTCTTGAATGCATATTATAATAATTTATTAATTTGTTGGCGTTTTTTTCTAAGCCTCATATTCACATCTATATCAGTATTCTTATGAATAAATCACGAATCGAAATCTCATCGTCGCAATTAATTTATTGATTGATTAATAAACATTTAATCGAGGATTATTTTTGATTTACTTGTTTTTTGTTAAGAATATTTCAAAATAAATCACTCACCGAGGCGAATTGATTCAAAGCGAAAGGAATTGAAAATCGATAATCCAAGAACGATTTGAGCAATTTCTTGACAATGTTGGTTTCAAATGAGTCTGCAAAAATTCAGTAATTCATTGAAAACTATTGTATAATGGTGTAAAATCATTAAATAACATTTTTTTTTTCAGCTAAATTGATGAATTAAATGAAACGCAGACCATGATTGTGCAATCACGCCGCATCATCTCTGCAGACTTGCATTTTAATCGACGACTAAATACTTCAAATTTTGCCAGACGCCGATAAATTATTAAATTTTTCGAAGTAACCATACGCAAAATTTAATTTTTTAGTAAAGGACTTTCATAGAATTTATCATTTTCAGGAGCCTCGAAGCTTTTCATGGGCCATTTACGCTAAATACCTTTTTCCGAATTCACACTCGCCGCCCTCATCATCGGATTCGTTGCGCCCCACACAAACCCGATGGCCGCGATCAGTCCAATGCATCTAATATCGCATTCGCTCATTTTCTACAACCCAATTATATAGCAATATCATTTTCATTGTGATATAACTAAGCTACAACTGAGCAACAAGCAAAAAAAATAAAATAACAAAAGGAATCGATTTAATCTCATTTATTATCTTTATTCACATCATTCCAACCGGTTTAAAAAAAATTGTGCTACCACGTAATTATTTGAACGAATCTAATGAGTTTGCATGATTTCCTTCGTCTCCCAATCCGGATTTTTGTACCTGAAAAATGGAATAATTGCGATTCGTTTCAGAATTTCGCAACAATACCTATAATTGGCGATGCGGAGCAGTTGGGCGAGACCGGTGCACATCACGAAAAAGTTGACGCTGCTCAAGTAGTAATTGATGGGCGTGATGACGAGACAATAGCGCGTCCAGATCGCGCCCGTCGCAAAAATCGCCGAGTTTTGATAGAGCGAGAGTTTGTCGGCGGGACGCGCCAAATCGGCGAGGCCGGCGACGACGAGCGCCCATTTGAACGTCGGCGCCCAGAAGAACACCGTTTTCGGACCGGCCGGATGGTTCCACGCGGGTTTCGCAAACGCCGGCAGCATCGGATAGACGAGCTTGTCGCCGAGCCGGCACAACGCGTTGTACAACAACTTGTGTTTGCCCATGCCTTCTGAAATCAAATTTTGTTGAGTTGCAGAACGGGACGTTGAGGGAGAAAAAAAAACGGGTGTGCGCCTTTAATTACCGTAATTTTCTTTAAAAAAAAACCACAAAATTCCAGCATTTTTTTGTCAAATAGTGAAATCATTGATTAAAGGCGCATAACGCAGAAAATGGGCCGAGCCTCATATTTTTCCAAAAGATATATATATATTTTTTTTTTAAGAGGAAAATCAGAATACCTCAGGTAAATGAAAATCAATCAGATTCAATAGAAAAAATTCAAAACTCGAAGAAATTGTTAAAATTCGATTTGAAAACTTGGTTTCGATTCAGAAATCTTCTATATCGATTGAAATTCTGAAATAATTCGAAACAAATTAATTTATGTTCGATTTCCACTGTAAACCAAATTATTTTCGAATTCTCAATTTTCATTTAACAGATAATTCAATAAAACCCTTTGAAAATAATGTAAAACATTTTTTTAGCATTTCATGTAAAATTTCAAGAATCTTCAAATCCTTTAAACACATTATAACGAGCAATCTCTCAACAGTAAAGTATTTATTTGCAGACGGGAGAGAGAAAAAAATTGTCCATTTTCAGTGGGTAGGTGCAAAAAAGGGGGGAAGAATGCATAGAAAAATTTACACAATAAAAGCGTGTTCACAACATTTCTTTTTTCTGCTCGCTCTGATATCGAATTCAACTAAATACTCCTCGAAAAAAAATGGGATGATTGTATAGTGGTGTGACAAAAATCACAGAATAGATAAGAAGAAGGGGTGAAGAGAGGAAGGAAGAAAAAAGATGAATAGAGAAGCGCTTTTGATTGGATTCATTCAGAAATATTCAGTAAACCGATAGTTAGATAATATTGATGGGATGTGGAAAAGAAATTGATCGGATATCGGGGTTCGACTAGAGAAGCGCGCCAAATCGACATATTCAGCAGCATCCCGACGAGCCGCCGAGTCCACCGGCGGCGTTTCCTCCGGGCGAGTTTGGCGAGCTCGGCGAATGCTGCGGTCCGAGTTTGATTCCATTAGCCTGCAACAAAAAAACAAGCAATGATGAGTCCCCCACCGCAAAATTTTTATGGCCGCTTCTCCGGCAATAACTACCTCATTGTTAATATCGAACACGCCCTCCTGAATTTTGCGGTAAATCTCTTTCGCGGTGTCGATGAACGCTTCCTCGACGTTCGCCGCCGTCTTGGCGCTCGTCTCCATGAACACGAGACCGTGCTCTCTCGCGAACGCCTCGCCTTCTTCGCGTTTCACCTCACGTCGCGCTTCGAGATCGCTAAACAATCAATCAATTCAGATTAGGCAACCATCCGCCAATCAACCTCTTATTTCCAATTAGCATTATGACCATGTTCGAGTTGCTGTGCTGCCGAGCATCCTCCAACCACGATGTCAAATGATTGAAAGTGTCGCGACTAAAAGAAAACCAAAATTATTTTGTCATCACAAAAAAATAACGGAAATTAAACCAAAAAAAATTGCCAAAAATAAAATTGCATTTTTTTTACGAAAAACCGGATGTATTGCTAACAAGGCCCTCGCGAGTTGTCAACTCACCGCGTGATATCATACACCAAAAGTGCGCCAGCAGCTCCTCGATAATAAGATCGTGTGATGGATCGGAATGATTCTTGTCCTGCAATTTCAGAAATCAATGAGTGTTCTCGTCATTTCTCTAGTTTTTTCCTACCAGCGGTATCCCAAATCTGCAATTTGATTTGTTTGCCGTCGATCGCCACCATTCTCGCGCCAAACTCGACGCCAATCGTGAGATCGTGAACCGGCTGGAATCGTTTGTCGGTGAATTGCAGAAGAAGGCACGATTTGCCGACGCCGGTGTCGCCGATGATGATGTACTTGAATAGATAGGCGTACGACATTTTTTTTTGGTTTCACTTCTTCCTGAAATTTGCAAAAAATTAATTTTCTGAGATCTAATCAGAACAAAAATGACGGTCAAACAAAATAATTGCGTTATCAACGACGGACGACGAGAAACTGATAGGGTTCAGAAAGCAATTTCGACGCAAAATAATTGAATTGAACATAGTTGAAAACGCACTTCACATGACTCAGCTGTTTGGTGTAAATCGATGAGACGAGTGGTCTCGCCGCGGAGAGAGAGGGGGCTAAAAATGGAACTTGCTTTCACCCAATTCGGCAAAATGCAAATTTAATAAAGGGACCTTTTTAATTGTGCCAGGGGCAGTCCAAAAAAAGAAGAGACAACAATTTTTTTGTCCGTTTTTTTGAATTACAAAAAATCGCATTCTAGACAAATTTTGTAGCCTACACAATCGGTTTCAGGCGCAAATAAAGAATTGCGTTTTGAAATCTCGAAAAAATCAAAAGCCAACACTATATACCATAAAAGGCAGCGTAATATAAAAATGAATCGACTGGGAATAGGTGGGGGGTCGCATCGAAGGTTAAGCAATGTTTTGCCTCCACCAAAGTCATACACGCGAAAAAAAAAACCGAATCGCGCTGTCGATTTCTCTGCGCACTACTCGTCGTCATGTGCCCTTCGCCAAAAATCGACACGGTCAGAGACGCAGACGCGGCGACGACGATGACGAGTATCTGTGTGTGTGTGTGTGTGTGTCACGAGCACGATCGATTCGGGCAGCCGCCGCCGCTGCCCCGCGACGTCGTCGTCGCGCACAGCTCACCAAATGCAGCCAATTACAACAAGCCGACCACCAGATTCGGTTTTGTTGGCGGCCGGGCTGAGAAGGAAAAATCTGCGTGCAGCCAAAAAAAAAATAGAAAAAGAAAGAAATAGAAATGGATCCAATTGCAAAAAATTCGAATTCACATGTTTACCTGGGAGAAAAAATTCGGATTGCCTTTTTTTCTTCAATTTCTCCCAAAATCTAAACAGCAAAAAAAGAGATCATTGTTCCTGAATTTTTTCTAACGAATTATACTATTGAAAATCTCATTGGCCGAGTGAAGAACGAGAAAAACAAATGCAACATTTCTGCTGGAAAACACAGAAACGAGAAACGGACCATAGTGTCGCTGGAGAAGCTCGCGCACTCATCTCCCCCCCAAAAGCACATTCAATATTCTTTCTTCTCTTTCAACTCGAGATGTGAGCCTCCTTCATCTCATCATTATTTTGATGCTCCCCGCCCGGAGGGCTTCAAATGAGGAAATTGCCGCCCGGCGGAAAAAAAAGAAATAAGAATTTCGAGAAATCATTTCGAAAAATTAATCCATATTAAAATTTAAAAAATAGAAAATCGAATGCGATGACAACGCCGAGAAAAAAAAAAACAAAACCAGCAATTCTTGGTAAAACAATATTTATACTGTAAATGAAGTAAAATACAAAAATGAATAAGTCGCATGAGAGAAAGAGAGAGACAAAGAATTCAATTAGTTGATAATTTAACAATTCAAATAGGACGTACAACAATAACAACGAATAACCGGCGAAAAAAAAATAGCAAAAAGAACAACGAAATTCTCGATTTCAGCCACTCGAATTTCCCAATTTCGTTCGATTCGATTCTTTGATTTTTTGAAGTTTTTCGGTGATCTCAGCTGCAAAAAAAAACAATGAATTTTGCCGAAAATTGACGCCAAAAATATAATGACAGTGGTTTTGGCACAAAAACTGCAAGTGTAGATTTTTTTCAGGAGGTTAAAGGTGCACACTGCGCACCGAGACCTCTCCTTAACTTTTTTTGGCATTTAGTCAATTTTCCGCAGTCGCGCGACATCAGCATGAGAATTCTCTAAAATTACCATTTTGCGCCGCCAAATCGATAAGCTTCTCCAAATGCTTTTTCAATATCAATTCGGTTTTCTCGAGCGGCACATCTTGTTTATTCTTCAACGCCGACGTTTGCAAATTTTTCAGCTAGAAAAATCGAAAATGTAAACTTTTGCAATAATGAAAACGATTATTACAGCTTCCAAAATCTGATCCAAATCGTAATCCGCCGATTTCATCTGCGCGTCAACATTGAGCATCATTTGAGCACTGAAAATGCTCCAATGGTTTTCAATCATTTTACATTCAGAAAAAACCCACATTTGCACCCTCTGCACATCGTGCCGGCTGGCAAATCTACTATCCAACGGGAACTTATACTCGAGATTCGTCCATTCAGGAAGATTGAGCTTCTTCTCGAGCTCAGCTACAGATGCCTCAACATCGGTCAACACCGACGACATCGATCCGATATTGAAATTTAAGCGCTTGCAATTCTCAGCGAGCTCTCCCATGTCATTATAAAGTCCAAGCACCTGAAAAAAAAGATGTCGGCTTCTTAACAATATTTGAATTCGACGCCTACTTTTGGCTCCAACGAGATCAATTCACGATCATATGTGTTCAATTCGAGCATTTTGCTTTGGAATGCCCGTTCTTGCTTGACAATTTCGGCGTGATAGCTGTTCACTACCTGAAAAAAGCAAAATTAAAAAAAAAACAGCAACCACTTTCAATTTTATTAAATTCGAACCTCCTGAACAGCGACATAGAACGCTTTCGGATCATTTCCAGCGATTCCAGCTTTTATCTCCTCTTCGGAAAGTGTATCGCTTCCACCAGCGGCGATTTTCAACGATGACGGCGTTGCCGTTGTTTTCAATCCTCCCAAAGTGTTGGCAGTCCATCTAACAATCATAAATATTCAAAATCTACTAATAATTCACCAACTCACCCAGTTCCTTTAGACAATGGTGTAGAGGTCAAGGTAGACGATGGAAGAGCTAAAAAAAAGATTGCGTACTAAAAAAAATTCAAAAATTTCTATACCGTCTGTAGTTTTTGCAAATGGTGCGCCAAGACTGCCGGAAGTGAGTTTCGGGGTGCTGGTTAGCCTGAAAACACGAATTTTTTCAAAGCATCATCTAATACAATTTTAGTACCCTGTCGTAGCGGTAGTCGTCGTTCCAAACAATGTCGGCGTTGCACTTGTCGTCGTCGCCGCTGTCGTTGTGGTAGTAGCGGCTCCGAATAATCCGCCTGATGCTGTTGCGGCAGTTGTAGTCGCTGTTGAACCAAACAGCGATGTTCCGCTCGTCAACGATCCTGTTCCAAACGTGGCGGTTGCTACAGTCGTCGTTGTTGCTGGTGTAGCGCTGAAAAGCGCTCCGGCGGCGGTTGCGGTGGTGGTAGGCATCGTTCCAAAAAGTGTTCCAGTAGTAGGAGCCGCAGCGGTGGTAGTTGCTGGAGCTGCACCGAAAAGCGAAGCCGCAGGAGCCGCAGCGTTGGTAGTCGCTGGAGCAGCACCGAAAAGCGAACCCGCAGGAGCTGCTGTTGTGGTAGTCGCTGGAGCAGCACCGAAAAGCGAACCCGCAGGAGCTGCAGCGGTGGTAGTCGCTGGAGCAGCACCGAAAAGCGAACCCGCAGGAGCCGCAACGGTGGTAGTCGCTGGAGCAGCACCGAAAAGCGAACCCGCAGAAGCTGCTGTTGTGGTAGTTGCTGGAGCAGCACCGAAAAGCGTCGAGGCGTTCGGAGCTGCTGCCGGAGCGGCCACATTTCCGAATAAGCTCGGAGTTGAACTAGCTGTAGTCGTTGCCGCAGTTGATCCAAACAATCCTCCGGTGGTCACAGGGGCAGTGGATCCAAACAAACCGCCAGTAGCCGGAGTGGTCGTCGCTGGAGCATTCGATCCGAATAGACTTCCTGCAGCTGCTGTGGTAGTGGTTGCTGGAGCGGCTGTTGATCCAAACAATCCTCCAGTGGTTGCAGTGTTAGTGGATCCGAATAAACTGCCCGTAGCCGGTGTAGTGCTCGATCCAAACAGGCTTCCCGTTGCTGTTGGAGCGGCCGGCGCGGCTGTCGAGCCAAACAATCCAGTGGTCGCGGTTGTGGTTGCGGGCGTACTTGATCCAAACAATCCACCAGTATTGTTAGTTGTGGTTGCAGCGGCTGCCGGAGTTGATCCAAATAATCCACCGGTCGCTGCCGTTGTTGTTGTGGTCGCCGAAGAGCCGAACAATCCTCCACCAGTTCCAGGTTTAGTTGTTGAGGCTCCAGTGTTTCCAAATAGACTACCGGAACCGAACGCGCCTGTTTAAATTAAAAATCCATAAAAACATTTTTGTTAATTTAGGAAATAAACCTGCTTGCGTTGTAGATGTATTTGTTGAGCCGAACAAGCTCGACCCACCGCCAGCATTCGCACCGGAACTACCAAAACTGAATGTGCTTCCCGCTGGCGCCGCCGCACTACCGCCGAATATGCTTCCACCACCCGCCGCTGTTGTCGTCGATGCGCCAAACGAAAAGCCGGTGCTTGATGCAGTGGTTGTCGTTGTCGCAGCACCAAATAACGGTTTCGATGAATTGCCGAACATTCTGAACAAAATTGTACAATTTGTTTTTATAGTGAAGCTGAATAATCCATAATCGACCGATTAAATTCTGTTATCATTTTTTTTTAAATAAATGTTTCAGAACACCATATCGATAAGGAATAACGTAAAAATGAATGGGGAAAGGTGAGAAAATTTTCGAAAATAATGCTATTACGATAGCGTAAATTCAAAATTGGCTTTTGTGCCATAGAGCGCGTATGCTCTATTCGAAACGTCTAATTTTGCAAATTCATATAAAATCCTTTTTTGAAACGTAAAAAAAATTGAAAAGAAGAAATTTTTATCTAAAAAATTCAAAGTAAAAAAATAGTTTGTTTCTGAAGAAAAAGCGTCTACCAGACCAGCTCATTTTCCGCGCTATGAGTTCAATAAATCATTTTATTTTTCAAATTGCATAGCGGGGTGATTGAATTGCAAAAAAAAAGATTCCGAAAAAAAACGATGAAAATTCGACTGATGATTTTGAGTTTTGATACGGTCCGTGGCAAGACCCGACGCAAAAATGCAGATTACGCGACTCAACTGCTGTATTCTTGTGAAATTCCCTTTTTTTCAATAAAATTGCCAAATTATAACCTCGAAAAAATAGAAAATTTTTGCGGAACGGATTGCAAAAAAAAAAAATTAATTACAGTACCGCGGTCTAAAGGCGCAGCGTCATAAGCGGGGTGGTTCCCACAACGCGAGAAAGTACGGTGCGGACATGGGCGGGCGAGAAAAATAGGGAAAATCGTCATTACGTGTGCGGTTTTAGCTAGCCCCACCCACCCACCCGGGAAAAGCGAGTACAGAAGGTATTTCAGATATGAGATTTGAAAGAGCGCAACAGATGGAAGAGGTCTTGAGGAAGAACAGACCGGATATGGCGGGACGCGTGCGGACGGCGATAATGAACGACAGAGCCGCAGGGACGAGGAGATCGTACGAGGGCGTCATCAAACGATTTTGGAAATGGCTCGATGAGAACGAATGGGCGCATGAAGAACAGGCGGAGGTCAAGAGATTGGCGTTTATGGCGGAAAAAGTGGAAAAGGACAGCATGGCGTCTCTGCCGTCGACGGCGTCCGCACTGAACTTTTACTTCGGAAAAATGGGAGATGGTTGGGAGAAGTTGGAGTCGAGCATCGTTAGGTGGGCGGCGAAGGAGAAGAAACCGGTGCAGCACAAGGAAAAGGCGACCCCGAAGCTGGTCAGGGAGCTGGCGAAGGCAGCGAGCTCAGTGGAGGAGGTGCGCACAGCTGTCGCCGCAATCCTCTCGTTCGGAGCGTTGCTGAGAGCCTCGGAGGTGCTGGCCTTGAAAACGGGAGATCTGGAATGGAAGGACGAAGCGGTGACACTTCGAATAAGGCGCTCGAAAACAGACCAGCTGGGAAAGGGAACGGAACTTCGGGTGGCGTTGAAGCCACAAGCTTTGGAAACTGGAATGGTTCAAGGATTTTGGCAAAGTGCCGCAAGAAAAGGGCAGTCATGGCTGTTCGAGAGCAGGTCAACAAGGAAACCAATCACGCTGTCGACGTATCGGACCGGTTTAAGAAAACTTCTGGCAAAAGCGGGAAAGGAGACGATCGGAATCACTTCACACAGTTTCAGAGCGGGCGGAGCGACGACGTTGATGAAAGAAGGACAATCGGAATTGGAATTGAAAGCGATCCAGAAGCAGATGAAGCAGATGGAAATCCGGCGCCGTTCTCGATTATCTACAAGCACCGGAATCGGTCGCGCTACTAAATTTTCCCAAGTAGGCTATCAAACTTACCCCACCACCTGTTGTTTTGTTTTGTTTTAATAATATGTTCGGTTGTGAAGGTTCCGGAGGAGCCTATGATTTGTTGGAAATTATTCATTTGTTCGTTAGCTAACCCTAAAACGCGTTTTGCCTATCAGATAAAGCAATAAGTGAAGCAAAAATTGAGTTTTTCATGAAATGCAATGAAAGGAAAAATAGAATAACCTACAAATACGTAGCACGTACATTTTTATGGAATAATCATATATTTTAAAAATCGATTATAACGTTGTTTTTGGAAAGGGAAAATGATTAGTCACAAGTATTTTATTGAATAATTTATTCAATTGAAAATGAAGAATTTAATCGTCATCCTCATCGGATCCTGTCGGAAGATCAGAATCCGATGAGGATTCACCGAATCGATCCTCACGCGGCACTTTGTTCAATTTTCCGGCCCACTCGACTTTCTTCGTTATCGGCGCATTCAAGCCCTCGGCAATTTTTATGAGACGCTTTTCAATGAACCTTTAAAAATTGAATCGTGTTAGAGAATTCGATTCGATTCGACGAACTGATAATCAGGAAGCGATTGATATTCAAGAGAATCGACGTATCCCACAATTTGTTTCATTTTCTTCGAGATATTCTCATAAGCCGATTCTACTAAAAAAGGCAAGGAGCGAAATTTCAAACATTGAAAAATGAAGGTTTACGTTTAAACTGAAAGAACAAAACTTTGGCGGCAAGAATTTTCTCGCGATTTTTCACTCGTCGCCAAGGTATCCCATTCTCCTCGTCCATTATATCAAAAATCTGAAGTACACCATCAATTTGTTCAAAAATATCAACCATACCATATAAAGCCAACACTCCAAATCATCTTTTCTTCCCTGATCGGTCGATTTCATGCAGGCGCGAGAAGCAAATCGAAGAGTTCCGAGGAATTTCACCGATTTTCTCGGAGCCTGAAAATAAATACCCATGAAAAAAACTGAATTATTGAATTCTCAATGTTTCACTCGATGCTTCTTGGTGACCGGATCCAGATAGCTGCGGCAAATACCAAAATCGAGAATGAACACCGTCGGCTCGTCGGGACCGATTCCAACAGCAAAATTCGCCGGCTTAATGTCTCGGTGTAGAAATCCAAGGTTGTGGAGATCATGAACCGCCTGAAATCAAATTCAAGTTTCTGATGAGCACAAAAAAAACATCATGGCTACCGGTATTTTAATTTTTTTTGCACAATTTTCGAATATCCAAAAATGGAAAAGCGCATTTTTTTTTCAAGTTTTGCTTTCAAATATTGGGGTGATGGGTCTCGCAACGACTCTTTCCTCTAAATATATTGTCAAAGTCGTACAAATTTGACAAATTTCAATTATTCAGATTATTGATTTTAGCGCTAATCGAACGAATTGTCAGCATGCGCTTTAATGTATACTGTAGCCTTCAATAAGTTTTTTTTTATTTTTTATATCCTTGTGACGACTTCGACAAATTGTATATTTGTGTACTCCACAGGAACAATGCGCTGCTTGGCCTAAATAGACATTCATGTTGTGAGACCCAACACTTTGACAATACTTATATCGAATTGAAAGTATAAAATAAAACACCGCTAACTTCGTAGATATTTTACGACTATAGAATACTAACCTCGAGACTTTGAACCGCTATAACAAACGGTGTCGATCGATGCGACAAATCAACTTTGTACTTTTTGCGAACATCTTCCAAACTCGGCCCAACCAGACTCATCACAATGAATTTGCATTTGAGATAGTCGCTTTTGCCGCGATCGACAAACTCGACAAAATGCTTGTGGCCGGCGGTTGTGGTTTTGCCTTTCCGGAATTCTTGAATACACATCATCACTTGCATTTCAACCTTCAATCGAAGCATCGCCTTTTTTCCGTCCTCGCTTTCAGTTTTCAGCGCGTAAAACTAAACGCCCATGAAAAAAAAAACAATAATAATAAAACCAATTTTTTTCGCACCTTGTCCTTCTTGCCTTTCTCATTGTAAACCTTGTAGACATCGCCGAAACCGCCGCTTCCGAGAAGCACGACGACTCTCCAATGACAAGAGCCGTTCTTTATAACATCATTCGGATTCATTTTTTTGCGTTCGGCAATCTTTTTCACTTTTGCAAATCTGAATTATCGCATAAAATTCGAAAAGAAAAAAATGAATCGTACTCGAAATCGTCTTGTCCCGAGCATTTATTATCCGGCGTTTTTTCCATCGCCTCAAGAACCACTTGCTCCTCAATGTCCGGCGTCAATTTATCGATCCAATCGCAAATTTTGATGTCCAATTTTTTCGCATCGATTATCTCATTCAATATCACATGAATTGCGCTAAACAATTTTCGTCCAATTCATAATTGAATCATTTGTTTCACTTACTCATAGTCTGGTGTGGTATCATAATTCCAAGAATGCACCAAATCCAGAAGACTCTTAAATTGCACTGGAATTTTTTCATACGGCGCCGCTAAATTGGTTTTTTTCGAAATTAATCAAACTCAATTTTTTTAAATCAATTACCATAATCGTGATTTTTAAAAACTTCTTTTGATTCAACGACCTTTTCCCTCGCCGCTTTCTTCCACGGCAAACCAATGTCGGCGTCATACAAATCGATGATCATGTAAATCCATGATTCAATATCATCGCGTCGGCCTTGATCGCGTTCCCGCATCGCGTTGATGCTCGCATAGCGAGCAGTTCCAATCCACTTCACAAATTTTCGCGGCTCTCTCGGCAATTTCGTCTTGTCGTCGAGATGAACGCGAGTGATGCGAAAATCGCTCAAAATGATCTGATCGGCCTTTTTGCCGTGCCCAATGCTGAACGTCGCCGGCTTCACGTTGCGCGAAATGAATCCGGCGCTATGGAGCACTTTAATCGCCTAAATAATTCAATATGAATCGATTCATTTCATTTTCAATTGCCTCCAATGTCTGTTTGGCGATGTTCAAAACGCAATCGGGTGTGAAGCTTTTCTTCAACGCTTTTCGAACTTCCTCGATTTGAATCCCATACAAATTTGTGATGAGAAACTAGAAAACAAAATTTTTTTTTGTCATTCAAAATTCGAAACATTTGTTCGCAGCTCCTTATTCTGGCCAAACTCAAAAAATTCCGGCGTATAGCGTTTATCGTCAATTCCATTCGTTCGCTTCAGAATCTCGGCGGTATATTTGAGCTTCTTTCTATCAATCGGCTCAATTCGCATTTGTCTCTCCTAGAATTCAAACGCGTTCGTTTTTAATCAAATTCCATTTCTTACATTTTCGCCTTCTTTCACCACAAATTCCGCGTACGGACCAGGATTTCGAATGAGTCGGACCACATTGTACCTAGAAATTGTTCAATTCACTTCCCTCATTTTGCGAATCTCTTTTTTTCACGTCAAAAGTGTCTCGAAAACACTTCCAACTTTCACAACACTTCGTTTTCCTTTTGTTCGCTCCATCGATTTCTTTTTTTTGTCATCGGATTTATTATTATTATTATTATTATTATTATTATTATTGTTATTATTTGTATTAATTTCGTCGACGGTGGTCATCTGCGATTGAAAACAAATTGCCGATGAAGCGCATCGCGACCTACCCGACTTTTCTGCTCTTTCTTCGCAATTTTTGAACCTCGCGAAATTTTGCTCATCTGGCTTGATAATGGTTTTGATGAAACCTTTTCCTCCTTGGACATGTTGGACTCAAAGTTATTATTTTGATCTTTGTTGAGTTATTATCAAAATTCAATCGTAAAATGAGGCGGCGTGTTCACGGCAGCGCCCAATTATATTTATGCATTCAATCAATAAGTGTTGAAACATTCGTCATTTCATTTCTAAAATTCAGATCGCCGTTGTACAAAACCATTCGATTCTCTCTAGGCATTCGACTAAGTGCATTTTTGACAACGTCCGGAAATATTGTCTTCACGCCTTTATTCCAAATATGGAAACTATACGACTTTCGAGAATAGCTGAAGAATACTTAATGAATGATTATTTGAAAAAAAAAATTACGGAATTTTCACTGGTTTGTCGAAAATGGTATGACGCATGGCTCGCACTTGACCATTTTTGGTACATGTATGACGAATGAAGACGTAGAGATTGTAGCCACCAATGAAATGATCCTAAATCACGAAATTGTCAATTTTTCAAATTAGCAAATCGATTTACGAGAAGATTTTCTCCTCTAGCCAACACTTTTACGCCGAAAGTTAAATTTGCGCGTCCAGTTTTTGCCACATGATAATTGCTGATGTAATTTTGATTCAAACTGAAATTGTTATTAATTGTTCGCTACACGCAAACATACACATGCGATTCCCAATAGCTTATTTCAAGTGAATAACTAAATGGTACATAAACTCTGCCTAATGGGCAGAAAAATGTTGAGATAAGATAGAATTCTGTGGGGAATGAAACCGCGAAACCGCAAATCACCGACAAACCAAGAATAAATTTAATCATTCCTTATATATAGAATAATGTGAACTTGTTTCGGTTTCTGAAAATTTCACGTTAACAATTCTTACAAGCGAGAAATGGAAAAGAAACTTGCGTGAAGCGTATTTGGTTTAGTTAGTGTTACTGTAGGCTTAAAAGACGCAATTACAATCTTACGCAATAATGCAGAATTTTGGTTCAAATTGAAATCGTTCGCACTTTTCGTAATTATTTCGTTTTCAGACAAGTTTTATTTTTTACGGAATATTAAATTATTATTAATGGAAAACGAAGTGATTTACCGTTACGGCATTGTAATTAAAAAATTGACGCGGGATAAAAGGGTAAACGCATTTTAGGATTTTCGAATTTCGAATCATTTTTTCAGATCCAAGTTGCAACCATCACCAAAAATCCTCGAAAAAATCGAGTTCTCGATGTGCCGCGAGACTTATTCACTTATTCGCCGGAATTAGGCGATTCAGTCAAAATTACTTTCGAAGAAGACGACGGAAATTTTCAAATTAATGTTTATTTCGTTTGGTTTTCGAAAAACCCACCATTGTTTTTTCAGCAAATTCAAAAATACGATGACGAGCTTTTACGAGATTTTCGTGTTGTCGACGGACGAGTTTTAGTAGTTTCATTTTCGTCATCTTCAATCCGCCGTTTCGAGTCGATTTCAGATTTATGGATTTGTTCACATATCAGATTCTTATATTACACTAAGAAGGCAGAATAATCGCGAAAAATATTTAATATTTAACAATGATGATACTGATTTTGGAGAAGTTGCGATTCGAAAACAATTTGTCGATGAAGCATTATCAAATAGGCATTCACATCAAAAACCGCAAGAGCTTCGAATGTACCGAGTCGGATTAATTTGGCAAGTGGATTTTATTCTTTCGAAAATCACATGCGCCTTTAAAGGGATCCAATCCAATTCGACGATGGTGATGAATGTGAATGGAGGCACTATGAAGACACCCCTCTTGTTCCCATTTTTGAATGCTACTATAGAGAAGAGGTTTTGATGAGCAATAAAAATATGAAGCATTTTCCGAATTCAGTTTCCCCCATTTGTTACAAAAAATGTTGTATATGGTGTAATCGACGGAATCGTCATCAAATCCGATCACACCAGCGTACTGTTTTGGTCGAAATCGATGGGATGCGCGGTTTATCAGAATATTAGCGGTGACGAATTGCCCAAAATTGGAGACACATTTTTCAATTTGATTCAGTTTGATTTGATGCGAACGCGATGTTCCGCAAACCGAAATTGTTTCAGGCGAAGTTTACCCGAAAGCGCCTATGGATTTAGCTGCTATTATGAAGTGATGCACGGAATGCAAAATGTCACATGGAGGAATTTGCAAATTTTCGCTGATTTGGACAATAATAACAATACACAGAATGTTTATGTAGGTTTTCGTTTTGAGACTCCAATTCAAACAAAAAAATAATGATTCTTTTTCAGCTTCAAGGAGCTGCAAAATGTGTGACATTGCGCGAAAACGGCGAACGTTTCGCAATGCAATATCCCGATATTGGCGTGATTTCCGAAGGCAATCTACACCAGCATAGCCATCGTCTCGAAATCGGCAAAGAATATGATACGCGATTAGTGTTTCGCCGAAATCGCTACGGCTCATATGAGCCATTCATCGACGAAATTTTATTTGTCTGTTCAACTTCCATTTTTTTTTCTGGCGTTTCATCGATTCGATTTCAGGACGACGATGAAGTTGCCGATTGTCGCGTCGTGTTCGCGTCAGTTCCATTGAACAAATGCTACGCCATCAAAAATCCTTGTGGGAAGCGACAAAGGAATGCGGTTGGAATTTATTTGACTACCAATTTTTTCTCATTGATTTTGATTCCAGTCGGTGTTCATCGAAATCCCATCGTCGGTCACGTTTTGCGCGTTGGGCCTCAAATTTGGAATTGAATTATTCAAGTACAATATGCGAGCAGTATTAAGGTATGGCTAGTATTTAGAATTTCGCTATTGTCGATTAAGGCCTGGAAATGGCACATATCAATGTGTGAGCATTCGAGAGATTGGTCCGAAACTCAAAAATGACGCGAGAATTGGGCTATTTATTTCGCAGGCTTGTGGATGGGTAAAATTCTTACAATTATTTTTTCTTCTATTATTATTTTTCTTGAAGTATCGCTGCCTCGCCAATATTGTCGATGTCCCTTTCGAAGGTCCCGCTCGGCTGATGTGTCCCAAAACCGGAATGGGCTTTGTCGACACGAAGCGACTCGCGAAACCTGCGTTTATTCGAGGAGCCTCGCAAATTTGGATTGACGCCCAATTGTAGGCCGATTTTATGTCAAAAACACAAAAAGAAATGAATTTTTATTGTGATTTCAGCGCTCTTGCTCCCGGAAATATTCCAGTGTTCGTTGTTCGACACGCTGCTTCATCAATCGAAGAGCTACCTCCGCGAAATCAGCTTCCGCCGCCCGAATCCGCTGCCGAAATGTTTGCCGGATGCAATCACTTGGATTTTAGCCGAATTCGACACGATGAGGTTGGTAATGTGCGCGAATGAGTGCCAATTGTTTGAAATCTAACAGTCAGAAATGTTCTACAATGATCCGAATAATGAATACGACAGCGATTCGGAGAATCCGATGGATGATGTGAGATTTTTTGAAATAATCGAATTGCTCAATGCGTGTGTTTCAGTTGAATGAGAGCCGAATGGCGCCAACGTGCACGACGGCTTCGGTACGCGATGACGTGTCGACGATTCTTGACGAAATCGAGATGTCGACGAAATACAATCGGCGAATCATGGAAGTTGGGCCGTCGACGTCGAAACCATCGTTTTTGCGCGCCAATCGGCGCCCAAAAATATGCGGTGTTCGTCGATATCGTCACGGAATCGACGAGGAGCAACTATTGCATGACATTTGCTATCGCTATCTTCACCTTCGGCCAATGTTCGTCGACAATGAGTACATGTTGGAGACGCTTTGGGATCGCCAAATTTGGGGAAACGTGATGATGATGAAGAAGCGATTTGTGCAAGTCGTTGGCGTCGAAATGCACGATTGCCGACATCATTTCGTCAATCGACGATGCAAATATGAATGGCTTGTCAAATTTTTTGTGATTTCGGTTGAAGTCCACGCGAGATTCAAGTTTGTCGTTGTGCCGTCAGGGTAGGAAATCGTTCTATATTTATTTTTTATTTTTTTTTAATTGTCTGTTTCTGGAAAACGTTGCAACGATTTAAAGAGGGGGGGGGGCGTAACCTCGAAAAAATCGAGGTGGGAGCTTGAATTTTGGGAAATGCGCGTACGCTATGTACGCATTATCGCGTACTTTTCGATTTTCTCCTAAATTATGCTGAAAATGAGATTGCGGACTTGTGCACTTTATTTGACGACAATACACTGATATCGACGTTATTTCTTATTAAGTTTCAATGATATTTTTATACTTTTAAAGGTTACCCCTCCCCTTTTAAACACCGTATCCAACAAAAATTTTCTGTTTCGAAATCCTCAAATTTATTAAGAATTACGTAATTTGAGCATTTTTTGACCAATTTTTTCGAGAAATTCATTAATTGAAAAAGGACTAGCCGAAGATGAGTTGGGGTCTTTCAGAATGAGACTTCGTCGCTCTATTTTTTTTGTTGATTGAGTTGTAGTATTCAGAGGCGTCTTCCCTCACCTTCCCGATGATTTTCAGCTTGGCCAACTCTACGATACTATTCATTTGTCGTCGGCGCAAGATGTATGCTTTCAATTCCATATTTCAATTCGATCATTTTGCTATTTTCAGCCATTGGCCCATCTTCAAGGATTCTACTACAGAGGGGAGCCTTATCTGATCCCATCCAACGCTCCTCATCCATTTTCAAAGTACACCGTGGTGAATGATGAAAGAGGACACTATTGGATCAGGGTTATTTTTTTTGGAGATTCGAATTGAATGTCGGAATTGCAGTGCGATGTAACGTGCACAAGGCCCGCGGTGAGTCCGTGCCAATCGGATTGTATCGAGTTTTGGTCGAACGGCGGACTAACGGGATTGATTTGCGCCGATATGAGTATCCTGTCAGGTCTCGAGAAGAGGAATCCGCAATTATACGATGGCTATGAGATTCGATGCGCGATCGAGCCGATTTGCGGGGTTTTCATTCGTTTTATTATTTTTTGGTTGAAAAAAATTGAATTTCTCCTATTATTTTTTTCAAGAATCCGTACTCGATTGCCGGCTACTATCCCCAGCGTTCGACATTCATTGAGAATGATAATGGAATTGTGTTGTGGCGTGTCGTCACCGAATATCAACACGAGAAGGATGTCGCGGAACCGATACTCGTGCAGCGCAACGCGCCCTACAAACCCGCCGTCGTCGCGCCGCCGACACCGTTCGCGTACGCGCCGGGCGATTTTTCCGGCAAACTGGAATACGAGATTGTCGGCTACGCGGAGGAATTGGCGCGCGATCGCGTCGATCGTTTGCGAGCCAACAAGGACCATCGGGTGTTGTTTCGCGAAGGCCCATCGCTGGGTCCGGAGTTGGCGTGCAGGAAGCTCGACGTGAACTCGTGTTGGAAGAAGACGATCGGAATGTACTATGTGCTCAATGATAATCTTAAACGAATACAAGATTTTGGGATTTGGAGACATTTGAGTCGGTCGGACATTAGGCAGAAAATTAAAAAGTATGAAGGTATGGATGACAATCTCCATCAATATTGTTTTGACAAAAGGTGATTTTGAAGAAATTGATTATTGTGGAATCATTTCGTTTTCGCAGGAAACGCGCAATCGCCAACGGCTGCGAGTTTATGATGAAGCTGCTCATGGAAGACGGTGTCGTTGATGAGCTCGAGTCGCATTCGGCCCTGCGACAGTTGCTTCTCATATTTGTTGATTGTGTCTCATCGAATCAATCGTTTTATGGAAAGAATGCGGAAATGGGTGAATTGGTATGATTTGGTTTTGAAGCGAAAAGAAAAAAACGAGACAATGCGAAATTTGATTTTTTTTTGCAGTTGCAAACATTCTTTGAGAGAGGACTATGCAAAGACGATGAATAATAAATATTATTTGAATTTTATATCCGACTAGATCCGAATTCCTGTATTATCAAACATTTTTGTGCTCACCGTGTGTGTTTTTTATCCCTCACTTTTGATCGGTTTTTTTTTTGTCTTTTTTCACAAATGAATTAATATATTTAACCAATTGATTTTTTGGTTCGTCCCAGCAAGAGAAAATGGAAAGAAAACTTTTGGATTGGTTGTCGACGTGACTCACATGTGAATCATGATGACCATATCTCCGTATTCTCGGGACAGCCAGCAAGGCAAGCAAGCAAGCAAGCAAGCGTCGTCTCATCGGCGGTCGCAAGAACAACAACATGCGGGAGAATAGGGGAATGGGGCAACCTGTTCGCTCGTCATACATATAATACCATCGCAATTTCATAGGCGAAACGAATCGAATCGAATCGCGAAACTCTAGAGATGAAGAAATGAGGAGACGCGCGCGCGAGGCGAGCGAGCGCCCGCGCATAACCAACAACACCGGAGAGAAGACGACGACGACGACGACCCAGGCCAGCCCAGCAGCAGCAGCAGGCGTCGAACCAGCCTCCTCCTCCCTCCCAACCCGAAACGAAACGAACAAGACGACGCAAAAAAGTCTTGATGCGAGAGAGAGTGTTGAAGGATGAGAGAGGCGGCGAGTCGGAGACGCGACGCGCGCACGCTGCGCGTCGCTTGTGCAACTCTCGCACCAGCGCTTCTAATCGTTATAATATACACCGCGAGATGTGTCACTACGCGATTCGCGCGCTATTTCGTCGATTGTCGGGGGACCCCCCCCCCCTTTTCCATCGGATGGCGCCTCGACCAGGAAAAGAGAGATGCTTTTGCGTGCCTATTGTGTGCATGTGCATCATTATTCAACCTTTGACATTACTTTACATTTCAGTTTGCTTCATTTCATTTCATCACACGCTGTTGTTCGCGCGCGCGCGCGCGCGCGCTTATTCTCCCACGTTCCATTGCACGCCAATTGCGAATTGAATTAATTAATTATGCACAATTAATTAATTGCAGATAATCAGCAATCAACTATGTTTGATTGAGCAATGAGCAAAGAGCATTTACCACTGAACGGATATCGCTTAATATTTCGGCCGAATAAAAGTGATGAGGTAAATCAATTAATTTTGATTTCACAATTATAATAATAATTGGTATGATTTTGAAATCATTAATTTCAGATGCAGATCGCGACATCAAATGTCGTTGTTTCCAGTTCAAATATGCAGCCAGCAGTGGTAATTATTTTATTATTATTATTGCATTCAAAAAACAATATATGAATTTAATAATACGTTTGTGGTGTCAAGAAAAATCAACCCAACTCAACTCGTTGATTGAATAATAATAGGCTATTATGAAATACTTTGAGAAAGGAATTTCGAAATATTCAAAAATATTTTCTTTTTCAATTTTAAAAAATAATCGAATTTTTAAGTTTGCTAGCGAAACTTTTTTTTTTCTTCGCAAAAATTATTTGAATCAATATTTTCTCATCTAAAAATTGTTGCGAATTTACACCGTTTGCTATAAGATTTGCTGGCGGCTTTCTTATTACAGTCAATATTACACAAAATTGGTGGCGTTTTTGTGACGTCGTCGTCATAAATGACAAAAAAACGGTTTAAAATTGTTATTATAATTTTTTTCGCGCTCTCCAAACAAAGAATGTCAATTTGTTTTTTTTTTGGCAATAAAACTTGCCATTCGCGGTTTGGCCGCCCGACAAAATTAATGGATGCCTCGTTGTCTATTTCTCTCCACAAAAAGATTTTCGAAAAAATTGTTCTTCCCCCTCTTCGTTGCCGGATTTTTGGACCCTCGTTGCCGCGTGTGCTTCAGTTTGGCATCGGTAGTGGGGGGATGACAAAAAAAAAGAGAATGAAAGAAATGCAAGAGCATCCATCCACTTCGACTCATAATTGGATTGCAGTTGACGCGAAATGTTCCGAAAATCGTTTTCGGACAGGGTGTTCCGCTGGTGTTGGGCGAGAAAATATTGCTGCCCGCCGGAATGCTTCAGATGCAGGGACCGCTTCAACACGACGGCACGACGACGGCGGCGACGGCGAATTGGCAATCGTCGCAAGTCAAAGTCGCCGGCACGTTCAATGGTCCGATAATGATATCGACCGCCGGCCAGGTTATTCGACAATTAATTAATTCAAATAATTTTTCGATGATGATTTTAGACAATTCAAGCGCGACCATTATCGAAAGCCGGCAATTATGATGGTGCACCGGCGCAAGTCCGACGAGCGGTATGTGTGATTTCTTTGTTTTTTGGTATTTTTATTTCTGAAATGCGAACAACAACAGATTTCTTGGCATATTTCTTCGGGCGTCATTTACAACATAAAATAAAACAAAAAAAAGACCGATCTCTCACATTCATTTTTATGCGCTTCTCACTATGCCGTCATTTTTTTTTCGCCAAAATTAAGGTTTGGGCGGAGCTTTGACGTACTAGAATGAAATAATAATATTATTATAATTAAAAATTAATCTATATATTTATAATTAGCAAATTTTCTCGAACATATGAGATTTAATATAGCCACCAAATAAATAAAACTAATACCATCGAAAAAACGAGCCCCTTACATAATTGTGGACCGTCGCACTTTTCCGAGGCGGTAATTCAAATTCGGATTTAAACTTCTGGAATTCATATACCGTACTCTGGTTAACCTGAACATCAAACTCACTGTAAATCCGCGGAGGGTGCTCTTTTTTTGCGAATGTAATAGTTGGAATAGAAAAAATAATAGAGAAAAACCGACATTGTGTCGTCAACTAGAGTGCATGTCCGCAATGTTTAGTACTCGGTGTTTGCACTAATTTCAACAAACTTAAACTCCAAAAGTTATTTTTTCCAGTTTGTCACTTTCGCTTAGGGACCTATTCATACAATTAAAAATTTAGAAAAAAATTTCAATATGTTTCACTGCAGAATTGTTTAAGAAAAATGTTGCGAATTTAATGTAATTGTTAAATTTTTTGTAAAAAAAAAAAGATCAAATTTCATGAATAGGTCTATTAGATAACAATTGAGAAGACTGCTCGGTCAAAAAAAAAATAACAGAGTTTCGATTAAAATGGCAGAGAAAGAGGTGAGGTGACTGCCGGTGGCCGCCTCATCTTGGTATCCCTGACGACGAGGCGCGCGCGCGCACGTTCATGGATTACATGTTTTAATAAGTCTCTTCTCAATTTTCGACGTACACTTTATGTATATATATATATACATTGTTCTGTTTCAGACGACAAAAGTTGTTCAAGCGGTTCCATTCACGACGCGACCCGCTTCACAACAGGGCACCGGACAGCGCAAATTGACGAGCTCACCGGCGATGGTCACGTTGGCTCCAGTGACGTCGTTGGCCTCGTGGGTGGTGTCACCGCCGGCGGCGCAACAAGCGACATCGTCGGATACGCCCGATTCGGGAATTCAGAGTATTGCGACGTCGCCGCCAACGCCACACATGACGGCGCAGGTTGGCGTGAATTTTTGCATCTGGAAAATTAGTGTAGTGATATCATTTTTCTCTTTTTTTAGGATGGAAGTGTGTGCGAGGAGAAGGATGAATGTTTGGAGGACTTTGCTGACATGCCGCGATTGCTGCCTGCCGATCAGGAAGTCGAGGAAGAGGAAGCGTCGGAATCGTTCCCGGGGCCGTCGACGACACTGCTTCCGCCGGCAATTGCCGCCGCCAGCTCACAGGCGACACAGGAGAACTTCAAGGAAGACGGCGCTTCGCATGGCTCCGAATGCGAGACGGCGGCGGCGCCGTCGATATCGATATCGCCGTCAATGGATTCGGATGAGATTGTCAGTCGATTATTGGCGCTCGATCCCGAGAAGGCGTCGGCGATTGCGAATTTGATCAAGAAGAAGACGCAGATGCCGCGAAAGCGGAAGACCGCCGAAAAAGATGATAGTTCGGTGTCGGCGGCGAAACCGAAAAAATTGAGGAATGGAAAGAATGGAAGCGCGAGCGGCTCGTTGAAATCGACCGCGTCGACTAGTTGCGCGATAGCCACGAGGAGTCGCAGTCCGTGCCGCGAAAAACTTCCGATCTCGTTGATGACCGATCAAGAGGAGTTTGAAGTTACCGAAGAGGCGTCACCGCCGGCGCCGCCGAAGCCGCCTGCCAAGAAGCGGCCAGCGACACCGGTCAAACCCGACGCGGAGATCTCGAAAGAAGACATGGAGATCAAGTATCGACTAGCTGTTCAGAAGAGGATTGAGGAAGCGGTAAATTTTTGAAGCATCGTTCTTCTCCAATTTTCTGTTTATTTTTTTTTCAGATGGCTCGCGAACTCGAAGGCTGCATTGAGGATTTGGGACGATGCCATATTGGAAGCTATCCGATTAGCCGATCGAATCAACACAAGAAAGGCCATCAGCAATCATTTGTGAAATCATTGGAGCACGTGAAACACAAGCTCGAGAAGCGCGCTCGGCGAGAATCGCGAGCGCAAAAGATTCGCGCCATCTCGAGGCGGTCTCGATGCGAAACTCCACAATCGGAAGAGCCGATCGCTGGGCATTTCAACGGCGAGTACGAGGAGATTCCGAGAAGTGTCGCCGGATCGAGTGAGGTCTATCAATATTGGAAAGCGCCAACGCTGGTGTGCGGCTGTACGAAGGGCGCGTGCACTTCGGACGTCGAATGTGTGAATCGGGCGATGCGGGTGCAATGCTCGGCGGAATGCTCGTTGACACTTTGCGCCAACAAGAAATTCTGGAAGGAGGACACGTCGAAGTTGTGCATCTCGAATGGTCCGAAATCGAAGAGATGCTTGAAGACGCGAGGCGCGCGACGCGCCGGCGAACTACTTTGCGAGTACGCCGGCGAGGTGATCACAAGTCGTGAAGCGATCGCGCGCGCCGCGTTGACGCCGTCGGAGGCGCGAATTTTGTGCATCGGCGCGAATCTGTTCGTCGACGCCACCAACAAGGGCAATCACGGACGATTCGTGAAGCACCACTGTCGGCCGAATTCGCGTCTCGAGATCTGGTCGATCAACGGCTACTATCGCGCCGGCATTTTTGCGCTCTACGACATCGCGTCGGGCTGCGAGATCACCATCGACAAGAGCGGACTGGTGCCGCAGGCGATCGTGTGCCAGTGCGGAAGTTCGAATTGTTGCAAAATTGTGCGGCCGTCGCGTCACGCCCACATCATGGCGAACTCAATCGGCGAGGGTGTCAAGACGCGACGATTCTTGTCGCGAAATCGCCGCCAGACGATTCGACGCGTCGGCCGAAGCAGCGGATTGCCGAGAAGTCTGAGTTGCGACGGACCGTCGGAATGCGTAAAGACATCGATGAAGCGCGTGTTCGACGCGGTCGCGTATCGAGTTCGCAACATTGACGGCTCATTGCGGCTCAAATTCGTGCCGGGATACACTGCAATCAAGGCGTTCCTGAAATCGGGAAGCGGCGATATCGAAGAGTTTGACAAACTTGTGCAGAAGTGGCTGAATGTCGTCAACGATGATGATATTGATCGATCGTACATGTAAGTGTTCCTCTATTCGACAAAACCTAGTCATTGATTGTCTTCAGCGCAATCAAAGATCGTTGGTTCAAACATTTCATTCAACCGATCGGCGAGAAGAAGAGAAGGCAACGCAACTCGTCGACGTCGGCAATCACACCGGTGACGCCGTCGAAGAAGCTTGATGCCGATCTCTCGTATTTGGATTCGGCGTATCCGGTAAGAAAATGCTTTTCGATGGGATTTTTAGAATGCAACAAAATCAATTCTGCAGATTGGTAGCTATGATCCCGATGATGCTTGGACGTCCTACACGGCGAATGCCAACGACAATGCGGTGCGTTGCGTGTGCGGCGCGCTCGACGAGGACGGCGAAATGGTGCAATGCGATGATTGCCATTTTTGGCTTCACATTGATTGCGTCGCCGGCTACAATCCCGACGCCGACTATGTCTGCGAGTTTTGCACTCAACACTTTCATCGGCCGTCGCGAGATGTTCGACTTCAGCCGCAACCCGATGTTCGCTTCGAGGGTTGCGACTATTTCAAGGCGCTCGTGAATCGGCGAGGCATTCAGGTTCGATTAAACGAGACGGTCTATGTGAACAAGAAGATTTCCGACGAGGTATTGAATGAGGCGAATCGCGAATGCATTTTTCTTTCTGTTTATTCTTACAGCACAAAAGTCTACTTCGCAACTTGAAGGAGGAGGACAATAAGAAGAAGAAGAGCCATCGGAAGAAGGAGAAAGACGACGTCGTGGTGTTTCCAAAGGCGTCGACAAAAAAATTGGCGATCGAGAGAATTGATCGAAAGGACGCTCGAATCTTCCGCGTCGAGCGCCTCTTCACCACACCCGGCGATCATCGATTCGTTTTTGGCTCGTACTACGCGTGGCCGCACGAGACGTTTGTCGACACCCAACGAATGTTCAGCACCAGCGAGGTGTTTCCGACGCCGTTGTACGACACGCTGCCGCTCGATGAGGTCATCGGACGGTGTATGGTTGTCGATGTCGAGACATGGGTGTCGGGACGGCCGAAAGTGCCGTCGTTCAAAGACGAGGACGTGTTCTTTTGCGAGTTTCAGCTCGCGAAAAATCAGCGCTGCTTCGAGAAGGTGCCGCCTAAGAATCGCTATCCGATCAACACGCAATCGTACGTGTTCGACAAATTCCGAAAGTCGCTACCCGTCGTGCGCAACTTCAAGCCGTACGAGCGCACGACGCCGTCGGGACGAGCGACGCGCGTCGAACAGCTTTCGCCGTATTCGCGAGAAACGGCGAAAGAGCGAGAATTGGTGAAAAAGGTTGAGTTTCGATTTTTTTTTTTTTAATTTTTTATTTGAAGTATTTCAGGCCGCCAAAAAGAATCTTGAGAAAATAATTGAAAAGATGAAATCGAATCGTTAAATTTGCATTTGTGTTTATTGATTTATGTTTTTTTTTTGTTCTTGTGCCGGTGCTACACCCATACTCCTGAATACCCATGTAGAGATCATCTAGACGTTTTCATTTTCGCCCATCAATACATGTAAAAAGCATTTTTGTGTTCCATTATTGCCGAATGATTGCATTTCCAACAATTTTTTGCCAAACTGTGTTCGTTTTTTTTTCTCTTTTTCGTCTTGTTCAACACATTTATTGCATCCCTACTAACCCAGACTCCAACAGTTATTGTGAAAAATATTCCGGTGAGACACCCCCCCCCTTTTCCCTTTTTTGCCCTATTCAATCGATCACTCAGTCGAGACTCGATACCCTCTGCATAACTGCGCTGTTCACATGCACACCCTTGTTAACATGTCAAAATGATAGTGTTAGTAGATATCAATATACGGTTAGCTTTGTGTTCCCAATTTGTCAAAAGTGTTCTCTTAATAATCACGTGCTTATATTTTTTACTTGGTAATCAAAAATGAATGTGACTAATTTCGTTGTATGTTCTTATCGGTGTCAAAAAGTGGGTCGGATCGGATCATTGAAACAGAGTTTTAGAAGAATTCGCAATGCTGTTGTCAAAAAAAACGCAGACATAAAATTTGAAATTGATTTATCGCGGCGAGACCGTGCAAACAATTGGCGTGTGCCTTTAATGACGCACCGTAATCCGATAATTTATATATCCGAAGATTTTTTTTAAATGAAATTCGAAAATTTTTCTTGGTGTTGAGATTTTTTGAAATACTATTAAAAAAGGAAATTTCATTAAAAATTGTGAATTTGCGAAATTTTGATAAAATTTATTTGAAAAAGTGACCCCCACCGATTACTATTATAAAAGTCTCATTTCAATTAATGGTTCCTCTCGTGATGAGATGGTTCAACACCACAACATAAAGACATTTTGTCCCCCATAGCAAAAAGGGCACTTATCTCGAGATGTGGAACGTTCCACAAAATTCCTTATTTTCATAATTATTATACACAGTGTCTGCGTCTTCGTCCTCCACACACTCTCTAGTTATCTGCACTCTCTCTCTAACTCTCTCTATTGTTAACACTATCTCGCTTACTATGTAGAAATTGTACGAGTTTTCTTGATTTTTCTGTTCATTTCTCTGATTTCAAATAAACTCTAATTACTCAACTAATTCAGAAAAAATGGCAACAACGTGGTTCTCCGGGAATCTGAAGATGACAGATTATCATTCCAGTGCGCCAAGAAGAAAAAACCCAAAATGTCGATATCGCCGGAATTTTTATCGGTCGGCATTTGCTTGCGCCTTGACAGGCGACCGAATTAAAAATAGCGCAAATCAACAAAAATTGAAATTGACACCGAAATGTGCCAAAGTCGGAGGAGAACGACATAGATATCGCCGATGCGGAGATCAGCAATTGAAATTTTTTTTGCTCGGAAGGCGGGCGGGAGGCGCGTTGTCAAAACAAACATACACCTATACATGAACAACCCCCCAAGAAGCAAGGAGAAGAGAAGCGAGAGGGAAAGCTTAGCTTTTGAAGGAGGAAGGCGGCTCCCCGTCCCCACTCGCGCACTAGACCCCCCCCCTCAGAGCACCTTACATATCCATGTGCGCTGTTGCTATGCGCAACTACTCTCTATTATTGTTGTTCGAGATCCTTCCGGTTCTATTCAATCGGATCGATGCGATTGATACGTTCTGCGGCCAATTGGAGGTGTTCAACGAGCAGCGATTCGGCGACGGCGCCGTGACGGTCTCGTCGCAAACGACGTCCGACCTCAAGCAATGCCTCGATGTGTGTTGCGCAATTCCAAGTGAGCACCATTTTTGGCAAGATTTTGTTGCCGAATTTTTATGGAATTGCGATTACGTAGAAATTTCCGTGTTTCGTTTTTTTTTTTCATTGAACCCATAATCCCCTTAACAAACATTTCATCCAATTCGTTGCATATAGTATATATGTATGCAAATAGTGTAGAGCAAGCATTGAAAAGTGCTTGAGCACGGATACATTAGCTCTGGGGGGCAAGAAGAAGAAGAAGAAGCTGGTTGTGATTCGTGACGGATTAGGTCCTTTTGTTTAATCAGAGAGGGCCGTGGGAACAATGATCGCCGATGTATTAATTGTTTTGCAGATTGCGATGGCGTCACATTCGAAGGAATCACGAATCCCGAGTTTGATGATGCCAACTGCTTATTAGTGTCGTGCGAGCCGCGATGCCATCTGAATGCGCCGAATCGGCACTCGGCTGGTGTGCTCTCAGTACTAGTACACCGTGAAAAGGTAATCCGCTCGCATTCTAGTGTTTATTAAAAATGAATGTAGGCGCAAGTGGGCAAATAATGCGCGAATATACGCCTATATATTGGTAACCTTGTGTATGAGTATCATGGTCCGAATGGGACCAGCGAAAACATTTTAATTAGTTGTGAACAAGGCAATATTGGCAGCAGTTTTTGATTTGTTTTCTATTGCTTTTATTGCCACATATTTTTTGAAGCGATTTTTTTTGGGGATTCCCACATATTGGTTTGTAGAAAGCATGGCCGTGGCCGCAAAAACGCCGGCCACCACTGTCGGCCCTCTTTTTTTATTACCTAAAAATTCAAAATTATATTTCTTTTCTATACTAATAAGTTTCTATTAAATTTACCTACAATTACATTTATAGGGCAATTTCATTTTTGAGAAAGAAAATTTAATCAAAAATACAAACAAATTTGGTTTTGACTATTTGAAACCAAAAAAATATTAAATAGTGTGCCTATTTCAGAAGGAGGTCACAACTACAACCGAAATTCCAATAACCACTAATCATCATCCAGTCGGAAGATCACTGACGCCATTCTGGGTTCTTGCTGTCGCCATCAGCGTCGCTGCAATGTGCATCGGACTCAATGTGACCTTGTGTTTGGTATACTGTTGTTATTGTCGACGAAAGAAGCGCAGTCAGAAGGCGCATATCTCGACCGTCGTCGGCGGCCCGACTCTTCACGCGTATAATCCAACCGTGTAGAATGAGTGTGCTCTTTCCAACTACGGGTCCTAGTGGTTTTGTTCTCTTGTTTGTATATTTGACCGTCTTTTCTTGCCTAGTATTCCTAATAAATTGATTTTTGCTTGCTTGCTTGTTAGAGTTTTGCGCGTTGAATTAATTATTAAAAATAAGAAAATTGACCGATTTTCAATGTAAGTGTGTACGGTAGTAGGCGAAGTGTGCAATTTTGCGTGGCGGCCAATTGCACCAATCTATTTGCCGACCGTTTCCGCCTAAATTTTCTGCCCATTTTTTCGAATTTTTGTTTTGAAAAAAAAAGACGAAAACGTGAAAATCGGTGCGTCTATCAAACGATAGCAATGAAATCGTTGCGTGAAAACGATTGCGAAGCAATCGAATATTTCTAAGAAATATTCATGTGGAAATTGCTAATTTTCCTTGGATTTATTCCGCTCTCCGGTGCCGTTGATGATGGAAAAATTTGCGGTGCCGTCATCCAAGCGATGCAGCAACGATTCAATACCGCCACACGATTCAATACGTACCAAACTAGTTCATTCGATGAATGCGTGTCGAAATGTTGCGATTTCCCTTGTAAGTTCAATTTTACATGTACAATTTTGATTTTGAAAATTTCCAGTTTGCGATGGCGTCTCATACGACGGATTTTTTGAAGACCATCCGGAAAATTTGATTGATAATTGCGTTTTGGTTATGTGCGATCCGGATTGCTCATATGGAAAGATTGACCCAACGCCGAATATTTCTGTTGGAGTTCTTTATAGAAATCAGGTTTGCTTTTCGTCTTTTTTTTATTAATGCAACTTTTTTTGTAACGCCAATTTTCAGAGTTCGAGCAACTCTAAAGTGATCGCGGTTCCTCCTGTTGAGGTGGTCGTCGCGAAAATTGAGCAGCATGTCGAGGAAGACACGACGACGTCGGATTTGATGTACAGTTGCGCGATTGCCGGAATCCTCACCGTCATCCTCATCGCCGTCATCATCGCCTCGCGATTTTTGTACATGAGAAGCATTCGAAAGAACGTCCCCGAGATGGCGCCGCTCACCTCCGCAAAAACATGAGAGATTTGGTTTTTATTTTTATTTTTTTGGGAACGCTTTAAAAATGACTACTAATAAATTTGTTTGGGAAACGATTATGTTCACGTCGCTGAGAATCCCCACATGAAAAGAAATGAAGCAACTTGAATGGCTCATTTTTGTTGGTGAAACGCCTCTGAGTTTCATCTCTCTCTCTCTCTCTCACTCAAACTTGTCTACTCGGCTTCTTGGGTCGCCTAGCAACCCACTGCCAACTTTGGAATTGATTCCATTTTTTTCCTTTCACTGATTGGATTGTATTTCAGAAGGCCGAGACGAAACCCGCCCCTTTCCAATGACGTCATCGTTTTATTTTTTTCGTCCTGCTTCTATGTGTGAAAAAGCAAGATGTCGGCGTCGCATTTTTTTTATTCGGCTTCAATTTTCACCGAACCACAAAAAAGAATGGAGAGAAGACACTATTGAATTTCGCCCGCCGTCCTAATCCCATCGTTTTTAATTGGAAGTAGGGGAGAGGAAGAGAGAGAAATAATAATGAGGATTTCAAGCTGATTGGTTTCCGACACTGCTTTCGATTCGTTGAGCTTCACCCTCATTAGTTGATGCTCATTCGCGGCTTGCCCGCTGCGCGCATGAATAAATTGATGCCCGTCGGACGATTTTTTTTTTACTTTTTTTTTTAAATGTCGACATTCCTGTGTGCAATTTGTCAGAAGAGCATATAATCAACAAAAATAATAATAGTAGGAAGCTGCTATATATGTGAGGGGGAGGGGATTTCAGAAAAAAACTACCACCACCGATTTACGATGCACAATGACGGCTTCATCTCGATTCTTCTTCTCTTTCTCTCTCTTTGCCAACATGTTTTGCTCGTCTCGCTCGCTACTCGGCTTGCTCCGAAATTCTACTCGCCGCGCGCGCTCTCTCCGAAAATGCGCTTCGAGTTGAAGAAGAAGAAGTCGTCGACGTCGGCCCGCCCGCCCGCCCGCTTGCGCGCACACGCGCGAGTCTCGCATTTATAGATTTTTGTGCGTCTACACCCTTTTTATATCGGTTTTCTCGAGAATCCGAAAGAAATTTTGAATTTACAGTTTTTTTTCTGAAAACAAAAAACGAGAAAAGAAAGTCCGCATTTTTGAGCGCTCGGTGTTTGCGGACATTATTCAATTCCTTGTTTTTTTTTCGTCTTTTGATTCTCGATTCTCTAATTCATGTCGAATTCAGCCGGCAGTATGGCGTTCTTCAGTCAAATTCAAGGTGGCATTCAGCAACTCAAGCAGAAAACGACGGAGTTTGCCGAACAGGCGGCGCCGTCGATCGGCGCTTCTCTCAATTCGCTCAAGGTGAGTGGTTTGAAAGCCTCGAAAAAAAAATTGTTCGAGAGAAAAAATTTGGTCAAAAATCGGAAAAAAAAATGCAAGTGCGGCACGAAAATTCTGAAAAGAAAAACGGCGACACGCAACCAAAAACGTTTTTTGTTAATTCCATGTTTTGACTTTTATTTCGATATTCTGCTTTTTTTGAAATCTCATTTAGTTTGTGGACACATAAAAAATTCACGAATTCATTGAGTTCTAATTCATCATGTGTGGCCGTGGCCGATCCCAAATTTCTAGGCCATATTTTCTAGGTCACACCCGAAATTGTACAATACGTTTTAGGAGGCGCCGAAATTCATGGAGAACGCGTTCAAAAGCGGCTTGAATAAGGTGAAGCTCGACTCGCTCGGCAAAGTTTTGAACGTTCCATCGCTGGGACGATGCCAATCGCCGATCGACATCGTGCCGGTCATCACCACATTCGGCGAGCATTTGCAGAACGCGCACTTCGAGGTCGCCTATGAGAGAAACGGCGAGTTCAAAGCGGCGAATGATGGAAATTCGGGTGTGTGCATTATTTTTTTCGCCCTCATTTTTCAATGGAAATAAATTTTTGTTTTGCAGTTTGGCTTCTTCGCGATGGCAACGCCTCGGAGTTGGCGATCTCGTTCATTCCCGAAGAGCAATATCATCTCGACGCCGTCAACTTCCATTGGGCCACCGAGCCGATGAACGGCTCCGAGCACACGATTGGCGGCGTCGGCTACGCCGGCGAAATGCACCTGATCCATCGGAATACGCGATTCGCCACAATGGCCGAAGCGCTGAAACAGCCGAATGGGGTCATCGCCATCGCGGTGTTCTTGAATGTAGGTCACATTTGAAGGCGCATTGATCAATTGATTGGCAGGAGTCTCACGACGACAACGCGGCGTTTGCGCCGTTCATCGACATTCTGCCGAGCATTCATTATAAGGGAAGCGAGTGCAAATTGTGCTCGTTCGACTTTCAAGAGTTCTTTCCGCCGGCGGAGAAGACGAAAGAGTTTTGGTTGTACGAGGGCTCGGAGACGGTCGAGCCGTTTCGCGAGACGATCAACTGGATTGTGATTCGCGCGGCGATGCCGATCAGCTCGTCGCAATTGGACAAACTGCGAGCGGTTCGCGCCGGCTGCTACGACGAGGAGACGTCCGACAAACTCGCGATGAAGCCGCTGCGCGAAATTCAGCCGGCCAACTCGCGCACCGTCCTCAGCAGCTTTCGGTCGGTCGCCGGCGCGCCGGACCTCGGATTTCGTCAGTGAGGCGTCGAGCCTCGTGTCCTCGTGTTTCCCGTACATTCCCACCCAAAATTTTCCATGTATGTGATCACCGAATTTGCAATAAAAAAAGTCGACCTCTACCAATGATTTGTCTAAAAAAATTTCCCTTCCACTTATTTTTTTGTGCATATTTACTTCCCTATTTATTAGGTATTCTATATATAATATTTTGTGCCAATAAGAAGAAAAAAGAAATAAAGTTGAAAATCGAGAGGAACAAGTGCCGATTAATTAATCAACACTTTGGAGTCTCGCAAGTTTTCCGACATGAAAAATTACTGGCGGCAAATGATGCTTTGATGTTGATCGATACGGTCATTTGGTAGCGTGCTGTGAAGAGATAGCAGCAACATTTCGTTGAACCATTGAAATCACACTTGAAATTGTTTCACGGTTACGGTAGTTGCGCGATTGCGTGTCGGTGTTTGCGACCAAGCCAATGGAAACATTCAAAACATTTTTGTGTGTGTTGCCCCCTCATTTTTTGTTGAATTTTTGAATTTATTCATTTGGATGATAATGCAAAGCGTGCAAATATTTTTCGAGAAACGAAATTATTCGCCACGTCGCTTCTTTCAATCCATTTTCCTCGATGACCATGTCGAACTGAAATTAATCGCGAAAATTCGGTATTTTTGTAATTCTCTCAAATTTCCAGCAAGTCGTTGCTAATTTTTTTTAATTGTTTTATTTTTTGCAGGACTTACTCCACTCGCTAACAGCTCTTCATCACCTACTCTATCGTTGTTCATCGTTTTGAGCACATTCGCCACTTCGATCTCAGCCGTCATACGTGTGCTGCCGGTGTTGCGCAACAATTTGCAAAGAATCTGAATTCGAGTTGCTGGTTGAGGATCACACAGGTATTTTGCTCCCCTTATTGTCCGAAATGCGAATGAGAAAAAAGATGGGCGCCAATGGGAGATGATTGACATCATCGGGTGTGTGAATATGCGGCGAGTCGACGAGCACCAGATGAAGTTTCGATGTCATTCGCATTATGAGCTCGACCTCTTGATTTTCGTTCGCGTCGCGATTCTCACGTCCGCCTCGTAGCCAGCGAGCGCCGCGACCGCGTTCGGCGCCTTGTAAGCTGCACCCAATATCCGATTTTAGATATTTCATCTTCTTTCCAAAATGCTTCAAGACTTCCTCGCTAGAAATTGGAAAAAAAACGAAATGGCGCGTTTTTAATAGGTGCGATTTTATTTTCATGGGTCTCGCATAGAATAGAAATACCGTAGAGCGAGATGAAGGAGCTGCGTGAGCCTTGAATGCTGTAGTGTCGGACCGAGGAAAATGATGGGCCGCGAGCACGGCACCACCTTGTAGGCGCACTTGGGCTCCCATATCGATTTTTCCTGTTGTCTGAAACGCGCACGTGGAGGGCGAATGTCGCAATTATTAATTGCCGTTACACATGTTGATTTTGCGATGGTGGCGGCGGCGGCGGTGGCGGCACATCCTCATCAATCATATAGTTCGCAAGTCGGCGCGCAGTTGGCACGAATCCAAATTCCGAATGCGAGCGAACAATTCGACCGATCCACCAATGCGCGTTGAATTTCTGAAAATGGATTTCTTTTCTTTTTGAGGACAACGACGATGCGTGTGCTCACCACGAAAATGTGGATGAAGTCGCCATTCGCGAATGATACCGTTTTGCCTTTGATCGGCGCTCGCTCGTCGACACTTCCGTCGTAATCGCGTTGCGCTTGAACGGCGAACGCTACATGACGTTTCTGAAATCCCAACAATTTGAGTTGAGCGCAACAATAAATGAGAATTGACCCTAGCGCCTTCGAGAGCCTGAATCGCCGAAATGTGCTCGTGATGCTTTCGACGTCGCTCATCAACACTACTATTATGGATAATCGGGATTCCGGGCTTCAAAGAAAACCAATTGTTTTTGAATTGTAGGCTTCTCGTTGTTACCTCTTTCGACGATGATTTGTAGGAATGAAGGTAGGCTTGAAGATTCTCGCGTGCGACGCTATGCATTTCACGTTGAACCCAGGAAAAAAGAATAATGGTCCAAAAAAATCTTTTTTTTTCCTCCTCGGGTTCATTTGTGTCAATCAGCCGCCGCTGATTCGATTTGGCATGGGCACCTCGTTTACCAAAACCGCCCGCCCCGTTTTTCGTTGTGGCTGCTGGCACATAATTTTTTTTGTCCGAAGAGTGGGGGACCCCCCACACCGTCCGGTTTCTCTTTGCACAGGTGTCAATGCGGGGGAGTCATTAGGCTTAGGACCGCGCGTCTAATGGTCCCACCATTTTTTTTTGAGTGTGGTTCGTTGCGGTGTTGCGCGTTTTCGAGGACACTTTGAGCCTAGTATTAAACAATGGACGATAAATGGTGCGATCCAGATGGATGAATGCGTTTATTTGAATATATGTTCGGACGTTTGCTGATCGCGATGGCGAAAAACGTGCGTCCCCCAATATGGTCGGACCATTTCAGGTCCCTTGAGTTGAAGGAAACACCCTCGAAACGTCAACATGTCAATGTCGATTTGAAAATTGGCGACTCAAAAAAGAATCTTTTTTTTCTTGTCTTATTTTTGGACGGCGACAGATTGCGTGCATTATCGCCGGGTGTCATCAATTCGTTGGGCGTCGCATCGCATCGTCTCGAGGTGTCGAAATTGGGCAAACAATTTTGACTGGTAGTTGATTGTCGTGTTGGTTTTCATTGGCGCCACACCCATCCATCCACCCCATCGATGAGGCAACGCGATAGCGATTTTTGAAGGCGATTAGCGCGCGCACCGCGCGGCGGGGGCGAAATTTGAATTTGTTTGGTGTTGCAGCTGTGGCGTTGGGTGGCCTGCCTGCTTGGTTTTTCTGTTTGAATGGATACACGCACCCAGATGGTGTGGCGGTGGCGGAGGCGAATCGCAATTAGCCATACACCACCTTGATGACCTTTTTTTTTGAATTAATGGAAAGAGGAGAGGCCGCCGTCCGCATCGCTTCCTACGCGCCACAATTATTGAATTAGACAATCAAGGACCGATTACGCTTCACGTGGTCCCTTCTCGCCGAGTGGGGGGCACAGCATCGATAAACAAAAATCGTGTGTATTGTATATTATCCAACAGATGTGTGCGCTCGTTGAAATGTGATTCCCTCGCAACACACAAAAAAAATGACGGGGCGACGAGGTCAGTCAGCTTATGGACGAAAGCGCAAAAACACAAAAGAGATGATCGAGAATGATACCGGAAATTTGATACGCGACGCCACGTTCCTCCCCACTCTGGACCATCGGAACTCATCGCTCATTTGGCGGAGGCTATTAGGTCATCATCATTGGTGGCAACGGTCAAACATGATGTGTTTGGGTGGGGGGTGTCGCCATCGGAATTACCGTAATCCACCTGAGCAAATATTGAGTTTTGAGCATAAGAGGGGGGTTATGTAATAATACGCTTTCAAGAATCGAGATTATTATTTTTTTTTTTTGGAATCGAAAAAAAAACCATTTTGCGTTTGATTTTTGGGAATCGTGTCACATCGTCTTGTCTCGTCTCCCAACCAACCAACCATTTACGGGGTGCGTGTGTATATTGCGCATGAGTTACAGCCCGACGTCGTCGGCGGCAAGATGAAAGGGGACGTTAGGCTGGCTAGCGAAACGCGGAGGGTGGTCGACTCGACTCGTCGCGCATGTTTGCCGTGTAATCGTTTCGATTCATTTTTTTCTTTCTTCGGCTGAATGTTGAGATTCAAATATGTCGCTTCTCGATTTTCTATATACATTTATTTTTTTTGCCTAGTGTTCGTTTCGAGACCTTGAATGACGGGGGTAATAAACCTTGGAAAAGCGAAACCTCTCCCCCCCCCTAGCCGCCATCATTTCGGCCCGCCGCTAAATTATTAGGTTGCCCGAACGTGAAGCGGTTTTTTGGCTTCTGCTCGGGGCTTTATAGTTTTCCACGCGAGACCCATCAAGAACTAGCAACAACAACAAAAATGAATATTGGCGCCCAATTTGGATCAAATTAATTAGCGCAACGCGACCGCGACGCGTGTCTCACTCATGTCTCAATTGTCTTAAATGGCGGCCGGGAAGGGATTGCCAAGATTTTATCAAGCGCGGCAATTTAATGATAATTTATTCGCGTCGTTTTCAAATCGTAAATCGGTGGCTTTGGTATTGGCGACCGGTTCCGTGTCCCCCTTTCCTGCTATCGGTGTCCTATGTCGCGAGCCTTGAAGGGGGGCTGAAAAAAAAACAAGAAGCGTCAATTGTGTCATGGGCCACACACAATACGGCGTTTTTCCACTGAACAATGCTCTCGCAGCGATTTTTTTTTTGTGTAACGCGCATCATCATCATCATGAACAAAACGCATGGCGATTTAAAGGAAAAAACAATAGAGATGCATGATTTCAAAAGCATTATATATATTTTTGGTTTGATTGTCGTCGTCGTCGTCGCATTTTTTGTTTTTTAAATATATTTTGAAACGATGTAAAGCGGCCCCCCGGAAATATTAGGGTTGGAGTTGGTCCGTTCGCCTGGCTCGTATTTGTTTCGGTCTCGACTAAAAATATCGTTTCGTTCAAGTGATATCCACTTGTTGTTGCACAGTTGGGTGTCATCACCCAATATGATCGTGTAAACAGGCAGCGGCCGACGTCGGCCGCACCTCAAACTCATCGACGCCCCGAAAGCGATTTGAGAGCGTTACGGTAGGAGCGGAGCGCGAACAAGAGCCGATGCTTGTAATTGAAGTGGTGTATCTTGACAAATGAGATACACACACTCAAACACAACATTGACATATATCATTATCAGCGGTTTTGGCGTACTTGAGAGCCCCCCCCCCGTGTACGGTGGGTGGGCGGTCACGCCCACATCACGAATTGTCTTTTGTCGCGCGCCGCACGGTAGCTTGATTGTTTGGCGGGCGCCTCTCTCCGTTGAGACTCTTTGACTTCCCGAGAAGTACGGTAAGTGGGACATTGTCAACTTCCGGTGGTCCAGCCCCGACTAATTATGGAGAGACACCGTCAGCTGGCATTTAAGCTGCCACTCCCCCCTACTTCCTCCCATATGTGTTCATTCATAATCGGTCGGTCCCACCTGGTGTGTGTACGCTTTCATTCTTCCCCCTTTTCCACCTTCAATTAATGTATGCGCCAATAGTTTTAGGAGTGCAACACAAGCCTTTCATCTTTGCCGCCGCGACCATCTTGATGGTTTTATTATTATTAATATTATTATTATTCAATTTTGTTCATTTTGATGCATCCATTGAAACATTAGATGTGATCCAATTTTCTTTTTTTTTTATCCCAATTGATTATGATTATTGGGATGGCTATTATTGGGGGGAGGAAGCAACAAGCGAACGACGACCAATTTTTTGGGGAAAGCGAAATAGCGGGTAGGTGGCGCTGGGGGGGGGTCGGAATGGACGTTTCGAATGATTTACTGCGCACATTGTGGTGTTGGCGGCGTAAGGCGAAGACTGGGATGATGAAGACGAAAAAAAAAAACTAACATTCGAGCGATGCGTCGCCGCTGCCGCTTTTTCAGTGTACCAATTTTTTCGCCGGTCTCTCTCTCTCTCTCTCTCTCTTCCCGAAAACTTACCGTATCTGATACGGTTTTTGGGTGTGGCCATTTTCTGTACGCGTTTTGCCTACTAATTATGACAAATTTAGGTTATTTTTTTCCCCAGTGGAAGCAGAATATTTATAATTTTTCTGAAAGATTTCTTGACGAGAATTGATGGTCCCGATTGATTTGATTTTCGTGTTTTGGTGAGAGAGAGAGAGAAGAGATGACGCCTTCATGTCGTTATCACACGAGTGTGACGAGCGTATAAATGTATGTATCTATTTGTTCTTGAATTGCGCAACAAGTCTTTATGACCTGCTAACTGAATTGTATCAATATGTATTTTGTTTTTTTTTTTTTGACAGAGCTTCAGTGCCTTCTAAAATCGATGCGTTATATTTATGATGTGAACAGATGACAGATTCGGGCACTATTTTACACACACACCACCCATAGTCATTGAGACGGCGTAGTGCGCACGCCATCGCCCTCGTTTAACGATTAACGATGACACACCATGGCGCAGCTTGTCCTTCAAAAAATTTCAAATGTCCAGGGTGGGCACGCGAAATCTAGGGCGATACGGGTGGTGGTGCGACAGAGCGGGGGGCTCCATAAATTATTTGGTGAATCAATTAGCATAGTGATCGAAAATGCAAGATATCGCGTCGCCTTGGAAGCTACAGTCATTTGGAGCTTGCGAATTGTTGTTGTTGTTTTTTTGTGTCAATGCGATTACTGTAGGTTGTGAACTCCGTCGCGTCATATTTAATTTTTCCTTTTCGTCATGCTTGATTTTAACTAGGCTTTCTTTCTGATCTATTGAATTTTTTTCGTTTATCGGCGACGATTGCACTGAAAAAAAGGTAGTTATTAGGAAAAAAATCATTTTAGGCGTGATTTTGTCAATGTGATTACTGTAGGTCGTGAGCACCGATAATGCGGAAGACGTCAATTTTTTTTCAACGTGCTTAATTTGACTTGTTTCCTTGGGTTTTCTTCTCTATTTGAATTTTTTCTTTTATCGGCAACGTTTTCACTGAAAAAAAAAAGAATTTTAGACGCGTTTTTGTCTATGTGATTACTGTAGGTCGTGTACACCGACACGTCATAATGCGGACGGCGTCGATTTTTTTTCGACTTGCCAAATTTGTTTTTTTCTCGGTTTTTGTGTTCAATTGTACTTATTCATGAAAAATTAAAAATTTTGAATAAAATTACACTAAATTAGAATTTTTTTTCTGCATACCTGCATGTGAAAAACGAGTAATTTTTTAAAACTTTTTCATTTCGTGATTAAGTCCATCAATGAACGTGTTGTAAAAAATAACTGTTGTTTTTTTTTTCGTCTGAGTTTGAGATTTTTCTCACGGAACAAAAAATATCGGCGTCTCGAATTTCTCTTCGGAATTGGCTGTGAGATCAATCGGATTCGTTTCTTTTTGATGAATTTTTGGCAAAAAATGTAAAAAAAAAATACGTTTATTATGCATTTCAAAACGTATAATTTGAATAATATACATATAAATAGCATGAGTAGGCCAATGAATAGGATGGTTGTGAAACGAGAGACGCCGACGCGAATTCAATGTGATAAGCGTCATTAATTGGTTCTCTTTTTTTTTTGTTTTTCAGATGGTTATCGATGGTCCAAATTCGAATTGGAATCAAGATTGCGTGTGCAACGCATTAATTAATCATTTTGTGCCGAAATTACCTTGAGACAAATTTGACGCGGCGAGAAGAAGTGTGCGATTAGATTTCGATCGAGTGCGAATCCCACCGACACCAATCGTTTAAACAATGGGTGCGAAAGGGGGGCTTGGTGGGGGCGCGCGCGCGGACACCATGGTGCGACACCATGATTTGAAAAAAAAAAACACACACACACATACAAAGTATTTTGAGCGGAGGGGGTGTCAAATTTGGGTGTGAGAGTTGGCGAGAGTCGCGGCGAAATAGTGTGGCACCACGCGAGACGCAGGTGTAGAGACGCAGCGCGGAGACGCAAGGCGGAGTGGTGGTGGTGGTTTTCGTCCTTCTTCTCCGTTGTGTTGTTATTACTACGCTTGCCGCCCCACACTCCTGCCTTCCCTTCCCCCCCTTCCCCCCCTCGTCTCCTCCTTCACCGACATTCGGTGCGTTTTGGCACGGCCGGCCGGTCGGTCGGCCGGTCCCTCTCGGCCCGGCCGTCGTCGCGTCTCTCATTGTGTGAATGTCTCAAAAAATGAATTTTTTCTGTTCCCCCCCTCCCGCAACGGTCAATTGTCTAAATTTCAATTGACGCGTATTTCTACGGACCACTATGTTTGAAATTTTCTCTCCCTCTCTCTCTCTTATCAAATTATCATTTTCTCTCTCTCTCTCGGTTTTTTTCAGTTTTCACCGAATCTCTTATCATTTTTGCTGTGTCGGCGTCGCTTTGAAGTTTGACTTCGAATCGGTTTTGAAATTGGTGTTATTTTTTTTTGTTGAACGCGATCATCACACGAAAATGATTTATAAGGCTTGATTGGTTGCCAATCGCGTTTTTTTTTTTGGGGGGGGGGAATAGAAAAATGTGTTGATTTGCGTTGAAGTTGATTCGAATTTGAATTACCGCGCAAAACAAAAAAAACCCGAAATGCGCGTTGAAAAAAGATCTGGAAAATTTTGTGCAAACTACAGTATTTTCATTTTCGAACAAGAAAAAATGCATTTTTTTGTGTTGATTCTCCCATTCTTGCACCAAAAGCCATGCCATTAAGCCACGCCCACCTTGTTTGGTCCTCATTGAGTGTTCAAAATGAGAGCGTCGTCGTCGTCCGCGCGTCATAGACACCCGTTCGGCCTTTTTAGTCTGCGCGCGCGCTCGCTCGCCTCGCATCACAACCCGACCTGCGCACCTGCTCTTCCCGCCAATCTGCACCATTCGATTGGTGTCGTTGCCGTTGTTGCACACCATCGTTTTTGCCATCTATGGTCTCGACTCACCCTGACTGTCTGAATGGGGGCCGGTTCTAATTTTTGTTATTCGTTGTGTTTTTTTTTTTGAATTTCTCATTTTTCCCGCCGATTCTCTTTTTTTTTTGTGCATCCGATTTGAGATTTTTTGGGATAATTCCCAAATTTGTCGAGATAATCGCCTCATTTTTGTTTTTTTTTTTTTCTGCCCAATTTTCCACTTTTTAATTTTTTCTTTCGTCAAAAATTGAGACCTCGTGAACATTTTTTCCCCCAATTTTATTCTCATTCTTCCACGCGTTTTTTCTCTCTCTCTTCGCCTCGTTATTTTGTGATTCGCCAAATAATTTTTGTTTGTTGTTGTTTAGATCATCAAAAAGCCGAATCCTCCCGAATGCAATAGAAGATGATGGCTGATGATGAGGTTGGCGACGAGGTGAAGGTGTTTCGCCGCGACGAGGACGCCGATGACGACACCATCGGCGAATCGTCGGAGCAGCAGCTAGCCGATGACAAAAAGGAGGCGGTGCTCGAGGCGGAACTCGAAGCCGGACGAGCGGCGCCATCGATAATTGGCGGCGGTGGTGGTGGTGAGTTGGTGATTTTGTTTTTGGTTTTTTTTTGGCGACTTTTAGTTTAGCCCCCGGGGAGGGGAGGGGAACCCATCAAAAATTTTGTGTGATAATGAGCTAGGTGTTGGTGCCATCTCGCTGTGCACGTAATAATGGGATTTTGGGGGAATTGAGGAGATTGAAGATATTTAGAAGAATGGATTGATGGAATATTTATTCACATTTTCACTCGCCATGATATTTCTTTTTTTTTTCTTCGAATCGTTTGTTTGCGCGGGATTAGCAGGATGTCTCGCGTTGATGATGATGATGATGGTGGTGGTGGGCAACGATGGGAAAATGTTGCGCAATCGCCATAATTAGTGCCTACTTGTCCGATTTACTAGAGGGATTAGCGTTGCTCGAAAACGATTCGACGAACTTTCAGACACGAAACCCGGATCGGCGTTCATCAAACCCGAGCCGTCGCCGTCGTTTCAAAATTTGATGCCGGGCCTCATGCACGGGAACGCGTTCAGTCCCAATTATGCATTTCCAATGATTATGCCGTTTATAATGGTGAGTTCGGTTTTTATGATGTTTCTCTCGAGAAAAATAGCGCCTAGCAAATTTTTTTTGGCGCGTTGGCGGACGATAATTAGAAGGGCGGCGGATACGGTTTGAATCGCGTGTCGAATCGAAATTATTCTCGACCCTCTCTCTTTTTTTTCTTTTTCGTTTTTGCAAAATGTGTCAAGAGTGGCGGGCGCGCGCGCGCGAGCGAGCGGCTCACACCAATTATTGTTTTCGATTTTCAACCATAATTATGTTGGTAGGGTATGAAAAAGGCGAGAAATGACACCTTCGCCCGTCCCGCCCCGCCCAACCTTCCACCAATGCGCAATTATTGTCGTGGTTATTGTTGCGAGGGGGGTCAGCAGGCGTCTCGCATTGTGTGCTCAAGAACAAAAAAAAAACGAATGAAATGCGACAATAGCGGGTGGGGGATGAACTAATTGCTTCCGGTTTTTGAACGTCGTGTGTCAAAATAATAATAATAATACTACGACCCCCATATACGGTATCGTTTTTTTTAGAGTCCTTCCGCTTATGGGCTGAGGCCTGGCCTCTCGCCGAACTTCATGCTGCCGATGCACGCGCTGAGCCCGTCGTTCAACATGTTTCCCGGCAATCCATTTTACGGCGCGGCCGCGATGGCGGCGGCGAAGCAGCACCTCGAGAACGCGGTGCCGCTGGCGGCGAGTATGCGCGGTCAGCCGCTGAATCCGGTACAACCATTATTTTCAGCGGTTCACTTTTTAACTCGTTTTGTTAGTTTCAGCTGAATCAGATGCGAATGCCACCTTATTTGAATCCGAGCGGCTCGAACGGCGATAAGCGGTCGAACGGCGGCGGAAAAATCAAGAAGGAGGATCACATCAAGAAGCCGCTAAACGCGTTCATGTGGTTCATGAAAGAGAATCGGAAAAAGTTGCTCGATGAGATTGGCAACAATGAGAAGCAGAGCGCCGAGTTGAATAAGGAGCTTGGCAAACGATGGCACGATTTGCCCAAAGAGGAGCAGCAGAAGTGAGTTGGATTGGATTGAATTGGATTGGATTATTTTTTGCTGCTTTTTTAGATATTTCGATTTGGCGAAGAAGGATCGTGAGGATCACAAGCAGAAATATCCGCAATGGTCGGCGCGCGAAAACTATGCGGTGCACAAGAAGAACAAGAAGAAGCGGCGAGACAAGAGCGTCGGTGAGTTTCCTTCTCGATTTGGATTCATCGATTCGTCTAGCCTCGAAAATTTTAGTGTCGGAAAACAGCGATCAGAAGAAGTGTCGAGCGCGATTCGGCGTCAACAATCAGGAGATGTGGTGCAAATTTTGTAAGCGAAAGAAGAAGTGCGAGTACTCGATGGATCGCGGCGGAAGCGCTGATCCGTTGGGCGGCGGCGGAAGCGGCAGCTCTGGCGGCGAGCCGGAGCGCGTGTTTTCGGCCGGCTCGTTGGGACGATCGCCGGTGGCGTCGTCGCTGAGCCGCTCGCCGCTGACGGCGAACGCCTCCGACAGCGAGTCGGACATTGACGACGACGACGAGGATGAGGAGGTGGACGTGGCGATCTCGCAGCAAGCGCGAGAAGTCATCATGCAGGAGATGTGTCCGATCTAGTGATTCCAGTGTGACTTTCCCGTGTTCCTTGCCCCGCCCCCCACCCCACCCATTAGGATCCAATCCGATCCGATCCGATTCGTCCCCAGGTCCTCATATTTATATATAGCTTCTCGGGAATTCGTTTTTTTTTTTTTCTTCTTCGTTGATTTATCGCCAACGCAAACACATAAGAATTATCATCTTCACGCAATTCGGGTTGTATGCAAAATGCTGACTGATTTCTTATATTGTTTCTTAAACACTATCACTAACTATATAATATATATATATAAATATAAATATGTGTATTATCTTATATGCTATTTTATTCTAGTTTTAAAAGCGCTCGAAATGCTCAATAAGTTATTTTCCACTTGTTTTATAATGAGATTAATTTGCGCATGGCAAACTGTTTTCTTTTTGCGATCACTTATAATTTCCAAACTCTTTCGTTATTTTTTGTTGTATATAGTGATCTTTTTTGTCAATTTTGTTTTTTTTTTCTCTCTATTTTTCCTTCTTCATCATTTTTTCTTTGTGTTTCACAGCCCACAACATTCGTTTCTGTTTCTTCACTTAATAAAATTCCATTCTTTGTTCATGATATGAGACACAAATACGAGTGAGAAATGCGAAAATGAGGGAATAGTAAGGAAAAAGAAGAGCCCGAAAATGAATATGATCATAAAGCGATAGGTTTTTGTTGGTTGTGGAGAGCCAAGCGAAAATATTTGAAAATCCCCCGTGTTGCCAAATTTTTTTTGTTGGATTTTTGACTATTTTGAACCGGCCGCCGCCGCTGCCGCGCGTATCGCTGCTCGCTCCTTCAGCTTCTCGGCGTAGCTTTTTTTGACTTCTGGTGGCGGTGGTTTGACGTTTCGTTTACCGGCGGCGATTGCGCTGAAAAATGATGATGGGAATAATGAATTTTAGGCGTGTTTTTGTCAATGCAATTATAACTGTAGGTCGTGAACACCGACACGTTATAATGCGGACGGCGTCGGTTTTTTTCTCGTCATGCATTCCTAATTTGTCTTGTTTTCTCGGGTTTTCTGCTGTATTCAAATGCGCCTATTTATGAAATATAAAGAAAAATGTAAAAATTGCTTTTTTTAATAATATTTGTGTGGAAAAATGTGTAATTTTTACATTTTTTTGCATAAATAGGTTCATTTCATTTTCCTGTTGTTTTTTTTTGTCAGATTATCATTTAAAATGGTGTTATAACTTGTTTTTTTCTTCACCAAACAGAATATTTTTTGCTGAATTTAAAACTAACAATTTTCAAATAAAATATTCTGTTTGGCTCACATATTATAAGAAAATTAAAAAAAACTCACAATACTGATACGTATAGCTAGCACATCACAATATCGAACGTCGATTTAACTACCTGAACGTAGGCTTCTTCTCGACTTTCGGCGGTTCGACTTTTGGTTTTGGAAGGCATGGAAATGCCTGCTCCTCGTAGGAATACGAGCAACTCGGCTCAGACGTCTTGAAAAAAAAGGGGAGTGTTCGATTATTGCAGATTATCAATTACCTTTCGACGCGTCTCGCTCTCGCTGCTCGCCGGCGTCAGCGGACATTGCGTCGGCGTCGCGTTGTCCGATTCGCTCGACGTCACCGTCGTCGATTCCGACGGTTTGCGCGTTCGCGTGCCCAAACTCGGCCACACCGGCGGCGGCGTCGCCTCGACAGGTCTCGGACCCCAATCGGTCTCGATTCGCTTCGGCGGCGGCGGCTGTGGCGGCGGATTTCGTCGTGGCGCCGCACCACCTCGTCGATAATTTGGTCCTCGATCATAGGATCGTCGATCGAAATTGAGCCTCTCATAATTCCTCGAGCTATTATTATACGCTCCGCGATTGTTCGAATAGCGTCGCTCTCGCGATGACGTCAACTCCGAATCGTGCTCTTTGCAATTATGATTTCTACCCTTATGTTGCTGCTGATGATTGCTATATCGAAACGCGTGTTGCCCATTGGCGATCGGCGTCGAAGCCTCCTCCTCATCATCATCATCATCATCACCGTCGTCGTCCCGTTTGTTTGATTTGCTCGTTGGCCCGACACGCGTGTGAAACGTTTGCGGCCGATAAGTGGCCACCGGTTTGAAGCCCAATCCGCAAAATGTGCGTCCGAGTTCGGCTAATGGTCCCATGTGCGGATTATTCGACGCCTCCGGCGTCGGATCCGGCAAATGCTCGACGGTGATCGGCGGCTGCTGCTCGAGAATATGAGCCGGAGGTCCGCCGGTCTTGATGCGAGCCTAGAAATTCAAAAACCAAAGGTGTTTCGAAACCCCGAATTTGTCCACTAACACACATCGGCCGATTGTTGAACATCACCTCAATGCCCTGCAGATGAACGTAGGCGTCCTGCGTCTGCTCTTCGGTCTCATATGTCACATACCAGCTATCATTCATTCCATACTTCAAATCCAAATATGGCGGACCGCCGGCGAGCATTTTCTCGACTTCCTGCAAAAACTCGTCATCGATTAACGCGACGATGGTCCGGCCCTCACATCGCGATGCTCGGGCGCGATTTCGCGCAATATAATCGTGCAGCGTTTCGTGATCGGTCGGACCTTCTCGCCGAGCTCGTCGACCTCAACAACGTTGGATTCTAGAATTGCGTCTAATTCGATGATGTGCGCCACCGCGTTGACCTACCGCGAAGGCATTCGACGATCAAATCGTAATCATCGGTGAGCTGCACGATTTTCCGGAAGCCGGCGATCACCGATATCGGCACGTACATCTCGGTGTCCATTTGGCAACGCAAATAGCGATCGGTCATCAAGTTCTCTCTAGAAAATTTCGTTTTTGACGATTAAGATTCGTTCAAATCGAGAAGAAATACCGTGAGAAATAATATTCGAGTTGTTTTTTGAGTTGAACGCGCCGCTCGGCGGCCGTCGCCGGCTGTTGCAGCTGCTGCTGCTGCTGCTGGTGCTGCTGAAATTGGTGATGATTGAACATTGGCGTTGGCGACATCGCCGCGCTCGGCACAATCGGCGTCGGAATATCGATTTGCATCAGCTTCTCTTTGCACTCGCGTGTGAACCAATACGGCAACGGCGGCGCCGGCGACTGCGACGATGGCGATTGGGCGACACTGGCGGCGATCGCCGCCGCGTTTTTGTCGAGATCGCCGACCATTCGCTCGATTTGCGATTTGTCGATTTGGATAGCCTGTTGGAACGGAAAATTATAATCGGTGGATTATGGTTTTTCTATTGGTTTTTTTCTACCCAACCTCCAAAGTGCTATTTTTTGCAGAATTTTTTCTAAATGCCAAAAATAATTAGAGAAGAGGTCTCGGTGCGCCTGCAGAAGCCCGAAAATCGACACTTAGTTTTGCGACAAGACCATTTTCATGGTTTTTTTTGGAATTTAGCCAAATTTGATTCTTTTTCTGTTCATTCCATTTTCTTTTGGTGGACGATTTGAATTTGGCGCACCCAAATTTGTTGGTCCCATTTGGAAAATCGAATTACGTTATTTGAAATTGTCAGAATACTAAAAATTGTTGAAAATTTATGAATTTGATCAATGGCAAAAAATCGTCCGATTTTTTTCTATTGATTTTTTTGTTGACACAAAAAAATTTGCAATCAATTCGAATTTTTTTTGTGTGATTTTCACCGTCGTCAGAAGTTTTCAGACTCATTCCATTCATTTTGCCTTCTTTTATTTTTGATGTTTTTCATCTGATAAGAATGGCGACGATTGTTTGCTTCCGGCGGGTGAAAAAATCTCGCGAATGAATTGAATTCAACGAACGCACCTTTTGGACGACGTAGTTTCGCGGAGAGATCTCCGAGCAGATGTAGAAGCAATCGGGGTCGAGCTCAAGCGAATCCATATTTCAAAACAATACGTCGCATCCACGTCATTTGAGGGTGGCGGGGGGGGGGTTGAGGAATGAGGGTCCAAAATCGACGACACACACACACACAAACACACAGCGACGACGACAAGCGCGAGGCGAGAAAGAGACGGCCGACCGCACACTGCCAATTTCGATGGTTCAGGCACGAGGCATTGCAGTCTGGCCGGCCACATTCAGCCAGTGGTTAGAGACGCAGAAGAGAGACCCCCGACGCGCTCGAGGTGTTTTTTGTCATTTATTTCAGCGCGTCCTCGTTGCTCGTCTCTTCCCATCCCACACTTTTTTTTCTTCTTCTTCATCGTCTTTTCTGTGAATGAATGAATGAATGAGATGCTTATGGGATGGGGAGAATTGATGGACGGCAATTTTTGAAACAATTTTTGGTTGGAATGATCGAGATGGATTGGAATTTGCTTGGATTTGAGCTAGACGATGAATTGAAAATTGCAGTGGAAAGAGATGGAAAAATGGAAAGTGCACTCAGGCAAATCGAATAAAATATTTTGAGATTTAATTGAGAAACTAACGTGTCTCTATAATATTTTAGATTTTTCTCAATCAACTTTCGAAATGATTAGATGATTTTAGAATTTATTGAGATAGTTTAGAAATTGCTCAATAAATTTTAAAAAATCTTATAAGATTTTAAAAAGTATTTTTAAGTTTATCGATTCTCAATAAGTTTTAGAAAGTATTAATAAATTTTCGAATTTCTCAACATATTTTAGAGCTTATCATTGAACATTTGATTCTTAAAATATTTTATTTGATTTTTTTTCTTGATGAAAATTTCATTTTGGACATTTTTTTTTTTCAAAATTTCCTTCTATTTTTTCTATTGCATTCCTGAATGTATAGGAATTGCAAAAAGTGTATTTTTTGTTTGAATTGAATAGCATCTAGACGAAAATTTGATAAAAGCCTTCAAAAATTCATTGAATATTGAATTTGCGATTTTATGAGAAAATAAAAGCGCCTCGTAAAACACGTCTCAAATTGTGTTTTTCTTTGTTTCGATTTTTTTTTGGTTTTTGTTGTTGTTGGAAAAATTCGATGAAAATTGGACGATTAATGCCGAGATTTTTGGTGAATCGTCCGTGTGGACTACACGCGTCGTGAAATGTGGACGAGAAATTGTCGGCGCGACGGCCACCGCGTTTGAATTTTTTGATTTGTTTTTTTTTGGTCGCGAAAAATTGTACATTTTTTGAGAGTTTCCAATGGACGAATGGAAGGAAACATTTCGAGCCATTTATGGGAAATCGCCGACAGCTGAGGATCTCGAATTGGCGCCGAGTTGCCTAAAAGGTTGAGGAATTTTTTGTTATTTTGAAATTAAAAAATATGAAAATTGGTGTTTAGAAAATGTTCCAAAAATTGAGAAAAGCCCGAAAACTCAGCAACGCGGTGTGAAGCGAAAAGCGTTCGCGATGAAAATGCTCGACGGCGAGGAATTTAGTCCGGTTAAAAAATGGGTACTAATTTTGATTGTTGAAAAAAAATTGCAAATTTTTGATTTTGTGTTTCTCGTTGTGCAGAAGAAAAAACCGACGGACGAGGCGTTGACGCCAATTCGGAAATCGCCAAGAAAACGTTTGGCGCCACCGCCAAAATTTGAGATGGCGTCTGTCTCGCCGCGAAAACGAGCAACAATTGTCGATTCACCCGAAAAATCGCTCGATTTCACGCCGACAATTGTAGGTTTTTCTACATTTTTCTTTGTGGAAAATCATCAAATCAAATCGACGTCATTTTTAGAGTAGCTCAACAAAAAAATGGCGACAAATCGATATCGATGCGGTCTCGCCGCGAAAAATCGTCGCCACATCGTCGACGCCGATCAAATCGCCGGTAAAAATCGCGTATCAGCGTCAGCTAACTGTGAAAAAGGTGAGCTATTTTGGTTTGAAGGCAATGCGCGAAAAAAAAATCGAAAATTTGGGTTGATATTCCCAGATGAAATTGAGAATTTCCCACATTTTTCCAATTTTTGATATAGGGAATTCGAGGAAAAATACATTTCATAAATTAAATTAAACGCAGAAAATATAAAAATTAAAAATTGATTATCCTTTTTCTTTTTTTTCATTTCAATAAAGTTATTTTCTATTATTGTCGGTGTCAAACGATTGGAAGGAGGCGGGGCTTGAAATTCGCGAAATCAGTGTAGATTTAAATTTGTCGTTGACTGAGTATTAAATGCGCGTAAGCTATAATGCAATGTACGCAATTTCGCGAAATTCTCGCTGCCTCGAGACACTAGCCAGTTTTTTTGTAAATTTCCGACAATAATATGAAATAAAAATGTAAAAATTCAATATTTTCGTTGCAAGACCATCGCGGAAATTCAAATATAAATTACAAAAACGCTATTTTCATTCATAGTAGTACTAGAAAATTACCAATTTCTTTAAATTGACTTCCTACATGAAATCTCCAACAATTTTAGACTCCCTGTGTTTCGATTTGCAAAAAAAAATCAAATTCGACAAAAACCCAATTGTTTGCCGACATTTTTAAAAGGGCCAATTAAAAATTGCGCGTTTCTTTTGCTGTAAAATTGATTCGACCATCCGAATGTTGAAAAAAATGGTTCTTCTTTTTTTTCGGCTCAACTTTGATAATGTTCTACGCTGTTCTGAAAGAATCTATTGATTCACAGGATTCTGAAGAGCGCGACGTTGATTGAAATGCGGGAAGACCTCTTTAAAATTTTTTTTTTGCAGATGCGCAATAGCAATTTTTTATTTGAATTTTAGTGTTTTTTTGCCAACAAGGAGAAAAAATTGGATTTTGAAGTATAATATTTTTAAATTTATTTTTCGAAAGGCCCGCTAGCCAGATATTTTGCCGAATTGTCTGAAAAATTCCGATTTGCTCTTCCCAATCGAGATTCAAAAAATAATGTTTATTCTTGGCGCTATGCGAATTTTGAAGTTATTTGCAGAAAAAATCGAATCATAAGAGAGTTGAAACTACATTTTGGAAAATTTGGAGAATTTACTAAAAAAAAATCACCAAATAAATAATGTTTTTGTGAAAATTTGACTAGTTGTCAAATCATTTAATCTTTCATCCAATTTCTTTTGATCCAATTCTATTTCGATCGATTGTCTTGCATTTTGCGTATTGCCTGAAAATCTCCGAGATTGTACTGGAACATTGATATTTTGATTTTGAGCCCAAAAAATGATCTATGAGGCAGTTGAGATAGTTGTGGCATTTCGATTTAATGAAGGCAATTTGGGTTTGTCGTTTTTGTCGCGCATAATTAGTCGGGGCAATTCGACTTTGTTTGCGCGAAATGTGTCACTAGGCGAATTGGCGGACCATCGAAAAGAATCGCGAAAACCCAAAACGTGGACTCATTGTTCTCATAGGTTGATGACGGAGATTTGTGAAAAATCATCTGCGGACATTTTTGAGATTTTCCAAAACGGCAGAGTTTGAAGAAGCGAAAGGGGCAAAATCGGTTTTTTTTTTTTACCTGGCCTTGTTTAGATGGTAGTTTTTTGCAGACATTCCCATCGATTTTGACCCCCCATTGACGCGTTTTATGTTTTTTTTTTGTTTGTCAATTCGAATGTAGATCAATTTTGGATAGACGGTCGTTAATTTGGTTCCCACCAAAAATTGCCTCTCATCATCCGCCAATGGAAATTTTTATGGGACCCCCCCCCTCGCACACACATACACACATAGGTTTGCGAGTCCCCCGACCCCCCCTCTTTCTCTTTTTGTTCTCTACTGGTGAACAATGGTTTGGTGTTTTGTAGTTGAAATGCGATTAAATCACTATTGGTGAATGTTTCAAAATCACATCACTACGATTCAGCCAAACACTTCGTAGGAAAACCGGTTTCGGTGTGCCAATTGGTTATGCGCAATTTGATGCGATTATTTTCCATATCTTCATTTTTTTTGCAGAATATTGGAATGCTTTTGATGGCGACGCCCGAGAAGAGGAGAGACGATGAGGCGGAGCTGATTGAGCACTTCGAGGATGAGACGTAAGGGATCGGATAAAAAAAAAACGAATTTCGAACTATGGTGCACATTAAAAGCACATAGGGTTATTTTCGCGGCAAGCGAATCATTTACAACAATTCTAATGGTGCAATGCTGATTTTGTGACAAAAAATACTCGCTGTGATGATGGTAGAAAAATCTTCGGCCACGACCGCGTTTTTTGAAGCCACAATTTTTTTCTTCTTGAATCGCTAAAAGAATCATGAAATTATATCATTATTATTTTTTTTAATCCAAGTTTTTCGATTACGATTGCTGATGGAATCAAAGGCGCATCTACAATTTTTTCGCTGCGATTTAAATAAAAATAATTGTGGTACTGTAGATTCCTGATCGTGGCCAAGTTTTTTTTTTTTTTGAAAAAACTGCATAATTCCATCAATTATTTAAATCGCATTCTTTTTTTTGCGTTTTGAGAAATTCCATGAAAGTTGTGGAAAACAAATGGCAAAGAAGCGATTGTTTCGCAAATTTGTCAGCAAAAAAATTCGCACCCTCATCGATTGGTGTCAATTCGCCACACGCCAATCGCATACGCGTTTTTGGTTTCAGGGCGTTTAATTTTGGCTATTTCGACGAAGTCCCCTTCTTATTCCGACGCGAGGCACTCGGGCTAAGAGTTATTTGCGGAAACCATTTCGCGTTTGTTCAATTAATGTAGAAATTGGGCAACAAGATGTCTAGAAAACCATTTTTTTGTACGCTTTAATCGGTTTAATTAGCGTTGTTATTTTAATTTTTGCGCGGCAAATTTACTCGAATCGCCATTTGATTTTTTTTTTTGGAATTGCCACCTTTGGGTCTCGTATGGAACAATTGTCAAGTCAATGGGGAAGAAAAAGCTCGATTTTCAGGACTGACGAGGTCGCCGCTGCCGCGCCGTGTCTCGCGCCGAAAACATTGAAGACGAAGAAGGCATTGGCGTCGAAGGCGAACTTCCAGAAGATCAATCTACGAAAGAAGACGTTCGTTCGCGGCAAAGTCACCGCCGAGCAGAAGCGAAAATTCCGAAGGAAGCTGATGTTCAAAAAGTCGGGCGGCGCTCGATAATGGAAGGTGGTTCATTTATTATATGAATTATTACTATTATTATTATTATTATGAGAATGAAGAGCAGTGAGATGAGAAAAAAACAAAACAAAACAGAATACACATCAAATGAAACACTATAGAAACATCGTTATCGGAGGGTGAGGCTTGCGGGGGAATCTAGAACAGAACACAGAGGGAAAGGAATGAGAGGTGAAAGGCACTGTTGGCAGAAGGAGAAAACAATAATATGGGGGGTGGAAAAAAGAGAGACGAAACAATGTGTTCCTAATTTAGCGTTTTAGGCGCTCTCGCGAAACTCCTTCGATGGAAGCGCGTTGTTCTCCTCGGTGAGGAAACGATCCCAGAGGTCGACGATGACGTCGTGTGTGAACACCGAACCGCTGTTGTTGTCGATGAGATGCGAAATGAAGACGCCGTCGGTTTTGAGCTTGTAGTCGACGAATTTGTCGAAGACGCGTTTGCCTAGAAGTAGAAAAACATATAATAATACTAATATATGAATAACCATGTGTAAACATTGTAAGGGGGGACCCCTGTTAGCGGACTTGGAACCAAACAAAAAAGAAAGAAAAGGAAAAGCTTACTGCTGTCATCATCGAGAATGCCGTCGACGCGCAGATACGAGGCGATGTGCGATTTTTTGGCGCTCGGCAAATAGAGTTTGCGTATCCAATTGAACGTGTTCATGATGGTGACGACGGCGACGAACGCGAGCCAGAACCAGAGGAAGACGTAGACCTTCTCGTTGAACATGTTGATCATGAGCACACATTGAACACTGTGGCGATGCTTGTTGCCGAGCACGCGAACCTCGAAATCGCACATGGTGACTCTGGAAAACAGCGATTTCATGTTTTTTGTTTTTCTTCCGGTTGTGTTTGCGCGCCGAATCGAATTTATGGCGCATGGAGGCGTCTATTTGAAGGCCTACGGTACAACTATCATTGGGCTATTGTCGTGGAATTCTGAGACACCTTACGATTCGCAAAGACGATACGATCGAAAATTTATCATTCAGGTCCCTTTAAATTCCAACAAATCGATATTTTGCGGCATTTTTACGATCGGCGGCGGCGAAAAAAAATTCATTCTTCCCCTCCCCAATTTATGGGCATCTTTTTTTGTGTGTGTGTGTGTCATCGTTATCATCGCACGCCGCGGGTTCCCATCGATTCGAATGCAAATTAGCGGCGCCGACATGTGTGAACGCGAGGAGGGCTGTGGGTGTCGATGGTCCCGGCCCCCCCCCCCAAATCGTACATGTCAAAGTTTAATCATTTCGATGGCCGCGCATTTTTGCCTCCAATTACGGCCCTGGGATGACCTTGCGCGCCTAACGAGATACGAATCATCGACCCCCCCCCCACGCCACTACACATCATCGGCCCCGTCGGTGCCGAGAGACACGCAAATCGATCGGTGTCGTTCGAGAACCTCGGAAAATGGCCGCTCTCCTCCCATTCGTGTCCGTGGAGAATGTCGCGAAGGATGCCGATGCCCCAGAACGTGTAGGTGGTTCCCAAGAAGCTGCAAACACTAGGCAATGAGAGCTCGGTGCAGCTGCTCGACTCACTTGTTGAGCATGACGAACTGGAAGACGACCTGAACGCAGTACAACACTTTGGTGAGCATGTAGACATTGGCGAGATACGAGCCACTGTAGAAGAATGCCGGTCCCTTGCCTGCAGAAAAAAAAATTGAAATCGAATAATTGTTGCTATTAATTTTTTGGAAGGCTGCCAAGGCCGCGCACACACACACACACGACAAACAAATTCAAAGATCAAGTCTTTAAAAGGGCATGGTTGTTTGAATGGGAGGCAAACATTAATTTTTGGAGAGTTAGTTTATATACATTTAGTTTGGCGACTGGAATTCGCCGACGCGATCAAATATGAAGCGAGGAAGAGAAAACGTTGGGCGCGATGTGATTATGAATTCGATTCTAGACGAGACGGGATGGAAATTACACCAAAAAATACAAATAAAGTGCAATCGACATTTTTTATTTAGGTTTTATGGCAAAATTCAAATTATAACTAATTTTTGAATTAAAAAATTTGAGAATGCGACAATTGTGCAATGAGATGTACGCGAAGCTGCGTACTTTGCATTTTAGCTTACGCGCAGAGAAAAATTTTTTTAGTTTTAAATTGAAAATTCGACAAACCGTATTTGGCGAATCGTCGCTGAAGGCTCAACGCCTCGTACATATGCGCGGAGGTGGCTTTGGCGCACTCATGGCGAGCCTTCTCATTGACCTTGTCGGCGTTGTGAGCATTGTACAACATTTTCTTGATGGCGACGCCCGAGTTGAAGTTGGTGAGTCGCCAGAACACCGACGGCAAATAGAAGAGAAGCGCTTGAAGGCCGAGAATGAACGGCACCCATTGGTAGTAGCCTGAAAAGCGCGAATTAATTTTTGGAGCAAAGCAAAGCAAAAAAAAATGAAAGAAGCCAAATTTACCGATTTCGGACGCCTCGCGATCAACAGTGGCGTCGGGAATGTATTTGTCGGGACGAATGAAGTAGGTGTTCTGCACGAAGCAATAATTCTCGCTGTACTGCTCCCAGGCGCCGGTGAACTGCGCCGGTATCCAGCACTGAATCGGCTGGCCGACGTACCTGCAATGATGGAATGATGGTTGGCTTCTCGAATCGATCGGATCGCCTCACTGTTTCGCGGAGAGCGTGAGCGCGAACAATATCAACAGAAGCGGCGTCCAATAATAATTGAGGCGATCGATGTCGTCATCGTCGAACTGCTTGTGAAGGCCTTTGAGGAAGATGTCCAGGAAAAACATGTGCTGGCCCCGATCGCAAGTGTCTCTTTAATGGAGACTGCAAAGCAAAACAATTAACAGAATGGAAATCGAGAGAGAGACAAATGTGTTCAAGGTCGCGAGCCTGAATCGAAATGCGCGTTTGATATGATAGAAAATGAATGAGGGGGGCGAGCACAGGCGTCGGCTGGAAACTGTGTGTATGTGTCTCTCTATAGCAGTAGCCGTCGTCGCTGTCGTCGTCGCGCCGCACGCGCGCGCCCCCCCTCTTCTCATCACTACAGTGCACTCTGCCGATCGGCACGCTGTCTCGCCGGACGCTCCGCCCCCCATTCGGGCCCGTGCGCGCGCTTCCCTTCCCTCTCAGCGATTCACGCGTTGCCTCGTTCGGCATGATGACAGACGCGCACAAATGTTGGAGATTTGCATTTTTTTTCTACTAAGTTGGGTCGGGGTGGACCCCCGCGAATTATCAAAAGTGCAATCGGTCACGCCACGATTTATTATTATCATAATTATTATGATTATGCTTATTAGGAACAATGAAAGTACAAGCTAGGAGAACGAATGAATTCAAATTTGCGTCTCGTCGTCGTAGTTCTTGAGAAGCGGCTCGGCGTCTTTGACGAGCATCGGCGCTGAGTAGGGCGGCGGATGGGCGGCGTTGAATTTGGACCACATCTCGTGAAGAAGCTCGCGAACCGGCGCCTTGCCGTTGTTGATCTCGATGAGACGCAACGTGAACACGGCATCTGGCGTCAGATGCTCGGTGACGAACTGTTGGAGTTTTCCGCGGTTCGTCTTCGCTTTAGCGTCGATCTGAATCGGTCAACTCGATCGTTTTTTTTCTGTGGCAATTGGTGTGTGCAACTCACGTCGTGAATGTACGGTTTGACGTACTCTTTGACGGCGTTGGTGCCGACCGATTTCACAATCCAATTCACAAAATTGATCATGGTGAGAACGGAAAGGCCGAACAGCCAGAACCACAAGCCGACGAAGATCTTCTCGTTGAACATGTTGATCATGAGGACGCATTGAACCGTGTGCTTGTGGAACGAATCGAGCACACGAACCGAATAGTCGCACATGGTGACGCGCGGGAAGTTGCCAGTCTCCGGCCAATCATGACCATTGTACAAATCGGCGAGCACCTCGAATCCCCAGAAGTGCGAGTCGACGGCGAGCATTTTTTTGAGGAGCGCGAATTGGAAGAGCACATTGAGCAGAAATAGGACCTTCATGAACTGCAAAAAGAAAGCCGATGATGGTTTTTTTTAATGAATCACGAACCAAATATGACATGAAGACAGCCGATTTGTCGGCAATCGACTGGTACTTGGTGTTGATGTGCAAATTGCGTCGTCGCTTCTGGCTAATGAATCCCGCCATGGTGACCATGGTACCCTTTCGGGATTCCTCGTTGCCCTCGTTCGCCGTGCACGTGTTGCACAACGCCGTCAGATTCTGACCGCACATTCCGTAGAGGAGACGCCAAATGACGACGGGCGTGTAGAAGAGAAGCGCTTGAAGCGCGAGAATGAACGGCACCCATTGGTAGTAGCCTGAAACGGTAATTTTCGGGTTTTCGAGAGAAATCGCACTAACCGATTTGTTTGGTTTGCGGCAACTCGGTGACATTCTTGCTCGGCGCCATCACGCTATCCCATTCGAACGCCTTCTCTTTCGCCTCGCCGATGAACGGCACAAAATAGGTGTTTTGGATGAAGCAATAATCCAGCGCGTACTCGCACCACCATCCCTTATAGTAGGCCGGGAACCAGCAATTGATTGGATTGCCGACGAAGCTGAAAATCGAGGTGCGATTAAATTTTTTGTTTTGTTTTAAAGATTACCTCCAGCCGGTGATGAACGCCGAGCACACGACGAGCGCGATCGTCGACACACAATAATTGAGCTTGTCGACGAAATCGCCGTCGGGTTGCGGCGAGACGGCGCTGAGCACATTTTGAAGGACGTTCATCGTCCGCGTCGAATGCGCGAATTCAGGAAAAGAGTTTTTGGGTGGAGAACCGTTGGCCAACAGGTAGCGCTAGGGGGGCTGCACGCAGAGGGTATTCGCAGAGGCGAAAGGATCGCAATTTTGCGTCGCCGCTCTACTCGATGTCGACCCGTCTGGCGTCTCTTCGCTACAGTTGCGTCACTCGTCGACGCTGTCTCCGTCTTCTGATTGTGGGCGGAGAGTTGAAGGGCGCGCCGGCGAGAAAAAGGACGCATGCGGAGTAGGAAAGGGTGGCGGGCGGCGGGGACCGATGAGGCAAATGTATATATTTTTTTTGGCATACATACACGCGCATGCTTTCCGACGGTCAAAACAAGACGATAAAAAGAAGACAAAAATGGCGAAGAACAAATAATAATAAAAAATTGCGTTTGGGAAGAACTAGGGAACATGAAAATTTGGGAAGTTGATGAGGAAAAATTCGAAAAAATGAAAGTGCCGTAACGCGCGGTACGCGAAATTGCGTACATTGCATTTTAGCGTACGCGCATTTTCACAAATCGTTTGAATTCAAAACAATATATAATTTTCTACTGCATTAAGAAAAAATTCGAAATTCAAAATCCCCATTCAAATTGTTCACAATTTTTTCTTGCAAAACAAAATTGAGTTTTGAAATATTGGATTGTTAGAATTGTTTTGTTTCTTTGGACAATAGTTGGGCATCCTTTTGTGTGACGAATAAAAAGGTTTCAAATCGGATTCGTCTCAGCGCAAAATCTTTTATTGTTGAAAAATGACAAATGTATCCAGGTGTCGTGGGATCCTGCGTTTTGTACGCAATGTGAAGAGACAGTTACCGTAATCCTCGCGGCGATTTTTTAATTTTCGTATTTTAATTTTTTTACTCGATTTTCCTATTTTCTTTCGAAATTGTTTATTTAAAATTTGTAGAAACCAATTTTAATTATGTTTTTAAAGCAGAATATGCACTGTTAAAGGATATTTTTTGGGTGAAATCAGCAGAGATTAAAAAAAAACATTTTTGTCGTTTATAAAATTATTTATTCATTTTTTGCTTCTTGCATGCGCTTCTATTATCTCGTTTTTGTATTCTTCATTTTCAAAATAATTTTTAGAGCGATAAAATCTTCACAATAATTCCCAACTCAACTTGACAAGTGGAAAAGTGCATATTCTGAAAAATAAATAATTAAACTCGGTATCTACAGGTTTTAAATAAAAGATTTCTAAAGAAAATAAGAAAATACAGCAAAAAAATTGAAAGAAATTTAAAAAAAAACTCAAAAAACCCAAGTTTTGTGTCAGCGAATTATTTTTGCAGGTTTTTGGTGAACCGCGACCCGCCAGTATCATTACCGAATTTTTTAAACATAATTTCAATACGCCTTGGGTCTCGCCACGATATTTGCTGATTTTTTGAAGACCCATTTCTGGCGTAAAAGCGTACTAGTGAAGTTCTTGGTTCAAATTGCCGCCGACATCATTCTGAATCGGGTCTCGATGGAAAATTATGAGGTGCCACAAAGTTTTCTTATAAAATAGTTCGGAATTTAAGGACCACTCAATTTTTTTCTTTAGCTAAAATCGATCACGAACCTTCACGTCGCTGAAAATTGCAATCACTTCTCAAGGGATTCGAATGACGAACTTCACAAGGTCCCATTTATTATTTTTTTCTTTCTTCTATTGAATAATTGATTATAATTAGAAATGTGGAAAGAATGGGTTGATAGTAGTTGTCAAGTCGTAAAAAGTTGAGCACGACCACCGCAATTCGCAGAATTTTCGGCCGTGGGGGAGGGAGCGGCACTCCTCGTCAATTTATGGTCCCGCCTCGACTCGCAAGTTCAAAAGTCGAGAAGCTTCCGTATCAATTCACCAAAAAGGTCGCCAATAAGCCTAATTTATAATTCATGAATCAACACCAAAAAAATTGAGGCCGATTCGAAAATTTTTTTTTCGAGCTGTCCGCCTCGCCGCAAATCTTTTCTCTTTTTGTCTTGTCGGAACATTTCAACACGTCATGGTCCCACCGGAGGAGGCGCCCAAACGTGTTCCCAATATTTCAAACCAATAATACGTTTTGGTTGTTGCCTCTTTCGTCTTGTTTAATCCTTTAATAACGGCTTGTTATTTTTTTTTGGGGGGAGGGGGGTTTTCTTCAAAACAAGCAAGTCGCCAACGAAAATCATGCAATTCTAATTCGGACCCCCCCCCAACCACCTTCTCAACTTTTCACCGAGATTTCTGAACATTACATTTTTCTCATGACTGATTGCCCGTTTCCCATTGCACTGTGTGCTTCTCCTCCTCCCCCTTAGTGGTCCCAATTACTTTCACCTCCTTGTCATACATCCACCCAAACATAATTGGTGGTCCCCACGGTGTTGTGCTCGCTCATTTCTTTCTTTCTTTTTTTTTTGATGTCTGTCCTCAAACTTGTTTCGTTGAAGGGTGCCCCGGCTTTATAGTGATGGGCAGAAAGATCAAATTGAAACGCGCTCTTGAGCTTGACGTGATCGATTTTGCCGAGAACACAAGGTTTGGCACGATGGATCGATCGAAATGGATTCATTGATTTCAGCGCTCATGGAATCCCGAGGGCCTACGTCTCCGTCGGATTCCGACGATACCTCTGGCTCTCATTTTTCCTCATTTGCCTATTCGCCTTCGGCTATCAAGCCTATTTGATTATTGTCCGATTCAACAGGTGCCACTTTCCCTCCTCAATTTTCTTTTTTTAAATGATTTACAGGAATGATATAATTGTTGGTGTGGAGATCAAATTCGAGGAGATCAAATTTCCGGCGGTTACTGTGTGCAATATGAACCCGTATAAGAATTCGGCGGCTCGCGAAATTGGCAGCATTCGGAATGCGGTACCTTTTTTGTGGCAAAACCCGCCCAAACTTGTGAAGCACTTAAAAATGCCGATTTTTATTTAAAAAAAAAATACTTTAAAAAATAATTGTGTTGCAATAGAATTTGAATCGCCGCCGTGGGTCTCGAATGGAAAACAAAAATCCATTACGAATTTGAAATGAGTTGGTTATTTTGGCGAAAATTCAAAATTTTCAAATTGTGACCGTAAACGTGTGTAATTTTGCGTCGCGGTGTTTGCGCACTGCCATTTTTTTAAATTTTTACGATTGCTCTAATTTTTGCAGATTTATTTAGTGGATTTTGCAGCTTTCTGAAATTCAAAAACTCATTTATAAATAAAAGTAAAAATTTGCAAAAATTGCGTCAAATAGGGTATGTCCGCAAACACCACGCCGTTATTGCGCACAACTCCCTCAAATGCCGATTTCACTTCATTAATTTTTTCGGGATTTTCGAGTTTGGGCGATATTCTTGCAATTTATTTTTTTTCCAATTATTTTCATTTCAGCTCGAAGCGTTTGAACTCGCCATTGACAAAACGGATGAGGCAATTCATAAGCGAAAAAAGCGCGGATTGCGCAATCGCCGAATTGCGCCGATATCAAGCATGTGCGTCGACGTGAACGGCTACTTTCAATCGAGTCCGCTCGGCTACATTCATTGCACATGCGAGGGATTCGTCGACGAGCACGACCATCTTTGGAATTGTCGACCGCAACACAAATGGACGCATCGGGTTGCCGAGATCAACGCCGACGGCACAATCGCGACAAATCAATGCGTCGACGGCTACTGTGTTCCGGATAGCGATCGAAAGTTTCTCGCGTGGCCGCTTCAAATCGACCGCCAAAACGAGACCGCCTGCATTTCGGTTGTCGATGCCTCATCGACGGCTCCCAGCTACTGCACACGCGTCAGTTTGCTGTCGGTGAAGGCGTGCACGAATTGCGATTGGCTGTCAAGATGCGAGCCCGGCGATCCGGATGATCCCAATCAGTGCATGTGCGATGAAACGAATTGCTTCAAACTCAAGAGTTTGGCGAGGAAGCGCGCGAAACGCGAGCGAGTTCACGAGAAATTGCTGAGCCGCTATGATGGCCTCCTCGCGGTGTACTCGCATTGCAGCTGCACCCAACAGCACGGATGTGTGTCGATGAATGAAGGCCACACGAATCAGACATGCTTGTGCTTCTACAACAAGAAGAACGGACAAGTCTGGCCGTGCTACAAGGAGGACGATTGGGAGGAGAGGAGATGCGGCAAATGCAACACGTTCGGCGATTGTGTGTTCACCGAGAAGCCGCGAAAGAACAGCAACGCGTGCTTGTGCGCGGTGCCGATCCACATGTGCGTTCGCGTCGATACGCCGCAAATGAATCAGACGTTGGATGAGCGAGTGGTGAAATTCTGGGACATTCTGCCATCCACCACGATGTCGCCGAAGATCAAGAAGAAGCAAGACCGCGACAAAGCCTATGGCTACTCGGTGAAGAAAATAAAAACATACCAATTTCGTTGACATTTTTTCTTCTTCTTCTAGGGTGTCAAAGATCGCATTGCGCTTCGCGCCAAAGCCATGGAGAATATCATTTTTGCCGTCGACGCGCTCACCGAAGAGCAGAAATGGAAAATATCGTATAACAAATCGGATTTCATTCAAAAGTGCTCGTTCAATGGAAGAGAGTGTCACGTGAAAAAGTTGGCGATCCAGATGGGTTCAGAGTTTTTTCTTTTTTTTTTATTGCAGCGATTTCGTCGAGTACTTGGATCCGACGTATGGCGCGTGCTTCACCTATGGTTTGCGAATGGGAAACGCGACGAACGAACGCTCGGGACCATCGTACGGATTGCGTCTCGAGGTGTTTGTGAACGTCACCGAATATCTGCCGACGACCGAAGCCGCCGGCGTTCGCCTCACCGTGCACTCGATTGGCGAGCAGCCGTTTCCCGACGCCGCCGGCTTCTCGGCGCCGACGGGCTTCGTGAGCAGCTTCGGAATTCGAATGGTAAGCTTTGGGTCTCGAAGCGAGTTGTGGCAAATTTAAAAGAGCATCATTTTCAATGATATTTCAATTCTGTTTGCACCAATTTCAAAAAATTTCTTCCGATTTTCAAATTATGCTTGAATTGTTCAGAAATCAATGACGCGTCTTCCGGCGCCGTACGGCGATTGTGTGAAGGAGGGAAAAACTGCGGATTTCATCTACACCGACAAATCGTATAATACGGAGGGATGTCAGAGGAGTTGCATTCAGAAGCATTTGGCGCAGACGTGCGGATGCGGCGATCCGAGATTCCCGCCATATCGCGAAACGAAAAATTGCGCCGTCGATGATCCTTATAAAAGTGGGTGTCTGAAAATAAAGTTTTTAGCAATGTGTGCAAACACCGCGACGTAAAATTACACGCGTCACTGAATTGTGAATTTTTCTTTTTTTTGGCATGTTATCGGCCACAAATTTGAACAATTTTCAAATTCATTATGCGCTCTTCGAGACCCACGGCGGCGATTCAAATGATAAATTGAAGTTTTACTTGAAATCAATTTATTTTGAGTTTCAGGAGAATGCATCAAACGCGAAATGCATGTGGCGACGCGAAATTCAAAAAAGTTGGGCTGTGTATGCAAACAGCCATGCAAGTAGGCTCGTCGAGAGCTAGCGACGTCTAAATTTTTTTTGCTGTTTGCAGCCAAGAAGTCTACTCGGTGTCGTATTCGGCGTCGCGATGGCCGGCGGTCGCCGGCGATTTGTCGGGATGTCCGCTCGGCATGCCGGCCCACCATTGTCTCAATTATAAGCGCGAGCAGGGCTCGATGATTGAGGTCTACTTCGAGCAGCTCAATTATGAGTCGCTGCTGGAAAGCGAGGCGTACGGGGTGAGAATCCGAATTGTCGGGGCATTCGGCATCGTGATGGCAATGAATGTTCAGCTACCGAATTTGCTTTCCGATTTCGGCGGACAATTGGGATTGTGGATGGGCGTCAGCGTGATCACCATCATGGAGGTCGGAATCTTCATATTCGACATGTTCACCTCAATCGCCGGCCTCAAACGGAATCGGCAGCGTCCGGCGCGCAAGTCAGTCACATCGATGCGATGCTCCGGTGAATACAAAGACGGGATCTAGATGGTATTATTGTCGTATATGTATTTCAATGCGTATAATCTAAAAATAAACAATTGTAATTTGTGTGTGTGTGTGTGTGATTGGCTCAAATTGCGAGTCACGAGTCTCAAATAAAAATTGAGGCTTATTTATCGATGTTGGGCCATCATCATCACTCACTCACTCACTTATCTCACTTTTCGATGTCGCGTTTCGCTCAACAATTTTTGGCGAAATGCCAAGAATTCGGCGAAACGCCGGCGCTCATTCATAACGACGCCGTCATCACGTACAAGCAATTCGTCGAGCACGTCTACGAGATTGCCGGCGCGTTGAAGCCGGGGTAGGCGATTCATAGTTCGGCCCGACGCATCGAAGTTTGTTGTCTCTTTGCAGGTCGCGAATTTGCACGTTTTGCGCGAATTCGCCGAAATTCGTCGCGTTGGTCGTCGCTTCACAGATTCGCTCGTGTGTTCTCATTCCGCTCAATCCGTCGTATAAGCCGTGTAAGTTGATTATGCGGATTTCGCAAAAAATCCCGTTTTAAAAATCGCTATGAAAATACTCCAAAAACTCGGCCACGGCCACGAATCACTACAATGAAAAAAAATCGCTGGGAAGTAGGAAAACACATTTGAATATGCGCCTTTAATCACAATATAAAAATAGCAATAAAATCGTTACGGTCGTTTAAAGGCGCATTTCCATAAAATTTCAGGATTCTTACAGCGATTTAATTAAAGCTGCGGCTTCGAAAAAGGATTTTTTAGGGTTTTTTTTTCGCGAAATCGACTAGCATCAATAATCTCGAATGTTTCAGTTGAGATCAAAAAGTATGTGAACGATTGCAAGCCGGATCTCGTCATTCATAGCGCCGGCGTCGAATTGGAGCTCGAGATAGAGATGCGCGAGCTCGAGGCGATGACGTCGACGGCGTCGTGCGACGACACCGGACCCGGCGCGTTGGTCTTCTTCAGCTCCGGCACGACGGGACCGCCGAAGGCCTACAAATACACGCAGCGTGTGCTGTGTCGCCAACTCGAGCAATTCGCCGCCGTCCAACAGGACACGCGACTCTACTCGCCGAAGCGCGGCACCGTTTGCTATGGTGTGTTGCCGTTGTTCCACGCCGGCGGACTCGTCACCGTGTTCTCGGCGCTCTTCTGCGGCTGCACGATGGTGATCAATGGCCGTTGGGATGGCGAACGGTTTCAGGAGACGATTCGAAAGTACAATGTCGAAGTGTTGTTCACAGTGACGCCGGTGATTCAGTACTTGTGCCACGTCGCCAAAGACCTCGACACGTTGACGTTTGATTCGAGCCCGATTTTGGTTTTTTTCTCAATTTCGATTTTCAGCACGGTATTTGTTGGAAGCTCATTCACGCCGCTTCGATGCTTTCAAGAATTGCCGAGACGTTTGCGAAATTTGAAGAATCTCATCCAAATCTACGGAAGCACCGAATGCGGTGTGTTGTTGTGCAGCACGGGCAAAGGCATCTGCGATGGAACGTCGGTGGGAATACCGTATCCCGGTGTTGAGATACGGGTAGGCGCTTCTTTTGTTTCTATTTCATTGATGAAAAAAAATTCGCAGATCAATGAGCAACGACAGATTTATGTCAAATCGCCGACGGCCACCGAATTCGATTTTATGGCGACGGGCGATCTTGGACGATTCGACGAGAAACTCGAATTGGTGATCGAGGGCCGCAGTAAGGATATGCTCAAAGTGCGCGGATGGCAGGTGAATCCGAAAGAGATTGAGGATCTCATTCGAACGGTGCCTGGAGTTGACGATTGCGCCGTGTGCAAGGTTGGCCGAATCGCTGAGCATTAGGAAAAAGGAAAAAATACTAATTCTGGTGTTCTTAGGAAACGAAAGATGATGATGAGTCGCCGCTGATCGCGAAAATCGTCGGCGACGGCGCGGATCGGAATGAAGTGATGCGAGTCGTCAGCGGTGAGAGCACACTCTAGAGCAATATTTGACGTCTTCGTTCTTTTTTCTTTTCAGTCAATCTCGCCTCCTACAAACATTTGAATCGTGTCGACATTGTCGAAGAATTGCCGCGAAACTCGTCGGGCAAATTGCAACGCGGCGCCCTTTAAACAAGCGAAATTCGATTTTATTCGATTCCTCATAATAAATTATCCTCATTCTGCATGTCGATGTTGCTCATCAATTGCTCCCAATTGGTTCGGCTCGTCGTTGGATGGAGATCGAAGGTTGTCGGCGGCGCTATCGTCGGTATCTCGCCGACCTCTTCGTAGAGCGGCTCCAATGGTCCGATGGGAATCTCATTCGACAAATCCAATAGTAGTTTTGGCGACGATTGAGGCACCTCCTCTTCGATGAGCGGGCTGTCGCAAGTCGGACTCTCAATTAGACGCTCGGACTCGTCGAACAGCATCGGACTCTCGCGACCAAACAGAAGGTCTTTGAGTTGTGGCGGCTCGCCGGTTGAACGCTTCTTCGGACTCACCTCCGCCTTTTGAGGTTTGGTGCCAGTGGCCAGATGCTAAACACACCAATTTGGTGGAAAAGGGGCGACACATAGTCAACTCACACTCAAAACCTCGAACTCGTAGTTGTTGTAGCATGAGATGTTCTCCGACAGCGCTTCATAAGCCTTGGCGGTTTTTTCGTAATACTCGTATAGCTCATTCTAATTAATTAGGGTAATTAGTTTTAATTAGCACAAAACGAAACGCGTTACCTGATAATGCGTCAGCACATATGATAATAGGTTGGACCTTGAAGCTGACAACAAGTCGACCTTTTGCAATGTGTCGGTCTTCAAACGATCCAATCGCTCCTTGTTGGTTTTGACGGTGGCTTGCGCCTCGCGAAACTTCTCCAACGTACCATCGACGTCGGGATCGAGCTCTTCGCTCGTCTTCTTCATCCACAACAGACTGCCGCGATACTCGGTGCGCACCATTTGGACCGCTTCGACGGTCTGCGAGCAATCGCCGATGGCGCGCTCGACGAACACGCCGAGTTTGTTGTAGAATCTAAATTGCCTGATGATTACCGATTATGGCGTCTCATCGATACGTTGATATCCGAATGCGGACGGCGTTCAGCCGATGGCTCGAGAACAGCAGCGCGCGTCCGACGGCGATCAACGTCTTCCCGATCGCCTCGTTCTTGTCGGTCTTACCCTTCTCTTTGAGATATTTGCCTAGCACATTTTGCACAAGGGTCTCGTCTGGAATTGAACATTGGGCTCGTCGATCGAAATAGAGCGCCCATCGTCACCTAGCAAAGCGTTCGTGTAACTATCAACACAATTGAGCATTTGAATCGATGTCGAATGAACGGATCGATAGAGGTTCAAGCATGTGTCGAGTTCGCCATCGCTGGCTTCAAGGTAAGCGTCCTCCTGAACATCGATGAACCCATTTGGAAAGCTGCCAACCAACCTTCTTCCCTAATTTGGTTCGTATGAATTGCCTGGCCGTCCAATAATGCCGCTGCATTGTGTTGACGGTCGACTCATCGGTCAGACGGCTCACGAATCGATCGGCGTTCATTCCGCTGAAATGGTTCGTCAACGCATCAACTCAGGCAAATCAAATAAAATATTTTGAGAATCAAATATTCAGTGATAAACTCTAAAATATTTTGAGAAATTCTAAAGTCTATTGATACTTTCTAAAACTTATTGAGAATCAATAAATTTTAAAAATTTGGAATTTGTAAATTAAATCTTTTGAGAAAGTTAAATCTTTTGAGAAAGTATAAAGTATCTCAATATATTGTGAGACTTTAAAATTTGAATAGGGCCCTTATGACTTCCACTGACGCAATTTGCGGCGTCTCTTTTTAAGATCTCCTAAATTCCAATCAATAATTTATGTTTTTGATGTTCCTTCCGTTTTTTTTAGCTTTTTGTAATAGTTTCTTCACTTCAGTGATGGACGTATTCATGAAATGCAAGTTTTTATAATAAATGTTTAACACTACCTTAAATCTGCATTGTTTTACATGCTGAATTTGAAACAGTTGTGTCTAAACATGTCATTGCATGAACAGGTTCATGAATTTTAAAAATACGCACAATTATTACAATTAATTACAATTATACTTCAGTTTCTAATGATTTCGATATTTTAGAAGATCGGGAAAAGTGTGGAACAAATATTCCAGAAACATTGGCCGATAGATTTAAGGAACGAGGTAAATACAGCAAATTCAATTAGCAGGTGCCCATGTGGATCACGGCCATGGATATTTTCCACCTTTTTCACGAGGGAACACGTATAATAAAAGGTACTTCAATTATGTCTCTCCTTTTTCAGCATTTAAAAATTGAAGATTGCTTTTTAGAAGTCTTCGTTAAAAACGAAATAAATATTTTTCGATGCAAAGCTATTGATGTGAAAGCGAGACTGCCATCTTCGGTAAAGTCGCTATCAGGAAAATTCAATGACATTAATAGGTCCGAAAAAGCTAGTGTAAGTTAATTTACCACTTGCAATTATCATCCTTTGAAGATTTTTGAAGTGAAAATTGTTTCTAACGCCATGAATGGGACCATCCCTCCGTTAGGTTCAGCTGTTGTGTTGCTTATACATGCCTGCTACCGATGGATGGCGTCACCGACTCGCTTAGTTACAAATACAACATTACCAAACAAAGTAATATGGGATCGTTAGCTATGTACATAATAGAAAATTTTTATTTCAGATCGCAGATATTTGCAAATTGTTAGAAATTCTAATTTGAGATGGGGCGCCTCAATTGTTTTCTGGTTCAAAAGTGCACGTAAGTCGTTTTTTTGCAATTTTAAGAGTTATTGAACGTTGTAGCATCATGCTATTGTCGTTGATATAAGAAATAATACTAATGATTACTGTATTTATTGTTTTAGCAATTTATATACCATTTGTACAGTAATGTCATGGTCAGCTGTCGGCAATAAGCACGCAAGCGCATGAGCACATTTATCACGTTATCAAGAGAAACATGTGCTCGGAACAGACAAACGGGATTGGATATAGTATTTTGAGAAAGTTAGACTCATTCAGTTATTTTTTAAAACTGGCAATTTTCAGCTATAAACTATATCACGAGATTGTGACTTCATTGAAAATGCGTTTCAACGCGAATCCGGATTTAATTAAGAAGTCATTTTATCGCAAAGAACTCATGAAATTAATCGAAAAACGACAAATTCAATCATCAAAATTTGTAAGTTCAACATTTTCTTTCAGTATATGCAACGAATTCCTTATAGCAACGTTGTGCGTCATTCGCAGAAAAAGGAGAAAATGCGAAAAGAATAAATTGATTCATTTATTTTTTTCTGATTTTTATTATTAATATATTCATTTCGCATTAATATTGTAATAAATGAAATGTTCATACATATTCAATTATTATGGATGTTATTACATTCTATTTGTGTGAAAATTGCTCGATAACGTATGATATTACATAATATTGGACAGAGTTTATTGAGAACAATCTAAAATTTATTGATATATTCTAAAGTTTATTGAGACAAATCTAAATCTTATTGATAAACTTTAAAGTTTATTGAGACAAATCTAAAACTTATTGATAAACTTTAAAGTCTCACAATATTCATTGAAACTTATTGATAAATTCTAAAATCTTATGAGATTTCCTAAAGTTTATTGAGACAAATCTAAAATATTATAGAGACACGTTAGCCTCTCAACGAACCTCATAAGATTTTAGAATTGTCTCAAAATATTTTTTTTCATTTGCCTGAGAATTCGATTACAAACCTTGTGTTTCGCTCGTAATATTGCGCAGCCATGTCGATGAAACAATAGCAGATGAAGAATTGAATGCGAAATCAAGAAATTGCTCGCCTCGGCGTTTCCGTTTTTATCGACTTTCTCCTCTCGTCGCCTCGAGCCGCTCACTCATGCTGCTCTCTGCTTCTCTACTCAGGCAAATGAAAAAAAATATTTTGAGACAATTCTAAAATCTTATGAGGTTCGTTGAGAGGCTAACGTGTCTCTATAATATTTTAGATTTGTCTCAATAAACTTTAGGAAATCTCATAAGATTTTAGAATTTATCAATAAGTTTCAATGAATATTGTGAGACTTTAAAGTTTATCAATAAGTTTTAGATTTGTCTCAATAAACTTTAAAGTTTATCAATAAGTTTTAGATTTGTCTCAATAAACTTTAAAGTTTATCAATAAGATTTAGATTTGTCTCAATAAACTTTAGAATATATCAATAAATTTTAGATTGTTCTCAATAAACTCTGTCCAATATTATGTAATATCATACGTTATCGAGCAATTTTCACACAAATAGAATGTAATAACAGCCATAATAATTGAATATGTATGAACATTTCATTTATTACAATATTAATGCGAAATGAATATATTAATAATAAAAATCAGAAAAAATAAATGAATCAATTTATTCTTTTCGCATTTTCTCCTTTTTCTGCGAATGACGCACAACGTTGCTATAAGGAATTCGTTGCATATATTGAAAGAAAATGTTGAACTTACAAATTTTGATGATTGAATTTGTCGTTTTTCGATTAATTTCATGAGTTCTTTGCGATAAAATGACTTCTTAATTAAATCCGGATTCGCGTTGAAACGCATTTTCAATGAAGTCACAATCTCGTGATATAGTTTATAGCTGAAAATTGCCAGTTTTAAAAAATAACTGAATGAGTCTAACTTTCTCAAAATACTATATCCAATCCCGTTTGTCTGTTCCGAGCACATGTTTCTCTTGATAACGTGATAAATGTGCTCATGCGCTTGCGTGCTTATTGCCGACAGCTGACCATGACATTACTGTACAAATGGTATATAAATTGCTGAAACAATAAATACAGTAATCATTAGTATTATTTCTTATATCAACGACAATAGCATGATGCTACAACGTTCAATAACTCTTAAAATTGCAAAAAAAAACGACTTACGTGCACTTTTGAACCAGAAAACAATCGAGGCGCCCCATCTAAAATTAGAATTTCTAACAATTTGCAAATATCTGCGATCTGAAATAAAAATTTTCTATTATGTTTTCACATCAATAGCTTCGCATCGAAAAATATTTATTTCGTTTTTAACGAAGACTTCTAAAAGACAATCTTCAATTTTTAAATGCTGAAAAAGGAGAGACATAATTGAAGTACCTATTATTATACGTGTTCCCTCGTGAAAAAGGTGGAAAATATCCATGGCCGTGATCCACATGGGCACCTGCTCATTGAATTTGCTGTATTTACCTCGTTCCTTAAATCTATCGGCCAATGTTTCTGGAATGTTTGTTCCACACTTTTCCCGATCTTCTAAAATATCGAAATCATTAGAAACTGAAGTATAATTGTAATTAATTGTAATAATTGTGCGTGTTTTTAAAATTCATGAACCTGTTCATGCAATGACATGTTTAGACACAACTGTTTCAAATTCAGCATGTAAAACAATGCAGATTTAAGGTAGTGTTAAACATTTATTATAAAAACTTGCATTTCATGAATACGTCCATCACTGAAGTGAAGAAACTATTACCAAAAGCTAAAAAACGGAAGGAACATCAAAAACATAAATTATTTATTGGAATTTAGGAGATCTTAAAAAGAGACGCCGCAAATTGCGTCAGTGGAAGCTCAGGCAAATCAAATAAAATATTTTGAGAATCAAATATTCAGTGATAAACTCTAAAATATTTTGAGAAATTCTAAAGTCTATTGATACTTTCTAAAACTTATTGAGAATCAATAAATTTTAAGAATTTGGAATTTGTAAATTAAATCTTTTGAGAAAGTTAAATCTTTTGAGAAAGTGTAAAGTATCTCAATATATTGTGAGACTTTAAAATTTGAATAGGGCCCTTATGACTTCTACTGACGCAATTTGCGGCGTCTCTTTTTAAGATCTTCCCGACTTCATCAAGTCATCCGAATGGCCTGCTTGCTCCCCAGACCTGAACCCGCTTGACTTCTCCGTGTGGGGTCTTGCAGGAGAAGGTCAACGCAAAACCCCACTCAAATGTAGAGTCTCTGAAGAAAACATTACTGGCGGAATGAGACAATCTTTCCATCGAATACCTGCGTACCACAGTCGCATCATACCCGAAGCGTCTCCGTGAAGTCATAGCTGCGAAAGGAGGCCGAATCGAAAAGAGTTAATAGATAATTATTTGTTATACTATACATAAAAAATATTTTGAGTCTCGTTTGATTTGGACTTTTAGTCTCAGAAATATACGTCTTAAAAGTTGTGCGGGAACTTAAATGACACCCTGTATTGAGATACTTTACACTTTCTCAAAAGATTTAACTTTCTCAAAAGATTTAATTTACAAATTCCAAATTTTTAAAATTTATTGATTCTCAATAAGTTTTAGAAAGTATCAATAGACTTTAGAATTTCTCAAAATATTTTAGAGTTTATCACTGAATATTTGATTCTCAAAATATTTTATTTGATTTGCCTGAGTAGCCGAATGCGCCAACCATTTATGGATGAATTCATTGGGTTTGACAATTGATAGGCTAAAACAAAACGAATTTTGAAGTGACGCGAATCGTTGTAAAATTTATGGACCTATTCGTGCAATAAAAATTTGTTTTTTTTTTTTAATTCCACATTTTTCCAATGCAGAGTTGCGAGAAAATTCTATTTTTTGAATAGAAAAACACAAAAAAGAGAAACCAACGAGAAGATAATTGAAATGTGCGCAAAATTGCGAGAAAACCTATCTAAATTCGGATTTGACAAGTCGAAAAGCCTAAAATTGAAAAAAAAAAAGATTGTAGGCAATGTGTTTACACCTAAAACATTTTACTCTACGACTATTTAAAAAATAATTTTTTCGATTTTTTTAAATTCAAAGCCGGAATATTAAAAATCGCATGAACATTTCAATTTATCTGAACCGTTTCAAACATATCTGAAATCAGCTATAATGCAATATATTGTTTAATAAATATAAAAGAAAAAAGCTCCAAAGAATTTGGAATAATTTTTTTTTTACAAGACGTACCTAGTAATTTTGGCGACTCCACCATACCTGCACATTTTCTCGAGCTGAAAAATTATTTTGAACTGAAAAATGCAATAACGAGCTAATAAAAGCGGAAATTGAGAATAAAACAACGATAAATAATTTTAATAACGACAAAAATGTTTTTTTTTAAACCTCTAGCGAGGTTTTAGAATCGTTGAAAAATACTGCTAAATAAGTAATTAGAATCAGTTGCTGAAAATTTTCAATTAGAATATTCTTTAGAAGAGAAGAAAAAATGAAGAAACGAAATTAAAAAAAAATCTTCACAAATCGCTCCGTGGATTACGGTAACTGGTTCTTCGAATTGCGTACAAAACGCAGAAATTGAAATGATTGCGGACTTGTGCATTTTAATTGACGACATTCTCCGAAACTAATTAAGAAATCGAGAAAAACGGGAAATTTCGACGTTTATTGTCTGCGTATTTTTGGCAATTAAAATGTATCACCCTCATTTTCAGCTTTATTCTGAAATTGAAACCATCCATTCTGCATTTTTTTCAGAGCTTCGAAGTTCCCTTGGAAATTCAATAATGCTGGAAGGACAAGAAATAAGCAATGAAATGAAACGAGTGTTACAGTAAAGCAAAAATTTGGGAAAAAATGTACGTCATTTATTGTTTTTATAGCATTTTTCTGAAAAAACCGAGCAAAAGTGAGCTGGAAAAAAATTGATTTATAAAAGTTGGGCATCCATCGAGCCAATTCCCCAATCATTGGTGACATTCCTCGCGAATTTGTAATGGCAAATCCTGCAAAACGCAAATTTCAATGTGCTTCCATTTTTTTAGGCCAACTCTCGATCGATGGGACACGCCTGATTGAAGGTGAACCTCAACCGAACGCGCTTCCTATCATCGGTGCAATCGTGCCAAATTTCGGCCAGCGTGTAATAGGCGGTGCTGAGAAGCTCGTCGCCATTCAGATGACCCTTCAAGTAGACGTTGTTGCCGATGCCTGTCGGTCCTTTGATGTCGACGAGTCGGCCGATTATCGCGTCGGCGGCGCTGCTATAATTATAAGATGCGTTTCGTTAACGATTTGTTCGTTATCATCGGCCAACGCAAAAAAAAATTTACGGTGACCAACAATCGGTCGGCGTCGTAGAATTGAAGCGAGTAGGCGAAACTGCATCGATCCGTGTGACCGCATAGAATGACGCCGTCGTAGATGAACGTGGTGGCGATGACGGCTGGTAGAAGCGTGACGACGACGAACACGAGGTGACGCTTCATTGAGATTTTCGTTGGATGAATGATTCGAGCAAAATGTCACGTGCCATAAAATTTGGGGATTTCGAATTTTCAGCGATATATGGAGAACAAATTCAACAAATTAATCGCGCATGGCGTTTTGCCGGCATTTCCTCGATTTTTTGGTCTTTGCAATTGATTTATTAACAGTTGATCGAAAAGATCAGAAGATTGGAATTTTTTGCGAGGGGGGGGGGCGGCCGAGGTTGGCGTTTCCTTCTTTTTTTTTTTCAGAACATAAATTAACATTTTAAAATTATTGGTTGGTTTTAGCGGCCGTGGCCGCGAAATTGTCTGCCATGCCATTTTTTTCGAATTTTAAAAAATTTATTTTTCCAAATTTTTATGAGTTTTTTAAGATTATTTTGCTGATTTCTTTTTAAAACACATTTAATATATGAAAAAATAATTAAATTTTTAGATAAGAATCCAAAAAAAAATGTTGAGGACGGACGAATTTAAAGAATTGCTTCCTACTTCACAACTTGGAAGGTTTGCTACTAACTATGGTACTTAAAATTCGCCATCTTTAATTACTTTATTCCATGCGAGACTCAAAGTGGCATTTCAGAAATTTGAAATGATGAATGATGGAAGCCCGAATTTGCAAGAAATCATCCATAATGCGATTTGAAATTGCCACCGGTATTCGGATTTTTTGCATTTTAAATATATTTTTTTGGCCTTTGCAATTGATTTGCTAACAAATGAGGTCCAAAAGATCGGAAAAATTGGAACCAATGAGTGCCCGAGAAAATATGGACATAAAAAAAATTAAACTGCTTGTATTGAGAAGCCGTTCTGGCGTTCTGAACTTTTTCAAGTTTCCCATCAGTCATTAACATTCATTGTTCAAGTTTTAGATTCCATAATGAGGTGGGGGTGGGGGGTCTTCTAACCATCAAAACACAATCTGCGGATTAAAATACTTTATTGGTTTTTCACAAAATTATACAGACAAAAATCGGGCATTCCGAAATCGTGGCCGCTTATTTACCGACTTGAGCGTAGCCTTGTGGGGCTGGTGGTGGTGGTGGTGGTGGTGGCGCCGCGTAACCGCCAGGCGCTGGCGGGAGCGCATAGCTGGCAACGGGTCCCGACGAGAGTGGTGCAGCACCGCCGCCGCTGAAACTCGATGATAGCGAATTTTGAAGACGCCAAAGAGGGAAACCAAAAAAGCTCACCATGGGTTACCGCAAGCGGGCTGAGCTGGTGGGCAGCATTGGTTGCCGCCAGCGCCACCAATGCACGCTTGGGCGATTCCGACGATGGCAAGTAGGATGGCGAAGACGAATTTCATTTTGTGTCATAATTCTGCGCAAATTCATCGCCTTTTATAGTACACCGGGCGTCATGCGGTCAGCGTGTCCAGTTTCTAGGTGGCGGTGTCCAGTTTCTAGGTGGCGGTTAATTCGGTCCACCATCAGCGCGATAGTGTTTTGGTGGCACCGTTTGAGGAAGTCTGCGCTTATTTTAATACTGCCTGCTGATTTCCCGGTTCGGGATGGTTCGTAGTGTCGAAACGAATTCCTCGAGTAGAAATGGAAGGGGCCATTTCTTGACTTGCGTTGTCGTTGGCGGGATTCTAATCACAAAGAGCTTCGTGCATTACGATTCCACTTTTTTCTCATTCATGTTCTTAAGGTGAGTGATTTTCTTTGAGTGATTTTTGAAATTGGGGCTTCTCATGTTTCGTCTTCGCGCCAGCAACTTTTTTGTGTTTCGATAGAGTTTCTATTGGTCCGGTGGTTTAATGGTTCGACAATTGCAACATAAATTAGTTTACTGAGGTTGCGAGGAGATTACTGTCATTGCGCGGTTCCAACGAATTGACTCCGATTGGTCGAAGGTCCCATTCTGAAGTGAACCTTTCGTGTTTTTTGGGGATGACGATTTCCTTTTAATCGAGACTACACAGTTACTATCAAGCCCGGATTGAACGCTCTATTCTGTTTTCAGCGGTCTGGATCTCTGTTTACCTCTTCCGGCTTGCTAGGCTGAATCTCGGTCCTGCGTGGGTCAGTGTACTGATTAGAGCATGCTCTGCTGAAGTGATGAAAGCTGTGTAGAGCAGCATGAGCAGTTTATGTTCTTCGCCACGAAGAGGCTCAGAAAAACATTTGGGCATTTTTTGATTAAACTGTTTAAAGAGGTGGGAGAAGTCATCCTGGCGTTCTGAACTTTTTCAAGTTTCCCATCAGCCATTAACATTCATTGTTCAAGTTTTAGATTCCATAATGAGGTGGAGGAGGCTTCAAACCATCAAAACACAATCTGCGGATTAAAATACTTTATTGGTTTTTCACAAAATTATACAGACAAAAATCGGGCATTCCGAAATCGTGGCCGCTTATTTACCGACTTGAGCGTAGCCTTGTGGGGCTGGTGGTGGTGGTGGTGGTGGTGGCGCCGCGTAACCGCCAGGCGCTGGCGGGAGCGCATAGCTGGCAACGGGTCCCGACGAGAGTGGTGCAGCACCGCCGCCGCTGAAACTCGATGATAGCGAATTTTGAAGACGCCAAAGAGGGAAACCAAAAAAGCTCACCATGGGTTACCGCAAGCGGGCTGAGCTGGTGGGCAGCATTGGTTGCCGCCAGCGCCACCAATGCACGCTTGGGCGATTCCGACGATGGCAAGTAGGATGGCGAAGACGAATTTCATTTTGTGTCATAATTCTGCGCAAATTCATCGCCTTTTATAGTACACCGGGCGTCATGCGGTCAGCGTGTCCAGTTTCTAGGTGGCGGTGTCCAGTTTCTAGGTGGCGGTTAATTCGGTCCACCATCAGCGCGATAGTGTTTTGGTGGCACCGTTTGAGGAAGTCTGCGCTTATTTTAATACTGCCTGCTGATTTCCCGGTTCGGGATGGTTCGTAGTGTCGAAACGAATTCCTCGAGTAGAAATGGAAGGGGCCATTTCTTGACTTGCGTTGTCGTTGGCGGGATTCTAATCACAAAGAGCTTCGTGCATTACGATTCCACTTTTTTCTCATTCATGTTCTTAAGGTGAGTGATTTTCTTTGAGTGATTTTTGAAATTGGGGCTTCTCATGTTTCGTCTTCGCGCCAGCAACTTTTTTGTGTTTCGATAGAGTTTCTATTGGTCCGGTGGTTTAATGGTTCGACAATTGCAACATAAATTAGTTTACTGAGGTTGCGAGGAGATTACTGTCATTGCGCGGTTCCAACGAATTGACTCCGATTGGTCGAAGGTCCCATTCTGAAGTGAACCTTTCGTGTTTTTTGGGGATGACGATTTCCTTTTAATCGAGACTACACAGTTACTATCAAGCCCGGATTGAACGCTCTATTCTGTTTTCAGCGGTCTGGATCTCTGTTTACCTCTTCCGGCTTGCTAGGCTGAATCTCGGTCCTGCGTGGGTCAGTGTACTGATTAGAGCATGCTCTGCTGAAGTGATGAAAGCTGTGTAGAGCAGCATGAGCAGTTTATGTTCTTCGCCACGAAGAGGCTCAGAAAAACATTTGGGCATTTTTTGATTAAACTGTTTAAAGAGGTGGGAGAAGTCATCCTGGCGTTCTGAACTTTTTCAAGTTTCCCATCAGCCATTAACATTCATTGTTCAAGTTTTAGATTCCATAATGAGGTGGAGGAGGCTTCAAACCATCAAAACACAATCTGCGGATTAAAATACTTTATTGGTTTTTCACAAAATTATACAGACAAAAATCGGGCATTCCGAAATCGTGGCCGCTTATTTACCGACTTGAGCGTAGCCTTGTGGGGCTGGTGGTGGTGGTGGTGGTGGTGGCGCCGCGTAACCGCCAGGCGCTGGCGGGAGCGCATAGCTGGCAACGGGTCCCGACGAGAGTGGTGCAGCACCGCCGCCGCTGAAACTCGATGATAGCGAATTTTGAAGACGCCAAAGAGGGAAACCAAAAAAGCTCACCATGGGTTACCGCAAGCGGGCTGAGCTGGTGGGCAGCATTGGTTGCCGCCAGCGCCACCAATGCACGCTTGGGCGATTCCGACGATGGCAAGTAGGATGGCGAAGACGAATTTCATTTTGTGTCATAATTCTGCGCAAATTCATCGCCTTTTATAGTACACCGGGCGTCATGCGGTCAGCGTGTCTGCGTCTCGCCGCCTCGCGCGCTCTCTCCCCACCAATTGACGGTTTTAAGCGGCGCCGCCGAAGCCGCTATGCTAATCTTTCGATCTTTTCTGAATTGCCAAAACGCCAAGTTTAATTGGATCAGGTTTTTTTATTTGATCATTCTTTCATACATACATTTATCCCATCACGCCCCCGTTGTCAGGTGCACTCGCTAAACGGGTATAGTTTGTCGTATGGATATTTGCAGCAGTCTCTCCTCTTGTCGTATTGCTGTTATCGCAATTCCTATTGAGAGAGATCGGAGAGGGGGGTGGGTTACCGTATTCATGAAGACGCCGTCTCGACGCAGATAGCAGCACGCTTTGGTGGTGTTGATTTTCGGCAGCGGACCATCGCAGCAGACATGACTATCGGAATTGTAGGCCACCATTGTGCCGTTGGCCATCGCGCAGCACTCGATGTTGTCGGCGCCGGCGTGCACCCGATCGCCGCAGCACATTTCGCTGTGCGGATTGAACGCCTCGATTCCGCAACACACGTCGTCCGGTGTGGACTTTGAGACGAGATTCGAGCGGCAGCATAGTTTGGTGGCGTCCGACGGCAGGTAGACTTGCGAGCCGCAGCACATCCCAGAAATGATGTTGTGGATCTGAGACGACAATTTAAAGGGGGATGGGAGCTTCAACTACCTTGCCCTGACAGCACGTCTGGTCGAGCCTGAGCGGATTCGAGCCGCAGCACGAGTGCGCCATCACCCCGCCGCGATCTCTTGTGTGTATCACACCGTCGCAACAAATATTCAACGTCGTGTTGTAGATGGATTTGGAGCAGCACGCGATTCCGCGCATCTCGTTGGGATCGGCGAACGTCTCGCAATTTTCGTCGCAGCATGCGCGGAACTCGATGGCGTCGACGACTAGCAATATATATTGGATGATGATGATGATGATGGTGGTGGTGGTCAGCATGAGCCGTTACGGGTGTTCAAACACAATAGAAATGCACACACTGATTTATTTCGGATATACAAACAATTAAATGGAATGTGTTCACTCTATTTGCCGGCTAGCGCGTATTTCGGCGGAGGCGGAGCCGGATAGGCGGGCGGTGCGACCGCGTACGCGGCGGGACCCACATACGAATTTGACGATTGGCTTAATAGATTATGATTTGGCGCCTCCCTATTAATAACAAATTACCATGGCGTTTGGCACGATGGTCCCGGCGGGCAGCAGGCGCCGCCCGATGAGCCGCCGAGACCCGGCAGGCAGCCGGAAGCGGTGTTGACGAGTAGAAGGGCGATGAGAAGAAGGTAGAAGGAATGCGGCATGTCGTTTCACAAATCATCGCCGACACCATTCCGCTTTTATACGGTTTTTGTTTCAGCGCCAATCATCCGGCCAATTTCACACTCGTACATTTATTATTATTTTTTTTCTTGCGACGCCAACGAACCGGATGAGATGCTTCGCATGAATCGTACTGTTTTATTTCGAACACACGTATTGTTAATTATCGATGACTTGAATGTTGGTTGAAGTATTTCGTCCACAACGGCTTCACGATGAGCGACACCTCGAAAATGGTGGCGTTCGATAGGGCGAGATGCAGAAAATTGACGCCGTCGATTGTGAGCACATTTTTGATGAATGCCTCGATGTCGCTGTCGTCGGGCTCGACGTCATCTGACGTGCAACTCTGCAAAAGGTTGGCGATGTGAGATTGTCTCGACGTCATTCCCATCCCTACCAGAATTTGCCTTAAGAATTGAATTTGATGGCCCGTTGAGAAGCGATTGACGAATGCGAAGATGTCGATGATTGATAGAATCGCGAGCAGCGCGAACCACAGCCAGAGGGCGACGAAGAGCTTCTCGTTGAACATGTTCACCTAGGAAATGATTGTGCGCGATGAAATGATCGACGGCTTTTTTTGACGAAACCATTAGAACACATTGGAACGTCCAATTGTGGATGTTGCCGAGCTCGCGGACTTCGACATCGCAGAAGGTCACGCGCGGAAACGTGCCGCTCTCTTGCCATTGGCGACCGCTGAGAATATCGACGGCGGTCTGTTGCAAATCTAGTGGTGTCTCGAAGATTCGGTCATTGGAGAATATCATTGAAACTATTTTTGATTGGGAAGGGTCTTTTTTTTGTTTCGCCTTTTAATATAATATATTGTCGGAGTCAAACGACTTGACGAAATTTAAAAAATTATTGGCTATGTGCCAATGCGTCTCGAGGCAGCGAGAACTGCGTACATTGCATTATAGTGTACGCTCATTTTGTATTCAGTCAGCGATTAATTTAAATCTACACTAATTTCGCCAATTTGAGAGGTAATAGCGTAGTGGCGCGAATTTTTAGCTCATAATAGTTCGATTCCGCTCTGACGCGAAGTTTTCACTGTCTGCGTCTCCAACCACCGCACTCTCTCTCTCTCTCTCAATTGTACACAGTTTTTCAAAGCGCAGACGCCTTTTATAAATATTACGGTTTTTTCAGAATTTTTCGAAACATTTTTTTGGCAGTGAAAATGAATTGATTGCTCTTTCGATTCTTAGAATTCACCAGAATTTGATTTTTGGTCTTTTAAAGTAAAAATCTGAAACGACCTAAATGGAAAATGAAATATACTTAATGGTACTATAAAAAGTTCGCAAAAAAAGCAGATTGCGCAAAAATCTAGCTTTCTTCTAAAATTTGTAAATTTTTGGTTGGTGAATTGTCGTCTAATAAAATGCACAATTCCGCAACGTAATTGTCAATTTTTTGTTGTCTGAATATCGAAAAAATGAAAAAACGCCCGCAATTTGATGTTATTGCGGACTTGTGCATTAGATTTGACGACATTCTACGGAAAAAAACGCATTATCCCAACATCCAGTTTCAATGATATTCCCAATTCAAATTTTGTACCGTCATCCCATAGAACGTGCCGATTCCCATGAAATAGTCCATGAAAACGAGAGACGCAAAAATGACGCAAGTGGCGAGAATCTTCGTCGTCAACAAGCACGTCGTCAATGGGAAATGAATGGCCTTCTCGACGACACTCAAATTGGCGACGCCGTCGTCGTCGGCGGCGATCGTTGGCGCGTCGAGCGTCGCCGTCGCCGATCGCCTCAAAAGCGCCGTCATTTTCGAGACGTCGATGCCGGCGTGCGATTCCATCAGGTTCCAGGCGAGACGCGGAATATATAACGCCAACGCCAAACCGAGAAGAATGAATGGAACCCACTTGGAATTCGTGCATATATTAATTTGTTGGGATGTTGCTTCCTACCTGATAGTAACGCAATTCGCGATTCTCACGCTCGGATTTCGCCGGCAAATTCGTGTCGTTCATCGGCACAAAATACGTGTTCTCGATGAGGCAATATTTTTCCGAGTACGCTTCCCATCCGCCCTGCAAAAACGAGAAAATCGCGGCGGCTCGCGTTCGACACTTGACGCCACTCGTCTGCGGACATGTTTCCGGGTTGCGCCCCTCTCGCCACTTTGCATGTGGATTTTTTTTGCTATTTCAACTCACCGCCAAATGTTCGGGTATCCAGCATTGCACCGACTCGCCGACATACTGTTTCGTCATTATGAACGCGGCGGCGACGACGAGAAACATGACGGTTCGAAAATAGCGCAAACGATCGATCCAATCGGTGTCATAGGTGGGCACGAGGTCCCCGCTGTACAGCGGCGTGTTGATTTTCATCTGAACTCGATTATTATATATATTTTGGCATAGGACCAAGAATGTATCAATGGAAAATCCAGTGAAAATAAATAATAACAAAATTATATATTTTTTCCAAATCAATTTATTGAATTAATTATCAACTCCGGGACTTGAGAGATTCGATCCTTCTGCAAAAGCGAAAATTAATTTGGAATTTTTGGTTTTGGTGTGCACCTTTAAACGTGACGTTGTAGATTTTGCGAATCACCTCCTCGCTTCTCAATCGTCCGCTGTTGGCGTCCAACAATCTCAGGAACAGCATGCCGTCGTCTTTAAGGACCTCCTCGTATAGGCGCTTCTCGCGCAACTCGTCGCGCACGATGCCGTCCTGTTTGAGTAGCTCGGCGATGAATCGTTTGCGATTCGACACGCTGACGCGATTGCGAAGCCACACGACGAAATTGACGGCGGTGAGGCCGAGGACGGCGGCGAGCCAAAACCAAACGAAGATGAAGATCTTCTCGTTGAACATGTTCACCATCAGCACACACTGCACCGTCCAATTGTGGATGTTGCCGAGCTCGCGGCTGGTGATGTCGCAGAACGCCACACGCGGAAAATGGCCGCTCTCCTGCCAGTGCCGATTGTTGAGCATGTCGACGAGCACACCGAAGCCCCACAACGTGTACTCGGTGCCGAGGAACGCGTTGAGCGCGAAAAACTGAATGGCGACGTTGGCGAGTATCGCCGCCTTCATCACCATGTACCAATTGAAGATCGACGAGCCGCTTTGTCGCGCGTCGACGTTCAATCGATTGCGGCGCTCGAAGTTGTTGGCGAACGTCTCGGCGCACGTCTCGAAGTCCTCGAACTTCTCCGACGCCTCGCGCGCCGACGTCACCATGTCGGCGACGGTCAGACCGCTGTAGCTCGGAAATATCGCCCAAATCGCGCGCGGTAGGCAAAAGAAGAGCGCCATGAGTAGGAGAATGAACGGCACCCACTGGAATCAATTTTGTTGAGCAGCCTCATCAACTCGACATTGATCCCCCCCCCTCCCATCGATACCTGATAGTAGACCATCTCGCGATCTTCGCGCGTATGCGCCGCCGGAAGGTTCGACTCATTCATCGGCACAAAGTAGGTGTTCTCAATGAAGCAATACGATTCGGTGTAGGCCTCCCAAACATCGGTGAACTGCCGCGGCACCCAACACTGAATCGGCTGGCCGACATAATTAGTGGCGAACACCAATAGCGCGAAGCCCACGAGAATCATTGATGTGAATTTGTAATTGAGTCTGAAATTTGACAGGGGTCCCCTAGAGGACTGCTTAAATGTATACCTATCGATTGTGTCGTCATCATGCTGCGAGATCTGCTTGATGCTCGACGCGTAGCGTTTAATATCGTGGAGCATTATTGGCGATGGAATGGCATACAGAATGCACGCTATCAAATTTTCCACCAGCGTCGCGTTATCGCGAAAACGATTGTACTAATTTTGTTTGCGAGCCGCCCCAATTTGGTTGCATTGACACAAACTGATAACTGATTAGTCGTATTCCATTCAGCGAGCGTCGCGCCAAAAATGGAACAATTGATCGACCTATTCCAACAGTACAACACACCGCGCTACGAGGATGATTTTGTCGATCGCCTCAATTTCCAGTACACTAGCTATTTCTTCGCGTTCAGCACGCTGGTCATCTCATATAATGTGGGTTTCGATTAAATGGATTCGCGATATTTTTTTGCCATAGGGTGTACGGTAGGCGGTCAGTGTAGGCACACCATTGCGCAGGTTGACGCCAATATGCACAGATTTAGGACGTTTGAATTATTGTCCTATTTATTTTATTTTTGGGGCTCTTTTTTTTGATTATTTGTTTTTACAAACTTTATGCGCGAAAAAATTAAACAATTTTTAATTTAGCATATTGTGAAAGTTGATTTCTACTAATTTGCACTCTTATTTTCTCAGGCAAATCAAATAAAATATTTTGAGAATCAAATATTCAATAATAAACTCTAAAATATTTTAAGAAATTCGAAAATTTATTAATACTTTCTAAAACTTATTGAGAATCGATAAACTTAAAAATACTTTTTAAAGTCTTGTAAAGACAGCAAATTCCAAACTATCTCAATAAATTCTAAAATCTTATAATAATTTCTAAAGTTGATTGAGAAAAGTCTAAAATTTTATAGAGACACGTTAGTTTCTCAATTAAATCTCAAAATATTTTATTCGATTTACCTGAGTTTAAATGAATTGCGTTTTCAGACATATTTCGGCACTGCGATCAGCTGTTGGGCTCCAGCCGAATTTCGAAGAGGATGGATCGAATACACGCGAGATTATTGCCTCATCGAGAACACTTACTATCTTCCACTCAACGATCCGAACATGCCGCCGCAAGAGGAACGCGAGCAGCGCAAACTGCCCTACTACCAATGGGTCCAATTCTTTCTCATCCTCCTCGCCGTCCTCTTTTTCATTCCTCACCTGATTTGGAGGACCGTCAATTGGTGGTCGGGCCTTCATGTTCGCGCCGTCGTCAAAGCCGCGTGCCAATTGGACAAAACGAACGATAAGAAGCGGCGGGAGGAGATCGTGAAGATCGCCCAACACATTCATCGATTCTCGGAGAGGCAAAAATCGGGATTGCTATCGATCGGCTTCTTCCCGCGATCCATTACCTATCGATGGGTGTCGCTCAATTATATTCTCCTCAAGTCGCTCTTCCTCGTCAACATCCTCTTCCAGCTGGTCCTCATCGTTCGCTTCCTCGGCGTCCCAACATGGAGCCTATTCAGTGAGTCGAAAGAGACAAAAATGAAAGCATTCGAGAATTTTTCTAGACTTCACACCATTATTTGGAAGCGATTGGGTCTCGAACGGAATTTTCCCGCGGCAAACAATGTGCGATTTTGAGGTGATTCGGTTCGAAGAACAATTCGATTTATTTCATTTTGACAGATTCGCAAGAAGGGAGCAATTCAGAAGTACAGTGTCCAATGTGTGTTGAGTATGAATATGCTCAATGAGAAGATCTTTATAATATTGTTCTACTGGCTCATGATACTCGCCATCGTGAGTTCCATTGAATGTTGCATTTAAATTAGGTGAACCCATTCGATTTCAGACGACGCTTTTCAACATCTTCTCAAGTGTTGCAGCGATATGGGGTACGAACTCGATTCGCGACTTCACCACTCGAATGCTCCGCGCTTCTGGCGTGTCGACGTCGTCGGCGGCCAATGAGAAGGAGCCGCTTCTGCCGCCGTCGCAATTGCACATCAGCGACAAATTTCTCGATTTGTCCGAAGACGTCGCCACCGTTTTGCGATTGATCTCGAAAAATGCCGGCGTCAACGTATGCAGCGATGTCATTGGCGAATTGTACCTTCTGAATGCGAACAAATCGAATTGAGCGATGATATGTTGAATAAATAGGCCATCTCGTTTTCGATTCCAAAATTTTTATTATTTTTGTATTACCAATAATTTGACACCCCAAAAATTTTACTAGAAGATTTTCTAGATGTTTGAGATAATAAAAAAAGTATAGAAGTATTTTTAAGTGAGTCATTTTTAGACATTGTTTTTTTATCAACAGGAAATGATGATTCAATGTTTTATTTGAATATTTATTATTTCTGCAATGCAAATTGTGGTGTCTGTCAATTGCTGCTATAAGGAGTGATTTTTTTCCGCGTGGGACCCAAAATTTGAAAATTGCGGTATTTTCCAGTTATTTTATTTCAAATTGTTCGCAATTTTCAGGTTTAAATAAAAAAAATGCAATTTTTGGTAGGCATTAATTTGAAGAAATGCCAATTTTAATATCAAATTTAACAATAATCCAATGTGTGCATTATTGCGCGCGCGTGCTCTACGGACTGTCCCGCGTTTTTTTTTGCGAATTTTATATCCTCGTCGAGTTTCCGCGTTTTTTGTGGCTAATTTTTTGCAATTTATAAATTTAATCGCGAAAAACACTTTTTTTTCCAGAATCCGAAATTTTTAGAATGCGTTCAACACCGACGAATGGGCGGAAGCCGCAAAGAAAAAGAAAATTGGTAAGCCACTTTTTTCCCTAAAATTTCCGCTTTGGGTTTCAGGGCCCCCGCATAAATCAGTGACATCAAAATTTCAAACATTTATCAGTGTTTATTATGGGCGAGTTGGAGGGAGGAGTGGGGTTTATCATCAAAACGTCGCCACTTGTCAAATTTCACACTTTTGTACATATTTTCGACGCACTCGCTCGTCGAAAAATGGCTCAACCGAAAAAATTGCTTGATTTTTTTTGTCTAATCACCGCTTTTATTTATTTATGACTAATGAGATGATTCAGTTCATTTCGTTTTTCCCCCTCCGCGTTCGTTTCGATTTCTGTTCGTATTTCAGAATGAGCCGGAGCAGCAGCATCAGCAGCGGATTACGGTAGGGCGACGAAACCGTGAATTTGTGTGTGGTATTGTTGCGCGCACGCGCGAAAATCGCAAAAACAATCAAAACCCCCCGCCCCGCCAATTGTTGCTCTCGAAAAGTCCGGCTCAATATACTAATGCCGCGTCCCGATTCGGTTCGCTTCACTATTTGAGCGTGTGTTCAGATTCGAGAAGTTTTTTTTTCTGAACCCCCCCCCCCTCCAAAAAATACGCACATTTGTTGAAAATTCCATGTTTTTTTCCAGACAATTGTACGCTGACACTCCAATGGGGTCGACGAGCACGAAGAAGGGTGTTGTCAAATTCGCCGCTGATAGTCTCGATGAGCCGAGCTCATCGTCGTCGTCGATCATCACCGTCGAGACCGATCAAATGCCGAGAATCAAGTGAGCTCGCTGGTTATTGTCGATTTAATGGAGTCGGGTCTTGTTGCGATTTGCAAAATTTTAAAGAAACAAGCTTTCGAAAAAAAAATCAATTTGTTTTGTTTCTTTGCTATATTTACCGTCTTTTTGCTTATCAACTTTATTTTGCAGTCGATCAATAATTTTGTTACAGTTTTTTCAGTTTTTTTCTTGCTGATAATTATTCTATGAAATGGCTGAATATTCGTGGCCGAAGAAAAAACTAGTCCGCCTAATTTATTTTTTCCATTTTAAACGAAAATCCATTATTGACATTTATGTATATATATATAGTTATTGACGATTGAATGCTAGAAAAGCAAATTCAGATAGACTAATTTTTTTTGTTACATTTTTTTAAAACAATTCACTTGCTGATAATTATTCTATGGAGTGGCTGAATATTTGTGGCCGAAGAAAAACTAGTCCGCCATTAAAAAAAAGAAATCATTTTTGACATTTTTCTATAGATTTATAGACGCTGTAATGATAGGAAGGCAATTTCAAATAGACTAGAATTTTTTGTTGTTTAAAATACATATTTTAAGCGCATTTCGCCGGCATCTCACCTTATCGGCGCCATTCGAATTATCGATATTTGAATTATTTGCAGAACGTCACAAAGCAAAACTTCATTTTTGTCGGAACTCAAACCGTACACAAAACGCGCGAGTCAGCTGATCGTCGACGTTCCGGTGGCGCGATTGCGCAAAATCAAAAACACCGAAGGCGTCTCATCGATCACTCGCGAATCCGAACATTTTTCAAGTGATTCGAAAAATTTTCGACAAAAAAACGGAAAAGCTCGTCTCGAATTTCAGATACAACCACTTTGCACGGCCCAAAACGGATATATAACGGCAAACGATGGTCAATCGCATTTTGGATATTTATAATGGTGGCTTCGATGCTCCTTCTAATGGCACAAGTCGCGTCTCTTGTACAAATGTTCCTCTCAAAACCAACAGTATCACAGGTTGGTGCCGAAATTCGACGAAATCTGAATCAATTAGCTTCAGGTCTCATTTCTGCTCAGCGAGGGCGGTATGAACTTCCCAAAGGTGACCGTGTGCAGTTTCAATCCGATCAAAAGAACCTACGTGGAAAGTAGGTATTGAAACTCGAGAGGGCGCGCGTTCGACGAAATTTTTCGCGATTCTAGGGCTCAATTCCAGCAAAGATTTGTCCGATGATCTACTCGATTATCTGATGATGTTCAATTCGGACGCGATGACGTTGTATGGTCGCGCCGACGGCCAACAATTGCATTCCGGCGATAATCTCTTCAAGCAGTATGTGGCGAATCACGACGACTTCACCGCCGACAAGTTTTTCATGGACGCCGGCTTCAATTGTTCGGACATGTTCAAAATGTGTTCGTTCGGCGGCCGACGATTCGATTGTTGCCGGTACGCGACGCCGGTGTTCTCGGACCTCGGCAAATGTTTTACGCTCAACATGCAGGTCAGCGAGAAGCCGTGGATGAAGCTTCAGACGGAGCCGGGAATCGCCGCCGGGTTTGCCTCGAAAAAAAAAATAAAAAATAAAATGTTTTGTCTAGACTTCAAATCATATTGGACTCGCATCTCGAAGAGCAATTCGATTCGGAGACCGACGGCGCCACACCGGTGTTCTCGAGCGCGTTCGAGAACGGCTTCCGCTTCTACATTCATTCGTCCGACACGGTGCCGTTCTTGTCATCTGAAGGGATCGCCGTGTCGCCGGACAGCGTCGTCTATTCGGCGCTGTCGAGCTCAAGGGTAAATCGTCGTCGTCGACGCCGAAATCAATCCAACTAGTAGTTTACAGTACCTTCTGCTACCAACAACCTCATGGGGCAACTGCTCGACGACATGGCCGCCCAACTATGACTACAATCTGACGTACACGTCGGCGATGTGCGCCACCGTTTGCAAAGCGCAATACTTCAATAAAACCTGCGGATGTAGTCCGTCGATTTACAATTACGACAATCGATTTCCGGATTGCACACCGTACGACACTTATCGCTGCATGGACACAAAAATGAAGGTTGTGAGCGGAGGTGGGACCTAAAAAAACAAACTACCAAACAGCATAATCCATCATTCCTTTTTAGGAATTGTCAATATTGAGATGCCGACGTGCGAGGAGTGCCGAATGGAGTGCAACAGTCAGGTGTACCACGCCTACAACTCGTATGGCAAAGGGTTGTCGCGAGGCGCGCTGATGTGGCTTCACAAGCAGGGCGGTTGGGAGATACCGCATATGAAGCACAACTTCCAAGTGGTCAACGTGTTCTTCCGCGACATGTCCTACACCGAGTACATTCAGGTGCAAGGCATGTCGCTGACCGAGCTTATGAGTTTGTGGCGACACCCAATTTCAATCGACATTCTCAAATTTTTGATTCAGGCGACATTGGTGGCAACATGGGCATGTTTATGGGAATGTCGGTGATCACCATCATCGAGGTCACCTTGTACCTGTCGAAAATTGGATGGATCACAATATCGAAGAAGCGGCGCGACTATATGTATAGTAAAAAGAAGAATGAAGAGGTTTGAATTGTTGTTGGCCTCTTTCGACGAAGCATGACGCATGCCGACTGGTTTCAGCAGCATGAGAAAGAGCTTGAGGACGTCGTCACCGGCTTCAAGTTGTTTCGGACACGCAAAACCGGCAACGACATGTCGCATTTGCGCGAGAAGGTCAAAAGCCTTCAGATGAATCGGATAACGACGGAAGCGTTGAATATGAGCAAACTCGCGTGGCAGACGGAGCCCGATGATTATCTGAATCGTGTGACGCGACAAAACTCGGCGCTCAAAGAGCACCAACGATTGAGTCGCTCGCGATCGGCGAGTATATTTAAAGGGCGATTGAGATCTGAGACGGTTGAATAAAGCATGTTTATCAATATATGGTATTTGAATTGAATTAGATGTTTCGGCGTGATGGGTAGCTGCCGCCGCCGGCTCCTCCAGCTCCTCCAGAGTAGCCACCAGCGCCTCCGGCAGCTCCTCCTCCAGCACCTCCTTCATATCCTCCGGCGGCACCTCCGGCTCCTCCAGCGCCTCCTCCATATCCTCCGGCGGCACCTCCGGCTCCTCCAGCACCTCCTTCATATCCTCCGGCGGCACCTCCGGCTCCTCCAGCGCCTCCTCCATATCCTCCGGCGGCACCTCCGGCTCCTCCAGCGCCTCCTCCATATCCTCCGGCGGCACCTCCAGCTCCACCAGCTCCTCCAGCGCCTCCTCCATATCCTCCGGCGGCTCCTCCAGCTCCTCCAGCGCCTCCTCCATATCCTCCGGCGGCTCCTCCAGCTCCTCCTCCACCGCTACTATATCCACCGCCTCCACCACCCTCGATGGCTCCGGTTCTTGGCGGACACGGGCAATAGGCGGCGTCGGTTCCCGGTTGTCCGTCGGTGCCCGGCGCTCCTGGTTGCCCCGGTCCTCCCGGCTGTCCGGGATTTCCTGGCGGTCCCGGTGGTCCTGGTGGTCCCGGTTGCGCTTGTGAGCCCTGCCCGTCGGGTCCCGGCTGTCCTGGCGCTCCTGGCGGTCCTGGCGGTCCCGGCTGTCCCGGCGTGTTGGTGGTGCGCATTCCGGGCGCACCCGGCTGTCCGTCCTGTCCCGGCTGTCCCGGTAGGCCGTCGGGTCCCGGCGGTCCCGGTGGTCCTGGTGGTCCTGGCACTGGCGGTGGTCCCGCGTCACCCGGTGTTCCTGGTGGTCCGTCGGGTCCGGGTCCTCCCGGGTTTCCGTCGGGGCCTGGTGGTCCCGGCGGTCCAGCCGGACACTGAACGCAACCGCCTCCGGAGTTGCTCTGCTCGGCGACGCCGGCGCTTCCCGATTATCCGTCTTGTCCCGGCTCGCCCGGCTCTCCCGGTTCGCCAGGCTGTCCTGGTGGACCCGGCGGACCTGGCGGACATCCAGAAGCCTGCGCGGCGCACTGGCATCCACCACCACCGCCACCACCGCCACCAGCGGCCTCGGAGTACTGTCGGCGAACTCTGCCGAACAATCCCACGAACGCCGACTTCTCATTGATCGCCTCAACTCGCCGCGAGGCCATCATCTGCGACCAGGCATCGTTGGCCTTCTCCTAACAATACGAAAAAATGATAATGGATCAGTCAAGGATCGCACCTTAAAAATGATCATCTCCTGCGAGAAGTCCTCCTGGAATCCTTGAATATCGCCAAGAATCGAGACGTACGAGAAGATTGTGACGCCAACGAGAATCGCCGAAACGGCGGTGGCGCCCATCAGCGCATAGTACCCACCTGCCGACATTGTTGCGGGTGCTTGCTTGATCATTTTATCATATCACAACGCCTTTATATAGGAATTCGCGAGTGCCACTTCAACTCGCACTCCGCCGTCCTACTTCTTGTTTTGGTATTGTTGTTTTCGTCGAAGAAACACCGATGAATATCTTAACTAGTTTGATGACTCGCCTCTCCGCGAATCGCACACTCTCTCGCCAATTGTTATCGGTTCCGTTGAGGCGAATTGAGTCAATCGGTAATGAGTATAAATTGGGTACTCGAAGCCCCCAACGATCACATCATTCGATTCCAACGGCGAACGCATTTTCGGTAAGCTTTACCTATTTTCAATTTTTTTGCCTCCCTAACTCCCCCCTCGCAGTTTTGGGGCCGGTCACACTTTCACTCGTTTTATTGTTGGACCCTGAACTGGTTCAGTCAGATGTTGTGATGGCACTGTGATGAGGGGGGAGGGGGTCCGAACACACCGAAAATGAAATTGCGTGCTCCTAGATGTCGGCGGCCGCCTACTACGCGCTCACCAGCGCCACCACTGTGGCGGCGCTCATCGTCGTCGGCACCATCGCCGCGATGGTGGCGATTGTTGGCGATTTGCGGCAATTCGAGACCGACTTCTCGGCGGATATGGACGTGTTCAAGGTTGGACGCCGATAACCCCCAAATCGCATGCATTCATTTTTTTGTTGCCAGGTGAAAGCCAACGACGCTTGGTCACAAATGATGGCGGCTCGTCGAATCGAGTCGCCGACGGAGCGGATTGCCTTCGAAGGACTGTTCGGAAGAGCGAAACGACAATATGCTACTGGTGGTGGTGGCGGCGGAGGAGGCGGATGCCAATGCGCTGCTCAGGCGTCTGGATGTCCGCCGGGACCGCCGGGACCACCAGGACAGCCTGGCGAGCCGGGCGAGCCGGGAGAACCGGGACAAGACGGACAGGCCGGCGGAGCCGGACAAGCCGACAGCTATCCGGGAGCCGCTGGCAACTGCATTAAATGTCCGCAAGGGCCACCGGGACCGCCGGGACCCGACGGAAATCCGGGAGGCCCGGGGCCCGATGGATCGCCAGGACCCGACGGCGATGCGGGACCGCCACCGCAGGCAGGGCCACCAGGACCACCGGGACCGCCGGGACCCGACGGACAACCGGGACAGCCGGGACAGGACGGACAGCCGGGTGCGCCGGGCACGAAGACGAGCAGTATGCCGGGACCGCCGGGACCACCGGGGCCGCCGGGACCAATGGGCACACCGGGAGAGGGCGGCCACGCTCCGCCATCGCCACCAGGACCGCCGGGACCGCCGGGACCGCCAGGAAATCCGGGACCACCGGGTGGACCCGGACTGCCGGGAGGGCCGGGAACCGACGGACAACCGGGAGCCGACGCGGCCTACTGTCCGTGTCCGCCAAGAACCGGAGCCGCCGGCGGTGGCGGCGGTGGATACGAGTCGGCACCAGCGGCTGGTGGAGGAGGAGGCGGAGGATACGCCGGAGGAGCCGGAGGAGGAGGTGCCGCTCCGGCTGGCGGTTACTCTGGCGGTGGAGCAGCTGGTGCAGCTCCCGCCGGCGGATCAGGATACGGTCGACGACGACGCGTCCAAGCCTAAATTTACGAGATATTCCATTCGTAGCAATTGGCCTTCGTTTTTTTTCGCCAATAAACATTTCAACTCCGTAGCCGTTTTGCCGTCCTTTCCAATTAGTCGCGATTGAATTAGTGCTCTCAAGCGGTGCTCGAGAATCGAAAGTAACTCGATGATTTTTTTTTTACATCTGAAGGAATACTTGAAAAAATTGGCGAAAACAATTATTGCGGAAAAAAACGAAAAAAAATTTGAGCTGAAAAATTAATTGATGGAAATTGGCAACGACACTCCGCCGTTGACGCATTGCCCGTTGTTTGTGGTAAAAGAAACCGTGAATTTTGAAAACCACATTTTTATTCGGAAAAACAAATGTTATAAAATATTAACGCAATTATTCTAATTTTTAATTTTTTTAAGATTTTTTTTCGAAAATGTTTTGCAATTTTCCCCAATCATTTTTTAATTTAAAAATGTCTAATAGTTTATCAATTTTCTTCAAAATCTTTGAAATCTCAAAAAATATCAATTTTAATGCGATTTCTTTCTAATAATATTAACAATATTCTAATTGGTGTTTGTTTTCAGAAGCCATCACAATGCCGCCGTCAATCGTCCGATTTCTCATGAAACGTAAGATTTTGAATTGCGCGTCAACCTGAAACTACGAAAAAATAAATAAAACAACAACACCACCAACGAGTGGGCGTGGTGGATGGTGCTTCTTCCCAAATAAAGAGAGTGACAATGTGCAGCGTAGCGCGTTTCCGGTTCGGCCTCTCCCGCAACAAAAAAAAAAACCTTTTTTCTTTTTGTCTTCGCTTCCCAAAAAAACCCGACTAACTCTATTATTCCGCGAGAATTTCGTCTTAACTATATGATATAGTGGTTTTTGGCGAAATGCGATTGAAAAAAAAAGATACAAATCGCGCCAAAGTAATTAAATTTGGGGGAAGTCTTGATTATTATAATATTTATATATATATATATATATATATATATATATATATATATATATATATATATATATATATATATATATATATATGTTATTTTTTAAACGCATTTGTGGGTGGATATATCTATTGACTTTCTGGTCAGGTACCGTCTGGCGCTCTCTCGCTCTCTCGTCGAGCTCCGCGCGGCGAGCTCAAGTAGTGCTTCTTCTTCGCTGCCGCTGCCTGCTAGCCCCCTCTTCCTCCTCCAGCATCAAAAAAAAAGAGAGAGAGAGAGTGATGTGAGGGGTGGGATGTTGTTTTCGCGTCGAGACCCTCTCGATGAGTCCTCAACACTTTACGCCTCGATTTCTTCGTGCTCCTTCGTCGGTGCCTCCTCATTTCGGACCCCTCCCCCCCCACACCACCACCACCATTTTTTCCAACTTTCTTGCGACTACTTTCTTTTTATTATTTAATGATGATTAGTACGCTTGCGCCATCTCGACACCCATTTTTTCGGGGGCTTTTTTTTGTTGTTGTTGCGCAATGGCAATATCGACCGCCGGGCAAAAGCCTGACGTCGTTGCGATGGGTTGGTTGGTGTGTGTGTGTGTGTGTGCACACGATGAAGAACATCTGGCATCGAGCGGCGGCAATTGTGTGCTTTTCCACCTCGCCGATTTTTTTCTATAGCTATTGATAGAATCGATGAGTCGAAAAATATGGAAAATGTGAAATTTTGAATTTTTTGTGGTCGCCCCCCACCAAAAAAACATATTTTAAATCATCTCTATGTTGTGTAGATCAGAATAATTGCAATTTCAATTTCGCCGCGCCCACCTAATCAATTTTGTAGTCCATACGGACGAAGCGACACGCCGAATAAAAAGAGCAGTGGAGAGCGCTAGAGGTGACATTCGAGGCCATGAATAACCAATTGCATTTTGTGTGCTCTCCTCCCCGTTTTTTTCAAACACAAAAAAATTCCCTTTTTTGTCCCTCGCGCGAAACCTGACGCTTATTACAACAGAAAACCCTTCTTTTTTCCTCTTCTTCTTCACGTTTTTTGCATTTTATTCATTTTTTCTTTATGCATTTGCAGGCATTCGCCGCTTCTGATGGCGTTTCGGAGAAGGGTGAGTCTTGTTGATTTTGTTTTTGTTTCCAGGCTTGTGTCGTTGCATTCAAATTCGCGCGCTTGCACAAAAAAATCGGACACGTTGCGTACGCGTCGCGGTTTTGAAATTTTTGTTGTTTTTTTGGATTCCAAGTGTCATCGCATTACTTTTTTTGAAGGGAAGCGGCGACTCGAACTTCAGCCATCATGACGATCTCGATTTGGAGGCCGGCAATCGCGAGACCCTTCGACGCGACGCCGAACGACAGGCGGCGTTGCAGTTAGAGCGCGCCAAGGTTGGTCAGCCCCCCCCCCTTGAGGATTTCATTAATCCGATGCATCTAATATTTCAATTGAGCTGTCAGCTAATCGCATCAATAATTGATGCGCGTTTTCAGTACAAACCGGTGGCGTTCGCCGTGTGCACCAACGTCGAGTACGACGGCAGCGTCGACGATGATTCGCCGGTGCACGGTTGCGCGGTGTCGTTCAAAGTCAAAGATTTTCTGCACATCAAAGAGAAGTACAACAACGATTGGTGGATCGGGCGGCTCGTCAAGGAGGGCCACGATCTCGGCTTCATACCGTCGCCGGTCAAATTGGAGTCGCTTCGGCAGCAGACGGCGAAATCGGGAAAATTGTAGGGACCGTCTCCACCCACCCACTTCTCACTTTTTTGGCTTGAAATCGAATTTCAATGAATTTCAGCAAACAATCGACATCGGCTACGAATTTGGGCGCTCTTGACAGCATGATGCCGAGAAGCGGCTCGCGCGGTTCGACGCCGCCAACGCCTGGTATGATTTGTTGACTTGCAATTGAGAAAAAAAGTGGAATATTATCTAGATGACGATGAGTATAATCCGAAGAAGCTCACCAACATCGTCACGACGCCGCCGACAAAAGAGAAGAAGAAGCTGATATTCAAGAAGCAGGAGAATGTGCCACCTTACGACGTCGTGCCGTCGATGAGGCCCGTCGTGTTGGTTGGGCCGAGTCTCAAGGGCTATGAGGTCACCGATATGATGCAGAAGGCGGTGTTCGATTATTTGAAGCATCGCTTCGAGGGTCGCATCATCATCACACGAGTGACGGCCGACATCTCGTTGGCGAAACGCAGTCTCCTCAACAATCCGAACAAGCGGGCGATGATGGAGCGCGCGAATTCGCGGACGAGCAATAGTCTCGCCGAGATCCAAACCGAAATTGAGCGGATTTTCGAGTTGGCGCGATCGATGCAACTCGTCGTGCTCGATTGCGACACCATCAATCATCCGTCGCAGCTCGCCAAAACGAGTTTGGCGCCAATTCATGTATATATCAAAATTAGTAGTCCAAAGGTTGGGATAGATGTGTTGAAAATCATTGATATTGATTGGTTTGCAGGTCCTGCAGCGATTAATCAAATCGCGAGGCAAATCGCAAAGTCGCAATATGAACGTGCAAATGGTGGCCGCCGAGAAGCTCGCCCAGTGTCCGCCGGTAGGAATTGTTTGAGACATTCGTTTCCGTTTTATTTTTGTTTCATTTTTTGCTTTAGGAGCTGTTCGACGTGCTTCTCGATGAGAATCAACTCGAAGACGCGTGCGAGCACTTGGCGGATTTCATGGAAGCCTATTGGCGATCGACGCATCCGCCGGTCAGATCGCCGCCGAGAATCAAACGCAATCCGATGGAGAATCGCGGGCCGTCGACGCTGTTCACGCCGGCGCAAATGATGCAGGTATTTTTTTTTGTGTGTCGCCGTTGGACTCGATTCATTTCTTGTAGGGAATGGGCGGTGCGGCGGCGACGGCGCAACCGTCGCAGCAGCAATCGATCGCCTCGATGTCGCAAGGCGCGCCGTACTTGGCGCCGCCGATGCACGGCGGACGAATGCCGATGCAGCAGCAGCAGCAGCAACAATTGCCGGCCGGCTACGGGATTGTGCAGGCGGCGCCCGGGCCGGCGCCCCCGCAGCAGCAGCAGCGCGCCGCCAACAATTATGATCGACACGGGTTCGATGAGTACGACGATATGGACATGTCGCACACGTATGAGCGAGGCACTTATCGTTATTAGGATCGATTATTATTATTATTATTATTATTATGTAGTGTTGCCTTCATTTTTCAAGGTTGGCTTGCGGTTCTCGCGTTTTGTCGGCGCGGGCAGATTTACAGTGGTGGTGCGCTTTTCGAAATGGTCTCGCCACGTCTGTTATGCTTATTTTGAACTGCTCATTTTTCCATAAAATCACCCCGAAATGATCTCTCTCTCTCCCTCTCTCTCCCTCTCTAAAATGGGAAATAGTCTAATCCGTGTGAGACCATAGCGAAAGGCGCATGCGCGTAAATCTACATCAGTCGCCGGACGCCCGACTAATCTATGATATTCTGATTGCTCCGTCATCCCTGGGTACTTTTTCTTCTTCTTCTTCTTCTTCGTCTTCTCCAATTTCGTCTTGGCAAAGTTTTTCAGTTGTTTTGTTTTTCTTTTTTCTTTGATCTATTGCGTTTCAGTTTTTTTTCTCCTCTCAACACATTGTTCATATCGCCTATGATATTGATATTATTTATGAGATGATGTACAGATACCGGTCGGCGCCGGAATTCAAATAAATAATTGCATTTTTTTTTAGAAAAATCAATTGTCTGCGATGCTGGTAGATCATATCACTAAAATATATACATTTTAAAAATTGTGGATTGAAAAAATATGGCCGTGGTCTAGGTTTTCGAAATTTCTCGACCATTTCATGTTTCACAAATAATGACTGTAGATTTAAAAAAAAAGAAGAAGTTGGTCTTTAATTTCTAGATGCCTTCTATCATTTTTTGAGTCAAAATTAAAGGGGGTCGAAAAAAAAAACGATTTTTCTCTCGGCACACCTGTTCACAAATGCAAACAAACCAGAAACCCCCCCCCCACCGTGGCGACGGGGGGAGGGAGGTTCAAGTTTTTTTTTAAATGTGCTCCCAACAAAAAAAAAAAAATAAATAAACTCACCTCTCTCTCTCTCTCTCTCTCTCTCTTTCCAATAATTTCTGTTCGTAGCCTCAAAGTGCAGCAACCGACGGTCGACGCACAGTGCCAGGAGGCGGCCGGCAATTATTCGCGAGCCAATGTTGCACTTTTGCCAAATTGCCTACAAAATCGTATAAATATGAAATTTTGGTGCGCCGGCGTCGCAATCTACGCAAAACTGCGTACTACACGCATTCTGAATATATTCAATCCCTCTCTTCTCCGTGTGGAGTACACAACTCTTTCTATTTTTTATTAGTGCAATTTTAGTTTTAAAAAATTTAGCAAAACGGCCAAATCCCGGCGCGATTCAAAATTTTCTCTTCGGTCATCAGACCCCCCCCGCCTTCCCAAAGTACTGTGTAAAGAAGAGCCCCTCGATTCTACTTCCTCCTACTGCTGTTGGTTTGGTGCAGATCGCCAGTCGACATTTGAAAAAAAAAAAGGAGACCCTCGCTAATGTTTGGCTTTTTTTCTGCACATGCCGCCCGCCATCGACCCCCCACGGGAGGACCGAATCGACCTCTTCCTGCATTCAATGTTTGTTTAATCACACCGCGGTTTGTTCAAGTTTAGATCTCTCCCTCTCTCACTTTCTCGTTTTCAATCCAAATAGAGTTTGGGAGGAGGTGGAAGGGTCCTGCTGGTACCAGTGTGTGTACTTGAAGCAGCCGGCGACAAAAAAAAATTTTTTTTTTTCGCGCGCTCGCCCCGACGCCAAAGTACACCGTCCTGGAGACCCCCAATCTCCCCGCCGCCGCCGTCGGTTCCAGTAGGTGCCACCCTTGCTTATCGCACCGTCCGATAAGCGCGGCATTCCTGGAGGAGCAACAATTGAAAAGGGCACATCAACTATTCGGGGTCTCTTGTTTTTTTTTCCTACACCACACTTTTGTGCTGACGGCTGCAAAAAATTTTTTTTCTCGTTTTGCTGTATGCCCTTTTCAATCAGGCACATTTTTGAAACTCGATGGGCTCATGCAAATCAAAAGAAAAAGCTGAGACGCCGAAGAAGCTTAAAAGAAGAGGGGGGGGAGATCTGATGGGATGAAGCAACAAAAGGAAGGACTAAAATAATGCCTTTTTTGAGGGGCCCATTAAAATCGAAAAAAAAGTCCGCAATACACACGCACGCAAAATTGCACACATTTTATATTTTCCATCGAGTTGTGCTTCAACAAAAATTCGATCTCAGTGACAACACGCGCACGCAAAATTGCACACATTCATTTTTCGATTTGAAGTTTTAGGATTTCAAAAAAAAATAGAAGTAGCCGAAAAGGTCTCGCAGCGAAAAATTCGCAGTTTTGCGAGTGGCGCCAAATTCAAAAAATCAACACGTCGCCCCGTGTTATGATCATCTATGGATCTACCTTCCACCTTCTGATTCTCGCCTTCTCCGCCGTCGTCCTTCAAGCTGGCTAACCATCCCCCCCCGGAAGTGAGTGTCGAAGAACCGTAGTATTGGTGTGTTGGTTTACATTGGGTCGCCGCGGGGTCGGACAAACTGTTGTGTCAACATACTGTGGTAGGAGCGAGTCGGCACACATGGCGCAATCGGCAAGGCAGGCTGGCGGGCTGGCTGACTGGCCGGCCGGCCCCCCTGGAAATCCACTCTCGAATCCATGGACGGTGTTGAGCGCTCGTCTCCGAGGCGGGGCACACACGTTTCACAAAATTGTCCCTTTTTCGATTCCCCGCCCCTCCCCCCCCATTCCCCTCATTTCCCCAATAGTTCCTCCCAGTCTCCTCTTCTTATCATACAACACAAGCCGTTGCCTCCAAGACATGGAGGGGAGGCGCTTTTCCGCACTCTCTCACCAATTTTTCGATAAGTTCAGTCCATGTGCTCTTTGTTTCAGACGCAAATGAACGCGATGCTCAATGTGCAAACGATGTTCGGCGGCGCAGCGTCGGCGCCGTCGAAAGAGCGCCGAAAGCGTCGACGCGGCGAAATCGCGAATCCGTCGAACACGCTCGACGCGTTGGTGGCGCGCAAAGCCGACGACGAGCAGCCGTTCGAGAAGCGCTATCTCAGCGAGCACGAGGCCATCGAGGGTCCCGACGATGAGATCGAGATGAAGGTTTGGCTTGCGCCAATCGCGACACCAATTCATTTTTCTTTCCTTCAGAAGATGGAAATGGATCCCGACGTGTCGACGCGCACGTGCTCCACGTGCGGCTATCAAGGCAAATGGGTGTCGGAGATGATACGCCATAAGCGTGTTCACACCAGCGAGCGGCCGTTCAAGTAAGTCACACCCTCTCCACCCCTCCACCATCATCACCATCGCCATCTCCAGATGCCGCTATTGCTCGCGAACCAGCAAATGGAAGGCGGATCTGATTCGTCACGTCGCCAAGACGCACGGCATTCGCGTCGTCTCCAAGTACAGCCGATCGAAGGTGTTCGACGCGAGCGGCGTCGACCAGCCGATCGACGTCAAACAACGCGCGATGACCTATCGGTGCGCGTTGTGCGCGTTCGACGACGAGCGCGTCTCGATCGTCAATCGGCACGTCGCCGCCGCGCACTTCACGTCGCCGTGCGTCTGCCGTTGCGGCGCCAACTTCGACGACATCCCGTCGGCGTTGAATCACGCGGCCGCCGGCGTCTGCCGACACAACGACATCGTCTTCAACGTGATGCCCAATTACGACAAATCGTCGCCGCTCTCGCCGTGCCAAAGCGAGACGTCGTCGGACAGCGGCATTCACACCGATCGCGACGACGACCTACCATCGCCGATCGCCGCTGCGTCGACAATCATCCAGCCGGTGCCGATTCTCACGCCATTGGTGTCGCTCTATCTGGCGTCAATTCTCCAATCCACCATTAGCCTCACACCAACCGTCGTCAATTATTCCGCACCAGAATCGCAAGAAGAGGACATCGACGTCGTCATGTAGACTATCATTATTCTCATTTTTTCCTTTTTTCAATATCACTTTATTTATTACGAGTTATCTATCAAATCTCTGGTGTTCATCCCCCCCAAACCCGTCGAAAAACAAACATTTCTCAGACCCCTGTGATTCAATTTCTATTCTCGGTGCAATTATCATCATAATAATTTTTAATAACTGGAATAATAATTATTTTAATAAATCGATGCAACTAATCACTCGACAATTTTTGGAATTTCTCCCAACAAATTTGAGAAACACAGCGAACCGCATGACGTGGCCTAGAATTATTGACTCGGCCACGGCCGCAATTTGTTTATTTAATTGTTTCGAACTCAATTGCGCAATTTCAATCAACATTTTGTTTATTTTCGCGGACCATGACAATTATAATCACAACAACAACAACAACAAAAACGAAGAAAGCATTTGTGGACCGCACTCATTTTTGGGGTTCGGCGCGCTAATTCAAATTTGAATAACCAAATTGATCTCGGCTTTTTTTGGTGTGAACACGTCGAAATGATAAACGCAAAGAAAATAGAAAAAAAATAAATAATTGAGTTTTTAATAGAAAGTTACAAAAATACATTTTTTTTTTGTAAATTTTATTTTTTTTCATTGAGCTCGCAAAAATGCATCGATTTGTCCGCCAATCAAACATGTCGGAATAAAACTACCGTATGGATTAAAGGCGCCCGCAAATCGTTGCAATTTTGAAGAAAATTCATTTGATGGCATTCCGGGGGCGGCCGCGGATTCTTCGGCCGCGGCACACATTTCACGTCCGCCATTTTTTTTTTGAAAATTTTTATTTATTTATTTTCTCGACAATTTCTTTGAAATAAAACACATTCAATTTTTTTTTAATTAAAAATGGTTCAGCTCGCTTAGAAAAATTGGTCGACACTTTCTCAATAAAAAAAGGTTTTTTTTTTCGATTTTCTTACATAAAATTATATTTCCACAAAATTTCTGACTTATATTTTGATAGTTGGCTTTTGAAATCGTAAAAGCACGCGCAATATATACTTAATTCTACCTTATGTTTTTTTTTCTCTGAATTGATCGGAAATTATGAAATATTTAATGCTGAAAAATGACATTCAGGTGTCGTAGGATCCTGCGTTTTGTACGCAATGCTAAGAGACAGTTACCGTAATCCTCGCGGCGATTTACGGGGACTCCTAAATTTCGTATATTCAGTTTTTTTTTTCGTTCAATTTTTCAATTTTCTTTCGAATTTTTTTAATTTAAAATTTGTAGAAACCGATTTTAATTATATATTTATTAGAATATGCATTTTTAAACCATATTTATCGATATTTTTTGGTAAAAACATCATTTATTTAAAAAATAATATTTTTGTCGTTAATAAAATCAATTATTCGTGTTTTACATTTAATACGCGTTTCTATTTGTTTTTATTCTTTATTTACAAAATAATTATTAGAGCGAAAAAATCTTTACAATGATTCCCAACTGAACACGTGAACGATTTATTTTTTCTTGATGAGTTTCGCATTTCTTGGAGTTTCTAACGATATTCGATTAAAAAATTATCGAACCGGTCCATAAAATTTGAAATAACCTGTTGGTCCTTGCGAGACCATTACGAAAGACGCATTCCCGTAAATCTACCCGCGTATAGAAGTCGCCGGACGCCGACTATACTTGCTGCTAATGATACAAAATTGCACAATAGATCGAATTTGGACGGAAGAAAGTTATATATTTTTCGTCAATTTTTTGATCTATCGTGTTTTGGACTACAATGAAGCGAATGATTTTCCGTTGAATAATCAATAATTAATCATCGTAATTTTTTCGAATTTTATTATCGATTTGATTCCTGTCTCTTGTTAAGAGACTTCACCTATATTTTTTTCATCGCCTCATGTGTTTTTGCTCGTTTCTCGCTGTTTTTCAAGCATAATAATTCGGTTTTCAGATCAAAATGACTAAAAGGCGAATACGTCGAGGCTGACCAATAAGCATCGCTTCAGTTCTCTTCTTATTTCTTTGAGTCCCGTCCGGAATGTACAAGGTGCGATTACCTCCGGAAAGTCGTGAACAGTTTTTAGCAGAGTTTGCGTAATTTTCAAAAGGTTAGCTGAATGTCTGCGCACGACTTTCCCGGGAGAGTGTATTGTTGGAATTTGAATTTTTAATGAATATGATTTGTGTTTCAATTTTTAGTTTTAAATTATTTTTTGATCCAGCGAGATTGAAAAAGAAAGCCGCCAATTGTGCAACATTCTCATCTCAATGCATTTTTCTACTTTGATCATCGTTTTTCTCTCTGCCTCTCTTATAATACCAATTGTTTTGCAGGGCGAAGTGACGACGAACAAAGAAGATCATTCCGCAAATTCATTTTCGTCTGTTGTCGTCGTTCAACTTCAACCGTCTTCGTCGGCATCCTGATGTCACCTACACCACTGATGGTTTTGTTGAGAAGAATCGAGATAGCATTGGAGATCAGCTAATCGAGGTCATTGCTTCCAGTCGACGCTCATTCTGTAGAAGAGACGCCCATTCTTGCAAGAAGGAGTGTCACGAGGACGGTGGCTAGCCAATTTAGAGATTCACTGAGAGATCGTTCTATTTATTGTATTTAGTGCCGTTTTCTTCTTTCAATACTTTTCCTTTTTCAGGTAGTGCCTCAACAAGTTTTCCGTGGCGACGGCACTGATGGTCCCATGTGGAGTGCGGAAGGTTTGTTACTATTTCCAAATTTAGACAATGAATTTTTTTTTAGAACTTTTGAAACAATATGAAACCAATTCGTCATGGGTTGTAGACGCAAAAACTCGGAAGGTGAGATAATAAAAATTTAAGCATTTTTTGAATAGCTGGCATTTTCAGAGTTTTATTTGCACCGGCAGGAAGCGGCTTGATCGGTAGCACATCATTTGGCTCCTCGGATTTCCCTGGTCGTGTCCGAATCTCTTTGTTTTTTCCCGAGTAAAAATCCGAGAAAAACGTGATGCACAAAACAACTGAAGAAAATGACCCCGTAATTTTTGATCATTTTTTGCTCTTTTTGAATATTGTTCGATTTTGCCTAACGATGACATTCGCTACGGGAATTGTTTTATTTCGGATGATTCTAGATTTGAGTAAATAAACGAATTAGGGATAATCAGGGTTGTGATAGCTTACTGATTCTTTTTTTTGTGTCAGAGGTTATATTAATATTAGGTCTAGAAATTAATTTCCGCGTTTTTTTTCGCATATTAAACTATAAACTATAAAAAACTGGCAAACTTTAACAAAACTTTTATTCAAAATAATTTTCGTCATTAATAACAACATTTTCCCAGAGAATAATACAGAGAACATTATAACATAAATTTCGTTCTATAAAAAATAATTTAATTTTGATAAAATATCAACAACAAAAAAAAAACGCGGAATTTAATTTCTAGACCTAATAATTTCTCGAATGGGACAGAGAAAATTAAAAAAAAAATGAAAAAAGAAACATGTTTTCTTTTTTTTTCGATCTGCAATGAAATTTTGTCATTTTTTTCTTTTTTCAATTTTCTACGCATTGCCGTTTAAGCTGCTTGATAATTTAGGGTAATAGGAGTGGAATTTTCTTAAAATAATTTTAAAAGTGTATTTTTTAGTTTTACTAGAGTTCTATCAGCTAATTTTACAATTCAAAAAAATCACAATAGATAATTCATATAGGACATTCCAATGTTAAAAAAAAAACAAATTTTCAACCAAATTTCGCGTTTTAATAAATCTGGTTAATTTTTCTAATTGATTGGATGATTTAGGTGTTTTAGAATTTCGATGGTTTTCGGGCTACCATGACCACGCCCACTATTTCAGAAGGATTGCATTTCAAATTATTCACGAAATTTTTCGCTTGTTATTTAAATGATTATTCAATTTGTTTTCGGATTTTCAAACTTTTAAATCGTAACAGATTTTTAAAAAATGATGTTGCGTACGAATGAACGAATTTAGGGGTTCACGGATTTCATCAACCTATCGATTTGTTTTTGGATATTTCCGGTATTAAAAATTGCGGAATATTTTTAAATAATTCATTTTTCAGAAATTAGAAGACAAATGTGATAAAGGCTTTTTTTAAATTTCATATATCGCCCAGCAGAGTTTCCTAATCCTTGTCTCTGAGCAGTAATAAAAGGTTTGTAATCGTAAAAAAATTAATTTAATGTTATTATAAATGTTGCATTTATTAGGCTGGATGAAAACAGACGAACAATCAGTCCCGTCGCAGCTGTGTTAGCTATTTGGAGCCTCACTACTTTCCTGAGCTCAATATGAATCGGGTATCGGAAGTAGATAGGTCTACCGGCGTATGAGATATTCTCGCGTCTGAAATGTAAGCAGTGTTGTTATTATCCAACCAATATTCTTTTTAAGGTTATATTTTACCTCAAATTGTAATAAAATCATAACGAAAAGAGGAAATTCGTCATTGAACAGCTTGGTTTGTTTTCTGTATTTCTCCAAGTTAATTCTTCCGTTTAGCAGACCATCGCCTCAGAGACTTCCACCACGACCTACAACTCAGACACTAACATTGAAAAAACAAAGTGTTCGCGAAGCCATAACTTACAGCCTGCTGGAACACCGGTCATGTGCGGATGAATCAGGTTACTTGTTGATCGTCTATTAAAAACTAAATAAAAAAATTAATCTTTAAAAAAGTGTGCCGATTAGCCTGACTCGATCCCCATGAAGGAGGACCGAGTCAGTTGATCTCCTTCGCCACGTAGAGGCTCGACACTTGAAGGAGAGGCTCACCAGCATCAGGCCGAAACCTGATGTGGGTCATCGCCGATCCCACCATGGGGATCACCCAAGGACATCCCACAACTATCATCCGAAGATAATAGAAGTAGAAGTGGTTGGGCAAGCCACGTCTGGCTGGGCCCCGGGTCTACTGGTGATATGGTAATGTGGTTTTTGTGTTCATAGCATAGCAGCTTACTACTAAGTAGTAGCAAGCCACTACAAAGTAGCAAGCTACCATGCTAAGAAGCACGGTCCATGTGCACCCGAAAGGCTGGACATATTGACATAGCTGGCCAATCCACGTCAATATAGGTCTGGGCCAGATGACATCCTGACTAGTATGGAGGACACCCGGTGAAGCAAATTTCTAAAGCATAACCATCCATAACGCCCACCAAGCACTCGAGAGTACTTGAAACGGGGTCGTTTGGGTAGGGTTCGATTCCCGGCTACGGAATCAGGGCTGAAGGGCTTGCCAGGCCAATCACCCGAATTTAGGATACAGCGGATAAGCCGCCATCCAGCCAACGCCTCGGCACTACGGGGGATCAGGAAGCCTTGGCGTTTGGGGGAATTGCCGACTACGGCCCTAATATAGCCAGCTACGGCTCTAATAAAGCCGACTACGGCGGTAGAAGTAGAAGAGAGGTCCTTAGTATGGGTTATGCTTAATGGTGGGGACAAATTTACTTGTGGCGGTGAATCGATTCACCAGCAGGGTCCTTCCATCGGCAGCAGCAGCGACGATACCTAAACACCTAAACACAAATCAGTACAAATAAAAACGAAATAAAATAGTAAGAAAAATGAGGGAAGCCAGTCATTAGTGGAATAACTGGCATGACCGTAAGTGGTACGGTTTTCCCCCGAAAAAGAGATGGTCCCAAATGGTAGGACCAGGAGGATGTACAGACGTAAGTGGTACGAATGTACGGAGAGAGAGAGAGAGGAATCCCAATTGGTGGGATATAGAGAAGGATGCCGCAAGTGGTACGGCAGGAAGAAAGAAGGGGAAGCCGGCTTTCCCCGAAAAAAGAGAGATGGTCCCAAACGGTAGGACCGGGAGGAAGTACAGACGTAAGTGGTACGAATGTACGGAGAGAGAGGAATCCCAAGTGGTGGGATATAGAGGGGGCAAGCCGTAAGTGGTACGACTGGTGGAAGTGAATAATAAAAAAAAATAATAATAAAAATTAGGCCCGGGCCAAAAAATACCAAATATCCTACGCTTTTGCTCCTTCCTCGTAGCTTCTTCCAGACGTCGCCTCCGTTTCGATCCATGTGATCCGAGATACCTGCAATGATTCGATTTATTCAAAAGGATTGTGACTCCTTCTTTACCTTTTGAATTCGTTTCCTCGCTCTGCTCGATGCCCCGGGCAGCATCGACCTTTCGCCATCTCCCTTTCTCGCTCTTCTTCACGTGATATGTCTACTCATGAATATGGGTTTAACGTCGGCCTGGACGCGACACTGCAGTAGGGTTAGTACAGGCTTACCGAGTCGCACCAGTCGAGAATCCCCGACACTTTCAACAAATCGTATCCGAAAAGCTCGAATGAGAAACGACTGTGGCTCTCATTGGATCTGCAACACGAGGAAATGAGAAAAGTATTGCGATGAATGTGACTTACCGAGTGGATCCTTGGCCACGACGAGCTCGCAGGAAATGCGAGCTACGGCCAGCCCGCAGGTTCTGCGGGGCACAGCCGAACCGCAGAATTTGCTGGGCACGTCGAGGAGCCCGCAGGTTATGCGGGGCACGGCGAGCCCGCAAGATTTGCGGGCTTCCCGCAACTCGAGGAGCTCCGAGAACTGACCAAATGGCGCATCCGTCGGCCTTTTATAGTGCCACTGGTGTCGGTGTGAAACATGCAATAGAGCGCATTTGTCGAACCGAACTGCAAATTGATGCCAAGTGTCCGCCAATTCTCTCACGTTTGCACACTCTCTGGTCTCAAACGGTGACGCGCTTCGTTTTCCCGATCGACGCCGTATTGCGGTAGAGCGCATTTGCGAACGGTCCCACTAGTATATGCGTATAGGTTTTAAATGGTCCTGAATTCTAAAATGCGGTTGTCTTATCATGAACTCTTCCAGTTTTCAAATTTGCTGAAAAATAACGGTGTATTTTTGTATCATGTTTGTGTCATATTTTGTAGAAGAATCGACGTATAATGCGGAATCAGATGATGATCAATCGCAAAAAAAGTTGTTCGAAGATTCTGAGTTTCATCTCAGAAATAATTTGGATTTAAAGCGCTTGAATTACCTTAAAAAATTTGGACAAGGAGTTGGCTTCTATTGATAAATTCAGAATATACAGTAGAGTCATAATGATACGCCACCCCCAAATTTCGCAGTTTCAAAAAAACTATATAAATTGGTGACAAGACAATAGCATTTTCGTATTCAGGACCACTTTAGTTTCTTTTCTGGATCAAGAGTTATTGATATTTTTTTAAAGGCTTCCGATATTCACCGCAACAACAAAAAAAGAAGCCTGGTGGCTACAAGCACAATAAGTTGCTCCCCGTACACCAGTCACTTAATACACACATGTTATCAGAGACACAGTCTGAAAACGAGGTAAGTGAAAGTGGAATTTATTAATATGATTGATTCACAACATAGACCCTTCTCGAAAGAGAAGAGAACCAAAACCGACAAAAGAATGAATTTCAAAATTAGATTGGAATTATAACAACCGATCACAGATGAAACATTCAAAAATTTTGAATTTCTCTTTTTTCATTTGAGATCGTTTAAATTATGGTAAAACATTCAATAATTCAAATTTTTTCTGTAAAGTTTTTTAATAGAATTCGGTCGTTCGATAATGAATTGACTCATGACTCCAATTTCCACCGTTTTGCTGAATATACAGTGCGTTTCACATTTATAAAGCCATCCCTGTTTTAGGGTGTAAATTTGTCAATTGTGAAAATTTTTTTATTCTGTTTTCAAAATTGAATTCAGGGCTAAAAAATCGCCGACTATACCAATTTTCATAATGATAAAAAAAATAATAATTTCAAATAATTTAATAATTTCAAAAATATTTATTTTGTATAAAAATGAGAGCATCGTTTTTTTTTAATTTTAGAGTGAAAAAAGCGGATTTTGATCTTGAAGATGATGATTTCGACAAAGATATTGTCGTTGTGGAACCGAACAAACAGAATGAGGAAGAACGAATGGAGCATGATGGATAGGATGCAGAGAATCTGAAGCCTAAGGCAATTATCACTGATTTTGTTAGATTCACAATTGCAGAATTTAGATCTACCCAGCCAAACTGCAATTGAAATATGAGGATTACAAGAAAATGTCGGATGTGCTCATTCTTCATATGAGAGCCGCCGAAGACAAACTCGGTAATGAGGATTATGGAGGTGTGAAGCAGAGCGAGCTGGTCGATTGATATCTCAACACGATTGAGGAAGACCTTGGTTCGGAAGAGGATTACCTCGTGCAGAAGACGGTCTGTGAGAGAGTCAATCGCCGTCTGATTCATGACGAGCGTGTTCTTCTCGAAGTCGAACAAGGCGATGAGTCGACACTTTGTGTGCATCCAGACTACGCTGTGACCGACGAAAGAATAAACCAATAATTTTTTTTCTCTAAAAAGAATCGTATCTAGCCTACTGATCTGTTTTACTCGGTTATCGATTGCACTTTTTGATACATTTTTTTTAATTTTATTATATGTTTTTGCAATTGGTATTTTGTATAAATAATTCAGCGTTTATTGTGATTTTGGTTTTTTTTACTATATGCGACAAGTTCTATAACACTTGATATTTATGCTTCCTATCTTATTCATTGATGATAGTCTTGAATGTCTTTTGTCGGTTTCAAATGGACGATCGTTGACGGAAAATTCAATTTCGCAAAATCGGCCAATTATTAAATGCGCGTACGGTAAAATGTTGTGTACGCAAACACGCGCACAACCAAAATGCCCCGCGCAGATTTGAAATCTTTGATTTTTTGTATGTATTTTGATATCGAATTGTCAATATCGATTGATTTTTTTTTATGTAAAAGAAAAAGGAACATTCTTGAATTACTTAAATCGTTTTATTTATTGTGTTTAGTGCCGTTTTCTTCTTGCAATACTTTTCCTTTTCAGGTAGTGCCTCAACAAGTTTTCCGTGGCGACGGCACTGATGGTCCCATGTGGAGTGTCGAAGGTTTGTTACTATTTCATAATTTAGACAATAAATTTCTTTTTTCAGAACTTTTGAAACAATATGAAACCAATTCGTCATGGGTTGTAGACGCAAAAACTCGGAAGGTGAGATAATAAAAATTTAAGCATTTTTTGAATAGCTGGCATTTTCAGAGTTTTATTTGCACCGGCAGGAAGCGGCTTGATCGGTAGCACATCATTTGGCTCCTCGGATTTCCCTGGTCGTGTCCGAATCTCTTTGTTTTTTCCCGAGTCAAAATTCGAGAAAAACGTGATGCACAAAACAGCTGAAGAAAATGACCCCGTAATTTTTGACCATTTTTTGCTCTTTTTGAATATTGTTCGATTTTGCCTAACGATGACATTCGCTACGGGAATCGTTTCATTTCGGATAATTCTAGATTTGAGTAAATAAACTAATTAGGGATAACATTTAGGAAATAAATGGTGGGATTTTAAAGGGTTTTCGGTTTTTGCAAATTTTAAAATTAAATGCTTCAGATAAAAACAGTTCGAGGGTTTATTAGAATTGGGTGTAATAATTGAGAGTCTTCGATTGAGATATAATTCTTAGATTAGAAAAAGCAACAAGGACTAATGAAATAATTGGTAGGAATATCATCAGGGTTGTGATAGCTTACTGATTCTTATTTTGTGTCAGAGGTTATGTTAATAATTTCTCGAATGGGGCAGAGAAAATAAAAAAAAATGAAAAAAGAAACATTTTTCTTCTTCTTTTTTCTTTCGATCTGCAATGAAATTTTGTCAATTTTTCGCGCAAAATCTCGCATTTAATATATTTTTAATTTTCTACGCATTGCCGTTTAAGCTGCTTGATAATTAAGGGTTATTATAAGAGTGGAATTATCTAAAAATAATTTTCAAGGTTTTTTTCACCTAAGGGTTTTGTTGTAAGTCGGAAAACTCGAATTACAATTTAAACTTTATCTAAAGTAAGCGTTAGACAACAATAACGAACGAAGCGCAATTTAATTAGTTAACGGATAATAATAACAATAATGGCTAGCCGGGGGAATGGATAGTATGTGAATAAAAATAATAATGAAGCCGCACGGTAGGAAAATATAAATAACAACGGAAACCAATCAAGCAACTCGGGTCCGGGCCTAAAACAATCCAACAACTCAACTTCGTGTATTTGCGCGCCAACTCAGGTGTGTGTGTAAACACCGTGATATTCACCGTAACCGCAGGATTTAAATTGCTAATATCTTTCTTCATATTTTCTTGCTCCTCGCAACATCTCCCCCGACAAAAGAAATTGGGGCATCCTTGCTTGGTGTTGGCGTTGATGACGTCGATGATATGACGATATAGCGACTGTGCACAATGACCGTTGACTGGTTGCTGACTGATAACTATGGCTGCTGACTGATATAAGTTGGGTCTTCATTGTGGACTGGGATCAAATCGTACGATGGGTTTCCGAACTCTTGCACTGCGTCGTAAACTGACTTCTGGAGCGTCCTGGTTCCGCTTTAGAATGCTTGCGGGTACGTCCTTGGCACGATCCTCAGGGCCTGCCTGGGTGTTCGGTTCAATCTTGGGTTTAACACACACCGTACGCTGGCTACCTAGCGCGTCACATACATTTGACATAGATCTACTATCCTCAGGGGGACCTATACAAGGGGAAATATTTTGTCTCTGACCTTTTGTACGTGTTGATCCTGCTGACTCCTTTGCGATTGCTACTGGTATTTGACTGTGACGATGTTTTGAACTTGAGGGTTGACTTTGTCCATGGCAAGACTTCTGGTTGGGATGTTCGTTTGACTTTGGCTTGTCCGGTGGCGAATGGGTATTGTCGTTGTCACTGCTTGAACTCGACTGATTGGTGCACAGATCATTCACTGGATTTCCTGAAATTATTTCATGTGATACGGGTAACATGAAAATATCAGTCATTGTCTCAAACCACCTCTCTTCTGGACTCTTTACCAATCTATTTGGTCTCATTTGATTGGCGTGGAACTTTTTTATGTGTCCTTCATGATCCACCATGTAGATCACTGGTCCCACCACCTTCGTCACTATACCTTCTTCCCAAGTCCATCGATTTCGACGATAGATTTTTACGAAAACTCGATCATTTACCTGGAAGTGTTTCTAATACGAACGAACAATAACGAACGAAGCGCAATTTAATTAGTTAACGGATAATAATAACAATAATGGCTAGTCGGGGGAATGGATAGTATGTGAATACAAATAATAATGAAGCAGCACGGTAGGAAAATATAAACAACAGCGAAAACCAATCAAGTAACTCGGGTCCGGGCCTAAAACAATCCAACAACTCAACTTCGTGTATTTGCGCGCCAACTCTGGTGTGTGTGTAAACACCGTGATATTCACCGTAACCGCAGGATTTAAATTGCTAATATCTTTCTTCATATTTTCTTGCTCCTCGCAACAGGTTTTCACCCGGTTATCACCTAATTTTGCAATTCAAAAAAATCACAATAGATAATTCATATAGGTCATTTTTTCGCGTTTTAATAAATTTGGTTAATTTTTCTAATTGATTCCATGATTTAGGTGTTTAATTACGGTTTAATATTAGGATATTTTTAGAATTAAGGTTTTTGGCTTAAGTCTTGAGAAAAGCGGGTATTTAGAATTTCGATGGTTTTCGGGCTATTGCGATTATTTATTCATTTTTTTGCAAGAGGAGATCCTCATAAATTTTAATTAAAGATAATCGACTTTCCATCAAATTACAATATTTTTTTCCTTATTAAAATTTAAAAAAAAAAGACGCAATAGCCCTAAAAATAGGAATTTTGATGGGAATCGAGATTTGGGGTTGGAGTACAGGTAATTAATTAGTGGTCCGTAAATGAGTTCAGATTCCAGTGACAGACAGCCGCCAATCAAATTCGTAAAGAAATTATTCAGCTTATGATATTTTGTTGGTAAAATTGACCAAAAACGGAGAATTTTTGAACCCCCGCCCAATTTTGTTTAATTTTAAACGATTTTTTTACGCATTTTCTTTTTAATCTTCATTTAGAAAATTGAGATAAATTTCGCTCAATACGAATTTCAAACAATTTCTTTTCAATCCAAAAATTTCCAGTGATTGGCGTGCTTCGATAATTCTTGATAATTGTCAAATTAAGTTCAGAGTATCTCATTTGTCGGCAATTTATCAATTTTCCTCTATTTCAGTCAATTTCTTTTCAAATTGTCGTCGATTGAGATGTTCCAGAAGGTCATTTGTAGCTTAGCGGGTAGTTTTAATTTGTAGTGTTGCTGGGTAGGTCGTAGATCAAACATTGTGGTAGTCTGTCACACGCTCATCTGAGAGAACGGGTCTCGTAGCGAAGGTCAAAGAGAAGTTAGTAGTTTGATTTCTTGGTGGAAGGTTTTTAAGCTTGTATTTCAGTTGACGTAATGGTTTGAGACGGATAACTGTAAAGGCCATCACGGTCTTCTTACAGTATTCCTGATCAGTCCGTAAAATTGCGTCGACTGTTGTGCAATTCTTATTGACACCCGGCTGAGAGGTCATGAAAACTACGAATTTCCATTTTTGGCAAAATCGAACAAAATTCAAATTGCCCAAAAATGGTCAAAAATAGGGCGATTTTTCGGCTGTTTTGTGCATTACGTTTTTTTGCGATTTTGGCTCGGGAAACGAGGGGAGGAGGTAACGACGAAAAAATCCGAGGAGCCGCTAAATGGGAGAGACGGTCATTTCGCAAAATTTCGAAAAAAAAGTAATCAGATCCCCCTTGTGTCTTTCTTCGAATGCGCGATCTCTACCCATCTTTAGTCCCAACTCCGCCCTGCCAGCTCCTTTCATTTCCGAATTCCGTGTTTTCCATTGTGCTCCCCGATTCTCCATGACTTGGTCGACGAACTCGCCCAACTCCCCTCATAAGGAAGGTCATTTTAGGTGTCTTTGGCGATTTTTCTATAAATTCTCTCTTATAATAAATCTACGAAATATTTTTTATCGGCTGGTGCTACATTTTTATGCGGGTTCGCCTCCTCTCAACTTCAATTTTTTTGCGATCATTATTTTTTTACTTTTATTGTGAAACAAAAAATGGGAAAAAGTTACAATTTTTCAAAATAAAATTTCAAGTCACAGAGCTATTTCTGGCAAAGTATTGTTATTGTTTAAAGTCATTTTAGCCAATTTTAGGTAGTCCATTATTCACATTTGTATCAAACTAGACAATGACCTATAAGAAGATGAAAACGAAATAAATTATTGTTTATCTGTTTGCTACGATTGTTCTAATAGAGTATGCACAAAAGTCGAGATTTGAAATCTTTCAATTACAAAGATCAATCAGTAGATTTTACGATGAAATGTCAAAATTTCGAAATTTTGGGAATTTAAATTATTATCAATTTTTTGACTAATAGATGGATTTTCAACAAAAAGATTAAAATGTAGCTCTAGTGAATGAATAATGATAGCAAAAAAATTGAGGATGGGAGGGGTCAAACCCGCATAAAAGAATAGTGGATAAACACCAGCCGATAGAAAATTTTTCGTAGATTATTATAAGATAAAATTTAGAGAAAAATCGCCAATGACACCCAAAATGACCTCCCTTATGAGGCCCCTTCCTTTTAACGACCATTTTCTAAAATTTTCCTTCATTTATTGTTGACTTTTTGCAATAAATAGTTTTGATTCACTGACACTGTAAAATTTTTTTTGGCAAAATTTTCGACTTTACAACAAAAAGCTTTGAGATCAAAAATCGGATTGCTGCGCATGTGAGAGGTCTTGAACAGAAAAATGTCAATTTTGCGAAATTTGCAACCACTAGCACAAATCTACAGTAATCCAATTTGATCTCGCCACTTCAAGTATACCATTCTACAAGCTATCCCATCAATAATTAATTAATTTGCTAATTACTGATTAGTTAGTGAACAAAAACACCGAGATTCTAGAGGTTGAATTGATTTTTAAATCTAAAACTAGAAACTACCAAAATTCGTCTCAAATTTTTGCTTAAATTACATTATTTGTTATTATCCTAACCCGAAATACGTTTAATTATCCTAATTAACTAAATTATCAGCGTTAGATTGCCTATATTCTTTATCTATAAGACAAAAACAACGAAACGTTCCGAATTTCGAAGATTTCGCTGAAACTCAATTATCAAAATTAGTATAAGCCAAATTTTATCTTAATTAAGCATAATCGAAGCAGTTTTGAGTATAAAATAGTCGAAAATCTTGTCAAAAAAAAACATGGACAAAAACGCGAAAAATTATTCAATTGATTTAGAAGATTTAAAATATGTTGGGTTTTTTCTTGAAGCATTTTTTAAAAATTTTCGAAATATTCTTCAAGCTTCTTTTTTTCTTATAATCGAAAGCGGAAATTTAATTGAAAATCTGCGCAGCCAGTTGCTCGCATAAAAAAAAACATTAAAAAATTCGCGAATTCTTCGAAAATCCGACGTCAGTTTCGATAAATCCAGTAAATGGAGACCATTTTTTGCAAAACCTCAACAAAAAATCGAAAAATGAGAAGAAAACTCGCTATTTGGTCGCTAAAGGAAGCAGAATTTGTGAGAGTTGGGAAATTCCGTCGACACGCGTGAAATATTCCTGGACGAATTAAATAATTAACTAATTAATTATTGAAACAGTATAATCTATATGAAAATGTGTTACAATTCTAATCATTATCTGAAAATTCGTTATAAAAGCTTAAAATCATAGCGAAATTTAATAGAAATCCCAACAGCTAAAACCAAGTAATTAAATAGTAATTAAGAAGCTAATTAAAAATTCTAATAAATACCACAAAATTGTTGAAATCCAATTTTTGAAGGTGTTGTTGTCGAGAATCCGCCATCGATCGTTCCATGTGATTGTTCGAATCAACAGTTTTTTCCGCAGCACTCTCTCTCTCATTCCTAGGGTTGCCCTAATGCCTAATAAGGAATATTTCACGCTAGTCATGGCGAATCTAGGAGCACACAGGAAAACGCAGAATTCGGAAATAAAAGCGGAACACAGCAGAACGAAATCGGGACTTACCGGGTAGACGTGCAGGCGGCTTTCAGACGACGTCGAAGACGATGGAAGTTGAACGACGACAACAGAAATTCGCCCTGAAAACCCGGAAATCGATGTCGACAAAAAATAAACGGTGCGAAACGAGCAAAAACCAACGCGGAGAAAAACGATAATAATGAATGGCGTGTTTTGAGAGACGCAGAGAGAAAAACGATGATCAAACTAGAAACAATATATTGATTGATTGAGATGAGATTTGAAATCGGCGGCTACATTGTAGTCTTGCTTTCGCTAAATTGACGACTTCATTTTTAAACTCGGTAGATCAAAATATATTTTAAAACTTGAAATTTGAACAAATATTTTGAAATTAATGAACCTATTCATACAATAAAAAAAATAATAAAAACATTTTTTTTAATAACACATTTTTCCAATTTGGTGAAAAATTCAAATTGGTCTTGAAATTTAATCCTTAAATATTCAAATTCAATCAGTTTCTTCCCTCGACATTCAGCAGACTTATAAGAAATTACGAAAGCTCTGAAAAAAACTAACAAGGCGAATGAAAATCGATCGGATTCGAAAATAATTTAATATAAATCAAGTTTGTTTCGAATTATTCGAAAATTTCAATCAAATACAATATCAAAATTTCAAATGAATCAATTGGTTTCGAAGATTTTTGAATCGAAACCAACTCTGTTCAAATCGAATTTAAGCACTTTTCTCAATCGAATTTCAATTATTTTTTAATTTGAATTATTTTTTTAAATCGAGTTTCGGCTTCATCTTGCGAATTTTTTTGACAATTTGTTGCCAAAAAATAAAAACCATCAATTTTTCACCACAATGTAGATGTGTGTTTACGATCACATCAAATTCAAGGTCTGTGATTAAGAACTGCTCTTCAAGCTTTTCCATTTCGCGATTGAGCCGAAGGCTTTTTGTTTTTTGAATTCCCGCCATCGTGAAAAAAACGTCAATTTTGTTGAAGTTAAATTTTCCGTTTTTTTAAATTTTCTCTGCGTTGGTCCTCAAAAAGTCGTGTATACTCAGGCAAATCAAATAAAATATTTTGAGAATCAAATATTCAGTGATAAACTCTAAAATATTTTGAGAAATTCTAAAGTCTATTGATACTTTCTAAAACTTATTGAGAATCAATAAATTTTAAAAATTTGGAATTTGTAAATTAAATCTTTTGAGAAAGTTAAATCTTTTGAGAAAGTGTAAAGTATCTCAATATATTGTGAGACTTTAAAATTTGAATAGGGCCCTTATGACTTCCACTGACGCAATTTGCGGCGTCTCTTTTTAAGATCTCCCAAATTCCAATAAATAATTTATGTTTTTGATGTTCCTTCCGTTTTTTTAGCTTTTTGTAATAGTTTCTTCACTTCAGTGATGGACGTATTCATGAAATGCAAGTTTTTATAATAAATGTTTAACACTACCTTAAATCTGCATTGTTTTACATGCTGAATTTGAAACAGTTGTGTCTAAACATGTCATTGCATGAACAGGTTCATGAATTTTAAAAATACGCACAGTTATTACAATTAATTACAATTATACTTCAGTTTCTAATGATTTCGATATTTTAGAAGATCGGGAAAAGTGTGGAACAAACATTCCAGAAACATTGGCCGATAGATTTAAGGAACGAGGTAAATACAGCAAATTCAATGAGCAGGTGCCCATGTGGATCACGGCCATGGATATTTTCCACCTTTTTCACGAGGGAACACGTATAATAAAAGGTACTTCAATTATGTCTCTCCTTTTTCAGCATTTAAAAATTGAAGATTGTCTTTTAGAAGTCTTCGTTAAAAACGAAATAAATATTTTTCGATGCGAAGCTATTGATGTGAAAGCGAGACTGCCATCTTCGGTAAAGTCGCTATCAGGAAAATTCAATGACATTAATAGGTCCGAAAAAGCTAGTGTAAGTTAATTTACCACTTGCAATTATCATCCTTTGAAGATTTTTGAAGTGAAAATTGTTTCTAACGCCATGATCGGAACCATCCCTCCGTTAGGTTCAGCTGTTGTGTTGCTTATACATGCCTGCTACCGATGGATGGTGTCACCGACTCGCTAGTAATATAACAAAGTAATATGGGATCGTTAGCTATGTACATAATAGAAAATTTTTATTTCAGATCGCAGGTATTTGTAAATTATTAGAAATTCTAATTTGAGATGGGGCGCCTCAATTGTTTTCTGGTTCAAAAGTGCACGTAAGTCGTTTTCTTTTTTGCAGTTTTAAGAGTTATTGAACGTTGTAGCATCATGCTATTGTCGTTGATATAAGAAATAATACTAATGATTACTGTATTTATTGTTTCAGCAACTTATATACCATTTGTACAGTAATGTCAGGCGGTGTGGTCAGCTGTCGGCAATAAGCACGCAAGCGCATGAGCACATTTATCACGTTATCAAGAGAAACATGTGCTCGGAACAGACAAACGGGATTGGATATAGTATTTTGAGAAAGTTAGACTCATTCAGTTATTTTTTAAAACTGGCAATTTTCAGCTATAAACTATATCACGAGATTTCATTGAAAATGCGTTTCAACGCGAATCCGGATTTAATTAAGAAGTCATTTTATCGCAAAGAACTCATGAAATTAATCGAAAAACGACAAATTCAATCATCAAAATTTGTAAGTTCAACATTTTCTTTCAATATATGCAACGAATTCCTTATAGCAACGTTGTGCGTCATTCGCAGAAAAAGGAGAAAATGCGAAAAGAATAAATTGATTCATTTATTTTTTTCTGATTTTTATTATTAATATATTCATTTCGCATTAATATTGTAATAAATGAAATGTTCATACATATTCAATTATTATGGCTGTTATTACATTCTATTTGTGTGAAAATTGCTCGATAACGTATGATATTACATAATATTGGACAGAGTTTATTGAGAACAATCTAAAATTTATTGATATATTCTAAAGTTTATTGAGACAAATCTAAAACTTATTGATAAACTTTAAAGTCTCACAATATTCATTGAAACTTATTGATAAATTCTAAAATCTTATGAGATTTCATAAAGTTTATTGAGACAAATCTAAAATATTATAGAGACACGTTAGCCTCTCAACGAACCTCATAAGATTTTAGAATTGTCTCAAAATATTTTTTTTCATTTGCCTGAGATATATAGTCGGCGTCCTGCTGTACGCGGGTAGATTTACGCGCATGCGCCTTGAAAATTTCTCGCCACGTGTGAACGCTTATTTTGTTGTTTTCACGTGAACGACTTATTTCTTCTTACTGATTTTCGCATTTCCTCCAAATTCCAAGGTACATTCGTTTAAAAATTATCGATCCGTGCGAGACCATTTCGAAAGACGCATCCCCGTAAATCTACCCGCGTACAGCAGTCGCCGGACGCCAACTATATTTGGAAAAACAAAAATTTTTAAAATTACCATTTTTTCTTTTCTTTTCTGCTTACCAAAAAAAAACGCAATCCGAATTTCACAAACCTGCTTGCTGCTCACAAAAAAAAGTTTCAAAAAAAAAACTTTCAGAGTTTCGCGGCTGCTCGAGACCAACAAGAATGAGGTGGGCAAAAATTTAGTCCAATTTCGGTGGGTCAAATCAAAAACAAAATCAAAAACATCAATTTATTGGTTGTGTTAATCGATAAAAAGCGAAACGAGAAACAAAAAATTACCGCAAAAAAAAGAAGAAACGAAGAGAATAGGGGACCTCAAAAATTAAAGCAAAAAGAAAAAAAAGAAGAAAACGTCCAGAAATATCGGATAAGTGTCGTTAGAATCAGAGAAGTTCCATTTTTTGTGGCTTGTGAAAATTGTGTGGGTGTTAAAATTTAAGAGACAACTGGATGAATAATCGACCGTAACACACAAAAAAATAGAAATAATGAAAAAAACCATAATAAATGTGCGAAGTTGCGGCAGCTTCGATGAAAAAAAGCGCCTCAAATAAAACGAAGAAGAAAAAGTCCAAAAACCGATTAACACATCATAAACAGCAAGGCTCGCACGGGGCTCTCGAAGCGAATCAACCACATTCGCTTCAAGACCACCGCCGAGCGGGTTCGTTCGCAATAGCAATAATAATAATAATAATACAATATAATTTGGGTTCGTGATAATCGTATTACATTCATTTCAATCATTTTGGAATGGGGTAGGGTGGGTAAAAATGGAATAATTGGAATAACGAGAGAGAGAGAAAAAAAAGCTCATCGCGCGATTCTCAGACGCGCTTCTCACGGGAAGGCGTCGAAATTCACGCGGGCCATCAATTTCGATTAATCGCATTCATCATTTCGATTCACTGGGTCTGCTCTTGTCGAACCTCAATCTTCTCGACGACCATATCGGGATTCATTTGAGTGGCTTCGAGAATCGCCTGGCTCAGCTCCTGCAAAAATCCCCTACTCATTCGTCGTCGTGTGTGTGTTTTTTTTGCTCTCGGAGCTCGCTTCACTCAACCCGCTGGGATCAATTTTTCATCGTCGCCACGCCGCCGCGAGAAAAAAAAAAACACCTATTTCAAACTACTCACCGCGTCATGATCAATGTCGCCGTCCGAGTGAATTGTGACGCGATGCTCGACGTGCGTCTCAATGATGCCATCCTTCTCCGTCTTGTACGTGATCGTCTCGATCGTCCGATTGCCTTGCGTCACGCTCTTCGATGAGACATACTCGCCAAGTCCCTGAAATCATCCGGAAACGTCGTCGACTCAAAAAAAATGACAAAAACGAAACCCAACCTCATTAACCCATGCTGGAAGTTGGCGCTCGTGTCCGTCATTATTCGCCTCATAGCTCATCGTTCTCGTCTGCGTCTCCACAACGCCCAAACCATCGCCCGACGAAGACCCTGCAACAATTAGGCTTTTCCAAGACCAATTTCCGAGTAACCCAACCTTGCTGCTTGAGCGGCGTCAATTGCTCGCGACTGCGCTCGACATGCACAACGCCAACCGGCACCTGCTCATCATCAACAATGTAGTTCTGGAACGATTGGGTCTGCACCGTGTGCTTCACCTGCGACGATTTGATCGTTCGCCTACAAATCATTTTGTCGCATCATTATTCCCCCCAAGCAATCGTCATGCGCTTACGTCACTTGCCGTCCGTTCTCATCGGTGATCACCTCGACCTGCTCCGGCAGATCGCTAGTCTCTTGCCATCTCGATACTGTTGTGTACGGTTGGCCGCTCTCCTGAAACGACGACGATGCGATAAGTAGTAGAGAGAAAGAGAGGAAGAAAAAAAATGAATATGTGTATCGAAACGATCGAAATGAAACATTGAGGTGCTCGTTCTCATCGAGAAACGAACACTCACCAGCCCTCTGGAATTAGTTGAAAGTGTCGATTAATTTGTTTTTTTTGAAATGAAAGAAACGGAAAAAAAAAAACACACACGACGGCACATGTAAGTGAGTAACATTAGTGGCAAGAATCGAGCAGCAAGCAAAACAAAAAAGAAAAGAGAATCGAAACGAAGAGGCGCAAGAAGCCACACCAAAAACACATCAAGGCGCCAAAAAAAATGGCGCATACCTCGATGGAGACCGGAATTGGCGCGTTGGCGCGCACAGTGAAAGTGCGCTCGGCGTGTTCCAACCGCGGCGAGCTCGCGTTCAGACGTTCGGCACGTTGAATCGTCGCCATTAGTGACTATAAAGAAGACGGGTTCGAAAATGAGTGGGTGGTGTTGGGAGGGAAAGAGGGGATAGGTACGCTTGGGAAATTGGCAATTGTTAAACGACAAAAGGAGAAGAGGGGCCTGTTTTCAAACTTAAAGGGGGGGGGGTCAACACCATTTTTGTTGTTTTGCTAATTGAAATGAAAAGAAAACTCAAGAGATAGAAGAAGATGGTCAAATTGCGTTGCGGTTTTTGATTTAAATACTCTCTCCCTAAAAAAGTCTCAAATTCCCACCCGAAAACGGTGCTTCCGAGCAACAACATGCATGGAATGACACTCATCATGCGAATATACACATCTCCGATTGGCCCCACCGCTTCCCGCGCGCAACCCCCCAGCCAGCGTCACAACACTAAATAATCATCACAACACCGTCGATCACACATGCGTCTCGACGAACCGGCTCGTTCGGATCGAATCCCGACGACGGACCGCGTCCGCGTAGGCGGTATGCCATTTCGCGCGTCTCTTTGCGAACCACACGCGTGTTCGGTATCTCCGACGGCTCGCGTCCGCTTATCGACATCTCGACCTCGTTGAGCGCGTCCGGCGCCGCCGTCACCGTCGCCGCGGTGCGTCGCCTCGGCGTCGTTGCGCTCTAATACAATAAGTGGGCAATTATCGTGTAGTGGTGACGTTTCTACGATATCATGCGATTAAAACGATCATACCTAATCCTAGACATTTTGATGATGATGCGTTCTCATTCTCATTTTTTTTATTTCAATATTCAACGCATTCCTGCTTCTCACACTCACCTTGTCCTGCTCGAACTCGACAACCGCAAACTCGCGCTTCTCGTCGTGCTCACTATCCGACGTCTCGCTCGAATCATTCTCCTTCTTGCCTTTCTTCGACGCCTTCTTCTTGCTCTTGTCGCGCTGAAACAATTCAATTTTGTTGAAAATGTCGAAAAGCCTCTCTGCCAACGCCCCCCCCCCCAAAAAAAAAGTTTGCCGGTGTTCAAAATCCAAAAATATCTCATTTTTCGCGCGCGCGACGGTACTTGAAATCAAGCAACCACAAAAAAAAGAATGAAAAGAAAAAAGTAGCGCAATTGAGTAAACAATTATTGTTCCAAAACGCCCTTTTCGCTTTCATATCAATCTTTCTATATTTTTTTCTTCTCGCCAAAGGAAATGCGCATAGCTGAAACAGAAAAAAAACACACACGCACAGAAGCAAAAACATTATATTCCCAACGGGCGAGAGCCCATCAATCTGGCATCGAGGCACCGCTGAGTTGCTTCTCGTTTATCTACTCGCACCAATTTCAAAGAGCATTTTTATTTGCCAAGCTAAGGGGCAGCAGCAAAAAAAAAAAGTATATTGAAATATTGAGAAGACAAAAAGGATTGGACCATGGTACAATAAAATAGCACCAAAAAAAACATTTGTTCTTGAAAACCAATAAAACAAACCTTGAAGCCGAGTCTCGCGAGGAATCCACGTTCGGGCGGCGACATTTGCGGCGGAGTTGAAGAGAAGCAAAGACCGCTCTCATCCTCGGAGAGCGCGCCAACGTGCGTATGCCCCGCCCCGAAAATCGTCGAGGCGCTCGAGATGTAGGCGTGGTTTTGCGTCGAGCCGATGTCGCGAATGAAATACGCGGGCTCGAGGAGAATCTCGGTGCGACGCTCCATTCGCACTTCCACATAGTTTTGGCCGTCGTCGGTGAAGCCTTCGATGCGCGCCGCGCGCGGCTCGTACTGAAGCGACGATGGAATGAAGCGTACCGTGTTCTCGACGATTAGAGAACGCTGGTGTGCGGCTGATGTCGATGGTCCAATGTGATCGGTAAGATTGCGCGCTTCGAGCTCGTCGCTTCGACGAATCGTGTCGAGCTCGCCGCCGAATCGATCGCTTCGCGGGTGTGTCTCAGTTGGCGATGATTTCCAGAATGAACGCCCACGCGACTTGCTTTCCTTCTTCGAATCATCCGATTTCACCGATTTCATTGGAAGAACACGCGCAATCAATCGAACATCATGACGATCTCCTTCTACGGGAGTTTTCAACTTCTTCTTAGCATTGGCCTCATCCTTGATCCACGAACTTCCGTGATGATAGACATTCGCAAAGTCGGTTATCGGAGCATCAATCAATTCGTCGTTTGGTGCTAACTCGTTCAATTCGCCGTCAAACTTGTCCGAAGGAAAACTGTAGCCGCGAATCGATATTTGAGATTTTTCCACCTGATCTTCAAGTCCCTCATGTCGGTTTCTCGAGAATAATGGAATTCTCCGAATTCGTCCAGTGACAGAGCTCTCCCTCGATGCTGTTATCGTTGCATCCTGATCTAATGGAATGTTTTCAAGATCTCTAATTGGTGATGTTGATTCAACAGGACCATGATAGGTTTCTCCATCCGGAGACGATTCAGGTTCAGCAGATTTCCGAGATTTAAACAGACCCAATCCGAATACAGAAGGATCTTTTCGTCGCGATTTGCTTGAAATGTCATCATCGGGCTTTTCTTCTGGTTTAACATGAGCAACAAGACGGAAAGTTCTCTCCTTCGAAACATCTCTTTGTGCAATGTCCGGCTCATCCTTGATCCACGATCTGCCATGATGGTAGACAGCGGCATGATCGGTGATCGGTGATTCGGCAAGTTCGTCCTGACGATTGATTTCATCGAGTGGTCCATCGTAAGCGTCGGTTGAGAACGAATAAGCTCCGGTGGCAATGTTGGACTTTTCGATCTCGTCTTCATCGCCGTCATGTCGAATTCGGGCAATGAGTCGGACTCGGCGTTTCTCTTCGTGGACAATCGGTTCAGCCTTCTGATAGATCTCGTATTCCTTCGGAACGTAGGCTGGAATCGAGGAACGGTGTTCGAGTGGGATGTTCTCGAGATCTTGTGATCGATCGGTGGTGTCGAGTGGACCAGTGTAGGCTTCGTGAACAACTGGGTAAGTCGAAGTCTCCGTGGTCTTGGTGGTCTTAGACTTGAAGAATCCGAACTTACTCGTCTCCTTCTTCTTCGGAGTCTTCTCAACAGCTGGTTCAGGCTCTGGCTCATCTGGCTTGACGCGGGCGATGAGTCGAACTTCCTTGGTCTCTGGTTCCTCTGGCTCGACGACCTTGGTCTTCTTGGGCGACTTGACATGGATGATGGCCCGCTTCTCCTTTGGTGATGGAGCAACTGGTTCATCCTTGATCCACGATCTGCCAAGATGGTAGACAGCGGCATGATCGGTGATCGGTGATTCGGCAAGTTCGTCCTGACGATTGATCTCATCGAGTGGTCCATCGTAAGCGTCGGTTGAGAACGAATAAGCTCCGGTGGCAATGTTGGACTTTTCGATCTCGTCTTCATCGCCGTCATGTCGAATTCGGGCAATGAGTCGGACTCGGCGTTTCTCTTCGTGGACAATCGGTTCAGCCTTCTGATAGATCTCGTATTCCTTCGGAACGTAGGCTGGAATCGAGGAACGGTGTTCGAGTGGGATGTTCTCGAGATCTTGTGATCGATCGGTGGTGTCGAGTGGACCAGTGTAGGCTTCGTGAACAACTGGGTAAGTCGAAGTCTCCGTGGTCTTGGTGGTCTTAGACTTGAAGAATCCGAACTTGGTCGTCTCCTTTTTCTTCGGAGTCTTCTCAACAGCTGGTTCAGGCTCTGGCTCATCTGGCTTGACGCGGGCGATGAGTCGAACTTCCTTGGTCTCTGGTTCCTCTGGCTCGACGACCTTGGTCTTCTTGGGCGACTTGACATGGATGATGGCCCGCTTCTCCTTTGGTGATGGAGCAACTGGTTCATCCTTGATCCACGATCTGCCATGATGGTAGACAGCGGCATGATCGGTGATCGGTGATTCGGCAAGTTCGTCCTGACGATTGATCTCATCGAGTGGTCCATCGTAAGCGTCGGTTGAGAACGAATAAGCTCCGGTGGCAATGTTGGACTTTTCGATCTCGTCTTCATCGCCGTCATGTCGAATTCGGGCAATGAGTCGGACTCGGCGTTTCTCTTCGTGGACAATCGGTTCAGCCTTCTGATAGATCTCGTATTCCTTCGGAACGTAGGCTGGAATCGAGGAACGGTGTTCGAGTGGGATGTTCTCGAGATCTTGTGATCGATCGGTGGTGTCGAGTGGACCAGTGTAGGCTTCGTGAACAACTGGGTAAGTCAAAGTCTCCGTGGTCTTGGTGGTCTTAGACTTGAAGAATCCGAACTTGGTCGTCTCCTTCTTCTTCGGAGTCTTCTCAACAGCTGGTTCAGGCTCTGGCTCATCTGGCTTGACGCGGGCGATGAGTCGAACTTCCTTGGTCTCTGGTTCTTCTGGCTCGACGACCTTTGTCTTCTTGGGCGACTTGACGTGGATGACCGTCTTCTTTTCTTTTGGAGAAGGAGCAACTGGTTCATCCTTGATCCACGATCTGCCATGATGGTAGACAGCGGCATGATCGGTGATCGGTGATTCGGCAAGTTCTTCCTGACGATTGATCTCATCGAGTGGTCCATCGTAAGCGTCGGTTGAGAACGAATAAGCTCCGGTGGCAATGTTGGACTTTTCGATCTCGTCTTCATCGCCGTCATGTCGAATTCGGGCAATGAGTCGGACTCGGCGTTTCTCTTCGTGGACAATCGGTTCAGCCTTCTGATAGATCTCGTATTCCTTCGGAACGTAGGCTGGAATCGAGGAACGGTGTTCGAGTGGGATGTTCTCAAGATCTTGTGATCGATCGGTGGTGTCGAGTGGACCAGTGTAGGCTTCGTGAACAACTGGGTAAGTCGAAGTCTCCGTGGTCTTGGTGATCTTAGACTTGAAGAATCCGAACTTACTCGTCTCCTTCTTCTTCGGAGTCTTCTCAACAGCTGGTTCAGGCTCTGGCTCATCTGGCTTGACGCGGGCGATGAGTCGAACTTCCTTGGTCTCTGGTTCTTCTGGCTCGACGACCTTGGTCTTCTTGGGCGACTTGACGTGGATGACCGTCTTCTTTTCTTTTGGAGAAGGAGCAACTGGTTCATCCTTGATCCACGATCTGCCATGATGGTAGACAGCGGCATGATCGGTGATCGGTGATTCGGCAAGTTCTTCCTGACGATTGATCTCATCGAGTGGTCCATCGTAAGCGTCGGTTGAGAACGAATAAGCTCCGGTGGCAATGTTGGACTTTTCGATCTCGTCTTCATCGCCGTCATGTCGAATTCGGGCAATGAGTCGGACTCGGCGTTTCTCTTCGTGGACAATCGGTTCAGCCTTCTGATAGATCTCGTATTCCTTCGGAACGTAGGCTGGAATCGAGGAACGGTGTTCGAGTGGGATGTTCTCAAGATCTTGTGATCGATCGGTGGTGTCGAGTGGACCAGTGTAGGCTTCGTGAACAACTGGGTAAGTCGAAGTCTCCGTGGTCTTGGTGGTCTTAGACTTGAAGAATCCGAACTTGGTCGTCTCCTTCTTCTTCGGAGTCTTCTCAACAGCTGGTTCAGGCTCTGGCTCATCTGGCTTGACGCGGGCGATGAGTCGAACTTCCTTGGTCTCTGGTTCCTCTGGCTCGACGACCTTGGTCTTCTTGGGCGACTTGACATGGATGATGGCCCGCTTCTCCTTTGGTGATGGAGCAACTGGTTCATCCTTGATCCACGATCTGCCAAGATGGTAGACAGCGGCATGATCGGTGATCGGTGATTCGGCAAGTTCGTCCTGACGATTGATCTCATCGAGTGGTCCATCGTAAGCGTCGGTTGAGAACGAATAAGCTCCGGTGGCAATGTTGGACTTTTCGATCTCGTCTTCATCGCCGTCATGTCGAATTCGGGCAATGAGTCGGACTCGGCGTTTCTCTTCGTGGACAATCGGTTCAGCCTTCTGATAGATCTCGTATTCCTTCGGAACGTAGGCTGGAATCGAGGAACGGTGTTCGAGTGGGATGTTCTCGAGATCTTGTGATCGATCGGTGGTGTCGAGTGGACCAGTGTAGGCTTCGTGAACAACTGGGTAAGTCGAAGTCTCCGTGGTCTTGGTGGTCTTAGACTTGAAGAATCCGAACTTGGTCGTCTCCTTCTTCTTCGGAGTCTTCTCAACAGCTGGTTCAGGCTCTGGCTCATCTGGCTTGACGCGGGCGATGAGTCGAACTTCCTTGGTCTCTGGTTCCTCTGGCTCGACGACCTTGGTCTTCTTGGGCGACTTGACATGGATGATGGCCCGCTTCTCCTTTGGTGATGGAGCAACTGGTTCATCCTTGATCCACGATCTGCCATGATGGTAGACAGCGGCATGATCGGTGATCGGTGATTCGGCAAGTTCGTCCTGACGATTGATCTCATCGAGTGGTCCATCGTAAGCGTCGGTTGAGAACGAATAAGCTCCGGTGGCAATGTTGGACTTTTCGATCTCGTCTTCATCGCCGTCATGTCGAATTCGGGCAATGAGTCGGACTCGGCGTTTCTCTTCGTGGACAATCGGTTCAGCCTTCTGATAGATCTCGTATTCCTTCGGAACGTAGGCTGGAATCGAGGAACGGTGTTCGAGTGGGATGTTCTCGAGATCTTGTGATCGATCGGTGGTGTCGAGTGGACCAGTGTAGGCTTCGTGAACAACTGGGTAAGTCAAAGTCTCCGTGGTCTTGGTGGTCTTAGACTTGAAGAATCCGAACTTGGTCGTCTCCTTCTTCTTCGGAGTCTTCTCAACAGCTGGTTCAGGCTCTGGCTCATCTGGCTTGACGCGGGCGATGAGTCGAACTTCCTTGGTCTCTGGTTCTTCTGGCTCGACGACCTTGGTCTTCTTGGGCGACTTGACGTGGATGACCGTCTTCTTTTCTTTTGGAGAAGGAGCAACTGGTTCATCCTTGATCCACGATCTGCCATGATGGTAGACAGCGGCATGATCGGTGATCGGTGATTCGGCAAGTTCTTCCTGACGATTGATCTCATCGAGTGGTCCATCGTAAGCGTCGGTTGAGAACGAATAAGCTCCGGTGGCAATGTTGGACTTTTCGATCTCGTCTTCATCGCCGTCATGTCGAATTCGGGCAATGAGTCGGACTCGGCGTTTCTCTTCGTGGACAATCGGTTCAGCCTTCTGATAGATCTCGTATTCCTTCGGAACGTAGGCTGGAATCGAGGAACGGTGTTCGAGTGGGATGTTCTCGAGATCTTGTGATCGATCGGTGGTGTCGAGTGGACCAGTGTAGGCTTCGTGAACAACTGGGTAAGTCGAAGTCTCCGTGGTCTTGGTGGTCTTAGACTTGAAGAATCCGAACTTACTCGTCTCCTTCTTCTTCGGAGTCTTCTCAACAGCTGGTTCAGGCTCTGGCTCATCTGGCTTGACGCGGGCGATGAGTCGAACTTCCTTGGTCTCTGGTTCTTCTGGCTCGACGACCTTGGTCTTCTTGGGCGACTTGACGTGGATGACCGCCCGCTTCTCTTTTGGTGAAGGAGCAACTGGTTCATCCTTGATCCACGATCTGCCATGATGGTAGACAGCGGCATGATCGGTGATCGGTGATTCGGCAAGTTCGTCCTGACGATTGATCTCATCGAGTGGTCCATCGTAAGCGTCGGTTGAGAACGAATAAGCTCCGGTGGCAATGTTGGACTTTTCGATCTCGTCTTCATCGCCGTCATGTCGAATTCGGGCAATGAGTCGGACTCGGCGTTTCTCTTCGTGGACAATCGGTTCAGCCTTCTGATAGATCTCGTATTCCTTCGGAACGTAGGCTGGAATCGAGGAACGGTGTTCGAGTGGGATGTTCTCGAGATCTTGTGATCGATCGGTGGTGTCGAGTGGACCAGTGTAGGCTTCGTGAACAACTGGGTAAGTCGAAGTCTCCGTGGTCTTGGTGGTCTTAGACTTGAAGAATCCGAACTTGGTCGTCTCCTTCTTCTTCGGAGTCTTCTCAACAGCTGGTTCAGGCTCTGGCTCATCTGGCTTGACGCGGGCGATGAGTCGAACTTCCTTGGTCTCTGGTTCCTCTGGCTCGACGACCTTGGTCTTCTTGGGCGACTTGACATGGATGATGGCCCGCTTCTCCTTTGGTGATGGAGCAACTGGTTCATCCTTGATCCACGATCTGCCATGATGGTAGACAGCGGCATGATCGGTGATCGGTGATTCGGCAAGTTCGTCCTGACGATTGATCTCATCGAGTGGTCCATCGTAAGCGTCGGTTGAGAACGAATAAGCTCCGGTGGCAATGTTGGACTTTTCGATCTCGTCTTCATCGCCGTCATGTCGAATTCGGGCAATGAGTCGGACTCGGCGTTTCTCTTCGTGGACAATCGGTTCAGCCTTCTGATAGATCTCGTATTCCTTCGGAACGTAGGCTGGAATCGAGGAACGGTGTTCGAGTGGGATGTTCTCGAGATCTTGTGATCGATCGGTGGTGTCGAGTGGACCAGTGTAGGCTTCGTGAACAACTGGGTAAGTCGAAGTCTCCGTGGTCTTGGTGGTCTTAGACTTGAAGAATCCGAACTTGGTCGTCTCCTTCTTCTTCGGAGTCTTCTCAACAGCTGGTTCAAGCTCTGGCTCATCTGGCTTGACGCGGGCGATGAGTCGAACTTCCTTGGTCTCTGGTTCCTCTGGCTCGACGACCTTGGTCTTCTTGGGCGACTTGACATGGATGATGGCCCGCTTCTCCTTTGGTGATGGAGCAACTGGTTCATCCTTGATCCACGATCTGCCATGATGGTAGACAGCGGCATGATCGGTGATCGGTGATTCGGCAAGTTCGTCCTGACGATTGATCTCATCGAGTGGTCCATCGTAAGCGTCGGTTGAGAACGAATAAGCTCCGGTGGCAATGTTGGACTTTTCGATCTCGTCTTCATCGCCGTCATGTCGAATTCGGGCAATGAGTCGGACTCGGCGTTTCTCTTCGTGGACAATCGGTTCAGCCTTCTGATAGATCTCGTATTCCTTCGGAACGTAGGCTGGAATCGAGGAACGGTGTTCGAGTGGGATGTTCTCAAGATCTTGTGATCGATCGGTGGTGTCGAGTGGACCAGTGTAGGCTTCGTGAACAACTGGGTAAGTCGAAGTCTCCGTGGTCTTGGTGGTCTTAGACTTGAAGAATCCGAACTTACTCGTCTCCTTCTTCTTCGGAGTCTTCTCAACAGCTGGTTCAGGCTCTGGCTCATCTGGCTTGACGCGGGCGATGAGTCGAACTTCCTTGGTCTCTGGTTCCTCTGGCTCGACGACCTTGGTCTTCTTGGGCGACTTGACATGGATGATGGCCCGCTTCTCCTTTGGTGATGGAGCAACTGGTTCATCCTTGATCCACGATCTGCCATGATGGTAGACAGCGGCATGATCGGTGATCGGTGATTCGGCAAGTTCGTCCTGACGATTGATCTCATCGAGTGGTCCATCGTAAGCGTCGGTTGAGAACGAATAAGCTCCGGTGGCAATGTTGGACTTTTCGATCTCGTCTTCATCGCCGTCATGTCGAATTCGGGCAATGAGTCGGACTCGGCGTTTCTCTTCGTGGACAATCGGTTCAGCCTTCTGATAGATCTCGTATTCCTTCGGAACGTAGGCTGGAATCGAGGAACGGTGTTCGAGTGGGATGTTCTCGAGATCTTGTGATCGATCGGTGGTGTCGAGTGGACCAGTGTAGGCTTCGTGAACAACTGGGTAAGTCGAAGTCTTCGTGGTCTTGGTGGTCTTAGACTTGAAGAATCCGAACTTACTCGTCTCCTTCTTCTTCGGAGTCTTCTCAACAGCTGGTTCAGGCTCTGGCTCATCTGGCTTGACGCGGGCGATGAGTCGAACTTCCTTGGTCTCTGGTTCTTCTGGCTCGACGACCTTGGTCTTCTTGGGCGACTTGACATGGATGATGGCCCGCTTCTCCTTTGGTGATGGAGCAACTGGTTCATCCTTGATCCACGATCTGCCATGATGGTAGACAGCGGCATGATCGGTGATCGGTGATTCGGCAAGTTCGTCCTGACGATTGATTTCATCGAGTGGTCCATCGTAAGCGTCGGTTGAGAACGAATAAGCTCCGGTGGCAATGTTGGACTTTTCGATCTCGTCTTCATCGCCGTCATGTCGAATTCGGGCAATGAGTCGGACTCGGCGTTTCTCTTCGTGGACAATCGGTTCAGCCTTCTGATAGATCTCGTATTCCTTCGGAACGTAGGCTGGAATCGAGGAACGGTGTTCGAGTGGGATGTTCTCAAGATCTTGTGATCGATCGGTGGTGTCGAGTGGACCAGTGTAGGCTTCGTGAACAACTGGGTAAGTCGAAGTCTCCGTGTTCTTGGTGATCTTAGACTTGAAGAATCCGAACTTACTCGTCTCCTTCTTCTTCGGAGTCTTCTCAACAGCTGGTTCAAGCTCTGGCTCATCTGACTTGACGCGGGCGATGAGTCGAACTTCCTTGGTCTCTGGTTCCTCTGGCTCGACGACCTTGGTCTTCTTGGGCGACTTGACATGGATGATGGCCCGCTTCTCCTTTGGTGATGGAGCAACTGGTTCATCCTTGATCCACGATCTGCCATGATGGTAGACAGCGGCATGATCGGTGATCGGTGATTCGGCAAGTTCGTCCTGACGATTGATCTCATCGAGTGGTCCATCGTAAGCGTCGGTTGAGAACGAATAAGCTCCGGTGGCAATGTTGGACTTTTCGATCTCGTCTTCATCGCCGTCATGTCGAATTCGGGCAATGAGTCGGACTCGGCGTTTCTCTTCGTGGACAATCGGTTCAGCCTTCTGATAGATCTCGTATTCCTTCGGAACGTAGGCTGGAATCGAGGAACGGTGTTCGAGTGGGATGTTCTCAAGATCTTGTGATCGATCGGTGGTGTCGAGTGGACCAGTGTAGGCTTCGTGAACAACTGGGTAAGTCGAAGTCTCCGTGGTCTTGGTGGTCTTAGACTTGAAGAATCCGAACTTGGTCGTCTCCTTCTTCTTCGGAGTCTTCTCAACAGCTGGTTCAGGCTCTGGCTCATCTGGCTTGACGCGGGCGATGAGTCGAACTTCCTTGGTCTCTGGTTCCTCTGGCTCGACGACCTTGGTCTTCTTGGGCGACTTGACATGGATGATGGCCCGCTTCTCCTTTGGTGATGGAGCAACTGGTTCATCCTTGATCCACGATCTGCCATGATGGTAGACAGCGGCATGATCGGTGATCGGTGATTCGGCAAGTTCGTCCTGACGATTGATCTCATCGAGTGGTCCATCGTAAGCGTCGGTTGAGAACGAATAAGCTCCGGTGGCAATGTTGGACTTTTCGATCTCGTCTTCATCGCCGTCATGTCGAATTCGGGCAATGAGTCGGACTCGGCGTTTCTCTTCGTGGACAATCGGTTCAGCCTTCTGATAGATCTCGTATTCCTTCGGAACGTAGGCTGGAATCGAGGAACGGTGTTCGAGTGGGATGTTCTCGAGATCTTGTGATCGATCGGTGGTGTCGAGTGGACCAGTGTAGGCTTCGTGAACAACTGGGTAAGTCGAAGTCTCCGTGGTCTTGGTGGTCTTAGACTTGAAGAATCCGAACTTGGTCGTCTCCTTCTTCTTCGGAGTCTTCTCAACAGCTGGTTCAAGCTCTGGCTCATCTGGCTTGACGCGGGCGATGAGTCGAACTTCCTTGGTCTCTGGTTCCTCTGGCTCGACGACCTTGGTCTTCTTGGGCGACTTGACATGGATGATGGCCCGCTTCTCCTTTGGTGATGGAGCAACTGGTTCATCCTTGATCCACGATCTGCCATGATGGTAGACAGCGGCATGATCGGTGATCGGTGATTCGGCAAGTTCGTCCTGACGATTGATCTCATCGAGTGGTCCATCGTAAGCGTCGGTTGAGAACGAATAAGCTCCGGTGGCAATGTTGGACTTTTCGATCTCGTCTTCATCGCCGTCATGTCGAATTCGGGCAATGAGTCGGACTCGGCGTTTCTCTTCGTGGACAATCGGTTCAGCCTTCTGATAGATCTCGTATTCCTTCGGAACGTAGGCTGGAATCGAGGAACGGTGTTCGAGTGGGATGTTCTCGAGATCTTGTGATCGATCGGTGGTGTCGAGTGGACCAGTGTAGGCTTCGTGAACAACTGGGTAAGTCGAAGTCTCCGTGGTCTTGGTGGTCTTAGACTTGAAGAATCCGAACTTGGTCGTCTCCTTCTTCTTCGGAGTCTTCTCAACAGCTGGTTCGGGCTCTGGCTCATCTGGCTTGACGCGGGCGATGAGTCGAACTTCCTTGGTCTCTGGTTCCTCTGGCTCGACGACCTTGGTCTTCTTGGGCGACTTGACATGGATGATGGCCCGCTTCTCCTTTGGTGATGGAGCAACTGGTTCATCCTTGATCCACGATCTGCCATGATGGTAGACAGCGGCATGATCGGTGATCGGTGATTCGGCAAGTTCGTCCTGACGATTGATCTCATCGAGTGGTCCATCGTAAGCGTCGGTTGAGAACGAATAAGCTCCGGTGGCAATGTTGGACTTTTCGATCTCGTCTTCATCGCCGTCATGTCGAATTCGTTTGCCGTCATGTCGAATTCGGGCAATGAGTCGGACTCGGCGTTTCTCTTCGTGGACAATCGGTTCAGCCTTCTGATAGATCTCGTATTCCTTCGGAACGTAGGCTGGAATCGAGGAACGGTGTTCGAGTGGGATGTTCTCAAGATCTTGTGATCGATCGGTGGTGTCGAGTGGACCAGTGTAGGCTTCGTGAACAACTGGGTAAGTCGAAGTCTCCGTGGTCTTGGTGGTCTTAGACTTGAAGAATCCGAACATGGTCGTCTCCTTCTTCTTCGGAGTCTTCTCAACAGCTGGTTCAGGCTCTGGCTCATCTGGCTTGACGCGGGCGGTGAGTCGAACTTCCTTGGTCTCTGGTTCTTCTGGCTCGACGACCTTGGTCTTCTTGGGCGACTTGACGTGGATGACCGTCTTCTTTTCTTTTGGAGAAGGAGCAACTGGTTCATCCTTGATCCACGATCTGCCATGATGGTAGACAGCGGCATGATCGGTGATCGGTGATTCGGCAAGTTCGTCCTGACGATTGATCTCATCGAGTTGCCCATCGTAAACGTCGGTTGAGAACGAATAAGCTTCGGTGGCAATGTTGGACTTTTCGATCTTGTCTTGATCTCCGTCTTGTGGGATTCTTCCGATACCAATACGACTGTGCTTCTGAGACCGCATAGTTGCTTTCAGTCCATGTTCGGTGAGATGCCTTCGAGATTTTGGCGAAATTCTCGATTCCAGTACTAGTGGCATTGATTTCAAATCATCTTCTCGCTTTGTATAGTCATGGAATATCGGATATGGCTTACTCGTTGGACTCGTACTACTCGGAGGTATTCTATTAATCTTCGTAACCGATCGTATGTCTTTGCTCGTTGATGGTTCATCTTCATCTTGTGTTAGATTTCCTGATCGGTCGACACTTGCGGATAGTCGCAAGCGACGATCCGAATCCGGCGATTCTTTTCGTGTTGTTGTGGAAACCACTTGCTCTTTCTGTGCGAGAGTGGCATTGACGTTGGATGATGAGACGCGACTGCGGCCATCTCGTGTATGGCTGACGACAAGCGGATTAACATGAGTAATCAATCGATACCTTGGAGGCTCATTTGAAGTGGATGGCTCGGTCGAGCACGAGTATCCAGAGTGATAGATATGAGTATATTGTTTGATATTGGCTGGAGTTACTTCTCGCGCTAGTTCGGTGCGGTGGAATCTCTCATTTGATGAGGGTCTCGTGAATTGATAATCCTTGGGATCAATTTTTTCCTTGACGTCCTCCTTGCCGGGATGGGAGCGCCGCTTCAATGGATTGCGACGACTCTGACCCGAGTGTCGCACGTCGACGTAGAATCGAATCGGTTGCGCATCCATTTCGTTGTTCGGCCCGAGGTTCTCAACGTGCGTCACGCCGTTCCGCGGGCTGTACATGCCAAACCCCGCCGGCATCTCGTGTTGTCGTCGCTCCAAACGGTCGTAGTGTCCCTCGTGATAGACCTGCACAATTCGTTGAATCGGTATCTCCGGCAACTCGCGTTCCGGATACGTGTTCGGAATCGGTTGCATCGGATCGACCGGCTCGTGGAATGAAACAAGTTTAACGGTGTCCTGCGAAGTTCCCGACGATCGTCCGAACAAATTGCGTCGCGCGTTGCCGCCGGCGCCCTTCGAACGCAAATTCACCTGATACTGAGCGACGCTGTCAGTGGGACTCTGAAATCCCGACGAGTGCGACGCCTGCTCGGACGGCGGATAGTAGGCCGACGACGGTGTTCTCAACGAGGAGCGCTCCGACAAATAATAGGCGGCACCTGATTGACTCGGCGAATACGGCGAATACTGCAACGACTCGTCGTATTGTTGAGACGTTCGACACGATGTCGCCGCCGTCGTCGTCGTGACATGAAGTGTCGATGGCCGCGAGTATTGTGTGAACGCCGAATCCGCCAACGGATAGCGCGTGTAGGATTTCGGCGAGAAACTTCGCCGATACTTCTGGAAAAAATCACAACTTGGCTTGTGGTGTTTCGAGCGCCGCAGCACTAGCTAGATGATTAAAATTACGTGTTAGGAGTGTGGACGGGGGGAGAGGATGCGATACTAACAAACAGACACACGACACAACTAATCGAATAAATAAAAACTCAAAAAATAAATTAGAACACAAAAAGAAATTGATACGAGCATCGTGATTCGGATCTGCGTTCGCAACACCACACCCCTCCCCTCCTTTATTCTGAACTCCTCTTCGAAACGACACCGTTTCGGAATCAGCCGATACGTTGGCGGCCAATGAAAAATTCAGAGAAGTGATGATTCGATTATTGCTATGTATTATTGATTTCGGACGAAAAAAAAGAAACAAAAACAGGATGGCCTAAAAAATGAATGTTTAAAAATTGAAATAAAAATGAAATGCGCCGTGAGCGAGCACCAGAGAGATGAAGCACCACGAGCCAAAAGGAATGATAGTGTGTTCATCATCACGACAAAGGAGGGCACAGTGGGAAACGAAAAAATGTGTCTCATCGGCAACTAAATTTTTTTTTCTCGTCGGCTCATCTGGCGCATTTTAATCGCAACGCAAATAAACTATCAAGTTAGCGACGACTCTCCGGTGCCGAATTTCAGCCAGTCGAAAGCGTCGCAGTTATTTGTGTTCTTTAAAGGCGCAAAGCGCATCTCCAAATCACGATGGTGTAATTAATTTTTTTTTGGTCCAAACATAGGCAAAAACGCAACAACAAAAAATGATAACAAACAAAAAACCAAACAATAACAGTTCGACAACGACAACCACAACACATGTACGCGGTTTTGAGTGCAGACGCCACAGAAATTTGAAATGGCGCAATGCGCCTTTAAAGACACCCAGATTGAATTCATTCTTTTCCCACACAGTTTAATACACAAAAGCGCTTGGCAAATAAAAGTTCAATTTTTGCTCGAAAAAAAAAACCGTCTTGAATTTCTCAATTTCACAAAATTTACATATTAACAGAAAAAAACAACAACAACAACAAAAAGCCGGTGAAAGCGTTGAATAGCAGCGAAACGAAAAAGCCCCAAAATAAAAATTTAAAAAACACACCTCAATATTTCGCTGCTCCAATTCCGTATCGGTGTAGTGAAGCGGCGTGAGCACTTGGCGTCCAGCTTGAAGAAAGATGTCATTAATTATTTATTTTGTGACTTTGCCAATCAACTCACCATCTACGGGTTGCGACATTGCCGATGGCGATCTGTCAACAGCGATCGGTCGATCGAACATCTGACTCGCCATCTTCGTCTGGAATTGTGTGCGTCCGTGATAGCGGAAACGCTGTGAGCCGAAACTGAACAGCGTTCCTTTCGGCTTGTTCTCGGGCTGAATGAGTCTACAAACCGAACAATAATTCGCAACATCAACAATTTATTTTTTTGAATACCTGAAGAACGTGTGATGCTCGACGGCGCACTTCCAGACGCGTTTCGCGTGCGGATAATCTTGAAGTTTGTACACCATGTTCGCCTCATTTTTGGCGAGCTCGCCGGCCTTGAGACGAACGGTGAACGTGTTCTTGCGATAGCTGATCTTGATGATCATCGGCCACGCGAACCGATGCTGAAGATCGTCGCCGGCGAATATGTAGATGCCGATGGCGCCGACGCCAATCTGCACTTCTTTGTTGTCCTTGTCTTTGGCGGGAAATATGTGAATGCCATAAAGAGCCAATGATTTGCAATGATCCAAAAACATTGTTTCGACTTCCGAGCTAGTGCGTCCCCTGCAAAAAAATTCTCGAATGCAACAAAATCGAATCGATAGGCTCACTTCAATTCTCGATGATAGGCGACAATCTTCTGGAAGTTCTCGCGAACGGCGTGCTCCGACGGCACCAATCCCGCGTTCGCAATGTACGCCTCGTACTCGGGCGTCATTTCGATCGACGGCGCGTCGCCGTACTCGATTTGCGCGACGAACGCGGCGAGCATGTCCAACGATTCGGCGGTCGCCGGCAGTGTGCCGGTGATGACGTCGCGGCGTAGTTGACGATACAAATAGAAGCGCGCGTGATCGTCGACGAGTGTCGATGGTGTGGTCGGATAGAATTTGACCTCGAACGAGAACTCCCATGGCAGACCTTTGAGTTGGCGAAGAATTTTTTTGTCGTTGTACAACCAATGACGCTCGCCGTTCTTGTCGTAGAAGCACAACGAGAAGTACTCTTTTTCCTCGATCGACAAGTCAGCGGTGACTTGACGGAACAACGCTTCACCATCAGAACCGCGCTGAAATGCCAACAAATCGGCGTGGCGAATCGCCTCCAAATCAACCTACCGGCAAATCGAAATCTTTGATTTTTCCGTCGGGCAGCTTCACTCGTGCTGCCTGAAGTTTCGGATCACGGTTCGGCGACATTGGTCGCGTCTGGTCTCCGGGATCTCTGTCCTTACCCATTGGCTCTGGAAAAAAATCGCGTCCTGTTTACATATCTATTTACAAACAAGCAACAACGACGAGTGTTGTTGGGTGTTGGTGGAGGCGAGGGGATGGAGTCGAGGGGCGGTCGTAAAAATTTACAACGAGACGCTCGAGCATCATCGTCATCATCAGAGTTGACGGACAAATGATAGTGGCCGCAAACGATGAAGCGAGGCGACCAAACCAAACCAAAAAAATATAACGAGAGGAAGGAAGAGGAAGCAAAGGCTGATAAGAATGAATGCACTTTTAAGAGTCGTTCAACAACATCGCTTTTCATGACGGGAAAAAAAAACAGCCACGATTGGAGTTTGGGGGTAAAAACTGGTTGACAATGTGGTGAAACCGAGCTACGCGACCTGAACGATTGTATATACACTCGAGAGTGATGCGGTAAAAACAAACAGCGGCACGTACGCACGGCTGGCTGGCGTGGCTGACCACAACAAAATCACCACTTCAACAAAATTAATTCAACAATTTCGAATTATAGAAAAGTATCGTTATCAATTGGCAAGACGAATTAGAAGAATGCTGTCATCGGAAACACCAAAAAAGCAAACAATTAGCGTCGGAATGACAACAACACCAACAAAAGAAAGTGATGATTGGGAGAATCGAAACTAATAATAAAAACTGAAAATAATAACAGCGAAGGCGCGCGCGCGCGCGATCGAGCGAACCGCGCCAAGGACACACGCCCAATCGCCCAAAAAAAAACACATTGAGAGAGAGAGAGAGAGATGCAACACACACAAAAAAAAGTAGAAATAGCAACTTTTCGCGACAACTGTTGGCATGGCGAAATGGGTTGCGAGAGGGCGACGAGGCATACAAATACACACGCACACAACACAACACAAGCTGTCATATGTATAGGTGTGTAGAGTGCAGGCGCCAACAAAAAATATACACACACACACACAACCATTACACGGCGGTTTTATTGAACCAGCTGCCGCTAGCAATTGGTTTTAGAGGCGTATTGGAAAAAAAAACACACCCCGACACGGGCCGAATTGAATCAATCGCCGAAAGCGGATCGGATAATTATGACACGATGAGGCAACCGCGTCGCCCCCCACCACCATCATTAGAGTTTTATCACCGTGCGCTATAGAAGAGATTAGTAGAAACCTTTTCTAATGATAACGCATCTCACAATAAATAAATCATTGTGAAGGTGGAAAAATGAACAATTCGACGATTACCTCTCTTCTTCTTTTTTTTTGGTGTCGTCGAAATTTGAGAAACTCGAATTTCAATTCGAACACATTATCAAATCAGATTTCGCGAGGAAAACCAAAATGTAAGCATCGCGATCAAAAAAACAAAACTCGAAAATGAAATGAATTAGAGGAATTGGAAAATTCAATTTGCCCACACACATTTTCGGATTTGAGGCAATTCTTCGCAAAAAGTTCGTGGGACTTGAAAGCCCCCGATCATAAATCTAGCGATCACGACATATCGAAGGCAAAACCGACGATGAGCAGAACATCTGGGCAACGATTTGCATAAATCAATCCGAAAATATGTGAACAGAAAAAGGGAGAGAAAGACAGAAAAAAACCGGAAAGCACTTCTTCTGCAGAATCGAAGGCAACAACAATTCGCTGGGAGGCGGCTGCCGACTAATTGAGTGGAAATTTCCAACCCAAATTTTTACACCCACACATTGTTTTGTTTTTGTTGCTACGAACATTTTGTGTGTGAGGGGGGGGGGACGCCAAATTCTTTTCTGGGCGCCAAATTCAAATTGTGGATGGCGAGCGAATGCGATTGCGCGCTCGTATCGCCGCGGTCACACGTTGAATGCCCTTGCTGACTCACAAACGACCGCCAGCCAGCCGTCCATTATTTTTTTTTTTTTGAAAGAATGAAAGAAAGAAAGAAAGAAAGACGACCCCAATATAATGCCAAAACGAATCGAAATATTGCAAATCAAAGTGACAAAAGAAGTAGGCGGCATTTATAGAAGAAAATTCGCCTCCAACAAAATTTCTTGTTTATCTATCAAAAAACGGAAACAATAAAAAATTGAGAGTAAATAGTTTGGTCAATCCTATTAGGCAGACGCTAATTTCAAATCGTACTCGCCTCGTGAGATCATCGAAGAATAATTGAATTGAGTCTCGCCGCATTCGCCACTAGACCTCAATTTCATAACAAATCGATGCGATTCGTTTTTCCGACGAAAAAAAAATTCACAATGTCACATTCAAACTAAATTCCCCCAAATTTCAAGGACAATCTTGCGACCAAAAAAAACGTATTCTAAGAATAAATATACAAGTTTTCGCTTATTTTAAAAGTAGGCAAACGTCGAGAAAACACGGTGAACACCATCGGCATCGAAGCTAATCCCATACACGCCGCCTCCAATTTCCATAAAAGGCAATATGATGCAAGAGGCGACATTATTGCACCACACGTCAATTCATACATGAATATATGTAGATTTTTTTTGTCGTGCGAAAATCGAAAGCAATATCAAATTTCTGTGTTCAAAGTTTCTTTATTTACCAACATACCGACATTTCTTTCGGTTCGACTTGTATACATAAGCGAAAATGCTGTGCAAATTTACTTTGAATTAATAATGAGAAAGAGAGTGACAGAAAGCAAAGTGCAATTTGAACCATATCTTGTTAATTTAATGGAATAATCTGACTCACCCAATTCCAATTCCATTTTCGTCGTGATGAGTTTCGCCAATTTTTCAACGTTCGGGTGAAAAAATTGCGGCGATCAATAGAAATGAATGAATGAATGAATGAATGAAACTGTGGAATGGAAAAGCAATCAATTTATATTGGAAACAAAGTGATACAAATGGGCGGAACCAAAAACAAAATTGACTCATATCGGATTTTATTGCGAAATGGGAGCCGATCCAACAATTCACACACTTATATATATATATATATAACGTTGGGGCAGAACACCCCACAAAATCCAATAAATATTCATGGAAAAGTTTTCGTCAATAAATGCGTGTCAATAAATTCCGTATCGCCGCAAAAACACAAACACATGCAAACGCACACACAGCGGCACTCTGCAGATGAAAAGTAATGGCGGCGAGAGACATTGGCGAGCCACTGGCGCCTCGCTATACTCGTTTGCTCCGTCTCCGCCGTGTCGACGCTATCTCGCGCACGCGCGCGCGCGCGAGCTGAATTCGAAATGAAAATTGCGAGGAGGAGAATTTATACGAGCAAAAAAAACTAAAGAAAAAGAAAAACAACAACAATAATGGGCGGCAAATTCAAAACGAGCTAAATAAATCATTTTAACCGCCAACGTTACGGTCGACGATTCCACCAGTGTGCGTCACCGTGTTTACGGACTTGTCGATTTACAAACGTTTCGCTGGTCGCCGATTTCAGCGTTTTCGGCGATTTTCGACAATGGTAAGCAAATGCCGAGTGCAATTTGATGTGACAATTTTAGAAATTTCATTTTCTCGGCGGAACGGATTGTCCCGATTGGCTGCTCAACCAAATTTGCCGCAATTTCGCCCAATTTGTAATTTCTTTTTTTCGAAATCGAGAAATTCACGAAAAAAAACGTTCAAATTTAGACAGTCTTGCGATTTCGCACGTTGTGCGCACAAGCCGTCGAGCTTCAGTTGAGATATCAAATCAATGAAGAAGCATTGCGAAAATTCTACGAGGAGAATATGGGTAATCAATTATTTATGTTGCATCTCATTGAGAACGCCGTCTTTAGATATGCAAAACGTGCACAACTCCATTAAACTCATCGGCGAATGGTTGCTGTTGAAGCCAGCCGGCTTCAAGTGCTCCGCTGACGATCTGCAAGCGGAAATGGTGCAATTAGGTTTGCCATTAGAGCACGCCGAAATGTTGGGGAAGATTTATAATCAATATCGCGATGAAATGGAGAAGAAGGCCGCGGAGAGCGTGTTCCGAGGTTACCCCCTCCCAGACATTCGCCGCAACCAAAACTAATTAATTTTCAGAGCCCGCGGCGATGGTTGTCGACAAAACAGACGACGGCATTTCGCTCGAATCTCTTGGCAAAATCACCAAAATCACAATGAGCAAGAAGCAAATGAACGAGTTGACGCAAGAAATGCTCGACGCGCACAAAACATTACGAGAACTAGTGATAAAGTCGAAATAAATTGTTTTTTCGCGAAAAATTTGATGTGTTGTGCACAATGAAAAAAAGATGCTCCCGGTGAGGCTCGAACTCACGACCTTCAGATTATGAGACTGACGCGCTGCCGACTGCGCTACGGAAGCGTTGAGAAACGCGCTCGCATTGGTGAAGATAAGACCCCGCCGTCCCCTCACTACATTCAACATTAACACAGTACCAAATTGGCGAAAAAAGACCCACAAGCAAAAAAAAAATTAGGTGCGTGTAAGTTTCCACGTAAAACTCATCAAATCGAAATAAATGAGAAATCGCAACTATCGGTTTTTGCCATTTGTAATTGCATTATTCCTAATATGTATGATTACATGGAAAAACGAAACAATTGGATTTGATCATGAAAGCTTATCGAAGGAACTTGATTGCAACGAGGTAACTATTCAAAAAATTATTTTGAATTGAAAAAAAAAAAGAATTTAGAAACATGATGGTTTAAAGTATGTCACATTGGCAAATTTTGGGAATTCCAATGATATTGCCGATCAATTATTGCACATTTGTGCCCTACTCGGAATTGCTCATCGCCTGAACCGAATCGCAATTTTTAATTCACTCGACAAAATTACAATGAGAAATGTTGAAAAATTGAGACAACTATTCCCAAAATTATTGGAAAATGTTCAAATTATGCCAATTGAGGTGAATTTTGAATGAAAAAAAGGAGAAAGTTTTTTTTGTTTTTTTTTTAGCCGGAAACTAGCGTTTTATTTCACGAGGAATTAGTGTATTATTTCGATTATCCGGAAATTTTCTGCACAAAACACAAATTTCTCGTTTTCGACGGCGAATTTTGGAGATACGCCTACTTTTCGAATATCGAGAAACGACTTCGAGAAATTTTCAAAGGCCAATGTTCATTGACTCATACTTTTTGACTTGACTCATGATTTTTGACTCATAAAAATTGTATCATGATTTTTTATTCTTTGACTCATGATTTTTGACTAGTGATTTTTGACTAATTTTTTTTTGACTAACAATTTTTGACTAATGATTTTCTGAATTTTTTTAGTTGAGATTCCTGCAGTTTTTTCAGTATTCGATTCTGTTTTTTTGGCCAATATTGATGGGTAAGAAGCTAAAGGGTGGGAGGAATTGGAAGAAATGTTATTACTGAATGGGGGAAAGATTATTACTGAAAGGAAAAAAAGTTCTTCTAACTTCTGTAAGCTTAAAAATTGTTTTTTTTTGGCATTTCATCGCTTATCGATTTCAATGAGAAGCGTAATCCCAGCTAAGCGGATCCACCGAAGGAATCGACTGTAACATTAAACGAATATCCGTAGTAGGCCAAATGATATGTATGATTTGATATTTTTTAGTAGTCTCCGTTATTTTAATGAAAACAACTAAACACAGTTTTTATTCGATATCATTCATTATTGAGCGTGAATAAAAGAGGGAAATGGATGGAATAACGCGATAAGTGATTTTTTATTAATTTATTTTGCAAATTATTTTAGCTTATACGGTCAGGCCTGTTTTAAAACGACATAATTTTCGATTTCTCATCAAAATTCAGGAAAAACGGTATATTCAAAAAATAAGACATTGTTATACTTTGAGAAGTTTTTTGAAGGCTGTTTTGTTAGAAGTACCATTTTGATAAAGTTTTAACGGTATAATGATCTATCGAAAATTTCAATGATTGATTAATTTTAAAAGTTTTTAATAAATATGTTATCGAATAAAAACTGTGTTAACATTTCTTCCAATTCCTCCCACCCTTTAGCTTCTTACCCATCAATATTGGCCAAAAAAACAGAATTGAATACTGAAAAAACTGCAGGAATCTCAACTAAAAAAATTCAGAAAATCATTAGTCAAATATTGTTAGTCAAAAAAAAAATTAGTCAAAAATCACTAGTCAGAAATCATGAGTCAAAGAATAAAAAATCATGATACAATTTTTATGAGTCAAAAATCATGAGTCAAGTCAAAAAGTATGAGTCAATGAACATTGGCCATTTTCAAACCATCGACGCCCATCAACGGCTTTCAAACCGATCAATTCAAGTAAAACAACAAAAAACAAATAAAATCGCGAAAAAATCGTGCAGAATATGCGTGCTATTTGAGAAAGGCAACGAATTTGATGGGGTTTTGCTTCAAAAAGCGACAGATTTTGTCAAAAGTGACGTTTTCAAGACAATTTGACAGACAATATCAAAAAATTGTTTAGAAAATGTGGCCAACTCGAAAATTTTCATTTTTGGCAATAGAGATGAATGGCTCGAATATACCGATAACCTCGAAGCAAATGTAAAAATATGAAAAAATTAAATTCGTCGAACAGAAAAAAATTAATAATATGGGCATATTCAGATAATAAGCCTTTCCGACGAAATGATTCCACATAATTTAAATTTTGTACAAGAAAATTGCAATTTAACGTTATTATCAGGTATTAACGAGACCCGGGTTTTTATTCCCAGGCTCAATTAAATATTTAAGGCTCATTCACCAAATATGGATGGCTTTTGGCGTTTTTGGCGAAAATTCAAACGAATGTTTACTATATTATATGTTAATGGCGCATTATTTTAAATTTATGTTATTTCAATTAAAATTTTTTACACAAGACCCAAAAACAATTAATTATTCGAGAAAATGCTTCAGGAGCCAAACGATGAAATGGACGAGGATGGAATTTACCCAGACCGGTGGAGAAAAATCCGATATTCTAATAATCATTTTAAAATCGTTAATAAATATTTTTAAAGAAGAGGCAAATTGAAATTTGATAGCGAAAGTAAAAAATGTTAAAAGAAAATCGATTGGTGAGGTTCGAAATGTGTGCAAAATTGCGTCGGTGTGTGAACAGACAAAACCGCGCGTTTGAATATTTTTTTCCAAACCAACTTTTCGAATTAAAATTTACTTAAAAGCGGCATATTTGCCATCGAAACTTACATAAATCTGGAATACGAGTTTCGGGCTTTTCCAGCAGCTGAAATAATATTCAATTTACGAAAATAAAAAAGAAGAGAAATTGAAAGCAATAAAAGCACAATGGTGAAGGAAAACTACTATTTATGTAGGAAGAAAATAATAATAATAATAATAATTTTCAATAAATATTTGCATTATCAATGAGGCATTTGATAGGCGATCAACATGGGTCAGGTGCTATACTAATGCAAAATGTTCCCCCGCTACTATATTATTCTGATTTTCATATTCATTTTGATACTATTGCTAAAGAATCCAGAAAACCCGAATTTCGATTACAATTCAATTCCAGAACAAGTGAATTGTGTTCCAGTAATCATGACTAATCGAAACTTCTTTTTTTTAATTGATTGTTTCGTTTTAGGGAAATAGCGAAGAGAAATTTATAACATTTCCGTTTATCACAATAACCAAAAATTTCGGACTCGGAAATCAGCTATTTGAGGTTTGCTCCCTATTGGGAATTGCGAAAAAATTCAATCGGACTCCAATTTTTAATTCTGGCCATCGAAATTTGATGGAAAACATTGATTTCATCAACGAATTATTTCCAAACCTTGCCAATTTAGTCAAAAAGATGCCAGTCGAAGTGAATTCTGTCACAAATTTAAGACAAATCGTTGAGTTGCAGACAAAAAACGCCACTCGCTATCACTTTCAAAGAAGCGCTTGCTGTTTTCATAAGGAAATCGCATCAATGCGTTGCGAGGCGACGAAATTCGTTGTAATCGACGGCGAATATTTTCAAAGCTTCAAATATTTCTCAAAAATTGATATTAGACATTATATGCGGCCAGACGAAGCGACAAAACAATTTTTGCGATATCGATTGACGCGCGAGGAAAGGGAAAAATTCAAGTAGGCCCATTTGCTGGAATTTCGTGCCTAAAATCAATTTTTATTAATATTCTTTAAAAAATAATCAATATTGCAAAATTAAAATGAAAAAACTAAAAAAAAATCGATCAAATTCGAAAATTCGTCGTGGAAAAATCGTGATAATTGACTACAGTAATCTGTCTTACTGTAGTCCGCAATACACGCAAACAAAATCAAGCCTAAAATTTATATATTTTTTAATTGCAATTAATTTTTCTTCTTTTTCGAATATGCGTTCACATCCGCCGCGGCGATTTCAACAACGGCTACCATCAACCAACAAACGCGGCATTCGCAAACAACGCAATTCGTTTTGTGATGAATAAAAGTGATTCGCTTCCTTTTTTTCTGTTCGTCTTCCATCAAAATGCCCATTTCAGTCAATCAATCAAGCATCGTGTTCATTTTAAGCGATGAGAAGAAATGGGTGACCAAGAACATCAATAAACCATATAAGGTATTATTTATTATTATAATTTTTTTGGATAATCTCAAATTTTCCATATGCTCTATACGTACAATTCAAATCCCCATCTCGATTTGCATTTCTCACAATTGTTCTGCGATTCGCTCATTATCACAGGTAGTGCCGTAATTTGATCGAATTGGTCTCGTCGCGAATCCACAACCTCTTCAGCGCCATCATCGACATTCGGCTGGTGGCTGGGTTATTTGGCAAAACGCCAAGACCACGTCTATTATCGAAATATTCGCGAGACCGCCGATCGCGTGCAATATCAAATGATCGACGACGATTTTTATCCAAACCACTGGATTCAAATAAATACAACAATTTAGGCTATAAAATTTTGCGGGTCCTCCAATTCCTTCTTTTATGACCATAATTGGAAGGAAGGAGGGGAGAAGAGGGTGGTTATAAAATCAAATCACACACACACACATACATACATATACCGCCTAGTCGTCGTCGTCGCCGCCGCCGTCATACGGATTACGGTAGATGGGCGGCGCCCGGCCGCCCGCGCGCGCGCGGGGGGTTTGAGGCACGCCGCACTTTTAGTGTCGCAAAACTCGGTTCCATCGCAAAAATGTTGGCGTTTTTACACAATTCCCTATTGATTCTCATCGTCGTCGTCGTCGCAATCGGTCTCGGCTCGACGCCGCTGAAGCCGATGAAGCGCAACGCAGAGGTGTCGACGAGGCCGCCGAAACCGCGAATTCTCAGCCAGGTTGGTGGTGGTGATGGCTTTATTATGATTATTGCACATTTTTCCATTGTACCGTAATCCGAGTCGCAAAAAAAAATTAGGTTACTGTAGGCGTTGAAAATTTTCTTGTAGGGCTGCCCGTCGGATTTGTTGCACTCGCGAGCCCTACGCGCTATTCAGCTCGGCTGTCGCACACACCCGTCAACGGTCGTCTCGGCTTTTGAGGGCATTCAGGTGAGATGAGTCATGTTGGGAAAAAAACGAATCAACGTTCCATTTGATTCAATTCAAGGAGGGCCTCGCGCATTGCGTCAATCGCCTTCGATTCCAGCAATGGGATTGCTCGGACGCCGGCAACATCATGCACGATCCGCCGCTATTGCGAAACGCGTTTCGCGAGTCGGCTCTCGTGTGGGCTTTGAGTTCGGCGGGAGCCGCGTGGGGTGTCGCCACCGCGTGCGCTCAAGGTTGGATCGACGATTGCGCGTGCAATAACAACCATGGGCAGAATGAGTACGAGTTCGGCGGGTTCGTCAAATTTGGCAAGCCTAATTCGTTTTTATGTGGTGGTGTTCTTTTAGGTGTACGCATGGCGTTCAGCACGGCATCACAGCCAGCCGAAAGCTGTTGACGAAAGCCGGATCGGCGGCGACGCTGATTCGGAAAATCGAAAAGCACAACTTGAAAGCGGGCCGACTCGCCGTCAAAAAGACGCTCATCTCATCGTGCAAATGCCACGGTGTGTCGGGCAGTTGCCAACAGAAGACGTGCTGGAAACGCACCGCCCAACTCGATCACATCGTCGATTATCTCGTCGACAAGTACGCGCGCGCGCGATTGTACACCGATGATTCGGCGGTGAAGACGACGGATTTGATCTATTTGGAAGCGTCGCCGGATCCGTGCAAGGAGAAGAGTGTCGCCGGAAGGGTGTGCGCGTGGCGCAATGAGACGCACACTCAAGGCGACTGCGATAGGCTGTGCTGCGGAAATGGTTTCAGTGTAAGTTTTTCATTTTTTTTTGTTTTGAGGGGTACTGTAGTTAAGGGATAGTGTGGCACATCATGACGCAATATTGCAGACATCTTTTTCTTAGCAAGCGCCTGGCGATTTTTTTTTCACAAATTCATTCATAAAGAGCATTTCTTCCCTATTTTTATTAACATTTCTTAAAATTAGAATTAATTAGAAATATTTTTATATTGAAAAACAATATGAGAAGTGACTAATTATACAATTTATTGTTTTTTTTATTTGAAAATAAATAAGCGATTTTTCAGTTTTCAATCAAAAATTTTTTTATTTCTTCATAATTTCAGATCCGACACGAGGTGGTGCGCGTCAAATGCGATTGCGAATTCGTGTGGTGCTGCAATCTCGTCTGCAAGGACTGCATTCAACATCGCTGGATATCAACATGCAACGGCACACCGCCGAAGAGTCTCATTTTCAAATAGTCCACCAGTTCTCAACAAATTCCCCTCTTCTTCTCCATTCCGTGCCTTTACCATCAGCCGACGGGTACTCGTGTGTTGTATATAATAAAAAAAACCAACTATCCAATTAATGCAAATCGACGAATTCCGTCCGTTACGGCCCGATTGTGTTTCGCTGGCGTGAGGCCGCCCAATACCGTAATAATGGGCGGAAACGACACCAATTTTTTTTCCTCCCTTCGGTTTGAAATTGGCGCCATAAAGGTGCGGATCTGATCAACCTGATTACACCGATTTTACGATGACCGGGGTGTGACGCACCCTTTATAGGGGCACTAGGGGTGTTGGGGGACATATGGCCAATTTCCGGGGAACGGGGGCCTGTCACTTTGACAAATTATTCCTTTCGCTGGTTTTTTTTTTCGATTCATTCGAAAATCGCGGCAAAATCTCTTTAATCAACAAAAAAAAAGAACCAAAAACCAAACAACAAATTCAAAATTAAATAGGGATCACGATCGCATGTTCTTGTTCTTGATGAGACTTCGGAATTGCTCCAGAACCGCCTCCTCCTTCTTCTTCTTCGCTTCCATCGAGACGCCGCTAAGAAGGCGCTTCTCTTCAGCAGTGAGAATCTGAAATGAATTTCAAAAAAAAATTCATAGTTTTCGCCAATCTCATCCGTTTTTTTAGAAGCCATCAAACTTTGCATATATTAGTCTCGCGGAAGGTCACTTTTCCTTTCAAGCTCGTAATTGAGGTCGTTTTTGTGTTTTGAGTGTGATTGTAAAAAAAACAGAATGAAATGCGTCGTACATTTCAAATCTTTTAATAGGCCAGAAATGGGTCTATAAAATTTTAACGATCACGCCAAAAAATTTTTCGATGGTGAAACGAGACCAATTCAAGCATCACAAATTTTACCTGATTCTCTTTTCGCAGTCTTGTCGCTTCCATGGCCTTGTGCCTCGAGCCCGACATCACATATCCCCACTTCTCGAATTGTTGAATCTCATTCGACGACAATCCGATTTCACCACGTCTCGGAATACGCTCGCCACGCGCCACATAGGCCGCCATGCCAGCGCCCTCACCACGCAACAGATCTTTTCCGTACCTAAAACGAAAGGCTTCTTCTCAAACAACCGACAATATGGAAAATCCTACGAGATGTTCGTGTCGTCAATTCTATTCTGTATCTCATTTCGCGATTTGATGTGCTCCGGAATAATCGGACCCGGTGAATAGCTTCCTTCTTTTCCTGTTTCCACTGGAGACGCGCATGGTCGTTCTTCCCATTCCGACGAATCATCGTCATTCTTCGCGATTCCCACTTTCGCCTCCTTCTCCTTCTTTTTCTTCTCCTTCTTCTCTTTTTTGCTCTTCTTCTTTTTGCTCTTCTTTGATTTCTTCTTCTTCTTTTTCTTACTGTGCTTCTCATCATCCGAATCGTCGCTCAAATCGCTTGACGAGTCTGATCCGGACAATTCCGCCAATCGCCGACGCTTTCGCTCCTCTTTTCGTTTGGCCTTCTCACGATCCGCTTTCAATTTCGCGCCTTTCTTTTCCTGCTCGATTTGAGCCGCATCGGCCACTTCTTTTCTGGAAAAAAAAATGAAATTTTACAGAATCAAATTAAAAACACCTACAATCTATAGGTTTCTTCAATATCGCGCTGTGATGGCGATTCTCCCCAGACACTTTTTTCGCCATGCTTCTGGATTTCGAATCGAACCGATCTTCTTCTATATATACAATTTTTAATTTAAAAAAATGCGAATAATATATTCTTACTGCTCCCACATGTCCCCATTATGATTTTCATTCCTGTATGTCGTGGGAGATCTCTGCCGTCTATAATCTCGTCTTGGTGATCGTGAATCGCGATCATACGACGGGCTCCTTCTGCGGCTAATCGGACTTCGTCGACGATAGCCAGGACTCCTACGAGGACTTCTACTTCTTCGACGCCTATCAGGGCTCCTTCTTCGTCGAGGACTTCTTGTTCGACTTCTTCGCCTATTTCTAGGAGATGCTGATCGACCGCCTCTCATTCGAGACGGCGGCGATGGCGTCGGAGCTCTGATAGGCGATCGCTTCTTCTTTGGCGATCTCGATCTACTAGACGACCGGCTCGACTCTGACCCTCTATGTAAAATAAATTATTACATACCATCAAAATAATGAACAAACTTTCTGCTCTTCCATAGTGGCTTATCTCCATTTTTGGAAATTGACGAACGCCGACTGCTCTGAACAATTCCCAGTGTAATTTACAGAATATTTGAAAAATAGTACCGATCTGGAGTTATCGCTTTCCTCTGAATAATCTAAAGAGACATCGCTCATCTGAAACACTCAAACTATTTAATAAATAAAGCAATTCGAAAAGAAATTGAAGAAATTTCAAAACTTCCGCAAACACATCTTTGTCTGCAAACACTTGACTCTACGCGACTTTGCTAGACAACTGCGCGCCGGTTGCAATTTTTCGACACGCCCACAACGCCGTGCGCAGCTCCAACTCGTTTTGGCTCACATTTTGGCGTTCTTTTGTGGGCCTATCCGAAAAATTTATGTAAAGATATACTTTTTTCTATGCAAGAATGTAAAAAATGCAATGCCTTCAGTGATTTAACTACTTTGAACACAGCGAAACCCATGAAACAACTTTTTGTTTAGTGCTTCAGTCAATTTTTTGTGTTTTTTCATTCATTTTTATTGAAATTATAGTATTTCCTTCCGAGCAATATGCCACTTTACTCCCTACAAAATAATTAAAACATTTCATGTGAGTATCAAATAAAAATTTCATACAAACTATTGCAGAAGAGTATATGAGAAAGTCGAAAAAATAAATTAAAAGACAACAAATTCTCCGTAATTTAATTAATTTAGCAATTGTAATTTTTTAATTATTCCGTAATTCTACATGTTTCAGTGGTCCTAATTAATTTGACATTTCTCAGATGGAATCCTTTTGAATTCAATTTTGGGTTTATTTCGTATCTGTTCTACAATTTTTTTTTCAAAAAAAAAATTAATTGGTTTTTGTTTCCAGAATGTACGACTCTGACGAAGATCCGGAGCGCCGACGCGACAAATTTGCACGCGAGCGTCGCGACGATGACAGGTAAAAGAAATGATCGCGTTTCGTTTCATTTCGAATCAAATAATTTTAGAAGAGGTGGAAGTAACAACTATTCTCGCTACGACAACAGTCAGAAGCGTCCGCCACCTCGACGTGATGAATATCCATCGAAAAGACCAAGAGAGTATCAACCAATTCAATTGATATCTTGAAATAATTTCTACTCTTAGGGACGGTTATGAGCCATCTCCACGAAACGGCGATGAGACGCCAGTTGAAGAATCGATTTATAGTGGTCCGCTGCTCACATTCAAAAAATTCTTGCTAGGTCAAGACGATGATATTACTGACGAGGAAGCGCTTAAAAAGTACAATGAGTACAAAGCTGAACACAAGAAACACCAAATGGAGCGTTTCTTCCGATCCCACAAGGATGAAGAATGGTAATCACAACGAGGCCAGAGGCGCATTATGCCGCGGTCACCGGCGGAATCACACAATTCATTTATTGATTCAATGGCACGGATGCCGCAAATTTGTTTTTGAATATTCCATGTGTTGTGCTTCTCCTTCATTATCGTCTATATGTTCTCGCGTCAACATTTTGTGCAATTTTAGGTTTCGTCAGAAATACAATCCGGAAGATGTGAAAAAGGTGCGCGAGGCGCAGCTCGCCAACGTCAACAAACGTCTCGAAGTGTTCAACGAGCTGAAAGAGTCGGGCCAGCTCGACACGTTCAGTCTTGATTATAACAATGCCGAGAAGGTCATTCGCACAATGGATGCGTTGGTGGTGAAGCTCGAAGGCGGAAGCGATGAGGAATTGAAGGCGGTGTTGACGCAAAAAATCGAGGACGAGTCGGTGGCGGAGCTGAAAAAAGAGAAAACCGAGTCATCGGAAGAGGAAAAAACGGCGACGAACGACACCGAGGCCGAAGATGGAGCAATCGATGAGGGAAACGATAAATCTTCGAAAGTCAACATCCACAAGACTTGCTCAGTCTTCCTGAGAAACATTCCGCCGAGTGTGACCTATGAAGAAATTGAGGCTGTAAGATTTTGCCAATCAATTTTAAGAATCAACACTCGTTTTTTAGCTGTGCAAGCGTAGCCCCGGATTTTTGAGACTCGCGCTGTCTGACGGAATCGCCGAACGCAAATTCTATCGTCGCGGATGGGCCACATTCAAGCGCGACGTAAACATCAAGGAAATTTGCTGGAATTTGAACTCTGTTCGGGTATTTCGCTGAGTCTGCGAGTTTTTTGATCAACACCACTATTACAGATTCGTGACACCGATTTGAACGGGATTATTAATCGCGATATCACTCGCCGCATTCGCACTTGCAACGGAATCTCGGCACACAAAACGGTGGCGATCAACGATCTCAAACTCGCCGTCAAACTCGTCGCCCTTTATGACAAACGCTTGGGATTGTTCAACGCGGCCGACGAGACGCCGGAGGATCGCGAGAAGGATATTCGAATGGGTGTCGATTTGGTGGCGGCGTCGACGAATCCGATACTCAAAGAGATTCGCCATCTCGTTCCGGACGATGCTCTCGAAGAAGTGAGCCCCGAAGAGGCCGAACTGCTCGGAATCGCGAATTCGGTGCCGACGAATGGCAATTCGGATGAGAAGGTCAAGTTTGAGAGAGATGAGGCGATTCTCAAAGCGCTCGACTTGATTGTTCTATATCTTCGCTTCGTGCATTCCGTTGACTTCTACAATCATGGCCACTATTCGCAGGAGGATGCGATGCCGAACAGGTAGATCCCAATTTTTTCCCACAAACATTTTTTATTTTTAATTCAGATGCGGATTGTTGCACGTGCGAGGCCAGCCACCATCGGGCGCCCAATTCGTCAACGATGAAAGTGGCAATTTGGTGGTGCCGCAGAAATTCATTCAGGTGGGTCCACATCGAATAACGCCATTCAAAAAAATGACTATCCGTTTCAGGACTTTATTGCTGGTTTCAACGCGCGCATTGAAAAGGGCCTTATTGAGAAAGAGTACGTTAGCGAGGAGGAGCAAGAGAAGCTCGGAAAGAAGGATGGAGCCAAGTGAGTTTTCAACGACTTCACTTTGTATTCTGAAGTTTGCAAATGTTGACTTTTTTAAAGGGAAGTTGAGAAGTTTATTGAGAAGAACACCGTCGAGCTAGCGAAAGACAAATGGTTGTGCCCGTTGTCGGGAAAGAAGTTCAAGGGTCCCGAATTCATTCGGAAACACTTGCAATCGAAACACGAGGAGAAGCTCGAAGAAGTTCGAGTTGAAGCCGATTACTTCAACAATTACATCGCCGACGCGCAAAGACCGATGGATGTTGAGCCGAGACTTGGTCCAGTTGCTCGAGACGTCGGCTCGAGAGACCGCGAATACGGACGCGATCGCGAGGATGATCGTCACAGTGAGATTGTTCGACAATAAATAGGCAACGTTGGATTTTAGGAAACTCTACTGGTGGCTATGGACGCGATCGCGCACCGCCGCCGTCTCGCCACAGCGCCGGCGGTGGCGGATTTGGCGGAGGTGGCCGTGGCGGACGATATTTTGACGAGCAACCGCGACGCGACAACCGACCGCAAGTGTCGTATCGCGATCTCGACGCGCCCGAAGATATTCCATAATCTCATTTTTGAATTTGTTTAACCAAATACTGTCTGCCTACTTATTCTAATTTGTTTTCTTTTTTCATGCATTCGTTATATTTATTTATTTAATCGCAGAAGGAAAAAAGTGAAGATGTTTTGATAAATTAATCAAGGGCCAACCGGTGTCGATTTCGTCTCCAAATGCATTTTTTTCAATCTCAAATAGAAAACGGGCGCGATCGGATCATTGTGGTGGGCGACGACTTCCGTCTCATCGATCACAATGCGCTTTTTGAATAGTGAGCAGTCGCGTACGAACGTCTCGAATTCGCCGCCCTCGCCGCATGGATGAACGCCGAACTTCGATTGGAGATCGAGCATCGTCGGTTGGATCTGATAACACGCGCACGATTAAACGGACATCGATGATCGATGGAGGTCACCTGTTTGAGCGTCATGCCGAGATGACTTCGATTCAGGCCGATGGCGGCGACTTTGATGAGAATCGCGTCGAGACCCGAATCGATCATTTCTTGAAGGAGCTCCTAAAGACGAACGAATTTGGAAAAGACATTGAATTGCGCGGGTAACGATTGGGTTCCGTAACATAGAAAACAGTCCGACAATTTTTCAAAATAACCGAATGGGTACATTAGACAAAAAGCGCCCCTAATAGGTTTTCCCTGCGAGACCCAAAGGCGGCAATTCAAATGATGTCACGTTTTGACTAAATACACTCTGATGCCTCACATTTTGATCGCGTTCCCATAAATAGCAAACTGGAACCAAATCGAGCCGCCGACAGACGTCTTCAACCCGCAACTTCTGATAGCTCGAGAGAATCGCGCCCGCCGCAACGCCCGCCACATTCGGATGCGAGCGTTTCACGTCGGCGAGAAGATCGTAAAGATCCTCGACCTCGTCGCCGTCCGTCTTCTCATAATCGTAATTTTGATTGTTCGGCTTGCCGTGAATCGCACGCCTATACAATGGGATTCCCATCGCTTCACTGTAGAGCTGAATCACAATTCGCCTCGTTCAATACGATTTGCTGTTACGATTCACCTCGACGCCATCTGCTCCGACACTCTGGTACATGTACGAATCGAGTTCATCGCTTTTCGAATCTTTCGGCGGATGCAGATTAGCCAAGGCCACTATCCGATGACCTTCCCTAGCAGCACACATCAAATTGTAGCAGCTATCTTTACCGCCGCTCACAAGACCGACAATCTCCATCGTCAACTAAAAAAAAACGGCGAAACAAAATGAGGCCGAAATTAAACTGAAATTCCTTCGAATACGGCGCGATGACGCTCTCGAGAATCCAATAGTGTGGGTAATCCCAAGATAAATTCAAACGCACATTTCTCATTTTTCTTTCTCAAAGACGAGGCGGGTTTATCGGTCAATGTGAAGGACAATTAAGTCCAATTATTATCACATAATTGATGAATAGAATTGAATACATTAAAAATTCTAAATCATACTAGCGAAAGAAAAATGTAATTTAAATTTGACATCGAACAAGGCAACGAAGGATACTATGACGCGCAAGAACCGCGAATGATACAACAATAATAAAAATTATTATAGTCCTGGCATGAAAATCCGCATCAAAAAAATACCTGTTGTCTCGAAACAGTTTAATTAGATAATTACAAATCAATTTGGGACTTGGGAGTGGATATCAATAATAAAATTATGAATTCAGATCAATTAAATTTTATGTAAGGCAAATTCAAGAGAGGTAAGAATAAGAGTAATCGTCTCCAGACGATTCAACACGTTTGTGAGAAAGCTGTTCAGCAGCAAATTGGACATACTGCTCATGTTGCTCTGAAATCAATTAATTAAATTTTAACGTAAACATTAAAAGTGTACCTTCAAGTTTTTTCGTGAGAGCCGTCTCATACTCGTATCTTAAACGGGTTTCTTGTTCTTTAAGTAGACGCTCGCAGATCATTTGAACTTGACGAAGACTGAACTGCGGTTTAGTGTAGATCTCAGCTTTCCTGCTTGACATGGACGCAACTTCACCTTCCGAGTCAGAACCGGACTGAAAATAAATTAATTAATTGCGAAATACAAGAAAAAAATGCTAAATTTAAAATCGACTTATTGGAAATGAATATTATTTATTTGTAGTCAGATTTAAGTATAGCATAAGCTATAAAAGTGGCTTAGTCTAGTTGCAATCTGCCATCGCTTTCGTGTCGGTTTGAGTCCAGTAAATTAAAACCTTTTACCGGTGAATATCCAACACAAAATTCGAAATTTAAACAGTTTTTACCTGAGTTGGCGACTTTGGGGCCCGATAGACTTTCCGGTTTTCATTAGAAACGCTAGCATCTCCATCAACACCTTCAAACGACTTCGGAATGAGCTTTCTTCGTCGCAAATTCTTTATCTCCGATCGCAAATAAGCATCTAATTGGGACGATGAAAGTTGAACTTGTCCAGCAACTGACGAAAACGGTGTTGCCTCCTCGGTCTGCAAAAATTTTTTTAAAGATTGTAGTCAGAATTTAGTATAGCCGCATCCTTTTCAGAATAGACTAGTTGCAATCTGCCGTTTTTATAGTGCCTATTCAGAAATCGATGAATCATTTCTGACATTAACGATTAACAATTAATTAGACACCACTATTGATTTTTTTTAAATCTTGAAACCAACCTTTACAATTTTTGCGAAACTACTAGTTGAAGGAAGATTTGCGGCTATTGTACCCATTTGAGGACGGAAAGGTGAACAATGGGTTGCCGTGCGCGCACGCTTTGCTTCACTGCCGTACGAATCATCATTTAAATACGACTCATATTCATGCCCGTGTGGTCGCTTTAACGCCAATCCGCAAGCCATATTTTCGTTTCTGAAAAAAATCAATACTCATCATTGGTGTAATAACGACGATAACATGAGTGGGCTAGACATTAGTGCTAGTCTGATAACGAGAATAACTTCTATAACAGCTACGAAATATATAAAATGATTAATGTGATATGAAAGAAAACACGTTCCTATGAATGAATTATAACGTAAAAATTATTCTACATTGCGAGAATTGGCAATTTTCAACAAATCGATGGCATCCACGAGCGTTGTGAACGCGTCGCGGGCGCATTTTGTGTAATAAAAACGATTTTTTTCGAAAAAAGTTTTTCTGAAAATTTTTCGCATTAGGAGTACACAAATAACGACAAAAACGACACAAAAACCCTTAAATCGACCTAAATTACGAAAATTGGCGAAAATTGTGAAACAACCACGCTCAGCGGAGTAATGCAAGCGAAAAGAGGTGACGCAATCGATTGGCTGAACAACGAGAGTACGGTAGTTGGCGACGCCTGCGAATCTAACCCCACCCGCCAATTCAAACCACGGTCCGCCCAAGCAGCGTTTTTCGGCAAGATTTCGCCAATCAGGCGTATTTTTTATTATTTTCTCGCAAAAAATATGAAATATCCGCGATTCAAAAGTCTAACCTTTTGAATGAAACGTGTAAAACAAAAATTTCAATGTGCTCATTTTTAATATTAAAAAATACGATAAAGGCATAAAACTTGATAATTAAAAGCGGTCTAACAACAAGGCGTTTTCATTTATCATGGGTGGAATCTTACCTAGAAGATTGATAAGATTAGACAAATTGCGAAATTCAAAGAAAAATCTAGAAAATACACTCTGGTAAATGAAAATCAATCGGATTCGATGAAAAATTTATTATAAATTAACCTGTTTCGATTGAAAAATAATTCAAATTCGATTAAGAAAACGCTTAAATTCGATTTGAAATCTTGGTTTCGATTGCAAAATCTTCGAAAAAAATTCGACTGAAATTTTAGAATAATTCGAAACAGATTAATTTACATTCGATTTAGATTGAAAAGGGAATTATTTTCGAATCCGATTGATTTTCATTTACCTGAGCAGTAAATCAATTGAAGGATAATTAATATTTAAAAATATAGTCATGTTGCCAGTCAGCATTAGTTTATTCTTAATGATAGAAATTCGCGACCAATGAAATTTCGCTATTTTTTGCAAAAAATATAAATATGCTAATTAAAAAGAGCCGAGAAAATACTGAATTATATATTTCATTTGTATATTTCATTATTTACCATTAAAAGAGACATAATCACGAAAGACGGCCGTTTTTTTTCAATTATTCCTTCTTCAATCGTCGTTCGTTTGCTCAATGCTCGAATTTCATTGTTCCGCAGCTATCCATGTGTGCGCAAAGCACACTTTCAATTTATTTTCGCCAGCTTATTGATTTCACAACTAAACATGGTAGAAAAGATGAAAATGAATCTCACTGAACTCTCACGCGTCAACGAAACTAGAGAAATGATGACAATTCCTTTCTAAACATTATATGATATATAAGTTGTAATGCTTTCGATGAGAACAGCCCGGTTCGTCGTCTTATCAATAACGCCACTCAAAAGTCGACCCAATATATCGATTTTCGCAATTTTTTTCTTTGCAATCGAATTTATTGATTTTCAGGATTCCACATGACATACTGTCAGACATTCTTGGAAAATTTATCGAAATTATCCAAATTTCGACTTCACACTGGAAATGTGAATGGCTACACGCAGCTGAAGGTAATTAATTCGATTAATTCATTCTTTTTGTTTCTAAATAAATTATTTGGCAGCTTCGACGATTCGAAAGCTCCGCTGATGAACTATCGGCGTGTCTTGACCTTCAATTGCACTCGACACCAATTACTACCGAGTTCAAAGATGACACGTGCCTTCTTTTGTGCGATAACGATCACATTGACAATTATGAGCGAGATGAGATTAAAATCACAATGAAGGTGTTCATGTCGACTTGGGAGATCAACCAGATTCAAGATGCCGTCAAAAGTTTAAAGGAGCAGCTGAAAACGCGAGACATCGAGGTTTTGATTGTCGCGTTTCCCGAATTGGAGCTGATTGATGGCGAAAGTGAGGACGATGAGCATAAACGATGGTTCGGCAAAGTTAGGCCAATTTACGAGTTCCTTTGCGAGCTCGTCAGCACTGCTGAAATCGCCTCGATTGGCGTTTCAGATTTTTCAGCCAGACAACTGAAACAGGTTTTTTTCTTGTTCGATAAAATATTACCATTCATTTTTATATATTTAAGATCGTTGAAGAATTCGATGTGAAGCCAAGCATCAATCATGTCAGACTTGATGGCTGCTGTCAAGTGCCACCAGAGCTTCAGGCTCTTGCTAAAGAGCACGACGTTCAGCTACTAGTCCACAATGACCCTTCTCCGTTCCCAACTAATAATATCTTCAAGACATTCTGCGAGGTATCTGCTCCATACTAGACACAATAAATATTTTAAAATTAACCAGATTGGAGGATGCAACGCCGTGTGCAATCCGTTGTTCGAGACCACATGGGCTTCACGCTATACGGTTTGGGTTCGAAAGAGGTCCATAATGACCTCAAAGGGATATATTGTGCAATTTATCCGAAAGAGCAACTAGATGATTTGTGATGCCATCCATATGTGATACATATTTATTTACTTAATAATGTGCATATTTTTTATGAATTAGTAAAATAGATACCACACTCTTAAAAGTTTAATGGGACCTTAATATCGCAGTGGACAAGTTGTCTTGCGACTGATCCAATAAGCAATTGCCGATTATTGTCGAAATTTACGGCAATTGACGAAGCTGAAATGAAATTTCCATCGTCGGCAAACACTTCAACAATTTTTGATGATTTGTAGTCTTTGGAGAATGAAAATCGAAGAACTTGAGATGGAGCGATGAGATTCGGATTTGAGGTATCGCCAAGATGTCCAACAGCGTCTTTCATAATTGGATGGCATCCCTTGAAACTTGTGATTAGGGAAGCTTCATATAATTGAGGCCCACTCACGCTCCAAACATTTCCATTCTCATCGACATGGAAATTATCACATAAGCTCATTGCTTCAGCTTCGGACAATAATTCAACAGACTTCTTGTTTTCATTCCACGAATAAACCCCAATTTTTGCGTCATTGATATGTGAAACGAAAATGGTTTTTCCGTCGCTGCTCAAACTGATTCCATTGGCGATTGTGTTATCCAAAACCGTATGAGAATTCTAGAAGAATCTTACGATTGAAAGAAAAAATTGAGATCAAAACGCACTTTTCCGTCGTAATAAACTAGGGAACCACATTGATAGCCAGTGAGAATTTCAAGGGTATTCGTCAAGTGCGTCTGTCCGCAACCATCATTTCCAACCAAAAATGAGTTCTCCCCAGTTGCCGCAATGTCATTTGGCCGGAAATTGTTATAATTAAAAATAAAAAAAATAAATATGATCACCTCACAAATTTCTCGTCTCTAATTGTCCTATAATGTGTTAAACTTTCCGATTTCTCATCAAAATCGAGAAGCATCACCGAATGCTCGAATTTCTTTGAATGAACTACAACGAATAATCGAATTTTTCCGGTTTTTGTAATAAAATGCGAAATTCCGTGCGGATGAAAATCAACGGAATTGTCGAGTCCTTTTATGGGCACTGGAATTGCTTCGTAGTCGCGCTTCTTCACATCGTATACGAATATTTGACCCTTCCAGTTGATTGCCGATGAGTTCTTCGGAATATAGACTATTCCAGATGTGATGAATGCCAGATTTTTCTCACGGACCAATGAAATATCCTCTGATCCATGTTCTGAACATCTCAAAACCCTATTGAAACCAAATAAATTGATCAACCTGGTCCCTGGACTCTTCGACACTCCCCCGGCCGATGATTGTAGATCCTTTTTTGAACGCCAAAAAATAAAAGGGTCCGGAAAATATATTGAATAAGGAATCCTAAGAAGAAAATAACGACGAGACGGTACAACATGCGGCCAATAAGAGTGAATGATTGAAATGAACAATTTGATAAGAAATCGTTGATCGATGGCGAAAACAATTGATGTAAATAATGTTTGAGATGTACAATTAATTATTTTAAAGTTCAAAAAATAGAGAATCGGATTCCTGGAGTGAAAATTAACGAAAAACTTTAGAATTTGGCCAATAATTATTAACTAAATATATTTTAACTAAATTCACTAAATATGATTTTTAACTAAATATAATTATTAACTAAATAAATAATTTTTAACTAAATTCGTATTTTTCAACTAAATAAAATATTTTTTAACTAAATATGATTTTTAACTAAATAAATCCAATTTTTAACTAAATATAATTATTTTTAACTAAATAAACCTAGTTGACAAGGGATGTCTTTTTTGCTGTCCGTCTCAAAATTTAAGAAGTATATTGTCGGCGTCAAACGACAGAAGGGAGGCGGGGCCTTAAAATTCGAGAAATCAGTGTAGATTTAAATTTTTCGTTGACTGAATATTAAATTCGCTACACTATAGTGCAATGTTCGCATTGTATCTGACCTATTGTATCAAAATTAAATGATAAAATTTCATGTCATACGTTTTAGGTGTTTTTATATTAAATTAAAGGTCAGGATTGAATAAATTAGAGTTATTTTAGGATACTAGTAATACAGATGTAGCGTTACAGAATTTTAAGACCGCCCCTGAATTTGAGCGCCGCCCAATTATTTCGATTTTTTGATACCAACCAGTGTGAAAATCGTGTTCGGCATGAAAAATAACCAATATGTACCAATTTTTTATGGTAGTATCTTAAGAAGTAGCCGCGTAGTGGTCAAAAATCGTTTTTTCAAGCGGAGCAGAATTATAAACCGACCCCCATGAAACGGACTATTTCGCTTTTTTTAATTTTCACGGGACCAATGTGCACAAAAATCGTTGTGTGGCTTTAAGAACCTACAGCGTTCCTTATTTTTCTATTTTTGAATCATTTTGATGGAAGACGTTGAAGCAGCAATTCAAATCTAGATCGACCCAATATGTTTCAAACCTTCTCAAATCTATGCCAGACCGTGTTTCTGACATTATTACCTCAAATGGAGGTTCCACCAAACATTGAACTGTCATTATTTTTGAGTTTATAATGTATTTCATGGGGGTGGCCTTATAAATCTGCGACGCACTGTATAAAACCTTAGTAAAATTTTGAAGAATCGATAGGCTGCACATCATATTTTGCTATTATATAGATGGATAAACTACTATGCACACGCTGTTATACTCCGCTACAAAGCGCAGAAAAAGATACGAAATAATAATTTTCCGTCATGACTTTTGAACGAGTGGTCCAATCGAAATGAAATTTTTACTGGGAGTCAAAAACACAATTAAAAACTAACTGCAAAGTGAATTACACTAGTTCGAAAAAATACGTGCTAGAAAACTTTTTTTAGAAATTTGCAAAACGGAAAAATCGATAAATTTTAGTTATCCTATTTTTTAAATATATTTTTTAGTTTTCGATTCTTTGTGATATATTCATTACTTTTAAGGATGGGTTGACCAAAAGGGTCTAAAAATTATCTAAAGCTGATCGCAAATGGTGTAGCGACTAAGTATTAGGTCTATTCATAATTGTAAAAAAAGTTATTTGGTGTTTGATGATCTAATTTTATTTCTATAGCAATTTGAATTTATACACTTATTTTTATGACTTTTTGCAATTTCGATTTTTTTGCGAAATATACTTGGAAAAAATTAATTTCCATAATATATAACTTTTAAACATTTAAGTTAATGAAAATAAGTGCTAAAAATTTCAGCTCGATTGAACCACTCGTTTAAAAGTTACGAAGAAAATTAATTATTTCGTATCATTTTACTGTAGGTTTATTTAGTTAAAAATAATTATATTTAGTTAAAAATTGGATTTATTTAGTTAAAAATCATATTTAGTTAAAAAATATTTTATTTAGTTGAAAAATATGAATTTAGTTAAAAATTATTTATTTAGTTAATAATTATATTTGGTTAAAAATCATATTTAGTGAATTTAGTTAAAAAATATTTAGTTAATAATTATTGGCCTAGAATTTCGAGGAAAGAAACATGCAATCCGAAATGTTGTGCATTCACACCGCATGCGAATTGCGGACTTGCATTTTAATCTACGCCAAATTATTTCCACAGTCTCGTTTTTTGCTCATCATTTGCTCTTGGCAACGAGATGTGTTTTAACTCCGCTCACATACTCATAAGCCCAGATGAAAAAAAAAATAATTACAATGATTTATCACGAGAAATGCAATAAACCAAAACAGGAGTGCATTAAAAATCTAATGGAATATTGATATCACAGTGGACAAGTTCCCTACCAACAGACCCGATAAGTAATTGGCGACTATTATCAAAATTAACAGCAACAGAAGAAGCTGAGATGAAATTTCCGTCGTCCATGAACACTTCAACAATTTTTGATGATTTGTAGTCTTTGGAGAATGAAAATCGAAGAACTTGAGATGGAGCGGTGAGATTCGGATTTGAGGTATCGCCAAAATGCTTAGCGGCATCCATTAAAATCGGATGGCACGCCTGAAATTAATGTTTTTTTTTTTTTATTTTTAAGTCATCATGATTACGGTAAGCAATTAGACTTAAAAAATTGACATTGTACGTGATCACTAGTACGTAGAATTACACAAAACTTTTTTTCAGAAAGCGCGCCACTCACGCTCCAAACATTTCCATTTTCGTCGATATGGAAATTATCACACCAGCTCATCGCATCAACTTCCGACAATAACGCCACCGATTTGGCCGCTTCATTCCATGAATAAACACCAATTTTTCCATCAGTCGACATGGAAATTATCACATAAGCTCATTGCTTCAGCTTCGGACAATAATTCAACAGACTTCTTGTTTTCATTCCACGAATAAACCCCAATTTTTGCGTCATTGATATGTGAAACGAAAATGGTTTTTCCGTCGCTGCTCAAACTGATTCCATTGGCGATTGTGTTATCCAAAACCGTATGAGAATTCTAGAAGAATCTTACGATTGAAAGAAAAAATTGAGATCAAAACGCACTTTTCCGTCGTAATAAACTAGGGAACCACATTGATAGCCAGTGAGAATTTCAAGGGTATTCGTCAAGTGCGTCTGTCCGCAACCATCATTTCCAACCAAAAATGAGTTCTCCCCAGTTGCCGCAATGTCATTCGGCCGGAAATTGATATAATTAAAAATAAAAAAATAAATATGATCACCTCACAAATTTCTCGTCTCTAATTGTCCTATAATGTGTTAAACTTTTCGATTTCTCATCAAAATCGAGAAGCATCACCGAATGCTCGAATTTCTTTGAATGAACTACAACGAATAATCGAATTTTTCCGGTTTTTGTAATAAAATGCGAAATTCCGTGCGGATGAAAATCAACCGAATTGTCGAGTCCTTTTATGGGCACTGGAATTGCTTCATAGTCGCGCTTCTTCACATCGTATACGAATATTTGACCATTAAAATTAATTGACGAGTTTTTCGGAATATAAACCACGCCGGAGGAAATGAACGCCAGATTCTTTTCCGGCACCAATGAAACATCTTCCGAACCAACGCCTTCAAAGAATATTTAAGAATTAATTATCGCAAATCAAATTGGGGCCAAACTTATTCCCTGAACTCTTCGACATTCTCCCGGTCGATGATTGTAGACCCTTTTATGGACTCCCAACACCAAGAGTGTTTTGAAGGCGTATTGAATAATGAAACCAAACAAGAAAATCGAAACTAGACGGAACAGCATGCGGCTAGAAATGACGAGAAATTGATAAGCAAAAGTTGATCGACCAACTGGGAAGAGTGTAGCGAATAGAATTCGCTAATTACTTGTTCGAATTTGAAAATTGGCGGCAATTTTTGAAATGCATTTTGTTTTTCATTAGTGTGATTTTAAGGCAATGAGAAAAAAATTGTTGGAATAATAGAATAAAATAGAATAGAATTATATATATTTTAATCGTTTTCCCCGGGAACCAAACAACACGTGATCTACTTTTTGGCAAATAAATTTCCAATTATTTTTTTAAAAGAAAATCCGAGAGTTTGAATTAATATTGACAATTCAAAAAAAAAACCGTTGCCGTCTGCCGTGTGCAATTTTTGACTATAGCAATGACTCGGATATGCATGGAAAACCGGTTTCATCGAAGCCAGGTAATCTCGATATCATAAAAAAATAGATCCGAAAAAGAGTGGTCCGCGTGAGGACATGGATTCACACTCACGAGTTGTAAAATTGCATAAATTTTATTATAAAAAGTTTTTTTTTTCAATTTTCCTTTGAGGATGAACAATTAATTTAGTATTTTGCGATTTTTCTATGATAGATTTTATTTAAAAATCGAATAATTTGTGAAAAATTGGTGGGAAAAAAGTTTCGAATCAAAACATTGCGTCAAATAGCGCAAGTCCGCAAACACCGCATGCGGATATCACGTCAATGATTTTTTTCTTGAAATTTTCAAAATTAGGCGCGAACGAGCCATTTTTTCTTCTTAAATTCTCATTGATCTAAAATTTATTTATGAAATCGCCTCACGATTTTCGATCATATTGAGTGGATCATCCAGAGGATCCAAGGGGGGGGGGTACTTCAGCTGATCGCGTTATTGAAACTTGTGTAAATAATTGCGAAACTTCCGGTACCGGAAATCCAAGCCCCCTCAAAAAAAAATAGTAATTGTCACAAGGTAATGGAAAAGCCTAGTTTCTCAATTTTTTGGCGCCACATTAAAAAAAATCGGAACCGAACACGACATTTGTAATATTGTGTTGTGTTGTTGTGGGTTCACCCCGCGTTCGTTTCCCGGCCAATAGTTTTTTTTTCTGGTTCCCGCCACATCGTTGTTAGCTGCCAATTCTCGGCTTCTCTCTGTGTCACGTCTCGACGATTGTCGGCATCCGTGTGTGTGTGTGTGTGTATATATGCGAGATTTTAGTGTGTGTGTGCTGACTGACTTGGTTTTTCGTGTACGCTCTTTATCTTGATTCTCTCCCGGCCGGGTGAGCCTCCCCAAGCGTTTTGTGCGTGGGAAGCAAAGTCCGCCCGGCGCGAGAGAGGCGCCAGACACAACGCCAACACAATTCGTAGGTGGAGTCCTTCAATTCTGCCTCGTCGGTCTTCTTCATTTTGGGCACCTTAATATTTAGCGGGCACACACACACACACACATACACACACACAAACGACCGACCGACCAACGAACAACATATTCTCGAGAAAATCACAATTAAACCCATTTCGGTGGTGTTTCATTTCAGCCGACATGGCCAGTCGACGCCAAAAGCAATTTGATAGAAAGTATAGCTCGTATAGGTAAGTCAATATTTATCTTTATAGTCATTTTTGTGGAACGTGTTCTCCTAAGATTATTTCATGTTCATCATATATAGAGCTTGAAGGATGAAGCTGAGAAAAATTGGATTTTGCTATTGGTCATGGCTCTTCAGACAAGTCAAATTGCTGCCCAAAAAGTTTTGGTAAAAGAATCTGCGGAATTTTCACCAGTTGTTTTTTTTTGAAAGAAAATCTTCCTAAATTTTGCGAAAAAAATGCTACATTACACCAAAATAAAAATATTTTTATATTTGAAAAAAAATTGCAACAAAAAAATCTCGCGCGTAGGTTTAAATGCATTGTGCAATCACCGCTCTGCGGACTTGCATTGCAATTGACGCCTATTTAGATATTTTTGAATTTGTCGTGTCGTTCTTTCAATTTTTTTGTGTGGTCTTGCAAAAATTCCGTTGAGCTTCACCTACAAATTATAGTTTATCACCGGTCGTTAAGCGAAACGCAAAACATCTGGTTCAGAGGCGCAACATAAGAGAGGCGAAAAAAAATCGCCGAGAGAACATCTCAAATTTTTGTTGTTTCTCGCTTCCTCATGAATCGATGTGACGCCTCGTTTTCCATCTCGCCGATTTTTTGTACCTTTTTGCATGTGTTCAGTGGTCCTGTCGAAACTTTTTTTGCAATCGGCGAGAGAGAGAGAGAGTGCGTTGATCGCTGAGTGCGTGAGACGTCGACGTCGACAGTTGCCAACGGCTCGATGCCCGACAAAACACCTCAACACATTCCGACTATATGAGGGGATGGGGACGATAATGCTATGAAATTTTTTAATTTTTCAGAAAATTCACGGCGACTGAAGATGTCAACTACAGCACCCACTCATCGCGTTCATCGTATCGTTCGGAATCGGTGACATCGCGCGGCGACGGGCGTGGAAGATCGACGTCATCTGAGATTATCGCGGTAATTTGTTGTTTTTCTCGTTTCGACACATCTTCAATATTCGCAGGGCACCGAATCTCGATCCTATCCCGTCTACATTGCAATTCAAGACTATCAACCGGACGCCGATGACATCGAAGCGATTCCATTGGAGCAGGGCCAAATTGTCGAAGTGCTCGACAAGAAGAATTCTGTTCGATGGCTGGTGCGGACGAAGGCGCGACCGCCGCGCTCCGGCTGGGTTCCCGGCTCATATTTTGAGACGCCCACCGAGTTCTATAAGCAGCGGCGACGCACGCGCGAAATCGAGAACTCGAATCTCACCGACGAGCAGGCGGCGATTGTCAAGCGAGAGTTTGTTGATGCGCATTTCCAATCCAAAATCAACTATGCGAATTTTTGTTTTCAGCCAAGTCTACCATGAGCTTCTCCGTTCCGAAGAAGAGTTTGTCTCGTCGCTTCGAACATGCGTCGATGACTATATCAAGGTTCTCGATGATCCAGGAGTCCCCGCGGACGTCAAAGCGCACCGAGATCAATTGGCGCTCAACATTCCCGAGCTCTACAATTTTCATGCCAAGTGCGTATGACCCAATACCGAGTTGCCCATTGTATTTCTGCTTCTAGTGTCATGCTCAAAGGCCTCAATTATTATTCGGACGATCCGGGCAAAGTCGGCCAAACGTTTGTGCGTCTTGAGAAGGACTTTGAGACGCACGTCGAGTTCTACAAAAATTTCGCGCAAACGCTGAATCTGATTGACGGCAACGAGACGATCAAGAATTTCTTTGAGGTGATTCAATTACTAACAAGTATTATTACGACACTATTCTGGTATTCGGTTCGATTCTAACATTCATTCATTCTGCTCTTGTTATCTTGTTGATATTCCTCAAAAAGATTGAAATTTCTGAAAAATTTTCACGAAAACATGAATTTTGATCTGAGATTCACTTCAAGGCGAGCAATTTCGCAGTCCGCCTTTTCAAATTTTTCTCCATGCGCGTCAAATTCGGTGTTTGACGCGCATCGCATTTGACGCACATTTGCAGATTTCGAGTTTTTTTTTCGTTCTACAAGCCTTCGGCATTCCGCGTTTTCAAATTCTACAAAACTACGTGAAATTTCGAATAGTTGTTTTCAATGTAATTGCCCGTTGAAATCTAAAGCGTCAGCTGTTGCCCATCGTCATTTCTTGTTTCTATTTTGTTTTATTGGTATTTGATATTTGTGGTATATTAATTATTTTTTTTTGCAATTTATTCATTATTTCATTTTATCGCCTTTGTGTTTTGAATATATCCTCATTTTCTTGTCTATTTTTGCCACTTTGATTTTTTTTGCTGATTATTTTTGAAAATGCTGATTTTCTTATTCATGATCTCATCACAATGATTATATTCAAGTCTCATTCAAATAATAATTTGAAAAATCTATAAATTTTAATTTTCATTCATGTTTTTTTTCTTCAAAAATTCTTAAAAGAATGCTTTTTTTCGAAATTCTTTTTGAGAAGAACTCCCATAAATTTGAATAATCGTCATCCGACGGAATTATTTTGAATTTCTTTTTTGGGGATTATTTTCGAAAATTTTTAATTCGAATACCGTTAGAGCAACTCAAGGAAATTGAAAAATTATCGAGAGAAATTTTTATTTTACGTGAAAATTAAAAAAAATCCGCGCACACGTGGCGAGACCATTTCGAAAGACGCATTCTGTAAATCTACCCCGACTACAGTCTAGCCAGTTTTGGAATCGTTTCGATTGGCTCGCAAAATCTACAAAGCTTTTGGAATTGTGCGACTGAAAATTATGATTATATATATTTTTTTAATGGAATTTTGTTGTTTTTTTTTCGTGTCGAGACCAAATACCGTATTTTATTTATTTATTTATTTGAATTTCTGGGAGTTTGCTTTCTTCGGCAATTTTTTTAAATGAAAAATCATTTTTAAAATGGAAAATTTCAAAAAAGAAAATTAAAGTTGCCATCTGGGTCTCGTATAGAAAATCGGCGATTTTTACCTTTTCATAGCCGTTCAAAACATTTTAACATTTTGTTCACAAAAATTGTCAAATGGAGTAGAAGCTCGATTTCCTTGCGAGACTCAAATTCAAATTTCTCAATTTTGTACATTTTTTTTGTCGTAATGCTCATAAATCACAATTTGTTTTTCATTTTTATTTTTCCCACTATAATTTTATTTCTATTTGATTTTTTTTTAAAATATCTATTATATTCTCATTTGATTCCTTATTATTTGAATGTCAAATTTTTTTGTCCAATGTTGAAAGAAAATTCGCAAAAATTACTGTATTGCTTGATTTTTCTGATTTTTTCCAATTAAAAAATCCAGAATCCTGAGTACTTTTAGACCAAATTTCAATTCTTTTTGCAAATAATATTAGATATATTTTAAATATTCTTTTTTTTTTCATTTTGAAATTATCAAAATTAATCTTCCAACTCTCTCGTCAATTATTTCTCTAAATTATTCCGAAAATATAAAAATTAAAAATTATTATATTCTCTCTCTCTCTCTCTCTCTCTCTCTCTCTCTCTCTCTCTCTCTCTCTCTCTCTCTCTCTCTCTTTCTCTCTAATTTTGTTTCAAATTTTTTAAATTGAAGCGATGCACTTTGATCTTGGCTCGAATGATTATCTCATGAATTGATTCCTTAAAGGCGCATAATCCATTAAATCCATTCCTCAATATTTGATCGTTCAAAAGTGGGCGGCGCTTAGAGGATTCTAGTCAAAATTATTGGTCTCATCGCGCCCCAAAAAAATTATAACGATGTTTGAGAAAGTGTTCTCCGTTGCGATTTTTATTACCATCGCAAAAAAAAATGAACACGTTGACAAAATGTGGACCATCGCACTTTTTCGAGGCGGCAATTCAAATTCGAATTTAACACACGTGGGAATTTGGCTATTGTACTCTAGATAACCTGCGAGTCAAACTTACCGGCGCAGGGTACAACATTAAATGTGCTTTGAATGAAAAAAAAATGGATTTTTCGAAAAATTTCTTTGAAAATTTTTGAAAAAAAAATGAAAATTTTGAAAATTATAAACTTTAAAAAAATTTCATCATCAATTTTTTTTGCTTCTGAGACTGGTTACGGTAATTAGTCGCCGCAAGACCCAACTGATTTTTTTTGCGCGCCTTTAATCAATGTTTTATTTTTTTTTTTTTGAAAATTCGCCATAAAATAAAATTTCGAAACGTTTAAATGACATTTAAAAAAAAAAATTATAGAAAATTGTAATACAAATTGGAAATCGCTTTTAAAAAAATAATTAAAGGATTTATTTATATTTTTTTTTGTTAAAGGCGCACGCTGAATTTTTGCCAATGAGTCTCGCAGCGATCGATTGCGATAGCCGCGGAAACAAACTATTCATATTCTGTTACATGATCTCTCGTCCCAATTTTGGCTTTGCGGTCCCAATTAACTAATCTTAAATTTTTTAAATAATAAAAAAAAAAAACGAAAATGCAATTATCGTCAAATAAAATGCACAAGTCCGCAATGATTTCCATTTAATGCGGAATTTGAAAAGCCCAAAAAATTTCGTTGTTTATTCCTAAAAATTGATTTAAATGTTCATTGCTCTAAATGGTCCCTTATTTTGTCGTCATATTTTTAACATTGGAAAAAATGCAACCGCGGTTAAAAAACATTGAATTTTGTCCCCTGATTGTCCTAAAATGTTTCGCGGGTTCTTCCAAACCAAAAGGGTCCCTTGTTCGTCCCGATCGAATATCTGAGATATAGGATTTGATGAATGCCACTCGGCTAGCGAACAATTTTAAAGGCACATTCCCCCTTTTAAAGTCACATTCCGCCCCCCCTTAAAGGCACATTCCCTGACGTACTCGCCATTTTAGCATATGTAACATTGTCGAGGAAATTTGAAAAAAATTTTATTAATAAAAGAATAGACAAAATAATTTCGACGCGCATAAACTTCAAATTTCATTCATCTACATTGATTTTGCGAAATTCGAATTTTAATATAATTTGGAACAATTTTTGACCATCGTGAAATGCGCCAATTGGTGTTAATTTGGCGTCGCCAAAAAATGACAATTCCAAACCAAAAATATTTCATTGATTTTCTCTTCCATTTGTTGTACGTTGTACGTTTTTTTGTTGAAAAAAATCGAAAATTTGCTGGATCAAAAATTTTCGCTTTTATTTTGAAATCAAACTCATTAAAAAACGCATTTTCTATTATTATTTTTTTTTAATTTTCTAAAATTTCCAATAATTTGCTATTTCTCTAATAATTTCTAAGACAATACCCAACTTCCTCTTCCATTTTTTCCAATTTTCAATGAAATATATATTTTTTTGGGTTTTTTGTTCAATTATTTATTTTGAGTCGATTTGTAGTCTGACTAGAGGCTTATTTCGAATTTTGGGCATTTTCAATGACGCTAGAAGGTCATTAAATTTTCACGTCAAAATGACGAGCGGCGAGACCATTCAAAAAGAGACACCCCGTAAATCTACACCGTGTCTCTATTTTTAGTTTGAAAGCGATCTATAAGGTGTTTGAGTTTGATCAATTATAAAATATTTGATTTTGAATGAAATAATTCTCGATTAAAAAATCGATTTTATATTTTATTTTTTCTTTTCTTTTTCTCGAACCCTTGATTTTCATTGAAATTCTCATTAATTATCATACATTTGATTGTCGTGAAAACTGCAAAAAAATTGTTCCCATTTTTCTATTTTATAACCTTGTCATTATGTTTTAAGGAAGATTTTAAAGGCGCACATCGCGTCAAGACCTCACTCTGCCAAATTCGAAATTCCAAGGGACAGTTTTTATTAAAAAATAACCTTCATTAGTAATTCATTTACAAACAATGTATGCCTATTTAATATAATTAGATATTCCATTCGAGACCCGAAGGCGTCATTTCGAAATGGCACAGACTATCTTCAAATTATTGTGTATAATCTGCGATTTGAAAAATTGCTCATGATAATTTTGAATATTTGGTCTCGTAGCGAATTATTGGCTTCTTACAGACACCCTCAATGTTGATTTTAAAATCATGATCGTCAATTTGTTTGCCATCAATCCAAATTGTTTCCGTCGTTACCAAATTCGGGAAAATTCAAAAATGAAATTTTTAAAAAAATAAAAATCGAAATTTTCGATTTCTTCCAAAATATTTTTTGTTGAGAAAACGTCCAAATTTAACGTATTAAAATTTTTGATTTCATTTTTTTTTAACTTTATGCGCCTTTAATGAATACTATAGTTTTCAATGGACCCTAATGTCGAAACCGCGCGACTACAATAAATTTGCTAATGCTAGAAATGGTCTTGAGAATCTCCTCCTGCGCGTATATCGACACCCATGTGGTGATACCCAACTCTACAGTAAACCGTGCCTTCCGCAGTCGCGTGACTTTGACAATACATGGTGCTCAATTTGAATATACATGTATATAATTGAATTAAACCTCCATAAAAATCGTTTTCCATGCGAGACCCAAATTGAAATTTTTTTTCGAGAAATTTGCATTTCGCGCTGTTCTCGCAAGGAAACCGTGCTTTTACTCCATTTGATAGTTTTTTTTGTGTAAATTCCTTAAAATATATACTCTTAAAAAATCGTTGATTTGATCTTTTCCGTGCATAACCGCTAAAAACATATCGCCGAAAATTGTATTGTATAAAAGTTAGAATTGAAAAGTAAAAAAAATTAAATTTCTTCATTTCTTCCATTTTCAATGCGATTCTGAATTTTTTTCTTTTATGATTCACCGTTTCATTCAATCCTTATTATGCCCATCGACAGCATTGAATTATTCATTTTTGAAACAGAATCACGCTCAAAATACGCTTCTTTTTTTTTACAGAGCCTCTCGCTGAAAAATGACGCGGGCGCGTCGAACTATTCGGATCATATCAAAGAGATCGCTGATCGAATGGTGCAATATCAGAATTATTTCAAAGAGTTTGTGAAATACGCGGGCCGTGCGCCGGGCGCGAGCGGCTCGAAATCGATGCAGAAGGCGCTCGGGTTGGTGACGACGATACCGCAACGCGTCAAAGATCTGGAGTTCACCAACAACATCAAATCGTATCCGGGCGACACGAGTCGACTCGGACGAATTATTCGACATGTCAGGTTTAATGCGCGTCGAGCCGTTGTCGAGTGTTGTGCGATTTAGGACCTATTCCAAGTTTGGGAGGGCGACGAGGAGCCGAAAACACGCTACTGCTTCCTATTCCACAATAAGATCATGTTCACCGAGCGCGACGAGACGACGACACCAACAACGTATAAGCACTATTCGTCGATTCGGGTTTTTTTTGAGACAGAGGGGGAGACATGAATGAATGATTTTCAGTTGGACAAGTACAATGTTCGCCAGCACTCCGCCGACGAGGACACGATTGTGCTTCAGCCGCAAGAGCCCGGATTGCCGAGTTTTCGCATCAAACCGCGCGACATCGAGACGGCCGAGTACGCGCGAAAAGCGTGGCTGCGCGACATTGGCGATGAGCAAGAACGCTATGGTTTCGATTTTTTTTTTGTTTCGTTTTCGCCTAGACGCTTCGAGTCCATCTCGTTTCGCATTCTGCGACATTAAAACCACTGACGCGATCGGCGAGCAACGGCAAGAAAGAGAGAGAGAGAGGGAGGGAGACACTCCAACGCGATTATATCGGATGTTGTATTTACCTCCCCCGCGATGTTGGTTGAGATGGGGCGGCTGGCGGGGCGCCGCGCGATGAGCATTGTAGAACAGTTTCTACTGAGGGACTGTCATGTAGTAATAGCAGTAATAGTAGTAGTAGTATCAGTAGGTAGTATCGGATCTTGAAGATCGGGTTTGAAATGAGAGAGAGAGGTGAGCGATGGGAGAAAGAAAAAATCAATATTTGTTGGGGTGGCCCGCCTGCTGCTGCTATCCACCGAAATGTTGTAATTTCGGCGTGCCGATCCTCTCGACACTCTTTCTCATCGCTTATCACTAGTGGTGGTGGCTGGAGGAGAAAGACACAGAGAGAGAAAGAGAGAGAGAGAGAGAGAGAGCTCTCGATTCGATTGGCTCGAGATATACGTACATACGGATACAACAAGGCAACCTTTTTGTCCTTTGCACACCAAAACTATTATTGTTTTTTTTTCTGGATTTTAATTGGCAGAAAAATTTTTTGCTGGACAAAATTGTCACCAAAGGTTGCCACCGCCACCACCCGCCTTTTAATATTCTTCCCATTCAATCTATCTAGTACTGAATTATTATTATTATTATTACTATATTGTGCGGTGAATTCGTTGCGATTCGATTGGGAGTTGTTGAGCGTCGAGGGCTTCACCACCACCACCACCACCACCACATTGGGGGGAGGCGTGCGCCATGGTGCTCAAAACGCTCTACATCATCGAGCTCACCGAAACGGAAGAGGGTGGCCTTGAGCTCGTCGATCCGTCATGGTGTAAGTGATTTCGATTTGATGATTTTTGTCGTTTAAGCGGCCGAACGCGACGCCGCGACGAGCACAACGCTCGACGCGTCGATGACGGCGTCGTCGTTCAACGTGTCCGACGCGCAATCCGAATTCTCCGAATGGAGCGGCTCGCGTAAAAGCAGCCTGTTCCCTGGTATTTTATATGTTGTCGCTTGATTTTGTGTATGTGCGAATGAGTCTGTACGCCATTTGTCCACTGTATCGATGTTGTTTGAAGTGCCAATTCCATATATTTTGGGGAAAAAAAATAAATTTCTTTTGGTGTTCAGGTCCCGACGATGGCGGTACACCACGGAAGAAGGTGAAATCGCCGCCGGTGATTTCCCCGACCGGTTCGTCGGCAAGCATCTACTCGGGCGGTAGCAGCAGCATCGATTGGAGTAGGTGTACACGTCGATGGTCCCGTGATGGTGTGAATAATTGCAGCCACGACGGGAACGACGTTGGAAATGCAGGGCACGCGTGTGACGCGAACCCAATACGGTTTTCGGACACTTCAAGAATCGTCGGCGAAAATGTGCCTGAAAGTCACCGGCTATCCGTTGCCGGACATCACTTGGTACAAAGATGACGTTCAACTTCATGAGGATGAGAGGCACACATTCTATTCGGACGAGGACGGCTTCTTTGCGATGACGATCGATCCGGTGCAGGTGACCGACACGGGACGCTACACGTGTATGGCGACGAATGAGTACGGACAAGCGTCGACGTCGGCGTTCTTCCGCGTGTTGAAGGTCGAGAAGGAGGCGGCGCCGCCGGCGTTCGTCACGAAGCTCAAAGATCGCGAATGCAAAGAGGGCGACGTGATCAATTTCGAGTGCGAGGTTGAGGGATGGCCGGAGCCGGAGCTCGTGTGGCTCGTCGATGATCAACCGTTGAGGCCTTCGCACGATTTCCGTTTGCAGTATGATGGGCAGACTGCGAAATTGGAGATTCGCGACGCGCAGCCCGACGACACCGGCATCTATACCGTCAAAATTCAGAACGAGTTCGGCTCGACCGAGAGCAAAGCCGAGCTGTTCGTTGAGCCGGATCCCGACAAGAATCACGTGGCGCCCGAATTCCAGGCGATGATCGAAGACGTCGAATGCGACGAGGGCGACGAGGTTCGATTCAAGAGCGTCATCACCGGCGATCCAAATCCGGAAATCGTCTGGTTCATCAATGGGGTGCCGTTGAGCGAATCGGAAAAGGTCAAGTTCATCTCGGAGGATGGAATTTGCATTTTGACGATCAAAGACGTCACACGACATTTCGATGGAACCGTGACGTGTCAAGGTTCGAATCGACTCGGATCGGCTTCGTGCGACGGACGACTCAAAGTCCGAGTTCCGCCAGCGCCGCCAGCGTTCACAAAACCATTGGAAGACAAGACAGTTCAAGAAAAGAATACTGTAAGAGACGATTTTCGCTATGTTCCTTTAAATTCTCATTTTTGTCTAGGTGGTATTTGAGGTTGACGTGACCGGATGGCCCGAGCCAAAGGTCACGTTCACACTAGCGGGCAAACAATTGGTGCACGGCGACGACGGTGTCGAGATCGCCGGACACGACGGCTTCTATCGTGTCCAGATCGTGAACGTCTCGATCGACAAACACGACGGCGAGATTGTGGCGAACGCCGCGAACGAGCACGGCATCGCCGAGAGTCGCGCGCGTCTTACCGTCGACGCCGAAGAGGAGGAGTCGCGCAGCGCGCCGACGTTCATCAAGGACATTGAAGATCAGGTATTCAATTCGACATCTTTTTTTGTTGTTTCGCTTCGAATCATCTATGTGGAGGCGGCGCCGTCGACGACATGATGATGGCCATCGAGTGTAATGTGTTGTGATGAGCAACAAACGCGGGTGAGAAGCGTGTGTGTGCGGTGGGGGGTTGTTGTTTTTTTTTTCTCGCTCTCGTCATTTCATTTCGCGCCGAGACATTTTTTTCGCACAATCTCATAAAACATATGATTTTCGCATTCGTCGCCCTATTTTTTTGGTGATGTTCTAGCCATTTTGTTTCGGGTAGATCAAAACAATGGTTGAACAATCATGCGCAACTACTCAGGCAAAATTTGGAACCTTAATCCAGCTAGCTCTCGGTGAAATTACAATAAGCGTGAGCTCGGCGGCATGCAGCAGCTCGCCGCGTGTCAGTTGTTGCTCGTCCCAACATTTTTGCTCCCATCGGGGGGTTGTCTTTTTTTTTGCATTTGTCAATTCAGCTCATCCTCTTGTTTATATCGATTCGTTGATTGTAGACCGTCAAACTCGGCGAGTGGGCCGTCTTCGAGACAACCGTACTCGGCAATCCGAATCCGGAGGTGACGTGGTACGTGAACGGCCACAAAATGGAGGCGACGAGTAGCGGTGTGAAAATCGACACGCACAATCACGATCACAAATTGACGATCGATTCGGCACAATACGCGGGCACCGTGTTGTGTCGTGCCGAGAATGTGGTCGGACGATTCGAGACGAAAGCGCGTCTCGTCGTGCAGGCGCCGGAGAAGGCGAAAAAACCGCCGCGTTTCATCGAGAAGCTCGCTGACAAGACGGAAACGGTTGACAACACGATTGCGTTCGAGGTGAGAGGGCTTTTGGATTCCATGATTCCCTTATTCCATTCGTCTAGGTGCGAGTCGAAGGCGAGCCGAAACCGACCGTCACATGGTATCTGAATGGCGTCGAGTTGACGGCGTCGGAACGCATCGAGATTCGCGAATTCGACGGATCGATTAAGCTCGTCATCAAGAATTTGACGATTGACGACGGCGGCGAAATCAAAGCGATCGCGACGAACACCGAAGGCGTCGACGAGACGCGTGCGACGCTCGTCGTGCAGAAAAAGCCGTTCGCGCCCGAATTCGACAAGAAGCCGACGACGACGCACGTCGAGCAGGGAAGCGAGGCGGTGTTCGAGGCGCACGCGTTCGGCATTCCGCTTCCGACGTACACGTGGTCGATCAACGGCCGAAAGGTGATCGAGGGCCAAGAAGGCGCGCGCGTGACGACGACGTCGGCGATTGACGGCGCTTCTATGCTTCGCATCGACACCGCCACCTATTTCCACGAGACGCAACAATTGACGATATCGGTGATCGCCGAAAACTCGTGCGGAACCGACGAGGCCGGCGCGCGATTGGAGATTGAAGCGAAAAAGGTGGGTGCTTCTATCTTAATGATCTACCAACCTCTTCGGCGCATTTTCCACAATGTTGCTCGTCAATTTGTTTAAAGAGAGAGAGAGAAAAATGTAATCTTAAAGGTGCATTCATGAAATTTGATGGGAGGGGACGTCCCCACATTAAATTTTTTTCTGTCCTCCTTTTCAAACCAATAAAAAGACAGCCGTTTGGCTTTCATTCGCATTTTTCGAGTTCGTCGAGAATGCATCTAATAATCGATGAGCAACTCATGGAAAATGTGCCGCCCGATGTTAGTATTGATATTATTGATATTAATTTGAACAAAAAATGGTGTTATGCAGATTTTTGACAAAAAGAAAAGAGAGAGAGGAATTTTTGATTTGTTTAATTGTTTTTTTTTGTCAAAAAATTGCATAGTGTCATTTATTTAATTGAGCGGTTTCCCGGACGATTTTTGGTGATATTTTGCATCGCGGTGTTTGCACACAAAAAGAAATAGTCAAAATTGATCGCCGCAAGACCCATCACCCCACCCCCACCCTTTTTTTGGTGTTGTGAGCCTTTAATCAATTATTTCATTTTTTTAAAGATATTCAAATATCGTAAAAATTTGATTGAATTTATTGAAAACTTTCATAACAACAATTTTTTCTAAATTTCCGAAAGGAAACATTGAATTAAAGGCGCATGCAGTTTTTGGGTTGGCTGGGTCTTACCCCGATTTTTTCAAAAATTTCGAGTTTCGGAACCATGAGAAAAATGGAAAAACAATGTTTTGAAAAATGAAGTTCTCGGAAACCGTTCATTTATTTCTCTTCATATTCGCGGTTCACAATTTGCTAGGAATTCCAATTTTTGGCGTGAAATTTTAATTTTAATCCCCAAAAGAATGGCATTTTTGAATTTCCGCCTCTGGTCTCGTATGGAAAACCTCCAAAAAAACAAATATTCGAGATCTAATTTTAAATGAATTAAAATTGATTTTCGCAATTCAAAATTTGTTAAATTCGTTCGGACCATCATAATAGTTTTTTTTGTCAAATGTCAATTCTTAGTAAATAGTGAGCCGCGATAAAAGCATGTGCATGTTGACTTGCTTGCTCGTTTGCATGTGTTCAGAAATCGACGACGAATTGCGAAACGGTAGGTGTGCATGCAACAATATCTTCGTTTTCTCTTTATCTCCCTCATTTTCCCTCCTCTGAATAAGCTTCTCAATTAATTAAAGCAAGCAACCGAACATTTAAAGAAAAAATGTGACCCATGCAACCCTATGGAATATGCACACATCATTTTCGCTATCTTCTATGTTCTTTCTTATTTTCTCAAAGGCGAATTCAACAAACTAATTTCTAAACTTTAACCGCATTTTTGATAAACAAAACATCAACACCTAATCCTTATTTTCAAGACATCTTCCACAACGTTGGAGAGCAATGAGTCTACAAAGAGTACCACCACCACCACCACCACCACCACCACTACCACCATCACTACCTCCACCCAAGAGGTCACCATTGAAGCATCGATTCCGTCGCAGACGGTTATTGAGATGAGCACGAGCTCATCGCGAACAGAAGTGTTTGTTGGTAGAGACGGTTCGGCGACGCCGAAGAGGCGGGTGTCGTTTGCTGAGGAAGGCGTTAAGTCGGTAGTTGGTGATGAGGAGAGGAAGGCGAGGAAGAAGAAGAGCCCATCGCCTGGCAAGGAATCGACGACGACGACGACAGTGGAAACTAGCAAAGATGAATTTGAAGTGACGTCGCCGGCAAATGTTGTCGAGATCACTGCCACAATGGATGTGACGTTGGAAAAGACGACGATTGATGAGAGGGTGTCTCAAGTCACAAGCAAGACTGATACGAGCGTTGAGAAGGCAAAGGAAGCTTCTCCACCAAAATCGCCGAAGAAGGAGAAGAGTCCTGAGAAGGTGAAGGAAGCTTCGCCGCCGAAGAAGGACGAGAAGCCAGAGTCGCCAATCAAGAAGGAGGCGTCACCACCAAAATCACCGAAGAAGGAGAAGAGTCCTGAGAAGGCGAAGGAAGCTTCGCCACCAAAATCACCCAAAAAGGAGAAGTCGCCAGAAAAGAAGGAAGCTGATGAAAAGCCAACTTCACCAACAAAGAAAGAGGCGTCTCCAACAAAGTCGCCAAAGAAGGAAGTGGAGAAGCCAGAGTCACCAACGAAGAAGGAAGCTTCGCCACCAAAATCACCGAAGAAGGAGAAGAGTCCTGAGAAGGCGAAGGAAGCTTCGCCGCCGAAGAAGGACGAGAAGCCAGAGTCACCAATCAAGAAGGCGTCGCCACCAAAATCACCCAAAATGGAGAAATCGCCAGAAAAGAAGGAAGCTGATGAAAAGCCAACTTCACCAACAAAGAAAGAGGCGTCTCCACCAAAGTCACCGAAGAAAGAGTCATCTCCTGAAGCGACTGCCACTGCCACAATGGAAGTCACTCTTGAAAAGACAACTGAGGACAATCAAACAACATTGACGAAGGCTTCCGCCGACGATGAATCGAATGGAGTCAAGGGAACTATCGAGGTGACCTTCGAGAAGTCGACGGTGGAAACAACTTCGACCACAGAGATTATGACGGAAATTCGCGGAGAGACGCTGGAGAAGAAGGACGAGAAGCCGGCCTCGCCAATGAAGAAGGTGACTTCACCACCAAAGTCACCAAAGAAGGAGGAGGAGAAGCCAGAATCTCCCACCAAAAAAGAGGCTTCGCCACCAAAGTCACCAAAGAAGGAAGAGGAGAAGCCAGAATCTCCCACCAAGAAGGAGGCGTCGCCACCAAAATCACCCAAAAAGGAGAAGTCACCTGAAAAGAAGGAAGCTGATGAAAAGCCGTCATCGCCAACAAAGAAGGAGGCATCTCCACCAAAGTCACCAAAGAAGGAGGAGGAGAAGCCAGATTCTCCCACCAAAAAGAGGCTTCGCCACCAAAGTCACCAAAGAAGGAGGAGGAGAAGCCAGAATCTCCCACCAAAAAGAGGCTTCGCCACCAAAGTCACCAAAGAAGGAAGAGGAGAAGCCAGAATCTCCCACCAAGAAGGAGGCGTCGCCACCAAAATCACCCAAAAAGGAGAAGTCACCTGAAAAGAAGGAAGCTGATGAGAAGCCAACTTCACCAATCAAGAAGGAGGCATCTCCACCAAAGTCACCCAAAAAGGAGAAGTCCCCGGCAAATGTTGTCGAGATCACCGCCACAATGGATGTGACGTTGGAAAAGACGACGATTGATGAGAGGGTGTCTCAAGTCACAAGCAAGACTGATACGAGCGTTGAGAAGGCAAAGGAAGCTTCTCCACCAAAATCGCCGAAAAAGGAGAAGAGTCCTGAGAAGGCGAAGGAAGCTTCGCCACCAAAATCACCCAAAAAGGAGAAGTCGCCTGAAAAGAAGGAAGCTGATGAAAAGCCGTCATCGCCAACAAAGAAGGAGGCATCTCCACCAAAGTCACCAAAGAAGGAGGAGGAGAAGCCAAAGTCTCCCACCAAGAAAGAGGCTTCACCACCAAAATCACCGAAGAAGGACGATTCTGATGAGAAGCCAACTTCACCAACCAAAAAGGAGGCGTCACCACCAAAGTCACCCAAGAAAGAGAAATCGCCCGAGAAGCCATTGTCACCAACAAAGAAAGAGGCTTCACCGCCGAAATCCGCTGAGAAGGTATAGTTTGTTAGGATTATATGTGGAGTAGATCAAAATTTGAATGGCTCTCATATTTTTCGAGAACAAGCCTTGAAAATTCCAAAGATAGCGAAAAGATGTGTATGTTCAGTTAATTCGAAATGCAAAAAAAGACTAGAGACCCCTCGGCAAAATTGGTGTAGTTTGGCTTGTAGGATGGTAAACGAATATTTCCACTTTTTTTGATCTACCGCAAACGTCTAGAATCGTTTTTTTTTGCGATGGGATTAATCAAAATTAAATTAAAGGAACATTGAAATCTTTCTCTCTTTGTCCTATTTTTTTCCGATGAGAAATGGTTAGAAAAGTCAACAGATGCCGGCGGTGTTCTCCGAACGCCAAATGTTTGCATCTGTTGGGAAGAGGGAGGGGGGGGGGTCTGATTGATTGCATTGCCGTACATTTTTCTCGGCGAGAGAAAGAGAGAGACGCATTAGATTTACAACATCCAATTTTTTCGAAATTTGAAGAAGCTTATTTGAGGAGAGCATTTTTTCGAGGGTCAAAGGGTTTTAAAAAAATTAAAAAAAAAAATTATTTTCCTGCATTGACCTTTTATGGTGTGGTATTGAAGGGAAAATGAAGATTTTTGGAATTTTTGAGTTTTTGTCGTGGAAAAATGATAGCAAAAAGAAATGGAAATTAGGGGGTCCCACTTTATATTCTAAAAAAAATTGGCTTGTTACAGCCTCCCGCGCCGCAACTCAAACGCGATCTCAAATCGCAGACGGTCAACAAAACCGACTTGTCGCATTTCGAGGTTGTCGTCGAGCACGCGACCGAATGCAAATGGTATCACAATGGGAATGAGATCACCAATAAGACGGGTGTCACCGTGTCGAACGACGATCAATTCGAATTCCGTTGCTCGATCGACACGACGATTTTCGAGTCGGGCGCGATCTCGGTGATCGCCTCGAACGCGTCGGGATCGATTGAGACGAAATGCGAGCTCAAGGTTCTCGAGGCGCCGAAAGAGACGAGAAAACCGGAGTTCACCGACAAACTTACGGATGTTGTGGTGACGAGAGGCGATACTGTTCAGATGGACGTCATCGCACTTCATTCGCCGCAATACAAATGGTATCAGAATGGGAATGCGCTTCGAGACGGCGAGAATGGCGTCCGAATTGTCAACGTTGAGAACAAATCATCGTTGACGATCGAGAATGTTCAGGAGACGTCAAAGATCACCGTTGAAGCTTCGAACGAGGTTGGATCGAGTGAATCGTCGGCGACGATGACGGTCAATCCGCCAGCGACCAAGCCGACTGTCGAGCTGCATGGTCCGACGACGGTCAAAGAGAAGGAGTCGGTGGAGTTCAAGGCAATTGTCACCGGATTCCCGGAGCCGACTGTCAAATGGACTGTCAATGAGAAGGTTGTGGAATCGAGCAAATCGGAATCGACGTACATGTTGAAGATCGACGATGTCACTTTGGACAAGTCGGGAGAGGTCAAGGTGGTTGCGCAGAACTCTGCTGGAAGCGAGACGAAGACGTTGAATCTCAACGTTGAGGCGAAGGTCGAAGCGCCCAAGTTCAAGTCAAACCTCACTGATCGCATTGTGGATGAAGGCGAGCCGTTGCGATGGAATTTGGAGATCGATGGGCCGTTCAAGGGAACCGAAGTGAGTTGGTTGCTGAACGGCAAGCCGATCGAGAAAAGCGACACGGTGCAGATTGTCGATCACGGCGATGGCAGTTATCATTTGACGATTGCCGAAGCCAAGATCGACCTCAACAATGCGACGATCACGGCGAAAGCGAAGAACGACGGCGGCGAATGTGAGAGCAGCGCGATGATCAAGGTGAACGGCGGCAACAAGAAGCCGGAATTCATTCAAGCGCCGCAGAATCATGAGACGACAATTGACGAGAGCGTCAAGTTCAGCGCGATTGTTACCGGTGTGCCGATGCCGAATGTTGCGTGGTTCCTGAACGGCAAGAAGTTGATTCAGAGCGACGAGGTCAAAGTGAAGTATGTGCACGAGACGGGCAAAACGTCGATCAGAATTCATAAGCCGCAAATCGAGCACACTGGAACTGTTCGAGTTGAAGCGGTCAACGTTGCCGGCAAGATTGAAGCGACCGCTCAGCTGAAGGTCGACAAGAAGACCGAGGTGCCGAAGTTCACGACGAACATGGACGATCGACAAGTCAATGAAGGGGACAATGTCAAGTACACGGCGAACGTTGACGGCTATCCGGAGCCGACGCTAGCGTGGACGCTTAATGGTGAGCCGGTCTCGAAGCATGCCAACATCACTGTGACCGACATGGATGGCGAGCATACGATTGAGATTAAGGCGATCACACCGGAGCAAGCCGGAGAGTTGAGTTGCGAGGCGACGAACGCTGTTGGAAGCAAGAAGCGCGACATTCAATTGGCGGTGAAGAAGGTTGGCGAGGCGCCGACGTTCGCGAGAAATCTAGAAGACCGTCTCGTCACCGAAGGCGAGTTGACGTTGATGGAGGCGAAGTTGAACGATGTGAAGCCGAAGCCGAAAATCACGTGGCTTTTGGATGGCGTCGAGATGAAGCAGGAGCACGTGAAGTTCGTTGACGACGGACTCACACAACAATTGAGAATTGTGCAAACGAAATTGGAGGACAAGGGACGAATCACGATACGCGCGGAGAACGAGTTCGGCACCGCCGAGACGTCGGCATCGTTGGGCGTCGTCAAAGGAAGACCGATGGCGAAGCCGGCGTTCCAAAGCGGCATCGCGCCGATCAGCGTCAAAGAAGGCGACACGCTTGAATGCAAACTACTCATCACTGGCGATCCGACGCCGTTCGTCAAATGGAGCATCAACGGACAATTGGTGTGCGCCACCGAGGACACCGAGATCACCAACTCGAATGGTGTGTACACATTGAAGATCCATGGATGCACCACCGATATGACCGGCAAGATCAAGTGTGTTGCCTACAACAAAGCCGGTGAGGTGTCCACCGAGGGACCATTGACCGTGTTCGCGCCGGTGCCGGTCGAGTTCGAGACGAGCCTCTGCGACGCGACGTGCCGCGAGGGCGACACCCTCAAATTAAAGGCGGTCCTTCTCGGCGAGCCGACGCCAGACGTCTCGTGGTACGTGAATGGAAAGAAGTTGGAAGAATCGCAGAACATCAAAATCCACGCGGAGAAGGGCACGTACACGGTGACGATCAAGGACATCACTTGCGACTACAGCGGACAAGTCGTATGTGAGGCGGTCAACGAATATGGACGCGCCACTTCCGAGGCGACGCTGCTCGTGTTGCCGAGAGGCGAGCCGCCAGATTTCTTGGAATGGCTCAGCAATGTGCGAGCGCGAAAAGAGAGCAAAGTGGTGCACAAGGTTGTGTTCACTGGCGATCCGAAGCCGAAGCTCACCTGGTACATCAACAATCAGGAGATCAACAACAATGACGAGTACACGATCGTCACTGATGATAAGACGTCGACGTTGACGATCAAGAGCTTCAATCCGGACAAACACGTCGGTGAGATCATTTGCAAAGCGGAGAACGACGCCGGCGAGGTGTCGTGCACGGCGAATATGCTCACCTACACGTCGGACATGTTCAGCGAGTCGGACAGCGACGCGCATGCCGAAGAGTTGGCCGGCGATGATTTGACGGAAGACGAGGATCTGCGCGAGTTCCGCACACCGACGCCGGTGATGGCGCCGAAATTCATTCATAAGATCAAAGACACGAAAGCGAAACGCGGGCATTCGGCGGTGTTCGAGTGCGTCGTGCCCGACACGAAAGGCGTGTGCTGCAAATGGTTGAAGGACGGCAAAGAGATCGAGTTGATCGCGCGAATTCGTGTGGCCACCCGAACGGGACCCGAAGGACACATCACCGAAGAATTGATCATTGACGACATCAGTCCGGAAGACGCTGGAAAGTACACGTGCATTGTTGAGAACACCGCCGGACGCGACGTGTGCGAAGCGACGCTGACGGTTGTCGAGAGCATTGAGAAGACGACGATGCGTCAGCCGGAATTCGTGATGGCCCTTCAAGACAAGACCGTCAAGACGTCGGAGAAGATTGTGCTCGAGTGCAAAGCAGTTGGAGAGCCGAAGCCCAACATCACGTGGTATCATGAGAATGTAAGTGTGTTCCGATCGCCTCGCAACCCGATTGTGTTTGTTTTCAGAAGGTTGTCAGCAGCACCCTCGTCGAGACTGTCGAAGGTGTTGAACGGATTACGATCACCAGCGCCGAGACGAGCCATCAAGGCAAGTACACGTGCGTCGCCGAGAATTCCGAAGGAACATCGAAGACGGAGGCGATTGTCACTGTGAAAGGTAAGTGGTAGATGAATGTAGCGTGACACGACATTGAGTTTTGCATGTTTTGCACCACCACCACCCACCCACACACACACCCTTTTATTCCAGGTGAAGCACCGGTGTTCACCAAAGAGCTTATGAGCAAGGAGCTCAAGATTGGCGAGAAGCTCGTCATGTCGTGTTCGGTGAGAAACGCGCAACACGTTGACTTTTATCGATTCACCGAGACGAGTGAGACGAAGATGACGTCGACGAGTCGCGTGTCGATTGAGCACGATCAGACGAACATGCATTGGCGAATGGTGATCGGCGAGATTGCGCGCGATGAGTTTGCGAGCTATAAGGCGATCGCGACGAACGCGTTCGGCACCGCGACGAGCACGTCGAAAGTCACACTGAAAATGGAAGCGCCCGTATTCGAGCAGGGATTGAAGAAGACGAGTGTGAAAGAGAAGGAGGAGATCAGAATGGAAGTCAAGGTGGGAGGCGCCGAGCCGAACGTCGAGTTCTTCAAAGAAGGCAAACCTGTCGTGGAGGACGGCAATCATGAGATCAAGAAGAATCCCGAGAATGGTGTGTTCACTTTGATCGTCAAAAAGGCCAGCCAAGCCGACGCTGGAAAATACAGCGCCAAGGCGACGAATCCCGCGGGAAGCGCCGAATCGCAAGGTGAAGTCGAAGTCAAGATCGAGTTTGAGAAGCCGACGTTCGTTCGCGAGCTCATTAATACCGAGGTCAAGATCAATGAATCGGCAACACTCAGCGTGACTGTTAAAGGAGTGCCGGAGCCGAAGGTGGAGTTCTTCAAGGATGGTTTACTCATTGAGAATCAATTCCACGTCGTCCGTCAAGAGCAGACCTATTCGATTCGGATCGACAACGCGAAACCCGAAGACGCCGGAATTTTCTCGGCGAAAGCGACGAACAGCGTCGGCGAGGCGACGACTTCGGCCAATTTTGCCATCGTCAAGACGAGCACACCGCCGGAGTTCACCGAGAAGCTTCAGCCAATGGAAGTCAAAGAATTGGAGAATGTGCAACTCAAGGTCACCGTTGTTGGATCGCCCGAGCCGAAGGTTGTGTGGTTCAAAGACAATCAGCCGGTCAGCATCGACAACACCCACGTCATTGCCAAAGACGAAGGATCGGGACATTACACTTTGGTTATCAATCAGGCGCGATCCGACGATGTCGGCGTCTACACGTGCAAGGCGACGAACGAAGCCGGACACGCGGAGACCACTGCCAACTTTGCTATTGTGAAGACAAGTGTGCCACCCGAGTTCACTGAGAAGCTTCGGCCACTCGAAGTCAATGAGCTCGAGACACTTCAATTGAAGGTGACTGTTGTTGGAACGCCAACGCCGAAAGTGGAATGGTTCAAGGACAACGCGCCAGTCAACATTGATAACACTCACATCATCGCGAAGGATGAGGGATCCGGACATCACACATTGATTATCAATCAAGCCAGAGGTGAGGATGTCGGTGTCTACACATGCAAAGCCACGAACGAAGCCGGCGAGGCGAAGACGACAGCCAACATGGCGGTTCAGGAGGAGATCGAGGCGCCGTTGTTCACGCAAGGCTTGAAGCCGCTTGAAGTCGAACAAGGCAAGCCGGCCGAGCTTGAGGTGAAGGTTGAAGGAAAGCCCGAGCCGGAGGTCACTTGGTTCAAGGATGGCCAACCGGTACAGATTGACAATCAGCACGTGATTGAGAAGAAGGGCGAGAACGGATCGCACACGTTGATCATCAAGGACACCGCGGCGACCGATTTTGGCAAATATTCGTGCAAGGCTGTCAACAAGGCAGGCAAAGATGAGACGATTGGAGAGATCAAGATTCCGAAGTACTCGTTCGAGAAGCAGAACGCCGAAGAGGTTCAGCCGTTGTTCATCGAGCCGCTCAAAGAGACGTTCGCCGAAGAAGGCTCGACGGTGGTTCTCGAATGCAAAGTCAACAAGGAGTCGCATCCCGACGTGAAGTTCTTCAAAGACGGTCAAGCGGTGACACTTGGCGATCATATGCAGATGGCGGTCAGCGAGGAGGGCGTCATCCGATTGACAATCCAGAACGCGAAGAAGGAGGACGTTGGTAGCTACAAGTGCGAGGCGACGAATCGCTTCGGCAAGGATGACACGAGCGCGTCGCTGAAATACGCGAGCAGTGTTCAAGAGCATGTCGTTGATGAGAGTTCCACACTTCAAGAGATTGTCACCACCAGCACCGTCTTGGGTTGACCCTCATTCGTTGTTTTGTTTCTAATGACTAATCATTGCATTTTTCAGAATCGGCAAGCGTCGATGACGGCAACTCGGCTCCGGAGTTCGTCGAGCTTCTCCGCAGCTGCACCGTCACCGAAAACCAGCAGGCGGTACTCCGATGCAAAGTCAAAGGTTTGCCGACGCCGAAGATCCAATGGACGAGGGCCGGAAAAGAGGTGGAGATGTCGACGCGAATTCGCGCCGATCATCACGATGATGGCACGCTGACATTGACGATCGACAATGTCGGCCAGGCGGACTCGGGCGAATATCAATGTCACGCCGAGAATGCGAACGGAGCGGCGTGGACCGAAGCGCCGATCATTGTGACGATTGAAGGAGCGCCGAAGATCGACGGCGAGGCTCCCGATTTCTTGCAGCCGGTCAAACCGGCGAATGTGATGGTTGGCGAGAAGGCGATTCTCGAGGGAAAGATCAGCGGCAAGCCGAAGCCGACGGTGAAATGGTACAAGAACGGCGAGGAGATCAAGGCGTCCGATCGGATCGTCATCGAGAACTTGGATGATGGCACGCAACGACTAACTGTGAAATCGACGGAACTTTCCGACATGGATGAATATCGATGCATGGCTTCCAATGAATATGGAGACGTTTGGTCGGATGTCACGCTGACCGTCAAAGAGCAAACCGCTCCATCGTTCTTCAAGGACCTTCAAGCGGTGCAAGTCAAGGAAACCGAGACGGCTCGATTTGAATGCAAGATCGGCGGAACGAAGCCGGAGGTGAAGTGGTTCAAAGATGGAGCTCCGATTCAAACCGATTCGAGAATTCGCGTGGAATCAGAAACTGACGGAACTGAGAGACTCATCATTGAGAAGTCGAGAACGGACGACCAAGGCAATTATCGCGTTGAGATCACGAACGACGCTGGTACGGCGAACAGCAAAGCGCCGCTCACCGTGACACCGGCGGAGACGCTCAAGATCAAGAAGGGACTTGAGGACACGACGACGACCGAAGGAACCAAGATCATTCTCATTGTCGAGGTTGAAGGAAAACCGAAGACCGTCAAATGGTACAAGGGAAGTGAAAGTGTGTCGAGTCGCACGAAGCAGATCAAAATCACCGAATCGCAGTATCAGTTGGAGATTGAGAGCAGCGAGGTGGCCGACACCGGCTCCTACAAGGTCGTGCTGTCGACCGACTCGCTCTCGGTTGAATCCAGCGCAACGATCACTGTCGTCAAATCAGCCGACAAGTTGCCGGTGTTCAAGAAGGGACTTTGCGATCAAGATGTTGCGAAAGGCGCCCAACTTGTTCTTGAAGTTGAAATCGACGGCAAGCCGAAGAACGTGAAGTGGTACAAGAACGGCAAAGAAGTGGCCGGCGAGGATGTTGGCGATGGCAAATATCGACTCGCGATTCCGGCGTTCGATGAGCCTGGAGAGTACAGTGTGACGGCTTCGAATGACGCCGGCGAGATTGAATCGAAGGCCAAGATCAACATGAAGGAGAAGCCCGAGATTGTGTCGGGACTCGTTCCGACGACCGTCGCCCAAGGAGACACGGCGACGTTCTCGGTGAAAGTCAAGGGACCTGTCAAGCAAGTCAAATGGTACAAGAATGGAAAGGAGATTCCCGACGCGAAGACGAAAGACAAAGGTGATGGAACATATGAGCTCGAGGTGCCGAATGCTCAGGAAGATGGCGACTACAAGGTCGTCGTTTCCAATGATGCTGGAGATGCTGACTCGAGTGCTGCGTTGACTGTCAAGCTTCCAAGCGCCAAGCCAGAAATTGTTCAGGGCCTAATCCCGACGACTGTCGCTCAAGGAGACACGGCGACATTCTCTGTCAAAGTCAAAGGACCTGTCAAGCAAGTCAAATGGTACAAGAATGGAAAGGAGATTCCCGACGCGAAGACAAAGGACAAAGGTGATGGAACCTACGAACTTGATGTTCCGAATGCTCAAGAAGGCGCTGATTACAAGGTTGTTGTTTCGAACGATGCTGGAGACGCTGACTCGAGTGCTGCGTTGACTGTCAAACTGCCTGGAATCAAGATTGTCAAGGGACTTGAAGATGTCACAGTTCCGAAGGGGCAGAAGGTTGTGTTGGAGGTCGAAGCGAACAAGAAGCCAAAGGAGATCAAATGGTACAAGAATGGAAAGGAGATCAAATCCGAAGCGCCGACGAATGAGAAGCCGCAGCTTGTCATCCCGTCGGCCGATGAGGACGCCGAATTCAAGGCAGTGCTCTATGATGATGATGGAAACGCCGCTGACACGTTCTGCGCGTTGACCGTCAAACTTCCATCGGAAAAGCCAAAGATCGTGAAGGGGCTCGAAGATCAAATCCTTCCGGTTGGTGCGCCGGTCAAGATGGAAATCGAGACGACCGGATCGCCAAAGGCGGTGAAATGGTACAAGAATGGAAGAGAAGCCAATGGTGAGAAGATTGATGACAACAAGTTTGTGTTGACGATTCCCGAAGGAGCAGTTGACGACACCGGCGACTACAAGGTGGTTGCTTCGAACGACGCCGGCGAAGCTGAATCGTCGGGACGACTCACCGTCGAGCCGAAACTCACGTTCGTCAAGCCGCTCAAAGATCTCGAGGTCAATGAGGGCGACGCGGCCGAGTTTGTCGTTGAGACGAACGCTCAGCCGAGAGAAGTCAAGTGGTACAAGAATGGACAACTCGTCAAGGATCATCCGACATCGCAGGATGGCAACAAGTTCAGTTTGACGATCAAAAAGGCTACCAAACAAGATGCGGCGTCGTACAAGGTCGTGCTCAGCAACAGCGCCGGAAGCGTTGAGAGCGAGGCGAAGCTTGCCGTCAAATCAGGACTCTGCAAGATCATCAAAGGATTGGAAGACCAAGTTGTTGCCAAAGGCACAACGATGGTGTTCGAAGTCAAGATCGAAGGCGAGCCGGATGAGGTGAGATGGCTGCTCAACGGAAATCCGGTGAGCGTCGGAGCTGAGAAGGTTGATGCGCAGACGTATCGTTTGACGATTCCGAATGCGGATCTCAAGGATGCCGGCGAGTACACTGTTGAAGCTGTTAACAAGAGCGGAAAGGCGAAGAGCGACGCGAATGGTGAGGTTGACGAGAAGCCGGAGATTGTCAAAGGACTAGGGGATCTCGAACTCGACGAAGGCGACGATGATGTGTTCAAGGTTGAGGTGTCGGCTCCGGTCAGAACTGTCAAATGGTACAAGAACGGCCAGGAAATCAAGGACAACCGATTCCAGCCGAAGAAGATTGGACCTAAGAAGTACGAGCTTCTCATCAACAAGGCTACTCTCGACGACACCGCCACTTACAAGGTCGTCTTGGGCAACGCCGCTGGTGAATGCGATTCGTCGGCTAGTTTGACTGTCAAGAAGCCCGATTTGCTCAAGATCCTTGATGGACTCAAAGGTGTCGATGTCGAGGAGAATCAGCCAGTCGAGCTGAGCGTCAAGGTCGAAGGAACACCGAAGACGGTGAAGTGGTACAAGAACGGACAGGAGATTGCGAATCCACAGACGACTGAGAAGGATGGCGTCTATAGCTTGTTGATTCCGACGAGCAAGAAGTCTGACGGCGGCGCGTATCGAGTGGTTCTATCGAACGACAAGAGCGAAGTCTACAGCGACGCTGTTGTACACGTGAAGGCGGCCAAGGTGAGCGCAACGTCTCCGGCATCGTTCATCTCGCCACTTCGAGACACCGAGGTCGAGGAGGGCGACATGCTCACCCTTCAATGCACGATTGCTGGAGAGCCATTCCCCGACGTCGTCTGGGAGAAGGATGGTGTTGCGTTGGTCAAGGATGATCGCGTCACAATGCGAGTGGCGCTTGATGGAACCGCCACACTGCGAATCCGAGCGGCCAAGAAGTCCGACATTGGACAATACCGAGTGACTGCCAAGAACGAGGCGGGAACCGTCAGCAGCGAGTGCAAGGTGACTGTCAAAGAGCAAGGCGAACAACCATCGAAGCCGAAGTTTGTGATCCCGTTGAGGACTTGCGCCGCTCTGCCCGGCGAGAAGAAGGAGTTCAACGTGAAGGTTCGTGGATTCCCGAAGCCGACACTCAAATGGATTCTGAACGGCGAGCCGATCAAGTTTGACGAGCGGATTGTTGTCGAAGACATGTCCGATGGCAATTATTGTTTGACGATCAAAGATGTCCGCGAGGATGACTTTGGAACGATCAAGTGTATCGCGACGAACGAGAATGGAAGCGATGAGAGTGTCGCCGAGTTCGAGAAATCGTTGACGCATCCCGAAGGCCACAAGGACGATCTGCGCTATCCGCCGCGATTCAATGTTCCGCTATGGGATCGTCGAATTCCGGTGAACGATCCGATGATGATCGAATGTCATGTTGACGCGAATCCGACGGCGACGATTGAATGGTTCAAAGATGGTGTCAAGATCGAGCACTCGAGCCATATTGAGATTCGAAACACCGTCGATGGCGCATGCCGACTCAAAATCGTGCCGTTCGAGGAGATCGACACTGGCGATTACAAGTGTGTGGCTGTCAATGAGCTCGGACAAGCCGAAACGCAAGCGCACTATTCGGTTGAGGTTGTCGAATATCATGAGGAGGAGAAGAAGAAGGAGTACGCGCCGAAAATCAATCCGCCACTCGAGGATCGCACCGTCAATGCTGGACAGCCGATTCGATTGTCGTGCAAGGTCGACGCCGTGCCGAGAGCTTCTGTTGTTTGGTACAAAGACGGTCTTCCGATGAAGACTGACGATCGTATGGAGTACGCTGAGGATGGAACAGCAACCCTCACGATTCCATCGGCTGAAGAGGGAGACATTGGCGCTTATCGATGTGTTGCTACGAATGCGCATGGAACCATCAATACGAGCTGCAGTGTGAACGTGAAGATTCCGAAGCAGGAGATTAAAAAGGTTGGCGAGGAGCCGTTCTTCACCAAAGGCCTCGTCGACATTTGGACGGATCGCGGCGATTCGTTCACGCTGAAGTGCGCGGTGACCGGCGATCCGTTCCCGGAGATCAAATGGTATCGCAATGGGCAACTCGTCCGAAACGGACCGCGAACGACACTCGAGACGCTTCCCGACGGCACGTGCACGCTCGTCGTCAACGAATCAACGATGAGCGACGAGGGCATCTACCGTTGCGAGGCGGAGAATGCGCACGGCAAAGCGAAGACGCAAGCGACGGCGCACGTTCAGATGGCGCTCGGCAAGACGGAGAAGGCGAAGATCGAGGAGGGCAAGCCGCCAAAGTTCATCATCGAACTGTCCGACATGACCGTCTCCGTCGGTGGCGTCATCGATTTGGAATGCAAGGTCACCGGCCTCCCAATGCCGACCGTCAAATGGTCCAAAGACGGTGGTCCGCTGATTGAGGATTCGCGATTCGAGTGGACTTCCAACAAGAGTTCGGGATCCTACCAGCTTCGCATCGCCAATGCGACCGTCAACGATGAAGGAACCTATCGGTGTGTGGCGACGAACGAGAACGGCTCGGCGACGACGAAGAGCTTCGTCCGAATCGACGACGGTTTGGGTGTTGGCGCGATTGCGAGAAGCCAGCCGCCGAGATTCACACTTCGAATGGGAGACGTGCGAGCCACCGAAGGACAACCATTGAAGCTCGAGTGCAAAGTTGACGCGAGCCCACTACCGGAAATGGTGTGGTACAAGGATGGCGCTGTGATTCAGCCATCGGATCGCGTGCTGATCAGCTTGTCGCCGGACGGCGTCGCGACGGTCTTCATTCCGTCGTGTGTGCCCGACGACGAGGGCATCTATCGTGTCATCGCGACGAATCCAAGCGGAAGCGCCCAAGAGAAGGGCAACGCGATCGTCAAAAAGTTGGCCAGAGATTCGCCGCGACGATCGGCGGATCGCGATGTGTTCGATTCGAACAAAGCGCCGAAGCTCGTCGAGCCGCTCGAGAACGTGCGAATTCCCGAGAAGCAAGGGTTCAAGTTGCGATGCAAATTCAGCGGCGAGCCGAAGCCCAACATCAAATGGTTCAAAGACGGCGATCGTGTGTTCCCCTACGGACGACTTCAGCTCAATGAGCAGGATGGTGTCTGCGAGTTGATTGTCGACTCGTCGACGAGACAAGACGCCGGCGGATATCGATGCGTCGCTGAGAACACCTACGGCACAGCGAGAACGTCGTGCGATGTGAATGTGATTCGTGAGTTTTCGTTTTGGTTCCATTAGAATTCGTTCGAATCGAGTTGTTCAGGTGGCGATCGCAAACCGCGCGACATTGACACGTCGATGCGCGACGGCCAAGCGCCGGGATTCACGGTGCCGTTGACAATCAGACGCGCCAAGGCCGGCGAGACGGTGACGTTCGAGTGTGTGCCGTTCGGCAATCCGTTCCCGTCGATCAAATGGCTCAAAGACGGCCTTGAGTTGTTCGCCGATGATCGAACGCGAATTGAGAGTGCTTCGGACGGAACGCAACGATTGATTCTCACCGACGTCACATTCCTCACCGAAGGCTATTATCGATGTGTGGCGACGAACGCGCACGGAACCGCGTCGACGAAAGCCGAGCTTGTCATTGAAGGTAGAGTTGATTTAAATCATTTATGAGATCAAAGAAAAAAAACAAAGACTAGCGAGATCGAGAAATATGTAGAAGTGATGAAAGATTGACTAGGTCTTGAATTTGCACACGGCGACGGCGTTGTACTGCGATAGAATTTTGTCGGCGTAATGATTGATCCATTTGCCGCGTCGATTCATCACGAGTACCGCCAACGCGCGCCGCCCGAACGGCATCCCGCGATCCCAATTGAGATAGTCGAACGCCGAGCCGTCCATCCAATGCCATTTGTGGCCATTGTTCGATCGACCGTAACCGCCGAGATAGATGAACTCGACGTTGGGATTCGTCGCCTTCGCGAGATTCATGATGAACTCGTTCTCGTCGGCGTTGCCGACGCTCGTCAACATCGCGTCTTGACGATGCTCGAGGCCTTAATTAATAATGGGATGATGAGGTTATCGAACTAATTTTGAATACCATAATCGAAGCATCGATTGTCCGCTTCGAGTATCGTCATGTTCGTTTTGGACAACGTCCGATAGCACGATTGGAATCGCTCGTTGTGCACCCAATGGTTGGGGCAATTCTTCGCCGCCGCGTGATGCATTCGCTTCTCGCACACAACCGCCGCCGGTGTGGCGCACGCCGCGTTGATCCAAGTGCCGTCGGAGCGCATCGCGACACACTTGTCCTTTTTGTGGATCTCCTCGATGCCGTTGCCCGGCGCCCAATTGCTGTAGCGCACGATTTTGCCGTTCGGCCAACGATAAACGAAACCGGGACCGAAGAGGCCCGCCGAGCCGTCGACAATGTCGAAACGCGCGCGCGCGTCAATCCACACGTTCGAATGCGTTCGTCGGCCCAACTGTGTGATGTAGGCGTTCTCTTTGCCGCACTCGATGCGAAGCACGTGCGAGTCGTTGGCGAGCCGATGGCAATAGCGATGCGCGTCGTTGAGCGTCATCCGCCGACGCGACAAATGATAGCACGTGCGACCGTCTTGATGCCATCCCTAGAATCCAAAAAAGGCATCGCGAAGCAAAAGAACACAATCGTACCTTTGGACACCCGTTTGCCAGCCATACCAGCGACAATGGGAATAGTAGTCGGCACATCGCTGGGGGACCATTCATAAATATGGGGATTCTAAAAGAGAATGATTATTATTTTTTTGTTTTGCAGGAGACCGCACGATTGGATCACGTCCACTTCCGGAAGTGAGCAGCGAGCCGGAGGAGAGCAAGCCGCGAATTCGTCGCGGACTCTACAATATGAGTATTCACGAGGTGCGTTTTCGAGCAAAATCGATAGTCGTTGCTCTTTTTTATTCTTCTTCTTTTTTGCACAATGCTTTGTTTTTTTTTAATGATTGAATAGGTGCACACGTGGGTCTGACGAAATGAAATAGAATAGATAAGGTGTCGAGAGGTGTGAAGAACAAAAGTTTATATAGGTGTGACATGAGATAAACAAACACAAATAGAGGAGAGGGTGAAATTTTTTGCGGTGCGCCGCCGCCGCCGCAGTCCGATGATTCATTCATTGTGCTGTGTTGGGTAGCAATTCGAGCGGAAAAACGAGAGGCATTATGAGGTCACGTAGGGACCGGCAGACAGCACTTTTTTCTTCATTCGATTCTTATTTTTAGTTTTTCCTTTTCTGGCAAGCTCAAAACGTCACCGTGATTACTGTATGTGGAGGTTTAAAGGAGCAGTCGAGTTCAACACAAAAAAAAGAACGAAGAAAAAAAAACGATTTATTTCCATAATTGTGAGCCAATTCAAAGTTAAATGTGTAGGCAGCGTTTCACGTAGTAATCATCGTAGGGAAGCGAGCGGCAATCGCAGGTTCTAGCAATAGACGAGATTTGGAATGCGATTCGCGTTGACTCACTGTTTAATGGTGATGCTGGAAATGTTATTGACGTTCACAGTGACAATCAATGAGCTTTCGTTTCGTATTGGATAGACTTTCATTAGGGTGTTGTTGGCGAACACATGGAATTCGTCGGGCGTCTTTCTGAAAACGGCGAATGCGAGAGAAAACGAAAATGGACAATCCGATTGATTACTTGACGGTGACATTGAACGCACTGTTCGTGCCGATGAGAGCAGGTTCCATTTCAGGCTCACGTCGTGGCCATTTTTCATCCTCGAATTTCGAGTAAACGGTTCCTTCGCCCGATTTTTTCATGTGCAACGGAATATCCTTCATCGTCATTAAATTGAACGAGTACCACGGCATTTCGTCGCCAATTCGACCGGTGAACTCGATCGAATGGAAATGCTGAAGGGGCCGAACGAGATTGATGTTCGTGTTTGGTTCGAGTGGCGTCTAATTGAAACACTCATATTGATTTTTTTTTGCGTGTTTGACTGAGATCTCACCATTTCGTCGCCGATTTGACCGGTGAACTCGATCGAATGGAAATGCTGAAGGGGGCGAGCGAGATTGAAGTTCGGATTTTGTGCGACATCCGTCTAATTGAAACATTGACATTGATTTTTTTGACGTTTGACTGAGATCTCACCGATGCCACATTGCATTGGGCGAGCTTCTCGCATCTTGCTGATTGTATGATGAAATTGAATAGTAGGAGTTGAAGGTGGAGGTTGTTGGAGGGCATTTCGCTGGAATTGACTTCAAGAGTTACTAGGCACCTCTCAACTATTCTTTTTATGGCTAGTAAACATTATTATTCATTCGAAACTTTTGAATCTTCGTTTATTTTTGTTTTTGTTGGGTAGATCAAAGAATCTTTGAGAAGTACACGAGATTCGCCTATGCGGAAAATTACAAATTTAAACAATTGGCGATGTCGTCGATTGTCAGCCTCAGAAGGCGGCAATTGCATGATCTGAATGGATTCCACTAAAAGGATTGGCAGAGGGGGGGGGGTCTTTTACTGAATGAATTTGTCGATGCGCACCGTTCCTGTTATCACAATCGAGGTGATCGGCCAATTTGTTCGAATCAGATAAATGTAGACGAGTCGGTCATTGTTGAAGATTTCCATGCGTCTATTGGATTTTCTAAATGATCGAATCAGATCTGGGATCATTTTTTTTTTGGGTTCGAGTTTGATTCACCGAAATTTGAGATGAAAATCGACGCCGGCTTCAACGATTCGCGCAATTCGCTCGATGCCGTCTTCCTTGAATAAAAAATTCGGGATTTGTCTTTTTTTTTCTCCAATTGCTCACCTGTCCCGACGCATAGGAATAGGAGAGAATCGTGCCTTTCGATTCGTCGAAATAATTGCGTAGATGAAGTGTTGTCGTGTTGCCGACGAACACGAATGCGATGTGAAAATCCGAGGCCGTCGACGACGGCGGCGGCGGCGTCGAGCCGATCATCTCGATCGTCATGCCGGCGTCGAGAACTCCCGATATTTTGAGAACATCGCCGTTGGTGTAGTTCGTCTTAATCGATTTTGAGTTTTTGAGATGAAGAAATTTGCTTATTTTTTTTGCCAACCAACTGATGGGCGCATTTTTCAAGAAAAATGGTCTCGAATTTCGAATAATTAACCAATAATAATTAAAAGAATAATAGGAGCATAATCGTGCGCATTTCTGAATGTAAGTGAGAGGATCTTACATCGTCGCCTAGCATTTGGTTTTCGGAGGCCAAACAACGAATGTTGCTCTGTTTCGGAATTAATTAGCGAAATCGGGAAAAGATTTTTTTCTCACGATTAAAGGACTATTGGGGTCCGATTAATTGGCACTAACTATAGCGATGCGTAATAGTATGTATAAAAGACGTCTGGACCCGTGTTGGTCCGTCGGAGGTTAAATCGAGAATTGAAAAGAGACGCAGACGCCACTTGGCGCCAGAAGGGGATCGAACCCACGACCTCCACGATGAGTCAAAAGGTTCCGCCACTGCGCTATTGCGCCGGCGCGCGCCGCCCACTGCATGGAAATGATTTTTTGGACGACGCGAATTTTTTGTACACCTCATTGAATTCCTTTTCATTCTCTATTATCCACCAATTTGGTGTGAAGATTTTGGCGACGTTCGTCATTGCAATGAAATTGTTTGAAAAGGATTCGATATATCACCTTGACATTCATATTAATCTCGCGTTACAATTTTTTTTCGATCTATCAATGACACGTGGAAATTTTGGGCGGATTCTCGGAGAAAAAATTGTTGAGCTTAATAGAGATTCGTTATTTTTCGATTTTATTTTCGGTCAACTCGCTGATGAAACATTTTATTCGTCATTTCTACTAGTAGAAGGAAAGAAAAACGACTAGACTAATTGAAGGCATGATCTCATGAGACGATCAATTGTTTGAATGTCGGTGGCTCGACAATCGCATTTTCTGCAAAACGAGAAGCGATTGTAGGAAGCGAATTCGAATTGAGCGGTCTCACAACGAAAAACTCGTATTCGCATCGAATCCCGAAATTTGTAGGCGATCGGTTGTCTTGACGGCTCCCATGTGCACATAGCGTTTTGATGGGCTTCGAAGGAACACGCGGTCTTCTAGTAGAGTGAAGTTAAAATTGAAATCGAAAATCGGGATCGCCAAAGGCAATTCGGTGATGTTCTGAATTTTTGATTGATTGAAATTCGGGCGAGATGAGGCAACATGATTTAGTCCACTTGAGAGGATTGTGCTCACATTAGTGAACGTCAAATTCAATGAATCGCCAATTAGAATTGTCGCTTCGAGACCCGACAGTTGGCCGTTGACGTCGACCGTCCACAGAATGCCGAGCGATTTGTAGAACAACACCATGTCCTCATCGGGTTTGGCCGTCTGAAAAAACGCGATGATTGATTAGGCATTTTGGATGTCGTCGGGGGGGGGGAGTGGGCCGACTTTCGCCGAGAAGCCGCATTTCTCGATGTAGACAGTGGCGAGAATAATCGACGACAGATGAGCTAGTAGGAGAAACGAGCCGTGCATTGGTTGTTCTCTTTTTTGCTGCTGCTGTTGCCGTCGTCGTGACGATGTTGAAGAAGCATAAAATGCGAAACCAGACGGAATTTGGGGGGTGGAGGCAAAAATTTGGAAGTTTATTAGTAGTAAAAGCGAAAAGAAATTAAATGTTGAGACAGCCTTTGATGACGGAGACGTCGGCGTTGATCGAACGGCAATCGCAGTGCCTACAATTTTTGAATGTGGTTTTTTTTGAGGGGGTCTCTTTATGGTATTCAGATTGTAGAAAAAACATTGATTTTCAAAGACTACAGTACCACAAGTTAATTTTATCGCTATGCGCCTTTAATCGACTGTAACAATTTTATTATATTTTTTATCCTAGTTTTTCGATAACAATTGCTATTGTGATTAAAGGGGCATCTAGAAATTTTTGCGAGCATTCCTGGAGTGATTTAATACTGTAGCCTGCATAGTATTTACGATTAAAACGAAACGAAATGCTCACATGTAGATGCTTGTCACGTTGATGCACGAATTCGTCGGAATTCGCAAATAGTTCAATTTCGAATCGGTCACAATTGTGAAGTTGTACGTCGAGACGTCGTCGGTGAAGAACTCGATGAATTTTTTATGGCGTCTAAAAATTGCGCGATTCAATTCGAGCATTGAATTGGCGTTGATTCAAACTTGAACTTGTAATCGAAATTGGCTCCCAATTTGAGAATGAGACCCATTCGATGGCACTCGACCCATTTGGTGATGTGATAGTTGAACGACGTGAAATTCCTGTTCACCTGATGATTCATATAGAGAAAAATGTTGTCGGCTTTGTTGTGCATGTAAATCGGCTGCAAATGGTCCCGAAGCGAATCACCAACAAAATGGAATTGAGATGACTCACAAATGTGACGCAGTCGGGCGGTGTGTAGCCCTTGAGGCGCAGCCAATCGTTCTCGGCGAGACCCGACGCGTAATAGAGTTTTGTGTTGATTTGATAATCGGTGATCGGCGTCCAACTGGCCATCGAGCCTTTGCTGTGCGCCGAATTGATATTGAAAATTGAGGAATATCATGGGCAATAATAGGCGAGACATTGCTTGCTATATTCGATTTTGTGTATTTTTGAATGTCATTTTGAAGCGTTGCCATTCGAGACACGTCTCGCGATTTTATTATCATTTTATTTGTTGCTCTTTCAGGGAAACGTCGTCGAGATGATTGTGTGCGCGACGGGATGGCCGACGCCGTCGGTGAAATGGTTCAAAGACGGAGAGGAGATTGTCGGCGACGGTCCCGACGGGAAGCGCGTCGTGTTCACCGATGAGCGCGGCATTCATCATTTGGTGATTGTCAACGCGAGCGTCGACGATGAGGGCGAGTACACGCTGGTGGCGACGAACAAGCACGGCACCGCGAAAACCGACGGCTCGCTGAGCGTCATTCGACCGCGTCACGTCGCCGCCGATGATCGCGGCGGTCTTCCGTTCCCGCCGGGCTTCGTGCGACAACTCAAGAACAAGCACGTGTTCAATCATATGCCGACGATATTCGATTGTCTCGTCGTCGGCCATCCGACGACCGACGTCGAGTGGTACCACAACGGCAAAAAGGTGGTGGCGAGCGGACGCGTGAAAATTCAATCGTGCGCCGGCGGCTCGCACGCGCTCATCATTCTCGACACGACGCTGGACGACGCCGGCGAGTATGTGGCGACGGCGAAGAACGCGCACGGCGTGGCGAGCTCGTCGGCGGTGCTCGACGTGACGAAACCGTTTTTGGACGACGTCAAATTCAATGGCGAAATCGATGTGACGCCGTACCTCACCGAAGAGTACGGCTTCAAGAAGCTCAACACGGCGAGTCTGCCGACGCCGCCCGATCGCGGGCCGTTCATCAAAGAGGTCACCGGACACTATTTGACGCTCTCGTGGATACCGACGAAACGCGCGCCGCCGCGCTACCCGCAAGTCACCTATGTCATTGAGATTCGAGAGCTTCCCGAAAAGGAATGGACATTGGTAACTTTGATTTGCGTTTTTTTTTTTTTTGGAATTTTCCTCTTACAGCTTGACTATAACATTCCGGAGCCGGTGTGCAAAGTGCGCAATTTGGAGCTCGGCAAATCGTATCAGTTCCGCGTTCGCGCCGAGAACATCTACGGCATCTCGGATCCGTCGCCGGCGTCGCCGCCGTCGCGACTGATGGCGCCACCGGCGCCGGTCTTCGACAAACGCACCAACAAAATCATTCCGCTGCTCGATCCGTACGCGGAGCGCGCGCTCGATTTGAAGTACGGCGAGCAGTACGCGTGCGCGCCGTGGTTCGCGCCCGGCGTCGTCGAGAAGCGCTATTGCGCCGAGAACGACACGCTGACGATTGTGCTCAACGTGTCCGGCTTTCCCGATCCCGACATTCAATGGAAGTTCCGCGGTTGGAACATCGACACGACGAGTCCGACGTCGAAATGCAAAGTGTACACGTACGGCGGCACCGAGACGACGCTGGCGATCACCGGCTTCGGCAAGGAGAACGTCGGCCAATATCAGTGTTTCGCGAGCAACGAGTACGGCGAAGCGCAACAGAACGTGATGGTCGAGCTCGCCGAGCGGCCCAACTTCATTCAGACGCTCGCCAACAAGACGTTCTCGTCGGCACAGCCGATGCGATTGGACGTGCGCGTCGAGGGCCAACCGTTCCCCGAACTCAAGTGGATGAAGGTTGGGGATGGATGATCGACGTAAGAGGGTTCTGTGTGTTTTTCAGGAATGGCGTCCGATTGTCGAATCGTCGCGAATCAAATTCGTGCAAGACGGGCCGTACCTCTGCTCTCTGATCATCAACGATCCGATGTGGCGCGACAGCGGCATCTACTCGTGTGTGGCGGTCAACGACGCCGGCCAATCGACGACATCGTGCACGGTGACGGTTGAAGGTGAGTGAGACTGAGAGTGAGACACGCTTGAATTGATTCTGATTTCAGCCGAAGGCGACTACAACGACGTCGAGATACCGCGACGACGCGTCGCCATCGAATCGCGACGTGTCCGCGAGCTGTATGAGATATCCGAAAGCGACGAAAAGTAACGAGCCCCGTTCCGAAAAAAATGAGAGAAACCCCCCAAAATAAATATAAATATATGTGCCCAATTCCCTGTTTTTTGCCACCCTCCTCCATTTTTTCTTCCGGTGCTTTATCAATTTTTCAATTTTTCATTTTTTTTTGGTTTTGAAAGATCGAAATATGCCTAGTCAAACTTCTCGAAAAAAAAACGAATCTCCATGGCAATTCGTGCCCAAATTGCCAAGTTCTCTATTTTTCATTTTTTTTAAATTTCAATTTCTCTCCATATATGTGTGAGTTGTGGTGATGTTGAGCACAAGACCGCCCATCTTTTGCTCAATTCTGACGCCACCTTTTTTTTTAATTCTTTGCTCTTCGTTGAATGTGATTCGGTACCCTCACAGTTTCTTGCTCAATTTTAGCCCCTCTTCGTCTTGTTTTTTTTTTATTTTTGGCTTATTTTGTACATCATTTCATATCAATTTGTGTATCAAAATGAATAAAGTGCCCCCACCCCCCTAAATGGTCACTAACTCGTTGTCCGCCGTCGAAATGGTCCGTGGTTATCGCAAATAACATACATACAATTGTTGTCCATTCGTCGATTCTTGGTGATGTCGTGGCTCTTCAGAATCTCGGTGTCCACAATTTTTACATCTTTTCATTCATTTCTTTTTTTTTCTTCTTAATTTTTGGATTTTCATTTCGTCTCGAATCGTTTGTTTTTTTTTTCGCCTTCAAATTTTCTCGTACTAATTTTTAAGTGTCGTGTTCTTTGTTGGTGTATGATGCTTGTGCATGGGGTGTGTGCCCGAAATGACGAACGCAAATTTGCAGACCTCGCCTGGGTTCGTCGTCGTCGTCGACATCATCTGGCTTCCATTGTTCGCGTCGAGCCAGGCGGGGTCTGCCCCCCTCATGGCACACACACACACACACACACACACATTTAGACACACACTTGAAAATTAGACGGAAAAAGCTGAAGGCAAAAAAAAATTGAGGCCAAATGAAAACGAGTAACTGAGACAATTGTGGAGCACAAAGGGTTTCTGGAGATGGGCTCCATTGGGTCGGGGCGGCCATACAAGATATTACCATTGTCCGTGTAAATTTTTGTCCGAAAAAAATCAAAGCGACAAGATTCGATTGGAATTTGTTGGTTTCATTTTTTTTGTTGAAAATCGTCGAATCTTGCCGCGAAATTGTGAAACCCCATAGGAAAATTTCCAAAAACAAAATTGGCACATATATTTTTTTTCCAATCAATTTATCCCCCCACGGACACAAATGGTAATTCTTGTAGGCTGGCCGCGAATGGAGCGCCGTTTCACGTCATCGAGAAGGCGACGCGTCGCGAGTTCCTCGCGCAACTTCGTCCCATCGACGACTCGCTGACGCGACATGTCGACATTCACAACTCGTTGGATCATCCCGGCGTTGTGCAAATGCATCGCGTTGTGCGCGACGAGCAGTTGGCGTTGGTCGTCTTTGAAAAGTGCGTTTTATTTTTTTCTTCCGCGAAATTCTTTGGTGTGACGATGAAGAAGCGGTCGACGAATCCGTCGGCATCTGGAAATGGACAAAAATTAATTTTATTTGAGTTGAACAGTGATAGCAATGACACAATTTTTTTTTTGGAAAAGCTTTGCATCAAGAAAAAACCGCATTGGACAAACGATTAGGGAATATTCAAATTTGTTGGTTGATTTTTTTTAATCGGGGGAAAAATCGAAATTTATGGAAGCGAAAGATGAAGAAAAACCGGGAAATAGTAGGCTGATTTTCTGCAATTTGCATAATATCATAAAACGCTTTGTAGAAATTACAATTTTTGGCGAGAAATTTAAATTTCAACGGGATTCAACAAAATTTTGAAAAATATTGATTTATTTTAAATAGACGGGTTACGGTGATTTGTTGGATTGTGCATTCACCATAACGGTAAGATGCACAGAAATATTACTTCACTTTTTTTGCTTTTTCCCTAATTTTTCTCAAAAAAAAAGCAATTCCTATAAAAATTTTAGAAGGAAATCGACTTTCAATTCGTAGGCTAGGAAAAATATTGAAGAAGCGAGCGTCGAATAATGTGAAAAATGAGAAATGGTTGGCCGAATCGCATTAAACCAGTCGAAAATTTTAAAACAAAAAAGCGATTCGGCGACGGAGGGCGCCGGATTCAGAAACCAATCGCATCTGTTGGCCCCCTGGCGAAATCATTTTCCCATTAAACTATGCCCACTTTTTCGTTGTGTAATCGCAGATGTTTCTGCGCACACATCCGCGCTCGGCCCGTCGAAACGATTTTTCCTCGTGTTGTTATTGTTGTTTTTTTTTGTCGAAAATGTTCACGATCGTCGATTCAACAAGGTTTGTATGGGTTGTGCAAAAAAAATAGCGATAAAAACATATATCCCATCGATTTCCACTTTACACAACCCGCGAGTTCGTCAGGTATCCACACCACTGACGGCCTACACATCATACATTTCGTAAGAATTTTCATGACGAGCTGCCAACTTGAAAACGATTTCTATAATGTATAATGGTTTGTATTCGGTTTGATGAGTAAGTTGCCGAATAGTAATATCGTAATTAATTATGCAATCATTTTTAATTTGATTATTATTGCAGCGCCAATTCGACACTCGATGGCCTCGCGCATCCCGGCGTCACCATCGCCAGTCGGGCCGATCGCGAGACGTGCGTTCGCGTCTTCGTCCGACAGCTTCTGCTCGCGTTGAAGCACATGCACGACATGCGGATCGCCCATCTCGACTTGCGTCCCGAGGCGATTCTGTTGCAAGACGACAAACTGAAATTGGCCGATTTCGGCCAATCGCGTCGATTGTTGCGCGGACTGATTTGCGGCGAGATCAAAGGCTCGCCGGAGTTTGTGAGCCCCGAAGTTGTGCGCAGCTATCCGCTGACACTTGCCACCGACATGTGGAGTTGCGGTGTGCTCGTTTATGTCTTGTAAGAATTCAACAATTCGATTTGCGGCTAGACGAATCGATCGCATTCGATTCTGAAAGCCCCAATTTCATTTTTTTTTTCAAAATTACAATTCGCAGACTCACCGGTTTCTCGCCATTCCACGGCGACAACGACGCCGAAACATTGGCGAACGTCGATCGATGCCACTACGACGATGGACCGTTGCGACAATTCTCGTGTGACGCCGTCGATTTTGTGCAGAAGCTTCTTGTCGAGACGCCAGCGTGAGTTGGTTGTTGTTGTTGCAAAAAAAATGGCTCGCGATTGCAGACATCGTCTGACGGTCGATGAAGCCCTTCGGCATCCGTGGATCGACGACGAGACGCTTAAAAGCGCGCCACTCTCGGCGGACACACTGCGCGAGTTCAAATACCAGCACAAATGGCTGGTGAGTTCGTTTACTTTGCGCTCGCGCTTTCCATTCGTCGAGAAGAACAAAAAAAAAGAGACGACTATATTTATTATATTTATCATATATTGTTTGGTAGGAGCGACGCGTTTTCGTGCAACAAACGCCGTCCGAGCAGATTCTCGACGCGATTCTGGGACCCGTCACGGAGCGCTCGAAACCGACGCCGGCGAAAGGCGCCGACGGACGACGACCCGCTGAGATCTACGACTATTTGCGGATCAAGCCGAGACCCGTCGCGCAAGTTGAAGAGGTTTTGTTTTGTTATTTTTTTTTTGGGTGTTGCAATTTCGCTCCTCTTCAGATTCGACACCCACGCAAAGAGCATCCGCCGTTCATTGACGAATTCGGGCAGGTCATCGATCCGCGCGATTTCGATCTACCGTACGTCGAGCCACCGGCGGGGGGACGACGACGCGACGGCGGTGCGGTTCCGCAGCCGCAAGCGCCTCCAGCGCATGACGGAAGACGGCACGAGCCGGCGAGACGAACCAGCGAACGAAGCGAACGCGGCGACTACGAGCCGCGAACACTTCCGGCGTACAACGATCCATCGAGACGGCCGACGTCACTCGACGACCAACCCTATTACATCGACGAGTTCGGACGACCGATGATGGTGGCGTCGGAGAAGCGAAAATTGGTGCCGCAGGCGAAAGGCGAGACGCCGAGCAAATCGAAAAAGCCGATGGAGGCGATCGACGTCGAGAAGATGCCGGCGGTGCCGTTGCGAATGATTCGCGGCGAGCGACGCGAAATCGAAGAGGAGATCGCGAATCGCATTCTGTCGGACATCTCCGAGGAGGGCAGCATCGCCGGCTCATTGGCGAGCCTCGAGGATTTCGAGATTCCCAAGGTACGAAAAAATGTGGTGCTAATGGGATAACGAACACATGTTTTGTTTTCGCAGGATTTCCAAGTGGAACCCGCTTCCGAGCCGTCGACACCAACACTCACACCGGAAGTCACGATTCGAGAAGGTCCGCCACCGCAGCACCAGCAGCAACACCAGAAGACAACGATGATTGGCGACGACCGGCGACCGGGACAAACGATTCCGGCGAAGGTTGATTATCCGGATGAGATGTTGGCCGGTTTGCCGGATGCTGAAAGAAAGGTAGGCAAAAGCGTTTGGGTGCATGAAGTTTGTTGTCTCTGCCGCATGGCACCCTCTTATCTTGGATCTCAAGAGAGATTTGTTTGATTTTCGCGCTCGACTTGACAATCCCTCGCTCTCGCAAAACTTTTCCCAACTCGTTAACTACATACTAGTAGTATTACAATTGCGTATCGATTGGTTCGCGATGAGTCGTCCGGTGTCGCCGTGCACGATGATGATCTCGCCGTCGTTGAAGCCCAACTACAAAATCTCGTGCATCGATAGAAACATTGAGAAAAAGTTGTTGGGCGAGAAAAAAGCGAAGCCGACGCCCGGCAAACTCAAATCGCCAAAAGTGGTGATTGACGAGGTTTTCATTTTCCTCCACCAACGCGTCCATCATTGATTGATCATTATCGATTATTAAAGAGAGACTCATTTCAGATTCTGGAGAATGCTGAGAATGATCCAACGATTCCGGTTGGCGCTCCGCTCTTCCTCGAAGGCCTTCACGGCTCGGAGCTCACGATTGACACGACGACGCCGTCGGGATTGATCAAGTATGAATTCCGAGAGCTGATATCAATCGTGACGGTATTCATTGCAGAGTCACCTCGCCGGCGCAGACGTTGAGTCCGGCGCGTTCGCCGCGACGCTCGACACCCGGCACCAAATCGCCGGTGGTGTTGAGTCCGCGTCAAGAGCACTCGATGGAGGTGCTGATTGCGACAAAACGCGGCAAACCGGGATTCTTGCCGCCTGGCGAACTTGCGCCCGACATCGACGATGAGGACGCGTTCATGGACGAGCGCAAGAAGCAGCTCAAGCCGACGGATCACGACGACGATGATGGATTCAAAGATGAGAAGGACAAACTCGAGCGCGACAAGAATCGAAGAACGGTGGACCTTAATAGTTTGGACAAATACAGGCCGGGCAACTTCTACAAGGATGATCTTGATGGTCATCATCCCGGTTATGATATTGATGATTCGCCGTGGGATTCGCACTATCAAATCGGACCCGACACTTATTTGATGGCGGCGAAAGGCGCCGCTTTCAATTCGCGCGTTCGCAACTATCGACAGGAGCTGTTTGGTGTCGGCGCGCCGACGGTGAAACAGGGCTTCTTGGGTGTTCGCAATCGCGACATCACCGTCAGAGAGCGGCGACGATACACCGATATTCTGCGCGAAGCCGCGCAGAACCTTGAGCCGAAATCGAATGAGCACGCGACGTCGCTTGAGAAAGCGCCGTCGGCGAATGCGATTGATCGAATCAAAGCCGACATCGAGAAGGTTGCGCCGTCGGCGACGAAGAAGAACGCGGATGGCACGTTCGCGCCGATCTTCACATCGCGCCTACGCGACGTCTACCTTCGCAAGAATCAAGCGGCCGTGTTCGAGTGCTCGGTGGCGGCGAGTCCGACGCCGAAAATCGTTTGGGATTTCCAAGGCAAACTTCTCGAGAGCAACGAGCGTGTGCGAGTCGAGCACGAGCACAACGTCGCGCGACTCGTCATCAACAATCCGGCGCCGTACGATCTCGGCGAATACGTGTGCGTCGCGACGAACGAGTTCGGCGTCGACAAGACGTGCTGCCGATTGATCAGCGGCGAAACGCCGGCGAGGCCCGGCCGACCCGAATGCGCGTTGTCGTCCGACACGGAGATGTTCGTGCAGTGGGAGGCGCCCGAAGGACCGACGTATTTGGAGGGAATCACGTATCGATTGGAGTGCCGAAACGCGGGACCCGACGACGCCGGCGCGCCATGGGTGACGGTCAGCGAGCGGATTGACGATGAGTCGGTGGTGATCAAACACTTGAGCCCGTTGGGCATCTACCAATTCCGTGTCATCGCGCAAAACGGCTTCGGCGTCGGCGTGCCGTCGCTGAGCTCGCGAATTGTTCAAACGCACGGCAAAGGCGCGCCGAAACTTCAAATCGACGTGCTGCGCTCGCAGATTCGCCTCAACGTCGTCTCGATGCCGTCGAATCGTCTCGGCGGCATCTCCGAGGAGAGCGAGGAGGAAGCGTCGGATCGCACGTTCGATGATGCCGGCGTCAAGACGAGCCTTCAATTGGAGTCGTCGGATCCGACGAGCGGCGGGCGATTCCAAATCGGAAGTTTGAAGTTTAAAACGCGATTCGGTGTGATTCGTGACGCCGTCGACGCGTCGTCGGAAGGCGGCGCTCACTGTGCGGTGAAGATTCGCCATCCGTCGTCGGAAGCGATCGGCGAGTACGAGGCGCTCCGCGACGGTCAACACGAGAATGTGCAGCGGCTCATCGCCGCCCACGATTCCAACAACTTCTTGTTTCTATTCTGCGAGCGCCTCTACGAGGATGTGTTCTCGCGATTCGTCTTCAATGATTACTATACCGAGGAGCAGGTGGCGCTGACGATTCGTCAAGTCGCCTCGGCTCTTCACTTCCTTCACTTCCGAGGGTTTGTAACAACACAAAACGAGTGTAGGGCAACCAATTTTTGTGATTTTCAGAATTGCCCACCTCGACGTGAATCCGCACAACATCATGTTCCAGTCGAAACGAAGCTGGATCGCGAAGCTCATCGATTTCGGTAGCGCGCAGAGGATGTCGTCAACGCCGGCCGTCAAGCCGAAGGAGTTCGACGCGAAATGGGCGGCGCCGGAGTTCCACGTCGCCGAGACGCCCGTCACCGTTCAGAGCGACGTTTGGGGAATGGGTGTGGTGGCGTTCTGCCTACTCGCCGGCTTCCATCCGTTCACGTCCGAGTACGATCGCGACGAGGCCGAGATCAAACACAATGTGCTGAACGTGAAATGCGATCCGAACTTGATACCGGTCAACGCCTCGCAAGAATGCCTCTCGTTCGCCACGTGGGCTTTGAAGAAATCGCCATTGTGAGTTGTGTTGATATCCAGAATGAGCTTTGAGATTTGTGTTTTCAGGAGACGAATGCGCACCGACGAGGCGCTCTCCCACAAATTCCTCTCGTCGGATCCGTCGATGGTCCGCCGACGAGAGTCGATCAAATATTCGGCGTCGCGATTGCGCAAACTCGCCGCGATGATCCGACAGCCGACGAGCGTTCGTCCAATAAGCGACGAGCTCGAATCGAAATATGGAAATTGAGCTAGTTACGTGTAGATCATTCTTTTTCTATTTGTTTAATTATGCATTTTTGTATATTATATATTACCGCCTTTGATTGTGCTTTCGCTTGCGTGATCCGACGCGAACTCGGTTTCAGGTGCCCGGAAGTCGAGATTCGCTGTTGGACATCCTTTTTTTGCATTTTTATTTTTTTTTTTCTATTTTGATTATTTATATAAGAATCGAATATGAATAAATGAACTGATTTATTATTGTTAATTAATTGTACTTTTTTCTTGAAAATTTACAACAATTTTCTAATTTTCTACTTGAAATTGATAAATCAAGCCTTTAATTATTGGCTTCGGTATCCACGATTTATCACAGTGTTTGAATACCCTTGAAGCATAGGACCCAAGCAAAGAATGTTAATTTCCCTCAGTGGTACGGTAGGCGAATGTGTGCAATTTGTCGTGATTGTGTTTGCGACCATTTTGGCGCCACGATTTGATTTTAAAATTTTCTCCTGTTTTCGAGATGAAAAGCAATTTTTCGAGGTATTTTAGTAAAAATTCGCTATTATATAAAATTGGCATTCAAAATCCCTCGTATTTATCGTCTTTTTGTTTTCTTCTGTCGCAGAAATCGTTTATAATCGATAAAATGTTGATTTATTATTTTTTGCAGAAAAGAATGAGCAATTGCGCAAACGAGGCCAGGAAAAGAGTAATTTAAACAAAAAAGGTAATTTTTAATTTGATTTGAGCCATATTATATTTTCTAGACTCAATTATCATTATTTCAGGAATGAGAGCAGCATCGAGAAAACGAGAAACTCGCTGGCTTGGTGAAATTGAAAAATGGGAATAAAGGTAACATTTGTCAATTTTAAGAAATATATTTTCGTTGGACATATCTATCTTCTCACAAAATCGAAAAACCAAAACGTTCACAAATTTAAATAAGCAAAAAGAAAAAAAATAAAAAAAAACCACAATGCCACGTGGATTGGATTATGAGAAACCGGATTTTCCGCGACTAGTTTCGTTCATTGTGTCGTAAGAGAGCCATGATTGGAAATCGCAATCCCTCGCAGATTATTATTTTCTTTTTTTTTGTCCAGGAAATGACGCGAACATTTCGCGCTCACGAAAAAATCGTTTCATCAGGAACAACGGAAGGTTCGCACCTCAAAAAAAACTGGTGTCATTTTGGGAACACGCGATATCCACCGTAACTCATTTGTATAACATATGAAGAATTTTTAACTAAAAAATTTCTGCCTCCCCCCCCCCTCCTTTCGGGCTCGCCAAGAACCAGTGTAGTCCTCTTGCCATCGGAATTAATGAATAATTCATGGTTGTGCAATCAGAATTTTGATTCGAGCCATCTCAACTCATCATTCGATGAATATGATGATGATGATGATGTTGAAACTTGCTGAGATCCCACAAAATACCCGCTAATATGAAAAAGAAGCGAATTGAAATGAATTTTTGTTTTCTCACAAGAATTTATGTATTTTTTTTTTTTGAGATACGGTAAATAAATTGCTGAAAAGCATGTAACTTCATTTATTTATTTTAAATGCATAGCTATTGTCAGATGGTTTGACATTGTTTTTCGATAAAACGCGAAAAATATATTTCCTCATATATATTTTTTTCCAATTGAAACAACAACAGAAAAACGCGTAGTAGGTCATTCTTTGACCCAAAACTCACATTAAATTTAATTGTTAAAAGCACACTTTCCGGTTTGGGCATTTATGGCTTGAAATCATGAGATATACATATTTTGCATGTTATAGTTTATCATTAACTATTAATCGGATGGCGCTTGTCACGGAATTGCATCGGAATGACATCTAATGAGGAGAATGGTGGACGAAGCACTTAACTTTTTGAATTGCCGCCAACATGTTTGTGACGTGCGGCTTTAAACTGAAACAAACTTTTTTATAATCAGATGTTCAAATTTTGATTTTAAAAATTTATTTTTGATTTGAAAATGTCGTGGACTAGTTTTTCGCGGCCGTCGGCCACGCGCTTCTTCCATTTTTTTAAATCGAAAGTCAGCAGCTCAGAAAATGAAACATACAACTTTAGAATAATATTAACATCTCAAATGAGATTACGCAGGTCGATACTTAAATAGATGTATGTGTCATACTGTAATCGTTCTCGACGCGACCCTCCTTCATCCATTGACGGCAATGAGAATGCGAAGACGACGACGCACAAGTGGGCGTGGCGTCGAGCAGTGTTTCAATAGAGCGTTGGAGCCAAGTAGGTGGGGTGCTCGGCGAAACGACGACTACTTAAGACGACCGGCGAGGCACTTCCACACTTTATTCCAAAACACGACGATGCTTCTCGTGGTCCTCGCGACTCTTTTCGTCACGGTTGCCGCCGAATGCGATCTATCGGGAATCGGCGGCGCGTCGTCGAAAGAATTGGGTCATCGCGTCTGCAAACTTGAGGTATCCGAAACCAAAAATTGTTGAAAATTGAAAAATCGACATTATAGGAGGAGATGGCAGTTGTCGAGCGCGCACTGCAAGAGGTCCTTCAACGCATCGACTTGACGATTGCTGACGAAAGCCGATCAATGGAGAAGCGTAAGAATGAGTTCATCCGGTTTGGAAAGCGCAGCGGAGAGTAAGACGGCATTTTTTGAAATCGTTGGCCCTCCCTAGAAAAATTGATTTTGTTCAGACTTGAGAAGGGAAAAAACGAATTCATCCGATTCGGAAAACGAAGCAACGATTTTATTGGATATGTCAGCCCAACTCTTATGGATGACCAAACAAGTGAATGAAAACGCATTGTTATAATCAATTAACGACCGTTTTTTGTAGTGGAGAAGAGAAAGAACGAGTTCATCCGTTTTGGAAAGTAGATTTGACAACATCATCGGGGGTCCAACATCATTTCAAAAAACTTTCTCGGTTCTAGCTAATAAATCGTTCTCATTGTTTTCTTTTGATGAAATTGTGAATGGAAGATAAAGGTTGTGAATGCAGTTTATTTTTTGAAAAGCAAATTGATGGAATTATTTGTTATTCAATCCAGCAATAATATTTGAAAACTCACAATAGAAACGGGAATATAGCAAATTTAGGCATTCGAATTAAAAAAAAAATCATTACTATCCAAGAATCATTTGAATTGCCGTCATATGGAAAATATCTTAGAGGTGAGTTTTGTTAAATTTGACGAATAAAATATAAAAGAGCAATTTTAAATGAATTTTAAGTATTTAAAAAGTGTCCTATCGAAATTCTCAAATTTGTTCTGCAATACGCGAATTAGAATATAAAAAATAGAGCGGCCTAAAAATTAAAAAAAATTCGTCACAGTGTGCAGATGCGCGTCAATTCCGGTATGTCTGCATACACCGAATGTCTACCGTATCGTCTCATACTGAAAATTTGCGCAAAAATAAAAAGAATTCCACTTCACCCATTAACACATTTTTTTTTCATTTTTTGCATCGTCAATATTTGAATTTCAACACGTGAAGCGTTTGCATTCAAAGATTTCCTTCATCTAGTGGGATACAGGTTGTGCGAATAAATCTTATGCAAATAATCCTAATACGAAAAATCGCGTGAGGCCAAAAAAAAAGAGAGAGAGAAAGAGAGACGATGTAATAATTGTATGCACATACCAGTAGCAAGCCGCCGCTGTCTCAACCGGTCTTGTTTGGTAAAGCATCGACGGTAAGCGGGCGGCGATCGGCCGCAGATTTACAGATGACCAGTTCTCACGAATTATCGCGGTTATCGCGGTGTTTGTGTGTGTGTCTGTGATGATTCTGCACTTTTTTCATACTAAACTCCGTAATCGATTTTTCAATTTTTGCTCATTTGCTCAAATCTATGCCGCTGAACGCCAATAAATCAAGTGGTTTAGGATGTGTCGAGTGACAAATCTGAAAATCGCCTTAGAAAAAAAAAGAAGCAACAACAAACAAACAAATGTCAGACGAGTAATTTTTCAAACAAAAGAATTTTTCGCCTAGTTACCAGCCACGAAAATTCGACGGCAACAGGAAACCAAAGAAAGTGGATATTGGGGGAACTAGCAATTTCAATTAAAAAAAAAAGAAATGTCTTTGTTCAGACAGCAATTAAGTAGCAATTAGAAGGCAATTAGATTACATAATGTTTTCATATTCCATTATATGATGTTTTCGTGGAAAATTTCAATTTTGCCACCACCAATAAGTCCGTCGTTCGACGATTTCGATAAATGTCGCATAGCTGGTTTTTCTGCCCATCTCCCCCCCCCCCTCATGCCGGCCAAATCCTCAATTATACTTTTCTGGTCGACAATGCCTGCGTCCTCTCACCATCATCTTTTATCCATACCGTCCCGTTCGATGGCTTGAGAACTTTCCAATGAAATGCCATCGCCACTTCTTTTTTTTGTCTCTCTCTCTCTCTCTCTCTCTCTCTCTATTCAATCCAATTTTTTTGCGTTTTAATTTTCGCAGACCTCTTCGAATACGTTTGAAAATATCACACATCGATGAAGAAATTTTAAATTTTCCTAAAGTCTGCAGTGTTGGTACGGCGTGATGGCACAATTTCTATTGCATTTTAATCGACGACACATTTTTTTTTGGCCACACATAAATCGTTGAGAAAATAGGCCAAAATTTTGGATTTTCGAAAATTCGGCATTACAGGCTTGCATTTTCTAACATGAGTTTGCGTCTCACACAGAAATATACTGTAACCAGCAATTGACAATGACGCGAAATTCAAATACTGTGCTGCGTGGCACTTGGCACCAAGTTAGCGCCAATAAAAGGAGTGGCGCAATAGAGCAGTGGCGGAAATTTTGGACTCGTCACCGTAGAGGTCACGAGTTCGATTCCGCTCCACCGCGAAGTGTTCCGATGTCTGCGACTTCTTCTACCCCCGACGCTTTCTCGATAAAAAACAGTCTCTCAAATCTCGCAGGCATTTTTTTATAATAAATATGATGGTAATATTATTCGATTACAAATTTCGGTGCAAAAGAAATGCAGACTTGATTTTACTTATTTTATTCGAGTAAAACGTTTCACATAATATCAATTGATATATATATATATCAAATCGAAAGCAGATTTGTCAAATCATGTCATTCGCCAATCATTTCCACCTAGGAGTCCTTAAACGCCAAACCTGCATTCCTCTTTTTGCAACGCGCAAAATCCAAACTTCCAAATCGAGAACACAATTAGCCCGCTTCGCTTCTTCCATTTTTTTTTGTCTATTGATAGTGGACGTCGTCGAATGAGAGGGTGGGGAAAAAAAACAACAACAACAACAGCAGCGGCAGCACGCAGGCAAAAGTGGCGAATGTGGGTCAATCAGCGTCTCGCATCGATATATGATTAATAGTGCAGAATTTTTGATTCGGCTTCTCATCAATCGATTCGCAACTATTTGATCTTGTTTCCTTCCCTCCCAAAAATGGTTTCGTTTTCGTTTCGCTCGGCCGGCCGACCGCTAAATCGCGGCGGCGTTTAATGAAAACCGTTGTAAAACCGTTTTCGCTTCGATGGCTCCCGCAAGATTTCACATTTTCGCCTTTCTAGGATTTCATTTTTTTTTCATTCGAAGCGCCACTGATCCATAACTATACGTATAGTAGTCGATTATGCCGAATGGTTTTGTTTGACAAATAGACCTGAACACCCAAATCTTGTAGGCGATATTTAAAGGTGTGATTAGGTCGCCGCGAGACCCCATGCGCCTTTAAAACCAATTTGGGGGAATTTTGACGATCTTCCAATTTTGTTAAAATTTTGTGATTATTTAAAATTTTTTTTCGTTTAAGAGCGAATTTTCAAAACATTTTTGATATGAAAAACTAGATAATTATTTAAAGGCGCATGCCAATTGGTCAAATTGTCATATTTGGAAGAAAAAAAAACAAAAGTCGAACAAGTGAATCGAATCGAATTCGTATCGACGAAATTCGAATTGATTTCCACACAATCTCCTAATTGTTTTGCTTATTATAATTCAAAAGTGAAGTGTTTCTCGGCGCGATTTGCGCGCGCGTTGCGAGAATCCTTTTTGATGTCGGCTTCTTGATGATGATTTCGAATGATTTAATCAAACGAATCGCATTTTGACGCGACTTCTCGCCTAGTTTTGCGTTCGCATCGATTCCGCAAAATTGATTTTCAATTTTCGATGGCGATCGCGCGATCCCTCAACGCCTAATCTCGATTTGCGATGTGTATGTTTTTTTTGGTTTGGTTTCGATTTCAATTCTCTAGATTGCTACATGCGCATCTCATCGGTCGAGCCGATAGTCCGTCATGCGTTTGAATGGTACGGCCCAGTATCCTATCGATGGCGGTGGTTCATCACACTGATTCCGTTGGCGATCACGTTGGCGTGCTCGATCGGATTTCTACGAATGCGCGAATTGCGCGTCGACGATCCGGCATTCGTTTTCACACCATCTGACGCCAGGTGAGCGATTCCAACAAGTGTAATTGTTAAGAAAACTCGGCCACGGCCACGTTTTCATTAAGCGCAAATCTGGCCGTGGCCGAGTTTGTTTTTTGAATCGACTTTTTTTAATATCTTAAAAGGCTTAAAAATGGGATTATGGTGATTGTCGTCAAATAAAATGCACAACTCCGCGATTACGAGCCCATTAGCAATTTATTCGAATGCGATCGGCACGAAATAGTGTGCACACTCGAGAGGGAGAGAGAGAACGAGGCGATGAGAGAGTGTGCGGTGAGAGGAGACGCAGACGGGCTACGCGACGATTAATTAAGAATTTTTTGATTTTTTGAAATGATTGCGGACTTATGCATTTTATTTGACGTGACCAAATAAACGAAAATGGTATTTTCTAGTTAGTTTGCCCACTCTTCTTTCTCGTTTTCTGTTGGAAATCGTTCATTTCCAGATGGCGTCGTGAGTTGAAGGTGTTCGCCGATAATTGGCCGCTAAATGAGAATCGATTCCTTCCGGGAAAATCGTTTGAAACAAAACGATTCATCAATATCCTTATAAAGGCCAAGGACAGCGGATCAGTATTGAGGGGGCCGATTTTGAAGGAAATCAAGGTTGAATGAATCATCGAGAAATTCATTGGAACCCAGTTTTTTGTTTCAGATGCTCAATGAATGGATCATGAAGAATATATCAGTGCCAACGAGCGATCGCAAATATAATTTGACATACGAGGTTGAGAATTTTGAACCCGCCAAAACAGTCGCGATATCGAGTTTTTGCAGGATTTGTGCCTGAGCTATGATTGGGTTTGTGGAGGCAATGAGCACATCGACATGCTATTGCAAAGAGAGAAAGTTGGCGAATTTTTGGATTTGTCATATCCAAGAGGAGGCAATAAGGTAGATCAAATTTCTAGAAATCCAATTATTGGTTGAAAATTCGAAAAAAAAAGCTCATTTTTGGTTTTTATGATTTTTAAAAACAATTGCGGGTACGGTAGTCGTTGGGTCTTGCGTGTTTGCGTACTTTGCGTACCTATTGTCATCGTCAAGATCTTTGAGGGGTTTTTTTGGCGCATTTGTCATTTTTTTTGTTCGATTCTCCATAAATCATTATCATTTTTCAGGACACGCCCGTCTACCTCGGAACAATTCTCGGCGATGTGAAACTATTTGCGAATAAAACGGTCGCCGACGCGAAAATGACGCAATTGTTCTATTTTTTGAAGCAGGAGCAAAAAATGGTTGAGATGTACTCGTCGCGATTCTCATACGCCGTTGAGAGATTTCTGAATCGCGTCTATTCGTCGGACATCATCACATTCTCATTTGCACACTATCAATCATTGGAGGTATTCGAATGGCCTTCGATCGATTCTTGCGCGAATTCTGTAATGCGTGCAATTTTTTCGATTGCGCGACACGCTGAAAATCGATCTGTAATTGTATTTGAATCGAATTGCTCAAGAAAATTGCGAAAATTAATAAAAAATGGTATTTGAAAATGAATTAATTGGCGCTCTGTTCATTCGAGCGCGTTTGCAACATGCGCAATTAATTTTTTGAAAAAAAAGCGGCGCGAGCAGAAAAATCGACAGATGCGTATGTTTTTCAATTTTCAACAACAAAAAATCATTTCTAGGACGGTCTCGATGAGAATGCGAAAGCGTTTGTGCCGAATTTCGTTGTCAGCTTCACCGTTCTCGGCCTCTACGCGCTTTTCTCATCGTTCACATTGAAACGAAAGCCGGCGAAAAAGATTGATTGGGTTCGAAGTAAGCCATGGCTAGCAGTTGCGGGTAAAATGAAAATGCGCGTTTTCTGAAAATCACGGCAACAATTTCAGGAATGTTCACTACCATTCTATCAATTGTGAGCGCATTTGGTTTTCTTCTACTAATTGGTGTTCACTATAATGTCATCAACACAATTATCCCATTTTTAATCATTGGTAAGATTTTGTTGTTCTTGGTTTTCGTCTTTTTGAAAAAAAAAAATCGGTGTTTTCACGCAGACGCAATTTGCACAAGATTAATTTCTTTTTGAACCATGAATATTGTGAAAAGAGCATGACGAATTTAAAAATGATGTTGAAACTGAAAATTGTTACCCGTAGAGTGGGAAAATTTAGAAAATCGGCGATTTTAGTTAAAAATAATCTTGAAGTGTTGAATGCGTTTGATATTCGTAGCTACGCAAACTTAAAATTGGTTCATTTGATATTCGGTAAAAATTTTGAAATATTTAACTGGATTACTGTGGGGTTTCCAAGGGGACATAGACGACATCAAATGTTTCTCAACGAAATTCAAAATTTTATCCAAAAATATCGACTGAAGTTTGATAGAGTCCGGGCTAACACCCGACGCACAAATGCAGACTGCGCACTTTAAATTACGGTTGAATTCATTGTGGAACGTCGACAATTATAACAAATATAAGCATTTTCAGCCATCGGCATTGATGACATGTTTCTAATGAACGCGTGCTGGGACCAAACGAGCGACACGTTAACGGTGGAGGAGCGATTGTCGAAAACGTTGGCGCACGCTGGCGTGGCGGTCACCATCACCAACATAACCGACATTATGTCGTTCGCCATTGGTGCGTCAAATATTTTAATTTAATTTTTTTTAAAGCTCCCATTTAGGTTGTATAACGGACCTGCCGGGAATCCAATACTTTTGCACGTACGCGTGCGTCTCGGTGTGCTTTAGCTATTTCTATCAGCTCACGTTTTTCTGCGGCGTCATGGCGATAATGGGCGACGCCGAACGCGAGAAGCGCCATTGCGTGTGGTTCAGCAAGACGATCGGTGTGGTGAGCATCGCCGAATTGAATCGCGTCGCCGCCGCCGCCGACAAACAATTGCAAATAAGATTTCCGAACAATATGCGGCAATTTCAAATAACGAAAAAGTGAGGCTGAAATTCGCTTATTAATTGCAATCAAATTTCAGCGTAAAATTGCCGCCAACTTTATACGACTCGTCGAGTTCGAGCTCGTCACTCTCGGAGCACACGAGCTTCTCATCGCAAAAAACGCTGCCGATCGGTGAATTGAATTGGAGGTCTGAAGACCGTCCGCCTTCCTATTCGCCGCCTCCCATCGAATCCCAACAGATTCATGCATATCAGGCAATTGTTTTTCTTATTTGCTTTGTCCGAATCGAATTTTGATTGATGTTTTTTTAGGAGCCTGATCGAATTGTGAAATTCCTCGGCCAAAAGTACGGACCATTTTTGCTCTCCAATCCAATGCGAATTATCGCGTTGCTCATTTTTATTATTTATATGGTTATTGCGATATATGGTAAGTCTTTTTCACAAATATTAATATAGCAACCGTTTGCTGCCGCGACGGCAGAAGCCGCACTCTGTGGCACTTGACACCTAGGAAGCGTCCCTTCAATCTGCGGCGCAATAGCGCAGTGATAAAGCTTTTGGACTCATTACCGAGGAGATCGAGAGTTCGATCCCTCTCTCTCTCTCGGTTGTACAGAACCTTTCAAAATGCAGGCGGGAAAACACACCAGACGGCTTTTAAATATGTATTCCCGTTATTTTTTATTTAAGGATGTATCAATTTTCGGGAAGGCTTGAATCCGGGAAATCTTGTCACCAATGATCACTACATTGCAAAATATTTCAAGGATATTAAAGCGTTTTGGAAATCTGGTCCCCAGCTTCATGTCGCGGTTTTGAATCCGCCGAACTTCACGCTAAGCGCTGAAAGGTACTAATTAGCAACAAAAAAATCATCTTTTTTGCGAAAGTCGCAAAGTTTGGCATTCTTAAACGAGAATTTATTGAATATAATCAAATGTGTGCAAATTTGCGTGCGAGTGTGTTGCGGACTTTGGTTTTGTTTTTTTTTTTTCGATTTTTTGCTAAAACAAAAATTGGTGTCTGAGAAAAAGGCGAAATTAAATTATTTTTACAATTTTCGACAAAAGAATACCTCATAATTGCCATTTTGGGCAATTCCATCAGGCTTATATTATATCATCGATGCGAAAAAAATGTTTCAATATTTTTCAAGGGAAAAGCTATTCGAAGTGGTGTCGACGTTTGAAAACACAAAATTCACGATGGGTCGAGAAGGGACCGTATTCTTCATGTTCGAATATCTCAATTATTTGGAATCGCTGAACGTGGAAATCGAGGACACTGAAAAAATGTGGAAGACGAAATTAAAGTAAGGGGGTGTCGGAATTTTTGATATGATAGATCATATTATTTTTTTTCCAAAAGGTCTTGGCTCAAATATACAGGCGGCTCGACGCAATGGTCAAACGATTTGGTGTTGAATGATGATGGAAGTATCAAATCGTTTCGATTTGAGGTATTTTGGTTTCATTTGAAATATATATGTATGTCTGAAATTTGGAATTTTAAGATTGCCATGAAAAATATAGTGGAGCCGAATGATCATAAGCACGCTACGCAGCTCATGCGCTCGATTGCCGATCGCCAGCCGTTCAACGTTGTCGTCTATCACGAAGCGTTTCCGTTCGCCGATCAGTATCTGATCATTCTGCCGGCGACAATGCAGAATGTTGCGATATCGCTTTTGTGTATGACAGTCGTTGCGATATTAATGGTCCCTAGTATACCGTCAGGTAAAACTCGTTTTTCTTTTTTGAGGGGGGGGGAGGAGGATTTGAAATATTCGATTTGAAGGCATTCAGATTATTTTAAATTGCATTATTGAAATGTGATTCTGGGTTACCACCTACAGTAATCGTCAATATTGTTGCGATAAGGTCTGAAAATTTGCTTAACACCTTTATTTTCCTTTAGTTTCCAATTAAATAATTTTAAAATTATGATATTTGAAGACGATATTCAAGAAAAACTACAAAAACAATTGATTAAAGGCGCATAAAGTTGAAAATCTGCAAATTCGACAAAATCGAATTCCGATTTTGAGATGAGAGAAATCCAATCAATCAATTTTTTGTGGTAGGCTCGTTTTAGCCCAATTTTTGCATGCGCCTTTAATTGTGAAAATGCGCTTTAAAAAAATACGACAAATTTTGGTCAATTGATTGAAATTGTTGCCCAATTGTCATTTTTCTCTCTCCAGCGGCCGTCATTTTCGTTTCGATCGTTTCCATTAACATTGGCGTGTTCGGCTACATGACCCTATGGGGTGTGAATCTCGACGCGGTCAGCATGATATCGATCATCATGAGCATCGGCTTCGCCGTCGACCTGTCGGCGCACATCATCTACGCGTTCGTCACCTCGCACGGCGACACGAATCAACGGGTGATTGGCGCGCTCGAAGCGTTGGGTTGGCCGATTTTTCAGGTATCGATTTTTGTGTGGGTGGGGGCACCAATTTTATTGGTCTCGAGGCGCGTTGTGTAGTCCACACGGACGATGGCGTCACACTTTGATTTATTCACCGGCAGCAACCTTATTGAATCGCTGTAACACTCGCGTTGAAAATGATCATATGCGCCTTTAACCTTAATAGAAAAACAAATATTGATTTACAAATTGTTAAAATTTTCTTCAATTTCTTAAGATTCTTCAAATCCTTAAGATTTAGAAATTCTTTAAAAAAAAACGATTCTTGTTTCTTGCAGCGATTTAATAAAAAGAAGGTTTTTTATTGTATGAAATAGATATTCCGATTCAGGGCGCTTCATCGACAATCGCTGGAATCTCGATATTGTACACAGTGGATGCCTATATAATATTAACATTTTTCAAAACGATTTGGTTGACAATTTTTATCGGCGCCGTTCACGGCCTGTTCTTCATTCCGATCTTCCTCACCCTATTCCCCGTCGAGTTCTTTCGAATACCGAAAACGGTTGAGCTTCATTAGAAGGCCGATGGTCGCATTTTAACTCCCCCCCCCCTATTCGTCTTTCGAAATCCATTCCTTTCAATTCAATCACGGGAAACCCAGAACCGCGTGTAATTATTTAAGTTTGTGCTGTTTTAATTTTAGCTTTATTCTTGTTCTTTCTTTTTTTTTGAATTGAGGACGAATTTTTGAATTGAAGATGCCGGCCACCAAAACTCGGCCATAAGAATTTATGCAAATTTTTTAGAAATTCGTCCCCCCCCTTCCGAATTTGTTGTTGTTGTTTTTTTTTCGTACGCTTGATGTCATTTTCGATAAAATTGCCCCCTCCCCCCTTTTTTTGCTAGGACTGTTGCGAGAAAAAAGTGCGGGGGTATCAGTTGCTAGTGTTCTCATTGACATACGCGCACAACACACATTTTTGTGTAAATGCGTCTCTTAACAAATCGCGCAAAAAAAAGAAAGGGGGTGAAGCACAAAAACACACAAAACGCTGCGCGTATTTGAGCTTCTTCATTACGGCATATCAGTTGCCTGTAGTCAATATTCGTTGTCGACAACTCTGCTGAGGAGCTGCTCGCAGTTTTCAGGTTGCCATCATGAATATGCTAGGTAGTATGTTTTCGACGGTCAAACCGAGGTATAGCGCGAACATTGAGAGGAAAAAAGAGAACCTAAAAATTGGGGGCGTTTAGACTTGACGATCTCGGAACTGACCGTCTCAATTATTACTATTCGACGCTTATCATCATGGGAATGTCGTTGACGATCACCGCCAGACAATATGTCGGCTCGCCGTTGCAATGTTGGGTGCCCGCGCAGGTTTTGTGAAGCATCGAAACAAATTTATTTCTGTTGCAAATATTCGATTTGAAATTGAGAAACTCGAAAAATTTGAAAAAGAATACGCGCGGCTGTGCATTCACGGCGGCATCAACACTGCGGACTTGCACTTTAATTGACGCCAATCAGAATATTTCAAATTTTGCGCGTTATTTCCTTTGCTTTTTTTTCTGATTTTCTTTTGGATTGCAGTTCACCAAAGCGTGGGAGCAGTACGCTGAAGATTATTGCTTTGTATACAACACGTATTGGGTGAAGCCTAATGATAAAGTGCCCGAGAGAATTGAGGACAGGTTCGAAAATTTCAAAAATAACTTTTTTTTTTAATTTTTTTTATTTTCAGAATCTCGCAACAATTGATTTATTATCAATGGGCGCCGTTTATAATGGCAATCGAGGCGGCCTTCTTCTATCTTCCGGTCATTTTCTGGAGTATGTTGTCCGGAAAATCGGGAATCAATATTATCAAGTTGGTCGAGACCGCGCAAAAAGCCGAAGGCGCCGAGGTTGACACTATTTTTTTTGCGGTAGATCATCGTTACAAAATTTTGTTAGGCGGAAGATCGCAAAAAACAAATCGACATAATTTGCCGCCACATTTCCAACAATTTGCGAAAACGCAAAAGCGAGGAGGAGACGAGCAAATTGGCGAAAATCCAGCGCATTTTTGGAATGCAGCACGGAAAATATATCACCAAGTATTCCATTCGAGACCCATTCATCATTGGCCAGAAAAAAAAAACAAATTGCGAATTCCAGCGTTTATATTGTCACCAAAGTCATCTACATGACCAACTCGTTCCTTCAATTCTATTCGACGAACAAATTTTTGGGACAAAACGATCCGTATTGGGGAATGCGGATTCTCGATGACATTCTGCACGGAACCGATTGGGAGCATTCCGGAAATTTTCCGAGAATCGCCATGTGCGATTTTCAGGTTCCCATTTTTTTTCTGCAAAAAAATCGAATCAATTACTGAAGCTATGAAAAAATCTTCAATATTCGGCTTTTGAAATTTAAAAAATCAATTCCCAAAAAAAAACCAAAAATCGACGGATTTTTTTTGAATTTCGAGGTCCGCGACGACACCCGATGCACAAATGCAGAGTGTGCGCATTAAACTACGATAATTAAAAGAAAATAATGTTGGAGACTGTAGCTAAATAAAATAAAATTTTGCGTCGGGTCTCGACGCGAACCGTTGAAAATTCGGAATCGCAAGATCTATTTCATTTCCATGAAAATTGCGAATATTTGAATTACTGTAGCTTTAGGGGTCGTTGGTTCAGTGGTGTTGTTTGTTAACCTCAAACTTGGGTAATTAAACTTTATTGATAAAAGAGTAAGTGTAAGAAATAAACGGTGAAAATGAAATGAAAAATAACGAAAGGGGAAATGTGGGAAGGTGAACGAAGAAGTGGGGATTATTGTTTTTATAGGTGGTCTTATCTTTTTATTAAAATGGATGTGTGGGTGGATCGTTTAATAATTTAATATTAGTTTAACAATTTAATAGACGCGATATAACAATTTAATAAAAGGTTATATAAAATATGAGTCACGTTTGTGACAGTAGCTATGAAAAAGATTTTCCCCACGAGACCCTAGGCGGCAATACTAATATAGTCTACCGGAAAATCAACTCAAAAAAAAGCTGCGTGCGCCTTTAATTGCGGTATCCAAAAATAATTAGAACAAAATTTAATGATTTCATTTTTTTTGAAAATCGCGATTTAATAGCTTTTCTTCACGATTTCATTAAAATATTCAAAAATTCAAAATAATTTAAAGGCGCACGCCGTTGTTTTTTTTGTGTTGTTGTGTCTCACCGCGACCGACAATATTTGAATAATTTGAGGTTCGCGTTCTCGGCAATCTACAAAGGCATTCGATTCAATGCGTTCTCACGCTGAACATGTTCAACGAGAAAATCTTTCTGTTCCTCTACCTATGGTCAAAATTTGTGCTCATCTTCAATTTTAGCCTAAAACCGTCCAAATTTCAGGTTTCTTTTAGTGTTTTTCGTGACACTCTGCGACACAATGTTTCTCGTCTATAACATGTTCAATAAGGAAAAAATCATCGAGTTTCTCAAACAGTTGGTTTTAAGAATGCAACGACATCGCCGAGATGCTCTTATTTCTTCAGATTTCTCGATAATCAAGAAAGCGAGCAGAAAATCAGCCACAGCTATCGACGCGAGCAAATAAGCCTTCTGTTCTCCGAGTTTTGCCTTCATAAATTCACGCCAGACATCATAATTCTACTAAAAATGATTAATAATCATACCGGCGATATTGTGTGCACTGAAATCGTCGGAAGGATGTGGAATGATTTTATGTACAAATTCCAACATTCTTCTTTTTTTTCGAACCTTTCATATTTCAGTGAACGCGACGCTGATTTGGTGTTGGAGCGACTGATAGGATCGAAGGAAATGGAGAAAGCTGCAATCAGCAAGACGTCAAGCCTTAAATCAATTGATTTTCTAGGTGAAAAAGTCCGATTGGTTATTTAATAAACAATTCATTTCAACTAAAACAATCTAATTATTAATTCCGATTAACAAGCGGAGAGCTTTGCGGGCATCGCCTTCGGTTTCGAGAAGCGCGTTCCGTACGGTGGCCTCGGGCAACTCCAATTCGGTCATTATCATTTGAAGGTCCTCCTTTTTGATGTTGATCTGAAATTCGAGAATTTCGCATTCGAGAGGATCTCATTGGGAATACCTTTGGTCTAACTGGTGCCGACGAATTGAAAATTTTTCCCAACGCATCCGTGTTCATTTTCAAATCATCTTTTTCCTCCTGAACATCGGACACCTGCAAAAACAAATAGAATGAAAAATTTCATTTTTAAGGGTCGATTTCAAAAAAAAACACCTCCGGAATATAATGCTCGTCGAAATCGCTCTCATCGTCGCTCATTTTCTCGACTTTTAAAAGGTTACGAATGGAAAAGAATTGAGAGGGCAATATTACAACGCAACGAGGTGCTCGTTGATTGGTCGGATGTCTATTTGCTCAGTTTTCGGGGGCAAATTCGAATTATTTTTTTTCACGACGAGCCATTCAAATCGAATTAATACCTTTGATAGCTCTTCGCTTCCCCAATTGTGCTTGTCGACCGACTTCTCATCAGCGTGATCCTCGGTGGTCATTTCCAGCTGAAATAATTATAAATGTTATGGTGCATATTTCACGCGGAGAGGTCACTACGCGTATTTATCATTGCATAACCTATAATTATACTCTCTAATAAGCCGAAAATTGGCTCTCTTTCGTTTGAATGGAAACTAACTATCATGGTCAACATATGAATCAAAACGCAATTTTCGCACAACATTTCTAGTGACAATTTAAGAGAAGCTTTCTACATTCAATTGAAACTGTTTAATCTATTACAATAGCCATTTTAAAAATTAAGAAACTCGTTTGGAACAATATATTACACTAGAGAGATTGAAAAAAGGAAAAAATAGGAAGAAATTTGAAAAAAAAATCCAAATTTGAAAATTTGAAACAACGATGCTCCGCTGTTTACACCTGTGCCCTACTTTTAAAGCGATTTAAAATTTGCAATATTTTCGTAATTCGTCACTCAAAAGCTTCCATATTTCCAATTTTCCAAGTTCCCAATAGCTAGATATCTTTTTTTTTTAAATTTTTAATGACCTTAAAGGCTTCACAATAAACTATAATTGATTACCCTTTATATCCCGTTGAATTCTGTAAATGAAAACGCATTTCGTTTTCGCCTATCATCAATGAATTTTTTATAATCCATCCCTCTCAATGCCAATCCATAATTAATTAGCGCAATATAATACAAATAAGGGACATTCGATTCCCTTTTTCGATTCCATCAGCAGCAATTTTCTCAGCAATGTGTGGAGGCGAGTAATCGATTATCTCAAAACGCGAATAAAATGAGAGAAAGAGAACGCGCTGGGTATGACCAGTTCTTTTTCGATTGCGGATGGGTGGAGGGATCGATTCGCCAGTTTTGGCCGCGGGTTATTTTCTTCCCACTTGCCGGACTCTCACTTTTACAATTTTTTTTTGGGTTTTTCTTTCTTCCATTTTATTGTATAAATATGCTTCATTGCCCATTCCATCAAATAAATCGCCAATAATATCGAGTTTTACATCAAATCTAGGAGAAAAAAGTAAATAAAATAGCAGGCGTCGGCCAATTTTGAACGTCTCCCCAATTTGCACACTGTCTGATGGTCAATGGCGATAGTGGACGCGCATTCGACGCTGTATGGTTTTTCTTCTCCCCCAACCGCCGCTTTGAAGGCCGGCCGCTACCAAAACATTTAACGTTTTTGTTTTTTGGGTGCTATTCCCTCTCCCTTTTATTTCAACATTTTCCAATATCGATCTAGGCCGCCCGTTCCAATGAGAAGTGATAAATGTTGCTTCAACCCGCCGCGAGGTTGGTTCATCCCCATTCACTCACTTTCAATTATTCCCGCGCGCTCGATATCTAGCTTCAAAAGTATCATTTCGAAATGCGACAAGTGGAGGAGAGAATTAAAAAACGCCGCTTTACAAAATCTTTTGATGACTAATCATTGTTTCACCTCGATATTCCCATTTCGTTTTCATTTGATCTTTAACGCTTCAACAAATTCTCACTTTTTTCTTTCTTTCAGTGAAAACTAAATATTTATATATATATTGTACATGTACGATATTTTATTGTTTTTATTATTTTAGAATAATGTCGACTTATACTCTTCCACTGTTCCTTTTCACTATCGGACTCATTTTCTGCACTCAATCGGTTGCCGCTGAAGGCGATGACCTGCTCGACTACGTCAAATCGATCGAGCCACTCACTATCAGGTTTGTCTATGCGCCCATTTATTCGTCTGATGCGATTCGCCTTTAGTGGAATTCACCTGTTTTCGTTGTGGGGTCACACCCAATAGTGAAATGAATGATATCGGAAGAGGGGAGTGGGACTCGTGATCCAATGAGTGTTCCCAAAAAAAAACGACAAAATGATGAGATTTTGGGGAAAAAATATAGCAAAGGGCGGGTTACACCATATTACCATTTTAGTAAGCAATTGTTTTCAAGAGAAATGGCTAAAAATTCCGAAATTGCAATGATTTCATTTATTTTGAAAAAAAAAACGGAATATTAAAAAAAGGAAATTTCTTATCGATAAGTTTTACTTCCTTTTCCTAGGAAAAAAACGTGCAAAACAAAAATTTGCACGAGACCACATTTTTATATTATTGCAATTTGTTTCAATCGCTAGATTTCACCGTTTGATTGGAATTTTAAAAATTTACTACCTTAGATGCTTTTTGGAATAATTTAAGAAAATGAAAGATAAATTGCAGGAGAAGCCCAATCGCTTGCCCATTGCCGGTTGTCGGGCAATCTTGTCCAGAGGAGAACGTCTTCTGGTACTTCAAGTGTTGCGGAAACGTCGCCGATCAGTGCTGCTTCCGCCTTCAGGATTGGGTTTCGGTGCTTCTTTTGTTCCTTGCCGTCTGCACCATTCTCTCGATCATCATCAACTGTATTCGTTGTATATGCTGCGCGTAATTCGGGACTTGAATTTTTTTATTCACTTTCACACACAAAAAGCACTTGCCATATAATCTCACACATTTTTTAAACATAATATGCATTTATTTTGAAGAAACGAAATACTTTAATTTGTTTTTTTTTTGCTCATCACATTATATATATATATTTTTTTAATTATCTTGCCTTTCATCGAAGAGAATACGTTTTGTCTTCCAATTTATTTTTTTTTTGTACAAAACTGAACATTATGACTAGATGAGGATCGTGAAATTTGGCTAGGGTATACGTCGGAGTAGAGGAATGAGAATGAATGCAAAATAATTGAAAATTTAAGCCCAAATTCGAATAGTGCAATCCCAACTCGCCGAGCACACGGCGGTTCCATCGGGACTCGTGCGCAAGCATGAGATACGATTCTCATGGCCGTAAAGAACCGAATGCCGAACGCATTTGAGCGAGTCCCACACGCCGACGCGATAATCTCCATAGCCGGCGAACAGGATTCGTCCTGGAATGAAAGCGTCATTTGCCAATTGATATTGTTCCAATTCGGATACCGCTTAAACTGAAATCGACGCCGTTCACCGGGAACAGGATTGACTCCTTCTCGTAGACGCAGACCTGACGATCCGCTCGTAAATCAAACAGTCGGCACTGAAAACGAAATCGATGGCGAATTGAATTGGGTTGGGTTTGGTACCGTGGCATCGTCGGATCCTGTGGCGAACGCGTCGCCGTTCGGATGGAATCGGACGGTGTTGATGTCGGCCTCGTGGCCGTCGAATGATTGAACACACTGACCCGAGCGGATGTCCCAAACAAGCGAATGCTGGAAATGTTTCGAATTGCGAAAAAAAATTAATTTTTTTAGAATTTTTGGCTCAATTATTTTGAATTGCCGCCTTTCTGGTCTCGTGTGGAGCATAATTTAGACCAATAATTATTTTTTAAGCTCCAAAAAAAGCTGAAACTGACTTTATCGGCGCCGGCCGAGATGAACGTGTTGCCGGTGTCGCATTTGGGCACGTCCAACGCGAACACGTCGCCGGTGTGGCCGTGGAAGTTCTGAATGAGTTGGCCGCTCTCGACGTCCCAAATCGCGCACGTCGAATCGCCGCTGCCGGTGAGAATGAGATTGTCGGAACGCAAGAACATGCAGCAACTCATGTAGGAGGTGTGAGTGGCGACTTGCCGCTTCTTCTGAATGATGTCGTCCTCGAACGACAGCGGCACGACGCTGCATTTATTGTCGAGCCCGCTGAAAACGCAATTCATCGCATCAATTTTGATTTATTCGCCAAACAATGGCGTCACAAGACCCATTGTGCGCCTTTAATTAGCTATTTCATGGAATATTGAAAACAAATGGTTTTTTCTGATTAAAGGCGCACCGGGTCTCGCAACGACGAATTCTTTTCGCACCCGCAGGCAATCATTTGACTTGACGGCGAGAAAGCGCAAGCCATGACCCATGTGGTCGGCATTGTTAAAGCATGCTCCTTATTAGTGGTGAATCCGTCCCAAACGATCACTTTGCCGTCTTGACTCGACGAAACGATGTGGCGTTTGTCGAGCGACCAATCCATGCATAGCACTTTGCCGACGTGGCCTTTCAAAATTCGCCGCTGTTTGATTCCCAGATTTCCCATCGGATCCAAACGCTCGGCGGCTTGTTGGACTGAAACGGCGATTTTTTTTTGTTCGAACCGCAAAACAAAACAAAAACATACTCGGAATATCATTGAGCTTTTGTCGTTCCTGATCGAGTTTTTTTCGAAGCTCCTCTGCCTCTTGTGCAAGCTGCTCAAGATATTCCGACCTGAAGATTTGAAACAAATGAAAATTGATTGAAAATCGACGGTTTACATTTTGGCTAGTGCTTTGGAAAAAATTTTTTTCTTGGATTACTGTAGCGCGTTCACAATGACGCAATATTGCAGACAAAAATTTGGCCCAGATTTTCTGTTCGTGTCATGTGATTTTCATGGTAATTTTTGGCTCAATTTCAATTATTCTTCAATTTTTTATATATAATTATCTTATTTCCAGCAAAATCATGATACAAAGTGTTTCAAATTTTAGCGTTCGCTGCCAAGGAACCATATGGCTGAAGCTTGCAGCTTTTAGGAAAATATTTTAGCAACGGAAACTTATAGGTATTTTTATTGTATTCGATATTTTCGCCCACACTCACCCCTTTTCGGTAGTTGTCTGATGGGCGGTGTTCTCCGGCATGTTGCGCGCTTAGCTCGAACAAATAATAAATAAAAATAGGGTACTTTTCGTCTAGTTTCAGCCGCGTATTTGTCAGTTTCGATTTTCAATGCAGCAACATGACAAAAGCGGAGCGGTGGCGGTGGACGAGGGGGGAAGGCGAAGAGCGGACGAAAAACTAGTTGAAAAAGACGAAGAGTGGCGTCTTCAGCGGCAGGGAGCACGAGCGATATGAGAGAGCCGAGGCGCGCAGAGAATGCAAGCGACGCATTTGTCGGAGCGGCGCGGAGCCATTTATCCGATATTTAATTGAACAACGAGAATGGAAATATTTTAGCACATCAATGAAAGCGCGACCAAAAAAAATAAAGAGAAAGAAAGAAATAGTTAATATCTCGTTGAATAGTGTTCTGTACGATGAGCTGGAGCAGGTGGTGGTGCTGTTGATGAGGTGTAGTAGCGATCTTCTGCTTGATAAATTACCTTAAAGGTGGTTTTTAATTAATATTGTTTTTTTTCGGGAAGTTACTTGATCGCCAGGCATCATCACTCGCGAGATTTCAGAGTCGCGCGGCGACGAGTCGACAACAATTTGTCGCGGCTGCTGCTGACGCGACGAATAATTGGCATCACCGGCGACGTTATAGCTAACTGTTGTTGGTTGCGAAGTGACGGGTGGCGATCGTGTGGCGAGCACTAAACTGAAACAGTTGGGTGTTGGCGTGCACCCATCCATGGCGTCTCACCTTGTTGCGATTTGCTCTGTTTGCGCTGCTTGAAGCCGAACCATCCGGCGAACCAGATGCCGGCGAGGCAGACGCACGGCAGACAGCAGCAGAAGAGCAGAAGGCAAATGCCGATGATCAAGCCGATGATTCGACCGGCGTACCAGAAGTCGTCGCTGCAATCGGGTGTTGTGTGTGCGCGTCGAGGAGACGATCCACCTACCCATACATATCATATCCGCCGTAGTAGTTGCGTTTGACTCTCGTTTGGGATTCGTCGTCTTGATGACAACGGCAGAAGACGATGAGCGAAATCGCGACGAGAAGCGTCAATGAGCGCAATTGTTGAATCATCTTGCAAACACGACATTAAAGGTTCGACAATTCGCATATTTATACAAACGCGGCGGTTTTTGGGTAACATGTTTGGAGAAGGTTGAGAAAAAAAAATGAGGCCATAAAAATTGAGGAAAGGCAGACCATTTTTGCCATATGAATGATTGCACGGGTCATTTCATCGGCGTATGAACCGTCGAGAAGGCGTTGCCATTCCCTCACCGGATGGGTGGGCGTATGTGTGTGTGTGCACATTCGACCAGAAACTCGTCCGAGTCGATTTCTGAATTTGGCCAACCAAGTGGTACTTGAGAGCCTGTACAGAAGCCGGATGGTTACGTCATCAAGAAACATTTCGACTCTGGGGGGGGGAGGTGAATGAATGACATTTTTTTATTATAACAATTTTTGATCAATTAGTACTACACGCCAAATAAGTGAGCTGAATGGGTAGAACGAAATCTTCAATAACGCCGGTCTTCTCATATCTCACTGTGTTCACCGGAATCTTGGTGATGAGCCATTGTTGGCTAGTGTAATTGCATCGGATGCCAAAGTCGATGAAGAAATCGCGACACGTCGGCTCCAAATAGACCCATCGCTGTTGGATCATTTTGAGGTTCGAGATTCGAAAGGCGACTTACGTGATTCGCGAGTCCGTACGTGTCGCCGTTTTTCTTATGCGCGCCAACAATCACTGAAAACGAGCAATTTGGTGTTTTTGGTGTCGAAACACGATGGTTACTGTTTGGGGCCCCATTGCAAATCAGTTGCGCGTGACAACTTTCTCTCGTCTGCGAGAAATAGGCTTGATTCAAGTCGAACGGTCCGCCGACTTGAAAATTTCCGCATACGCAGTTGTTGTTGACGCTTCGAGCCACCGGCGCGCAATCGTAGCATCTTTTTGGTTCAGTTAAAGGGATGATAAAGATCAACACAACAAATTTAATAACGAAAGCCATTTTCGTTCGAATAACTTCCATTTTTTTCCAAACACACGTTTTATATTTGAAAATTGCCTGCAAATTTGCATATGTATAGGAAATTGATCGAATATCTCCGGTCGAGTTTTTAGTCGTTGACCGAATTTGGTCGTGAAGAGTTGAATTCGAATTTCGACACAATAAGCCCGTTCGGCGATTTGTAAAATATGTGGTTTATGAAGAAAAAGAATCATTCTTTTCGAAAAGACATAATGGTGCAAATGCCGCAGAAATTATTTCCGGGTTACTGTAATCCGATGAGAATATTTCGTTCATTTTTTTCTTTTGCATAATGCTGTATTATTTGAACAATTTTCTAAATGGGGCAAAAAATCAAAAAATCATTTTTTTGCTTCTTTTCTTTTATTGCATGCCGGCGGCCAATTCGTCGGTTCAAGTCTTTTAACGAAAAAAAAAGTTTGTTTTAGTGAATTTCAATTATTGTTGAAAAATGACAAATGTATCCAGGTGTCGTAGGATCCTGCGTTTTGTACGCAATGCTAAGAGACAGTTACCGTAATCCTCGCAGCGATTTACGGGGACATTTTTTTAAATTTCGCATATTCATTTTTTTTTATTTTTCGTTCAATTTTTAAATTTTCTTTCGAAATTTTTTAATTTAAATTTTTAAATTTTACAGAAACCGTTTAATAATGTATTTAGCAGAATAAGCACTTTTAAACGATATTTTTTTGGTAAGAACAGCAGAGATTTAAAAAAAAATCATTTTTGTCGTTAACAAAATTATTTAATCGTGTTTTGCTTTTTGTATGCGTTTCTATTATCTTGTTTTTGTATTCTTCATTTTCAAAATAATTTTTAGGGCGTCAAAATCTTCACAATAATTCCCAACGCAACTAGACAAATGGAAACGTGCATATTCTGAAAAATAAATAATTAAACTCGGTTTCTACAGGTTTTAAATATAAGATTTCTAAAGAAAATTAGAAAATTCAGCAAAAAAAGTTGAAAGAAAATTTTAAAAAAATCTCCGTAAATCGCTGCGAGGATTACGGTAACTGTCTCTTAGCATTGCGTACAAAACGCAGGATCCCACGACACCTGGATACATTTGTCATTTCTCAACAATACAACATTTAATTATTGTCGAAATCGCGCGACTAATTGGCTCAATGTCAGAAATGGTCTTGAAACGCGGGTTGTGTACTCCACACGGTCAAGATGGCGTAAATCGACACTCATGTTGCGAGACCCAACTATTTGACAATTAAAAAAAAGCAAGCCAAATCATGGAAAATCAATTTTCTAGCAGAATTTTCGCGTTTCGCACTTTTTTTTCTCGAAATGTTCCATTTCAAAAGTGAAATTCCAATTTTTCGTGATTATCTTTTATAATCTTACTATTTTGCTTGTTTTTTGCATTATCTGTTCTTATGCCCTGAAATTATCATCTACATCAATCTGTAAGCTTCTACTAGAATTACCATTAATTTTTTTTTTGCATAATAGCTGGATAAACAATTTTCGCACCGCGGAATATCGACACTTTCTCTGGGTCTTTCTTCTCTCATAATTAAATTTAAAATTGTTGATTATTCACAAATTTTCTTATTTTTAGAAACAATTATAGGCGAAAAATGATGAAAAAATTCCAAGAAATTGCAAAAAAACTGAAATAAAAGTGTGATCGTGGACATGTTTTTTTTTTCTCCGCCCGCGGACCAATGGCAGCCGTCCATTCAATCGATCATATAGTCTATTTCCGAAAAAGGAATCGGTGGGTTTATATATGTTGTTAGGCGCGTTGCGGTTCGCGTGCGCGCCGCGCCCACTTACAAATGAACTGAGCCGCAACGCGTCCGACGACATGAATTATTTTCCAGAGGCGAACAATATTTATTGCAAGATTACTAATCTTGACACATTAAATAGGTTAGTCTCAGCGGTAGTTTGAAGCGCGGAATATTTCCCACACCCTCATAAATGACCTTGTTGACGGGAATCCGAGTGATCATGTAGTGTTTCGTGCTCCGATCGCATCGGATGGCAAAGTCGATCCAATAATCTTGGCACGTCGCCTCCTTGTAGGTCCATCTCTGAAGAAGCGCGTTTTTGATCAGCGGAGATGGTCGAAATGAGGGTCGCTTACGTGATAGCGATAGTAGTCGTAGGAATTGCCCGAACGCACATGAGAAACGACCATCACTATAATTCAAAATTTGCGATGATTTAGTTGGTCCCAAAATAAGGGGGTGGGGGTGGGGGTTCTTTTTCATTTTGCACATCTGCTTTCTCATTTTTTGTTATTAGTTGGCTTACTTCTTTTGGCGCCATTGCACACCATTTGTCCCAAGCAGCTGTTGTTGCGCGCCTGCGAGAAATGCCCATCGAAGTCCCATGTGATGAAGCCGAAGAGTTGCATTTGAGCGCACGGGCACGTCGTGTCAATTTTGCCGTTGACCGGCGCACACGCGTAGCAATTGGTTGCGATCGCGCTAGCGAGAATTGCTGCGAGAAATGCGATAAGCCGATGGAGATGCATTACTGATTGGTTTCTTTTTTCATTGTCCGATGATTTGAAATCGTTTTATAGCAGCTTGCAAATTTCCATATGTATAGGGTTGAATGGAGGTCGAAGGAGTTGGCATTTCTCAATTTCTCGCTGCCAGCAATGCGCCATTTGCAACAATACACGAGAATATTCTCTCTTTTTTTTCCTCTTAATATAGAATTCTAGCAATATAGCGAAACATTCAGATGTTTTATTTCAATCGTTACACGTCGCATAGGTTAGTTGAACGGGAAGCTTGAATCGCGGAATATCGCCGGTTTTGATGTAGGTGACCTTGTTGACCGGAATTCGCGTGATCATGTATTGCAATGTTCGACGATCGCATTGAACTCCGAAGTCGGCCCAAAAGTCTTGGCACGTCGATTCTTTGTACTCCCAACGCTGAAAATGAATTGGGGATCTCGTTTTTTTTGTCTCGTTTTAGTTGCTCGAATTACATGATTATCGGCGGAGAAGTAGCTGTTTATTCGAATGTGCGAAGCGACGTACACTTGAAAAAAAAAATGATTTGGTTTTTTTTTGAGGATTTCTTTGAGTTGATAACATTTGCAAAAAGAAACGAGCGCCTTTTGCGGATAAAATGTCAGAAAAAGACAAGTGCTGTGGTCTTGGCGCGAAACCGAAAAATGTAGATTTGTTAGGTTAGGTGACAGGTTAAAGGCGCACAACGCGCGCGAAGACATCTACTTAAAATTTCTGGCATTTAGCCAATTTTCCGCTATCGAACGACTTTGATCATTATTTGAATTTCCATTAGTTAATTGGAAATTTGAATTTGCCCTTAAGGCACTCGTTTTCGGTTTTGCTAATATTTCGTGGTTGTGTGTGTGTGTGTGTGTGCTTTTTGTCGATAATGATTTTCTCACTTTTCGGCGCCGCGTTGCAAATCAATTGGCCACCGCAACTCGAATTTCGCGCTTGGGAAAAATATTTATCGTCGATATTCCATGCCGAGCCGACGGTCAATCGGCCGCACGCGCAAGATTCAGAGAGCTGGGTGACGATTGGCGCGCACTCGTAGCAATTTCGGGCGTCGACGACGCAACTAGTGAATGATATGAATAGGAATAGAAGTTGGCGAATCATCACTAGATTGTTGGTTTTCCGACCATCATCGAGCCTTTTTATAATATTCGACGAATTTCCATATCAATGCAACGACGACGAATACGAATTTTGAATTTTTGCGGTATTTTGAAGTCGGCGCGAGCTAATGAATAGCGATGTTTTTGCGAATTGTTTGATTTGGTCTTGTGTGGAAAATTTGTTTGGGAACGAGTTTAAAGAGAATGCCAAAACGGCGTTATATATTTTTTGCATTTTCCTCCAATTAGTATTTTTCTCGTTTTTCGACTCTTTGATTCATTTTCGCAAAAATCGCAACAAAAACCCTCTAAAATCGATATGTTGAAGGAAGAAAAAAATTTTAAAAACTCGGCCACGGTCAGATTTTTCAAAGTCTACAGTACAGGTTTTTTTTTTTTTTAATTAAACCGCTGCAAGAATCGTGGAATTTTGTCGTGCGCGCATTTAACCGTAATGGAACAATTTGGTTTAAAAAAAAGTTGCATCGTAAAAAATTATTAAAGGCGGACATCCAAAAATTCGATTTAATAAATACTGTGATACTGTAGATTTCTATGTGTGCAAACACCACGACGCAGAAACACACACACACACTTCGGAAATGTCAACAAATCGTACCGTAGAGACGGCGATAAAACGATATTCGAGAAAGTGCGTGATTGTGAGAGACAGAGACATATTTCTTCCCTTTTTTTTTTAGTCGAGACCCGAGAAATGCAAAATTATCAGATTCGGTCTTCAACATTAAAGGGGGGGGGGAGGGAGAGGGGGTTCTTTCTACTGGTGAAATGGAAAAAAAATGAATTTTCGAGTCGAGAATAATGGATACGATAGTCTCCAGAATGTGTCAATTTGCGCACCACTTTTTAGTCTTCAACTTTTGGTTTTGAAGAATGTCTAAAAATCAAAAATGTACGATTTTGGAATATTGCGGTCGTCCTATAGATATGGAAATTGAGTTGCGAAAAAAACCAGCGAAGCGACTATAAAAGATTTCGAGTTGGGCCGCAACAAAAAACGATGATGCTGCTTCTTCAAATCGGCGTGATTCTCGCGATTCTCGCGGCACATAGTATTGCGATTCCGAATTGCTACGAATGCGCGCCAGTGCAGTCGAAAATCGAGGAGGGCTGCGAGTGCGGACGAATGCAAGTCGGCGCGGCGTGGCCGACGGACGGTCGGTTCACCCAGACGCGAACCTCATGGTGCACCGGCCAATTGATTTGCAATTGAGCAAAAATTAGTAGGCGTTGGACTATATTGGGTGACTCTGGGCGATTTCAGTGAGCGTCGCGTCGCATCTTCCCAGTGGCAACACGTTCAGCCGGGATAATTATGTAAGCGGTGTTCCGACAACCCCCCGGGACCATAATAATAATAATAATAATCCGACGCATTCGATTTTTGATTCGCTTGACACGAATTTCAGCGCTTTGATTATATTGAGTCGACTTGTCAAGATTTTTGGATCGATTTTGGCATTCGATGCAATCGCTCGTCGGGAATTTGGCAGATGCATCGGATTCCGGTCAACAAGGTGACGTATCGCAAATTTGGCGATATTCCCGAATTCGAGCTTCCCCTACAATTGACATATGTCATGTGCACCGATACCGCTCAATAAATTTGTTTTTTTTTTCCTTTTGAAATCGTTTTCGATTATGTCGTTCGCCCGGAAAATCGATATATTGAGAGAGAGAGAGAAAGAAGAGGAGGCAGGCGATTCTTTCTTCTTCGTCGTTTATATATTTTTTTTTGAAAACACATGTCCGATTTCATTTCCGGTGATTCGGTTTCGTTCTTTTCTCTTTTCCTCTTCTATTGAATGCCGACGAGTTTGCGGAGGTGTAATAATATGCGAATTTTTCGGACAGGGGGGAATGATGCTTTGTGTTGTCTGACCCCCACCCCTTTTCGTGTGCCGCGCTTTGTGCGGGTTTTTTTTCGGTTTTGCTGGAGAGTGGCGTCGTCCGATTGGGAATCTTTTGGCGTTTTGTTACAATCGCTGCAAGACACCGTGCAATGAGCCTTTAATCGATTGATTCATCCGAGGGGGATTTCTAATAAAACGCGAATTTCTTTGGCGTCTCGTCGTTTTCGCATTGAGCGATTAAATAAAAAAATGAAATGTCGGCTCGGTGTTTGCGGACGCGATTTTTGCAATTTTCAAATTGTTCATTCTTTATTATAATTTTTGTATTGTTTTTGCAGTGCCCAATGAGAACAGCATGCACTCGAGCGAGAACAGCACACCGAACAGCAGCTCCGACAGTCCGTGCTATTACAAAACGCAAATCTCGTCGCCGAGCGAGCCGCACGTCAACGGGCCATGGTATCACGGTGAGCTCGACGAGGCGGACGCCACACAATTGCTGCAAGTATTTCAAAATTGCGAATTGTTGATGAAGCAAAAAAGGCAATGTTGCTGGATTTCAGGCCGCCCCAACTGGCACGTTTCTCGTCAGAAAACGCGGACATTATCGATTTTATTTGTCGTTTGTTGATAAGGATAAACGCGTTAAACACTCACCGTAAGCTTATTATTTATTATTTTTATTTTTGGACATTTTTTTGTTGTTGCAGAATTCGCCAAATCAACTCGTCCTATTTTCTCGATGGCCTCAAATTCGAGTCGCTTTTGGAGATTATTGAGAATTTCGAGCTCGCCAAATATCCGCTGAGACGAATGGAGAATGAGAGTTGTGCGGTGGGTAAAATGCCTTTTTTTTCTCAAATTCCAATAGAAAAAATGATGGTCCCCAAAAAAATGTATTTTACCTATGTTTCGTAGTATCCTGAATTGATTGGAAATTTTAAAAAATGAAAATTACTTAAAATTTTACGCGTAGGCCATGGAATTTTTGCGAAATCGATTAATTTTTTTCATTTTGCGAAAAAAAGAAAAGGAACAAACTAGCTTTAAACAATTTTTCAAGCTTTTTGCAGGACTATCTCGAAATAAAATACGTTTGCATTCGATCATACGAGCCTGGCGACGTCGAATACATGAGCGCCGATCGCGGCGACATCGTGTCGGTTTACGAAACCGACGATGACGACTGGCTGATGGGACGGAACGAAACGACGGGCGCCGTCGGTTTGATACCCGTCGAGAATTTGGAGCCGCTTGTGCTCGAAGTTGAAGATATGAACGAGTTGCCATATTTCTACGACACAATTCTCACCGACGCGATTCATTTGAATCCAATCGGCTCGTTTCTGCTTCGCAAGAGCTCAAAAGGCACCGACACGTACGCGCTTCTCGTCAAGACCCAATACGATCTCGTCGAGAAGTTTTTGATTGTTGGCTCGCCGTCGCGCGGATTCTCGGTGGCCGGCAGGCAATTCCCAACGATCGGGCATGTTCTCAATAGGTTGGTTGAAAAGGAAAAAGAATGCAGCCGGAAAATTTTCTTGCAGATATTGCGATCGTGCGATTTCGGGAGGCGTTCGACTCACGCATGCGGTTTGCATCGAAAAACCGGAAAACGCGAGCAATGACGAGCTGATGACGATGAGTCAACAGTTCGATGATAGAAGCAGGAAGCGGGTAAGGATATACAATAAATATATTCAAATTGTTGTTGGCGAACACAAATTTTTCAACGAACGAAAATTGTACAAATCTCGATTTCATTGTTTCGATTTTTTTTCGCTTTATTTTGATTTTCGTCGATGAATTGCTTGAATTTGTGCTCGTCTCGAAATCGGCGAGGAAGCGGCAAAGTAAGACAATGTTTTTGTGCAGTTCTCGAAAAAAGAAACAATTACTTTGAGATTTCTACTATTTTCGATTTTTTCCCCCAAGATTTTTAGATTTGCTCAAAAAACGTTGTTTTTTTTTTTTGGGGGGGGGATCTTAAAGTCTCAATTACGATTTTTCATAATATTCAGAAATTGGCTTAAAAATGTTTTTTTCATTTTTCTGAGTATTTTATTAGGGGCTTGTCCGAAAATTTGGGGTGTCGTTCTGCAAAGAGTCAGAATTTTGCGACTATTAAAAAAAAGACAATCTTCAACTGGAATTCAAAAAAAAACATGAAAGGGTCCGATTAAAAATGAAATGGTCGACGTGACCTTTGTGACCTAGATATTGTTGATTGATAGCCCGAGAGAGCTTTGTTGTTCTCGGTTATTGTTTTTTTTTGCCTGTGGGCGACGTCTTCTCTCTCTCTCTCTCCATATTTGTTTTTTTTTTTGCAGAAGACACGACGAATGTTGCGTGGCGCTTCGGTCGACACCGCGCTTGCATCGTCGGCATTCCTGACGTCGTCGTCGACGACGACGACGACGACGACGACGACCATCTCGACGGCGCCGACGAGAATTCCCGATGGATTCGTGAGTTTCTTCATTTTTTTTGTTTTTTTTTTGGTTCGTTTTTTTCTTTGTTTTCGCGTTGATCGCTAGAAGAATGGGTAGAAGATGAAGCTGTGGAATTCGCCTACGTCATCTTGGACTGGATGGAGGCCAGCTGATTTCGTGTGATTATTAATTGTGAGGGGAAATTCGCTGAAATCACCTTCAAATGGAAATTGGCGATTTTTTTCGATTGACTTTTTTTCCGGTTTTTTTTTCCTTTTTAGACACTTGAATTTAGGGAAAAAATCGATTGATCGATTCGGTTGTGGGAAAATTTAAAAAATCATTTTTTAATGAAAAATATGTCAAAATTGATATATTTGAAAATTTTCGATTTAAAAGGGAAGGACAATTATTTCGATGAATTTTTCCGGAGACAAGCTGGGATTTTTTTTTTGCGTGGGAAAATCACATAGACTTATCCTTTTGAAAATTGTGCTTTTTTGATCTAGGCTCAATGCGAAATTTTTATTTTTCAAAATTTTGATCTATCATCAATGCTCGAAAAAAAGGCGAAATGATTTCTCACATCACATTTTTTCTTGTTGTTGTCGTAAATTTTTGTCAAATTTTGGTCGTCACAGGCCGACCGAGAGGATGCGTACAGCGAGAACGTCGAAAGTGTGACGAACTTGATGGCATCGACAAGCGCAATGAGGAAATGTGAGAATGAGTCGATTGATTTGAATTTTGAGATTTCTTTTTTTGCAGCCCGCGAAGACAAGCATTGGAAGGAGTGCTACCTGACATTGTCAGACTTGTCGATAGGAGCCTCGCATTTATCAATTTTTGACTCGGCGGTTTGTCATTTCATTTTTCTTTTCTTGTCGGAAACATCAAAATTGAATGTTCAGGGTTCGAAACGAAGGCAGTGCATCGATTTGTCGTCGAGCACCATCCTGTGGCTCGATGAGTCGGTGTTCGCCGCTGATGGCTGTGTGTACATCTCGCCGTCGTTTCCCCATCAGCCGTCGGTGTATCTATGCTTTAGGCCGTTTTCAAATTTTCTGCACTGGATCAAAATGTTGAGGTTTTGACGATGCGATTCGAGCGCGCCATTCAGTTTTTTTGCAAATTTTCAGGCAACGCTCGATATTTCAAGACTCGCCGCCGCCGATCTCGCAACTATCGATGTCGTACACCGAGTTCACCACCCAAATGTCGATATTGTTCGTCGACATTGAGAAGTATCGTTCCGACGCGCTCAAATCGGACAATTTGTATTCGGTGAACGTGTTGTTGAACGGCACGAAAATTTGCGCGTCGCCATCGTTCGCGCCGGCGGCGAATCGATCGACGAATGAGATGCCGGTGGTTGTGATCGATTCGCGATTCGTGTTGCCGTGAGTTGTTGGCGCTTCAAAATTTTGTGTGTCGATTTACGTGGTGGCGGGGCGGGGCGGAATTTCGTTTTTTGTTTTTTTTTTTGCATTTCCTTGGGCTCTTGTAGCGAAACCAAATTGGTTGGAATGAATTTCAAGTCGATTTTTTTTTCCATATTCTTTAGAGTGCGATTACTGTAGAATTTTTTGAATTGCCGCCTTTTGGGTCTCGTAGCGAGTTTTGTTTAATTTAAACAAAACAATATGAAAGGTCATACTTTTTTTTTAAATGAAATTTCAGTATTTTTTAAGAGATTCAAATTATAATCACATTCTATGTTTCTTATTTTTGAGACCAATTAATTGGGGCAGCCCCACTAAATTGAGGACGATGTGCGGATGGAGTGTTGTACTGAAAAAGGGAGGAGGGAAGTTTAAAAATGTTCAAAAGAAAAACTGAAATCAATCATCAATTTGAATAAGTTTCAAAATTGTTCATAGCGCTGTTTATAGATGTATTCCTGTGTGCCACAATGGCCTGCAATTGTCGATGCTCGCCCATTCGCCGACGGGCAAACGCGGTCGTCCGTGCGGCGTCTCGCCGCTCATCTCGTTGCCCGAAGGCGAGAACTCGGTCGCCATCAATCACGTGCCGCAATCCGACGTTGGCTTCACGTTTCGCGTTCTTCGCCAACGATTTCCGGTGTTGTCGATTGAGCGCTACGCGCCATTAATCGATGAGATGAGGTTTTTGGTGACGACGATGAAATTTGGGTGACGCGAGTTTTGGTTCGATTCAGAGGCAATCCGAGCGAGTTGTTCCGTTGGCCGGCGCACGTTCTACCGCAACAGCACAAATTGTTCCTCTACACGTGCATATCGTATTTGTTCTCGATCGACTCGTCCAACATGGCCGGCGTGTTTCGGTTGGTCTCGTGCCGATTTTTGTTTTCGCGTCAATCGGCATTGTGTTCAGAAAAATCATCGCCGACGTGCTGTCGGCGTCGACGCCGGAAGACGTTTTTCGAAAGGACTCGCTAGCGACGGGAATCGTCACCCAAACCCTTCGACAATCGTTCAATACGCCGCTTTACGAGTTTCTCCACGAGAACTCGACGTTTTTGCAGGCGGTGAAGGTTGGCGCTTGTTGTTTTTTTTTTGTGGATATTTGATTATCTCCACTGAATTCGTTTAGAATAGCAATGGCGGTGCCAATATGGAAAGTGTTGTCGAGATTCTCGTTGATTTTGTCGATGAGAAGCTTGTCACTTTGCCGGTGGCCTCGAAAGTGTTGGCGATCGCGGCCGCGTGCGCACAACACCGCTTCGAGTCGGAGCCGCATTTGGTGAAGCGCACGCTGAGCGCGCTGCTCGTCCTGCGTGTGCTCAATCCGGTGATTTTTTCGAGTCTGAGCGGTTTGTGCAATTTTCGCCTTTTGATTGTGCCCTCAAGCAAAAAACGAAAAGAAAAGAAAAACGAAAATGCCGAAAAATGTTTAGGGAGCGTCGGTAGTCAATTGGCGAAAGCGGTGCAATCGTGCGCGAAGGCGTCGGCGTCGCTGACGAGCGACGCGAACATCACGACGGCGGCGTGCACGATGCGACGAATGTTTGATCGTGTGATCGCGAACGCCGACGACCAGGTTGTTTTGACGGAATCCCATTTTTTCGGGATGTTTGATTAGCAGCCAAATTGCAGATGATTGAGACGAGTGGCCAGTCAGCGGAAGCGCACACCGAATGGCTTGCTTGCATCTCGCACCTCATCGGCTTCTCGCTGACACTGAAGCCGTCGGGAGCGGCGTCGGCGTCGGCAGCTGACGTCGGCGATCATCACGTTTCGATGCCGCTTCCACTATTCGAGCTCATCCGGCTTCATCAATAGAATCCAATGTTATGCAGGGTCACGGTGTTTTTTCACAATTATAATAATTATAATAATCAATTTTCATGTATATTTGTTGTTTCCCCTCCCACCCACCAAAAAAGGCCAAATTTACACAAATATGCATATTTTTTGTTTCGTCTTGTTAAATAATTTCCATCGTTTTCAGAGGAAAATGTGTTTCTCATCGCCATTTTTATTATTGTTTTGTTTTTTTTTTTTTCTATATATTATTCCTAATTGTTCGTCCCCTCCCCCCTCCCCCCAAAAATAATAATTGAGTCTTTCTCGGGTATTTCATGTCAATTTTGTATGTTTCAATCGTGTCCCATTTTAGTTGACTTCTATCAATTTTATGCAATTGGCTGCTGAAAGCGCAATAATTGAAATGTTCTTTTATGTCCACGCTTTGTATCGCCATTTATGTCACCCTCCCCCCCACCCATGAAAAAAGGGAAAAGGTCTATTTGAAACGGTTTTAATCACTTCTTCAAGAAGTTCATTCGTTTTTGTCTCGAAATCTCAGGTTTGTATTATTATTTTTGTTTGTTTTTGCCCCCCCCCCAATTCCCCCGCGTATAGTTTTATCATTCGAATTTTATATGATATTCATTTTTTCCTACCACCAAAAACAAAAAGAAACACTTTCCGTACATTATTTTTGATTAGTTCTTCATGACTGATTGTTACTGGACATTTTTATTACTGCAATAATTATTGATGATGGATAAGTACGCATTTACATTTGTGCATATGATGGAAAAATAAAAATAATCAAATATTTTGCCTGTCGATTGTTCCTCTTTTTTTCAACAAAACTGTTTATTAGAATCAGACACGGAATTTCTTGAAAGAGATTTTTTGAAAATTGCAAAAAAGGTGCGCGTCAAATATTGCGCATTGTCCGCAAGCGTTAGAATTGACGACAAATGGAACTCGTCATCATTTTTATTTGAAATTTGCTCAATGTTCGTGCGTTTTTGTCCATTTTTATCGATTTGCCGAAGCTTAATAAACGATTTGACATTTCAGCGATGGCGGGTATGCACTTTTTGGTGGGAATCTCGACGGAGAACTACGTGATTCTCGCGGCCGACAAGGCGACATTCGCGTATGGCGCGATTCTCGCCGATAGCAGTAAGCGAATTAATAATTGTTGAACCGTGCAAAACATGTTTTTTCTTTTCTACAGACAATGACAAGGAGTATCGACTCGGAAAAAAGTTGACGATGATGTGCATCGGCGAGGAAGGCGATGTCGCCCAGTTTGGCGATTGGACGAAACGAAATTTGCAGTTGTATGCGGTGCGCAATGGTAGAAACGATAGATTTTTATTGAACAAAAGATTCGATTTGAAATAATTGAATTAAGGCTATGAGGTGAGTCCGGCGAGCGCTCACCACTTTGTTCGTCGCAGCATCGCCGAGGCTTTGCGAACATCGGACCATTATACCGTCGACGTTCTCATTGGTGGATATGATGATAAGGAGGAGAAAGCGTTCTTGGGCTCCGTTGATTATTTGGCGAACGGAATCGGCAATCAGGTAGCCATTTTTTTGTGTGGACCCTTTTCTGTTTAATCATTGTCATATTTCATTTTCTAGCCGTATCTTTTCCGAGGCTTCTGCGGACGCTTCTGCTACGCCATCATGGATCGAGAATACAAGAAAGGTTTTGCGGTTTGAATTTTGGTTTTAAATCAATTTTTTGAAGACATGAGTGAAGAGGAAGGATTGACTTTGATGAATAAGTGTATTGCTGAGGCGAAGAGACGATTTGTTGCCAATATTCCTGGATATAAGGTATATATAAAATTAAACTATTGAAATTTATCGAATCATTTTTTTCCAGGTGGTTATTATTGACAAGAAGGGCTACAGAAATCTCCCGGACGTCACTTTCTGAACGTCCATCCAAAATCTTTAAATTTTTCGTCGTTTCGACCGGTTTGATTCCTATTTATTGTTTTTTCATTGTGTAATCGACATAAACAAAAATTGATAATTGCCTAAACGATTTGTTTGAGAAGCTCTTGGCGCTTCGAGTCGATGAGCTGCAGTCCGCGTTGCTCGGCGGCGTGTTTCAGATTTAAAAGCGCCTGACGCGTTTTGCGCGCTTCGTCGGGTCTCGTCGCGAACTCTTGCGACGATTTTTTGTCGCTTTTCGAATATACCTGCAACGTTCGCAATAGTGATGGTTAAAATCAATTTCGAGACCTCGTTCAATGCTTTTTTGTACTCGTTGAGAATTCGCCCTTTTGCCTCGGCGGCCATTTGCTCTCGCCGCTGTTTGCTCATCGGCGGCACATTCACGTAGAGCACGACGCCTTCTTGTTGCGGCGTCACACTCAAATTCGATTTTTGAAGCGCCAATTTGGCGGCTTTAATCGCCGTCGGATTGTCTTGAAAGTTGATCATGACCATTAATGGCGATTTGAGAGACACTCGAGCGATGTGCGAAAGCGGTTTTTCCTGGTGGGCAAAAAAAAGAACCAAATTAAAAAAGAGCGGTCGAAGACTTACTTTTCCGGTTTCAAGCTTGACCATCACTTCCTCGAAAGATCGAATGTCGATTTTCGGCGAAAAATGGCGAGCAAGTTCTTCGCCGAGAATTTCTTGAATCCTTTGCATCTCTTTTGTCGTCTCCTGAATCACCGGATTGTCATCGCCGGAAAATGACGTGAGATTCGGATTGTGCTGCAAAACCATTGCCAATTCCAAACATCATCGACATTTCCGCCCACCACTTTCTTCTTCTCGTGTCCCTTTTTCTTGAATGCGACCGTTGCCTGATGAAATTCGCCGGTGCGAACAATTTGCAATAATCTAGGAGCTGCTAAAGTACCGCGAACTAACCGAAACATCTGAAAATGTTTGAATTTTTAATAGAAAAATCGCAAAAAAATTAGGGGACATTTTGCATGGCCTAGAATGTAAAAACTCGGCCATGAACGAGTGCATAATTTTTTATGAAATAATGACTCAGCATAGAATCCGTGAACAAAACAATTATAATTATCATTATTAAGTGTGTTCAAATTAGTAATGAAAATGTGGAAAACAATAACCATGTAAAATTAATGAGTTAATAAAACAAATGCAATAATGCGGAATGGAAAGCGATATGCTTAAAATTGGTGCAAGCACTAACTGGTATTATTATTATTATCTACTCATAAATTATATGACGTGAATAACGAAAATGGTACAGATCATTTTTTTCTTTCAGAAAATGGAAACAGGATTATTGCTGGCGAACAAGGTACATGTTTTTGTCTTTGCGCGGACGACGCTCGGGCTTCTTGACGGGAAGCAGTTGGTGAATTTCAGATGAGCTTCGTTGATAATGAAGCTTATGAGAGCAAGACTGTAAACGATTGTGTTAAAAATACGATTATACACATTTGGTTTTTGTATTTTTTGAAACCTCACCGAGCAATAATATTGGCGGCATGGCTTATCTTTACAATAAAGGCTCTTATTGCTGTACACACCATGACGCTTCATTTTCAAATGAGCTTGAACTTGAGAATCGAGAGATAGCTGAAATTCATTTCGAGAGATGCTCTGTATTATTGGCCACGAGTTTACCATTTCTGACGACGGCGCTTCCATTTTTGGCACTGGCAGGAACATATTCCAAAGTGTTGGACCAATCGGTATCAATTTTCCATTGAAATTGAATGTTCTGAAACAATATGAAATGAAAGGCGGCAAAACCAAAAAAAGTAGTCACTTCTTTTCAGTCAAGTCGAATTTCTTGGCGACACTATAAAACAAATTCGCGCCGGCGACAATCGCCTCATTTTCTTGCGTCATATTGGGCAATTCGAAGAAGCTGCTCGATTCGATGTCCTTCAAACGTTGCTGATGCGAATTGTGGAATAGTGATTCGTTTGACCAAATGTTGAATGGATCTGAAATCTCATTTTCTTTTGAATATTGAAAATTTATTTTGTTTGCACTTTTTGCAATCTTCGCTTCCTTATAAGCTTCTTCCAAATACTCCATTATGTCCAAGAATGGATTGAACCAGAGTCCGCCGCATTGATCGCACCCGACGTCTTCTATGACGTATGGCTTGATTTCAATTGTCTTAAAATTAGATTATTAGAAAAGAATTGAATTATTATAATTCGAACCGTTTTGCTTGAATCGATATTGGCGAATTTAAGATAACGCTTTTCTAATGCGCTATTGAATGCTGAATTTGTGGCAAACGCAACTCGCGCGGCGCCCTGAAAACGATGTCGTTAAAATGATAACGCTTAACATGCATGCCTTGGGATATCCATAGTCCTGATCAATATCGATAGTGACGAGAAGAACTTTTCCAAATTCGCTGAGCATTTTGGCAATCTCCGCTGAAAGTGTGAAATTCTGGAAATTGCAACAAAAAAAGAGTAATCAAACCTGCGGTAACAATACGCGGAAGGCCTCCAACAAAAACGGTACGATGGATGTCGATCACCTTCTTATTTTCAGCATCCGGATGGACATAAAAGGCATTTCTGAGGAACCATGGACGAATTTGAATCTGAAATGTAGTCAGCTTCAAATTTCAAAAAAATATATATTGGTGCCAAGATACGTGTGCGTGTCTACGTACTCGGCATTTTAGCGTACGCGCGAAAACTCGTAGAATTTTTTACACTGATTCTGCGAAATTTTCTTATTTCTATTAGTCATTTGATGGCGGCAATACGTAATTCACAAAAACAAGGTAAGAACTATTCAAAAATTACCATATTCTCTTGGCATCCAGGAATTTGCACAAAGAAATCATTCGTCGGCGGACTATGACAATGCTTCATTAGATTCAGAACGGACTCCTCGTCGGAGTAAACCAAGAACAGGTATGAATATGACGTCGATTGAATCGTTTTTCCACGCGCTGTAAAAAAGAGCAGAATGTCGAAATGCTGAAAAAAAAGAGAAAATTCGCGAAACCATTGACTTTTGCTTGTTTCGTCGGCCAATCGACGAAGACGTTGCCAAATTGGGCGAAGAACTTGTTGATTTTCGAGCGCTCCATGTTGTGGCTGATGCCGCCAACGAAAACCTTGTTCGAGACGGTTCGAAGCTTCCGCGGATCGCGATTGTTCTTCACCAAATTGTGGACGTCATCAGCCGTGAAAATTTGATCGAATTCCGTCGCCGAGACCGCTGAAATCAATCGAGTTCGATCGGCAATTCTCATTTGATCGTCTAACATCTATGATCCAACACCGCCTCTTTCCGAATATCCTCCATGACCTGTTCAATGTCGGCGTAGGAATGATGGAAATCAGCTTGTTGGTGCTTCGCGTTCGATAGTCTTTCGAAATCATTGAACGTGAATTGTTGAGCACCGCCATCGGCGAAATCGAATTCGCGCGGCGAGCGATGCGAATAATGACTGGCGACCGTCATTCGAGACGTCGATTGGCTAGCGGTTGGCGTCGGAAACGCGAACATGTGATCTTGGCGTGGGCTCTCATGCCTCCAAATGTTTTGGTCAATCTCGGATTCCGCGAATCCACCAGTCGATCTGAAGAAATGACCTTGATCGGTGAGCTCGCGCAGCATCGCCCTAAAGATCAATTCATCCTCATTTATTATTTTTTCAATATTAAAATCGCCACTCACATTTTTTGCAGATGCGAGAACATCATCGGACTGTTGACGGATGGATTCGGCCTTCCACGAAGATAGTCATAATGCGGCGGCGCCACACCGCCAACACCCATGTTCGCCATGAAATTGGTGAGCTTTTGCGTTTGCGTCAAATTCAGCCAATCGCCATCATCAGCGGGATTTTGAAGATGTCTTAAAATTGTTAAAAATGAAAAAAAAATGAACTCCTATGCTCAAATTCGATATTTTATTTATTTTTTCATTAAAGCGAAACCTTGTCAAATTCATCGATTGCGCGTTGCACATGCGATTCATTTGGCTCCGTTTTGTCTTACTATGCTGATCATTCACAGAAAACATAATAATTGGCGAGAATTGGTCGCTTAATAATTTAGGCCACAAAAATAATTAGGGGAGGGGCTCGAGAAAAATATCGATCGAGTAGTACGGTATTATTTTCGTGGGTGGTCCAATTAACAGACATGTAGGTATGCATTAGAATTGACGCACAATTGCACCATCCAACTGAAACGAATCGTTTTTCGAAATTCGACTGGTTCTCGCGCGAAATGCCGATTCGTTCATTTTTGGTTAGATGCAGAGCGATTCCGGAAAATGAAAAACCAGATATTCTTTCTATTTTTTTCTTTTTTTGCTACAGAAATTATAAATTTTTTCAAAATCGATTTTTTTCGCTTAAACGGTGTCGCTCCACTATTTGATCAAAAAAAATTTTTTTTGAAATAGCTTTTATTAATGCATTCTTTTTTAAAGCATGTATTCATGGAATAAAAAAATAAAATTATTGGCGGCGTTTTTTTTTTTTTCAAAATACCTGCATTAAAGAAATTGTAGTTTCTACATTTTTATTTATCGCAAGACCATTATAGCAGATTAAGTTTTTGAAAAAAAATATTTTTTTTTTAATCTCTTGTTGCTTCAATTCTAGGCGTTCAGTGAAACGCGAGGTATTTTATGAGAAATTCCAATCCCTCATTTTTTGGTTCCTTGTTAATTATTTCTGTTTTTTTTTTGTCTTCTCATTCGTCTATCGAAATGCATTCGCGCGAAAATCGAGAGAGATTTTCAGGTTTCGCCGTCGTCATATCCAGTTGGCGAGAGAAGGCCGATCTCTCATTTCCTTTTTTCTCATTCCAATTCCCCAACGACATTGGTGAAACGTGTTCGCGTCGCGTCCGGACTGCAAAACCGCGGGACGAGTGATCGGCGATCGGTGAAGAGCGACACAGACGCGTAATTGTTACAGCGCGAGGCACAGCATCGAAAAGTGGGCGGGGCCGATGGGCCGGACCGCCGTCTCTCAAGTAGGACAACTCGCACATCATATGCCTTTACTTGACCATTCCGATGCGGCTTGCCTCGCTTTTTGTTTTCAACCAGCCTCCCCACAGCGTGCATTCTAAATGTTTAGAAGATGGAATCGTATAGTAGCGCTACACACACATGTGTGTACGATGACCTCTCAAAACTTGGCAGCTGCCATCCTCCCATTCTCCAACCATTCACATTTGTGCTCAGTGATTCCTAGTTGGTTTGATTCCAGAAATGCTTCGTTTCTCGCTTGTCGCCGCACTCCTTCTTGTGGCTTCGTGTTTCGCCGATGATGAGCAAAAGCTGAGCTGGAAGGACGACGACGGACTCGAAATCAAAATCATTCGGCCGATCAAAGCCGAGAAGTGCAAAATCAAGTCGCAAGAGGGCGACGTTGTCGATCAATGGTACAAATTGAGCGACAAGGACGGCAAAGAGATTGGAAGCAACTTCAACAAGAAGCCGTAAGCATAAAACGAAATTTTTTTATTATAGTGTTTATATGTTGAATTGATATTTAGATACACGTTCACCCTTGGTAAAGGACAAGTGATTCCGGGAATGGATCGTGCCATGACCGGAATGTGCATTGGCGAGAAGCGCAAGGTCGTCATTCCGGGAGCGCTCGGATTCGGCGCCAAGGGAAGAGAACGCGACAACATCGGCGAGGATCAGGTCCTTTACTATACCGTTCAGCTCGTTGATTTGTTCCGAGCGATTCCGGGAGACAAATGGACCACTGATGAGGTAGCGATTTAAATTTCAAATGACTGAAACTCAATAAAAAAGGAAATTTTCGTAGGGAATCGTCATCGAGCAGACGCACAAGATTGATGAGGATCAATGCAAGAAGTCGAAGACCGGCGACACGATTCATCAGCAATACGTGCTCCACTTGGAAGACGGAACATTTGTCGACTCGTCGTTCTCGCGAAACGCTCCGTTCATTTTCAAGCTCAACAATGGCGAAGTCATCAAGGGAATGGACATCGCGATGACGGGAATGTGCGAGGGCGAACGCCGAAAGGTGATCATCCCGTCGGACTTTGGCTATGGCGACGACGGTCGCGCGCCGGCGATTCCCGGAAAAGCTCGCCTCTACTTTGACATCACGTTGGAGAAGCTCATCACACGCGATGAGCTTTAAGCGCGTCGATCTACCCAAACCAACCCATATGTATATAGAATACCAGCCTAATATATTTTTGTTTCGCTTTCTTCGCCTTCATCTTCGGACAAAAACGGGAGCGCCTTCAAAAATTATTAATTCGATTACATGTGATTTTCATTCTGTTACTACTGTTGTTCATTTGTTGTTGATTTTTGGCAATTAATGTACAAATGTGTCTTAATAATGAATGGTTTTTCACTAATTTCGCGTCAAGAATTACTGTAGAATGGCGATGTACGCAAATTTGCGTGACGGTGTTTGAACCTCGTTGCGTGGGAAAAGATTTGAAAATGTTTTCATTGCGTTTGTTTGATGCCACCCGAGTTTGAATTTTCGTGTTTTAATAATGTTCCAACGATTGTAAGTCGATTAATTTTTTGTGTATGCGTAAATTTGTTGATGATTTGGAATTAAAGAACCACGAGGAAATAGATTTTTGCTCGAGAAAATTCAAAATTCGCGATTTATATTTCACCAACGGCGCTCCCGCAATGCTCGACGATGTTCAAATCGATTTCTATCTCAATTATTGGATTTGGAATGTTCGCTACAATGAAGAACGGTACCAGAATTTTTTTCTCAACCTTGATTTGTATATGTATGTATTTTTTTTCATCTCACAGACGATCTCGCACTTTTATACATGACACATTTGCGTTTACGATTCTGCGGGAGAAAATCGCCAAAAATTTGCCGCCGAAACCCAAGGTGCTCGATTTCAAAAAGAAATGGCCGTTGATATTCAAGAAGCAAAAGGCGGATCTATTCGAAAAAGAGTTTTGGGTGTTCCCGATTCATTTGAAAGAGATCCGGCATTGGTGAGTGGCGCGATCTGTTGATAACATCTGGTGACCTTCCAACCATCAGAAGAGAGTATAGACGATGTAGAAAAAAAAACATCTTGATGTATATAGAGGGGCTAGTTTATTTATAATGCGTAATAGAAATGTTACACATTGTGGATAGCGCCGACGAAAATTTGTGTTAGGGGGTTCTGAGGTAAATGAGAATCAATCGGATTAGAAGGAAAATTAAATATAAATCAGCCTAATTCGATTTGAAAACTTGGATTCGATTAAAACATCATTTTTAATATTGAAATTTTAAATTAATTCGAGACAGCTTAATTTATATTCGATATCGATTGAAGGAGAAATGAAATTATTTTCGAATCCGATTAATTTTCTCTACTAGTGTTGATTTTTCTAATATTAAAAAATCGCTGATTATTTCTGATTGGGAAGATCGTTGAAATAAACTGGAATCAAATTTCAGGACATTGGTTATTGTTCATAATCCAGGAGCTGCGATACGAAAGTATAAACACACATTTGGCAAAGACTGCCGAATTCTTCTCATGGACAGTTTGACGAATCATCCAAAATATCGGTTTGAATGCGGAGAACATTTCTTGAGCATTGTTCAAAAATTTAGCGAATATTTTGCGATTGAGCACCCAAATATAATGGAGACGATTAAAAACTACTTACAATTACTCGCGGCCTCATATGGATATTCGGTGTTGAAAAATCGCATCAAGTATTCTTTTTGCACTTTTTTAAAGCTTTCAATATTTTTCAGAAGCGTTATTTGTTCTGATATCACCCAACAGGAAAATTGTGTTGATTGCGGAATTCATTTACTAGTCAATGTTGAATATTTCACCTATTTCAATACTCTTTGGACGGTTTTTTTCATTTTCCATTAATTTCGACTAGCTTTTTTGTTTTAGGCGTGCGCTACCAAAGATTTGCACGAAATGAGGCACGATGTCGATATTGAGTTTAATTTGAAAACTGGAAAAACTCGAAAAGACTTTCAAGAGCTTTTCACTTATTTAAAAACTAATCCCATTATTAATATATAATAACATATGTCTATATTGATTAATTTAATGCCTCCTAATGTATTATAATATTATATATTCGATTCATGTTAAAAGTTTTTATATTGATGATGATGTCGTCCCAATTGCAAGAAATAAATTAACCGCTACGACACTTCGTTTTACGCTGCCCGCGATTTAGCGTATTTGTACTTGTCTTTCAAATTCGTTATTTTTTTTTTGAAAGTTTTCACCTAAAATAGCGAATATAGTAGGAATTATGAGTGGAGTTTCGCGAAGGGAGAAAAGAAAAAATGCGAAGCAGCTCAAGAAAATTCAGGCGAAAGCTTTTGCCCAGAGAAAACCGGTATTTAATAGTTTTTGTTGGCGATTAATTTTTAATTTTTGGTTTTCAGGTTGAAATCGCAATGAGAGAGGCAATGGGGCTTACAAAAGCGGATAAGCAGAAAAATAAAAGAAAAAGGAAACGTGAGGAGAAACGAGATGCACGGAGGCTGGAAAAACTTCAAAAAAAGGCCGAAGAAAGCGAGGAGGATGTCGATAGTGATGATTATGAAGTATTTTGGACGTTGTTTCTTAAAAATATAATTAATTTAGGAGCCACAAACTTCAAACAAACGGAAAAAGATAGTGGAAGTTAGTGTTCATAAAGGAAAACGGAAATTTGGCTATGAAAGTGAAGACAGCGACGATGATCTGACTTATGAGCAATATTTGAAGGAAGTTGAGGTAAAATAAATTTATTAATGATTTTCGTTACATTAAATGAGACTATTTGAAGGAAACTAGAAGAAAACGGCTAATGGATCCCGAAGGAATGGAAGAAGACGAAAAGGCCATCAGAAAATATGGGGTGCTTCTAGGCTTGAATGTTAATCACGACGAAATTTTGATTTTTGAAAACGTTTTGAAATTTAGGAGAATTTGAAAGATCGCGATGGGGCCACGAAAACGACGCGTGCGATGAAAGGCGATGGGCTCGATAGTAATTCAAATTATATCGAGAAATCGATGTGTATTTTTAATCTATTTTCAGTGCTTCTCGATTTTTGCGATCTCGAAAAGCGCAAAATTCTCATGGAGAATGAGGCAAATGGCGCGAATAGCGATGACGACGACGTTGGTGAGTTTGAGGATGAGGAGATGGAGGAGGAAGAGGAAGATCAAGAGGCGATTGATTTGTCAGAAGGGGAAGAGGATGTTGACGACGAGAAATTGGTAATAATCCTTTTTTGAGGAAGTTTTGAATCAATTATTACCTTTAGGTCGATGAAATGGTCTGCGATGAAGATTTCGACGAAGAAAGCGATGAGAAAAAGGATGATGAGGAACTGGAGGAAGCTGAGGATATTTACGGTCGAAAAATCAATAAGTATTTTGAGTTTCGAGCAAAACGACGATTACGATTCGCTTATTTAGAGCAACTGGCGAGCTGATCAAATTCGATCCAGCGGCGGCTCGTAGGAAGCTTGAAGAGCTTGACGAAAAAACGGGAAACACCGAGCAGAAGGCGAAAATTGATCGAGCGGTGACCGGAATCATTAATCGGCTTTCGGACGCCACACTCGTCAAATCTCAGCAGGCGATTGGCGATTTATGGGCGAACTACTCGAAAAATGGTGAATTTTCGGGGGAAAATTGATAGAGGCCCTTCTTTCTCATTTCCTTTTTTAGATGTGAAAAGCGCGTTGTGCAAAGTGCTCACACGAGTGTTATCCTCGTCATTCCGTGTGCAAGATTCGCTTCTCACGACGTATGGAGCGTTTATGGCAATGTGCCACTCGATGGTTAGCAATGAAATTTGTAAGCTTTACCATTTTTTTGTTTGTTTCTTGCTTCAAAAATAGCTGAATTCCCATTTAGCTGCGCATTTCGTCGAAGTTTTTCTATGCGATATGGTGAAATCGGCGGAAAATGCGGAAGAAAACGCGGATGACAAATCGGTTGAGAATCGCGTGATTTTTGTTGCGATGCTCGTCGCATTTCGGGTATTTTTTTTATTATTTTTTTGCACTTTTATTCAATTTTTTTCGTCTAGATTATCCAACCATCAGTTCTTCTCGAGCTTGTCGACAAATACGCGAAGAATTTGAATTTGAGCAACCTTCAAGCGATTAATCTACTCATTTCATGTAATTTTTCTCAGCTTTTGACCGCTCATTTTGATTTTGTGCGAATTCAGATGCCTACAAGTCGCTTAGAAAAACGTCATGGGCGGTTTGCACCGAAAAACTTGAGCGTGTTGCCGAGGAATTCGAGAAGAAGCCCATTTCGAGCTTGTTCGTTCACATTTTTTTTTAGTAAAACATTCGAAAATTTTTCGTTTTTAGACCCAGAGCGAAATTCCTTCTTGAGCAGGTTGAAAGTCTCAAAAAGCAGTTTCCAAAAAATATTGATTATTCGATGATTGAGCAGCAGGCGAAAATTCTTCATGGATTATCGAAAAGTTTGTTTCGATTTTTTGTTTTTCTCGTAATCCCAACATTTGAAGAGAAGGGAATGTCAGCGGAATCGAAAGAGCTCGGAATGACGCTCAACGATCTTCTTCACGCTGAGGAGCGCGGACGTTGGTGGATTGTCGGCTCAGCGTTCAGATTGCCTGAAAACGGCGGCTATGGTGTGTTGGCGGCGGCGAATCCGAAGAAGGCCGCCGGCAACTATCCATCGCACATTGTTGAATTGGCATCGAGAGCTGGAATGAATTCCGAGGTGCGACGCAACATCTTCTGCGCAATTGGTATGTTGATAGTCTCCACTTGGTCAGGTGTTGGACTGCTCAGCAATAATTTTCCTTTTTGCGGACCATCTTTTTTTTCTGCAGCTTTAAACTCCGCAAAAAATCGCGTCAACGTTTTTTTTCCAAGCTAATTCTGGAAATTCTAAAAGAAAATTCAATTCGAAACCACCATAAAGCGAATTTGGCGAGTTTTTCAAAAAAAAAATCATTAGATATTTTTGCAAGCAGCGAAGTTTTAAACAAAATTCTCAAAAATGCGGCTCTTTGCTCTTTTTTCAGCGACCGCTGACGATGAAGATGAAGCATTTGAGAAGTTGTTGAAGCTCTCGCTGAAAGGCGAGAAGGAGCGCGAAATCGTTTATGTGCTCATCATCATGATGCTCAAAGAGAAGACGTTCAATTTGTTCTATGCGGCGCTTTTGCAGAGATTCTGCGAATTTCATCGTCGATTTGTGGTAGGGAATGGAGATTTCGGCAAACGCGAAACCGAAATCCGAACGACTTGCAGATCACACTTCAATACGCGATTTGGGATCGGCTGAGAGAATGCGAATCGCTGAAGCCGAGCCAAAGGGCGACACTGGCGAAATTGCTCGAGCACCTATTGGCGAACGAGGTGCTGCCGATCAGCGTGCTCAAATCAATTGAGTGGGCGACGCGTGGTCGCGGTCTCACCGCGCTTCTCAAAAAGCTGTTCGTCGGATTGGCGAAATCGCCGGCCAGCGTTCTTCGTCGCGTTTTCGAGCCGTTGACGAATCCGGAAAAACGGAAGAAATTCGAAACGATGTGCGAAGGGATTCAGGTGTTCTGGAAGATGCATTTGCCGAACACGCAGGCCTACAAAAATGTGGACCAATGGATGCAAGAAGCTGGATACGATTGATTTGATTTGTTGTTGTTGTTGTTGTTGTTGATTTTTTAAAAATAAGATTTTTTTTGAAAAAAAATTTGAACTGAATTATTTATTGGTCGCATTTTCCACGCGATTCGCGTTTTTCTCTTTCAACGTTAACAACATTTTCGCTTTCTGCTCGATTGCCCGACTGATGTTGAGCCGTCGATGGGTTTCGCAGCGAATTTTGTAGGCGCGCTTCTCGTCGCTTGACAACGCCTCCCATTGGCGTGCGATTCGTTGCGAGAGTTGGCCGAACGTTGTCGACGGCGCCGCGCGCTTCTCTTCGGCCTGCTTCTCGCGAAAGAACAGCGCGTAGGCGGACGTTGTGCTGAAATTGTTGGGGTCGAATGAGAATCGCTGAAACTCTAACCATTTCTTCGTCGGCGCGCTTCGCTTCGCTCGATTCTCATCGTTGGGATTCGCGTAGAACGTCGGCTGAATCTCCCACCAATTGATCGAATAATTGTCGGGGATTCCATAGCACGAGAAGTCTTCCATTTCAGTCACGCTGAAAACACGCTTCTTTCATTTTTCAGGTCTCTCCGACTGACGTACATCTATCAGCAAATTGTCATTCGATGGATCGAAGTTTATCTTCATCGAGACGATTTGCGCGTGAAACGGCAAGACACCACTTTTGCGAGTGCCGCCGACAATTTGCGGGCTTCGCCGCCCTCTATGTTTATCGTGGCGGCGACCACGCCCACAGCAAAAAAATCGGTGGGTTGAAACGCGAAAAAAGGAAAAAAACGAGAAAAAAAAGAAAAACAAATTACAGGTGTCTGAACAAACGTGACGAATGACCTGCTGATGGTCCTAATAAGGTAAATCCTCATCATTAATTACATATTGTTTGTGTTTGCGCAATAAGCTCCGTCGTGCCTAATTTCTTTTGTCGCGTGCGACAACGAGCCGCTTGCTAATTACAATTCGAGACAAGAAGGCGTTCATTTTACAATTTCGACGATTCGAATTTGTTTCCGGCGTGCTCGAAAACGCGTTCAACAATTTCCGCGCATCGCATTCCCTCGATTTCTCGCATTCGCAACGAGCCGAGCAGATCGAATTGGGGCTTCTTGTTGAGAGCGCCGATCGCGACGACAATGCACATCAACGCGGTCACCCCATATGTTGTTGGATAGTCGTGAAACTAGAAAATCTCTTTTTTTTTGGTTGCAAATCTTAAAACGAATCCAACTTGAAATATATGGACGTAATAGATTTGATCGATGGCCAATGTTGAATGGTCCCTTTCTTCGAGAAATCGCGAAATCGATATCCAAAAAACGCTGGCCACCTCGTTGACATTCATGATAATTTTAAGAGGGCGTCTGGAAAAAGAAATTTGTTGTTGTTCTTGTTTTTTTTTTTCATTTCACTTGAGAATCGCGACGGTTGGATGAATGAGCACACCGAATCGCGCGCGAAACGCCGGCAGATTGCCGATGACGCGAAAATCGTCGTCTTCGATTCCGACCTCCTGCAATTCGATGATGATGATGATGATGATCAGTTGATCACCTCGAACGCCTCGCGAATCGCCGTCGTTCGCACATTCGACGCATCATTATCGTCCATCATGCCGCCGGGAAAACAAACCTGCGGAAATCGAGGCGAATTGAATGCGAGGTCGAACTAGAAGAAAACCAACTTCGCCGGGATGACGCCTTAGGTGACGGCTGCGAACGCACAGGAACACTTTCACGTCGTCGCCGTCGTCGTGCAACAGAATCAGCACACCGGCGTCCTTTAATCGGTAAAACGTTTCATTATTTTTTTGTCACTCTCCAAAAAAATTACTTGCTCGCCTTCGGGCTTCGTCGGCTCGCTGAGCAGTCGCATTTGGCGGCGAATCCGTTGGCACGTCTCCTCATCGCACACGATGTTCATAATTCTGACAACTAACGCGAATTTCAGACGGCGCATCTAATCGCGAATCTCGATCTCTCGATTTTTCCCATGATAGTTCGCGTGTGTCAACTCGCCTTTTTTTCCATCTCTCTCTCTCTCTCTTTCGCAAATTTTGCGCCGTGCGCCATTTCGACCGAATTTATTTTTGAAATTTAATTAATTGTGAAAAATTCCAAGAAAACCCTACGCCATTGATGGAAAATTTGAAGAAAAAAATTAAATTCAATGAAAAATGGTAATTTTTGTTCGTTTAATCGCTTTTAAATTTTTTTTTGCAATCTAAATACTTTTAATATTTTAAATTAGTGCCTAGGGTTGGAAAAATCACAAATTTTGGTTATTTTTCACCAATTTGCCCATTTTTTTGGTGGAAAATCGCCAATATTTCAATTATTGCTCAGTATTTCAAATTCGCATCCGATAAAACTTCGATGGCGAATTCGAGACGATCGCTTTTCACACGAATTTCGCCGTCGTCGTTCGCCCCATAAAAGTCAACGTCCCATAAACACTTGATAATAATCACCAGGCCGATTGGGAGGAGGTGGATGGGCCACAGTTCGGTCGGCTTGTCGTCGTTACAACACCGCGCCTCCAAGTTCCAGATGTTTCGGGTAAGCGGCAAAAATAGCGTGTGCTCCGATGAGACGGCAGACATGTGCAGATGGTCGCGGCCAATTTGTCGTAGAAGAAGACGCACAAAAAAAACAACAAGAAGAAGAGAGGGGCACCTGGCAAGGACGCGCTCGAACAGTATTTGCCTCTTGGTGTGACCTTTCCCAATTTGATTCTCTATCTGATATGTTGTGTGTACGCTAATTATACAGTGTTTCTAGCTGTATCAATGACTGGCTGCTGACACAAGTGGGTCGCTCGCGATCGCGCGCGCGCGCGCAGCTTGAGCCACCACCCTCGTCCTCCTCCTCCTGGGTGACCAGGAAGAACAGCGAATGAGGAGATTGACTCTTATATACATATACACTCGCTTGTCACCCAACAACCCCCCCCCCCCTTCTACTCGACCGTCTCTCGCTCTCCTCACGCTTCCTTCTCATTAGGCGTGTTCGCATGCAAATTTTGTGTATTTCGTTTTTCGGGTTTTGAGAAAAAAAGTGCTATAAGAATTTTCGAGGCTCATTTTTTTTTGTTAGAACGGAAAAAAAATTGATTTTTGGGAATTGTCGGGTATTTTTTTAAAACCAATTTTTGGTCCCTTTCCCAGTTGCTGTGTAAATCGACACTCGTAGGTTTTGCTTTGTTTCCTTCAAATTTGGCGCCGATCTCGAAAAATGCTAACATTGTCGAGCTTTCTTTTTTGAATTGAATGTTTTTGCGCAATTTTAAAACTCGATTTGCCTGTTTTTTTTAGAATTCATTCAATTTGCGAGGATCTCTGACACATCAAAACCATTCTGAATCGAATTGGACACATTTGACATTCCGGTCGAGGGTAAACTCCAAACCGATTCCGGATCCAACTTTTTTTTAAAACGATCTTTTCATATCCAATGTGTTTTGTTTCAAATTTTCAATTCAAATTCGACAATTTTACAATTAATATCGGAAAATGATGAAAATTGGAAATTTGTCGAATTCAATTGGTTCCTATTAATTTTGTTTGAATTGATCAGTCGGATTGGATTGGATTGGAATCGGTTTCGAGCCTCCAGATTTGATCGATATCAAATCTCAATTGACTCATTTCTTTTCGTTTCTTTTTTCTTGGCAAAACCCCCGCGCCACCATCGTTTCACCTCATTTGCATGTCATTTGCCAATTATTTATGCGACGAGGGGGGCCTCGTCGTTACGAAATCGCGCGCAAAACCCGAATGCCCTCGGAAAAAGCAGAAAAAAGGATATGTCAAATGGCGCGGTTGTTCAAAAATGCATATTCATCATGCATAAAAATGACAAGCGAAACGTTGGGGGGGGGGGGCCTTTCGTTTTTCTTCCATTATTTTTTGTTCGAAAATTCACCTCATACTATGTATTTGCCTCTCGGCTCTCCATAGGCCTTGTTCTTTCAAGTGACTCGTCTGGATTACATGACTAGTCCACCGGCGGCTTTAACGTCCAACCGCTCATCGCAAAATTAGTTTCTTTTCGCTGATTTTCCGCTTCTCTCGGTGGCTTGGTTGCTGTTGTTTTTTTTTGGCTGCTTCCTCTGCTGCTAGACGTCCATCACCAAAACCCTTTTGTCATTAGGCAGGAAGAGACCCCCTCGGTCCGGCCGAATTGTTTCTCTCGCTTGCCCTCTCGCACTCGCCCCCACTATTTCGTCGGTCCCAACGAATTAACTCCGTTTCAAACCGCAATTTAATCCTCGCCAGTCCCACCAAGACGCGTCTGCGTCTCATCGTCTTCAATGGTCACTTCGATGCGTGGAGCATTTTGGTAGAGGGTCGCATATATACACACACACACACATACCCGGTTCATAATCATGCGGATGCGCTTATTATAGAAAAAAAGAAAACATGAAACCTATGATGTATGTATTATTGGCGCCCGGTTAGAATCTTGAAACGATTTTTAAGTGGTTCATCTCATTCAATGTCTTTTCAATGGAATTTGTGTCAAAATGCTTGAGGGGTGTTTCAATTATTTTATTTTTGTCGCTTCTCCCCCTCCCCCCTCGAATATCGACGCTCGGTAATTTATGCGTTATTATTATTATTATTATTAACCATATAGTTGTTGTTGACCGACATTCTCAATAATTGCAGTCATGCACTAGAAGAATGATGGAGGTTTCCGAGGAGCACTACGATACGCCGTGGGAATTCTTGGCGAGACCCAATTCGGTGCGATTATCGACGGCTGATGTGAGATTGTCGCACGCCGATCAGACGTCGCTATCGCCGCAAGGTAACAATTTAATGATCGAAATTTTGCAAACGAAATGCGGATTTCTAGGGATTCATGAAAAATTGAGCAGATTGCGCAAAAATCAGTTTTTCGAAAAAAATTTTAAAATTCATTGACTAAAAGGCGACGGGACCCTCAAAATTCGCGAAATCGGTGTAGATTTAAATTTAATGTTGGCTGAATATAAAATGCGCGTACGCTATAATGCATTGTACGCAATCTCGCGTACTCTGGTAACTCAAAACCAATCGGATCCGACAAAATTCGACTCCGGAATCAACCTTATCCGATTGGTAATTCTACGGATAAGATTAGAAAATTGTCGTATCCGATTGGTTTTTTGGGTTTTTTCGGATCCGATTGGTAATTTGTCGTATCCGATTGGTAATTCTACGGATAAGGTTGGATATTTGTCGAATCCGATTCGAATTGAAATATTAAAACAAAACGGATTCAAATAATTACCAATCGGATTCGAAGAAAATCTAATCGGATACGACAAATTACCAATCGGATCCGAAAAAAACCCAAAAAACCAATCGGATACGACAATTTTCCAATCTTATCCGTAGAATTACCAATCGGATCCGGTTGATTCTGGAGCCAAATTTTGTCGGATCAGATTGGTTTTGAGTTACCAGAGTAGCATTGGCACGTAGCCAACCATTTTTCAAATTTTGTTCACTCATTGTTTGATTTCGACAATACCGATTGGATAAATTTCTTCAAATAGCATTTTTTAGAATAAATGAGAAAAAATCGTTTTCAAATAGATTGTTCTTTTTATGGATTTTCAAAAGAATTTAATTGAAACTCACATTTTCCGATTTTGTTTTGTTGGTGAGTCGGTGCTCGTCAGAAAAATGAGCCCTGAAACAAAAATTAATTTTTGACAATTTTTAGGATCGCCATCGCTTTGCTCATCGTCCTCATTTGTGCAACAATTAGTGAATATTGGAAATTCGGCAGTTGACGCGCGAAGGCGTCAGAATCGCGAGGAGAGCCGACGGCGAAGAGAGGTTTGAATTTTATTTTGAGAAATATTGAAAAATGAGAAACATTATACAATTTAAGAGTTGCGATGATAATATTTTGGAGACGAATGTGGATCGAGTGGAGGCTGAGAAGAGGCTTGAATCGCGGCCGCTTGGCGATTATCTGCTAAGGTCTCGAGGCGAAGGAAGCGCCGCGTTGTCATTAAAGGCGACGAAAGGAGTGGTGCATATCAAAATTGAGAAGAATGGTGATCGATGGGTGATAGGTGATTTTTTTTTCTTTCGAATAGAAATTTATAGACTATTTTTAAAAAATTTAAATTCGAGTTTTTTCTTTCAAAAACTTCGTAGTGCCGAAAAACAGAGGAAAACAATATTTTGCAGGAGAAGGTCCTTGCTTTCGCTCAATAACCTCAGCCATACACTATTACCGAAGGCATCCGCTACCAATTCGCGGAGCGGACCATCTAATATTAAAGCAGCAATTAAAACGAGTCAATTGAAAAGGTGCTCATCAGCCGGTTCATCAAATCTACCCCCCTCAAAATCATTGAAATGTTTCGTTTTTGTATATTTTCTGTGTACATTTGACGTGCGTCTTGCCTATTAAATATAAAAACAAAAGAATTGAAATAAATTGTTATCGAAAAATTCAAACTGATTCGTTTTCGACATGTTCGATACATTGTAGCATGTTTATCTATGATAGCAATTTCGAATGATGATCAAAATGGTCGGCAATGAACGTGGCGATGAAATAATACGAATGATCATAATCGGGTTGCATTCGGACATTGATATCGACGAATTCGGTGGAATTGAGAGTTTCCGGTTGAAGTTGATCGAGAAAATTGTCGGCGCTTCCTTGATCGATGAGAATTTTGCGCTTTTCGCCGGTGTAGTTTTTGAGGAGAACACTTGAATCATATTCTTTCCATGCTTCCTCATCGGCACCTTCATTTACGAAATATAATTGAATTAGAATATATAATAAAATTACCCAAGTATCCTGTGAACGCCTTCTTTCCCCATGGCGAATTGATTGGGTGGCAGATTGGCGCGAACGCCGAAATCGATTTGAAGATTTTTGGGTTTCTGAGGCCGATTGTTAATGCGCCATGACCGCCCATCGAATGCCCAAAGATTCCTTCAATTCGAACTTCAGAATCAGATTAATTCAATTTTTTTACTACCCAGCTTTTCCTTATCGACTGGCGCCACTTGTGGAAGAAGATCAACGAGTTCCTTCACAATGTAATCGTACATTCGGTAATGCGTCGCCCATTTCTCAACGGTGGCGTTCAAATAGAATCCGGCGCCTTTGCCGAAATCGTAGGCGTCCGAATCGCCGTCGATGTCGACGCCGCGCGGCGACGTGTCGGGATGAACGACGACGATTCGGTGTTTCGACGCGTACTGCTGAAATCCGGATTTTTCCATGAAATTCGCGTGAGTGCATGTCAATCCGGATAGGTAGAGCAACGCCGGCAATTTTTCGGCCTCGTCGTGATCCGGCACGTAAACGCCGAACGTCATATCGCACTTGAGTGTTGCGCTTTAAAATTCAGCTCATTCGACGATGACTTGAAAGTTTGCTTACCTTGCATGTTTGTAGACGAGTTGTTTGCCTTTGAAACAGCGATTGCTCGATACTTGGGTGACCGACATGACTGAATGAAGGTATTGATAAGAACGGCTAGTAGATTCAGTGAGTGAGTCGACGAAAAGAGACTGTTTATTGTATTGATTTAAAAATACAAAAAACGTATCACATTATTCCGGCGAATTTGATGCATTCTGTGCGTACTTGCGGCACGGTGTATGCACACTTCGAAAAAATCGATTTAATTTTTTTTCAATTTTCGAATAGAATTGCTCACTTTTCCTCGTAATCAGACTAATTTTTACCCGTTTGCCAAAATTCAAAATCGATAACTAAATTTAGCCCCTTTTTTAATTTTATGAATCACTTTTATTAATTTCAAAACAAATTAAAAGCCAAATTTTATCATATTATATTTACTCGTTTCAAACATAAATAGCAACGCAATTCTGCTCTATTGCTCGATTTCGTCGCCTGTCACCTCTCTAATCGGCTCGTTGCATTTCGCCATCGATTCGTCGCCAGTTATTTGGTGACCGGTCGCGACCAGCTTTTGTTCAAACTTTGCGAAATATTGTCTTCACAGTCACATGATCACTACGTGTTTTTTTAAAAATATGATTGTCATTATCTCAAATTCCTTATTAATTTCAATTTTTTCAGGAGAACAATGGCCTCAATGGAAATGCATTCATTTAATCGCGATATGCAACCGTTGATGGATGAAGGAGCCACGCAAATGATCGAGGAACGCGTGAATACCGCATTTGGAGCGATTAAAGTGTCGATCTATGGCGATCCGAACGATAAATCGAAAATTCCGATTGTGACTTTCCACGATCTTGGGCTTGATTGTATGAATTGATTGATCGAGTTAAAAAAAATGTAATTATTGATTTTTGTTTCAGCGGAGAGCAACTTTCAAAACTTCTTCCAATTCGTCTCAATTGCCGAATTTGCTGATAAGTTCTGCATCTACAATATCAACGCGCCCGGACAAGAAATGGACGCGAAACCGCTTCCGGAAAACTACGTTTATCCAACAATGGACGGACTAGCGAAAATCGTCGAATCGGTCGCCGAGCACTTCAAGTAACGATTTTCGTTGTCAGAAAAATAAGAAAATTCGAACAATTCAAGACTTGATCAATTCATTTGCTTCGGCGTCGGCGTCGGCGCCAACGTGTTGCTGAGATACGCGTCCAACAACCAGAATCGAGTGATCGCGTTGATATTGGTGAATTGTTGCTCGGGAAAAGCGGGATGGGTCGAATGGGGCTACGAGAAGGTGAACGTGAGAAATTTGCGCGGAAGCGGCGTCACAAATTTCACCATCGACTACCTTCTATGGCATCATTTCGGACGGCGAATCGATCAGTGCAGCTCGGATATTGTCCGACAATATCGTGTGTTCTTCCAGCACCTTCCCAATCCGCAAAATCTTGCAAGCTTCATCGAGAGCTACATTGAGTGAGTCGCAAATCGAAATAATTGTGAATGTTGAGCAATGTTTAGACGAACACCATTGAACATCTCGCGAGACGGATCGACGGGAGTTCAACTCAAAGTTCCCGTATTGCAAATTGTCGGCGCTGGAAGCGCGCACGTCGAGGACACCGTCGAAGTCAACACGAAATTGGATCCGGCGCACGCCGACTGGGTGAAAATCTCCGACTCGTGCGGTCTGGTGCTCGATGATCGGCCGGAGGCGGTGACGGAGAGCCTGATGCTCTTCCTGCAAGGCCTCGGCTATTGTAGGTGGCGAAATTGTTGGCGTCGTTGATCCGCAATTGATTTCAGTTCCGACGATGAACGTGATGAAATTGATGAAGCAGATGCAGGAGACGCAAAACGGGCAAGCGTTCGCGTCGTCGATCACCGAATCAAATGAATATTAATTGCTTCAACAATTTCGATAATTGCTCATTTAATCATTCCACAATTGATTTAATAATGTTGTGTGTAGGCTTTCGCCTTTTACTAATCCCGCCATTCTTAGTGTCGCTGTGATGTCCATCGTCATTGATGGATTTATTAACAACTCAGAGAGTTTTTTGCATTATAGCTTTATCCTACTTGTTCATTTATCTTTGTGTCGACATCTATTCATATAATTTAGAGACCATCGTATTACCATCGCAAAAAAAAACGAGCGCCTTTCATAACCCTTTTTTCGAGGCGGCAATTCAAATTCGAATTTAAACACGCGGGAATTCGGATACCGTAATCTGGATAGCCTGCGAATCAAGCTCGCTTTTTTTTTTTGCGAATGTAATATTATTATTCTTCTTGGTTAGAATCGAGCTTTCATAAAAAAACGAGAAATTGAGAATTGATTACAATTATTGAAACGTTTTGTTGGATATATATATATTGCTGATCGAAGTGGTTCGTTTTCGTTGAAACAAAAATTCCCACAACTCTATTTAGAATTTATATTTGGTTTTATGATGTTGTTTTTTTTTCTTGTTTCGGAAATTTCAGGTCAAATTCAGTTTGCGGAGAATTGTAGTGGACTGACGCGATTTGAAATATTTGAATTTCGCGCCGCTTCAGTTGAATTGGTAACATAATATCCGTTTTTTTCCATACGAGACCCCACTACCTAAATTTCTCCACGATATTATTGTCGGTGTCAAACAATTGAAGAGAGGAAATTCTTGAAAAAAATAATCGTTGGCTGAATATTAAATGCGCGTACGTTATAATGCATTGTACGCAATTTCACCTACTTCTAAAAATATATTGGCACGTAGCCAATCATTTTTTTAAATTTTGTCCACTCGTTTGACTCCGACATTCTAAAAGGACAATTTTGAAGAAAAAAAATTCGAATTTTTGTGAGAAAATAAAATAATTGAAATATTGCAGGCGGCGCAAATCGGCAATGATGCAGTATGACGCGAAAATGGACGTGATGGACACGTCGGACCACACGTGGTTCGAATGTTTCATCGATCCGGTGAAAGCGCGAAAAGTGTTGCGCGATCCGGCGATGAAAAAAATTCTGCCGCGATTGTGCATTCAGTTCACCGAGAAGGGATTTCTCGCCGAGAAGGAGCGCGAGAAAATTGGCAAATTGGCGATTGGTTAGAAAAAAAATAAACAAAAAATCATTATTTAAAATGTATTTATTTATTTATTACAGAAGAACTGAATTTGTTCGATCGAAAAGCGGCCAGTATGCGATTGTGCGCGATGGCGGCGTTTTCGGCGCTCGATTGGGATATCGATTACATCATCGACAAGTAATTTTTTTCGCTTAAAATCGTAGACTATACAGAATATCCAATAGTTTAAATTTGAATTGCCGCACCTCCCGCGCAACGAAAACATTGAAATTGCGATGGTCCATAAATACTCAGACAATTAATTTCTGGAATGAAAAATTTGGTTGAGCCGAATCAGTCGCCACAAGTGCCAGATCCCTTGCTGACATGCGCCTTGAATACAGTAATCCTAATACGGTCGAAATATATTAGTTGCGGTATTCAATTTTTGTTGGAATTTTTGAAAATGATGGATTAGTTCAAATTGATCATTTTTATTTTTTATTTCTGACCTTTTCGTGAAAATAAATGGAAACATGGCAGAAAACTGAGCGAATACCGTAATTAAAAAAAAATAGAGGCGCAAGACGTGAAATGGTCGCGTGGGTCTCGCAGTGAAAAATTGAAATTGAATTTCTGTGAATTTTTTTTTTGTAAAATATTTGGGAATTCGCTGAAATTCGCATTTTAGTCCCATAAAATTAATAAATTATTTTGTGCAATTTTAATATTCTGAATTTCGAGACAATTTGTCGGAAATAAAAATTATTTCTTTTTTTTGCAGCGTTTCACGATATGAGCTCCTCACACTTCGAGTATTGGCAGACTACACGTATAAAATATACAACGAGAAGAATCTCGACGCGACATTCGGCAATTGGCTGTTCTATCGATTTGTGATATCGATTGATCGGCGGAGTCGAATACCGCCGCCGGCGCCGAAGGCCACAATTCCGACGCTGTAAGAGAAATAGTGGCGTTTTTTTTTCTAAATAAGCAAGTCTCCTGTGATTCTCTTTTTTTTTTTTTCTTCAGGTACAATCAAATGACAATGAACGATTTGTCGTATATAAGGCACGAAAAAGTGCAAAAAATGATTGCGGAATTGCGCACGAATTTGCCGAAAGCGCGAGCGTTCATCACCGAGTTGTCCGAGCAGCCGAAAGACGTGATCGCGCCCGGCGTCGAGTGTTTCCTGCAGCCGTTTGCGACACTCGCGCCAAGGTTGGTAGCCCAATTGGGGGCTCTTCGAATGGAGCATGATTGTTTCTTTTTTGCAGAGCACTATCGGCCGCTTTGATTGGCAATCGCGATGTGCTCATCGAGATTCCCGAATGCAATTTCGACATTGAGAAATTTGTGCTGCCCGCCGACGATGTCGCCAATAAGGTTTGGATTTCTTTTTTTGAATTTGAATTTTTGATCTTTGTCGCTCATTTTTCTCTCTCTTTTAGTGTCGAGCCGAACTTGTCTCGCTTTTATTCACGTGTGGTGAGCTTCGAGAAGCCAAAAGGATAATGAGCAAGGTATTTTTAGTTTTATTTATTCCGAAAAAAATTGAAAACTCGATATTTTTTGTTTTCAAGATTCATCGGCCGAAAATTGCCCATAAAATGACAAGCATCGATGAGACGATGCTCAAAGCCTACAGTATGGTGTTGAATGTGAAATCGCCGTTCGTGACGGGATCGACACTCATTAAACCGATGGTTTTCGATCAGAAAGTAGCGCCGCTGGTTTTTGAAATTTTCCATATCAAAATTGCATTTGTAGGTGCTTTTGGACGACAATTCGCCGTATCGAAAAAGTGAATTGTTTCGCGAACGCGGCGAACAAGAAACTAGCGGCCAATTGCAGGTTTTCGGTTTTTCGAGTTACCAATTTTTTTTTGAATTTCAGATGGTCTATAAATCGGAGAATGCTGCGAAAAGTATATTCGATGGCCATCCGGAATCGGTTCGCGAGAAGGTTTCGTCGAAAGCGACTATTGAGCGATTTGTCAAGGTTTCGATTTGTTTTTTTTTTGCTCTCATTTTATTAAAAAAACCCATCAATTTGAGTAAGTGTGGACGATGGCATTTCATTTTTAATTGACGATGGGCGGTAATTCAAATTTTTGAGCAGTGCGAATTCGACAAGCTCTCACCCTGAATTACATGATTGTAGGTCTTGAAGCGACACTTGTCGAATTTGGGCAACGATGTGCAGAAGAAGATTTTCATCAACGGCTACCTGCAATTCCTGTGCGCCACAATTGTCGATTTACGGCCGACACTTGAGCGCAGCGGATTCGATGTTTCGCAATTGAGAGATATCGCGAAACCGTCGCCGTCGACGCCATTACAACCATTGCCGACGAGTCAAATGATTGATGGTGAGTGGAAGTACATAATTTCGATTAGTTGGCAATTCTTCGACTAATTATTTGAAATAGTCGAGAAATTGAGAAGAAGCAAAACGGGAAAACAAAAAGATTGGCCGGAGACTAGTCTGAATTGTGTTGGTTTGGCGATCGCACTCAGACCCGCAGCGATTCGCTGCGTATTGCCAGCCGAGGCCGTGTCCCAATCCCGCCGAAGCGGGAGAACATTTCTTCTACAGCCTCTCGTCTATGAAGACCGAACGCCTCCTGGGCGTCACCGACGACGTCGGCGGCTTTCTCTCAGACCTTCCCGGGGACCGCATGAGGCCATCAAAGGCCTTTGTGTTTCCCCCCTGCGCCGTCTTCCGGCCAATCTCCGTCGAGCGGCCACTCGCCGCCCGCTTATAATAGTGCGTGTTGGCCGCCTGCCGACAACAACCGGGTTTCGCCGCCCTCGATGTTTTGTGTGCGATGGGGGCGGAGCGTCGCGGTTGTCGTCACTCATTTTTTTTAATATATATTTTTTTCAAAGATTTTTCAATTCAATTCCAGCTCTCGTCCAGAATAGCGATCCGTTTTGGATAATAGTCACCAAATTCAATTTGGAAACACTTCGCGATGCAATGACCGAAATGGGACCGTTTTGGTTTCCGAATACGGTAATTTAAGCAATTTGTCCAATTTTTTTTTGTGATAATTGGGTGTTTTTTTTCCAGATGCCCCACTCTGAATTTCTCGATGATATTGTGAAAAAGAGCAAATCGTCGCCGAATCACAATTTGCAGAGGCTTCTTCTTGCGAAATTAGAGCAACTCTCCAAAATGAGGGTAGGAATTATTCAATGCTTTTTTAAAAGGGGGAAATGGCCTCAAAAATCAGGAAAAGACCAACAAAAAGAATGCGACGTTTTTTTGTCCGCTTCGAATTGTCGTCAAATAAAATGCACAAGTCCGCAATGTCATTTTCAGGCATTTAAAGTCTAGTTTGGCGGTTCTTTTTTTTGCAATTTTAATTTTTCCAGAATTTCAAAGCATTCACAACCCGCTTGCAAGAATATTTCGCGGAAATGGGCGGCTCGGCACAATGGGTTTTGCAGGCGACGTTTGAAGTAGGAGGAGCCTGATTGATTGAGAAATCTGTTTTTTTTCTACAGAGCATCCATGTGCACGCGGCGGTCGGCAATCATTGTTGTTTTTTGCCATACGAGCGAAAATTCCATGAAGTCAACGTCGAGCAGACGTCGCTCATATTTAAGCCCGATTTTAAGCCGACGGAGAACAGCGCGAAAATGATCAATCAGTGTATGGCGCTTTTGTTGAATCGCGGCGAATTCAAGACGGTTTTGGAGAAAGGCGGACAGTGGGTTTTGATTTTTTTTCGAATATTTGAGAAATTTGAATAGCGTGGTCTATTAATTAATTAGGGACCTTAAAATTAACAATGCTGATTGTCTGACAAATTTTCAAAAATAATCAAATTCTTTTAAAATGTACCATTTTTCGTAATGATGATTAAATTTGACAAAACTCACTCGCGAGACCCGCCAATTCAAAATCCTGCCTTGAAACTGAAATTTGCAGCATACCGATTGAGCAGTTCCCGTGTGTGCCGGTCGCACGATTGCTGGGCGCCTATGCGCACAATATAAGCGATCAGGCGATGACGCGAAAATGCGCCGATGGATTTTCGCATACGAATTCGGTGAAATTCACGGCGATTCAGAAAAAGTGAGAATTGTTTTTTTTTTGGTTTGATGTGGAAAAAAATGTCCATAGTTTATTTAGTAGAATTACAAAATTCAATTTGTTTTTTTTTTCTTTTTGAGAAAAATTTGAAGAAATGCCGGAATTTGTTTTTTTTTTCTTTTTGAAAAAAATTTGAAGAAATGCCGAAATTTGTTTTTTTTTCTTTTTGAGAAAAATTTGAAGAAATGCCGGAATTTTTTTTTTTTATCGAATGTGTGCAATTTTGCGTGAGCGTTTTGGCGCACTTTTTTCAAAATTGATGGTCAAGAGTGCTCAGCTTTAAAAATTTTTTTCAACAAAAGATTAAAGACGCATGACAACATTGAATAATTTGTAATAGAGAAGCGATTTTGTTATGAGAGACCGAAAAAGAATGGACAAATTGCGTTTTGCTAAAAAGTTTTGGGGGCAATTTTACTCAAAAATCCGCGTTTCAAATTGTTGTCATGATTGTTTTTTGTCAAAGGGACTCAAAATTCGACATCGCGAAACGCGACATCGCCCACCTCCTTCATTTGTTCAATCTGATTCGTCAGCCGCTGCTCGTCGAATTCATTCTCGCCTACATTGTGAGCGTTCACAATCGCGCGGTGTCGACGCAAAACCGGCCGCAATTGAAATTGCACGCGAAACTTTTGCCGTTGTTCGGCAACGAGAACACGCCGATCGAGTTGAGCAACGCCGAAGACGTCAGGCAGTGTTTGCGGATGATGTGCGAGAAGGCCTACAAGATATTGCGAGCCGACGCCGACGCGATTCGCACCTACGCCGATTTTTTGTACGTCGAAGGCGATTATCAGGCGGCCGGCGAGAAGTACATGGAATATTTTGCGGCGCATTCGATCAATTTCAAAATCAATGGATCGGCCGACGCGGTGTTCAATGAGACGGTTTTGTTTTTTCTTTATGATTTGCTGAAATTCGCGTTTTCAGCTGATACGACGCCTTCGTGTGATTTTGGCCAACTCGGGCTACATGACAATGTCATATCTACTGTGTCAATTTATCAAGAATGGCAAACTTGATGAGATGAACAAAGCGGCTAGCATAAATGAAATGGTTGGGAATTGATGGGCTGTTGGTGTGTGATTCTCGAAATTTTTGCAGCTTCTTCAAAAAAATATGACGCGAGATATTGGCGCGAATTTGGCGGAATTCATCATCGACACCCAATTCATTGAAACGCTCTCCGGACATTATCACTCGCTGAAAATGAGCAAAGCGGTGAGCACATTGGTAAGCCGGAAAAAAATCACCTTGAGAATGAAAGCGTTTTTCTTTGCTTTCTTTTTTTTTAGTATAGCGGTGCAAGCACGTTGGCATCGAATAAAAGTGTTCCCGGACCATTGATTGTCCAAGAAGTTCATCGACGAACGGCGAAATTCATTCAAACGCTGGCCTCGATATTCTTCGGCATTCACTGCTAATTGTTGTTTTAACATTTTTCTTCTTCTTCATTCAATTTTTCAACCAGCTCGTAATCTGACGGGTGTTTTGTTGTATTGTCGACGTCGCGCGGCTGCGAAAAATTGGCGAAACGCAAAAAAATTTAAAAGGAGATCGCGGTGTGCGCCTTTAACCTATCCTCAGTCACGTAAATCAAGACTTTTAGTTTAGCGCCAAGACTACTAATATTATCTTTTTTGGGCATTTTGCCAATTTTCCGCACTCGCGCGACGCCGACAATAGTAAATATTTATATGTGCGTTGCTTTCGATTAATATATATATAAATATATATGGAATATAGATTTTATTTATTTTTCCGGTTGATGAGATCAAAAGTCCGAAAAACTATTGTATTATTAAAACCAATCAATATTACATGCACGATATATGCTACAAGCTTCTCAATTTTGTACAATTTCGCGAATTCACGGCAAAATGCTGAAATAGTCGTCGAACGTATTGTAGAGCTTCCCATTATCCATGAGCGCGTTGACATTGTCCATGAAATTCTTGACCGTCGTCCCACTGCCGGCGTATCGTCGAAGCGTTTCGAACGACACGCCGTCGTTGTTGTTTTGATGCGACGGGAACTTAACGAAATAGTCGAGAATCTGAAATTTTGTTCGGGTTTGGCTCGATTTAGAGTTTTGGCATGCAGCCAATAAAAAAAATTAATTTTTGTGCATTGCCCTTTGACAATAATTAAGGACTTTTTCATGAAATTTATCATTTTTATCTTTTTTTTGCATTAATATGTCCAAAAATAGATACCTTTCGCTGTATTTGCTCATTGTTGCTTAAAGGGGGCTTCGTGAGAGTTGGCTTAATCATAGGTTCGATTTTGATTTTCTCATCGACACGCTTTGGCGGCGCGAGCATTCCGGTGAGATTATCGGTTTCTCGACGCCTGATTTTATCGATGACATTCTAAAAATGGTATTTGAAATATTAAAATAATATAGAATCACCTTTTCGAAAAATAAGCGAGATGCTCGCGCTTCAAGACGAAAAATTGTGTAATCCTTATCGTCGGAAATCTCGTCGACAAAATAGGCCATTAAAACTGTAAACGACAAAAAATAAAGATTTCCAGAGATTAATTTAATGTATTGTTTGGGTTAACTCAAATTTCCTTCGAATTCTTTAATTTTTCCGATGCATCTGATGCGAATGCCCTCGACGATCATGTCGTCGTCGTTGGTTGTGTTTTCATTGCTGCTATACTTTTGGACGATGATTTGTTTCGCGGGAAACTCGGGATCTTGTAGTGTGTAAATCGAAGCGCCGTTCGATTCCTCCATTGAAAGCACGGTGCCGATGATTTGAACCTAGAGAAACATATATTCGATTCGTTGGCATTTCGGTTAGCACTGTTGAGAAGCTATAAAAGGCGACGACGTAGTGATCGCTGGAATCGTTGATGTTTGCAAGTAGACTCGAAATTGTTACAGGTATTGGCATACGATCAACGAGCGCCGAAAACGAGACATTCTAAAAATGCATATTTCCTATTATTCAGCTCTTCTTCCATTTTTTTTGAATACCTGCTTTGAAATTCCCGACTTATCCAATGAATCATCAGAAGTGAAGCTTTGGCCAAATGATGTCCAGCTTGTCTCGAAATGTCCAATAAAAGTGCTAGCTTCCATTCGTTTTTTAAATAGATGATTTTTTCGAAGAAATTTGAATGCCAAACAAACTCCGCATTGATCGAGTGTGGTGTACGCACACAATGCATTTAAATCGACGACAATTCTATTCTATTCAAAAATTTCATTGTCGACTTCTAGAAAAATCACTTATTTTTCGAGTTATGAGTCTTTTTTTGAATTCTGCGATTGAATTGAGAGAATTCTACGATTGTTTTTTGATACGGTAATAGTTTTTAAAAGAAAATCGAATCGAATACGATTCATTTTTAAAATTTCTTTTCAGATCGATGTTTCGTCGAATTTAATTGATTTCCGGATTCCAGAGAACTCAAGAACACAACCTGGTGAAAATTATGCGATTAAAAGGTTTTTTCTATTTAATTATTTAATAGTTTCTTGAAAATTCTGTCTTTTCGTCAACTCCCGCCTACTGATTAATAATTTCTTGTTTTTGACCATTTTAGGTCTTATCACCTACCATCAATGATCGTTCGGCCATTGAAAACATCTGGTCGAACCAGGCTACAACATACCCTTTCGCCTCGTTTCCCCATGTCCCGTCCGGACGCTTATTATACACGTGTCGACGGAAATCGCGAGCACACTGTCGTCATTTTTGGATGGTCCGGCGCCGCCGACAAGAATGTTCAAAAATACTCGCAATTTTATAATTCGTTAGGGTAATTATTGAAGATGAACTCATTTTTTTCTGACTAGCATGCATTAAAACGATTAAGATATCCGACGATTCGATTCACGGCCGAAACGGAAATTCAAGGATTTGGGGTGAAAGTTGGGCAGAATTAATGATTTATTGTCATGTTTTTTTCTGAAATTCTTTTTCAGAACCTTCGAAACGTCGAGAAATTGGCGCAGTGCATCGAAACGCATGCCTCCGACAGTCGACTGATCCTTCAAGTGATGAGCATGAACGGCTTCGCCTCGTTGTGCTCGCTTCACCTTCAACAACCGCACCTTGGCGTATTGCAACGAGCCGATGGGATATTATTCGATAGCTGTCCGATTCAAAGTGTCGATTTCGGTTGGAGGAACTTCAAAAGCTACTCGGACGTTCTGGATTTTGTCATCAGCGAGAAAACGAGAGAATCGAACGCGCTAGTGAAATCGTATTACCAAATTTGGAAACTTGTCGAGATTGCGCGAGATGTCTATCAGCATTATAGGGTAAATTTGTATTTTCATTTATAAAATATGAAAAAATGGAATTTCTAGAACAGATATTTGATATTATTGGGAATTTATACCGCAGATCAACTCTCGTGCTATCATTATCTAATGAATCATCCGAATTTGCCGAAAATTCTTGCGTTTGTCTATTCGGACGCCGATATTATTTGCTATTCGGAGTAAGACTAATTAATTAATTTAATTATTGTTTTTTTGTGGAGTCATATTGAAGCTTTTCACGAGGGAATTCGCGCTCGTCGAGATGGTCCTCGCGAAATTCTTGTTCGTAGGTTCACCGATTCCGAGCATGTTGGCCATTTTCGGAAGCATTAAACCGCGTATTTGCAGTTAATTGATCAATTTTTAGAGAAAATTAATAATAATAATAACAATTTTTCGCTGAAACATAAATTATAATTTGGTAATGATTTATTCGTTATAAAAATTTGAAAGTTCATTTTCACAGCTTAATTTTTTAAAGACCAATGTAAAGAAAACGAAATTTTTATGCAGAAATAAAATATTTTTCATTTTTTTTTGTAGTGATATTTTTATGGCCCAAAACATAAGCAAAATTGTGTTTTCAAGATTTAAAATCTTCGATTTATACGGTAACAATTGTTATTGTAGGTTACGGTAATTGTAATAGACGCGCGTTTTTGAGGTGAGCATGAGCAATTCGAATTATCGGACCTTCGTTTTATTGGGAAATCTCTCGCTGAAAAAAATTGTTGAGACATTTGGGCTTTTTCACGTTGAGGAAATCGAGAATGATGAAGGGAAAAGTGAGTTTTTATTTCGGTTTGAGCTCAAAAATTTGTGAAAATCGAAGAAATGACGAATAAAAAAATTGTTTTTTAAAAAATGCTTTGAAAAAGAAGGAAATGTTTGCAGGTACATGGAGATTAATAACCTGACGCTCATCAATTTGGTGCTGAAATTCGCTGGTCCGATGCATGAAGCTGACCTGAGCTTGTATCTACTCGGAATTCAGCTCATGTGCTCGGCGCTCGCCTTCTTCATTCGATTATATTTGGCTTCTTTTGTGTATGATGCCGTTGATTGAAGCTTGAAGAGCGTTTCTGGCGCGATAGCTTCGTTTTTTTGAGGGAAATTCGTTTTTTTTTTTTCATTTTTGGTTCAAAAATTCCGATTTGGCGAATTTTTTGAATTGAGATTTTTTGTTGAGATCTTGCCATTGGTTTCGGCTTTATGTGATTTTAATACCGTATTTTTTGTTGATAAAATTGTTGAAGAAATCATAAAAGAAAAATCCCTCTTTTTTTACGCGTGATTTTCTATTAAAACTATTCAAATGATATTATTCTGCGTTCTAGAAATTTGATTAAAAAAAAGAAAAATTTTTAAATTGAATATTTGACCAATTTTCGTAGAACATTGTTAAAATATTTGTGATTTTAATTTATGTTTGATTTTTTTTCAATAGTAATTTGATCTATTGAGTGTTTTTTTGTCGCAGAAAAAAAGACACACGCGGACTACAACGTAGCTGACGAGAATTTCGACATTGATCATCGATTTTCTCTCGCGCGTCTCTTCAATCGACCCGATTCGGATTTGTCATTGTGTATTTTTCGATTTTTCAGCGTTCTTCTTGAATTTTTTTTTTGTTTCAGATCAACATCATTCCAACAATGCGACGAATCCGTCGTCGACGCCATCTGAAAGCCGCGGACTTCCTGCCGGTGAGTCCCGATTTCGTTCTGTCGTCCTTGTCATTTCATTCGCCGAATTCTGTGTGCTCCCCCGTGTGCTCTCGTCAAGGCAAATCGATCGGATTCGAAAAAAAATCAAATTTCGAAAAGTTCTCCAAAATTTGCAAACGAATATGATTTCAAAAATTGAAAAATCAATCGATATCATCGAATTTTATTTCGTTTTCAATTAAATCCGCTTAATTTTTAATCAATTTTTCTTCGAATTCGATTTATTTTCATTTACGTGAGTGACCGCCAAAGATTCGCCATGGCTTGATGATGGCCGACTTGTGTGGAATATTCCTTATTAGGTATTAGATTGACACTAGGAATGAATTGTCAATTTGAGCCGAAAGCGTCGACTGGATTCATTAAACTCTAATTAGGATCTTTTAATTGGTATCTTAATTAGATAATTTACTACTAGGTCTTCGTTCGTTTCAACTAGTCTTCCTGATAATTTGAAAATTTTAGAACGAATTTTTAGGTAATTCAGGAAAACTGGAAGGAAGCTAAAAAAAATCGAAATTTTTTTTAAATTCGCCTATTGCCATTAGAATTCACGAATTGATTTTTTGATTAGTCAAGGAATATTTCACGCATGTCGTCGTCGAAATTGCTCAATCCTTCCGAATTTTGCCAATTTTTTTTTGTTTCGCGACCAATTTTGTGAATTTCTTCTCATTTTTCGTTGAATTTTGTCCATAAAAAGTGATTTGATTCATTGGATTTCTGGAAACGAGAGTTTGATTTTTTCGACAAATTTCCCGATTCTGCATTCGACTTGTTAGATAATTGAAATTTGAGAGCAGAATGTCGAAGTGTTTCAGCATTTGTCTGAAAATCAAAATTCTTCTATAGATTTTTTTTGTATTTTTGCATAGGGGTTTGATTTTTTGTCTAATTTTGCACTCAAATTGCTTGTTGAAATTCCAATTATGTTCTTTTTCAAAGTTTTTTAACAGGAGATGTGCGCTTAATTCCGCGGGAAATATTTAGGAAAATTGATTTTAAAAAAATTACCGTAGATAGTTAAAGGTACATGAAGAAAAATCGAAGATTTTAAATCTTGCAAAAACAATTTTGCTTATACTTTGAGCCATTAAAGTATCAAAAACTATTTTTTTTTCTGCATAAAAATTTGGTTTTATTTACATTGGTCTTTAAAAAATTAAGCTGTGAAAATGAACTTTCAAATTTTTTAAAGGGTTTTCATTTTTTAACATCAGTTTTTGTAGGCAAGACGGTTTTTTCGCAGTTTTTTTTAGAAAAAATTAATTTAAACTAGAAAAATTGAAGAACAACGAAATTTGCTGGATTTTGGATGAAAATTTTCGCGAGAAATTTCCCGAATTGTCATTTTCGCACAACTCTGCAAAGTTCATTCGATATGGAATTTCACGAGCAATTTGTGGGCCGCAAACTTGGAAAAATTTTCAAAGTGCGGCAAACGCACTTTTTTTGAAATTTTTTTTGGAAATTGTGATCAATTTGGGTGATTTTGTCATGTTTTTTTGAAGTTTCACTAATCAAATTGGTTTGAATTTTCTTAATTAGGCTGTAATTAGACTTCTAGAATTTTGATAATTGAATTTCAACAAAATTTCAATTTTGACAATATGTGGATGTTTGTAGTGATCAATTTTATATTTTTGATGAAAAATTTCATAGGCAATTGAACATAGATTATCATCCCTAATTAGGATAATCAAAACAATTTATTTTTAGGTTAATGACGAATTAATAAATTGAGAGGCTAAATGTGTCAGTTTAATTAGAATTTGTCAGAAATCCAGAGTCTAGGCGTCAATTAAGGATTAATTAACAAATAAATTAATGCATATAGTTGGCGTCCTGCGACTGCTTTACGCGGGTATATTTACGGAGATGCGTCTTTCCCTCGGTCTCGTGTGGCGAGACCTTTGGCGCACTCCTATAACGACCGCGTACAGTAGTCGCCGGACTATATGCACCGAATTACAGTAGATTTTTGTCATGGGCTAGCGATCAAATTCTTAAGCATTAAAGAAAAAAAACTTTAAAAAGAAAACATGTCAATATTCCTCGAATTGGTCATAATTTCCTCGCTGTTTCCAAGATCTCAGTGAATCAAAACACTTTAATGTAAAAAATTAACAAAACAACGAAAAATGAAAAGAAATTATTAGAATTGGTCATGAAACGAGGCAATAATTGGGGAAGATTGAGCGATTTTGTCGTCCAAGTCATGGCAAATCGATGGGGCCAATGGGAAAAAACACAGAATTCGGAGAAGGAGGGCCTGGGGGATGACAGAGCGGAATTGGGACTATAGAAGGTCGGGAGGAGTCCGTGCATCTGAATAGAAAAAAAAGGGGGGCTGATTACTTTTTTTTTCAAAATTTTGCGAAATGATCGTCTCTCCCATTTAGCGGCTCCTCGAATTTTTTCGGCGCCTCCTCCACCCCCTCGTTTCCCGAGCCAAAATCGCAAAAAAACATAATGCACAAAACAGCCGAAAAATCGCCCTATTTTTGGCCATTTTTGGTCAATTTGAATTTTGTTCGATTTTACCCAAAATGGAAATTCGTCGTTTTTGAGACCTCTCGCAAGCGGGTGTCAATAAGACATGCACAACAACCGACGCAATTTTGCGGACCGATCAGGAGTACTGTGAGGATACCGTGTAGTAGAACCCTACAGTAATCCATCACGGACCAATGCGCCAACTGGAATACAAGCTTAAAAACATTCGACTCAGAGATCAAACTACGAATTTCTTTTTGACCTTCGCTACGAGACTCGCACGATCAAATATTACAAGTTTTAATCAACAACCAATAGCAACCAATTAGAATAACCGACTAAACTACAGACTACCCCCCGCAAAATCTCAACAACAAATGAATAAATGGTGTACCTTAAAATTAATTGGAAAATTACTAAAGATTCTCGAGATACGCCAATCATTATGGGAATTTTTGGATTGAAGTTATTATTGATCGAAATCGATTAAAATCTATAGTATTTTGTGAAGATTTGAAAAGAAAATGGACAAAAAATTTTGAATAGAAGTTCAAAAATTAAAATATGAATAATGAATAAGTTTGATAGGAAAGTAATTGGAAGTCCTCCGTCACAGTCACCTGAACCCATTTACGGACCCAAAATAGCTCATTTTCAGGACTATTTCGTCACTCAGTGATGAAACCGCGAATTCGCGGGGGGGTCGGGGGCGAATTCGCCCCGAGGCGCGAATTCGCCCAAATCTCGAGCCGTATTCGCACTAATAGAGCAATTCTCGAGCGATATTTGCGCTATTAGCGACGATGTCGCCCATTATTTTCGACCACAGTTTACTGTAAGCCGAGTGGTGCATTGCGTACTAAGCGCAGGATCCCACGACATGTCCTTTTTTTTAAATATTTTCGAACTATTATTAAAGAGGTTTTTTTAGTGAGGCACTCGTTGGAAGAGTTGTTGGAAATCCGCAAAAATGAATATACCAACAAGGCGGAGAAAGAATCGCTGTAAGCGTTTATCCTGTTAATATATATATTTAAATTAAGTTTATTTATTTATAGATCGATTCAATTTGCCTGGTCATTATTATGATCAATCAGACGAGGACGATGACAAACATGAAATGGAATATGATGGTCAGTTGCAGTATTATTAAAATGTTGAAAAAGTTAAAATTAAGGGGAAGAAAATTAACAAAGAATGTTACGCGTAAATAATTTATTTTTTTAAAGAACGGCTTTCGGAAAATAAAGAGCCAATAGTGAATGGAGAAGAAGAAGAATGCAACATGGATTACTCAATGGATGTCGAAGAAAACGATGACGTCGAGAACTCAGAAGAATCTGTGAGCAGTATGAATGGCGAAGAATTCAGTGATGTGGGCGATGATGTAAGCGAGGATGATGCATTCATTGAAGAAACAGTGAATTTAGAAAGAAATGAAAAAAAACGGTTCGTTTGTTAATGTTTAAAAATGTCTTATTGTTTTAACAATCGCAAAAAATTAGAACTCTATGTTGATTTGCGCAGTTGAGTCGTAAACACGCGAACGCGAGTACGGTTACAATAATTAATGGCGCGATAAGAATGAGTATTATTTTTAATTGAATTCGTGTAAAAACATTGATTTATGAATGTTCCATTCGAGATTTCAATCTAGCTAAATTTAATAAAATATTAGGCATCTTGATTCACAATTTTCACTAGAATATTGCTATTTGCGCAAAAAAAGTTTGGTATCGCGAATGATAATTTTCTTTTTCAGTTAAAGGGCTTAGCTTTAAGCTTAAAATTTGTCCGTAAACGACAATTCTTGTTGCAGATCCAGTGTTCATTTCTTACATGAGGTTCATAGTAAAAAATAGGATTTCGGAAGAACAAGGAATAGTACTGGATGGTGTTATCGAGCTGGTTAATGAGCACAGAACGGTAATAAAAATGCAAGCATTAAAATAAGGTGTTTGTTTTTAGTAGTAATGAACTAAATTTGGAAATGTTTAACAACGCTGCGCACAATAAAATGGATATAGGAGAAATAAGCCCTTCTCATCGAGACACGTTGAAAACATTTCCCCTCGACTTCGCCGAATTGTCATTCAGGTTGAAACAGTTTTTTTTTTAATTTCAAATGGATACATTATTGTTTTCTAGAAAAAGAGCGTTAGTCGAAATGGGTGGATCTCGCAAAATCGTCAGTAGCGAGTACTACAAGAAAGCAAGGGAAACAACTCAATGTTGTGTTCAATTTCGTGGTTCGAACGGTCGTAGATTCGGTTTTATAACAGTTTTTGTTGTTTATCGTAACATTTTGTACGCTTTAATGCGTATTCCTGAGCCATTAGCCACCAACATTAAATTAAAAGTTATACATGCCGCATCATTAATAAGTTCAGCTGCAAAGGATTTTCTTAGTATTATTAATTCTTTCGATTCAACATTTGAGCCGGTTTCTTCTGTTTTTGAGTACTGCCTAGTTCCGGTTAAATTATTTGTTTCTCCTTCTATTGCCATTACTATTGATAACCAACAATTTCTAATAAATGTTTGAACTGTTATTCTGTCGGTTTTTATTGCCTATTGCGTTACATAACGTTTCTTTTTACTTGTCGTATACAATGAACAATGTAAAATTAACTATCCTATAGCTTTCTGCTTCTCTAATGTCGCAACAAACTCCTCTCCCGACCGACTACGTATACGACCAAAATGGTAATTATTCGAAAATAATAATTATTATCTTAAAAGGTTTTAGGGCGAGTGTACTTGAAACTTGAATCAAATGATCAATCTAATCAAATGAGAAATGAAAATGTCAACTTGTCAAGTAATCTAGGTTATTTTTAATGTTTATTATTGAAATAAATATCATGACAGAATTGTCCTTTTGAAAGATTAGTTTTGGTTTATTCAAATAGGGAAAATATCGAAAACATGAAAGAAAAAAGTGATAATGCAAAGAAATATAAAAACTTATGATTCACATGAGATGAGGCTACTGCAAAATGTGCTTACGTAAATCACTTCATCAAAATTTTCTTTCAATAACTTCCCATTTTAAGGTTTTTTTCGCTTTTTAGATATTGGAGATTATGGACAAACTGCTTCGATCTCTAGTGTATCAATCGATACCCACAATCGCTTACAGTCGTGTAATGAAATTTCGATTCTCCGTTCAATGCCTGCTCGCTTCAGTCAACAAGCGCGTTTTGTACCAGTACCGAGCAACTACTCTGAATCTCCAATTTTCGGTATAAAGATCAATGTTCCTATAGCAATGAACGATTTCAGAGCAACTGGAAAAATGTGTAGAGGGGAGTGTTTTAAAAGTTGAACAGTGCGGATTGATTATTTCGCGAGCATCAAGGGTTGGCGCACTGGACATTAATATTGTGAAGGTTTGATTTATTTTGAAGTCATTTACATGAACAGTGGTTTACAGAAATTTGCAAATCGATTTTATCGACAAATTAGATCATTCGAACACCCAACAAACGTCGATTATACGAATGTCAGTAGTGTGGGAATATTATTAGCGGCGAGAGTTGTTCTCGACGAAATCCAAGAAAAAAAAAATGCAATGATGGCCATGGAACTCCAAAAATGCAAAGTTCAACCAACTGGTACTCTTGATATCCGAGGGTCGGCGACCAACGTATTGCAAGAACATGTTCTTCCAGAGTTCGGTGATTTTAGAGTAATTTAGTACAAGCAATAAAAAATAATAAGTATGGAATTTTAGGAGCAACGCATAGATATTGGACAGTATCCGTCGCCATCGTCGAACAAATCCCACTTAGTATTGCAGCACTATTTGTTTCATATTTTAAAGACGGTAATTTTTTACATTGTGGCCAAAAATTAACTGGACTAATATTTCGAGCTTCCCACTTTGGAGAAAAAACGTTTTAAACGAAATAGGCGTTTCTGTGTTTTTTTATTTGTTTATTTCATAGTTCCAAATAATACATTTAATAATTACGAAATTGATAAAATTTATAAGAATATTTTAAAAGTTAATTAAATTGGGATAAATTTTTATTCCATAACGGGACTATTATTGTTTCTTTCTGGTGTGAAATCTCAAAATTTCTCAAAAAAATATGGCTAAATGTTTGTAAATAGAAATAATTAATTTCGAATTTGGATAACACTTAAAATAACATCCAAATAAGAGAAGCAATATTATATAAAAGTTCGGTATCAAAGTCACCAATATTCAATAAACTACAGTTTTTAATGTATACATCAGATGTTATACAGTCCGCTTGATTTTGGGCTACGCTATAATGCACATGACCCCGATAAATTACTATCTCGAAAGCATTCTAACTCAGAAAATTCACATTCAGGCTTGTAATCCACCAAGGCTCATCCAAAAATATACGCATGGTAATCCTCGGAATAATGACAAGCTAATCAAGATCCCCGATGAAATCTTAACGGTATTAAAAGGTTAATTTCATATTCAAAAAATATTCATATATTGAATTAACGATTTCAGAGTATTTCTTAGCGTATTTCTGCTTAAATGAAGAAATCCTGGATCAGCCGTATCCAGATTTCGATGAATTGTCGATGAATTCAAAGTAAGCTGAGAATATCTTCAATTATTTTAAACTTATTTCAGATTCTTTAACGCTCTAGGTCTGAACCGAAGTGAGAAGATCAGTGAGTTCAAAAAGCTCACTGTTGCGAAAATCCAGTTCGCATCTGTATTTGATGCGCAAATGTACAGTGCGCTGGCTGAGCTTCGCTATGGTCGCTTTAGCGATGATGGTGAATTTTCAAGAAGAAAGGTATTAATTACTATATTAATTCCATTTAATTAAATGAATCCATTACAGAGGAAACTTCTTGACAAAGCGCCGAAGGATTAACTGTCTTCATTACTCGGATTACGATTCTATCGCCTTTGTTTTATTTTAAATGTTTTTTTTGTTATTATATTAGTTTGTTTTTTTGTTGTGCGTTTTTATAGATAAATTTTTTTAAATTGAAGTGGAATAAGATATTTTACGATGGGTTGATGGGCGAATTCGCGATGGGTTGCTGCGCGAATTCGCGATGGGTTGCTGCGCGAATTCGCGGAGGGGACGGGGGCGAATTCGCGATGGGTTGCTGCGCGAATTCGCGATGGGTTGCTGCGCGAATTCGCGGAGGGGACGGGGGCGAATTCGCGATGGGTTGCTGCGCGAATTCGCCTAGTGGTAGGGGCGAATTAGAACCAATACCACGGGCGAATTCGCCCCTGACCCCCCCGCGAATTCGCGGTTTCATCCCTGAGCAATGTTTTGAAATAAGAAAATTAAAAATAAGTGGATTTGAAAAATGATGGTGAAATTATTCTATTGTCGGCGTCAAACATATAAAATTGATGCAAAATACGAAATAAATTATCGTAATAGCCAAGAAACCACAAAAATTATCTATAACAAATTGCCCCAACACATGAGATTTAATGCTTAGTAATTTTTACGTGGATTAGAATATAAAGTTTCGTTTAAAAAACGCAATTAAATACTAAAATCACCACGCTTTAAAATAATTTAAAAAACGAGAACCTTGCGAAATTGGGGATCATTTTTTCGATTAGGAAAATCAAAAATTAAATTAACACTGTAGAAATGTCTGCGAATCAGACTCAACATAATTTGACGAAGGGTAAATTGGTGTAGGTTTTTTTGCGATTGTAATATCATTAACGGGTTCACATCTATCTAGATCATAATTTTTTGAATATTAAAATGAATATCCAAGGGTTTAGATTCTAAATTAAGCAAAGTGCTCATTTATTTTTCAACTCTAAAATCCCCCAGTAAATCTTAGCAGAAAATCTAATTGCTTCTTAAATATTATAGTCCACAAACGCGCCCTATAAAAAAGTCTCGTTGCATAGCACCCTCTCAATCTCCCTCTATGCCTCTCGCCTTTTTTCTCTGCGTCTCTCATATTTCTCTATTGTTTGTAGTATGATCCCGCAGCACTATTTAAGACCGAGTTCCCCTCATTCTGGCAGTCTAATTTATAGACTCAATAAAGTCTTTTTTAATACCAAACCTCGTGTACCACAAACACACGCACACACGCAAACATACTCACCAGCAAACACAACACTAAATATTACCCTAATTAGTTTAATTACTCAAAACTAGAATTATCGGTAACGATTCCCGTAGCGAATATCACCAGGTAAAATCGAACAATCTTCAAAAAGAGCAAAAATGGCCAAAAATTACGGGGTCATTTTAATCAGCTGTTTTGTGCATCATGTTTTCCTGCAATTTTGGCTCGGGAAATAGCGAGCTTCGGAAACGACGAGAAAAATCCGAGGAGCCAAGGGTTGTACTACCGATCAAGCCGCTTCCAGCCGTTGCACAGAACACTCTGAAATCAACAACTATTTTGTTTAAATTGCTCACATCATACATGCAATGGGGCGGGTCAGGGTGAAAAAAATTTTTTTTTCAAATCGAAAATGAAACGAAAACAGTGAAAGCTGGGGTTCAATCAATTTTGTTTGGGGGCTTCTGCGCGATTTTTGTCCCAAGAACAATTAATTCTAGTCAAAATAATGCAATTCCAAATTCTTATTACGCTAAACAAAGGCCTCGCTGTAAACTTGGAGTGTCGATGGCGGGTCGACCCGGAAAGTATGGCTCACATTTTAATTGGCCCACCGCTTGAGATTTTTCGTCTAAAATCCATGGCGAATCTGCATCGTACTGAATTGAAAATTCTAGAATAAAAATAATAATAATGTCTGGGATTTCGTAGTATTAACAAACCTTCGACACTCCGCACGGGACCATCAGTGTCGTCTCCACAGGAAATTTGTTGAGATATTATCTGAAAAATATGTCAATTTGAGGAAAAAATGATATTAAATATATCTCAACGAAAGAAATATGAAGGATTAAAATAAAAGGATGTGAGAAAGAATAGTTACGGATCAAAACACACACACACACACAAAATTATTGATTAAATCGTAAGTTTTTTTTAAGAGAATCGCCGATAAATTGCTCAAAACGAACATTGCACAGAATATAGGCATCGGAAAACACAAATAATTCGATGATGATAATGAGAGATCAAAATACACACACAAAATTAATCGATTTTTTTTACTAAACATAGCACATTTCAAAACTAGCAAAAAAGTCGAAAAATAAATCATTTGAACGGCGTAATTTCAGTGAAAACATACTGACAATACAATATAGAGCAAGTCTCATAAAAAAATTAATGAAAAATCCGCGTAGAAAAGGTGAAAATCGGCAAAACTTGCAAAGAATTGATTATCGATTCGATGACGGATGGTGTCGCCAAAAACGCGTCAGCTAAATTGTGATTGGCGTATTTGGCGTGCGGCTGACGCAATTCTTTAAATTCGATATTGCAAGAAAAAATCTTTTGCAAAAACATAAAAGTGGCAAGAGAAATGAAATAATCAAATTATCCTAGTGAATGATGTATTTCGGTGTTCAATAAAATTATTTATTTATGAAATTAACCATGTGAATGGCTCCAAAAGTTGTTTTTCGTTTCCTAAAAATTATTAAAGAAATACATGATTTATTACGATAAAACGCAACGAACAAATTTCAATTCCTCATTTTCTTTTCAAAAAAAAACTTGAAAAATATGCGTAGAAAAAGTTAAAACCGGCAAAATGCGCAAAAATATTGATTATCGATTCGATGACGAATGGTGTCGCCAAAAACGCGTCAGCTAAATTGTGATTGGCGTATTTGGCGTGCGGCTGACGCAATTTTTTAAATTCGATATTGACAGAAAAAAATCTTTTTTAAATTTGCGAATTTTTTCATTAGGGCTTCAAATTCCTGAAAATGATTTTTTCTAGATGCTGCTAATATATAGCACGTCGAAAATGAGCATTGAGCGAGCGAACAAAAATTTGCTGGTTTTGCTCGTTTGCCTCCCAAATGCGCACAATTTTCGGCGTCGCCAAATTTTCTCGTGTTCACCGGTTTGCGCACAATTTTTAGTTTTTTCAACGGCGGTCAAAGCACGTAAAAATTAAACAACAACAACAAAAAAAAAACGAACCCCTCACGCTGGAAAATTTGTTTTCCAGAATCGAAAATATTCCAAAATTTCAAGGAATTTGGGCAACACGCGCGCAAAAATCACAATTTTTGGCATTTTTTGACAAATCGGCGAATCGCCATCGGCACCATCGTGTTTGCGTTCTGTTTGTGAATTTGTCAACACCAAAATCGATGGCGCAATTCACCGCCCTCGCCAATACTTCTCTGGTAACTCAAAACCAATCGGATCCGACAAAATTTGGTTCAGGAATCAACCTTGTCGGATCCGATTGGTTTTTTGGGTATTTTGCGGATCCCATTGGTAATGTTTCCGATCCGATTGGATATTTGTCGGATCCGATTCGAAATCAAAGATTAAAACCAAACCGATTCGATTAATAACCAATCGGATCCGAAGATACCCCAAAAACCAATCGGATCTGACAATTTTCCAATTTTATCAGTAGAATTTCCAATCGCATCCGGTTGATTCTGGAGCCAAATTTTTCGGATCCGATTGGTTTCCTGATACAAACGTTCTACTCTTCATTTTTGAAGCTTCTCAACGACATTGATCAATTACGCGAACGTGTTCAGGCTCGATTTATTTTTTATCAATCGAAAATCAAATATTCAAATCGAACCTGATTAATTTATATTTCGTTTTTCTTCGAATCCGTTATATATTTATTAACGTAATTGAACACATCTTTTTTTTTTTGAAATATATTTCTTCATATTTTAACGAAAATTCTTATAGATCATAAAATCGTGGTTGTTTTGTTGCCGGGAGTCATATGACTTTAAACTCGCAGTGGAGAAAAAAATGCCTTCATTGTTTTTCCCCCGACGACATATGCGGACAATTTGCGGCGATGTATTAATTTCGAAAATGCCAGCAAAGAAAAATCTGAAATCAACGTTTTGAACAAGATTTCCATTTTCTTTGTGCCCCCCACAAAACAACCAAAATGACAAGTGTAATATCTCTCGCACTCATTACACTCGAGAAAGAAATTCCGGTGAGCAATTTATCGATTTTTCAGCGATTTTTTTTTAGCTTCGTTTTCTTTTGACTGGTGACTACCAACTGATCGAGGATTTCAGAGCGTCCCGATTTCAATTTTTTCACCACTGATCAAAATTGTGAGGAAGGCGTTTCGCGGCGATGATAAACATGTGTGAGAGAAAAAAGAGAGAAAGAGAGATTCTTTGAACGAATCTCATCCCCCACATCTCGCGTCTCGTCGAAGTATCATCGTCTCCTCGCTGATGCCCGATCGGCTTACAACACAACGGAGCTGTGTAATGTGCTCGGCCGGCGGCTCACGCCACGCCCACCGCCTACTGCCGAAGCGTCGTGTCAGCGAAGCACACCGCCACTTCTCCGGAGGACACTACTTTCATCATGGTGAGTTGTTTGTATTCATTTCAAATTGATCTCAAACCCAAATTCTAGGCTGAAGATATCGAAGAGATTCTTGCTGAAATCGATGGCTCCCAGATCGAAGGTGAGACATTCTAGCTATTAATGGTCATCCAAATTGAATCTCGATTCCAGAATACCAAAAGTTCTTCGACGCGTTTGATCGCGGAAAGCAGGGCTACATCATGGCCACCCAAATCGGCCAGATCATGCACGCGATGGAGCAGGACTTTGACGAGAAGACGCTCCGCAAACTCATTCGCAAATTCGACGCTGACGGTTCGGGAAAACTCGAGTTCGACGAGTTCTGCGCACTCGTCTACACCGTTGCCAACACCGTCGACAAAGAAACGCTCGAGAAGGAGCTTCGCGAAGCGTTCCGATTGTTCGACAAAGAGGTGAGACTCATAAATCGATCAATGAATCACAACGCGTCGTTTCCAGGGAAATGGATACATCTCAAGACCTACGCTCAAGGCACTCCTCAAAGAGATCGCCGATGATTTGACCGATCAGCAATTGGAGGAAGCCGTCGATGAGATCGACGAGGACGGTTCGGGCAAAATCGAGTTTGAGGAATTCTGGGAATTGATGGCTGGAGAGTCCGACTAAACAATTTTTACACCCCTTCCTTTTTGTTTTTTTTTCTCATTTCATTTCAACCCATCGTGATCATCACTTTTCGCTCGGACAGCGCGCGTCAACTGCTGATCAGACCCCTCTCCCACACAAGTTTCTCTTATACATTTTTTTGAATAAAATAAAAAACATTGAAAATGTAAATATACCTTTTTTGTTTGTTATAACAAATCTTCCTATTTGCATGAGCGCCGAGTGCAGATCAGATTCCTACAGTTTTAGGTCTCGCGTCGAAGTGGCAATGAAGAAACATGAGTATCATAAAAAATAAGACTAAACTGAAAAATGACAAATCTGAGAAATTTGAACAGTGCGGACCTCTTAAAAAATTGAACTCCTGTGAACTGTAATTCCACCAAAAAGCTTCAAATTCAGAAATTATTGTGCTTTAGAAAATCTAAAACTCGCTCCTAACAAGGAAAAACAAATGATAAGGCAATTAAAATCGGGAGCTTTAAAGAAACAACAAAAACAACAACAACAACAACGAGAACAATAATAACTATGTATAAGACTAGGCATGAAGTCGACGAACATATTCAAACGGGCTTCATTGCCGTCTGAAGAAAAAGCTTAAAACTGAGCAAAACTCTCGACGCTCGATCTTGCGACGCCAAAAGTGTCGCTTCCGCCTGTCGATATTTGGCGAGTTGCGCGCGATCCGGCCCCGGCAAGTACATTTCTTGGACTTCGGCTATCTGCACAAAAAAACATGTCTCCGATTCGATTCACGAGCGGCAAGCCAACCTGCGCCTGCTTCGAGGCCTCATCAAGCTCCTCATTCGCTCGAATTCCGTCAACAATCGGTCCAACCGTCGCGTCCTTCTCGAGAAGATGCCGATTCTCTTTTCGCTCGAACGCGTTTCGAAGAATGAGATTCCGAATAAGCTAAAAAAAAACGGAAAACAGCCTTCTTACGCCCCCAAATGATCATGAATCGATAAGAATCCTCACCTTGCACGTATACTCAACCAAACCGCGAACCGTTCGATGCAAATCGACATGATACAAATAGAATGTTCGCGCCGGCTGAAAATCGTTGCTCCGTCCGACCGCCTTCGTGAACACGTAGCCCTCTTCGACAAGCGCGTACAACATCTCTCGTGCCTCTTTCGCGCTCATCATACTCTGCTTCTCGACCTGCTCCTCATCAAGAAAATGTCGTGTTTCGAGCAGTCGCATTATTCTAACAGAAATTGCCAAATTGAAAAAAACACAAACAAACAAACAGCCGCGAATATTCAAACCTTATAGCTCGTCCCTCAAACTGCTCGCGAATCAACGACTCGCAGTGCCCTCGACAAATCATGGTGATTGCGCGTTTGACGTCTGGAAAAAAATGCCAAAACTCGACGAGTTCCTCAATTGCAACGCAAAGCTACCAATAATGTAGAGTCCGCCGGCGCTTTCGCCAACTTTTCTCACAACACCGTCGGATTCATCGCATAGGATTTGAAGGGCAATCTCGACGTCCGGCTTCGTCAGCTCGACGCCCGTCTCTTTGGCAATTCGCAAAATATCATACACCTGGAATTTGGCATTTAAATTGAGAAGGAAAAAAACTCAATCTTTCCAATAAGGGGAAACATCAAATTTTTTCGTCAAACCTGTGCAGCAATATCCCTAAGGGTTGGCGGCTTCAGCGCCGATGATCGCACTTCATCGCATTTGAGCATCAGTTTCGCCACATTGCACGTCATCTGATGGATGCGATCTTCCGTCGTTGTAGCCTAAATCCCAAATCAATCAATTTTACAATCATTTCCGCGCATCGGCCCCACGTTTCCCACAAGATATTCCAATATCATTTCGTCTCTCAAATAGGCGTCGACACGATTCCAATTGATCCGCCAATATAATCCGTGGTCGCCGTCCAAACTCCCCTCGTCCTCCTCTTTCCTCTTTCGTTTTCCAGCCTCAACGGCAGCTTCTAAAATCAATCAAATGCAGAAATTATCAAAATTTTCAACCAACCAATCGACGTTTTGCCCAACACGTTGTCGGGCACGGCGAACTGATCGTAGAGGTTCTCAAATTGCGGACATCCGTGCACGTCGGCGGCAATCGGCGCCAAACGAATAATGAATTGCGAGCCGGCGAGTTTCGCGAACTCCGCGCGAATCTCGTCGACGTTCGCCGTCTCCTCGCGAGCCAACACTTTTCGAATGATCGTCGAACACGTCGCTTTTCCGGCGGCGAACAACTCCTCGCAAATCGCCTCGGCGATCGTGCCGAACAATGTCTTCGCTATCAGGCAAGCTCTAAATTATCATATATAGACGGCGTCCATCTACTGTAGCACGCGGGTAGATTTACGCGGATGCGTCTCGCACGGATCAACGAAAACAGCAAAATAAGCGTTCACACGTGGCGAAACCATTTCGAAAGGCGCAATCGTAAATCTACCCCAATACAGCAGTCGCCGGACGCCGACAATAGGTTTTTTTTTAATTTGAAGGCAATAATTCTATGTCAAATTTTAATTTTAGGAATCTGCCTAACTCAATGAATGCCTTTTCAAGATTTTTAGAGAATTTTTTGTTAAAACGCCATCTTAAAATTCCACTTTCCTCCGTTTTTATTTCCATTTCGATTCAATAATTGCAAATTTCCCCATTTGTCAGATTCCATGGACTTATCAAAAGATAGAAAATCACCTCGGCGCTGTAATCACATGCAAAATCTGCTCGGTGTCCACCGTGTAGAGCGTCCTATTTCCGTCGAGCGCGAATTTCACAAATCCAAAATTGATGAGTGTGGCCAGCGATTTGCGAATCTGAGACAAAAAAAAACAAACATTTACCGATTGCGACGACGCCGCCGTCATCACATACCAGCGTCGGTGAAATTCGCCCTTTGAGTTTGAACGCCAACACCATAAAATGCGAGCTCTCTTTCATCAACGTCTCGGCAACTCTGGCAACAATCTAAAAATGAAAAATTTGACACAAAAAAAATCTTGCGATCCAAATTATTGTTACCTTTCCAAACAAATCGTCAATGATCGCCAGACACAATTGCGTTTCATATTTTCCACCGCCCATCGTCAATCTACACAAATCAATATTTCATAATAACAAGAAATTCAACAAATATTCAATATAGGCTTTTAAAACCTGGGGAAAAAATTTAAAAAAAAAATCAAATTGTAAAATTTATCAAATCCAACAACAACAGCAATAACAACAACAATGACAATCTTCTCTCTACTGCCTTCTTCGAATCGCGCGCTTCTGAAAATCAAATCATCAGTTAACATCAAGGCGGAAATTCAAAACTGAATTTCAAAGCTCTCGGATTTTTTGCGATTGTAATAATTCAAAGGCGCATACCGTACCTTTCCCTCTTTTTTACTCCTCTGCGCCTTCTTTCGCTCCTTCTGCGTCTTCTTTCGACGCTTCGTCTCGCCGGCACCACTGGAAAGCCGTTTTCTGAAGAAGAAAAAATAATAATGCCAAAATCTCATTGAGATCAACTCGACGCACCGTTTCAAGTTCTCGCTCATCGATCGACCGTCCTCGCCTCTCATCATATAATCGCCAAAATTGAGTAGATCATCGAGGGTCTCGTGACGACCGAGTTTCTCGCTTTTCCGCCTCTGCTCTTTATTTAGACGAATTCTCGTGAAGTGCTCTTCCTCATATTTCTCACGCTCCCTATCAAATTGATATTTGCGTTCGCTGACTTCCTAAAAAACACAAAATTCAAAACAAAAAAAACGAAGAGAAATAGAAACCCGAATCTCTTCCGGAGCCTCGCTGTACTGATTCTTGAGCTCCATGATTAAGCTGCTTTGCATCGCTCGTCGTTTCGCCTTCTCCAACTTCTTGTCGGGAGCTTCATCCTCTTCTGAATATCAATTCCATTTTTTTCTCAGCATTTCATCAGGGCGCAAATTCAAATTTTTATTGAAATTGTTCGAATTGTGCTATCCAATTTCACAAAACCCAAAAAATTCTTCTTTTCGCGATTTTACTATATATTATCTTTTTAATAATTACCATCATAGTGAACCGCGCGAATTTTCGGAGCAACATATTTCTTCGGTTCTTTTCCAACCGCCTTCTTCTCCCCGTCTTCCTCCTCCTCCTCCTCATCCTCATCATCATCATTCACATCCATGTTCTCCAATCGAACTCGCAAAGCCCCTTTGCTTCCATCCTTCTTCTTCGACAACAATTTCTCGATTTGCGGCTTCATTTTGTCCTCAATCGGTCGCATTTTCTCCAAAATCTACAAAAATAGCCCGTCTATCTCGCTCTCTCTCTTTCAGTAATGGCTGAAAATTCGTCTGCCGTATACCACTCGATGTTTGAGCGCTCGTTTCAACGCCGACTCGCCGATTATCGAGTCGCCTTTCATCATTTTCGACATTAGCACTGTCAGCTCGCTGAGATACGCCACCATCTCGTAGTTTTTCACCTTCAACAGGCTGAGACCCTGCGAAATTGATAAGATAAACTGAACAGAGAATGGGTTGTCGATGAACTCGACTGAAAATGCACACAAAAAAAATCATATTGATAACGAAATGATCAAGAATTTCAAGTTTCTGGAAAAAAAAGAGGGGCATTCAGAATCAATCGCTGTGAAGTACTGCAAAATATTTTGCATGTGCCTTTAATTACTCAAAAAACTTCAAATTGAATTGATTAAAGGCTTATATAGGTCTTGTAACGATCAATTCTAGTAGACCTTGTTATTTTTTCTGTTCAAAAACCAACTTCGACATTGTTTTGAAAAAATTCAAATCATATCCAAATTTCAAACAGAAAAATCAATAACAAACCTCTTTGTCATTTTTGGTCTCCTTCAAGTTGCCTAGAAGCCGTTCCATAGCTTCAACCGCACTCGACGACGATTCCGAGCATTGAAACACCAAATCGGCAAATCGCTTCTGCTCCGCCGATTCCTCGGCCATTCTGCAAAGTCGATCAGCAATTTTTAATAGAGATTCAATATAGATTCAATAATTCATGGTTGGCTCTAACCAATAATCCAAAATGGCGCGAATTTCGTGCGACATATTCATTCGGAGCGAATTATTTACAAATGACGGTTATAGCGAGAAATAAGTGGTACAATCTAGGGAATGTTCGAAACATCGATTCAATTATTATTTTACATCACGCTGCTTCCGACTTTTCATCCTTTTGCGATTGATCATTGTCTTGCCGCTCTTTTCGGCTCTTTTTCGCATACGCCACAAACATTTCTTTAAGGAATGTTAATTCCTTGGTAAGAGAGTCAATCTGAAAAAAAAAATTCAAGCATAATTTTTAAATGTTTCTTCAAACCTTTCTCTCAAGCGCTTCATTCTCCGCGCGGAGTACATCAACCTTCTCGGCCGTCTCATTCTCCTCCATTCGCTTTTTCTGACGAGTCCGATTCACCGCCTCATTGTTTCTTTTCCGTTTAAGGGAGTAATCATCGTTGTCCTTCGAGGAAGTACTTCTCTTTCGAGTTCCGCTCATTCTAAAGAAAATCTCAATTATTTTCGAGTAAAAGAAAAACAAAAAAAAAATGCTGAAATCGCAATTTATGATAAATCGCGTGCGAGCGTCAACAACGGCGCATCGTTGAAAATGTTTGTTTGATCGCATCGTTCGCTAAAACACTTTATTATTAATTCAAATTAATAATTAAAAAAAAACATGAGAACATGCATAATAGAAAAAAGGGGGTTTTCAAATGTTGCCGCCATCACCACAATTCATCATCATCAAAATCGTCCTTATTCGCATTCTCTTCCATTTCTTTCATTTCCATCAACCAATCTGGTACTTCCTAAAAGAAAACCTTCAATTGTGGCCTTAAAACGTCTACCAACTTTTCCGGCATCCTCCAAAACCTTGACAAGCTGCTCGACAATTTCGCGATCATAGTCAACATCAAAAAACGCCGTAGAGCATCCTCGGAATCCAGCTCGTCCAGTTCTTAAAGAAAAATAATTTTCAAGTCCAAATTCCATCCAACCTTCCAATTCGATTCACATATTCATCAAATCCATCCTTATAGGGCATATCATAATTAATCACGTGATCAAGCATGTAAATGTCGATTCCGCGCGCACACACATTAGACGCCACCATTATGTGATAGAGGCCAGCCTTGAAATCACGAAGAATCGTTTCACGCGTGATCTGATCATAGTGCCCGTGCATCGAGATCGCCTTGATTCCAGTGTTCGCAAACGTCGAGCAAAGGCTGTCGGCGAATTTCACCGAGTTCACAAAAACGAGCGTCTTTTCTCGGGTGACTCGCGCGTCTGAAATATCATCAATCGAATTTGTCGGGAAACACGCACACACAAACCTTTGTTGACGGTTAGCGTCTCCTCATCAATTCCGAGCACTTCAAACAGCTTCGATTTCTTCTCAGCTTTCGTCAACTGGTAAACCTTCTGATCAATTTTGCGATTCGCCGTCCCAAATTTGTCCACTTCGATCATCATATAGTTTCCTTTCACAACTTCCTTCAAATCGTTCGCCTGAAGTTCGTTGGAGAACGACGCGCTAAAATTTCATTAATATGCTGATCAACTCGTCCAAATTCCAACCTAAACAACAAAAGTTGCGCTGTTCTCGTTTCCGGGTTCCCAATTAACTGGAGTAATTCTTCTCCGAAATCATTCGAAGCCACCATTCGATCGGCTTCATCGAGAACAATGAATTTCGTTTTCGCCAAACTAATTTCTTCCGTATTTATATAATCATGAAGTCTTCCCATCGTCGCAACAAGAATCGCAAGCTGCGGAATTTCGAGGAGCTGCTGCTTCTCCATTGATCTCGATGTTCCACCATAAACACAATAGGTTTTAAGCCCCGTTTTGTACGTAAGCTTCTTCGCGTCGAGATAAGTCTGTTGCGCCAATTCGCGAGTTGGCGAAATGATAAGACATCTAAAATTGTACAATGGATTTTTTTTTTGAAAAAATCGATAAAACCTCGGCGATGCGACTTTATCTCGATCTCCCGGATTCCATGTCTCCTCGAGTAGTTTGACAACAACCGGCAACAAGAAAGCAACTAAAATGTGAAAAGAAAAACCCTTATTTCGACCTTTCTCCCCGATTACCCGTTTTTCCGCAACCCGTGTGCGCACATGCCACCAAATCTCGTCCATTCAACACTTCCATATACGTCGCCTGTTGAATTGGCGTCGGCTTTTTGAATTTCATTCGTTTCAAATTTTCCAAAACTTGCGCATTGATCCCGAAAAAATCTTCAAACGATCTGGAAAACAACGATTCTATTGATATTGGTATTTAATGGCCACTTCAATTCCAATTTGTTTGTTCCAGTTTTATAAACATCCATATCGAAATCGATGCAAGTGCTTTTATCAACAACTTCCGCGAATAACTCCTCTTCGTTTTTGTACGTTGGCAAATACGGCTCGGAGATTTCACCATTCACTGAAAATGGAAAAAAAAAACTCGTGCATTCGTATCTCGCAACCACATACAATTTCGCGGCATCGTCGGACATTCGCGACTCCAATGGCCCCTTTCACCGCATCGTCGGCAAGGATCTACATATTCACGAGGCTGCTCGCAATTCGCCGACATGTGGCCTTCTTGTCGACAATTTCGGCAAACAAGACCATTCTGAAAAATAATTGAAAAGGTTTTAAACTTGAAGAAGAGAACAAATATATACCTTAGGCTCTGGGCATTCATGCGAAAAATGACCTTCACTGTTGCAATTGTAGCAAAGTTCCAATCGCTGAAACAGAAAATCAATTCAAAAAACATTACTATGAAAATCATCAATAAACTTTTGGATGGGGACAATCCGCATGAGAATGATCATTGGCGCGACAATTGAAGCACAATTTCGGCTGTCTCACTTGCGTGCATTCTCTCGAATAATGCCCATCGTCTCCACAATTGCGGCATGACGTCGAATTGGTTCGAAATCCACGAATAGACGCTTCAGAAGCTTAAAAATCGCACAACTACCAAATATCAGGAGCTCAAACGCACAATAATTTGATGTCGGCTGACGGAACGATCCGCTCGTCATTCCAAAACCGCCTTCCTCATATGTGTTGGTGTTTTCGCCAAATGTCCTCTGAAATACAAATATAAACAGACAAACTCGCGATGAAGTCCAAAATCCAACCGATTTTCCAAAATCGCCGCCGAACGGTGTCGTTTTTCCCGATACATTATACGTATTCTCATTTGTGTCCATACTCTGACCAAATCTCGACGGATCCTGAACATCGTTTCACAATCGAGATCGAAACACAAAAAAAACTCTACTATCTGTCCAAATCCCGAATTTGAGCGTCCAAAACCTCTGCTGTTGTCAGTTTCGGTAAACGTGTTCGATATTGGCCTCGTTGTTGTCGTTTCATTAAATGAGTCAGGTTTACCGAACCCCTTCGAAAGAATATCAGCGGGTGGTTGACCGAACGCGGCTTTTCTCGGTGAACCAAGTGATCCTACGGAGGTCGAAGAGTTCTGAAAAAAATTGGAAAAAAAATATATTCTGAATTAATCAATAGCAGCCAACTTCTTGTCCAAATTTATTTGGTAATTGAGGCGCTTTAAATCCAAATGATTTCTGAGATGACTCTCCGAATCCTCGAACAACTTTTTTTTGCGATTGATCATCATCTGATTCCGCATTATGCTTTTCCTTCAAAATATGACACAAAAATACACATTGAAAATTACTCGACATAATGATAAAAATATATGTATTTTTGAAACATTTGAAAATACCGTAAGAGCTCAAGACAAGACAACCGCATTTTAGAATTCAGAACCATTTAAAACCTATACGCATATACTAGTGGGACCGTTCGCAAATGCGCTCTACCGCAATACGGCGTCAATCGGGAAAACGAAGCGCGTCACCGTTTGAGACCAGAGAGTGTGCAAACATGAGAGAATCGGCGGACACTTGGCATCAATTTGCAGTTCGGTTCGACAAATGCGCTCTATTGCATGTTTCACACCGACACCAGTGGCACTATAAAAGGCCGGCGGATGCGCCATTTGGTCAGTTCTCGCAGCTCCTCGAGTTGCGGGAAGCCCGCAAATCTTGCGGGTTCGCCGTGCCCCGCATAACCTGCGGGCTCCTCGACGTGCCCAGCAAATTCTGCGGTTCGGCTGTGCCCCGCAGAACCTGCGGGCTGGTCGTAGCTCGCATTTCCTGCGAGCTCGTCGTGGCCAAGGATCCACTCGGTAAGTCACACTCATCGCAATACTTTTCTCATTTCCTCGTGTTGCAGATCCAATGAGAGCCACAGTCGTTTCTCATTCGAGCTATTCGGATGCGATTTGTTGAAAGTGTCGGGGATTCTCGACTGGTGCGACTCGGTAAGCCAGTACTAACCCTACTGCAGTGTCGCGTCCAGGCCGACGTTAAACCCATATTCATGAGTAGACATATCACGTGAAGAAGAGCGAGAAAGGGAGATGGCGAAAGGTCGATGCTGCCCGGGGCATCGAGCAGAGCGAGGAAACGAATTCATAAGGTAAAGAAGGAATCACAATCCTTTTGAATAAATCGAATCATTGCAGGTATCTCGGATCACATGGATCGAAACGGAGGCGACGTCTGGAAGAAGCGACGAGGAAGGAGCAAAAGCGTAGGATATTTGGTATTTTTTGGCCCGGGCCTAATTTTTATTGTTATTTTTTTTATTATTCACTTCCACCAGTCGTACCACTTACGGCTTGCCCCCTCTATATCCCACCACTTGGGATTCCTCTCTCTCCGTACATTCGTACCACTTACGTCTGTACTTCCTCCCGGTCCTACCGTTTGGGACCATCTCTCTTTTTTCGGGGAAAGCCGGCTTCCCCTTCTTTCTTCCTGCCGTACCACTTGCGGCATCCTTCTCTATATCCCACCACTTGGGATTCCTCTCTCTCTCTCTCTCCGTACATTCGTACCACTTACGTCTGTACATCCTCCCGGTCCTACCATTTGGGACCATCTCTTTTTCGGGGGAAAACCGTACCACTTACGGTCATGCCAGTCATTCCACTAATGACTGGCTTCCCTCTTTTTTTCTTACTGTTTTATTTCGTTTTTATTTGTACTAATTTGTGTTTAGGTGTTTAGGTATCGTCGCTATTGCCGCCGCCGATGGACCCTGCTGGTGAATCGATTCACCGCCACAAGTAAATTTGTCCCCACCATTAAGCATAACCCATTCTAAGGACCTCTCTTCTACTTCTAGCGCCGTAGTCGGCTTTATTAGAGCCGTAGCTGGCTATATTAGGGCCGTAGTCGGCCATTCCCCCAAACGCCAAGGCTTCCTGACCCCCGTAGTGCCGAGGCGTTGGCTGGATGGCGGCTTATCCGCTGTATCCTAAATTCGGGTGATTGGCCTGGCAAGCCCTTCAGCCCTGATTCCGTAGCCGGGAATCGAACCCTACCCAAACGACCCCGTTTCAAGTACTCTCGAGTGCTTGGTGGGCGTTATGGATGGTTATGCTTTAGAAATTTGCTTCACCGGGTGTCCTCCATACTAGTCAGGATGTCATCTGGCCCAGACCTATATTGACGTGGATTGGCCAGCTATGTCAATATGTCCAGCCTTTCGGGTGCACATGGACCGTGCTTCTTAGCATGGTAGCTTGCTACTTTGTAGTGGCTTGCTACTACTTAGTAGTAAGCTGCTATGCTATGAACACAAAAACCACATTACCATATCACCAGTAGACCCGGGGCCCAGCCAGACGTGGCTTGCCCAACCACTTCTACTTCTATTATCTTCGGATGATAGTTGTGGGATGTCCTTGGGTGATCCCCATGGTGGGATCGGCGATGACCCACATCAGGTTTCGGCCTGATGCTGGTGAGCCTCTCCTTCAAGTGTCGAGCCTCTACGTGGCGAAGGAGATCAACTGACTCGGACCTCCTTCATGGGGATCGAGTCAGGCTAATCGACACACAGTCTCACGCAGGTCGAGGGTATTCTTCCTCAACCAGGCGGCTCCTTTGCGACCTAGTAAGTCGCAAGAAGTATTCAAAGACAACTTTTTGTATTGTTGGTTTAAAATTTTTAATTAGTCTTAAAAAAATAGCAGCTCAGCTAGCATCCATTAATACATCATCTATGTATTTAATGGTCCGGAATTCGAAAATACAATTGTCTTGTAATCAACTTTTATATTTTTCCCAAAACTGCGAATTTCGTGGATTCACGTCATATTATTATAACGCGCACTCTATTTCCTCATCTGATTGAAAAGTTTACCATGACATTCCGAATACCCGCTTCTTTCTCTGAAAACGTTCCGAATCCCGCCGGCTTCTGATAGTTTGAATGAAAACCGCCTCCAATTGATAATGTTGTTTTCTCCGTTTCTTCCGAGTCATCTCTGCGCATCATCTGCAAGGAAAAATCAGCTACTCAGAAATAGTATTTTTACTAGACAGTTAATTGGTAGAGCAGTTTTTTCTAACAAATACCGAATTACTCATAGCCGACGATGCTCGACCGAATCCGGTTGGTTTCGGAAAATCGACTCCAAATGATTTTTGAATAGACTTCTGATTTGGTGTGAATTCCGTATCGCTCCAATCATCTTCGCTGATCTTAATTTCAAAATCATATATTAATATTGTGTCGCACGATTGCAAAATACAGAAAAATCTCACGGAGAAGTCTTGACGCATAGTTAAACGTAAGGATAGATTAAAGGCGCATAACGCAAGTTAAGAATGTATTTTCTCAAATCCCTACAATCAATTAGAAATTTAAAATTACCTGAGTTTGCGTCTTATCAAAATGACCCCTTTTGAAACTGATCTTTAAAAAAAAAGTAAGTGTGATTTCTGAGAATTCAAACTACTCGATCCGACGAAGCGCCAAATCCCGATGGTTTTTGATAAGCAAATCCGCCGCGAGTTGAGCCCGAAATCGATTTGCTCAGCGCATTCGGCTCATTGCCTTCAAAGTCGCCGCTGCTCATCGCCTGAAACAATTTGGCAATTTCGCATTATCTTATTTGGAATATACCGTATCGTATGATTTGTTGAATTCTTTATTACTCGCCGCTCCAAACCCAATTGGTTTCTGATAAGCGAAACTCCCTCGACCAGAACCGTCCATCGAAACCTTTCCGGAAATCGATTTATTCACTTCAAACGATGTTGTATCTTCAAAATCATCTTTGCTGAGCTCCTTTAAAATAAAAAACAACATGAATTCCTCATTTACTTTCAAATTTACCGAATCACATGGTTGCTTATTTCTCTTAATGAGTCCCATTCCAAAACCAGATGGTTTTCTGTGACCGGCAAGTCTCACTTCACTTAATGGATCAGTATCATCAAAATCGTCGCCGCTGGGAAGCTAAAAATTTTAAATTCCAGAATTATATAGATATTTAATTGTTCAAATTTTACCTGATCGTTTCCAAATTCGTTCCAAACAGCGGCTCCAAATCCTATCGGCTTGGTGCAATTCTTCTCGAACGATACCGGCTGTGGTTTTGCATCAATTTGCGCCTCAGAGCTATTCCAGCCATCCTCATTCATCTGATCATCTAATAATTTTATCCAACTTATGAAATACTTACAGTTTCGTTTCGGAAAGTCGATTTTACATTTCGTTTGGCTGATGTCGACTAAGGAAAATACAATAAAAAAGAAAATATTAAAAAAAACTTCTCGCTTAATCCGATCATCGAATCCACTACGGCCAGAACACGAAACCGAATTTTTTCCCGAAGGCATTCGCCTGGCGTTTAGAATGGTCGTCGAGTCTTCAAAATCATCTCCGCTCAATGTCTGAAATTAATTGAAACGAGATTCCTTTTTAAACGCTGGCCTACTGAATCGCTTTGTGTCGTCGGATTGACTTCTTCCGATTTCTGATGATATCTTCCACGTGCAGAGCCAGTCATCGAATTTTTTGCTGAAAACGATCGGCCGACACGCTCGGAGCTTCCATAATCATTATCTCTCAATGTCTATAGCGTTTAATTGTGGCAATTGATCAATTATCTATACCGGATCATTTCGAGCTTCTTTTAAAGGCGGTGCTCCAAACTCAGCCGACTTCTGTTGAGCAAAGCCTACACAAGATGCTGCGGAACCGGAATGCGACGTTTTTCCCGATAGCAATCTAACAATAGGTTCAGAAGTTTCGAAATCGTCACCGCTCAACGTCTGAATAATTGTTTCAAATAATTATTAAACTTGCATTAAGCACCGGATCACTATGACGTGCTTCTCTTCCACTTTCATAGTCAGCCCCAAATCTGTCCTTTATGGAACCCGCAATTGATTTTTTCGATTCAGTGAATTGATCAGTATCGTCAACATCGTCATAACTCATCTGCTGTAATTATTCATGTTTCATCAACACGGCAAATATTTTGTCAAATTTACAGAATCGGTTCGAATCTCCTTCGCCCATGTCGGCTTTTCTGCCTTCTTCGACAGGTTCTCGTTGAGCTCTCGTGACTTCATGATAACCGTATGGTCACCTTCATTCGAATCATCCTCACTATTCTGAAGGTTTGCAAACAATAAAATTGGAAAGATTATTAATGGTAAGCATGCTTACGTTCTCACTAAGATTCGCATTTTGGGACGGCGCTGTATGAGAACTGAAAAATTGATCGTCGGCGCCGAATCCGCCGCGAATCCCGACGGACTTCGAACGCTCGTCAAGAAACGTCGGTTTTGATCTAAGGTTTGGATTCGTGCCATCGAAATCATCACCACTCAACGACTTAAAATCCTTTTTTATTTATCAAAATTTTTTAAATCTTACCGGCTCCATGCGAGACTCATTTTGCAAAATATTTTCTCGATCATCGATCTAAAAAGAAAACTTTTAAAAAATTTATTTCTGGAATTAAAACATTTCTTCGAAATTGCATTTTTCCGCGTTGTGCAGCCGAATTGATTTTCGAGGCACCTGTTCGATATTCCGCAGCTTCTGATGTCTGAAATGAACATTTTTTGAAAATGAGGCAATTATTAACGATACTCTTGCGTGTACGCTAATTTCTTCAAAAGTTGGAAGAGGTGTCACATTGCCGCTCGCGTAAATCGGCAAATTGACTTCTTTCGACAATGCTGAATCTTTTCGCACAACGTGCGGCGGTAATTCGAAGCTGTCTTCTCCAAGACTCTGAATTAATTCGTTTTGAGCGCTTATATGTTACCCTAAATAATGAAACGCACTGTTTGAGAAAAGTTCACATCAGATGTGACATTTGGAGCTCCGAAATCCCCAGGCTTCTGCAATATTCAGAAAACAATTAATTGAAATGGTTTGAAATGAAAAACTACATCAGAATTTTGAACTGGATCAACGCATTTGCGTTCTAATGGTTCTTTGTAAATTGACGGCGGAATATCATCGTAGTCTCCCCAACCATCATCCGAAAAATTGTCACTGAACTTTTAAAATTTTTAGATCAAATTTTGTTCGTTTAATATTATTTACCCCATGGCTCAGTTAATAGTAAGTGTTATTGGTTGAACCTGAAAAACAGCATATGTAACGAAAATGTTAATTTTCAGAAAAAAAAGCTGAAACGAAAAATAATTGTAAAAATTAATTAATACTCAAATGCTCAACAAATTTAAAATTAAAGCAATTCCAAATAATCCAAGTTTCCCACAAAAATCTCAAATTTTTATACCGTACCATTATCGAAGCATGACTTCTCAAAACTTTTCACCCGTGAGCCTTTAATCATATGACATTTTCGGAAAAAATATTCTTCAAAAAATATCCCCATTTTTTAAATTTTCTCTTATCATATGTAAACGCTATTACTCAAAATTTTGAAAATATTTCCTGAAAATTCGTTTCTTAAAGCCTTATAAAAAAAATTGTTTTATTTTCCTCAATGGTACGATTTTTTGTAATTATTTATTGCTTTTTGCTTCATTTACATTCTTTTTTGGCGATAATTCAAATTTCGATTTAAACAGTGCAAATTCGGGTAAAACCAATCAAATTCACTGTAAATCTTCCCAAACGTGTCCGTTTTTGGGATATCTTCATTTCGTTATTAATGTTATCTTCATTTTATTATTAAGTCATGTATTCAAAAAAAATTGTTTCGTTCTTCCAACCACCATCTGTCCTCCGTCCAAAAATTTCTCTTTCTATAGAAATTTTTAAAATTCTTTTCAGAATTCCCCATGAACTCGAAAGACGCCGATAATGCCATTGTACCCGTTAAAGTATGAAACAAACTCTGCTTAATATTACTCAAATTTGTAGACCAATTACTGGAATTATTTATTTTCTTCAGTCCCGGCCAATTTCAACATTGGAAATCGCATTGCAAGTTTAATGACGGCCCCTTTTACCCATTTTTCCAAGTAACTTGAAAAACCACAATATCAAAAAAATTTATTTCAGAATTTTTACCAAGATGCCAGATGTTGATTTCAGTTGCGATGTTAAAGCTCGATTGAGTATTAATAAAAACAAAGCTATTTCTCAACGTCTGCCATTTTTCATTGTAAATAGAATTTCGAAGTTTTAGGCATAGAAAGAATCGAATCAATTGAAAAGGAAATCAATGAACTTAAATCAAAAATACGAGACTAATCGATCGAGTATCATCACGAATTCACGAAAACAAGAAATCCAACATTAACAATCGTTTTCCCAAATTGACCCTGTATGTTTTCAATTCCTTATCACTTGGAACTTTTCTGCTTTTTTTGTTTTCTGGTAAATGAAGATCGTGAAACTATGGTGTCTACGTTATCGTCCCTGCGGCGTTTTCTGAATTGACTAAAAGAAATAAAAAATAGCTGTCTAAAGTTGAGCTAAGAGATAATTGTTCTCAGTCGCTGGAAAAATCTAATCGAAAAATGGATTTTCATTCACGGCTATCGATTTTTCACTTCTCTTTCCTTAATATTTCCGATGAACATCGCCTTTTGTGAATGCTGTACAAAATTATAAAATATATTGATGTAAATTTCATCTCAACGATAACAATGCCTTGCGAATGCAAGCAACAATAATTACATTACTTTCCCTTCTTGGCTTCGTCAACAGTAACGTTGGTGAGGTTGAATCCCTGAAATAGTAATGATTAGGAATATGTCCTCAAAATATCGCGAGTTTTTTTTTTAAATTTATTTAATCGTGTCAAATAGGAATTTTTCATATTACGTTGTTGAGTTTTATGACATCCTTCAAATTTGAATACGATATTAAATAACATTTACTTTAATCGAATCCTTATTACATAGTAAACAAGAAATTCAGTCGGTCTAAGACTATAATCATTCTTCCAAAAGCTGATTTTTCAAATCAATGATCATTTAATCATCATAATGTGAAAGAGAATATTTTTAACGAACTTTAAATTATTGGTTGATTTAAAAGTTATTTTATATGATTAAATTTACAGCTCGTGCAATTAAAAATTTTCGGAATCCAGACTACTTGGATTAGTGTATTTTCACATAGAAATAATATTTGAAATTCTTTCGAAAACTTACAGCGTCGATCAACATCTGTTGGGTATCGGCATCGACCTTGATCGAGGTGAGCTGCATTGGATCGACAGCAGAGACCTCTGGCATGTAATTATCTCTGCGCTCACGTTCTTCCTCCTGGAGCTTAATCGAAATGCCTCTAACTGGACCACGCTCAATTCTTCTCATCAAGTGAGTGATGTATCTAAATTTCTAAATTAAAATCCAATTTTAAAAATTTAACGAACCCAGCGATCTTGTTTCTCAACGGCTTGCTGCCAATAATAGCGACCTCATCACAAACACGCTTGTTGTTGTGGAAGTCATTGGTCATGCGTGTATAGTACTTCTCAATAAGCACTCGCGAGGCCTTCTTGACGGTCTTGGTACGGACGCGACTCATTTTCCCAAAGTCTGAAATTTCTCAATTCACGGTATATTTAATTTCAAAGCCAACAAATATTAAAACGCGAAAAACGGCCAACTATAAGAATCAATATCACGAAAATAATTTTTAAATTAAAACAGACACAAAAGAATGTTTAAATGTCATAGGATGAATAATATAGCACTGAAAAATTCAAATTCAACAACAAATTTCATAAAAATCAGAAAAAAATACGCGAAAACATCAAAAAACCAAAGAAAAACTCGTTTTCCGCAAAATTTGATGAAGGGAGAGATACGGTGGCACTAGAGAGAAGAGTGCATATATCGGCACGAGACCTTCATAGAAAAATACATGCGCCTTGTATCTTTCGCAGCTGCACTCTCTCAACTCAACCTAGTCTTACCTTACCTCCCCTCTATATTTTTGAAAAACGAGAAAATTGAGCGATTCCAGTGGTTCTTTCCAGTAATCATTGAACATTGTATTAAATAGTCACTAGTTTTGAATATAATATAGGCAAAGTTTAGGCAAAGGTAAAATATTCATTTAAAAATTTTATTTCTACACTGCTGCAATTTCAATGCATAATTCTTCGATGAATTTTCGATGTTCGTTTAGTTTTCATTGCGCGTTGATAGAAATCGTACGGGTATTTCTCCTCGTTCACCAGATTCTCGGTGATGACTGTTCGCTGCGGACACGCGCAATATTCACCATCGGCTCCCGGTGGCCCCGCAAGTCCAGGCTAAAAAAAATCGTTCAAATTTCATTTGAATTTAACGAAATAAATACCTGTCCGTCAAGTCCAGAATCCCCGTCAGCTCCAGGTGCTCCGGCGGTTCCCGTTGGCCCTTGTGGACCAGGAAGAGCTGAATATCAAAATAAATCCTAAAAGCAAAATGGCAACTAATTACGAATCATTGAAGTGGCTCCTTTTCTCCCAGGATCTCCTGGCTGTCCAGGTGGTCCTGTAGGTCCTTTGGGACCCCGCGAGCCGATAATTTGCAAGTGCGGCCGGCCTGGCGATCCTTCAAGCCCCTGCATCCCTGGACTTCCATCAACGCCCGGATCACCTCGTGATCCTTCCGCTCCCCGCATTCCTTTCCGTCCCGGCTCTCCCGGCGTTCCGCGTTTACCAGGCGGTCCAATAATTCCCTCACTTCCATCGACGCCCGGCGGACCCGGTGGTCCCACGGGACAATTAATACAGTGAGCGTTCTGCGTGATCACCGTCAGCAGATCGTCGTCGAACCAATCTCGTCCAGGGATTCCATCAACTCCATCTTCTGCAATTTCAATGCATTGATTCAATAGCACGAACCCAAACTCTCGGCACCTCCATCAACGCCACGTGTCCCAGGTTTTCCCGGACCGCCGCGCGGACAACTCGGATCCGCGTCTTCAATATACGACGGCGCCACCGGCTTAATCGCTGGTTGCGATGGAAGCGCATAAAGCGTTGTTCGTCGTTTCAGCTTCCGAATTTTGATGCGCTTTCGGTTTGGTGCGGATTTCGACGATCCCCTGAACATTTTTGTTGAAACATTGCTTCCCACAAAAAAATTTCTCGCCTCTTTTCTCGAGCCAACACCGCCGTTATCATAATCTGCATCTCGTTCCACGTGTTTTTTTCAAGCTCCTAAAATTAGAAAAAAAAGAAACCTGGAGAAAAAATTGCAAAGAGGAGTACATGAAATTCTTTGAGTCGATTGCTCGCCAACACCTCGAAATCACGAATCTGATTGAAAAAGTGTGCAATGCACACCATAATCGGCACGAATGGAATAATTGTGACAATGAGAAGCACTTGAATCGGCTGCATTTTAACAACAACAATAACTAAGGCGAACCAAGTAGGTGTCGAATCTGTCGGGCAGACCTCGCGCGAGCACTCTTGAATGCCCTTCAATCGGGGCCCATTAATGACCACAACTAATACAAATTGTTCGTCTTTCATTTTCAACAAGAAATTGAGGTTCGCGCTTTCTCATCGTCAATCTTCGCCGAATGAATCAACGTCGAATGTTGCGATTCAAGCCAATTTCTCGTTTTCTCGTCAAACCGCATCTCATCGCTGCTGAAAATGTCACCATCGAAGCTCAATCAATTTTCAAACTTCAGCATTTTCATATCATCCTCGCCATTCTCAATTGCATTTTTTTCATCAGGAATCGTCACATTCAACTCGGTCAGCTCCTCGTTATCGCTTCGCTTTCGAGTCTTCATGAAGAATTTTCGCTCTAATGTCAGCAAAGGGACTTCTAAAAAAATGAAAACGTTTCAATAAAAAACGCTCACTCACCTATCGCCAAAGCAATCGCCAATGCGAATCCGAGAGCAATGACATATATGGAAATGCAAAGGAACACGAAAAATCCATAGGAGTGTGGAGAAAGCGGCTGCTGGCGTGTTTGAAGGTAATACAAAAGAATCGGCTCGTGTGAGAGGAACACGCCGAATGATAATCTTCAATTTTTTTCCACAATGCTGAAATTCCAACAATAACAAAATTCACCTGGCAAACGGGACAAATCTATGATGCGAGAGGAATCGCAAAACTCGCGCCTCACCATTTTGGGCAAGAAGAATGAATATAGCCAATCCCAATGCCCAAAGGGTCCGATGCAATATTGCGTGGGTGTATTTGATGAGGCCACTACTCGAAAATGGTCCGAACAGGCTGGCGAACATGAAGAACGCTGCGCATATCTGAAATCATTTTTTTCAAGCAAATTCATTAATTTAAAGATTAAACAAAAAAAAACCTGAACACAAAATGAGAAGACCCATTTCGGCTTGTGGGTCCAATTCGGTTCGGCAGCTTTCCAGCCCGTCAAAATTCCAATAATGAATGGCGGCGCTCGCGAAAACGGCGAGGTGTACAGCAAACGAAACGACATTTCGGCGCGCTCAAAATTGCCGGAGAGCATTTCGACGAACATGTTCGGGGGAAGACTGAAAACGGGCTCGGCACCATCGACCATTTGCGTGGGAGCTCACGTGAACACAGAAAACACGATAGTTCGATAAACGATGCTGCCGGCGATGAGAAGCATCGGCAACGTCCAACCATACTTGAACCTCGACACCATATAAAGGACCAATGGGCATATCTGAGCAAAATCAAAACTTTTGAAAATTGTTGTCCAAATATACCAAATATAGCTGATAGTCCAATGCGATATGCCAGAGCCACGGAGCACAATTCGACGGCGAGAAATTGGAAACAAACAGAAAATGCGGCCAAACCGATGAGGCGTTGCATTCGGAGCAGAACATTCCTACAAATCAAATCATCATCGCCTTCGATAATATTCAATCATACCATTGGTGTTCCAGAATGGTCCCTCTCCAAGATGATTGTAGACAAATGTCATGAAAATCATATAGAGGCTCAACGCCGGCATGAGGCGGAGAATTCGATGGAGCAATAGTGTTGCCATCAGTTTGCACGTGATTCGTTCATCGGCGCCTCGAATGAGTATCCGCTTGCGGATTGAGTAGGCGGCGACACACGCCGAAATCAATAGGAACGTGTCGACGGCTAGCGACGAGTTGAGCATGAAACTCGAGAGCAGCGCGTCGCCGCCGCCGCCGCCGCCCAACGATCGAATCGTGTCCGAGAATTTCAGCGAGAATAGGCACGTGTGCGAGAATATCACCCAAAACGTGCACAACATTTTGACGCCGTTCACCAATTGAACGTCTTTCGTCGAATTTCGAAAAATGTATTTGAGCGATGAATTGATCGAGAATGACGTTAGAACATCGACGAATAGAATCGACGGCGGACGACGCGCGAGATTCGGCGGCGAGCTTCGATAGGTCAACGCTAGCGACGGCGCGAACGCGTCATGAATCGACGAGGCCTCATCACCGCCGCAAGATTCCCTATCAGATCGATCCAAATTTATATCATCTTCTGGAAATTGGAAAATGCTTCAATTTTTTTCGCGCTTTTTCTAAACCATAACATTTTCTGAATTGAATAAATCCTTTCTTTCTCAGTTTCTCGAGGATTGTACCAATTGATATAACTCCAATGATAAAGAATCCAACGAGAAGAACAAAGGGCTGAATTTAATTAATTAATTAATTAATTAATAGAATTCGATATACCTTTTTAGCAAGCCATTCCTCATCATTCGCCTCTGAACAATGAATATCTTCAATCAATAGGAATTTTGAATAAGCGTTCGAGAATTGTCTAATCAAGTTCGCCATCTGTTTATCGCGACAAGCCGATGGCGCACACGTTCCAATGGTGATCGGCAACTCCGTCTTTCCGTCCAATCCAATCATCCCTTTCAATGTGCAATAATGAACCGGTCTCGTTTTCGAGATCTGCTTGCAAGTCTCATAATCGCCGAGAAAGAAAAACGGGCCTCGTCGCGTTAGCGCCGTCGGTTTTGCCGGAAGCGCGTCGAGCATTCGAACAGCCCAATTCGGATCTGAATGCTTCTTATTCCTCGCTTTTTTTGTGCGTCGAAATCCAACCCATGCAATTCTTGAACGCGTTCTTTTTAAGCGAGCACGTCGTCAGAAAATGAAGGGCGTCGGTTACGAGATTCGCCAATGCGCTGCCACACGACAAATCTTCTGAAATTTTAAATAAAAATTTTTAAAATCAATTTTCTGCAAACCATGCTCGAAACGCAGCTTCGGCAATTTTATCGTTCTATTAAATTTGTTTAAAAAATATTTATCTACTGCAATCTGAGCTTTTTCCAGTTCCAGATCTGAATAAACTTTTTAATATCTACAGCCCGTCTCTGAAAAAAAAAGCGGCCAACCAGCATGCGTTGCGGTTCGCGCGCGGTCACGTTCTTTTCGCGGCCGCACGCGAGCCGCAACGCGCCTGACGACTTCCACCTGTTTTTCTTTCAGAAACTGAAAATAATTAAGAATTTCAAAACGAACATTCAGTTGATAACGACGAATGAATCAAAACTAGTAGCAACACCCAACGAAACATCGATTAAACCAATTGAAATATTCGAAATGAGCAAAATACCTCATTATCACGCGTTCCAATTATCTTGGATAATTTATTTTTAAACATTCCTATTAGAATTGTCCAATAGGTTATTTTTATTGAGTCTTTTGTGAATAGATCCAAAAAATATTATAAAAATTTTACAGACAAATAATGGAGAGACAAATTTGGAGAAAAATAGATATTTTTTAGGATTAGTATCGAGGGCGAGACCAGTTCAAAAGACACATGCGGAATTATACTGACGATGTCGACGGCGCTTCTTTTTCTTTCTCCTTATTCTGATTCTCTAGAGTGGAATGACGATCGGTTTTCGACATTAGTCGTGAGCTGGAGCATCTAAAAATACACATAGTTTTTCAAAAAAAATCCAAATTACTGGAAACCTTCTCAAACTCAAACTCGAGAACAATGGAGTGCATTTGAGCATATCCTTCAATTGAATCGACTCATAATTCTCAATCGATTCCTGGAATTTCTCAATCCACAACTCCTTGTCGGCCTTGTCAGCAGCCTGTAGGGTATAAATACCAACGACTTGATAATACCGAGTGAGATGAATGATGACGAATGCAAATTTCAGCGACACTGAAATCCAATCGTGATTATTGAAGCCGGTTCGCTTCAAGAATTTACTCGTCGTTGAAGGATCATTCGAATCGGCATCGCAGAACACACAAGAATCCAATGGAACCGGTTGACGCTGCACAACAAAATGCTCCGATTTTCCAATTGGGACCCCTTTGAGTTTCAATTTCGACGCGCACTTTTTCGCTTTTGCCAATACGAACATGTCATTGAAGAGAAACGCGTAAACATCGACAGTTCGGCCATTTTCTGAAGTTGCTTGAATAATTTTCAAAAATCTCATCATTCGAATATTACCGACAAGCTCCAAAGGGCCTTCATGAATTAGTTTGCGGCGTGGATGAGCAAGAAGGTTCTCACAAAATTGTCGCGAGAGTGCAACGCGAAGAAACTGAAAAGAAAAACGAATCAATCAATGAAAAAAAAAAAATAAATTCGTCAAAATTGCGATGTGAATTAAAGGCGCACGTGGTTGCATCTGGCCGATATCGCGCGGCGAAGAGACATTTCGCGTCTGCACTCTCTTTACTTTCCATTGTGTCTCACTAGTAAATCAACCCAGTTAATTTTTTCCCAAAAAACAATCGAAATTTCGCTGCCCTCCGTCCATTTTTTCCATGCGCAATAAAAAAATTGACAAATTTGAAACGCACATCGGGAATGTAGCTTTTCGGCTCCAATTCACTAATATTCGGCCATATGACTTGCGTTTGCAGTTGCTGAAGCCTCTCGAAATTATGAAGCCATTGAACACTGTCGTCGATTGATCCTTGAATTCAGAAATCAGTTTTCAACATCATTTTGTAATCATTTACTCAATGATTCAGTCATGGTTTCGATAACTTTCTCAACTTTTGCCTTATTTTCCTCCTCTGTCGTGTATTTGTGAATTTCTCGCAACAGAATTGGAAGGCGAGTGATTCTGAACAGAAAAAAACCGAATTTGAGAAATCGAATTTGAATTTTCTCGAATTACCTTTGAAGCGGAGCAATCAGCAAATCTTCAAGCTGTAATCTAAAGCATCGTTCATCCGCCAGGCAAATCTTCAAAAGAAAAAAATTGTGACCTCCGGCACACGGACAGTTTTCGCCTACTCTTTCAAATTCAGTAAATCTCTCCTCCTTCTGCCGAATCGATCCCAAATACTCCATTGTTGCCTTATAATTGATGCAATAAGCCTGATATGCGGAAATCGTTGATGGTCCCTTCGAGAATCGCTCAAACAAATCGACAACCAGCTGGGTGCAATCCCACGTCTCCTTGTTCACCGTCGCCAACAGCGAAAGAAACGATTGGCAAAACGATCGCGATATTCGGCACAATTGGTCCAAGTTGCCAAACAGCAGGTCGGGCTCGACGAGAAGAAGGCAACCTTCGACCTGACACCGCTTCAATGGCTCCTTATATACATCCCTAGAATCGAGTGCCAATCAGAATAGGTCCCAATATGATTTTTTTTTAGAAAACCTTAGCACAAATAGCTGTCGGTACAGAAAAACGAGTTCCGTGTGAAACAGCTCCCAAACGGCTTGAAGGTATTTCGTTTTTGTGCTCGGAATCTGCGAAAGATCGTCGCCGAGGAACATTTCCTCGTAGGACACCGGCTGAAAATAATTGAGATTAGTCGGCGGGGGAGAAGAAAACGAATATCAAACCAATAGTTTTTCGAGCTCATCATCCTCAATCTCATGATCTTTCGACGTTTCAAGAGCTGCTTGAACATGCTTGATGATTTCTCGCCGTTTCGCTCGTCCAGACCATTCATACTGTAATCAATTTCTTACAGAAATTAATTTTCTTAAAAAAACCTGTATTTTCGATTATTAATATATTTTTATGTCGTCAGACGCGTTGCGATTCTTAAAAAATCGCTGGTCTGCAAATTTAGTTTCCGGTTGTTCCAGAATACTCATTTTCAGGATATCATTGAAATCAACGCGCCTAACGACATACAGATCTTACAGGCAGCCGTTTTCGCAATTCATTTTTTCGGCAATTGCGAAATCCGCTCGCCAAACGTTAACCGGAAATCGCCAATTTTGCCCACACCGAAAACACCAAAAAAAAAAAAAATTAACAACCCTCACCAATCGTTTCAAAATCCACGGCGAGCGATTCTTTTGCGGCTCATTCGCTTCCGCGTAGAACGCCTGCGATGCAATAGTGGCTCGTTGTAAATCTGAAAGCAAAACCGAATCCGAACCATCCCACACACGGAAATGAATGCACTCGAACACCGTGCGAATAGCATGAAGACGGGAGGGTTTAGGGGGGAAGAAGAGAGGTTTCGGGGGCTTTTTCTAGCATATCGAACAAATCAAATAGCAAAAAAAAATAATAGAAAAACAAGGCAAATCAAGAAAAATCAATTGCGAGAAACTCGCTCTAGCACCCACCTAGCGATGCAAATTTTGAATCTGAAAATTTTGGCGCCAAAATCAAATTTCAATTGTGCTCATTTGTTTTTTTTAATCATTTTCCACCGTTATCATACCTGCCAAAAGTCCACCGCCCGAGCTAATCGCCCGATTGAACAAATGACTCTCATTCGGCGATATTTGCACATGCGGTACTATTATGACATTATCCGATGAGCAACATCCTTGAGAGCTTCTAAAAATCAAAAAAAAAAAAACAACGGTGACGTCTCTAAATATGTATTTCCAATGACTTACGATTCTTTTTCGCTAGGCTGAAAAAAAAGGGAAATTAACAATAGAGATATATCCTCCAAAAACCTGATCCGGCACGATGGCATGCCTCCGCGAGAGTTGCTCCTTATTCGGATGTATCGTTTGCGGCTCACCGTCTTCCGGCTGAAAAAGCAACAAAAAAATTCGATGGTCCCTCGCACAATGCGTTTTTTGCCCAGATTTTTTGTTCACATAAACGAGCAAATATGTGCACGTGTGTGTGTGTGTGTGTTTTGGACTTTCGAAACCATTTTCATCCGATTATATTGCTTGGAAGATGAAAAAGAATGACGAGAAACTCTCAACAGCAGCAATTTTTAGAAATTCGCTTCCGCTCCAACCTTCCGCCAATGAAAAATAAAACCACTTCACGAATTGGCAGAATGCCAATAATTGGACGCCGCCTCCACACACCCCGCTCTCCACCCAAACACTTTCAATCATGTAGACACAATTGATGAGGCGCCTATAATCGTCACAAGACCTACATTTATAACGTGTTGTGAAACGCGAATAATTGCCCTCATGCTCTTTAGACTTGAATATAGCGCGGGGAAGGAAAAAAAACCGAATCATGCAATTTCGATGCGCGACGTCAGAATATCCGGTTAAGCGGGACCATAAAGTATTCATCAATCATTACTAAAAACCTAATGAAAAATATATAGCAGAAAAGCGCAGGGAATGAGGGCATTTCTGCGAAAAAATTCAAGAAAATTTAATTTCTGCTATGGAATTGAAGTGATACTGGAAAAATAAGACTAAAATCTGCAAAACATTATTAATTTGAAAAAAAAATCGAAGAGTGCGCGCCACGCGGGTACGGTAGTCACTCGGTGTAGACACCACACACCAGAGTCGACGCGCACTTGCACATTTCTTTAGGGCGTTTGATTTCTGAGTTAAAAAAAAATATAATTAGTGAATTATTGCAGTTTATTTTTCTTTTCTATACCAAAACGTCAATTGTGAATTTTTTAAAGGAAAAAAATCAGATCCAAGTCACTTTTTGTCGTAAAACATAATTTCTGTCTACATCGTGATAGCATTTACCTCGGGAATGAGAAGAGTTGGCGTGTATAATTGCAAATCCACCATAATCCTTGAAAAAAAAACGAATGAGAAAGGTTAAAATAAAAAAAAAAGAGGTTGCGAATAACTCGAATATGGCTGATAATTTTTTGATTGCCTATATATATATATATATATATATTCAAATACGTAGTGAGGGAGGGGGAAAAACATCGCAAATTGCGTTGCACGCGTCGACGAACGAGAAAAAATGTATAAAACCTTCCCACGAGCGAGCAAAACCGAAAAGAAAAGAATGTTCCGAGAATACCTAATAAGAAATTTGTGTCTCGCGCCGAAAATCGACCCCTAATTATGGGGGGGGGTGGGCAAAAAAAATGCGAGCAAGAGAGGAAAAGAAAACGCGCGGCACAGAAATTTGAGATGGCGCCAAATTTGACATCGCGCGCGCCACCCATTTTGGTTTTCTCGCCAATTTCGCTTCACTGTTTCACGTCGTCATCAAAAGCAGCTAGAAATCTCAGATTTCAATCGAGAAGAAAAAGTCGCGAAATTCGATACAAATCAAGAGAGTGACGAAAAAAAAAACAACAACAACATTGGAAGTGAATTGTGTGGGTTTTGAGGGAGCGCAAAAAAAAAGAAGACAACCAACTGATTCATAATCGAAAACAATAAATTGACTAATCAAATTTGTCTATTATTATCATTTCTTTCGTTTTTTTTCGTTTGTTCATTCAAGCAGGCGAATGAATATATTAATACATATAGTCGGCGTCCGGGGCGACTGCTGTACGCGGGTAGATTTACGCGCATGCGCCTTGAAAAGGTCTCACCACGCGTGAGCGCTTATTTTGCCGTTTTCACGTGAACTGCTTCATTTTTCTTGATGAGTTTCACATTTCCTTGAATTTCCAACGTCGTTCGATTAAAAAATTATGGAATCGGTCCAAGAAATTTGAAATGACCTGGTAGTCCGTGCGAGACCATTTCAAAAGACGCATTCCCGTAAATCTACCCGCGTACAGCAGTCGCCCTGGACGCCGACTATATTTCTCAAATAAATTTTTTTAATATCAGATGAAGATTTCAAGAAATCATTCTATTTTACAGTGATTTTACTCAAAAATGTGAATCAAGGAACAACGCGAAAAACGTCCGCAGATGTTTCTAATGAAATGCCCCGTTTTGACAACTCCGAAATGGGAATGTTTTTTTTTTTCAGCTGCTTCTCATATTGTCGTCTTCAACTCGACAAAAATAAGATGATTCAAACAATTTTGAAATTTATAGGCAGCCGAGCACAAAAAATAATCAGCTGTTTCGCGGAAATTCATTTTTTTTGGTTTGGCCTCGTAATTGTCGGTGTGCGTTTTTGCGTCGCCGTGTTTGCACACATTCTCGCGCGCTACCAGTTGCTTTTTGGAATTCAAATGTTTGCGCAAAACGCGAGATTCTTCAATTTCTCGTTTTTTTGGCAAAAAAACTTTCTGACTGCACACAGCTTAACTATAGCTACCGTAACCTTAAAATAAATAAAAATCAACGATTCAAAATTGGCAAAAATTCGGTTTTTTTTCTATGGCTCACGAAAAGAAAAAAAAAGAAGTCAATTAAAATCGAAAAGAGGTGATTTTCAAATCCACTTGTCGACGCGTTCACTTTTTTTTATTATTCGCGACGTCAAAAAAAACCTCGACGACGTCAATTCAGCACAAAAAAAGAAGGAGGCAAAAAAATGTAGTTGAAAATTATCGACCGACTAATTGCACAAATTCCAGCTTCGTTAAAGGCGCATACAAGAATCTGCTCGATTCTCGCCAAAATCGACGAAAAAAAAAATAACCGCCAATATGGAATGTGTGAGATTGTCCGTGTGGAGTACACAGACTCAACCAAGCGAGTGCAATTTTTCGAAACTCCAAGACTGGAAAAAAAAAACGACGAATTTCGTGGAATCGCGCATAATCGAAATTTCTCGCTTTTAATAAAAAATATGGAAGCGGTTTTGCTTAGACTACTTCAACATTGCAAAAAAAAATAATGAAAATATCACCAATTATCCGGTTTGTTGTCAAAATGCCATATGAAACCAAACTAAATGCGGATATTTGAATCGAAGCCGCGGATGGTAAACAACACCTCATTTGTTGGGGGACCTTCGAGCGGAGGTGGCGAATCATGCATATTTATGAAAACATTTCAACAAGATAAAAATGAAAGAAAAAGAAGAAAATGCTGAAAAACGAGGCGAACGAGTTGAATAAATTAAAAGAAATGTTGATGAGTGACGTGTTGACGCATAACGCCGCTCATTTTTAAGTTTTAATAACCGAACAAATTTTGGTTTTTTATTAATACAATTTTCGACCTTTAATTACCTTATTCAATGAATCGAAAAGTTTTGAAAAAAAAAAAACCAGTTAATTGAGAAATTAAAGGCGCATAACGCGATAAATAAGTTGGATCTTGTAGTCACATACATAATCAAATATTCATTCATGATTGAAGCTTCTTGATCTTTTAAAAAGCTCAATGGATAAGTCTGCAAGATGTTTGATCTACTATCACTTCTCTATTATCCCAACTACAAAAATGAGGATGGGACCCCCAAAAACTGGCTACGGGGTCTTGGTGAAGGCCCGCGATATCAAATATCGTTTTACGCCAACATCCACTCGGTCAGGGATAATGACGAGCGGCGGTTGCGGACGTCTCGCGGGTTTCGCCGCCATCTATCTTTTACACGTGGCGGCGCGCAAAAATTGATTTTGTTTTCGTTATTTGGAACAAAAATGGAAGTTGATGTGCCAATTAGAAAATCGCAACAATTTTTGGCGACAAAATGACAAATTACAGCGTCGGCTCGCCATTTTCTTTCGTCGCTTCTTGTTTTTTTTTTTCTCTCGCGGCCCACATTTTCGGCGGCCTTGATGGTCGTTTATTACACACATGTTGATCGTCGCGAAAATTGAAGAAGCAGCACAAGAAAAAAACATAAACACGTACCGGTTTGATGAGCTGATTGCCGCGAATATGATGGAATAGCGTCAGTGGTGGAGCATCGCTGGCCATCGTCTACAAAAAATAAAACAAGAAACTATTCAGAAAATATTCGATGAGCAAAAATTGGGAGAAGAAAAAAAATCAACGATTTGAGAAAAATGTGTGTGTGTGCATACACACTCACGCAAAATTGCACACATCCACACTATTTGAATGTTTCGCGCGAAATTCAAAAAAAAAAAACATTTTTTCGACACATCGGAATTCTCCGGAAAAACAATTTCAAGATGAAAATGAACATCGGGGAAAAAAAAAAGAAATTCTGACGAAGAGAATATACTAAACGCTTAAATATTCAGAAATATTCCGCCTCGAAAAACTTTGGCCAATGGCAGTATGTATAACAAAAGCGTCTTCGGCAGCAGTTTTTTTTTACCACAAAAAAATTGTCTATACGACCAAAAGGGTCCCACGAAGTGATATGTAATTGTGGACCATCGTGATTTGTTTTTTTTTCAAATTCAAATCTAAACAAACATTTTTACACATCTTTTTGCAAAACAATTCATTTTCGTTGCGAGAGCACTTGAATAAAACCACGCCATGCTCCTATAAGTTACGATAGCATTTTTTGAGATTTGTAGAGAAAAACTGCTGGAAACGAAAATTTATTTTTCAACAATTGTCTGAAATTCGAAATGGGCGACGCGTGTTTGAATTGCCGCCAAAAAGGCTTGTCGTTTCAAATCCGCGTTGCGTTTGCGTCGCGGTCGCGTAGAAATTAGAATGATTTTTTGATTCAAAATATTTCAGAAATTGGGTAATTCGTCGATTCCAATAATGAAATCATTTTTTTTGCAAATCTAACAATTTGGTTATCGAAATCCTCCAATATTTGATTAAAATTGATAATGTGACGGAAACCGACAAAATTGTGTGCAAACACCGCGACGCAAAATCACACCGAATAACAATTCTACTGTCAAATCAAGGAAAAATGGGGGTTTTTTTCAAATCTCAGGCCACATCGAGCTTCCTCAATTAGTCATAATCGATAAGCTAAGAGGATTCTTGAAAAAAAAATTCAATTTAATAGATGAAAAAGAAAAAACACACACACAAAATTGTATTAGATACATTTTTTCTTTGAGAGAGAGAGAGAGAGAGAGAGAGAGAGAAGAGATGCGCGAAATCTGAGCAGTAAGTTTGACGGCTCAAAACGAAAGCAATTATGAATATCCTCCGAAAAAAAGCAACAACAACAACAGAAATTGGGCCAATTCGTGTCGACAGGGTCCTCATTATTCGAATAAATTCATGTGCACCGAGAGGGGGGCGAAAAAAAACGCACACACACACTGAAAGAAGCGACAAGTCCAATTGACGAGTCGTTCAATTTGACAAATTCGACAAGACAAGACATGGCGCGGCGAGTAAGATGGCGAAGGAGATCGGCGGGCCGGGGGGGGGGGGGCGAAAAAATTGGGTGTCGAGTTATTACTACGAAAATTGCAGCTCATTGGCGAAACGCGCTCTTGGCGCGAACCTCTAAGTGTAGATTTACGGGACAACGCATAAGAATTGGTTAAAGGCGCACGCCGAGACCTCATTTAAAATTTTTTTGGCATTTAGCCAATTTTCCGAAGTAGTATATATAATTCTGAAATTCGACAAAAAAAATTGGGGCTCGCGGAATTTGGAAAAAATATTGAAACAAAAATTTCGACGGTCCAAAAAACAAACATTCAATTTAAATTTTTGGGTCTTGAAATGCGCACGCGGGTGCGTTGTGTACTCCACACGGACAAGTCGACTTTAAACAATTGTTTTAGTTTTTTCAAGAAGATTCGTGATAAAAAAATCGAGTTCCTTTTTAGAAAATAATTTTCAATATCGCTAAAATAATAGAAAATTCAAAAAATAGTGAAATAGGCCTTGCTTTATTTAATTGATTTTTTTCACACTGAAAATTATATTTCAATTTTGATTTGCAACATTTTTTGGAAACCGTTGCGAGACCCAATTTGACGGTAGAGCGCGATTGCAACATCATATCAAATATGATGTCATTCTACTGGGAAAAACCGGCTCAGATGTTCGATCTAGTAATGCTCTTCATAGAAATTCAAAAAATAATAAAATGTGTGCAAAATTACGTAAGCGTGTTAACACCCGCAAAACTCGAATAAATCAAGATTCTCAATTTTTTTTGACAAAATTTTCTCCTAAAAACCTTAATTCTAGTGTTTTCATCGTATAGCCCCTACAAATTGTTTAAAGGCGCATACAGAAGCCCGCTATGCAAAATAATATGCATCAGAATGAAGTGCGTGCGAAAACTTGCGGTACCCAACACACACACACGAAAAAGAAAAATAAATAAATGAAGTGGATGGGTGGTTTTTTTTGCGCAAAAAATTCATCCATACATTTTTAATCAAATTGGCTTGTGTGTGTGTGTGAGTGCAAGTGAAAGCCTTAGCCTAAGCGAATCGGATTTATTTCAGTTCATCTCGTTCCGACCAATTAGGCCGACGGCAAGCAATTGGGAATTGACGCCGACAATTTCCATTGGCGGTATGCGCCTTTAAGCCCCCCCCCGCACATTCTTGGTTTTTCAAGGGCTTCATCTTAGACTTATTTGCAAAATAGTACTGTAGATAAATTTTCGAGGGCTCTCGCATGTCCCTTTAAAATATCGAAAGCAGAATGTGGAATTTCATTGAAAAAAAAAACTTTTTGTGTGCAATTGCGCGTCAGGTATTATGCACAAAAAAATTGGCGTAGATTTACGAGCTTAAAGGCGCACATTTATTTGAGGGAGCTAGCCAACGAGAAAAAACTGGGAATCGTGTCGGGACCATCATCATTCAACCCCCTTCCAAACTAGTGAATTGCGTCCTCAGCTGCGGCAATCTCATGTTTCGCGCGAGTCGACGACAAAAAAAAACACGAACCTACCCGCTAGTCACAATTTTTTCCAATACATGGAAACTCAATAATTTCCCGTTTTTTTTTGGGGGGGGGGACACCGAGTGTTATATTACACAGTTTTTTGTCATATTTCAACAAAAATGGGCATTCAAGAAAAATTGGCGCGACAAAAAAACGAGGAAGAGCATGGAAAATTGAAATTTCTAAACTTTTCATGACAAATATATGAATATTATATAGATATTCTAAAAATGCTCATTAATTCGAAGAAGCGAGACGGAGACGTGGGGGGGGGGGCACATGGGTGATGTAAATAGAGCGCTCGACGTACACATTCGCATATGTGCCCTCGTGTTTCGCGCTGGGAGCACTTCTCCAATTATGGACAACATTCGGTAGACAACAAGCGAGCCGCCCGAATAATTGCGATTTATTCGATGGAATTTTTGCGTCTGCCCCAATGAGAAAAAAAAATTTGAAGTGCAAAAATCGGCCGATGCAATTCACGACGCGAAGAAAAAAAAAGAAAAAGAATTCTTAAAAATTGGTCTGAAATCGAATTTCAGCAAAAACAATGGTATGCTCGGTAAATCTAAACCAACGCCAATTTTTGGGTCCCGCCGCGACAACAGCAATTTACTTTTTTTTTCGGCGGAAAAATTGGAAGAGCATTACTAGATCGAACATCTAAGCCGTTTTTTCCCAGTAGAATGACATCATATTTGATATGATGTTGCAATCGCGCTCTACCGTCAAATTGGGTCTCGCAACGGTTTCCAAAAATGTTGCAAATAAAAATTGAAATATAATTTTTAGTGTGAAAAAAATCAATTAAAAAATGCAAGGCCTATTTCACTATTTTTGAATTTTCTATTATTTTAGCGATATTGAAAATTATTTTCTAAAAAAAACTCGATGTTTTATATCGTAAAATTATTTTTTTTTTAATAATTGTTTAAAGGCGCATGGCGTCTAATTAAGCTTATTTTTTCGAATTGCGTCTCAACCGTCAAGTTGGGTCTCGCAACGTTGCCCAAAAAAATTTGCAAAAAATTTACATACATGTATTAGAAGGCGTTGGAAAACACGATGGACCGACACACAAATTCTCAAATTTTTTGAAGCAGACGAAGAAAACAAAAATGGCTGAAAATAATGTAAGAAAACAAAAAAAAAGCGAAGGTTGTGTTGTAATTAAGATCGGCCATTCTCACCATAGCTACCGCCTAGAAACATCACAAAAAATTGTTAGTTCCACAAATTTGTACTTGTTTGCCCTAATTCATACCGAGTTAATGAAATTCGTCGAGTTTTCCGCGAATCCCGACGAGATGCGTCTATATGAGAACACGAAAAACAATTCGAAATTGTTATTATGGTGACGGGGCGGCAACGAGAAAAAAGACGGCATCACTCGTGAATTGTTTTGTTTTTTCGCTTGTAATTAACAATTAAGAGTATATTTTAATTGAATACATATAATTATTTGAAGAAACAAGAAAAATTTGAAGAAATGAAAATTTAAAATCATACGTGTGCAATTTTGCGTTCGCGTGTAAATTATAAATGCGCGTACGCTAAAATGCAATGTACGCAAACACACAACACCTCGACACCATGGAAATTGATTTTTTTTTTCAAAAAAAAAATAGGAAAGAAAATATTTTCGCTTGAGTCTCGCAGCGAATTCTTCAATTCTATTCCTCAGACTCGAATATCTTCTTTCAAAATGACAACGAAGCCAATTTATTTGATACTTCCGACCTTATTATGAATGAGGACGAAATTCAAAGATCTGGAAGAGCGAAAACAAAACGCAACGAATAAATCATTATCAAATTATAATTTATGTTTCAGCGAAAAATTGTTATTATTATTATTAATTTTCTCTAAAAATTGATCAATTAACTGCAAATACGCGGTTTAATGCTTCCGAAAATGGCCAACATGCTCGGAATCGGTGAACCTACGAACAAGAATTTCGCGAGGACCATCTCGACGAGCGCGAATTCCCTCGTGAAAAGCTTCAATATGACTCCACAAAAAAACAATAATTAAATTAATTAATTAGTCTTACTCCGAATAGCAAATAATATCGGCGTCCGAATAGACAAACGCAAGAATTTTCGGCAAATTCGGATGATTCATTAGATAATGATAGCACGAGAGTTGATCTGCGGTATAAATTCCCAATAATATCAAATATCTGTTCTAGAAATTCCATTTTTTCATATTTTATAAATGAAAATACAAATTTACCCTATAATGCTGATAGACATCTCGCGCAATCTCGACAAGTTTCCAAATTTGGTAATACGATTTCACTAGCGCGTTCGATTCTCTCGTTTTCTCGCTGATGACAAAATCCAGAACGTCCGAGTAGCTTTTGAAGTTCCTCCAACCGAAATCGACACTTTGAATCGGACAGCTATCGAATAATATCCCATCGGCTCGTTGCAATACGCCAAGGTGCGGGTGTTGAAGGTGAAGCGAGCACAACGAGGCGAAGCCGTTCATGCTCATCACTTGAAGGATCAGTCGACTGTCGGAGGCATGCGTTTCGATGCAAACCCACAAGTGATACTAACGGAATAGCGAAGAAGGGCAATCAGAATCGCGTTCAAATAAATCGAGCCTGAACACGTTCGCGTAATTGATCAATGTCGTTGAGAAGCTTCAAAAATGAAGAGTAGAACGTTTGTATCAGGAAACCAATCGGATCCGAAAAATTTGGCTCCAGAATCAACCGGATGCGATTGGAAATTCTACTGATAAAATTGGAAAATTGTCAGATCCGATTGGTTTTTGGGGTATCTTCGGATCCGATTGGTTATTAATCGAATCGGTTTTGTTTTAATCTTTGATTTCGAATCGGATCCGACAAATATCCAATCGGATCGGACATATTACCAATGGGATCCGCAAAATACCCAAAAAACTGAACCAAATTTTGTCGGATCCGATTGGTTTTGAGTTACCAGAGAAGTATTGGCGAGGGCGGTGAATTGCGCCATCGATTTTGGTGTTGACAAATTCACAAACAGAACGCAATCACGATGGTGCCGATGGCGATTCGCCGATTTGTCAAAAAATGCCAAAAACTGTAATTTTTGCGCGCGTGTCGGTCAAATTCCTTGAAATTTTTTGTTCATTTCTGCATGTCTCGAAATTGCTCACAAAATGCTCGTGCTCGAGTAGTCGGACGAGCTCGTCCTCGCTGATTCCCGTTGGCGTTTTGTCGAAACGCTCGTATATATATATATATATATATATATATATATATTGGATCTTTACATAACCACAATATTCGGTTTTTTTCAAAAACTATTGGTAACATTATCACCTTTTCAACATTGTTTTTAATAGTAAAGATATAACAGAGTAACAAGAAAGGGAAAAAATAGGTCTATAGAAAGACAGAAGTTGAAAGAGAAACAGGAAACGATTTTCTTTTGCGAAGAAGTGGCGATGAAAATTTTTCGAATAAATTAGCGGGTTAGCCGTAAAAGGATAGAAGAGAACCGGTGGAAAACGGAAAAGACAGCGAAAAATAAAATAATGAAAAAAAAAACACATATATAAAACAAAAAATTATACAATTCAAAATGCTGAGGGGTGATTAGCTCAAATTGGCAACCGGCTCCTCTTCCTTCTTCTCAGTTCCCGCCAGTTTGCCGTTCGCCAAATAGTACATATCAACGATTTTCCTCCAATCGATCACCGTCTCGATATTCCAATCCGAGCTTCGGCCGAGCTCCGCCGTCTGTCCGCCGAGCGCGCCGCCCTCGTCACGCATCGTCGGACTCGCGCGGCCTTGTTGTCCGCCGCCCATCGAGAACGCGTCGATGTTCTCCTCGAATCGCAAATCGTCTTGCGCTTTTCGCGTCATACATCGCACTGAAATTCAAACCAACTTTTTCTCTGCTTGATTCTCATAGTGTGTTCAATACAGCGTGACGACAAATCACATCAAAATTACAAAAAAAGGTGGAATTTTTCACAAGATTTTGTCATTTCGATTCCAATTCCCCAGCTTACATCGATTCCTCCACGCGACTTTGACAACAATCAGAAATTTCGTGAGCATATTGATCGGCGACGGCGTCGCGCTTCGTTTGTTCATTTGCCGAATGAGAATCGCTCGTCCGAATTTCCATTCCTAAAATTCAAATCATTTCTAACCTTATTCAATGATGGCAATCAAAAATCAACCTTGTCAGATTGAGCTTGAATCCTCTGGTACGTGTCGGACATCATAGCAATCAACAAGTTGATGAGCACAATGAGTGTGACCATCATGTAAATGCCGAACAGCAATTTCAATATGATTTTGGCGAAGTCGGGAACAAGATGAAGCGGCGGCATGCTGTCGGGCTCGACCAATCTAAAAATTTGCGAGAATTTCCAGTTCGACACCCCGCTGGCTATCGCCAAAAAATTTACCCGAAAAGCGAGAAGAATAGCATTTCCAGCGTTTGCTCGGGCGACGCCAGTCGCATCAATTCGGCACTATCCTCGTCGACCGGCTGATAGGCGGGCTGCAACACATTTTCTGTTCAACTTTTTTTGCCATCAAAAAATGGGCCACCTGAAAGATGCTGGTGACGTGCAGTGTGAATCCGGCGACGAACAAAAACAGAATCACAAGGAAACGCGCCAAATCGTACATGAGGTCACTGAATCGTTCGCTACTAATATTTTAAAATATTAAAAAATTGAATACCGAATAATGATTGCCCATGGTCCGAATAAATGATGGACGGTGAGAAAGTCGAGGTATTCAACGAACGCGAAAAGAAGTGCAAATGCGAATAGCTGATTCTATCAATTTCAAAATGTTAATTTTTTGTTCGAATCAATTTTGGTGTGTGTACCTTTAGATAAAGCATGGTCCTCGCAAAATGCAATTTCTCATCATTATCTAGATGGGTGAGGAATACCGCCGGCAGCAAGAATGCGAGCACGTGGACCGCAATGGCGGCGGCGGAGAGAACGAGAATGAGCACTTTCACAATGCCCAATCCCGAACCACCGCCGACCGTCGACAATTCCGACACCAAGTTTCCCGAGAGCCACAGAAGTAGAAGCCATTCGACGGGATTCGGCACGACCGACGTTGTTTCATATCTAGAAAAAGAAACAGAATAATTTTTCAATTTTTGGTGACGTTAGAAATTCGCATGTTTAACATTAAACCGATCTCTTCGTGGCGAGACCTTTAAATTTATTTCAAATTTTCTAACTATTCAATTTCATACTACTATTCGATTTTTTTTTGGGTGCGTTTCTTTAAATACTCACATTTTGTGTGTGATATTAAGAACGACGATTGTTAGAAGGATGGTGAAGTAGACGTGAGAGACAATATGGCAGACGAATTTGATGATCGGCGCGCGTCCGATTCGACTATCCAGCGGAAGCGAGAAGTAGAACCAAGCCGGCGGGCAGATCAAAACGAACAGCGAGAACGCGACAAACTTGCCGAACGACCAATCGACACGCGCCGTCCACACCTCCGTCAGATATCGTTGCACCGACGCGTACGAGACAACCTCTTTTTGCTCGTTCTCGATGAGCACATCGAGAAGCGGCCGCCCGCGATTGTCTTTGGCTTTGAGTAGAAGTGCGGCGTTGTACTCGGTGGCGGTGATTCCGAGAAGCTCGACGGCCATGTTCTCGCTGAACACGGCCACATTCAGCAAATCTCTCGCTCGCTCCTTCTCCTTTTCCGACATGTCGCGATAGAGCGCCGACAATTTGACAGCGGTCTCGATTGGAGCGGGACTTTGAAGGATGAACTCTTGAAGCGGCTCGTTCTCGGTGGCTTTGCCGCACAACATCAAATCAAAAATGAACTTGCGATCCTCCATGAGCTGATGCGTGTCGTGCTTCTGCTTCAACAAGAACCGCAGACACTCGATGTGATTGTGCGCGGCGGCGAAACACAACGGCACTTTGCCCTCTTTCGTCTCGGCCAGCGGATCCGCCGAGCTGTCAATGAACAATTTGACAACACTCTGGTGTCCGGCGCGAGTCGCAAAATGCAATCCGGTCCATCCGTTTTGATCCATCACATTGATATTGGAACCTTGCGCGATAAGAAGCGACACCATCTCGTAGTGTCCATTCTGAGCGGCGAGATGCAATGGTGTCCGTCCTCGCCAATCCTTGGCGTGCTGCTGCTGCGTCGATCGCGACAACAGCATTCCGACGACGGCGATGTGGCCCTGCTGGGCGGCAAGATGAAGCGGGATGACATTCTGAAATTTTCGAATTCATTCCAATATGACTATCATCGTTACCATTGTTGTACTTGTGGCGTCCACTTGAACACCTTGATTCAGCAACATTCTCACAAGACTATCGTGACCGGATTGGGCGGCCAAATGAAGCGGCGTGAAGCCGTATTCCGTCGAAAACTCCTTGTTCACATGATGATTGTAGATGGGCGGCTCCGAGCGTATCGACGCCGGCACATGTTTGAGCATCTCATTGACGAAATCCGAGTTGCCGTAGTAGGCGGCGATGTGCAACGCGTTGAGTCCCGTCTTTCGCGAGCATCGTCGCCACAAATTCTGATCGAACGCCTCGAGAATCGAGACGAATCCGTTTTTCGCGCCGAGATGCAAAGCGGTCATTCCGTGCGAGTTCTCGTCTTCCGCGTTCGCCCCATTTTCCAGCAGAATTTTGACGATGTTCGCATGACCTCCAGCGGCGGCCATGTGTAGGGTAGTCGCCTTAAACAAGAAAAAAAAAACTTTGTGTCGTCAGAGACGCGGTCGCAAAAATTCAAAAACAACATACCTCTAATGTCTTCGTCTTCGCCTGTATAACCATCGCCTTATCAATCATCATCAATTCTCGAACGACCGCCAGCGAGCCCTTCATGGCAGCAATATGCGCACACGTGAATCCGTTGTGATCGATTGCGGTGAGAACACCCCGATTATTATTGTGTTTCATTTTCAGAAAAAGTTTGACAACGTCGGGAAAGTCGTTCTCGGCGGCCAAATGAAGCGGTGTCTGGCCTTTGTCGTCGCGCGCATTCGGATTCGCGCCGAGCGCCAGAAGTGTCTGACTGACGCCGAGTTGGCCGAATTTGGCGGCGAAATGAAGGGCGGTCTGATTGTCGAGCGTGATCGCTTCCAGACTGGCGCCGTGATCCTGCACGAGCACATTGACCACTTTGACGTGGCCGTTCTGCGCGGCCAAATGAAGCGGCGCCTCGCCGGTCTTCGATTTGCTATTGACAAACGCCTTGTGCTGAAGCAGCAGGTGCACAATCGCCAAATGGCCATTGAAAGCGGCGAGATGAAGTGCGGTTCGTCCCATCTCATCGAACACATCGATTCGGGCGTGATGTTTGAGAAGGGTGTTCGCCACACCGGTGTGCCCTCGCGCGCACGCTTCCAACAGCGGCGACCAGCCGTTTTTGCTTTGTTTGTTCTGCACAATTTGCACGGCGCCGGCGCCAATTTTGTTCACCATCGCCAACAACACCGCCTGGTTTCCCGATCTCGCCGCCATATGCATTGCCGTCTCATTGGTGCCGATCGATTGCATCTCGACTTGTCCGCCATAATCAATGAGCAAATTGACGAGTTTCGCGTCCTCGCCGGGAAAATGCAATTGTTGCGATTCGATTTCGGCGGCGTAGTGAAGCGCCGTGAAGCCGTCGTTCGTTCGATGATTGACGTGCTCGCGGAGTTGCTCGGCCGTCATGTGCTCGCTGAGATGATTCAGAATCATCGAGGCCGCTTCGAAATTGCACGACTTCGCCGCGACATGAAGCGGCGTCTCGCCGGTGTTCGATTGAATTTGAGCGTCGGCATTCTCGGCGAGAAGGAGTCTAGAAATTCACAAAGTATATACATATATTTTTTTAACAAATTCATTTTTTACGCTTGTCGGAAAATCAAAAAAATTCTGTCGAAGAGCCCACAAAAAACTGAAGCGATATATCATAATTCAAACAAGAGCGGTTAATTTTTTGAGGCATGAGAAATATAATTGTACAGCGTTTTTAATTGTTTGTTATTTATTAAAAAACAGACATTTTGAAAAAAAAACCAGGTAAAAAGGTCACTGCAGCATGACTTCGCACAAAAAAAAAGGCAATTTTAAATTTGAAAAACACTGTAGCGAAATCGCGACGTGACCCACAAAACTTTTCGTGTGTGCGCCTCTGAATTACAGTATATCGCGTAAATTTTTTTCCCGAAAATGTTTGAATTTTTTTTAAAATTTCTTCCCAACCTCATAATTTCTTTGTTGCCATTCCTGGCGGCGATGTGAAGGCACGTCTCGCCGTCGGATTGCGCCACATCGGGCTGCCCTCCCGATTTCAGCAGCATCATCGCACAATCGCGACTCTCGGGACCGTTCAATGAGGCGGCGATGTGCAACGCGGTCTGGCCGAGCTCGCCGCCTCTCACGTGAATGTCGGCGCCGCTTCCGAGAAGCGTCTCGACGACCGACGCTTTGCCCGATTGCACCGCGACGTGAAGCGCCGTGTAGTTGTCGCGTGTGCGCACGTCGACGTTCGTTCCGCGCGCGATCAACATTTTGACGACGTCGTTGAAGCCGGCGGCGGCCGCTGAATGCAAACCGAGCGCGCCCTTCTTGTTTGGCATGAACAACGGCACGCCGCGCTTGAGGAACGCCAACGCGGTGCTCGTGTGGCCCGAGCACGCGGCAATGTGCAATAGTGTCGAGCCGTCGCGCGTGCGCGCCCGAATACTACCGCCGAATTTGTCGATGAGCGACTCGACCATTTGGGTGTCGCCGCGTTCGGCCGCCACGTGCACCGGCGTCTTGTCGTCTTTATCATAGATGTTCGCGTCGGCGCGCATTTTGAACATGATCTTCAGCATATTCTGATCGCCGACTTCGGCCACCTCGTGCAACGCCGTTCGTCCCTCCTTGTTCTGAATGTTGGCGTTGTCGCAGCCGGCGGCGATCGCCGTCCGCATCACTTCCATACTTCCCGATCGCACCGCCAAATGAAGCAAACTGTTGCCATGACCATCCAATTTGCGCGTCTGCTCGTCGTTGGGCGTCGACAGAAGGAGCTCGATGATGGCGAGATTGCCGTGGCGAAACGCCAAATGAATCGGCAGCGAGCCGTCGCCGTCTTCGGTCAATCGTTGATCGACCTCGTCGAGAATCCGCTTCACGATCGCGTACGCTTTTTTCGATTTGCGCTCGCACGCCACATGAATCGCACACTGCTTCTTCGCGCCCGCCGCCTTCCAGAGAAGATCCGAATAGCGTTTCAATATCAATTCGAGTGTGTCGACGTCGGCGAACATCGCCGCGATGTGGCACGCGTTGCGGCCGTCTTTCGTCAAAAAATCGACGCGCGCGCCTTTATTGATCATTTTCTGCACGATGCCGGCTTTGCCGGCTTTCACTGCCAACAGAAAACCGGTGAAGCCGTGATTGTCGGCCATTGTGAAATCGCTTCGCTTCACACCATCGATCTCCTTCTCCATATTCGCCCATTCTTCGCGTTTCGCATAATATAGTATCTGAACAGAAAAATCAATGATTTCAATAATCAAATTCCTTTTTTTTTTGAAACCTTGGTTTGCGGATCGGCCATCGCTAAATCCTCCATCGGCATCTCCTCATTCGACGTGTGCGACGTGATGCTCTCCCGAAACGGATGAGCTCTCGATTGTCTCCGCTCATCATCGACGACTCGCGATTTGCCCGAATTGGTCCGTTCCGGCGGCGTGTTGCTATCCCGTGAGTGCTGCTTCGGAACAATCACAACGTTGGTGCTTCTCGTCAATGGCGAGCCGCTCATTCGTCGAGCAATGCTCATCGTCGGCTTCGATTCCTCTTTTATAAGCTCCTTGAATAGAAAATAACATAATTATCAAGAAATTGCTGAAATTCTCACAGTGAGTCCCAATTGTTTCATCTGATCTGGATCGTGCGTTTTGAGCAAGTGTTCGATCATTCCCACTCTATCCGGAAGCTCTTCAACGGATCGTGATCGCTGAAATCGAAGTCCGCATTTGGCGAGTGTTTTTTTGGCGCAGGGAACTCACCTTTGGCGTCGACTCCTTCCTCCTATAAATTCGACTATAGCTGACATGTTTGATCTCCTCAAGAGCGGTTCCGAGAATTCCGGTACGGTTTGACGGCTCCTCGCTGTAATTCGATTGGATTATATTATTGAAAATTGGCTACCGTAATCGATCGCTGCGTACGCCTTTAATTACCGTATATAAATGAAAAATATTTTCGAAATTAAAATGCAAGATTACTGACGTTTTATATTGTGATGAAACACAATTTTTAAAAAAGGAATATTTTTCCGAAACTGAGGTTGGGTCTGATGGCAACTGAGGTTTTTCATTACAAAAAATATCGGCTATAATAATCGAATAAAAAGAATTTTTTAAAATCAATTTTTTACATTAAAGTAGGAAAAAATCAATGCGATTAAAAAAGTCAAATCTTGCAAATAATCAAATGTGTGCAATTTTGCGTGTGTTTACACCGAAATGTCTCCGTCTCTCGGAATCACACACTCCCTCTCTCACACTCGAGCACACTGCACCGCCGATTTTCAGCGTCTAAAATCGAAATCAATTCGAACCTGGCTTTTTCCAATTCCTCAACATTCCGACTGATTTCTTTTAAGCCTCTCGCAAGAATTCCTCGACTTTCGCGTGCCGATCGCGGTCTTTCCGGTGAGCTGACGCGTCGTTTTCTGAATTTTTTGAAAAATGTTTTTGAAAAAAAACCAAACAAAAATGAGTTTTAGGCGAAAAAAAACCTCAAAAATCTTGACGTTGGTGGAGTGTCTGGCTTCGACGGTCCCGGCGGCGACGAGATCATCTGAAAATTGGAATCGAGTTTTTTGGTTCAGCGATGAGGAGGGCAACCCACCTGAATCGGCACATGACGAATCTGAATCGGCGCCAGGTCGACGTCGGACTCGCGTTGTTTGATGTTTCGCAAAGCGTTGGCGAGAATGCCGCCGCGCGGCGACGACGAACCATCATCCATCAGACCGGCGAACGCCACTAATATGAGCAATAGGCGGCGAATTTTCGCAGCGTCACGCACACAAACACAGGCAGACCGCCGAAAAATAAAATCAATGAAATAATAAATGAGTGATTCATTCTCGAGGCAATAGTATTCAAAAAAAAAACTATCCATTTATGGCGTGGCGGGTCGAATAAAGAAAGAATGGCGAATTGGTAATTGAACTAGTCGGAACTTGTTTGGTTTACTCAACGAATCATTATTATTATTATTATTATTTGAATAGAAAAAAAAAAACTGGTGGGGTTCGTTCTTGATTACTAGGTGTGAATGCAAGACGAAGAAAAAGAATAAGCAAAAGTTTGGGAAGCTGTTTCGAATTTCCCTTGAAAAGCCAATTATTATGCACTATTGACGGATGTTTCCGGGCGCCGCGTTGTCGAATGTCTCAAAAATCGCAAAATATGAAATGATACGAAAGAAAAGAATTATTTATGGTTTTTAAAATAAAAATTTACCTGAATTGCGAAACTTTGCGGGTTTTCAAAAGATTTTTTAAACGAAAATTCAAAAAAAAAGATTTGGTCCGTGAAACACGCGCACGCAAAATTGCACACATTGGATTATTCTTAATGAATTTTGTTATTTTTTAATATTATGAAGATGTTTTTTGAGAATTGGCGCGCAATTCAAAAAATGAACATTTCAAACTTTTCAGAGTGTCAGTTTTTCAAGCATTTTCCAGAAAAATTTGAAATCGATTAGAGAATGAAAAAAAAAACTGCCACCACACAAAAAATGTATAAAAACTCTCAGGGTTCCGAGTGTGTTCGGCCCACACAAAAAAAAGTGAAGAATAAAAAGTAATAGTGCTGAGCGTCTGGAGAAGGTAGTGAGGGGGGGGGAGGACCAACGTGCCTCTCTTGTTCACCCAATGCGGCAGGCAGCAGCTCCCCGCGCCAAAATGACCATTTCCGGTCACTGACATACAAATGCTCGATGCCGATTTTCAATATGACGAAAAATGGAGAAGCGATTCTCAATTGAGACACTTCTGTCGCGCGATTTTTGAAATTATATGAAAATGGCGCCCGATTGAAATCATTTTTAAAATTACTCTTCTTATTGTTCGAGGAGGGGGTCTTCCGATGGGCGTGGCTTACCATGACAAATCAAATATTATTGTTTTAAATTCCCATTTCTCCAAGCTTATTGGGCAATCTTAATACATTTTAAAACTGCATAAAACTAGATTTACCGACTTTCACTAGTGTCTCGCCAAAAAATCAACTTTAAAAAATTAATATTCTCTGGTAACACAAAACTAATCGGATTCGAATATATCCGAGAATCGAATCTGATCCGAATCATCTGAACGAATCTCGAATTTTGTCATTTTTTCGGTTAGGATTGATTTTGAGCTACCTGTACCGAACAAAAAAACTTATAATAACTTATAATGGCACTGCTCGAAATTTAATTGCAAATTTGAATTTTTCGTCTCAAGACATCATTGATATATTGGCACATGGCCAATATTTTCTTTTCATTCTTTTAGTTGTTTGCCGCCCATTTTAATATCAAATTTTCAATAGCGATAATTAATACATGGCATTGTTTCCGGAAATCATCAAAGCGAGATATTCAAGAAAACAAAACCGCCAAAATTGATTCAAACCTATTACAAATATGTACAACGCGAAAAAAAACTCCTAGAGCGAAAAAATGTATTCATAGGCGGTCATGGAGCACTCAGCGATCATCAGGAAACTATGTGAAATGAAGCATTCGAAAAGTGCGTGGAATGTTTAGCACGCATACACACACAAAAAAAGTACTACTTCGAATCTCGTTGCGCTGCTAAGTGGGCGGGGCCTCGGGGACCCCCCCCCCCCTTAATGAATTCAAACGCAATTTCATTTCGCTTCTGTATTTTTATGGCGGCTGTGAAATGACGTTTTAGCGCGTTTAATTTAACTTCGCCACATGTGCGAAACAATCCAACGTTTTTTTTACGAGTTTCCACAATTAAATACCATCATCGAGAAAAATTTCTCTCCAAAATCCTATATACTATATATATATATATAATATATTCATGTCTATTGTTTTTTGTCCGAATAAAATAGGCGCTAGAAACCGTAAGAAAAGAGACAATAATATTAGATCAATAAATAAGAAAAAAAAGTAAAAATAGTCAACAAGAAACGAATAATAACAGAAATTTCTAAAAAAAAAAACAGTAATCATTTCTTTTAAAACGAATCCAGCCGATTGTCATCATCATTGTTGGCGCGACGCAAATCATCAAGACGCTCCTCCTCATCAGAATCCGACAACGCCAAATCGTTGATCACTTGTCCGGATAATCCGTCGTCCCACATCATTGAATCTATATCAAAATCTCAATATACGCACATTTTGCCTCCCACCAATACCTTCATCATCCATCGGCGGCATTCCATCGCCGACCGTCTCCTCCATCTCATCCGGCACATCCGACATCTCCTGTTCGGCCATCTCGTCGACCGACTCCTGAACGCCCATGTCGATCGACACCTCCTGCTTCACATCGTCCATCTCATCGTCCATCGACTCATCAAGAATCGTCGCTCCATCGTTATTGATGTTCGCTTCCAGTTCGGCCAACTGCTCGCGTTTCTCTTCGAGCAGCTGATCGGCGACCGCCAAAATTTCTCTCGCCTTCATCGTGTACGGATTCGTTTCAGCCGGCCCATTGAATATCTCCGAGTTTTTGAAAATCTAAAAAAAAAAACAAAAACGTTCACATCAAACCCATAAAAAAAAAATCGACGGAAAACGCACCTGTTCAACATCTTTGCGGAATTCGGCGACCGTCGAGTATTTTCGCTGCTTCGCGTTCTTCTCGATCGTGCCGAGATCCATCGGATTCGGCACACGCAAATGATAGAACGGCCATTTTTTGTGATCGACCGGCGTGTGGAACATCGCCGATTTCGGCACATTCTTGCAGCGTTGCACAATTTCGCAAAGGAGATGCGAGAAGCCGACGCTGAAATTTCAGACATTCGTCCACATCTACAAGCAAGTCCCCCATTTCTTACGTGTCGTTGTCATCGAGAAGCGGATTGATCTGCTTCTCGAGCGCAATAAACTTCTCATCGCGTTCGCACATTCGTTTGCCGGCGAGCTCGAGCATCTGTTGCGCCGCCACCGTAATTATATTGTTGTCGCCGTTGTACAATCGCGAGTTGTCGAGCATTTGTTTGACGTCGGCGAGAAAATCTTTGCGCAACTCATACACCTGATCGCTGATCTTCTTCTTAATTTTTTGAAGATCCATCGGATTCTTGATTATCGTGTAATAATCGGGCACCTGTCAAAACGGCAAAATTAGGGGATTCAATAGACATTATTATTTTTATTGCTACCTTTTTGGCGTTGACCGGAACCAAATGATGATCGGCGCCGGGAATCGCTTTCATCTCGTTGAAAATTTCGGTGAGCAACGTGCTCATCGTCACCCTCGGATCGGCGCGAAGCCTATGAATATTCTTGACCGGACCATGCAAATAATCCTCTTCTGGCATCATCGAGCTTCGTCTCTTCGACGCGCCAACACTCGAGTTTCGACTCGCGCGAAGTGCGGCCGGCGCCGGCGTCGACGGCGTCACCATCGATAGCGACTCACCATCGTCGTCGTCGCCGTTCTCGGCTCGCGTCGCCATCGGCGACATCACCGCCGTCGGCGGCTGCTCATCATGAGCGATCGATTCGACACGCGAAACCGTTTTGCTCTTCTTCGCCGCCGTCGGCGTGCTCGGTGTCGACGACGACGATGCCGCCGCCGTCATATTCATGAGCGCCCTCTTGTTGATCTTGATCTTCGTTCCCTCCATGAAAAGAATCTCGCCCAACGACGTGGGCTCTTCCGGCTCCTCGCCAACCGTCGGAAGCGGCTCTTTGCCATACAGCGGACAATTTCGATTCGTCTTCATATGACCGGTGCCCTGGCACGCGCTGCATCGCATTTTGATCAGACTCGGCTTGATCGGCACTTCCTTCTTTGGAGCGCCCGGATTCTTTGGCGGTCGCCCGAGCTGCTTCTCCTCATTCTTCTTGATCCGTCGCAGTTGGTCTTGAAGGCGTCGCTTCTGCTTCCGCTTCTCCTCCTTGTACTGCTCATCCATTTGCGCGTAGACTTGAATAAACGTGTCATCGCGCGTCATTCGAATTCGCGTATAAGCTTCAATCAGCTGCGGTCGAGTGACAACTTCAACGCGCGTCTGAAAATCGTTCATCATCAGAGCCAACGCGACAAACTTAGCTACTTACACTTTCAGTTCCATCCTCATTCCGAAGTGTCCGATAAATCTTGAGCTTCTGATTCGCCGTGATCCCGCTAATCTTCGACGCCGACATCGCAACGTCTTCGCCAATCTTCGACGCGTTCTTCTTCTCTTCCGCCGTCACCTCCTTCTTCTCGCCGGTCTTGTTCACCGTGTCGCCATGAATCATTCGCTTCAAATCCTGACGCTCTTTCTCCTCGTCCTCAAACTCCATTCGCTCTTTCGATTTCGCGATATTCTTTTTGCCCTTCTCCTGCACCATTTGCTCGATTCGCGACGCCAACTCCTCGTTGTCCGAATCCTCGTCGGACGTGTCGTCATCCGTCGAAAGCGCGTCGGGATTCGATAGCGTATGATTTTGAAGGTCGAAAATTCGCTGACAATGCTTTCGATATTTCTCCTGCATATCGGCCGAACTGAATCGCGTGTTGCCGCGAGCGAATCGCGCCATTTCGTGAGTATCTAAAACGCATTGATTTTCCCATTTTTTGAATCAAAAATTCATACTTTCTCCTTCTTTCGACGCTTTCGCCGCCTGCGTCGACAACGTTCGTATAACATCAATGATTTCCCATCGTGACAAGGCGTTGATCTGAAATCAAACAGAAATCAAATTCAAATCCAATGAATGCCAGACCTCTTCCTCTTTGACACCATACTCCCTACATATCGCCTTCGCTTCTTTCAGCGGAAGTTTCCGCAAATCCGCGTTCGTGCCCGTCACCAATTTCTTCGGCACCGGCGGCATATCCTCTTTGTGCGGCTTCTGCGACACACGCACATACGAGAAGCCTTGACCGCAGCCCGTCGGATCGGCGATGCCCGTCTGATCCAGTAGGCATTTGTCGCGTTGCGACGCCAAAAACGCGCGCGTCGTATTCCACGGCGCGCATTTGATCTCGTCCTCGATTGTCACCTCGTCGTCGGAGCCTTCCTCATTCTCGGGCGTAAAGAAATACTTCTCACCGTAGCCGGCGTCCTACAAAATCAGAATGGATGACGACATACTGGGGAAATCGCTCGCATACGCACCTTTAATCGCTGCTCAGCCGCCAGCATACTGTATTGGGCGCAACACATTTCCGGCGTCACCATCGCCAAAACCTCCTCTTTTGTCGGCAACCGAAAATCGGGCTTCAGCACCCAATAGCTCTGATCGGGTCCCGGACCGAGACGCGTGAACTGCGAACACTGTTTGAGTCGTTTTCGAACGCTGCTCTCCGCGTACTGCGGAAACGCCACGCGAATATCGTCCATTTTCAATCGACGCGGCACATGATCCGACGCCCAGAACAAGCGGAAGATGTAGGCGAGCAAAAAGTCGCGCACGAACACTGTCGCGCGTTTCGAGTTCGGCGACGGCACTTCGATCAACGGACATTGCTGGCCGGCAACGAACAACGCCGGACATTTTCGAATGTACCAACTGGAGAAAACAATAATCGATCGTTGCGAGACTCAGCAAAACAAAAAAATCGGCATGTGCCTTTAATTTCGGTAACCAAAAATTGTCATTAAGGGCGTTTCCCGAAATATAAAATCATAAACGGCTACCAGAATAGGGGCGTCGTTGTAAAAATAAAAAAAAATCAAATTTCAATAATATCTAAAAAATGACGATACTGAGTATATTCTGGAGCATAAAACAAAGCAACTTAATAATGCAATTTAGAATTTTTTTTAATTATACATTTTTTTCTAATAAAGACACATTTAAAACGCAATTTTTCTAGAATTTTTATGCCCAAATGCAAACACACTGCATGTCAACTCTGCAGACTTGCATTTTAATTGACGCCAAAAAAAAACTTTTTTTAAATCTTTTTTTTTTCTTCAAAATTTCAGCCCGCTCCCGTTCCCTAATGCCCCAATAAAATACCTATTCTTATTTCTCATCAACAAGAAATCCGTCGGTTTCGGCGTATGTCGAAATATCGGCGCACGATACATGTTGTTCTCCAAACTCTGCAAACTCTGCCCCGGCTGAAGTTGGCCCAAAAACGGCACTTGATGCGAGAACGCCATCTCGCCAAAATCGAACGTCGGCTCCATGTCGTTTCCGGGCTTCTAAACCCAACAGCATCATTATCATCAAACAAAATCATCGCAAAAACTCATACCCGCTTATAATAGTTCTTCAATTTCGACGACATTCCCGGCTGCGACAATATCACCGGATGCTCTTCGCTGTACTCGATCATTATCAAATCGCCGTCTCGTCCCGACAAATCAGCAACGTCTCTCATGAAGAATATATCGCCGCCGCCTTCAGCCGCTTTCATTTTTTCGCGAATCTTAAGACCAATTCAATTCTTTCAATTATTTCAATTCCAGCGTTTTCCGCAAATGTTTCTTCTTGGCAAAATTTTGACAACCCCGTCATCGCCAATTTTTCAATTTCCCACCTACCTCTCTCATTCGATTCATATGCTTCGTGACGGTGCAAATTTGCGTGAATCGATTGGAGGCGAAAAATCGCAACAATTTTCGCGACAGCGTCAATCGATGCCAATGCCTCAATTTATAAGGGCCAAGATGTGTCGGAAAGAATGTGCGATGGATGTTCTGCGCTGGTGTCGAATGTTGTATAAGAAGCGAATTGCATCCAAGCGTTCTAAAATGATCCATTAATAGATCCAAAAAAGAAATTCTGAAAATCTCCCGACTTTGAGGTCCCTTTTGGCACATAATAATCATCATTGCTCAAATTGAACGGATCATTATCGGTAAATTGGGCCATCGAGCTCTCCATCTGCTCTTCCTCTTCCTGCTTCTGCCGCTGCTGCACCTGTCCCAATATCATCTTCGATTTCTTCGTATACTGATTCTCTTTTCGGTCAGGCCGATCGTCATCGGTTCGTTTGTCCTCAGGCATTCCAAATATCAACGGATCGTCGTTGAAATCCACCATAAGCATTATCGGCTCTAAAATCACAACCAAATCTCATTGTTTCGTTTTTTTTTTCTCTGCCAACGACTACAAAAAAATTACCAGGATTCTCGGGCATCGCATCCGGATCCCAAATCACATCATCCTCCCAATTGTGAAGGTCCAAATCAGACGGCGGAGCCGGAAAAATCGAGTGCGTCGTCGATGGGTACAAATATTGCTCTAGAAAAAATGATTTGAACGAACGCTCAAAAACGAAAACTCGAATTGCTCACCATTAACTTGAACAATTCCATGGGGAATCGGTATTTGAGATCCTTCAGGATCGAAGACCTTATGAAGTGATGACGTCATTTCTACAAATACAGGATTTTAAAAAATTAAATGTCATCAGCAAAATAAAAATTCGTACCGGCATGCAAAAAATGCTCAAACGTCCGCGTGAATTGCGTCGGAACCCAACCGCAGCCCGGCGTTCGCTCATTCGTCAACTCTTTCACAATTTCGTTCAGCCGCTGTTTGACGTGATCGCCATCGAGAAGCACCTTCTTCTCCCATTCGACCAACTTGTACGGGTAGATCATGTCATCATTCGTTTCGATTTTCCGATCAACACCATCCGTTGTCATTCGAGACGTGCTGGGTTGGTGGGCGGCTGATGTCGTCGACGCCGTCGGCCGCGGTGGACTCGTTGAATGCGATTTCGGCTGAAATTCATTGTTTCAATTCAAATTCCAGCCAATCGTACCATCAGTCGAAATCCATAATTGACGTTCGTCGATGTCGACGGCAAATTCATCATGTCGTACCAAATTTTGGCGGGACCCACTCGCCACGGCTGCACAACCTCATCGCCATTCTTTTTCGCGTTCGTCGCTTCCTGCTCAGACGACGTGCTTCGAATCAGGGCCTCCTAGAAGAAATAAACGCACAATGAATTGGTTGAAATTTCGCGAGAACACAAAATGTCAACCTCTTGATCGTTTCGCAATTTATCCAACGTCGGATTCTCGACAATCTCCAATTTCAGCTTCTTCTTTTCCGGCACCAAACTTCCATCATTGCCTAAAATCACAACAATTTTCCGAGTTTTCGACACTCAACACTCACTCGGCTCGTGATTCGCCTTCTTTTTCTTGTAGAACGTTTTGCTCGGCCACCAAATTTCGGGTTTCGATGACGGTTTGATATTCGCCGCGAATATTCGCGAAAATCGCAAAACGCCATTGCGTTTGTAATCTTTGAAGAACAACCTGCAATTCAATTCATCGAGTTTCCTCTTATTTTATATTTTTATTTTATTTTTGAAAAATTGACAAGTCCCTACTTTGGATCAACATTGTCCAGTGACGGATGCAATATTCCGGCTAGCGGAGCGTCGTCTCTCAATGAGGGCCGAATAAATACATCATCATCGTCGTCCTCTAATTTTTGCTCATCGTCTGGCTCTTTTTTGACGTCGATTTCCTAAATGTCAAATGTTGAAAAAAAAAACAACTAGAACATATTATTGACAGTTTTTGGTCGAAAATCCCTATAAATTTCGTTTTGGTTCAATTTCTGGCAGTTTCAGCCAATTTTTTTAAGGTAAAAAATGAAGAATTGCCCATTTGCCATCAAAATCACAAATTTTCCTTTCAAATCTACAGTAATCAACACGCCCACCAAAAATTCCACATATATGATTATTTTAAAAACTTTTTTTTTGCATTTCTTCAATCTCATCGGATTTTCATTGAAAATCAATCTATTTTCAAAATTTGGAGCGAAATTCAAAAATTTCCATTTTTATATGGGCCCCCACTGAAAAAAAAAAACTCATCATACCTCATAGTCGGTGCTTCCATTTTGCGCCGTCGTTTGCGGTGGAAATTGATAGGCTAAAATTCGAGAATATGGCTGGAAACGAAAAATTCAACCCACGTTTATTACTGGCAGCCGGGTGATTTCGAAAAAAATCCGAAATCCCTTCGTACGGATCGATGGTATCATCGTCATCGTCATCAGGCAGTTCTTTCTTTATTTCTTCTATTCGAAAATCATCCGAATATAACTAAATGCGTTTTTTCAGACGATTTTCATCGAAATTCTCGTGATATTAGGCAGATTTTTGACGGAAAATGCACGATTTTTGCGGGGTTGCCCCTAAATCTTTTGAATTCTTAAAATCAACCAACCTTCCCGTAACTGGTACCCTCTGTCGACGACGATATCGACATTTCATATCCTGAACGTCACAGCTCATTGATTTTTAATTGAAAATGAGAAGATTTTAAAAGTATCAAAGTGGCGAGGTACACTTAAAACAATGAAAAACGCGTGAATGGAAAATAATTCTCAATTTATTACGGTTCGTCGACAAAAAAAAATGATTTAAAACGAAACAAAAGTGAACAATTACACATTTTACACGAAATTCTGACTCAAATTGAGGCAACAATGAGTGAAAGTTGAAAAGAAACACTTCGCACAACCCTGTAATATCAAAAAAAAAAACTGATTATTATGGTGAATGAGAGCAACGTACAAGTGATTGGGGGGCTCTGGGAGCGATGAGCAAAATGAGACAAAAAAAATGTAAAAAAAAAGATAATGCAAAAATTGTACATGTAATTTGGGGGTAAAACTGAGCATTATTAATTATAATTAATTAACACGTAATTACAATTGTTGCGCTTGGAATGCCGCAATTTGATTGACTTCTGGACTTGACATCATGCCAGAAACATCCGTCGACATATCTTGAAGATATTCGAATTCGGCGAGAGCAGAACGCTCCATTTTGCCGAATCTGCAATTTTCTAATTTTTTTGTTTCAAATCAGCTTATGTATTATTTTGCGCCTCGGTGTTTGCACCAAATGCATTTTATTTGACGAATAGGTTCGGAATTATCAATGTCTTAATAAAATGACTAAAAAATGATTTAAATACCAAAAAAAGGATGAAATTTCCAAAGCGCGATATTTTAAAAACAATTAGAGATCCAAAATGATTCAAATACAGGGTGTCATTTAAGTTCCCGCACAACTTTGTAGACGTACATTTCTGAAACTAAAAGTCCAAATCAAACGAGACTCGAAATATTTTTTATCTATAGTATAACAAATATTTATCAATTAACTCTTTTTGATTCGGCCTCTTTTCGCAGCTATGACTTCACGGAGACGCTTCGGGTAGGATGTGACTGTGGTACGCAGGTATTCGATGGAAAGATTGTCCCATTCCGCCAGTAATGTCTTCTTCAGAGCCTCTACACTTGAGTTGGGTTTTGCGTTGACCTTCTCCTGCAAGACCCCATCACGGAAAAGTCAAGCGGGTTCAGGTCTGGGGAGCAATCAGGCCATTCGGATGACTTGATAAAGTCGGGAAAATGGGTCTGGCACCACTCCTGAGTAGTTTTGGCAGTGTATGCGGGTGCTCCGTCCTGTTGAAAGACCCATTTCTGCCCACCGAAATGCGTTTGGGTCCAGGGCATCACATGCTTCTCCAAAATGTCCCGAACGTAGACTTCTTTGTTCATTTTCACCATCTGATCCACGAAAACCAGGTAGCACTTCCCGGTTGAGCAGATGGCACCGAAAGCCATCACACTGGCAGGATGTGAGGCTGGATGATATGTTCTTCCTTTCTCAGAAGCTTGCTGGGATGTTTGGCCAAGTACTCAATGGTTTTGTGAGTTGAATGCCGCCTCCACACTGAACAGCTTCTCGTCGGAGAAGACAGTGACGAGGTGTTCTCCAGACCGCGTGCGAGCAAGAAGTCGTTTTGCTTTTTCGAAGCGTCTCTGCTTGTTGACGGCCGATAGAATTGCCGCTTTTTGGACACGATATGGGGTCAGTACAAGCTTTGTTTTGACGATTTGTTCCATAGCAAAGATGCTCATTCCCATGTCTGACGCCATCTTTCTCATGCTACTGTGTGGGTTTCGCCTGATCCTCGATTTAACGGCGTTGATCTTCTGAGGAGTGGTTACTGAGACGAGTCTTCCTTGTCTGGGACGGACACTGGTCGTATTTAGCTACTTGAATCGTTTGATGGTGTCGCAAACCGTTCTACGAAGCACACCGACCCGTTGAATGATGTCTCTCGGGCTCACATTTTGCTTATGAAGTTCGATAATGGAAGCGCGATGGATGTTAGCCTTCGCCATTTCTCGGAAACACATCCGAATGAGGTGAAACTTGGGAAATAAGTAAAATACACCTTATTTAACAAAAATAAATTGTATTGGTGCACAAAAAGTGCGACAGTCAATCTCTTCATGGCGTCAAACTTTTGTGCGGGAACTTAAATGACACCCTGTATATTCTACTGGAGCGCAATTTCAGCAAAGAAGAATCTTTGCCAACTGTTTTGCAACAAAATACCTTTTAAAGTGCTTCGACTGCACAGTTCTTCGAGGCGGATTGAATTTCACGACCTCTCCACGCTTTCTCAGCTGCCGCTCAATAAGACCAAGGCGTTCCTCTTCCGATCCGGACGAGGTCAAATCATCATCCATCATCGAGTTCTTCTTAATCCATGACGATTTTCTTGTGTAGGGCATCGGTCGAACGTGCTCTTCTTCATCGTCAGTGGTGTCGCGCAAAACCTCATCGGGCGCCAATTCAACAACGTCGTGCGCTTTGAACAAATCAGTGTCCGAATGCGATCTCGTCATCGCGCCGCTATTCGTCGGCGCGCGCTTCTTCAACGCTTTCGGCTCGATGATGAATGGCGGCGATGGTTCGCGACGAGTCAATTCCACTGGGCTGCTGGTGCCCTCGCTTTTTCTAAAAATGCGCACCTCGTCCTGTGTGTCCATATCATCTTTCATCGAGTTCGGCGGCATTGAATTGATCACCAATGATTGGGTCATCGATTGAAACACACCGAATCCCTGTGTATTCATCATTTCCGGAAAGCATAGAGCCTCTCCGGCGCCTTCGGAGCTCCGTTCCATCTCAGCTAAAAAAGAGCACCAAATTGCTTAAAAACGGAAATTTCCTCGTACCTCCATTGTAGGGGCACAAAAGCGAGCTGGTGTTCACGCTCTCGTCATTCACATTCTCGTCACAACCGGCTTCAAGCATCTCAATTTTGCTGTTTGCGTCGTGAAGCATTTTGAGAAGATCACTCTTCTGCTTTCTGTCGAATTCAATTTGCGCCTTCATTTGTGTATACTGCCGGTGCATTCGGTCGTGGGTTTTCCTTTAAATTAATGTCAATTTTTCAAGAAAACCATTCGAAAATGCCCACTTTAAGCGATAATTCTCCTCTTGAAGCATTTCAATTTGACGTGTCATCGTTGAACGCTCCTCATTCATTCGTCGGTGCATTCGTTGCACTTTATTTTCAAGACGCGCATTTTTTTCCTCCATCTAGATTATTTAAATGAGTTTATTTTCCATAAAAATATCATCTTACCAATCGAAGTCGAGCTTCATAGACCTCGTCGTCATCAGATTCGTAGGAATTCATGTCATAATGCTGACGGGCCATCATATTACGGTATGCCATCACCTCTGGATCAATTCTGCCGTTTATATATTCAGATTTTCTTGATTTTTCGATTCTTAAATATTGCAAATTAATTTTCTAAACGGGAATAAAATTCTTACAGTGCCGAATCATCTTTGACTCGCTTTTTCTGTTTCAAAGAATTGGTATTTTCATCAATTCTCATTAAATTTTTCTTATCCGCCAACATTGTCGACATGTTGTTGTAGTCGTCCATTGGGGCCCCGGGACACGAGCGCGGTCCGCGCGTCTTTTTCGGCTCTGTCACAACCGCGTAAGGGCTTTTCAATCGTAAATCAATTTTTTTCGAGTCTCCAGCATACACATGATCGCTTAGTTGCTCCTTTTTGCTTTTAAGAGAGTTTGTGTTGAATGTTACCGACTAAATATAAATTATAATCAAAAGCGAATGAAAAAATTGAACATACCGGCACATTTTCCTTATTACTATGTTTCTTGTTAGTTTTGAACATTTTCATTATGGACCCCATAATGAAATGCTGCAAATAAATTGTATATTGTAATTATTACAAAAAACGTGGTAAATAGAATAAGGAATGAGAAAAATTGCAAAAATTTCACCGAAATGTGAGTAATATTTGAATTTTCCGAGTCGACTCGGAAGCGTTCTCATTGCGCGTGCAAACACCGCGCGCGCACAATTGCGGCGCGTACATCGTATTCGACGACATCTCGGCAAAATTCGCATCCAGTGCCGTCGTTTGCGTGTCTCCGCGCACTGGCACTGTCTCTCGTCGGGCGTTCTGCCGCGCCGGCGCGACTGGTCGATAAATAGCCGCCGTCATTCATTTTTAAGCCAATGGTCTCGCGAGTTCGACAAAAATCGCGTTCAAATCCCCACTCCTCGAAATAAATACCATTTTTTTTGTTGTTGTGTCTTTCATCTTCCTCTCACAAATCGTTATTGATCACCACAATAGTGAGTCACGGGTCTTATTTTTTTTATACATTTTCCCTTTTTTTATATATGCATATAAAAGAAGAATCATGGCATTTTCTTTCCATGTTTGCCTTCAGAAATTATAATAAATATTTTATGTAAATAATGCATTCTAAATTATAATTTTTATACTATTTTTTGTGGCCAAGGCTTTCTAAAAGATTTGCGTATTACACTCAGCTCTCGTCGTGCGTTTTAAAATCAGAAATTGATAATTTTTTTCAAATATTTGTTTCAGGTTTCCATCCATTTCAAAAATATCCACTAAAAATTGAAAATATTCTAAATTCATTTCATATTCATCAAAAACAGCAAGTTTCGAAATAATCTCGAAATAACATGGACAATAGCAATTTTCGCGCACTTCTTATGGAAGAAAACGGGCAATTATTCCACAGCGTCGAATTCGTCTTGTCACCTTGGCCTCAATATTAATAAGTATGGCTGCCTACAAAAAATGGGTATTTCATTTCCTTTTGTTCCTTATTCATTCCACCCCATTTGCCTGATGTAGAAAAAAGGAAACATTTTTTCCATTCGAACTAGATTATATTCTTGAGTAGCCGTGGAAAAATAAAGTTTAAATCAAACAAATTGAAATTGATTTTTTTCTTGTTCTTTCCGCATTTTGATTTTAACGCGAATTGAACATATTTTTTCATATTCCTTTAATACAATGGATTGAAAGCCAATTTCGCTGTAATTTTAAAAATTGATAAATGCATAGATCAAAAAATGATCTCCAGCGCGAAGGTTTGTTCTATTTCGGTCGTGTGAAGCCCTAATCATCGTGACTAATATTACTACCAACGTCATAAACTTTATTGCTCTGACCCAGTCTTTCGGAATCCGCACAATTATTGTCGTTTTATTATTTTAGCTTGGACGACGGCCGGATGCGGATTCTGCTAGTCCCTCTTCTGCTCACCGTCAGCGACGTAAGGAAACAAAAATTGGCGGCACCAATTTATGTATTTTTTTGAAGGGGTCGTCTCGTGAATATGGCGCCTATTCATCGAGCTACGTTCACATGTCGGTGGTGAATCCGACGACGAACGATCGCCGCGACTTTTGCGCCAACTATCAACAATTTCGCGACAAATCGCGCGCGCTTCCGGAGACGTTCGAGCAAGCCGACGGTTTTGCGCTCGACTGGTGGGAGGGACGCGCCGGCGAAACGCACATCTGCCCACTTCCCGAGCGGTTTCGTCCCATCGAGAAATATCCGGGAAAAATCATTCCGTTGAATTATCGCATCGATGATGATGGCACCGCGTGCACGAAGCCGTTCACCGTCAATCGGACGGCGTTTAGAAATGCGACGCAATTCCAAGAGGACCAACTCATCGCCGGAAACGCGTCCGCCGTGCTTTTTCTGATGGATCGCGGACGGCAATTTGTGCAGGGATGGAAAGATTATTTGGTGATTTTTCCAATTTCTTTTTTGAATTTTTGTTTTCGTTGTTTTTAGTTCTCCGACTTTTACGATCCATATGTTGATCCAAAGAGGTCGATCCCCACATTCTACTTTTATCGTCAGCCATTCTTTGATGAAATTTTGGTAACTCAAATTCAAACCTATTTCAAATCGCCGGAGAAATTTCATTTTAGAAGCTCAGCCGTTTGAACGGCACCCAGATTGGCGAAGACTTGGAAATTCGATTGTTCCGCCCAAAGAATGGCGTAATGGACGGCTCGACGATTGTCATTTGGTTTCTCGCAATGATTTGCGTTACCGGTGGCGGCGTGTGGGCGTTTCATCGACACAGGTGGGTGATGAGCCAATCCATCAATGAAATAAACCCAAACGCTTCGAAATCAATCGATATGTGCTCATTTCAGGCACGGCAAAGACACGGCTCTGGCCGACAATGAGATTCAACAGCGTAGTTCGTCGGACGCCGACACCTTCTGCGTCAAGTATTCAAACTTCATTGTGATTGGAGTTCTCATGGCGTTCCTCCTATTCGTCATAATGATTGGCTATTTCTTTCGCACGGCTCTCGGTAATCGAAACGCTCCCAAAAATCATTCCGCGCCAAACATAAAGCATTTCAGTATGCGTCTTCAATGTTATGCTCATTTTATTTGGCACACTGAGCATTCAAGGATGTTTGTCGGCGTTGCTCTCGAATTTCGCGATCAGCAGCAGCGGTTGGTACCGCGCAAGAATGGAATGGTTCCCGTTGAAATTATGTAGGCAGTGGCTGAATTTGTTTTGTTGAGAATTTCCGCAAACCTGAAATAGTTTCAGCTTGCGGTCTCACAACTAAGCCGACCTACAGTAGTATGGTTCTGGGATTGTTCGGAACCATTATTTGCGCGATATGGTTTTTCAATCGCCTGAATCCCTACGCATTCATTCTTCTCGACTTTATCAACGTGACGCTTTGCCTTCATATTCTCAAAACTTTAAGATTGCCAAGCTTGAAGGTAATATAATGGAAGGTGAAATTTAATTTTTCAAAAATTGGTTTCAGTGGATCACAACCCTAATGGTGTGCATGTTCGTTTACGACGCTGTCATGGTTTTCATGACGCCGTACTGGACGAAAAACGGCTGCTCGGTGATGCTGGAAGTCGCCACTGGAATCGATTGTTCGGCCAGTCACGACAATTCCAGCGGATATCCACTTCCGCCGATCGAGTACTCGCATACGCCGGAGAAATTTCCGATGCTCATGCAGGTGATGCATTTCGATCCGATGATCTCGTGCATTGATCTCAGCGTTGAGCGCGGATTCCAGATGACGATTCTAGGGCTCGGCGATATTATTATTCCAGGTAACGCCGGTGTGGACGATTAATTAAAAAATTTAATATTGAAGGATACCTTGTGTCCCATGGCTTCACAATGAACGGCTTCGATGAGAAGGCGCGAATCATCTATGGAACGGTTACCGTGATTGGCTATGGTGTCGGCTTGATCGCCACATTCATCGCGTTGTATTTGATGAAGATGGCGCAGCCCGCGTTGATCTACTTGGTGCCGTTCACGCTTATTCCATTCTGTGTGGTGGCGTTGATTCGCGGCGAGTTCATGTCGGTCTGGAATGGTGTTCCATTCGAAAGACCGATTCTTGAGGTAAGAGGACACGTGAAAATAGTTTGTGTTACCAACACTTGAAAAGTTGCAGTGTTTGACCGCGTCTAGGAACTCTGGCGAAGACGGTGAGGCGCTGGCGCCTCAACCGTCTGCCAGCCCTGATCGCGAGGGCGTCGAGCAGGAATCAACTCAATGAGCTTACCAGCGTTCTTTCACTTTTCTTCTCCCCAGATTCTCACTGACGTCTAATTCAATGAACGGGCGACATAATTGTAATTGTATTTTTCCCCGCACAGAAACGGGTCGACATGCCTACATACTAACTTTAGCCCGCATAATATCGATATTTGTTCGCTTTTATTTCATTGATTAACTACGAGTATTGCACAGCTTCTAAAACGCAGCTTTTATGGAATTGTAAGCTTAATTATTTTTCTTGTTTTGTGCTATATGTATCATTTGTTCTTGTTTTGATGTAATCGTGAAATAAACGAAATTTGTATGATTAATCCTACGAGAAAAAAAGAGATAGTGGAATTAACAAAAAACATAACAATATAGGCAATATGGTTGTTCACGAGAAACTTGGTCCGCCGTGACCTCCGAAGTGCCCCATTCCAGCGGAAGCCATCTCTTCTTGAAGTCTGAAAATATTGTTGAATTAGAAAATCAGATTACTTAAGAAGAAAAGTAGAAGTGTATTCAGTTATTGATCTGTCCATATTTAGAAAAATCACCTCTTTTGCAAGGTTTGCGAGACCAAGTTCCATGATTCCATAAAGCGATCCATGCATCTCTGAAGACATTGCTTCTCACCGTTCGAAAGCGATGTGCCTGGACTGGTGATGCATTTATTAGTGCATTTCTCCGAAATGTCCTAAATTTTAATTAATTTTGATATCACGCCCATCGTTGATCAGAAATAAGTCTTACGGTAACAAGATTTTGGGCGTTCGAAAGGGCGGCCTGTTGTTTGACACCAGCGATGACCTGCTCCTGCTGTTCAGGTGAGAGCTTCTTCAATGTCTCAACGTCGAGAAGCTGATCCATGCTAACCCTGGAATTAAACGTTGGGATTATGTTAGTTTACGTCGAGAAAATGTGACAAAAATAAAAGGAAATTGAATCACTTTTATGATGACCGCCGAAATTATATTTTTCTGCGGCCGCGGCCATCACAATGTCTGCGTCTCTCGAGAGATGCTTAAAACATCAGATATTACAGTTTATTTGATGGTTGATAGTTATAATAATCGCATAATTACAATTTTTTCGAATAGAACGATATTAACATTTGAGTGGGGCGAATCGAAAATGAAACTGTTTAGGACCAAGTTTCCTAAAATTGGATATGCGCCTTTAGTAGGTATACTGTATTTTTTAAATCTTGCGTCGTTTCAATTTCGAAATTCTTCAAATTTATTGATTTTTTTCTAAACGATTTTGGCGAATTTTAATATTTCTTTCCAAGAAAAATAAAAATTTTAATTAAATTAACGAAGCAAATCCAATTTTCTATTTCGATACCAAATTAACGACTGTTAATCATTTTCTTTCTTTTTTTTGATTGATAACCCATGTCATTCTCAAATTTGTTCGAAACGCGTAATCGCCGTTTTTCGGGTACAACCCCCCTCCAACCCCACTCGCGACGACATTAAAAGTGCGTCGAAAAATTTTTTGTTGTGTTGAGCGCGAGGAGGCGACAATTACTCGATTGTACGACGAATCGACCTTGCGCGCGCCGAATAGCTCTTATTGCATTCGTCGTGTTTTTGCCAAAGTTTCCCAACCATCGTCCTTCAACTCGAGATGCCAACCTAATGCGATTTTTAATCAAAAAAATTTTTTCGAATGCAATTCTTGTGGTGCGAACCATTGATCACCCCCGCGGCTAGGAAACAACTCCACCGATCTCTTTCGAGCCTCAATTAAATGGCGAGTAGAAGCTCAAGTTGCATCTATCGCCATCATCCCTCTCCAAAACATATGCAGATATCGTTTCATTTTACTTTGAAGCCTCTTCAAGGTCGCACGTGTTATTGTGTGAAACATCTGCCAAAATCGTTTGCGCGCGATTTACACCGATTTCCGTATTCAGCTCGTCGAGGCAAAATCGATTCTCTCGTCGTATATAAAATATTTTCTTCCTCTTCTTTTTTTTTTTGGTGCTCTCTCGGCTCTCTCTATAACCACCATTTTTGTCGCCGAAAAAAACCTTGAAAAAGTCAACAAAAACGCGAGTACACAAAAAAAACTTAAAGATCATCGTGCAAGTAACAGTTGTCACAATTCCCAAAGTTCAATATATTTCGATTATTGAGAATGATTTCCCAATTTTCCCATAAACTTTAATACCATATTCAATCAAAAATGTTGGGTGTTTACTCGCCCCGCACAATATAGATTCGCATAAAATGTGTATATCTATGTATGTTTTTGGCAACGCGCGCGCGTACACACACACGCACGCACATGTGTGCTCTAGCGTCCTGCTCACTCGACATTCCAACCGCTGTGACGAATGAGGCGTCGTGGGTCCTTGTCAGTCTCCATCGCGGTTTTTGTTATTGTTGTTGTTGCGTTTTGCTCTCTTTCTTCTTCTTCTTCTTTTTTTTTTGCTCGTCGTTCTCGCAATGGCGCCACATTCAAATATTTCCGCTTGAAAATCGGCGATAACGACACCAATTTCAATGTTTGGCATTCTTTTCGAATCATGTTTGCTGGTCTGAGATGGTTTCACTTTCAATTACTTTTTCCTAAAAAATTGCAAATATTCGAAGAAAAAATGAAACAAAAAAAGTACGTTGTCATTATAATAGAAATTTGACGTTGATTTTCTTCCTAACGCACCCATTCCTTTTTTTTCATTTGTTGTTTGAAACCTCTTTTTGGCGCGTCGCAATATTTTCGAAAAACGCTCTGCGTCTATCACGCGCCTCTCTTTCCATAGTGTTTGGCGTCGTTTCGCGCCCCTCTCCAACTTCCTCGCGCCTCTTCCCCTCAACTCCCTCTATCTTCCCCCACGCGCTCTCACATTTTTCTTCTTCTTCTCTTTTCAACCATTTTTTTTCTCTCTGTTTGAATGACTCAAAAGGTTTTTTTTGTTGCTGATTGGAATTTCGAAACATTGTTGCATTATTGTTTTTTTTTTCTCCAGACACAGTCCAACAAAATGTCCGCTAGAAAGGCGACGAGAGGCTCGAGAATTGTTCTCGATCGTTCAACGCTCTCGACGAGCAGCAACGGCGCCGGCGATGATTCCTTGTAAGCGGCGATGAATAATTCAAACACGACCTATTGTTTTTACTCTTTTTTTTCAGCGGATCCACCCTTGAGACGTCGCGTTTGCAGGAAAAAGACACGCTCACGTCCTTGAACAGTCGCCTAGCCGGCTACATTGACGTATAATTGAAAACATTAATGATCAGATTTGAATAAGATTGTGTTCAGAAAGTGCGCTCATTGGAAGCGGAGAATAATCGGCTTCAGGTGCAGATTCGCGACATTGAAGTTGTTGAGAAGAAGGAGAAGAGCAATTTGGCTGATCGATTCGAGGCTGAAAAGGTGAATCAAATTTTTGTGCGTTTTTCTTTAGTTCTAACTCGATTTCGCTTTAGGCGCGTCTTCGTCGCGCTTTGGATCTTGCCAACGACGAAATCGCGAAGAACAAGATCGAGTATGACGCGGCGCGTGCCGAACTCAAACGGCTGAAGCCGTTGAACGAGAAACTCGAGCGTGAGCTCGCCGGTGCCGAAGAGCAAGTTCTTCAGGCGCAATCGATCGCCGATCAGAGTCAAGCGAAACAGAAGACGCTTCAAGCGCGCAACGACAAGCTCGTTCTTGAGAACGATGAGCTTCGAAATCAGGTGGCCAAACTCAAAGATCAAGTCGAAAATTTGAAGAAGGGCATGGAGGATGAGACATTGCTTCGCGTTGCCGCCAACAACAAGGTCAAAGGGCTCGAAGAGGACCTCGCGTTTGCCATGCAACAACACAAATCTGTAAGTGACACAATAGATCGGCGCCGATTTGCATAATTGCGGATTTAGGAGCTCGAGGAGGTTCGCCATAAGCGTCAGGTCGACATGACTACCTATGCGAAGCAGATCTCCGACGAATACCAATCGAAGCTTCAAGATCAACTCGCCGACATGCGCGCGCAATTCCAGGCGAATTTGGCGCAAAACAAGGCCGCTTTCGAGGAAGCCTACAAGAACAAACTCAACGACGCTCGCGAGCGCCAAGAGGCCGCCATGGACGAGGCGTCTCGCTTGCGTGTTCGCCTTCGCGATATTGAGTCGTCGAGCGCTGGAAACGCGGCGCTCGTCGAGAAGCTTCGCAAAGAGCTTGAGACACTCAAGAATATGTATCAGGAGAAGCTCGACGACAAGGACGCGCGAATCGCCGAGCTCAACAAGGAGGTCGAGCGAATGCTCACCGAGTTCCACGATCTGCTCGACGTCAAAGTGCAACTCGACGCTGAGCTGCGCACCTACCACACGCTTCTCGAGGGCGAGGAGGAGCGATTGAACTTGACGAACGACTCGACGCGCAATGTCTCAACCCATCACGTCTCGTTCTCGACGGGATCGGCGGCCGGACAACGCGGTGTCAAGCGTCGTCGTATTCTTGACATCAATGGAGAGGATCAGGAAGTTGATTATTTGAACACTCGCTCGAAGGTGATTCTTCAAAATTTTTTCGCTCATGAATAATATCGAATTTCAAATTTCAGCTCAACAAGGAAACCACTGGACCAGTAGGAATCGACGAGGTTGATGCGAACGGTCAATGGGTTCGCGTCGCGAATAGTCTCGAAGAGGAAGTGTCGATCGGAGGCTACAAGCTTGTCGTCAAAGCCGGCAACAAAGAAGCTTCGTTCCAGTTCTCGCAGCGCATGAAGTTGGGACCATTGGCGTCGGCGACGGTGTACTCGGCGAATTCGGGCGCCACTCACAACCCGCCACAAGTCTATGTGATGAAGAAGCAAAATGTAATTGTCGAAGTTTTTTTTTTGTTCAAAATTTGAATATTAATATGTTTCAGTGGCCAATTGGCGAGAACCCATCGGCTCGATTGGAGGACAGCGAGGGAGACACAGTTTCGTCGGTGACTGTTGAGGTCGTCGAGTCGTCGGACCCATCGGACCCAGCCGATCGTTGCACCATCATGTAATCAAATGATGGGATGGTCCATTCCACTATACGTTCTTGTTTTTATTTTCTGTTAAAGCCCCCCCCCCCTCTACCGCTTTCACTGAGAATCTCGTTTGGTTGTCTCGCAATTAAAAAACTGGCACCAAAACTTGTTAATTCGTAAATAAGTATATACAGTTTTAAAATTCGCCTCTAACAATAATTCGTTTAATTATTATTATTTTTCTTTTCGTTATTGTTGAATATCACATAATATTTTTTCATCTCCTCTCTCTAAATTTTGTTTTTCTTTTAAATGTTTTCCTAATATCAATCCAGCAAACCCGTTTTATACATGAGCTGTCCACTGCCGCAACGCTTTGACACAATTGTAAGCATAAATCGTAGTTATATTCCCGTTGCATCTATCTATCGTTTCGTGTTTATTCGATTTGAATTTTATAATTATATAAAGTGGATTGGAAGATGTTTGTGACGGAAGCGAAAGAGAAAAAACATAGTTTTTCTCATTTCCACTATCAAACCCTTATCAGCAATCGTTTGGTTTTCCATTAGCAATGACCGACAAATAAATAGTCAATGGCTGGTGTTTTCATTCATTCGTAATGTCACTGGTCATTGCGAATGGCAGCGGTTTCCCGATTTGGGCACAAGTCGACGCGAATCGCGATCATGCGATCGAGAGCAGCACGAGTGTGACGGCGTGGATGGAGTTCAACGGCAAAATCAGCACTCAAAAAGTCAAGTGCGAAAATATTGAGTTTGAGCTGTTTTTCGACGATGCCCAACCATGTAACTCCAACTAATTTTTTTTGTGGCTTTCCACTTTTTTGCTCTCAGGCGTTTATGATAGCGTGAACACCGCCGCGAGTCAAGGATTCACAAAGATCACCGAATTCACTAGTTTGCAATTCAAGCCGGCTTCTTCAAATGGCACCGCCTATGTCTCATTGTTTTATCAGCCGAGGGAAAATGGTGAGCAGGATTTTTTGGAAAATTGTTTTTTTTGCGCTGTCCTATTAAAAATGATGATATTTCACTTTTTGATAGTTGGAAAATTCATTAAATCGATCCTATGTGATTTTCCACACGTGACCCTAACAATCTTCCGATCCGATTCATATTAGAGTTGGTCGAATTCGTAGAGAAAGGTCCCAGCTAGGTTTTTTTGCAACCATGTTATTGAAGGGTTTTGTAATTGTACATTTTTTGGTTACGGCAATTAAAAGCACATGAGTCGTCTTAAAGGCGCATAACCAAATGAGGATCTCATATCTCGAAAATTTCGTGTTCTCAAAAATCGTTACATTGTTGAATTTCTCAATTCCGACAATTTGAGCGGGTGAGAAATTTTGAAAGTCCGTTTTTAACCTTTCTAAAAATATCGTGTGAACCAGAATCTTTCAAAAAAGGCTTTTAAATCTCCGCAATAGATTCGCTCAACTCAAAATTGCGTTTTTAAAGGTCCCTTATTGCTCATTGCTGCCGCTTATCCAGCGGAACTCGACAAGAATATCATTATCGACGGAGATTGTACGGTGCGTTTTCTACATATTACAGGTTCAGCGGAATTTTTCAGTTTTAAATTACACAATGATTTATGAAAATAAAATATCAGAATAGTATTTCAGCGGGCAAAAATTTAAAAAAAAATTATTGGCTTCATGACAATGCATGAAGCCAACGACGCAGTCAGAAGTACGCGATTCTGCGTACATTGCATCGTAGCGTACATTTAATATTCATCCATACTAATTTCGCGGATTTGAATGTCCCGCCTTCCTTCAGTGCTTTTTTTTTTGTCAAATTTTCCAACTCAACTTCAAACCCTCTCCTAGATTATTACCGCCAAAAAAGGAGAAATTTGGAAAAGCGCAACAGGCGAGAATTATTGGAAAGAAAAAAAATCGTGTGCCAACTTCATGAACCATCTCATTAATCCGTGTTGGGTTCTGATTGACGTCGACAAAAAATATCTCGGCAACATCGCGTTGCTTATTTCAAAACTTGGCAAGTCGCCTTATATGTATGTTTAAAGATTCATTATTATAGATGATAATGTCAAGAAGAAAATCTACCTCGAAATGTATGGATTCCAGAAAATTTCGGATTCTGCACAAATTGAAAGATTTGGAGTTTCGCCGTCCATGTATTGCGCTGTTTTTCTAGAAATTGAAGGTTTTTTGAGAAAGAAACATTGAACATCGAAATTGGGATTTAATTGAATTCAGATACGCTGAAATTGATTACCAGCGCCCAAAAAGTGAATATCCAACGTATCGATTTGTATTCGGATGACACAATTGACTAAACAAAAATTTTGATTCAAATTATTAATTTTTTGTTTATTTTTTTTTTCTAATTTTTCGCCGCAAGACCTTGTAGTGCGAACGCGTTGCGGTTCACGTTTATATAAAGAAAAACCGCAACGCGTCTGGCGATATTGAATAATTATGGAAGCCGCATGTTTTTGTTTTCTGGAAAACATATAGTATAAATTTTTGTTTAAATAAACTCACGAGTTGTGCTGAAATTGCAAAAGCGAGAAAGTTTGAATCCGATGGAATTCCGCGTCGGTGAATTCTGAAAACGAAATTTTTGAGGGATTATCAGAGAACCAGAATTAAAAAAAAATACAGGAAAAATTTATTTTCAAATCGAATCAATTTATAAAATTGAGAAGCAATTTCATTTTCTTCTTTTTTGGAATTCCATTTTCTTTTGAATTTTTAATACATAACAAATATTGTCGGCGTTAAGCGACTAAACGAAATTTAAAAAATAATTGGCTATATGCCAATGCGTTTCGACGCAGCGTAGTACGCGAAATTGCGTACATTGCAGTTTAGCGTACGCGCATTTAATATTCAGTCAACGATAAATTTAAATCTACACTAACAAATTGAAGGTCCCGATGATATGAGCCAATTAATTTTTTATCGAATCTAATAAACTCCAATTATTTAGAATATTGAAAGAAACTCCGCAATAAATCACTTTTTATTTGTATTTTATTTCAAGATCATTCGAATTTTGGTCGAACACTGGCCCAAATTTGGTCGGAAGCGACATATTCTCCGATTATACACTTGACCATGTAAGTAGCGATTAAACCAACTGTTTGCTCAATTTCAATAGGAGCCAGTCAATTGGCGGGTTGCGCAATCGGACCATCCTAATTTGGGGGGCCATTATCCAAGTTATTTTTCTCGTTGTATTGTGTTCATATGACCGGAATGGTCGAATTGAAACCAAAAAGGATCCATAAATTAACCGCGTCTAAAACCAATAACAATTTCATTTTCGGTTTTGGTTGGCGCGGTGTCTCTTTTTGCAATCACTTGTACCGTAATCCGTGAATGCTAATTTGACGGGCGGCGTCTTCGAAACACGCGTTGCGCGACACCCAATTAATCCGATTTGTTGAAACACGCGATCGCGCCGGCCGCAACCTTCGCGGCAGGCGTCAAGAATAACGACGACAAACATCGGCAGGTGTCAGTTGGAATTTATCAACACATTGACAAACACACACACAAAAAAAAAACAACTTATGAAGACGTTAGGCATTCGACGGAAAAACACGCCGATTGATGGCACTTGGTGCATTTTTTCGCCCTCTCCGCTGATTTTGACAATTCCTCGAGGCGCAGTTTGAGAAGGGCGTTCTAAACATTCAAATTTTATCACAAATTCGAAAACAACCGCTTTTTTTGCTACCTCTGCTAACACTTTCTTCAATTCCGCTTCAAGCACCTTCAGATTATTCGTGAGATTTGTTATTCTGAAAATATTATGCTGTTAAAACTATACGACATTAATAATATGTAAAATAGTAGCATTTGACTAGAATAAATGGCATAAAATATCTGCAATGCGAGAAAAAAAATCATTCAAATGAAATACGTGATTTGTGGGTCTCGGTGTTTGCACACATTTTCGCGCGCTACAGTTTATATTGAAATCACAATAAAACGAGCACGTTTGATTTTTTTTGTTTCAAAAGAACAAAAAAATGCCCCTCCAAGCATTTTTTGAATTCCCGAAATTAGTGGTTTTTTAGAAATTGTCAAATTTTCGGCTTTGGAAGAGAATTTGAATGTCATTTTTAATGGCGAAGCCTATCGCTTACCGATTCGTCGCCAACATAAGTGTCGTCGCTTTGCTGAGGCGACCCGAGCTCGAGCTGCTGTCGATTTGAAGGCAATTCCGCAAAAGCTCGTACTCATGATTCAACTCGTGCATTCGGCGACGCTCGCGACTATTGATCGAATTCCGAAGCATGTTTTGCTCCTGTGCAAAAAAAAACCAAATTCGTCTAGAAGTGCAAATTTGGAAGAGAAAAACTCGAAAAAATGTTCATTCAGATTTTCGTTTTTCCTTTTGAAATCCCCAGAAAATGCCAAACCTGCTCATTGAGTCCCTGCATTTTTTTGCGATTCGCACTTTCGGCTCGCTTCCGCCGCACATATGGCTCGAATTCCTCTTCGGTCATCTGAAGGCACGACGGCGACGTCGAGTTCGATTTAAACGAGGACGTGTCGAACATGACTAGTAGCAGCAGCAATAGTAGTAGAATACCGAGCGAATGACGGCCATCCAATGCAATCCAATTACAAAAGTGGGCGTGGTCAAGAGACGGACCGTGCCGGATTAGGGTCCCACTCCAGATGCCGTCCAAACCTATTATAGTTCTCAAATTTCGTGTCGGTTATCGCTTATGACCTAATTGTCGACCACTTGTGAATTCATTTTTTTTGAATTTTGAATTTTTGACTAGCCTTTTCCTTCTGACAATAAAAAACGAATGCTGAAAGAGCGTGTCTGGCGGATTGCGTATCGCATACAACCACCTGCTAAATGAGATTAACTTCGGATGACATTATTAGTTGCGCAACAACATTTTCATACTTGTAGGTGGCTATTACGTCAGTTTAAGGGGTGACATATAGCCGGATGGATTACGGTAGGTATTGGGTTCCGTCTTCATTGATGTGAACGAGAGGCGTGGTTTATCTGGCTATTGCATTCTTATTTCAATTTTCAAAAATGAATTTGCATGGCCGCGTACCAAAAGATAGTCCACGCCACTCAAATTTTAGGCCACGCTTGGTTTTTCTTTTTAATTTCTTCCTTTCTTTTTTTAGTTTAAGTTTTTTTTTCCAAAATCATTCGCTGCGAGACGCAAACTCCCACATGCGCCTTTAATTATCACAGTGTTTTGAGAAAAAATGCTAATTTTTAGGCAATTAATATAGTGGTTTTAGAGGTTTTTTTTTTGATAATTTTTTAGGATCGATTTTTTGATTTTTTTGCACAGCAACTATTCGCACTTATTTGGGGGTCTCGAGAAGAAAACAAAAAAGTTAACACCAAAATTTGACACTTGATTGATATCGCGCGTGTGCCCGGTGTTCTGGCAGACGACCACCACCTTGCTGAGTGTACTCTTGTTCAATTACGTCTCGGCGGGATGCCCCGGTATGAATGGCAAATGACACCTGACCAGAGCAGATTCATCCCAATGATGTTTATCGCTGAATAATGAGATGCGCGAAATCCCACTAAATCATCAGGTGTGAAATTCGTCCCAACTCCAGGGAGGGGGGGGTCTCAAGCGTATGTTGCAACAATCTAAAGCAAATAATTATTCGTGTTTTTTTTTCTTTCCCGTTCGCCTCTATTCATCGAACAAACACGATTAGTGCGTTCACGTCAGCATTATTCATTTCAGATTCCCGGTAGTTCTTCCTGGAATGGATTTTGCCGTCAACGACAAAATGGAGATGAGAAGGGCATATCAATGGTTGTTGTCCGCCGCCATCAAGTGTGTATAGCTCTTCAACCAAAGATACCATAATTGGAAGAATTTGCGCGCGCGCGCGTCGCCTCGCCAAAAAATTATGAGAGCGCGAGGGGCGATTTCTCACTGTTTGACATGTCCAGTTCTGTTTGTTCGCCTCCTGCCCGGTCCAGAAAGCAAAAAGCACACATACACTCGCATTGCACAAAGCAGCAGCTCACCGGGTACGTACAACAAGGTGACCCCGCCTATTTTTCCACCCCTCATCGACCATTGAAATTTTTCAACGTGCTCCATTCCGATCATTGCTACCATTCTTCCGCTATCATGTCCAAAAAACCGCGGTTGTCGATGTTGCTTCTAATAATCGGCGTTGCACAAGGTATTATTATTTTTTTCTGATTTTCAAGAAAAGTTCTTCAAAACTACTTTTTTCTGCGGGCCATTTTTCCCAAAGTCTTTTCCATCTTCCCAATTTGGCCCACAATGATATTCCATTCATTTCTAATTATATGTATTGTATTCATTTAGCCAATGTGTACAGTGGTGTTTATCCTCAACAATCGGCGGCTGCTCCAGCTCCAGCTTACGGTATGTTATCACGACGATTACGCAAACATGTCAAAATGTGGCGTTTGGATTGTGTTGTTTGATTGTGCGAAATTGCAAAAATGGGCAATGTTGGAATCTCGACGAGGGGGATTCGTGAGAGTTTTCAGACGAGCTCGATTTTCAGGCGCCCAACAATATCATTCGTATGCCTCGCAGCCCGGCGTCCAATACACACCGGATTCGTTCTATCCGAATCAGGCGGCGTTGGTGGCGGCGTCACCGCAGCAGCAGCAGCAGCAGCAGCAAACCTACGCGAGCCCTCAAATCGATCAGGCGAATCTTGCCAAGTACTCGCAGTATCTCGACATTCTCCAAAAGGCCTATGGCATCCAGCTGCCCGGCGATTTGACGGCTCCCCAATCGGCGGTGACGTCGGCGCCGACGCCGACATACGCCAACGGCGACGCGTTGTATCAACAGCAGATGGCCGCCTATCAGCAACAGCAATTGGCTTTGCAGCAGCAACAGCAGGCCTATCAGCAACAGGTGAGTTCGATGAAACGAGTTCAAGAACGAGGCAAATTCGGTTTAGTTGTACCAGCAGCAATTGGAAGCGCAGAAATCGCAGTCGCAATATGGAATGCAGCCGAATCCCTATGCGGTGGAGCAGACGAAACAGCAGTCATCGTATCCGGGAGTTCAGCAGCCCCAGCAGCCCAGCTACCCTGTGCAACAGCCCAGCTATCCAGTACAGCAACCTCAACAGCCAGCCAATCCTGTTCAGCAGCCCAGCTATCCAGTACAGCAGCCCCAGCAGCCCAGCTACCCTGTGCAACAGCCCCAACAGCCCAGCTATCCAGTGCAGCAACCTCAACAGCCAGCCAATCCTGTTCAGCAGCCTAGCTATCCAGTACAGCAACCTCAGCAGCCCAGCTATCCAGTACAGCAACCTCAGCAGCCCAGCTATCCAGTACAGCAACCTCAGCAGCCCAGCTATCCAGTACAGCAACCTCAGCAGCCCAGCTATCCAGTACAACAACCTCAACAGCCAAGCAATCCTGTTCAACAGCCGACCTATCCGCAGCAGCCGCAAGCGCCACAGACTCAATATGTGATGCCGCCGCAGCAGGTCAAGTCGAACTATCAGACCGCCGCTCTTCAGACGACGGCGGCTCGTCCGCACGTGTACACGTATCAGGGCAATGGGCAACAGCAAGGCTATCAATCAAGCTCCTACGGGAATGGTGTCGACGAGGAAGTTGGCGGTAGCGTCGTATCGCAGCCATATGCGCCGACGGCCGCGCCGCGGCCCCAAGTGGTTGTGCCGCCGCGACCCGTCACCAAACCGGCGCCGCCGCCAACCGCCAAATCGCAAACGACGCGACCGTACACGCCGCCGACGCCACCGCAAACGCGACCATCGACGACGACAGCGGCGACGAAATCGACGAAGCCGCCGAAATCGACGAGCGGCGCCTCGTTGACGCAACAAATTCGGAAATTGCCGGCGGTGCTGTACGCCGATTCGCGGCACGAGAACACCAAGAAAACCGAGACGCTCCTTCGCGACACCTACGGCCTTCCGTTGGTGACGTTCTACGTCGACAAGAATGAGAAGCCGGCGGCGATCGAACGACAACTTCAGGGTCTCACCGCGCACAAGGGATTGCCATATTTGTTCATTTGCGGAACATTTATTGGAAGTGAGTTGTCGTTAAATGATATTGATTCGCCAAAAACGCATTTCCAGGCGAGACCCACATCGACAATTATCATAGTAATGGTCAAATTCCGCAACTCGTCGAGTACGTTTGTGGCGATGAGAGGAAGAAGCAAAAGAAGACGACGAAAAAGACGGCATCTTAAATATGAATGGTCCCGACACGAATTCACACTCACCCCAATGCTCAATTAGTCGAGTTTTGTTTTGCGAAAGTATTTCGATCAGCCCCCAAATTGCCTCAAAAAGAAATATTATTTATTTTTTTATCAATATATATTTATTGTGCGCCTTTAATATCGAAATGTTAATAAATATTCATTTATCTCGATATTTTTTGTGTTTGCTCGCGAAAAAAAAAAACAGCAGCATGCGCCTTTAATTACGGTAGCCCCAAAAACGAACGAGCTTCTACATTTTTTTTTCTTTTTCCTCCGATATCACGCCAAGAAATTATTTGAATTGCCGCCACGGGTCTCGTAGGGATTTTTCTCTGCAATTTACGGGACAATCTTTGCCCTTTGGTGTTCTCTTCCAGACGAGACCCCATATTGTTGCGCGTTGTCAAATTTCCGAAACCTGAGCATTTACATGCAAAACCAACAAAAACCATCATTGCTCATTGTCGAAAAGACAAAACACCGTGTTGCATTTGCACAACGACCGGTGCACAATAGGATGAGTTTTTGGGAGGACAAGGCGCTTTGCGAGTGAATACAGAAGAAAAAACATACACACACACGGCGATTATGGCGACGGAAAAAGCAAATTTATAACAAAAAATCTAGCTAGAACAAAAAAACAATTGTGGGGGGGGGTTTCAATTTTGCACCATTGTTGGTGGGGGATGATAGAAGAGCATTGAATGGAGAACAGTTTCGGTTAATGATGAGATCAATGGCGGCTCGTAGTTTCCCACTTTTTCCGTTCGACGCCCTTCAAGAATCTCGATGTTCTTAAGCTTCTCCTCGACCTATAAAATTGTTGAAATTGAAAATTATCTAAATGTCAACCTGGCTCAATTCTTTCATCAATGCAATTCGCCTTTCTTCAACTTCGCGCTTATGCTCCAAATTTTGTTGGTCGTATTTGGCGTGAAGCTCTTCCAAGCGCGCTTCTTTCTCCTGCTCAACGCGAAGTTTCAGTTGGGCTTCGGCCCATGCTTTACGGGTTTTCACGTGACTTGGCTGTTTGGGAATGTGATACGCGATTTTCAGATTCTAAATGATACAAAAATAAATATAATTATATTTATATTTTCCCAAGCACCTTGATACATTTATTAAAGGCCTCTTCATTTTGCTCGCGAAGAATTCTCAGCGTTTTTCGTCTCTCATTTATCACCAACCAAATTCGATGCGTCAGCCATGTAGGTTTCTAAATGTTTGCGCCATTAATTTGATTTTGAAAAATGGGGACGCAATTTTGTTTTCTGTCATTTCTTTTCCGATACCTTCGGCGTGGTTTGCGCGATGTCGTTGGCGAGAAGCGACCAATGTCGAATCAATGCCGTCATCCACGCGACTAGAACATTTCTCTTGTGATTTGATGGAATTTTTCAACGCCAACCTTTCATTTCTAAACTGCTTTCGTCGAGCGAATGCTGCCGAACTGATTGAATCAGCGCCGACTTCCATTCGTTTGATAGCTCGCGTCTCGTCGCCATTTCGACGCTGAAAATCTTCCGAACCGATTCGGGCGCGTTTTTCAGCACATCGAGATCTTCATATTTGGAGCGAATTTTGGATTTGTCAATTTTCGGCAGCCCAAAATCGGTATTCTCGACAATTAAGTTATCCGACGCTTTCAGACCCAAGTCACGTTCGCTTCCGATTTTTTCGTAGTAGAGCTTCGTCAAATTATCGATATAATTTTCATCCAAAGGTAACTGTCGCGCTTTCTTCTCAAAATATTCGGGATCTTGTTTGGCCGGATCGGTAACCTATAATTTTGCGCTAAATGTTGACGAGTTCTTGCTCGCCGCTTACCTTTTGGTGAATGTTGAAGAACGAGCTTCGACCGCGTAAAGTTTGTGCAGACGTATGTACAAATCTTTGCAATTGCAAAGATTTCATGGCTGAAACCGAAAAAATTGGATTTTTGTAAAGAAAATTTGCCGAAAATTATTTTTTCGCAAATACGAGAATTTAGAATTTTCTAGTCCACGGCCACCATGTTTTTTTTACTGATGCCAAATGACTTATTGATTTTTGCGCGCTGCCCGTGCTGTGTGTCCCATTGATTACCTCTCAAACTGTTTAATTTTTTATAAAATTAATTTCGAATTTGAAATGGAAACCCGTAAAACGAAAACAATTGGGGGGATATTTTTGTGTGTACGGTATGCGGTCTGCATTGCGCAAATCCGCAAACAGCGCAAATCACGTCATATTGAATATTCTCGTTTTTCTCCCAAACGCACGCACAAGATTGCGTTCTTCGTCAATTTTGACGCCGAGCAAATGACAATTCTGCTCAAATTTTTGCTTTAAAACATACAAAACACATCCAAGGAATGAAAACAAAAAAAAAACTAAATCTTAACGCTAGAATTATTGCCGGAATTTTTGCTAGTCGACGGGACAACCAATCCTAGTTGCAGGACCAAGGTCTCGTTTGCTTCTTCATCTTCAAACTTGTCACTTCTAGTATGTCCGTCGAACATGACTACGCTTTTGCGAATGCGACGACGAAGAAGCCAACACCGATACAATCACAGACAGGCGAGCGTAAGCGAATTTCGCAAGATAATGACATAATTGATTTTATAGCGCGCACGAATCGTGTCATCGCGCAAATGCCGGCTGAAAGAAGGTGAGATTGTTAAGAAAAGAAACGTGTTGTCAAACAAAAATTGCCATCGATTTTTAGGATCTACTGTGTTCCGAAGCCGGTGCAGCAGGTCGTCCCGCAAGGTCAGTCGCCTCAAACATACTACGAGGTTCCGACGAGAATTGCAACAACGAATCGGGTATTTCGTTTTGAAAAATCGATGAATATTCATTTTTTTGGGTTCAAATCTATTTGCAGCCTGTCAATGGACAACCAACTCGGGTGCTGTTGCAGCAGGGAACTGCGCAGGTGATTCGACCTGGCACACAGTATACGGTTGTGAGCAGTGCAAATCGACTTGTACAAGGCCAGCAACATTCGGCGGTTCGTGCTCAGCCAGTTTTTCAAGGCGGCCAAGTTCAGCAAATCTATCGAAGTGGGTGATTTCGATTTGGCGACCAAAAAAATTTTGTTGTAGGAACTCCACAGGGCAACGTTGGCCAGCAAACCCAGGCGACCTATATTCAGGTCGCCAGGACAACCCCGTCTCAACAGCAAGGCGCGACGACGGCTGTGTACACGCAACAGCCGATTCGGCAGTATGTGCAGCCGATGCAGCAGCAGCAGCAGGCGCAAGGCCAACGCGCGACGCACCATCAACCGCAGCAGCAGGCGCAATTTGCCGCCTTCAACAGCATGAATCTCGCGGTGCCGTTGCGCGAGCCGTCGCCGGAGCCGATCGCGGCTCCGCCGCCTCAGCCGGAGCCCGAGGAGTCGGCGCAGTCGACGTCGAATGAGGAGCCGATGCCCGATGATAGCGATATTGACATTCAGGTATTATTTCTCACAATAGTATTGTGGTTTTTGGCGCAAATTTTAAAATATCGATTTACGGGTCTGAAGTAAAATGCGCTCTCATTAAAATTTTTGGCATTTACATCGGCAAAATATTAAAGTGTTTCATTGTTTTTGCAGATTCGCAACGTCGTTTGTAATTATACTCTACCGCTTCACATCGATCTTCGAAAATTGGCGATGAACACCAATAATGTGACGTATGAGCGCGAAAAGGGGGTAGATTTTTTCGAAAATTTGCAATTTGTGTTAAAATTTTCTTGAAAATGTTCCAGGTGATGATGAAACAGAAGAGAAATCCCAATTGCTATATCAAAGTGTATAGTTCGGGCAAAGTGTATATTGTTGGATGTCGAAGGTGCCCATTAGCACAAAAAAAAGACACTACGAGATTTTTCTAATGATGATGTTCTTTTAGCGAGGTCGATTGCAAGCGTGCGGCTCGTTCGATCGCGCGTCACGTTCAACGCGTAATGGGACGAACGAACGAGCGGGTGGCGATTCGCAACTATCGAGTGAACAACGTGCTCGCCACATGTCGAATGCCGTTCGGCATCAAAATTGAAGAAGTCGCCGCGAAATATCCATCCGAGTCGACGTATGAGCCCGAATTGTCGGTTGGTCTTGTGTGGCGATCGGTGAAACCGAAAGCGACACTTCGCATTCATACAACTGGATCGATTACGGTTACTGGAGGTTTGAAATTTGGATTCATGATTAATATTTTCATTTTTTTTTGTCATTTCAGCAAGCTCCGAAAACGACGTGCTCGAAGTGATATCGACAATCTACCCAATTGTTCTCAAATATCGGTGCTTTGATCGCGCCAAAGATTCGGCGGGAAACAAGCGTAAGCGAAAGGCGCCAGCCAATAAGCCGTAAGAATCTCTTTTCTTTTTTTTGTTAATTTTATTTCATTTTCCCTTCTAGACCAGCGGCGAAGCGTGAGCGTCTCGATCAGGCTAATTTCGGAAGTTCTGGTGTTTATAATAATAAGGTAATATTAATTTTCTGAATTTGAATTTTCTAACAAGAAAAGTGGTAGAACAAATTTTAAAGGCGTGCTAGAATTTTCCAATTGGAGGTTTTACCACCTGCTCTAATGCAAAAGCCTTCCGGGCTCGGTTCGAACCAGCATCGTCAGATTAAGCTTCTGATGATAGTTCGAGCCATAAATTCAATCTATTTGAATTTCGCGGCTTCAAAATTGATGGTTGTAAAAATTAAAAATTCAAAAAAACCCTGATCTATTAGATTTTCTATACGAGACCCGAAGGCGGCAATTCAAATGATAATAAAAAGTCAATGGAATTGCGAGACAAACAAAAATTTGCAGGTGTACTTTTCCGATGAAGACGAAGATTTGTACGAGGATCTCGATTTGGATGAGTGACAAAAAAAAAAGACATGTATTCATTTTTTTTTTCAATTGAAAAATATCCAACAAATATTCGCTTTTGTATGTGTTTGCGGTTTTTTTGTCTCGCCTCAATATTCTCTTGTGAATTTTGCCAATTTTTCTGTTGTAATTCTTAGGGACCACCCGCTTTCATGATAATAGTCTCTCTCTCTCTCTCTCTGTTTTTTTAAAATCTTCTTCATTCTTTCTCGATTTTTGTCATGCTTTACCATTTTCTTCTCGTGTTTCTTCCAATAATTTGTGTGTGTGTTTTTTTGTTTGTGCTTATTTGGTCATAGAGATGGGCCGGGCTCCCCCCCTCCGCTCAATCGTAATCCGAGCGCCGCCCATCGAATATTCAAAAATCCCAGTTTATTAAAAAAAAAAGGCGGCAAAAATAAGATGTAATAATTGAGAACAACCACGAAAAATCGATAATGTTGGCACAATGTCAAATTGAATGATGGTTTTTTTCTAATTTTTGTGAAAAATTATATGCGCGCGCTTTCCTACTGCCGAATTCCGGAACAATTTTCATATTTCATCATCATCATCATCATGGTAGACTCTCTAACGTGTTTTTCTACAAAAAAAGAACTGTTTCCTTAATTTTCTGGTTTTTCGCTCTTTTTTTCCCCCGATCCTGACTGAGACTTATTTGACGCACAGTTTTAAATTCTCTCTTTGACTTTATTTTTCTTGTTGCTTTTTTTTCCTGCTTAAACTTCGCCTGGTTTTGTTTTCTCTCTGTCTGTCTCTCTCTTTTCTGTTTTTTTTTTTAATATTCATTATATTCGTCTTATTATTATTTTTTTCTTTTTTTCCGCCAGCAACAATTTTCGTGTGATTATTTTTAGTTTTATATAAATATTATTATTGAGCGAAAATTGAGCATTTTGGGATTGTAAAGTAATGAGCTCGTTAAAAAAAGCAATTTTGAAAGCGAACAGTTGGCTGGCGAGTTTATCAGATCTTCTGAAGGTGTTTTTTGATTTTTTTCAAATTGCTGCGTACTGTAGAATGGAGTTGTGTGCAGTGTGTTTGCACAGATGTTGGCTACAGTATCAGATTTTGAAAATTGATTAAAGATTTTTCTGAATGTCAAAATGCGATTTTCCCAGGACCCCAGGACATCCCATCATTTGCACATGTTCAATAATAAATAACATTGATGTAACCCACGACCATCCACACATGTGGTCTCAATCGGCGCCCCGCATTTTGAGCCAAATGTGGGCGGGCGGTGTGGAGGGGAGCCGAGTGCGTCGGCTGACTCCGCCCCGCGTTTCCGGCTACCTACCAGTTGTCGTCGTCGAATTCATTTTTCAGCGCGGGTGTCCATATTCGTACGCGGCCATCGATTCGCCGATAATTCCAGTTGTCCATTCGGTTTTCGATTTCAGCGCGCCGATTTCACACGAAATGAGCCGATTGCAATTATGAGACAATTATTGGTGTTGGTGACAGCGTTGCTGCAAACGTGCGACACATTGAAGTGAGTTGGTCAATTTTTTTTTTCCAAAAATTTTTTGGCATTTCTCCCACCGCGAATTTCATGGCCGATTTGGATCAATGCGCAAAAACAAGACGAATTCGCAAATTCTCGACGCTCGCCAATTGTTCCATTCGGTGAATAGAGCCAATCAGGAGAAGGCGAGAAGAGTGGGGGGGGGGTCTGACAAACAATTCATTTCATCATCTACCCGTATTTTTTTTGCTGTTGCCAAACCGCCCTCTATCAATCGCTGATGAATGGGACGATGATGATGATGAATTGGTGGAAATCAATCCGAATTGAAATGCAATACTTTAAATGGTCTACAAGTGGATAAGAGCGGATGAAATTACTGGTAATTGAAGCTTCAATAAGGCATTAATTGAAAAGTGCCGATTTTTTTTCTGCGCTAATTGAAGTCAGCTGTTTGAAAAATCCTCAATCCTCCTATAAAAATGGTTTTTGCTTTTCGAAATGCAATCGTCATTAGTGGAGAAATTTCACCTGCGCGAGTTTTATAGATTAATAAACGTCGAGTACAGTAAATGGCAGTTGGCGAGATGTGCCGAGCAAAAATTTATAAACAATTCTCAGTGATTTTGTTTATTTATTTCCCCCGCAACTCATCCCCCCCCACTAGACTTCCATTCTTCAAACGACGACATTTGTCTGCGTCGCCGATGCCTTCAATGTTGTGTCGCCAAGATGTCATCGCCGAGAGCATAACGAGCCGCAAAGAAATAATTCCCAAATGAACAATTCGACGAGTGAATTTTATGTTCATCGATACCTTTTTTTTGTGCGCGCGGGCTCGCAAGAAGAAGCTTGAAGAAATCTCATTGTGTTCGACTAAAAGCTCTTTTCGTTGTCGTCCTATTGAGAATCACAATCGAATTAGGTGCGCTTCTCGTTGCGACACACACAAAAAAATGGGGGAAAATGTAGATCTCGCGAATGAGATTGAAATGTACACTTCTTTGTTGTTGTTGAGGGAAAATGGTTGACGGGGGGGGGGTCTGATACGGAAAATAACAAATTTGATTTTCAGATGCTTCTCATGCGCCTCATATGAGTACCGAATACTCTTCGAGAAGGATTCGACGTTGTCGCGAAAAGTTCGCGTACCGAAATTCGATAGACTATGCGATATGGAGGACATGGTTCAGGGATTCGCGCCGGTCGAAATGTGCCACTCAACATGCGTCACCATATTCGAGCCGCAATATTTTGGGGGTAAATTACCACTATTTTTGCTTGTCTAAAAGAATTTGGATAAAAAAATAGGACGAACACGTAATGAATATCATAATTAAATTGGAAATACTATAGAAATACAGAACAGCTAATAGTTATTAATGGAAAATATTATAAAATAATGATGCTTTAATAGCGGAATTGGAAAAATAAACAAAAATAGCAAAAATTTGCTCAAAAACGGCCAGTCTTTTAAAAAAAAAGGTTCAATGAATTCAAAATCACAAAAAGTGTGCAATTTCGCGTCACCTCTGTGTGTATGTGTGTACACCGACCGCGCACCGTAACACTCTTGAAATTTATTTTTCTTCAAGGTCTTCAATCCCTTCAACGCCCATTTTTGTACATTCGAGGGTGCGCCGATCAAATATTTTCGGCGATGGAAGATCGACCAACTGAGGTGATCAATCACGAGTTGCTCGCAATTTTAGCCGTCGAAATTTGCAGGTCGAATTCTTGCATCGAAGTCCGATTTGTCTGCGACTTCAACTATCTCAAATCTATCCGCAAGTGCAAGCCAATGAGATTGTCGAAGTGTGCTCGTGCGACAAAGACGGCTGCAATTATGGATCGAGCAATTCGACCCCTTCAACCTGCTCGATTCCATTATTTGTTCTCATTGTTTTACACTCGTTTTTATTGTGATAATGTCTTTCTTTTTTCTCATTTTATTGTTGCTGATTGATTTTGAGATTCAAAAATAAAATTGAACTTATTTTTAATTAAACTTTTCAATTTTTTACAGCAAAAACTCTTTTTAAAATCGTAATAGCGCCACTTTTAGGCCTACGATTACTGTATCATTTGAATTGCCGCCTTCGGGTCTCACATGGAACCTCTTCGGATCCAGTTTTTTAATCGCTATTTTTTATGATTTTTAACTATTTTGATTATATATATATATTTTTTTTTAAACTATTTTGATTATACGTTTTATTATTAACGAGCAGGGGTGGTCCATTTCATTTTAAAGGTCCAATTAAAAGAAAAAAAGCGAATTTCAAATTTCTCAAGATATACAATTAGATATACGAGCACTGTTTCATTATTAACTCACTTGTCAGAAAGCTGTATTAAAACTCACGTCTATAATTTTATGAAATTTCATTATCGACATCTGCGGACATTTTACGGGACACGCCACCAATCGCCGTTGAAATTGATGACGGCGGCAATTCAAATAAGGGACTATTTTTTTCCAATGAAGCGATTCAAAAAAATGCAATGGGGGTACTGTAATTAAATGATGGGGAAATCTGCGAGACCCATGAGACTACTTGTTGTCGTGCGTCTTATTTTTTAGACTTTCATTTTTGATTATTCAAGCTTTAAAAATTCAAAAAAATCAGACATATGACGAGAATCTTGAATACAAAGCCTGGTAAAATTAAAATAAATTTTTAAAAATTTGAAAATTTGAATCAATCAAATAAAAAATAATATCGTAATTTGGAAAAAAAAAACGGCGCTTTTAATTACAGTACCTTTGCATCGCTGCATTGGAATCCCAATAAAAAAAAGCATCCAGCTCATTCAATTGAATCATTTTTCAACGCATTCCATTTTATTTCAAAAAAGGAAATTCAAATTTTCAATTGGGAATTTCGCTAATCAACAATTTTCGAAAAAAAATTAATTCATTCAAAATAAATAAATTTACAAACCCGCATTCGAGTAAAGGTCAAAGTACAACAAATAACTTGAAAGCGACGAGGAGTCCTAAACTAGGCTAGCGCTGGCGTGTTGTCATAAATCGACGGCGCTCGCGCAATAATCACAACAGTTCCGAAAGCACACGCAAAAGTGAAAGTTATTAGAAATATTCGGTCCATAACAACTGAAATATACTTCCAATCTTCGATGACCTAAAAAGGAAATGCTGAAAAATATTAATTTCACAAAAAAAGATAACCTGTTTATCGTCTTCCTCATTTTTCAAATGATCAGCTATATATGCCACCGATTCGACGGCTGATCGAACTGGAGAGTTCTCCCTGCAACGATATTCAATTTTTTGAAATTGAGACGACGCTGACCTTGGTATTGAAGAAAATGACGATTCCTCTTTGATATTATTATTTCCAGGTGATAGTAAATCGGAATTCTGCAACAGAAAACAGTATTTTACGAGGTAAATGACGAAAATTGAGGCGCAGATATTTATTTTATTATTTGAGTTATACAGAACACAGAATTTTTAACGGAAAACGAAAAAGAAACAAGCTAAAATAAAAATTTTGAACTCAAAAACTTCCGTTCATTTTTGCGTAATATTGATTGCTGACCTGGCGCCTACCGTAACGCAAAAAAAAATCAATTTTTAAATTTCTTTTCCGACAAGAGTGAAATTCACGTTTTCGTGGAATATTGTTTGTTTCAAATGAGATATCAATGGCGGGAAATTCAAATTTTCAAAATAGCGCTGATCTTCTAAAATTTCAATGAATCGTTTGAAATCGTAACACATTTGAATTTCCACTTTAGGTCTCATGCGGAAAACTATAAAGAGGAGATTTTTATGCTTCCTGACATTGAAATAGCGTAAATATTAAAGAGAAATTGCAGAAAACAAATAATTTTTGCTTACTGTCTTAAAATTTTCTCATAAAAATTATGGAACGGGGCCAAAATTCATTCAATTTTCAAAAAACTCACCAAAAGTGGAGAAACATGATTGCCGGCGATGCTGAATGTCGACATTCTTGGATTTCGAGCCTGCATTTCAAAATAATAATGGATTTCATTTTTAATTAATTCTTTTTTCTCACTTTACTATGATGCCCTGGAGGATGGGGTCTCGTCATGAGGAGGTACTTGGGAAGAATGTCGACGAACAGCTTCTTCATCCAATTCGGCATCGTGTGCGTCGTCGGCGATCGATAATGCACATTCTGAATGCGTGAGAATGGCGATATGATAACGTGCGCCTTTAAATGACCCACCAGCGTGACTACCGTAACCACAACGGAGAGCGTGACGAGAACCATGGTGAATAGAAGGTATTTGCCGATGAGCGGTATCACCAGCGATGTCGACGGAATGATTTCAACGAGGAGGAGAAAGAACACGGTGAGCGAGATGAGAATCGAGATGCATAGCGAGATTTTCTCGCCGCCGTCGGATGGTAGGTAGAATACCAACGCGGTGAGGAAGCTTGAACAATAGCAATTGGATTTGGAGGCGGAGGAATCGATTCAGACCTGATTCCAACGGATGGGAAGATGAGATTGACGGTGTAGAAGAGCGTCTTCCGACGAAGATGGATTTCGTAGGTGATGTCGATGAACGGACTCTCGCAGCACGGATATCTGAAATTCGGATGTCTGAATCGCGATTCTCATCTCAAAAGCGCTGACCGTTTCAGGTGCCGCTTTCCAGGAACATTGAGAATGTCCCATTCGACGCTTGGATAATAGTCGCTTAAATCAATTCCTGAAAAAAAAGAAATTGATGGGATTCTCATTGTCGCCGTCCTCTCACCCTCATCGACGACCCACACGATTTCTGTTGTCGGCCCGTCGACGCCCTCGACGATCTCCTCAATCTCCTTCTCCATGTGCTTGTCGCGATGTTGAAGGTCGACCTCGAGGCCGCCGTACGTCCACGAGCCGAACTTCATCTCGCATTGTTGGCGATCGAACGGAAAGAATTCGACGTCGATTTGGCACATGCTGAAAATGTGGGACACAGAATTGAAAAGACGATTTTTGGAAGCCTTTCTGGACCTTTTGTAAATCGCCGGCGGCGCCCATTCGACAGTTCCATTATAGGTGAGTTTCGCCTTTGTCATAATTGTCACCTGATAATTGCCATCGGCGCTGGAATCATTAATTGATAATTAATTAATTGATCACAATTGGGCACTTGTTGTATAAGACGACGTCGGGAAGCCAAATCGTGTCGGAAGGCACATAGAGCACATCGACGCCACCGTAATCCGCCGGGTCCCATCGTAGCTTATAGTCCATCCAGCTCTGAATATCAAGTTTAGAGATTAATTTCGAGTTTCGACTTTTTACTTAATCCATTTTGGAGGTCCGTAAAGCACATACGCCAAATTGCACACATTTTACAATTAAAAAAAAACCACATTTTCTTATTTTTTCAAATATTTTTTATTATCATTCAATTGGAAGTTTGATTCTCAGGTTATCTGTAGTACGGTAATCAAATTTTGCATTATTTAAGCTCAAAATTCGAAAAAATATATTAGAAATAAAAAAATAAATATTCGCGAGAAAATATTGCGAAAAAATGACGAACGTGCATTGTGTGCGTACACCGAGGCGCGATCTACAGTAATCTCAAAATTATTTAATCAATTGTTTTTTTTTACGTGTTTTCTTGGCGAATTTTTGGTTTTATGTATACTGCTATGTTGAAAAATTGTAATTGTAATCATTTTTAAATATTTTCAAAATTAATTGTTTTATATAAAAAGAAACGTTCAATAATTAATTAAATAATTTTCAGTTAAGATTACTGTAGCTAAGGTCGAGATGTGCGCCTCGGTGTATGCACACAATGCATAGGATATCGATGCTCTCATCGTCCGTAGAGTTTGGCGGCAATTCAAATGCGTTTCGCTTATCTTTTTGGAAATGTTCAATTTTTGCTAGTGTTGAAATTCAAATTTGAATTCCCGCCGCCAGAAAAAATCGATAATCCACAAATTTTTCGGAAATCTAAAAATTTTGACTTACATGTTGCAACCAAACATTCGTCGTCATAATTTGATTTTTCTCGTGCTGAAAATGGAAAAATCGATGCGTCGAAACAAAAAAAAAGACGTTGAAAACCACACACACATACCACATCGAGAAGCTGACTCAATTTGAGCTTAAACGTCACGACAAGCGTCTCGCCGTTCTCGCTGACCGGCCTCACTAGTTTATTATAATCTGGAAAAACGCTTTTTTTAGTCTGTATTCGGTAGGGTTCGACGATCACCTGCGATGAGATCCTCGAATAGGCGATTCGCGTCGCGATTCGCCAAAACGCATGGCACAATCGCGAGCAGCAGCAACGCATTTCGAGCCCCCATTTGGTCACCCTTAGAAATTATTGAATTTTGGCGACACAACACAAATAATAATAATAATAATAATTCCCAAAAATTGTGCACGTGTGGTTCGATGTGCGAGGGACCCTTTAGAAGTCTGAGGGTCCGTTGGCATCGATTCGACGCCGCCTGTCTGCGTCCTCTGCGAGTGTGTCGCGTCTCTCTCTCCCTCTCTCTCTCGATGAGACGCTCCAGCTTCTTCGTGTGTGTGTCACTCTTGACGTTTTGCTCATCGCAGATGATTTGAAGTTTGTAGTACACTAGGACAAGATTTTGAAATGAGATGGGAGAATGAATGACAAGAAGGAATTGTGTTCGATTTGTGCTTAAAACCAACATTTTCTCGCCGCCACAATTCGTTTTTATGGGAATTGAAAGGAGCAGGAGACGAACGTGAAAATTGGGTCCTGCACGGATTTTCAGACGGCCGAAGGTTTCAATCAAACCAGCCAAATTAAAAATAGCACACAGTCACCATGACCATGAGAATTGAGTTTGCCAAATATAGAAAAAATTGAAATTTGAAATGAATTTTAAAATTTTCCTCCAAAAAAACTATCAAAAATTCCGTTTTCTTCATAATTGAAACTTTTTTCAAGAAATATAATTTGTTTTTCAAGAAATTTAATTTGTGGCTCCACAAAATTTCAAATAAATGCATTTATTGAACAATTACTCAAATGTGTGCAATTGTGCGGCGGTGTGTATGCACACCTTTTAGGAGGGCCGCGATTTTTCGAAAATTTCCGTCTTCAAATTCGCCGAAAATGCTCATATATGAGCCATCGTGTTGAAAATAGCGATATTGTCGCGGGGAAAAACTCTTGCAGTGTTCACAAACCGGTTTTCAGCGCTGAACGAAAAAAAAAATTGTAAATTCAATTTTTGGCACGGTGGGATTAAAAAAAACGGCACCAAAACCCTCTGTCAAAATTTTCATTCTCCACTTTTAATTTTGTTGTTGAGTTGAAAAAAAATTCCAGATTTTATTCGTTTATTTTTTTTCTGCGCTCAAGTTTTATGCGTGTTTGCCGATATTTTATGACCATAATTGGTATTTGAAGCACCATTTATTTCGTGCGCAGCACCACACACTCACACACAAATTCAAACACCAACTCCTCATGTACCGATTCATCGCGTGTTTGCTTCTACCGTTGCTCATCGGCGCCCAACTGATGCCGTATAATGACTATCGATGCGGATCCGGCGAGTTCTCGCACGCGCTTTCCTACACTTCGACATGGCTCTGCGATCAGATAGCAAGTAGGCCACGCCCATCGTCTTACAGGTGCTGAATCTGTCAGTGTTCAGTGAATCAGTGCTGTATGATGCATGACGCGTGCTACGCCGGCTGCGCGTTCACCCAAATCGAATGCGACGATCAATTCTGCATGTGCCTCAGCTCCATCGTCACCAATCCACTGTGTCAGGCGATCATTCTACCGGCGCACTGCAACATGGTCCGATTGTTTGGCGCGCTGTTCGTCTGCCCGATGATGGGCTAGAATGTGTTGTGGGGCTCGTCAAAAATTTGAAAAATTCGAAATGTTGTGCAATCACGCCGCACGAACTCTGCGGACTTGCAATTTTTTTCTCACTTTGGCATATTTTGTGCGTTTTGCTGCACGGCTTTGACGTTTTGCGGTTCGCGTCTATATTTAAATAAATTCAAATTTTGAAAAATCATAGTAAAGGACCGCACGCGAACCGCAACGCGTCTAGCGGCATAGAATAATTACGGTTTTGTTTTTGGGCAAAATGATAGCGATTTACGGTTTCTCCGAAAATTCCTGTGCTTGATTATTATTATTAATATTTTGTTTTGTTTTTCAATTGTATTTTTGAAATTGTAATAAATTATTTATTCTTGCTGATGTTCGTTTGCTGCAAAAAGGTGTTATCAGCTGGTCGTCTTATCACAGTTTCAATGAGTCAGTCGATTGTATCGATCTGCCGGATCATCTTTTTTTTGCTTGCCTTATTTATGTTCACATTTCAATTGAATATGTGGGAATTGAAAACAATTTCATCTGCGGACATTCTCTATTGTGTTGGCGGCAATTCAAACCAACGCCACGCCCATTCATTGTTACAAATGAGTCATCTGAACTATATGCAGTTTAAAAATTGAATGATAATCTATTGGTGGGCGGAATGGCAATATAATCCGTTCTCACCAACTAATTGCCCTTTAATTACCCACCCAAAACAAATTCGTTTCAGAATGAAGTCGATCAAGTTGTCCCAATTCGTCCGTCTCGCTTCCATCATCTCATCGCTGGCGTTGATTTTCCTAATTAGCTCCGCCCATTTGGAATTTCTTCCAATGTACGCCGCCATCGGATTCTGCATCATTTCGGCCATCGTCTCAACAGTTCTTCTGATTTGCGATGTCGCCCAAATGAACGGCACCGATGAATGGGCGTTCTGGGTAATTATAGATGTCGATAATTAATTAATTAATCCAATTCTTCAGGAAACCATCTTCAATTGTGCCCTTTCATTTCTATTCCTTATTAATACCGCAACAATGGCATATTCATCTTATCGATGGGGACATTTCAAATGGAAACTGGCAACCGTAATCATTGATCTCGATTTATTCAATGTTACTTTTTTTTCAAAGGCGTTTTGCTGCTTCGTCTGCTTCGCGTTCGGTCTCGAAGCGAAAACAACAATCAGCCGACAAATCAAACATTTGAGCAATAACAGAAATGGTAAATCAACGGAAAAAAATCGAGAATAGTCCAAACATTAGTTAGTTGGTATTTTAGAACCTCGCCGGCGAGTGATTCGACTCAATCAAAGGGGACATTGATAACTTAATATTAATTAATCAGACACAAATAATTAAAGAAAGAAACACATTTGTTCGAAAAGCTCACAATCATTATAAAGCAATTCTACAAACCAAAAATAGAGAACCCATGAAATTACGGAATGCTGGCTGGAAATGATTTGCTAATTATGATGGCGGAATAAATTCTTCGCTCGGCGACGCCAGCTCGCTCAATGACGTCGTCGAGCTTGCCGATGCCAGCGCACTCTCATCCTCCTCTTCATCCTCTTCATCCTCGTCGTCGTCCTCTTCCTCCGGCGTTGGACTCGCCGGCGCCGTGCTGTTCGGCGTTGTCGAAATGCTCGCAATTGTCGCGATGCTCGCCGTTGTCGACGAGCACGCCGTCGACGTGGTGCTCGTCGTCAACGGCGTGTTCGCGGTTGTCGTCGTGCACGACGTTGTCGTACTCGTGTTCGCGTTCGTCGTGCCCGCCGGCGGCTTCGGCAAATTCTCAAGGACGGCGTCGGGCGGCGGCGGAAACGCCGGCATCGCCAACGTCGTCTTTATCTGATCGTTGTGCGTTTCCAGCGTCGTGTGCGCATAATAGCGCACAAAATCGCCGATCGTCGTTAGGTAGATGTTGCTGTGCTCGAATCCCCAGCCCTGCTCACTTTGCTCAATGAGACAATGCGAAATTCGCTCGCCATACAGCACACTCAACACCAGTTTGTCCGGCTGAAACTCTATCACCTCATCAACAACTCAAATTTTCCAAGACACACCTGCGACGACGATGGCCTTATTAGGAAAACGCCGTCAATCGGCGGACGAATGATGCCCATCTTCTTATCAATTTCGTACATTCGTTCTCTCGCCGCTAATAGCGCTGTCGCCGCGTCTTCTTTCGAGGTGCTGTAAACCAAGTACCTAGAATTTTCACGATAAATCCTTCTCATCAACATTTTGCTCTTACTGTCCTGGAACCCAACGAAGCGGTAGATCGCAAAGAAGTTGGCTGACGCGCAACGGCTCATTGAGTATCAGCTCGCCGGTGGCGTTCATTGTGGTTTGCAGCTTCTCTTGTGGAATTCCTTTGCTCGCGAGATTCCCATAAACCTTATTGCGCGTCTCATGGCTAGCGATCACTCGATTCTTCGCGTGCACCGAATCGACTTTCAGCTCGTCGACGAGATCGCTTATCCTTTTGCGTTGCTCTTGGCACGCGGCCAAATCCAATCGGATCTTCTGCATTCCATCTTCCAACACCTTCTGGTTGCCCTTCATCGCTTGTCGAAAACTATAATTCCCTTCGAGTCGCGGAATCGTCTTATTGATGTTCTCCTCGACGTCGTGGAGATCGCCGAGCTTCTCCAGCTTCATTTCATAGTCGCGACACTAAAATCCCATGATTCAATTTTTTTAGAAATATTTTTTTTTTAAATCTACCTGCTTGACCCTCTCGTGAAACAAATTTTCAGCTCGCTCGACCTCTTGATGCGCCAAATCGAACAGTCTCGCGGCTCGTTCAACGCTCATCTGCGCAATTCGAAGACTCTCGAGACCCAATCGCTCATCCCAATCCTCCGAATCTTTTGCATCGAGAATGCTCTTCGTGCTCATTTGCGTCTTTTTCGCGGCGAGACGCCCGTTCTGCGAGTTTCGTCGCGTCGGCACTGGATACGTGAGCTTCACATCGAGCTGATCATTGTAGACCAATAGCGAAACGTTGCGATGAAACTCGATGAGCTGGACGACCGTCTCGTGAACGAGCGAGTCGATCGAGAAGCCGCATCGATTACCGCGAACCACAATTTTTACCAGCTTCACTTGACCTTGGTACCTAAATTTTGAATGTTTCAAATGATGACGATTCCAAAAAGTGCTAAATTCCAACTTCATCTATTTATATATTAATTTTTTAAAAATAATTTTAATTGTCTTAATTATTTTATTTAAACAAAAGTACATACTTGACTGAAAGTGTATAATCTCCTATTGTGGATGCGTTGCGAACGATGAACGCGCCTTCGGGCTGATCGGCGAGCGCTCGCGACACCACCGACTTATCAACGTCGCCCCAATACCAGACCTGCTCCAACAGGCCCTGCGACGCCATTCTGTAGGAAATCGTGAGAAACATGGCCCGTCGAACAACAACAACAAAAAATAAGCACCGCGATATTAAGATAAATGAAATCGGCTTAAAACCGACATGATAATCCGCATCAAGAAGAAGAAGAAGTAGAAGAATGCTAGCATAGGCAAAAAAACACCAATGAGAAATAATTTATTTAAGAGGAAACCCCGAGATTAAGAGGAATAGCGTTTTGGAAATACTTTCATTACAATCACCATTGCTATAAATGTCCAGAATATGAAGACGACTAGGAATATTCGCATGCAATCGAATCCACATTTATAAGCATGATGCTCCAGGCGGGTATTTTCAGTCTAAATTTAAAAAGAAATGTTTTTTTTTAATAATTTAGTATGGTTACCTGTAATGCTTCTTTATTCTTATCAACTTGTTGCTGCATTTTAGTTAGTTTTTGATTATCTTCTTTTATTACATCATTCGCGGCGCTCATCACAGTTTTCAAGGATAATGTCATTGAAAGTAAATCTTTTGCCAGATCTTCTTCAATTCTTTCATTTTTCATAAAATTCTCGTCTTCTGAAACATTATTTAACTAAGAATTTCATTTATTAAAAAAAGTTACCAGTTGTATCAACGTTTTTGTGTTTTTTCGTTGATAATAATTGTTTTCGAAGATCCGAGCGATATATGGATTTTTGAAGTGCTCGCAGGCCTGCTGCCGACTCTTTTTTGAATTCATCAACATCGTCGTGAATTGAATCTTCTGACGGATTCACGTTTACCGTTGGAAAGAAGCGCGGAATTTTTTCAACGATTTTCAAACTTTCCTCGGTTGTCGCTTTTTCCTCAGCTTCTGTTAAAAGTTTTAGTTGGACAACCTCTCGACGATAATCGATGAGCATATCCTTTGCCGAATCATCACTGAATTCAAAAAAAAATATATGAAAAGAAAAATTGAGTATTAACAGACTTATCATATTGCAGTTGTGATATCAAATTATTGAGGACTTTCGTTGCCGCGGAAACCTTCCACACGTTAGCTTTCAAGTTCTCCTTCGTCAGCCGTTTTGTTCGTTCCAGCAATCGTAGAAAAACGAGCTCGGTGTTGGAGAACTGTGTCATGAAAACCGGTTCGGAAAACGTTGTTTACGAGTCGACGAACATACTTGTGGCCGAGTTTGTTCAATCGTGGCCGAATTTTAGGCGGTCGTGCAATAAATGCGCTCCATTGCACACCTATTTTAAAATCATCATTTTGCCTCGCTATTTTTGGACTACACAATTTTTCAATTTTGTTTCGTTATTTTCAAAAAACTATTAATTGCAGTTATTTGTACACATTCCAGTTTTTAAAACACCAGTGAAAATTATAAATATTGGGCGGAAGGTTGAAAAAATTGTCTACTCTAACTGCAAAACGAATTCGAAAAAATGAGCTGAAATTTTCGGGGGAAGTGACCTCAAAACTATTTCTTTTGCTTTAAATGGTCACCTGTAGCGATATTTTAACGAAATGAGGAAGATAGTGTGCATTGTCTATCGGAAATCATTATTCATCTCGTGTTCTTTATTTTTTTTTATTTTTGCTGATTTTTATCTCAAATTTCTGTTTCCAGAAAATGGCTCGTCGTTATGATAGTAGAACGACGATTTTCTCACCAGAGGGTCGCCTCTACCAGGTCGAATACGCTATGGAGGCTATTAGCCACGCGGGAACTTGCCTCGGAATTTTAGCTTCCGATGGAATTGTCGTTGCCGCGGAAAAGCGCAATGTGCATAAGCTTCTCGATGATTCTGTGCTCACTGAGAAAATTTATCGTCTTTCCGACAATATCTCGTGTACCGTGGCTGGAATTACTGCTGACGCCAACATTCTGATTAATCATCTTCGTTGGTGGGCGGCGAACTACAAAAATGATTTTGGGGAGGAGATGCCAGTTGAGCAGCTCGTTCAGACGCTCTGCAATGAAAAACAGAGATATACACAAATTGGTATTTAATGTACCTTCATTTTTCGAAAATTGTCGGTTATTTGAAGGTGGAAAACGCCCGTTCGGAGTATCGTTGTTGTACGTTGGATGGGACAAACACTACGGTTTCCAGCTCTATCAATCGGATCCATCTGGAAACTACACGGGATGGAAGGCAACTTGTATTGGAAACAACCATCAGGCTGCTGTTTCTCTATTGAAACAGGAATACAAGTCACCGGACTTGGAAGAAGCAAAAAAATTGGCTATTAAAGTTCTCTGGAAGACTCTTGACGTGAAATTGGCGTCTGAAAAAGGTTTTTTCTCGCATCGGCTATTAATTAACTCAAATGCAAATTTTCAGTCGAGATGGCTGTTTTGAAGCGAGTCGATGGAAAGACTGTGTTGGAGGAGCTCTCCACCAAAGAGGTCGATCAACTCATCGCCGAGCACGAGAAGAAGGAGAAAGAGGCCGAGACTACCGCGAAAAAATAAATAATTTAATAGTTTTCCCTTCCGGTTTCCCATTTTTAATTTATTTATTGGACGGTTCTTCATTTATTTTCTTCAATATCCATTTATTCACGTAATCTTTTTCTTCTTGTCTTTTTTCCACCTTTTTCCAATGAAAAAGTTTGATTTATTTGTGGTGAAGGAGGTGTGCGGCCGCGTTGCGAAATTTGAAGGGCGAATTGCAAAAATGGGCGGGGCCAGTGAATTTTCTAGATTTTTCGTGCTCTATTGAGAAGTCGGGGGGTGCTTTCAAAGGCATTTTTCGCGAAAAACATGACAAGCGTCGATTCTGAAAACCTTCTGCAATGCTACAACAAGGGTTGTGGAAAAAAATTTGCGCCGGAGCAAAACAATCCAGGTAAAGTTCATATTCACCATTTTTGTGAAGTTCATCACGTTTTTTAGAGGCGTGCTGCTACCATCCCGGTCCACCGTACTTCCACGACGCCTATAAAATTTGGAATTGTTGTAATAAAAAAAGCACGGATTTCGGAACGTGGCTCACGTATCCGGGTTGCACGCGTGGAAGGCATTCCAGCGAGAAACCGGCCGATATTGTGAAAGTCGCCGCCGTCAAAGAGATTCGACCTGAAAAAGTATCATCTTGTTATTTGATATATAATTTTGTGTCCTTTTCAGGAAGATGAAGTAATTGTGTGGAAAGGGCTCAACAAGTCGGGAAAGGTGAAAAACGATGGTGAGGGTCGAGTTGAGCAGTATTTAAAAGTTGATATTACGCCTGGCGCCCGAGCCGCCTATGACAAATTCGTTCAAGAAAGTTCTCAGAAAGCGGATAACAACGAGATTAGTATTGGCGCTCCGTGCCGAAATAGCGGATGCGATAAGGTTCGGATTTATATAATAATATACAGAATACGAGTGCATTGGTTGTTTTATTTTCAGATTTTTGATGGATCAAAAGACGGAACTTGCCAATATCATCCGGGTGATGCGATTTTTCACGAAGGAATGAAATATTGGTCGTGTTGTCAAAAGAAGACATCGAATTTCGGTGCATTCTTGGAGCAAGCTGGATGCACAAAAGGAGACCATAAATGGAAAATGGTAATTCTCCTATTTTTTGATTGAAATATTAATTTTCGAACGAGTTTAGAATGAAATTGTGAGCAAAGTTCGAGAGGATTGGTTCTCGAGCAATGGATTTGTTACTATCAATGTTTATTGTAGGGTGAGATTTAAATAAATCGCCGATTTAATCCATTCTTATTATTTTAGGGAGCTGTTCCTGACAGTGCCAAAATAATTTCGGATGGTCACTATCTCAAAGTTAGCTTAATTCATGGATATGGAGACAAGGTAGATTAATTTAGTTTTAAAATGAATTTATCATGTTTTTATTACAGGAAACTTCTCTGGAATACGATTTATGGGACGAAATTGTGCCGGAGGAAAGCCGTGTGGTTGTTGGTGAAAGAAAAGTCGAAATAGTGCTGAAACAGAAAAATCTCACCGGCTGGCCTCGTTTAAGATTTGATCCGGAGCTTGACGAGCGGAATGAATGAGAAAAAGCAGACAATAAATGATCTCGATGCTCCGTTGAAATTTAAAACGTTTTTTTTTGACATATCTCTTTCAAGTTTTCTTTTTAGGATTTTTGACGTCTCCCTTCGTTTTGTGTGATTTTTTTCGCCCAATGAAGAAATGCTTTTAAAGAATTGGATGTGTGATAAAAATCTTGGAAGCGCTAGCGCCCAAGACGCTTCATTGAAGCGCATTTTTAGAAATATTTTTTATTGAATCTAGCGAAATTGTTAAGACATGCTTGTGATTCCCGAGGAATCGATTGATGTGAACACGCCGATCACGTCGCACAAAGTGGCGGCAATTCAAAATTATCGAACTAAACCAAATATTGTGAGTTCATAAAATTGATTGATTGAAAAAGAAATTGTTTTGGCGACTCTGGTTTGATTTTGAAAAATATTCCCTTATTTGTCATTCTGCTTTTAATGAGTATAGTTTATTTTTGTTTTAAATAAGCGGCTACCTGAAAGCGCCACAAGACCCTAGTTTGTTGATGTATTTGACATTTAAAATTTTTTATAATCCAGAAATTAAATAATTGAAAACTGCACTAGAAACGTATATAATTAATTTTGAAACGTAAATAAAATTTAAAAAAATGGTTTTTTTTTTCCTGAACTCTCCCATTGTGTAATAAAAACTCCACATTTTTTAAAGAAAAAAATGGAATTACTTCACAACTTTTTTTTTCCAGACTTATCAAACCGTGTGCGGTGTGAACGGTCCGCTAGTGATTTTGAGCGATGTCAAATTTCCGATGTACTACGAGATCGTGCGAATCCGATTGCCGGACGGAACGAAACGCGTCGGGCAGGTGCTCGAGATTCGCAAAAACAAATCGGTCGTGCAAGTGTTCGAAGGCACGTCGGGAATCGACGCCAAGTACACGACGGTGGAATTCACCGGCGACATTCTGAGAACGCCTGTCAGCACCGATATGCTCGGCCGAATTTTTAATGGCTCGGGAAGGCCGATCGATAAAGGTCCGCCGGTGATTGCTGAGGATAATCTCGACATCAACGGTCAGGCGATTAATCCATGGAATCGCATTTATCCGGAAGAGATGATCCAGACGGGAATCTCGGCGATTGACGTGATGAACTCGATAGCTCGCGGGCAGAAGATTCCGATTTTCTCGGCGGCCGGCCTGCCGCACAACGACATTGCCGCTCAGATTGTCCGACAAGGCGGTCTCGTCCAGTTGCCGGGAAAGCAGACGGAGCACTCGAGTTTCGCGATTGTGTTCGCCGCGATGGGCGTCAACATGGAAACGGCGCGATTCTTCAAGCAGGACTTTGAGGAGCACGGCTCGATGGAGAACGTGTGTCTCTTTCTGAATCTCGCCAATGATCCGACAATCGAGCGGATCATCACGCCAAAGATTGCGCTCACCGCCGCCGAATTTTTCGCCTACCATTGCAACAAACACGTGCTTGTCGTTCTCACCGACATGTCCTCATACGCGGAAGCGCTGAGAGAGGTGATAGTAGAGATGTGGGGAAAAAAAATATATAGATATTGCTTTTAGATATCGGCGGCTCGCGAGGAGGTGCCGGGACGTCGCGGATTTCCGGGCTACATGTACACGGATCTGGCGACGATTTACGAGCGCGCCGGACGCGTGAAAGGCCGCGAGGGGAGTATTACGCAAATTCCGATACTGACAATGCCCAATGATGATATTACGCATCCGATTCCAGATCTTACTGGTTATATTACAGAAGGTGGGCGAGTTTTTTTCCTCATTTCATTCAAGTCGCAAGATTTTCTAAATATGGGGGGTTTTAGAATTTTCAATTCAATTGTTGAAAATTGGGAGATGTCGCATCGAGACCCTGAAACAATTATACATTGGGGTAGTGTTTCAGCGTACACACCATAATAAGACTGCCATTGATTGTTTTATTGTCTTGGTTTCGCATGACGCAGTTTTTTTAGTGATTGCATGAAATTTCAGAATGCATGTGTTTGATTATAGGCCAAATATATGTCGATCGCCAACTCCACAATCGTCTCATTTATCCGCCAATCAACGTTCTTCCATCATTGTCGCGTCTCATGAAATCGGCGATCGGCGACGGAATGACGCGCGATGATCATTCGGATGTCTCGAATCAGGTACACTATCATCGGATGGTATCGTTCTGCTGCTGAAGTGCGTTCCAGCTTTACGCGTGCTACGCGGTCGGCAAAGAAGTGCAGGCGATGAAGGCGGTCGTCGGCGAGGAGGCGCTGTCGGCCGATGATCATCTCTATTTGGAGTTTCTTCACAAATTTGAGAAGCAATTTATAAATCAAGGTATCCAACGCACGCGGTTGTTGTTGTTGTTTTTTTTTTGTGGTGTTGGATGTGTATGTCGTTTTGCGTTTCGTTTGCCGTATTTTTGATAAAAACGAGTTTTCGGGCAGTGATTTAAAAAAAAAACGAAGAATTGATTAAGGACACTATGAGAATCGCACGATTGTGGATTCGTTGAACATTGGATGGGAATTGCTGCGAATTTTCCCGCGCGAGATGCTCAAACGAATTCCGCAGGCGATTTACGACAAGTATTATATTCGCAAGAAGACCTGAAGAAAATGCATGTGCTTGTGTGTGTATTGTTTTGAGAAACTCTTCTTATTATTATAATTATTATTAGTGATAATAAATGATGTCTTATTATGGTGGTGTAAATGCGAAATAGCGGAAACTATAAGGAGGGAGGGCAGAGTTTTTGCGATTGAGCGGACCCGGGGTGAAGAAGAATGGGCGGTGAAGAAGAAACGAAAATGGTTATGATTTTTTTGGTGTCGATTTAGGCACGTCCGTAGTATGGCCAATAAGCGTATGGATTGTAGCCCATCGTGGCGACTTGTTGGTCCTTGCTTGGGCTGTTTTGAGCTTCAAGGGCGACTCGTTTCGCGTTTTTGTTGGCCTGCAAAAAAAAGAAGATCGAAATTCGGGCATTTGATGGTGGGGGAAAATGTTTCCATCATGAATAGATCGATTAGAATTTGGCATATTTCACCATTTCAACAAAATTTTCCAATTAACTCGATTCCTAATTTTGGGTCTTGATGCGATGTTCTTTTCATTTCCGCCTCATTTAATGTCAAAAGTTGGCAATTTTCCGACAACCCCCCCCCGTTTTTCCTGTAGGTCTCTTGTATTTGAGAGTTGCGCGATCATATCCTCAACCCAAATCTCAAAACCGGAGGCGCATCTTCTTTTCGACAACATTTTTACGAGCGGCGCGCCACTTGGTCTCGAACATTTTGCGTGTGTGTGTGTGTTTTTTCCTAGTCGCTTCGAGACCCCCGCAAGAGTTTCGACGCGAAAATAAAATCTGTTGTCGTCGTCGTCGTCGGGATGTGCGCATTGATTAATGATGGCAAAAAATTTTTGGAAGGGAGTATCAAAACCGAAATAATTGGGGTCAGAAACGGTGCGGGCGCGCGCCGAAAAAATGTTATCAATTGGCGAAGAATGTTTCCGAATTCCTTATTCTTCGTCGTCTTTTGTTTGTCCCATCACTATCATCATCATCATCGTCATCGAGATCATCCACCCCGGTGGTGCGAGAAGTGAAGCGCGAGCCTCGTTGATCGATGATAAAGGGCATATATACATATTTGGATGGATTGCGCGCGCGCGAGTGCGTGTGAAACCAGTAGGCAACAAATTGCATTGTAGGGGCCGGTCCGGTTGGGAGAGACCGAAAAAAAAAACGTCGGCGGCAACAGCAACAACGCATATTGGCACGCAAAAATTGATGGCGATACAAAATTGAGATTGTGTGGCGTACGTACCCGTTTGGCGTGAAGGCACGAGGCGCACGAGGCGATGCACATCGGAAGCATGAGCACGAGTGTGGCGACGGCGGCGGCGATGACGACGAACATGGCGACGGTGGCCCACAAGCGAATGCGCATCTACAAAAAAAAGCGATGGTGTTGTTGTTGTGGTGAGGAGCCGATGGCATTCATACGCCGCAACGAAGATTGCACGCCGGTTGCTGATCTTTCGGCACGTTGCCGAAAATGTTGTTGACACATTTGCCGGTGGTGAACAATGAGAAGTAGACCTGAATCGGATTAGTTTTGGGTTTCTGTTTTTTTTGTTTCGGGTTCGTCTCAAACCTCCTCGCATTCGTCTTCACAACGCTTTTTGGATTCGTCGTTGGCGGCGGAGAAGTACCTTGAAAAAAATCAAAATTGAATCGAATCGAAATTCGACCATAAAATCGTGATTGATTAGCCTTGAAATTTCGCCCGTCCCACTTCAACCACAAATTAATATACTACTACTGGTTTTGATTGATTTGATTGGGTGGGTCCGGCGGCCGGTTTCGACTCACCCGGGCGCGCATGTGCAAATTTGTCCGTTGAATAGCTGATTCACCGAGCACACCGGTTGGTCTTGAGCGGCGCTCATCGCCGCGAGACACGCCACCGTCACAATGATGATCTTGTGCATTCCTGAAAATGGCGATGCGAACATGAAAATATTGAAATGGGATGAAAGGGAGGGGAAAGGGGGGGGGGCGGCGCGAAATGTTGAAAACTGGGGGGCAGCAACGCGCCGGGGTCGAAATGCCCTTCAAAATAATAGTAGTAGTAGGTTGGGGGGTTGAATTGTGGGCGGCGCTTATCTGTATGTCGAATACGGACAATCGGTCGGGGTAACGTCGCATCATCAAGTTGTTGTCGCCTACCGCGCGCACTATCTCACCCATTTATGGTATATAACCGATTTTTGGAGTCTGTTTTCTCTCTCTGTCTCTCTCTCTCGCGACGACGACGACAAACAACCCCACCCCTTTCGAGGAGGCAATATGATGAATTTGGAATTGACGACGACGACGTCGAGACGCTGCCGCCGCCCATTCGTCTTGTGGAATTTTGATGATTCCGTGGAATGATGGTTTTGATACGCTGACAAGAGGAAATTGGTCTCACCTCAATAAACACGAAACTTTCGCTTCGCTGTAACAATGAAAACAACAACACCGACGCCAATGATAGTTTAAAGAAGGTGGCAGGAAGGCGACGCGATGGCATTCAATTTGATCTACAACTGTGCGCCTGGGACGGTGGGAGAATTGAGTGATAATTGGCCGAGGCGCGATATCTTCCGTAGTCGTCGTCGGATTTGATTTGGCGCTGGACGTCGCCTTCTTGAATCTCAAGGGTTTGGTGTATTCATCGCTATTCGTCTCAGAATTTGGGTCACGTCGAATTTCCTTCTGCAGGAATACATGCACAAAAAACTCCATGCGCCTTTAATTAGCGTATCCCAGCCGAAAATATGGAAAATGCGAAAAATTTTCTAATTTTTCTCTTCAACTTTTTTGATAGTGGCTTATTTTGAGATTCGAATGAAATTGCAAAAAAATCGAAATTTGAAATCAAGAATAAATTATGGAACTGCAAAAAAATTCATAAAAATCTTTCAAAAAACTGTTTTTATGGGTAATGCAGGGAAAAAAAAAAGAAAAATTGAAAAAAATTATAATTTTTCTTCTTTTTTCCGCCATAAAAACAGTTTTTTGAAAACTTTTAAATGAAAATTTTTGCAATTGCACAATTTATTTTTGAAATTCGATTTTTGCAATTACATTCGAAATCTCGAAATAATCGAATATGAACAAAGTTAAAGAGAAATCAATCATTTTTTAAAAATTTTCTCTACACTGATCCTTTAATGTAAATAATTCCAAGACTTTCATATTTTTTCCTTACATTTTTAATATCCCGTTTATCGTGATTCTAATCGAATTTTCTTGATTTATCGATGTTCAACGTTTTTTTTTTGGTTAACATGGGTTAAAACAACCAGTCGAACCTGTGATACTGGTCACACCCATCAATACTGGTCAACCTGTATATCGTCCAAAATATGGAAAACATATTTTTTCAATTTCTTGATTTTTATCACATCATCTATTCACACGTTTAAAAATGGCTGGCAGTGACGAGAAGGTATTTTCGGATGTTGTAATCAAATCGCATGCGAGACTCATCTGAAATGGCCCGTGCGCCTTTAATTCCTATCTACTTTTTGAAAAAAAAAACCTGAAAATGTAAGCAAATAATTTATTCTACAAATTTTAAAAATAGACGAATGATCGAACCCATTTTCAAAGTGCAAGACGAAGCGAGATAAACGTATCCGTTAAATGTTTCATTATTTAAAAATGATTAAATCAGCCGGTTAGTAGCATCCAACTTTGTGCTCCTCTAAACGCTTTAAGCAGCCGAAATTTCGATTGCACTGTTTGCAATCAAAGATTTTAAATTCCTAAAAAGCAAACCCAATTCAATATTTCGATTGCTCAAAGAAAAAAATGGGAGACGTACCTTATTCAAGTGTGCGACGAACCCATGTTTCGTCGCCGACAATATTCCACAGATGAGGCATTGGAATTTCTCAGTTCTCGGATGGCATTTCCACCAATGCGCCACTAGATCGTTGATCGTCAAATATTTTTCGTCGCATAGATGACACTGAAATTCAATTCTTATGCTTTTGCCGACTGTTTCGCTTCTCACATCAATCGCCGGCGAGTCATTTTTGCACAGCTGCTCGTGTTCGAACAAAAATTTCGCGTTCGACACCTTCCTTCCGCATTTGAGACAGGTTTTTCGCGAACGTCGCGGAAATTTTCGCACTCCATCGCACTTCGCCTCGTGCTTATATTTTTTTCTTCTTGCCGAAAACGGCTGCGCGCATTTCGAGCACTGATGAACGCCATATTCCTTTGAAAAAGAAATGAAATTGATTTTTTTTTAAGTGACAAAATCTTACAATTATGAGGTGGTTAGCCAATTTGCTTCGCAAATCGAAAATCTGCCCGCAAATTTGGCATTTCAGCATTTCCTTTCTGCCATATTTCGCCAACCGATGCCGCAACAAATCATGCACCGTCAAAAATCGCTTCTGGCATTTCAAACACTAAAATATTCAAAATTCATCGGAGGCAACTCAAAATAAATATCTCAAAACGCAATTTAAACTTGATTCAATTAAATTCTAAAATTTCTGGAATTCTAATTTATTCATAAAATTTAAAAAATTATGTCGATTGAGTGACAACTAGTTTTTCTCAAATATTGAAAATAACTATAAATGCCCTTTGACCCGTAAATCTACATTTATAACTTGACCACAGTCATTGTTTTTGGCATTTAGCCAATTTTCCGCAATTTTGCGCAAAATGTTAGTCGCGCGACTGCGAAAAATTGGCAGAATGACAAAAATAATGACAGTGATCATGGCGCAAAATTATAAATGTAGATTTACGGCCCTATTTACTAAAAAAGGACCATCATGGCAAAATTAGAGTCAGCGCATCTTTTCTGGTGGGCGGAAATTCAAATTGGAATCCAAACAGTTGGAAATCGGGCACCGTACTTTGGATGACTTGCCAATTAAATTGCGGGTCGGTTAAAAAAATAGTCGACCCGCAACGACACTCCAAATTAACAGAGTAGATCAACTTTTAGCGTAAGAATTTTGTGCGAATTGAAATTTCTTAAAATTAAATTCTAAATGCGTTTTAAAATGTTCAATTCGATCTATCCCGTCGCAATTATGGTGATTGTTTTTTTTTCGCAATTATATTTTTTTCGATCTGCTAGAACTTTTGCGTACCCCAGTGTCACAAACCTTAATCAAATTATCATCTGGATAGTTTTTGCAGCATTCTTGATGCTCCTCAAATTTTTCCATGTTATACACAAAAACTCCACAATTCGAGCATTGATTAATTGACTAAATTGAAAAACAAATCAGCGTAATGATAAAATTGTGCGATTTTTAAAACAAACCTCATCAATCATCGGTTTGCATTCCGCCATGTGCTTCTGAAGCTCTTTCACAATTCGAAATTCCTTTCCGCAATTCTCGCAATTCTCGTAATTATGTTTTCGATATTCCTATAAATCAAAAAAATAAGAACGCCGATTAATTGAATTATCCAATTTGCTTACATGTTCCAAGTGATTTTTAATTTCATATCTCTTCCTAAATTTCTCCTGGCAAACCGGACAGGTCAGCATTGTTTTCTCATCATGCTCAACATTTCGATGATGCAGAATATCGCCAATCGTCATAAATAATTTATCGCACATTGTGCACTAAAAATAATGAAATTGTGAATAATTTTGAGGGAAAAACATCCATCATACCCGAATTTCTTTCGATTTGTCCAATTGCCCACATTGATGATCGTCGAGATTCTCCGACTGCAGCGTCAGTTTTCCGCAATTCTCGCAGCTCACAAACACTTTCGGCTCATCCAATCCATTGCATATCCATTGATGCGCTTTCATATGCTTCTTGGTTGACGCATGCGCTCCGCATTTTCGACATCCGTACAAATTATATTCCGACGGCAAATGTTGAAAGAGTTGCAGTTTCGACACAAACTTCTTGTCGCACACGCCGCACGTCAGCATCGCCGCCTCGCCGTGCACATCGTTGCGATGCGTCAACAAATCGCCGACACTGATCGCACTCGCGCGACATATCGAGCATTCGATGCGTTTTTGTGGAAACGGCACCTCGCCATTGCATTTCGCCTCGTGCTTCTTCAGAATAGGTGTCGAGTACGTGAAACTTCGACATGCCTTGCATTTCATCAATTCCCCACTGCTCGTGTTCGCGAGCTGCACTTCGGCAGTGCAGCTCGCCGAATGCTCCGCGCGACTCTTTTCCGATTGAAATCCGCTTTTGCATTTCGGACAAGGCCACACGCAGAATTCCTAAAATTGGATGATTGGCTCAGCCGTTTCGGAAACTCGGGTAGACAGACTTACGAGAGTTCGCCATTAGTGGGCTCACGCGCGCGTTTTATGCTTCTAAACGTTCGAAATATTAGAAAAGTGTATTTTTTTAGAGCTGGCCGAAACTTAAATTTGTTACAAAAGCGAAAGACAGGACAAGTTATTTTTGGCAGAGATCAAAAGCAATTTTGTCGCAATTCGGAAGCGTGTCATCGTCTGTCAAAATCACACACTTATTTTTTCTCCCTGAGATGAGCTGGCTACCGTAGCATACCAAAATCTAATAATAAAAAAGAAAACAAAGGAATTCAATTTTTTCTGCAACACACACACACACACACAAACAACCACGCGTTAATCCGTATTTAGTAAATCTACCCAAGCTGGGAAAATAGCAACACTTGAATAAAGAACCAACTTTTATATAATGCGATCGAAGGGCGTCTTTCGTGTCGAAAAGATCCTCACAAAATCGACATTGATATTCGGTTTGGTCCGCATGACACAGTTCGATGTGGCGCAACAAATCGCTGACTCTCAGAAATACGTCATCACAATCGAAACATTTGATTTGTTTCGAGTCGGGATTCGTCGGCCGTCGGCTTCCGTCGCATTTCGCCGAATGCACTTCGAGGTGTTGCGGGAAATACGACAAAATTCCGCATTTTGCACACGTGCCAACGTCGTCCGCTCGAGTGTTCGCCTTCGTTTTCGACTTTTTCGCCTTCGAACACTCGGAATTCTTTTGATGCTCATTCAGGAATCCTTCAGTCATCTCGACTTGTCCGCAAAATTTGCACTTGTATATCTCATAGTCCTTGAAGTTCATTTCTTGAGAAAAATAAAACAATCTCAAATTCTCACCAAATTCAAATGCCAATAGATTCCCGTCGACGTCGCGAATCGCTTATCGCATTTCGCGCATTCCAACAACTCCTTCTCGGTATGATTATACTTTTTATGGAGCACCAAATCCATGACCGTCATGAATTTCTCGTCGCACGTCGTACACTCGATATCGACGTCAGATGAATGCGTCCGTCGACGGCAACGCTCGAGATGATCGACGTAGAAATCGATATTGTAGGTGCCTTTGTTGCAAATCTCGCAGACGCCAACGAGCGCCTCCTCAAATTTCGTCATACATCCACTTTGATGCGATTCTAATCGACTAATTGTGCCGAAATGGAGTCCACAAGACGTACACGGCGGATAGATGCCATATTCCTAAAAAAAATCACAAATCGACGGGGAAAAAAGAACGATTGAATTACTGTATAGAGGTGCGATTGGATTCCACTCTTCGAGGTGAACGCGCGATCGCAAAAATGGCATCGCAGCATCGCTTCGAGACCATGCGCTTTGTTGCGATGAAACAATAGATCGCTGACGGTTAGAAATTGAAGCGCGCAATCGGAACACTGCAAAAAAAATCGAGAAATCGAATCAAATAATCGGAAAATGTCGCCAACTTTTGGCACAATCTCGTCAATATCTGGCAATTCGCCAACGCATTTCTCCAAGTGCTCCGTCAACACATCGACGTTGGCCGTCAACAATTTACACTTGTCGCATTCCATGAATTTCCTTTCCGCTGACGTCGTCGAAGGAGTCGTAGTAAAAGTCGTCGATGATAACGGCGTGGTAGTGGTCGATTCCGTCGTCGGACCATCACAATTCGCCTCGTGATCGCTCAAATCGGCGGCGCTTCGGAAACACGCCAAACATTTTTGGCATTCGTGCATTCGAAACTCCTAAATAACGATCGTGCGTGGGCGTTCAAGAAGCGCATTCTCTTCATTCTTACGACGACATAATGCGACGCGATTCCCGCCTTCGATCCATACTTCTTCGAGCAGATTCCGCACCGAAGCATCGCCGACTCGCCGTGAGTTTGAACGCGATGAATGAGCATATCATTGATTGATAGAAAACTCGAACCAGGGCACGAGGGACACTGAAACGATTTTCAAGGTTTTTCAAAAAAAAAAAAACTTCGACACATACATAAATTTCAATATCATCGTTTCTGATGCCAGCACATCGCGAGCTATGCTTATTAAGAGCTTCTGGATTGTGGGATTGCCTATTGCATTTTTCACATTCATTAACCTAAACGATTAAAAAAATGTTTAATCCAACAAAAACAAATACCGCCAACGCCGTGCAATTTCTCATGTGCTCCTTTAAACGCTCCTCATTAAAGCACCTCTTCTCGCATTTTTTGCAAGCATATGGTGAATATTCCTTAAAAAGGACGATTAAAAAAATGACTTTAGAAAAAAAAAACGATTAACCAATTGCAAGTGGACAAGTATTCCCTGTTTCGTCTCAAACGTCTTCTCACAGTATGGACATTGGAGCATCTCTTCAGTGCCGTGCTCATTGGAAATGTGCTCCAGAAGGCTTGACATGTCAACAAATCGTCGAAAGCATACATGACACTGAAAATTCAAATTCCAAATGGTTTTTTTTACCTCAAATGAGACGCGCCGGGTTTGGCGCCAATTCAAATTTTCGCCATAAACACAGGATTCTTCAATGAATCAATGACAGATCTCACCATTATCGGTCTAGAACAATCGAGACCATCGCATTGGCTGATATGTTTTCGCGTTTCGTCTCTCTTGAGTCCATACTTTCCGCACATTTTGCATTGCTCAAAATCGATGGTTTTCTGAATCTCGATGCAACTCATTTCGTGCTGTTTGAGGCGATGAGCCGACGACGCCGTATTACCGCAGCGAGAGCACACGAAAATACCATATTCCTTCAAAAATTAAAAAAATCCCCCCAAATTTTTGGGACTCAATGACATACGACGGTGAGATGCTTCAGCATTCCTTGACGCGTTTCGCACTTCTTGCCACAATTCGGACATTCAAAAACACTTTCAGGGCCGTGGACGATACTCCGATGAAACAACAAGTCCGTGACGGCGATGAATGCTTCACTGCAAATGAGACACTCGATTTCGCGTGTCGTCGCCGCGTCGCGTCCGCCGCACGTCGCCTCGTGCTGCGCGAATTGTTCCATCATGGACGATGTCACAAACATATATCGATTGCACTTCGAGCATCGTTTCGCTTCGCGGTAAACGTGAAGCGCTCTCGGCGACTCGTCGCACATTGCCGTCGTCGATGTGTTCCGACACGTCTGCTCGTGCACTTCCAATCTTGCGCTCGTCGACATCCCGCGACCGCATCGAAGGCACGGATAGAGTCGATACTCGGTGTTGAGGTGCTCCTCGATGCCTTGCCGTCGATCGAACACCTTCGCGCATATACCGCAAGTCAGCATCGCCGTTTCGCCGTGCTCGCGTTGCAAATGCGTAAGCAGTTCGCCGACGGTCGCGCATTTCTCGCCGACGCACAATTCGCATCGAATCTCGATCGGCGTCTCGCCGCGACACATCGGCTCATGCTTGAACAAAATATCGCGACAATAGGTGAAATGGCGACATTTCGAGCATTCAAATTTCGTTTGGCTCTTGTGCACACAATTTTTCTCATGTTTCATCAGCGCCCAATTGCCAAACGTCGGCTCGTTGCATCTCAGACATCGGTGAATTCCATATTCCTAGAAGAAAACCAGCAACTAGTCTAATACTTTCTGAATCGAACCTTGACAAAATGCCGATAAATCGAGCGTTTCGAGACGAATCGCTTCGCACATTTGCCGCATTCCAGCAATTTCTCATCGCCGTGAACCATCGAAATGTGCTCGATGATTTCCGACACCGACGAAACCACCGTGTCGCAATAATGGCATTTGACGATTATATTCTCGGGACCCGCGCATTGTTTGACGTGCTCTTCGACGATGCTCAGCTCGCTGCTTCGTCGATGGCACGTCGGACACGCGAACGGCGTCGACGAGTCGCGCACCGAAACGATTTTGCTGCCGCACGTTTTCTCGTGCAACAGCAACGACAACACCGACGACATTGGTTTGTTGCATTTGATACACGGAAATATCTCGTACTCCTGAAACAATCAATCGATGGGGAGAAAAACACAAGAAAATCCTCTACCAATGCCAAATGCTGCGCGAATCCCGATTTCGACGCAAACTCTTGATTGCATTTGAAGCACGTCAACGAGGCGGTGGGATGAGCCTCCGATCGATGAACGACCATCTCGTTGAGCGATGTGAACACATTATGGCAAATGTCGCATTTCGGATCGTCAATGTCGAAAATGCCGTCGCAAACGCTCTCGTGCTCGCGAATGCATTGCTCGATGCCGCTTTTTCGTCCGCACTTCGTGCACGATATCAGATCCTTGTGTAAAATCGTGTCTTTGCCGATTCCGTTGCATCGCGTCTCATGATCGAACAATCCCAGCAGGTTTGACAGCGCCGTGCCGCACTTGAGACATTCGTAAATGCGAAACTCCAAATTCAGATGGTCGCGCATCGAATAGCGCGTCGTTCGATGCTGACCACACACCGTGCATTCAAGAAGCGCATCGACGCCGTGACTATCTTTGCGATGATCGAGAAAATCTTTGACGTTGCCGAATTGAAGCGCGCACAGCGAGCATTTAATCGCGATCGCTCGTTTCCCTTGACAATTCGCCTCGTGCTCTTTGAGCAAACTCGGAATTTGTGTACACCGATCGCATTTCGAGCATCGTAGCGCGTTTTTCGTCTTTTCGTTCGCCTGAAAATCACAATTCGATTTCATTGTGATTCGTCAATCGAATTTTCTCTTACCATCGCCATTTTATATTTCTGGCTCACCGGCAACACTTGCTTACAATCAACCTTGTGCTTTTCAAGCATCTCAGACGTTTCAAACGTATCTTTGCAGATGACGCACTTGTGAAGTGCGTAGACGTTTCGCACAAGATGTCGTCGAATTGTTCGGAGATTTGCGAACGTCTTCGGGCAATGATGACATTTGAGCATATGCTCGCGTCCATGAGCATTTTTCCGGTGTCGCAGCAAATCGACAACACTATTGTACGTTTTTCCATCATTGCAAGTAACACACTAAAACAATATTCATAAAAGTTTATTATTATTATAATTTTGACGATGTATTAAAAAAAAATCTATTTAAAAAAATCACTTCGTTGAAAAAATGTTATGAGTGGCCGCAAAACACACGGCCACAAAAAACCTAGTCCATTGCGGTTTTAATTTCGCGTTTTTTACTTCAAAAATAAATTGAAATAAGGTAAAAACACAAAAAAAGCAAAAAAAGAAACCTCGACGCCTATAATGTCGCCATTTTTCTTTACCTCAAACTGGACAAACTTTAAACAAAAAAAACCGATTTTCTTTAGTTAAAACCATTGGCGAAATGCTCGTAAATCTACCCAACTATACGATTAAAAAAAACCAACCAAAATCGGAATTTTGCCAGTAGTTTTACAGCGATGCGAATGAAGCTCATCTTCCGTTTTATGGCGAACTTTGCACACTTTGCACTCGAATAGGCAATGTTGCTACAAAGAAAAATAAATCAATTCGATTCTCCTCTTTAGTTATAATTTACAATGTTGAGGTGTTGATAGACGGCCGCTCTTGTGAGGAATATTTGCCCGCAAATCGCGCACACCACCACCACGTCGTTTCCATGAACACGCTCACGATGATCGAGATGATTGTCGATGCCATCGGAAATTGGAACACAATTCGGACATTTGGCGTCCGAATCTCGTCGATTATTCAATTCGTCTAGATTGATTCCAAAATTTGGCGGCGAGCTCGACGGATTCGGTATGTCGAATTCCGCGATTTCCGGCTTTATTTCGATTTTCAACGCGTCGCTTTTTCTTCGATTTTGGCCGGACGCCTCAAAATTTGTTGGCGTTTCCGGAATTTGTCGGAATGTTGGCGGATGCGGTGAAACTGCTGGCATCGTTTGATTCTCCATCGAGTTTTGCGTGTGGCTCGACGTGATGGCGCAATTCGCCTCGTGAGAATTCCAAGCGTAGGCGTCGTCGCACAATTTTCCGCATTTCTGACATGGATAGCAGGCGAGCTCCTGAAAACACACGGCTCACAATAATTGATGATCGGAATTACTCACAATGGCAAGATGAATTTCGATATCCCGTTTCGTCGGCATCAATTTCTTACAAATCCAACAAGTGCGCATGACGTCGAATCCATGCGAATTGAGGCGATGATCGAGTATACGACTGATCTTCTCAAACGATTCGTTGCATAAAGAGCACTGCAAAAATCCATTAAATTGTCAAACGATGTTGCAAGCGCGCTCTAACGCACACTCTCGGAATTATTTTTCTCTAGCGTCTCTCAATTCCACACACTATATTACCTGAATATCGATTATTTTCTCCATGTCGTCGCTCACTTCCTTTTTGATCTTTTTTGGCGCCACCTTCATCGGCTCATCGATTTTCCTCTTCGCCGCTTTCGGTGGTTCCATAATACTCGGAGACACGACTTCTGGAGACACAATCGATGCGTCTTTATTTTTCATTGACTTTCGTTTTTCTATAACCGCCATTATTCGCCGATGCTGCTCCAAAAGTTGCTCATCGGTGAGCTCGTCGGGATCGTCAAGAATCGAAACGCCTGCTTTTGATGATGTTGATGACGCTGGTGAGTGCATTCGTACGATGTTATTCACATGCGATACGCGCTCATCCACTTTTGTCGATATCTCACTATTTCTTCTCTCCTTACTTTTTAATTTCTGCAAATCAAAAATAAATATTCAAATTGGCTCGGCTAAAAAACAAGCAACTTCTTCTAAATATTTAGCCGTAGATTAAAATGCAAGTCCGCAGAGTTAATGCAGCGTGATTGCACAGCCTTTGCATTTTAATCTACTCCTAAATAATTGTTTCTCTAGAAGTTAGCACGAAAAAATACATTTTCATTGATATTGTTGAATAATGGCGAATGTATCAAAGTGTCGTAGGATCCTGCGTTTTGGTACGCAATATAATCGAAATCATTTTCGTATTTCCACAATTTTCCCAATTTTTTTAAAAATAGTTTTCGCTTAATTTTCTTATTTTTTATTGCCGAAGAAAAAAAAAACTATAAAAATCGAGGTGATTTTGGAAATAAATGCGAAAATGAAAAATCGCAGCGTGGATTACGGTAAACGTCTCGGTGTATTGCGTATCAATGCGCAGAATTCTACGACACTTGGACACATTTACCAATTTCGAACCGTATGCACGGAATTCCATTCATATGGACAATTCCGGGATAATTATATAATATTCGCTGATTTTCAGCTGGAAATTCCCCCCACTCTGCACGATTTTCCCTAATAGAGTAGTTTGGGGAGAAAAAATTTGACTTATACCCAAGATTTTTGCTCTTTAAAAAAAACAGCAGCAAATTTCGTGCCATCCTAATAATTTCTACCTGAAGGCGTTGTAGTAAGTTTGCCAGGCTGCTTCTTTTCTCATCGTCGTTAATAGTTATCACGGGAACATTTCTCTAAAACGTTAGTTTGGTATTAAATTCAAATAGCTGGCTTACGATTTGCCGCGAGCTGCCTTGAATTGCCTCCTTTTCAAGTTCTGACGCCGGTGTGCTGAAAACAAAACGACTAATTTAAACGAGACGTTTAAAATCTCCAACCTTCTCGTATCCGATTTGCTCATTTTATTCCCGCTCGAGTCATCACACATGACACTGGCCTGAAAACACATCAGAAAATTGAAAAAAGACTTAAAATGCGTCAAGAAGACACTTTTTTGAAAAAACGAAATAACGCGGGCACCGAATGTGAGAATAGAGTTGGTGGATGCGAGAGACTGAAGACCGAAAGATGGCGCGGGCGGCAAAGCGCAAAACGAATGGGACTGCAACTAGACGCTACCACAGCCAACGCAATAGACAACTGCACAGCCAAGCGCGGCCCCAAGCAGACACAGCCAAGGGACGAGTGTGACGGCAATCGAAACGCGACAACAACAAAGGACAGTACCCAGGCGGAGACGCCCAGAGCCGTGGAAATGTGTTATAATTGTCTTCTGATAACAGAAAACGGTGGCCTGAAGAAAACTAAATAAAAACGACAGTGCAATTTAAGAAAAATTGATAAAAATTGTTGTTGGGAAAACATCATTTTTGAATTACAAATGGAGTACGCAAACACGCGACGCACAAATGAAGACAGCAACTCGATTTTTTCAAAATGTGGAAAATTTCAATATTTTTTATTTATTGGACAATTGTTCATATGGTTTTTTAAATTCACGCTTGTAAAACTTACTATATTGATTTTTTTCTTGATTTTCTGCATTAAAATTTTTTAAAAACCGATTAAATGTCTCTTTTCAGGCTTTGAATCCCGAAAAATGGAATATTTGATCTGCACAAGATTTCTCGCATTTTTGGCGCCAATGCTGTTTCAAGAACACCATTCTCATCATCGATGACCTTCATTCTCCATTCCAACAACATGAAGCTCGTTCTGATTCTCGTCGTCCTCCTGGGAGCTGGTATCATTTTTGTTGTGTTTCTCTAAAACGCCACACTCATTTTTTTCCAGCTCTCGCCGCGCCGGAAATCAATCGCGCAAAACGAGAAACTGCACCAGAAGACGATCTCATCGAGACTTCAGGAGAGTCGAGTGGCGACGGTTCTGGCGAAGGCTCCGGCGAAGGATCCGGCGAGCTCATCATTCCAGTTGACGAGCTCACCCTTCGGCAATTGGAAACGTTGAACAACTACGCCAAACAGCTAAATGCCGATTCCCAAAAGCTGATCCATCAGGCCAATTTGGTGATCACCGAGGTTTGCTCGCCATAAAACCGCAATTGTGAATTTCGCTTGACATTCAGATGGCGTCGCTTTCGGCCAACGCGCAAAGCGTGAACGCCCTTGCCGGCGTCGTCGAATCGAACTCGGCCATCGTTTTGGCGAACGCAAAGAACTCATTGAACGTCACCGAAATCACCGCCGCCTCGCCAACCGAGTGCGTCGCCTCGGCGGTCTGCTACAACGATGACGGATGCGGAGGCGGTTCGTGTGTCGGCGCATTCGCCGGCACCTGCAACTGCAACGGATGCATTCTCGGATGGCCGTAGGTTTTTCTTTTTTGAAATTCGCGGCCGTGGACTAATTTTCTCGAATTCTTCCACAATATTTCAATTTGATTTTCAGATGCCAGACGGACGTCGAATGCGGCGGCTTCGCCGGATCGTGCAACACCGTCTCGGCGACATGCGACTGCTTCGCCGGCTACGCTCACAACAACATGACGCTCAATGAAGCGCTCACCAACTTCTGTAATGTTGCCAAGTGCGACGGCACCGCGAACGCCGAACAATGCTTCGGACTCTCATGCAATTATGGATTCTGCGTCTGCTGATCTCTTAATATCATCACATTAAACTAATTTTTCCCACTCGCAATTAACTCGACCCTCATCATTATTCGTCCACCTGAATAAAGCCAATCGCATGCATTCAATCGAAACTGGTCATTTTGCGGGCATCATCAGCAGGCGCGCGCGCGAGCGACTGATAAACGATATTCGGGAATGGATGCTTGGTGGCGAGATAAAAACGAGAATCGCCTCGCGTTTTTCCCGCTCATCTCGTCATTCTTCATCGAATTTTCCGCCTGCCATGCTGCTGCTTGTCGTGTCGGCAGCGATTTGCTCGCAAGTCATCGCCGAGCCCACGCTGTTCATGTTTCCCACCAATCCGCAACTCCATCCGCCGAATCTCTATCCGAACATGCAAATCGCGCGTGGCAAGGTTCGCGATTTGCCCGACTCGGGTGTGATTTATCTCAATCGAATCAAACCGATCGCCGACGAGTTCGCCACCGTCGAGACATCCGAGGCGGACAACGAGCGGCGCTCGTCGTTAGAGAAATATGGATCAAGTGAGGAGCGAGCACCGCCTCGGAGATTCGAAGCCTCAATTCAGCAGAATGTTGAACCAGCAAGATTGGAAACTTCTACTACCACCACCACCACAGTTGCGCCAAGACCAAAACCAATTACGCCAAAAATTGCTTTAAAGGTAAGTGTAATAATTTATAATACAACACGATGTTAATATTCTAGAAAACCGATGAGTTGAAAAAATCGCATCAAAAAGAGATGAAGAATATCATAACCGTTACCGAGGAAGAGGAACTCGATCGTTTATTGGATGAGCTGATTGAAAAGGTACGACAGTATCAGAGAATCAATTTTGTTTAATCTAGCCAAATTTTGTTTTAAGAAAAAACCAGCGCCAATAACACCGAAAATCGGACGAAGCGGCACTCGTCCAAAACTGATTTCGTTTGACGGAACCGCGCGTGTTGATGGTCAGTTCCCAGCGCGACCTTCGCCGGTGACAGTACGTCTGAAACAGCAAAAAGTATTCACTTCAAAGAGGTACGCGTTTCAAAGTCATTCAATAAGTTCTATTCTCGGTTTCAGTTTGCCAAGGTCTCGCGACGAAGGACCCGACTTTGATCCATGGGAGAGATTGGGATCGTAATAATCGTGGCTAATAATTCTCTAATAATAATGCTAATAAAACAAACAATAAAAATTAATAAATGCTTACGGTTTGAAAAAATTGCAAAATTCCATCTCGTCGTAAATTTCTGAATCATATATGGGCTTCTTCATTTCAATCCAGGCGCTATGAAAATTGTCGAGGTCCTTTTGAACGATCGGTTCCCATGCTGGCGGCGGCATTATCCAATGGCCGCGCGCATCGCGCATATGACGGCGATCCGATGAGAAGCACGAGAGATAAGTGAGCGCAGGAAAAACGCGAAAATATCTAGAAATTGAATATATGAAGAAATTGTCATTTTTTAGATGAACTTTTGGATCCAAAAAAATATTTTTGTGTTAAATCGCAGAATAAATTTTTTTCATAGACCAATAAAAGAAACATATAGGACATTACGTTTTTAATATTTGCCTTATTTTTTCAAAGTTATGGTAACCATTTATTTTGACAATTTTTTTTGAAAATTTCTTTTAGTCGACGTCCGGCGTCCTGCGGTACGCGGGTAGATTTACGCGCACGCGCCTTGAAAAGGTCTCGCAACGCGTGAATGCTTATTTTGCTGTTTTCACGTGAACTGCTTCATTTTTTATGAGTTTCGCATTTCCTTGAATTTCCAACGTCATTCGATTAAAAATTATCGAATTGGTCCATAAAATTTGAAATAACCTGTTAGTCCCTGTGAGACCATTTTGAAAGACGCATTCCCGTAAATCTACCCGCGTACAGCAGTCGCCGGACGCCGACTATATTTAACTCTAAATTATAACATAAGTACATAAAATTTTTGAAAAAATCGAAAAATAAAAAAAGATAATACCGTAACTTCGAAAAAAAAAAAGAAAAACACACGGTTACAAATTATTTCATAGGTCACGCGGTTTTAAATCGTAATTGAATTACTGTAGTTTTATTTTTTATATCTTTTTACGTTTCTGAATTTGCGCCGTTTTTTTTAAACGATTTTTAGTGGTTATGAATAAGTTAATTAAAAACCCACCTGGTAAAAACATTCTGCACGGCATACTTCATAGTCTGCTCATAATACGTATTAAAATCAACCGGAAAGTCAAGTTTCGAATCAAAATCGAACACCAACGATGGTGCGCCGTCAGTCCCTTTTCGAATTAGAATAACATGATAGTCCCACATGACAGGAAGGCTTTAAAAAATTGGATTTAGTTTAAACAAAAAATTTAAATCAGTAGTTACTCAGGATCGTCTTCATTAATATTCTGACCCCAAAGCGGAATTTGACGGTTTTTGTTCGAAATAATCACTACGTAAAACCCGCGAATATCTTCAACTTTTTCCAAATATTTGTAAACATTCTCTTCACAATAATGACTCGTATAATCCGATTCTTCTCGCGACTTAAATGACATTCTGAAAAAGTGTAGAGTCGATTTTATAGCAATCTAAAGCTATAAATAAGTAAAGTATAAAATAGGAAAAACATGCCGAAAATAAAATGCAACCGTTAAATAGACTAAACAAATTTTATTAATTTATAAGAAACAAAAAAGGTTTATATTGTGGAAAAATGACAAATGTGAAGAACTGCAGCGATATCCTACACATTGTGTGCGTACACCGAGTCGCACATCTCAATCTTAGCTACAGTAGTCTCAACTGAAAATTATTTAATTAATTATTGATCGTTTCTTTTTATATAAAACAATTAACTTTGAATAATTTATAAAAATAATTACTATTACGCTTTTTCAACACAACACCACACATAAAACCATAAATTCGCCAAGAAAACACAGAAAAAATTAAAAAAAAAAAACAATTGATTAAATAATAGTCAGTTGAGATTACTGTAGCTAAGATTGAGATGTGCGACTCGGTGTACGCACACAATGCATAGGATATCGCTGCTCTCACCGTCCGTAGAGTTTGGCGGCAATTCAAAAGCGTTTCGCTTATCTTTTTGAAAATTGTTGATTTTTGATAGAGGATTTCGCTGCAGTTTTTCACATTCGTCATTTTTCCACAATATTTTAAATGATTTAAAGCTCCTTTCTGGCAATATTTAAAAAATGCTGATGATTTCAATGAAATATATTGGAGAAACATGATAAAAACTAGTCTTTAAATCAATAGTCCGCCTTTTCGGCATATAGTATACATAATTTTAAGAAAATGAAGAATGTCCAAATATACGACTTTTTCAATACGATAGCGCGCCATGAGGAAATCTGCAATTTTTTTTCAATTTCAACAAGTCCATTTTCTTTCAAATCTCACTTTCGATCAATTCTCTTTTATTCCTTTTATTCGTCGTCCCATTATAAATGTTGGTGACATAAATGTCGCACGCCATGTTAGAAAATCTACCAGGAAAATCGGATGGAAGATTCTATAATAAAACATTTGAAAAATGTCGAATAATTTCAAAAAACACATACGCTCTCTTTGATTTTCTTCACGTCTTCATATCGCAAATTCGGAAAAATCTGAAAAAAAAGATACTTTGATTTGTGATGTAGAAAAATGAGTGTCGAGGTCTTGGCGCGACGTAGCCCGTAAATCTACAAGCTTAGAACTCTTTCTAAATTGCATTGGCATTTTGTCTATTAAACAGCCTGTTCTAGATTTTATAAGCATATAATCTATGAATTTGGTAGAAAGTGTTTATGTGAAAAAACTCACAGTATCATCGTCTTTGACCTCCCGCGAGTTTTCATTCGAACGATTATTTTGTTGTCTATGTTTTTTCTGAGCCAAATGTTGTCTACCATTGCCATCATCGCTTTCTGAATCGCTCGACGAATATATACAACCCGCTTTTCCTTCCTTAAAATTGTTTGATTCGACTTTTCATTAAAATTTCGTTATTCTAAAAATAATAGGCAAAAAATAGTATTATTTCTTCCAAATATTTTATTAGACGCCTTAAAATAAAATCGATATATATTCAGAAATTTGTCATTTTTCAAAATTAAAAGAAATCTTCGAATTCAGAAAAATTAATCTCTTTACTCGTTAGAGTTCAAGTACTTTTTCGTACATCCATTCATACAACCACTCACCTTTAGGTTCAATACCTTCTCGCTGCCAGCTGCATTCGTCCGCGGAGTATTCTGATTGTCATTTGACGCAATTGCTGAAGCAGACGGTGCTGATACCTTAAGAACATTTTTTTTTAATTTTTAAAGGCAGTTTTTGTTACCGAACGCGTTTCAATACCGTTGAAACCCTCTCGTTCATCGATTTTTCTCCGTTTTGTCGACTGCTTCTCCACAGTCGAATCGGGCTTCTAAAAATTGGCAATTATTTTATTATAAATTCAAAAATCTCCTCACCCGCTTTACTCTTTTCTTCGTAGTCGCCGGCGTTTCATCGCCTGTCTCATCAATTTCAAGTGGGTGGGTTGAATTTGATGACAACTGGAATTTTGTTAAATGTGTGCAAAATTGCGTCGGTGTGTAAACAGACAAAAACCGAACCCCGCGATTTCATTTTTTTCTTGATAGTACTTCAACTTTTTTGAAATACTTAAAAAAAAAAACAAAGTATTTTAGTACCGAAAGAGTCTCATCATCTATCTCAGCCGTCATACTCATTTCATCGTTTTCGTTCACACCAATTGAAGGTCTCATTTCGTCCCTCTGTTCCAATGTCTGCAAATATTTTAAATTTCGCATTATAATAATTACTTTTATTACAGATTCCGTCTGAACTTGAACGTCTTTCGTCGAGTTCAAAACAATCTGCTCCATGTCAGATCGTGTCTAAAAAAGAAAGTTATCTGTTTGAACAGAATCCTACATTATTATCAATTTGCTGAACACAATTCAATTTTGAAATTCTATTTCTCGTTAGCTTTTTTTTACCGATGTTGAAGGATTATTCATAACCACACTCGTTTCATCAGCTCTTTCCGGATTCTCAGCTTCAAATGATGAGCAATTTGCTAGGCATTCCAACTCATGACGTTTGAATTCCTTTAATGACTCGCTTAATTTTCCGCATACTTGGCACGGATAGCACTCGAGCTCCTCAAAATCGAATCGATATTTTTAATGAGTGTATTTTTTTTACAATGTTCATGTGATTTATAATATCCCAACCATTCTCAAAGTGTTTTTTGCAAACCCAACAAGTCCGCGCAATTGTTGGCGAATGGCTATGACGATGATCCAAAATTTTACTGAGGCTATGCGCTAGAGCATTGCACACCGAGCACTGAAATCTTGCTCATTTTTCTTTCCTCTTAGCACTTATGGTTTTATGCAGAATTCTGCAAAAAAAGACTCCAAAAATCTCGGCCGCGGCCAGGTTTTTCGAAGCGTACAATAACCACGGCGTTCACACTAGTGGGATTTACCTGAAATGAAAACTCAAACTGTGTCAGTGGTCGATTGTTGGCGTCTTTGACGCGCAGACGAATTTTTTAAAAATCGCCAGGTTTTGACTCTTTTTTCAAGTTTTTTGAATTTTTCTCAAATTTTAACAAAAAAGTGCAGCGACCACGTTTTTCGCAAGGCTTTTTTCTATCGAAAAAGCTTTACTATAATTCAATCGGATAAGTATTCAGAGGTCCGTAGTTTTTTAAAGATTGAACTGTAAAAATATTCACATTTCTTTTCTCTGTTTTTCACTCTCTCTTTTGTTAATATCATTTATTGTTATATTATATGGTTTGATTTATACGATTATGTTTGTTAATACTTGGAAAAACATTTCATAGTTGTTTATTTTTTATTTTTTTTTTGCAAATTTTAAATGTAAATAGTGTGTCATTTCGGCGGAGAAGTTGCAAGAGATTCTCTATAATTTTTTGTTGTTTTTTTTTTTAATTTCGTTAGTTCTTACGTTAATTTACCGTTTTCAGCTTCTTTTTTCGTTATTTATCTCTCTCGCGTCATTATCTACTCGCATTGAATTCAGATAAGCACTCCATCTCGAAAATCAAAAGCTCGCGGAATGATGAAACGATATCACGGACAATTCGCTTTTCGAGATTTTTTTTAACTTCCGAATTACTCCAAAAGACCAATGGAAAGACGTCCTCAACTCAAAAATGTATTTTTTTTAGTCATTTGTGTTGTATAACATCAAATTGTTCTTTTCAAGCTGCCTAATGAAATCGGTAAAGAGAATCTTGTTAAATGTATTTGTTGATTATTCATTTGTTTCCAAATTGATAAGTGTATTTTTTCCCTATTAGTTTTGCAATTTTCCAAATGTCCTTATATCCTCTTTTTCCGAATTCAATCTCTCTCGCGTCTTTATCTACTCGCATTGAATTCATCTGCTACATATCATCAATTTTTATATCATAATTCGACTGTGTAGTATTTCTTTCGTTTAATTGATGGTTTTATTTAAAAATGTTATGTATATGTTCAAAAAAAAAGATCCGATATAAATTTAAATAACTTTTTTAATTTATAACTAAATAGACCATAAATTGCGGTGAATCTGATCCACCCGAAGAAATATAAAAACTAATCGTTCTTATTGAAAAAACGCTCCATTTTGAGAATGTTTCTAATTTATTTCACAAATTTAATTTGTTGAATTTATGCACCGGAATAGCGCTAAGCTGCATGTGCGCTCCATTGAGAAAAATCTTTTTTTCATGTAAATCCCACTAGTGTGAACGCCGTGTAACGCAGTTTTTATCGCTGCAAGAATAATGAAAATTTTTTTAAAAATCCGCTTTCAAAAAAAAATAACAGTGATTAAAAAATTGTTATGATTAAAGATTAATTTACAATACAAGTTCACGATTCTTGCAGCGATTTAACAAAAGCTGGTAGGCTAAAAAATCTGGCCGTGGCCGAGATTTTTTGGAGCAATTTTTAGATTTTTTTGCGAAACTGCATAGAACCATTATACGTTTACCTTAATTGTTATTCTTCTTTCATCGGAGTATCGCTGATTGCCCTCCATTAAGGGCATCCTTCGATAAACAAGCATTGAATCTCTATCGGCATTATCAATTGCCTCGATTTTTACTTTTCTCGCAATCGTTTCATGATTGCTAACACAACGACGTGATTCGTTTTCATTCTTAACAAAAAATGTTTAATTCAACAATGCTTTGAAACAATAAAAACTACGTCTTTTGTTGCGGCACTCGTTTCATTCAAATTTGTTCTCCTAAAAATGCAATACAGATAAACATACAATTTTAACGCGTACTTGATTGCATCTCCGTTTGCCGGAAGGCCTGGAGGATATTTTTCTCCCAAACTCATCAAAATGCTTAAAAGAAATGACAAAAATGAAAGCGCTCAAAGGGCTCGCTAAATAGCATGCAGTGGCAATAGCGGAACGTCGTTGGTTTGAAAAGGAAAGATACTTCTAACAATTTATAATCAATGTAATATGCTGTGTGTCTAAAATGCTAATAGAACCAAAATTAGACATCGAGTTGAATTTTGGCGGCGGATTCATCAAGATATTTCGAAATTGCCGGCTTCAATTCGGAATTGATGAAAGTTTCGGTTTGAGAAACGCATCTGAAAGCAATCATCAGGAATAATCAAACGACAACACTACCTTCCGGTGAAATGAATCGGATTTTCGACAAGAGCGACAACACGATCGCGAACCTTAAATATTTAAGCGATTTTGATATTTTAGACAACTCCTACCACATCGAAAAACGGATCCGCCATCGTCATTCGAATGTCAACTTTTTCGGTAGCTTGTTTCTCTTTCGCTGCGAGAGCGGTTTCGCGAATAACAGCGTGCGCCTTCTGCCGATCGACACCTTCTTCGGTCAGCATCATCATCGCCTTTTCGAGACCCAAAAACGCGATCTCGCTCTCGACAATTTTCGCGACGTTCTCTTTTTGAACGCCAAGCCCTTCAAAGACGTTCTAGAAATTCGACGATTCATACAATTTCGTGATATTGATTAAAAAAATTACTTGAAGAGTGGTTAGAAGAGCTTCAGCCGTCAAAAGCGCATCGGGAATGAGCATTCGCCGTCCAGCCGAATCGTCCAATGTCCGCTCAAGACCCTGATCGGCTAAAATGGTTAGCGCCTCTTGCGGAGCATTGATCAGCTTTCTTGCCAATGAGCAACAACGTTCGCACTTCATCGGATTCTTTTTGTATGGCATTGCAGACGACCCGATTTGGTCCTGTACGAATTGTTCAAAGTTTGTTCTTCTTCTTTTTGAATTTTTGCCAAACCTTCTCAAACGGCTCGAGAAGCTCACCGAAAGCTTGTAGAACACGAATGTCGGTGCAAACTTTTTTCGCAGCGGCTCCGAGTAGAGAAAGACAGAAAATCAATTGAGCGTCCTAAACGATTTTTGTCCAGAAGAGGAAGGAGAATATTTGTTTCTACCTGTTGCCGAGAATAAGTTTGTCCGGTGATCAAGAATCTTTGAGCAAAATTGGCCTTCTTGGTGACGAGCTCGTCGAGCTTCTCAACTTTGCCCTCGTCATTGGCGAACAATGTTAGAAACGAGTCCTGGGTTCCCGTCGCGCCTTTGATCCCTCGGAATCGCATCTTGTCGCGAAACTCGGCCAATTGTTGGAACGCCATTAGCAATTCCTGCGCCCAAAGCGCGCCGCGCTTTCCCACAGTGACCAATGAAGCGGTTTGATAATGCGTACGGCCAACTGTCACAACCTAACAACAAGGAATCAAATCAATTGTGGATTTGACTCAATTCAAATATATATTTTTTTTTGGTCTTCAACGGAAATCGAAAACGTACACGGGTAGTGCGCCTTTCGAAATGGTCTCGCCACGCGTGAACTGCTTATTCTGTCTCGATGATTTTGGTATTTTCTTGAGCTTCCAACGTCAATTCAACTTTTAAAAATTATCGAGCCGACTCATAAAATGCAAAAAACCAGTTTATGCGCGCGAGACCACGAGAAAGACGCATCCCGGTAATTTTTCTTGATTTGAAGGAGTACAAAAAAAAAACAAGGAACCTCTTTGTTTGTCATCGCGAACGTCGCAAGACGATCCAAAACCGTGGCGAAACGCTTCAACAAATGATCAATCGAATCGCGATAGGCGATTAGATCGGCATTGTCTTGCACAAAGCATGAAGTGGCGCCGAGATGAATTATTCCAGCCGCTTTGGGGCATAGCTTCCCAAACGCATGATTATGAGCCATGACGTCATGCTTCAGTTTGCGCTCTTCGGCACGAATGAACTCCCAATCAAACTGATCGCGATTCGTTATCATTTCATTGATCGCCTCCTCGGTGACCTGCTTGAGGCCCAATTCCATTTCAGCTTCGGCCAACCATATCCACAATTGTCGCCATAGGCTTGCCTAGCAATATTCATACGATTAGCTCGGAATTCATTCTAGCCAACCTTGTTTTTCTCCGACAATATTTGAACAAGTGGGCTGTTCTTGCAATAGCGCGTTGCCAGAACCGATTCGAATTTGTCTTCGGCACCCATGTCTGCGAAAATTAACATTTTGAGAAATGAAAACTATTTAATACGAAAAAAATAATTATTGGCTCAAATGAAATGAGGGGAATGTAGGCAAATAGAAAAAAAACCGATAAGGTTAAACCAAAAAAGATAACAATTATGGACATTAACCTTCAGAAATTAACTATTAATAAATAAACATTTTAATATTTATTGAATGTGATAAAATTTAAAATTATTCCACAATCATCAATTCAAGATAAGAAAAAAAATACAATGTGATTATATATAATAATAATAAATAAATAAAAAATGATAAAAAATTGCATTCAAGTTTCCTCTGGGCGTTGAAGAACATATCCATGAATTTCGCACCATCCAACAGGAAAAATGTCATGAGAACTACAAAAGAGCCGATTTAAAAGCCACTCAAAAAAAATCTCTTACTCGATATCATAAAGTTCGTCAAAGTTCGGCCCCCAGCCGTCAAAATGGACATTGATAATTCGTCCTTTCATTTCTTTTATCGACGCGGGACACACGAGCTGATTCTCGCACATATCGGCGGCTTCAAGTTTCGAGCCCGGCTTGAACATTGCCAACCTCTCCGGCGTCGGCTCTTTTTTGAACAAATCGATCGGCATCGCCTCAGCTTTGTGCTTTTTCAAATAATCGCCCCAATTGAAGCGATTTTCCCATCCTTTCGGCTCCTCGACTTTTATGCCATACTTTTCTCCATAGCCAACCGGAAACAAATACGGATCGGTGACGTGAACCGGCACAAGATCTTCGTCCTCTGGATCATCAATCGAGACAACAATATAGCCTGGCTAGAATTTCAACAAAAAAACACAGTGCAATTTTGAAATTCGTGAAAATTACAGTTTTAAGGATTTTCGAGACACTGGCCACACGAAAACTGTTGAAGCTAACCGCTAGTGGATCAAGAAGCTCCAATTTCTGCCCAACTTTCACTTTTGCCAAATTCTGCAACAAATTGCGAATCAAAATGAAACTGTCGATTTATCGCACCGCTTGGTCGATGGGAGGTTTGAAAAACTGCTCGGGCTTCGCGTCTTTCTCGTGATATGGTGGAGTTTTTCCCTAGAATTGACGATTTTCATCGTTTCATGGAGAACCGTATAGCGAATATACTTCTCGAAGCGCTTTGGCAATATTTTCCGTGTGTTTTTTGTATTCGCGTTTCGCATTCAATTCATAACCGTTGAATGTCGCAAACCCGACGGGAAATATGAAGAAGCTGTCCTGATCGATCCAATATTCGGCGTCTTCATTGTCTAATTGTCGATCTTCGGGCTGCTCCTTCCATTCGCCATCATAGTCATCGCGAGTAACAAGCACATTTAAACGTCGTCCGCAAATGCTTTTGATTCGCGCCGGTCGCAATTTATCCGACTGGCTGTAATCCACCAGTTCTAGCCGTTGGCCAACCTTCAAACTAATCAATTTTTGTCGAAAAAAAAAACGTTCTCACCTTAAATGGACTTTTAAATAAATCATTTTTGCATTTCTCGTATGCTTTTGAGAGCGCGATACCGGCGGTCAGCTCACTGTCGACCGTTGTCTGCAAAATTGGCACAAAATTTTGAACAATTTTAGTAAAATTGATTACTTTGATAAAATTTTCGAGATCTTTTTCGTGGCGTTCAGCAAGAAAAAATGGCAACCCATAGGTAACTTTGTCTTGATCTGGGTCGTCGCTTTCGACGCTTCCACAATGATGAACAGCATTCGAAAGAACGTTTACCCAAAAATCAGATTTGTCATTTTCTGATGCTCCAATATACCTCGCAAGTGCTCTATAACCACACACCTACAATTGTAAATTCATCTATTTAACGAAAAAACCTATAAAACCCACTTTTATAATTTTTGCGAACCATCGCACATCAATTCCATCGGTAATCTTTTTATATTCGGGAATCGATATTTCGAAAATCACTCCTTCTTGAACAACGTCAGAGAAATTCTTCAGAAGATTCGTGGAGAATGCGGAGACCGGCAAGAAGTCGTACACGCTAAACTTTGAACTTTCAGCATCTGTCAAAATAAAAAAATCATAAATTCAATAATTGAACAGTACTTGACAAACCTTTTAACTCAAATTCCCATATATACGTGTTCGCATAATTTTCAGCCACATTTGCGGTCGGCGTGTGGATTATTTTCAAAAATTTTGACATTTTTTGCGGCAAATCTTCCTAAAATTTAAAATTGATCCGTGGAAGAGTAGTTTGAAGTATAAATTCTAGGCCACGGCCAGTTTGAAGTATTTTTAGGGAAGCATTAAAAGTGCACAAAACGAAAAATGTGCAGTTTCATCAAACTGTGACTCATTATTTTTCTAATAATATTAAACACCTTATTTCTTATTGAAGAAGAAGAAGAAGTCCTTAAGAAGATGGTGTTCCACCCATCGACGCTCACAAATCCTCATTGATTCCTGGAACAGCTAAAGATGTTGCCGAGATTCTTCAAAATCTTCGCACACATCAAAATATCTCGCCATTCCAGAACGGGATCGGATTCTAATGATTCAAATGTCTTGGAAATCATGATTCTCAAATATGCGGGCCATCGAGATTTGGGCTGATGCCAAGAAACTTGTTTAATCTGCGAAACCTTTAATTTATTATTATTAAATAAATGGTTAAATGCATAAAAGTAGAGTTTCTTTAAAAAAAAAAAACGAAAAACTGTTATATTATAAAACAATCAAATTCTCAATATTCAATCTGATTATTTAATTTCTTGCAAATAAAAAAAATCGCAGAAGCTGAATCCATCATAAAATCAGGAATACATGGAATTTTGAATTGATTTAGTCGTTCAAGAGATGTTGACGAACACCACCAGTTAATTGAATATGTTCTCGAGACAGTTTGCTTGTCATGTTTTTCGCCTCGTCGCGTTTCGAGTGCCTCCTCCACGGGAGGGGGAGACGAGATCGTAGCCGACGCCAAAAAAAGAGCGCGCCAATTTGAGAAGCACTCGACGTTGTGATAAGAGAGAAGAGCAAGCTTCGCTGCTCGCCACTATCGTTTCATGTAAATGCCTTGTATAATTATGTTTCAGATGACATGACACCAACGAGTCTTCTACCAATTTTCGGATTATTTCTACGAATATTTGCCTCGAATTTCTACGATTCCGATATATTTAGCGATTGTTTTGGCGGGAATGAAGGTGATTTTTTGGCTCAAAAAATGTTTCCACAATCCACCTCCAAATTTAGGATGGATTCCGCTCGCCGGCGCGTGCATTTTCCCGCTAACCCATTTCGAGCGCAATCAATCAACCGCCCTACAAATGTGTGGCGCGTAGGTTCCCACTATAATCCCAACGCGTTCATCATTTCTTTTTTTTTCATTCGATGTCATTTCAGCGTGAATTATAGCACAGGCTATCGTGAAATCAATTGGCTTGCCGCTCGACGCCTTCATGATTCGCTTGGTGTGGATCTGAGGAAAATTTATTGGACGGGCCTTCGAATTGTCGACGTCGAGAATCTCGGAATTGAGACGACCGGTGCTAGTGCCGGCGTCGATACCGCCCTACCACCATATACGTCAATTTATAATCCATTATGGGCTCAAGGGCAGCCGCCAAAGGTACACTGAGACATGTGGATCGCTATGATTCCATTTTTTGATAGGACCAATCAATGGATGAGCTCAAATCCGAATGCATTGCAATTGATATGAGGAGCCGGCAAGACTTCGGCTGGCGAGTTGTTCCATGCTCGACGAATCTGCCAATCATCTGCCAAAATTTCGCGTGCGTCAAACATCAATTCCGATGCGCTGACAACAGCAAATGCATTCCGAGCGCGTTCGTCAACGACGGCGTCGATGATTGTCTCGACGGCTCCGACGAGCAATCGGTCAAAATTCGTCCGCGCGACGAGCTTGACGCGCCGATTACGTTCACGATGCCCGTGACGATCGCATCCGACGGCAAATTGGTGCCCGAGACGATTCGCTACGGTCGTGGAAGTTGCACACATAAGTGGACGGTGATATCACCGAACCAACGCGATTTCATGATAGCTGTGCGATGGATCAATCCGGCGTCGCCGGCGAAAATCAACGTCGAAGGGAAGACGGGTGATGTGGTTCATTTGGATTCACGAAACTCATCGGCATTTCGATTTCCGTCATCGGCATTCATTGTGACTGCGTTTGGAACCGACACGAGAACCGCCGAATTTGAGATTTTCTATCGGGAAGTTGGAGATGAGATTTGCCGAATCAACGATGACAATTCCATTGAATTCGATTCAACTATTCATTCGACGCCGTGCTCTTTTCAATATTCCTCGTCTAAACCTTTAGCTCTTCTGGTAATATTCTTCATTCTATTTAAAATAGAACATTTTCTCAAGGTCCGATCTTCCGAAGGTCTAGGTCGTCTCAACAGTCTTCTTCTTCTCCACTCATCCAACACCACCATTCCAATCTACAATTCTCCAAATCAGAAGCTTTTCATTCTCCCATCGACGTCATTCCATTTATTAATCAATTCAACGTGGCCTATGCCAAATCAAAAATTAAAAGCGCATATCTACACGCTTCCCGACGACATTTTCATCGCCGCTCGACAATTCTCGCTCGATTTTCTGCCATCGGCGATTCGTCGCGAGATTTCGATTAATATTTTAATCACCGATGCGCAAGAAGGCGATGTCATCGATGCAACATGGGATATTGAACGAGTGGCGATCACCCAGGAGGATTATGCCGAGGTTGTTGCTCGGTCCTTTTAAATTTATTCAAACTTTGCAGTTAGTATCAATGAATTCGACGCATTTGATAACGCGAGCGCCAACGAATTTCAAGGCCATCGGGCCGACGAGCCTTCGAATCAGCCAAATTAGTCCGCACTTCTCATTGAAGGCGAGTTACGAGCATGATATTGCCGTCGGGACGCCGAATTTCCGCCCATTGAATGATCCGACAACAAATCAAGAAGTGCTGTGCATTCTGCCGGATGTTGTTCATGGATATTCGCAAAATGTTGAATTTCCGCAGCAGAAATGGGCAGATGGAACGATATTGGATTTGAAAAGCCAAGGTAATCATTTTTTGTGTCCGTCAAAAAAACTACCGTAATCGGTTGTGGCGATACTTCCTTACGAAAAACTGCACGCGCCTTCAATTACCGTATTCAATCAATCATTTTCACGAATTTTTAATTTTTCTTCTGTTTTTTTAATCCTGGTGAACGCATTTTTTTAACGTACAATTATCATTACTGTTCAATTTCTGTTATCAGAGGGGTTTCAATGCGCTTGTGAATACCTGACATGTACGAATGGCACATGGAAATTGGTCGATGGAACGTTGATTCAAAACAACACGGTGTTCTGCAATCCCATCGAATGCAGTCGGCAAACACCATTGGAAATCAATTTCAATTTGCAACCAATTTCCGGTGCGAATTTGACAATTTATGGCGCCAAAAGGTGATAATTAAAATACAGTGTCAATTAAAAAACAATTTTTAAAGAGTGTACGAGCAATGGCCATATTTGCAAATCAATCCATTTTGCGTGTGCGATGGAACTGATAAGGCGAATGGTGGCTGGAAGTGTTATAGCACAAAAATGGGCTTCGCTCAGGGATGCGTGAGGCCGACAATTAATGATGGCGAATTTTATAACTCGCTTGGCGATGCGAAAAGCTTCTTCGGAGTTGGGGACTATGGCGAATTGATTTGCTATGAATGCCCAAATGCAATCCAGAAATATGAATGTACTGATAATGGGATATGGAGAGATGAAGCTAATAACAATAAAACTGCTGCTACAATTGTCTGCGATTGTCAATCATTCCCTAGTAAGTTGAAATTTCTCTAGAACATTGAAAAATTCCAAAAAATCCTTTTAATAGACTTTGATGATCCTTGTCAGCCATTGGGAAAGTACATATCTCTCGGTGGGACGTACTCATGCGATTGCTTAACTGGTTTCAAATTTCGTGACGGCTCCTGCGTCGGTATTATTGTGCCATTCATTTTCCGTGTCAATCGCTTTATTCAGATATTGATGAATGTGCTGAAGGGATTGATCTATGCGATAGTTTCGCGGCTTGTTTTAACATTGCTGGAAGCTATATATGCGATTGTGAGGACGGAATGATGTTATACGACGGAACCGGTGTGTTCAAACAGATTGACAGTCAATTAATCCCAGAGAGAAGCTGTGTCGGTGAGCTCGTAAATCTCGGTTTCAAAAAAAAACTCGCAACTTCTGCCGAAAAAAACTTGATTTTTGCATGCTTTCAGATATTTAAAGATAAAAAATATGTCTTCTATTTCAACAAATTTGAGTTACCATAGTTTGTAAAAGCATACTTATTCTTATATGTAGGCTCGCAAATTTTGCGAGTGCCGTGCGACGCCGAAAATAGAAAGAATACGCTTTTTTCCATTTTCGCATTGTCTATATTCAAATATATCCAATAAATTGAAATTTCAAACAATTCCTATAATGTATGCTTATTATTTTTATTATAGGTGTTTTATACACCAACAAACTCCTTAGAAATAATGTTCGATAAATTTTGGCACAAAATTTCAAGTGTAGAGTTTTGCAAAGAAAATAACGATAATGTACCGCATTTATGGAAAGCGCTTCTATTAAAAAAATTATTTAAAAACGATTAAAATGTTTATTGATAATTTTATTTTGAAAATGTGAAATTATTGTATGAATGGAGAAGCGGGATACCGATACTGCTGTCTTAGCCATATATTTCGTTTCTAGCCATATATTTCGTTTTTTGAAACCTGTAGTTCACTCAACAATTATTGAAATAACAAAAGGTGTTGGGTGCATTGATGATGTATGGATGTATGTGTTACTAGCTGATCTGCTATTACGTTTAAAATACTAGTTGAACAATTAAGAATTTTAATTAAACTAGCAATACAAAAACCCTATGTCCCTAAAGAGGGCAGTTGGAATTCGCAGAATTGAGTTGAGGAAGAATATCCTCGACCTGCGTGAGACAGTGTGTCGATTAGCCTGACTCGATCCCCATGAAGGAGGTCCGAGTCAGTTGATCTCCTTCGCCACGTAGAGGCTCGACACTTGAAGGAGAGGCTCACCAGCAACAGGCCGAAACCTGATGTGGGTCATCGCCGATCCCACCATGGGGATCACCCAAGGACATCCCACAACTATCATCCGAAGATTATAGAAGTAGAAGTGGTTGGGCAAGCCACGTCTGGCTGGGCCCCGGGTCTACTGGTGATTCTGTAATGTGGTTTTTGTGTTCATAGCATAGCAGCTTACTACTAAGTAGTAGCAAGCCACTACATAGTAGCAAGCTACCATGCTAAGAAGCACGGTCCATGTGCACCCGAAAGGCTGGACATATTGACATAGCTGGCCAATCCACGTCAATATAGGTCTGGGCCAGATGACATCCTGACTAGTATGGAGGACACCCGGTGAAGCAAATTTCTAAAGCATAACCATCCATAACGCCCACCAAGCACTCGAGAGTACTTGAAACGGGGGCGTTTGGGTAGGGTTCGATTCCCGGCTACGGAATCAGGGCTGAAGGGCTTGCCAGGCCAATCACCCGATTTTAGGATACAGCGGATAAGCCGCCATCCAGCCAACGCCTCGGCACTACGGGGGATCAGGAAGCCTTGGCGTTTGGGGGAATGGCCGACTACGGCCCTAATATAGCCAGCTACGGCTCTAATAAAGCCGACTACGGCGGTAGAAGTAGAAGAGAGTTCCTTAGTATGGGTTATTCTTAATGGTGGGGACAAATTTACTTGTGGCGGTGAATCGATTCACCAGCAGGGCCCTTTCATCGGCGGCGGCAGCAGCGACGATACCTAAACACAAATTAGTACAAAGAATAAAAACGAAATAAAAAAAGTAAGAAAGAAAAGAGGGAAGCCAGTCATTAGTGGAATGACTGGCATGACCGTAAGTGGTACGGTTTTCCCCCGAAAAAGAAGAGATGGTCCCAAATGGTAGGACCGGGAGGATGTACAGACGTAAGTGGTACGAATGTACGGATAGAGAGGTGAATCCCAAGTGGTGGGATATAGAGGGGGCAAGCCGCAAGTGGTACGGCAGGAAGAAAAAAGGGGAAGCCGGCTTTCCCCGAAAAAAGAGAGGTGGTCCCAGACGGTAGGACCGGGAGGAAGTACAGACGTAAGTGGTACGAATGTACGAAGAGAGAGAAAGAAGAATCCCAAGTGGTGAGATATAAGCCGTAAGTGGTACGACTGGTGGAAGTGAGTAATAAAAAATAATAATAATAAAAATTAGGCCCGGGCCAAAAAATACCAAATATCCTACGCTTTTGCTCCTTCCTCGTCGCTTCTTCCAGACGTCGCCTCTGTTTCGATCCATGTGATCCGAGATACCTGCAATGATTCGATTTATTCAAAAGGATTGTGACTCCTTCTTTACCTTTTGAATTTGTTTCCTCGCTCTGCTCGATGCCCCGGGCAGCATCGACCTTTCGCCATCTCCCTTTCTCGCTCTTCTTCACGTGATATGTCTACTCATGAATATGGGTTTAACGTCGGCCTGGACGCGACACTGCAGTAGGGTTAGTACAGGCTTACCGAGTCGCACCAGTCGAGAATCCCCGACACTTTCAACAAATCGCATCCGAAAAGCTCGAATGAGAAACGACTGTGGCTCTCATTGGATCTGCAACACGAGGAAATGAGAAAAGTATTGCGATGAGTGTGACTTACCGAGTGGATCCTTGGCCACGACGAGCTCGCAGGAAATGCGAGCTACGGCCAGCCCGCAGGTTCTGCGGGGCACAGCCGAACCGCAGAATTTGCTGGGCACGTCGAGGAGCCCGCAGGTTATGCGGGGCACGGCGAACCCGCAAGATTTGCGGGCTTCCCGCAACTCGAGGAGCTGCGAGAACTGACCAAATGGCGCATCCGCCGGCCTTTTATAGTGCCACTGGTGTCGGTGTGAAACATGCAATAGAGCGCATTTGTCGAACCGAACTGCAAATTGATGCCAAGTGTCCGCCAATTCTCTCACGTTTGCACACTCTCTGGTCTCAAACGGTGACGCGCTTCGTTTTCCCGATCGACGCCGTATTGTTTAAAAAATGAAGAAGTGCTGCGAGCTATAAAACCTATTTAACAAATCTAAAATTCAGCTTTTCCAATTTATTGATTCCTCCTAGATTCCTTTAAATTTCTCCATGATTTATGTCCCAAAAACTTCAGTTGAAGATATCAATTAAGTCACATACAAATACCATTGGTACATTTCAAATAATTTCCATGATTAATAGAAACATGGTTTTAAAAATTGAAAGTTGAAAACCATGGGCAAAATTTGCGAGTTTTCTTCAAGTGTCTCTTCAAACTTGTTAATTGTTCAGAGCGATTATGTAATATCACTTCAATCCAAGACCAACTTGACAATCCGACATTTGTTATCAAGAAACCGCCGATTCTCCGCGAGTTCTATCGGCACCTCGAAACCACTCCGCCGTTCTACATCGACAATTTGTGCGGGCGCGAGGAGTTTGAGCCGTGCGTTGCACCGCTTCAATTTCGCTGCGACACCGGCACATTTTTCGCGTCGAAAAAGTTTGAGAGCCGTTGTCCCAACCTTCCCGATTATCTCGATGTCGTGCCGGATCCCTACGATAGCATTTTTCCGTACACATTTTCGATTGCGAGAGTCTCGTGTCGAGCGCCGAACGAAACGCTCATCGGTCGTCCATTGATTTTTTGCAACGCCGCGACTTTATGGGATGTCATTCCGATATGCGTCGGTAGGTGTCGGAGGCGACGAAAACCCATTCTGGTTTCGTTTTGTGTTTCATTCTTCCAGTTGAGAGCTGCTCGGACCTTACCGACTTCATCAAACCACCACTGAGAATCGAGGCGATCGTTGGGAATCAGACATTGCCTTGGCTCTACCAGAACACACTTCAATTTAGTTGTGACGATGGTTATGTGATTAGTGGGTCTTCAACAATCACTTGCGACAAGTCCGATGGTGAGCCCTATTGGACAGCTCATCCGCCGCAATGTGTCGAGAAGAAGGATGATGTTGTCATTGGGGATACAATTGTTTATAGAGGTTACTATATTTGAGAATTAGAAATTGAGAAATTGTTTTTTTTTTTTTTTCAGAAATTGACATTCTTCGACCCCCATTTTCATGGACAAAAACGGCCGATGTGAGATTTTGCTTTTTTTTTAAACATAAATAATGAAGATGCTTTTTAGTGGGATTGGAGTCCAAATAATTGCCTAGTGCATCGTTGGAGACAACCGATCTCGTTTCTTGTCACGAGCTCGCCGATCCGATCCTCATCCGATGAAATTGAACTTGTTCTTGACGTCGAACAATGTTTGTCGCGAATCGCGATCGCGATTCACTCATCAGACGATGCGCGTCAGCCGGTCATCGGCGAGTTCACACATGCGACAAGCACATCGTCAACCGGAACACTGGTGTTGAAATTAAGCGCGTTGCGAAAATATTTGTCGATTTCGATTTCGACGCAAGGCTTCGCCACGATTTGCGCAATTCGAATTCGCGAAAAAATGTGCAGAGAGGTTGGCGAATTATTATTTTCATTTTCTTTAACACGAATGTATGCCTCAGATTTCCATTGACAACCTTCATTTGAATTCGTCGGCTCCCATGAAATTCCATCAGAATTTGAGAGCGAATTGCGGCGGAAAGTGAGTGTTGGTTCATCAATCTCTTTCATTCGTCCCCCATTTAAGTATTATACGCGTTTCTGGACGCTGTGATCCGTCTCGTGGTTGGATCCTTCATAATCCGATGGGTGTATGCGACACAGCGACTTCAGAATCTTCACTTTGCACATACAATTCGTGTTCGAATGGAAAATGCGTCGAAACGGCTGGATTTCAAACATGCGAATGCAATACGAGTTAGAATTCATTGGAATCAAATTTTGATTTGGTTAATTCTTTTTTTTTTAGATTTCATTAGCTACGACGGAAAAAGATGTGTGCCGAATCATTGCGCTTATACGATCGATGCGTCGACGAATATGTACAATTGCAAAACGGGTGAAGTCGATGGCAACGTCACCTGTAAGCGGAAAAATTTGTCTGGCGCATTTTGCCAGTACTTGACTGAGCATCCCGTCCATCCGAACTACGCTTATTATCTTGATTGGAACGATGAGTTCAGTGTTGCCGTTTACGTCGACCTCTGCGCTAACTACACGTCATCTTATGCCAGCGATGGTCTTGAATGCGATCCAGAGCCGCCGAGGCCGAAGCCGATCAGCTATTGTCAAGACGCGCAACCAATTCCGTTTGGTTCGAGCTCGCACTATTGCTCGGAGTTGGGAAGCGCGGCGCCGTGCACTGACAACATTCCATATGAGGGCACATCTAAATGCAATTGTTTGTTGGGCTTCTATGGACGACTTTGCGATGTCCAACCAACGTGCCTTTCTTTGGAAGGCGACTATCTTTGCAAGAACGGCGGCACGTGTCATCAAGGCGAATGCGAGTGTCCGCCGGATTTCAGTGGTCCCACTTGTGAGACCCATCAGCCGGTGTTCTGCGACAAGGATTGCCATTACGGAACGTGTAAGCTGACGCGAAGCCAACAAGAGTACTGCAATTGCTTCAGCAATTACTTCAAAGATGATTCGGGCGTATGTCAGATCGCCGTGTCGGCATGCGATCTGAACAATCCGTGCCAACAAAACGGCACGTGTCGCGCGATAAATGGCGTGTTCACTTGCGAATGCGTCGACGGCTGGTCGGGCGCGTTCTGCGAAATTCCGCCGCTGGTCGAATGCGCGAATTGTAATGGCACGTGCTTCGACAGTTTCCCGACTGGCGGTGTATGCCAGTGTTTCGATGGTTTCAAGGGTCCCAATTGCACCGAGCCGATTGATGATTGCAAATGGTCGCCGTGTCTCAATAATGGGACGTGCTCACTGTCGCCGGGAAGGCGGTACCAATGCGAATGTCCGTTGGGCTTCAATGGTCCGAATTGCGAAGTGACGTGCGCGAATTTGATTAGCTGCCGGAATGGTGGAAGTTGTGGATTCGACGACGATGGAAACGCGATTTGCATTTGCACCGATCAGTTCTTCGGACCGAATTGTGAGGAAAATGTGAGTTTGTTTGTTTGCAATTCTGAATTTGGCAAATTCTAACAGTGCTCAAACAATTGCACACGATCCCATGGATGTCATCAATCAACTAACGGCACCCTATTCTGCGAATGCATCGACGGATTCTCGTCGCAATTTTGCGAGCATGTTGACGTAACCCTGCCGATTCGCTTTTACACTTGACACCATATATGAATTTAGGATGTATGCGATGCGGGAATTCTGATTTGTCAGAATAATGCCACGTGCGTTTCATCAAACATGACATGCATGTGCACGTCGGAATTTGAAGGCAGATTCTGCGAGATCAGCAATGATCGATGCATCACCGATAGTGTTCAGTGCCAGAATCGCGGAACGTGTTTCCAAGGCGATTGCATATGTCCGCCGAATTACACCGGCGCTTATTGTGAAACGCACATGGCATGTTGTGGACCCAAAAAACGGGCTTACAGTATCGATCGCTGCGAGACTCGGCGAAATAATAAACTGTGTACGTCTTTAATTACCGTATCCGAGAAATTCGCATAATAAATAAAATCTTGCAGCGATTAAATTCTGTTAGCCGTGTTTTTTTTTCCAGAAACCCTACTAATTATTACATTAGACTAATTCAGATAACATGTGACGATGTGATATGCTATAATGGTGGCGTTTGTGTTAACAGCACTTGCCAGTGTCCCCCAGCAACCTCGGGAGTGTTTTGCGAAGAGATTGGAGTATATTCAATTTTCCATATCATTTTTTGTCATTGTTTTTTTTTTTACATATTTCAGCTGCCTTGCCAAATTGAGAACCCTGACGGAACATTCGCGGAGTATTGTTTGAATGGTGGCGTTTGCAGCTACACACCACAAGGTGCGAGTTGCGATTGCGCCCATACTGAATACACCGGAAGGCGGTGCGAGAAGAAGGTCACCTATAATTTTAATCTGGTCTTCAACGGATTGCCGTATGAGCCGCCGATCGTCTCGACGACGTTCTCGAATTCGACGATTCGCGAATTTTCGATTTGCACGTTTGTCCAGTACAACTATCCGAATGATCAGGAGGCGATTCCGTCGCTAGCACCGTTCATGTCGATGCGAAACTACCCGGAAGCGGGTCCGCAGATCGTTTTCGACAACTATGGATTCCGAATATGCGATAATCAAAAGAATTGTGTTGACAGGAAGAACTCCGGTGATTTCAAGATCACGCTGATCACACCGAACACGTGGCATCACGTAAGATGATTCTCTGAATCGTAATTTGTTTTTTGTTTAAACACATGCAAATTTTTAGTTTTGTCTCGTGAGCCCGAGTGAAAATGATCGAACACCAACCTATCAAGTCTACCTCGACGGTGTTCTTGTGGTCGAGCAGCTTGCCGAGAAATTTGTGCCGATTTCGAACGCCTATTTGATTTTGGCTCCGGCGGATTTGGCGCCGAGCAATCATCTATTCCAAGGGATGATCTCGATGACGCAATTGTTCCTAACGCGCCTTGATGATAGTCAAATTGGGAAACTGGCATTCGATTGCTCAAATGTAAAAATGAAAGGAGCTATTGTGTGTTTAAAATAGTAAGTTCAGATTGTCAATGAGGCTGACTTGATTCCATTCCTTCATTGGGATCGAAACTTCACGAGAGTGCTCGCAACGAATCCCGGAGTCTATATGGATCCGGCAGGTATATGCAAGAATGTCAAGTGTATGTTTGGAAGGCAGGTGAAGAATAATAATTATAATTCGACTGGCACTTGCGGTAATGCTCTCGAAATTGAATTATTCGAGCTTTGACGATTTAGAGCAGGATCGAATTCCGCCGAGCGTGTCAAGGTGCCCGAAGAGCATCGCGTTGATGACACCGCTTGAGTATGCGAATGTCACATGGAACGATGAGGACATTGCGTTTTTCGATAATATTGGAGTTGTGAAGATTGTTAGCAATTTTAACAATGGCCAACAATTTGGGGTGTATGTCGAATAGTTGGGTTGGATGCTTTTTTTAATAGCAGTCACAATTCAGCGGCACCACGATGGTCCGATACGTGGCGTTTGACGCGGCTGGCAATACAGCCGAATGCTCGTTCGAAATTGTCGTCTTCCAAAAAAACTGCCCAGAAAAGCTTGCGGTCGAAGTATGTGATTCGACCTTTTTTTTATCGACTATGCCAATTAAAAATGTGAATTTTAGAATGGGAATGTGCAAATTCTCAACAATGCCGGCCCGTTTGCCCCGCTGGCCGCGCGCGTCACTTGCAATTCACAAAACTATCCCAACTTTGGGTTCCCGCATTTCTATTCGTGCAATTATTTGGTTTGTGCTTGCTCGACTCTACTTGTTTTCCCCCTCATTGATTATTTTCGATTTAGGGCGAATTTGACGTTGGCGATTTCATCAATGCGACATTCTTCCTACCGGCGTGTGGGACGACGAAGCTCGCGCAGCAGACGATCAACGGCACGGTGGCGACGAGCGGCGATTGTTCGGCGAACGTGAAAAAATTGCGCCAAGTGCTTTGGACGTCGCTGAATTGCGACACGACGGCGTGCGATTTGCGGATTCTCACCGGTTGCTCGCTTCAGCAGAGTCCGCAGGAGCCGAACACGCTGTCGGCGCTACAATACACGCTGAGCACTTCGAATGCGTCGCAGAAAATTGATGACGTGGCGATGAAAGCGCTTGAGGATAACTTTCAAATTGTTCAGCAAGACTATGCCGCCGAATGTCCGCCGGATTTCCCGATCACGTTTAGCAATGGCAATCAGACGGTTTGCGTCGGCTGCCCGCCAGGATCGTTCGCCGATCTTGTCAACAATGAATGTATTCCCTGTCCGGCAGATCAATTCCGAAACAAATCGCAGGTCGATCAAATCGAATGTCAAAAGTGTCCTTCCGGATATACGACTGGTCAAGTTAAAGGAGCGATTGATGTCTCGCAATGTTACAGTAATCTTTAAATTGCTCAAACAATCGTCTAAACTCAATTAAAGGGTTCTGCGACCAAGGATATTATGCTGGAGACGACAATGAATGCTATCCATGCCCGATCGGCACATTTGGAAGTGCGCCGGGAATCCGCAAATGCACTAGCTGCGAGTTTGATCTGTCCACAAATTCGGGTACAATTCGAACAGCATATTTTGCATAATTGGGGGAATTTCGATTGCAGAGGCCTCGAATTCGCAATCGGCTTGTGTTAAAACGTGCCCGCCTGGACAGGAAATGGTACGAACTATTGAGAGGCCGACACCATTCTGCCAAGATTGTCGAAATGGATTCTACAAAGAGGTTTTTTTCTTCTATTGACGGACGAATTTGAAACTTTTGAATTTCGTGGGCCGCCTGGTCAAATTGGAACTATACCTCAAAATAGTATATTTAAAGCTTCGTCGTGGTCCTTGCCTTCAATGCCCGCGTGGATTGATCACCGATGTTCCGAGCGGTGCGACGTCCATCCAAAATTGCAACGTTCTGAATTGCATCGACATGAATGTGATGGTAAGTCAGGATGATCATTTTGCGATTGCCGAACCGAATTCCAGAGGAACGAGAACATCACCGTCGGCCCAACGGTGCCATTCAGCGAATTGTGCATCGCGTGCCAACAGGGTTCATTCCAAAACGTCACCAACGCGAGCAAATGTATGCCGTGCTCGGAGCTGTCGAGCGATGTACGCGATATTCCGGTGACATGTCAGTCGACGTGCTCGCCGCAAGTTGAGCAAGCCGATTGCCAATGCGAGCTTCAACAATCCGACACCAGAAGTCCGTCGATTTTTCGCAATTGCGCACCAATTGTGCAGCCGTCGAAAAGCCGAATATCGGCGCTCGCCATCGTTTTGCCAGTGGTGTTTGGTGTGCTTATTTTGGTTGGCGCCATATTCGCCTACGCCTTCCGCAAACCGTAAATAGCGCGGCTCTTGATTCATTTTGTCGCATTTCGCTGTTTCAGAATCATCGCCTGGTGGCGAAAATCGGAGGTCAGCGACGATCAGCGCGTGTCGCCGGCGATTCTTCATTCCGAATACACGATGACACATCTGCTGCCGAGCGAATCCTATAAACTTCCGCAACCGCCGCGGCCGAATCTTCGAATCGTCACCAATCCGCGTGAGCTCGACGAGCTGCCGCCGATTCCGCGCTCAAGTCCCATCGTGCCTTCAATCTCATCCGATGATGTTGGCTCAATTCGCTATTTGAGCTCTTGTCGTCGAGAATTGGATCAAGAGTCGAGTAGTCTGGTAAAAACAATTAATTTTGAATATACAAGAGAAATTTTTTCAGGATTCATTCTTCTAAACGTCTTGTCAATGCTTTTACAACATATTACGAGTATCAATTGTTTAATAATAATAATGATGATGATAATTATAATAACGAATCACAGTGAAAATACAGAAGAAATGCACAAGTGAAAGAGAATATGTAAGGCATTGTCTGGAATTGGCCGATTTTTCAGAAAACTCGTTTGAATATAAGGAAATTAAGATGATAAAGCTACAAACTGACCTAGAAGAAAACAAAAAATGAGGTATTTACATGAAATTGGATGTTCTTCTATACAGGAAGCTTTTCCTCTTCTTCAATCGTTCCTCGGAATGATTTGTGTCGCGCAACAGATTGAACCGGATTGAGAGTGGGCAGCTAAAACAAACCAATATGTTATTTTAATGATAGGGACCATCAACTACCAATTCACTCTGCGCCCTTGTATTCTGCCTCGTTAGTATCGCCTTCTGCTCCTCCTTCTGTGCGTCTTCAAGTTTTCTCGTCTGCTCATCGACATACTCAAATCGTCCATGATTATCCTAAAATTGAATGAGACGTTGAACATAAAATGACTAATCGATGATGATGATGATGATGTACCATTTTACTCCACTGGTAGAAAAATGTGCCGAGAAGGCAGACAATACAAAATGCGGCGGCGAACACGATGCATGCAACACTATACAAGAATCGACGAGTTCTTCGCGGCTTAAACCAAATGATAGAATATGAACGAGGTTGTGACAACTCAGTTCTAATTCAAACCTTATCAATGAGCCGACCGTTCTTGCTGATCTCCATTTCCATTTCGGCGGCTTCCTCGTAGCTCGTCGTCCGACACAATTTCGCATTGGCGTATGTTCGAAAATAGGGGCAACCCTTGAATGCACATCGAAAATCACAATTGCTTTTTGAAATCACTGATTACCACTGACGGGCAGAAATAATTGTCCTGCGATAGAATTGCCGATGACAAATTGTACAAATCGCCGCCGATCATTCGATTCCACAACCATTTCGTCGCATAATTGTGGCCTCTTCGATTCAGCAGCGGCTTGTCGCGAATGAACAGCCCGTTTGGATATCGCGACGTGATCGTGACCATTGGATAAGCGATCATGCCGAACGTCGGTCTCGATGTCTCGCCGTTTTGCACATAATTCTGCACCGAGCGCCACACTTTCGACCATTCTCGCATCAAATCATACATGTAGCTCTCGGTTTGATTTTGGGTGCATGGACAGCGATTTCTGAAATGTGATGAAGATTCTCAAAAAAATCTTTCCTTAAAAAATGCTACTTTAACAAGTTGGCCTTTTGCTCGTGAAAACTTGAGACATGGACCGGACCTAGAAGGACCACTAAAGCTTTTGGCACATGAATTTGAAGATAGTTGATGCTTTTTATAATGTGTTCATAGCTTGGAAGTCCACAATAATAGCACAATTCTTCAGTTCCGATCGCAATTGTGATCATAACCCATTCTTTCATATAGTTCGCTTCAGTGAGTTTTTTAAGACGTCTCACAAGCTCTTTGGCTTGTCTCGGAAGATCAACCGTCGTCGCGCCGGTTTTGGCGACGTTCAACTGATGATCGGGCAAATCGGCGCCCATTCCGTGCGAGACCCCAACCAATTTGGGGCTGAACTCTCGTAGGATGTCTAGAAATTTTGGGAAGAATGCGAATCAAAATTGCGAATGATTACTTGGGATCGTGACGAGACCATCAATCGTTGAGTCGCCGCCAATCGGGAATGAAGCGCCGCGAAACTCGATATCAGCGTTCGGCCATAAACCAACACCGGTCTAAAAATGTGGAAATTGAAGAACACAATTTCGATTAATTGGTGAAAACCGCCAAAGCGTCACCCATCGCAGAAATAATTTTGATATCCTCCGGACTAATATCGGCAACCGATGTGCCAGTGAGAAGTTCGGCTTTGATTCTTGGACAGGAAAATGTTTTTCTGAAATAAATCCGCAATTACCTTGATTCATTTGCCTTAATTACCTGTCATTGAATGCTTTATTAATTACTGTTATAATTGGTTTCACCTTCTTTTCCTTCATAGCAGTTATACTTTTCAAATGATCCTGGTCAACGGCGTCTCGATCTCTGAGCAATCAAAAAATAATTCAAACGGCTCCCAATTGAACACATACCTCTCTTCACTGATGTCACTGGATCCATAAGAATCCTGTCGACGAACTTCTTCTTCGCCTTGTATCTTCTCATCATCGCTGGCCCTTCGACTCGCGTAATCCGTTAAATTGTGCGAATTGTCCTCGTAATCAATACTGAATGGTGATTCATCGTGAAATTCTCCACGAAACAGCGATTCTTCTGGTTGTGCGAGACATATACTTGATACGAGTAATAATGCGAAGCCTATTCGCATAACTGCAACAAGAATAAATGAGTGTTGGAAATCGATTGATAAGAAGAGAATGATAAGAAAAAGTAAAAAGAATGGAAAAAAAGGAATTTTTGTTGATATTTTAAAAATATGTTTGTTGGTAATGTGGTTTTAAAACTAATTACTGCTAATTGAATTTTTTTTATATTTTTAGTAAATATTTTAAAAGTTGAAGTCAAATGCGCTCTTCTGGCTTCTTAAGCTTTTCAATAGCTTTCATCCGCAGATCTCGCTCTATTTCCAATTTTTTTCGTCTAAAATTTCAATGAATATTCAAGTAGATTAGCCGATCCTTGAAGATATGAGTAATTTGACACCACAAGAAAAATAAATGCATTTGAAATGTTGCAAAAGCGCTCCAATGAATTTGGCTATTCGCCCACATAGAAACTGCGAAACTGCGCGTCGGCTAAAAGGTGCGCACGATACGCAGCCAAATGGCCTTTGTCAATTTTCCGAATTTTTCAGCGATTTTTGCGGTTTTTGTCGGATGTAGTGATCATTTTTTGCATTTTTTCTGATTTAATATGAATTCACCCTTCAAAGTTATTATTTTTTAAAATCTTTTTAATTTTAAAGTTTTACAAAAAAATGTTTTTTTTTCTAAACTATTATGCCATTAACTTTGTTTCTGTACGATATTTGCCTTGATGATGGCCTTGTGAATCTTTTGCTTCAATCTAATTTATCTTCATCTCTATATTTTTTTATTATAGCAGTCATTAAAAAATTATCATGATTTTTTTCCAGGGTTAAACATGGCTACCCAGGATGAGGCCCATATTGCTGAATTGAAGAAGAAGAGAACTTTCCGCAAGTTCACTTACCGCGGAGTTGATCTTGATCAGCTTTTGGATATGTCTCGGTAATTAAAAAAAAATTAATTTCTTGTCAGTTTCATCTCTAATTGAGTAATTAAATATAGTAGATTTTATTTTTCTTTTTATAGTTTTGTGCTGAAATATATAGAAAGTATTTTTCTCGTTTCAAGCAAAACACAATAACTTATTGAGAAACTCTAGAATTTTTTGTATCGATGATTTTTTAAGCGAACAATTCGCCAAGCTCCTTCCATGCCGCATGCGCAGACGTCTCGACCGCGGATTGAAGAGAAAGCATTTGGCTCTCATCAACAAGGTCCAGAAGGCCAAGAAGGCCGCTGGAGTTCTCGAGAAGCCAGCTTGCGTTAAGACCCATCTCCGTGACATGATCATCCTCCCAGAATTGGTCGGAGCTGTCATCGGAATCTACAACGGAAAGGTCTTTAACCAGGTATTAGGATTTTCCTAATGAGACTTTCCTCGATGTATAATTTTAGACTGAGATCAAGCCAGAAATGATTGGATATTACTTGGGAGAGTTCGCCATCTCTTACAAGCCAGTTAAGCACGGAAGACCCGGTATTGGAGCTACCCACTCTTCCCGATTCATTCCACTCAAGTAAATGCTTCTTGTTATTCAATAAATTGTTTAATTGTTACTGTCAAGTGCAATGTTTAAAAAAAATCGGCGACATTTATTTATCGAGTATGGAACAACATTCTACAATGAGCTTTTACATTATATAAAAGAATTATCGGGTTCCTCGTTGCTTGGCGGCGGCAACCATTTCGTCCTGAATCGTTTCCATGATTTCAAGTCTTTTGTGGGTGACTCCTTGTGGATCGAACACCAAAGTTGGCTTCTTCCAATAGTTGTTGCGGATTCTCTCCCAATCCCATGGAGCAGCGCTCTGGCCTAAAGAAAATAACACGTTTGATTAAGTATTGGGAGAAGCAAACGTACTTCTGTCGAGCCAGACTTCGTTCTTTTCGAACGAGTAGTAGACAACATAGCAGAAGAGGCAGAACCAGATTCCGGTAAGAGCATAGAGTGGGTAGATCTCGTAAGCGTGTCCAAGGCGACGGAACAAAAATCTGGAAGTTATAGGTTGAAACATGATAATGAAAATTAAAAAAAAAATATTTTTTTTTCAAAAATACAATAAATTATCACGACACTGTAAAAGATAAACTTTTTCTCCTAAAAATTCCAAAATTTTATGAAATTTCCTATAATGAATTAATCAAAGGTTAATTTTTTCTATAATTTTCCTGTACATTTCAAAAGTAGATAGCTTTACCTAGCCGGGGTGTCTCCTAGCTTGGCTGGGTTCGAGTAACGCTTGTCACGCGACACATCACGCTGGTAGACGAAGTGTCCAGTCTCATTCAACTTCAATGATTGGTCGTGCTGAAAACTGATTTCATAAATAAAATTAAACAGAACTTCTGCTTATAAAAACGCAGTTTTGAAGTGCTTATCTGTTTGGTTAAGTTAAATAATTTAATACCTTGAGAACAGATCCAGAAGCGTTTCTGATGACCATGATGCGGGCAAGAGTACCCTTAGACACAAGACGAGGAGTTAAAAGAGAAAGAGACATCCTGAAATATATAAACTTTTGAGAAATATGGCAAAAAAGGGAAGTTATCGAAAAAAATCAATAAAAAAATCACTTGGCTAAAAACGACTGAAAATCCATAGTTTCAAAACCAAACATAACATTCTTAACGTTCAAAATTCATTTTGAATCAGTTACATTAATTTATTTGCAAAATTCAAAGAATCTGGATCAAAATAAAGAAATTCACAATGGACGGCTCGCCCCGCCCCATTATACACTCGCATACACCCACAAGAAAACACGCTGCAACTATGAAACGCACCTTACGCTGCCTATTTCTTTACAAAAAATGAGAGTCTACGGTAATAAAAATCAAGTTTTTGAGAATAGAGAAAACAGAAGAAAAATTGAATTTTTTTCTAGATGATGTTTCAAAAAAACAAAAATTTCAAAAAAAAATATTTTAAACTTTTCGATTCATCGGTCAAATGAATCAATAACGATAAGAAAATAAAAAAATAGAAGGAAAATAAGAAAAAAAAGAAAATTCACTGCTAACGAGAGCTTCTGCAACAAGACCCGACGCACAAATTTAGCGTATACACCTATAATTACAGTATGAGATTTTCGGGCAGAGATACTGTAGCTAAGGCGCATTCCTTGAATTTTCGAATCGGGTCTCAACGTGAAACAGTATTCAATCCCATAATTAAATTTTTTCGAAATCGAAATTGGTTCAATTTCAATTTATTCATTTCATTCAACACTAATTTTCAGTTTTCTCTCATTTATTTCAAATCTTGAGATATTTAAATTTTAACTGTATATATTACATCTCAGCAAATCGCGCCGTAGAAACGGCGGTGAATAGCGAGTTTCGGTGAAACGGCGGTGGAACGATGGTTTACTAAACGCGCTAAACCGTGGGCTATGTGTAATATTAGTAGTGTCGTACAACCTTCTAAAAAAATCGAAAATTAATTTAAATTAATTTTCGATTTTATTTAAATTTCATTTAAAGTTTTAATTAAATTTCAAAATGAAGATTTATTTAAATTAATTTTATGAATTTTTTAATTTGTAATTAATTAATTATAATGTATTGATTGTTTTAAAACCTTCTATTGGTTTTAAGATTTAATATAATTAATACTACATTCTTTTTAAATTTGAAAGTTTGATTTGATGAGAATGGTTTTTCCAGAACGTTCGTTTCAACATGAAAAGGAGTAGATTGACGAAAGAAGAGAATGGTATATCTGTGATCAGCATAAAGGAAAAAATTTTGTAGACGCGCGAATTCGGGGCTATGGAGTTCGTCTTTTACCTGTTGAAAACGTCAATGATGTTATTGAAGAAGAAACTGTAGATAATAAAAAACTTGTAATAAAATAAGTTCATGAAAATTAATGAATCGAGGTTATTTTAGGAAGGGGAATTCGCGGGAAATTTTGCGGACGCTGGATATGACGACTGTATTCTTGTAATAAATAATATGAATGGCGAAAATTTATGAGTCGAGCTGGGTTTAGGATCGTCTGTTCACGGAAGGGTGCGACTATAACGGAACTGACGTGACCATGGAAATGCTGCCAAAAGATAATGTTTTCAGTGTTTATCAGGAATGGAATAATGGTATGATTCTTGATTTATTGACACATTAATGCGGTTACCATATTTTTTCGATATCATAATGTAAAACCCTTTAACCTGTTAACCCTTTGAAATTACCGGTTCCGGGAATTAATCGGCTTTATGAATGTTATTGTAGCAGAAAATAAATGTTATTCTGGTAGAAAAATAATTATAAAACGAATTCGAGAAAAATTAATAATTATCGACCCAACCCATTAAATGCAAAATATCAACGTTAGTCCACGGGAGACCAAAAGAAGGACGCATCCGCGTAAATCTACCCGCGTACAGCAGTCGCTGGACGCCGACTATAGAATTTTAACATAACGTAAATTCTAATATTTAAACGTATTTTAATTGTTCATTGATTAAGATGAAGGAAGAAAAAAGAGGATGAATGCAATTCAACGAGTTGTCAACATGCTCGCGCCATACAGGATGTCGAGATCGGCAGTGAAGACAATTTGTGATGTTGCGGCTGTTATAATCGAAAACAATTTAACGGTAAGATATGAATTAATGTCATACGTATTTCTCTTGTTCTCGCGCGGGCTAACTGGTTATTTCTAATTTTATGGACCGGTTCGATAATTTGTTAACCGAATGACGTTGGAAATTCAATGAAATGCCAAATTCATCAAGAAAAAATTAAGTGTTTATGTGAAAACAGCCAAATAAGCGTTCACACGCGGGGAGACCTTTTCATGGCACATGAGCGTAAATCTACCCGCGGACAGCAGTCGCCGGACGCTGACTGTACCTAGCATTAAGACTCCGGAAACATTTCAGGAACGCGACATCTACGCATTCCAGGAAAAACTGATCGAAGATTATTGCCAACCAATATCAACAACGTTCTGTACGTCCTGTTTAGGAGAAATTCCCAGTGTCAGAATTTCTTGTTCGAATCAACAATGCAGTAATTATCAGTAAGCACTTCAGCGTAAAGGCAATTTATTAAAGTTTTGACTAAGGTGCAAGCCAGTGAAAGGTACGATTACGGAACCTATTAGGCTTGTGACATTCTCAATTCACAATCAATTGGCAAGAATATTGTCAAAGCAAATTGGAGAAATCGTCAAAACGCATGAATATCACCATCACATTCAGGTAATGAAAAATTCGCGGCTATATATATAATTGTATTGTAGGCTTCTGGAAAACCGTACGAAGATTACTCGAGTTTTCATATATCAAAACATTATGGAGATCACATTGAAACACTGGAAATGTTTTCGAATAACATATTGAAGGTTGTAGTTTCCTTAGCCATAGACGGATTTCGTCCATCAAATTGTAGCCGGTAATTATGTTTTGTTTAAATTTATCTCATTATACAACGTAGGGATGAAGTTGTGCCGATTTATATGAGAGTGGAAGGGGTAAAACGAAAAATCAAAGAGCAAGATGGTTCCGTGATCCTCGCAGCAATAATCCGATGTTTAAACGGAGTGAATGCTCAAAATGCAAATATCGTCGGATCAAGGCATTGCTTTGTGGAATCATTTCGTTTGTATAATGCTTATTTTAGATTAATGCACGAAGTAGAATTTCTTAGAACTTCACCACTGCTTATACAATACGAAGGGGTCAAATATTCCGTCATGGTCGGGCCAGCTGTATCATTTTTGGATCTCAAGGCAAGCTTGTCTTGGTACATAATGAAACATTACGATATAGGGCATGCGTCAGATCTGTGGTCTTCCGAATTGGGCAAGTACACAGGGATGCGCACTTTGCACGATCATTGGTTCGAAATCGGGTCGGCAAGCGGTTTCTTTTTTTTCCGACATTCAATACCCTTCAAGAACTGCGAATGATGTAATGAATATGATGAGAGCTAGCGGAAAATTAAGTAAGCAATTCCCTTCAAACCTACATCTAAAATATGAATTGTTAGACATTCTGTCAATTCTTGCCAGCCCATCAAATCAACCGTTCGATGAACTTCATTACCTTTCCGAAGGGTTTTTGAAAAATTTATTGGAACAAATTTTTGGGCGCGGTTCAAATTTGCCTCGGTTGAAAATTTCGACTAGGGTGGTTCAGGCACTTTCATGTTCTCTGATTAATACCATAGATCCACCGGAAACGCCCTGCAGGTTTGCTAGCCCAGAAAGATTCTCGCGTGCGACCGGTTCAGAGATAAGAAAAGTGAGCAATTTTAAAGTTGGGACATTTGATTATATTTTTCAGTCAGTTCAGTTTACTCTTGCTGCGTTATCAATGACATTTAAGTTTCCTCGCTTCATGGAAACCACGTTTTTGGCTTGCTTGTTCATATTTAACAACTTGCTATATATGGCAAGGACCGAAGCTCATCTCTACGCAATCCAACAACTTTCGAATTTCATAAAAGGATATATTGGACATGAAAATAGCGAATTCTATACGCTTAAAATGCATGTAAGAAAATTGACTTGTTTAAAACAGAAGAATGGTAGCAATTCCAGCTGATTTTTGATCACTGTGTGGAGTTGATTCGTAGATACGGCAATTGTTCAACAACTTCAACTGCAAGTTTTGAAAAAACGCACTGCTACTTATCGTTAATGACTAATCAACGCTCAGTATCGATTGCGGATATGGCGAAAAAGTTTATAGCGGACAGTTATTTCACAACCGAAAAGAGGTAAATTCTTAATGTAAATCTCTTAAACTTGAATTTCTTCAGTTCGGATTCGACTTTACAGTTAAGTAGTGATATTGAATTTTCGAGGAATTATAGAATTACGAATACGTCTACAATTTCAACGTTATCACAGAAAGTGGCATCACACGGAGGACAAATTTCATCCTTCTGGTAAGTTAAACTTTACTTCATTCTGTACCCATCCAAACATTCGTACATTTTACAGGAAAAGAGTTCGTTATCGCGGAGTTTTGTTTTCTTCGACTCTGTGGACTAAAACTAATTCCGAAAGTTCTATTGTGTCCTTTGCTTCTGACCAAAGCCTTCATTTTGGTTCGGTTACTGCCTATTTCATCGTCGGTGCCGATGCCTACGCTTTAGTTGAAAGGCTAGATGTCATAAATCCATCCATTACGCGATTCGAAGAATCCAAATCCTATCCGGAAAGTTTCAAATCAGTTTGGAATATTATCGTTGACTACAACTTTTTTTACCGTGAAGTAATAGGGAAAAAGGAAGAATGTGTTATCAGATTGAGAGATATTAGGAATAAATTTATAATAATGAACGTGATGAATAACCAATATATTTTTTCTACGACATAATTTTTGTTGAAATAAAGTTTTTAAATTATGTTAATTCCGTTATTATTAACTTGTTATTATTGCCCGTTTTTTGCGGTTGTTACTTTTTAAATAGTTTCGTACTGTTTTTCTTTCATATAATCAGTGCGTTCAACATTCTAGTAAGTAAAAACCAATCGGATCCGAAAAGTTTAACAGTCGCAAAATTACCAGTCGGTTAATTCAGGAGTCGAATTTTGTCGGATCCGATTGGTTTTCAGTTAACAGAGCATCCGAGCGTAAATAAACTTTCAGACGATTCCATCTCAGTTCATAATGTCAGCTGAACAACTCCCCCCGTTCAAGTATTTCAAAATTTTCAGTTTTTATTATTATGAGTTCTAGTGATGCCACATCCCTTACAAATTTTGCGACAGAACAGATATTTGACGATATCAACGACAATAGGAACACTGAATTGGCCGGAAACATGGTCTTTATGGAGTAATATTTTTTTGCATAAGGTCTGTTAACCGTGCCTAACATTTTTAGGACATGTGAAGACGATTATCTTCATCGGTCTGGTGTCTATCAAGCTAACGATTCTCATTATGAAGATGAAAGGAACTTAAGCCGTAAACAAGACAAATCGGCAAATTCGTTGACATCTTATAATGATACTGTTAAAATTAGAGGTCAACGCTGCTTTCAATCCAAGTATCCGAGGTGAAAATTGAAATTTATAAATACGACTAAAATATTTCACTCAGAATAAGCCAAATTCCAAATAACGCGGTGCAACCCGCACATTTGGAAAATCCGCGCCCATGCCAATACAGTGTTTTGCATGAAAGATCATCACGTCACTCCAATCAAGTTTTCTACAGTCAACGTGAAATGCCGACTAATCGACTCAATTCTGATCTGCATTATACTTCTTCCGGTGCCTTTTCGATCCCATTGTTATGCCTGACTCAATTAATTTATTACAGGAGGAGAAAGATTGAGTGCAGCGGAGTACGACTACTATAAGGGAATTGATTTGGAATTGGCGATATTGAGTAGCTTTTTCGATTCACATATATCTAATGAAGATTTTTCAGATAACATTCGCTCATGTTTTATTAGAAAAGAATTGGATATTGGAAAAGCCGGGCTTGTACTGTTGAAGTACCAAGAAATGGGACTGATAGGAAGAGATGCTATACATGTAAAAATTTTTCTTTTTCCGATAAGTTTTTATTATTCAGCTGTGTGTAAATTCAATTTCGAAGGTCGACTACGAACCATTATGGTGCGTCTCAGAACTCGGCACACTTTCGGCTAGAGTTTTCCAATTAGGAAGTCTTTTTCATGTATGTTATATTTCAGTACAATCGTTTATATTTTTGCTAAACTTATTAGCCTTATGTGTTTTTAAAATGCGAAAACGGTTGGAAAAATTAACAAATTTAAACGTTAAAATGCTTTGTTCGCAGTTTAGAGTTTCGCCATATGTGTCTAGTAATTGCGTAAAGTTTTTTTCAAATTTTGAAAGAAAAACGATATCGAAATCATGAAAATCATGAAAAAATGTAATATTTGATATCAGATTCGGGTCGAAACCGCCAGAAATGGAATTAAGGAAAAGAAAAAAGTTTTTGAACCAGCGTTTGTGCCAAAATTCCAATTTGTCACAATGAAGTTTAATGGCAAGCCCCCGTTCAAAGTATTTATCTAACAGCTATACGTGTAATATTAAGAAAAACTTTTTAGAACGAAACAATAATTGATCTTCGAGATATAACCATGGAAAAGAGTTCAATTCAAAGACAAATCGGTACTGTTCTAAATGAATTACTATTAAGAATAGGTCAAATTTTCCTCCTAATAGCTAAATGAAACAATATTTTAAAGACACTGGAAGATCAGAACGCACACCGTTACCTGACACTTTTAAAAGTTCCGCTATCGAATAAGAAAAATAGAAATTTCCAAGAAATGGATTTAGCTGTACAAGATTGGTTTTTAGGTAAGTGATCAATATATATTACGCGGTGCTTTAAAGTGGTTTATGTATTTTTGCGAAAAAAAATTGGACAATTTTTGCGCAAAAATTGTCTGTTTCAAATATTTCGCATTCTTTGACCAATATAAAAAATAGTACGAATTAAAAAATACATCCAATATTGAGCCCATTTGCGTTCAATTCGTTCAATGAAACGAATTTCATTTCAGATTTTATGTGTTTATCGTTCGGATTTCCTAAGAATCTTCGATATCCTTCCTACTCATATGAAGATCTGAGAGCTGAGAATCTGAAGTATAAAAAAACTAATTTTTTCTCAAAATGAAAACAAATTTAGCTTGGCTGCTAAAATTGGAAGAACCGAGGAAGAAGGGAGACAGAACTTTGGCAAGCTTATTGAAGATGTCAATGATTTCGTTCGGCTTGTTAAAGATAAACTGCAAAGACTCTTGTAAGATTATTTCTTTCGTCATTGAATATTTTACTTTACGTAGGAACGACCGAAGAAATCAGTCAATCGTTGAGGCAGGGACAAGAATTGATCACATGGGCAACCAAGTATCCGTTCTGCAATTTACCACATGCAAGAAAAACAATGTAAGTGATTTTCTTCTGCTATTGTTGGTTTTAACCAACTGAATGGGGTATAGCCATAAAATAAGTCTTTTGCTCTCATATGTAATAGTTTATCTTTAACAAGAACATCTTTCCAGGAGAGCCATCAACAAAACTCGAATGCAAGCGGTGGAACAATTTGCAGCAAAATGACTAAATAATTTTTTTTTGTAATAAATTATTCCAGTTTTTCGCGAGTACTTTCAAAAAAACAATAAACGTGTTGAAATATGACAATAGTTTGAAAGTACTAAAACGAAGGCAGTATGACACTCCGCGCGTACGCGTGCAATTTCGAAGAAACGGCGGTGGAAAGTTGGAGGAACGAAAGTGTCTGTTCTCTTCACCGATCATCTGCCGCCGTTTTACTCGCTATTCACCGCCGTTTCTACGGCGCGATTTGCTGAGATATTATTATGAATACCATGTATTTAAATGTTCTCTCCATATTTTCAGTTTCAACGAAGATTTGCGATGAAACGAAAGAAGGGTTGATGTCTTGCGGCTCTCGAGGGACCGATTTGTGGGCGAATCGTCCACGATGCCACTTTTGCCTTATGCATTCACCAAACACTTTTTTTATAGTCGAACCCAAAAAGAAAATAAAAACGAGGTAGGCGAGTATATTAATTCGGGCGGAGCGTAAAAAGAAAAAAGCTTGCGCGATTTTCAATCCTTCGTTACCCAAACATTTTCAAAATCTTCTCAAATTTCACGCAATCCTCTTTTCATCAACATTTTTTGCTCTTGAATGAACCAAATCAATTTCCGGCATATTATTTGTGTTTTTCAATTCAGGTGAGACATGGTGAGATTCTTTTCACCACACGTTATGCTCATCGGCTCCGTGGTTCTTTACATTATTGTCGGAGCAGTGATATTCCAAAAACTCGAAGGAGGCCATTTGATGGTGAAATCTCTCAAAAATAATATTCTCAAAAAAATTCAATTTTAAGGCGGTAAAAAAGGACCACATGGACCGAATTGATAAAAACGCCAAGGACTACGTGGATCGTTTATGGATTCTCGCAAAACGTGATCGCGACAAATATGGAAATATTGAGAAGCTCATTGAGGCGGTCAAAACCGAAACAACGCAAGATTTCAACGACTACGTGGATACCGTATTCCTCGCGCATCGCGCCGTCCGTCACGGCTACGACGAAGATTCGCCGACGTGGGATTTCGCGAATTCCGTGTTCTTCACCACCACAATGCTGACATCGATTGGTTACGGCTACGTGGCACCGAGCACATTCGGTGGACGGCTATTCGGAGTGATATATTGCCTAATCGGTACCATAATTCCAATAATTGAGAATGAGAAGATTTCGTTTCTTTTTCTTTTCAGGAATCCCATTGACCCTTGTAACCGTGGCGAACATTGCCAAATTTCTCTCCGAAACCATTTTTCTCGTTCATTATGAAATTTGGCGCCGCTGGATGGATTTCAGGCGTAAAAGGAAGGGCGATCTCGACGTCGACGTCGTCCAACCAATGTTCGAAGAAGACGAGAACGAGGACGATATTCTCGACCGCGTTCGCCTCGTCCGTTTCCCGCCACTCGTCGTATTCTCACTTGTGTTCATTTATGGATGTGTTGCCGCTTGGGTCGTAAGAGTAAGCATTTATTCAACATTCTAATAGCCATCGTTCGAGAACGTGATGTTATAATCGGTATAATGTTTCTTCAAAATGTCCACAGTGATTTTATGATCGGCTTGTCCGTAGCCTTGCGAGTAGCCGTACACCAAAATGTCCTTCTTGTCGGCGTCGTGCTTGATTCTTCCACCGCCAACACATTTGAGCTTCAAGCCGGCAGGAGCGGTGCTCTTTAAGCAAAACATTGTTCAAATTTATTTTTGACCAAAGAAAAATTATCCACCTTCGTCTCATCCAAAATATCGGCGTGAAACGTGCATCGATAGTATCCGCGCACGATGTGCTTGATTTCTTTGCTTGAATTGTCAGTAACCTGCAATTTTTCAGTACTGGGAGACATGGACATATGTGGAAAGCCTCTATTTCATTTTCATCAGTATTTTAACAGTTGGTAAGATTTCGCTTTTCTCTAAAATCCATTATAACCCCTATTTTCAGGTTTTGGCGATATTCGACCATCGCCGGGAAACGTCTGGCTCACTCTGGGCTTTGTCATTGGTGAGTTGCCCAATTAATAAAATCGAAATAATGATTAAACAACGCAGTTGGGGTAATTCTAACCACTATGTGTATGGACGTTGTCGGTCGAATGTATCTCAAAGAAATTCACTATTTGGGCCGAAAACTCAAGAGCAACAATCCATTTTATCTATTGCGCGAAGCAAAAGCAAGGTAAGTTTCAATTGTTAATAAATCTGACAATTTTCTAGAATTTTAGACGTCGGCGAGCAGCGATGGCTTCGCTATTGGCTCAACTAGCTCGCGGAATGATTTTTGCGCACAAAGATTATAATGAATTGGCGAGGAAGAAATCGAAAAAGAAGAAGGACAAAAGGCGTGGAAGTCACGTTTGTAAGGAATTATTTAAAAATTTCTGTTAAACGATTCACATGTTACAGTACCGAATGAGAAGTTCATGTTCGCCAGACTACCACCAGATCCACCGAGCGATTGCCAGGTCGTCAGCACTTCTGCCTACTCTGTAAGGCTAGCTTGGGCTCCGTCATTTTCAACTGACACCGATCTAACATACAATATCAGATATCGCTTGAAGTAAGAATTTTTTTCAAATTGTTTTGTTAAATAATTTTTAGACATAATGAAGACGCGAAAACGAGAGAATTGCGTGGAATCAAGGGTAATACGGTTGAGATAATGAGCGTTGACTCATGCTCTCTTTATGAATTTCGAATAACTGCTGTCAGCAAGTTTGGCGAAAGCAAACCCGTGTACCTGGTACAGTACACTGAGCCGCAACTGAGTCCGCAGCACATTTTGGCAACAAAATTGAACGCGAACACGATTGAGCTGACTTGGGAGCCGCCGTACAAAAAGTCGCATGAAGTCAAGGTTGGTCGGATCTGATATTGTTTTATCAAATTTTCCAAACAAGCGAGATTTTAGAACTACATTGTGTACTTCACGGAAAATCCGAACGCTTCTCTATCGGAATGGGAAAAAATACCGGTAAATGGAAGGCGAGTCGTGTTCCCCGATTTGAGATTCGATTGGTTCTACATGTTCAGGTAGTCACTATTCAAAAGACTACTTTTTGATAAAATAAAATTTTAGCGCTACTGCGGTGTTCAAAGACGGTCAGCGTTCGCCACTTTCTCGCGCATTGTTCATTAAAACCGATAAAATCGAATTCCACAAGCATTGTATGCAAATAATTAGTATTATTTTGAAAATATTGAATGTTATAGGTGTCGGACAATCACGAACCATTGAAGTTATGGACTCGATTTGCGAGAAAGAAGAAAACGAAACGACTGCGCTTTTGAAACGCGACTATGCCTCTTTTGCTGTTTAATTTATTGATTTTTATAAACTATATAGTTTGAATTATTTGTGTTACCTTGATGAGAATGTATTTGAATACTCCACTTGGATCAATATCAACGTCTTGAATGTCGCTCAACGGCATCCTTGGGAAGATTTCTGAAATATTCTAATGCTGGCCGAGATTTGTGCGCGCACTTTTCTAGGCCGCGGCGTTATTCAAATTAGCGACGAAAGTCATGACTTTTTTTTCACGTTTTGGTTATTTTTTTTCAATGTTTTTTTTATAGAAAAAAATCATTTATAGAAAAACTTACGTTTTGAATAGAAGCAAGTTTTATTGCCGAATAATCGGCCGAATTGTGTCAATCGAAAAATCGCAATTTTCTGGAAAAATGCTCATAGAATTGTTAATTCATGCGAAAATTTTTGAAAATAACGAATGTTTCTGTGCACCTACTGAATTTCACGACAAATTGCACACGAAGCGTGACGAGATTTTTTCGATTTTATCGAATTGCTCCTTTAATGAATACTGTATTTATTTTTTTTACAAATGAATTATTTAATTTTTCAGATTCTAATTGACTGAACGAATGAAAGCATATTAAAAACTGAGTAAAATGGTTATGTTAACGTCAGACGTCGTGATGAAAAGGCTTCAGGATGTAAGTTATTAGATTTTACTAGAAAATATGTGATATTGAATTGTTCAGATTCACGCGCCGACTCAAGAAGCCATTGAAACCATGTCGCTCTGGATAATGCATTATAAAGACAAAGCATCAATAGATGTCATCGTGGAAGGATGGTTAAATGCATTTCGAATTGGTGATCACAATTTTTTAATTAATTAAAATGAAAAATGATGATTTTAGCATCTAATGATCAAAAACGAATCGCCTTATTCTACGTGATGAACGATGTCGTGCAAAAGGCGAAAAACAAGCACATTGATACCTTGATTCCAGCATTCCAGCCAGCTGTGTTGACTGCGGTGGGAATAGGGCGAAAATTCACCAAAGTCAAAGATGTGATGAAGAGATGCATTGAGATTTTTGCACAGCGGCATGTCTTCACGAGCGCAAGCATCACAGCCATGCAAAATTTGATAAGTAAGCTCAATGCATTTTTTAAATTGATTATTTTGAGCAATTCTAGATGCCGATGACGCCTATGATGCAGAAGAGACCGCGCTTGACATTGACAATGATGAGATTGTTCGTAAAGTGACCGCATTTATCACGGTATGATTTTCGATGTAACATTTCAACTAAATTTTTAAATTATAGGCGAGAAATGTGGTTTCGGATATGATGAAGTATGTCAATGACGGCGATTTCAATTACAAAGAGCGCATTCGAACCGGAATGAAAGATCGCGAGGAGGGCGCGCACGTTCTACAAGAGGTGCACGACGCCATTGACACCATGGTGAAGGTTCGGCATGCGATGGAAGGCCAAAAACAAAAAATGGTGGAGCTCATTGAGACACTGGAGCTCGCCAAACGCGTATTCATGCATCAAAAACGCGAGGTTCTGGTTGTCGAGGAGGTTGAATTTTTCTCTTTGGCGAAATTCGACAAACATTATTTAGGCGTACATCAACTTTCGAGACGGCATCAAAGCGGTGCACAAAGATCTACTCGAAATGGAAGCGACGGGAATCTATCCGGGAATCACGCCGCCGCGAAATGCGCCATCGCCGACGGCCGAAGATGATATTTACGCGACAGGCGTTGAGAATGCCATTCAACGTATTCTTCGAACATATATACACATATATGCAATTTTTATTGAATTTTAGACTTTGAAGCGCCTCAAACTTGGGATAATCGTCAAGCAGTTGATATGGAAATGGATGAGGAAGATCGGCCGCAAGAATCGATGCCGAAACTCGTATTGCCGCCGCCGCCGACCGCACCACAACCATCATTGCATTCGAGAATAATGCAGCTCGGTCTGAAAAAGATTGCCGAGGGCGATCAAGACGACGGTCAGACTCTTGCCGGCGTCGAAGCGCCAACACAACCCGACTTCACCAAACCGCCGCCGGCGTTTAATATGAGTGTGCCGCCGCCGCCGATGGCGGGCCTCAATGCGTTCGGTGTGCCATTGAAGACGCCACTTCCGACGGTGTCGCGGTCCATTCAGGATATTCTGAAGAGTATTCCGAGTGCGGCGGCGTTGAGCGCGCAAACCGCCGACGCGACGCGCAGCTCCTATCAGATGGCGTTGCAGCAGCACGGAATCGCGTCGACGTCGGACCGCGACGAGCGCCTCGCGCCGCCGTCTGCCTATCACGCCACGTTTGAGCCGAGAGATCCGGTTGAGCCGGCTGAGCCGAGATTTCCGGGGCTTGTCGATCCGCAGTTAATCGAGCCGCCGAAGCTATCCGATCCTGATCATAGAAGAGGTATAATTGTTTTTTTTTACATTCATTTATTTTCATCTTTTTAGATTTCCCGCGATTCTCTAGAGATGACCGATGGTCTCGCGGTGGCGGTTACGCGGATAATCGGAACTTTGATCGTGGCGACGGATACCGCCCGAGAGGTGCCGCCCATGATAGGCCGTGGAGAGGCGGCGATAGGTAGGAGTAATTCAAAATTGAATAATATTTTCAAATTAATTTTCCAGAGGTGGTCGTGGTCATAATTGGCGTGGTGGTGGAAGAGGGTATTCACGTTATTAAGTCTCGCTAAATGTTGCCTCACTTGAATATTATTATATTTATTTTAATATATATATTGTTTCTCTACCTCCAACAATTCCCTTCTTTATGAAAACAAAAAAATGAAATTACATTCTAATAGTATTACACCTTATTAATAAATTATTTATTTCTCATTCGTTTTTCTCATGCGGCTTGAGAATTTGCGAGGTTTCGACAACCTTTTTGTATTTAAAAAAAATGGGAGACATGTTTTGACGAATAATTCAGCATTTTTTTTTTGTTGGAATGGAAACGACACCCGATGGCTATGTCGTTGAGAAATGTGGAGAATGCGAAGCTGGCGATGAGGCCGATGATTCGGAGATCATCCGAATGCCGAAACGAATGGAGATTGCGGAGAGCGTGAAAAATTCCGACGAGACGATCGCAAGCAATCGACGATTCTGGAGGGAGTTGCTCGATTCGATGGGAATTCGAAAAGTCGCCGCACCGATGGTCGATCAAAGGTTTCTCGCAATCAGGCCGAGTCCAAGAAATGAGAATGGCGTTTGAATTGCCGCCAAAAGATTTTTTTTTTTGTATTTTCTCCAAAATTCTATTTTTTATAATGATTTACTAGCAAACATAATATAAAAAAAAGAATGTGACGCAAAAAAAACACGAATATCATTTGAATTGAAATTCTTGAAATTTAATTTCCATTTGTATCTTCAAATATTCAAATCAATGACTATTTTGAAGCGAATTGGCATTTCGAATGTTTGTCCGCAAACACGGTGCCCAGCTGACGTATACGCCGATGATTCATGCTCATTTATTTGTGAATGATGGCACGTATCGCCGAAATTCGCTGGCATTGTGCAAAAAGGATCGGCCGATAATTGTTCAGGTACAATATCGATTTTTTGAAGCGATATGCTCAATAAGAAACCATATACACATGAAAAAAAATTCCAGTTTTGCGCCAATAAAGTCGAGACCTTTCTCGCGGCGTGCCGTCTCGTTGAAAATGTGTGCGACGGTGTCGATTTGAACCTCGGATGCCCTCAAATGGTCGCCAAACGCGGACATTACGGCTCGTGGCTTCAAGACGAGATCGATTTGATATGCGCGATGATTCGAGCGGTTCGCGATTATTGCCGATTGCCGGTCTCGTGCAAAATTCGCGTTCGCGAGTCCCGCGCTGACACCATCGACTACGCGAAGCGTCTCGTCGAAGCCGGAGCGAGCATGTAGTCCTCAAAAGAATCGTTCATTCATTTGCGAATTGCGACACAAATTTAGGCTGACGGTTCATGGACGAACTCGAGAAATGAAGGGCGCCGACACTGGCCTCGCCGATTGGTCTCGAATCAAGGAAATTGTCGACGCCGTCGATGTGCCGGTCATCGCCAACGGAAACATTCAGGTTTTTTCTTGGTAACCTTCATTTCATTGAAATTGATTTCGTCAGTTTCCTGGAGACGTCGAGCGGTGTATTCAAGCGACTGGCGCGGTCGCTGTGATGTCGGCAGAAGGATTATTATATAATCCGTTCATTTTCGATGTAAAGTCGCTAAAAAAATGGGAAAATCGAATATTCACTTCTTTTTTTTCAGGACGAAAATGCGCACGTGGAAACCTGGAAAATTGCCAAAGAGTATTTGGAGTTTGCGAGGCGATATAAAGCTGGCACGAGTGCGATTCGAGCGCACGTGTTTCGAATTTGTCATCATAGGTACTTAGGGGTGTGATTGTCGATGAGAAGCACTCGAAGAATTTCAGCCTATTAGAATATGAAGATTTGCGAATGCGAGTGTCATTGGAGCATCGAATTGAAGACTTTGAGGATATTGTGGCCGAGTTGGAGACGAGGTGTCGACGAGACGCGCAGGGAGAAGAAGCGCGCGAGCGGGAAGCGAGGAGTCGAGAATTGTTCGCCAAGATTCGAAACGGTTTCCCGATGGACGCTCTCGAAGTCTCGAAACAAGTGCACTGGATATCGAAGCCTTATTTTCGACTATCTGAAGTTGCCAAGGAGTCGATTGTGGCGGACGGCGAGAAAACGTTCAGGGAAAAGCAGAAGGAGAAGTTGGCTCAGCAAGCGAAAGAGCTTGGAATTTCGTTAAAGTACTCCGTTTTAGTAAACCATTAAAAAATTGGTTTTGGTGATTTCAGACAGGCTAGAAAACGAGAACGCCGTCAGCTGAATGGCCAGCGGATAATGGCGGCGAAGAAGATGCGATTTCCGCCGTGCGCGCGATGCAAGCAGCCAGCTGGGCAGGGATGTACGAATGATAAATGCAAAAAATGCTGTCGATATCAGTGCAGGCACGAAAAAAGCGATTGTAAATGTGAGTTGAGATTTTTTTTCCGGCCCAAATTTGGCGGCAATTTCAATTTTCAGCGCATCGCTATCACTTTTCCGAAGAAATTCGGGTGTAATTTGTTGATTTTGTTGTTATTTGATATGTTGTTTTCATAAATTTGATAATGTTGGTTGCTTTTTTTATTCGATAACGACGTGAAAATAACACATTGAAATCAGTTTCGGTTTCTAAATGGGCGGCTATCAGTCAAGTGCTCAAAAACCGTCGAAACCTGAAACAACGCATAGAATCACAAGCGATCAGCCGAAAGTCTCCAATACGGCGTATTATAAGTTGCCGATGGCGGTAGTTTTAAAATAAAAAATCAATTCCAATTGAGATTTTAGGCAGCGCCTCAAGTGGCGAAAAAGAAATCGGAGCAAGAGAAAAAACCAATGAAGCACGTTGAAAAATTGCATAGCACTGAGAGTTCCGATTCAGGATCTGAAGAAATGATAAGTATGGATTATTTTTTAATTAAATAAGCTCGCGACCTCTTCACAATTTTGGAAATATTGATTAAATGCACATCTGCACAGTTTATGCTGTAAGAATTCAAATGTTGTGCAATCACGCCGCATGAACTCTCCGGACATGCATTTTAATCGACGTCTAACTATTTCAAAGCTCGAAGAAGTTGCGAGTTTTTGAAGTAATAAACAATCTTTAGTTGAGCTTGACCCGAAACTAGTAGCTGAACATTCATTGGCACCATTGTCTGATATTGATTCTGATGGTATTTATCTAGAATTTTTCGATGTTATACTTTTCATTTCTAGAAGCTTCCTTAAAAGATGACAAGCGAGGATCTACGAGTGATAAGGTGATTCAAACGTTTAAAAAATTTATTAGCATTTTATAACATTTAATAAATTAAGGAAGTGGCCGAGCGCAAAATACAGGAAGCTTTTTTCAATCCTCATCCGAGCTTCGTCTGCGCCACACCGGTCATTAGTGTTAATCGAGAAAAGGTAATAAACATCGATTTTCTAGAAACATGTATAATTGAATATTGATTCAGGTTATAAATGGCGGAATCATTCCCGAATTTGTAAGCAAGGATATAATATTTTCGGATGAATGCGTTGTTTATGATATTCCGCTGGAGACCGTTGGAATCCGATTGGTCAAAAATCGCATTTCTCGATCGAGATCCGATCCTTGGAGGCGACATGGCGCGCTTATGAAAATTTGCGAAGTATTGATTTTTTTTTGAAAAAATTCATTTTTTAAAGTAGATTGGGGGAACTATCCCGGAAACGAAAGGCCGAATGAAGAATCAAAGGTTCACACATGTCAAGAAGGGAAGTGCACCTCCTCCAGCTCCAAGTACTCTTTTCTTTTTTTTCTTCATTATTTTTACTATTGCAGAGACAAAACCTTTGACTACCGTCGACGAATTTATGATTTTCAAAAAAAAATCAAAAGAAAGCGAAAATGACTGAATGATATTTATTCAAAAAAATCCATGAATATTCAATGTACTTTAATTCTAAATGTATTAATTGCAATGTGATAGCGACATTATCGAGCACAATAAACATTTCTTCTTTTTATCTTCAATTTTTCCGAAAAAAAAAACGTTTATCAATATTAATTTTACCTTTATTTGAATTGCCGCACATTGCAATTCTCCATGGAGCGCGTTTGTGTACCATGATGACTTTACATTTTTATTTCAAATTTGTCCGCAATGCTTGTTGAGATTTTCAAAGTTTCAATTTTTTCAGGTGAAATCATGTCTCAAGATGAGTTGAAGAGAACATTGTAAGTATTTTACGTGAAAATCTCGCCACCTACGAAAAAATTTCTCAGAAACCCATCTTGCACCGGAACATCCGTGCTCGCCATCCAGTACAAAACTGGTGTCATCGTTGCTACTGATCGTGTTGTTTCGTACGGAAAAACTGCCAGATACAAGGTAGCCAAAAGAGCCAATAAAAGTGTCATTGCTAAATTCAGAATGTCTCTCGTCAATACAAAGTCAACGACAACGTTCTCGTCGCGTTTCAAGGAGACCACGCTGATTTCCAATGGCTGCAAAACGTCATTGAGCGTCAAGTTCTTCTCTGGAAGCGATTCGATCAGGATATTAGCCCGAAGGCTCTTCATGGATATCTGACAAGTCTCCTCTATGCCAGGTGGACTAATTAAAAAATTTTTCATTTGACACGATGCAATTTACAGACGATGCAAAATGAATCCATTGTGGAATACGTTGGTCGTCGCCGGTGTCGAAGAGGAAGAGAAGAACAACAAGGAGACGAGCACACCATTCATCGGAATCATTACCCAAAAGGGGTGCGCTTATCAAGTCAAGCACGTCGCCACTGGCCTCGGAGCGTACCTGCTCAATCAGGCGATTGAAGACGAGTTCCGAAAGAAGGGCGACGGATTGTCGCGTCAGGAAGCGGAAGCCGTTCTCCGAAAAGCCATTGAGTTGACCATCTACCACGATTGCGTCGCCGACAACGACTTTGAGATCGGTCGCGTCGACGCGCAAGAAGGCGTCGTTCTCGGCAAAGAAGAGACCGTCATCGGAAACTGGAGCATCGCCGAGACGAACTGTCAATACGAATAATCGCATGGCTCATTTTTCGTCACACATTTGAATTGTTTTAATTTATTCGCGTTTTATTTTTCAATCGGTGTACGCTGAGCAAATTAATTGATAAATTCGATCATTTCTCATTTTTTTTTTCAAATTTTCTCGTGTAATTCAGTGAATTTTTAACTCCAAAATGACATCGTTGTTCAAAAAGTTGACGCGCTCGCCGGCGCCCGTCAGAACACCGAAAGCGACGACACCGTCATCGGAAAAAACGGCGCCAAGTTTGAATTTGTCGACTCGACACATTTCGATTTGAATTGATCAATAATTCAGAAGGCAAAGAGCCGAAATTGAGCTATGATGAGCGAATGATGAAAAAATACAATTTGACGAAGCAACAATTGAAACAAGCCAAGTTTGTTGGGAGGGGGGATTCTCGCGAAATTGTGAAAATTTGAGGCATTTTCAGAAAAGAGGCGCATCAGCAAAAAGAGAATTGGATAAAATATAAGAAAGAGCAAGTTTTGGACATTTTTGGCTCGAAAAACAAATATGTCTCGAAATCGGCGAGCTCCGATTTGGTTTGGTGGTCTTGAGGCGAGCGTTTAAAGGCGCATCGGCAATTTTCTAGATGCATCCAAGCAAATATCGAGCAGTGGCCACCGTCGTCGGCAAAGATGGCAAAGAAATTGCGGTGGAGTTTGGAAAACGGCTCGAAATTCTTCTCGACACGTTTCGGCCGAACAACAAATTTGCGGTCATCCGATCACAGGTTGCGATTTGTTGTTTTCGAATTTCCCGCCAACATCGCATTTCGAACCAATTTCAAGGTGCACATTGAAAAATCGCTGGCGTCGATGGCGAATCGATTCAAAGCTCGCCACAAAATCAAATTGAATCTGAATCAGAGTAAAGACAAGAAGCAGAAGTATGATCAGATGAAGGGCAACGTTGAGCCGACGAGCACAACTGTTGGCCAAATGAGCTCCGTGCAGAATTCGAATCGATCGGATACCGACGTGTCTGGAAAAGACGATCCGGGTAAAAGAAATGTTCAAGATTATCCATTCTCAGCTCTTTTCTTTTCTAGAATTCAACACGACTGACACTGAGCAGAAATTGTTCTTAAAAGATTGGTATAATAAATCATCATCGAGGAGCTTGGTAAAAGCTGGAGCTAACAAAAAAGGACTTGGCCAGACATTTTGGATGGCAGATGAAGAGTATGTTTCAACTTTCAAGGGCTCATCCTATTTTTTTTTCTAGCGAAGATAATTCGCAAGCAACTGATATTGAAGACGAGGACGAAAAGAAATATTCTGTAACTTCCGACGTTCTTTTAGATGTGAGTTGCCTTGGTTTTTATTTTCTAGTTAATCAAGTAATCAGGTTCTTGAAAACAAACGCGAAGTGAAGCCTGTGAACTTCCCAGTCCCCAAGGAAGACGACGTCTATAGAAATCTTGAATCGATCGTGAGAGACATGAAAAAAAGCTCTAAAAAGTATTTTTGATTAACTGCCCCAATTATTTTGGAGCTCCAGGGAGGTTGTCTTCGCTAATACAGTAAAAGGAACCATTGAATTCGATGCGAAACAAAACACATCGAAATCTGCGCCGAAGGAGTCGACGGATAAAATTGAGTGGTATTCGAAGACTGAAACGCATGTGTTCCAGGGTCCCTATATGAAACGACCCAATAAAGCGAAAACTGGTTATACGAAGAAGGTTGAACCGCTCGAAGATATTGTTCGTGTTGAAGAATAAAAATTTATCGCATTTACTTAAATTCTAAATGGAATTGATGATTGGTCATTTTAAACCTAACGATAACAAGACATGTTTAGGCCTCGAGTGCGGCGAGTCTCTTTTGCTCCTTGACTTTGGCGCGAGTCTCTTTCGAGATGTAGTCTGAAGGGACGAGATATCCGAAAATGTAGCGACGTCCAATCATCTCGCCAACGAAGAACCAGAAGATAACTTCAAGGGCCACGGCGGTGTAAACGAGCCCCTCCTAAAAACAATATTTTGGATGAATTTAAAAAAAATTCCGCATACTCTGACGGTAAGATTGTTGTATTGTTTAGCCTGGATGAAGCTTTGAACCTTCTTGAAGTCAGCCTGGATTGCTGGCCAATCAGCGGACTTTGGTGGAGCGAGCTCGTGTTTGTAAACGGCCTTCAAAATAGCCAAACGGCGCGGATATTGAGCCGCTTGATGGCGGTAAATTGCACCAAGGGCGTTGGCAATTTTCTCAAAGAAGCTGAGCTTAGCGGTTGCCATCTAAAATAAAAAATAATTAAATAAAATATTGCTCTTAAAAAATGAACGGGTAATTAAAAATATAAAAAGTTTGTCTAAATATAAGTGATTACAAATACGAAGAAAATTTTATTTAAAAAAAAGTAAAATGATTAAGGAAAATTCAGAGAAAAGCATAATGGACTGTTCGCAAACTCGAAAAAAATGGAAAAATTACAGTAAAACAATTCGTGGCGAGAGTATTTTGAATATTTGTATGACAGTCCTTAACTTTTGTACTTTTCATTTCAATCAATATTTTCAAAAGTTTGTCATTTTTTAACTTTACATTTTTCGAAATCGATTTTTTTATTTCGAAAAAAAGATATCTAAAATGAAAAATTGCGAAGTTTGCGAATGACTTGCTGTGCGCACACGGCCGCGAAATCCACGGCCTCCCCCAGCATGCTTAAATTATTGGTTTTTTCCCTAAATTTTTACAAGTAGTGTTTTCCATAATTAAATTGGTATATTTAACTCGATTCAAACAATATTTTTAAGATGTCTTACTAATTTACCAAATTTCTATTATAATTAATTTTGTAATATTTTGTAATTGTTTCTATAGAATGAAAACTCGTCGCTTTTTAACACTTCGTGTTTTTCGCTAATTATAGTTTTATTTTTTATTTCTTTAAATAACATTAAAAAACTGATTTTGAGGATACGTTGGTTCTTGTGTAGCCACCTTGATATTTTTCAGCGGTGATTTTAGAGCGGCGAATAGCCGACATTTTAAGCCCACTTTGCGGTCAAAACATCATTTTAATGTGAACTTGACAACAGGTGCAATATGACAAGTTTTTAGAGGCCTTATTCCGAAATGTAGGCCGCCAGATGCAATAAATCAGGTTTTTGACGAGTTTTGTGCTCGAAATTATATGTTTTACTGGCTGTTCTGGTTAAATTCTTTAGAATTTCCCGTCAGAATGCCATCACTAACAACAATAATTTTTTTTGAAAACAAATAATCCTCATGGCCTCGCGTTAAATTCTCTAAAAATGCCACTATAAAACCTCAACGAATTCATTAATTAAGACCATAATTATTTACTTTGATTTTTTGTATTGTTTCTCTTTCTCGACCGTCTTTTTCTCTGTGTGTACACGCCTATGTGACTGGTCATCATCATTTTGTGACCAATGACACCGGCCGCGTGCCCCCCGCCGCGAAAGCTTTGATGTGTGTGTGTGTTCCACTCACCTGTCTCAACTTGGTTTCGCATTTTTTCCACTCTTCCTTCTTCCCCAAAAAGTTTCGAGACCAATGCTTAGTCAAAACTAGTGCCCGAAATTACTCGGCACTTGTGCGGCCACTATGCCGAACACTTTGCCGACAAAAAAAAAACGCAAAGCTTTTTTTGGGCGATATTGGTTTGAAGCAAAACAGTGGCACATATGATTCACGTTTTTTAGAAGAGTGCAAACACGACAATGGATTAACGGTTTTGTTTTGAAATCGTGCCGAATTCTGTGTATGTTTTGACTCATCAACGAAACTTTGCTCAATTTTTCTTTGACACGAATAAGTTTTAGCATAAACACGATCTAAAAATGTTTTATTGCTCTTTGTCTCCTTGAAAATGGCCTTGATTTGACAAAAAATTTTTTGATAATTTCCGTGGAGGTTCAATAATTCAAACGCGTGCATGCAGTTTTCCCCTTCAATTTACGCAAAAAGGTTTTGCACCACTCGCCAACATAAATTATCGATGGTGGTGTCCTCGTTCTGACCCCGTCGTGAAAGGGCATGCACTCGAAATTCGATTTGGTCCCGTCCGCTCGTGTCGTCGGCCAAAATGAGTCATCGCTCGGTACCAGATGACACTAATTCGCACCTTCTGTGTTCTCTCGCCAAAGATATTCGTGATAAATGCCTTCGAAGAATTCCCAGCTGGGAGAATCACATGCGGGCCGCGTTTTGAATGAAATACAAACGTCGTCCACTATTTTTTTTTGCTTTGGTTTCGATTCGTTTCGTTCACACCGCCGTCGCCGCTTTTTTTTGTTCTCGTTTGGCCTTGAATGAAGAGAATCGACAAAAATCGACGATAAAGCCGATGAAAATTGTGATTTTCGGCGCAATTTCCGGAATCATTATTAACGTCGATCGAGGGGGGTTTGAGGTGGATTGCAATTCTGATTAACAACACCATTCGTTGTGCGCCTAATAACCATATCGCAGATATCCGGCCGTCGAAATAGTGCACGATAGGCAGAGAGACGATCTCACGTTCGTTTGAACACCCGGCGTCTCTTCAATGGTGTACAGTGTCTCACCGCGTCGCCATTATAGTTGGGTGTACGTCGCGCTTTAACCTGTACCCGTTCCTTGAATATATTGATTGTTTTGTTGTTTATGGCTTGCTTCACACCTCATCAATTTCAAAAACGACGCCGCGATGAGTTCATTTCCTCAATTGTTGGAGCAATATTTGCGAAATCCTTGAAAAATAAAATATTTCAGGTATTTTTCAGCGCCGTTCATTTTAATAATAATCAATTCGAAATTATAAAAGTTCCAAGACTGTGTCTTTTCACATTAAATAATGTTCAATTTTTTTTCAGCCTTGTCTTTTTTAAAATCATAATCGTATTACCACATTCTGTCTTCTTATTGATTAGCAATAGTAATTTATAATTTACATGTCGGCTTCTGGGATTTTTGCTAAAACGTCTCTCAAGGTGCTTATATTAATAAATACTCGATTTTTTCCAATCTGAATAGCATGCTACGCATAAATTGCTTTTTATAGGTTTATGGTAATTTCTTATATTTTAGGCCTGTTCAAGTCTAATGGTTTTATGCAGATTTTTGTAAGAATCTAAATAAAACTAGTTTCTATTGGAATCTCTATAGAAGTTTTTACCTGTTTTTATGCATTTTTGCCCACGAATTAGCTTTTTGCCAAAATATGCATAGTGATGTATAATTTTAAACAGTTAGACGGCGGTTATCGGAAATCAATGGATTTTTTCTTTATTTAATCATTTTCAATTTGTATGTCTTTTTCATATGTCGAAAATTTGAAATATTTTAAAATTCCAGTTTTCTTTTCTACAAGTTGTTCTTCTTTTTTCCTTCTTTACAATTCCGTCTGACATATTTATTGTTCTATATTGCGTATATTTGAACCCGATTCAATTCTTTTGTCTGATTACCAATATGATTTTTTGCAGAACCCGCCGAGCCTTTCAACTCGAAATTGCCTTTTCATCGTCACTTTTTACCCTCACCGTAACCTTTTTTTTATATTCGATTTTCCAATTGATTCGAACGGATGCACGAACAAAAACGAAGTTCTACTGAATTCTAGGAACACATTTTCTATTTTAGGTATCGTGTTGTTGATTTTTGTTGTATTTAAATTTGAAAGTATTTCAGACTAGATAGATGATGCTGAAACCGACAATTGGATTATTTATATTAATTTTATGTGAATATGTACTCGCTTTGAACAATTTCATCGACAATTTTGAAACGTTGAATTATCGCGCGTCACATGTTGCCAATCAGGTAGTTAAAGTTTGACGTTATTTTTTTCTGAAAAAAGTTTCAGTGAATTTTTCGCCTATAAGCGTTTTATTCCTATTTTATAGGCGTATTTATTAATGTTTTAAAAATTCAAATATTTCCAATGCAACAACGTAAAAAAAAATAGAAATTAAATTAAAAATTTTTTTGTTAGGGGCCAATACAGAAAAAGGAAAACATCGTTTTTATTTCTAGATTTTTTTCTTTTTTTCCCTTTTCTGCGTTGCCCTATTGCAGAAAATTGTTTCACTATTATTTGGGATAACGCAGATTTTAAATTTAGTTTTGAAGAAATTCGTTTGGCAATTCGCCAATTGTTTCAGAAAATGTGGATGAAATATTGCTAGTTGTCCCCAGAGGCGGTTAAGTTACACTCGAAACTTGTCTATTATTTGATTTTTCTTTTGCTCTACAATCAACAAACTTTTGAAGGCTGCTCGTCGCAAAAGGTCGATTGGAACTGTGGAATCAATCTACGCCGAGCCTGTGAACATCCGATTCAACGCCTACAATCGCACGTTCCATGTGCAACTTCATCCAATCGACGAAGCCACTGGACCGTTTCATGAGAATTTTTTTGCTGATGAGAATGGCGAGACTGTTAATATGAAGCCGAGCCATTTTCTTTACGAGGGTTACTTAAAAGGTTAGCGGTTTGTCTTTGAATATTCGATTTATTTATTTCTTTTAAATTTCTAGATGATCCGAGGTCCTATGTGTATGGAAGTGTGTTCGATGGCGTATTCGAAGGCCATATTCAGGTAGGTTTTAAAAATCCCGAAAAAAGTGGAATTATACCCCTCAGACTGGCGATGGCTATCGATATTCTGTTGATAAAGCGGCAAAGTATTTCGACGCCTCCGAACGACCCAATCATTATCATTCGGTGATTTATCGTGACGATGAGATTAATCATCGAAAGTGGAGAGTGAAACGGTGATTAAAAAGAAATTGCACATCTTATGAATGAATTCGAAATTTTTGTAGAGATGCTGAACAATTTGCGGATCAAGGTTGCGGTTTGAGCGAGCGAGTCAAACGCGAAATGGCCGAAATTCAAAATTCTGGTGAACAGGCGACGGGCGATTTCTATTCGAACTATATGACGATGTAGGCTTTTTTTGAGAACTTGTAGTAATTTTGAGTGATGTTTTGTGTCTTCTGACACAAAATTTGGCACAAAATACGCAACATCTGAACATAAAAAGTGTATTCCATAAATCAGTTTGCCCCCACTAGAAAATTTTTTCATTTGGTGATCGTTCTTAGTTGCTTGTCATACATCACACCCGTCAAACGTATACATCGAGGACGCATCATGATAGACATGATCTTATTACGTATGATTTTCATAGATTCTTAATTGTAGGAAAGGTCGATCAAAGCGATCGACGCGCGATGAGAATGGTCTCTACTCGGTGCGAACGTGCTCGTTGTACATGCAAGCTGATCATAAGCTTTACGAGCATATTCGAATGAAGGAGGGAAATAATGATCCGATTCGAACACGCGAGGAGATTGTCAGCTTGTTTTATAACCATATCAAAGCGGTGAACGAGATTTACGAAGCGACGAATTTCAATGGAATCAAAGGATTGCATTTTGTGATTCAGCGCACTTCGGTGAGATATTTCTTTTTTCGGCTCTTTTCGTCGTAGTCTGTGGGCAAAAGTTCAATTCCACTTTTTGTTGATCGCATTCTTGATTAATGACAATTGATCGCTGCGCATTTCTTATCAATTTTGTAATAATTGCATCACACGACGACTCCGTCTCTCATCCACCCATTTTTAGACTGATCTCAGAGACGTTAAGACGCGTTTCGGTGTGATCATCGAATCAAAAACTCATGAATGAAAAAAAAAGTTTGCATTGAGATGTTCAAAAACCAGAAACGCAGAGTGATGCAATTTTTGAATTTGCAGATTTACACACCGCATACTTGTGAGCGAGGAAGAGCGAAACCCGACTCGGATAACCCATTTTGCGAAGAGGTATCAAAAATTATCAAAAAATTGTCAACTTTCAAACCTAAAATGCTCAGAATGTTGATGTCTCAAACTTTTTAAATCTAAACTCGCAAAGGAATCATTCGGCGTTCTGTCTCGCTTACGCACTAACTTTTCGAGATTTTGTTGGAGGCACACTTGGTCTCGCCTGGGTTGCAAGTCCCCAATTTAGTATGGCTTGATAATCGTACGATTTTATCATAGTCTTGCAATTTAGACACTGCTGGCGGCATTTGTCAAGTTCATCAGAGATATAACGAAGGCAGTCGCGGATGGGTGCATAGATCGCTGAACACTGGAATTGTGACATTGGTCAATTATGGTATGAATAATTCGAATTGGATTTGACTGATTTTTGTTTTTTTTTTTATAGGAAATCGCGTTCCCGCGCGTGTCTCACAACTAACACTGGCTCACGAAATTGGTCACAATTTTGGGTCTCCTCACGATTTTCCCGCCGAATGCCAACCGGGTCTACCCGATGGCAACTTCATCATGTTCGCCTCGGCGACATCCGGCGACAAGCCGAACAATGGAAAATTCTCGCCGTGCTCGATTCGCAACATCTCCGCGGTGCTCAACGTCGTTCTTCAAGCGGTTCCGATCGATCCGACGAAGAACTCGAATCCGGTTGGACTCGGCAAGAGGAATTGCTTCCAGGAGAGGACGTCGGCGTTTTGCGGCAATCAGATATTCGAACCGGGCGAGGAATGCGATTGTGGATTCTCGCAGGCGGATTGCGATCAGATGGGCGACAAGTGCTGTGTGCCGCATGAGCGCACATTGTTCAATGGTCCCGGACCGTGTAAACGTGTTCCTGGTGCCCAGTGCTCACCATCACAAGGATATTGCTGTAATTCGGACAAGTGCTCGCTTCACACAAAGGAAGAGGATAAGATATGCCGACAGGAATCCGAATGCTCTCATCATCAGACTTGCGATGGACGAAGTGCCCAATGCCCACCATCGCCGCCCAAATTTGACGGACTTCCATGTCAGGACAGCACAAAGGTTGGAATTTTAAGGTGTAATCTTTTTACTCAATTGGAGGGTTTTTTTTCAGGTTTGCTCGAGTGGAAGCTGCAATGGATCAGTTTGTGAGATGTTCGGTCTCAAGGATTGCTTCTTAACCGAAGGAAAACCTGACGAACTGTGTTTCTTGGCGTGCATTAAAGATGGAAAATGTACATCGAGCGTCCATCTGCCGGAATTCGCATCGAATCGCACCACATTCCTTCAATCGGGTCGCAAAGGAAAGTCGGGCCTTATTCTGCACCCGGGAAGCCCGTGCAATAACTACAAAGGTGCAGATTACGGTTATGATTCGATAGATTATGATCTTTGTTTTAGGTTACTGTGACATTTTCCGCAAGTGTCGCAGTGTCGACGCAAACGGGCCGCTTGCGCGTCTCAAAAATTTGCTGTTTGATAAGAAAACGATAGAGACGGTCACGCAGTGGGTCCAAGAAAACTGGTGGGTTGTGCTCGCTGGTGGATTGGTCTTCCTTTGCTTCATGGCATTGTTTGTCAAGTGTTGTGCTGTGCATACGCCAAGCACCAATCCGAACAAGGCGCCGGCGTTGAACATCTACCAGACGTTGACGAGACCGGGAACATTGATTGTAAGCGAAAGTTTCGGAAGAATTCGAGACAAAAATTCGTGTTTAGCGTCAACATCGTCAGCGTCATCGAGCCGCTGCTGGTAGCGCCGGTGTTGCAGTGCCGACCCAGGCGGCGGCTAATGGGAATGGGAGATCTGGCCAGTCGCGTCAAGTGACTTCCAGACCGTCGGCTCCTCCGCTTGCCATGTCGATGCCCAACCAGCCGCCTGTTATGGCTATGGGTCCACCAGTTGCCACTGGTCCTCCAATTCCATTGATTCCAGCAGGTATGAATTGTGAGGGGGGGGGGATCTGCTAAGTATTTAATTGAATCGTTGACCCTGATCTGGGATTGTTTCAGTGAGTGCCACGAACAGTCCGGCGGTCATTGTAATGGAACCACCTCCGCCATATACGGCCGCTGATCCTGGATCAGCAATGGGCGGTCCGAAGCGCGGACATCGCAAGAACAAGCGACAGACGGCTGCGGACGCGAAGACGCCGCAAGGCCGCAAGAAGAAATAGTAGACGACGTACGGGATATTTTGTTTTGCTTTTGATATTCACATTCAGCATTATATTTTATGGGTGCGCAGTGCGTGTATTCCCCTCGACGTTCTTCATTCTTTGTGTATTTTGGTATTTATTTTGTGTGTGTGTCTTGCCCAACAACCTCATAATATTTCACTTTGCATTAGTTCCCCTTATCCTATTAAACGAAACTTTACAATCAAAAAAAAACTCAGTCCTCCCATTTCGGTGTGTTTTTGCCCTCAAAAATATTACATTCAAAACTTTGTAAATACAAATATTCACATAATATCATTTTGGTGTAGTTTGTACACATTGACGAAAACGATGTGAAAAATCCGAACGATATAGGGCGGGGTTTAGATACGGTATCTTATCAGTACTCAGATAGATTGCGCACTTTTTCGCATCATTTCGCTTGATCTATGTCTCATGCGAAAATTTTCTTTAATTTTTTATGTATTTTTTTTAATTTTAATTATTTTTTACGTTATATTCCAAATGTTCAACAATTTTCGGAATTTGTGTTGTTTTTGAATTCTCAAGGTCGTTTATTTTGCATCATTTGATAATGACGAACACATTTAGATGACTATCAAACAATTCAACGAGACGGATGAGGTTGTGATAAGCAAGGAGAAGCTTCATTTCTTCGTGATGCAATGCTTAAGCAAATCGGGATGCAGTGTGGAGCACGCGCGCGAGCTTGCCGAGACTTTGATGTATTCCGATTATCGCGGTCATTATTCGCATGGAATCAATCGATTGCATATATATGTGCATGATTTGATGACTAAATCGACGGCATTGAGTGGTGAGGATTTTTTGTTGTTGTAAAATCAAAGCGATGAGTTTCATTGTGCGTGTAAAGTAATTCCCAGGAATTTTGCCGCGCTTTCGACAATGTATAGATTAGAAAATAAATAGATAACATCAGAAATCGCATCTAGACTTTGCCTCTAGCCGCTTTGCAAAAAGTGATTGATGAATTGATAATATCGTTAACTGAAAAAACGTTATCATTTCTACGAATAGTTAGATTTTGAAAAAAAATTTCTCCACCCATTGAACAAAATTTGAACTAGAAACATACATATATGGAGTAGACAGAGGTCGGCTATCATTCGCAGCGATTTGATCAAACATCGAATGATTATAATTGCGATAGATCATCAACTGTTTTCAATTTGTTCAAGGTGAGCCAAAAATTCTGAAGCAAAAAGGCTCAACGGCGTGGGTTGACGGAAATAACGTGTTGGGACCAGTTGTCGGGAATTTCTGTATGCGATTGGCGGTGAATATGGCGAAGGAGTTTGGAATTGGTTGGGTTGTTGCCAAGAACTCGAACCATTTCGGAATTGCCGGATGGTACGCAGATTTTGCTGTTCAGCATGGACTTGTGGTAATTGATTGGAAAATTAAAATTATTTTTGAATACAATGGATTTTCAGGGAATGGCGTTTACGAACACCTCACCTTGTGTGTTCCCCACCGGATCGTCGGAGAAATCGCTTGGATCGAACCCAATTTGCGTTGCCGCGCCCGCCGTCAACGGCGACTCGTTTTTTCTGGATATGGCGTCGACGACGGTAGCCTACGGAAAGGTATTAAAACCGGAAATTGGTCAGGCATTATCAGCGAAACGATTGAAACCAACAAAAAAACTTTCACTAGATGAATCTGTTTCTAAAATGGCGATGAAAATGTGTTGCTTCTCAAAAAACTTTTTTATATGCGATTTGTGTGAATTCTAGATCGAGGTTGCTGATCGCAAAGGAGAGACGTGGATTCCGAACGCTTGGGGTGCTGATAGCGAAGGCAACGAGACTCATGATCCAAAGGCGGTTCTCAATGGTGGCGGTCTACAGCCGCTTGGCGGATCGGAGATCACCGGCGGCTACAAAGGCACCGGGTTGTGCATGATGGTCGAGATGTTGTGCGGTATCATGGGCGGCGCGGCGTTCGGAAAAAATATTCGCCAATGGCAGACGACGTCGAAGAACGCCGATTTGGGGCAGTGCTTCGTCGCGATTGATCCCGAATGCTTTGCGCCCGGATTCTCCGAGCGACTTCAACAATTTGTGGATGAGACGCGAAATTTGAAGCCGATCGATCCGACGCGACCAATTCAGTGTCCGGGAGATCCGGAAAGAGCGCACATGGCAATGTGCGACTTTTTAGATGGTATCGTATACAAAAAGAAGCAGCTTGTCCACTTGGTAAGCTAATTTTTCCAGATTTTTCTTTGAAATCGATGTATTTTTTTCAGAAGGAGCTCGCTGACCGCTTGGAGGTTCCTATGAATTTGGACTAATTTCTAACTAGATAGATTTTTTCCTGTATAATCTCCTTGTTTTTTTTTGCATAAATCACCAATTTTGAACTATTTTAATATTATTGGTTATAAGTTGAATATTTTCTTCCAACGTGGAAATATTTGTGAAAAATTGTAATTTTTATTGGTCTTCATTGTTAACAGCTGACTATGATGACTGCAGAGGTCATGTGAACGATCAGGTTTCGAAATAAAAGATACAAAGAGCATTCTAGAACGTTAGGTAAGTAGCAACAGAAAGTTCAAAGCTAGTGTAGATTTACGTGCAGGTTACTTAAGGCGTTGACTGAGTATTTAATTCACGCACGCTAATGCGAACTTTGCGCTATGAGAAAAAATTTCCTGAACAAAATCACGATATTTATTAAACGACTGAAAGGGGCGGAGCCTTATCGACCAATCCTGTGAATTACATAGAAACCACGACGTGTAAATTTTGGCGTTGACTGATTTTATGGAAAAAAAATGAAAAAAAATCTGGTTTTTCACATTTACATTTACAATAGAATTTCTCGATAAAAATTGAATTAGGCGTCCACTTTTCAAAGAATTGAACTGTAAAAAAGTAAATTTGAGCTCAGGTTGGTGGTTTTTTTTTTTCAATATCGAAATATCATTTCTCATTAGATTCTTTGGACAACTCGTGTGGGACCGTGGGTAATTTTTTGAATATTTGAAAATTAATTTTTTGGTCATTAAAAATACCTTTTTAAACAAAATTTCTTTATAGAAAAAATGCAGAAATTGGTTTTTTTTCGATTTTAAACCATATGCGTAACATGTTCTCATTTATCGGCAACGTTTCTAAAATTCACAGATGTACAAAAAATGCAGTGACAAGACAAAAGACTGGGCGTTTGATTGATGATGTTTTACAAATGAATGTGGATAAACGCGAACAAAAGAAAAAAAACACTCATCGTTTTTTTATGGGGCTTGTGACAAAAGAAAAGCATGACGAATTAGGTATTTACAGGTAGATGAGCATATCGACAAACTGGCGAGGTGTTACACGTACTGACGGCGCGGTGCTCTCGCGAACGCATGGATGGCCGAGGCTGCGCCAGAAGAGCGCCTTGCAATGGCAACAAATGTGAATGAGATCGGCGTACAACTCGCGGCAGCCGTGGTATTTTTTCAAATCGAAAAACGTCTGCCGCCACGATTTTTCCGGCGTCTTCTGCTTTTGAATTTGGTGCTCTTGAAAATGAAATTGGCACAACGATTCCCAGATTTTTTGCTCGCTGTCAATCATGTGTTGAAGAGTCTTTGAATTTAATGATTATTTGAATTTCTACGTTTTTTTCTCAAATTTGATTACCTCGTGAACTTGAGCGGTTTCCAGAAGTGCACGATGATCGGAGAGACGGCGAAGAATATGAAGAACCACCTGCGTTCAATTAAGGCATTATTGAATTGGAATGGGAGAAATGCGAGCGAACCTCTCGTGGAAGATCGAAAAAGGTGAGCGAGGTCTCATCGGCGTCGGCGGCGGTTCGCACGTTTCGCTCGGTGATCAAATCGAGCAGCGAGCTCGCCGTCTGATGATGGCGTGTGATGAGTTGCGGCGAGCCGCACACGTGAACACTGTCGAGACCGTTGCCGAAACGCGTGACGAGCTCTTTGGCGGTGGTGAGATCGACGTCTTCGGCGTACGATCGGCACGAGATGGCAATGAGAATCGAGAGAAGCGATTTGCGCGCGGTGGCAGAGAGATTTTGAAGTTTCTCTTCGACTAGAATTTGAACAACCTGTAATTGCGAAAAATTAGATGCATATAATTTTGGCCGTAAACCAACCTTGCATATGAAATTGAATCGCCGCACATCGTTAACGGCTCTAGCGAGATCTAATCGGTGGAAAGCTTCACTCATACTAGTACAACCAATAAACTGCAAGAAAATCCCATTATTTTCAAACGATGACATCATTATTTTGAAATACCTCTTTTGAGTTGCTTTTTACAAAACAATGCGGAATCCAATCCTTTTCGTTGGAATCTAGAAATTGAGAATTTTATTATTAAATCAAGATTCGTTGGGACTAACCGGACTCGTCTGAGTTTGACGAGTCGCTTGGCAGTGAGCCAAACGACGAGTTATTCTCCGAATCATATAGTGTGAATTTTGGCGAAGAGGTGGCGGCTGGCGGCGAGCCGTCGCTCGTCGGAATTAGTATCGGCTCCGAGCTGATTTGAACCGGACGCAATTTTGTGCGCTCCCAGCCATTGGTGTGCGGCGTGCGCACCCAAGTCTCGCCGGGAGCCCGCCAATCGCGGCCGATGAACGGCATCTGGAATTGGGAGCGATTGTGTACGATACGATACGAAACGCGGCGATGCGATATCAGAAAATGAGCAAATGAGCGAACACCATTGTTTTGCGGCGAGACGACGAAAAAAAAACCTATCGCGAGTGGGCCCGATAAGCGTTTTTTGTTCGGGAGGCAAATACATAGTGAATGAGAAAAAAATGCGACCGATACGAGAGCCGGGAAGCAGCTGATCGATGTCATATGGGAGGAGTCGAGCACTTTCAGGGCGGCCGGGCCGGCGGGTCAATTGCAAAAATCCTATGACGGTCAGCAGCGAGAGCCAGACGATTCGAATGAACTTTGGAATTTGCTCATGTGAGACGTTGATGAGCACCTGATAGCTCATTAGGCGTCTTGCGACAAGCGCTACCTAGAGATTGATGAAATTGAGAAAGGATTCCAAAGAGGTCTATCATGAGCAAGGCTTGGCAAAAAAAAAAGTTGAGCCAGTAAAAATGCACAACCCTCGTATTTAGAGAGAAATCTAACAACAAAAATTGTGCAATCACGGCGCATGATGCTTGCGGACTTGCATTTTAATTGACGCCTAAACATTTTTTTGCGAAAACGTGCGAGGTTTATTTTTAGAGCTGAAAATGTGCATTGAAACGGTCGATTCGCGACACCAGTTGTTACGGAATTGAGACCATCTAGTAAACATTTTATATCTTATCACTAGATAACGATGGCTTGTTTTTGGGAGTGATGATGATAGTTAGCAAAGAAGAGAAGCGAAGGAACCATTATTCAAATATATGGCCGAGTTTAGTGGTGACGACGGCGACGAATGGAAAATAAACATTTCGTCGGCCGGCAAAAAGTTTATGCGAAATCTAGTATTTATTACAAACACGCATCGCCACGCCCCCTCCCTCTCCTCTTCTTCGTCCATTGAGGGTCGGAAACAAAAAATTGGCCGAAACGGTCGTGTGCCTCTATTTATTCAGGCCATTTTGTAGGGCGTCAATCGATTCGATCGACAGCCAACATTCATCGAGTAGGCCACACACGTTTCTATTCATAATGGTGACCCGTCAAGTATATATATATATATATTTGTATGTTGGGCTGCTAGCAAGCCGCCGCCACCGATAATTACGTTGTTATGGCAGCCAGCCGGCTGCAGTGTGAATGGGTGAAAGGTGGGCATCGGACCATTAATGAAGTACATTGAAATCGGGGCGAGCAGGTGTGCTACGCTTGACACCTAGACGAAGCGGCGGCTTAATGCGTGCCGAGCATTGTTGACGGCGTCTAGAGCATAGAAACTGCGTGCACCTTTAATGAATTGTATGCAAAAAATTAGAAAACTCGTTAAGTGGCCTCAAACACCATCGATTTTGAGCTTCTAATTGTGATTAATTATTTTTTTTGTTATTCAAATTTCTATAAATTATAATAGAAATTGTGAACAGAATCGCGGAATTTCAAAAAAAAAGAAATAATTAATTAAAGACTCATTATGCAAAGAATTTTTTGGGTCTGGGGGCGTTTTTTTCAGAAAAAGACTAACTCTAGAAGATCTTGCTGAAAATTGATACACTGAAAAATGCTATTCTTCGTTTTTTTTAAAATTTTTTTGCCATAATTGCCACTAGGAAATTGGCATTAAAACGTTTTGATCTACCCAGATAAACAAGCTTATTTTAAACGTAAATCTGCAAAAAATTATTTCTTTTCAAAATGAATTGGCCAACAAAAAATCACTCGCGAAAATGTTTGTCTTTGCTCTTTCGAATAAACAAATAAACATGTTGATGAGGGGAAACGTGTTTTTTAAAGGCAATTTCTTGAGATTTCGATTGTGGATAATAAACATCCCGCGAAAACAAAAAATATGTTTTTTTGCATGCGAAACCAGTTTTTCTCTGGGTTGCCAACTCACACTTGGAGGGGGTTTGCCGATCAATTTTTGACCTTTCGATTGGGTTTCGAAAATTCGGACGAGTTTTTGCGTGAAATGTGGAGAGTTAGAAATTTGAATAGAAATTTTCTCTGCTTTTTTTTGTTCACCAGAAACGCATTCGACCAAAAAACTGATGGAGAAAAACCACAAACAAGCGACAATTTGATTCTAAAAAAAGGCAGAAAGCGACAAAAAAAAAGAAGAGATGCGAAATGTAGATAAACGAGAGGCGGCGACGACTTTTCGCCAGCCGATGCTGCTCGTGCATATATGCGCAATATATAAGCTGGAAATCAGCTGAGACCGACCTTCGCCATGCCGCCTGCGTCTCTGCACTCTTATTGACGCGTCACGCAGACACTCGGGCGTGTCGAGCGCGCGCGCGCGATGCCCCCAAGATGCGCGAAATTGTTGTGTCGGCGTTGTGTTTTTTTTATATTCTTCTTCTAGTTCTTTTTCTTCTTCGTCTATTGGCTGCTTCTCTTTTCATTCTTGAAAACGAAACAACAAAGAGCGCTGCTTGCTGTAATATTGTGTCGTGTTGGACTGATGGCAGACAAATGCATACAAAACGGGTTGATGTGAAATTTGCAATTAGGGTCGGCCGTCGAAGAAAATTGAAAGTTTTTGGTCACTTTTGATTTTGATAAGATATGGGAAAAAGGCGGGTTTTCGAAAAGCACGACGTGTGAATTCACGAAGGTATTGGAAAATTGAATAGCGAGCGAATTAAAATCTAATTTTTAGGATTTCAAATTTCCTGGCGTTTTTAATCTAATGCGGGTATTTTTTTCTAAAAGTGAATTTGTTAGCCAATTTAATTTGGCTTGGCCAAATTTTTTTGTTAGTTTATTTTGGAGCATTTTGACGTAGTTATGCCAAAAAACGAAAAATTGTGTTTTCCGACTGTCTGAGCTATAACGCAGTGTAAAGTTGTTGTTAGCATTACGATTTGATATGATTTACTGAGTTTCTCTCCAATTAGTCACAACAGTAATTTTCAAATTAAACGCGATCCTTGCGGCTAATCGCTCTCATGTTCTTCTCATTCTCGAATTGTCGATTGTCGGTTCGATTCAGAAAATCCATTCGATTCAGAAATCCGCCTTTTCCGCGATTGTGCGACTCGAGATCTTCCTGGAAATTTGTCGAATCGATTTGGCTGGATTTAAGAAATGATCCAAAATTTACCACTAATTTGTGCTCGTCCTTAAACGCCATCCAATCGCGATCAGATTTTTCGAGGACTGAAATTTTTGAACGCTTCGACATTGTCAGAGCGGCTTCCATGAGGCCAAGCCTTCTGAAAATGGGGTTATTGAGAAAAAGGATTAATTTCGTGGGAAACTTTTTCGGTGGAGCTTTTTCGTCGCTCTTTTCCGGTTTCGGGGAACCCTTTTCTGCCGTTGAACCATCTTCTGACTGAGAACTTGAGCATTCGCTAGCTAATGCTTCAATTTCATCGGGCACCGATAAAGATTCTTTTGAATTTGACGCAGTAGTATTAGTAGTAGGTGTTTCCGATTTTTCGGTCCTCGTCAATGTCGACGATTGATTTCGACGAGCAGCTTCAACGAGAATTGGATCCTCTCCGGTTAGTTCGGCGAATAAAGCATCGACGTCGGTGGCAGATGATCCTGAAGTAGAAGCCTCCGGTGTTTTTTCTTCAGTATGCTCAATTTTCTCGTCTTCGAGAACTTCGGCATCCTCGGCATCGTCAATCTCAAATGAAAAATTGAAAATTCGTATTTTTTTCAAACCAATACCTCGTCTTGCTCATTTATTTCATCATCTTCGGGATTGTAGTCTTCATCGTCGGACGAACTGAAGTTATCAATTCAATATTTTTTAAAATAAAATTAGAACGTACTGATAGTCGTCGTCATCATCTCGAGATGCCATTTTTAGAGTTGCTGAAAAATCTGTTTTTTGATTATATTTAATATACAATTGAGAAAATTAGAAATAGAGCGACTTTTATGTGTCTTATAAAAAAAATATTCGCAAAAAATATTCGAAAATGAATTTAAAATTGAATGACACTGCAAACAATTGGAAACATTCAAATTACGATGCTCGAAAATTCGAAAAAAAGACGGAAAACGCGCACACCGCAAATACGCCAGCACAAACACTGACACGTTTTTGGTTTACAATAAAAAATTTAAATTTGGAAAATTATTCGGATAATTTCTCAGAAGTTAATGGGATTTTTTGAAAAAAAAAAGAATTTCTGAAAATTTAAACATTTACTTATTTTCAAATAAAATGGGAGAAAATTTTGAACTACCTGAAATTTAGTGTAAAAATGAATATAATAAAATATACTTTTGAATATATTTTATTCTTCTTTGGGTTGCGTTTATTCGATTGCTCATTTTCAGGTGAAATCGAACAAATATCATAGTTGAAAATAATCATCGAATTTTAAATTTTTTCGAAAGAAAATACATTGAATATTTATGTTCAAAGATATGCGTCAAATTTCTCTTCTCAAATTTTCAGTTTCGTTTCAAATGCTTTGTATTACAGATCTTGGCTGGTCCCAGAAGCTCCATAAATGTCGAGAGTAGCAACGTCTGGTGGCACGCACCATAAAAATGTAAGTCCATTGTACCTCGTCAGAGTTCATTGAAAATTTATGAAACCCGAAAAAAGAGCTCAAAAATTGTCATCGCTAGTACCCATAAATTGACGTCACCCATTGGTGTGTGAAAGATACAAAAAAAACTAATTTTGGTGGCCCTCCTTTATTTCATGCATACATGGCGAGCATTTGCACGCTATTTTAGGCCATAAAAAGTGGCCCGTGGAACGGAATCGAATTCGCAAAAAAAAAGAGAGAAATTAATGAATTAGGTTCATTCTGTGACACATTCCCTTTCAAAAAATATATATTGTAAATATTATTCTGACACGATTCCCTTGTGAAATCTAATTGGCTTTGTCAATATGAGAACAAAACGCCTATCTTCCGCTGAATTAGAGATTTCCTGCACAAAAGTTTTGCAGGAAAAAAATTATTTGATTTAGTTATCTTTTGCTGTTTTCTTCGGCGTCTTCACGATTTTTACTATTCTTTGTTTTCAAATTGATATTCTCGAGAAAACCCCAAATGTATCATTTTTGGGATGTCATTTCGTTTCTTTTTCTTTTTTTTTTTAGCAAATTTGTCCGTCGAACCGCAAATCTTCTCTTCTTTTTTTCGATTGTCACGACTTTCGATATTTTTCTCGCCCCAATTGAATTTTCCCGACACCAAGAAACGGAAGCGTCTTCCGATAATAATGGGCCCTTCATCAATCTCTTTCGAGGGTCTTAAAGCGATTATCCTTTAAGTTCGACTCTTCTTGATTTCTTGCATTCGTCGAAATCGTGCAGTTTAGAAAAAAAAGAGAGAGATAGCCGAAAACGTTTTTGTTCCCTGACAAGAGTTTTTTCATGCCTTAATAAGATTTAACATCGAAGATTTGTGTATAGGCGGAAATTTAATGATCTACAAGCCCCAATTTTAAAGCGGGCTGAATATCACGAAAAATACTGCTATAATAAAAAGAGACAAACTGAAATGTATATATATGGAACGATATAAATAATATTCTCAAATTTCGTCCATCCGAGAATCCTGCGAATGTTTCGAGCTGCGGACGTTCAAGCGGTCCCACATCTTTGCGTGCGGTGGCAGAAGGAGGAAAAAATTGCGAAAAAAATTTTTTCGCATTTTTCAAAGACCTTTTTCTTCTTCTTCTTCTCACGGGAAGCTCTTTCGAAGGGGGATTTTTTCAAGAACATTGGTCATTTGTCCATATAAACGTGAAGGAATCGACGCCCTCGGCACTTGTACGTCTCGCCGCCTGCTGCTCTCTCTAGATCTCTTTTCGATGGTCCCGACACTCGGCGATTTTTCCTCATTTTCTGCCACCCGTCCTCCTCCACCCGTTTTCGCGCTGCTTCTCGTTGTTCCTCCTCCCCCCCCCTACCCCTTCAGTTTTTTTCTGTGTGTGCGTGTGCTTTGCCTTCTTCTTCTTCTTCTTCTTTTTCATAATCCATGAATCCATTTTTTTATCGATTGGATCGGATTTCACACGGCGTGGGGCTTCTGGTTGGAATTCTTGGCATTCTTTTTTTGTTTCCGTGCGTTGTTTGACTTGAAACTCTAACATTTGCCGCCTGCTATTGAGTTTCCTGTCGAAGTTCGCATTTTTTTCTTTCAAAATAATGCAAGTCGTTGCACCTAGTTTTGCATGCTGACATCATTCTAGGGAGTCGATAAAAAGAATGGCTGGGTATTTCGAAAGAAGGGTGTTGATCGATACAGATGCCGCTCCTTTAATTATTATTTTCGTGATTCGCTGAAAAATGAGCCTGACGCATTTATTCTATATTTTTGCAGAAGTGTGACTGCGCGGGTCACCGGGCCACAAACCATCCCCGAAAATATTCCCGTACGCGACGCGTGGCGCGGCGTCGACGACGACGACGATGACGAACGGTAGCGTTGAATGCGAGGTGGCGACGTCATCATCGGCGACGACGTCTTCGGACGCGGCCGCTACGACATCACCGCCGGATTATGCGACAGCGTCGACGACAACGCTGCGCTCGACGCCGACACAAATGTCGGCGGCCATAACTGTGGATTTGGTGATTGCCGCGCAGGTTGGCATTTGCATTATTATTTTAAAAAATTTTGTTTGATTGAAAATGATTGTTTCTCTTCTTCTCGCGAATTTAACTCGGATTCTTGGGGTGGGGGGGGGAGCGCCTATGTCGCGCCATTTAATCAATCAACCGCTTGTCAATCATTTTGATGTGGCGAGCTCAATTGAATTCGAATTTGAGAACGAGCGAATGAGTCGCCAAAATTGGTGTTATTGCAGAGAGAGGCGAATTTCCTGCGAATGATTGACCGAAAAGCGCCATTACTGTATGAAGCGGATGTTGTTAATCAGGCGATTCGACGATATGAGACCTATTGGCTTCCGATGCAGGTTTTTTTGTTGAACGCAATTTCAACGATTGCTGAATGTCGACGATTCTGTTGTAGGCGGCGCATCCGGACTTGAATGTGATACCGCCGCTAGACGTTCATTGGATATGGCACACCCACATGTTGAGCCCGATTCATTACCAAGAGGTATGATTCAAATTGAGGAGAAAGATAAACGGCGAATTTTTAGACAAGGGTAGGGGGGAGGTGAAGAAATGTGTGTTTTCCTTGTCAAGACGGAAGAACGCATATTTTTTTGCACGCCAATCTATAATTCATAGTAGTAGTTTGTCGTAAAAGGCGCCTAGTCGAAAAGCGAATCGGTAATTTTGTTTTCTTCCCGTCTTCCCCTCTCAAAAGTTTTTTTTTCTCCCTGCTCGACTTCTTCGTGCTTCTATCTTCGTTTCGCGAGTCGCGCCTAAAAATTAAGTGGGCTGCGGGGGAAGCGGCGCTGCTCAAATATGGAATATTGTGTTTGAGACAAAGATCGCCGCCCCCTCCCCTCTTCACACGTTTCATCTTCTGACGTTGAATTCCCAATGGGACACTATGCACCAATATTTATACACATCCATATATATACATTGCATATTTTTGGAAACAAAACATGCACATTTATTTTTGTGTGTGTGTGTGTGTGTGAATACCGCGGGTTGTTGATGCACTTTATGATTTGCAGGATTGCGAGAAGCTGTGCGGAAAAATTGTCGACCATAAGCTGCTGTCGTCGGACGAGATTCAGAAGAGGTGAATAATTGAGATTTATATAGATTATTTCTGAAATCGGAAAAGTTGCTCGCAGAAATTTGAGAAATTACCCGTATTTTTTTTAAATTGTGACATCATTGGATCGGAGGAGCCGACGAGAAAAAAAAAACAAACGAATTGGGCGTTGCTTTTCGAAAATATACTACCCTGGGGATCGATTTTTTGCGCATAATACATGCATATTTGTTGAAATTGTTTATACGCGAAAATTTTTTTGCGTGGCGATTTTTCGATCTCGACACATATTTTCGTGAAATTCTCAAAAAAAAGAAACGAATAAATTTGTCCGAAATGTGACACTTTGATGGAATGCGGTTTTCCAAGGCAACCAATTCACAATAGACTTGTATACTAAATCACGAGAATGGAAAAATGAATTTTTGCTTTTTTTTGTGAATTCGCATTTCCTAATTTGCGGGGGACTTCATTTTTCGTTGTTGCAGGTATGAGAGCAGCGTGCGTGCATGGGATTCGTTTTGCTCGCCGGAGCCCTATGATTTTCTGGCGAGCTCGACGCCGGCGAACGCCTACAAATCGAAATGCGACTATGATATCGCGGCGGCGGTGCAACGCCAGCGAAATTTCAACTATCAGGTGATGGCATTCAATCAAACCGCGTTCGTTTTTGCTCGCTTCTTGTGCGATTGGCTGCAAATTTGTCAAAACACCAATATATATATATTTTTTGCTCGCGTCTGTCTAGATTATTTTTTTAAACGCCATCGTGCCGCACGAAAATGTGTCAAACGGACGATTAGGCGATTGAGTTGTTCTTCAACGATGATGGCGAACAGTTGGTGTTCCGTCTGCGTCAAATATTTTAATGGGTGATGTGGAATTGGACGCTTGGCGCCGATTCTCGCTCGTTTGTTATCTCTTCCGCGGATTTTTGAGATGTGAAATTGGGGGTGGGTGGATTCGAGCGGATGAAAATTGACAAACTGGCCGAATTGCGTTTATCATTTTTGACTATGCAGATTAAATCAAGAAATCGCGAAAAAAAATTTCTAATGTCAGAAATGGTCTCGAAATTGTGTAGTCCGCACGGACAACACTGGCGTAAATGTAAATGGAAAAAAAAAACGATAATGCGAATAATACTAGACTATGAGAACTTGGAAATCTTCAGGTCTCGCTTCCGCACTACACATCAGCGAAATTTCTTTCGGACGCCGTCAAACGGTACATCCAATTTTTGTTGCTCAAACAGACATATTCGGATCAGTTTTTGACGCCCTGCTATGATTTTGACATTATTTGGCATACGCATCAGGTGAATAATTTTCATCATTGTTTTAATTTTTTTCTCTTATTTTAATCACTTTTTGTTGTAGGTGCATCCATCGAGTTATTTGCGAGATTGCACTGCCATATTTGGCGCATTGCTGAAACATGATGATACGGTAAATGATAGGACAAAAGGAAGCAAATTGTTAAAGGTAATTCCGAATAGAAATGCAGATTTTGGGAAAATACTTTAAAATAATGTTGATTCAAACTAGATTTTTTTAATTGAAAATTTGCATGGTATCATTTAATGATGTATTTGAATTCCCGCCTTCGGTATCTGATGGAAAATCCCTTGTTAGAAGCGAGTTGTGTTTAATTTAACCATCATAAGGTCAAATAACGTTAATTGTAATTTTAGTAATTAAATATAATGTCGAGTTACGGAATAAGTGCACGGAATCAATAAAAAACTCAGCCCATAAAAATTCAAATTTTAAATGTTGTTGAGAATTTAACCAAAATTTATTCGATCTTTTCTAATACTTAATTTTTTTTTGTGCGAATTTCTAGCGACAATTTTTTTCACGATTCTATTTATTAAGAAAATTATTCTTCTGGATAATTCTGGATTTATTTCAGGGTGAAGCGTTGACCAAAAAATTATGGACAAGTCATTTTGATGAGCCTTTCTGGCGTCGTGGATGCATGTTTCGGTATCTTTGTCAATGTTTTATTTCCTGTCAATTTTCGTGATTTTCTAGCGGTCACAATGCGCCGGCATTTCTAGGATTTGAGAATCAGGATCTGTCGAATATCGCCTATGGCGATATACATGTTCCCTCAATTGCCCTCAAAGACATTCCGGTTCAACGAGAGCAACTTCGTCTCAAACTCACATATGGCAATAAGAAAGTGACGACGTTCAATGCGGATTTGTCGCAGAAGCAAGTCACCAAGTCAGGATTCTCATTGGTTTGGCAACCGACGGAAGCTTCATCGTCGGCGTCAATTGTGAAGTTTCCGTTTGAGCGGCGAGCGGCGAAAGATCTCACCGTTGAGTTGGAGATTTTCGATAAGGTGTTCCTTCAACGAAAAGATTTGATCAAACTCGTCGGCAAGGCAACGCTGGATCAGTTGTTGCCACCAACGAACTCGAAGACGGCGCACACCGTCGCCGAAATCCGTTTGAAAGCCAAAGAGGGCGATCTGGCGGCGAAAGTGAATGTGACGACGAGCGTCACGTTGAATCGAGAGCTTCAATTGGTCGCCGGCGATTTCGTCGAGCGTCAACTTCACGCTGATTCGCATTTGACCTATCTCTGCCAATGCGCTTCGCTGAATCGAGGCTCGCTGACACCAACGTCGACGGTGCACATGGCGACGCATAGTGTGTTGGATACGCGTGATGGTACGAAGTACACGGTTCAAGTTGTGCATTCGGCGCCGCTTCTTCTTTCGATGATCCTTGTTTATGGGCGAGAGCAGCGATTGCTGGCGATGGCGCATTTGATAGGAGCCGATTCGCTTCCGAGCCGAGAGCAATTGGACAATAATTTGGTACATTGCTCTGTCATCACATGTTCTTAATTGATTGTCGGTTTTCAGCAATTCCTTCCGCATCTATCAAACGCCGATGAACGCGCGTTTGTGATTGTGAACAAGGATGGTGACTATGCGATAATTAAAGGACGATGGACGGGATTCTCGAGGAAACAGGTTGTGGCGGCCGTCAATTCAAGAAGTTTACTAGCGTTTTTTCAGTCAGCCACTAAAGGCCAAAAAGCGAAGCCGGGAAATGCTGGAAGATTATTGATTGACGCGTTCAATTTGCTGAAAAACACGGTACAGAAGCTTGAGGTTCCTTCGCCAGACAGCTCAACACTATTTGTGATCGGAGGTGATTATTGGAAAATTTGAGAATCTTCTTTTATTATTATTGTTTAGATGCTCAGGTGAGATTGCCCGGCAAGAGAATTGAATGCCGATCGACGAATACTGCTGAGCAGATTGCGAGTGTCTTTTGCGTTTCGACGCTTTTCGTTTTGTGCAATCCGGACAAGGTGAGCATTTTTGAGTTATAATTCTCTTAGGTCTTCAATCGAATATTCTTGCAGGTGCGGTCTCGCAACGACAACACCTCGGTCGGCCATCAAGCTCATAAATGGCCGTTGACATTGGCGTGCGGCTACGGTCGCCAACTTCCGTCGAATCGAGCGCTGGTTGGCGGCGAAGGCGACGCGGGCGCGACTGGATGCGAAATCGCGCCGCTTTTGATGTGCGGTGTCGGATGCGACGGAGCCGCGTGCGGCGCGTGTGGCGCGTGTGGCGGCTGCGGTGGTTGCGGCGGATGCGGTGGATGCGGTGGCTGCGGATGAGGTTATGTCGGTTTCATTTTGATCGTTTCCAAAATTGCGGGCCGACCCCCCACCCACAATTATCTAAGCAAAACATTCCAATAATTTGGCATCATCCTCATTTCTATTCTTTCGTTCCATCTTCCCTCTCCTCCCTTCTTCTGCTCGTATTCTAGTCGTCGAAATTGGTTTTTTTTTATTGTCATCCCACTGGTAGAATATAGTCAATGGTGTGTGGTGTTTTGCGTGGTTATCTATACCCATATTTAATTATTCAAATAATTATAAGATTAATAAATAATATTTTTAACGTTTGCCACAAAAATTGCAGGTATTAGGGTTTCGATCTCACATCTAACGATAAATTGCGAGTCGAAAAAAAAATGAATATTTTTATGAGTGATTCGCAAAAGGAGTGTCTGGGCTCTTTATCAACTACGTTGCGGAGTCGTTGCGGTCACTTAACTATACGTATAGTTAAAGGATCATAACGAGATTATGTCGTGGTGCCCGATAATAACCATTTCCGTAAATGTAAAATAAAAATTACCCAAACATATGCTTTATTGATAAACTCTTGGAAGTCCTTAATGGTCCATATATGTAATTATAGCCTCAAATTTTCTTAAATTATTTAAAGCTTAATCGTGAAAAATATTTTTTAGATTTTCTCTTTATTTTGCCGAATTATTTTCATTTTAAAAATTATCGAATCGTGAAATATCAGATAGTGTAGGTTTTCAAAGATTTTTTTCGGGGTTTTCCATGTTTGTTTTTTTTTCAAAATTTTTGAATTTATCTGAGATTTTTTAATTAAAAGAATACCCGTTGTGAAATTCATTTTAAAATGAAATTGATTTTAGACCGATGACTATCAATGTTCTAATCTTTGAATAAAAAAATTGTCAACAACAAAATTGGTCGAGTATTTGCCTTCTTTTAGTGCTAAAGATTTTTGATCATTTCGACGAACCTTTTTTCTCTCTATCGGTTCGAATAATCTAAACACTCTAAATTTTTTCAGGCGATGATGCCAATCAACCGAAGCGAAAATTCGTGGTGAGTTCCTTTATTCATAACAAAATAAGCCTTATTACGAATAAAAAAAATAGTGATTAAAAATTGGGGTCATCTTTTTCTTTTTCTTCTTCTTCTTCATTTTTTTGGTGGCGATTTGAAAACTAGAAAAACTAGGCAAGGCAAATTCGGTGCCTAACAGTGATTGGTATTCGGTAACGAGAAAAGGGGCGGGGAGGATGATGAAGAAGGCACACGCACACGTTGATTCTCCCTAGAGGAAAACAAGTGGGTTCGGATGGTCAAAGTTGGGTGAAGAGCTGAAAAAAAGGGAAAACGAAACAACAATGAAATGCGTCGAAAACCGGCGTACGGTTTTTGTGGGGTCGGAGGTTACCAGTGTCGGCACCGGTCTAACTAGCATATGAAAAGGGTATAAGTTACATACACACACAACTACGAATGGCGTTGATGTCAAATGTACACGTAAAGAAACATCGAGGAGCGCGCGAATTACATGAAGAAGCAAAAAAGAAAAAAAAAATTGGAGGAAAAAATAAGATGATTAGACTAGCGAGACGCGTTTGAAGCGGCTTGTCGGCGAATCGAACGGCGGCGGAACCGACGGCGACGCGCCGCCATTGGTTGGCGTCGCTAGTGGCGAGCTGAAACTGCGATGGTTGGGATTTGGTTGATCGAAAAACGAGGATTGATTGATACCTGCTGTGCGATGATTGCGACGGCGAATGCGATAGCGAGACGCGTCGAACGCGTCGCGTTAGCTCTTGAAGATCGGTGACAACGGTGCCCACTAGTGTTTCCATGTTCTCGTGCTCGTGTCTAGAATTCAACAATATGTGTCAACAATTGAATTGGTGATGTCTTACATTTCTTGCGCCATTTGCTGCAACTCGTGCGTGATGTTGACGAGCTCTTTCGGCGGATTCGAGTTGGCGATGATCTGATCGACGAGCAGCCCGTTGACGACCATCTTGAGCACATTCAAATTGTACTTCTCGGCGATCAGCAGCATTTTTTTGGCGAACGACGTGTCCATCGACTCTTGGATGACCTCTTGGCAAATGAATCGCTCCAACTCTTTGCGCAGCGCGGGAATGTGCGCATAGGTGACGCCCTCGAGAAGTGTGAGCACATCATCGAGGAATGTCATCTCACGTGAGAGCACACGCTCGAAATAGATGTGAGCGAACGTCTGAAAGAGAAAAAAGAAGGTTGAGCGTGTGTGTGGGCAAAGGACGACTCACATTTCGGACGAGATGATCGCACACCTCTGTGCTCGTGTCGTTGCCGATGATCTCGTTGAGCACCGAATCGACGCCGTAAATGAAAATGAGGCGATGAATTGTGAATTTGTCGGCGTGCTGCTCATCGACGTGCTCGAGGTCCGGAATGCGAATTTTGCCGGCGACGACGTCGTCGACAAACTTGTGGCACGCCTTCTCGATGCGTTGACTTCGGAATGCCGACTCGACGTCGGGCAAATAGTTGAGCGGTTCGAATAGCGATGCCTTCATTCTGAAAATTTTTAGAATTTTTGGATACTGAGTATTGAATGTGGGCACGCAGTTTCGCCAACACATTTTTTTTTTTTCAAAATTTTTATCTATATATATATATATATATACTATAATAAAATGCAGTCAATCGTATAGTAAATTTTCCCATCGTAAAAGCGAATGTGATGGTTTCATTAATTCAACAAATTTGAAAATTGATTTTCACACGATGAATTGTTTTTTTTTTTTGTAATATTGCGACCGCTCGAAGCACAATGAATCCTTCGCGTTGGCTCACCTAATCTCGACAACCACAATGAGATTGGACTCGACGCGCTCGTGAATGAATTTGGTGAACTCGCCGCGAATATCCTTGCACATGTGAATCGGCCAGCCGCTTCCGCGCTGAAATTCGGTCTGAGCGAGACTCAGACCGTTGAAGACGGTGTCGCCGCTCAATGGGTCGATGAGTTGAGCGCGCACCTCTTCGACGGTCACCTCCGGACATGGTCCTTCCTTGTAGTAGAGGTGTAGAAGGGCGTGACGCGTCGAGTCTGAAATCGGCGGCGGTTTCGATTCGGGGCGCGCCAAATTGCATCGATGTTCTTACCGTTGTGCAAAAGTACGTACTCATCGGTGAGTCGAAGCGCCCATGTGAATTGCACGTGCTTGTAGGATGTTGAGAACGGTCGCGAAACATTTAGAATTATAGACTCGTCCTCGATTTGTCTGAAATCAAAAAGGGCGATGTCTCTGAGTTTGGCTGATAGCGTTTGGCGATGTGAGGGGGGCTCCGAACAGTAAACAGTGCATCGTGTCATGCTATCAGCAGTTTCCAGATGAAATCGAGTTAGTGATAAGAAGCAGCGAGCGAAAGTGCTTATCGCCGAAACAACACCCGGCACATCTCAACTTCGCCATTACGATTTATCGCGAAACTAATAATAATAATAATAAATGTCAATCAAACGTTGAAATTTGAATTTGGCGCTATTCACGTGAGCACTGTGTATAGATCAAAAATTGGCCGCTCGAGCCGATTGTTTGGCAGTAAAGTTTGTGTTGTTTTGATGTACTCGGATGTGTCGACGAGCCGACCAACCAACCAATCAACCAACCTGCTGCAGATTTTAAGCGGCCATGAGTGTTGAAACGAAATCAGTGAATCGTCGGCGCCAGACGTTGACGCAATCGGTACGGCAATATCGTCCATCTGCAAATCGTCTAGTCTGATTTTTGTTGCACAATGAAGCACAAATGAGAATGATTGGGGGGCGACGAATCAAAATAATAAGCGACCTATCACGGTAGTGTGTTTGGGATCAAATTGGAGAAGGAAGGCGGCATGGAAGACGCGGCGGCGGCGACGGCGGGCCCCAGCGAACACGTCAGAGACAGCGAGACGGCAGACTGTCAGAATCGGCCGGCCACGCCCCGTCCGACTTCATTGCCACAATTTTTTCCGTTTGTCGGACTGAAGTGGCTAGAAGGCGAATTTTCATGATTAGGTTCGAAATCGGGTTGCGTGCACTTGTTGCTTGGTAGATCACAAATGCGAGATTTTGGGATTTTTGAAAAATGCGGTGCTATTTTTTTGTTTCGCTTTTTTTACGATTAGTAAGATCAATTCGTCTTCCCGAATTGGCAACAATAAATTTTTGTCGAAAAAAGGAAAAACGCCCTCAATTTTTTTGGTGTGTAGATCAAAAATCGGGCTTCTGCGTTTCTTTTTTCTGTATAATTTGAAGCAAATTTTGTATAGTTGTCGGCGTCCTCGATATCGTGTGTTGGCGATAATCATCGAACAATGAATGAAACATATCATTTGCTGTTTTTTTCCCCCTCACATCAATATGGTTCAACAACCATAGATAGTGTAGAACAAAGGAAATTGAGTGGGTTGGGGGTTTTTTTGTCAATTGGCTGTTGTCGCCATAAAAAAGGAGATGGAAAAAATTTATCGAATTTGATTTGGTTCGACACCTGATAAACCGAACTGCATCTTCATGTTGGGCTAGCCACGTACGACGGGCCCCGCTGATAAAACTCAACTCCTGCGGCAATGAGGAACAAGAATTGCAATTCTTTGGAGTGGCGTGAGCTTGAGGTTGTGACATAGTATAGAGAGGGAGGAAGAACAAAAAACGGCGAGCAAAGTGAGCTTGATGATGATGGCGATGATCAACGTCAAACAATTGAGTGAGGTAGTGACCAAGAAGGCTCGGATTACACTTTTCGTAACGTCAAGAATGAGAAGCCGATGAGAGCAACATTATAGTGTCGCGAAGGGTCAAACGTTCAAACCGCGACGAGTCCGCCAATGGCTGGCTTCATCGCCGATACGATTCGAATCAGACGATGTGCGGCATTCTAGAACAACGTTTTTTGCAAGCGTCTCGTGACGACGCATTGCAATAATTTTGACCTACACCAGTTCGCGTCAACAACGACGAAAAAGAAAATGGGCATGAAATCAGAAAAATAGGCGAGAGACGTGTTGTTATGATGTCGTGCCTTCACATGATTATCAGGCGAACAGCGGCAATCATTTGGATTCAAGAAAAAATACATTTTTTTTTTGGAAAATTTGAAAAAGAAGTGATGGTGTTCGGTGTTCCAGGTCATTTGCAATCCAGTATTTCTGTTGTCCTCTAGCCAAAAAAGGTATGTGTGTGTGTGTGTGTGTGTTGCGTGTCTCGGATCGAAACATTTCTTTTCCTCGGCAAACAATTTGAATGGAATGGAATCCGATCGTTCTCCGGAGCACCTTCGCCGTTTTTGGTATTGAGCATATGAGTAAGCAAACATCAACATGCGAAAAGACCAAACCATTTGATAATCACCCTTCTCAAGCTCGCCTGGTGTACTGTAGGCGTCTCAAAAGACGTTTTGTCAACACCATATTAGGGGGGGTTGTTATTAGGCGAAACGGTTTCCTGGAAGGAACCTGCCTTGTCGATAATGGGTTGGCGACCGGTTTTGACGGATAGGTGGAGCTTGATGGTCCCTAGAATGATTAGTCCATGACACGACTTTTTCTGGAAATCAAAAAGCAAAAAAGAAGAAGAGGAAGCCGAATGTTGATTGTGGAGGGGGAAAAAGGCATCCCATTACACATTCACAAACAAAATAGAGACACACTGAAACAATAAGGGGGGGGGGCTGGGGAAGCGCAAGAGGAAATTATTATTATTATTGGAAAAACAAATAAATGTTTTGATGTTGATGATCAGAAGGAGGCCGACGGGGGGTGAGCAGCATGCATGCAGACGATGGGGGGAAGTGGGGGGGGAGGAGTTTGTGGGGTGATTGCATGGTTTATTTTGGATTTTTTGAGAAGCGCTGCCCAATGTGCAAATATTATTGAAGCATTTAGGCGGCGCGCTTTCGTCTCGACACTGCATATATACATAATATCAGAAATCAAGCGAGCGCGCATTATTCAATTTTTTTGTGGGTGCTCGTCGCACCGCATTCAGAAGAGAAAAAAAACGCCAACATGGAGGAGCACGTGGTGTCGGACCAACGAGAGGAGGCCGAGCGTGAGCTAGAGACGCAGAGATGAGCGCGAATTATGAGCAGTCGACCAAAAAGTGCACCATCATTGGATATTTTGTGCACTATGATGATCTATGGGGGTTTTGGTTTGGGCCATATATGTAATTGATTTAAGGGATATTTGAGTTGCGATATTTTTTTAAAAGGCTGAGAAAAAATACAGAAATGGAGATTTTTATAAAAATTTAGAGCACACATCTCATTTTGAATTCCACCATTTGGGACCATCAATTAATGTCGCACAAGGTTTGTTCCGACGGACCCGGAACTTTGGGTTCAAATTTAAAAATGTTGATCATCAGCCGTCGAGTTTCTTTATTTTTTTTTTCAATTTTCCCCTCTCCCGTGCCATCGATTTGTGTATATGTGTTTTTTTTTTTGCTCGGCTTTTTTTTCTGGGTGTGTTTTTTTGTGTTCCTGCGATTTCCTCGCTAAAACACAAACACAAACAATCAAATCGAGGCGCTATTTGTTTGATGATGATGATTGTTGTTGTTGTTTTTGTTGTTGATGGTTTTCAGTCAGCTTGAAACGAACTCAACGATTTTATGCTAGAGTTGATTTACTAATGGGATGAACAACGAGCAGGCAACAAGCGACGACGAAACGAAGGATGAGCAATAAAATTGCGAACACATTCAACACTCAAAGAAGAATGAGGAAAAAAAGAAGAACGACTATGTGGAAAATTGGAATGTGAATTATTGAGAGAGAGAAAGAGAGAGAGAGGGGATCGTTTGTCTAGACCACTCAATAGGGGGGGGGGATGATAACTGGTTGAGACGATCGGATTCTTGATCGATGTTGCACTTTTGATCTACCTTTTAAAAATTTATGATGGTGATTCTGTTGTGGCGAGAAAAGAGAAGACCAAGTTTGTTAAGAGCTCCTACCTAACCTTTTGACCTTTCTCATGAAAGGTCAGTGACGTAAGAAGCTACTGACAAAACTATTGTGAACAATGGGTGACGTCGTGTAGTTCTTGCGAAGCAACTTGACTGATATTGTTGTTATGATGATTATTTTTCGGTTGAGCTTCAAACCATGTGATTGAATTAGAGTTCGAAATAGAAGCGGTCAAGCAGAATATCACATGAGGCTCAGCGCGCATAATTGATACTCGGAATTGCAGCCGATTAGTAGTCGATTTTGTTTTGCTCTTTTAGTTGTGGGAAACAGCATGCGAGACATCGAGAAGCTCAAACATCATTGTGGTGCGAACACCTGCACTGTACGAAATTTCGTTTTGTTTTTTCTGTTGCGAGCTTGATCTTCTTCGGCGTCGTTAAAAAATGAAATACACACGCACACATAGAACTCATCATCGCTTGTTGTGTCTGACGACGACGACGACGGCGAAAAATAACAAAACGAATGACAAAACACATAACACACTCTTTGGGGGGGGTTCTGGGGTTTTTGATGGTGATGATGGAAAAACGATGGGGGAAGAAGCGCGACTAGTGACAATCATCGTTGGGAGGCGCAGACAAAACAAAATGATAACAAATGCTTTGGCAACAGCTTCATCGTGCCCCCCCCCCCGAGACAATTGTCGTTTTGGTAGGGGGTGCTGGAAAGCACAAACTACAATTTTGGGGAGGAACAGCGACACCTGATGATTTTTCTGGGATTCCGCGATGACACTTGAAAATTGTGGTGTTACAGTAATCGACATCGACCTTTGCGCCTTTAATAATTGTTTGCCACTTGGGCCAATCTTCGTGCTGAGATAAGATAATCGCCCGATGAATCGAAAACATGACGAAGGTGTCATTTAAAGGATGCTGCAAAAATTGGGTGCGCGTCCGATGAACTTCTTTGCTGCAAGTCCACCGGAGTACTTAATTGGTAAACGATGGTAGGTCAAACATTGCGCACGGGCGCGCACACACCACCAACAAGGTGGTCGCACTTTTGGTGAACAAACACGAACACAAACGTTTTCTTTATTATTTTTTCCATTTTTTGGAAAATACGGTTGTTTGTGTATGTGGAAGCAAGTGGTGTTTTTAAAAAGTGAGAAAAAAAAACCGCCGACGATTTGATGGCCATGTTTGGGAGATGCGAATTGACCCCGAACCGGGATCACTACGTCACATAAATTATTGATCCCTGCTGATTGGAGAGCGCGAAGACTTAATCGAACATCACTCGGTCTTCTCGCTTCGCCCCACGTGCGGCGGAGATCACATGACCGCCTACGGTAATATAGCGATGCTTAGGCGAAGGATTGCACTAAACGTGTGGTTTCGCAAGCGGCAGTACCTATTTTGAACCGAGACTTGTCCTTCATAGTCTTCTTCTTCTTATCAACAACACAAGTTGATGAAAGTTGAATGATCGTAATCTTCAAGGGGCCAAAATTGAAGGTAGATCAAATTACGTGGCTAATTTTGGTGACTCATCGTCATCGGCGATTCGAAGAAGTTTAAACTAGAAAAATGTTCGTCATCGAAATCGAGTTTTGACGTTGCATGCGCGTTTCGTTTTTTTTTTTAGCGAAAATCCGATGCCAATCAAATCGATCGACGTTGAAATTGTAATTCTCGCACAATCGAAAATTGATGAACGAATATCTGTGCGGATCATCGACTTCCGATTGAGCGATCATTAGAAAAATCGCGAGTTTTTTTTGCCAGAGTGTTTCTCGATGAGAAAAAATTTTGATAAATTGTCGTTTTGGTCGATGCGCCAACTGTTTCAATTAAAAGTGGGTCGCATTCCGGCTCATGATCATTGAAAGTCCAACAATATATAAATAGGTTGAGAATGTATAGTTAGCATAATTTATGATGATTAGCAACATGCGAGAATTGAAATACCTGCAGAATAAACAAACAACACACCCATGAAATTGTTGTTGATGTTGTTTTTTATTGGTTTTGCACGGGAGATTGATCTTTGGCAAATGTCGCAAATATTATTGAAGGGACGATTTTCAGATGTTGGGTTTTGAGAGGAGAGGCATTCAAGATAATCACCACTATCTGGCACATTAGGCGTCAAATTTCGCATAAATGTTGTTTTATTGAAAACACGAGAGGTCAGAGATTGTGAGATGATTTTTTTTTGGTAAATTCAAATTTTGGCAAACGCTTGGTATTGCTGAAATTTCAGATGTATCTTTATACGATGGTCTGAAGGATCACAAATTTCTACAAAATTTGTTCTAATTTTTTTCTATTTATAAATGTTTTGGGAAATTTGACAGAAATTTTTTTAATGGGCGACACTTTAAGGTGTGCGTTCACACGCACGCAAAATTGCACACATTTGATTATTTTCATTGAATTCTGCTTCAAAAATCATGGGATTTTGAGACAATTTCTTTCAATTTTATATTTTGGCAAAAACTAAAAATTTACAGAATTTGTCATAATTCTTCAATGATTTGGCTTGAGACAACAGACGGTTTTTTTTAATAAAAAAAAAACGAGAATTTGAATTTTTTGCAGATTTCCTGTCAATTTTTTGCAAATAATATTGGAGTTCGACCTGACTCATGTCATCGTTTGATCTGGAAGTGCACCGCGAAATCGAAACGACTCGAATGTTATTCTAGGTGCGAAGTGGTTAGTTTTCGCGTCGAGTCTAGTGTAAAAAACGTGAGTTGAAGCAAAACCAACGAACTCTGATCACATGTTTCCATCAACGCGGTCCACTTGGTACCCAGAGCAGAACCCTCATGTGACTTACGGGTCAGTCAGCCAGCCAGATGTTGTGCCATCATTAATTTGAAGTTGCAGAAATTCCGCAAGGCACAAATGATTGAGGTTTTTGGGGAATTGGGAGAATGACGCTGACCAAACTGGTAGCGAACTGGTAGTTTAAACAATACGTCTGTCTAGAGGATGTTTGAACATTGAAATAAAATGTTTGTTTAGAACTGACAATGATGATTTCTGGCAAAACTTATGCAAATTGATTCGACCCACTGTTTTGGGGCGGTGATTTGGTCGATGCGAGGTTATATGCTAATATTGGCTTTCAGAGCACTTTTAAGAGGATTTATGTGCCGTTCGGGTTTTGTCGAACATTTGGAATTGTCACGTTGTTGGCCTATTCTTTGGAGTTTTGCCGTTTTTTTTCCATTTCCAAAAACGAACAAAAAAATGCAAACATTGAGTCCCAACCGATTAAGGTATAAACATTCGATGTAATACAATATAGAGGTAGTGAATTGTCGAGTGGGGGCCACAAAAAAATGTTTATATTTTGAAATTGTTGTTTATTTTCCAAATATAGATTGATATTTTTTGAGAAATGTTGAAAGTTGTGCATCGACGGGGTTTAATTTGTTTTTTGCAAAATATTAATTAATTAAAAATTGTCTGAGGAATTCAAATTTCTAGAAACCAATCAAATTTTAAGATTGAGGGTTTTTTCGTTTTATGGGGATTCGCGAAATGAAAAAAAAAACTTCTCACTAGCAATAAAAGTCTCCTGCTTGTGCTTTTTTTCTCAATGAAACTCAATTTTTTCTAGGTGGAGATAAAAAAAATAATTGCAAATCGGTGTAGTCGGCTTGTTAACAATGTCAACGAATTGTTTGTTTTCGCCGCCGTCTCCAGACGCGCCAAAATTTCGAACCTGATGAGCCTGACGGCAAACAGAAGGAGAGCAGCAAGAACGAAGACGCGTAAAAATAGAAAAGGTGTTTTTCTAAAGTGTTGGTCGACTGGTTTCCACGAAATCGGCAATACGTAATTTTTTTTTTCAGAGTGTGTGATTATTGTTGTGCGAAATGGTTTCTGAATGGACCGCCCGATGCTGGAAATGATGATGAATGTGGAAAACGCGCCGTTTTATTATTTTTCTTTTTGGGTGAATCATTTTGTGGAAGAATATTCCAATGGGCAAACGGGGGCTTGTTGAAATTTGGAAATTAAGGACTAAAAAAATTTTTTTAATAGACAATATTCTTTAAATTTTTCTGCATGTCCATTGCAGTTTTAGAAGGAATTTTAGAAAAAAACTGCATCATAGTTTAATGATAGTATTTATATTGAAACTCTGGAAATTCAAATCCAAAAAATGTACCACTCGGATGCGAATTTCCTCTTCAATTCCGCTGTGGGACGAAAACTAAAAGTTTTTTTTTCCACAGGGAAATGAACATTTCTCGGATTCACCTTTCAATTTTTTTCTCATTTCCGAATAGCTGGATAATTTATAGAATTCTGTGTTGAATGGACTTGATCCGAATTTCAGGTATAATTTTTCCATTAATATTATTTTAATTTTGAATATAATAATTGCAATCGCAAAAAGAATGAGCACGATGCGCCGATTTACGATGAGTTTTAACGGCAGAAGCCGAAAATTGAAATTTGAATTACCGCCAGAAAAATATGATACACACGATGGTCCAAGAATACGTCAGAGTGCTCGTTTTTTTTTTGATAGAATAATAATAAATTACGCTTTTGTAAATCGACACATATTTTGGGTGATCCGATTCTACAGCAGAGCGCGTACGACTTCGACAATATATGGAGGAAAAAATATTGTTGAACGTGCTGAAAACGAGATCGGTTGTAAGGGAGGATGCCATATGCATTCCCTAATCTAGAGAATCCGATTGGGCGCGCGTGATCCATTCTGAGCTAAGTCTAATAACTATTTAAGTAATTTTGACGATCAAAAATTAATACTTGATGGAACATACTAGGATTAGAAGTTGAGAAATAATAATGATACTATTCACGTATCACTGGAATTGAAAATCAGCGGTTGGCGAATTCACCAAACTCTGCCCTGCCAATGGAATGATTTAAGAAGCTTTAATTCGCTTTTTCAAGAGTAAATTTATGCTGGATTATATATTGTAAAATTCAGCGAATGTTTGAGGCATTCATTAGAATTGTATTGACACTTGCAAAAAAAATTATTTCTCTTTATTTTCGCTGACTTCTTCAATTTGGTTTCATATTCCAATTTAAAATATATAATTCTTAACGAAAATATTAGATAGTATTTGAAAATTATGATTGTTTCCAGGAGAATCGCAATATTCTAAAACTTCAAACCGGTTTCGTTAATTTTTGAAACATTGTGATACTGTATCTGCATACATCAAATATTACGCGATTATTGCGTACTACGCGTTTAAAAATTTGAGCCGCCCAAAATGTTTTATTTTTCTCGATTTTTTAGTATATTCACATTGTTTTTACGTTATATTTCACATCAGTTTTCATTATTTTGTATATTTTAATTGCGAGAGTTTAATTTAATACCGAATACTAACAATTTCGCGTTTTTCTTTGCTTGTTTTTAGAATTTTTTTTAAATAATGATAACTTAGTTTATTTCGCTAGTTTCTTTCGTAGCATATTGGGAAAAATACCCATAAAAATATATTATCAATAATTTCCGGTTATCTTTATCGCATGAGGTGAACTATCAATAATTGATCAATGTGGAGCGAAAAACAACTTAATTTGTTATTCGTCTGCCTCGTTCTATTAATAGCTATCGATTTTGATTTATTTTTCTAAAGAGGATGTTATCTATTTCTTAGATGTTGTCCTTGTTGTACTTTTTGTTCGAGAAACTGGACGCCATTGCTTTTCTCAAACTAAACTTCCACTAATCGATTATGCGATAAGGAGAATATATATATATATATCTACTCTCTTCTTTTTCGAAGATAAGTGCATTTTATTTATTGAACGGTCCGAAGCTACGAATGAAACGAAATTTTTTAAAGCGAGCAATATAATTTTTTTATTATTTAAAATCAAAAACATTTTCAATTATATTACGAGATTTTTTGTTTATAGTCTAGAACTCATATTTTATTGCCTCTAAAATTTCAAGATATTCAGATTTTCTAGAAACTTCAAAACAACGCTTCGAATTATTAATTCATATTATTCGTAATAATATTAAGGTATTATTTATTTAACAAAGCCACAGGCCAATTAATCTATGAAAAAAAAAACTTCTGTTTGAATGACGTCAATTTTGAAGAGAATTGTTTTTGGGAATCGCGAAATTGAGAAAATTATTCGCTTCACTTCAAATATTTCGTATAAATGAATATTTCAAGCTGCATTTTCGTACCGTTTTCACGTCGCCAAATTTTCTTAGATAAGCCCCACACATATTATAAGGTATTATTTTTCTTTAGTTTAAGAATCGTGAAATATTTTTTCCGGAAGAATCTTTTGGACATTTTTATTTAGTTTCGCAATATACACATTTAAAAATGCCAAAATTTTGGAATTAAACTGAACCCGCATAAATCGAATTCGAGTTAATCGAGCATTGGATTTTGTTTGAATCGACTCCCGAAAATTTGCAAGTTTTCCTTAAAAAAAATATGAAATCATTTTATTTCCGTATTGAAGTCAACTAGTTTGATCACGTTGCTTATCAATGATGCCCGATGATAATAGTCATAAACGGAGATTGCGAAATGCAATTTCAAATTCAATTTCGCTTCGAGACTCATTCTCGTCCCCCTCCCACGCCTCCCTCCCTAATCAATGCTCAACAGCGACGACGGAAACTCTCGCCGTCGGCGTCTCTATGACCCGACACGCGTTGACACCCCGCTCAAACATTCACTGAGCTCTCAAGCAATGGCACATTCTACTTTTTTTACCCCATTCCTTTGCCTTGTGTGTAGTTTTTTCACTTTTTTTGTTTTTTATACAACTATGAAATGCGTCTGGTTGCGAAATCGTATTTTTGTTTTATTATTTCTTGTTTTAACCGTGGCCTTTAAAAGAAATTTCGTCATTTTTAATAGTGCCTCTCGTCTTGGATTTTATCAGTTGGCCCGTCAACTATAATGGATTTTTATGTGTTGCTTCAGCTTTAAAACTCTGGAAATTTCGTAAATAATTTAGAATGAATAATTGGAACTCATGTGACCGATTAGATTTATTGTTTTTTGATCAATTCCTCTATTTTTAGAGCTCTTCTCTTCTCGCTCATCACGAGTGCTGCTTGAAAATTAATGAGCTCCTATTAAGAGCTCATGAAACGAATTGTTTTCCTGTCTGCTAAAAATCATTTAGTAAATTTTTCTGTGTGACACAGCGTGATATTTGAGATTTTGAGAAAATTTAAACTCGAAGCCATATATTAATGTCGAGATTCTAGAAATTGTTGCAATTGTTGACCGGAAAATTGCAATCTGCTAGATATTGGCTTACGACGTCACGATTGTTATTCATGAGTACTTCATTTGATTCCCATTGAATGCACCTGAGGATTTATTTCTTTCTTTATATCCACCTAATTCGTTTATTCTTGTTATAGCTACAGTAATCCGTTTTGAATAATTGTGATTATTTTCAGACTTTCCGCGCGCCCTTGTTTGTCGCTCGGATAGCCAACCTTCGGACAGAAAAACTACGCTCAATTCATCGTCCCGTACACTCTAAGGGAAGAGTGTGTATGGACGTGTGCTCCAAAGCTCCCCATCAAAACAACCAAGATTCCCGTCGCAGAGGAATCTAACGAAAGTTCAAAACCGCCCGCTGGCGGTAGTGTAAGTTGAAATTAGTGCGTTTGATTTTTTTGAAATTATTCAATAAAATTTCAGATTCTTGAGCAAATCGCTCTCGTCGACATCTACGCTGAACCACTGCTAAGAGCTAGCCAAGTTCAGCTTGACAAGAACGCCGAGCCGCCGTGGGATCCAGATCCGATTGCTTGAGGTTGGTATTTCAGCGCCTTACGCCTACATGATTGAATCACCAAAAATCGCGATCTAATTGTTGATTAGAAAAATTAAATTCAAAACAAACATCAAATTTCGCTTTTTATAGTTGCTTATCATATAATACGTAAATTATGGGGTTTGAAAACATACAACATTTTTGTACTTCCCTACATTTAAAAGAAACCATTAAAACTAGACCCCTCGTGATTTGGCTTATATATTTTTAAGCTGTTGATAAATTATCAGCGAATAGGGCCCTTATCGTTGCCATTTCGTGACAAGCATTTTGAATGAATAATTTTTTGCAGAACCTACCCGAATCTACGTGATCTACCGATTGATATCATTGCACTCTCATCCTACGATTATCGCCGAAACTCGAAACAGTTTCGAATCCCAACCGTCTCTTATTTCGCTTCAAAGACCCGTCTTTAATCGAGTCTTAATTTCAATCGGGAGCCGTGCTTATTAGCATTGCTCTTCGTTTCATCGCATTTCAAAATTCCGCTTCGTTGTTCAATCGTCGCGGTTCGTCTCTGCCCCCCGGAACTTGTGTCGTGGTGTTCGCGTGAAGAGCTCGCTTCGCGCATCTCCAACAACCGGCATATTCCGCCCTAACACCCCTAAATCCTAGTTATTGTAAGTTTTCTAAGTAACTCGTCGATGAAACGGTATTTGAGTTTTGCAGAGCTTCACTCCAATCCTCCAGATGGTTCGACACCGTCTTCCTTCCTCATCCTATTATACGCCGGTCGGCGAGTCAGAATGGTCGCGTGAAACACTCTGCGAGCGTCCGATCGCCGTTCTACCGGGCGCCTATCGTAATCCGATCGAAATGGCGCGTCACGTGGCCGAGCACGTTCGAACACCGCAGCCGTTTTTCGTGATGGACGTGGCGGCCGTTCAGAGACGTCTCGACGCGCTTCGCATCGTTTGCCCGCGTCTGAATGCTTCATTCTCGGTGGCGCTCAACGCGGATCCGGTGCTCGCGCGGATCATCGCGAACAACGAGGCGAGTTTCGAGGTGTCCAACACCGAAGAAATGCAAATGGTGAGTAGAGTTTTTTTTTTCATATTTTGTTTTTGTTTAGTATGAATACGTGGGAAAATACAAAACATAATTCATTAAATGTGAGAAAAAAAAACGTTTTCTAATGTTTGCGAGTTGAGAAAGTCTACTAAGTAAATAAGTATGTATAATGAATAGTTAAAATTTTTGCAGGCCTCATTGCATGTCGAACCATCGCGCATCACATTGCTTTCTAATATGCTTACACGCAAATCAATTCGTTCTGCTGCCGACGCTGATGTCGGCACCATTGTCGTCGAATCAGAGAAACAACTCCAAGACGTGATGAAGTACGCACCGCGCGCCGAAATTCTCATTGCGATCAATTTGCGATCGACTGAAGTACCATTTGGCGTCAATCTTGAAGATGTCAACGGTCTTATCGAAATCGGCGAGCTCATCGGAGTCAATGTTGTGGGAGTCCAGTTAGTTGTTGTGCCTATGAATTATGTTTCACATTGCATTTTCAGCATCGATATGGGACCACAAGCGGGTAATGAAGATTATTCAGTTGCACTTCAGACGGCTGCCGATATTTTCGAGGCGGCTCAAGAACGCCGCGTTGAAATGCACCGTGTGAGCCTTGGAGATTTGGTGTTCGCTGGAAATGCCATGACTGAGGAATTCATTAGAGTAAGATTCAATATGATTCAAATGATAAATATTATACGGTGTTTCAGTTTGCCTCGGGCCTCAATCGAATGATCAATGATGTGTTCCCAATTGGTGTTCAAGTGAGTGCCAATGTCGGACGATTCATTGTCACCAATGCGTTCACTCTATGCACCACGGTAATTGGAAAGCAAACGATCGGAGGTGAAGATGGCGTCGGATTTGTGTACCAGACAAACGACGGTGTCTACGGATCGTTCGGATGTCGTCAAATGAACATTGATCCAAGCTGCCAGCCGCTTCATGTAAGATTTTCAAGATGTGCGTTCTTCAATCTAAATTTTGATTTTCAGCCAAGCACGCTTGATGAGCCAGAACATTTCGGCACCGTCGTTGGCCCAACATTGGACCAATTGGACATTGCCCAGAAACAGATCAGATTCCGCCAGCTTCGAGTCGGCGACTGGCTTGTTTGGGAGAAGATGGGCGCGTTCACAATCCCAGTGGACAGTGACTACACTGCGCCACCCGTCTATTATTATTCAGCCAAGGAGTGCTGGTAAGGCCCTACGAAATGTTGAATTATTCAATATTCATCGATTATAGGAAGAAGCTAAGCGTGAAAGAAGAACGTCGTCGATCACCTACCCCAGATGAGGACTTGGGTAGCGATTGCGATGGTTATGCTTCATCGTCGGAGTCCGAATCCGAAGGGCTTGTCGATAACTTGTTCTAGATATTTTGGTTCTGCGGGGAGCAGATGACGTAACCACTTGAATTTTTCTGATTATTATTATTATTTTATGAATTGTAATGTTTCATTCTATCCTATCATGCTGTCCTATCATTCTTATCAGTTCTATTATCTTAGAATATCTTTTTTTTCCATTTTCTCTTTCTTTCCAGCTAATACCCTTGCGATTTGGGATTCTTTCAATCACACTATCCAAACATTTCCTTGATTACCATCCGGTTAATCACTTTTCTTATTATTACTTGTGTTGAATGAATAAAAATGTTGCCGGAATTGTGGGAGAACATTGAATGTTGCTTTTGGAAATGTGTTCCAGATTATTCTGATGTTGTTATGAGCATTTACAGGATTACACAAATTCAGATCGGATTAAATAGCTTCTTAGAACGAAGTTCTTTTTTCGGGAAACAAATGTTTTGCAGTAAAATTTGAATTGCCGCTCTAAGTTTCGTATAGAATTTACAACCATTAAAAAAACTTGTGCTCTTTGCAAATGTGTTAGTTGAATTTTCGGTTTTAAGAATTTCTTGGTACGAGTAAGAACATCGCTTTTCATTGAAAGAATGAATTGAAATGATATTGAGTTTTGTAAATATATTTTTTAAAGGGGTGTACATTAAAACTTCAAAAAAAGGAGAAACATTTTTGCATCGCTCCTTAGAATTAGGAATTCCCTTTTCGGAAATACGCCATTGAATTCTCCACTTTTTTTCTTGTGAAACTAGTTTTGAATTGAAATCTTGGAAAATGCCCTTCATTGTTTTGTACAATTGGTAGATATTCGGTGATTTGATATTTCGGCAATAATTATTAGTTGAATTTGATGTTTCATGATAAATGAATAGTGCAAATGTGAAATTTTGTTCAAATTTTAGCCAACAATTTTACTTTTCTCATGGGACAATGCAGAAAAATGAAATTAATTATCAGTTTCATTTTTTTCCTGCATTGAAATTTTCTAAATATTTTTATTAATTAAAAAAAAACTTTCTCTACATTTCCCCTTTATCTGTGTGAACCTATACAAATTTGTATAATTTGCGAGTTTGTTTGAAGCATGTTTCCCGTGCAAACCATAATTTAATTGAAATTGTTGGGCGCGCAATTTGTAAATGAACACCCAATTAAGGGGCGCATGGGTGACAACACGCTGATTGTTGCCAAAAGAAAAAAAAACTCATCAATGCGTGTCGAACACTGGCGAGTGGTGTTGCGGAAAAAAATAGAAGACGCGCCATTGTCGTGCGATCTCATTGATCCGCACAGTGTCTCGTCCGGTTACCATCTGCCACTTAGTTTCGCACTCGGGTCCCCCGTCCCCCATGGTCGGCCACCTCAATTTGATTGCACGAACCTCATTGTATTTGGTTGTCTTGTGTATTTTTTTTCCGTCTACCCAATTCCTTCTCGCCGGTTTTCACGCGTCCGTAAATACTAGAGTAAATAAATAAACACAAATATGCGTGTTTCTTCTTCTCTATGGTTCACACTTCTCGGCATTTTTTTGAAATGGTGAATTTGAATTGCCGCCTAGCTCGCGCTTATTTTATTCTAGAAAAAAAAATTGAAAAAAATTGTAGAAAGGGATTTTCTTTTTCTATAAGAATTGCATTGTTTAACCTTGAGCCTAAAGAATTCCAAATGCCACACATCGATTTTACTTTCGAAATGAAGGTGATAAATTAAATGACCTTCTTGAACGAATTCAAATCGGTTATTTTAACTAAAAGATGTATTTTCTTGGCCTCAACATCACATCGCTATCAAACGCGGCTCGTTGGAGAACGTTTTAATTTCAATAATGCATTTGTACACTCACCGCCTCTTCTTTTTTCTTCTTTCATTATCGATAAGAGTTCTTCAATATATGTGATTTAATAAAAAAAGGATGCCTTTGCGTTATTGGCTCTCATTTTCAATAGCCGGACCCCGCAAAATTTGATTGCAATATTCGCCGCCCCGTCGAAAAGCCAATAAATTAGAAAATAATGCATGTCATTTTGAGCGATTCATCATCGTCGAGATGGCAGCAAAAAAAAAATGCGTATTCGTGTTCGCACGCGTCGAGTAGTTCTTGTTTCTTGTTAATTCGTGTCGAGAGCCGGCCCTCTGCGCTCATCGTGTTCTCTCGCGAGGTGTGCTACTAACTTTTTTTGGCTCACCCTCACTGGTTCCCATTTTCACACTTGCTCCAGCTCGTTCCGATGGAGCGCGATTTGAACGCGAATTTCTTACTTGATTAGATTCACCCATGGTCTTTCTTGTTGCTCCCTCGTCAACGAATGTTTATTTTTTAGCGCCTCCGGGGATCGCTTGAGACGCGAGAGAGCAGCCCCATTAAAATATTTTTATTACACCTCCCCCCAATCGTCCCACATTTTTGTCATCATCGTTTTGCAGCGCCCTTCTCAGCCCACTGATGAAGCTGCGCACCGTCAGATCGCCATGCTTCTCCGACGTTTAGCATTTTTAATTGTATTAGGATTCGCGAAAGAAGCGGTCAAATCGAAAAACAGGAATGGTGGGTTGATTTTCACGTTTAAAACGAGAAAATTTCTTATTTATTTAAGTATCTTTTTTTAAAATTTAAGTATCTTTTTTAAAAATTTAATTGAAATGAACCGGCTGATTATCAAAAATGATCTAATATGGTAAACATTGTTGATATTTGAGACGTGTCTCTCAATGAACTGAGCAAACAAACATTGAATGAGGTAATTTATTGTGAAACAATTTTTTTCAATAGGCTTTTAAGGGAAAATATTGGAATTGAATCGAATTTGGACGATAAAAAACTATTTTTTTTTTTGAACTTTGAAAAAAAAAATACACAAGCTAAATTAGGTTTAATGGTGAGAAATATAATTAAAAGGAACATTTCTCAGAAACACTGGTAGAAAATTGGTTTCGAGATCTAATTGGGTTTTGCAATTTATTTTTAGAAACATGCTTCTTAAAAATTGATGTGAAAGTACATATAGAGCACTAGTTATAAAGAGAAATAGAGAAAGCGAAGAATACTGTGATATAAAAATAAGGATTTTAAGATTGATTATGAACATTTTAAGAACTATTGTGTAGGGCTACAATTTTGTATTTAGTTACCTCGTGCGAGCCATCATTGCGTCTTTGCGATCAAAAATATGGCGGCAGATGCATTCCGGAGCATTGGATTTGCGACGGACATTATGATTGCGACGACAAATCGGATGAGCAAGAGAACTGCGGTTAGCTCGATTAGAATGTATATTTGAAATTGAACACGCAATGCTTTTAGAGCACAAATGCGGCGAGCACGAGTTTAAGTGTCTCAGCGGGATATGCATTCCGATGGGCTACGTGTGCGACGGCGAAATCGATTGCGGAAAATTGGCGGAGGACGGCGATCGATCCGACGAGGATCCCAACAAATGCTTGCAGCCGGTTCAATGCGACGCCAATGAATACCGATGCGCTTCGTCGCCGGCGTGCGTTCATCTCACCAAATTCTGCGACGGTCATATCGATTGTCCGGATGGATCCGATGAGCATCAAATGTGCTCTGTCGTCGATCCGGCCGCCCATGAGAGTTGCACCTACGGCTCGTCGATGACACTGGACGGCTTCAAGTGCTATTGTCCGAACAACAAGCGATTCGTGAATGGAACGTGCCAATTTGTGAATTTCTGCAATCGAGCCCAATTCGGCTATCCGCCGGTGTGCACTCAACTCTGCGAGGATTATGGCAACGGAAAATATGATTGTGGTTGCGCTGATAGCCGAATGACGTTGGTCAATGGGTCGACGTGTGTTCTCAATGAGACATCGCTTCCCGAGATCGCGATTCTGACCAAGGAGAGTGTCGGACCGGTGAACCTCGCCGATCACAATGCGCGCACGATGATTGCTCATTTTGGCAAAGAGCCAGTTCCAGTGATGTGCTATACGACGCCGACAAACGCCAACATCAGCACGATTGAGTGTTTGAGCATCAATAATCGGAATAAGAGGCGAACGTATAATGTATCGTTTAATTTGGACACTGTGACAATTATGAGGTTTGATGAGGTCGGAATGAATTGGATTTTTTCGGATGGAGCAAATTGGATAACGATGTGCAAGCATGATCCGGTGGATATTAGGATGTGCAAGAATATCGTGATTGGGAGTATGTTATTAGAATTAAATGAAAAATGATTGATTATTTAATTTTGTAGATATTGGACAGATTGTCACAATGGCTTATGATCCTTTGGAAGGAATTTTGTTCTATTCGGACTACCAAAATCTTTTCTATGGAATTTGGAAGGTCGATGTGGCGACGGGCGTGAGGAGAAAATTCGAAAAGCGAAGTGTTGTCGCGTCGTCGCTGGACATTGACATCTACACGAGAACATTGTATTTTCTCGTCGAGAATAGTGCCGATGAGATTCGCGCTGCCGATTATGATGAGAAGTATCCAACGAGAATAGTGGTCGATGGGCTCGCGACGAGACCGATTTGGAAGATTTTGTACGCCGAGGGCAAAGTGTTCGGATTGACGAGATCGCAAGAGATTTGGATGTTCGATGTGACGAAAGCATCGACACAGAAGGGTGTGAAGCTCAACAGTTTTTCATCGAAAGCTGGAATTCTTGACATGGTTTACAATATGAAGAATCGATTCGGCTGGAAGAGGAACCAATGCGCGTCGAAGAAGTGCCCGAGCATGTGTGTCGCGGTGACCGGAAAATGCGTGTGTCAGGACGGTTCTTCGGGCCCCAATTGTAGTACAAATGCTTTGCCATCAGCGGCACTCGTTGTGGCACGAATGAGGCCATCGGGAGTCGTCTCATATTCGCTGGATCCGAAAACGCCGCCGATTTTTGCCATTCAAAACGTGAAGCGAGCCGGCGCGGTGACGACGGATCCTAAAGGCAAACGGATCATTGTTTATGATTTGAAACGCTTATCGTTGGTGATTCGAAAAATTGGAGACGATGATGAGGAGGTGCGCGGAATGCGAGGCATTCGGAATTGCGAAGGGATGGCTTATGATTCAACCAGCGACAATTTGTATTTGACGGATCAAGGTTGGTTTGGAACTATCGAATATGATTGTTTAGAAGAAATTTGCTCAATTTGCAGGTCGCGCTGCCATCACAGTAGCTCGTTTATCGGATTTGTCGATTCGACGAACGATCGTTCGCGGAAACATGACGAATCCGCGATCGATTGTGATTCATGTTCCGAAAAGCTACATTTTTTGGGGCACATGGAACGATATTCAAAACGAGGCGACACCATCGAAAATTGAACGCGCCAAACTTGACGGAAGTCAAAGGAAGACGCTGGTGTCGAGAAACACGCTCTGGATCAACGGACTCGCCATTGACGCGAAAGAGGACTATCTGTATTGGTGCGATGCGTTTCGTGGCACGATTGAGCGAATTCGATTCAATGGCGCTGATCGGCAGGTGGTTGTGACCGGCGGGGAGGCTATTAATCATCCGTATGGATTGGCGTTCTATCAAGGCTTCATTTATTGGACGGAATTTCGGAATGGTGATCTGAAACGGTACAATGTTGAGAAGAAAGGACCCGTTGAGCAGATATTCAAGGATAATTCGACGATTTTTGATTTGGCGCTTTTCGATTTGAGTCGAGCCAATGATGGTATGAATGATTGCTTACCAACTTTATGTATGATGCTTGATTTTCAGTGTCTCCCTGCGCCAACATGAAATGTGAGCACTTTTGCTTCGCGAATTCGTGCAAAGGCTCGGTGGGATGTGAGCCAGCGCGATGCGAATGTCAGGATGGATTCAAGATGGTGAACTCGAAATGTGTGCCGGATGCCGATTGGATATCGATGGATGCGTGCAATTCGACAACGCATTTCACTTGCGCGCACACGGGCACATGTCTTTCGAAGGCGCAAATTTGCGATGGCGACGATGATTGTGGTGATGGGTCGGATGAGGACTTGAATGGTGTGTGCAAAAATTTCGAATGTGTTGGAGCACGTCATCGATGCGACGGCACCATGTGTTTGCCGACGCAATGGGTGTGCGATGGAAACTATGATTGTAAGGATGGAAGCGACGAGGAGCCGAGCTTGTGCGCCGGCGTCGAAAGAACGTGCAGCGAAACGCAATTCAAGTGCAACAACACGTGTATTCCACTTGAGCGGCATTGCGATGGCTACTACGATTGTGAAGACAAATCGGATGAGCTCTCCTGCGTATTGGAGGCGACTTGCCGTCCCGACGAATTTCGATGTGGAAATGGCCGATGCATCAATTTGTGGCAGGTTTGCGATGGCAAGAAGAATTGTCGAGATGGTTTGGACGAGGAACACTGCGGCGAGAATTGTGTCGTTGGACGGCAGTTTCGATGCAAATCTGGCTCGGCTTGTATGGATATGAGTTTTCGATGCGATGGCATCGCCGACTGCGATGATGGTAGCGATGAATCCGACGAGCAGTGTCGAGGTGTCGCGTTGTCGTGCACAATGTCGAATCAATTCAAATGTCGAGACGGCAAATGCATTCGGCGAAGTCATGTGTGCGATGGGATCGATGATTGCGCGACGGGCGAGGATGAGCTCAATTGTCCGGCTGAACTATGCGATTCGTCGTCGAATTTCGTGTGTGCCGGTGGCGGAAAATGCATTCCGAAGGCGTTGGAATGCGATGGATTCAACGATTGCGGCGATAATTCGGATGAATCGCATTGTTCGAAATTGCGAAGCGATGATGGTCGTTGCGCTCCGCCGTCGTTCAGATGCAAAGATAAGGAGTTCAAGTGTATTTCGGACCAACAATTGTGTGATGGAAAGAATGATTGTGAGGACAGAGAGGATGAGGAGGGATTCTGCGATGTTCAATGCCCGACGGATGGCCCGCAATGCTCGCACAAGTGCATTTCGACACCGATGGGACCGGTGTGCGTTTGTCCGCCGAATGAATATCTGGATAGCGATGGGAGGACGTGTCTCAAGAAAGATCCGTGCGGATTTGGCGCCTGCTCGCAGTTGTGTTTGCCGCAAGGATCGTCGAAACACTGCTATTGTCACGACGGCTTCAAATTGCAATCCGATCGATTCACGTGTCGATCGGATGATCCAAATTTGCCAGTGATGATCTATACGAATCGTCATGAGATTCGACTATTGCGACCCGACGTTCCTGGAAGCACTCCGATGGTTACGAAGCAGCGTAATGCTATCGGACTGGATTACATGTATAATGCGAATGGCTCGATATCGGTGTTCTGGAGCGATTTGGCGTCGGACATAATCTATAGGGGACTAATGGAGGATCGAGGTAAGCGTATTCGAGTGAACGCAATTATGCCATATTTTAGTGTTACGGTATACTGTTCCGCTTGTGTCGTTCGGAGTGTTTGATGCGGAAGGGATTGCTGTGGATTGGGTTACCGGGAATGTCTACTGGTTCGCTTGGTTTCTTAAAAATTTTGATTGTTTCAATTTATTTTTAGGATTGATAGCTATCTTGACACCATCCAAGTGGTTTCGCCGGATGGATTGAAACGCGCAACTGTGGTTGACCAGGATATGAAGAACGCGCGATCGATCTCATTGGACTCGGAAGAGGGATTGATGTTCTGGACCGATTGGGAGTCGGGCCGTCCGCGAGTCGAACGAGCAACATTGGCTGGAAACAATCGAATTGTGATTTGGAAGGTTGACACGAATCCTGAAGCTGGCTGGCCGAATGGAATCACGTGCGACACTATTGCGAAGCGGATCTACTGGGTTGACGCGAGATCGGACAGCATTCATACGACGAACTACAATGGAGAGGATTATGTGCAATTGTTGCGCAACTCGGAGAAACTCGGCCATCCTTTTGGAATTGATGTGTTCGAGAATCATGTTTATTATAGCGATTGGAAGACGAACACGATCAGCAGAGTCGACAAATGGAAAGGGTCCAACTTCTCGTCGGTGGAACGCTCGGTTGTGCAGCCATTCACATTGAGGATTGTCCATCGAAGCAAACAGAATCGGATGTTGAAGAATCCATGCGGCGAGAGTTTCAAGTGCAATGGCATTTGCCTTCTCGATGGAAAAGCGACGGCGAAATGCAAATGCTCGAATCTCGAGAATCCCGACACGTGCGACGATATTCATGAGCTTTTCGTTGTCGCCGATTCGAGAACGATTCGCGGATTGTCAACGCGACGCTCGTCAAGTCGTCACACGTTCCCGATGATCGCTGGCAACATGTTCCAAAATATATTGTCCATTGATGTTTATCGTGAGGAATTGCGCGTGCTCGATGGATCGCTTTGTCATATCGTTTCGGTGAACTTGACGGGAAATGAGCCGGCGCGAGTGTTCGCCTCGAACATGCTTGGTGTTTCCGGAATGGCGGTGGATCATGATACCGGCACCACCTATGTCACTGTGTCTTTTGACAGCGCGAGCCGTATCGAGGCGATCAGCAGAGATGGGCTCTATCGAACGACCGTCATCCATCAGGCCGATCTTCCTGGCGAGATGCGACTTCCAAGGGATATTGTGTTCGTCGAGAAGACGCGAAAATTGTATTGGTTTGATGATGATAAACCGAAAACCACACTTTTCTCAATGCTTGCTGATGGACTATCGTCGATGATGCTCAATGTGGACATTAGAGATCGTCCGATATCGCCGGTCGTTGATCAGAAGGAAGCGGCCATCTATTGGCTGGCGAAGGGAAAGGTGATGAAGTTTGACACGTTGAAAGGGACATTGACGGAAGTGAAGGTCGACACGGATAATGCGACGACGGTGGCGGTTGATCCTGATGGCGATCTGCTCATTGGAGAGTTCAATTCGTCGAGAACGATTATCAAATCGACGAATGGCGAAATTGCTTGGTCGATTCCGACGGATAGGAATGAGCGAATATTGACGAAGTCGATTCATTGGAGCCGAGAGCCGGACAAAATGTGGAGCGATTTGTGCAAAAGTTGCCCGGGTGTTTGCCTTCGCGGAATCAACGTCGCTGATGTGATTTGCCGATGTTCGCATGGCGCCTACTTTGTCGACGGACGTTGTGTGGCGGCGGAGAAGCGCGTCTTCTATGTCACCGAGTCGGGCGAGCTTCAATCGGTGGCGTTTGAAGGCGACAAACAGCTGGCGACGGCGCACGCGCTTCATCCGATCATGGCGTCGCAGAGGATCACACGGATTGCTGTCGACGCGAAACGCGATGTGATTTATTCGATATCGCGATTGGACGAGATTTGGAGGTTTTCAACGAACGGCAGCTTCGCCGAACAGGTGTTCGCGGCGAGGAATCATCGAGTCGCCGCGATCGCTTTGGATCGAGTCACTGGCTATATAGTGTTTTCGGCGCGTGTTGCCAACTCAATGCGCGGTGTGATTTTCGTCATGGATCCGTCGAGAAAACAAGAGGATATTCGATTAGCGATTCTCGAAGATACCGAATCGGTACCATACGAGATTGCCGTCGATCCACCGAAAGGCAAAGTGTTCTGGGCGAGCTCGAATTGTGTGAAAAGCGCCAACTATGATGGTTCGGATGTTCGATGCCTCATTCCGATGAAAAACGCAGCGGCGATTGCCGTCGATGAGGATCACTCGAGGCTATGCTATGTCGATTCGGAGAAGACCGCCGTTGATTGTGTCGACTATGAGGGGCAGAATTTGCAGCGGAATGTGGTCAGTTTTCGAGCGCAAGGATTCGGCGAGGACGTGACGTTTGCGATCATGGGAGATGAATTGTACTTTTTTGACAAGTATGATGACTTGACAATTGATTAGATTAATCGGATATTTTTTTTTAGATTTAATGCTTCTGGAAGTATAATTCGAGCAATTCGCGACAAAAACAACAATTTTATTAAAAAAGATGCGGTGAAGAAGAGAAAGCCGAGAGAGAAATTGCGATTGTTTGATTTGGAGGTGATGGATGTTAAGAATTCAGGCAAGCTTGACTATTCTTATGTTTTTTTAATAGTTATTTTATAGTCTTGTTCACACCATGCTCGAATCAGAACGGCGGATGTGAGCACATTTGTCTAACGGTGCCTGAAGTGTTGGAGGATGGCCGAACGTCGAGCACGCGCATCAAGAAGCAGTGCGCTTGCGTTCACTCGCGAATGGACGATGCGTCGGGAAGATGTGTGCCGAGCTCGTCGTTTTTGATGTACAACCACATGAGCTCGATCGAGTTTGCGAAGCCGGAGCCGAATTCGTTGGTGCCACCGAATCGTCGTCTCACCCCCAATGAGTGCCATATGTCGAAAATCGGCGCGATCGCCGCCGACGTCGCGCGTCGTCGCATCTATTTTTTCGATCACGACAAAAATCGAATTTCGGCCGTCAATTTTGATGGCACTGGTTGTTTTGTGGTTGCCGATGACGTTGGACTGATTCCCGGAATGGCGTATGATGAGGTTCATCAGAATTTGTACTACACGAGGCATAGTCCCGCTGGAATCTGGAGGATCAATCTAGGCGAAAATGATTTGGAGAAGTATCCGGTGCAGCCTTCGATTGTTCTGACGTTGACGATTCAAGATCGCCCGCGTCATCTTGCCATTCATCCGTGTCGAATGCTTATCTTCTTCTCGAACAATGGATTCAATGGGGCCACAATTGAACGCGTCTATTTTAGCGGCTATCAGCGAACTGAAATCATCCAAGAGGATCTGAAGGATGTCCGGGGATTGTCGATTGACTTAGATGCCGAGAAGATCTACTTCAGCGACGCGATCAACTTTCGCGTTTCGCGCTGCGACTACGACGGCACTCATCGCGAGACGTTGATTTCTTCAAGCGAGGACCTATCGATCAGCCCGTTCCAATTGGCGATTTACCAAGACAAACTCATCTTCACCGATTATATGCGACGATCGGTGATGGCTGTCGATAAGCTAACCGGCACGCAGGCGCACAAAATTGTCGCCACCACCGAGATCCCGTTGGGCGTTGTGATTGTTGATCCCGACGTCGAGTTTTGTGGCGCCGATTCGTGCAATCCGGCCACCAACAATTTGGAATGCGAGGATTACTGTCGAGTGTTGGCCGACGGAACGCCGACGTGCGCTTGCAACGGCGAACGACGCTTGAATTCGGACAATCGCACTTGCATCGGCGACGTTGGGACGAAGGCGTGCGCGGTGAACGAATTCGCGTGTATGACGAGCGATCGATGCATTCCATATGAGAGTACGTGCGATGGCTATAATGATTGTCCGATCAGCGATGATGAGGATATCAAGTATTGTTCGACGCGAACGTGCCGTCCTGGATATTTCGCGTGCGGAAACGGAATGTGCATTCCGGAATCGAAGAAGTGCAATCGCGTCAATGATTGCGTCAATTTCGCCGACGAGCTGAATTGCACGTGTAGCCGAAATGAGTTCAAATGCGACATTGGCAATTGTATTCCGAAGGCGGCGCGTTGCGATTTCCATCAGGATTGCAAAGACGCCAGCGATGAGAAGGGATGTCCGTTCAGGAATTGCTCGAATCTCGAAGAGCACGGATTGCACAATTTGATCAATTGCGCCAACACGACGCAATGCATTCTGCCGTCGTGGAAGTGCGATGGCAACAATGATTGTTGGGATGGTTGGGACGAGGAGAATTGTATGGTCGATTTTCACGACAACGGCACACGAGTGTCGCCGCCGAAAGAATGCGACAAAGATCAGTTTGCGTGTCTGACGACGCGCACGTGTATGCCGATGCATTGGCGATGCGACGGACAATATGATTGCGGCGACATGTCGGACGAGAAGGGCTGCGAGAAGAAGTGCAGCGAGAAGTTCGAGTTCACGTGCGCCAAATCGAGCGCGTGTGTCGCCATCGAGCAGAAGTGCGATGGAAAACCGGATTGTCCCGATGGCGAAGACGAGGCTGACTGCGAGCACAATGAGTGTCAAGGCGAGGGCAACACGACGTTCCGATGCACCAATCATCGTTGTATTCCGATGTCGTGGCGATGCGATGGCACTGATGATTGTATGGATAATGCGAACGCGGTGGGATCCGATGAGAAGGATTGCGGCGGGCGGACGGCCTACAGAATTCCGTCGAGATGCGACAATGAGACTTGCGAGGTGTCTTGCCAATTGACCGCGCTGCTTTGCGATGGAATCGTCGATTGTGCGGATGGATTTGATGAGTTGAATTGCGCGTCGCTCGACAGAGTGTGCCCGTCGAATCAATGGATGTGCAATAATGGGCAATGCATTGAGACGTCGCGCCTATGCGACTCATCGGTTGATTGCGTTGATGGAAGCGATGAGTGGGTCGAGATTTGCTCGCTGTCGGAGCCGCCGAAACGTGGTTGTCCCAACGGATGGTCGTGCGTTTTGCGGAACGGCACGATCGGCTGCCTCAGCGAGAAGCAGTTGTGCGATGGACGGCAAGACTGCATGACGGGCATCGACGAGCAGTGCCATTTGCCGCAGGGCAATTGCTCGAGCAAATCAAACTCGTGCGATCAGCCGTGGAATTGTCAACGACGCGCCGGTTTCGAGAAGTGCTCGTGCGACGACGGCTACCATCTGTCGGCGTATGATCAAACGACATGCCTAAAATCGCCGTCGTGTCCGAAATCGAACTGCTCGCATTTCTGCATCGATCGTCGTGATGTTGGACATCAATGCTTCTGCGCTCCCGGCTACATTCTCGCCGAGGATGGAAAGAACTGCCGGCGGAACGACACGATTGCCGCCGAAATTGTGCTCGCCATCGGGCATCGCGTGAAATTGTTCACGTTGGATGGGCATTCGAAAGCCACACTGCTCAACAATCTGACGAACGGCGTTGCTGTTGATTATGACGTTCAATCGGATTTGATCTACTTCACTGATGTTGCGCACACCGGCAATAACGGAAATCGCGCCGGAATTGTGTCGATGAGCATGCAGCCGAACTCGTTCCGAATTTTGAAGGGTCTTCCGACGAAGGGTATCGATGGAATCGCGATTGATTGGCTCGGCAGGAATATGTACTACACGGATCGACATCAGGATGTGATTGCCGTCTGTGATATGCGAGGACGATTCCAGAGGATACTGCTGAAAGGCTTGCCGCTCAATGATCCGCGTGCGATTGTTCTTGATCCGATGCAAGGATTATTGTTCTGGACTGATTGGGGAACGTCGGCGCACATTGGAAAGATGAACATGGATGGAAGTGATGTCAAGGTGTTGCTTCAAGATCGCACTATTCGATGGCCGAATGCGTTGGCAGTTGATGCTCCGGCTCAGAGGCTTTATTTTGGTGATGCTCATCGAGACTACATTGGATCGTGCGACTATGATGGCTCGAAACGAAGGATTGTGCTCAGGAACATGGTCCGGCATATTTTTGCACTTTCGGTGTTCGAGGATTACATTTATTGGTCGGATTGGCATAATCATACGGTCGAGAGGGCCCATAAAATTACAGGTTTACCTTTTTTCCAGCCTTGGAGTGACAATATCCTTATTTTGTAGGAGACCATCATCGTGTTCTGATCCATGACAAGACATATCGGCCAATGGGCTTCAAGATCATCCATCCATCGCTTCAACACTTTGGAAGTTCGAAGACGGCTCGCCATCCGTGCCAACAGCAATCCCGATGCGACAATCTGTGTGTGTTGTCGAATAATGACGAAGGCTTCTCGTGCATGTGCGCCCAAGGCTTCCGCTCGGAAGGCCGTTCGTGCATCAGCGAATGCAAACCGCTCGACATGGTGTGCACGGGCACCTACAAATGCATTGCGAGCTGGTGGCGTTGTGATGGGCAGGACGATTGCGGCGACGGCGAGGATGAGGGATACTTCAAGAAGAATGTGTGTCCGCCATTCCCGTGCGAGCCGGGCCAATTTGTGTGTCGACCACAAGAGAAGAACCAGACTGGCGCATGCTTGTACGCGTCGAAACTGTGCGATGGCGTCAAGGATTGCTTCCATGGAGAGGACGAAGAACCGGAATTCTGCAAACACTTTGAATGCGGAGACGGGCATTTCAAGTGTGCCGATGGATCGAAATGCACTCCGGTGTCTTCGCTGTGCGACGCTTCGAATGATTGCGCCGATGGAAGCGATGAAACGGATTGCGACATCAAGGATTGCGGTGGCGGCTTCTTCGCGTGCGTCACCAACGCGACGAAAATTTCGAAATGCATTCCAAACGAGTACTATTGCGATGGCGAGGTTGATTGTCCACAAGGGCAGGACGAGCCGGAGACGTGCTCGGTTGGCTCGTGCTCGCCGCAACAATTCCGATGCGACACTGGCAAATGCATTCCGCGAGCGCGTCGTTGCGATGGTTCGATGGATTGTCGAGACGGTTCGGACGAGAAGGATTGTCGCGCCGAGAATGGTGGATGCGCGTGGATGTGCCAACATCAATGTATGGCGATTGAGCAAGTGTGCGATGGCCGTCGCGATTGCGAGCATTCGGACGATGAAGGCGAAGAAGCGTGCGTTCGGAAGCGGCTCTTCATCTATGATGATAGTCCTTGCAAAACGAACATCTGCGATGGGGTCATTGATTGTGAAGATGGAGAAGATGAGAAGGATTGCAAGAACTTGCCGACGTGTCGAATTGAAGACTCGAAAGTATGCGATGGAATCGTCGATTGTCCGTATGGAAATGATGAGATGGGATGTCAAATGAGATCGCCGATTGCGACATATCCTTTCCGATGCAATGGAACGGCTCAGTATGTTGCCGAATGGCAAATTTGCGATGGCAATGCGGATTGTATTAATGGGCAGGATGAGCGATCGTCGATTTGCGACAAAGAGCTTCTCCGATGCCGTCATCACGGGATGTGCGACAATCGGAAGCAATGCTTTGACATTACCGGACTATGTGATGGAATCAAGGATTGTCTGGATGGATCCGATGAAGAGGCGACGCATTGCGATCACATGTGTGTTGGAAAGTTCCGGTGTACGAATGGACGATGCATCGATGAGAAGCAGAGGTGCGATGGAAGGGATGATTGTGGCGATGGGTCGGACGAGAATTGCGGACTTGAATGCGAACATTTCGGAAGGTGCTCGCAGCATTGCCACGCGTATCCGGGCGGCGCTGAATGCTATTGCGCTCAAGGCTACGTGAGAAAGAATCGGACCGACGTTGAATGTGTGCCCGCTTCGAACTTCACCGAGATGTTCATAATGAATGGTAAGAAGATGATTTGGATGACATTGCCGTCGGATGAGCACTCGAAAGAGGTGAGCGATTTTTTGGTTGTTTGTCTGTTGTACAATTTGACACCTGTTCAGCTGAATCGTGTCAAAGACATTGAACTGGATTCGCTGACGGGCTCGTTCGATTTTTCGTATGATGCGAATGGAAGGACGAGATTGATGTTGGCCGAGGTTGATGAGCAATCAAATACCGATGTTCGATTCAAAATTGTTTCCGAGGAATTGATTGAGACGCGGAGGAAACGAGCGTCGAAGGTAGTTCGGCACACATTTTCAGCAGTTATAGTAAAATTAAGGCGAGAGACACGACAAATTTGGTGGTCTACGACTATAAGGCTGACAATGTGTATTTTACCGAAAACACGGAGAGGAACTTTATGAGCTTGTCGGCATCGAAGGTGTTCGTTGCGCGTGCCAACAAGACATTCACGAAGGTTCCGATTGCCGGTAGAGGTGTCATCAATTCGATGGCAATCGCGCCGGAAGAAGGACTTCTATTCTGGACGACGACGTTCCCGGTTGCGCGGATTTGGTGCGCGTTGCTCGACGGAGCACCGTTGAAAGGGGATGATGTCGAGCCGTTTGTCGAGAGGCACGTTCAATTCCCGAGATCGATTGTCGCCGATGAGCCGAATCGGCGAGTTTACTGGATTGATGGATATCGGCGGACGATCGAATCGATTGGGTTCAATCAGAACGGACGGCGAATTGTGAAGAAGTTTGGCATGGATGACACGCCGATGGCGATGGACATTCTCGGCGGCGATCTGTTTGTTGTCACGAAGCAAGGAGCGATTCATCGAATGCACAAATTCACTGGACATTTGACGACGTTCCGACAGAAGTTGACGAGCGTCTCGCCGCTGATCGCGCTGCGAGTTGCGAATCCGGCGAAGACGACGCCGTACAGCCATCACAAGAATCCGTGCGGAAGTTCGGAAGCATGTCCCAGCGATACTGTATGCGTCAATTTGGTGGTGAGGATTGGACGAATCTCGAAAATCAATTGATCTTCTGTTTGTTTTGTTTCAGAGCGATAAAACTGCGATCGAATCGAAATGCCTCTGCGGTCCTGATCGTGTGTTCGAGAAGAGCACCAGAAAATGCAGGCCGAATCGCGAATTTGTTGCTGATCGTAAGCGAAAACTCGCACAAAATTCACGGTTGCGATTTATTTTGTTTTCCAGAATGCGGCGATTATTTCTGCTATAATGAAGCGGTGTGCTCGCATGACGGAAAATGCCTCTGCCGGGCCGGCTTCTATGGCGAGCAGTGCGAAATCGACGAGTGCAAAGAGCGATGCTACAACGGAGCAAAGTGTGCCGTCGCTTTGGACGGCTCAAATAAATATCGAGTGGTCGGATGCAAATGTCAAGGGAATTTCACGAATTATGATTGCTCGACGCATGTGTGCGATGGGGTTTGCGGACCGCGCGGCACGTGCAAAATCATGGAATGTCCGCCGGGCAAGCCGAATTGCGAAGCGCAAGCGTATTGCGAGTGCGACGATGGTTGGGAGGGTCCGAAGTGTCAACATAGGGTGACGATGAACCCGTGCGCTTCGCATTGCTTCAACGGCGGAAAATGCACCGGCACACGTTTCGGCAATCTTCGTTGCGAATGCCCGCCGGGATTCCGAGGGCCGAGATGCGAGAGTTGCGATCATCTCGAGTGCGCCAATTCGGGATTCTGTGTGCAGACGATGTTTCCGGACAACGCGCGAGACTCGCGATTCGAATGCCTCTGTCCGCCGGGATACGATGGAAAGAGTTGCGAGATCGATTTGTGCAAAGACGCGTGCCCGTTCGGCTCGAGATGCGTCTACAACGGCAGCCTTCCTCATCCGATCACGTGCCAATGCCAACCGAACGCGGCATCGCTCAATCCGTTGTGTTTGCCGATTTGCGATGTGGAGGTGGATTGGTGTAGGAACGGCGGAAAGTGTTTTGATCGACCGGGAGCGCCGGGGCAGTGCAAGTGTCCACCGCGATTTGGGTGAGACGATGAGTTGATAATGATTTTAGTAAATTGCATTTGTTTCAGTGGCCCTCGTTGTGATGCGCCGGTGTCGTGTTCGGACTACTGTTTGAACAACTCGAAGTGTCTGATTCGAAACGCGACGCATTACGAGTGCGTGTGTCGCGAGGGGTACGCAGGCGCGCGCTGCAATCGCTACACGCAATGCGATGGCGAGTGTGAGCACGGCGGCGTTTGCGTCAAGTCGGGCCGCAATTCGGGCATTTGCATTTGTCCGAAGGGGCTCGGCGGCGCGCGATGTTCGGAGGTGACGGCGACGTCGTGCGGCTCGCTCGAATGCGCCAATGGCGGCGTGTGCTCGAGTGTTCAGGGCACGTCGAGACCGGCGTGCATTTGTCCGCCGGGATGGGGTGGACTCGTGTGCCGAACGCCGATATGTTCGGCCTACTGCGTCAATGGCGGATGGTGCGAGTTCGATGATGCCGAAGAAGCGGTGTGCAAATGCCCATCGGGTCTCTATGGGGATCGATGTCAATATCGCAGAAAAGAGCAGCGATCGTTCTGGTACAATTTCTTTAGAAGTAAGAATTTTCTAGAGCCGCTTTTGATGGTCCAAACTCATGTTAATTGCAGAGTTGCTGATGTTCCTTGGATCAATCGCGTTCGTCGGACTCGTCTGGGTCGGCTTTTTCGTCTACAAATCGAATCGTTGTCGCGTGTTCCGACAATTCCGGCACTCGCCGATGCGCGACGACGAAGCGCCGGTCGATCAATTCAACAATCCGGCGTATTTGGCCGATGAAGGTGCCACCGAGCTAGTCAGTGCGAATACGAGTCTTGTTGGAAGGCAGGTACGATTGAGGAGTTGATGAGCATTGCATTTTCTTCTTTTCTCTTTTTTTTCAGCGAGCTGCATTTAACAACCCGGTTTTCGAGCAGGAAATGGTTCCGATCTACAATGATACTGTGGAGAACGCGGAGCTTCTTTCCAATTAGCAAGCTTTAAACATTAATGAGTTTTCTTTTTTCTTTTTTGAATTGTAACATTCTTGTGAATATCATCTCATAATTATATCAAAATACAGGGTTTTTCGCTTTTGTTTTGTTTTCATCGATTCCAATTTTATCAACGATTCACCATTCTCCGTGCTCATTTCAATTATTTATTATTTTTTTATTCTTGTTAGCGATTGGTATTTTTCTTCAATTTACTCGTGTATCTTAACGATTCTTGCAACGATTTTGAATTGCGTGTAAAATTATTCGTCTCTTGCCGTAAATTATAAAGAATTTGATGATGATTGTGGTGTCTGATTGAAAAAATTTATTTCAAGGATGACATTGGTCCTATTGGAGTTTTTTTTAACGGTGTAGACATTCAGAAAAATATCAACATCAATACAATAATCATAGTTAAGAAAATCATGAAGCAGATTCCGGCTGGATTGATCTCAATAATACCGAAAATGGTAATGTTGGTTTGAAGTTTGGCCATAATTGACTGCGATCGAATGCAAGCTTCTTCATCGTCCATTTTGATGGCTCTGAATTGATCATGACGCTCCTGAAACGTTGAATTCGCTTCAGGTATTTTTTTTTTCTTTTGTTGCTTCGCTTAGACTACCTTGAACGATTGATTGACATTTTTGAGAGTGTGCTCCATTAATTGAAAATTGTCGAAAATTGTTTGAATTTCGATCTCATAGATTAGTCGAATTTGTTGGGCGTCGAATTTGTTGGTAGTCGAATTTGTTGGGCGGCGCTTCGGCAGGCTTTCATGTGCGCAACGATTTCCATCAGCACCTTGTCGGCGTCGATGAGCACCGTCGGCGTGCACGCCATCAACGCCTGCACATTGGCCAATTGTCGGCGTAGACGCGTGCGAATGCTCTCAACGATCACGATATTCTTGTTGAATTGGTATTCGTGCTGAGAAAAAAAAAGAATAAATCGATGATTGTTGTTTGCGCGTCGAAATTTTGCGTTTTGCCGATACCAGAATGACGAAGAATTTGGCCGATTGATGCGATCGCCTTGGATGATTGAGCGAAATGCATTTGGCGCAAATTGCGAATCGCGAATAGTCGATGGAAGGCATTGCGATGTCATCGCCGCGATTTTCAAAGGAGCACGTCAGACAGATGAAAAGCGAGTCGTCGTCGGCGACAAAGTTGCACTCTTGACATCTCAATGCATTATAGTCGATTGATTCGAGAAGGTCCATGAGTTTGAAGTCGATCGGCGAGCGAGCTTGCGTGTTGAAGCATTGAAAGGCGTCTGAAGAAGAATATTGTTGGTTTAGTAGAAATGCTCAGTGTACTACCGAATTGCTCATTGCAAATTGAGCATTGCGGCATGGCCGCAATTTCCATATTGATTTGGTAGGAATTGAAATGAGAAAAAATAAATTGAAAACGATATTGAGAGAGGAGCCCGTTTTTTTTTTAATTAAAAATTTCTCAAAATAAATGCGATGTCGGCCGCCCACCTCAAAATGGACAAAAAATGAGATGAGAAATTCAAAATTTTAATAAATGGCGCGAATGAGCAACGTCGCTCGGGCGCGAGCGAAATTCGCCAAATTGGCGTCGCGCCAATAATGCAATCAATAGAATTGCGATGTGTTTCTTTTTGTTTGTTTGTTTGGGAATTGAATTGATTTATTATGAAAGAGAATTACTTACAATTATAGAGTAATATCAAAATGTTTGCAACCATCAAAAATACAATGACCAAAATTGTTTGATGATTTTCAATCGTTGGACTCGGATGATTGACGTCGTCGGGTTCAGGCTTCGGAAAACAATTGGCCTCGTTTTCAATGATGCTTGATTTGAAAAACTCGGCGCGTTGCTAAAAATCATTTTACAAATGTGTGTGTTTTTTTTTTGTTTAAAATTCCAATTATACCTCAAAAGTGCTATTATTCTTTTCCAAAAATCGCTGAATGTTTCCCAAACTGTATATGGTTTTATTGATTTCCGACTGATAGGTCTTCATGATTTTTGATTGTTGCGTACTACTCTTGCATCTTCTCATCTGCTCGGTCATCTCCATCAGCTTCTTGTCGGCGTTGGCAATCGCAATCGGCGCATTGGCAAGAACGGATCGAAGTTTCGAGAATTGCTCATCGAATGTTGAATGCAACGTTCGGACGGTCAACATATTTTTATTGAATTCCCATTCACTCTAAAAGAAATGCGAATTTTGGTTTATTTTTATTTTTCTTTAATGACTGAATTTATTGGAATTTGCGCGCCGTAGAACGCACCAAAATTGTGAATAGCCCGAGAACATCGTGCGATTCGTTGCGATGATTGAATAAAACGCATCTCGTGCATATTGCGAATCGCGAAGCGTCGCGATCGTTATTGGTAATTTGATAATTGTGATTCTCCAATGTGCATTTTTTGCAAACGAACAACGAGCTCTCATCAGCGGCACACTTGCACTCGTGGCATTTCAACCGATGGCACTCGTTCGGCTTGAGAACGTCGACGAGCTGGAAATTTGTTGGAAGGGCCGTCGCGCCGCGGTTTGGGAGAACAGTTTTGAACTGCAAATCGGTTCGAAAATGATTTGGCTGAATATCGCGGCAAGAGTTTCTCACTCGACACTGTGGACACAAGAAATTTCGTCGCGAACTGTTCGCGGTTCGAATCGTCCTCTTAATGCAGTTGACGCACAACGAGTGACCGCAATGAAGCACTTTGGGAATATTTTGAGTGGCGTCTGAAAATGGACGAACAGAAATGAGATGGTTTGATTGGAATTGGCACTACCGAAATCCTCCAAGCAAACGCAGCATTGAGTTTTTGCGCAGTTGGCGGCCGAATTATTGTTGTTGCTAATCGGCACCAATTCCATATTGCTGAATAAAAAACAGTATTTCGAAATTCGCGAAAAGATTGCAAATGTTTTGAATTTGTATTATTCATCAATTGTAAACAAATCGTCGCGGACTTGTCATTTAGTTTAGTTTCGAATTTACTGATTGCGCTGGTGCAGCTGCAATTTTTTTCGTATTAAAAAAAACCCCCCTACCGTATCATTCGAAGGCCTCTGCCTGGCGCGAATTGGCCTCTGCCTGGCACGAATCGGCCCGTAATGTATTTTATCAAATGTTCTAATTGAAAACGCCCCGATGGCTGAATTTTGTTTTATTTGTTTCATATTTTTTTGAAAGCTAATGTTTGAAAATAAGTGAATAATAAAATAAAAAAGAGAGATGCATACTGTAAGAGAATTGTCCGCAATTTTGCGTACCACTTCGAATTGGTTCGATTTATTCTCAGGTAAATAAAAATGAATCGGATTCGAAAGCAATTTCGTTATCAATCGAAATCGAATATAAATTCTTCTGTTTAGAATTTTTCTAAAATTTCAATCTATTTCGAAGATTTTTGAATTGAATTTAAGCACTTTCTCCATCGAATTATATTGATTTTCATTTACCTGAGTTTTCGCATTGCAAATGTATATAATTTTCTTTTTTCAGATTGGTAATATGGCAGTCGCTACAATTAATTCTAATATTCAGAATTTTTTGAAGCCGACGTGTTCGATTTGCTCGAAGCCATTTGGTTTGTGTGATTTTTTTTTGAATTTATGCCATCGATTTTTTTTCTCTCATCGACAGATCCGCGAGTGAGAATCCCAAAAGTTCTCGAATGTGGCCACAGTTTCTGCGTCGGCTGCTTAAACCACATTTTTGATAGTTTGTATGAAAAACCGGCAGACGATGAATAATTATTCATTTGTGATTTTCAGGAAGTACAGTTATGTGGGCAATGGTGAAGTTTTCCATCAGTTGAATTGCCCAACATGCAAAGTGACATTATTGTTTTAATTGGAACTGATTTAAACTTTTCAGAAAACTATGGCCGTTACGAATGGAATTTCAAGTATTTCGAATAATCTGCAATTGATCGGTAAAGAGTTAATTGATTGTGCCCCCCGCGCTTAAACTAATATTTTCAGAGACGATGCTCATTTCGGATAATCGAATTGTGAAGTGTCGCGAATGCGAGATTGACGGAAACGAGATGACTATCAAGATTTGTGTGGACTGCACCAAACAAAAGCATAATTTTGACATGGCCGACATGGACGCTGAAAAAGCGGGCAGTGTGGTGGTTGAGGAGTTCGCCGTGTGCTCCACTTGCATTCTCTGCAATCACAAAGATCACATATGGATCGAATTCTATCCGATTAAGGTGATTCAATTATTCGATTCGTTTTCGAATTATTCATTGTCGCCTCATTGTTTTGCAGTTGTTCTCGCAACACTGCCAGAATCTGCTCTCGGTCGCCAAATTCAAGGCGGATTTCGAAGAGAATGTGTCGGCGGTGAAATCGATTCTCGCCGAATCGCCGCGACTCATCATCACGACCGAGAAGAAGTTGGAGGAGCTCGTTGATCTCATGAAGCGCAGCCGCAGCAGTCTTCATCAGTCGAATGCGATGAACGCCTATCGAAGCGAGATGAAGGAGTTGATCGGCTCATTGGCGAAGCTTCGCACTTGCATGAATGCGTTCAATGAAAACTGCGCGGTAAATTGATGTGGCAAATCAAGGATTTGTCAATAATAGTGATATTAATTGAAGAAAAATCTCGATATTATCAAAGATCAAAATGAGGCAATCGAGGCGACGTGCACTGATGAATTTGAAAGTATTTCCGAGATGATCGAGAAGAAGAAATCGGCCGATTTGTTGACGCCGACAAACATCATGAATCGATTCGTGAAGAATTTCGCTGAGATCCTTCGATTGTCCGCGTATTCCGTCGTCGACACCGTTAAGACGGTCAAGAATGGTAAAAAACAATAATTGTTGGTTCTAACACTTTCACATTTTGAATAAATTTGTGTTTTTTTTTGTTAAATTTAATCTTTTTCCCATTCGATGGATTTTGAGGGTTTCAATCTCCCTTGTGATTTTCAATATATTTTGATCCACTATGATTTCCAATTATTTGGTTTTTAATTTTCTTTGCGAATCCGAAGATCGGAGGTGAGATATCGAAAAAAGGCAATCGGAAGACCAATGTCGTCAGGCGCGTCGCGGCTCGCGTGCTGTAATGTTTTTCTTTCAATATTTCAATATCAATTTCTTTCAATTTAAATGATATCTAAAGATAGTATTTATTGAGTATTCTGGAAGGAGCCGACTTAAGTCGCAATGGAGATCACTAAATTTTGAAGATGCAACCGCTCGCGAAACGCAACGCGCCTGATGGCATAGGTTGCAAAAAACGGCGTTGGCTAAAATTGATAATAAATTATTTTTCATTTCACCGCGATGTCATCAGTTGATTAGGTTTCACAATTTCTGTCTGTGTAGATAATTTAGCTATAGACATTTATTAATTACAATATTCCGACGGAATAGACAGGAAAGTGATAGGGTTTGGAAAAAAAAAGGAAAATGAAAACAACTCAACAATCTGCCAAAAAAACGAAACACAGGCATTTCAACTTTTCGAATGATGATGGCGAAAGCAAGACTACAATGTAGCCGCCAATTTCAAATCTCATTTCAATCAATCAATACATTGTTTCTAGTTTGATCATCGTTTTTCTCTCTGCGTCTCTCAAAACACGCCATTCATTATTATCGTTTTTCTCCGCGTTGGTTTTTGCTCGTTTCGCACCGTTTATTTTTTGTCGACATCGATTTCCGGGTTTTCAGGGCGAATTTCTGTTGTCGTCGTTCAACTTCCATCGTCTTCGACGTCGTCTGAAAGCCGCCTGCACGTCTACCCGGTAAGTCCCGATTTCGTTCTGCTGTGTTCCGCTTTTATTTCCGAATTCTGTGTTTCCCTGTGTGCTCCTAGATTCGCCATGGCTAGCGTGAAATATTCCTTATTAGGCATTAGGGCAACCCTAGGAATGAGAGAGAGAGTGCTGCGGACTAAACTGTTGATTCGAACAATCACATGGAATGGGCACACTTGAGGCCGATCGATGGCGGATTCTCGACAACGACACCTTCAACAAATGGATTTCAACAACTTTGCGGTATTTATTAGAATTTTAAATTAAATTCTTAATTAGGGTTTTAGCTGTTGGGATTTCGATTAAATTTCGCTATTACTTTTTTTTTAAAGTTTTTATTACGAATTTTTAGATAATGATTAGAATTGTAACACATTTTCATATAGATTAACTGTTTCAATAATTAATTAGTTAATTATTTAATTAGTCGAGGAATATTTCACGCGTATCGACGGAATTGCCCAACTCTCCCAAATTCTGCTTCCTTGTGCGACCAATTTGCTAGTTTTCTTCTCATTTTTCGATTTTTTGTTGAAGTTTTGCAAAAAATGGTCTCGATTTACTGGATTTATCGAAACTGACGTCGGATTTTCGAGGAATTCGCGAAATTTCTAATTTTTTTTATTCGAGCAACTGGCTGCGCAGTTTTCAATGAAATTTCAACTTTCGATTATAAGAAAAATATAATCTTGAAGAATATTTCGAAAATTTTAAAAATTGCTTCAAGAAAAAACCAAATCTTCTAAATCAATTGAATAATTTTTTCGCGTTTTGTCGAATTTTTTTGACATGATTTTCGACTGTTTTATACTCAAAATTGCTTCGTTTATGCTTAATTACGGTAATATTTGGCTTATACTAATTTTGATAATTGAGCTTCAGCGAAATCTTCGAAATTCGGAACGTTTCGTTGTTTTTGTCGTATAGATAAAGAATTTAGGCAATTTTACGCTGATAATTTAGTTAATTAGGATAATTAAGCGTATTTCGGGTTAGGTTTATCACAAATTATGTAATTTAAGCTAAATTTGAGACGAATTTTGGTAGTTTCTAGTTTTAGATTTAAAAATCAATTCAACTTCTAGAATCTTGGTGTGTTTTGTTCACTAACTAATCACTAATTAGCAAATTAATTAATTATTGATGAGATAACTTGTAGAATGGTATACTTGAAGTGGCGAGATCAAATTGGATTACTGTAGACTTGTGCTAGTGGTTGCAAATTTCGCAAAATTGAAAAACTTGGACATTTTTCTGTTCAAGACCTCTCACATGCGCAGCAATCCGATTTTTGATCTCAAAGCTTTTTGTTGTAAAGTCGAAAATTTTGCCAAAAAATTTTACAGTGTCAGTGAATCAAAACCATTTATTGCAAAAAGTCAACAATAAATGAAGGAAAATTTTTGAAAACGGTCGTTAAAAGGAAGGGGCCTCATAAGGGAGGTCATTTTGGGTGTCATTGGCGATTTTTCTCTAAATTTTATCTTATAATAATCTACGAAAAATTTTCTATCGGCTGGTGTTTATCCGCGGGTTCGACCCCTCCCAACTTCAATTTTTTTGCTATCATTATTCATTCAGTAGAGATACATTTTAATCTTTTTGCTGAAAATCCATCAATTTAAATTCCCAAAATTTCGAAATTTTGACACTTCATCGTAGATCTTTTTAATTGATTGATTTCAAATCTGAACTTTTGTGCATACTCTATTAGAACAATCGTAGCAAAGAGATAAACAATAATTTATTTCGTTTTCATCTTCTTATAGGTGATTATCTAGTTTTATTAATACAAATGTGAATAGTGGGCTACAAAAATGGGCTAAAATGAGTTTTAACAATAACAATACTTTGCCAGAAATAGCTCTGTGACTTGAAATTTTATTTTGGAAATTGTAATTGTTTTTCTATTTTTGAGTTTCACAATAAAAGAAAAAAATAATGATCGCAAAAAATTGAAGTTGAGAGGAGCCGAACCCGCATAAAAGTGTAGCGGATAACACCAGTCGATAGCAAATATTTCGTAGATTATTATAAGAGAGAATTTAGAGAAAAATCGCCAAAGACACCTAAAATGACGTCCCTTGTGAGGGGAGTTGGGCGAGTTCGTCGGCCAAGTCATGGAGAATCGGGGAGCACAATGGAAAACACGGAATTCGGAAATGAAAGGGGTGGCAGGGCGGAGTTGGGACTTAAGATGGGTAGGGACCGCGCGTTCGAAGAAAGAAACAAGGGGGATCTGATTACTTTTTTTTCGAAATTTTGCGAAATGACCGTCTCTCCCATTTAGCGGCTCCTCGGATTTTTTCGTCGTTACCTCCTCCCCTCGTTTCCCGAACCAAAATCGCAAAAAAACGTAATGCACAAAACAGCCGAAAAATCGCCCTATTTTTGATCATTTTTGGGCAATTTGAATTTTGTTCGATTTTGCCAAAAATGGAAATTCGTAGTTTTTGTGACCTCACAGCCGGGTGTCAATAAGAATTGCACAACAGTCGACGCAATTTTACGGACTGATCAGGAATACTGTAAGAGGACCGTGATGGCCTTTACAGTTATCCGTCTCAAACCATTACGTCAACTGAAATACAAGCTTAAAAACATTCGACCAAGAAATCAAACTACGAACTTCTCTTTGACCTTCGCTACGAGACCCGTTCTCTTATATGAGCGTGTGACAAACTACCACAATGTTTGATCTACGACCTACCCAGCAACACTACAAATTATAACTACCCGCTAAGCTACAAATGACCTTCTGGAACATCTCAATCGACGACAATTTGAAAAGAAATTGACTGAAATAGAGGAAAATTGATAAATTGCCGACAAATAAGATACTCTAAACTCAATTTGACAATTATGAAGAATTATTGAAGCACGCCAATCACTGTGGGAATTTTCGGATTGAAAATAAATTGTTTGAGATTCGTATTGAGCGAAATTTATCTGAATTTTCGAAATAAAGATTAAAAAGAAAATGTATAAAATCGTTTAAAATTAAACAAAATTGGGTGGGGGTTCGAAAATTCCATGTTTTTGGTCAATTTTACCAACAAAATATCATAAGCTGAATAATTTCTTTACGAATTTGATTGGCGGCTGTCTGTCACTGGAATCTGAACCTATTCACGGAACACTAAATTATTTATCAAATCTCGATTCCCATCAAAATTCCTATTTTTAGGGCAATTGCGTCTTTTTTTAAAATTTCAATAAGGAAAAAAATATTATAATTTGATGGAAAGTCGATTATTTTTAATTAAAATTTATGAGGATCTCCTCTTGCAAAAATAATGAATAAATTATCGCAATTGCCCAAAAACCATCGAAATTCTAAATACCCGCTTTACTCAAAACTTTTTTCTCAAGAAAAACCTTAACCTAAATCATTCAATCAATTAGAAAAATTAACCAGATTTATTAAAACGCGCAATTTGGTTGAAAAAGTTTTTTTTAAACTATTGGAACGTCTAATAATTATCTATTGTGATTTTTTTAATGCAAAAGTAGCTGATAGAACTCTAGTAAAACTAAAAAATACACTTTTAAAATTATTTTAAGAAAACTACACTCTTTTAATTACCCTAAATTATCAAGAAGCTTAAATGGAAATGCGTAGAAAATTAATAAAAAAAAGAAAAAATTGCCAAAATTTCATTGCAGATCGAAAGAAAAAAGAAGAAAAATGTTTTCTTTTTTTCATTTTTTTTTTCATTTTCACTGCCCCATTCGAGAAATTATTAATATAACCTCTGACACAAAATAAGAATCAGTAAGCTATCACAACCCTGATGATATTCCTACCAATCATTTCCTCAGTTCTTGTTGCTTTTTCCCCTCCAAGAATTATATCTCAATCGAAGAATCTCAATTATTCACCCAATTCTAATAAACCCTCGAACTATTTTTATCTGAAGCATTTAATTTTAAAATTTGCAAAAACCGAAAACCCTTTAAAATCCCGCCATTTATTTCCTAAATGTTATCCCTAATTAGTTTATTTACTCAAATCTAGAATCATCCGAAAAAAAACGATTCCCGTAGCGAATGTCATCATTAGGCAAAATCGAACAATATTCAAAAAGAGCAAAAATGGTCAAAAATTACGGGGTCATTTTCTTCAGCTGTTTTGTGCATCACGTTTTTCTCCGATTTTGACTCGGGAAAAAACAAAGAGATTCGGACGCGACCAGGGAAATCCGAGGAGCCAAATGATGTGCTACCGATCAAGCCGCTTCCTGCCGGTGCAAATAAAACTCTGAAAATGCCAGCTATTCAAAATAACTTATATTTTTATTATCTCACCTTCTGAGTTTTTGCGTCTACAACCCATGACGAATTGGTTTCATATTGTTTCAAAAGTTCTAAAAAAAGAAATTTATTGTCTAAATTTTGAAATAGTAACAAACCTTCGACACTCCACATGGGACCATCAGTGCCGTCGCCACGGAAAACTTGTTGAGGCACTACCTGAAAAGGAAAAGTATTGCAAGAAGAAAACGGCACTAAACACAATAAATAAAACGATTTAAGTAATTCAAGAATGTTTTGGTTGTGGGCATTTTGGTTGTGCCCGTGTTTGCGTACACAGCATTTTACCGTACGCGCATTTAATAATTGGCCGATTTTGCGAAATTGAATTTTCCGCCAACGATCGGCCATTTGAAACCGACAAAAGACATTCAAGACTATCATCAATGAATAAGATAGGAAGCATAAATATCAAGTGTTATAAAACTTGTCGCATATAGTAAAAAAAAAACCAAAATCACAATAAACGCTGAATTATTTATACAAAATACCAATTGCAAAAACATACAACAAAATTTAAAAAAAAATGTATCAAAAAGTGCAATCGATAACCGAGTAAAACAGATCAGTTGGCTAGATACGATTCTTATTAGATTTCATTCGTCAGTCATGGCGTAGTTTGGATGAACACAAAGTGTCGGGTCGTCGCCTTGTTCGACTTCGAGAAGAACACGTTCGTCATGAATCAGACGGCGAATGACTCTCTCGAAGACCGTCTTCTGCACGAGGTAGTCCTCTTCCGAACCAAGGTCTCCCTCAATCGTGTTGAGATACCAATCGACCAGCTCGATCTGCTTCACACCTACATAATCCTCCTCATCGCCGAGTTTGTGTTCGTCGGCTCTCATATGAAGACATTTTCTTGTAATCCTCATATTTCAATTTTAGTTTGGCTGGGTCAATCTAAATTCTGCAATTGTGAATCTTTAACAAAATCAGTGATAATTGCCTTAGGGTTCAGATTCTCTGCATCCTCTCCATCATGCTCCATTCCTTCTTCCTCATTCTCTTTGTTCGGTTCCACAACGACAATATCTTTGTCGAAATCATCATCTTCAAGATCAACATCCGCTTTGTCCACTCTAAAATAAAAGCAAACGATGCTCTCATTTTTATTCAAAATAAATATTTTTAAAATTATTAAATTATTAAAATTATTTAAAATCATTATTTTTTATCATTATGAAAATTGGTATAGTCGGCGATTTTTTAGCCCTGAATTCAATTTTGAAAACAGAATTAAAAAATTTTCACAATTGACAAATTTACACCCAAAAACAAGGATGGCTTTATAAATGTGAAACGCATTGTATATTCAGCGAAACGATGGAAATTGGAGTCATGAGTCAATTCATTATCGAACGACCGAATTCTATTGAAAAGCTTTACAGATAAATTTGATTGAATTATTGATTGTTTTACCATAATTTAAACGATCTCAAATGAAGTAAGAGAAAATCAATCATATTAATAAATTCAACTTTCACCTTACCTCGTTTTCAGACTGTGTCTCTGATAACATGTGTGTATTAGGTGGCTCGTGTACGGGGAGCAGCCTATTGTGCTTGCAGCCACCAGGCTTCTTTGAACCGAGTTGTCGCGGTGAGTATCGGAATTCATAAAAAATATCATTAATTCTTGATTCAGAAAAGAAATTAGTGGTCCTGAATTCGAACATGCTATTGTCTTATCACCAATTTATATAGTTTTTTTTGAAACTGCGAAATTTGGGGGTGGCGTATCATTATGACTCCACTGTATATTCTGAATTTATCAATAGAAGCCAACTCCTTGTCCAAATTTTTTAAGTTAATTCAAGCGCTTTAAATCCAAATTATTTCTGAGATGAAACTCAGAATCTTCGAACAACTTTTTTTTGCGATTGATCATCATCTGATTCCGTATTATACGTCGATTCTTCTACAAAATATGACACAAACATGATACAAAAATACACCGTGTTATTTTTCAGCAAATTTGAAAACTGGAAGAGTTCATGATAAGACAACCGCATTTTAGAATTCAGGACCATTTAAAACCTATACGCATATACTAGTGGGACCGTTCGCAAATGCGCTCTACCGCAATACGGCGTCAATCGGGAAAACGAAGCGCGTCACCGTTTGAGACCAGAGAGTGTGCAAACATGAGAGAATCGGCGGACACTTGGCATCAATTTGCAGTTCGGTTCGACAAATGCGCTCTATTTCATGTTTCACACCGACACCAGTGGCACTATAAAAGGCCGGCGGATGCGCCATTTGGTCAGTTCTCGCAGCTCCTCGAGTTGCGGGAAGCCTGCAAATCTTGCGGGTTCGCCGTGCCCCGCAGAACCTGCGGGCTGGCCGTAGCTCGCATTTCCTGCGAGCTCGTCGTGGCCAAGGATCCACTCGGTAAGTCACACTCATCGCAATACTTTTCTCATTTCCTCGTGTTGCAGATCCAATGAGAGCCACAGTCGTTTCTCATTCGAGCTTTTCGGATGCGATTTGTTGAAAGTGTCGGGGATTCTCGACTGGTGCGACTCGGTAAGCCTGTACTAACCCTACTGCAGTGTCGCGTCCAGGCCGACGTTAAACCCATATTCATGAGTAGACATATCACGTGAAGAAGAGCGAGAAAGGGAGATGTCGAAAGGTCGATGCGGGCATCGAGCAGAGCGAGGAAACGAATTCAAAAGGTAAAGAAGGAGTCACAATCCTTTTGAATAAATCGAATCATTGCAGGTATCTCGGATCACATGGATCGAAACGGAGGCGACGTCTGGAAGAAGCGACGAGGAAGGAGCAAAAGCGTAGGATATTTGGTATTTTTTGGCCCGGGCCTAATTTTTATTATTATTATTTTTTATTATTCACTTCTACCAGTCGTACCACTTACGGCTTGCCCCCTCTATATCCCACCACTTGGGATTCCTCTCTCTCTCCGTACATTCGTACCACTTACGTCTGTACTTCCTCTAGGTCCTACCGTTTGGGACCATCTCTCTTTTTTCGGGGAAAGCCGGCTTCCCCTTCTTTCTTCCTGCCGTACCACTTGCGGCATCCTTCTCTATATCCCACCATTTGGGACCATCTCTTCTCTTTTGGGGGAAAACCGTACCACTTACGGTCATGCCAGTCATTCCACTAATGACTGGCTTCCCTCTTTTTTTTTTACTTTTATTTTTATTTCGTTTTTATTTTATAACCCATACTCCTTGGGTGATCCCCATGGTGGGATCGGCGATGACCCACATCAGGCTTCGGCCTGATGCTGGTGAGCCTCTCCTTCAAGTGTCGAGCCTCTACGTGGCGAAGGAGATCAACTGACTCGGTCCTCCTTCAAGAGGGCTGAGTCAGGCTAATCGGCACGCTTCAATTTTTTTAAAGATTAATTTTTTTTATCTAGTTTTTATAGCAGATCAACAAGTAACCTGATCACATTCATCATCACCGGTGTTCAAGGAGGCTGGAAGTTATGAAAATCATGGCTTCGCGAACACTTTGTTTTTTCAATGTTAGTGTTTGAGTTGTAGGTCGTAGCATAAACGAACATCTATAACTGATGGAAGTCTCCGAGGCGATGGTCTGCTAAACAGAAGAATTAACTTGGAGAAATACAGAAAACAAACCAAGCTGTTCAATGACGAATTTCCTCTTTTCGTTATGATTTTATTACAATTTGAGGTAAAATATAACCTTAAAAAGAATATTGGTTGGATAATAACAACACTGCTTACATTTCAGGCGCGAGAATATCTCATACGCTGGTAGACCTATCTACTTCCGATACCCGATTCATATTGAGCTCATGGAAGTAGTGAGGCTCTTAATAGCTAACACAGCTGCGACGGGGATTTTTTCGTTTGTTTTCATCCAGCGTAATAAATACAACATTTATAACATAATTAAATTAATTTCTTTAACGATTACAAACCTTTTATTACTGCTGAGAAACTTGGATTAGGAAACTCTACTGGGCGATATATGAAATTAAAAAAAGCCTTTTTCACATTTAAGTCTTCTAATTTCTGAAAAATGAATTATTTAAAAATATTCCTCAATTTTTAATACCGGAAATATCCAAAAAAAATCGATTAGGTTGATGAAATCCGTGAACCCCTGAATTTCATTCTTACGCAACATCATTTTCAAAAAAAATCTGTTACGATTTCAAAGTTTCTAAAACAAATCGAATAATCATTTAAATAACAAGCGAAAAATTTCGCGAATAATTTGAAATTCAAATCTTTTGAAATGGTGGGCGTGGTCATGGATGCAATGCCCGCATTTATTTGAGCAATTTTTGGACGTTTTTTAATTTCGTTTTTTTACAATTTATTACCTGTTTTCGATTGATCTTTTTTTGGCCAAAACATGCGAAATTCAGCAAAAAAAGTTAAAAAATTGTTTGTTGCTGCTTTATTCAATTTTTGAGTTTCTAAGATATCGTTCTTGTGTTCTTCATTCCAATATAATTTCTCAGATCGAAAATTATCGTACAGAAGAATTGAGAATATAATCAATTGTAAGTACCAAAATAGCAATATGGTCGAAAACAATTTAAATGCTTCAGAATTCATCTAAATCACCATCAGACGTTAATAAGTCTGCATTGCTCAAACGTAAATAAATCTGCATTACTCAAACGTCATTCGCTTCGCCTTCCGATTGATAATCAGATTGGCCGAAAGAGCAGAATTGAACACTAAAAGAAAACTACTGGAATCTCAAGTAAAAAAAATGATAAAATCATTAGTCAAAAAATAAAAAATCATTATACAATTTTTATGAGTCAAAAATCATGTCAAGTCAAAAAGTATGAACATTGGCTACAATGAAATCTTGCATGCCATCAGACATTTTGAAATTGAGATTTTTGTACTCTACGACATTTTTTTCCGCGCTACTCAATTATGAATTTGAATAGGCGCTCCAATGTCTTCAAGTAGGACCATTGTAGGAAATAGAGGAAAATTGATAAATTGCCGACAAATGAGATACTCTAAACTCAATTTGACAATTATGAAGAATTATTGAAGCACGCCAATCACTGTGGAAATTTTTGGATTGAAAATAAATTGTTTGAGATTCGTATTGAGCGAAATTTATCTCAATTTTCTAAATGAAGATTAAAAAGAAAATGCGTAAAAAAATCGTTTAAAATTAAACAAAATTGGGTGGGGGTTCGAAAATTCCATGTTTTTGGTCAATTTTACCAACAAAATATCATAAGCTGAATAATTTCTTTACGAATTTGATTGGCGGCTGTCTGTCACTGGAATCTGAACCCATTCACGGACCACAAAATTAATTACCTGTACTCCTCCGCCCCCAAATCTCGATTCCCATCAAAATTCCTATTTTTTTGGGCAATTGCGCCTTTATTCTAAATTTCAATAAGGAAAAAATATTGTAATTTGATGAAAATTCGATTATTTTTAATTAAAATTTATGAGGATCTCCTCTTGCAAAAATAATGAATAAATGATGGCAAAAGCCCGAAAACCATCGAAATTCTAAATATCCGCTTTTCTCAAGACTTAAGTTCAAAACCTTAATTCTAAAAATATCCTAATATTAAACCGCAATTAAACACCTAAACCATCCAATCCCCCCCTCTGTATGCGGCCTGAATCGCGATCACTGATGAGGGAATCTTCTCATGCTTCCTTCTTTGAATAAAACCTCTGAAATGTTAAAACAAGCTAATTTTTCGAGTAGTGAATTTTCCTACCTGACTGCTGATTGGATTACAAAAACAACTCTATGCATTTGCAAATACTTCATTCTTCTGAATGTTAGGAACGCCTTCAATGAAACCTGCACAATGAACAACGACTTCTTCATAATCTCATATATTTTGAATCATCACTGCAGCCAACGAGAGGGTTTCAAATCGAATTCGCTCTAAAACAGCTACCTTTTCGGTCCGCAAGAAGATTTTCGTTTCACCAAGTGTATATTTTCCATTCTATAATGAATTTTTCGGATTTAGAAATGCATTTTTTTTACTTTCATACCTCAAGCCATTGGGAACATGTAACTTCGCCAAATCTACGAGGCTCATCTCGCCACATCGCTCTCTCTCTTTGGTGTGAAGTACACGATAGCGACGAGACAATTCATCAAACGGATACCTCGACGGAAATCCTTCTGCCGAAATTCTGACAGTCTCTAATACTCCACAAGCTCTTAGCTGCTGTATAGCTCGTTTAGGTTCAAAATCAAAACTGTAATTTTATTATTATTATGTGGAGTATTTAAGAACTGCACCTGATGTTACTATCATTTGGCTTAATACACGCACATAATGAGGTCTCGTCGAGCACAAAATATTCATGAGCTCTCTCAATCTCTAAATTGGCTAGCCACACTTGACATTCCTTCTTGCAGGAATGGGCTTCTTTTCTACAGAATGAGCGAAGACTATAAGCAAAGACGTCGATTAGCTGATCTCCAGTGCTATCTCGATTCTTCTCAACAAAACATCAGTGGTGTAGGTGAAATCAGGATGCCGACGACGACGGTTGAAGTTGAACGACGACAACAGATGAAAATGAAGTTGCGGAATGATCTTCTTTGTTCGTCGTCACTTCGCCCTGCAAAACAATTGGTATTTTAAGAGAGGCAGAGAGAAAAACGATGATCAAAGTAGAAAAATGCATTGAGATGAGAATGTTGCACAATTATTCATTTATTAAAAATTCAAATTCAAACAATACACTCTCCCGGGAAAGTCGTGCACAGGAATTCAGCTAACTTTTTGAAAATTACGCGAACTCTGCTAAAAATGCGCAAGCGTTCGCGCCTTTCCGGAAGTAATCGTATCTTGTACATTCCGCACGGGACTCAAAAAAAGAAGAAGAGAACTGAAGCGATGCTTATTGGTCAGCCTCGACGTATTCGCCTATCAGTCATTTTGATCTGAAAGCCGAAAAATTGTGCTTGAAAAACAGCGAGAAACGAGCAAAAACGCACGGGGCAATGAAAAAATATGAGTTATGAGTCTCTTAACAGAAAACAGGAATCAAATCGATGATAGAATTCGAAAAAATGCAGTCAAAAATTACGATGATGAATTATTGATTATCGATATTCAACAGAAAATAATTCGCTTCATTGGAGTCTTGTTTATTCGCAGATCTGGCGTCTTTTTATTACCAATAAAACACGATAGATCAAAAAATTGACGAAACATAATAAATAATTTTTTCTGTCCACATTCGATCTATTGTGTAATTTTGTATTTTTAATAGCAAGTATATACTTATCTAAGAATTTTCCATTTGTCAATTTGAGTTGGGAATCGTTGTGAAGATTTTTTCGCTCTAAAAATTATTTTGTAAATGGAAAATAAAAAACGAAATAATAGAAACGTATATTAAGTGCAAAACACTAATAATTTAATAATTGATTTTATTAACGACAAAAAATGTTATTTTTTAAATAAATGTTGTTTTTTCCAAAAAATATCGATAAATATTGTTTAAAAATTCATATTCTGATAAATAAATAATTAAAATCGGTCTCTAAAAAATTTTAAATAAAAAAATTTCGAAAGAAAATTGAAAAATTGAGCGAAAAAACTGAGTATAATAAGAAATTTAAAAACGTCCGCGAAAATCGCTGCTAGGATTACGGTAACTGTCTTTTAGTATTGCGTACAAAACACAGGATCCTATGACACCTGGGTACATTTGTCATTTTTCAACAATACTTATTTTTGCAAAAATGGCGTTGGCTAAAATTGATAATAAATTGTCTTTAATTTCACCGCGATGTCATCAGTTGATTAGGTTTCACAATTTCTGTTTGTGTAGATAATTTCGCTATAGACATTTATTAATCACAATATTCCGACAGGATAGACAGGAAAGGGATAGGGTTTGGAAAAAAGGAAATGATAACAACTCAACAATCTGCCAAAAAAACGAAACACAGGCATTTCAACTTTTCGAATGATGATGGGGAGGGGGGATGGTCCCAAATAAATATTCGACAAGAAAAAAAGGGAGAGACGGGTTAAATAAATGGGAAAACAACTTTTATAAGGATCTGGGATAGGGGGGGGAGGGGGAGGGGTGCAAAAGTGAGGAAACCCGGGAAAATGCGTGGAAGAATAGAATGGATAGACAGAATAGTATAAGAAGACTATATATTAATACTTAGAGACTAATTTGGGTTGCTCAATTCCAAATATTCGAGAATGTGCGTTTATCTCTCTCTCTAACTGAACAACCTTATAAAGGACAGAGTTCAACTCCATAATAACGAATAGTATATATATGTATATATATATATATAAAACAAGTCAACAATCAACACTACCGGGTGTAAATAATAATAATAATAATAAATTTACTTTTTCTTTGACGACGTTTTTTTTTGCTTTTATGGATTTCTCCGAAACTCATTTAAATAACTTGTCCTTTGAAGCGTTTGACTGGCGGCACTCCGGCAGTTGGACCAGTGTAGGGTCGCGCTTGTCTCGAGACATTCTGCACAATCGTGTGATGCCTCTGCTGCTGTTGCGACTGCACTGGCGTCAGCGTCGGCGTCGAGTACATTGTTGGTAGTTCGTGTTTAGCAGCAGTATACTAAAAATTGATTGGTTTTTCATTAATTTTTAATTGAAACTTGTAAGGGAAGTCATTTTACCTCCCGTTTTCAATTTTTTCTACATTTGCATTTTTAAGTTAGAAGGATCTTCCCTGTGTTCACAAAACACCACTACCTTTCGAGCGGCAACCGCTTGTCCAAAAACTCCTGGAAATGGAAAATGAATTTTCAGACGGCCATAACTCGCCTGCTCCCTTTCCCCTCTCACAGTGCATGCTGGAATTTTGTGGACACAGGGAAGATCCTTCTAATTTGTGTGCAAAATTTCAAAAAATTCTAAAACAGGAGTTAAACTGACTTCCATTGTTACGAAAGTTTTGATTTAAAAAAAAACTGGGAAACTATTTTTTCTTTCTCAAAATCTTGATGGCACCACAACTCACAATTTCGTATTTGATTGGTCTCTCGACGGCCACATACTGAACTTTTTGTTGCGGCGGACGCGTCGTGTACGCCACCCGATTGACCTTCCTGACGACCGGCTTCGTCATCGGCGCCAATGGCGGCATATTCATACAATCATTGGTGGCGCCACCATCGTCGAACGAGGCGCCAAGGGTACGCGATGTGCGCGCCGCCGCTTGCGCCTTCTTCGAGACGACCGGCGGCGCGATTTCGCCGATCCGTCGATAGTGGTTGTTGCTCTCAATGAGCAGCGATTTGTTGATGGCCGCTGGAGCGGCCGGCTTCTGAGCAGCGTTCTGCGCTGCTGCCGCCGCTGCCGCCTGGGCAGCAGCTCCCGTCACCGGGTTGGTCGGCTGCTGGCAAGCGTCCTCCTGGCATTCCAGCGCCTGTTGCGCGTGTTCTCTCGTCAACGGATTGAGGTGCGGCGCGACGAGAAGGCACGCGGACAGCATGAGGACGGCAAGACAAGTTCCAGCCTGGGTGCTGCGCTTCGCACTTTGACCAAGTGCGGCTTGAAGCTTCCGAAGCTGCGCCATAACCGACTGGTTCTCTTTTTGTAGGAGCTCGACTTGAGCTTTGAGCTGTTGATTCTCGCTGGTGCAATCCTTGACGCGATCCTCGAGTTGCTCAATGTAATCCTGCAAAATTGCCCATTACAATTCGCATGTCCGCAAAAACGTCAATCACCCTCCCTCCCCGTCGCGCCTTGTTCATAAATCTGATAACAAAAATTCTTTCTTTTCATGTTTGTCGAAACGGGGCAAAAAAAACGAAAGGAAACCCCCCAAATAAACTGTATTTATCGTGCCGGCCGGTGCCATTTGTTTGCACTAACCTGTTTTCGTTTTCGACTGGTTTGTGCACTTCTCTTATTTCGAATCTTTCGGCGAATTCGCTTCAAATCGCGCTCTTCGGCCTAAAATCGCTATTGATAAGGAGCTAGTAACAATTTCGTACTTTTGTGAGCGGATAGTAATCGGGAAGCACGATTCCCTCTTTTTTGCATAGTCGTTTCTCCTCATCGGTCAGTGTGAGTTGCGGGTATTTGCGTCGTTCACCGCCTAAAATCGTGCCCCATAAAAAAACAACGAGAGCAAAAAATTCTACCTTGAGTTTTCAAGAACGTCGTCGGTGTGGTTTGCGCAGCCGACGGAGTCGTTGTACTGTAGGTCGTCGGCGAGTTCAAAGAGATGTGGGCCGGATTGATCGCACGCGGATTAGTGGCTTCTGAATGTAATAATGAAAAAATGAATCAAAATTTCTCAAACAAAAAACACACAAAACTCTCGCCAGCAATCTGATAGGTCACATCACCTTGAGAATCTGGGGCAGATTCCGAAAACAGATGATGATGATCGACGATGACCCGAATATCAGGGATCGTTGAAGGCCGTGCAAGGCGCCGCCGCCGCCGCCGACGCGCGCCAACCTTGAAACTCGTGATCTCGAACGTTTTTTTTTCGCGCACTCTCTCTCTCTTAACTCAATCGAAACCCAATCCGAAAACGCGTTTCAATCAATTGACATGTCGTCGACGGCGTGGCGGGCGAGCAGCGAACAAACAAAACACCACCAAAAATGGGAGAAACTCACTGAATCGCACAATGTTCGAACTGTTATAATTGACGACGCGTTTGATTTGTTGCTGTTGCTGCTGCTGATGATGGACTTGTTTCGGTTGCGACGGCTTCGGCAAATTGAAAGCGTGAAGGGCACCGCTCTAAACATATTTTTTTAACATCAGATATTTCTAATTACGTGGGGGGGGGGTATCAAATTGCTGTTTTCGCACCTTTAATAGACATTTTGAAAGAAATCGATTTAAACCGTGGCAATTCGAGTACTGTAAGACGGTCGAAATCAAGTTTTGCAGTAGAAATATTAAAATTGTTTTTTTTTGTCACAAAAATACAAGCAAAAGTTCCCGAGGCTCTGTCCGAAATTGGCCGATTCTGCTCTGCATCGCTGACACTCAGTGTTTATCCCATTAATAAACACAAAAACGCACTTTTTCTTCTCTTCAAGTCAACGCTAGTTGGGGTCGAGTTGGCAACATGTGGCAGACACACACACACACACACACACGAACAGACTATGGTGAAAAAAAATATATATAAACGCAGTGCAACATTGACGCGAAACTTGACCCCGATTGAAACGCGCTCGGACCACGATATGTGTAATCTCGGCGCAATAAAAAAAAAAAGAAATGGCAAAGAATTTCGGTTGACCTTTCTCAAACGAACCTGACAGAATTGAGCGTCGAAATCGTCTTCCTCTTTCGGCAATTTGAATATCTCGTCGCTCGCCTGCTGAAGAATGTCGACGTGATAGGCGTCCTCGGAGCCGCTCGAACTATGATAGCTCGACGGCGATGTGCTCGCGTGGCTCAACGCCAACGAGCCGACCGGCGACAACGGCGCCGCGTACGCGTGATCGGGCTCGTCTTGAAGCGAGTCCAACTTCGAAACGAGATCATCGCAAAATTCATCGGGTGTGACTGAAAATATGAACCAACAATTAAAATAGTACGCAATTCGAATAGGCACGTACAATTGGTGTCAACGAACGAATCGAAATTCCACAAATTGTTCTCCTCGGCCGCCGAGAGCATCATTCCGAGCCCGCCATGCTCATCGAAGTCGACGTTGCTGGTGTCGAGCAGATCGTCGAAGTCCGTGTCCATTTGGCGATGGCGGATGAGTACCCTTTTTTCTGCAATTCGCCAAATAAGCAAAAGAAAACACACACAAACATGATGAGGAGAAAAAATTGCGATTTCACAATGAACACGTCGACTTCAGCTGAGTTGGCCATTCACTCTGCCGTCTGCGCACTCTCGCAGCGAAAAATAATTTTCAGCAAAACATCTTTTTTTTCGTCCCGAATTAGGCGAGACAAACAAATGAGTTCGAGAAAACAGAAACACAATAAATGTTAGAATCAAGAAAATCACACTAAAAAAAATTCCAATCTTTTATTTTTTTTTTGATCTACCACTCGACGCGTTCTAATAAAAACAGAAATTTCCAGAGAATCGCGTCAACGATGCCCTATTTTTGCGGCGGCGTCGATTTCTTATCAATTCGCACCATCGTCAGCCTAATTTGACCTATTTATATATATATATCAATTAAATTAAGTGGGTGGCGAGGAAACAAAAAAGGGAGTAGAAAACACCGAAAATTGCTATAATAATTGATTTGTGCTGCCAACGACACTCCTCCCTCCCTTTTTTTTGGTGGCCTTATCATCAAACTTTTCACAAGCCCGTCCATTTGCGACAATCAATCGGGCGATAACGATCGGTTCCGATTCACTGGAGACGATTATCACTATTATTATATCAATTCGATGCCATTCAATTGAGCATCGACGAAAAATAGAAATTCGAGCTCTCAAAAACATTTCCAAAAGCAGCTTCAATGTTGAGGAATGAGAATGAGAGAGGAAGGCAAAAAAAAAAAAATGAGACGAATATTCGACGTCTCAAAATTATTCAAGAAGCGGCAAAAAGAGAGAGAGAGAGAATTTGTTAACTTCTCTCGAAATATGAGGAGGTGAACAAAAAACAAAAGATGTTCGAAACAAGGAACGACGAAGCGGGCCTGAAGCGAGGCGATCGGAAAAAGCGGCCACGACACTCTGACAGGATCGGGACGACAGGGAGGACGTGGACGGACGGACACACACACATACATCAGATAGAGAGCGAGAGGAGGTGGTGGACGAGAAGTGAGCGGGGCGGGCATCAGAGGGCGGTCTGTCGGATGTGTGTGTGTGTGTGTGTGCACTCGCAATGTTTGCTGTAGTGGTGGAATCCGTCCCAAAGGGTCAACTAGTAACCTTGAAGAGACCGTCATCAAGATTTCGATCCGCGATACGTCTTCGGATTGCGTTGCGTGCATTTTGCGAATCGAGCAAATTCAAACGACGACAAACAGCAAAAAAAATTTCGCTGTCGCAAACTTTCAATTCATTAGAAAAAAAAAAGAATTAAAATAAAATAAATTTGATGAACGCATTTATCCACTACAGTATCCATGGTGATTCTCGCCGCGCAAATCCAGTTTCGTTTCAAGACCACCACTACCGTACACCTAATAACATTGCAATTACTGCGAGTAAATCCGACGAATATAATCGGATAGTTGCATCTGTGTGGTGTGAAAAAAAAGAAACACAACAATACTACTACTACTCTATTCATTGATACTATCGGTGTATGAGATTATGGATCGGATCGAATCTGAGAACGATCCGACTAGGCGATAAAAAATTGGACTGACGGCTTCGAGAAAAAAAATGAATAGCGCAAAATTGAGAGTAGCGGGACGGCGACCATGCATACATTTCTTTTTTGGGAGAGTGTTATTGAGAATTGAATTGAATTGAACGCGGAGGCCGCGTGCGCGCCGCAGCGAAATCAATACAAAACCGTTTGAATGCATAATAAAAACTAAATAAATAATATCGATCGATCCACCATCTATACACATTTTTTTCGAATGGTTTTCATTTTATGCAACGCCACCTATTAGCATGTCAACCCGATTTATTGTTGTTGTAAGGCGCCAATTATTCAAACGCGGAAGTGGTTCAATCGGAATTCGTATAAATATAAATATATATATATATATATATCAAATCCGGTTCTCTCGCACCATCATAATGACGAGATGAAGATCAAATTTTTAAACCGCACTAAAAAAAGAAGAAGAAACAAACAATGAATGGAATTTTGGAATCGAATGAAATTTCGTCCGAGAGTTTCCGTGGGAAACCGCGTGCGTTTCGCATCAGGCCTACTCAATAAACATTCAAGCAAATTTTGAGACGTCTCAATGTGTAGAATCGATGTGCAAAAATAAGTGTTCAACGCGTCAATCTATTACACTTGTTCATCAAAAAATCCAGTCTTCGCGCAGAGGAAGTGAAGAGGGAAAATGGGAGGAAAAAACCCCTACGAGGAACCACGTCTTCACAGATATCGGAATTATTCGATTTATCGCTCTCTCTCTCCCATTCGCGTTCACTCTCATCCAATCGGTCGTCGGGTCGTCTAGCCGGACCCGACGAGGCTGGATATTAATTGATACGATGGCGCCTTCTAGTTTGTCCAGCCGTTTCTCTTTTCTCGCGCCCCCCTCCAACAATTCATACGCTATTTTCGGTGGATAATGATGATGATGGTGATGGTGAACACATTTGTCGTCCTTCTAGCGAGAATCCTGTGTTGGTGTACACTCATTTGACAAATTAATGGAGCCGCAAAAAAAGAAACAAATGCGTTGGCGAATATTTGGCGAAAATAAGTGGTTGGGTGTGTGTGTGTGTGCGTATGACGTCACCATCATATTCACTCGTCATTTTTCTATTCGAAATTACAACGCTTCAAGAAAACACAACAAAAAAAGGCGAGCGTTCCCATCAATTTTCGAAATTCGATTATGATTCGCATTAAACAAAAAAGTCGTCGTGGGCGATTATTTTTATTCCTCTTCCTTCTTCTCAAAAAAAGAACGGACATCCTGTCGAACTTTTGTCAAAATCACCGCTTGGTTTGTTTTCTCCGCACCAACAAAAAAAAAATTTTGCACCTCATTGTTCGTTTCGCGTGTTTGTCGCCACAAAAATAAACCACTCGATTTATCGCGCAAGTTTCAATGATAATGGCCAATGGGCCCCCGCCCCGACGAAGCCAAATCGGCAATAAGGAAGGAAGGAGGAAGAAAATGAAAAACCGATCGTAAAGTACAGTGTAAATTAAAATGCTAACCGAAGATCGATTTGCATTTTTTTGTTTGGGACTTCGCTTCAAAACGTTTGCGGGACCCACGGCAGCAATTCAAATTAATAATTTTCAACTTCAAAATCACTAATTATACCACTAATTTTCAACTTAATTGATTGCAATAATTAAAACAAACCTGAAATGGGTCTCAAAGCGAAAACGATCGGACTTCAACAAACTTCTCCAGAACCTCTACTAATATTTGCGTTCCTCCTAAATCGCTGCGGGACCTATCAAGCAAATTTAATTCTTTAAGAAAACTCTAAAAAACTCACCAATATTTCCACAGCAATTTCAAATCTTCTGAAAAACGTTCATTATTTAAAAAAAAAACCTTTGCTTCAACAAAAAAATGTGTCATATAGGGAATTGCCCCCAATTATCATCAAAGCATCACCAAAACCCTAAAAGGCTTATTCACGTTTCAATATGAAAAATCTACATGCCGATAAATAATTCTAGTCTCTATGAAATATACTGCAATGGAAAACAAATTAGAAGGACGATTTTGTGGGAAGAAGTGTGAGAGGGACGGGTTAGGGTGAATTTGCGAAAAAAAGTAGAATTAGATCTTCTGGACAATCGATTGGCCAGTCATTTCAGCCGGTTGCGGGAGTCCCATCACCGCCAAAACCGTTGGCGCAACATCGCAAAGTGCTGGCGCTCGGTCGGCCGGCTGAAATAGATGCGAAATTTGAATAACCGGCCCTCATCGTGTCAAACTTCAACTCACATTGACAAATTTGAATCCAGGGTGCGAGAGCGTCAACGGCACACGATAGCAAGTGTGGGCGGTGTGTTTGCCGCCGTCGGGAGCCTTCATCTTCTCGGCGTTGCCGTGATCGGCCGTCACCAATAGGGTGTAGCCTAAAATGCGATTGCGAGTCATGCAATTTGGCGATAATTTCGATACCATGCTTCTGGCACGCCTCATAAATACGCCCAATCGCGACATCGGTCGCCTCGCACGCTTTGACAGCAGCCTCGTAGACGCCAGTGTGTCCCACCTAGAAATTATTGATTTTGGCACCATCAACGCGCCGAGCGAAATTCGACGAACCATGTCGGGCGGCGCAAAATTGCACATAATGAACGGATGTTTTCCAGCGACAATCTGCTCGACCATTTTGTCGCCGACACCAGCCGACGACATCTCGGGCTGCAAATCGTAGGTGGCGACTTTCGGGCTCGGCACAAGGCAACGCTCTTCGCCTTCAAACTGCTTCTCGACGCCGCCGTTGAAGAAGAACGTCACGTGCGCGTACTTCTCGGTTTCGGCGCAATGGAATTGGGTGACCTTCTGCTCGGCGAGCCATTCGGCCAACACGTTCTTGTTGCTCGCCGGCGGGAACAACGACTGGAATGGATAGTCGGCCTTGTATTGCGTCATTCCGTAGACCTTCAAGTTCGACGGATGCGGATGGCTCGAATTGCAGTCCTTGTAGCGGTCCATTCCGATGGCGGCCGAAATCTCGCGCATACGATCGGCGCGATAATCAAAGAAGATGACGGTGTCGTCGTTCTTCACGCGAGCATTCTCCCCATTGAGAATGATTGGCTTCAAGAACTCGTCGGTTTGATCGGCGGCATAGCGTCCCTTGACAACATCAACCACCTAAATGAAAATACAAGATAAAAAGGAAGGGGGTCTCGCAATAACCTTATCCTCGCTGCTAGCTTCTCCAACTCCGGCGATCATCGCCTCATAGGCAACATTAATACGCTCCCATCGATTATCGCGATCCATGGCGTAGTATCGTCCGACAATGGTGGCAAGTTTACCATATCTAATCATTTAACACAATTTTAAAAAATTATATTAACAATCGCTTACTGCTGCTCTTTCAAAAAGTCCAAGGTTTGTTGAAGGAATGTAACACCGCTGGATGGCGAGGTGTCACGTCCGTCGCCGTAGAAATGAATGTAAAGTTCGGGAACCTGAAGCTCCTTGATGGCTTTAACCAAAGCGAACATATGATCTGAAAATTTTTGTTCAAATTACTCGATACACCAATTAGTACCAATATGGGAGTGAACACCACCATCGGACACCAATCCAGCCAAATGGAGACGTCCGTTTCCAGATTTGGCGCGTTGCGCGGCGTCTTTGAGCGCCTCGTTCGTCACCAGTGTGTTATTCTTGACGGCGAGATTGATTCTCACGATGTCTTGATAGATAACTCGTCCAGCGCCAATGTTCAAATGTCCGACTTCCGAATTGCCCATGAGGCCTTCGGGAAGACCGACATGAAGTCCGTGGGCTTCAATTTGCGCCCAATTGCCCGAGCAGAGTTTGTCCATCACCGGCGTGTTAGCGTTGAGAATCGCGTTCCCATAAGGATCCTCGCTGATTCCCCAACCGTCGATGACAATCAAGCACACCTTGTTCGCGACTTTGTCGTTGTTAGCCATGACTGCAAAAAAAACGAATTGATAATTGGAAAAATGAAGGAAAGATGAATGAAAATCGGAAAAAAACGGTAGTAAAATAATATATTTCGCAACCGATCAGTAAAAACTCGTAGATCTACATTTGCACGCTTCGAAAATTACACTTTTTTAGCTTTACGAAGATCTGAAGGGAGTTTTTGTGCAATGTTGTTGATTTTCCATCTGCAGATAACATTTTTTGAAATATTAACACCAAAAAAAATTGGGAATTTAAATTTTGAAAAACTCGATTACGCAATTTCATGTCAATGTGTTTACAGACGCCAAACACCTACAGTAGCGCAATGAATTAATTGTTTAGTTTTTCAAATAATGTCCAAAAAAATTTTAGAAATCAATTTTAGAAAGACACCGTCAACAAAAATAACTGATAACGCAATACATTGCTTACCGGTGTGAAAAAATCGTCGATAAAGTTGGGCGCCGAGAACAGCGAACATTTCGGCGAATAAATGAAAGCAAAAATGAGGAAGCGAAAGAAAAAACAAGAAATGCTCAACACACGCCAGCCATTACAACACCGGCATTTTTATATTGATTGGCAAATTTCGGTGCGAGATTTTCCCTTTCCCTGCACAACTTGTCAATGACGCAAATTTTTCGAATTTATGCAATTCGGATGAGAAACCAAATATGGGAGAAACCAATTTTCAATTTTCTAATTAAAAAAAACAAGTATTTGCCGATGATGATGTCGAGTTTTCAACAATTTTTGAAGGAAATATCAAAACGAAATCGCGGGAACAACAAAATCGAGAATTGAATGCACTCTGTTTGTGTGAAAACGTCGACGCGCCGCTGGAGAGACGAGAGACGAAAACTGAGAAACTCACGTAGGCTGCTGGAAAAAAAAACAACTAGTCGAGACTCTATCGATTTGCCGCCGAATAAAGTTAGGATTAAAATAAACGATACAATATAATATTCAATCCCGTTTAGTTAAAAAAGGATAACGATAATGATAATAATAATAATAAGAAATCAAAGTGTTTTTCTTAAATAAATAGATATATATTTTTTAATGATTAGCAGAATTTTCAAATCAAACCCCAAAATTCATAAAATCAAAAAATGAAACCTTCAAGCGCTTGCTTAAGCAATGAAGGCCGTGGCCTATAAAACCGCGGCCAGCATTTATTTTTTGTGCAAATTTTGAATTTGTTGAAAAATGAAGAGCAATGGCGTCGAATTATCTTTCTCATGCTATCGCAAATATTAATAAATGCAACAGTTTTAATAGTCTTTCCTCAACGGCGTTAATTTTAAACGTCGACGTCGAATATGTTGTTGTAAGTCCAACAATTTGAATAATGGCTATCTCAAAAATTCCCAACGTTTTTTTTTAGGTTTGTCTCGGCCAAACGATTCGAGTTTTTCGCAAATTCAAATTCGATGAGAAATGCCTTAAAGAGGGCACTTGGGTGACGTATAACGCGGCTGAAAAGGTAAATTTGCAACAAGAAATTTTTTGTTAGCAAACAATTTCAGAAATATGTTGCAACAAATGACGAAATCGTCAAAAATCTGCCACGCGTGTTCGTCGAAAAATCGAAAAAACAACATCGAATCATCACGACGAAGACAAACGAGGTCCAAATAAATCCGAGCCCGTTCAAAATTTTTGTAAGCGCCTTCGCCACTCGCAAATTCGATTGGCTCGTCATTGTCAGGTGTCAACTCCAATTGTCGTCCCAAACGCTCAAATGGACGCAAAAATATTCGAATATTGGTACGGTCACGCGTGGTCGCCGGAATTTGGGCGCATCTCCGATCCTGAGCAACTATTAGCTCCATTAAAGAAAAATCATACCTATAATGTAACCGATGAAGCATAGAAATGAAAATCTCAATTATTTTGAAGGCAATCATCGAATGTGTTCAATTCCGGAATAAAATTCATATTTGGATAATCTCATCGGTCGAAATATGCATCGATAAAAGTGTTCATCTGCTTTCAGCGCTAGCGGTATTCAATTAATGATTATCCTTTGAATTATTCGAAAAAAATTTGCAGCCGTGGAATTCGAAGCCGAATTTGAAATATTCTGAAATTGGCCGCAGCCAAATCGGAATTATTGCATTGAAAACGAGCGGCAGAATGAATGATTCCATATTTGTCGCGTTGAGAGACGGCTCAAGGGTTCTTCTCCACTATAGCAATTGGAGAATTTCAAAACTTGTAATTTTTTTCTAAATCTGCCTTTTTTGAAAATTCCTAGAAAAAATTTAGACAGCAGAAATGATAAGAAGCGATGATGAAGCCAACGCTGAAAAAGCAGCCATTTTCTCGCAATTACAGGTAATTAAATAGTTTGATTAAAATTTTACGTATTAAAGCGAAAAATTCAGATTGGAATTGCTATAAATATTGTCAAAAAACAGACATATTTGAAATTCGTAAGTTGAAATTTCGAGAATTTTTCCGATATTCTTCATTTTTAAGATTTGCGCAAATTTAAAGTCGTTTTGCTCGTTGGAAGAAATGGAAAATCTCGCTGTTGACTATAATAGAGCTTCTGATTTGGATATGCCGATAGTAAGCTTTAAATAGGGATTTTTTCTAGAAATTTTTAAATTTAAAGATTCGATTCTTTATGAAATACGACGAGAATATGGATCCAGATGGTGAATCCAATCATTTTTCGCCGTTTGCTGAAAATGTGAGCGATGCCTGACAATTTTTAATTTGACTAACATATTTTTTTAAGATTCGTGTTCCACATTCTCTATTGAAGAAATTGATAAGACACTCAGAATTACATGAAACACTAAAAGATGGCGATTGGATAACTGCAATTGCGACGAATAAGAAGAGAGAGGATACAAATCAATACGAATGGATTATTGAAAATGTAATAAGCGTAATCGATCAATCTTCGGCTTAAATTATTTTCTGTATATTTATGTTTAAAGCTTTAACACAATTCTCACCATAAATTGTTATTATTTTTTAAATATTAGAATTGGGAAAGAAAATTTCGTCAGGTGGCCGGGATCTCCCTCATGACCGTGACCTAGAAATTCGGAAAATTAGAGGCCATGCGAAAAATTTTTTGTTTGCTGAATATTTTCGTTTTGCAATGAAGCTTGTCATTTCTTATGGTGGGACGACGATTCCAGCCGAAATTCTCAATGAAGAAGCCGATACGAAAATTCTAACGTTGGGCGAGTTGCGAGAATTCATCGCTGATGCGCACAAATTCGATAAGAACACTATGAAAGTGCTGCATCGAGGTGCCGTCGCCAATTATTCTTTTTTACGCTTTTTTCTTTGCAGGCAAAGTTTTACAAGGCGACGACGATTTGCCTTTGGACAAATTTGGATTCAAAGACGGCGATAAATGCATTATAATGGGCGGTAAAAAAGCGCAGGTTAGTGCTCAAACTTCTAAACGACTTTCGTTTATCAAAATTAATTTTCGTATTTCTTTTAAGGAAGATCCTGGCTTCTCGCAGCTTGTGCAATACGAAAAACACAATCTTTGCCATTTGCAAAAGAATCTCGACGATATTCGACGCGATTTGACCGAAATGGAGAAAAATTATCTCGACGAAGCGAAACAGCGCGAGTTGATCAAGAAAATGGATAAGCGCATCAAATGCTTCAATGAGGAATCCGAGAGGCATTTAGAAAATCTCGACGGTTTGAAAATTATAAAAGATGACACGACACCGCCGCAGGTATTTGAATTAATTCGAATTCTGATTTCAAAAACAATATTCGTTAAGGCTCAAAGAAATCGCGAGAAGAGAAAAGCGTTGATTGGCGGTATTCAAACGCTTCTCAATCATAACGACGCGTTCTCAAGACGTCTTGAAGAGTACACAAAGAAGTTGGATGGAGAAATAGTCGAATGATTAATTTAGACGCATAATTTATAAGTATTCTAATAAAACTGCCGACATATCGAACAACTGAACGAAAAAAAACAATTTTAAGAAAAATACAGACCCATTTCAAGCAAACGGTTAGAAACGCTATTATACATAAAATAAAGGGGGCATCGAATAAATAAAAAACTACCAAGTAATTTAGTAGCGCGTTCTCTTATCGGAGAAGAACGATTTGAGTAGAAGCACCTGTGCGATTCCGATGAGAATAATGACGGATGTCTGACCGAGCGACCAAAGCATTACTCGCTCATTGAGCTGTTCGGCTCTCTTGCGGCCCGTCGCTTCACGAAGTCGATGATGAGTTTGGAAATCATCAACCTCGCGAAGTTTGTCTCCAATAGCCACTGCGTAATTCTCCAATTGGCTCATTGCGTGAACCCCTTTCGTCACTGTGTTCAGTTGCTGCTCGCGCTCGTTGCCGTACTAAAATTTTTCAAGATCGAAGGCAATTTATTTCTGTACTGGCCGTAAAATAGCGAAAATTGAACATTTTTTCGGAATCCTATTTTAAATTTTTTTTCATAACGTAAAGGGTTGATTATAATATTCGCGTTTCAAAAGTGTCAATTGAATAGAAAGCGAATTTTTTTCGCATAATTTTAAATATTTCGCACCTGCCAATCCATGTAGACAATCTTGTGCGAAAATGTGGAGAATTCATTCGAGAAACACGCTTTGTATGTTCCATCGACCTAAATTCATTCCATTTCCAGCGAATTGTTTCATTTCCGCAAACCTCTGTTTTAAAATTGATGCTATCATATTGCTTCTTGACGTCCTTATACAAAACTTTTCCATTTGGATCTTCCAGCGTCAAATCAACATCATAGTGGCCTCCAGTAACCACCTAAGTAAATAAAAATCAATATTTTTAAATAAGAAAAATTTAAAAAAAAAGACCTGAAATTCGAACACAGTGTCCTGTCCCTTTTTCATATCCTCATAAAAACATTGATTCGCATTGTCAGGCAGCTCAAAAGTGAGCTCAATGGCACGCGTGGACCCCAACAGAATAAATACGAACCCAATTAGTCTCAGCATTACCTAGAAATAGAGAATGAAAAAAAAGAAACAATTGAAAGTGATTGGAATTTTTGCCAACAATTCAGCAGCGCGGTAGAGCGTGAATGCAGCACCTTCGTGAAACAAGAAAGAGATTCGCAATGAAAATTGAACATATTAAAAAAAAGAAATAGTGATGAATAAGAATTCAAAAATACTTAGATATTTCAAAATGTACTGAAAAAAAAGAATCCAGAAATCTAATAAAAAATAAATAAATTTGAAAAAAGTACAAAATGAAAAAAAAAAACAGTTTCTAGAAAAAATATTTAGATTTAAAAAAAACTCGACCGGATAGGCGCTCTCTTTGAAATTCGTGTTCTAGCTGCTGCGGACAAAATCGCGTGAAAAACCAATTTGCTTACAGAAACCAATGTATGTTAATGAACGAGCACAATACCGAAAAATGAACCCCAGAAAAATAATAATTTTTGCGCTGCTTAATATTTTATGGGTTTTTCCTATGTACCTTTAAAAATCTACAGTAATATTCATTAGAAAAATTTCCTGATCCGGAAATTTCCCGCTTCTCGATGTCGGAATTTTGACAGTCAATCCGAATCGACTCACAAGTACGATTTCAAGAAAAAAAAAATCCCAAAAATAAAATAAAAAAAGAAGTGTTTAAATACCAACCTTATTTCTGGCTCACGTCGAGCCAATTCATTCAATTCGCCAAAATCATGTTGCTCAATTTGGTCGCCTACTCATCGCTTCTCCATCTCGTTTCAGCCACCATTTTCTATTTCAAAGTTCACCTGATATGTCCGCGCATCAACGGAACAAATCTCTCCTATCATTTCGCGGTGAGCCATTTCGAGAAAGACATGTAAGTTGATCGAAGTCATCAATCGATTTTCTCGTTTTCAGATTCTCGCCCGATGACGATATGTCGAAACCCATACTAGGTGAAACAAATAAAACCGAGCACTGGTTTTATCAGTACGGATCGCAAAAAGACGATGGGCTCTTTAATGTATTCCTAAAATTTTTTGAAGAAATTTAAAATCCAAATCATTTTTGAGAACTACTTCGAGCCCTACATTCACGTTTTACACAATTGCACAAATGACGGAATGTCACAAACAAAAACGCAATTCGCAGATTCCGTGGCAGTACTTGAAACGTAAGAATTCATTTGCGGCACGAAAAAACCAAATAATTGCAGAGTTGTAACGGTTAAATACGTTGTCTACTTGCCGTATTAAATAATGACGACAAACTTGTTAAATACACGTTTTATTATCAAATTTATATATATTAATCAATTCAAAAAAAAAAAAATAGGAGAAATACGAATTGACACCTAGACAATTAATTGTCGACAAAATTTATTTAAGCGCCACCATCGCTTTCGGCTCCATGTTTCGCTGTCGAACCTGCTCCTCGAGCTGCATGATGATCGTGACGGCTTCATGAAGAATTCCAAGTTTCGTGCGCGACTTATCGGCTTTGCTCGGATTGTGCTGACCGACCATCTCGCCGAGCTGCTTGAAGGCGTCATTGATGTCGCGAACGCGAACTCTGGAAACCCGATCGATTAGATTCTCTGTTCAACGATAACACCGATGCATACCTCTCACGCGCGTTATTCTGCGATCTTCGATCCGTATCCCTTTCGTCGGAAACCGATCCGTTGTCCGACATTCGTGAGCTCGACGAATGACGAGCTGGAGGAGCCGCCGAGCTTCCAGCGGATGACGAAGCTCCAGGTCGCTTTCGGGAGCTGTTTCGATTCGACGAGCCAGGTCTGCAAACAGAAACAACACCGAATTATTTCGAATCGCCAACAATCGCCTACTTTTCACTTCGCGATCTTGAATGATCCGCCATCACCATTCCAGTCGGCGGGGCGTAACCGCCAGGAAACGCCGGACTCATTCCGGGATACATTGTCGAAGACGGCCCAGACGGTCCCGGATAGAACGGGCTCGTCATTGGCGGATAGGCCGAATACGACGGATAGGCGGGCGTCATCATCGCTTGAGGCGTATACGCCGTGCTCGAGGACGGAATCGGCGGTTTGACGTCTTGCATATAACCGTATGACGTGTTCCATGCATCATAGGCGGATTGCGGCGGAATTTCGGCGGCGCTTGTCGCCACAGGTTTGAGTTCGGTGGAATCGGGCGGAGTGATCGGATCGACTGCAGGAACCGACGGCGGATTGGCAGGATCGGACGTTGAAGCCTGTGTGGCCTGTGGATACTGGTAGGACAATTCGTTTACCGGGTACGTTGGGTAGAGACCTAGAGCAAGATAATCAATTAAAATTTGAAATCGATTTTTTTGCAAATAGCAACCTGTTGACCAATAATCCGGAATCGGGACCGTCGGATCCAAAGCGTATCTCGAATAATCTTCAGACATTTGTGTCGGCGGAACTTGAAGTGGTGGCAGTAGAGCGCTTCCGCTTCCGCTGCTGTTCTCCGACGCCATTCACTGAAATGAATTCGTTTCAACGCAAAACTAGACAAAGGTCGGCCACCCTCTCAGCTGGACATACTATTTCGTAGGTGGCGCGAAACGGGAAATTTCAAAAAAACAAAGCAGAAAAGAAGAGTGGGTGGCAAAAATAGATTGAGAAATGAAACACCATACCAAAGACAGAAAAAAAAAACAATCGATAAACAAAACAATGCCGAGCTCGTCGGATGAGAATCGAAAATGAGGCCGTGCGCGAGGCGGAGCGACGCGGATCAACCGAATGAGCCGAATATACGATTGGGTGGTGGAGGGTGCAAGAGAGATGAGCGAGAGAGTGACCGCGACGAGTGGAGACGCGCAGAGCATGTGCGGACCGTTCGGCTACGCCTTCTTTGGTTTGGCTTTCGAGGTCAACCAATGAATGAATCTAGATGAATCGAAGAGGGTGCAGACATGCGTGGATATACACTATATATATGTATATATGTGGTATTTCATGTTTGTTGATATTGTAATGAGGAACGAAGTGTTGATCTTGAGGTCATGGTGGTCCATCGAGGGACCATTAAAATAATCGAAAAAAAAATGATTTAATTTATGAAATAGTGCATTTCAAATTTATCTTACTACTGTATTGCGCAAAAATTGGCCGGATGCTTGACGCAAAACAGATGGTGTAGATTTACGAAGCTATAAGTATAGATTAAAGGCAGTCACTTGAACAAAATTAAAAAAAAATGGAGAATTCTCGCGAACACACAGAAAAATTCAAAACCCGACAATATTGTTTCGCACATAAATAAAAGTTTGCGCGCACCATCATAAACATGTCAAACGGGACCACCATAATTTGTTGCGCCAATTGGGGGGGGGGAAGGTGACATCGAAACACCAGGATTTTCGGGAACAATTTACACAATGGTGATTTAATCTGCGCCCGGACAACCTTGAAGAACGGATTAGCAGTTTGGCGGTATTTGGTGCCGACAAATAAAAATTGTGAACCAACCACCATTTGAATTGTCCAATCAAAAATGTTCATGACTGGTAATTCAAAAAAAGGAGGGCAATACTGCTGGCGGCTCCGATGGTCCCCCACACATCTTCCTAAAATATTCATATTCACACCTATCGCCAATTGTCACATTAAAGGTATTCAACCGGGTAAAACGGTTAATCGGTGCCGATGACTCAATCAAACGGACCATGAAATTGAGCGGCGGCAGTGGCGGACCACTTCAAAAACAAGCACAATTCATTAATAATCGTGTGCAATTTTATTCAAGTGGAATTCACGATTTAAATAGAGAAACAATTCAAAATCACAGTGATGCAGATTAAATCGAAAAAGAGAGAAAAAAGAAATGGATAGTTATTAATAGTGAGTAATATGGATCCAGCCAGCGAGAAATTTTGGTTAGTCGTGTTTTTCAATTTCGTCGATCATTAAACATCAATTGTATCCGTAAAAATTTGGTCAAACTCCGATGAGGGAGTCTCTCACGAAGATCATAGCAATGGAAAAATTGAAATAAAAAAGAAACAAAAAAGCGTCATTGATTGAATCGTTGATGAGATTGAAAAGGAAGCGGGTTCGCATCATCCTCAATTTTCATCTTGTCATCGTCAGGCTTGCGCTTCATTCCGACAAGCGCTTTCGGGTTCATATTGCGTTGGCGGACCTGAAACCATTTTCCTTTTTCTTCTAAGCAACGCCTCAAATCTCAAACCTGCTCTTCAAGTTGCGTGATTACGGCCACCGCTTGATGCAATATTCCTAGTTTCGTTTGCGTGCGCTCCGACGTCGCCGGATTATGTTGATTGCACATTTTGCCGAGCTCTTTGAACGCCGAATTGATATCGCGAACGCGAACACTGAAAATCACGCGTTGAAAAATTTGCTCTTGACCAAATTCGAAATTACCGCTCACGCATATTGTTTTGCGAGCGCCGATCGTGCTCACGCTCGTCGTTGCTAACCGAATCGTTGTCCGAAAGACGCGACGACGACGAGTGACGCGTCGGCATTCCCGACGAGCCAGCCACACTGTTGGCACCGCGACGGCGACCCGAGCTACGTAAACTCGCGCTTCCTCTGAATAGAAAAAAATGAAACAAACTCGTTGCGAAAAACAAAATCGAGTTTATCAAAAATAATCTCCCACTTTTCATTTCTCGTCATCGCATTTCCCGTTGGCAGCATTCCAGGGTATGCGTCATAATGTGGGCTAATTCCAGCCGGCGGCGGCTGCTGTGGCGGCGCCGCCGTCAAACATTGCGCCGTGTAGTCCGGCAAACCCGTGCCATCGCCAAGTCCCGTCTGAAACTTCCATAATTGCTTCGAATTAAGTATGAGTGTGTGTGTGTACGCGCAATCGCGCCATGGGAGTGCTGACCTTGAATAGCGAAGAGCATGGTAAAGTGCACTCTGCGCTCTACCCACAATCGCGCACTATTTCGCGCAACAACACAATGGAGCTTTCGTTGAGCGAATCAATCGATCTACGTCCGTTTTAATGGACTCCTACTAACCTAGTAGTGTCTATTTGCTTTGCATGATTAATTAAGGCAGATTCGACTATTTACGCGTAATTAAAACAAATCGAGCTTGCTAATCCTTAATCTAATAATGTTAGCTCCATTTAAGGAATTGCCTATTTTTGGAATTCCACAGGTCACGGCTCATCCGCCACATCCCATACCCATCCATCATCAAATCAAACAACGTTGCCGACAATCAAAAAAGGAGTAAAAACTGTTTGCAAACTTCTTCATTATGCAACCCGCGCGCCGCATGTTTTATGTTTGCCTTTGCGACTTGGCTGAATCCGCGTGAAGGACACGCCGGGTGGCGGCTGTACACCAATCAAGCGCCACCAAAAAAGATACCGCCGCGCATGCCGACAAAAGCGAAAGATTGTTGAGCGGGGGGATTAGGCGGGTGGGGGGACACGTAATAATAAAAAACACTGCATCATGGATTCGGCGAGATTAACTTGTAAAACGATTGTCGGCAAGGTTAGACGAGGGGGTCGTGTTGCACCACTTACCGATGCGCTAGGTGGTGGTGGATAAAATGGTGTCGACAGGGTGTTCGAGTCACCACCAAACGGATATGGCGCCGGCGGAAGAAGATAGGATGTCGACGACGACGAGACGGCAGTTTTGTCATCCTGCGACGCTGGTGGTGGCGGCTGAAATTGGCGCTTGTTCGCGAATCAACATTCGTTTCTCACTCACCATATATGCCGGATAGCCATTGGTCCAGTCATACATTCCCGGAACCGGATGCGGCAACGTCGGCAGCATTGCGGTGGTGGGCGGCGGCGGCGCGCTCGACGCACCCGCCACCGAGACTTTCAACTCATGCATTTCATTGGTGGCGGTGCTTGTCGCCGCGGCGAGCTCGCTGGCCGCCGTTGTGGCGCTCGTCGCGTTCGGATTCCCTTCCGAAGCGGCATTTGCGAGTTGCGACAATTGTGGATACGCGTAATCGATGTCACCACCAATCGGCGGCGCTTGATAATGAGCAATCGGCGGATATCCTGAAAAATCATCATTTCGAATTACGAATATCCGACCGATTGTTCCACAATTCACTCACCGTTCGCCCAATAGTCGGTCATTTGAAGGGCGTTCGGATCAAGACCATATGAGTAATCGTAGGGAATCATCGGCGGGATCGTTTGGCTCGTCGCAGGCGGCGGCACGCTACCGGCGGCCGACGATGACGCTGGAGGCACTTGTGCTTGATCCGCCATGATTCCCAAGGAACCCCGCTGATTGGCAGCTCGTCTCACCGATTCGACTAAAATTTATATAATATAATAAAATATAAACAAGTTGATTTCGGAATAAAACGCGCGGATATGCATAATCAAATATGCGCAAGTTATCCAGTAGTTATGACGACCGGCAAAACAGGTGAAAAATCGGCGGCATACACACAATTGTGTGGCGCACAAGTTTCTTGGGGCATAAATAAGACAATCGCGACGAGCGCGACCAATACCAAAAACAACAACAACAACAACAACAACAGCAAGAAAAAAATGGACCTCGTTGGTGCACTAAGTAAGCGGAGGATAAACACACGCGGTGTGGGTGCGGGTGTGTGGCGCGCAACCCTATACAGTAGTGGGAGAGACGCAGACCGAATACAAAATGGGCCACGGGGGCACGCCCCCTGAATAATTCCTAGTCAATGGTTTTTTTCAAATGGGAATTCTCAATTTCAAACTATTTTTTGGCTAGTGATGAAGATTCAAGAAACTCACACATTAACATGAACGCAACGACGAAAAGATTGAATTTGAAAATCATGCTCTTATTATTTAACAGCTGGAAAGTGCAAAAATCGCCTGCGAAAGAGTTTTTTCATATGATACCCTAAACGGTAAATGATAGGTCTACTGATATGTATCGATAGAAGCGCGTCGAAAAAAAAAAAACCCAAATTGACGCCCTAGCTGGTCGCCGCAGTCACATTAACCATCATCATCAGCAGCATCAGCAGCATCATCATCAGCGCTCCTTAAATATGCTAATTTGACACCAACCTACAGTACACACAAACGCGTCTTCAGCACCAATGACCCGGAATTTTTATGAGGCTCGTTAACCGAGTTCATTCACTTTTTTCTTCTTCTCTTCTCACACCACCTCAATCGAAGATGGTTTTGAAATTGGCGTCGGCTCGAAATGCTTTAGGGGGGGGGGGGAAAGGATGTCGAGGTCGAGCTCGATCTTTTATTATACCGGTTTCGACAGATGGCTGAACGCACGCAAGCGCGCGAGCGCGCCACAGTGATTTACGACGTGCGATCGACGACGGTTCCGCCGAAACATTATGAGCCGCGCGGGATTTCACGTATTGGAGGGAGCATTCAATCTATCGTATCGCAAAACGGACACATTCGGCAAAATTGGTTTGATCTAATGTCGGTCTACTGTAGAATTGGGTCTCGCGACATAAGTGTCAAGTGATATGTTGTCCGTGTGGAGTACACCGGGGGGAGAAAAAAAAACTTTTTTTGCTGCAACCTTCATATTGAGCTTTAGAAGTTTCTGATAGGTTTTTTTTTGAAAATTGGAAATATTCAAACTATTCTACTAATATAAATGTTCCCTTAAAAACCATTCAAAAATCTAAACGGATTGCAAATTCCTTACAAGCAGAAGCTGGCGGTAACAAAAGCGCGCCATCTGCGCAACGATCGCGCGCCCACAATGAAATCGACAAAAAACCCATTACGCAACCGTCTAAACAATTCACCATTTTTTTCCACAAAAAAAAACACGAAACACGACCCACAAAAAGTACAGTATGCCACAAATTTTGTGGGGAGGGGGGAGAGAGTTTTTTTTCTCGTTGCGACGGTTTGCGAAGGATGGAAGAACGGCGAACGAGGCGAAAGATAGAGAAGCTCGACGAAAACGGGCGCAGCTGCACAAACTGACGATGTATATTGTTATGATGGGGGGGGGGATGGGTGGAAGCTTGCGGACGCCTCCGATTTTGGGCCGAAATACAACACGCCGATAAAATGCAACAATAATGAGCGAATGGATTTGATGAGAACTTGGATTTAACAGCAAAAATAAAAACACTGAAGAAACTTGGGAATGGTTTGATTAGAACGATGGATGAATCACTAGGAAATCGAAACGACTAACATCTGTTGGTGATCATCGGAGAGCGGAATTTTCTTCAACGCCACCGTCGCCCATGTTTATGTTGGAATATTGATTTCAAGAGGGGGGCTTGCTTCTATGAAATGCGTTGGAAAGAACGGTAGGCATTAAAGACGCACACAAAATTATTTTCAATTGTATGAGCGAAAGCTTGGCTCACGAAGGCGTATTCATGCCCATTGAGAAATTTTGAAATTCTCCGGAACCGGCCAGATGTTCCAGTACACAAGCATCTTCTCCTCCTATTTTTTTAACCGTGACCTCCTTTTTTGTCTATTTTACTACGCCTAGCATAATACTCATCGGAGAGTCTCACTTTTGGAAAAAAAAACATCGGAAGGGCAATTTCTGGGGATTGATCTCGAATGTGTTGCCATTTCTTTCTCACACAAAAATTCAACTAATATATTCTTTTTTGAATATGAAAGTAGCGAAACAACGAAGGCGACATCAAAGCGTTGCCGCCTTTACCGCATTCAATTCATATGTACATCTCATCTCATTAAAAAAAATGGCAAGCAAAACGAAACGAAAAAAAAAACCAACGAATCGGAAAGCGACGCCCGTCGCAAGTTTCGCCGGCTACCGTATTCCGGGAGGAGCCTCTTCGTCGGGACTCGGCAACGGCCCTCAATATTTTTCAATTATTTCAACCAAACGCCTGCCAATGACATTTATATGAGCGAGAGTATCACATTCTCATCCCAATTCGATTTAAAAGAGTGGGGGAAGGGGAGGACTCTCAGCTTTAACTTACATTTCGGGATTTGATTGGATTTTGCATATAGACAACAAAAACCCGACACGCGGTGGCAAATTAGTTAGGGAATTATAATTGAATTTTCGATGAATTCGTCATGTCCCTTTAATAATTTTCTTCGATTCAACGTTTCGATCAGTCGCAGTTCTCGATGAAGAACAAAAAATAATAAAAATAGCGCACGAATCGCGGACGGCAGTTGAGACATGCACATCTGGCATTTGACAGGCTTTTGCGCGCACAAATCGCCGTTTTTGTGATTTCGTCGCGAACGCGATGAGCACGGCGATCAGCGAGATTCAGAGAAGTGAAAAGACGGCGAAAGAAGACGTGCATTTTTACGAGGCAAATTGAGCGGGATTGCGCTTGGAAAATGTTGGAATCGAATGTGGGACAAAATGTTGATTTCGGGACAAAACATTTGAAATAAAGTACGGAAAAACGCAATAAAATTGAAAGAATTAAACAAAATCTTTTAAAAAATACTAGTAACGAAATTATAGCTTTGAAAATTTGTTTTCAAAAATTGATGAAAAATTCCACAATTTCATGAATTTCACAACATTTTTTCATAAAAACTAATACAAATAGGCAGAAAATTTAAAGAAATTTCCCAAATTAAAAAAAAATCGGCTGAAATTTCGAAAAAAATCGTTGACCGCACGAAAAAAACTGCGTTTCGCAACAGAAAATCAATAAATAATTCTACAGTACACCATTTAAAGGAGCATGATGTAATCTTTGAAGGAATACATATTCTATTTCAAACCTAGAAATTTGTTTGCAAAATTTTGTTTGAAAAATTTTCAAAAAACCGCGGTGAAGTGGGTTAAATGAGTGCGAAACCTCACCAGGAGGCATCGCACGTCTACGTCAAAAAACCTCCAAGGCATCATTTTCGAATTTGGCGCGTGCGGTTGTCGACGAAATAGTGTCGGCCATCGAGAGGGCGCGCACATTTCATTGGCATTGTCTTGATTTTGACATCGACACGCGACTGCGGCCTCGTACGGTTGGATTAGGTTGACAGATCGGGAAATGAGATTTGAATCGACGCAAAATTGAAATAAAACAATATCAAAAATGCTTCATTTTTAATTGCAACGGGAAAAAAGAAATTGAATCCGATTAAGAACGCCGACGTTTCTGGTTGTATGGAGCATAAACTTGATTTTGATAAGGCGAATAAGGTTGTTGAACATTGTAGCCAGAATTGCGATTCGGGCACTTGCAATAGTCGGCGTCTGGTCCAGGAATTCCCGGATTTCCGGGTCGACCCGGTTGGCCGTCGAGCCCGGCGCCACCGGGAAACCCTGGCTTCCCTTGTGGTCCCGGCGGCCCCTCGAATCCGCGTCGGCCATCTTTGCCACGCTGTCCTGGCTGTCCAGGCTTGCCCATGAATCCAGGCCGGCCTGGTTGTCCGGGCACGCCAATCGCCTGCAATACGAAATGGACGAGTTGGTCGCTTTCCAATCACTCACCTTCTTTCCATCTCGTCCCGGCGCACCTGGCCGCCCATTCTCGCCAGGCCTTCCAGGGCCGCCGGGGACGCCAGGCTCACCGGGTTTTCCCGGCTTTCCATCGTGTCCAGGGAAGCCTGGCAATCCCGGCTTGCCGTCGGGTCCCGGCATTCCCGGCGGACCATCATGTCCCGGATAGCCCGGCAAACCCGCCGGGCATCTGATACACGCGCGTTCTTGATGCGGACAACGTATCGGCTCATAAACGTGATGATTATCAGCGCCAGGTGGTCCTCGCAATCCAGGCTGGCCGGGCGGTCCGGGATTGCCCGGTGGCCCAGCGGGTCCTGGAGGACAGTTGGGCTTGACGGGCTCGCATTGGCAGAAGCCCGGAAGGCCGCTGTAGGTCTGACGCTTTTTGAGCAAATGCGGTTCGAACGGATTCGGGGCCGGCTTGGAGGGCGGAGCCATCGAGTATTGAACTTCCATCATATCATGCCAAGCCGGCTCGGTTTCAGCATGAAACCCATGAACAACATCGGCGACCTGAAAAAGGCAATGCGATGAATCATCGGAATCGGGAATTCGCACAACCTCGAACTCGAGACTTCGCATCTCCTCATACAATCCGGGGATCACGACGAGGCAGCTGAGCACGGCAATCAACGAGGCGCACGCGGAAACCGCCGCGATCGCTTTGGTTTCGAACATTTCGTCAACACGCTATTATTTTTTTGCGTTTGCTTTTATACAATTTGCGAGGATGTCGCAAACTGGTTGGAGGCGGCGAAAGTGCATTAAGGAATTGCTGGGCGTGTAGGTATTTTGAATGGCATCGCCGCCGACGACGACTTCATCGTCGTACTAATTATGTAACTGTAAATTGAAATCGAAAACCATTTGTGGGCAAATTATTGGAATTGCCGACAACCTTGTGTTTCGTGTAAATTTGAATTTTTGAATTTTTTTTTCAAAACCATGCACTGCAGGGTGCCGAACAACTTATGCGATTATGTAATAACCGGATTTAATCGGATTTGGCTAATTTTCGAACTAAGAAACAAAAAAAACGCGCGATTTCTGCCCATTCTTGAAAACAATTTGCAAATTTCAGAGTTTAGAAATCTGAAAAAATTCATTTAAAATTTTTTTAATAGGAGTTTTTTGAAATAAAAGTGATTCGGCGATTTTCATCGAAAACCGTGTAGGCATCCAAAAGACACACAATAAAAAAATCAAATGTGTGCAATTTTTCGTGCGAGTGTATGCACAGCTTTAAGTGGACGGCGTTTTGAAACATTTTCTTTTTTCTTTTTGCTTAATCAAATTTTTTCAAATTTTCATTTTAACTATATTAAATTTATGCCAGAAATAGCTTGTTGATTTTCTTGAAAAGAAAATGTTCAAAAATTACTATCAGTTACTTTTTTCCGTTAATGTTACACTAGATGTCGGCTTCTTAAAAATAGTTGCAATGATAAAACAGTACGCTTTGTAGAAGCCTGATTCAAGGAATGTAGATTTTAAAAAAATTGAAAATACTTTTTGCTAGTTTTGAAAAAAAGTAATTATTGGAATATTTGATTTATTTCGTTCGTTTCGACAATTTTACAGCAATTCATTTATGAAAGAGATTGCGCTGCAACCAGATTTGCGTATTTTCCATTGAGTTTCAAAAGATCCGAATGAGTACCGCTCTCTGTGATGCGACCATCGGAAACATAGTGGATCCTGAAATTATCAAACATTTGTATGTATTATGGTATCACGTAGAAAAATATCATACGAAAACCTCGACCACGGCCACAGTCTATGCAAGAATCCTGAAATTGAATCATTTGCGCCGTAATAGAAAATCTTTAAATAAAAAAAAGAAAATACCAAGATTGTTATCGTTTTAAAGGCGTATATGATAAATATTTCATGATTCTTACACCGATTAAAAACATATGTTTTTACATGTTTTTAAAGTTTTTCCCCGAATCTGTGTAGAATCATTATAATATCCAAAAAAAATCCTCACATGTCACAATTTTGAATGGTGCTCAATCGATGTGTAATAGTTATGCTTGTTCGTCCATGACTAGCCATCCGCAGAGCATTTTGAACAATCTAGTGAAAACCATTTCAATGATTATTATCATCATTATCGGTTTACCCTATCCGATTCAGCGTCCAACGCGCTGTTCGCTTCATCGAGCAAAAGAATCTTGGGTTTTCTGACAATCGCGCGCGCAATGGCAATCCGCTGCTTTTGACCGCCCGACAATGAGCCGCCACCTTCTCCAACAATTGTGTCGTAGCCCTGCAAGTCGGCGCTAATCGCACGTTGATCATCATCAAATTACCAATGGGAAGTTTTCGATAAATTTTGAAGCATTGGCGCATTCGCATGCTTCGCGCACCTCGTCCAATGTAACTCCGTCGAGACCCAGCGTAATATTTTCGAAAATTGATGCTAAAATATGTGGCTAGAGGGGGGAAAAACAGAATAATTTATGCTCACCATTGAAAAGCACGGGCTCTTGTGAGACTAATGCAATATTTGTGCGCAAATGGAACAGTTCGATATTATTGATGGGAGTCGAACCAAGAATCTGGAAAATCGAATTCTCCAGTCTAGAATCAATTTGAATAAATGTGATTATACAATTTCGCCGTCCTTGACCTCGTAGAATCTCTCAAGCAATGACACAATTGTGCTTTTGCCGGATCCCGAATATCCAACAAGAGCAATCGAGGATCCTTTCTTAATGTCGATCGTGAGATCTTTGCACACCTTCTTCTTTGGATTTGACGGATAAGCGAACGTGACGTTCTCAATTCTCGCCGATCCGTCAATTTCCGGCTTCTCGGTTGTCGCGCGCGCGATTCGATCCGTCGGCGAATTGAGCATCTCCAAAATTTGATTAGCCGCTGCCGAAGCGCTGACCACTTCTGGAATGAACGGCGCAAAGTACATAATTCCCCACGAAGCCATCTGAGAGCCATTAAACGCAAGAAAGATTTTGTTCGACTCGTATTTGCCGTAGTAGATCAACAACGTGCCAATGTAAAATGTGAGCATGTCGGAGAAGAACACATAGCTCTGTGTTGATGCAAAATTCAAGGCCGACATAAATCCAACCTGAAAATCACTTAATACCAAAAGTGATCATTGACGAATAAATAACCCGCTTCTCGTATTCTTCAGAAGCATTGAGAAATTCGTTTAACCGCGACTCGAAGTAATCCTCCACCGCCATTATTTGAATCGAGCGCACTTGCTCAATTATCTCAATTGTGAACTGCAAATCTCAAAGTCGACGGAATTCATTTGAGATTTGGTCATCTCACCACTCCGCTCCTATCATTAACCGTCTTCTCGATGTGCAAATTATGGGCAGAGCTCACGAAATACAACGACACGATTCCGTATGATATTGTAATGAGGAGTCCGATGAGACCGATCTCCCAGACGAACGGAAAGGCGAGCAGAAGGGACGCAAGCGTGCCAGCCGCGAATATGACGATTCGAACGGATCGATGATCGACGCACTGAACATTTTCATATTAAGATGTTGTAGTAGTCGCTATCACAAAAAAATAGAAAAGGAAGATGGATTTGGGTGAAATGAAATCTGTGCAAAATTGCGTCTATGTGTAAACGGACAATAATGGAACCCCCCCCTTTCCTCTCTACTTTTCTATCTTTTTAAAGAGGTCCCAAAATCTCAATTTTCTGAATTTTGATTTATTAATTTCCTGGTTTAAATAACCAGAAAAATTGAAACGTTCAAAAACACTGTATGCAGATATGTGTGCATACATCGACTTTGCAGTTTTTAAATGAACACATCGAATATGGCAAATTTCAGTGGGTCTCGCTAGTTTTCTGTACGCAGAACACCAAATATATCCTACCGCAATCGCGTTGCCAATGTTGCTCGATATTTTCGATACACACGCGGCTGTCGACGTTGTCGGATTGTCGAAATACGAGACGGGTCGATGAAGTAGACGAGAGAGTAACGTCGCCTTCACATCATCCATTATATCGCTAGCGGTGCCATTAGCAAGCATCATCTGTAAAATTTAAAAAAAACATTGTTGTATGTAATAATATATTGGCGTCGCACCAATATTGTGTGCACCAGCCAAATAACAGCACCCATTATAACCGGCTCGCCGAGGGTGATATAAGCCCATTGCATGTAGTCATCTTTGTTTTGCTGAGCAAAAAAAAAACGAGATATATTAATAGAATCCCAAAAATAAGATTTTGATTACCTCTAACGTGTAGTATGCCAACGAGAGGCTCAAACCATAACATGCGAGCTCGACACATCTCGGCAACGAGAGCAACAATATTAATAAAGCTGTCCCTTTATATTTGCGATAATAATTCAATAATCGTAAACCGGCCAGTGAAATCTTGTTGTCCTCTGGTTCAATGGCAGCCAAACTTTCGTCAGTTTCAGGAATCTCATCATCAGTGGCGAATTGCATTCCGTCATCGGCGGTCGGGCGCGTTTTACTATTATCATCGCTTGTTTCACTCTGATCAATATTTTGGCTTTTTGCCAATTTCGCGTAAATGCCATCAAGCGCCATAAGATCATCGTGACTGCCAACTTCCACTGTTTTGCCCTTTTCTATTACATAGATTTTGTCAACATATTTCAAGCTGCTCAATCGATGAGCAATGACAATCGTGGTGCGGCCGATCGAAGCTTTTTGTAAAGCTGCCTGCGATTTCAAATTTCAGGGTCATTAATTAAAACCATGAAAATCATTGGTACATTGACGATGGCTTCGCTGTGCGAGTCAAGAGCGCTCGTTGCCTCGTCGAGAAGAAGCACGGAAGGCGATGTGACCAATGCGCGACTAATACAGATTCGCTGCTTTTGTCCGCCCGACAACTGAACGCCACCAGTTCCCAATTTCGTTTCGTAGCCCTACAACTCGCCGCAAATATCGATTTTTATAGTTCTCAATATACGTCTTTCAATTTCCGAATGAACCCATCAGCGTTTGCGATTTTCGCCGCGTTCACCACGTCGTCATCGCTGACATCCCTACCAAGCTTGATGTTTTCCATTATGGTGCCCTCAAACAGTTTCGGCTCTTGCGGAACAATTCCGAACTTCTGTAATCGTCAAACGCTTACTGTCGTGTTCGCAAGCACGAATTACCGATCTTAAGCTTCTTTCATCCAAAATTCTCACATTCATGCCATCCACTGTAATTTCTCCTTGATCGAGCCGGTACAATTTTGTGAGAAGGCCAATCTATTAAAGCAATCATTTTGGAAATGAATTTCAATCTACCGATGTGCTTTTCCCGCATCCGCTGGTTCCAACTAGCGCAATTGACTGTCCCGGCAAGGCTTCAAATGAAAGACCCTTTAATGAACATTTGTGATATATTTTCAAAACAAAACGGGCAAAATTTTCAAACTTGTTCATGAATTATCGATATTCAAATAATAGACATATTAATAAAATAAAAACATAAAAATTTACACATTTAATGCAACTTTTTAGACTTTTTGAAAAAAAAAACATTTCATGATATATTTATCACCATCGCAAAAAGGCGGTAATTCAAATTCCAAATTAAGAAAAAGAAATTTCGAAAAAATGCGATTTGAAAATGAATTCACCAAATGTGTGCAAGTTTGCGTGCATGTGTATGAACGTTTTTGCGCGTTAAATTTGGTTCAGCATAACCAACGGGAAGATTTTGGGAAGCCCTCGTGGAGCCCCAATGCAAAAACCACAATTATTCAAGATTTTTCGATGTCCGTGTGGATCACACCGACGCTTCGACAACACATTATCTCCAACTTACTGTTAATATTTTTTTATCACGCGTTGGATACTTGAAATGGACATTTTTAAAAACGATGTGACCTTGCAAATTCGTCACTTTTGTGTCCGCCTTCAAATCATCGCTCTCTGATGTCTGAAGAGGTTTCGAATTAAGCGGAAAACGGCACTTTTAGAAAAATTTGCCACCATCTCAATAACGCTTTGAAGCGATGTGAACGAGGCGGCGGCTTGTTGAAGCGTCGTCAGATGTGGTCCGAGAAGACCTAGAAAATAGCCGATGACGCAAATCGTGTTGACAACCAGAATAACGTCTCCCGGTCTCGTAATCGCTCCGGCGAAATAAAAGCGACAGCCGACGCTTAAGCAAATGTTTGTCGGCGATGGTGTCCGACGAAAACTCACAATAGAGCTAGACCTGTGATACCATAGACGACAAAAAGGGACATTCCGTCAAAGAAGCCGGACCAGAAGCACATTCGAATGTGAAGCTTCTTAATCCTCTGATTGACTTCCTTCAACTTTCTCGTCATGAAGTGTTGCCCGTTGCAAGCTTGCACAGTCTTCACGTTCATTATAGATTCCTCGAAGATGGTGTGCGATTTTTTTGATTCCTCAATCAGCTCGCTCATCGTCGACTCGTTGACTTTTGTCGAGACATGAAGAACAAATGCCGAGATGGGACCCATTGTCAGTGTGATGAAAGTCAATGGTACGTTAACGAACGAGCATGCGATGATGGATGAGAGGAACATTGCAAATCCGCGAATCAAAACGCACATCTGATTGCCAACAGCATTCGAAATCACTTCGATGTTTCTACAAATGGGTTCGTGTCAAAATCAAATAATTTCGATTCAGCGTTTGACTCATTGAGTTCGCCAATCAAACTTCCCGCCGGATGATCATCAAGCCACGCCGAATTTTGTCGAAGTATCGAGGCAATAAAAACTCGTCGGAGTTTTGCGATGATTTTCTGTGTGCCGCGTTGTATGTAAATGCCCTGAAAATATTGCAAAAAAAAGGGGAAGTTTGTCGAAAAAAAGAAAGATTCACTTGAATGATGCCAAGAATGAGGACAACCACACCGGCGAGTACACCGCAATAAATTAGAAATAGAACGTCGCTGAAAAATTTTTTGTCGCCGGGCGTCTGAAAGTAGGTGATGGGCTATCGAGAATCAATAGCATACATTATTATTGACGAGATAATGATCGGTGATCCAGCCGCCAAGAAGTAATACGAGCGGCTGGATACAACCGCCTAGAATCGCGCAGAACACTGCTAGAGCTATGTGAAATATATCCAATTTCGATCCGAATAAAATCTGAATCATTTTAAGTTGATTGGCTAGCGGAGATATTCTCAAACAATGTCGATGACCGATTTCCGGTTGACTTTCGGTTTTACATCGGCAATTACCGGCGCCACGCGGTTTCGCATTTGCATGGTCCTGCAAACAAATGCCTTCGAAATTACAGAGAAATGCTATTCGCAAATGTTGGCATGCGCCTTTAATGGATTTTTTTCCAAACTAGTCGATCTACATATTCATTGGAAACACCCAAAATTAATGTTTGAAAAAATCTGAAATTCAATTTTCGAATCGTTTTAAGAATCTTATTGAAGTTATCTGAAATCGATTTAAAAAAATGTCAAGCGAATCCTTGGCTTTCATAGTTTTTGAAATTCTGGCTCGATGTTTCAATTTGTAGAAAATCGTATTATATTTTATCGGGGCGGTAATATTGTCAGATTCAAACGACTTGACGAAATTTAAAAAAATTATTGGCTATGTGCCAATGCGTCTCGAGAAGTACGCGAGATTGCGTACATTGCATTATAGTGTACGCGCATTGAATATTCAGTCAACGAAAAATTACACACACTGATTTCGCGAATTTGAAGGCCCCGCCTCCATTCAATCGTTTGACAATTCAAATTTGAATTTTTATTAGGGAAATTGTTCTACCGTATGCTGACTTACCGTAATTCAACACAAGGTTCTAAGTAATGAGGGTCCGGTGGCCACTAGGTAGAAGTAAGAACCGGGCGAAATTATAAAAAATGAAATAATATGATTTCCGATCCCGTTGAAGATATCTTATCACTCAATGCCTTATTGTGTCATATAGTTCATTAAAATAGTCGCGTATGGTGTAAAAAATTTGATGGTTTTTTGAACTATATGATAAATTTTCTGATCAGAGTTCGGCCGACAACCGCAATTTTACACATAATGCCAAAAATCGACGAATTTGAATAATCAAACTCGTTTGCCGTTTTTTTTTTTATCATTGCATAAACCACATTTTTAGACATAAAATCTTCGAAATCTTTCGTCCGCAACAACTTTCTTTTTTTTGTTGATTTCATCTAAAATTTTTATTTATTTATTTATTTAATTATTTTCTAAAAAGTTTCTAAAAATTGAGCGAATAAATAATGATTGTAGGAATAGAAGGAGTAATGTGACGTGGCCGAGTATTTTGCGGCCGCGGAGATCGACGGCCACATATTCAAAAGCCTGTGTGGATGCTTTAGATGAGGTCGTTTTTTTTTTTTAATATTTTGCCAATCGATTGACCTATGTTTGATACCTGTGCAAACTTCTGGTTATCGAGATGTGGACCTTCAAATTTGCAACCCACTGATCCCTAGGAAAATCACTTTGTGAGAACACTATAAAACGAATGGATAAGGCAAAAGAATGAATAAGAAAAAAAACAAAATTTTCAATAGTCAAAACAAAAGCAAGCATCCTCGACCCGTGCGCTCCCGGAAAAGGTCGGCAGATGCTTAAAATGAAATTTCTAGAGATTTAAAAAACAGAATCTCCTGTCTCCCACATTTGGACAGCGCTGAAGAAGATTTTTGGTCAGACAACTGGAATATTTTAAAGAACAAAATCGAAATATATATATATAATTATTCGTTCAATTTACATAATCGATTGATTTGCATAATCGGCATCACATTCGAGGCGTTGTGTTCAAAAAAGTTTACTTTCTTAAGTTCCTCTATATCGCATATGACTAATGCTTATTGGGGCCATGAAAATCATGAATCGATCAAATTTCTATGATCTAGTGGTACAATACAGAACATGGTCGATGTACGGTAACTCATTGGTCTCAAACAGAAGATGAGAAAAGACTATTACGGCTGATTTTTCAAATTTCCGAATTGCCGAAAAAAAACACAATTCGAATTTTCAATTTTAAGAATTCTCAAATTTTCGTTGTGTAAAAAATCTTCAAAATTAAGTAGTTTTATTTAATTTTATGTGAAATTTCATGAATACCTTGAAAATGCGGTATTAATATTTTGAATTAAAGTTGAAAAATTTTAATATTGCCAATTATCGAACAGCCTCGAACTGTAGGTATTTTATATATAGACGAATTTAAGAAAGTAAACTTTTGAACTCAATCGCTCGAATATCATGCAAATCGACCGATTATTCAAATCAATGTAAATTAAATAAATATAAATGTACAGTGAGTCTCACATTTACAACGACATCCCAGTTGTCACATTGTTCTTTGTCAAAATTTCAAAATGCGGATTTCGAAATTCAATTCAGGAGAAGGGTATGTGAAAAGTTGGCCAAAAGAAACAAATTGTTCATTACGAAATGATTTGTGCGCCTTTAAACACCATTTAAGTGTTTTTAATCGGTTTCGATTCGCTTTTTTTTTGTCCGGACATGACGCGTCTTTGAGCGGAATATCTTAAGATTGGTTCCATGGGATTTTATCTACTGATTTTGTTTGATATTGTTAAGAAAATGTTTAATATAAGTTTTGAAGTACCTTGAAAAACCTTTCGATTTGAACAATATTAATAAAGTTTTCAGAGTAATGAAATGTGTGCAATTTTTCGTGCGAGTGTATGCACAGCTTTTGAACCGCGTTTTTTGAAACATTTTCGTTTTTCTTTTCGCATGATCAGATTTTTTTCAAATTTTCATTTTAACTATATTGAATTTATACCAGAAATAGCTTTTTGATTTCTTGTTGTAAAGAAATACCCAAAACTATTTCAAGTTACTTTTTTAAAGATTGAAATTTCGGTACATGTCGTTATCTGAAAATTAGTTGATTAGTTATACAATGATGATACTTATTAGCAACGAATGTAGAAATTTCAAGATTTTGATTATGTGCCTTATACAATAAATTACCAAAAATTTATAGTCGAATTGCAGTCTTCCTGTAGTGTTGATATATTACTCCTCGGCGCACTGATGTCTCATCATCACGCATGTTATCAAAACCGCTCCTCCTCGTCTTCGCTTCTATTCTCTTCTTATTCGATTCTCCGTCGACATTCAATCGGCCAACAAAAAAAAATAAGTATTGATTGTCTCCTCGTGTTGTCGTCGTGTCATCTGGAATAGAAAAAATGAGCGCGATGGCCGCCGACGGAATCGATGATCGCGATATTCCAAAAATGGAATTGCTCGAAGCTGCGTTCAATTCGGATTTGAAAAAGGTAATTTAGCATTTTGCTCTTTCTTTTTTTTAAACTCTTGTTGAATTTCTAGATTGATTCGCTTATGCGCGATGGGCAAGTTCATATTGATTCAACCGACGACGATGATGTCACCGCGCTACACATCGCCGCCGCCATGGGCAACACCAACTTGGTGCGACGTCTCCTCGATTATGGCGCTAACATTGAAGCTTGCAATCAGCTAGGCCTTACTCCGTTTTTATACGCGGCTCGCGAAGGCAAACTATCTGTCATCGACGTCCTTCTGCAAAAGGGTGCCGACTATCGGAAACTAACGTGAGGTACTTTTGAGGGTTGTTTAGCCTATTGAGACAGGTTTCAGGTATTTAGGAGTGAACGCGTTAACATTGGCGGCGGCTGGCGGCCACGCCGATGTCGTGAAGAAGCTGTTGAGCTTGCGCGATGAGAACTGGCGATCTGCTCCGCGTAATCGTTATCTGGCACCCACTCCACTCATTGCGGCTACCTGTTTCAAATCGTCACAAATATGCAACACTTTGATTAGGTGTGCTATTTTCTTCTGATATATCTATTTCAATTCGTTTTTTTCTTTGAATTAGTAGTCTAAGCGAGTGGAGACCGCGAAAAGTTCGGCCACGTCCAAAAAAATTAAGGCATAACCGAAAAATTGCCTCTTGAAAAATTATTTCACCCAAATGTTTGGCTTTCAAAATTGTTTTTTTTTTTTTCAAAACAAAAATGCTTATTTAAGAGCTGGCGCATCTCCTGACGAAACTGTCGACACCTTAAATGGCCTCAGCGCACTGTCAGCCGCTATACTTTGTACACCGGGTGTGTACATGGTGTCGTCTTTGCTAGATCTTGGTTCAAGTCCAACAAAACGGTAACAATTTTTTAAAATCGCCCCCAATGAATCGAATTTAATAATTAGAACTTTAAATCGAATGAATGCAATGGAATTGGCGACGAGAGCAAAACGAAAAGATATCGTCAATATGTTGTATGAAAAGAAAAACGCGAGAAATGGTAATCAAAAAAGTATCCTTATTTTTATTTTGACACTTTTTTTTTCAGATCTTGGCGCTCACAGAGATATTCGTAAAATTGTCGCCGACGACGAATTGACCGAAAGGTTAGTTGATCAACCATCCCAAGATGGCTGCACACTTCTAATGTTTGCAATAATCGTAAGGAGCATCAACTCGGTGAGAACATTCTTCTGTAAAACAAACGATTTTTTTTATTTTAGGCTAAATGGCTTCTTCAAAAAGATGCTGATGTGAATGCCAAAGACAATATGCATATCACTGCGTTACACTATGCATCCCATTTGAGGGTTGAAGAAATCATTCCACATTTGCTATCTAAAAATGCGCGGACCATTGACATTAATAAGTTCAACTTGAATGCTTATGATTTGATGTTACGCTCATCCGGTACGCAATTCCCTTCAAACAATTATTGATCCTTGGAATCATTCAGAAATCGGCGACACCTCCAATATTCGTTCGCAAATTCACCCGTACCGGCCGGCGCATTTGGAGTTGAAGCTTAGTTTCAGCGCGTCATCGTCGAGTTTGTATAAGACACTTCAGCCGAAGGGATGGCTCAATAAAGTGTCCTCGCAAATATTTTTGGCATCCGCTGAACGCGCTCCGGAAGCGATTGAGCCGAGAAAATGGCTTGACGCGATTGCGCAATATCAACCGGCAAGGGATAGAAATGCCACAGTAATATTAAAAAAATATATGTGATTCTCGATTTCATGGGTAATTTTCAGAAATTTGCGTGTGTCGAGGACATTTTGCGAGGTACCAAATCGGCACGACCGCCGGAATCGAATCCGTACGATATTGTCACTGATGCGGCGCGTAGTTCAATGGAAGAGTGCCAATCGTTCATGGTGACATTCTTTTGCGACGCCTATGGCGAAAAGGAGGATCAGCAAAGAGCGCCGGAGCAAACGCTTCCCAACGATTCAAAGTGTTATGATGTCTCGCAATATTACGCGCAGGCTTCGGGTTATCCGCCGAATCGGAAATTCGCGCGCAACTCGCTTGTCCTCCGTCGACGCGACAGTGTTGAGAGTGTCGATCGTCGCGGAAAGCCGCGCAACTTCGCGATGGTCGAGCATCCGTCGCAGAATCAAATGCGAACGACGCCGAGAATGCTGAAAAAGTCGAGAGATGTGATGGGAGATTCAGGCTATGGTACAACTTCGTATTCTGCTCGAATTAAGTGGGTTTCAATTTTTTTTTGTCTGAAAATTTTGAACATTTGAAATATCTAGTAACAGACCGAATGTCCCAACTGTCGTTGTTCATCCGAAGCCTCGCGGATTAACAAATCGTAAGTTCAATTCACATCAAGCTTTTCATATTGTTTATCAATAATTAGAAATGATATGGGACCAATTCATTTGCCGCAATAAACATTTGCTAATGAAGAAGTTGCAAAAAGAAGAAATCGATCGATTTGTTAGTTTTTAGATAATTGAAAAAAAAAATCAATGATTTTTAGACCTTTATGGAGTTGAATGAAGCAAATTTGATGGAGATGAACATTTTGCAAAAAGAGGATTGGATTGTAATTCGCGATATTCAACAATCGCTTAGTGTATTATTGAATCCTTAATTTTAAATGCTATATAACTTATATTTATAATGTATAGTTTATTATCGATATCACATAGAAACCAATGAACGGTGATCGTAAAATTTTCATGCATTGTTATCAGTTCTCATATTATCTTTCAATTCGAATTGATAACTGTTTCACGAAAAAATGACAAAATCGATTTGCGTAATTGGTGCGGGTGCCGCAGGATTAATTACAGCAAAGCATGCCCTCAACGAAAATTTTAAGGTAATTTTACAAATTGTCGTTCAAATATCTATTTTATCCAAGGTCGACGTGTTTGAACAAACTGGGAAAGTTGGTGGCACTTGGGTCTATTCGGATGAAATTGGATGTCATTCGAGCATGTACAAAATAATGAAGTAATTTGAAAAAAACTCTTAAATTCGGATTATTTAAATGCAAGTCCGCAAACATCATGCGGCATGATTGAACACAATTATAAAATCTGTGCAATCACACCTGCGCACTTGCATTTTATTCTACGCCTATGTAGATATTTCAAAGTCTGCGAGTTTTTTTTCTCGTGAACATGTCGATTTAGAACCAATTTGCCGAAGGAGGCAATGCATTATCAAGACAATCTGTTTCCGGATGATTTGCCGAGTTTTATGTCTCATGAACACGTCCTAGAATACCTTGAAAATTTCTCAAGGGGAATTCCGATTCAATTCAACACCACGGTCGTCGGCGTGACAAGGGATGGCGATTGGTGGAAGGTCTCGACACGAAATAGCGGTGTTGAAAATGAGTCCACATATGATGCTGTTCTTGTATGCAATGGCCATTATTTCGAACCGCTGATTCCATTCGAAAACTCGCAAATCTTCAAAGGAGCCTTTCTACATAGTCACGACTATCGAAAAGCCGATGCATTCGCCGGAAAATCGGTAACCATTATTGGCGCGGGACCATCGGGCATCGATATTTGCTTACAAGTAAGCCGGGTGGCGGAGAATGTCAACCTCATCGGCAACAAAGCGAAATACCCAAATATGCCGGATAATGTGTCGCAGCTCGTTAAGCACGTCGAGACGATCACCGAAACTGGTGTGCGAACCGAAGACGGTGAGCACATTGATTCGGATGTGATTATAGTATGCACCGGATATGCATTCAAGGTATTTAATCAATAATATAAGCATAATTGATTTTTTTAAGTTTCCATTTCTCACAAGTGAATTACTTCAAGTCTCCCATAACGGCCAAGTCGTTTCACCGTTGTACCAACATATTTGCCACGTCGATTATCCGGATTCGCTTATTTTTATTGGAATCCCCCTCTCGACAATCACATTTCCCCTATTTGAAATTCAAGCGAAATTTGCGATTGCGTTATTGCGTGGGCGGGTTCTTCTACCGGATAAGCACGCAATGATGGATTTCGAAAAAAATCGGATGAAGTGGGCGATGGGTTGCAGCCAAACAAAACAAAATTTTTGATTTCAGGATCCTATCATCACCCAATCAATATCATTTTCTGATGAATGAACAGTGGGACTACATGCGCGAGTTGTGCAAGTTGGGACAATTCGAGGAATGGTCCTACTTGAAGACATTGGAGCGCCTATTCAAATTCATTATTGAGCAGCGCGGAAAAAATGTCGTAGAGTACAAAAATCTCAATTTCAAAATGTCTGATGACATGCAAGATTTCATTGTGGCCAATGTTCATACTTTTTGACTTGACTCATAAAAATTGTATAATGATTTTTTGATTTTTTTTACTTCAGATTCCAGTAGATTTCTGGTAATGTTCAATTCTGCTCTTTCGGCCAATCTGATTACCAATCGGAAGGCGAAGCGAATGAGCTACGTTTGAGCAATGCAGACTTCTTAACGTCTGATGGCGATTTAGATGAATTCTGAAGCATTTAAACCCTCTCGTTGGCAGCAGTGATGATTCAAAATATATGAGATTATGAAGAAGTCGTTGTTGCAGGTTTCATTGAAGGCGTTCCTAACATTCAGAAGAATGAAGTATTTGCAAATGCATAGAGTTGTTATTGTAATCCAATCAGCAGTCAGGTAGGAAAATTCACTACTCGAAAAATTAGCTTGTTTCAACATTTCAGAGGCTTTATTCAAAGAAGGAAGCATGAGAAGATTCCCTCATCAGTGATCGCGATTCAGGCCGCATACAGAGGGGGGGATTGGATGGTTTAGGTGTTTAATTGCGGTTTAATATTAGGATATTTTTAGAATTAAGGTTTTGAACTTAAGTCTTGAAAAAAGCGGATATTTAGAATTTCGATGGTTTTCGGGCTTTTGCCATCATTTATTCATTATTTTTGCAAGAGGAGATCCTCATAAATTTTAATTAAAAATAATCGAATTTTCATCAAATTACAATATTTTTTCCTTATTGAAATTTAGAATAAAGGCGCAATTGCCCTAAAAAAATAGGAATTTTGATGGGAATCGAGATTTGGGGGCGGAGGAGTACAGGTAATTAATTTTGTGGTCCGTGAATGGGTTCAGATTCCAGTGACAGACAGCCGCCAATCAAATTTGTAAAGAAATTATTCAGCTTATGATATTTTGTTGGTAAAATTGACCAAAAACATGGAATTTTCGAACCCCCACCCAATTTTGTTTAATTTTAAACGATTTTATGCATTTTCTTTTTAATCTTCATTTAGAAAATTCAGATAAATTTCGCTCAATACGAATCTCAAACAATTTATTTTCAATCCTAAAAATTTCCAGTGATTGGCGTGCTTCAATAATTCTTCATAATTGTCAAATTGAGTTTAGAGTATCTCATTTGTCGGCAATTTATCAATTTTCCTCTATTTCCTACAATGGTCCTACTTGAAGACATTGGAGCGCCTATTCAAATTCATAATTGAGTAGCGCGGAAAAAAATGTCGTAGAGTACAAAAATCTCAATTTCAAAATGTCTGATGGCATGCAAGATTTCATTGTAGCCAATGTTCATACTTTTTGACTTGACATGATTTTTGACTCATAAAAATTGTATAATGATTTTTTATTTTTTGACTAATGATTTTATCATTTTTTTTTTACTTGAGATTCCAGTAGTTTTCTTTTAGTGTTCAATTCTGCTCTTTCGTCCAATCTGATTACCAATCGGAAGCCGAGGCGAATGAACTACGTTTGAGCAGCGCGGACGTCTGATGGTGATTTAGATGAATTCTGAATCATTTCCATTGTTTTCGACCATATTGCTATTTTTGTACTCACAATTGATTATATTCTCAATTCTTCTGTACGATAATTTTCGTTCTGAGAAATTATATTGGAATGAAGAACACAAGAACGATATCTTAAACGAAACGCAAAAATTGAGTAAAGCAGCAACAAACAATTTTTAACCATAACAACTTTTTCTTTGAATTACGAATGTTTTTGTCGTGGATTGCTTAGTTAAATATATAATTTTAATCAGCTGCTAATAATTTGAAATTGATTAATACTAAAGAGAATTTTTAAAAAGTAAAAAAAAACAGGTATTAAATTGTAAAAATACGAAATTAAAAAAACGTCCAAAAATTGCTCAAATAAATGCGGTCATTGCATCCATGACCACGCCCACCATTTCAAAAGATTTGAATTTCAAATTATTCGCGAAATTTTTCGCTTGTCATTTAATGATTATTCAATTTGTTTTAAGATTTTCAAACTTTTAAATCAACAGATTTTTTAAAATGATGACAGATTTTTTAAAATGATGTTACGTACGAATGAAATTCAGGGGTTCACGGATTTCATCAACCTAATCTATTTGTTTTTGGATTATTAAAAATTGCGGAATATTTATAAATAATTCATTTTTCAGAAATTAGAAGACTTAAATGTGATAAAGGCTTTTTTATTTTATATATCGCCCAGCAGAGTTCCTAGTCCTGGATGAAAACAAACTAACAACCAGTCCCGTCGCAGCTGTGTTAGCTATTTGGAGCCTCACTACTTTCCTGAGCTCAATATGAATCGGGTATCGGAAGTAGATAGGTTTACCAGCGTATGAGATATTCTCGCGTCTGAAATGTAAGCAGTGTTGTTATTATCCAACCAATATTCTTTTTAAGGTTATATTTTACCTCAAATTGTAATAAAATCATAACGAAAAGAGGAAATTCGTCATTGAACAGCTTGGTTTGTTTTCTGTATTTCTCCAAGTTAATTCTTCCGTTTAGCAGACCATCGCCTCGGAGACTTCCATCAGTTATAGATGTTCGTTTATGCTACGACCTACAACTCAAACACTAACATTGAAAAAGCAAAGTGTTCGCGAAGCCATGATTTTCATAACTTATCGCCTGCTGGAGCACCGGTGATGTGCGGATGAATGTGATCAGGTTACTTGTTGATCTTCTATTAAAAACTAGATGAAAAAAATTAATCTTCAACAAAAAATTAAAGTGTGCCGATTAGCCTGACTCGGCCCTCGTGAAGGAGGACCGAGTCAGTTGATCTCCTTCGCCACGTAGAGGCTCGACACTTGAAGGAGAGGCTCACCAGCATCAGGCCGAAACCTGATGTAGGTCATCGCCGATCCCACCTTGGGGTTCACCCAAGGACATCCCACAACTATCATCCGAGGATAATAGAAGTAGAAGTGGTTGGGCAAGCCACGTCTGGCTGGGCCCCGGGTCTACTGGTGATTCTGTAATGTGGTTTTTGTGTTCATAGCATAGCAGCTTACTACTAAGTAGTAGCAAGCCACTACATAGTAGCAAGCTACCATGCTAAGAAGCACGGTCCATGTGCACCCGAAAGGCTGGACATATTGACATAGCTGGCCAATCCACGTCAATATAGGTCTGGGCCAGATGACATCCTGACTAGTATGGAGGACACCCGGTGAAGCAAATTTCTAAAGCATAACCATCCATAACGCCCACCAAGCACTCGAGAGTACTTGAAACGGGGTCGTTTGGGTAGGGTTCGATTCCCGGCTACGGAATCAGGGCTGAAGGGCTTGCCAGGCCAATCACCCGAATTTAGGATACAGCGGATAAGCCGCCATCCAGCCAACGCCTCGGCACTACGGGGGATCAGGAAGCCTTGGCGTTTGGGGGAATGGCCGACTACGGCCCTAATATAGCCAGCTACGGCTCTAATAAAGCCGACTACGGCGGTAGAAGTAGAAGAGAGGTCCTTAATATGGGTTATGCTTAATGGTGGGGACAAATTTACTTGTGGCGGTGAATCGATTAACCAGCAGGGTCCTTCCATCGGCGGCAGCAGCAGCGACGATACCTAAACACCTAAACACAAATTACACAAATTAATACAAAGAATAAAAAAGAAATAAAATAGTAAGAAAAAAGAGGGAAGCCAGTCATTAGTGGAATGACTGACATGACCGTAAGTGGTACGGTTTTCCCCCGAAAAAGAAGAGATGGTCCCAAATGGTAGGACCGGGAGGATGTACAGACGTAAGTGGTACGAATGTACGGAGAGAGAGAGGAATCCCAAGTGGTGGGATATAGAGGGGGCAAGCCGTAAGTGGTACGACTGGTGGAAATGAATAATAAAATAATAATAAGTAATTTTAAAAAATAGGCCCGGGCCAAAAATACCAAATATCCTACGCTTTTGCTCCTTCCTCGCCGCTTCTTCCAGACGTCGCCTCTGTTTCCGCCGGCCTTTTATAGTGCCACTGGTGTCGGTGTGAAACATGCAATAGAGCGCATTTGTCGAACCGAACTGCAAATTGATGCCAAGTGTCCGCCGATTCTCTCATGTTTGCACACTCTCTGGTCTCAAACGGTGACGCGCTTCGTTTTCCCGATTGACGCCGTATTGCGGTAGAGCGCATTTGCGAACGGTCCCACTAGTATATGCGTATAGGTTTTAAATGGTCCTGAATTCTAAAATGCGGTTGTCTTATCATGAACTCCTCCAGTTTTCAAATTTGCTGAAAAATAACACGGTGTATTTTTGTATCATGTTTGTGTCATATTTTGTAGAAGAATCGACGTATAATGCGGAATCAGATGATGATCAATCGCAAAAAAAGTTGTTCGAAGATTCTGAGTTTCATCTCAGAAATAATTTGGATTTAAAGCGCTTGAATTACCTTAAAAAATTTGGACAAGGAGTTGGCTTCTATTGATAAATTCAGAATATACAGTGGAGTCATAATGATACGCCACCCCCAAATTTCGCAGTTTCAAAAAAAACTATATAAATTGTTGATAAGACAATAGCATTTTCGAATTCAGGACCACTTTAATTTCTTTTCTGAATCAAGAATTAATGATATTTTTTTATGAATTCCGATACTCACCGCAACAACTCGGTTCAAAGAAGCCTGGTGGCTGCAAGCACAATAGGCTGCTCCCCGTACACAAGCCACCTAATACACACATTTTATCAGAGACACAGTCTAGGTAAGTGAAAGTTGAATTTATTAATATGATTGATTCACAACATAGACCCTTCTCGAAAGAGAAGAGAACCAAAACCGACAAAAGAATGAACACGCGCATTTCAAAATTAGATTGTAATTATAATAACCGATCACAGATTGAAACATTCAAAAAATTTTTATTTCTCTTTCTTCGTTTGAGATTGTTTAAATTATGGTAAAACAATCAATAATTCAATCAAATTTATCTGTAAAGCTTTTCAATAGAATTCGGTCGTTGAATAATGAATTGACTCATGACTCCAATTTCCATCGTTTTGCTGAATATACAATGCGTTTCACATTTATAAAGCCATCCTGGTTTTTGGTGTAAATTTGTCAATTGTGAAAATTTTTAATTCTGTATCGCCGACTATACCAATTTTCATAATGATAAAAATAATGATTTTACACAATTTAAACAATTTAATAATTTTAAAAATATTTATTTTGAATAAAAATGAGAGCATCGTTTGTTTTTATTTTAGAGTGGAAAAAGCGGATGTTGATCTTGAAGATGATGATTTCGACAAAGATATTGTCGTTGTGGAACCGAACAAAGAGAATGAGGAAGAAGGAATGGAGCATGATGGAGAGGATGCAGAGAATCTGAAGCCTAAGGCAATTATCACTGATTTTGTTAAAGATTCACAATTGAAGAATTTAGATCTACCCAGCCAAACTAAAATTGAAATATGAGGATTACAAGAAAATGTCGGATGTGCTCATTCTTCATATGAGAGCCAACTAACACAAACTCGGCGATGAGGAGGATTATGGAGGTGTGAAGCAGATCGAGGAAGACCTTGGTTCGGAAGAGGATTACCTCGTGCAGAAGACCGTCTGCGAGAGAGTCATTTGCCGTCTGATTCATGACGAACGTGTTCTTCTCGAAGTCGAACAAGGCGACGACCCGACACTTTGTGTTCATCCAAACTACGCCATGACTGACGAATGAAATCTAATAAGAATCGTATCTAGCCAACTGATCTGTTTTACTCGGTTATCGATTGCACTTTTTGATACATTTTTTTTTAAATTTTGTTGTATGTTTTTGCAATTGGTATTTTGTATAAATAATTCAGCGTTTATTGTGATTTTGGTTTTTTTTTTACTATATGCGACAAGTTTTATAACACTTGATATTTATGCTTCCTATCTTATTCATTGATGATAGTCTTGAATGTCTATTGTCGGTTTCAAATGGCCGATAGTTGGCGGTTTCGCAAAATCGGCCAATTATTAAATGCGCGTACGGTAAAATGTTGTGTACGCAAACACGCGCACAACCAAAATGCCCCGCGCAGATTTGAAATCTTTGATTTTTTGTATGTATTTTGATATCGAATTGCCAATATCGATTGATTTTTTTTATGTAAAAGAAAAAGAAACATTCTTGAATTACTTAAATCGTTTTATTTATTGTGTTTAGTGCCGTTTTCTTCTTGCAATACTTTTCCTTTTCAGGTAGTGCCTCAACAAGTTTTCCGTGGCGACGGCACTGATGGTCCCATGTGGAGTGTCGAAGGTTTGTTACTATTTCAAAGTTTAGACAATAAATTTCTTTTTTCAGAACTTTTGAAACAATATGAAACCTATTCGCCATGGGTTGTAAACGCAAAAACTCAGAAGGTGAGATAATAAAAATTTAAGTTATTTTGAATAGCTGGCATTTTCAGAGTTTTATTTGCACCGGCAGGAAGCGGCTTGATCGGTAGCACATCATTTGGCTCCTCGGATTTCCCTGGTCGCGTCCGAATCTCTTTGTTTTTTCCCGAGTCAAAATCGGAGAAAAACGTGATGCACAAAACAGCTGAAGAAAATGAGCCCGTAATTTTTGACCATTTTTGCTCTTTTTGAATATTGTTCGATTTTGCCTAACGATGACGTTCGCTACGGGAATCGTTTTATTTCGGATGATTCTAGATTTGAGTAAATAAACTAATTAGGGATAACATTTAGGAAATAAATGGCGGGATTTTAAAGGGTTTTCGGTTTTGGCAAATTTTAAAATTAAATGCTTCAGATAAAAATAGTTCGAGGGTTTATTAGAATTGGGTGAATAATTGAGATTCTTCGATTGAGATATAATTCTTGGAGGGGAAAAAGCAACAAGGACTGAGGAAATGATTGGTAGGAATATCATCAGGGTTGTGATAGCTTACTGATTCTTATTTTGTGTCAGAGGTTATATTAATAATTTCTCGAATGGGGCAGTGAAAATGAAAAAAAAAATGAAAAAAAAGAAAACATTTTTCTTCTTTTTTCTTTCGATCTGCAATGAAATTTTGGCAATTTTTTCTTTTTTTTTTTTTTTAAATTTTCTACGCATTTCCATTTAAGCTTCTTGATAATTTAGGGTAATTAAAAGAGTGTAGTTTTCTTAAAATAATTTTAAAAGTGTATTTTTTAGTTTTACTAGAGTTCTATCACCTAATTTTGCAATTCAAAAAATCGCAATAGATAATTCATATAGGACATTTTTTCGAGTTTTAATAAATCTGGTTAATTTTTCTAATTGATTGGATGATTTAGGTGTTTAATTGCGATTATTTAGGAAATTTTTAGAATTAAGGTTTTTCTTGAAAAAATAACTCTTGAGAAAAGTGGGTATTTAGAATTTCGATGGTTTTCGGGCTATTGCGATCTCATAAATTTTAATAAAAATAATCGACTTTCCATCAAATTATAATATTTTTTTCCTTATTGAAATTTTAAAAAAAGACGCAATTGCCCTAAAAATAGGAATTTTGATGGGAATCGAGATTTGATAAATAATTTAGTGTTCCGTGAATAGGTTCAGATTCCAGTGACAGACAGCCGCTAATCAAATTCGTAAAGAAATTATTCAGCTTATGATATTTTGTTGGTAAAATTAACCGAAAACATGGAATTTTCGAACCCCCGCCCAATTTTGTTTAATTTTAAACGATTTTATACATTTTCTTTTTAATCTTTATTTCGAAAATTCAGATAAATTTCGCTCAATACGAATCTCAAACAATTTATTTTCATTCCAAAAATTTCCACAGTGATTGGCGTGCTTCAATAATTCTTCATAATTGTCAAATTGAGTTTAGAGTATCTCATTTGTCGGCAATTTATCAATTTTCCTCTATTTCAGTCAATTTCTTTTCAAATTGTCGTTGATTGAGATGTTCCAGAAGGTCATTTGTAGCTTAGCGGGTAGTTCTAATTTGTAGTGTTGCTGGGTAGATCGTAGATCAAACATTGTGGTAGTCTGTCACACGCTCATATAAGAGAACGGGTCTCGTAGCGAAGGTCAAAGAGAAGTTCGTAGTTTGATTTCTTGGTCGAATGTTTTTAAGCTTGTATTTCAGTTGACGTAATGGTTTGAGACGGATAACTGTAAAGGCCATCACGGTCCTCTTACAGTATTCCTGATCAGTCCGTAAAATTGCGTCGACTGTTGTGCAATTCTTATTGACACCCGGCTGTGAGGTCACAAAAACTACGAATTTCCATTTTTGGCAAAATCGAACAAAATTCAAATTGCCCAAAAATGGTCAAAAATAGGGCGATTTTTCGGCTGTTTTGTGCATTACGTTTTTTTGCGATTTTGGCTCGGGAAACGAGGGGAGGAGGAGACGACGAAAAAAATCCGAGGAGCCGCTAAATGGGAGAGACGGTCATTTCGCAAAATTTCGAAAAAAAAGTAATCAGATCCCCCTTGTTTCTTTCTTCGAACGCGCGGTCCCTACCCATCTTAAGTCCCAACTCCGCCCTGCCACCCCTTTCATTTCCGAATTCCGTGTTTTCCATTGTGCTCCCCGATTCTCCATGACTTGGCCGACGAACTCGCCCAACTCCCCTCACAAGGGACGTCATTTTAGGTGTCTTTGGCGATTTTTCTCTAAATTCTCTCTTATAATAATCTACGAAATATTTGCTATCGACTGGTGTTATCCGCTACACTTTTATGCGGGTTCGGCTCCTCTCAACTTCAATTTTTTGCGATCATTATTTTTTTCTTTTATTGTGAAACTCAAAAATAGAAAAACAATTACAATTTCCAAAATAAAATTTCAAGTCACAGAGCTATTTCTGGCAAAGTATTGTTCTTGTTAAAAGTCATTTTAGCCCATTTTTGTAGCCCACTATTCACATTTGTATTAATAAAACTAGATAATCACCTATAAGAAGATGAAAACGAAATAAATTATTGTTTATCTGTTTGCTACGATTGTTCTAATAGAGTATGCACAAAAGTTCAGATTTGAAATCAATCAATTAAAAAGATCTACGATGAAGTGTCAAAATTTCGAAATTTTGGGAATTTAAATTGATGGATTTTCAGCAAAAAGATTAAATAGTAGCTCTAGCGAATGAATAATGATAGCAAAAAAATTGAAGTTGGGAGGGGTCGAACCCGCAAAAAAGAATAGCGGATAAACACCAGCCGATAGAATATTTTTCGTAGATTATTCAAAGAGAAAATTTAGAGAAAAATCGCCAATGACACCCAAAATGACCTCCCTTATGAGGCTCCTTCCTTTTAACGACCGTTTTCAAAAATTTTCCTTCATTTATTGTTGACTTTTTGCAATAAATGGTTTTGATTCACTGACACTGTAAAATTTTTTGGCAAAATTTTCGACTTTACAACAAAAAGCTTTGAGATCAAAAATCGGATTGCTGCGCATGTGAGAGGTCTTGAACAGAAAAATGTCCAAGTTTTTCAATTTTGCGAAATTTGCAACCACTGGCACAAGTCTACAGTAATCCAATTTGATCTCGCCGCTTCAAGTATACCATTCTACAAACTATCCCATCAATAATTAATTAATTTGCTAATTACTGATTAATTAGTGAACAAAACACACCGATGTTCTAGAGGTTGAATTATTTTTTAAAGCTAAAACTAGAAACTACCAAAATTCGTCTAAAATTTAGCTTAAATTACATAATTTGTGATAAACCTAACCCGAAATACGCTTAATTATTCTAATTAACTAAATTATCAGCGTAGAATTGCCTAAATTCTTTATCTATACGACAAAAACAACGAAACGTTCTGAAATTCCAAAATTTCTTGTCAAAAAAATTCGACAAAACGCGAAAAAATTATTCAATTGATTTAGAAGATTTGGTTTTTTCTTGAAGCATTTTTTTTAATTTTCAAAATATTCTTCAAGATTATTTTTTTCATATAATCGAAAGCTGAAATTTCATTGAAAAACTGCGAAGCCAGTTGCTCCCATAAAAAAACATTAAAAAATTCGCGAATTCTTAGAAAATCCGACGTCAAATCCAGTAAATCGAGACCATTTTTTGCAAAACCTCAACGAAAAATCGAAAAATGAGAAGAAAACTCGCAAATTGGTCGCAAAAGGAAGCAGAATTTGGGAGAGTTGGGCATTTCCGTCGACACGCGTGAAATATTCCTCGACTAATTAAATAATTAACTAATTAATTATTGAAAAAGTTAATCTATATGAAAATGTTTTACAATTCTAATCATAATCTAAAAATTCGCAATAAAAGCTTAAAATAATAGCGAAATTTAATCGAAATCCCAACAGCTAAAACCCTAATTAAGAAGCTAATTAAAAATTATAATAAATACCGCAAAGTTGTTGAAATCCATTTGTTGAAGGTGTCGTTGTCGAGAATCCGCCATCGATCGGCCTCAAGTGTGCCCATTCCATGTGATTGTTCGAATCAACAGTTTAGTCCGCAGCACTCTCTCTCTCTCTCTCTCTCTCTCTCTCTCTCTCTCTCTCTCACAGGGTTGCCCTAATGCCTAATAAGGAATATTTCACGCTAGCCATGGCGAATCTAGGAGCACACAAGGAAACGCAGAATCGGAAATAAAAGCGGAACACAGCAGAACGAAATCAGGACTTACCGGGTAGACGCGCAGGCGGCTTTCAGACGACGTCGAAGACGATGGAAGATGAACGACGGCAACAGAAATTCGCCCTGAAAACCCGGAAATCGATGTCGACAAAAAATAAACGGTGCGAAACGAGCAAAAACCAACGCGGAGAAAAACGATAATAATGAATGGCGTGTTTTGAGAGACGCAGAGAGAAAAACGATGATCAAACCAGAAACAATGTATTGATTGATTGAGATGAGATTTGAAATCGGCGGCTACATTGTAGTCTCGCATTCGCTAAATTGACGACTTTATTTTTAAACTCGATAGGTCAAAATACATATATTTTAAAACTTGAAATTTAAACAAATATTTTGACTATAATGAACCTATTCATACAAAAAAAAAATGTTTTTTGGTGAAAAATTCAAAATGGTCTTGAAATTTAAATATTCAAATTCAATCAGTTTCTTCTCTCAACATTCAGCAGACTTATACGAAACTACGAAAGCTCTGAAAATATACTAACAAGGTAAATGAAAATCAATCGGATTCGAAAAGAATTTTATTTTCCATTGAAATATAAATCGCTTGTTTCGAATTCTTTCAATAAAATACAATTTTAACATTGAAAATGAATCAATTGGTTTCAAAGATTTTTGAATTGAAACAAAGTGTTCAAATCGAATTTAAGCACATTTCTCAATACAATTTCTGTTTTTTTTATTTGAATTTTTTAAAATTGAGTTTCAGCTTCATCTTGCGAATTTTTTTTTTGATAATTCGTTACCAAAAAATAAAAACCGTCAATTTTACGATTGGTAATTAAGACTCAAATTTCTATTGCATAAAACATTATTCAAATTGAAACAATTTTCTTACAACTCAAAACCAATCGGATCCAACAAAATTCGGCCCCGGAAGCAGCCTTCAATCCGATTGGTAATTTGTCAGATCTGATTCGAATTGAAATATTAAAACAAAACGGATTCCAATCGGACTCGAAGAAAATCTAATCGGATCCGACCGACAATTTTCCAATCTTATCTTATCCATAGAATTACCAATGAGATAAGGTTGATTACAGAGTCTCTTCTTTTTTTTTTAACTATAATAAAATGCTTCGACAAATAATGAATAATCAGATGGAAAACGGAATATCAATGACCGAATATTAAACATCTCATTCGAATTATTTATTAGAATCCTCGTGCAAATTGTAATATATTAATTATAAAACGATTTTACAGAAATTATGCTCAAATTCAATCAGGGGAAGGGGGGGGTGGTAGGGTGAGCAATATTAAAGTAAAGCAATTAATAATGTAAGAAGACGAAAGAAAAAAATTAAGAAAGTGAGGAATATCAAATTTTTATCACCAATCTGGAATGAGAACAAATCAATGTTGGGTTAGTCAAATACTTTAATTAGCTTCTCCGATATTTTTTCGCCGGCGATGCGCCATTTTCAGCCGATGTGTTCAGTGGTAGCTCATCGCCTGGCTCGACCATATATCGTCTTGGGATCTGCCGATTTCGCGTCGTCGCGCGACGATCAGTCTGAACTTTTTAATTATCGCAACAACAAAAAAACCAACAATCTCCAAACCGGCTTTTTCGACAGCAAAAATGAGAGGCTCTTCTTGTTGGTCGTCTTTACACCAGCCTGAGCGGGTCTCGGCACCGGATAGGCGTTTCTCATCTGAAAAAAAAAACATTTCGATTGGCGCAAACTTTTTTGTTTGTTTGAAATACCATCATTTCGAAATTCTCGCGACAATCATCCTCGTGCTCGCGTAGCAAATTCGCCGAGGCGAATTTCGTCTCGCATATCACACACGTCACCTCTTTCGTCGCCGAACAATGATAGCCATGACGCTGAAGCAAATAAGCGCTGATGAACGGTTTCTTGCAAAACTCGCACGAGAACACGTTGTATTCCTGAAAAAAAAATATTGTGCTATAAGCTTGGGGGAAACTTATATTATAATATCAATCGGAATGGTTAGCAAAATGACAAAACAGCAAAACGCGCACAATAATCGCGAAGCCAACAAGTATATCCAAAAAACGATCACGCTTCTTACTACATGCAATATTAATATTATATATTGTCGGAGACAAACAACCTGACGAAATTAAAAAAAAAAGTTATTGGCTATGGGTCTCGAGGCTGCGAGAAGTACGCAACACTGCGTATATTGCATTATAGTGTACGGGCATTTAATATTCAGTCAACGAAAAATTTTAATCTACACTGATTTTGCAAATTTGAAGGCGCAGCCTCCCTTTAATCGTTTGACGCCGACAATAAAAAAAACATATTTATAAAACAACAGCATAACACTAAAACCAGCCGCATAAAATAATTTCAAAAGAGACAAGCTAAATACTCAACCAACTTGCGCGTCAACTACAGTAAATGTGCAAACACCGAGTGCGTATCGTAAGCATTGGTAATAAATCTATTCCTACCGATTGCAAAAATAAATGGAAAAAAATAAATCAACCTACTTTATAAAGATGTTGCTTAATATGCGCATAGCCGCTGAATTCTCGATCGCAAAATCCACACGTCAACATCGCCACTTGGCCGTGATGTCGATGTCGATGCGCGAGAAGCTCCACAATATCACCAAGTGTCGTCGAGCAAATCGAGCACTAAAAAACCAAAAATTCAATTTTTCTCGACCTTCAATCATCATATATTTTTCTCTCACTTCGATTTGTCTCGTCTCTCTCGAATTTTGAGCAGCTTCCGACGGTCTAGTCGTATCATTTGCGATTTGAGCGTTTGTGTGTTCTTCACGATTTTCGGACGGACCACCGTTATTCGCGAGACCCGCCTCATTGAGCTCGTTCGGCTCAACTGACGCAACAATTCTCCTTTTTGGTAGCGGCGGCGGCAAAATCGGTTTTCGTTTCGGCTTCACACTCGACGCCACGCCTTCATCAACCAACTTCATCGGCTTCTCATCGCCTACTCTAGTCAACTTCGCGTTGATCGCCTCAAATTTCTGCTGAATCTCGCGATTCAAATTCTCCATTCTGCCAATCGCTTCTTCAAGACGCGTTTTGTCCGCTTTGACGACTTCGAGACTCGCAAAATGACGATCTCGCAATTGCAGCAACTCATCGACCAATTTCCCACAATTCCCATCATTCTCGACACGCTTCGACAATGCTTCATCTCGCTCTTCTTCAACTTTCACATCATCGCCATTTGCCGTCTTCGGCTCTTCTCGAACTTCCGGATAATCGTCACCTGATCCATTTATACAATGCGCTTCTTCTTCGACGTCGTCGTCTTCTTCTTCTTCCTCTCGCAATCCGGCATTCGACATTCCTTCTGTTGAGGTACTGCTGCTCGAGCTACTCTTGTCGACAAGCTTCGCCTCACTCGCCTCCTCGCTTCTGCCAGTGCTATTATTATTATTATTATTATTACTCTCCAAAGCTTTTCGAGCTTCCTCAATTCGCTGATTCTCGACAATCTCCCATTGTCGTTGCTGTTCGACTTTGCGCCGTCGATATTCCATCTGCGCCATTTCGAGCTCGCAAATTGAGCCCACTCGTTTGGCGGCGGTCGAAGCGCATTTTGCCGTGTGCTTAAATTTTTTCGCTTCTGTCGAAAAACACATGTCGCATTGTTCGCATTCGAACAGTTTGAGCTCCATTATCAAATGCGCGATGATTTGATTGCGATTCGTGAATTTTTGTTGACAAATTCCGCACGTGAGCATATCCTTCACCGAATGCGACAAACGATGCCTCAACAAATTGTTGATGGTCGAATAGCGATTCAGGCAAATCGAGCACTGAAATCATGTTTTTCCCTTTTTTTAATTTTAAATTTTAGTCAATCAAAAATTGTTCAACAAACCTCGACATATGTGGTAGCATCTGCGCCATCAATTACTCGATTCGACAACTTTCTTGGCGCATTTTTCGCATCATGCTGAAAATTAATATAATCGGTCTCCGTCGACTGCTCTACACTTGTAGATTTACGCCGTACCCCTCTCGAAATGGTCTCCCCACGTGTGAATGCATATTTTTTGGTCTTCAAATGAACTATTCAATTTTTCTTGATGACTATATCATTTTCTTGAGTAATCGATATCATTGAAATTAAAAATCATCGGAATCACCTTTAAAATGCAAAATAGCCAGTTTGTCGCTGCGAGACCATTGCAAAGGCGCATGCACGTAAATCTACCCAACTAGTCGGGAAAATTTGAGAAATTTTGTTAATAACCAAACTATTATTTTTTTAAATTTCGATTCCCTCGCATCTCAAATTCGTACCTTTCTTTTCCTCGAATCCAAATCCGACTCGCCCGATGAGCCCTCCGAACTCGGCCGCTCGTCAGACCTCTCATTCTCATTGACAACTTCTGGAATATCGCACACAGGCCCATCATATGAATCGCTGACGAGGAAACTATCATCCTGAAGCACAAATCAATTTATCAAATGCTTTAATATTATGCATATTTAATATACATATGAAATTAATTCAATTTTCACTTCGTTTGGTAGTGTAAAATAGCCGAAACTTTCTCGTCGCTTCTCCAACGCCAATTTAATCAGACGATCGAGTTCATCCGACGACATTTTTTCGACAATTTGTGTGACGGCATCATCGACTGGCGGAACTCTCGATGGAATTGACGATTTTTCGGGCGCCTCAAAATTCGATCAATCGTTTTTTTTTGTTAAAGCTTTTTTTAAGGTCAATGTTACCGTTTTTGTTTTTTTATCATTCATCTCTGAGAATTGTGTTCAACTCTGGAAACAACTGGGATTAGACAGCAAAGAAAACGACGAGGCACAAAAATATAAACAGACGAGCATACAAAAAACAATAACATGAATGATTGTATGCGTTAAATGTCGTTGCGATATCGCGAAAGGAAAAATAAAAAAACATATTTTAAAAATGAAAAAATTTGTTCCATTTTAATTTCAAAAAGGAAAAAATTAAACTTTTTTAGAAAAGAAATAGGAAATGACAACGAAGGAGAAAAAATTAAAAACCAAAATTAATAAAAACTTTTGTCCAGTTTTTTTTTCAGTATTTAGATTTTTAGTAACTATATTAACGACAATTATTCAATAATAATATCGCTTTAAACAATTATTAAAGCCATTCAAGTCATTTTTAGAACCTATAAGTCCATCATAAGCAGTGAAGAAGGATAAAATGATTTTTTCCTTTTCACTGCATTTAATTTCCGTCTTTTTTCACTTCATCGCCTCTTTATGAATCATCATTCCCACATTTCTAGATTTTGTTATTTCTTATGGTTTAATCTCTAAGGAAAACTAAAAAAAAACGGTTAAATTTATTTGCATTGAAAAAAATTTTCAAATAGCATAATGGGATTTGATTGATGCCTCAATGCAGATAGAATATTTAAAAAAAACACATTATCAATATTACCCATATCAATAATACAATCAATAATGAGCTGTGCAGATTTAGCAAAAATAAAACATTAAAATATGTATAAACCAGTTTAAAAATACGTTTTTTTTTTCTATAATCTAGGCGAAATTCTTTTTGCTTTTCAAAAATTAATTCAAATAATTGATTTAATTTCCAGAAAATGACCAAATTCGAAATTAAAAATTAAAAAGAAAACAATTGTTCACTTTTTCAGAGGGTCTTCATCGAAATAAAATTTTAAAAAAGTTTAAGAAATAATAAAAAAGGCAGCGAGAACGCCCAAAAATTGCAATTTACTCGCCTTTTGAAAATAGGCATTGGAAACTGGCGGAAACAAATGCATATAATAATAATAATAATGAAGATATCATTCTCATGGCAACCTCTGGGGGGGGGGGTCTGGCTGGCTTTGACTAGTCATGCAGAGGAGCACATCGAGTGAACTTTTGTAAATTGACCTGAATGGAGATAGAAAAGATGGAGAGTAATGCGCCAAAAAGTGATATTCGAAAGAAAAAACACACAAAAATTTACAAGAAAAGTGAATTAGACGAGAAAACACCAAGCCGCCATGGCCTGCGACCGACATTATTGTCACCAACTCATTTAAAGCTACTAGCGAAAAATATAGGACACTACACTGCAATTAGGAAATGGATAACAACAAAATGGATGAAAAGTGAATGGAAAAATGGGTTTTAGACTATAAAAGTTTCCATCTTTCATTCACTTTTCAACAATTCTTTGTCACAATCACCGAAAAATGAATTCGCTTTCAAATTTTGCCAACCAAATAAATAGATTATTGATTCAAACATCAAGACGATCAAAAATAGATCAAATGATCATAATTTGCGAATTTGTAAAATTTTATTACAACCAAAAAAATTATAATAAACCCATCACATTTATGGCGTGAATTCGATGACTTTGTTCACAACTTGCGGCTTCAACACACGATTGAGCTTCTCGGTGAACTTCGATTGCTTGCCCATATTGTCAAGTGTCAAATCGAAGGTTTCTTTGACGTACCTAGAATAATCGTCATTTAAAACAAAAATGCGAATCTCTAAATTGCATTACTTTGATTTGACATTGGCATTCGAGACGTCGTAGGAGACCACTTTCACATTTCCCGTTTCGGTGCAGTTGTGTTGAATGTACGCGTAAACTTCATAGCGCGCATTGAAGAAATTCTAGAATTTGATTTTTTTTTGATTTTCGACTTACTCGCACGAGCCCGATTACCTGAAGATAACCTTCTCCATCGTCAATCGCTTTTCCCAAAAATGAAATCGTCTCCTTTTCGACGTTTGCGGCATACGTGTTGCTGATTCGGTCATCGTCAAATCCCCTGAAAATAAAAAACGTCAAAATCAAAATTGGGTAAATATCAAAGACATACCGATCTCTCTCCCAGAAGGTCAGCTCGAATGTCCAACGATCACCCGGCTGAAGGATCGAGCATCGCAGATTGGCGGTGATGTCGAAGTTGGTGAGCGCCGTGAATAGTCCGGCGTTGCACACGTTGACAACGACGACGAGAACGGCAAACGACTTGAGCATGTCGAAATGTTTGACAAAATCGTACGAATGCGCCTCACTTTTATACAATTCGATTCCATAATCGATTATTGGCGATTCCATAATCGAATCATCAATTTTTGATTGAATTACACTGCAACTGTGCTACAGACGAAAAATGGTGAAAAGGTGGATGAAAAATAGATTACTCGGAAAAGTAGATAAAAACTAGGAGAAAAATGGGCGAAAAATAGATTATCTCAAAAATTGGTGAAAAATATACGATAAATGGATGACAAATAGATGAAAAATTGGGAAAAAATAGATAGAAGATAATGATAAGAAATAGACACTGAAAGGGTGAAAAATAGATGGAATTGTGCAGTTGATCGTAATGTGAATGCAGATGGCGCCATGTTAATCACAATTTTTTTAAAAATCAATTTTGGAAATGCCTAAAACTCTTCGCCATCGATTACCCAAAGAAGGTCTCAAATTGAGGAAAGGTAGGTTTGTTTCGTATATTAATATTGCTGATTGTTTATTATTTTAAGATCAAATTGCTGGTTCGCGATGCATGCCGACCAAACGTGTGGTCTTTGCTCGAAAAAACGCCCGGCTTTCACTTCGAAACAAATCGTCGAACAACGAAAATAATGAAAATGATGCATCAACAACATCCTTTCTCACGAGAGAAAGATCTGAAAGCGAAATTGAAGAATTCTCCGAAGTAGTCGGGCCGTCATGCGTACCGAATTACCCCGCACATGATCGTGTATCGGAATTGGCCGATGAACTATTATTGTGCATGTATAGTTCGGTACTCGGAAAAGATACAGAAAATGGTAAAACTAATACTTTTCCAAAGACAAAAAATGGTTGCAGGCTTTTTGAGACGACTGGCAACAATTAAAAACTTCATCCCGATTGAAAGAGCCCGCTCATTGTGGTATGATTTCAAGAAGAATATTATGAAGCGTTCAATATGCGAAAAGTGTGGATGTCGAAGAGAGAAAGAATGGTAAACACATATACCACATTTCAAACATTATTATGATCAATTTCAGTTGCGGCGATTTGGCGACTTTTCTTATGCTGCCTCTCACCGAACAAATTCGCGGGATTGTGGAGTCGTCCTTTGACGATATAATGGAAATTCGAAAGAAATTGAAGGAAAAAGCACCAAACTTCACACACAATCTTCAAGGAAGTTCTTTTTCCAGTTCATGGAAATACGAGGATGAAAATCATTGTGATCTGAGCATGGTGCTAAGTCTGGACGGCGTCAATCCCCGAGGACATTTCAGGTATTATTATTATTTGTTTATTAAAGATGTGCCATTTAGAGGAAGTTTGTGGCCAATTACTTTACAGTTAGTGGATTTGCCTACAATGAAGTCGCAACTTTCAATTAATCTTGTAGTCTGTGGAATGCTGCAATTAAAAGCTAATAATCCAACAACCCTTGTTTTGAATACCGTCACGGAAATTATAATGAATCGATTGGAAGGCGAAGGGTCAACATTTGTTGTAAACAATATTTTATTTTCTCCATACCTCGTGTCACTCGTTTCTGACCAACCAGTAAGGATTAAGTGATAAAAATTTCTATAGATTTCAGTTTAAGGCAAAAAGAAAAATTCTTGGAATGAGCGGTTTTTCAAGTCCACAAGCTTGTTTTTATTGCGACTCTCACGGAACTCTGCACAAACCACTACTTGGAAACGGTAATAATCAATAATAATTTTAAACCCTCTTATTCATCGCTTATATTGATTTAAGATCGACGATTGGACAGATTTGGGGATAAGACTCTAGAAGATAGTATTCGCGGTGTTAATGGATTTGGTCCTATTGCGGCGAAAATGGTGCAATATGTCAAGCCGTACAATACAATCTTGGATGTTCTTCACACTTGTTCAGATGGAATTGTAATGTTGATACTAAAAGGTATCAAAATTAAGTGTGACCAAAAAAACGGCAGAAATTCCAGAGCTCATGCCTAAAAAGTTTAGATGTTCAAAGAAAAAAATCTGCAATGTTCGAATGCGATGAAACCATGCTCGAAAACTTCGACAAACATCTACAATTGCCAATTGAAGGAGCCGATTTGACTCGATTGCTCACTAACGGAAGGCAAAAACTAGATGTATGTTTCAGATATAATGTTTTAGATTTTTCTTATAGTTATTCAGACTTCAAATTTTCTTGTTTGCTATCTGCAATTCAAGTTTACCCTCAGATGGACGATGTGCAATTATTGCTTTAGGTCTTATTTTCAATAATATGTGCACGAATGGAATGTTGAACCATAGGGATACTTTTGACTTGTGTGACGTTGCAAAAAAATGTTTTTTGGATAACTCTCCAACGTACTTCACAATCAAACTGCATGTATGTCCAAAATATTTGAACAACGCAATCATGGTTTCATATATAGGAATTCATTTACCACTACGTTGACAACGTCAAGATGTTTGGAAACGTTGCGTGCTTATCTACTGCGTCATTTGAAGCAATGTACAAATTTCTAATTCGGGATTTTTGTACCCATATTACAAACAATTTTCCTGGAATTGTACTTCATAGGTATTAAAATATATTTAAAAAAACACGAATGAATATTACAGATATGTTATGCGAGTGAACCTCGAACGAGAGATTAAACGAAGATTGTCACAAAGCCCATCGGCGTTATTGAACAACTTTTGTAAATATGCGCCATCATTGCAAACTCCATTCTCTGGAGCTTCGAAACCTTTAGATATTATGGGACCAAACGGAGAAAACACGTTTGGAGCGTACCACTTGAATTTTGGAATCATTCGGTCAAAACATTGTGGAATCCACACAAAGAAAGATATATTGTTCACCAAAAATTCTTCAATGAGAGTCTGCAGGTGAGCAATGATCGTTCATATATTTTTATGACGTTATTTTTAGATTTATCTATGTTTTCAAAGAAGCCGAAAGATGGATGTGTTGCGTCCAGAAGTTTGAAGAAGAATACAACAGTTTCACGTGGTTAAGGAACTTGAAATATCGAAAATTGTATGAGATTGTGCGGTGAGAAAACTACTCTCTAAAACTGTATTCTATCGATTTTATTTTTCTGCAGGAAGTACTCATTCTTATGCAACGGGAAGTTCTCAACGGAGGAGGTTTTTATCGGTCTGGATGAAATTGTTGGTATAGGTTGTTTGATCGAAATATCGAATGGGTACATCGCAATGTGCGTTTCTACAGGATGCGGATATCATGCATAAAGGCTTACTATTTTTTTCACTCCTTGTCTCTTTAAATATATGTCAAAAAATATATAAATCGTTTATCATGTCGTTGAATTCATCAATTTTCTCACGTTAAATTGGTTTGTAACCTATTTGAACAATACATTTTAAACAGTAATTTAAATCGGATAATGTAAATTTAGGAACAGCATGGCAGAACATGAACCAAGAGCTTCACCATTGTCGAAGAAGAAAAAATTTGAATACCTGCAGCCACGAGAACATTTCAACGGTACAACATTTTATTTACACTTGTTTTTTTCAAATATTCTCGACGATAAGCAATTAGTTTCACTCAGAAAAAAAAATTAACGACACTCGTGTATTTTTAAAGCTATTTTTGTACTTATAGAACAATTATATGAAGAAGAAGAAGAAGAAGAAGAAGGAAGTACGCTAATTGAGGATATGGAATCGACAAATAAGGCTGAGGACGTATTCTTAGTATGTTTTACTTTGATTTTACTCGTGGGTCACATGTTGAAATATTTCTGGAAGGGGTTAAAATATGCATAATTAAATAATTATGCCATACACAAAATTATGAACACGGACAACAACAGTAATCACAGACATAGGAAAAATAAAAACAAGCTTCAAAATTACATATATTGCATTATTTTCAGAGAAGAAGCCACCGGAGGTCACATCTTTCTCATAAATACTATGATGTAATTTTGTTTTATTCTTTTACTAATATTGTTCTGGCGTCTTTCTTACAGTATTACGAAACATCATCAAATGCATTGCATCGGAATAAGCCAACCACGGAGCGCGATCCTTTGGATATAGTTACCCATGTCCGCACAAACAAGGTAAATTCTTAATTTCACTTTTATTTGCCTCGTGTAACGCATCCTCTCCCGGCGCCATACGGGAGAGTACCGTTAACCTGTCAATGCCCTGACTAGCTGACCAGATATCCACAGTGTGATTAAATATGGTTTATTGTGAATAAATGTAGATGGGCCGGTGCCCGGAGGCATCCGGCCTGTAAAGCGGCAAGCGTACCAACTCCCAAAAAAAGGGGCTGGGCCTCCCTCTCATAGTGAGATGGAGGCGCAGAGATGCAAAGGAAAACTCGCCTATGCATTAGTGAGAGTGTATAGGTGTCTGCGTCTACTATTTCGTCGCACTCGGAACACCTTGCCATACAACCAATATCTTTAATGTTTCATTCAATTTAGAAGTCGAATGAGCCGCTGGTTAAAGATGGATACCTCAACGCATCACAGCTTGCACGCCGTGTAATTTTCTCTGGTGGCGACATAGCGAAATCTTACGATGAAGTCAAGGTAACAATTAATGAACATAGATTTGCTGTTAAAGATAAATTCATTCCAGAGTTCAGTAAATAACTTTGTAAAAAACGCAACAAATGGAATTGACGTGGACGTTTTTGCAAGAAAAGCCGAAGCAGAGAAAGATGAGGGCGTGAAAGAAATGTGGATGAGTATGTGCGGGATGGCCATTATGGTATGAAAATTTTAATCTGCTCGGACAATGGACTATACAGTTTTTTTTTCAGTTTAATAGACTAGACGAATATCGAACGCGCATCTGGAAAAAGGTATTGAATGCATAATGATATGTGCAGTGAACTTTTTCAGAATAAAGTTGATATCGATGAGACCATCTACCTATTCCAAGGCTGCTTATTGAATCACCAACACTGTAAATACACACTGCCGTCGGGTGTAGTTGTCGATATCGCAGAAATCTGCTCAAAATTTGTCGGAAGTATTGGTCAAAACCTTCTGACATCGGCATCGAAACTGGTGCGTCATGTATTTGCCGAGGTTTAAAGTTGTCTTAGATAGAGCTCATATATATTTTGCAGTTTTACGATAAGGATAACTACCTGATAGCTTATACCTTGTTAGGAACGCCTGGTGCTCGTCTGGAATATCTCCACATGGATTCTGCTGTTAATCAAATGATATCTGGTAATTCTGATAATACATACATATGTGAACAATGTTAAAAAAAAATTAAGAAGCATTGTTCATTGGATTAGATATTGCTCCAACGACGGATCAAGCTACTTCAGTTGCTGTGCAAATCAAAGAGTCTGCGATTACTTTCATGTAGTTATGCGAATGTTTCACTAAATAACACCATGTACTTTTAGCGATCGCCTTCGTTCAAATTATAACGATCAGAAAGGATCTCACCACGCTAGCAAAGTTATGGCGCATAGTTTGGCTATCAAAATTGGAAAAGAGCACCAACTCAAAAAACTGAAGCCCGATGCCGCTGAATATTTCAATCAGCATTTTTCTATTTAATTGAAATTTGATATTTCTAATGTTAAACAATTTATTGTATTTTTCTTTTTTTTATTTTGTTGTTTTCCGTTTACTGTTGTTTTTTCATAAAAACCATCCAGAAGAAAAATAGACGCAAAATAGATGAATAAGAGACAAGAAGTAGACAAAAATGGGTTAAAAAAAGGATGAATCATGGATGAGAAATAGATAGAAAACTGATGAAAAATGCAAGAACGAGGGACAGAGACAAGACATAAAATGGATGAAAAATAGATGAATCCAAGATGCTAAATAGATAGAGAATGGCTGAGAAATAGATGAAGCGCTGATGAAAAATAGACTTGAAAATAGATCTGTTACAGATCCCTCTTTCATCCAAAGTCTGCACTATTTTTCAACTATTTTTTAACTATTTTTCGTCTGTTAGCGCAGTTGCAGTGTTGTTTCGGAAAGTTTTTTTTATAATATGATAAAAATTCTTTCGAACGATACTATAAAGATTTTCAAGATAAATTTTAAAGTGGCAATGAAAGTAGAATATAAAAAGAAAAAATTTCAACACAGAGCAAAAAAACGAAAAACCATTCTATTTTTCCATTTTCTGAATCGAATGAAGAAATGAGCTGGGATAAAATTTGAATTTGATTCCTGCATTTGATTTCAAGGCAATTCTATTCTACATCTTCATAATTGTCGTTAAAGATGCGACTAATTCGAGCTTTTCTCTTCCTTCTTAACAAAAAAAAAAAGAAAAATAATCATTTTTCTATTATATATTTAACTTTTTAGAAATTTCAAATACTTTTGCATTGCGGGACCTGTAAGATCAGCTAAAATAATTTTTCAAAAGGACCCATTCATTTTTAATGCCAAATTTGATAAAATGGGACCATCATTTTTGAACCAGACAAAAAAATGTAAAAATTACATTAGATTTTCACATTTTTACGACCATGCATAGAGAATATGTGAATTTTTTTCATTTTTTAAAATTACATGAAAAGATCCATTTGTTCTTTTAGAAATCCACACCTCGTCGCCAAACTGTAGAATTCGTATAACGGCTTCATGATGGTCCGTTCCATGAACCTGAATGTAAGTTCAATATTTTACATAAATTTATTCAAATTCCGACTTAAATTTAATGATGCCATGCAGATTTTGGGAAGAAAACTCAAAAAACAACTCGTTTTTTTTTTGTGAAATCATAGGGGGTTTTCAAGTTTTTAGATCATTTTTTGGCCAAATCGGCATACATTGCGCGACTTCGGAAAATTGATTAAATCCCACCAAAAAAATTTCGAGAGAGGTATTGGTGCGCCTTTAATCTATCCTCTTGCTTCGGCCGTAAATCTCCACTTTTAATCTTTGCGGCAAGACCATTTTTGGCGCGACGCCTACAATGGTATCATAAAAAATTGTGAATTTTGATATCAATTTCATTGTCTCCTTCATAATGCCCATTAATAATAATAATATTCATAATGACGTCGAGATGCAAACCTACGAGAGATGCGACAACACACGCGGGCCATCGTCGACGAGAGCCAAAGCATTGTAACACAAGCACTCACAAACTTCAACTACTCAGCAATCCCGCAAGCAGCAGCAGCAGCAGCTGACATATTCTCGTCCGCGCCTCTATCATCAGCTTCCCGCGAGAAGCAGCAGCAGCAGCAGCTCGAGCATCAAATCGAGGCGAGAGACGGCCAAACATATGAAAACCCAAACCGATTTGACCCATTCCGACGCGGCACACCGCTTCAAGTTTTTCATTAATACTTGCTCTCTCACACATAGCTTTTTTTTCCTCTCTCTCTCTCTCTCTCTGTTCCCCCTTTTTTTGTTAGCGTGTGTTGTTTCGATCGGAATGAAATATTGATGCACATTCCGAAATGATTTTGATGATTTTCACCGACAAACAAAAAATAAGCAAAACGTTTCATCAACGATTCTTTTTCAGAAATGCCCGCGAACTAATCGACTATAAATTTGTTTAATCGAAAAGAAGAAAAAAATAACTACTAAGCGAAACGAAGAAGGCAAAAATAAATAAATAAATAGATTTAAAAAAAAAAGAAGAAGAAACAATCTCGCCAATTTTTTTCGGGTTCTAGCAAAAATGATGTTCTCCGGCGGAATGGCGGCGGCCAAGTCGAAAAAAGACGAGAAGAAGGAGAAGAAATTGGAGCGAGGTGACTGAAATCGCGTCGAATCGCACGAAAATTCGAATTTGCAGAGGAGAAATATGAGCTGCAAGAGCAAGTGTTCATGCGATGGGCCAACGCCATATTGGGAACCGAACGACTAAGCGACTATCGCCATTTGCACGACTCGTCGAACGCGATTTTCATTCTGCAGGCCATCACATCGCAACCAATGGTATTCAAAAAAAAAACAAATAAAATCAAAATTCGATTCGCTTGACCCAAAACTCGTAGGCGGTTCTCGGCAACGCTTCCGACGACTGGCCGACGATCCTTCAGTTCGTCGGTGACACCAAAACGAATCCCGCCGAGGTGATCGATGGACAACAAAAGGCGGTTCTGTCCGCCTGGTGGCAACTCATTCAATTCTTCTGGAAGTGCAACGCTCCACCGCAGCTGAAAGACGAAAAAGTTGGCATTTCTGCTTCTTGTCTTTTTTCGGCAACAATTTCCCCCGGTCAATTTCAGCTCACTGAGGCCATCAAGCGTTGGTGCATCGAAGCGATGAAAGCCTACGACGACATCGACGTCTATGATTTCACCTCGTCATTCCGCGATGGTCACGCCTTCAACTATCTCATCCATTCCTATGAGTAATTGAATTTGTTGTGTGGAAGCGGGGACAATCATCAAGCATATCAAAATTTCAGCAAAAAATTGATCAACCTCTCGAAAACCGCCGACATGAGCGCCATCGATCGAATCGAGCATGCGTTCGGAATCGCCGAACGCGAGTTGGGCGTTCCGCGCTTACTACAACCAAAAGGTATCACAAATACACATTCATTTATATATATATATATACACGCATTCACTTCAAAATGACCCCCTCTCACCGCCCCGCCGTGTGGCATTTCGCGTCTTGATTGCGTATCACTCGTTCGGATTGTATCTAAGGGGGGGGGGAACCGACCGGGGTTGGCGAAATAGCGCACGCGGATTGAGACCGACGGGAGGGGCGATGAGGATTGCGCAATCAAATTCGCTCCGCTGCCGCTTTGGCTGTCCCCGATTTTGAGATGGTTTTTTTGGGTGTGTGAGTATGTGTGTGTGTGTGTCCAACCACCCTCCTAACTCCTTTTGTAAACGTTTCGAACATTAAACAACCGCAAGGTTTCCAAACAATTGACGCCCCCCCCCTATTGGGACATTGCCGCTGATTGCTTCTTCACCCCAAAAAATTCCTCCCATTACATCCTCGCATTCCTCACCATTAAAAAAAACAGCGAAAGCCGGCTGTTCTCAACTCACCCCCCCCCCTCCCATCGCATCTCATCATCCCAACCACTTGTTAGTTGGCGCAAACTGAAACACAACGCGCGGCGTTTTGCTCCATTTATTACCATTCATAAATCACGTCGACGTTTCGCTATTGCCATCATAAATTTGGCGAAAACCATGCGCCAATCACCTAAACGTCGTTTACAAATTATTAGAAAAAAAATGCCGAAACACCACCTTGTTGGTGGGTGGTCGCTATTCATTCAAACCCCCCCCCCCTCCGCCTTTTTTTCGCCGTGCAAATTTAATTGATGAGCGCCGGAAGTCCTTCTTCTCATCGGCGATATCGCACTGCGATGTCGTCACAACTTCCACTTCTTTGCAATTATTATATATATATATATATATATATATATATATATATATATATATATATATATATATATATATATATATATATAAATAATAATTGCAAAGAAGTGGAAGTTGTGACGACATCGCGGTGCGATATCGCCGATGATTTTGGGCTGCAAGCATTTTATTGGGCAAACAAAAACTGTTTGCTTTCAATAAAGCAAAAAAAAAATAAAATGAGGGTCAACTAGTCGACTAGCTCGCTTCTTCAAATCGAATTCAACACCAAAGCCTATTTTCTTTTAACGAGGCCCCCCATTAATAATAATTGCATCGATGACAAGTTGTTAGCGATTTGATTCGATTCAATTCGTATTCACTTCAAATTATTTTTCTTTTTCTTCGCCAGACCTGCACAGCGAGCAACTCGATTCACACTCAGTCATATGCTATTTGATGAGCTTGTACATGTCGATGATCACTAAAAGTCGACAAGAAGTGAGTTTTTTTGTGAGAGTCCATCATCTCAACTCGGCGCCCCGCATCTTACAGGAAACTTTCGAAGCCCAACAGCAACAACAGCAGCAAGCTCTTCTACTCCAACAACAGCAATTGGTCCAGCAGACACCTGCGCTCAAAATGCATTCGCAACCGTCAACGTCTACAGCGGCGCCGGCTGGTAATCCCGACCCCCCCCCAAATCCTATTGTTTTACGCAAATCGACGTATTCATTTTATAGCGCTGAGTGTTCCTGCGCAGCAGCCTCCACAACAACAACAATCAGCACAGCCATCATCGCATGCGCCAACTCTCGATCGTGGTAAGAGTATGGAGCAGTCTGTCGAGGTAGCCGTAATCGAACAAAATGAGCAATGCCTACTACAATCGATAAATTCTAGAGCGAGGTGCGATCGCGAAAATCGTCGTCGTCGTCTCAAAAATCGGGCAAAACCAAAAAACAACGACGCGAGGAGCAGATGAACGAGTTCAAATCGTGCATCGAGCAGGTCAATTTTTTTTTCATCGTTTTCAACATTCTCGAATCAACTCTCTCAATTTCAAGGTCTTAACTTGGCTACTTGAAGCTGAAGACGAATTGTCGACGTTGACGCTTCAACAGCGCGCCGATCTCGCCGCCGTTCGTGCCCAATTCGCCGACTTCGAGATGTTCATGTCGAGTCTGACCGACAGTCAGGATACGGTCGGACGCGTTTTGCTACGCGGTCAAATGCTCAGCAATAAATCAGACAGCGACGAGGAGAAGGAGGCGATCGCCGCGAAATTGCACCTCGTCAATTCGCGTTGGGAAGCATTGCGAGAGCAGGCGATGCATGAGCAAGCCGCCCTCCAAATGCAGATCAATACACTTCAGCAAAAGTAAGATTAAGAACAAGAAGAACACCAACAAGCACGTTTTTTTTAGTGAGCTAACGGCAATTAATCAATGGCTCGACTCAACCGAACTCGAGATCGAGTCATTCGGACCGCTGGCATCCGATTCGGAGACCGCGATTCGTCAAATCGAACTTCATCACAAATTTCAGCAGAAGATTGACGAATTTCAAGAAACCATCGACAAATTGGAGAGTTTTGTGGCCGTGGTAACCGAAATTGATAATCATTCGATTAAAACTGAACACTTTCATCTAGGTCGACGAAGAGAATGACGCTTCAGTGGCGACACTCGAGGACGCTCTGAGCTCAGTGTCGGCTAGATGGCAATCAGTTTGCGAATGGGCCGAGAAACGCGCAACCAAATTGGACGGTCTTGCCGATTTAATTGATCGCACCAATGCGGTGTTCGCCCAATTATCAAATTGGCTAACAAATCGGGAACAGGTATTTTATCTATGCATGCCATATAACCAAAACAAAATTACCTTCTAAGGACATCATGGGTCTCAAATCAGCACATCATCTTGAGGATGAGGCTCAAGTTGCCGAGCAGGTCAAAAAATTGCAAGCTGCTGAGTCGCTCCTCGAAACCGAACATTCGAGCTTCGTGCAGCTCTCACAACTCTCATGCGATCTTGTGTCGAGGTCAATTGATCTGCAAGGAATTCATTTTACAAAATCGACATTTACAGATTGGAAGAGTCGAATCAAATCGCCGCCAACAACGTTCGATCCAGTTTGTATTCAATTACACAACGATGGGATAACCTGGTGGCAAGAATCGAAGAATATGGAAAAACGGTAACAATTGAAAAGAAATCACATTAAACGTCTAGTCGTTAAATTCAAGCTTGTGAAAAGCGGAAAAGCAGACTTGATGCTTCTGCAAAAGCCCAGTGCCTCGACACCAACCAAAGTCGATGAACCTCCATCTTCGGAAGGTGTCTCAACGGACACAGAAGTGGATGAGACGAAAAATTTGGTAATTAAAATTAAAACAATTAAACATTGACTTTAAATAACTAAAAAAGCGTCTTCGCATTTTCAGCTCGTCGACAAATTCTTGATGCACATTAGCAAATTGTCGCACGAGCTCGTCCCACTTCAAGAATGGTCGGAAAATTTCACCGTGTCGCGAAAGCCCGACCAAGTGCGCCGAATGATGAACACCTGTCAGGAGAAGCTCATCGAAATCAAAGAGCAAGAGGCGCGCGTGAATCGATTACAGTTGGAGCTCGAGCATCTACACGCCGCCAAACTCAATTCGAAGCAGCTGAAGCGCGCCAACGACGCGTTCGAGAATTTCGCGAAAGGCTGGGCGCGAATCGTCACCAAAATCAGCGAGGCGATGAATGTGCTCACCGGCCACGCGCACGACGGCGAGGAGCAAGCCGTCGCGGCAAAAATCGAGCAATGGATCGCCGCCGTCGACAAGGTCATCGTCGAGTTGGCGCATTTGCCGGTGCCCGAGAGAAGATCGCGAATAGATAAGCTCGAAGCGCAACTAAAAGTCCAAGACAAAAATGTGAATTTCATCAAAAAAGATCTCGTACGCAAAGCGATCCTCAAAAAGGGCCTCGAAATCGCGAATAGTCGCCTCAACGCTCTGCGATCCGAGCAACCAGACGAAGAGAAGCGCGTGTCATTCAGCGATGAGAGCGCCCCGCAATCGCCCACCGACGTCGAGAAGTCGGTGTTGGCCGAGCTCGACGGCCAGTGGGCCGCCGTTGGCGACGTCGACGCAATTCAGCGAGACGTGGTTCGCGCGCAAAACGCTGTTGAGCGGGCGCGAAGCGCCAATATGAGCAACGAAATTGTCGAGAAAGCCGAAACGCGACGCGCCGAAATGGAGGAACGCCAACGGGTGACGATCGGATTCAAGACGAAGGTGGAAGCCGCTGAGTCGACGATTGCCGAGATTGAAAGCATCGTCGAACGGCTGAGGTAGTCGAAATTATGCTTCAACATCCACTTGTAAACATTTTAGCACTTCCGACGTCGAAATCGCCGATTTGGTTCGCGGCTTCGAGAAAGAGGCCGAAAAGCTGAGCGGTCGAGCGTCACAACGAAAAGAAGTCGAACGAACCGGCGAGAAGATTCTGAGTATGGAGCCCGGCGAGAGTGTGGCGAACGCGACACGCCGAACCGTCGACACTCTCAACAATCGCTGGCAACATTTGGAGAAGCTCATCGGCGAGAAGCTCGAGAAAGCCAAAATGAATCAAGAAGCATTCATTCAAAGTGAGTCCAATGATGACCGATCCTCATATCCCCTTCACTCCCCCAATCCGAATACTAGTTAGCCAAAAAAAATATCGCATCGGCGGGATTTTGAAGTGGCGCGCACACTTGTCAATATTTGTTCGGGATTTCTTGTTTTCGTTACTTTTTTTTGCTTTCGCCCCGTCATCGCTCCAAACTGTTGCCCCTCGCTATACATCCTAATCAGGAAACTCATCGCTTCGACGATTTTTTTCTTTTTTTTATTCCAGAGCGCATTCGGGAAGGCGAAGAAGCTCTCAGCGAGATCAAAGAGGCCATCGAGAAGAAGCGCGAATCGCTTGACGCCGAAGCCGCCGCAGAGAATCTCGACGTAAGTATTTTGAATTCCAGATCATCATGATTCAATAATTTTCTAGAAGCTTGAAAGCTCACTCGACAACATTTCATCGCTTTTCGGCGATATTGGCACGTTGCCGATGGACGATGCGACTCGCGAGAAGCTTGAGAAGCTCGCCAAAGCAAAAGAAGCGATCACGAGCAAGGCAACCGAAGCGCTCGCTGCGCTGTCGCGAACCGTCTCCGAATGCGAAGACTTTGAGAAGCAGATAATGATGTTCCAGGTTGGAACGCCCGCAAATCATCGATCGCATCATTGAAATCAAAATGTTTAGAATTGGAGCGCAAAAATCAATTTTCTGCTTGTCGCGCGCAAATCGTCGGACCTCACCGCCTTCGACATTCCACACGAGTTTCATGTAAGTCCTTAATTGTTCGAACGAGCCATATTAGAACTCGAATACAGGATGAGCTAGTACGCGATGAGGAATTGCTGCCGGTAGGTAGAGAGCATGCGGTTGATTGATTTGTTATTTTTTGAGCGTGACCTTAAAATTGAATGTTACTCCCCCCCTTAATCGCATTGTCAAGGTGGACGGCCGAATTTGAACAATTTGAATTTCGCGGCCTCTTGTTTTAAAAATACTGTTTTAAGATTTTTTTCCGTACGAGACCCAAATTCTCCCAAATTTGTCCGTCACCGGCTATATACAAATCAATTGTCTAATTGACTGAATTGGCTTGACGACTAATGCTTTCGCATGCGCAATTTTGACTATCATGTGCCAGAACGACGAGACGAATTTCAGCGTCTAACGCGCGAGTTCGACGAATGGGACACGAAACTCAAAGAGATGGACAATCTTGTTCATGAGCGCAATGACGCGCAACGAATGCAAGAGCAATTGGCGCACGCGAAAGACACAATGCTGGAGCTTCATCGCAAATTCCACGAGTTCAAACGTCCCAAAGGTTTCGAGGAGAAGCTCGAGAAGCTTGTGAGCACGCTGGCCACGGTTGAGAATTCGCTCGACGATACGACCGGCATCGAGGGCTCCGAATGCGGTGGCGCGCTGATGGAAGTACGATCGCAATTGCGCAGCATCGATGCCGTCGTCGAGGATCTCAGAGATTTGCACGATATGCGCGAGCAACTTGTTAAAGATAAAATTCTCGATGAAGACGACGCGAGAGAATCTTTGAAGAAGCTCCAGTACGCGAAAACCAAATCAAAAGAGCTATACGAGGTATTCAAAAACCGTCATTTAAACATGGGACCATGCGAGTTTCAGAGGGGATCCACGTGTGTCGAACGTCTTGAAGATTGTGTCGAAATGTTCCAACGTCTGAAAATGGAGTCCGACGAGATTGAAAGATTCCTTGACAATATGGAGAAGAGGCTTGATGTTTACGCAGCTTCAGATAGTGTAATCCGCTTCTCATCGAATTTCAATCTAATTTCCGCAATACTTTCAGCCCGAAGATGAAAGCGTCGTCAATGAGCTGATCTCGGAATGGAATCGCAACGAAGCCGCAATGAACAATGCCGCGCATTTGCAACGTCAATTGAATGAGCGCGCCGTGAAGCTCACCGACGACATTCTCAGCCTGAAGCGAATTCGAGCCGACGCGTTGAAGACGCGCCTCAACTCATGGTCGCGAACAATTCAAGAAATGGGCGACGACGACGAGACAGCGCTTCTCGAGATCGACGAGCTTCATCAAACCATCGAGAAGGGCCTCAACGACGTCGCCGACAAACCGCCGGAGCAGATTGCCGAAAAATTGCGATTTTTGCGCGCCGATCGCGATCGTCTCTCATCGCGCACACGCAAATTGGCCGCCCGAAATCCGCGTCTCGCGGCGACGTCGTCCAATGTGCTCGGCGAGCTCAACGCAAAATGGGCGACTCTCGAGCAAAAATCCGCCGCCGGCGCTACCGTCGACGCGCCGCCGCGCCTTCCCAACACCAAAATCGACGAGGATGCTCCGTTTGAGAAGAAAGTTGACGAGCTTGTCGCCCAATTTCGCGATATCGCCGCATTTTTGGATTTCGACGCGGCGCCGGTGGCCACTGTTGAAGCGTACAAGACGCGCATCGACGATCTCGACCTCCATCTCGACGAGCATCGACCACCGCTCGACAAGGTCATCGAAGAGGGCAGAGGGATCGCTCAAAGGGGAAGACTGGAGCTGCACACTCATGCCGCTATTGAGAAGCTCGACGAGCTTGCCAATAATATTGAAGACGTCGAAAATCGTCTCGACGTCCATCGCGATAAAGTCGGCATATTATGGAATCAATACGAGCAACTGAAAAACGAGATCGAAGCGCTCACATTGGTTTTGGACGTTTTCGCTGATCGCAATCTCGATGATGTTGCCATCGCGCAAGACACACGACGAGAATTGGCCGAACGCGATTCGGCCATTTCATCGCTAACATCAAGAGCCACCGCGATTCATTGCCAATTGCCCGGAAGAGGTCCGCAGCTTCACGACTCAACAATGGATCGTCTTCGAGATCGAATCGAGAAGTTGGAGACGCGATTGACGAAAGGCGTTGAGAAGCAATCACCAGAGAAAGAGGTGACAGGCTCACACAAATCATCGCCGAGTCGATCAAGTATGCTGCTGGCGATGGAAGCCTACGCCACTGGAACCGAAGAGGATAGCATCACCAGCGACACAAAGGACACCGTGACGGAGGTTCAGGAAAGAATCATCAATCTTCAAGAGGAGACGTCGGCCCCAGAAGTCGCGGAGGTTTCAACCACCGAGACGATCGAGGGTCCAAGCGCCAGCGAGGAGACCGAGCGAACCGTGCGCGAAGTGCCCGTCGACATTTACGAGGAAACTGCGAATATTTCGAGCGGCGATGAAATGCTCAACACTTCGCCGATCGACGTTTCCAATTCGAATGATGGCGACGTCGCGAAAATGTTCGAGGATCTCGACACAATTGAGGACATGCAGACGAATTGGGAAGAGTTTCCGTTCGATTATCTAGAAGTCGCCGATGCCGAATTGAAGGTTCGTTCACACACACCAAAACGAAGACCAACAATCATTTTTCGAAACTCATTTTCCAGAGCACACTGGAAAAGCTGGACAAGTGCGAAACGATTCTTGAGAAGAACGAGATGCAGCTCAATGTGATCCAGAGCGAAACCGCTCGCGACAGAATCGCGGTATATCAATTTGTTTCGGCGGACGGCGTATTGTTGAAGGCCTAATAATTTCCAGATGCTTCGCGAAATGACGAAACAGAAACTCGAGGAGCGTCTGCCAAAACTTCGCGACGAATGGGATACGCTGCAAAAAGATATTGCCGTCGCCGAAGAAGCGGTGTGCGATTTGGAGCAGTTCGAAACCGTTTCGGTGCCAAACATGGACAAGACGAATACGCCGCAAATTCTAGCCGAACTTCGACAGGTAAATTTCTCTCAATCGTTTCGCTAAAAAAAATTCAAAACTATTTGCTATTGCTAGAAAGTGGCAAACGCCGAGAAACCCGTTATCGATTTGGTTAAGAAGCTCTCGCAAATCGTCCCGCGAATGCAGGACGACTCGCCAAAATCGCACAACGTTCGCAAGCAGGTCTACGACATCGAGGATCGCTATCGGAAGGCGGTGAATAATGAGCAGGAGGCGGTATCGCGTGCCATGTCGAATGCGATGAACGAGAAGGAGCTGAAGGGCGAGCTGGACAAGATCAACGAGTGGTGCGACAAGGCGATCAAGGAAGTGTCGCAGAACGTCAATTCTCTTGACAGCGACGGATTGCTCAAATTCAACACAAGTCTGGACGAGTTCGCCAAACAGCTACACGATATCAAGAACGAGCTGGTGCGGCTTGAAATGGCGAAGAATGTGCTGATCTCGACGCTGAAAGGCGACGCCCAACACGATGTTCGCCGCCATTTCTCGGAGACCGCGAAACGTGTGGCAATGGTTCGCGACGAATTGAGCGACGCTCGCCAATGGGCGACAAACGCTCGCGAATCGTGCGACGTGTTCTGGAAGGACGTCGACAAGCTGGAAATCGCGAGTCGCGACGTTGCTCGGCGCGCCAACGCGATTCGAACCGCGGTGATCTACACGCCGTCGAAAGAGGGCCTGCATTCGTGCCTTCGCGACATCGAGGGACTCAAACAAACCGTCGCCGACATCAAGAAGCGCGTGCAAACCGCGAATCTTCCGCCGGCTATCAAACTTGCAGGAAAGAATGCAAAACGCGTCGTCCAGGTGCTGACAGAAACGGCCGGCGTCATCGCCGACACTCACAATTTGCACACGCTCATCTCTGAAATGAGCGAGTCCGGCGGCGACACGACCGAGTCGCGAAGCACTGTCGTCGAAATGACGCCAACCTATTCGCACGCCAAACAATCATCATCGTCTTCCGAACAAGCCGAATCGGTTTCGACGAATGGCGCCGACGGCGAGCACGAAGAGGACGAGGAAGACGAGGAAGAGGAAGAGGAGAGACGCATCAAATCGGAAACGGCGACGCCGCGCGGAAGTGTGCAGCCGGAAAATGCGATTGGCATTCAACTCACCCATACGAGGCACTGGCTGCACGACGTTGAGCGCGACGCCTCGCTGACCGTCGATCTAGCCGAATGGCAACCGACAAGAGAGCTCTGGAAGACGGTGCAGGGAATCATCGACGAGATTCGCCTGCGTAGCGTATCGGTGACGGGCGCGCACGACGCAAGTCCCAATCGGCAAGTTCGTCAGCAGGCCGCGAGTCTGCTCGACGAGATGCGGCGAATCATCGAGGCGTGCGAGCGGCGATGTCAAACGCTTAATCAAATCGCCGACGATGCGCGCCAAAACGAGGACGGCCGAACCGATATGGAGCTGTGGTTGCGCGACGCCAACGACATCATCGGACAGAGGCGCGTCGAGGAGATGTCGGAAGACGATGTTAAGCACGAGCTCGCTTCGCTCGAGGAGCTCGTCGAACAACTTGACGCGCGAAAAGCGAAAATGCAAGAGATCAACACACAAGCTAACAAAATCGTCGATACCTATACCAAAGATGAAGCTCATAATCTTAGTCATCTTCTGAGTCGGTTGAACATGAGCTGGACCAAGTTCAACGACAATTTGCGGATTCGAAGAGCAGTTCTCGAAGCGAGTTTGAGGTCAAGACGCGACTTCCATTCGGCGTTGACCGACTTCGAAGCGTGGCTCGCCCGACAAGAAGACAATTGCACAAAATTGGCAATCGAGACCACCAATACGCAAGCGATAAAGGTTTGAATCTCCAAAAAATTGAAAAATCACCATCAATTTTCGTTTTTAGGATACCGCCCGAAGGAAACAATGGACACTCGGCTATAAGTCGTTAAACGCCGAGCTCACCGCTCATGAGGATGTCAGAAAAAGTGTCGAATCGATGGGAAAACTGCTCGTCGAGCGGCTCGAAAGCGGCCCGGAGAAGGCGGATTTGCAGCGCCGCGTGTCGGAGATGAGCCAACGATGGGAGGCGGTTCGGAAAACCGCCGACGAGATCGGCGAACGCCTCGAGAAAGCCGAACAAGAATGGGAGAAGCTCAGCGACGGGCTCGCCGATCTGCTGGCGTGGATCGAGGACAAATGCAAGAAGCTCGTCGAGCAGCAACCAATCGGCGGCAGCCTCTCGGCCGTCATGCAACAATCGGGATTCGTTAAAAATTTGGAGCGAGACATGGAGCAGAAAGGCGCACTCTATAAGCAAATTGTACGAGGAGATTATTAGTATCGCAATTTTCGCTCTGCCAATTTTCAGGTGTCAGAAGCTCACTCGTTCCTGATGCAGCACGATTTACGACCAAAATTGCATTCGCCTCAAGTGTTGGACGACGATTATGATGGCGATGGTAAGAGTTTTTTTCCCGCGCTTCCAACAAAAATTTGTGTCAATTTGATCGCCGCCCCAATAAAAAAAAACCAACAAACTCAAATAATTAATCATTGCGCCGGCCGCCATCTGCTAGTAGTGGGGGGGTCTTGTGAGAACGCTCGCATTTTTGCCGACTAAATGGAGCAGGCGCTTCAAGGTTCAATAATCGCATTGTTGTTCGTCGACAAAATTTCGTCTCAAATTTTACAGACCTCGCCGATCTCGAACAACGCCGTCGCGGTCTCGAAATCAATGCCAATTGCGAGAAGCTCAAAAAGAATTGGGCCGAGTTAGGCGCCGATGTTGAGGCATGGGACAAACTCGTACAGCACGCGATGCAGCGCCTACAGGAGCTCGAACGAAATCTCGCCGAGTGCCAACTTCATTTGACGTATGCATATCGAATTGTTTGTTTCATTCGCGTTCATTTTGTAGATCGTCGGAAAATGAAATCGAGACGATGAAAGCGGTGGAGAAGATCCATCTGGAAGACTTGAAGATCGCCCGTGAGGAGACCGACCAAGTGTCAAGACGCATCGACGAAGTTCGACTATTCATTGACGACGTCAATGATGCGGCGGCGAGACTTCTCGCCGAAGATCTCAAGCTCGACGAGCATGCGAGAGGCCAAATCGAGCATGTCAACAAGCGATACGCCACGTTGAAACGGGCGATTCGAATACGGCAAGCCGCCGTGCGGAACGCCGCTTCAGACTTCGGACCGACTTCCGAGCATTTCCTCAATCAAAGCGTCAATTTACCATGGCAGCGAGCGATCAGCAAAGTCAACCTGCTTCCATACTACATCGAGTATGCGACGGGCGTTTTGCAATTCTCAACAATATTCATTTTCAGGCAAAACTCGGAGAAAACCCAATGGGAACATCCGGCGTGGGTCGAAATCATGAAGGAACTCTCGCAATTCAATCGCGTCAAATTCATCGCCTATCGAACCGCGATGAAATTGCGCGCACTTCAAAAACGCCTCTGCATGGATCTCGTCGATTTGCCATTGCTCGAAAAGGCGTTCGTGCGCCTCAAAGGCCTCTCGCCGGAAGAGTGCCCGGGTCTCGAGGGCCTCGTGTGCGCCCTTTTGCCAATGTTCGAGGCGCTTAACGCCAAATACCCGAATCAAGTGCAAAGCGTCTCATTGGCTGTCGACATTTGCATCAACTTCCTATTGAATCTCTTCGATGCGTGAGTCGCACTTTCATAGTTGTTTGCAATAGGGCGAACAATCTCGATTTGTAGGTCAAGAGACGGAATCATGCGTGTATTGTCTTTCAAAATTGCCTTAATTGTGTTCTCCAATATTCCATTAGATGAAAAATATAAATGTAAGAAACTCACTACCATTAAAATTTGATCGAAACGATTTTCTTTTAGATTTATTCAAACTCGTCTCCCAAGATGGTCATGCAACTCAGAAGCAAGTCGCCCTTCTTCTATATGACCTCATTCATGTATTAAATTCCAAAAAATCTATATATATCGAGATATTTTGCAGATTCCTCGTCTCGTCGGCGAATCGGCGGCTTTCGGCGGCTCGAACGTCGAACCATCGGTTCGATCATGCTTCGAGACGGTCCGCCTCGCGCCGACAATATCGGAAGGCGCGTTTCTCGATTGGGTCAAAAAGGAGCCGCAGACGATCGTGTGGCTCGCCGTGATGCATCGACTCATCGTCTCGGAGAACACCAAGCATCAGTCGAAATGCAACGTGTGCAAAATGTTCCCAATCGTCGGCCTACGCTATCGCTGCCTTTCGTGCTTCAATCTCGATCTCTGCCAAAATTGCTTCTTCTCGCAACGAACCGCGAAACGCCACAAACTCAAACATCCGATGCAAGAGTACTCGGGAAAGACGAGCTCGACCGACGACGCGCGCGATTTCGCGAAAATGATCCGCAACAAATTGCGTTCGAGTCGAAGGCAGCTCGCCTATCTGCCGATTGACGTCGCCCAGGAGGGTGTGCCGTTGACGTGCCCGCCAGCCAAAGTCACCAATGTCGCCACCGAGCAGCTCAACGCCGACACGGCGGCGATGGCGGCGCACCTCGCCAAACTCAGCCACGAGAATCCGAACGCCGATCAAATAATGGAACCCGTACAGTCGCCGCTGCAAATCATCAACCAGGTAGGTGTCGATTGGGCCAAGGCACTAGCGCGCGAAATGGCATTGAACTGTCTGCGTCTCGAGATTCTCTCACGCCCATTTTTCTCATCGCCAGCCCACCATCATCTCAATGTCCCAAAACGGTGGTTATCGATTTCGAATTTGCTAGAATGTGTAGCCTGCTGCGTATTTTCTCGCCAAAATCCTACGATCCGACGGACGCATATCTCAAATCGCGAAAATGCCAAACATGCAAATGCCATCTGGTAGTTGTCCGAATCCGATATCGATCAACCGCAATTCTCATCATCACAATGATTTTTTCTAACTGACAGGTCGAACAAATGCAACGCGATGAGATGGACCAGTTGCTGCATCGACTACAAATCGAAAACCAACAATTGCGAAAGGAGCTCGAGCAGAAGCGCGGCGCGGCGAGCACAATGGAGCTCGACAAAACGCCGTCGCGACGCTATCACGATCGGATGAGCGAAACGCGCGGCGGCACGCTACCGTTGCGAAACGGCCGAAGTGTGGTGTCGTTGAAGAGCACACAGAGCCAAAACGATGTTCGTCGAATTGCCCACTGATGTTGAACACTAATTGGTTGGTTACAGGTGATGGATGAAGCAAAAGCGCTACGCCTACACAAGCAGCGTCTGGAGCATCGCTCACGAATTCTAGAGCAGCAGAATGAGCAGCTTGAGATGCAATTGCAGCGGCTCAAAAAGGTTATCGATGCGGTAAGTATTTCGCAGGAGACTTAAAATCTTACACTTCCTGAAGATCAACTCAAAAGCGCATTCGAAAATATCGTCGAAATCCCCCATCACTTTTTAATTTCGCCATTTTCAGCAGAAACAACAAACCTCAGCAACGGGCACTCTTCGAAACACTTGGACACCGGAGCGCGCCCTCTCAGCCGGCGGAAGTGTGAGCGCCGGTCTTGAAGGCCGCACCAACGGCAATCAGGAGATGATCATCATGTCGAATCCAAACGCGACGACGTCCGACGACGAAGCGACTCCGCGCGGCTCGAGCGTCGCCCAAATGCAGAATCTCATGAACGCGTGCGACGATCTCGGCCGCGCCATGGAATCGCTCGTCGTTTCCGTCGTCTACGATTCCGACGAAAACGAGGACTGATCTTGTTCTACAATCTTGTTGGCCCATTTTAATTCTAGTCCGTTATTTCATACCATTCATCGAAAACATTTCCAATTACGCTGAATATTATTTGTTATTTATATATATATATATATAATATGATAATATCATATCGTTTTCAACGCCTTTTCGACAATTTGCTCAATTTTCGTTCGGTTTATAATAAAAGAAAATTTAAAGCAAATAAAGCAGGTGTAGATCAGTGTGAATTTTCAAGACAAAAAATGAAGAAAAAAATACAGAAAGGAACAAATGAATAAATAGGAAATTGTATAAAAAATAGACAATAAAAATCTATCAAAAATTAACGATAATCGTATCCGCGCGTGTTGCTCCTTGCAGTGCTACCGTAGCCAGCCCAATCGGCACGAGACCCCGATGGCGCAGTCGCCCAATTTCCCATGTCGACTTCACCGCTCGCTGTCAGCCCATTCCATGTCGGCATTGGGTTCGACGTCGCCGAATACGCTGGAAATTCGTAAAATTGGAAAGAAAAACATTTGTAATTCAAAAGAACATCAAACAATTTCACCGCACACAAAACAACGAGCGACAGACGATAAAACGCATAATTCCTACAAACCTGTATTATTCCATCGACTCGACATCGTGTTCAACGAACCATAGTCTGAAACCCCAATAATAACATACACACAACATGCCAACTACAAAGCCAAAGGAAGAGAAATCAAACCAACTGCAAAAAATAGATCGAAAAGACAAATTACCATCATATCTGTTCGACGACGTGTAGGAGAGAGGTGCGGTGTAGTCGGAACCAAGAAGCGACGACGGCGCCGTTGCCGTCGTCGTCGTTCTCGCATAGCTCGGAATCGCGCGCGAGAGCGCATCCAATTCCGAATAGGCGGCGCGTGTCGATGTCGATGACGACGAAATGGCATAATCGCGACGAGGCGGCGATCGATGTGAAGATGATGCGCCATCAGCTTGGCGTCTCGTTGAACGGTCGCGCTCGCGATCGCGTTCACGATCATCAGAATGAATTTTGCTTCGTGGATGCGATGAGACTGGCGATGCCGGTCGACGACGACTTGTGTCAGCACGTCGGCGAATATCCCGCGTATCACGAGGATCTTCGTGACGACGCGAATCGCGGGGTTCGTCTCGGCGCGACGCCGCCGATCTTGCCATATTGACAGACGTCGGCTGACGGGATGACACAGGTGGAGCTTCATACCGTCTATGATCACGTGACTCAGCGCGATATCTAAATCAATTAAACTTTTGCATTTGTTTCTTCCAAATCTCAACAACTACCTATCAACCACTGGAGGAATATCGACATTCACCTTCAACGAAGCTTTCTCTAATGCTATTTTCTGCCTCATAAGCTCAATCTCCAGTCTTTCTTTCTCCAGCTTCTCCTTCTCAAATCGTATTCGCTCTTTTTCACGTTCCAGCTGCAATTTTTCCTCTCTCTGTCGATGCTCCTCATCTCTCTTCTTCAAAATCTCGGCAATGTCTCGATCAAGAACGTCGCGCGAATCCCTTGAAACATCGCCGCGACGATGACTCGACGACGACGACGACGAATGCCGCGGACGCTCCATATGGCGAGACGAGCTCGCAATCGGATCGCGAGATGTCGACGGCGCCTTGGAATACGTCGATTTGCGAAGCGACGATGTTGAAATCGAGATTCCGCGATCGACACCGCGAATGACTCTCGGCGGTGTCACCCGAGCTCGAATGATCAAAGTCTCCGGCGGACGAGATCCTCTAGACGACGTGCTCATTTTCGATGGATACGCGCTACGGCTAGGAGCAGAAATGCGACGTTGAGTGGATCCTAAAAACACATGAAAACCAGAACCAAATTTCAGTTTCATACTCGAATCTTTCGACTCTGAATCAATTCTCCGCCTAGTTGACGATTCATCTTTTCGAGAAGGCGAATACACAATCGGTTTGCGATCCCGACGAGCCTTTTCACGTTCTAAAAACCAACAATCATCTAAACGGTGGATATTAAATCAAAACAACCTTCACGTTCTTTACGATCCTTACTTGGATCCCGCTTCTTGTCAGCTTCGTCACTTTTTCGAACGGTATCCATTGCCGGCGACGATTTTTTCTCCTCCTTCTTTGGTGGAATCGCAGCTGCTGCGTTCGCAGCCACTTGCTTCTGGGCGGTATCATAGAGTGTCGATTCTGTCGCCTATCAATCATAATGATGAATTTCGAGAATTGTCCATCCTCCATTACCCTCTCAACAACTATCGCCTTCTCATTCACCATCGTTCCACCCATTTCGGCCACACATTTTTCGGACATTGCTTTTTCAGTAAAAGTCACGAATCCGAAACACGTCGTCACTTCGCCACCCTTTTTGGTCCTCGAATTGAAAATCTTCGCTTTTTGCACTTTTCCATACTTCATACACAATTGCTAAATGAGAACACATTGAACAGACATTTTGTAGGACGTCTATCAAGTAGAGGGTGAATGAAACAGTTTTATAGATTTCTCACAACGAAAACCCCCCGAGAAAGCGCACACACAGTAATTTACACATTTTCTCATTGAACGTGATCGATTAGAAAACACGAATGGCGGCGACGTTGAAGGTGGAGGTCGGATATTGTCGACTTGTCTGGAACGGGATGCAAAACTCTGAATGTTACCTTCAACGACGCGGCACTCGTCTCGGTAGTAAGTCCTCGAACCCAAACCGATCGCGATTTAACGTCGTCTTCACTTCCAGCCGGCGAATCACATGCTTTTTTATCAATCGCTTGTTCTTGTCCCTTCGATTGATGCTCTTGTTTCTGTTGCGCTTGAGGTTCTGACGGCTCATTCAATGGGTCATCAAGCATTTCCTCCTCTTGTTCAACATCTTCATGCTCGTCTTGCCCTTCTTCTTCTTCATCTTCTTCCTCCTCCTCTTCATTGCCTTCCTGGTGGTGTTGCTTCAGCTCATTTGTTCCGCTTGTTTCATTCGTAGCATTAGTCGCTCGCGATTCATTTCGTTCGTCTCGTTCCACAGACGACTCTTTCATTTCTTTCGCTGCCGCCGCTGGTGCATTTTCCTCGTGGCCACCCGACGTGTTCTCCACGATCTCGTCGTCACCAACAACAGCTACTGGAACAAGATGGGTCGGTAAAAATGTGTTGTCACAGGTCATAGGGCAAACAATTTCCACAATCTCTCAAAATTAATGAAACGGGTGGAAAGGGCCACCCAGCTCGGCGAAAAATCTTTCTGTCTGTGTGTGTGTGTGTTTACCTTCCTCCTCGTTCTTCGCCTCCTCGTCTCCTGCTTCATCGACCGACGCCATTTCAACTTCATCCTCCTCGTCTTCATCACCTTCCTCATCCTCATTCTTATCGCCATCCTTATCCTTATCATCATTCCCAACTTCATTTATTATCAATTCTGGCTCGGTGCTGATTTTGAGTTTCATCTCATTGGCACATTTCGCCTTATTCTCATCATTTTTGACTTCAGCGTTTTCCTCTTTCGTTACACCATCATCTACTTTTTCCGTCGTTTTCGGTGTCGACCGTTCACTATCCTTCTCATTAGCTCCTCCTTTAATAATTGTCACGTCGGCAAGAACGAAGGCAATTGTTTGATTAAATTCAAAAAGAAGAATGCGGGTAAATGTCGCAACATAATTTAAAGGGGTTTTAAATCTCACAAATTTCGTCCTGAATTGCTTAGCAAAAAAAAACGAAACAAAAATCAAAACCTGAAGCTGCTGCTGCTGCCGCCGAAGCCGCTCGCGTTTTAGAAGCATTCAACGCCTCGATTTTTCGCGCCGTCATTTTCCTCGAACTCGGTGTCCTCTTCGGTGATGGCGGAATACTCGGGAAACGATATGTGCTTGGATCGATGCCCTCGTCTTGCAGTGCCTGTAATACGATGCCCAATGAAAATTGTCGGCAATTAAATGTGTGTGCGATCTGAATCAATAATTCATAAGAGTCACACACACACACACAATTGGCATTATTGTTTGAGTTTATAAAATTGCACGCGAAATATTCAACAACGTCAACAATTCGCCGTAAAAGGAAGTAAGTTGCCGAAAATTAAATCAAAAGTGGAACGAAAGAAAAAAAGAACGAAAAGAAACGAATCATTCCTCAAGCCGAAATGATGATTAACAAAAATGTTTCGAAACAAACTGTATTGTTTGCCTTTGGGGTAAAAATTTTCCACGCCACGTGCTATAAAAAAGCATTAATGTTTCACAACATAGCCCCCCACCACATCAATATATCAACAATTACAATTTTCTTTTGTCTAGACGCCAATGAGTTCAACTTTCGCCCGTTTGACCTTTCAGTTGTCGTCCAATTTGCACATTCAACGTATAATTAAAAAAATGTACGAGAGAATCATTTTTTCAGTCGACCCTTCTACAGCAAAAAAAACAATTAATCTTTTTTTCTCGTCTACTACACTTTATTGTTTTCGTCGCCAACTAACAATACTATGAATAATTCGATTTGTTGTTGCTGAAGAAGGAAATTCCCTAGATTCCCCACCCCACCCTCCCATTCCAATCGTCTTAATCTTCTACACAAAAGCTCTACGACAATAAAGTGCCGTTTCCAAAAACTGCCAAAAAATTATTCCACATAAATTATCTTTTCCGGAAAGGAAAATTCTCAAAGGACTCCACAAAACGAAAAACAAAATAAAAACCCCCGAGCCGAGGCCCTCGCCGATGAACACCAAAAACAAACATCTCAATGGTTTATCTATATCCATCTCATCCCACCTCTCCCACGCGATATACCACCAGCCTAGCCAAACTAACTGCTTCAGCGTCAGAGCTCAAACGAAGAAAAAAAAAGGCGGGAAGAGGAGAAGGAGAAGGAGGGGCGCGGCCTGCAAGCCAAAGAGGTGGAGCATTCTCAAAACCCACAAGAACTTTTCGTCATGCGCAGTCACGAAAAATAAAAAAAAAAGAAGAAGAAAGAAAGAAGCTGACGCGGCGGCGAAAAGCAGAAGGTGGCCCATTTATTCCATTTGCTTCCAATTTCCCCCCATCAAAAAAAATTCCTCCGTTCCTCTTTACATTTCTTTCTCTCCTCTTCTTCAAAAAAAAAGAAGAAGAGGAAGGGGAAAAAACGCAAAATGGCATCCAACCATTTATTATTATACATTCGGCGGTCTGAGACAAAGAGGCTCTCCACTTTTTTCTTTTTTGCAGCCCCCCCCTCCTTTGGACGAAAAAAATATGTCTTGTTCTCTCAACAACAGGCAGCGAAGGCATTTCAAAAAAAACCTGCTGTCGGACCATCAATCTCAACTCGGTTCTCTCCATTTTGCAAATTTCTCGAGTTGTACATTTCAAAGTACCTCATAAAACATCGACCTCTCACACACAGATGTTCACCAGCACCAATTGTTTTGTTATTCAGCCGCTTCGAATGCACGACAACCTCACGAAAGTCATTTGCGCGCAAGGCGCCACGATCACAACGACCAAGAAAACACTTCAACGCGCGCCAAACTCGCTTCTCGCCACCTCTCCAGAAGCAACAGCCGATTCTGATGAATCCATCATTCGAATTCTAATTGAAGCGCTTCGCCGCGAGGATTTCAGCATTATCGTTTCTGAATCCTTCGATCAATGGGCGAGACTTTCCGTTGAGGTAAATATAATGCTAATCACTTCTAAAATCGATTCTAGGCTAAACGTCTCGGCCTTGTCTCAATCGTCGAATCCGCATGCCCATCAACAATCAGCATATCATGCCATTCAGCACTATCAACCGGAAGAATCAATCCCGAGGTCACGTTTCGCAAGGTTCTCCGAATCGTCGTCGCTGGAAAAGTGATCATGTGTCGCGCCGTGTTCGGCGATTCTCTCAACGAGTGCCGCGATAGCGGCGGCACCGATTTCGAGCACGACCGATACACGTCAAGGTGTGTTTGAGCACAAAACTCCCCCTCCGAGCATGTCCATATAAAAAAATCGCGCAGATTCTTCTTGAAGCATAGCAATTTGGAAAAGGCGTTCGATCAATTAGCCTCGGCCGGCTATCGTCTCATTCATTCCAACACGTTCGCGCCATCACAAATGCCAACGCATTTGAGCAAAGACGACTCGCAATTCGTGCACCATTCGCAATATCTCTTCCATCGTCAACCAAAGGTGCCTTTCTCATCGCAAAAATTATTATTATTATTTTCCCAATTATCGCTAGTTAGTCGCCGCAAAAAAAAACATATATATATATATATATATATATATATATATATATATATATATATATATATATATACGCCACTATTTTGAGTTTAGTCTCAAGGCTTGGGAAAAATTCACCCAAAAAACAAGCAAATATTTGGTTCGGAGCTCGAGTAGAGGAAAAAAAGAGCGCTCACGATCAAATACGGCGAAGGATAAGCCATAGAAATGCCATTAGTTTTTGACGAGATGATTGCAGTCGCAATAATTCTGCACTCATTTTTTTTGGCATAACGCTCTCGATATATCCAAGGTTTCAGCGAAATTTGACAAACTCGAAAAATTACCTCCAAATATGGAAAATTGGCTAAATAGTTGGCAAACATTTCATACAACTCTGCCGTTTTTAGCAATTGATTACGCACCTCATAACTTAATTTAATATTCCCTAATCGGTCAAAAACTGCCTCCAAATTCAATTACAATTCACACAACCCTAAATAGCAAGTAATTCAATAATCCGACGACTTCAGTCTAGTAGGATAAAAACGTCACAAAAAAAAACTCTGCGACTTGACTAATGAAGCGTTCACTCGCCACACATCCGTTTTCGAATTTAAATCATTGAGCTCCCGGAAACCTATCTCTTCCTTTCGAAAACTTAACAAACAACAACAAACAAAAAGGGGAAAACTACTTTCGAGCCTCAGACCCCGGCCGCTTCGACGGCGACGAAACGACACCCGCCGATTCTTTGCGCTTTTCAATTTCCTGCCTCAAAAATAAAAAGTATCGCATTTCTACGAGAATGAATAGTGGGAAAAAATGAGGAAAATCGTTTTTTTCTTTCCTCATCATCCAACAACACCCAAATGATTGGTGGCAATAAAAAAACGAGCCGGCAAATTACAGCCAATTTTATTCGTCTTCTCGTTTCAGCTCAGCCCAATTGACGTCTGATGCCAATTCGCCGAGTGTTTCATTAATAATTAGTCATGTCAAGATCTCATTTAAAAAAAATAAATAATTTTTTTGCAATATTTCTCGACCATGCCATAATGTGCCAAATGAATCGTTTTTTTTAAACAATTTTAACAATTCATTACCTTGTTTAACCTCACAGATAGTACGACTTTCACACCAGAGCTGTCTAAATTTCGTTTCTCGAGCTCTGCCTGAAATAAAAAAGTAAATATGCTATTTTATTATTGTGTCAATGCAGAAAAAAAGTGAAAAAATTTAATGTAGCAAACTGATATTAACATCACCCAAAAAAGTGAGTACTCGATTATTTACAGACCATCTTATTTTTTAAAGGCGACAACTCAAATTCGATTTAAACTGTGGGAAATGGTGTACAGAAGCGAATCAAACTCACAAAAATTACAAATTGCTACTTCTTTAATTAATGCTCAAACGAAAACGAGTTATTTATGAAATTTGTTAAATAACAAATTTCAAATAAATCGATTAAAAGATCATGACGCGGAAAATTAGAAAAAAAATGTTCGCTTTTGTAATGCATTGAATTTTCCCACATATTTCTCCCTATTTTTCTGCATTTTCCCATAATAATAAATTGTGTTACTTTCATATCGGAGACTCGCAACTCTGAAAGTAATCTACCGTCGGGCGTTGAAGTTCGCTGAATCGCCGCCGCTTGTTCTTCGCTCATTCTGAATAATTGAGGTGTTCTTGATATAAAGATAGACGATTCAATGTTGGATCGCGAGGAGCATCACATTGAAATTATTACACTGTGCTCGTTAGAAATGCAAATTCCGCGCGAGAGAGAAGGAGAGAGAAGGAGAGAGAGAGATTCGATGGTTAAAAAAACACACAGAATGATAATTACGGTTAAATAATACAATAAAAATTTAAATGCAAATAAAATGACGTGGCAATAATTATATTCTCACGCTTTCGCATGCTTTAACAATTATATTTTTAAAGAACTATAAATTGTTTTCTTGTATGATTTAAAAATATGACTTTTATACGAGTTCGAAACGATATAAAATATAAAAAATATAAAATCTTATTAACATTAACGGAACAAAATTTTATACGATTTATTTCTGTGGATAAAAAAATGAATGGAATGATAATAAGAGTTCGAAAAAAACATTGGAACTCAAACAGCGCTTTCAAGTTTAAAGTATATACGACAGAATCTTAAAAAAATAAAACAGGCCTAATTTTTAAAAAAAACCTACAAAATACTTCTAGGGGGAGAGGAAGATGATTTTAAAGAAAATCGAATATTTACTATATAATGCTATGAGCTAGCTTTGTTGAAATTAATTGCTTTATGGAGACTACCATCAGATAAACAATAATAAAATCTTAATAAATTTTTTAAGTGCACAAATTACAAAAAAAAAAAAACAATTCGAAATAAGTGGCAAAATAAATATTTTTAAAGCGCGCGCAACAAGTGCGCCAACGCTATTTTCGCAAGTGCGCGCACACTGACGCATTTCTCGATTAGTCAAAGCGGTAATTCAAAATATTTATTCTTCGAATGAAACGAGATATTTTAGAACATAGAAAATTTTAGGAAACATCTCGTCGAGCTCTTTTATAACTTTCTTGTGTTTTCTGCTAATTCCACAATTTTGATAGTATTCCAGATATCATCTTATCAGCTCGTCTTGCCATCTTCGGACCATCTAAAGACTATCCTACCCCCTGAAATCGCAACGAGCCAACCATGATCACTGATTATAGCAACACTACAACAATTCAAATTCCATTTTTAATGATAGACACAAAAAGTTGAACCTCTAGATTGTAAAGGAAACGATACCTCTGGGCTTTGAACTATCATATGATTACTGTAAAGCTTTAAAAAAATTAGAAAAGTGAATAAATAATAAAACAAAAATTGCCGCAAAACATCAATTATATTATAATTTCTTTATAATAAGCCCTAGTTTTTTTTAATAACAAAGAATTCGAATTTTTAGACATCTCTCCATTTTTCGGATTTTAAATCAAAATCACTTTGAAGTGTTAGGCCATTTAATCTCATTTTTCATTTTCCAGGACCATAAAACGAGAATCTTTCTCGCTGTGCACTTCGTCCCTCGTCAAAACATCAAAATTACCATAAAATCCTAGCTTCATTATTCACAACGAAATTCAATGTCTGGCATTCAAAAATCTAGCTACACTATCAATAAACAATTGCGGTTTTTCAGCGTGAACCCAATGCCCGGCACCAGGGATTGCGTCAAATTCAACCTTAAAAATATCAAAATAATAACAATTCGATACAAACAAGAAAAAAATACCCTAGGGAAAAGACATCGAATGTCGGGTTTATGGTCTTCTGTGACATATCCGGACACTTCTCCGTGCAAGAACAAGGTGGGACCACGAAAGCTTCCAGTAGGGAGTGTATATCTAAAAATATCAATTCATAAAGATATCACTATGATGTCTTCAGTTCAAATGTACCCTAAGATATCTTCAACGTGGTTATCAATTGCATCAATGTTGCACTTCCATTCAAAAACTCCTTTTTCAGATGACGATTGAAGATTTGTCAGAATGAATTGACGCATTGCCAAATCGGGAATGATCTCCTCAAGATCTACAAGAATCTCCTTGCGCGATCGTCGCAGATCAACGTCTCTCATCGCCTTTATAAGCTTCCGGAACTCTGAAATTATCGTCTCAATTGTGTATCAACTGAGCACCTATAAAATAGATTTTCCTACCTACGTGCCTTCTGGAGTATCCTTTTGGTGATACATCCTCAACTATAAGCTTCTGAATCCGATCACTCCATTTCGAGTCAATCGCCATTCGCATAACAATCTTTCCACCCATCGAATGACCTAGTAAATTGACCTGAAGAAATCCAAATAAAGTATTTCCATTGTCAAAATGTTCACTTTCTCAATTCTCAACTTTTCTCGAATTCCATCAATGAACATGACAAGATCTTCGGCCATTTCCGTATACGTCATCGAATCCACGTGAGGCGAACTTCCATGATTTCGCGCGTCAACCGCGTAAATCGGCGCCTCGAGTTTACGGTGTAATGCCTACAGTAATCTTTTTTTTGTGATTCCTAGGAATTTTCTAGTCCTGGCCGGCAAAGAATACCATTTCTCACGAACAAGATTGAAATCGATATTTAAATAATTAATAATGTCCAAAAAATTAACAAAAAAAGAAGACCTCAGAAAAGCGAGTATACGGGCCATTTTGTTTTGGGACCCTTTAAAATACTATTAAACGGAAATAGTCTTTTTTTTTTTAAATCATAATTCAGGCGTCAATTTTTTTAGAAGAAAAAGTTTTGTAACCAATAACTATATAAAAAAATACTTTTCCGACACTATTCCAATTCTGTTTCTGACCAAAGAGCCCATGAACGATTACTAGTGGCGTTCCATTTTGAAATTCCGGCGAAGTAAAATTTAATGAAGCAAGAGGGACCTGAAATTAAAACTTCCAAAATGTTGAAAATAAAAGGTGACGACCATTTGCAAGTCATTTTTTTTTTTTTAATTTTTTGTATTAAATTAATGTTTTTTTTTAATAAAAAAAAAACAACCAACCGGCGCTAGTTGCTTCGAGCTCAACGCCAAATTCCTCGAAAAAATTCTGATGCTATTCATAAAAATCTGAAACATTAAAAATTTATACAGAAAAAACAACAAAAATAAATATTAGTTTGTATTGTGGGAAGAGAAAAAATTGTTCGATGGCCTAGAATTGTGATAAGTTTTCCCGGCCACATTTCAGAGGCACAATAAAATAAATATATGACGGCTATTTCGGAGAATAGGAAGGGTTTCATTGAAATCGACTGTGGCTGAAATTAAAAAAAAAATATTTGGCAAAACCTAACAATGATTTTAAATCCACTAAACTACAAAAAATGGCTTCGCGTGAATGATTTCCTTGAAGTGAATGATTTCCACAGCTTTCCAAGAAAAGCTTGGAAAGCTGTGGTTCGCGCCTCAACAGGCGAAGGACGAATCGACTAAGTGACAAAAATAATTATTGAAATTAAAACCTAATATATGAAATTACAGTTTTTAACCTTTCAAACGCCACCTTCCATACTCCAATGTTCTTTTTCTCGCAACTCCATTTTCTAACATGGTGATAAAATTCGGACCCATACCCGTTTATTCCTCGCGATTTAATAAACCCAACAAAACCAGACACATTATCACGATAATGCCCCAAATCGGCAGCGACGATGAGTAACCAGTTAGCCAATAACTATATCAACATCAACGAACTCGTTTCGTTTAGGCTTATCAACAACTCGCCCTCCACGGACGAAATCCATCGCAGCGCGATATCGAGAACAATTCCGATTCACAAAAAAAAAAACACACAGAGACGCTAAACAAAATAAGCAAAAACACAGAGAGACACAAAAAAGCAGCGTCATTGTCTCGAATAGCAACAATCAATCGGTTCGGCAATGCGACTCGATTTTCTGATATTTATTTTCATCTCATTTCGGCACGCGTTTTCACAAGGTTAGTCGTCTCATACTCCTAATAGTCAAATAATATTGCTGAAATATTTGAAGCAACTTATGATGTCATTTTCGCCATTGACGTCGCAACTTCAAACGAGACCCACTTTGCGATTCAGCAGAATCGCGCTCTTCGTATATTGAAGTAAGCATTCGCCATGGCAATTCTATACAAAGTTGCTTTCTTAGATATCTTGATTCGTCAATCACCAGCACGAATTTTCGCACGGCAATCATTGAATTCGACTCGACACCTCGCGAAATACTTGAATTCGGCTCGCCGTTTTCCAATGACACTGGAAAAGTGAGTCGGCACGTCTCGAATTATTCTAGGCAACTGTTTTTCAGGTTACCAGTATTCTGGCATCGCTGAAACCAAAGAAAACTCGCATGGCATCGGTCGCACGAGTCCTAAAATCCTGTTTAGAGCAATTCGAAACATCGAAAAATTCGAGGAAGATTCTCTTTCTGGCTCATGATGGCAACTCGGACGATTCCATCGCGGAGACATTGCCAACAACGTAATCGCTCAAAAAAAATTACCAATTAATTACTAATTATAAACCTAGAGAGCAACTCGAAGCGCAAAAAATTCAATTATTCGTGCTCACCGGCAACCAAAACGCCAACGTCGACGTTCTTCTTGGGTACGTTCGCGAAAGAGAGAGAATCTATCAGAATGCCGCCGACGTTCAGCCATTTCGACGAATCCTCTCAGCTGTAGGATCTAATAAACAGGCAAATCCCAAAGCAATTCTAATTCAGGCCTTATTCGCCAACGATCGACGGGCTGAAGCATTTGCTGCGCCTCTGAAGCCTCTCAAATCCTCAAAATTCGAGCCTCAACAGTCATGCGTCTTTGAGAAAGTCGATTTGATGATCGTTCTCGACACCTCCGGCTCGGTATACAGAATATTTGAGGAGCAGAGGCAGTTCACCATCGATTTCATCAACAAACTACCAAAGTCGGCATTCAATGACGGCCGAATTCAAGTGATTTTTAATCATTGTCGACTTGTATAATAGGATTTCATTATTCTAGGCGTCAATTGTCAAATTCTCCGCCAATCCAATCATCCATTTGCAAATGGGTCTCATCGCGAAGAGTGATCTCATAAACAAAGTTCGAGAGGTTATATTCACCGGAGGAATCACACGCATCGCGACAGCTGTGAATTCGGCAATCGATACTGTGAACAAGGCCAAAAGAAGTGATGCTCGTCAAATTTTCATATTGATATCCGATGGACACGGACAAGAATCATGGTCGGGCGTTCAAAAGACCGGCTCAAGACTACGCGAGCAAAAATTCGAGTTGTTCGCAGTGTCGGCAAGCTACGATTATAGCAGCGCCGAGTTACTGATCTACGTCGGAGACAAAAGTCGCCTCTATGTCGGCGTCAAAACGCCAGAGTGAGTGAGAAACGCAGCATCATCGCATCGCATCGCGAATTTTCAGTTTCATTCCCGATTTGAGCAAATACGTTCGAGATTGTGTTGGCGACGACGACATCGAGAATGAGCAAGTGCTCACGACAACTTCAACCCGACTAATATTGAACAACGCTGCGAAAGAGGACGACGACTCATCAAGTGATAGAGATGACGAGGAAACTTTGTCAAACCTTCAAGAAGTACTGAAACCAGCGTCACCGGCGATTCCGGCAAGCGATGCGCCACCAACGACACCAATAGCTCTGGATGTTCCAATTACACGAGCAAGGCCTGTTGATATGATTTCCACACAATCTACGCTAGATGGTATTTTCGTCGAACCTATCGAGCTCACCACGGCGACAACGAGTACTACCGTTCAAGAATCGTCTTCGGCAACATTGATGTCCACATCGGAGCTACCGGTTGGGACAATCGCGCCGAGAGAGGAAGCAATTGCCAATGAAATGAAGACACCGCTGGACGGTGATCAAGAAGGTTCCGGTGGATCTGGCGAATCATCTGGTGAGATTCTCGAAGGTCTCGACATCGTATTGAATGGTGAGGGATCTGGAGTGATCGATATCACGAATTCGAGACCATCCAAAGTGGAACCGGCCGATTCACACTTTGAGAATATTCGCAATGATTTGGTATCGCAGAAATTCACAAAAATTGAATAATCAAACTTCCATTTTAGATTTCCAACTCAAAATGTCCAATTGATTTGATTTTGATGATTGACAATTCGCAAAGTGTTGAGAACGTATTTATGGCCGAAATACAATCGGCGATTGCCGTCGTCGACGAATTCACCGAAGAATCTTACATCAATGGAATGGTCCGTGTCGGAATCGTGACATTCGCGAGTAATGGAACACTAATTCGAAATTTGATCGATTCGACAAAATCGAACATCTTGAACGCCATTCGATCAATTCCACACATTGGTGGATCGACGTCGTCGATTTCTGGAGCCAAAATTGTCGTTGAGAATATTCTTCCAGTTCGGAGAGCAAATTCGAAAATGCTCATTGCTCTTTTCTCAGACGGTCATTCGCAAGATGCCTGGAGTAGCGTGTTGAAGTGGTCATCAAGGCTTCACGAAATTCCGCACGCGTCTACGTTCGCATTGACACCGACCTCAGACTATTCTGAGCCTGAGCTAAAAATTTGGGCTGGATCTGAAGAACGAGTCTTTATTGATCCCAAAAGGCTTTTAGTGGCAATTGCCAAAATGGCTAGATCGTGCCAACTTGAGGACGCTGTTTCTTCCGGCGATGTGAAGACAATTATCAGAGATGACCTCCCAAAAGCACAAGGAATCAAAATCGCCAGCAATCTCAATGAAAAATCTCGAGGTTCATGCCTAGCTGATCTAGTGCTCATAATTGACACCTCGTCAAGCATTGAAGAAGTATTCGATAAGGAAATTGAGATAGCCAAGAATCTTGTTCAAAATCTCTCAGACGCGAGATTTGCTACCGGAGAAATTCGAATCGGCGCTATTGTCTTTCATTCCAAAGCAAAAGCTATCATGAATCTCAATGATAATCTATCAAAGTAGCCTTTTAAACTCTTAAAATATATCAATATTTTACACAGGATTGAGGTTATTAATACCCTAGAAGCCCTCAAATTAGCCGGCGGAAATACTTCAGTAGCTTCGGGCGTTCATTCAGCAATCAATCATATCGGAAAAAATCGACGAATCAATTCCAAGTTGGTCCCTACATATTGATTTTTTTTTTGGGAAAATGAATCGAAATTCCAGACTTCTTGTCGTCTTGATTTCCGACGGAAATAGTCAAGATCACTGGAAGGAGGTGACTCATACCTCAATGATACTGCATTCATTGAATCCGATCGTCTTCGCCGTAACCGCTAGCAAGAAGTATGGTTTGAGGGAGCTCGAAGTATACGTTGGCGATCCGACACGAATATTCACCGACGAGAGAGCTTCAAGTCTTGTCGACGCCGTCACGCATTCGATGAATGAGAATTGCGAGGGCGACGAGAAAACTGTGGCAAGACCCAAAAACGAATATCAATTTCTATTAAATTTATTTAGAAGCGCGAATTCTCATTGGATAGCCAATTGTCGCTTTGTGATGATGATCTCGTCGATCTAGTAGTCGCTGTCGACAATTCCAAACCAATCGACAATGAATTTTTATCGGACCAACTTTATTTTGTAGACTTGATCAAACAAATTCCCGAGTTCATGTTCAAGAATCGGCTCCGAGTCTCGCTGATCCCATGCGCTTCGGTTCTACGATCCACACGAAACATCACCAATAAGAGCCATTTGCTAACCGAAATTGATCGACTTGACTCGAAACAAGCCAATGGGATTTCAATTTCGACGTGTCTCGTTGAAGCTTCAGAAGTTTGTTTGACGTGTCAATCTTTTCTCGATAAGTCGCCATCTTCAGATACTCTACAAACGACCACCTGGTTCACGAGGATTCTTGGTATTCTTTGGAAGCGGAAACGATCGAGACACCTTCGAGCAACTCGACAGAACAACGCCACTACTAAAAAATTATGAAGTGTTTGCTGTGTCAACCGCGAAGACTTTAAACCGGAAGAGTTTGACATCGATTGCTGGAAAGACACACAACGTCTATATCAATGATCGGCTAGATCGGTTCAGTCAGGACGTCGGGAGCGCGTTGGTGGCATGCAGGGGAAAGGCAGAAGAGCCGAAAGGAAATCTCCCCGACAGCCTTCCTCCAATTGCAGCAAACTCATTGAAGCCATCCGAATCTTGCAAGAAGACGAAGCTTGACCTTCAGATAATTCTTGACGCGTCATCATCAAGAGAAGACGTACTATTCTCAATTTACTGATGATTCAGAAAGCATTTCTTAGGTGTTCGAAAGACAACGAAAAATCGTCGCCGAGCTAGTTGAGCGATTGCCAATCGATTTGTACGACAATTTTGTTGCCGTGGGAATCAGCAGCTTCACCTCAACACCAATCATTCGACAGAACTTGGGATTAGGAAGAACGAAGCAGGTAAATGATTCAATCATATGCAAAAATGAGAATTCTGTTCACAGGAAATTCGAGACGTCCTAAACACAATTGACTATCGAGGTGGTTCGACAAGAACAGCAAAAGCGATTCATCTGAGTATTGATGATCTCGATAATTCGAAACGAAGAGATGCTTTACAAGTCTGCTAGAAGCAATTTATGTTAGAAAAATTGTAGTCAATTTTTTTTGCAGGCTATTGTTCTTATAAATGACGGCATTTCGCAGGACGACTGGCAGGAAGTCCTCAACGCTTCGGCCCGATTGCGATCTGTACAATCGCAAAGATATGGTCTAGCGTTTGGTGACGAAATCGACCTGAGAGAATTGAGTATGTACGTTGAGGATCCGTCGAGAATCTATCGCGACAATGATACCAAACGGTGGATAGCTCAATGCTTTAAAAAAAACAATAAACGTGAATCTTCAGCTTCCTCGACGACATCGTTTCTCTAGTATACGGCGGTGTAAAAGAATGCGCAAGGCCAAAGAAGGCAGCACGAGCCGAAACTGATTGCTACGTCGACACCGACTTCATTATCATTTTCGATAACTCGGATATGACTGAGCATATGATTGATCCATCGGTCAATGCCAACAGATATCTGCTTCTCGATATTCTAGGATCGTTGTCGAAAACCTTCAACAACACATCGTCGGACATTCGCTTCGCCGTTTTCTCAACATCGCCCGACCCAATATTGAATCTCGATTTTACTAGTATTCGCGAGAAGAACACGATAGCGGAGAAAATCGAATCGATACGGTCGGTGGGACGCCAACCATCATACTTGCAAACACTATTGGAAGCGGTCCGTCATTTCAGAGACGACAATGAAGGGTAATTTAATGATTATAAGCTAAATGCCAAAAAAATTCAATGGCAACGGTCTTGACGCGAAACTAAGTGTTTATTTACGGGCCTAGTATAAGGATCGGTTAAAGGCGCATACCGCGCACTAAGACCTCGCCTGAAATTTTTTGGCGCTCAGCCAATTTTTCTCAGTCGCGCAACGAGGACAACAATAATTATTAAAGAAATCCACGAAAGAAGGCTATCATTCTCGTCGGCGATGGAGAAACGGATAGCAAAGATCGATTCCTGGAGCGAAATCTCAAGAAACTTCTGCGAGAGAAGTCCGACGTGAAGTTGTTCTCCGTTGATGCATCGACGCACACGAATATTAATTTCTATTCGAGAATTATTGGAAATCGCGACGACGTTTTCGAGTATGAGAGAAATGGTGTCGTCGTGCAGAGGCTGCTGAAATTCGTCGAGAAATCGAGTTGTGGTGTCAAGGTTTCCGGAAAAAAATTCGCACCAAAATCAGCAATTTTGGTATTTCAGGAAACAAAAAAGGCGCGCAAGAAGGTGAATCTAGACGAATTACAAAAAAGATCGATCGAAGCGCAACCAAAGTAATTTTCCAATTAAATACTCTAGTTTTAATAAATCCAATTATTGAGTAGAGTTGCGCTGGAAGACAAGCCGACACCGCAATGGACGACTACCACGAGACGCAGAACGACGACAACATCAACAACAACGACGACCACAACCACACCGGCTCCCACAACAACGACGAGACGACGACGATGCGAACGACACCAACAACGACCACGATTCCATTTATTAAAGGATGCCTTCTAGACATTCTAATAATTCTAGATTCTTCGGGGAGTGTTGAAGAAACGTTCAAGAAGGAAAGAGAAATGGCTAGAGAGGTCATCGAACGCCTTCGTGTCGGCGAGAACAACGCCCGCGTTGCGATCATCAAGTTCGCGTCGGAAGAGAAGGTCAAAACCGTTTGGTCGTTCAAGAAGCGCCAATCGAAACAAGCGATTCTCAATGCACTCGAATACCTTCCATTCTCCTCGGGAACCACAGCAATCCACGCGGCACTCCAAAAAGCCGCTTTGGAGTATACCGAGCATCGAGGAGCGCGACCCGGCATCGCACGACCCATCGCTCTTCTGTTCACCGATGGTTTCGGAAAGAAGTCATCCGACGAGGAAGCCGCCATTCTACGCCAACTCATTCCCGACATTTTTGCGGTGGCGGTTAATCACTTGGTTTGTTTTTGCCTATTATTTGGGGTCTTTCCGATCTAATAGCTTCCTTACAGTACCCAGTATCGCGAAAAGAGCTCGAGAGAATCGTTGGCAATAGGGATCGTGTGTTCACCGATTCGACCGTCCAGAATCTGCACGAGACCCTTCGGCCATACCTAAGCGATTGCTAATAATTCTTAATAATTCAATTGTTTCCCTACACGATGATTCATAGTACGTGCATGTGTTCTTATCAAAAAAATCAATAAAACCACGACGATCGATAGAGTGTACGGTGCGGCGAGACGATTCGACAGAGTCACATGAAAAGTAAACAAGGCAGGCTCCTCGGAGGAAGAGGAGGAGAACGAACAAGGAGAAGACGATTCGAAATTTGCATACCGACGCCAAACGTACACATTTCGCGCGGTGTTTCGGTTCGCCCTTTTGTTTCAATTCGTCTTTTCGTGACATCTATCCAAATCTTCGATATTCGACAACAGAAGAAAATGAATATTGAAATTGACATTCAAAAAATGTTCGCCGGTTGCCACGTGTCGCCCAATAAAGCGCCGTTTCCACTTATTTTCGCGCTGCTTCTCCAATCGCCGCTCTGACCGCCTAAGAAGCTTCCCCGCACTGATGAACTATGCAAACAGACATTATGTTAAACATCTTGATCTGTTTTTCTTGATTCTCTTTGTACAACCTCCCGACTGTTATTCACATTGGCGAATTTCAATTGCAAAAATCTCATCAATACACTTTTATATAATAATGTATCGAATCGACGCGAGCTCGCCTAATCTTATCACCAACTCTCTCATTTATTTTCTACATAACCGCTAAGAGCGACTAAAATTCAAGTTCATTCTGAAAACGGACACCAATGAGTCATGCCATCTGGAGAACCTCGTTACCTCTAGGCCCTCTCGATTTTCAGGTTTGCATAAATATATATATGTACCTTTTGGTGCTATTTTTGTTTGCTCACTACAAATACAAGGCCGCTTGCCTCCCTGCCTCGCCAGCCAGCCCGCCCCATCTTTGCATTTCGTCCCCACCCTCCGTTCTTCTAATCAATAATCGTATACTATGAATGACACAATGACTCATCCTGCGACACTTTTTTTTTTAATGTTGCCTGAAGCCTTGTTTTCCGTTGCGTTTTGTTTCTATACTAAACCGTTAACTATGCATTTTTGATTAGGCTCAAAAATTTCAGGAAAATAGATGGAAATTCGGATTAGGCATATCGCTTTTCTAGCGATAATCTGCACATTTTGTAAGTTTATCAATCCATAATTTCTAATTTTATATTCCATAAATTCTAGGTTATTATGTGGATGGACAAGGTCTCAACGATCCAATCACCCAATACATCGAAGGACGATTAGGCAACCGGCGAATTTTCTGGTGTCCTAGCGGCTATGGTACAACAATTTCGCCCCAATAACTTAACAAAACGCCAATTTTCCCCAATTCAGGTTATCTAGCGTTCTGCCCGCAACCAACCGACTGGGACAACTACAATTGGTGCTGCACATGGCCCTACATGGGCTCATGGAAGCCATCATGCTGCCAGTTTGCCATTCCAACCGGCGCCGTTGTCGCAATCATTCTTGCCGCCATCGTTCTGCTATTAGGTAAGCTCAATTAATTCAAATTGATTCTCAAATTAAAAAAAACAATTTCTCTTCTAGTCCTCATTGCTCTGTCATGCTGGTGCTGCTTCTGCTGCCCACTGTATAAACAGCTCTACGAGTTTGACGACGAATAGGAACCAATTATTATACTCAACCCCAACCAATGAGCCTGCCATATACAAAAGTTCGATTATGATCCTCCGTGCGTAATTAAATTTCGATTTTTTTTTGTTTTCGTCGAGAAATGTAAGTCTGATGAGCCGAATCGGTGTGTTTTCTCATTGTTACTATATTGCTGTGATTCCTCCCCAAACCTCTCTCTCTCTCTCTCTCTCTCTCTCACTCTCCTTATGTACCATATTTATTTTTTATGTTTGCTCAAAAGTTGAATCAATAATAAAAATCAAAAATATCAATGATTCATTCGGAATTGAATCACTAATTGAAACAGGCACTTCAAGAAAAATCTCAGTTGTTTAACCGTTATCATTTCTGCACTATTGGTTTTCTCACAATTCATACATACATCGCCTAAAATTTGAATTTCGCCGAAAAACTTCGACAAAAAATACCCAAATTTGCCATTAGTTTTTTCTTTACGAGTTGCTAGGCGTGTGTCCGTGTGGAGTACACACACACACACAACTCATCACCTAGAGGCCATTCCTAGCTCTTTACCAATTTTTTCGCAATTCGACATTGTTAAAGCTTGAAAAAATTATTACGATACTGAATCGGCAATATACAGGGTGTCATTTAAGTTCCCGCACAACTTTGAAGACGTATATTTCTGAAACTAAAAGTCCAAATCAAACGAGACTCAAAATATTTTTTATCTATAGTATAACAAATATTTATCTATTAACTCTTTTTGATTCGGCCTCTTTTCGCAGCTATGACTTCACGGAAACGCTTCGGGTAGGATGCGACTGTGGTACGCAGGTATTCGATGGAAAGATTGTCCCATTCCGCCAGTAATGTCTTCTTCAGAGCCTCTACACTTGAATGGGGTTTTGCGTTGACCTTCTCCTGCAAGACCCCATCACGGAAAAGTCAAGCGGGTTCAGGTCTGGGGAGCAATCAGGCCATTCGGATGACTTGATGAAGTCGGGAAAATGGGTCTGGCACCACTCCTGAGTAGTTTTGGCAGTGTGGGCGGCTGCTCCGTCATGTTGAAAGACCCATTTCTGCCCACCGAAATGCGTTTGGGTCCAGGGCATCACATGCTTCTCCAAAATGTCCCGAACGTAGACTTCTTTGTTCACTTTCACCCCCTGATCCGCGAAAACCAGGGGGCACTTCCCGGTTGAGCAGATGGCAACGAAAACCATCATGCTGGCAGGATGTGAGGCTGGATGATATGTTCTTCTTTTCTCAGAAGCTTGCTGGGATGTCTGGGCAAGTACTCAATGGTTTTGTGAGTTGAATGCCGTCTCCACAGTGAACAGCTTCTCGTCGGAGAAGACAGTGACGAGGTGTTGTCCAGACCGCGTGCGAGCAAGAAGTCGTTTTGCTTTTTCGAAGCGTCTCTGCTTGCTGACGGCCGATAGAATTGCCGCTTTTTGGACACGATATGGGGTCAGTCCAAGCTTCGTTTTGACAATTTGTTCCATAGCGAAGATGCTCATTCCCATGTCTAACGCCATCTTTCTCATGCTCCTGTGGGGGTTTCGCCTGATCCTCGATTTGACGGCGTTGATCTTCTGAGGAGTGGTTACTGAGACGAGTCTTCCTTGTCTGGGACGGACACTGGTCGTATTTAGCTACTTGAATCGTTTGATGGTGTCGCAAACCGTTCTACGAAGCACACCGACCCGTTGAATGATGTCTCTCGGGCTCACATTTTGCTTATGAAGTTCGATAATGGAAGCGCGATGGATGTTAGCCTTCGCCATTTCTCGGAAACACATCCGAATGAGGTGAAACTTGGAAAGTAAGTAAAATATAACTTATTTAACAAAAATAAATTGTATTGGTGCACGAAAAGTGCGACAGCCAAGCTCTTCATGGCGTCAAACTTTTGTGCGGGAACTTAAATGACACCCTGTATAAAAGCTATTAAAAAACTATTAAAACCTTAAGCAGATTGCGCTAAAAATTTGTTTGAGTATTTCGAGTTTTCTTCCCAAATATTGCATACATCAATTGAAATCATTTCAATATAATTATAGAAAAACGAAACTTCGAAAAAATGGAATTAACGATTTATTGGTAGTCGATGTTCGACGACTTCTAATAGGAATGGGTCGTTCGCTATGATCCCTGATTATTTCGGATTCAATCCCATAAATTAAAGGGTTATGAAACTAGAGTCGGAAAAACTTCTATTTGCCGTCTTGGAAGTCGTATGATCTACGCCGTCTCAGGCTCACCGCGGTTCGAATTGGGGATCTCGTTGCGACTACTCGAATCAGTTTCCCGCCACATCACTGCCACAACCAAAATTCAGAAAAAAAAAATTCTTATCACATTGTTCTGTAGTTTCTGATTGGAATCGTTCACAGCGGAAATTTGTCAATTCCTTTAACCTTTAAAAAAATGTAAAGTGCGTGTCAACAAACGAGCGCCGACCGAAGAATCAACTGATTGAGCTGAAATCGGCAATGTAGCGAAAAGTCAATAGCCGAGCGGACAAAGAAAACAGAGCTAAAGACGAGGAAAACATGACGAGCAATAATTTGAGCATGAAGTTTCGTATTGTCAGTGACCATTATGACACTATCGATTAAAAAAAACTCCAAAAAGGACGCTACGGATGGGAAAAAAAATTTCAGTCTTGTACGACATTAATGTGTCCAAAAGTGGTCAAAAGAATTTAAGATGACTCAAACTGTTTTTGATCGCAGGACCCTATACTTCAACTCGTATATGGGGAAATTCATTGTAAATTCTTTGCGGACATTCTTCCGGAATACATTGTTTCGATAAATTTTGTGTTGCTGTTTTTTTTTTTATAAATTTGTCTTAAAAATCCGAATGGCAGTGACCTACAGGAAAAAAACATTTTGTAAATTTTCGGATCACCCTGAAATAATTGAATAAAACATCAATGAATTAAAATTCCAAAATATTCTGCCTTCGATCTACAGTAACCCATGCCAAAAAAAATGAGACGGTTGTGAAAAGGGTCAATGAGGAGAAAATTTAAAAATAAAAGAGAACGTATTTTTTTTTGAATTTTGGTTTTTTTTTCTCTTTATTACCCCAAAATAAACCCACCATCTTGTCTACAGTAAGCCACAAAGATCATTCAGAAACTTAATTATTTATATCACTATTTGTTTTGGTTTGAATTTGTTTACTTTGTCGATTAAATTAATAAAGTATAATATTATCAATATTTGTCACAATGATTCGGCAAAAAAACTGAACCCTTTAAAAAAATCTGATATTTTAGAACATAAGAACACAGTCTTGGAATCAGCCCATAAAATCATCTTAACCGCCGCATTAAATCAGTCTAATCTCCGGAAAACGTTTCGCAATTAATCCAAAACCATATGCAACGTCGAATAGAAACGGTGCTATCAGCCAATCGGCATTATCAACACACTCGCTACCATATTTTCTCGCCTTTTTTCGTGTTTTACAGCCGTGTGACAGCAAAATTCAAACATTTCCGATTCACAACACAATTCAGCATGTCTAATGCCCGAAAAAGAAAGAGTCGTAGTCCGAAGCGACCCACTGAGAAGCGCGTGATTTCGGCGAGAACCCAGAAGCTCATTGACGAATTCTACGAGCGACAAGAAGAATTGCTCAAGCATTACAAGGAGGACGAAAAAACTGTAAATAATGAAATAATTGCAAAAAAGGTGAGAGTTTGTCCGAGTCCCATAAAATCACAATTGAAATCTAGGAAGAAGACGAACGCCTTGAAGACAGACTACTCGCTCAAGCCACTTTCGCTCTAAACATTGCTTCGCTAATCGGTAATCTGCTAGCTTCCTACCTCTCAGGATCGCTATCAATTATGAGGTATTCAACATTTTTTTAAAATGATTGATTTAAATTTCCAGTACATTCGTCGACTCATCAATGGATATTGGCTGCAGTCTCGTCATGAACGTCTGTTTAGGTCTTATGAGTCAAACCGATGCGCAAAAATACCCTCGAGGGCGCGATCGACTGGAATTGATCGGCGTGATTTTGTGCTCCGTTATAATGGCATTCGCAAATGTCACAATGATCATGCAGTCAATTAACTCAATCATTAATAACACTGTATGTCTATAATTAGAGCTAAAAATTGACTCAATTAAAAGGTGGACCCGCAAATGACAAATTTGACCATGGCAATAGTGGTTGTTCAAACAATTTTCAAGGCTATTATAATGTATCTATGTTATAAGCGAGCTTCCACCTCTTCACTGGTTATCGCAATGGATCTAAGGTAAATAGTTCTAGTAATCATAGAGACGTGGATGTTCAAGAAACGATCTCGTCACAAGATCACTTGCATTGATCTTCGGATACCTTGGCGACTACGTTTGGAGTCTTGCCGATCCCATCGGCGCTATTATCGTGTGCACAATGATCGCCGTGATGTGGTGCCAAAATGCCATCGAGAATATTCCGCAACTGGTGGGAATCTCTGCCGAACGCGATCAACTATCACGCATATTGCATCTCGCGTTGAACCATGACAAACGCATTCAATTCATCGATCATTTTATGATCTACTACACCGGACAAAACGCGCAAGTCGAATTGCACATCGTTCTCGACGAGACACTCCCATTAAAGGCGAGTCGGCGAGAAAGCAAAAACACTAATCGGGGGAGCAACGTTTTCAGATAACTCATGACATTTCACACAGTTTGGAGAAAAAACTACAAAAGTTGGAGTTCGTCGAGCGCTGCTTCGTCCACGTCGATTATTCCTGTGATGGAGATTAAAAATTGTGATTACACATTTTTTTGCATTGTAGAAATTCTAGAAGAAATATCGATTTAATGAATATTCATTAGTTGTCGAGACATCTTCAAATCCGATGAGCATTATCCATAATATCATCCCAACTCACAAATAATCCAGAAGCCCCCCCCCCGTCCCCTACGGCTTCATAAGGGATGCATGAGCGCCGTGTCCACCCTCGTCGCATCCTATTATGTCGGCAACTGCGTTTCGCCCAAATCGCCTACTCTCTAGCGCGTTTTTTAATTATTCTAAAAAGTACTCAGCGGGAGCGAAGAGCGGCCGAGGTGATATTTCTCCTCGCCTATTTTTTTTTGCCGTCGCGTTTTATTGTTGCGGTGTGAGGCGATCGTTTTTATTTGACGCGCGATACTACCAACCGCCACAAATTGAGCATTCAATGTATAATTCTATGGTCATGTATGTATGTGTGTTTGCCTGTTTAGAGGAGACGAATGTGGGTGGAGAGCGTGTAACTAGTTGTGGCTGGTCGCCACGTTTTTGCCGCTAGTTTAATCTAGTTGAGCCATCCACAGGACCCACCGCTTGTTTTGTTTCACAATTTTACGATTCATTCCTCAATAGAGCTCCGTTTTTGGACCCTCTTGCTTTTTCCATCGAATTTCAAACATATCAAGATTCAAGCTTCTTCTCGTTCATTTTCTTTCATTCGACAAATACAAATTCCTACAGGAAAATGGTAAAAAAAAAGGTTATTTTGTAGTTGCCCTTTCCAACCAGCCGGGTTCAAATAAATTTCTAGGTTCACTATTCGAACAGGACTTTTTTACCATACATCGAAAAAGCGAAAAAAAAAATCTCATTTGTGGTCGAGCAAGCCGAAATTATCAAGTTTAAGCAACTATAAAAACATTTTTTTTCAGAAAAACTATATTGTTTAGCTTAGGCTTCAAAAAAACAAGCCAAATTTCTACTCACTCAATTCTAAGTTTCAACACCGAGCCCTCACCACTTGTTCGAGGGCCTTGAAAACCAAAAAATGAATAATGTGCGTCCTTCAAGCCGCGAGATGCATGCTTCGCCACTACATAAATAAACTCAACTAATTTGTCTATTTTTGGGTGCACGCTGCCAATCGAAACTCAATTTCCTTTTCGCTTCGTCAATGAGACAACAAAAGCGTAAAACCATTTCATAAATTCATGAGCGCTAGAAATTCCTCGATTTTGCGATTCCACACGGCTTCGAGTATAATCCCACTCCCTCTCAAAATGTCGAGCGTCACACTATTTCGCTGCGCCCAAAAAAAAAAATTCATTTTGCTTGCGATTGTGAGAAGAGCGTAAAAACACATGTCCTGGAGACAGATGGTTTTCGCGCATTTCAATCTGCCTTCATTTTTACGGGCTCCTTCTCATTTTCTATGCGAATCGCAACGAACAACTAATTTCTTCGCCAATAAACACCATTTTGCCCACCGTTTCCGGTGCAAAATTGCCATTATCCCCCGCAACCACCTTCCCCAATTCGCCACTACCGGGTCGGTTGGTCGTCGGCAAACACAAATACATTTTCAAGTATATATTTCAATGGCGACTCTTTCGCGCCCACCCCTCCCGAGATCTTGAGAGTGTTGCATTTTGTTTTGTTTCTTTGAATCGTAAACTCATTGAGGCTTTGAACCATTTCTACAAAATTTCCTTCTTATTATAATTATTAATTCCATCTAGGGACCTATTTTTATAAGAACTCTCCTTAGTATTGTCTTATCACAGGACCTTATCAAAATTCACTATCAATTCCCAGTACTAGAATATAATATAACAGTTCCCTCTCTTTTATTCGTCAAAATTTTGTGTATGAATAAAAATTCATATATTCTCGATTTCCAATTTTTTATCACTCCCAAATTTTACAATTTATCAATAAAAATTGTGTCGATGACTCACAGTTTTGTTTTATGTTATTCATCTAACACAACCTTCTTCTCAGGAATGGATGGAGAGGAAAATATTCCGCTACAAGGTTGGGATGCTGAGAGAAATGTTGACGACGAAGAGCAAACCACGACAAAAAGCGGAAAACCTCTGTAAGTTTTTCTTTTCGAACAAAAAATAATTTTTTTAAAGATTAACTTTAAAATATTGTAATGAGCATTCGAGGCTTTATCGAAATGAGGCGGAAAATTCGACGACATTTTATTTTGATTATCTATCCGAGTAGGAGAATTTCAAATCAATTCAACATTTTTCAAAAAATAATTTTTTTAGGAATAAGAGTGTGGAAATTCTAAATTGGAACAAACTTCGCGACCTGAAGCTTGCCAACAAATGGGGAGTTTTGCGGCACCCATTTGTTCTAAACTACCTCAATCAAAAGCTTATTGATTGCGCATTATTCTATACATTCCATATTATAGGTTGGTTAAAGCTAATTTCAATGAAAAATCGCAAAGAAATGCATAGAAAAATATTCCAAAGATGGCCTTGAAAACAAACGGCCGCCGTTTTCTCAACCATAAATCGGCGGCCACGACCAGAAATTTGTATTTTCAATTCTCAAATTTCAGCATTTTTCCTATTCTTGCTACTTCTTTCGTGGCACATTTTCTCGCCGGCATTTTTCAAATCATGCATAGTAACCGTTTTCGTGGCAGCGTTTGCGATATCACAGGTGGATTTGGTCTATTTTCATTCGAAAATTAATTAAACAATTTTCAAGATTTTAAAAGCAACGTTAAAAGCGCGAGTGAGCCATCGAATTTCGGCATGGTTCGTTGTCGCTTTCATATTCAATATGCTCACCTATGCGGCAACTTTGGCCTATGTTTGGCTGCCAACCGTCTTCAAATATGACGACTATCACCAAGAAGTCAAACACATCATCCTCTGGTTTCTACCAATTGTCGCAATCATCTCAGCATGGATCAATTTCCTTTACATTTTAAGAAAATCGCCATTCGGTATTTATATTTTCATGATGACGCGAATACTCAAATCATTCGGACATGTAAGGGTCTCCTGGAAAAAAAATTCGAATTTATTTATTTTAGGTCGCCGCCATTTGGATTCCAACCTTGATCGCCTTCTCATTCGCATTTCATTTAATAATGAAGGATACTGGAATCAAGCCATGGTCTGGAATTGATCAGGTTATCACGCATAATTACGATTCTGTCTAATTACTTGGTAATTACTTCAGGCGACCGCGAATGCTACAATGATCACAAAATTGCTTGTAATTCTTCGAGCTGTTACGAAAACGTCCACTATGATGATTGGAGAAGTCGATGCCAATGACATTCTAGGTAATCAATTGATATCGAAGTTTGCAATAATTCAAAAATTATAGACACTAACCAATGGATTCCAAGCATTCTAGTGCTCGTCTTCGAAATTATCACTGTGATCCTTCTGATGAACCTGATGGTCTCGTTGGCAGTCGGAGATGTTACGGACCTCAAGAATACTGCCAGTGATAAGCTGCTGAAAATTAAAGTCAATTTTGTCATCGAAGCCCTTCAACTCAGCGAGCAATTTGAACGAAATTTGCACACGACCAAAACGGAAAACATACTAGTAATCCAGGAAGATGGTCATTATTTTACAACGACTGACGCATTCCCTAGTGGTGAACCTCGAGAATTATCTAGCGCTGCTTACCAGCTTTCATTGGCTGAACAACCAATACAACTGCATATTCGCACATTAACAGGACACTCGAAAACGGCGACTATTAGGAAATGCATTTTTGATTGTGTTGAATCACCGTTGTCGGGGATTCCGAAGATTCTCAGAAGAAAAAGCGCCAAATCCTATGAGGTTCTTGTTTAATATGGATATTTCGCTTATTATCTATTTAAAAATTTAGAATAGTGATGGGATTCTCCAGAAATGCGCAAAATGGCTTATTGGACTTGATTGGGCCGGATATCTCATCTTGTAATTCTTAACAACGATCTCAAAGATTATGAACCGATGCAAAGCTTAATATTATAATAAATAATAATGTAACGTGAATCAATAATTTGCTAGTTTTATTTCATTGCTGATATTTAAAAAAATTTCAATTTGCAGTGAAAATGACTAAAGGTATAGAAAATGAATACATGAATAGAGAATTAACTTCAGATTCGCATCCAACGTTTATGAAAACGGAGCATATTCTTTGGATGCACGTCGTGTTTTTCATTGTTTCGCTTATCCTTTTCGCAATTTGTCTTTACGCTTGTCTATTTGTCCGCTGGGTCTACAAAAGAAGGCTAATACAGAAATCGGAAGGAATGATTGATAGATATCAAAAAGAAGAGCAAATTAAACGGGATATTGAAATTGCACGAAGGAAAAAAGAGTTGTTGCGTAGGAAAACAAATCAGAATTTCAGAAATATATAAAAACAATTAATTTTAGCACCAACTGTCAAGAAATCCGTACGCGACATGTTCCAAGAGGTAACTTTAAAAAGTGGTGGAGCTTGTTTCACAAAAAACACCGCACGCTTAATTGCAACGAATCCGCGCAGTCAAATTATTCAATTTCGGAAAAAAACCCTTTCAATAAAATCTAGTTTTAACCGGATTTGCCTTTGAGTTTTCTCAAAATGTGCATAGCAACATTATTTTTTGTTTGTTATAAGCTTGGGGAAACTTATATTATAATATTTATCTGAATGGTTAGCAAAACAATAATAGACACTTTATAATCAGTAAGCCAACAAGTAAAAAGACGATCAAGCTTCCTGCGTGCAACAATAATAGGATAAATGAAAAACATTACGATCAAACAGTAAAAAAACACTAAAACCAGCCGCCTAAAATGAGATCAAAAGAGACATGTTAAATATTCAACCAAATTGTGCGCGCGCGCCTACGGTATGTGTGTAATATACACTGAGTGCTTACCGTAGGGTGATAAAGCGAGATTACGTGTAACATTACTATTTTTTCGAGTTTTAGGCTCCATCGTCCCGGCGAGCCATCGAATTCATAAAAAATCAGGAAGCGTGCATCCCTCCTCCAGTTTACAAGCAAGTTGACGAAAATGCAGCAATCCAACAATCAGTGGCCAATTATCCGCCGCCACCGCCTTCAATTCCCATGCCGGCACCACCTCCAATTCATCCAGACCAACAAACAACGTCGATGCAAACGTCGATGTCTGCAACTCCAAAGGATGCTGAAAAAAGAGACTCGCCGAAAATTTCTAACCACCATCATCAGCATCATCAAAAACGATCTCCGAAAATGGTATATAAGTGATTTTCGAAAAAAAAATAAAGATTGTTCAAATTTTAGGTGACAAAAATGACACAAACTGAAAGCGATAGTCCTTCAATGGACAGTACTCCGATTGGTGAGTCAACCACAACCGGAAACCGAAATTCGGGAGAGACGATAAGCATGGATGATGAGGATGAAGTGATATCGGTTTATTCTCAAGGCACCGCTAGTGACAAATCATTAACGGTGCCGCTGAAGGCGTCAAATTCGAATCCACCGCTGTTGCCAGAACCATCTAAAAAGCATGGGTCGAGTCCGAAAATGCATACAGTGTCATTGCGTGAGAATACTTGTTAAATAATTAAAATTAAAAAAATATTATTTTAGCATCTCAATTGGGAAGCGACAAACTTCTTGTAGCGAAACCGGAATACTATTTTCCGTACTATGTTGAAAAAGAAGTCACTCACAGCAAAATCCACACGTCAAAGGTTTCGCCAGTATTCATTAATAATTCACAAATTGAAAAAAATGTTGTATTCAGAATGATTCAAATTCGTTCGAGGACCCGATAATTGCAAAGTATGGCGGCAAACACCAGCGCTCCAGAAAATTGTACCGCAAATAGTTTTTTTCTTGTTATTTTCATTTTTAATTATCTATTGTTTCATAAAATGACCCAGACGTTTTTATAAATAAAAAAGAAGAAACTGCTCGTTTGGTTGTTTGGTCAGGTGATGAAAAAAAATGTGAGAAGTGTTGATTAATTGTGTCAAATGGTGCGATACACTGGACGGATCGATGAGGTGCCGACAAATGTGCCAAGGCGTGTTTTGTCCCGCGTTCCCAAGCCAGTCGCCATTAGTTGGTGTGACCCGAATGTTGTCAAAGCCTGCTCTACTACTAGTGCTTCTGGTTCTGCTCGCACTTCCATGCTCGGCGCGATATCTGAAAGGCCCTGGCGCCGGCCTTCCTGTTGTTCTAGTGCCAGGTGACGGCGGAAGTCAGCTGGAAGCGAATCTCACTGGAAAACCATCGACGGTGCACTACGTTTGCTCGAAAACAACAACGACATGGTCAGATTTGAAATATATGATTTTATTTTGCATTCCGAATTTCAGGTTTGATTTATGGCTCAATCTGGAGCTTTTTATCCCGACTGTAATCGACTGCTGGGCTGATAATATGCAGTAAGTTGATTTTTGAAATTGTTTCAGACGACCAAAATCATTTTTCATAGATTGGTGTTCAACACAACAACCGGCCTATCCGACAATATGCCGGGCGTCGACATTCGGGTTCCAGGACTTGGCTCGACTAGTTCCATCGAATGGCTTGATAAGAGCAAAGCATCGCAGGGTAGATATTTCACCGACATCGTTGAAAGTCTTGTGACAATGGGATACAGCCGAGGCAAGGATGTCGTTGGAGCGCCGTTTGATTGGAGGCGGTCGCCAAGTAATCAAGAAATTAGCATTCTCAATTAACTACTTGTTATTTCAGATGAGCTTAGCTACTTCTACATCCAACTGAAGACAATTATCGAGACGACCTATAGGTGGAACGGCAATAAGAAGGTTGTCCTATTGGGACACAGCATGGGCAATCCAGTGACATTATACTTTCTTCACAATTACGTCGACCAAGCATGGAAGGACAAGTTCGTTGCGAGTTTTGTTTCGCTTGCAGCACCGTGGGGAGGATCCATGCAAATTGTAAAACTATTCGCGTCGGGATATAATATGAATTACTATCGAGTAATTTTACCGCCAAGTGCTCTTCGTGGAATGCAACGGTTCGAAATGAATTGACTCATCATTTAAATATTATCAATTGATTAAGTTCCTTCACCTCGTCAGCTTTTCTGTTTCCCAATTCCGCTGCGTGGGCTCCCGATGAGATTCTCGCGTCAACCGAAGATAAAAATTACACAGTACGTTATTCTTTTATGGAAATTCGAAAATTTGATTGATTACGATGTCTAGCTCTCCAATGTTCAAGAATTCTTCAAGGACATTAATTATCCAGTTGGATGGGAACAGTATAAGGCAGCGGGAACCTTAAATGGTAATGTAACGGCTCCCGGAGTTGCAGTTCATTGTGTCTATGGGACAGGAGTCCCCACACCAGAGACTTTCCACTGGACCAAAGGGTATTTTATTAAAGCTACCATTTTTTTTAGTACCTATTATTTATTTATAGCTATTTTCCGGACTATCAACCAGTTGAGGTAAACGGTGATGGGGACGGGACTGTTAACAAGCGATCTGCTCATGTGTGCAACAATTGGAAAGGCAATAACGACGGAAAACCGGTGACCGTCCACGAGGTCTTCCAAGCAGATCATATGACAATTCTAAAGGATCCGAAAGCGTTGGAAATAATCAGACAAGCGATTTATCAAGAGATTTAATAAACAATGAAAGTTCAGTGACTCATACTATTTGACTTGACTCATGAGATTCCTGTAGTTTTCTTTTAGTGTTCAATTTTCCACCTTCCCCAATACTGATGGGTAAGAAGCTGCATGGGGGGGGTGGGAATTGGGGGAAATGTTATTACTGAACGAATTTTTGAGCGGATCCGCCGAAGGAGTCCACTGTAACGTTAAACGAATATCCATAGTAGGCCAAATTATATATATATATGATTAGTCTCCGTTAGTTTAATGAAAACCTCTTAAATCCCTTTTTCTCGGTCAACTGTAGGTATGTCTCAAAAGAGGCAACATATTTATTCTCATGGGTTTCAACAGAAATGCTTTAGTTAAATTATTGGTTCGAAAAGTGGGTCCTCTACAAGTCTCTTATGGGTCAACTGGTTTATTCTTAGGGCGGTCAACAAAAATGCTTCAGTTATTCGCTATAATGACTATCGTTACTTTTTTCATTGTGCAAGTTGCTGCTTTGAGCAGAGCCTGTTTAAAGATTATCAATTTGAATTAAACGCGTATATACATATTCAGCAAATCAGGATTATTTGAAAACGGTGTTTTTAATAGATATAATTTAAACAGTCCACTTTGTTCAGAACAATAGACTCCGTCTATTGACAGCGCAACTGGCGGGAGATGGGACCAACATTCATTCCACTCTTCTGTTTCCTGTGGAAATAGGTCGGCACCCACTATCATATTCATGTCTTATTCTATGGCTTTACGAGAAGATAGTGGAAGCGGGGGCTGTGAGTTAATATTAGGAACCATAGTAACCCCCTCCCCGACAGTATACAATGATTCAACTTTGCGTTTTGATCAAAAATTGTAGAGTAACAGTAATTCCTAATTTGAAATGACGAGTCTCAAAAGAATGAAAAAGCCACTTTTTCGCGAACCTTCCAGTCGAACCAATAATTTAACTAAAGAATTTCTGTCGAATCCCATAAGAATCTATCTGTTGCAACCTTTAAGACATACCTTCAGTTGACCCCAAAGAGGCACTTACCTCTAATGCACATGACCACCAAGAGTATGTTGTAAATCCCGGGAATATCGGCCTTAAAGATTCTATCCTGATTTTTGAGTTTCTTTAAAATTAAATTTTTTCGTACACGTGTACACATTAAATTCTGCAATTTAAATTATTTATACTTTAATGCAATTAAATAATTCGATATATACAAACTAGATTTCGAAGAACTGGTTCAAAAGTAACTGAATAAATATAAAAATTGCCACCGTAGACATAAAATTTAAAGGCAACTGTTTGTTTTTTGACTATAAAATTGTTTTTTTTTTTATTATTTTTTGAAATATATAGATATATAATATATATGCGACATAAGTGAACCGTAATCTTCAATCAAACAGCACATGACGATTATAATATATAATAAATGCTAAATTATTTTATCTAGTCTTCTGAGCTAACATCACTTTGTTGATGAAATTGACCACTGCCGAACCGGGCTGCTCGGGTTCAAGCTCAGCAAACACGTGGCAAGCGTTCTCCGACGACGACGGAATTCTTGAGACGAACGCGAACATTCGAGCTTGCGGAATACAGCCGTCGCTAAAACCGAGGGCCCTGGTGTTGTCAAACCTAGGCAAAAAAAAATCAACAACTCTTATTTATTTCAGAACGTCGAATACCTTCTGTCTATCGGATCCATTCCGGCGAATATCACATTTTGCACGTTGAAATGACGTCGGAAGAACACTTTTCTCGTGTTGTCGGTGAGTGTGACACCTTGAGAAGACACCTAGAAAAAGATGAATGTCCGTTACGAATATCACATTGGACCAACCTTAAAGTGAACCGACACCGCTCGGCTTTCATCGTTGGACGCGCGTTGAGAACACGTTGTGATGCTTCGCTTCACACATTCGGGTCCGGTTAGCGATTCGACATCAACACTGCCGACGTAGATCACATTGCACGCTAACAAAGAGGTTGAGTTAGATAATTTTGAACGAGCTAATAGTATTATAATTATTATTATTACCTGCACCCTGCTTGAGGAGCGCCTGTGTCGCCGACACATGTTCGGGGGTCGCGGCCGGATCGTAATCGGGAAGGACAAGCTTTGTCGGAAGGGCGAGAGCAGTGATCGAATGTTGATAAACCAACGCCGATAGTGATCCAAATACAGGCTAAAATAAGGTTGGCATTTTCCGGGATATCAAAAAGTCTACCTCATTGTTGCATCCCTTTAATTTGACGCCTTTCGGCGACGGCTCGATAAGGAAATGTCGCACCAATTCGGTGCCATCGCCTAAAATTGATGCAAATTTCGAGTGTCACGCGTGTTTGTCGACAAAAATTACCGGGTGTCACACCGGGTGGCGGTGTGGCCACTTTCAGCGCCAATCCGAACGCGCCCGGAAACGAGTTCGAGTCGCGAACCACAAAAGTTCCCGGCATTTTGTCGCGAAGCATATTGATGGCTGAAACATTTCATTTTGTCCTTTTTTTGATTATATTTCCAACACATTTCTACATCCCCCAGGTCTCGTGTCATTGGCAAATAATAGTGTAATGCGCCGCCGCTCGCTTTTATCGTTTCGTTCGGTTTGTCAAAATGCCTATCAAATTGCCGAAGTGCCCCCCCCCCCTCCTTCTCCCGGCCCTCAACCCGCGTTCTCCCGCTGCGAGGATTATGCGTGGTCGCGGGTGGATAAGATGCGAGAAACCACTATTGTAATGCAAAATGCTCGCCGACGAAGCGTAACGCCATCAACTCGTTTATTGATTATTCGAGAATCTTTTGCGAAATACGCGCGTGTGCGCGCCTAGTAGATTTTCAAATTCTCAGGAGAGCAACACACACACATACAAGCCGAAACTAAAAAAAAAACAACGCATGGATGAGACGAGATCTGGTGCGCAAAGTGAAGCGACAAAAAGAAAATGTTGAAGAAGAGGCGAGCATTAAAATGAAGAAGAAAAAAAATAGAAGAAACTAACCTTGTTCTCGCGAAATTGTTGGCTTGTACCAATATTTCGATGTATCCTTCACGAACAGCGGATGATGGTGTATGATTTCAGATGGGTCTGAAAATCGCAAATTATTGGAGAATCACTTTTGAAATTGCTTCCAACAACAACAAAGAATTCTCAATTTTTTCTCATTTACCGTTATTTTTACACGATTTTTTCAAGATCCCTATCGGCTCTTTTTCGACCATCAACTTTTGCCTCGGCACTTTTCCATCCTCATCGATATCCATGTCATCTTCGACGAGAACCTCGTCAAAATTTTCAATCGTCTCTTTCGAAGACGACGTCGCGTCGACGAGCTCCTTCTCTTCGGCTTCCGACAAATCCGAGCTCTCTTCCGACGACGCCAACGAGACGTCGGAGCGTTTCGCCGCGCTTATACTAGTGGTGGCAGTGATTGTCGAATCGCGTGTTGCATTGTTGCGAAAATGAAGATCGACGCTGGTCGAGGCGACGACTTCATCCGGATTTGAGGATGACATCGAAGAGAGAGAAGGGGGGGGGGAGTTCAAATCAGCGATAAACAATATTAGTTGGCTGAAAAAAAAGGAGAGGCACGAAGTTGTACTATGATACAATGACAAAGCGAAAAAATGTATAAGAAGAACGAGGAGGAGGGGAAAGAAGACGAAGAAGAAGAGAAGGCGACGACCAGGCGAACGAGAGCTGTCTCTGCGCCTCTCTGTCTCATCGATTAAGCTCCACCCACTTTCGGCCAACCTACGTTTTATCATCATCATCATCATTAACCCAAAACTCAGATCTCCGGAATACATATTGGACAAAACCATCGCAAAGCAAAAATAATATTTTTTTAAATTATATGTATGCATTCGACGATTAGCCGTTTTTCTAGAGAAGACCAACAAATCAGCGGCACGCCAACCAACCAAGAGATTTATGACATCGCTTTCGTCGACACACAACGCGTTTGCGCTGATTTTTCAAATTTATGAGTCTCAATTTGGTTTTTTTCGTCTTCCGTTCATTGTGAATTGATGTCAAGCAAATGCATTACTTGTGTAACAATTCATCAGTCGCATGAGACGCCCCGATCGACATTGAAATTAATTTTTGAGCGTGTGTGAACAGTTCTGTGTGTGTGTGTGTGTATTTTTTTTTCATTTTCCGTTTCTAATAATGCATGAACGCGCCTACCCATGCATAGTGTTTGGCAAATGTATTATGAATATCGGAACACCAAATATTTGTGCTACTCACCGACAGAATTAATTGACGAGTGCCGACTTAGCGTCGACGAGTTGTAATGTTGGGCATTGCGCGGCGACGATGATCTGAAATTCAGATGAAATTCATCACTCGATTTTTTGGGGGATTTGGATTTCCGAGAGAGAAAAAAGAAATCCAATTTTGGTTTGGAATTGAATTTGACCGGGAAATAAATCGCATTTAAGAATGCTCAAAGTATTCGTTGAATTTGTACCAATTTGTTTTTGAAAAAAATATGCTCCGATAATTAATATTAGAAAGGTTTTTTTTTAAATTATATTTTGAACTTTTTCCCTGCATTCCTTTGAATTAATTCAAATAATTTCGTATATGAGTTGGTTCCTAAAAAAAACGACTACCGTATTTTTTTAAAATATAAACACGAATCGCAACAGAAGCACAAGGTCTTGCCGCGAATAATTCTGGTAGCCGCAATTTCTTTGGACAACCACTATTTCGAAAAAGAAACTAGATTGATTAATGTGAAATGAAATGTGCGCAACATCCACTTCTATTGCTTAACTATGCAATTTTATGTGAAATGCATTTTCTTGAAATTCCGTGAGAGAAAAAAAGCGAGTCTACAAAACTTCGAGATGTTCAAAATTCAACCCAACATTTCATTTTGCTAGGCAATTTTTTCGTTATCGCATTTTGCGTCTTATCAAAATGATGATAATGCAATGAGACACTAACCGATGATTAAGTGTGCCTGTCGAATAGCCATTGCTTCCATTATTATTATTATTATAGAGTAGAGGGTGGAATGGAAGCGGTGTTGATCTTGAGACGGGAAACGATGGAGTTGCAGCGCGCTCGAGAACGGCACTCTAAAATCGTTCATTGAACATGATGGGTCATCAAACGAGGGAGGGAGGGGCAACCAAAAAAGAAAGGACCACCAACATTTTCGGGAAAATATCGTCCCGGCGTTTCGGCTCTGTTCAGCGTTCCGCTAGCGTAAATGTCGCGATGCGGCGTCTCAGCGCGACAAATCGCCGCTGCCACACGCTCTTGGCCCGAATTAAAGCGCGCCGGCAAATCTTGATGCGACGCGTAATAGGCGTCCTGAATGCGTGCGCCACGCGACAGACTCCTTCCTCGCTCAATTGTCGACGTCTCATACGATGGCTGAAATCAATTTTTTGTCGTAGTTAAAGAAAATTTGAATTTCGGCCGCATTTATATGCTTAATTGCGCATTCAGATAGTTAGAAAATCCAAAAATAAAACTAGTTGTTTGTTTTGTCCATTCAAGACCCAAGGCGGCAACTCAAACGATAATTAAATAGCAGCTGATTACCGTGTAATTGAGCAATGAATTCACATCAACTTCATCGTCATTGTGCCGATGAGTTGCCGGAAGCGGAACCGATTGATTGTGCCGCTGACGATTGAGCTCATAGTTGGGTGTCATTCGATTGACCGGACTCGTACTCGACTCTCTCGGCGGCGGTGTCGGCGGCTTTCCACGCATCCGTCCGCGCCATCCATCATACGGGCTCCTAGTGTTCTTCAGACGCTCCTCCTCCTTTCGGAATTCGGCGAGAGGATCGATGAATTGCGTCGTCGTGTGCGATGTCGGCTCTTTAAGCTCGTTGAGCAAAATTTGCTCTTGTGTTCGACGCCGCGCGAGATCCGAATCAATGTCACGACGACTGCGCACCTTTTTCAGTTTGCCATTGAGCCACGAGTCGGCGACATTGTCGGATTCAGGTTGTCTGAAATACAAATCATTATATTCTTCTTCCAAATTCGTTCATGAGTAACACGAAACCTCTGGTTGTTGACTGATTGGCAGTTTCGTTGTCGATAATTCTGCCGATCGCCGTCCTCATTATCGCGGCCATAAACGTTTGTCGTCGAGCGCACGTCGCCGACCGAATACGCCGGCGACAATTTGTTGGTGGTGTTAAGGACGTCGTCGAGATCGCCAAACGTCGACGGATTCAATTTTTTTCGCGGCATCTGAACACTTCGGCTGCCGGCGTGCGGTTGTGTTTGAGCGGCGGGTTTCGTCGTGAAATTCAGATAGTAATCCGGATTGCACAAGTCATCCATATCACTGCTGAAAATTTCCAGGATCAAGCCTCCTTTTTTCTATTGTAGTGTCAATTTTGGAAAAAAAATCGGTTGAAATTATTTTTAATTATGTGAGACTTTCTCGTTTTGCCTAAATATTTGTAATACTTTAAAAAAAACCAAATTAAAAGACAATTGATCGGTGTGAAATGAATTTTCGTGCAAAATTATCATCAATGTGTATACAGATAATAGTTTTTTTTTAATGTACCGCTGAGAGACTCGGCACAAAAAAAAGCAACACATAAAAAATCTTTTGATATTCGAATATCAAAAATCGCAAAATGAAAGTATATAAAAAATCGATTATAGACTGGAAATAAGTTGGGTCTTGTCGGAAAAAGAGTTAAATTTTTTTTAATTATAGTTTTGAATACGATTATTCGGAAGAAACCTTGACTAAAAAAATTCTCACCAATACGCATCATCATTCAGCGTTCGATAGCTCCCAAAATTATTCCTCCGCTGCAGCGTTGATGTCGGTGTGACGACAGCTTTCTGCGCCTGCTCAATCACTTGCGGCTTCTCGTTATGAATATCATGAATAGTCGACGGAGCGCGTGCCAATTCTTCAAGAAGGGCCGCCTAGAAGAAAAAACAAAAACAAAACAATAAAGAGAACATTTTTGATTGACGATTCATTGGATTGTCTACTACTACTAACTTGCTTCGCTTCCTCGACTTGTTCGTCCCACTTTGGCGGCTCCATATGCGATGGCGTGTAGCTTCGGGGAATCGCCACCTAAAAAAATTTGGACTCATTTCAAAATATCACAAAAATAATAATAACAACATACACTAGCGACTTCGTCTTGCGAAACGCGATCAACACTTTCCTCACGCCTCTCAATCGTTTTTGTAATCGACGACCTTCGGGGTCTTTCAAATGCTTCTTGCACCGATTTTGCCGGCACATATGAGAAACAGCGAGAGGCACGATCATATCTGAACATTCAATTAAATCCTATTTGAGCGTATCACATGCATTTACCGGTCTTGTCCAACTAGATCGGGCTCGATGCTTGGTGTTGCGCGACCCTCAAACTCTTTTTTCTTGTTGATTTTTTCGCGGATTTGCGCCGGTAGAATTCCACGTCTATAATGTTATTCTTATTAATTAGAAATTGAATCAGTTCAATCCATTAAAATTTTTTGTGCAATTTCTTTCATTTTTGTGTTTGAAAAAAAGGAGGTCAAAATTTCAATAATGTAATTAAAAAATAGTTTTTAAAAATAATATTTATAAACTAAAAGTGAAATCTAGATTTGAAAAAATAAACAATGGCTAATTTTTTGTCATAAATTAATTTTTTTCTTATTCACATTTGATCTAGTTTCTTCTTATTTTCAAGAAAATGAAAAAATTAAATTTAGGCTTGAATTTTTCAAAGTTATTTTTGAAAAAAAATCGATAACTAATTGAATGATTTTTAAATTACATGAAAGTGTGCGTAAAATTGTTTTTTCATTGAAAAAAAATAAAAATTTTAAAACTAAATTAATTGGTATGAAATAAAATGTGTGCAATATTGCGTCTGTGTGTAAGCGGACAAAAACGTGAAACCAGTGCTTCCCAAAAAATTTCACCGTCTGTAAAACACATGAGCGTAAAATTGCACCCTTTTAAAAAACATTTTTTTTAAATTGCACACTCTTAAAAAACATTAAAAATCGATTTAATACTTAGAAAAAATTTTATGTGAAAACTTTCTAAAAAATTTATGAAAACTCTTATTTTTAAACATTTTTTGCATCGCCTAATAAAAGAAAAATCTTTTTCAATTCGCAGATCTCGCCTATTATAAAAATTTTGAAAATTGGCGCGCAATTCAAAAAAGGAAACGCAAAATTTTTCAATTTCTTTAAATAGAATTTCCCATAAAAGACAAAATCCAAACCTTTCGGGAATTTCAAAATCGATTCGCTCGCCATTCATGATCGGCGTTGACGGCTTCGGCGGTACTGGCGGTGGAGCAGGCATTTTCTAAAAAGAAAATTCAAATTTTAATAGACGTTTTTTAAAAAAATAAAATAATAATAATTCCACTAACCTCTGCGTCGGCAATTTTTCTTCCACTATTTCGATTCTTTCGAATTTCACTATATTCAACTTCAACGTTCGATCGATTCTCGTGTTCGTCTGCAACATTTTTTTGCGTCGATTCAAAAATTCGCCAAAAATAAATCGAGGAACACAATATTTTCTTCTTGGTGCATAATCCACTTCTCACGACAGAAAAAAAGAATTGGCAACGACCGAGAAAAGAAAAAGACACGACGACGACGAAGAAGCGGAATAAAAAAAGTAGCAAGAATGAAGTTTTCCGGTTGGATTCTCGTATTTCCTTGAGTTTGCGCCGCCTACTGGAGATAATAGGTAAATATTGTGGTGTCGAGTTTAAGCGAAGCAAAAAATCATGGATGACAGATGGTGGGTGGCTTCATGAAGGTGTCAAAGAAGCAATGAAGCGGCGGGGTGGGAGGGCAATCATCAGAAATCTGGCAGCCGTTTGGATTCGGATAGCACAACGCAATCAATTCCATCGAGTTGGACGGAGGGTTTTTGTTTTTCGTCCCGATCCTGCCCCCCCCCCCCGCCGCCACCGCCATCGTGTAGTAGCTCGTCGGGGGATACAAGGACACAAAATTTCGTGTCGATTCAAACGTCGATCACTGAAGACGCAGAAGTTGAGCGAGACGCGCAGGGCATCGTGAGGGGGCGGGAGCGGGAGGCGAATCGATCGGCTCCATTCCTCCTCCCGACGATAACGTTTCGACGGGGAGAGGAAGAGACGGGTCGGTTGTGTGTAAAATAGAGCCACGACAAATGTCTATAACGTATTAGAAATCATCGAGGAGGTGGGAGGAAATGGGGGATCAATATTCGAACGATGAACAATGGATCGGATCAAGATTGAAATTGAAATCCATGAAAGTCTCAAACACGAGTTCTTTTTTTGCTATTAGTCTGGGTTTCTGGAATCTCAACTGATTTTCAGCGTACTAGATCGTAGCAAAATAAATTCACTTTTTTGTTTAACCCGGTTTTTAACTGTTAGAAATTTGAAAGGTCCTCAATTTTTTTAAATATTAATTTTCTTCAAAAAGGTTACTTTAATAAATTGATTTTTTCCAAAAAAAATAAGTGCGTTGAGCATTGATTGTTGCTATTTTGATTAAATTTTTTTGTGTTTTTTAACGCACCAAAAAAAAACAAAATCAATGGGATTTTAAAACAGATTCTGTAGATCATGCAGCTTATTTTTTTCTCGATAAGTTAATAATAAACAAATCACCTTGAGCGCAATCGAAACGTTCATAACTATTATTTCTCGGCAGCAATGTGACAATTGTTTGGGCAGCTGCTGACGCGAAACTCACTGGCGGAACATCGTAGGTTAGGAATAATTCAAGAGCCGCGGAATTGCTCACCTTTTTGTCTGAAATTCGCTCAACTCAGTGAAAATTGCATACAAAAAATTTTTTTAATACCATTGAACACCAAATCGAGATCCTCTTTGTGCAGCTTCAGAGAATGACAATTGCGATCGGTTTCGGGCAGAAAATTCAAATCAATCGAGCACGTGTTGATTTGGCAAGTGAATAGGCAACGCGAACGAGATGCGGGTCTAAAATGCAAAGATAGGTGGTTCGAGTCAACTCAAAAGAGGGCCCTTGAGGGCCAATATGAATAATTCTCGACAACTCACGAGGAGGCCGCTATTATACACTTGATGAAGACATCGCCGCGAAGTTTCACACAATGCTCAATGTCGAAATATGATGTCTCTTTAAGAATACTGCAAAACACATTTTTTGTTGTTGCTTTCCACATTGCCCATTTTTGCCTACGCTGGAATCGTTTGATAGACCGGCGACAATCGTTCATAGATTTTCACATAGACTTGCTGATCGCCGAAATGCGAGATGCCGATTTTTTTCAGGTACATTGCTTGCGTGTTCACGGCGATTCGTCCCGACAGCAACGACGTGAAATAGCCGATGTATCGTTTGTAGCTCGGCAGGCATTCGGAGGATGTGAGGTATTTCTCGGAGAATTTTTGCATACTGAATCGGTCTTCGAGTAAATCGTCGCTGAAACAAAATCGACTCATTTATGGTTTTCAAAAAAAAACTAAACATTGCCGATATCGCATTGTATCGCATGAGGGCGTCAACGACGATGGCCGCTCTTTCCAATCGACCCTGAAATCGCGCATTTCCGAAATTGATAGAATTGTTTGAAGCTCCTTGTACTCTGGCGCCTTGCGGCTTGCGCGCGGTCTCCACGCGAACCGCACCGCGATCGTATTTTTTTTACAAAAACTAATCTTAAAAAATATATACCTTGCAGAATATAACCGCCACGTTAAGTGGATGATCAACTAGGTACTGGTCGATTTGTTTGCAAATTGTGCACAATTTTTCGAGTTGCGGCGTTGTCCCGCCGGGCCATCCAAACGGAATTGCGTCAAATATCGCTTTAACATCGTTGCGCTTTTGAGACACGTTCCAAACCTTTGAAAAATCGAAAAGTTTTCACAAATTATAACAAGACAATTTTTTTATCATTTTCAAAAGAGTGTGCAACATCGCGTGCATGTGTTTTACGGACTCGTGCAATTTTTATTATTTTTTGTGGGGCGAAAAATCGAAATTCGACAGTTTGGAGTCGAATTCAACACAAAAAATATTTTTGCTGAGTAGTCAAACGAGGGGACCTCTTGAAGGGACCCGATGTTTGAAATAGCAAGTCACGGCTCGCCGCAACGTACCTGTGACCTAGAAAAATTGTCCTTCAAAAATTAGGTTCGGTCACTGCCACACTTGATATATGAATTAGTTAATTTTATAAATTAGAACTAAATGAATACGTTTTAATTTTAAATAAACCAGGCGACCCTAGGCAACACCCCCCCCCCCCGATAGGTTTTGCAAAACGAAAAACGATTCAAGGTTGGGAATTTGAATTAGAGTGTCAAATTGCTAGTAATTGTCGTTCACATGTTCTTACTGATCTCATGCCACCATATATGAAAATAAAGCTTTTCTAGCACCCCACTAAGAACCAGCAATAATTGATTGCAATAAAAACTTACCCTAAAGTGTTTGTATTCGCTTTTAAGCTTTTGCGCACACACAGCGAGACTTTCGAAGAAACATTTATCACTGGTTTCATCATCACATAATAAAACTAAAATTGAGGAAGCATTGGTAAAAAATGTACAAAAAGTCACTTACCAATTAGACGCGATGTTAAATTCTCAATTCGGACCCCTTCTAATCGATTGCACATCGCTTTCTTCTAAAATTGGGCATTTCATTAAAAACGAGTGATATTGAAAATAAAATGTCGCGAATTCGTCGCAATTTGTTATCTGAACAAAATTTTGGAGGAAAAAAGACAAACAGAATGCGCGAAACTGGTCGATGCTGACACATTTATCTTTTTTTTTCTCCTTTCAACAAAATTTAGACGCCTACTACCACAATCACTACGACTTCTTTCGTTTCGAAAATTTTCTATTTTTTTTTGTTCCATTTTATTTGTTTTCTTTTCTTTTTAAAAGAAATTTTAAATGAAAACGGGACAAATGAAATTTAGGCTCGAATTGTTTTGGCAACGTTTTATTTAGGAAAAAAATCAATAATTAATTTTAAAATGTTTTTAAACTGTTCAAATGTGCATAAAATCTCTTTTTCCTTTCATATTTTCCAAAAAACCCTTTCAAAAAATTTGATCGGTGTCAGTTTAAATGTGTGCAAAATTGCGTCGGCGAGTGAAAAGAAAAAAAGCGGAATTTATGAAACTTTTTCTCATCGTTCTTCAAAATAAGCAATTATAGTACGTTTCCAAAAAAAAACGTGCTCGCATTACTGCGTGATTTTTAATTAATTATCGATTTTTTTCAAAAATAAATTTGAAAAAACTTCAAAGTACTACGCGAACAATTCATCAAGCCTAAATTCCACTTTCCTTTATTTTTATTTTTCTTTAAACGCACCATTCTCAACGTCTCCTCGCTGATCGTGTAAACCTCATAGCCAACATCATTCGAGTACCTCGAATCCTGCAAAAACAGTCCCCCCGAATAATATTCATGGCAAAACTTTGTATTTTTTTTCTTTCTGCTGTTTAATTGTTTCAAGTCGTCGGTTGTTCTCTCTATTTGCAAAACAATCCTCATCGCCTGCCGCGCTATTTTCCGTTTTGAGCAAATTCTCGACAGCGAAGCCGGCTGGCGAAGATGAGTGCGCATCGGCTACCGACTATAGTGCATTATTATCAACCGGTCAATAATAAAACACTCGGCCTCTCTCTCTCTCTCTTTTTTTAGGAAAAGCACACCAAAATAAACTTGAATATTCAACACCTTTCGCTAGTTTTTTTTTATATGGGGACCCTAACACCTCAAAAAATAGCAAAAAAAATTCAACGACTCTTTAGTGCCGAATTGGAATTTTATGGTAACTATGCAAAATTTTGCAAAAGAAATGCAGGCTGAAAAAATTTCTAGACGGCGTCGTCTTGGTTTTCGAAGGCATTTAATTTAGTTGCCCTGCATGTCTTTTGCACCGACGTTTAATAATAATCATAGCACAATCTTACCGAATTTTTTCGCGATTTACAACAAAATGGTAAAGCCATAAATATAAAAATGATGATGTCCTTCGAAACAAAAAAAAACACCTATAATGAGTGAATTTTGAAAGCGACTATGAAGATAGGCGGAGTGTTCTTGCAATAGCGACGATCAGCCAGCAAGTGGACCGCCGGTTGAGAGGCGGATGATCAAACAGACACAACACAAACGCGCGGAGGAGACAATGAAGGGAATGTAGTAGAAGAATCTCAACGCGTCGGATTAAAAAAAAACTCACATACACGACAATTTCATAGTACATAGAGTATGAGGACGTTCCCCCCAATCTCCATAAATGGTTGTTTAACGCAAAACCGTTTTACTCGTATTTCATTTATTCGAAGTTTATTGTTTTTTTCTTTTCTTGATAGTCTACAGCTAATATTTTCAATATAAATTGCAAGTAAAAAAAATGTTGAGCGCTTCAAAAAATATTTTGTTTTTCTCGCTCGTTAATAATAGAAATTAAATTTTCCGCCAGGTTGAGCATTTGCGGAAAAAACCCCCAATTGGCAAATTCAGACAAAATCACTTAAAGTGGTTGAGATTGAAGCCACGTGGAATGTCGCGTAGGTTTCGGCGAAATCGATCGTCTATGTGGGAATAGATTAAAAAATACAAAAAAAAAACAATATCCATTAGTAATACCTAATGATGATTGGCTTAGCTGCAAACGTTCTCGACGCTTGCGATTTACACGAGCCATCGTCGGCGAATCGCGACCGGGATGGCGAGAATCGCACGTTGACCCTCGACGTTTCCGGCGATCTCACATACACCACATTGGCACGAAACATTCTATCGGCTGACTGCAATCGAATCAGTTGTTGGATCCGACCGATTTTGCTCACCTCAACGTCGCGTTTCGTTATATGACAATGCTGGGCATTGGTGCTCGCGAATCGCTCATCCTCGTTTGTTCTCAACTGTTCGAAGTTGATGGGCAACATTGAGGTGGGCCTCTTCTTGCAAACCGGTTGAAACGCCGATTTATGCTTCAAATATATCACAAATTTATGGGAAAACTGAAAAAAATGAACCTTTCTGTATACGTCATGATGAACTGGCAAATTTTCGATGCTGCAAGAAAAATGGCATTTGGGAAAAATGCGTTTCACTTACAGCAAACTTTTTCCGGAAGTATTATCAATCAAACTTTTCGGTCGAGTTAATTTCCTCGATCCCTGATGCGAGTTTCTCAATTGCAACTGAAAAATTACAATTAAAAACGATTTATTGAGGCAACAACAACAAAAAACCTCTGAGCTTGTGAATTCATTTCCGCTTTTGCGACCCTCCAACGATAATTTTTGAAACATTGTAAACGACACATTCGGGCTACTAAATCAATTTGAATTAAGTGAACGAAAAAACCAGATTCGATCAATCACCAATTTACGGCATATTGCGAATTCTCGGGCGTCATAAACATATCATCATCTTGCGATGGTGAAGAACTGCGGGTCGAAGTGATGGTCGTCTGAATATTATATTTCATCGAAATTGCTTTTTTGTGTATTGGGTATTTAGGTCGTTGATGAATTTAGAAGACGTCAAAAAACGAAACAGAATAGTTTTTTGCTAAAAAATTTTTCAGGAATAATCCGAATTTTCAAAATAATAGAAATTCTCGTTGAAAAATCATGGCAATAATAATTGTGGACCTATAGACCACGCCCATCAACGGAAAAGACTTATGGAGAAGGTCGCAAGAAGAGTAGAGCGGAATTCCGTATTTTCATGTTATTCCTTCCCTATAATTTGCGTCAAATCCAGTGTTTCGCCAAAATGCATTTCGACGCAGAATTGTCGATTACGACATTTTTTTAAATAGCAAATATACTTTGAATTAATTCCGCCTAACTCTTGGCGCAAGTCACCACCTACAATTTCGGTTGGGTATGATGATGTGCCCGAATTGATGGTTTCGCCACTAAGAATGCGCCACAACAGTTTATTGTAACGCTAAGCTTGGGTAATTGATCACGAATTTAACATACGAACAACGAAACGACAACGATTTCAAAATAAAGGAAAAATATTATATTAATATGACTTAATTGTAGTTGGTAAAAAAATTCTTCGCGAAGAAATTAAAAAAAAAAGAATTCGCGCCACTGGTGCGACTCGGCCACGGCCATACTTTATTCGGCCAGCCGATGTTGCCAAAAATGGGATCGGTATTTATTCATCTAATATTAAAAAAAAAATGGATCTTGAGGTTACCTGTTCCACCGAAGACACTCCAGAATCTGCCGAATGCGATGAAAATCGATCAATAAATGCGGATCGCGATTTTTTTTCTCTCGTTTGAACATCGCCAATGCTTCCAGGAATCAACGGAAGACGTGAACGCAAATTCTGAATGCGCACCTTATAGTGGGTGAAACGAATTTCAAAGCGAAACCTTGATCATTTGGGCGTGTTTGACTCGAAGCTCATCCAATTCCTGAAGGCCGTTTTTGCACGCCTCGAAGCGCGTTTTGAGGCGATCATCGCCTTTCAAACTTTTTCGAGGCGGCGGCGGTTCAGGCGGAGGAAGATACCTAAAATTGTGTCGAGTTAATTCGCCATGTCTTGCAAAAAAAAAATGAAACCAATCACCCTGATGGCCAATCGACCGTCGTCGGCATTTCGTCGAACCAAAAAATCACGCTGAAAATCAATTAGATATTCAACTCTCGAAGTTATGCAAAACGCGTTAATAAAATTGAGAAATATAATTGATAATCATTTAAATTAGCCCCTGAAATTGGCCCACGAAGCGAGAACAATGGAAATATGCGCGCGCGCGCATATGATGGTATCTTCTTCCGAAAAAGGCGGGCAGTTATCTCGTCAAAACGATGAAGACGAACAAGAAAGGCTATCTTCGTCTATTCTATATTATAACACATAAATAAATTCATTGATTGGAATAAATGCAAAATTTATACGATTGGCTAGCTTCGGCAGAATAACCCAATCGACCTATTCCGCTCATTGGCAAACAATTTAGTAATCTATGAGTAAATAATTAAACACACACAAACTTCTTTATTTGGTTAATTATTCAAACAGAATATTCCAAAAAAATTATAATAAATGAGAATAAGCGACAGACAATTTTTTTTTTCATTTCAAATAAATAGCTTCGGCGCTTCTCGATTCATCCCCACATCTCCTCGGTGCGTCCGAATTTGTAAACGCACGACGCCGCAAAAATGATGAAATTGGTGAGGAATAACGCGACGCCCGGCCACACCGGATGATCGCCTTGGCGGAGAACGTAGTCGGAAAACAGAACCCACGTCGCCGCCACCAACGACGAGAACGAGAGAACAAACGCCGCCATCAGCCAAAGGCGTGAACCTGCAAGTGTGAAAGCCTCATCGAATTGCCAATTCGATTAATCAAAATACCTCGGGTGCCAAGGAGGCCTTCATGAAGACTCTCACCTCGAACCTGACTGTTGGATATCGCGTTCACCATAAACATGGCGATCGTGCTCGCAACAGTGATTATGAAATAGACATTTGTCCAATCAGCCTGAAATTCATAATAATTCTCTTCCCCTTATTAGTATAGCCATTCATCGTTTGAACTGCCGCCGTGGGTCACACATGAAGGAAAAAAATGTTATGAGAAAATTCCATTAAAAATCGTTTCTTTTTCAATCATTCCTCTTTTCATTGACTAACTTTATCATAAACTGCAGCTGTATCAATCATCAACCACCAAGATGAAAAGAATAGAAACGCGGCAACGATGGAAGCGACGGCATTTCTAAAAAAAAAAGAAATGGGCTCATTGAAATTATTTTCATTATATTGAAAAAAAAAAGAATGCTGAAGAAATTTTTTTTGAAAAATTGCAATTTCTCAAATAATAAATCACACAAAAAAAAGGCGCGTGCAAAAATGGCATTTTCGCGTCAAAAAATAAATTATTCAAAATTGCACGTCTTCTCAACAACAGAATTTATTGGGAAAATGCTTTACCTGCGTCCTTCCAAATCGAATGTGCAATCGCATCGGATTTGATCAAGACATCCGGACATCTGAACAAGCTTCTTGAATATTCAACAAATTCCATTAAAAGATATGAGAAACGTGGAAAACATGGAAATCCAAGCAAAAATCAATAATTAATAGAATCATTTATCAAAAAAGAAAGAAAGAAAGATGAATACTAGAAGTTCTATAATAATAATAATAGGATTGACAGTCCTAATCACCGGAAGCCAACTACAGTAGGCAATAAACACAAACTATTGGTGAATGATGGAAAAAAGAACATCGACGTAGCTTCCCAGATAAAACAAGATTGTTGAACCCGCATGAAGACGTTGTCATAAAAGGCAAAACAGATGAGCAAATAATACAACAAAAAAATAATTCTATCGATTGCATCCCGAGCTTCCGCAGCATTTGTCTAGATCCAATTCGAGCAGCAAATCCTTCTCATCGCTGGTTTTCTTCTCTTTCGGCTAAATATTTTTCGAATATTATGATAAAAGATGAAAAAGTAACGAGAGAGTCGCCCAACCTGAACTCCATGAATGTTTTGAGACCTCCACAATTCTGCGTAGAGCCCATTTTTGGAAAGTAGATCAAAATGCGATCCTTTTTCAAGAACACGACCATTCTAATAAATCAATTTCAAATTTCGATTCTTCAATAACCGTTTACCTCTAATACATAAATTATGTCAGCATCGACAATCGTAGCCAATCGATGAGCAATAAAAAGTGTAGTGCTGCAAAATATATATTAAAAAAGTGGAACAATGAAGATTTTGGGTGAAAAACGCTGAAAATTTCAAACAAATTGCAAAAAAACTACATTTCAAATTTGATTAGTCTATAAAAAATGTGGAAAAATGAGGAAGAACAACTTTTTCTCGTTGTTATTTGTATACACACTGACGCAATTTTGCACATCTCACACCAAAATGTCCTTTTAAAATAATTTTTTTGAAGAAAAGTAAGGAAAAAAAATGTTTTCTAATTTTTCAAAATAAAAAATTTTCGATTTCATAAAAAATTCAAAACCAATTTCACGCGACTTTACTACTATTTTTTGAACCGCAAAAAACCAAAATCACCTTTTTTGGACGGCATTTTTCAGCGATTTCATAATATTCGATTCAGTGATGGCATCTAATGACGACGTCGCCTCATCATAAACGACAAGTGGCGAGCCCTGAAACATTGAAGTCAGCGATGCTCAAACACAATAGCGAAACTTTCAAAATGGCTCGCGCAATCGCAACGCGTTGCTTCTCACCGCCCGACAATTTCAGACCCCTCTCGCCGACAAGTGTATCATAGCCCTAAATCCAATCATTATTGCGAAATGCCGCATTAAGCCAATCATTCCCACATTCGGCATCCTTAACACCGAATCATGAAGATCCGCCATTTTCGCCGCATTCATCACTTCTTCTCTTGACGCCGACGGCCTTCCATACGCCAAATTATAATAAATTGTATCATGGAAAAGAACCGAGTCTTGCGGAACAATGCTGATGTTTTGCCGAAGGGAATTCAATGTCAAATCGCCAATGTTCTACAAAATTGGTCCGAAATTATTGAGTGTCGGCCTTCAAATCGCACAAACCTCTCCATTAATGTTAATTTTTCCGCTATCAGCGTCATACAAACGATAAAGCAGCCGGACAATTGTTGATTTTCTACAAAATAAAAAAAAATCAAAAATTTTTCCCATTTTCTACCCCGATCCACTTCCGCCAACAATCGCAACCTTCTTCCCATGCGGCACCTCAATCGTAAGCCCATTGAGAATCGGCTTCTCGTCGGAATAGCCAAAGAAAACATTGTCAAACTTAAATTCCCAAATTGTTCAACGTCAAACATCAATATCCATACTTTTATCGAAATATCGTTTCCGCTGATTTTCAATTCTTTGGCGTTGGGCGATTCGACAATTTTCGGTTGAAGTGTGAGAAGCGAGAACATTTGATTCATATCAACAAGTCCCTGTCGAACTTCGCGATAAACAGAACCTCAAAGATAATTTTTTGAATTATAGCTATATTTAAAAAAAACCTAAAAAGTTCAATGGGATCGATAACTGGAAAAGAAGAGTATTGGCCAATATCAAGTCTCCAACGGTCAATTCACCTGAAAAAAAATGTTATTGGAAAAAAAATGTGAAAATCAATCTAGTTATCTTTAATTACTATCATCGCTAAAAAACGAACACCTTGAGAAATTGTGGACCATCGTATTTCGTTTTTGCGTGGGCGGTATTTCAAATTTCGATTTAAAAACAGGGGGAATTTGGGTAACGTAATCCGTATAGCCAGTGAATTAAAACTCACCGTAAATCGACCCAGGGAGTTTTTTTTGCGCGCGCGATGTGCGCTTTCAACCTATCCTATGCGTAGGCTCATAAATCTACAATTTAAGTTTTGCGCCAAGACCACTGCCATGGTTTTATTTGGAATTTAGCCAATTTTCCGAACTCGCGCGATGACAACAATATTTTTTTTAGTTAGTTCCACGAAATCGCGTAGAATTGGGTCTCGCAACACGAGCGTCGATTTACGCGCGGGGATATTTACACCACATTATTGTGTAGGTTAATTATGTGTGTGGAGTACACCACGCGCATTTCGACAATATTAAACATTGTTTGAAATTATTATTATTATTATTCAATAATTACCGGCGGCAATTCGATTTCCAGCAAGGCACATCACTCCAATGAGGCCAGCCGAAAAAATTGCGTTCTGCGTGAAATTGAGAAGCGCCAATGATGACGTGGTTTTCAGTGAAGCGTCCTCATACTGGAAAAAAATTTGTGGTGTGAACATTTGATTTCAAAATTTCGCACCCACTTTTTTCAAGAAGAAATCATAGCGATCCGCTTCAAATTTTTCGTTATTGAAATACTGAAAAAAAGAAAAACACGAGAATTTTAATGTCAGCTTCGAGTGGGAATACTTTCACAGTTTCATAATTGATAAGCGAATCGACCGCCTTGTTTCCGGCGTCGTTGTCAGCCTGATTCATCTGATGTCGAAATTTCGTCCTCCATCTGTATGATTTCAAATTTTATTTAAAAATCTCTTTTTCTTTTTGGGAAATCAATCCTACTGTGTGATTCCAAGTGTCGCCACCGCGTACATTCCAATACTTCCCATGGTCATATAGGCGAACTCTGTGCCCAATGTTCCTGTGAACAACGCCGAAACCTGAAATCAGCTTCATCGTGAGAGGAGGGCACAAAAAACAAGAAACAAGGTGTCAAAATCGCTTACAATTCCAATCTCGAACGCGGTTGGAAGAAGATTGAATACTAATGATGATAATACAAAACTCATTCCGCGAGTTCCACGATCTAAACACGAATGAGGAAGAAATCTCAAAGCTCCCATTAAAACGCATACCAATAGCTTTCGATAAAGCGCCAGTTTGTCGATTCAAATGAAATGAAAGGTCGAGCGAATGTAAGTGAAGAAAAATCGATCGAGAAATACTTCTGACAGAATTTTGAGCGACTTTCGCAAATACCGCATTGCGCAGTTCATTGAAAGCCGATGAAGTAGTACGAGCGAGTCCGTCTTAAAACGATTACTCTTAATTCCTTCCATCCACTATTTTTAAAGCTTACAAGCAATAATAGTGCATATTCCAGCAGTGAATAGAGTTTGTGATGTCGTTCCATCAAATGTTAGCTTTAGAAATTCGGGAGCTTTTCCATTGTAGTAATTAACGATGTCACGCAGCAAAAATGGAACCGACACATTCGCTAGCTATTTTTTTTACATTTTTCAATATTTCCAACATTTTTTAATATTTACCTTTGCAGCCACCAATAATGAGAGGGCAACTAGAACCCTCCGACGAATCGCTGGCTGATTCTTGGGCCATACATATTTTATTAGCCTTTGTATTAGCTGAACCACTGACAATTTGCCCGACGCCTAGAAAAATCAGTAGCTCATTTCTGATATTGTCTCGCGTGATTTTTTTCGCAAGGCTTCGCCGACAATTTTTCACATACGATTCAATGTTCCCATACGAATCATCAATTTCCCATTTACTAAATTAATGGGGCTCGTATAAAAAGCGACGATGGCGAATCGGCGACATTCACATTTTATTACAATTCTATTTTTGTTTTATTATTTCGATACCTGTAGCGGCACTTGTGTGCTGGCTCCTGGATGAAAGCACGACCTTGTGATGATCTGCACAACTGAACGCTTCTGAAAATTGATTCGGTCCCTTGCAGAAATGAACTCGTCAATTGTATTCCTAATGGTTCTCGTCGCGTTCGTCACAGCGGAAACGTGTAAACTTGGCGAAAAACGACGAATCAAATCGGGAAGTTATTATGAGGAATGTGTGCCGAAATTCGATACTGCTGGTAGGTCCCAACGAAAAAAAAATGCCAAAAGTCATATTCAATTCTTTTTTTCACAGGTTGCTACGCGTCGTGGGAGAAGATCGAAAGCAAGCGCTTCATTGGAAATGGCGAAGAGATTGATAGAATGTATCGCTCAAATTCGGTTGGTTTCCGCTACAAGTGCGAAATGAACAACGGATTCATTTCGTTCTCGCCTATCGGTAATCCCGAAATTCCATTTGTTTCAAATAATTATTTTAAATATTCAGGCTGCGTGATCAATAAGAAAAAAGGAATGGAATTTTTGAAACTAAACGCCAGCGGCAAATTGGACAACGGGCAATCAGTGAAATGCAAACAAAATCACGCGGGAGAATTCAGTTTCGAATTTGGAGAAAACTAATTTGCCGAAAAGAAAGATTTTTTCAAGAATTAATAAATATGATTTTCTTACGTTATTATTTAATATTTTGCGCACGTTTGACGAAAAAAATGGCGATTTTGGAGGTAGAATCGAGAAGTTTCGAAGGTTTATCTGAAAAAAGAAGAGAAAATGAATAATATTAATAATAATGCGAATCGGTGGTGAAATTCTATTTAGGCTTACCGATAATCTTCCAGGAGCGGTAGATTTGATACTGGACAAAAGTCGGATATGCAGCATTTTCTGAAATTGTTTAAATGTCTATATATTTAAATGATTCACGCGTCTAAAAATATTTAACAAAAAAAAATAAATGCTATAAACGACGATTATAGCAATTTTTGGTCATAAATTGAGAAGAACCAACTGGCTTGAAAAATTCAGTTTTTAGATGAATTTCAATAATTTCGGAATTATTATAACTATAAAATGCAAAACAATCTAAAAATCGCAAATATTATTCACTAATAATGGCGCAATAAGGCCACAGCCAAAAACCGAAGAAAATTGATAATTTGCAAAAAAAGAGGTTGAGAGTACACAGCGACGACATTTTACAGACAGGGTACGGTGTTTTTTGATGTGTGCATTCGACTAGCGCAAACGTTACACAATTATTCTGGCCTATTTTTTCAATTTTACGATTCCTTTTTAGGTGTATTTTTATTAATATTAAATATTATCCGAGCCAGTTGGCTATTTCTCAACTGAGAATTTTTATATTAATCTTTTATTACCGAAAACTCCATGTAGAGTTGAAAATATAAGCTTAGGGTTTCGAAATATATTTTGGGTTGTTTTTGCTTTAATATTTCTATGATTACTATCTATTCTCATTTCAATGCGTTTTTATAGGTACTACAATGCGTCCATTATCATTAAAAGGACATGAACGTGCTTTAACTCGTGTGCGTTTCAATCGTGAAGGAGATTTATTGTTCACTTGTGCTAAAGATAAAAAACCATCTGTATGGTATACAGAAAACGGAGAAAGAATAGGAACTTACGATCAGCATAATGGAGCTGTGTGGGATATCGATGTTGCATGGGACACATCAAAATGCGTTACCGCTTCCGGAGATAACACCGTGAAGGTGTGTTTGATTAAATAATTAATAATATGAGATTTTCCACTTTTTTGCAGCTCTGGGATTGTGAGTATGGAACCTGTTTAACCACAGTCAATCATCAAACTCCCATGAAGTCGTGCGGTTTCTCGTATTCCGGCAACCTTATCGTCTACACAACCCAGAAAATGACTAAAAACCGTTCGACGGTTCAAGTGCGCGACACACGCGATAGTGCAATGATGAGCGAAGCAGTTGAACCAATATTTATTGCACATTTCGACATCAATGCCGGAACCGCTGTGTTCAACAAACTTGATGACGAGGTTCTTGAAATTCATCTTTGAGGTTAAGACGAAAACTTCCAGATTACAATCGGATTTGAGTCGGGTTTAATTTCCCAATACGACCTGAGAAACTCGGAGCGATCCAAAAATGATAATGAATCTGTTCACCGGGTATGTTGTGAAGATGCCGGATTCAATATTTTTTATTGCCTCTGCTTTCAGTATTCTATTCAAGATCTCCAACTCGCGCCGACTGGCGAGTTTTTGATTTCATCGTCTCGAGACAAAACCGCCGCCCTTCTCGATGTCAATGATCTCAAGAAATTAAAACAGTACAAGTAAGCCATTATACTTGAAGAAAATGATTAACAATAAATCATATTTTTGTATAGATCTGAAAGACCTGTTAATTCTGCGTGCATCTCACCGATCCGCGATCACATCTGCCTTGGAGGAGGAGAAGACGCGATGCAAGTCACACAGACATCCGTTTCAGCAGGACATTTTGAAGCTAAAATTTATCATATGGTCTTCGAAGAGGAATTCGCAAGATTTAAAGGTCATTTCGGTCCAATCAATACTATGGCTTGGCATCCTTCTGGAAATATTATTGCGACTGGAGGAGAGGACGGTATGAGCCCCATTAATAGTAATTTGAAAAAAAAAAACAACTTTTATTCAGGTTACGTGAGAATCCAAGAATTTGATGAAGATTACGCCGAATTCAAATACGATTTCTAAAAATTGAATTGACTAAATATTTACTTGAATTGTTTTCGTTCAATTTGGTTGTTGGGGACGTATTTTAATTGTTCCTGGTGTTAATAATTTAATTTTGGAGAAATAATATGATAGCGCAAGAAAGCCCAATGGGAAATCATCATTTTTTAACGAACATTTTGTTTTCCAACATTTGTTTCCGTTTTTTGAGCATCCAACTACGTATCATATTGTTTTTCAGTTGTTGTTTGAGTTCTCCTAATAAAAAAAGTTTAAAATTAAAAGTGTGTTCCAAATTTTGCTTCCGGGTCTTTTCAACCAATGAATATCGCTTAAAATATTAATAAATTGATGAAAGTTCGTTTTTAGATGCCTCACACCAACAACAAACAGGGTAAAAGAAAACAAAAATTCAAGCAAAAGTCGCGCTATGCTGAAAATTATGATTTTAAGTCGTTGAAGGTGTTGAAAGAGAGAAGGTAATTTAAAAATTAATTATTGTATTACCAAGAATATCGAAGGTCCTTTAAATTTTTGCCTCGAGACAAAAACACCCAACAAAGCTAGGTTATTCTCTTTGTTTCTTTGATCTCATTATTCATGCGCCTTTAAAAACATTTCTGGTGCTAATTTTGGGGAAAAAAACTCAAAAGACTTGGTTAAAGCGCAATTTAGAAAATTTGGGAAGTTTTCAGAGTTTTTTTTTGCAAAATTGTTTCCGGGTGGCTATAAAAATGCTAATTCTGTAATTTTTAGAAATGCGAAAAAACGAAAACAAAGCCTAAAGGAGAAAGAAGGCGAAATGTTGGAGAACATCGAAGAAAATTATAAGGAGCTAATGAAGGTTTGATTTTTTTTTAAATTTTGTTTGACAATTAAATTTCTAAAGAAAAGCACACAAACGTTTCTCACTTTTGACGATTTTCCATTGTCCTGGCGAACACTTGAAGGGCTAAAAGAGAACGACTACAAAAAGCCGACAGATATTCAAAGGGAGACGTTGTCACATGCATTGAACGGAAGCGATGTTGTTGGCGCAGCGAAGACGGGAAGTGGAAAAACATTGGCGTTCGTGATTCCCGTATGATTTTTTCCCGATTTGCCTCTTATCAATGATTATCACTCGTTATTAGGTACTGGAAGCGTTGTGGAGAGCGAAATGGTCTTCGACGTATGGATTAGGAGCTCTGGTGATTTCACCGACTCGCGAATTGGCTCTTCAAATTTTTGGCACCATCAACGCTGTTGGAAAACACCATGAGTTTTCATGCGGATTATTGATTGGAGGTGGGTTTTTGGAATGCGCCTTTAAACAAACAACAATGTTTTTCTTTTGGAATTTTACGACATTCTACAAAAATTTCTCTTTCCAGTTTTTGACTATTTTTTTTTCTATATTTGACATAACTTCATATAATAGATTTATAATAGCAAATTTCAGGAAACGATGTTTCGTTCGAGAAAAATCGAATTGCCGGTGTGAATATAATCGTGTGTACGCCTGGACGATTGCTTCAGCACATGGATGAAAATGAGCAGATGCAGTGTGATCAACTCCAAATTTTGGTATTAGATGAAGCTGATCGAATGCTTGATATGGGATTTGCGAGACAGGTTCTAAAAAACGCGTTTCTTTTTCCAAAATTTCCTGTGTGTTTCCAGTTGAATAGCATCGTTTTGAATTTGCCCAAAAATCGGCAAACGCTACTGTTTTCTGCCACTCAGACTCGAAATGTCAAGGATTTGTGTCGAGTTTGCACCCAGGTAGAATCTCGAATGTGAATGAGCCTATCATTTTCTTTTTCGTTCAAACAGAATCCAGTGTATGTGTCGGTTCACGAGAACTCGATGACGTCGACGCCGGAAAATTTGAAGCAGATGTACGCGTTGATCGACGAGCACGAGAAGCTCAACAATTTGTGGTCGTTCATCGAGACGTTTCGAAAAAAGAAGATCCTCGTGTTCGTCGCCACGTGCAAACAAGCGCGATTCATCACCGAAGCGTTTTGCGCTCTACGTCCCGGCGTGCCGGTGATGGGCCTCTGGGGCACTATGAATCAGACGAAGAGAATCGAGTCGTTCACGCGATTTGACGAATCGAAAGCGGCGGTGATGATTGCCACCGACGTCGCCTCGCGTGGACTCGATTTTGAGAATGTCGAATGGGTTGTGCAATTCGATTGTCCGGCGGAAATTGAGGATTATATTCACCGGTATGGGTTTTTTCGATTTCGGCAAGATTAGAAGGTCCTAACAAAAATTGTGTGCATTTCAATGTTACCTAATATAATTATTCTCGTTTGAAAAAAAAAACGAGCTTCACATTTTCAGAGTAGGAAGAAGCGCGAGAATGGAAGAAAAGGGAAATTCGCTTTTATTCATTACTCCGAGACAACACGATGAAATGATCTCATTATTGCAAAAATCGAATATTCCGATTGAAGAATCGAGGTTTGATCTGAAATTTAATCTAACCGATTTATGGCTTCACAGAATTGATCCGAATTCGATCAAGGATATTCGGGTTCAATTACGGGCTCTACTTGCTGAATCGAGCGATCTCAAGAAAAACGCGCAGAAGAGTGTTGTTGCCTACCTTCGATCGGTGCATTCAATGCGCAACAAAAAACTGTTCCATCTTTCCGCGATTAATTTGAAAGACTATTCGGATAGCTATGGATTAATCGCGGCGCCGAGGGTTCGATTTTTGGAAAAAGACGCAGTAGGCAAATTTTTGTAATTCTCAATTTGATTTTTTTTTCTCAGAAGCGCTCGAAACAGAAGGAAGCGAAAAATGAGGAAGACGAAAATGAGGATTCTGCTGGATTGTTTTCAATTAATGAAAACGACGATTATCTTTTTGCGAAAGCAAGTCCTTCGAAGAAAACGCCCAACGGCGACGACGACGACATCGCGAAAGAGACGGCTTCAACGACGAAGAAGGCGTTGACGAAAAAACTAGTGACCAAAGTGTCGATGGCAAAGAAAATTCTCAATAAGAAAATCAAAGTGAACTCGAAGAAAGTGTTTGACGATGATGAAGATGGCGGCGAGAAATCGACGATGTTATCAGAAGGATTGGATATTCAAAAAGCCAAAGAAGATATGAAGAATGTTGACAAGGTTTGAATTTTGAACAAGGAATCATGTAAATTGAAAAAAAAATTTTGAGGAGGATCGTAAGCGCTTCCGTGAACTTCGTGCCAAGAGGAGAGAGGAGAAGCTTGCGAAGAAGCGGAGGTAATTTGAAAGAATTTGAAATATTATTTGAATTTTCTTAAAAAATTTGAAGGAAAATGCAAACTGATGATGTGGAAATGGATTGTGGTGATGACGGCGATGAACCTGATCTCTCTTGGCTTCCCGATCCTGACAAGTTTAAAGATGATTCGGATTGTGATGAGGATGACAATAATACTGATAGTTTGGAGCAGAACGTCTTAAATATGTTGGAGCGTAGAAAATAGAAAATTCGGAGATTTTTGTATTATATTGTTATTGTTGTTGTTGCTTTTGTTGTTGGAGAAGTCAAGCTTTGGTTTTCGAATAAAAAAAATATTTTTGAGTTTTTTGTCATATTTATTTGAATAATACCGCGTTTAAGCGCGTTATTAATTATTTTAAAATATTCAAAATTTGAATTCTATACTTTTATTTAGAAATGGCACAATCTTATCTTCCTGTGGAAAAGTTTCTCTCGAGAAAACAGGAAACTTTAAATCTTCATGATGATGTAATTTATTGGAAGCGCATGCAGGTATGACATGAATTAGATTCGACAAAATTTGGCTCCAGAATCGGAAACTCATCGAAATGATTAGTTTCTTTGAGATATTCGATGCGTTTTGAGATAGCAGAACCCCTCAAAAAAAACATTTCCAGCAACTCACCGTATTCCAAGAGCCGTCGGTCGTTAGCTCTGTGCGCATTTCGCCAGTAAAACCATTCAATGTGGCTTCAACGAGTAGTGTTCGCCTCACTTTATACGACACTTCGATATGTGAGCCGCTCAATTTGTTTAGTAGGTTGGACGCTTGTAATCGTACTGAATAATTTCTATAATATATATTTTTTAAGATTTAAAAAAGCGGTCAGTTCAATCGATTTTCGGCATGATGGCCGACTGATAGCAATTGGTGGCGATGAGGGAAAATTGCGCGTATTTGATATTGAAAAGAATACATCATCAAAGGTTGTGAATTATTTCAAAGTTTGAAAAAAAATAATTGGTTTAGATTGCCCTTCGCGTTATGCAAGCTTCACAATCAACAGTAAAGAGTGTTCATTTCTCGACGAGTGGAGAATTTGTGTATTCAATGGCCGATGATGGATTTGTTAAACAGTATAGAGTTGCCGATACAAATTATGGGTACTATTTTAATTGTCCAAATTATGTGTTGAATTGGAAAATTCGATTTAGTGTAAATGCAGTGCCCACGATTGAGTTTCGAGCGCACGACGATTCGATTCGATGCGGCGCCGTATCAAAATTGAATGATCATATTGTGGTGACGGGCGGATACGATCACAAGGTGCTCATTATCATCATTAGTCGATATAAATTGATTGCATATAGGTGCGTGTTTGGGATATTCGCTCGAAACAGAACGTCGCCGAACTCGATTGCGAATATCCCGTCGAATCGGTGCTGTTTATGCCCGGCGAGCAGCTCATTTCGACGGCCGCCGGTCCAGTGGTCAAGTGAGAACTCGTTCGCGAGATTTCCCAATTTTTGAATTGTGTGCGTTTCAGAGTTTGGGATTTGACTGGTGGCGGACGCCAAATTGCCGCGCTTCAAGCGCACTACAAAACCGTCACCGCGCTTCGACTCGCGACCAACTCGACGTGCCTTTTGACGGCTGGAATCGACAAGCGTATCAACGTGTTCAAGACGACCAATTATTCGCTGCTACACTCATGGTCGATGCCGGCGCCGGTCCTTGATTTTGATATTTCCAAGGATGATAAGACGATGGCCATCGGAATGGGCAATTTGTTGGCGATTTATAAGCGAGCTGATATTAAAAAGGTATCAACCTGATCTAATCGGATCATAGCTTTTTTGTGGGACAAAGCTCTTCTTGTTTCTCGAGCTTTTATGGATTCACTTCAGGAAGTCACTGCGACTGCCGTCCATGAAAAGAAGCGCTCGCTGATTCGCACGTCGGCGCCGCCGACGAAGCTCGTCGAGCTGAATCAGAAATCGCGAAAAACTGAGGCGGTTGCGAAAAGCGCCGACAAAGTGAAACTGAATCGAATCGACGCGCTGTTCGCTGGCTATAAACATTCGGCGGTGATTCGGCAGCTATTCAACGGCAAATTTCAATCGTCGATCGACGCGAGTGTTGTCAGCTACTTGCGCGCCATCATTCTGAGAGACGCGATTCATCGAGCGATCGCCGGACAGGATTTGGTTGTACAGAAAAACTTGCTGCGATTTCTCAGCCACAATTTGTTCAAATCGCAATATTTTCCGGTTTTGAAAATTGTCGCCGAAGCGTATTTTGGTAACTCATTCGATGAAATTCTAATCAATTGTTTTTTTTTTCAGAAGTCTACTCGAATGAAGTGGAACGAGGGCGCCTATTTGAGCAAGTCAAATTTTTGAGGACGGCAATCGCTCGCGAGCTGGAAGTGCAGAAAATGATTTGCTCTCTAATCGGAAGTGTCGAGGTTATTTTGACTACGTCCAAAGCAAATGTGCAGGTGGTTACTATTCTAAACTATACGCATAATTATTACTTTTGTTATAGAATGATTCATCCAATGATTTGCTTTCTGGAGACGACATTTTTGGAGAACCGATAGTGATTGACAATGGATTTGAAGAAAAAGCGACGAATAATTTATGAGTTGTTGTCTGTTGCTTGTTTTCCGCATTGGAATGTTTGTTATATAATTGTTAAGTTTTTGTTGTTGATTTTGAAGATTTCCGAAAAAAAATTTTTCGAATTCCAAACGGTCTATTTTTCATAGATAATTTTGAATAGACGGTATTTCGCTCTATAAAATGGGTAACCTGATGAAATGTCGTCGACTGTGATGCTCTGATCTATTCGCCCTAGAGCTGATAGGAGAGGATATTTTCATGCACCAAGGAAGACGAAATAGTAAACGGGGACGGAATACCGGAAACAGAGAATGGTTTGAGCGAGATTCCTTGGCCTCAGCCGCCAAAGATTTTCTTATGATAAGAAAAAAATAACAGGGAAAAGCCGACGGCTGAAACTTGAGACAATTAGACCTGACCGTAGGACAACTAACATGGAAGCCAGACATAATTGAATGATGCGCAGAGATTAATGAGTTAGAATATTCAACAGCAAAATCCATCGGCTGCTTTTTGGCTAAAATGTAGATGAGGCACACCTTGTGAATAAACAAGATAAAATAAAAATACATGAAACAATTGAATAAAGTTTTCCAATTTTGCCATGAATAGCTCAATCCAAGAAAATCAAGTACGTCTAATCACTAAAATTAAAAAAATAATCTACTAGAATATTTTTTAAATATCTAATTCTGTGATTTTCTTAAATTGGTATTTAAATAGCGGCAATTTCTCATAGATTTCTGAAAAATTTCTAGAGTTTTAGTTGGGTTGGTATTTCCCAACAATTTGCCCAAGAATGTGGCACAATTCTTTAAACTTGGGGAATTAAAGTCAAATTAAAAACACAAACCATGATAATGATACATCTCAGTATTGCAATAATATAAATATCATAAATGGGCTAGATAATAACTAACAAAAAATAAGGAGCAAAACCAAAAATGCAACTGTGACTCGCAAAATTTGAATCTCTTCGCGCCACGGCAGGCCTAGGCCACGGCCACACCAAACTCGGCCAGCCGCTATTGAGATTGTATCCCAGCACTAGCAAACCTTTAGCAGCTTTTCAGCACTCTATTAAATTGTAAACCCAACCAGAATATTGCATTTTCAAGTTCTGAAATAGCCTTTTTCCCTATAGAAATTCCATAAGCCGCTCATTTTGATGAATATAGCATTTCTATACCTCTTTTAATGTTTTGTTTGAATATTCATGAGCCCCATTGTCAACTAGTTGATTCCAGTTTTGCTTTGCGCATATTTCGTCACCTCATTCTTTTTTATCACATGCACGGTTGTTAATAATTTAAATATTTAATTCTTATTATTGTGAAATAAATACATTTTTAAACAATTTCAATTTTCAACTTATTTCATTCCCTCTTCCTCTTTTTTAATCGTATTTTGTTTCTCACTAAACCGATGAAAATAAAGATTGACACGAAAATTCGTGTCAAGCCATTCAATTAAAATGTAATCAACAAAAAAAATCATTTGCCAAATTGTGCGAGTCGCGTTGGTATGGGTGATCCCGCAAGAGAGCATCTCGCTCGCCTCTTCCGCTGGCGTTTTGATATCTTTCACAACCTAGCAAAGTCGATAATAAGATGCAGGGGGGACGATGGCAGCCAGAAAAAAAAGTTTTTCCCGCCGCGGTCTCTTATCACAACTCTCTCTCTCTATCGCCGCCTCTCGGACCTCTCGATTTGAAATGCTCACCGCGAGCGGGCGGTTGGAGTCCGCAGCACGCTCGAGCTTCAATTGTTTGCTTCTCGGTTTTTTTCGCCTTTTTTTATGTTCTCTCTGCCTTTACCCTATGTCCATGTATGCTTTTCCTGAAAGAATCCCAACCAATAGCAAAAAAGAAAAATACATTTAGAGTGTATGTGTGTGTTGTGTGTGCGCGCGTGTGTGTGCGTCTCCAAGAGTGTAAGACAGCTCTTTTATTTCTCTGCCCTTTTTTGACCGGAAAAGTTCGCAACGTATAATTATATTAAATGCTCGAATGAGCCCATAATTAAACGTGTGAAACATTTAATACTAACTTCCAAAATTGTTTAATTACGCATAGATGACCTTTAAAAATGATTAATACTATCATTCTAATACCAAATTCCATGTGACATTCCAGTTTTCCCAAAGTCTCGTCATCGACAATTTCACTTTTTTCACATACATTCGCATAATCTCCCCCCTCTCTCACACAATTACTAAACATTTTTGGATATTGGCAATAATATGATTACAAATTCAATATATACATCGTTTCCGTTATATTTGCCGCGACACTTTTTTTTGTTTGTTGATGATATCAATTTGTATTTGCAATATCGCTTATTTAACATTATGGTAATGAATGCATAATGCTAAAGAACAAATATGGTTGTGCTCATATTTGATTATATCAATATTCAAACTCTGATGCTGATAAAATGCTTCGATCGGTGTCGCCTCGTTCATACTCGGAGTTTCAACAAAATTTTCGCCCTATTCTTTTTAAGGAAGTCCGTTGTCTGTTTGTTGCTCCATCATGAGAATGTCGAACACTGGTGGAACGCCTCGCAAGTTTAGCGAGAAAATTGCAATACTTGAACGAAAGCAGAATGAAGAGAATTCAACATTTGAGGATATCATGCGACAGGTGATACCATTTAAATTATTATATTCTCATCGAGTTCATTTTCGAATGCCAATGAAATGGCAAAAATTATTATTTGAAACGAAAACATAAGCTTATACATCCTTGGCGACCGCTTTCAATTCGTATTATTCGTAAATCTAGCCAATCGCCGGATGTCGACTATACATATTTGTCGGCGGCGGAATGGAAATGGATTGACGATTAAAAATGAATTATGAAATATTGAACTTTTTTCAATATTTGCAGGTTCGCTCAATAACCCACGAACCGAGCTCATCGTCGTCGTCGACAGCACCAATTCCGATACAGCAAATGTCGTCGCCAAGTAGTTTACAACCGCCTCAACCCTGGGGGAATCACCTCGGTGGATCATTGCCTAATGTCCATCAATTACCGTCGTATGAGCCGCCGCAATGGCCTCCCAACTGGCAGTATGACAATAGAAGCTTAATGGCTCATCGAAGTAGGTCGCCGGAATCGCAAAGTGTTAGCGGAAGTCCACATCATTATCATCCCTACGGAGCATATCGACCGAATCGGTCGCCTGACCGAGTGCCGCCGTTACACCCAAATTATGGTACGCATCATCAGCCTAGTAGCAACGGGTACAACACGCATGGGCATTTGATACCTCCCGACTCATGGAGCCAGTAGGTGTAGACGAAAATGATTTGAAACTGGATCGACTTGATTTTAGAATTAATCGAGCCAGATCAGATTCGGCAATTCATAATATGCATCCAGCATCAAACGTACCGTATGAATGGATTCCTGGCCCGGTACCATCGGCACAAATGCCGGTTCCGATGAAACATAACGTATCGCCTCAGCAGTCGCCAACTGAAAATCCAATGATGAATCCGAATTATAGGTATCGACGTGATTTTTTTAAACAAGATTTGAAATGGAAATATAATCTGTGATGCCAAAATTAAAAAAAATTATTTTCAAAAAAAATGGCCAAACCGTCCTCGGCCACCAAAACTCGGCCATGACTATTCGTTTCGCATTATGATTGCTAAAAATTTCAAAACTCGGCGCCGAAGCTTCGAGGCGGCAATTCAAAATGTTGACAATAAAATCTTGACTCGATTTTTATCATCAATTATAGATATGCGAATGGTTCTCCAATGCAATCGCCGATGGGATCGCCACATGCTTCAACGATGATGCTGGATAATTCAGGAACACCGGTGATGGAATTGAGTCCGCCAGGAATGCCCGATTATAGTATGAATGCGAAAACATTCGCAAAAGTAAGCGTTTATACGTCCAAAATTCATTTTTCAATTAAATTTGCAGCAGCCGAATGGAATGCCGAATGGCTACTACCATCCGCCGGTAGGGCCTCGTCATAGCACGGCCACGTGCGGACCACGATTGGCGCCCGGTCCCATCCTCACAACAGAATCGCAATCGGCTCCGACTTCTCCTCATAATCAGCTTGATCCGAACCAACAGCCGGCGTGGACCCAACGGTATTTTATTCATGCATTTAAAATCAAATAAAATTGTTTTAGAACATTTTCAAATTCGCCAGAAGCCTTATACATTCCGAAATTGGTTTTAACCGACGCCGAAGGCGAGCAGGGGCAGCAATTGGAATGCTATAATGAGCTACAGGTTATTTTTTGTCCTGTCTAAAAATATGAGCACCATCGTGATTTTTGCAGGTGTTATCTCTTGATAACAATGATCTCAGCTTATACTGCGACGACAATAATTCATCAACTTCCGCTGCTCAATCCGACCAGAATCTACAAATGGGCATGCTTCAAAACTAGCTGTCCAATTAATTAATTAATGTCTAGCCAAAAAACTCCTCATTTTTTCATTGTTTTAATGGAACATACATTCCCGCCATAAAATATAATTTTTTTTAAATTTTAGAATCGAAATCCCGATTGGTCTTGCTAATCATTGATAGAAGCAATTTATTATGGGAATTGATTGAACAAAAAATATGTACAAAATAAAAATGTGATTTGTAAATTTTTTTCAATAAACAAATAGAAAAATGCTTTTTGAAAAATTCAACTGTGGCCCGGAGGTTTTTTTAGTTTGAGGATTTTCCAAATTTGGAACTTTATTTTCAGTTCAGGGTCTCGCAGCGATCGTCATGAAAGCAGCAAATCGTGCCGAAGAAATGTCGGTGAAGACAAATGTCTCCGTCTCTCAAAATTATACACTCACTAACATACAGTGTCGATAAAATTCAAAAGTATTGTGCAATCACGTCGCAAACACTCTGCGAACTTGCATTTTATTCTACGTCTATTTATATTTGCATTCGCAAAACTTTCGTGTTTTGTTTTAAATCGAATCATTTCTAACAATCTGTTTTTTATTTTAAAGAAATCAATTAGAAACTCACTGTTCATTTTTTCAGAAACATGAAAAAGCTTTTCCTGCTCAATAAACAAAACCGTTCGGGGGGACACGAGAATGGGCGGTACGTTGTGAATTGGTTGCGAGAAGCTGGAGCACATGCCTGATACTAATTTCGAATCGCCGCTTTTTTTATTGCGTAAATCATGTTTGTTAATGCAAATTCGACATGTCCGGCCGATAACCAAAAGCAAACATTGTTCGCCGGAAAATCCTGATTCGCTCATTTCTCGTTAATGATTTGATTCAAAAACCCCTGTTTTCGTTTTTCCTTTTTTTCCGGATCACATTATTTTTATTTTCAGATGCTCATTATCTTTCTTCTCTTCGCTAGTCCATATTTGGTTCACACTCAGGATGACATTTTGGACCAAGACAAACGTATGGAGCAACCTAGTAAGTATTGTGTTGTGTGTGTGTGTGTGCGTTCGTGAAACATTCTCTGAGAATGTTTATACATTCGCTTTACGTATACAAATCGTGACGAGCTGTATCAAATTTCCCTCGTTTATAATGACACTATCTCGACACCTGTAAACTATTTGAATAAACTACTGTACTAATTGGGTCTGCACTTTTTTTCTGAAAAAAAAAACCTTGTTTCCTTATTCTTCCCACGAGAATGTGTGTTTTTTGAAGAAATATATATATTTTTATGGGAATATGACACTATCCCATTTCGATGTAATTTTTGGCCGACGATGACTCAACGGTTTTGGTTGGCATGTCCCTTTAAATTGATTTTGACACTTCAAGTATTTCATTGACGAAATTCTAATGTACTGATTTAAATTTTAAAAGATGGTGTCTAGCCATGATATGACTCCTGATTTTGAGTTCATTTTTTCTAGCGACCGTATTCGGTGTGTTTTCTATTTTTGACGTCTACTCTGAATCTCTTTTTCTTCGGTTTTTTTCCACTCTGTAATCTCTCCAAAACATTATCATCACAGGAAAATGAGTATAATTGGTATTTATAGATTATCGTATTTTTTGGGATAATTTCTGGCATGCGCCTTTAAACGATCACATTTTGTTGTTGCATTTAATTTCGATATTTTCTTATAAAATTTTTACAAATTGAAACTAAATTTCCAGATGTTCTATTTCAAGCCGAGAAGATTAATCCGGAATTGGCAGCACTATTCAACATCGAGGTACGCTTTCGAATTAGACAAATCTCGAACATCTCTCTTTTCCAGGAGGACGCATCCCTACAATCACAACACCTATCGCGATACGACATTGACGGCGCCTCGACGCCATTAGCGCTGATTCAACGATACCCGCGACCGCAGAACTATGGCAATTTCGGCGGCTATCGACCGAACAATCCGCTCGGCTATTCCTACGTCGGCTACATCAATCGTCAATCGCGACGATACCCCGTGATGATGTACACGTTGGTGCAGTGCATTCCGTGCCAACGCGCCAAACATCTACTCGCCGTCAATTATTCCGATGTGCCGTCGCATTTCCTCGAACTCGGCGGAAACGAGGACTGGCAGCGGCAATTACAAGTGGACTTGCTGAAAGTCACCCGACAGGCGACGTTCCCTTACGTGTTCGTGTGCGGCCAATTCATCGGCGGCTCGACGGACTTGTTCAATTTACATCACAGCGGTCAATTACGGCAGATGCTCAACAATTGTTTGGGACGAGGTTGACGAAATCGATCGAGTTGTTGCGTTATTATTCGAATCGAATTTAAATTATAATAAATATATATTTTTTGGTTTTTCTAAGGCAACAGCTACGAAAGTGAAGAAGAGCGATTTTGAAAAAAAAAACGAAGGAAACAACAAATACCCAAATCAATGAAAACGGATTTCGAGGAAAACAAATGCAATAAAACCAAATTTCAAACAAAAATTGTTTGCGTCACTCATTATCCGAATCCGAATCTTCGGTATACTCATCCTCACTGCTGGCAACTGCTTCTTCCTCATCCTCATCATCGAATTGGTCATATTTTACCTCAACAATTTTCGATTCCTTGATATCAAGCTGCAAGAAACAGGAATGCGTTTAGGTGAGGAATTTCAATAATCCGCTTTATTACCTTCACATCCACACTGTATTCAGCATCAATGTAGGAGTCTGAACGAACCGAAAGATTATACGTGTAAATTCCCTTTTCTTTCGGTGCCGGGAAACGAATATCTATCTAAAAATGCATGAAATTGGTGCAGCAATCATCCGAAACAAACCGTTTGCTCATCAACCAACGTCTTCACCAATTGCGCCCAAGTGACCATTTGACGCTGCTTCTCACGCCGATCATAGTGTGTCAGCACAAGCCACCACCACTCATATTTATCATCCGGATAGTACGGCGCATGCACTTCATGCGTTTCCACCGATTTCGTTTCAAACAAATTCTTTTTCACCGGCACGTCCGCCTCCCAATCCGAGTCCGAATCATTGTTCTTCTCTTTCTCGGAGTCCGATTGCGATTCGGCATCCGACGTCTCCTCCGATGCCGACTCATCATCATCGGCGCCATTCTTTTTTTCGTCGACCTTCGCTTCGGTGGACGGCGTCGATGGCGCCACTTCAGGAGCCGCAGGTGATTTTTTCACTATCGGCTTTTTCGTTTTCTTTTTGCCACCACCCTTCTTCATCTTTTGTTTGTTCTTCATCCACGGCTTGTTGGCCTTCTTGATTTCCTTCTCCTCATTTTCCTTCGCTTCATTCTCCTCATCACCTTCCTCACTGTCATTGGCAACATAAGCCGTATGCTGATCCAATTCATCTAATTGTGGATCGATGAGACGAGATCGTTTCAATGTAATTTTGAGAGTAACAACGCATCCGGCAGTCAACTCGTGCTGATCGTCTTCACCTTCGACTAAAATCAAAATTTCCATTTGTTGAACCTTCTAAAAACTGAAATTCCTACCGACAGTTTTGGTTTCGATTTGAAGACGCGGCATCATCGAAAGAACAATCATCACATTACGATATTCAAAATCTGACAACGATCTTAATACGGATCGCCGCTTTTCATGGTCCATTTTGGCGAGATCGTGACACGAATTAATTTTTTGCTAAAAAAGATAAATAAATTTTTGCTAAAAAAAAATAAATAAAGAAAAACTGCCACATATATAGCAGACTCACTTTTCTCAAATGCTGAAGATTGTAATCAGTGATGTGCGGCAGCTGCATCAATGGGCTGTTCTTTTGACAGAGACCTTGCACAAACATTGCTTGAAGTTTCATGAAATTCTCAAACGTCTCCACCGGAATTTTCGCGTGCGAATAGCCAAGAAGATTGTGCGAGCATTGAATGAGCTCTTCGATGAGACGAAGTGTGCGCGAAACAATATATCTTTAAAAAGGGCCCCCTTTTTTAAGACTATAAGACAAAAAAGTTACCTTTGATCTTCATCAAGCTGATTCGCTTCCGATTCCAAGGGTAGACGATTCAAATAAGCGTGCATAAGAATACGAGTCTTCAATGCATATGGCATGCTAAGAGGTTGTTCGCGTCCCTTATCATTCACTCCTGGCAATGATTTCATGAGCCTTGGAAGCTCAATATCGTCACTTTCGCGTTCCTTGATCTCTTTGTTGTATTGTTTGCTGAATTCGAATGAACCTGACAGCACAGCAATCATTCCTTTAAAAAAAAACTAACAAATATTAGAATCGACCACCGAATTATACTTCCAATTTCCATTCTTGGCGTTTTGTGAACAAAATAATAATAAAGGCGAGTTGTGTCCAATAAAACTTTGTCGACGCTATACTTAATTGAATTGTACCACCAAATTCCCTGAAATTTTTTTTTTTTTTTGAAATTTTTCTCAAAAACAATTACCACAATGACAGGCATCAACACCATGAATATAAGGGCGTAAAATGCAAGAACCCACAATCCGTATTCTTTGCTGACTAGCCATTTGGGAAGTGCGATTCCGAACGTGGTCGCCTGCGGACCATCGGGATTTCCATATTTTTCCCAATTCTCGCGCGCTTCTTTATCGGTCAATGCTTGATAGGCTTTGGCAATTTTGTCGAAAAAAATCGGATCACCACCGCGATCGGGGTGATGAACTTTTGAAAGATCGCGATAGGCTTTTTTCACGGCCGACGACTCGGCGCCTTGATCGAGGCCCAAAATCTGGTAGGGATCGTAATCTTTGTGCGTTGGCTCAATCTCCATGGTTTTCTTCACAATCAATGCGAAAATTGCCCACGCAATAATTAATCCCTATAATTCGAGATTAGCGCATTTCATGTAAATAAGAATATACCAAAAATTTGATCGATTCTTTTGTTTTGCTCCATGGTGTCTTTTTTGCTTTTCGTTTACGTTTTTGAACGCATCCATCACATTGGCATACATTTTCATTCACTGCATCGCATTTTTCTTAAACAACAATGTTTAAAAATTCGATATACGTCAAAATTAATACATTAAAAAAAACTAATTTGCAATATATAGCAATTTTTCAAATCTATTTAAAACTGTTTTTCAGCATTGAATTCATTTTGTGAGCACGTGAAGCTCATTTTTTATTTTTAATATTTGTACAACCTATATTATTTTTTTTTAATATTACCAACTGTTGCTCCTTTTCGCAGACAGAAATATGTAGCAGGAAGTAAAATAATCGCATAAAATGACACCAGAACGTAGTAGAAAGTGTTTCCTACTTCGTCGTACTCAAACGAAGCTCTACCCATCTGAAAACAGGTTTTTGACAATAAAATTTAAAAAATTCACAAATTATTCAATCATTTCTGCGATAGAAATAGAAAACCCGTCGTTTATTGATAAAAAGAATTAAAATTTTCAAAATACGACACGAAGTCAGATTGATTTGGAGTTTTGCAAAAAACGTGCGGCGCTTGCAATTTTGCGTGCATCACTTGCACGAGCAATAAATGTGGGCGGGGTTCAACAGATTGTACTTTTTAATGCTGTATTTTTATTTCCTTCACTTTTTCGTTTAAAAAAATGCTGGTTTTCTATCCCTTCTCCAACCAATAAGCAATCATAAATGCTTTTTTAATTGCTTAAATTGATTCGAATTATAATTTATCAATCTATTTACATTGGCTTTATTAATGAGTCATCACTTCCCATTTCAAAAAACATGTTATATCAATTTACAGATGTCAATCCGTTTGACTGGAGGCATAATTCGCGAGCTTCGCATTCACTTGTGCCAGACCAGTCCGGCTTCCGCTGGAGTTCGCGCGTTCGTCGAGAACGAATATGTTTCCCTGAAGAAGGCCAATCCAAAATTCCCAATTTTGATTAGAGAGGCTTCTGGAATTGTTCCGAGGTATTTTCTTAATATAAAAAAATATGAAAAACTACGTTTTTTTTTAAGAGTTTTTGCCCGCTATGAAAATGGAATCGAACGAGTTGCCTCATTGGAGAATCTTTCGAAGGAAAAAGTACTTGCCTCTCAATTAGTTATCTTTAACTTTTTATCAATTTCAGGTACACTCAACTATTGCTCAACTTGCTACTCAATCATAAGAAAATGAGACTTTAGAGGAGATAGCCAACTAAATGTTTGTAGCTAGAAAATAAATAAATTTTTTTGATTTTGAAAATTGAAATTATTACAGATTTACAGTTCCTTATTCTGATAGTACTTTAAAAATTTTAAAATGCAATTTTTATGGGTTGTACTTTATGACATTAATATTATTAAAGGCCGAAAAGTACAACTTGAAAGCTGGGTGACTCCACGGTAAATTCGGAATGAAGGAAATGCTACGTTCAGTCAATTGGGAAGATGTTTTAACCAAAATAGGATGGGTAAGAAATTTCATTTAATCATTTAATACGTGACATTAAATTTTAAATGCGAAATTTTGTTTGGCTACTCTATTTCGAAATGTCTTCAAATTATAGCAATAACGGAAATTATACATTTTATTCAAATGAATATGACGGTCTATATCAGTTTACTGATGAATGGTTCGGCATTTCGAAGCCATGGTCATTTATAGTTTATTCAATTATTTCGGTAATTCAATTTTATTTTTTTAGTTTGTTTCTGGGAAGAATGGCTACCAAAATTAGTCGACCCAAGACCCTTTCCGCGGTATGACCCAATTAAAGGCACACACATTTTTTTGTTGAGTCTCGATATATTGTTTTCAAAAACTATACCTAAAAATAATATTTTAGAAAAAAAATTAGCAGAAATGCGAATACACTTTCAGGTTGCCGTTTCATTCATCTTTTTCCGCGTTTTGCAATTTGCCGTTCGCTGGTATTTGTTCGGAAAATTCACCTGGCACACTTCATTTAACTACTTTGGCCTACGGCGGAATAATGCAGAAGCCGCGAATCGACGGCAACTCGAAGATTCTCGTGACCTCACGGTGGGTGATTTTCGTTTGAGGTGTGAGCTATCGAAATCGAACATTATTGTAGGTGATTCCGCCGAACAAAAAATGGAGAATCTCCAACGAGGGGCTTTCATTGATTCACTCGGTCGTTTCTGGACTCTGGGCCGGATACGCCCTTCTTTATTACAAGGATCTCATGACAGATTTGATACATTATCGTTGCGAAGTTGCTATTAATTTGGTAAGTAATATTAATATGGTAAAATTGGCAAAATGCCAAAAAAGAACAATGGTAATGGTCTTGACGCGAAAAAAAAACAGTGTAGATTTACGGGCCCAAGTATACGGATAGATTAAAGGCGCACAACAAGCATTGAAATCCCTCCTTCATTTTTTGGTATTTAACCAATTTTTCGCAGTCGCGCAACGCCGACAATAATAATAATAATAATAATTCGTTTTCAATGTGATGAACTTCTTTTGCAGATTCTAATGTCGACCGGATACCTTCTTCACGATCTCATTGATCTTCTAGTCAACGAGCAATCTGCTCGCATCATCGAATTGCTGTTTCATCATGTGGTTGTGCTCACCGCGTTCGCGGTCACCATGTTCACCGGCAAATTTCTTGGCGTCGTCGTTTTTGGCCTTCTGATGGAATTGAACTCGATTTTCTTGCATTCAAGAAGCTTGCTAAACTTGTAAGTCTTTTGGAGAGGGGCGGGAAAAATATCATTTAGAATAATGAATTCAGATATGGAGTTGACAAGAAATCGCCGTCGTTTCGAATGATCGCCTTATTGAACATGATCACGCTGTTCTTCTTTCGCTTGTGCGTTTCTGCTTATTTGTTGTATTTTGCGGTAAGAAATAATATTAAATCAATTAGAAAATTCGATTTTGAAGGCCACAACCGTCACCATCATCCCTTGGTGGCAAGTATTAATAAATTCTGTTGTTATTCTCTCGCTAGCTTCTACTAATTCTGTCTTGACTTATCGCCTTCTTGCTGCCGATGGTTTGCTCGGTAAGATATTCGTCTTTCAAAAAAATAATTTGTTCACCACACATTTTTTTTTGTCTATATTCATTCGTCAATATTTTAGGGCAATTGATTTCGAAAAATGTGCAATTTTTCATATTTCGTTAAAGAAAACACGGCGATCTGAAAATTGCCAAATTTGCTCCCATAGATTTTTGTTTGAATTAATGATTGTTTTTTTTTGAATGAAGAAAATTTGCTCCATTCGTGAAATTTTATTTTAATGAAACAATTGATTTTTAAGGAACGTCTCGGGCAAGAAAATCGCCAGCGCCGACAGGAGACACTAATATTGAAGATATAGAATCAGCAACTCAAAGAGTTTTATCTGATGAGGTACTTTTGGGTGATTTGAATTGGAAAAAAAATTCGACGTTTAGGAGCATCATGAAGTGGCGGTTCAAGCCGGAAATCAGACGGTTCCGCTTGTTGAAGATTCGACGCAAACATGATGTAATGAACATCACTTACTAACCGCATACGAAATAAGATAATGCTTTGTTTTAAAATTGCTATTTATATTACTGTAGCGACGCTGCAACACATGACCGTGGCCTAACATTTTCGTTTATTTTGGCGGTCGTCGTTTTCGAAAACCACGCGCGAAATGCGCGCGCGAGATTCGCAAAAGAATGACGACGTTCACTTTATTATAGGGCAAGAAAATAAAATAAAAAAATAGAGACAAATTTTTTATCTCATATTTTTCTTTATTTTTAAAAATTTTCTCTACATTGGCCCTTGATAGCTTTAAGCTACTAAAAACGAACGATTGTGCTCGAAATTCTGGCGGGCCCATTTAATATGCTTGTTAATTCGATTTTATTGTGCTTATTAAGCGTATTTTCACCGGAAAATATTAGCCCACTAATTTCTAGACGTCTATATTATTTTTTAACAATCTTGCCGATGAAAACTTGAGACAATTTATTTAATTATTGCACATTGCAATATTTGAACGGGTTCGTCTTAAGTAATTATTTATTTTGTTGTTTATCGATTCGGTTGCGAAGAGCTTGAATAATAAATAATACAACTTCATCTCTGTATAATGCTTTGGGATGGTTATTTCCTGGCTAATATCATTTTTCCTGCTCCATTTTTTGAAATTCTCGTTTTGTCGTGGCACAAAATTCGGATTAATTGCATATTTTAGAATGCACAAGGTGTCTCGGAAGCGTCTTCGAGCGGAAAGTTCGGTGGATGATGAGATCCCGTCGGTGAATGATTTCTATCATGTTTTACGATTTTCGGATGGAAAACAGGAAAAGGTATTGAATTATATTTTTTTGCTTTGTTTGGAAAGCTTAAATACTAAAATGAAATGAATATCAGATGATCTCAAGCATCGTTCACATTGAATATCGAGTTGATGAAGCGGCGTTGTCGCCGAACGTCGAGTCGGGCTCCGAAGAAAAGAAGTTGATGTTCTACGTTCACTATGAAGCGTTGGATCGTCGAAATGACGAATGGGTGACGCGCGATCGAATTTGCGAGAAACTCGATCCGGCCGACGTCGCCGCCGAACTGTCATCGCAGGGACGGGCGCTCACACGAAGTCAGCGGCGAATCCACGAGGAGTTCCACCATCTCAAACAGGCGTATGAAACGATGGACGCGACGACGGCGAAACTCGAACGCGCGCACGAGGAGCGTACAAAAGTCAAAAATATTCCGACAATCACGATTGGAAAATATTGCATAAATTCGTGGTACTATTCGCCGTTCCCGTTTCATTACAATGATCAGGATTTGTTCATGTGCGAATATTGTCTGATGTACACACCGTCAAAGACGAGATTCAAAAATCATTATATGGTAGCCCTAACAAGATTGAAAGTTCTAATCAAATCTAAAATATTTTAGAAGTGCAATGAAAGGCAGCCGCCGGGCAATGAGATTTACCGCAAAGACAATTTGTCGGTCTATGAGATTGATGGATGCCAACATAGGGTTTGAAGCGATGTGTTGTCTTTTTCTATAATTCAACACCTCTCTTTTTTTCAGCTCTACTGCCAATCGCTTTGCCTTCTTTCGAAATTGTTCATGGACCACAAAACGCTTTATTTCGACGTCGATGACTTTATTTTCTACGTTCTCTGTGAGGTAAATATTTTTGGACTCTTTCCGTTGGGAGATTGAAAAAATATATTTTATTATCGCAACAAAAATGAGAGCACTTTGTCAAATTGCGAACCAGCGCACTTTATCGAGGCGGTAATTTAAATTTGAACTTAAACGGTGAGCATTTTGGTACCGTACTCTGGCTAACCTGCGAAACTAACTCACCGTAAATTAACACAGGGCGCTCGTATTTTTTTGATGCAAAGTTATTGTATTAGCATTTTCGATATTAATATCACTTTTCCCAAAGGTTGATAATGAAGGTGCGCACATCGTTGGATATTTTTCGAGAGAAGTCGAATCCGCCAACAATCTCGCCTGTATCATGGTGTTTCCGCCGTATCAAAATCGGGGTTATGGAAAATATTTGATTCAATTGAGTGAGAATTATTTCTGAATTTGTTGAGGGAAAAAATTCATTTAGGCTACGAAATTTCGTCGCGCGAAGGCTACATCGGCACACCCGAAAAACCGTTGTCGGACCTTGGAAAAGTGAGCTATCGAAGCTATTGGTGGTGGGTTTTGTTGGTCGAACTCGACAAACACCCGGTGAACTCGATCACCGCCACCGAGTTGTCGGAAATTTCGGGAATCGCCGTCGACGACATTATTTCGACGTTGGGCACACTGAAAATGGTCAAACAATATAAAGAGGGCGAGTATGTGATTCGCGCCGCTCGACGCTTCGTCGATCATTGCATCTCGAATCAATACGGAAAACCGCCGAAAATCATATTGGACAAATCATGCCTCAAATGGAAACCGGCGATAACTAGGCGTGAAGCTTCCGGATTTAAGCCGAAGCCCGACAAACAAGATGCTCGCAAATTGTCGGCATCATCTATCGATAATTTTGCTGCTTCAAAAGGTAATAGCTCATCTAGCAATGTTCTCATTAAGACATATCTTTCAGACATCCCATATGGCTACAGTTCCGATTCAACCGAGAGAGATGAAGATTCTAACTAAGGCTGTTTTAGGTTTATACATTTGTAATTTCTGTAGTTTTTCTGTTAATTGCCATAGTAAAATAAAAAATCGTTTTCAATCGAAGGAATTTTCGCAATTGTCGGGAAGATTCAAAACGGCGACACCGCCGCCCAAACGGCGGTATGTCATTTGCGAATGATGTCGCCAACGATTCCCGTCGGGATCGTAAACCTCGACCGACTTCAGATACGTTTGTCCGTCGAATCCTCCGACCGCGTACAATTTGCCATCGACAACCGCAACGCCGACACCACTTCGACGATTGTTCATTGCGACAACCGTCGTCCATTCGTTCGTCTCCGTGTGATAGCATTCGACAGTGCTGAGTTCGCTGGAAGTGTCACGACCACCCACGGCATAAATTCGTCCATTGTAAACGGCGGTTCCGAGATGTTTGCGCTTCGTCAGCATCGATCGCACTTCTTCCCATTTGCCAACACGAGGATCATATCTGAAGATCTCAATTTCAAAACGACCCAGACTGTATGAACTCACCTTTCCACGGTGCTCAGCGGAGACGGGCCATTTGATCCGCCGACGGCGTAGAGGCATCCATTGAGGACCGACACGGAAACGCCGAGGCGTCTCGTCGCCATCCGCGCGACTTTTGTCCATTCGTTCCGCTGCGGATCGTATCGTTCGACGACATCCAGACAACTATCGCCGTCTTGACCGCCGACGGCGTACAGATAGCCGTTGCACGCAGCGACGCCGACGCTCGTGCGGCAAGTCGCCGTCGGCGCCACATCGCAACTCCATTTATTCGTCACCGGATCATAGCGTTCGATGCTGTTCAGATATGACAACCCGTCGTGACCGCCGATCGCGTACAAAAGCTGATCGAGTACGGCGACGCCGACGCCGCACCGTCGTTTGCTCATCGGCGCGACGCACGACCACGCGCATCCGCTGCGATTCGGATCCATCATCTCGATCGAGGCGATCGCGTCGCCGCTACACCAGCCGCCGACAGCGAACAGCACTTCGCGTAGGCGCAACGGCTTGCGCGGCTTCGTTCGCGGTCCCTGCATGTTGGGTCGCTCGACCGGCAACAACAAATAGTTTTTCGCCTCGTCGACGAGATCGCGACTCGCCGGATCGGTTTTGATGAGCATCTCCTCGGAAACGGTGGTGACGAGGAATTTCGGCGAGCACAGCGGTAGGCGAACGTGTGATAATAGCTTCAAAATATGAATACATATAGGGTATATCTTTATATGTATATAATTTACCATCGATAAATGCTGTTTTCTTTTCGTAATATCCTGTCGAACCCAATTGATAACCGCCGAGAACACCTAACATATTCAAGTTCGATGTATTCAAGAAGCTTTCTTTAAAATTAAAAAAAAAAACTCACAGTTTCTTCAGACGGCGCATTCAATTGATCGCTGCGAATGATCTCGACTAGCTCGTCGATTGACAATTGTAGAAATTCTTCGCTCTCCACAACGTTCTTCAACAATTCTTCTTTGTTTCATTCTTTTCATTCTCTTATTTTTTTTAATTGGGCGCCAATTTTCAATCAAACCAACCGAAAATTTTTTGAGAATGAACGCGTTCGCGGTGCTCATCAGCTCTTTGCACGCGTGCGCGTCGGCGAACGCCCGAATCCCGAGGCAATTCGACGGCTCCAATTGTTTTTTGAGGTAGTCGCAACACGCGGTTTGCACTTCCAGCATTTGCAACAGACACGCCGATGGTAGAAGGTCTTGCACGTTGTCGTCGTTGATTTCAATTTGACCCGTATAGCAAAAATTGATTAACTGCTCCAAACATTCCGCATCCACGTTTTCGATAACTATCTCCTCTTCAAACCAAATTATTAATTGTCGGTTTGAGCAGCAACAAAAAATTCGCGGCGAGACTCAACAAAAGAAACACTGCATTTTTAATTGTTTCGAACAATCTTCAAAAACCCTACCGAATAAGGCATTTTTTGAGTACAATTTTCAAATTTTAATGAAATTGTGTTCATTTTCGAAATAAAAACAAAAACCCGTCAAATTAATCATTAAAAAACCATACTTTTATGACACTCCGACATATGTATTGTGAACATTGCCAAAAAATAGCCGGACATTGACGATATGACAACTCGATGCGCCGGAATCCGTTTGCCATTATTACATATTAGAATCACATCGCATAATTCCTTCAAAGCCCTCATATTTTTTAAATGCGACACCAAATTGCTTAAATATTGTTGACTCTGAAAATTAAAATAATTTTCTTTTTTCAATATCCTTAAAATCCAAAATAATCTACTTTATAGATATTCGCATTTTCCGATTGCATTACGTCGACATTCGAGACTGACGGCTTCATCGACTTCATACATCTCGATTCCTTTGACATTCCTTGAAACAAAATTAATAACAATCACCACAATTATTAAAATATTAATAATAATTATCATTATTAACCGAATATACAGTTAGCAATAAATAATAAAATATTGAAAAAAAAAATTAAAATCTATTCATTCATCCCCAAATATACAATACAACAAGAATAAACACGTATATTGACATTTTAAACGTCATCTGAATCAAAAAGAAAATTCTCTGAATTGGCAACTCGTTTATAATGGAATGCAATAAATTTATCAAATTTTTTGAAAGAAATTCAAGGAAGAAAACACTAAGAGCTGTACTAGAAAAAATTGCCCAAAAAAAACACCCGTGATTCGCGACCCTGCTCATTTTCCGCGTACGGCGCCATCAGAATTTCGACTAGATCCCAGCCTCCGAATGCCGACGGCATAATTCAACCATCGACTACTGATTTCAAATGATCCCTCGTCTCTTTAACGCCTTCATTTGCTAGTAGCACTTTTGCCAATAATTTCGAGTTCGCTTCGAGTTGCTCGGCGATTTTCGCCTCTTGATTATTGAGCAGCTTCTTCAGAGCAACTTCAAATCGCTGAAATGGGCAAATTAAAAATAATGAAACCGTCGAAATCAATGAATTACTCACCGCCACCGAGTTTCGACTATTCGATGCGCGCTTCTTCGCTTTCATCGATGAACTCAACGCAACGGTCACCGATAGTTCAGCTTTTCGCATTCGTCGCGCAATCAACTTTCGATTCATTCTCGTCAATTTAGAGCACTGCTCGACCAATTCCAATTTCAGCGTCTCCTCAATAGTTCGATAGCATTTACTCAACTTTTGATTGAACCAGCAATTCAATATCAATATTGTCAATATATTTGAAGCTAGTAGTGTATAAGTGAAGTTATCAACCTAAATAAGAATTATTATTATATTTTCAACGATTCAAAAGAAAAAATACCTGAAGTGATGATAAATAATTGTAAAAATTTTGTAAGAAGGATTTTATCACATTTTCCGCGGGATTATTCGCTTCAATGTGCTCTATAAGAGGCGGCATTGAAGACATCCTTTTATCTAAATCATACATTTTTCTAAATTTCATATTTATAACAAAATTCTTACTAGTGAAGAATGATGGGGGTATATGACATGAAGGGGCAAGTATCCTTTGCAAATGGATTTCATGGTTCAGCTTCTTCTCAACTCGTTCCAATTGAGAAACCAAGTTTCGCACTTGAGAAACCTCGCGTCGAAGCGCGTTGATTTTGCTTCGCATCATCATTGCAGTATGGTCGGCAATCGTTTTCGCAAATCGCCGAGTTTCTTCGAGCTCTTGCCGATAGCCGCTCATTTGTGAGACATATCTGTTCATTTTGTATCAAGCTGATGATGATCGCGATCGACACAAAAAACTCACTGTTTGCTCAGCTCGCTGAGATATTCCGTCGACAGCGTCAAATTCATTTCAACAGCGGCGATTCGCTTACTAAGCTTTATCAAAACCATTTCGCGTTGATTGGATGAGCCGCCGGCCGGCACGATTTTGTCGTCGATTCGGCCGTGCGGTGTCGCATTGATCGGATCAATCGGAACAATCTTCACCGCTTCTTTTTTGCTATCACTCTCCACATTCTCGTGTGTCGGCTTCATCGAACTCGGCGTTTTTTCATCCGGATTCTCCTTCAAAATCATTTCATTTATTTTTTTAAATCGATTTTTTCTTCTTGTCAAATCTCACTTTCGTCGGATTCACAATTGAATCATTCGCCGCGCGTCGACTCACTCCTTTTCCATTCAATTTCGAGAAGTAATTTTGAATGCTGGCGATATTCCGCCGGCGAGACTGATCAAAAGTGGCCTGTTTCGACATGGATGGCGAAATTCCGAATTTTCTAAACGAAAATCAACCATTTCATTTGGCTATTTGAAAAAAAAATCCCAACGTGAACGGAACGCTGAACACCGAAGTTCCCTTGACAGATTCGAAATTCACAGGTTCGAACAGCCAACAAATATAATAAGTGACGTTTGCTGGAGAATTCGAGCATTGTCGGCAATTATTCATGAATGAATTATAACTAAATAATTGCAAAATTAAAGAAAATTGAATGAGATCGTGTCAAACCTCAATTGATAAGTGTTCAGTGGCGCCTTTTTTGGAGGAATTGGTAGTTGCGTTTGCATTTTTGACTCGATTATTGGAGTATTAGTAACAAGTTCCGTGCTTCCAACGACATCCTTTCGAGGCTCCCCATTCAAAGAATTCAATATCTGAGCAGCGGCTTCCTTTAAAACAATATTTTATTTGATTCAAATAAATTCTCCAACCTCTTTTTCATATTCATCTGCTAGAGTTGTACCAATCACATTCACAACCGAAACGACGCAATAATGCTCTTTCCCGTAATGTTTTTCGAAGTCAATCTGCATATATACCAAAATATTTCAATTTTATTTGCAAATTGACTCACTCTTATGAATTTTGCGTATAATTTAATTTCGGGAACCTCGAACGTTTGAAGTTTTTTGTGATAGTCCTGAAGCTGAAATTTTCCTAGAAAAGTCCAACTAGCCAATGGTGGATATCGTTCGGAGATATATACGGAAATCTAAAAATTGGGATCATTGCTCGACCATTTTTTTTTTATTTTTAAATGTCACCTGTTTTGGACGAGACGCAAAAAGCTCGAAATTGCCGATTGCGAGCTTTTTCACCAATATTGGCTCACAAAGCTCAATGACAATGAATTTTTCTTTGGCCTGATCGCAAGGGTTGCGCATGTAGTCGTCCAAATCTTTATCGTTCACAACGGCTTTCGCATTTTCCGCTTCAGAATTCGCCGCGATCACTTTCGCACCGCATTCTTTACTAGCGAAATTTCGATTTGGGCTTGACAACGGTTGGACTTCGGGAATTTCAACGCGTCGAATCCCATTTTTCGCCGCCTCTTTGTCATCTTTTAAAAGCACATGGTTTTGATTCGCCACCGCGTCCCTTCGCTTCTTCGTCCATTCATCAAAATTATCTATTGGAGGCTTATTATCACCGACTTTTTCTAAAATCTCACATATAGGCTATCATCGAATCAAAAATATATCATTACCTTCTCGCGTTTTCTTTTCTTTCGGCTTCGAAACAAATACTTTTTCGCCTTTACATTTCAACGAGTTTTGGCATTCTTGAATTGAGGTGCACTTATTTTGTTCATGTTGAGGCAAGAAGAATTCCTTCCAATTTTTTCTAGGCGATGTTTGTTTCGTAAAAGCAAAAGAATAATTCAAATATAATCTGAAAATCACAAAAACATTGTTTTTATTCTTATATCTACTCACATCATTAGAATTAAAATGTATTTAATGTTCATAATTTGTATTACATTCCTTCCAGTTGATAACACTTACTATTCTGAAAGTTGATTATTCATAGGGGCCATTAAATGGTTATGAATAAATTAAAATGACGAGTAATTGCACGCAATGAAAAAAAATGGAAACAATTTTTCTTTAATTACCTCCATTCGTTTTTAGTTTTAAAATCACAGTCCTCAAATAATCGATTATTAATCTCGGCTCGTTCCGGAATACCCGACGGGAGGTGAACGCGTGCACCTGAAAACACGCCCGTCTGTTGAACACTGACGCATTTTTAGTTGGCACTTATGTGACGTTGAATAAATGAAACAATGCCAATTTTACATATTTTGTGCATTATTAAATTGTTCGAAACATCAAAAATGAAATAATCGAAGATGTTTCAGAATGAATATAGAAGTTTTCAAATTGAGCTTGTTTTTGTTTCCGTGTGTTCTGCTAGCAGCTGCCAGCGATGATTCGATAACGTGTTACAGTGTACTAAAGCTACTTAATGCTAGAGATGGATCAAGGTAGATATTTTAAATATATGAAAAAAATTAACACATTTGCCTTTTATTAAGGCTACACTCTCATGATGTGAAGTATGGTAGCGGAAGTGGACAGCAATCGGTAACGGCCGTGAAAAATTCGGACGATATAAATTCACATTGGCAAATTTTTCCAGGTAATATCTTACCAAGTTTATTCAATCAATGCAAATTCAATTCAATAGGTCTTCAAAAAACGTGTAATCGTGGCGATCCAATTAAATGTGGCGAAACAATTAGGCTCAAACATCTGACTACTGGAAGGTTTTTGCACTCCCACGATTTCTCAGCTCCTTTATCAAAATCTCATCAGGTTAAATCTGTGAATCATTGAAGGTTTTTATGTTGTTTTTTTTTCTGTTTCAGGAAATATCCGCATTCGGTAGTGAAGAAGAAAGCGATTCGGGCGATGAATGGCTACTGATGTGCAATGAAGACGAATGGACTGAAGAAGAGGTTTGCGCCATTCTATGTTTTTTTTTGAGTAGAACCTATCTTCCGAAATCTTAAATCAGTGGTAATTCTACCCCTCTGTGGGGAACTTCTACGTCATTTTTTGCAGTAAAAAGATAAGAATGTATCTTTGTTTCTGTGATTTCGAGATATCCGTCAAAAATTTCTGCTTTTTCAGCAGGTGAAACTTAAGCACGTTGTCACTGGTGCTTATCTCTCATTATCTGGACAACAGTACGGAAGGCCAATTCATGGACAACGCGAAGTTGTCGGCACATCAGACGTCACTGCTGGAAGCTCCTGGAAGGCTGCTGAAGGCATTTACATAATGAACAAAGAATAAATTAGAATTCCTTTTTTCTCTCATTATTCCTACGACCTAATGCAATTGTCTACATAGATACTTATATTTGATTATTGATAATTGCTGTAATCCTGATCTTTAATACGGGAGTGTATGTTCAATCGAAATTTACTTGCCACTATAATCAATAAACTTTTGAAGACGCTTTGAAATCTTTGTGATCCCTTGGAAAAAATTCCTAGAAAACGTCTGTTACCCGCAGCAGCGAGACTTCACTTCGAGCCAGGCGAAAAGTGAGCCTCAAAACACTTTAAAACAATAATCGTTGCGAGAGCGGTAAGCATGTGTAGCAAGGAATCGAAGTAGAGCGCAGACGTCTTTGACTCACGTCGAGATGATTTTGATGGCCCCGAGAGAAAAAGCAGAGATGAAAGAAATTCTTTTTGAGATCGGCATGAATTCCGAGGACCAGGCAGATAAGATATATTGTAATGATTTCGGCGATTCGTTTTTCTCTCCTCGATGCAGCCACTAGTGTATATTAGATGTTTTTTTTTGGTTGCTCTGAGATGATACGATTTTCGCTGGACGTCGGGATTAATACTGAGGAAACGATTATAATCGAATTAAAAGAAATATTTCAAAATTAATAAAAATTGTGGAGAAAAACTAAAAAATTCTCTGAAAAACTTGAAGTGTCGCTTTGAAAATAATAAATGTGCAATCACGCCGCATGAACTCTGCGGACTTGCATATTAATCGACGCCTATTTTGCATTTTCAAATATTTCGAGCTTTTTCCGAAATGGGAAAGATCAAATTTGCAAAAAAGATTCAAAGAAAGTGGTATTTTTTATGTACAACACACATAACAATTATTTAGATGATCGAAAACCAATTTACGCGGAAGCAGACCTCTGAAAAATCAAATATTTGTACAAAACACTTTAAAAGACAGCAGTAGACAATTTTCAAGATAATCATGCAAAATTATGGAATTGAGATATATTACAATTAAAAAAACAAAAACGGCTTTTTTTTTAGAAATCTTCGATTGGATCTTTATTTGCTGTTCTCCTCTGCGAGACCAATATTTACAAACGGAGTGTTTCTTTTACATTTCAATAAACAATTTTTCCGAAAATCACTTTGATATTGAGAATTAAAAAAATTGCCTTGAGCATTGATAAAAAAAAGTGCTTTCACCTTGCGGAAAATAAAAAAAATCAATCTGATATTTCCCTTGTTGTCGTTTTTTTTCAGAGACTTCAAAAATCATATTCATAATCGGAATGTGATCCCCGGCCCGACGCGATTCGTTGCAAGCCATGTTCCCCAACATTTTCCGATTAGTTGTTTCCTGTTCATCCTCCCACCATAAAAACAACACGCCTATCCAATTCTCAACTGTTTCACAACACGGAGCCGAAAGATAGGAGGACGAGGCGCCTCTCGCCTATTGCTCTGCCTCATTGCTGGCAGTCTCGCGAGAGCAATGGCAAAAATATATAGATAAATGTTTAAAACTCCTGCCACTGGGGACACGGGAGGAGGGGGGGCTCTCTTCGTTTCACAGCAATCTCTTCGGCTCGGGATCTCGAATCGCGCGCGGGAGTAGCACGGGGGCGCGGCTTTTACACACACTCGGAGCGCGTTACGCTAAAGGAGACATCATTGCGATCGTGGAGCGCCGGCGAGGCGAGCAGACAAAATCGCAAAATCGCATCCCGTGGATATCGGGCGGGGGGAGCTTCAGCCCCAGCATCGAGTATCCGCCATCACATTTTCATCGTCGTCGGTTGGCTTGTGTGTGAGTAAGAGTGTTTCTCTTCAATAGAGCTCACATCACTAAACAGCGAAAACACGATTTACTCCTACTTTTGGTATTTAGGCCGCCATATTTCATACACGTCCTTTTATTAAGCCTAATATAGAAGATGTCGTTGTACCGTTCGCCTTCCGCAGCTCTTCTCAAGAGCCCATCGCAGGCCGCTTTTGGCGCCCCATTCGGCAACATGTCCGTTGCTGATCTTGGATCGCTCACCAGACTCGAGGTAACATCCAACTTCAATTATTCGCTATCTACTTTTGATCATATTCAATTATAATTGTTAATCATCTCAATGCTAGCCCACTCAATTCCCCCGCAAAATTATCATTTTTCAACCTCTCTGAAATTGCATTTGTTGGTTTTCTGAAATTCAAGCCTCACTACTATTCGAAATTTTGCGGGGCGATGATCGCCGTCGTATTCGACGTTCACCGGCATCCCGTCGGCGAGTCTCACCCACGCGCTGTGTAACGTTTGAGGATTACAGTAGAATGAGAGCGCGGCGAGAGATATCAGCCGCTTCTTCCTCCACATCAAGCCATTGTTATTGTGTTTTTTTTTGTGATCTACCAATCATTGCGATTTTTGATTGCAGGACAAAATCCGACTTCTTCAAGAGGATTTGGAGTCCGAGCGTGAACTTCGCAACAGAGTTCGTTGAGCATTTAGAGCCCAAAAAATATTTCGATTTGATTCTAGATTGAGCGCGAGCGTGCTGATTTGTCAGTTCAATTGATCGCCCTCACCGACCGCCTTGAAGATGCCGAAGGAACCACCGATAGCCAGGTTCGATGGCTCTCAAGATTGAAAAAAAAACCATGCGCTGGAATTTTCAGATCGAGTCGAACCGCAAACGCGAGGGTGAGCTCATCAAGTTGCGCAAGCTTCTCGAAGAGTCGCAACTCGAATCCGAAGACGCGATGAATGTGCTCCGCAAAAAGCATCAAGATGCGGTGCTCGACTATCAAGATCAAATCGAGCAGCTTCAGAAGAAGAACGCCAAGTAAATCTCATTCTGAGAAGCGCGAGCCAATAAAAAAACAAATTAAATTTTTGACAGGATTGACCGCGAGCGTCAACGCGTTCAACACGAGGTCATCGAGCTGACCGCCACCATCGATCAACTCCAGAAGGACAAGCACAACGCGGAGAAGGCCGCCGAGCGTTTCGAGGCGCAAGCCAACGATTTGGCGAACAAAGTCGAAGACCTCAACAAGCATGTCAACGATTTGGCCCAACAACGCCAACGCCTTCAGGCCGAGAACAACGATTTGCTCAAGGTGAACACTTTTGATTTCCACGGAATCGCGGGTTGGGGTGGCGAAGAGAAAAAAATCGACGAGTAGAGAGGCGTGCAAATATACTCTCGAGAAGTTGAGAGCGCGGAGTATACAAAAAAATGAGACGCGTATGTTTGCCGGCGAATAATTCACATGATTGAATCGTTCATGTTGAGCTCATCACAATCCGAATTTATAGGAAGTGCACGACCAGAAGGTGCAGCTCGACAACCTCCAACACGTCAAGTACACATTGGCGCAGCAGCTCGAGGAGGCCAGACGTCGTCTTGAAGACGCCGAACGCGTATGTCGAGATTTGAATTCAACTTGACCATATCCTTCTTTTCATTTTTTTAGGAGCGCTCGCAATTGCAATCGCAATTGCACCAGGTTCAACTCGAGCTCGACTCGGTTCGCACTGCGCTCGACGAGGAATCGGTGGCGCGATCGGACGCCGAGCACAAATTGAATCTCGCCAACACTGAGATCACCCAATGGAAGAGCAAGTTCGACGCCGAAGTCGCCCTCCATCACGAGGAGGTCGAGGATCTTCGCAAGAAGATGCTTCAGAAGCAGGCCGAGTATGAGGAGCAAATCGAGATCATGCTGCAGAAGATCTCGCAGCTCGAGAAGGCCAAGTCACGACTTCAATCCGAAGTGGAAGTTCTCATCGTCGATTTGGAGAAGGCTCAAAACACGATCGCAATCCTTGAACGCGCTAAGGAGCAACTCGAGCGTCAAGTCGGAGAGCTCAAAGTTCGCATCGACGAACTCACGGTGGAATTGGAGGCGGCTCAACGCGAACTTCGCGCCGCCAACGCCGAATTGCAGAAGATGAAGCACCTCTACGAGAAGGCCGTCGAGCAGAAGGAGGCGCTTGCGCGCGAGAACAAGAAGCTTCACGACGAGCTTCACGAGGCGAAGGAGGCGTTGGCCGACGCGAACCGCAAACTTCACGAGCTCGACTTGGAGAACGCGCGACTCGCCGGCGAGATCCGCGAGCTTCAGACCGCGCTCAAGGAGGCCGACGCGCAGCGTCGCGACGCCGAAAATCGCGCTCAACGCGCGCTCGCTGAGCTTCAAGCGCTCCGCATCGAAATGGAGAGACGTCTTCAAGAGAAGGAAGAGGAATTGGAGGCGCTTCGCAAGAACATGCAATTCGAGATCGATCGTCTCACGGCGGCGCTCGCCGACGCGGAGGCGCGCATGAAGGCCGAAATCTCGCGCCTCAAGAAGAAGTACCAGGCCGAGATCGCCGAGCTCGAGATGACCGTCGACAATTTGAATCGCGCCAACATCGAAGCCCAGAAGACGATCAAGAAGCAATCCGAGCATCTCAAGGTTCTTCAGGCGTCGTTGGAAGACACGCAACGCCAACTTCAACAAGTGCTCGACCAATACGCGTTGGCTCAGAGGAAGGTCGCCGCGCTTTCGGCTGAACTCGAAGAGGCCAAGACCGCTTTGGACAATGCGATCCGCGCTCGCAAGCAGGCCGAAATCGATCTCGAGGAAGCCAACGGTCGCATCGTCGATCTTACCTCGATCAACAACAATCTCACCTCGATCAAGAACAAACTCGAAACCGAATTGTCGACGGCTCAAGCCGATTTGGACGAGGTCACCAAAGAACTTCACGCTGCCGATGAGCGCGCGAATCGCGCACTCGCCGACGCCGCTCGCGCCGTCGAGCAACTCCACGAGGAGCAAGAGCACTCGATGAAGATCGACGCGTTGCGAAAGTCGCTCGAGGAGCAAGTCAAACAGCTTCAAGTCCAAATTCAGGAGGCCGAAGCCGCCGCGCTTCTCGGCGGCAAACGTGTGATCGCGAAACTCGAGACGCGCATCCGCGATTTGGAGACGGCGCTCGACGAGGAGACGCGTCGGCACAAGGAGACGCAGAACGCGTTGCGAAAGAAGGACCGCCGCATCAAGGAGGTCCAACAGCTCGTCGACGAGGAGCACAAGAACTTCGTCATGGCGCAAGACACCGCCGATCGACTTCTCGAGAAGGTCAACATCCAAAAGAGACAATTGGCCGAGTCGGAGGCCGTCACCATGCAGAACTTGCAACGAGTCCGCAGATATCAGCACGAGCTCGAAGACGCTGAAGGACGCGCCGATCAAGTACGCCGCCCAAATTATTTTTGAAAGTGGTAGATCAAATTTGAACATTCCAGGCTGAGAGCAGTTTGCATCTCATTCGCGCCAAGCACCGCTCATCAGTTGTCGTCGGAAAGTCCGCATCGAAGGTAATCGCCGCCACAAAGATTCCAATCCATCTCGCCAATTCCATACTTTCAGATCTTCGTCACAGAAGACGACTACTAAACTGGGGGGACTGAAAATGCTGCTGATGATGTGTATAAAATCGTATATGATTGTTTATTTTAACATCTTTAACATAAATTGTCTCTTCCTCGCGCGCGTTTTTCTCTTGTTCTCATTATGCCATGCTGATATTATGTTTTAAAGCTTCGGAAAAAATTCGATCCAGAACGTTTCCAAACAAACAAAAAAGAACCTACCAACCTTCTCGAACACCCCCCCTTTGAATTACTCAACCCGATTATTATTAGCCAGCGACGATTTTTTTTAAGCGAAACTGTCCCGCTGCCCGAATATCGTTTTAAGCTTTTTCTTCTTCTTCAGCATCGTACTTCGTTTTTTTTTTTGTAAATTTTAGAGTTTTCGACAATTTTTCGTTGATCACTATCAATATCTAATTATTCGGAACGCGGTTGAGAGTGGCACAACACCCCCACCAACTAAATCCATTCAAGCCCATAGACAATAATTGTTATTCTTTCCCCGAATCTTTCCATAAAACCATTTTTTCTCTCTCTCTCTCATCACTATGAATCACATTATTCTGAAAATTTCATATTTGTTGCTGTTCGATAAAATTTTGAATGCGCAGGAAAACGGCGAGGTGTCGATGTGACTCCCCGGAAATTGTGACATCTTCAAACGGGCGGAGTCAATTTTTTGTTGGTTAAATGACTCATTTGGCATTTCTAAATTTTGCGCAAAAAAAAACAAATATTGAAAATTTTTATCTGAAATTTGTGTAAAACAAAAAATAGTATTGTTTCAACGATGTCAATCCAAATTTGAATCACCGAGCTTGAAAAAATATGCGGGCCCCATAAACATCTTGCAAAAAAAACCAATTTTGAGGCGTTCATTAAAATGTAAGTCCGCAGAGTTCATGCGGTGTGTTTGCACAATTCACGTGGTATTGTAGCCAATTGAGTTTTGGCAAGTTATCAAATTTTTAGGTGCTTGGCAAATTGTCAAGAGTTTATTGTGAGTATGACTTGGCTTCATGAAACACAAAAAAAACCTACGAGAGGATAGTGTAAGCTATGGCAGTCTCTTCGCAACGGGATATAGCGGTGGTGCAACCTTGAGCGTCTGCGCCTTGAATTCCACCTCAGGAAAATACACCATAGTAGATTTCTGAAATTTTCGATAATTTTAATTGTCACATATTTAAATATTAAGAAATTTTCGCGAAAATCGTGAACAATTCCAATTTTATATCGAAATTTGAATAAATAAAAGATCATTTTAAAATCGAAAACCAATCACGTCGAATGTTGTGCAACCACGCAGCACCATGTCTGCGGACTTTTGCATTTTAATCTCCGCCTAAATATTTCAAAGTGTGCGCAAAAATTTGCAAGTTTTCCCCACCCAAGGGACTCGTTTTTCATTGCGATGCTAAATAATAGTTGTTGTAGACAATAATTCAAAAGAGTAGTGATTATATTTCCGTTGTTGTATGTCAAACAAAAAATATATGGTCGTTTCCGCGCAAACGCGAAAATAAACCGAAATTGGATCGTGCCAAATGAGACTGCACAAACAATTCTCAAAAAAAATGCGCAATTTTAATAATTTTGTTTCAAGGAAATTAATAACGGAAAATGGCGATAAAAAAGAGGAATTTTTTCAATTCACCCCCATCTCCAAAAAACCAGACAATTTGAGCATTTTTATTGGCTCCACACGTTATGAATGACGAGCTCAATTTGATTCCATCAAAGAAAAAATGCATAAGAATTTATGGCCTTCGTGATTTCCATCCATTGTCAATTCAAAATGAGAGGTTGAGAAGCGGCTTTTCAATATTTTATGCCGCTTCGTCTTTTTTTTGAAATATGAAGAAAGGTCTCGCCACGAAAATTTTCGCGTTAAACAAACCCTCATAATTATTCAACATTTCAACAAAAAAAAAACGCTATGTGAATAATACATTTGGCAAATGTTATTTTTCATTTCAGCATTCCACGTCATCCACCTGCTTTCGATACTTTTCGTTTCGAGAAAAAAAAACAGTAGTCGGTGTGTGACGTTGAATCAACGCTTGCGGAGGAAAGCAGAGCGCTCGCAAAAATTTATTCGGACCACGCAATTTCGAATTCTCGCCACATTCCATTTAAACTCATTAGAAGTGATGCGGAGAAATCGCGCTCGCGAGCGCGCGCGTGCTCACTCGCATTTTGAAGACTCTTAATAGCACGTCATAACTCTTCCCCATTTTTTTTTTCGGCGCATTTTTAATTCCACTTATTTATTTATCATTTTCGTAATTTGTTTATTTATAGATTTCCTTATAAATGAGTTTCTTTGTGAAAGTTTTTCATTATTGCACCTAACATGAAAAATACTGAGAAAGCCACGAAAATTTCTCATAGATAAAAAAAGACAAATATATCGTGCGTTGCACTTTTTGATAAATGAAATTAGGGAAATCGAAAAAAATGTTTCCCAAATTCTCAATTAAATTAATCTTTTGCCCGGAAAAATTTGAATTTGAAAAATAAAAGCCATTTTAAAATGAGAAGGGTGCACTGTAACCAAAACATATCAATGTGTGCAATTTTGCGTAAATGTGTGCACACAATTTTTTTTGAATTTTAAAAATTCTATTATTTTTTTTTAATTCAGCTCCTTCTACTCCAAAATTAGGCATTTTTTTAAATGAAAAAAAAAGAAAATTCTTGCTTCCCAAATTTTGATAGTTGGAAAACTCAAAACACGCTCATCGTTAGTGTCCCAATGGTTCAATTGATAAATAAAAATGATAAATGCCCCAAATCAATTTCCAAGCAGCCGACAATTAATCTCATTTATATCGATGCGACATTTAAACATTATTTGCGATTACCCTCAACGTCACTTGACTCAACGAGCAATTTGAAAGCCAATTATACGCAATCATCCCATCAATTTCTTTCCTGCTGCGGAAACGCCATATACCCCCCCCCCTCTTTCGCCTTCTTCCTTCAAGGATCTAGCCCCACCTCTAATTTTCTGTGCTTCTCGCTGTGTGGCAAGCAGTGCGACTTCTTCTTCTGCTTCTTCTCCGCCGCCACCGCCGCCGCCCCTTCTCGCGCCTCCCGCCCTCTTTCAATCTCGCCTTTTTTTCACTTCTTCTACTTCGTCGCTTTCGGTGCGATAAATGGAAACTACTACTACTGCTAGAAGTAGTAGTAGTTGAAAATAAGCAATTTTGTTTTATTGTGACGCCTCATCACGTAATTTCGACACCTCATATTTACGCGTTTCGCTCAAATGTATTATTTTTTTTTCGTTGTTGTTCTCCACCGCCACTCACTAGCTTCTCGTCTTCAGATGCACCATCCGCAGCCAAGAGGCGTTTCGACATATCCCGCGTTGCTCGAGCCGGTGTGTCGACGACGATTGCCGATGCCGCCCGACGAGTCGCACATTCGACGAAGCAGCTCGCCGCGCATTCTGCCGACACCGCCGCCGCTGTCGCCCGAGTTCCGCTCGCCGTCGGCGGCGACGGCGAGCCTCGAGCGACGCGCGTCGGGACGCCTTCTGCCGCGTCCGCCGACCGCCGACATCAACGCGATGGTGTCGCCATCGCAGCAATCGCTATCGCCGGTGTCGTTGACGCCCGATCCGACGCCCGACGAGCCCGAGTGCTACCAAGATGAGTCGTACGACGATGAGAATGAGGCCGATGAAGGCGTCGTTGAAGTGGCGAGCGATTCGGAGAATCTCGTCGAGCAGTCGCTGCCGCCGCCTCCTCCGCGAATCGCGCCATCACCACGCACAACACCGCCGGTATTCATTCCGGTCGCCGAGCCACAAGGCCGACGAATGTCCAAAATCTCGTTGCATTCGTCATCAAATGAGCAGGTTAGTGGATTCTAATGAGAATCTCAATGTAAACATTGCTTCAAAATCTCGATGTTTGTATTTTTTTCTTGTGTTGCTTCTCGCCATTTATTCACAAGATGCGAAAAAAAATGTGAGAGCGAGATATTGGTCATGCAATATTGGTTTTTGTGTGTGAGAGAGGGGGGGGCTACAAAATTAAAATTTCTTGAAATTTTTTATTTGGCATTAGTGCATCGGCGTCTTCTGTCACACACACACACACCCATGCTATATAGCGAATTCGGACCCCCAGGAGAATTGAATGTAAATGGGAAAGTTTCATTCAAAAACATTGGCCCCATAAAAATAGACATCGAGAGCCCATTAGAAATAAAAGAAGACGAAGAAAAGTTAAGATTTGCGGGAGGGGGGGGGGGTTAAGAAAAAAAAACGAAAAAAACTTATTATAAGCGCGGCAAAAAATATGGGGGAATACCGAATGTTGCATTCATTTCTACTAATCCTTTCCCCCTTCTCATTCCTCACCTAATCCATGCGATTTTGGGCATGTGAGGAAGAACAAAAGCTGTATAAATTTTTCATGGAATATGTTTTGAGAATTCAAAAAAAGGGGGGGGGGTCGCAGCATGAGTTAAAGCATCCCATCCCAATTGCATTACATCTCATTTGTCATTCGTGTGAAAGCACGAAAAAAAATTGTGAATCGAAATTTTTTGTCCATGCTTTTGTTTTGTTTTTTCGTCTTCTTCTTCTTCGACGCGCAATTTTTGATACAGAGTCGATTTTTTTTGGCAACGCAATTACGTTAATTGTAGTAAAGCAATTCTCTCATTTTTTTTGCTCGTATCTCTCTCTCTCTCTCTCTCTCTCTCACATCCGCCGCCACCTTCGTATCCAATTTAATGTGCATTTTTGATCTTCTAAAGTGCTGTAGACTCTCAAATTTCCAATCTATTCACATTCTATTTTCACGCTGACCGCCTTTTTGTTGTCGTCATCAATGATTCAACGACGACGACGATGGCGGCGGCTAGGAGGAGGCAGCAATAACAGCAAAAATAAAAACAACAAAAACATTGAAAAAAATTCCAACAAACAAAGAAAATTGAGAAAATACTATTAAAAACGAAATTTTTGTTCGATTTTCTAAATAGAATTTGTTCTCGACGGAGCAACACGAAGAAAAAAATTTTGAAACGACGCTGTGTGTCAAATCAAATCACATAGATGGTCGGCGCGGCATCATTTAGCGAATGCGTGCAAATTTCATCAATTTGGCTCATAAATTGGGTTGTTTTCGAATTTCGCTTCGAGGATTTTGTGGAAACAATGCGGCGTGCTCCTTTAAATTAAATACAGTATCTTTTAAATCTTTTTTCCCATTGAAATTTTCTTTCTTTTTTCATTTTTTTTTCAGAAAATCTTGCAAAACACACATTTTCTTCTCCAAAAAAATGCATGTAGTGGAAACTTGTATAATGCATGCTTTGAATAAATTACAAGGGAAAATCACAAAAAGAGAGAAGCGTTGTGTAATTTATGCAAAACACAAACACATTCATATTTATACATAGTCTTTTTTTTTCTGAGCAAAAAGAAAAAATATGGAGAAATGCTGTGTGCAATTTGTTTTTTTTTTCAGCTAAACCGAAAAGCGAGTTCTGACAACGATGACCCAATTACGCATGGATTGGACCCGAGCCTCTATTCGCCGAATGCCCCAATCAAAATTGAGAACGAAACGCCCATCATACATAAAACGGTTGGAACTCGTCAATCCAATGTGCAATAATTGATTGAAATGCAATTTAGAGTATTGCTTCGACGTCGTCGCCGGATCCGCAACGGCCAACCGGATTAGGCCTTCTTCACTGCTCGCTGCAGCATTTTCCCGTCCGAAAGCGTTTGCGTGTCAGCATTCTAAAAATTGAAGGTATCTATCACGAACACATTAATGAATTTTGACGTGCAGCATTTTTGAACTTGCATATTGGTTTTCGAGGTTCTTTTTTTTGTCGTCTTCTTCGAAACCCAAGGGATATAAGTACGCGTGGTGTCAATCACACGCCTCGATTTTTTTTCTCTCTCCCTATCTCTTCGTCGTTTTTGTCGACCAATTTGTTCGCATCGTCAAATTTCAGCACTTGCCGGCGAGCTGAAGCCAGAGCTCGAAATTCATGCGATATGCAAAGTGAGCATACCGACGCTGAAAGGGGCCAAAGAGCAATTGTCGGAAATGAAGCGCGGCCGAGATCCGGTATTCAATCAGGTGGGTGTTTCCTCGTTAACATCGTAATCGGAATTTTTTTCGCGTTGCAGGAATTCTTTTTTGATAACGTCACTCATGAGGAGCTCGACACGAAAACCGTGTTGGTGCACGTTTGCCATCAAGGCGCTAGTAAAATTGGAAAAGAGCTGCTTATTGGTGAAGCAATGGTGCCATTGCGTGATATTCGCGAAATGAATACCAAAAAGGAGATTAAAATTGTTGCAGAGATCAAGGCAACTGTGCCGAAGGTAGGGGTTTCTTTCGGGGAAAAGAAAAAAAAACTCGCAGAATGTCTGTAGGCTAATTGTGTGCAAACACGCCGTGTGAACTCTGCGGACTTGCATTATAACATACGCCAATTTTTTAAAAATCATTTTTATGCGCGAGATTTTCCATATTTTCTGGTGAAACAAAAATTTTTGCAGAAACTTGGCAAAATTTATACTTCATCAATTATCGAAAAAGATGCTAAACGATTAACAATCAATCTAAAAAAAGTTGACGATCTTCCGTGTTTCGGATTCACTGGTGCTCCCGGTAATTTTGTTGCCATGTTTCCTTTTTTCAATTTTTTTTTTGTCAATTTCAGATGTTTGTGTTAAAATTACGTTAACACAAGGAACACGATCGCAGACAAAAGCCTCAAGAATTTTGAAAAGTGAGTTCAAAGTGCCATAGAGCAATATTGATATCTTAATCATTATGCTCATCATACTAAGAATGCATTAGAAACTTATTTTGAAAATGCATGCATTTGAAATAAACATTCCGTTTCAGGCACAACAACGGCAATTTACAACGAGGCCGTCATGTTTCTGTTCGGCACGTCGAAAAACGAGCTCGCCCAGACGTCGATAGTAATATCTGTTCACGATATGCAAAGGTTGAAAATGGATTCTCGAAAAAAAAATTGAGTGCAACATTTTTTTAGATCATGCACTGGTGATGATACAATTGGATGCGCTTATTTGGGTGTCGGAGCGATTGACAAATCTGAAATTGAGCAATGGAAGAACACCACAGAGCATCTTGGAAAAGAGTACAAAGTAATTTTTAATTCAAATGATTTCGAATTCAACACATTCTTTTAAAGGGAAACCATGTGTTGAAAGCACCAGTACCTGCTCCGCCGGTTCACGTCGCTGATGTTACCGTCAATCATGCGGACGGCGGCGACGACGAAGAAGAAGAAGAAGAAGAGGAAGAATAATTCAATTCAAATCGCTCTATTAATTATTTTGTGATCATTTTGCAAATGTTTCTCAGGAACTCATTAATTTATACAAATCGTTGACCGGATAATGGTTAGAATATACGAATTATACTGGTATTCCCACGAAAAGCGTTTCCCAAGATGATTCAAGAGATTTGGACGTGGTGGTCCATAGTTGTTGGTTTTTTTTTTCAATTGAATGTACATAAATATATTATTGTTTTCATTTCTAGAAGTGTAGAAGTCGTAAAAAACTAAAAAACTAAAAAAAAAAAAGGAGCCAGCAGCTCGGCCATAAATTTCTTCAACCGCGCACTATTCAGCGAAAAATATTCCATATCTCCTCATTAAAAAAAATCCAACAATACCCAAAAATGGCTAGAACGTTTATCTCGTCTCAGATTAGAGATTGATGACGACGAGGGACGGCTGAACGCGTTCCTTGTTTGCATCCTTGACCCCTTGAGTCCAGATGTTCAATCAAATATATGCTTCAAGTGGATCATATAAACATACATATCTATTTCTATCCTTTTGTCTTCTTATTTATCTGTCAAGAGTTGTTTCAAAGTTTTTCTCTAAAAAAAACTTTGAGGTAATAATAAGTAGTACATAGTGGAAGACACTAATTACGAGTTGCGACCCCCTCGTTCTTTCATTTCACCTATTCTATAGAAGAAAAAAGTTTTTCTTTTGCAGATGCGTTGAGACATGACTATTAAGCAGCTTCTTATTCATATAACCCCTTGGGGTCTTCTTATTATATCGACGTTGCTCCTATGGTACAATTATGAATTATTGAAAGAGAAAGAGGTTTGCTTGGAGATTAATTCAATTATTGGCTGGAATGCACAAATTTCTCGCAGATTCGCCGACACAAACGGGAGCTCTATGAGACGGAGGACACCAGCTCGTATTTTGTGCCAGTTTTTGCGCGAGTTTCGGTAAAATTTTGGTTTTTTCGGCGATTGAAAGACATTTTGAAAATGCGTGCAATTTTGCGTGAGCGTGTATGCACCAGATTGTGAGAGTCCGATTTTTTTTTTCAAATTTTTGTTTCCATTGAGATTCAACTTTTTTTTAAATGTGGTACTTATAAACTTAAAATTCATGATCTTTCACATTATGAAAGTTTGAAAATGTAAAAACTTGCATCTAATAGATGTTTCCATACGAGACCCAAGGCGGCAATTCAAACGTTGAATAAAAGATCGCCCAAATTCGTCCGTCCGATTCCGAATTTTTCAGAAGAAGTATATTCGAAAAATATGCATGGAGAAATTTCATTATTTGGCGCCATCGAGTCAAGAAAAGAAATTCAAAAATAATTTGATGCTCAAAACGGCGAAAGACTGCTCGTCGAATGTCAATTTTTCAAAAATGGAGCTCGTCGGAAAAAGAAAAAACAAAAATGGTAAATTGAATTTTGTGAAGGCGACGAAAAAAGAGAAGCAATGCTACTCAGGGTGTGCGTACATCGATGGTCCCTATTGGCACGTGTGCGAAATGATCAATGGCTACACGATGCTCACATTTAAAGGCGCACGCCAATTGAATAGCTCAACAGCGAGTCACGTGCATTTTCTACCGTATGTTTGTGAGGGAACTGACAATACAGTACACCACAATATTATGTATTTTAATCATCGCAATCTCATTGTTGAATTTAACTTCAAAAATCAAAAGACGAGAACATTGAAATTAAAGATCTCTGAGGTTTGATTCAACACAATTCTGAATAGATTGAATTTAATTCATTCAGAAGCCACTGTATTCAAATTCGTCGTCAAAAATTGACATACAATTCGACGAGTCTGGACTATGGGCTCTCTATAAATCGAATAAAAATGATTTAATTGCTGCCAAAATTGCGGCGACAAATTTAAAGGTAATTCAATTGTTGATAAAATTCAAAAAAATGAAATATTCGCATTTCAGCTAATCTCTCAATGGAATTTGAAGACGCTTGACACTTCAAAGTTTTGTAATACGTTCATTAAATGCGCGGTTCTATACTCGGTTGAATGCTCAAAAAAGGAAACGATCATCAAACCAATCTATGATTTCAATTCAAGCACGTTTATCAGCGGAAAATCGATGGCGTTGAACGGAACCCTACAATCCGTCAATAATATACAATATGATCCGGATTCGAATTCGATTGCTATTTATTCGAATGGCCTCATTTTCAAGGTGTTGCTTCAAAATGTTAAACAATAAAAATTGTCGAATTATTGTTTTTTGATTGATCGCAATTTGAAGAACGCTAATACGGCAAAAATTAATAAGCCTAGGCCAATTGCTATGAATTGCAACGAGGTGACGAGCTTTGGCACTAGCACGAAACCAATCCAGAGTTTGTCATAAACGAATGAGGACAAAATCGCGTGGGACTCATGCCAAAATAGTGGGATTACTATATCTCGCATATTCATGCTCGATCTGAATGATAATCAAGGCGATATTAAATATTTGAAAAAACGCACGGAACGTCATGGCTTTTTATTACTGGCATGTTGACTTGCATTCGATTGATCACTTCGACAACTGTCCCGGAGTACTGAAATTATTCAATTTAACAATATAAATAGATGTATTTAATAGATAAAGTAAAAATAATTTTAAAAAATATTGTTGAGAAATGACAAATGTATCTAGGTGTCGTGGGATCCTGCGTTTTGTACGCAATGCTAAGAGACAGTTACCGTAATCCTCGCAGCGATTTACGGAGATTTTTTAAAATTTTTTTTTCAATTTTTTTTACTGAATTTTCTAATTTTCTTTAGAAATCTTATATTTAAAACCTGTAGAAACCGAGTTTAATTATTTATTTTTCAGAATATGCACTTTTTCATTTGTCCAGTTGAGTTGGGAATTATTGTGAAGATTTTGACGCTCTAAAAATTATTTTGAAAATGAAGAATACAAAAACAAGATAATAGAAACGCATACAAAAAGCAAAACACGATTAAATAATTTTATTAACGACAAAAATGATTTCTTTTTAATCTCTGGTGTTTTTACCAAAAAAATGTCGTTTAAAAGTGCTTATTGTGCTAAATACATTATTAAACTCGGTTTCTGCAAAATTTAAAAATTTAATTTAAAAAATTTCGAAAGAAAATTAAAAAATTGAACGAAAAATAAAAAAAAATGAATATGCGAAATTAAATAAAATGTCCCCGTAAATCGCTGCGAGGATTACGGTAACTGTCTCTTGGCATTGCGTACAAAACGCAGGATCCTACGACACCTGGATACATTTGTCATTTATCAACAATAACCATTTTTCAATTTTTTTTCCACAAAATTTTTAATAAAAAGGTTCTGTGCATACACACAATACATCTTATTTGACGACATTAAATTTTTTTTCTTTTTTTTTTTCAAAAAAAGAAAATATTTTTGGTCTGATGATCGCAAATCTACTAGTTTTCGTGTGAATTTTGGTTCGACTTGATGCTATATATTTATTTTCGAGCAATGACCTACCGGCTCATGAGAATATATCATCGGGTCGTGCAATTCGGCGTTCGGCTTCATTCCGACAACAGTTTCGAAAACCTCGCGCGGCGAGAACAGATAGTGCGGCGCCGAATAAATGACGGAAAACGGCGACGGCTGCAATCGGCCCGGATAGCAAACCAGCGGAAACATTCCGGGCGGCAGCAAGTATGTTCCATTATACAATGAGCCGTCGCAACAGGCATGGCAAAAATTTTCAGATTTCGAGCAATCGATTGAACCCGACTGCTCGCATTTCCCTTTTCTGCAATTTTGCTCTTTATTTAATTAATTTTGAGTATTGATTTTCAGAAACTAACGGTGGACAAGTGGGCCAATCCGGAAAATAGTTCCGTTTTTCGATGTTGCGATACCGAAATCCAGTATTTTTTGAAGATGTTGTATCCCATTCATCATAAGGCACGTTGAACGAAAGCGATGGTATCCCTTGTATCATTTTTGACTCTTTATAGGACATGGTGAAAGATCGACACATGAATGACATGAAGAATTCAATTTTTGACGACTCGTTCAAATTCATTTGATTGAAACTGCCCGAATCTGGAAAATTTATGGATGAATTGATTGATTTTTTTCCAATTTTTTAGAAATCAAAAAAATTTTTAATTCTTTTTTTTTCGTACCACTTCCCCTAATTGATCGCGAATAGTCGGTTGACCACCAAGCGCTCGGCAGCTTCTTAATTCCGGCCCAGCTGACAATCTCGCCCAACTTATTGATGTCATCTTTTCCAGTCTTCACCCAATATTCTTCGTCCCTCGAGTTGTTATACTGCAATTAAATGAAACACAAGGATAATTATTTTGAAAGTTATTCGCTAGTGGCATTCAAATTATATATAAATTCTCGAATCACAAATGAAGATTTTTGAATTTACTTTTTATTTCTTCGCAAAAAATGAAAAAATATCAATTTTAAGGAAAAGTCGATAAAAAACAAAGAGTGTGCAGATTTGCGTGCGTGTGTACGCACACTTTGCTCATTTCGAATTTTTTTCTTTTCAAATTTGCCTAAAATATCATTTTTGAACATACACCTTGAAAATAGCCAAAGCGCGGCATATCGGGTATTGGAATCGGCACAATGCTTCCTTGATCGCCTTTGAAAATTCCAGAGATCAACGCGACGAGCTTCGAATGCGCCGCGGAGAGAAGTGCGTCGTCATAGCCGTCAAATAAAATTTCGCGAACTTTATGCGAACTGAAAATGTTGCTCAAAACGTCAATTTCGAATTTTTTGCAACACAAACTCACACAAACGGATACTCGCCGGAAAGCAATAGAAATGTTGCAATGATGGTTCGTCCCATTTTGTTGATTTCAAATTGAGGGTCGATCATTGAGGTGACGGCCCCCTAGTTTTAAAAATTCTTTTTTTTTAATATTACGATTTCTTACCAATCCTGGAGGATTTGGAAATATGATGTTCTTCTCCCAACTACAATCCTGACACGAATTCTCACTTGACAGCACATATTTTTTGTAGTTTTGATAAAACATCATATCACTCTTTTTAGACCATTCAACATATTTTTTCTCTTCGCTTTCCCTGAAATTTTCAGAAAAATAAGAGCGGATGACGTTTTGGTTTGAATAGTCGCCTTGGGTCTTGAATGGAAAAAAGCATAATTTCGATTAATTTTGAATATTTGAGTTATTTAAAACAATTCCAAATGGGATTTCGCCCAGCGAAATTGAAATTTTTCGAATTCGTCATTTTTTTGGGGCGGTTTTGTTGTGGAAAAAAAATAATTTTTCCCTTTTTTCTCACAACAGTATATAACAAAAATAAATATTAAAAAATTACATGGCTATAAATGGACCAACTTCAACAACATGAGGAATATCGCCATTGTATTTAACCTCGTCGGGATTTGTCAAATTGAAAAAGAAAAATTTCATTGTGTTCCTCATTGGGGGATGAGTGAACAGCCATGTCGAATAGCTGAAGCTCAAATCGCTGTTTTGCGAGAAAAACAAATTCTTAAAAAAATTCGCGTTTAATCAAATAAAAAAGACAGAAATAACCTTTTGAACTTCACTATTATAAATTCGTCCGAAAAATATCCATGTAAAAATGCCGAGTAATAGTAGAATTATTGCAGTTAAACCTGTTAGTAAGTAAAATTTGGAGAATTTGAGCCGCATTGCCACCGGCTCCGATTGGCGGTCATAAAATGGTCTTGGCCTTATCAGTGTCATGAACAAATGCAAATATGTAGTATTCATAAAGGGTCCTGAATGGAAATCAAAAAACATTAGCTTTATTCAATTTATTAGAATTTATGTTCAAATTTATCACAGTGCTTCAGAAGTCCATGAGAATTGCGGGATTCGACGATTTTTCCGATTTCAATTTTTTCGATAATGAGAATTTCGACTCTTCTGAAAATCAAGGTCGTCGAAAAATGGTACGTCTGAAACTAACTGGATGGATGGAAGTGCTTGTGCCCGATGTAATGTATGAAATCCACTAATGATTGGCGATTTTTTGCCGACACTTCGAACAGCTTCACTTTTTCTCTTGTCGCCCAATTTTGTGCAAACGCGCTATCGACGGTGGAAGGTCGATCATTCATATTGGCCAAAACGACGATGGGTACCTGAATTTTTTTTTCCAAATTTCAAATTTTCACAATTTCCGGATTTTCTTTAAATTTTTTTGCAAAGAGAAGGTAAAACCTCCAATTTACTAATTTTTTTCAAAATCACCTCTTTTTTATCTTTTCCAAACTGCCGGTCGATCCATTTCTTCAGCAAATCGACCCGATTGAAAGATTCATAATCTGCAGACGAATAAACGAGCACAAACGCGTCGGCTGCTTGAATATAGGCCTTTTTTAGTTCGACGGGCCCGAAATTCGAAATTCCGGCGGTATCGTGCAATATTAGAATCTCCCGGGCTTTGTCGGGCTCTTCGAGCAACACTTGATAGGTGTCCTCGATCGTCGGCTCGTACGGCTTCGTGGTGATGTCTTCGACGCACGCGACTTGACGAAGGATTGCAGTTTTGCCGACTTTTTTCGCACCGACAACAATTACGCGCATTGCTCGCCCCATTCGCCGGCCTAAATTTTCATTCGATTTCAAAAATCTCGTTTCTTTTTCAAAATTCTACCTCTTGCCGCGAATTTCGATGGTCTCCTCTGTGTTTTCGCAACGTTTATATCTTCGATTCGAGGATTCGCGTCGATACGATCGTTAGATTCCAAACAATCATGAACTGAGCTTTCTGTGCTGTCGTGTGTAGGGAATATATAGTCGTCCTCTGGAATAAATATGGTAAATTTTAATTCTCATTCGAATATTATGAAATGCGCAATTTTTTGAAATAGAGATAATAGAAATTTATGCATTTACATTTAATTTTTCTCATTTTTTTCTTCAAATATTAAAAAATATTTTATTCCAACCATTATTAAACTCGGAGTTTCTCATTTCGAGGGCAAGCGCTGCAAATGTTTCCGAAATCAATTTCGGCTTCGGGCTCGTTGGCACCGGAGGCTTTTTCCGATTTTTCATCGAATAACTTCGTTTATCAGTCATAATTGAATATAATCTCAGAATATGCAGAATATACACTACGTTTACTGATAAAATATTCATACAAATATTATAGATAATATTTTAGCGTTATCATGTTCATAAAATAGAGAATTTCGGCGTTTTTAAATTGTTCAATTTCTAATGAATCATATTTAATTAACGCAAATTGGCACAAATAATCAGAAAATGAAAATGAAGTGCAAAAATTGAAATTGAGCTAAGAACAAATATATTTATTCGTAGCAACTGTGCCGTCGCTTGCACTGTATTGTACGCAGTGCGATGACCTGGTGTTTGCGGATTTGGCGGAAAATAATTTTTGAAAATATTTATTTAAATAAACATGAAAATTGGGTTTTCGAATGTATATATCATGTCAAATTAATTCATTTGTTGTAAATTAGATGTTCTGTGCCGATAAGATTTTCTCCTCAAAACATGCTTTCGATATTTTAACATAGCGATATCAAAAATTACAATCACGTCTTATTTCCTTTTTCATATTTTCTAAAAAGATTGAAGGACGTTTCCTGACCGTCTTCACCAAAATCAATGACTACGTCGAAAGTACGAAGACATTTTGGTGTGTTATCACTTCAGAACAGTGCGTTTTCTTATCATTAAAACGAAAACCCCGCGATAAAAGATCTTGCCGTTTCCTCAATTATTGCACGATTTTTCTCAGTTTCGACCAAATCTGATGATTGTTTTCGATCGATATCTTCCTCAAATTCAATAATTTGTTTTTTTTTTAATTAATATTCGTAAACAATTTTAGGTGATATGAGTTTTCTTCGATTCGCAGCTCGCAAGTCACCGTTGGGTCAAGTGCTTTCGAGATTCTCCTCAACAGGTAAATCTGCCAAATAATTGACAACACATTCTTTAAGGTCGAAGATACACGAAGAAGCACGAGTGGGTTCTTGTGGATAATGGCGTCGGCACTGTAGGAATCACCGATTTTGCCGCGGTATGTTAAAAAAATATATAATGGATGGAAAAATGAGAATAATTTATTGATTGTTTTATAGGAACAACTTGGTGATTTGGTGTACGTCGAGCTTCCCCAAGAAGGAGATGAAATTTCACGTGGAGATTCGACCGGTGCCGTCGAGTCGGTCAAAGTAGGGCCCTCGAACGTTGCCATAATCAAACCATCTTCATTCTTCTTGATTCTAGGCCGCTTCTGATGTTTATGCGCCAATTTCCGGCACCGTTGTCGAATTGAACAGCCGCCTTGAAGAGGAGGCGGGTCTCGTCAACAAAAGCCCGTTCGAGAAGGGATGGCTGTACAAGCTGAAGGTCAAGTCCGCTGACGAGTTGAACGAGCTTCTAAGCGAAGAGCAATACAATGAATTCAAACAGAATGAGGAGGCATCAGCGCATTAAATTGTTTATAAACGTTATTTCCCGGTTGAATAGAACGAAAAAATTCTGGTCGTCATAAATTCAATAATTCATTAGGCATTGCACTTTTTGAAAAAAAAATTTAGTAAACCATTTATTTCGAGGTAGCTGTGACAACAATGAATGGTTTGCACAAAGTACAAAAAACGATATTTTAAAATTTGATATCAATTATACGGGCTATTATTGATTACAGGGTGTCATTTAAGTTCCCGCACAACTTTGTAGACGTACATTTCTGAAACTAAAAGTCCAAATCAAACGAGACTCGAAATAAGCGTCGAAGCGTCTCTGCTTGTTGACGGCCGATAGAATTGCCGCTTTTTGGACACGATATGGGGTCAGTACAAGCTTTGTTTTGACGATTTGTTCCATAGCAAAGATGCTCATTCCCATGTCTGACGCCATCTTTCTCATGCTCCTGTGTGGGTTTCGCCTGATCCTCGATTTAACGGCGTTGATCTTCTGAGGAGTGGTTACTGAGACGAGTCTTCCTTGTCTGGGACGGACACTGGTCGTATTTAGCTACTTGAATCGTTTGATGGTGTCGCAAACCGTTCTACGAAGCACACCGACCCGTTGAATGATGTCTCTCGGGCTCACATTTTGCTTATGAAGTTCGATAATGGAAGCGCGATGGATGTTAGCCTTCGCCATTTCTCGGAAACACATCCGAATGAGGTGAAACTTGGGAAATAAGTAAAATACACCTTATTTAACAAAAATAAATTGTATTGGTGCACAAAAAGTGCGACAGTCAATCTCTTCATGGCGTCAAACTTTTGTGCGGGAACTTAAATGACACCCTGTAGTTAGTTTGATTTTTCTCCCCGCAACACAGAAATGTGAAGATTCAATAATATATTCACATTTTTTTATATTACATAATTGGCAAAATGAATGAGCTATACTAGAGGCGGAAATTTGTTGACGCCTTTCAGACCATCGCTGTACCCATTTCGCATGTGAACGACTGTATACAACGCGAGTGTTCTCCACAGACAAACCGCGTCTTTTTTCTGTTGCTCGTCCAAATCTTCTAAATTGTGCATCCTCTGCTCAAGTGAGAACTCCATAGCATCCTAAACGTACATTCGCATAATAAACAGTGTGCTAGTTACTTCCAAATATCTACCTGAAATATGTCCCAGTATTCTGGTTTAAATCCCCGTTCGGCGAATTTACAATGCTTCTGACCGACTAAATACAAAAATGATTCGGTTCGATCCATGTGGTAGATATTCTTGACGACTTGCGCCAGCGTCTAAAATTTGTTTTTCGTTTTGGGTCCCGCATGGAAGTGCCAACCTGGACAAATTTGAGTGCCTGCGATCGAAACTCTTTCGAGTCCTTCCACTCGTCGCCCTGATATTTTCGAATGAACGGGAAAAGCTCTTTGCAATGCGGATTGTGCTCGAAAATGTAGGTGTAAATCGCCGAGCCCAATTCGTACAGAAAATCAAACTCGTCGGACCATGTCCTCCTTAAGAGCTCCTGGAAATTGAATCAATTCATTTTTCTTGATTTACAACGCCTCCAACAACTTTTTCATAAACATTCGGCTCCCACTTTTCAATGTTTCCTTTGAAAGATGCCTAAAATTGTGGATCAGTCGAAATTGATTTCGTTTTTTTCGGTTTTACCTTTGCACTCGTATTCAATGATTCTTGGTTTGATTCGCTCATTCTCCTTTCTCCACCATTTACCTAAAAAAAAAAACATTTTCGTTTTCCCTTTTTTGTTTAAATAATTCTTTTGTTTAAATTGATATCACATCACCACAAGACCCAACTCATTTTCCGCATTATGAGCCTTTAATCAGTTATTTTATTCATTTCAATTACACGATTGAATTGCGTTTTTCTTCGCAATTTTCATAAAATTTCATTTTCGAATATCAAAAAATAAAAAAAGAAATTTGAAAATCGCCGCGAAATCATAGGTTGTGAATATCACTTGAGGATCTTTATACGGTAATTAAAGGTTTTGTGCTGAGTCTCGTAGCGATCGATTCTATCAGAAAAGGACAACACACAATTTTTTCTCATTTTTTCTCTTTGCGCAGGGTTGGTAAATTGAAGCCGGGACCGAAAGCCGGCCGGCCGGCCCGGCTTTCGGCCGGCTTTCGGCTTTTTTTTGAATTCCCGCTTCGGCCGTGCGGCCGTAAACAACGGAGTTGGGGGCCGAATCGCGGGCCAAAAATTTGACAGCGAAAAAAGCCGGCCGAAAGCCGGCCTCAGGCCGGCTTTCGGCCGGCCGGGCCCAAAATTTAACAACCCTGTCTTTGCGCACTATACTATTAATTCGACCCGGTCACCAAAGTTTGTCCACGGCCATTCAAACGAAATAATTAAAAATCAAAGATAATTGTCTTTTTTTTTTGTTTCGCGACACGAATTGAAGGCATTAACCGAATTTTTAAAAAAATTAATAATGCGACCGCACGCGAACCGCAACGCGTCTGACGGCATAGGTAGCCACTTTTTCCTATGTTCTACTATAAAATGACAACATTTGTGTGATTTTATGAGTTTTTAATTAAATCATAAAACAAGCGGGTTCCGAATATGAATGTCGCTTGTCTGCATACACACCAACGACGCATATATTATTTTTTGAGCCTGTGAAAATCAAAATAAAATCACCTTATTTCTTCTAGCCACATGCGGAGTACTGAATTGGCCGCCTTTGTCAATCGCGCTGAAACAAGAAGACATCGAAATTTCAAGAGTAGATGTGTGAATTCAAGATAGGGAGAAACAAAATTGATAATGCTTTTTGATTCGATATGCGAGCGAGCTGTTCCGGAACTAGTCGACTCACATTTCCTGCCAAGAATTGAAACGTCTCATTTAAATCGAGTTTTCGTTTTCTTCGAATTTCATTTATCGATTATTTTTGTCACAAAAATCACTATTACGAGCATTCTCGGCATTTGTGGACCATCGAATTTTTGTCGCGGCAATTCAAATTTTGAAATTGAAACAATGCACAATTCCATGAGTCGTATGAGCTAAATCTATGATACCTAGGAAAATGTGGAAAAAAAATATTTAGAGAATCAAATAAAATATAATGAGATTCTCTAAAACTTATCGAGCAGATTCTAAACGCTTTCGCAAAAAAAAATTTAATTGGCTCGAATTTTTTTTTTTGCAGTGGGTTTGGAAAAATTAGCTCGAAGTGAAACACAATCTCAAAGAATGTGAAGACGGCGATGAAAAAAAAAACACGTCGGAAAGCGTATTTATCAGATGTACAGGGTGTCATTTAAGTTCCCGCACAACTTTGTAGACGTACATTTCTGAAACTAAAAGTCCAAATCAAACGAGACTCGAAATATTTTTTATCTATAGTATAACAAATATTTATCTATTAACTCTTTTTGATTCGGCCTCTTTTCGCAGCTATGACTTCACGGAGACGCTTCGGGTAGAATTCGACTGTGGTACGCAGGTATTCGATGGAAAGATTGTCCCATTCCGCCAGTAATGTCTTCTTCAGAGCCTCTACACTTGAGTTGGGTTTTGCGTTGACCTTCTCCTGCAAGACCCCATCACGGAAAAGTCAAGCGGGTTCAGGTCTGGGGAGCAATCAGGCCATTCGGATGACTTGATAAAGTCGGGAAAATGGGTCTGGCACCACTCCTGAGTAGTTTTGGCAGTGTATGCGGGTGCTCCGTCCTGTTGAAAGACCCATTTCTGCCCACCGAAATGCGTTTGGGTCCAGGGCATCACATGCTTCTCCAAAATGTCCCGAACGTAGACTTCTTTGTTCATTTTCACCATCTGATCCACGAAAACCAGGTAGCACTTCCCGGTTGAGCAGATGGCACCAAAAGCCATCACACTGGCAGGATGTGAGGCTGGATGATATGTTCTTCCTTTCTCAGAAGCTTGCTGGGATGTTTGGCCAAGTACTCAATGGTTTTGTGAGTTGAATGCCGCCTCCACACTGAACAGCTTCTCGTCGGAGAAGACAGTGACGAGGTGTTCTCCAGACCGCGTGCGAGCAAGAAGTCGTTTTGCTTTTTCGAAGCGTCTCTGCTTGTTGACGGCCGATAGAATTGCCGCTTTTTGGACACGATATGGGGTCAGTACAAGCTTTGTTTTGACGATTTGTTCCATAGCAAAGATGCTCATTCCCATGTCTGACGCCATCTTTCTCATGCTCCTGTGTGGGTTTCGCCTGATCCTCGATTTAACGGCGTTGATCTTCTGAGGAGTGGTTACTGAGACGAGTCTTCCTTGTCTGGGACGGACACTGGTCGTATTTAGCTACTTGAATCGTTTGATGGTGTCGCAAACCGTTCTACGAAGCACACCGACCCGTTGAATGATGTCTCTCGGGCTCACATTTTGCTTATGAAGTTCGATAATGGAAGCGCGATGGATGTTAGCCTTCGCCATTTCTCGGAAACACATCCGAATGAGGTGAAACTTGGGAAATAAGTAAAATACACCTTATTTAACAAAAATAAATTGTATTGGTGCACAAAAAGTGCGACAGTCAATCTCTTCATGGCGTCAAACTTTTGTGCGGGAACTTAAATGACACCCTGTAGAAGCCTAAGCGCGACATAGAGTCTCGAAACTGCGAAAGAGAGCGAAAACGACGGTGAGGTGAACAAACGGAAACCAACTGGCGTGGAATTTCGAGAATAGGTTCTTATTAAACGCGCATCGATCAAATTTTTTGTTTCGGGGTTTGAGCTTTTCCAATCGAATTTTGTGGTGTTGCAGAGGTTTGCAAGAAACAAATTCAATTTGCTTTGGAAGGCTCCTGACGCGAAGGAAAAAAAGCTGAAATGAAAATCGAGCCTCTAACAAGATTATTTGGGCGGCGGCGGTCGAAAAAAAAAAACATGGAAAATCGAATGTGCGAGAGACACCACCACACCCTTGCATATTGGGTATGCATTATAATAATAATAATAATAATAGTAATAGTAATAATACTTCATTGAGTTGGGCTCGAGTGCGGAGAAATTATGAAACAAAATGAAGCCCAGAAGCGATGCGTATTTGGGCGCCACAAAACAAACACGGGATCTGGTTTCTAAATGTAAAATCCGGGAGAAACATGTCTATTCCATGGGGAGCTTTTTATCAAGATGTTGCATTTCGCGACTATTGTTGAAAAACAAAATGAAAGTTATATTCACTAGACTAATGCTACTTTTTATTAAAGAATCCTCCCCATCTCAAACTTGATGTGCTTTTAAAGTCATCATCATAATTATATATATAGTCGGCGTCCGGCGACTGCTGTACGCGGGTAGATTTAAGCGCATGCGCCTTGAATAGGTCTTGCCAACGCTTATTCTGGTGTTTTGAGGTGAACGATTTGTTTTTTCTTGATGAGTTTGGCGTTTCTTGGAATTTCTAACGTCGTTCGATTTAAAATTATCGAACCGACCCATAAAATGCAAAACAACCAGTTAGTCCGTGCGAGACCAAGAGGAAGGAGCATCTCCGTAAATTTACCCGCAGTTGTCGGACGGCGGCTATATATACATATATAAGCTACCTGCAGCTTGAGAGACTTTGTGCAAATCGAGAGAGTGTAAGACAACGAGAGAGGGTGCAATGGAACGAGACGCAGACAGAAAAACACATCGAGCCAGAGCGGGATCGAACCCACGATCTTCAATATTATGAAACCAAAGCTTCTGCCATTGCGCCAATGCGCCAAGAATTAATTTATAATTTTGATAATCTGTGACGTTTCAATGAAAGAATTTCGTTGAAAATCACAAAACCCAGCGGTTCAAATGTGATGGGTGCAATTTTGCGTCGCGGTGTTTGCACACATTTTCACCATCTTTTTGAAAACAATTTTCTCTCATCTTTTAAACTTCAAATATTAATAAATTCAGATTAGAAAGGAAAAAAATAATCGAGACAAAAAATGCAAACTAAAAAAATAAGGAAGGTCCGCAAACACCGGGCGCCAAATTCAAGAAAATCCTTTTCCACTTTTTTTTCAAACAAAAAATTTCGAGTCTTGCGGATTTCTTCATTCAAATCCATCCAATTCACATGAAAATGACATTCATTTTTTTTCGTGTTTATTTTTAGCACATTTTCATAAAATATTTGGAGGAAATGAATAAAAACTAGAGGCAAAATGTAAACAAAAAATGGCCGAGAGTTCACACGTAGCGAGGCCAATTTGTTTAAAGGCGCACACACCCTACCCCACCATTCATTTTTACCTGATCTGCGGCGACGGTGAGTTTAGAAAACTGAACATGTTGGAAACAAGTTGCCTGGTTGCTGATGGGACCTTCAAGACCGACGGCATTGAGCAGCGCCTAAATTCCATTTCAGACCATCACAATTTATTATCGTCGTTTGCGCTTCTTCAAGAATCTAGCAAACTAATAGAGAATGCTCCTTTAAAAATACAAAACATATTTTTTTAAATTGAAATTTCCTCCGAAAAAGGAACATGCCCTATTATATTCTTCGTGAGAACCACAAATTTTGCCTCATTATAAATAACCTAATTAAATTCGTCATAATTACAGGGTGTCATTTAAGTTCCCGCACAAAAGTTAGACGCCATGAAAAGCTTGGCTGTCGCACTTTTCGTGCACCAATACAATTTATTTTTGTTAAATAAGGTGTATTTTACTTACTTTTCAAGTTTCACTTCATTCGGATGTGTTTCCGAGAAATGGCGAAGGCTAACATTCATCGCGCTTCCATTATCGAACTTCATAAGCGAAATGAGCGCCCGACAGAGATCATTCAACGCCTCGGTGTGCCTCGTAGAACGGTTTAAGACACCAACAAACGTTTCAAGGAGCTAAATACGACCAGTGACCTTCCCAGACAAGGAAGACTCGTCTCAGTAACCACTCCTCAGAAGATCAACGCCGTCAAAACGAGGATCAGGCGAAAACCGCACAGGAGCATAAGAAAGATGGCGTCAGACATGGGAATGAGCATCTTCGCTATGGAACAAATGGTCAAAACGAAGCTTGGACTGACCCCATATCGCGTCCAAAAAGCGGCAATTCTATCGGCCGTCAACTAGCAGAGACGCTTCGAAAAAGCAAAACGACTTCTTGCTCGCACGCGGTCTGGAGAACACCTCGCCACTGTCTTCTCCGACGAGAAGCTGTTCACTGTGGAGGCGGCATTCAACTCACAAAACCATTGAGTACTTGCCCAGACATCCCAGCAAGCTTCAGAGAAAGGAATAACAATTTATCCAGCCTCACATCCTGCCAGTGTGATGGCTTTTGGTGCCATCTGCTCAACCGGGAAGTGCTACCTGGTTTTCGTGGATCAGATGGTGAAAATGAACAAAGAAGTCTACAATCTTTCCATCGAATACCTGCGTACCACAGTCACATCCTACCCGAAGCGTCTCCGCGAAGTCATAGCTGCGAAAAGAGGCCGAATCGAAAAGAGTTAATAGATAATTATTTGTTGTACTATAGAAAAAATATATTTCGAGTCTCGTTTGATTTGGACTTTTAGTTTCAGAAATATACGTCTTCAAAGTTGTGCGGGAACTTAAATGACACCCTGTATGTGCTGCTCTTCAAAAACTTAATTTCCAAAAAAAAACCTTTTTTCACGCCTCTGTTTCTGGAAAAAAAGCAGGCCCTGAATGTCGTCAGTCGCGTTGCGGTTCGCGTGCGATCACTCGTTTCTTGTTTTGGAAAAAAAATGAGGGCCTTTAATTAAAACTTGCCCTTTGAGAAAAAATGTTTTCATAACATATATGGTCAATAATAATAATAAAATTTAATATTGCAAAAAAAACATTTTTAGGTGAAATTGATTAAAGGCTAATGAGTTGGGTCTTGCGGCGACTTCACTTTTTTTCCAGAAACAGACAATCTTTTAAAAAACTCGCTCCCTGTCCAAATTTCGGTTTAAACAATGTGTATGGGGTAAAATCATCATCAAACTTGGGAATTTTTCAAAATTTTTTTCTTCTAAAAAGCGATTCTCCCCTCAAAAAAAAAAATAAGAAATTGCTCACAAAATGGAGACTCCACTGGCAATTTGGTCGGTGAGACCGGACGTCGAAGCGCTGTCATTTTTAGCGCCTTCGACGCGACCATCGACGCTCATTTCAGCAGCGCTAGTATAGAATACGACTAGTGGATGACGTTGATGCAAAAATGAGATACAAAATTGGATTCGGTCTGGCGCGCGACGCGCAAAAAAAAGCAAGAACCCAACAACTTTTCAATACACGCACAAAGAGAATCAGATGGCTAGAAAAGGCAAGATGGCCAATGAAAATGAGGCGCAGAAAAGCATAACAAAAAAAAACGAAGAAATTCCGAAAACGGAGTCCTTATGACGATTCACTTGATTTTCTCTCTTGAGTTTGAAGGATAGAAACGCAAACAAACGATTGGGTGGGGAGGGAGAAGAAAAAAAAAATGAAAAAAAAAATGGTGGCGAGCCAATAATTTTTGAGTTGGTTTCATTTACATTTTATGAATTCGTGCCTTATTAATATTCATAAGCCTATCATTATATGAGAAAAATCCTTTTTTTTTTGGAATTGCGCGAGAATTTATTGCAAATAGTAAAATGTGTGCAATTCTGCGTGTCAGTGTATGCACACCGCCTACAATTATTTTTTATTTTTTTCAAAAATAGTTATTTCCGCAATCTTCATATCATTTTTTTGAGCCCTAAAATTAAAATCTAGAATTTTTTGAATTATAGCTTACCAACAGCAAAGGAATCCGTGACATCGGGCATTGTAATTGGCCGCCATTTTCCAGATGATACTTCTTTCTCTAAATCATTTTCTATTCAGTTATTCCAACATTCTTGGTACAGAAAAAAACGGCGTTTTATAGTGTGCTCTATTTAAAGGAGCATTGCATAGGATTCCTGAAGCGAAAATGTTGATATTGGCTTTTCAAAGCGAAATGAAAGATATATATCGAATATAACCGAGCGAGAGGGATGATGACAGCCGATGGCTATTTCAAATTATAGAGCAATTCTCGAAAAGGCATTCACGGTGCAATTAGCAATTATATATCTATGCGGGGTTTCTTTTTTTTTCTGCTGCGCGCACACATTTAACAGAATTCTCATGGAAAAAATGTGAAAGTTTCGTGTGGGCCCTAAAAAAGCAACGAGGTCATCGGGAAAAAGCTGAACAACTAAAAAATGTGTGGAGCAGCGAGTTTGTCAAGTTGGAAAAGAAAATTAGATAAGCCTACGAAAATGTTTCTTTCAGTTCGTTGAGTGCCTCGATTTGGTTTTAATTGAAAATGTTGGCGACCAACCGGAAGCGATTAAATTATGGAAAATGTCGCGCTTGGTGGTGTTAATGAAAAAAAAAACAAAAACAATCGATGTGAGTTGAACTTTTTTCTCACATACCCAAAATCGAATATTTCAATGCTCAAATGCACTCAGTTTCCCAAGAAATTGTCAGTTTTTCTTTGGAAATCAAAAGTTTTTTTAAATGAATCATTGTCGCGTTGAAAAATTGTTTCTCATTGGCTGGTAAAAATCAGCTGTCGAAAATGGTGGCGTGCGTTCACGTTTTTTCGTTGTGGGACTCTTGAAATATTATTATTTGCGGCGGTGGTAAAGCCTAAATATTTAATTTCATTAGAAAAACTTCAATATGTATCAAAAACGCATAACATTTTTTTGTACCTTGAAAAAAGTGCTTAGATTTGACCATTTTTTGGAAATTAATGAAACTCGCCCAAATTTGATGCGCCTTTAAAACGGAATTTGCTCAATAGTAGCATGGGAACTAGATTAAATGTCAAAAATGTTGAAATTACTTGCAAACAAAATAAAATTATTTTTTTTAGATGCGATACGCGACTATTGCGTCGCGGTGTTTGCACACACTCACGCACTACAGTAAATTCGCATCAATTTATTTTTTTTCTCAGATTTTTAAACCTTACAAAATCAAATAGAAAAATCTAAAACGGGTGCGTAAACAATCAACCAAATTTAACAATTGAATTCATATCTTGTTTTTATTATGGAAAAAGTATAGCAAAAATATGATTTATATATTGGGGCATGGAATTAAATATTTTTCGATATTATTATTGTACAATATTGAATATAATTAAACGTTATATTGACAATAGCTAATTCTTAAATTGTTTACAAGCTTTTACAGAATTCTGGTGGCCGAAAATCAAACATTTTCGACCAAATTCGACGTTTCAGATTGTCATGCCCCCAACAGGACCCCCTCTCTCTATTCACGCAATGAGCCTTTAATTACGATTCTTTACATTTTTCATTCAAATATAAAAAAAATGTTTAATAATAATTGAAAATTAGAGGAAAAAATGCCAAAAATGAGTTGTTTTAAAAACAATTTTACGAGTTTTCTAATTAAAGGCGCACACTTTTTTTTTCAACAATTTTTCCCTATTTTCAACTCTAATGATTCCATTTTCGGAATTTTCCATCATTCCCAATTTTACATATTTGTAGTAAAATTTATTATTGCGACAAAAATCAAGTCGAGTCTACTTAAAATATGAATAACAACGTTTATTGTGACAACAAACTGGTAACAAATGTTATGGTATGTTTTTGATGGGGAAAAGAATACACAAATGAATGAGGATGAAAGGCAACCACGCTTGGTCGAACAAAAACCATTGAGCAAAGGAAAAAAGCAAGAAAGTGAAATTAATAACTTATTGTTGTTTAGCTTTCTGGTATGTACAAACAGCTACCAATCAACTAGTAAAGCGTTTTCACAAATTTAGTTGGTATTGTTAGCATGAGCCGGTGCCAGCGGCGAGCAACGACGGCGAAATCGTGAAGTCGGTGGCAATGTGGAGGCCGTGCTCGATGATGCGCACTTGCGGATTGATGATTCCGATCGGCAGCGGCAGATTGTTGGGAATTTGGAAGTTGATGCCTTTTTGGAGGCTATCGTTGGCAACCTAAACAGGAAATCGTTGAGGCTACACACACGCGCATCATGGGCAAACCTTCTGCAGCAATTCTTTGCCAAGATTTCCAAGGTTATCCAACGCGTCTTGCGGCAGGCCAAGTGTTCCGGTTCGGTCGGAAAGATGAAGATTTGTGATCTCGGCGCTTCCGGTGAGACGGCTTCCAGCAATTTGAACCGTCAACACAACGGTTGCGGCGATTGTGATAGTACCAACCTGAAGGAATTCAAAAAAATATATATCAATCATCAAGAAATCGCTTCAGACTTTGTTATTTGTCCCATCGATGTAGATATCGGCATCGGCAATCAGGTCTAATGTCGCCTGGCCGCCGCGATTCTGACTGAGGATCACCGACGGCGCGCGCGTCGTTCGAATGAGCACGGCGATTGTCTGATTCGGATACTTCTCGCGAATCGCCGGAAGAATGTCGCCGAAGCAGATTCCGAGGTCGGCGAGGCCGGCAGTGTCTTCCTGACGACGCTTGCGCGGATCGCGTCGCCGCTTCGTGCGCACCTTCTTCGTCTCATTCACCAAATGGGTGGCGTGGTGTCGGACAATGGTCTCTTTGGGCCGAACAACAATTTCGCTGGTGTGCACACCGCGACGCGTGCGGAATTTCGATTTCTCTTTGGCGGCGAGTCGCCGACGCCGACGCGCTTCTTCCTCGTCGAGCTCGACCTCGGTGGCTTCGAGATCATCGTCGTCGTCGGAGCATGTCGTTTTGAGGAGCTCGCCAATTTTCGGCGTGTCGGGACCAATGCGGAACGAGAGGAATTGCTTGCGGTGGAGTTGATAGAAAAGCGTGTTGAGCGTGTAGTCGGAGAGAATGAACTCGGCCATTTGCGGTCCATACGGTGGGAATTGTGTGGGGAACGCGCCAAACGGACTGCCACTCAATCCGTACGAATTGAACTCTCCGCTCAGATCAATTGTGTAATCGTTAGGTGTCGCGTACGATTGAAGGTATTGAAGGCTGAGGTATAGGTCGTTGAGTTTGGTCTACAATAATACAATGATTATGACAAGGTCAGTGTCAGTGTGAACCAACAAAATCAAGATGCGCCGCGATTTGGCGAAGGAACGAAGCTGGATCGTCGCTTGCACCGCTCGCTGGACACTTTGAGCAGTCAGGTGGCGGTAGTAGGACAGGTGGTCCGACAGCAACCTAAAATGATAGAACCGCTTTCAATGGTGTGTGCGATTAAAATACAGTTGGCGGTGGTGGATATCTAGGCGAGGCTCCGAGTTTGACCGGAGCGAGCGCTTGCGAATATTGCTGAACACCGGCAGCGCGGACTGATTGCTGACGATACACCGGGTAGTGATAGACAGGATAGGCTCGTTTGTGACGTCGCGGAATGTTTCGGACGGCTCGATTCGATTCAGTGTACGCCGATGTTGGGATTTGCGGTGCCATTCCGCCTTGGGTGTAGGTTGGCGCGGAGACCGCCAATGGCGCAGCAGGAGCTGGTGATGGTACGCCTGAAGACGTGCATTGAATTGCTCGAGCTTGCTATTAATTTGTTTTACTTGTTAAAGAAGATGAAGTGGCTGGCGCCGCGGATTTCGGGCAAGTGGATGGACACGTTCCTCCACCACCTCCTCCACCGAGGTTCAAAGCGCCTCCGAGGAGTGAAAGCATTTGAGAGACGGCGATCGATTGGGGCAAAGCGCCGAGTTTCGAGTTCAATTTTTCGTTGATAATGTTCGGCAATTGGCCGCACACTTGACCCGGTATCATTTGACGGACTTGGTTCGAAATTTGCGACTGCAATTTTTCAATCAATCAATATTCTCTAGACGCCTCCCATTTTCAATTCTCACTCTGAATTGGCTGTTGACAATATCGCCGACCAATCCGCCATTTTCAATATAAGCATCGGCGTAGCCAATTTGCATGTCGCACGAGAGCAGACGAACGTATGGACCATTTGGACCTCGTTCAATTGCTAATTGAACGGTGATCGTCGCCTGAACGAAATTATTAAAAGCGCTTAGCGAATGAAGTCTCACTTGATGGATGTTGAGTTGGACAATTCCGGAAAGGGCAATTGGCAGCAGAACGACAACCTGTCCTCCCAAGTTGCCGGTAACTCTGAAACAACGATTTTTGATGAAATCGATTTGAATCAAATGTACCCGATGTCGACGTTCTGCACTTGCAAAACAATTCGGTTTGGCGGCGCTGGATAGAGAACGATTCGCTGTGGGCAGCGGTATCTCGAAACGTACAAGTTGTAGATGTTGACGCATCCTTGCACCTGTTTTTTTTTTTTGGAAATTGGCGGATTTAAATGATTGAGGGAAATTTTGTGAAAAAAAAACGAAAATTTGACTATGTGGAAAGTGTATGCAAAATTACGTACTTTGCATTTTATCACACGCGCATTTACACAGTGGTTTGAAATCGACACTATATTATGAACCGAAATGTTCCTCTCCCCCCTCTCTGGCGTAGTCTATTCCAAAAACACAAATAAACTCGTTTAGAGATGTCATGGCATTATCATATCATTAAAAAGTGTAGTCTCTGCTGTTGCGCAACTTCGAAAACGCCTGGGTTCGCCGTTGAACACAGGCGGTAAAATTTTGGCGTACCATTGGAATACACTGTGTGATTGGCGGAATGCGGGCCTTCTTGATTTCCGTGTTCAAAAGGTCGCCGACAAGCGTGCTGGCGTATTGGAATGCGCGCGAGTTGAGACGCGCCCGGATGCCAGGATATCCGCGTGTGCCTTGAAAAAGGATCGGATTGAAATCGGGTCTGAAATCATCGAAATTGCCCCCCATCCATTCATTTAATCGATTATGTCACCCGCTGAATTGCCCATTATTTGTTGCAATGGCGCCGCCGGCAATTGCGCCACCTGCGTATCCGCTCCCTCCGGCATTTAAGTATCCTATTAATAGGAATATCTAAAGCATCGTAAATAAGCGACCATTGCTCGTCATAATTATTTAAATTAAGATAAACCCAACAAAAAGAAATGAATGCCGACTCACCACTGCTATTTTCAGCATACTTTAATATAATAGATAATTGCCCACCACTTTAATGCCACCTGAATTAAACAAATTCTTTAAATCGATTTTAAGAGAAACTCAAGAGTGCCAAGGATTTTCCTAATAAGGAAATATTATAGTAAAACGGATGGCTAAAAGTGGGGCATATTGGCAAGATAAGGAACCAGATTTCAACAACAACAAGAAAACAATGAACAAAAGCTTTTTGAAGAGAGAATGAATTGTTTAAAATTGATTAAATTTTATCGAACAACAAATTGGTGGCGATCGCTTTTTTTTTCTCAACACCCACTCACACAACTTTCAATTTTCAAAGTGGAATGCAGTAAATAGAAACATGTTTTTTTTTTAGAAAAATTGTGACAATGGCAACAATATGAAAATAAAGAAATGCATTTTTATAAAATTATTACAAAAAAATATGCGTGGGTACAAGATGCAAGAGGTATACGAAATGGCATATCTGCATCTCCCTTTCTCTACCTATTTCTTTATTTCAGACGGCAAACGCGAGGTGGTGTTGAGGGACAATCACATATACAGCAAAGGGAGGTGTCTGACCGGTTTCCAAGATATGCAGAAGCTGGTATATTCTTTCTTGGTAAGGACGAATTACGATATGGCGGGCGCCCTCGCACGCGCAACACGATGTTGTTGATGATGATACACTTGACAGCAGAAATTTTTGAAATCGCATTTCAGATATGCAGTTCAATGATAAACTTGATTAAATTCCGACTCGCTTCAATTGAATGAAGCATATGATTCACTTTAAATTCGAGCGATGGTTCCATTTGTTCTCTTGAACCTCAATGATGTTGTTTTTGGTTTTACAAACCAATGTTTCACTGTCTGGCGAATCCAAGTTGTGTAACGACTAAAAAGCACTTAATTACAATCGAAAGTCAAAGTGTACTATTGTATTTTTCTTGGCAATCGCTTGTATTTTTCAATTATTATTATTATTATATTGCCGGTTTCAAATGACTGATCAGTTCAGATTTGCGCGTACGAAATAATGCACAGTACGCAATTTCGCGTACTGCGCGACACACCTTAACACTCAGCCATTTTTTGTTTGAAACATTTCCATTCCAATTACATTTTCGGTGGAAATTCGTGTATTGGACTGCCTGCGAATGAAACTTGCAGATTTTATTAATTACAATAACATGGTAATCAATTCTTACAGCACTTTTATCGTGTGGCAATAATTTTCAATTATGAAAAACATTTCTTGTTGTAATTTTCGATTCACAATTTGCTGGAAAAAAACCGCAGGCATATGGCTGTTTTTTTTTTGCAACGCCCAATATTATATACACAAGGTACACAAAATTCTGTTGCGCAACACACAGACACACACATTTATTTCCGAAATGAGACGCCGACCATGAAGCCTACGAATCGAACTCGTTTTGCTTCCGAGAGAAGGCGCGAATTGCGCAATCATACCCACCTGAAGATCGCGCAATTCCGAACAAGTGAAAAAAACCTGAAAACTGCTTGGCTTACGACGACATCGTCAATGCACCTCGTCATCAATGATGTATTGTTGGCTGAGTGTGTGTAAAAAGCGAAACTGGTGATAAAAATAATAAAAGCGTGTTTGTTTATAAATTTATTTATTAAACAAGAACACAAGTATTTCAACTTTCGCACAGTCTGTTCTCCTCGATTTTATATATTTTAAATTCCCAATCGTTTGTCTAAAATGAGATATTTCCATATTTTCAATTTGCGACAAAAATTTTTACCCTTCTACAATGGAATATTGTCGGGTACACATAGCTTCGGCCCGTGTAAGCCCAATAAGTTGCATTTATGTGGAACGAGAATTCATTTCTACTGTGCTTCTCCTCATGTTCCGTTTGTTTCTCAAGATGCATTTCGTGAATCACACATTTTGTGACAGTTCGAGCTTGAACGTTGAAACGATAAGGATATGGCTCTGAATTGTTCGATTTGCTCAATTTTCGATAACTTCAAATACCGTAGGAAATCGGATGCTTCATGCTGCAATCCTGATAGCTGAACTTCTCCTGGTCAATCATATTGTAGAATTTTTCCCAAGCCTCCGTCTCCTGATCAATATGATTGAACGTGCCGTTCCACAATTCCCAAGTTTGGTTCATAAATCCATGCTTATCGGCGAGATTATACGTTGCATTCAGTTCCGCCTTCAATAATATGTTAGCATTTGAAAAACGAATAAACACGAATACCTGAACACCGATGAATAGCACCAATAATACCAAGTAGACATTCATTTTTCCGGTATTAAAACAAAACGTGGTATTAAATAATCGGGCAGATAAAAATGGTTCACGGGGGGTTTTTTAATTTTTTTGTTAGCGATTAGGACACTTAAAATTTGTAAAAAATAATGCTTTCTCATATTAGGACCGCAAGAAAGCGAAAAAAAAAACGATTCAAACGAATCTACAACATTAAAACATATAAATCCCGTTAAAGTTTAAAAAATATATATATATATATATATATATATATATATATATATATATATATATATATATATATATATATATATATATATATATATATAAATTGTATTAATATGACATTTTATCGGTGTCAAACGACGGAACGAAATGAAAAAAAAATAATGGCAACCTGCCAATGCGTCTCGAGAAGTACGCGAGATTGCGTACATAGCATTATAGCGTACGCGCATTAAATATTCAGTTAACGATTAATTAAAATCTTGACTCGTTTCGAAGATTTGAAAGCACCAAAAATATCAAATAGACATTCATTTTTCGGCAATAAAATCAAAACTATGTACGGTAGACAAGAAATTGTTCAAATTTAATAATTATGCCAAACCTTTATTTGTCTATTAAAAAAAATATTTTTTATTTAAAAAGCATGTCTCTCCGTCATCAGTTCGCTGATATTTTGTAATGTCGCGTTCACAATATCGCTAGCCTTAATTATGCATAATTATGGTGAATGCGCCTTTGAACGAAACACTTACATTATGGTTGCCTCCAATATCTTGAGTGTGCACACGCTGCTCGACGAGCGTCTTCCAAAGAGCATCGGAAATCAAATCAGCATGGAAATGACAATCAAGATATCGGAGCATGTCGACACTGGCGCGAATGAATGCCGTCGGATTGGCGAGATCTTTTCCAGCCAGCGATGTTCCAGTATTTCTTGTGCCCTGAGATTGATTTATTTCAACAACATTCGTCGCTTGACCCGCAATTTTCTTGCCGTTTCGAAAACCGCATATTTCTCTCCAATATTCATTCCGGAGACCAATCCTGGTCCACCGACAAGTCCGCAAGCAATGTTTGAAATAATATTTCCGTACAAATTCGGCATCACCATCACATCGAATTGTTGCGGCTTCGAGACCTACCAATTCGGGTCTCGCATCGAACCAATTATTTTAAAACCTTACCAATTGCATTGAAGCATTATCAACAATCATTGATTCAAACTTGATATCCTTATATTCTTCTGTTGCCATTTCTTTAACAATCTGCAAAATATCAAATAGAAGGCCAAATACGCAACAAAATGAGAACCTTCAGAAACAACCCGTCGCCAAGTTTTTGAATATTCGCTTTATGAACTGCAGTGACCTTCTTTCTTCCGTTAGCCTTTGCGTATTCCAACGCCATTCGCGAAATGCGCTCAATTTTCTCTCGCGTCACAACTTTAATGCTTTCAACAATTCCTGGAATCGTCTCATGCTCGAGTCCCGAATACTCGCCTTCCGTGTTTTCACGAATCAATACGATATCGATGCCCTAAAAGAATGGATTTTAAATTCAAAAAAAATCGGATTGTTTACGGAATGCCGCGACGGAATTGTCGGAATTGTGACGCAGTGCAAAATATTTGCATACAAATCGAGTTCGGTTCGCAATTCGACGTTTCTTGATCGAAATTGCGGATCATCGTGCTTCGTTTCAATATTTCCCTAAATCACAATGTTCGATCAAATCCTGCATGAGGGTTCACCTTAATTGCAACACCATTTCTCTGAATCGCCATTATGGCGGCCTCCATGTCTCCACTAACAAGCGACGAGCTGACTTGAACTTCTTCAAAATTCACGGGCGCCTTGAAAGAAAACATGAAATCGGATATTCGCCGAAATTGGCGAAACAAATTACATGGCAGTATTCAAAAATTTTTCGAACGTGCTCCAGCATTTCCGGACCAATTCCGTCTCCGGGAAGTGCGGTTACCGTATGACGACCGCCATATTTCGCTAGAGGAAGCTAAAACAATTCAATCATGAATGCGATAAGAATATAAATAAATTCATACACGCTGTCCGGGAATCTGATGGGTTCGAATGGCGGCGGCGGCGGCGGCTCCTCTTGCCACATTAATCGATGATCTGGAGAGCATTTGCTTCTAAAACGAAACCAAATCGATAATATATCATAAGCAAGCAGAAAACGCAAAAATCAATGATGGGGCAGTTTGTTTCTCTCTGATATTTTAGTAGTAAACACACATCCTGGTCCGTTCTTCTATCGCTCACAGCAAAAAGAAGATGAAAAGCTTGGGGTGGAAGAGAAACACGTGAGCAGCAAGTGGCTTGATAAAAAAAATTGTTGCCCCTCTTGCAATCGATTAGTGAACGCGAATGAGAGAAACGGTATTGAAATTAGCTTATTAACTTTAAAAAAAATTGATTCAATAGAAATAATTTGCCAGGCGTATTTCACTTTGTTCACAGAAGTTCCGAAAAAAACGTGCATTTTTTTTAGTTTTTGGCGAAATTGCGGCCTCCTTCGCAATTTGCCAAAAATGATTGAATGCTAAATTTTTTAAGGCTTAGGCGCGGGCTAAACACCTAGCCATTTGGAATTGGGCGTGATTTCAGACTTGGACTTATTTTTCTTTTCTCTTTTTCAAAGTTTTAGGACATATAACATACAATTTTTGTAAGAATTACGATGTTGTCTTTATCGTGATGCCAAAATAATTCAGGTATTGTCTCATATGATGCTTGGTTCGCAGATCTCAACTAATTTTGCATATTCATCGCCCGTCGACATCGTTTCGATTTCTGCAAATAATTTATATATTTATATAATACCAATAAAATTTTTAATTAAATTATTGAAATAACATTTAAAGAAAGGTTTAAGCATTAAAATAAACAGGCCTGTTCCCGGGAAGATTCGTAATAAAAAAGGAGAAGAACGAATATTTGCATGAAGTGAGCATATGCGCTCTATCGTAATTTGGGAAAAAATTCTCATAAATTCCCATGAGAATTTTTCTTCTGAGTTTTACAGTTCTAAACTTTAAATACTAACATGTCGACTGCGGTGTTACCTCCTTACACTAATCAGAGTATGTTTTAAACCGCCTTTTATTAAAATCACATGACATTATGCAATTTAGATCCCCACTATCCATCTGAAGTTTACAATCCTACAATTTCGCCAAATGAAGGGGAAATCACAATTCTTGGCCCCGACAAGGTGAAATATATTTCGCCGCCAAGGTAATTTTGCGAAACGTTAATCAATAGAAAATTGTTTGAAATTCTAGGCAAACACAAAATCAATATAATCCTTATCTTCCCCAAATGCCACCGCCATACCAATCCACAATGCAACCCCAAATGCCGACTTGCCAGTATGCCTCGAATATGCAACCAATGATGATGATGCCGCAACCAATTATTCAACCAATGCCAATGTTCATGCAACCGACAATGCAACAACCTCAGCAGCCAAGTCCACCAAGTTCGCAGAACATCAATGTGGTCGTCAACTCCTCTGGCGGCTCCGGTGGTGCCGGGAGCACTTCTCCCAGCAATCCTTCAGGCGTTTTGATTTGTCCAAAATGTCGCAAGGGTATCATCGTTCGACAACAGGACAAGAAACGAAAGGTTTCCCACATTCAATCCTTTTCAAATAAATTAAAATATTCCAGAAAAAGCTTATATGTCTTGCCGTATGCTGTTTTCCAATATCATGCTGCATTCCGTTACTATGCCTCCATTGGAATTTCGTTGATGGTTGCGCCTGTTGCGGCAAATCATATGGACATAGAGGCCGGAAGAACAGTAAAAACAAAGTGAAGGCTGTCAAAGTTTAAATATTGTATTCACCTTGTAAATTATACTATTGGCTATGTTAAAAACATATTAGCCTTTTGCGAAGCTAACACTTCCCTAAAATTGAGTCAATTATAAAGGCATGCGACTACGTATTACTTCATTTTTTCGGGTTACATTCGTGTTTTTTCGAAAAATCTCTCGTTTTCAATTTCTATTTCAATTCGCACCATGAGAAACGCGAAACAAAGTCGCGAAGCCCGTCGTGCGACTCGCCAACAATCTCAAAGCGACGGTACTCATCATATCATTTCAATTTGATCAATTTCGTTTGATATCCAGCGACAACATGTGTGATGAGTGAGCTTGATCATGGAACTGACATCGAGTTGTTCAATCCGAACCATCAACGATATTTATGCTGCTGCGGACATGCGCACGCATTGACAGGAATGCGCATCATTTCAGGAATGTTAATTGTGACAGTCCTTTTTGAACTTTGGAAATTGATTGTCACCATTTTTGCAAATGGAGTGATTCAAGAGGTCCAATTTTCAACTTTCCATTTTTTTCCCCTTTAAACAAATTTCAAATTCAGGCCGACATTGTTCATTCAGCCGTCCGCTTTTTAATAGGGACATTTATCGGTGGAACTGTTTTATGGTCCATTCTTGCAGAAAAGGCGATTTTGCTCATTCCATATCTTGTGATTCAAGTTGAACAAATCAATATATGAATACTAAATATACAATTTGTGTTAATTCAGGGCACTGGATTAGCAATTGCAATGGTCTTTTTCGTCGCTTTAATTTACATTTCACTTTTCGGTGATAAACGAATCGGAAATGCGGTGCTCAAGTCATTCGGAATCAATATTAAACTAACCGAAGAGGGATATATTAGTAATCAATTACTCAATGATGATTTTGTGGGTTGCATGTTGAATCTAGATTATGCCGCTGGTTTGATGGCCGGCTCGTTTGCAATAGTAATTGCGCTTCAAATATGGCTCATGTGTATTGTGATAACCTGCTGGAGATATTTAAGGTAATTATTGGTTCAATTTAAATTTACGCTGTGTTTTTTCTATAGAGATAAAAAGAACAACGAACGGCATAATTCGTTGATCATGATGAGAGCGAATCAAAGGACTAATGTAGAGATAAAATTATTACCTTACTCTCTAAGGGATTGATTTCTTCAGACCCGTTTGCGAGTTTCATTTTCCGAAGAAGCCATTAGCTCATTGGACCTTGGACGGAAAAGAGCCGGAACATTGCGCTCATTTTCAAATTCGTTGGAGATTTGATTTAAAAAAAAACTTGCTTCTTGTATGACAACGAAAAGGTTTTTCTTTTTCGTCTGCTATCTCTTCGGAACTGCTCGCAACACTAAATAAACCATTTTTTACGAATTTTTGTTTTATATATTTATGATTATAAACCTGCTTCTTTGTTGGAAAACGAGTTGAACATCCCGCCAAAATTGAAAATATTTTTCAGAAAATTTGAGAAAAAAAAAAGAGCTCTCACGCATTATTTTTGTCAATTTCAGAATGTTCACTGCTAGTATTCGTCTTGAGCGGTTGTCGAGCAAGAGTTTCGTTTTGCGTCGACTTGCCAGTAGTCTAATAGACGTTTACTCAAAAAATGTTAGCAGCGGATTGTTGAATGATGATCAATTTCAGGTATCATGATTGATCGAGGTAAATCGATTCATGCAAATTCAGAGGAAAATAATAACGGATTTTGAGCGATTAAGAAATGAGATCGACGTGTACGAGCCGTCGCAAATTAATCGAAACACGGGATTTTGGGAGTTTTTGAGGAAACCCAAAGAATTGAACGTGCCGAAAGGGATCTACCTATACGGGTCCGTTGGATGCGGCAAAACGATGCTGATGGATTTATTTTTCGAGAATTGCGCGACGAAAAAAAAGCGAAGAGTCCATTTCAATGATTTCATGCTCAACGTTCATAAAAGTAGGTGAATTATTGCAATTAATATTCAATCCAAAATGTTTAGGAATGCACGAATTGAAATTAGAAAGCAATCAGGGACGCGGCAGATTCGATCCGGTGCCATTGATCGTCGATGAAATTATCGCGAGCACCAGTTTGCTCTGTTTCGACGAATTTCAAGTCGATCACTTCCAAATATGCTGCAAATGGAATTCGATTGAATTGATTACAGGTGACTGACATCGCCGACGCAATGATTCTGAAGCGATTCTTCTCGATGCTATTTGAACGCGGTTTGGTTATGGTGGCCACTTCGAATCGGGCGCCGCAAGAATTGTACAAAAACGGCCTTCAGCGTCATCAATTTGTTCCATTCATTCATATTTTAGAGGCAAAATTCGCTTAAAAAACGAAATTTGAATAATCAATTATTTCTAGGAAAAATGCAAAACGTTGACATTGGACAGTGGAATGGATTATCGACGATCATCCGGCGATCCCAACGACATATCGGTATTTTTTGTCGGAAATGACGCCAATAAGCAATGTGATATCGCATTTAAACAATTAGCTGCGAACGAAACAGATAGTAAACTTTATAATCAAATAATTGCTGATAATAATTCTCGATTTCTCTTTTTAGATGTGCGCTCAAAAACGCTCGAAATTCTCGGTAGAAAAGTGATTGTCGAAAAATGTTGTGGAGGCGTCGCTGATATCGAGTTTCGCGAGCTGTGCATGACCCCAAAAGGCGCCGCCGATTATTTGGTCCTTGCGCGTGTATTCCACACAATCATTATTAGAAACGTTCCGGTTTTAACGCATGACAGATGCAATGAGATGAGACGATTCATTACATTAATTGATACACTTTATGACCAAAAGGTATTCGAGAGATTCTTAGAATTTATCTCGACATCGTTTCGTCTTGTTAGGTGCGCGTTGTGATCGGCGCTGATGCTCCCATCGAGGAACTATTCCAATTTGACGGTCATAATACAGCTCCCGATCAACTAAACGATTCAAAGAGAATGCTAATGGACGACCTTGGAATCAAAGCTGATCAGGTTTGCTCTATATTTTATTGAAAATTTGGCACACCGCAATTTCAGGAAGGCATGAAAGCCAATGTGTTTAGCGGCGATGAAGAGGCGTTCGCGTTTCATCGAACGATCTCAAGACTCTATGAGATGCGCACCGAAAAGTATCGAGCTCAACGAAGACCGCACAATTCGCCAATAGGATCTCTGTAGAATATTTCTTTTCAATTATTCGCAACATAGAAATCATCATTTATTAGATTAATGAAAATTTTTGATGCATAACCTGTTCTTAACTTTAAAAAAAAGAATCAATTACCCGCTCTAGAAACGTGCTAAATAAAATTCTGAGAAGTTATTTGTAGCTGGCTTCAATGTGCTTCACGAAGTTCAAACAAGCTTCTCGATATTTTTCCGGGTGTGCCCTATAGTGCTGAACGTGCTCAGAGTCCTCAAAATTGATCGATGTTATGTTGGCACCCTTTTCCATTTGTTTGCCCACAAATTTTTCTACGTGTCTAAAAATTATGGATCAAAGTGTTAAAAAAACGAATTATTACTTGGCTTTTATCATTTTATCGGCCGTTGAATATAGATAAAGCTGGTCGCGAGGAAGATCCATTTTATCCAAGAAATAGTAGTAAACTGATAGGAAAGAGCGTAGAAATGGTACTGTTGCGCATAGGGGTATAACCTTAAAAAATGAACATTTTTTTTTGTTTTTTTTTGCCAAAATAATCATACCAATGTTGCGCGAAGATTCAGAAAACTGGCAAGCACTGAAATTCGAGTTTTTTCGCTAAAAACTTTTTCCAATGCGTCAATTGGCGGTGTTGACCAGACCATTGCTTTTGCATCTTGTTTGCCATACGGACGCGCAGGAGCACTGAAATCAATTTTTTTTATTGAATAGTTTAAAAATTACTAGCCTATCCAAAATAAGGCCTTTGATTCGATCACGAAGTGCTGGCGTTTCTTCAGCTTCCGTCCATTTCCAAAACGATATCAAACCGCGAACGCCATTCATTGAAAACGAGTGAATGATGATGGGGCTGAAGGGATTTCAATGTCTCGCTTTCAAATTATTTTCGTTTACCATTGTGCAAATGTGCGAAAATCTCCAGGTTTCGCGTCGATCGCCCGGAATAATGGCGACATGTAGAATCCGACGCGCGAATTCGGTATTCGATAGTGATAGCAGCGAGGAATCAGCGAGACCACACGGAATCCCTCGTTGGTGTACATATCGACGTATTTGTCCACATGCCGTTGATCGGCACCAGCCCACGCGAGAATGAGAATCACCGGCTTCTTCTCATCGACGGTGGCTTCTTTCAAAACGAGCGATTCGCACGCTTCAGCTTCTAAAAACAATTGCAAATAGAGGGCAAATTTTCGAACAAAAAACACACATCACCTTCAGTTTTTGGCAAATGAATCATCATTTTTGGCTCAGGCACATGTCGTGTGAAATAATTGCGATTCGCGACGCGTGAAATTGTAGCCGTCGGCAATTTTCGTCTCGTGACACAGAGAACAACACTGCGAACGGTGCTCGCAATCATGATGACGTAACTGCTCAATTATTGTGTTTTCCAATATATAGCGGTGATCAAACTAGCATAACAGTGAGCGCAGATTCTGAAAAATCAAATTTTTATAAATTTACGAAATTCCAAAATATAACTGGGCGATTGCAATAAACAAGTTTCAAACTATTTGCGTCGAGGCCGTCTGTGTCCCTCATACATCGTTGCATCATTCACGCTCCATGGACAATTTTCAGAATATCTTTAAAATGAGTCATCTGAAGTTTTATCTGAAACGAATAACAAGAGTGGCATAAGTGAATGAAGAATCTCATTCTAAAATATAAGGGAATTATTCAAATTTCTTTACTTATGATGAATTCTTTGAAATTGTGGGATCAGAGGTTATCCAATGTACTTTCAATTTTTTTAAATTTCTCTGATCCTCAATTAGATATAATTCGTTAATTTATTTAAAATAAAATCTTATTATCGATGGCGGAAATTATTATTTAAAAAAAAAACACATGATAGAATATATGCGCCATACATCAAAATGCCTCAATCCGCGGATTTCGATACATATCCAATTATTTTCTAGATGTCCACCAACGTCCTTCAACGATACCTCATATATCGCGGCAGTTTACTCTGCGCCTCGCGAGTACAACGTAGTTTCCATTCGCAGTATCGATTCTACCCAATTCACAACAACAACACCTATCAAAGTGACCGCAGATTTTCCCGCTATCAACAGTTATTCGCAGCGAAGGTGAAACGTTCAAAAATGGTATGAACTTATTGCATTTTGTTGTGAAATTGATTTTTTTAGCCGAAGCTAACCGACGCTCAACGTGAATCCCTTCTCACCCCTTTGTATTCTAATGGATGGAAGTTGGTCGAGAATCGAGACGCAATTTATAAAGAGTTTGTGTTCGCCAATTTTATTGAGGTTTGAGAAACATGCGGGTTTTCACTTTGTTTTTTTTGTTTGAAATTTCAGGCGTTTGGTTTCATGACGAAAGTTGCGATTAAATCGGAAAAAATGGACCATCACCCGGAATGGTTTAATGTTTATAACAAGGTTGTCTCATGATAAGCCGACTATCTAGAAATTGGTAGATTCCAGGTCAACATTACATTGTCAACTCATGATTGCGGTGGATTGTCGAAGAATGATGTTGATTTGGCAACGTTTATCGATGCGACAGCAAAGAAGTGATGTATAATATTATTTTTCTTGAATTTTTCACTTGAATAAAGTTATTTTTCTGAAGGCATTTTTAAAATGACGGCAAAATATGAGAACACCCTATTCCTTGTAATTTTAATTCTGATTAACAATTCTCGCATATTCTCATGCTCAATGCAATATATCGACTATTCACAGCTTCTCCTAATCTCATACTCTCTATACCTTCATGTTTTTTTTTCACGTGTGCTCGCGCGCATTTTTTTCCCCTCGCCATTCCCCCCACCCACTCTACTGCATCGATCCAAGTCCTTCTTTTCTCTTCTGGTATTAGTTTCTTATGAAATATTAGGATCGTTGTTTTTCATTCTTCTCACTTGAGAACCCCCCCCCTCCCCCTTCCCCCACTTCCATAAAAAAGAACGAACAAATTGTTACCTCTTCCGTAAATTTTTCAATGATTTTTCTAGCCACCACATGACCCGACATCAACCATTCGTTCTGATTAAATAAGTTTGATAAAGCGAATGCCATTGATAAAATCCAACCGGAACTTTTTCGCGTTGGTTTTTAATTTATCATTTCACGTTTGCGTCGATTTGTCTGTCTATTTTCCGAATATTCGGCATTTGTTTTTACTATGCGGTAATAATAAATCTATCGGAGGAAATTTTTTTTGCTACATTAAAGCCGTTACTTGAATCACTTGAAATGCGACCATATTAATCCAATGTTAATCCCCCACACATCCCGGCTTCGTCCATTTACATATATTGCATTTCTAATTGATTTTGAATTCATCCGACGTCTTGTGATACAGGGTGGCATGGAGAAACGGACACACACACCGTTGCGTCGGACTTCTGGAGTGTCGCAGGCTCGTCTAGATGTATATCAAGCGCCGCCAAACGCCAATGATCAACATTCGCTGTTGGCGGCGCAGCGAGCAACAGGATATGACATCGATTCGTGCTACAGGTAACAATTTCCAACACGCCATTCAATTATTCAATTATTGTGCAGCTCTTGCGACGACATTTCGCATCCATCATTGAGTAGAGAATGCTCTGACCCAGTGGGTTTGTCATATTTCATTTTCAATCAACATTGCTCTTTGTTCAAGAAAGCGACGGCGCCAGCAGCAGCAGTCAATCGCGACCAATTCCCACCCAAGAGGCTGTCGGATTCGCCACAAAATTGGGCTATTCGCTTGATCAATTAATTGCAGCTCTCAACAAAATCGGATTCGACGCGAAGACGGTAATCTGGCGAGCAAAAACAACGAAATTGTCCTTCTTATTGAAAATGCTTTAAACAGGATCAAATTTTGTCGGAACTTGTGAAAATGGGAAGTCCGAGTAGTTCGAAAGAGCGCAAATCGGGTGCGGCGAGCAGCGTGAGCTCCGACTCATCAGACAATCTGCGTTCGATCGTCATCGATGGATCCAACGTGGCAATGGCGTAAGCTCAATTTCTAATTTTAACACCGAGCAAAAACAAACGTGTAAAATTAGTAACCGCTTAAGAACTCTGGCCTCTTGCCCGGCTAAAAGCATCATTTTTGTTTAATTTGGTGCCGTTTTGATAAACCGGACGCGGGGACAGGACACATAATACACACATCTTTTTTTGCTTTGCTGAGGGGAGAGAAACACAGTGTCAATAGAACAAACAGGACCTGCAGCCCGACAAAAAGCATGATCGAGGAAAAGGGATGGGAAGAGTGCGCAAATGGCACAATAACAGGCCTCCCTCGGTTTTCCTAAATGTTCGATTATGAGCATTCGCGCGCAAAATATGAATAATTCCCCAAATATTGCTTTTGTTTTTTTTTTGTTCGTCATCCTCTATTTTCAGTCACGGCAGAAAGGAGGTGTTCTCGTGCGCTGGAATCCGCGACTGTGTTCGTTTCTTCCTTGAACGCGGCCATCGTGATATTCTTGTATTTATTCCATCATTTAGGTGAGCCACAAGAAAATTTTCTTTTTCCTGGTTGGTTTCTTATCAATGCATTGAATTTCAAGATAATGCGAGAGTGGGGGGTTAGGGCGAGGTTGCATCAAAATCGAACAAAATAAGTTCATTCAAAAACCAACACGAAATTATCGAGAAAATAAAAAGTGTTGATCGCCGAAAGAAAATTCGCTGACATCTATAAATAGACATACATCCAGAAAAGAGCAGCCGCGAGCCGACAGTCCCATAACGGATAGGCATATTCTCGACGAACTTGACAAGCAAAAATTCATCGTGTGGACACCTTCCCGGTAAGTATTTTTTCTCTCTCTTGAAAACACAATCCCCCGATGAGTTCTCGATTTAGAACTGTGAACGGAATACGAGTAGTTTGTCACGACGATCGTTTCATTCTGAAAACTGCTGAAGAGAAGGTTTGGAAATAAATATTAATTCAACGGGGAAAAAATGATACATTTAGGACGCCGTGATTGTTTCCAACGACGAATATCGAGATTTGATCAAGGAAAATTCAGCGTACGGTCCTCTTGTCGCTCAAAGGCAGCTGATGTTTACAATTGTTGATAACAAGTTGTTATAACGTGAATCCTTCAAAGTATTGATAGTTCATATTATAGATTTGTACCACCTGATGATCCGATGGGTCGATATGGACCACGTCTTGACGCTTTCCTTTCGAAAAATGCGACAATTTCATTTACACAGCCGTGTCCGTATGCTCGAAAATGTACATATGGGAATAAGTGCAAGTTAGTAGAGGCTTGGGCAAAAAAAAACTCGCAGAAATATTTTGGCGTCGATTAAAATGCAAGTCCGCAGTGTTCACACGGTGTGATTGCAAAATATTTTGATTTCACACAATATCACATTGATATCGTTCACATTAAATAATATAAAAAATACACATTTTCCAATGCAGGAATGTAAAAGAAATGAACATTTGATATATTTGTTTACAATTTTGTAAGAAAAATACATTTTTAGCAATAATTGTCCCCCGTCTCTCAAACACAAAAAAATGTGTAATCACGTGGCCTACAATCTGCAGACATGCATTTTAATTGACGCCTATTATCGCAAGATTTTTCAAAAACGAATAATTGTAATTAATGAAACTCAAAAATATAGGTACTATCATCCGGAGAGGGGAAATAACGGGCATATGAGTGTGACGCAGAGATTGATGAAGGAAAACCAGCAGAAGAAAACGCTCTCGGCGACGAATTCGATGCAATACGATTTATTGAAGAAGCAGCATCACGCGGCACTCGCTCGCACACAATCCCTAAATGCTCAAATTGAAATTGGAAAGGCATGTCGAATTTCGACAATTCGTTTTCGACATTAATTTCCGATTTTTGCTTCAGGGGTCCCATCAACACTTGCTTCCGGCGAACACCGCGCAATGGCAGCATCCATCAGTCGAACGCAACAGCTCGATGCCGTTGTCAAGGTTGAATAGAGCACCAGGTATTAATTGAAATTCAAAAAAAATCTTTTGCTTGGCTTATTTTTTCGTTCCATGTGAGACCTCTTTAAAGGCGCATCCCTCTAGACGTCGTCTATAACACACCGAAACACGTGAATGTTTAGAATCATCGTTGGCCGGTGACAATCGTCGCCCGATTTCGGCAACCGTCTCACAAACGCATCTCTACGCGCCGTCGACGGCCGTTTGGGGACATTCGGAGCTCTCCGTCGGTCCGATGACCACCGAGGTGTTGCCGAATGAGCTCGAGCCGAACGCGCGCTCACGCGTCCAATACCATTTGTCGAACATTTTTCCGGAGACGGTCGTCGAGGCGGTGCTCGCCGCGCATCCGACCGAAACCAACGCGCAAGTGTTGTGCGAAAAAATTTTGAGTATGGGCAAAGGATTCAATTTTCCCAAACACTAGGCGAACGCTTCATCATCATCCATTTCTTCCCAATATTAATTCATACCCAGTGACACTTAGTATCGTTTAGATTCGACGACGACGGATGAAAAATTCCAATTTGATTAGTGATTTCAATTCATTTTGCAATTGCAAAAGTTTTCCCAATTGTCAACAATTTCCATATCGCAAATTGTGATTGATGTATATAAAATATAATTTATAATTTGAAAAAAAAAAATAAATGTCAACATGCTAATTAATCATCAAGGACAACATTGAACATTCCGCTTCCAGTCAATTTCTTCAAATCCGCCGGAAATACGTCGCCGTCTCGTCGAGATCGAAGCTGAATTTTCAGAAAAGCAAATGACAAAATTCTATTGGTTTTTAAAATTAAAACACACCTGAGAATAGACATTTCCATGCTTTTTCTTGGTTAATGTGAAGCGCTCAATTCCACTAAATGCGGTGCAGACATCACAGGTAACATGACCGCCAAGCTTTCGATTCTAGAAAAAAATAACTCAAAAATTTCATATTAATTTTTTTTCAATTCAAAATACCATTAGAATTCGGTCGTTCTGCTCGCCTACTCGCCGCTGGCCCTTCTCCATGATAACAAACGTGAACTTGGTGACTTCTGTGCCATCAGACTCCCTCTTCGATTTTCTTCCGTCGGCTCGAATGGCTTTATATCGCGCCGAAAATGTGCACGAACTATAAAAATATTGATTTTGGTTATGAGCTACAACATTCGGGAGCCTTTGGTAGTGGTCTTGTATAGTTTGACGACCTAAACCGACAAGACCCCTCTCCCTAGATGTTTTGGCATTGAGCCAATCGCGGTATACAAAATTTCAATTAAAAAAAAACCGTTTTGCCCTCATTGGGCATCCCAAATCATGCGGGCATGGAGCCAACACTGTCGCCGGCGGCAGAATCGTCGGAACCGCCTGCGACGATGGATTCTTTTCATTGAGAATCACGAATTTCTCATAGTGGCTCAGGTTCGAATCCTCGACAACATCGACAATGTCTCGCGTCAATTTATTCTCTTCCTACAAAAAATAAATTGACGTATTTATAGTCGGCGTCCGGCGACTGCTGTAATTTACGGGCTGGTCTCACACAGACGAACTGGCCATTTTGCATTTTATTTGACGTCTCGATAATTGTTAATTTGAATGACGTTAGAAATTCAAAGAAATATCAAAAATATAAACAGTTTACGTGACGAGACCATTTCGAAAGGCGCATGCGCGTAAATCTACCCGCACACAGCCGACAATATAAAATCATAAGAATAAAACGAATTTCAAACCTCCAATAGTTGAAGAAACGCTGAATAATCGACTTCTGTTCCCAGTGTTAATAAATAATCTCTAGCTTCCAGAATCCCACTGAACGATCCAGGTTGGGCGGATTCAATGAGAATAAGGTATCTGCGATAATTTTGTGGAAAACGATAACTAAAAAAATATAATTTCCTACTTGTTGGTGCGCTTCCAAAGCGATTCAATTAGTTGCAGTCTACTCTGCGCTGATCCAATCTCTGATAATACTCTATGTGCTATTACTAAATCGTAGCATGTCTACAAAAATGTAAAAAAAAATCAATAGAACCATTGTTTTTAAGAGATTACACTTAACGACGGTATCAAGCTTCGTCGAAAATTGACGTTATCATGGAGAAGCGGACGGCGATCATTCGTTTCTTCAGTTTTCTAAATTTCAATTTTTGCTTTAGAAGGGGGATAACCTAGAAATTATCTGTTAGGTAATGAATGACACACAAACCAGATGTTAACATTCGAAAAAAAACGCTGAAAATGACTTTGCGGACTTGTGCATTTTATTTGACGACAATATACACTGGTTTCATCGCAACGAATTAGAGCAGAATTTTTGTCCATTTTTTCTATTTTTTTAAATTCTTTTAAAGGTTTTCCCTCCCCCTTTTTTTCTTAAACTTCGAAAGCAAAAAAATGAGCCGCTTACGCGAATAGTGTCCATGCAAAATCGCGTCATCGAATCCGAAATATCGACCATTGTGATCTCATCGATCTGCCGTCGAGGCCATTTCGACATGACCGCCCAAAAACCCGCTCCGCTTCCACTACCGTAGTCTAATACCGACGATGGTGTGAATTGCGGCAGCTCTTCAAGACATCGCGAAATTTCCGCGTAATTCGCCGCAATTCTATAATGAACATTTTTTTTAATAGAAAAAAAAACAACTCAGCGATTCGAAAAGGGCGAAACCGTGGTTGGTTTTTGGTTTAAACATCGGTTTCCACGGGGATTCCCAAAAACTTTCGAGGATTGTCCAAAAAATTTTTTCAATTCTACTAGTACGACACTCCAATTACACATCGCCCTCATTTTAGCGTGTCTAAAATTGAACATTTTTCCGCTGTACCAAAATGATCCATCGGTTATCCCAAGCCAAAAGAGGTCCCCCTGTTCGTCCCGATCGAGTCACTGAGTATTTGTAGGCAAAACCTGGCTAGGGCATAGCTCGCCGCGCTCTCTTTGCTCGTTATCTCCAGAGGCCTCCAATTGAAATTCGCTTTTTTTATCAATTTGTCGACCTCGTTTCGAAAACGATAGCTTTGTTGTGTCGCGTCAAACTCATCGAGATCAGTCAGCTTGTCAGCACTCATTTCCGCTTTCAATTTGCGTTTTATTTCGTCTCGCAACATTTTCACTTTTTCCGGAGATTCCGGAAAACTACAAAAACGAAACGATTAATTTTTGTTGGCCTTTCGAAAAAATGTTTTTTCCAACTTTCGATTTTCCAATTTACTCGCCAATTGATCGGCTTCGTTTTGTAATTGGCCAGCTGAACGATCACATGTGATTATAGCATTTCGGAGGCCAATTACTGCCTCAGGTGGTAGATCGAACTGTTTTCTGAAATCGAATTCAATTTGAATACCGTAAAATCAAAAACGCAATTCGAAGAAAACTTTAAATGAATTGAAAAAAAAGCTACAAGTTTTGCATTAAAAAACCTGATTTTATCTTATTAAAATTTTAAATAGGCGCCTTCCGATAATAATAGATATATGGGTCATGCGGCTTTCGCTAGGGTCTCGCCACGAAACCCTATTTCACTTCATTTGTTTCTAGATTTAAAATATTGGTGAGGGATGCTCGTAAATCGACTAATAAGCTAATTATCTCAACCTGGTCTTTTTTGAAACCCGCTTTTTCTCCTCAACTTTCAAAATCGACTTCACTCCGGTATTAGCATTTATAGAAGTTGTATAGCTATTAATCTATAAAAATTTTTTAGTGGAAGCTATTTTTCGAATGGACTACTTCGGTTCCAGGCGAACATATTGACCTCTTCGGCACTTTGTATAATAAATACCGACTTCCAATCATTCTTAAAACAATCATTGATTTTTTTTTCGTTTCGTTAAATTTGATACACTTTATCCTGTGTTCAACAGTTCATTTCATATGAAAACAATTTGGAAAACACATTTTATGAATGAGATCTTCAATGAAAATGCCCCGTTTATTTATAATCTTATAATCTCCAATTTTGTACAAAAAAAATTGAGCATCAAAGCGTTTCACGTTGTTGATTGTCGAAGTCCTTTCACATTTAAAATTTTTTTCCCACACATTGCACAAATTCCTTTTTGATATGCGCATGTGGAGCAATAGTGACTTCCTACCTGAAAATTTGTAATTCCAAAACAATAAATTATAAAAATTACCTGATGTATAAGCATCTTGCACAATTTACATTTTAGACCAACAATTGTTGATCTGAAAATATCCAAAACGTTTCCATCTTGAAGAAAATTGTGAGATTTCTTACTTTTTCCCACTTTCAAATAATGAATTCTTGGCTGTTGAAACCTTTGGAACCTTGCCATTTGCTAAATTTGTTTTCTTATTACGGTACGGGTTGACTCCAACAATTTTTGTGAGTTTTTTCTCGCCTGAAAAAAAATTTGAAATTAAAAAACAATTTTTTGAACTTACATTCGTTGCACACCATCGTAGAAATTTTATCTGAAAGCACTTAACACTTATATCAAATATAATGGACATTCGCTGGAGATAAAGAGTTTTAAACTCATAATCATGAGATTTGCCAATAAAATAAGAATTAACATGGTTCATTGTGAAAAGGAAAAAATACATTAATAAAAATAGTAATAAATTAGAAATCATCATTGTTTTATCCAGCGCCGTGTTGCATGAGTTCTGTTTGAAGGGCAGCTTGGAGATCTTCAAGTTTCTTCTTCAACGCGGCAATTCCCATCGTCACAATTTTCTGAGCAGGCAGTGCTCCGGTTCCTTCAACTAAAAATTCATCTTATATGTAATATCTTCCCATTCTTTCAACTGACTTGAGAAAAAGAATTTATTTGGCTTGCCGTTGGGATCATAAGGAGCTTGCTTCTCATTTTCATCTTGTAATTCCGAATGTTCACTTCTCGGCCATTCGGACGGATTTGGGTAGATTGTATGTCTCAATGCGTTATCAGGGTCATATTCGAACGCTACTCCACAAGTTGGATTCCATTTGGCGTGTTCTTTACCAAACCCTTTTTTGGCATAGCATTTTAGATTTAGCTCCTGCCCTTTTCTCAATTTGACAATTAAAATGTCTTCTCTTTGCATATAATCATCGCGAATATTTCCTCGATCTCGCAGTGCATTGCCACAGGCCGGCCGTACAGCCTAAAATTATCAGCGTTCGATAATTTTTAAAATAATCCAAATTACCGTATCGCGCATGGGCTGAAGATCTGCGGTCGTTACGGCAACAGTATGATCATCGTTACACCTTTTTTGAAGGACGAACGGAATTGAGCACTCATCGCAAAACTCGGAGCATTCGCAATCCTTAAGAAAAATATTATGCTTAATATAACGGCATATAACAATTACCCTAGTGTACTGCATTTTTTCGACTGCATAATCAGATATAAACGGAATCAAACCCATTCGATGTGCAATAAATTCATCGTGAAGAACGCTCGTATTAGTTTCAATTTGGACCCAGTCAATAGCTATAGTTGGAACCTGAAGAAATTATTTTTACATCATGAAAAATATTGTTGTCTAACAAAACGCGGTGTTACACAGAAAAAATGATTTTCTAGATAAACTGCAAAGGAAATTTTTAAAAGGGAACAATGGGCCTCACATTTTACTTTATATAAAATAATATGTAATACGAAATAAATTTTAAAATACCTCAGCGATAAACACTCTTCTTAGAGAGTTTGCTACACTCAAATCGGTGTCAGACAGTACAAACTTGATAACATCGCTGTTGAGCTCCGTAACTTCTATTTGTGGCTGGTTGGCATACGGCATTACTAAAACACAAAATTTCGAAAAGTGAAAACAAATTACTGCTGTAAAAAAATAATAAATCGGCATTTTCCTATTCATAAATGGCAAATTCTAAAATAAATGCACATAAAATAAAAAAAATGTTTTTTTTTTCAAATACAGTGCGTTGCAGAATTATAAGGCCACCCCCAAATTTGAGCGCCGCGCAATGATTTCGATACTTTGAGACCAACCAGTGTTAAAATCATGTTCAGCATGAAAAATAACCTATATGTCCCAAATTTCATGTTGGTATTTCAAAAAGTAACCGCGCTGTGGTCCAAAACCGTTTTTTCGAGCGGTGCAGAATTATAAAGCCACCCCCATGAAATACGTTATAAATTCAAAGATAACAACAGTCTAATGTATGATGGCACCTCCATTCGAGGTTATAACATCGAAAACACAGTCTGGCATAGATTTGAGAAGGTTCGAAACATATTGGGTCGATCTAGATTTGAATTGCTGCTCTAACGTCTTTCACTCGACTACGATTTCGGTTTTGAGCTCTCCAACTCCCCGAAATTCCTTCCTTGGCCATAGAGACGCCGTACTAACTCTCCCCAGACGTTCTACATGGGACTCCAAAAAGGAGAACATGATGGCCAGTCGAGAACGTCTACATTGTGAGACTGAAGCCAGTCCAAAGTAGACCGACCCACATGAATGACCGCATTTTTCTGTTGAAAAAGGACAATAGTGACGTCGGAATGGAAGAAGATGGCTCTCAGGGTCATTTTGATAGTCCGAAGAGTCCACCTTACTCGTCAGAAAAGCCATTTGCAGAAACCAGGCTGCCGAAAACGCTTCCAAATACTATCACGCTTCCTCCTCCAAAATTGCGTTTTGAAAGCAGGAGGCGATTCTTTCATAACTCGGTCCAGCAACTGTTATGGCCGTCTGGGCCATCCAAATTAATTGTTTTTTCATCGGAAAAAATAACCTGTTGAAATTTGAATGGTTATTATTCCCAACATTCTCGAATGTGAACACCTTGTTCCAATCGGTATTCATGTTTTTGAATTCGAACTCAAGGCGTCGAATTTTATGGTCCTCTGTGAGTCGCGGGGCCGGCTTCATTTTTTCTCTAGCGATGTTGGGGTTATTCTTGATGGTTCCCCAAAATGTCCACTTGCTTTTGTCAAAGTTTAGCTTCTTCTTGATGCCATTTGTAGACTTCATACTGCTCGAAGCTGCTCGAATCAATGCTCGTTTAGCGCGATAGTCCAGTTTTCCTCTGCCGCCTGACTTTTGCGACATGTTGACACGAGTTAGATCCTTCACAAAGATGTCTACGAATGTTTTCGGACCATTTAAATTCTTCGCAACCCAACGGTTCGACCATCCTGCCGTTTTGAATGCGAGAATCTGAGATTGCGCAGAAGCACTAAGACAGCGACAACGTGGCATTTAAAAATGATTTAAAAAGAGACGAATAAGGACCACTGTAGGTTCTCAAAGCCACACAACAATTTTTATGCACACTGGTCCCGCCAAAGTTTCAAAAAAATGCGAAAAAGTCCGTTGTATGGGGGTGGCTTTATAATTCTGCACCGCTCGAAAAAACGGTTTTGGACCACAGCGCGGTTACTTTTGAAGATACTAACATAAAAATTGGTACATATAGGTAATTTTTCATGCTAAACACGATTTTAACACTTGTTGGTCTCAAAGTATCGAAATCATTGCGCGGCGCTCAAATTTGGGGGTGGCCTTATAATTCTGCAACGCACTGTAGATTGTGGTTAATTGTGAAAAACGAAGAATATTTGAATTTGTTCTTGACGCGACTAAACTAAAGGCGATGGTTGCGTAAAAAGCGGAGCGTCGTTAGCTTAAAGGGGCAACGCGTATACTGTAGCAGTAACATAGCTGTGCAAATTGTCATTGGATTTAAATTTTATTTATGCTGATATTTCTATTATTAAGCCATATTGAATTCTATATTTTTGTGACTTGCAAAAAAATCTATTTAACAATATTTCTAAAAAAACAAAAATAAGAATACCTAATGAAACGTGTTGCAAGTGCGATTTTTCTCTGTCTCCATTAAAATATATGATTTATTCGATATAAGAAGAAAAATTTGGTAAATTAGGTGTTATTTGATTTATTTGTTTATATTTTCCTTCGATTATTCGCTTTTCTTTACGACAAAATTTCATGAAAGTTGATTTTCAGGATGAATCGTTACGATCGTGCTATCACAATCTTTTCACCAGATGGGCATCTTTTCCAAGTGGAATATGCGCAAGAAGCAGTTAAAAAAGGATCCACAGCGGTATTTTTGTATGCAGTAAAATGATAATTGCTTTCATTTGTAGGTTGGCGTTCGTGGAAAAGACTGCATCGTAATCGGAGTTGAGAAGAAGTCTATTCCCGCTCTTCAGGATGATAGAACAATCAGAAAAATTCATATGATTGACGATCACGTCATGCTCGCTTTTGCTGGTAATTTTAATGTTAAACATTATCAAATTTGTATTTTTATTTGTAGGTTTATCTGCCGATGCTCGTGTGCTTGTCGACCGCGCCCGTATTGAATGCCAATCGTATAAATTGACTCTTGAAGATCCCGTCACCGTTGCTTACATCTCCCGTTACATCGCCAACACAAAACAGAGATTCACTCAGTCTCCAGGACGTCGTCCGTTTGGTATCTCAATGTTAATCGGTGGATTCGACTTCGATGGCACTCCACGACTCTTCAAGACTGAGCCGTCCGGTGCCTACTACGAGTACTTGGCAAACTCGACCGGAAGAGGAGAGAAGCCAGTCCGAGAATACCTTGAAGAGCACTACGGTGATGAGACGATCGCCGACGAGAAGTCAACACTCAAATTGGTCGTCAAGGCTTTGGCTCAGGTATTCTTAATGTTTTCCTTAATTGCCCTTAATTATCTGTTGCAGGTTGTCCAATCAGGCTCACAAAATATCGAGATCGCTGTAATGAAGAAAGTCAATGTACGCTATTTTTCAAGTTAAACCAAAAATGAAATTTATTTTCCTTTAGGATGAAGTGCACCAACGAGTGCTCACCGTTGACGAGGTTGAAGAAGTTTTGAAAATCGTCGAGGAAGAGCGTGCTGCAGCTGAAGCCGAAGAGGCAGCCGGCAAGAAGAAGTAAATAATATAGTTCCCCCTATTGCTTTTCAAAATCTTTTAATTTATTTTTTGATTTCTCCGAAATTAATTAACGGTGGTGTCGTTTTGACCTTGCTCATTCAAGTGGTTGTGGCACAGTTTGATACCACTACTAGATTAATTTTTGTTTGGAGAAATCAGGTGTCTAATCTATTTCTTATAATGTTTTCCATTTCAAAACGTATTCCACCGAATGAATTATGTCGTCCCGTTGAAGAAAAATCATGTAAATTGAGATATTTGAATATGAAAGCAGCTGGATTGAAGTGGGCGGCTCGCGCTTTCTCGAAAGGCGGAGTCGTTGGGAGGTGCGTAAGGGGGGAGGGTGCGCGCATTTTGTAATAACCTTTATAATGCGCGCCGGCAAAAGATTTTCCTTTTTTCCAATTTGTGCACTAACTAAATCAAATCGTCAAAAGACGAGAAAACCCAATTTTAGTAGTCGAAAAGGTGCTGCCATGCGAATTGTCGGCGCGCTTTGATTCGATTTTCCGTTTTTTTTTGCGTTTCGTTCAAAAAAGATTTTTTTGTTCGCCAGCAAAACATTGATGGTTCGTTTCTCGCATTATACTCTTTGTTGACCGAATACGTTTATTGGTTTATCAACATCGAATTCGTCAAGACGCAAATAGTCTCAAAATCAAATGTGATTTTTTTTTTGTTTGTTGCAGTTGTTTAGCACGCTAGTGGAAATATGACGGTCGAATAATGCGGACAAAAGGCGTTTCTCTCACGTTGATTTTTATCCTACGAAATGCCAATGCGATATTCAAGCACGGTGAGTTGTTCGCCGAAATGGGCCCCTAATTAAACGAGCAACGGGTCGCCGGATTTCCCGTTGACATGACATGTGCATTTTATGCGCTAGTTCACACTTTGCCTAATCGCCGGCGACGATTTTGATTTATAAATCGGTTCGCTGGAGTGAATAACATCGAAGCCAATTATAGACAAGACGTGTGTACAGGTGGTTGTCAAAATGGGTCGCCGGCGGCCGCAATTTTCAAGTCTTGTTAACAAGAGACACATCTGCGGACTGTTTTCCGGGAAACGCCACCATCGCCGGTTTGACGCTGTTCGCAATGGCGGCAATTCAAACAAGCGACTTGTATAGATGATATTGGCAATGATTATAATTGTAGCAAAAATTAAAACGTAATCTTACTTCGGCATTTTACACTTTGTTGAAATCCAAAATTCTAAACAATTGTATTCTTTCACATTATTATTATAGTTAGAATTGCGTTTTTCCGTGCGAAACCCAAAAGGCGACAATTTAAATAATAAATCAATCGCACCCCAAATTCATCTGACCACGATTATATTTATTATGATCAATTGCAGAATTTCGATGCTCCCAAAACCATTTAAATAAGCGGCATAGTTTTTTTTTTGTTAAATGGGAACAATTTGGGGGTTTGAAGGTTATTCTTTTCTCATTTGCCAATGCGGATTCTTTTTAATTGGGTCCCTACACGAATATGGTCATGGAAAGATGAATTTGATAAATTTCAATTATCTGACACTTTAAAAATAATCAAATTCTGAAATTTTATCTTTCACAATTTTTGATAGACTAAAAATGAAATATTCGGAGTTTTTTCCCTACGTTCTTTCCATACGAGTCCCAAATTCAAATTTTGGAATTGTTTGAAGTGAGGGGTCCCAAATAAAAAATCCAACAAGTTCTCTTCGTGATTTTTGATTTCCAGAAAACTACGTTCCGAATGCACCGCAAAATGTTCGCGTCAAAACGCAGGCGACATCGGCGGTCCTTTGGTGGGAAGCGCCGAGCGATACCAGTGTTCTGATTCGCGGCTACACTGTCGAATATGGCGAGGAAAGCATTTCAAAGCGAATTGTGATTGAGGGACCCGATAGCACGTCATTCACGGTGACACGGCTCGGTGAGTCAATCATCACCCATAGTCGAATCGAATTTATCATCTAAGAACCGGATACGAATTACGTGTTCGCCGTGTCGGCGTACAACGAGGCTGACGGCGAGGACGGCGCGAAGGTGATGTTGACGGCGAAAACGCTGCCGCTCGATGGGTACACGTCGGAGAAGTTGTGGCCGCCAACATCGGTGCGATCGAAAATTCTCGACGACAATGTCGCAATTGTGTCGTGGGACGATCCGAATGCCGAGCAATCCAGCGAGAATTCCATCGACGCCCATCAACGGCAGTACATCGTCAAGTAATTCGATTTGAAAATTGCGATCCTTTTTTTTCAAGATTCGATTCAAAATTTCCAACAAAGTCCGAGTGTTTGCGGAATAGCAATATTTTTTGCATTTTTATTTTTTGGTGTTCAATATTGATTTTTCAGGGTTCACAATATTTTTAAAAATTTTAAAATAAATGGTAGCGCGCGAAAATGTGTGCAAACACCGCGACGCAGAAAACAACACACATTTGTCGTTTATTTTTTGCAGTTATGGGATTCATGGCGAAGAAATTCAGCAAAAAGTTCGTTCAAATGCGAAAAGTGTTAAATTGACGAATCTTCTTCCCGGTATTTAATTACTTTCAATTTAATTAATAAATCTTCGAATCAATTTTCTAGGAAAAGAATACGAGGTTGCGGTAAAAGTGGCAGCTGGGAATGGCATGGAAAGCTCATGGAGTATACGCGATTTGTTTGTAGTACCAGAAGGTTGCTTGAATTTAATGTTGCTTTAATTGTAAAAGAAATGCAGATTTTTTAATATTCTTGATTTGAGAACATCGAGTAAACGGCTCGTCGCAACGCACGTGTGGTCTAGGAATATGAACGCGGCCACGACCACACTTGATGGATTAGTAGAACTATGTGTTAGGATTTTTATCTTCTGGCCGCACGTGCGTTGCGGCGAGTCGTGATATTAACAGACAACTGCCGGAAACTCTTGACGCGAATATACACAACAAATTTTCGCATGAGCCTTTGATGTGTACTGTAGTTGATACGCAGCCAAGTCTCTTCGGCCAATTAAACAAAAATATGTTTTTTCTGCACCAACTAAATCCACATTTATTTCAAGTCAAAAAACCCTACGAGGCGTCAAAGTTTGATTGGTCATGCCATATCGACGATGAGAATATGTGTTCGCTTTCACTATCGCCACATTGGAAATTTTGTGCGGCTCGCGAAGATCATCACACAAAACGTTTGACAAATCCCATGGATGTTGAGATTGATTTGAAATCAATTCAGGAATGAGCGGCGTTTGTCCGAAGACGAGCTATCCGCACCATACGGCGCTCATTTCGACGCCGCCCATCGAATTGCCGAACGCGCAAAATCTTTGCCTTCACATGCAATACGCGCTACTCCAATTCCATCCCGGACACATGAAGGTGGAAATAATTGGCGGCTCGAACGCTTCAACTCGAAATGTCGTTTGGAAGACGAAAATGGCCAACGTCAAAACGCACATCATTCAGAATCTCTATTTGCCGATTGCCCGACAAATCAATCCGTTTAAAGTATTCTATTTTTTGTTGTTGGGCTGATTGCGTCCGAAAATGAATGGTGTGCTTCAGATAGCGATCAGTGTGAAATGGGACATCGAGCATCAAATTCCTCGCCTGATATTCCACCATTTTGCCGTGAGTAGTGGCGGCTGCGCTGAAAGGACAATCGGTAATTCAAATGTTTTCTGGAATTCAGAGACTAGTTAAAAGTGGGACCATTGAAAACGGGCAGCGCCCTCGTTTTGTTGGTGCGTCCTAGCATCATTCGCCCGCCCCTCCCCCTTTTGTTTCACCTCGCTTTTCCGGCAGACGCGACGCATTCTTATAATCCACCCCTCCTCCTCCTCCTCCACTCCATCCCAACGGCCTTCTGACTATTCCCACTTGCCGCGCTCACTGTCGTGATATTTATACCGTATGAATGATTCGCACACATGACCAATGTTGATGAATGCGATTCTAATTCTGTTCGCCAACCATTTCTGGTTCGGCAATGCTCAGCCGCCGCCGTTTTTCTCGTTTAACACATTGCCGGGAGGTTAGTTGTGAAAATTGGGAAATATTGCAAAAAAAAACCCCCCATTGAAACCCGCGCAATTTTTCCAAGAGACATTCGTATTCAACGCGATTCGCTAAGCATTTTCAAGATCGCATCAATATAATACTCGCCGAATAATGCTCTTGGTTTTGGCGAAATAGAAGGAAGGACTCAAAACATTTGGTTTGGCATTTCGCCCATTTATCATCGCGCGAGCATCGCTTCAAAAAGAAAGCGTCTTTTTTGTTCGAATACTAGTGAAGAGGGAATATAAGTGGTCTGAAGATAATAATCGGTTTTTAAAATTTGATACACAAAAAAAGCATATTATTTAGTATTGATGTGTGTTCCCAAATAATTTAATTAAATTAATGATACTATGCAGGTTTAAAAAAAATAATTTTGAATTGTCTTTTTTTCTCAAAATCTGCAATGCTATATTTAAATATTATCTCACTTTTTAAATCACTAAAAATCGAGTGCCCTGGTTACTGTAGTTTATAAAAGTCCGTAGGGTTGCGTGACGTGTTGCACACAAATTCCCATCTCCACTTGAATTGGCTCTCGATTTGATAATAATTCCTAAAAAATCAATGAAATATAGTATTTGAAGTGCAAAATATTCAAAATTTGAAGAAAATACTTTAAAAGTAACAATTTCTGCAATTTTCAATTTTTTTTTTCAAAATTTGCATAGGAAGCCTGTATAATATTTTTTCTAATTGCCATAGCCAATTTGATTGATACTATAGGCGAGAGCAGAATTTGACCGACCTTTAAATTATGCTAGTATGACCTTTGTTACATAACTAATGCGCTTTATGATTGAATTCAATATAATCTCGTTGTAATTACGGTTGACTAGCCATGAGAGAGAGGTGAGACACCTGGCTGAGACAACATAAAAGGGGTGGGGGTGGATGAGTCTCGTAACAAGGGTTGTCGAAGCATACGCTAGATTTTGGATTCCCCGAGGGTGAAATTATCTCAAAATAACGTACGAATAGAACACTTTCATGTATTTTTTTTTGAAGGTCCCAATTCCTTTGGGACCACCCTACTACGTACATTGGCATCGTTGTTTTTTTTTTGTTCTTTTGCAGACACCGAAACTGAAGTCGATTTGCTGGCACCTGTCGAAGCGTCGCTGAACGCCGACTCGCGTGTGTTTCGCGCCAAAGGCATCGACTCACTACCGGCGATTGGCATTCAGCGAGGCGTCGAGATTGCGGTCCCCTATCGATTGTATCTGCCGAGGAATTTCTTCAAACAATTCTCGCTGTTGGCCACCGTCAAACCAATGGATAAAATGTGCGTTGTCTTCCTGATTCATCGAATCGATCAATTCTCGCGAATTCAGGGGCGGCTATCTGTTCGCCGCGGTGAATGCCTTCGATTCGGCGGTTGATATTGGATTGCTCATTGAGCCTTCAGGTGAGACAAAATTATTGGAAACCTGATGAGCAATTTATGAAATTGTGTGGGCGAGAATGTGTATTAGCAAAAAAAACGAGACGATATTTTTCAACACACATTTTTGTATGCGCCTTTAATGAATAACATAATTGGGTCACTTGTCGATTTACTTATATTATCCGCGTGGATGCAATTCGTCGCCTCGAGACCGTTTGCAAGATCAAACAATTATATATAAAACTAAGGCTTGCTAGAAAGACTCACCTTGCCGGCGATTTTTTAAGTCTAAGCTTTCCCTGTTTAACAAGGAAAATTTCATTGTGAGCATACATCTGCGGACATTTTCCGGGATGCGCCACACTCGCCTTTTGATTGTTACTAGCGGTGGCGGCAATTCAAACGCAGGCCGTGGATGGTGTTGCATTTCGTTTTTTTGACAACGCTTCCACAACAATATTACATTTTATCAGGAACGAAACAATCGAACATCTCGTTCATAATTCGATCGACCGCGATTGCCAGCTTCATCGTCGAGGATTTCTCACAAGAATGGACGCAATTCGCGTTGGAAGTTTCGCCGACGACGGTCACATTTTACTTCAAATGTCAGCGATATGGTACCAAACATGTAAGGAACCAAAATTTTTTGCAAAAATTTCCGTTTTTTTTTTCTTCTTGTTCAGATATCATCACTTCCAAATATGAATTTTGACGAAGCCGAAAAATTGTACATCGCCAGCGCAGGACCCATAATCGACAACGGATTTGAGGTTAAAAAGAAGTTTTTGTTGATGGTGTGTCCTCATTGGAAGAAAAGGTTCTCACGATGAATGGGAGTTGCGTCTCTCTTTTTTTTAAATATGGTATACCTTAAAAGGAGCGCCGCCCGCCATCACGGTTTTTTTGTCGGATCTCATGAGATTCTGGCGCCATCAAAAATTCCGACATCTCCAAGTTTCTTGCACATTTCCCATCCATGCGCCACAAAATAAACAATCGGGTCCCTCCCATCGCGCGCGTGTCGCCGCATTAATGTATATATCAGACAGCGGTCCGAACAACTCATTTTTCATTAAGCCGCCAATTGGCACAGTATTTTTTTTGTCGTGTTTTTTTTTGTGCACTCCCTCCTCTTCCTATCATCAATTTCCAAGCGCTCGATTTAATCGATCCCCGATTGGTTTCTTAATACACGTTTTCAAAAGTTGAACCTTTAATAATTGAAAAATCAAGTATATACCGTTTTGGTGAATTTTGTTATTCTGCTACTCGCAAAAAAAGTCTGATGGCCAGTTTGAAAAAAAAGAAACGAAGAAGGCTTGACGGTGTAATTATTTTTTGTGGCTCATCGTGTGAATCATCATCATTCGCGTCTAAAAATAAACAAAATTGGGGCGTCGATTCGAAAACTAATAAATTTTTCTTGTCTTCTTCATCCAATCATATCATTTTATTGCGGCTTCTTGCCTCCAAATTTTTCGTTTCATCGCAATTCGTTTGAAGGTGATGCGCGTTGAGCTCATCGCCATTCTCCTGTTGGCCGCCGGATTGGCGAATTGCCATGACGCGATTGATGGTGATGATGACGATGAGGTGCTGCTCACCGAAAATTGGGAGCAACTCGCGTTCATCGACAATGAGACCGATGAGCGCAATCCGACCGTTTATCAAATTCAATTGGCGCATGACAATGTCCATTTGCGGCACGTTCGCTCATCCAATGAGGACACATCGATTCCGCCCGTCGAGCCGATCGAGGTGGTCGATGAGGACAACGACGAGGTAATTTTCGTTTCAGGGCGCGATTCAAGAGCTCAAATTGATTGATGATGCGAGCCAGGGGGCGAGCCAATGCGACGAGCAATGGGTATGAAGCGAGCCTTGACGTGCAACACTTGCACGTCGAGTTCCCTAATTTTGTTTCTAGTTTATTTTATTCAATTTTTTATTTCATAGTGGCGACAGCGGAAACTTGAAAAAGATGGTATTTCGAAGGTAATCCCACAAGGCGCTTTTTTTGTGCGAGAATCGTTGTCGCATTGTCTTGTAGAGTTGTTGTAGATATTAGAGTTCATTTCATTTTTAGTGTTGTCGAATTCGCGGCAAATTTTCGTCGTTTTCAGATTGATGGCTCCGGAAGCGCCGAAATGAGCAATGCGCCCGAAGGTGAGGGTTTTTTTTTTGGACGAAACCGATTTGGGAGTGGATGTTTAAAGGCGCATCGAGTCGTGGTGTAGATTTACGGTGCTAAAGTATAGATCAAAGGCGCACGCGAGAAATTGTTAATTTCGCGCCAAAACACGAAAATTGGATTTTCCCAAAATTTTGTGAATGTCCTTCCGCCAAATTGTCAATTTACATTGGGGGCGTAGAAGTTGAATTTAAGCATGCTCGTAAATCTACACCTGACGCAACAGTATACGGTATATACCGTACAATTTGCAGTGTAAATCTTGAATAACGAAAAAAAATATTTTTTGCAGTGGAAGTCAGGAAATCCCAAATCCTTCCGCCGATTCCGTCGCCACCGCCGCCACTTCCGAATCCGATTCAACAAGGTATTACTCAAAGCTGAACATCGATTCAATTTGAAATGTGGAATTCGCCAAAAAAGAAAAGAAAAGAAACTCTTGCAGATATCGGTGGTATTCGACTTTCAGACGACTCTCTCGTTGTCCCTTTCATGCCTTTAGGTTTTCCAACAAAAAATATTCCTGTTTGAGCTTTTTTTAGTGTTTCCTTTTTTTTGAATGCATCCTTCTGCTTTTGAGCTTGGCTCTTGTCCCTTAGCAATGGGTTTTCATAAAAATGAGTTATCAAAAAGTTTGGGACCATTGAAATTAGTTGGCATGCAAATAGTTTGTTGCAAAAGAAATGCAGAATTTTAAAGTTTTCGAATAATCGAAAAAAATGTTAACTTGAAAAATATACATTTGTTTTGCAACAACATAATGTACAAATGTCTTCGTATTTTAATTTTTTTTTGATTTCAGAGGATCAGATCACTGTTGCGAAAATGCTGCCGCAAACGGTTAGTTTTGAGAAAAAGCTGGGTATTACTGTAGGGTTTACAGTGCCAGCAAGTTTGCAAAGGAGAAATTGGTCCAATGGGTCCGCCGGGACCGAAAGGATCGGACGGAATGGACGGTGTACCTGGATCGCATGGCGCGCCGGGACGACCGGGAGAACCCGGCCCAATGGGTCCGCCGGGGCTTCAGGGCGAACGCGGCGATCAAGGACCGCCGGGACCCGCCGGAATGCCAGGACTTCCCGGACCACCAGGTCCAGTGGCTGCACACGTGAATCAAGTCGGCGGACAGTCGGTAGCCGCCGTTGAAGGACCTCCCGGACCTCCAGGACAACCCGGTTTGCCGGGACCACCAGGACGTGACGGATTTCACGGCGAGCAAGGGCCGATGGGACCACCCGGGCCACCGGGACCGAGAGGCGAAGATGGCCGAAGTGTGGAAAATTTGTCGGAGGCGGACGTCGAGCGAATCGCGCGGCGCGTCGCGGCGCTGTCAAAATACAACAAGGTTGCTGAGAACGTACACAAGCCGTCGGTCGACTTTGGTCGCGCTTCAATGACACCCAACATATACGCAACAACTGTGGAATTGTTCGCGTCGGCGCGTGCAACCTCAGTTGGGCAACTCGCGTTCGCCACGTCATCACAGCAATTGTTCATCAGAGTCAATAATGGCTGGAAAGAAGTTCAGGTAATCGAAATGCGGGCTTGTCATAAATGCAAACGGTTTGACACTTCAGCTTACCCATTTCCATCCTGCAGTTGAAGCGAGAAAATCAGCAGTAAGTCGCTTGTCCATATTGCCGTGGGCCGACGATTTTGAATTGCCGCCGTGGGTTTGGAGTTGGATTTTTTGTTCTACGGCGACAAAAAATTTTCAAACTCGTTGGTCCATGACAATATTTTATTGCGCTGTGCAGATTTGCGAAAAAAAATCATTTTAAAACTCCAAAAATCGCTATGTAAATAGCAAATAGAAACTCGGCCGCGACCAGGTTTTTTGAAGTCTACAGTACCACAGTTTTTTATAAAATCGCTACGAGAATCATAAATCTTTATTACATGCGCCTTCAAGAGCAAATTTTGTTTTGAAGTTTTTTTTTGTTTTTTCACCGTTTTTAACGAAATCTGCATAGTAACATAACAATTTTAAAATTGAAACTTTGTTTTCATAAAAAAATGTCTCCTTTATAGCCTATCACAATAGATCCTACTCTGAGTACAAATAGTTTGCAATATTGGGTATGTTTTCGTCGTAGATCATGTTCAATATCGTGTTGTTCATTTTCATCATCGCATCTTTTAAATTTCCACCAAAATTCCTAGAATTCACACTTGTCCGCGCATAAGCTATGCTCGCACAGGCACGAACGTGGAGACGAGATTCAAGTAATTTCTTCAATTTGAATCTTTTTTAGTTTCTATTTTAAATATAGGAGGTGGTTTTCCCTTGTAGAATCTTTTTTTTTCGTTTTCCTTTAATGCCGGCATTCAATATTGTGATGTTGTTATTTTAAATCAATTTTTTCTAATTAGAGAGCGCTTTTAATCAATTAATGATGGTATTTTAGCAAAATTCGAGACAGAATGATGTTGGCGAGAACCCACCAATGTCTATTTGGCAGCCACGACCAGTTGAGCACCCACAAAGAGACGGCGCGCATAATAAAGATCGCAAGATTCATATGATTGCTCTCTCGAATCCGACGAATGGAAATATGCACGGACTTCGCGGCGCCGACCTCCAATGCTATCGAGAAGCGAGAGCCGCCGGCTTCACAACGACATTCCGAGCGATGCTGAGCAATAATGTTCAGGTATTGTTTGACGATAAACGAATTTGCGAGCGATTGATTTTCAAAGGATCTAGTGAAAATCGTTCATCACGCCGACGCTGACACGCCCGTCGTCAATCTTGCCGGACAACATCTCTTCCCAAGTTGGCGAGCTTTCATCAATGGAGCCCACATATCACAAGCTCAACTATTCTCGTTTGACAGACATGATGTTCTGCATGACTCGAAATGGTATGCGGTTATGGTTCATTTCGAATTCGTTTTTTTTTCAAGGCCAGACAAACGCATTTGGCATGGTTCGAAAGCGGATGGCACTCGCGGCGAGACCTATTGCGATGGTTGGCGTAGAGCTGATGGTATATTTTTTTAATTGCTGAGAAAAAACATTTAAGCGTTGATTAAAATGCAAGTCCGCAGAATGCATGCGACGTGATTGCACATTACACACTATTCTACGGCGCGTGAAGAACATTTTAGATGCGCTCAAAATTTGCGCGTTTTTCCACCCAAATATTGAGATTCATCGAAAATTTTCAGCAAATCAGCACTCATTGGCTGGTTTTGTGTTCTCCAACACAAGCCTTCTACAGTCCGCAACTCGTGTGGCGTGCGACACGAAGCTTGTCGTTCTCTGCGTCGAGAACATGTCGAAATACCACATCGAAAAAATTCTAAGACTGCGTCGACTTCAGCACGACTTTTAGGAATCCGACAATTTTTGTTTTTGCTTAATTTTCAGATCAGGCTATTTTCATAGATCCTCTCTCTTCGTTTCACATGTTCTCCAAAATCATTTTCGGCCAGAATTGCGCGCTTCTTTCCAATTATTACTTTCTCGTATATGTTTTTTTTTCAATATTATTAACTTTATAAAACAATAGCCGTAAAGAATAGACTATAAACAATTGTTTTGAGATTTATCGCAACTGCGACTCAACAATTCCGGCGGCAATCGTCTGCCCTGATGACCGAAATGTGACTCTTCCTAGCGCCCGACAACTCGTGAATGATTCAATAGCAACCTCGTACTCCGTCTCGATTTCCACAACCGCCGATGTGCCCTTCGTTAAGTATCTGAAATCCAGTGTCTGAGGGAATCACATTATTTTTCATTGCCTTGGCCTATTTTTTGTCACTTCTCCAGTCGTTTTGTTCACAATGCTGACCAGTTTTGTAAAAGAGCAGGGAACACAAAGAGAGTGCGCATAGAGTTCGGTTTTGGTGCCCTACAAATTTGAGCTATACAAATTTCAATCATTTTTCGAAAACTCTTCGCACTTTCATGATAGGCATTGTCACGTCGAAAACGACTAGTCGCACGACGAATTTGTGCGCCGGAAGTAGTGTGTCGGGACCCCCTCGTACCACCACAGCTCCCGAATGAATCGAGTCAGGCTCGAACGAGCCACTTAGCGTCGCCAGTATGTAATCGCCGGCAATACAATGCTCGTGGGCTCCTTCGTAGGTGCTGCACGCTTTCACCGCGCAACTCGTCCCATTCGGCATTATATACACTTTGTCGTCTTTCTCGATTTCACCGGATTCGACTTTGCCGCTAAACACCAATTGATTGTTTGTCACCTGCAGGAAAAAAAACGATTTCTTAGAAAACGTATGAATCAATTCGGTTGCCTTGAGAACATCACTAACGACAATGCGAAGCGGACCATCCGATAGTTGTTTAGGTGGCACAAAGGAGTCAATGAGCTCGAGAAGGCACGGGCCGTGGTACCAGGAGCACATACTTTCAGGCGAGAATCTCTTGGTAAGATTTTCTCCGCTAAGACCGGACACGGGAACATATTTCAATTTTGTCGACGCAAAACCGGCCTGTAAAATCCCGATGAGAATATTTCAGCCAGACAAATTTCGTACCTGCTTAGTTAAAAACTGATTCAAAATTTCTTTGATCTCGTCGAATCTCTCTTTCGACCAATCCACCGTATCGAGCTTGTTGACCGCAACAATCAACTGTGTGACGCCGAGCGAACGCAAAAGCATCGCGTGCTCTTTCGTCTGGCCGCCATTTTCAAAACCGGTCTCGAATTCGCCGCGAGTTCCGTTCACCACAAGAATCGCCGCGTCGGCTTGTGACGTGCCTAAACTTGAATAGAAAACAACGATTCGATGAGAAGCAGAATCGATGTGAATACCCGTAATCATGTTGGAAATGAAATCCTTATGGCCTGGAGCGTCCAACAAAACGATTCGCTTGGAGTTCGTCTCGAAACAAATTCTTCCAACGTCCATGGTAACTCCTCGTTCTCTACAAAATGAATGTCTCCAATTTTTCATTTTTCACATTTATTATAAAGAACCTTTCTTCTTGAGTTTCATCAAGAACCCAGGCATATGCAAAAGACGATTTGCCGGTACGAGAAGATTCGTGTTTGTATTTGTCCATTGTACGATTGTCAACAAATCCCATCTAAAATCCGATAATAGAAAAAATAGTAGCAAAAATCATACGTCGAATAATAAATGGCCCATAAGTGTACTCTTTCCAGCGTCGACATGTCCCACAACGATCATATTAATCAAATGTTTGCTTTCTGAGCGTTTTTTCGGTTTTCTTGGAGCTGATGAGGCCCGCGCAATATTCGCCAAATTGGTTTTGCGAAGCGTCGTCAAATCTCTGAAATTTTAAATAACAATTTTAAGTCGTTAGAAATTCAACTCCTACATGTCGGAATGATTTTTCTGCATTTGCTTCGGCGTCAAAGACTTTTCATCTTTGATGAGCTTCTGCACATTTGGCACTTTTTGAGAAGGCTGAGAGCTCGGTTGAATCGGATTTGGCGGTTTCGTGATTTGCGTCGCCGGCGGTGCGGTGATCTTCGGTACCGATTTTACTTCGCTATTATTTGGCGATGCTGATGAATTTTTGTCTTTCGGTGACAACAGATTGAAATAACTAGATGAAGACGTCCGATCATAAGTGAATTCACCTTCAAAACTATACGTAATTATTTTTTCTATTTCAGTTTCCCGTACTGTTTGTCGGTTCTTCGTCGTCGTCGTAATAATCATCGTCATCATAATCATCATAATATTCTAGAAATAGTAATTATTAATACACATGGCGTTTCTAGTATCGATATTATTTTTTTTTGGACATCGTAAAATTTTTGAAACTTACCATCAGCTAAGTTCATATTGCGCACATTTCGATGTCGGGACATTATGAGAACAGTGATCTATAATTATAATTCACCATAAAAGGAGGTGAACATGCGATTGCATACTATTTAAATAGTACTCAACAGAGGGGGCATGAACATGATGTCAATCAATATATTTAATTCGCATTAATCTTTTTAAATAAATGGTTACGATATTCAAAAATAGAAATTAAAAAAAAAAACAAATGATCGCATTAAAATCACTAAATTATTGAGCAATATAGAAGATAAAGAGAACGCAGAAAAAATAAGAAAAGCAATGGCCGTGGCCGAATTCGCCTCCAAATTGCGTCCATAAATGTCGATAGCGTTTTCGATTCTTATTTTTTCTATAAAAGATATCGATTTCTTTTGCAGAATGATCGATCATGCGTTTAAAGAAGAACTTGCAAGAAAGCGTGAACGTGTGGAGGATTTATTTTATTATGAGAACTCAAAAGTAAGGGTTATCGCGAAAAACGCCGCTTTGAAGTAATATCCTTACTAGAGTAATTCTATATTATTGTTTAGATCGGCCGTGGCACCTATGGTCTCGTGTACAAAGCTACCCCAAAGGGAAACAATCCAAAATATCCACAAAAGGAATACGCTTTGAAAATGATTGAAGGCCAAGGATTCTCAATGTCGGCGTGCCGCGAAATCGCGTTGTTCCGCGAATTGCGACATCCGAATCTGATCTGCCTTCAGCGAGTATTTCTGACCAATGAGAAAAAAGTTTGGCTACTTTTGGATTATGCCGAGCACGATCTTTGGCATGTCATCAAACACCACAGAACAGCCAAAAACAAAAAGGTAGTCCTTTGAGGTGTGAAAAGGAAATTAAAATTAAATTTAGGTGCCAATCATGGTCCCAAGGAATATGGTTAAGAATATTCTTTACCAAATTCTATCTGGAATTCATTATTTGCATTCGAATTGGGTCCTGCACAGAGACTTAAAGCCCGCAAACATTTTACTAATGGGTGACGGACCGCCGGATATGCGCGGCCGTGTCAAAATCGCCGACCTCGGTTTCTCGCGTGTTTTTGCGAATCCTTTGAAACCGATGGCCGAACTTGATCCGGTCGTCGTCACTTTCTGGTATAGAGCTCCAGAGCTTCTTCTTGGCGCGAAACATTATACAAAAGCTATCGACGTATGGGCGATAGGCTGCATTTTCGCCGAGCTGCTCACCGCGGAGCCATTATTTTTTTGTAAAGAGGAAGACATTAAAGCGCAGAATCCGTATCACTACGATCAAGTAAAACGGTAAAATTTTGTGAAAATTTTTGAGAAATAACATGTTTTCTTGAAGGATATTCCATCTGCTCGGCTATCCGTCCGACGCGGATTGGCCGGATATGAAAAAAATGCCGGACCATCAGCGATTATTGGCCGACGCGCGAGCTGAGGGGACGCCGATACAAACGTTTCCCAACAGCCTTCATCGTTATTTCGACAAATGGAAAATCCATCCGGGATCGAATCCCTACAAATTGCTCGTTCGACTTTTAACCGTTGATCCCAACAAGCGAGTGTCTTGCAAAGAAGCCATGGAGGATCCCTACTTTAAAACCGATCCGAAGCCGACCGACGATGTGTTCAATAAGTATCCAATACCATATGCGAAGAAAGAGCATCTGCAGGTAGGATTTCAAAAAAAAAAGGCCAAAGTTCAATGAATTTGACATCTAGGAAAGTGAACTAGCGGCTACAAAAGCGAAGATCGACGCAATGACAAATCAATTACATCCGCCACATGAGCATATGCATATGCCTCAGGTAGTATATGATTAACATGGTCCTTAAAATTCTAGTTATAAAAAGAAATTCCAATGAAACTAGATTTTTTTCGCAATCTTCTCACAGTTTTCCATCTTTTTAATGTTTCTGCCAAATATCATTTTATTTAGCATATTCCTGTTCAACATCAACAAATGCACGACGAGCCAGCCAACAAAATGATGAGAATGGGACCACCGCAAGCGAGTCAAAGGGTATGTCAACGCGATACACATAATAAGAAAATAATAATTTATTAATTTGAGATGCCACCGGGTTATGGTCCCGATTCGTGGCATCCTGGAATGAATCAACAAATGCGTCCACATGTGATGCCAGGACAAAGTAAGCATTCTCTCAATCAGCACATTTCAATATTCGACAATTGATTTAGTGGAAATGGGCAACATGATGGGCCAACCGCCCAACTACTATAGAGGGCCCGGAAATCCGCAATTTATGACACCGCAACAACAACAGCAACAACAAATGGGAATGATGCGTACGTTGTTGCCTTTTTGTTGTTTCACATAATAATAAAAATTAAAATTATAATAGAAATGGAATTTCAGAAATGCATCCCAATCAGATGATGGGACGAGGCGGCGCTGAGCAACAACAATATATGCAAAATCAGCAAATGATGCAAAAAGGACCCCAACATCAACAATGGAATCAGCCGTTCCGCTAAATAGCACATGTACAAATCAAATATTCATAATCACATAAGTATGAATGATTACATTAGCAATGATAATAATTATAATAATAATATGAATTTCAAAAAGAAAAACACAAAAAAATATAAAATAATTGATACCAAAAAAATTGAAGATGATGAAAACGGATCGATATAATTAAATACAGGGTTTTAGATTCAAAAAAAATTATATATAAAGAAACGGTGTGAATGATCAATTGCAGCATGTTGAATTTTCGCAAATAGCAACCTTCTCTTCGGATAAAACTCAAGATTTACACAGAGAGACAGACACAAAAAGAAACAAAAAATGGAAGAAACAAAAATTGAAACGTTACACGTCATGATAGCATAACAACCCGCAATAGCACACAGAATTAAAACAGCTGAGAAAAAAAAGAAAAACGAGAGGGGAGGGGAAAAACGAAACAAGAGAGCAAATATAAATGATAATCGCAAGTCTGTGAAATTGAGATAAAATGATGATTTCGTTGCATTTCTGTTTACTCGATAAAATTATAATTTGGGGGGGGAGGGGGCGGAAAAGAAAAGAGTAAAAATAATACAAAAAAAGTGATATATAAAAATTCCGACTCGTTTCGCGGACAAAAAAAAAACAAAGTGTGAGGAGGGGGGAAACAAAATCACAGCAGGCTTGGTACAATTTTTTATGCGACAGCGGTCGTCATCACGCCATCATCGGACAACGAGCCGTTAGTGGTCACCGACGAGTTCGTCTTCTCATAGCCGTTCGACAAACAACTCCTTTTCGCCGGCGGCGAATTCGATTTCTAAAATTCCAGTTATTGATTTCAAGTTCTGTTTATACTCGGAATCTCAGAAATGGGGAAACACACTATACCTCTTCGATTATCGCGCTTCTTTTCTGGACAGTCTGCTTCATTTTATACGTTTCCTCATAACCATCGCAAGACTCTTCAGCAATCGGCGTTTCCGATTTTACCGCGACCTCGTCGACGTTTTCCTCGGTTTTCGGCTCGACGCCGTTTGGCACTTTTCCGACGCCATTCTCAACAGCACCCGTTTCACATTTCTCATCGGACACTTCGGAGCCTTCAGCTTCTGGAAAAAAAAAAACAAACCGTCAATGTTAGCTCGACGAAATTCCAAAAATCAAACCTCCTTTCGGTGTCAAATCACAGCCCTCATCGCCAAACTCGTCAATATTCCCCTGAATCTCAAAAAGTGTGTCGGCAATCATTCCGGCGACACGCGAGTCCATCAATTGGCTCATTGTGAATTGCAGCATTCGCTGTTGGTGCTTCAAGAACATCTTGTAAGCAGCGGGCACCTAAAATAGGTATTTCATTTTTTTTTCAGATTTATTGAATTTGCTTCTGGTTACCTTCACAAGCATTCGAAGCATCGAAGCAGCGCGACGCAACATGCCCACTGAGGTGCCCATCATTTCCGGATTATCGCGCAACGCGTTCATTCCATGCGTCTGCATCACTTGGTGCATGTTCTGATCGGCCGCATCGATGAACATGATCAAATGGGCAACCGCTTGAGTTTCGGTCGCCGCCGTGTAGCAAGCCGCCTCGCTCGCAACACAAAGCGCGTTGAGGATAACAATCGCAAACTCCCTGAAATACAAAAAATTGGGTCCTCTCGATGATCTCGCGCGAGATATACCTATAGTGCGTCTCCTCATTCATCGGCAGAAGTCGAGCCAGCACGTGAATAAGCTTCTCGACTCGTGCCCACGAGCCAGTCGACAAGAACATGTCAACGTTTCGCTCGAGCACCACCATTTTGCACATAATCTCCAACGCGTAATCTCTTGGCGAAACGACACTCGGCGCGGCGGCGTCGGTAGCCTCCGGAACATTTGAGACGCTCCAATGCAATAGGCCATCATAGATGGGAAACGCGACAACGTTTCGCATATCCGACAGATCGAGCTGAAAACAGACAATGATTGGGTTGGCTCGAGAGAAGCTTATTTGAATAGCCTACCGCAACACTCATATGAGCCAACATGACGAATGCGTCGTCTCTCAATTGATTCGCAGTTTCCATGAGAAGCGCTCTAAGTGTATCATCATCATCCATCACCGCCAACGATTTCGTCTTCTGCTCTTCAACACTCTCAATCGGCGATTCTCTCTTGATATCATCACAATTGAGCACAACGCTACGCTTCTGATGCACGATTTTTCTCTCTTTGACGAGCAGCCTAAAACAAAAAAAACATGCTCAAAATTGTTGGTCTCAACAAATTCACCTCAGGAATCGCCCAAGAATATAGAGAAGGGCATCGTGTCGAGCCATCACCTGCTCACTTCCGGGCACAAACGAGAATCCTCGCAGTATGTTCGAAAGGGCCAACGCGCGCTGAGCGAGCTCGCACAACACGCCGCTTCTCGCCGACAACGCAGAAAATCGCGGCACACTCAACTCCTTCTCGTGCTTGCATTCGGACAACTCCTCGTCGGTGGCGCCTCGCAACAATAGAACCACATCTTTGTTCTCATCACGTTCGGGCTCCTCGTTGTCGGCCTCAACGTCGTGCCGCTGCTCGAAATCATCGATCTGCAAAACCACAAACGTCATCCATCGTCTAGGCCGGCAAAATCGAGCCACGCAAACCTTGTATTTCGAAAAAACTGGTTTCGTCACAATTTTTTCCAATTTGAGCTTTTCGCGCAATCGCACCGCAATTCGTTCGGCTAAGCCACCACCAAGACCGAGACCGTTTCGTTTTTCGACATATTCCAATGAAAGCGATTCTAAAATTGGCACCAATTTTTAAGCTCGTCGAATAGAAATGAAAAATACCATCAATTTTATCATCACATAATCGATTTTCGCGATTCAAGCGTTTCTCCAAAACCGCCGGAAGCGTTTCGTCTTTGAATTGCACCGGAATTCCATTTCTCGATTTCTAAACGCAATTCAATCATTTTGTGTTTCAATAATTTTTAGAAATAAATTAACCAACCATTGTGAGAGCGGCCGATTTATTCGCGTCGCCCTTTTTTGGAACAACTGGCATCACATCGAGTGTCGTTTTCAGGTCTTTCCCACCGCGTTTCGTAAAATTTTTGATGAATGCCCTCGAGTCCGATGGCAAATCGAATCCGCAAATTTTTCCCGGCTCCGCAATCTGAAAAAATCGATATTTGATAGTCCCAAGTCCAGTGCGAGTAAAACAAAACAAGCAAACCTCAAATTGTTTCGGGTACAAAACTGTCAAGGTGGCAAATAAATGCTCGACAATCACATTTACAAGTCCTGGCATTTGCTGCAACGATGGCTGCGGGTTCGTATCATCATATAGAAGGACGTTCAACGCATTAATCGCCCAAATTGCTTCGGCGTCCAAACCAGAGCGTAGAGCCATGATAAGCCTTCTAGGTGTCGCCTGAAAAATGAACATTTCTTGATTTTTATCCACCAAATTCCAACTCGACATACGTTAATCAACTCGCGAGCATACATCTTTCGGCGTTTGATGTGATTGCCGGTTGTCGCTTCGACGGTGCCCGGCGGATAATGATACGGCTGCGATGGTAGTGTCGAAGCGACCATCGAAGACGGCGGCAATGAGATGGCTGGTGTTGTTGATGTTGGCATTGACGTGGATGGGGCGCCACCTGGATGTCTGCCCGACGGCGTTCCAGCCGACGGCGGATAACGAGGCAATTTGCCGTTCGCTGCCGATGCCATTGGCGACGGCGATGGAGCGCCGTGAGGCGGCATTCGAGCCGCGTATCCCGGGTAACCGGCGCGCTGTTGTGCCTGTTGCTGAGCGTGCTGCTGGGCGGCCGACTGTTGCGATTGCTGCTGTTGCTGTTGTTGTTGTTGTTGCTGCTGCTGCTGTTGCTGCTGTTGTTGTTGCTGATGTTGATGCTGGAACCTTTGCTGTTGTTGCCACGCCAAATACTGTTGGTGTTGCGGATGCGACGGATGAGCGGCTGGATGAGGCGGATAGCCAGCCGGCGGATAGCCATACGGCGGTCCCGGTTGCGGCGGGAATCCCGGACGATTGCCGTACATTGCCGAATTCGGTGCTCCTGGATAGTATTGGCCAACCGCCGGAGGAGGAGGAGGAGGCGGCGGTGGTGGTTGCTGCTGCTGCTGCACATGCGGTGTCGCGCTACTTGTCGAAGGCACAGCGGCGTCTGGTTGCGCGGCAGGAGCCGAAGCCGACGGCGTTGCCGTCGATGCACTGGTCGCGGTTGCTGCCGGCGTCGCCGATTCATTCGTCGTCGTCGTTTCGGTGCCACCGCTCAAACGCGAATTGCTGTCGGGTGTCGCCGAGGTGGTGGCGGCACCTTGTGGTGTGACACTTGGTGCGCGACTACCCGCATGGCTTGAATTGCCCTCGGTCGCTGGCGGTGCCGCCGACGGTGTTGGCGGTTGATTGGACGACGATGGCGTTGCTGGTTGCGTATTGTTTCCACTAGAAGCACCTTGAACCGAAGACGGTCCCGTCGTCGGCGGCTGTGATGGTGTTGTGGCGGCCACTGAAGTCGGTGGCCCGAATGGTGTCGGTGGTTGCTGTTGCTGCTGTTGCTGTTGTTGCTGCTGTTGTTGTTGCTGATGCTGCGCCATTTGTTGCTGATGATGCGCCGCCGCGGCCGCTGCTTGTTGCTGTTGCGAATACCATTGCTGGCGATGATGTTCCTCAATTTCGTGCTGCGACATGTGCTGTTGCGGCATCGGCGCACGCATCGGCGTCTGCCCTGGCGCCATCCGATTGTATTGTCCCGGCGAGAACGTGTTCATGTGCGGTTGGCCCGGATAACCCGGATGTTGTGGCGGCGGCATCATGCCATGCTGCTGATAGTAATAGTTGGGATCCATGTGTTGGCCAGGAATTGGCTGCGGTGGAAATTGTCCAGGCGGCTGACCGGGCGGAGGAGCGCCGTTGCCTAAAATCACAATATGGGGTAATTTTAGAAAAAAACTGTTTATTTTTTAAAATTCTTTTCAAATTCTATACCCATTCCTCAATTTTGATGTACTAACCGTAAAAGGGTGGCTTCCACTCATTAAAATGCGGCGGTTGGATAGGTGCGCCAGGTGGCGGATAAAACCCGCGAGTTCGATAAAAATGCTCTCGGCTCATTTGCTGTTGCTGCTGCTGATGATAATAATTCATCGCATAATTCGCATAGTTTTGCGGCGATTTCGACGACGGAATCGGCGGATAGCTCGACGCAAACGCGCCCGGATAATTCGAATAGTTGGGCGATCGTTGCGACGTCGACATTTGCGCCACCGACAGATAGCCGTTGCCCTGTTGCGGATTTTGCGGATACCACGTCGCCGTTGCGGCCGCCATTTTCGAATTGAACGACGTCGACGCCATTATGTCACCCGATGAGCCGGGTGGCGGTGTCGAGGCGACAACCGGCGTCGACGAGCCACCACCACTACTGCTGCCGCCACCGCCGCCGCCGCCGCCGCCGCCGCCGCCCCTCGTACCACGCTTCGATTTAGGCGGCAATTTGAAATCGGTCGGCAAACGAAAAATAAATAATGGAAAATTGTTGATGAGCTGATAACTATATGAGTCGTGTTAGCAAACGCAACAACTAGATGTCGATTCTGAATTAATCGGTCATGTCGAATATAATATATATATATATGATATTAAAAGAGTAAAACAACAACAGTTCGAGGAAAATCAAAAAAAAAGAGAAAGCGTGCACGCGAACACACTCCGCCCCAATGGCGACGGAGGGTGCAGACGAGAAAGGTGATAATGGATAAATTTGAGATTTTTTAGCGCCAAAATGATGTGAAACTTGGAGACATGAGGAGAAGAAAGGAAGAAAGACAGAGAGTGCAGAGGGCGGAGAGAACACCGACAAATTTGTTATCAAAACTTTCGATCGAACTGAAACAGAATTTCGGGACAAATTTTTGTGAAAAGAATCAATTTTCTTGGTTTTTTTTTCTTTTTCGATGTTACTAGCCAGATAAGTTCACGAAACAACAACAACAAAAAAGTTGTAAAGGGGATTTCTTTGCTTCTCATTCTCTCTTATCAAATTCCGCTCTCTCTCTCTCTCTCCTTCTCCCCAACCAAATTTTCCTTCGCATCGTGATAACAGGAATTATAGAAAAATTCGAACTTTTTCATGATAACGCATAACGCAATAGAAGCGGTGACGCATATACATATATATATATATATATATGTTTTATCGAGATATATATATATACATACATGTGTGCACCAAATGATTATTAGGGGGCAAAGCCGAATCGGTTGCCAAGGGTACCGAAATTTTCAACAGCGGATTCGAGCACAGCGACACAAAAAAAAACGAAAGACTGTGAGACGAGGTGCGAGAAGAAGCAGGAGAACAAGTCGACGAGAATGAAGGCACGCGACGAAAATCAAAGAAGAAGACGTGATAGAGTGGGGCGTAGGGCGCATGGAAGCGGTGCGCCGCGCATATCAGGAGCCACCTCTCTCCATACTTTATCGATAATAATGCGAAAGGGAGTGGGGGGGGCACCAGCAAAACTCATTATGGACAAAGTTCGGCTTATGTGCCGTGCGCACAGCCAACCGCAGATGTGTGTATGTGTGTGCGCCGAGCTCGCGCGCGCGCGCTCGAGCAACCGCGGCCATAGTAACCGCCGTCGTCATCGATATAAATCCGATGAAGAAGGGAGGTGGGGGGAAGCTCGTGGCACACACACAAACACAGCTTCTATATATTTATATTATTATTATTATTGAGTGAGAAGATAAGCCGCGCCAACATCGATTTTTACACCTTATCGTTTTCAATTCGCCCATCTACGACACACACACAACACGCACGATGGAACGAATGAATCGAAAAAAAAAATTGAGGAATCGATCGGCGATATCGGCAGGTACATTGAAACCCAATTTTCGCCCCACAAAAATTTTTTGCTTCCAATTATCTCTCTCTCTCTCTCGCTCCTACCAACCTGGATATGATTGTTGCGCGACGGCGGCAGCCGCTGCTGCCGCATTCGCTTGGCCTGCTCCAGAATTATCAGGTCGCTTGCGTTGTCGTTTCAGTTTGTCGGCGAAAGCCACCTAAAATTTTCGTTTGTTCGTCATTTCCTTCAAAAAAAAAACATTTCTAACCTCATCCTCTGGATTCCTTCCAGTTTCAAGACATTCGAGAAGAAGCAAATGTTTTTGATAGTGTTTTCTCAGCTGATAGCCAGCCGCTGACGATTCCGATAATTCGGGACTCGCTTCGGTGCACAGCACCTTCCAAACTTTATCTTTGGTAACCTAGAAAAAAAAGCATTTTCCACAAAAAGAAAACAACCGTGGAAATACCTGTTGAAATCCTCCTCGATTTCTCACTCCAATATATAATCGATGTAGATCAATGTTCTGCTTTGATACTTGTGGAACTTGTACAAGTGGTTCGCCATTTTTCTCGCAAAACTCGACAAGTCGCTCAAAGAACAACCGTCTATCGGGCATCACGTGCGGCGGATTCATTTTATTGACGGGACCAACCTATTTGGGAGGCAAAAAATTAAAAACAATTTTCGAAATCGAGCAAACCAATTTATCAACGATCTCTTGTTTCGTGAGCGTTTTGCCAGCTGGCGGCGCCGTTTTCATTTCGCCTACGCCACCGGCCATTGGTGTCGTCGGAACAGATGATGGTGGCTCTAAAATTCTTTCGTTATTTTTTTGCCACATTTCTCCCATGGTCATACGATTTGGCGCATTTTGGCCGGGTGTCGCCTGGTGCATTGGCGACATCATTCCATGAGGTGGTGGTGCCGTTGTTTTCTAAAGATTTTTGGAAAAAAAATTAGAATCATATGATGTCTCGAATTTGTTACATTTTGCCACGCTGGCGATTCATTCGACGCCGACGGCTTCTCATCGAGTGAATCCTCGGCAATCGATGAGGCCGCCGGTGAAGCCGCTGGCTGACTCGATGACGGCGTCGCCGGATTGCCGTTCGGCCCGTTCGGATCTTTCAATTTCTGTTGTTGCGCGGCCCATTCGGTTGGCGTCGGCCCGGGCGGCATTCGGACGAGTTCGGCCGGCATCGGCGGCGGTCTCATCAATCCGGGATGTTGAGGCGAGTTGCCGGGATGCGGCGGCGGCGGATAGCCGGCTGTCGACGTTCCCGGATATCCGGGATACGCATAGCCGGGATGCGGTCTCGGTGGCACACCGTATTGTGCGTACTGCGGCGGATAGCCATGAATATTGGGCGGCATTCCCATATGAGGATGCGGAATTTGCGACGGATCATGTGGTCTCGGTGGCCATTCGCCTGGCGGATGCATTGGCGCTTGTGGTGGCGGTGGCGGTGCTGCTGCTGGTGCTACTGTTGTTGTTGGTGGTGGTGGCGGCGGAGCCGCCGTAGCAGCCGGCGCTGATGCCTCCACCGATGATCCCGAAGCCGATTGTTGCTGTTGCTGCGAACCGTCATCGCTCTTTTTGCCACCGGCCGCGGCAACCTCTGACACCGATGCTTCATATTTGTCAGTGCCACTCGATGATTCCTATAAATTCGATCTTTGAACATTCTGTGTTTTTTCTTTTTTCTCGCCCAATTGTTTGCTTTTCTAATGACTCATTTCCAGAACACACTGCTTTTTTTGTGATAAGATTACATATCTTTGAAATGTGTTTTTGTTCTCGCTAATTATGACGTTGTTTTCATTTCGCTCAAACATGTGTACTCTTTTGTTATTGTTGTTGTTGTTGTTGTTGTTCTTCTTCTTCTTCTCTCATGCCTAATACGGAAAAAATAAGGCGATGATGGAGAACGAGAGAAACGGACCCCTCGTTTGGCTTCTTTCATGGCTGTTCGGCAATCGTATACCGCCGTGTTTTCGAATGGACGCGACTCGCGACCGTCGCGGCGAAATAGCGTCGCAAATCGAGAGGCTCGCGCGCAATTTCGCGACGAGACGCAGACCGAATCGAGGCGAAATAGCGTGTGTGTGCGAGAGAGCGAGTGAGAGAGAGAAAGATACACATACATCTCCGTGTGACAAGGCGGCGTGTCGCTCGCCTTCCATTCTCCAATTCCTATTTTATTCTTTCCAATCGGCCCGAGCGAGCGGCGAGAGATTGAGAGAGTCGATAGAAGTCGAGCGCAACGAGTTATTCACGCAAAAACGACGAATGGGAAGAGGGACGACGACACGAGTGGCGGGGGGAAACGGTGGGGAAGAGAGCGAGGAATCTATATTTCAAACCGCCGCGCGGGGTTGTGCGAGTGAGTGAGTGAGTGCGCTCACATCTGCGCTCACGCATAATGAAGAGAACCCCTCAGCGCGCTCACAAACGCGCAACATACACACACACACTCAAAAAAATGAAATCGGTATGGCGAACATAAGACGAATGAATCATCCCCCGCAAAGGAAGTAGCACTTTTAAATTGTTCTTTTTTTTCAGCGCTCATTATTTTTGAAATTTTCGCGTTGACAAAAAAAAACAACAACAACAATACAAATGGTGATGATATGGGTATCAAATTTCTTCGCCAATGAAGTGACTGATTAATAGAGTTCGGCAGAAAACAATGAAAAACTGGCAATGATAACATTTTCAATATCGACGTCCTCCTTTCATTTCGCTTTCCACGAGTACGTGTCTTTTATATATAGCTAGATTTTTTGCAATAGTCACCATTTTCCTCTAGATCGATTTTTTCAACAAAAAAAACTTGCAAAACAGTTGACTTCACAAAAATTTTTAAATTAAATTCTAGAAATTAATTTTTTAATTCACCTTCAAATGCGCGGATCTCTAAAATGGTGTTTTTACTCCAATTTTGACTATTAGTTTTCACATAATTCCTATACAATTTCTAAAACCAACAAAAATTGATTGACCGCTCAATTAATGAATGAAAACGAACCTACAATACATTTTGTGGATTATCGGCATAAACACAAAAAGCCGGAAGGGAAAAATGTTGCACGGAAAAAATCGAACAAGTGGAGAGAGAGAGACCCTCTTATTTCTCAATATATCACACTATTTTTTTTATTCGTCTCGCAAAAATCACCGTCATTGTTTATTCCGCCGTTTCTCACGACCACATTCTAGTCGTCTGGCAGAGAAATGACTAACTATCCTCCACGTTTTTTTTAATGAGAACATCAACAACAACAACAACAACAACACTACAAATAGATCGGTTTTTAAAGATTGTTTCTCGTTGTGTTCAATTTTTGTCTCTCCCCCATTTCTCTCATATCATTTCGCTGTCATTATTATTATTTTGTTTCTTTTTTTGGCGCGTTTCCTCTACAAACTATACCATTGGGGGCTGTTGCTGAGAAGCATCATTACTGCTCTCCGGATCCGTCGAATCCGCTACTGGTGAGTTTTTCTGAACAAATTTTCAAAATTACAGATCTTCGTGCTCGCAACTCACTTCCTGAACTGCATTTGCCGCCGCAGTTGACATACCGAATAAAGCAATTCTACAAAAACGAAACGATTTGATTTAAACAAAGAAATAGCAAGAAGTGATTTGAAAAAATGTTTACTTTTATCACAACTAATATAGAAATTTGCAGGTTCTCAACGGTTTCTGTATTGTTTAAATGAAAAGAAGGAAAACCATGAGGAACAGATCGAATTGTCTGTTTTTCTTTGGGAAACTGATGAAGCACTCCTGAAAAAAAAAACTTAGAGAATTAATTGGAATATAAATATTAAGTAGTTGGAAGAGAAAATAATGAGAATGGAAAGAAGGGCATATTTTTTAGGACTATTCAATAATTGCAAGCTTCTCAAATCTTTCACTAATATGATTTTCATTTATTGTTGTGTTAATCCAGAATTGTGCTATCTCAATATTGGTTAATAGTGGAAAAGAAAATTTTATTTTAATTTACACTATTAATAGACCTCTAATTAAAGCCAAACGAATCTCATCCGGAAAAACTTTCCCATGAACATTTCACACGCACCTCTCACATTGCACATTGTAAATAAAGCATTTTCGCACTATTTATGAGAGCAACACGGCAAAAAAATTGACGTCTTCGTTCGTGCCAGAAAACCGCAATATTCGTTGCTATTTAATTCAGTGTCCATCTATTTGGCTATCTATGGGGCGAGAGAAGAAGGAAAAAAATGAGAAAGCATAATATACACATCGTCAAAGAAGGAGAAGGACAACACTTTTCATTGGTCATACGCAACATAAAAAAACCAAATCTTCGTGAAGAAAAAAGCATTGGAGCAGACCAAGGCTGGCGTCCATGGCTCTCTCTCTCTCGCATCGTTTCCTCTCTTATTATGGTAAAGCGAAAAAGAAAAAGAAAGGGGGGAAGAACGCGACGGGAGGTGTGCTTGGTTGGCCTGGCTGAGCGAAAAAAGTAGAGATAGAAGGCCTGCGTCCGTCTGTCGTTTCTCTCAATCCAACGACACTCTCAACGGCCGCTACAAATGCAGGCGAATGTGTATAGATGGGCGAGGAGAAGGGCCGCCGAAACGCGAACAAGACGAATAAAAAGAAGGCCAAGCGCACTCTCGCTTCTCTGCTTCTGACTAGTGTCTATGTGTGCTGCGTTGTTGGTGGTGGTGGTGGTGGCGGTAGTAAGTCCCCCCTCTTCCTCTCTCGCTCACGCGCATACACAATTCTATCGATCGCGGTTTTTTGTCGCCTTCGACGACATCGCCATCGATGCCTGGAATCTGATCTACAATACTGGATGCATCACCTTTTGGGCGGCAACAAAATCTTGGGGGAAGAATGAAATAATATATAAATAATAATAATTCCGGTTCTCATGGAAGAGTTTTAAAGAGTAAATGACGCTACAAATTTATAAAATACATAAGATAGTATTTCTTTTCTAAATAAATCAAATTTGGTTAGCAACCCATTATTAATATAGGCGAGAAAACACATTCTTCGAAAATAAATCGATCTTTATTCGAAACCCGTTACAAATTTGACAATTCGAATTGCTTAGGATTCAGTGGGCGGGCATGGTTTCTTGGAAGCGACATTTGAAGGATCGTCGTCACCATGAGGCCGTTTTGCAGCTTCTGCGGGTTGGGCTTCGTCAGAAGTCTGAAAAGAAAAACGCGAGGATTAAAAAAAATAGTAGAAAGATTATGACATACTTTATTTGTGAAGTTTCGTTCGATGCACTGCATTATGAAAGACCTTTTTTCGGGGACAATTTTTTTTGGTTCCGATCCGCCGGAACCGAATACTCGCCATTGCACACGAGATCCTGCTGTGCATATCTGAAAATAACAAAATTTTCAAGCTTGGAACATAAAAGAGCAGAAGGTTTCATTATTGGATTTTTCTAGTGGTCATTATAAAAAAAGCATAACAAACCGTATGTTTCTTTTCAATTAAAGTAAAATTAAGCGGGTTCACTGCTGGAAATGCTTCTAATGTCGACATGCCTGAATAATAGCAGTAAAATAAAAATCAATAAGCAAAAAAAATTAAATCGCGCTGGGAAAATGATAATCATGTTTTTTAATTTAGAATAATAGCTAAAATATTATTAGAAACAATAATATTTATTAGAAAGTGAAAATTGCTATCTAAAATTATTTAATCTCGCAATACGTATGCATTTCGTTGTAATGTTGCAGCGAGTTCATTAGAGCGCGGATGCTGCAAACTGAAAGGGACGACTTCATAAACTGAAAATTTAATAATATGTGGAAAATAACTGAAATTGGTCTGTTAATTCCAAAATGTTTATGAATTCTATTAAGGGCAATACAAAAATGTTTTAAAAAATTAAAATACTATTAAAATAATTTTTTAACAGAGAAATCATTACCCTATTTTAAACAGGAAAATCATGTTGTCAATATATTTTTTTAAATTTTTTAAAATCACAAATGTTTCTCAGAATTCGCTAATTAGTAACTAGGGCAGAGATCACCAAATAAAAATGTTCCGTACGGTTCTTCCAACTATTAGGCCGTCTTCCTCTAACAAGCTCCTTTGATATGAATTAGAGGATCACGAGCTGTAGATGTTAGAATGAACGTCTTCTCGATGAGGACTTCTTCGGAAAGAGTCAAGCCACTCACTGCCCCGGAATCTTACCACAAGTAATCGATGGGTTGGTGCGCCCCATCATGCTAATCTCATTTACTAACTCGGCTGAGAATGGAAACACTTCGAACGTTCACCATTCCGCCAACATTTTCCTTAAGAATTTATCAAGTCCACGAAGGAGTTTCGATAATGTTTGGTGTTTTCTGGCATTCATTGCTCTTCCTAATTCATTCAGCTTCCAAGGGGTCGTTGAATCTTACAAAAAATCGTTTTCGAAAATTGAATTTTCTCAAAGGGGGGGGGGGCTAAATAAATATTTTTATAAGGGCTAAATAAAAATAAATGTGTTGAAGCTCCAGGTCTCAATAACTAAAACTAGAAAGCACCCTAGTTTTCTCAATTTTAATTTTTCGAATAATTTTTGTGCAAAAAATTTTAATTTAGCCGAAATTGAGGGTTTTTAAGATTGTGCAATTAATTCAGAATACAAAAAACCAATAATCTCGAAGGGAGTGCTGTGTCCGCAAGAATATCTAAAATTTGATCAGCGAATTTTGGCGGAGACCCCGAAGAAGAATTGGAATGAACATTTTTGTTGCCCTCTTACCCTTTTGCGAATTGACGCGTCGGGTGAACTTACGAAAAAAAAAATCGCAAGCGAACTCAGCGAATTTCTGGGCACAAGTTTGCCGTCACTTTTTACCCGCCATTTCTTTTTTAGCTCTCTTCGGTATTTCTTATTGTACTGTTTGATTTTGTTCAAATACTTCATATCGATTTTGTGAAGGTCTTGCAACGAACCTCTAGTATCATATTATTTCAACTCCAAGGAACCTTTATCGCATATCTTAAAGTCCTGGAAACTATTTCTTGCATCAACAAAAAAAATTTTTAATGTGAGTTTTTAGAACACGAGATTCACGCTTCCAAATTTCTATCTCTTATCGCAACAAAGTTGCAGTATTCCATGCACCCAGCTTTTTGCATTCAATGGTCCCTAGATGGTAAAGTGTATGTTCAATGGTAGAACAAGACCACATACATCATTCATTGTCATAGTGACACGAGATTAACAAAAACACGAGATTGAGCATGGGAATTTCAGATCAGGGTCACGTTGGCTCAGTGATTTCTTCGATCACGCCTCCTAGATTTTCAGAATATACTGCAACAAGGTTTGATATGTATATCTGAAAGAAAATATATTTTAAATGAATTTAGTCTTCTTAAAGATCCAATCGATTCTATTCATATTCGGTCTTTGTCGTTGTGCTGTTTATTATTCAAAATGGAAACCGACTACCGTTTTAATTCACCAATTCCAAATTTTTTGAAACATATATAGTTTTCGTTTTTAATTTCCAAACGAGATTTTGTGTTCAAAGAAACAGCATGATGGATCGGTTTATGACTAATTATGTTTATTCAGTGTAGACGTTCGCTTTAATTTTTTCAGTTTATGTTTTTTTTTGCCTTCTTCCTCTAATAGTATCCGGTTTTCCATTAAATCCGCTTATTCGCGTAATTCGCCAAACTGATGGTCGACCCTATTTTGTTTCCAAAGTGTTCTACCGTACGAACACCTATGTGACTTCTGGAACGTTACTTGCGAACCGAAAATCGTCCCTAACATATCGAATTACAAATTGAGATGAAATTTCAAGGAACCCCCGTTAGTCCTTCAAAAAAAAACGAAAAAAAGATTGCGTCATGAGAGACGCAGAAACGGTTTCATCGACGAGAAATGGCTGACTAACAGCAGGCGCCGCGGAAATCGATTGAGAGAGCACAAGAGAAACACAGAAAATAGCTGACGGGCGGCTTGCTTCGGCAACTAGGCAGCAACCAAAAAAAAGGGCGCGGCGAAACAACTGCGGGTCCCAACTGCTCAACAAATTTTCGCGTTTTGCTTCTTTTTTTTTGATTTTACTTCATATTCTGTTCATTTCGACATTCTAGTGTTCTCTCATCTTTCACCACACCCCCTCGCTAATTTTTTGCTGCAAATTGATTCGCTTATCACCTCGTCAGTGGGGTTTTCGATCTTTTGCCTCGAATCGATTTATCGAAAGACGTGATTTTTACGGAACACGTCGAATTCGAACTGTCTTTCTATGTGTGTACATTGTAGTGTCGCCCTTCACAAAAGCATTTCGTTGTTTGCTAACTTCTGTTTTCGCTTGCTCGCCATAAGGTTAACTTCGATACGATTCCTACTAGAATAGCCCCTTCCATCCCATTTTCGGTATGTGCTAGTGAAGAAAAAAAACGCCTTGTAAGGAAGAGATAACTCTCGTGTTATGAAATCCCGACCACCTGCATGAATCATTTAAGCATGCTCATGATTCATTGATGACCATGAATGTGTGGTTGCCATAATTTTTTTGAAATTGCATGCACCCCCCCCCAACCGCCAACCAAATAATATAAATTCGTACTAATTAATGTTTATTTTCGCTTCGAGATGGATATCCTTCACTTTACAATCAGATGGAGGCCTGTCATTCAATATTCTCCCGATTTATCCGCCGAGCCGCATTTCTTCGTCACCCCCCTCGTTCCTCCTATTTGCATATCTTTCAAAACGTCCCCCCATCCACATTCTATTAACGTTCGAATCTTTTATTGACGATTGAAGTTCGCTTATTTATCGCATTCATCAAATTTCGCTTCCCCATCTTATCAGGAGTTCCATGGTTGCTGAGTGAATGGAAAACTACCATCACGGGAGCAGCACATTATCAACAAGCAATCGGCATGCAGAACTAATGCAAATGCTCGAGCAAAAAGACCGCGATCTTGAATATGTTGCCAAAATTGGACAGTCGCTGCTTGAGCAGAACAAAGATCTACAGACAAAGTAAGCTTACCGCGCTATTAATAAAATTCGATTAGGTATACTATTATTTGAACTATAAAAAAAGGTTCGCCGTTAATACTTTCACAACTGAGCAAATATTGTCGAGTGGAATCCAAACAATCGTAGTGATACATTAAAAAATGTGTAATTTTTTAATGTTTAAGATAGGTTAAGCCCTATCCATTAATTGAAAAAAAAACAACAGAAAATTTGCATTTTAAATTTACGAATTTATAAATTTTTGTGCTGACTAAATATTGCCTGCGCGTACGATAAAATGCAGAGTACGCAGACACGCACAACCTCTTGTCACGTATCCAATATTTTTTAAATTTCTTCCAGTCGCTTGAAATCGACAACATTCATTTTATAGGAATGAGTTTCTCGAAGAAAGTGTCAGCAAAAATTTGGAAACAATAATCCAGTTGAAGCATGAGCTTAACCAACGCATCGAATTGCTCCGGGTATACTCGAATCTCGATGATGATGGCCTGCCGAGGTATGTCTTATATGTTGTCATTAAAAAAACCGGTTCGGTGTTTACTGACCATACTCACGTTTTTGGTGCGGAAATTTAAATTTCCGATTTTTTTGGGAATTAGTACACCGTACTTCTGATAACCTGCGAATCAAACACACCGTAAATCTACACGTGAGCGGTTTTTTTGAATTTGTAATACAAAGTTCAACAAGTTTAAATAGTTAGACAAATATAAATTTAAGAAAAAAACCGTGTCTTGTAAATATGTAGTTACACGCACTTTGCAGATCGAATAGCGACGAAACTATACGTGAGAGGCTGAAGTTTACAAAATCGGAAAATGAAAGGTTGTGATGGGGAGAGTTGAAAATAATTGACGCGTTGAATTTCAGATTGAAGCGAGAATATGAGAAATTGAAACAGGATGCGCAATCGCTAGTTTCGGAAAGAAATCGAAGTCTCTGTCTTGAAAAGCAACTCGATGAGGCTAATGAGAAGGTTTTCAGACAAAAAATGCCAACAACCTTGATGAAAAATTTTATTGTGCTAATTTAGATCACGAGCCTTCAAAAACTAATCGAGAAGAAAACGCAAGAGCTTAGTCATCAGCAAACAACAACGTGTGAACTTGTCAGAGAATTGGCCGATAAGGAAAAGAAAGAGAAAATAGTTTAATTCGAATTAGGAGCATCGGTTTACATTGAAATTCTAGCTCAACTCGGAGAAGAATGAGATGAGCGAAGTGCTCATCGAAATGATACAGAAGCACGATACTATGATGAATGAAGTGAAGATCATGCAGGAGCAGTATGCGGAACTGATGATAAATTTCTCGGAAACTGAGGCAGAGCTGACGAGGCTTCGCCAAAATGCTCTGAGAAGTAGTATGTTTTGAATTAATTTTCCAAAAAAAAAGCAAAACTGATAAAAATTTTCAGTTTCTTTCGATTCGCTCTATGACTCATTGGCATCGGAGATGGAAAATTCCGAGTCTGGAATCAACATGTCCATCAAAGCGACTCCAACTGCTGAAATTATTTCTGAAAATTTGCCGCCAATTACACGCATTGAAAAACAAGTAAATAGTTTTGCAGAATGTTATAATAATTAGTTCAATTGATTTATTTGGTGATATTCAGACCGCCACGGAGAATCCACACGAAGAGACTCCAACGGTTTCATCACGTCCGGTTATAGAATGCGATGCAAGCACATCATGCACAGATTTATTCGCTCAAGTGTAAATTAATCACATTTATGCGAAATTATTCAATTTTATTTCATTTAGAAACGAGTGCTCACCATCGCCAAGCTTCCACAATTTGGAAACGTCGACGCCAAAAATTTCTAGAAAATTGACGCCGAAGACTTCACTTCATGCTCGTTTGCAAAAATTTTATATAGGTATTCTGAATTATGCTGAGCGCTTACAAATTGAAACGTCAGATTCGAAACCGCCATGCAGTTCGTCGACATCGGCATCGCTCGAAGATTATAGCGCGCCAAAGCTCGGCCAGCCGGGAATTCCGGGATCGCGTGACCTGACGGTGTCGCTGAAAATGATCAAAGCACGTGAAGAGGTATCAATTTGGGAAATGAGGCGCATCCCGCGAAAACATTGCGAAAACGCTGACGAATAAAGAAAAAAAATACGAAACGTGTTCCAGGTGCAAAAAGAGTTCGCAGCGTTTTGTCAGCGACGCGGCGTCGAGGAAACTGAGTTCTTCGGAAATTCCAATGTGCGTTTTCTTCGCGTTGTTCATTCTTATTGTAGTTCGTTGTTGTTGAGTTTTGTTTTCCTCATGCATGCCGCGCAACAAACTCTTAAGCTTTTCCAACTGTGTGTCTGTTTGAAATCAACCCCCCCACACGAATTTTTGAAAAAAAAATTGCGCCTTCAATTCAAAATGATACAGTTTTCTCAACAATATGAATAACATCAATTTTGTAGACCTCTCGCCGCGAATCAAGTGACGCGCTGTGGACGGACCATTCGTACGCCTCGCGAATGCTGCACCTTCTTCGACCCAATCGTGTCGAAGAGCCACTCTCAGTCACTACCAAGCGAGGAGTTTTGACACGTGCTGAGGTTTCCCATCAATTCCATTTCAATTATTCAAATTTTTTTCGCTTTCAGTTACTTGGATCGCCGTCAACGTCGCCTCAACATCATGTAAATGCCAATTTACTTTCACTATCAATCAACTCGGTTCCAAACATTCAATTCGGTGCAACCAACGGTGTCCTTCAGCGTAGATCTTAATGTGTATTATTAGAAAGAGAAAAAAAAACCAACTCATATTAATAAACAGTTTCATCTTAAATGTAATAAAGTTTTTAAATAATATTGCGATTCACCGAATAATACTTCACATAATGTTACAAATCAATTTAGAATTAAAATAGTTGGACATGCAAATAATTTAGTAGTAGGATATCAAGTTACAAGTAGAAACATAATCTCGAATAATTTAAACTCTTTTGTAGATATAGATATAAGCAAGCTTTTTTGGAGGATCTTGTGAGAGTGCAACTTTTTCATCGTTGAAAAGAACCTAAACATTTTTTTTTCTACAATTCTAATAACCGAACTCTGTTTTACCCATTTGTCATCCTTGAGAATGTGCGCAACGTAGTGACCCGAGTCAGGACGACTTCCCATATGCGAAATCATTCCAATCAATTTATAGTTTCCCGGACCATCGACGTAGACGCGCCCATTCTTCTTTTCGACATTTTTCGGACCTTCAACAACCTCTGGCGGCACGTCCTCAATATGATTGAACAGCCAGTCGATTGCTTGCGTTGGATCAGGATGACGATTCAACGCAAATTTCGCTTGATGACTAGTAAAACCAAGTTCTACTATCATTGCTACGGTCGCCTCGTCAGCTTCATTGACAGCCGCCCCTTTTTTCGGTCCAGTGAACTCGTCGTTAAGGTGCGGATCATCGAGATGCTCCATGAGCCAGTTGGAGGCTGTCTAAAATTTATAATCGTCATTTAAGCGTAAAAAAAAGGCAAATCACCTCCAGATTTCCATTAGCTTCAAACGACGCTCGATAGCAAGCATCTTTACCAAATCCCATAGCCATCAATTGCTCGGCAACCGCCTTCAAATTTTCCGGCATAACGAAAGCCGCTTCGGTAGGCACGTCTTCCGGCAAGCATTCCTCATCAGCGGCTTTTCCACTGCCTCTGTACGCAGTGAGATCAAGCTCTTCCAAAACATCAAAATCAATATCTAGTTTTTTCATTTGTCCATTACTTGAGTAAGCGAATTTCTGCAAAAATATCAATTCCATCAAATTTTCGAACGATGTCAAACCTGGACTTGAACAAACAAATAATCCGGGAAAGACTTGAATTGTATTTTATTTGTGGCACCTTTCGCTTCACCGGTAATAGGCGATTTATATCCCTAAAATGGAATAATGTATGGAAATTCTACAAAAAAAATTATCTAAAAATATACCTCAACAAATTGGGCGCCAAAAGCTGCACCAAGCGACATTTTCATGTCAATTGACACTCGGCTCTCGGCAGAAAATTCGGTTTTATTGGCGAGTACTTCCTCAAAAAACATGCTTTCTAGTGATTAAAAAAATCAGTTTCAAAATACCAAAATATTTTGAGGAATTTGCAAGCGAAGAATCAATTCTTCATTATGAGTATACCTCACATTGTGTGACGCCAAATCCTCGAAACGATTCCACATTTCGAATCTGCATTATTACATTATTATTTAATTGAGCTGATTATTGCAAATACCTCAATTTGTTAGTTGGATCCTCAACGTCTTCAGGATTCATATTGGAAATGCGCTCGATTAAAAATCTGAAGAACATCGTCTCAGAATGCTATCAATTGATCACTAAACAAACCTGATGTATTCCTCAACGTCCTGTTGTTTCGCTGTCGAAAACTCCGGATGATTTCCAGCAGCAACACGCTTGAATTGAAGCGGTTTGATGCCTCTTTGCGAATTCTCATCCTCTTGGGAGTAATCGCCGCTCATCATTGATGAGAACACTTTCGCCATTTGGCAATTAAAATCAGTGTGCACCTGAAAATCGAAAAACTCAATCATTTTCCGAAACACATGAAACGCGCACGTTTTCAATGGCAGTATTTTTGAAAATAGAATCCGCTTTCGTTGAAAAGCGATCATTAAAGGAATCGACTTGCAATAGAGTTTGAAGAACCTAGAATATGATTGCTGAATCAAGTGTTGTTTGAATCATGGATTACCGAATTCATGTAGCAGCTGCTACCAGTATTAATTAGTCCCGTGTATCCAGGTCCATATATCGGGGTCAACGAGACGCCATCCTCCTGACATTTTTGGTATTCCCACTTCTCGTTCATGTCGAGCTCCAATTCCATTGTGCTCTTGGCGGTTTTCTGCATTTTTGTGCAATCCAGACCGAAATGCGCCAAATGCTTATCAAGATTTGGATCGATGACAGCATCGTCCTCGTCGTAGCTGTAAACATCGGCGGCGTCAAGTTGGGCACAAATAGTTCCCAATTTCACGACCAATGGATATCCGGTCCGCTGGCAATATTCCTTCATGTGGCCGTTTCCCGCCGACTTTTGACCTTCCGAAATGAATTGAGATCTTCCGCAGCGAACCGCACCGTCCGTCAAACAAAGCCAAAGATTTTCTGTTAGCCCGCAGCCCTCCTCCTCGCACATCCAGCCGCTGTGTTCAAGCTTCTTCCCATTCGGAAGTTGTTCGAGATTTGCATGCTTTGTTATCAGCTTGATATCAGCGTCCCATGCATTGTTACTCGAACTCAACGTTGTCAACCGTTCGGCACTCGTGCAGCTGGCGATGTGCTTTGCCACCGCCCGCACTTTCTCATCGAGCTCGTCGCACACCGATTGGCGTGTTTCCAAATCGGGATAGATTATTATGTGATAGGCGTCGTCGAAATCAAAAAATGGCTCATCTTGGATAGTTAATTTCGATATTTTATTGCTCGGCTCACCCGTATGAGAGTTTTGCTCTCGTGCAATCTTTAAAAACGTGTTGATTACTTGTTTTAAGCACATCAGCTCACCTTTTTCGTTTCAAGTTGAAGAAAAAGCTTGTTGTTCGTTTTTTCGACGTAGGAACTCAAATGCTTGCGACATACGCTGTGGTAATCTGCGAAGCTGATGAATAATCCGTCTGCAGAAATAAAAACATCTTTTAAAAACATTTCAATTCGAATTACCATGTGATTGAGGATTATTGTAGCAATAAAGACACTCATCTTTAAAAATTTTAGTGGTTCCACTGGGTTCGACAAATGCAGATGTTTTAAGAAGAGACGAGAGATCAGTTGAAAACGAATCAGATATCATTCCTAAAAAAATGGGCATTAAATCAAATAGGCAAAAAATGTATCAATAGTTTTATCGATGAAGCGAGGTTGAGTTGTTTTTAGAGAGTGTGTGATTTTGAGAGACAGAGACATTTCTTTTCTCCGCCGTTTCTATTAGTTGAAATTTATATTATTTTTGACAAGATACGAAATAACCGTGATATGCAATTCTATAAGAGAAAAAAACACGGCGTTCACACTAGTGGGATTTACATGAAAAAAGATTTGTCTCAATGGAGCGCACTTGTAGCTTAGCGCTATTGCGGTGCATAAATTCAACAAATTAAATTTGTGAAATTAGAAATGTTCTCTAAATGGAGCGTTTTTTCAATAAGAACGATTAGTTTTTATATTTCTTCAGGTGGATTATATTCACCGCAATTTATGGTCTAATTAGTTATAAATTAAATAAGTTATTTTAATTTATATAGGATTTTTTTTTAAACATAACATTTTTAAATGATAAAACCATCAATTAAACGAAAGAAATACTACACAATCGAATTATGATATAAAAATTGATGATATGTAGCAGATGAATTCAATGCGAGTAGATAAAGACGCGTGAGAGATTGAATTCGAAAAAGAGGACATAAGAACATTTGGAAAATTGCAAAACTAATAGGGAAAAAATACACTTATCAATTTGGAAACAAATGGATAATCAACAAATACATTTAACAAGATTCTCTTTACCGATTTCATTAGGCAGCTTGAAAAGAACACTTTGATGTTATACAACACAAATAGCTAAAAAAAAAAGGCATTTTTGGGCTGAGGACGTCTTTCCATTGGTCTTTTGAAGTAATTCGGAAGTTTAAAAAAATCTCGAAAAGCGAATTGTCCGTGATGGATCGTTTCATCACTCCGCCAGCTTTTGATTTTCAAGATGGAGTGCTTATCTGAATTCAATAAATGAATTCAATGCGAGTAGATAAAGACGCAAGAGAGATAAATAGCGAAAAAGAAGCTGAAAACGCTAAATTAACGTAAGAACTAACGAAATTTAAAAAAAAAACAACAAAAAAATTATAGAGAATCTCTTGCAACTTCTCCGCCGAAATGACACACTATTTACATTTAAAATTTGCAAAAAAATTAAAAATAAACAACTATGAAATGTTTTTCCAAGTGTTACCAAACATAACCGTATAAATCAAACCATATAATATAATAATAAATGATATTAACAAAAGAGAGAGTGAAAAAACAGAGAAAAGAAATGTGAATATTTCTACAGTTCAATCTTTAAAAAACTACGGACCTCTGAATACTTATCCGATTGAATTATAGTTAAGCTTTTTCGATAGAAAAAAGCCTTGCGAAAAACGTGGTCGGTGCACTTTTTTGTTAAAATTTGAGAAAAAATCAAAAAAAATGAAAAATGAGCCAAAACCTGGCGATTTTTAAAAAATTCGTCTGCGCAACAAAGACGCCAACAATCAATCACTGACACAGTTTGAGTTTTCATTTCAGGTAAATCCCACTAGTGTGAACGCCGTGAAAATTTGCAAAAATGATGAGAATCGCCAATGGTTCTATTTTTGGCCGCAAATTTCTAGGCCACGTTCCATGGAGCATGTTTTATCTTTAAAATTTTTTAAAAATAAATTAAAAATAATTTAAATCGAAAACTTTTTTGGAAATACATTATTATTTCGTTCTTAGTAATATATAACTAATAAATAATTTTCAAATCTATCACAAGTTTAATATTTACAGAATATGCGAGAATCTGTTGAGCCCGAAGATGAAGCCATAAGTGGAGAAGACGAAGCCAGTGGATGCGAGACGGGCGTTTCTTGTAATTTCGAAGACATTTTTAGGGATGTATCTCAGGAAATTCCAACCATTGAAGAGATTGAGACAAGTGCGAGCAAATTTAATAATTCTCATCGCTTCGTTTTTCAAAAATTTTTGATTCGTCGCAGCATGCCAGTCATCGAGATGGTTGTCACATATTTGAATCACCACATATCAGTTACATTGAAAAGTATTATTCGGATCTGGAATGAGTCTAATTTGGGACCCACTTTTCAGGACATCCGTGTGTGATTAAATACATTAAGGCAAGTTTAGCCCAACTCAAAAGTTTGGGTCAAACAATTACTCGAACTATTAACGAAGAAAAGAACGCAAACCCAAATCAGAAAAATAGTTTTGGCCACGATTCTGGAATGCGTTTGTCGATTATCACAGATGAAATCACACAAGTCGAATGGGTTTCTCTTGTGTGTGAAATTCAAGACTCCGAAATCATTAGTGAGGCTAGTGAAATGAAGTAATCTTGCATTTTCAAATGTAATAATGTGCTAAAGATTTTTTTTTAGAAAATCGGAGACTGAACTTTTCCTGAAAATTGTCGACGAATCATTCGCTAAAAACGGGTCTATCGAAAAGCAGTGGATTATGCAAAATGCTCCAAAGGTTTTTTTTATCAATACTTGTTAAATATTAGAGACGCGTTTCAGACGAATGTTTCGAGTTTATTGCACACCGAAAGTTTTTTGAACACGTTAGTCGCGGAAAAGTGGTTCAACGAGGTTTTTAGAGCATATCTACAGTAACAGTTTCCATTTTTTTCTAGTCCGATGATAAAGAAAACATCGAAATCGCGCCGAGAACAATTTGCGAGCTTGAGTCTTACATTCGCGCAAATTTGTCGGAAATTGTGAAATCTTGCGAAATTTGCCACCACGTTATTTCCAGGTGAGAGCTTTTCGCATATTAGAAGTTTTCAATTTCGAATTCAGACCACTCCATACAGCCAAATGCAAAAAATGCAATATTTATAATCATCTGCATTGCTTTAAAAAGTTTGAATTTCATTGTCAAATGTCATTTGTATTGAATTTGAATTTCAGAGCTCTCGAAATTGTCGAAAGCGAAGAAGTGGCGTGCCCATGTTGTAAGGAACCAATTCAATCAAAAGATGTTGATGAAGACGTGAAAAGAAGATTGGCTGGCGAAATGTCCGACAATGAAAATGATGATTAATCGCTCTTCATTTCCTTCTCGCTCATTTCTTATCAAATTACTCCGAACTATTATCAAAATAAATGTCCACAATCATTGATTTCTCGCGTTTTTGTTCTTCTCAATTGTTTTATCGATTTTTTTATCAACCATGCGCGTTAACATCAATTGTCAGTTTTTTTTAGAATGCTTGGCAATGTTCTTGCAATTGCCGGGTGCACGAATTCCGGAAAAACCAGTTTAGCTTTAAGAATTGCAAAAATTGTAAGGTGTTGCGTGGAGCAATTTAGCGAATAATTGGTGCGATTTCAGCTTGGCGACGATTGTACTGAAATTATTCATCAGGACGATTATTATTACGATTGTGATAAGGTTATCAATCAAACATTTTTTTTAATAATTTAAATAATTTTGAAGGTTGAAAAAATTTATATGAAGATTAATGGAGTTGACGTAACCGAACGCGGATTTTACTATAGCTATGACGAGAAAGAATCGGTTGATATCGAGAGATTTAAGGAGGCTATTGAAAACGTAAAAATTTCAAAATTATTGATTTTGGTCATCTTTTATTGATTCAGGCTTCCAAACAATCGTCATATGTAATTGTTGAGGGTAACATGATTACCGAGATGGAGCAAATTGTCGAATTGTGCACTAGAATAATTGTTTTAACATTAGACATTGATACATGTCATAGAAGACGTCTCACACGGGTTTACGATCCGCCCGACGATGTTGGATATTTCGAATACGTCGCATGGCCGGCGTATCAGCGTCATTTACGGCGAGCTTTTGAAAAAAGTTGGTAATGCATTTCTTTAAATTAAATTATTAATTGATTTTTAGGCAGAATCGATAAGAGACTTAGTTTTCTTGATGTTTCCTCACCGTCGGATGTGATTACAGAAGAATCAATGCTTCAGGTGTGTGCTTCAAAATGTTTTATAGCAGACTTATTCGAAACATGTGAAATTTAACGTTTAATTACATTTCTGATTCCAACAATGGAAAACTGTAATTTTTGTTTTAATTGCATCCTTACAAATTACCCCTTTCTAGCTTTGAATATAAATTTTCTTCAAGATTTTGTCGCAAGTAATCAACGATCATGTGAAGATAAGCGTGAATCCGCTCGATGTGAACGAAATTATGCAAATGGCATCCTCGTAAGATTTGCCGAACCTCAATCATCAATGCCAATCTTTTTGTTTTGTTTCAGTCCCTCTTGCGGAGCGGTTTCCTTATTTGTAGGCACCACTCGTGATGTATTCGAAGGCAAACAAGTGAAAACGTTGAGCTACGATTGCTACGATGAAATGGCCTATAAAGTCGTCGCATGAAATTATTGTCGACGTCGCGGAAAATTGGCGAAATGCCAAAAAGAACAATGGCAGTGGTGTTGTCGCAAAACTTAAAGGCACATACCGAACACCGAGACCTCTCCTTCAATTTGTTTTTGGCATTTAGCCAATTTTTCGCAATTGCGCGACGTCGACAATAAATCAGAATTAAATCAATGTTGAGTTTTAGGAGCTTCGCAAAATTTGCGCGCAATTACACGAAATCTACGACGATGTTGAGAAAGTGGCGATTCATCATCGAATCGGTGATGTGCCCATCAAAGAATCATCGATTGTGATCGCCGTTTCATCGCCTCATCGCAATCAGGCGATGGAGGCGTCGAAATACGCAATCGAGGAGATTAAAAATTCGGTGCCCATATGGAAAAAGGTTGGTAGAGTCGGTGTCCCTCCGAAAAAAAACGATTACCGTAATTCTTCAATGTCGTCAGACGCGTCACGGTTCGCGTATAATCCTTGTTTATTTTTTTTTTTCGAAATTCTTTCTGAGTTGCAAGGTCTCGCAGCGAAAAATTCTGATAGCCACTTTTTTTTAGAGAAACGCCTATTTTTTTCGATATGCTCCCTGCCGCCACAAATGCCCCTTTAAATATCTAGAGTAATCGTTGCTTGAAAAATTTTTTGCGCACCTCTGACGATACACCTTTTTGAAATCCATAAAATCATATTCCAGGAGATTTATGAATCCGGTGAGCACGTGTGGAAGAACAACAGCCATTGTGGATGCAACAAACAGTTGCATTCCAAAACTTCCAATAGTCCGCTAGTCAAATCAACCATTGACTCATTCCTCAAGTTTTTTTCACAATAATTGAATAGGAAAAATATTTTATTCGGCTCATTTTGTTATTTTACACATCAGAAAATATAAAAAACTATAAAAAAAAAACATTTAAAATCACGCGATTCGTATAAAAAATTAAATAATTTCCCGTTTGCATTAAAATTTTAATAATCTGATTGAGTCCACAACTTGAATGTTCTGTCGAATGCTGACGAGCACATCCATTGACCGTCAGGACTGATGTCAACCGAGAGAATCTTGAAAAAAGGCAATGATGAGAGCTTGTAAATCCAATTAAGTAATTACCCTAGTATCATGACCTTGAAGTTGTCGCAATGGTTGCCATCCAGTGGTTGACCAAATCTGAAATGTCACCTCAATTTATTTCCAGGACAAAACCGTATTACCAACCTTAATAGTACAGTCAAAGCTTGCAGATACCATATATTGACCTTCATTCGATGCTCGAATACGCGTCACAACGCTAGAATGGGCTGGCATTGTATAGACGCATTTTCGATTTCGCAGATCCCATACTTTCACGCTGTTATCCGAGCTGCCAGTGAGCATTTCATACCTAAATACTTCATAGTTGATCAATTCCCAAAAAAAACAATGTTTTACCCATTGGGCATCCATTCAACACAATGAATTTCTCTAGTGTGACCATCAAGGAACATAATACACCGCCCTGTTCGCAAGTCCCACACTCGTCCATAGCAATCATGGCCTCCTGTCAACGCGACGGAGCCGTCGCCTTGAAAAGCGACATCAGCGACAGCCTGATAAAGAAAATAGGTTTTTTTTTTTCAAAAATGAAAATAAACCTTCGCGTGACCTTCTTGAAACAAAAGTTCCTTCTTTGTTTGTAAATCGTATATTCTCCAAGTGGAATCAAAACTGTAAAAATGTTTTGTGTAGAAATTATTTAGTACGTTTATTTTTCTCACCAAGTCGTCGCCAAATGCAAGCCGTTAGGGTGAAATGCGAGTTTTGAAACGCGGTGGCCGTGTTTTTCAATTTCACCAATTGGGTGCTCTTTGTCTAACGACCATAGGAGAACAGTTCCTGAAAAAAATTGATGGTGTGGTCAAAAATCGAGTTCGCTTTACCATCATGTCCGCCAGAAACAATATTGAGGCTAGATTCTGAGACCGAAGAATAAGCACCAGGATGAAATCGCGCACATCCAGCCTGTTGAATGTGTCCCGTGTATTTGACTTCCTGCGCGCAAGTTTCTCGATTCCATACTGCAACACTTCCGGACCAGCCAGCGGTTACTGGAAAAACTCGAATAGAAAATAATTATGACGATTTATTTACCAATATGATTTGAATCTGGAGAAAATTCGGCGAAAGCTACCGGGCGAGAATCGGCAACTTGGGAAGCATGCAGGTTAATTTGCTGCACCCACTTGTGAACTTCTTGACGAGCCAAAGCTTTTTCGTGTGATGGCCTTTGGGCCTCTATCCTCGCTTTTTCTAGCCTAAACTCGATTTCGAATATTTTTGTGCGTTTTTTCTATTTTCAAAACCTTAGTTTCGCTCTTTTAAGTGAAAAATCAGCAATTAACACTCTTGCTGCCCGTAGTTCTGGAGGTCCTCGATGATACCATGTTACCGATTCTTCATCATTTTTTTCAGCATTCACCTAAATCGATTTATAATACTACAAGACAAATAAGGAAATATAAAAAACCTCGTCAGTGTGCAAAACTGCGGCGATCTGATCTTCTGTCATTGTTGAAAGCAATGCCCGAAGGCGCTCTCTTCTATCCAAAATATCTTCTCCGAATAAGCAAATCGGTTGATTTAAGGCTCGCAATTTTAATTTCACCTAAAAAACCGTTTTCTTTTTTCGTAATTAAAATAATTTTAGTTTTATACTTGAACATCATCTGTAGGAAGGGTTAAGGTACGTGCACGTTTTCTTCTCTCAAACTCAGCCAGCATCTCGGAATCCGTTTTCGAATCGATTGGATCTACCTCCATCCTCTCCAACGGCACACTAGGCCCACTGCTACGCGCAGGTTCTGCCTGCAAAAAAAAAGCGAATTAAAAATAGGAAAATTGAGTAATGTTCGTTTACCGTAATATTTTTGACAGTTTCTGCATTGGCTAAAGAGCCGAAAAATTTCGGTGGCTTCGGCACTGCAAAAGTAGTTTCTTCCACCATTTTCTGAAACGAAACGGATTGATAGGAGTAAAATTTGAAAGAAAAATGAACAAATGAAATTATTCGAGAAAAAGACTAAAAAAAGAGGCCCGCTGTAGAATAATGACCAAAAAAATAATGGTATTGTTAGAATGGTTCGATTGGAACATAAATGGGAAAATAATAATGATGGGAAAACGATACGAAAATGTGCTAAATTCGCACATTTTGAATTTGCTGGGGATGAGGGAAAACCACGCGCTCGTATTGCATTCCGCATAGTTTTTGCCCCGCCTACTTTTTTCTCGTCTTGCAAATAAATGTAATCAAGTTTATTTTTAGCACCTGATCGCGATTTTCCTTCATTTTCAAAAGTCGACGTGTTTCATTTTTTCTGCGTTTTGTTGATAAAAGATGATAGAAAAACTTGCAAAAAAAAGAAAGTGTCGAATCGCTTATAATGGATCATGATTTTAGTAATGGCATCTCGCAAGATGAAGTTAATTGTTGCCATGGATTCCGAAGGAGGTATTGGTAAAAACGGAACACTTCCTTGGCACATTTCTAAAGATCTGAAGCGATTTGCGGCATTAACCAGAAATGTAATGGACAAGTCAAAGGTAAATAGAGAAGCAATATTTACTAATTTAGTTTCATAGAAGAATGCGGTTATTATGGGACGAAAATGCTGGGATAGTATTCCAGATGGTAGAAAACCATTAAAAGATCGGTTCAATATTATAATGAGTAGAAAAATCGTTGAGGTTCCTGGTCCAGATACCGTTGTGATGTAAAGTGCGAATGAAACAACTGGCAAGCTAATGAATATAATTTAAGAGATAGTTTAGATAAGCTGAAAGACTTCATGAACTCGGAAAGCAGCTCAATCAACATTGAGACCTTCTGGAATATTGGTGGAACGGAAATTTATGAAATGGCGTTACACGAAAATCTCGTTGACGAACTATACATCACAAAAATATTTAAAAGGTTATTATTCTAATCTTATTTTTTCTAATAAAAAGTAATTTTTAGCTTTGATACCGATGTGAAACTCTCAATCGACTGGTCTAAATTTGATAAAGTTCATAACCCAGAAGAATTTCTTGAAGAGAATGGAATCTCTTTTGCTTTTGAGAAATATAAATTGAAAGCATCTTCTTGATTGCTTTAATTTGAATAAATTATTTTTTGATCGATTTTTCTGTTTTCAGTCTGTTATTTTCAGCAACTTATATTTAAATTTTGAAAAAACTTTGCCGGTCTTAAAAAAAAGTGTATTGTTCAGGTGAAAGCAAACGCGTATAATTTGAGATTCTGGTAACCTTAGAAAAAATTGGCGATTATGGGTAAGCCAAAGGTATGCTAGAGTTTTAATTTTCTGTGTCTGACTATAATAATAAATTTTCAGAGTAGGAAGAATGCTGCTGCTCAGCAGGTGAATGGAAATCAAGCAACGGCCGAAACGCAAAATGCCGCCTCTTCGAATACGGCGACATCCAATACACGCCCAAACACAACAATCGCGACTACAAACGGTAAATGTGCGAATTTCCATTTGCCTAGAACAATGAAGGCTCTTAGGTACGGCAACAGCGTCTACAGCCAACACTCATCGCCCCGCTGGCCAAGGAAATACGAACAATCGGCAAAATCAACCGAAACGAGATAAAGAGAAATCTGTAAAAACTGAATTATTCCATTTCAAAATTGTTTGAATTTAATATTTTGAAGACGAGCCAAAACAGCACCGGCGCGCAGAATGCACATCGAAAAAATGAGCAAAAAAACGAGGGATTGGGCCAAGTAAATGGGCGGCAGAATAGGTGAAATTTGAATGGATTTTTTAAATTGTGACGCCAAATATTGTAGAAATAATCATAGCAATTCATTCGTCACATCGAATACCGGGTCTGCTAAAAAGGAAAAAGTAAGTGAATTTCAAGCTGGCAATGATTAGTTTTGTAAATTTAGCCGTTCAACTCAAAGAATCTTGATAGCTCTTCGCATCGAAATGGGAATGCTTCGATTAGCAATCCGCCAGCCGCTCCTCAAACATCAACTCCATCTCAAAACCCGACAAAGGAGTCCGTTGCGGAAGAGCCGGCTTCAACGGTGCAGGACACAATACAACGGCAGCATATTCTAAATAGGCGTATTGATAAGAATACGAAAGATCTACTGCTAACGTTTATTTCTGTATGTCTTAAATTCGAAAATGACGATTGAGTCGATGATTTCAGCAAAGTGGATTTGATAAGCTAGAATTGATAACGGAAATGTTAACATTGCTATCACCGTATGACTTGCGATATGTTGGAAATTTGGTCGAGGGCATGATTCGAACAAATTCTCTACAGGTACAATGATGTTCCGATTATCGGAAAAACATTCGTTTCTAGTTTAAACCATACGAGACGTTGGCGAATTCTGACAATCCCATGGCATGCTTCCCACCGCCGGAGATATTCGTGAAGACTGGCGGAACCGATGTGAACCGTGTGTTTCAACCACAGGAAATTGATGATACGGTTTGTCGACGAATCAAATCAATGGATAAGCAAGTGCCGAATTTGACATCGTCGCTGGACTCGTATGAACGGACGAACGCGCTTTCGAATAAGTTGCCGCCGCCCGTCAACAAGCCGCAACCGACGAAAGAAGAAGGTATAAAATAGTGCTGTGGTAAAAGCTCACCTCACATTTTAGAAGTTTACAAAGAGGAAGAGCCAATTGAAAAGCCGCTACAAATTTTTGGATCACTTGAACGACATTTTAGCGCGTTTTATCTTCTTGTTTCACTTTTGTCTTCAACAAATCGGAAATCGGCGGGACATGTAATTGAAATTATTGGAAAATATTTCATATAGAAAATTTGTTTTCTAGATTTTTAACTACCTTGAAGTAGCAGTTTTGCAAGGAAAAGATGCGCTGTTGGAATTCGTTCCTAACGTAGATGAAAAAATCGTTTTGATCGATTACCTTGGGCAACTCGGTATTTATTTTTCGCGATTTTTTTTAAATTTTAATAATTTAAATTTCAGCTGTTGCATGTATTCATCATCCAGCGTTTTCGGTCAAAGATAAATTGCAAATGATTACTTTGAGAGATGAATTGCGATGCACTTTGGAGAGGTATTCTACAAAATGAAATGATCTGGATACGAGTCATTTTTAGGCTTTACGCTTCGTGTGGTCAACAAGAGCCGAAGCCGCTGTTGCAGAAGCCTGGTGAAATTGCAATTGGAGCAGTCGATGATAGCGATAATGAAGAGGCTAATGAAAATGAGCAGCGACCGTTTGTTGCATGCGCTGGTATTCGTGTTCATTGCTATGCGTAATTATACTAATTACTTATTTTGTTTAAAGAATCGTCTTCTCATGCCGTCTGCGGGGCTTACCCGAAGCAAACGGGACCTTTTGTATATATTCAAAGATTTATAGGATCTCAGGTTGACGAGCAGAATCCGAATCATTTTTTAATCGAGGTAGATAAAAATGTTCTTACAGGGTGTCATTTAAGTTCCCGCACAACTTTGAAGACGTATATTTCTGAAACTAAAAGTCCAAATCAAACGAGACTCGAAATATTTTTTATCTATAGTACAACAAATAATTATCTATTAACTCTTTTCGATTCGGCCTCTTTTCGCAGCTATGACTTCGCGGAGACGCTTCGGGTAGGATGTGACTGTGGTACGCAGGTATTCGATGGAAAGATTGTCCCATTCCGCCAGTAATGTCTTCTTCAGAGCCTCTACACTTGAGTGGGGTTTTGCGTTGACCTTCTCCTGCAAGACCCCATCACGGAGAAGTCAAGCGGGTTCAGGTCTGGGGAGCAAGCAGGCTATTCGGATGACTTGATGAAGTCGGGAAAATGGGTCTGGCACCACTCCTGAGTAGTTTTGGCAGTGTATGCGGGTGCTCCGTCCTGTTGAAAGACCCATATCTTCCCACCGAAATGCGTTTGGGCCCAGGGCATCATATGCTTCCCCAAAATGTCCCGAACGTAGACTTCTTTGTTCACTTTCACCACCTGATCCACGAAAACCAGGGGCACTTCCCGGTTGAGCAGATGGCACCGAAAACCATCACACTGGCAGGATGTGAGGCTGGATGAATTGTTCTTCCTTTCTCAGAAGCTTTCTGGGATGTCTGGGCAAGTACTCAATGGTTTTGTGAGTTGAATGCCGCCTCCACAGTGAACAGCTTCTCGTCGGAGAAGACAGTGGCGAGGTGTTCTCCAGACCGCGTGCGAGCAAAAAGTCGTTTTGCTTTTTCGAAGCGTCTCTGCTAGTTGACGGCCGATAGAATTGCCGCTTTTTGGACGCGATATGGGGTCAGTCCAAGCTTCGTTTTGACCATTTGTTCCATAGCGAAGATGCTCATTCCCATGTCTGACGCCATCTTTCTTATGCTCCTGTGCGGTTTTCGCCTGATCCTCGTTTTGACGGCGTTGATCTTCTGAGGAGTGGTTACTGAGACGAGTCTTCCTTGTCTGGGAAGGTCACTGGTCGTATTTAGCTCCTTGAAACGTTTGTTGGTGTCTTAAACCGTTCTACGAGGCACACCGAGGCGTTGAATGATCTCTGTCGGGCGCTCATTTCGCTTATGAAGTTCGATAATGGAAGCGCAATGGATGTTAGCCTTCGCCATTTCTCGGAAACACATCCGAATGAAGTGAAACTTGAAAAGTAAGTAAAATACACCTTATTTAACAAAAATAAATTGTATTGGTGCACGAAAAGTGCGACAGCCAAGCTTTTCATGGCGTCTAACTTTTGTGCGGGAACTTAAATGACACCCTGTATTTTCTAATTCATGATAATTGGTTTAGATTCGGTGGAGTGATGGGGAAACAACGTTCACTCATCGGAGTCGCGATCAACTAAAAGTGCTACAACATCGGCTACTGGACGAATTTGGGCAGCAACGATCCGAGAAGCACACCGGGGTAGAGATTCTCCGGAAAATTGCAGAATTAATTCAAGCGTTATCCAGATGGTCTCATCGGTGTCGTCGATTGACGAAGAGCAAAATAAGAGATTGTCGACGAGCACATTGGAAAGTCCGGCGAATTTCACGTCGTCGCGACGAATTTTGCCGCACCTGCTGCCAGATGCCTCGACAAGCGAAGTGATACAGTACATAAACGAGCTTTCCGATTTGCCAGCTCGAATGATATTGTCGCGGGTGATTTGTGAGGAGTTCAATGCGACGAGGAACCGAAGCAATGATGTATCCATTATAACTCATTTCCCCTTCAAATGTTGCTCAATTTCAGGATGAATGCGAGTTTGATGGGATAATTTTCGCGCCGAAATGTCGGACATTTCACCAAAATCGAAGTCACTATGGGCGATTTCAATCCGGTTCGCAGGCCAACCACCATTATGTCATCACTCCACCGCTAGCGTATAGTCCGTGTTCGCTAATGCACCAGCATCAGCTTGTTGAGCCGTCGTGCAGCACGTGTGGAGGCGAGCATACGGCATTTATATGCAATAAGCCGAGCTTATTTGAGAAAAAATGTTAGTTGATTGACGATTTTCGCGGTATAAACATGATTGCAGCCGATTTTCGCATCAATGTTTGCTCCTTGGTGAACGATGGCAGCGCGCCGCCGCCGGTGCAGTATGCTCTTCCCAATCAGCAATTGCCGGTTGGCATTCACGCATTGCCGTTTCAAAACGGCCACTTCATATTCCATCAGCAGCAGCAGCGCCAACATCAGCAGATGTTTAGCAATCAAGGTAAATCATTCGGAAGACGTTAAAATCGTGTGTTGGAGGATCTTCACGGATGCCACCAAATGGATATGAGATGGCAACAAACTATGGGTTGTATTCAGCGAGCGTACCTGTAACTAGTCCACCAACAGTATCTCAACCACCAGTCGCGACCTCAACGTCTACGTCAATGAATAGCCAATTGGCGAGTAGTAGTTATCAGAATCCGCGTCAGCAGTAAATATTAGTGATTCAATTTGATATTTTAATTGTTGCATGTTAAGAAATACATGAAGCAAGGTGCTTTCACACCCAATCCCTTCGAATTCTTTCCGGTAAATTATCTTATTATTATTTTTATTTTGTTTATATATTTTATTATTATTTTTCTTTTAGCATTTATTTTTTGTTCGTTTTGATGCCATATTATTTGATTGTTTTACTAATGCCCCCCGTTTCGTGTTATTGATTACTAACGTGTGTGTGTGTTTCGTCTTCCGAAATTCAACATTCTCTACACTCATATATTTTAGTTGAACCAATTTCTATTCCGCTAAGTTATTTTGTCAAATTGATATGGAGGATTTGTACACTATACATGACATAATGCTGAACATAAAACCGTAGAGTTGTCTTGTTTTTATTACCAAATGAAAATGAGAGGAAAATATGAACAAATTTAAAGAAAACAATTGTATCGGCAAATAGCAAAGAATTGAGAAATTAGTTGGAAGCGGCGAAATAATGATGGATATTGAAAACATCGTCAATTTCAAGGGTGTTAAAAACGAAAAAACTAGTAACTGCTCGAAATTGTGATGTTAGAAGAGAGAATAATGACGAAACTTGGCGTCTATATAATTTTTTTCAGAAAACCCATAAATCCCCGATGAATATCGATCAGAATTGCCGATTCAAATTGTTGTTCCTATGACGACTCCCGTAGCGCATATGGTTCTGCTCTCTCCACTCGTCGGCGGTGATGATCGGCTCATTGCGAAGCCTTCTTCAACATGAATCAAATGCATTCGCAAGTCATCATACAGGTTGTTACCTTTCGTTGTTCAGCTGATGGCGACGGCCGCTGATGTGCGCGTCTTCGCCGCCAAGCGGCACCATGCATTCGCAGACGACGCAACGCATCACGTTGGAGCCTTGCGCGTTGACTTCGGGCACAAATATGTCCAATGTGTATTGACTCGAGATGTCGTCGCTTTCGATCCAGAATGGCGAGGCCAGCTCTTGAATGTTGAATCCGGAGAGCATGTTGGTTCTAAATCAATGGAAACGTATGTGTTTGCTTTTTTCGGTTAAAAACAAAAACTAACATTCCAACGGCAATATCGCGATCTCTGATTCGTCTTTCGATATTGAATGAGGTGTCGGAGAACTGAATTCAATTGTTTAATGGGCGACGAATGTAAAAAAAAGAAACTACATCTGAATTATCGAAGTCGTCAATCTCGTCCTCATCATCAAGCTCAGAATCGCTGATAATTTCATTGAATGCATCATTGCCGCAGACATTGATGAGAAAATCAATATGAGTCTCGATTTCTTCCATATGCGCCGTGCATTGATGCAAGTCTGAAAATGAAATAAACGACGTCGAATGAAAATAGCGGCAAACGAAAGTTGTTGTCGTTTCTCGTGATTGATTCGTAAATTTCGTTCGACAAATCGTCTTTCAATTCGCGCATTTGCTCTTGGAACACATCTAAAAGCATTCATATAATTGACAGAACGAGTAAGATTGGAGCTATACAGATTTTTTCGAGAAGCGACAACGATGAACGATCAACATTTCTGAAGTCGGTTGGACGGCGGGCAGGTGCATTGTCGGTCTCGTTTCCAGTTGTCGCGACTGTTGATGATATATCATCAGCTTCTGCGTTTTCGCCGGTCAACGCCAACTTTTGCAAAAGCTCTGAAACAATTGGAGCATTTCAAGTAGGTAACGAAAAACTAATGAGTCGCTCTTACGCATTAGCTGGAAGTTGATCGGAAGCGAGGTAATCACTTGCTTGGTGACTTTTCGGCATACGGGACACGTCGGAAAAGTGGCGTGATTGACGCGCATCCATGACACGAGGCATTGCATGCAAAATGTGTGGCCGCACCAAAGAATTCGAGGAACCTTGTTTTTCTCGTTGAATTCCTGAAAAATACAAAAAATGCATATATTTAAGCGCTATCGAAATCACCTCGTAGCAGATTCGGCAAGTGTGCGTGCTGTCGACAGCTTCAAGGAGCCATGGAGCCGCATTCGTGGTGTTCTCGGCCGACATCTGCAACACTCCAAATACGCCATTTTTTTTTTAACAAACATTGGTTCAGTAATTATCTATTGAGTATTCTAGTATCATGCATGAAGTTTGAAGAAAAATGACACACGGAATCGATTATTTCGTAATTCGTACTTGGAATGAAACCAATGCCTGTAATTTTTCATTGAAATTATTATCGATTTTTTTTTCATTGCAAGAAAGTTGATAATATGGTACAGATTTATTAAAAATAGCTAAAATTTAATTGCAACAACATTGACTGTGAGAAAATAACAAAAAAGTATCACACACATTGTTTGCGAGGCGCAACCCTTTAATAGCAAAACTCGTAAACTATGGTGTTTGCGTACATTGCGGACATGAAATTGCTTACCGTATGCCACTAACAATTAAAAAACAATGCGTGTCAATTTTTTTTCACGAAAACTGATTGTGAGGAATGTAAGAACAATTTTTCACAAAAATTTGATAAACGTTAGTTTTTTGGTAAAATTTACCCGCCATTCACGTGTAAATCTGTTGAAGAAAAGATCACAAAAATTTTAAAACTTCATTATTCAAAGATATCAAATGATACATCTGAATTATATACAAAACTTGTGACAATTCATGAAGGCAACAAAACACACATTTTTTAAAAACGATATTAAATTTTTATTATTGTGGCCCGTACAAGGAGACAAGTTATTGCGAATATCACAGAACAATTATCAAATAAATTAGGAATGCAATATACGAGAAAAATATTGTCGTTCAAAATTCCTGATGAACAGATCGTATTGTGGTGTCCTCTTCGGTCTCTTCATCTGTCGGCTCGACTCGTTCCAGTTTGATGAGCCCATTGTCGTCGGCGTATTGGAGTGGCTCGCAGAATCGCTCGCTGTCCACAGTGAGCACATATTCGCATGTCTTCGGCTCGCTAAGCATCAGCGAAACCGCCAACGCGCTGTATTCCGAATGAAGGCATCTCAGTCGAACTTCGACACTTCGATGGCCACCAGCTTCTTCGCAAAAATCGCCTTTCGAATAAAGATGCGTAATTTGAGTAATATGATTGTCAATCTAGAAATATTGGAATTATCTTGAACTTAAAAAAAATAGGGAGGCTACTTTTCGCGGTCCTCTGAGCATTGGCTGCTCTTGAACCCAAAGATTGTGAACAGCCTCGTCGAATACACCTAGAAGAACGCTTATGCGATGCCCTTTCGCATCTTCATGATATTGCACAACCTAAAAGTAAATGGTTCAATACGATTATCGCGATTCGTGTGCGCTTACATGCTTGCCAAAACAAAATTCGTACTGCCAGAAGCCGGTGCCGCCGGTGAGACAATCCTCTCCCGTCAATAATGAGTTAACCGTGTGCTGAACTACTGACGGATTGTTCGCTAGTGTGTCTTTGCCGACAAATCTGAAATCGAAAAATTGAATTCAAGGTAATTATCGATATGAAATTACCTTTTCTTCCCTCCAAGTTTGAATTGAACCTCGGGACCTTCATTTTTTTGAATTTCTTCGTATTCCATTTCATCGATCGTTTCAGGCTCTTCAACCTCCTCGTCCGCAGTATCTTTTGTGCCATCGTCGATTATCGCGTATTCTCTGAAGTTGAACACATTCAAAAAATTTTCAGCGAAATCCTTGAAAGCGAATTTTCGCATTTGTTTTTTCATTTTTCAATTATACTAGAAATTTGCGATATCTCAACCTTTTAAACGTCGAACTATGAAATTCATCAAGTCTTTGAAGAGCCCGCGGCTTTGCGCTTTCTTCGTCTTTCGCATCGAGATTCCAGCACGTAATTTCATGATCTTTTTGTTTTGTTAAACGATAAGCAGGATGTTCGCAAAGAAGCTCTGTCATTATTAAGACCTGTGAAAAAAAATTTTAAAGGAATTTGCAAAAATATATAAATGTTAGTCTTACCTCATAATGGCAAGACGAAACCTCCGTTACTGATAGAATTTTATGTTGAATATTCTAAATTTGCAGGTAATTTTGCATTTGCAATTAAAAGAACCAACCTCTACGCATATATAAATCACATCAGTTGTTCTAGGCTTTCCCGTAATATCACAAGTTGTTCCTTTCGTATAGCTTTCTGAATAATAAGGATAATCCTCATTTTCAATCCTCTTCTTTGGCGGATTGTTCATTTCCAGTGAGCTTTTCTATAAAAAACGCAATATTTGTTTAAAAATGATACAATTTTGGTACTCTCGAAGTGTAATCGAAATGCCAACTTCCTAGATAGAATTCTTGTCTTTCAGCGGAATTTAAAGCGCGATCTTCATGATATTGCGACACGTATTTTCCATGACAAACCTGAAAATCAGAATTTATACAATGAATGTATTGAATAAAATTACCTCGTACGTCCAATAAACATCGATTAAATATGAACAGATATTGTCATTGTGTAAAATTTGTAGCAACTGCTCTGGATTTTTGCCTTTGTATTCTGTGTGATCCACTTTCTGAGATGATCGATTGAGCTGGAGAAATTCGTAAATCGCTTACTGTCGACTCAAGTTGCGGCAATTTGCACACAAATCGCTCATTATTTCTGGTTGTGATCTTCAAAAGATCATCGGATTCGCTAATTTTTTCGTCTGGAAAAAATTTACTTGAGATTTTTGTGCAAATTTTGCAAAAATCATACCAGTGAGAGGTGTAACTTTCAATTTTGAAGCATCGTTTGTGAATGTCAAATAATAATGAATGGAATCATCGATTTTTTCTAGGTGTACTTGCCCAAATATCAAAGCGAACAACAGGATTCGCATAATCTGCAAAAAATAATTGTCAGAAAGGGGTTTCCATGGTATATTTATGACGACAATTTCTATAGAGCGCGTTTTGCTATTTAATAAATAAAAAAAACCCCAGTAAATACAATATTTTTGAATATTTCTTTTCAAAGGGAAATGGCCACTGATGGGACGCCTAGACCTCATCTGTTGGTACTGCAATTGTCGTAAAATATCGCGCAGTTAGTGTAAACACCCAGGGACCAAAGCACATACTTTCGTGGTTTTGGAATTTTCAAATGTCAAAAATGATTCATTAACACAATAGCTCATGGAAAAATAATCTTGTAATTTATTTAAAATATTAAAACTGAATTGTAATTTTTATAGTATTTGTCATAATTACAAAGTTTCACGTTAATAATGCTCATTTCCATATAAAGTTTCATACAATTGAAAAAGAAATTTTTGCAGATGTGTTAATAAAGAAAATTAGAAATTAGCAACAGAAAATGCTGGCTCACGATTTTGTCAAAAAAGATGAGCGCGTTTATACCCCGACAGAATCATCGCGGTAAGTGAATTCATCAATGTTTCAATTTTCCAAAAATTTTTTTTTCAGATCAGCCTCGTATTTCTGCGTTCTAGTGCTTACAAAAATTTTGCGATGTGTTGGTATATTCTTCGTCGATATTCTATCAAAAAGCGTTCATGTCGTAGAAGTATTATGGCTCTGCAAATTTATGTAAGCTAGAAAACTAATATTTCAAAACCTTTGTTCTGTTTTATTTTCTTTTCAGTTCAACATTAGTCCTTATTCCACTCCAAAAGCCATTTACAAATGGAAAAGCAATCCGAAAACAACACTGGATTCGAATATCGAAATTGGCGTTTTTCCATTGCTTCATCGAAGCATTATGGTTTTATGGTATCACATTTTGTGGACCTTTAAGGTAATTGAGCATATTTTTTAAAAGTTCCTTCAAAATATTTTTAGATCCGTGCTTGTCTTTGAAATTAGCCCTTCAGTGATACTCGCCGGATTATTATCATTTTTTAAATCTAGTTCAACTCCGGCGAAAACTCGAGGATTTCTATTCTTAATTATTGGGTTTGCTGCTTTAATTCTCATAGATCGCGACGGAATATCCGAAGATCCACATCGTAAGAATTTCTAGCATTTCATCCATCAATAGTTCAACTTATTTTTCAGACAAAACTCATGCTCATCATAGTGGATTGAACCATTTATTCTATCATTTAATCGGTATCTCTCAATTAAATCTTCCTTGTTAGTTTTAAAATTTGCTTTAGGAATGTTTGGATTTGCTGATCATCAGGGTGGAATTTTCATACTTCTTCTCGCCTTAATTCTTCGAATTCCTTATGAGACCTCTTTCCGGCACCTAGCTGTTGAAATTGGTGGTCCGAAAAGATTGTACGGTGTCGTAACGGTATTACAATGCTCAATCTTCCATACATATTCATTATTCAGGCTGTTGCATTTGTGATGCTGATCCCAGCGGCGGTTCTCTCTTTCGTCTTCTCGGCATCGGTATTTTTATTTGAAATGAGCACGTTAAATAAATATTGCTCATAATTTCAGTCGATCGTCCCAATTGGAGTGTTCGAACTGGTCGCACTATTGATTGTGATCACTTTCTTTGTGTTCATTCTCGATTTCTATGCTGAAAGTGTCTGCTTCCAGGTAATAATCGTCCAAAACTTTAAAGTTCTCCGAAAAATTCATTTTGTTAAAGCATGTCGCTGATCCAGTGATCGCCGCCGCGCGCTGGTCGCCCGTTACAATGTTCACATGCGCGTTGGGTCTCGCCTACGCTTGGTATGGTACTGATACTCATGCTCTGACTGCTGGCGTTGTCGTATCATTCTTCTGTTTTGTCATAGGTAGCTGTTTTTTTTTTATTGTTGCTTTTCAAAAAAATTAATTCGAATTTCAGCGACTGTCTCGTTAACCTCGGCGAGTCAGCCGAAAAATCGAGCCGGCCACTTTGTTGGCATTTCGAACACCGGCTTGCCGTTGTTCACCTACGGCGAAGCATTTTTGCAGCGAACCTCGAAATCGATCACCCATTTCATAAAGGAGACGCTGAACGAAATTCTGCGCAACAATGATTCGCGCCGAATATTTTATTTCCTCTGCGTCAATCTTGGATTCTGCTTCATCGAATTCTTGTACGGCTTCTGGACGAACAGTTTGGGATTGATTTCTGACGGATTCCATATGCTCTTCGATTGCAGCGCGTTGGTAATTCATATTTGATAATTAATGCCAACGCTAATTAACGGATCATTTAGGTCATGGGATTAGTGGCCTCGGTGATGGCCCGGTGGCCAGCAACTAGAGTTTTCACCTATGGATTCGGACGTGTTGAAGTATGTATTAGTATAAGAAGCACATAGTTATATGATTCCTCATTTAGATTTTGTCTGGATTTATTAACGCATTCTTCCTGTGCATTATTGCTTTGTTCATTCTTCTCGAGGCCCTCGAGAGACTTTTTGATCCTCCAAATATTAATACCGATCGATTGCTGGTAAGAATATCGATCGCATTTCTGAATTTTACTCTTTAATTCGAGTTTTAGTTTGTCGCCATTTCGGGACTTCTCGTCAATCTGTTCGGAATGTATTCGCTTGGCGAGCATGGCCATAGTCACGGAGGATCAAGTCATGGGCACTCGCACGCCGGCGGTGGTTCGCATGGTCATTCTCATGGGAACGCGAACATGGAAGGTAGAATAGGCCAATTGAAAAATGTTGAAATTTTACTACAATACGATCAGGTGTGTTTCTTCACGTCCTTGCCGACACCCTAGGATCGGTCTTCGTTATCATATCGACTTTGTTGATCCAATGGTTCGGATGGGTTTGGGTTGATCCATTGTGTTCTTTGATTCTTTCGTTACTCATTATTGGCTCCGTGTATCCACTTTTAACATCGAGCGTGAATACACTTCTTCAAGATGTTCCTGACGAAGACGAGTTTGAATATCACGTTCATGATATTTTAGAAGTAGGCTTCTCAATTCCTCTTTGTTTCTTTTTATAAAACGATATGTCGTTTAAGGTTGAGGGTGTCGAGTCATATTCAAATGCCCATATGTGGCAACTAAAATCGGATATTAACGTTGCTAGTGTGCATGTGCAAGTTGCGGCCGATGCGAATGTTCAAATGGTTCGGCATCGAGTGTCGAACATTCTCAAATCGACCGGCGCCACCCATTCAACGGTGCAAGTCGAGAAGCAGTTGTTCGTTTCAAGAATTCAGCAAGTGTGTCCTGGTTACAAGCAGGGTCATTTGGTCACCCGCGGTTCGGTGATTCGAGAAGCGCATGGCCATTCTCATTCCGGAGAACATGCTCATAGTCACGATCATCATGGTCATACGCATTAGGGGTTTCGCTTCTTTTGTTTTTCAAGATTCGTATTATGCATTTGTTTTTGTCTGTGATTAATGTAGGATTGTGTGATCGTTCTTCGTTTTCGTGTTTAATTTATTCATATTCCCTTGAAAATTTTAATAATTAATAATTAAAATAATAAATTATTGAGTTTGGTTTGACCATTTTGGGGCTCTTTTCGTTATGAATGCGTTCATTCCTTCTTTGCGATCCTCCTGAAAGGAGTATAGCTTTTTTTAAAATATTTCTGAAGACGGAGATTCGTACCGTCGCGAATGTTGATTGGAACAAAAGACGCTCGGTGTGCAATCCAGACTCGAGGGATGTCTCATAGGCGGAGTTGATCGATTCCTATAATTTTTTAAAATAATTTTTTACAGTATTTTTTGCCAAATGTGGAAACCTTGACAGTTTTCAATGTAATCGGTGAGTTCTTTGCTATTCTCTCGGCTAGATTGATTGCCTTCGATACGAGCTGATCATTGGGGAACACTTTGCTAACAATTCCGGCTTGTTTGGCGTCTTGCGCGTCGAGACGATCGCCAGAAAGGCAAATCTGTGTGTATGTGAAATTTAGTAAAACATGTGTGCAATTCCGGCTACCTCCATCGCGATCGATTTTCCGGCAAAACGCGGCCATCTTTGGGTGCCGCCGAGACCGGGAATGGTGCCCAATTGGACTTCCGGCTGGCCGAATTGCGCCGACTCGCCCGCATAAACCACATCGCACATTAGCGCGAGCTCCGTTCCGCCTCCTAGAGCGATCCCATTGACCGCCGCAATAATCGGCTTCTTCATTTTCGATATCGCGTCCCAATCATTGAAGTGATTTTCACTATGGAAGACGTTATTTGAAAATTGGCTCGAGCCTACCATTTTTGGAAAATGTCTTGAAAATCTAATTGTTCCATTTCTTTAATATCGGCGCCCGCTGCGAAACATTTCTCGCTTCCCGTCAACACAACAACTCGAATGCTGTCGTCGTTTTCGATGGCGCGAATTGCTGTGGAGAGCTTCAAAATTGTGAAAATTAATTTTTGGAAAAATCAAATAATTTAATTACTTCTCTCATTAATTGCACATTGAGCGCGTTGAGCGCTTTCGGCCGGTTTAGAGTTATCAATGCGACATTCTCATGTTCTCCGACTTTTTCCACTTTAATCAATTGGAATTCGCCTGCAAAAAATTGGCGCGTATTAAATATTTTTATTTGAGTTAATGGACCTATTCATGCCATAAAAAAATTATTTAAAAAAAAACACGCATTTTTCAAAACAGCGGAGAAAAGAGCAATGGGTACTGTAATTAAATGATATAGAAAGACGCGAGACCCACAATATATTCAACAAGATTCTTACCACTTCGGTTATTGCAGAATAATCGAAAATTACAGTTTTAATAAATTAATACCGTAACTATGAAAAAAAGACAAATTTTTTCATGGGTCTCGCAGATTTCCTCATCATTTAATTTCAGTAGAGGCATTTTTCTCATCGTTGCATTGGAAATATGTAGAAATTTTTACAATTATTTATTCCATGAATAGAGCCAATAAGAAATACCAGAATAAAGATTTTGAAGTTCGCCAGTCGTCATTGTCGACTAAAAAATTATTGAAAATGATTGTGCGATGGTTAATCGAAACTGATAAAAAAAAGCAGCATCACACCATAATATCGAATCATGCATTTCTCGTTCTCTGAAGTCATCGTGAAAGGAATTCATAAATAATTTATAAGCGAAAAAAAAATCGAAGAATGTTTGTAGAACATAATAAGGAAAAGTTACGCAATTCGCGTAAAAGTGCACATTTCCGGTGGCGCCCAACATTTTTTTGAGTTTTATGCCCATGTTAATACATTTTTTGTTGAGATTCAATCCGATTGATGAAATGACTTCAGAATAATTCTCAACAAAAAATTTTTGTTGTGTCATTCTGCGTTTCGCAATTTTTTTTGCCCAAATTTGGAACGACGACGCAATTGTTTTGAGCCAAGTAGACGTTGTCTGACTTCGATGTTTCAGCGGAAAGACGCAGACCGCGAGACGGACCACGAAAAAGACAACGGGTCCGCGTGTCTTTCGCATTTATCCATCTCCTGTTACCAACACGCGATTTTGCATCAAGTTTTGCCGGAAAAACATGCTCTTCGTTAAAGTTTTTTTTCGACCCCCTCATCTTATATTACCATAGTTTTGGTCTTAAATATCGTTTCGCCAAAAACTATTCAAGTCATTCATAATTAATTAAAAGCCTAAAATTGATAAGGAAAACAGCTTTTGAGTGGTTTTTTAATGCATATAATGTAAAGCTTGTTAATTTATTTCAGCTAATATTCACATTTCGAACTAAAAATGAAGTTTAGGCAATTTTCTGCGAAAAAAAAAGATGGCGAACTCCTACGCTAGCCACCAGCGAAAACAATTTGTCTTTCTATTGAAGCCTGTTTTGAGAGATCTCATAATTTATAAGCTTTGGCAAAAAAACATCGTTTGGCTTCGCTTATTTGAGAAAAATTAAATTTCAGTTTTTTTTCCAGACCAATGTTGGCGGCTCGAGGTGTCTCGCTTGGTCTTGGAAAAATTAATTTGGCCGATTTAAACCAACTTCCACATGATAGGTAAGATGAATTTAATTATTGGATTACTGAAAAGTATTAAATTTTGTTAAGGGTTTGAAAAAATCAATTTCTCATTAATATGGCAGAGAAGATACCGAAATATCTTTTTCAACCAGAAAAAAAATGCTTAAAATCCGTTTCTTAATATTTATTTTTTGATATTAAATTGAAAATTCTTGCTTTCAAAGCGAAATTGATGGTTTTCCGATTTTTTATTGAATTTTTGGCGATAAAATTATTTTAATCAATAATTCGATTTGTCATTCAACGTTCACGTGATTTATCTTTTTATTCACGTCAAAAAAATTCGGAACTTCTTGCGCGATAAAATATAAACTAGTCCGCAGAGTTTATATGCCGTGATTGCACAGAATTTGAATTTAAAAAATAAAAATAGTGCAATCACGCTGCGTAAACTCTGCGGACATGAAAATTGCGAAAAATTTAAACAAAATTGTTCAGGGTGATAATTTTTTTTTAATTTTCGGTAATTTTTCGGCTAAAATTGTATTCGATTAAGAATAAACCTATTAAAGATTGTTCAAAAAAATTCAATATTTCAATTTTTGACGTAAAAAATATTAAAGACCCTCGAAAATATTTAAAATGGACCTTTTTTCAGAGTTCTAGCCGCACAAATCAAAAAGCAGGATTTGAAGAATGAAAAAGCAAAATTTCCAAAAATCACAATAAGAAAAAAAGCGGATGCGAAGGTTTGCAGTTTATATTTTTTTGGGGGGGAGGGGTTCAACCTGAATAAGAAAAAAATTGGTCATCAATTTCATAGTGAAAATAAATTGAATCAGCTAGGAAAGGAGGAGAACAGAACAGTTTTTTTTTCATCGAGTTTGTTATTTGCTAGCTTTATGGGTTCTACACACTTTCTTTCCGCGAAAAATTCCGCTCGAACAAATTTCAAGAAGCCCAATTTTTTTTTGATTTTTTTTTCATTTCCGTTCCGTAAATGCCTTTTAAACGAACGGGCTCTTTTTCCCATTTCGCCTTGAGCAATGTTTCAATTGCGCGGTTCTAAATGAGCAACTTGTTGCGTTCTTCTAAGCAAAACGAGCGTTTTAAAATTCCGCATTAGAAATTCTTCATTGGCTTCGTCGTCGTCTTCTGTACTTTATTTTTTTTTCGCCATTCCATTTTTTTTCTGGCGTCATGTGGAAATACGAATACACACGTGTGGCAACAACTAGCGCTGAGGCAAATAATCCAATTAGGCAGTCTCTGTATAGGCATCAAGAGGTAAGAGGATTTGAATTAGGGGCAATTGGTTTATTAATCCATAGTGGCTCAAAAATGAGTCTGATCAATCGCAGAGCAAATTTGTTCCGAATTTTTTCAATAATCTGTGTTACTGTAGATGTTTAAAGGCACATGTCGAAAAATTTTTACAATAATCAAACTTTTCAAGGTGCAATGCACAAATAAAATATATCCCCCCCCCCTTTAAATTAAAAGCACAAAAATATGAAAACACGAATTGTTGTGGTCTCAGCATGCAGAATTTGTCGGTTTTGCTGTCCTGATCGCTTTCGGACCCTATAATTGGCAATAATTTGGAAGCCATGCTGATTTCCAAATTATTACTAATATTGTCGACGTCGGAAAATTGGCTAAATGCCTAAAAACCAATGACAGTGGTCTTGGCGCAAATTTAAGTGTAGAATTACGGGTTGATGTATTAGGAGGGCTTAAAGGCGCACCGAGACCTCTCCTTCCAATTTTTTAAAAAATAAATATATTGTCGACATCAAACGATTGAAGGGAGGCAGCGACTTCAAATTAGCAATTTAAATGTATCGTTGGCTGAATATTCCATGCGCGTAGGCTATAATGCAATGTACGCAAACATCTCGCCGCCTCGAGACACATAATCTTTTTTTTTAATTTTGTTTTGTCGCCGACAATATACTTATTTCATATTAATAGTTGAAATTTTGAATTCGGAACTCATGAAAGTGTTCTCTAGTCGTTTTGTTGGTTGCTAATGACTTCTCAATGATACGGTTTGCAATTTTGCTCAACAGTTCAAGTGGAATTTCAACAATTGGCAAACAGAGGCCAAGTTTGCAAAGACGTGCCAAATTTTTGGCATAATTCATATATATAAAGGATATTAATAGCCGGATCGGCTGAAAAAAAATGATAATGGCTTATTGAAAATATTTTTTAGTGGAATATAAATTTATAGATCTCTAATAATTATATAGTGTATTCAGAATGACATATTAAATAATATTAATATTAAAATGTATTTAATATTTTATTTTAGTGGAATCCAGTATAAAAATTGATTAGAACGATTTTTATTTTTTTTTTATTTATAATTTTGAATGAAATATGCAAATAGGTTCGGTCGAAGGAATAAATAGTGGATGATTAGGAAAGAAGTTCGGATTTCTCGCTTTTCCCAATTACTCATTGTTTTTCATTCATGTCTTTTTTGCGCCTCGACCCGAACATATACGAATCCTCTCAGTGTGCGCTGATTGAGTGTTGCTCGGCAAAAGAGACAACGAGAAGCAGAGAGCCACTCGCGCATACTATAATATATCATATAATCACAAGTGGTCGCCATTAATATGACAGACGAGAGTTTGAGAGTTCGCCAATTTTTCAAATCGTCCTACTATTCGGCAAATAAGCGGGTATGATTTGGTTTTGCACTTTTCGATTTGTACTTGTTTTTTTTTGTTAATACATTCTCCATGGCAACAAAATATTCGCCGAGTAATCTCATTTTATATTATGCGCCATTAATTTAATGGCTTCGTATGAAAGAGTAGGTTTTTAGATGTTGCTGGTTTTCTAAAAATTCAAATTTTATTGCTTGAATATGCAAAAACTGTGAATTTATTTATTAACGTATAGAAAAGTAATTTTAAAAAATAATTTTATTTCTGCGTAAATTATAGTGCAAGTCCGCAGATTGCATGCTGCGTGATTGCACATATAAACGGCGCATTTTTTTTTTAAATTTACGCTTCTTCGAATATTTCAAAATTTTCGCACGAATTTTCGATTGCCCATTAAATATGATAAAAATTTGTGAAAATAATGTGATTTATTTATAAATTTGGTTTCGACAAAACAAAAATTCCGCGTCGCCCATAATGCTACTATAAAAAATTGCCGAAGGCCCTTTGAAATCCCTTGTTAAACACTTGAAAACAGCCTCTTTGTATTATTTTCTTGTTCAATGGATGCGCAATCCTACAAAGTAAGCCCCAAACAAATAAATTATTTGAATTTGGCTTAAAATCAGTTTGCAAATATTTTCAGACCGTCTGGGCAGCATGTCGAGCAGTAATTTTCGGATGTATCATCATCGCTGTGGGACTTGCAATGACAATTCTAGGCTATTTCGACAAGCATTTCTCAGAGGTATGATATTTTGAGAATTCCAAAAGGCTTGTCATTACTATTATAGAAAATAAAATTTCAGAAAGTCGAAATGATTAATGGAACAAGTACAGTTACATATGACAAATTAATACAATTTCAATTGAAAAGTATGCAATATCTGGGACCAATTCTGATGGGTATTGGATCATTCCTGCTGATAATTGCTTGTGTCGTCACACTGGAAAGTCGGGATAAGCATGCGCAGGTTGCAATCGATTTTTATAACTATACATTTGTGATTTAAAAACTCACAGATAATCACTGAAGAGTCAATTATTCAAAAACGGCGGATTATGGAGTCGATATCGGAAAGATCGCATGGAGAATTTGACGAATATGATGAAAATGAGGAATTATTAGAGAGTAATAGGTAAAATTATATTCGAACTCTAAAAATGAATGTCGATTTTTTGAAGATATGTCACTCTTGATGCGAATCGACTTGCTCCGTTGGCTGATGTCGATTCTCTAACCGATATTTCGATAACACATCGTGAATCGTCTTGTTCGAGAACGAGTTAATTTTCTAGAAATTTTGACTAGAATTGTTCTATGATATTTTCAGAAACCGGCGAGCGAAGTGTTCAAACATCACCGGATGATGAGAAGAAATCCGAAGAGTTGTGCTCGAATCAGGCGTAATCAATTTCGATCTCAATCACAGATCTCCAGAAGAATAATGCAAAATAATTGTTTCATTTTTCCGTTTATATCCTCAGTGCTCTTGTGCCAACGTGTCCCCACATCGAAAATTTCCTATTTTGTACATATTCAACTATTTAATGAACGAATTTCAGCGAAATTGTTCAAAAATTATGAGAAGACGTTATCTTTCGAAATGACGCCGCAGTTTACATTGCGGACTTGTGCATTTTATTTGACGACATTTATTTGATGTGTGTTTACATCGCGATCGATTTTTTCATTCTGTTTTTATTTTTCGATATCTTATCTATTTTCATAGATATTTTTATTCTTTTAAGAGTTCCTCACAATTATATTTGAATTATATGATTCGAATGAGAATTTTTCGATTTTTATTTTTTCATAGCCTCATTTTTCTTTTAAAAACCTTTTTTAAGTCAACAGTAATGTGGGAACTTGAGGCATCAGATGAGACATTGAAACAGTTCGGAGAACGCGCGATCGACGGAAGATTCTGAATCAGGCGACGACTCTTTGATGAGAGTCCGACGATGGGATTCAGTGGAGGCGACAAACAGGTCTTTCAAATCGAATTTCAATGTTTGTTTCAAACGGACAAATTTTTGGGTACGATTGCTTTATTATTTCGCCGTATGGAGAAACTTTTCGGATAGATTTTTACGTTATCAACTATCATAATATGATAGAGCACAGTTTTTACGAATTTCAATTACTTTGGTTATCAGCACAAGTGCCGGATGTCACAGTATGAGCCGATTTTATTTTGCGGGACCAATTAAATGGAAGGCCGCGCAATTCAAATTTCTCAAATTAGTCCCTTTTATGAATGACACTACAGGTATAATTAAGCAAATTCAAATTTCCAACATTGATGAGAAACGATTTATTGAATTGAATTATCCTTTTGAAATGACAGATCCGAGGGGAACATTTCCTCCTTTGGCGCATCGAGAGCACACGCAAACCGGACGGCCTTTGCGTTTTTTGCAGGTTCCCGTTCCACAATTCTGCCAAATTAAATTCGAATCATTTTACAGTCAAATGCTTACCTGGGTACTACAGCTGGTGATGCAGAGACCCTGTGCGGCTTTGCTCAAAATCGGCGTGTTCATTCTGGCGCAGGTTGTCAAGATAATCTTCGATGTCGCGAACGTGACCAAATAAGCGAGAACGAGAATGCGGAAGAAATGCATTCTGAAAATTGCATATGATAAAATTGCGATTCTTTTTTATACTGTCGAAGGCAACAAAGGAAATATGTAAATAAGGGTTGGTTTGTGTTTTGAGCTCTTCGCTACATCGACTTCCTCGCTTTTGTTTATATACAAAAATTGAGCGATGTTATTTTGATTTCGGTTCAACGATTAGAGTGAGAAAAAAAAACGGAACAGAATGACTCATATGGTTTTTTGATGGGTGAACAGATGTTCTTGAAGAGTAGCATGTAAAGTTCAGAGCGTCAAATGATGAAAATTTTGGGGAAAAAATGATAAAACTTACGAAAGTGGCACATTTCTTGCCGCTGATTAAAATTTGAGCATTGAAACCCTGGAATAAAATCAATTTTTAAGATTTTTATACGAATTCCCTACCAATAATTTTTACGTCTAATCGGCAATTGCTATAAAAGGCGCTATTTCATCGTTCAATTCAAACGATTCATAATGTTTTTAATCGTTCTTGCGTTGTTCGCGATCGCCACCTGCAGCGCTGATGTACCTTGCGCTCGTATGAACATTCCCATTTTGGCGCCAGTCAGTAATGGCCTCTGCATGAAGAATTGCGCTTCTCAGGTTTATAACTGTTTATTTTTGAATAGAAAATCCATCGGCATCTTTTTAAAATATAAACAAAAAGATTAATAAAGAAAAACAATTGTGGCGGAAGTTTAATGGATTAAAATTTATTTCTAGGCCACATTTTGAATGTATTCATATCATGATTTCATCGAATCAATGTTTTAACACGGGAAAATCTTTTTCAAACTTCTAAATATACAAATATACGTATATTAAAATGCAAGTCCGCAGAGTTCATGAGATGTGATTAAATAATTTAAATTAATTGAAAAAAAACTTTTTGTGCAAACACGCCGCTTGAACTGTGCGTACTGCATTTCAATTTACGCCGAATCATTTGGAATTGTGAGTTATTCCTAATCTCTGTTCTAAACATTAATTTTCCTTGTTTTTTTTAGAATTGCGTTCAAGGATCCTGCCAAACAATTGATGGTCATCCGAAATGCGTTTGCACAAAATGCGCCGTTTAAATTGTTGCCAAATTTTTGAATGAAATCGAATCAATTCTCAACAGTGTCCAGTTGTTTTTTTTTTAATTCTTGCCGGGCATCGCAAAAATTTCGAGAAGAGTCCATCGAATTGACCCGAGGCTTTTAAAAAATTATTACACTGTCGCCGCTTGATAGGCGCATTCTGAAATTCAGGTGCGAAGCAACGCTGAACGGCGAGAGACGCAGTCAATGTGCCTGCTCACACAGTTGGCTCATCCTCACCAATTGGATTATCGCGTCGATCATCTGTTCCAGTTATGCTACAAGGTATGTCGGTTTTGTTGAATGTAAATGAGCCATTCGAATCATTCGAATTTCAGTATTTCTCATTTTATTACCGGCCGCGTGTTTAGCGCAGGTTGATGTAGTCGGAAATTTGGCTGTGGTTGCGAACCCGGAAGGACATATCGGCACACCAGACAAGCATCTTGAAGCGAACATTCCGAATCTTTGGTGATCGCCTTATTTATTTTTCGAAATGAAATTTCTCATGAATTCGACCTTCTCAGGTGTGGGGCTCAGAAACTCGGCGAACATATCGATGTGGAATATGGAGAATTCACGCGACTTGCCACTGGACATGTGACAACGGGTGTATTGAAACACGGAAAAGTATACCTAAACATTAGTCATGCCAATGTGAAAGTGGCTGGAAAATATCGCTGTGAAGTCAGAACAAAAGACAAGGAAGTGCATAGCGGCAACATAGAAATATACTGTAAGCTTCTGTGAAGTATCAATCAGAAATTGAATTTTCAGTACCGCCTGTTCTTTACTTCAGATCTTCAAACGTGGCCACAGAGATTCCGGATGCTCGTCCGCCACATGTCGTGGGTTGGTGAACGCAATAATTTCTGTTATAACGTCGATGAAATTATCAGGCACTGAACGTCGAGGACTTCACGATGAAAAGATGACTCTCGAGTGTCCAGCGGTAGCATATCCAGAACCATCTATTCGCTGGGAAAAGAACGGAGAACCAATCGGTTTGGACGCAGTAATTCCAAAATCCCATTACTTTCTTCAGTTCCGACAAACAATACTCAATACGATGGAGAAAACTTGATTCTATATCCGCTAACGTTTGAGCATGCCGGAAAATACCGCTGTATCGCCGACAACTCGTTCCCACTTTTCGTTGATGGGCCAGCTATGCCACATCAGATTTATTATGATCAAATTGTTAAGGTTTTATAAAGATTTCTTTGCACTTTCACGGAAATTGTGAACATTTTAAAGAACAAGGTTCATTATAACAAGCAAATTGAAAACAAGCTGACGGCAAAATCGTACGATGGACGAGGAGTTGAAGTCCAGGACAAAAGTTAGATGATGCACGTCGATGATGTTGGTGGGCGACTTGTTTACTTCTTTGCGGCTCTCCTCTTGCGCTTCAGACGACGCATACGCTTCTTACGCCACTGCAAAAATTATTTTATTCATGATTTTAAAATTTTTATGCCTCTATATTAATAGATTTAGGCATTTTTAAAATAACATTCAAAAACCCTTACCTTCTCTCTCATGTTTGATCTGCTCCGAGCCGGATGACCGTGAACGAAACCTGTAAATAATGAATAAGATAGGGAAAAAAATTTAAAATATGAAAGGTAATTAAAAACGTGAAGAAAATTATCGAGATTTTTAAAAATATCCAAATGGAATCCTAAAGAAATGGTAGAAAAATCGCCAAGGAGCGTAGAATAAAACGGAAATTCTTTCACAGCGTGAGAGAAAATATTTAGGCTAGCCAGAATGAGGAGAGAGAGACGACAGTAGTTGTGCGGTCTCGCCGCGATAACGCGGTCGGCGGCGATTCAAATCGTTGGCAAATAGCCAACTAGCTGCGGGAGATTCAAATTTCCTTTTCTTTTCAAAAGATTTTTGTGTTTTTTTTCCAAATTGTTTGAATTTCTTTCCAATTTTTATGACGCAAATTTCCAATGGGCTTTTTTTCAACTCACAATACATAATCCGTTTAACCAAATGCTGACAGGATTTGTGTGCACGCGATTAATTAGGTAATCCTGTCACCTCTTGCGACGAGGTAAGGTCATGCAATTTGTGTAGGCCCGGGCCAATTAGCCTCGTGTGTGGCAGATGATGACTTCTATTTATGTAACGGATATTCGCGGAAACCACTTTGCTCCTCAAACACGCCTGGTTTATTATATTTGATTTCTATTTGAATTAGCTCGCACGCATTTTGGTTGATTAATTAACGCGAATTTATTTATTTGCATTTGTATATTCATATCAAGGTCATGACTGGGTAATTGCAGTACCCAGTGGGGTGTTATCGCATTGCAAATTGTAAATCATTGTCGCATCCGTTCGCTTCCACGACCAGTATTTATTGCATCCGATCATGTTTTATTATACAATTCCGAAAGCAAACCAATTCGCAGGTTTTTCGTCCAAAAACGTAATGCAAACGCTTTTCAATGGATTGATGTTATATAATTTTTGGACGGAATTCACAAAAAAATGTTTTTCACTTTCTATCATCTCTACACAATTTGTCAGTTTTTATCAGAAAATTGCAACAACTGACCAAGTACAATCACAGTTCCGATTTCTTTATGTCATCGCGTGCACGACTTGATGAATGTTCGCAATGAAGCGCCACTCTCCGTCGTATCATCATATTAAACTTTGGTGTATTTTTTTTTCATCTGTTTAGTTTAGCCGTCACCTCGAAAATTTTGTGGAGGACCAGTAGTAGTGGCGAACCGGAAAAAAACGCACGAGACGTGAGTTTTAAATTATTTTGTTTTTTTTTTTTTGCAAAATAAGCTACCCAAAATTATTCCTTCATCGATTTCTGAAGGTTTGTGTCATTTATTAATAATTCTCTTCATTAAATCCATGTTATAATTGCATTACATAGTCAGCGTAGTAAAAACTTGGCGAAATGCCGGAATCTAAAAAACAGTGACTACCAGAGGGAATCAAGGTTCTCAAAGTTTAAAACCCAAATATTAATACAATTATCTGAAACAAATTTTCGAGGCTCATAACGCTGACAATGTGATGGGTCTTGTGACCAACGATTTTGGCAGCCCCGATTTTCGCTTTTGAGCGTGTGTCGAATTGAGTATCATACCCGACCGACTGGCTATATGATTAGAAGAAGTAGATTAGAAAAATATTGTCAAATTTGAAATTTGCAATTATAATACCATCGATTATGCGGAATTTAATGAACCAATTGAGAATCCGAATTTCCATTAAAGTTCTAGGGTTTTTTTGTGCCGTTTTGCGATTATAATAGTAATCGGTGGGCTGTCCAAGTCGTCGTTGCGCAGAGGTACGGGGGTGGGGGTTGGTTGGCTTTCACACACACACAGACATAGAGACATAGCCAGCTGTTATTTTCGGACATTCGATGAATGCGCGGCAGCGTCTCGGCCTAGTGTATTTAGCCGAAGGTGTTCGGTTTGGTGCGCTCCCCACATTGATTTTTGACATTCCATCCTTTCGGTGCTTTTTTTTTTGCTTGTCGTCTTCGTTAGTTTTGCTCTAACCACTAATTTGTCATTCTATACGGACTTGGGAGTCGAGTAGCCGATTTGTAATTGAAAACTTTTTGAGGGAAACGTTTTAAACTCGGCGCCGCTTTCAATTTTATTCAATACCACCAAGTCTTCTCCATCTTCTTTCATTTCTTATTTTAAAAATGCATTTTTTATTTACTAAGTGGGTGTGTCGTAATAGATTAATATCAAAACTCATATACGCTCAATTGCCCCCCTTTCTGGATTAATGTGAACCGGAATTTTGCACTTTTATTGGGTTTTGAAGGCGTGTCAAAACGAAAATACCCAGAATTGCGTGGCTATATATAGTTAATTAATTTGAAAAAAAAAACTTGATTTGTCATCAGTTTCAAGTTTTTTTGTTGCGAACAAACGTCTTTTTTGTTTCAATCACTATATAATTTCCATTAAATTTTTTTTTGTTCGTTTCCATTTTCCCACCTCAAACTGCCCATTTTGTCGGTAAGACAAAAACGGTCTCAAATCGTAAAGTTAGGCCGACATTTTATTAGTTTTTGAGAGAAAACGGAGAAAGAGAGATACTGTATGTCGTGCGAGCTTTCTTCTTCTTTTTTTTTACAGATAATTTTGGTGTTTAAGCTTTAAAACAAACAAATATTCGAAAAAATTTGTCAAAATTTTCGTTTCGACTCAACCAGTGTCTAATTCGGCCTCAGAATTCGTTGAAGCCTCTTGACAATTTCATGAATATATGTTGTATAGTAAATAATAATTTAGGCGGTCAAAGTTGTGTTAATAATGCATCATGATGATGAATGAATGCTCCTCTTGAAGAAACGCCGAATGTCTCAAGTGTTTTGCGCCAAAATGGCGCAATTTTTGCCAATCCTACTGGGTGGGCCGAGAGGGCTCCGAAAAATTGAGAAGAGTTTCGACGTGGTTGACGAAAATTGATGTTGCCGCGTTCTGCGAAAAAAAGGAAGACGACGAAGAGAAGAAAAAGCAACTCTTTTTTGGATTAGTGTTGTCGACCCTGAGGACCCCCCCCCCTCCCGACCGACAGCACACGCTTCGATGAGTTTTTATACAATTCGAGCTTCCCCCCCCCCGAATTTCGTGTTTTTTCCTTCCTCTTCTTGTTGGATGATCTTTTGCAAATATTGGGCGGATTGGGGGGGGGGGGGGCTGTTGGCACGTGTGTTTTTGCGCAATGTGTAAATACTGCCTGGTTTTATCCATGCTCATCGCCGCACCTTCGACAGTCCGCCTCACCCATCGTCGTTTCATTTTACAACGTTTTTTTCTGTACACAACGTTCTCTCTCTCTCTCTTTTTTTTGCAATATACCGATTTCGCGTCAAGACCTGACGTATACAGCGTCTTAAATTGTGGTATATTTTCAAGATTTAGAAGCAACAAATTCGACTGCATACACTTTTTGGGGTCCTGCCACGGTCTTTCTCCCTATATAGCAAAAAAACCGAAAATTTGATATTTGGCCAAAGGTTAGGCTTTTGGATTAATTGAAACTCGAGAATACTGACAGCAAAGCTTTTTATATTTGTTTTGATGGCGAATGTTTCATATTGAGGATGAAAAAAAATTTATTTGTTGGAAACTTTGATTTAATTTTTTTCTTCACCACCAATTTTTTGTTCTCGGCGTCACAATGCGCGGTTTTGTTGAACGCATTATTCTCACACGCCTTTATAGAATTTTATTGATTTCATTTTTTTTGCGATAAAAAATTTCGCCCCTCAATTGGAAAAGTGCAATGCAATGCGGCTTTTCTTTTCGTATTTTTGCCGCCGCCGACGGTCGCGGCAGCACAATTTTTCTGACAAAAACGGCGCGGCGGTGAGACAAAAAGGCTGCAAATATTTGCAAGTGGAATTATGTTCCCTTTTTTGGGCTGGCATTGCTTCTTCCCTTTCTTCTCGCGAATCGTTATTGTATAATTAGTATAGTTAGAATGCGAATTTCTTTTGTAAACGCGAAAACATTTTGGATTTTTTTGAGCCTAATTAGCATATTCTCTCTTTCCTTCTTTTTTCTCCACGCTTTCATTTTTTTTTATCGTCTCGTCTCATCAACAACAAGTTCGTTCATGCCGCACTTTTTTTTGCGTCTCTTCAATTCTCGCCTTCTTTCCAATCGCGTTTCTTTTAAAATATCCTCGCTGGCGGCATTTTTCGATTTTGAATTCGCCATGTTTTAAGGAGTCGAGAACGTCGAGACACGAGAGGAGCGATTCGACGGATTTTGAATGGACCCAGATGCCGAGTTTAATTTGCTCACCACGCTTTATCAGAGTGTGGTGCATGATATGAAGGTTGGTTCTTGTTGTATTCAAAAGCGAGCTTCCTTATGGCCATTGCTCGCCCTCGTTTGAGAGCCATAACGAATATTTTATTGCGGCGAGTATACTTCGTCAGAGAAAAAATGAAGAAGGGAAATTCGAGTACGAATAATAATAATTGTCTTTTGAGCACACCTATCCGGGATGGGAGCAATTGAGCCAGAAGGCCGTCAAGCTCGGCGCGCAGCTCAAAGCGACCGCGCAATGTCTCGCCGCGTTTGTGGAAGCGATGCAGGCGGTTTGCGATCACGCCAACAACTTGAAAGGTCCGTTGACAACCAACTGTTCACCAAAAAAAATGCGTGTTCAGGAGCGTCGCGCGACGTTGGCGCCTGTGTCACTCGTGTGTGCATCAAACAACGCGCCATCGAGAATCGCATGAGATCGTGGGCGGAGGCGTTGTGCGACGAGTTCGCGGTCAGCTTACAACAAAGATGTAATTATTGGAAGTCGCGGTGCGGCGAACTCGATAAAATTGGATCGAAGCATGTTAAAAAGGTAGCTCGATTTAGAAAAGAAATCGTCGAATTCTCAATGAGTTTCAGGTGCGCTCAAGAAAACAGCGTCCGGATATAACGGCGATGTCGGAGCAACGAGAGATTTGCTCGAGGGTGCTCACCGAGCAACGAACGCAATTCTCGTTTTTCATCGGAACACTGATGCCGGTGCTGAACGCGCAAATGAGTATGCTTGACGAGGGCGCGCATTTGCGGCAAGTCGTTGAGAATCTCGACAGCACCGTGAAGCACGTCGACACCGATCAACTCGTCAACTCGATCGTCACCGATGTGGCGCAGGGCCCCGACTCGGCGTGGAAGCAGTGTCTCGCGCAAGCCGGCCAAAAATGGAGGAGCGCCGACGAGCAGAGCTCGTGCGCGGGAAGCGTTCGCGATTTGTCGACGCGAGCGACGACGCCGGCGAGCAATTTCTCGTCGGAAGACGGAATGAGCACACTGACGGCGCGACGTAGTAACGGTGAGATGATCGGTCGAAAGCCGCCGCTTCAACGACGCAATAGCGAGAAGAGCATCGGGCAGTTTTCTATGTCGTCGCCGAACACCGACGGCTCGTCGACGTACTTGAATCTCGTCGGCAACGCGAGCTCAAACACGATCACCGAGCAGTCGTATCACGCGAATGCAAGTCGCGTCAACTCGAACGCGAGCAACGGTCATCCGACGGGACCGCCGCCGGCGTATCAACATGTGATCACGCAGAGGCAAGTCGGAATGCAGAGGCCGTCGAATTTTGGATGCGATTTCAATATGTCGGCATATGCGATGAATGTGAGTACCTCAGCCTTTTCTTCTGTCCCTTCCTCGATTTTCGTTTCAACAAACCGTGTGTTCAGACGTCGACGTCGATGGGCGGTACGCCAATTTGCCAACAACCTGGCTCGTCGTGTGGTTCCGAGTCGGCGTCGTCGAGCGCGTTGCTCATCGCCGAGGCCTGCAAAGAGATCGACCAATTGGGAAGCGATTTGGAGAATTATTGCGCGATGAGCGCGTCCGACACGGCGACGCGATATTTTGTGAGCTCACCGCCAAAGAATGGCGTGACGCGAAGGGGGTCGCACGTCGACGAGGCAACGTACTACGATCCAATGAAGCGCGTTTCGATGGGACCGCCGACGGGTGTTGTCGGTGGTGCGCAGAACCCGACGAATGGAGGGGTTCGAATGAGGACAAGTAAGAAAGTGTCCGATAGCATCACCTCAAAATGATTTTAGCTTCTGCTTCGAGACCACCTCCGCCGGCGCGTCGTTCGTCTCAAATCACGGCGGCGACACCGACGGCGCCGTCGGTTGCTGAGCAGCGAATGAACGGCGGCTCCATAATGGGTAGTGGCGTTTCAGGGGAGTTCGAGAATTTTTAACTATTCAATTGCAGGCAGTCGACAATCGTTGGATTCGGCTGGAATCTATGACCAACAATACATGATTTATAACCAGAATATGTCGTCGTTTGGCCGAAACTCGACGACATCAAATCCGCCGGCGGCGGCGAAATTCCGCATTTGAAGTGAGCTGAATATTTATTGCATACGAAACACGGGAATCGATTTGAATGTAAATTAAATCTGTATATTGTTTAGATCGTTTAACTGTCGATAAATTCAATCTTTCTTTTTTTTTTCAGAAAGAAACTATTGGTCTCAAAATTTGGTTGGAATAGGATTGCCGCCGGGTAAAAAAGAAGCTAGAGATGATAGTGTGAATTTTAAATTTGCAAATTCTCTACAGTAAAATGTTAAGATTTAGCGATATCGTCAAAAAATTCTGCAGTAGCTCGACGAAATAAAAAAAATCAATTTTATTTGAGCCGAGGTATATTGTTGTAATCATTTAGCTAGCCAATGTAGGAATGGGGGCACTGTTAGCATATATCCATGATCGTAGATGTATATCCGTTTGTCAAAAGGATTATAACTTATCATATTCGCATTCTTGTATAAATTGATCCATTTGATAAGCGGCTGCGAGTAGGTGTCTCTGTAGAAATCGAAGGCCGTCGAGATGAAGCTTGATTGCTCTGTGGAGCTTTCGACCTGAATCACACAATTAAATCGTTTTATTGTAATCGCACACAACCAAATAGATGGTTCCGCAAATGACGATGCCATTCGACACTTGTGTGTGGTTGACGGTTGTCAAGTTGAACGTCTCGTATATCGTCAAATTGTTGATGTCGACTTTCGCCACCGAGACGAACGCCTCATTCTTGTAGCGGAAAATCACCCAAAGCGCGTTTTCATCGATCGAAATATCGAAATAATTCATCGAGTTGTTGTAGAGATAGTCGTCGCCGCGATAAGCGGCGTCGGGAATTTCGAACTGCGAATACTTTTTGGTGTTGAACTCGTATTTGGCGATGATCGGATGGCCAGCGCGCTGGTAAAACAGTGTCGAATTGAAGATCACATGATTTGTGCCGTCGAATATGTACGGAAGGCGATGACTGGAAATAAAAAATACAAAAGAAGATAAGTAGGCAAAATTTAATGCACATACACTTTGCTCACGTGCTCTCGACGCATTTCAGCTTCGTTCTTGTACTCGATAAGCTCGTGACCTTGGAAATGATTCATCACATATCGTTTTCGAGCATCCTAAACCAGACATTATCTAAACAAATGGATTTTTCGATGAAATTTCACATCTCCAGTTGGCGGATAGGCGTCTCGCATCCATGAGCCGAAGTAGGTTGTCGAATGCGAGTGGAATACCGGTTTGCCAACATTTTGAAGTCGACAATCTGAAATAGAAATCTAGAGATTGTTCAAATTGCTTCTTTTAATTAATTTATTTTATTGGTTTCGAAAAATTAAAGAAGCCACGGCCAAATCTTTGAAAGAAAATTGAAAAATTCTAGCATGTAGCAAACGCGCTCTAATGAACAGGGCGCCAATTTATTTAAAAAATTTTATATGATCCTTTTTCCCAGAGCTTCCGTAATTTTTTTTCGCAATTTTCTCTTATTCTTATGCTAATACGTTTATTAATGTAGATTTAGATTACTGAAATATTTCAAGCTTAAAAATTGGCTAAATAAGTGGGTATCATTTTGTTAGAAATTCCTATTTGATTCGGTTTCGACTTGTTGAAGAAAATGATTCTCCAAGCAACAATCACGTTGATTCGCCGAATATTTTGTGCAAATTCGAAAATTCGTTCTTCAATTTCAGTCTTTTCTCGTAAAATTCAATACTTACGTGCTGTAACTCCTTGTATATAAGCAACGGGTGTTGTCGCCGTTGGCTCTTCGTCGTCCGTATAGTTTTTCAGACACATTTTCACGCATCCCTCGACATCGCTATAATTCGTCAATAGCTGGAAGAGAAAAACATATAGAAAAAGAATTGTTGAAAATCAAAATACATGTTGAACAAGCATCGGAATCGGTTGTTGAGTGATTTGCGGAAACGGCGTTGTCTTCTCATTTTCTTTGGCGCACTCCAAATTTTCAATCTTCAAATATTTTTGCAAGTGTTTTTTCCTTTCTTTTTCTCATATTAATATTACTGTAGGACATTGTAGCTCTCTTGTCATCAATAGCTCGTCACTAATCGGACAAGCATCGCAGTTGGCGTCTTTTCCAATATTGCCCGGCGGACCTCGTGGTCCCGGATGTCCTGGAACTCCCATTAAACCTCGACGTCCTTGCGGACCTGGTGGTCCATGTTTTCTAAAGCACACACACACACATGAATTGCCTTATGCTATTTGGAGTTTTACCCTGGAGGGCCTATAGGCCCTGGCGGGCCAGGCCTTCCTCTCAAATCGTCGCTATCGCTGCAATACTCGTGAATTTCGGTGCACTTTCTCATCACATCGCCAATTTTCACCGACGACAACGACGTCAGCCAAAGAGTGTCGGTGCGATTCTGAATCGCGCGTTTGTGTCGTGAGCTCGTCGCCAAATTTGTGTGCGCTTCAAACGCCTCGCGGCATTGCTCGTCGATCTCGCGAATTCTGCAAAAAGAAGAAAAATCGCTTATTGTCGATGATATTTTTGATTTCGTTGTGTTGTCCCACCGAAAATGAATATGCAAATACGAGAAAATGGTGAGAATCGCTAGAAGAATGTTCGACAAATGGAATTTGGTGTACATCGACGGTGATCGCTTCTCTAATGGCAACAAAACGTCGATGAGCCCGAAATTGTCGATTTTGAAATTCGATATTTATAAACAAAATTTCAAAAAGTGTTGTATTGTTGAATGTGAATGTTGAATCGAATGTGCACGGAAAAAAATATTTATTTTTCGCCAATTTTTTAATCTATCGTGTTTTATTAGTAATAAAAAGACGCCCAGATCTGCGAATAAACAAAACTACAATGAAGGGAATTATTTTATGTTGAATATCGATAATCAATAATTAGTCATCGTAATTTTTTGACTACATTCGAATTTTATCATCAATTTGATTCCTGCTTTCTGTTAAGAGATTTCACTCATATTTTTTCATTGCCCCGTGTGTTTTTGCTCGTTTCTCGCTGTTTTTCAAGCATAATTTTTCGGCTTTCAGATCAAAATGACTGATAGGCGAATCCGCCGAGGCTGAACAATAAGCATCGCTTCAGTTCTCTTCTTCTTTCTTTGAGTCCCGTCCGGAATTTACAAGGTACGATTACTTCCGGAAAGTCATGAACAGTTTTTAGCAGAGTTTGCGTAATTTTCAAAAAGTTAGTTGAATGCCTGTGCACGACTTTCCCGGGAGACTGTTTTGTTGGAATTTGAATTTTTAATAAATGAATAAATATGATTTGTGTTTCAATTTTTTGTTTTAAAATATTACTTGATCCAGAGAGATTGAAAAATGAAGCTGCCAATTGTGCAACATTCTCATTTTTTTAAATGAAATTCTGATGTTACATATTTAGAAAACGTAAATTTGTTTAAGAAAGTTTCGGTGCGAGACCAATCTGATCCGAATGGCAAACTTTTCAAAAGGATGCGCAAAATCACGAATCGGATCCTACAATTTTACAATCTTACAAATTTCCTGGTCCCATCGACGCCTAGGTTTTGAATTCTCACTTAGTCACTTAAATATTGCATTTGGTTGAACAACGTCGAAAATTGAGGTTTTTTTTTTATCTAAAAATCCAGCAAACCCCCAAAATTTCCATTTAATATTAAATTGAATTCATATATGAAATGGGAGTGTATAGCAATGCGTAGTGTATAGTAGTGATGTGCGACAATCGGAAAATAAAAGAAGAAACTCTGGAATCAACCTTATCCGATTGGAAATTCTATGGATAAGATTGGAAAATTGTCGGTCGGATCCGATTAGATTTTCTTCGAATCCGATTGGTAGTTATTCGAAATTGATTCCAGGGCCGAATTTTGTCGGATCCGATTGGTTTTGAGCGACCAGAGTGCACTGGTCCAATTTTCTACAAATATTTAAGGATTAAATTTCAAGACCAATTTGAATTTTTCACCAAACCTGCATTGGAAAAATGTGTTATTAAAAACATTTTTTTTTTGTATGAATAGGTTCATTATATTCAAAATATTTGTTTAAATTTCAAGTTTTAAAATGTATTTTGATCTATCGAGTTTAAAAATAAAGTCGTCAATTTAGCGAAAGCGAGACTACAATGTAGCCGCCGATTTCAAATCTCATCTCAATCAATCAATACATTGTTTCTGGTTTGATCATCGTTTTTCTCTCTGCGTCTCTCAAAACACGCCATTCATTAATATCGTTTTTCTCCGCGTTGGTTTTTGCTCGTTTCGCACCGTTTATTTTTTGTCGACATCGATTTCCGGGTTTTCAGGGCGAATTTCTGTTGCTGTCGTTCATCTTCCATCGTCTTCGACGTCGTCTGAAAGCCGCCTGCGCGTCTACCCGCTAAGTCCCGATTTCGTTCTGCTGTGTTCCGCTTTTATTTCCGAATTCTGCGTTTCCTTGTGTGCTCCTAGATTCGCCATGGCTCGCGTGAAATATTCCTTATTAGGCATTAGGGCAACCGTAGGAATGAGAGAGAGAGAGAGAGAGAGAGTGCTGCGAACTAAACTGTTGATTCGAACAATCACATGGAATGGGCACACTTGAGGCCGATCGATGGCGGATTCTCGACAACGACACCTTCAACAAATGGATTTCAACAACTTTGCGGTATTTATTAGAATTTTTAATTAAATTCTTAATTAGGGTTTTAGCTGTTGGGATTTCGATTAAATTTCGCTATTACTTTTTTTTAAAGTTTTTATTACGAATTTTTAGATAATGATTAGAATTGTAACACATTTTCATATAGATTAACTGTTTCAATAATTAATTAGTTAATTATTTAATTCGTCGAGGAATATTTCACGCGTGTCGACGGAATTGCCCAACTCTCCTAAATTCTGCTTCCTTTTGCGACCAATTTGCTAGTTTTCTTCTCATTTTTCGATTTTTTGTTGAGGTTTTGCGAAAAATGGTCTCGATTTACTGGATTTACCGAAACTGACGTCGGATTTTCGAAGAATTCGCGAATTTTTTAATGTTTTTTTTATGCGAGCAACTGGCTTCGCAGTTTTTCAATGAAATTTCGGCTTTCGATTATAAGAAAAAAATAATCTTTAAGAATATTTCGAAAATAAAAAAAGTGCTTCAAGAAAAACCCAATCTTCTAAATCAATTGAATAATTTTTTCGCGTTTTGTCGATATATTTTTTTGACAAGATTTTCGACTATTTTATACTCAAAACTGCTTTGTTTATGCTTAATTAAGGTAATATTTGGCTTATACTAATTTTGATAATTGAGTTTCAGCGAAATCTCCGAAATTCTGAACGTTTCGTTGTTTTTGTCGTATAGATAAAGAATTTAGGCAATTTAACGCTGATAATTGAGTTAATTAGGATAATTAAGCGTATTTTGGGTTAGGTTAATCACAAATTATGTAATTGAAGCAAAATTAAGAATAATTTTGGTAGTTTCTAGTTTTAGCATTAAAAAATAATTCAAACTCTAGAATCTCGGTGTTTTTGTTCACTAACTAATCAGTAATTAGCAAATTAATTAATTATTGATGGGATAGCTTGTAGAATGGTATACTTGAAGTGGCGAGATCAAATTGGATTACTGTAGACTTGTGCTAGTGGTTGCAAATTTCGCAAAATTGAAAAACTTGGACATGTTTCTGTTCAAGACCTCTCGAGACATACACAGCAATCCGATTTTTGATCTCAAAGCTTTTTGTTGTAAAGTCGAAAATTTTGCCAAAAAATTTTACAGTTTCCAGGATGTCAGTGAATCAAAACTATTTATTGCAAAAAGTCAACAAATATATATAAGGAAAATTTTTGAAAACGGTCGTTAAAAGGAAGGGGCCTCATAAGGGAGGTCATTTTGGGTGTCATTGGCGATTTTTCTCTAAATTTTATCTTATAATAATCTACGAAAAATATTCTATCGGCTGGTGTTTATCCGCGGGTTCGACCCCTCCCAACTTCAATTTTTTTGCTATCATTATTCATTCAGTAGAGATACATTTTAATCTTTTTGCTGAAAATCCATCAATTAGTTAAAAAATTGATAATAATTTAAATTCCCAAAATTTCGAAATTTTGACACTTCATCGTAGATCTTTTTAATTGAGTGATTTCAAATCTGAACTTTTGTGCATACTCTATTAGAACAATCGTAGCAAACAGATAAACAATAATTTATTTCGTTTTCATCTTTTTATAGTTCATTATCTAGTTTTATTAATACAAATGTGAATAGTGGGCTACAAAAATGGGCCAAAATGAGTTTTAACAATAACAATACTCTGCCAGAAATAGCTCTGTGACTTGAAATTTTATTTTGGAAATTGTAATTTTTTTCTATTTTTGAGTTTCACAATAAAAGTAAAAAAATAATGATCGCAAAAAATTGAAGTTGAGAGTAGCCGAACCCGCATAAAAGTGTAGCGGATAACACCAATCGATAGAAAATATTTCGTAGATTATTATAAGAGAGAATTTAGAGAAAAATCGCCAAAGACACCTAACATGACCTCCCTTGTGAGGGGAGTTGGGCGAGTTCGTCTAAGTCATGGATAATCGGGGAGCACAATGGAAAACACGGAATTCGGAAATGAAAGGGGGTGGCAGGGCGGAGTTGGGACTTAAGATGGGTAGGGACCGCGCGTTCGAAGAAAGAAACGAGGGGGATCTGATTACTTTTTTTTCGAAATTTTGCGAAATGACCGACTCTCCCATTTAGCGGCTCCTCGGATTTTTTCGTCGTCTCCTCCTCCCCTCGTTTCCCGAGCCAAAATCGCAAAAAAACGTAATGCACAAAACAGCCGATGAATCGCCCTATTTTTGACCATTTTTGGGCAATTTGAATTTTGTTCGATTTTGCCAAAAATGGAAATTCGTAGTTTTTGTGACCTCACAGCCGGGTGTCAATAAGAATTGCACAACAGTCGACGCAATTTTACGGACTGATAAGGAATACTGTAAGAGGACCGTGTTGGCATTTACAGTTATCCGTCTCAAACCATTACGTCAACTGAAATACAAGCTTAAAAACATTCGACCAAGAAATCAAACTACGAACTTCTCTTTGACCTTCGCTACGAGACCCGTTCTCTCAGATGAGCGTGTGACAGACTACCACAATGTTTGATCTACGACCTACCCAGCAACACTAAAATTTAGAACTACTACTACTACTACCTAAGCTACAAATGATCTTCTGGAACATCTCAATCGACGACAATTTGAAAAGAATTTGACTGAAATAGAGGAAAATTGATAAATTGCCGACAAATGAGATACTCTAAACTCAATTTGACAATTATGAAGTATTATCGAAGCACGCCAATCGCTGTGGAAATTTTTGGATTGAAAATAAATTGTTTGAGATTCGTATTGAGCGAAATTTATCTGAATTTTCGAAATAAAGATTAAAAAGAAAATGCATAAAATCGTTTAAAATTAAACAAAATTGGGCGGGTGTTAAAAAATTCGACGTTTTTGGTTAATTTTACCAACAAAATATCATAAGCTGAATAATTTCCTTACGAATTTGATTGGCGGCTGTCTGTCACTGGAATCTGAACCCATTCACGGAATACTAAATTAATTACCTGTACTCCTCCATCCCCAAATCTCGATTCCCATCAAAATTGCTATTTTTTTAGGGCAATTGCGTCTTTTTTTTTAATTTCAATAAGGAAAAAATATTGTAAATTGATGAAAAGTCGATTATTTTTAATTAAAATTTATGAGGATCTCCTCTTGCAAAAAAAATGAATAAATGATCGCAATTGCCCAAAAACCATCGAAATTCTAAATACCCGCTTTACTCAAAACTTTTTTCTCAAGAAAAACCTTAATCCTAAAAATTTCCTAAATAACCGCAATTAAACACCTAAATCATTCAATCAATTAGAAAAAGTAACCAGATTTATTAAAACGCGCAATTTGGTTGAAAAAGTTTTTTTTAAACCATTGGAACGTCTAATAATTATCTATTGTGATTTTTTTAATTGTAAAATTAGCTGATAGAACTCTAGTAAAACTAAAAAATACACCTTTAAAATAATTTTAAGAAAACTACACTCTTTTAATTACCCTAAATTATCAAGCAGCTTAAACGGCAATGCGTAGAAAATAAAAAAAAAGAAAAAAATTGACAAAATTTCATTGCAGTTTTTCATTGCAGTTTGAAAGAAAAAAGAAGAAAAAATGTTTAATTTTTCATTTTTTTTTTCATTTTCTCTGCCCCATTCGAGAAATTATTAATATAACCTCTGACACAAAATAAGAATCAGTAAGCTATCACAACCCTGATAATATTCCTACCAATAATTTCCTCAGTCCTTGTTGCTTTTTTCCCTCTAAGAATTATATCTCAATCGAAGAATCTCAATTATTCACACAATTCTAATAAACCCTCGAACTATTTTTATCTGAAGCATTTAATTAAAAAATTTGCCAAAACCGAAAACCCATTAAAATCCCACCATTTATTTCCTAAATGTTATCCCTATTTAGTTTATTTACTCAAATCTAGAATCACCCGAAATAAAACGATTCCCGTAGCGAATGTCATCGTTAGGCAAAATCGAACAATATTCAAAAAGAGCAAAAATGGCCAAAAATTACGGGCTCATTTTCTTCAGCTGTTTTGTGCATCACGTTTTTCTCCGATTTTGACTCGGGAAAAAACAAAGAGATTCGGACGCGACCAGGGAAATCCGAGGAGCCAAATGATGTGCTACCGATCAAGCCGCTTCCTGCCGGTGCAAATAAAACTCTGAAAACGCGAGCTATTCAAAAAAAATTTTTTTTTATTATCTCACCATTTGAGTTTTTGCGTCTACAACCCATGACGAATTGGTTTCATATTGTTTCAAAAGTTCTAAAAAAAAAGAAATTTATTGTCTAAATTTTGAAATAGTAACAAACCTTCGACACTCCACATGGGACCATCAGTGCCGTCGCCACGGAAAACTTGTTGAGGCACTACCTGAAAAAGGAAAAGTATTGTAAGAAGAAAACGGCACTAAACACAATAAATAAAACGATTTTTTCATTCAAGAATGTTTCTTTTTGTTTTATATCAAAACATCAATCGATATTGACAATTCGATATCAAAATACATACAAAAAATCAAAGATTTCAAATCTGCGCGGGGCATTTTGGTTGTGCGCGTGTTTGCGTACAAAACATTTTACCGTACGCGCATTTAATAATTGGCCGATTTTGCGAAATTGAATTTTCCGTCAACGATCGGCCATTTGAAACCGACAATAGACATTCAAGACTATCATCAATGAATAAGATAGGAAGCATAGATATCAAGTGTTATAAAACTTGTCGCATATAGTAAAAAAAAACCAAAATCACAATAAACGCTGATTAATTTATACAAATTACCAATTGCAAAAACATATAACAAAATAAAGGAATGTATGTCTGGATGCACACCAAGTGTCGTGTTCGACTTCGAGAAGAACACACTCGTCATGAATCAGACGGCGAATGACTCTCTCGCAGACCGTCTTCTGCACGAGGTACGGCAGCAGCCTCGTGTCGAAAACTAAAAAAAACTCAACTTTTGAATTTTTTTTGTAAAAAAAATGCGAACCTTTGGCTTGAAGCAGCACGTTAAATCAAGGCTTGAAGCGGCACGTGCTCATTAATCGCTCGATGATTATCAAGAATTCTCTGCGCGATCGCATAATCGGTGCCCTCATCGACAAGCACAAAGAATAAATCGAAACGCTACATAATCGGCGCCGACATTTGCACATTGTATTTGAGCGGTTTCGATCGATCGTACCTTCATTGACCGGATTCGCAGCGGCAAGAATCGAGGCACGAGCGTTAAGCGTCGTTTTCACACCGGCCTGAATATTGCCCGAATGAAAAATTTCAGTGATTATTACTAGTCAAACCTTTGTGATCGAGATCGTTTTCTGCTCCATAGCCTTATGCGGCCGTCAATCAAGCAGCAGACGACGCCTTTCCGGATGCGTAAATCGCGCGGGGGCTGAATTCCTCGATGGTCCTTGAAAAAATCAATCAATTTGCGATTTCTAAACCAAAATTTATTCCCCGCACTTCAAACTTGCGATCTCGCTGTCGATGGATCGCCAACCAAACACACATTAATATCACCACAAAGGGCGGTTCCGTCGTGTTTGCTCTTCATCAGAACACCTTCAAGAAGCATCAAAAGAACACCGAGTTTGACCTCATAGTTTCCATAAATATTCGGGAATAGCGATTCGACAATATTCTCCTTCGCTCATGTCGCCCTCTCTTCGGCGCTCATTTTTTGCGGCAATTCGAAACAGTCGGTCTCCTCGATCGCGTTCGCCGCCAATTAGATTGTCATTGTGCTGAATGTGACACGCGAGAAATGCGAGCTTATATGTCAAATCGCGCACACAAAACGCTTTGAGTCCCGTGATTCCAGAATCTTCGTCGAGAGCGCGACCTGAAAACATATAATTAATTTTTGTACTTCCGGAATCTCATAACATTTCGTTTTATTGAATGCGAGATTTTGCGCGAACAAGTTTTTTTTCATGATTTAATTTTCTCTCTCCCATTCGAAAAATTATTAATATAACCTTAATAAGACAAAAAATGTTATTTTTTAAATAAATATTGTTTTTACCAAAAATATCGATAGATATTGTTTAAAAATGCATATTCTGATAAATTAATAATTAAAATCGGTTTATACAATTTTTAAATATAAAAATTTTGAAAGAAAATTGAAAAATTGAGCGAAAAAACTGAATATAATAAGAAATTTAAAAACGTCCGCGAAAATCGCTGCGAGGATTACGGTAACTGTCTCTTAGTATTGCGTACAAAACGCAGGATCCTACGACACATAGGTACATTTGCCATTTCTCAACAGTATTTATTGCAATGTTTTGTAATGCACAATTTCTGCAGAAAAATCACACTTTCATTCATTTTTAATTCATCCACGAAATGGTTTCAAAATGCATTTTATTTAATTTTTTCTTCTTAATCATTTTCAAATTGATCTCAAAGGCGCATTAAAAGTGCAAAATAAACAGCGTGCAAAATAGAGAGGCGCAGTGACACCAAGAAAGCGTGCAATAGAAAGAGCCGCAGACAGCGCGTAGACTAATTTTTTAATTTCCTCCACAGTATACTGTACATATTTGTCTTACTCATCACCACCCACACTTATTCTCCATAAATGAACCCAAAAAAAAGCACGCACGAGGTTCCGTTGGCCATCATGACGTCAATGTTTGCATCAAAACATGTTGATAAGATAAGAAAACGGGACCACAAGGATATATTTATCGGGCGCACATCTGCTCGGCAGCCGGTCAGTCGCAAATGCAGTTCTCATCGATTTTCGCCGCGTTCGCTATTATTTCCATCGTTTATGGCGCCAAACTCGACATCGAGAAGCCGCTGTGCGATCTTTGCCTCAAAATTGTCGACCAACTTGACGAGACTTTGAAGCACGGCGACGACGTCGAAAAGGTACATTTTAATCATTTAATTTTTCGTAGTTTTAAAATCAATACATATCTAGGCGGTTCATAAGTTCTGCGAGGAGGATGTCCCTTCGTTTCTAGTCGACACTTGCGACAAAGTCATCGCTAAGAACCTTGACTTCATCATCGAAAAGCTCAAGGATCACGAAGAGGGCGAGAAAATCTGCTCGGATATTTATCTCTGCAAGACACTTAAATCCAATATTTTCTAAAGTCAAACATACAGTACTGGCCATAATGATGTTCGCCTAGTGTTTTTCGAGCATAACATGGCACAAACGCGGCTGATTGGGCTGAAATTTTTACCATATCTTTAAAACGCGTTTAAAATGCGTTTGATTGGTATCACATACTGCAGAAAATTTTTTTTTTCGAAAAATCACAAATTTCATAAAAATGCGGAAAATGGAAAAAATGACACAATGTGATTTGAAAGTCTCAGAAACCCGAAAACATTACAAATTTGTAGAAAACCAATTTTTAATTTATCAATACTTGTTTGCGTATCCCTTGACATCAATAACCGCTTGGCATCTGCGAGGCATCGAGTCCAAGAGGGTCCGGATCACTGCATCGGAATGGCACTCCATGCGGCTTCGAGTTGAGCGAACTTCTCGTCGGCGATTGATGCTCGGAGCCCTCTAACCATGCGTACCAGCTCTTCCCAGAGATGTTCGATCGGATTATGGTCAGGAATCTGTGATGGCCATGCAAGAACATCAACGCGGCGACGTTAGAACCAATTCTATACATGTCCAGACATGTGCTCAGGGTCGTTGTCTTGCTGGAAAACGAATGCACGTCAGACGTTTGCCAATTCCCAAGGTCTCATTGTGGTTTCCAGGATATGCTTGTACTGGTACCGATCCATGATTCCATTTACACGTCGGAGCGGTCTCATGGCGGTGTCGGAGGAGCAGTCCCAGACCCTGCAAGATGCTTCACCGTTCGGAGGTGGTACTTTGGCATGAATCTGGCTCCGATAGGTCGACGAATCCACTTTATTACATCAGTTCCGAACAAGTTGAACTTTGATTCATCGCTCCAGATGTGTTTGGCCCATTCACATCGTCCCCAGTTCAGATGATCCTTGAACCATGCCACCCTCGTCTTTTGGTTCTTCTCACTGATCAATGGTTTCTTCACTGGGCGTCTTCCATGAAGTCCATTCTCCACCAAACGACGTCTAATTGTTCTTCTGGATGACATTGAAGCATTTGGCGTTACCACAAGCATCTGGATATCTTCTGCAGTCCGTCTAGGATCTTCTCTCGAAGCACGGCAGATGTTCCGATCATGGAGCCTAGTGGTTTTGCGAGGTCCACTGTGTGATTTGTTGACAAAAATGCAGCCCTATAGATTAGAAATAGTCCAGAATGAATAATAAATCGTAAATTTTGTCTTAATCATTGCAAAACTTTTTGGATTCCTCTTCGGGAGCACAGGAACTGCTGAGCCAGAAGGCTTCTGGATGACCCAGTCTTATGACCGTTGACGATCGGTTTTTGAACGTCCGCCGTGAAATTTTTCTTTCCAGAAGGTTGAAAAATTACTAAAAACATGTTTCAAGTTCAAATTTCAAATAAAACAATTTTTATGGACAAAGTTTGAAAATAATGAAAAATTGGTAAAATCGAAAAAAACAAAAAAAAAATTGAAAAATAAAATAATTTTTTAACATGATGCAATTTTTGTTGTTTACAAGGCTGCGCAACTGTGTTTAGCGTTTACAGTAAAAATTTCAGCCCAATCGGCCGCGTTTGTGCCAAGTTATGCTCAAAAAACACTAGGCGAACATCATTATAGCCAGTACTGTAATAATAATAGTAATAAATGGTTTAATTGATATAAAAGGCACTCGGAGATCAGAAATGCTGAAAGACAGATGAGTTCAAGTGACACAAGAAATTGGAAAGAATGATACGAAGCGATATTAGACCCAATAATGGTTCGCCGGTTGGGTGTTGGCGACTTGGTCGAACAAACGCATTGGTGGCGGCGTGTCGGAAGAAATTCCCGCATAATCAAGACTAGAGACATTCTGGCGACGCGCAACCGCACCAACTCCTCCAACCGGTTTTCGGTGCACCTGAACAATTCAAATCAGCTTCTCAAGGTGTCAACATTACAAAATCAACCTCTTCTTGCGATTTCGGCGGCTTGTTGAACGACTGCATCGCCATTCGATCCTCAGCCTGTCTCACCGAGGCGAACACCGTCGTTCCTAGTAGATCAGCGGGTTTCTCGACGCGCTCCATCGACGCCTCAACATTGCATTTAAATGAGCTGATCAAACTTCGACGTGTTACCGTTGGACTCGGCGGCAGTCTCGTCGGCGTATCCAATTGGGTGTTGAGTATCTGCACCGTCTTCTTCTTCTTCTTCTTTTTCTTCTTATCGTTTTCGCATCGCCTGCACAACAAAATGAAGAGGGTGGCTGCGAGAATCGCGCCAAGAATCCAAACGGGCACACTGTTTTCGCCAAACGGCGCGAATTTCGCCCGCTCGCCGCCCACTTCATTCTCCTCGATTGTCGTGATCGGCTCGATCGGCTCGAGATCGGCACGCAATATCGTGATCGGAAGTGAGAATCGAGCTGGTTGCACATTGTCGGCGCGCACTTCAAGGTTCACAATCTCATGAACCTTTCAATAGAAAATTTTTGAATTGAAAGGAAATATTTATATTCAGAATACCTCCTCATCCGTCTTGAACGCCTTATAGTACACAATTCCCTTTTGAATGTCCGAATACGTAAAATAGTAGGTTGTGTAATTTGTGTTTGGATCAAATGTCAGCCGGCCGTATTTCAATTGTGACGTCAAAAAGAAGCGCGGTGACGAATTCTGGAAATGCGCGCGTCGATTCAAATGCAAGTCCGCAGAATTGATGCGACGTGATGGCACACTTCAAAAAAAAAAAAAACAAAAGAACAAACCATTAAAGCGGATGCGTTGATCTGGCTGCTCGTTAGTGGCGTCGCCGTGTCGGCCTCCACAATCACCGGCTGCACGGCGACGAGCGCGCGAACCATTAGCTGGGACGAATTGCGAAGCACATCGCGCGAGTCGTTCTCGACAACAAACTCGAATCTGTCCTGATACGAGTGCATGTTCAATTGCGCATACAATATGCGTCCCTCGTCGATGTCCTTCTGCGTGAACTCTTTCGCCTCCTTCTCGCCGGCCACCCAATAGAACGTGCCATTCTCGGGACCGCTCGTGATTTTGTATTTGAGCATTTCGCGGTTGCCGTTCGAAAACGCGCCGAGATGCCGACTGCTCAGCACCACGTACGTTTTGCCCTGCGGATACCAAATCGTGCTGTGATTCTTCAGCGTCAAATCGAGCGGTTTGATGTCGACGACGATCGTTCGCGTGTGGCCTTCAATGTCGACGACGATGACGTCGTGCCAGCTCACCGATTGATGACGGCTCGATGTGTGCCAAAGCGCGATTTTTCCCTCGTTAATCTCAAAAACAAAAGAAGTGATTCGATTGATTATTACATCGATTACCTCATTTTGCGTGAACATCTTCACCTCGTCATCATTTTTCCGTATCGTCACACCATTCGCGCCACGCTGAATCGTTCGGTACACAATCGATTGCGGCGGAACCGATTTATGGCGCGTCATGAGCATGTCGGCGAGAAGCGGCGTCGATCCGCTATTCAGAATACTAACCGACGATGGGAATAGGACGACTTGAACGTTGGGATCGGGCGGCGTTCTCACTTTGATCATCACCGACACCCGAATTCGACTGGCACGTCTCGTCGATTCGCGCGCCGCGTACACGTGAAACACCAGCGAATCGTCGCCGACGTCTTGATCGTTGTGTTGGTAGATCAAAAAGAACGCGCTTCGGAGTTCCGTCCACGACATCCGTTTCCTCTCATTGTCAAGCCATTCTAAGCGTCCATGCCGAGGCTCCGTTCCAATCTCGATCATAACCACCTGGAAGTATTCCAATAATACGAATACATGGAATTCGATAGCGAGTACCTCCTTGTCAACAGTATCAACCAACGAAGAGACGTCAAGATGTGAATGATTGAAGCACGCCGAGCCGCCGCGTGAGACGATCAAAGGACTCGTCGTGATATATTTCGAAATGATCTTGTCCGATAGAGCAGCGTAAGTGGTAGTGATTCGAAACCTTTAACAACAATATTCCAGCGTTCTCATTGCGATTCAAATCGGCTCACTTCTCATTCGAATTCAGCGCTTGTTTCGAATTGTTACGATGGATTTTGAATGAGAATGAATCTCGCCGACTCCACTCGTTTTGTTGAATGGTCCCTATCGTCGAATAAACCACTTGACGGCGATTTATCTGACAATTTCGATTTTTGTCACGTTTTAAAATTTTGTTGCTTAGGTATCGGTGTACTGCGGATCAAAAACAAAAAAAAGCGAACTGTCCCCATGATACCTGAGTTTGAGTGAAAATGTTGCCTTTTATACCATCGATCAACAATTCGCCATATTTTGGAGGTTTGAGAATGGTGAAAACAATTTCCTCGGGTTTTGTCTGAAGAAAAAAACCAATTCAAACTTCTCAAAAAGAAAAAAAAAAGAACCCCCGGCATGTTTGCGCGAAGTAGTTCCGCTCCGATGACTACAGCACTGTCGGGAGACGCTACCAATCGTCCATTCGCTTCGAGAATGTTCGAGCTCGATGACAATTCGGTGCTGAACCATTCGGGACCAATCTAAATTTCAGATCGACAATTCAAATTTCAGCAAAAAACGCATTTCGAATCGCACTTTTTGAATTCCATCGCTCACATGAAAACTAAAGCCACCGAACGGATTCGAATTGTTCGAGCTTAAAAACACAACGTGCGATTGATCAATGTCGAATTGAGTGAAATTCGTGATCGCTTCTTGCGTATGCGGCATCTGAAACCCCATGATTTACTTCAAAATCCTCAATTCATTATGACTTTCACGATTTTTCCATTAGACGGCGGCGAAATCAGATAAATGATCGAATTTGAGGGAGTGTCTTCATCCTGCAAATCAGAATAATAATAATTATTTTTGGTTTCCACTATAACCTTGACATTGAGATGCAAATTCGTGATCAACGCCTTCTCTCCAGATACCCGAAGAACTTCATTCCGAATTAATACCGGACCTTAATTGGCAAAATCGAGCAATATTTCCAAAACCATCCAAATTAGGCACCTTTAACGTTTATCTGATTGACAATGATTTGAAGCAACTGCGCTCCAGTGCATTGATCTTGAACACAAGCGCGAACAGCGATGCTATCATTGCCCTCGGAGCCATCGGAAACGAACCACACATGACCGGCGGCGAGCATTTTCGACGTGAACGAGTCTATGAGAGGTTCGATATCATTGAATATGCGCCCAAAACTCACCGATCGAATTGATGTTGGACACGTTCTTCAAGCTGTGCGTCGTTATCCATCCCGACGTCGGCGGTGAAATCACACTGATCACCGCGTCCTCATCGTTTTCCGACGTCGTCACATTCAGTACCTCAGGTGTGATCGGAGCTCGTCCACCGGCGGGTACAGTGAACGGACGCGTCGTCATGGATACCTAGAATTTGGGTGTCAGTGAAAAAACAAACAGAAACGAATGTGACGAACATTTCGCACGAACACGTCAATGTCAAGTGTGAACAACAGCGGAATTCCGTTCGTCTGCGTTTGAATTTGAAAATCGATCGAATCATTCATTGAATTCGCGTTGTTGTGCACGTACTGCACTCTTCCATTTTTCACATCGCTCGTCGTGAATCGCGACACCCTCGACGAGAACGATTTTTCTGAACAGAACAAACATTTTGGTTTGATTATTTTTGAATCGCAATCTATTCCAACCGTCTAGCAAAAGATATCCATTCGACGGCTGGCGAACGACTTGGTAGATCAGATGCTCGTTGAGAAACTCTCCCAACACCGTATGATCGATTAGTGTCGCGCCGCCCATCGGCACTCGCAACACTTGATGTTGTTGATAGTCGTAAGCTCCTTGCGTCGCAACACATCTGACGACAAATTGCACATCGAGGTGACGATCGGCAATCGCCACGTTCAATGATTCCAGCTCGTTCTCGCTGGCAACCGTATACCAAACGAGTTCGGCGTCAATGTCCTTCTGGGTGAACGTTGAAACAACCCGCCGATTGGCACCAATAAAGAATCGCGTCGAGTTGCTCGAATACACAATATCGACGAGTCGAACGTCGAGATTCGTGAGCACGGTGAGATTCTTTGACGTGAGTCCTGCAGGCTCCGATTTCATTTTGTTTTTGGCGAGCAAAAAATCACTCACGAATAATTTGCGGCATTGTGCTTCCGCAAGTGACAATTGCCTCCGAGTGTTGCACCCAAACTTTCGGCTTCTCGGCGACCACGTGCATTCGGCCGTCGACGCGATGCACTCCATCGCTGACAGTGTAGCTGAAAAAAAATAATTGCACGATGGGAGCGTCGAGATCGATGAATTACTTGATGTCGAATTCACTATGATGCCCTAAATGACGAATCATCACTTTTCCTTCGTCGATTTCATGTTGACTGAACGACGTTAACGGAAGGTATGGAGAAACCTAGAAATTCGATTTTTTGTTAAATAAAAAGTAACATCGCGACGAGACCAGCTACACAATTTTTTTAATAATTGAAAAATGCAATAGCTTTTCAGTTTTGCGTCAAACAATTATAATGAGTACGGTGGAGGGTCTCGCGGCGATCGATGACCTTACCGTTGACAGAATTGCAGCATCTTTATTTTGAGCAAAATCGAACAGAAGCGCCGGCGTATCCACGTCATCATCTTTCCAAGGCAATAGAAAATCATGCAAAACGCGCTCTCCCCTTTCGACCATCTAAAAAATAAAAAAAAAATTAATAAAAGTCGAATTGTTTCGAAATTGAAAAAAAACAAATATCAAACGAACATAGAGGGTCACATTTTTCGAGACACTCGGCGCATTGTCGTTGAGCAAAATAATCGAGAAACTCAATATGAGCGGCACTTGTCGTTGCGCGTTTTGGCTCGATATCGCCAACAATCGGCATTCGTCCGAACGCGACTCATCATCGGAATGCGTGTAGACGAGACGATGCTTCATCAAGTCGTTCGTCGTGAAATTCGAGTCCTTCTTGAGAATCGTCATCAAGAACGCGTCGCGCAATCGTAGTGTGCCGTGAACGGTGGGTGTTATGACGCGAAAAACGAAATCCGAATCGTCGGGTGTCGATAGCGAGAGGAAATCCGGCGTCACCGATGCCGATTCGCCCTCTTTGACGACAATCGTCTTGTTGATCAGGCGAATCGAAGACGCTTGGGGTACATAAACTATCTGAAATTTCAAATTCATCGAAACATTTCTAAAAAAAAGAAGCGGCCACCTCGAATCGAAGCAACGCCGACGACACCGCTGGCGACACAACGCGAAACATGAAGAAATCATTGACAATCGAATATTGCTGATAGTGAAGCTTATAGCTAATACTGCCCTCATCAATATCCTGTTGTGTGAAATTCGACGAGACGCCGATTCGTCGTTGCTTCTTCGTCGCGCCAATTCGCCTCGAGAGCGTGCCCAATTTTGGCGGCTCGTCGATGAAATAAATCAAATTATGCGACGAGAAACTCTTGGGAAACGTCCACGCGAACAAATTTTGGCGGCCAATCGTCGCCACTTCGGTGCCGTTCAACACGAACGGCTCTCGCGTGAACACTTTGACGTTCATCGGAATGAAATCGATGCGGAACACGTGGACCATAGAGGCGTACTCGCCGGCTTCCACTTGGAAGCTGAACATGTCCGACGGCGAGCTCGCGCTACTCGTATGTCTGAACCTCACTTCTTCATCGTTGATCTAAATGCAATCCGTGTTCTCTTCGACGCACACATTTGCGAAACCAACCTGCGATTGGCTGAACGACGTACACATGCTGAACTCACTCTCGCCTTCCACTCGACATTCAACGACGCCGGTGTCGGGCAAATCTACAATTCGATACGACACAATCATATCACGAATCGACGCTTCAAACGACAAATTGCGTTTGGTGATCGTCGCCGAGGAATGATGAAGCAGCTTGAGGCCAGTATTGCTAACCAGCTTCACGTCAACTTGTGTTGATCTCGTCTTGACGGTGAGCACATTCGAGCGACTGTCGCCGTCTCGCGCCAACAACCGAATCGAGCCCATCTCGACGTCGCCTTCATCGACAATCGACACCACCTCGTCAATGAGTTGCTTGTGCGTGAACTCATTGACCTTCTGACCGTGCACAGCGACGTGAACACCATTCGCCTCGACAACTTGCACCTTCACACGATCCGGCCTATCGTCTTCATCGGTCAATTGGATTATCTCACTAGTCAATACGCGACTTCCCTTCGACGCAATCAAAAGCTTCTCGTCTTTTGTGCGTTTGATGAGCTCCGGTGGATCATTGACCCCATTGATTTTGATCTGAAATCCATTTGAGATGTTTGTCAATTGAATTCGAACCAAAAAAGAACCCGACCTCCAGTGTATACGTCTTCTCGATCGACGTCAATTCTTTCTCCTTTTTGTCAAATTCGACCTGCAAATGCGTGAGGCGTGCCAATTGACCATTTTCATTTCAAATGCGTTTTTAAAAAATAGAAAACAAAAAACGTCGATGGGCATTTTTCAATTTTTACAAACATTTTTGCTCGTCGCAATCGTGGAAGATGCAATTCAGACAAGCGATTACGACGAATCATTCGCGATCAAGTGCACGAGTTTGGGCGGAAATTTCATGAAGCGAATCGAGACAAATGTTGGTTGATTGACGAGCAACGAAAAAAAAAACGCGAAATGTTGAATTTCAGCCCGATATGTGCTTGTCGGCCAATTTGCAGCGCAGTGTTGCCGATGACGTAAAATTGAATGATTTTGGGCAAAATGATTATGATGAGATTGTCAATTAAGCGAACCGCGTTGAAATTCTGCAAACGTTTTCTACCCTATAATGTGAATGAGGCGAAGAAAATCAACGACTACACGATATCCTGCAGCGCCGGTACGCCCGAATGGCCCCACCTCTAGAAGGAGTTGGTCGAATCAAATCATTCAGACGTTGGGAAATTGTGCGAAAATGGCTGGGTCCAATTACGCAACCTATGCTATTCGTTCAACAACAAATCAATGTCCTACGACGACGCCATCCAACATTGCCATTCGATGAAAAGCACCATTGTGCGCATTGAATTTGCCAATCTCATAAGAAAACTTGACGAGACATTTGGACCATTGACGAGCATCTGGGTGAACACTTCCATCCCAAATTTGAAATATGAAGTCGATGAAGGCGATTTGACCCAAATCGCTTATTCCGATTCGGTGATTTATGCCATCGAGTATCCATCAATCATAAGAGTGGACCGAGCAAAATTTGGACAAACCATTTGCGAATATACACCGAATTTAACGGTTCCATGTGAGACAATTTAAAGGGGGAAGGGGCCAAATGGGGTTTCGAGAGAAAAAAATTCAATCAATATCAAACAGATCTTGAGGATCGCGCGAAGAAGTTCAAAAACTTCTATTTTCCGGGCACTGTAGACGATCAACAGCTTATTCTGAGGACCGTTGGCAAACATGGGTTCGAAATCAATATAACAATCATTTCGATTGCAATTTTTTGCGTTAAGAAAACGAAATTTGAAAAGCGGAGAAGAGGATTTATACTATGAAGAGAATATATGTCGTGTGAGTGATTTCATTTCGATCCCTACAAAACTATATTTGTTCGATGAATAGGGATTGATGAAAGCATTCGTCGAGCCGGCCTCAAGCGGCACATTCAGCTCATTCTACAACCATAAAGTCACTGCGGTCATCAACAACTCATCGCAGCTCGTTGTTGCTCACACACCGCTTCGCGAGAATGGTAAAAACGTGTGCCATCCTTATATTTCAAGCGAGGTTTCCCAATTTGTCTAGATTTTTCTAAAAAAAAAAAACAAAAGTGTATTTTTTAAGGACCAAAAAATGCATTGTGAGAATGTCAACTATAAAATAATCCAATTCGACGACATCGAACTTTCGACAAAACGCTCGTTCGCATTATTCGTCTCGATCAACACCACAAATCCAAATGTGAAAAGTGCTGTTGTCGTTTCGGGAGTTGGTCACCGCGGTCCGATGATGTGTCAAACCGGTAAACCTTCTATTTGAGAAAACAAAAACGCCACCCGATATTGTGATTTGAAGGATTGTTCAACTCGTCGGAGTACAGAAAACAAAAGTGGTACAATGTCTATCAACCGTACGAAATACCAGACGTCGCAATGGCGACAACAACTTCAACGATGGCCCCCAAATCGAATGGCTCCGCGAGCGGCAATATCACATCGATAGGTGATTCATCGAAAAATGGGACATCGATAGACAATGGTGCCTTGAATGCCACGTCATCAATGAAAGCCACGCCGTCGATGAATGTTACGACGTCGACAAATGCCATACCATCGATGAAAGCCACGTCGTCAATGAATGTCACGACGTCCTCGAATGCAACACCATCGACGAGTGTCACGACGTCCTCGAATGCCACACCATCGACGAGTGTCACGACGTCCTCGAATGCCACACCATCGACGAGCGTCATGTCGTCGACAAGTGCTACACCAACAACGATTGTCACGTCGTCAACGAGTGTCACGACAACGACAAACTTATCGGGCCAAGGAAATTTGCCGCCAAACGCCACCGGCAATTCGACGTCGGCGACGTCGCCAACGAATGGCACCGGACAATCGGCACCGCAATACACCCCATCGTCAATTCTTATCAATCAATGTCCGAAAGGCTTTGTTCTGTTCGAGGTGCCCGAGTACAGCGTCTGCCACAAAGTTGACATCTCGATTGTGTTCCGTGTTGAATTCGAAACATATTTAGTTGTTCGAGGAAGAGATGACGTACGCTGAATCGCTGCAGCATTGCAACTCAATCGGAGCTTATTTAGTGGAGCCTCACGATCCCAACGAGGAGCACATCATGAAGGGTCTCGACGAGTTGCATTTCAAAAAAAATGAATGACCAAATTCGATTTTTAGGCTTGCTGCCGACAAATGCGGCGCAATCATGGATTGGCGTTAGAAGGCACCGAAATTTTGAGTTCAGATTCGAGAAGGGCTATTCAAATGATACGCACTACACGAAACCAGTCAATAATAATTTTTGCTACGTTGTAATTAAGCGTTGACTGTGTATTGATCATTTGGAAATAATGTTGTAGGGAAAGGAATACGAAGGTCGATGCATGCATGTATCGCATTCAATGGGATTATACTGCGATGTGTACGAACTCAATTTTTTGCTCAACATAATAGAGGACCGTAATTTTAGCTGTTTATCGCCAGCGCTACATGTGTGTGCGATGGTACCGGAGAAAATATATGAGCATCTAGCAACCCCTCAAAGCTATTGTCGACGCGGATTCAGTTTCTCGAGAATGACAAATCGATGCTTAAAGGTATGTAGATCTCAATGAGGCAATAAAAAAATGAAAAACTGAAAGGTGTTCACAATGAAAAAAAGCTGGGGAAATGCTTTGGCTTATTGCCAATCGATCAATTCGACGCTCGCCGTTTTAGGCGGCGATGTTCAAAGAAACATGTTCTACGGTAAAATTCAAATCATTAATTTGATGCAATTATCATTTTGCTGGTTATTAGCTCATCTTCAAGTTCTTCCCTATGACGAGCATCCGAATAAAATTGAAGACATTTGGCTTGGAATCCGATATATTAATAGCCAGACACGGAGTGTTAACGGGCTCGATGGAGGTGCCGGTGATTCCATGGCGACGAATCGAGTCGACGGCAAAACGATTCCCGGTGATTGTGTGCGAGTCGGAATGATTGGAGGAATTTTGGGTCTCTACGTGGACGAGTGAGCGAATTTGCATTCGGTGGCCGCTAATTTTTTTTTCAGATGTTTTAAAGAAAAATTTTTCGCGTGTGCGACAGCTTCAGGAAGCGAATAGGCAGTGCGATTTAAACATTTTTCGGGTTTCAATCGAATATGAATTTTTTTTTTCATTTTCAGCCTAGAGATCAAAGCGAACGTCGTGATTTCTGCTAGGTGAAATAGTGTTTGATATCGAGAGGGCGCAGATACTTTGGGAAATGCGCCGGGCTGGAATTCAATAGGCTTAAACTAGACCCATTTAAATGTGACACAAAAAATTTAAAACAAAAAAGACCTGAAACGAAATTCGATCGGCGCGCGTTTCACTCCCGTCATGCTTATAAATCACTCGTCTCGCCAATAATTGGGCGTAGGTGAAAGATGAAGTAACAACGTTGTCCACTCGAATTTCACCATGTTTCGCGCCTTCGACAATCTGGAAATAATATGGTAATAAAAAAAAAAGAAAATCAACCTCACCGTAAAAAATATGCCGGTGTGCGAAACGTTAAAATCGTTTTGACTTGGCATAAAATAGACATTTTTCCATTGAAGCGGTATCGAGCCACCTTCGTTGAGCTTAAAAAATGGTATTAATTAATGACGCGACAAATCTCGCAAAATTAGAGCATTTTTTAAATGCGCGTACGCTTAAATGCAAAGTACGCAATTTGGCGTAATTCTAAGTACACATAGGCTTTTTTCCCCTCAAATTTCGATAAATTGTTGTTTGACGCCAATAATTTTAAAAATCATTAATCAAAAATGCGTTGCTATCTGATTTCGTACCTCAACAGCATCCGCCACATAGATTGGTCCCTTCTCCGGATTCTTTATGATATTCTTCGAGGCGGCACTGGAAAACAAAAGGCGAAGATGAAAAGAAGGCGACGAGAAAATGTTATGATGTGGCGGGACCATTAAAAACCAGCCACCCGACTTTCAATTCCTAATTGCCACCACTTTTACACCATAAAAATTTATAACACTTCTCGCGGTCGCACGATTTTTCGTTCGGGTTGTGATGGGCTCAGAAATTGTCGGCGTCTCGCAATAGCGCACACGCACACACCATTGTTCGTCGCCGATGGGATCATATCTCTTCGCAGCCGCTCGTTTTGATACATTTTATGGCTCAAATTGATGCGATTGATGGGGTGAAGAGGAAGGCGCGCGAATAAAAATTGAGACGGCCGGGGAAAAAACGCGTTGGAGGAAGCGAGTCGCACACGAAAAAAAAAATACCCGCAAATTCGATGAAGCAGAATTTTTGACGATTGCGACACATCGAACACACATCCATTTAGGGTTGATTCGTCAATGGTAAGACCTGAAATGAGAAGATTCACTCAGAAGCACTCACAATTGGTTGTCATGAAAACTCATAAACATTTATGAGTTTGTTCATTGGGGTGGTGAAAAAATGAACAATTGGCGTACTAATGGAATCGCATCAGCTGCTGGTTTTGTACTATTCAAACCTCATTCATTGTTCCCGCCAAAACGAGCGGAAACGATTTTCGAAGAAAAACAAATATTAAATATTACAATCGCAAAATAAAACAAAAACGAGAATGTTGGGTATTTATGGACCATTGTTTTTTTTAGCCCATTTAAATTTGAATGCGGGTACTGTATCGCGAATAATTTGCGAATCAAACACAACGTAAATCTCCACACATAGCTCGTTTTCATTTTTTTCTGCGATAAAGGACACATGTTTCGTTGCAGGTGTCCGATTTCAGTGTTCTTAACAAACCTACTTAAATAGCGAACTGAATGGAATTTGATTCTAAAAATAAAACATGTGTATTGCCTCAATTTTTGATGAAGCTTCCACCATCTTCGAGTGTCTGTTCCATTTTTGCTCATCAATTGTTTATTATTTGGAGTCGGACATTTTTCCGCTTTTCTCATAATAAATATATATACAATTGGTGAATGAAAACAGAAAGCAAAAAAAAAGAGAAAAATAAAAATGTGTTGAATACCGATATGGGTTGCCGAGCACAATGACGGTGAATATACCAGCGAGTTGGCGTGCGGTGATTGCAAATGAAGCGAAATATGGGAGATGCATTTGAGCGAGAATGATATCGTCTCGTTTTCGACAATCGGCGAGACTGGAATCGCGTCGGCATAGAGACTTCCATCGTGGAATGAGACACTGAGGTTCTTCGACGGCGTCGATAAAATCAATGGTGTTGACAGCGACGATTGGCGGCTTATTTGTAGATCAAATGATAATGGGGCAGTGATTAGCGAAATAAGCGCGAGAAACGCCATTCGACCATAAGCGTCGACGACACGGTAACGAGGCCGTGGTTGCAAAAGAAATGAAGAATGGATGAGAGTTCCGTCTTTTCTGCTCCTCCTCCTCCTTCTCCCCCCCCCCTCCTCCTGCTCCTCTCCGCCGTTTTGCCCGCAGACGTTGCTCTCCACGCTTCTCGGCGCGAAACAACAACTGACACATTGTACATCATAATGCTCGAGGCTCATTAAAATCACCGCTAATCCGCGCGCATATGATTCGATTTATTAACAGGTGACCATTTTATTGATGAGATGTTTGCCTTGTTCTGATCGATTGCATTTCTCCGGATTATGTGATTGATACAACGAAATAGAAAACAATGAAAAGTGAAAATTTTTTCTGGAGAACTCAAGATTGAGTTGCTTAAAAGTGTGCTGCTTAAAATTACTCTGCTTAAAAAAAGCGCTTCTTAATTTGATTTCGGAAATGCTCAAAAAAAACCTCGCATACCTCTGTTTCAATTTGTTGCAACTTCGGACATTTTCCCAGGAAAACGGACGGAATAGCGAGATGGCAAAACTTCAACTAAACCGAACAGGAATTGGCCGTTTCGCTGCTGATATCTGAACTTAAGAATTTGAGAGAATTCAATTTAGTATAAGGTACTTCGCGATTTTTCCTGAAATCTCTCAAAATTATGAACAAAACGTGACATTCTGCCAAAATCGAAACGCATTTCTGGCATTGATTATCGTCATATATTAGTGTTATTTTTGCGCATGCCTCGAAGTAGAAGTCGCTCAACTCATCGACGCTCAAGCGGTTCGAATTCTGCCGAGTCGGAAGCCGATGTTTCGATGAGCCATCGAACGCCGAGGAGACAGCAACCCGAACCAACGGTTGCACTTCAAAGCCCTATGCCTGGAGTCGTCATCCTAAATGACGAAGACTGGGGGAATTGGAGAATGCAGGAATTGGATCGTGTGCGTTGGGAGGAAGAGCATCCTCTGTAATTCAATGGATATGCAGGCGAGAGCCCCAAACATTTGATTCAGACCTACTCGAAGTGAACTTCCTGAAAAATCGGACAACTCGTTTATTCCAGATAGAGATGTTTACTATGAGAGATCAAAAAAAGCGCGGGAAGAATGTAGGCCGGATATCGTGATCGGTTTTAATTTTAATTCGATTTTTAGTGAAAAAGGGACTCGACGCAATAAATGCGGGCAGTTTCAACTCCGGCAAAGACAAGGACATCACGATTGAGATCAATGGACGACTGCTGTCGCCGCAATCGTGTCGCGCTTTTAAGGACATCATTTGTATGATCAATTCAAGTCATCGCGATTCACCTCGATTTTATAGCCAAGAAGCTCAAGGAGCGGCGAGTGCAAGGAATCCGCAAGAAGATTTTCGAAGAGGACGAAGATTCGCTCGATGACGATTTTGAACGAGAATGGCGAGAACGACGCGCTGCGTACAAGGCGAAAGCGAAGAAGCTTCGACGATTCAATGAGCAAACCGGCAGGATCGCATCGCCCGTTGATGAATTTCTGGATTATATAGAAGAAACTGATCAAGAAGATAAGGCCGATTCGAAACTCTATCGAAAGGTTTTTGAGATTTCTCCTTTTTAAGAAATCATTTACAAAAAAAAAACAAGTAACCTAAAATTCAAATAAATAACATTTTTGGAAAAAAATACATATTTGAAAAAAGCACAAATCTGCATTATTTTTTTCAGTGGCTGAAAGAGCGGATAAAAGAGTGCGATGAAGGCAAGATATCCGACATGTACCCGAAATATTGTCAGGAGCTTCGAAAGCAGAACAAGAAAAAGAAAAGAGCCGAGAGCAGGGATCCGAGGACGTTCAAGCGAATGGTGCGAAAGGTGCAGACCGCCTACAACAGTTTGAGGCGATCATCGAGAGAAGCGGTTGATCGAATTCGATCGAGATCTCGAGATGCTTTCAGTGACACTTCTGAAAGGAAGAAAGAACTCGACATACTCACGAAGCCTTTGAGAACCACTAATCAAAATCAAGAGTAAACCTAAACATTTTATTTAAGCACTTATTTACTTTATGAGCGGAAGCGTTTGAACAGCGGATGTCGTTCGGCGATGTTCTTCTTCGAGTATGAGCCCGCTTGACCGCCCGACATGCTCGACATACTAGCATCCCGTCTGGTGATCTTTATCGATCCATCCGGCATTTCCTCTTTGACGTCTTCCTCATTCGCGTCGAGATCAGACGCAGAGAGAACTTGCTGCAGAAGCTGAAGCTGCGACTCTTTTGTCGCCAACTTAAGATCTTCCTTCTCCATTCCAGGCAGCTTATTGACCACTTTGTAGGCGTAACCCTGATTCACCAAGAATCTTTGACGCTTTCGCGAGTAGGCCATTTCAACGGTGTCCTGCGACACAAGCGAATAGAAGAACGCGTTGAACTGGTCGGTGGAATGCTTCTTGGCGCGAAGAATTCGACCAAGACGCTGCGCTTCTTGACGACGCGAGCCGCCATGCGCGGAAATTTGAATGAGCACGTTGGCTTCGGGAAGATCGAACGATGTGTCGGCCACCTGGAGCAACCGATTGTCACCCTTTTGCGATTTTGAAGATTCCTACCTTCGATACAAAGATTGTGTTGACCCTCGGATTGTACTGGAAGTTTTGAAGGATTTTCATTCGCTCATTCTGCGACGTTTCTCCATAAAGGAAAGGTTTTTGCATTTCGATCGCATATTTCTTCAACGCGAACACATTGTCCGAGAAAACGATGATTTTGTCGTTGCGCCTCTCATGGAATTTGATGAGAAATTGGCAAATTCGAAACTTGTTGGGATTCATTACAGAGAGAAGAAGTTTTCGCGCAATTTGCGCTCTAAAATTTAAGTTAAAAACATTTTTAGGCCCAGAAAAAAGGGAAAATTTCTCACCGAAGATAGTACGAATAAAATTCGGATGTCATCGGGCACCACACTTCGGCGCACTGAACTTTCGCGATATGTCCAGCTTTTTGCAGTTCCATCCAATTCGCTTCATATATTTTCGGGCCAATCAAAAAATTCAAATCGGTGATTTTGTCGTCCTCGCGAACCAATGTCGCGGTGAGACCCAATTTACAATGCGCTTGAACGATCGTTAACACTCGACGGAACATTTTCGCCGGAATCGTGTGCACTTCTTCAAATTCAACCCTATATTTATCAATTTGCCTCACACTGTTTTCCAAATACCATCGAGAAGTAGCATTCCCCATTCTTGCGACTCCAAGAACTTCATGGCTTCTTCAGCGGCAAAAGTTCTTCGCCCTGTGTAGGCAACCATGGAGTACGTGCTGATACAGACAACAGGCTTAAAATTCGCAAATCTTTTTTTTCAACACTAATTGGATGAATTGTACCTTCGAAGCGTCGGGTCCCGTCGGTGGCGGGTCTCGAGCTTCGCGCGTAAATCGAATCAACTGTTTGTCTTGAATCGTCGACCAGAGTTTGAATTGCGCGCGCCATTGCTCAACAGAAACGTTCGAGTTGGCCAGCACGAGGCATCGCTTATTGACCGTGGTGACTGCCGTGACGCCGACAAGCGTTTTTCCGGCGCCGCAAGGCAGGACGATGACACCACTTCTGAAAAAAAATGAAATGTCATAATAAAATCGAAAGGATTTTTGGTTTCTTACCTGGCACGACTGTTGCCGAACATTTTTCGCAGGGATTTTTCTTGGTAAGGTCTCAATGTCGTTGACGGCTTTAAGTCGATTCCCAAATTTGGGTTCATGGTATCATTGCGAAAATCGTATTCAGCCAGTAATGGGTATTCCAGCTCGATGCATCGTTTTTGCACAGTCTCAATAGACTCCTTAATTCATCATTTAAATAGGCAATCCGATTCTCGCAACTACCTGCTTGATTTCAAATGTGAGCAGTTGAAGGCTTCGAATCTCGGCGTCGTCGTCGTCATCGCCATCAATTTTCTCATAGAACTCGTCGATGTCCGCCGGCACATCGCCCGCATTTTCGGTGCTCTCTTTGTCGGGCTCATCGGCCTTTTTCGAAAACTTGATTTTCTCCTGAGTTTGAATTTCAGTCTGCTGCATTGGTTGGTCTCTGTCGTCCAGAATGCATGATTGAATCACTTTGTCCTTGAGCAGCTTCTGCATCACGTCCGAATGACGTGATTCGACAAAATATCGATTATGCTTCAGTACCAATTTCACTTTTCCGTAGCTAACTGTGCACATCTAAAAACTTGCTCGTTGAATATTAATTATTGCCGATAATTTTACCTGAATGAATTGAATAATTCCTTTTGGAAGATGGCTTTTACTCAATCGTTCCAAATATTCGATAATATCGTTGGTTTGAAGGCCAACAGATACTGCCGCATACAATGAGTATGCAGTTAGCTGATATTCGTGAATATGCTGCGGACGGCACACCGGCTAAATTTAAATTCAATTTAAAAAAATAAAAATCGCCACGAGTACTTCTGAGATGGCGATTAAGAAATCCCTCGCGTGCTTGTAGACAGGACTAAAAGATTCCAAGAAGATATGCCCATCGGGGGCCACCCAGAGAGGTCTGCTGCTGTAATCGGGCTGAGCAGAATGAACAAATCAGAATCAAATGACAATAATTTAAAACCTTCAGCGGCATATCCTTGCGGTAATCTTTCGCGTCAAATTCATCTGTGAGAACCGTCGATCCTTCGCTATTCAAATTATGCGAAGCTGCTTTTGGAACTGAACATATTCTATTATTTTAAATTGGCACCAAAAAAAATTGCGAAATTTCTACCAGCAGTTCCGTCCTTGTCATTTCCACCGCCACTAATTCCAGGTCCGCCGGTTTCTTCATTGTTATATTGCGACTTGTAAGTATCCCATTTTCCGCGGCGTTTGCGATCCTGACGGCTCATCGCGGCAGAAAACGAATTTCGAATGCGCGTTTTCCGTGTGGACTACACAAGTGATGCGAGAGGGTGCATGCAGCGTATCCTACGCCACAATTGCGGACTGAAGTTTGATGTTTGAATTTTGAATTTTGAACGAGGCATTCAAAACGTTTCATTTCTAATTCTATACCGTATCGAATTGATTGGAAAAGGTCGCCTTTTAATTTATGGAAATTTTCGTGTTATTGGGAAATAGAATTTTTTAATGTGCAATATTGCGTCAAAGAAATTTCGCAAAAAGACTTTACAAAAACTTTAATAAAATCAAATATATTATTGCGAAACTATTTATTTTTTGAATTCCTTGCACCAAATTAGGTCTTTTTCAATAATTGGCAAATTTCAGCCAATGCAAAACGTGACCAAAAAACGACCAATCGTTTCGGCGCGCGCGCGCTCTCTGTCGCGATTCTCTTCAATCAAAAACAAAACACACAGAAAAGTTGGGCGGAGCTAGAATCTGGTGACCGCCACGACTGGGTCTCATCAATTCACACACTCATTGTGCCCTCGCCTCATCGCGTCTAGCACAACAACAGAACCCCGCATTCAGTCAGTCAGTCAGTCAGTGTTCTCGTAGGAGTATCACCACTGTCGGTTAACATGTCTGTCGATCCCAACCTTTTGACACCATTCAAGGTTTGTCTTTTCACTTTCCTCTCATTTGACATCTCAAACATTTTGCAGAACACTGGCGCGAATGCGTCGCTTCGCCAAATCTCCGAGGATGCCTTCTACGTCGTCAATGAAGTCGTCATGAAGCGTCTTGGACATGTGCCGATTCTCAAGGTAATTCGGCGCCAATGGGACCCTCGGCCAAATTCGGCAACGTGCTGAATTCAAAACGAGACGAGACCCGAAAATCAACATTGTCGTGCACTACAAATATTGACGTTTTCTTGTCGCTCTTGTTTTTACGACGAAATTCGCTTTTGATAACGAATTTTTGATACTCTGTTTGGTGGGGTCGTTTGATCGACCTCACGTGACAATAGCAACATAGTTTTTGTTGCGATGCGGCGAGGCGAAGGTCAGAGCAGTTGTTGAGGGTCCCTCTAGTGTGCTCGGCCTCGCAAACACTGATATGGATCACAGGCCAGCGATTGTATCTCGGCATGTCGTGGTCACCTTGAAAAATATCTTGTTTACCAATGGAAACGTGCCGAATTGAAAAAAATAGAGAAAGTGTGTTCAAAAAAAAATTTTTTTTGTTAACAGGGCGATTTCCATTTGCTTCCCGCCAAAGTGCAACGCTTCATCGCCGAAAAGGTCGAGTTGATGCGCCCGCGTGGGATTTTCATTTGCGACGGAACGCAACATGAAGCCGACGAGTTGATCGACAAACTGATTGAGCGCGGAATGCTCTCGAAACTTTCGGCCTATGAGAACAACTACATTTGCCGCACCGATCCAAAGGTAGCGGTTTTGAAAATTATTGTAATAGGAGTCTTGAACAATTTTAGGATGTTGCTCGTGTTGAGTCGAAGACTTGGATGGTCACCAAGGACAAACACCAGACGGTGTGCCGCACCAAGGAAGGCGTCGAGCCGATCATGGGACACTGGATGTCGCCGGAATCGCTCGCCACCGAGCTTGACTCGAGATTCCCCGGATGTATGGCCGGACGCATCATGTACGTCATTCCATTCTCGATGGGACCTGTCGGAGGACCATTGTCAAAGATTGGAGTCCAACTTACCGACTCGAACTACGTTGTGCTCTCGATGAGAATCATGACGAGAGTGTGTCCAGAAGTGTGGGATGCCCTCGGCAATCAAGACTTTGTCCGCTGTATTCATTCCGTCGGACTTCCGAGACCCGTCAAGCGTATGCTTATCGAAATGGATAATGATGACTAGAAAACCGAATCGATTTAGAACGCGTCATCAATCACTGGCCATGCAATCCGGAGCGTGTGCTGATTGCCCACCGACCACCGGAGAGAGAGATCTGGTCGTTCGGTTCGGGATACGGCGGCAACTCGCTTCTCGGCAAGAAGTGTTTCGCGCTTCGCATCGCCTCGAACATTGCCAAGGACGAAGGATGGATGGCCGAGCACATGCTCATCATGGGTGTGACTCGTCCGTGCGGACGCGAGCACTTCATTGCCGCCGCTTTCCCGTCGGCGTGCGGAAAAACCAATTTGGCGATGCTTGAGCCGACGCTTCCCGGCTGGAAGGTTCGCTGCGTCGGTGACGACATCGCGTGGATGAAGTTCGGTGACGACGGTCGTTTGTACGCCATCAATCCCGAAGCGGGATTCTTTGGCGTCGCGCCAGGAACATCGAAGAAGACGAATCCGATGGCGGTCGCCACGTTCCAGAAGAATTCCATCTTCACCAATGTCGCCGAGACCGCCAACGGCGAGTACTTCTGGGAAGGGCTCGAGGACGAGATCTCGGATCCGACCGTCGAGATCACCACGTGGCTCGGTGAGAAATGGCACATCGGCGATCCGGGACTCGCTGCTCATCCGAACAGCCGTTTCGCGGCTCCCGCCAGCCAATGCCCGATCATCCATCCGGATTGGGAGAGTCCGCAGGGAGTGCCAATCGAGGCGATCATTTTCGGCGGACGTCGTCCACAAGGTGTGCCGCTCATTTTCGAGAGCAACTCGTGGGAGCACGGAGTCTTCACTGGCGCCTGCTTGAAGTCGGAGGCGACCGCCGCCGCCGAGCACACCGGCAAGTCGGTGATGCACGATCCGATGGCGATGCGTCCGTTCATGGGATACAACTTCGGAAAATACCTCCAGCATTGGCTTGACCTGAAAACCGATGGAAGAAAGGTTGGGTTCGAGTTTCGTTTTCTAATATGCTCAAAATTTCATTTTCAGATGCCAAAGATTTACCACGTGAACTGGTTCCGCAGAGACGCCAACAACAAGTTCTTGTGGCCAGGATACGGAGACAACATTCGCGTCATCGACTGGATCATTCGCCGTTTGGACGGAGAGGACAACGGAGTCTCCACTCCGATCGGAACCGTTCCAGCGAAGGGATCGATCAACCTCGAAGGACTCGGCGAAGTCAACTGGGATGAGCTGATGTCGGTGCCGGCTGACTACTGGAAGGCTGATTCGGTCGAAGTGCGCAAGTTCCTTGACGAGCAAGTCGGAGAGGACCTTCCGCAACCAATTCGCGCTGAATTGGAAGCGCAAGAGAAGAGAATCGCCGCATTGTAAATTGAATATATTTAGATTGCACCCAATGCTAGTATTTTTTGTTCGAGTTTAAATAAATTATCCTTCAATTCTGCCTTTGTTTATCGCCACCAAAGTTCAATGTCTATCGGGAAGGTCATTGATGTTTTGTGTTTAGCGCCGAAATGTTATCATTGGTTCAATTTCAATGTGTAAATAGGTTTAATGGCGTGTTTGCTGTTATCAAATTTGTTCAGTTACAAGATTAGATAGGCAGGGAGATAGTTTAAACAAAAGTCCAATAAAATGCGTTTCAACAATGGCAAAAACGTGACTGGTTGAACATTTTTTTATTACGAAGGATATCATCATCATCAATAGATAAGGAGTAGATTCGATGGAATAATGATGTGACGTAATTGTATGCTGGTTTGAAAATAGTTGTTTTTCGCGAAATTTCGCCTAAATGAATCAAATCGGCCAATGGAAATATTTATTTAAACTCGACAAATATTGATGAAAAAAAAATAATTTGGACGATCTGATTTATATATTTGCAAAATTGTATGACTATTTGAATTTGTGAAAAAAATTGTGAGGTGATTTTCCGACTAGAAATCCATAAACAAAAAAATTAAAAACTTTTGATGACAAATATTAGAAATGAATTGTCTTAACGTCGAAATTACAATAAAAGAATCAGTTCGCCTGAAAAGATTTTTTAAACATTTTTGAATAATGCACTCATTGCAAAACTGAGATTTGTGTGTATGTAATTTTCTATTAATTTGTAGAAAAAATACCTCTCCAGAGAAAATACTGGTCATCTCTCCAGATAACTTTATTATGTTGGCGAATTGGGCAACGCAATTGAGCACTTCCACCAATTTGCAGCAATAAGTGAGAGTCTTATTGTTGATTTCCGTCAGGGTAGTGTTGAACACCTAAAAATAGATAATTCAAAATTAGAAGACCTTGGAAGCTACACACTTCACCAAAAATTATTTTCATTTATGGAAATGTTACTTAAAGGTATATGAGGAATAATGTTATTATTTTTGTTGGTACCGCTTTGAAATTAATAGTATTCTGACCTTTATGAGATCACAAATAAAGGTTCGGCATCATTCGAAGCTCCACTTTGTTCGCGCAAGAATACGCCCATCCCATCCGCTGAAAAAACGAATAATTAGTGTAAAAAGGCGCACAATGACAACATACCGATCGGGGCACAGTGGAACAATATGTAAGCGGGGCAAAAGCCTGGAGACAATAGCATCGGGCTCTGGGAAGATGACAAATACTAGAATTAATTGTTTTAATGTTGAAATGACAATTAAAAAATCATGTATATAGAGTTTAAATGAATGATCGCCTGAAAAGATTTGAAAAATATGCGTGAAATATATGGGAATTTTAAAACAGAAATCAATGACATAAAAAGCGTCAGCAACCAGAGTATTGGCGCATTTAATGTTGTTGACTGACGTAAAACGCGATGTTTTTCAGAATTCGCTTAAAATCGTTGTTTAGAGGAACACGGGCTAGGTTTAAAATTTAAAAAAAAATGGAAAACATTTTTCTTTTTGAACTTTTACATAGAAAGAAACAATAAATCACCAACTTTCTTTTTTTTTGGACAAAATGCAATAATTTATCCTAAATAAATACAAATGAGATCATCATCATTTTAAGCGACCGACAAAATCAATTAATGGCGTTTGATGAATGAGGTACAGAATTTGCAAGTATAGGCACATTGTGCCCGCATGAATTGCTCCTGCTCAACACAGACTTCTTTGTTGTTCTTCAGCCAGAACCCACACGAGTATCTCAAATATCGATTATGACTTTTGGAGGGGGACGGGCAATCTCAACCTCATGTCTCGACACTCGGGATCCAAAAACGCTGACGGCTTAGTGGCCGTGTAGAACCCATACGTCGATTTTGTGATGGCAGTCGTCGTCATCATTGGAGGGGCCTTGGGCGGCGTCGGACGCGCGCGCGTGCTCGACATGGTCGTCAAGCCTTCCGTTGTTGTTGTTGTCTTGAACGTCGTCGTTGTTGTGGTAGACGATATCCTAGTAGTCGTAGTAGTTGGAACCGTCCTTCTAGTCGCTGCTTTATTATTATTCTGAGATGCCAAAAGCCTCATACGATCTGGAATTCTTATTATTATTAATTCATCATCCTTATGTCAACATCACATTGCTGCTTGCGCATTTGCAAATCGCTAATTGTCTTGCGATGATGGACGGCGGTTGCCGTCGGTGCGGTGGCGTTGTTCAGAAGAAGAACGGCGTCAACGACCTCTCGGAACCCCTCGAATGTTTCGACAGCCGTCGGAATCAGCTCCTTCTTATGAAGAATGAATCCATTCGATACTAGTTCAACGATGCGATTATTAATGGTCCCATCAACTTACATTCCATTTGAGGTCGCAACTCGATGAGGTACACATATTTCACGTTGAGCGTCGATTTCGCCCAGTCGTCAGAGCCGCCGGCAGCCGGCGCTGCAAAATTTTCAATTCGAAAATTGATTGTCAAAAAGAAGGGAAGTACATAGCGTGTCAGCACCGGTGCCCATTCGAAAATTTGTGCCGTAAACCCGCGCGAGACGATTGATGGCCCTTCTCGCCACCTTCCTCAGATCCCCAATATCCTCCGGATAGCTTTGCTCTTCGTGACTGTACGGATAGATCCAAAGTTGGGCATATGAGTGCAACGTAATGAACGCGTCGACTCGTCCCTTCATCTCATTGCTGTTGAGAAAATTGCGAACCGCTCTGCAAGTTCGACAATTGCTCTGGCAATCATTCGGGTGGACCTACTGGGTCTCGGGCTCGCTGAACACATCCTCGCCGTGGTAGATGTTCGAACACGGCTCGAACGACGATCCCCTCTCTGAATTCGCTTATTTACGACTCGTGCGGTTTGTAATGCGACAATTAAACGAGAGTAATACTACTTGAACTGACCAGCCCAGTGGAACCGGAAATTCCGGTTCAGATCGACACCGCGACAGCACTTCTCGCCGCCCCACAACGATGCTCGACACACTTCGGGGCTCCGATTCTTGCGCCACAAACGGACTGTCGGTATCGGCGACGAGCGTGTATATTCGAAACCGTCGGCGTTGATGCACGGCACAATGTAGAAGTCGAGGGTGTTGAGATAATGGGTGATGATCGCATCCTTCTCGTACTCGGAAACCAGCTGCAATTGTGTTGTTGTTGGCGGTCGATTCGATCAGCGGGGAGTCTACCTGATTGATGAAGTACAACGCGGTGTGACTGCTGGCCCATTCGCGCGCGTGAATGTTGCCGTCGACCCAGACAGCTCGTTTGCTCGTCGATGATTTGGCGCCAATCTTAAATTGAACACATCACGCCGGACTGGATCACTGGGCAAGTATTATCTAATTAAGGGAAGCCCAATGAGAAAAAAATGTTTAATATATTTCCTTTTATGAAACCGCAATTCCAAAACTCAAAAAATGTATGTCATCTGTCCCATCGGTCTTGATAAGAAACTTTCTATGTGGCGCTTATCATTCGATTCCAAAAAAAACAACAACAACAATCGCTCACCCGCAATCCTTCAATCGGTCGTCCCTCGTGTGTGCTTCCGATTCGAATGATTTTCGCCAGCTTCGGATAATAGAACTCGATGGTCCTCATGAATTTGACCATTTCGGCGTACGAGGCGTAGTCGCCGAATGGATATTTCGCCTTTTTGAGTGTGCCGACTTTTGTGTAGTCCAAATCCGCTGAAACGTTGCTACATTGGATGGACTGTGATCACGCGATGGTGGTGAATTCTTATTAACGTTCGCTGTCCAGTATTGGGTCGTCGTGCAGGAACTTGAGGAAGCTCGATGGACGCTTCGTCGACGTCGTGCCCTCGTTGCGAACGATCAACTTCTCGACGTCGGACACGGCCGTCGAAACGCTCACGTTGGCGTACTCGAGAATTCGACGCAGAAATTGTTCGGGTTTGCCGCGCTTCACCATCACGTCGGCTTCGCGCGAACTCGCCGACGGCATCTTCCAGAAGTCGAGCTGAAACGTCGAGCTGAAACGACGGCGAATTCAATGGATACCTCGTATTTGTAATCATTGAGTTGAAGTTGTTGGAGGATGTGCAACGCCTGCTCGTCGTGCACTCGAATATTCAGCAACGCGAATTTCGGGTCTTGAAACGCGCCGGCCGCCGATAGTGCGCCGGCGACGACGACGCACACGAGAATGTGCGAGAAGCCCATTTACCACCGCCCAACTGTTGTGGGGGAGGCAGCAGTAATTCTGTAATAAGACGATGGATGCGGAAATGAGTGTAATGGATTGCGCAAAATCTCAAAGAGAGAGAGAGATAAAAATCAAGTTTCAATTTGGGAGATGCATTAAATGGCAAGAACCATTGGAACAAAAAAAACGACGAAGGCAACAGTATCATGCATTTTTTTCGGCAACAAATGCTTGAGACGAACGCTTAAGGGGTGGAGCTTCTGGTGACGCAAGCTTCATGGTTGGCAAGAAGCTGGGAGGTAGTGAAAGTGATTGGCATTTTTTTCGGGTGTAATGAACGGATTGGTGTGTTCGTAACATTTTGTTCATGAAATGCACTGCAACTGTGCTACAGACGAAAAATGGTGAAAAGGTGGATGAAAAATAGATTACTCGGAAAAGTAGACAAAAACTAGGAGAAAAATGGGCGAAAAATAGATTATCTCAAAAATTGGTGAAAAATATACGATAAATGGATGACAAATAGATGAAAAATTGGGAAAAAGTAGATAGAAGATAATGATAAGAAATAGACACTGAAAGGGTGAAAAATAGATGGAATTGTGCAGTTGATCGTAATGTGAATGCAGATGGCGCCATGTTAATCACAATTTTTTTAAAAATCAATTTTGGAAATGCCTAAAACTCTTCGCCATCGATTACCCAAAGAAGGTCTCAAATTGAGGAAAGGTAGGTTTGTTTCGTATATTAATATTGCTGATTGTTTATTATTTTAAGATCAAATTGCTGGTTCGCGATGCATGCCGACCAAACGTGTGGTCTTTGCTCGAAAAAACGCCCGGCTTTCACTTCGAAACAAATCGTCGAACAACGAAAATAATGAAAATGATGCATCAACAACATCCTTTCTCATGAGAGAACGATCTGAAAGCGAAATTGAAGAATTCTCCGAAGTAGTCGGGCCGTCATGCGTACCGAATTACCCCGCACATGATCGTGTATCGGAATTGGCCGATGAACTATTATTGTGCATGTATAGTTCGGTACTCGGAAAAGATACAGAAAATGGTAAAACTAATACTTTTCCAAAGTCAAAAAATGGTTGCAGGCTTTTTGAGACGACTGGCAACAATTAAAAACTTCATCCCGATTGAAAGAGCCCGCTCATTGTGGTATGATTTCAAGAAGAATATTATGAAGCGTTCAATATGCGAAAAGTGTGGATGTCGAAGAGAGAAAGAATGGTAAACACATATACCACATTTCAAACATTATTATGATCAATTTCAGTTGCGGCGATTTGGCGACTTTTCTTATGCTGCCTCTCACCGAACAAATTCGCGGGATTGTGGAGTCGTCCTTTGACGATATAATGGAAATTCGAAAGAAATTGAAGGAAAAAGCACCAAACTTCACACACAATCTTCAAGGAAGTTCTTTTTCCAGTTCATGGAAATACGAGGATGAAAATCATTGTGATCTGAGCATGGTGCTAAGTCTGGACGGCGTCAATCCCCGAGGACATTTCAGGTATTATTATTATTTGTTTATTAAAGATGTGCCATTTAGAGGAAGTTTGTGGCCAATTACTTTACAGTTAGTGGATTTGCCTACAATGAAGTCGCAACTTTCAATTAATCTTGTAGTCTGTGGAATGCTGCAATTAAAAGCTAATAATCCAACAACCCTTGTTTTGAATACCGTCACGGAAATTATAATGAATCGATTGGAAGGCGAAGGGTCAACATTTGTTGTAAACAATATTTTATTTTCTCCATACCTCGTGTCACTCGTTTCTGACCAACCAGTAAGGATTAAGTGATAAAAATTTCTATAGATTTCAGTTTAAGGCAAAAAGAAAAATTCTTGGAATGAGCGGTTTTTCAAGTCCACAAGCTTGTTTTTATTGCGACTCTCACGGAACTCTGCACAAACCACTACTTGGAAACGGTAATAATCAATAATAATTTTAAACCCTCTTATTCATCGCTTATATTGATTTAAGATCGACGATTGGACAGATTTGGGGATAAGACTCTAGAAGATAGTATTCGCGGTGTTAATGGATTTGGTCCTGTTGCGGCGAAAATGGTGCAATATGTCAAGCCGTACAATACAATCTTGGATGTTCTTCACACTTGTTCAGATGGAATTGTAATGTTGATACTAAAAGGTATCAAAATTAAGTGTGACCAAAAAAACGGCAGAAATTCCAGAGCTCATGCCTAAAAAGTTTAGATGTTCAAAGAAAAAATCTGCAATGTTCGAATGCGATGAAACCATGCTCGAAAACTTCGACAAACATCTACAATTGCCAATTGAAGGAGCCGATTTGACTCGATTGCTCACTAACGGAAGGCAAAAACTAGATGTATGTTTCAGATATAATGTTTTAGATTTTTCTTATAGTTATTCAGACTTCAAATTTTCTTGTTTGCTATCTGCAATTCAAGTTTACCCTCAGATGGACGATGTGCAATTATTGCTTTAGGTCTTATTTTCAATAATATGTGCACGAATGGAATGTTGAACCATAGGGATACATTTGACTTGTGTGACGTTGCAAAAAAATGTTTTTTGGATAACTCTCCAACGTACTTCACAATCAAACTGCATGTATGTCCAAAATATTTGAACAACGCAATCATGGTTTCATATATAGGAATTCATTTACCACTACGTTGACAACGTCAAGATGTTTGGAAACGTTGCGTGCTTATCTACTGCGTCATTTGAAGCAATGTACAAATTTCTAATTCGGGATTTTTGTACCCATATTACAAACAATTTTCCTGGAATTGTACTTCATAGGTATTAAAATATATTTAAAAAAACACGAATGAATATTACAGATATGTTATGCGAGTGAACCTCGAACGAGAGATTAAACGAAGATTGTCACAAAGCCCATCGGCGTTATTGAACAACTTTTGTAAATATGCGCCATCATTGCAAACTCCATTCTCTGGAGCTTCGAAACCTTTAGATATTATGGGACCAAACGGAGAAAACACGTTTGGAGCGTACCACTTGAATTTTGGAATCATTCGGTCAAAACATTGTGGAATCCACACAAAGAAAGATATATTGTTCACCAAAAATTCTTCAATGAGAGTCTGCAGGTGAGCAATGATCGTTCATATATTTTTATGACGTTATTTTTAGATTTATCTATGTTTTCAAAGAAGCCGAAAGATGGATGTGTTGCGTCCAGAAGTTTGAAGAAGAATACAACAGTTTCACGTGGTTAAGGAACTTGAAATATCGAAAATTGTATGAGATTGTGCGGTGAGAAAACTACTCTCTAAAACTGTATTCTATCGATTTTATTTTTCTGCAGGAAGTACTCATTCTTATGCAACGGGAAGTTCTCAACGGAGGAGGTTTTTATCGGTCTGGATGAAATTGTTGGTATAGGTTGTTTGATCGAAATATCGAATGGGTACATCGCAATGTGCGTTTCTACAGGATGCGGATATCATGCATAAAGGCTTACTATTTTTTTCACTCCTTGTCTCTTTAAATATATGTCAATAAATATATAAATCGTTTATCATGTCGTTGAATTCATCAATTTTCTCACGTTAAATTGGTTTGTAACCTATTTGAACAATACATTTTAAACAGTAATTTAAATCGGATAATGTAAATTTAGGAACAGCATGGCAGAACATGAACCAAGAGCTTCACCATTGTCGAAGAAGAAAAAATTTGAATACCTGCAGCCACGAGAACATTTCAACGGTACAACATTTTATTTACACTTGTTTTTTTCAAATATTCTCGACGATAAGCAATTAGTTTCACTCAGAAAAAAAAATTAACGACACTCGTGTATTTTTAAAGCTATTTTTGTACTTATAGAACAATTATATGAAGAAGAAGAAGAAGAAGAAGAAGGAAGTACGCTAATTGAGGATATGGAATCGACAAATAAGGCTGAGGACGTATTCTTAGTATGTTTTACTTTGATTTTACTCGTGGGTCACATGTTGAAATATTTCTGGAAGGGGTTAAAATATGCATAATTAAATAATTATGCCATACACAAAATTATGAACACGGACAACAACAGTAATCACAGACATAGGAAAAATAAAAACAAGCTTCAAAATTACATATATTGCATTATTTTCAGAGAAGAAGCCACCGGAGGTCACATCTTCCTCATAAATACTATGATGTAATTTTGTTTTATTCTTTTACTAATATTGTTCTGGCGTCTTTCTTACAGTATTACGAAACATCATCAAATGCATTGCATCGGAATAAGCCAACCACGGAGCGCGATCCTTTGGATATAGTTACCCATGTCCGCACAAACAAGGTAAATTCTTAATTTCACTTTTATTTGCCTCGTGTAACGCATCCTCTCCCGGCGCCATACGGGAGAGTACCGTTAACCTGTCAATGCCCTGACTAGCTGACCAGATATCCACAGTGTGATTAAATATGGTTTATTGTGAATAAATGTAGATGGGCCGGTGCCCGGAGGCATCCGGCCTGTAAAGCGGCAAGCGTACCAACTCCCAAAAAAGGGGCTGGGCCTCCCTCTCATAGTGAGATGGAGGCGCAGAGATGCAAAGGAAAACTCGCCTATGCATTAGTGAGAGTGTATAGGTGTCTGCGTCTACTATTTCGTCGCACTCGGAACACCTTGCCATACAACCAATATCTTTAATGTTTCATTCAATTTAGAAGTCGAATGAGCCGCTGGTTAAAGATGGATACCTCAACGCATCACAGCTTGCACGCCGTGTAATTTTCTCTGGTGGCGACATAGCGAAATCTTACGATGAAGTCAAGGTAACAATTAATGAACATAGATTTGCTGTTAAAGATAAATTCATTCCAGAGTTCAGTAAATAACTTTGTAAAAAACGCAACAAATGGAATTGACGTGGACGTTTTTGCAAGAAAAGCCGAAGCAGAGAAAGATGAGGGCGTGAAAGAAATGTGGATGAGTATGTGCGGGATGGCCATTATGGTATGAAAATTTTAATCTGCTCGGACAATGGACTATACAGTTTTTTTTCAGTTTAATAGACTAGACGAATATCGAACGCGCATCTGGAAAAAGGTATTGAATGCATAATGATATGTGCAGTGAACTTTTTCAGAATAAAGTTGATATCGATGAGACCATCTACCTATTCCAAGGCTGCTTATTGAATCACCAACACTGTAAATACACACTGCCGTCGGGTGTAGTTGTCGATATCGCAGAAATCTGCTCAAAATTTGTCGGAAGTATTGGTCAAAACCTTCTGACATCGGCATCGAAACTGGTGCGTCATGTATTTGCCGAGGTTTAAAGTTGTCTTAGATAGAGCTCATATATATTTTGCAGATTTACGATAAGGATAACTACCTGATAGCTTATACCTTGTTAGGAACGCCTGGTGCTCGTCTGGAATATCTCCACATGGATTCTGCTGTTAATCAAATGATATCTGGTAATTCTGATAATACATACATATGTGAACAATGTTAAAAAAAAATTAAGAAGCATTGTTCATTGGATTAGATATTGCTCCAACGACGGATCAAGCTACTTCAGTTGCTGTGCAAATCAAAGAGTCTGCGATTACTTTCATGTAGTTATGCGAATGTTTCACTAAATAACACCATGTACTTTTAGCGATCGCCTTCGTTCAAATTATAACGATCAGAAAGGATCTCACCACGCTAGCAAAGTTATGGCGCATAGTTTGGCTATCAAAATTGGAAAAGAGCACCAAATCAAAAAACTGAAGCCCGATGCCGCTGAATATTTCAATCAGCATTTTTCTATTTAATTGAAATTTGATATTTCTAATGTTAAACAATTTATTGTATTTTTCTTTTTTTTTTATTTTGTTGTTTTCCGTTTACTGTTGTTTTTTCATAAAAACCATCCAGAAGAAAAATAGACGCAAAATAGATGAATAAGAGACAAGAAGTAGACAAAAATGGGTTAAAAAAAGGATGAATCATGGATGAGAAATAGATAGAAAACTGATGAAAAATGCAAGAACGAGGGACAGAGACAAGACATAAAATGGATGAAAAATAGATGAATCCAAGATGCTAAATAGATAGAGAATGGCTGAGAAATAGATGAAGCGCTGATGAAAAATAGACTTGAAAATAGATCTGTTACAGATCCCTCTTTCATCCAAAATCTGCACTATTTTTCAACTATTTTTTAACTATTTTTCGTCTGTTAGCGCAGTTGCAGTGTGATCGGATTAGAAAGCGACTATTTTTGGCGGAATTTTACACTTGGCGAATGTATCTCAATTGTAATTGGGAAAATGAAAGATTACGCATTTTTTCGGCGCTTTCAAAATCAATGGGAGTTTTTTCAAAGAAAAAAAAAACACGGAAAATGTATGCAAATCCGGTTGCCGTAATTACTGCAACACCACCCATCGCACAACAATTTTCAAAAGGCATTCCGCTCAAATTTACGATGGGATCGCTTGTGATTCTAATCGACAGGCTTTTGGCATTCAAGGTCAAAAATTCTAAATGTCAGAAACTAAAAAAAAAACTGAAATATGCGAAATGCGCGCGCAACAAGCGTTGAAGGGCGACGATGAATAAAACGGTTTTTATCAAATCGAAAATCTCGATCGATATCGATGAAGCTGGACTATCATTTGTTAGCCGCCTTTAGACAAAAGTGATACGGAGAATTTTGGCGACGGATGCGACAATGAGAGAGAAAAACGTTAACGCGATCTTTGTTATGGTTATGTGTATATAAATAGCGGGTTTCCCCCATCGCTTTTTTTCTACGTGTTGCGCTTTGGAATCTTTTTTTAAGAAATAGAAAAGCGTAGACATGCGATATATATGTTCATGCCATTAATTCGATATGCCTTAATATGGGCATCATTCCCGAAAGATTTATGTTTAAAAAGAAACATGAAACTTGATGACGCAAAAATGCAAAAGTCCGTAAACACCGTGCACGCAAAATTGCACACATTATATAATTCTCAATATTTTCTTTCGAATAACGCATTTTTCTAGATTTTTGAGGAAAACTAATAAATTTAATAATAGTTATTGTGAAAAACAATAGATTGAAAAATTGGCGCGCAATTCAAAATATTTAATTGCCACTTGCGCGAATTTTTTTTATTAAAATAAATTTGGGTCTTAATGAAATTTTCCAAAATTGAAAAAATGATATCAATTTGAATTTTGATCGCAATTATTATTGAATCATCTGACGTAAAAAGCGGAGGCTTTTGAAAAAACCGGGTTTTTTTTGTGCGGTGGCAAAAATTCACGCGAAAAGCAAACCGGTTCGCCGAAATCGATGAGATCAGCCATTTCTTAAATTCGAAATTTTTGCAAGTAATCGAAAATCAATAGAGTAAATGTGTTTAGCGAAGAAGGCGAGCAAAGATCGGCCCAACTTGAAGCCGAGAGGAGCGTCGGCGACGAAGCCGTCGACAACCACGAAGTCCAATGTGAAGCCAAAAGTCGAAGTGGCGAAGCGCGACAAATTACATCAGAATCCGAATCCGAATAACGAAGTTCTGAACGAGAGGAAGGAGGATGAGGAGGAGAAGCCTTTTACGGAATATTCGCTGCTCGAGGAGGACCAGCTCAAATTGTGGGGCACCAATAACACCACCAAGACGATCGAAGCAAAACGCAAAAGTAGGCGATGAGGAAATGCCGCGAAGACGGTTCAAACTTCTCATTCTAGTGCAATGCTCGATGACAACGGTGGGCACGACGGAGAAGAAGCTGCGGCCGTTGCGTCCGAACAGCAAATCGATGCCGTCGAACGCGCACAATATGCGTTCGCGAGTCGATGAGAAGAAGACGCGGCACGCGAACCAGATGCGAAAAACCGACGGCGACGAGAACAACTCGATCGTCGGCGGTAATTGCGAGAGGACCGAATTTCTCGAGAACGCCCAATTGACGAAGCTGATGTCGAATGCCGATATCAGAGAAGTGTTGGGCGGCCAGATGCACGGCACCGACAACGAAGACAACAGTTGCCGGGTGCGTTTTTGGTTGTTTCCATTTTCAAATTGATCTGTGTACTCCACACGGACAATTCTGCATGTTGCGAGACCCCAATCGAGCTGAAATGCATTCGGTTTTGTTTTAGGATACGATCGATGAGATCGACAGCGAAATGCAGGACATTGTGTTCTCACCGCTCATCAATCCGGCTCCGAAGGAGATTCCCCGACAACTTTGTCTCGCACTGAAGACGACTGTTGAGACAACCGGCGACGAACGCGAGGCATTTGCGCTGGTTTGATAGCTTCCAGATTCTTTTTTTTTTTGCATTTTATTTGACGACAATTCACACACATTGATTTTAGAGACGCGGCAGACGGAAATCGGAAAATAAGATCGCTTTGGGGACACCAAGACACAGCGGCGAGAAAGCGTAAATCTGCCAATTTGTTTCTAATAGCTATTTCTTATAAATTGTTATAATCTGCTTGAAAGTGTATGTTATGCTGAAAAAAAATGCAAAAGAATTCTGACCACTGAGCGGATCGAACGCCCAACCTTTCGATCTGGAGTCGAACGCGCTACCATTGCGCCAAGCAGTCATGCCAGGGAGGGGGTAGAACGGATGATAAGTGTGTAGCAGAGGGCAGCCAACGAGGCGACTCGGCACAGACACAAAAAAAAGGTGGACGATGAAAGATAGGAAAAAGAAATTCCGGCCGCGTGAAATACGGCGAAAAACTTGACGCAATTCTTGTGCCATTTCATTCGGCGTTTGCCATCGCAATTGACTCGTTCGTTTACCAAAAAATATTAAACACAATTTTCAACTCATCATGACCGTCGCTGGTGCGAATCCGAACGATATTCTCGTGCCGCTGAAAGGTCGGAAGTTTCGACTCGGCGTGAATGAGTACAAGCTGGTCGATGCGATCGCCACCGGACCGTTCTCATCGGTGTTTCTCGTCGAGCGCGATGGACACGCGTACGCAATGAAGGTGGAATCGCAGAATGGATGCCTAAGGCCTGTATTGAAGGTAGAACACTAGCAAGTTTGGTTTATTTGATTTAAATCCGGATTCACAGCTCGACCACGCCGTGCTGGTCCGTCTCGGCGGTCAAAAGGGATTCCCGAAGCTTTTGGATTCCGGTCGAACCGACGACTTCAAATATGTGGTCATGCAATTGGTCGGTCCCGATCTCACGATGCTTCTCGAGTTTATGCCCGACTATCGGTTCACACCGTCGACGATCTACAAAATTGCGCTGCAGACGTTGGAGCGCCTCAAGACCCTTCATGACGCCGGATGGCTGAATCGCGATGTGAAGGCCCAAAATTTTGCGGTCGGCCTCGGCGAAGACAGCTCGACCGTCTACATGCTTGATTTCGGCTTGACGCGCCGATTTGTGTAGGGCGCTATTTGGGTGTCGCAAAAGAAATGCACGTTTGAAAAAAAAATTGGAAAAAATTCGGCAACTACCACAGATTTATTAGAATTTTTGACATTTTCTCATATGCGCCTTTAACCGTAACAATTTTGTTTCGTGATTTTAATTATTTTAATTAAAGAGTTTTTCTGGTACTGTTGAAGCATGTAAGGCTTCAAATAACGTGGCCGTGGCCGAGTTTTTCAAACCCGCATTTCTTTTTCACCAAAAAAAAAGAGTAGCACTAAAAAATTGTGCAATTTTCTTCAGCGATCGCGACGGTCGTCGATTTTTGCTGCGCGGCTGGGGACCATCGGTCGGCACGTTTCCCTACGCGCCGCTCTCGTCGCTCGGATTTCATGATCAAACGCCGGCCGACGATATTGAAGGTTGGCTCTACATGGTGGTCCATATGCTCAAAGGACTACCGTGGCACAATCGCGACCGCCAATTGAATCTCGCGAAAGTGCGCGAATGGAAAATGTATTGTCGGCGAGCCGGCGGACGCCGACAATTGTTCAAAGGCATCCCGCGCGGGTGGGCCGACATTTTTGATGTGATCGTCAAAACCGCGTAAGCCCGACATTCCTTCCGTGAGGCTACGGCCCGATTCACGTTGCAGTGTTCACGAGCGACCCGACTACAACCGAATCTCGAATATGATAGTGGCGATTGCGCACAACGAGCAAATCAATTTGACCGAGCCGTTCGACTGGCAGACGAATCCGGTGCTTCGCTCGTTGGTGCGACTCGGACCATTGAGTTGCGACGAGCTCACGTGCTCGATGGCCGTCTCGCCGAAAATGATGATGTCCGCTAGGAAAGTTTCGCCGACTTGAATGTTTCCTTCTAACAACTAACATAAAACAAATTGAAATTTAATGATTAATATGCTTGTGGCAAAGAATACTATGTATAATATGCGTGAGGAATTATTTGCAGTGGACCGGCCGCTGCTGAATCGACGACTTGTAGGGTCGAGACTGTTGGATTTGGTCCTGGATGGCGTTTTGTAGCATCTCCAATGAGATGAAGCTGTGTGGTAGACTACAGATGAAGTGTTGAAGGTTTGGAGTTGTGTAGTGGAATTCTTCCATATGCGCGAGAATGAGCTTTTGCACTTCTTCCTCGGCGACTTGCTGAACGGCACTACCAAACACTATTGTTAGCTCGCTGAGATTCCGACGATTTCCGTAAGGCATTGCAATTTGGAATGCTCGCTGTAGTCCGATACTCACATTTCCTTTCGATTCAATGTTGAGCGTGACTTTGGAGCACTTGCGTTCTGGAAAAATGGCGGAAATTAAAAAAGGCAAAAAACTGCTCCCGGTGAGGCTCGAACTCACGACCTTCAGATTATGAGACTGACGCGCTGCCGACTGCGCTACGGAAGCGACGAGAGCGGCGCGTTTAACTGCGTTGAAAACGCCGCGTCAGCTCGTCTCTGCCTGTCTAGCTCCCTCTCAACTTACTTGCAAGTACCGCGTGAAACATGTTATAAGCGAGCGCATGCGTTTGCAGCTGATCGACTTCGGGTGCGGTGTGAGTGTGCTCATAGTCGAGAACCAAAGTGTCGTCGTCGATTTCAGCATTGACCGTGTGCCCAGAGGAAGTAGAAGCTTCCAAGTGGACGAGGGTCGAAGAATGGCAAGCGACAAGGCTTGTAATATTCTGAAAATTATCACTACATATCGCAATTGATTAATGCATGACTGTTAGTATACCTTATGAAGGCGTTGAACTCTTTCACTAGCGCGACTTGATCCGTCTCGAATTTTCAGCCTCATCGATTTTAGTCGAATGTCCGCGGTTCCAAAAGCATGAAACACACGAGACGAGGAGGCATCTTTGGCGACGTCAATCTCGAGATGTTTGATATTTCTCGACAGCCGCACAGCGTCCCGCCAGTCATCGTTTGAAGTCGTCGTGCGACACACCGAGGCGAGCATGCTCGACTTTCGCGTGAACTCGAAAATGGCGGTGTCTACAAAATGAAAACAATTGATGATGGGATTCGTTGGCCGCGAATATTTTACCATCGCCGTTCAGTGTGACTTTTAGACGATGCATGTCGGGGAACACGGTTTTGTCAACAACGAGTCCCAAATAGAATGGATCGGCAAGACGGAGATTGAAGAGATCGCTGATGGATAGCGTTTGGCAAACATGGCGAACAATTTCGGCTGGCATCATGCCGAGACGGCCAAGCGGCGCCGGCGGCGACGACATGCTGCAATGAAAAAAAATTGAAAGTGCATGATAAGAAGGGAGGTCGAAGCAACACAAAAAAACGAGGCATGGTGGGAAATAATGAATGAAGACCAAATGACAATTGCCTAGCACTTGGAGGCGGGCGGGGCGGGGCGGCCGACGACGACGACGATGAGAGCACACCGAGGCGGAGCGACGCGGTAATGCCGACGATTGTCTTGGACATCGGCTGGGCATTCCCCGATGCGCTGCGCGAGATTTGTGACGTCAGCCGAGACAGCTGCACTGTTTGACGATGGTTCAACTTGGGTCAAATCGCATATACCATTCTTAGTTGTATGCATAGTGTGTTGACATTTGGGTGAGGCGAATCAACAGTTTAGTGAAATACAGATATTGACAAGGCATTTTTTCGCGTTTTTCCCAAAAAAATACAACTCAGGTTTACTTTTTCAAACCAACTATTAAAAATGAATTCCAAAGAAATCATTTTTCATTTCATTATAGTAAAAAAAATTGCGAATCGAAGCTTTGTTTATTCAATTCACCGCATTTTCCGAAACATCAACGACACTACAAATAGTTTATCGCGCGTTTCAACGCGATTCGATCGTCTCGTTTCAACGACAATCGATGGCCGCCATATTGGTGCAATTCGGGTGCATTCCGACGACTGATAAAACAGGTGTTGTTTTTGGCGCGCAGTTGTCATGGACAACGCGCGACAATTCGGAGCCATTCATTTACTATACGATCGTCATGTGCCCCGACACAATTCGGCACGTTAGCAAATAAACAATTGAATGAATTATTATTATTTTTTTTGTGATCGTGCATGATTGTGCGAGTGCCGCTACGAATTGAAATAGTATCATTTCCAGAGATGTGAGAGAACTCGCCAAATTTGCTGATAAGTGTTTTTCTTTTCATTGAGGAAAAAGGAAACATGGTGTAATAAGTCATCGGTCGATTATTCGCATTCATCGCGTCTTCGCACATTCCAACTCAATGGTAGTAGTGACAAACCACATAATATTCCTAAACTTTATTATTAAACAACACATTTTATACAATGGGTCTTTATCGAACTTTTTTGTTGTTAAGACGAAATAAATTGAAAACAGTAATAAACAATTTTCTAGGGGCTCAATAATGGGCTTCGAGCGCAAAATTGAGAGGGGAATAAAAAGAAAAAACATGTGTACAATCGAGTACAGAACGCGTAGATGTTTCATGGGATGGGAAAGGATTGGGAGCACATTATTAATTAAATTTATTATTAAATGGTCTTCTATAATGGATAGGGTCTACACATTCTACAATATTTTTTCTTTGGCCTCGGTCGGATGGAAATCGGTGAGAGAAAATTGCGTAAAATGGAAAGAGTTTAATTGGCGAATTGGAAAATAATAAGAGAAATTTTTGGGTTTGAAGATGATTTGGGGAGCACAGGGATCTTTCGAATTTAGAAGTCGGTAGCGCGCGCGTGCGATGGTGATCGCATGACGGCGGCCGAGGCAGATGTTTGGAGTCCTGGAGCGACCGACGCCGAGCTGCGAGACTTGGCGCGAAGTTTCGACAACGAGTTCTCCGCCTGGTCAGCTCTCTCTTCGGCATCCTCGAGTTGGTGAGTGAGTTGCTTGTACTTCTGGAGGTTCAAGTTGGCGAGCTCTTCCTGGAAAAAAAGCAACAAGAATCATGAAACGAGGCGAAACACTTGGCAACTTACAGCCTCTTCGACCTGCTTCTTCTGAGTCTTCAACTTCTGCTGGAGTTTGTCGATCAAGTCCTGGAGACGGTCGAAGTTCTTCTTATCCTCGTCGACCTGGAATTGCAATTCGCGGACGCGTCTGTCGGCTTTTCCGAGATTCTTGTTGGCTTCCTGGAATCGTCTCTGCTCTCCGTCCAACTCGCTTTCGAGCTCTCTGACGCGCTGCTCCAACTTGGCAATAACCTTCTTTCCACCCTTCAACGCGGCGGCTTCGGCCTCGTCGAGTCGGACCTGGATCTCCTTGAGCTGCTGTTCGAGTCCCTTGCGGAGACGATCAACGTGCTGCGAGTGCTCTTGCTCTTGTCTGAGCTCTTCAGCGAGACGGGTCGCATCGGCGATAGCCTTCTTCGATCTCTCTTCAGCGGCCTTGTATTCGTTGAGGGTCTCGTCAAGGTCGGCGTGAATGGCTTGGATTTCTCCCTCGAGCTTTCTCTTGGCGGCAGACAAGCTGCTGACTTGAGCGTTGGCTTCGTTGGCTTGATCGCGGGAATCGGCGGCTTCGTATTCGGCTTGCTTGCGGGCTCTCTCGGCGGCCTAAAATAAACAAAATAGACTGTCTCAAATTTAAGCAAAAATCGAATGCTCACCTCGTTGGCAACCAAGAGCTCCTCCTTCTCGGACTGAAGAAGAGTGGCTCTCTTCTCGGCGTTGAAGAATTGCTCGCGGATGTCGGCGGCGTTGCGCTGCTCCTCCTCGACCTGCAATTGCAATTCGCGCACTTGCTCCTGGTACTTCTTCAAGTTCTTCTGCGCGTCGGCGTTGGCTTTGTTGGCGTGGTCCAAAGCGATCTCGAGTTCGTTGATGTCAGCCTCGAGCTTCTTCTTGACGCGGAGCAATTCGGCCTTTCCTTTCGCCTCGGTTTCCAACGAAGCTTGCATGCTCTCGAGTGCGCGCGCGTGGTTCTTGCGGGTGTTCTCGAACTCTTCCTCCTTCTCTTGAATGCGCTTCTCGATCTCGGAGCGGATCTGCGAGACTTCGACTTGGGCGCGGAGGACCTTGCTCTCTTCGGCTTCAAGCGCAGCTTCGGCCTCATCGAGAGCGTGTTGGAGCTCTTCCTTCTCGATTTCGAGTCTGCGGATGATCTTCTGCATCTCGTGCACCGAGCGGCCTCCCTCTCCAAGTTGGTCGGTCAAGTCCTTGATCTCTTGTGACAAGCTCTTGTTCTCTCTGCGAAGTCCTTCAACGACCTCGGCGAGCTCTTCTTGAGCGTTCTTGGCCTTGAACAAATCGGTCGACGTGTTGCGGAGATCTCTCTGGGCGGCGTCGAGTTCGGCCGACAAATCGTCGGTCTTCTTTCTCCATTCGTCGATGATCTTGTCGAAGCCCTTCTGCTTCTTCTCAAGAGCGGCGGCGACGCCGTTGGCGCGCTCAACATCAACCTGAGCGTCGTCCAAGTCTCCGACAAGACGCGACTTGGTCTTCTCCAACGAGACAATCTTGGAGTTGGCGGCATCGAGAGCCTCCTGGAGCTCGTTGATCTTGGCGGCTTGCCGTCTCTTGGCGTCCTCGAGCTCGTCGGCCTTGATGAGTCCTTCTCCCTCGAATCGAGCCTTCCATTGCTGGATCTCGGCGTTGGCCTTCGACAATTGTCTCAAGATCTCGTTCTTGCCTTCGATTTCCTCCTCGAGCGACTCCTGGAGCTGCTCAGCCTCGTGTTGGTAGTTCTTGGCCTGAGCGGCGACGGTCTGTCGTTCGCGGGCTTCCTCGTCGGCGGTTCTGCGAGCCTCCTCGAGTTGTGAAGTGAGTTGAGCCTTCAGTCTGGTGAGCTGGTTGACCTGCGATTCAGCGTCTTCAAGTTGTCTGACGAGATCTCCGTTCTCAGAGTGAAGACGTCCCTTAAGGGATGTGAAGTCTTGCAATTGGCGAGCCTGCTCATCAGCCTTCGATTGAAGCTCGGTGAGCTGGAGCTCGAATTGCTTGGCGAGCTTCTCGTTGTTCATCTTCGCTGATGTCTCTTGGTCAAGTTGAGCGGCAAGATCCTCGGCATCTCTGACGGCCTGAGCCTTATCCTTCTCAACCTTAGCCTTGGCTTTCTGAAGCTGGTCGAGCTGATCGGTGAGTTCAGCAACGGCATCGGTATGCTTCTTGCGAAGTCCGGCGAGTTGGTTCTCATGGTTCATGTTGGCCTCCTCAAGATCTCTGCGGAGCTTCGCGAGTTCAGCTTCACGCTTCTTGTTGACCTCGACCTGAGCGGCAGTGGCTCCACCTTGTTCATCGAGCTTCTCGCCAAGCTCTTCCAATTCTCTTTGAAGGTCCGACTTGGCGCGGTCAGCCTTTGAGCGAGATTGACGCTCGTTCTCGAGCTCCTCCTCAAGCTCGGAAATGCGGCTCTGTCCATCCTTGATCTGTCGTTGAAGTTTGCTGACAAGCGCTTGTTCGTCCTCGAGACGAGACGAGACCGAGTGCAATTCGGTTTCCTTCTTCTTCAAGTTGTTCTCAAGGTCGTGGCGTTGACGGCTTCCCTCGTCGATGTTCTCCTGGGCGATCTTGAGCTCACCCTCAACCTTTCTCTTCTGCTTGTCGAGATCGGCGCGGGCTCTCTTCTCGCGCTCAAGGGAATCCTCGAGATCGTCAAGGGTCTGCTCAAGCTTCGACTTGATCTTGTTGGCGTGGTTGCCCTTATCCTCTTCGGCTTGGAGATCCTCCATGAGCTTGCGGTTGATTTCCTCTTGATGCTTCTTCTCCTTGTTGAGTTTGGCAATAGCCTCATCTTGTTGTTGCATTTCGTCTTGGAGGGATCTGATCTGGTGATCCTTGGACTGCTTCTCAGATTCGGCCTTGCGAAGGCTCATCTCGAGATCCTGGATCTGCTTCTTCAAGGCTTCAACTTCGGCCTCAACCTTCTTTTTGGCTCTCTGGACATCAGCGGTACGATCTTCATTGTCAGCCAACTGATCATTGAGCTCAGCAAGCTGTTTGTCAGCATCCTTCTTTTGGGCTTCCAACTTGGCGAGTCTCTCCTCAGCATCGGACAATTGTCCCTTGGTTGATTCCAAGTTGGTGAAGAGTTGAGTCTTCTCCTCGACAAGCTTGGCCGAAGATTCTTCGAGTTCCTTGCGGAGCTTCTCCTCCTTGGCCAAGTCTTCTTCGAGCTGCTTGACCTTGTTGTTGATCTTCTCGAGCTCTTCGGCTTCCTTTCCGGCCTTGAGCATTGGCTTGACCTTTCCGTAGAGTTTGAACCACTCCCATGTGCGGAGGGTGCACCACGAGCGCACGTTGCGCTGGATGATGAGAAGTCCGGCGCGTTGTTCCATGCGACGCTTGCGGTCCTTGAGACCCAAATGCCATCTGATTTGAGCCTGGAATCCGGTGAGAATGGTCGCGAGCTTCTCGTCACGAATGTCTTCAAGATGGGCAAGAACTCCGGCCTTGAAGAAGACCTTGGTGAGACCGATACGGAACATTTCCTCCGACAAGGCTCCTTCGTTGACAAGCTTGCTCATGATGGCCTCAGCGCACTTCTTCTTGTCATCGTCGGACTTGGCTTCCTTGGCGGCAAGGATGGCGTAACGCTGGACGAAGTCAGGGTGGAGGGTTCTGTTGGGGAATCCTTTACGGCAAATACGGATACCCTCAAGCACACCGTTACAGGTGAGCTGATTGAGAACCAAAGCGGCGTCGATCATTCCAGACTGCTTCTTCTCGTTAGGGATGATGCAACGGATGAAATGTGGATGGGTCCTGTGCAACATGTTCATCAAGTTGTTCAACGACTCTCTGTAGAGCATAGAGACGGTCATGAAGGATCCAGATTTTCCCTTCTTCTTACCGCCACCTCCTTCTGCAACACCAATTCAATTATTATATCAAGAGACTGTCGAATCAAAACTGACCCTTGGCCTTGACGGCAGCTTCTTCCTGGGTGGTGTAATCTTGCCAGACTTCGACAAGAAGGTCGTTTCCCTTGGAAGCCTTCATGACAGTGACGACGGTGTCGTTGAGAGGGTCCTTGTTCTTCTCGAGCCAATTCAACACGTTGTAACGCACAGTTCCAGCGTAGTGACGCATCGCGAAGTGCGCTTCTCCCTGCTTTCCCTTTGGTGGTTTCGGCTTCTCGAAGTTCGGGTGTTTGCCCAAATGTTGATCGAGAAGCTTCTGGGCCAAAGTCAAATCAGTAGCCTTTGGCACAATGCATTCTTCATCGAGCATGGAGATGATACCGAGTGGCTGCAAAATGAATGCCGATGATGATATGATGATGAACAGGGGGTTACCTTCTCAATAAGCTCGATACAAGCTTGCAAGTCGAGACCGAAATCGATGAAGGTCCATTGGATTCCCTCGCGAGCGTATTCTTCCTGTTCGAGGACGAACATGTGATGGTTGAAGAATTGTTGGAGTTTCTCATTGACGAAGTTAATCCAGAGCTGCTCGAACGAGTTGAACTAAACCAAATTGATTATAGTTGGCACAGTTTTGTAGAATGATCAATCTTACATCGAAAATTTCGAAACCGGCGATATCGAGCACACCAATGAAGAAGTCACGGCTGAGTCCTTTCTGATCAAGAGTGAGGTTACACTTCTTGACGAGCCAATTGAAGACTCTCGAATAGAGACCTTTGGCCATGGCTCCGACAGCCCAGATGACCTGATCGCAGTTCTGTCCCTTCGAGACCCATTCGGTTCCGACCTTGACACGTGGCTTCGTCAAAGCCTTCAAGAAGTCCTCTCCGGAGATTCCGTACATGTTGGAAGCCTTCTCGGCCTCGTCAGTGCCGTCCGGCTCGGCCTGCTCTTCTCTTGGACGCTGCTTGAACTTCATGTTACCCATGTGCATAAGGGCGGACATCAAGCGGTAGCAGTCCATCTTTTCTTGGGCGGAGAAGTTGAGGATGTCGAAAGCCTCGTCGGTGAGTTGGAATTCTTCGGTATCATTGATACCTAAAATCAAATAATCTTAAACTTGTTGATTGCACAATCTTGTGATACCATCGATTGTCAATTCGGCCTGAGCGACGAACCAGTAGTCCTTGAGTGGCAAGTCGAGCAAAAGTTCCTTCTTGAGCTCGGGCTTGTAGTCGGAGTAGATTTGGTAGAAGATATGGTAGCAACGCTCTCCTGGAGCTTGACGGATGACACGAGACTTTTCGAGAAGATCTAAAACAATTCAAATGGGTTCGGCTATCGGCTGCCTAGTGTCCCTACAATGTTCAATATCGCAAGAAGCGACTCGTCCGGCCTTCGAGAAGTGAATACGGATGAATTTTCCGAAACGCGACGAGTTGTTGTTACGCACAGTCTTGGCGTTACCGAACGCTTCGAGGACTGGATTGGTTTGGACAATCTGGTCCTCAAGGGTGACCTTCTTGGCCGATGGGTCGGCCGGTGCACCACCGGCGGCTTCTTGTTGCGACGCTCCGACGGACGCGAAATAGGCAATAACCTTTTTGGTGTTCTCAGTCTTTCCGGCTCCCGATTCACCGGTGATGAGCATAGACTGATTCTCGTGATCTTGGAGCATGTTGCGGTACGCCTCATCGGAAACGGCGAACAAATGCGGCGGCATTTCGGTACGTCGCTTGCCCATGAACATACGAGCAACCGAGTCGGTGTAGATTGGAAGGCGTTTGTATGGATTGATCACAACGCAGAAGAGTCCAGAGTAGGTCTGAAACCAAAATTTTCCATATTCAGCTCATTTCCATTTATGTCAATCCTCCCTAATTCATACATTCTTCTCAATTCTCGAAATTTTATTGCCGCACGATACACCATCTCTATATGTTTGTATGTCGTGCTCAATACCCAGCGCCTCGCGATTGCCACAATTTCCGTGCGTTGTAATATTAGAAAAATGGCGAGATCGCTTTACTACTCCCACTCGCCGATGCCGAATCGCATCGTCGGCATCGGGAGAACGAGTTGTGGTGGGATAGAGAGAGAGAGGGAGGGAGGGATAGAATTGAGGAAATGACAACACATAGAGAGGGAGAGAATCGTGAAGTCAGGTGTTTTCCCCCACCAAAAGAGCAAAAAGCTCGAAATGCAATTCTTACGTAGATGAGCATCGCAGCATAACGAGCACGGAGATTGTGAAGAACGGAAGCATCGTTAAGGAATGTCAAGTTGGACATGTCTTCGGTCTTCTCGAACTTTGGAGGGTTCATCTCCTGGACGAGCTCCTTTTTGAGGGTTTGCTGAAAAAAAAATGATGAGCTGTAATTAAGTTGCGTAAATAATTTAGTAAATTTTTCAATTTTAAAGTCATTGAAAAAAAAACTTTGAATTTATACGCTTAACAATTTTTTTTAATCTAGCTACTATGAAAATTTCAGATTTGAAAAAAATCAATAATTAGTATTCCTAAAGGAAAATATTTTCGATTATTGTAAATGTTTTACCTCAGTTCCGCGGACGGTGACAACGGTGACTTGGTCGCCCTTGGTGGCAGTGATCTCAGCAGCCAAATATCCTTCCTCGGCATCTGGAATCCAGCAATTCTTCTTCGAATCATATGGCTTCGATTGATCCTGAAAAAATCGGAAAAAATTAATAATACAAATATTCAATAATAGTAGTAATAATAATAGCAATGATTATTAATTTTAATAATAATATGAAAAGAAAATAAATGCGAATAACTGGACATACTTCGAGCATTTGCTCTCTCGAGCGACGAAGATATTGCCATCCTGGATCGTTCTCGTAGTCCATGTTTTTCGCTGGTCCTCAGAATTGAATGTGTGCTCCCAATCGAGGTTCTAGCGACGGTGTGAAGAGCATCGGCGGCGTGGCTCAGCGGCGGCGGGATCCCGCCAGCCACGCCCACCGTCGAGCTTCTCTGCGTCGCCAACGGCAACGACATTCACGGAGCTTGTCGAGGTGTAAAGGAGCAACAGCAGCATCAGCGGCGGCACTAGCACAAACTCTTGGAATACTCGCCGAAATTGCAGCTCGATCTGTGTGAAATAGCACGCCTACGCCGGATGCATGGGAACCACGATAACACCCAAAAACCATCAAATAAGAGTTGAGAGATCTCGCGAAACATGTTGTCTCGCAATAAAATATAGAAATAGATTTTTAGAAACAAATTTTTATATTCTAAACCAACTAGGCAGATTGTTTTTCCTGCGATCAACTGAATTACAAAAACTTAATTTATTTATTCTCATGATTATTAAAATATTAATAATATCGCATAATTACAACAGCCATTTCCAAACGTGTTTTCCCCCGATGAGGCATCTTCTCATTCTTTTTGAATAATTGTCGAGATTATCATTCTGCTTCAAGCATCCTTTAAACGTTCACAAATCTCGCGTCAAGTAGTACATGATGACGAGAATCTCATGAAGGTGTAACCCGATAACCTCATCCTCTCGTCGTCCTCCATTTTTTCCTCCCCACCTCGTCGCTTCATTCCATTCGACTGCCGAGAGCATCACCATCATCATCATCATCAGTCGACGAAGATAAGAGAAGAGAGAAGTGGCTCGGGCGAACAAAAAAAACACACACACACACATACACACACAATCATTTTTAGTTTCTCGGGCGTTTACGCTGTAACTACATACATACAAAACGCCTGCCGAGAGATTTCGAGAAATGAGAACAACTGCTGCCAACGGTAACACACGGGACCCTCTCGACCAACGGCACACTCTATCCGCGCTCGGCGCTCCGCGTTGGTGGTGGGAGGCGAAAAATGTGTCGAAAACTGTGGTTCCGGGGGGGGGGACGAGAAGATAAGCGACATTTTGTAGACTCAAAGTAGCAGTATCAAAAAAAAAGAAGAAGAAAATTCGCCAAGTTATTGATTGATCACCATGAGATGCCATCATCTCGTTCAATATCTTCCGTGTTTTCGTCAGCCTCTGTTCGAATTTGGGCCAAACATTATTGGCAACTCAACTGGAACCTAATTATCACAAAATCAATCGTAGACGCCGAAACGAAGCACATCAACTTCCAACGTCCAAGAATAAGGATCGAATTAATGACGGCTAGAAGCTCGGAAATTCCAACTCGACTTTTCATTTCACTTTCCACATGTTTCCGATTTAATTACTCATTCAATTGCCGATTTTTCGTGGAAAACTTTTTCCATGGAAAAAAATGCCCACCATATCCCTTGCATCGCCTCTGCTTCATTCTCTTGAACACACACACACACATAGACGCACAAATATGTGGTACAGCGAAAGAAGAAGAAGAAGCAGAAGATGAAAAGAGATTGGGATGATGAAGGAGATGAGACTGGCATGCCAATTGGGAAAAGTGTAACAATCACTTCTCGTCGCGAGGAAAACCGATCAGCTAGCAATCCAAAACATACAAAATATGCCTGATGCACACAAACTCAACTGCGACGACCGTGGGGGACCTACTACATCATTCGTAATTTTTGATTCAACTTTCATTCAAATGTTCAACTCAGTTGACACCTACGGCTTGGAGGAGCCACCGTTAGGAACTTAGGCGTTTCTCGCTCGCAGGGTTCGTTTGCGCGCCTAAATTGCCTGTTGATTTCTCGTTCGTCTTCATATCATTGATAAGATTCTGCAAATAGAACGATGATATAAGGATTCCCGAAAAAGGTGAATCAACCTCGAGCCCTTTCAGCTGATCAATAAAATCTTTGGAAATTCTCGAAATGCGGTCCTCAATTAATTCGGCGACTCCTTCCGAATCCCCTTGTCGCTTCCGCAATACCAGCTTGAAATAATTCGTTTTGTGTTTAGAAAAAAAAAACGAAGAAAAACGCCAAGTTTAAAACCTCTTTGCGATATGCCGCCGAATCATTTTTGCATTGTTGCAATTTGTCTTTTAATTCCGCAGAAATTTTTCTGAAACATTCCTCAAATCTATTTCGGATACCATTGGCAAATTCTTTAGTGTCTTTTTTTAGAAATCTGATGGGAAAAAAAATCGAACGCGTGATACTCTTATGATTCCCGTTTGAAAAAGCTATTTTTAAATTTTTTGGTAAAAAAAACCCCAAATTGAAAACCAACTTTTCAGTGGGCGCTTCTTTTTTCAGTCTCAAAATCTCTCGATACGACGTATTTTTGTCCATTTGACCTGGAACAACTATTTTAAAACAAACATCCTCCCTTACGGCACAGCTGCTCTTCCCACCACCCAACGTTCGGCACACGAGCATTTCAAAGAAACCAATGTCGTAAAATAACGCTGTTCAACATTATAATTTACGATAACTCAACAAATTTTTATTCACAAACACAAAATAGTGGATTTAGTCAATTTAAACAAACCTTTGGTTCGAGATCTTTCTTCAAATTTACCAAGGGGTGGGACCCTTAACGAGATAAAAAATATTTAAATATTAACAGATTGTATGTGTGTGTGGAAAGAACCAACATTGATACAAGGTGAGCAATATTAAGTTAACAACGCCTCAATGGCGCTGTAAATTACAGAATATTTTCATAAAATTTTATCACAAGTTCTACAAGAATGGCCTTCATGCCGACAATTCCTTGAGCTTCTCAATTTCTTCAGCTTTAATCATGTTCGAAACTTGCCCAAACTTTGACGACTGATACTTTTGCTGCAAAATAGGAATAATTCGATTAAAATTGACGAAATGATTAATAAAATACCTTAACCGCAACCATTTTCGTCTGCGAAAATTGCTTCAGCGCTATCGATGAAACTAGCTTCACGCAATACTCCAGTTCATCGTGTGTTGTTTGGAATCCCTTACTGCAAAATATAATATAACTCCTGATAAATTGAGTTGAAATTACATTATTTCGCGAGTGACTTGTTCATCAATTTCCTTGCTGAAGCCACACAACTTCAAAGAAATAACCGTCGATGCCATTGCAATTCTAGACGGAGTGATAGTGACAATACTCGAATCCAACAGAGCCAGTTCCGCAAAGTATTTCGACATATTGTACGCTAAATAATAGCTGCTTTGATCGACATTGAGCGACTCGTTTTCAGTTATAAGACGAGAAATGAAGCGATTGAACGACAATGAGTACGGCGCTGAGAGATCGAAGCTATAAAAAATGAATTAGTCGTCAAAAACCAATTCGATCTCTTACTTCAAAGTGTTCAAAATCATTTGCTCCATTTGAAGAATTTGCTTCTTCGAAACCGAGTTTTCCGTAATGAACTCGTAATCGGAAATATCCGGCGTGAAGACCTCCTCGAACTTGGCGGCGATGAACATGGCGGAGACTCCAAGTAGTTGCAGATTCTCCTTGCCTACAATTTTGTGAGCGAGCATTTGATCGAGAATGAACACGGTGAGATGAAGTGTCTCAGGAACGAGCCGGAATCGCAAATGGACCTGCACGAGCCAATCGACAAGCATTCGGCGCATCTTGTTCGTTGGCTCGCCACCGACTAGATAATCCTCGGTGAGCTTGAATTTTTGCTCGTGATGCAATAAATATGCGCAAATGTCCTTGAAATACTCGAGGCATTTGACTTCTTTGTCGGTGACGGCTCGCGGAATTTCCTTAACTACTTCTCCGGCCGATTGTTTTGAGATCAGTGTTGGCTCGGCGGCATTTTCTTTCATCAATGTTGTTCCAAATGTTCGCAATGATGGCTGCAAAAAAATCCATTTGAATTTTTCAAAAACTAAATTATTAGTATCACTTTAGCGTAATCGGCATTCTTCGCAACATCTTGCTTCCTATTCACAGTTTGATTCATACGCGAGCGGATCATTTTAGTGAGTTAGTGATCTGAAACAATCGATACCTCAAGAAAAACCAAAAAATGAAGCATACGATCAGTAGACAATGCAAAACTGGTTATGAATAAAAAAGGTAATTAAGACAATGACGTGATTTCAATATTATTTATCTATTTATTTTTATCTACGTAAAAAGTGAGGCTAATGAGAAATTAATAACAGAGGGCGGCTGCCAATGTCACACTTATTTAAAATTTTACGCATTCGAGCGTTGTCTAGCAGAGCGTGTTTGCAGCAGAAATGTACACAACTAACGCCATAATGCAGGTGGTTTTAATGATAATTGGTCCCCATTAAAATCAAAAAATCGTTAGAATAAATTAGAATTGAGAAAATAAAAGTATTAAAGTTTAATAATTAAGCAATTCATTAAGTCAAGTTATATTTGCGATGAAGTTGATATTCAAATGATTTTCAAAATCGGAGGTATTGAAAAAAAAAATCGTTTGAAACTGGCAAACGGTACTGGTAACGAACATTATCGATGGTGTTCTTTTTGGTTTATTTTGGCGTCAAATATTTTCTCTGAAGATCAAAAAAACGGTTTTGGTCAAAAAGAAAAAAAGAAGTCTGCATACACCGAATACAGCTACTTGGCATACCATATATCGATTAATATCGTAATAGACCTATTCATGCAATGAAAAATATAAAAAAATCCAATTATCGTGTGAAATAGTGATTTTTGTGTTGATTTGATGCAGACTTCGCTCGATGGCGTTTCTGATAAATTTTTAACGTTGATTAAGCAAAATACTTTTACAGATTTTCAAAAAAAAACGTTTTAAACGCTCGAAGAAAAAACATCCATTAAAAAATACAGTACCGACTTCGCGACGGTACCCGCGCAACTTTTCACGTGCGCCTTTGAAATTAAATAGCGGAGAATTACGATATATCGCGTCAATTTTTCTTGTAATTTTCGACGAGCGTGCATAGGGAATTCAAATGAAAAAAATTGATTTTTACATGGATAGGTCCATAAAGTTTAAAATCCAAACTACTCGTTTTTATAAAAACATCGAAATTCGACAATACAGAGGAATTTTATAAAATGGTAATAAAAATATAAATACTCAATTAAAATTTCAAAAAAAAGCGAGATCATAATTGCGCATTTTTCTATTAATCAGACTCTTCAAATCGAATATAAAATATATAAATAGTTAGAATTACGGTAAAAACATTCAGATTCCCGAAAATGGGCATTGACTAGATGGATGTATTATTAGCAATATTGAACTATTCAATTAGCTCATTCATTGGCACCTCTTTTTCATCTTCTTGATTCTCCTCACGATCCTCAATATATGTGTACTGCATCGCTGAAATCAGTGAAAGTTGAAGAATCAGTGAGACTGTATTCACCTAATAGAATGAACACCCCCATAACGATGACCATGAGAATCGAATAGAAAAAGAATTCGAGCGCTGGATGGGGAATCAATCGGGTTCCAGAGATCATCATATCGATCAGGTTTCCAGCGAACACCGTCAACAGCCACATCGCAGTCAGAACACTTTTCATGTTCGGCGCCGCTTGTGAATATGCGAATTCGAGACCAGTTACTGATAGTAGAACCTCGCCAAGTGTGATAATGACATACTGTGGAAGCGACCACAGAATGCTAACAGAATTCGGACGAACCTAGAAGACCATTTGATCAATAATAATTTGACCTTCTTCTACCAAAAGACGGAAATCCTCTTCTGTGGTATTCTCGTGGATATGAAGAATATGTACAGCTCCCATTTGCGCGTTCAACTTCACCATATTGGGGCATTCAGATCCAGTGCAGTTCGAACCCCAATGAAGCATCACGTTTGGATCACTGATAACGCCAGGAATCACATCGACATATTGACCAGACGCTATTGAGCATGAGCTCAACACCTTGTTTCTTAAGAAATATATATTTAGAAATTTAAATATTTAAAATAGAAGAGAACCTGTTGTTGACCGCAAACAAATAGCTTTTTGGATCATCGACTGGTGTGACGACGAACACCCGTGTTGCTCCATTATCAGTTTTATCGACTTTATAATCAAAGCTTACAACTCGAATGCTGAAAATATGCTCAAATTAAATAAAAAATATTTTAAATAGAAAAAGCGACAGAAAAAAAAACGCGTCTCTTCCCACAGATATCCGAGAAAATAAAGCTGTTGTGCAATCACGCCGCATGCTCTCTGCGGTCTTGCATTATAATCTACGCAAAATATTGAAAAAATGTTTTGACATTAAAAAAAACAACATGCCTATCATTTGCGAGTCTGAATTGTGCCAACACATATCCCTTGTTTGGAACCACCGCAGAAATTGAGTTCTGCTCGTTCTTTGGACCCGATTGGAATGTATAAGTGCCACTAGCAAGCTCGGTGCGTCCCATCGGTAGTCTTCCGTCTGTTTAATAGTTTTTCAAGTTTCCTAATTAAAGAAGAAGAAGCTCACCCGCAATAAGATTTCCGGAAGAATCGCGGAATCCCGATATCAAGCTTTCATTACCAATTCGTTGAATATACACATTTCCGTGTGCCGGTGGTACTTCCATAGTTTCGTTTACTTTCAACTTAGAATTATTATTATTATTATTGAAATTAAATTGTTCAATTTAAAAGATACTTGTAAGACGCCAGCCATCGAGAACGACAAGGCGGTTAGCAATCCGCCAACGGCCATTTTTCGAAGTGGTGTGACTTTTGTAACTTTTCGAAGGGCTGGATAGACGATGGCCTCAAAAATTGGAACGAGAATGAGCACACAAATCGGATTGATCGCATGAATCTGCTCGGGAAGGATTGAGAAGAATCCGACTCGTCCGTCGAGTCGGCGAGCTTGAAGGACCCACGTGGAGCCTTGCTGATCGAACAGCGCCCAAAAGAATATCAACGGGCAGAAGATGACTGCAACACTGAGGAGGCCTTTCACCGAATTGATGAGCGTCTGCGAGTGTTCCGGAGCGGCGCGATCCAGCCAATGATTCGCCGGCTTATCGGTGCTCTTCCTGAAATCGACTCGATTCAACTAAGCGCCCGGATTGATTGGCATTCCTCTTTCGAAGGGCCGTGTAAACCACGGAAATCACTTCGGATCCGACGTTTTCCTTACTCGGCGGATATTTTTTGTACATGTGCCATCCGGAGAGGAAGAAGAGGAGCGCGAGGAACATCAACACACCGGGCACGCCAAACGCCAGCGGAAAGCAGTGGGGATTGCCGAAGCACTGGACTCGTCCGCGAAGGATTGGGGTGATGAGGATGGCGAACAGCGATCCGCCATTGATAGCAAAGTAGAAGAATGAGAAGAACTGCGAGCGAAGGTCTTTTTGATCTTCAGTGAACTGAAATTGATTCGAATTGAAATTGAATGAAAATATGATTTTTTTGGGGAAACCTGATCGGCCGCGAACGCCGAAACGCATGGCTTTATACAACCCGTCGCGAATGCGATAATAAATAATCCCGAAAAATCGAGAGTTGATCGTGCTCCTAGAGAATGATGTATTTGAATTTTTGATTGTCGAATGTCTCACCATAGGATAGAAACGGAACGGCGCCGCCCGATAGCAGAACGTGACCGAGAACATAAATAATCGAGCCGTATAATATTACCTATAATTGAATTATCGAATTAGTGCTATCAAATTGAATTTGATTCATGGCCTAAAATGAATTGAAATCGTGGTTATTTTTTTTTTGAAGGAATCATTTTCACAGAATTCCGGGGCTTGTTTTAACACATCTAAAATCAGTTCTTCATGTGACAACCAACTTTTTTTTGGTCGTTATCAAACCCATTTATAGAATTGAACAATCATCGGCCGACATTTAATCGATGACTATCCCATCGAAGACCCATTATGAAGGTCATACCTTGAAGCGTCCAAAGACGGAATCCGCGAGAATCGAGCCGATCAACGGCGTCACATAGGCGACGCATGAGAACAAGTGATAAACGAATGTGGCTTTGCTCGCCGAGAACTCGTGCTCCGTCATAAAGTAAATGAACAAAATGGTTTTCATGCCGTAAAATGAGAATCGCTCGCAAAACTCATTGCCAAGCATGAAAAAAACGGCCGGCGGATAGCTTCAATGATTGAGAATTTTTTGAGATTGTGTGCAGATTTGAGGACTTACGCTCGCAATTTTTGTAGTAAACTCCGCTCATCGGCCATTTCTGCAAATCGAAATGGTCAGGAGAAAAAAAAATGAAATGACGAAGAAGATAGAGGAAGACAATACGACAATAGTAATGTTCGGAAAATTGCCAACAACTACGAGGAGAGATGACAAAATATAAAATTTTTGTTTCTCGTCGCCAACCCTCGACAGAAGAACGAGGAGAAGGAGATGAAGAAGAAGAAGAAGACGGCGAATTTCGCGTGTCGTCGGGGTCGGCGAATAGCTAATTAGAAAAAGGCGCCCCGGATTGTTGGAATGAACCAAACGCGACAAGTTCATCAGAAGACACTCAAGATAGGTATTACTCGACATGCATTATTAAATCGCCTCAAGGCAACAACAAGTGGAAGGGGGGGGATGGCTTTTATCGAAGCGAGCGGCGGCGGCGGCGGCGGCGGTACAGAAATATATTTCCCCGGGGGGGATCGACACCACCTCCAAGTGTGTACATACACAGCGACATGATTGTATTTGGTCATGTCCTTCATGGCTCTGTTATTTTTTTGAGAAATGCGACGGCAAAAAAAAAACAACATGGAAACCGAGTGTTTCGATTTTTGGGGGGTTTATCATCCACCGACGAATACAATCACATGAGGAGGAGAAAATGAAACACGTTTTGGTTTCAGTCGTGATATTCTCATTTTTCGCGGGGGTCGTCGTGTCATGCCAACGCAATACAAAAAAAAAATGAAGATGTTTGGAGACGATTGCGTAATTTACGAGGCATTCGAACGCGAGTCGGATAACGGGTCGAATTGGCGAAAGTTTGAAATTCGTCAAGGTCGGTCTAAAATACAAAAATTTTTTTGTTGCTTGGAAAAAACAGGTTCGTCGATATTAATCAAATTTTTTGTTGCCCGGAAACCGAAACCTGAAAAGACCTTGACTTTTCTATTCTTATCGTCTTCCGATTTCCAGATGAGTAGGTTTTTTAACGAATTGACCTTCGAAAATTGTTTTATTAGACCCGTAAAATGCATGCAAAAAAAATAACAATCTACAAGTAATGGAGGAACTATTAAACGTCAGTTCGGAAGAAAAATTGATCGTTTTGACGACACAGCTCGCCGGCGACGCCGTTATCATTGAATATGGTCTCGTGGTAGAGATCTTCGAGAATAACCCTTACGTTGCGATTCGGATAGCCGGGGTCTTCGGCCTTCGGTAGCAGCAAATTGCTGAATGGGGTGTCCTTGTCGAGAAGAAGCTGCACGCTTCTCCAATTGCGGCCGGATTTCCATTGTTCGACAAGTCTGACAATTTGCTCGTGCTTGATGTGAACCGTTTGCGATTGCTGCGCGAAAAGCTCCAAGTTCGAGCTCAGCACCATATCGAAATCGACATTTCCCGAATATAAATTGAGACTTTTGAGATTTCGCATCGATGAAATATCAATCGTTTCGCATTTCGGCTTCTGATTGAGTCCCGTCGCCGGGAATATTGTAAGCGAGACGGGCAGAAGTCTGCAACGCACATCATTTATTTGATTTTGTGAGAAAACATTCAAGTATCGATTTTCAACAAAATCTTACGTCAAAAAATTATTAGATTAATTTTTTTCTTCACGAAAATTTGAGGAAATTCCATTTAATAGCGAAGGTCATTAAAAAAATGTGTGCAATTTTGCGTGCTTGTGTGTGCACGGCGTCACATTTTCCGAAATTTTCGATATAAAAAATGATTCACAAGAACACAGCTAGCTTTTCTTCTAACATAGGATAGAAAGTATTTTTTTTAATTTTAAACTTAAAATAAAATAGCTAACCGTTTAACGTGGTCCATTGCTTCTTGGCTATCAGGAACCCCAAGTTTATTAACGAATTTTCCGGAATACTCTTCCAACGCCGCAACAAAATCATCCTAAATTATTCAAAATAATCGAAATATATTCAAAAAATAAACCTGCCTGCCCAATTGTGATTTCCTTAAATGTATACTGCCTAACTAGACGCTGGAAGATAGCAAAAGCCTGCTCAAAAGCGGTCGTAGTGCCCGTCGGTGTCGTTTTTTCAGAATACCTATTGTTTCTGAAAATCACTTTAAGACGAAATATTTAAATTTAAATAAAAAGCAAACCTCTGCGTTGTGATCTTTAACTCCATAGTCGATCCATTTCTCGAGTACTGCCTATGAATGGAATTTCTAGAATCCATTCGAACCGAAATGATAAAATACTAAAAAAAATTGAATTGAAGGAGAAGAAAAAGCGGAATAATGTGTCGAAAACCTCCGTTTTCTCATTGCCTTTCACACTAATTGATTCATAATTGGTGCAAATTGGCGCAATTAGTTGGTGGAGGCGAAAATTGCAACGCGAGAATTGAACGCGATCGCCCCAATCCAAATACTCGGCGATTCCGATCAAAATTTCATTGGGTAGTCGGAGAATCTGGAAATTTTCGAAATCAATCAAACCAAATTGATTGAATTCCAACACACCATGGCCATTTGCCAACGGAAAACCTGAACGAGCGAGTCTACAAAAAATAATATTGTTGCCGGCCAGCACGCAAACGTACAACACAGTCGACGAATTGATAATCGAGGTGGTGAAAGGCTAATTTGCATTGAGAGACCGACACCGTAATTTGATACTCATTATAATTTTCATATTGTAATGCGAGATGAGAAACTGGTTGAGGCGACTGATTTCGAACCCCCCCCCCTTCTTTTTTTTCGCCTTTTGAAAATATACTACTATGTGTAGTCAAAATCGATAATGCTCAGAATTGGCCAAATACGGAGGCATACAAAGAAAGGCAAATGAAGTAGCCCTCCAAGCGGCGCGCTAAACAAACGCTGACGAAGTTTCCAATAAAATAGGCGATTAATTGATAATACTATTATTATTATTATTATTAGAAATTTAAACTATACGTATAGTAAAACGGGACACATCGAATAAAAAAAAACGAACGAAGAAGACCGACAGAATTGTTTGCCTATTTGTTCGCGAAACAAATTTTTCTATTTGTTTTGTTTTCTGGTTTCCGTTATTTTTTTTTAGTCGATTTCTAAAAAATGACTAAAAAATGGAGTAGCGGAATAAAATAATGGAAGACTGCGGGGGGGGTTGTAAAATAAGACTCGGAGAAAAACGCGCGCTCACTCTCGGCGAGAGATGCGACGGAATTGAGAGTGCGCAGTGGCGCCCATTGAGCCACTTGCTGCTCCGTCGAGGAGAGCCGCGCTCGCCGACATCGAGAAGAGAGCGAAGGGCGATGAAGAAGGCGTGAACGTGTCTCCATGGTTACCCACTCGATAGCCGCGTTGAATCGAAGCATCGGAACATTCGGAAAATGGCCGACGAGCATCTAGCCAAAGCTGGCTTGTACGTCGACGACTTCAATCGCCTTCGATTAATCGATCCAGGTAATTCGTTGGGTCTCTTTTTTGGTTGATTAGTCATCTTTCTCAGAAATCGCCGAAGTCATTCAAGGGGGAAATGAGAAAGCGAAGGACTTCAACGAGCTTCTCAAAAGTTTCGGGTCGAACACGAAGTCGCTCATCGAGAGCGTCGAGCAATTCGCGCGGCTCGTCGAAACCGAAAAAATTCGAGCGATGACGACGCGCGGCGCGAACGACGCGTCGACAATCAGCGCTCACGATCCAGTCATTTTGCAGGTGATCGAACGGAATCGAATAATTTATTCTCATCATATTCCAGATGACAATTCGCGAATATACGGTGGAAAGAGACCGATTGAGGGCCGAACTCGAGGCAGTGAAATCAATTGAAAGGGAGCAGCAGGAATTCATAGCAAAATTGATGGAACAATAAATAATAATTAATTGATAAATTACGAGTTTAGAGTCTTTTCGATTTGAGCAGGCGGCGAACACGTTCCGCTTCCTCGGAAGCTAGCTGAAATCAATGAGTAGAGGTGAATCGATGTGTGATTACCATTTCGTCGAATTTCCTAATCACTCGTTTGCCCTTCACCGGCAATTCTTTTGACGATAGACAATAATTGCCTTTGCGGTTTGATCGACTCTTGGCGGTTTTCAAATAGGAGACCTGAATGGAATCGTTTGAATGTGGCTTGAAGGGACCACCCCGACGTACCGTATAGGTGCCATCGCTGTCGGTGACAACATTCGCCGCCACACACTTGAGCATCTCGCATTTCTTCGTCGCCGAACCCATCGTCTCCTTCGTGCCGACCGCCATTTTCTCGCCGGCGCAATATTGATTATAGTAGGTGACAAGTTTGATGTTGCCATTCGGCTCGGAAGCGGCTGCCGGCTTGTCGGACGCGTATGGATCCTCGGCGATGATCGCCGAGCTCGGCTCGACTTCGATTTGGTGCGGTTGCGGCGACGGATAGCTGGCGGGCGTATGCGAGACGTGCACGTGTTCGAGGTACTGCAACGGATTCAAAATCGACGGTGGCTCTTGCGAGCTCGCCGATGACGCCGGCGGCGCGCCACCGCCCGAATATGAGGGATAGTCGTTCTGAAAACGAAAGAGTTGAAGAACGCGCGTCGAAAAAAAGTTGCTGGTACCGAAAAACTCAACGGGACGGTTCCCTGGAACGCCGGATTGGCCACCGGCGCGTCCAGGTACTGTCCGTGATAGCTGGGCAACGGCGGAAGTGGCGCCGGCGGCAGTGGTGCCGGCGGCGCGTACGACGAATAGCTGCCGCCGCCGGGACACGGACAACTCGAACAACCGCATTTCGGCTGGCTCAGAGTCGGTAGGCATGCGCGAGCGATCTCGCCAAGAATCGAACATAACACGAGTAACCTCATCGCGGGGCCGGCTGGAGATGAATGATGCAAAACCGCAACGGAGGACAAGCTGGTTTTCTATCTCTCTGGAAGGCGTGAGTGTTTAAGATTGATGTTCAAGAATGATATAAAAATTAATGTGAAGTATGGCGATGGATGAAAGAAGGGGGGGGGGTGGTGAGACGATATTGTAGGCGTGGCGAATCTCTAATAAAACGCGCTGAACCGCGTAAAGCCGCCCGTAGATCGCACTTTCCTTTACAGGTAAACACATATTGACATAACTCGACGATACGTATCCGGTTTTTACGGCCCGGATACGTTTCTTAACATTGGCAAAAAGGGTTGCCTCAAATAGTTGCGCGGGGGGCCTTTTAAATCGCCTCAAACCTAATTCCGCAAATTATTAAATATAATGCCTCCTACAGTAATATTACAGTAATGGAATGTTAAAGTCGTTTTACGGTGGCGAAAAACGCTTTACGATGTTCGAGAACACCTGAGTTACTCTATTTGCCACCTTCTTATATAGTAAGAGCGAGAGGGGAGATTGGGTAATGCGAGGGTCATTGATTTCGATGAGCAGATATAAGTGAGGTGGGGTATCAATGTCAAACGATTGTTATTCAAAACGAGTGACGAACCAACATTTTCCAGCCCATTTGCACATCACTTTCGAATTCGGCGTCAGGAAGACGAAACCCGTTCCACGTTCCACCATACAAGGTGCCAATTCTTCATGCAACATTTGGCGCTCCTTTTATAAACTATACACATTTAGGTTGGGATGTGACGACACGTTGGAATGGCTTAGGCTGCCAACCAGCACTGTCAAAGACGAAAAAAAAAACAGCGAAGCGACGAAATTTGCATTTAGACTGATTTGCTGCGGCGGCGCTGAGAAGAACACACGAAGCGAATGATCTCATCTAGTTCCGTGCCGGATTTTATGACTACGTTTATGAGAAGACCGAGAACCAATTGATTACTAATCTGTATATTTTATGAAGCAAAGGGGTGAATTCAAGAACAAATAACAAACTACAAATACCGGTTTTTTGAATTGTTAAAAAGTAATAGTTATTATTAATAGTTGCAAGTCTCCAATTGTCCGTCAACCATTTTCAACGTCCTCGTTCTGCGTACTGCAATTCACAAAATGAATATGTTTTGAATCAACCCCCAAATTGGCGCCCTACATGATTTTCGGTTGAACTGTCGAGCTCGCCGCCGCTGATCTCGCGACTCGGTTTGAAGTGTCGCCGCTTTGACAAGCCCGTTGAGAATCTCGTCTTCCGGCGATTCCTGATCGACAAGCTCTGCAACAACAAAAAATTCGAACAATTGACGTTGATTGAATTCCGTCGCATTCGCATAAAAAGGAAATTGGAAACGCCAATCAAGTTTCAATCAACGCGATTATTAACAACGCTAATTTATATTTCTAATTAGGTTTGACGACTTGATTGGACCCAAAATTTTCTGGACTAGTCGAGGGGCTCCAAAAAAAAAACCAACCTTTGGGTAGAGTTGCGCCAAAATTGCGTCCATTGGTTGCCGAATTGCCAGCTCCTCCCCGCTTCCTCAGCGTTCCATCATCCATTGTCATCGACGTCAGCATTTTCGACATTTCCTCATGTCGCTGTTGCGAGCTGGTCGTCGCCGCCGCCGATTGCTGATGCATATTCCGGCGTCGCAATGGTCCCGCGTCGGCGCCGTCCATCGAGTTGCCCTCGAGCGCCCAAATTTTGCCGCGCGTCTTGTTGCGCTCGCGCTTCTCCGCCATCCGTTTGCGTTGCTGAAGGATCTTGTCGCGCGTTGTGCGATATTCGAGCGAGAACTCGGTGACCATTTTGAAGACCTCGTTCGGATTCTGATTCGGTATCTCGTCGACCGAATAGCCGAAATAGAGAAGGAACGAATGCCAACGATTTTTGGTCACCGTATAGATTGCCTAGAATTATGCAATTGAATCATACGAGCATCGCTCGATTGATCTACCTTGAGCTGATGGATTCTCTGCGCCACATCCGACAGATAATCATTGATTCGCTGCTTCATCGACGAATTGTCATTCTTGCTGATTATCGAGAGACACTCCCAAGAATTTTTACACTCCTTCTCCAATCGCATCAAATTATCCAAAAGTTCCTTATAATCGACCTAAATATGGAAACGGGTTAGAGGTTGTCATTTTCAGGCATTCAGTCAATTCTCAGTACTCTTGCGGTTCGCGCGACGGCGCCGAATTCGCTGTACAAATCGGTGCCTTCCGGATAATGCTCAACCATGTACTCAGCCAAATGGTAGGTCAACGTGTGCTTGTACACCGGGTCCTTCACCTCCGACGCTTTTGTGAGATAATCCAAGTAGAACCCTTTGATCTACAAGAATGCCGATGACAACGAGAAGGCGACCGAATTGCCGCGTACCTCCGTTCCCGAGAGCGAGTTTCCAATCGCCAACAGCATTCCCATCGCAACGCGGAACGTCTTCGACTCCTCCATTTCCTTCATCGCCAATTGCAAATCCATCAGCGGCTCGGCGATGTCCTTCTCCGAGTTTTTGTAGTCCAGCGTGAACAGCCAGAGTTTCAAGCGTTCGAGTAGGCACGGGATTTGCGAGAGCTTCAACAGGAACTGCTCGGCGTTGCCCAATGTCATTTCGGGATTTTCGGCGGCCTTCAACTCGATCTCCTCGATCTCCTTCGGCGACGGCATCATCGTCTTCAATATCTTCTCGATTCCGTCTTTATTAAGCACCATTGAGTCGAATTTCTGCGATTTTCAATCAAAACGCTAGCGATTTGAAAACGAAAAAACGATTGGCCTACCATAATTGCCGCCGGAATCACATTAATCGGTGGAAGTTTCGTCAATCCAATATTAATTGCTTGAGAACGTTTCAACGGCAAAACCGATAAAGTTTGCGTTTTCGTTTCGGCCACTTTCTAAACAATAAAGAAGGGAGAAAAAAAAAACGATGAGGGGCGAGCGATTCGCAACTACCTTTATCGTCGCCTCCTTCTCCTTCTTGCTCTCGAAAAGTTGCACAATCTTGTTGGCGTCGAATCGCGGAACCGCACTGTCGACCGTGTTCCAGAAGCATCCCTTCTTTTTCAGCAGCGGAATTGCCGGCTGCTCAACAGTGGCCGGCTTCCAGTGCAATTTCAAGACGCCTCGTGACGTCGCTGGACTGACGTCCCTCTTATCCCGATTGAACGCGCCTGGCGGTGGTGGCGGTGGAATCAGTCCCGGTGGAGGCGGCGCTTGTGGAATGCCGCCATTGGTGGCTCCTTGCACTGCAAAATTGCTCTACACAAATTATTTGGGTGGGGTAGAATCAACTCACGTCTTGGTGGCAATGGAATTGCGGATGGCGGCGGCGGTGGCGGTGGAACGCCGCGAATCGCCGGCGAATTACTCGCCGCCGTCATCTGAGCGGCTCGAGCGAGTTGAAGCGGGTCCTGCTCGAAATCGGCGTCGTGGAACTCGGAAAAATCGAGATCATTGATGATAAGTGGCCGCGATTTCAAGTTCTCCGCCGCTTTCTTCCATTGCACCTCCGCCTCGCTCTCCTTCTTCTCGTACAAATTGCGATTGGCTTCCGCCGATCGTTGAGCGCGCTTCTGAAGCATTTCGGCGAATCCGCCACCGCCGGACGATGCTTCAATTTTGGCGCGCGGCGGCGGCGGCGCCTTCTCCTCTTCAACCGGAGCCGAAACATCAGGGAACTCCATCGTCTTCGTTTCGGTCGGCGAGAAGATCGTCGGAAACGACGGCGGCGGCGCTTTCACCGGTTTGCCTTCCTCCTCATTCTCCGGCGTCACGTTCTCCTGATTACTGTTCTCCACAAGCTTCAACGGCTCCGGCGGCGCTTTCCTCTTGCTCTCACCAAATTCATGCGATGACGTTGAAGCGATCGACTCTTTCGCCTCTCTCCATCCATTCTCAACAAGCGGCTTCGGCGAAGGAAGCACATCCCTGCATTAAAAAAATAGACACGAGCTCAACTACTGGATTCGCTCAAGCTCACGTTGGCGTTCGATTGAACAATGATCGATTCGACGCAAATTGCTCGTGCTCGATTTGACGACGCCGCGCGTCCTCATGCCTTCTTCGCATTGCCGACTTCTTATCATCACCGCTGGTTGGAGAAACCGCAGATGACGATGTGTTGGGAAGCGACATATCCGACGGGCTTCGGCCAAATCTATATTCGTCAATAAAAAGTAATCTAGTGATTAAAAAAAAAATCGATATATAAATGAAAGTGAATGCTCGATTAAGTTACACTTCAGAATCCATGCTTCATACCTTTCCGCTTCCTCGGCTTCCTCGTCGCGCCTCTTCTGCTCCTCAATTTTCCGCCGCTCTTCCGCTTGCTTCCTCATCCGCTCAATTTCCTCCAACTGCTCCAACTCTTTCAATTTCTGCTGTTTGATTCGCGCCTGTTCGGCCTCGCGTCGATTCTGAAGCGCTCGATTCAATTTCTCCAGCGCCGTCTCGATGTCCTCGGGCATCTCGTGCGTCACCGATTTCGGTTTTCGTTCCAGCGTGTTCGTGCGGCTCGTCGACTGAATCGGACTTCGCCGCGAGTCCTCCTCGCTGCCCATCGTGATTGCCGAATCGTGCGAGCCCTGACTCGATCGCCGCGAATTGCCGACATCGCTGCTATGCGAAACTCTAAACATTCGGGTTACGCAATACACACATCAAACCATGCCAGATTCTATTTCGAAACAAGAAACACCAAAAAAGATTCACCTCATCTTCACAACATCATCCTCATTATCGCCACGCTCATCCTCTTCCTTCAACTCTCTTTCATACAGCCGACACTGCTCCTCCAGCTCCTTATTGTTCATTCTAAACCACAATTGTTTGAAATGCTCAAGTTCAAATCGCCAACCTGCTCATTTGTTTAATCGCTTCTTCCATTCCAAGAGTATCCAATGTGTCGACGGCATCATAGAACGTGTCCTAGATTAGAAGGCATTCAAAAGGAATGAATTGATAAATACCCGATCCGGAATTCCGTGCAACGCTTTATTGACAACCGTCATTCCGTACACTAACGTCTCGGCGTCGGGCGAATCTTTTTCGGTGAGCACCTTCATCAAGCCACTCCAATCGGGTTGATCTAAACATTCGGTATCGCTTGTACATAATTGATCTCGCTTCACAAACTATTCGATTTATCGACTGTCTGAATTGCCGACAGCACTAGAAGCGCGTTGTTGTCGTTATATTCGATGAAGACGAGAAGGAGCTTGAGAGCGGTCTTCACAACCAATCGGAACTGGAATTCAGAATTCAATTAATTCAGTTTTCTCTCTTTCTCTAGAATCACACACACAAACACACAGTCAAATCAATACATTCATGAAAACTTTTAGCGGCCTTCAATCAGGCTTTCGCATTCGTCAAGGTTGAAAATTGAAAGAAGAAAATCATGCACAAATACCCATTCAAGACGAAACGGCGACATTTCTTTACGTTCAGCTTCATCGTACAACTAAACACGTAAAACGATACGAACACGAAACTATCAATGAGTTGGAGTAGATCAAAAGCTAACACATTATTGGGAGGTCTTACCGGCGAGTCGAGCAACTCATAGAGCCATTGAATTGTGCCATTATGCGCGATGATTCCATTCATACCATCGACGTAAAGCATTAGTTGACCCAATGCTAAAATGTATATTCTGTTTAGAAACAAAAATTGCAATCAAATTACCTCGCAATATATAATTTTGATGGTTTTGATCGGCCGTTCGTCCCAATCGAATCATACAATCGAGACCTTGATTTTGGACAAACTCGTGCACCAAATCTTGATCATCCTGAAAAATGATGATTTTGAGGATTGATTGGTAATCGCGAGCACCTGGAAGATTTGCTTCAGCGAAAATAACGCGCGTCGCTGATCGCGTCCCGAACAATTCAGCAGTTTGTCAATTATGGTCTTGACACGAAGATGGGTTTGCGTTCGAAGAACTAAACTACATCGACGCCTGCAAAATATTGGGAATATTAGGAGACAACGACGCCCCAACATGAATTAGTATGAAAACCGTCTGCTGGTTGGTGGAGAGGCGCGCGCCGCACATTTTGGATTGGGACTTACTTGTTGGGAAAATTCAAATAATCATCACCCCAATCAAACGGTTCCTCTTGCTCGTTCGAGGTGCTTTCAACCGCCTTGAAAGGTTCGACTTTGGCCAAATTTGGCTTCTCCGGAATGCTCACTTTCCGTATATTCTCCATACTCCGATAGCCGCTGTCCTCTCTTTTGTGCAACACTGGCGTCTCCTCATCGTCGATATACGGAATTTGGTCGTATTTGATGATCGCTGGAGCCGCCGCGTGCAGAACGGTCGGCCTTTGAAAGTTGCGCGGAAGCGAGTAGGTGTCGATTTGAGGTGTCGGCGGCGCGAGTGTCGGCGGCTCGACGAGCGTTGTTCGACGCGACGCGACGAATTTGCGCAACGGCTTCACGATCAATGGCAGCTCATTCTTCTTGTTGGACAAAGCGGCGGCGAGCGATTCATCGGAGACGTGCGTCGCGAATGATGAAGGCGTCGCCGGCAGCGGCGACACGTACGCTCTCGGATGTTTGGCTTCTGACGATTCGGAATAGACGGCGTCGGACATTTGTTGAAACGTCGCCGAAAACGACGAGAATCGCGGTTCGGACGATTTCGAGACGGACGGCTCGCAGAGTGGAATCGCGCCACGATCCTTTTTAGGAGTCGTGAACGTTTGACGTGAGAATCGCGGCTTCGAGTCAACGTCGATGTCAAACGTTCGCAATCGCGATTTCGCCGTCGGCTGATGATTGTCATCAATCGAAATGTTATAAGCACGCATGGAAAACTGAAATTCAAGGTCGAATCCATAAAAACATTGAAATATTAATGAAGGTTGCGACGAGAAATGTGATGAGTCATTAGAAACAAAATACTATACTCATACTCAAGATATACGAAATTGCATGCGAACGGGTCGGAGGATGAACATAAACAATGGAAAATAAAGTACGGTGGTTTTCCATTGGTTCAAGGAGACTCGACAACTCAATTGGTAATCGAAAGAGCGCGCGCGTCGTGGAGACCGTCAGCGTGAGTACAAACAGCACCAAACTGATGACCGCAAAGCCTGTCGTCGACGACGCGGCCCGTTTTGATCATCGAAAATAATTTTGTGTTTCGCTTTTGCATAATGTCGAGATGACATTAGGAAGCATGCGGTCGAAGCGCAGTTATTGAAATTCCGAGAGGCGCGCGACAATCAGACGCGCGAGACGGATTGGGTCGATCGACGTTATGGAAATTCGGGATTTTTGCCGCATTGTTTCATCGAATCGAGGCGAGACACCGCACGCATCAATTATCTCATTGTATAATTTTTGCTACGTGAAGCGGTTTCAATATATACATTACTATATAACAAGTTGTCGCCAAAAAGTAATACATAGGAAACCTTTTAGTAAATCCATTTTAGAGCGAATTTTTTGGTGTACAATGAAATGTGTGCAAAATTGTGTCTGCGTGTAAACAGACCAAAACCGGAACCAACCGCGATTTGAATTTTCTCGTCAATTTTAAACAAATTAAATTTTACAGAAAGGTAATCATTTAAATATTGTATTCATAGATTTTAGAAAATGATTCTCAATTATTTTATATGTCGGGAATTATTCGCAAATGCAATTTTCCACCATAAAATTGATCGCGTTGGAACGCCGAAAACTCTCATACATTATCGGTATCATTTCGCCGCGATATCTCTTTTCAATTTCATTTTCACGAATGGCATAGGTGAAAGGGCCCCCCCACCAGCAGCGAACGGTTTCGATGAACGATATAATTCGGTGAAAGTGATAATGATGATGATCGATTATGCGGCCGAGGTGACGCGAAATCGAAGCGCTGAAAAACCTACGTGTCTGCCTTGAGAATATCGAGTTCTTCTTGCTGATCGGCCAATGTCAACTCGTTGTCCAGATATGTGTGCAGCTCACCGCCGCCGCCTTCGAGACCACGATAGACTTGTAGAGACGAATCGCCAACCTGCAATTTCGATCATAATTTGTGTGTTCTCAATTTAATATTACCTTGTGAGGCGCCCTTAACGTTCGTATCACATCCTGTAGTTGGTCTCCAATAACCTCGTGCAGTCGGAATTTGAATGTCACCGGTCGCATTGGCTCCAGATATGATGAAGACGTCGTCGCAAATGGGTCCGCATCGTTGATATACTGTATGCGACAGGTGAACGTGTCCTCATCATCCATTTTCTAAGGGAAATCAAATTGTTGGGATGCAATAGGGAAGAGGGGGGCACAATAATCGAAATGAGTCATGTTTTACGATACATGCATCGTCGTGAAAACATCTGGCGCGCTTCAAGACAACTCGAAATAATGTGTACATTGGCTAATCAATAAGAGATGTGGGATTTTGAAAAAAAGATAATTGATTTTTTTTGTCAAACTGGTATCAAGTTTACTCAGAGAGGACGAAAAAAAAGGTTTCGGGAAAGGTCGGCAAGCTCTCGAAAATCTCGTTACTGTACTCGAAGAAACAGAACAAACCTATCGGCGCAGGAGGCGCAGAGCTGAAGAAAAACGCAACAAAGCAATTGGGGGGTAAACGTCGTTGGGTGGCGAGAAACCCGCGATAATCTGTGTTTGTGTGCCAAATATTTAAAAATGAATGAGAGCAGAAAACGTGTCCAATCGATGTTTTTATTAATTATGCTAATTATTATGCGACAAGGTATGCATACATATAAAGCGGATTATTAAAATCTCAGCGGGATACTGGTTTTATTACTAATGGGACCTTCAAGGCAATGGGAAAATCAAGCATTTTGAATTTTTTGGAATTTCGCAGAACATATAATTGACAATTATTTTTTGAAACTATTTTAAAGTGTTCTTGACATACTTTTCATTTCTTTCCGAAAAATTTCAAGGAAAATCCATTTTAGAGCGAACTTTTCGGATGGTAAATTGAAATGTGTGCAATATTGCGTCTGTGTGCAAACAGACAAAAACGGGAACCATCCGATTGTTTTCTTCATCGCATTTCAATTCTTTTTTTCTGAAAGGTATGCATAAAAAATTAGTGAGGCATTCTGCTTATATCGATTTTCTTTGCTATCCTCAAATTTCATTAAACAACACTTATACATATAAAACTGAACTATAAATCGTATCAAAACGAATTTTTCGTGAACGGGAGGGCAGAAAGATTTGCTTAACGCACCGATGGGTGGTGTCGTTCTATTTGTGTTTCCATTTTTTACGTGATTCTTCTGTCACTATTGATAACGGGTGTTGCTTGGGGGGAGCAAACAATTCATTGACTATTAGAAAAATAATCGATAAATGAGCAAGTCGGTGGTATTAAGGAATCAAGTAGGTACTTGGATTCAAAAAGAAAAAAAAGTGCAACGAGAATTGTTGGGGAGGAAAAAAAGGGATGAATCAAGAAAAAATCGCGAGCAACTACTACGGTCCGGTTGTGAACGTGTACATCGAGTTCATCGCGGTGTCCGTGTTTCCCTGCGGGCACAAATCATCTGTTCCGCTTTCTGATCCTCTCGCCCGCTTCCACTCCGACGGACCCGCTCTCATTTGCCAATATTACAGCATTAAACATCAGCGCGATTTCAAAACGGTCCTCCGTTCTTACACTATAGCTTCTTTTTGTTGGCCTCGCTTGGTCTATCTCGAATGAATGTTTCAATACGGAATTGATTTTTGCGGCATCAAATCGCGATCAATATTTAATAAATACTTACAAAAAAATGGAATTATGAGAAAATATTGTTAAAAATTTTTCAACGTTGTCGGAAAAAAAGTGCAAGCGATGGGGTAGAAAGAAGCACAAATTTTCGTAATAAGTTAGAAGCGAAGGTTGGTGTCACCATGGAAATAGCCTACACCAAAATGCTTGGCGCACAGCAATTTGCGCCCCACCACCACACCAACAACTGATTATCAAGTTCGCGCGCACGCAAAAATCGCCGTCAATAGAATAGATGAGTCTCACATAATTAACCCGTCAATTTCGATTGCCAAAAAATAACGAAGAAAATGGGCAAAACATTCCAGTTTACACAGCGGCCGTCGCGATTGCCGAATATATAATTTGGTTTGATATCTCATTTATCGATGTGTATGTCTAAAAAGTGAGATGAAATGTGATGGTGGGGGGCATGAATTACAAGAAATCAGACGACAAGGTAAATCCGAATTAGGAAATTTTGGGCGATTAAGAAAAGCATGTTACACTAATAGGAATGCTTAATTGAGGGCATTTTTCTTTAATTATTGGGTGCCTCTCTTTTTTTTTTTCGAAAAATTGACAACATGCTATCTGTGGAATGTGCCGCGTTGATAAGAAATTTCGAAACGGCTCAATTGCATTATCAAAAGAAGCACTAGATTAGCTATATGATATAAATTAGAGATGATACGCATTATCACTCAAACAACACGTTTGTGTATGATTAGTGACAGGTTTTTTGTTTCGCATGTCAAGGACCGAAGAGTTTTTTTTTGCGAATGCCAACCGAGTAAATGTCAATAGCCGGCCGCGCCGGTTCAGAGGAATACCGGGCTTCGGCTTTCGAACAAATAAAAACTGATGAGAAAATTGGACTTATAAAATGCAGATGCGGTAAACACTTCATCCGAAGAAAGCCGAATCAATTCAATTATTTGCAAAGTATACATTATGTGTATAAAAAAGATGGAGGGCGACAAAAAAAATACACACACACACAACCACAACACCAAGAGGCTTGAAATTTGACACTGGCTGCCATTTTCAAATGTTTTTTTCCCTATATATAGTAGTGTCAAATAAATGGAAATTGTAGGCAATTTTTCGAATCAACGAACTTCTTCTATTCGAAATTGCGAGGGCGAGAGTCTTATTTTTAATTGTTTCAGTGGTCGAACGACTGGACTACAAAAAAATCAAATCGCTGAATAAATAGCTACCAACAATGTGTGGTTGTGACTAGCGACATTTGAAAACACATTGCAGCCAATTTCAGCCTGGCAGAACAATGATAACATTTGGGGTGTGTTTAAAAGTGATTGACACAATTTTTGCCTCTTGTTCAAGTTTCCTGATTTTTTTCGAATGGAACTTGAATCGGTCTTGCTTGAAAATTCACGAAACTTCTTACCAAAAAACGAGCGCCTGTGGACCATCGCACTTTTTCGAGGCGGTAATTCAAATTTGAATTTAAACAGTGGGAATTTACGAACCGTACTACGGATAATCTGCGAATCAAACTCGCCGTAAATCGACGCAGGGCGCTCGTTTTTTTTTTTGCGAATGAAATATATATTTTGCCTTTTTCGTAAAAGTTCATACACACGCACGGAAAATTGCAGACATTTCATTATTTCGAATGAGTTCTGTTCGAAAAACGCATTTATTCAGAATTTTCTCGTAGAAAATTTTAGTTCAATCATTTGCACGTAAAATTTTAGTTGAAAATCGTTTAAATTCATGCCGAACTTATTTTTTTCCAATAAACTTTCCCTAAAATTCTTTGTTTTTCATTAATTTCTATATTTAGGTCACTGATGTTATCTAATTGAAGCGAGAAAAAAGGAAACAACTCTTTACCGCGTCATTCACACATTAAAATCATCTGCTGGTGGGTCAAACAGAGATCATGAAAAATGAAATGGGCATGAAAATGAAATTTTCGAACGATTTGACGTAATAATGCTAGGAACAGGTGTCCAATGTAGACACATACATGCGCGTTTTAGTGGCATCCTTTTTCACGTTGGCACACGCTCGTCTCGTTAGGCAAACAGAACATTGATTGTATTAGAAATGATGGTTGTAAAAAGCTGAAACAATTTCCAATGAATCGCGATCAAAATCGAATCAATTGTGGGAAGGGAACGACGCGTCAAGAAAAATTATTCAATTTCGTTTGCCCTTGGCAAAAAGATGGCAATTAAGAAGCGATGATGAAGGCGCGACGCCGAGAATCGCAAAGGGGACGACGAAATACATTTTTTTGCGGTCACGACATGGGATTCACACATTTCCAACCCAAATTATAGTTGGCTAAAAAATAATTATTTCAAACATGAACGCGTATGTTGGAAACGAGGTGGGGGTGAGGAAGCATACAAGTGAATAAATGCGCATCTTGTGCAAACAGTACCGCCCGTGCACAATGTACTGGAAGTCACAATGGGCTCTCAAATGTCATTGATATATACAATACCGTTGATATTGCAATGCCAGCTCTCTTTTTTATTCCTCGCGTTTGCAATCGAATAGTATAGCACAAACGTTCAATCGGAATCATGCAAGATCCAACAAAACGCCATTTACTTTCAAATTTCGCTGTTGAGGAAGACGGCAATCTGAAATACGACGGATACGAAATAGCGGAAGTGCATTTACCGATGAAGTCGTTGAATGCCCCCTATTTTTCACTAAAAACGACTTCATTGGTTTTTGCTTTTTTTTTTGAGCATAATCTATTATGCAATTTGTGAACAGATTAAGCAATAGAGAATTAAATGGATGAATGGACAAAACATGACAGGATCGACACTTTGATGTCCTTGACGCCTTTTTTTCCGGCAATCTCCGCCAACATGAGTGCGGTTCAGTAATTATTTCGAGACAATAGAATTTCGGATGTGCAGACGTTATTTATTCGGTTTCTCCAAAAGCGACAATTAAGAACAAAGAATTGAAAAGATTGAGAGAGAGAGAGAGAAAAGAAGGTATTTTGCATTTCTACACCACACCTTTCTATACCATCGCTAAAATTTACAATTTTTTACAACAGTTATATAATGGTTAATATGGTCTTCGAAATACAACGAGTGGTACGATTTACGACAAAAATATTGGCAAATCAATACAATCAAATATTCAAGATAATCATGGAACTCAAGAATGTGGATAAATTAGACTTTGTAGCACATGATGAAGCACTTGTCAGCTGGAAGCGGCTCTGGATGCTCTTCTGGAGCCAACGAGCGGAAGCCGACGTAGCGAAGAGTTCTTGGGAAGCCTTCGGTTAACGACAAGTCAGGCTTCTCGAACACGGCCAGAACGCGTTGCACTTCTGCAAAAAATCAAAAATATAGACATCCCGATCGTCAAAAATACCAAGCTTGTCCTCAGCAAACTCCAAAAGATCCACAAATTTTTCTTTAGAGAGTCCCAAAACGACTTGATTGATTGGAATGAAAATTGCCAACGTCTCGGCGTCAATCATACCACACCGCCACTGTGGAGAAACCGCATGAAGATGTTGAATAGTCTGAAAACAAATGGGTTGATCTCGAACTAGTCTATATTATTAATTATCAACCTCGTCTCGATATTTCTGCACTTGGGGGGCGTCAAAAACACCATCCGACTTCTCCGGGCTCGGCGGACGACGAGGTGATGTCGGTGGTGCTGAAATTAGCTCAGATTATACTCCGATTTCGAAACTTCGTTTTTAACTGACCGGACAATAAGAGCAACCGACATTCTTAGACCAAAATTCAAAACTTTGTTTAGCTTGAAAACTTTTAGGCAGCTGTTTGCCGACGAACTCAATGGGTCATGTGATTTTTTGTTTTGGTTTCGGTTTCTTGTTGTCCATCATTTAAATGATTTTAACCGAAAAGAAAACTTACGTGTTGTTGACGGAATTACTAATAATCATTGGTTTACTACTTAACATCATTTTCGACATTTTGGCAGATTGCGTAGGGTGTTGTAAGAGCTAAAAGAAAATTCTTACAATTGCGTCACGTGAGAAGACCAAAATGAAAAAAAAAGGTAACGTCGAAAATTATTGCGAAATCGATCGCGTCATTTCAAGAAGGCAAAAATGGAAAAGAAAAAGAGCATAATCTGCACTCGGCGTATTAATAAAGGGTTATCAGGCAATACGCGCACAATCACAGACTTTTTATAATAAAATTTGAGCGTCTGGTGCCTCTCGGTGTCTCGTTGTGTTTCGGGAATTGCGCCTCTCCATTTTCAGTACTATTTGCAAGATACATATCGATCGCGAGACATTGAAGCGAACATATGACCGATAGGCAGTATAAGGAGGGTGGAGACGAAGAAACCAAAATTGCTGTTTTTTTTGTTTCTTCGACCACAACAAACCCTGGGTTGAAAAAAAAAGACTGGACTAAAAACTAACAAAGGAGGTCTTGATTTTTGGAATTTCGCTATTCTCACACGAAATTATCAAGAAATCCGACTAAGCTCTGTGTCACTAATCCCATCAGAAAAAGCTTTGAGAACTGGAAAAAACAGGAAACCAACATTTTAAAAAGTTTTATTATGAACATGTAGATAAAAACATGAAGATTTTCATCGGCACAGATTGCTAGGAAAGATCACATTAAAATTCCAAATATTTTAAATGGAATGGCAAAATATCGAACAATTATTGCTTGATATTATTTAGGGCAACAAAATTATTGCAATTTCCCAATTAAATACAACTTTTCGAAGATACGACGATAACATTTCGAAACATAGACCTCCCCGAGAAAAATGACCAATCTTCTTCATGATTAGCAATTGCTACTAATAAAAAGAAAATGGTATTTATAGAAATTTTTATTGGCGAAAATGAATAAATGCATTCATTAACAAACAATGACAATGCTGAAGAAACCTTGGCAAAAAATTGAAAATCGATTGCAGACGGTGGCGCATTTCGAAACGCGCTCGTCCAATGGTGTTGGCGTCTTTTTCGATACTGGAATTAATTTTTCCCTCGGCGTTCAGAATTTATCGGTTTTTTTCGTTCTAAGTACGACCGATTCTTCTCAAAAATTGTTTCAATTCAGAAATATTAGCAATACCATTAAATGCAATAATTGAAATTCACTATTTAATCTATAAATAATTCTGATTCTGGTCATTTACTTTTTAACACTTCTTTTACTTCGCTAAAAATATCATTAAAATTTTAGGTAATCGTAACAGTGTATAGGCTATGAGTGATATGGAAGACGATGATTTCGTCTTTGACGACTATGAATCCGACGGACAGGTATTCCTTTTTAACTTTAAATGTCACGTGACACGGATATATAGGAGCAGTTTTATCATTTTCTTAGTTTCTGTCCATAAAACTTATACTATACTTCTAATCTGTGGAACAATAAGTGCTCTTGGTTGAAGTTTCTCTTTAAGCAATTTATATTTCAGTCAATGAGCGATGATGATGGCATTCCTTTCGAGCCAACCGATCAAAGCAGCGCGGAATACAGAGATGTCGACAATGATACTGTCGTATGATAAATTAGACTCAAGTTTCGCATTAATTAATTATTGGCAGGTTATGACAAGTGAAATGCTCGAAAGAGAGATGAAAGCGACAATCTCGGACGTGGTCTCGGTGCTTCAGGTCCCGGCGGGAATGTGCCGAATTCTATTGCATAAGTACAAATGGAACAAGGAGAGCCTTCTCGAGAGGTAAGTTGCAGTAACAATAAACAAAAGGAAAATTGCTAATATTTTTGAAGATTCTATGAACATCCGGACACCAACGCATTCCTTCTTGACGCACAAGTGATCCCGAACAAACCCGACAATGGGCCGGTTGGGATAATCAAAGGCGAATGCGATATTTGTTGTACGCTTAGTGATTTGTCGGGTTTGGCGTGCAATCATCGCTCTTGTGCGGCGTGCTGGAGACAATACCTTAACACTAAAATCCTTACCGATTGCACCAGCGAAATTGAGTGTATGGCAACTGGATGCAAATTATTGGTAGAGGATGAAAAAGTAATCAATTTGGTTCAAATATTCGAAAAAAACTTCAATCATAGGTAATGTTCTACATTCACGATGAGCAAGTTCGTGCGGCTTATCGTCGCCTGGTAGTCGCCAGCTATGTTGACACAAATCGCCTTTTGAGATGGTGCCCGGGTGTGGATTGTGAAAAAGCTGTCAAAGTTTCGCATTGCGAGCCGCGTCTTGCTATATGCACTTGTGGCATGCGATTTTGCTTCTTTTGCGGCAACGAGTGGCACGAGCCGGTGAATTGTCGATTGTTGAAGCTCTGGATGAAGAAATGCTCTGATGACAGCGAAACTAGTAACTGGATTAATGCTAATACGAAAGAATGCCCTAAATGCCAGGTAAAATCAAATTCATTTAAAAATGTGTTTCAATTTAATTTTTTAAAGGTTATTATCGAAAAAGACGGCGGATGTAATCACATGACGTGCAAAAACATTTCCTGTCGTTTCGAATTCTGCTGGATGTGCCTGGGACCATGGGAACCGCATGGCTCCAGCTGGTACAACTGCAACAGGTTGTGCGGTCATTCATGCGAATAACATGTGATCGTTTCCAGATTTGACGATTCCGCTGCTCGACAGGCCAGAGATGCTCAGGAGCTTTCAAGAGCCAACTTGCAGCGCTACCTTCATTACTACAATCGCTACATTGGTCATCAGCAGAGTCTCAAATTGGAGGGAAAAGTAGTTTGACGCACATTTTACTAAAATGTGTAAATTTTTAATTTCTAGCTATACAATACTGTCAAGCACAAGATGGAGCAAATGCAACATTCATCGATGTCGTGGATCGAGGTGCAATTTTTGAAGAAGGCTGTCGACGTTCTCTCGGAATGTCGTCGAACACTGATGTTCACCTATGCGTTTGCGTATTACTTGAAAAAGGATAATAATTCGGAAATTTTTGAAGATAATCAAAAGGTTTGAAAATTTTGAAACAATATGATTTCGTTTCTCTCGTTTAGGATCTTGAAATGGAAACGGAGAAGTTGTCTGAATTTTTGGAGCGCGATTTGGAGAACGAGAATTTGGTTACTCTTAAGCAGAAGGTTGAACTAATGGATAAGACATTTTTTAATGCTCTGATTTTTCCAGGTTCAAGATAAATATCGCTACGTCGAGCATCGTCGCGTTATTCTACTCAGACACTGCCAGGAAGGAACCGACCGCGACATGTGGAATTATAATGAATAAAAAGTAATCATGATGTATCGTTCTTCATTTTCAAAAAATTTATTAATTTTAATTCCCTAATCTCGTATGTTTGTTTTCAATTACGCTGGGTTCTTTTTCTTTTTGTTAATATCTTCGTCGTCGAATGCGTTATACTTTTCAGGTTTTACTACAATTCTTGTCTACATTGATTTTCTTTTTCGGAGTCGTCTTTTCGGACACTGCGTATTATTTATTACACGCACCCGAAAACATTTAGACGGCTTCAGATTCTCAGAATCTGTCTTCTGTCGTTTTGTTTTTCTCTCGACGATTTTTATGCTCACTTCGCTGTAAAAGTTGTATCCTTGTCAACATTTGTTTTCCCTTCTAAATTTTGGTTATTTTCTTCTTCATCATTAGAATAATGAATGAAATTGAGATATCAGACATCGTTTACTCGTTCTTATCGTTTATTTGATAACCTAGTTTGAAATTTTTGCGTCTCAACACAATAGTTGTTAGAAGGATTACTGTAATGAATGAGATAAAAAGAACATTTTCAAAAATGAACTTTGGCGCGAAAATCTTCCAAACCATGAGATGACGGCGATGAACTGAGGCAGCGAAGCAGGAGAAGAGACTTCGAATCGCCATCAGTGCGAGAACCCGCCGAATTGAAATGGTCCCCTGAAAATGGCCAATTTTCCCATGAAGACCAACTGACCTACCAGAAGGACGGTGAATGTTGCGCAAATCAACGCGGAGATGTTCAAATTGATCATTACAAGCAATCCAGACAATAGGCGGAAATTCGAGTTGCCCGAAATTCCAATAAACGCCGCGTGCCACGGAATCGACGATATCGCCGGTGAGTGGCCAGTGAAGTAGAAGCCATAAGTAATCAGAAGGGTTATGAGTGCTGGGAGTTCATCTTAAAAAGATGATTGATCAATTGCTCGATAATGTGTGAGGCTTTTACCTTTTTCAACGATTCTCGTTGCCAAATAAATTAATGTGATATAAAGAATTAAAGCTGGCTGTTGGCCATCGCCAACAATCAGAAAACATGGCCATAAAGCTGATTGAATCGCGAATGGATATCCCGAACGTCTGAACGATTTCAATTGATATATTCGGATGACTCGCGACTCACCCGTTCGAAATTGCAACGATAACCGAAATAAGACTACCAATATATATTATTTGAACGGTGATGACAGCTCGAAACGATGAATTTGGTAGGACTTGCAGAATCGAATGGAAACTTATCAGAGCGATTATTGGAAATGATAGTGCTCTTAGGATTCGCAGCGATCCTAACAAATTCGTTTCAGCAAGAATTTCAGCTCTCTTTTAATACCTGAACAAGTTGAAGGCGAACAAAAATATTTATGGAATCCATAGTTGAAGCCTAGCAGCGAGATTGCGGCGAAAAGAACCCTCCAGAATTGGGCATCGACTTAAATGAAAAATTAATGGTGATATGAAAATCGTTGCGGTTTAAAATTTGCGTTCTACTGTTGGGTTGGGTTTCGCAACATGAGTGTCGATTTTCACGCGCGGGGATTTTTACATCATGTCGGTCTCGTTGTCTCGAAGCCATTTCTGGCATTTAGCCAATTTGTAGAAGTCGCGAGATTTCGACATTACCTGAGAGCGAACTGAAAATCTGCGCCGGATAGTGCTGAACGCAATCGACCTCCTCTTCACGACATCGATGAAAATACGGCTCACTTCGTAGAATCGCTAAACAAATAACTAATAATTGGAGTGAACGATTACTCCAAATCGACGACTTCTTTTTCGCCAAATTTCTGAAATTCTGTCGTAATTTTTGAGAAATATTGACAAATTCGAAGCATACCCAATATTTGCGATGGTTGAGGCTAGAAGAACTCCTTGAATCAAGTATCGTGTCACCATCGCTTCATAAATCACAAAACTATTGGAAAATTGTGAGACCGAATGTAGAACGACGGCGACAAACGCAATATCGGCGACGCCAATTTTGAAGCCCTCTTGTAATTTGCGTGAGACCAGCGATATGGCTGAAGAAAGGCATGATACCGACAACGCCATCTACAATCAAATTTTGGCTAAAAATAAATATCTCCGTAAAAAAGAGACAATACCGTTAATAGTGTGTTGGCCGCTTTTGATTCAGAATGATCTACCAACAACGCGCATTGCAATAGAATACATCCAGAACGCACAATGAACCATTCGATTGAGACCTTCTAGAATTTAAAATTTAATTCTGTGTTTCTTTTTTAATAAAATATTATACCTGAGCGGACAGCAAGAATAAAATCGCTTCGATTAAACAAATATTTCCGATAATGATGTAGGAGTCATCAAACTGAGTCCATGCATCGCGAAGAGTTCGTTGAATCCGCGACATTGCCCAAATTTGGTCTTGCATGGAATTCACTTCTCTTGCCGTCACCTCATACAACGCACCGAAACGTTTTTGAAGTGTATACGTTTCGGCGAATCTGAATCATTGTCAATATTCGGAATCCGCTTAAATGATACCTTTTGATCTGCTCGTAATTCATCGCCACTACCGACTCCCTCATTTCGATAGGGAACAATTCCAGAATAGCGGTGCCAAGATTCGAAAACGGTATGGGAAGACCCAAAAGCAATGAAATCGTGGGGACAATGTCAATCTGACTTATTGGTTGCGTTGGAAGGCGAATTTCGCGATTTTTTGCGTAAACCTAAAATTTTACATATCCCAAGTGCCATTTTTGAAATAAAAAAATATTACAAATATTCCGGCTTTCACTTCATCATCAGAATCGCCTCCGTGATCACCAGTGATTGTCATTCCGTGATCGCCGATCACCATAAGCAGGTCATCATCTCTCATCCCGTTCAAAGTCTCACCAATTATTCGGTCCATCTTCAATTTCAATTTTTAAAAGACAAGAACATTTTCAATTTTATTTATTAAAATTTCGAAATTTTATTTTTCCCAAAATTTTTGAGATTTAAAGAAAGTAACCATGATTTTTTTGTGAGAAAAAAACAATCTAATCTCATTGAAATATGAAATCAGCATTTGAGACTTATTTAGCAAATACCTTTCTTAATGTATCTGCCATGACGGGATGTTTTGGACCATATTTGTGTCCGCAATGGTCCACACCGAGAAAATGAGCAATAATAATCGATGAATTCGATTCTCGAACTTCTTGCTCAAAAACAGCTAAAAATCGAAAATCGTTTCTTAAAAATCATATACAATTGAAAAAAAAAACTATACGCTTGATTTTATCATCCACTGTATTCAAATCATTGATATCAAACGAATAGTGAACAAAGGCTTTCGAAAATTGTTCCGGATAAAGAGAAAGCCTGAAAACATTCAATCAATCAATCATTTTGGACGTTTAATAACAAACCAAGTATCATCTCCCATAATTGAGACATTCATTCCAAGCGAATTCGCCTGATACAGAAAATTGTCTTCATTGACGATAGCATCCGGCGAGAAATTCTCTCCGGCATCAATGAACGTTGGCAATGTTCCGGTCGTCAGTGCCTGACAAGCTAAAATTATTCACGAATTGAATTCTTTGGAATTACTTTGATTCGTTGAAGGGTGGTAGTCGGCGGATCAGCTATTAATGTTCCTATTCCGCAATTCTTTCCGGCTTTAAGTTGTTCATAGACGTTCTAGATTAATTTTTGCGTGAAATGCCAGATGTTCTACCTTCATCTGTCCGGTGTAGTAATTATGGTGCGATGAATGTGATGGCGGAATTAGAAAATCATATCTCAATGCGTCAATTAGCATAACAATTATCTGGAAATTATTTGTTTCACTATAAATTCTAAAAATTTTCAATTTACCCGTTTGTATTGCGGTTTTGCCCAACATATTGCCCCATCGCCACCTTTCGCATCCTGACATCGACTTTTCTCTCGAATTTCCTTTAATTCCAAGATTTTATCAATTTTTTGTCATTTTTTGGCTACCTGCCGTTTCAGCAGAAATCCCGTTTGAAAAATGAATAGCGCGAGGATGATGTTAATCGAAACTAAAAATAGACGACTCTTCCGTATCACATTATTCATTCTGCCAAATTTTTGATAAGAACAAGGTTATCAAAAAAAGTTGATATTTTCATGAGCTCGAGCAACAACAACGAAAAAAGAACACATAACTCTTTTTCAAAAATATACATTGTTTATATACATTCTAAACGATTATTTTTAAATGCAGTGGAACATAATTGAGGCACACTATGAGAGGAAGTCAGTTTGGGTTATAGCATATTAGAATATTATTTGGTTTAGTTTGATCCCAGCACTTTTTTGGCGCACGCTAGAAGAGCAATGAATTTTGATGTTTTTTGAATCTTCACTCTAAATTGCACAATATAGGCATATTATGGGCTTCAACTACTTTCTCGCATCCTTATTTACAACTTTCTTCACAATCGTCCGTTTCCTAGAATTTTTCGATGGCTCTGGTTTCGCCGATGTCTCGACTTCCGACTTTGGTTCAGAAGAGCTTATCGAGGTATCCTTTAAAAAAATATAAAATTTGAATATTTTTAATAAATTTCCAAATCTCACAGATTTATGAGGTTTGTCCATTTTTACTGGAATCTTTAATGCTTTCTTCGGCGGCGCCGACGTCGCCTCTTTTTTCGCCGCCGCTTTCGCTGGTGTCGCTTTTGCGGATGGCGCCTTCGCCGGAGTTGCCTTCACAGGAGTTTTCTTCTCCGACACTTCTTTGACCTTCGAAGTCACTGTTTTCACATTAGCGATTACAGTTTTCTTAGGCGCCTAAAACAATTTTTCAATTTCAGAAATTAAAAAAGCCGAACGGCTCACCGCTTTCGCTGATGTCTTCTTCACAACTGTCTTTTTCTTTATCGCCGTTTTCTTTTCGCTTTTTTCGACCGGCGAGCCCGTCAATCCCAACTTGTTTGCTTCGTTCAAGCTTGCCCGAAGTGCTTTTTCCAATTCATGCCGATCAAATCTAATCATAATTGATCAAATAATGAGCAGAAAATAAGGAATTGATTACCCTTCCTCGACCTTGCTCAAATCTATCCGCTGACGACTGGACTTTCGTGTGCTATTAGAAGACATCTAAAAGCACAAGAATAAGGCAAAAATTGAGTAAATACGGCCAAAAATGTATAAAATCGGAAGAAAAACCGAAGGATTTTGATAATAATTGCCAAAAAAATGAAGGAAACAATTTTATTTTGTTATAATTTTAATTAAATGTGTGTATAATTTATAAATAAATACAATTCAAAATGTATATAGGAATATATCGTTATAATTTCATTAAGCAAAGTTAATTTTTAAAAAAACTATTCATCTTCCTCGTGGAGTCCAAACTCGTTCAAATCATCATTTTCCTCTTTTTTTACAACATTCTTTTTCGGCGATTTTTTAACATTCGTCTTTTTTGGTGATGCCTTTTCATTTTTCGCAGTAATTAAAGCCTTAATTTCATTCAAAAATTAATTTCACGTAAAAAATACGCTAACTACCTTCTTTTTCGCCATTTTCTCCGACATTTTTTGCCCCAACGCTTTATATTTCGCCGATCGCTCTTCCAAATATTCTTTCTTAATATTCAATAAAATATCTCTCGCTTTTTCGTGTTTTTCAACCGGCGTCATATTCTGCAAAAAATTGCAATGGATATCATTGTGAGTCAAATGACCACTTACCTCAAAAATTTTAAATTTGTCCTTCACTTTATTCCAATCAAAATGAAAATCGGGATTGTAGCTGTTAAGCAATACATGCGCTGAAACAACTTTCGCTTTTTGCATTTCTCATAACGCTTGTGATTTTACATCCAAATAGGGGATATGTATGTCGACCGAATCCCGTCGGCGGGTTCAACGCAAGATATTCCGAAGTATAAATCGAGTGCGTGTCCTCGCCGGGCTCATTGAAGATTTTTACACGCCCCGCGCGATTCTTTTGCGTCGGCTCTCCGGTACACTGCAATTATTGAATGTTGAGCTCATTTCGATTCCCATTTTCATTTCTTACCCCCTCATCCGGAACTTCGCCATCAAATGCCATCGAAATCAGTGTTACATAACTGTAATTCACGCGTTTTCTGTGATTTTTTCATGCGCCCCCCGAATATCCGAATATCCGCCACCAGCATTCAATATGAACAAAATCAAATGAATGATGTTATTTCGAATCAACAACAAAAAAGAAAACAAAAAAGGGAAACAAACGTTTAAAAAAAAGGAATTAAATTGCGGCACATCAAATGAAAATCAAGCATTAATAATGAAATGAAAAATTTCATTTACGCGTACCTTTCCATACCCTTTGTTGTTAAACCATACTCTTTACGCAGCCGCCGATCGGTCCACTCTTTAATAGGAGTCTGAAATGAATTAGAGTCGGACTATTCAGAAAACCTTTGAGATCAATTACATTTTTCGGCGATTTTTCTATTACACTCATTTTTTTCGGGGTAGTTTCCGCTGGGAGCGCTGCATTCTCGTATTCTTCGTCTTCTACCTCTCTTAATAAAAAAAAAATAATTTTAGACAAAAATTGTGGAAAAAAATCTCACTGTTTCACTACTCGCTTCCGTAAAGTCATCCGTTTTTCAGTATTTACAGGGGTTGACGTTTTCGAAATCGACGCAAATTTCTCATTCAAATTCGCTCGTGATGCTAAAAAATCATCGATGTCCAAATTAAAAGCTATTTTTCCCCCAAAATAAAAAAATTACAAGATGGCGTTGATTTTGGTGATGGCGAATAATTGGAGTATAGCACATTTTTCGAGCACCTTCGAATACTGCGAAGCGGTGTGGCGATTTTCGCTTTCTGAAAATATTCGCTTATGATCCAAATCAGCTCTTCAAAATCTTTACCTCAATCTTCTTCTCCATCATTTCGCGAGCTCGCGTCGTCATTTGTGTATTCGCCTCGCTCTTTTTCACCATTTCTGATAAGCGCTTTGAGTATCTGCAACGGGAAAAAAATTAGGCAATCGTTCCAAAATTTAGTTAAACGCTTGAGAAGAAACGCCTACCGATTCCGGCTTTTGTTCGCTGCCATTCTCAGTTTCGCCATTGGTGTCTGCTCAACAACTTCTTCAATTTCTTTCTTTATCGAACGCTGCACAAAAAAAATAATTGGTAAAGATCAATTTCATATAGTCGTCCTACTCGTGTTTCGTATTTCTCATCCGGTGTCGCTGGAACAAAAACGCTTCTTAACTCGCGTTTTTTCGAAGGCGTCGCCGGCGGCTCTAAAAAAACGAAAAGAAAATCAAGGTTTGAATTTCCATAAATAAAATGTACATCTGAACATCATCTCATTTATAATAGCAATGGGAAAAAGATGCATATCAGTCGGCGTGCCCTCCCCCCCCCCCCCCGTCAATATATCTAACTGGGCGAGATGTATGCAAGTTAGCGGACGAGAGAGCACTTGAATAGAAGAGACGCTAGCGATAGAAGGTGCGTTGAAAAAAATTAAGAAATGCTGAGCAAAAAACAGTGTTTTTGTGTTTAAATTGCTCAAGCAACAACAAAAATCAACACCACTCGCAAATTTTCTCTCGAGCACGTGCATTTCGTCAGAGATCATGCGACACCGACGAAATAGTTGGGTGTAATCTGCTATTGTTAGTTTTGATGCGATATTCAATTAATAGTACTAACTCAAAAAAAAGATAAATTTTGATTTTTTCCTCAATCTGTATAGTAGGATTGAAGAAAGAGACGTTCGAGATCACCGTATTAACGCCGTGTGTGCAAATATACCAAAACACAGCACGACACAACCATATGTAGACTCTCCACTGCAACGTGGAAACAGCCAAAAAATTGTTTAAAAGTGGATGAAAAATAGATATTTCTACAGTCTGAACCATTTTTCATCTATTTTTAATTCATTTTTGTCCTTTTCCCAAAAAAAAAAACCACTTGCAGTGTTTCTGGGAAAACAAAAGCGATAAGGTTCTTTTATTTTTTAATGGTACCTTGTAAATTTGGAAACAGATTTTAGTAATTAATAAAAAGAAACTTCACAGATTATGGAGAAAACTAATTGTAATCAGTTTCTTTTCGAAATGTCATAATATATTTTATAGAAAATGAAAAAAATGAGGAATTTTCAATTTCCCTTCCCAAAATTAATTGCCTTTTAACAATTTTTATGGAAGAACGCCAATTATTAAAAGCGCATATCGTTTTTCTATTGGAAACCTTCTAGAATTCAGACTGAACAGTTCAATTTTCTAACCAAAAAGTGAAAAAAAAGTTATAACTGTCCCATTTTATAGAAAACACACACAAAAAAACCTTTTTTCGGGTTATTGGCGCTCCGCAGTCGTTTCACACCTCGTTTCTCTTTCTCATCACTTGGCCGTTCAACGCCGCCGGTTTCGGCTAATAGCATTTCCAATTGTCTGGCATTCGCATTTTTGCGTCGAACTACCGAAATGTCTTCGAATTCGAGCTAAAAACAATTCGTAAATATAAAAAAGTATTTTTTTTTAACCTTAAATCCGCTTTCATATTGAGCTAAATCAATTGGTATTGATATGCAAAGATCCTCGTAGATTTTCGCCAAAGATTCAGGAATGTAGTCAATAAAACTGAAGGAAAAATTATGATTTTTCTTTTTGGCAATTTTTCTAAAAAAAACGCTTACATATCAGTTACATCTTCTTCTAAAAACGTTCGCATTCTTTGAGAATCGGCCGTGATAAAAATGAGGCGAAGTTTGTTAATGACCTTGAATCGAAAATTAATTAGTAATTGAATAATCGAGAACAAAATGAAACATACATCATCCAGATGAGTCGTCTGATCTTGACAATGATGTGCGAACAAATGGAGGCCGAATAGAACCTGAGGGTAAGCAAATACAACATTACGCGAAGAGTGGAATAGAGAAAAAAGAAAATTGAAAAGGAAATACTCTCGAATTGGATACTGCGCAAACAGACAGTTCGGTGAACAAATAAATACGTCCAAAATATGCCAAATTTGTGATAACAAACCGCTCAAAAAGCAAAATTATGAGGCATGATGTACCTGCGTTTGAAGTTCTTTTATTCTTATCTCGTCGCTGCAATCTTTCGATTCATGTGCTTCATTCAATTGTTGACACGTTCGATAGATAGTGGAGGATAGGACAGAACAGCAAAGCTTCTGAACAACGATAAACGGGTTACAATAAACTTTTGATTTATTACCTCGCAATGATTGTCCCAGGTTTTATCGCGATAGTACAAATTTAAAGTATCGGTTATGCTATAATAAGCGCATGCAGAAGATGTCTTTGAATCATTTAGCAAGTTCCAATAAAGTTCTTCTAAGGCAGATGGAAGGGAATCTTCCGGAAAATCTATACCGAAAAATCCATAATTTGAATAATTAACTAATTGAAAATGAGTAATTCGTACCCCATTTTACGATTTCTCGACCATCTCTATGGTTTTTTATTCTCGCTAGCCTCATTTCCATTAATCGCTTTTCACGATGCGTTTTTGATCGTTTTCGCTCGACTTCGATACTTTTCAAAACTAAAAATACCACAATTTGAATGATGATAATGAATCAATGAAAATTATCTACCCAAACTCTCTTCTGGTGTCGAAATTGAGGCGCTTGTTGAAGAACCTGCTTCATCCATGTCATTTGCGTCTAAAAACAATTTTGAGTTCAATATCGCAAAATATTATCAAGATGACTATGAAAACGATAATTTGTCATTAATAATTGATGACAAAAAATCGGAATCGAAATAAAATTGAGAAGAAGAAAACTTGTCAGCTGCGGCTGTTTTATCGCCAAAACGATGAACTTTCATCTAAAACGCAGAGAAAAAAGGTAAATTGGGCGGAGACACGGCGTGTTTGATGTGTTCAATACCTACCAAATTTTACATGCAATTTGCGTCGACTGTCTTGCATTGTACTCTGTAATTTTCAATGAGCTTAAAATTGTATATGATAAGCTGGATACCGTATTATCACTGCGTGCTTTCTTGCAAATTTGTTTTCCTAGATTTATCTGGAAAAAATTAATGTTCAGTTTGATTGAGCCCAAAACTAAAAATATATGTATACCTCGTTTAAAATAATTTCTCGTACAGAATCGAACGGAATCTCACTTCTTTGTAGCTTCACAGGGCTCAACCTACGTAAAATTGTATAAATGTTTAATTTTCAACGCGTTTTACCTGTTCAGCATTTCAAATGTGAAATCTTCAAATGTTTTACCGTTCATGTCTGTTCGTATAATCAAATAATTCCTTTAAAAAATATTTTTTTTAATTTAAAAAGACTGGAAAAATCAATAAAATTGAGCGTTCTGAATAATAACCGAAGAGGGGAAAACGAAAAACGGCGGGAGTAAAACTCAAACTACGAAATAAGGCCAGCGTATATGCGTTTGCGGGCCATCTGGCACGTTGCCAATGGAAGTGGTCATTCGGTCAGCTGGCGAGAAGACGAGACGCAGACTGCGATGGTTGGAGTCGTGCCAGCGGATACGAGTAATACAAACAATTAAAATGCGCAAGAACATCCACCGTCTGCAGGTACAAAATGTGAGGGAGAAATTAAAGTCCCGTGAATAATAATTAATAATGATTTTCTAATTGTTTCTTATTTGCCATTTCTTTTTGACGTAAATATTATTTAATATTGAAATTTTCAAACGCGTGGGTATACGAAAGCTAACACAATTTTAAAATGCGCAATGATAAAAAAGAGGAGGCGCAGAATGCAAAATATTGAGCTAACAAGTTCAAATGTGCAGCCGTCACCTGACAAGTATAATACCAAAAATAAATTAATTACTAGACTTTTAATCAAAATTTTATTCTTCAAATAATTGTTTTTTACTCGCATCGAAGCGAAATTCAATTCAAATGAAGCATGAATTTGAAAATCGATAAAAACTAAAAATGAAAATACAGTAACACGTTTAAAGGTTTATCCAATTTTTAATGAAATATTCCGCGCCCAAAATATTTATGTATTAATTTGAAAAATTTTATTTTGTACTACATCACGATTGTAAAAAATTGAACCTTTCTTGCAACAAATCTCTTTCTATTAAGATCCAAAAAAAATTGTAATTAATAAATATTTGAAATGCAAATATTTTTCCCACAATGCCAATTTCATCAATAAAATCTTTATAAAAATAAACGTGCGATCAAAAATAGAGATGAAATGAATTATCATTTCATTCTCCACTAATTTTCTACTAACATGTGAGTTTAAATTTGGAAGCTCTCGAGGGTTTTTGAAACTTTAATTCAGTAATATGGACAATAACAATTCCCCACCACCGGTGGTACGGGTCCCAAACGACGTCACACCACCTGCAAATCAGGAAACCGTCCGCAGAAGACTTAGTATGAATGTGTCGTCTACTGATTCGGGATACGCATCGCCAATTGGTAATTTAAACGAATGATGACAAAATCAGAAGGAATGAATTCTCAGCGATTGGCAATTCCGCCCCAATTATGGCATCAACTCTTCCTTCCCCTGTTGTGTTGACACCAGTGACAATTGCTCCAAGAAGAAGGCACGATTTCCAAACATAGAATGAAACACGAAATTTGGTTTAGAACCGTTCAACGAGTTCCAAGAGTTCGACAGAGAGATTCTCGACGATCACAGACGCGTGTCATTCGACGAGGACAACGAACGCCGGCGTCGAGAAGGCGAATTGGGCAGAAGTGAGAAGCTGGCTGTCATTACAGATAATGTGCAGAATTGAATTGACCAAATTCAGAATTGAGAAGACGCAAACCGCCGTCGAATTTGATCCCGACGAATTCAGTTCGGCGCTCGAAGCGCTCGCTGTTAAGTCACCGGAATACGCGAAGCCCAATAAAGAGGCTTCGGTGACGAGCGCCGAAGCGAAAGTCCGAGAAGTCAACCGATTGGAAGCTGTTGAGAAGGCCAAACAGGCATTGCAAAATCCATCGGCAAGAAAAAAATATATATGATATAGTTATCGTGTTTTTTTTTAGGCCACCATTGAAGAATTGAATAGTCTTCTGACGAGAATTAATTTAGAAATTGAATCGCTTGTATTGGAAACAACGACGGTATTATAGCATTGAGAATGATGGATGTTTTTCAAATTTCCAGATTGACGGGACCATTGAAAGCCAAACCAAATGGCGAGCAGAATTGCAGAGGAAAACTGAATCGATTGAAAAAATGATGGCTGAAATGAATAAAAACTAAATGAGCAGCCTTTTTTGGGGGAAACCATTTTTTAATTATCGCAGACCCAAAAAATGCAGTCCGCGCGAGATCAAAAGGAAGATGCGTCGCCGTAAATCTACAACAGTCGCCCGGACGCCGTATAGAAATTTGAATTCGCTGTTGCTGTTGTTTCAGCATGACACTCGAATTTGTTCCTCGTTTGATTGTTATTTGCTTTTTTTTTTCGTTGCCTCGCTTCTGGGCGTTGGCGCCCCCCTCTCCCCAGACGAATAGAGACACGCCTCGTTATGAAATAATCTGATATGGCGAACATGCTCTTACAAGTCGCCATGGAGACAGTAAATTGTATTACGAAGCAGTAAAAAGAAAGAAAAAAATGTGAGCAAATATATGAAATCGGCGTTTGGGTGATTTCAGCACGGCGCTATTGTTGTTTTTTTTTTTGTTTTCCTCCAATAAAATGTTTCTCTCAATTTCAGAATATCGTCGCTATTGAATGGGAGATGAGAGTCAATCTCAAATCACGCAAGGATTGTCAGTGAGTTTTCCTCGTCGCCCAAATCATCGTGAATAATCATGTCGAGAAGCCTAGCGATAAGCTCGAAGCCTTTCAATAGAAACCACCCGTGTGTAGGATGCACCTAACATGAATTGTCGTTTAGATATATTTGAGCTATTCAATTTTGACTACTTAATTTTAAAAATGAAGAAATATAAATGTTTAAGTTTTTACCTAGGAATTGCAACTTGTCAATATCCCCGAGTTCAAAAAATAGGTTGAAAAAAATATACTCAAGTATAAATATATCGTTTTTTTTAAATCCCACATCGGAAATGAGTTCTCGAATATGTGCAAATATTAAAAAAATAATTCGATTAGTAGTGCACATTGTATGTCATAAAGAAACCCTTCATTCAATACATCGGCCAAATTCCATCGATTCATTTTGTGAATATTGTTTCGCTTCGGGAAACAATGGAAAACTCTCACGCATTTCGTCAACACATTTTCGATAATCATCAAAATCGTATTGTAAGTTTTTCGCGAAAATTCTCGAGCATTTCTATTCTTTTTCTCAAGAAGTGGAGTTCAAAAAATCGAATGATGGAATTTATATTTTAATTTTTTTCTTAATCGAGCGAATAATAAAATTAGGCTTTGTTAGTCATAATAATTATACTAATTAATTTATATTTTGATCTCAGTTTAGTTCAGAGATGGCATGAGGGGAGTGATAAGCAAAGAAGAAATTCAACCTTCTATCAATTTTCTACCCAAACATTCATTTCTCAGAGCTGGGCGATGCAACTCGGCAGTCTTCCAGCCCAACCAAAGAATGGTGTGATACGCACATACGAGAATCAGGCTCGAACATTCTCGAGGCCCTACTCCGCCAAAAGTGTATATTTCTACAAAGAAGGCGATGTGTTTTTTACGGTTAGTCAGTTTTTGCGAAGCATGGGAAAGAAAATAATAATTATTATTCGTCGCGATTTCAGGGTGTTCGAATTCCGGTGTCAAAACATCGATATAAAACATTGAATAGTCTTATGGAAGATCTCAACCATCAAATGTACATGCCCTTTGGAGTAAGTTTTCGTTTGTCATTATTATGATTTTCCCAAAGGGATAAATTGAAAAATAAGTATATATGTTATTCTAATCAAAATATTCAGCAGAGCGCACTTAAATTCATTTTTCGTTTTCAATATTCGATGAAGTGATTAAAAACATTCCGACAAAATTCAATTATTTTTCCTCTGTCACTCAAATATAATATTATATATATAGAAACGGCAAATTGTGTGTATTTTCGAGGCACATGTTTCAATAAAAGCCTTATTTCAAATAGTTTTGAATCTTGAAAATACTTTTTTTTTCAAGAGCAGTTTAGTCGCGGTGGCTGCATTTTAATCAAGTTTTGCAGGTTCGCAATATCACGACACCAATGGGAAAAACGACGATTGAAAGTTTGGATCAACTTCAACATCTTGGAAAGTAGGCGCATATTATTTTGTTAAATGAAACAAAAGAAAATTGATAATCATTCAAGATACGTCGCTTCGTCATCGAAACCGCCGCGTGGTCTCGATTTTGAGAAGGTCGAAAAAGTTCAAACGGCGATGCGTAATCAGCGAGCCACCAACGGCGGTCAATCATACTGGGTAATTCTTGTCATCGTCGGGGAATTGAATACTGCTATTCAGATGAGATATATTTTTTCCGCTTCTGATGAATAGGGGATTATTGCGTGCTGATATTGTTTGCGAGCTAAGCCGTCTACAATGAATGTAGCCGGTTTGGATATAATATCCAACTCATACACTTTTCTCGAAAATTCTTATATCGCTAGTTTTTTTTATTTCTCTAAAAATAATAATGATTATTGTTACAAGAAGTTTGCATCCGTGATTATGTTGTGAAAGGAATGCGCCCCGAGAAGTGGTGCAATAGCGCAGCCGTATAAATTTTGGAATCATTACCGTGGAGGTCATGGATTCGGTCCCGCTTTAGCGCAAAGCGTTTTTGATGGGGACCCTTTTTGTGAAAGCAATATTCAATCCCCCTCGAATCTATTAGGCATTGGTGACCATCTCTTATAGGTGTCAGCTTCTCCAAGCCTTCCTCAAAAAATGCGAATGAGCCGAATGTTAGGGCTCAACGTGATATCGGCCAAGCAGGTAACCCATTGTTGATTTCAGACATTTGAAAAAAAGCCATGCCGATGTCACAATTCCATCGAGAGTGCCGCCATTCGATGCCAAACATTGGCTCAATCCATAGATTGCCGCTAGCTCCGAAAATTGCCAAGGTTTTATTATTATGAGAGAAGGGGGGGGGGCACGAGAAAAAAAGCCAAGAGAATTGAATACGAGAAATCGCAGAAAAAAAACACTACAATTATTTGTGGTGTGAAGACATTCATTCGAATTCATTGATTCTCCCTATTCTCCGCTTTCCGGATGATGCATCCGGCCATCATTTTGGCTACTCCGGAACCAACACAATCGGTAAATGCATGGGGGGGGGAAATCTATATAGGCATATGTGGTATGGATACAAGTCAACAAAAAAAACGAGAAAACCCCTCATGCCAATAGTATCAAATTTTATAGACTTTCACCTTTTCTGTGTTCTTTGAGGTGTTTTTCGTGCTCAATGGAAAGGGGAAATTCTATCGGACGCTTATCAATCCGATGAAATTGCCGTTGATGGACCAACTTTTGGAAGAAGTCAGCACCGGGCTCGAAGTTCATTTCACGCATTACTCATCTCGATTTAATCAACGATATTTAGGCGGCGATATTTCGATTTTATACGTCTGACGGGAATCGAATTACGACAGTTGAGGACATTTTGTCGTCGAATTCACCAAAGGTATACTATTACAGTCGCCAAAAAATGAGCACCCTGTGAGTTTGATTCACAGGTTATCCGTATTACGGTATCCGAAATTCCACTGTTTATATCGAAACTTGAATTACCCCCTTGACGGAAGGAATGCGCATATATTTTGTGGCAAAAAACAAAAAAAAAATCGAAAATGTGTATTGTCGAATTATTAATTCTGGTGGCCTTTTCGATTATCAGAAGAACGCTCTAAAACTTTTCCTTCAACGATCGTGCCTTGATTGTGGTCTTGACTCTTTTTAAAAGGCGCATGCCACTGTTGTCAAAAATGAAACACTCCCGGCCGTAGGGATCGCTTTGAATTGCCGCCACCGCTAATTATAGCAAACAGATGATTGTAGCGCGTCCCGGAATATGTCCGCAGATGTTTACAATAAAATATCCCTTTCTACGATTACAAGGCTCAATGCCGGGCCCACATTTTGACAATCGCCTCTCCATAACACTGCTTTCAGATTATTGCGTGTCCTCGCAATGAGCGACCGTACTTTCAAGAATCGGTGAAGCTTCCCGAAATAAAACCGAGTCGTTATGCGCCAAGACCCGCGCATGTGAAAACTGGTATGATAATAATAATTATTAAATATAAATTGTTGTTAGATTCACTCTCAAACACTGATACGAGTACGACAACATCAACTAGATCGAATGGAATTGAGAAAAGGTGAAGCTCTTTTTTGAACGAAAAGTTCACACAATTCATATAGGTCGAAAATACCCGCATTGCCTAAGCAGAGGATTAGCCAGCGAGTAGTTGAGAGCAAGATAACGCCGATGACAAAATCACCGAAGAAGCGCTTGCATGGACAGCTGAATGCCGGGAAGACGAAACAAGCGAAAGAGATGCCTGGCGCAACGCCGATATTGTATAGCAGCGCGACGAAATTGCGCGGCGAGACCTCGCCAACGAAAATCGACGATCAAGACTCGGGCGCCGGAAACTCGGTGGCGAGCAGTTGGCACACATCGGAGGCCTCCGAATCGGCACGACCTGAAAGTATGACGGAGCACAAAGCGAGAATGATTCGAGAGGAAACCAACAATAGTCAGGTGCACAGTGAAGAAGACCTCATACTCGAAGAAGACGATGATTCAGTGAATTCGGGTTTCAGAAATCAATCTAGTTAGCACATTCAATTTATTGGTTTAGGTATCAATAGTCGTACGAATAGCTCGTTGAACGATAGCGCAGTTGGCAAAAGTCGCGAAACGTCGGCAGAAGTGGAGAACGGTAATGAGGGCGATGATGATGAAGCTGATGATGATACGCTTCGAAAGTATACGCCGATGTCAGCGACGGAGACCGCGAGCAGCGGCGATTCGAAGTCACCTGAAGTCGAACTGCCATCTCAAAATTCAACTAGTCAATCGAATCGGCATCAATCGCCGAAAGTTGAGGAGGCGCCTTCGAGAGAATCAACGGAAAGGAACGGCAATCAGACGCCAGCTGCGCACACTCCTGACACTGAACGAATTCCGACACCATATCCGCCTCGGACATCTAGTGATAGCGATCGGGTATGAGGAAGGATGGGAGGGTTATTGAAATATGCTATTGAATCTATAGGAAGACGTTCTACCATCCGACGATGACGACGAATCGATTGAGAAGATTGAAGCGGCCGCCACTCGGATTCAGGCAGCGTTTCGCGGATTCCGAGCAAGAAAAATGATGAAAGGTAACAAAAAAGTTGAAAATTGGCGTTTTCCACCAACTATCGAATCTTCAGTGAGTTTCCATGACGATTCAAAAGAGCACGATGATAATATTGAGTCGCTACAAGACATTAAAAATGGTAATTTTGAGAATTTCGCAATGGCGCTCGCAACAATTTGAAAATTTAGAAGAAGGATTCAGCATGAAATCGGTGCAGGCTGGAAGTACAATTATAACATACACAATTGAAGTTAAAATTGGATTTCGCTATGGCGCTGACACCGAAGCCGATTTGTATTTGATAATATTTGGGGATGATGCGCAGAGTCAGAGGATTTTGCTTCGGCAAGAGGTTGGTCGAAGCATAATTCGCAAAAATGTTCCGATTGATTAAGGCCGACTGGCTGCACACAACACAATCGAAATTCGTCGAAGGCGGAATTATTCGGTTTTTCGTCGAATCGCCCCATTTGGGAACGTTGAATCGAGTGGTGGTTGGACATAATAGTCCGGGTTACGGTAGTCGAGAGCGGAATTCGCTGAGAATTGCGGAATTCTTGCAGGCGCTGGACTTCATATTGAGTATATCGTGGTGTCTGAGAACCTTCTCGACGGTCGACAATTTCTATTTTTTGTGAACAAATGGCTTGACGGCGGACAAGTTGATGGCAAAATTGAGCGCACCGTCTTCCTCACTACATTTTTGTATCTCGCGGCGAGACCTTTGGTTCAGAATGCGACAACGCGTTGGTGGTTCATTGAGTCGCCTATTCATCGGAAATGATTTTCAGAGGGTCGATGGGAATTCATCATACATACAAGAAGGGATGAGCTTGGCGGAACAACGTCGAATCTGATTCTCGTTGGATACGGTAGCAGCCATTTTTTGTGTGCATCTCACTTTATCATGATTTCAGGTGATGAGAAGAACTCGATTCATCGAATTGAGAATGACACTATGATGAGGGATTGCACGATGAACCCGTTGATACAGGTCGGGAGCGTTGAAGATTAGCTGAGAGAGATTCAAATAGAATATTTCAAGGTGGACTTTGGACTGGATCTAGGGCTTTTGAGAAAAGTGAGATTCGAAATTGATGGAGAAGGAGATAGGCCCAACTATTTCATTGAATATATTGAAGTACGAGATCTTGACACAGAGGAGAGAAGTGCCGTCTCGTAAGGAAATCAGATCGAGTCCAAAAGATCATTAATTGAGTGTTCAGAATCAATAAATGGCTAATGGTTCAACCAGACGAGAGCACGAAAAAGTATCAACCATTTCGGGAAATCACAATTTACCGCAAAAATTCGCAACCATGGCCAAGTATGCTGTTTGCTATAGGTTTTGGGAAACTTATAATACTACGATCGCAAAAAAACGAGCACTTTGTATAATCGTGGACTATCCCACTTTTTGAGGCGGTAATTCAAATTCGATTCAAAAAATCGAAAAAAAAAAACATGATTAAAACAATGAGCAGAATTCTAAAAAAAAACAGCAAAGCTGAGTACTCTCTGTAATTGCGCGTCAACTCCGAGGTATGTGTGCATACACCGAGTGCTTACCGTACGTCCGTGTGATAAAGCGAAATTCCTCGTGAGATCTCCCCTCATTAAAAAACTTTACGTGATACTAATAATTATCAATGGGCTTTTAATCAATGACATTTTGATTTTTGTTGATATTTTCAGTGACGACATATGAAGGAAAAGTTAGTTTTGCGGATACTTCTCTATGTAACAGCGAAATTCCGAAAATCAATTTGCAATTGATTGGCGAACGCGGTCAATCCGGTGTATTTCCTGTGCTTCCAGCAACGTTGCCATCGGGAAAAATTGTATTCCTAATTTATAGAAAAAATATTACTAAATGGTTTCTTTTTTGACAGATTCATAGCTTTAAGATTGAGATGGTTTCGTTGGGCACCATTACCGAAGTTCGAGTAATCCCAGAGATCACCCAATTGGGTTTGGATATTGTGTGCGGTCTCAATTTTCTTCAGGAGATTTATGATAACCATGAGATACCGATGACGGTTGGAGATCAGGTAATTGATGCCATACATAGTTAGCTAGGCAATCTTCAATCGCAATTTCAGTTATTCGTTAATGAAGTGAGTATTCGAGAAACTCTTCACGCGCCATTCCGCCATATCTATGGGTTGTCTAGTATCAAATTTGAGGAGAATAATGCGAAAGGACCGTACTTTAAAACGCTGCATGTGAAGGGTATCAACACAATTTGAGATTCAAAATGAACAAGAAGCATTTTCAGTTATCGAGGGTCTCGCGACGACCAAGAAAACAGCCAAGGGTGAATCGATGCGAGACGAGGATCATTTCGTGTTGCACATGACGGTTGAAGACGGCGAAAATTGTGAAATTCCAACAGTAAAAATTTGCTCGAAAAATGGCCGAGAAATTCAACTGGATGTGACGTCACAAGTGCCAATCGACAATGTGCTCGTTTATGAACTGAAAACGAAACATATTGGTATCGTTGAGAAGATTCGCGTTGGTGTCGGAGAGATTAGTCCAGGAAAAAGTGTGGTTATTCACAAGGTGGGTCATTGATTTCTTTATTTTTAGCTTCAACCGAAAATAATTTTCACAGATGCGACTAGTTGAGAAAATATCCGGAACTGAAGTGCGTTTTATGTTTTTCGCTGAAATTCGGGAATACGAAGTTGTTGAATTGACTTGTGTCTATCCGGATGTTGCTCCAAGGATTAGTAAGAATGTTTCATTTTTGCTTTGTTTTTCATCATTTTCCAGGTCTTTTATATTATATTAGTATAAGTACTAAAACGAAAAAGGGCAAGTTTCGGCCGTACGTCAATATAATTGGTAGTGATGGCGACACCGGATTTCGGGCTTATCCAGGAGATTCAGAATTTCCTGAAGCAACGGTTATTAATCGAATCTTGTCATTTTGTAAATTGGAATATTTACTTTCAGACAATTAGTATGGAAGTTGAAGCATTGAAGTTAGGATCATTGAAGTCGATTCAAGTCTATGCCAGTGCGGACAACGCTGAGGTAAATTGGGCCGTGAGGAGGTCCATCTATTTTTTGATCCGATTAGAATTTGTAAAATGAAAAAAAAAGACGAAATAGCGTGCACAATTGAGAGGGTGCACGCAGCAATGAAATGAGAGAGCGTGTGGTGGAAGGAGACGCAGACATCGCGTGTGGCCTCCGATATTCATGATTTTTTTTTAATTATAGGATGTACAGTGGAAATTTAGCGTAAAGGTGTCATCGGAGGAGGAGAAAGTGTATCAGTCGAATGATTTGTAAGAAGCCATCAATTTAGCCTAGAATGTCGAATTTTTGCAGAGTTTTGAAAATGGCCGGCAAGAAGAACTTCGTTTCGGCAGATGTATTTTTAATAGATGGACCTTCCACTTTATAATTTTACGGGTTTAATGCTGTTTTTCTACAATATTGCATTTTCTTTTGATTTATTGAAGTTGTTCAACATTTTTCAGCAATTTATAACATTGAAATCGGTTGAATCTGAGCTAAGCTCGAAATTGATGTTCTTGTAACCCTGCACATTCTTCTTGCGCTCGTCTTGCAGGTAGATCACAATTTTCTCAATCGTTCTCATATATGGCCATTCGCTGAAGTTGCCTAGTTTTGCCAGACGACGCATGTATTCCCATTGATCGTGTTGAAGGAGATGATAGAAGCGAGGAAGGAGGCCGCGAGATTTCTGATGTCTGAACTATCTTTATTTGGCCCTGTTTGTTTTTTATTTTTTTTTTTGTAAAAAAAATAGTACATACTCGAGTTGTTTTTGCTCAAACTCCTCCAATTCGACACGTTCGGGAATTTTGGCAACGCCCGTCGCGAAATTCAACGCCATCTCAATTTGATATTCGAATAGTGGGAATGTGATTGTTACCAAATTAAGACCTATAGAAAATAATTTTTCAATTGTCTAAATGCTATAAAACTTGAGGAGAGGTTCTTTAAACTATTTTTTAGTATGCGTTCGGCCAAGAGTCGAAACATACGCGTCAGCTATAGTGCATGTCCGCAAAATTTCGCAAACAGTGATTGCACCAATTTAAGCGCAACTCAAGCTTCATATATTTTCTCTTTGCATGCAAATTTCAGATTAATTTCGAGTATAGTTTGACGCGTTAGAACCTCTACCATAGTTTTATTTGGCATTCGGCCAATTTTCCAAATGTATGCGCATACCAATGAAAAACAGACTTGTCGGGTATTTGACATGCACAACGTGCTCAAATAAAGGCGAAACAAGTTGGTCATTTTCTTTTAATTGAAGAATATTGTCGGAAAGGAATGGAAACTATAAATTTCGATAATATTATTATTTCTGCCCAAGGCGATCTCAATAACCTTGTAAAAATAACCCGTACACACAATAATGGCATCACTATAATATTCCGAACCGTCTTCCGCAATGCATCCGGATTCAGTAACCTGTGAATTATTGAAAAATAATTAATTATTGAAAAATAATTATATATATATATATATATATATATATATATATATATATATTGTTATTTAATACCTGTGTAACATGTTGGCTGATTTGTTTGATATTTTCCGGAAGCTCCGGGTACGTTGCCTTTCTACTAATTAACGTTATCTTAATTAGTATAAAATGAATAATTATCTCATTTATTGATTTCTATTTACTTTTTTGGCAGTTTCCGCCAATTGCAACGCAATATCAATGCCGGAAGGTCCCGCCCCAATAACAATCACATCTAAGCCGGCAAATTCGTCGGGGGTCCGATAATCATGACTGTGAATGAGTGTGCCTTTAATACGAGTTCTTCGAGTCCGCTTGCAACCCAATGTCTTTACCTTTGAAATTCGAGTTCGCGTATGGGTTATTCGGCTGCGAATAATGCCCATTACACACGAAGACAACATCGTAAAGCTTCGAGAATTCCTCGTTTTGTTTATTCCGCACAGTTACCTACATAAATTTCCATTGGAAATCATTTGAACACTACTTATCAATTCGCTACTACATATTGTTGAAAATTTAAATTGTTGGGTTATCGCACATTCCATTTAGGACAATAATTTCTATGATGATAAAATCGACACTCGCTAACCTGCCATTTGTCATCTAATCGTTCGACATTTTCGACGGTATGCTCAAAATTGATGGGAAGGCCTTCAGCGAACTCGGCGAGATACTCGAGCACTTCCTCGTGCGTTAGAAATGACGGCAGCTCGTTTTTGAATGGCACATCTTTGAATTGCATCACCTCTTTTGGAAGATTTGTTCTAGACATTTCAATTATTGAAAATTGCTGGTATTGTTTATTGGCTTGCAAGCTACTTTAGATTTTTGTACATGCTTGAATGGCAGCCGCGTTTTTCCGAATACACCCAAGTTCCGCCAATCTGGCCTGTCTGCTCGAATACTTCCACCTAAACATGTTGCGGTTTTCGGCAAAAATTGGCAAAAAGGATGCTGAGACTTACATTCAAACTTTTGGCGACTGAATGCTTCGCCGCCGCCAACCCGGCCGCTCCGGCTCCAATCACACACACGCATTTTGACATCTGAAACGGTATTAGTAGAGCGAAGTGATGCAACAACAACCAAGATAAACATCATCGCCTGATGCTTATCAGATCTTTACTACTACATTACGAAAGAGGTGGGGTTTTTTTTCGATTTTTGAAGATCAAATTTAAACGAGCAAAAAGCACAGGAAAGGAAGTGTGTGTGTGTGTATGAGCTTCTTATCAATGTGGACACATTTTTCGAGTTTTTTTGGTTTGTATTGATAATTCGAATTTAATCTATGACTAAATCATTGTGTACGTATTGATTATGAGGACACAGTTAATAAACATTCCAAGTGCACATTTTATTAGTTTATTACTCTGGAATTTTTATTGCTCATTTTTATAAATGAGAATGAAGGTGGCCTATCCTGAATTCCTGAGATTCTTCCATTTTTGTTTCATGCATTCAACGCCGTCTGACTAAAAGAAAGAAACAATGTAATAATCGTGGCTGTTCAAATATGCTTCACAATGCGCACAAAAATCAACTGTGTTGATACAACTGAGCGGTTTGAGAGAGCGTTTATGGACGCGATGCGCAGATAGCGGTCACCGAGGCTTCCGATGACTATAAAAGGGCGTTCAATGGATTCGACAAATCATTCGATATGCGATTCCTCATTATTTGTTCGTCGATTCTCGCCATTGCGAGCTGCCAGCAATGCGCGAACAACAACTTCCAAGGGCGTAAGTCGCATCAGACAGCATTGCTGATTTGGCTTTCTATTTATTATTATAATTTTTTCTAGCCTGCGATGACACCATGCCGTGCCCCACCGGACAATTCTGCATCGCGTCGGAGGGCAGTTGCTGCTTGGACTCGGACGCTGTTCAAACGACCGCCGCCGGTGGAGCCACTGGCGCCACTGGTGCCACAGGATCGACTCAATCGAACGGCGGTGCGACGACGCCGAGAACGACGGGCTCTTCGGGAACATGCGTCGATCTTCTCAATCCATCGACCGGCGTTTCCGATTGTCCACGCCGAGCGAATCTTTGCAACGACGCGCAATACTATGATATTATGACGAGACAATGCCCAAGGACTTGCGGAAGATGCGGCTCACAAGGCGGCTCGACGACCCGTTCGACTGCAACATGCGTTGATCTTGTCAATCCGCGAACTGGAGTTTCCGATTGCCCTGGAATGAGCTCGTACTGCACCAACTCGCTCTATCGCGAGGTGATGAGAGTGCAATGCCCGAGGACTTGCAACTTGTGCGGATCTGCCACCGGCGCTACCGGCGCCACGACTCGCAGTGGAACCGCCACCACGAGATCATCAGGAAGTAGGCGATTCATTGAAATCGCAATTCGATCATTGTTTTTACAGCGTGCGTCGATAAGGTCAACCCGAGAACCGGCGTTTCGGATTGCCCGCGCAGCGCGAGCTTGTGCAACGACTCGCGATACGCGACGCTGATGCGCACCGAATGCCCGAGAACATGCGGATTCTGCTAACTTCCGATTCAATTATATTTATTGAGCAAATAAATTAAGTGGGATTATTGTGTATGTGTTGATTCAGCTTTTCCATTTAGGTGACATCAACTGAAATTCTATTTTGAAAGTGTTGCCAGCTAGTGAAACCAAATAAATAGACATCAAATTGTCGGTTTCAAATGACTGTTTTGTGGCGGGAAATTTAATTTCGCAGAATCTTTTTTTCGAATTTCAAGCAATAGGTTTGAAATTAACACTATGCTCCTTTAATCCTACCGTACCTCTATATTCCTGGGCAGGAGGGGGAGTGGCGCGGCAAATTGGAGAGAGTGCAGAGAAGTCAGAGAAAAAACGCAATTTTTTGTCACTGCGCTCCTTTTGAAGGAGCAGTGCACCTTTAATCCTGCTTCTCAATTGGCTTTTTATTTGAAAAACCGAATTTCAATAAAATAAATATTTAAATATTAAAAATTATTCGGGAAATTCATCAACAAATGTTTTTTCACACATTCATTCCAACCAAATGTTGCCCGGCCATCAAAAATGCAATAGATTCGCATTTCTCGACGCCTTCGGCTCGCTTCAAATCAGCCATTCGAAATCTGCAACGCGTTTTTTTTTTATCAGAGCCCCCCATCAGCTATGACATACGGCTGTCAAAATGAGCATCAGCGGACGAAGCGAGTGAGGGGCTTCTCACAGAATACACCCAATTGGAATTGCAAAAACTTTTCTGTTTGCAGCCCTCCAAAATTCGATTATTGGTGTCCCATTGCACCATTGGTGCAACATTGTTGGTGTAACATGTGTAACATGCCGAATAGACACTCTCTTAATTGCATTTATTCATTTGTTCGTTACGTCTTTCTTCTTCGTTTTCCATTCTTCTGTTGGCCGCCAAGAGTTTTCGTTCTCTCAATTTTTTGTTTTTCCAACGTTTCTAGATCGCAAAATTCCATCTCAAATGGCTGCAACTTAGAATGCTGGCAGTCTTTATTTTAATAATTCCAGGTGGGTTCTTGTTTTCTGCTAAATATGTATTTATATTCCAATCATTTAAATTCAGGGCTCATGAGTGCCCGTCAAATTCATCCAGAACTTGCCAAAGATCTCTCGGTGTACACTTGCTCACACGTCCATCCCTACTCACACTCAAATATGAATGTAAAATTCCCTTCCTTTAAAAATAAAGAATATTTGATATTCCTTATTATTTCCAGTATCTTCAATTCCCTGTGCAGTTTTGTGTTAGCCTACGCTCGAATAAAGGTGTTAGGTAATCGAATTGTCTGAAGGCCTTCTGATTGAAACATATGTTGTTTGGAAATGCATTCACAAAGCAACATATGGTCGGAGAAGCATGTCCCGACATTCTCCCATTTTAGACTTTCTAACATATCATTGATTCAGAGACGAAATTCGAGACCTCCAATCAACCACCTCTCTTCAGAATCGTGTAGCGATTTCCTGGCGACAATTGGCCACCGCTAATTCATGTCGGATGACGTTCAAGGTGCCATTCTCGATAGATCGCCACTAATGTTAACATGTTAGGGATACCAATCCGAATATCAAATCTCGCCGGACCTCGGTGGATACGAGACATGTCAGACTTCCATCTCTCGCCATCTGTTCCAGCTCTCGCAGGGAATGAATTTTGGAGCAAAGCCCAAACAGATTTTGTTCAATTCTACAAATCCAGAATGCCCGATTGTTGAGCTGCCGACGACGTATCCTGTAAAAATCAAATGAAAATTTCATTATTATTATTAATAATATAAAATTTTAAGGAATATGTGGCCTGCAAGTTTACCAGCAACGAATGGTATTTAGTTAAATGGTCGTCTTATATTCGCTACGAGACATTCCGAAATGGAGAATACGGTAAAATTTACTTTATCTAAATGTGACGAAAGAGAAATAACGGAATTTAAAGAATTTCGTTTGGCCCAAAAATGAAGAAAATCGATGGAGAAAAATTCGAAAACAAAAAGAAACGCGCTGGGTCGTATACACCGCACGCGAAATTGCACACATTTGAGTAGATTTCAAAAAAATTCAGTCATGAAAAATTAAAAATTTCAAAAATTTCACCACTCCCAATTTTTCTATTGGTTTTAGGAACTTATTGGGCAAATGATACTCAAACATTTGTTGTGAAAATGAGCGAAGAATTGCGCCGAAATGGGACAGAACATGTGTGGCTCCAAAGGCTTTTGAAAGTCAAAACAAGGTGCCTATTTAATAGTTAGGCATATTTTGTTTTTAAATAATTTTTAAGAAACGTGGGATGCGACAAAGCATACATATTGGTCGAACTTGCTGACGGCTGGTCGCACCGAGCGAATCGCATCAACGTCATCTATCGAATATTCGAAGGCTCCATGAAAATCCATCAAGAACTTGTGGGCACCTATGATGTCGATGGTTGGAATCAGTTAGAAACGAGTCTCAAGCAGACGCCAGGAGATCATGAAATATGTGTGCAGGTATCAATTCCAATACCCTATTTGCATAATTCAAACGTCACTTGAAGCTCATCAACCCGGCAATTTCAAAACACGTGGTTTGCTCGAGAATAGTCGATGCCGTTGATTGTCCATTCGTGTTGGAACGCTCAGAAAGTCAATCATTGCTAACTTATATCATTTTTATACTATTTTCAATAAAATATTTTTAATTATTCGACTTCCCGCGCACAATGTCCTCCAATTTACCATCGTAAATCACCGTTTTTTCCACAGGCACTGAATCCATGACATAATCAATTGCGCGGGTCTTCTCGCAAAATTTGAGTTCTCGTTTAACGCTTCGTTCAATTCTAAAACCCTTTTTCATATTTCTTCTCCCAATTTCTTGCCATTCTCACCGTTTCCTCTCGTTCTTCATTTCTGTCGAAGCGACAATTGATTCCAGCGTGTTTCCGATAACAAGTTTTCTAGAAACCGAAAAAAATGGCATGCAATGAAATCGACCCCCTCCAACTTGTCCGTAAATTGTTTCATCTCATTCCATAATTGGGCAGTGGGTCCATAAATCGAAAACACTTTTCTCTCAAACTGATTCGATTTTGTGCATATTTTTTTGTTAATAAACTAAAAAAAAAGCAGGGCAGAATTTAATTAACAAAGTTATTTTTTTACATCCATTATCATTTTTGCATCCACATAATCATCCTCTTCTTCCTCCTCGGGAACCAATCTGAACCAACAATTTGAAAGACGTTTTGAGGAGGGCTTTACGGATCTCCAATGAGCCAGAACGGTTTTCCATCAACAATGGCATTCAAAAGGTATTTGTTCTTCGCTTCAACGTCCTCTTTTGCCATATACTCATAAGCCTCTTTCAATCGTTTTTGATCAATATCTAATAAATCAAAATCGAAAAGTCATATTTCATGTATTTTCGAGAGGCTTGTCGTTTCGATGCCGCGTCGGGCTCGGCGATCACCGAGTATTCAAATTCGCGGACCGAGAATCGGTCGCGTTGCGTGTGCTTTGCGGTCGGCGTCGGTTTTAAATAAAATTGTGGCGAAATTAAAATTTAGGGTATTTTTTAATTATTGAAATGATTTTTTTGTAAATTTTGATACAAAATTGATCAGAAATGGGTAATTATACGATTTCAGTTTAAAAAATTATTATTGGAAATGATTTTATAATGCACATGTACTCGGTTAAGATTAAAAATGTGACAAAAATGGCTCCGGCCGGGCCGAAACGACAAGCCTGATTTTCGAGACCATCTTCTTCAACTTCATCTTGAAGTCTCAAATTTTGGTTCAAAGCTCGCTGAAAATTGCGTTGCGCTCGTTTCGACGGCTCTTTCGCCGCCTTCGAAGGACCGCCGAGTTTTTTGCGTTCGTCCATCTTCTCCCTAAATCGCCAGAACATTAAAAATCAAATCGAAGTTCAAATCGTCGACCCCCCCCCCAATTACCCAAGCGCTTGTAAAAGTTTGCCGCTTTTCTTCTTCGGCTTCCCATGCCATATTGCAAATCGTCCATCTGGTCGCAATGTCAAATACTTGTGCATAAGCTCGCCAAACTCCATTTCGGCGTGTCGCAAACATCGCCGCTCGCGTGGGAACGACTAGATCAGAGAAAAAAAAACAATTTCCATCGGCCTCGTCATTCCTCACCTCATCAAACTTCTTCAAATCGAACGCCTTTGTCGTCGGCTTGATTTCTCTCAAAATTTGTTCCTTTCGAAATTCGACATACTTTTTGTCCTGCTCCTTCGCTTTTCGCCTAAGCTTGATTTCAAAATATTTGAAAAATCCAAGAACCTCTCATCCCTTTCCTCTTTTGGCATCTCGTTTTTAATAGCAAACCCAATGTGTTGAAATGAGTAAACGAAATAGACACGTCGGTCATTTTTCTTCGTCAAACTTTTTTTTTGAAGAATGTAATGGGAATATAAATTACTCATAGACTTCGCTTTTTTTCTTTTGAATTTTCAATGTTGACCTATCAAATAATCAAGGTCTTCTCTGAATTTCTCAAATCGTCCAACTTGTTTTTGAGCCGCCCCGAGCCGGGCTCGATCCATGTTGTTGTCGTTCCTCAAAGGTCGCTAAGGACGATTTATGGCCATAGCCGTACGACAGCGAAGCAGCGAACAGACGACGCAATCTTTATTGCTTTTCGGCGTTTCTCTCATCGCTCTCCTGCTCTTCACATAGTCTCTCAATCGACGATTCTCTTCAAAATGTATTGTATTTGCACGTTATTTTTTTTTGCTATTCGAAATGCGTTTTGACTCAGTTTTTTTCTTTGAGTTATGCTATTCAAGCATCTATCGATTTGGTTTTGTTTGGGTTGTTTCCTATCCAATGGAATTCCGCTCGTGTCCGATAGTCATCGACTATCTTCAATTCCCAAAGACTCCATAAATTTTTCGAATCGCGCTCGCTCTCAAAAATTGGCATAAATCTACGCATTAGAACAAAGAGACGAACGAATTTCGAGATAATGCGGTTCTCTTTGAACTCGCCTATTTATGTCACCTGCCGTTGTTGCAATCATAAATCATTGAAATGTGAATTGTCTTGAGCTTCACCTTCGCCTTCTGTTGATGAAATTCCGAGGCGTCTCTTCATTCAACAATTTTGACACCCTTGGGCAATGTTCTCGCAATATTCTTGTCAGGCCAAAAAAATGGACACAACCCAAAAATTTTTCCATGATGAGATCAACCGATGTAAATCATCTGATTCACATTAATCGAATAAGAGAACATTAATATGATGAGAGTGAGCGGACCATTCAATCGTCTACAGTTGGCGAGAGATAACGCGATAGTCGGAGACGAACGACGCGGATAAAATATTACCGATTTCGTGCTGTCCAACAACACTCGCTGCCGGACGAGACGCAGAGCGTGTGGGGCGGGCGGGTGAGACCACCAAAATATGGGGCGGAGCCTTCATTTTGGAAGGGGGGGGGCGCCTAGTGCGTTTGTGAAGACGACGAACTGAAGAGGGCATTTTTTTGCGTTTTTGTGCTTTTTTCCTTTTTTATCGCTATAATTCATCACATCTCTAATTTTCAGCGAATGCTCATCCTTCTAATATTTACACAAATCGCTCTGGCGACATCGTCAATCTTCGAGCAGGTGAGCAATTAAGAATATTCAAAAAAGAAGAAGAAAGTTTTGAAACAATTACGATTTAAAATCAATATCGAAAAGCTGAAATGAGAAGCAATTTCCGGGATTAAGTGCGGCTTGTGCGCGTTTTCCGCCTAAATTGGAGGGGAGCCAATTGGGCCACCACCACCACCACTCGTTCATTGGTTTCACTTATTTTTGATTACAGACCGGCAAAGGGAAATGCGTGCCGATCGACATCGAGCTGTGCAAAGACCTACCGTACAATTATACCTACTTTCCCAACACGATTCTTCACAATGATCAACACACGGTACGTGCTGTTTATTTATGCGACAGGATTTGCATATTACGATCTGATGGGGGGAGTTTTTTGTCGTCAAATTGTACTACTTTTAATTGTGTGTCTATGCGTTGCCGAAATTAGCATCGATTAAGTAAACAATGCGAAAAAAGAATTTGAAATATGAAAAAAGGGGGAAGAAACGACAAAAAAAGGGGAAATCCTTTTGTTGGATTCCTCCCTTTCAGTTATTGTTTCAAGGATTTTGGCAATAATAGTTGTCGCGGGGCCCCCCAAGCCCAGCCGGTTGCGTCCGTCTTAGCGGTGTGAGAAATGTGCGTGGCCGTTTTTGATGTTGCCGCCAGCGATACCTCAAACCTCTCCATCTCATTTCGCGCTATTTCTCCAGAAACTTTTTTTTGTTTCCATTCGACGAGATCGCAACACAATGGTAATATTTTTTCAAAGTTAATGGGAATTTGAAGATCGACTCGGCAGATTTCTGCGTTCAAAGGGGGGGAGGGGGGTCCAACTGTTAAACCCGTCGTGCGTAATCGAATTGTTGCAATTTCGAAGAGCGCCACAGATAAGAATGTTATTATTCGACACAAAACCAACACCGCACAAATCTATTTTTGCGCAATAAAATTGGGCAATTATCACACAGTTGATAGTCGCCGCCCGGCGCGTTTCGCATTCTGCCTCGTTCACGCGCTTTATAAAAATGCTCCGTTTTGAAGCGCTGATGGTGGCGGCGGCGAAATGAAAAGAAACGCAAGATTTTGCGCTAATTTTTACGAGCCGTTGGGGGTTGGCGTGTGTGTGTGTGTGTGTGTGTGTGTGTGTCGTCGTCGTCTCGAAAATTTACATTTTTCCAACACAAAAACGAGGCCACAAAGAGAGACAGAGGCACGGGTTAATTGGGTTTTGAGAAGGAGACGGGGCGAATAGAAAGAATGCCGGCATCGGTTTGAACAGAAGTTGTTCTATTTCGAAAAACCAGGGACCACAATCATCATCATGTTTATGTGTGTGTGTTTTCAGCTGCAAACTCATACGGAGCATTTCAAGCCATTGATGAAAACCAAATGTCATCCGCACATCCACTTCTTCATTTGTTCTGTTTTCGCGCCAATGTGCCCAATTTCGATGCCACAGGCAGTTACTAGTTGTAAATCGGTCTGCGAGCAAGTAAGTTTTCAAAATAAACGGTTAATTCGCCGAAAAAAAATTCAAAAAATGCAACGCGCTTCGAAAAAGTAAAATATCGTGCAGAGATTAATATTGTGCAAGTTTGCGTAATTGTGTATACAACCAAACAAAATCACCTCTCAATTTTTCCAGTTTTCATTCGGAAATTTCGATTTTCCATCGCAGCCAAAAAAGACGAGCATCTTGACGTTTTCAACGTGTTAATTCAAGTATCGTATAAACTTAAAGACATTTTAAAATCACAATAAGAGGGTGCTCGTTTTTTGGCGATTTTACTATTGATTTTTAAATGATTTGTTTCCTCAAAAGTTTGTTCATATAATGTCCTTGAAAATGAATTGATGAACTCATTTAGCCAAAAAAAACGAGAGAGATACGATCTTCTTATGTGTGTGTTTTTTTACCACCTTGACGATATATTTTCGCCGCGACAAATCAATTAAACACGCGCTGACTGTCGATGCCTTATCCTTTCGCATACACACGAACGTGAGTGTGGATGGGTAGGGAACAGGTCCAAATATGGGCAAGTGAACGGCTCATTGCGCACACGCTATATCATAAAATCGCTAATCCATGCAGCTGTAGGGCTGTGTACACACAGTTGACAACTTGTTCACCTGGCTTGTGGTTCCAAAAAAATTGACGGAAGGAGCCTAATTAGGTTATTGTTGAGCCAATAATTGACGGAAGTCGCAAACCAGCTGGCTAATGTATCAACAGGTGCACTTTCGGGCGGCGATTTGAATAAAAAATGATTGCCCAGATTTCTCTGCGTCTCGTTCTATCATTACATGCCCATAATTGCTGTACAAAAATGATAGGCGAACAACGAAACAATTCGATAGCTAGTTTAATATTTCTTTAAGGTGAAAGCGGATTGTGTCTCGATTCTTGAAGAATTTGGAATCGGATGGCCGGAGCCTTTGAATTGTGCACAATTCCCGGACCCGCCCGAATTATGCATGAAACCAACAGAAGAAGAAATTTCCGGAGGGTACAATTTCGGCTGGAATTTCAGCACCATCAACTCGATTATTTATAGATTATCGTCGAAAAAGACTGGCGTTGACTCGTCGAAGCCATCAGGATGTCCCAGCGATTTGATCGATTTGGATCCATTGGACAAAAAATCACTTTGTGCGTTTGCGTGCAATGCAAATGTGATGTTCAGCACTGAGAATAAGGTATAAAATATCCTCTCAAAACAACCAGTTTCATGTTTTTTTTGTGTGTTTCCAGAAAACCGCTCGCTCGTGGTCAATTTGGTTTGCAGCGGCCAACGCCGTCGTATCACTGTTCGCGTTCCTGACGTTTTTGATTGATCGCAAACGATTCAGATTCCCTGAGAGGTAGAGTTTTTCTTTTGATGGCGATGATGTGTTGGTTATTTGAATGCTCTTTTCCTTCCCATCGTTCGACTCATTAGTGAATCAGAGGCCGTCATCGCGCGCTTGCGCTCGCCGTCTCTATGAGTCATCTGGGAGCCATTTTTATGGCGCAAATTTTGAAATATTCGAATTTTACAGATGTATATTTTACCTATCGCTTTGCATATTCCTCTCGTCATTGCCATATCTGTCGCCATTGTTCATTGAGCCTGCCTTGAGGTGAATTCATATTATTCTTTTAAAAATCATCATTAATATGCATATCTTCAATAGTAAATGAGTATTGTTTAAAATGTCATAGAATTAAAAAAAAACTAAAATTTGAGCGTAAAAACAAATGTTCATGTGCGCATTGTCGTCAAATAAAATGCACAAGTGGTGTTTGAACTTGCTGCATTTTGTTCGACGGCTATATTTGAAAGTCCCTGCTTTCACTTGGTATTTCAAAATCCCAAAGATTCCAACTAAGATCGAAAAAGAAATAAAATATTCAAGAAACATTAATTTCAGAAGTTGTCACAAGTTGCTCAATTCTCGATCCTACCTCTCCGTTGGAACATTTGATAACGTTTACTGTTTGACATCGTTCCTGTTTCAGTACTTTTTCGGAACCGCCGCAGCATTATGGTGGCTCATGTTCTCATTCACATTGTCAGTTTTTTTTTCGTCTAAAAAAATACATATTTCATTCGAAACTATTCAGGTATCTTTCGGGTGGTCGCAAATGGGTCCCGGAAGGAATTGACGCGTGCAGCAGCTATGTTCATTTCGTCGCTTGGGGATTCTCGTCGCTCGCCACAATTATCGTTCTCATTTTCAACAAGGTTGATTACACAAAATTACTGAATCGACGAGAACAACGGCAAACGATTTACAGGTGGACGCATCGGAGCTCACCGCTTTGTGCTCAGTGGGAAATTTGAGCGACGTCGGCCTAATCTGGTTCGTCATCGTACCGCGCACCATTTGCATCGTTCTCGGCACATGTTTCGTTGTCGGCGGATTTGCAAGCATGTGCCGCGAGAGGATTAGCTTCAGAACGAGGGTAACCAAAAAAAGAAGGCATTTTGTGCAACAATGACAAAAAAATCTGCAGGGAACGGACACTTCGAAATTGGAGAAGCTTATGGCTAAAATGGGATTGTTCTGCGCCCTGTTCATTATTCCTAATGTTATTGAAGTGGTGAGTGTTGGTAATCACGAAAAACTGATATTTTAATGAGCCAATTTTTCACTTTTGAAGAAAATGCGGCTGTAGTCTTCTTATTAGAACTGCCAGAATTATAAAGTAAAGTTTTCCATCGTTTAATTTTTGGATATGTTGAAAATTGAAATTTAAAAAATGTCCGGGTCTTGTGGCGATTAAACCACAATGTGAATTAGTCTCATTTTTTGTTCTTTAAAATATACAAAATGAAAACAAACGTATCATTTATAGGTTTGCCAATCGTACAACTTTCTGATTTTAACGCAATGGTCAAAATCGACAATCGATTGCAAGCAACAATCGGGCGTTTGTCCTCGTCCGCATCCGCCGCAGCCCGAAATCTATCTGCTCGCGATTTTGTCGGGACTCGTCACCGGATTCTCTTGCCTTATTTGGGTGCTGTCGGCGAAAACCGTGCAATCGTGGAAGCATTTTCTGTTTTGCGGCGTCTGCTCGACGGCACCGAGCAAGGTAACCAATAATGCAAACCAATATCGTTCTTTTTTTTTCAGAATCCAATGGAACCGAGTGCTCGACCGTTGCTCGAGCCGCCTACCGCTCCGCCGCCGCAGCCGCCCGTCTATATGCCGATGAGCACCAACCCGCAAAATGTGTGGAGGCCAAGCAAAGTCATATAATATTTCAAATCTGCTCAATTTCAAATTATTATTGATCTCTACTTCCTGTTTCCATGACTCTGTATCAAATATTCATCATCATCATTATTATTATTATGTTTTCTTGGTTCTGTTCAATTTCTTTACAAACGACGGGTTGCCCACCTCAATTTTGTTGAGTTCGAGTGTTTTCAGACATTTTCGTCTTGTTTTACCCAATATATTTTTTTCTTGAACTCCATACAATCAAGAAAATAAATGCTCAAGTAATTCGTTTGAAATTTGGAACCATGGATACCTTGTACGACGAGGACATTGGAAAATGAAGAAGACATCATCACATATTCCTCGGAAAGTTCATCACAGAAACATTGTTAATAAAATATATGCATTCTAGTCGTACTTCATAATACTAACGAGAAGTCTCGAGTGGGATGCTTTTCGGCATGAAAAAAAAACTAATTGGCATCAAGTTACCATATTAGGCGGCCCCTCGACGCTCCGAATAATCCAATAAATCAAATCCTTGTGCATGGTTAATCAGTATTCAATGCATTTCGTTTTAGAGTATCGTTTAATTTCGATGAAATGCATGGCCTCCCCGTTTCAATTTAGTTTCGTCATTGAATTTCGGAAAAAAAAACGCACAAAGAAATTTTGAGAATCTCCCATTTTTGTTTGTCTAGAATTATTACATACTCATCAATATATTTTTTAAATTAAATAGTGTAAATTAGATTGAGTGGTCCGTATTTCTTTAAAGAATTTTATATATATATACATATTTGATGAATTCAGTGATCCAATTAGCGCAAAATTTGAGATATTTTTGCTGTTTTTTTTTCATCATTTTTTTTGAGTCACAATATGTGTGGCACATCGTGCTCATTAACCTTCTCGTTTTACAGTAAGCGCATCATATTTCAACTAACCATATGATATAGATTATTCATTTATAAGTGACAACCAACTTCCTCCCTAATTAGGTTCAAATTTCGGCTGAACCAACCCCCCCCCTCCTCCAAAAAATTTATTTATTTATTTTTTCCATAGTGTGGTGAGGATCTTACATATATATATATTGCGAAGAAAAAAAAAAGAAAACACGCAAAATTAATTTTTAATTCTATTCAATGTGGGAAAGCTTTCGATATACACTTACTGAATCACATTTTCTGTTTTTTGTTTCAACTTCGACAACCAATTTCCGATTAATTATTCATTTTTTCTGCCAACGGGACCCACATGAAAAAATGGGGAATTTTAAAATTGTTTCTGCCCTTCAAACAACATTTTCAGCTTCTCCTTCGTTGGCTTCTTCCTTCAACTATCCGCCATCAAGTATTCAGCTAATTGTGCTGTTTCTCCTACCTATTTTTTGTTGGCCACTAAATTGATTCGCAAAGCTTCATCCTTTGCTCGCCATCGCCGAATATCGTCGGCAGCGTGCGCGCATGTGCTCGCCAAATGAATATTCCACTAATTATATTAAACCAAATCTCTTGTCTCCATTTTCTGAAATACTCGTTTGAGCATATCTTCTTTTTTTTTGGGAGAAGAGTTTGCGCGCAACAAAATCGGTCATAAATCTTGCGTCAAATGGTGGAAGAAGATACGGACCCGAGAATATTTATGAACCCCCAAGTTGCAAATACTTCTCTTTTTTTTCAGCTCGTCCCGGTTTGACATTTTTTGTTTGCTTGAGATTCGCCTGATTCCATAAAAAACGCAGTTATCTTCCATTCCCCGCTCCCTCCCTCAACTCGATGTTTTTAAGCTAGGTGAGCTCAAAAACTGATCCAATAAAATTAATGTTCCTCTTCCACCACCGGCGAGTTTTCCTCCGACAAAATGTTAACATTCCATCCGAAAACCGGCCGACGAGTTCTTGATTTATGAGTGCGGTGGGTTTAAGCCAGTGAGAAATTGAATTCGCTCTTCAGCTTTAAGTTTCGCGTTGCGTTGAAAAATTTCTCATTCACATGTGTCAAAATCAGCGCGCGCACGTTTCTCAAAACGGGAACTTCTGTGCACTTTAAAGCAGTTCGCTTTCGTTTTTTTTTTCGTGTGACAAACGCGATAACCTTCCGCGAATTATCAGACATTGTCGATTCGCGCACTTTGGTCCGACTTCTTCCCACAAGTGCTCATAACTCTTTGGAGTGTGGAGAGCAATAGAAAATACATCGCTTACGGGTGTATTACATTCTGAATTGCTATATATGTTGGTCTTCTTGTCAACCTTTTCCGCCGTTTTTCTTCGTTATAAGATTTCTCATGGTTAAATACATTTTTTATTCTACTCTTGAAATAATATGTGCCTTTTGGCACTAAAAATTTATGCTTTTTCATTATTATGGAATTTTTATAGGTGGTAAACATTTTGATTAGTCAAATTTGATTTCTCTCAAGCCCACGCCTGGGCGCAACTATGATTGGTTGTATACACCCTGACGCAAAACTGCACACATTTCATTTATTTCTGACAGCGATCGCGTTTTATTTGACGTCAAGGTTTATTCGCAATTATTACCTAAAAATGCGCAAAGAAATTCAAAAATTCTCAGGTATCTTTAAGTTTAAAAAAAAAATACCAAAAAAAAGAAAACAAATGTTGCAAGTCCCCCCCCATTCTAGCAATAACTCAAACGTATAGAAACGCATACATTTTTTGTACTTTTCTTTTCTAAAATTAGAAATTCTCAAACCACAAAGGTACCAATTATATATACTGACGTGATATTGAATTTCAGTTTCCAAATTTCGGCAATGGTGAATTGTTCGCGCTCAGCACCTCCCGATGTTTCCATCAACAGCTCAATGATCTCAATCGTGCTCACTTATATCTCGCTATTTCTTTTTGCATTCTTCGGCAATTTCACAATGTTTCTGATATTGTGCAGGTATATTGTAACAAATTATTCAGAAACAAAATAAATAATTGTGCATTCGTTTTAAAGAAATCAATTGATAAAAGTTCGGCGGGTTCATTCATTGCTTCTACACATGAATATCGCTCATCTTCTCGTCACCCTGATTGTGATGCCCAAAGAGATTTTGCATAATTATATGGTTGCTTGGTATGCTGGAGATGTGGTGAGAAATTTCATTTTCTTAAAAAAACTTTAATTCGATTTTAAAGCTATGCCGTCTTTGCAAATTCTTTGACGTTTTTGGTGTGAGCCTATCAATGAACGTGCTGATTTGTATAACTCTTGATCGATTCTACTCGATATTCTTTCCGTTATACGCTATGCGAGCGAGGAAAAGCGTCCAAAGAATGGTTGCTGTGGCATGGGGAGCAAGCTTCTTAACCTCAGCTCCACAGGTTTCGATTTAAAAAATAATTTGATAAAAGGACCATTATTTTTAAGCTATACTTGTTCAAAACTGCAGCACATCCTTGTCATAGTTGGTACACACAATGCGTCTCGAAAAATTTTATCGGCGAACTCTCGAATGAGGTTTCATAAATCGATTTTACTTCCCAAATGTTGTTCAATCATTTTTTTTAGGTTGTTTTCTATTTTTCGATTTTGAACATTGCTCAAGTTTACTTCGTGCCGCTCATTGTCACCGTTATCTGCTACACCCTGATTTTATGGAAAATTTCGAGAAAGAGCAGTAGGTTTTTTGACAAGATGACGCGGAAATCTGATTTGTTATCCAGCGGAGAAATCGAATGAAATGCTTCTAAGACGAAATGGTCAGAATAATTTGGAAAGAGCCAAAAGCAGAACTTTAAAGTGACCAATTAGCTTCGACTATTAGATTAATTTACTCTTTAATTTCAGAATGACATTTGTTATTGTTTTGGCGTTCATTTTCTGCTGGACACCATATTCAATCTTAATGTTTCTTCATTTTCTCTCAAAAACTGATTGGTAAGAAAATACTATTTATGTTGTCGAAATATGGCGTGGGATCATTAATATCTCTATAAATCGTTTCTTGAAAAAAAGGGAATAGCAGGTTCCGAAAAAAAAAAACAAAAATGGTGTAGAAAATTTGAAAATTAGAAAGAATTTTCGGCGGTTCGGAAAAAGAATGAAATTTTCGCGCGGATTACGGCACATTGTGCGGTGTAATGCGTACAACACGTATGACTCCACAACTATTTGTCATTTTCCGAATTTGGAAATTTTCAAAATTCAGGATTCCGAAAGATGTCCGAAAATTTATCTACGCATTTGCCGTGTTGAACTCGGCTGTTTCGCCATACTTATACGGATATTTCTCGTTCGACATCAAAAAGGAGCTCGAACTTTTGGTGGCGTGCTCAAGAGCAACTGCGTCAGATCGGCATCTGTCTTGTTCGGCACAAGTTAGCCGCGGGTACGTTACATAAATTCACATGTTTCATTATTAAATTTCTCGTTAAAATTTGAAATAAGTTCAAGTTTCGATATAAAATTGAGAGATTGTGATTTTACCTCATTAAATAATATGGTCTCGAAGTGATTAAATATTCGTATTGAAACGACGGTGACAGTTGAGATAAGAATGATTGCAGACATCATCCGAGTGAGAGAATGCGGAAACGAAGTGCATCTGCGTGTAATATTGATGGGACCAATGCCAATTGTTTATCGCCACGGCGACCAAGAGGGCAAAGCCTTCGCCAAAAGTCTAATGATAAAAATCGATTAAATATTTGACGATCATTTTTATATTGTAATTTGCACAATTTTTACTATTTAATATAAATTGGCTAATCGATTTTCTAAATTTATTTAAAGATTCACAGGTTTTCTGCATCCTTTTATTTTAATTTTTTTGATAAGGGTCGCTGATAACATTTTTCCTTGACACTGCCCAGCATTCAATTTGTTTTTTATCGTTTCGTCATTTAAAAATAAATGGTATTTAATTTAAGAATCTGAAAAAACAAACTTTTTGTATTTCATACGGTTTGCGATATAGTGAAGTTCACCGAACGCAAACATACACAGCAAAAAAATATTTTTATTCACAATTTGCATTTTCTAAAACAGTGCAATTTCTTTCAATTTTTCAATCCAATTTGTTTGTTTCACATCCGCGTTTCAATATCAGACACTGAAATCACAAAATTGTAGTATTTTGTGCGTCAATTTGTCAAAATTGCATTAATTAAAAAGACATTTTAATTAAAATGATAGTTTTTAATGTCTTGATGCGAATAATTGTTTCATAATCGGTTCCGGTCTTTTTGCTTTCCATTTTATCACCTCAAACACTAATTATTTTTGATAAGGTACAATTTTGTTATTGTACGTCAAAATACGCGGGTATTCCGCCGTGTCCTCTGATCGCCATTTTAATTATTGTGTGTTTTGTTTCCCGGAGCAAAAACTTTTATCAGTTTCGTCTCGCCTTCTTATCGTCTTGCTTCTAGGCCTTTTTCGTTATTAAAAGGGCATTTTCGTTTTTTTCAGATGAGTGAGAAAGACGCGAAGAAGACAATATTTGATCACGAATACCTTTCAAAGGAGCAATTAAAGGGATTTGATAACTATAAGGTTACCATTGTTCAATTTTACTAGTAAAAATTCAAGCTTCAGTATAATTGCATTGACAATTCGCCGCTGTCTGTGTACATTTCGCATCCGTTCTGGAATTGGCTCGTAGAGGTTATATTAAACAAATATTTTTTTATGTTAAATTAATATGATTTTTAAACTACAGTTTTATCCGAGGACATGGGTTCCTAATGTGATAACTCTTGTTGGTTGGGCATTTGTAATGGCCGGATTCGTCATCGAATCGTTTTTGGACTATGACATTACGAGGAACACAGAAGGGACCACGAATCCGATTCCCGACTGGTTTTGGCTCGTTGCCGCTATTTGCACATTCCTTGGACACACCCTAGACGGAACTGATGGGAAACAGTCGAGAAGAATTGGGGCAAGTGGTCCCACCGGTGAACTTTGTAAATATTCTTTTAAATCCAGAAAAAATATTGTTTGTCTCTTTTCAGTTGATCACGGTCTTGATTCTTGGTCAACGGTGCCGTTCACTATAACGATTTTTAGTATTTTCGGCCGCGGCGCCTATAGTATATCGACCGTTGAACTTCTTTGCGTCTTGATCAGCACTCAAATCGTCTTTTTTGCAACTCATTGGGAAAAATACAACACAGGTGTCATGTTCCTCTCATGGGCTTATGATCTAAGCCAATATGTTAGTGACTTTTTTTTAAATTTTGAAAACATTTTCTAATGAACTTAATTTCAGGGTCTTGTATTTGTCTACACGTTCACCTACTTTAGCGGATATCAATGGTTTCAATTCAATATTTTTGGAGTGCAATTTGCGTTCGTTTTCGAAATAGGATTCTATGGTATGAAATTCTACCAATCTCAATAAAAACAAACATTTTCTAAGCTTGCTGCTTATTTTCTCTGATTGTCTCGGCTTATAACATTTTGAATTGCGACAAGCTGAAGCAGGTAAAGGCGTTTATCATAACATCTTCGATACACATCTTCAGCCCGACTTTCTTTCCGGATTCCGACCGGCGTGGCCAGTGTTGGTCCTTTTCGCTTCATCAATCTACTGGGCCGTCAAATCGCCAACAAACGTGATCGATGTTGATCCAAGATGCTTCTTCTTTTGTATGGGAACGGTTTTTAGTAACATTGCGGTAGCGAATTTTCGAATTTCGATAATTCGTAATAATTTTCAGTGCCGACTAATTATTGCCCAAATGTCGAACACAATGTGTGAGGTGTACAACACTACACTGGCTATCTTTTTGTCCACAATTGGTAGATATGAAATTACCAAATTCGAAATCATTGTCATGTTTCAGCATTGGCCTTTTTCCAACCAAGTCTGGAATTGCTTATTCTCCGAGTCGCCACCGTTGCTATAACTCTGGTCCATGTTCATTACGGAGTTTGTGTGGTACTTGAATTTGATTTTATTAAGAATTCAAAATTCCATAATTACAGGTGCGCCAATTATGTCGTCATTTCAAAATCAACGCTTTGAGTGTTGAATATTTGAAAAATCGAAAATAATAACATTTTTTAATTCCTATTTACTTTTGCCTTTTTCTTGTATTTAGTTTATCTTGTCTAGTCGATTAACTGATAATAACCAAAATAATAATCATTAAAACAATCGATTAACTTAACTCAATTTTCTTTTAAAATTGATTTTTCGCCGCCAGTCTTTGATTTCAAATTTAATATTTTAGTTATTTCATCTTTTGCTTCGCTTTGTTTATATCGACATAATGAACTCTGATTTTATGCGTTTTTGTCTCATTCTTATTTTTAAATGCGTACTTTATGTTAAAGCGTATTAAAAATTGTTAATGAAATTATGTAAATTCTTCATATTTCGGAATTTTAATAGAAGTAACGAGTTCCACTTATCTCTCTATAACCAAACCTTTATAATAGTTCAAAAAAGCATTACTATACATTTTAACGCATCTGAAATGTTATGATATTTGTACATACTGTCTTGTTTCTTGAAGATTGTACAAACAGCGATACTTTCTCCTTAATTAAATTCAAAAATACTTCTCAAGCTTTTCAAATTGTTACTCTGCGCTGATCATATTGCTAACCGTTCACGTGATTGAACCGTTCAACAATTGTTTTGTGTATCATTAGCAAACGGGTTAGTCGTCTGTCATCAACATGGTGGTCCCATGGTGGGTGTTCAGTCGGTAGCATATATTTTTTTGTGGATTCGCATGAATATTATATGGTAGAAAGTTATTAAAAATAATATGTGTGTTTAATTTCTAAATCGCATCATGTCCTAGCCGGATTTCGTAAAGCTATTACTTGAAATAGTACGACGAAGTACGGCGGAGGCGAAATGCAGCTCTTAAGATGATCGAGTTTTCGCGTCTATTTTTTACGAAACCATACGATATTCTTTGCCTTTAATAAAATCTTAAATTTATTTTTCAATCGAAATCGAATGTAAATTAATCTTTTTCGAATTATTCTAAAATTTCAACCAAATAAGATTTTTCCTTTAAGTATTGACAAAAAAAGGTACGATTTTCATTTTTTTTTTTCGAAAACAACTGAATCTAGTTTTTTTTTAAACTGAAGTTATCAAGAGGAGATTCGTAGAATTGTTGTCTAACTTTGATTTTTCCGAAACTATGTAGACTATCCTTATGAAAGAAATTTTTAACAAGTAATAAACTATTCTCGGAAAACCCGGTTCAGAAAGATTTCGTATTTCGTAAGATTTTCGTATTTTCCAACTATTGTCAATATTTCAAGTGTCCAATTGTGTTTTTTGATATCAAGCTTCTTTGCAAGCCTACATAGTTTCTGATAAATCTAATTTAGACATCAATTTTGCCAATTTCCTCTTGATAACTTGAATTATTGCAAATTAAAAAACATTTTTTTTTAATTTACTGCTAAACATTACTGTTAGAAACTGCAAATTTTGAAGTGCAGTGAAAAAGTGGGGGGGGGGGGTGAAATCTAAAAATTGGGGGTGAAAAGTGGGGGTGGTATTGTAAATAAAAGGAGGGGTCAAAAAGTCGGGGTGAAATAGCAGGGGTGGGGGTTGAAAAGTGGGGGTGGTTTCTAATAGACCGAATATAAATTTATTTTAGAAAAACAATATTAAATTAGAAAGGAAAGGGAACAAAAAAAATGGGAAAATTTACCAAAAATTACAAAAAAACCAGAGAATCGAAGAACGGATATCGATGAGACGGGATTAGCGTCAGACGAAGCTTGAAAGACACATAAATCATGGAGTATTGTTGAAAGTGAAATAAAATTCGAAATATACGAAAATTAAAACAATCCTAAAAATTGGGAAAATATTAGTCATTTATTAATTTTCAGTCCTAAATAGCCACTAATTTACAAAAATATACACTTAAAATACAACTATAATTAATTTAAATCCAATTTTAAAAGAATATATCGCTAAAATCGTTAAAAACTTTAAATAATAGAAAAAATTACTATTTGAAGACAAATATGGGATACAAGAGAGATTTTACGGAAATTGTAAGAAGAGAATTGGATTAAACTTTGTGTGAACACTTCTACTTCTTACGGGTTGGTTTGAAAATATCCGTGTTCAATTTTTGCGCAAACGCATGCGCTCCGGAATTGACATCACAAACTACTCACAATTTGCTCCAAATGGTGGCAGACTCGTGTAGAAGAAGCGTGCCGCAATATTGCAAAACAGTGCGTCGTTTTGCACAATTCTGACACGCCCCACTTACGAAATTCGTTTTCAACATTTTTCTATTTTGCTTTTCTCAATGGGTTTTTTGAGATAATTGGCAAAATAAGTCCGGCGACTATAAAATATATAGTGGTAATCTTCCAAAATTTGTACTATTCGAAATTTTTTATTAAAACAAAATCCGATTCTATATGAAATTTTCTATATCTTTAGGCAAATTATTCTCAAAAAACTAATCACGTGAATATTTGAAATATCAAAACCAACGTGACTTCATTTCCATTCATTTCAAATTTTTCCATTTTCGCCAGCGTTTTTCGCAGTTCGTTATTTCGGTGAAGAACTCTGAAAACAATAACATTATTAAGAAGGTAAATACAAGATTTAAGCTTATTAATGAAAAAGAGGGTCACAATATTAAAAGAGCTTGATTTCATTTTCATTTTGACCGTTGTGTAATTTTAACAAATTTCCTCAATTTTTAATTATTTTTGTTTATTTTAAAGAAAATAAAAATGGATTTATTCACACTAAGTGAAGTGAAGTGTAGTTTGACCGTTGTGTAATTTTAACAAATTTCCTCAATTTTTAATTATTTTTGCTTATTTTAAAGAAAATAAAAATGGATTTATTTTCAGATCAATTTTGACTTGACTTCTTCGATTGTGCTCTTCAATCGCCGATATGTGGCTAATAATCGGTCGTGTAAGTGTTTTCTTCTTCTTTTTTTTTATGATTTTTAAGCAGTTTTTAACGAAGTTTGTTAAAATTAAGAAATATTTTAAAAGTTGCGATTTCCTTTGTCCCGACATCGAAGGTTCCGAACCGCTGTGAGCGTGTCTCGAGAACATTCGTTAAGTCGGATTTGAGAGAGCCCGCACGGACGCCGCGTTCTCGTGCCACGAGACGCGGACCAACGTCCCGCTTCGGTGACCCATAGGGTCCGGCACAGGAGGGAAATGCCTGGGGAAGTCTAGGCGCACACGGTGGAGTGGCGTCGGGACCATTCGATGTAGGGACCGCCAAATTGGCAACAAATTTTCGAAGGTCTCTAATTTTTTCCTGAAAGTGCAAGAAAATCAAATTATAAGTTTAAACTATTGATAGTAATCAAAAAATATTACTTTTAATTATAATTAAAAATTCAACTTTTTCATGAACACTGTGCCAACAAATGACCAACAGAAGGAGGATGGTGAAGATTTATGGCAGGACTTGAGACAGTGACGCTGTTTGAAATATTTTTTTAACATTTCAAAAAAAAATTTGCTTCAGATCGAAAAACTTCGAAATTGAATGGGGCATGTGAGGGGATTAAAGTGAAATTGCGCAAACAGTGACTTTATTTTCCCATTAATTCAAATTGCATGTTCAATTTCAGATCAGAAGATGATCACACACTAGACATAATCAATTGGTAGAATGCGAACAATAATTTCGTTCTTTTATTAATATGGCATTTCTAGAATTTAGTTTCAAAACCGACGTGTACGGCTATCGGAGTTGCGTATGTCAGCTTCAGATGAAATACTCGTACGGTTCGAACACATTTTACAAACTAATCAGCTATATTTCAGGAATAAACGAAGAAGAAAGGAAATTGTGTAAAAAAATAATGGAGTGCATATTTTTGACAGAGGTAATTTTCAAAAGTTGGAATACTGCGGCACGCTTCTTCTACACGAGTCTGCCACCATTTGGAGCAAATTGTGAGTAGTTTGTGATGTCAATTCCGGAGCGCATGCGTTTGCGCAAAAATTGAACACGGATATTTTCAAACCAACCCGTAAGAAGTAGAAGTGTTCACACAAAGTTTAATCCAATTCTCTGGAATCTCAAAACCAATCGGATTCAACAAAATTCGGCCCAGAATCAACCTCATCCGATTGGCAATTCAACGAATTAATTTGTCGGATCCAACCAGATCCAATTTCATATATTTGCAGGAAGAAACTTTCGACGATCTGCCTAGCCGCTAAATTCGAATCAAATTGGACGATATCTTTGATTTCCTTCTTATTTTTATCCTTGATTTTGTCCATTGTTTTTAATTTTTCTATTAATCCTTTACTATTTAGAAGAGTCAGGTATGTCATTTTTTGAAAATGGGAACATCGTGTTAAACCCTTTCAAAAGTGCTCTAGCGAAACTGTGATTGTTGAGTAGTTTGAAGGGTTTTCACACGAATTGGCCCAAGGTAAGTTGGTATTTGATTCTCCGCTTCATTTTTAATCAAAAATCAAAAAAGGTAATGGAAATGCTAGAAATGTGTTGTGTAAGGTTCTACGGGTGTATGAGGGCCCGCGTACACTTGATAGAATCTCTAACACAGCCTGTATTTTCAGAGGTTTGTGTCTCGTATAATTTAAATATAATTTTGTGTCACACACCTTTTTTTTGCGAAATGCGCGTTTTTTTTCTAATTTTGGGACTTACTGAATGCAAGAGTTTTTAAGAAGTTAGCTTGTATCATATTTGACCCGCCCAAATATGGTTTTCATGACTTTGATTTTATTTTGCATTGTTCCTTAAGTTAATCTTTTTCAATTTATTAATTTGAAACTTTTCTGTCGATAATCTTCTGAATCCAAGTTCATGCGGGTACAGTAATGCTAGATTATTTGAAATTAGAGCTATTTTTCATCTCGAAAATGAATGAAAACCTTGCGTAAATGTGGATCACCGCATTTTTTCGTCTTTCCTATATAGGCAGTTGCTCGTCAAGTGCGAAACATAGACTGTGGCGTGTCCCGTTAGCATGTCAAATAAGGGGCAATATAAAGAGTGTGGAACGAGACACTTTCAATACAGAGAAGATTAGCATGGCCCCTGCGCAAGGATGACACGCAAATTCGTGAAGCGTTCCAAACTTTTTGAGTAATTTCCTGCATGTTTTCGAAGATGAGAAATTGTGGGAATCGATTCAACACATTTTCCATACAGATTTTGATTTATTTCCTAATTAGTCTTTAATTTTTCCGCTTTTCTACAACAACATTTATTAAAAATACATGCGAAAATCTTGTAAATAATAAATAATAAAATAATCAAGATAGTGGATAAGAATGCGATGACATCGATTGAATGATATTGGAAGAAACCATTTCAAAAGCAATTCTGCTGGTTTCGTTGGCGGACCATTTGAGAAATTCTTTTGACATTGTTTGAATACCTTAAAATTAAAAAAAAAAATTTTTTCGAAAAATTTATTGAGAAAATGAAAATTTTTACTTCGATGGCAATAAAATCTGTATTATTTAAAATTTATTTACAAAAAAAAATACATTATAACCAACAGCGTTTTTATATATTAAAGTAATATAAATTATTGTCGTTCTATTTGGCTGATGAGCTCACGAAGATCGTTTTTCCGTTTCGCACATTCTTGCTCCAATATACGCTTTTCTTCAATTGCCGAATTATAGCACACCTGTCCTTGTGTTATCTTCTCGCATATCTCTTTGACATACTGAATATTTAGAAAAATTAGAAAAGAAATTCGACAAGAACATTTTACCCGAGTTTTTTCGGTTAATACTTGAACCAACCGGTCCATTTGTTTAATTTCCGCAATCTTTATTCTTCTTTTTAATTCCATCGGCTCAATAAAAGGCTCAATCGACTTATGTTTTTCAACAACTGAAAATATATGTCTCATATGATACTACTAAAACACAGGCTTACATTGTTTCATCTCGTCATATCGTTTTTCTAGTTCAATAGCCTTTTCCAGCTTTGAAGTTTCCCTTTCAACACGCTCTCGCTCCTTTTTGTACTGTTCCGCATATTTCTCGGCAAACATCAATCGCAAATCGAGGAATCTCAATTCTGCCATCTTCCTCGACATATATACGAGCTCTTTCTCGTCAGACTTCATTTTCGACGACGACCCAGCTTGAATTCGTTTCCATGCTTTTTCAGTTTCTTCATTCCAATTTTGCTCTATTTTTTCCGTATCGAGTTTTTCAAGCTCCTCTTTTATGACTTCTTGCATTTCGAGAACCTCAGGAGCGCTGGAATCGAGCTCATACATCCAACCGATCTGAATTATTTACGGATTCAAAAAAAAAGTTTCTCTCCAAAAATTTACATTCGAAATAGCTGGATCGAAAGCAGGCATCCTAGCTTTAAAAGATCCAGTCTCATTGGCACTCGTATCTGCCGAACTCAAATTTCGGATTGACCGCAGTGAAAGATTGAACTCAATAATATCCATATTTCTTATTGAAGATGACAAAATTGATGAATGATTATTCGCACTATCACAACTTTCATCAAGCATGGATGTTTGCTAAATAAAAACCAATTCGAATAATTTCTCATATATTGTAAATCATTACAGCAAATTTCAGGATGCTCTGTCTTTTACTTCTTAAAAGAGATTCGTCCGAAAATACGGAGGCATTGGCGTCTGCTGCCATTTTCATCAAAAGTCTCGGCGATTCAAATTTTGAAACAGATGTAACATTTTGAAATTCTGTTATATTATCAGGCTCCGTATTTGGCTCTGAAAGTGATAATTTGAAACGGATGTAAATAATTAGTCATACTCAGTGTTCCTTCTATCTCCATTTCATCGCCTCCATCTTTTTCCTCGACTACCGCAGATGCTTCTTGTACTTTAGAGACTGTCGAAGTTGCATTAACCTCCATCTGAAAACAATGTCTCTTGAAAAATGCGAAAAAAATCATTAAATACCATGTCATTTTCAAGCTTCTCTTCATCTCCGGCATCGACATCCGAAATATCCATATGAACAGATCTTTCAGTTAATGTTGGCTCCTTGAAAACCTCTGCGGTCGTCTCGATATCCATACTAACTGTTTGATCATTCTCCGGAACCTAAAAGAATAATTTGAAGCAAAAATGGTTTGAGGTACCTCTTGTATCGGTGTAGGTGGAAAAATGCAAATTTTCTGGCGAGAAGGCGACGTATCCAAATCCATCGAAATGTTATGCGAATTGGTCATATTGAATACGGACATCTGAATAAAAATTTGCAATTTTCTTCAAGTAGCGAGAAACTAATTACGGTATCCTGTTCCTCGGGAACCTTGGTTTGCAACGTTTGCTCAATGTCCATACTCACGTTTTGACTATTAGTTATATTGAAGATGGCAGCCTGCAATTCATTAAAATATGGATATTGTTGGAATTTCGAAAAGAAAAATTAATAAATGTTCAAAATCTCACCGTGTTATTCATTGTCTCGTTCGCCTTCACTTCGACGCTTCTAGACTCAACATGACACTTCTCAATTATCAAACTTTGTTTTGTCATATTGAAAATTTTCATCGTATCGTCTGCCGATTGATCCATCGACATATCCACGACGGTGCGTTTAGTTTCATCGAAACGCCGATCAACCGACATATCGATCACGGTGCATCGGGTCACGTCATCCATCGACATATCAATTTCAGTCCTTCTCGTTTCATTCATGCGATTTTCGTCACCATCAATGGACATATCGAGGACAGTGTTTCGAGTTTGATTTGCCGCATCTTTTTCAAAAATCGCCATCGTATTGTCAAGCGTCTGATTATTAATGTGCGTTCCTCGTGGCCTTTAATTAAATTAATTTGAATATTCGTGCCTTCCCCCAAGCTTACGTGACGACAACGTCCGAATCCATCGTTTCTGTCAACTTCTCTCTTAACGGACTTGAGTGCAGAAATTTCCCTCCCTCTTTATCGTATTGCCTAAAAATCAAGTTCAAACAATTGTATCAAAAATGTTTATAGTATTTATTACTTGACGTGTTTGACATTGTGGAAACTGACTCGTCGTTCAATTCCGGTAACAACTTCCTCTGTTTCTTCGTGAAAAACGTCGACCTGGTGGCGAACTTTGAGAATCTGAAATCAGAAATTCAGTAATGATCTTTTTGTTTTGGTTTACCGATGATCGTCTCTTGTTTCCGGTTGGTTCCATTTTCTCTAGAATTATTTTCGCATTACTTGCATATATGAGTGACAAAAATAAGGTATGATTGACGGGAATTCAACCCAGAACAAATATTCGTGAATATAAACGCATTAATATTTATTCGACAGAAAATTGAATGGAGTGTGTAAGCGTATGATATTTATATAATACAAGAAGAGCAAAATTGATTTGAAACCATATTCTTAATTGGCACGGGCAGCTGTATCGCAAAATTCGTTGAATTTTCCCGCCGCCTGTTTCCACCCGATATTCTCAAAATGCTCATTCCAAGCAGCTTCGAACTTTTCGATTCTTTCATCCCACGACGGCAATTCATCGCACGACTTCACATTCAAAAGTGTTCGAATCGTGTCCATTATTGGTTCGCGGATGCTGTTCCTTCGTTTCACTTCGACATCAAGGTTATAGTTTCCATATTCGTTGCCGGTCAGTGAACAATATTTTCCACTAACAAGGACAGCAATTGTAGCGGCAAATCCGAACAAATCTGCCTGGAATGTCCACGGTCGTCCGTCCTAAAATTAAAAATTGTTTTTCTTTTTTTTAAATTTTTCAAAGAAAAAAAATAAAATACTAACCAGCATTTCTGGGCAGTCAAACGATTCAGTTCCAGCTCTTCCAGTAAACTTGCGGTCCTTCAACGTAACCATATCAATAGCTCTTCCCCAATCAATCAATTTGATAACGAAACACGAATGTGTGAGCAATTCCGGTTTCTCCCAGCTCATGTCAATTCTAAATAATTCACTAATTAATTTCCACGATACCATAAAAATTCGCACTTTCTAGTAATCATGAAATTATCCGGCTTCACATCGCCGTGGATTACTCCTGACTCATGAACTTCGCGCAAAATTTTGGCCATTTGAACAATCAGGAAGCACGTCAACATCCAATTCGGATCTTTGACCGAATTCGTGTAATCCAAAAGAGTTCCGTATTGATGGTACTCATTCAGCAGTAGAGAAGCATTCGTGAAAATATAGGCATCAATGACCTGCATGATGCATCGATCAGCGATCTCAGTAGATTCAACGCCACCCCTTTTCTGCAGCCGATGCCTCATTTGGTCGCAAATGTAAACTTCCCAGGCGCAAGAAGGTACTTCATACTAGAAAAAAAATGATTTTCATTATATATTTGTTATTCCAAATTGTACCTTCACTGCCACTGTCTTATTATCTTCATTTATTGCTTTATATACTTTTGCATATCCGCCTTGACCGAGAAGCGTTTGAAGGCGGAATTTCTCTCCACCGGCTTCAATTTCCCTCATCGCTTGAATTTTCGGGCACATGGTCTTTAAAGATAAAGTTAACTCAAAATATCATAAATAAATTTTACCGAAAGCTCATGCATATTGCACGGCGGTCTGACGAGTTTCATGATTTTTCGCTGAAGAGTCGGATCCCATGGATTTATTTCTCCTCGAATAACTTCACTTCGTCGCCTATCTTTTCTTCCCGTCTCTTCGACAACTTCCTCGTTTGGTTTTGCGATTATTTGAGTCTCGTCTCCACCACCAATTGAAAGCCTCCTTCCAAGCTGCTCCGAAAGTGATTCATCGGCACGCTTGGCTGGTGCAGATTGTGGCTTGGCTGCCATTTGTGGCAGAGTAGGCGGAGCCATTGAAGATCGGCGAGTCTAAAATATATCAAAATGTGAAAGTTAAATAATTATTTGCGTTACCCTCTCGGCAAACGTTCCGAATTCTTTCAAAGCTGGTACAACAAATTTCTCGGATTCCTGAGGTGGTTGCGAAGAAGATTTTCCACCGTTGCCGAAGTATTCTTCAACGTCCACATATGGGACACCAATTGCAGGCGTTGATGTCACCACACACGATTTCGGAGGAAGATCTAAAGATTCATCCGCATCCAAAACTGCAAATAGAATAACGGTATTTTCGTTTTTAAAACAGCTATCATACAGCTAGCCGCTATCGATGGCGGGGTGCTCATTTTACTGATCTCATGCGAAAGCTTCTGAACTTTTCGATCCACCTCCGGACGTTTCTCCTCGACCTTCTCCACAGGACTATTCTCATCATAAATCACATTCAGACCACCCGACGATCTTTTTGGCTCCGAATCCACCATAACACTGGGATCTGGATCACAGAATACCGAGTAATCAACCGTCAAATTCGAAGGTGCTGTAACACCAGTGGATTTGCATTGTTCAGTCATCGTTTCATCGTCTTCAAGAGCCATTGTTTTATCTAAATAAGTATAAGAATGATTATTGAATTCGATTAAAACTAAGAATGTAACCTCGTGCTAAATGAACAGTATCGGAGAACAATGCTCTCGCCTCCATGCAATTGTTTTCAGCCATCAGCGAAATCCCGCCACTTCTGGCCGTTCTCGTCGACAACGTTGATCGGTGAGATTCGTCCTTCAGATCGTTCTGATTTCTTCCCGCCATCATCAATTTCAGTTTTTCCTTGTCAAGATCGCATTCGGTTCTCTCGCCAATATCATATGTCTCGTTCGCCTTCCCCGGATTTTTGCAATCATAGGAGCTCTCGAATGTTGAAACTTTGTGAGATTTTGTGTCTGATGACAATGTGATTGTTTCGGGCGGTTGTTCGTTATGCATGGCTAAATTAACAAAATATATTTTTTTACATTTAAATGATAAATTATTACATGAATTTCTGAGTGGAACTCTCTGAGCATTAGCTGTGGGGATAAGAGGCGAGTAAACTCTCGACTTTTTCTCTGGTTCAGTTTCCTTGTAGGAAGAACTTTCTTCAACAATGGACAATTGTCTACGCTTTTGGTTGACTTCCTAAACTCGTCAGTAAAAATTCAGCTATTTTCAAACGCATACCTTAATTCTATGATCTACAGCTTCTCTGACTAAACTTGCTTGATTCGAATCGATTACGAATTTGTTAAGAACAGTTCCAGAATCCCTACGGGCCGGATGCTCAATAACCATTGAAATATCCATATCCTCGCCATTTTCGTCATTCTTCATCGCCATGCGGAATTCTTCTGGAGAAATTCCGAAATGAGTTGCGGAATCAATGAACTCGGTACGGATGTGTGTTTTAGCTGTAATTATTCAGATCTGTAAAAATACTAGAATCATGACCATACCTTTTGCTCCAAATGGGCATTCCTTAGTATTTTCTTGTTGTGGAATCATGCGTCGAAGCATACCAACGGATGAACGACGTTTTCCTCTTTTACCGTCGCCCTTGTCAATAGCAAAAAGAAGCATAGTGTCATCAGCTTCAGTGAACAGGTAGTTGACGTCTTCCTTTAAGTATTCATCGGCGATATCTCGAAATCCAGCTTCGATTTCCTGAACCGTCTTCTGATCCTTCAAGTTATCGCGGGCATTTTTTAAAATACTCGCGAATGACTCGACTTTTCCGATCTTGGCACATTCTTCAGCCCACATCAAATAAAATTTCAGACATTTTGTGAATTGTCCATCCAAGGCCAGATTTTCGTATACCCCAAGAATTCCAAGCTTTTGACTAGATTTTGCCTGCAATTGTATAAAAAAGAAATGTTTTGTCAACTCAAATTTCTTACAAGAACTCCATAATAACGCAAAATGACTTCACAGTGTCGAAATCTCTCATAAGATTTCCATTTTTTCACTTTCATCAAAATAGACATTGTGTGTCTTTTAATTACTTCTTTAGGTGCGGATTTCAACATCATTTCAAGGCGTCTGCAAAACATAACACAATTATGAAACTAAAACAATAATTAAACTTACGAGGCTAAAGACTCTAATCCTTCAATCGACGGACTGCTATCCAAATTTTCCATCATAGATTGTAGCTCATTCATTTTTTCTAAAAAAAAACAATGAACACAAATGTAAAAATTTATAGTTTTAAAACATATAGTCAAAGGACTAGATTCAAATTTTTCGTTAACTGAATATTAGATACGCGTACACTATAATGCAATGTACGCAGTATCGCGGTCTCGAGACGCATTGGCACATAGCCAATAATTTTTAAAATTTCGTCAAATCGTTTGACTTCGACAATAAAACATAGCTCTATATATAAATGAAATAGGTTTTAAAATGCACGTTGTGGTAATGACGCATCGCACGTTTGAATTCCCCGCCAAATTTTGGCGCGAGAAAACTCTCACCCACGCTGCACACTCTCTCGCTGGCTGCCTCGATCTGCTAGGCCACAAATCGAAACTCTGTTGCATCGTGTTGTAATCGTACGATAGCGTATTGCAGAATTTTTTATTATTATAGACAGCATGGAATTCTTTAGAGAATGATGAATTCGCCTCACAGAAGGTTTTCAAATGAATATTTTTGAAAACCATTTATAAATGATATATCTTTAGAAATTTTCCTCAGCAACAACTATTATTAGTGAAATGTGAAAATTAAACAATTATATTTTCTGCAACAAAAAACAACTAATCGGTACAAAAATCCGACAAATGGAAAACGCATTTAGTGCAAACACAATCTACGGTAACGTCTCATATTTGACCTAATATTTTCTTCACTATGCGCCTTGAAATTCGATACTGTATTTTTTGCTTCAGATTAATTTTTTCCCATAAAACACGAGCTACTAACTTTAAAAACTCACAATAAAACGATTATAAGCTTCAAGCACACAAAACTTTCATTTCTGATATATATAAAAGGAAAAATTCAAAACTACCTCTATACAGTTGTGATAAAAAAAAAATAAGTTGACATTTTCTTGAAGAAAATTATCACTAAATAAAGTGGGGGAAGCAATGAAAAAGAAACTGGTTGGAATGATAGGATCACATAAGAATAGGGACAGAATAGCAAAGCAGTACTTTGACTAAGTTGGGTTATGGGCTCAATTTCAATTTTTACAGAATTGGGATGTAGTTATCGATTTTGGTGCGGTGTCGCTGCGAGATGCATTCAGCAATCCAGATGATGTTGCGCATTTCTTGTTCCTAAATAACAGTTTTCTTTGTAAATTTTCAAATTACTGCGCAAAATACCTTGAGTTTAATGAAAGCGTAGAAGACACCAAAGTGGAATTGATGCAAGTACGAATGAACGTTCAACTTAACCTCATGCTCAAAGAATTTGTCCTCAAGAGTCTTCTCTCCAGCTCCGTTTCCACTGTTCTCGAAAAGTGGCTTGTAGTCCGAATAGTATTCGCAAACTTGTTTGACCTGTTCGTAGTCGTCAGCACGAGCCAATCCCGAAAGTCCTAGAAAATTTATAGATGTATATGAATAATTCGAAGAAATGATAATACCATCTGGGAACAATTTTCCGCAGCGTGGGTACAACTTCTGGCGATCATCCTTTGAGAGCTCAGTATCGAACGAGTTGATGGTGATGATGATCGAGCGACGATCAGCCTCGAACTGAAAAATCTTTCTTTCATCAAATACTTTGTGAAAATTTTCATTTTGCATACAGCCAAGATGTCGCACATAACTTCAGCGGTTTTTCCGCCAAGATTTTTGCAGAATCCGTAGAAGTCCTCAATGTAAGCCTTGTAGAGAGTGTTACGGATCAACTCGACGTTCATCTCATCCAAATCCTGCTCGTTGATGCAATCGACGAAATAGTTGGCTGGAATGTCATTATATATTTTTGGGCATTCGGAAAATTTTGTACCAAGTGGTGTGTCAACGAGCACAGCGTTGTACAACTCAGCGGGAGTTGAAGCGATATGAATAGCCTTAAAATTGAGATTAAGAATCAGAAAACCTGTCGAATTTAATCACCTCCATTTGCTCGAAAGATCCCAATGGATGGCATTTGTTGATGAGCTCGCTGATTGGGCGCTGATGAAGAGTTCCGGTGATCAGCAAAATGATGTTATCAATCATGTACGAGTACCTGAAATAATTATTTCTTCGCAAAAATAAATAAATGAAACGTCGTACGTGATGTAATCCAAGAATGTCGCCAAGGGCTCCAACGCATTGTTGCGAAGATGAGTAAACTCGGTGACGAGTTTCTCTTTGAGCTTTTCGTCGATCACTTGAACCTATAAAATAATATTTCATTTGAAAATGATATTTAAAAAACTCACAGTGATTGCTCCCGGCTCATTAGCCAAAAAGTTACCATAATCGGTAGATTGGATATGCAATTTGAGGTCCTCAAGGGTTTCGCATTGCACCAAATTGGCGTAATCGGTTTGAGCCAATAGTCCGCCCTTGAGCCCACGTGTGAGCGCCTCGAGATAACCGTGGTCAATATTGAATAGAAACTCGCCCATGGTTCGATTGAAACCCTAGAAAAATAAATGTCGAAATTCGGTTTAAATAGTTTGAAGTGAAAATTCGCATAAATAAACTGAAACTATGCGAAAAACAGAGTGTGGCAAAAGAACACTGCGTTTTCTCTGTCGAGACAGAGAGATCGATTCCTGGTCTCTCGCCCTTGCTTCACTATGTGCGATAGGGCGCGATTACCGCACATCAATGTCGTCATCGACGCCGCCAAATTTTAGATTTTCAAATAGTTTTCAACAACACTCAAATTTTTTTAATTGAAGGTTTGGGAAGATTTCAAATTTCATCGCGCCTAGTTTTTTGTTGACTCCAATTAATTATTGTATTAATTGATTAAAATTACAAACTGAGAAAAAAACTCAAGCTTAATCAATGAACTCGCTAGTATAACATTTTGAAGCTAATTTCAACAAAAGCTTTAATATATGGCTAAACATTCCAGTAATAGGCCGTTTTTCACGCAACACTTTGTATTTCTATTATTACCAACTGTAGAGACGATTCCTCTATGTATTATACGGTCCATTCTTCAAAACGTTCTCTTATCACATTCTTCTCTTCCTTTTCCACCCTCCCAGGCACGTTCCAAAGTAATAAAACCAACAGTGTATGCAAATTTGACCTTTCAATGCCTCCTTTTCTCATTCGATCAATCGATCAACGTCTTTGGTTTTGTTGCGCTTCTGTCGGAAATCGTCAGCACTCAATAAATCGTCTTGTTCAAGCACAACGAGCGCAGACAAAAGATATTCGCCTCATTTTTCATTCGGCTCACCGAGCAACCCGTCTAATCGTTATTTCGTGCGAACAATTGCGTCGTAAAGAACAACCTGCATGCGTTCTTTTAATCACAGCTTCTTGCTTCAATGATTTATGTTTTTCCTCTTTGCTCGGTCATAAATTCGTTGACGTTGTCGTGGTTCTCGTCAATCCATCTTCAACAAATACCGACCACCATTTTTCGGTTATATGTCAAAAATCTTCCCATTCTCAACAAATCAATCAAAATTTTTTGAAAGCGCCTCTTTTACAGAATATTCCTTTAAATTGAAATTCATCAATTATTTATATGGCAGCATCTTCCTTCTGGGAAACACAATTTCTATTATACATATTAGCATTAATTAATCGCAAATGGAATAGCGAGACCACTTCATAAATCGCCAATAGTTTGAATTGTTCCAGTTCTGTTCGATATTCGTACAAATCGTTTCATTCCCATTTATGGGAAAAATAACTATTTGTCTCCTCCATCCGGAATACAAACATGTCGCGAATAAAACGGCAAGGAACATCATTCCAAATCGAATCACACCGTGTTTTTTTTTTTTCGCTGCCTCGTCCTCCTTCTCCTCCGGAAATTTCGGCCCCTGTGGTACCCATTGCCTCCATTTCTTCTTCTTCTTCTCCTTCTTCTTCATTCAATGTGAGTGTGTATATCCGTGTGTTGTGAGTTCTTCCATCCATTTCCCTCCTCACACCAATCATCATCATCACCACCATTTTGATTATAAAATAGGCTGTCTCTTTTAAATGGCTCCTCGACAAAACAATCCTTGTTTTTTCTCGTTTTCCCTCTATTTTGATGATCGCCTAAAAAACAAAAATTTTTTTGAATAATACTTGTCATTATCGTACTTCTGAAACGCAAACTTTCACATAATTTCAATTGCCAACTTCCGCATTTTTCCCGCGCCGCGCTTTTTTTTACTACTGAACGAAGCGCAGACTTCTCGAATTTCGGCAGCTTTTCACTTTTAACACATTAAGCTGGAGAGAAAAACGGCAATCAAAAGGTGTTGCAGTATTGGCAAACAATGCTCACATGCTTCTAAACAATGGTCGAAGGCTTGGCGCGCGTGTTTCTCGTCGACGGCGCCTCAAAAGCGGTCCGATATGATAATCAAACGACGGTAGAGGTTAGTTCGAAAATTAAAAAAAAACTATTGCACTTTTCATTTGCGTAATATTTCGCGAGCGCTTTTCTTCAATTCTCTCTTTTTTTTCAAATTTTTCCAAGCCAGTTTTTGATGGATTGTGGTGCTGGACAGCGAAAACAAATGGAAGCACAGGTGTGACTGGTTGAGCAATTCGGCAATTTTTATTACAAATTGATTGATGAGAAAAGAAGCAGACACGAACTTTAGAAGCGCTGTTTTTTTTTTCAGCGGGTTACTCAAGTAGTTGCACGCGGGATCGGAATTTCTCAAGTTGCGGTCGCTCATTTCGCACTACGCCTTGTCACTGGCCCAACACCATCGACCGCAGGTTTACAACTGCATTCTTTAAGTTAATACAAACAACTTTTAAGGCACTGGAGATTCAATATGGATTCATCCACAGGTGTTAGTATCAAAAGTACCGCACATCTACGCAAAACATCTTCCAATCGGTGTCTGCGATGATATAAAGTAAGAAAAATTTTGCGAAAAAAATCCTTGATCTCGGGCGGGCTCGAACCGCCGGCCTTCTGTGTGTTAGACAGACTCGGTAGAGAAAAATTGCTGCGATTTGGGCGTAAATTCGGCTCTAGTTCGACGGCGGAACTGCTACAAAATCACGCCCGAACGGGAGCAAAGCGTGTCCCGATTGGTAGCAGACTCGGCAATTTGTTGCAATTCGGTTAGCGATTTACACCAACACCGCTCTAAAATTTCGCCAGAATTTTTCCCAGATTTCTCCCAATTCGTAACAGTGAAATCTTTATTTAAAAAATATATAATACAAAAAAAATTTAATTTGAAATCAAATAACATTTTTAAAATTTGCATTAGCCACTTAGTCGGTTCGTCCTTCGCTTATTAAGGCGCGCACCACAGCTTTCCAAGCTTTTCGGTCCTTGGCTATCCCATAGAACTATGAGTAACTTTTAAATTATCCATGTGTATTGAGCTCCTCGATGATACAACGTTCAGGAACTCTTCTCTGAAATGTGCAGTATGTTATAAATTATGTATAATACTAATTAGTAATCTACAGTGCTCCACATAACTATATACCCACCCTAATTTTGTCGAATAACTCGAATACCTCCAGAAATGGTTTCAATTAGAAAATTATGCGCATTTATTATTAGTTTCATGTTACATTCACAAAATTCAACCAGAAATAACAATTTAAAAAATTTCGTCATTTTCACGAAAAAGTGGAAAAAATTTTTCCACAAAACTATATACCCACTCATTTTTTTTTTGCGTTTTTTCGATATTTTTTCGTATTTTCGAATTTTTTTGCAATTTTACTGTTCTTTTTTAGATGCATGCCTTTTGAAAAGCCGCTCACCGACTTTGAAAAAGATAAAATTGTAGCAAAGCTGGCTCAAGTTCTCTCTTATCGACAGATTGGGAATGAACTGGAACGCAATCACAATGTTACTGGGGTTTATAGTAAAGAAGATTTACGATTGCAACAAGTATTTTCATTCAATTACGGATCTCAAAAAGGCAATCGTGGAAGCCTGGAAGCTTGTCTATCAACAGCTTCTTGTCACTTAGTCACTTAGTCGGTTCATCCTTCGCCTGTTGAGGCGCGAACCACAGCTTTCCAAGCTTTTCGGTCCTTGGCTTGGGTGGACCAGGGGGTGATAACGGCTCCTTCAGCTGTTCTTGTAGTGATCTCCTTCCGAAGCGAGTCCGACCATCTCATGGGAGGCCTTCCTCTTGGCCGGGTCCAATTCCACGGCCGCCACTCCGTTAGAAGAGTAGTCCATCTTCCATCTGTTCTTCTAGCAACGTGTCCAGCCCAGGTCATCTTCCTCTTCGTGATGTGGTGTAGGGGGTCCCGAACTTTAGACATGATGCGGATGTCCTCTCGATGAAGATCTTGTTCACGTTGTTGTGATAACGTGAGGCCAACCAATCTTCGCTCAAGCGCAGCGTGACTAATTCGGACTCTCTCGGCAAGAGCTTTGGTGAAGGTCCAAGTCTCTGATCCGTAAGTCAGCGCTGGGAGAACGATGGAATCGAAGAGCTGTGCGCGGGTTTTGTTACAGGAAATCAAATCGGTGGTGTTCTTGATTCCATTAAACGCTGCCCAAGCTGCTCTTCTCCTTCGGAAGATCTCCTTGACTAGCTCTCACAACCTTTATTTATCAATGGACTGCCGAATTTTTGACGTAACACGACTCAATGGAGGTCCAGTTAATTACTAAATTATTTTTTGTTGAATTTCGTGAATGTAACATGAAACTAATAATAAATGCGCATATTTTTCTAATTGAGACCATTTCTGGAGGTATTCGAGTTATTCGACAAAATTGGGGTGGGTATATAATTTTGTGGGGCAATGTATAAAACTTTCAAATTCAGTTGTGAGGCAAAATAATATTATCGGCGTTTTGATTTTGTTTACTTTTTTTACGCTGACATCACGTGACTACGAAAAAGACTTTAAAATTGCAACGCCGCATTAATACTAGTTTAACCTTAACGTTTAACCCAGAGCCCCATTGTGTCAAACAAAAAAGCTGAACGGATTAAATTCCCATTCATATTAATAATAATTTTGAGTGTCTGACCACAGGCAAACGAAAATAAACTCTACAAATGATCTTTAATATTCCGTGACTCTATTATGTTTTAGATCGTTTGCCTAAGTCAACTAGCCCATTTATAAAAGAAAAATTTTTACCTTCCAAATAAACCGCAACCGAACGAGGTAATGGAAGTAAACGCTCGACATCGTACTGTGTATTTCCATGGCGGGATAGTCATCTGAAACAACTATTCCTCATGGCAGAAGATTAACTGTGTGCGCACCTTCATGAGTATCTCTCTAATCAAGCGCCCTAATTGATTGAATATCGCCAACGGTGATTTTGTGACGAGCGTATATCTGATTCAAGGAAATGATCTAAATAGCATTAATTTTGTTGTACTCTATCAAGTGAATATCTTCAACCTCGAAGGGATCCGGTCCGTTCGCAACATATACAACCATACATATTTTGCCATATATTTAATACCTAATTCCTCGTTAAGCGATGACACAATTCGTTTCATTGTTCCGGAGGAATCTTTAAGAAAAAACATGTATTATTTATTTAAAGACTAGTTTTATTAAAAACGAAAAGTAATAAAAAAAATTGAAAAAAAAAATTTGAAAGAAAAAAATTAAATGTTCAGTTTAAATTTGCACTGCATTTGCGCTTTAGTAGAACTTCACTGACGTTTTCGGTAGGTGAATTGCCTGCGATTCTGCTATCAATTTATAGCAATTGGGCCCAAGTAAAAAAAGGTGTAAGAATTTCAAATGAATTGCTGTGGTTTGGGTGCTTGCGCCCGAATTGTACTGATTGCACATAGATGAGTGCTTACTTCTGCTCCCAATCGAGTGCAATTCGCCTCCAATTCGGGTTATGTGAATAATGGGAGCAAATCGGGAGAATCTCTGCACCAAATTTTGTGAATTTACCCAAATTGCACCCGAACAAGTGTACTGCTCCCGTTCGGGAGTGTTTTTGCACCCGATCGGCCGCTTACGCCCGAATTGTAGCATTTCAATTCTACCGAGGATGTGATAACCAATACACCACGAGATCGCTTGAATGGAATTGAATAGTCTGTCAACGCGTGCGAGTGCGCCCCCATCTAATTTCACTGCGTCTCTTGCGCCGCCGAGTAGCGCTGAATTGCAAATTTAAAATTTCGCGAAACTCACTGAAGACAAATTAAAATATATTGAATTCAGAATGGAATTGCGAATGCGTTTCATGCCACATTCCGTTTATGAGCTTCAAGTTACCGATAATATGGCTTTCGAATTCCTTCATTCACAGGTCTCGATTGGTACATCGCAATAAGGAGAACAAATCTACTCATTTTGCAGGTAGTAGACCAATTTTTCACTCAAGTGGCTTGGAAAACCTCAACGGATATTGCCCTCGAAGTGGCCGCATTGAAAGTGTGCCGCGATTTTTTGGAGCAAGGACGAGGTCTCAAAACCAGCTCAAAGTCTCCAAGTCACCATCTAGAAGATGTTGACATTGAAGCCTGCATCCAATCACTCATTCCAAATGTTTTACACAATCCGGGTACAAAGGTACAACCAATGCCGATTGCTACGAATTCACAACGTTTCCTTTTAGCATAGTCACTTGAAAAAGACATTCAGCGGCTTTATCAAAAAATTTTCCCCTCTCTCACCAAATGATTCAATCATTCGAAGTCTCGCGCTACTTCTGGACGTTGTGAAATTTGACGTGGAAGTTTTTAAAGCATGTTTGGGAACTGGATGGACGAATCCAGTTGAATTAGTTGTGGGACCTCATACAGGACTCTCATACAGAGTCAACGACAGATGCGACGTAGGCGAAAAATGAAGAAATATTAAATTTATAAAATTTTTCAGATATCGCGATTATTGGAACTCCGTTGTGTTTCTGAGATCACTATTCGCAAAATTGAGCCGAGCTCGGAAAAAACACTACTCCAACTCAAGTTATCGGGTGGTGCTCAGCCAATGGTACGAGAAGATTGAGCTAACCAATAAAACACCCAAAAACCATTTTAGATGATTACTTTATCGACAGAGGAGCTCGCTCAGTCGCTTGCGCATTTACTTGATGGCTATCAGATGCTTTATAATCAAAGCGGAAGCGTTTTCAAGATGCGCGGTGTGGAACGAAGTGAAACATTAAACGAAACTCTAGTTCCGCCCAAAACACCATTGATCGAGAACGATATTCGATTGAAAAGGGAATGTGTCACATTGAAAGAGCTAATTGGTGGCGGGCAGTTCGGAAATGTTTATAAAGCAATCTACCATGACGAGGTATTCGAATTAATTAAAAAATGCATTCAAATTCAATTCAATTCCAAGGAAACCGACGAACGGATTCCTGTGGCTGTGAAGGTATGCAAGAGCGATGCCGAGCCCGCCGATACCCAACTCATTCTTCAAGAATCAAGTCTTATGCGCAATTTTCGTCATTCCCACATTATCTCTCTAATCGGCGTCTGTGCTGAACAACCGATGTGGCTTGTTCTCGAGCTCGCGCCGTATGGCGAGCTGCGCGAATACCTTCAACAAGAAAAAGATTGGCTTCCTCTACGAAAATTGATACTCTACTCGTCACAAATTGCCGATGCATTGGTGTATCTTCACTCAACGCGTTATGTTCATAGGTATCGTAAAAAATGAAAATGAACATTTCAATTTTTGAACTTAAAGGGATATTGCTGCTCGAAATGTTCTTGTTTGCTCACCAGAATGCGTGAAACTTGCCGATTTCGGCCTCTCAAGAGCATTGGACTACGATGCGGTATACACGGCTTCTCGCGGAAAACTTCCCATAAAATGGCTAGCACCGGAATCGGTCAATTATCGCCAGTTTAGCATGGCTTCAGATGTATGGATGTTTGGTGGGTGAAATAAATAAAATAAATATGAACGCATTTTAAAATAAATTTTATAGGGGTATGCATGTGGGAGATTCTTTCGTTAGGCGTAAAACCTTGGGCAGGTGTTGCGAATTGCGATGTGATTACTCATATTGAGCATGGCTCTCGACTGCAATGCCCTGATAAATGCCCGCTGGCTCTTTACGAATATATGAGAAATCGAATATGGTCTATCGAGCCCCAAAAACGACCTTCGATTGACCAAGTTCGTGCTGTAAGAAGAACGCCAATATTAATGTTGATGATTATCAATATTTCTAGATTCTTGAAAATCTGCGAAATCAAATCGCTGACCATGTTCCATTCGAGGAGCTCACAATTGGAAAACCATTGAATGTAGGTCAAACAGCGCAAAATAAATTATGAGTATATGATTTCAGCCTGCCGGTGTGATTGTCGCTGAAATGTCGTGCTTACCAACACTGACACTTTATCGAGCTATGGAAGAACAAAAGCGTCAAGCCGCCGAAGATGATCGATGGCTCGAAGAGGAAGAAGACGACTATCCTGAAATGCCAACCGAGGAAGTTCCATCCACTTCAAATTCGTCAAGCGAGAACATTCGTACGTCAAACTCGCACATTTACAGCTCAAGATCGTCGAGAGGAAGCTTAGAGGTGATTTATAATACATAGTGTTCATAATCCCAATTATAATTTTTTTTTAGGACAAAGACCTAACGCGCGCAGTTGATGGCGTGTGCGGAGCTGTCTCCCGCCTTCAAAACACTTTTAACAATCTTACACAAGACGATGAATTTCAGCAGCTAGTCAAACAGGTTACCGTTCAATTGCGTGAAATGCTCACGTTGTCTTCGCGATATTTCGATCGGATTGCGACGTCGACCCAACGAGCAGAAATTGAGATGACGAAGACTCTCATTGCAAATGACACGAAACAGATGCATCGCGTTATGACTAAATTAAATAACAATACGGATAAAGCGGTGAGTTATGAAACCTTTGAAGATATGAACTATGAACAAAAGTGCTTTTTAGTAGTAATAAAAAATTCGTATTGCACAGTAAAAAATTGTAAACAATTAAATTTTTAATTACTGCCTCAAAAATTGCTAGGGTCCACAATTGTTCAAAGTGAACGTATTTGCGAAAATAATAATAATAATAATTCATCGACGATTTTGATTACCCCAAGTTCGATATTTTTAATTAAAAAATGGCCGTGAACGCGAATGGCTGCAGTTATTTTTTTCAAAACTCGGTCACGTCCATTTCCACTGCAAGATTAAACTAATTTGTATTTTCAGGCATATAATACACTTCGACGAGATGTAATCAGAATCTGCGGGGAGCTTGCTGTAAACTGCACCACACTTCAAGTACAGCTTACTTCTCCATCGCTTGAAAGCGAATTTTCCACCATTTTATCAAATTGTTAGGTATTTACGGTTTTCCGGCACCATTCCGGGTTTTGTTATTATTTGTTGCCTCCACCCATCCTGTCACGAAATTAATCAAATATTTTTTAATATGATCTCAAATACAAATATTTGTTCCAAATCTCGCTAGAATCTTTTTCCAAAATAATAATAGTAATAATATTATTATATAATAATAATAAATGAATTTGACAGCAATAATCCATCAAGAATTGTTAATGAAACGAACCCAATTTTTTTACTCGCATGTCCGAATTTCAAAAGAAGAAGGACGCCATCCTCAAAAAAGTGGGCAGGGGGAACACGAATGAATAGAAGCTGATTCGACCCCGCCCTGAATTTTCCCAAAAAAAGAAGAAATGTGGGGACACCAAATTTGAATGACCACAATTAGGCGATGCGCATATTTTTGGGAGAAATGATGCCCTTGCTTATACTTATTTTGACACCTTTATCCACCGCGGAACCATGCAAACCAATTCATGCACAAGCCCACGGAGTAAATTTGGTAAGTCATTAAACCGTTCTAAAACTTTTAAACATTTAAATTAGGTGTGTTGTTCATTGAATCAATCGCTAATTCCCAGCTGCGAATATTCTTCATTATGCCGTGATATTTGCACATGTTCACTAACTATTAGCCGAGATTTGGATTGCATTCAATCATCAAATTCCATCACCGAGCCTTATGAATGGAAAGATCATCAACCAAATTCAGTGCCTTTGGAATGTAATAAACCAAATCTTCCAAACGCTGAAGCTCCGTACTCTATTATGGTTGAGAATGCGGATGGGAGGTAGTTGAGATGAGATAAAAATATAATTTATTTCAATTTCAGCGCCGCCTATAATTTTCTTTTGGGTGCCTGCAATGCAAACGTCACATCTATTACATTCCAAGACTACAATCAACTTTTTGACACAATCGACTTTTCAGCATGCTTTCCGAACTTGATGTCGTTTCAAATAGTATTATTGTAAACTAAATTTTTTTCTATACATCACACTCTCTGGGTTTTAGGCAAAGAAAACAGGCGATTTTCACGAAATCATTGAAAAGTCTTCAAAATCTTGACACGTTATCTTTAGTGAACATTGATTTTGAATTCTGGCATCAGACACCGGCATTCAGCGACAAAATAACCTATCTCCATGTGGAAAACTCGTCAATGTCGGAAATTCCCAAATGGTTGGCCAAATGCGGTCAATTAAAGACTGTGTATCTCAAGAGTAAGTTGTACAAATCGAAAAATGCTGGAGGTATGGGGAATCGAACCCCAGACTTCTCGCATGCAAAGCGAGCGCTCTACCCCTGAGCTATACCCCCTCACGTTGCTAAAGCTTCAAATTGTTTAGACACTCGAGCATCATCTCTCACAGCTTTTGCTCAACTTCCAAGAGTTCGCTTCCTCAAACTCTCACACAATTTGTTCGCCAATCTTCATCATCATGTTTTTGCTTCTCCAGACCTTATTCACGTGGATTTAAGCGAAAATAGAGTAAAATTTTTTAATAATGTCATAAAATTCGTTTTAAATTTTCAGATCGGCACATTAGCAACTCACACGTTCGCAAAATGCACAGAAATTCGAGTTATGGATTTATCGGGGAATCCAATAAAAATGTTATCCTACAAATCATTTGCAAAAAATTCAAAATTGAAATGGTTAAAGCTGAGCAGAACAAATATTACGGTATGATAACTCAACGGGATGTCCATAAAATGATGTCCCCATTCTAGAATTTAACACCGGACCATTTTCATGGACTGACATCATTAAAAACGCTGTCAATGTCAAAAGTGCCATTGCAATCAATTTCGAACTACGCATTCCTTCCGTTGAAATCGCTTAGGTACCTCGACTTGGATTCATGCAATCTCACAAGAATCCCACATGCCGTCACATTCAATTGCCATTTGACGCGGTATATTAAAATCAACCTAAAACATTAAAAAACTATTTGCAGCTTAAACGTGGCTAACAATCTATTTCATCGAAGTTCAAGTTTACCGCCGGAGGTTCTTTCAGTTCTCAGTGGCCTTGCCCAACTCCGACTTGATGGAAATCCACTTACTGTAATTGTATGATTAGTTTGAGGACTTTGAAAGTTTGTTTAGGAATTCCCGCCGTCCCTTCTATTGATTTCACGCGAGAATATGAGACTTCTTCGGCATTTGCTGCATACGAGCATGACATTGCCCATGTGGAGCATGGAGCCATGCACGCCTTATTACTGGGCGATGCATATAACAAACAGGTATTGTCATGGCCGGCTGAATTACCAAAAATTGAAATGAGCGATGTGCCCAATTAATTGGACCCCCAAATCGAGATCGTGCTACACTGGTTGACACTTTTACTACTACGATTAAAATTAAACAAAGTTGACGTCTTTATATTATGAACATTTATGTTATAATAGTAATGATGGAAAATGCAAAACTCGCTCCAAGCAGAGTTTTCTTTACGAGAATAAAGGCGGTAATTCAAATGATAAAGTAATCGCCCGACAATGACTATCAAACATTGTGATTTGTTTTGCATTTTTTTAGGACGACGACTTTACGAAGCTTCCTAGCGCAGTACGATGAGACCAAAATGAAAAAAAGAGGATTCGGATATTGCAAGGATCAATTTGAATGGATTATGGAACAGATGGATATATACAGAGAGCTTGAGAAGACAAACGGTTAGCGAAAACCATAAATGGTGTTAATTAAAAATTTTAGGATGTACCACGCAGCGAAGATTGCGATCATCGCACAACTTCCAAAAAGAGACCACCACAATTAAACCAGAGGTATTAAGCCACAAAATTGATAATATTTATGAGCCACACTTTCAAACAATCCCACAACTTTTACTTGCTTCCCTTATTGGTAATCTCCTTTTAATTTTCACGCTTTTGATATGTTTGTGCATGGCTTGTGCCTGTAATAGTAGCAAAAGAGAATAAAAATCCGAATGCATTATTCAAACTAGACCGTGATGACCGTGATGATACGTTTTATTATGTAAGCAGCACAGATAACAATAAAACAACACAAACAGTACACAAACAAAATGCTGATCAAATAAATTAATCGAAAGATTTGTGTGTTTTTATAATATTGATCGTATCATCGTTCAACAAAAAAGTAATAAATTATTGGCGAAGAGCTAAAAACTGTTTGAAACACTCTAAAACTCTATCGTCAGTGCCTTCTGTGAACAGCTCATCGGATAGTGGTCCACTAAACTTGCTCAAAGTCCGACAATGCTAAATAAAACGAATCAGTCGCATAAAGTTGATAAATCAATTACCCAGAGGAAGACTTGACAGTATCGTCCTCGAACCCAATTAAACATAGGCGTGTGGAAATCGGTGCCTTCCGATTCACACTTAACGATAATATCGGTTAATGCTACAGTAAATTTCTGAAAAAAATCAAATGGAAGTAAAAATAATCCAAAAAAGACTTACATGGAGAACATCCATGAAAAGATTCTTCTGGAAATCAACCAAACTTTCGAGTTTCTCTTTCTGGGATTCCAATTCCTCTAAATCGGCCGCCTTTTTATCTTCATCCTCCTAAAAAAAAGAAATTTTCAAACCAATATCAAGTTTTCTTAACGCTACCATTTCCTCATCGTTATTTTCAGTTTTCTCGCGTTCAATTTTTTCCTTGAGCTCTTTATAATCCTTTTCAACAGACACGATATGCCTCGACAATTTTTCAAGCGCGGTGTTCAGCACTTCGAACGTCCATTGTCGATCATGCTCGCATTTCAGTTTTTCATCGAAAAGCCACGAAATTACCTGCGAGCAATCCAAAACTTGCATTTTGAGCAATTTATCGATTAAAATCATCATCATCTGAAGATTCAATGAATTAAATTCTGAAATGCGTTAATAACAACAACCTGTTGATTGGTCTTCCAGCATGAATATATAGTGTCAAGCAAGACTTCCTGAAACTTTTCGTGGAAATCGCATACAGTTTTGAGCGTCTTTTGATATCTGAAATGACAGAATTTATTCGTAAACAAAATTTTCAATCAACCTCGAAAGTGCCGAGAAATTATGACTGTATGTTTTAGCGGCCATTTTCAGCATTACAGTCACAAAAACTGCGAAATCGTCTGCATTGTATCCCTCCTCGGGGTCTTCATGTTGAAGTTCTTCCAAGAATGCGTCAGCATCGCGGCGTTCTTGGAACATTTTCGTGAAAACTGTCGCTTTATGATATCCGGGTTCGAGTTCTTCAAAAAAAAAATTATAGACGTATAGGATAATATTCGGACCATCGTCAAGCATGTAACGAATTTCGGGAATTGTTGGATGAATTCTTACAAACTCCGATGGAAGCGCTTGAATAATTTTATCATAAGAACCAAGCCGTCGACACTTTTCAATAACTTCTCGGGCAAATGCAACACTTCCACAGAATGAATCTTTCTTTAAAAAAATTCAATTTTAAATACGATTGACTACTGCACAAAATACTTCAATACAATCACTCCAGTCCTTCCAAGAGTATCTATATTGAAAGTTGGAAAGATGGAAACTAAACCAGTCGACTAATCTGAAAAAATAAAACGAAGATATTTGGAATTGAAATTTAACAATACCTATCAATACATGCAGGCTGCATAGCATCGGCTCGCTGGTAAAGCAATTCAACCGATTGTACAAGAATCTGCGGATAGCTTGTCGCTTGTAATCTGCAGAGTTCCAGAAGTAGCGACGCGTAAAATATTTGGGGATGCGGCGATTGTGGAAGGCGAAATAGTTGAGCGAAAATCGTCTCAAACATCAAATATCCCATGGGTATCGTTGGGTTCTCTTGTGCGAATTGTACTAATTCTTTGGCGCTGAAAAAAAAACAATGATCTAAAATTAAATATTCGTAATAATCTTTCCTACCAATGTTTTCTGCTCAAACAGTTTTTCTCTATAATCCAATCAATTTCCATTTCAATCAAAAATCGTTCAATTGCGTGGGTTCCGGGAAGAACAGTTCCCTTAAAAAATGCAAAAATTATTAATTAATTAATTTGGAAGCCTACATCTTCCGGACAATCAGCGTAATCGAAAATTCTGAATACAACTCGCGGATACGGATAGGTAGAATTTTCTGTATGTGCAGGTGGAGAAAAACTGAAGGAAATTAATGTTTGAAAATTTACAAAATATAATTTTTACCTCGGAAGATTGTGCTGGAGAGCATCTTGCAAAACAGCATCAAATCCCACATAATGCCTAGGAATATGCTTCTCCTTCCATTCAGCCTCTCTTAAAACACTGATCTGCGCGTAAAGAGAATCCAAGTAATCTTCTTGCTCGTGCGGAGTTCCATCCGGCCGCCAAACTTGTAAAATCTTTAATAAATTTTTGCATTTAGATGGAAAATTATAAATATTTTACCGGCACATGAGTTTTAGATCGTTGCTCGAGATACTTTTCAATTCCTCCAAACACATTTTCAAGCTGCTCATTAGCCTTTTCCGCAAGTTCAGACCCAATAAATGGAAGGCTTCGTAGAACTGTAAAGACAAACCAGTCTGTTCGTACTTGTGGCACGTTTTCTTCAAACGCCGCGGTGATAAATGATTCAAGGTATTCGCCAATTGATTGAATCGTCAAAACACGGCAATTTCCCAGGTCACACAGGAATGTTGTCTGAAAATTATAGTATTTTCATAATTTTTCACTTATTATTACCAAGTTCTGCGCTTCACAATACTTTTCATTTTCCAAAAGATCTTGTTGCTCGGCGATCAATTTTTCGACAACGTCTCCACCGAAATTAAAGTTTTTCGCGTTGAGAAGGCCAACAAGAGTCGTATAAACTGTTACTTTGTTTGGTAGATAAATAGCACTAAATAATCTAATAATACTACTTAAAATTGAATAATACTTACCATCCAACGATAATATCGATAATTGTTGCCCGGTATTTGTCCAAATCGTCTTGCAGAACTCGGCAAAGCCCTTCCAAGTTACTTTCAATCGAGGAGCCCGTATTTTTATCTCCAACTTTTCCAATGATTTCTTGTAATTTTTTCTCGACTTCATCGACAAGTGGCAAACCACGGCGACGTTTTGTCACTATTTCATCCTCGTCTAGAAAATGTTATATTCTATTCAAAATAATATTTTTACATACCATCAACATGCTGACGACGTCTCCCGCCCATAATTCCTAGAAAAAAAAAACAATTATTTTAAATATGTAAATATAATTGGTGTTTTTTTGCGAAAAAAAAGAAAATTCGAAAACACGCCTTGTAAATATAGATTATAATGAGGGCGGTTGGTGTTAACCGGAGCATCGTTGCTTAAATTTCGTTCTTCGTTTTTCACCCTTGTCAACATTTTCTTCATTAATTTACTCAAATTCTTACAATTGTTAGTGATTGAAGAAATTGGTCACACATGAGTACTCCAGAAGGCACATCACCTACTCCGATGATTACCGAAGACGACGGAACTCCAACGTAGGAAAAATTGAAATTGTCCAATTTCAATGTAAAAATGTTCAGAAAATCAAAAATAACTTCAACACCCACTGAATCAAAACCATTCGTTTTGAAAAAATGGAATGCTCTCGCAATTTGGGCATGGGATGTTGAATGCGACACATGTGCCATATGTAGAGTTCACCTAATGGGTTGAATTTAATTTTCATACATTTGGTACAGTATTTTCGAATTTCAGAAGAATGCCTGCGCTGTCAAACAGAACCAAATGCTGAATGCATTGTAGTCTGGGGGGATTGCAATCACTCATTTCACCATTGCTGCATGAGTCAATGGGTCAGACAAAATAATCGATGTCCATTGTGTCAGAAGGTAATATTAAATTAATCGTCGAAACAAGACTACCACATGAAATGAAGTCATCATGTATGGAAATTATTCTGAAAAAACGCTAATTATTTATAATTCATAGTTTTCTCTGGCTCTCTTGAAACACATAGGTCGTTTCATAGGTTTTCGGGGAAAAACTTGTTTAAAGCTATTCTAAAATATTGATGTTCCTTTAAATTCCAAACATAAAAAAAAATAGTTTTAAGGCTGCATTTTGCACCTGTCGGCTTATAATCCTCATTTTCAGGACTGGGTTGTTCTCCGCGCTGGCAAATAACCATCGAGACCCAAAACAACATCCCATTTTTCTGTTTTTTCTGTATACTGTGATTCGCGCTAACTATATCATCATGCTGTAAATAAATATACTCATAACATATTGTTTCTAATGTCGAATACGACAACAAAAAAATTCACACGACAATTTGCGACACACAGCTCCAGCGAACGAACGGCCAGCGAGTGCCGATTTGAATAATACTTCGCCTAGCGGCGACCGACCGCAATTTTATTGTTCTCATATTATTATTTTTTATTATGTCTTTTTTCGCACCTTTTTTTTCATTCTATTTGCTTTAAATGACGCTTCACATTGAAATTTCTAAGCATCGAACGAAATGGATTCGAATATCTCAATGTTACCTGTATTTCAACGAATCAGCCGTCGAACTACGAGCCTACGATCAAGACAGCAACGATCTCTGGATATTGTCGATGAAGGCAGAGGTTTTTTCTCAAAAATAGGCACAACTTTTAAGATTGCAAGCTTTTTAGAAGCCAGTTCCCAGTCGACTGGATTACTGAGCAAAGTGTCATCAGCTATTGGATCGCAGAAAGGACTTCGAAGAAGCTTCAGTGCTCGAACCTTCCGGTATGTTTTGTATTGCACTATATGTCGGTCACTAACTATTATCCCATATCAATTCCCAATTGCAATTTGACTTGTTTCAAGGTCTTCGGTTTCTTGATTCTTGTCGTCCTTATATGGGCCGATTTCGAAAATTGTCTTGTCTTTTTTGATAAACTATTAACCATTTGGTTCTCTGATAATTATGCGATGAAACTGACATGTTCTAATAAAATCACATATTGATAAGCCGCGAATTATGCTATCTATATGTGGTTTCAAATAGTGGCTGCTGCTTTTTAGCATGGAATTAAACGGCCAAATTGAGCAAGTCTACACAAGTTTGTATCTAATCTGGTGAGTTTGATGAATTTCAGCGCGCTCATAGTGAATTACCATTTTTCTAAACAAACGCACATTTCTCTATTCATTATTGATAAAAATTATTATATTGTGCATAGTATTATAATCACATATGACTCGATTTCTTATCAAACGGTTGTCGATTACTCTCGCATATTCTGCTCGGTTCCTATTAAAATGGCAAAAACGCCACCAAGGCCATCATCTCTTAGCGAATCTGGTGTTCGCTTTGAGACCATACCTGAAAGAGCAGTTTGTTATTCATTAGAGTGAGTTGGGCTATCGATTTTTTGATAAGATTAGGCAAATACTGCCACAAAACTCTAATAATACTACAATCAATTGATTCTCGTTCAGCTCTTCAGCGACCGGTGGATCCAACGAGACGGGGTATATGCGGAAGAAGCGAAGCGACGAAAGTATTGAGCCAATGACGAGAACGATGAGCAAGAAGGAGAAATATTTTTCGGAACAAACCGATAAGAATATTTTCATGGTGATTTAAATTAGCAAGACAGAACAATTTCAACTTGATTGTTACAGAAATTGATCCATCCGAGCTATCAAATGAGAAATCAACAGTTTAAGAAGTTGTTTGTCGATAAGGGGCATGTTGAACAAAGCGATGTTTTTCTTGCATGTGAGTTCCACCTGTACTACATAATTGCAAAAATCCATAAAAAATAATTGTGCAAAGATCCTATTCAATTTTTGTAGCATACTCATGCGCTTATCAACGCGAGATTTTGGCCCAAGGTCGTATGTTCATTTGTCAGTCCACAGTATGCTTCTACGCCAACATTTTCGGTTGGGAGACGGTTCTTGTAATACCAGTCGCCGAAATTGAAGCGATCACAAAACGAAGAGCAGCATTGATTTTTCCGAATTCGATTCAAATCGAGAAGAAAACTGGCGACAAGTTCTTTTTTGCCTCTTTTGCAAATCGCGATAAATCTCTTTCAATTCTTAAGGCGGTTTTTGAGAGTGTTAAGGAGGGAAAGGTGAGAATAAATCGAAATCTTTCAAGTAATTATTTAATTCGACATTTTGCAGAAAATGACACCTGAGGATGTTTGGGAAATGCTTAACCACGAAGACGAAAAGGTTTGATCATATATTTAATAGAAAATTCGATAAGCTCGTTGTTCCAAATTATGGTTTGTGCTGAAATTCTTTTAATAATTTGTGAAGTTCGTGACCCATTTGTGGTCGATTAGAAAATTTGTGTCAATTTCGTCACAAATCACGCCAAAGGTCAACTGTGCACAATTGTGCTAAGCTCTGTAGTCTATTTGAGCAAACACGTGCTAAACTCGGCTCGGATCGCTAGGCTAAAAAACAAAACATTGCCATAAAGAGCGCGAGAAAGAAAAACTCTGCCTCTTTTCCCTCGCACCTCTCCATTTGTCATCGAAATAGAGAGCAAAGCAACGAACACCATTTCACGTAAAAAAAAATCGACTCGGTCGCGCCGCTAGTTTTATTATTTGTAGTCAAACAACTCGTTTGCTACACCCAATCCAATATACACTATATATCGAAACTCCCAACCTCGAGAGCATTCTTGAACTTGATGGTCAGACATGCGGGTTCTCGCGAAAATTGTCAAAAAAGTGAGGCATGAGATATTCAGTATTGATCATCAGCGGCGATTATCAAACGACGACGAGGTACTTTTCCCGATTTTTGCGCCTTCCGCCACAAATCACTTTCTGTTTGCGCTTGCCAATTCAAACATCGCTCACTTTTCGTTTTTTGCTCGACGTTCACGTCACAATTTTCTGGTTTCAGAATAGTTCAAATCCCGGTGATATTCCGTCGACGTCACCGACTTCGCCTACAGGAAGTATGACGGTTAGTGTGAATCCATTAAAAATCTGATTTTTTGGACATTTTCATTTTCAAAAAAAAATGTCGGACGAGAGAATGAATACTAGCATTTCTGCTTTTAATAAGCAAATGATTGAATTTTAAATTTGTTTTATTAATCAATTAATTGCTTAATAACTGATCCATTTGTGAGTAAACACAAGACAAACGAGACACTTAAAAAATGTTGTCCGGCTTTTCAGGAGAGTCAAACATTTAATAATGGATACTCGCTTTTTTTTACATTTTACATTATTATAGATGATCGATAGTAGTCGAACTTCCACCACTAGAAGTACAGAAGCCACACGCGACAATATCTCACAAAGTTCTTCGGGAAGTGCGGGACATGTAATGAAAAAATCATGAATTAAAATTTGAATGAATTGTTTTTTTAGTCCACCGATGACGATTATCCCGAAGTTAGTTTCGAAGGCGAAATGGAAACCGAAAATTCCGAAGTTGTTGTGGCTTATGAGGGATATGAAGAAGAAGCTTCTTGTCAATGCAATGAGCACGTCGGAAGATTGATCATGGATGCTGTATTTCCGATCTCGGTCTCAAAAATTTATAATCTCCTCTACACAAACAGCCAATTTGCCGAAAAGTTCAATAGAGAGCTGAAAAACAAAGGTAATGCGATTATGATGATTTTTTAAAACGAGTAATTTCAGACTATGTTGCGTCTGAATGGATTCGCGATCGAGAAGGAAACGATACTAGAAATTGTACATACGCTGTTTCGCTGAATCATGCCATGGCACCGAAAAATATTATAGTCAACGAGCGACAAGTGCTCACTTATTTCCCTAATAAAGAAGATGGTTTTAAAGTGATGAAAGACACTCAAAATTCTGGGGTTCCGTACGCCGATCACTTCACCGTTCAATGTCTCTGCTGCTTTACGCGAGTCGACAGAAATACGGTGCGCGTTCGTGTGCACGGTGGAATCCATTACAAAAAAAATGTGTGGAATCTGGTCAAAGGTATTGTCGCGGCCTTCACTCTGCGGAGAAAATCTTTGTATTTTGTAGGCTACATCGAAAAAGGAACGCATCAAGGCCTCGACGATCACTACAATCTGCTCGAACGGCTGCTCAAGGAAGAGTGTGAGCGCGTGAATTCGAGTAGTGATTCGACGGTCACGGTTGTCCGCCAAAGGAAACGCGAGTCCAAGATCGAGAAGCGACTCAGCGGCGGTGGAGAACAAATAGTGCAGAAAAAGATAATCGAACCACAACAGTCTGTCACACCTGCGCCAAATGTCACTCCAACAATTCATGTGCCTGATTATTCCAATTACTTCAAGATCGGCCTTGCCATGCTGGCTTTTGTAATTATATTGCTGATCATGATTTGGCGGAACGTTGGTATCGAGCAAAAGTATGTTTTTTATTTTTTTTTTTAACGTTAAAAGTAGCCTATTGTCAACAATATGTACATTAAAGATTAGTCCTTTAACATTTTTTTGAACTGAACGAGGAACTAAATGTAATAAATCACAAAACAAATATTTTTAGCCGTTCTCACTCTCATATGGAAATATCATCTCTTCTTCACCAACTCAAGGAGCTCAGGAGTAAGCTCGATTCAAGGAATTCCGATAATTCGTGATGCGGCTCAATAACAATCATAGGTTTTTGTAAATATACATTCATTCCGTGTTTTCTGTACTTTCCATAATAGGAATTAAATTTTTTGAAGCCTCTAGTCAATAAATTATTTTAAAATCGTTGTAATTTCTACAAAGTTTCGTCAAAGTCGATTACACCGATGATATGTTTGACCATCGCTGGATGGTTGGGCAGCTGAGCAGCGTACTCTTCGAAGGAGATGTCTTTGAAGATTCGCTTGATCGCCATTCTCGCTTTGGGACCCGACTTCTTGCCATCGTTATCAATGGTCCAAACTTCAAAGCTTGAAATTGTAGGAACTGGGACGATTTTGATCTCATCAGCAGCCTGAACATGACATTTTTGAAACAAGCTGATTAAAATCATTCTAAATTACCGACGTGCTCGCAATTTTCGAGCTTCCCGCAGCATCTTTAATAGCGTGCCTTTCAATGTGAGCACTTAATTCGTGTACATTTTTCAAATATTCAATATCATCAGCATCCGCATAAGAGAGAACCTGAAAATATTGATGTCTCTTGAATAACGTATCCAGCAGTATATACCTCAAACGGTTGAACCTCGTTTACCGAGGAAATACCGATCTTTTGCTCATTTTGATTGTCAAATCTCATCGCTTTTTTGGTATTATCCCCACAAATTGACGGAATTCGAACAATTGGTACTTCATGACGCTCGCCAATCACTTCAAAAGTTTTTTATTTAAATTATATAGTTTTGCAAACCCGGAAGATGTGTGAACGCTTTTCTCGTTTCTTCTTCATCACCGTCCGAATCCGAGTCTTTTTGTTCCATATGACGCCGCATTTCTCGCATTTCCAACTGATCCTCCGCGTCATTTATAAGCTAAACATTTTGAGATAAGCTGAAATATTTATAGAGGTAGTTAACCTCCAGAGGTGTCGCACAATTCGTTTTTGCAAGAATTAAAACCCTTCTAGCTTCTACATAAGCGCCTGCCAGCTCCACATCTTGAGACCATCTGACATACAAGGCGGCGTTTCTGGAACAGCGATAAATATTTATCGATATTTAATTCATATTTGTTTTTACCGAAAACACGATTTTCTGCTAACTGCGAACTGATAAATTTCATGCGCATGCCCACAACTGTTATCTGCCATTCTTTCCCATATTTTTAACATTCGAGGATCTTCTTGGTGCCTCTCAATAAAGCCATCACTTAAATTAAAAATTTAGAAACATTTTAATTGGATTATGTCAAACCTGCTCACAACTTTCCATAATAATTCGTAGTAAAGCTTTTGCTGGCCAACCGGAAAGTTTTGCTCAAACCACGAGCAAAATTCTAATATTTTTTGAAGTTCGTCGTGATTTGAAGATTCCTCATTTTCGGTATTCATCAAAATGTTATCCAGTTTCTCTCTCGCCATCGCTTCCGTTGGAGCTTCAGATTTCTACAATTTAAAAAATAGAAATCACAGTTTCGTGATAATTTATGGACCCTTTTTAAGGCTTCTATTTTACGGCCTCTTCTCGATGGACGCAGATTTTCCGAATATCTGTCCCAATCATCATCAGAGTCTTGAGATTCTCTTGGCGCAAGAGAAAAAACATAAGATTCAGACATCTGAAAATGACCAATTTTTAAAAATCTCATTGAAAAAAAACACTTCTAAAAAGTGAAATCAAAAAAATTAATTTAAACTGCGTTTTTCTCGCGGGTCCGCAATACGCAAACACCTCATCTTACGCATGTGCTTGTTTTTTTTTCCGATCGGAGAGATTTGATGTCCCTTCGTGCAACAAATTATATTTTCTTTACCTAAAATCATTGCGCATGATTTGCTTATTTGTTTTATTAGTTGCAACCACAAGTATAACGTTTTCACTTTATTAATTCATAATGTACTTTGTTTTCTTTTTCTGTTGTTTAATAAATAGTTGGACGTGACATTTCATAACTGTTCACCTCTGTAGGCTGCTGATTCACAATTTGTGTTATTTTTGAAATGTTTGCAGAAATGGCAAAAGATGCTGAAACACAAAATCAAAATGGGAAGAACTGCTATTCAAAGAAAAAGTATCAAAATAGTTATAATTTCCTTATTTAAAGCATTCTTACAGATATGCCGAAGCATCCGCTTATTTCACAGATGCAATTCGATTAAATCCAATCGTTAAACATTATCAAAATCGTGCGATGTGTTATTATCAGATGGATCAACTTGATTTGGCAGAGGCTGATTGCAGACGAGCTCTAGAAATGAGCCCGAATGAAGTCAAGCCTCTATACTTTCTCGGAAACATTTTGACTAAAACGAAACGCTACGGAGAAGCTATTTCGTGCCTTTCGAAAGCTCTTTATCATAATAATTCAATAACGGTGAGTTTTTTTTTTAAATACAAATGAAGTTATTACTCAATTACACATATTATAGAATACAGTAGATATTGAGAATGCCTTGAGACGTGCCAGACATGAAAAATATGAAGAGGAAGAATTGAACAGAACTATGCAAGATCTAACCATCTTCAATTATATCGATGAGCTGATTAAAAAAGATAAAAAGGAGCGCGAAGAAGGGGATGAAGAAATATGCTCGTTAGCTCAAAAGCGTCTTAACGAGTTGATGGTTCAAGCGTCGGAAAAACGTCATAACCGTGAAATTCCGGAAGCGTTATGTGGAAAAATCACTCTTGAATTAATGAAAGATCCGGTTATTGTGCCTTCTGGAATCACATATGATAGAGAGGAAATTGTGCAGCATCTGAGGAGAATAGGTACGACATTGGCTTTGTGTTTCTTTTCAAAAAGTTGCCTTGATTTAGGACATTTCGATCCAGTCACCAGAAATCCGCTAGAAGAAAGTGACATAATTCCCAATTACTCACTGAAAGAAGTGATTGAGAAGTTCTTAGAAGACAACCCATGGGCGAAATATGATCCCGGAAATTCTGAATAATTCCAGCCTCACCAAATTTTATCTTATTTGCATATTTTGAAAACATTCCATAGTCATCAGTTTTTTTCTCCGTTTACTCCGCTTTGTTCTGAATTCGTTTTGGGTATATATTGTTGTATATATTTCTATATATATTCTTCCTCTAGTGTGCATAGAGTGTATATAAATTTGAATAATGCTTGGCATCACGAATTAAAAAAAACAATAAAAAACATTTTTATTATAAAATGTAAATATATTAATTAAATCGTCAAAAAATATTGCTTATTACTTACGATTTTTACTAGTATGTAATGTTTTTATCACATGTTTTTGTAGAAATTTCGGCTAGAATAATTCAATTTACAAATTGGTCTGATATGTTCGTGTGGACTACGACGAGTTGTGTAAACGCGGAGTGTCGTACGTGCTGCGAATTTATTTTTTTGAGATTGCATCACATTCTGAAATGAATTTTTTAATTTTTTCAAATATTTTCTGTATTTTAGATATTGAAATATAGTCTTTAGATGTTGCTGCGACTCGTTTATACTAACGGTGCCAAAATTAATCGGGCATTACCCGTTAGAAATCAGTTTTTAGGAGCACTTTCAATAAGAGGTTGGGTTTTGTTAGTGAATTATGATATAATATTTAGAAAAAAACTACAGAATACAGCAATCCACAGCCTCGCAAAGGATTTTTGAATAATTTAATCGACAATGTCAAAGAGGAAATGCAAAAAAATAAGGAGTTACAGGTGAATTTGACTTTTTATTTGAAAAGAAATATGGAATTTATTATTATAGGAGCATCAAAAGCAGCTTCGTGAACGAATGCAGCAACTAAATGAAAGTGACGCTCTAAAGGATGCAAGGAAAAAATTTGTATGTTGAAATTCATAATCGAAAGCTTATGTTTTTGAATTTCAGGAAATTGTTGAAAAAGAAACACTTAAAAGCTCTGAAATTGTTAAAGTGAAAATTGAAGAACTCAGTGAGCACATGAAGAAAATGGTTCAAGAAATTCAGAAGACTGAAGCTGGAAAGAAAATGACTGAAGCGGGGGAAGAAGCTTTAAAACAGGTTTTTAAGAGTTTATAATTTTGGATGAAAATTTTTTTTGAGGCTAGAAAAGCAGCGGAACAAATTGAAAAAGTTGCCGAGAAGGTTGGAGATACCGAAGTGTATAAGCATGTGTCGACGGTACCGTATTTTTCAATATTTTAAAGTTAAAGTGTTAATTTTTAGTCCATGAAAACTGTAAAAGACGAAATAGATGGCATTGCCGATGTCCGAATGTATAGCAGACCGGAAGTACTTAAAAAACGAACAGAAGGCTTTGAATTAAAGAAAGATCGCGTTGTTGAAGCTAATGAGTAAGGACAATTGAAATATTTTAAAAAATTATGAATATTTTTAGTGATGCCACAGATGTAACCTTGCATAAAGATTCAAAATGGTACTCCTCCTGGAAAAATTTTTCAGAAAGCAATCAATATTATCACAGTAACATTATTTTATAATAATTTATGTTGATTTTTGGCCTTCACAGAACTTCTCGACTGGAAAATGAAATATGACGAATCGGATAATGTCGCTGTTCGTTTGATGAGAGGCGTTACTGAAAGAATTGGATCAGTATTCAGTGAGTGAAATATTTTTCTTTGTATATTGTTCAACGTTTTCCAGGCGGACAAAACGAAGTCAGCGAAGTTCTCACCGAAATCGCCAAAATTGATCCAAAATTCGATAAGCAGGAATGGCTGAGGTTTTGTGAGACCAAGGTGCGCAGTTTTCGTCACTTTTCCTCGACTTTCTCAATTTTTTAAGGTGATTCCAAACGTGTTGGAAGCGTTTATCCGGTTTGACTTGGAAGTTTTGCAAGATTGGTGTCATGAGAGAGTAATTACATTGTTCTGAAGATATCGAAATAATTCATTATATTCAGGCCTACAATCAACTAGCAACCGTCATTAAAGAATATCAAAAGATGCATTTCAGGACAAATGATTCTAGAATTATTGATATTAGCAAAGTAGAAGTGAGTATTATGAATAAAATTGTCATAAAATCATAGTTGAATTTCAGATGGTTTCTGGAAAAATGATGGAGCAAGGCCCAGTTTTAATTATCAGCTTCCAAGCATACATGATTAACGTTACTAAGAACGCTGACAATAAAGTGGTTGAGGGAGATCCGGTAAGGTTGTCTATTTATTTCTCAACAAATTATAAAAATTTCCAGGATACTCCTCGCCGAGTAAATCATGTCTGGGTTTTATGCCGAGATGTCGAGGAATACAATCCAGCGATGGCTTGGAAATTGCTAGAAGTTCATATGCAGGATCAACCTCTTGCCGTATAAAATATAGATGTTGTTTTCTAGATGTTTTTTAGTTTAGGACATTATTAGAATCTCGGTCTTTACATTGTTTTGTTTCCTGAACGGGTAAATTTTTCTTCTCAAGCCTGTTTCTTGTATTTTTATTTTCGATTTCTCGTTATTTTTCACTTGACCCTTTCGTCTTCTTATTTTTCGTTTAATAAACTCCCTCGATTTTATTTGCCCAAATAAACACGTCTTCATTTTCGAAAATAATTTTTGATGAGATATGGCTAACAGTAATCTGGAGAATTTCGAAGAAGCGCGAATTGCATATGAAGATTTCGAAGCGTTTGCGAGACGGCTCGAGCGGAATCCTGGATCGCCGAGAATTCACGGAGATCCGACAGATAGGAATGAATGTAATGTCCGTTTGGGAATAAAACAGAAAGTGTTCCTTTGCTCGTCGCGTGTTTGCACACTTGACTACCGTAGTCCTCTTTCAGCGTTTGAAGAACTCTGCCACAGTTTGCGAAAATGCGGAAAGTCTAGCCAACAGGAAATCAAGCAAGGCGCGTATTTAGGAATTATCACCAAAGAAGATTCACAAAAGGTATGCCGTTTATTAAAATGAATGAATATTCAATTTGTTCTAAAGAAAATCAATAATAATGGCCAATTCGCAATTTATCACCGACTTCCTCGCTCCATGGCTGTCAGATTGAGCTCGAAGCGTTTTTCGAACGATGATTTAGAGCCGCTGCCAACGCTTTACCTCAACATTGTCTACAAGAGAACAAGTGGAGAATACAGGTGAGAACTTACAGTTAGTCCAGCCAGGCCCTTGCCTATTTGTTTCATCATCATTATTTTGGTCCGATAGAAATATTACATTTTTGGAGACATTATCCAATCATCGAAATTGAAAATATTGGTGCTGATTCGAAACCTCAAAAGCTTTATCAAGTGATCCGCAAACAAGAATCCAATCAGTTTTTGTATGGCTCGGATTCGCGTAAAGCGCCGGAACCGCTTTTCACCACCATCGAAAAGCTGCTTGATCATTATTCGTAATTATTGTTGCTTTGTTTCATTGTAATTTCATTTTATAGAAAATTTGCATATGGCTACAAATTCAACGAAGACGGTGGAATCGACGTCGATGTGTTTTGAATGATAAATTCGACTTACCTTTTCTTTGAAATCTTTGCGATGTGAAAAATTGGCGAATGCTCGGTCTACATACTTCTTTACATTCCATAGCACGTTTGAAAACTTTTGTATGGGATTGCAAAGAAGTACGACGCCCGGAACATCATTGCCGAATATAAACGCCCAAACACACCTGAGCCAAATGCGACGATTTCTTAAGAATGATGGCGAATAGAGAAGGCAGAGAAGGTGGAGCACACTCGACGCGCGCCGTTTCCGGGTACCGTAAGCTTGTTGATTTTGAGCAAATAGACTAGACACACCATTCGATGGTCGGACGCACGCCATCGCCGGTCACACCATAAGCGGAATGGTGCGGCGATGGTGATGGTGGCAGTGTGGAAGGATGCAGAAGCTGCCGACCCCCGAAGTTGAATGAGTGTCGCAAGCCAGCCAGCAGCATCCTGCGACGAACCGACGATGCCACGCCCACTTTTGTAAGACGTCTTTTCGCCTGCGTTTGGACAGCGGGCGCCCACACTCTCCGCCATCCTACGGGGCAGTAATCATCATCCTCTTGTCTCCCGCCCCAACGCGCTCGCTCGCTATCATCATCATCGGAGCTCGTGCTCTTTTTTTCTTACACATCGTCGTCGCACCAGGCCCCCGGGAACTCGCCGGTCTCTTCCCGCCGCCGCAACACCGTAGGACTAATGGAAATTCGGAGGTGCAGAGAGAACGCTGACGCTTTTTTTATGTGTATGTGTGCGTATTGCGGTCTAGGTTTGGTTTGGGGTCTGGCTGTTGCTGCTGCGACGGCGGCTGCTGCTTCTTCCACCGCCGTCTCTCATACGGCCTGTTTGAGGATCGAAACGAGTTGTATGTATGTAGTAAACTGTCAGCGTGCGCTGCTCGTTTGGAATTGCGCAATCGGCAAATGAACGACTCGGATCATGTGGCACCGCGATCATTGCTCTTATTCTTCCTTTGGTTGAACATCGATGGCAAAGCACAAAAATCATTGGAGAATTGATTGCAACGATACCTAATAAATTCTAATAGTAGGGAAACTTGTGTAAAAAATTAGTTGCTCCGGACTAAAACATCAGTTCGATGGAAAAATCGGCTCCTTATGGAGTTCCAGGTCGAAAAGTTAATAATTTGTTCATGTATTCGATAATTTCTTGAGATGACATCTATATAAGGAACATGCAAATTTCAAAATTTGCATCGATTCGCTGTCTTTCATGTTCTCTTGCACGTTGTGGCGTTGTCCTCAAAAATTTGAATCTAAAAGATTTTAGCGTCTGTAATGCTCTTTTCCCTCTCCTCAAACTTCTACCTATGTGTGTGTGTGTGTGTGTGGGAGCGGCACGCGCAAGTTGGCCGAACGGGTCAACCGAAATGCCTGCATCTCTAGGGCGCTCGTCGCGCGGGATCCCTCGACATCGTGACGCTCTCCGCTCGACGCGCATTCTCTCGCCCACTCTATGTGCCCGTAGTTGTAACAAGTGTGTGTGTGTGTGCCGCGGCGTGCTCAGTGCTTCTCCATCTCCTACGTCGTAGTTGAGAGGAGTGCGACAGGAGAGACGCGGGAGCAGCACCAGTAGAAACGAAGACCGGCGACGAAAAAAAAATTGCGGGCCTTGAAGAGGCTGGGTTCCCTGTGCGGGGGAGTTGAAAACTTCCACTTAACACTATAGCGTACGGGATGTTTCTTTAAGACCTTTCTTTTTTCAGCAAGTTTTACCGTACTATAGTCACCTCAAGGAATGAGGTCAACAAAGCTTGAATCCGTCAAAACCAATAACAATAATAATGAAGCGCACTTCATAAATTATAATACTCACGGAACTTGACGCCGCCGTACCAATTCATTCGCGCAACGAGGATACAATAATAACAATAGAAGAAAACGTGCGGGGGCTTCGGGAAAAGAAACAAGTGAAAAATTCGAAATAACGATGGAAAAAAAGAACAGAGAAGGGAGGAATAGTAATAATAATAATAATGGTTAAATCGTGTGTCTAAACCGAGAGAATAATTGTGGAACGGACAGGTAACGGAAAGGGACGAAGAATGAATAAATAGTTAAATGTAATTACACATATTTAACAAAATGATGAGGATAGAAGAGAAGTTGAAAACAAGTGGTGCGAAAGGAGATCAAACACTTACTATATACTACGAAAAATAACCTTTTTTGATATTCCACCTTCGTTTCTTTTGATATAATAGTAATACAACAACAATAAGAATAATTTAGAAGCGAGTTACATCGGTCCGAATTGTTCGCGTCCTTCGTGTGATGTGCGAACACTGAAAATCGTCATTTTTTCGGCGGCGCAAACACGATTTGTTGTGTTTTTTCATCGTTTTTGGGAGAAAATGCGATCGAAGGAAAATGTCGCGGCAAACCAGATTCGACGCCTTGCCGTGCGTACTTTTTTGCCAATATAAATAACTTTAGATTCCAATATATCACTTTAGAAGAGAACCATCGACTTTAATTGCAAACACGAAAAATTAATGGTTTCTAGGTTTAGTTTGTTCACTATTTATGGGCTTCCAAAATCTGCTTGGACACATTCATTAAATTGATTTTTTGAGATTATCTATTTGAATCCAATTTCTTCAAAGAATTACTGTGAATTGGTTTCATATTAGGGCCAATTCACATTGTTTTTCCGAGGCCCAATAACAATACGAATAACATATGAAACAAAATTGGTTTTATAAGTATAAAACTAACCATTGTTGAAGCAGATACTGCGCCGTGTGAATTTGATGTTCGGTTCCAGTAATCGTAATAATTCGTTCAGGCTGTCCTTGAGCAGCTTCCAATGTTATTTGGGCACCAGATTCTTGACGGATTCTCGCGATTCTCTCTCCACCTTTTCCTATAATAGTGCCCCCAAGATTCGATGGAATGGTAACCTTAAATATTAAAAATTAACTTAAAAACATAAATAATATTTTTAAAAAAACCTGAGCAGTTGTCAAAGTTTGGTTTCCTGTACCATATCCACCGACGCCTCCGTAATATCCATTTGCCGGTGGTGGTGGTGGTCCACCATATCCAGCAGATCCATAGGTTCCGGCTTGATATCCCTGTGGTGGGCCTGGAACTGAATTTTCAGATATATTCATACGTTTTTTTCTTTTTTCGAATAATACCTCCTCGGTATCCATAATCTCCAAGTCCACGTCCATCACTGTAACCATAGCCTCCACTACGCGGTGGTGGCCCACCTTTTCCCATCGATCTCGGTGGTCCGCTCATTGATCCTTCGAAACCCCCATAATCATGAGCGCGATTGTTCTCGTAATTGTTTGGATTGTATGGAGTAGATGGGCCCTTGATTGGAATCTCTTTCAATTCAGCCATAACATTCTCAATCATTTTCAAGCAGCTGCTTAGATCACCGCTAGTCAGGAGCACACGATCTGTTGAGCCAGGAGCGCAGTGTTGAAAAATCTTAAATAAACATTTTCACAAGCCTATGATTATTTAATTTACCTTCATTCTAGCGCCGCATTTCTCTCGAAGTTCCTTGATTTTGCTTCCGCTTCTTCCAATGAGGGCACCAGCATGAGATTGATGAATAAGAACACGTACTTCACACGCATCCTTGTCCGTTTGCGCCTATAAACAATTATGAATTACTTTCTTACTTTGAAAAACGAGTTGTGTTATTTTTGCCAAGGGGAACAACATACATCCTCCAATCTTGGTAGAATATCCTTCATTATATCGAGCATCACTCCAGGGTCAGCGGTAACATTGATGATTCTGCAATAAAACGGTTAAAGAAGTTCTTTGATAACTTCTAAATAAAAAATTATAAACTGTGAAAGAGCATACAACCGATGTTGGGAACTGGGAATTCTCGGGAACAGTTGTTCGAAATTTTCGGAAAAAATGCAATATTTAATTGGAATAGGTTAATTACCGTTCGGGGGAGTTGGAATCAGGGACTTGGATGTGGGCGTCGAACTGAAAACGTATATATGATGGGTGATTTGGGAAATGGGGGTCTTGTGGACTCCTAACGCCTGAAAATCGCTGTAAATTTAGCGAAATTGAACATACTTCGCTTCGAAGACGCTTAATATTATCTCCTCCTTTTCCGATAATTGCGCCAGCAGATTTACTGCTTACAAGAAGGCGCAATTCAAATTTTCCATTCGATATAGCCTCCATAAACCTAAACACAATGAATTTGAAAAGTTTCATTCGTTTTTAGGCTTGCCCATCATTGCGCTGCCTTTTGTTCGGAAATTTGCGATCATCATCGCGTCCATGTTCTCGTTTCATGGTCTAAACAACAATAATAATTAAAAATCTATACGAAAATAAAAACGTCGGCGGAAATATCGCGAAAAATAGGCGAAAAAAGCATGAAAATTGAACTATTATGGCTCGTAAATGCGTTCGACGGAAAAAACGCTCGCGACCGCCCCGCGAGCAGACGCATTGACCCAAAGAAAGTGCGCACTTGTGTTGGTGTCTTGCCATAAATTGAATTGAAAGAGAACACGCGAAACACAATCTGATTCGATAAGAAGTCGTTGCGAGAAACAAAGGCAGATAAAAAACCGTGAAAATTAATAAAACCACGTAGCAATAAATGTCACACAAGGAAATAAAAACAAACCAGTAATTGAAATAAGTTTAAAAATAGGGATTTTCGAACTTTAATATTTTAATTTCAATACTTAAAAAACTTAAAATTAAAGGAATATGGAAGTAAGGCTAAAATTGTGAAATTCTTTCGATTAAAAAAAATGAAAAAAATAATTTATTCGCGGGTTGATTTAATTGCAAAAGTGAAATTGGTCCTGAAACGATATTGTTACGATGTTGTCCCGCGAAAATTTCAATTTTCAAAAATAAATCAATATTTTGGATTTTTTTTTAAACAAATTCACAATTTTTTAAAGTTCTTCTGCTACTACGTGATACATTTTGAACTCATTTTCTAAATTTTAAAGACATTTCCTAATGGTAAATAGTAATGGCTATTAATAAGTGAGTTCTGTTGATAAACTGATTATTGAATAGTATGGATGGCGGATTTATAATATTGCAGGGAGCACGCGATGCTAATGAGCAACAGTAGAAGTGCTCGAGGAAGTTGGACGAGCTTGAATGATGATAGAAATCCAATTTTCGGTAAACACAATCAATCGATGGTGTGTAATATATATTTAGATGAAGAACGTCAGAGGCAGGAGTCTTCCGGCGCCGAATCTGATGTCTCAGGGTCACAAAGTCAGCAGCAAGGTTATTCATTGTGTTGGTCGAAAAGTATAAAAAAATTGTTAAGGTGGGGGCTTTGCTTCGAATCGCCGCGGAAGCCAAGGACAGCGTGACTATCAATATCAGCAAAACGGTCCACCATCGAATCAAGGGCGGAAATGTGCGCTACTTGATTAACTTTCTCGACGATATTTAATAATTTTTCCAGCTAATTATAACAACAGAATGAGAAATCCGCGGCAGTATATGCAAAATGGTGAAAACTATCATCAAGGCGGAAACAATTATCCCGCAATGTATAAAAATAATCATCCTCGTTATAATCAAAAGTTGCCAATAGTAATGATTATTCGTAACACTGATACTTTTTTAAGCTACAACAGTTACAACAATCGTCAGTGGGGATATATGAATGGGCCGCCTCAGCAACAAGGCTACAATCAACGAGAACGAAACAATGGAGGTTGTTAAAGTTTGAAGAGATCCAAAAATTCAATAAATATAAGGATATTTTTATTCCCTGAAATCATTTCAATTATCTAAATATTGAAGATATAGTATATTTTTCAGCTCGCCGCCAGCTCAGCTCGTCCAATTCACCATCGCCATCTCCTCAACAGCAAAAACCGCGAGAACGTTTCGATACGCAGAACTCGACAGACGTTGAAAGCGTCACTGGTACTGCACCGAGTACAATACATCGATATCGTTCAGCGGGAACAGCACCGAGTCCAAGTGCAAGGTATACACAAAACTAGTAAGGTGTCAGTGATCTCGAAAATTTTCAGCACTATGGGATCTCCGTTCAAGCAGCAGATGCCACTTCAGATGAAGCTCGGTGAAGGTCGACACGATGAAGCGAAAACTGTGTCTCAACCAGCGACACCAATTTTTCAACCGGTCATTCCAATCGCATTCCATGAAGATTACAAAAAAATTGCGACGCTACCCCATAGCGAACAATACCAAGCACTTTTCAATTTTGTGAATCACAAGGCTTCTCAGTGTGAGTTCACATTATTTGAAAGTATCTATCTGATTATTTGATTTAAAAATTTCGTATTAGTTCTGATCTTGGTTACTTTGTGTTTGATTTCTGTTTCAATGTTAATTTAGAGAAATAATAGATGTGACCTACAATTGAAGCGGCAACTCCTTTTCTTCTGTTTATCAACGAGATCTTTTTCTCGATACTAAAATTTTTCTTTCAACTACTACCGAAATTTATATATGCGATTAATTATTTTCGTTTCGACTTTTTCCAGCACTAGTTGAAAGCAATTTAGCCGGTATGAAACCAATCGACACATCACGGAACTCTTCAGCTTCTGACGTTTTGACAGCTTCAGCGAGTGCCCCCGTGACCCCGCGGATGAATATTGATGGTGTGTCGAAGCTTCTTTATATCGCACAATTGTTTATTGATTTCCAGCCCTTTCAATGGAAAAATTGATATCAGGTGGTGGTTTGTCAGCGGATAGTCTCAATCTGCAGCATTTCAATCAGAATGACCGATTCTATGGTGCATGCATTGGGTAACGTTTTTAATTTCTTTTAATATCAAATTTATCGAATCGAAAGCCGACCTAGAATCATTGGGAACCAGTTCAATGACTGAAATTGTTTTCCCGCGCAGCTTTTGGCTGTAATTTATTCTGTCCCGTTGTGTCGAGTGTGTTTTCATTATTGTTCGTTTTTTAATGGCGAAATTATGTACGAAGAACAAAGATATTGACAAGAAAATAACCGCTGTTGCAAAAGACACCTTTCTCCCATGCGAACAAACTTGAACTCTTCGTCGACTAAATATTGTTGTTCCCCTTCTCTTCATTGATATTTTTGTTACCAGCTCGACACTTTATAATTTTGTGGATCAATTTAACAAAAGCGTTGTTTAGATTTTTTCATCCTGAAGCTTGTTATTACTTCAATACTTCTGATCTAATTTATAGAACAATATTGTCAAAGACGGACAACTGTCGAAAATGAAAAGACCAAATTCATTTTTAATTATTGGCGCGAAATTAATAATTTTTTTCAAGCTCATTTGATACATGCTGTAGTTTTGCATATATTTGATAAAGCTCAAGCGAGAATCGTAGATTTCTTGGAGAATTCTGAATTTTTTTTTAAACAAAAATCATAAAGATTATTAAATGGCTCTTTATTACCGCAATGCTTTAAATTTTTTGTAATTTTTTTTTTACATTTTTTGTTGCATGAAAAGCTCCATAAATTCTCATAGGCTAATTCGTGAATTCTAAGGGTTTTAGGTGTGAAAATGAAATAAAGCGCTTCCTTATCTTACATCTTGTCCTAATTAGTCATCAACGAATTCAGTTGGTGTGAAATGAGAATTTACATCTGGCGCAGACAATAACACAATTGAACGCTTGTTCTAAGGAATGTAGAAAATCAACATGGTTTTGTTTTGTTTCACTGTCGACTTCTTCGTCTTCAGATTACAGTAATCGAACCGTTAGTTATTTTGTTGTTTTCATACATATTGAGAAATCTGTGTATATCTGTCGGCATGTGCCGTGTGTAAAGTGAACGATAGTTCCAACTGCAGCAGTGCAGTAGGAGGGTTTAGCCCCACTGCCACTACCCATTGCCAATCGTTCGCTCGTTTATTTTTCAGAAATTAGAGAGATGGACTGCGACGCGGAAAAAGATTAAATTTATTTGAAATATATGGTTTCACGTGTGAACTTGATGAATGTTCACGTTGTACTTTGTGTATTCGATATGGGTTATCATAGATTGTAGAAAATGACACTCAGATTGCGATTGAAGGGTTTTGAAACGCATATAAGGTGATGGGTTTGCACATAATGTGGTTTTTAATCTATTAGGCCTCATTTCGAAAAAGCTGTGTTTTTTTTTTTTATTTTAGAAGGCATTGCAGATAATTAATATATTTTCACTTTACCTGAAAATCCGCTGTTGAAAACCATGACGTTTTGTTTGCAGCAAAATGGTAGAATCAATAATTTTTTATTTTAGATTCTTCAATAAATTCTCGAAAGTCCAAAAACGAATACATCTGTATAAGTTTCCGTAACGCATTATTTAATTTTTGATCATTTCCTCATGTCAATGCTGTTTTATTGAATCCAGCAAGTAGTATTCGAGTAATTAATCATTTTGTTTTAACAGTCGATAGTAGTTTTTTCTTGGTTCACCGAAGAACTTTTATCGAAATCGCGCAAATGTTGAAAATTGGCTGAATGTTTTTGAGCCAAGAACGCTGTCATTGCTTTTTTAGCGTTCTTGGCTCAAAAACTAGAAAAAATTTCAGATTTTTGGACTAAGCATAAATATATTTTAAAGGCGCACACCGTGTGCTTTGACCCTTCACTTATTTTTTAAAATTCATTTTGCCGATTTTCTGCAGCCGCGAGACATAGACAATTCTTTTTGTTGCGTAATATAATATACGATAATGTAACAACAATTGAACTATCTATGACTGTCAGAGTTCTCTAAGACTAAAAAACAGTTTTCACTCATTTTTCATGAAATAATTGCCTTGTTTTTACCCTTTCTCTGCGTCTATTCGTCTACACATGTTTCTGTTTTTTTTTTGCATTTTTCTCCGACCACTCAGTAGTCCGTCGTGCGATTCGTTGACGACTGATATATAATCGTACATATACAAATCTATTTAGTTTTGACGCCTCGTAAATTATTCAAACTTTCATATTTCTAGGAAACATTCATGAAACTGGTTTGCGAAAAGGATTTTCGCTCTAGCAAAAATTGAGTTTTAAAAGTCAAAGTAGGACGTTTGGTCATACCATTTCAGTTTTCAGAGAGATATTATTTTTCTCGTTTTTTTCATTTTTCGATATTTATGGTACCATTTAGATATCGCAAATAAAAAATCCGGTGAAAACCACGAAAAATTGCTATGTAGATTGCTGGAAAACTCCAAAAATCTCGGCCGCGACCAGGTTTTTCGAAGCCAACAGTACCACAGTATTTTATTAAATCGCTGCAAGAATAATAAAAAATGGTATATGTAAAAACTTGGATTTAAAAATAAAATCGTTACGGTTAAAGGCGCAAACCATAAAGATTTGATCCTTGCAGCGATTTATTAGAAAAACAGTGGTATAAAAACTTCATTTAATTTTGTGACCTGTTTAGATATTATTAAATAAAAAAGAGGTATTCATTTGCAATAACTCAGAAATGTCGTTACCGCTATTTGTTTCTCATACTCAATCCATATTTATACGTCCATGGTAATGAATTACTGAAAGGCTAACATGATTTCGGTGGATTTTTTTCTCGATACCGTCTATAGAAACTTGAAGAATGCTATTCATGCAATTTCCTGATAGAATTACGTTTCTATGTCGTTATTTAGTTTATATATTCGATTTTGGAATGATGGCGCCAACTATTGAGAATTTAATGTTCTGGAATTCGCAATGTTTTGAAAGCAAAAGTGATAGATCGCATGGAATCGGCATCAGCTACTTCACGTGTTTTGCCCAGTTGGATCAAGTTGAAGTGATAATATTAGGAAAATAGTAGAAACATTCTGTTTATTTCGGTGTTTAGTGTGAATTTGCGATTAACAGAACGATTTTGACAAACAATGTCAGTGTTGTTTTAAAATAAACAGAAATTCGTGTGGGGTCTGTTTTAGATTAAATGACATTGAGCGTAAGGCATCTCATAGTTAGCCATATCTCTTCTGTTTTTTATCGTTGCTGGTACTTACGTTTTTTTTTTTCTAAAAGAGAGGATGTACAACGCGAATACCTTTGTTTCGCATAGTAAAGAGGGAGGGGTTGGGTTTGCAGCGAATGTCGGGTTGTTTAAGATTGGTGTTGATTTCTCGACTTGTTTAAGGTCTTTTTTGGTAGTTTTTTTGCCGTGCTTGTAACGACAGTCAGATTTATGAATGAGGAAGTTTTTGGGTCCATTGTGACGGTATGACCTTGTCATCACTGCTTGACTTCCGTTGGAAATATTTAGTTTGTATAGTTTTGTATGCGATTTGGTGTGATTCTCTTCTGTTTTCTTTTTATTTCCTTTTTTTTGAAAAATGAACGTGCCATTATTTGCACATTTGCCGCCACCTTATTTGGCATACAGTGTATGAAATCGTTGATCTTTATTCATTGTTTCATGCCTACGCACGTGGTTTTGTACAGTTTTTTTGTTAATTCCGGAGGAAGGAGAACGGATAATGGGGCGGAGGATTTTGAGTTTGCTCACCTGATGATACATTAGCCATCAATGATGAAACAAGGATTTGTTTGGTTTGCATGGTTTTTTTTATGCGCGATTGCCTATTGTTTCGGTGATGTATAATGTATGCTCAGACTAGTAATATTCGAAAATTTTGGTTTTTTGTTCCATAAATAAAAATATCTCGACAATATTTTAATTAAAAATTGTGTTTTACATGAAGCTCTTTTCAATATTGGAAAGAGAAACTTCAAAATTTGATCTTACGAATACAAGATCCTGCATTGGTCAGGTTTCTAGGTGAGTCTCACAGCTTTCACTGTCAATGCAAAGGCCAGTTAACTATATCAATGATTAGTTGAAAATTTGCGTAGACTGGCTGCTGATATGTAAATGCAACACGCATACACACACACATACGCAATGGCAATCCAACCTCTTGCATTTTTTGCTGTGTGTGTGTTTCGTTCGTGGAGCGAAAGAACTAGAAACTAGACCGATGATTGGCGCGCAAACGCGCCTCCTTTCGTACGCCGCAGGCGCGATGATCTTTATTTCGGCTAGTGGCAAGCATATCATCTCTATCTGCACGGTTCGTATGCTTGGCTGCTTCTCTTCCGAGCGCCTTTCGTTTCTTTTTTGTAGAGCTACCACACACATACACACACACAAGAGCTCCTGCTCACGTAATTGGCCTCTTTTGTCATCTTTGAGCTTTTTTTTAAATTTTTGGTGGCCCTATCCAATGTTTTATTAGTTGTACCGGTTTTTTAGTTTGTGTCTGCTGGTTTATACTTTTTTTTATCGGATGGATTATAGGCACTGACGGTGAGCGGTTAATGTGAGATCTGTACTTTCTAGAAGGCATATTCGAATATGCAAGTAGAATAAAGCAATCAATCTCGAAATCAAAGTAAACGAAAAAATAGGCCGATTCTAGTATTTTGTACATATTTGTGTTATTGACGGAGCGATAAATTTGCAAGAAATTTTCATATATTACCTAGTTTTTGTTTTTTTGAGTTCATTGGACTTCGTATCTCTTCTCGCTCATTTGAAAAATATAAACAATTGCTGTGGGTATGACTATTACGTAATCCTTCGTCAACACTTGGTCTGGTAATTCGGGTTTTCTCCGATATTTTTGATTAGTGGTGTATGTTCAAAATTGGAGGAATATAAAAAAATGTGCAACGAGCGTTGTTATCAGCTCAATGTTGCATTGTTCGTTTCGATTTTGTTTCCAATTATCTTGATTATTTTATAATACGCGTTTTATTGGGTTATTCTTATTTTTTGTCACCTTATCCCTGAAACGTATATTTTTCCTGACGCATTATAGTTTTGAAGGATGGAACAAGTTTTTACATTGCATTTTACAGGGCCGATTCAAACCGAAAAATTTAATCACTTTTCTTCAATTTTCTTTAAAAAAAAAAACAAACTATGCCGCTTTCGACCGATTCTCTCGACTCAGGATTTTTTGGATCTTCACGGCTCAATGGTGAAGAATGTGATTTCGGATCGACACCGTCAACAAAATCGCCGCTCTCGATGACTGATGAGGAAGACCTTACATTATCTTCATGTGCTGCATCGACCGCCTCCTTGGAATTGCCTAAAAGTCAAATTGAACCGAGTGTTCCTCATCGAAAGCATCGACATCGAACAAGAAGAAGTAATCGTGGCCGCAGAAGAGGTACAAACAATATAATGGAGCAAACTACATCGCCTCCGTCATCGTCTTCCTCGTGCTGTTATTCGTTAGACAACGGAAAATCTAGCAGCGTCGCGATTGCTTCAATTGAAGAGCTCGTCGTTAGGGTTTACATCTACTTCAAATCAATGCTCATTGCCGTCAACAGACACAAGTCGGTATGCGAGCACATTGGCAATATCATGCGTGACTTGGATGCTCGATGGGGATATCCTACCGATCGTAGAAGCTATAGATCCAAAGATCCCAATGGTTGTCTAGCGCCGATATACCCCAACGGAGTTGTGTGCTACTGTGTTGGTGAATGTACGTGTGCGAAGCAAAGGCTTCTTACGACGGCGAGATTTCCGGCTTGTTGGGCGGTTCCTCAACCGGCGGTGTTTTATTCTTTGCTTTCGAACGACATTCGAGAATATTTGAGATTCTTGGAAAGGTGAGAGTAAAATTTGGTCAAATATGGTCGGCTTCGATAGGGTTCTTTATTAATCGTGGTTTAAAATAGGACTTACAGAATCAAACCCGAATCGGTATCGCAGTTGCGAAACCGAACCGATGAGCCAGTTAGTACTGATGAAGCTTTGGCTTGTATACAACGATTACAAGGAATGGCGCCGGCGCTGAATCCTATGTACAATTTTTCTAGTAAGCTCAGAAATGTCGATGGTTTTGAAACGTTTTTTTTTTGTTTTCAGTTTTTCAAGCACACTGTGGTACACCATTTGATTATACTGTTGAGAATATTTCTCATGATAGTGATCGCACTGAAGTGCCACCGAACCGAACGCCGTCAAAAAATGAAACTTCGGAAATTGAATTTTCAAAAAATGTCTGTCTGCTTTCTTACTTTAGGAAATGGAATTTTCTAAATATTTAGCCTAATTCTATTCGAAGAGAATCTTCATCGACTTTAGATGGAGGATCGAATAAAAACGGAGAGAGCAGTGAATTGGAGAACAGTGGTGAGATATTAATATTTGAAAAGTTATGGGAGTTTGATTATATTTCTTTACTCCTGTTAATAATAACACGAAGAATTTTAAAATATTTTTCCCATTATTATTCGAACATTATTCAAATCAAAAATGTTTTCGAAAACATATACATTTCCATTATTTGTGTTCATCTTCTCATCATCTTGGTTTGTACGGAAAATAAATATAGGTTCTTCTCGCCGTGTCTCCGTTTAGTGATAAAAATGGAATGATAAGAGAAATTCACGATGTGACGAGAATCTGCTCTTGAGTTTTGAGTTGAAAAATGTTCGAAACGATAGTATGTGGAGTAGTGCGTTCGGGCGGCGCTGCGGCAACTCGTTATTTCCGTATCTTCTCATCGCTGCCCGCGGTGTGCCGTTCTCTGCTCATACAAAAACTGGTTGCAACCTGAGGGGTTCCTGATAGCTTTTTTGCTTGATGTTTGAATTGCCGCACAGATATTTTTTTCGCAAGCCGCGGTTTTTCTTTCGTTTGACACACTTATTTGAGCATGTAATATGAAATGAGTGTCGCCATGTTATCAATTTGATTTGCATAGACTGATAATCGGCGTTTTAGATCAAACAACCACTAGTAACTGGGTTGTTGGTAATTCTGAGACTTAGATTGGACCATCCAGCGCGTCCCATTTCATTGCGTTTAATGAGCTTTATGTATATGATGCGAGGATTTCGAATTTTTTTTGCCAGAACAACGTCAGATCGAAGAAAATTGCTCTTTTTCGTGAATCCATGACGTCTTATAGGACGACAACGACGACAAAAACAAAAGAAAACAAAGAGCATGGAAAATTAAAGGGTTTGAACCCTAAATTTAATGCGACTAGGAATTGACCGTGCCTTCTTCTTTTTTCTCTATCAATCTCATATGCGTTTCTCTTTCTCGCGGGCGTTGTTTCACCCACAGGCCACTGATTTGCCCGACCGACTCCAACCGTCTCTCACTCATACCCGCGAGTGTCGCGCGCGCGACACAGCGATCGCGTTATGAGACTATGTCAAAACTATCAACTACCTCGTATTTCTCTTTTTCAATAGTCGGTTTCATGTTTTTGCAGGTTTCTCCGTTTTCGGAAGGTTTTTCCGCCATCTTCATTCTCCTTCTTCATCTTCATCGTCTTATTCTTCTTTCGATTGTGTCGTTAGGCTATCTCTCATCTCATTCACCAGTTGTTCTCACATACACAGACACTCACACACACACACACACACACATGCATACTCGTACTCTCCTCTATCTAGATACCTGACATGTCGTACTTTTTAAAGTGTGAAAAAAAAACTTCTGAAATCTCGTTTTTTTTTAATTATAGATGTCTATTAAAAAAATTGTCTGGCCTAAATTTGGACACATGTTGAGTATATTACATGCAAAACGAATATTGACGACAATAATTTAGGCCAGACAATTTTCAAATACCGTAGGTTGCAAGAAAATGTAGGAATTGATGAGTGTGCGCGTTTGTAAGTGCTCCCTCATTTGTTGGCGCCCGTGTCGCCGAACCTCACACCCAACCGTCGCCCTCCATAATGTCTGTCTCTCTGCGTTTCGCTCCGATCACCAAACTTTTTCTGACCTAGGAATTCATCGTTTGGGTGGATGGCTTTTTATTCGCGATTGTATATGCGAAATATTCGTGACGATGTACTCGTTTAGTTTTTCTCTTTTAATATTAAATTTTTTAATTGGTATTGTATTGGCCTTACCACGTCATCACGTGATTTTGGTCGGATTGACCTTCGTCCTAAAATTTTTTTGATCGGATGCCATTTGCTTTTCGTTTTCGCTATTCGCTCAACGCACATTTCAAGACTTCGTTTTCTTTCCAGAATTATTAAATGCATGATTATGAATGCGTCGACTTCGTCTCACCACCGCACATCTGAGCACTCAGAGTTTGTGCGGGGTATTCGTAGAAAATTCTCGTGCTCGACGCAATCATCGTCGTCAACTTCGCTAGAGCGCACTTCTACATCGTCGTGTTGCAAAAGCGTAATAATGGAGCATGCTGATTTTGATGTAGATTATGAAGCTCACATGTCGTCGGATGAAGACCTCCGAGCGGATTACTGCTTCGGTCATTGTTGTAAAGCAATTCCGGAGGCTGAATCGTCTTCGATCAGTCGCACCAATTCGGAGACGTCGCTAACGACAAGTGCTTTTCAGTCAAACATTGAACCGCTTAGTGAAGCGGACCTTTGTTATATTGAACAGGCACATCGCGATAGCAAATTAATCGAATTATATGCAAATCTCGACTGGAGATTCTATATTTTGCCTAAAACATCGTTTTGTCTACCGATAGTTGAACTAGCCAATGGATTCGAAAGTCTGAACCCCTGGAGTAAGAATTTTAAAAAATTGAAATTCGAAAATATCAAAAAATTTTAAAAGAATTTGAGTTGTCGATTACATCGGATTTTTTGTAGGAGTATCGAGAAAGAAGGTGCATAAATCGGCCGGTGATTCGGAATGCTCGGATTCTGCAGCCATTTCAAGTGACGATGCTAACGGCGCAGGAAAAACGCCGACACAAACGACGTGGCGTAATGGTATTAAGCCGCCACCTCCGCCGACGACGATTCTCTCGCCATCCGGTCAATATCAGGTGTCACATATGGACGTGGTGAGTTGGATTTTTGAGTAGGTCTCCAGATTCGCGCATGTTCAATTTGCTATTTAATTTTGCACGTAATTGAATAGAGGAGAACAATGAGCACTCATTGGGCAGTGAAAAACTAAGAAAACCCGATGGGGCTGAATTTAATGTAGAACGAAGACAAATCACCGAACAAGAATTCGGAAACATATCATTGCACTGGTGTCCTTTTTGTTGTTCTTTTCTCTTCCCTCTCCCAAGCCGTTGTGTGGTTTAGCACGCTGTCGCGTTGTCTCTTATGCTAGAGGTGACGGGTTCGAGTTGAGCTAGAGGTGTTGGCGCTTGAGAAGGCTTTTCCGCACCTATTCGGAAGTTGCTGGTTATTGTGCCATAGAGTAGACGAGTTCACCTCAATTTGCCGGTAATTGGATATGACAAGTTGCTTGTTAGATGGGGGTGAAACATGCTTTTTAAAAATAATATTATCAAATTGTTCATGTTAATTTGTTGTAGCTCAGCGAAAAAATTTGGCACTATCATAATAGTGTATCGCAAAAAGAAGAGATGCTGTCTCGAAAGTTGAATCTCCGAGATATGCTTTATTCGGCTATCAGTCCAGTGTTCCCAAGTATGACTTTTTTGAAACTTGACTTTGTATGCGATCTTTTCGTTCAGTGTGCGGATTATACGTTGTCGGATCATCATTGAATGGATTCGGAAATAATTCATCTGATATGGATTTGTGTTTAATGATCACCAATCGGGAATTAGATCAGCGTACAGATGCGGTTGTTGTCCTGAATTTGATTTTGACTACGCTTCAATATGAAAAATTCGTTAGGACTCAAAAGCTCATTTTAGCCAAGGTTTCATTATTTCCAGTTGTATCGAATTTTCAATCATTTTATTTCTTCTAGGTGCCAATATTACGTATCCAGTTTGCTGAGCCGTTTTCTGATATTACGGTCGATTTGAATGCTAACAATTCGGTAGCAATAAAAAATACACATTTGTTGTGTTATTACTCGTCTTGTATGTTTTAGCATCAACAACCATTTTCTGAAAATCTTATTTAGATGATTGGCGTGTTCGTCCCCTTGTCTCTGTTGTGAAAGAATGGGCAAAGAGAAAGGGAATAAATGACGCAAACAAGTCAAGTTTTACAAGTTACTCGTTAGTTTTGATGGTTATTCATTATTTGCAATGTAAGAAAAAATCCAACATTGATTATTTGCATTAAAAAATTTAATTAAGGTGGAACCACTCCGGCGGTTTTGCCAAACCTGCAGAAACTATACCCACACCGCTTCTCAAACAAGCTCGATGTTCGAAGTTTGAACATAACGACGAGTTTAGAGAATCCGACGAGCGAATTCCAGCCGGAAGGCGAGGATACTGCAACATTGGGACAACTTCTCATTGGATTCCTGAACTACTATGCGAATAAATTTGAGTAAGCTGATTGAGGTTTTTGATTAATTCTAATAGTAATGTTAAAGTTATGATCGTGATGCGATATCGATAAGGCAGGGACAAAAGATTGAGAGGGCGTCTGTTGCAAGGCCCAAAAATCTACACGGATCTGATTCACCTCCGCCGTCGTCCAGTGCTTCATCAGTGTCCGTCCATGGAAGTGAGAAGTCTCGTATTCGACATTTTACAACCCATATATTGTAGGTCAACATTCGGCTCCGTACCCGACTGCGTGGAGATCACAATGGCGTTGCGTCTGCATTGAGGAGCCGTTTACTAATTCGAACACCGCTCATTCGATTTACGATGAAATGGTGTTTGGAGCTATTAAAGAAGCGTTCCGAGAGGCTCATACCGAGTTGAGCTTGAACCATGATTTGGACCGATTGCTCGAATGCTCTCCGATCAATGTCTCGATACCGTGCACTGGGTTCGTCAAAAATCAATTTCACACATTTTTACTCTCAATATTTGCAGAGCTGTTGTATATGATGCTTCTTATGAAGGTGATCGGCCGCCAGTTCATCCCGCACCGCAGCCGCATCGGTTCTTTAATAATTGCATACCGCCCCATATGAATATGCCGCCGCAGCCTCCGCAAATGATGAAAAATATGCGGGTAATGGCGCCGTTGCATCCGCATCGACATCAAAATAATCACCGGCGATACAATAATCATCATGCGAATGGTGGAAGATCGTCAAGGTCGAATGAGAATCAAATGCAGCGCAGTTTTTCGTCCAAGGAGAATTCAGTAGGAGCACCGAGTCCGCAACCATCGATTGCACCATCGGCTTCAGTACAATCGCATCCACTGACGGAGACGAAAAAAGGACGAAAAAATTGTGAAAAGTAATTTTTGACATTTTCGGATAGGTATTTGATATTAAAAAAATATTTGCAGCAAAACTTCCGATAAATCACGGTCATCGCCTGAACCGAAAAAAACAGTTTTTGATGCTGTGAAGCCGACATCTTCAGAGACTGAAGTAGCAACACCGGCAGCGACACCATCGCCATAACGATTTGTGTTGACTTATGCGATTCTCCATGTCTATGTTTTACTGCTCATCCCTCGTAAGATTCTCGCTCCTGCCGAAACGAAATACGTTCCACTTATTGTTGGATTGATCTCCACAGCAGCAAATTCAGTTACCCATTTTTTATTATAGCTACTATCCATTTTTTGGAATTATTTAGGCATCGTCGTTATCTTGAAAATCTTCATCTTCATTAATTTTATTTTTCATTTTTTTGAAACGAGGTAGCTCCCAGGTGTTCCTGATCGCGCATTTATTGAATTATTCTAGTTTTCTCTTGTTTCCACTGTCCCCTTCTTTTTTTTCTCTTTCTTTATTATTATTATTATTCTTATTCTTATTATTTTCCATTATTCTCTTCAATCTATATGTACAAAAATCGATGCTTTTTTCCTAGATTATCATTTTTTGAAGAGAGAGCATCGAGCCCAAAAAAATTTCAAAAATAAAAAAAATTGTCAAAAGAGTTTTCGGGAAATGATCGGTTTTGCCGAACAACTCTTCCCCCACCCGAAGTCGAGATTTTTTCGAAGATTCTTTGGTGAAAAAATGTTGTCTTATTGTTTTTAGATCCCTTCCCTCTATGTTTTGCATGTTTTCTAATGTACTATATTCAAGAAACTGTTTGTGGTGTGTGCGTGTGATTCGTAGGTAAATTTTTTGTTTATCTTCTATCCTACCCCAATCGTATCCCATTTGACCTCATCCTCCGCCCCTTCTTCTTTTTCCCCCTCTTTATTTTATTGTAATTATTCGATTGTTATTATCATTATTTCTGAGAAATGGGTCTCTTTTCTGCTTCGCTCTCCGCTTTTTTATACTTGGTCTTTTTTGTGTAGTCCTCGTGGAGGATTTGAATCGCTAGTGATAAACTTTGAGATGCTTTCTTTTTTTTGCTTCTTGCTTTCATGTTTGATTTCAATTCTCCATTTTCATTCTCCTTTCTAAGATTTGCCTATCTCTATTTCTCCTCCTTCTTCTCTATCTCTCTAAATCTCTCTCTCTCTCTCTCTCTCTCTCTCGTCTCAATCCCGTCAGTTTCAGCACAAAATCTTAAAGTATTTAAAAGTCTTTATCCTTTATTGCGGTTGTTGATTCTGATGTGGATTCAATAAATAATTTATTAAAAATGGGGAGGCACATTGTGTTGTTTTGTGAAGTTTGTTGACGCCTCAAAATATTATATGAACGAAAATGAAATCCGAAAAGACTTCGAAATGTCGAGTTATATCGCAAAAAATTGCATAATCAGATTAGTATATTTTCTTTTATTCAATGGAATATGATAAATGTTCTTCGCGTGCATCTGGCGTGTTTTATAATCAGTGAGAATTATATCGCAACTCGTTTTAGTAGATATTTTTATAAATCGAAAAGATGACCTTACAAGAGAAATGGCAGATCTGGTGTAGAATTGGGAGATATAACTAATTTTGAATGGATACCCGCTAGATCGAATAGAAGACAACATAATAATTATCATAGGTACAGGTTGGCAAAATATGTACAGAGCGTTAGTCGATGTCGTCGACAATCACGTCGTCCTCGATGTCATCCATTTTGGGAACATCGAGCTCTTCGCGCGTCGTCTGATGTCGTTGTCGGAATTCTTGAATTGACATTTTGTGGTAGTCGCCGTCGGAGAGGCACCTAGAAATGAATGTGCTTATAAAATTTCCATTTTTTGTAGCTGTTTTTCTTGAAAAATGGTGTAACTTTATAGTAACTAAGAAAATTGCCAAAAAGTGTTGACTAACGGTTTTTCATTTCAGCTGAATCGAAATTTGAAAAGTCCGCTAGAGTCCGCTATAGTCACGCAATATTTCTAGACGTGCCAATCAACAAAAATATCAGGTATTATAATATCAAACTGTTTTTTTTTTCTTAATTTTAGTTTTATTATTTTTTTAAAATTTTTTTCCAGCTTCTCATTTGAACCACAAACTTTGACTTTTGGAATTTTCACGCGAGATTTAGGTATATAAATTTTTGGAATTAAATATTTTAAAGGCCCAAAGGTGGGAAAGGTGTTTTATGGCTTCCATAATAAGATTCGAACGATTTTTTTCTGTCGAAATTCTATGTTAAATTCACAACGTTTTTATCTTCTTATTTTGCTTCTTTCTTGAAATGGTGTACCTTCTAACATTTCGATGTGTCTGTGGCGCCGTAGTCTGATGCCTAGTAGTCATGTGCCGCGTTAAGACATCTCGCCGCCTTGCTGAATAGCTGCAGATTGTGCACTGATAAGGTTTCTCATCGGTATGCGTTCTTCGATGGGTCCGAAGGTGATCGGATCTTGAGAAATAGCGGCCGCAAGTGTCGCAGCCAAACGGCTTCTCGCCGGTATGTCGACGAAGATGGCGAGATAGAATGTCGGGCCGCTTGAAGTCTTTCTTACAGACGGTGCAGTAATACTGTTTGTCTAGTGCAGGCTCTGGTGTACTTTGACTTTGACTATTGGTCCTCGAGATGCTTGATCCAGAAGTACCTTGTCGAACCCTTTGTAAAATATCTTCGGGGTTCTCCGTAGTTGAAACTATCTCGAATGCCGACTTTTCGCATTCTGATGAGAGAGCTTGTGCTGAAATTTGAGAGTTTTGTTTGAATCGATTCGAGGTTGAGTTACCTCCTGGCGAAAGACCCGAGCTGTTGGCGCCTGCCGAAGCTGGTGTGGAGTTGTTCGATGACCCAACGAATGGGATATGATCAAAGGTGAATCGATTCCTAGTGACTAGTGACGAGGTAGATGATGGGGTTGAAGATAAAGAGAATGGTGATCCGTCGTTAAAGTTTAGCGGGGATAATCCTGAAAATCCGTTTTGTCGGATTCTTACATCATTTAAACGGATTACCTGGAGGTGAGAGAGCTACCAACGAGCTTACCGAACTTCCTATTGGCTGAAACGAAGGGCTTGTGCTCAAGAACAAGGTCGAGTCGACTGCAATGTCCTCGTCGTCAGCCAAATGGTCGTCGCGTGAGGGCTGATAGCTAAGCCACGGAAGCGACGCCATCGCGGAAACCGGGCGCCTACGAAGCGGTTGATGGTGCTGCTGACGAGAGGCGGGTTTCGTCGAGCCGTCTTCGGCGGGTTCGTCGCCGGCAGGAGCCTTGAAATGATCGCCATATCATGATTGAATTCGAGAGGGAGGCGTAGGCGGTCCCGTGACCGGTCCCTCTCTCAAAAATTCTTTGAAAAAAGACAATGATAGTGTGCAAATTTTGAGGGGGGTTGCTTATCAGCATTTTGGCGTTGGGTTTCCGCCACGACCCTTTTTAATGGAAAAAATTGCGAGGGGTCGGTCACAAGAACGCATTTTATCGCTGCACAAAAAGCGAAAGTGTGAAGGAGCGCTTTCACTTTTATTTCTCACTTACCGCATGGTTTTCTGATGTGCATGGAATATCAGGAATCGAGATTTGCACTGTTGGCGGGATTGGTGGCGGTCGCCGGCTCATCTGCCGAGGCGATGTGGGTTTCTAGAAATGATTGGATAGAATTGACCGAAGTAAAAATAAAGGGAAGAGTAAAGAACAGGCGGATTTTGTTCGAACTTGGTACATAAGTAGAATTCAAATTTCCGGAGTTTCTCAAAAATCTGTAGATTCGCAATATTTTGCTTTTTTTCATGAAATAATCATGAGTAGTAGTGTGAAATGGAGATTGTTCATTTGATATTCACATGAAACGCTTAAGACACTTAAAAGATCATCCTTTTGAAATTAAAGAATGCAGTAATTTATAAAAGATGAGGGAAAAACAAAAAAATGATTGAATATATCGCATGACACTGAATAGGTCCATAACAGAGCAAATCCGTTTATTAATTTTTTAGATTCTCAAAATTCAAACCTATCAATTTATTATAGGATAACAGAGAGCATTCAATAACTCAGATTTCAATTATTCCCCCAATAATATCAGGCGAAATTGGTTGAGCCATCTAAATAGGAGTCATCATACTGTGGGGTGGCAAAATGGGGAAATTGAATAAAACTCGTCTGGCCATCGGGTGAAAATGGATGAGATCGTCAATTTGGAGGCGTGCCCATAAAAATACGAAGATTCATGCCGAATGGCCAATTAGAAATCGTCAAACCTTTTAGGAAAATAGAGCAAGACGCTGTTTAATTGATTAGATACACAAAGATAAAACACGCGAGATATCCGCCAGCGGATTTTGGGCACATCAATTAAAAACGCGAGGGTGGTCTAGACCTCGTAAAAAAAACTACTGGTGTAAGAAAAGGCCACTGACACACGAAAAAAAACGATGTCAAATGCGCGAAAAGGTGTTGTGTATGTATGTATGTGTGCTCCGTGAGCTCTCTGCGCATCGGTGTCTCTGCCTCGCGCCGAACTCGGTTTTGTCACATAGCCTTTGGAGGGCGCGAGGCGGGCGCGCGAGGGAGCGCGAAAAAAAAACGAACTAGGGATGGAATTGAGACCAACGAGCGGGGTGAGGGCGCGCGCGCGCTCCTTTTTGCGGCTCGCGGGCGATTTCGGCAAGATATTGGGAAGTTTTGCGAGAGATGAGAGCATCGACCTCCGCAATTCATGTCGCCTCTTATAAGTGACGACTGGCGGATATGGGCATCCGAACCGGATGCATTAGTCATTTTTTCTTTCTCCCAAGCTCTAATAATTAATTTAGTGCATAAGAGAAGAAATGGAAGGAAGGCGATGTGAGTGAGCTACGGTAGAAGGCTCAAGTGGGCGAATGCCGGTTCGGTAGGTAACCTAATAAGTGGGAAAAGAGAGAAAAAAGAATAATGAAGTTTTTTTTTTAAGAAGAAGCGTTAGCAACAGATATGAACCCGTTTTTTCGGCTTTCCAAATAGCCGCTGTCGAAAATGGAAATTTGATATGTTTCCAAGGAGGGATTGATAGACGTTTTTTTTTTAAATAAAGCAGAGGTCCCAAGCCAATCGATTTTAATATATTTTAGATGTTAAAATAGAAAAAGAGTTTAAAAAAAAATCATAGAAATTCTTGATATGCCGAGTCAAAAGAAGTCGGCATGTCAAGCTTAATTCGCGTGAGAACAAATCAGAGACATGACCAAATTGGGAATAGAATTTGTGTTTTGAAAAAAAAAGATCCTTTTCCAGTAATAGGGTAACTCGAAAGTGATAAATAATTCGTGGTAACCGAGAAAACATCGTTTCTTATGGAATTTGTCTTCGTCTAGTGGAGCTTACTAGGAATATTGTTTTCCAGAAAAAAATAATGAACTTTTGGTTCAAGAATATGGAAAAAATAACGAAAATATGGCGTTTATATTTATTTTCCTTTACGTTTAAATTTCTTTGCCAATTTACTTCAGATTATCCTTTCTGAAAATATTGAAAAAATAATGGTACAAACGAATTTTTTTAATAGGATAATTAAAGGAGCAACATTTAGTAAAAATATAAGTATCCCGATTTAGGCCCGATCCATCTAATAGGCGAGAATGTTTCTCGTGTCACTCAACAGCTCATGCGGCAGGTGAAATTGAAAACTTGAAAATTGATGTTAGTTTCATCTGTCGCATTTTCCCACAAAGTTAGCGTTGGAGGATGTTTAGTTAGTTTGAGACACGTATATCAAAAGGTGTTTCCGGATGAAAACAAAACACAAACAAACAAAAAATAGAAGCGAACATGAAAAGAATCGCATAAAATTGAAATGGGCGCGGCGCCAAGCTGTCAGACTGGATTGTGCTGTTGGGCATGATTCGAGATTAATGCGAAAAATGTTTTTTTGGCCAATGTGATTTTCCATCCCAACTTTTTTTTAAAACCACCATTTATTAAACTTTCAGTCGTTTTGCATTTTTCTGAATAACTCCCGGCTATTTCACCAGGGGTGGGGAGGGGGGGTGGGAGTAAAGTCGCATTGGCCATGTTTTTTTGCCACCCGTGTGTGTCTCCACTAATTTTGTCGACTAATCCTTCTGATTGTCAGTTGGCCTACACCTAGATTACGGTGGCGTAGTGGTTAAGGAATACGGTAGGTGACACAAATGACTTCTGTTGTTTTCCAAGAAGACGAAAAATTCTGAAATTGGCTGGAGACGCAGACTCGGACGAACGCAAGACCTTTGCTCGCTGAAGAAATCGGCAGAAAAGTTATTGGCGATTTGTGATCAGTTCGGTCCGAAAATGCGGGGGTGCAACAACAACACTCTTCAGCGACCCCGTCTCTTTCACAGCAGAAATAGAAACAACACTCGCAACAAAGAGATATTGCGAAAATTGTTGAGTTTCAGTACCGAGTTTATTATTGAAAATAGTTAGCGATTATTGCGATTTTGATGATTTTAGTTCCACATTTGGTCTATCGGCGAAATAGATTTTGTCGAGCATATAATCGCACGCGCCTTGAACAATTATGCGGGTCCTGTAAAATTGAGAGTTGCGGACCGAGTTGAATTAATTATAATTAATCAATTCGTATGATTTCTCATCTTTTCCATCAAACACTAATAGAAATTACCAAATGGCCACCGCAGCAGTGAAAAACGAAACGACGGCGGCAGTGAATGGCCAGATTGGGCCATAGTCGCGCTCGATCATCCAGACCTTCGCAAACACTCCGAACATCTGACGAGTGAAGTCAAGTCCGACGGACATTGAAATTATTGAAAGAAATGCCCAGAACATGAGAAAAGTGATCTCTAGCTAAAATATCGAATTTATGGGTTTCATCAATAATTGACTTGCCGTAATGAACGTGAGTTTTGGAGTGAAGAACGATGGTTTATCTGAGCGAATTCCGATAATCTAGAAAAATGTTGTTTAAATCTTCGCCCCTAGGAAGTATTGGTTATAATTTAATAATTACCATAATTATAGACGTAATTGCTGAGAAGGCCGTGATGCAAGCAAGTAGGATTGAGAGCCAACCTTCGACTGAGCCGGTCACATGACTCATTTCTAGAAAATATTTTGCATTTTTTCAAATCGTGTTTCAAATAATCTTACGGTAGAAGCATGAAAATCCGACGCCTAGAATCACAAATTCGATAGCGGCGGCTACGTAGGCACCAGTGGTATAATGTAGGGTATAGCATGTGGCTGGTGCAACATAAAATTTGTCATTTGGCGAGAAGACAAAGTTTGGCGGCAGACCGGCGGCTTTGTGACCCGTCATTTTTGGTATCGAGGTGGGGACACCAAGCGAATATCTCGCAGCGACCTAGATTCGCCGCCGACGAGAGAATGCCGAATTGAGGAGGTTTATGGGATTGAATCATGTCAATTGGAGAACGATGGCCGGGAAAAAAATTGTGACCGAATGATACATTATCGTGATTTCGTCGGAGAGTTGGGAGTAAAGTGATTATGAAACTGAAAATGGAGTATGAGAGCATTTTATTTGACGAAACCATTTAAAAATAAGCGCCATAATAATTATTATTGTAAAAAATTACGTTAAATTACCGTAATTTTAAATAAATGCACAACACGTTGGAAAATGGATAAAAAGAGGATCATAGCAGATGATCTGCTACTCTTTTCATCAATTCTTTATTCATTTTTTTAAATTTTAGTTTGGTTTATTGAATTTAGATTTATTAGAGCTACGAAAATTATAATATTTTTTAAGAAATGGCCAAAAATAAACCGAAAACAACGAACAGTGGGAATGATGAGGCGAATGATTTATCTGAGGATGACGAATTCGATGGTTCTGAGAAGACCTCTAAAGGAAATGGCAGCAAATCATTTGTACCGTGGTTTCTCTTTGTTTCAATATTCATCGTAATATTAGCAATTTACATTAGCTTTCCCGTTCTGCGGTCCGTTAATGGAAAAGTTATTTCTTTTGTCAATTATTGGAAATATGATGGCAAAAATTTTATAGAAAAACGATTTCAATGTTTATGAAAAATTTATTATCGAGTCGAGAGAAATGATAAAATCCAAGTATTCGCAACTTTCGCAAGGAAATCGCCAAATTATCAGGACAGTAGCACGTCTTGTAAGCTGGAAAAGGTTGTGAAAAAATAAAATAAGGCAAAAATTGCAGGAATTCGAGGATTCTCAACAAGAATCACCTATTTTGGTGGCTGTAAATGGCGAGAGAGCGCTTGAATTTGCCAAAGACTTGCATCAATTGTTTCACAAGTAACAGTCTGCTTTCTTAATTGTCAGTGAATTTTTGAATTTCAGGGTTCAGAATTACACGGGAAAGGCTAGTGAGCCAATCATTATCGAAAATGATACGAGTAGAGCGGAATTGTTCGAAAATTTGAAGACTAGTAGGAGATATTTTCTTAAATTATTTCCATATTTGAGCGTTTAGTTCTCACGGAACAGAAGCATAATGGCAATAGACCACGAACTGCAGTTCTCGCGAATGTCGATAAACTCGAATGGGACGCAATTCTAGTAATTCACGCATTTGCCGACCATCTTAGTTATCCCGTAATTTTTATTTTGATTTTTTTCTCGATTATTTCTGTTTTTGAAGGTCCCAAATGCTTTAATATTTCTCACGAGCAACTTTGGAATTGAGGACAATGACCATTGTGAGCAGATGATGACAAAGTATAAATTACGACTTTGTGTTTCTATGTTTAAATTTTCATTTTATAGAAAACTTCATGAGCATTGGACTGCGAATGGAGGCACCGATGATAATGTACCTCCGATAATTGCACGAATTTCTCATTTCACATGTGTATAATGTAATACACAAAGCTTGGTGTGATCTGATAATCAAGAAAATTGAGGTTTAATTTTATTAAACAAAAACGTTGATGGCCGAAAATACGTGGCCGTGGCTGTGTGTAAACAAGGCCACCTAATTTTTTTTAGGGTAGGAAAATGTTCTATACAATTTATTTTATTCAGTCTGTTAATTTTCTATGCGAATGTGTTTCATATTTGTACGATATACTGTTAATCGGATAAACGGCGCCGGTTAAACCGTTATAACTTCTCCTTGAGATAAATACCACAAATTTCGTGTCCTTTATTTTTTTAGTTAATTGTTTCTCGTTTTGCATGTGAATGAATTTCTTATTAGATTTAATAAGTAGTATTGAATTTAAATTGTACAAATGGAGATTGCTAGTGTTTCGGCAAATGTGCTCCATGGATAATTGTTTTCAAATATTTATTTTGTTTTTGAGTATTAAAATATACAGCCATGGAATGTAGACTTGGTATTACTACCGTTCTAGATATTACGACTTTGTGCTTACTAAATCATTTCCGGTAATTGAAATTAACTTAATTTAGAAAATACAGGTTAGAAGTAATTTTTAGGGAATGCCGCGAGCACGAAAATTGAAAAAAGGGAAAATAAGCATTATTGAAGAAACGGGAACGTTTTCGTCAAAGTAAAATTTTACGCTAATTATTGTGTAAAAGTTATTGTTTCAGTGAGGAAACTACTTCGGGTTTTAACGAGGAGGAGAGTTGGATTGAGTTCGCATGAATTTGTCATATTTTTGAAAAGAACTATTGAATTTCAGAACAACATTTCACGGAGAAGACGGAACTGTGGAAACCTCGAGAATATACAACACCTCCAACGACTCTCCGATTTTTTCGTCAAGCAGTTCTGAAGGTGCGCAGGAGTTTTCGAATAAGTTATCGCAGAGCACGGAAGTTTCACTGGATTATAGCAAGTACAACGACTCGAAGTTCCCATTTTCAGGTTGTATAAAAGTAATTGATAAGTTTTAGATCAAAAGTTCGTGAAAATGAAATAGTAAAGGAATCGGAAATATATGACCCTTCTTGGTTTATTAGCTCGACAAAAAATTTAGTCAACTTTTTTGCGTTGCTCACATTGGTAGCTATTTTGTTATCTATAGGAACAATTAATGAAAAGGTAATTGATTTTGTAAAATGGTTGAAATATGGTGGCAAAATTTTTATAGAGAAATGATACCAAAATTTATGAAGCATTTATCAACGAGTCGAGAGAAATGATTAAATCCAAATATTCGCAACTTTCGCAAGGAAATCGCCAAATTATCAGGACAGTAGCACGTCTTGTAAGCTGGAAAAGGTTGTGAAAAAATAAAATAAGGCAAAAATTGCAGGAATTCGAGGATTCTCAACAAGAATCACCTATTTTGGTGGCTGTAAATGGCGAGAGAGCGCTTGAATTTGCCAAAGACTTGCATCAATTGTTTCACAAGTAACAGTCTGCTTTCTTAATTGCCAGTGAATTTTTGGATTTCAGGGTTCAGAATTACACGGGAAAGGCTAGCGAGCCAATCATTATCGAAAATGATACGAGTAGAGCGGAATTGTTCGAAAATTTGAAGACTAGTAGGAGATATTTTCTTAAATTATTTCCATATTTGAGCGTTTAGTTCTCACGGAACAGAAGCATAATGGCAATAGACCACGAACTGCAGTTCTCGCGAATGTCGATAAACTCGAATGGGACGCAATTCTAGTAATTCACGCATTTGCCGACCATCTTAGTTATCCCGTAATTTTTATTTTGATTTTTTTCTCGATTATTTCTGTTTTTGAAGGTCCCAAATGCTTTAATATTTCTCACGAGCAACTTTGGAATTGAGGACAATGACCATTGTGAGCAGATGATGACAAAGTATGAATTACGACTTTGTGTTTCTATGTTTCAATTTTCATTTTATAGAAAACTTCATGAGCATTGGACTGCGAATGGAGGCACCGATGATAATGTACCTCCGATAATTGCACGAATTTCCTATTTTTCCTGTATCTAAACATAAGTATGGAATTTAAATGAACGACTTTTATCCTTTTTGACCTGAAAATGTTAAAATTTTTGGGTTTTGATCTACCCCATTTTACCATTGTGATTGGCGCCAAACTCGAGTACTATTCTCACTGGGTATTCCAATAGTGACTTGATTTTTTTCCTAGACGTTCTGAATGCCAAGGCATGTTGTTCGAGAAAAGAGGAACCCCGAAGAGTGCGATTTGAATGCCACTGAAAAACTTCTCGAAACTTATGAAGGTTATCTAAACAATGTTGTTTGTTGATTTTACATTATTTTTTATTCAGATGAGCACAGTGACGAAAAGGAGCCTTTCTCGTATCGGAATTGGACAGAGATTCTGAGATTTCCCGAGCCGTCGAAAATCTATGAGCCCGGAATTCTCGACGAGGATGAGTTTACCGGAGACAAGTCGGAATTCTTCAAATTGCGTGGGGAAGAGCCGCAAGTTGATGATGACGGTTCGCAGAATTCGAGCAGTAGCGGTGTTGATTCTCCAGAGCCAAAAGAGCCTTATTCAATGTGGGATTGCTACACGATGGTGCAGAAAATGATATTTTGGTCGAGAATCTATGTGCTAGTTCTTCAATGCATCAGCTCGAACGTTTTCCGTGAGCAATTCTACACCGACGCTTTTTATGGAGCAGATGCCAGAGCTAGTAGAATGTTTTGACGTGAATTTATTAATATTAGGGAAAATTTTCAGGGCAATATCGAGATTTTCATGGTGAAATAATCGTTCGATATCTGTTAGCTGGTTTAAGGAGATGGGATGCTCAATATTTTCTGTTCCTCATGGACACCGACTATATTTCGGAACGGAGTTTGGCGTTCTTCCCAGGATATCCTTGGATTGTCAAGTTAGAAACATTGTTTTCAAAATTTTATAAATATGAATAATTTTTCAGCTTCACTAAAATCTGCATCGCTTCCTACATTAAACATTTGACGGGATACTCAGCAAAAACATGGGTTTTGTCGGCGGTTTTCTCAGTTGTTGTTAACTTGGTGAGATTTTTTAAGAAAAATATGGAATAAACGCAATTATTTATAGATATTCTTCCATATCGCTGCTCATCTGTTGTTCTTTATCACATATCAAGTGACACGTAGTGTCAGAATATGCCTCATCGCTGTTTCTCTTTTCGTCTACAACCCGGCATCCATTTTCTTCACAGCCGCTTATTCGGAGTCTGTAGGGTTTCAACTTATGCTGACAGTTTATCATATTGAAACATTTAAGACATTCTGTGCAACGACGTTCTCTGGAATTCTGCTCGGTCTTCTGTCGTGCCGAATGACTGACCTTGTTGCGAAAGGCGGCTCCACCGTATTCGCTTCGGTATTCTTCGCGTGCGCTTTGATGATCCGATCTAATGGGTTGTTGAACGTTTTCTTTGCAATTTGGTTCATGATGGGCGCCATGCTTTTCGAAATGGAGAATCCGATTCCCGGCTTCTCGTCGATTCGCGCTAGGATAGCGTTAGAAATTGTTTTTTGTGAAAAGAAAATTTAATATGAATATTTTAGAAATATTCGAAACAAGAAGGCCCGGGTTGACATGATACTTGATGTGAACGAGCTTGAGGAAAAGTGGCGAAAACCGCGAAAACAATTCCGCATCGGAATGCCCGGAAGATCGACATTCATTTCACTCAATATTGTCGGCGCATTTTTATGTTTGATTTGTGCAATTATCATTCCACCGTATGCAATCTACAGTTATCATACTTCCATTGAATTTTGCTCTACAAACAGTAAGGATATAAATTTGTGCTCTATAGGAATTGTTTAAAGGCACGCTTGCTCGAATTGCTCAACGAATCACACGAAACATGCAAACGAATGAGGTGCTCGCCGGACAGCCGGAGAGAATGCGCTGGTGTCGTCAACCGCTAATGTTCGGAATTTTTCCAACCTTTTACTCGCATATTCAAAAGAAGTATTGGGATGTGGGATTGTTCTCGTATTGGCAATTCCGCAAAATTCCGTGCTTTTTGTTGGCGCTTCCGGCAGTTGTCATCACATTATTAGCAATTCGACACGCATTGTGGGATGTTTTTGATAATAAGAAGTACATTTTATTGTTTTTCTACAATTCGTTTTTTTCTGAATTAAATTTTTTTTAGATATCGCAACATTTGGGTGTTATTCTGCAAAACGAATCACTCATTGCCATTTGCAATTCATGCCACTGTTCTATTAATTGTCGGAATGTTTATTATCAACGCTGAAGTTTACACGCGACTCATTTTCTCCTCGTCCCCATTTTTGTACATATATTTAGCTCGATGGATTGATGAGCAGATTGGAAAGGTGAGTCTTTCTTTTCTTTCCGTTTTTTCATCTCAAAATGCAAGTTGTAATTTTTTTAATTTCTTAGAATGATTTTGGCGCAAGAATGTCCGATTTTGTCAATGCGCCGACATTTCTTCCATATTTCACGTTGAACGCCGTTTGGAGATTGTGGCAAGGCAAACTATTGATCATCTATTTTCTGGGCTACTTTGTGTTCGGCACAATGGCTCATGCTGCATGGCTACCGTTTACGTAACATAATAATCTTTTCATTCAGTTTTAAAAAGAGCCACACCAAAAATATTTCGGGTATACAACCAAATTCTTGTAATCATTATTTAATATAATTGACTATTTGTATTGATTGGTTTTAATAAAGAGCTTACTTATTTATTATAATGTATATTTTTTGTTAATGTCTAAACCATTATAATACTTGACCGAACGATTCTATGAATCATTGAATTTTTCAGACATATGGATGAGTTTCTGAAAAAATTGATTCTTCGCGGAGAATCGATTTTGGCTGAAATTGTTCGCCTTTCTAGATTCGTCGCCAATGATTTTAAGGATCCGTCGCGTTCAAAATTTAGAAAACTCCTTCTTGATTTCAAATATTTTGAGAAACCGAATGTTTACGAGGAGGATTTATCTAACGATACGGTAAGTGGAGCTGGTAAATTTATTTTTAATAAATATCGAGTTTTTAAGCGACTTCAATCCGTTTTTTACGCCACACATGGTCCAATGATAGTGGCGTTCGAGCTATTGTTCAATTCGATCGCCGATTTTATGCAAAGCTTCCAAAAATATGCGGAAATGGAAGAGGATAATGGCGATGGTCTTGAAGAGCTTGAAACGCACTGCCTGTTCGCGTGTGGACTCGTCGCTCTATACGTTGAGAAGTTTTTGGCGGCGCCGATTCGCGAGAGAATATTTCTAGCCATTTATCGACGAAGCAGCACACATCAGAAAACCTACGAGTTTTTGGTGGATTTTTTGAGAAGCCAAAAGAATTCGAGTGATCCTATAATTAGGTGCGATTGGGCCGTTCAAAAATGAACTGAGTTTATTGGGAATTCTAAAAAGCGAATTCAGTCTTCAGAATGTTTGAGCTAAATTTGTAATAAAACATTACAGGAGATGTTCCATTAATCAAAGATTCGTGAGAAAAATCGTCAGCTTCTTAGAATCCAAGGTATTTTACTGATTCTCCTAGTCCACTCGAAACCCTAGTTTGTTATAGAATTCGCCCAGCCTCGCTCCTCAAATGTACATGACTCTCTCATTTGAGCAATCGATTATTGCAACCGGCACGATTCAAATTAATCGAATTGTGAGCGCCATTTTCCGTGAAAAATGGGTATTCAATATGGGATTTGGCATAATTGTCAATTTGTTCGAAGTATGGTACTACCAGAAGGCTGCCTATTCAGCGCTGAGCTCGGTGATTCCGTCGGCGGAAGCAATTAAAGTGGCTAGGAAGCACCTTGAGGTTTTGAGTTCAACGGAAATCCCCAAAGTTTATTTCTGTTTGAATGATTAATTTTGTAATTTTTTTTACAGAGCATTTCGGCAATGTCAGAGTTTGAGAAATATCTTGGAATTAGTGCGAATTTCAACAGATCTCTTGAATGGCTGACGCTTCATTCAAGCAGAATCTATGGCGGAGCTCGTGGTAAATCGATTACATCGTCAATGAAAGACGTCAGCCTCGATGCGAAATTATTTTCGTGGCTTCTTGAAGTTTCGTCGTTCGAAATGAAACTTTTGGATCTATTTGAAGGGAACATTGAGAATCGAACGAAGCAGAAAGAAATGTTCAAGAAAAATGTCGTACGATTACTTGAGCAACTTTCAAATTTCTTTGAGCATGGACTTGTCGAGCTGGGTCCCACGCAGAAAGGTGTTCTTTTTTATTGAGAATATTTGTTTAATGAAGTCAACGGGATTCCAGAAAACTTCAAGAAATGGATAAAAAATGTAAATGTTGCTATTAGTGAAATGGATTTAAACGAGATCGAGGCTTCTATGGACTTGGTCCAACAAGTTCGGAAGCGCGTCAAACAAGTTGGAGAGTTGTTGGGATTTGGGACGAATTTCGTTTTGAAAGAATGCTTGTTGAAAATCGATTCGGATTTGAAGAATTTGTTAGCTTTGCTGAAATTGGATGAAAGCGGACTTAAGAATGTTTATAGGAAAATTCATGCCGATTATTTGTGGCCCCTATTTGGTGAGGTTTTGAGTTCCCAATTGTAGACCGTAAAATATTTGTAGTGACAATTATGCCAAATTTGGAGCAAGTTTTGCTGTCGTCGAAATCGAATAAAGGCCTTCGAGAGATTTTCACGAAAATGGCGACGTCGATATACGTTTTGGAGGAGGAGTTGAACAAATTGGTGGTTCTCAAAAGTCCGAAAGAGTTTGATTGCGTCAAGTTTGAACGAAGCGAATTTTCACTCGTCACATTGCAAGATTTGCAGACGGATCGCCACCACATATTCAAACTTTTTGGAAATTCAACTACGCGCGGTTCTTCAATCCGTCCCAAAGCATCTTTTCACTGTTATGCACAACGTTATTGCCCCAAACTTGGCAACGAATCAATTTCACGGGACGATTGAGAAGTCTGAGGTTAGGAGATGAGAGATATTCACCTTCTATAATTAATTTTAAACAATTTAGCTGAAAGCGATATCTGAAACATTCCTTAGTGAGAAACTGGTTGAAGAAACTTATACCATTACAAATATGAGTATGGGAATTTCGAGGATGATGCTCACAAAACTTGGAACAGTTCCAATCAAACCGAAACAGTTGTTGGAGGATGGAATCAGTCGGCAGCTGGATGAGGAGGTCAAAAATGTTATGAAGAACCATGGGGCCACGCTTGGTATTCTGCTTGGAACATTTTATTTATTTTGAAATGATTATAGAATCTCATTACAATACGTACACAAAATTGAATTCGATGAAGGAATCGTTTTTCTATCTTGCCGATTTTATGAATCTCAACGGATTTTCGATTTGGAAGTGCTCAATGGAAGACCATTTCGCGAAAGCGGCCGAAGATCGCGAGTTTCCGCTCGTCGAGCTTGTTTTGCGGGTGACGAATCCGAAATCGACGAGATTCACGTGGCACGATCTTGGTTGGAAGGATGCTAGAAGTCGAAAAGTCGCAATGCCTTATGATTATTTGAGAAGGATTGGAGTTTGTTGCTCATAGTTAAACGAAAAAAAGTGAAATATTGCAGGAACTCATTCATCCATATCCTTTAAACGCGTTGGAATCAATTCTTCTCGGCGATTTAGAGCAATTGGTCAAAGGTAGAATGAAAAAGGTCCATTGCAATCGCCTCAAATTGTAGATCATATGAAGAATTGGCGGAAAATAGGCAGCTCACTCAATTACACGTTTTCTCTGGATGCTTGCGAGACGGTTGTGACGTCTCCGGAATACGAGAAGCTTTCTAAACTCGTCACACCGCAAGCAGCGGTGTTGTCAATGCAGCTGGCGCAAATTGGGCAGATTTTGTTGATTTTGAAGAACATTGGAGAGAGCAAACGTCTGATTAATAGTCTTCGTGGAAATTGCATCGAAAGTGAGGCGAGAATTTGCAATGAGTATGAGCGCGCGTTTTCAAGGGGAGAAAATATTTTTTCAAATATTTTCAGATTTCTTGTTGCAAATCCGAAATGCCTTCAATCGAATACACCGGCATTGATGAAAATGTTTTCATATTTTTCGATTTTCAATCCGGAGAAACTTATATTCCAAATTAGGGACGACCCGCATCCGTTGCTCATGGTCTCCCTCTTGCAATGCATTACACCGAAACTTCAAGGTGTTTATAATCGAATGAATCATTGGACTTCAATAATTCGTTTAGATCTGTGTCCGGAAATGCTATCAATCGGCATTCGTTTCGTTCTTCGCCAAGCGAAATCCTATCAAAATAATATTGCGTTCTTCGAGACGATGGCGACGACGATTAGCGACAATTTGAAGAAGACGACACCAGAATGTGATAAGTTGTTCAAAAACATTGTAGATACTGATTAAAGGCACTTTAATTTTGTTGTGAGGCAAAACTTGAAATGTACAGAAATTACGCGGATGAAGCTCGTCGAGAGTGTAGGCGACTTGGACAGTCGGGGTCTGTTATAATGAATGAATGTTTGACGAGTGTTTGCGAACAGTGCTAACCTATCATTCCCGCTTGAATTAGAGAAGTTCGCCTCTCTTGTAGCTTTGCGTAGGACTGCTCGTAGCTGATGAGCCTTTAAAGCGAATTATCGTTTCTTTTTGTTCGAAAGGGTTTCGTAGAATCATGGATACCTTACTACTAAATATGAGCAATAGAAGATGATAACGGTTAGAAAAAGCATTCCGAACACGAATAGGACGAGCCGCAACGCGATGTTTGGCTCATCGATTTGGTTCGTCTTCCCTTTATTGTAGTATTTTCGATCGGCGTACTCGTATGGGTTTTTGGAATGCGCGAAGACTGTCGAGACGCCGAAAACCGCGAGAAATAAGGTGCAAAGTCCGCGAGCGAGAAGCGAAGGGTAGATCAATTGAGCTGAATGCTTTTGAATTCCGATTATCAGCATGATACTTGTTATGGCGACGAATAGCATCAGACCGACAAGGCAAACTTGGAATGTGCTGAGGTCCTAGAACGACGGGGGTTGTTTTTTTTTCGGAAATTGTCCCTTGAGTTGGATCTACCTGCGATGGTCGATTGATGATGTTGAACATTGTGATGGCGGCGGTTAAAGTGCAAAATGCGAGCTCGAATGATGCGAGTAGACGCATTCCTTAAGTGGACCTGCATATTTAAGCTTGAGGTTTTTTTTGACTTACCACTGGGAAGGGAGCAACAACAGCATTGCCATTTAATAGAATGTGGGTCAAAGTCCATTCCTAAATTTTTTTTTCGTTTTTTTTTTGGTAAAGCGGAAAAGAAGAAGCAACATGGAACAAAGAAATGAATATAATCAAACTTGGTTTGTGTTGTGTCGCTGTTTTAATTGCTAATTTCTACTTTTCGCTAGATTTTTTTCTGTGCTAGGATGGAATTCTGGAAATCGGCAAGCGCGATCTTAATAGGAGAACAAATGAGGGAGCAACACTCAAACGTGTGCGCGCAAGAAAGATGAAAAGTGCTTCCGCTTTTTTCGACAAAAAGAATTTGCAAGGCGAGTTATTGAGAGACGCGCTCGCTGCCGCCCGCGAATTCTGAATTTTTAAGTTTGAGTGTTGCAACTTTTTTTTTCTTTTCTTTTCGTTTTTTCTTGAATTTCACACGAGTTCGGTTTCGTTGAGTTGGTACTCATTGATACATTTGGGGACGCGTTTAGCACACGGCGACGCTCGAATTTAATTAGGCGACAAAAACAAAAAAAAACAATAGTAGTGACGTCGCAGTACGCAAAATATAGTATCTATGTAGAAGCAAAACGATTTATTTTTGATTCAACTGTGTAGAAATATGAGCAGGGACTTTTAGGGACTTGAAACTAGGTCAATTCGGAAATTCGTAGTCACCGGATGGGAAAAACAATAATATCAGATTGCATATTATTTTTCAAACTAGCTAATCTGTGGTTGATAGGCTTCAAATTTGAAAAAAAAAGAAATTAGCAAGGGAGTTTAGTTTAACAAGCTTGCGATGAAATATGATGTAAATCGGCACTTGTTGTGTGACATTGCTCAATGATTGATTACAAGATATGTTGGGAAGGAGGGGTCATAATTTTTGATCACTACTTGACGCTGGAAACAAATCAGAGAGGAACATGCACACAAGCGATGAAACTTGAGAAATTTATTTATTGTGTGTTTTGTGTTTTAATAAAACCCGGGCGGGACCGAATGAATGTAATATGAGTATGCAAAATTAATGAATTGCGCGGGAAAGGCTAATGAGAAAAAAGGAAAGAAACGAAAATGTCTTGAAGCAAAAAAAAATATAGATATAATGAATAATTCGCCTCGGGGATGTTTAATTTTAGTGTCGATCCCAATTTTTTTTTTCGTATATATAGAGGACGACATACATTCACTCGCTGACTCTCTCACACGCACGGCAGCGCTTTGGGGTGGATGGTCCGGTGTCAGCTGTTGCTGCTCCGATAAGCGATTTGTTGTTGTTCATTAACATGAGACAAAAACATTCGGCGCGTTTTGAAACTCGCCATAAAATCATTTATTAGCCAACGCGATTGGGATGGTGGGGGGACCTGGGGGGAAAGTAGAAAAACGAGCGCCGGTGGTCGTTAACGACTCACACGACGAGATTGAGGAGATTTCAGATGACGGCTTCATTGTTTTTTTTCTTTTGTCGCGCACCCGTTCTTTTTTTTTGAGAAGGTAATTTTTGAGATTGGCCGAATGAATTGAATGATTTCAGCTGTTCTCTGCGGCAAAACTCGGACGGAAAAAAAGCGCAGAAGTTGTTCGTTTGGTTTCAGATAAACTTTTGATGGGCATTCATTTTTGCCAATCGAATCGTCATGGAGACTAAATGGAATATTGAAAATTCAATGAGAATTTCGATAAAGATCGTAGATTGTTGGGAAATTTGGGTGGATTTTGAGTGGTGGCGTTGCGTGCAGACTTGCGATGTAAATTGAATGGTTTTCCTTTAATAAATTTGCTCACACGATGTTGAAAACGTTTCGTTCGATTAAAGAAAGAAATAGCCAGGTTACAAACTGGAATTCAGGCTTGAATTTTGAATTGCGAACGAATTTTCGAAAACTCGAATGAAATTATGTATATTATAAATTCATTAAAAACTCGCTGTAGTTTGTAGGAGAGCTTTCGTTTATATGTTGTACTTATTTCATTTTATCGATATCTTGTTCAAGTTGAATTTTTTAATGGTTCCGTCTCGCTGTAGTAAATCGACCCCCCCCCCAAATCATTCCAAATAAAAAATTGGTTTTTTTACATATCGGTCGGTTCAGGCAATGCAAAAAATGAATACAAATTTTTTAAATACAAAAATGTAGAAAAAAAAATGAAAAAAAAGCTATAGTCGATGTCCGGTGACTGCTGTACGCGGGTAGATTTACGCGCATGCGCCTTGAAAAGTTATCGCAACATGTAAACGGTTTTTTGCTCTTTTCGCGTGAGCGGTTAATTTTTTCTTGGTGAGTTTCGCATTTCCTTGAATTTCCAACCTCATTCGATTGAAAAATTATCTAACCGGTCCATAAAATTTGAAATAACCTGCTAGTCCTTGCGAGACTATTTCGAAAGACGCATTCCCGTAAATCTAACCGCCTACAGCAATCGCCGGATGCCGATTATAATCAATTTTTCTTTGTATTTCTTGTGTTTCATGGAACACAGCTTGCGGGATTTTTTGATCTACCGAGTTTCATTGGGAAAATGACATCAATTTTGTCAGTCTTGCGTAAACAAGACTACAATGGAGCAGTTAATCAATATTCTCTTCGGTGACCAAAAAACGTTTTATCAACAACATTATAATTACTTTGATCACCGATTTTCTCTCTGCGCCTCTTGAGAGACTCAATTCGTATTTGTCACTGTCCGCCGTGTTTTTTGCTCGTTGCTCGTTGCTTTTTATCCATTAATTATTTTCCGGTTTTCAGGTCGAAATGATATCTCGGAGCTCGAACTAACAAACTTGCGTGTGGTCGAAGGCCATTTCATTTCGTCGCGTTTCGTCGGTTATGATGTTCTCCTTCTTGCGTTCGTTTTCGTCGTCGTTCAATCCGTCTGCACTCGCTGTCACCTGCATTGGCGCCATCTGAAATCCGCGGTCGTCCAACCGGTGAGTCTCGATTTCGTGCTGCTCTCCCGCATTTCTTTTCGAGTTCTGTGTGCTCGTTGTGTGCGCCTTGATTCGCCAATGATATGGTGCAATATTCCTTGTTTTTTTTTACAAAAATTATAATTGCTGTTCATGTGAGCAATGAGCTAACTGCTTCTGAGTCTATGCGCCATAATCAATAATGAACTAGTCGAACTTCTAATTAGCGTTGTTAATTAGTGTATAATTTTGGTTTTAATTAGTGTAGTGTAGTGTTTAGTGTGTGTAATTAGTGATTAGATATTTTTTGTTAGCGCGGATGCATCTATTTTAGACTAAGTGGCCATCGCCGCCATCAACCTTATAGGCTTAACTACCGATTTTTCATTACCGATTGCTCACTACATTTTCTTCGAAAAAAGTCAATATTTAAGAAGCGCTGGCCTAATTTTATTTTATGCTATTATAACGAATTTTGGATAAATAATTATCTCATAAAGCATATTTTGGCTTGATTTCTGTTAGAGTTCTCAAACTAATTAGATTATTTTTTAATTCGTCAAGGAATATTGCACACATGTCGACGTAATCGCTCAACTCTCCCAAATTCTTCCTTCGTTCACCACCAATTTGTGAATTTCTTCTCATTTTTCGTTTCTCTGTTGAGTTTTTGCATAAAATGATTGTTTTTCGCAACATGATTGTGTCGTTTTGAGAATATTTCTTTTATTCCGAATTCTTTAGAATTTCTTTAAACGACAGGCTTGTTTTGACCAACTGCGTGAACAATTAAAAAAATTAAAATTAAAATTAACAATAGTCATCCAATTGACAATTTTGCTAATAATTTGATTTGCGATTTTTTTTGGTTTCAATATCAATAAAAATCAGCAAAATTTTATTTCTGATGTACAAACGACCGATTCTTTTGTGGGGCAACTTAATTTCTCTCTCTCTCTCTAAGGTTAACCGAAGGTATGCCTCAAATGGGGTTTTCTACAATATTCCTGGGGTCAACAGATTCATTCTCATGGGTTTCAACAGAAATGATTTAGTTAAATTATTAGTTCGACTGGAAGATTCGCGGAAAGTGGCTCCTCTACAAAAACAGTCAATAGAAATGCTCCATTTATTCGCTATAATGATAGTTGTTACTTTTCATTACGCGAGTTGCTGCTCTGAGCAAGTCGAACTGCTTAAAGATTATCAAAAAATTAGGCGTAGGTGATAAAGGTGTTTTTAATTGATATGATTTAAACAGTATACCTTGTTCAGAGCAACAACACGTTGGACACAAGGATTCTGTAACTTTGCGCGATGATGAAATATCTTAGAGTAATTCCGAACTAGTAATGACCAGTTGAGAGACTATAGAATGCCCCCTTTTACCTCTATTTCGTTGCCCATCGAGAGTACCGGTCTGTTTAAACATGTTCGAAATTCATTTTCCGTTTTTGAATTAATTTTTTTCCAAAATCTGTCGAGTTTTTCTAAATTCCTTTCAAGTTATCATCAAAATTTGTGTGTTTTGCGCAGTTGTGACCATTCCAGGGAAATCATGGTCAATTTATGTTTTTTTTTTTCGAGTTTTTACCGAATTTCGCCAAATTGCTGCTCTTTTTTTCAGCACTCAATTAATTCGTATGTGTCTATAACGAGCTAGTTCTACTATGTTAGGTAATCTAGAAACTTCTTAACATTTTCGAAAAAGCTATTAGATAATTTTTTATCAGGCGTTCTAATACGGAAATTTTAAGATGTTGAGTTTTGGTGTTGATTGATTAAACAGTTTTTGACAGAAGCTGAGATGGTTTCTAGCGTTTGACCTGTAAAATGTATTTTTTTTCTAGCCTCTTGGTGTATCCAATTAAGTAATTAAACAATACTGTTGATGTCGTGCAACTGCAGAAAATAAGCTTAATGCCAAAACATTTATTGAGAAGTCTTTGTGCCCTTCAGCCTATCCTTATACTTAGGCTCGTAAATCCACACTTTGTTTCGCTCCAAGTTTTTTTTTTCCAATTTTTTGTAGCCGTACGGTTTTGAAAAAAAAAAGAAAAACTAAAATTGTCGATTTACGGGCTATGCATAAGGATAGTTTATGAGCGCACATAACGCATAGACTTCTCTCTAATTTTTTTTTTGGCGTTTCGATAATTTTCCACAGATGCGCGAAGTCGTTGTTGATAAATTAGAAAACATGGCGAAACATGGTGAAGACTTGTCAAATTTTCTTGAGTTGATCATGATTTTCCTGTTTACGCACTACAAAAAATATCATCAAATCAGAACTCTTTATTGCAAAAACTTAACACGAAACGAAGATGAAACGAAATATCTAAGAATTGGTGCGAACGAGAGGGGGAAGAATCGATGGGAGAGTTGGGCGATTCCGTCGTGGCGAATCGAGGAACATAATGGGAAGCACACAGAATTGGGAAGGAGAGGCTGGTGGCAGAGCTAAGTCGGGGATACAGACGGGGGAGGACCGCGCATCGGGATGAAAGAAAAGGGGGGGATGATTAAATTTTTTTCCAAAAATTTAAAAAATGACCGTCTCTCCCACTTAGCGACTCCTCGAATTTTTTCGTCGTTTCCTCCCCTCTTCATTTCCCGAGCCAAAATCACAAAAAAAACTTAACGCACAAAACCGCCGAAAAATCGCCCTATTTTTGACCATTTTTGAGCAATTTGAATTTTGTTCGATTTTGCCAAATTAGGAAATCTGTAGTTTTTGTGATCTCACAGCTGGGTGTCAATAAGACTTGCACAACAGTCACCGCAATTGCTGACCGATTGCTGACTACTGTAAGAGGACGACCCATACAGTAACCTGACCCGGTCCATTGCGTCAACTTAAATACAGACTTAACAACGTTGGACTATGAGATCAAGCTACGAACTTCCTTTTGATTTTCGTTACGAGACCCGTTTTCTCAGATGATCGTGTGACAAACTACTAGAAGTTCTGATCTACCCATCGACCCACTAAACCCTTCTAGAACAATTTAAACGACCGTAACTTGAAGACTGATTTAAATTGAAGAAAAAAAATGAATAAATTATCGACAAATAAGAAACTCTGACCTTAATTGAGCAATTATGACCAATTTTAGGGGCACGTCAATCAATGTGGGAGTTTTGGATAGAAAATAAATCGTGAATGATATATGGTTTTAAAAAATTTTCTGGTGAAAATTGAAAAGAAAATACACAAAATCGTTGAAAATTGAACAAAATAGATCAGGAGTTCAAAATATCCCCCGTTTAGAGTCAATTTGAGCAAAAATGAGATCAATTTTGATGCGACACTGATTGACGGCTTTCTAAAAAACGTCGTCACAGTCAGAGCAGAAGCCCTTTACGGACAATTATTCCCCAGATATTTAAATTTGTGAAATTCTAAGAAAGTCGAAATAAAATGAAAATGAATTTAAAAAATGAAAAAAAAATCGAAATGTTTGTGCAATTTAATTACTAATAAAATTAAATAAAATTCTAATGTGCTACGAATAGTCTATGTCTGGCGACTGCATGGAGGTAGATTTACGAGGCGCGTGGATCGTCATGGTCTCGCCACGAGTGATTGCTTAATTTCTTATTTTCACGTGAACTTTTTCTTTCTAAGTTTGACATTTCCTTAAATTTCTAATGTCATTGAATTATCGAAATCAGCTGTTTAAAGTGAAATAATCGGTTTGTGGGTGTGAGACCACAGCGCCCCAAAAATTAACCACCCATACATCAGTCGTCGGACGGCTACTATATACCAAAATATCTTAACAAAAACAAGAAATACTCATACTAACCCAAAAGCTAAATAAGTTGAATTAAAAGAGGCAACACAGAGAAAATAAAAGATAAAAATTCAATGCAAAAAATAAAAATAATCATTACTTCTTTTTTTCTTCAGTAAAATGTTTTCTTTTTTTTATTCACTCTGCATTACTCCTTACCGTTTAACTCAATTCTTTGGACTATTTTTTTTTAGTATAATTGTATGTACAATTATCAAAATTTCAAAATAAAATTTTAAAAAACCTCAATACTAAATTGCAATCAAATTAAAATACCTTAAAAGGATCTAATTTAGGAAATTCGAGCATTGTAATACGTTTTTCGCCTGAAATTTTCGCCTAAAGTAAAGCTTGACCCTAAATGAGAATCTATAATTACCCAAACTCAAATATTCCCAGTACTAATTTCCTTATTATTTTTACAACTCTAACAAGTAAGATTCCAAGTAGACCCTAACAGAAAGACATTAATAGCCTAATTCTAACACTCCCTCTAACAATTTATAATTATAATTATCATCTTGAAGCATTTTTTACCAAAATTACCTAAGCCTAGGACCATTTTAAAACGACACATTAATTATTTCCGAAATTTATCCTAATTACTTTATATGCTAATTACTAGAATCATCTGGAATACGTTTCCCGTAGCGAAGATCACTAGGCAAAATCAAACAATATTCAAAAAGATCAAAAATGTTCAAAAATTACGGGGTCATTTCCTTCAGCTGTTTTGTGCATCATGTTTTTCTTGTATTTTGACTCGGGAAAAAGTGAAAAGCTTCGGATACGACGAGAGAAATCCGAGGAGCCAACCATTGCGCTACCGATCAAGCCGCTTCCCGCTGTCGCAAGGTAAACTCTTAAATCACCAATTATCCAAAACTCGCTAAAATTTTGATTCTCCAACCTTTTGAGTTTTTTTTCCATTTATATCCATGGCGATTGTGCTTCGAATTCATGTGACAATTCTAAAAAAAAAGGTATTGCGACATTTTGAAATATAGATCAACCCTGGACTCTCCACACCGGAATAACAGTGCTGTCGCCCAAGGAAAATTGTGAGCCATCACCTGGAAAATAAATAATTAAGCTAGTTTAATAATTGAAGATTGTTTCTGCATAGGAAATACGGGCAGGAAAACACGATTTTGTTTTGCAAAGACGTGGAAATATTAATTATTGTGACTCGCTGAGAGCCTAAGCCTTCTACCAACATGTAAGAGAAAATAAGTTACATTTTGATGCTGGCAATAAATGGCAGATCGCAAAGAAACTTGCATTTTACGATTTTCTTAATATCGAAAGACATAAAAAGAAGCATTTTTGCATCGCCGTCATTCACTAAGCAACATGCTCAAAATTCTAGTCTTCACAGTTTTTCTCCAAACAATTTATCCACAATCATGCTATTTTTGTGCGCCGATAGTTGAAAATGTCGAATTCAGTAGTTGTGTGTGCGGAAGATTTCGAATAAACGGCGACTGGAATTTCAGCGCCGAATATTTCAGCCAATGGCGTAATAATGAGTGCGACGTCAAAATGGTGTGTCGACGAGCTCCCAGAAGTTGGTGTTTTGTGACACAATTCTAACAATACCAAACACGATTTTAGTGTCAGTAACAGCTCATACTCCTACAGAAACCGGATTCGCTGAAACAGGCCATGTAAGTCGCATTCTCAAATTAATTACCGCGAAGTTTTTGCAGAAATGGACCTACAAATCACAATATTGCCGCGATTTGGCAATCGATTTTGGAATCACATGCGAAAAATCATCTCGAAAATGGTTGATTACCCAAATCCCAACGAAATTAGTTAATTACACGAAATTGGGGGATATCCCGGATTATGTATTGCCGTTGCAAATCACTTTTGCCGATTGTAATTAGAATATAATTAAGAAGTGGCATTGCAACCATAAATTATTCAACTAATTGGAATTTGGAAAATGACAAACTCTAGATCGAGTAGAGACGACAACGAAGTATAGGCTAGAACGAACAGGGCTCAACAAACTCATCGAGCAAAACAGGATAAAAATCGAGAAAACCCACGGTCCCGCCAAATGAGTTTCGCGAGGGTCTTGATCTTTTAATTATTTTAAATGTGATCAATCAAATTCGCGCATTGGTGTAGATTTAAATTTATCGTTGACTGAATAATAAATGCGCGTACACTATAATGCAATGTAAGCAGTATCGCGAACTTCTCGCTGCCTCGAGACACATTGACACATAGCCAATGTTTTTTTAATTTCTTCCAGTCGTTTGACTCCGACAATATGTAAAAAGAAATAATTAAATCCACGCAAAAAAACGAGATCGATAAATTAACTCCATTTTTTACAATATAAAAAAGAAGAACTCTGCGATTCGATCGAGACGAACAGGGAAAAAATTTTGGTTTGGGATAACCCGCGGTACATTTTAGGACAAAAGGGGGAAAATTCAATTAATCAAAACAATTCACCCACGGTTTAGCCCAACACGATAAACTGAGGGCGAGGTGTGAATGGAGTGTCGTACTGATAGGGTTAAAAAAGGGTCCCTCGTGGAACCCCAACGTTTAATATAAATCATTTGTTCTTTTCGAATAGTCGAGAACGAAATAAAAGGAAAAATATAATAAGGTGGTCAAACTCTTATTTGGCGCGCATAATTTTGGTCAAACGTCACGCACAACAGATCTTTCGTGAAATTAATACATTAATAATATTTCTAGAAATAATCATGTAAAGGCAGTGGAATTACATTAAAAACAATTTTTTAATTAAATGTAGAAATTACTCCGATTAAACGGAAAATTATATCAAAACAAAATCAATAATTAAAATTTATTTGTGAGAAAATATTGGGTGATGATATGGATATGATCTAAATTCATGAGAACAATAACTGATAAGGAACCAGTAAAAAATTCAAGAAAATATATTGGCAGCGCAATTTCAGCTATGCAGCGCAACTCACGTAATCAGTCAACACAATTGCTGACCGATTGCGGATTATTGTAAGAATACGAACCATACAGTAACCCGTCCCGGAGAAGTTCTGATCTACCCCATCGTCCCACTAAACCCTTCTGGAACATCTTAAACGACCGTGACTTGAAGATTGATTTAAACTGTAATAGAATGAATAAATTATCGACAAATAAGATACTCTGACCTTAATTGAGCAATTACGACCAATTTTAGGGGAAAGATTTTAGGATAAAAGGGGGGAAAATTCAATCAATTAATCGAAACAATTAACCTACGGTTTAGCCCAACACGATAAACTGAGGGCGAGGTGTGAATGGAGTGTCGTACTGATAGGGTTAAAAAAGGGTCCCTCGTGGAACCCCAACGTTTAATATAAATCATTTGTTCTTTTCGAATAGTCGAGAACGAAATAAAAGGAAAAAATATATAATAAGGTGGTCAAACTCTTATTTGGCGCGCATAATTTTGGTCAAACGTCACGCACAACAGATCTTTCGTGAAATTAATACATTAATAATATTTCTAGAAATAATCATGCGACATTCGGAATATTCTAGAACATGTAGAAATAATTTTCTAACCATATAGTCGACTTCCGGCGACGGTTGGATGCGGGTGGATTTACGCGCTTGTGCCTTGTAAAGGTCTCGCAACGTGTGAACGCATATTTTGCTGTTTTAAAATGACCGATTAATTTCTTTCTTGATGAGTTTGGAATTTTCCTAAATAATTCAACGTCATTTGGTATAAAATTATCGAAACGACCCATTAAATGCAAAATAACTATGTAGTCAGTCTTTGCGAGACTGACTACATACTCACGGCCTGAAAATTTACCAACTGTTGCCTTTGTTACAGGCCAAAAACCTATGGGAGAACTCTTGACGCGATGCGCTGAGGTGTGTGCCTTTAATGCGGGCTTTTGATTTCGCACGTGTCGCCAATTTTGAAATTCGTACCTCATAATCTCGTATCAGGCAGAAAATTTTTGAATTTTTATGTCCATCTGCCAGTTTCTCATATCGTGTCGAAAATATGCCCTCGCTTAAATTTCAAATAACCAATGATTTTCCCTAATTTATTTGACAATGATCCATCGAATCTGAAATTTGAATTCATTAATTTAAATTCAAGTCAGGGGTAAAAAACTAACTTCGGTAAAAGATTAATACAATGACTGCAAAATGTATAACCGCAGTTTAATACGGTTGGAATGTGATGAGAAAGATCTGCAAATCCAATCACGATTGCCGGTGCTCATTGGTGCGTGCAAAGAAGGCACGATCCGAATCGGACGAGACCGAACGAACATCAAAAATCCGCACCTGTAGAAAACGACAATATTGTGAGTATCCTCAATGAGACCAGTGAAAAGCTAAATTATATTCATAGAATATTCTCTCATTTGAATGAAATCGATATAAGCTCTTGAAATAATCAACAACGTCTAAAATCAGTAATTAAGGGAATGCAAACATTTATTAACATTTTCATAGCAAGATGAGATCATTATTGTTTGAGAAAACAAGACAAAACAATTAGGCAAGGTAATTTACATATTGAGCATCTTGGTACTCCATCCAGAGGTCATTTTCAGCGGCTTTCTGAAAAGCAAACTCTTTTACATAATTTCACATCACATTTAAAACTTCGGATTCGTTATAGATCGGGGACAAGACGCAATTGGCGATAACAGGCTCGGAAACATCACAATCCTCGAATTCAATAATATCAACCTCATTTTTCAACTCATCCAATGTTTTCTAAACCCTTTAGTTCAATAATATAATGTTTTGCAAAAATAAACCTCATATTCTTGGTTAGTATTTTTCACCATTTCTTCAAATTTTGACAAAAACGTTTCAAGTTTTTTCATTTCCTCAAGAAACTTGAACCAAAGTTTTCGGTAAATAACTCCATTTTTGCTTCTTCTCATGAAGTTAAGAATTTTGTCGTGAAGCTAAATATTCTACAATTATTAGTTAAATCCACTAATTTAACTGACCGATATATTAATCGATGACAAACTCATAGTAGATCCCATGTCATTTTGAAGTTTCGCTAATTTCTCGTCTAACTGTTTCTTAAGTTCATTCGCACAGAAGATGTCCTGAGAGAAGCTCCATTCAATGCGAATTGGGAAGAAATCGACAACCGTGTGTTTTTTCTTCAAGTGAGAGATGATAGCACAATTTGAGCAAATCGCGAAATCATCAACATTATGGTCTTTCTGAAAGCAATTCAGCTCGTATTCTTTTAAAAATAATAAAATGGGCTGCCTGGCACGTCTTGACATGAACAATATCGATATTATAAATATTGCAAACACATTGGCGACAAACGTAGCTTCTAAAAAATCTATATTTTTACATTGATTAATTCAACTACCTTTTCTCATTTTCTCGTTTTTTACATTCGCTACAGATAATGCTGTTCCCTTTATTAAAAGAATCCGAGGTATTCTTGAGGGTCTCAATTTTTTCTGAATAAAAAATCAAATCAAATTGCGTTATTAAACAAACCGAGAATAGTGAAGTTTCTAACGCAGTGTTCGAATAAATCGTCGTTTTCTTCAAACTGAAAATACTTGAATATTATAAATTATGTTGCTGGTGTTAAATACTCGACATGTAGGACAGCAAACCGCCGTATCATCCTCATTAGCCTTCCTAAAATTAAATTATTTTATGCTTCGGAAATAATCAAAATAATAACTCCTTGAGTTTTTCCAAGCAAGTTTTGCAGAATGTGTGACCACACCTCAAAAGAAGAGGGACGTTTACTTCCGGATCTGCATTATTAAAAAAATAAAATATTTTAAGTATTCATTCATACCATATTGACCTGTACAAACATTACATGTTTCAACTTTTACAAGTGTGTAAAGCTCATCGTCGTCAAAGACATCCGAAATAAGTTTGGACATGTCTTTTTCTGAATTAAAAGTTTAAAAAAAAACAGAAAAAAAAATTTGCCAAAAAAAAGTAAATAAAAATTTCTGGTAATTAGCAATGCGCGCGGATTTTTATCACGCGACAGTTTCGAAAATATTACTGTGCACACAGTCCGCGCGGGAATTCGAAAAATCAATTGAATTTTTTCGTATTTTGAACACGGTTGGTACGTATTCTAATAAACTTTAAATATATACACGGTTGCTAAATAAAAAATATAAATTCTAAAGTTCAGATTTCGACGCCCACGGCGGCTTCCAATTTTCTCATGCGAAATTTCCCGTTACCAAACAATATACATTTCCTTGACTGTTAAAAATCGAGAAAACGTTTAGAAAAATGGATGATCTTAAAAAACGGAAGATTTTGTTTGGCGGAAAACAAGTATTGTAACCAATTCTTACTATGCGATCCTGTGAATAGTAACAAATTAATTATTTTAAATACGATTTTGAAATCCCTTTAAACCGTTGAGAACGAAACGTTTATTCTACCATGGCCTCAAATTGCTTTTGTCGGATAAGTGGGATGCATCGGAGCTATAATTCATTTTATATTTTCCGGGTGCTGTCTCTTCAAATTCAGTGACAGTCGCCTGCCCGACATATTTGAAGTCTCCGTGAAGCACTTCGTGGCACGCGCCGATGGATGCACCATGTCCGACCAGAAGCAAATTTCCTTCGTATTTTTCGAAGATTCTTTTCAGGGTGGTTCGAACTCGATCCACGCAAGCATCGTCGCCATCGCCTTCTTTTGGCAATGTGTACTAAAAGCACAATGAACAGAGGGAAATTATTCAAAAACAAACCTTCGAATAAACTGGAATATAATCCCTATCGACTAATGGAAATTTATCGGCGAGTTTGTCAGTTTCCCAAAATCCTGGTGGCGATTCGCAAAGATAGAGGGCTTCGCATAATCCGCCTTCAGCTTTAACTTTCAATCCCTTGTCACCAACAATAATTGACGCGGTTTCAATCGTCCGATCAAAAGGTGACGAAAAAACGTGATCGATTTTCTGATTTTTGAATCGCACTTGACACTCGGCGGCTTGTTTTCGTCCACGAGCGCTGAGAATCGAATTGTCTCTTGTTAGTCCTTTGGCTTCCGGAAGGTTCCGCCATCCTCGATTGATATTGTCTTCCCTACCAATATGAAATAAAATGTATTAGACAAGATAAGCTTTCCGTGTTTCTTAAGGACCAAACAATTTCGTCTGAGAAAATCAAAAGTGGATTAGCCTAAAATCAAAGTTAGGGGAAATTTGTAATTGGAATACCCATATAGTGTCTTCGTGAAAGAACGTTCTTCGCTTTGTGTTCATAGCAATAACCACCTCGTCTAGAAAGGGTGAAAAAGCGAAAATGTCAAACAAAGGTATGGTTCTTCAACCGGTTCTGCCTGTAGACATCAATTAGCTATAAAATGCACTACCTTTCAGCATGACGAACGATCCAAATTTTCCTGGGATACTTGATAGCCATTCGACTATAGTCATTATAATATAAAACATTTTAAAAAATTGATTAAATAATGTTAGAAATATAACACTGAAATACTAGACATGATTAGTATTAAAATCGGAATAAAGAATGTAATCATATTTATTAAATCAATTTCTCGAAAACTCTGGATTAAACTGCGAGTTATACTTCGGTCTCTTCTTATTTTCTTCCTCCTTCTTTGGTGGATGGAGTAAAGCATGAGTTCTCGCGGCTTCCATTCTTTCCCGTTTCAGTCGCGCATCCCTGAGTTCTTCTAATTTCCTTCTCTTCTCAGATTTGTACAATTCTTCAATTTCGCGTTCTTCGGAACTATCTCGCTTTCTTTTCTTCTTTTTGCTTTTCTTCTTTTTCTTCCTTTTGTGTTCGCGTTCTTCGGATTCACCTCTGCTTCGTTTCCTCTTCTTTCCTTTTTTTGCGTTTTCTTCTTCTAGCCGAGCTCTTGCCATCAAAAAGTCTTCCTTCACCTTTGGTTTTTCCGTTTTATCCGGTGCTCTCCTCATCGGCAAGGATTCATACCATTCTTTCTGAAATTAAAGCAACACTTAATAATATCGAAGAAATTTGTTCACCTTTTTCTCGAGCTCATTTGTATTATCAGCAAAATACACCTGAATGCCCATTTTCGATTCCCATTCTCGCTTCTCTTTTGCTTTTTCTTCTTCATATTCCTTATTTCCAGTTCCCAAGTTCTTTCTCTCCTCTCGTTCAAGATCCTTAAAATTCTAGAATTGGCAAGATTCAGTTCGCCAAGTTTACCTGAAACAAATTCACGTGACCCGTTGAATCGGAAATCTGCGTATTCGTCGATGTCCCAGGAACTCCGAACATTTTATCCAGCTTCTCATCAGCTCGTGCTCTTAATAAATTCATCCTTCTCTCATTTTCTGCCTGAATCTGACGATCCAATCGCCTTTGCTCCTCTTCAGCAGCTTTTCGCTCGTCCCTCCGGACTCTTTCCATGTTCGCTTTTGTGCGAACATGCCATGATTTGTGATGAAGAATATTCATCCTAATGTTTCGAATATTACGAAAATATATTACGAAACAATGCAAGTATAAAATCATCAGAGCAAAAACTGATAAAGTAACATAAATCCAATGGAAAAATTATAAATAAATTTATAAAAATTATGTATTAGGAATTATTATGACAAAACTAGATAAAAAGCGAAAGAAAAATAATTAACCGAGAAAGAATATCACAAGAATGAGAGGAATATTAAATTCAAAAATTATCACAAATATAAAGCAATTGATCAAATTGTCGGTACATAGAGACTATTAATAGATTGAGATAAGCTCATTGGCTTCATATGCGCCAATGCTTCATTACAAAACACTTCTTCTCTATGGCGAAGTGGCCGAGAATGCTCAATTCTAGCCAATCTGTACGATCTTGACGCATTGATGACTGTTAGTCGGACAAGGTTAGCAAGCTCGGACAAAGAAATAAAGGCTCCGTCAAACAATGGGCCAAACTCCAAGGCTGAAGCGGTGTCGACACGGACCCGTACCATCTAAACCATTCTTTAAATATTATCATCAATAGTTCTTCCCACCTTGTCGCCGACTTGTTCCAGAACAATCAAAACATCACAGAACTTTGTGGCAATCGTTTCCCGAGTATAAGCTTTCCTCCGGTTTTCGGTCCAAACAACGTGAACCTTTAAAAATAAACATAGGTAACATTCAAATAAATAAAAAAAAATAACCTCATCATTTCCAATATGTTTCCACTTTGAGTGTACATCTCCATTCAGCATTGTATTCACGTGGAAGATCACCTCGCTTTCTGAAATTCGTAAAATTCCAAAACATCAATTTTCCTTAATGGTTTTTACCTGCATCAGCGTAATACGGCGCCCTTGTATCCACTGGTAGCCCTCCATGATATCCTTCGTGACCTCGTCCAATCTTCACCTCCCATCCAAGCTCGCTGACAAACTCATCAAACGCTTCTGAAGCATTTTGATTCGATAGAATGCTCGAGCGATCATCCTGGCCTTCTCCAACGTAAATCACAGCGATTTTGTGAACTTCTCTCGACGATGTCGAGTCAAGGTGTTTTAGGTCGCGCAAGAAATTCTGATGTACTGAAGATACCGAAGGCACGAATCCCAAGGAAGCAGCGAGTGACCTCCATTCCAGTAATTTGCTGCTCGGACGGAAAGCGGGCGTCTCGATTCCACTGCTATTTTTTCCCAATGGTTGCGGTTGTCTCCGGCAAGTTTCAATCATCGTCAAAAACTGTCCTGATCCTTCTAGTGGACTAGGATGCTCACCGAACGACGATGCACCAGAAGAATCTGGTAATTCGTCGAACGGATCATCCATTGCTCCCAAGATTCCTTGATTTTCACGACCAGCTCTTCGTCCCTTGTTCGCTTCCTTCCGAAGCCAACTCGTCACATTCTTCGCCGGCTTCCGTTCTTCATTCAATAAGTCCAACTCCCACACATGTCTGCCAACGACTGTTCGACAAACTACTTCATTCGCTTTCTTCGAAATGCTGATTATTGACGAATTGCGATTCACGTAGACGTTCTTCTCACTATTCGGATCAAGTGAGACAGCTTTCGAGCTCGCTTCGGTCGAATTCCATCGTGCTACTTCGAAACCTTTTAACGGAAACTGTCCTCCAAGTGTAATTAGCTCTCCTTGAAGAACAAGTTGTCGGTCAGCAAGAATACCACGAACAACCAGAGGAACTTGTGGTTGAGGCCATTGAACGCAAAGTCGCACCATCTGCCATTCAACCTCAGTTCGAGCTCGTTCGTCTCGCAAAAGAGAAGCAGCTCGTAACAGTGCCTGCAACAGTGTAGTACTGCTGAACTGAGCAAGGCTTGCGATTGAAGAGCAGAACAACGGGATGAGTTTCATAGCGAATTGGTGAGTCTCAATCGCCTTCAATACAGTGAGCACCAGATCAATTTGCGCTCGTTGAACGATGAGAATAGCCAAAGTGTTTACGATTATTATGGCGTTTTCTGAGATGTCGGCGCTTGCGAGCTGGTCCAATAAAAGTTGTTCAGCTCCAGGATAGGAAGAAGCCAACATTGCGAACAATTTCAGAGAACTAGTCACCATTTTCTGATCCTTTGAGCTTCTAGCGGCTTGAAGAATTTTCGGAATATGCTCAAGAGCTCGAGGTGCTACAATCGAGAGCTCTTGAGCTGACAACCCGCAAATAGCTGGTATCACCTATGAATAAAAATTATTATTAAAATAACATTCGAATAATCTTACGGAAGTATCTTTAGACTGCATTAATCGAATAAAACACAGTAGAATATTTGCTGAAAGCAGAGGGGGCGGCCTTCGAATCGCAAAATCACTCAAAATGGCTGATAATGCCGGAACGCATTTAGGAAGTAGTTCAGGAGGTACTGTGACAAGGCGGCAGGCCAGCCAGTGAGCAAGAGGATGAAGGTTGACATTGAGTAGTTGACGAATAGTTACTGACGTGCATTCAATCGCTACTTGGGCACTTGGTTTTGAATAGGGATCAACCAGAGAGATAACCCTACGCCAGGTCTGCAGCCAGGCAAGCTTGTCTCCGGACCAAGACTTAATTGTAGAAGTGATATTTTCGAAAAATATCTTTTTACACTTACAGTAACCGCGTTAGTAATATCATCGGTGTCATGAAACACATTATCCTCAACCGCAGATCCCATACTTTCACCACCTTCCGATGATTCTTTCCGGGGTTCTTCCATAGCAGACTCGATTGCCTGTCGACGAGACGATGCTTGTGAAACATCAGTCTACAAAAATGTTTTCTTTCTTTTGAAGAAAATGAAAAAAAAGTAGTGTAAGGGAAAATAAAATGCCGAAACAAAACACGAACTAACCACTTTCCGCATCGCCTCTTCCCTTGAGAATATATCGACATGTGCTAGATGCAGAATCAGCGCCCTTGTCACACTATTTACTATCGTCGACCATTGCTCGGACATCGATATCCAGGCACCCTTGTTCATCACATTGTACACATCATCCCAAACTTCGTCCTCAATTTCAATCCGTCGAACCGCCTAAATTATACTTGATAGTTAGACGAACATTTTTGTCAATAATCACTTTAATGATAACAACGTTTGATATGAGTGTAGAGGTAAATGCTGATGCAACTTGCTGTGAGAATGCGTCGTTTTGAGAACAGATCTTCGTCGCGCATCGGCACAACCCGGACATCAGCTCAGCCCAGAACTTCTGCGGCAACGGCTTTGGAAGTTGAATTCGTTGCGATACTAATTGTTTACAAGAAGTCAAAATAGCGTATGCAATCGACACAGCGGATTGAAGCCTAGAAACGTTGCAACATGTGTAAAGAAATTATGATACTAAATTACCGTTCTCCAGATTGCGCCAAATAAGGTGAGTGGAAGAAGCTCAGAAGAATATTTGCACATAACAACGAGAACCGTTCAATAGAGACCTCTCCAGAAGCCACGAATGGAGGAATTTCGTATTGTAGAAGCCAAGTTGACAGCAAATTGACTACCTAAAAACAAAAAAAATAAAATTAATACAATTAAGAATAATGAACACCTTATGGGTTACATTACTGCAAGCTAATGGTAGTGTCATGGCTTCTCGCATCAATGTTAAGGTCACATTTGTCGCCTTAAATGACATCGATTTATTTATTTTCCTAAAAAAAAATAGTTCGAACCTTTTTTGAATTGAATAGCGCTTGTCTATAGAGTAAGAGTGATGAATGGGCCGCTTGTGCTGAGTTTGGTGTCGACTGTGTCGCCGACGCAATATTATTAATCCAGCGAATCAGCCAATATCGGGCGATTACCACAGGATCTGCCGTGTCCAATGGTTCACCACTGGATTCAGCACCTTCCCATCCGCCAAATATATCAACACCATTCGCCTCAAGCTCATCGAAACATTCACCCATGTACAATTTGATCACTTTTTCGATTATGAAATTAGCACATTCGAGTCGTTTTCCTTCATCGTTCCACTCAATTCTCGCAGTTTCTCGAGTACAGTACTCAAGGAATTTGTCCAGGTAGACTTGAAGCATTTGTGCCCGTTCTTTTGATGATAACGTCGAAGGCGCTGATGAGCGAATGGGACCCTTTCGAAGCCTCTCACACCAGTCCCCGGTGCCAGATGATTGACAGTATTCATTTAACACGTCTTCGGTGTTTTCGCCGCTTCTCAACGGAAAAAAAGGAAGCAGCGATTGAAAAACGTGATCAAGATCAGGTGTCGCTTTTCCGTGGACTCCGAGACATTGATAAAACACCAAAAATAATCGTATCGCTATTTTTCGAACCGCCATCAGATTTCTTGGGAACACGGCTTTTTTCAGTAACGACTCGATCGCGTGCCTCTGCCAGCCACTTCCAACAAGCTCCGGCGCCAGACATAGGACCTGTTCAAGAGTCCAAAGACCACTTTCTGCCTCAATAGCGCTGTCGATCTAAAAGCCTGGCATATTTTGAGATTAATTAGAAATAAAAATACCTGTGTGCTAACATCGTTGACTAGTAAAAGTTCATCGACAAGATGAAAAGTTTCGAAACTGTGCTCATCAAGAAGTTGTCGTTTTTCCTTAAATTATGATTTGAAAAAATACTGATTTATAATTGATACTTGTATTGAATTCGAATTTAGAAAATACGTTCAATAGAATTAATTTTTCTTTTAAAAATATTGAAAACTAACAAATATCTGAACGTTAAAAAAAAAATAATATTAGCTTATTTTCTTTAAATCTTACATTTGTTGTCAACGTGTCTAAAAGGATTTTCAAGTGTTTCACTCGACTGACACAATCTCTGAACAAAAAAGAGGATAAACAGAATGTAAACTTGTCTGAAACCTGTTCAAATCGGTGAATCTGGCAATGCTCGCCTGAATGTCAGACGATTTGCCCTTTCGGGCGAACATTTCAGTAGCAGCGGTCGAATTGACACTGAAAAACCGAAAATATTTACGTTTTGCGCTCGATGTCAAAACGATCGACCGAGAGAAGAGATAGTGGTGGAAATGCGGAGTGCACAGCGTGCGAAACAATCCGCGGTATATAAATACAGGAGGAGGGAATAAGCAGTACCGTCAAATATGGTAATCGATTATCCAGGTAAAGAAATAACAGTGAAAACGAAAAACTGGTCGTAATCAATCAACCAATCTCTTCTGAATGTCTAAATATAAAACTCAGAGGAACAACCTTTAAAATTTCAGCAAATTCTCCTTTGATGTCAAAAAGAAAAAAAATTCATTGGCAAGGGTGAGAATGAAAAATGGGGAAATAGATACAGAATGTCATCAATTAAAGCTCTAGATTTACTCTAAAAACAAAGATGCTAATAAATCCTAAGCCATTGGATTATTTATACACATCGCCGTGATCGGCTTCGAATGCCCCTCGAGTTGAAGTACTTTCGAAGCTGTTGTTGTGTCCCACACCTTAATTCGTCCGTCTGATCCACCAGTTAAAATATGCCTGAAATTTAGAAAATAAACTGTCTTCTAAATTGAAACTAATAATATTCAACACTACCTTCCATCCGCCGTGAATATTGCATCCCAGTTCCAGTCGCATTCAGCATTCAGCGTCGCCGCATGCTTCATCGAATCCGCATTCAACACATGAATTACCGAGTCCGTACCGCAAGCTACCAAATATTTACCGTCAGGGGAATATCGACATGACAGTCCGTATCCCTTTGGCAGTTTACATATTGGGTCCTTTTCTCTCAATATTCCATATGTAGAAGTCGGACTTTCCGTGGCCATCGTCGGTGTCTTATAATCAAGCATTGGTGGGACTTCGTCAAGTTTTCTAGTCAAAATATCCCATGTTAATAAACGCCCTGCGACAATTGATAATTATCAACTAACAATATTTCTACAATACCTCTATTAGTAATTCCGGCTAGTCGTTTTCCCGTTGGATGTACAGATAATTTCTGCACACATTCTAATAATCCTAAATTGTCAGGCATCGGGAATTTCTGATAGCAATTATTGATTATATCCCATATGCACACTTGTCCCGCATTCGTTGCAACGAACATCTCTGTCTGCGTCACATTTGTCGTCATTGCTGTGACCTGAGCCGGTGCGAACTGTAAATTGTCGTTTCCCGTTTTAAAATTATTTTTCTCAATGCTCTTCTTACCCATATGGTTCGATTCGCTACCAACTGATTACTTCGCATTTCCCAAATTCGACAAACTCCATCTTCACCGCCCGTATACATCCATCTTCCTGTCAATTCAAATCCGATTACAGTTACATTCTTGTGCAAATCGATTGTCGCTTTCGGATCCTTAGAAACGTGAACATCGTATATTCGTATTCTCTGATAAGCTCCGAGGGCAAGGTCTCTTCCATTTGAAGTCAAACTCAGACAATTCACCTGAACTTGAAATTTTAATTTAATGAATTACATTTTAAATTGTCACTCAAAAATACGCAAACAATGAAAACGACGATTTCGCTATAAAAATGGATTTAAAAAATATTATAAAACAATTTCAAATTGCAAAAACACAGAAAGTTGACAATTTTGAAACCATTTATCGGAAATATTTTATTTTCGCGTCAAATTATATTTAAAACCTTTTTCATTTACCTGTCCCTCATTATGCTGTATAGTAGCCAATGCCTTTTTTCTGCTCACATTCCAAATTTTAATGGTCTGATCATAAGAAGCAGAAACCAATACTGGTGGATCAGAATTTTCCATAGAGCTACAACAACCGTCCAATTCGCCGATAATTTAAAAAAAACAAAAGCAAGTAATTTTCACGATTTTAACGTAAAACCATTGAATAAACTATATATATATACCCCTAGCAAAACGTTTAAAAATACGTACGTTTTTCATGAAAAAGAAAACACACAAAAAATGATAGAAGTAAAGAAAAAGTAAATAAAGATTTTGAGGGGAGGAATAATAAATAATGAGGCATAGGATATTTGTTAAAAAACAATGGACAATTTTCTTTTTTAGTAGCATCAGTGGCAAACAAATACTGAAATTACCAATGGTTGGCATCTTCAAAAAATGGAAAATCTTTGCATGGGAAAGGGGTCGAAGGGGGGAATGATTGAAATCCGTATCATCACAGAGAATGCACATTTGTTAAGGTTCGGGGGTTGGTTTGAAGGACTCCTGATTCCATTACACGTTCAATATTTTGGGGAACTTAAGGCAATTATTGATGAATCGATGAAGATGCTGTGGATCCGACGTGACGTCGTGACGAAACCCGCGACACCGATGCTCCGGTTGGTCGAGCGGATTCGATGAAACGACGCAGAACGGAAACCCATCGGACGCAAACGTCCGATTGGGGTGCCATCAGAACCAGTTCGCGTGAAAGACCAGTAACTAAAATTTTGAAAATAATAAATTGCTTCATCGAATTCTGGGAGCATACATTTACAAGCCGTAATAGTGCCCTGCGCAACGTGTTCCTTATGAATTTTATAGCGACAGTTACGGCACTCGTACGCCGGCGTTGGTCGAATCATATCGGACAACTTCTTGCCGCAATCATCACAATGCGTCCGAATATGGAATGAGAGTTCCTGGAAGTCGTGGCGCTTCCAACTTTCTTCGCGTTGTGACTCATTCATGGTGAGATCCGAATTCGAGGCATGACGAGAAGCGGCCGAAGAGTTGTCATCGTACATCAACTAAATTTTTATATTTGAGATCGTCGGTTACAGAAAAAACCAAAATAATACAAAAATTGTCATAAGTGTGATTTTCATAAGCCAAAAAGAGGGCCTTTTTCAATTTTTGGTGTATCCTTTATTGTTGCGTTAAAGAAATGCAACGAAGTTTTCCAAAGTCCCCTAATTTTCGAAGAAAATGTTCTTACATGGAAAATTCTTGGCAATTGTGAATCATCAACATTGCGGAGGTCGGCAGCAGTGACATGACGAACATGACACATATTTCTAAACAATATTCGCTTTGGTTATGAACAATTATAAATTTTCAATACCCCGCTTCTACAGTAAGCACTGGATGCTGCGCCTTCTCGTCTTGGTATATCGTGAAAGCGTATTCATTGAGAATAGCAAAGTGTTGAACCCACTTAAAGAATGGGTTTAAGAATATATCAGAGTTTCTCAAAAGCAAAACGTTACCTTGGCCTTTCGGGACTTCTTCTGCAGTTCTCGCACAGACACCCAGCCATCCATCTGGAGATTGTGATAACTCAACGAGGTTGGAATTCCTTCCCTTGAATCTACACTTCTTTTATCGTCGCCGAATCGAAGACCATTTCGCATCAGCTCTTCTATTCGTTCTTTCAGATCTCGATTCTCCTCCCGTAACAGCTCATTTTGACGGAATTCATCTTGAAGCTGAGCGGTAAATTCACCGGCCTGCTTCTCGTGTTCGCAATACATCATCTTCATCCGCTTCGTCATTTCATCCCGCTCTTGTTGAAGCATCATCTGAAATAATAGTATCATCCAGTTTAGAAGGTCGTAGCTTACGATTTCTCTCTCTTTCTTGATCAACGCCGCCTTAGTGACTCCTTTCTCTCCTTTCTTCGTTGGTTGTCGTTTAGCCATCTCCTCTTCCAATTTATTAATTACTGCTTTCTTGTGGGCCTTCTCAATTTCCAATTTCCTTAAAAATGTACTCATTTATAGAGGGAAATTCCGCGCAATCCTACTTTTCAAGTTCAGCAATTTTCTGCATGCCATTGTTCTCAATTTCAGTAGTTTCGCGCGTGTGATGTGTCAATTCTTCGAGCTGATTTTCAAGATGCTTTAATTGCTGTTCTTTTGTAGTGATTTCCTGCAACAAATTTCATGAAAACCTACAAAATCGCTTGGAAAATTACCCATTTATGTCGTTGCATGAGTTCTTGAACTTCCATTTTAAGCATTCCACGCTCCTTATCGGCTACCGAAAGATTTTCTTCAAGGGTTTGGGACTTCTGTAAAAAAGTATTCGGAATAATACATTTTTCTAGCTTATATACCAATCGTTCATTCTCGAGCTCGTATCGAATCGCTTCAATTCTCGATCTTAATCCATCCTCCTTATTTTTAGCTTCTTCTTGACTTTCAACAAGCTCGTCTTGGCAGAGCGACTGCAATAGAACAAACAAATGGCGTGAAATTTAAATATATCAATACCAAAACCCGTTCATCGGTATTTCTGCTATCCATGAGCTGTTCCACGCGAATTTCAAGCCTTCTCTTCTCTGCTCCCAACTCTTGCAAATCTCTCTCCAACCGATCTCGGGCTTCGACAAGAGATTTGTAATCCTAAATACGGTGATTTCGAAATAATCTTGATTTCTTGAATACATTCTGAAGATACTCGTAATTCGCCTCAATTCCCGCAAGTTTTCGAGCCATTCGACTTTGATCGAATTCCGCGGCGGTTCGCTTCTGCTCTTCAACTTTTCTCTCATCGTGGGCTTGCTCTAACTGAAATTAATTATTTAGGGACGCATTTTTTTTTAGAAAACCTGCTTTTCGTAGTATTGTAATTTTCGTTCCCACTCGGCATCACTGGCTTTTGCAACACTCTAAACTCACAAATAAAACAACCAATCTATCTATCTATTTACCTGCTGATATCCGTTCTCCTTTCTCTCTTCCAAAGCCTTTTTCAATTGCATCGAAGTCTCTGCTTCCCGTGATTTAACTAATTCGATATCTCGCTTCAATTCCGCGAACTTTTCCTCGATCTCTTTTTTCTGCATGGCGATTCTCTGGGTTTCATTCTTTTCCTGAGCAATCTCTGATAATTTCTTTCGTAGATCTTCTTTGAGTAAATCGTATTTTTCGCGGAATTTTGTCATTTCCTTCTCCATTTCAGCATTGTATTCTTTTGCCATTCTCAACTCAACGGATAATCCGTTCAACTTTGCATCCGAATCGATATTTTGCCGAATTTTCTCCTTGTTTTCCTTAATTTCACGTTCAAGATCAGCAATTTTCGAAGAAAGACTGCAAAGAAGATTATTTTTCAGTAAAGAAGAAAGAATGCTTACATATTTTTCTCTCCCTCCATCATTTTTGCTCGTTTCTCTGTTCGAGAGATGTTCTCTTTCAGCATTTCAAGCTCCTTATTTTTAAGGCTTACAGTAGCCATAATCTCATCAAACTGCTCTTTTGGTACACCAGAAGTTGTACCATTTGTCATCGGTATTCCATTCTGCATCGGAGCGGCTGCAGCATTAGCCATGCTTTTCCTAATCGCTTCTAGTGGACTATACTCATTCGAATACGTGAAACCTATAAAAATCATATTTATAAAATCTCAAATAGAATCTAAACCGATGAAAGGAAGCTGATTTCCATTGAACGTTTTTGAAAGCTGAAAAACTTCGGTTGGATCACGATCGCGAGTTTCGATGTCCTCAAAATGCGTAGTGTCATCATCTGATCTGAGCGTTGGAATAATCGGCGGAGTCGCTTGTCGTAATGTCTCGAAAGTCCATTCGTCATTTTTGAAGAATGGATGCTGGCGAATCTCATCTACCCCGTTTTTTCCAAGACGCTCAGGAGCAGCGGAAAGAAATCTAAAAAGGAAAAGAAATTATTTGAAAACAATAAAAAATCCCAACCTTCTAATAATATCCTTTGCCTTATCACTTATCTGAGCATCTTCCGGATACTTCAAGCTAGTCTTGTGATTCATAATATTTGTGTATGTCGATACAAGAGCTTCAGCATAGAATGGAGTCTCACCAATGAGCATTTCATAAATGAAAACTCCAACAGACCTAGAAAATCAAAATAAAATATCAAAAATTAATAGAGTGAATTACATACCACCAATCAACCTCCTTTCCAAACTCAGCATCCTGTCCCTGATTGCCAAGAACTTCCGGCGATATATAATCTGGTGTTCCAACCGCTGTTGAGCATCTCACAACACCATGTTCGTTCATTTTAACACAAGTTCCGAAATCAGCGAGCTTGATGTGGCCGCTTCTTGAAATGAGCATATTGTCAGGCTTCACGTCTCTGTGAATATATCCCATTTCGTGAAGAGCCGCAAGCGCCTCGACGAGCTCGGCCGTGTAAAATCTTGTCCATTTCTCGGAAACATCGTAAGTTGTCATAAGATTGACTAAATCGCCTCCCGGCATGTACTCCATGACCATATAAAGGTATCTGGGATCCTAGAAAACAAAATAAATCACAATATTTCAGGGGAATCAGAAAAATACTTGAAAAGCGTATTGAAGTCTAACGATCCAGTCGCTGTTTGCATGTGCCATAATATCCCTTTCTTCCCAGAAAAATGCTGAATCAGCTCGCTTTATCTGAAAATAAAATTAATTGTAAGAGTTGATTTTTTCATTGATCACTCATACAATATACCGACAGCAAGAAAAAACTAATCTTACTTCCTTTCACAATTCCAAACTCACTCGACTCAAACAACAATATTCAGAAAAAAATTTAAAAAAAAAAACATCGTCGAACCATATCATCCTTATTCAACATCTTCATCGCATAAACCGTATTCGTTTTGCTGTGTCGAACCAAATGAACCTCGCCGAATGCTCCACGACCAATTACTTTGAGCTGTCGAAAATCACAAGCTTTCATTCGGAGCCCATTCAGGGCCTGCACAACACGCTCATCTAAACATTACAACACTCAAGAAAACAGTCACAACAAAAAAGACAACAAACGAAATAACATACATCTAGAAATGAAATTGTCGATACTTTTCATACGTTTCAGGACTGGTATGTCGCAGTCAATAACGAGAGCGGTAACGGTATCCTTAAAAAATCAAAACTCATACAATTTCCAAACGAAATTTGAAATCGCATACCAATAAGCTCTCGACATTCAACGGCGACCGCGGATCGAGAAGCTGCCGAAGCAGCTCATCTTGTTCCATATTCCTCAAGTTATGTGAGTTTTTTTTTCCAAATTTTTTCCTATTTCGAATCGAACTAATTTCTGAAAAAAAAAATCAAATAAAAATGGAATAAAGAAAGTAATAAAAACGAGTAAAAGCGAAGAATAATAAGGTTAAAAAAATTGCACATATCTGAAAAAGACAGAGAATCCAACATTGACTGAAAAAAAACCGCATTAATTTTGTTTTTTCTTTGACTTTGAAGAGGAGATTAAACGTTTAATAGTGTTTAGATAAGCGTTTTGTGCTGAAAATTTCACTTTTTTCATAAGAAATCGGATTTTTTATGGACCTATTCCTGCAACGAAAAAAAATTAAAAAATCAATTTTTTTCATTTGAATTCCCTATGAACGCACGTCAAAAATTACAAAAAATTGACGCGATATATCGTAATTCTCCGCTATTTATTTTCAAAGGCGCACGCGAAAAGTTGCGCGGGTACCGTCGCGAAGTCGGTACTGTATTTTTTAATGGCTGTTTTATTTGAAGTTTTTTATTCTTTGCGTGTTTCAAACGTTTTTTTTTTGGAAATCTGTAAAAGTATTTTGCTTAATCAACGTTGAAAATTTATCACAAACGTCATCGAGCGAAGTCTGCATCAAATCAACACAAATATTACTATTTCTCATGATAGTTGGTATCTAAATGACGAAAAATAGACTTATATTGTCGAATTAAGAGTAATTATACAAATAATTGGTTTTTTTTACCTCGTTCTTCAATCCGTTACACATTTCCTCTTCAATGTTTTCGAAAAATACGGAAAAATAGCACACAGAAAAAAAATAAAAAATTACAGTACTGACTTCCCGCGCAACTTTTCGTGTGCGCCATTGAAAATAAATAGCGGAGAATTACGATATATCGCATCAATTTTTGTAATTTTCGACGTGCCTGCATAGGGAATTCAAACGAAAAAAAAATTGATTTTTTAATTTTTTTTCATTGCAGGAATAGGTCCATAAAAGAAAACTTGGCTGAAACAAAAAATCGCACATTTTGATAAAATTGGGCGTGGGAATTCTCGCAAACTTCAACGGAAACGAATCAAAATTGCCACAAGATTCCCAAAACATTTACGGGTCACATGATGAGCAGTGGTAAAAAAAAATCCATTTCGTTTCAAAAATAGTGTCTTAAAACTGAAAACATACACACCTCTGCTCACCCTTAATGAAATGTTTGCCATTTTTTATCTGATTACGTTCATTCACCAAAAATGTTGTGAAAATAAAAACTACGTCAATAAATATATGCATATATTATGGGAATCTGAGAGACTTAAAGAGAATTTTTTTTTTCAAAAAAACATTGATTTTGTTTTTTTTTAATGCAAAACGCCGAACGATAGTGTAAATATAAAATTCAAATTCCAAAATGTCAAATGGGGAGAAAAAATCTAAGTTCAAATACGCACATGAGTGAATCAGGAGTAAATAACGCGATATATGAATATTGAAATACTCAAATGCGGAGCAAGCGCGAAATTCGGTCATGTGCAGAAACTAGGCCACCATGTGGTGAATACCTAGGTCATCCGTAAAACCAGATGTTGATTTCGCAAGAAATTATGAAAAACGCTTAAAACGCGTAAAATTTAAGAAATCATTTTTAACTGTTTTGATTAATCAAGCTTTACCCTTCAGCTTTTGAATCCTTGCGTTATAATTTAAGATTTTTACAACAATTAGAATAATTGCATATTTGGAAAATAAAATGCAAAATTTTAAAATAGGGATTTTGTTAACAAAATTGAATTACGAAAAATCAGAGAAGCTACTGGAATATTTAATTTCTCGCAACATTTTCATATACATTGAAACATATTTCAATTTGAACACAATTTTAATTGGGGATCGACAAGTGCAAACTACACTGCATAACAAAACAACATTTTCACAAGGCCATTCCAACTTTTAAAGCAATTTACAACGGATTATAAATGTTGACCGACATTATCCGCTCGACCACTCGATTTTTCGAACTTTGAAGAATCAAATTAAATAAGTAACATCTAAAAAGGGAAAGTTTGTCCAAAAATACTCCGCGTCTAAAGAATGCACATTTCAGACCAAAAACGACAAGAATATATTAACCTGCTGATAACAGAATAGATCATGTGTACTAAAGAAAGCTGATATAATACTGAGTAAATTATGAAATGTATGCAAAAAATTTCTATTTTTGGACTTATCGTCACGAAAATTTTAAATTATGTTACTTTAAATTTTCTATTTTAACATCCTCAAATATAAGGTTTCATATTTAAACGTTTTTCTCAGATTATTATTCCGAAAAGAGAAAAAAAAATGCATTCAATTGCTCATTGAAAACAAAAGCTCAAATAAAACAAGCACAAACATTGCCTATGGGCTCCGCCAACAATATTTTGGATCGTGAGAACTTCCGGTATTAACATTAGCACTCAACACTAAACTGTCAATTTTTGAACAACTAGGATATGATTGAAATTGGACTAATGGAAACAGTACGAAATCTGTCTAACAAAACGGAATCAATATACGTTTACGATCAGAATGAAACGGAATGGAACGCCTGGCGAAATATATATGACAAAAAACACTACTGCCAGCTTAACAAGCAGCGCGCGGAACAAGAAGACGACACAAGAAGTTTGAAGGAGGAGAAGAAGCAGAAAGTAGAAGAAGAAAACCGATGAGTAACACCTAGCGCGGCGCACAACAGTCAGACACAGACAGCTATCGGTGGGTCCGGATGGCCGGCCGGCCGGCCCGATGCGCGCGCCAAATTCAAATATATTTCGACGAGGGAGAGCGCGGTGTAATAGCACATCAATCGAGGAGTGCGTACGGTTCGCGAACGCAGCGATGAACAAAAAAAAATGAAGAGGAAATGGAAATAACACCAACGAGAGGCGCGACTCAATAATGCCACTTTTTGCCTCTTTCCATGATCTCACCTTTCTTTTTTTTTTGACAGGCGACTTCTTATTTTATTTTGTTTTCTTTCCGACGTGTAGCTTTCAATCTAGTGTGAACCCTTCAATATAAAAAAAACATATCCAGAGATAGACGTAGATGAAAGTCGTAATATATAATTCGTAAAGAATATCGCTATTCTGAACGCTTCGAAAAAACAACATAATTTTAAACCATCAAAACGCCAGCCGTTAGTTTGTATTTGCTTTCTACGCCTTTAAGACCTGTTTTTACGCGTTCATAGATTTTTTTGCATGTTTTTGAGGTGGGATAGTGAGAGTTCTGGAGTTGACAAAGATCGAGCGGTGGTAGAATCAGATAGAGAGCTACTACAAATCTAGTTATTCACTATGATAATAATTTGCATAAGATGAAAAAGCTGAAAATTCAAATCTCATTAATCACGTTTTTAGTCATTTTTTCTCTAAATTATCAAGCGCAAATTGTCCACGATATTTGGACTTTTGTTCAAAACGCCTTATACATGTTTCACACAAAAAGTTAATTAAAAAGTATTTATCGTGTATTCTTCAATAACAGAGTCAATATAATATGTTTACGGCGATTTATTCCAAATCCCTCTCTCCTAACAGTACTGTTCAAAAATCATCGGCACAAGACCCCTTTTATCGTTTAAAATTCATTCATTGGACACTCCCAATCAAATTAGTAGAGACTCGCTTCTTTATTTTCATTCTTCAACGTTTTATCCAAAAACTTCTTTTCACATACCTTTCTTCATTTTTTGAGCAATCAAAAAATGCGAAGCCGATTCAAAATTTATGGGGCGTTTTTTTTCTATAGACGACAAAGCTAAGTCTTATATATTATATATTCAAAAAAGGCGAGAAACTCTAAAGCCCTTTATTATTTGATACGATTTTAAATATTCGATTACAAAACACGATACACAAATAATTGAAGTTCATTGATATAAGGATGATTGGACAATGCCTTTTTAAACTAAAATTCTAGTTTCGTTTCGCAATTTCTCTTTTTTGCTAAACGGCCGGGTGCAATTTTCTCTGCATTCGACTCACATTGCACGTTTCACATCCCCTTTTCCATCTACTTCTATGGAATATTTATATGTTCTTTCTTCTATTTTTCTTTTCAAATTTTATACTTGTCGGCGTCTCGCGACTGCGGAAACTGACAAAAAGACAAAAATGATCTTGATGTTCAACCTTTAACCTATATTTGAATGCCCTATTCATGGAAAGAAAAAAACTTCGCGACGTGACCAGCGCAACATTTCGTCTTTGAAAAGAAATAGCGGAAAATTACCATATATTGCGTCAATTTTTTGTAATTTTCGACGTGTGTGCATAGAGAATTCAAATGAAAAATTAATTATATTTTTTTTCATTCCATGAATTGATCAATTAACAATTGTAATTTTTCAGCCTGTAGATATTTCATACCAACCATTCATAAATCTCCTAAATGCTATAAGAAAAATTACCATTGCAAAATAAAGACGGGCTAAAACCGCCAAAACATACATTCTTTTTTCAGTGATCCAAATTGCAACGTTGAAAAGATCCTTACAAGCGATAAAATTTATGAATATTGATTAATATCTTCCTTTAACTTTTAAATAATAATATTCAAAATTTTCTACCATATTTCATTAGATAAATACTTTATCTCATTATGTTGTCGGCGTCAAACGGCTCAAGGAAGGCGGAGCCTTCAAATTCGCGAAATCGGTATAGATTTAAATTAAACGTTGAGTGAATATTTAATGCGCGTATGCTATATTGCAATGTACGCAATCTCGCTGCCTCGAGACGCATTGGCACATAGCCAATAATTTTTTTTAATTTCGTCAAGCCGTTTGACTTCGACAATAGTAATGATATAATTATTGTGGAATGGTATATAACTATTTATAATGTAGTATCGTATGATTTATGAGCCGTATTCTTAAAATGCTATTTAGTTCATTATTTGATTGCATGAATAGGGCCATTAATAATTTTTGAAAAATTATTTTATTAATTTAAAAAATTAACAGCCTATCGAAATTTGAAATTGAAGCTTCAAACATAAATTCCTCTAGACAAATATGGAAAACTCAAAATTCAATTAAATGAAAACGAAATGTGTTGTATATGAGAATGAGATAAAGGTGCAAAGATGACCAGAACACGGCTGACGGCAAGCGCAAGAGTAATGGAAGTAGACGGTTGTTGGCCGTCGCCTCTCGTTGTTGTTGTTGTTTCTCGGGGTACCAAATAAGAGTGTTCGGCGAGAAACCGTACACGCACTCGATGTATGCGTATATGAAATTAGTTTGGCCGAGGGCGTCGAGATTTGTAGTGAGATGATGATGAAGATTCAGGCGGTTGTTAGGATCAAACGTGTCGTGGAATTGGCGGAGAGGTCGAGCGGGACTTGACAATCATCAGTCGCCAAATAATTCCGAGATTAGGGAAATATAGCATTTTAAAATTAAAAAATGGCGGAAAGGAGCACAATCGTAGTGAAAATCGTAGCAGAATGAATAAACACACAAAAAAGATGCTAATGTTTACATCAATCGTTCTTCTTGTGTACTTGCAATGTCCGTCAAGGTGTTCAGGCAACGACGAGCCGACAAAAACGTTTACAGGGGTGTGTCAATATCAATTATATAACGGTTTTAATTTTTCTTACTATATTATTTTGGCCAATTTAGAAGTTCTTCGAAATCTATAGACACGGTTTGAGCCACCTTACACGGTTTAAAATATTTATATTTCTGCTTAGTGCACAGTCATAGGCAACATTAATGGAAATAGTCATGCTTGTTTAACAAGCATGTTATGCTAAATCATTACTTTCAATTCATTAAGCTATTGCTGACTTTAGGCAACAGAACACCATTTTTTCTTGAACTACAAAAAATACCAGTCTTTCACCACCCAGTGTCGTGTTTCCGCATTTACTTCGCGTCGTCTTGTCCATACTGTATACCCTTTAAAAGTTTAAGATTTTCTTATAATAGAAGAAAACTTTCGAATAAAAACGGAAAAAAACAAGAAATTTTAAAAAGCGAACCAGTTTTGCGCCAATATCAATTTTTATGACGTAATTGTAGTGTGTTATCATTAGAGCGCGCTTGCCTCAATTGTTTTATTAATTAATTAAAATTTTGCGCAATAACTAATTAGACCGCCTTTTCACTTCCCAACATGTCGATGAGCCCTATTTTCATGTTTATACGAGTGCCGTCCTCCATAACAATTGTGCTCTTTCGCACAACACCCAAACAACCGCCGAATCTAGTCCTCTTATGTGTCCAAGTGTTTTTTGGTCTTTTCCGCCTTTCTTCTCATTCGTTGTCTTGAAGAAACGGTTTCTTTAAACCCCAACTGCTTATACATTCGCACATACAATCCTAATTATATATTCGCAGTCTTTATCGCTTGGTGAAAAGGTGGAGTTTTCCCTTTTTATCCCTATCTCAATTCGCGTCTTAACCTCATTTTCATTTCAATTGTTGCAATATTATGCGATAAAATCAATTCGGCTTTTCCATTGTTATGTTTCCTCATTGTGACTCACAAGCTGTCACATTTGAAAACATTTTTGAACTCCCTTCAACATTTATTTCGTTTGTTTTCCTTGTTCACTTGCCTCTCAACGCGTCGAATTCCACATTACACACAATCATTTGCCGATAATTATCGCAAATCATAATATTATCAGCCATATACTATTACAACCATCCGCAACCTTTTGCATTGCTACATTCGTTCATATTCTATTTCAGCCGCATTGATGATTGCCCAGCTCAAACAGTCTCTTTCACAAAATGCAGCTTTTGAAAAGAGATGTTCGGAAAAGCCCATGGCGGAGCAATCAATTAGAGACAGATTAAAAGCATTAACTGATGTAAGTTAACTGATTAAATTCATTGTTGAAAGGAATTTTTTAGAGCGCAAACCTGTGGCAACAGAAAACTCAAAAGCCTGTTTTACCATTATTTAGAAGAAAAAGCAGTGCCGCCTTAAAAGAGATTCAACTAGGCAAAAATGCGGCTTCAGAACCGAGCTCAATCGATATTTCTTCGGGACTAAACACGTTTTTCAAAGCGACTCACAGCTGCAGCCAAACTCATTATGAGCCGGAACATGTTGACCTCGACGCAATCTCCAATGCCGTAACACCTCTATTGACCGCGCCGAGAAGGCCAAGGGGTCCAAATAGAAAACGATCTGGATTGCAAAGTGATTCGAGAACTAAATTAGAAGCTGTGAAAATTAATGAAAGCAATTTTGTGGAACCCGTGAAAGATCATGAAAAGATCGAAACTCAAGAAGCGGCAATTGCGGTCCTTAAAAACGCAAAAACTCTACTCAAAAGCCCTACAAAAAAATCTGATTACCCAGAAGTAATGCTAATTCAAATAAGAGGTATTACTCATTATATTTCATTCGAATATTTGAAGCTTCAGGCTCAAAGCACGTTGATGTTCGCTTGGTCGCGCCTAAAATGACTTCAATTCATGAAAATGCCTGTTTCATTCTTGTACATCATAAGAATCTATTGAAATATGAAGGTGTGTATAGTAATATTCTCGAGAAGACGAAAACTACTCAATTATGCATTGAAATAACCGGAAAAGCGGATCTTAATTGCACAGTGGAAACGGCAACGCATGTAAATGGTAGGTTTTGCTATTGTTTCGCAGAATGACGGCAAATGTTTGGCAGAATACCAAAAGCACATGCTTCAACGTTTTCTTTCAAACTCGGAAAATGAGCCGACAACGAGCAAACCAATCGAGGATAATAATAACGCCATGGACTTTGGGGGATATGAGCCATTTGAGAATGTTGCCGCAAAATTAAATCTCGTTTTTCGAATTGCGAATGACAAAAGTGCTCAGGCTTGTTCAAGAAGTGAACGCTTATCCATTGCAATTTTACAGCCCGATGAGGTGAAACCAGTGCCAAATTATTGCAATTATTCCATTTTTTAGACTCTAATATTTGATTTTGGCACTGAAATATATGTGTGGTCTGGAAGAAATTCGAATAAGTTGACGACAGCGTATGCCACGGAATATGCAAAACAGCTGGTAATAAACCAATTTTTAATAACGAATTGTTTCACGTAAAAATACAGATCAACAAACCACTGAAATCTGCGAAAGCAGTAATCGGAGAGGATGAGCTCGACCGTCGTCCTGATTGGATATTGTTCCGGAAACTTCATCAAGGCGTCCTTGACACGCTATTCAAGGCTAAGTTTAGCGACTGGAAGGATGAAGAAGGCCCCATGACTACATGCAGACCACAGCCGCTTTTCAAAATAGTAATGTTTTATATAATTCGTGTAGTATATATTTCAAAAATTTAGAAGAAAGAGGAATCAATTGCTGTTGACAAAAGTAATGATGACGTCGAGTCCGAAGAGCTTGCTGAAAAACTGCGCTCCGAAACCTCTTTGGAACCACTAATGATTCTTGAAGATCAAGAAATTGACCGAAGAATGCAGGATGTTGTCCCCGAAGATATGTCCCTTTGGTATCTAAGTGGCGAAGTTCTCACCCCCGTCGAATTTACATCAACATTCTTATCCACGAGATGCTATGTTCTTAAATGGCAGTATCGCATACAAAAATCGGGAATCCGACGCATCACGACCGGAAAAGCGGAGGAACGTGAAACGGGCCGGTCACGAATGGCGTTCTTCTATTGGCTTGGAGAACGAACAACTCCGAAGCAACATGGTCTATGTGCACTAAGGATCAAAGATATTGATAAAGAAAATAGTCCACGGATCCGGGTGGTACAGGGCAATGAACCCGCGTTGTTCCTTGCGCTTTTCCAGGGCAAATTCGTAGTCAGGTATGAAAAAACTACAAATGCGTTAGAAACATTGATATATAGATGTGACTCAACGGTTAAACCCAAAAAGCTTTTTGTTGTTACTGGTGCTAATACTTCTGAAGTAAGCCTTCGCGAAATCGACGACGAATCGCAGAAACTTCGGTCTCATGCAGTTTACGTAGAAGAAAACGAAGCAGAGACAACTCTGATTTGTGGTAATTTTAAGATATTTAAGAATGGTGTCATATTGGACGTTCAGGCGCCTTCTCCTCCCGAACACAGGTTCAATTGGCTCTTTCAGCCGTTGGCGGGGAGCCAAAAATCGAAGTCGAAGGCGATTCGCAAAGGAAATGGGTTAATTCTGAAGGACGAGAGCGTTCCATGAGAGTGTGGAGAATTTTTGAGAATAAGGCAGAGATGGTAGAACACCTTAGTGGGCATGCTGACTGCTCATTCACATTCGACGCGAGAATTCTTGCCGACGATATGATGCTCATTGATGTCGGAGGTGCTCTATGGCTCTGGACACCGGAAGTTGTAACAACTTTTGCATTAAAGTTGGCTGACAAATACTGGAAAGGTAGAAATGGCCCTGCTCGTGTTATATACCGTAACGGTGAACCGGAAGCGTTCAAGGCTTTATTCCAAAAATGGGAGGAGACTGAAGAAAAAGGCCCAGATGCGCAGAATCTTAGAAAACTATTGAGTGAGCGTTGTCGACATTTTACCGTGAAAGAATTACGTGAGAGGACTAATCTTCCGGCCGGGATGAACTTGAAGCGATTGGAAAGTTATTTGTCCGACACTGACTTCCAAGAAGTATTTTATTATTCTACGACTTTTCTATGTGACTTTTTAGGTCTTCCAAATGAGTCGCACGGAATTTTATGCAATGAAAGCCTGGAAGCAAAACGAGGCTCGCAAAAAAGTCGGCCTTTTCTGATACATTTGATACTTGTACTAATTTGCATAATGCTGTAACAATTTTTAATAACCCTACCTCGCCTCGCCAACATTTTGTTATGTATATACGGAAATGCTTTGTGATAAAAATCTTCGAGCTTGCAAGAATATCTTTATTCCATTCTTAATAATCATTTATAAAGCGCGCTTCTGGTCGACGTCCTCTTCCTTCGAAGAATCACCATTCTCAAGTCGTTTCCATTTTGTTCGCCGATTTTGAAACCAAATTTTGACTTGTGTCTCAGTCACGTTCAGCCGTCGTGCCAGCTCACTGCGATCGCTGCTTGACAAATATTTTTTTGACTCGAATTTTTTTTCGAGCTCATAAACTTGCATTCCGCTGAAAGTGGTTCGCGCCTTTTTCTTCTTTTTGCGAAGAAATTCAGAAGACGCCGTCAAATCGCCTTCTGAAATCGCGCAATTTGCGATAATTACTGTTCAATTAGTTTTTACTCGTTCTTCCGAAATCGTCAATTTGCTGCTCGGGCGATGGGAGATCGAGAATATCCTTGATGAAATGCGAGCGAATGCGTCGCGGCTCCTGAATCGTCGCCGCCGTGGCAACCACATTTTGACGATGAATAAAGTACGGTAGTAGTAATGCGAATAACTCGACGCTGGCGGTGTCCATTTGAGGCGCGAAATGCGAGGTATTCTCGCGGGCGACGCAATCAAATAAGTTGCTTGGCGATTCATGACTCCGGGGAATTTTTGAGAGCTGCATGATTTGCGACAAACGACCGACACTGATTCAATAATAGCGAAGAGCATGCAGCCGGCGAATGAGTTGAAGCATAGCGAAATTGCGCGCATCATTCCCCCCTTTTATGACATCCACTCCCATTTTCTTGATTGTCGTTGGACGGCCGTAAAAAAGCACCAGGTTAAATGAGCATGTTTATTCGTGACGAGTCTTTTCCAATTTGTACAGACAATTGCGCGCCTTTTCAAGTGGGATGGCACCGCAGAAACCCCATTAGGCTAGGAAGGATGCCTGAGAAGTCGAATGCTAGTAAAAAAAATAATGTGAAAACGGATGAAATGAGGGATGAAATATAAATTAGTTCCTATATAATCAATTATTCGAATTAATCCTCCCAGGTGAGCGAGTGTCGGCTTTCATATCGAAGCTGACAGTTGCGCTTTCCGTACCAATTGACGTAGGCAAACTCGGCGTCGGAAACGATGGCATTGAATCGTCCGCCGAATTTCGCTGAGGCGTCTCCTTCGATCTTACGCGCGGCCTCTAGGTTGTCCTGCAATTAACCGGTTTGTTCTGGGGTTTTTTTGCCCGATTGCATAAGATTTGATATGTCGGCTTTCTTATCGAGTTCTGACGCCAACACGCAACAACAAAACATCATCATCATCTGACCTTCTCATTCTTAAGTGCGGCTTCAACGATCGCTCGCAATTCTGGATCGTCGCAATTGCCCTCGTCGCCAGCGGCTTCTTCGCCTTCCTCGTCGGCGTACTCAACGGTGTCATTGGTCTGCTTAAAAATAAATTCGATTAAGAGTGATTTGTGATCATCCTGCATGTCTACCTCAACATTGTCTGATGATTCAGCGGTAGCTGGGGCGGCTTCGGTGGCAGCTGGCTGTTCCTCTACGATATCGTCATAGGTGCTCTCCTCCTTGGCTTCAACAGTTTCAACTGGAGCTTGAGTCTCCTGAACTGGTTCTGGAGCAGCTGGTGCTTCAGTGGCAACCTCTGCCACTGGTTCTGGCTCGACAACAGCCGGGGCTTCGGTCTCAACAACGGCTGGAGCCTCAGTGACCTCTGCAACTTCCTGGATGGGTTCAGGCTCTGGTTGAACTTGTGATTGTGGTTCTGGTGCGACTGCGACAGCTTGTGTTTCTTGTGCCGGTGGTGGTGCTTCTGGAGCGACCTCAACTGGGGTTGAGATCGGCCCCTGGGTGTAAGTGGCGACTGGCTCGACGCCTAGAATTGTGCGAAACGGAGATAAACAACTGATTGGGTGCATGATCTAACTTACTCTGTTGAACTGGTGGGTTGTACTGTCCTCCAGAAGAGACCGAAGTGACTTGGATGCTAGACACTGGTCCTTGCTGGTAGTTGGTTTGAGCTGGGGCTGGAGCGATTGGAGCGATCGGGGCTGGTCCCTGCTGGTATCCGGATTGTTGCCCTCCAATTAATGGGCGGTAGGTTTCAGCTCCTCCAGCAATTCCATGGGGTGGTCCGGCTTGGTATCCGGCACCTCCTCCCTGTGGTCCTCCCTGATAAGCTCCTCCAGCTCCTCCCTGAGCTCCTACGGCTTGATATCCAGCGTCTCCGCCTCCGACAGCTGGACCGGCCTGGTATCCTGAAGCTCCACCTTGCGCTCCACCGGCTGGGTATCCAGCATTTACTCCAATTGGTCCTGCAGCGTATCCAAGTGGCGCTGGTGGCGGTGGTGGTGGTGGTGGTGGTGGTGGTGGCGGTGGTGGAGCAGCAGCAACTGGTGGTGCAGCATATCCACCTCCTCCTCCGGTGGCATAGCTAAAAGTCGGAATTGTTCAAGAAAGAATGTTGCGCAACTTCATAGCATTATTAAAGAACTTAATTAGCGTTCGAATTCGTTTCGCGCGCGCATTCTCCGCTAAATTGCTTTTATAAATTGCAAGTATAATGCCCGAAAGAATTCTGCAGGTTGTCGCGCCGGAAGCAAAAACATTATAAGCATTTCAACGCACACGTTACAAACTAAAAGAACCCTCTAACAAGGAAAAAAGAAACACTATTAAACGCAAAAATTCAATAGAAGTACCTCGAGCTAGAGCATGGTGGTGCTCCACCGCCGCAGGATGGTTGAGATGGTGGGCAGCAGCCGCCGCCGCCGCCGCCACCCAATCCACCAATGCACGCCAACGAAGGGCCAACGAGTAGAAGAACGCTCACAAGACACCTCATGATCAGATGTTTCAAATGCCACGAAACGGTCCGATATGCCACTTGGCTGGTTGCCTTTTCTACCTGCGCGCGATCTGGCGCCCCGCCCACGAACACACAGTGCGATGCCCTCGACTAACCGACGAAAAAAAAAACCGACGACGATGTCGCGTCTCCTACCGAGTGCGTTGTTGTTGTTTTTTTTTAACGGCCCGCTAGCCTTATCGCAGCTTTTCGATGGATTGTAAATGAGAAATGACGCAAAATATAGAAATTTGCATAAATTGGATTCTTCAAGGTTTAGGTTCGCCGGTTTCCTGCAGACATCTTGGCCCGCGATCTGAAGAAACCCTTTTCGGCATTCAAACGATCAACTTTATTACACGTTAAACGTTCACGCCCTAATAAGGCAGTAAGGAAGGATAGGCAATTCTAAGAAATCTTAATTCTGCGGATGATTGGATATGGCTTTAATATCATTCAGAAACACTTCCCACGATGTAGTAATAAGTTTAATAAAAATCGACTAAGTAGCTGTCAAGCTCAAGTTTGTCGAATCTACTAAAAATGCCGACTTGCGCAATTTATTAAATGTTTTCCAGACATTCCAGTCATAATTAGAACAATCCAATTTTCGATTATTTTTAAGATGCCCCCCAAAAATAACACACGTGAAATTCCTTAAACTTGTCCAATTTTTCAAAACCCTGATTTTTCATCGACTCCCTTCAATTAAAGAACAAATCAGACTTCAGAATCCTGAAAAGTGAATGTTTTCGAGTGAAGTGTTGAACCGATGCGAAAAAAATGAGCGGCCAAAGTGTACCTCTCAAAAAAATCGGGCTTCATCATGGTGTGACGAGAAATTAATTCGATTATTACGTCACTAAATATACAGCCATCCAAACACACGCGATAATATAAAAAAAAAGAGAATCCAAGGAAATTGGTTTCGAACTTTCTATATTCAAGAACAAACATTCATCAATTCTGCGTGCAGAACTCTTTTTTGTCCCTCCATGTCCCCGTCTTTCGCCTATTCCAATAATAAATTTCTCTAGACTTTTTATTTTTTTCAACAGCCGGCGGAATTCTTTTGAAGTTCTTCGGTTTTTCTGCTCGTCACATTTTGCAGAAGTTTATCAAATTTCTAGATAGGTGATAATCTGGACACGCCCCCTTCAGCCGCCCGCTTCTAACCAGCTTTCTTTCGATCCCATCCAACTTTCACCGAACAGCTCGCAAAAAGAAACGGGGGATAAACGTGATTGATGTTTGTCACCCGCCAAATGAAATAGTAATGGTTTGGTCAACCTGATCCACTATCATTATACCGTAAATTAATCATGATTGTATCACCTGGAAATCGTTCGCTTTGAGATTTCCGAATATCTTTACAACCAATTTTTTACAACAAACATGCCAAAGGGATGTTAAACTAAAATGGTTTCACCTCATCTCTTGGCGCTTATCAACATTGCGCAATCAAGCATTCGCGCATAACCTCGATCAAGATCTTGCCTTGGCGAGGCGTAATAGCTTGCCAGCCAAGTTGAAAGCGAAGGAAGGAAATCCATTGAATTTTATATGCCCACCTGTGGTCATTTTATGAGATAAAATGAAATGTTTCAAGTCCGTCCTTCTGCTATTCATTTCTTGCGCCACTTTTATTTAATCGATGCGCGGATCTGCTAACACAACAAAACGTTATATAACAAGTGTCAAAATCTACGTGTGTGAAGAGGCTAAACGGGTTTTCCACAAAAATTGTATTAAAAATCGACGAGGAGGAAGTTTTTTTCGATGAAGACCCAAACTAGATGGCAAGCTGATTTTAACATATTTATTCAAATCGCAAAATCATACACGTTTGACCCTGAAATAGATTTCACTTTTATTGAATAGTGAATTTTATAAAAGACATACCGCAAGAAAATAACAATTATTATTACACGTAGAATTCCTTGTTGGAATTGGCAGCAACATTCTGCTCAATATTCTTGGAAAGTTCGTAAGAATCGCAGAATGATGGCGCAAATTTGGAATATAAATAAATTAAAAGCAGGATGAAAAGAGCTGCGCCGACGGAGATAAACACCCAGTGCAACCATAACATAAATGAATTCTGAAAACTCGAGAATTATAATCCAACGAGAAATATAAAAATTGTAGTGATAAAATATTAGAAGGTGGCATGTGAGACATCAAATCGCATTTTCCGTTTCCGCATAAACAAGGAGCCATATTCTAGAGGTCGAGGAATTTTAATCCAATTCCATTCGTGAACAATCAAATAAGGAAGGCAAGATAATAATGATTGTTGCGTTGAAACGAGATTCGCTGGATCAATTCCAATTATCGGAGAGACCGCTTAATTTTTGACCACGCGGAATTGGATGTAATGCAAATTTCTAATGTGTTTTATTTGCAAAAAGAGACGCTAGTAAATAATTTTGTTGAAAGCCGTCATTGAGAAAACTGAATAAAAACTGTAGAGATTTGAGATAGCGAACAACCATGGTTTGGATGTATGGCTGTGTGAAAAAAGAATACTCGTGGGAGCAAAATTCCGAAAATCTTTTATGTAGCGAACTATAGACGAAATCGAATTCGTAGGGGTACGAAAAATATTTGTGTTGTTGAGGTGAATAAAAGCAAAAGTTCCCATAATTGTCACCGGAAACGGTGCATAGAGCGAGAAAAAATTGGAGAAGCGATATAATCGAGTCGGTCCTCTCTCATAAATTATTCCGAGCCCACATGAACAACACTACGAAAAGTGGAGTATTTCCGGGGGAGCGATAAACCGGCAAAAAAGGCGGAGGCAGGCACACACACACACACTCACACAGATGCACACAAAAAATTTCTGCTAGACGAATGAAATATGTGTGAATTGGAAGTTTGAGATCATCAACATCGCGAGCTCTAATGAAATTTTTGGAAGAGTCGTTTTGCACATTTTGTGTTGCTCGAGTCATGCCTCATTTAAGGAAATATTATCCGGATGGTGGTGAAAAGCCGAGAACAAATGAATGGCGAAAAGTTGCGCCTCGGGGGAATTTTGCCCGTTGCCTGCCTCATGTATTTATGTTTGTTGTCGAGTGTACATGTGTTCTCCAAGATTCCTCCTTTTTCCTTCTTCTCTTGAACATAGGAAAATCCAAAAAAAAATCCGACAAGAATTGGACACAAATCAAATTTCTCCAAAGTGTTCCGAAGTGGCAGTGTGCATTATTGAGAGGCGCCGACGAATACGGTATGCAATTCGGCCGCAAACACTGAGTGAACACGCTGCAGAATAATTTTCGAAATTTTTTGTTTGAAGTTTCAAATTTTTAAATTCTTCGATGTTGTTCGCGGAACGAAATGAGTTTTTTTGCAGAAATGTCCGATGTATTTGTGCCCGAAACAGAGGAAGGGGAGGAATTGGAGAACATCCCAAAAACATCAGAGACGATTGTGGAAAAACAAGCGGACGTCCAAGTCGAAGAGTCTTTCGTTCGTCGTTATATTAATGAAAAATGGTATGGACGATACGGAAATGCGGAAATTCTTGAATTTGTAAACGACGATTGGGTTCTTGTCAAGGAAGATGAACAAGACTTTATTCTACAATTATGGATGGAACAGGAAGCAGAAGAGCGGAAAAATTATGTCTGGGATGAAAAGAAAAACGAATGGGTGACGAAAAAGGACAATGAAGTGGACGAGGACTTCATCGCACAATACCAAGCAAATTACGGGGTCCCAGAGGAATATGCCGATATCTACAGTGAGAACATTCGAGAAAATAAAAAAAAATTACCTATTATTCAGAGAAAATGGACGAAGAGCTCAAGGAAAAAACTGAAAAAGCTATAAAACAAAAAGAAGAAAAGAAGGAGAAGAAGAAAAAAACCAAATTGGGCGTTGAAGAATCACAACCTGAAGGATGGGTTGAGATTCAGAACACTGCCGTGTATGTTTCGAATTTGCCTACAGACATCACAGATGAGGAATTTCACGAGTTCATGGCGAAATGTGGGGTAGTTCAGCCGGATCCGCGGACAAATAAGCCAAAAATTAAACTATATCGGGATGAGAATGGCGATTTGAAGGGAGATGGCAGATGCTGTTACATCAAGCCTGAATCTGTGGAATTGGCTTGCAATATTCTGGACGGAACACTTTTGAACGGCAAGGTTGTAAAAGTTGAAGAAGCACGATTCGAGATGAAAGGCGATTTTGATCCAACTAAGAAGAAGAGGAAGTTAACCGCCGCACAGAAGAAGCGGTTCATGGCTCAACAGAACAAGTAAAACAGTTTCTCCAGAAAAATTGTCGACATATTTTTTAAAGGATTTTTGAATGGCAACCAGAGAAACCGCGAAACTATCGTCCGCCGTCCGATTGCACCGTCATCGTCAAAAATCTATTCACTCTAGAGCAAATGGCCAAGAATGCTGCTCTTTTGTTAGATTTGAAAGAGGAAATGGAATTAAGCTGTCAAAAATATGGAACAGTGAAGAAAGTCGTTGTTTATGATGTAAGAAAATTAACAATATTTGTATATCTTCATTAATTTTTCAATTTTAGAATCATCCTGAAGGAGTTGTGTCTGTTACTTTCACAAATACCGAAGAAAGTGATATGGCTGTAAAATTTTTGAACGGGCGAGTTGTTGATGGAAGAAAGTACGAAGTTTCTAATTCCAAAGCCCTGAAGTAATTTTAATTATCAGGTTATCAGCTGAGCTTTGGGATGGTAAGACGAAGTATAAGATCCAAGAAACTGAGGAAGATGAAGAACGACGAAGAAAGGAATACGAGAAGTATATTAGTGGCGGAGCCGCTGAAAGTGACGATGACGAAGAAGATGGCGAATCCAAGAAACCCAAATTAGAAACCGATGATGTTGTAAATATGAACTCATAAATAATTGCACTTTATTTTATAAATATCACAGATAATTCTAAGACAAGTTTGATTGAGGCAAGATTATTTTTGAATCCGTTCCAAGAGTGTTTTCACAGCTTTATCTATTTGAGCACGCGTTTCTGTATATTCCCATAATGAGCAAAAGACAACATTAGAGTTGTCGATACGTTCCTTATTTGTAATTTGTGAGGCCATTCTTGCCTTCGCCTGATCTTCGCTAACACTGTCGCGATCCATAACACGTCGGATTGTCTCCTCTGGCGGAACAAAGACAGTCCAAACTTCAGGAAGCTGCTTATGCCATCCCGCTTCGACGAGGGCGGCGGCTTCGATCACAGCAACTTGTGAAGTTGATTGTTCAACCAACTTCATGGCGCGTTCTTGAACAACGGGCCAAACCAATTGGCTTAATTGGTGAAGTTTTGTCTGAAAATGTATGATTTAATCAACCAGTTGTATAAGGTTATACCGAATCTCCGAAGACAATACTTCCAAGCTTCTTTCGGTCGACAACTCCATCGACGATCACATCAGTTCCGAATGTCTCCGCGATTTTTTGACACAGAACACTTCCCGGCTCATAACACGAATGAGCAAGTTTGTCGCAGTCAATTACATCGAATCCATGCTTTTCCTTGAGATATTTGGCAATACTCGATTTTCCGGAAGCAATTCCACCAGTCAATCCAATAACATATGGCCTTCCCGTAGATGTTTCGAAATTCTTGGGTGGCTTCAAATAAGTTCCTAGAGCTTCCCTTCGCTTTGTAGACGAGCTTATTTTGGTCTCATGAAGAATTTCATCGGCACCTTCGACCAATTCGACGACAATAACATCTAATTGTGACATTCCTTTTTCTCCCCGCTTACGGTTCACAGCATCCGCTCCTTTAATTGTTTCTCTGCTAACAACTATCGCCTCAAGATCTTCCATACGAGTCGACGGACCAAAAGGATCAACGATAGGCTCAGCGATGCATTTGACATTGAATGTAATGTCTTCAACAAACTCCACGACCTTTTCCATTCGATGTTCAACAGGCTCGATCATCTCGTAAAGCGATTTTTCTGAAAAAGGTTTTTAATCAAAAAATAAGAAACTGTAACCCACTCAAAATCATATTCTTTTCTGTAACTCCAACAACAACTTTTTCGGAGGCAATCTCGGCAGCCTTAGTTAGTAGAACCTTGTGGCCATTGTGTAATCTATCAAATGTTCCACCCAACACAACTCTTTTGTATTTAGGAGTTACACACTGAGTTTCTTCAGGGATTACATCTCCGATTAACGCGTAATCTAAATTTCATATAAACGTTTAAACTAATATCCACCAAACCTTCTGGATTCTGAACCTTCGTTAGTACTCGTACATCTAACTCTGGACATTGGGAAGCAGAATATAGATAAATTTTACCAACAACATCGTCGGTTCTTGGTTGATCTGGGTTAAATCTATAATATAATTTTATTAATCGCAAACAACGGATATAAAAAACCTTATATATAATTTCCTGGAAAAGGTGCTTGCTGCTGTTGCTAGAAGCTCTTTGAGTTTTGCAATATTACGCGTGGACAACGCAATAAGTCCACTTTTTCCGGTCATCGGTTAATAACGGATATTTATCGATTCGACCCGGTTTGACGGAAGATAAAAATCTTGAGCGGACATGGACGGACTAGAAAAATAGGAGTGAGGCGGTCGCGGCCACAAATATACTTTAAGAAAAAATAAAAATATTAATAAATTTTATTAGAAGAAAAAAATAAAATAATGTTCATTTCTTCTTTTTATTATTTCTTTCCGATGTTTCGTCTTCTGTTATCGACACGTTATTATACTTCTTCTTTCCCTTACTCTTTTTTCCTTTGCTCTTCTTCTTCTTTTTTTTCTTCTTCTCGTCATCATCGTCATTTTCATTAGCTTCTCCTCGTCCTTCGGCGTCTTTCATTCCATTCACGTCAACTTTGCCGAATTCCGCGTCCTTTAGTTTGACATACTGATTGCTTTCCACTGGAAATTAGTAGAAATTATGTGAACATTGACGAAAATGAAGACAAACTTATGACGGACTGATACGGGGGACCGTTGTAATCGGAAAGGCCATCCCAATCTGGTGGTTCGGCAGGATTTGTCTTCGTTTTTTCAAAGATGCTCTTCAGCTTCTCTGCGACTTGATCGTAAGCAACATACTCGGCGATATCTTTGGGCGATCGAATGAGGGTAAGAATCTCGAACAGCTCATTGATAGCTTCTCGAGGGACCTTCCAGACCTTAAAATAACATATCAGTACCTTTTTTAAATTATTTACAAAGCGTACACTAGCTACTGCGCTTTCATTCAAACTACTTTTCAGAATGACGACGTCCTTTTCACTCTGCTTCGTAAGCACGGACCATGGTAGCATTCCCATTAAAAATTCGAGTACCATGTACCACCACGATTCCATATCATCACGGTATCCAAGATCCTTTCCCTGGTGAGCAGCAACACTGGCATATCGCACAACTCCACGATACATAATGGCGCCTTTGCGAAGTTTTTCTTCTGCGTCATCCGCTTTATCTTTGGAACCTTCGCCTCGAGCATACCTAAATGTTTCGATGAGTGTATTTTTAATATTGAATTTTAGTAAGCCTTGGCCTTTTACATAACCCAAAATCGATCAAAAACACTTGATGATGCAAATTTTCGGATTCTCTTCCAATGCAGAAATGTGTCGGTTTAATATCACGATGAATAAATCCGTTCTGAAAATTTAGAACATCTCTTACCATTAATTTTTCAATGAAAATTACAACATACTCGGTGAAGGTCACGAATAGCTGTCAAACACTGCTCGCCTAGATGAAGACTACTTGCAATGCTGAACTTCTTGTCCTTATTTGTATTGTTCATTAAATCGGCAAGATTTTCGCCATAGAGTGGCATAATAATAAAAAGGAACCGAGTTGGCACCGTTCCGCGCTCCTCAATCGTCATAAAATGCGGCGACGGATATTGGAGCGAAGCGAGAACAATCGAGGCTTGTCGCAACAGCGAGTTCTTCATTCGCAGCGATTCGCATTTTACCGCAAAGTACTTGCCGTCGCTCTCACGCTTCACCTTATAGATGGATCCGAAAGTGCCAGTGGCAAGAGGCTTCGCAACCTCATACGAACCATTCTGCGCTTTGATGATTTCCTTGTTTGTGGTTTGCTTGTTCGCCATACGTTCACCCCTCGCAGCGGCTTGTTTTGCTCTCGATTCTCAACAAAAATATCAGAAAAATAATTGGCACAATGGTATGTAATTCACGTGCAATTTATTAGCAAGGACGTTTAATTATTTCAGTTTTAGTAGTTTGGTGAATACGAATATCAGGAGAAGCATAGATTTGATCGAAATGGATCGTCCAAAACGAACATAATCCTTTAGGTCGGTAGCACTCCTTCACATTTGGGCATTTTAAGTAATGGTCGAAGTATTCGGAATAATGTCGGAAGTTGTAGCACTCATACAAAGCTTTTGTGAATTCCAAACTTAGGTTTTGGAAATCTTCAATGTTGATTCCAAGGCTTGAAATTGTGCTAAAATGAGTAATAAAATTTTTTTGCTCACGATTTTTAAAAACTTTTCCAAATCCTCTTGAATTTTATTGAGCTGCGAGTGTTTGGCTGATTCCGATTTTCCAATTGACTCATAGCTTTCGAAATCTCTCAAATGATAAACTGAGGTTGTATTAATGCGATATTCATCGAAATAATCGTTCTCCATTTCGTAATTGGTACTCATCCAAACGCTTTTAATTTCAATTGGTCTTGTAACGATTCTGCTTTGCGATTTCTAGAAAAAAACACACATAATGTTCCAATTCATTATAAAATTACCGATGATAAGGGCTGCATCGTATCGAATATCGCGGCGATATTAATTTCTTCATCGTCGACATCAATTCCCATTTCCTTAACTGGATACTTCAACAAACCCGTAAAAGGATTTGCACTGAAGATATCGAGGATTTCGCTAAAATCGGTGCCCCGTGGTAGCCAGACATCCTCCAAATCAAGAAATGTAATGAACATGGCGCTAGCCTTATATTTCAGTAGGCAATCCATGCTAGCTGCAGTATGACCTCCGAACTCCGAGTCATGTAAATCCCACAAATTATCGACTGCGATCAGATTTCGGCGTTTATACGCTTCAATTAAACCGGTAAACGGATCCACAGTACTTCCGATGTACAATTGAAGAAATGCCTCATAAAATTTATGAGCATGTACCGAAATCAAGAATTGCTTCCAATTGTCTGAGTAGATCAGCGGCGATATGCAAGCAACAAGCGTTCTTGTAGAATTTTGTGCTTTTTTGAAGTTCAACTCGACGATAGTTTGGCCGTGTATAATTTCTAGTTTGTCAAGATTCTCAATTAATTCAGCGGATCCTGATAGAATCACAGATTTGCAAAGATTATGAGGAGTGACCCTAAGAAGACGTCTAAGCTATTGTAATTTTACCCGGAAACCTTTTAAAATCAATCTTTTGAACTATGCTCGAAGTTCGATTCGTTCCGGATAAAAGAAGTAACCTTCGATTCCAATAGGCGTCTCGATGTGCAGATATCAAAATATACGCTCGATTTCCAAGCGATTCTCCATAATAATAAGCAGAGAGCACATAAATATCCGTATTTTCCACATTTGACAACGTAGGTTCAAAATTATAAGCATTTTTGACTCTTAATACTAATCTTGAAACGTTTTATTTATTGCCTATATTTTACCTTCGTGCAACGGGCAGTGGAAAAATAAAAAGAGTAGCAATCGCCAGGAAAATGAATACAAGGTAGAGCAGGGCAATCCGATGAGTTATGTAGCTGTATAGATGAACAGAATTTCGTAAAATGCTGTAATATGAAGAAAATATATTATAAATAAGAGTTTTACAACTTATTCGGCAGCATAGAACTTCGAGTGTTTCGATGCATATCTTTATCTCATGAATTTCATCGCAGAAATAGAAAACAATGGACAACTAATGTTTTCGATTTGGAGTTTTCCTTAGAAAATAAATCAATTTACGGGAAACTACTGAGTAATCTAACAGCTATTGCGTTTAAAAGACTAGTTGAAAAATGAAATTTTAAATAAACTAACAAAACAAAAACCCTATGTACCTAAAGAGGGCAGTTGGAATTCGCAGAATTGAGTTGTCTCTGAATACTACTTGCTAAGCCGCAAAAAAGCCACCTGGTTGAAGAAGAATATCCTCGACCTGCGTGAGACAGTGTGTCGATTAGCCTGACTCAATCCCCGTGAAGGAGGACCGAGTCAGTTGATCTCCTTCGCCACGTAGAGGCTCGACACTTGAAGGAGAGGCTCACCAGCATCAGGCCGAAACCTGATGTGGGTCATCGCCGATCCCACCATGGGGATCACCCAAGGACATCCCACAACTATCATCCGAGGATAATAGAAGCAGAAGTGGTTGGGCAAGCCACGTCTGGCTGGGCCCCGGGCCTACTGGTGATATGGTAATGTGGTTTTTGTGTTCATAGCATAGCAGCTTACTACTAAGTAGTAGCAAGCCACTACAAAGTAGCAAGCTACCATGCTAAGAAGCACGGTCCATGTGCACCCGAAAGGCTGGACATATTGACATAGCTGGCCAATCCACGTCAATATAGGTCTGGGCCAGATGACATCCTGACTAGTATGGAGGACACCCGGTGAAGCAAATTTCTAAAGCATAACCATCCATAACGCCCACCAAGCACTCGAGAGTACTTGAAACGGGGGCGTTTGGGTAGGGTTCGATTCCCGGCTACGGAATCAGGGCTGAAGGGCTTGCCAGGCCAATCACCCGAATTTAGGATACAGCGGATAAGCCGCCATCCAGCTAACGCCTCGGCACTACGGGGGATCAGGAAGCCTTGGCGTTTGGGGAATGGCCGACTACGGCCCTAATATAGCCAGCTACGGCTCTAATAAAGCCGACTACGGCGGTAGAAGTAGAAGAGAGGTCCTTAGTATGGGTTATGCTTAATGGTGGGGACAAATTTACTTGTGGCGGTGAATCGATTCACCAGCAGGGTCCTTCCATCGGCGGCGGCAGCAGCGACGATACCTAAACACCTAAACACAAATTAATACAAAGAATAAAAACGAAATAAAATAGTAAAAAAAGAGGGAAGCCAGTCATTAGTGGAATGACTGGCATGACCGTAAGTGGTACGGTTTTCCCCCGAAAAGAAGAGATGGTCCCAAATGGTAGGACCGGGAGGATGTACAGACGTAAGTGGTACGAATGTACGGAGAGAGAGGAATCCCAAGCGGTGGGATATAGAGAGGGATACCGCAAGTGGTACGGCAGGAAGAAAGAAGGGGAAGCCGGCTTTCCCCAAAAAAAGAGAGATGGTCCCAAACGGTAGGACCGGGAGGAAGTACAGACGTAAGTGGTACGAATGTACGGAGAGAGAGGAATCCCAAGTGGTGGGATATAGAGGGGGCAAGCCGTAAGTGGTACGACTGGTGGAAGTGAATAATAAAAAAAATAACAATAAAAATTAGGCCCGGGCCAAAAAATACCAAATATCCTACGCTTTTGCTCCTTCCTCGTCGCTTCTTCCAGACGTCGCCTCCGTTTCGATCCATGTGATCCGAGATACCTGCAATGATTCGATTTATTCAAAAGGATTGTGACTCCTTCTTTACCTTTTGAATTCGTTTCCTCGCTCTGCTCGATGCCCCGGGCAGCATCGACCTTTCGCCATCTCCCTTTCTCGCTCTTCTTCACGTGAAATGTCTACTCATGAATATGGGTTTAACGTCGGCCTGGACGCGATCCGAAAAGCTTGAATGAGAAACGACTGTGGCTCTCATTAGATCTGCAACACGAGGAATTGAGAAAAGTATTGCGATGAATGTGACTTACCGAGTGGATCCTTGGCCACGATGAGCTCGCAGGAAATGCGAGCTACGGCCAGCCCGCAGGTTCTGCGGGGCACGGCCGAACCGCAGGATTTGCTGGGCACGTCGAGGAGCCCGCAGGTTATGCGGGGCACAGCGAACCCGCAAGATATGCAGGCTTCCCGCAACTCGAGGAGCTGCGAGAACTGACCAAATGGCGCATCCGCCGGCCTTTTATAGTGCCACTGGTGTCGGTGTGAAACATGCAATAGAGCGCATTTGTCGAACATAAATGCAAATTGATGCCACGTGTCTGCTGATTCTCTTATGTTATCTCTCTTATGCACACTCTCTGATCTCAGACGGTGACGCGCTTCGCTTTCCCGATCGACGCCGTATTGCGGTAGAGCGCGTATGCCTCTTTGGGTCGGTGCTTGGATTGTAAATTCCAAGCTCTAATAGAGAATTTTTGATGCGCAAGAAATTAATTAGATATCAAACTAAAGGAATGAGTTTTAAAAAACTTTATAGTAGCGTCGGGAGATACAAAACGCATATCATTTAACAAATCCAGTAATTTCATTGCTGTATTTTTTAAATCAGAATTCAGCTTTTCCAATCACTTGGTTCCTCATTGTTTTTCCTCTTCGAATTCAATTTTTCGAAATCAATGAACTCTAATATAGAAGCACATTTTGTAAAGGGTATTCGAAATTCGTAGAGGGTTTGGTTTGTACATCGAGAAGATTTGTTGAATTCCATTATATGGATCATGTCAATACATTTTAATTTCAGAAGGGTCGTCACAGGTTGATCAACCTGCATGCTGATTGAATTATGTCTTTCTTTCATATCCCTGGGTAGCCGAATAAGACACTGTTAAACTTCTCGTTCAATAAGACACTGTTAAACATCTCGTTCATTGCTCGGTTTCTAAAAATTCTCTTACCCGCCACAATTTGAAATATACGTATAGAAAATGAACTAAATGACATCTGAAAACAAATTTTTCGAAACGTGTTTTGACTCTTCGAAAAAATAAAAAAGTACTCAAAAATAGATGAGTATGTTGCGCAAATACGTCAAGTTAGTAAACATTCGACGCGAGTGTCAATAAATGTTGTTAAAAACGAACTAAACTCCGATGGCAAAGTTCAGAATCAAAAAGTGATGGTGAACGTGGTTACCGTTGACACGAAAACGGGATATATCGAAACCGACAATGACCGTCTTGTTATGGTCATTCTTCTCATTTTTCTACCGGTAGGTTTTTTTTAAACGATTATTCTCAAAACAACTTCTCATTCCCAAATGTATTCTATTTGGAACTGATGTTTAAAAATAAATTCTTTAGAATTCCTTTATTTTATTTTTCTTTATAGGTCTCTGACAAAATGAATGCTCACAGAAACCAGTATCATTTTTTAACTAAAAAAAAAACGAGACGCCTAATTTTCAGCCATTGGCGGTGTTCTTCAAAGCCCGCGGATGCACTGGAAAAGTTGGATTGAGCATTCTCCTCTACATCTTCTTCATATTTCCATCATATTGTCACGCTGTCTGGTTTTGTTTCATACGCGGACGTGAGCACGAGGTTCGAGCCGGTGTCACCCAATAAAAATTGTGTGTCCGCTTTACGAATAAATTGATTGATTCGGAGCTTGTTTTCCGTCAGTTGTTGCAATTTGCTGTTAAAATGATACTACTGAAAAGTCTTTTCATTATTACCATTGTTGAAGCAGCGGCATTCGAAAAATTTGAAATTGGCCAACAAACTTATGTTCAAATCGAGGTCATTCTAATTTATTAGCAAGTATCCGTGTGTAATTTAAGGCAGTCCATCTAATCGATACCCCGTTGGGGATTCAAATTGTCCATGCCGTTGTTCCAGTCTCCCCAATACCCATTAATATTGCATTGATATCACCAGGTGTTTGGTACATTCCAGAACAAGATGGATTCCCAAAACTGGTGATTAATTGCTAACGATTTTCAATGGAATTCTTAAAAATCAGGGATATTTGACATCAAGCGGTTGGTTTTTCTTGAATCAAACCGAATATCGACAAGTGTCGAGGAAATCAACGGCCAAAAAGGCATCGAAGAATGCGCAACTTGACGTCACAAGTCTATTGAGACTTGCACCATCATCTCTCGATGGTATCCAATTCATTAGAAAAGGTAATTATATTTGTGATTTCGCTAAAACGTTGATGATGATCTTCGCCCCATGAAAACGTGTATGTAAGCATGTATTTATCAACCAACACACATTCCTCTCTGATAAGGGCGAAATTATTTGCAGGAAACATTGGAGCCTATGTGTTCAATGAGAACGACGTCGAAAACGGAAAAATCAGCGGGAAACTCGAGGTTTTCCGCATTTTTAAATTGACTTCGGCAAATACTCATTTCAGGAAAATACCAAAAGCGGCGATGCTCAAATAATCCAAACCGGGAATCTGGCAGCATATATTTTCTCGGAGGTACCCCAATCCTCAACGGATTCCCTTTATTGGCTGCTTCCTGCAATTCCGCCGTCAAAAACATCAATGCCACATACTACAAGACTTCACGATTCATCGCTTCTACTTTACTACGAAATGCCAAGACTTGTTCGATTGAAGTCGTAAATTTATCATTCATTAAACAATACACCCGTCTTTTGATAGCCTGAAATCTTGATTCTCAAGGAAATGAATGTTAATTAGTCGCCCGTCACGTGTTGAATGGTATTCGGCAATGCTGTTCCAGCAATTTGTCTTGTAACTGGTCAGCTGGAATATGAAAGATATATATTTAGAAGAAATAGTATACTCTATTTTCTGAAAGTCAATATTTATTTTTTTTCATAGTGTAAAACTTATTTGTATAAGAGCTGCGATATGCAAAGATTCAAATTTTAATTTTTTTTTGAATGGAATTCTTTCAGGCTTTTTTGTTTCGAAGCCGAGCCGTGCTGTCGAGTATTTAAATTCGCGTGCCTCGCAGTCGGCGTCGGCTTTGAATAAGATTGCATAGAAATTTGAATAAATAATAGCAAATCTTTTTTAATTATTGAAAATAATTTTATAATGCACATATGCTCGTTTTTTGAGAATTTAATAATTTGGATATAGAAATCCTGCAATATTTTATTAAGATTGAAAACTCGGGCGAATCAGGTTCGACCGTGGCTGGCCGGCCAAAACGACAAGCTTTAACTTTATTGTTTCCAGCAAATTTCATTAGCCAATGTTTGAAGTATGTGTGCTACTATTAAAGGTAAAATTTAAAAGTAATTGACTTACATTGCACCTCTCGGGTCCTGGACACCGTAGATTTGCATTATCATCCCGCGCATGAAATTTGTAATATGTTTCCTGGTAGCATTTGCCAATCAATTTTGACAGCGCGAACCCGCGTGGCAGCCGATGTAAATGTTTGCGAACTTCCGGCTTCCAGCTCATCTGTCGATAGTCTTCTTCGATTTCTCTTATGGATTTTTCACTCATTAATGGCTCGTTTCCATCACCAAATGTTGGCATTTCTTCTTCATCTTCCTCAATCTTTGTAACCTAGTATAATATTACTTATAAATTTCAATACGTATAGTGAATTCCTTACCATTTTAACATCCTTAAGATGTGTTATAGCATTCATTTCCCTTGGAACATGGAATATTTTTAAGTTGTCATTTGACCAGTGAATCCATGTGCTGTTCATTTTCGCCGGCAATGCCACTATTTTTCCAGTCTCATTTTTCTGGGTGAATTTGATGCTTCTCAACATGCGACTCACTGAGAAAACATTGGCCTTTTGATCTACAATTGTATAGCTCATTGAAGGTTAATCTCCCTAGATACTCACTAGCAATTGACTGGGTATTTTCTTTGTTGTATTGAAGGAATGCAACATCGGACATGACATTTACGAAGCTTCGAAATTCCATAAGGAAATTGCTGGCAAGTCTCGGTATCAGAAGATCGTCAAGATCCAAGAATGCAATAAACTCAGCAGATTCCTGAAAACACGATGTGATCGATTATTATGATAATCCTTCGTACCTTGTACCTTAAAAGGCAATCTGTTTGGGACGCTGCTTGACTGCGAAACTCGACATTCAAATTGGCGTTAAAATCATCAGGCTCATGATTCAGAAGGCGAATCTTTGGCCATGATTGAATAGTAACATAGCCATGCTTCTCATAGACCTTTAGGATTTCCAAAATAGGTGAAATCACACTTCTTATCGACATGTGCAAGTGAGCATTGAATTTCTTGTAAACGTGTAGAGCAACTAGAATATTAGGCCAGTTTTCAGCGGCAAACAACGGCGAAATGCAAATCACCACGGGTTTGTTCGCCACTGGCGCCACTTCGAATGGTATTTGAGCATGTTTCCCACCAAGCGATATGAATACTTGACTCAAATTTGGAACTAATTGAGTCTTGGCAAGAATGGCGATCCATTTGCAAGAATCGTGGGGAGTAATTCTCTCTAGTTTCGCAGATTGCGGAATGCGATGCGTCGAGTTTACTGCGATTAGTTCAAAATTCTCAACCTGGTCAAGAACCTCGAAGTCCGCTGTCACTAGTAGGGCGAAGGCGGAATCGCCAAGACTAAAATGGGAAAGAAATGGATAATTTGCAATAATTGCCCTCCCAACCTTTTTGAGTGATTGAAAAAATAAGCAGAGAAAAAAAATATGTCATAAGGCGCTGAAATGAATACAGTCACATCCTCAACCGTTGCCAATTGTTCCCAGGTACTGTAATCAGTCAAATAATAACTATATGATATAATATACCTACACAATGTACAAAAGCATTGAAGAGGTTAGAAAAACTAATGAAAAAATCAGGAAAATAGATGCAACAGACGGTGGGCATCGCGGCGGGAACATCAGTGTGGGAAACACGACGGATGATCAAGGGTGAGGATCTACAGAGTGGCTTAATCTGCCTTTCGCATCTCAATTGAGAACATCGCCAAAGGGCCATATTTGGGGTAAAGTAGGGCGAAAAAAGTGCGACGAATTCTAAATTGCGATACCACAAATCGAAAACAATTATGATTTAAGATCTCACGTTTTTATTAGTTTATTTTGGAAAAAAAGAGAAAGAATAGAATTGGTTTTTTTATTCTTCTGTCTGTGAAATGAAAATCAGTTTTATGCAATGGCTCCCATATGTTAAAAATATGCTATCCTTTGACTCCATGAGATCCGAATTTTTCCTATTTATTTTTGCTTTGTTTTGGGCTTTTTCTACAATTTTAAAACTAATAAAATTTCAAGAATCATGAGACAAAAATTTTCCGGAACTGATAACACTGGTGAATTATTATAAAAGGCGAGCACGTAGTGACTGATAGCAGCAATCAGTATGCCTCGACTCTTTCTACTGTGCTCGACGCTTCTCGTTGTTCTCTGCAGTGCCGCGCTCAGAGACCTTGGCTATCCAAACTGGTCGTGCGACCCGTCGCTCTATGAAAAGTTGGATTGAGAATTAAATGGGTTGAATCATTAGTGTTTCCAGAAGCAAAAAGGTTCCAACATCTGCCCATGCGGTTAGATTTTCGGATATCAAGCTCATCGGAGCTCTCGGCGATTCCCTAACTGCGGCTAATGGAGCTGGAGCACCAAAAGGAGACCCATTGGCTGTGATTCTTCAATATCGCGGATTGGCGTTCCAAATCGGAGGAGAAGTCGACTTGGATGAACATGTCACTATTGCCTGTAAGAAAGTTTCAACAACGCCGTGATATTTTGGTTTTCTTAAGCCATCATGAAAAAATTCTCTCCAAACATTTTCGGATACTCATCTGGAATCGGAAGCGCAAATGTGTGGGAGGTGTCGAAATTGAATCAAGCCGTTCCTGGAGCTGAGGCTCACGATATCATTGGACAGGCGCGATCCCTAGTGACAGCCATGCATAATCATCCGTCGGTGAGATCATTGAGAAGATTAAATTTTTATCACTTGAACATTTTTGCAGATTGACATCAAGAATGACTGGAAACTCATTAATATTTTCATTGGAGCCAATGACATGTGTGCGTACTGCACCGACAGAGAGAATGTGAGTTTTGGCTGTGAAAGTACAAGCTGAAAGTACAATGCGCTTTCAGGGAGCTCATTCAAAAGCACAATACAAGGCGAGCTTGATACAGGCCATTCAAATCCTCAAGGACAATCTTCCACGCACAATTGTTTCGATGACCGGAATGTTCGACATGGCGATGCTCCGCGAGATTGATCATGATCGTTATTTCTGTGACGGTCTTCACGTTTTCGAATGCGGATGCGAGAAGAAGAAATCATTTACCAATGACGATATTTCGAAGGCGTGCCATCTTTATATGGTAATATATATATATATTTTTTTTGTTAATATTTTTTTGGCATCATCATATAGTCGGCGTCCGGCGACTGCTGTATTCGTTTAGATTTACGGAGATGCGTCTTTCGAAATGGTCTCGCACGGACTGGACTAACAGGATATTTCAAATTTTATGGGTCGGTTCGATAATTTTTAATTCGAGTGACGTTAGAAATTCCAAGAAGCCAAACTCATCAAGTAAAAAATAGATCGTTCACATGAAAACAGCAATATAAGCGTTCAAACGTGGCGAGACCTTTTCAAGGCGCATTCCCGTAAATCTACCCGCGTACAGCAGTCACCGGTCGCCGACTATATATATACATATAAAAGTTGTCTTGCGTGCTTGTCCGTATGCATTTTGAAAGACTGTGTACAATTAAGAGAGTGCAAGACAATGAGTAAGCGTGCGGTGGAAGTGGACGCAGACAGTGAAACACTTCGCGCCATAGCGAGGCCGAGCCCGCGATCGAGTCCGAAGCTTCCGCCACTGCGCTGTTGCGCCTCCGCAGCTTAATCACGCGAACAACTGGAAACCAAATGTCCATATTTCAGGATGCTCAACAAGAAATCATTGACTCTGGAATGTTCGATACTACTGATGATTTCACATTGGTTCTTCAGCCATTCTTCAACAACATTACTGTTCCACCATTGGTTGGTATCAATTTGGCACAATTTCAAAGTAAATAAATTTTTCAGAAGCCTAACGGTGAGGTTGACATCGATTGGTTCGCCCCAGATTGCTTCCACTTCTCGAAACTCGGCCATGCCAATGTTGCTAAACATTTGTGGAATAATATTGTGCAGCCGGTCGGAATGAAAGACCACAATGTGAATTTGTCGGACCCGACCATCCCACTGAGATGTCCCGACCCGGCTTGTCCATTCTTCAGGACGACGAAAAATAGCAAAGATTGCTCCAAATATCTTTAATATGTCAAAATTCAAACCCGTTGTAAATATTTTTCAAATGAATGTTTAAATGGAAGCATCTCGATACAATTGATTGGCATCCTTGCAAACGTCGACGTCGACAAAATGCAGACGAGTGTTGAGAGCTGCCAATGGACTCATAAAGCCATACTTTTCGACGAAATCGTATACTTCTTGCGAATATTTCTCATGGAACATTGACATATCTCTGCAAAAAACATTACTAGCTTGATGATGAATATAATTTTGAATTACCGCGTCAAGACCATCGTTGGATACTTTAGAGGTGTACTCAAGATCATATACTCATAATCTCCTGTGGAATTCAAACCTCCGATTTTTACAGGAAAATCTATTTTTAAAAAATTTAAAAAAAAATGAAAATTTGACTTACATGGACATTGGTCGCTTGGATGACCTGTAGTAATAAGAACCGCTCCAGGTTCAGTACCACTCATGCTACCGTAACCTTCATTGGTTACAGTATTCCCATTATAGAATGAATATTGTTTGGACGTAAAAGTGGCAGTGTAAGGGGTTTGAGCGAGCATATCAACTGCAATTGTAAAAATAATCATAGATCAATTTTTTCAAATCCCACAGAAGAAAATTGAACAGTTCTCGGGATGAACCTTCTTTGAGTCGACTACCGTATACCAACGACCCATGAATTTCTCGATTTGCATATCTGCCATTGAAAAAAACAACGAATTGTAAACTTTTGAAGCAACCTCATCCATTTGAAGCGATTGCAGAAGCTTAATACATTTCTTTTATTTGATTAGAAAGTAATTGTAGTACTGAAGCTAATTGATCAATACTGAAATCCTTCTTCTCCTTTGGTCGACACGACGCAGCATAGTTTTCGAAGAGACGCAGAATCGGGACATTCCTACCGGGAATTGGAATCGCATTAACGAATGGCCTCACTTGGCCAACTAGAAATGACTACTTGTATACTAGTAATGATGTAGTGGGACCAACCTGAGGAAGCAGTGACAAAGAAAAAGGGTAAAACCAGTAAAAACAGCATGTGGCGTTGATGAGCGATGATGACCTTGAAAGGAATATAGCGAGCGGAATGGATGACCCAGTGACCGAATTCGGGAATGCCGGTGGCGGTAAGGTGCGTTAGAAAATTTTGATGCAAAAAAAAAAGAAAAATGATCAATATATTTATAATGAAAGAATAATTAATGAAAGACCCGGGCATAAATATACAGAGCAAATATACAGAAATAACAAAAAACAAATTAACCGTTGTGGGCGATGCCGAACAGCGTAGCGAGACCATATTCGCCGACGATGCTTGCAACACTCTCGAGTGGTCGACGTGGGTCTCGAATTTTGGGAAGAGCATTGAGAATGAACTTCTCGATTGTTTGACCGCCACCGCTTCCGCCGGTCTCGATTCCACGGAACGGCCGATTTTCTTTGCCGGGCACCCAGGTGGAAGTTGGCTTCGGTTTCGGCAGTGGTTTTCCGTTGTCTCGGATGTACTGCAGTTTGTAGGAGACCTCGTAATCCACATGGTTCGCGTTTGATAGCAAAATAGCCTCGGATTGATCAGATATGACGTCATAGGTTTTGTCAAAACAGCTGGAAATTTAGAATGAGGATGTTTTTAGACCAGCAGTTATTACCAGACACGGAATCCGGTTTGCTGGAAATCGGAATTGTGCTTAACTTCGATATAAGCCTTGCATGATGAAGCACATTGGTATCTGATCTCGGTGATCACCAATCGGACCCTTCCTTTTGGCGCATTGATCCTCCAATTGCATGTTCGTTTGCCTCGATAGTTCATCTCTTGCCATTCATCGGTTGCTACTAGTTCTCCGCCACACTTTGCTGCAAGTTATTCGTTCTGTTCCCTCCAACTTTTCCTCCCGCCAATATCTTACGATGATCGGTTCCAATTTGTACCCGTTCGCAATGTGCTCCTCCCAGGCCATCAGGACACTTGCATTTTGCACAATTATGCGGATCCGGGTATCCTCCGTGTTGGCATGGCAAATTCTTCTGGCAAACCGCTGAAATGTGTGAGAGTATGTCTCGCATCTCTTCGATGTACACTATCTCTCGCAAACGCTCTCTTGCCCACTCTTATACGTATCTTTCGCATGGCATGAACGTGACTGCTTGGCGCAATGGTAGCGCGTTCGACTCCAGATCGAAAGGTTGGGCGTTCGATCCGCTCAGTGGTCAAAAGTTTTTTCACGCTTTTACTCACAATTACAATAAAGCCGATTGACTTGTTTAACGTCAATGAAAGACAACTTCGCACGTTGTCCAATTGTTGCTTGATAGCGTTTGTCCAAGGTTTCAATTGTAATTTGATCCCAATCTTTCGTAAAAGCCTACAAGGGCGTGAATCACGGTTGTAAATTTTTTATTGCCTACGTTTGAACCATAGTGCATAACACTTCCAATGTCATAAGGCACACCCATATCTTCGATTTCCTCCCAACTTCTTTTCTCAAAGTTTCCATCAGTTCCTTTAATAAGCCACTCTTTACGAAGATGGATATATTGGTCGCGATCCGGACGAGATTGTTCATGCCAAAAGCCCAAAGAATGGCCAACTTCATGAGCAACAATTCCTTTCTAAATGAAATTTTGTTTTTTTTTCAATGAAATGAAAAAAAATTGTACATCTTCACAACCATAGCCAATCGAAATAAGCTGCGATCCTCCTGTACGCCCAACGGAAGAATAGCAACCGGAGCCGCGGAAAAAAATCACATAATCCTTGCCGGGGCCATTCTCTTGCCACCTCACGCATGTCTCTTTCTCCCAAAGGCTCAAACCCTCACGAATGAGCTGCTTCCATTTTGCTGAAAATCGAAAAACTCTTGAGCAATTAAATGAGTTGCTCTTACGATCTCCTCCTTTGAATCGGTACGGGATCACTCCTTTCCACCTGTACACAGATCCGGTAATCACCTTACGCTTACGACGACGTCCATAAGGATTGCGTGCTTCTTGAGCCGCTAAAACAACTCTGAAATATCAATTTTGAATTTCTACGTCTTCTGATTAGTTATTAATATATATTATTTGGAACTTACGCTTTCATTTGTGGTACTGTCAACACCATATCGGACTCGAACAGCTTGTTTGTGAGTTGCCGATTTGCTCCCAACTCGGTTCCATCCGCTCTCGGTCTCAAATCTACTGGCGCATCACTCAACGCAGAAGCCCCAGCAGCTCCAGCTGCATTGTTATTTGAAGCCATTGCCTCGAAGAATGCCTGCATCAAAGTTTGAACCGCTCCGAAATCTTGATCCCTTGATCTACCGCCATCGGAGAATGTAGCTATCTCGCGAATCATTCGCGCTGTGTTATGGGCTAGAAGTTGAGGGCTGGCCGTGGTCGGTTTGAATGGCGCTAGAGTTGGGCCTGGTTCAAGGGTAGAGATGGTAGGTAATGAAAATGGTGCGAATGTAAATGGTGCAGGTGTTTCCGGATTGAAGAAAATGTTCTGGAATTGAGGTGCTGGAGTTACAGGTTGCTGTTGCTGTTGCTGTTGCTGCTCCTGCTCACTGTAAATGTTCAGAATCTTCAAGAGAATTCAGCCCGAATCGAGTTTACTTGAAGAAGAAAGGCGAAAACGTCCTCGCGATGTTGCGGAATCTCTCGATTTTGCGCGCTCGTGGCGAATCCGCTGGAAATTTTGCGGATGAGAAAATAGTTTCGAAATTTTTATTATTAAATTATTTCACATATATTCAAAAAAAAAATCCAAAAATTAATGAGTTTCTATATAATTCTAGCCAATTTTTGTGAGAGCCATGTTAATTGAATCGTCTTCACCTTGTGGAGCTGAAGGTGATGCACGAGCACGAGGCTTTGGAGCTGGATTTGCCTGACCACGAATTGTGTCCTAAATGTGTTTCAGAATTAAAAAATTGGACTATTTCTGCGTACAAGATCTGTGTTATAGTCCTCATCGGTTGGAATAGGAGCTGGACGAGCTGGTCCAGGTCTAGCTGGTGCTCGCGGTCCTGCAGGAGGACGTTTCTGAAAATAAGAAGTAATATAGATGCCCAATGGCTCATTCGTACCGGTGCAAATAAATTCGAGGCTGCACCACCGGCGAATTGCTGAATCAACCCCTGAAACAAGCGAAAGTTATTGGTTTTGCTTGCGCAACACAAGCAAAACAAGTATCGTTTGGCGATTTATTTGCATTCTGCCAGGCAGCAAGCAACTTGTCGAATTATTATACCTACCCCGATTTGCGGGTTTGAAGCTATCGCGCCAAACGGATTACCGCCTCCAGCACCACCGGCACCTCCAAGAAAAGGCTGTAGAAACGACATAAAGTCCTGCGCCTGCAACACAATTTTTTCAAAATTTAATATATGTACATAGAGTGAGAGAGTGTAGACGAGATGACTGCGGGCGGGATGGTGGAGCGAACTCTTATACACAAACTCAGAGTGGCGTGCCATGCGGAGAGATGGCCGAGCGGTCTAATTAGACTTATAAGGCGCTGGTTTAAGGCACCAGTCCCTTCGGGGGCGTGGGTTCGAATCCCACTCTCTTCAGACATTTTTTGCGCTTACCTGCACAAGTGCCGCAAGGACCGCTAGAAGCGGTAGAACTGCCCAATGCATTATTTTTCGTGTTGTAGATTAGTACATGCAATTGCTGATTGAAATGAGAGTAGAAATTTCAGAGAAGTGAATGCCACTGTTCTTGTTGGCGCGGCATTGAAAGTAGTAAAGTACAGACTATGAAGGGGGCGGCGCACGAATCACCTTGACTGGAAACACGCGCTTGGCAAGATAAGTAAGCGAGAGTGTGAATCTCTCTGAATTGGCAGCTTGAATATGCAAATACAGTGGATGAACGAATAACATGGGATAAAAATCTTGCAAAAATTACACAGTACCTATTACATATAATTGATTTATTCATTGGGTAATGCAGAGAAAATTTAAAAAAAAAGCAATTGCGAAAATTTCAAGAAAAAGAGAAATGTGCATTTTCCCTTTTTTATATATTTCTACTTAAAAAGCTAATTCTAAATCAGTATGTCGAGATATTCAGTATTATTTACTTTTTAATTGTTTCATATATAGTTCACTTAAGTTTTTTAATGTTAAAAAATTTTTCATACAAGTTGGCAAAAATTATAGAGAATTTGTTACACATAATTATCTAATGTGCATATCTCACTTTCAGCATTGAAAAATTATATTTAACTGAGTACAATATACAGTTTTTGTCCAGTTTCTTTTTATGATTGTGTAGTCTTGCGTGTAGCACATTACGGGATTTGCATTTTAATTCACGCACGTACTGTGTCGTTTTGATTTTTTGTTAGTTCATTTTTCGTTTTTGAAAACGGTTTTCTATATTTTTCACCTTAAATGAACCGGTTTTCTCGATGAGACGTATCCCCGCGAACAACAATGTCCATATTACAATCATCGAATGTTTAACAACTTCTTTTGTTCTACACGACATGACAAAATAATTCGAAAAAAAATTGGAACATTATTTTCGTTCATGCTGTAATACCAAGAGATTTGAATCTTGTTTAACGATCCGTTAGTCATCAGTTTTTAGCTTATTACACAATTAAGCATGAGTCATTAGCTGGTCAAAAGGAAGAATGAGGAAATTGGCACCATCTTAAATACTATATCCTTCTATATATTTATCTTCAGTAACAGTGCACAAGCATTTCGCAATGCGCGATGAGTCATTGATAGCAACGTCACTCCAGCTCCGCCCTGTGTTTAGCGGTACAAATTTTGCGGACATGCGCTTGTTTTTTTTTTGTTGAGTCACCATTGCAAAATGTTCTTTTTAAATACATATATAAAAATATTCGTAAAATTTCGCAAAAAAATTGACATTTTCCAGAATATGTCGTATTACGGCCAACAACCAGCAGTACCACCAAATCTTCAGCAGATTTTCATGTCTGTTGACAAAGATCGGTAAGAAACGATTTAACGAATGTCATTGAAAGTGGGTGTAGAAATTAAATGAAGAGAAGGCATAAATTTGATATCATTCTTTAAATTTTTAACTTTCAGATCCGGCCAAATTAGCGCTGATGAATTGCAAAGAGCGCTCTCAAATGGTACCTGGAATCCGTTTAATCCTGAGACTTGCCGATTGATGATTGGAATGTTCGATTCAAATGGAGATGGAGCCATCAATTTTGGAGAGTTCCAGGTAAGAGCCGATTTTTATATTATATTAAAATTTTAACAAAAATTAGGCGCTTTGGAAATATATCAATGATTGGACTAACTGCTTCCGTGGATTTGATACTGATGGGTCTGGAAACATTGACAAAAACGAATTGCAAAATGCTTTGACCCAGTTTGGTGAGATTTGTTAAAAAATTTTTTTATTAATTTCCTCTTTAGGCTACCGTCTTTCCAACGAATTCTACAACATTCTTATGCACAAGTTTGACCGAACACACTCAAATGTCATCAATTTTGACGACTTCATCCAACTTTGTGTTGTTCTCCAGACGTTAACCGCAGCATTCCGTGACGTTGATACTGACCGTGATGGCGTCATCACCATCGGCTACGAGCAGTTCTTAACAATGGTCTTTTCCTTGAAAATGTGATTTCGTGAATTCCTAAATTCCTCGCCTTTTTTGAGATTTCACTTTCACCGCGCCTTTCTTAACATTTGAACATTCTAACATTTTCAGGTAGCTCGAAGTGTCTTCAATCGACTTGGCTAGTAAATGTGATATTTGTATGTATATTCATTGATTGAATCGAACGGAAAACAATAAACAAAATAATGCAAAAATCAGATGATAGAGTAGTGGTTGTCGTCGGCGGCTGGATAAATTACACCATCTTCAGCAAGCATAGCAAGAGCTCGCTCAAGCTCATCGCGATTTGGTCTTCCGACATCTACGGAGATTTGATCGATATGAATTCCTGCTTCGACATCCCCATATTTTCTGAGGCACGTTTTGATACGCTCCGAAAGATCATTTCCTCCATTCTCCGTTTTCATTTCTCGTTTTGCCAAATTTCCTCCCTTAGTATCGTTATTGGGAGCAGCTCGTTTACCAGGACCTGCGAGCATTCCACTGAGATGTTGCGAACGATCTGATTTCATAATATCGGTGACGTTCTTCGTGAAGAAAAGTTTAGCCATTTGAGCTTCAAGAATATGGATTTTATAATCCTTTTCATCCAAAATTTCCATAATGTTGAAAGCGAGCAAAGCTGAAATAATCATTTTTGTCTCGTAAACTTGAACAGCCTTACTATTAGTGTTATCAAAGTTTTTCAATTTTCCAATAGCACGAATTTTAGATCCTTCAGTAATATCTGATTCATGGAATGATTGCGCAGTATCGCTGTTATTATATTTTACAACAAGAAATTCCTTGTCCGGATCTTCAGGGTCTTGCAATATATATGTCATGGTCCCATTGTCGAAAGTCATGCTTCTCACAGTTCCGACAATTGCGACAGTGGCGAAGCTGAAGCTTCCCAAATTGTAGCGATCTGAAGATTCGCCAAGATTTTCGATGAGATCGGTAATTGTAACTGGCACTGGTAGGCGTTCTCCAATCGCAGTAGAACGAGAATCCTGAAAAAATAATTTTTATGGAAAAATGAGTATTAAATGTTTTACCTTTTTTTCAGTTATGAATGACGCTTCTCCATGCCACCCTCCAGCATCAGCAGTGGCAAAACTAGCATCCCATGCCATTTTTATTGTGTTAGTAGTTCTGAAAATAATTCAATTTGAACGTGTTCATAATTTTAAATCAAAATATGACGCGGTTGGCCGAAATTACAGATAATTTCGTAATATTTCAATGCATTTGATATTAGATAATAATTTATACAAACTGAATAATTATAATTAATGTATTTGCAATAGGAAAACATGGAAAACTACAAGAAGGAGCGTTCTAATGGACACCTAAAAAGCGGATATTTGAAAAGTCCATTGGCGCCGCTGTGCAACAGAGCGCAATTGTTACAATGCAATAGAGAGCTCACCCATGAATGCTTGCGAATGTTCGCACATGGCCGAAAGAAAGAATTTAGTTATTACCTCGAATATTATAGTTACAAAAAATTATCTTATAGATCTCAATATACTGTTTATCGCATAAGGACTAATCGAACAATTAATCGAATTTCTGTTTTCGTAAACTTACTAGAGTAATCTGATTGCATAATAATCCAGTTGAAACGAAGATGCCATCTGCATATCTAAAGAATATAAATAAGTAGAGCTTACGATAACTCAACCACTTCTGCACAATGTCCAAATCCGCTTCCTATTATTTTGTATTGTCGTCGACAATTGGCTGCGCGCTAATTGTTGTCGCCTCGCTGTTCACATTTTATTCAATATGTGCGGATATCAAAATTTTCGAGGAGACTTTCATTGGAGAAATGGCTGATTTCAAAATTTCGGCAAATGATGTCTGGCAGACCATGATGCTGTCAAGAACTGATTCCAGCACGAATTTGCAGTTCGGGGCTCTGATGATTTCCAAACGACAGGCTGGATATTATGCTAGTAAGATTTTATTTTGATAAATTTAATACGCAATCAATTTTAAGATCCGGAAACACAAGTTTATCCTTCAGCTGAAAGTGGTTCTTCTGAAAGTCGGTGTAACTGTGGACCCCAAGTTTCAGGGTGCCCCGCTGGACCACCAGGTCCTCCAGGAGCTCCAGGAGAACCAGGCGAACCTGGAGAGCCGGGACCGCCTGGAGAATCCGGAGCTGCTGGGCAAGCCGACGCGTATCCGGGAAGTGCTGGAAATTGCATCAGTTGTCCAATGGGACCACCCGGTCCACCCGGTTCTCCTGGAAACCTTGGACGCGCGGGACCAGGAGGCCCTCCAGGAGTGGATGGAACGCCACCAACTACTGGACAACCTGGTGAGCCAGGACCATCGGGACCGCCTGGTCTTCCTGGAAATCCGGGGCAACCAGGAAATCCTGGAATTCCTGGAAGTCCAGGAACCAAGATTTTACCGGGTGCTCCAGGACCAGCTGGGCCTGCTGGACCACCAGGACCACCTGGTACTGAAGGCCCAGTTGGGCAATCTACTCGATCTCCACCTGGACCACCAGGGCCAACCGGACCACCTGGGCAATCGGGTCAAGCAGGTCCTCCAGGACCACCAGGGCAACCAGGAAGTCCAGGAATGCCGGGCCCAGATGCTGCTTACTGCCCGTGTCCTCCTAGAACCGCTGCATCTGGAATTGTGTCGCCTATCGACGACAGTGCTTACAAACAAGACAACGTGCAGGGTGGCTACTTCAGATATTCCGGAAGCGCTTCGGTCAGAAGGTCGCGTTACTAACGTTATTTAAATAATTTTTATGCAAAACAAGTTTATTGAAAAACCAAAATAAGAAAAATAAAAGATAGAAAAGACAAAACTGGCGATTGACTAGAGGAAATTGTGAGCTTGACCCGACTAATCTGAGATTTTTCTTGAGTGATAAACTGATAGTGCGCGTAGAAGCCTGTGGCGTCGAAGATATCGTTCGTTGAGAAGATCATGCGGAAATAATTGGATTCCGAGAGAATGGGACCTTTCGGCGACGTCTTAAAGAAGCATTTCAAACAGATAAATAGTTCATCAACATACTTTTCCACAGAAACGACGATTTGTTCTATCGTGCGTTTGATAGTTAGAGAATATTATATAATCGCTTTGAGTGGTTTCATCGCATCTGAAATTTAAATTTCGGAATACTTCCCTAAATTATATCACGTACTGATTGAATCCTTCAATGTCGAAATATTCAAAGTGAATGTGGACGACTTCGTCATGTTTTCCATGGAAAATGTACTCGCAATAAATGTTTCGGGGGTAGAGGCCCGGGTAGTTAGCAGACCACAGTTTTCCGCTTGTGTGCTCACTCGAATTGAACGAAAATCGGCACTCTGCAAAGATTTTCCCTTATTCTCTTTTTCTGCACGCGTGGCTCACCCTTGGTTTTATCAACTTTGGCACGCATATTGCCCATATTCCAATCGGAATGAAATTTGTATTCTAATCGGAATCCGATGTCCTCGTTGGTGCTCTCGCGAATAACCTTTGAGGATTTTGTGTTATACTCAAGTTGAAGCAGGTTCGAACTGCTCATTAGATTCGGAGGCGTTCTTTTTCCGCACCATTCATCAATTCTAGATAACCGTGAACCGACACGAACATCTGCTGAGAGGTTGTCGACGTCAGTGCATCTTTAAACTCTAGGGCTTCATAGCATACTTCAGATGATTATAACCTTTTCGTTGCATTTTTGTTGTCGGGAACGTATAAATTGAAATGCGTAAAGTGTATAGAAATTTTCTCCTTGGGAAATCCTTGAAACACCACTCGACATTTCGTGGGAACTGCTGACGCCGAGAATCTGCCGAGCTTCTCGGACGATAATTCGCCTTCTTTGAAGTTTTCCGAATTTATATTCACCTGGCAATCAGTAGAGGACCCTGAAAACAGCAAGACTAGAAGATGGAAAACCTTTAAGAAGCAAATTGATTACCATAGTTGTACAAAATTTGAATAAGAATGGCTAGAATCTCAGTTTTCACATGGATGCGCATAAAATTAAGAGTGGGGCGCTTCCCGTTTTTTTGGTCAAACAAACAACGAGGAAAAAACGTGGTGCGCACCCACCCAATTTTGTGACGAGAAAGATGAAGTAAAAGAAGAAGAAGAAACTACGGGAAAATGAGGAGGAGAAAACGCACCGGTCGATTCGCTCCAAACTGCATTCGAGTACTGCAATTCGATTACGAAGCCGACTGCCTGAAAGCACACACATTCTCGTTAGCGCGTTTTTTCGTCTTTTCTCAAACTCTCACTCGATCGAGATCGTTATTTCCCGCGGCGAAGAAAAAGAGAAGTGACGAAGTCGAACTGAGATACACCGATTTCTGCGTGCTCGTCACCAATTCGATTAAGCGGCGTTCGGAACGCTGCAAAATATGCGTATAATTTAATTAAAATTCTCGGAATGCTAAAAAAAGTGGCCAAATCAACAAAACTTGATTAAGGCTGTTGGCTGGGAGGTTTTGTAATTTAATGTGCATACTATCGTCACTGTCAGTGCATATTTTCAGTCTACCGTAATATTACAGTAAATATAATTGGTTTTTTTTCTACTCTTGATATATCATAGTTTACCCCTTCCATTGTTTCGAATATTTGAAGCGTCGAGTCACGTCCGAGCTCTAATAATATTGAATTCACAACAATCTGAAAAAACCGGAGATTTCAATTTTTTTGAGTGCCTCTGAAGTACCTGAAACCCTTTTCGTTGAGGAATGTGATATGTGCAATTGATCTTGGAAGGATAATAATAGGGATATTGAGGACTATAGAGGATTGCCTAAAATAAGCGCTTACGTTTGATATTATTTAAATAAAGATTTGAATTGCACTTATTAATGCAGAAAACCCAGGAAAATTATATCCGGCTATATCTATTATTTACAGAGAAAAGTAAAACTTCCAACCTTGCTCTTTTCCACGCGGTAACTACATTCCGCCATTTCTACTGCATCACTGGTAAAATTCGCTTTAGGTATAGCTTCAAACTGCCCAGAGAATCCTCTAGATCTTTCTCTGGCATGTTGAATTTGTAGAAGCATGTGCTCATTTCTTAAGATCAATTATTTATGGTTTTATTTTTAATTATCAACATACTTCGAATAAAACTCTCGTTCATTATTAATCTCTTTTCCGCAAAATTCGAAATCTGCTCGCTCGTCAATGTCGATTAGGCCGTCATCTGTATGATCGTAGAGTAGGATTGAGGAGGAACAACTAAAATAATGAAATGAGAAGAACAATAATGCAGGCCATTACATTCCAATCCTCGGCGGAAGATGAAAAACATCAAATGTTAATCGAATAATGTGGTCCTTTGGCGCTTGGAAGTGATAAAATAGGCACCCAATGCGATCAAGTGGCGCAGGATATTCAGGCGAATGGAATTTCCCACTGGTCGCATTGAACAGAACACATTTGCACTCGTGCGACGCAGATCTACCGCCGGCAGCGAACAGACCGACTAACAGCACGACGGCGTTGAGCATTGTGAGCAGCACATTTCATCTTTCCATCGGAAGTTGCTGAAATGAATGAAGTAGAACGGAAATTAGTGCGAAAATTGAAATTAACAAGAAATTGGATATCGAGTCAAGGCTTATGTATATGTACACGCGTGTTCTACGAAATTGATGACATGGATTAAGAAGAGCATGGGATTAAAAAGTATAGCACCCCCCCCCCCTTCAAATGTGGTTCGCGTTTTGAATGAAGAATTGGACACACAAAGAACTTCCTTCCGGATTGATCGCAAGTCTATTGTCGTTGTTGTTTTGGATGTTATTTTTGAAAAAAATTCTGGGCAGGGATGTTTGTTGCTTCTTATTCAAAAAATTATTAACAAGAACACATGAAAGTGTAAGTTGTTGTAGACCTGAGGCCGAGAAAAAACTCAAATTTAGTGAAATTTGACTCTCCCAAGAGATCATCATCTTTCATAAACACGATTCGTATTTCGACGACAAAATTTGATTAAATAAAACTTGATCCCCCATTCGTAGTCGCGATTTTCTATACCAATCATTGCTTTAGTTTTTGCGACGTATACAAGAATAAAGATGAAAAATGACAAAGATAATTACGAAAATAAAACGTCAAATGTGTTCCGACAATGAGAATCACAGGTGTTCGATTGTCGCCCAGCAGGTTTAAGGAAAGTACCCACATGTTTAAATGGGGCGGGAGAATTTGCAAAAAAAGAATAAATACGAAATCAAAACTTGATATAAAATTTATATATAATTAGTTGTGGAATAAAATACATGCACGCAGGCGAATTCTTCATTTTAGAAATATAGAGATTTTTTTTATTAAGCGGTAGAATACGACTAATATGATATTGCGGAATTATGCATTTTATTTGACGACAATAAACGGTATACGTTTTTCACCTGTTTTTTAAATTAAAAGTTTTGTTTTCTATGCAGTTTCTATGATAATAATGTGCATTTACCGGATACCCTCCCCCTCTTTTTTTTTAATTTAAGGGAATTGAGCAAAAAAGTGCAGAAAACACTCGCCGTTTTTTTGTGTCCGACGATTATGATGAGTGATAAGTGTTGTTGTAGTAGGGCCAGAGGCGGGCTAGCGGACTCGTCAAAAAGCGGATTGACAGCAGTCGGTGCGCAAATTTTCACACAGCTCTTCTTTTGTGCTTAGGCGCACCACCCTTCTTTTGTTGTCATTTTTTTTCTGCGAAGGCGCCAAAACAAAACTTGTAGGCTCACTTTCGAGAACAACTAAAACGTGACGGTGATGAAGATAATGAAAGCGGGAAAAGAAAAATGAGGCACCCAGTCATCTTCTAATGGGTTTCGTTCCAAAAAAGGGTTGTCAGAACAACTTTTGGCGCTCGCAAGAGGGGGACACTAGTAAGTAGCCCAAAATTGGTTTAGGCTTGCAAAAAATAGGCAATGATTGCCCCCCGACGCGCATCATAAGCACCCTCGAGATTTCAAAAGCACTTTATTCGAAGTTTTGGACGGGAAATCAATAAATATTCAATAACAACTAAACACAGAACAAACCGGTAGAATACAAAAAAATGAACGAACAAATAATTTGATGGGGCTCGTACTTTTTGAAGCAAGCGGATGAGGGAGAGACACACACACATACAAAAACACAGAAACGAAAAAGTTGAGGAAGACAGAGCGGAATATGCCGGTTAGTGGGGGTCTGTTGGTGAATAGATGAAGGGTTTGGATGATTTCCTGAAAATGTGTTGGCGTGGATCTTCAACGATAAATATGACGCGAGAAAGTTGAAGATGATGATTGAAAACGACCGTTTGAATTATTTTCCTATTTGCTCGAGTTATTGATTTATGTTAAATCGCCACAGCGAATACGTATACAATGGCAAGCATCGTTTTCGTCTCCCATCTGTACATGTATGAGGTGTCGGTAAGCTTGTTCCAGTACGAAATTGTGCTCACATTGAGGCCAGATCCACTGGAGACTTGAAGGAATGAGGAGGTTACTAAAGTGTGCAAAATTTCATATTATAATTAATTGAAGATATACTCTTACCAATATACTTATATGGCTTTCCAGCCGCAACCAATTTCTTTGCGATTCCTTCAACGGTCTTCTGATTCCACTGGACGCTATCCTTATGGGTGTACTCGCTGTTCACCCCGACAACCTCGTCAAGCACCTTAAACGTAACAGTTCATGCCACTTAAAAATGTTAGCTCAAACCTGCTTGATAATCATTTGCACTTCTTCTTCAGGCAACGCCATCGTTGTAATTCCTATAACGCAATAATAGTTAAGAAAAAGGTTAAACAATTATAATAGTTCACGTTAAATATTGAGGCGTGTGTACGCAATGAAACGAATAACATAAATTCAAAAAATATTAATTTATTATTGCACGGCAATAAATTACACTGGAATGAATAATAGAACTAACATTAAAGGGAAATATAGTCGCGGACACTAAAGGTACTTATCTAGAAATATAAATTCCATTCTAAGCTTCGGGCTCAAAATCGACATGGGTTAAGATTTTGGAAAGGTCATTAGCGAGTTCCGGGGTTCCAGCGCATAGCACTTTCCTAGACATCACATTAAACTCGGAGCCAGTTGGATCGATCAATGCTCCTCCAGCTTCTTTAACGATCACTCCTGGAGCGGCAACGTCCCATGCATGAATTCCATATTCGACGTAGCCGTCGCAGCTTCCTTGTGCTACCATTACCATGTTAATAGCAGCAGATCCGAATGAACGATGCCTAAAAAGCAATATTAGAATGGAATCGAATTGAGAGGTCAACCCGTGACACTGGTTATCGAACATCACCGAGCTATAGGAGCTGATGAAGGAATTTCGCATGACAGGATTGCGAATCGAGCCCAACTGAAGAATGAGCACACTATCCGACACAGCTACAACATTTCCCTATAGAATTTGCTTAAAAATCGGGTGCTTGTGCCGATGTGCGTTCAACCTTCAGTGAGTTTAGGGCCCCGTTAAAAAAATCCGCATACATAAACAAATTGCGACATACCCACGCACACCGGCCAGCACTTGATTTTTCATGTTCGCCGTGGCGACGTCCAACCATTTGTCGCCGAATATCGTGCGGTTGTGGATGCCCAATGATTGGCAAAGAACCGCTTTCGAAAGCACTGCGAGGAACTCGAAACATGCAACAAATCTTGAAGCAAAGCGACTTACACTTGTTGGATGACGCATGTATCGGAAAGCCGTTTTTGTAAGCACCGCCGCCAACTTGTGCGGTGTACAGTTCGTAAGTGATTGGGTTGTAGACTATTCCTGCGCGAAGTTGCTTATTGATGGCGAGACCGACGCAGATGGCAATCATCGGAATCCGATGAACGAAGTTGGTCGTTCCATCGATGGGATCAATGATCCATGTTGGAGCATCGGTCCACTCAATTTTAGTGCCACCAGCGACAGATTCCTCACCAATGAATCTAAAAATTCCATCGACTTCGTAACTTTGAATGATTAGAAAGTATACTCCATTATTTTTAGCACAGCTATTTACGCATCGAACGCCTTATTAATATTTAAGAATTTGCAATGTAACTCACTTTTTGTTTTATTGTTTATCTTGAAGAAAAACATGATTAATTTTATATAGCGAATTCCCATTTATCACGAAACAATGTCATATGGCGAATTCCCGCTTATTACGAAACACTTTGCAGATAAAAAAGTCAATGTTTTAAATTCTGTTTGAGAAGAATACTCACCTATGGTCGGGAAATGCATTTTGCAATCCTTCAATTAGCAATTTCTCAACAGCTTGGTCAGTTTCCGTAACGAGGTCAGTATTCGATGATTTGGTATCAACTTTGCTCTCCTTTGAATCAAAAGCGGTGCGCACCAACTGGAAACTCATAATAAAATGCAAATTAATCGAAAATATTCCACCGTTCCGGCGGTTTGCACAAGTTTGATGGCGGTGTCGACGAATCGCTGTTCGTCAGGATGAATTGGTGTGAAGACCATGCTCTTAAAAAGCGTAGTAGTATTAAAGCAGACGGACGACAAAATGTGAGCAAATGAAACGGAAATAAAGCAAAAATTAGCGGCGCTATACTTTTGGCAAATGCAAAAGGTTTATTAAGAGGCGAGTGAAAGAAGAGACGATGAGTAGAGAGCGCAGACGACAAGACAAAATTCTTTGTCAGTGAATGTGTGCGTGCGAGCGCGCAGAAATTTCGTCTAAACATGGATTTCGAAAAATAGTTTATCAATATCAAATTTCATTCTACGAAAAATACACTAAATCGTCGTGCTCTCTCCAACGCTGCTCGTTTATGATTTTCTCCAAATCACCATTCGTTAAGTCCAATTTCACACAAACAACAAGTGGTGGAACCGCTTTTCTGAAAAAAAAAACCGAAAATGATATAAGTTTGGTGTGGGAAAACTGATAAACTTTATATCTATTATTGGAATGCGATGAGTAATGCGTCTTTCTTTCTCATTAAATTCTTCATGAAGGCCGCGCCGAATCTTGGATTCATCAATATCACCAAATGCTATAACTTTCTCCTTTTCAGATTCGTTCAGGGATCTTAAGTCATAAATTAGTGATACTCTAAAAGAAAATATTACTTGAAGAAACGTTTGCCTTGCTTTCCTGCGCTCCATATTGTGAATTTGCTCCATTTTTCTAAATAATCCTTGCGGATCCTTTCAATTCGAAGGTCCCATATAGATTTCTCGTCTACTGCAAAGGTAGAACAGCCAGAATGATATCGATACATTACAACATCTTCGGAAACTTTGTCGAAAACAACATCTTCAACGTCTAAGGCTTTATAGAAAAAATGCAAGTCTTCCGGAAATCCGCTGGTGAGACGTTCATGAAATCCTCCAACTTTATCATACAATTTTCTTGTGATGAACCATGTTGGAGCAACTAATGTAGGACCATGTGAAGTGTAAATCTGTTTACGAATTGTGGATTTGTCCATTGAATTCGCCCAGTTCGTGTAGCGAATGGTGGAATTTTCGGGAATTCGATGAAAATTTCCGCCTGCAATATGTTATAAACCATTGTCTGCATTTTTTTGAAACCTATAAATACGTAATTTGAGCCAGCTGATATGGCCAAATTGAATTGAAGCTGAATTCTGTTAGGCATGCTAACGTCGTCGGCATCATTGAAGCAAAGGAAAGGGGCCGTCGATAACTCCACTGCTCGATTTTTAGCAAATCCAACTCCGCCATGCGATTTTCCTCGTTTTTTATGAAATTTGAAACCTCTTTCAATAAAAATGGTTTCGTATTTTTCAATGATAGCCCAGGTATCGTCTATACTTCCGTCGTCGTAAATACACACCTTAAATTTAAGTTTAGTTGCGTAAGGATCTTATTCAACCTCGATTTCTTTAAAATGTTGATTTAATATTCCTGAAAATGTTTCACAAAGAAAATCGGCGCCATTTTTGACGGGTATGATAATAGCCTAAAAATAGTTTGATTCAATAAATTAATGATAACTTACTACTTTCATTTCGTCTTTAACAGTAGACACATTTTCAAAAATTAAACAATGCGAATTAAATCGATTTTTTTCCGGAAGAATAAAGAAAAAATAAGCGACGAAAAACGCTTTCCGCTTCAAAAATCTTTTAGTGTGCATTCGTCATTCGTAAACCTGCAGATTTTGCGTACCGTACTCAATGTTTGCGATCTAATTTCGCGAAAGTTCGGTTGTGCGAAAACAACAAGGATGAAAACAGTTTTGGCGGGAAAATCTACTATAAAAGGAAGAGCTGAATTCACTTGAATACCAAATTTTATTTGCAAAAATGTCTCTCACCCCATTCACTCACCGTGGAAGCCTCTGGCCAATGATGCGCAACTACTTCAACGATGAAGATTTCATGATGGCACCCTTCTGGTCCAACCGCCACATCTCGAACAACTTCGACATGGCGGCCGATATCGGCAAGGTGAGATTACGAAAAAAATTGGATTTAAGTGTCTTTGATTTTAGATCGAGAATAACGACCAGAAGTTTGCTGTCAAACTCGACGTCTCTCAGTTCGCCCCAGAAGAGCTCAAGGTTAACCTCGAGGGCAACTTGCTTACTGTCAGCGGAGAACATGAAGTCAAGTCGGAGCATGGATTCACCAAGCGCTCGTTCACTCGTCAGTTCACTCTCCCAAAGGATGCCGATTTGAATGCCATTCACACCGCCATCACCAAGGAGGGACAATTGGCTATTGATGTGCCAAAGGTTCAACAGTTTCCATTTGAAAATTTTTTGTAGAAAGAAGCGAGGCCCTTCATTCTTTTGCTAGCTCTTTAATCATAATCTTTTAAACAACAAATCATTGTTTTCAGACCGGGGCTAGCACTACGTCTCGTGCCATTCCAATTCACACCCCATGCGGAAAAGCCATCACCCCAAAGACCACCGCCAACAACAAACACTAAATTGTCCATATTTTGTACCATAAATATATGAGTGCGACGCACTGGTAATTTATTCTGTAACAAGTTAGAGCTCTGGTTGGTAGCTAAACAACAGATTAGCAACGAATAGCGTTTGGAAATAGTACATCGTACCGAAAATGACGGAGAGAGGAAGGGCTGGAATCGTGTGTTCGGCTGGAAGATTGAAATGAGATATGAATGAAGCTTATTCATACAGCTGCTGAAGACTGTCAAAGTCATAAGAAGTCCTTGCAAAACGCCTAGTCCAGCAGCAATTGTAGCCAGGACACTTCCACTAGTTGCAGCTTGACCAATAAGGAGGCTGTAGAATACAAAATCTCCAAAGCCAAGACGCATCGATTCTCCATCATTCAATGCATCGGCTGCGGTTAATTCTTCAATCTCGACGTCTGATTCGTACTCATCATCGGCTGAATCCGAGTTCTCTGCAGTTTCATCGTTGCTGCTTTCCGGTGGCGAAATCTCCTAGACAAGCAATCTCAATTGTCTGTATTGCTATAGTTAAAATTTTCAAACCTCACAAGTGCTCAGTTCTTCCTCATTTACTTCAAAATCATTTGGTGTCAAAAAGAGTTCATCACCAGGAGTTTTAGGACTTTCAGTTTTAAAACTTTCCGAATCTGGATTAACAGCCAACCTCCGCTCACGTATTTTCTTTACAAAGTCTTCGTCTTGAGCTTCTCGTCGCGAATAAAGTTGAATAAGCTCCTTTACTCCATTTCGAATCGGGTGTTCGTCGACTCCCGCAGATTTTCGCTTCGGTTCGGCTGTGAACATTAATAATCGGATAACCTGAGATAGGTAGTTAAGATTTTTAGCGTTTTGAATCTCACGTTATTGCTATAATCAGCAGCTTTTTCTTGAATTCTTTTGAGTGGTCCCATAGGCGCGAGAACAGCAAACGCATCTATAATTAAGATTTTAAGGTTGTTCTGCATTCAACATTCGAAATGTTTCAACAGCCACGGCATATTTATTGGACGAAACACGAATTTCTTTTATTTCAGTGAAATGATGAAGGATTTAGGAGAAACAGAGGTAGGAAAACATTTCTTTAATGAATAAATTTAGTGTTTTTCGCGAAAATCTATAACGCCAAGTTCACCAATCCGAATTATTTCAAGAAGCTGCTTTTGTGACATCAATTATGGGGCCAATAGTAGAATGGAAATAGAATTTTTAAATAGTTTTTTTTTCTCAATTTCAACATTTTTACAAAAAAAAACAATTCAGAAAATTCAAATGAGGTGGGTTTCAGCGATTCAAAAAAGACGAACTGTGGTTGGTTTTGGTTTAAACATCGGGGTTCCACGGGGGTTCCTTGAGCGCGTTTTTTGGTTTTTTTCTGTGACATTTGCGTCGCAGTGTTTTCCGCATTTCAACGTGCTATCACTATTTATATTTTTCTGATCTTTTAAACCTCAAACGTTATTAAATCAAGATCAAAGACCAAATAAAAAAACCAAAATTATTTCGAGTCCGCAAACACCGCTGTTTTGACGACAATTGTTTTGATAGTTTTGGCGGAAATCAACGCCTTTCAAATTTTAAGGAAAATTTCGTGTTTCACTGGTCTTTTACGTTCTTGTTTTCATTTTAATATTTCAAAAATGACCTTACCCCAGAACAACACGCCCCACAACACAAACCATGGTGTGTTTCGTGGAAAAGCGCGAAGATAGAAGACGGCAATGAGGGAACAGTTGGAAATCACGTAGAATTGATGAAGCCATATTGGAGAGTCGAAGAAGAAAGCTACGATTCCAAGTGTCCCGTAGATGGCAGTGAACACAACCACAAAGCTGAACGAAATTGCGCGATAGGTAATGTCTTCAATGTTCACAAATTTGAAACAGAATTCACTGAATATGCAATTTATTTTGCTACAGAATAGGGTGTCTTACTATGCAGTGACACCGGACAGACCATAAAGAATGACGAGGCAACTGAGTGTGAGCCACATTTTGACCAGCCTACGAAAATCGAAAAGTGCCAGTGTCAGCATAATGAATGAAACAACTCCCAACATTGCGATCGTTCCAGCGCCGTTAAGCTGCAGGTACATTTATTTCTGTTTCGAGATATTTCTCAACGAACCATTCCATCAGCTAACTGATTTCCGGTAGTAAAATTATCTGAACTTCCCAAAAAGTACATTTTTGTTAATTGTTCATTGGGCTTCATTTCAAACACCCCTATCCAAATAGTAAGAGTTAACAGCATATTAATCACCACTGAAGTAAGCGTCCATTGTAGCTGGGAACAGTACTGAATTCAGTAAAACCAGTTTGTAAGATCAAACCTGGGAACTCTGCACTAGCTCATTGTACATTAATCGTGCTGAATTTACGACGTCCATTATTCGTCAGACGAATTTGAAAAAAATTGGACAACAAACGATTTTCTGGTTCACGTTGCAAATATAACTTTATTAATACGAAATGAAACAATAAAAAACAATTAATTTTTTGAAAAGGCACATAGAACATCATTGGGAAGGAAGAATCCAAATGGTAATATGAGTTATTACCGAAAAAAACTTATATATATATATATATATATATATATATAGGAAATTGCAATAAACGTCTATGTTTGGTCGTTAACCCATTTTTACAGCAATTTTATAATATTTCTACATTTATAGCTTAAGAGAATATTGTTGATTTTGCTGCTTTTTTAAAAATAGTGTGAAGTTATTTGAAACGGCACTTGAATGTTTGGTTGTAATGAAAACCGGCATTGATTCCAAGAATCGTTTCGAGACCCGTTTTAAGTTTTGTGTGAAGTTTTGATTATCTAGCAATATTCTGACTGCTTGCCGAAGCGGCCATGACGGTTTCGGTCTCGTGTCGACATTCAGTCTTTAAACGAACGAATTCCTTGGCCACCTAAATAAGAACTTAATAATTTTTAAAAATGTGATTCTTCATACTTCATCAGTTTGTCGTTGTGAGAGAATTCGAAGAAGGATAAGTCCGGTCTCGTCGATATGAAGGCGAGTTCCCAATTGCACCCACATGGCGCATGATCCGTTTTGTTCCACCACAGTAGCCAATTGAAGGACTCCAACTCCGACAATGCGATCCTCACGCGCAAAACAATAGTCTTTGACTTGAAACATCAGCTCGTAGTGTTCCGGTTCCCCCTCGTTTCCCAAGAAGAAGTGGAAAGTCTCGTTGAATTTTGGAGCCCAATTTCCTGTTTTCGATTTGGTTGCCATCTTCCTTTTCTTATCCGATAGATGTGGTCCAACCAGATGAACTTCAACAAATGGCTTGAACGTTGAAGATGTTTGCCATCGTAGATCATTTGCAGCGAGAACTGTAAATTCTTCTAATTCAGAGTTTGAAAGTTAATCTGACTTACTTTTGATGGTAACTTTGGACTCTCCAGTGCCTGGATGACTGAACAAGTCTACCTGGATACTGACTTCTCCTACTGGTTGCTCTTGCGATGGCAAGTCCTGTTGCTTCTGACTTGTTATGAACGTCTTGATGAGCTGTTCCGTCGTCTGTGTGTACAAGCTGAGCGCGTACTTGAGCGATTGTAATTCTGGAGATTTTTCGAAGAATGACTTCTTCAATCCTTTTCCCGATGCGTGGAAACTATCCTTTATGGCATCTAAGGCGCAATCCAGGACAGTACATTGTTTAGGAGTTAGAGACTTTTCGCATTCGCGAGCCATGTCCTGAAATTTCTGCATTTAAAAACATTTTTGTTTTTCTTTCAAATATCAGCAACTAAAGCAAATTTAAGACAATTATTTTATTTGAGTCTCTCAAAAAACGTACCATCATGTCCTTGACACTGCTCATTCCTTTGATATTCTGAATGTTTGTCGACATCAGCTTTGTGACATCACCAATTTTGGCATTCGGCAATTGTTTGAGAAGTGCTTTTTCGCTTAATGGCGGCAAAACGACTCGTTTTTCCATGCTCACAATAGTGATTCTCCAGAGTTCTTTGAGGATGTACTTAAGAACGGTCTTCTCGCACTGATCTGCGTATCTTCGCAATGATCCTTCAAGTAGGTCCATAAGAGGTTCAAGAACGGCATCGGCTTCCGGTTGGACTTGTGTCTTTTGGAGTTGTGGTCCTTTGATCTTCGTGAGAAGAACTCCCAGTTTCATTGTCTGCTCATGAATGTGAGGCTCCAGAGTTGAGACAAAGTGTACAGCGAGTTTTTCGAGAACAGAATTCAGCTTGGTTTGCAGCGCGGTCAGCACATTCTTGGCGTTGGCGCCTAAATCATCTCCTCCCATGTTCTCAAAGATCTTCTGGAGTTGAACTCGCAGCTGCTGCACATTGTTCATAAGAATACATGCGAGTTTCTCGTTGTCGGCGAATTTGGGGAAATCTTTCTGCACCATGTCCGCGTAGGCAAGAAGAACTTTGTTCAGGGTTTTGCTGAATCTCTTCATCATGTCATCAGCGACTTCCGGATTCGGGCAGTCCATCTGTTTGAGAAGTTTGAGGGCTTCATTGAGTTGAGTGAACACATCGACGACGCTGTTCGAAAATTTAGTGTGCTCCGATGTCTGCGGAAAATTGTCGGATTTATCGCGGTTATACGCGTTCCTGAGAATGTCCATCGAGTGCTCGTCATTTTCATTAAGCCAATCCATAACGAATGGAATGAACCAGGAGGGAAATTCGGGAATCGAATTCTTGTATTGCGGCATATCAGCGACATATTTGAAGTAAAATCCTTTGACTTTGAAGTACAAATTCATGTATTCGGGAGTTGTGCATTTCTTCTTCTCAGCGTGTTCCTCGAGGGCTATTTGGAGGTCGTTCTTGTATGCTTTCCACAGAGTTTCGGCTGACAACTGGCCAACATTTAGCTCCTGTGGGAATTGGTTGAGCACAGGCGTGTATATATGCTTGTCATCTTCGATCACTCTGCAAGATTTTGCATGACTCATGTATCTGTCGTTACTAAGCTCACCTCATCATGTAATCAAGGAAATCGAACCAGAAGCGAACGGAGTCGGCCGATGGACCACCCTGCTCGCAGCAGCTTTCGAACATCAATTGATACGTCTGCTGCATGCACGCTTTCGCGCACTCGCGAACAACATTCGATGCTCTCGGTGGGCTCGCCAATTCGAGAACTTTCATACGAAAAAATGTAATCGAAGTTAGTAGATCAACGGTTGATTTGAGATCTTGTAGTTTAGCTGGCGACGATGACGGAAAATGGTTCTGCAAAAAGGGAATAACAATGAAAAGAATAGTATATGAGAAGGGCGCGAAAAGCGCGGGACTGGTGAGAGGGGTAAGCGCTCAATATTGGCAGCGGCGACGAATTCTCGAGAGGCGCGGAATTGAATTTCTGAAGGGGGCTTTTCTGCCTGAAAAGTGTATCTAAATGCGGGCGGTGCTCGAAATAATAGGGGCTCTCACAGGTCAACCCATAAATCAATCAGGGCCTTAATTTGATTACATGAATACGAGAAGCCAACGCCTTGTCTTGTGCATAGTAAAAGAATTTTCGAAAGAAAAACGCGGCGGTTTCCCGGCAACTGAGCGGGGCCGAGAATGATTATGAATAATAAGAGTATTAAATATATGTGATATGTTTGTGCATATCGAAGACGATGATATGGATAAGCCGGGCTGGGCCGGATAATGACGAAAATACCAACAAAGACGACTTACTCGATACATCGACAAATCGATACGGAGACTGTTGTGAAGTTGGTCAAGAAGTTTCACAAATCGCTCTTTTCCAAAATTGGATGCAGCGAAGCGATCCGGAGCCGAAACCGCCGATGTTGCGGTGGTGTGTGCGTAATATCTTAAAATAGAATCGTGAGAATATTCGATCGAAGTTTTGTTTGCTTAATATTATATGAAAATAAATATATAGAAACCAAAAATATTGAGAAGGTTGATATTTCTGGAATATTAAGTTTTGAGAGCTCCAGAAGTTTATTGCAGCTGTCGCGCCCATAAATGAAGATAAAATAATTGAATTTTTGGAGTGCCCTTGACGTCACCGAGCGTGGGGAGTCGTCAAAAATGGAGCGTTGCTATCAATTGGGTATCTACACTATTGTAACAATAAGCATTCTTTTAACGGATTAATATTAAATCATAAATAGCAAAAGCGTTAGTTTGTTTTTGATATAAGGATTTTCACATGTTTTCTACATTCATCGTGAGAATAATCAAGATTAGTTCCTCGAAAATGTAAGTCAAATTTTAAAGATTAACCGGAAACTGAAAACTATCTGTCTAGGGAATTTGCAAACAATGTCTTCGTTTTTGTCTCGTTGTTCGAGACCACAAAATTTCCGAAAAAAAAAGCGCACATAGATTTATTGGTTCGATGTAGGAAATTTTTCTGGTGATAATAGGCCTTGCTGAGAAATAAATCATGTCAAACTGAAACGTGAATGTTGGAAGATTGTTGGAGAAATAAAAAATTGTTGAATAGGTTAAATTATGGGCCTATTCATAAATGACGTATGATGAATTGTTCTTCTAGAACGTGTGTCCAAAGTTCAAAATAAAATAAAGGACCACGAGGTGTGGGACCACACGGTCCTAAATTGGTATCAAATTTCTGTGAAAACTTACGCGTTGATGTTTGCCAATAGCGTTGACAACACTGCTGGAACACCGGGGCACATGTATTTTGTGCAAAGACACGCGAAATGGGTCATCGCCTGAATTTAGCAATCAGAAGTCCATTCACAACACGGTAGCTACGAGCGACTCACTTGGTAAATTGCTTCGATTCCGTAGCGCATCGCGAACTCGTCCGCGATCTCCTGTCCGGTCTCCTGGAAGCAGATCTTCCAGCTGTCTTCACCTTTAGCTTCTGGCAGTTTGACTTCATCGTCTACACAATGCGCGCCGAACAGATGCTCGTGCAAACACGTGTACTGTACATGGTAGGGTGCCAATTTCTCTTCTCCTTTGATCTCTACGCTAATGTGAAGTCTAATCGCTCCGGAAACTGCGGATTTGTCGGTTCGCTTTTCTGCAGATAAACATTCGTCATGATATTAGAGTTTAATCTTGTGCTACCTAAATTGTACCAAACATCCATTTCACCCGACAATGTTCTGACTTCTATAACAGTCTGACCAAGGAAGTCGTCCGATTCCCTTGTAAGCTTTTGCCTGAGTTTCGATTTCAAGTCGTTGTCCTCGTCCCATACTCGTACTTTTATTCGATCCGTTGAATTGTGACACTCACTTGAAAATTCAACATAATCGATCTAAACTTGGACGCACTTACAAATAGAATTTTTCATTCCACACTGGATTGAGCTCCTGGTGTATCGTTCTTGTTCTTCTTTTCACTTTTCCTACTTGCGCGGTAACGTACGGGTCACTTTTGCCGTTCTTATCCTTTGCAATCAAGCCTTGCGCGCAAAGAACTACATTTTAATTATCATTATTATTACCTTAATGGACATTTTTAAATCGTTCAATTACCTGTCAATGTGATTTTTGCACTCCACTTTGAGCTTCCTTCAAGGATCGAGGCTTTAACTTGCTTGAGAGTCTCCTGCTGGACCTTCTCATCAACGTTAAACACCGATCGAATCATCTCGAAGATCTCAGGCTTGTTCTTCTCTTGAATCTTCATCCTATCTTTGATAACTGCTACTAAAGACTGCGTCCTATCTGCCTCTCCATGCTTCGAACTCTTTTCAGCAGCCCCTTCAATCAAAAAGTTCGAATTACACAAAAAAATTGACATACTCTGCAAACAATCTGCACTCAAAAGCTCTCTACACTTGTCGTGAACCTTGACTCCGCATTGCGTACACCGTAAACCTTGCCTAGCCAAACCCCAAAGAAGACCTTCACATTCATGACACCATGTTGGCGTCTGAAAATTGGTGGTGGCGAAGTTGTGAGGTGTGGTGCAGCTGATAGGATAAATCAATGCTTGTAACGTCTTTCGGTACACATGACTTTTCTAAACAAAATTCACTGTCTTCTTGATTGGATACTAAAAAATACCAGATCGGTGTCACCAAATGTGGTGCGCGCTGCATTTGCTAATCCAGCCTGTGCTCGTTTAGTCGCCATTGTCTGAAATTTCATGTGTTTTAAAAGTTCTAACATCATTCCTTTGCTCCTAAACCATGCGCAGTGGCGATTTTTTTGTAATAAAAAATGACCTAAGAAGCACAATATTTTTAATCATGCAATCATTATGAAATAAAATAGGGTTTAGCATGAAAATTGTTCTTTTCGATTTTCGAAAATTAAAAGCACATGCGAAACAAAAAACTGAAGCGAAAACTGAGAGAAACCAAAGATAAAAAGCTAAACGCTCGCTTGGTCTTTACAGTAACCCGAATGCGAGATTACGGTAGGACCAGTAGCTAGTTACGTGTTTTGTGCACCGTAGAGGAGAAGTAGGAAGAGGAGGAGAAGAAGAGGAATGGTCTTACCTTTAAAACCTGAAAAAACCATTATACGAGAGTGATGATAGTGAGAGTAAATAACTCGTGATAGTGAATAAGCACCCATTTACCCTCTGGTTTAATTGTTTGAATAACATATAACTTACTAGCTCCGAGACGAGTGGAATGCTCGTTTTCGTTCTCGCTACGTTCATGTTCGGTGCAGCATCAATCGATTTGTAGAAAGCATTCGCTGCCATACTGCCATTCCCATCAAGTACCGTACTCTGAAAAGAGTTAAGATTAATGTAACACTTTTTGGAGCTCCCTCCCCCACGAAAGAACCCTGAATGAGACCACCTTTCCCCTCGAACCGTACACATCCAATAAGTGCATTTTTTTCGGGCCTTTTCCTAGTCGTTTGGGTAATTCGAGAGTAATCTCGCTTGGTTTTCGTTTGTCCTTCGCATGAAGCGAAATACTCCTCTGTCGAATTGCCGTCTTCTCTGTGCGGAATAATTCCGGACAGCTTCTCGATTGTTTGATCGCTTTGCGTTTGCGTTTCCGCCGTCTTGGCATTGCACTTCGCACTCTTCTGACCTTCTTGAAGCTTTTCGAGAAGCTTAAAAGCTGCTTCATTGGGTCGGGCTCTTTGGATTTCTCATCATCCGATGGGCGTCGCTTTGCTAATGTTGCAGTCGAAACCTTTTTGATGAGTGGAGTGGTGGCATTGCTGGTGGTGGCGACAGCTTCGCCATCATCTTCAATTGGCGGTGGCGCAATTTTCTCAAGCACTACGTTGGCAAGACTCGTCTTATAGATGCGCTCATTTCCGCGATCCTCCCATTCTTCAACGACACGAAATACACTTCGCGGCCGCGGCGACGTCGGAGAATGCGGCAACAGATCCTTGACGTTGTTATTGTTGTTGTGAATACCGCTTGTTAGATGGAATATCGGCGGAGGCGCCCGGTGTTGGACGGCCGACCCATTGGGCGCCAATTTGGGCCGGTAGAGGAACAAATTTTGCAGCAGGATTCAAGCCTGGTATTATGCGCCAATATTCTGCAACCCGCCCATATAATAAATATCTAGAGAGCCGAAAGTTTGGCACAAAACGGAAGTTATAAGGATGAGAAAGAGTGAGAGAGAGAGAGAGAGGCGTGGGGCGTTTTCAAATAAATCTCGAAATAGGAAGGGCCAAATTGAGTGAATATGAAATGGAGAGCCGCAACTGAGATTTAAATTTTGAGGATTTTGCTATTAATAGAGCGTGCAACTGCAGAAGTTTAGTTTTTCAGACCCTTAAAAATATCCCTTTTGTTTGAAAATTGTAGATTGTAAAACTAAACCCAAAAAAGGTCATTACTATGCTATTTTTTTCCTACTTCCGCAATTTACCTGACTTGCTAATTTAGTACATAAATCCAGTGAATAAAATGAAAAAAGACTCCGCTTTATGTTTTAATATTAAAAATAAAAATTAGAGAAAGTAGTCTAGCGTTCATTAGAGATGAGTACTAAACGATTTTCTGAATTTCCGGATTCAGGTAAAATTCTAGTATAAATATGAATTTATATACATATAAGCTGCTTAGAAAATAGTGTATGAATTTATAATGAGGAGAATCGCGCTTCTATTAGTATAAATTATTTTTAGCTGTCACAGAACTTTAACGTTGTTTTTCCCAATAAGCCAATTTATCAACAAAAAAATTATTTTTGACATTTTTGGGTACCCATGAGATATACTATTTCGCTGTGCTCAAAGATTCACCACTTTGATAGCACGATTAGGCAGCGACTTCCACGAATTGCGATTATGGCACGTTGGAGATAGCTCATAGTGATTTGGGATGTTTTCAATAATTCTCAAGCGCTCAAATTCTGTTACCTCATTGCTTTTTTTCTGTAGCTCTCGCGAATGAGGAAATAATTATGAGATCAATCTACCCGGGATTTTCGGTTCCCGGGAAATTAAATTTAAACGAGTCCCGGGTTCCGGATAATTTTTCCCGGGAATCCGGCCATTCCCAAGAAACCTCGTCCCGGGTAGACACAATGGTCAACGCTAATGTCGCAAAAATGAAAAACTAAAATGAAAAATCGTGAAGTGGTGGTGTTTTGCGTTTGCTCTCGAATTTCCGGTCACGACTACAAAATTTTCTCTAAAAGCCTTTCGTGTCGAATTACATGGCTTCTCATCGCATTTTTTCGCTGCCCCCGTGCTCGCCAATTTTTCTTCGCGTTCATGACCAGTCAGAAAGTCGCCTTCAAAAGAATGTAATTTATACAACTCTGTTGCCCTTCTACGATGAAATAAGGAAAACACAATAATAGCGATAAAGTTGAAAAGTACAATGAAACAAAGTTTGTGGAAAAATGTATTAGGTGACGCGAGATCATCGATTTTTGGAAGCTGCGGCGTCCCCCTTTGACGCGATTGAACTAATTTTGTTAACAAAATTCACTATCCCCTCCTGCATCCAATTAGACTAATTATGACAACGCTCAGCTGCTGAATCAATATTCACGGCACGAAAAACACGTGTATGGAAACACACGAATATACATGCACACTTGAATATTCAAGAGCTGGAGCACCTGCTAGTTAGAACTCTAGAACTACATGGTTTTTGTTGGAGGACCCGCGCGCGGCGGCAAAAATCGAATTGGGTTTTGGCGTAAATAGTCGGAGTCATTCGTCCATATGCGTTTGATACTTTTTCGTAGCCGAGAAAAAAAAAGTGTGCATGATGTGATGCATAATAAAATATGGTTTTTGTGTTGAGAACTGCGCGGGAAAAAATCAGTAAGAAACCTCGTTCGAGGAAGCGCAGAACGAAGGCGCCGAAAAATTTTTAAATCGAAATTTTTAGTCTGACGGCAATAATAAAGGGGCTTCTTTGAGTTTCGTCAGAGGATTTTCGATGAACATTATTAGTTCATCGCAATTAATCAGCATCGTGGATAGAAAGAGAGCAAAAGTGTAAAATATTCCATTAAATGAAAATTCGAGCTGGCTAATTGCTGTATAATCGCCTATTAGAAAAAAGTTATAGGCTATCGTTATGCTAACAAGTACAGTAGGTAGACTCTCGTCTATAATATAAATAGTATATTTATCGAAAATTCTATTTAATTCGGTGGTTATAACATCGTTGTATTTCGTTCAAAAATCAGCAATATTACTAAATAATTTTCTAGAAAATACCGAATTATTCCATCGTCATATATGAAAACGGAAAACATGATTATTTTGAAATTATAGTAAGATTTTCGGCGAAAAACGGTGGCAAACCCGACAATTTGTTGGCGAAACACACAATTATAATTGAAAAAATCATCGAGGTGTGCTCCGAATTGAAGTGTTTTTTGGTTCGGAAGTTCTTTTTTATTTTTGTCGTTCGCCGACGTGCGTGTACATTTACAGCTTCGTCGCCAGCTATTAGGACGAAATAAGAGGCGGAACGCATTGAAGAAGTTTCCAATTGAGAGGCAAAGTTGTACGATAAATAATTCGCGCGGGGCGCAACTAAGCGACTATAAATAATTTTGCCTGGCAACTTTCAACGCATGAGAGAAAACTTAATTGGCGCGAGTTTCGAAACAAAATGCATGCGTAATTGTTTTTACACACACTCCGCACACTTCTGCCAAACGAAGTTAATAATTGAAGCGACCTTTTTTTTTCTTCTCGCTCTGCACTTTTTTTCGTCCTCCCAACGTGTGTTTAACGCTTTTCACAGAATGCCACACCATAATTACCGAGTTGTTTATATGCTCCCCAGAGATATAATGCTATAATAAATAATATCAATGGAATAAGTGGAAACGCAGAGCAAAATTTCGATAAAGCTGAAGCGGAAAGAAATGTTCGCGACGCGAATAATTCATGATTCTTTGTACACGAGAAGTCAGAAAAGAGATGCGCGCCGTGTCGTTTTTTTGCGCCCTAGTTTGTAGAATAAATTAATTCGGCTTAGGGATGGAAGATGTGCTCAAAATGTATGAATTTAGAGGAATAGAAGAAGGGGGGGGTGGCGCGCGATTTGTTGGGTTGTCGAAAAACAACAAAATCATACGTGTTTTTGAGACGAGTCGATGTCGATTTTTCTATTTTTGGCGCAAAAACAATTGTAATCGGTTGGGTTTGAATCGCGAAATTGGCGTTTGCTATTTTCACAGAGGGCAACTTTCGAGGTTTTGCAAGATGCTTCGAAAACGTATATATGGTTGTTTTCTCGGCTAATGTTGAAATTCTGAACCTGCAATACTCAAAGGTCCTTTTTATTTGCGGGAAACCCACATTACAATAGAATATATTTTTCTAGTTAAATTGAGACCGAATGCACCATGGCGCCCACGCCTTGTCAAAAACAATGGAAATCACGGGCCGCCTTATGCGCTAAGATTTATGATTCTTGTTCAAGAAGGACCACCGAAAAACCGCATCCACGCCTCTAGAGGAAGAAAGGACAAAGAATCCCATTTCGCGACAAAACCATTGTTCTTTCTTTTTTAGTATTATTTTTTAATTGGTTGCACATCTTTTTTGTCCCAGCCGATAGCGGAATGAGGTTTTTTTTTCTTCTTTCGCCTAGCCGTATTTCAAATTCGAAAATATCAACGCGCACACACGCTCACAAAAACAGGGGGCTCGTAAAGTTGTCATGTGCTCGCTGGTCCGAAAAAATGCGCCAAAATAATTTGATTAGGTGTGGTTGGTTTGCCAAAAAATGATTTGGACTTGGTTTTTGTTTCAACATGGGCAATAGGAAACAAATGTAGGAGACAAAAAGACGAGAAGTTGGCGGAACTATGGCAGTGTCAAAACCAAAACCGACGATAATAGATATTCCTCGGGGGAGCGGTTGAGCTCCATTTTTTTCCACGCTTCCCCCTTATTTATATTGGCAAGAAAATGAAATAAAAGAGCAGCAGTAGACAAGATTTGTCGAAAAGAATGAAATAACAATAATGTCTAACATATACGGAGGTGAGAGGCGTGTTTGCCTTTTGCGACCCAACAATTACCCGACACGCTTTTTTTGCCATCGTTCTTTGCTTTTTTGAGAAAAGACACCGGAAATTAAAAGTGTTGGTTCTGGTGGTATCATCCTTGAATCTTTCCCAGGACGTACCTTGAATCCTAGATTTGAGCAAACTTGCTTATAAGCCCAATGCCAGAGCTCTTGCACATTACGCTTCTCATCCTTTTCCTCTTCTTCTTGAATCGTCTGATGTGCGATGTCATTGGCGAATGTTGTCGTTGGCGGCTCCTCAAAACGCGCTTGTGGTTGTTGGTGATCGTGAAGCTGCGACTCGTTGAAATCGTCGTGCTCGTCGTTAGATTGCGGCTCCGCTTGATTTTGATATCCTTCGACGTGCTGCTTCCAGCCTTCTTTCTCGTTGTCTTCTTCTTGGATTGAGTCGTATCGCCAATTCGGGCGGCTATCGGGGCGCCTGAAAATTGTTCTCAAGATTTATTTTAATAAGCAAATGACGGCGGTTTGAAAATAGTTAAGTCTTCTCTAAATATATAACTTTATAGCTAAAATATACTGTAAAAACATAAAAATCATTTAATTATCGTGCAACAAATACGAAAACATAGAATAATTCAGTTCGGAAATAAGTTTCTTTTTATCATGGTGACAAAAAATCTCGAATATAACTTAAAAATTATAGAGAAAATTTAGAAATTATTTTCTATAACCACTCATTTTTTCAATATATCAAACAGATTTAAGCTCTGATTATGTACCACGATTTAAAAAAAAAAGGCCAGAAAACGCATGACATCACGGATAAAATTCGAAATATGAGCTATAGATTTGTATTCCCTTGCGTGTTGATGATTATGGGGTTGTAGAAGGTGGGCAGGTTGCTAGGCGATTTCAACAAGACAAATTCCAGTTTCAAACAATTTCATCTTTATGGTTTTTCCCTTTCCCCCGACCCTTTCGGCCAAATGTTTTCTTTGCATTTTCATCTCGTCAATGTTTTTTTTTTTCGGAAACCAATTTAATACATTCATGTAATAAATCCATGTCTCTTGCAAGACGAATGAAAATCGAAAACGTTTGCTTGCGTGCACGTGCGCTGTCAAGAATGATGAATTACCTCTCGGCGTTGCCAAAATCATCGAATCCGTGCTCTGAATCACTGCGACGATCGATTGAGGGCGTCCGCGCGAATATTCTTGATCCTCCCGAGCCTCGATCAACCTCATCGTAATGATGTGAGTCATCTTGATACGGCCACGCAGTAGATGATGTGGGGCGCGATGAGCTTTGCCAGCCATTTGACTTGAGCTGCCCATTCGGAGGTCGGCTGTTGTAGGACAACGGTTCGGCTTCCTGATTCCAGAACTCGCCCGGATATTGTTGTTTGTACTCATCCCGAAAGTCATGAAATTCGTCGGAATAGGTTGGATTCTCACCAAAAGTCTCAGGATCATCATGATAGACTGTAAAACGGTATTGTAATAATTCATTCTCATTTTTATACTATCATTGTCTTATTCTCTCTACTCACCATATTCCGGTTCATTATGCTCCAGAATTGGCTCTTGTCTCTCATTACTCGTCGATGGGTATATACCATAGTCGCGACTGTAATCCTGTTCACAGGGGTCCGTCGTTGACGGGCCGCCGTAATCGTCGTGAACTGGAGTCACCGTGCCGTCTTTTAAGTCGTCGCGTGCGTAGTCTCGATAATCGTCGTCGTAGTCGTCGTCTTCGTAGCACTGGTGTTGTTGGTGACGCGCGTGGTAAGCGTCTTCCTCGTCCTCATAGCTCGCCTGCAACGTCTGACCGCGGATTCATAACAATCTGGTTGGATTATCAAATTTTGGATCGCTTCAGTGATAAATTGACAATTTGATATTTTTAAAATCGACCAATTGAACGAATTCCAAGAATTATAACACTTTACAACTTACTGTGCCGTCGCGCGCCGTCGTCGTCGTTGTCAGAAGACTGTGACGATTTCGATGCGGATGAAGGTGTGATTCGTATTGATGCGCAGAACTATTGGCGTGTAACTGATGGCTAATCGGAACGGAGACGTCTGAGGTATAATCGCTATCCTCGCTAAGACCCGCTAGAATTAATCACGATCAGTTAACTTATGATTAATTGATAATTATTACAATGATTGAAGGGAGCCCGTTGGTGTTGATTGGCAGCCAGTTGGTCCTGCAACGAATTTCATGAAACTATGTGAATAGTTCGACTTACGTTGTCAACGAGTCCGTTCAAAGCGAGTAACTTGGCCTGCAGTTCTTCGCCGTCCTCGCCTTGCGCATCTGAAAACAAACGAGATCTTCCTCTTGTTCGTCTTGCTCGTGTTTATATAAAATTCACTGCTACATGGGCGTGGTGCGAATATTTCAAAAATCGGAATGGATTCGAAAATGAAGGCCGCCGGCTGTGTGTGTGTGTGTGTGTGTGTGTGTGTGTGTGCTCTCACCGCTTGGCGGTGCATTCGCATATGTGCCACGCTCACTCTCCTGGGGCGACATGTTTCAAAATGCATTAACATTTGTTTCGTCGGCGGCATTCGGATCGGCGTGGCCGAAGGACCGACAGAACCGACCGCCGGACGGAACCGGAGAAGAAAAACTGCCGACAAACGAGGCTCATTCAACAAAAATGAGGAAAAAAAGAGAACACAGAGCATAACAAATACTTATTGTTTTTTCTCTTCGCCATACCCCTTTTGTGTTGTCTCTTTATTGTTATTGCTTTGTCATTGTGGAAAAAAATTGAAAAATTGGAACGCCGCCGACTGGATAATTATGATTGAATCACGAACAAAGAAGAAAAGAGCGAAGAATACTCGAGTTCAGGATAATTGGCACACGAGAAAAACAGAAAGCTCAGTATTCCGCGTATTAATGAGTCTAGGAGGCGATGTCCCAATCATATAACCGTTGATACCTACGATCAAAATGCCTATTTTAAAAAAAAGCTTGACAAATTTCCTATTCGACTATTGGATATTTTCAAGCTACTCTCTGTGCCAAAACTGAGATGTGCGTGTCAAAATTATTGGGTACTGAAGCGAATGATAAAATTTCCAGTTGCAGAGTACTTTATTAAAAAACCGAATGACTAAAATTAAGAATTATCCGTTTTCTTAAAACTACAAACAAAATTTTTGCTTTGAGACCTAAGAAATTGAAAAAATTACGATTAGAAGAGCATTGCTTTTTATTTGGATTTGTTCTTGAAACCAAAATTTTCTCTCAAGCTTCAAGCATCTAGTAGAATTTGACATAATGTTGTTCTCAAATTTTTCAAATCGTCGAAACCCTTTGAACGCTTGAAATTTTATTACTCGCATTCTTCTATTCTTCCTGCATATTCTTAAGAATACTCCTATTTTTCCGAAAATTTTGTCTAAGCGACATTGTTGACACAGAGGTCATAAAGAACTCACGTATTCTTTTTATTAAAAAAAACGAGCATGGTTGAAAGATGAAAATGGCAAAGGATGGATAAAACGCGCGCGCGTGTGTATGTTTGGGCATGTGGCGAGTGATACTCGAATTTCGTATCGGTCTAGGCGAAGGCGAAAGAAAATAAATATAAAAGCAAGTTGAATATTTAATGAGCTCGAATCTCTACATTTTGATTTACATGCAGCTGCAAATTGATAAAGAAATGAAACGGGACGAAGCTGAAGCTTTGGGAAGAAGGAGAAGAAGCAAAATGGCAATAATCGGCGACGATGCGGAAAGCGTCCGTCTTGTTAACGAGCGAGAATTCTCTACGTGTATTCATCACAAAATAAAATAAGAAGAAGAAGAAGCAAAAGGGAGAAGCTGGACTGCTTGTGACATGTCTCTTCTGACAACAATTGTTATGGGGAGCTCCGTGGAGAGACAGACTTAAGTTTTAGGGTGTAAAAAAAAAGAGCAGAAAGCTTCCACCAAAACAAGAAAAGATGTAATTTGGGTTTTGTCCTTCTGTCTTTCCACTCAGCGCCAACCAAGAATAAGATTTATTCGCAACAATTATGCGACTCACCGAATGGTAGCTCGAAACGAACATCGGCGAGAAGATTGTGGCCGGTAGGGCCGCGAGTGCCGACGGTTTGACCATTGCGCGTTTCAAGCTCGTGATCCATTTGAAGCCACTGACCACTTCCAGCGGTGTTGCTAAATTTCAAATTATCTTATACTTAAATTCTAATTAGAGGTAGAACGTTCTTTTTTTTAAGATTCTAGCATCTTTTTATTGATTATTAGTCTCACCTAAACCTGACTTCCGTTAATGGCATATAATGTACACCTATCAGTTTATCCCATAGGACGCCTTTTGCCCATAACTCAAGTATCATTCCCTCATCAGGTCGATTTGTTTCGCTGAAAATCGAGAATTTAATTAGCGGACAGTTTTGATGAGATACAATACAAAATTTTTTCTATTCACTTCTTTTCCGATACTAGGTTTTTTTCGTCTACTCACAATATAAACTCTTGTTCCCAGCAAGGCAAATTTCCGCGAACCGCCACTGTTGTCGACTTGACGTTTTGCAGTTTGACTGTCACATAGGAATTGAACTCGTCTGAAACGTAATTGAGATGGGCGGCTCATTTTGCGGGAGGTCAATTATGCAAGATGAATGTCGGCACACTCACACACATCGCTTTTCATTGCTGGATTACTGTAGACATATGTATAATTAGCGTGACGCGAGTGCGGCGCCTTTCCTTTTTCGTTGCGTGTTAATTGCTTTGATTGGCCAGGGGGATATTAAGCGCGACCTTGTATTATATTGGAAACGTTCCTTTTCGAGCCCCCCCCCCTCCCAAAGAAAAAATTCAATTTGAAACGAGTCACTCTTATATATTTTTATTTTATTTCTTCTCGGAACGACTTATATTAAAATTGCTGTGGACACGACAGAAAAACACGAAATTGGTCCTCATCAATGGCGAAAAAAATTCAAAGTGAGAATTGAGGATTTAATAGGCGCCGATTTTCGGCATGTTTTTTTGAACCTGGAATTGTTTGCAGTTTTTTGGTCTTGTTTTGTGAGAAGAAAGAACGATTTTCAAATAATAAGAGACCCATATGTCTCAATTTTGGGGTTAAAAAATATTATTCATCCAATTTGTTTTTTCGCGCCATCTTCCGGATTTTTTTCTGTTATTTTCGATCTATCGAATTTTTTTTCTATTTTTTCGTTTTGGAGAGACATCAATCATCACAGGAATTTAGGAATTTTTGAGCATACGCCTTAATCGCCTTAAATCTAGATTAGGAATGGCGCATTATCTTGAAATTGAACTCTGCCAAGCAAAATTATTCGAGAAATATTAAGAGAGACCCTTGAAATTGGTAGTGAAACGTTGTAGAATTTCTTCAAATTCCCTGAATCCGAATGTGGTTTTGCGTGAAATCGAGATGCGTGTGAAACGATGAGCCGTCACCGCGCATTACGTTCATTAATCGCATTTTTGTGACCTCCACAACGCCTGTTTGGTATTCCGTATGAGAAATGAGATGGTGTTTATTATTCATGAGGCACGAGCACGAGCACGACATGAGATAAAGAACGAAACTTACCGACGCCGCCTTGAAGTCGAGCCTTTTTAACTGAAACGATCAACGTTAGCATATCGTCCATGATTTTTTGTTGGTGATGGAATTTGAAGTGTTGGTGATGCGCGGCGCGGCGCGGCGCCCAACAGACTGTACGTGAACACCAAGGGAAGGTGGAGTAGACAACTCACTAGTGACGCAGAGCAACCGCATGCTCATGCCATCGTCGTCGTCTGCAATCATCATGGGATCGTCGTCGTCCGCCATCGCCGCACCGTATTCGGAAATGTCGTATTCGTCGTAATAGGCGTTGGGAGGCGTCGCCGCCACCGCCGCCGACGACGACGACGCTCGCGCCACTTTGGAAGTCTTCAGGATGATCAGATCAGATTAATTTCAGTTGTTTTAAAAAAGATAATTCGAGATTTTCCAGAGAAACGTGATTCCAATATGAATATGATCACTAATTTAGGATATTCTCAACATAATGATTTCGTTTGAACCCGAATTTTTTCATGGAAATTTCGTGATCACTAAGGTTTTTTTTAAAGAAAAAATAAAATTTCCCTGGAGGTTTTTTTCTCCACGACCTTCATGAAACATTAATAAACTATTTCACGCAACGGGACGTAGTTGCTCAATAATAGAAAGTAGGTCAAAAAATATTTTGGATTAGGTTTTGTGAGGTGGCGCGGAACGGAATGAAAACGTGCTTTCGTTTTCGACGAGCTAAATTAGATTCACTATACGGAAATGTTCCGAGACTAAAATTGCAACAGAAAAATTTGCAGACATTAACATAAAAATAGAGAGAAATAATACAAAAAAAAGTGGAACACCATTCAGACAACAGTAACTTGCCAGCGGGTATGGTTCGTTGGATTGGCGGTGAGATGAAGAGCATTAGAAAAGAAATGAGCAACGGGTTTTGGTCGCGCTCGCGCGCGCTCTCCATGCGAATCCCGTCATCGGTTTGGGAGGAGGCGGCGACGGACGACGCGCAGAGAAGCGGAGTTACGCCGCTAGGCAGCGTGCCTTCCTGCGAATGCGCCAGTGAAACGCCATCCCAACTCAGCTCGCTATTTCGCTTGGCCAATAGCAGTCAGTAGTAGTGAATGAATGATGGAAGAAGAAGAAGAAGCTTGAACCAAATCCACTGCGTTGTATATATATATATATATATATATGTGCTCTCCGTTATTTTCTGGATATACTAGGCTTTTCCGGCGACAGACCTCTCCTCCGATATATATGCATGTGTTCTCCTGGACCGAGAGGTCATCATTATCCCGTGTAGTCTTGTTTCAAAAAAGAAACGAATGAATGTTGTTGTTATAGGTTTTTTTTTTCGCTTCTCGCTGTAGGTTTGATCCTTCGATTGTTGTTCGTGCTACTTCAAGTCGCTCGCTCTTTTGATTTTGACTTGACAGGCTTCATCTAGAAGAATGTGCTAAGTATGCCTTTTTATTGCACGATTATGCAGATTTTACGATTATGCAGAGTTTTTTACTTGCAAAAAACAATTTGTGCTTCACGTGATATCGAATTTAAAAAATTATTAATTTGATAGTAATGTTTCCGAATCAAATAAAAATTTGATTTTTAAATTTCTAGATCAATCTAATTGCGATCTTAGTAGTCCTTCGTGATTTCTGCATTAATCTTGATTTTCTAGAATTACGAATGTTGACCAAATATTCACTAATTATTTCTCGTCTTCGATTTTACTCGTGCGTTTTTTCCTAAACTCTTTTCTGATCTGATCATCGCTGAAACTCTTTGACGACGACACGGAATACGAGGCGGAGGTTATGGCGAATGGCGAGACGTTAACAAGAAAAAATAAACAAAATAAACAATGAATAATAGCAATACGAAGGAGTCAATAAGAACAACATGGGATTGAATTCGAGCTTTTGTTGGCACCTCGCGACAGCGGCGACGGCGACGACGTCAAAATTCAATTTTCCGCATTCGGAACATACACGCGCACTCCGCTATCGGCGGGCTATTTAGAGAGTCAAAAATTGGAGACTTCTTCTTTTTCTTCTTTGTGCCGTTGCTCATTTTTTGTTGTTTCACTATCGGAAATTGTTTGACGCCGGCGTCGTTGCCGTCGAAGTGTGCGTTTGGAAAAGAATCGGGCTTAATTGGAAAATAGGTGAGCCGCACGAGACAATTAATGACCTAGCATGTAGTCACGTTTTCGTATAGCTTTTACATTGAACCTTTTTTATTCTAAATATCATAAGCGAAAAATTGGCGAAAGTCAATAAGGAAAACGAATCCGAATTAGAATGATTGTAGAAGCCATGGAAACTAAGAAAAATGTTGCCGAGACCCGTTTTTGGTGTATTTCAAAAATCGTGTTCAATTTAATTAGGTGTCTATAAATTGTTAGAGAATAATGGTCATGTAATTATAGTGGAGGTTGGCTTCAGAAAAATACGACCCTCACGTCATTTTACTCCTTTGAGACCTAATTGGCTTGAGAGGAAACTGTTATTGTTTCAGTAACAAAAGGAACTTATCTATTAATAATAATAATAATAATTATTATTATTAATGCTGTTCTAGACTTCTACTTTACTAATTATAATGTCGTAGATTTTCTAATAGGTATACAACAAGGCGCTTTGAATTACCGTACCATTATTAAAACAACAATCTCTCATCAGTATCCGGCGACCGCTGTGCGGGTAGATTTACGCGCATACAGCAATCGCCGGACGTCGACTATATGCTCTTAAACTCAAATTTTTTACGAAACAGACTATAAAAACTGTGACGATTAAAAAATCTGCAAAGGAAAAATATGCATTTTTCGATTATTTCCATCAAAAGCGAAAACGATGAGACACTAGCCGAAAAGAAATAATCGTTTTTTATGACACGACATCTCTCGCAACGGAACGCGCAAAAGTTTCGTAATAATTCTTTTTTTTTTTGTGTCGCATAGGAAGTGCAAAAAAATATATCGAGGACAGAAAAACGTCAGAAATTAATATTAATTGCTTGAATATGTCCTCATAAAAATCAATATTTTTTTGTTTCACCTACTCAGCGGGTCTCACGATATTTTATGTGAAAAAGGGAGCGTTGACAACATTTTTTTTCATATTTGAATTAAAAAATTAAATATTTGAATATTTAAGAGGGACTCCTTTGAAAAGATGATTTTCCAAAGAAAAAGCATGAAAGGTACTGTAGAAAGCGATATATTGATTTCTATTTTAATATTGGACTTTTTATTCGATGAATGCAAGCGCGGGACCGATTCATTTTATTTTTGTAGTGCATTGAATACAAAAATTGTGATGGTTGCAGGCATAATATATCGATTTTTGACAGGAAATTTATTTTGATGTTTGTGTGTTGGCATAGAATGAATGAATTGTAACATTGAGGGGTGAGAGATAAAAAATCCGTATTTGTTTCAATATGAGAAGGAAAAATGAATGAAAACAACGTGAGGGAATGTGGTACATATTTACATAACAAAACACAAGAAATTGGAATGTGATAGTGGCGGCACATTGCGGCTGTAGTTTCATACTACTTGCTTCTACGCTTCTTTCTCGAAGCGGGGCATGGCCGCCATCACAGATAAACGGCGGCATAGGCACAATGGAAGCATAGTGGAACGGCTGTGGATATCATAGGAAACTTATATGCAAGTTATATGGAAGCATAATGGAAGCATTTTTTTGCGGAACCGCGTGTTTCGTATATGGAATGAGCCGTATGCCTTCCATATGGGAAAATAAGAAAACAATTTGATTGCTGTATTCAAAATTTATTTCATATTAACACATTTATTTAATTTAAAATAAAAAAAAACAACAATGAAATGAATTTCAATTAAGATATAATCAAACCATTAGTTACTGGCAACTGCCGAACTATTCGAATCATTGTCAGTACTGACATCGAGCGGGACGCTGCAATAAGTAGATTATAATGGGCCTATTAATTTGAAAAACTTGTAAACCATTGTTACGTAAACTAAATTTTTCGAGAAAATACAATCAGTTTTTTTACATCAATAATTTTCTTAAAAATAAAAATAATTTATTTTTATTGCATTTTTGGAAACCCTTTAGTGCACAAAATAAAAAGTGAATTGGCGGAAGAAAGAACAACTCCAAAATTTGAAGCAAAAAGGCATTTTGGTTAAAATTTCAAAGACATATGAATACTCACATCTGAGGGTTGCTGGTAGAATCAAGCAGCTTCCTTAATTGCGCCGCGAGCGCTTCCGGCGCTACACCAAATTTCCTTTGAAGTCGTTGGCGCATTCTATCGCTTAATCAAATAAATAAATTAATAGTCATAGTTCAAAATCTTACAGAAGATTATCCATGACTTCTCGAACCATGCGTAATGCTTTCGCTTTGAAGTCATTTGTCGGTTGTTGCCCAAAGCCATGGATAAGAACATCTGTAATATAGATATTTGCAATAAAGTATAGGATCTTTATATAGTCGGCGTCTGGCGACTTCTGTACTAGAGCCCCACTTAAAAAGATAAATGCCACTGAATGATATTGGTACGAAGGCTGTACGGCAATCGGAAATTTCGGCGATTCGGCTAATGGCAAATTACCGATCGAAATTTTCTTCGGCAATTTGAAAAACCGGCAATTTCGGCAATCGGCAATTCCATTGCCGCACAGCCCTGATTGGAACCAAATAATCAACAAGCTTTAAACTTAGGAAGTACTTTATAAAGACTTCATTGCGCATATTTTTCTAATTGAAACCATTTCTGAAGTCGAACAGGCCAATTTTTGATGATAACAACTTACAAATTGCGCGTACGAAGGTTTAGGAATTGGCGTTGATTTTGTTGTTTGTGAGGACTGTGGAGAAAAATTTTTTTGCTGAGTTGGCGAGTAAATTGGACTATCTGGATCTGAAGTGTCGAGCGAATTTGGTTCCATGTTAGGGACTTCTGGTTCTTTGTTATTGACTTCTAGAGCAGTTTCAGTTATATCTGACAACACTCTCGATCTTGTCTTCATCTGTAAAAAATTTCAAAACATTATGTTTTATTAAAAGAAAAAAGCGAGCGATAATAAAAAATATGTTAAAGTAAATAAAAATAAAACGGATTCGATGAGAAATTAAACACAATTCGATTGAGAAAATATTTAAATTCGATTTTAAAAGTGTCGGAAACGATTTGAAAACATCGTATCGATTTTAAAATTTTCGAATGCTATCAATTTATTTTTGGTTTCGATTTTGATGATAAATATGAAAATTTTTCCTTTATTTTTTAAAAACATTTTTCCTTTAATTTTGAAAAAAATTCTTTAATTTTTGACAAAAAAAACACAAAAAATCTTGAAAATTCATTGAGAAAAAGCAAAAGGACAAAAATTTTGAAAACGAATTTCGAAAATGTGAGGCGTGGCCGCATTGTGCAAAGCGGCGCACGGTTTTGCAATGCTGCGGCACGCCTCTTCTACGCGCGTCTGCTACCAGTTTGGAGCAAATTGTGAGTAGTTTGCGATGCCAATTTCGGAAAAACCGGCAAAAATATATTAATACGACTAAATTGTAGTTGGCAATCTTTAAACAAAGTGAGGAACAGTTGACTGAATTAACATAAATCTGAGTAACATAAGTCATTAAATGGTAGAAGCTAAATTTCGTCCGTTGTGTATCATGTAATTTTCAAATTTTCATTGTTTATATGATAGCATAAGTTTTTTGTATTGATTTTTCTAGAAATTGTCTTGGTCTGCCGTCCAGACGCCAATTGTATAATGTTTATTGACATATGATTATTTTATCCATATTCCATCCATATTTGTTCCACGGCTCGCAAACACCGGAAGCATATTCATCCCGTTTTCATTCCATCCATATTCGTCCCATAATTCTTCCACAGCCACTAAGAATTACATTATGCTTCCTATATGGAAGCATTATGCTTCCGTTCCACAGATTTCCCACAATGCTTCCATTATGCTTGCGTCGCGCTTAATCAGTGATAGCTCAGTCGGTTAGAGCGTGGGTCTAATAAGCCCAAGGTCGCAGGTACGACCCCTGCTGGCGGCAAATACTTTTCCACCCACCTTCTCCACTTTCCCATCAATAAAAATTTATGTAAATCGTAAAAATTTTGATAATGTGTGTGCGTGGTGAAGGTATACACCCGCTTTTGACAAATGTTTTTTTTTCTTGTCTAGTCTTAGTCGGAGTTTATTTTTTTCTGTGTTAGTAGGTGGAGTGAAGAATGTGCAGAATAATAGGCATTTAGAAACCGAGAAAAACGAAAGAAGAAACAAAAAAGAATAGAGCTGTCGGAGAGAGCTACCACAGCACCCCACGCGGCCCCGCCTAATTGAACAACCACCCAAACAGGAAACTTTTTGTTGCTTTTTGATGACAAAGGAAAGGAGATATGAACCAATTAAGCGAGTAAGAACATAGAAATTGGAGCGGAATAAAAAAGGAAGCGAAAGAATGAAAAGAAGTAGGAGATGGAGTAGAAGTAGAAGCATAAAAAATTGAGCTCTGAAGCGCAAAAGGAAGGTGCACACATAACTAAGAACAAAAAAGGCTTAAACGCGATTAAAATTTCTGATGAGTTGAAGGCACTTTTCTGCTAGTTTAGTGAGTGCTAGCCACTAAAAGTTATAGCCCTGGATAGAAAATTTATTTCACCTGGAACTCAACGTTCCGAGAAGTGCGAATTTTGAGATTGGAGCGCGCCCCCTTTAATTGAGAGCTTTGCGCCTGATTTATGGGGTCCTGATGCGATTCACCGCTATAGCTCCCCCCAATGAAGGGGTCCGTGTAAATATCGTGGCGCAGTTTTCGGCAAACAAATAGGGCATATGTAAGGGTGTGGGAGCTTCAAAAAATAGCAGATAACAAGGGGACAAGCGCATGGATAACCTCGTTGAGGCGTGAGCGGACACGAAAAAAAGAAGGAACCCGAAGGGGCACGCCCCGTTATGCGATTAAAAAGCAAACGGGCGGACCCTCCTCTTCCCCATGCGCGCGCGCCACGGCAAACAAAAAATATCAAATGTCTCGCCGGAAAAGGCACTTATCTCGACTGCGAGCCTTCGCACAATTTTCGTGTCAAAACAAAACAACTCGACCAGACCAGCTGCCGCTACTGCAGCTTGCTGTGGTCGTCGTTGATAGGCGGTGAGAAGATGTTTAGTTTAAAATCGAAAGAGCGTCTGCGGAAAACTCGGGAACTGGTGAGGAGGCGAACGAGAGAGAAGAGAAGAAACTAATTTCCGGTGTGAATAATAAGCTGAAAATAAGAAATTGCCCGCAAGCCCGAACCTGGGCTTTTTAGACCCACGCTCAAATCGACTAAACTATAGCGGCACGTTCACGATCGGTTTGCGATGTGTGATAGGCCTGCTGTGGGCTTGACGCCGGTTAAGTGCAAAACGGCGTCTGGGGAATACGCGGAACACGACGCACAAAGTCTTTTGCGAACATTCATGTCGTCTTTTTTTCCTTCAAAACGACTTCTTTATCGCAACACAGCACGAGAACCCTTGCATATACAATTGAGAAATGAAACAGTTTTATAACTCAATTTTTTCCGACGAACTTTTCGCCTCAATTCTAGCCATTAAAACCGCGCCTGCCTTTGTCAGCATTGTGAATAGCGCATAACCGCCGATAATAATCGAAACACCGCAAAGAATCAACAGCCACGAGGGTTTCGTTAGCAAAAATCCGATGAGCGAGGCGATTTCGAGAAAATAGATGAGACTCGCGATGACCTGTCGATGAATGTGCGAGCCTAGGAATGAGCCGATCGGAGCTGAAATTTGAGAAAAAATAGATTGCCAACAAAAAATGAGCGCGCACCGAAAGTGGCAACGACTGGTACCGAGCAGGTGAAATATCGCCAAGCGACAAGATCCACGTCACCCATCATAGCGGCACGGTAATAAAAACCGAATACCGAGACGACTCCTAAAAATAAGAAATTTCGAAAATTGTGATGACGTGGCTGCATTTTTTTTAGTTTATCAATGAATTACCATGAATACCCGAATAATATTATGGCATTATCTCTCTGAAACCCATTTTTTATGGGGGAGTCTTATAATAAAAAGTTCTCAGCAATTTCAAAAAAAATTAATTGCACTTTTCTAGTTTTTGATCTAAGACGTACGATATATCGCGTCATTTTGTTTTATGTATTTTCTACATGCTTGCATAGGGAATTTAAATGAAAAAAAATTGATTTCTTTTTATTTTTCATTGCATGAATGGGTCCATAACACACTTTCTGATGGCGTTAGATGGTAATTTCTATGACGAAATATCATGTGGTAGTGCTAACGACAAGGTCAGCAAAAAAGACTAGATTTGGTAGCGTATAACATGTCAAACCCAATCGGGGTTTTCCGAATTTAGCAATCGGATACCTTTTAATATCATAGTAGTCGGTGTAGCTGTCTTCTCGCTTACACGAAACAACAATGTGACGATGGAAAACATGGCGATGTCGATTCCGCTTCCAGCGAACGCATCGAAAATTCCTTGAAAAGAAAGAGAATTGTGGAACACTTTGGTTGCACTGTGCTCGCCGCTCACCTCCAATAAAGCCAGTGGACAGAAGAACGAGACCTTTCCATGCTTTGAAATCTGGAATTCTGACGTATGTCGGGCGCTTCTTCTGCGAGTTTAGAATGGCGAGTGCGAACGCGAAGGCTGTCCAAATCGAGACGAACAGCATCTTTTTCTGCGGACCACTTAAGAATGGGTCAATCTGGAGATATTTGAGTATTATTCGAGTCTTGGATTCAACTGATTTTGTACACAATGAACACCGAATATAAATCCTGGGAATGCACCGATTATTCCATAGAGCACTGCCATTGGCTCGAATTTGATTTTCATGAATATCACGCACACCAGTGCTGATGTCATTCCTATTGATTGAGTCATCAAAGCGAAATCCCTAGCGATCGATGGGTTAAGATGAAGAACCAATGTCATCACTGGGAATGCGATGGCACCTGCTCCTTCCGATGTCATACCAGCGACCAGAGCGCCAAAAATCATGGTGATAGGCATGTGCCAATATTCCGGGAACCATTTGAAGAAATCGTAGCGGATTGCCAGTGACCACCAAATCGATTGCACGAGAATGAATGGGATGAGAACGGCGACGAATTTTCGATATTTTATGAGAAGATAATCGGAGATCGTTGGATTCTCAGGAAAGTTTTCTATCTTCTCCGCGTGTTTTTCGTCAAGCTGCTGACCTGTAATCAGTCTTAATTGGCATGATGCTTAATTTTTAGGGAGCGATTATGTTGCGAAAAAAAACGATTCCGCAAAAAAACTGGTAAACAAATTGTTGTTCTTTTTCTCTCATTTCTCGTAACGAAATCGTTCCATTAATCGATAATTAATCACTGCGCGTTGGAAAATGAATGATTTGAGGCAGATCAGTTTTTCAAAATTTCATATTTTGATCTAAAAAACGGGTGAAAAATTATGAAACATGGATCAAAAATGGATTTTAAAAAACTGATCTGCCACGGATCATTCATTTTCTCACGTGCAGTGGTTTGCGGAAAATTGGCTTACCTTCAAGTAAATACTTCTTGCACCATGTTTCAACTCTTTGCATGATCGTTGGGCTACTTGTTTCATTCTCGTTTGTCATTCTGTTTTATATATGTGGCAACTGAAAAATGATCAATGAGAGAACACATCGCGACATCGTCATCAGAGTGATCTTTAATGAATGCGACAGAAGGCAAAAATCAACACAACGCAGTTTATTAATTATCAATAAATGAATCGTAGGAGTTTAGCCATCCATCCTTGCGCAATATCCTTTTCATACTCATCGCTGAATTTCCTGTATTTTTCCATTTCGGCATCGATTTTATCGGCTTCATATGCTGACACTGCTATTCGTGCTTGACACTGGTTTAGTTGCTGTGGTGAAAGTGGAAATGATGACAAAAAATGGCATCAAGGTAATAGCTCACTTCTTTTTCAAGCTGCTGCGAATTGAAAAACTCGGTCTCGTAGGATCGAATTCCGATTTTTATCATATCGGTCGATTCTTTCAGATTTCGCGAGATGGTGCTAATTGCTGTTTTTAAGGCTTCCGCTTCGCTAAGCAATCGCTGGTCTTCGTCTATACATTTCGCTATTTTCTTTCTAATCGCTTCTTCTTTCAGTCTTTAAAATAGACAAAAAAATAAAAGAAACTGTTTGACGCCAGCAGCAGTCGAACACAGATTCGACTATTGCGCCTGTGGCGCAACAATGCCAGTTAGATGTAGAGGTCACTCACTCTGCGCACGGTTTTTCGTTCTTATTTTTCGCAGCAGCTGATTTCGGCGGATTTTGTTTCTTCTTAACAAACTTCACATTAGTTTCCTTCTGCTTACTTTCCGCTTTCATTTTTGTCTTTTTCGTCGACTTTGCTTTAATTTTATTCATTTTCCTTGTCGCTTATAATTTAGAAATGATTTACGTCAGAAAATGAGTTTATTCTTCAAAAATTTAACAATTGTCCTAATGGTTCTCTGTAGTTATCGACATTTGCGACGATGACGGATCGCATTTCGTGCGGAACTTCTTCAGCTTGTTCTGCACATCAACGTTCGATGGGAGTTTGGCTTTGATGAGCCAACATGTTGCCAAGTACAGCGAGATGTACTGTGTGACACTATCGACAGCAAGTGGACGCTGCTCACGAATTGTCCGCACGATTTCCTTGATCTAACAATTAGAACAATTAGAAGAACATTGGTGTTTTTAAGATTGATCCTACATTTGGCACCATTCCTTTGTTGAATTGTTGCACAATAACTGCTAATGTCAAAAGTGCAGAGTTTCGGCCAGCTCCTCGCACACTCACAATAGCAATTGGCTAAACTTGTAATTAATTAGTTTGATGATTTTAAATTTCCTACACTATTATCAATGTCATTCTTTGCTATCATTTGAGCTGCTTTTATTGGCGCATGAAACTTCTCGGGCCCGCCTTGTTGCTTCCAATACATATGAATGTACACTGAACACATAACCGAATTCGAACAGCCTTCTGGCAGAAGCTCGACAACATAATTATCCAATTTGTCGGACGCATTCTTTTCAACTTTGCGTGTATTAATGAAGAACCCGTTGGCATAAAGGTATCCGCCGGCTTCCTGTGCGAACAGGCAGTCGAAGCCTTTCTCAAGTTCCGACGGCAGCGCGAGAATATGCACGGAGGCGCATTGTTCCTGGAAATATGAATATGAATGCAATTGGTTCATTTCATTAAAACTATTATTATTGCAGAAAAAGAAAAGTACAAATTAAATCAAAATGAATAGGCTCACCGTAAAAACCATTCTCCAGAATTCTTCCACCGCGTCGATCATTTCTAGCTTCGGAATTTGCACAAGATAGGTATTACGACTGAACTGCAACTGTTTTCCGTCCGAGTTCAGATTATCATTCGTAGATGGAGGCACCTACATTTGGTATATTGATCTTTGATCCGTTAATGTAATCGTTTTTAGACATTTGAATGACAACTCGATTATCATCGTAAATTTTATAGTCCTATGTTTGAAAAAATCGAAATAATTATAAATCACAAAAGAGCATTTTCTACCGGATGCCGATTCCGATGCATGTTCGTCTGCCAAATCTTGCACCGCTCATTGTTGACCGGCATTTTTTGAAGATCGCCAAAATCATTGATCATGTTGACGGCGGACAAGGCATTTGTCCAGCTTATCGCTGCTTCTTCACCCACCCATTTTTCTTTCTTGCCGGCTGGTTTCGTCGAACAATTCATGATGGAATTCGTGGTTTTCAGTCCAGTTTTCTCTTCTTTCGACTTTTTTGGAGGTGATCTCGCATTTCCCTGATGCGCGCTTTTCGTTGATTTATTGATTTTCGACGCCGACTTTTTCAATTTTGTTACTTTCATAGACCCTTTCGATTTTTTCCCTTTCTTCACCGATTGATTCGTGCTCGTCTTCTCATCAGTGATCGTCTTGTCGTTACTCCGCGAACGAGCGTTTTTTAAATTACCCTTTGCATTTTTCGTATTCGCCTTTGACATCTCAACAGAATGTTCGATTCGCTAATTGTTGATCGTTTGATTACTAGCGTTTAGTTCACAAGAAATGGCATTGCAGCGAGACGAAAAATATTAACCGACGAATGAATTTCGCTCATTTCTATTTTGTTTGCAAATTGCGATTAGTTCTTTCAAAATCGATAATGTCGTCGTCGAAAAATCGAAATCCACTGACCGATACCCGACAGAGAAAATCGCGGCCGAATGCCGCACAACAGAAATCTGTAAGCACCTAATGGCAACTGACCGTTCGCATTTGATTTACAGAACCGGGGACTTGGTATAAAGACATCAATGCAAAATGTCAAGGTTTGAAATTTGAGAAACACTGAAGTTTAACGATTTTTTTTTTCAGAAATTGAGTAATAGTTATCGAAAAATCTTACGTAAACCTAACTCAGTGAATACTTCAGAGCCCGAAGGTTCCTCAGATAAAATAAACAAAACAGTTGGTATGCTATTCTTTTTCAGATAACTGTTTGCAGATCTATTTTTCTAGATGCTACTTTCGATGAGGAAGATGCAAAGTCTATAAGTGTTGTAAGTTAATAAGAATATTATTATAATATAATATTTTAAGAAGAAAATTCAACCATCCATTCGGCCTGAAAGTCTTAATATAACAGTTAGAGTTGAATTACCAAAGGACTTTTGGGATTTGTCGAGGGTATTCTTTATATTGCATTATATTCAAAATCAATAGTGAGATCTTATTAGTTTAACGAAACAGTTCAATTATCAAAGAATATGGTTGTTGAACGACTACCCATCGAGTTGATGCCTTTTTTAATATACGGCGATCAAATTCACGAGGTTAATGGGAATCAGATATCGACGAAGAAACACCTTGATTTGCAATTCCAAAATGCTGCTTCGATCCCGTCGGCTGTCACCCTCACCATTATTCGCGTCTGGAATATTCGGCCAGCGACGAAATCGCAAATCCTCAATCAAAGTGTCATCGACGAGCGATGCGCGTACTTTGTCGTGCGCGTGCAAAAGTTTATGAAGGTGAACGGGTGCAAAATGAAGTATGAGCGAAAGAAAATCACAATCGTCGAGGTTTTTAATGGTCCCGATTTAGTGTTACTATGCAATAAAATTGCTAGGTCGCGCCGCGGTCGAATGCTTCGTTTGCATTCCTCCAAGGTGATCGAATACTCGATTTCGATGGGAGCCATGAAGTGTCGGCACAACTTGCCAAATACGATATCACATGTGTTAGAAGGGTATACGCGAAAAGAATGAAAAGGGATGGATATATTGAGTAAGGGAAAATACGATTAAATGGGGGGAGTAATCGAGGTCACGTTAATAAAAAATATTCCGTTTGATCTTTACTCTTATTCATCGATTGTAAATTTTTGATGCAACATGTCATAGATCATTTGATAATCTTTGATAATCTCAGTTATATCGTTATCAATTCTCATCCGATTTCAGTTGTTTCATGGAGCGACCGATCGGTGTACGCAGTTCGCCGAACCCGAGTGTCTACGGCGAACTCTCATTAGTGCTGCCGCTGCCGCCGAAAACGTCGGCGATTGCCGGCATTTCGCAAAACGAGAAAACAGTTATGGTGCCGTCAGCAACATCTTTTAACAGTCCAGACCCGCCGATTGAGTCCGATGCCGTCGAAATCGCGCTGCGAGAACTTTGCAGAGTGCAGGCACAAATTGCGGATGACTCATTTGTATTGTGAACCACCCCTTCATGCAAACTTGTTGCATCAATTTTGACTGGGTTTCAGTCGCTGTTCCACAAGGGACGCTCTTTGCTCCGAGACAAGGATAAAAATATCGAGCGATCGGTGTTCATGATTGATGTGAATCGCGGTAATCGGCGAATTGAGGTGAAAATAAAACGAAAATATTTAAGCGAACCCAGATCGCAAAAAAACAAAAAGGAGAACTCTTCGAAAACCGCGGCCGAACCAAATAATCGCATTCAAGGACACCCCAGAGACGTCGCGAATCCTCTCCGATGTGTCTGACGACGTTGAATTGAAGAAGGTTGATGCGCGCTCGGGAATTGTTGCTTACATCCGAAACGCGTTTGGATAAATAAAATTTGAAAAAGATTGTTGATGAGGAGACCAACAATACGCACACACCTACATTCTCACAGCACACTCTCACACTCAGACGGCGGCTTTTTATGCGTCTAACATGTGTTACCTGTACGCTGCGCGTCTTCGTCTCCAATAGTATCTCCGCTATCATCCAGCTCCGACGAGCCGGCCGCCGACACCACCTCTCATTCATTCTTTCTTTCATTCGCTTTCGATATCATCATCCAAACCGACCTTTTGGCTGTTGTTTCGTTGGCAACATTATGCGTATTCATGCACTTGTGTGGTTTTTTATCGCCACAATCTCGCGATTTGCTAATGGCGATGAAGATACTGACATCGAAGTGAGTATCATTTTAATGTTTCAATTGTTTCAAGATCGTCCCGCCCATTTTGCTCATTTCGGAAATTTATCCATTCCAAGTAAAGTTTAGACAAGATTGAAAAAAATCGTTAATAATTGCTAATATCATTACTATAATTAGCGTGTTTTTTAAATCGTTATGCGATTTTCGCAATTATAAAACCTGAATAGTCACGTAGCGGATTGTTATCAATCTCAGATAATGATGTAATTAACTATAATAGGCCTATCGTGCAATAAAATAGTGTAAAATATTGACATCTTTCCTAATCATAGTTGTAAAAATATAATTTCGTGAAGGTCCAATCATTATTAGTTTTGTATTAAACAAGATAATAATCACAAGAAAAAATTGATGGAAAATTTTTCAGTTGAAACCTGCATTGTCCGAATGCAAGCGCATTAATCCATGTGGTGCCACGCTTTTCGCGTATCCACTCCTCGAGGACGAGCATGACTTTTCCGGATATGGTAGCGGCATGGCGCCGGTTTACGACGAAATTCTTACGGTACATGATTTTGCATTACTACTTTGTTTCATAGTTGTCAATATGTTCAGCACGATATTTATGATTTAAATGGAACCCCGGAACAGAAGAATTTTACACTTTGCCAGTGTCCAAATGACGAACGCTGCGATTTTTCCAATGAGGAAAATTCCATGAAAGTGGATTATGTAAGCCTCATTTTCACCGTGGTTAGCAATCTTTTTGATTTTTTTAAAGCATGTGACTCTTCGATTTTGCGACAAATCTCAACTCTCATCGGTTTGCCGCAAAAATAATGCAAATTTGCGGGTTATCGGAAACGCACAATTGACAGGTTAGTTCCATTTAAACAATTCAATGACAAGCCTTGCATTCTACAAATTAAAAGTGCGATTATCAATTGTGGATATTGTTCGTGAATGTGCACAACAATTGTCACTTCCGCCGACTGCCTGCTTGTTGACACCATCAATCAAGCAACTGGCGTGCATGTTTTTTTGAGGAATTAATGTGATATTCTTGCAGGAGACCCAACCCACGCCAACCTCGACGATGTCACGAAATCAATGATATTCTGTAATTGCCCGCTCGGATTTTCACGTCAAGGCGTTGAGGTGTGGGCTGGAAGCGAGATATCGTTGAATTACAAATGCTTGTGATTTCCAAAGCCAATCAAAATACGTCTACATATAAGTACAAATTCATTTTCCCTCCAAGTACGGTGATTTTATTCTCTAATATTAACAATAAAAATTGATTGTTCGGGTTTTTCGCGTTATGCTGCCTTGTTTCTATTTCTGTAAATGGTGTTTTGCCAGCTTTTTATTTGTGTTCTTTTCCATTCGCTGGGGAGTTGGATCGATGAATTGTTGGATTTTTGTTTCGTTATTTTTTTTTTAAATCTTCCTCCATTTAGGCCATCTAAAAATTTTGCAACGGAAGTGAAGGGGGAATTCATTTTTCTTTTTTTTAATGCATTTTTAGCAGCAAAAATGAACAAGCGTATCATTCAATTTTTTGTAAAATTGTCGGATCCGATTTGAATTAAAAAATAAAAACCAATCGGATTCGACAAAGTGTTTTTCGCAAAAATTATAATTGCTGATAATGTGAGCAATGAGCTAACTGCTTCTGATGTGAGTCTAAGCGCCATAATCAATAATGGAGGGTCCTTATGTAGATGGTGAAGCCTTCATGAACTTGATGCTCCGCCCACGGCGTTCACACTAGTGGGATTTACCTGAAATGCAAACTCAAACTGTGTCAGTGGTCCATTGTTGGCGTCTTTGTCGCGCAGACGAATTTATTAAAAATCGCCAGGTTTCGATTCGTTTTTCAAGTATTCTAAGTTTTTCTCAAAATTTAACAAAAAAGTGCAGCGACCACGTTTTTTGCAAGGCTTTTTTTCTATTGAAAAATCATTCTATTGAAAAATCTCAAATTTCTTTTCTCTGTACTCACTCTCTCTTTTGTTAATACCATTTAATGTTGTATTATATGGTTTGATTTATACGTGGTTTTGTATATATGGTTTTGATTTATATAATTGTTAACACTTAGAAAAACATTTAATAGTTGTTTATTTTTTATTTTTTGCAAATTTTATATGTTAACAGTTTGTCATTTCGGCGGAGAGGTTCTCTTACATGTTGGTAGAAGGCTTAGGCTCTCAGAGAGTCACAATGATTAATATTTCCACGTCTTTGCAAAACAAAATCGTGTTTTCCTGCCCGTATTTCCTATGCAGAAACAATCTTCAATTATTAAACTAGCTTAATTATTTATTTTCCAGGTGATGGCTCACAATTTTCCTCGGGCGACAGCACTGTTATTCCGGTGTGGAGAGTCCAAGGTTGATCTATATTTCAAAATGTCGCAATACCTTTTTTTTTTTAGAATTGTCACATGAATTCGAAGCACAATCGCCATGGATATAGATGGAGAAAAAACTCAAAAGGTTAGAGAATCAAAATTTTAGCGAGTTTTGGATAATTGGTGATTTAAGAGTTTACCTTGCGACAGCGGGAAGCGGCTTGATCGGTAGCGCAATGGTTGGCTCCTCGGATTTCTCTCGTCGTATCCGAAGCTTTTCACTTTTTCCCGAGTCAAAATACAAGAAAAACATGATGCACAAAACAGCTGAAGGAAATGACCCCGTAATTTTTGAACATTTTTGATCTTTTAGAATATTGTTTGATTTTGCCTAGTGATATTCGCTACGGGAAACGTATTCCAGATGAGTATAGTAATTAGCATATAAAGTAATTAGGATAAATTTCGGAAATAATTAATGTGTCGTTTTAAAATTGTCCTAGGCTTAGGTAATTTTGGTAAAAAAATGCTTCAAGATAATTATAATTATAAATTGTTAGAGGGAGTGTTAGAATTAGGCTGTTAATATCTTTCTGTTAGGGTCTAATTATTAAACTAGCTTAATTATTTATTTTCCAGGTGATGGCTCACAATTTTCCTCGGGCGACTGCACTGTTATTCCGGTGTGGAGAGTCCAAGGTTTTTGAAAATGTCGCAATACCCTTTTTTTAGAATTGTCGAACGCATATGAAGATGAATATCTTTCAGTTCCTCAAGAAAAATAATAAATATCTTTAAGTAATTGTTAATACTTTAAATAAAAAAAACCAAATCTGCTTAATTCAGCAAGTCACTCATAATTTGATTGTCAAAATCGAGATACTCTCGCAGACTGAGTGTAATCCAAACGCCGAAAACGCTGATGGTTCGATTTCCCACCATGTCGTGGTATTTTATTTTTTAGATTTTGTTTAACGATTTTCGTGATTTTAGCGCTCCATCATCAATAATTGATCGTCTTTAATAGATTGAAATGTTTCTTTTTGCTAAAATTTGTTATCTTTGATTTCTGTTTTCTAGCAATATATTTTCTTGAATTTTTTACTGGTTCCTTATCAGTTATGTGCATAATATGCATTGTTCTCATGAATTTAGATCATATCCATATCATCACCTAATATTTTCTCACAAATAAATTTTAATTATTGATTTTCTTTTGATATAATTTTCCGTTTAATCGGAGTAATTTCTACATTTAATTAAAAAATTGTTTTTAATGTAATTCCACTGCCGTTATATGATTTTTTCTAGAAATATTATTAATGTATTAATTTCACGAAAGATCTGTTGTGCGTGACGTTTGACCAAAATTATGCGCGCCAAATAAGAGTTTGACCACCTTATTATATTTTTTCCTTTTATTTCGTTCTCGACTATTCGAAAAGAGCAAATGATTTATATTAAACGTTGGGGTTCCACGAGGGACCCTTTTTTAACCCTATCAGTACGACACTCCATTCACACCTCGCCCTCAGTTTATCGTGTTGGGCTAAACCGTGGGTGAATTGTTTTGATTAATTGAATTTTCCCCCTTTTGTCCTAAAATGTACCGCGGGTTATCCCAAACCAAAATTTTTTCACTGTTCGTCTCGATCGAATCGCAGAGTTCTTCTTTTTTCTATTGTAAAAATGGAATTAAATGATCGATCTCGTTTTTTTGCGTGTATTTAATTCTTTTTTTACATATTGTCGGAGTCAAACGACTGGAAGACATTTAAAAAACATTGGCTATGTGTCAATGTGTCTCGAGGCAGCGAGAAGTTCGCGATACTGCTTACATTGCATTATAGTGTACGCGCATTTATTATTCAGTCAACGATAAATTTAAATCTACACCAATGCGCGAATTTGATTGATCACATTTAAAATAATTAAAAGATCAAGACCCTCGCGAAACTCATTTGGCGGGACCGTGGGTTTTCTCTATTTTTATCCTGTTTTGCTCGATGAGTTTGTTGAGCCCTGTTCGTTCTAGCCTATACTTCGTTGTCGTCTCTACTCGATCTAGAGTTTGTCATTTTCCAAATTCCAATTTGTTGAATAATTTATGGTTGCAATGCCACTTCTTAATTATATTCTAATTGCAATCGGCAAAAGTGATTTGCAACGGCAATACATAATCCGGGATATCCCCCAATTTCGTGTAATTAACTAATTTCGTTGGGATTTGGGTAATCAACCATTTTCGAGATGATTTTTCGCATGTGATTCCAAAATCGATTGCCAAATCGCGGCAATATTGTGATTTGTAGGTCCATTTCTGCAAAAACTTCGCGGTAATTAATTTGAGAATGCGACTTACATGGCCTGTTTCAGCGAATCCGGTTTCTGTAGGAGTATGAGCTGTTACTGACACTAAAATTGTGTTTGGTATTGTTAGAATTGTGTCACAAAACACCAACTTCTGGGAGCTCGTCGACACACCATTTTGACGTCGCACTCATTATTACGCCATTGGCTGAAATATTCGGCGCTGAAATTCCAGTCGCCGTTTATTCGAAATCTTCCGCACACACAACTACTGAATTCGACATTTTCAACTATCGGCGCACAAAAATAGCATGATTGTGGATAAATTGTTTGGAGAAAAACTGTGAAGACTAGAATTTTGAGCATGTTGCTTAGTGAATGACGGCGATGCAAAAATGCTTCTTTTTATGTCTTTCGATATTAAGAAAATCGTAAAATGCAAGTTTCTTTGCGATCTGCCATTTATTGCCAGCATCAAAATGTAACTTATTTTCTCTTACATGTTGGTAGAAGGCTTAGGCTCTCAGCGAGTCACAATAATTAATATTTCCACGTCTTTGCAAAACAAAATCGTGTTTTCCTGCCCGTATTTCCTATGCAGAAACAATCTTCAATTATTAAACTAGCTTAATTATTTATTTTCCAGGTGATGGCTCACAATTTTCCTTGGGCGACAGCACTGTTATTCCGGTGTGGAGAGTCCAGGGTTGATCTATATTTCAAAATGTCGCAATACCTTTTTTTTTAGAATTGTCACATGAATTCGAAGCACAATCGCCATGGATATAAATGGAAAAAAAACTCAAAAGGTTGGAGAATCAAAATTTTAGCGAGTTTTGGATAATTGGTGATTTAAGAGTTTACCTTGCGACAGCGGGAAGCGGCTTGATCGGTAGCGCAATGGTTGGCTCCTCGGATTTCTCTCGTCGTATCCGAAGCTTTTCACTTTTTCCCGAGTCAAAATACAAGAAAAACATGATGCACAAAACAGCTGAAGGAAATGACCCCGTAATTTTTGAACATTTTTGATCTTTTTGAATATTGTTTGATTTTGCCTAGTGATCTTCGCTACGGGAAACGTATTCCAGATGATTCTAGTAATTAGCATATAAAGTAATTAGGATAAATTTCGGAAATAATTAATGTGTCGTTTTAAAATGGTCCTAGGCTTAGGTAATTTTGGTAAAAAATGCTTCAAGATGATAATTATAATTATAAATTGTTAGAGGGAGTGTTAGAATTAGGCTATTAATGTCTTTCTGTTAGGGTCTACTTGGAATCTTACTTGTTAGAGTTGTAAAAATAATAAGGAAATTAGTACTGGGAATATTTGAGTTTGGGTAATTATAGATTCTCATTTAGGGTCAAGCTTTACTTTAGGCGAAAATTTCAGGCGAAAAACGTATTACAATGCTCGAATTTCCTAAATTAGATCCTTTTAAGGTATTTTAATTTGATTGCAATTTAGTATTGAGGTTTTTTAAAATTTTATTTTGAAATTTTGATAATTGTACATACAATTATACTAAAAAAAATA